GTCACCTTAATCTTCTATCGAGACACTCGATTTGTTCAAGGCTCTCATGTTTCTCCGACCTCTGCACGATCATATCCCCAGTGTAGGGACATGTTATAGGTGTTGGTCCTCCTTGCGCAGTGGCGCGCCAGGAACATCAATACGTTGGACCACTTCTCAGTAGTTACGCCCGCGTTGTTGGTTTGACCCTGCACAGCGAGCGTTCCTGCAGGGTTTCCCTTCATCTTTCGTCGCAAGGGGAGGGTGTATCCTGCTGTTTTTAATTTGATGAGTACAAGTGAGTGGTGAGTCGACACTGTGTGTTCACCAGTGTCTGATTCTGGGGTCATTCTGATCTACAGTGCGCAGGGCCTGTTCACATTGTACAGTACTGTAGCTCAGATCTGAGCCGTCCATGAGATACCGCCAACAGCAACTTGCGTTACGGAGATATGGAACTTCAAGCGAAATGTGCTGTCACAATTAACTTACAGGGAGACGAATCTACAGTATCTGATTTTCGTCGTTTGTACCCGCGAGTACAGTATTGTCCTTCGGAGCTTTAGCATTCCGTTTACAGGCGGTCAGTCTCTCGAGACTTGCTGTGGAATATACACGCAGACAAACGTCTGTACGTCACAATCCACCTGAAAAGGAAAGGCAAGAGCAAAATGGGAAAAAGAACTGTATTGTAGAAGGGCCGTTTTTCGTCCTCGAAATCGAATACGTCCCAGCTCTCTATCCATTCGGTCTCTGACAATTCAGGACGCCTCAACCGTGGAAAGCGTTGGGTCTTTCCCCAGTACATAATCAACGCTCCACACCCTCAACAGCGGTTGTCCAGCAGGGCCGTTCCGGCATCGAGTAACCATGGTAAGGGGAGGGCAGAGATTCCGACCTTTTCTCGCACTTGCTACACTCTCCGGTGGCGGAGGCAGCATCGGCGGGAAAGCTCTTCTGTGGCCTCCGCCCCGCCTAGTTGACAGCTTTCCGGTCCACTGTGGTTCTGACGCAAAAAACAGAGCGGCTTCACAGTGGCGATGGTCGGATGCAGCGGATATTGTACGCACAAAGCCTGCGCGGCCGCGAGTGGAATTTCGGCCGGTTCTATGGGCTTCGAACCTAAAAGGTGCGTACGTACTGTATGTATGTCTACTCCGTAGTTGCAATATTCTCGGCATTTAGATTGACAGCACAATGATGTACTTCCATAAAAAGTAGGTTTCAGTCGTTTCTCGGCGAACCTTTGAACGCGTGAATGACTAGCAGATCCAAATATTTCACACGCTTGGCAACTCTTGCATCAAACATACATTTTCACAATATTCCGTACATGTTTGCTTTGTTCCCAAATACTGAACAGAATGGACCTGGTTGACCGGTGAAGATTTTTTCTGTTATGCTGCCCCTCTGCGAAGACGTCTATATTCTTGTGAGTTTTTTTTTTTCTGCAGCAGCGTAGTGGGTTCAACTCCACAATGTCAGATATTTCCTTCCCGGTGGGTCCTTAAGCCAGCGGAAGTTCCTGGGTCGTGGACAAGCTACCCCAAGCTTGCATCACGTTTAGCTAGGTAGCTCCGGTCGCGCGCCGTGTCTTCCAACGCCTTGGAGCCTGAAACAAATAAGTAGCACCACTGTATCAGGTCTACCTCCGACGCGATTGGGATGGCCTTCTTGATTCAAATGGTTTCGACTAGAAGATTCAACGCCCTTCCAGCGTCTCCATCAGGTTCTGGAGCTATTAGCAAAAATCTTCGCGTGGCCCCCACAACGAATTAAAGTGGTGCTAATCAGCAACGCGAATCCCAATGGTCACGACAATATGACCTAGTTCGGTAACGTGATGCTGGGTCTGTGGAGGCTCAACCATGGTCTTAGTGTGTTTTTTTACCTCCCCTTTTCCCCACCCCTTTTCCTCAAGAGGTTCCTCTCCGTTGAGATGCAAGCTAGCCCTCTCTTGTTAATCTCGTATTCATCTTCTCGCAGCAGGGATGACCTGGAATATTGTGATCCCTACCGTGACTAGGTGCCTTCCGCCCTGCTTCCCAGCAAGACTTGTCCGATTGAAGGCGAACCGGCAAATCGGAGCAGTAAGGCTGTTAAATACGGCGCTAATCCCAACTAAGTTTAGAGACCAAAATATAGTGGAGAATACCCGTCGTGTAACGAACAGAAAAGCTCCACATCGGAGCTTTCTGTTCAGTACGGAGTCCACGATTACTTCATTACCTCTGAAGCCCGGCAGGTCCCAAAAGGGATAAATTGGCTGTACGGTAAAAGCAGCAGACCTGGTCGTGGCATGGTGACACGTTCGCAAGACTCTCCGCAAACAAATCCATGCAAACCTTAACGACCTCACAATACCGGCCTCCCCCTGCAGGTGCAAGGATACAAGCTGGATTTGGGGGGCGCCCCATACTCCAGCGTTCTGCTTAGGCGTGTTGGCCTCGGCTGGGATCGAAGCTATGCCGTCATCGCCGGCCTCGCGTCCCACCCTTCGACTTAGTTGGCGTATGCGCCGCTTTGCAAGCTTGTTTGGACAAATTGAAGACAGAACTTCAAAAAAAACTCTGAGCGGCAAAGATACGAGGCCGCAATGGTTGACCGAACAGGCCGGAAGACAACGCTGACTATCGCCTTAAACACACAGTTCGTCGGACAACCACATGCATAAGCGGCTCGGCCAGAGTCCGGATTCCGGATACGGGGGTTGGGAACAAGGATTGAACTATCTTGGCGCAAATCCCAGTCACCACTTGCACACGCGTTTGATTCAGCCATCGCGTCCGGACACTGCGTCTATATTGACTGCCGATCCGGCAGTCCTAATCAGCCCCCTTCTCCTACTTTCTCTTGTTCCGGCTAGAGCCAAAGGTAGCCAGGATCGCGGCTGGAATCTAAGTTCACTAAATCGAGTCTGAATTCTGCTACGTCCTAGCTCAGAACCGGAAAAGCACGCGATGATAAGGAGATGACGCGCTGCATTTGCGGAGAACACGACGATCTGAATGGTGCCTCCCACTCTTCCCTCCTTGGTACCAGAGCGTGTCCAGGGCTGGTTTGCGAACGATTAGGTCAGGGCGGAACCTGCTTATTCGAAGCGGGGGACGGGGAGAGTCAGATCCAACAAGATCGAGGGCGAACTGCTCAGCCCGACGCATCCAGCAGTTGAACTCTCTGAAGCCAAGTCCACGCAGCATACGACAGTTCCTGCCCGAATTGAGTTCGACGGGCCGCACGCCAGTGGCCATTCAGAGTATCAGCCATGGAAAGGCACGATCGCATCGAGCTGGGGAGTTGAGAGTTGAGAGTTGACCGGAACAACTGCCACTGAAGATCCTAGTGCTTATCTTCGTCCGCCACCGACTGGTGGTGAGCTGTCGAATCGGTGCGCCCGAGAGAGTCTGTGGGCGCTGCTGACCGGGGAAGTGCCACACCCCACAGCGTACCTCATCTAAGTTTCCTTCCGTTCTCCTGGCCTCGCTGGGCCGATCGCGTCAATATACCTGAAGTTTATTGCCGGGCCTGGTCTTGGACGTAGCCATGTCGAGTGGACCACGATAGTGGGATATCCCGTCTTCACCTACCTGCAGCTCTGTCGAGAATCCGGCCAATTAAACATGGACCGAGTGTCCGGCGTTCTCCTCATCCAGCTTGTTGCTTGTTCCCAACAACCTGCTGAGTATGATGGGCAACCCGGCGATCGGATATGGTCTGCAAGTCAAGCAGGATGTGGCCCTATCAGGAGCCCCCACCATCCGAACGACTTGGAATCTGATACAGAGAGCTGCATAGCTTAGGGAGGCCCTGGACCAGCCACAGCCTATCATTCGGAGGAGGAATGGGGCTGTTTCTGACGTGGCAGGCCTCCGGTGGCCTGGGCCTGCAGGCAGGGAAGGCAACCCTAATATGGAGTCTTCAAGCCGGTCGCTAGGAGGCTGCGGATTGGCGGGCGCCCACGCGCTCATTGGTATTCATTCAGCTGAGCCTGGCGCGACTCACATTGAAATCCGTCTTTTGCTCTTGCATTGCTTGCTGTTCGCTGTCAGATTCCTTACTTTTGGCAGGATGCCCGGCCACAATCGCGTTGAGCCCTCAATGGTTCGATCTTGGGACGCCACCGCTAGCTGGATAATTGTTACCCAACTGAGCACTTGAGACGCCACGCTGCGCTCAGGTAGATGCCGCCGCCCTTCCCCCATCATTTCCACCGCTGCTCGCGCAGTCCGGCACTGCGATCAGCAGCCGCCGACTTGGGTCTATTCTATATATGGGATGTTCAATAAGAATACCGACCGCTTCTTGTCAAGGTTTTGAATTCCGGTTTGGCGACGACCAGCGGCAGGGAGATCTAAAATTTACTGCTTGGTCACGGTGTATGAACGCTGTGTTTTTTATTTTGAATACGCAGGTGCTAGGATTGTGCTACAAAATGTCTTGAAGTCTATCATTTCTAGGTTCTATTGTCAATTATCTTGGTCTTGTTAAGTACCTCGTTCAAGCATCGCCATGTCCAACTCTGTACGCATACTTTATACACGTAACCGTGTATATCCAACCACTAGGTCGTGTTGGGCACGGGGGAAGAATGCACTGAAAATCAATGGGTTAAATTTCGTCTCAAGATTTGGTCCAACCTTTTTTACCATCGAGATTCAATTGCAGACATTTCAGCCATGGCATCGATGTATGTGCCTCTATCAATTGCTCATTCCTGCCTGATCCAACAGGCTCCCAAGACGGGATCTCTCACGTGACCCACCGCCTTCCGCTAAGATAATCCGGCCCGCTAAAATTTATCTACAGAAAAAAAAGAGACCGCGCAACGGCCAGACAGCTTCGACACCGCATTCATTCCAATCTTCAGGCTACAAGATGAGTGCATAAGGGCTTGCGTCGCAGCCCAAATTGGAGTTCATCTGAATTGATTTCCGGCGCCTCAATCCTCGCATTTTGCGTCCGAACATTCGAATCATACCGAGAGAGCGCATCCGCTTCAGAAAAAGCCCCATACCGCAGTCATGGATATTCACCGCTGTCGATTCGTGTCCTACAATCCTCAGGCTATCAACTCGCTTGCCTTCTCGCATCCCCCTTCCGCTGATCTCGCCGGGCGAGGTGTGCCCACTCTTCGACTCGCAATCGGCCGTGCGAACGGCGATATCGAAATATGGAACCCGATGCGCGGAGTGTGGTTCCAGGAGACTGTGCTACGTGGAGGGAAGGACCGAAGTATTGAAGGCCTAATTTGGACACAAGACCCCCATGAGGACGGACCTGCGGGTGCCAAGCTGCCGGGCAAGCTGCGCCTGTTCAGCATCGGCTACTCCACAGCGGTCACAGAGTGGGATCTCGAACAGGGACGTCCACTGCGCCACTCCAGTGGAAACTACGGTGAAATTTGGTGCCTTGCTGCCCAGCCGCAGTGGCAGCCTACCAAGAGAGGCGCAAATGGAAAATTCCTTCCACCGGCTGAGGGAGAGTATCTGGGCCAGCACCTGGCAGCCGGTTGTGCGGATGGATCAATTGTGATCCTGTCGACTGCCGATGGTGATCTCAGGTTCCTTCGTCTGATGCGTCCTTCCACGAAGCGAGCGCGGGTTCTGAGCGTTACCTTCCAGAACCGCAACACCATCGTCGCGGGCTACGCCGATAGCTCTATTCGTCTCTTCGATATCCGCAACGGACAACTACTGAGAACAATCTCACTTGGAAAAGGACCAACAGATGGCCCTAAGCAGCTGCTGGTTTGGTCCGTCAAGTGCCTGCCGGATGGCACGATTGTTTCTGGAGATTCCGCGGGCGAGATCCGCTTCTGGGATGCTAAGAACTACTCCCTCATCCAGCGGATACAGGGCCATCTTGCAGATGTGCTTGATGTGGCTGTGAGCGCGAATGGTGATACTGTCATCAGTGGTGGCGCAGATCAGAGAACAGTGGTTTACCGCAAGAAGGATGTCGAGAAGGGTGATAAGAAGAGCCGCTGGGCAGAGGTCATGCATCGCCGATACCATTCCCACGACGTTAAAACATTTGCTGTTTACGAGACGAAAGAGATCAGTATCGCTGTATCTGGAGGTATGTGACAGAAGTGTCTATGTTGTTGCCGAGTGCTAATTAATGTCTTGCAGGTCCTGATGCGACACCCGTTGTCCTGCCGCTCCGGGAATTTGGGAAAGAACACCACCGCAAGCTTTCCAGCCTTCCTCAGATTCCACAACTTACTTCCGCGCCTTCCTCTCGTTTGGTGATGAGCTTCTGGGACCGAGAGGTGAGTCTCTGGCGAGTCTCTCGAGGCCCAGCTTCTCTGAATGAGAATATCGATGGCCAGAGGCATAGACTCGTCGCAAAGGTTATGATTCAGGTATGAACACTGTCACACGAATTCTGTTTCCGTGAGACCATTTCTGACACGTTCCTTTCTATATAGGGTGAAGAAAACATCACTTCTGCTATGCTGTCCCCAGATGGAAAGACCCTTGCTGTCGCCACAGTATCCGACGTCAAGCTGTTCACTGTTCGCCGGCGCAAGGGCGATGAGAAGGGCGCTCTCCGAATCCAGAAGATCGATGTCCCCAAATCTCTTTCTAGCGAAGGCGCACGTCTCGTGACGATCTCACCGGATAGCCAATGGCTCTGCATCATTCGCCCCAACAGCGGCGTTTATGTGGCTCGAATTCAGTTGGTCTCTTCAGGCACCGATAAACCAGAAATATTAGCGCAGCTTGCACTTCTCAAGCGTGTCAAGCGGCATACACGACACGAAAAGGCCTCTCACGGTACACTGGGTGAGTATGAGCGGGCAATCCGGTCCGCTGTGTTCTCTGACGATAGCAAGACCCTCGCTGTCGCTGATCTGTCTGGGTGTGTTGATACCTGGGTTCTGAGTCCCACGGCGAACTCTGGCGCCACCGTCAATGCCAAGACAAACGGCGTATCCAAATTGAATGACGACTCATCTGACGAGGAGGACGAGGACGAGGACGTTGTGTTCGAGGGCCAGCAGTGGCAGACAGCAGCTTCAGAGTCTCCAATTCCTCGAATGAAGGCCGGCATCACCTTGTTGTCCTTCCGTCCTCAGAGCTCTCCGCCGAAGGCCCTGACCAATGGCAACAGCCACACTGGCCCCTCGGCCGGAGAGGACCGATTGATGGTTGTCACAAGCGAGCACCAGCTCATTGAATTTGAGGCTCGCAGCGGCAAGCTATCAGATTGGTCTCGACGAAATCCCAAAGCTTACCTCCCTGTCGAATTCCGGGGCGTGAAGGACCGCGCCATGGGCTGCATGTGGGATCTTTTCGAGGGCCGCGAGCGCGTCTGGCTGTATGGATCCTCATGGCTGTGGATGTTCGACACGTTGCAAGATTTCCCTTCTCCCGAAGAATTCAAGGCCGCGGAGAACGAAGCCTCTGAACAGCTCGTCAAGGCTTCGAAGCGCAAGCGCGATCCCTTCGAGGACGACGAGAAGGACCGCAAGAAGCCCAACAGCGGTGCTGGTGACAAGGTTCCCCGTTCACAGATGGACATCCACCTTGGATCCAAGGTTCGCAAGATCGTGGGCTGTGACGAGTCGCAGGGCGAGTGGATATCCCTCGATCAAGAACGCTCGCGCAACTACGAGGACGATGAGGCTTACGAGTATGACGAGGCCTTTGCTGCAACCAACGAATCAGCTCTGGCCCGTCTCCGACGCGAGGACGGAGCCGCCATCGAAAACGGGACTCCTCGGAAGAGCTCTCAGGGTAAATCGACGCCCGGCGCCAACGGGCTTGCAGATTCTCAGAAAAAGCAGCTTGTGGTGGCCAATGGCACCGCGCCCCAACCGCCACGCCGCTGGTGGCACACGTACAAGTACCGTGATATTCTCGGGATCGTCCCCCTCAGCAGTTTGTCAGGCGACGACCTGGAGGAGGACGGGAACCCGTCCGGGAACCTGGAAGTGGCCGTGGTGGAGCGGCCGATGTGGGATGTCGAGCTGCCTGGTCGGTACTTGAGGGACTATGAGTAAGTCACTGGCCTTGACAGTTGGTTCTTCTGAACCCGAGCCAGTGCCGTTGTGTCTAGATCGTGTACTATGGGCATCGAGCATGCAGGAGCACATTTTACTGGCGCTTTGTATAGGGAAATATTGAATTTACACAAAATACACACATCCTCTGATATTCATTATGCCCAGCATTGTATATTCCCTGTCTCCCGTCAACTTACTGACTCAATATCAAGGGTAGGCGGCCATCCAGGCTAGCTGGAAAGGATTCGTGCCGCAAAGATGTCGTAAACAGGCAGCAGCTGATCCAGCCCGATCCGGTGCGGGGCGCCGCGCCTGAGGCAGCTGCGCGCCCGACTGGATTCAAGTCTCCGAGACCTCCCTCAACAACGCACCTCTCATCCTCAGTTGCTCGCTCGATATTGCTGGACCTGTGGCACAGATATATACCCAGACGTGACAAGGGGACTGCTGGCTCCTCCGTGCCCCTTCCCTGTGATCCGTCAGCCCCGACCGTTCCTCCAACGCCTTATCGTGCGGCAGGAGGCCTTATCGTCAGCGACTCGTCAGTCGTCAAGCTTCCGCCAGCTCGACCTAACACCCCGGTCGGAGTGAGGCGAGGGATTTCCAGAAGGAGCCGGGCTGCTTCTCAAGAGGCAGGTCCAGAGCGGGGCTCTCCTTATTGAGGCCAAACGCCGATCGAGACGCAGACACCTGCCTCAGGGAGGAGTCAGAGAGGTTCGCCTTCAAGAACTATTAAGGCGCTGGACTCGCCTACTCAACATCATTTCCTGCCTCTTCTTCTGCCCCTTCTCTTTTTCTCCCTTATAGACCTCAAACCTTGTCCCTATCCCCACACCTGAAGCCCACTCACCCCAATCACCACCAACAACACCCCAATCAGCCACCATGGGTCTCTCGTACAACGTCTATCTTACCTCCAACAAGATTTTCGGCTGCAAGCAGTGCAAGACGCACCTTGCTGACTATAATGATATCATCAGTCGGGTGAGTCTTCTTTAATCTGTCATCTCCATGTCTCTGTCGACCTTGTTCTCCTCGCAGTTACTGACGCAACACCCACTCTTACTAGAACTTCCGCGGCCAGCACGGCAAAGCGTACCTCTTCAATACCGTCGTGAATATCACCCAATCAGAAGCCGTCGAGCGCAGCATGACAACCGGCCGCCATATTGTCCGTGACATTACCTGCCGACAGTGCAAGGAAACCGTGGGCTGGAAGTACGACAAGGCGTATGAGAGCAGCGAAAAATACAAGGAGGGGAAGTTCATCCTGGAGGAGGAACTACTCTGCATCGTGTGCTAAGGGGATCTAGAGCTCCCACACGCCTAATCTAGACGTTTGACTGCTCATACGATCATACCATCCTACAGCGATGCTTTCTTTCTCAAGCATTTTCTTGCCGCCAGACTGATTACCGCAGACTGTTTTACCTTTAGTTCTTACCAGCCCCGGTGTTTCTGACAGGCGTTAGGCAGAGCCCATGGAATTTCTTTCGAATCTTTTGAGTGATGATCTTTTCGTTAAACCGAGAAAGAGCTATTTGCAGGGCAGGGCTCTGGGCGCTATGGTTGGTGTTAATAGGAGGGGGGGGGAGGTCGTGCTCCGATTTAAGCATTGACCAGGCTATTATTTCCTTTGACTTTGAGTTTATAGGATGCATAATTGATCATTTGATTCCTTCAAATCGCCCAAGTAAAAAAATTAAGCCATTGTGATAGTGTATGAGCTGTTGCCTGCCCCTTCTAATTGTCTGCCACCACTCGATGGGCTCATACCTTTTTGGATATTCTCCACATTTCTTTCAAACCATCTCTCTAAGACCCGAGTCTCCAAGGTCTTCCAACTCACTGTTTGAGACCTTTCGTCACGACTCGCAGACTAACCACAGCTACTTTCCAGTTACCTCATTTATACTGCTCCGGCCAAACCGGCACTTCTTGTCGTGTGGAGAACCCCATTTGAGCGAGCGCGTACTTTACCAGCCCCACAAGCCACACAAACTGCAATCGCCGGGACCCACGAATTCCTTGACTGTATTCTTTTCCACGGCCACTCAGAATCGACTAGGCTCCGGTCGTTTAATACCTCGAACATTCTACAAAGTTTGACTTTTCGTTAGCCTCGGTTGGGTTCCGGCTATACCCCTCCAGTCCGCTCCAGTTCCGCATTCCGCAAGTGGCCCACGCCTCGATTCAGTTTTGAGATATCCCCCAAGGGACCGAACAAAACAAAATGTCAGCTACTGGTACAATGCAGGCTGTGGTCTTTAAGGAGCCGTTCAAGGTGGCGGTTGAGCAGCGGCCTATTCCCACTGTGCAGGCCCCCGAAGATATTGTCGTGAAGGTGAGATACACGGCACTCTGTGGGAGGTAAGTATTCCGGAACTATAGATTCAATGGCAAGGGTAGATGATGACATTAACACGCGACTGAAGTGACTTGCATGTGTACCGTGGTATTGAGCCGAGTCCTCCGGGACCTATCATGGGTCATGAGTTCATGGGTGAAATTGTTGAGGTTGGCACAGCCGTGACGACATTGCAGAAAGGTGACCGTGTTGTCAGCGCCTTCACTACCTCCTGGTGCGTATTTTGACATTGGGTTTCACCCTTATTTAGTCACCGGTGGCGTACTAAGCCTTTGGTAGTGGCAAGTGCTTCTACTGCAAGCAAGGGTTCTCCTCGCGCTGCGAGAAGAACACCCTCTTCGGCTGTGAGCGCCTAGACGGTGGCCAGGCCCAATTTGTGCGTCAATTCAAATCTCAACCATCTATGAAGACACGGGAAACAGACATTAATGGACGTCTAGGTCCGTGTTCCCAATGCCGAGGGCACGGTGATGAAGGCTCCTGAGGGCGTCGAGGACAAGTACCTCGTGCTGATGGGTGATATCTTCCCTACGGGGTATTTTGCTGCCCACAATGCCTTTAAGAACTCCACCCCGGAGCAGATTGCCGAGCAGACCGTTGTCCTGATCGGCTGCGGACCTGTCGGTCTCTGTGCGCTCATCAATGCGCTGGAGTTCAAGCCCAAGCATCTTCTGGCCGTTGACTCCGTTCCCTCGAGACTGGAGCTCGCTAAGTCTCTCGGAGCCGAACCATGGAACTTCATGACCGACCGCGAGGGCCTGGATAAGCGCGTAAAGGAGCTGACAGAGGGTCGGGGTGCGGATGCCGTTATTGAGGTTGTGGGATTGAGTCCCGCGCTACGCACTGCCTATGAGTTGCTGCGGCCGTGGGGAACTATCAGCAGTGTTGGAGTTCACAATGCTGAGGTGAGTCTCACTTCCAGTAATCATTTTGGTGTAATATGTGAGAACAGGGTACTGATCATAGGGAAATATTTATCAGATTCCTTGGGATGGGAGTGATGCCTACAACAAAAATCTGACTGTTCAGATGGGCCGTTGTCCCGTCCGCTCGGTCTCTGACAAGGCCCTGGAGGTCTTGAAGAAGAACCAGCACAAACTTGGGTGAGTGATTCATTGTTTCCCCTGTAAAAAGAGGTGAAAGGAGCCTTTGCTAATCAAGACTTGCTACATCTTACCAGATTCATGACTGAGAAGATTATGCCTCTTTCCCAAGCGGTGGAGGCCTATGAGTTGTTTAACGCGATGAAAGTGCAGAAGGTAGTGTTCGTGGCAGACCAATAGATCTATCGGTCTATTTCTCAATAGCTAGCTGCGAGCTAGCAGGGTTGAAATCCCCGAGGCTCACGCCACAGCGTATCGTGGACGGCGGGATGCTTGGCAGAATGACTAAGAACTAAGAACTCTTCACTCCCGCTGGAGCCGCAGAGGATTCTTCATTTTATCGTATGGAAAAAGCTGAGAGTAAATCCATGAGGCCGGGGACATGTAGTATCAATAAACAAGTAAATGATAGTAGCTCATCGTCCGCTGGGTAGAGACCTCGTATTGAACGTAGACATTAAGCTCGCAGTTCGCCGTGCATGGCGGGCGGGTCAACTGGCGTCTCCGCTTAACTCACAACATTCCCTCTTCCAACTCTTTCACGACGTCCCTCCCATCGTTTTCGCCATTCCACTTCCTCATCCTCCTCATTTCCTCGTCTCTCCCCTTCACCCCCTTCTCCTCCTTCTTCCTCCTTCTCTCCTCCCGCTCTTCTCCGATCTCACCCTCTCTGCATACCCCGTCACCTTCCCCTCTCGCCCACGTTGATTTCTCCACTTCTGTCGGACCCTCTTCGGTAGGTCAACCCCCATCCATGTCGAGTTCCCAGGGCTTCTTCTAGAGTTGATTGAGTGTATCCCTTGCGATCGCACAAGCTACCTCGACTTGGCTCCCTCTTACCTTGGATCGCAGAGACTGATCACGATTTGCTCCAGTGAATATCCCCGCTATCCACTCCGCCGCGACCGTGTGACTTCCGACGAACGCCCCTCCCAAAAATTATTCTACAACCCCGAACCCTTTACTTTCGTATTATCAACCAACCAACAAAATGGATGCCACTGAAGTCCACCAAACCACCGTTGCTGCTGATGAGCCCATGAACGATGCCTACGTCGACACCATCGGCGAGCAGGAGCCCATGGACGCCACTCCGAAGACTGAGGAAGAGTATGCGCAGTCCATGCTGACTCTGCGTGCGATAGTCTCGTCTAAGGAGGCCGGCGTCATTATCGGCAAGGCTGGCAAAAACGTTGCAGACCTGCGCGATGAAACTGGCGTGAAGGCTGGCGTGAGCAAGGTCGTTCCCGGTGTCCATGACCGAGTTCTGACCGTCACTGGTCCTCTCCAAGGCACCGCCCAAGCCTACGCGATCGTTGCGAAGGGTCTCCTGGAGGGTGCTCCGCAGATGGGTATGGGCGGCGTTGTCTCTAACAATGGGACCCACCGTAAGTCATCCGATTCTCTCTCTATCTCTCCGCGGGGTGCATCCACCTCACTCCCGCACAAGGTTCCGTCCGGCCTGTGTGAACAAGCCTTCGTGTCCAACATATCCCGATCACCGCCCGCCGCAATTCAGATTGTATGCTAACTCTTTCCCAGCTGTCCGGCTCCTCATTTCCCACAACCAGATGGGCACCATCATCGGCCGACAGGGTCTGAAGATCAAGCACATTCAGGATGCGTCCGGTGTTCGCATGGTAGCTCAGAAGGAGATGCTTCCTCAGTCTACGGAGCGGATCGTTGAGGTGCAGGGCACCCCCGACGGCATCGAGAAGGCTGTTTGGGAGATCGGCAAGTGCCTGATCGATGACTGGCAGCGTGGTACGGGCACTGTGCTCTACAACCCTGCTGTTCGCGCGTCTCTGGGTTCCCAGCCCGCTCAGCAGAACAACAACTCGGTTGGTGGCAATGGTTACACCAACCGCCAGTACAACCGCACCGGAAACGGGGCAGACTTCAGTGACAACAGTGGCTACAGCCGCCGCTCCAACTCTGATGCTGGCGCTCGTGGCTTCCCCCTAGTGACGGAGGATGGCGAGGAAATCCAGACCCAGAACATCAGTATTCCTGCCGACATGGTTGGCTGTATTATCGGTCGCGCTGGTAGCAAGATCACCGAGATCCGCCGGAGCTCTGGAGCCCGTATCTCTATCGCCAAGGCCCCCCACGACGAGACTGGTGAGCGCATGTTCACGATCATGGGCAGTGCTCAGGCCAACGAGAAGGCCCTGTATCTTCTCTATGAGAACCTCGAAGCCGAGAAGACTCGCCGCAGCCAGTTGCCCCAGGAGTAAAAGTGTTCGCTTTCTTAGGATGTTGGCAGGGAGTCTGAACAGGACCGCTTGCACTGTTTCTTGTGTTTTTCTTGAACCTTACGACTTCAGACTGTCGGTCATGATCAGCGGCGGTCGTGTGCAAGCGGGTTTCTTTTTTATCCCATTCTATGTTTCCACCCCACCTTCCTCTTTTATCTTTTTATCTCCGCGTCCTTTCCCTTCTCCGATGTACTTCTTCCCCCTGGTGCGTTGCCTCGATTATCCCAGAGGCAAAAAGTTTGCTGCGATGGACAGGTCCATGCTTGTTAGATACCAAGTTCGGCGTCTTTCAATCGACCTATTCTGCGTTGAGCTGAACTGCAACCTGCAAGAATGACATTGTGCCTCGACTTCTTTGATTTTGGGACCACTGTCTACTCTCGCAACTTCTTGTGTCCCAGAACTCAGCTCGTCTTTCGTCCGAACCTTGCTCTGCCACCATCCGATCTTCAGCTACCGCTGCATACCCTTTCTCCTACGAGTCGTCACCCTCCCCTGTCTCTACCTCTTCCTTCACATTCTCCTTCCAATTCCTTCGGACCCCCCTTCGCCAACAATTCGCCAACAATTCGCCAACAATTCGCCAACAATTCGCCAACAATTCGCCAACAAGAACAGTGGAAATCTGCCCTTGATACTCGCTCTCCAGCTCCATCTTTTCCTTCGCCATGCTGTAATTGCGATGCTCTCTACCTTTACCTCTTTCCCCTGCGTCTCCCTTGATATTTTAACTACCGAAAGTACCCTTGAAACCTCAAAAAAATTTCCATCTTCTATCTTCTCTGCTCTCCTAATTCTCGTCTTCGACCCTTCCATGTCTCTCTCCGCGTGCTATCCCTTTCTTCCCCGATGGATATTTTATCTGAATCCCCTGACATGCCACGGCATTTCCTGAGTACACCAAATCCCAAAACGATGATTCCTATCTGCCGCGGATAAGCAATGGTATGAATTGACGATCATCTGGTATTCCACCGTAGCTACTCTTGATTTGTAGGGGTAGTAAAGGATTAGCCCACTTGAGAAAGGATAGCATTGCAAAAGGATAGATGGTCCTAAGATTTTAAGTATAGCCTGGTACAAATTACATTGACCCGCCCGCTTCAATTACAGATAATCATTAGCAAGAACACAGAGTGTTTGCAAGGTTAGTTCCTCAGGTAACAGCGAGCCCGCAATCTCCGGCGCAAAGAAGTCCATTAGAGCGGCTGGAAAGTCTCCAACCATGTCCATCATCGCACAGTCAAAGGCTGACTCGGACGGTTCAAACTCAACATTCACTTGAAGCTGCTCTAGAATGCCCATGTTGATGCTGCTAAAGTAGTCCAGCTCCACTTCCGCGGGACCGATGTGCTGTACGAGCGGCTCTTCTCCTGAAAGCCAGGGCCGCGGCCGGCCACGATCAAATAGTCAGATGTAAAGGTATTTTGGGCTTGCATAGCGCTGCCGGCCAGCGCGAACGATATCAAGTTGATCCACTTGTCCAGATTGTCCAGACTGACATGCGACAGCAGCACCGAGACTTTGAGCTCTGCGGCTGCGAAGTCATCCTCCCCATCGACGTAGTGAACTTTCTCAGCCGTGACGGCCATGGCGACACAAGCGTACATGGTCGTCGGAGTTGTCACAGTAGAGATTATGGCCTTTTCCACATCTGTACCTGTTCCCGTGACAGTGTAGATAGTTGCCGTGGAGGAGTCAAGGCAAAGTGATGAAAGAGCTGTGGAGAATGCAGTGTACAGCTCACTGGTGCGCTGTGCGTCGTTTTCCTGGTCCCAGTATGGGTCTCCGAGAAAGTTGGTCCAGTTTCCGTAGTTCACAACATTGTTGGGGCTGACGTTGATAGTAGTTGCGTAAGTAATGGCAGAGTGCGGCAGCGAGGTGCTTCCAGCACACTCGGTGACGGGGTAGCCAGCGTAATACGTGGTAGTTGAGGTCTCACAGAGCGTCACGGCACCATCGGCACCATAGGCAGTATAAGGCCAAGCGTCGACGGTGACCACGACAGGGCTAGCGGTAGTAGCTGGAGAAGCCGTGAGGGAGCTCAGAACACTCGCAGAAATGCTCTGAGGGCAGGTCTGGCTCTTGGCAGGAGTGAAGAAAATGTATTCCGAAGTGTAGCTGCGGACACAGTAGTGGACACTCGAGCCGTCCAACCGGTTACTCGCATAGGTAGTTATAGCACTATGGAGGAGTAGGTAGAGGAGAAGGTGGAGCTTGGGGGAGCCGTTGTCGTCTTGGGCTGACTAGTAAATGAGCGGGCCTTGCAAGATCCTGAGATAGGTGAGCCACGGTGTCAGCATATATATAGATTGGCTTCCTTACGGTTTTTCATACCTTTGATAGTTTTAGCTGCCCAAGTTGTTGTTTCTCCCGGAGCAGTGGTAGGCTGTGCAGAGGAGAATGCCGGTCCTCGAACAATTTTTCGACGGGGGATTGGTCGGGGGTCAAATCCACGAGGAACCATGGCATTGGTGACTTCCACCGATAGCCATAGGGGCAAGAGAAGGTTGGATTTGAACAGCATGATGAAAGATGCTCCTAAAGTGAGGGGTAAGACACAATTGAACTAGATAAATGTGAGTAGTATAGATGACTGAGGAGAATTCGAATGCTCTATATACCGCTCTATGGGTTATAGATAGGCCTTTCGAGGTTTAGGAAGTCAGGAAACAAGCCGCCCCCATGATTAAGTCCTTACTGAGAAATGTACTATCCCCATCAAGAAGGATGATAAGGACATCATGCTATCCACCCTACAAGGTGTGGATCATCAGTCTCATCATCGTCTCCTGACAGTCTAGCAAGGGTGATAAGAAGCCAGAAGAATTTGGGAGCACCTGGGTAATGATTCCCTAGGACAAGTGGATCCAGCTAATCAATGCATTGGTTATTGTTTCTACATAGTCTTGGATCGAGCAATAAAAAGCCAATTGAAGATTGATCATCTGGTTATCAATATGTTACGCTAACTATGTGGGCTGTTTTGAGCGCTTACTTTTATAGGTGGGATTTGGGGGAAATACATGGATAAAGCAGATTACTCAGGGCCCATCTCAAGAGAAGACCACGCAAGAAGTCTTGAGAATAAGATCATGTCCATTTCTTCAATGCACATTCGTCCATCTGAATCAAGTTTTTGCCCAGTGAAAGACACCTATTTTCTGACAAGTCACTCTAGAATACCCTAGTTTTGGTGTTTGTAGATTGTCATCGGGCCTTATACTCTTATCCCGATAGAAATCAGCAAGGTCATACCGGCTTCGAGAATTAACAAATAGATAATTCTTATCATGTACCCACCCCGTGTTGTATGTACCTATATACACAGGATTTTGTCCGCCGGGTGGGGCTTTCCTGGCCTTCACTAGCCGATCCTTATTTGTAAGACACAACAATTATGACCAAGCTGAATGCGCTTCGATACGTCATAAACCGTTTCTAGGTCGAGCGCTTCGCTTCGCTCGAGCGAGGCAATAGAAAACCATAATTTTCCCTGACAAATACAGCTATAAATAACATTAATTTCAAGGGATGACCCATGATTTTTATCCATCTAAATGAGGAAAGGTCGGACAGAATTATGCAGAAATGATAGGCACCCGCTGTGGGTTGGCTTGGGTCCTGACCTAGGTCCCAAGTGCAGGTAATGTCGTGGTCTAGACTCATGCACAAGGCCACATGCCTCACGCGATCGATAGGCGCTGTGGCTATTGCAAGAGAGATAAGTGGGTGGAGTGCATCGCTAGTGAGAAATCTAAGGGAACATCAGAATGCTCATCTCGATAGTAGATGACATTCCATCTAGGCCACAACAAGTCGGAGATGTGTGACAGAACACGCGACACATATATAGTGATAGTAGGTCTACCCGATAACCGGCTAATCAGGATAGAGAACTCGGGAAGTGTGACAGGAAAAAGTCGCGAAAAGCAAAGCGCAAGTGAAGTTATGATAGAACGCGCGACATGTACTACCACGTAGGAGATCAGTCAATGCTGCACAGAAATTTCGAAGAAATGCACTTCTGACGGAGTATCTCCCTGGTTATAGTTTCCGGCCTTAAAATAACTCGAGGGTGGGTTTAAATTGCCCAAACTCACTTCCTTCAAAGCACCACCATTGATACCGAGGGATAGGGTACTATTTTCATATCGAATTTCGTAGCTGAACGTCTTGCCCACAGGAATATTTCCAATTGAGGTGTAGTATTCAGTGCCGCCTGAACGCGATTTATGCACCCCGATTGAGATGTCACCGTTGGATTTATAGTACAGTTTTGCCACTGGGAAGCTTGATACGCTTGCATCCATGTGGATCTGGCCAACGACTGTGCCGTGCTTGCTATTATCAGGCTTGGGCACAGAGACCGTAGCACTCAGTCGGTTTTTTGCGGCTCTTGGGTCCCAGCTGGACGGATTCTGCTCTCGAAGCTCTGTCCGACAGAATTTGGTGTTTGGGGTTGTTACGCATCCAGAGGAAGAGGGTGAACCAGGGACCTTCAAGACCAAAGCACCATCTCCACTCTCCGTGAAGAAGTAATCATGTCCGGGATCTTGGTATCCAGAGCAGCCTTCGAGGCCTGAGCTGGAAATCGTTGTTGGGCTGCCCGGATTCCCAATAGGGAGCTGGAGTTCCCAGGTGGAAAAGTCGAAATTTCCACCAGGAGCGCATTGAGGGTTGAGAGCCCGAGCCTCCAGAGTACTGACTGTGTAGCCTGGAACAGGAGAAGCCAGTGAGAACATAAGAGCGAAAGGTATAAGAAGCATTGTGCTGTAATTCTTTTGTGGATGCAATGAAGAGGCAGTCAACAGAATTAGAAAAGATTTATAGCAGTGAGGATGATGTTGATGCTACTTATAAATCTCCTGCTTCTATCTACAGATGTTGGAATAACGATGTAACTGCTATAACTATAACAAGAAAACTGAGTGGGATTCGCGGGATAAAAATTCCCGTTGGCCAATGTAACGCTCAGTTTGAATGGCAATTTTTCCTTGAATCTTGACCGACCACTTGCCTCACAGGTTAATTCAGTCGCGGGGGGGCCCTGGCGGAGCGATTACCAATACGTGCTAGAGGGGTAGAGGTTCAGAAAAAGGGGGTTTGGGGTAATTATTAATAGAGGGCGAAATAAGCTTTATTGGGGCTGACCTACCCCAGTTTCTCGTCTTCTTCTAATCTGCGTGATTGGTGGATTATTCCAGTTACACGAATGACATTCTCCATCCGGGGTAGGCTGCATCATGGCCGGCACCTACCCATAACCCGCCCCGCCCCATATCTACAGTGAGTATACGGTGGCGCTTTTCCAAGTTAAGTAGTTGCTCAAATGGGATTAGTACATGGCTAACTAGTTAGTTGCTCCCCAACTAACCGTCCTAATACAGCAGCGGAGTCGACCCTGAGACTGTGCAACCCTCGCTTCATTTGGTGCTTGATTGGTGGAACATTTCCCTGCTGACAAAACAACTGTTCCGTAATTGGGACTGGGTAAAATCCGGGGAAGTGGCTTGAGCTCGATCTATAAAGTGGGCATAGTATACTGGTGACATCCGTTATAACTAGAGAAAATTAGACACGGTTCCTAATCTCATTTAACGTGTCCTACATGACCTAATTTTTTTTTCGCTATGCGTGTCCTATACATATCTTTTCTAGTCTTGACGGCCAACATTGTGGCCGCCTTGCCTGATCCTGGACACTCCAATTCCCGGAAGGCTCCGGGCACTGTTGTCATTGACGGCTATCGCCTCGTGGATGCAAAGGCGCGTCTCAATAGAGGCGATCATAGTCTTGAATCTTCCTTGGATCGTCTCGTTGCCCAGGCCGATAGTTGGCTTAATCAAGGCCCCTGGACGGTTACTTCAAAGACCAAGGCACCTCCCAATGGCACGATCCACGACTATGCCTCCCAAGCGCCATACTGGTGGCCTAATCCCAACACTCCAGATGGTTGCCCCTACATTCAAAAGGACGGTGTGCGCAACCCGGAAGTTGACAACTACCCAGACAAGATCAATTCTATTAAATTGTTCAATTCAACATACAGCCTCTCCCTGGCGTGGTACTACACCGGCAACCCCAAATATTCCTATCATGCAGCAGAAATCATCCGTACTTGGTTCCTCGACCCGAAGACGGCCATGAACCCCAACCTCGACCATGCGCAGATAATTCCCTGCGCGAACACTGGCCGATCGATTGGCATCATCGACTTCTCCCAGGACTATACTGAGATCATCGACGCTGTCGCTATCCTAAACACCGGTGCCCCCGGATGGACTAAGACAGACGCAGCAGCATTCCAAGAATGGAACAAACAATTCCTTCTATGGCTTACCTATTCGCCATTCGGAGTCGAAGAATCGAGTGCAACGAACAATCATGGTACTTTTGCAAACATGCAAATTACCGCCCTTGCCCTCTTCACCGGCAACCATTCTCTTGCACTCAGTAAGGCGAAACTCGCGAAGGACTTTATCAACAACCAAGTGACATCCAATGGCTCCCAACCCCAAGAACTTGCTCGTACGCGGAGTTTCCACTACTCCAACTTCGACCTCACCGCACACCTGCGCTGGGCATTAATCGCACGGAAACTAGGAGTAGACTTGTTCAAATACAAAGGCCCACAGGATCAGACGCTGTTCAAAGCGGTGAACTTCCTGGTGCCGGCGGCGACCCGGGGGCGCGGGGGATTGGAAGTACCCGGAGCTGCAGTTTACTCAGTATGCAGCAACAGATAATATCCATGCAGCAGCGCAGGAGGGCGACCTTACGGCAGAGGCGGCGGTCAAGAAGTTGCTGCCCCCTCCTGGCGGTGATATCTTTGTGTTGAGGCCGGCCCCGCAGCAGTTGGACAATATTAATACCACTTGAAGGGAGGGGAGCTATGGGCAGACCTCGGAAAGACTCTGGACCCATGAGGCTATTGAATATTGAAGGATATTGGCATGGTCCACGTCAAACATAGTAAATTTAACTGACGCCACAATCCTACATCTCTCCATAGCTCGTGGCAAGAAAACTTTGAAATCGTATGAAATAGGTGAAACAGCTCATGTGAGCGTCAACAACCAGGTCGGATTCACCACAGATCCAGGCTCTGCGTGAACATTTCCCTATGCCTCAGATATTGCAAAGAGATGACGTTGAAGCAGTGGTGTTTCCCAGCAAGCATACTGCTGATTATCGTGCTAGACTTGGCAAGGATTGCTGGGGGGACATGGTCTGCCCCCAAAAGCATGGCCATAACGAGATGGACCCAGCCATTCTTCACCCTGCCAATGGATGTACGAACAGATTGGCTAGATGCTAGGCCTTCTTCGGTATTCCAGCAAATATAACCAGCACAAAGCACACGGCGATAGAAAGTATGGAATTGAAACCCCCTGTTTGTGCGCCCCGACTATCCACCAAGATGGTCCTTTCGATCAAAAGCAAGACACTGCATGGTCCCGCATCGAAACAGATTCGAGTCCATCTCTCCAACACACAATTATGACGAGATCGGAATTGTCATCAAAGGCGAGATGACAGTCAGAGATGAAACCGGACAAACCGTGTCTGTGACGGCGGGATATCTCTTTTTATTTCCTCGAGGCAGGACAATTCCCGGCTCTGTGGTTAGCTAATGGGTTGCGTGGAAGTGTGTGGGCAGCTTCCCAAACAAACTATGAAACACTCTACGGAAATGAGCATCAGTGCTGAGTTAGGGGACAGAGTAGCAAGGAAAGATGTATGAGAGTCTCATTCCATTCGTAAGACAGATTCGTTGCATATAAGCGTGAAAAAACCTCGCCCGGCATCAAGATCAAGAACCACTAAAGATATGAGAAAAATGGTGTGGCCGGGCAACGCGTAAGCATAGAAAACAACGGTGCACAGCGAGATGTACAGAGAAGGAAAGCACAAGAAGGATCTTCGAACACCGACGCCGGTTGTGCTGGTTGATGGTGGTGTTTTTGTACATGGGAGGACCAAAATCCAAACTCAGACCCGGTCAAAAAATGCTCCCCGCTCGGAAGTCAATGACAGATGGAGAAAAATAGTGACAGTAATAAGAAAAAAGCGAAACAGGGCACCTTTCTGCCTAAAATATCCCATGATCGTCTGTTCATGGGTCTCGAAATAAACACGAGGAAATTCGTCACGATGCATCAACGTTGAAGGTGTGGGTCGAAGTGCAAAGTATTTCTTTGTAAGGGGGAAACCGGGTTGCACTGGACTTGACAATGAGACAGACAGATGAGGACTCCAGACCCAATCGGGATGCATACACCAGCGTCTAAAGGACACGAAAGAGGAACGCCGGGCAGAAGCCGAAATCTTCGTAAGCAAGATCAATGCGAGGTCGCTGCGTGAAAAACAAAGATATCACAAGGGAGGCGCAGCCAAATTTCCAGTCGGTAGGGGCTTGCATTATGCATCATGGCGTGTTCAGCAGGGTGCAGAGCAAATAAAATGGCGTGACGAGGTGTGACGAGAGACGCTCTGGAGAAACTTAGTCGATGCTATCGTCAAAGTTGACGGTGTCGTCGGGTGCCGCTGCGGAGCGGCGTCTCAGGCCGAATCTCCGCGCACCCAGGCTATTGGTGCGGAGGCGATTTTGCTGAATGGGGGTATAGCTGGTAGCTGATTTGCCTGAGGGGACGCTGATGCGTGTCTGAGGTGCATCTATTCGGGGGGAACGAGGGCTCTCGTCGGCCGTAGAGCCTGGTGTGGCGTTGGAGAAACTAGATGTGAGACCGTACCGGTGAGATCCAGCCTGGATGTTGGAACGGGATGTTGCAGGGGTGTACACAGCAGGAGTCATGAGGCTGCGGCGGAATGGAATCCCTGTGTGAGATAAGGTCGGAGTTCGAGGTTGAGCAGGTTGTGTTTGAGAGGGTGTAGATAACTGTGGATATTGCGAGGTACGAGGAGACATGCCTTGTCCCTGCTCTTGCTGCTGAGGAGCCCCCGAGAAAGAGCGAGATACTGAACGGCCATGAGAGAATCGCTGGCGGGGGGATACACTCTGCGCTGGGCTCGGTGTCCCAGCCTCCGTCATGGGCCTAGAAAGGGACCGATTGAGCGGGGTCGCTACCTCTGAGTTCTCATCGTCGGTGAGGAATCTACGATTGCGGAGAGAGGTCGATACGCGATGGAGACGGCTCGGTGGAGGAGCCACGCTGGAGGGTTGGGGTGATTTGGTGTCTGTCGTAGTTGCCGTGCTAGGATTGATCAAGGAGAGTCTGCGCGCGTCAAGGCGACTAGACATGCGACTGCTTGTGCTTGGGCGCCGCTCAAGACCCTCCGGTTCAAGGCTGGAAGCCCGCTGAAACGAGGATGGCCCCGGCTGCAAGGATTCAGTCTCGCCGCCGATCGCCCGCTGAGACTGCATGCCGGAAGCATGGCTCGGAGGCGATCGATTCCTTTTCAGGTGCGCGTCGGTCAAAGCCAGACAAAGCTCAGTTAGGCTACGACACACGCTGTCCGCTTTACGACGGGCCTGTCTTTCGGAGGAGCTGTATCCTCCATTCACGACCGAGACCGTGCCTGACGGAGCTGTATTGACGCCCAACATGGTGGACAGCGTCAATGCATCTTTGATCGTCGCCTCGAGTGTCGTGTACACGTCACTGCTCAAGACACTTTGTGCTTTTGCCAACGCCGACTGCAAAAGCGGGTGAACCGGGTTCTGCGTGGCATATTCTGCATCCGCCGAGGGCGTGCTGGCTTTGCGGTGGTGCCTCGGCGAAGTCGACAATGCAGTCACCGTGGTGGCTGCCGTCCGCGGCCTTTCTTGGGCTGCGCCGGATATCGCTTCTTGCGATGATGGCGGTAATTTGCCGGTGAGCTCCAGTTTGCGAATTCGTGATTTCAAGTCGTCCAGTTCGTCCCAAACCGTGGAGGGGGCGTTCGTCGACAGGGTGGATTCGGTCCCGTCGCGCCCCTTGTCCGTATCACCGCGCACGCGCTCTGTTGCTTCGGAGGCGGCTGATTGCCGGCTACTTCGAACTGTAGATAGGGTGGAATGCCGCTGTAGACGCGGATCGTGGATAGATGCTCGTCGCTCGCCGTTGACTGCAGGCGAACGTGGAGAGGTCTCTGGACTGGTCCGACCCAGTCTGCTTCGAGGGGGACCGAAAACTGATCGCGATCCAGTCGTCAAGCTGGAGTAGCGGAAGCGGGCTGGTTCATCAAGGGGATGGGCAGAGGCGGATGGTGAGTGGGAGACAGAGCTATAGGGGAGTGTAGGCGAGCCATTCTGCGAAAGCAAGGGGCTGTCGGCATTGCTGAAGCGTTGGTCGGGGGAAGGGGTTTGTTCTGGTTCGGCACGCGTGGTCGGCGACCGGAGACTTTGGCTGGCATATCCGAGTCGTGACTGTTTTACTCCTCTCCTCTGTCAGTCACCTTTGCCAGTCTCCTGAGAAGGGGTCGTGATGGTGCCATGTTCAACGGGCCACGATCCCCCAACGCGCCCCAGGGGGGAGGGAAGCACTCACCCGTCTAAAATCCGACCGTCCAAGGGAATCGCGGCGACCTGAGTCCGTCCTGGCGATGTTCAGGAATACATCTTCGTTCTTGGGGCGGCCCTGGTCCATCTCCGAGGCCTTGTTGTCGGACCCCAATCGATAAGCACCGCTCAGGGCGCGGCCTTGATCGCTCGCCAGGGTCCTGGTTTCGGAATATGCCACACTCGATGGCATGGTGCTCACATTAGGGCGAAGCACTGGGGGGAAGGGCTCTTGCTGAGGTCGCTCGGCATTGGGAGCTGAAGAGACGGGCGGCAGTGCGCCGGGTGTGGAATTGCGGTTCGAGGACGACTCCGAAGCTGCGAGATTCTGGAGGCTGGGGAGGTGAAAGCTTGGAACAGATCGTCGGGATCGGTGCAATAAGGAGCGTTCGGGGGTCAGAGTGTCAGGCGCAGGCGTGTCACGACTGGCTGCGGTGGGGCCTGCCCAACGCTCAAAGCTGGGTGTGTGAGGAAGCGACGCGTTTGGGCGGGCGAGAGTCGTGGGCGCCGCCATGTCCGGCCGCATCTGCTTTGGCGCAAACTGGAAAGAACCTGGTGAATCCTCGCCTGGTCACTGGCCGCAAGGCAGCGAAAGCGTCTTTGCGCCCGCTGGGGGCTGCGGGCTGCTTGGGATCGCGGGTCACCGCTGCGTTCACAAGATTTCCGGGGAAGCTACTGGGCGATATGCATCGTGGATCATCTGACACATTGCGCTGCAGCTGCAAACAAGAAGGCTCAAAGTTGACACTATTGATGTGTCGGGGTGTCAAGCGGCACGAGTGTGATAACGGGCTTGACCTGTCAGAAGGATTTTTTTCCAGTCCAATGTATGCAATATCCCAGGGGCTGGGAAATTAGGATGTGGGCGAGGCCCCGGCTCCATTGCGGCCCTCTTGGGCGGGAAGCTAAGGTCTGATACTATCACGAAAATGCTCTGCTTCTAACTCTAAGTGATCAAGCCTATCTTCCGTGCTCCATCGTGAGGAAGACTACACAGCACTATGATGAAGAACGTACCTGGTCCAATGGGATGCGACCCGCACGCCTGGCTGAAGCCCGGAGTACACGGCCGCTGTCACTTTTCGATCAGCCGCTGTCTTCTGCTGGACTCCACGGAGTTTCGGCCGTTAGAGATGGAAAAAATTTTCTGTGACATAAACCAATACCATTCAGCCTTCATCGTGTTGCCCACTTTTGCCGTTCTCGCAGCAACAAACAAAGCAGCGAACCATGGTACGCCCTCTTAGAGGAACCGGAGGTTCGGTGCCGAGCTCTCCCACTACAACACCAAGCCGAATGTCCCGGTCAGGAATATTAAACAATTCCGATATTTCTGTTTTACCTGGTGGGTGGATATGTCTTCCACGTGGCTCCGATCTGGGTGAGAGGAGGTCTGAAAGGTCTCATCACTAGAGGATAGAGTATAAAGTCCAGCGTGAAGTTCATCCCGCGGAACGTTCGAAGAGTCATTGCCGGGACAATTGGAAGACCACAACCTAACACCGGATGGCGGCATTATGTTACTGGTTTCTTTTTTTATATTATATCTGATAATCTAGAATATAACCAAGAGTAAAAGGTAAATATTGCCATTTGGGGCAGACGGTCCAAGAAGCGAAGACGTAGGTCCTCCGTCCTACGTCCTGTCCTATTGCTATAGTCGAATTCGGTTCAACAATATACTCCTGGCAGGGTTGGGTTACAGCCATCCTCACACACGACCCCTTCTCCTAGGTTATCAGCGGCTCTCTATGCACGGCACCGTAGCTGAAGCACTCGGCCATGACGCGAAGAGCAGCCCCTCGTCTCGTATTCAAGCATGGGAATCCAGTGGGCGCAGGATGCCATGGTGTGTGCGTTGAAGGCCACAAACGAGGGGCGCGGGCTAGATATTTTCTTGTAGTAGCTGAAAATATCTGTGACACACTCACGGTCCATTGGCTTAAACACTTTACAAAAGAGTATAGGTCCCTGTCACAGCGCTGGTTGGCCGGTAAACCACTGTCCAGAACCATATCTACTCCCTTGAGCAGGCATCAGGACGGCCGACTCGTTCCATCAACCCACCCATTCACCGACCGCCAGGCTGTTGTTGGCACTGGCACTAGCAATTTGATTTCAAACAGGCGCCCGCACCCCCGCGCTCGGCAGCTGTAACAGCAGGAGCGAGTGGCGAACGGGCCCGAAACACAGGCGAAACACGAACCACCGTCAGCCGGATCTCGCGCGGGCTCGCGCGGGCCGTTGGCTCAGGGGGAAATGGGGGGGTCTCATAGTATTAAACCTGGGTTCATCGTGAAACAGTTGCGCGTTCACGAGAGATCCGCGGGGAACTGTGCAATCTATTTGGGACACCCAAACCGGGCAGTATAGCAGGCGGCTCAGATTCTGGCAGGAAGGTAGCAGAGGCGTGGTTAGATGGCGAGGTATGTCGATCATGGGCTTCGAGAATGGCACTTGGTCCCAGCTACCCGTACACCCTCTAGGACGAGCACGGAGTATTGACAGAGGAGTCGCTAACTCGCCTTGCCAAGTCCGCCACTCCACGAGAGACGAAAAACGAAGTTTCATGTCTCCCACGTGGAAGGCCGATCATTCCCGTACACCGACCTCTTGGGGTTCCGCAGGGAATCTGCTCCGTACTCTTATGGACTAGAGGACGGAGTATAAAATTATTGTGTATCGGAGGAGGTGCGGAAATTAGGGAGATAGGCGGGCATGACCTCACCGGAGTATGCACAACACACCACAGCACCAGCATCATCCCGCGCCGGCCTCCTTCTCAGCGCAGACGATCCCCCAAACCAGTAGGTATCGACTGTCGGCGCACTGGTCAAGGCGAGAGTCCACTACGATAGGCTGCGCTTTGCCTCCGCCAAGAGCTACTAGTGTCGACTAGCGCCGGTCTGGCGTGTTTCAGAATCGCCTTCTCAGATCCATCGGCCTCCGGGGTTTCAGATGTTCGCCCTTGGGGCCCCCCCGACGATTCCTGCGGTGGTTCTGACCACAGGAAACCTCGTGTATGCCGGTTCGTCTACGATCGGTATTTACCAGAGGGACCACGGTCTTTTCTATCCGTCAATGCGCGTCTCGAAACGCTCCCATACGATTTCAGCGGTACGGCGGGCCTTCCCACGCCTTTTCCATGGATCAGCCCGCCCACCGTTCACCCGATGGGCCGTGTATCCCGTACAGTCAGTACAGCCAGTACAGTCAGTACGGAGTACATCATCCATACCAGAGGAGATTGAGAGCAGATGCAAAAAGGGCATAATGTGCCCTAAGCTTCCACCGCTCCCACCGCATAGCTACTATTGAATCATCCCTGCCGCGGGTTCACGGTGAACAGGGAACCGTGCACAGGGACGGGTCGGATAGAACCGAATTTGGAATGTTCCAGGATGCCTCGTTGATCGCGCATCGCCACTGCCGTCCCGGGCTTCCTCGGTATGCGGGCTGATCCTGGGGACCAGGACGGAATACACTGTCGCAGTCAGACGGTGGAATTTTCTCTGCGGTATTGCGATGGGTATGGTATACGAAGAAAGATAACAGACAGTGGGGACATACAACTACTGTAACTACTGTATGTCCGCAGCTGCATGGTGGACGTCGCACGAAGAGTGCCTCTGGAGGTGTGTACGGTATATAACTCTCCCCCCTCGGCCTCCTCCAGACTCCACTGGACCCGAAAGAGCCTGTCCCACAGCCTCACTGGCCTAGTTGAGTATGTTTATTGTTCTAGGGCTGAGCGGTTTCCTTGGGTATCCCGTAGCGAGGGATCATGGGCAAAGGCGAAGACCCAGAGTCTCCAGGATGGAATCCTCCTAAGGCGCAGCTGTCGGTGGGACCTCCAGGTGGATCCGGCCCATCTCGCACGCCATCAGCGATACTGTAGTAGGATCGCAGCATGTGCATAGGAGGGCATGGAGGAACCGGAGTGGTATAGAATGAGACGGGACGGCTACGGGGTACACTATACGGAGTAGACAGTTGGAATTAGGAACATAGCAACGTAGCAAATCCCCTCCAACGGATGGCCGTCAAGCGTGTGAACGGGAGGGTTCACCTAGCATTGGCCTCTCATTTGCGTGCGTTTGACGCCGACGCACCAACCCACGACGCCCCGGCGGCTAAAATTAGAGCTGCAGGGAAGAGAGAGCGTCGAGGGGACGACGGCCGCCTGGTGGTAGCAGTACGAGTTCCATAGCGAGCCACACAGCCTCGCCAGAGGTAGCGAGTACTTCGCAGCCGAAACACTCGCAGGCCCCCACCGGCGCACACCAAATTACAGTGGGCCTGAAATCGGAGATCTCTCAACATGTAACTGTGTATCAGACTCCGTACGGACCTGCGAGTGGGGAGGCTGGAACTAGACCTAGCCGGGAACTGGAACCAGAAGCCCGAACAGCAACATCGAATCTAAATAAAAACAGTAAGGGTCCATTTTGCTCCTGCTTTCACACTCCGCTTCGCCCTCATCCTTTATTCCCGTCCCCCTTCGCTTCTCCCCTTTCGCGACGCTGGTTACAATCCGGGGCCCTTCCACTGTCCCTCTTCCACATTCCCGTCATTCCCCGGAGGAACGACCGTCCCCCCCAACCATTCCAACTATTCCAACTATTCCTATTGTTGCTACTATTTCCACTCTTCGCAGGGCTCTCCCCCGCCCACCACCACCAACCGGCCCATTCTTCCCTTGGGGCATTCGACCACACCTTGGTTTCTTTATCTTACCGTTTAACTTTGTCGCTCCTTGACCCTTTCACCTTCAACCTCTTGATCAACTCCATTTACCCCGGCCGGTTTTCACTCTACGACCTCGCTAGTGGCTTGGTGATCTGGTATGTAAACCACCGGACCCCGATCCATCCTCGATCGCATTCACCCTCGACCCATCCTGCATCGTGTCACGTCCAGTCCTCCTGAAGTGACTCGTCTCGGATGTTTTTTGCTTCCCTCTGTTTTGCATGGTCGCCGATCATTAGATCCAGCCCTTGCAGCGTGCGCCCGCTTGCCCGCCCTCGATCCCCAAGTTATCCCCAAGCCTCAAAAGACTGACGTGACACCCTTTCGCAAAGAGCCAACTCTCCCTCCTATTTGCGCAGGTAGCAACCTCCTATCTTCGATCCGAATGCTCCTCTAGTCTAGTGGATACGGCCTTTCCCCTCGCCCTCCCTCGAGCACCGGTGGAAAGGAACGCCTGCCTTTCCCCACGCCTGACGCGACAAGTCCCAAATCATGCCGGTACAAACCAGTCCACCGTCCTTCCCGGACTCGTTCCCGTCATTTATGTCGGTCTATGGTGGACTCCCTTCGCGCTACAAAGAGCACGAGCACTCGATGCACCCGCTCCAAGTGCCGGCTCATATTCCGCTCCATACGACTTCATCCAGACGCCTCCTTCCTTCCCTGCACCGCGAAAGCGTGTCGTCGACGACCTCGGCCTCGACCGAATCCTCACCGACGACCACCATCTCGCCCTTCGATTCTCCCTCCACGGGCGACATTTCCCCCAGCTCTTCTCCCGAATCTCCTTCGGCAATGTCGCTGTCGTATCCTAAGTTTACACCGCCGATCCGCCCGCTGGAGGTAGCCCCGCTGTCCACCATGGCTCCCGACAGCGCTAGGCTCCTGCCAGCTCCAAGTACGGCGCGTCCGGAATCGCCCGGACGAGCACGCAACTTGAAGAACCTCTCATTACGCATGCCTCCGCCCTCACAGTCGCGACCACCAATTGCGACTGCATCGATATTAGAGACGACATCAAAACACCACCTCTCCGCCCCTCCATCCCCCATTCGGATTCCTCCCAAGAGCACCCGGCGGCGCCCTGCAAACCTCACCATTCGGACTCCCGGCTTGGACAAATCATTCACCCCCAATGTGCCCGACTTGGTTCCTCCGACGCCTATCGGACGGCAGTCCTTGCGGCATGCAGAATCATCACCCTCGCTCGCCTCGATCACTTCTCCCGTATTCGCTCCGCAGGGCGGTATGCACATTCCTCAGCCAGTGTCGCACCACAGCGCTCATCGTCTGTCAGGCACATCATCAGAGGATGCAGCCTCCCCGCTGGCATCCATGCCGGATGGTGCCTTCTCATTCTCACACCGAGTGATACCGGAGTTAGAGGAAGAGGACGGTCACCTCAATTCACGGGAGTCTACCCGTGGGACTGACCGCGGCTATCCCAACGGGCCTGTTCGGATATACGATTCTGGTGTGTTCCTATACTTGGAACCGACAGCAGAGGAGGCGGCGCAATTCGACGTGGTGATCAACGTCGCTAAAGAAGTCAAGAATCCATTTAGCACACCCAAGGAGGAGCGAAATGATACCGTCATGAGCACCTGGCGCAACGCTTCGATGGCTTCCAAGCGATTCTCTGGCGGTGATCCCCAAACGGCAATGTCCGAAATCTCCTTCAAGTCTGCCTTTGAATACCAGCTTTCCGAATCTGGAAATGCAACTCCGACTTCCCCCCGCCTAAATCTACTACCCCCGAGTACATCCACGTTGGTTGGGATCACAACTCCGAGATCCTCGACGATTTGCTACCGCTGTGCGAGCTTGTCGACGAACGGATATCTCAGGGCCAAAAGGTCCTCATTCACTGCCAGTTGGGTGCTAGCCGTTCGGCGTCTTTGGTGATTGCGTATGGTCTCTACAAGAATCGGAATTTGGACTTCAATGCGATGTATGAGATGGTCAAGGAACGCAGCCAATGGGTGGGCCCGAACATGAGCCTTATTTACCAGCTCACAGACTTCCGGTCTCGGCTGATGCGAGGATCTCCCTCCTCGCGACCGGCTCCACGGGAGTGGTTTGTTCAGACCGGCCGCCGGAACTCGGAGCCGCAGGTGACTCGAGCGGAGCGCGCCGAGGCCCAAGAGCGATCCCTTCTCCGCGGTCTATCGCAGGCACCACCCGTGAGCGGTCTCACAATTCCATCCTCGAACTCACTGCGCCCGCAGACGAGTGATAATGGGAACCGATCTCCCAAGCGCAGTCTGTCTCCACGGCCACTGCCTTTCCGACAGAAGTTCCAGTCCGTGCTGCCTGCCTCTGGTCGCCCGCGGCGCATACCACGCAGTGTTAGCAGCTGTGACCCGCTTGTCCAGACTCATATTTATGTGCGCGATGGCCTGCGGTCCCCAGATCCTGGAGCTGGTTTCTTCTCCCCAAGAACCACCAGCTTCCTGGCACCGCCTCCAACGCTACCACCACTTCCCTCCCGGGGGCTCGATAGTGCAATCGCAGAAGGCCCCAGTCCAGAACAATACGCGAATGACACCGCCGATCCTCGTTCCCCTCCTACAGGAGTCGAGCGCCTGATCATGAGGAACATCGACGAATTCCTGTAATTCTAATGCCTGCGCCCGCTCCGCCAGGCCTGACACGATTCCACGACTTGACATTTTGCATGTCTCCCTGATCCTCGATTTGAGGATCGTATTTTCACTTCATTCCCGGCCATATTTCTTTCTTTCTCGGCCACGCCAACCTTTTTCCCTTCACTTTTATTTCGCCAGTCGCATACCCCAATCCTGACTGGACTGATGATTTCCCATGACCAAAGCGGGCTTTGCTGTCGTTCATCGCCTTTCTATTCGCATCTTGACCTATTCTTCGCCCTCTTCCACCAAAAACCGGGCTGGTGGACGGTGTCCACCACATCCCCTTCTCCCATCCGACACCGACCTCTATTGCTTTCTAAGTTCTTTCTCACATTCGATTCATTTTCCGGCATCACGGGTGTGAAAAGTACCTCATGTCGTGGGATATCTGCGGAAGACTCCATTTTATCTTCCGCGAGCCCGATAACTGTAATATTATTTTGTGGAGGATGATTCTCTGTCCTTTTTTTTTTTTTTTTTCTCTCTTCCCATGCATTGATTGGACTCGGTAATCATTTTACCGTCCGACACAACTTTCGCTTTTGCACACTCGTGTCGATTTCTTTCTCTGATCACCTTGCCCGAAGTGGCAAGACCTTCGTTTCCACACCTTCAATTTTCTCTGTGTTCAATCTCTTGCCTTTTTTGTTTCCTCGGTTCCTCCTCCTCTTCCGGGTATAAAATCCTGGGCCGGTATGGTATCCAGATCGGATACATGGGCGGATGGGAATCGAGGGAAAGAAATGACAAATACCCCCTGCGCGCAGTTCCACGATAGAAATGGACAGCTTCGAGCTTACATATGCCTTCTACACTCGTATTCTGTACCGTTCCAAGTAGAATAGGCCAACATTTCTTCCGAAGTGCTGTTCCCTGGGAGGTGGGTGTGGGGGGGCTTTGGCCGAGGTGAGTGAGAGGCAGCAGTAGTATGGGAAATGCTTGATAGCAGATAAGGAACGTCATTCACAACTCTCGGCCAAAATTTTCTCGCGCAACAAGCACCTCCAGATACCACACATCATGGCCGAGGACGCTCATCCGACCTATCTATCGCCCAGCGAGCTGGGTACGAAGGACTAGTAAGTGAGATTGAGTCCATACACGCCCAGGGAAGCCGTGAAGGCCCCTGAGCCAGAACCCCGCGTTTTCCTGCCCCTCCACGAAGGGGGGGGTATACGCGCACCCCTGCCGCAATTGAAACGCCCCCAGGGTACTACGGACATTACAAATGCCTTTTCTCCATCCGAAAACCCCCATTCTTCTTTCTATACAGATTTATCTAGAGCCATCAGCTAACCAGATTCCGCGTCCCCCTTCCACAGCTGGGAAACCTACTACGCCCGCACCCTCGCGCACATCTCGCACGCCGACACGACACCCGCAGAACCCGACCTCGCCGACTCCGACGCAGACTCCGACCTCAATGAGGAGGATGACCCCGGCACATCATGGTTCTCAGAGCACAACGCCCCGGAGAAAGTCCTGCGCTTCCTCACGCGGAAGACGTTCCCGCTCTCGCCGCGGAATACCCGCCAGCGCGACGGGCAGCCGCGGATTTTGGATCTGGGGACTGGGAATGGGAGTATGCTTGCGCTGTTAAGGAAGAGGGGCCGTTTTGCGGGGAGCATGGTTGGAGTGGATTACTCGGCGCAGAGCGTGGAGTTGGCGCGGGAGTTGCAGAGGTCCCGTGGGCATTCTGCGTATCGGACGGACTCTGAGGAAGAAGAAGAAGAAGAGGAAGAGGAAGAGGAAGAGGAGGAGGATGAGGAGGAGTCTGGTGCTGGTGCGACTGGGGTAGATCCTGTTCCCAGCGCAGAGCCCATTCGCTTTGAAGAGTGGGATATCCTCGGCTCGAAAGCCGTGCTTTCCGAGTCCGGCATGAGCAGCGCGCCCGCGAGCACGGACGAGGCGCTCCCCTGGTTCCCGTATGCGGACGGAGGCTTTGATATCGTTCTGGACAAGGGGACGTTCGATGCTGTGTCGCTGGCGGACGATGCGAAAGCGACGCGGGTCTGTAAGCGGTATCCAGACATTGCGCGGCGGTTGGTGCGGCGAGGTGGGTTCTTGATTGTGACCAGTTGCAATTGGACGGAGGAGGAGCTTGTTAAGTGGTTTGTGGGCGAGGAGGGGACGGATCGGTTGGTTGTTTGGGGACGTGTTGAGTATCCGCGGTTTCGGTTTGGGGGGCAGGAAGGGCAGGGGGTGTGTACGGTGTGCTTCCAGCGGGTTGGGGAGGTGTAAGGGATTACAGGAGAGGTATCGAGGAGGTTATAGATGGGGAGTGATGATCCCCCGTCCCACCCGTATCAACGATGCGTTTTAGGATCCCCTTCTATCAATATACGAGCAATGACCTCTGTAAATGCTATGCCATGACCAGCCATGTTGCCACTTCCTCTCCTGACTTACTCTTTCCGCTTCAAAACAGCAACGACACACCACCGCCCCCGATTCTCCGGGCCCTCGTGATCGCGCACAGGAGCCCATTCCCGCCGAACCTCCCCTCCATGCTCGTCCCTCGTCATCAAATCCCGCTCGAAGATCGTCTCAATTGCAAACCCGTTCTCCTCTGCGGTCTCAAAGAAACCTGCCACAATTGCCCGTCCCGTGTGGAACCCAGCCACGACCCAGACCTTTCCGCCGGGGGCGAGGAACCATTGCATGGTGCGGGCGAGGTTCTCATGCTGCGAGGGCATCCAGTAGCAGTCGGCGGCAATGATGCGGGTGAAGGCACCTTTGTGGGATAGGGAGAAGGAGTCGGAGAGGCAACCCCATTCGTGCGGCTGGATGACGATGGTTGTGTTCGGTGAATCGTGGCGCCGACGGAAGTTGTAGGTCAGGTTAAAGTCGATTGCGCCGGCGAGAGAGGGTGACGAGGGGTGGTCTGTAGCTACCACAATGGCGGCATTGGCGAGGGCGCAGACGAGGGAGGCCAGAGCTGCGCCTGTATAGATCGAGTGTCGGTGAGCGGGGCTTGATTTTACTTTACAAGGAACCATAGTGGGGACCGCAGGAGCAACTTACCTGCGCCGAGCTCCATCACACGCTCCCCCTGAACGGCCCAGATCCCACGAGCCTCTGTCTGGGTGGCTGAGTCGATCTCAGTCGGTTTGCGGTCCGCATTTTCGACGCCCTCCGCGATCACCATCCCCGCGCTCCACAGCATGTGTGCAAACAGCTTTCTTCCCTCCTCCACGCGATTGATGCCATCCCCCTTCCTGAGTTCTCTCGACGTGTCCTCTGATCTCTTCTCAGTCTGGTCTGGGTAAGGCGGAACCATGATTTCCAGCTCGCCATAGCGTGGGGACGAGTAGATCAGGCGCTGGCCAGGATCCCCGTGGAATTGGGGCGCATCATCGGGAAACAGGTGTGCCAAAAAGGAACCAAAGAAGTCCTCGGACTCTTCGACCTCCGAACCCTCGTCCTGGTCTCGGAGGTCGGACGTGGGCGTCGCGGGTGTCGCGGGCGCGGTGGTGGGATTGCGGCGGGGAGCAGGCCGTAGGCGCGAATGCAGCATTGTATGGACCGGTGCCCCGCTTCAGGAAGTCAGCTATGGATTGGTCTTTCGCTTTGCTTATTTTTCTCGAACAAAGTGGAAGCGCTGGTAGCACGGGCTCGGCACCGCTGCGTGATGTATCACACCGGAGGGCGCAATCTGCCGATCGGATAAAATGTACGCGACGGCTTCGCGGGGTGGGAGCTGGATTTAGAAAATAATGGGTTTGCACTGTTTGCACCGGGCGCACGGGCAATGGCGCCGGGCGCACCGATGGGGGCCGTCATAGTGGGGATAGCTATGGATGTGCGGGAGGGGGGGAAAGTGCGAGACATTGTGTCTGGGGGGGGGGAATTGCTCTTTTGATTTTTCAGCTGGAGGCTTCCAGGGAGCCATTGACTATGCAATCGGGGTGCATAAATTTGGATTGGCCGTATCTATTGTTTTTTTGTTTTGGTTCCTTTCGCTTTTTTTTCGGAGGGGATGATATGCTGGGGAGCTGAAGCATGATCTGCATAGCCCCCCTCAGCCGCACGAACCCATGCTTCTGCGAGGAATGTATGCGTAACAGGCTGTCGGAATGTGCCAGGATGTCTTGTTTCCAGGGGGAAGGGATGGCTAGGCCTACAGTAATCTAGGCGGATTACCGATTTACATGGGTACGAGGTGACCCTGGAAGGTACCTACAGTAGCACCGGGGCGGGGGCCGGGCTTCGACTTTCGGAGTAATGATCCTCCCCGGCTGGCGTTAGCGCGCGGCCTGGCGCGACGGAGGAGATCCGATCGTCGGAATAAGCCAGCCCCGAAGCAGGACAGAAAGAATGTGTCGCACATGGAAGGTGTTTGAGGTGGCTTGACTGTCGTCTGCATCGCACATGGTGAGAAGCGATCGAAGACGACCATCCTTCCAGCAGGCTCCGGGGAGGTCAGACGGTCACGAGGTGAGTCACTCCCGTGACCTCTCCCTAATCAGGTGCCCTCCCCGGTTGTTGGTTGATGACATCACTGGACCCACCGGGGCGAGGTCTTAGACCGGTCGATGGCAGGTGATCGGACTGGCCGTACTGCCGGACACGAGCATCCAAGGTACCTGAAGCCCCGGCTTTGAATCGTCAGGATATCATTTCCATCACACTTTACTGACTTACCTTCTCGAGAATAGGCCAGGACCTAGAGTCCCTCTACCTCTTTTCTCCGTGTGATCCTGACGGGTGATCGTCAGGCAACAGATGTTCCCTCCGATTCGCCATGTCTTCCCCCTTCCAAACTCGGGACTCGGGACTCTGCCGACCATGGCTGCGAGAACCATCCTAGGCAAGATTGACGTCTTGTGCACACCTCCCCCCGATTCATGGGTGCCTGGGTCCTTCAAGGCCGACCCTGAACTTTGCCCTGCACTGCACGGCACGCCATCCGAGGGATGGAGGAGGAGGAGGAGGAGGAGGAGGGAGGGGGGAAAGGCGAACCATCTCCACCACCCTATAGCCCCCCTACGGCCACCCATTCAACGACCCATAACCCTTCCCGGGGGCTTCGAATCCCTTTTGATGAATGGTGACAGCCCTATACATCAGTTAGAGAGGGAGGCGAGCTTGATGTCAGTCCCAAAGACCACCGGGGTCGTTGGCAGGTTCACAGTCCATGCGATCCGGAATCCAGAAGCGAAGTGGAGCCATGGTTATCGCATCATCCAGCGTGGCCTTGCGCACAAATGGCCGACAGCGACGAGCAGTCCAAGCAGGCCACCATCATCCATACCAGAAATCCGAATCCCTTCGGGGCCATGGCTGTCAAGTAGTAGAACGATTAGGCTCTAGATGAAATTTGAATAGCCGGTTCGTAGGCGTTACGAAGATCTCCTCCCCCCCGCATGCTCAAAGAGAAAAGGCCCCCGCAAAGCAATGAGCGATTTCCCGGTGGGCCACACCATACCGGCTGGCTTACACTCTTTACCCTGTCCTGCCTTCTCCTCTTTCTCCTCCCCTTCTTTTTTTGGGTTCCCACCTCTTTTTTTCTCTCTCTTCCCTTCCATTCTACTCCTCACTTGCGTTACTCTCTCTCACTCTCACTCTCTTCCCCTGAGTTCTCTTCTTCTCTCCTCTACTCACGCTCTCCTCTCGACACGCCTCGTAACCCACTAGCCGCCCGCACCCTCCCTATACTTCCACCAGTTTCCACCCGGAATTGAGCGTGCCTCGCATCTCTCAGGGCTTTCGAAAAAGTCGCCAGAAAGTCCTTCGCCATGGCTTCGTTCAAGGTATGTGGCCTCAACGCCCTGTCCAATTTTGTCGCTCCGGCCCTGGGCCTCCCTCCTCGCCCACCGTCGGTCGCGGGTATGCTCTGGTACTGATGATGTGGCCGCCCATCCACAGGAATTGTCCCTCTCGCGTCCCCTCCCCAACCCTGCCCCGCGACCACACGCGCATTCCATATCGCTGGGGGCTGTCAATGCCAATCACCGTGTGACGCGACGGAAGAGCGTCACGACCGCCGCCGCCAATGCTGCCGCCGCCGCGGTCGCGGCCTCGTTGATAGAGGGCGGAGAGCCTGCGTCGCTCCCCGTGGCCGCGCACCGACGGAGCCTTGGGGGCCGCAAGGGACTGGAATCCACTTCGGTTGGAGGGGCCTCGGGATTTAGTTCCTACCTGTCTCGAAGCATAAACAGCCCCAGCCAGGAGCCCCCGGTCGCTCGCAAGGCCTCCCCCAGCAATTCCGACGCGGACGGCAAGGCGATTTCCAAGGACCGCAATCGCCGAGCTAGCGAAGGTGCCCACATGAAGACTGACGGGAAGCGTGCCCCGGCGGACCTTCGCTGCGACCGCTGCGGGAAAGGATATAAGCATGGCAGCTGCTTGTCCAAGCATATGTGTGTATTCCCCATGCCGCTCGGTCGTCTTCTTCGCGCTCGAACGGGAGCATGCGCCATGTCGGCTCTGTGCAGGTCGCCCTCGTGGTCATTCAGACTCCCTTCCGTCATCTCCCTCTATTCACCCCCTCCATCACCCTCACCTCCCCTGATTTCGCTGGTGGCATTCGGTTGACGTGTTTGTTTTGTGGTATCTTAGGTGGGAGCATGACCCAGCATGGTCGATTACCTCAAAACTACTCATCTCCAAGCACCAGCAGGTGCAGCTACTGGAGGCCGCTTCTGTGTTGGTCAACATGAACATGGACGACGAAACCCCCGAGCACTCTCCCGAAGCGGAGTCGGAACTCTCCTCCGCCTCCCCGGACGCCTCCTCGGTGGCGCGTGGTGGAATCAGTTCCGCTGAGACCACGCCGCCTCCGATGGATGAGCAAGACGAGGAGGATGACGACTTTGAGATGTCTGGCATGCCGGCCAACTGGACCAAGCGCCCCAGCATCAGCAACATCTTCTCCCGCTCCTACCAGTCGATCCCCTCCAGCTCGTACACCGGCAGTGCCCCGCTGCACTCCCCCTCTTTCTCCCACTTCCGCAAGTCGAGCATCGATACCCGTCCTTCCACCGCGGACACTCGCCTGCACGAAGATGACGAGGCCGACTTGGCTGCGGCGATTGGGCTGTGCAACTTCGGCACTCCCCGCACGGGGCCGGTGTCGATGACTCCGGACGTGCCTCCGGTGCCTCCGTTGCCCGCTCGCTACCTCGACTCTGGCAGCCACCCTGGCACCCAGAGCCCCGGACTGGAAGCCTCCGGCCCTGGCCCCATGAACGAGGCCTACCGCCGCAACTCCAACGCCGATGCCTTCCTTTCGGCCTCGCTCAACCCGTCACTGTCGTACAAGGTGTCAGATGAGCGCGGCGTACGCAACGGAAGCAGCGAGGCCACCGCCCAGGAGTCTCGTCACCGCCGCAACGCAGACGTGGACTTTGGTAGCCGCCGAGCCCCTGCGGATGACGACGATGATGGGGTCTTCGGCCATATGGAGGAGTAAACTATCATCCGTCGCTCCCTCCGCATAATTTGCTGGGAGCCAGACAGCGGGCCGCCGCTGCGGCCGTTCCTTGTGCCGAGCGACGAACCCTTTCACGACGAAATGTACGAGCTTGAGCGTTTTTGGGAACCCTTTCTTGTTAACATATTGACTATGTGCACGCTGCATAATGAAGGATTGAATTTCAAGGTACCTGACCGGTCGGCCAGTGGATTCCGCGTTGAAAATGGCCGTGCCTTCGGGGAAACTGTAGATTCGCTCTCTCCTTCGCCCACTGCGTGTCTAAGATTTCGGGAAACCTTGTTGTACTGTGGGAATCCCATGTATCATGTCTCTTTCTCTCTTTCTCTCTTTCTGTGTTCCTGTTTCTGTTACGTTCTGCCTCTGCTTCTGCTAGTTCATTGTCCTTTTCTTGTTCCGGAAACCTCTATAAATGGCCTTCCTTGGATTGGCCGGCGCATATTCACCATCATCAAACATCCATCCCCTACCCAACCTGCTCGTCATGTTGCCTTGAACCTTTGTCTACGGCTTTCCCCTTGACTCTTTCACTCGCCGTCTTCATGCTCGCACATATACACCTCTGTTTTTTTTTGGTTGTTTTTTTTTTTTTGGCTCTTCGCCATCCAAACCATCTCTCATCTCCCATCTGTTATCTCGTCCGCTCTCTTCCTCTCCGTCGCTTTCCTTGTCGTCTCGACGTTCACCTACCTCACGCTCTCTCTCGCCTTCTACTCTCCCATGTGTACTTAATGAAACCCTCGGACGGGGTGCGCCATGAATATACCTTACGAAACAACACATCTTCCTCCAACATGGTAGACTTACAGTCTCGTTACAAACAGCCAATTTCCACAGCCATTGTTCCAATCCGATCGACACCATAGATGTCCATTTTCCTCCCCGGTGCAGGGTGGACCTGCCAATCCGGGATAGAGGGGCAAGCTGGTCCAGACAAGACTCAAAGAAATGCCATGTCTCCATTCCTCCGGCCACACAAGGCCATTTGACTTTCACTAGAAAACTCCTGTTCTAAATGAAGAATTAGATGCAATACCCAGTCATTCTCCTACTTCTACCCCGGCGGTACTTCGAACTTTCAGTATTGGGGTTGCCCAATCTATCTTTTCCAGGTGGCTTGGTAGGCTTATATGGATTGGCCGAGTGTTCGCATGGAATGCGGGGAGAACTGATTTCGGAGAGGTTGGGCATCGATGCTGTAGGACTGACTAGCGGGGGGCTGTTCGTTAAAGAGACCGGGGTAAGATCGTGTGATACTAAGGTGTTGAACGTTTCGGATTCGTTATAACTCGGTATCATTAGCCAGCCGGCAGGTCATATCTTGCGCGCTGGTCAAGGGTCTTGCCCAATGCCACAGCAACATCATATTATCCCTCTTCATCATACCCCCGCCATGACCATCAACTATAGTGATCTTCCAACATGTCCTTGGTGAACCGAAGCAGGGCTACTATTGTTTGAATGCATTTGTTATCTCTTCGAGGACTCATCTTGGTAACAGAATCATGATCTTAGCAGGTATTTTCCAGTCCAGAGTCCCTTCACCGACTCAAGCTCAAACTACTCATGAAGCTCAGAACCGGGAGATCTTATTTAAATAAATAAGTAGGGTGTGCTTTCATCCAATCACTGTCCATGAATGGCATGAACCTTAGCTCCCTAGTTTTGGGACCATTGAAATGGATACATGAGGGCGTCACCCAACTACGAAGTGGCTTCGCTGAGTCGCTCGCGGTACTATTTCCAACTCCTTGATCACTAACCAGAGTCGCAACCCTCTGTGACTATCTGCCGCTGACTAGGCAATCTTTCATGACTATTTTATATAATTAGCCTTGCTGCTCTACGCTCTCTTTTACTTTACGATATGTTGGGATTCTCCACGTGTTGAAGCCCGAGTGGCGTGGCCATACCGACTCGCACCAGGCGGGAAGAGTAGATAGCCCCTCTCTATCGAATGATTGGCCTCGTCGTGCCATCCGGAACTTAGAGCTCCTGGGTTTAGGGGCCCGCCAGTACATTTCCAGATCCATTATGGTGGATTCATGGAAGGAAAGAGAAACAAAGAAACACGGGCCGATGTACAAAATAATTGGTTTAGATTGATGTCTCTTCCAGGAAAACCCTGCCTAGGTCTGCAGCTTGGGGAGACGGCGAATCATAATCGCAACTCCTTGCGTTCTGGTGATTTTGGCCGCGTACGCAGATCTTAATCACAACTCACTATGGACTTTCCCAGTTTTGAAGCTCGTGGACCGACTTGCTATAGCCGTTTGGGATGAATGGCTATATTTGTGGATTGTAATGGTAAAGAGGACGTGGAAGAGTAGACACCCCCCTCCAGGGGAACCGGAAGAGGATGTATGTGGATTCGCGAAGGGGAGTCAATGCCGCGGCAATCGGACTCGTGTTCACGGCTGTATCGGGTATAGGAAATATATCATGTAGAGTAGGTATCCAGGGACAGAACCATCATGGGCCTGTCTTACTTGTAGCAAAGTACTATCACTTATGTTACTACGTCAACCCAGAGGCTTTCGAGTATGCCTTCTTCGTAATCGCCATGGTCATATCAAGATAGCCATCAAGGAACACGCCCTAAGTGCAAATGGCCATGTCCAAGAGATTGCAGAAAGCCCATTGAGAATGGCGTGGTCGCCACTACTACGGGTTTATTGCAGGATATTCAGCCTGAGAAGCGGTTATTTTCAGCGTCACTTTCACTGGTCCTCATATTCTATACGTGAGGTGATATCGATAGCTTTTGAAGAAAAAAACACCGAGAGAAACACAAGGATAATGCAAGCCCAACTCCAGAAATCGTGTCGTAGCGGTCCAAGCAGAAACGAAAAGAGAGAGAAAGAAAGAAGAAATGAAGCCCCAGATTATGAGAAGTCTCTAATCCATGTCCATCGCCTCCGCTTCCACACCACCATCCACCAACACCTTGGCCTTCTTCTTCTGGAACAGGTCCTTGCCGTGCACCCGGTTGGCGACCTTGCTCTGCTCGGCCACCATGGGTTGGCCCTCCTCCCGCTCGCGCAGCTCCTTGCGGATAAGGTGCTCGCCCTCGGCGACGACCTTGCGGTCCGCCTCGCGCCGGCGGTCACGGGCCAGCTTGCCGGCCAGACGGCGCTTGGTGAAGACACGCTCGCGGCGCTGGCGAATCTCTTCGACGCGCTGCATGGCGCTAACGGTGGCAGCAACCAGGTTACGGTCGTACTTGACGGGGACGTTGCGCTTCTTGGAGAACTGGGACAGGACCAGCGACGAGTCGACGATCATCTCCTTGCCGCGGGCGGCGCGGTGGCTCTTGGTCCACTTCAGCTTGCGAGGCTGCCGCTTCATCTTGAAGTTCTTGTGGCACTTGGAGCGGCAGAAACGGAATTGTCGGGCGTCATTGCGAACGAATGTGATGCCCTTACTGGGGAAGGCCGGGCGGGAACAGAAATGACAGGTTTCCACACTGATAGAAAAAGAAGAGCAGATTAGTAGGGGAATTATTTTGGTTGCTCGGGTCGTAGAGGCTTACCGCATGGTTGCTGATGTGGGATGGATTTGACCTGCGTTGTTATGTCGCAAACTTTTTTTTTGGAAGAGATGCTTCGGGCTCGGCGTGGAGGATGTGGCGCTAAACCACATTGGGACTCGCGCGCTGACTTTTATCCCGCGAGTCACTCCGACACCATCTCCGGTTTCCTTCGACATCGACTTTGGCCACCCTATCTTCCTCTCTGTCTACGAAATGGCTTCGACTCTTGCTATTGGTCTTGGTGTCGGTGTGGCTGCCTTCTTGGTATGTGATGTTCTTCGGCACTGGTGCGACTGAGCTGACTGTTTTTCTCCAGGGTCGCGCCGGTCTGGTCGCCTACCGCCGTTCCAAGGGCGGCGTGAACGCCGCTGGAAAGGCTTTCTACAAGGGGTTCGTTGGTCTTGGAACATTGAAAGATTGCCATTATGATGGTCGCTGACAGGATGACAGAGGATTTGAACCGCGCATGACCCGTCGTGAAGCCTCCCTGATTCTTGAGCTCCCGTATGTGTCCTGTGTCCTGGATGTAGCGTTGAATTGCAAACAGGAAAGATACTAATTAATGCTTTTAATAGAGAGCGCAAGCTGAGCAAGGATAAAGTGCGCCAGAAGCACCGTCAGCTCATGCTGCTCAATCACCCCGATCGCGGCGGCAGCCCGTACCTGGCCACCAAGATCAACGAGGCCAAGGAATTCATCGACAAACACGCGTGAGAGATGTTGAACTGATATCGGCGCGTTTTCGGGATCACCGGCTCGGAATTTCCGGGAAGCCAAATTATGGCTGGATACTCTCTTCCCAAGGCCAGATGCAGAATCCTGGGGCACCCCAGGGTCCAGGCTGGCTGTATTTTGGGTGCATAGCGTGGCGTTGTTTGATTGACATTTACCAGGTCGGAGGATATACTGAGCTGTCTAATTGCTCGATATCCTCGATCTTGCTGTATTTTTATGCACATTTCTGTCATATATCCTCAGGAGATCGCCACTCTTCGAATTGTACTATACTACTATGTTATACAGGGCAAAGCCTTTTAGGGCAACACTTCCATCTTTTCCAGTAACTGAAAGACAACTTCTGGTGTACACCGCACCCCTGCCGATACTACCTGATGGACGGTGTACACATTGCTCATCCAACCGCCGATCTATGCTCGATGCAGACAAAGCACGCGGCCGCAGAGGGTGGGCGCAGCACTAGGTTTCCAGGCCGTGCGAGAATGGCGTGGTACTACTCGGTACCCCACCATTCTTCTGATAGGGAGGTCTCCTAGGACGAATTTCATCAAGGCGAGGAAGGTGGGACTCCGATTAAGAGTCTGATCGGCATTCTGCAAGCGAGTTCTAGGTGGAAACGAGTGGGCGCATCTTTAAAGGCGGCTACACAACGTAAGACTCCCGCGCGGCGGACGAAATCTCGGATGGCCTGTTGCCGCGCCGCAGGGCTGTCTTGGCTCGGGATCGGGGTTAAGCACCTCCGTTCTTCCTGTGGATGCCCAGGCCAGCAGCAGATATTGCATCCTTTGTGTTATTAAGGCTCCCTGCAAAGTTTTACTCTCCGTTGATACATAGGCAGATGCCTAAAGGCTGTGGTATACAGCGTTCCCTTTTTCAACGATAAGCGCGCGCCTTGAGTCAGCGGAGCTTTCGGACATCCGTTCACAACCCGTGAACCCGTTCGACTCGTCTTTGCGCCAGATCTACGGATCAACCCTGCCTTTTTCGCCTCTGGCGTACCCTTTCAATCTCACCCGCTTGGATGTGTCATCCACGATCCACCGTGTCCTCCTTTCTCCGGTCCTCAATCTCAGGGACAGCTCCGGGAAAAAGCACGTGTCCGTGACGCATGATAGCCCCGCAGTCCTTCCTTAACACTGCCCTCCTCCTCCTGCTCCACTTCCGCGGAGTTTCCACGCGCTACAAAAAAACCCATCATGGATAGTCTGGGGGACGACGATGTGGGTTTCGACTTGAACCACATGATGATGAACCAGCAGCCGCAGCTCTTTGGAGGCTACTCGCAGAATGGCTCCCAGATGCCTGGCCTCTCTGTGGGGTCCATGTATCCCGACGACTCGGCATTGGCCGCAGGAGATGACGCCAATGATGCGAAGCGACGGAGGATTGCGAGAGTATGCACTGCCTGTTTCCGCCACGTCTGTGGGATGTTGCTGACGGGAAGCTTGACGATAGGCTTGCGATATGTGCCGGAAGAAGAAGATCAAGTGCGACGGCAAGATGCCCAAGTGCTCGCACTGCATCAACTACAAGACCGAGTGTGTCTTCACGCAGGTCGAGAAGAAGCGGAACCCTCCTAAAGGGTAGGTTGTCCCCCGGACTCTTGCGTACTGTGGAACCTGATCTGATTGCGACGATGCAGGGCCAAATACATTGAGGGCTTGGAGAACCGCTTGGGGCGCATGGAATCGCTCCTGCGGCTGTCCGGTCTCCTCTCCGAAGATGACAATGGAAAGACGGATCTAGGGACGCTCGAAAAACGACTGGCCGATCGAACAAATGCCTTGAATGCGGCGAGAAATGCGAACAAGTTCAGCATCCCGAATGCAACCCAGCAACAGGCGTCTACCTCTTACAGTACTACACCCCGCATGGACTCCCACTCCAGTCCGCATACTGCCACGACATCCCCAGAGTCACAAAAAGAGTCCGAGACCGAGGTCGAGGCATTGTCGGATATGATGTGTTCACTAGTGACCAATAATTGTGGCGAGACTCGATACATTGGTAGGGCTATTCTACATACAATCGGGAGCGGGCTCGACTTATTGACCTTGACACCATAGGATCTTCATCGGGCTTTTCCATTTTCTCGCCCAAGGGTATTCAATGGGTCAACGAGAAGACGGGTGATACATCATTCCAGGATATGATTTCCTCGGCGTACGTCGATGACAACAAGTGGATGTACTGGAAGCCGGAGATCTTCAGCGACATTTTTGCGCGACGTGTGTTCAAACCACTTCCCCCGAAGGAAGAGGCTCTTTCTCTGTTCAAGGACTTCTTCGAAAATTTCAATTGCATGTTCCCGCTCTTCCACGAAGCGACCTTCATGCATCTGGTGGAGCGACAGTACTCGCGGGATCCGTACGAGGGTTCGGGGTGGTGGGCAAGTATCAATGTTGTATTGGCTATTTCCCACCGCCTGCGCGTGATGAGCAACCTGGTGCCCCACGAAGAAGATAAGAAAGCGTGGTTGTACCTGAAAAATGCGATGGGGGTCTTGACTGAATTGACAATGCGAAACACTGATCTCCTAAGTGTTCAGGCGTTGCTTGGCATGGTAAGCGCTTTTGTTCTCAACTAGGACAGCGAGCATTTCTGACACTCTCTAGGCTCTCTTCCTTCAGGGCACTCCTAACCCGCAACCGGCGTTCTTCTTGGTCGCCGCGGCTATCCGTCTATCCCACAGCATTGGGCTGCACAAGCGAGGCTCAGGCTTCGGCTTGAACCCGGTAGAAGTAGAACAGCGAAAGCGAGTCTTCTGGGTCGCCTACTGCCTCGATAAAGAGTTCGTTGTCTCTATGTCTCTATCTGTTTCATGAATTTCGACTGATTATTCTAAAGTATCTGTTTACGGTCTGGTCGGCCACCAGTACAGGACGACGATGACATGAATGTCGAGCTCCCAAGTGATGACCCACCTGACAATGTCGGGAATGTCCCGCTCGCCGATGAGAGAGGGAAATTTAACCTCTTCAGATCACTCTGCGAATTCGCTACCATCGAGAGCAGAGTGTACAAGAAGCTGTATTCCGCCAAGGCTTCTAAACAGTCCGACGGTGAATTGCTCAACACCATTGGTGAACTGGACAAGGAGCTGGAAGACTGGAAGGACAACATTCCCATCGACTTCCGACCTGAATATGAAATTCAAGCCACCCACGGACCACTCCTTATCCACGTTGTTGTCCTCCACTTCTCCTACTATAATTGCTTGACTACCATCCACCGCATGTCCGTACACCACGGCTATTGGACCAGTCGATTATCTAACTATGCCATCCAAGGCTTGAATGCCCGGCCTTTAAACCCCAGAGTCTTCTTGTCGGCTGTCCTATGTGTCACGGCTGCAAGGGCTTCGATCAACCTGATCAAGTATATTCCGCAGGGCGATTTTGCATGCGTGTGGTAAGTTCCATCCTGTGGGTCTCTTGTTTCCAGATACTAACTTGACACTCGCAGGTTGATCCTTTATTACCCAGTATCTGCGCTTGTCACTCTCTTTGCCAACATTCTTCAGAACCCGGGCGATACCCGTGCTCGATCGGATGTCAAACTGATGAATGTGGTTGTCAACTTCCTCTCCACGCTGGTTTCCGACGAGTCTAATAGCAGCATCAAGCGCATGCTCGGGCTCTGTGGCGAGTTTGAGAGAATTGCCAAGGTGGTTATCGACAAAGCCGAGAAAGAATCTCATGCACGCAAGAAGCGAAAGACTGCACCGGATGGCTTTGTTCCACAACAAACACAGCACGAGACAAATGAGCCGCATCCTGACACCTCCCCATTCGCCAAAGCCGCACGAACATCTAATAACACGTCCTTTTCGCCCTCTATGTACTCCAATCAACCCCCCGCTGCAGTCTCTTCGCCTAATGGTCCCAACGCCTTTGGCAATGACTCTGCCTTACCTCCGAGTACCGGTATATCCCAGGATCTACCGAGTAATGTGCATGCCATGTCTGGTGTGGAACCAGACTTCCCAGACATGTTGAGTCCCGACCAGCTGGCCAATGTCGGATTCCCTGATCAGTCCTTCGCGCCTACCAGTCCAGATATGGCGCCCTTCCAGCAACCATTCGTCCCACAAGATCTATGGCAGATGCCAATGACAATTGAGTGGGATTGGGCGGACGTGTCGACAAATTTCCCTGTCTTCGAAGGGGTCGGTGCCAATGGTCAGCCCCCGCAGTAATGATGACCGTATGACTGGAACGCGGAGCTGAGTGAAAACATACGGATTGTTTCTTCTAATATTTATGAATATGGCGTCCAGGAAGAGGTGTACAGGACTACTCTCTTGGAACTCTCTGCCATAACGGTCGTTAATTCTCCCCTCCATTATCATCGCCTCTCTCTTTCTCCCTTCTCCTTTCATGTACATTGCAGCGCTTCTAGAATTCCACTTTACAGCGATGGGTACTCAGATGGGGATTTTGTCCTCCCACCATATATCCCTCCAAATATTGTAAATCTCATTTGAGTCATCACGGCGATCAAGTAGATCGTTAACGCCGTCTAAGTCCATGCCCTTCGACACGGTTCTGATGACTCAGCAACCACGGAACCCAGAAAAACCGGCGCCGAAACTGGCCGCAGCTCGAGAGCTGCCCACCGCAACCTCAATTCCCTCCATGGATTGCGCGGAGTTGTCCATCGCCCCCGAACTCGATTGATCACCCCGTTTCTCCGCCCTTTCAGCCCTCTGGGCTTCCTTCCCTCGACCATGGCCACCCTCCTCCGGCGGCCAGGCAATATTGCCCGATTCTCGAGGAGAGCCACAGAGTGCCTCGGCCGCGCAGGAACAACCTCTCTGCGAACGCACCCGTCGCGACTTTCCTCTTTAATTACATCCTATCACGCCCGAACATACGCTACTACTGGCCCGAAGCCTCCGACCAACGACTCCGGGAACTCCCCGCCAAAGGGGAATGAGCCGGAGAAGGGTCGCAAAGATGACGAGCCGGAGTCAGTTCTGGGACCGGAGGACCAGACAAAGTTGGATGCATTCACCAAACATCTGAAGACACGCATGCCAGAATCGCAGCATGAGGCGATTGATACGTTGCGGAAGCATCTGATGAAGAACGGGATTCCGGACGAAGTTAAGCAGTTTATTGAGAAGCACGCGAATGCGTCTTTGATGGACCACATTCGGATGATGCGCTGGTTGTTCAAGTATACCAGCGAGCAAGCCAAAGACGATGTGGAGGAGTATAAGAAGAACAAAGAAGGAGAGGATGGGAAGTTGAATCAGCACACGGAAAAGGAGAAGGAGGGGCGGGAAGAGCCCGCGCAGAAGAACAAGGAGAATGAGTCAAACGAAAAGGACAAGGAGAACAAAGATCAGAAGAAGAAGCAGGACCAGGGATTCACACCTCCCAGAGTGTTTGAGTTCCGATTCGATCCCGCCTCCTTCCTCGTTACCGCATTCGTTACATACTATGTCTACCGCAGCTTCTTCCCCGGTGAAAGTGCTAGCCGAGAGATCACCTGGCAGGAATTCCGCTCGAACTACCTCGACAAGGGTCTTGTGGAGAGGTTGACTGTGGCGAACGGTCACCGCGTCCGTGTCGACCTGAACCGCGAGGTTATGAACCAGGCTTATCCCGATTCTGCCGGGCAGCCAGTGACCCATGTGTACTTCAGCATTGGATCTGTTGACAGCTTCGAGAGGAAGCTGGAGCAGGCACAATATGAATTGGGTATCCCGAATGGCGAGCGTATCCCGGTTGCCTATGTGGATGAAGTCCCCTGGGGTAGCGCCCTTCTGTCCTTCGCACCTACTCTTCTTTTGATCGGTGGTATCTACTGGTTCTCGCGGCGCGGCGGCGCTGCTGGTGGCCAAAGTGGAATCTTTGGAATCGGCAAGAGTCGTGCTAAGCGCTTCAACCATGAAACCGATGTCAAGATCAAGTTCTCCGATGTCGCGGGTATGGACGAGGCTAAGGTCGAGATCATGGAATTCGTTAGCTTCCTTAAGCAGCCCGAGCGGTTCGAGAAGCTTGGTGCGAAGATCCCCCGTGGTGCTATTCTCTCTGGACCCCCCGGTACTGGTAAGACCTTGCTTGCTAAGGCTACCGCCGGCGAATCTGGTGTGCCTTTCTTCAGTGTCAGTGGTTCCGAGTTCGTTGAGATGTTTGTCGGTGTCGGTCCGTCCCGTGTCCGCGATCTTTTTGCCAACGCCCGGAAGAACACCCCCTGCATTATCTTCATTGACGAAATTGATGCGATCGGCAAGTCCCGTTCGAAGTCGAACTTCGGCGGTGGCAATGATGAGCGTGAAAGTACTCTCAACCAGATTCTTACGGAGATGGACGGTTTCAATACTTCGGAGCAGGTCGTCGTTCTGGCCGGTACCAACCGACCTGATGTTCTCGATAAGGCCCTCATGCGCCCTGGGCGTTTCGACCGACACATCACTATCGACCGCCCTACCATGGATGGTCGCAAGCAAATCTTCCGCGTCCACCTGAAGAAGATCGTTACCGATGAAAACATGGACTACTTGGAAGGCCGACTTGCTGCTCTGACCCCAGGCTTCGCGGGTGCTGATATTGCCAACTGTGTCAACGAGGCTGCTCTTGTTGGTAAGTTCATAAACATCAACCTTGAAAATTTCCGAATTCTACTAACGTCTGTCATATAGCTGCTCGTGAGAACGCCGATAGGGTCGTTATGCGCCACTTCGAGCAGGCCATTGAGCGTGTGATTGGTGGCCTGGAGAAGAAGTCACTTGTTCTCTCGCCCGAGGAGAAGCGCACCGTCGCCTACCACGAGGCTGGCCACGCCATCTGTGGCTGGTACTTCCGGTGGGCTGACCCGCTGCTCAAGGTGTCTATCATTCCCCGTGGACAGGGTGCCCTAGGTTATGCTCAGTACCTCCCTGCTGGTGGTGATACATACCTGATGAACGTCAACCAGCTCATGGACCGCATGGCTATGACCCTGGGTGGCCGTGTCAGCGAGGAGCTACACTTTGACACGGTGACCAGCGGTGCTAGCGATGACTTCAACAAAGTTACTCGCATGGCCACCGCCATGGTCACTAAGTTCGGCATGTCCAAGAAGCTTGGCTTCATCCATTATGAGGACGACTCTGGGCAGCAGTTCCAAAAGCCCTTCTCCGAGGATACCGCACGTAACATCGACCTTGAGGTGCGTCGCATCATCGAGGAGGCCTACAAGCAGTGCCACGACCTTCTCACCGCACGGAAGAAGGAGGTCGGTATCGTCGCTGAGGAGCTCTTGTCCAAAGAGGTCCTCGGCCGCGATGACCTGGTTCGCCTCCTTGGCCCCCGCGAGTGGCCGGACAATGCCGAGTTTGCCAAGTACTTCGACGGCAAGGGTGGAGAGACCATTGCTCCTCCCGAGCCGACGACGAACCCAGAGGAGACGTCCGGCAAGGAAGGCCGCGACGAGACCCCGCTCCCTCCTTCATAGATGGCCATAAGTGACGGGTTTGTTTTTGTGTACACAATTTGGATCTGCATTTTTTTTTGGCCGTTTCAAGCAGGGATATCACTGTGGTTTTCTGCTGGTTTCTCTTTTTTTTTTCAGTACTGATGGACCTGCATTACCTTTGCCCTGTTTTTCTTTTTGTCTACTCCCCTCTCAATCCTCTTGTTCTCGCCACTCCATAAACCCCTTTCTTCCTTCCATCATGTCGCAACTCAATATGAAGAACTTTCTACTCATCTCATGTGTTTCTGTTTGACCTTCGCTTAGAGGCCCATGTACTCTACCAGTGTGGGGTGTGTATTATATTGATTTGTTGAAGCCTATTCTGGGTCAAGTAGTCGTTCGTTGTAGAGACTAGGGATTGGATATTGCAAGAGGGCCAGATAGTGCTGGATTTGAGGATGCGGTGTCTGCCTCAGAGCCGCTTCTTACAGTTGCAGCAAGAAGCTGCTCAGTCGCTGTGTCATTAGTCAAGTCGTTATATCTTACCTCGTTCTCACCAGCGAAGGCCTGGATGTCTTAGAGCAAGTGTCCAGGCATGAAATATACCGCTCGCACGCGAAGGTAGCCATTAGTACCCCTTACTGATCTACGAGCTGTAATGATTGCAATCTGATTGTTTGCCAGGATCTCCGGATTTTACCGAACCTCTTCGGTAGACACTTCAGCTGGGACAAACAAGAGATTGAGCGACAGCAACAAAAGTTTGAGAGAATACAATGAACGCGGGCATCTTCCTCTGGCACTCGACATTTGCCCCTTCCAGATGGCCGTACTCCTTTGCAGAACACCCTGGAAATTTGCCTGCCATCCTTGGCAATATCCGCGCGGTAGGGCTCACGAACCACTCAGGCAGTTATAGAGTCTTTCTCGTTAGCGATACCGGAGGAAGGTGAGAGAACCAGGAAATTGGTAAACTGCTGGGATTAAATCCAGTCAATCCTCATACGAGGCCAGGAACACACAGAGGGCACCCTCCCTCCTACCGAAAGGGTTTCTATTCCCAGGTATTCACGACTCTAATATTCGTGATCGGCATGACAAGCACCAAGATTGAAACTCTTCATACAGCTGGAGGCACGATGGCTGACAATGGATTGAATCTCACGGTGGCTGAAGAAGTCTCCCTTGCTTCGACTTCAAGAGCTATGTTATATGTCTCTTCACATTTGCTCAACCCATGAGCAGCAAAGGGAGCGAATGCGATTGGCAGAGGTAGAAGTAGAAACACGCCTATTTCTGGCGTCGGGGATGGATAAAATGAACAGTGATGACAAAAACAACAATCGCCTTTTACCAGTTCTGTTCAACGCCGCACCAAGTCTGGAGAGCTCTCAACGTGGCCCAGTTCGGTCTATTATTCTCGGGGTACAAAGAAGACTGACTTGGAGTTGGCTGATGGACATTGTGAATGGATATACTTAGCGATTGTAGATGTTAGGTTGTAAGAATACTTGTCAATAACATGACTCTGCAAGTTTGCGGCGTGGTGGCTTTGATATTCTATTCTTTGGCGTCGGATCCTATTTCTTCGAGTCTGAATATGGGGATAGATCAATCGTGATGATCGTCGGGATGCTTGAAACACCTGATACAGCCAGTTTATCCTACCATTTTAGCCTAACGTATGGGTTGGTAGCTTGCTAACTGGACTTTCAAAGAGGTGGGTACCTTCCAGACTAACAGATTATTCTCCTTGGTTAGTAAAAATGAAAATCAAATTGCAGTTTGAGATAAATCAATATATCAGATCATCCGACAAATAGTTGAATGTGCAAAAACGCGAGCAATTTCAAGCCCGCCCTTGGTTATACTCCTTGTGATATTAACTCCCTTAGATAGCACTTCCTATTTCCCTTAGTTGCTCTTCTTGGCTTCGGTAGCCTCGGTAGCCTCAGACTGCTCGATCTTGGCAACAGCCTTTTTGGCAGTGGGCTTCGTCTTCTTGGCTTCCACGGACAGGCGTGGAATGAACCTGCCCACACGGGCTTGATACTCGCTGTACTCGGGGTATTTTCCGGCGCTAATCGTCTCGGTCAGGCGGGTGCTACCCTGGAAGATGAGCAGGTAGCCCAGAAGACCAATTCCAGTCCACGAGACATAGGTCTCCGTACGGTAGGCAGCCCACAGATACATGGTCAGCCATACAGCCTGCTCGGCGACAAAGTTGGGGTGGCGCGACCAAGACCAGAGGCCGCTGACCACAAAGCCCCGCTCAAGATCCTCAGGGGTGTACTGGTCCTTGAAGGGCTCAGGGATGCGCGCGTTGTTCTGGTACTCCTGCTTCGCAGTCTGGAAGTTCCACTGCTGTTGATCGGCGAAGTACTCGATGATGATAAAGAAGAGCGCAGCGCGGGAGAAGGCCAGGTCGGGCAAACCGAAGACCTCGGGACCCTGGTTGTATGCGGCGACCACCAAGGCGTACGTTGGGGTCGTGATAAGCAGGAGCAGGAGCGACTGGGTCGCAGCGATGAAGGTGAAGTCGAAGATTGTGAAAAGGAAGGGATTGTTCACCTTCGATCGCACGATCTGCCAGCGGTAGTCCTCAGATCCAATTGAGTAGCCGCCTCTGCGCCAATAGTTGAAGGTCAAGCGGAGCTATTCCACATCGCAAGTTAGCAATATGATCATCGGCGCATCCATTGGAAAGAGATGCGCTTACACTCCAAAGCACGCTGATCACAGCGATGGTGTCCAAAGTCTGGGTGCGGATACCAGCCAAACGCGCCCAAGTGGCGTAGTGCACATTATAGACGGCGGGTAGGATACTCCAGAAGCGATCGATTTGCGAATAGTTGCGGTTGATTTCGGCGGCCAGGAATAAAAGCCCAGCCAAGACAGTGCACAGCGTGAGTGCGGAGACCAAGGGGTTGGTCGCAAGGTAAACCGCCTTCAAGCTATCCAGATCCCAACCCGCTTCGCGCAAGCTGGCGGGGAGCCACTGCACCTGGGCGAGATAGGGCAAAACCGTAAATTTGAAGGACGTGCAGTCCGCCAGAGACTCAACACGGGGAAGCGGAAGGGAGACCATGTTTTCCAGACGCAAGACAAAGCGCGGAGCTGTACGGAAAGAGGGAAGATGAGCTAGGAGCATGCGCCGGTCGGGGCCACTCCAGGTTTATGTTTGTATTACCTCATCGGGTAAGGCGCCGATTCGTTCATGCCTCAGGCGCAATACCGCGTGGTCCTCAGGCATTCACTCCTCGCGTCCCAGAGTATTTCAGAATTTCCCCGTTGGGAAGAATATCTGAGCTCCGCCGTGGAACCCCGTCTGATCGTGGCACGGTAGGATCGCCATGGCTCGCAAGATCCTGTGCGTGGCAGAGAAGCCTGCCATTGCGCGTGCCGTCGCCACGCACTTGTCAGGCGGCTCGTTTCAGACTGTAAGTGGCCCCGGATATTCCTATGGGCAGCATGGGCTGAGATAAAGGCATAGCACGCAATCCGAGGCAATCAATATGTCAAGAACTATGAGTTCGACTTCAATTTCGGTGAACCATGGGGTAACTGCTCGGTGACCATGACCAGCGTGATCGGTCACCTCACTGGCCTGGATTTTGATCGTCAGTACAAGGGCTGGATGTCCTGTCCACCAGGAGCTCTATTTGAGGCGCCGGTGCAAGAAGATGTGGATAAGGTTGGAATATTCCGCAATATGACTCTTCAATTCTTTCTAACTCCCGACAGGACAAATTGCCCATTGCAGAGAACATTCGGAACCAGGCCAGGTATAGCAAAGCATTGTTCATCTGGACCGATTGTGATCGAGAGGGCGAGCACATTGGCGCTGAAGTGCGTAACCAAGCAAAGGCTGGCAATTCTCGAATTGAAGTTAAGCGAGCCAGGTTCAGCAACACGGAAAGAGCGTGAGTCCAGTTCCTGGCCGACAGTACGACATCCCCTGACTTAGTCCTCTTTTGAATGTCAGTCACGTTCTCCGTGCCGCTCGGGAGCCAGTTGAGCTTGATGAATTCCAGGCAAATGCCGTGGCCGCTCGGATTGAGCTTGATCTCCGAATTGGTGCTGCCTTCACCCGTTTGCAGACCCTCCAGCTTCAGGCCGTGGTAGCAGTCTTGAAGGAAAAGGTTATTAGCTACGGTAGGTCTTTCGCGTCCTCCTTCCATAGAGTTCGGTCTAACTTCTCGTAGGCTCATGCCAGTTTCCCACGTTGGGGTTCGTGGTCGATCGGTATCTCAGAGTCCAGAACTTCAAACCAGAGACCTTCTGGGGCATCAAGGTTATGCTTCAACGAGAAGGCAAGAAGGTCAATTTTCTCTGGAAACGTGTGCATCTCTTCGACCGCGCAGCTGTCACGATGATGTTGGAACGATGCCTTATAGCTAAGCAGGCGAAGGTTACAGAAGTGAATCAGAAGCCTAAAAGCAAATGGCGACCTCTTCCCTTAACAACAGTGGATCTCCAAATGATGGGCAGTCGTTTTCTCCGTCTGGACAGTCAAACAATTATGAAGGTCGCCGAGGCGCTCTATACAAAGGGATACATCAGTTATCCCCGTACCGAAACAGATCAATTTGACAAGGCCATCGATCTAAAGAAACTTGTGGAAAAGCAATTTCCAGATGGTCAATGGGGTCAATACGCGAAGGAGTAAGCTTTTCTTGAAACATGTCCTCGCAGGCCGCCATAGCTGACCTTTTCTTAGTCTTATCGACGGCAAATTCCGAACCCCTCGCTCTGGTCGTCACAACGACAAAGCCCATCCGCCCATTCATCCTGTTTGCTGGGTCTCACCCAGCCAATTAAACAGCAACGAAAAAAAAGTGTACGAATTCGTGGTTCGCCGGTTCCTGGCTTGCTGCTCCGATGATGCAAAAGGCCAGGGTACTGATATTGAAATCCAATATGGAGAAGAAAAATTTCACGCCAATGGCCTGATTGTGCTGGAGAGGAACTATCTTGATGTTTACGTCTATGACAAATGGGAAAGCAGTCAGCAGCTTCCTAACTTCGAGAGAGGCGAGCTCTTTGAACCGACCGAGGCCAATATTTATGAGGGCAAAACTACGGCCCCGAGCTACCTGACGGAGCCCGAGCTCATTGGTCTCATGGACGCCAACGGAATTGGCACTGATGCGACAATGGCGGAACACATTGCCAAGATCAAAGAACGTGAATACGTCGTGGTACATCCCCGTGGTAGCGGTCGGAGTAAGGTTGAAGAGCTTATCCCGACTCGCCTTGGCATTGCACTTGTGGAGGGGTACGACAATGTCGTCGCGGGTCTTCCAAACAGTATCTCCCTCAGTAAGCCTTTCCTTCGGAAAGAAATGGAACTGCGGATGCTCGAGATCTGCGCGGGCTCTAAAACCCGTCAGGAGGTGGTGCAGCAGAGTCTGGACATGTACCGCGAAGTCTTCATTCACACCCAACGACGCATCGAGATGCTGAAAGCCGCGTGCCGGAAGTACCTGAATGAGTAACCAGTGTCATGATTATTGATCATTCTGCTTATGATACCCCAGCTTGGCCAACTCTCAGTTACCGTTAACTTTAAAAAATTGAAAATTGACGGAATGGTTCTCTGAAACCTCTATGGATCACTTTTTGACGATTCGAAAACGAGAACCCCAAGCCGATCCCTTGACCCAAACACATCGTGTCTTGACTTCCAACCCTACACCTCCGTTTCACCCAGTCTGTACACAACCTCCTGCCGGGGAACCATTCGAATCATTCACGCTGGAGTCACTCGGCTGTGTATCTTGGGTAGCCACATGACACACTACTACCCGCTCAGAAAACCCATCCCACATCTCTGTGTTCCTGTCAATGCACTGGCGGAGCGTGTCGATGCCATTCATCACATCGTGCAGAATATGATCCATGTCCGAGTTGCTCCCGTCCGGAGAGGTGCCACTACCTCCATTATCGTGGGGTTGCTCGCAAGCAGCCTGCTCGCGGGCCGATTCAACTCGGGACGGCGCCTGCAATCTGCTTGCAATCTCTTCTAGGCGGTGGAGGCTTTGATGGATGCTTAGAGAGTCTTCGTGGACACGCTGCAGCTGTTCGGCAATATTATACGTCGCAAGCCAGATATTGTTCTGAACTACCTGCGAGTGGTGTATCTCATTGACAAGGGCTGCCAGTCCCCCGGCTTGGTCGTATTGCTTGAGCATCAGGACAGCGACTGCTGCCAATATTATAAACAGCATGATTGGGACCAGGCTGTCGAGAAACGGATCTAATGGTACCTCCGGTAGAGGTGGATGGACGGATCTGGGGGTCTGGGAGGGAGGCCGTGGCGGCATGGCAGAAGAAACGGTCAACGGAGCAGCCGATGGTCTGGGGCCGGCATGAATTGTCACCATTGATCCTGTCTCAGACACCATGGTGGCATTGCAAACCCCGTAAATCTCTCCCATGATATGTCGTGTGGTAGCTTCAGCATTGATTAGGCCTGGAATCTGCTCAAATGTATACACGGTGCTCGCCAATTGGACTCCACCCAAGGCACGGTCCAGGAAGGAGCGTGAAGGGTTGATATTGGTAAATGGGATGCTGCTATATATACCCCAGATGTTAGCCGTAATGAAAACAAAAAGAGGGATCATGAAGTGCATGACGATGGCTTCTAAGAGAAGTGATGGACAATTCTGATTTACATCTTTCGTCTGGACTAGGGGAATTGATATAGCTCGATATCCTACTCTAGTCAATGAAAATACCCTTAACACTATCTACTTCAACTTCAATATGGTGGGTCTTTCATTGATCAAATGTAGCGATTGACTGCTAGAGCTGCAAGGAGCCCTGGCCTGGGCCCCTGTTTGCCAGCAAGCTGCAGAGCCGTCTCAGCGTTAATGATTTGCTATGATGTTCACAGCCGGCCGGCATTGGAAGTACTCTTTCTTGATATGCAAGAGATTATTAAGACCTCGAAGGCTCGCCAAGTTACCTGACGAAGTGCACAACTGACCCGCGAACCCATTCGGCATCTGTAGCCATTGACCTCTACATTCTAGTTATATACGTACACAGTCTCCCATTGTCGCAGCCTTACCGTGAGAGGCCCTGTCATACGTCCATTCTGGGTATAACACGCAAATAACAATTCATCCAAAGGAAAGAGCCCTCATGAACTGGGTTTACGATTGGGACCATGTCCGACCTGTTTGACAGCTGCACATTATCCAGCTTTGGTGTCGCATGGCCACCACAACGGTAGCGGCGCACACGAGGGAGTGCGATTAACCGTGGCCAAGCCAAAGTGGAGTTTGCGGGAGGCGTTGGACGGAGAATTCCGACAAGTGGCTAGCTTCCCTTGGGCGGCTCTTCACAGGGTACGGAGACTCCACTCCTGCCGTAAGGCTTGGACTGCTGGGCGTCAGCCGTTCCGTCAGTGGCGCCGCCATTCTGAACAAAGAACCTGAAAAACTGCCAGGACCTGAATTACACTTGGCCACAACAAAAATCTAGAGTTCTTCTGTTGATGTCAGGTAATGTTCTGACGGGAAACCCCGCATGCCCGTCTTCGTCGAATACGACCGACGCTGCCCGTCCGTGACGTAATCGAATATCACAACACTGCATGATAGGCTCTGCTCAGTGGTGATCGTTTCCTGGAAGCGGCACTCGCTGCTCGGTATCGCTTCGGGCGCTCACCTCAGTGGCAGAGACCACCGATTTGCGCGTCAGATCAATGTAATATGCACAATCGGGTTGGCCTAATTCGCGTCCACTCGCGTGGGTGATCCACCCCCGCGGGATCCATCAATCTGTCTCCACCCCCATACTCCATACTCCGCACTGGGGCGTCATCCGATGATGAAGATCTGAGACTAAGGAGGAGGGGGAGCACATCCTTTTGCTGGCATGATTGGCTGCAGCCACAGAATGGACGTGATGCTATCGCCGCTCAGTTCATTCGGCGTCCACTGGGTCGTGACAGGGAAGAAGTGCCTTTTTGAGTCATGCCGGGCACGGCATCCATCGATCTGGTAGGCTGGTCCTCCTATTCGCGGCTCATACCTCCAGCAAGGACCGCCGCGAATGGTAAAAAGGAGGTATTTAACGTAACGAGACCAGGGTTGGTCTGACTGTAAGATGTCAGTTTTGTCTGCGTTCCTCCAACGACTGGCTTCCACTCAATGGCATGGTGGAGTAGTGGACTGGAGGTTCTCCGCACATAAAAGGATAGATTTCCCCGGAGCCCACTTTGTCTCCTTCCATTTGCGTGAGCCTGAAGACTTTCCTGCCATTACTCCTCAGGTTGAAGCGTAAAGCGATTGCTATACTGCCATAAGACTTGATATCCACCGCCAGTGCACCATGAAGGAGAGCGGGATTGTAGGGCCAGTCCACGAGACCAGTGGCTCGAGTGAGAACAGAGGGGAGAGCCCAATGAGCTCTGACAGGGAAAAGCCGGAGACTGCTCATATCCCCGATGTCGAGAGTCGCAAGGACCGCGGCCATCTAAATGCTATCTTTGATAATCCTCTGGCTGGGATCCCCCGCGAGCAGCTGATGAAAGATGTCCACGAGTTCTGCCGACGATTCAACCTGATGGCCGACCTGGAGACTTTCCAAAAGGGGGCTCTCATTTCGCAGAGTCCTGAAACGGCGGCGACGATGCCGGAGCTAAACGAGTCTGAGAGAGAGTCACTCATTCGTGAGAAGACTCATAAGTGGAGCCAGCCATGGGAGTTGTACTTCCTCGCAAGTAAGCCGAAACCCAGTCCATGAATATCATCACAGAATCAAATCAAGTTGACCCTCTCTTCTCTCCCTAGTCATGTGCTCGCTTGCGGCCGCCGTCCAAGGAATGGATGAGACTGTCAACAACGGCGCGCAGGCCATCTACTTGGATGTACGTTGTATCCACAGGTTATTATTAGGCCAGGAATTGACATCATGCCTAGATCCTCGGTATCAAGAACAGTGACAACCTGACTGGCCTCGTCGTCGGCGCCCCATATCTGGCTTGCGCAGTCCTCGGCTGCTGGCTCACGGAACCACTCAATCGATACTTCGCTCGTCGCGGAACGATCTTTATTTCCTGCTTCATTGCGGCAATTGCATCTGTATGGGAAGGGCTGTGCAACTCCTGGGTGAATCTGTTCATTGCCCGCTTTGTCCTGGGGTTAGGTATTGGATCCAAATCTTCCACCGTCCCTGTCTATGCGGCCGAGTGTTCTCCAGCTCCCATTCGTGGTGCCCTGGTCATGATGTGGCAAATGTGGACTGCATTTGGTATCATGCTGGGTAATATCATGGGTGTGGCTTTCATGCACGTCTCAAGGGATCTCAGCTGGCGTCTCATGCTAGGCTCCACGGTGGTGCTGCCTCTGATAGTCTGCTCGCAGGTCTACTTCTGCCCCGAGTCGCCCAGATGGCTAATCGAGCATAACAAGATTGAGAAAGCCTACACGAACTTCAAAATCCTTCGTCCTACCGAACTGCAGGCTGCGAGAGATCTTTACTATGCATATGTCGGTGTGGAGTTGGAACGCAAGATCAACAGGGGCAAGAATTTCTTCACCATGTTCTTCGAGCTCTTCTCCGTTCCCCGTAATCGACGCGCCACTCTGGCCACTTGGATTGTCATGTTCATGCAACAATTCTGTGGTGTCAATGTCATCGCCTACTACTCGACCACCATCTTCCAGGATTCCGGATATAGTCTCTCGACGGCCTTGCTGGCATCTATGGGAACTGGCATCCTTAACTGGGTCTTTGCCCTGCCAGCCGTTCTGACGATCGATACTTGGGGCCGTCGCAACCTCTTGCTCTTTACGTTCCCATTCTTAGCCATATTTCTCCTCTGGGCCGGCTTTTCTTTCTGGATTGACGCCAGTAACCCCACTAGTAAGGCGCGAGTTGGGATGGTCACCACAGGCATGTATCTATTCGAGGTTTTCTACTCACCCGGTGAAGGTCCTGTACCGTTCACCTATTCGGCTGAGGCGTTCCCGCTTCACGTTCGCGAAGTGGGGATGTCGTGGGCCACCGCCACGACATGGTGCTTCAACTTCATCTTGTCCTTCACTTGGCCGCATCTTCTGTCAGCCTTCAAGCCTCAGGGAGCCTTTGGCTGGTATGCAGCCTGGTGTATTATTGGCTGGTTCCTCGTGTTGCTCTTTGTTCCGGAGACCAAGGGTGAGTGCTTCTTGTCTTCTCCCTCTACACTATACTAGTCTGACTTTCTTTTTAGCCCTCACTCTGGAGGAGTTGGATCAAGTCTTCTCGGTGTCTACCAGAAAGCACGCCTCCTACCAGATGAAGAATGCCATCTGGCACTTCCGCGTCTGGGTTCTGCGCCGGAAGCTGGAACCTTTGCCGAGTTTCTATCAAGGTACCGAGCATCTGCCTGAGGTTGGCGATAACACTGAGAAGTAATCAACTTTCTCTTTCTGTCGAAACTGTAAGGTTTGTATCTCAGGTTTAATACCCCGGAAGCCCCGATGACGCTACGTAAGAAGGAAGCGATTTGTATCATCTTCGCGGTAATGCCGTTTTGGATCTTGTTAGGTTAGAAACCCTTCGGTAGTTTAATTATTGTTGATTTATTTCCATTGTTTAAATGAACTTCCGCTCTCTAATATATACTAGGTATGAAGTTGCAAGAAGATCGTAAGCGCAATTTGTACTTAGATGCCACAGTATTGTAGTAAATGGAGGTTGTCAACTTTGCTCATTCCAAGATAGGGAGCGCCCAGTATGAGCTGTACACGACTTGGCACGTGCTATCAATACAACTATAAACGAAGAGAAAAGCAGAGAGAAACCATTCATATAGGTACAAAAGCAATATGTAGACAACATTCTCCGCCCCAAAAGGTTAAGCTGGATGCTTTAGCCTACTCCAGCCTCTTGCTCAGGACAGCACCATACCAAATAGTCGCAATCAGGCTGACCATGTTCACCAAGCTAGACAAACCATGAATCCGGCCAAACTTCTTGTTAAGGGCAACCATCTCCTTGGAATGAGGAGGAGCATCATAGCTCTTCTTGCCATCACGAGTTTCTATGCAACAAAAGTCAGGCCATATATATCACCCAGAGGAGATACAGTTCACAAAAATCATGAATCATGAAACTGCATATAGAGTAACGGAAAAACTTACCCTGTTGCTTCCGCTCGCGCATAGTGTTAACCGTCAACGGGCGAAGGACAAACATATTGATCAGCCCGGTGATTGCGACGGTGGCCATGGGCAGCAGGGTACTAAAGCGGTCCTCCGGGCCTAACAGGCCCGAGATACCGAGAGCTTGTCCACCTCTGCTGGCAGTCAGGGCGACCACCACGGGCAGGGCAGTCTGCATTGAGAAATAAACAGGGAAAATGGCGGTTTGCAGGGTAGCGAACTGCGGGCGCGGCAAGGCGCGGAAAGCAACAATACCGCCGACGAAGGACTTTTCAGGGGTTAGAAAGGTTAAATTAGAGTCCTGGATGGGCTTTGGCTTGGGCTTTGGCTATTATTTTACCTGGAAGATCTGCGATCCCAAAAGAGTGCCGTAGCTAGGAGGATGTTAGAAGGGTGTTTCGATTTGGACCAGATTTCAAGTCCTGCGTGTCTCCCATAGCCGGATGGGACGTACCTCAGGATGTGGTAGGGACGAGGGTCAGTCATGATGGAGATGATACAGATTTTTGATTGCAGAGAGGATCGTGTAGTTTGAATTGAACGTACGGAAGCTTGCGGAGAGGGAAAGCTAATGGGAGGTATTTATTACCACGGTGGAAATGCCGCCGCCGCTTTATTGCCAGTTAGGTGCGGCGCGATAGTAACTTATGCCCACGCACTTCTGGTAAGCCCACGCAAGTCAAGTGATGTCATGTGCGCGTGTCTGGGGCTAAACCAAAAAGGAAATATCACGCGTCTGTCTACATCGCGGCTCAGTAAAACGCCTGCCTCTTGACTCTTCCCAACTCTGGCTCATTGGAGTCTGAACTATTCAGTCATGGCAGAAAAAGAGGCCACTGTCTACATTGTGGATGTGGGAAGGTCCATGGGGGAGCGTCGGCACGGTCGTCCCAACACGGACCTGGAGTGGGCTATGGAGTATGTCTGGGACAGGATCACGACCACGGTATGCATGCTTTACTCTCCTGACTCTCCCTATGGCCTTCATTAACTGGTTGGCTAGGTTGCAACTGGCCGCAAAACTGCTACGGTCGGTGTAGTCGCATTACGGTCAGATGGTACGCAATCAGCTCCAGCTTCCGGGCCTGTCTAATCGGGTTGAATTCCAGAGACCTCCAATGACCTCCAAGAGGACCCCAGCTTCTCAAAAATATCCGTTCTCTCGGATCTTGGGCAGTATGCTGTTTGATGCCCTGTCTATGAATTCTGTGGCTAATTTCCCAGAGTACTTATGCCTGACATTCGGCGATTGCGAGCCGCAATCAAACCAAGCCACACTAACAAGGGCGATGGTGGGTGACCATTGGCTTCTTTATTTGAGTTTTCAGAAGCTGACTGGCTTTCAGCAATCTCCTCCATTGTCATTGCCATTCAAATGATTAATAGCTTCACCAAGAAGCTCAAATACAAGCGGAAAATTGTACTGGTCACTAATGGCACTGGAATGATGAGCAATGATGGGCTCGAGGAGATCCAAAAGAAGATCCAAGAAGACGGCATCGAGCTAGCGATCATGCAAGTCTTTTCAAGAGCATTTGTCCCGTTCAATCTCGCTAACCCGGTGCAGTGGGGCTGATTTCGATGACGCGGAGTTTGGTGTGAAAGAAGAGGACAAGGACTCTCACAAGGTAATTCTAAATCGGTCGAGTTTTGATATTTCTCGTTCTGATTCCATTCCCAGGCTAAGAACGAGGCCCTACTTCGCGACTTTGCCGAAAGCTGCGACGGTATCTATGGCACGCTCGAGCAAGCTGTCTCAGAGTTGGAAATTCCTCGCATTAAGGTCACCAAGAGCATGCCTTCTTTCAAGGGGTTCCTCTCTCTCGGTGATGCATCTAAGTATGAAACTGCACTACGAATCCCCGTCGAACGATACTTCCGAACCTATGTCGCCAAACCCCCGTCGGCGAGCTCCTTTGTCCTGCGTTCCGGAACTGGAACCGAGCAGGAAGAAGCTGGAGCTGGTGCAGGTCAGCCATCAAGTGACGGTGAAGCTCTGACCACCGTTCGGATGTCACGAACATATCAAATCGACGATGAATCTGCGCCCGGGGGCAAAGTCGACGTTGAGCGCGATGATCTTGCGAAGGGATATGAGTATGGACGTACGGCCGTTCACATCAGCCAGACTGATGAGAACATAACGACGCTGGAAACCTTTGCGGGCCTAGAAATTCTTGGGTTTATTCATATGGACAAGGTACGCTCCCCGGAAGTCGAAGTACATGTGATGAAACTAACCTCGCGGTGGTGTAGTATGACCGATACCTACACATGTCCAATACCAACGTTATCATCCCACAGCGAGCAAATGACAAAGCATCGCTTGCATTGTCATCATTCATCCATGCTATCTACGAGCAAGACTCCTACGCTGTTGCCCGGCTGGTGACCAAAGAAGCCAAGCCTCCATTGATTGTATTGCTTGCACCATCTATCGAAAAAGACTACGAGTGTCTCATCGAGGTCGCCCTTCCCTTTGCCGAAGACGTGCGATCATACCAGTTTCCTCCTCTAGACAAGGTCGTCACTGTCTCGGGAAAGATTGTCACTGAGCATCGCAATCTACCAAATAATGAATTACACCAGGCAATGAACGATTACGTTGACAGCATGGAACTGGACGAAGAAGAGTAAGTCGGCGAGTTCTGGAAGCCTATGCATTTCCAATGGCTGATTGAGTATATTCAGATTACCCATCGACGACTCTTACTCTCCGCTTCTGCACCGGATTGAGTCCGCAGTGCGGTACCGCGCTGTGCATCCCAACGATCCTATTCTTGAACCATCGGAGCAACTGACCAAGTTTGCTCATCCGGATAAGGAATTGGTCAGGAGATCGCACGGTTCCCTGGAGAAATTGGTCTCTGCAGCAAACGTCAAGAAAGGTAAGTCCCCCTCAACCCTAGTAAAACCGAAAGCATATATCAACTCGAGATCCTTTAGTCCCACCCAAAACCAAAGGCCGCAAACGCCAACGCGAAACTGAAAAACCCCTCTCCGGTCTGGACGTCGACGCCCTCCTCAAGCAAGAACCCAAACGCACGAAGATCTCCCCCGAGAACGCTATCCCAGAATTCAAGCAGATGCTCTCGCGCGCTGATAGTCTCGACACCATTCATGATGCTGTGAAACAGCTGGCCAGCATTATCGAGACACAGATCAAGCACAGCCTCGGTGATGCCAACTACGAGCGTGTTGTCGAAGGGCTGGGGACTATGCGCGAAGAGCTGGTGGACTATGAAGAGCCTGCGCTTTACAATGACACCTTGCGCGCGTTGAAGGGAAAGATACTGGGGGAGGAGCTAGGTGGCGATCGGAAGGAGCTGTGGTGGCTGATTAGGAAGAGTAAGCTGGGGCTCATTGACCGGGCTGCGTCGGAAATGTCGAATGTCTCTGAGGAGGAAGCGAAAGAGGTAAGTTCAGAAGAATACGATGTTAATCTGGATCAGCTGCTGATTGGGTGTACAGTTCTTCTCTGCAAATTAACAACCAGGTGCTTTTCCATAGCTTTCGCGTAAAAGTCTGCCGCATCTCTTGCTGGGATCATCATTAGATGAGAATGATACACGTTATGACACGACAAGGCATCGTATATTTTGAAGATAGACGGAAACAGCTTCTGCCTAAGTGTTCTAAAAATCGCCCATGCTGGGAATCAAAATAGTAACAAAGAAACGCTCGAATGGAAATGGAGCATAGAGTGACTCGCGCTTGATATCATGCTCAACAAAAGCAAAATGGGTGTATACGACTTCCTCCAACACGATGGTTTATGAGATCTTGCCAATCCGCTTCTTTCCAACGTCTAGCTTGGCTCTCAATCTGTAGCCCGCAGTCAGTAAGAGATAGTCCACGACTAAAAGGATCAAGACTAGAACGAACCGATCGGTATCCTCATCCGTCAGCTTCAACAGCTCATTCTGCACCTCCAATTCCTCATGAATAGCAGTTCCCAGCTCCCTCTGCCGAATAATAATTTTCATCAACTCCTCAACACTCTGGTCCTGCTCCTTCATCGTCTGTTGTTGCAACTGTAGCACGCCCTCGTTGTCCAGCTCGCGTGTGCGCTCCGTCTCCTTGCCAAGAACTCTTCCAGATCGTACGGGGGTCCGGCGCCCACCGTTCGCTGCTTCCGCATTCCCCGCCCTCAGTAGCGCCTCCTTATCCTGGATTGAGGCCACGGCGCGATCGAGCCGGCTCTTTGCGGCCATGGCATTTAACAAGTCTTCCAGTCCATCCCTTTCCTTACGCGCGTTGATAAGCAAGTCCTTGCGGCGGCGCAGCTCGCCGTCACCCAAGCTGGATGATCTGGATGATTCCTGGGCTTCCCGGCCACCCAGGCTCTTTAAGCCTTCTTCCAGGGTGGTGATCATGGATCCGGCGCGGACGAGACTGCTCTTTGCTTGCGCGGAGCTCTCGTGCTGTTTCTGTGGTGTGGTCTCCTGATCTCGGCGGGACAGCTGCAGTCGTGCATCGTGGAGGTGGGATTTCATGTCGCGGTAGTAGTCAAGCCAGAGGGTCGGGTCGGTAATTGAGCCGTTGGCTGCTGAGCCGGGGTCTGTAATGGCTGCATGCAGTCGAAAGGAGGTAGTTGAGCTTCCATTCGAAGATGTTGCTGCAGCAGTAGGAAGGTTTAGGAAAGCTCGCCAGGCAGACGAGGTGCGCCAGCGTCCATCAGGGGCCTCGTTGATCGCACGGAGGTATTCCTCGAGGCCGCGACGGCGCTCTTCACGGAAACGCTCGTTGGTGACGGTGTTGGAAATCCAGGATTTCGACGGGAGAGGTACAGGAGGTTGCGTATCGGTCTGGCTGATCAGATTGCTGTTGAAAGCAGCAAAGTCCGAGTAGCGCTTCGAAACGGTAAAGGAACGGAGTGGGAGGCGAATCGTGATATGGTAGATTGTGTGCGGAGGAGATGTATGCGAGAGACTAGTAGATGGAATGGCAATCTCAACGGTTGGCGCCATGGCTAGTTGAGTGGCAGTGGCATGGGGGAGTGGAAGTTGGAAGATAAGAAGATCAGTTGAAGCTGAAGGAACCCGCGCATGACGCAACACCCCGAAGCAGTTTAGCCCGAGCTGCCAGGCACCCACCGCCCGCAGTATACAATAAGCTACGAGGAGCAGAGGAAGAGGCGATTGACAGGTTTTGGAATGAAAAGATAGATTGACTGTACAATTGGGGTATCTCATTTCTCTCACGTCTCATCCATAGCATCATCTCTGCCCCAGACCTCCCGTGCATCCAGCAGGTCCCGCTGACCGAAGAACTCGCCCACAATAGTGATAATCATATCAAGCAGAGCACGTGCTTGTTGCGCCAGGTCATCTCCATCCACTTGATTCACCTCAGCGGCTACTTCTGGAGCCGCTTTACTCTGTAGCTTGGCCTGTAGACGTGACTTCGCAGCCTCCAGCGCCGCGGACAGATCGGTGTCGTCGAGCAGGCCGGCGTCCGCCTGATCCACAGATGCCCCTAGGGCCTCTTTGCTCGGGGTCTCAACTGGAACCGCCTCCTCCGTCTGAGCCTCCTCTCCATCTCCTGCTTCCGAATCAGAAGCGTCACTCTCCTCCGCAGATCGCTTGGACTCCGTCTCCTGCATCCTATGCAGAATCTTCACAGCTCGTTTGCCAAGGTCGCGTAACTCTCCCACTTGATTCGTAGCCAGCTCTCCGACCTCGCGACATTTCCCCAATAGCGCCCAGGCCCAAGCGCCAAGTCGTCGAATGCGATCGGCGTCCCCGGCCCGTACGTTTTCACCCAATCCTCGGGCCAGTATGCTCAGCACCCTCAGTATACTATCCAAGTCCATGCACGCCAGCTGCACCATTCGCGGCTCTACTGTGAGCAGCAAGCGCCGCCATTCCTTGCGTGCAGCTGTGTTGCGATCTGGCAGGCTAATGGGATGAGCGTCGTCAAGGGCCGCGATAGCGGTCGCTGGGGGCGTACAACGCAAGGTCGATCGGAGGAGGAGGAACCGGTGTCGGAGGAGGTTATAGTATGACACCTGCGCGTCGGGAAATCGTTGATCAGTGGCGGCGACCGACTCCTTATCGGCCTCCACGGGCGCGACGTAAGCCTCGTCCTCGAAGAACCCAGCCGGGAACTTGTGTAGCTCCGGCGCGTCTGCATCACTCTGCGTATCCGCCTCCAATCTTTCAGTGCCTATTCTCGCGATCGGCGCGATAAACAGCGAGGGCAAGGAGTTTGCTTCAGACCTAGAAGTTCAACATATCACAGTCAGATCCGTGTTCGCAACATCAAGAGGGGAGGCTAAGGGACACGCAGTGAAATTTAGCAGATGATAAACATCAGCCTGAGGGGGAAAGAAAAGACTCACCGGACCATGCGTAGATACTCCAGTCCGTCATCTGCAGGTCCGTAGAACAGCTCATCACCGCCGTCGTCTAGCCCCGGGAAGGCGCTCTTCTGGCCGTAGATAGGGTTGTTCCGAGGCCGGTCGTGGGACGACATAGAGGGTAGGGTATCGCTTCCATCCTCGTTCGAGATACGGAGCCGTTTAGGAGATGGAGCAGACATGGATGCTTTGCGCTTGTCGGGCATCTTGGGACGGAGGCGTTGCAAGAGGAAAAGTTGGGGAGAGCTTGGGCCTGAGGCGCTTATCATTGATCTCGATAAGAGGCTTATCAGCATATTTGGAGTAATCAAAGTCCGACTGGTAAGTTTCGATGGCCGAGGCGTAGGATGGATGGGAATAATTGGCAAAATGACGGGCATAGAGGATACATTTCGTTTGTAATTGCGTGCTTGATGGGAATGTTTTTGAGTAGATAGGCTCGTTGGTCAGTGAGGAAGGAGGATCTGCCTTATCTCTGAATAGTTCAGATTCAAAGCCTTCTGTTCTCAGGGTAAAAAGAAAAGAGGGACTGTTGGAAGGAGTTGGTAAATCACTGCAAGACGGGGGACTGGCCCCGCTAGCTTCACAAACATCAGAGATCTGAGAATTATGTCAAGTAAATGCACCAGACGTTAGGCAGCTAACATCGAACCCCGAATATCCAGATGAGGGCGTTGGGTGCGTGTTGTGTTTTGTTGGTCTTCGATTTCGTGTCAAGCGCCTATGGAGGGTAGTTGAGCACCAAGCTACCGACAACGTATGCATATACAACCCTATACAACCTTGAGGAGCTACAAGACTGGGGAGCTGACTGTACGAGAAAATATTTTCGGATGAATGTTGCGAAATGTTCGCGAAATTCATTAGAAAACTTTGAGCCGGTCAGAATATACAATAGACGGGGAAAATTGCCTCACCCCCTGGTTTCATCAACATCCTTCACAGAAAGGTGGACGGAAGAGGGTGGGTATAGCTTCAGCAGGAGGCAGTTGTAGATTGTAGTTGGGGCTGCGGGTGGAGTCGGCGGGACAAGCCCGCAGCGACCCGCCGCTAAGGCGGGCGGCTATCCATTAGTTAGCTAACGCCCGACCCGCTGCACGTAGTCATCCGGAGATCGGCTCCGATCTACTTCCTATTATAAAACAACCTTGAACGAGGATAAGTATGAAATAAACACCTCTCATCTTAGCCGGCGAGTGCGCGAAGGAATAGTCTAGCCAGTTAACCCTGCATCCAGCGAGTTCGCGTTCGATTTCTATAATAACGGCTTTCTGAGGGGCCAGGTCGTGCCCGGTAGGGTGGTTCTGGCGTAGTTTGTACGGCCAGGCTGCAGGCGCAAAACCTCCACGGATTTACAGCGTGTTTCCTCAGATGGCACCAAAAGTGGATTCTTGGAACGAACCTGATTAATCTATATCGATTTATAAGGCGTTTAGTAGACATTTGAGGGCAACTGGCGCCGGTTAAAGTGGGTGATTGCATCCTCAACATGGCCATGGCTGCCGACCATCGGTTGAAACCTGACGATCAAGAAAATAACAACAGGAGGTGGGAAAGTACCTGGAGGAGTGGTGGTGGTGGTGGTGGTGGTGGTGGAGAGATCACTCCTAATCAATAAGTTGTCTTCGTCCCATTCGAAGCCAATTGAAGCTCGCGATCGGGGCATTAGGGCACCGGTATGGCAGATTTTCTTGCAAACAGGGCAAACTTAGGCCATCAGAATGTCAACAGACGCCCTTGGTTTCTGAAAAAAAGGAAAGGAGACAGAAGGATAGTTCATTTAGTGACTACGCCCTTCTCCATTCGAACCCGACAGTGGTTGGTTAAAGTGAGTATCACGACGTCGACTTAAATATGCCCTCCAACTGGCAGAGTAAACAATGGGACATCCAAGAAGGAGCAAAACTATTTCAAGACGTGAGAGAGGCAGATGGCGCAATCATCACCAATATCCTAGTCCTTCCTGGTTTGGAGTCTATCAGAAGATTTGAAACGCGATAGGCCTGGTGTTAACGTAGGTGTGGTTCTCAAGCAACAATGAAAATGTAATTTATAGTGGGCCAAAATGATGGTTGCAGCATCAACATGGGTTTCACTCTTGCCCGACAAATGAGCATGAGAGGATAGAAGGAGCGTATAAGAGTGTGACAAGAGCAAAGACAAATATCTCAAGGAATGAAGCAGAAGTTTAGAAATATTCTATACATTGTCTTCCTTTTTGTTGATTGATTTTTAAGTTATTCCGAATTAAGGTACATCGGTGATGGGGTTCCACATGTGCGTGGCCACAGAGTTTAGGGGACTGGAGGAGCAACTGGAGAAGCAGTAACAGGGCTAAACTTATTTGAAGATGTAACAGGAAGAAATAAGTCACCCAATCATTGTATTCCTTTTTCTTCAATAAGATTCTATCTACACAATGAGCCAATCATGGCCGCAGGCGCTGCGGGTCACGCGGGAACAGCGATGCCAGACGCACATTAGGCAGACCCAGGAAGAACATCACAATACGGTTCATACCCAGACCACCACCAGCGTGTGGAGGACAGCCTTGGCGGAAAGCATTCAGGTAGTCCTCAAAGCCTTCCTGGGTTGGGTCAAGGCCCTTAGTGCGCATAGACTCCTCCAGCTCCTTGATATCGTTGATACGCTGAGCACCCGACATAATCTCCTCACCACGCATGAAGAAGTCATACGAGTTGGAGAACCGGCTGTCCTTGGGATCGGCCTTGGTATAGAAGGGACGCACCGCCATAGGGAACTTGTCCAGCACGTAGAAATCAGTGTCGTACTTCTCACGGATGATATGGCCAAGCTGCTTCTCCATCGCGGTGGAAAAGTCATTCTCGAAGCGCTCCTGCTCGGACATGTCGACACCAGCCTCCTTCAGAAGTGCAACACCGTCCATATAGTTTAGGCGCAGGGCCTTGCCATCCTTAGGCAGCTTGAAGTCGCCAGCCTTGGGATACGACTTCTGGATGGTAGCGATCTGAGCAGCGTAGCGCTCCTTAAGCTGGGTGAGGATGAAGACCAGGAGGTCCTCGGCAAAGTCCAGGACCTCATGATAGTGGTGGTGGAAGGTCTTCTCGAAATCGAGACCGGCGAACTGCGAGTGACGTTAGCGGGGGACTTCCTCCCTTCATCTCCGCCTGATAATCATACCTCAGTCAAGTGGCGGTGGGTGTTGCTGTCCTCCGCACGGAATACAGGGGCGATCTCAAAGACGTTCTCCATATCACCAGCAATGCACATCTGCTTGTACAGTTGGGGACTCTGGGCAAGGTAGGCATTGCGCTTGAAGTACTTGACCTCGAAGACATTGCTACCACCCTCAGTAGCGGCTCCAACCAGCTTGGGGGTGAAAATCCACCGAGAGCCGCTCTTGATCATGTATTCGGCAAACAACTCAGCAACACCACTGGAGATCCACGTAATGGCCTGGCTGGTCTCCGTCTGCAGGTCGAGGACACGGTTGTCGAGACGGGTCTTGAGGGTAACAATGGGAGCACCTTCAGCGTCGACTTGGCCCTCCTCGGCCTCTGTTGGGGGAGGACGCTCGGCATCTTTGACCTGCATGGGCAGCATCTGCGCAGCCTCAGAGATCATGTACACCTTGCGGATGTGGAGCTCCAGATGGCTGATGGTCGCGGACGAGATAGGAATCTCGGGCTTCTTCACGATACCAGTAATCTGCACGATGGAGTTGACGTTCAATCCACCGGTATACTTGATCATCTGGCGTGAGATGGGCTCGGCGGCAGCAATGACGGCCTGAACCTTCTGTCCCTGCTGGCGCAGCATCAAGAACGCCAGCTTGGCGCTCTGCACACGCGCATTGTCAACACGCGCCACAACAGTGACCTCCTTCTCATGATATTCCTCTGAAAGCTCGCTGAATCGGGTGGTAGGAATGACTTCCTCGGTTTCGGGAATCGGGCCGTACAGGTCCTTAGCGGTGTCATTGGCCTCGGCGGCGGCGGCCTGGGCCTTCTCCTGAGCTGCGCGGGCAGCAGCCTTCTCAGCCTTAGCCTTTTCCTTGGCTGCTTTCTTCAGCGCATTCTTGCTGGCGTTCTTGGAATCGCCTTCCGCGGGCGCGGCGGACGCTGGTGTCTCCTCGGGCTTGGGACGGGTGGGCAATTCGGTGTCCGCCATGATGCTGATGTGAATATTATCAGACGAAAATCGCGACCGAAAGCTGGAGTGAAGCCTTCTTACCTCAATGATGCTCTGGAATGGTAAGCTCGGCGGTTGACACTTTGTCTTGACTCACCCCGCCGTGCAAGCTGCCCTAAACCCTAAGAGGGGGACATCATGTGATCCGCATTATCTCAAAATTGGTGCCTGAGAAGTCAGGCCTCAAAAAAGTAACCAACTACGAATGATGTACGGAGTAAACAATGCTAATAAACTCGCTGCAAAATAAGGAACCTCACAGACAAATAAACACAGTACAAGCGCCGTGTTTATGCTTCCACCGGTTGCATCAATATGTGCCTGCTGAAGCGATTTACAAGATCGTCTAATCTATTAGCCAGTCCACTTGGACGTTTTCAGCGCCCACTGCACCGCCTGCTGAACATCATCCGCGATAGTATGTGGAGTCCAGGCGGGCTCTCCACCACTATATACACCAGTTCGCACCAAAATGGACTGCCAGCTGCTGCCAGTCTCGCTGCGGTAGGAGTTTGCACCCCGAATGTCTGACTCGGGGTTGTCTCCAATCATGTAGACCCGCTGCAAAGGAGGTAGATCTGCCGCGCCACCGAAAGCCTTGGCTCGATTCCGAAGCAGCTGTCGCTCGGCAAACTCGTAGGTGGGCTGGTAAGGCTTGCCGATCACGGTTTTCTTCAGTTCAATACCTTTGCTGGGACCACCTGTCGTCGCGGCCCAGACACCTTCCAGTGCCTCTCGGAACCCGCCCTGGCCAAGACGTGGCAAGGGATAGGCAGCCGCCCACCACAGGTCGGGATTGGAGAAATATAGATGGGGTTGTCCATCCTGCTGGTAACCGTGATTGGGGAGGTCGGCCCGGCCGTTCTTTTCTGATAAAGTACCGAAGTGCCCATTTGAGGAAAGCAAGATATCCAGAATCACCTGTGTATCAAGGGCCCAATCGCGAGGATCATTAAACACGAAGACAGCGTCGATCTTGAGGCCTTTAGTAGGGTCGGCCGGGTCCAGCGGCTTGGGAAGCGGTCGTGCAAATGTCTTATAGTATTCTGTGAAGTTCTTCGAGAAGGGCCAGACGGAGGGGTTGGCCATGAAAATATCTCCTGGAGTCACGACGTTCTTAAAACCGTATCTAGATGTGTGTATGAGCAAAAGGCTGCCATGGATATGTATCGGAAGATGTTCAACGTACTGTTCCGCCACGCGCCGACAACTATCGCCATCACCTCCAGCCACCAACACACACTTATGCTCGAGCGCACCCACCTCATCCACACCTTTTACCAGCTCTGCAAAAGGCGAGTGGCTCTGGATAATGACAGATGGATCCAGTGGGACATTCAGCTTTTCACTGATCTCGGCGACGCGTTCCATCTCGTGTTTACCGCCGCCGTTTGTGAGGAGAATGAATGGAATACCCTGCTCCTTCAAGAGAGCCAAGGAGTCGGCAGCACCGGGGATGGGTTTTGAGGATCGGAGGAGGACTCCATCAATGCTAGAGCAAAGTGTTAGACCGGAGACATGAGGAGTTGGCCGTGAGCATACATTGCTGTCACTCACTCAAAGGCAAAAGCAAAGTTCGGTATCCGGGTGGTGGTGGTCTGGATAGCTCGACGGCCCGAGCTGCACCGGACCGGCACTCTCTGAAGCAGGCTGAGTGACCGCCACACTGATTGAGGTCTCATTCTGTCGCGTTGAGGGAGAGCAGGAGGGCTTGGAAGCGGCCAGCGGGGGAGGTGATATCATCCCCGACGCACTTCCGCACCTGCCCCACTTGCCTGCGCTTTCCCCCGATTCGCCGTTCGCCGCTTCCTCCCGCTTGGCCGGTCAAGATAGACACCCTATCCAAAATGATCATGTCGTGCTATATCCCGGCTCCTTCTCTTCTCTTGTGAAGCCTCCCTATTCTTGTCTTGCCTTGCCTGCCCCTCCCAGCCTCAAGTGAAAGCACCAGCACCGCCCCGAGATGATATGATCAAACCCGGGCTCATATATCATGCAGACTATGCATAGCCCTCATCTCCCCACGGAGGTTCTCATTTGCATCGCTGAATGGCTGTCGTGTGACCCTCCCTATGACCCTACACTCAATCCCTTCGGAGTAAGACAGAGGCACTTCTACAGGTTTTGCCTGGTTTCTCGCCAGTGGTACTCAGTTGGTATCTCTTACCTGTACAGCTTTCCCCAGCTGTGGGAAGGGAACCGATTTGTACAATTCACCAATACCGTGAGCCCACCGCTTGGCCTTCCAAAAAGCAAAGTGGACCTGGGAACAATGGTGAAGGTCCTTCATTTGGGAGGTCTCGTCCATCAAAGTTCAAACAGCCAGACTGCGCGGCTACTGGGTCGGCTCAAGAAAGGCTTGACCAAATTTGTTGCTCCGCAAACTGGTCTTGCGCAAGTGTCTCCAAGAATATCTGATCACAGGTGCCGACTGACAATTTGACTAGCGTCAATGGGCTTGCGGCAATTTCAAAATGCCGAGAACTCAGGCACCTCGATTTGAGACTCGTCCGCGGTCGCTCAATCGACTTTCCACGCATCAAAAAGGCTGTTAGCAATCTTCAACAGCTTCGGAGTCTCTTTCTGCCTGCTACTATGGAAATGACCCCGACCGATTCCTCTGCTGGAGAGTGGCCACCGAGGCTCTCGTACATGACTGTTGGAGGATATTTTAATCCTGAGCTCATGCCAACATTCAACTGGCCACCTAACATTAGCAAATTACAACTCAGATACTGTACCGAGTTGGATACACCAGTCCTCAAGAACATCTTCTCCAATGAGCAACTTCGCACCAGCCTTAAGGGCCTCATCTTGAACAACACCAACTGGGAAATGTTCTCCGAGGAAGAATCAGACGTGCTGTACTCCTTGCCGAACTTGGATTATTTGAAAATGCCCCTGGATTTTATGAAGTATCTTATGATACTTCCTGTTCGTCACGAAAGGCAACCGCTCCCCCTCCGGACGCTGGAGCTGACGCAGCGATACTTTCGAGATGATTTGAATTTCAACTTTTCAGAGGAGCTTCTCAAGGCGCTGAGCAACAATCTTCGCAACCTCTGGGCTCTGGGTATTGGTGAAAGTTCCCTCGATGACATCAAAGATTCTTACAAAAGGATCGATGATGAGATCTGGAAACATGTGGAGACGAGCTCTGATGACGAGTTTGACAAGCTCGGTATCGAGGATGTGGGCATCTACACGATCGATGATGACACTGGTTGCGGAGACCGAACGTTGGTTGCTCCAGTGAATGATTTCAATATTTAGTTTCATTAGCAAGATACCCCTATCAGCGTTGCTGCATACTTTGTCAAAGCCAGAAACTCGCCAGCCCGCCTCTCGAGCCTTCTCCCTTCAGATAACTGCTCATGTTCTTCAACATGAGTCGCAAAATAATTTGCCACAGCTTGCCATGGCTCGTAGAGAGATGATAAGCCTCCTTAGTTTATATCAATCTCCATCAATCCCCATGCCACTAGAGGACGTGACCCCAATATCATCCCCCAGCCAGCGATCAGTGGTTTCTTAATAATGATATGGGGTCAATTGGGATCCTCTTCCTGTCGCAGTCAGCGTGTACAACTCTCGGCAGCACCCGGAACCTATATCAAGTTTGGTAGCCTTTCACCCAAGTGTGGCCAGACGGTCTGAACTGAATGGAGGAGATAAGAAATGGGGTCAAAGAACCGTAGCCTCCAGCTACCAACCAAGGTGATTACCCTGATCGCAATATTCCTCAAGAGCACTTTGAAAATATCGGAACGTCAACGCTTCTTCCACAGCTTTTGCTTGGCGCCCTGGCAGTGGGACTCGGCCCGCATCGCACGCCGAGACCTAAACCCAGAACTTTGAACAGACATCCAACTTTCGCACCTACTTTACGCTATGAGTCCTCCTGTTATTAATAATAAGCTCAAGGCTAAGGTCGAAGAGCAGAAAAAGCGCACAAAAAAGGAAGAAGAGCGTTAAGTCAACCTTAGATCCACGGTCAGGCACCTACAGCTTCTGGATATAAATAGCGTTCAAATTCTGGCCAGCCAAATAAAAAGACTGCTCTTACATTTACATGTTTCGCCAAGGGAAGGTCTCAAGTGATTTAACATCCAACAACTTTTCGTATTGATAGAGATAACCAACATATTAAGATTGTTTATTACTTCAGTGAAGAATATCCTGCTACCTATTTGGGCTAACATGCACGAAACGCATCAGATTAGATGCGATTTCCTGGTCGACTTTGATCACCCCACCTGTCCAGCACTCTGCCCGGTAAGATCCCCCCAAGGCGCTGCGGTTTGTCTCGGTGTCACCGAGCTGGAAAAGTTGAGCAACCAATTGGAGATTACACCGTGATAGAAATACTCTGTGTATTCGCAATCACTCAAACATGTTTTAAGGCTTGATGTCACAAATGTAACTTCTTGTTTCTTCTAAGTGCACCAGGAAATATTCTCTAAGAACAGATGCAGTGCTAGTGAATATATGATCATAGTGCTTGTCATGCATTGATCGATCTATTTGACACTCAAGCACAGCAGAAAGAAAGTAAAAGACAAACTGGCTCGACAGCAGACAGACACAGTCCTCCAAAATTTTTAGCAGTCATCATGGGACTCGTCACAACCAGCAAAATAAGAAAAACGTCGCCCTGGAAGCTTAAAAAATGGCAGGCACTAATGAACATCAACAGGGGGTGGCAGTAGAAGAGTGTTGTGGGTGTGAGTGGGACCAAGTAAATCCTCATGTCTACTACAATTTGATATAAATAGCGGAAAAAGAAAAAGGGAAATAGGTTTAACAAGACATTAAGTAACAGATGCAATCACCGCAGCAGCAACACCCTCCTCTTCTGCCCGTACAGTGATCTTAGTTGTGACGCCAGTCTTGCTGGAGTACGCCATCTTGATTAGGGAGGCGACACGGCCACCAGACACGGTCTTACCGTACAGCTTCAGGGTGTGGGTGCTGTTGTTGAGAGCGACATCTGTGCCCTCCAGGGGCTGGAGGGAGAGGGCAGAGATGAGTTGCTCAGTGGCATCTGGAAAGGTTAGTATTTTGAGTAAAATAGGGTCCTTGGAGTATACGGATTCAAAACATACCGGCAATGCCCTTCATGTTGCCTAGTTGCAGGGTCTCACTCTCTTCCTCGCCGTTGGCACCGGTTTGCTCCCAGACATGGTCAAAGCTGCCGGCGAAGGTGGGGATGACATAGTCACTGCCGGTGAGCTCGAGGTCTTCCACCTGGTACTCGTCATCATAGCCACCATCCTCCGGATCGCCAGTCGTAGGGTCGATCTCCTTGCTGGTGAACTTGAGAATGTTGGTAAAGGAGGCGACGGGGACGCTGTGCTCGCCACCCAGCTTCTTAAATGCCACGTAGACAACACCAGGCTCATTGGGCGAAAGCCTAGGGGCGGGAATGATGAAATCGTCCTCCAGCACATCTTCCTCTGATGGTGTGGCGATCACAGTCACGTTCTCAAGAATGGTATCGGGCAGAGTGTTCTTGATATCATATTGCACGACAATGTTGTCCTTGAAGATGTGCTTGACAGCAGTGACGACGTACTCAGTCTCGCTCTCGGAGAGCTCAACAGGCACGGAGGACTTGAGCAAGGCACCGTACTCCTCGATATCGGGGTGCTGCATGAGCTGCTCGGCGTATTTTTGGGTAGCGGCAGCAGTGGCAGCCTCGGCGACACCGTTGGACTTGCCCTTGGGAGGACCTGTGGAGGGGGCCTTGAGGGTGGGTGTGGCCGTGGTGAGCTTCTTGGTCCGCTCCTCGGCCAAGGCTTGCTCGTGGGAGACAACGGGGACAGATGAAACATCGAATGCAGCGGCAAATGTCTGCTTGTCGTTCGAGGTGACGTACATGACGAGCTGGTGCTCAAAGGTGGAGAGAGAGTACATCGAGTCTATGTATGTCAGTAAAAGAGTGTGCAGCGTGTTGATAAAAAAATCTTACCATTCTTGATGAATGCAGACGCGGTCTCATCTTCGGCGCTCATCAGACGCAGGTTAAGGGCAGCACGATCCCGAACCTCATCATCGGTGTCATCAACACACCGGGTGAGCAGAACCTGCACACTAGACTTGACTTCGGGGTCCTTCTGGCCAACACCAAACTTGGCCAGCGCAGTGACAGCGGCGGCACGGACAATAGCGTTCTCCAGAACCACACGGTTGTAGATGTACCGGATATACTTGGTAGGGTGCGAGGTCTTGGGGCCCTCAACACCGAGCAAGTGCAGAACACGGACGGAGAGCTTGGTGAATTCGCAATCCTCGATGAACTCGCAGAGGTGGGCGAGAGCATCCTCCTTGCTTTCGGGAACGAACTTGATCAGGTCAAACATGCTCTCAACAACAGTGCGCTTGAACTCGTAACCGCCCTCATCGCGCAGGATGCTGCTCAGGAAAGTCAGCATACCAGCCTGCTTGCTGGGGAACTTCAGGCACAATGTGCGGATAGCCTCGACAATGGTAATCTTGAACTCGTCGGTGATATCGGCCATAAAGCCAGAGATCTGCTTCATCAGGCGGTCGACGCTCGCCTCGTTTCCTGTCTTGAGCAGGGTAGTGATAGCGAATGTGGCAATGGAACGGTTGGAGTTAGAGATAAGCGACTCGATGTCGGGGTTGCACACGTTGACGACATGGGGCTTAAATGAAGCGAAGTTGTGAAGGATGCGAATTGCGGCGAACTTGGTGATAGCGCGTGGAGAGGACAGGAACAGCTGGAGGACGTGAACGGCCTGCTGGGCCTCGGCGTCGGTGACATCCCGCACGTCGCAAATGGCCTTGGCAGCCTCGAAGTTGACCATTTCGTGCTTGTGACGGAGCCAGCCATCCAGCATCTGCATCATGGGTTTCCGGAGACCAGGGTCTTCCTCCGCCAACTTGGCCGCGAGGCGCACCAGTAGCACCAAAGCTGCCGGGCTCTTCACCATACCAGCAGCACCGTATTGTTGCACCATCTTGACTAATGACATGCGGTCGTGAGAGCGCATCTGGTATAGGAGACCAATTGCATGATACTGAGTCATGAAATTCGACTGGGAGATGGCGTGAGCTTGGGACCCAGACGAGAAGCCTAGGAAACCAGTGGATTGCTTCGATGACGAGGCTGCCTCCTGGGTTTCGCTCTGCCACCTCCGAACGACGTCGCGCGCGATAGGAAGGAGGTGATAAGAAGAGACCAAAGCAGCAGAGGAAACCGAGGGAGTCTTGTCGACAATGGCCGTCTTGATCAATCGCTCGATACCCTGGACCGTCGAGGCATCGATGATGCGGCATAGGGCTCGAATAGCATTAGCCCGGTACAGAACGTCACTTCCGACCGCAGTGTCCTTCATGATGATACTCGTCGACATGATCACATCTTCTGCAGTGTTGGCCAACTCCTTTAAAATGAGATACACCATCTGTCGCAAGGACGGGTCCTTGTTCTGGAACAGCTTGGAGATGCCGAAGAAGAGGGTGGTGGCTTCGTTCGTGGGGAATTGCTCTCCGGTGAACAGGAGGACCGCGATCTTGGTCAGAAGCGTACGGCATGTTCGCGGCGAGATTGGTGAGGAATTGAATAGTCGAGCTGGACGATTGGTCTTGTCAGCACCGGGCAATGGGAGGTTGTGGAGGTGAGGCGCATGGCCAGGGGCACTGTGCGGGTGGCCTACCATCTTGGAACACGGAGGTCCGATCAAGCTTGATCATGACCTGATCCGCATCTTCGTCTTTCTTCATGTAACTCATTTTGCCCAGGTGCTGGGATTGCGCCAGCCGAGTATGTTCGCGATCTCCTTAGGTTTGTCGGGCGGGTGTGCAATTGGGGGAGGAGGTAGGACACAGTAGCAGCAGGGGAGAGCGGTGTAGGCAGCTACTGCATTCGCATAGTTGACCCCCAAGCAGAACAGAGAGAGCGAGGTGACGAGGAAAATTAACCGGAGAAGAGGTGGTGATGACTCTCGACCTCGAGCTCCACGGCACTGTTTATGGAGTTAAGTTGAAGGTGGCCTTCCGTGTGTTTGGCAGCCACTTGTGGCGCCCTGACCAAACACTGCAAACAGGTGGCATCATGCATTGCGGCGCTGCCTTCTTCCCCTCTGTGTCAATAAATACTCTTCCACACCTCAAGTCCGAAGTGATTAGCTGATCATTTTTGGCTTCAATACATCATGGAGGTTGAAGTCAATCCCAACGAGGATACCGAATGGTACGTCTACTCCTCGCTCGTTGCATATATCCATGCGTCCCCACATGCTTGGAGCTATTTCACAGGCACAAGCTTGCTAACACAATGATTCCTCTAGGAATGATATCCTTCGCCAACATGGAGTCATCCCAGAGAAACCGAAAGATCCCGAACCTTTGATCCAGGAGGCCCTGATCGAGGCCGAGCGCAAGGCGTACGCGAACCGACTGGAGGACAAAGACCTGGACGAGCTGGATGCGCTCGAGGACGAAGAGGACGAGGAATTCCTCCAGCAATACCGGTCAGTCTACTAATTACAAAAGGAAAATCAAATCAAATGAAAGCTGACCTTCAACTTACCAGCCAAAAACGCGTTGCCGAGCTCTCCACCCTCCAACAAACCAGCCTGTTCAACCAGGTCTATCCCCTTCAAAAAGTAGACTATGCCCGCGAAGTGACCGAAGCCTCGAATAGCGCCTTTGTGCTCGTCAACCTGACCTCTCAGGGTGGCAACGTCGAGTCGCGTGTGTTGACCGAGCTCTGGCGCCAATTAGCTGCGAAGTTCGGCGACATCAAGTTCTGCGAGATCCGTGCCGACATGTGCATTGAGGGATACCCCGAGAGAAATACCCCAACCATTCTGGTCTACAAGGACACCGAGATCAAGAGGCAGCTCGTCACACTACGGGAATTGAACGGTCCCCGAACTAAGGTGGAAGACCTAGAACGCCTGCTCATTGATCTCGGGGCGCTGAAAGAGAGTGATGTTCGTCTCAAGAAGCGCTCTGACTCTGATGATGACCGCGGCAAGGACGACGAGCTCAATGTTGAGGACTATGATGACGACTGGGATTAACTGTTCTGCGCTATCAAACGACTACGGCCGAAAACTTCATGATTTTGCGACTTGTGTATATTATGATTTGCCCGAATGATTCTCCACCGAGGAACGGGAAGGAGGCAAATACAAACAAAACCCGAAGGACCTGGATAGTATTCTACAAGGTTCATTTCAGGCCAAAATCACAGCCACGAGTAGTAATATGCTGCTATTTTCTTGCGCGGTTGATCTAGGCAGGAAGGGCATGTAAATATGGAATCGATTACTCGTAGGTATAGATATTGTCCTGAAGTTTATGATTCAAATTCGTAGTGAGGAAAGTAGCATGTATTCACTTTGAGTCCTGTTTGAGGAAAATCAAAAGCCCAATTGAAATCATATATCTAGCCATAAGTGTTTAAATTATTCCCCGATAAACCAATGTAGAGATCCTAATCGACCACAGTCAGGTCAAGACATCGTAGTCCCACTATTACTCGCTCCGGCGCCATATTACTCCAAATTTGGGTTCATAACAAGAACCTGCAAAAGAAAAAAAACGGTAAAAGAGCATTGTATCATCAATTCGGAGGCGTAGACGGTCATCGCCGAAGAATGCATCCTAGATCAGCTCATCGCGATCCGCCACACTCTCCACAATTGCCTTGAGGACCTGGCTCTCCATGAAGGCAGGACCCAGTCCATCACACTGAGCCATCCCCTTAAGCCGCTCAGTGACGTCGCCGATATCCACTTGCCCGCGCTTGAAAAGCTCGTGGGCCTGAATAAGGTCCCACGTTGCGCCAGCATCAAGAAGCTTTTCGCCAGTGATAGAGCACACTGTGACGCGGTGTTGGCCCTGGACACTTGGGCCCGGAGGACCGGCAGCTTCGGGGGCTAAGTTCGAGTAGAAGTCTGTGGGGGAGTAATTCATCGGCCCTGTGATGATTGGCGCGGGGGGCTCTTTGGCGCCGTTCAGGGAGTGCGACGTTGCGCGAAGAATCTCGTTCTCGGTGGCGTATTTGGCAAGCTCGCGCTTGAGGCGCTCATTGTCGGCTTGGAGGGTGGAGGATGTTTGTTCGAGGTTGGTGACTTTGTCTTCAAGATCTTTCACATGGCGCTCTTTTCGCTCGCGGAATGCTCGTTGGCTAGAAATGTACCCATGTTAGTTTGTTCCATTTTAGGGACGCGAACGTATCTCTCATAACAACGGCTGGATAGGAAAGCCGTAAGTAGCACATGGGGCAATGGGACATCACGTACGCTGCCCGATTCTGAGCCTTGCGCTTGCTTTGCGCCGGTGTCGCTGATTCCTTTTCCTCGCTGCTACACCGCTCGGTCGGGTCGGCGGAATGGTGATCATCGCCATCAATAGATCCCGGGTCCGGCTTAGTGCTATTGTACACATCATTGCTCGACACCGAGTGCTTGGTGAACGAGTCAGGGGGCGAATGCGGCGGTGGGACCAAGGACGACGAGGGGTCGAGGCGGAAAGCAGGGTCGAAGCCTGGAAAATATTGGCCATAGGCGCCGTTCTACAGTCGGTGTTAGAAACATAGCCTTTGGGGATACCTATAGATGGGGAGCGACCGTACCAAGGCGAACGGGTCACGGAGAGCATCGTCGGATTGTGCCTGTGGCTGTTGATCGGGGGTTGGCAGCCCGTATAGCGTCGAGTAGGGCCGGGATTGGTGAGGGGCGTAGTTAGTGTAGTCCATCACGGTACACTGCGACGGACAGAAGGCGAGGCCTGAGTCTGTCGGAAAGTTCAGATGGAGAGAGAGGACAGGGTTGGGGCTGCTCTCTCAATGTATGGTCCCCAGTGTGCTTTCGAACTCGGAGAGTTCTGACCGATTGCCCACGGTGTGGCTCGGGCGCCCCGAACTAAGAACGACTATTTGCTTACGATACCGGATGGGTCAACCCAGATTCACCTAAAAATAACGTCTCTTCCACCATAGTCAAATCTATTTTGCTTATACAGAAGTCAACTATATTCCCTCTCGATCGCACTATTATTATCTCATGTACCATCTGACGATGTAGAGATCAGCCTGGACATCAAAGGGCCAGAACGGGGGGTGATGTATTCGATGATCTCACCGAAATTTAAGTTCATTGGCCACCTACCAGACCACGAGAATGATCGGAAAGTACGGAGGAAGAAGCAAAGTTCATATTAGATGTTGAAATCGACAGTAACTGTCAAGGTCTGATCGGGAACTGCCGGATAATAAACTTGGCAAAGATTCGGTGCAGTGTTGCCCTTCCCAGGCCTTTCGAGGGACGTCTGTAAAAGCGAGAACAAGAAAAGCAGAAGCAGGTTGAACAATTGAACATGCAGTTGGGAAGAGAGCAATGGGCTAGTAACATAAGAACACGATGCAAATCGACGCAATACCACCCCGGAAGCGACCCTAGCCAGTTTCCATCGCCAATCACCATACGCAAGTAGCCCTCTCCGAGCGGGCAGACATCCATCCGTAGGCCGAATTCACGCAAGAGCAGCGAGGCAAGAATCCGTGACCTGCGAATAAAGACCCGAAGAAAGCCAACCCCGAAGAACCGTCTCCACACACACACCAACATCCGATCGGCAAAGCCGGTCGTCCCCTCGTCCCCATACGGCGTCGATATGCAACAGATAAGAAACAAAATTCCAAAAGCAAAGGGGACAAAGGGAAAAAACACTGAACAGTCATGGGGAATAGGGGGAACAATGATGGGGGGTGTAACGCATGCGAACATGCGGTTTCCAGGATGTCCAGTACCAGCGACCAAGGGCAAGGAAACATAATGTTCATATGTCCAGATAGACGCCGTCATTTGCATCTCTCCTGAAAGTCTTGCCTTTCCAGTTGCGAGGTTCATTTGAGTTGAGAAGATACCAGAGTCGCAAAGGGTCGAAAAGGTCAAGACCCAAGAATAGCCACCATATCAAAGCGTTTCGAGACTGAGAGATCGGTCGTATCCCGCAAGGAAGGCAGGGATAACAATCCGAAATGAGAAATAACAGTAGTCAAAGGTAGTCGGCAGCTCGGCGCAAAAGACTGACCATAACAAATAGACCAAGTCTTCGCGAGGTGAAAGGGCGAGCAGACGAACAACAGTGGACAGATCGAAACGGCCGAGGTCGAGATTGGTTCGAAATCGGGATAGAAGGGCGGGTAGAGATGATTGCAGAATGAATGGAGAGATCCAAGGAGACAACAGAAATCCGAGAGAGTCATGTGTAGGATGATAGTGTCCACGGCGATGGTGACAATGGGATTCCGGGTGTCTTCGGTTGAGAAAGAGGGTGTGAAGCATGCAGGAGACAAGAAGAGGGGGTAAGAAATCAAATAAAATCAAATCCGTCGATCCCAGGTCTCGCTGCAAGTGCTACACGATTAGTACCATTGAGCCTCTGTTCCATCATCCCGCTTCGAACGGCCACCAGAAGGTCCATAACCTAAAGCAGCCCCCTTCGAGGCAGAACGCAGCCTAACGTCGAAGACTATACGATTAGTCAGATTCAGAACTGAAGGGTCCTCCACGCCAGCGTCACAAAAAAAACACCAAACGCGAGAGTAAAAAAAAAAGGGGTTCCCTACTCGGAACCAGGTTTCAAGTACTCACATCCTGTCACTCCCTCCCACGGCACGGTTGGTATCCGGGGTGTTGTCCAGGGCTCCACGGTCGATGACCTTGCGGCGCTGGCCAGAGATTGCACCGGGCTTAGCGGCCGCACCGCTGGCGCCAATGGGGGCAGCGGCACCCTGGCGGCGTACTGCCTCTTCGTCCTTGTCCTTCTTGGTAGCGTCCACGATCATGGCAGCATTCTTCTGGTACTTGTAAACAGTCCAGTCGAAGACGTAGTCGTACTGGAAGGACTCGCGGACAAAGAGATCACGGAAGATCTTGCGTAGGTAGGAGTAGTCAGGCTTGTCATCGAAGCGGAGTGAGCGGGTGTAGTTCAGGTAAATAGCGAACTCATTGGGGAATCCACGGCAGAGCACCTCGGTAGGTGTAGTCATCTTCTTCTCCATGATGCGGTCATACTTCTGCTTCTTGGTAGCAGCCTTCAAGCCCTGCCAGGGCAGAGAGCCACGGCAGAAGTAGAGCATCACGTAACCCAGGGACTCCATGTCATCACGGCGAGACTGCTCAACACCCAAGTGAGTGTTGATACTAGCGTAACGGGCAGTACCCGTGAGGTTCTTGTTCTCGCGGTACGGGATGTGAAAGTGGGTCTTGGGGTCGCGGTACTTCTTGGCCAGACCAAAATCAATCACATTGACCTGGTTGCCCCGCTTGCCAATGCCCATCAGGAAGTTGTCGGGCTTGATATCACGGTGAATGAACGACTTGGCGTGAATGTATTCAATGCGGGAGATGAGTTGATCGGCGAGAAGAAGGACAGTCTTCAGAGAGAACTTGCGGTTGCAGAAGTTGAACAGATCCTCGAGACTGGGGCCTAGAAGGTCGATAACCATGGCGTTGTAGTCGCACTCAGTGCCGAACCAGCGGACGAAGGGGATACCGACACCGCCGGCGAGAGACTTGTAGACGCGAGCCTCATACTCGAGTTGGGGGTGCTTGGCTTTGACGCTCTCGAGCTTGATGGCGATCTCCTCGCCGGAAATGATGTTGGTGCCTATATCATTGTCAGCCATGTAATATGGCCGATGAATTATCAATTCACATACCAAGGTAGATGTCACCAAAAGAGCCACTTCCGATCTTGCGGCCGATACGGTACTTGTTACCAACACGCAAATCCTGTGTATGATGTCAGCAAAAAACGCAGGTCTCGGATAGCGTGCTTGGGGGGAGGGCTCCAAAACGACAGCAGGGCCCCGATTCCAAAGTCCAAGACAATATTCACAGAAGGATATCGGGGGCCGGCAGGGAAGACAGGCGAAGAGGATGGAGACTGACCATGGTAGTCATCTTGGTTGGATTAGGATGGCACAGCAGCTGGCCGTGCAAATGCCTAGAGAACTGATATATCGCGGTCAGAAAAGTCGGCCAGGAAGATAGCACAGAAACGGGGTATGTGAGGTGAAGAGAAGAGATAGCTGCTGAAGCGTGGTAGTTTGCAAAGGCAACTCGGAATCGAAGAGGGGGTGTAAGACCTGAGCCTCAGGCCATCGGCGAGGCTGGCCGGGCTATCACATTTGGCCACCCGCAGTTGCCCCCGTAGGCAACATGAAACAAGTTGCCCCGGTAAAGGAAGCAAGGGAAGTGCATATGAATAGCAAGGAAGGAGGCAGCAAGACCCCAGAATTCCGAGCGTCAGACGAGACGAAGGCACTTACCTGGAAGCAGACGATAAGAGGGTGGAGGGACGGAGATTGTCCAATGCCGACCGTAGAGCAGCCGACCGGAGATTCGAGAGATGAAGGTTGTGAAAGTTGAGGGATCGGACAAGGCCGAAAAGAATTCACGGTAGAAAACAATTGAGAGACCAGAAAAATCGTAGAAATACCAAGGACGAAGCCTTGATAACCGCCCTGGGGGTGTGGAGGAGGGTTGGAGAGAAGAGAAAGGAGAGGGGGGGGGGGGCCGTTGGAGGAGTCGGTGAGGTGTGTTTTTTATTAGCGAAGTGGCTTACGGTGACCTGCAGAGTACTGTACCTCTACCAATACCTCCGCAGTACCGGGCGGCGCGAGTGAGCAGTGGGACGCCCGAGGTACCGCCCCGTCACTTTGCGCGAATTTGGGCTGGTATGGTAACGCCCGTACTCAGTATACCATCAGTAATGTTGGGCTGCAACTGTTTCTTGTTTGTTATTTTGGGAGTATAGGGGTCCAAAATGATATTCAGCAGTGACGAGGTCTTTGGCTGTCTGATACCTAGCCGGCCTGCTGTGCTAATGTCTATCTAGAATGTGTGATGGTGTCGGCGTCCGAGGCAAACGACTGGTTGGTTCTAGCCATTAAAGGGTTCGGGGTTCCCGCGGGGCGCCGCCGTCGCCTTGATTGATTGTCAGAGAAAGGGCGCGTCTCAGCTGACCAAAATAACCCCCATGGCTGCTGTGGATGGAACCTGGATTTTACCGTCTTTATATCCGAGCCATCACCTATAATCATAGACCGGACCTTCTATTCCTTATTCTTCCCTTCTTTATGCCTATGACTCTGAGAAATGGCCTAACAGACCCGTTACTGGGCTGTCTGGGGGTTTCCTAAATAGGCAATGTCTCATCTGCTCCAGGCCGAGCTGACCACCTACCATGCAGTGCCATATTTGGTCCGCGGGCCATGGTTGCCTGATATCCGTGGCACCATACACCTGCATCACTCTATATGCCCATCGCGGGCCCAAAATTTGCAGTCGCAAGGCGGGCAGATCAGCGCGGGTCGGTTTAGATGTGTAGATCTAGCTTGGTCAAACGAACTTGGGCTTCGACTTGAACCTGTTTGCATGAATTTAGATGGAGTAGAAACGTAGAAGTTGCTCTTTATTGAAAGAAACGATAGCGATTTTCCTGACTATGAGTAGACGGCAGGTTCGTGTAGAATGTGCTAGTGGTACAGCCAGGGTCCAATAAACATCGGAAAACCGGGGTATAAGAAAAAGGAAACAAACGGATACAGGGAACGATCGAGAAATTAAACCAGGAAAGCAAAAAAGATCAAGGTAACGCAGGGAATCCTGTCCCTCGAGGTGGCGATCAAGACAAAAACAACAATGGCAAACAAGAGAACCTTCCCATCCTACAAGGATCATGCATCGCAAAGTACCAAAAAAACGAAAAAAACGAAGGAACTCGAAATGAATACATGTGCAAAGCGCTCAGAAGAGGAGTTGTAAATCGAGATATCTCAAAGCGCATCGTCGTAAGATGGTAAAGAGATGTGCCGGCGCAGGGGTCAGAACACGTTTGAAACAGCCTCGGGCTTTTTGGTACCTCCGGACCGTTCTTCCTCATCCAGTCGCCTGCGCCACTCCGCCAAGCTATCGCTCATCAGAGCAGGGCCATCGCTGTTCTCCTTGGTCGGAGTCCGCTCCAGGTCCAGCTGGCTGCTCAAGCGATAGTTGCGGTTGGTACTTTCCCAGTGGGTGCGGAGGGCCTCCAGCTCATTAGCGAGAGAGTCTAAAGCCATGGATCCACGATTGTCGGGGAAAGTAGCCGAGTCTTGAGACACGCTACTATCGGCGCGTGTCCGGCCAACGGCAGTATTGCTAGACGCGTTGCTGTGAGTGCGGGAGATGCCATTGGTTCCCTGAACATGTTGAGACTGGCGGCGGTAGTGGCCCACGGAGGTTTCAACCTGCTCCAGGAGCATATTGACCTTCTGCTCCGCATCCGTAGCACGGATCTCAAGGTGGACGTTCTCCTTCTTGAGCTGCTCTAATTCACTGCGGCTGCGATCGGCGGCCGCAAGCAGTTCGTGCTTGGAGCGCTCGTGCTCAGCTTGCACCTTCTCCTTCTCGGCTTGCGCGGCGGCAAGCTCCTCCTTCAACTCCTTCATCTGGATCTCCAGACTCTCGAGCGAGGACGAGGTATTTGACTCCAGATCCGAGATGGACTTCTGGAGCTGAGCACGCTCAACCTCCCATTCAGCAAGAGAGTCCGACTGACTGCTGCCGGTCTCCACGTTCTTCTGGGAGGTCTCCAACTCGGACTGCAGCTTAGCATTCTGGATCTTGCACCGGCCCAGCTCATCCTTCATGCGCTTCAGCATCTTCTCAGTACCCTTGACATAGTGCACGGCCGACTGGTAATCATTCTCCAGCTGCTCCAGCTTCTCTCGGAACGCGCGGTCAGCTTCCTGCTCTCGGGTTTCGAAAGAGTTCTTGAGATCATCATGGGCCCTCATGCTATTCGACAACTGTTGCTCAAGCTCTCGCAATCGGCTCTGCTCTGGAGTGCCGAAGCGGGAGCCTGGCGATTCGAGGCGGGGGGATCGCCTGCTATCAGTGCTGATACCGCGTTCACCGAGGAGATCCTTCAGAGCAGCGTGCTGGATGGTCAAAGCATTCGCATCCCGTTGGTGGTTTTCAAGCTGAGACTTCAAGTCCCGGCTTTCCGCAGTCGCCGCCTGGCTCTCCTTCATAGCGGTTTGAAGCTGTCTCCGAAGCTGCAGTCCCTCGCGGCTGGCTTGCTCCTGGTAAGCCTCCAGGCCAGCGATCCGCTCTTCGGCGCGACGCAGCTTGTCAGCAGCCGCATCAGCAGCAGCTTGGTTAGCCTTCGCCAAGGTGGTGGACCGTTCGATCTGAGCCTCCAGAGCTACCACCCGTTGATCAGCACGAGACTTCATTGAAGCCTCCAGATCAACAGACGAGGCACGCTCAAGACCCGAGACGAAAGCGAGCTTGTGCATTTCAGCCTCCTTGGCATGGCTTTCAGCCATTTCTTCGGCGTCCCGTAGGCGCTGAGTGGTGTTTTCCAACTCGGTGGTTCGCTCTTCATGTTCAGATCGGAGCTGTAAGAGCTTTCTCTCCAACCCTTCACGGCGCTCTCGCTCCTCCTGCAGCTGCTTCTCGAGAATTGCGGTCTTCGCACCCGAAGCAGCGACGGCTTCCCGCAAACTGGCGAAGTTGGTGCCAAAGTCCTTGAGGCGTCCTGAAGAATCTTCGGCATGTTTGAGAAGCTCCTCCTTGTCGATGATGAGCTGCTTCAAAGCGGCCTCAGCTTCTGAACGCAACAAAGCCTCCTCTCTGGCGGTGGCTTCAGCACGGTGCAGCTCAGCCCGCAGATTCTCCGCCTCCAGTGCGTTGTTGGACATCTCAAGCTCTGCAAGGCGCTTGCGGGTGGCTTCGTTCGTGTCCTCGGCCAGCTCTTTCGCTTGCTTCTCCTGCTGCAGCTCAGTAGACATCACATCTAGCTTGGCCTTCAGTTCCGATTGCGAGGCGAGAGCCAACGCTAGGCGGCGTCCCATATCAGTCGGACGCTCATCCTCTTTATCACGAGAGCCCTCGGGCTGTGGAGTGCCTCGCTGGCTGCCACCGTGGGCAGCAAGTCTAGTTCGCGAGTATGCCGCCTCGCTGACAGCCACATCGCGCTGATGCTCGACTTCGGCGATCCGCTTCGAGGCGATGGCTGCCTGTCGATCCACGGTCGCCTGCATCTTGGCCAACTCAGCCCGCATGGAGAGGAATGCTTCAACGAGAGGGCGATCCTCATCATTGAGAGATTCATTCATGCGCTCGTCGATGGCAGGGCTACTTAATGCATTCGGGACGTAGCCACCCTTTCTTGCCAATGATAACTCGGATGCATACCACGCATTTCGAGCCTTGGCAACCTCCAACTCCTTAATCAAGGCCTCCTGATGAGGCGTCAGCCGCGGTGACCGGGGCTCATCGCCGAGGGTCCTCGAGTTGCGGAAGCTCCGAGATTCGATAGAGCCATCGATGCTAGGGGCTTGTCGGCCGAGCACAGACTCCTCTGCGCTGTCCATTGAGCCCCGCTGACGGTGCTGACGCAACGACCGTTGACGAGCAGGTGTCATCATTGGGGCTGCCTCACCAGCCTCCATTGCCTTGGCAGTGATCTTTTGCTGCGGTTGGGTTGGGGTTCGTTGACCGGAGGAGCCCGGGCCATCTGGTGTATCCTTTGCGACCGGAGATTCCACATTCCGATCGGCATTGGCGGCACGAATATCCACTGTCGGGGTAAATCCACGATCGTTCTTTGTTGGTGTTTTGCTGCGAGGGTTCGTTCCTGGTTGGGGTCCATTAGCCCGAGGGCCAGGAGAGGGGGCTTGCCCAGGCGGTGGTGGACCGGATGGCGCTTGTGCAATTGAGGCTCGTGGGAGTCGGGATCCGGGGCCGAGATTGGGATTCGATCCAAATTCCCCAGGCTTTGCACCCGCGATTTGAATGATGCTCTCGCGGGAGGGCGTAGGTCCGCGACGCAGTTGGTCCGGGGTCGCGTTCTGAGCCTCTCGAGATGTGCGTCCAGAGGGAGGACCTTGCTTCTCGCTACTCGCTTTCCTGACAGCGGAGAGAGGGCCACGATCACTCGACTGCGAATCATTAGGGTACCTAATTTTGCCAGTATCGAGAATATATGCCATGCTGAGCTCTGCCGGGTCCCGCGGGGCTGAACTCGGCTCGCCAGCCATCACAATGATCTGCTTGCCGAAGGCTGTCATGCTGTGACCTGACCGGGGAGATGGGGCGGGACCCATGTTCTGGAAAGAATACCAGCGGCGGGTTGTGATGCGGAACGCAGACAGATCCCCCAAATCCATTCCCTCGTCAGTACGACCACCAAAGACATACATTACGTCGTTGACTAGGGCGGAAGCGTGGCCCTCCCTGGGAGTGGGAATGAAGCCAACGCAGTCTAATTCAGTCCAGGCGTTGGCGCGGGGATCGAAAGACCAGACATCGTTGAACCATTTCACACCATTTGTTCCTCCGAACCTGTTCTAATCAGCTCAGGTGTTCCACTTCAGGCTCCCAGGCATATTTTGCTTACAGTAATAGTTTATCGTTGTGGCTGACGAGGGTGTGGTTGGTTCTAGCCGGAGGGATTTGACCCTCGGGAGGCCCACCCTCGTGGCTGTTTTGGATGAGTAGCTCCCACTTGTTTGTGGGGTTCTGGAGCTGATTCAAATCGAACGCCACCAAGTCATTGAAAAAGAAGCCTTCCACTTGACCGCCAAAAACGTATAGTTTCGAGCCGAGGATGTTCAAGGTGTGGCCATAGCGCCCGGAGGGGCGAGGACCAGGAGGAATTGCGCGAGACCATTGACGCGAAGCTAGAAATCTCACGTTAGGGCCGATATACTCTGCAAAATGCAATGTCAAACCAAACATACATGTGTTCAAAAGGTATAAAGTGTCGTCCAGGGCATCGGTGTCATTGATTTTAGTGTCACCGCCAAACACAATGAACGCATTGCCCACCAGCAAGCTGGCATGGCCCACTCGAGGCCCTGGGCCCTCGGAAACCGTTGCAATTTGGAAACAGGACAGGCTGCCGCCGCTGCTCTCGATCATCCACAAATCTCCCTTGACAGTCGAGCCATCAATCAGACCGCCCATCATGTAGATATCTCCTTCCTTTGATGCGACGGCATTGATCGCAGCGCCATATCGCGGGAAGGGGTTTGTTTGAGGAGAGGAGAAGTTGAGGCGACGTTGCGCCCATGGGTAGAGAGAGGAATTCGGGCTCGTCGGAGATACGCCATTAGGTGGCTGCTGGGGTCGCTGAACCTAAAAATGCACAACCAGGGTCAGGAACGCACTATCGGCCACGACGGAAGGAGATTCTACTCACCTGCGACTCGGATTCCGCCCTTTGTCGCATTCTGATTGGTTCCGGGCTGGTCGGACTGTTAGCCGAATTGAGAGAGTTGTTGTAGCTACTGCTAGGCGTGGGCGACTGCTGCGCGAAGGCATTCCCTTCCTTGACCCCGTTGGTCATGGTTGGAGCCACGCCGGATGCTGGGGCGCCCTCAGAGGTATGGACGTTCCTCGCCGCCGGAGGGAGCGCGGTCCCTGGTTGAGTTTTCTTGGATTTAAACAAAAAGGCCATCGTTAAGGTATCGTAATCGGTCGTTCAACGGCACAATGGGAGAAATCCGCGCCCACTGGTCGGACTGCGCAGGCGCCGATGCGATTGTCCCGAGAGTGAAATCCGGCCCCCAGCGGTATCAAAGGAATGGCGAGTCGGTGAGGTCGGAGAGGGGGGATGGTAGTGCGACCGGGGCGGAGGAACCAGGGGAGAGATGCGGTGGTGTTTTCAGACGGGTGTGGAGTCGGGAACCAGGAACCACTCAGGGAACCGTCGAAAGAGTCCCATCCACAGGCCGCTCAGCGTTCGAGGAAAAAAAAAAAAAAGGGCCGGGGGGGCGAGTGGAACACAGCGTCTCACCCAGCGATCGCAGCCCTCAGGGCATAGAAAAGAAAATAGGAAATGGGGCACGGGGCCAAAATGAAAACAGAGGGGAGGGGAAACCGGATCAGAAAGGAGAAGAGAAGAGGCCGTCTTGGAAAGGAAGAAGGAGAGAAGCGAAAGTGGTTTCAATCTCCCGGAGGTTGGCTAGTCAGACTAGTCCTAGTGGCCATCCACCAGCAGCGGCAGCAGTAGCAGCATCCACTTGGTATGGGGGAAGCCAGAGAGGCTTGCATACTCAGGGGCATCGGCTCCAACGGCCAGAACCGGCGCTGGTTGGCTATGCGCTCTCATTCTTGGGCTCCGGTTTCCCAGTCTCCCAGCCTTCGATCGTTATGGGCCTCTGGATTGCCGTGCGATCGGACAGTCTTTGTTTGTTGACTTGGCCGTGCGCCATTACACCGCTATCCTAGACAAAGCATCGTCCTCGGGGAGATTGCGCGCGTCAGAACTGTGCATAGATCGCACCCATTTGATCCAGCGTCATTTCCGGAGTACGCATAAGCATAAACTATACCTCCCCGAGAAAGCGCCCGATATCACACAAGTCTCGTTCGCTATCCAAGCTGCCGCCAGACCCCGCCATGTCCCGCGCCCGCAGAACTACCTCCTGGCTCTTTGTGCTAGAATTATCATTACTCCATAGTTAATTACGCTGGCCAGCAGGACCAGCCGCGGGGTTGTCCTTCCCGAGTGCTCGACGTGCGAACAAGCAGCCACCCAATGGCTGGCCAGCACAGCCGATTCCACACGGCGATCCACTCCCCACAACGTGCAGGAAACCTATCGAGTTCGAACAGCTCCCACACTGTAGCTGGGAATCATGGCTGGGCGCTTTCACTCGCGGCTCTCCCAGTCGTCCGGTCACATAACTATTCGGAACAGTGTACTGGAGGGCACCCTAGAATGCGGACGTATACAGCAGGGCCAGCAGTTGACGTCCATCGGGGGCGTGATAGATCCCTGAAAAAAGGGGGTGCTTGTTGGTCCTTCCCTGCCTATTCCAGGAATTCGGGGCTATGAAGATCGCTGCTTCATGAGTCCCTGAGCGCCCCGACCGCTTCTTAGTTACGCTGGCTAGGGATGACGGTCACCATGTGCGACAGTATACCGGCCATGTCAGTATGCACCGTCTGGAGTTATCATAGACTCACATCACTCGTCTGAAGAGAGAGATATCTGCACTGCAGTCTCAATGCCGGTCGTGCGGACTAGACTAGAGTATTCCTACCGATCGTGCATACCTCCTGGATGTCTAGTGAGACCCTGGATGTACGGGGTTCTTCCTACCCTCCCACGGCGTCGTTGTCTCAGACATTGTGTTCATTGCCATCCGCATCAACGCTTCGGCAGGGGGAAACTTAATAGAACCACCTTCATTGCATCATCAATTCTCCTAGAGGCGGAGTGGGTATATGGCCCAGCCACAACTGAGTACGGAGTAGCTTGGACGGCAAGCTGCGAACTCCGTGGGAGCTTGCCAAGATCTGTCGCCGAGAATTAGGGTTTCTGGTGCTCCCAATTCAGGGCACGAGAATGTCTGCATCCAGAGACGGGTCAGATTCAGGAGGACACACGTTACCATACGGAGTAGATGGACTTGGAGTAGGCAGTAGATTGAAAGCGTCGGCCCCAACCATGCAAGGCAGGCCACAGTTCACTGTCCACTTGACTTCAAAGTGGGACCGACGCTTCAAGATGATGTAAGCAACGGGGGTCCGGGGAATCGATAACCCGAAATCGCCCAGCATCGGAGCCTCACCGTTGTGTCGCTTGCGGTTCCAGACCTTCCGGCTGTTCTGGGCTCCTCTTGACACTGCCAGCTTGTTTTTGTGTCCGGCCGGGGCTTTGAAGTGCTCTTCGCCAGACCCACAAGCTGCACTACCTCCCTCGTCCCGGTGACGCGATCCATCACTAGCCCCAGTCCATCGGGGAGATAACGGTTGGAGTTCCTCACGCTTTTGAGCTGCCTACTCCCCCCGCGACTTTCGAATCCCCCACCTTTCGCGTAACACGATGACCGATTATACAACATGAGGGATCCCACCGCAAACATGGAAGAAACCTCCCAGCAGCCGGTGACCAACGGGTCGACCGAACCCCGCCGCCTCAATAAATCGGTCCGGGTCGCGTTTGAACCTGAGCTGGAAACAACCATCCCCGCACGCGAACGATCTCCAGCCCCATTTAGCAGCCATCATCGTTCATTCACTACGATCGAGCAAAAGTCGTCATCGCTGACACCGCCAGCTCGTCCTACGAGCTCCAGTGGGGAGAATGCCGTGCTAGCGCTGGACGAGGCGCCTCGACGACCGTCCCCTCGGAGGTCGGAGAGCAGTCGACCAGCGATGCTGAAGCGAGCAAGAAGTGATTATGGGCCTAGTCGCGTCACTTTCGACAACATACCGGGTGAGGATGAAGAAGATTTTGCTATGCGGCACGGATGGCAGGAGGAATACACCTCCAGCGAATATCTCAAGATTCTGCACTCGGTAAGCATGTGCCGGTGATTGGGGAGTGGCTACAATTCCAAGCTGAGACCAAATTCCTTCCAGAACTTCTACATGTATTTCACAGAGAAACGCCACGAGACGAACGGAATTCCCCGCGATCCCGCCGGAAGCTGGCCGAGCCAGGACTGGCGCATGAAGGACAGGCTAAAAACCGTATCTGCAGCCCTCGCAATATGTCTGAACATCGGCGTTGATCCCCCCGATGTGGTTAAGACAAACCCAACCGCCAAGCTCGAATGTTGGGTGGATCCCACCTCGACCACCGGCGGGGGTCAGAACAAGATCATGGAGCAGATCGGCAAGAAATTGCAAGAACAGTATGAGACGCTGAGTCTTCGCACCCGATACAAGCAATACCTAGATCCATCGGTCGATGAGACCAAAAAATTCTGCATCTCTTTACGTCGGAATGCCAAGGACGAGCGAGTGCTTCTACATTACAATGGCCACGGAGTGCCGTTGCCCACACAGTCGGGTGAAATCTGGGTGTTCAACAAGAACTACACCCAGTATATCCCTGTACCTCTTTACGACCTGCAATCTTGGCTAGCTGGCCCCAGTCTGTTCGTTTTCGACGTATCACATGCGGGGAACATTGTTCAAAACTTCCATACGTTTGTGGAGAAGCACGAGAAGGAGAATGCGGAGGCGAAGAAACGCGACCCCAACGCCATTGTGCAGAACTATGGCGATTGCATCCTTCTTGCGGCATGTCAAAAGACCGAGTCTCTCCCAACAAATCCCGATCTACCTGCCGATCTCTTCACATGTTGCCTGACTACTCCGATTGAAATTGCTCTGCGGTTTTTCATTCTGCAGAACCCCTTGCGAACTGATATCTCTATCGATGATTTCCGAGTCCCTGGGCGTCTTCAAGATCGTCGCAGTCCGCTCGGAGAGCTTAATTGGATCTTCACAGCGATTACTGATACGATCGCATGGAACACTTTGCCTCGCACTCTGTTCAAGAAGCTTTTCCGACAAGATCTGATGGTCGCTGCTCTGTTTCGCAATTTCTTGCTTAGCGAGCGCATCATGCGCACCTACAAATGTCATCCCATCTCCTCGCCCGAACTCCCCGAGACGCATCATCACCCCCTCTGGAAGAGTTGGGATCTTGCGGTGGAGATGGTGCTGTCACAATTGCCTGCCCTGATCGATCAAGAGGAAGGCCGCCGACAGTACGAATATCAGCATTCCACGTTCTTCGCCGAGCAGCTCACTGCATTTGAGGTTTATCTCTCGTCTGGTCCCACCGAGAAGAACCCGCCGGACCAGCTACCTATTGTCTTGCAGGTGCTTCTCAGCCAGGCACATCGACTGCGTGCGTTGATCTTGCTCAGCAAATTTTTGGATTTGGGTCCATGGGCCGTCCACCTGGCACTGAGCATTGGTATCTTCCCATACGTTGTCAAGCTGCTGCAGTCAGCTGCCCAAGAATTGAAGCCTGTCATGGTTTTCATCTGGGCTCGGATCATGGCTGTGGATCACACGGTTCAGAACGATCTGCTCAAAGACAATGGTATCCACTACTTTATCTCGATTCTCAACCCATCTTCTCCCATCCCTGTGGGAAATGCCAGCGAGCACCGCGCCATGTGCGCCTTCATTGTCTCCATATTTTGCAAGAGCTATCCTCAAGGCCAGAACGTGTGTCTTTCTGGTGAATTATTTGACTCGTGCTTGAGACATCTGGGTGACGTTGAAAATCCCTTGCTGCGACAGTGGTCATGCCTTTGCCTCAGCATGCTCTGGTGTGACTTCCCGGAAGCTAAGTGGATGGGCATTCGATGCGCAGCCCCCGCGCGACTTTGTGAATTGAACTTCGACCCTGTTCCAGAAGTTCGCGCTGCTATGCTGCATGCAGTCACTACATTCATTGGTATCCCTGACCTGACTGACCAGGTGGCCCAGATCGAGGAGTCTTTGGCTCTGGCGGTCTTGCCTATGGCAGCGGATGGTAGCGTGCTTGTCCGAAAGGAGCTCATTATCTTCTTCTCGACTTTTGTCAAGCGTCATCAGAACAAGTTTGTGGTGGCTGCATATGAAGAACTGCAGGATGAGAAACGATCCCTCATCCACCGTCTGCAGAGCGCCACGTCTCAGACTGGCCGGCTCGAGACCAAAAAGGGTGACCTGGTCTCCGATACAAAGCAGACGCAGTTGTCTCGGAACACAACATTCGGAACTATTTGGAAACAGGTTTTGACCCTCTCTGTTGACCCGCACCCTGACATTGCCCAGGACGCCGGCATAATCGTTGATTACATCCACCTAGCTCTTCTGGAGTCACCACTGTCGACTCTTGCTGACAAAATCAGAATTGAGATCCTGGATCTCACAAGCCATATGTCACAACGGTACCAGGTTCAAGAACAATCAGAGACGAAGAAATTAGCACCGCCCTCAACACCCCCATCATCTACCACAGTGCCTGCCAAGCAAGAAGGCTATCTTTCATTAGGGTTCAGGCGCACCGCCAGTGTTGCCGCCTCCCTGAAGAACCTCGCTTTCGGTGGCTCTATGACCGATTTATCCTCAGAAACCTCTACTCCTCCCTCGCCCTCCTCCAAGAGTCGCATGCCTATGACTCCACGCGGCCGCGCTCCTCCTGAGTGGACTCGTCCCCCAGAGGTGAACGACATGGTAGCCCCGGCAACTGCTTACAACCAAGCTCCTACTCCGACGTCTCGAGGCTTTGCTCCTAGGAACCCAGAGGTGGCACCGATGATCCCATTGAAAAGCAGATTCCTAGACTGGTCAACAGAGGTAATCCCAATCTTCATTTACAAACCCGTCGAGTCCGCCGTGGACGCCCAGGATAATGATGACCCTTTACTTACCATCGAAAAGTATTTCCGGGAGCCCCAGATGAAACCCAACGAACCCGACGAGCCTGGCAGTTCGGATTACAACGCGCGACTCTGGCGACGCAGCCGCAATGAGAAGATCATTGCGGAGACACAGCCTCTGAAGGGTAAGGCCGGCACAAGCCGGTGGGATAACTCGATCACTCTGCTGTCAAATAGCAGCCAACCGCTGAAGATGTGCTTCCATCAATTCGAGGATCACCTTGCCGTGGCGGATGATCGGGATACCATTGCGTAAGTTGAAATAGAAATGCAACTTACTTTCCTATTGCTAATCTTTATTTCCTCGTGCAGGATCTGGGATTGGCAGAATCATAAGCGGCTGAACCAGTTCTCCAATGGCAACCCTGTGGGATCGAAGATCAACGAAGTTCGCTACATCAATGAGGATGATCAGGCCCTCCTGTTGACTGGATCTTCTGATGGTGTGCTAAAGCTTTTCCGCCACTACGAGTCGGCGAAGAGCATTGAGATCGTGACCGCTTTCCGGGCCTTGCCCGAACTGATTCCCAGCAACCGGAATGCAGGCCTTGTGCTTGACTGGCAACAGGGACAAGGGAAAGCTCTGGTTGCAGGAGACGTAAAGGTGATTCGAGTGTGGAACGCAGCTACTGAAGTCTGCACTAATGTAAGTCATGAACCTTCTTAATCCCGAGCTTCGAATGCCGTTCTTAACCATGGCTCTTGTTCACAGGACATCCCCGCCCGCTCCGGCTCTTGTATCACTTCCTTGACGTCTGACCAAGTTGCTGGCAACATTTTTGTCGCTGGCTTCGGTGACGGCGCCGTCCGCGTTTTCGACCAGCGCCTCAAGCCAACCACCTCCATGGTGAAGGTCTGGCGCGAACACAAGCAGTGGATCACCAACGTCCACATGCAGCGTGGCGGTTTGCGAGAGCTCATCTCAGGTAGCCGCAATGGCGAGATCCGCCTGTGGGATCTCCGCATGGACAGCGCGCTTTCTACCATCTATGCAACCAAAAACACCCTCCGCACCTTGAGCGTCCACGAACACGCCCCAGTCTTCAGCATGTACATGCCCCCTCCACACAACACTCAGAGTATTCTGCGACTAACCTTCTTAACAGGGGCACAAACCGCCACGAGGTCAAGACCTTCAACGTCGACGGTACCTATCTCTCCACCTTTGAGCCGTACTCGAGCTTCCTCCACCACAACCGCTCCTCCCCCATCGCCAGCACGGCCTTCCACCCGCACCGCACCATGCTCGCATGCGCGGCGCTGAATGACCATCACATCAACCTCGTGTCTTGCTAGATCTAACGAGACTGTGTTTCTATCCCCTGTCTCCCTGTACGAAATCTTCTCATCCATCTTTCTATCTATTTACTTCATGGCCCTTTCCTCTGTAATATGGCTCTGAACACATTCCGCACACTTTATATGGCGTCTTGGCGAGTTATTGGGGCCTGCGCTTTTCTTTCTTTCCCCTCGTTGTTTCCCTGATTACCCGTGTCTTCGCGAGCTTTTCGCGGCTCCTTATCCCCTTAATCTATGATGCTTTCGTCTTTTACCTTATATTTTCCCTTCGATGTGATGCAGCACCTCTCTTCCAAGTGGGCGTGCTTTCTTTTCTTTCCAACCTTCTTGCTATCTGAGCTTTCAATATTCCGCGCTGGTTGTTGATTGCGTAGAAAGATGTTCTAGACGGAGAGAGCTGGGAATGTACCTGCGCTGTAATGGTTGCAGCTGGCTTGGCGCATAGATGCTTTTCCCACCATTCTTCGTGTTCTCGCCGGGTGACTTTCTTCTTTCATATCCTTCAGCTAGCAGTGCCGCAATAATATGTCTATAAAGGTGTTCCTTGAAAATTGGTTGCCTCCGGCTGTTTGTAAAAGGTCTGTTGTTGGAATGGTAGTGCATTCTAATTACCATTCTGGATGAACGGGAATCAGGGCAATCCATGTCGCGTGGCACCAGTGACTATCGCCAAGCAAAAGCAGCAGGAACATACACTTTACCATGCACCTTAGTGGACTTTACTGGAAGCTCGAAACAGCAATTTGTGAGTAAGAATATTGAGTTAGCAACATGTGGGCATCCGCGAAGTGGTAGCAGTGCATGGGAGGGAGGGGAAAGAATCCCTTCCACATCACGCTCCGCCTCCTCTTCAAGGGTCAAATAAGATAAGAATAAAAAACACTGGGCGTGGCATATGCCATACGGCACACAGTATTACCTATGAAACATGAATATCATCCCCGTCCATCTCCACCATAATCTCGTATCGTCCCCATATCTCGTCATTCCATGTGTTCATGTGTATGTCATTGCGTATTCTCATCGTTCGTATGTTGCAGAAATGGATTTGATAATCACAGATCAAATTTCGATCTGCTATTCACTTAAATTCGGCTGTCATAGCAGCGAGGTATGAAAATGCACAATCTAAAGGTGCTGGCTTCGCGGCAGGGGCGAAGGAGAACCGTCGGGGTTCTGAGAGCCGTGGCGGGTCAACGCGGCCTGACGCGCCAGACTGTTTGGCCCGCGAGGAGGAATACCTCGAATACGGCGGCTTTCTGCCCAGCTCATGGCGGCCGGTTGGGTAGGCGCATTGACAGGAGCGCCTGCAAGTTGAATGATAGGGGTTTGAACATAAGCACCCTGCATATGAGCGTTTGTCGGAGCCACAAAACCTAGGGCTGAAGGCATGGGAGCCCCCGAGAGAGGGTTGAATGGAATAAAGGGTCTCGCGGGCGAACGGTTTCTCATGGGAGCCAGTGGCTGCAAGGCGGGGGAACGCGGCCAAGGGTCTCTGCCCATGGAGGTAGGTCCCATGTACGGCACCTCACAAGCATTGCTCAGCCAGTTGTGCCGCGCCTCTGGGTCATTCATAACTTCGGGATCTTCCCGGGCCGTAACTATGCGATTTTGCGGGCGGTTCCTCCAGCTGGGCTGGTGACGGGGGAGGCACCCTGGGACCTCGGCTGTTCCACTGACGTTTCCATTCTGGAAGTTAGAGTAGCCGTCCCTGTAGCTGGCCGAGTTTCTAAGAGCCGTTTCAAGAGTAGAGACCAGTCCCTGGTTCGCTGGGTTGGCGGCTCGAGTGTGGGCATGCGGCAGTTGAGGAGTAGGATTAGCCAACCAGAAGGGGTCGTTCGCATTGGTCATGACTCTGTTGTACTCAGCATCAGCGGAGGCAACCGCACGTTCTTCCAGCACGCGTATCTTGTCAGCATGTCGCTCTCCAGTCTGTCGTGGCGCTCGAACGAATTGGCTGTAATCATATCGAGCAGCTTGGCGGCGCTCCCATTCGAGTCTCTCTGCAGCAATCCTCTCGGATTCCTGTCTCTCCAGCTCCAGCAGTTCCGTCTCACGTTCATCGATCTCGCGAACCTTTGCCTCATATTCCAGCGTACCCACCTGGACTGCCTCGCTACAGTCACTGGCATCTGAGTGAACGTAGAGCATGGGCCCCAGACGTCTTCTGACGGGCTCGATAGACACAGGCGTGGAAGGATCAACAACCCCCGACGGAGTAAAGGGGCTGATGCGGTCAAGGTTCGGAAAGTCAACAGCCTGAGGAGTGGTTATTTCACCGCGATCATATGACCTCTGCTGAAACGGTGTAGTCTGCAGTGAGCTGTTCTCTGACTGTACTCGAGGACCAGCAACCACGATGCTCTGGTCGAGGTATTGAAAGCGTGGCTGGCGGCCCTGGTGCTCGTGGTACTGCTCATGGAGGGGGGGACTAATAGGGGCAATCAACAGGTCTTCATGCGGAACAACTGATTGCTGCTCAGTGTTCTGCCAGTAGGAGACATCTCCAGAGCCTGTCTCCTTCCGGCGGGCGTCTTCCAGAGGAGCTTCGAATGGGTTAGTACTCCATTCGCGTCGGGCAGGACGTCTTTCTCTCTCAGGGCTGCTTTCGACGGTGGGCAACATTGATTCTGTTCGACTCGACTCACGCGGGTCGAAGGGTGCCACGTTTGGAATGGAGGGCATGAGTCGGCGCGAGCCGTAAAGGCTCGGCCCCGGAGCACGAGCGAGGTCCTCCGTAATGTATTCCATTCGAGACTTGGAAGGTTGACCAGTACCCAAAGCAGGCATCGCCGATTGCTGTCTCTGAGAGACGTGTGTCTCACCGGTTCTGCCAATTGGCTCTTCGTTCGTCTGTGTTTCACCAGCTGATGCGGGCCGGAATTCAGCAACCGTTGGTATCAATGGCCGGTGAGCTCGACTGGTGAAGGTTCCAGAGGTGCCGTTCACGCTCAGCCCAGGCTCGATTCTTGCGTGAGATACGGTAGATTGGGTGGAGGTCTGAGTATTGGCCACCTCAGAAGTGCTAACAGAGCTCTCACCCGCCATACTCATGTTACGACGTGGCCACTGAGAGCTACGTCCGGCACCACGCCGAAAATTGCGGCCGGTAGATGGTACACTCATGCCCTGAAACTGTTGGGTCATCTGTGCCATACCCGGGTGCGGATATTGGTTGAAGCCCTGTTGGAAAGAAGCCTGTCCATACGCTGCCTCATGTGGCATGCTCAAACTGGGACCGAGAGCAATGTGACCCGGTGGTGCATAGTACACTGGTCCCTGAGGACCCTGGGGGGCATAGAAAGGATGATAAGTTTGAAGCTGAGGGCAGATGGGGGGTGCACCCTGAGAAGGAGCGAAATGATAAGCAGGTCCTGGGTGAGAATATCCATGGCCAACGGGGAACATGTTTGATGGGACTTGAGAACCAGGTAAAAGGGGAGGTGGGTGAGGAAGTTGAAACCCTGGAAATGCAGACGCGCGTGCAGGGCGCTCTGGAGCCCCAGGAGGAACGAGATTTTCGGGCATGCCCTGATACATGACGCTCTGATTCCCCGCCCACACTGGACCAAAGGGATCTGAAGATGCCATGGGGAGGGAGAAAGGGTCGGTAACGATGGAGGGGGACGAGGCGGGAGTGGGGGGATGGATGATGAGGGTGAAGGAGGGAAGGGAAGGAGAAGGGTGAACGGGCACTGGCTTAATACTTGTCGGTCCCTGCTGGTTCTGCGGGGATTCCAAGCGAGCTTCTTGATCCTGTGCCGACTGCCTTGGGGCAAGTCTGTGGTTTTCACGGGACGCTATCTCAGACAGAGTCGTCTGACTGATCTGCTGTGAAGGCTTCTATCAACTAAGTCCGCGATGCAAGGTACCCTTGGAGTATCACAGTGTCAATAACTTACCGGAACGAGGGACTGTAGCAAGCGTTAGTTTTGCCATACATGCGACCCATCCACACCAAAGAGGTTGTTACTAACCTGATCTGCACCAGACAATGCAGCAAGCATTTGCTCTCGCTAACACTCTTGTTAACACAATCTCCATAAACAAACCCGGCTTTTGCCCTGGAAATCACTAGTGGATCCCACAGCCTCATGTTCAGCTGGGGTTGGACCGAAGCAACCCACTGCCTAGATGGTCGTGACAATTCATCGACGACATTCAATGATGGCTATGTGTTGACACGGACCTGATGCATTCCTAAATCATGGACAGAAGTGCAAGATTTCTGCGTACCGCTGCGAGAAACTGCTGCAACCGACGACTGCGGGCCCATTTCAGCTTCCTGCTCCATTGCTGGGGCACACTCAGCCACGAGCGCGCCAGCTTCACCAGCGGCGAACTTTGCGAGACTGACCCAGTTTCTCCGCTCTATGCATTATATGTGAGTACCCGACAAAGCCGTCGGACAAAATGCTTGCAAAGACAATTCATGTAGACGGATGATGTACTCACGCTTCTTGCGCTTGCGTTCCGCCATCTTGTTGCGAGAAACCGGAGTTGATGGCGGGGAATTTGGGGGGAGGAGTGCGTTGAAATCACGAAGTAAGAGCGTTCGGTGAGTGCGTATTATCACTTATAAATATTCCAAAGATACGGCCCCGCCCGTCTTGACGGCGTCGCAGCACTATGTGAAGTATGTGAAGTATGTGAAGTATATGGACTCGTTATTCACGCGACGAGTGGGTCTGGGAGGGTGCTAGACCCATTTTGCTGATTGGCTGGCTCTGGAAAATGCATTGAGTCTCCCCCGCCGAGTCTTCGGCATGCCGATGAGATGCCGAACCCGAAAGGAACTACTCGAAAGATATCGTAACGCGTGATACCTACAGTATGCAGAAGCCGTGCACGATACCATGTGGAGCCTGGTGGCTAGCCCGGCCCCTAACTTCCTCCGTTGCCATCGAGGGAGATGAAGCATGCCCCAACAGCTAGATCCGGCCCGGCCCACAGTAAACTCCGCAATTGCCCCCAAGTCAACGTCTACTCCAACCACCCGACAGGGTGCAGGAGAGCAGCCAAAAGACCAAGCATGAGGTACAAAGGGCCTTTAGATCTTCTTGTCTCAAGGAGCAAAAAAGATATCAATCGTGGACAGCAACATTTAATTCAACAAAACTGAGTATATATTTCTTGCCTCATTCCCTGGAATTCCATCGGTTCCCAAATCAGCATGTCTACTCCAACCTTCACCAAGCCATACCGTCCACTCACCTGGCTAATCACCGCTGCTCCTCAGGTTTAGGTCTTGCTCTCACTCGAGAGGCCCAGAAATATTGTCATTGCGACCTCGCGACAGCCGTCCTGCACTCCAGATTGATTTGCGGAAGTCGAGTCGCACGGCGGCCAATGGCACGCCTTTGACGTTGACAATCTTGCCGTCATAGAGACCCTCGTGGATATTCTGGAGTCATCAGAGCACAAGATTGATGTTCTGGTCAACAACGCAGGATAGATTCTCTTTGGAGCTGTGGAGCAGCTCTTAGGTAAGGAGCGCCGGCGCTAGATGGAAATAGTGTATTTGGACCGAGCCAGTTGATCGAAGTACTGGTACCTCGCATGCGCCAAGGCTGGCCATGAGGCTGAGCGGCTTTTGCCGTTGGATCGAGACATGATCCCGCGAGTTGGGCTCGTTCGCGACTGGTGTGCTCATGCACAGAGGGTCGTCAGGGATATCGCGGGGAATGTTTACGCCGAACAATAGGGATAGAGATCTGTAAGGAGGCGTTGTTTCTCAAGCAGGGGGGTCACACAAGGAAAGGGAACGCCCAGGAAAGAAGCACCGCCACCCCATGGCCAACTTTGCCCTAGGCCCTAGGCATTCATGTTGCAGATAAATTGGCATGGAGTACGACCATGAAGGAAATCTACATTGCACCGGCTGAGCAGATAGCGTAGTCACAGTGAAATCCAATAGCAGCGCTGGTAGTAGGGAACTGAAGGCAAGCAAGAGCAGCAATGGTATCCATTCGAATGTTCTTCTACCTAAGAAGAAACATGTTCGTAAACGATTGACCCGCGGTATATCCCAGCCGCTTCAAGAATGCTCGCAGATGCTTCGCAACCGCCTAGCACTCCAAATGTACCCGCTCAACGCCCCGCAAATTCAAGTCATAAGGGAATCAAACGATCGCTAATACAGCATGCGTCAAAGAATTCAAGCAAAGCCCTACCAACAGCTGGACAGGTGAAGTAGACAGAAAAGAATAAACACAAGAAATCAATAGTATTGTTAGCGGTTGTTCCGGTCCGCACGGGCCTGGTGCCAGATGGTATCACCGCTGAGTGCAGAGAAGCTGAGAGAAGCGAGATTGCGCCAGCTTGATTGCGGGGCAGAGCTCGAGTGGGTAGAGACAAGTCCAACGCTCTGTTCAGTATCCGAGGTATCGTCATCGTCGACGCCGGCAATCAAAACGGGTACAGAAGATGTGTCAGATCGGTGGTATGCTTCCTGTGGCTGGAGGTCGGGGGAATGCTCGCGAGCATCGCCAGGTTGACAATGAGCCATCGAGCGAACAACGTCGCCCTTACAGATCGGGCAGGTTCGTCGGCGAGTCGTAAGCCAAGGTGTACTAAATACGAAATCAGTATCCAGGACATTATTGCACAAAACAAACGTCGGGGTACTCACATGCATTCCGCATGAAATTCATGGCCACATGGCAAGCTCATAACCCGGCTTTCTCCATCGACATATTCCTCCAGGCAGACGACACATTCGACTTGTCTTCCAGTGTACTTGCGTCTCCAGAGTGTTGAGCCAGACTGCGGACTCGTCGACTTCTCTTCCTTGGGCAGCATAGAGGAATCAGTGAAAATACCAGCAATCGTTTGAGAGCGCGATCGGTTCGGCCGAGAATAATTCGACCGGCTTTCATTGCCAAGAAGTGGGGAAGTTGGCGAGACAGGTCCCGGGCTGGAGGGTCCTGCAGAGCTGGAGCTGGATGATGAGGAAGTACTAGCAATAGTGTGGTACGTTCGGACAGGGAGACGCTCAACGACTGACTTCGGTGCGCGCCACCGACGACGTCGAATCCGAGATCGCAGTAACAGCAAGGCATAGACCACAGTCAATGTCAACAACGGACTGATGACCAAAACCAGAAGAGTATCGAAGAATGGGCTTGTTGACATGCTTGTAGGTGTCAACGTGACCCAAAGACCTTCGTGCTCTAACAACATGGTGGCTGGGCGGCTTGATGAATGAGCTGGATCTTGCGTCTTTTGGTTTGATGTAGCGCTGTGAGTAGATGCCAAAGAAGAAGGCTGGGCAGGCTGCGTCAGATCATCACTCCAGCCAAAGTGGCTTGAGAACCAGCCCTTGCCAGAGGGATCGGACCCTGCATTTCCAGTGTTGGAGTCCTTCTCAAAACCCTTCGAATGAGCGTCACCAACATTACCAGTGGACTTGTCAATGCTTTGGTATTCACCACTTCCTGGAGTGATGCTGCCACCACGAAGCAGATTGGATGTGGATGCCATGTCTGTATCCGGGGCAGACGTCTTTGCACTATCCCTACCACTCACCGAGGTACTCGGTGTGGGGAGCGTGCTGCTCCTTGGCGGCATCAAGTCAGGGTCTCTCCAGTCCTGTACACCGATGACAAAATCATCACCACCGATATCATCCTCGGATGACAGCTCGAGTTTCTGATAGTTCAAATTATCATCAACTTTGTCACGGCTGCGACGATTGGGATCTGTAGAGTCTTTGGAGGATCCCGATCGAGACTCGGTTTTCTCCCAGGAGCCCAGGGTTAACCAATCGATGTTGCCGCTGCTCGGAGGGCGACGACTGTCCTCTTGGTGCCCTGAGCTTCCATGCTTGCTGCATAAGCCAAAGAGCGACCCGAGAGTACGGAAGAATCCACCACCGGACTTTGAAGCAATAGCAGGCTGCGCCTTGGCCGTAGAAGAGGGTGTTGAAGTTGGCACTGTCGTCGCCAGGGTAGTTGTAACTTTCGCCGGGTTTTGAGCATCCACGTTGGCTTGGCCAGAGACCTTGGCCTGTAAGGCTTTCAAGGCCTCGCCAAAAGTGGTTGCTCCGGAGTGCGCAGGAACTAGCGACGACAGAAGGTGTGCAGTGGTGTGGGAAGTGAACAGGGCTGGAATGGTGACATTGGAAGTATCACCCCGCGCATACATGGTAACCAAGTTGCCGCCTCGGGTATCATCGCCGACAATCACTGCAATAGCTCCACGACGTTGGGCCCACTTGACCTTCTCAAGGAAGCCACAGCCACCACGGCTCAGTAACACAACATTGCCCTGGATCTCGGCAGTCTCCTGTAGCGACTGGATATCGGCGTGTGTCGATTTAGTCTGGACGTAGTCTCCGTACTTCTGAGCTGCTCCAGTATCTGACACATCGGAATCGGTCAGCGGATGGTGCAAGTGATCGTCGGTGCCGTCGTTCAACGAGGGTGCAGCTGCGGCATCACCTCGATCGTACTGCCGGGTAGCCTCAGCTTGTGTTGGTAGACGGGCGCGGTTCTGTGAGACGGGCATATCGCTCACTGCACCAGTGCCGGATTTCTGTTCACTGGCCCTGGGGGCCGAGTCTTGGTTCTTGTGACCGCTGCCCTCGCTCCAGCCAGGAATATCAGAGCAGCCCAGCTCCCCTTCTGCCCCAGCGGCCAGGCCGCCTTCACCAAAGCCGCTTCCTACCCAAAGCTGACCGCTCAGACCTTTGCCGGGTAAAAGCGGGCCAAATGCCGCAGGGCGGGCTAGGAAAAAGGTCGAGTTGTCATCGGTGAGGCTGATGATCGCCGACGGAGGGAATAGTGAGGAGGGAATGTTGAAGGAAAATAGGGCGTGCAACCCGGACGTCCGACCAGCGAGCGTATTCGGGGACGCTACCGTAGGTGAAGAAAGCGCGGAAAAGAGGGTGAGGAAGATGGGGAAGAAGATTAGGCAGAAGCAAACGATCAGAAGGCGTGGTGGCCGCATATTGGGCAGACAGGCCTGAAGGTGTAGGTACGCAATAGATGAAAAGGAAATTGGACGGGAGAAAGATGGACGATCGAGGGGCACGATTGAGGATGTTTGGTAACTCGTTGTATGACAACGCTGACACACCCGTAATGTTTACCAATCCCACGGTTGGCGGCAAGTGAGCAGGCGGCCACTCATCGAAGACAATGAGCAGCACCGCTGGTCAGAGCGAACCGAGGGCCACAACCACACACGCAGAGGCCAAAGGGGGAGAATATAGGTGATGGCGGAAGGAGTTGGTGAAGTCACTTGGGATGGAGAAGGGGAGGTGAACTAACGGATTACGTAACTCCCTTGTGACGGCATTGCGCCCCGGTCATGTGGCGGGCGCCCCATTTCTGATTGCCTGAGGCATTTTTCGGTGGTTTATGGGTTTAAGATAGGGTGGTTTTAGTTAGATTGGGGCTATCAGGTTTCTAGAGCGCAAGGAGTTGCCGCTAAAATAATCCTTAGCATGGACGGAGTATAGAGCTCCTATTCAGCCCACTTGATCCAGTACCATGTTTGGCTCACCGCTGAAGCCAGTCCTCCCGCCAGCATCCTCCGTCGATCATGCCATCATGCTTTCGGGCAACCACGTCGGCATTTTGTAGTGGCTTTTGCACAACGTGACAGCTCACAATTCTTCTAATCAAGAACTCAGTGCCAGATCTTGAGGTCCACCTGACAATATCTAGAACTTTTGAGATGCATACTGACCTGACCCGCGATAGGGTCGATCCACTTTTCCCAAGGCAGTCTAGCGTATATGGTAAAATGACTCGAGGCCCGCATGACGTGTTCCAGGTGATCTACGGGGCCGGCCGGCTGCAGAATAACGTTCTAGAAACGTGGGCCGAAGAACCGCAACAAAGACAGACCCAGTGAAACAACGAAAACATACATCTTTCGCTTACGGAGGGTGCACGGTACCGGCCTTAACCGACCGTACCGTATCGTGAGGGCTACCAAGCTGGAAGCACCATGGCCAAGAAGCCATGGAAGTAGCTCTCAGCCAACCCTGGTTGACCGTCTAGAACTCTGAGCTGCTCAATGACCTTTTGACGCGGGTATGTACTAGGTATCCTTGCCCAGTGGCGTGCTCTGGCCAATCCGGAACATGACGACTGATGACATGGACGGCTTGGCGGATACTGAGTACTTAAGATATATGCCTATCAGCATTCTGCATCGAGCCACCGGTACATCATGACGACCCATGGAGAGAACAATGGACCTTAAGTCGTGTCTGACTGGTTCTTATCCGCAGTTCTACCCCATGGTATGTCGTCACAGAGTCCCGAGAGCAGCGAACTAGCAAATGAGTGGGTCGAAATAAAATGGCCGACCTGAACATATAATCCGTCAATTGGCATGTTTTTTCTCTTGGTTTTCATCATAGAGAATCTCGGAGACCTGAAATTAACAAAGCCCATAATTCAATTTCTAGCTTCAACTTCCTCTTCCTCTCCCCTTTACTTCCTTAACCCATAGAAAGTTCGCCATGTCGAACCTGATGCACAAAGTCAAGGATGTCATGACCGGCCATCTTCACTCGGAGAATAAGGAATCCGGCCAAGATTCGTCTAAGATGGAAAATCGGGCGGAGGGTCAGTTTAAATGTTTTTCTTGACTAATTTAACTAATACTCATACCCTAAAGATGTCCGTGACAGCTATGGTTCTTCCAACACAGGCACCCAGGACTATGGTTCCAGCAACCTCAATCCGTCTGCCATAGGCTCGGAAAGCTATGGTCCAAGTGGTGGTAATGGATCTCGCGCACGCCACGAATCCAAGATGGGTAACAAGATGGAGGGTCAGAGCACCCATACTATCCACAGTTATTGCATATTTTAACACAGAGATAGGCACTGGCAACGCTTATGGCTCAACAACCACTGGTACTGGCAACTATGGCTCAGGCGGTTACGACTCCAAGATGGGTAACACAATGAGCTCTGGCGAGACGTACGGTCCTACCACCACCGGTTCCAGCAGCTATGGCTCCCGCGGCTCGGGCTCAGGTACCCATCACGACTCTTCCAAAATGACAAACAGAGTGGATGGTACTATAAACCCTCAATAAGAAGCTGTCATAAGCTAACCTCAATAGAACCTCGTAACACCTACGGCTCAACCGGTGCCGGAATGCCCAATTACGGCTTCGACGCTCACCCCGACTCTAAAAGGGGTCAGGGTGACACTGGCTTGGGTGGTTATGGCGGTACCCAAGACGATTCCCGAAAGGGCCACTCAGACTATGGTGCATCCACCATGGACTCTGATGCATTTGGCTCGAAGGCTCGTACTGGGGATCTCGGTACCGAGTCCAGCGGCTTTGGCTCCACTGGAGGCTATGGCTCCGGCAATATGAATGCTGGCCTTCACGATTCCAACATGGCTAGCAAGACGGAACCCCGTGCTGAGAGCAATCTGGGTAAGGAAATCATAATATCCAACCAGATCCAAGAACGGTACAGCTTACCCGCTTCAGATGACCGCGGAACTTACGGAGGTGACCCGACCTCCAATGTCGCATCCACCGGCCAAACTGGCGGCTACGGCTCCAACTACGGTACCACTGGCAGCAACGCCATGGACAGCGGCACCAAGGTCCACAACACCCGTTCGTCCAACGTAGCTAAGCAAATGGAGAACCGGGCTGATCCTGAGATTGAAAACCGCGGTGGTCTACAAGGCTTCGGTGGCGCCACAGCCGGCGGCAGCAGCTATGATGCGCCTGAGTCCACTGGCAGGAGAAGAAGCTCCGGCCCGCACAGCTTCAACCTGCTTAACAAGCTGGACCCCCGCGTGCACAGCTCGGACTACGACAGCAATGCTGCCCCCAACCAACGCGGACAGTAGGTCTTGGACAAAGAATAACTGGATGGTGCTGTGAATGTGACGGTTTAATGTGTGTTGTATTTTTTTGGGAATTTTTTCTCCTTTCATAGATTGATACTTGAAATGATAATTGGTTGTCCGTTGAAAATAAAACGACGCGTTGCCGGTTATTAACTGAATCCAATATCGCAAAAGCGCCTTTGGCTATAGAACGAGAGAATACCAGTGATTATAGCCTAGTCCCACCTGACAATAAGGAACAATAATTCGAATCAGTATTAGTTCTTTTCAGCATCCGGTGGGCTTCAAGTGCTGCCAAAAGCCACCAGTTGAATATTGTGCCGAGCGAATACCCATAGCAGCATTCAGGGGACCGGCTGTCTAGTTACGGCGGAAAAGGAAAGAGATGACCAGCACACCAATACAAGCAAGGAATGCCAGGAACATAAATGCAGCATCAGCCTCAGCAGTCACGCAGCGGCTATGGACCTTGTGCTTGTCAGAACACCATTTGATGTCCTTGTCTTCGTAGCAGCCTCCGCTGATGAGAGGGTTATCCCAAGTAGGTCCATCAGTAGAAGTGTTATTGCAGTCAACACCCTTAAGGGCCACTGAGAAAGCCTAGATTATTATAAGTACATATCATGATGTAGTGGTATGCACGGTAGGTTAACTTACGACGCCGGCGGCTAAAAGAGCAATACCGGTTACACCATCAAGAACCCATGTAATGACACCCCTTAGGCTATCGACAAGAAGGGAGACAATACCAACTACTGAAGCAATGATACCGAGAGCTCCAGTGAAAGCAGCGTAGCTAGTCTGAGACGGGACCTTGCCGTACTTCTGTTGCCTTGCAAGAGTGATGGAGAGACCCAGCACAACAATGCTGAAAAGAATCTACTCAATCATTGATTAGCTTGATGTCAACACCACATGCAGAGAGCTTTCACAAAATATTTTTACCTGGATAAAACGCGCAATGCTCGAAATCATCTGCATTTTGGAGTGTAAGACAGAATATGCTAGCTTGCTTGTGAGGGTTCAAGTACAATTCTCAAGAAGAAATAAAAATCAAACAGCGAGAGGCCAACAGCTGTTTTATGTCTGGAAGATAGCCGGACTGAAGACTCAAATTGGTGAAAAAGCAAGCTTGCAGGCACAGCCTTACTATTAGCAGCCCCATCGGCCATGTTGGGGGCCAAGGGGACCGTCGAATGCAGGAAGCGGGTTTCGGACTACCAAGGAGAGTAATTTCATTTGTTGATCCTTGCGAGGAAAAGAACGTTGGCCAATGATCAAGATAATACCCACATCAATATTCACCGGCGTGATGCACCGCCAGTTGGCCATGGGCGTGCACCTTCAAGCGCCAGTGTTGTTGAGCAGCTACATCGGGTGAAACTACAGACCGGGCTTAGAGCCTTATTTACCACGGTGCCTACAGCTGCAATATCAAGGCCATAGACAACAAAGTAAGGATAATGTCTATAGGCTTTGGCTATTAAGCCTGTCAAGGGTTGGTTACTGGTGAGGACCTGTTTTTAAAGTGTGAAGCAGTGATGTTTCATGGCCCAGCACAGCCCTTTGCCCCGCAGCCCAAAAAACGCCTTGGCGTCTAAATGGCCCCCGAGGGAGAAATGTCACAGGTCGTTTGAGAGCAACTCGCCATCATTTGGGTTAAAAATAGCGCTTAGGTGAGGCTAGCTGGGGGCTTTTATGGATTTACCAGTTCCAGTATTACGAACCTCTGCAGGATGCGGTAAACCACCCATAGCCCTCCCAGGTCTCCCAGTCAATTTTGCGTGGCTACTTTGTGTCTACTCATTTGATCTCAGACTATCCTTGTACAATTGCATTTGGAAAGATGCTATGCTCTGCAGCAGTTCTGAAGCCACCTTGAAAAGTGAAACGCTTTCTCAAAAGCAATCGGCAGTCTCACCGACCACATGGATCATTATATTCATGAAGCAAAGAAGCGGACGTCAAAGAACAAATTCCTTTGAATACAACCAGAAAGACTGCACTGGCATGGCATGAAAAATGGGAGCTTTGCAACGAAAGGAAGATCCCCGGTCAAAAGGTTATCGACAGAGAACCTTGAGTCATGAACACATCCTTGCTAATTTCCATCATGTACAGGCAAGGAGATAGACGCCGATGTTGATAACCAAGGCTGGTAGTAACAGAACAAAGGGATAAAGAAGGCAAGAGACTGTGTGGGCTACACTGAGGAAATATTGGATATGAAGACAGGGGGTGTCGAGAGAAGCAGAAAGAAGAGAGTACACCAGGTAAAAAGGACCAGGACATTCATCGCCAAAATCATGACTGGCGCGAATGAGGGCTGAGAACATGACAAGACAAAAGACAAGAGAAAAAAGTCACAGTATGCAGGTATGCAGTAGGTATGACGGCTTGAGCCCAACACCGAACCCCAGGAAGAATCAAGCGGTTAGCGCCTCGGCTAGCGCACCAGGCCCAGAATATCAGGAAAATGTTGAATCGTCAAGGGAGAAACGCAGAATCATCAGGAATGAGAAAAATCATGCTGGGCTGCCCTGTCTCAAGGCGCCAACTTTTAGGCAGGAGACAAATCGAGAAGCTGAGTCATACAATAGTAGTGCAAACGAAATAACCAGACGGCATCATTTGTCCACCTTTTGCCAGCCATTGAGATAGGCCATCAAGCCAACTCCAAGAAGAACCACGCCAAGCATGGATGCATAGGGGCTTGCCTCTTCCAGGTAATGGCGCCGTTGCCATCGCGTATTTGCCGTGGCTGTAGCATCCATTCCTTGAATCTCCGAGACCGCGTCAAAGCGCTGTACGGATGAATCGCCCATCTTTGGCTCCGCAGTGCCATTCTCGACTGAACCCAGATGTCCAAGAATGGCCTTGTTCGAATCATGGGTCTGTATACGCGGATTATTGTCAGTGACAGCGGCCGAGGCCTTCTCAGCGCGTTCTTGGCGGATAGTTTCAATCATCTCCGCCAATGACTTGCGTAACCCAACGTTGTCATCTTCGGTCTTCTCTGCGCGTTCCTTAAAGGAAGCCATCTGCTTGCTCATTTCATCCATCTGCTCCATCACAGATTCAAGATGACGCTGGAGTTGTGCCTCGGTGGAAGGCTCTGCCTTCTCGGCATCAGAAGCCGTAGCCTCCGAGGGAAGGATGGATCCGTTGGTTTGACCAGCGGCTCCCAACTCATAATGCTCTTGCTTATCCTGGGACACAAGATCTATAGAGGTATCAAGAGCACGCTCTGCGTTGGCATCCGCAACGTCCGCATCGCCCGACGTCAAGTGCATCTCCAACTGCTTCAACTTCGCTTCCGCAGATTCGCGAGCAGTCTTTTCCTGGCGAAGGAGATCTTCGAGTTCTTTGATGCGAGTCCCTTGGGTTTCAAGCTCTCGCTTGGTAGTGGATAGCGACTCAAGGAGGGCTAGTATCTGGCTCGAGTCACGCGAGACAGGAGAATTAGTTGAAGCTGATTTCGGCCTCTCGGTATCACTGCGCTTCAAGGGCGAAAACGCATCCGAACCACCACGCGGTGGTGCATCTGGCTTCTCCGGAAGAGGTTGTTGGGGAGGAGGAGCGGGAGGTTCAGAGAACCTGGAGAAGGAGTCGACGCGAGGCATCTTTGGGCGGCCATTCAGTTGACGGGGACCGTTGCTCTCGAGGGGAGAAGGCTTCATGGCCTTTTCCTTCTCGGCATAGCCAGGTTTCATGATGGCTGTTAGAAAGTCATCTGTCTGACGAAGGTCCTGAGACTGTTGCTTGGCTTGTTTCAACTCGCCCTGGTGATTCAATCAGTAAACAAGACGAGGAATTTACAGAAAGGGCAAGCAGATCTTACAGTGAGTCTCTTCACAACCTGTTCAACGGAAATTGGGGAGTTCCAATAGTTCATCTGGCGTTGTTGGTGCATGGCATTCAGTTGATGGCTAGCGTTGCTTTGAACGCTGCGATTGCTCAGATTACTACCAGAGCGCCCACGCAGGTGAGAGAGTGGTTGACTGAGAGGTGAAGGCAGCAGGCCGCCGCCTGAGGCAGGATCCAAATCTCCGAAGTTGAGGTCCAAAATGTTCGGAGTCGTTCCATAGAGACCAGCATGTTCAACCTTGGCAGAAACCTTGTGGTGGACAATGGTATTTTGATCCTCACTAACGATATCAATTCCTAGTTCCAGGGTATCATTCTCGCGCAGCTCGTGTGGTTCAGACTCGCGGTTCTCAGGCGATAAACGGTTGCCATTAACAAAGGTGCCATTCGAGGATTTGACATCACGAATCCAAATCTTGCCAGTTTTGTCGGCCCAAATCTCAGCATGCTGGCGAGAGAGAACCTTGGAATCAAAGAACCCATTCACAGGGGTAGGTACTGTCTTCGCATTGGTCTGGCGACCAATACGCAGCACTTCCGGGTAGAATGGCACGTTAATTTGCTTCTTCTCGAAAGTACCATTCACGGGCGTAAGCGCCAAAATCGCAGGTGGTTCCGCAGACTGCCCGTTAGTCTGCCGAATACCATTTTGTTGCGACGACTGGAGCATGTGTTGTGACGGGACAATATTCGAAGGCTGGTGCATGGCAGACATGGTCGATGAGGCCGTAGGTCCTGATGAGAAAGCAGGAACTGCTTGTGATCGAGTATTTGTTACACCGGCGACAGGTTCGGCCTTCGAGCTTGGCCAAGGATTTCTGATGGGCTTCTTCTTTGATGACCAAGTGTTTACTTCAGAGTTGGGAGTCTGGCCAGTATGGGTATCTTGCGCGCTGTTGGTCACCGTCGTTGTGGAGGTAGAGGAGGTAGAGGAAGTCGAGCCCAGCGAGGACGAGGAGTTGGAGCGCTGAACGTGTTTCCGTGGCATGAACATCCGTGACACTTCTCCCGCATCCACTGAAGAGAGGGCTCCTTGTCCTCCGTTGCCAGTGCTATACCATCCCAAGCGAGACCCCGATTGCACACTAGGCGGAGATGCCACAGCAGTCATGGAGAAGGTGGCCGGGGAATGTTAGACACAATCCGATAGCAGAGCAGTGGCCAACAGTCGCGAACTAGGAGAGCCTTCACAACAGGCTTCTCTGGTAGTGGAAGGAAGGGAGAGGTTGTATATTCTGCGAGGAGATAATTGTCGAGATTCAGAAGGAGATCTGCGATGCGCGTGAGGTTGTTGTTTTTGGTGGTCGGCGGGCTAATTCAGCACGGTTGTGTTAGCGCTGTTTCGGTCGGCAGACAAACAATTTATCGAGCACCCCAGGCCCCAGGGTCTGGACTCGAGCCATTAAAATGGTCTGAATTTGTCGGAAGGTTCCAGGCTTACCCGTGCACTGTGACTTCAGGGAGATTTAATCGCAGTCGGGGGCAGAAAGTTGGTGCTCCAGGCCAGGGAGGTGTGTGCGGTCTTGCCGAATCGTGAGCAGCGACCGATGTCTCACACGGTCCCAGGACAGTGGAGGAAGCACAAGACGGATTACCGCCTTGTCACAGGCTCAAGGCCACCCTAATAACGATTTAACGAGGGTAGTATCAAAGATCGGGGATGGTCGGCCATGGAGGAAATCACCCAAGGAGGAGGATCGTCTGGTCACTTACTCCCTTGACGCCCCCAGTCGGATAGGGTCACGTGCACAACCGGCACGTGTGCGGTTCCCACCCGTTGTAGTCACGTGTGAAGGCGGAGACGGAGGTACCGTGATGCGCTGCCAGCAAAATGGACCTGTTTCTCTTGGAAGTATCACCAGAGCGCATTGCTTAGCTTGGTTCGGTTCTGGGCTCCCGCTCATTACGTTCTACTCTTGTGATCTTATCTATTTCTCCATTTTCTCTACAAGATGCCAGTTGTTGCAGGTCCTCCCGCAGGGGGTCCTGTCGGTCCCTCAACCTTCGACAAGAGTATGTTCTCTACTGAAACCACCCTGAACCGCTGTGCCGTGTGTTCCCCAATGTGGAGGTCGAAGATAAGCTGATCAAAGTCTAGTGAAAATGGGCGCTATGATGGGTTCCAGTACGTGGCCGCAGGATGGTCTTGCTCAACCTCAGTAACTACAAGAGCTCCTACTAATGCGACACCGAACCTCTAGCTGTCGGTGGAATCATGGGTTTCATTATCGGTATGGGGGATACCAAGCCACGCATATTACAAACTCTGAATCATATAAACTAACCAAACGAAGGAACTGTGACGATCTTCCAGTACGGCGCTGGTCCTAACGGCGTCATGCGCACTCTGGGCAAGTACATGCTGGGCTCCGGTGCGACTTTCGGGTATGTTCTACTTCTTTGTCAACAGTTGCCTGTGACTTTTTTAGGGGATCTGGGTTCCTATACAATACTTGAAGCTAATCTGGTATTTAGTCTTTTCATGTCCATCGGCAGTGTTATCCGTACCGAGGGTCCTCACAACGATGCCTGGCTCCGCGCCCGAGGCCCCCCTATGATTCTTCCTCGGCAGACCCCTCTGCGCTCGATGCGCCAATAACCTCGTTATTTCCCGGTTCCTTTGCGAGAATGTCCGAGAGGGCATGCGACATAACCAATTCGAAGGGGACGGTTTTGTACGATATAGTCATTCTATTTCTGAGCGTTTTCGACAGGCTTGGATCCGGAGGAATTCTAAGCTGCAAGGCTATAAGGATGTGTCTGTAGGGAAACTGGTGCAGAGCTGATCCCTTTCCCGCTCTACAATGTACATATGTCAGCCGCCTTTGGGGTTGCATGGTAGTGGTGCCTGTTCAGGTAACACCAGCACCCCAGTGGCTGTTGACGGTACACCTGCTTCTTTTCACTATCAATACCTTGGTACCTGATCTGATGTCGCTCCGCTCCGGAGTAGATGGCAAGCATTTCAGTCGGCCAAGCACACAGGACGTTTGGACCTTGGTCTGGACGTGTATGCCTACTACCTAAATGATTTCAAATGTATGATTACCAATGATGCCTTCCCAAAAATCACTAGACTATACGTGGAGAGAGATAGTCTTAGGTAAAGGAGAAAAAGAACGCATTATGAGGGAACAGGCTATAGAGGAGACATGGCGGATATACATCTGCTCCTTTATGCCAGGTAATGCGGCAGGCTTTACATGACGGAGGCAACAAAAAGAGTGTTTTATGGTTTACCATGATGGGGAGACAACTTACGAAGGAACGGAACATCGATCTCAAATTAGAGGAGATTCGATCTCTTAATGGAAGCATGCAATCTCTCTCCTCCGCTAAGAGAAGGATTAAAGCAGAGATGCGAAAGGTAGAAGAAGAATGGCGCAAAATGATGTTTCTACGGGAAAGGGAAATAGCATTGGCAGACTGGAGAAGCAAGAGAGAACAAGCGGATTGGGCTTTGCCATCAACCCAGACGAATTTCACGAAGGCGCTCTCAATACGCTACACTCCCCAAAGATGGGTCCAGGCCAATATATCCTTCAGGAAGCTATTACGCTCCTGCAGGATACCCCACGAGGCTCAAACACTTACTACCGGATCCCGGCTCACCTCGATGTCCCGGGAAACGAACTAGCAGACGAACATGTAAAACGAGCCACTAGCGGGCCACCAGAGAAGCAATACGTCCCCCCGCCCCAATGCTTCTCCGCAGTCACCCTCCGCTCTGCGCGTAGAGGGCTAGATTAGAAAGCATAGTAAGGAAAAGTTGTTAGAGAGCTATGAACGCAGCAGGCACGGCGCCTTCCTCCGGAGGTCGTAACAGCCTAGTAGGGCATGAAGTGATATAGCAACCTCAGTAGCGCTATAGAAGCAGCAGCCCTCTCTCAGGTCCAAGTAGGCAGGATTGGATTCAACAACTTCCTGGCCTCTATGACAAAACCGACATAGACCGATATCTATACGGGACGGCCCTGGAGACCATTTACTATGTTCTTATGACCTACGAGCTACATGATAACGAGACGATATCTAGCAAGATAGCAATTATCCTTCTGACCTAGCAAATGTGTTAAGCGACCTTAAATAGGCAGGTAAGATAGCATGGTTTCTACTAGAAACCCGTAGGTTAAACTACCTACAACATCTAGCCTCTATCGATTTTCAGAAGAATAACGGGATGGGTTGTGACCGTAGCTTATTGGTATAACACTCATGAGCACTTAGGCCACGAGAACTTTAGGAAGAGGAGGAGGCCTAAAGTGGCCCTATAATTAGCTCGCACGGTAGTGCACGGTAGTAAAAGGAATCTATACACCCTATACTACTAAGCCTATCCCACGCGTTATAATAAGAAAGTGTATACGACCCGGTGTCCGGGACACGAGGACATGGAGACTGCTGCGCCGAAGCACCGTTTTCTTACCAATCCCTTAGCACTTCCGAATACCGCTGAGGGAAACAGCCTCACAAGCTCACACAAAAGTAAGATCTAGGCACTTACGCCGGCGAGCTGCGGAGGAAAGAAGGATATTAGGGAAGGGTGCGAGGGCTCTGGGCAGGTCGGATACGGAAATATATTTCTCAAATATAACTTTGTATGTCGTCTTCTAGGTAGCGGCGACGGGCAACTCTTGACATGTCGCCGTACGGAGATGCAATAGATATAATGGAACTCTCTCTCTCTTTTCACGAGGAAGGATGACCGTTTCCGTTGACCAATTATTGGAATTTTTGACACTTCCCTAACATTGTGTGTTTAATTATAACAGCAGGGCATCAGAAAGAGTCAATCAGAGAAATAATCCATGGCAGACAGGTTTCCTTATATACAGTGATTGAGCGGGATGATAATGGTGGTTTGCAGGTGGGCGCTGTATTGTAGTTTGTGCAAACTGATTCTGGACAATCACCCGGATTGTCACTCGTGCGCTAGGGCGGGTAGGAGGAAAGTGACAGGTTGCCAGATCGGGCGAGAAAATCGCCAGGTTAATTCTAAGTTGTCCAAATCTTGTCCCCATATTTCATTCTCCAAGCATACTAAAAGCTCATCGAAGTCCTCGATATCAAACTTCCCGCTGATTGAGCTTCGGAGTTCACCAAGTGTACATGGTGACATCGATTTCCGGCACTGTTATCAATGATCGCACAACTTACCATCAAGATCACAACAAATTGTCTATGAAGGCGTGGTATTACAAACTCAGCTAGATCTGCTCCTGAAATCTCAATCCTTACTTTCGTAGTCTACCATAGATGAAAAATCTTGCGTTATAAGGAGAGTCGCACCCATTTATCACCTTTTCCACAACCAGTTTCCACTGTTCATTCGAGGACTCAGTACTCCGGAAAAACAGGGGTTGTACGGCTGCGCGTTGTGTTAAGTTCCCCTTCATTTTCTATTTCCATGCTTATTGGGTTGGCAATAAGGCCACTTTCTTCAGTGGGCACATAGGACGGTGGAATTATTGAACCCGAGCTTGTCCCCTAGCAAAAAGGTCGCTCCTGATAAGCTACAATAAGTCTGGCTTTCAAGATATCATATACAGAGTTCAGAGGAAGTATCAACTTCGGCAGGCTATCGCCAGCAGCTGATAAGTTGGTTGCAAGAATGTCGATGCCCCATATTGCCGGGTCTTTAAACTAGCGACAAGAAAATAATCACAGTCAATTTTGTTGTATGTACAGTATATCGTCTATGCATAGCAAAGGGGTTTCTAAACGAGACTTTGATGGATTATGTGCTGTATTTTCTGAAGTTATGTTTCAGCCACCCAATTAAGCAACGACTGACACAACACCACCTGTTATTCCATTACAATCCTACGCAGGATGGGGCTCATTGTCATCGATGCTGCTGTTGATGCGGCGTCGGAGGTTGCATATGTGTTTTGTAGCAAACACCCCGGAAGTGTTTTCGGACAAGCACACTTTCCCAAACAGCAATACATAGATAGTGGAGGAAAGTGAAAGGGAAACATGGCCTGAGGGGACTAGGCAGTCCCTAGAATTTCAATAGGTTTGATGCAGGAGGGCCAGATGTAAGATCTGTTCCATCTACATCGTTCGTTTGGTCTTTATGGGAATGCCCGGGGGGGCCAGGCTTGGTACCATTGATGTGTCTCAGTGAAAGCCTCCTAAACCTGAGTAGTGAAATGTAGCAGTCGTCGCAAAGACAAGCAAATCGATGATCCTCCAGAAGAGTGATGGGATAATACATAATTCAAGAATACGAGGTTGTTTCGTTGGCGTATTTGCGAATGGCGCACAGGAAGTCTCGTATACTGTAGTACCCCCCAGCTACTGTATCATCTCACACCTATTAAGCGAGATGAGGAGCAGGCGATTACAATGTTCACTACCCAAGTCCACTGATTAACGTGCAAATAGAATCCAAAAAGAAACTCTGGTTACTTTTCAATTTTTCAGGCCATATTTGGGGCCCGTATCCGCGGACCTCGGCCCTTTCCGGCCCATCGTCTGGCTACATCCCGTTTCTTGCCCCTCCCTTTGTGTAACCACTGACTAATTTTCTATGCATAGAAAAACAGGCTAAGGGAAGGTTGACTCGACTGTATGTGTTGTGTTAATCGGGCGAGGGGAGGAAGAAGCGTTGAGTGAAGTGATTCAACATTAATCGGCCAGCAATCGTACTTGCGACAGAACGCGAACTTCGCCCACCTGGATGGACCTCGCTGCAGGAACGGTCGGAACTCGCTCGCGAAAGGTCCCTTGAACTTTTTGCAATGTCCATTGTTTGCATGTTTTCATGCCGACGACCCGGACATGCCCAACTGCAGATTGGCCCTTCCACCGCCCTTGAAAAACCGACACGGTCGGACACGTCACCTTCCGAATTTCCGCGTTCAGTTCGCACTCCTGCAAGGAGAACTAAGGGCCCGGTCGAATGAGCAGACGTTCTCGAACCCCTCAGAGCCATGAAAGGAAGGCGAGGTGGACAATCGCGGTGGATCGACCTCGGAGGGTTCCCATGGGTCTTGCCAGGCACCGGCATCTGAGTCGCTCGAATTCATCCAGGCGGATTCTCGCCAAGCCGGGGTTCTGGATGCTGGCAAGTCCGCGGGTGTCTGGCCCCCTCGTGCAACTTCTCGCGTTCAGTGGCTAGCAGGGGCATCTCTGCTGCCGGAAAGTGGAACTGTGGACTGTGGACTGTGGACTGGTCGGGCACCACCCGAACGAGGCAAAATGAGACAAAATCCAGAGCTAATCTCGGCTACTTCACCCTGCCAGCCAATCCGATCGCTCCCGGAGGGTTACCCAGTGACGAGGTGGCCGCTCATCCAGGGAACTTGCGCCAGCACTGCTTACACCACTCAAGGGCGAATCGTAACCGACTAGCCCTAAGGGATCCATGCTGTTCGTTCCTGCATTATGACGCCAGGGGTCAGACAGGCGATGGTTGTTGACGAAGAATAACAAGACCCAACAATGCCGCTCCAGAGATGCAGCTGCATGTCTGCTGTTTCGAGAGCATCCTAATTAAACAGAGCGAGCGCGTACGGAAACCCGACCCGAGACCTAGAAGGTTTCAGCGGGGGCTAGGCTCGATGGCTTGAGTTCAACCGTTGGCACTCCATCGACCCCATTTTCTCTAGTCCGCATTGGGTAGGTAGGGTCTCTGGCCACATCACTGATGGCATCGTCGAGGGGTGGCGAAAGAACCTCGTATTGCGCCTGGCCAGAATAACAGCTGTCACATGTGGCTGCCCGGTAGGTTTCCCAACCGCTGTAGGGACGTGTCCATGCAAGCCTGGGATCGTCTCCAATCGCCAAGCGACAACCCTCATACGACATCGAGACTATGATGCCGTGCAGCGCCGGTTGACGCGGGAGTACCTCTCCCTCGCATACGGGCTCCTCTGGTCTCTCCGGCTCTATCCAATCTTTCCGGGGAACCCGAACTGGAGGGAGTCTGTGCGGGCCAGCCAGACCCTGACCGTATTCGTAAGGCTCTTGGCACGCGTGGTTAGGGTTGTGATTGCCCTTGACTCCATAGTTCGAATTTGGGCCCGCCCTATTTCGGATAGTCCCAGGAACCGCGTTCCATCGGTCCAATAGGGGCCCCGTTTGGCCCCCTAGTCAGCCAGCAGAATAAATGGAAAAATCAATAAATGCAAAAAAAAAGCTCCAAATACAAAACGCAAAATTTTAGCCGGCGCCGCAGGGCTCAATGAGGTCCTTGAGTGGACGGCCCTTTCCCCAGGTTGGCCACCGTCTCGTGTGTGCCTGGAATTATTTAGACTGGGCGCATACCACGCCCTGTCATACTTCCTCCTTCTCCCTCCCTGTTAGGCGCCTCGAAGACTCTGCATTCAACCCCAGTCACTCGTTTTTCCGTTCACCGGTACTTCGGTACTCTGTCACTCGTTCATACTCCCTCCACTCCTCCACTCCCAATCTACTCGAGCTACGCTCCCTCTACCACATTCATTATCCTCGCTATCCTCAGCCCTTGAGTCCCACTCGTTTGTGCTCAAAGCCTCCACTAGACCCTTCTACGACTGGCGATTGCATCGCGTCTTCTTTCACTTCTACTCTCAGCTCGGCGTGACTCAGTTCATTAGCGGGCTTCGGTGATTGTCCTCGATACTTGGGGATATTCTTCCACAAACCACGTCGCGGCGCGAGATCTCGACTTCATCTTTTATCCAACAAAACAAACACCTCACCCTCGACAAAATGAAGCTTAGCGCCATTCTCTCTCTTCTCTGCATCGCTGCCGCCCCGGTCATGGCGGCAGACGATGTCACCTCCGTTGCGACAACGACTATTACCAAGACCTTGGTCCGCGTCAACTCCGTCACCGCGACACCCAGCTCGACTATGGTAACCACCTCAGCGACTTCCACTCCTCTGGTCACCTCCTCTGCAACCAAGGCTGCCGCCTCCGCCTCCGCCACCAAGACTGGCGGTGCCGTCGCGGTCGGTGCTGGCATGCCGGCTGCCCTGGTCGCGGGATCGTTCGCGCTGATTGTGGGCGCGGCCCTGTAATCGCAGCCGCGATCGTTTGAAGGAGCCATTGAGGCAGGATGACTTCGCAGTCACGGATGGTTGCCTTGCACTTAGGCCCCGACTCTCCAACATTGTTGTGTCTGCTTCGACCATCACGGCTCTCTTCACTTTCTGCCGTTCATCTCCAGCAGGGCCGGGGTTATCTTTTTTATTTTGGATTGATAATTTTTCTTCTCTTCTACCCTTTTACGACACCTCTTGGTTAGCTGGAGAACCCTTTTTGGAGGAGACAAACGGCCCTTATACGCATTTCACACTTCCAATACCCCCTTTACGATTTCTGTGGACACGAGTTGATGTTGATTTACTTTCTTCTTCTACACCCCCTTTTTCTTCACTTCTTCTGTTCATATAGTGTTTCGTGGATGGCTTTTCGCGGGAGTCAACAGCAAGAGGGTCTTGTCATACCTACTACTGTCTGGGTATGGCGCAGTCCGGATGCAAATACCAATTTGAATCCATTGCTGAAAGTAAACCCGATTTGCTGTCCATTGAACATCAATTGACCCTTGTTATTGTTCTTATACATCTAGTTGCAAGTAGATCTACCGTAGCGCGGATCATGCCGATCGAACATTCCAGTGGATCTGGCAGGCTGCCGTGGTCTCCGGGGTCGACTGAGAGCGGATGGCCGTGCGCCCACGCGTCCGCCACTTCGGGCAGCCTGACGTGTGATCCGATCTTATCTCCTGGTATGGGACTGATTAATTGATTTGAACCCTCGGTTTCCTCTCGGGGGAACTCCATTACCCCCAACTGATATTCCTGATATCTCTTTCACCCTCCAGAGCGCCCAGTTTGCGCGCGTTTGTTGACGCTGTACTCTCCGCGGGCTCCACCACGCGTCGCGACTCCCCTCCCCAACCGCCCGGTGCAAACATCCCCCCAATTGACCCCTGGGTGAGCTTGGTGGGACACATATGAGGGACACACATGAGGGACAGGTGAAACTCGTTGGCCCCAGCGAACCCATGAGTGCAATGGACAACGAAGTCCCTCTGCCTCCGCCCCGGCGGATTCGACATCGTTCGCCGTCGCGCCTCTCACCCGCGGGCTCGGTCGCATCGTCCTTTCGCAAATCGCGACGGTTGTCGCGATTGGACGACCGCTCCAGCCAACCGTCCAGTGATCCGGCATTATTTTCGAGTGACGATATTCCCGCATCCGGGCTGGAGAATTACAATGCGCCCGTGGCAGGTGCTGGGCGCAAGCGCCGGTATCGCGGAACCTGGTGGGGAGAACAGGTCGTGGATCCTAAGCGGAAGAGGGCTGATTTCAGGGAGAAGCGCCACGTCGATAGCGGCGTCTGGATGGGGAGCGACGATTCTGTCGCCGAGTCCTCTTTGCCCTCGGAAGATGCGCCAAACTGGGGAGAAGATCTCCTGAAGACTGTGCTTGATCCTCGAGCACCAGGTAAAGCGTTTAATGCGCCGTCGCTGCCCAAAATGCCTGATACAGCGTCAGCACCGGTGCAGCCTCGGCCAGTCATTCTACAAGGGCCGGCCGAATCGGAGGAACAGAAGTATGCGAGAACAGTGATCAATTATTGTCTTGAGAAGGGGGAAGATAGCATTGATCTTGGGTAAGTCATTCCCTACCGCTGCCAATGGAATCCTTGAGTATCTGAGCTCTAACTGGTATCGAAAACAGGAACCTCAATCTGAAATATCTTCCTCCGGGTCTACTCCGGCCCCTGCAGCATCTAACTAAGCTGCCCTCTTTACGAGAGGCGCCCATATCTGAAAATGCCTACTCCTCGCTGCAACCCTTCCTCCGCATCTACCTCTCTAACAACTCCCTCACAACACTCTATACCAGCGAGATCTTTGAGCTGAAAGACCTCAAAGTCCTCACTGTGCGAAACAACAAGCTCATGCGGATCCCCGAGGCAATCCGCAAGCTGACTGCGCTGCAAGTCCTCAACGTCTCCATGAACCGGCTTGATGAGCTCCCGTGGGATCTGCTATGGCTTCTTCAACAAGGTGAACTAAAGCACTTCACCGCACACCCGAACCCATTCCCGTCGATTGAGGAGTCTGAAATCATCGAGTGGCATTGTCAAGCTGGCGAGACCAATAATGGAGATGATGGAGAGGAAGCCGAAGTCGAAGCTCTGAAAGCCCCTCCCCCTCCGAAATTCCGCCAATACGAAGGATCACCTCCTGCTGATGCATGGGCTACTATCCACGTCGCAACAGGGCCGGTGAAACGCTTGGACATGGAAGGCAGACCCGTCAAGTACAGTCCACCGTTCAACGTAGCCGCGGCGTCAGAGACAGCGTCGAGAGCGCCGTCACTGCGCGAGGTCTCTCTCCGGGCGATATCCAAACTCGATGGCATTGATCAGCTCACCGATTTCGAACTGCTCGAGTTTCCGGCGCTCGTGATCCCCCTGATCTCGCTAGCGCGACAGGTCCGACAGGAAGGATCGCAGCACTGCTCAATTTGTCAGCGGGAGTTCATCGTTCCTCGCGCGCAGTGGATCGAGTGGTGGGACTGCATGCCCTATGAGAACGGCATGAAGAGGCCCCGTGCCTCTGGGGAGAAGCTTAGACCGCTACCTTTCAAGCGAGTCAGCTGCAGCTGGGCATGTCTGCCCGAGTTACGGCGTGTAGAATAAGATTTGTTGTTCGGTTGTCCATGTTCACGGGTACGGCCTTGTGTATGGGTTTTCTTGCATGTATTAGAATTCGGTGGTGTTACAGCTTACTGCCGCTATGGATATATGGTTACGCTCATGTTCATTAATTTTCAATATTTCGGACCGACAGTGACTTGTCTTGTGGAAGTGAAATAATTCGGCTACTTGGAGTAGAGTCAGGCAGGAGTTTTCCACTCATTGGTATTGATCGCCTTGTGGGTTGGCTGTACGAGTGCAAGCGTGGGCCGTCCTCTCACTAAGACTTGCTTTTGCTATCGTGGTGCTTGGTGACACCGTGACCAGTATCCTGCCATCTCGTGGAGAATCAGGCCGTCAAATGAAGGGAGTTCAGACATCCCAGGTTCCATCGGGGTATCAAGAAGGGGACACGAGCCCTCGAACGCAACTTTCCAGTGAGCGTTCCTGCAGCCTTTCCCCCGAAGCCGTCGCTTGATGCAGTATGTGCACGCGCATATCGATGATGGCTTCGCGCTGACACTCCCGCCTTGATTTCGTGGGGGGCAGTCCGTCTGCTTGGTGTTTTTCAACTCTTCACGACTGCTGTGCTACACATATCGTGTTCTTGCTTTCCGTTGTAAGGGTTTGCTTCACTTGAGGCTGACGGCAACCTCAACCATCTTGATCCATCGAGTCCGAGTCTCCGGCAGCTCGGCATCGGCAGATATCGCAGATGCTGGACGTTTGTTCTTCTTTGCTGCGCTCTTTGATAGAGAATTTTGCGATTCAACCTTCTCTTCGGAGGTCTTCTGGGAATCCTGCGTACCGTTCGGTTGTTCCCCGTCCCGGCGCTGTTGTTTCCGTGATTCTCGCTCTTTCTTTTCTTCATCCTCAACCACATCATCGACAACGAGTACACTCCCAGTCTTCACTCGAACTGCGTATTCAGCCCCCTTCTCCTCGAACCATTTGCCCACGTTGAGTGCCTTTTCAATCGCGCGCCCGGTAGCTTTGACAAACACCTCTTCCCGCTTCTCGGCGACCTTGGAAAGCTCAGCAAGCTTCTGTTGCTCGGTCTTGCGCGTGTCCTCGAGGCTGATATTGGATGTAGCGCGCTTCTCGGTCTGGCGAAGTAATTTCTGGACGCGCTTTACGGCGCTCATGAACGGCGTCCCGCTCGACATGTAGACGACCTTGGGCACTGAGGCGCCAGCGAAGGGTGAGGCGACTGGAGCATGAGGAATAGGTCGCTTTTCGACTTTTGCATCTGCAGCCCCAGCCGTTAGTCCTGCTGCGCGTGTTCATCTCCAGCATTATCGGCCATGAGAGTCAGTGGGGGGAGATAGTAGTGGGAGGCGCACATTTCGGAAGCTTGACGAGATCCTGATTCTTCTTCTCAAACTGGAGCTGCCGCTCCAAGGGTCCGTTGCCCATAGTGAGATCGCCGTGCTTCTTGCTTCGTTGTTTCTCAAGCTGTCGCAAGAAAGCTGGAGTGGCCGCTCATCGTCGTTCTTTTTCTGCCGGGCGGTGTATGTGTTTGAGATGCAGTGTATGGCTGCCAATTCGGCTGGTCAACGTTCGTGCTTTTTCGTACAATATTTCTATGCCTTGCGATCTTGTTCATACGTTATCTACAGGGGCTATTGCCCGGAAGCACTTGATTTGGGGGGGATTTTCCAGTTTTCAGGATCAGGTTGTGGCCAAGGGTTTGATATCAGACGAGCCGCGGCTAAACATACCGGGAGCTGTCTCCCTTACTCCAACAACACTCAACGACTGCGGAGCAGGAGCATTCTTTCAAGACGGCGGAAACTGTTAACCCAGATGTCATTCAACGGCCAGGAGATTCAAGATGTATTCGATGATACCAGGGAGCCGCCATGAAGCTGTCGAATCAGTCTAAGATGAATCTTCTTAAGCTTAATTCTAGCACATACGACCATAGGGTGTGGAGAACAGGGCTTCCCGTCCGCTCAGCCGTCTCTAAGCCCTAAAGGTATCCATCCGCATGGCCAATTCTTTCTAATGCCCTTTTACACTAGAGCAGCGACGGTTTTACGTTAGGTGAGTGTGGGTGATATGGGTGAGAACTTTGCAGACTGGGCGATAGAGGTGAGAACGGGGTGAGAATTCTCACCCAGGGGGTGATCGGCCCCGCCTGGTGCACTGATCTTGCCTTGGGGCATTTGGAGAAACATATAAACCAACAGCTGTGATTCGGGCTCCGGCCGATGCGGCGAATTTCGCCGCACCAGACAATGTCCCCGCCGGGCCGTTCCCCGAAAGAATGTAAGAAACTATACAAATTACTCCGGTATCTGGTCTTAGGCCTAGGCCATCGTTACTCATAGATAGAACAATATTCTCCCTGATTTTTTGGATCGATATCGCTCATTACTCGTTATTCATACTCGTACTTGCATCTTAGACTACCAATACAATGGCCAACAACAAAATCTTGTTTATTCTTGGCGCAGGGCCTAATGTTGCCACTGCAACTGCGAAGCTCTTTGCGGCACAAGGATACCAAGTCGCTCTCGTCAGCCGCGGAACCTCGACCTCTTTCGATCCCTCCTACTTCTACATCCAGGGCGATCTGTCCAACCCGGAGAAAATCCCTGAGTGGTTTGCTCAAGTCAAGAAGAAGTACGGAAGGTCTCCAAATGTGGTGATCCATAATGGTAAATATGCCGAATCTGTCAAGTTTGTTCCGGCCGGCCAAGAGCTAACCAGCCCATCCTACAGCGTACCATGTCTTCCCGGCGCACCCACAGAATCCCTTATCGCTTAATCTTGGCCAGCTCAACTACGATCTGGCCGTGAACTTCACGTCAGCCTACCTCGCCGCACAAGAGGCTGTCAAGGGCTTTGAGACCCTTCCAGCCGATGTACCCAAGTCGTTCATTTACACTGCCAACGGCCTTAACATGATGCCTATGCCTCGGCTCGTTAGCCTTGGTCTTGGTAAGACTGCTTTGGGCCATGTCATCGAGAATGCTACCCTCTCTTTTCAGGGCAAAGGATACACGTAAGCATCTATGTCCGGGATTTTCAACACCGAGCCAAGCTAATCGCTTTCCAAGCTTCTACTATGGTGACGAACGCCTTGCCAATGGCGACTTTGCCAGTGGCGCTATTAGCGGCATGGCGCATGCGGAGCGCTACTGGGAGCTTAGCCAGGATCCTAAGCAGAGACCGTGGATGGATACCTTTGTTGCTGGACAGGGATACAAGGAGTTTCCTAAGGTTTGATACTGACGAGCATTTGAGCAAACAGAGACGGAGAAATGGATTGCATAGTTTAGTATCTCAAACCGTATACTAGAATTCGTAACATTGAAAATTCTTCAACCCATTCCGGCCCTGATAACTAACTGTAAGAAATTGAATAAAGAAACAGAAGTCATGTTCACATCCAACGTTTGAAGAGGAAAATGAGTGGAAATCTCTCGTAGTTGTTGTAGACGGTTTCCGTATCACGTATAGAAACAAAAAGTTCCGAGTAATAGGCGCCAAATGCAGATTCTTTTGAAAAATCCCAGTAAACAAATGTGTCTTGCATTGTCTATCCATCCTAGTAAAAGCAAGTCCTAAAAGATTAGATAGAAGAGGGACCCGAAGCCATGCTACAAGCAGTCGGGCAACATGTGATGAAGATGCTCGCTGGGATGCTGCTCGTGTCATTGGAAATTTTTGAGTATGATGGCAGCTCGATTGCAAGCTACGGCATTGACAGGATGATTGGAGTGGAGCAGAGCTGCGCAATTGGCTTTTCAAGCAATACACTCTGGATATTGCGTTACAGGAGCCTTTGGCACCCAAAATGAGCATCAAGGCGTTAGCTAGAGCCATTGCTACCAAGCTGGACTTGCTTTCTGTGTCCTCCCGAGGGTTATAGCTCGCTGGTATGATTTTTCGCGTGTTTGTCGGTTGTTTCGTTCTGTTACGATCGATACAGACAAGTCTATATGTTCTCTCCAGGCTTTTATTTCTTAGATATCAACCAGGCTCGCCTGAAGCTTGTCGCTAGTGATAGATCAATACAAATTGCATTGCCCTCTATTAACCCTATTGTTCCTACGTTGTGCTATATGAGTGAGGATAGATATACAAGGCTCGTTCTAAAAGATGACACTTTCCCTTCGTTCTCTTTTTTAACTTCCCACTTACATGTCACTTCTATGTTCTTGGTCACTACCGTTTACATCTTATACTTCACACTCTACTAAATGCCCTGTCGCATAGACTTGTGTTCTCTCATTCACGGCTATATAACTATCACTATATATATATGTTCCGCCCAGTCGTGGGAGAGAAATCATATATGGGGACATTGGGAAAGGTCGTTTATATATTAATGTCAAATTTTCTAGACGGTGGATTGCTTGATGATGGAATTAGGTAGATAGCCAAATGAGCCCTTAAATAGCACCCCTTGATCATTGTGCCTCAGGTTCACCGCCACTTAGTATATATATCAGTCCTACTAAGACATCCAGAAGGGTTTGCGATAGCGTTAAATCCATCTTCTCATCGCTCCAAATATTATTTCGAATCTCCTACCTCTTCCAGAAAGTACTCCAGAGTTTGATCCAAAACATCAGTAGAAATTCCAGGACGGTCAAGGCACCCGATCAAATTGGCTCCTATGAAATACAGTTCTTCACAACACAAACGGGAGACATCCCTTGAAAGAAACATAACTGGACCCCTGAATCCCTCTTTTTCCCTTTTTCTTCTTGATAGCCAAATCCCGCAAACCATTGTCAACGACGACATATTGGCGCCGCTCGCCGAGCTGTCGGCCAAATTCGCCGGGACGGCAGAACCGGAGTAAAACGCCCCCAATACTTAAGGAATGGTATTTACGATAGACTGTCAACCTTCTATCATCTTATTAATATTTCTAGTCATTCATCTCACATTTCAGTATCGCCCAGCAAAATGGCCGATTCTAGCGAAAAAGGACCGTCTTTGGACGCGACCAAAGTTTTTGATGACTGCAATGGGCACTTGAGGTCTGGGGCCTCCACGCCGGACAGTTCAAAAGAGACTGTGCAGGTTGAGGATGAGCGAAACAAGTACCGGTCAATTCATGGTGCCAAAGTGAGAATTGGTCCACGCAGGGCATTCGGCAATTGCTAACGATTGCAGTGGTTTCTTGCTGTGTTGGCGATTTTTTCCTCGGTTTTCCTGTTCGGATTGGATACGACTGCAGTAAGATTCCACCACAATTTTATCCTCCTTTATCCTAATTTTACTTATTGGAATTTGTGCTTTTTTAGGTTGCGGATATTTCCCCTGCGATGATCAGTCGGTTTGGCCAGGCAGATTTGCTTCCCTGGTTGAGCTCTGGCTATGCACTTGGAGCCATGAACATTCTTCCTTGGGGCAAGTCATTCGGAGTCTTCAACCTGAAATGGACATATATCCTCACGGTTGCCCTCTTTGAGGTGGGAAGTGCCATCTGTGGCGCGGCACCGAACATGACGGCCTTGATCATCGGACGAGTGATTTCGTACGTCTGGTCCCTCTTCCTGTTCAGTTGCGATTGCTAACATGACTAGTGGAATTGGAGTAGGTCTCCGCCGAATTGATAGGGCATTTATTTTTCCGAAAACCAACAAAAGCAGGGATCGGGCATGTATCTTGGTTGCATCACATACCTCGCTATGACGACTAGTCCTCGCGAAGGTCCGCATTATATCGGGCTCGTCGGCTTCGTCTGGGGCATTGGCACTGTCCTCGGGCCGATTGTATGATTTCTTTGATATTCTCCATACACGGTACAATCTAATTTGCTACATAGGTCGGCGGTGCATTCGCAGACAGCTCTGCAGGGTGGCGCTGGACCTTCTACATTAACCTCCTGATCGCCGCCCTATTTGCCCCCGTCTACTTCTTCCTGCTCCCTAACATCGACGCACAACCAACGACGAGTTTGCTTCAGAAGCACAAGCAAGTGGACTGGGTGTCCATCATTTTCCTGAATGGATTCATCGCATGTTTCGTCATGGCCATCAACTTCGGAGGTGCCGTTTATGCATGGAATTCTGCTCAGGAAATCGTTCTTTGGGTCATGACGGCGGTCATCTGCGTCGGATTTGTGCTGGCGCAGTATTTCCACCCGCTTGTGAAGAAAGAACAGGTTCTCTTCCCTAGCCATTTGCTGAAGAGCCCTCTCATGCTTAATTTGTCTGTCCAAATGTTTTTGTCATCAGGTGTGCTCCAAGGTCCTATTTACTACATCCCCTTGTACTTTATATTTGCAAAGGTATGCTTGCTTTCCCCTGTTACCACCCCTGTCACTCTCGGTGCACGTCGATGCTAATTGCAAATTTTCAGGCTGATAAAGCCCTTGAAGCCGCCGTGCGGCTTCTACCTTACGTTTTCATGCTGGTCGCTGGTTGTTTGATCAACGCTGCTCTTATGGTCCGGTTTGGATACTACATGCCCTGGTACTTTGGTGGTGGCGCGCTGGTAGTAATTAGCTCAGCATTGATGAGTATGTTCTCAAATCCATGGAATATCTGAATGCGTGGCGCAGCGCTGATGAAATGAATCTTGATCAGGCACCATCAATGCAAATACCTCGAACTCTACCATTTACGGATACACTGTGTTGATGGGAATCGGCGTCGGCTCCTACTGCCAGGCCAGCTACAGTGTATCCCAGCAATTGGTTCCAATGACCGATCTGACCAATGTCGTCGGCTTGATGAGTATCTGTAAGCGCATGGCGATTTTTCCAGCCCTGCAACGGAAGACGCATGCTGACGTTCTTTTCTAGCGCAATTCTTAGGCATCCTGTTTTTCTTGGCGATCATGGGCACTTCCTACCAAAATCTGGTCATCGAGAAAATCCACAAGCTCCTGCCAAATGCTAGCGATATCGATGTCCGTCAATTTATTTCTGGAACCAGCTCCTCCCTCAGCGCTAGCTTGACAAGCTCCCAATTGGCCGCCGTGATAGATGCTATTGTTGTTTCTATGCGATCAGTGTGGATTTTGCTCGCTGTTGCCGGTGGCATTTGCGTGGTGTTGTCTCTTTTCCTAGGGGTATGCTCTGCAAATCCCGAGCTAAATTTTATGAATTATATACTAACTTGCACTCCTTTTACAGAAAGACAAGCTCTTCACCAAGGGTGCCAAGGGCACAGCAATCGCAGCATAAATGTGTCACTTGGGTTGGCAATGGTGAACGAATCCACAGTCAAATGCCTGCCCTTTAGATTGTAGGGCATACCTAAATTGTGAAACTTAGAGTCAGGGCAGGGTTGGAGCGTGTCTGAAACTGATTGTTCTTGCTACACGGTATGGATAGGGTCATTTCATTTGTTTTAACTTGTTTTCGGGATATTCACATTCTAATACCAGAGGGATTGAGCAATCTATTCTCCATTGAAATTTATGTATTTTCGAGTATCTTTTAATTTCCCTTGGGCTTTTTCTCGGGGATTATTCCATTCTTGGACTTTTGTTCGTTGTTTTACGGCGAAACTGGCCGGCACCAATATCGGCCAGTTTCGCCGTGCCATTACTAATGGACCTTCGTTCCTCTCACGTCAGCGTTTTGGACTGCCAACTCCCTTCTTAATACTTCATATCTATCATGTTCTGGGAATCTCAGCCTTAAAGGTACTAATCTAGCCGATCGGCCGTAGTTTCTTCTTCTATTTGTTCAACTACGATAAACTAGCTGCCATGTACGCATGTACCCTCTGCTCGAAGCCCTTCAAACAACGTCAGTTGATACTTTTGACAGGTCTCAAACTGATGCTGCTGAGCATCCTGAGGAGTGACACAGCTAAACTCTTTTTAGTGTTGTCCAGAAACCGGCACCTGGAATATTGCCGTCAGGCACCAGACCGGCCTCGCATGCGAACTCTGTCGTGTCGCGCCTGCAGTGCCGCCAAGACAAAATGCACCAGCTCTCATCCATCGTGCACTCGATGTCTGCGACGCGGCATCGAATGTATATATGAACAGCGGCCCGGTCGGCGGCAACTGCCCAAGCAAGACGGCGCCGATGAGGCCGCTCCAATGGACACACGAACACCAACAGACTCAGTAGGCACTAATCTAGACGACGGCAATGCAGTCAGCCTGATGGCCAATTTCGACCAACTGGCAAATAACATGATCTGGGACGGGCAGTCTAATTCCACGGACTTTCTTTTAATGGATCCAAGCCTCGCTGTTCTCAAGACCACACAAGTTTCTGCACCGACGGTGACCACCGCACCGATGGTGGCAGCCACTCCCGACTTCACATTCGGCTTGCAAAGCTGGGGCATAGATACGCCGGAGCTGCTTGCTGCACTTTCTGCGCCGCCAAAGGTCTCGCCCTTGGCCGATGCGAGGTCTCTCACGCGGCTACCTATTGATGATCCCATCGCACAGCGACACGCCACTCATCTGATTCAAATCCTGCGAGCTTTCCCGCAAATGATGGTCCGCAGAGCGGTTTTCCCACCCTTTATTCATCCCAACTGGCACCGTGGAGATGGGCCTGAAGTGCGGAAGACACTGCCCGAGCCGATTGGTAACTGCATGAGTATTGCACAGATGTTCGCCTCCAGAACGCCCGATACGAGAGCCTTTGTTTGGAACGCTATTAGGACCGAGCAGCGACGACTAATGGAACAGGTAAGCCTGCTTTGCGCTGTAGCTCATATGAATCTACTAAAGCTGATGGAAATTATCCAGTCTGAATCATTCGGGCCGGATGACTTGCTTGGCTCCGTACAATGTTATATTATTTACATTATCATGCGCGTGGTCGACGACGCGGCATATCATAGCGAGCATGACCTCAATATGCTACTAACTTTCGCAGTGGGTTTCCTTTCCTGTTCCTACAAATCGGGTGACGAAAGTTGTGCTAATGGGAAAGAATCAGACTCTCTGCGGCCGCTTCCGCGCGCTTTGTCAAGGCCCATTTAGTCTTCCAGAGCAAACACACCCTAGCCGGGGCTGGCCCGACTGGGTATTTGCCGAGTCTCGGCGCAGGTACGTCGATTCTGTTTGATGGATTCATTTATTGCCCTAATAAAAGCAACCACTAGGGTCGCATGCATCTGGTTCCTGATCGGACAAGTCATATCCACCAAAACGGGTATCCCTTGCGACACGTCGGAAGAATATCATTGTCTTCCCTTGCCGGGTGGCCGATCCCTGTGGGAATGCCGAACTAATCAAGGCTGGGAAGCGGAGTACAGCGAAACACAGACAACTATTCCTGGGAGGCAGCTTACGTATTTCGGTGACTTGATGGAGGCTCAAAAGGCGAACGGTGACCCGAGCATGATTCACAAGATGGATTCATGGAATGCAGAGGCTGATACAATGGGGTTTATGCTTACGCTAGCTACAGCTATGGTTTAGATGGTAGACGTGGTATCCCGACCAACTGGGACTATATTTTCTTTCCCTCTCTAGGAAGCAGGGATCCGTTTTTCCATATCTAATGAATTTTGAGAATTTCATTGATATAGTTGACGTACTTGAGTCCACGGGTATATATCAATGCGTGGATGCACTAGAGAGACCTCAGTTCAAAACAAGATTAGTTGTGTACATTTACGTGCGCCGAAAGGAATCAATGTTGTACAAACGTTAGACTCAACTTGACACGGAAGCAATGCTCGCCTGGACCATTGCCTCTCCCACTTCTACTCCTGAATTGGACTTGATCATCGACATCACCGCTTTTATATCCCCCAACCCTGACAGCCAACCAAATGCATAGGTGAATCACCTTTGTTCTGAATATTCACCGAATTCTCACTTCCCTGTCGCCTGTTCTGTCGAGTCCCATTTTCACCTGTTGGTTTGCTTCTTTCGACAGTTGGTCGGATTTCTCCCTTGATCTGAGACGGTGTGTTGTCTGCGGTTGAAACTGCCGAGTCCACAATGGTATTCTCTCCGTTTTTGCCGTTGCACTTTGTCTTCTCGTCTTTCTTATGGATCCCACTGCCTCGGATTTGGAGATAACTCCCATTCTCAATTTTGCGCTCCTTGAAATATTTGTTTCTTTTCCTCACTTGAGCACATACTCCTCTTTGCCAGCTTCTCAAGCCCACATTCAGCTGCAATATGTATTAATGAGGTCTCTTTTGTGGCGCTTGGGATCCGGCTATACTTCAAGCTTTTGCACGTGTTGATCCGTACATCGATTATAGCTTCTGTGGGCCATAGAATCTCTTCCCCTAAGCTGTCCCTTTCCGCTGTAACAGCAACTGCCACCGGCCCTGACCTCTTCGCTTGACCCTCTGTTTCACTCTAGATATTCAGATAGCTTCATCGCCTGAATGCGATTCGTCTCCTCTCTCTGATGTGTGTTTCCTTCCCCTGGGTTCTGGAGTTTACCTTTTACCAAGAGCTGATTGGTTGGCGCAGAAATCAATGCAGAGCGGCCCACAAAGGATGAGCCTCCATCAAGCACCTACAAACCGGCTGTAGGACCATCTTCATCTTCCCCTCGTCAAGGAAACCCCGCAACGATCTTCACTCATCATGGCATCATCCGGAACAATCCCTCTGCCACCAGCCACACAGGCTGATGACCTGCCTGAGCCAACAACGGTCACCATTTCAGGTGTTCCAAAGTTTTCCCTCACTTCCAACATCACCATATGGGGATATAGAGTCAAGAACTCCCTCAAGCCCCTGATGTTAGGGAACTTGATCGATCCATCCAAACCACGACCGGCATCACCTCGACCCATACTGTTAAGGTGGAGATTTTGGTCTCTGACTGTTCGGGAATGGCTTTTTGACCAGCTCGATGATCAAATAATCGACTTGATCAATAATTTACCTGCAGAGCCAACCTATGCTGACGATCTCTGGAGAGAAATCAACAAGCTCCAATTGGGAGATCCAGAAGAATACGCCAACAAAGCCACATGTGACCTTTTCACCATGCGACGGTCAGATTTCACCACAGCTGCCGAATACATCGAGGCTTGGCAATACCAGAATGGTATCTGCACAGGGCTCAAGGTCGGCGTCACGCCGTATATGTCTACGGTCTTCATGTTCAACCAGCTGGAAGAGGAGCTTCCGAGAACTGTCGGATTCTTACATGGTCAGCTTGCGATGAAAGCGGGGGACGCAGTCAACATGGATAAGCGGGAATTCATCGACCTCTGCAACAAGCTTCTCATCAAGGCCAGAGCTCTTCCAATCCACCATGGCAACGACGCTTTGGTTAAGAAATCCACGAACAGAACCAAAAACAAGAACAAGAGCAAGAAAGATCCAAAGCATTTACTTAATCAGAACCCTAAAGGAGACGTTGCTAAGAAGCAGATACGTCGAGTTCCACCAAAGGGCAAAGACCATGCTGCATATGCTAGAGAATGGCGTCAACACAATCCACAGCGGGACGAGGATGACAAGTGTTCCTATTGCAACCAGCCAAATCATGGCTGTGCCACATGCTCTTATCTCATCGAGCACAAGCCTTCAGGGTGGACTCCATATCCACTGCTCTGGTGCTTCAACTACCAGAGCTTGAAGAGCACCCTTGGCCCTTCACGGCGCACTCGAAACAGAACACCAGAAGAAAGAATGGAAAGTCGACACATATGGTCCAAAGATCGCAGCATGCTTTTGCAACTTCCGGGCGATATACGCAATCAAATCTACACGTGTCTCTTCGCATCGACTAGGCTCACCTTCGGCGAAAGGAGAATCACCCGTATTACGAGGAAAACGATGAACCCTGCACCTAATTCTCTGGCCATTCTTCGTACCTGTCGCCAGGTTAAGCAAGAAGCTGAGGCTCTTTGGCTTGGTCTGGTCCTGTTCAGCTTCGAAACTCCGGAGTCTATGCTCGACAAGCTCTCTCCGCTGCCTTTGACCACCCTTTCAGAGATCCGTCATGTGCGCGTTGGTGGACGCTCATTGATGCTCCAGCCGATAGATGACGACGGTGGTGTGTACTATAGGCTCGTATGGGTCCTCAAGTTGCTTCCAGGTTTGCGCCTGGATAAGCTTACCATCCTTGGGCCGCCTAGCAGCGCAGTTGCCTATGACACTCTTGGAGGATTGATCGAGTATGGGAATGGATGGAGAGAACTCCACTTCATCACACCAAATTCGAAAATGCTCGGCTTTGCCAACATAAATATGTACATGGTAGATCCGTACTTGCGCGAGCCTCAACCAAGCACTTGGAGTGATATCCTATCCAGTCGCGATGGGGCGAACTCCGGGGCTTCCGTCACCATTTTTCGGTCTACACAGTCTGACTCTCCAGGCTCTGTCATCAACCCGCGTACACGCCAACCTTTCGAGCAGAAATTGATCACGCCAAACCAGGCAGACTTCGGCATGACGGAAGACAGAGACTTATTGTCTGGAAGCGAAGCAAGCAAAGAATTATTGGTGGTTGTCAAACGTGGTCGCCATGCTCACATTGAGGAACAAGATAGCCCTCCATTTATGTTTGAAGACATTCGGGATTGGGCACATGGTATGACTTGGGCAGAGATCCGGCGACTGTGTTACGATGTCTTCCCAGGAGATGAGGATGAGAATGATCTGGACGTTGAGACCGATAGGTGCGGTGTGGCTGACGAATATTCATGGGATCTTTTCGACTAGATAGAATGCGTCAAGCGGAACAAGAATGCATCGAGTCAGTCTTACTTGGGAACTAGCTTAGGATCTCGTTGAGGTCAGGCCGGCCGGCTATCGAGGATGGGGAATCACGCCAGACAAAACTTAATTTGCTAGTGAATCACGCTTTGACTTTGTACTCAATCGGTCGGCAAGGACGACCTTGCTCACGAATGCCAACGCGCATTTCAATACCTAGCCGCAGGAGATCTTTCAGGTTACTCTTGTACATTCACAGCGACCTGTATTCAGCGATAGGGACACCCCGGGCATCTTCACAGAGGGGCATGGAAGAGAGCCGTGGGATAAAGCCATCGACCTCTCTCGGACTGTTGGCTGGTTCAGTACCGGGTGGCCATGGTGCAGAATTGCTGTTGTATGTTTTTTTTCTCTCCCTTTTTTTGGTTTTTCTTACAAGTATTCCATTTGACATGACAAGAATATCTCCTAACTTCGTGTTAGACTAGCTTATTATATTTTCAGGTCAAGGTATCAATCCCTGATAACGGAGAGTCTATTAGCTAAGTATCGGACGATAGCGTAGCAGGCTGCGATACTCAGAGCTAGAATGAAGAAAATTAGGCCCTAGAAATTAATTATCGCTTAGCTCCTTACCTGCATTCGTCAATAAGCGGTGCTCTGAGACTGCCGGATTCTTTTTTTTCGTTGATTCCAGGCAACGCGTGTCGAATGGCGAACATTATCCATTTGCCTGCATCGAATGCTGCAGAAGACAGTATCACGCAAGAGATCAGGGTGGAGAATTGGTGGTCTCTGCACATGATCTACCGACTGACTTCTGCAGGTCAAGACGTGGAACTTATAAATGCACGATGGCCACCATCGCTTGCCAATATCAGAAATTGCATTCTGGTCCCTGTGAGCCTAGGCTAGTCGCCGCGGAACATGAGAGCAAGGCTTTGGCAAAGGCCCAGATACAGACGAACTCTTCACAGCATACCACTATGCCCAGTATATCGACAAAGCCGCGGTTATAGGAAGGAAGTTTACCCCATGCCGGTGTACATGAACGTTTGGCAAAACTACCTCGACGAATCCTGATCCGCATGTGGCTCATTCCGGGCCACTCGGTTATCGCACTTTGGAATTGATCCCCTAAAGCCGGCCCACAAACCCTTCACCAAACACGATGGGCATCCTAACTGGGTGGACCCAAGTTCCTCCTGATCGGCTGGGACTTCCAGGGGCACGCCCGTGCTCTCTCACCGACCAACACCTTGAAGGGATTCCAGATTTCTGCGGTTCGGGGAGAAGCAGGTCGCGGATACTGATGAGCATGAGGGCTTTGTTCGGGCTTCGGCTTTAGATATGCTTGCATACCGGCTTCTACGCTGGACTGCCTATCGTGAGGGCACGATAATACCGGACACTCGGTCACGACAGTGCCCAAGGACGAAGATACGAAGATACCAGGAGCGCACATGGATATTCCTTCCAGTGCATTTCACCGCCCGATGAAATCCTCCAGAGCCAGACTGAAAATTGGGCCCGTACAGTGTACGGGCTAGACACCTCGGCATGAAAGACCCTCGGGGTCAAACAACCCAAATTCAGGAAATTCAGGAAATATGCCACACCGTCGCGAAATCGAGCACGTCCAATTGATAATCCGTAAAGGCCATTCCAATCCCAACCCCCTGCCCTACCCCGAAGCCACATGACTGCTTCTCTCCGCAGCGGCTCACAAGGACAGCAAGGAAGGAAAAACAGGGTCAACAGGAGGCCCTATCGCGACCCGTCGTTTCCCTCTGTGCCCCTGGGCCGCAGCGCAATCCTCCGGCCCGGCCTCGACCAGAACCCAAGAACCTGGGATTCGGTTCTGGCACTCAAAGTCGAAATAACAACCTTGATGCCATGATCGTCGTCTAGCTCGCGTCACGAGGACCCTCGAGATCTTGGACAGGGTCTGACATGACGTATCCACCCGACCAGTTGATGTAAAGTACGGAGAAAGAGTAATGAAAGCTTGCCGATCGTAGTGTCTGGACTTTGGTGCACCGGGGTTTACAAAGGCCTGAGGCCCCACGGACGTCCGATCCAGCCCGCTTTGGGAAGGTCGAGTTTTCCGACCCACCAGCGAGGCTGCGACCCGGTTTCCTTGGGGCAGGGCGCTGCAGGGACGGGGCTGTCATTCATTGTCGCGATGTTTTTGATGAAATTAGTCAGGCACAATGCCAAAAGTCAGTTCATATCCTGGCAAGGCTGTGGTGTCATCGAGGCTGGATGAGTAGAACGGTGATCTTTTTGGGGTGAACCTTGAATCTCGAGGGAAAAAAAATGATGGATCGGCAGCATCGCAAATCTGAAACGGCGCAGGTACGCCGCTTGGGCCTGAAAGGCAATTTGGCCAGTTCGTGGGTCGCAGGCGGGGATTGACGGCGAGAACCATGGTCGACGGCTCCGATTGCGGTTGTTTATTGTGGTGCATGCGGAGGGTTCTGTTATCTCGGTCAAAATGGAGAGGGACTTCTGTCCAGAGTCTACCTATCACAATTTCACGGAGTCGAACTTTTGGAGATCGAGGGGATCGCTCGGGTGGTGGCTGTGGCTTGGTTGCTCCCATGTCTTTTCTTTTCTGTCGGGGATGGGGCGAGGAGGCCCCCGGTGGTGCAGCACAGCAGAGATTGCGTGGTCCCCCCCCCCGATCGAGGCACTGTTTCGCCTCCGCGAAGGCCAGGTGACAAGTGCCTCCTAAAAAAGACTGCGCCGCGGCGTAGAGTGATCTATATTTGCGCGGTCGCTTGCGGATACGATGGCGATCTCGCCTCCGTCCCTCTTCTCTTCAATTTATTGCCGCGTAGCATCTCGAGTTGTTTCTTTCAATTCTTCCTTAGTAGTGTATTATGCGCCCACGAGTTATACAGCGGGTCGCTGAAACCGTGCATTGAGAGGAGAGGAAGGGGCAGCCGCAGGAAGAATTGACCAGTCCGGTGGAGGGTGCCAGGCAAAACAAAGGTACCGTGCATTGCAGGCTGATTCTTCCGCGGCCACAGATGGAGCGGCCTCCAACGGTGCGAAATTCCCCAGGACCCGGACATGGATGTACTAGCCTGCGCTACGGCGGCGCAATCCAGCCCGTCGGGCCCGGACGCAGTGCGAGACACAGGACAAGGCCCAGCTAGTGTTGATTACACGGGGGCCAAGTGGGTCGGAATCGCGGAAGGCCAACGGCTGTGTTGCCCGGTGGTGACCTTGGCTGAGTGCACAGGTGGGAAGGTCAAAGGCACAACGGGCACCGAGGGATCCAGTCGGATGAGGAAAGTCGAATCAAAGGAGCGAATTGAGCGCTGAATCGTCGTGAGTGGAGGAAGGTGGAGGATTCGGTGGGTAAGGGCGGAGCAGCAGAAGTTGAAAGGCGAGAATGGACGGGTTCCACCGGACGGGTCGATGGGCGGTCGAGACGGTTCGTTTCTCGTCTGGATGGAGTCGCCTTTTAGAGGCCCTCTTTTCCCCTCTTTCCCTGGTGACATCTGCTTTTCTGCTATTCTGCTATTCTGCTCTTCTGCTCTTCTGTTGTTCTGCCATTCTACCATCTCTCTCTCTCTCTTTCCTCTCAATCCCTTGCTCTCCTTCCACGTCCTTTTCGTAAACAAAACCACCACCTCTCGTTCCTGGAAGGCTGTGAAACGTGTCTTACACTCGGCCATTCTCCTCTCTTCTCACCATCATTTCGACCCTTCGATCCTTGAGAGCAAGCCTCCAAATCAACACGCCAACGTTCCTGGCCTCAGTTTTTGCCTTTTTGCATAGATCAATCTTGCCGCCGCGAGGTCCGACCAGCCAACGACATCGAACGCCGCGGCCCCCTCGCGTCACCATTTCAGACACCTCAAAACCGTCTTCAACTTCTCAGACACTCACCACCTCCTGCTCCCCCCTTGGCTTTCTTAGCCACAGACTTGCCACTTCGGCACGGAGTATGGCCGGTGTTGCATGCATCTGATCTGATCCGCTCTGATCTCCGCTTGATCCTCTCACCACGCGTATCCTGCCACTTTTTTTTGTCTTTTCTTTCCCCACCCTCTCATTTGCCAGACGTTTCACACACCCTTCCCTCGGGCGTGTTTGAAAATCGTCCCAGCCCTCGGAAGCTTGTCGAGCATTCATACTTATGCGACTGGGGTCTTTCGAATCCTCTTGCCTTTTCTTCTCCTCTCTAAGACTCTGGACATTCCCTTTCCGCACCAAAGCAATTCGTCCCCACTCTCTTGCATCATGTCTCCGCCGCCCCAGTCGCTCAGAAGCCCTGACGGCGTCTCCCTGACATGGATCTTCGACCACTGCCTCCGCTACCCAGGCTCTTATGAAATCCCCCTCCGCGACATGTATGCCCTCAACTGCCACCCCACCAAGTCCTACCTGCCCGGCAGCAGCTCGCCGGAAACCGCCTTCAGCTCGCGCAACTCGACCTCAACTCGATCCTCGGCCTCTTCCCAGGAGAGCTCCCTGGATGCTGCCGCCGACTTCCGCTCTCAGTTGATCCATCAGATCTCCCGGATGCCCTCGCAGCCTTGCTCGCTCCCACCAAGCTTCTTAACCTCCTTCCTCCGCCGTTGCTTCCCGCGGGAGCTGGAGCAAGTCGACTTTCCCCAGGGCTTGACTGCGTTGGACTACGCAAAGGACTTGGAGACCCGCTGGAAGAAAGAGATGTCCTTGGCCCTGCAGCGATTGAACATTGGGCGCGAGGATGCAAAGAACCCGAGCCACTCCGAGCTAGCCTTGAAGTATCCCGGAGTCATGGCTTGGCTCGAGTCAGTCAACGGCAAGGCCCGCACTCTTGAGGCCCTGTACACCCAAGTCTACATCGGCCTGCGTCGCTGGATGATTGTTAACGAGGTCCTTCTTGAGCCGCACAACAAACCCAACCATATTGCCATGCTCAATACCCTCTACCCTCCCATCTCGCCTGGGGCGGCGACTCCCCCCCCCCAGTTGACCTATCAAATTCTCAAAATGCACCGGGAAGCGTACTTTAAGATCATCAACAATGCCAGCACGCGCGGTACAGACGCGGTGTACAAAATCATCCACCAAGGCGAGCCTGAAGAGGCTCAGAGCGTGTGGCCTTTGGTCCATGAAGCTTTGGAAAACTACCTGAACTTGGTCAACGAGGTGATTGATGAGTGCGTCTTGGTCAACGAGCCCGCTCACCTCGACGGACCCGGCAGCCCCTACCGCAGCAAGAGCCGCAAGGTCGACTCGGGCTGCAGCTTTGGCTCCTCTGGAACCGGAACGAATGTCAACGCGGAAGGTGTCATGGAGAAGCCCCTCCCCCAGTTCCCCATTCCTAAGGACAAGGAGAGCTCAAGCAAGGGGTCGGTCTTGGAACGCCTCTCCCGTGAAATACGCTCCCTGGGCCCCGCCGCAAAGCTCCGCAACCTCAGGAAGATGAAGTCCACCACCGCCCTCGCTCGGCCTGGCAGCCAGCACAGCTCCATCCAAAGCTCTTCCATCTTTGACATCTCCGAGGCCAAGCGCGAGCGCCTCATCCGTGACGCGTACAGTCGCAAGAATTCCCAGTCCCAGGTGTCGACCACCGACGGCCAGTAAAGCGACGGCTGATTCAGATTCACCCCTCGCCCTACCACCTACCATTCCCTTGTTGAGCACGGATTTAACATAAAACCCTTTTCCCATTACATTTCCCTCGGCGTCTATTACACTGGAAAGAAAAAAAGAGACCTCGCAGGTTGCATATATGGGGTCGCTGTGATATTTTCTCTCTTCTCTCATCCTTTCTCTCACGTGGAGCTTTTGGCGCACTCGAACATTGCATGCATCCTGGGTGGCAAAAGTTTGGCGTCAGAACCACTTGTTTTAACGACATTATGTGTTTACGATCATCATCCTCGGCGAATTAGGTTCCAATTGAGCTTGAAATAAACTAAGAATATCTACTTCTATGTTCTTGTAGTGTGCATAGTTCGTAGTGGTCCTAGGAATCTTCGGGTCCATGGTTATAGCCAGCACTCCGAAAATGCAGCTAGGCAGTAATTTCAAAGAGAATTTGGCATAAGCAAAAGGCTTTCTGACTAGAAAAAAGTCATGCCATTTCTCGGCGAGGCCAGGTAGATAGCACTGACCTGTAAGTGCGTCCCACTAATAATCCGTTCGATGGCAGGCGCGACCTGCACTAATTGCCGCTTCGCCCGCCGTACAAGCTGCGATAAGCGCGATAGGAGAATGATCCAAGTGTCCAGATCCGCATGGCATCACCGCGTCTGTTTGCGAGATCGCTGGGCTCATCTGGCCCATGATGTTTATCATTACCATAACAAAACTGCCCTCGGAATAAGTATAAAGACCGTTCGACCCTGACTCCGACAGAAAAGCCTCCGGGCGCTGTCCTTAACACACCATTTACCCTCCGACTCTCAGCATCCCCATCCATAGCATCAGGATGACGGTCCCCTCGAGATCCCACCCCTCATGGCATTGGTGTGCGGCCATTGTGGCTCTACTACCAGCATGTCTGGTTAGTGCAAGCCCGGCAGTCAACGTGGCTCTCCAGGCTCCATTCGATTCCTCGCCGTACTTGCTCGAAATGCTGTATGTGAATGCTATCCTGCTACTCCTTGCCTAGGTTTGAATGACTGGGAGAGTGATACTTATCATCATGCTTAGCGAAACTGCTGCCGAAGAAAACTCCACTTCCTACTTCCCATTACTCGATCGCATTGCCGACGGCGCCTTTGAGGAAGCTACGTCCGAGAAGGAGCTGTATGACCGCTTCTTGCAGGTCGTTCACGAAGATGGGCATCTGCGCACCCCCGAGAGCCTCTCTTCATTCAAACTCTCGTTGGCTCTTCGGTCCTCGGCGCCTCGGATTCAGGCCCATTACCAGTACTACAATACTTCGGTGCAGCAGTCGTTGATGGCCGCACAGGATGCGGCGTGTCCGGTTTGGGTTCACCTAGAGGGGAGGCAGTATTGCTCCTCCCTGATGGAGCGCGCACAGCAGGATGTTGGAGGAGAATTGTGCGTATAGCTCCGTGCATTGCAACTGGGAAAGGGCTGGCTGACTTTCAGGACCTAGAGATCCTAGAGAGCTACCATTCGACCGAGTCCTCGGCGATGTCTCGCATCCCCCCGCTGTTCTTTACGCAGATGTGTCGGCTCCAATGTTCAAGGACTTCCATGAGACTTTAAGCGACATGGCGAAGCAAGGCCAAATCTCGTATCGCGTGCGCTACCGATCTCCTCAGCACTGGACCTCGCGGCCTTTGTTTGTCTCGGGATACGGCGTGGAACTTGCGTTGAAGCGGACGGATTACATTGTCATTGACGACCGAGATGCGGAGCAGCGGGATGAAAGCGAGAAGGATAGTACCTCGGCTGGCTCTGAAGGATTGAAGGAAGACGCGCCGGATGACCTGCGCCCTCTTTCTTCTTCGGAGGCGTCGAGACTGGGCCTGAACTCTGCAAGCTACGTGATGGACAGCGAAGACCCGCTGAACACTTTGATCAAACTGTCGCAAAACTTTCCCAAGTATTCGTCCATCATCGCCGCTCATAATGCAACTGCGGAGTTACGACAAGAAATTCGTGGCAACCGGGCGCGAATGATCCCGGCTGGATCCAACGTGATGTGGATCAACGGCGTGCAAATTGACCCCCGACAAATAGATGCGTTCTCCCTGCTCGATCATCTCCGCCGGGAGAGAAGGCTGATTGCAAAGTTCCGAGATCTGGGTCTGTCTGCTCAGGAGGCTGTGAAGCTCCTATCACACCCGACACTCGCAGAGTCCCATGCCGATGATGATTCCCAGCGGTATGACTACCGTGATACTGTTGAAGGAGGCGAGACCATTATTTGGATGAACAATCTCGAGAAGGACTCGCGGTACGAATCCTGGCCAAGCGACCTCGAAGCAGTATGTTTTTTTCAATGCCTTTTTGCATTTGCGATTCTTATACTGACCGGATTATAGCTTATCACAAACACCTATCCGGGACAACTACCCCAAGTCCGTCGTGACTTGCACAACGTCGTCATGCCGGTTGATTTGTCCAGCGCAGAAGATGTGCTCTTGGTTGTCAACCAGGTCCAGACTTTCATCAAACGCATGATCCCTATCCGATTTGGCTTGGTGCCAACCGCATCGTCTCCGGACGCCATTTCCCAGCTGAAAGTGGCCCACTATCTCCAGAAGAATTTCGGTCTCGCATCGTTGCTTCACTACCTGGAAGATTCCGCCTCCAAAGGAAAGGCAGGAGAACCCGACAAGGCGTCATTTACTGCTGTAACTAAGGGACGGAAACCGCGCGCAGAAAAGGAAGCTCTCTCGTTCGACCAAGTGCTGAAGGGCGAGCACTACGATGCCGCGGTTACACGTACAGCTGCTTACCAGCGTCGCTTGAGCCTGAATGGTGAAGCTCCTCATTTCCTGGTTAACGGCATCCCGGTCTCTCGCGAGGGTAACTGGATGCAGGAGCTGAGTATGCTAATTAGTAGGGATCTCAAGCTGATCCAGCAAGCTATCGTTGAGGGCATTTTCGAGGAAGCTGTTGTGTTGCCAGAGTTCTACCTGGCTGGTGCGTTTGAGAGACGCAACACATTTCTCATGCCCGAAGACCCCAAGAGCGCTCGGATTGTGGATCTTGCCAACATCTTCGGTCCCGGTTCCGCGGTTCTGGACAAGCTTCCTCAGATTGAACCTGAAAGCGGCGTCTTGGGCGGTATTCACATCATTGTCGTTGGTGACTTTGACTCAGAGGCTGGTTTGAAGCTTCTCATTCATGCTTTGAACTTCCGAAAGGAGAATGGCGAGGTGGAGCTTCTCCTGGTGCACAATGGTGCACCCGAGGCTGGAGGGAGCATCCGAGCGATCCAACATTCCCTTGCCAAGGGTGAAGATATCGATGGCATTCTGGCTGCCATTGGCTCTTCTGAGGCCTCAGAAACGTCGGAGCCTGAAAGTCAAGACTTTACACGCGTCCACCGACGCCTGGCAGAGAAACTGGGATTCGAGGCTGGCGCGGAAGGCCTCGTGGTCAACGGCCGGGCTGTTGGTCCCATACCGAAGGAATTCCCCTTGAGTGTGGAAGAAATCAGCCAGCTCGTCGCCTATGAACGATCCAAGCGGATTGAACCTGTCGCGCAAGCTGCCCTGTCCCTCGGTTTGAATAACAAGCTCTCCAAGCCGCTCGATCTTGCTAAACTTTCTTCGATGGTTTCCCTTTCTACAATCTCCGATGTCCCGGAAGAAATCTTCGAGTCCGCGCCAGACTTCCGATTGGACGTCTCTGACAAATGGAAGACTGAACACTCCGTGATCACGGTTTCTAACTCCGAGGACCCGGCAATCAATGTCGCAGCCGTCCTTGACCCGGCATCTGAACCAGCCCAGAGGTGGCTGCCCATTCTCAAGGTTCTCTCCGAATTGGCCGGTGTCCAGCTGAAGATCTTCTTGAACCCTAAAGATGAGCTCAAAGAGCTTCCTGTCAAGCGTTTCTATCGCTACGTTCTGGAATCAGAGCCGTCGTTTACTGCGGATGGATCTCTCTCACGCCCTGGAGCTTCCTTCACCGGCGTGCCTGTCGAGGCATTGCTGACTCTGGGCATGGATGTTCCCACCTCGTGGCTTGTGGCGCCCAAGGAATCGGTGTACGACCCGGACAATATCAAGCTGAGCACACTCAAAGCTGGGGCCAATGTCGACGCTATCTATGCCCTAGAACATATTCTGATCGAAGGTCACTCTCGCGATGTTACGACCAACTCCCCACCCCGCGGAGTGCAGCTTGTTCTAGGCACTGAGGATAACCCTCACTTTGCCGACACCATCATCATGGCCAACCTGGGTTACTTCCAGTTCAAGGCACAGCCTGGTCTGTGGCAAATCAACCTCAAGCCCGGTCGCAGCGAGAAGCTCTTTAACCTTGACAGTGTTGGCGGTCTCGGATATCGCCCACAACCTGGTGACGCAAACACCGAAGTCACCCTTCTGTCCTTCCAAGGCCGGACTCTCTTCCCCCGTCTCTCTCGCAAACCGGGTCACGAAAATGATGATGTCCTGGAGGTAGGCCATCAGCCTGGCTCGACGCGAGACTACCTCTCCAAAGGCCTTAGTTTCGCTTCTGGTGTCCTCTCCAGTGTTGGTGTTGGTTCCAAGTCGGGCGAGCAACACGCCGATATCAACATCTTCTCCGTCGCCAGTGGCCACCTGTACGAGCGCATGCTGAACATCATGATGGTGTCCGTGATGCGCCATACCAAGCACACTGTGAAGTTCTGGTTTATCGAGCAATTTTTGTCTCCCTCTTTCCGCGCGTTCCTTCCCCACCTCGCCGAAGAATACGGCTTCTCCTACGAGATGGTCACGTACAAGTGGCCGCACTGGCTGCGCCCGCAGAAGGAGAAGCAGCGCGAGATTTGGGGATACAAGATGCTATTCCTGGACGTGTTGTTCCCCCTGTCTTTGGAGAAAGTGATCTTCGTTGACGCAGACCAGATCGTTCGGACGGACATGTATGATCTCGTGACGCATGACTTGCAAGGCGCGCCGTATGGCTTCACCCCGATGGGCGACTCGCGCACGGAGATGGAGGGCTTCCGCTTCTGGAAGCAGGGCTATTGGAGCACGTTCCTGCGCGGCAAGCCGTACCATATCTCGGCGCTGTACGTTGTCGATCTGAACCGTTTCCGCGCCCTCGCTGCAGGCGACCGTCTGCGTGGCCAGTACCAGATGCTCTCGGCGGACCCCAACAGTTTGAGTAACCTGGACCAGGACCTGCCGAACCACATGCAGCACCATATTCCCATTCACAGTCTGCCGCAGGAGTGGCTGTGGTGCGAGACGTGGTGCTCGGATGAAGACCTGGCATCGGCGAGGACCATTGATCTCTGCAATAACCCGCAAACCAAGGAGCCCAAGTTGGCTCGGGCGAGGAGACAGGTTCCTGAGTGGACCGTGTACGATGATGAGATTGCTGTGCTGGCGAAGCGTGTTGCCTCGGAGCAGATTGGGTTCGTGCAGACTGGGGAGGATGCGGCACAAAAAGAGACTGTTGTTGATGAGGAGAAGGCGGAGGAGGACCGGAAGGATGAACTATAGATGGGTAGACTTGACGCATTGATTGTGGTGGTTGTACACTTGTTCAAGGACAATTCATGGTTCCCTTTTAGGATGGTTTTGCTACATGGGCATTTGCATTCGTAGTGGTACAGGCACAGCTGGCTATTTCAAGATGATACTATTCACGTAGGAGTAGCTCACTCCGATTCTTCTCCTTCCGACTTGATGTCCAGCATGTCGCTGCCCTCATCGCCCGAGTCATCATGGCTGTCAGACATAGGTTGGTGCTGCTCAGCGGCCGCCGCGGGAGCCTCGGTTTCGTCCACGTCATTAATCTCTACAGCCTCTTTCTGGATGGCATTCCTTTTCTTCTTTTTGTCCTTCTTGCTCTTCTTCGTGGAGAGCTCGACCTGCTCAGGTTCCTCCATCGCGGTGCCATTCGCTTCGGACTTGCGATGCTTTTTCTTTTTCTTCTTTTCGGGCGTGGTGACGGAGACATCCTGTTCGACTCCGGCGGCATCTAGCGACTTCTTATGCTTATTGCGTTTCGTTGGTTTCTCGCTCTCGTTTGTCGCGGTTTCGACCGCGTCGGCGACAGCGGCAGCCTCTAGTTTCCTCCGCTCTTTCCTCTCCCTCCTCCTCCGCTTTCTCTCCTGTTTGTCTTCTTTGTGAGACTTTGCAGAGACGGGCGAAGAAGGCGCCGCAGTCTCAGCCTCCGCATCATCCTCCTCGGCGGCAGGTTCTTCTATCTCAGCCTGCTTGCGCTTCTTTGTCTTGATATCGCTGCGTGCGCCATTTGCCTCAATATCCCTTGGCTCAGGTGACGAGGATACGATCGAATCTTCTTTGGCGACTTGTGCAAGATCCACAGTATGTTGCTGCGTTGCGAATTCCTGCTTGGGAATCATTGCTGGCGTGCTGCCAAATATACTGTTGCCATCCTCGCCATTGTTGTCAACGTCGTCGTCGTCTTCTCCGACAAATTCCTGGCTCTTCATGCTCATTGACCGCTCGTTCCACCGTGAATACTTGTTTGCAGCGGCAGCAGGATCAAACACAGCATTCGGATCAACAGTCTGACGCGTAATGAGCATTGTTCTCCGTATCTTGCGCCATTTATCTGCGCACTGCTGACGAGTCCGGGCATTCTTCATTTCGTTACTCACAATACCCCATCCAATAAGTTTGAGGTCCATCTCCCAGATATCCTTGCCTGCCCTATGAGATTCATCTGAATTTTTGATTGTGTTCCAGATCGACTCCAAAGCTTTCACGAATGCGCGTAACTCGGTCTCACTCCATGCTCCTGAGTTCTTCGTATTCCGATGCTGTAGGCGGTTCTTCCACCGCTGTGTCACATCGTCATCACTACGGCCGAGAATCCTGGCAATATGCGCATACTTAGGCCCATGTCGAGCATATAACGCGATGAGCTCTTCATCCTGGTCAGGAGTCCAGTCGTGTGCCTTTTGTGTCGTATCTTGAAAGTGTCGACGCATGAACCGGTATACAGACCGGCGGTCTCTGTCGGGAATCAACGCATAGATGTCATTCCAGAAATCGGTCTTCGTGCAGAGACTGGTTGGGACTGGCCATTCACCGCCGCCACGCTCAGAATGCTGGACCATCTCATCAAAAACACGCCCTTCAAGTCCACGGGCGTTGCAAAATCTAATCTTAAGATCCTCCAGTGCTTTGATTTCTTCCTCGACGAAGAATCCAACTTTCTGCTTGTTTTTGCCGCCAATGCGGGGTCCTCGCTTTTTCTTCAGTCGACCTCCACTGGGCGTACCATTGGGTTCCATGTCTGGGGACTCTTCATGTTTCGGCCCAGAAAGATCTTCAGGTGAAAGGGCCTGTGCAAATCGATTCTGGTCCGAGTCCTGAGGCTCTTTCGAAAGAGAGGCTGCGAGTTGCATCTCGACATCGTGATTTTGCTCCTGCTCCTCTTGCGCGACGTCTATAGACACTTGATTCGTGTCCTGAGCATCTGGTTCCTCGTTGGCATCGTTCTCTGCTTCGTGGTGCTTCTTCTTCTTCTTCTTTTTCTTCTTGTGCCCCGGTTCACTTTCACGCTTGCGCTTCGAGGGTCGTGGCTCATTTTCTTCCGGGGGAGGGGAAGACACAATTCCGTTCGTGCCCGCAGTTGTAAGGGATGAATTCCTGTATTTGGACTTATGCGACTTCTTTTTCTTCTTTTTTCCGCCTTCCAGGGAGGATATTGGATTCGGAAATCCGATTACTGTATCTTGTCAGATGATCGAATTAGCAATGGACGTCTACGCTGATGCTTGGATGAATACCTGAACTCTCGGCAACCTCCATCTCGCGAGGCTGAGACAAGTTGTGTCCCGCTATGAGATGTCAACTGAGTCAACGTGGGGAAATGAAGCTCCCAAAATTTACGGTCGCGATTGAAGTTGTCTGGCAGATTATGCCACCGCCTTAATCACCGCCTACTTTGTCCGTCGACTTTGTAGATGCAGCTGCGGTAGTGGTCTACATAAAACAGAGCCTTATTACCTGGGTCCATTATGAGCTAATGGTTACAAATCGATACAAGTAAAGGCATATCAAATCCTGTGCCCTGTTGAGCCAGCACGCTAATTTTGAAGTCGGAATTCGATCACCAACGTAGCTATCTTTTCCTCGATTCAATCAACTTGAAAGTGGGCAAAACATATTGAGATGAAATATCACAGGTGAACCATGATAACCTAGAGTACATATGGAAGGAGGTGGTCGTCACTGAAATCGTCATTGTTAGATATAAATGTAGCACGCGAGCAGAAGTAATAACTACAAGATGCTAATGGTATATGTACAAGGAATTGAAATGCCGCAATGCCCATACTCCTGGAATCAAGCCGTAGAAAAGAAATGCCCTATCATCACGCCAGCTTCATCTCGCGCAGAATTCTCGTCACCAGCTTCTTCTGATCCACCGGATTCAATCTCTTATCATCGGTGGTTTGCAGGCAGCGCCCAATCGCAATTGTGGCTTTGATCGCACTGTCGCCAGCATTCGAGCAATCCACCCAAACTTTGCCGTTGCGGCCAACAGCAATTTCGAATCCACCGAGGCTCTCAAGCTTCTTGCCAAGCTCAGAGAGAACCGCAAGTCCGTCGATAACATCACCCTGTTCGGCAGAAGAGGAGCTAGCCCGAATCAATCGAGCTGCCATACCGGTAGATACTTCAAACACCATGCCACCAACGAGGGGACCCAAGCCCCCCGGTTCTGATTTGCCAGTAGCCGGGTTGACACAGGTAAGCTCGACCTCTGCCCCTGCCCCAACACCCACAGACAGGACCCGCGCATAGACTAGCTCACCCTGCTTCAACATCGGCCTTGTTTTCTTTGTAGCCCCCTCAAAAGATAGTTGGCCCAGGAGAGCATGTGCCGTGTGCGGTGTCACCATACAATGAAAGTAATCGATGCTGGAATGGTGGATTTGTGCAATGACAAGGTCATTGACCGTGGGGATATATCGACGGTTGGGGAAAGAGAGAATTGAAACAGTGTTCCGCTTGGCGTCGGTCGTCACTAAACCAGCCTGGGTTGCCGTTAGGACATGGCTAGTGGCATCAGGCTTGGACGATGGCTGCGACAATAGACGAAGGCCTGGGCCTAGCTTCAGAGGGTTCGAGTTGTTGGATGGGAGGTGATCGCTGGGTACCTCATCGCCCGGAAGGAGAATGAGGGGTGCGGACATGGTGCCAGTCGGAAGCTTCCAAAGCTTCTCCGGTGTCTGAAGCTTTGGATTGTGTAGATTGGAATGCGAACTGGGTGGGTCTCGTGCTTCGAAGAGTGAGTGTGCAGCAAATGCTTTTCTTTTTGCGGCGAAGAAAGAAAACGTCTGCAGGTCTTATCCACTTATCACCACGTGCCGGTGGGGTGTGGCGGTGCATCAGTCATAGATATATGCCTCTCAAAGCATGGACAAGAGCTCGGAGAGGGATAAAAACTATGCTTTCTTAAATAGATCTCCTAATTATATGAAATTATTTAGTAACTACATACACTGTGAGCGGCGAAAATTTAGTGATCGCGGTGGGGGAGAATACAGCCTGCGCCACATCTCTATCGATAAGTCCAAGCCACTTTTCGTCCGAAAATCTTCAAATTTTTCGATTTGGTCCCCCCCTCCATCGAGAACCATACCTCTTCATCGGTCACCCCCCGACTTCCTTCTGCACACACTGTGACGCAGAGACCACCCTCTTCACTTGTGACACATAATACCCTATTCAACATTCCAAATGGGTGACGCAGCCAACGGTGTTGCCGCTGAGGCGGAGCGCTTCGCTATCGGTATCTCCTTTGGCAACTCCTCCAGCTCAATTGCCCGCATTTCGCCTGTACGTCCGAAAACCATATACTTGGAGCAAATATCATGGTACTAATACATCATATAGGAAGGCAAGGCTGAGGTTATTGCCAACGAGGAAGGAGGTATGGTTTCGAGAGCCCCGCCTTTGATCAACTCAAGTTAACTGAAGTGATTCGTATAGACCGTCAAATTCCCAGCATCCTTTCTTACATCGATGGCGAGGAGTACCACGGTACCCAGGCCAAAGCACAGCTCATCCGTAACTCCAGCAACACTGTCGCATACTTCCGGGATTACCTGGGCAAGGACTTCAAATCGATCGACCCGACCCCATGCCACCAATCCGCCCACCCCCAGCAAAGCGACTCGACCGTTGCTTTCACCATCCGTGACACTGAGAGCGAGACCCTCAACACTGTTACCGTTTCTGAGATCACCACCCGCCATCTCCGTCGTCTGAAGCAGTCCGCCACCGACTATCTTGGTAAGGAGGTTAACGCTGCCGTCATCACCGTTCCCACCAATTTCACCGATGCCCAGCGCGAGGCCCTCATCGCCTCGGCCAAGGCTGCCGGCATTGAGGTCCTCCAGCTCATTGCCGAACCCGTCGCTGCCGTCATGGCCTACGATGCCCGTCCCGAGGCTACTGTGACTGATAAGCTGGTCGTTGTGGCTGACCTTGGTGGCACCCGCTCCGACGTGGCTGTCATTGCCTGCCGCGGTGGTATTTATACCATCCTGGCTACTGCTCACGACTACGAGCTGGGCGGTGCCTCCCTGGACCAGGTCATCATTGACCACTTCGCCAAGGAGTTCATGAAGAAGCACAAGACCGACCCCCGCGAGGATCCCCGCGGTTTGGCCAAGCTGAAGCACGAGGGTGAAGGTACCCGCAAGGCTCTCAGCCTGAGCGCCAATGCTCAGCTGAGCGTTGAGTCCCTGGTGGACGGTATTGACTACGGCTCCACTGTTAATCGCACTCGCTTTGAGCTGCTCTCCGGCAAGGTCTTTGCTCAGTTCACCGGCCTCATCGAGCAGGTCGTTAAGAAGGCTGAGCTCGATGTTCTTGACATCGACGAGGTATGAAATTTTTTCCCAATGTATTAATTTCTTGTATATAGGACTGATTGTCTAATCTAGGTCATCTTCTCTGGTGGTGCCTCCCACACCCCCAAGATTGCCCAGCTGACTGCCAACATCTTCCCGGAGAAAACCACCATCCTGGCTCCCTCGACCTCTAACTCCGCCATCAACCCGTCCGAGCTGTCTGCCCGTGGCGCCGCTTTCCAGGCCTCGCTGGTGCAGGAGTTCGACCGTGAGGACATCGAGCAGTCGATTCACCCGATGGTGACTGTTACCCCCCACCTGAGCAAGGCCATTGGTGTTGAGTTTATCTCCAACACTGAGAGCACGTTCCAGCCTCTCCTGAATGCCGAGACCGCTCTCCCTGCCCGTCGCATTGCCCAGTACACCGCCCCCAAGGAGGGTGGTGACGTGCTGGTCCGCGTGTGCGAGGGTGCCCGCGAGATTAAGGTCACCAAGCCCGAGCCCAAGTCCAAGGAGGAGAAGGCCGCTGATGAGGAGGACTCCGATTTCGACTCTGACGAAGAGGAGGAGGAGGACATTCGTGAGATTGTCTGGAAGACCGAGAAGCCTGTTGCTGAACTCGCTGTCAAGGGTGTTAAGGCCGGCGGCAAGGTCGAGATCATGATCCACGTCAACCCCGATCTAGGTCTGCAGATTGCTGTGCGCGAGGTTGGTGGCTCTACCGCCGTCCGCGGTGCCATCAACGGCTCCGCCTAAATTTTCCTCCCGAAAACCGATCTCCTTATGGCGTGATGATGCATGCATGATTGATAGAGGCTGTGCTTTTCCTGTATTCCCGTCATTATCTTCTTGGAGTCAAACCCCTTTTTGTCATGTTCTCCAATCTATATAGACTCTCAATTGGAAATGGCCAATAAAATTTTATTTTCGTTCGTGCTTGGACCATGATCGGGCGAGTGCCCAATTATAATAATACGAAGGCACGGATGATCCGATGAACGGTACCTCTAGTTTCTAGATCAGGTTTCGAACATTTGAGGAATTTCTTATTGCCCAGCTCCATCTCATGTCAAGGCACCGAAGTCGTCACTTAAGATCAAATAGAAATTATATTACAACTATTAGATAAGAACTGCGGACGTGGGGACATCAGATAACACCAGGTTGGAGAACCATTGCAGCATGAAGTCGTCAACAATTAGTCGACCTCGCTTCACGCAGAGGGCAAAATCAGGATGACTTGGTGCTGGAAATACAGCTGGTTCATGAGGCGCGGCGCGAACCATGCTGTTCCCAGACACCAATAGGGCTGGATTTTTGGCATAATAACGATCGTGAGTAGTTCGTGACAACATTAAAGGAGCGTGTAAGATAAATTTCAAAAATGGAGAATCATCCAAAGCACACATGAGCAAGGCTAAAGTAGGGCGAAAGAAATTCTCTAGAAAGCGGAAGCTCTCTAACGGCAAATACCAACGCTGGGGAGCTCGTGTACGGGGAAAGCGGGACGTTGAAATCACTGGGGTATCAACGTTTGCCTGTTCTTGATTTGGTCAGGCACGGTATTGGTAGATTTTCTTTGCCAAGAGAGCTCGTGAAGCCCACTTAAGCGGGGAAGGATGACTGCTCCTTCTTTTGGCTCTTCACGCTGTTGGAGCGGGCAGAAGAGAAGAAGCCGCGGCTGCGCTCCTTGCGCCCACTGTAACCACTGTCCTTGCGGCCGACTGCGCCACCGAGACAGTACAGCAGGCAGGAGAGGAATAGACAGAAGCTCGCGGTCCACATAAAGCCGAAAGCCTTGGAGCCCAGCCTGGCTCTCTGGCCGTTGCGATTAAAGGCATTTCGACCCTGAACAAAAACGGCGCTACCATATAGTTAGCTGGCTGGAATCAAGCAAAAATGCAACGGATCGGATCTCCACATACGTCATAAGGCAGGTAGTGATAAGCTGGAAGATTAGCGCGAGCCATGCGAGTAACCCAGATAAATAGCTGCCAATGCGCGTGCACAAGGCCAGCAGGCCAGTGAAAAGAGAGAGCACGGCCCAGAAAAGCCCAATGAGGATGAAGGGGAACATGAATCGAGACGTCAGGAAGTAGTGGTTTGTCCTGTAGTTTGTGATTAGCGCGAATTCCGGCGATGCGCACTTCAGCTTCAGCCATTGGACCTACCCGATAAACTCATGCGGCACATTGACGGTGGTGTTGAAGGTGCGGTGACTTGGGGGGTCGAAAGGGTAGTCGGGGTGCGAGGTACCGCAGACACTCTTGCCATCGGAATTCACCGAACAGACGTTCCAGAACGTCCAACGTGAGGTTGCCGGAGCACCAGGGATATTGCCTGTGTCGGCCTGGAGGAACCAGATCTCATTCAGAGGGGTGTGGTTGTTCGCGCCGCCAAGGAGTGTGAGGAAAATCAACAGGACGGCACCGGCCGTGAAGAACAGGCCGAGGAAGCCCAAAGACAATCCTGTCGGGAGATGCTCAATTAGTACTGTGACCTTGACCATTTCTCGAAGTCTCGAGCTTGGGGCACGATTACACTTACTGCTGAGAAGCATGGTGGCTGATCCCTGTGTCGGTTCGCGGAGTTGCTTGTGAAGCGAAAAAAGCTCGTTCTTCTGAGTGCTGAGGAGTTTGGGTTGGGAGTGCTGCCTATGGGTCGACTCGGTCTCTGCTTGGTGCCCGAAGTGCCAACGGGTAGCTGCGATGCGATGAGGTCGAGGGTAAGGAAAGGGGGGATTTGGCCTGGAGAGAAAAAGACATAAAAGACCAGTGCAATGTGCAGCTTCATGAGCCGGGCCCATCCGGCAGCCTTTCCCCTCTCCTGATATAATGGCGCGGTGTGGGCATCATCGGCGCACTCATAGATCGTGAGGATCATAACGTCATGCTTGCGCCTGATCGGCTAGCTGTTCTCGGTTAGCGCCGTCTTAGAGTGCGCGCTAACCCCCACGGGGCTTAGCCGCGACGGTCCATGACGAAGTGACGAACAGCAACAACGTTGCAGCTCCTCTCTGTACTCCTCGCGGCGGAGCCCGCAGTGACGTGGATCAACTCGATCAACCTGGATTGACCTGAATTCTTCTGCCTGATCTCTCCTTACGGAAAACCTTACCGAACCTTAAACGAGTCCTGCCCAACAGGTTCTGCTCGGTCGTGTCGTCGTGGCGCCCTCTTCATTCGCATAATGGCAACCTGGGCGTACCCCCCACTATCCACAGAACAGCTCAACCGGCAGGCCGATTTCACCTTGGTACGTCAAAAAAGGTGGTCCTTCCCTTGGGGTATGATGCAGTGGGTGAACCTCCGTGGTTGGCCACAGCAGAAAATGATCGCCTTCAAGGGTCATAGTGGATCTTGCATTTGCTGACACTCAATCTTAGGCTCGGGAGCTCGAGTGGCTATTACAATCACTGCAGGAGTCATTAGTATCCTTGAAGGAAGGCCTGCAAGAGTGTGCAGCCCTCTTGGCCCCTCAGGAACCGGGGTCAACTCTGGTTCTATCATCATTGCGATCAGAGAGTGTGAAGGGCTTCGTGACCCGAGTCGGCACCAAGGTGGTCAAAGGGGTATGTTTCCAGCTGACGGGAAGAGGTCGTCAATTGGCCTGGACGAGGGCTAATGCGCGTTTCTATTCTTTTAGGATATCCAGCTCCGTCTAGCCTCACTCCCTCCTTCGCGGGGTACCCCTAGCACCCGCCTAACTCTGTCCCAAGCTCCTGATGCCCCAGACTTGGTGTTGCAGCAACTGGTGTCGGTCCGAAATCTCGTCAATCAAAGTTTGGATATTGTGGATGTGAGCACATACACAGGCGATCCTCTCAATGCGGGATTTATCTTCAGCCAGCTGCATCTCTTGCAGGAGACCATCGGCGAGGCCCGGCAGATGCTGAAGGGAGATGGAAATACGCGAGGCAACTGGTGGGAGACTAGTGCGTCGGACAATGTAGGTTTTGCTTCCATCGTGCGAAACTCCAACGAATCCCCAGCTAATGAGTGCTTCGTCCAAAGATGTTTGATCCTCCACCCCCACCTTTCCTCTCCTTTCATCTCTCTATCGCAGATTCTGCGCTAGTTCTCCTCGTACGCACTCTGGAAAGCAGTAGTCCTGCCCATACGCCTACGGCATTTGCATCGGACATCTCCCTGACCGGATTCTCCCTCAGAGACCGGATATTTGGGAGTCGACAACCTGCACACGATGAGGCAGGGGATGTCTTCACCTGGCATGGCGAGGAAGTACGCGTTAAGGAAAAGGTTCGGGTTGAAAGCCAAGACCCTAGCTTGATGGCCGTCATGGCCAAGCTGACAGCGCTAGAGCACGAAGTGATGCGCTGGGTGATGGCGCTTCGAGTGCTTATGGGCAACGAGGAGCCGGAAAGCGAATAATAATATTTTGCATTTGATAACACTAAAAAATATATACCCTCTATCGTACCTTTACCGGAGAAACTTATCGAGATACCGCAACTACCTAGATACTTGACGCCTCCCGCAGCTCTTCAATTTTCTTCATAGCCATGAAACTATAGATTACCCCTGCAAATCGAGATGAGATTGAACCTTGACGAGCATGTTCGTAACATAAGCGTAGGTATAATGTATAGCCTTGCGTACTCATTCAGCTATCCCTCAAGCCCATCAGAAACTTTGCGGATCGAATCCGTTGGCTATCCTCTTGGCTTTCGGAGTGCGGGCCGGCCAATCAACGGGCAGCAGTTTGTGATGGCGGATGGTGGCTTGGCAATAATTTTGCGGAGGTTCACTGGCACCTTTTTCTTTTCCTTCTCCTTTAACTCGACTCGAGCGCCAGATTGGAACAGCAAAATGCTGTCCAGGCCTTCCACAGTGACGGCCAGTTGCCCAAATGCGCGGCATGTGCTGCGCCCGTCAGTTTCTCGTCCTGCTAGCTTGCGACCATCTTGCGCATTAACGCCGCGACAGAATCGAAGCAATGCATCTCAACGATCCTTTTCAAGTTCTCCGCATCACCCGGTATACAGAAAGAATCTACTGAAAGCACCACTACCGCAATGGATGTCTGGTCAAAGATTCTCGTCCACCACCGCGTCGCCCTCCGAATCGCCGCAGCCTAGCGACGACACTGAGACTATCAACGCCCTGATTGAGCGCATCAACCAAAACGATGATGAAATGGCCAAATTATTGGAAGAATTGGAACTTATCGAAGATGTTGATGGCATGGAGGAGCTGGCCGATCCTCTCGAAGGCCAAGAGTACACACCGGAGATTTGGGTGCAGATGGTGCGACAACAATTTGGAGACACAATCCCCGAAGGCGTTCTGAATGAGGAGGAGACGCAGCTGTTTACTCGACTCTATGGAGAGCCCATTGTCCAGGAAATGGTCGAAGAAGCCTCCGCCGAGGAAGACAAGAAGGAATCTGATCGCTTGTTCCGCGAGGATGGAAAGGGTCGTTGGGAGGAAATCGAGTATGAGGAGAACGCGAAGGCCGAGGATGACATTCCCGTTGTCTACGATATGGAGAACAGCTCGGAAGAAATCGAGACGATTGCAATGCGACGGACCCGAGAAGTGGCCGAGCAGCTGGGTGGCGAGATCATGCTGGAGCAGTTTGAGAACGAAGCTGTTCCAGATTCTGCGCCTCGGGCTCATCCCCTAACCCAGGAAGGCAAATTCCAGACGGATCCCCGTACAATTCATCTACCGAAGAACACGGTCACTGGACCTATTTCGGTCATTCTTTCGGAGTTTTCCAACAAGCATATCTCTGACACTGCTCGCCGCTTGTTTGGAGGGCCAGGATTGCCCCATTCTACGACCACCGCACCCCCGCGGGCGCAGCTACCGCAGCTGCCAATTCCCCTTCATGCGTCCCAACATCATATGGGTGGGATGGAGGCCAATGCCTACATCGCGGCCTTGTACCCTGGCATTTATGCCTCAATACTCAGCGTTTTGGTCGAGGTGCGGAAACGCATGGGAACGGACTGGATCCATCATCTCATCTCCCAAGAGGGAGGCCCCAACGTTCTCGACGCAAGTGGCGGTGGTGCCGGTATCCTGGCCTGGAGGGATGTTGTCCGTGCTGAATATGAGCTCATGGTTCCCGCCCACCCTGAGGGGGCAGCCATCCCATACGGGCGATCGACAGTCTTGACGGGGTCGGAGACACTGCGACTGCGTGCGAGTGCGATGCTCGACAATACCAGTTTTCTTCCCCGCTTGCCGGACTATGTTCATGTGCGTGAGAAGCCAACACTGGAGGACTCGCGCGCTGCCCCGAAGCGTAAGCAGTACGATGTTGTCATCGCACCGCACAGTCTCCTTGGCTTTGAAGAGGAGTATCAGCGAAAGGAGCATGTTCAAAATCTGTGGTCGCTCCTGAACCCTAATGGCGGTGTGCTTATTCTCCTCGAAAAGGGCCGTCAAAAGGGGTTTGAAGCGATTGCTGGCGCCCGTGAAATGCTCCTCAAGCGCCATATTGCGAGCCCAGGCTCGACAGAGTATGAGAACACACTCGAATCCCCTGGTAACAGCACCACAATTCTCAAGGAGCCCGGTATGATCATCGCTCCCTGCACAAACCATTCTACTTGCCCGATGCACAACCCGGCGGGCCCGACCAAGGGTCGCAGGGACTATTGTCATTTCGAGCAGCGGTACATCCGCCCTGACTTCTTGCAGCGCATTATGGGTGCCAAGGACCGCAATCACGAAGATGTCAAATTCAGCTACCTCGCTGTGCAGCGAGGTGTGGACCTGCGTCAAGAACGGGATATCCGCCAGAACGCCGAAGCAACAGACGCCGCATTCGAAGGCTTCGAGCACCTCGAAGAGCCCGACAGTTCAAATATCGACTCGCTCTCCCTCCCTCGTGCCATCTACCCGCCCATCAAACGTCGCGGGCACGTCATCTTCGACCTCTGCACACCGGCCGGCAAGATCGAGCGTTGGACGGTCCCGCGTTCCTTTAGCCGGCAGGCCTACCGTGATGCGCGCAAGTCTAATTGGGGTGACTTGTGGGCTCTAGGAGCTAAGACCCGTATTCCTCGGAACCTGAACCTGGGCGACAAACACGGCGAAGGCAAAAAAGAGCGTCTCGCTCGACGAGCAGCAGCCAGGGCTGGCTCGCGCGAAGTTGATGAAGAGGGCGAATTCGATGAGCTCGACCCCAAGGAAGACGAAGCTGTCGATGGGATCGTGGACGAGGGATCCGATCGTTCGGCATTCCCTGCACGCAAGAAGGGCCAGAATATTCCGAGCTGGAAGAAGCACGCGGATAAGAAGAAGCTTCGACAGGCCGTGAAGAAACGTGGTGCGGCAGAAGATGCCCTGTAATCTGGATTCGTTGAAAACAACTTGGTCTAAGCATTAATTGAGAGGCGTATATATCTGGCTTTGGGATCTGTACTTTTATTTGTGGTGGCTGCATACTTTATGGGATCGGAGGGTTTGTACTATATACCATCTTCACACCAGACTACAACTGTAACATATGTTCTTCACTCCGAACCTGGGTTTTCATTATTGGTCGTTGTAGGTACTGGGTATCTTTTGTTCTTAGCCACCTAATCCCGACCTGCTTGAGTCCGAGGTATCTAAAGACGCAACCCCTGCCTTCAAACAGAGAAATTATGACAGGTATGCGTACTCCTGAGGTTGTGGCTTGATGTGGCCCTATATTGTATATCGAGCCGCTAGCATCCTGCGAAAGCCCTGGGGTTGTTGGTGCTAGATTGAGCAGCGGTCCGATGACTGGTGCAGCGTCGCTCTAATGAGCTGCATTTACTAATGCAGTCATTATATCACAAGCCCATGAAATGAGTTGTATGGGCACCAAGCCGTCACTTGGACGTGACTCAAACGCATAAGATGGGGTCGGCCTCCTCGTACTGCATCTTGATTGTTTGCATCCGGAGACCTGGGCAATGTCGGCTGGCAGGAGAGAGCTTGAACAGTCATGTAGTGTCGTTATGGATCATCGACTGTAGCGTGAAAACGGCTTCGCAGAGCCCTTGAACCCGAGGAGAACAGGCAAATCCATTATCCATTTATGTTTCCCGAGACGAATCCCTCACTGCGCCGCCATGCTCTTCCTCAGCTGACGCTCGCGCTGGGTGCTCTGAAGTTCCAATCGATCCACAGCATATTTGAGACGCTCCTTCTTCTGCACCAGCCGCCGTAGCTCGAGCGCCCTCGAGGCTGCATTGTCGGAAAGAGCACCACTTGGTCCGGCCTGACGACGCCGCAGTGCGGCGTTGCCCTGGCCTTGAGCCAGAGTCGCTGAGGATTTACCGTCCGAGTTGGATGAAAGTCGCCCTTCTTGGAGATCGCATTTTGCCTTTAGGCCTTGTTCTCGTCGCGCGAGTCTTTCCACATGGCTCGAAGAGAGTGAAAGAAGGTGCGTAATGCTGGGTGTGATTTCATCTAGCAGAGATTGTTGTGCATCACGTAGAGTTGGTTCGGGGAGAAGTTCAAAGTGCTATATTGATAGCAGGTTAGAAAAGTAATTTGGTGAAATATTGTGGTTTCAATGTGACGTACTCGTGTCGTCTGGAGAGTTTTGCAAAGGCGGGGAAAGTCGTTGACACCGGAGTCCAGGGTATTGATCGAGTTATCGAGGAGCTGCAGAGAAGACTGCAGCGAAGTCACGGACGAGGCCAAAGACGAACTCATGATGCGTCGCAGGGGAGAGGGGTATGTTTGCGAAGATGCGACCGCGGGGAGAGATTGTTTACACTGGCGGTGCATCGGAACCGTCGGGCTAAAGCGGCCAGCCGCCCTTCCCAAAGCAGTATGGCGCTTCGGACCGGGCAAACTCCAAACCTCACTTCTCCTCTTCCTCCTGCACCATCGACCCCCGCGAACACCGAATCAACCTCGCATTCGCACCACTCTATCACTATGTCTCTCCTCGGAAAGAAGTTCCCCGGCCTCCTGGGTATGTTATTCCAGGATCGCGACCTGCTTTCCCACGCCCGAGCTGTGCTGCACACGAATTTGAGTAACTGACGCATTAGTTCAACAGCCGGCCCCATGACCCCCTTCTTCGCTGCCGGTATGAATATTCGAACCTCTCTCTGCCCCAATGGGTCCTTATCCGAATTGATTGCCCGCCTCAAAACTTGCCGCCCGCTCGAAACGTCCACCCGGGAACTCGCTTTCTGACCAGTCTCCTTTATAGGTGTCATTGTCCTCTACGGCGTCAACTCTCTGCAGAACGCTCTGTCCAACAGTGAGTGCTCCCTGTGACTTTTTGGATGTCCCATTCAATCAGAATCGGCATTGTGCGGGACCTCTCGAGCAACTGCCATACTCCGAGATTGCCCGACCATCGCTCCTATGTCTAGAACGCATCGACTGACACTCGAATATCTATAGCTGCCGAGCACAAGAACGATCCCCGCAACCCCAACGCTAAGGCCGGCAACTCTCACTAGATTTGACCGACCATGATGGACTGCTGAGATGTCACCGTGTGGCGCGAAGCTGGAGCGATCGAGTCGTTGCGATGGGAACATGAACGGAAACGATCCCGGGCCTCGGTTTTGATTCGCCAATGTTGTGCGTTTAACGTTCGCGGGTAGTTTGCCCTCTGTCCAAGCATATAGAAGATACCTTACAGGTTGACTTGGATCAATTTACACGCTGTACCACTACTGAACTTCGACCCCTGTGTCTCCTCGTGGCTTTTGACTTTGGCAAATCTCTCTACCATAACCAAAAGGCATCTTCCTGTATTGAAGCGGGTTGTTCCGAAGCATTGGTATGTCTTTTGGGTGTCGTAGGCTGTCGGCGTAGTGGGATCTTGATATATGGCTTTTAGTCGTGGGATTCAGCGGGATTAACACTTTCCATTCAAGCTATAGTTTTCTATGCAATAAAGTTATCCCCCGATCTGATAGAAGGCAATTCATTTGATTGTTAGAGTTCTGATAGACCCTCTGCCAGAGGAGATACCCGATGCCGACGAGGCAATCTTGACCCACGCTAAACCCGATCGGGTTCCGCATCTTTTCGTCTTTTGCCAACTCCGCCTCGCCGCCAGGAACCTCCATTACTTCGCGATCGCATCCCCAATACCCCTTCCGAACGTGCCACAATGTCGAAAGTGGCGTCTTCTATGTTCCACCCCAAGAGGCTCGACCTCTCTGGGTTTGTCAACACCCGCCTGATCCGGGATCACAACAAGCGCAATGCCTTTGCCCAGATGGAGCCCGAACGGTAAGCCAACCTGCACTCTGCGGAACAGAGACTGCTGCCCGGGAAAGAAAGCTCTCAGCATGAAGAGTGACATTGAACCCTGAACCTTTTATTTGAACAGACAAGCGCTTCGCTACGTCATTCGCAACACTAGCCTCCCTCAGCGCACTCGCGCCCAGGCCCAGCTCCAGCTGTCGCAGATGCACTGCTACACCCGCCCGACCCAGATCAAGAACCGTTGTGTGGCTTCGGGAACTGCCCGTAGTGTGTTCCGCAATTTCAGACTCAACCGAGTAAGTGAATGCCTGGGGGACGATGGTGACTCTCGAATATTCGTTGCTGACGTGCTGCTTCCCCGCTCTAGTTCCAATTCCGCATGCAGGCTCTTGCAGGTGAGCTTCCAGGTGTCAAGAAGGCAAGCTGGTAGAGGATGAAGGAAGAAGTTGGATCCCTGGGTCAATATGAGAGTTTTGGGTTGGCTGGGCTTGCACCATGGCGTTTTTCTTTGCTTCATTGTGGAGCGTGTACAGTATACAAATATTTCCGATTGTTTGCCTTGTCTCTCTAGTCAATTTCCATGACATGCATTTCTATCGCCTTGAATATCAGCTCTTGACAGGTGTTTTCCTAAAGAGCTTGTCCTAGGCAGTTGTCCACGCGCAAGGCAACAAGACAGCCGGTTCAAGTCGAGCCTTCTACGGTTCACCTTCAGTCTGTCATTGATTCCAGCCTCCTTCGTCCTTACCCCATCGCTCCAACTTCCTCTTCCCGCTTTCTTTCATTTCAAAGGTTACCTTTCAAACGCAGCTAAAGTCTACCGCGCCCGCGGCAAGATTTATGGCTATCGCAGCAGCCATCTCCCCGCCGTTGCTCGCCTAGTACTTCACAACCTATTTCCACGGAATGAAAATTGATGGATTGGTGCTTTTCTGGCACTGAGGATATTACGGGCTCTAGAATGGTATCGGATTGGACATCACAACATGCTCTTTTCCTTTCTTTCGCAACATTGTATAGCTGCCCATCATCAATTATTGACAAGCAAAGTAGCTCCATGCCGTGCAGTCATTTTGAGATTGTTGAATAAGCTATCTCATGGACATCTATTCTAGACCGAAGGTTAGGATCATGTTTTTCTATCGGAAAGTGTTCGAACAGGACGAGATGTCTGCAAGCGGAAGGCCAAGTAGATCCTAGCGCAGGGGAAGTTTGAAATTACGCAAGTTTAAACAATCATTAGTGATTGGTAAATTGTAAATGCGATTTCTTGATTTCCAATTTCAATCTAAAATTGCGGACACCTGAGAGGCTAATTATCACAAATTTTGATCCTGACTTGCGTTGGCACCTCGCAATCATATGCCCTGTGCCGTGGAGCGGTGATATGGTCGTAATAACAAGAGACCGATCGATCCAATCCCAATGGAACCGGATTGCCGACCCTTCCATAGCATCCGGTTATGATTAGCGTGGTTGATGGCAACTACCGATCGCCTTTTAGCCCCCTTCCGAGCAGCTGAGGGGCTAGAGCCAGCATCCCGATCATCTATCTCAAACGGCCGCAATAACTCTCATCTTCCAATTCGGGGTTTGTATGGCCCGATCATGAATATGCAGCTGCCTAGCTACTGCTCATAGGATCAGACCTTGGCGAGGTGGCAAGGCTGTGTGCTGACTGCTGATCCTGCTGAGGCCGAATACGCTGAGGCCAGGACGTCATTGAAGTATTTCTAGCTCGCAATGTGAACATCCTTCAACAGCATCCACAATTACCATGGCTTGTATGATTGCATTGAGCTTGCGGGATTCCGCAACGGATATGGAGAATCCATCTCATTCCTTGCACAATACTTGGTACAAGAGCCTGGCGCTACTACGAGATATGGGCCTGGAAGCACCCGACACTCAGCCTCCGGACTATAGCCTGCAGATCGCAGAGTACAGTTATGTCTGCGTGAACCAAGAGCACCCTCAGGAAGTCATCTATCTATACCGTAAGCTTGGCTGCCCACCGAAGCCGCCTTTCTGCGTTTCTGACCCCACTGCACATCCACTAGCCCAATGCTCGGACGACAAGTTCAAGGCTCTCCAGGCGGAGTGTACGCTCGAGACCTCGACACTGAAACAGTTGCTCTCGCCTCTCCTAAGATCACCTATTTCGGCGGACGCTATACTTCAACTCCCTAATTGCCTTTGGCTTATTCACCCAGGTGCGGATTCCGGCCCGAAATGCTTGGAGTTCATGACCTTTCACAATCCCGCGCGTCCAATGATGTTATATCCGTTCCTCGAACCGCATTTGCCGGGAGGCTCATGTGAAGGGTTATCGCATGCACCAGTGAGGTCCTACTCCACTAACTCTCTCGTGTTACCAAATGGAGACAGGGTGCTGTTTTTTTGCATCGAGTGGAAGAGCCTTCAGGATCGCGCAGCTCTCTTCGCGAAACCATCGTTGAGAAAGCAGATGAAGACCGCCAACGCGGGCTATCGAGCCCCCTTTCTTCAGGCACTCGGAAAGACAGAGGAGGAGCTCACGTGGGAAGAGGATGTCCATATCTTCTTTGACAGTACGGGAGCCAAAGGGACCCAGCGTCAGTTTCTCACCGGAACGTTAGCGACCAATGACTATTTGGGCCAGAGTCAAGGGATCCGAAAGAGAAAAGGGCCATGCGTGATTTTTTAATGTGTATTTTGATGTCTTGTTCCAAGTATTTATTTCCTCATTGATTACTTGATGATTTGCGCGCGACGACAACAACTTGGGATATGCACTAGCCCACCTAGCAGATGGCATTCCTTCTAAGTATGACCAGTAGTATGAATATCCTTCTCCCTCTCCCTTATTTTCCATGCGACACCCAAGTGCCATTCAACCTGAGGTAGATACGCGGCCACGGCGAAATAGGGGTAACTGTCTGCGTTCATGGTGGCCTGATTCGGCTTGGTTCTCCCTTGTATGATATTCACGAACAAGTACCCAAGCCCATTTGGCGGTCCATTCTCTGCGAGATATGAGGATTAGCACGATGCTCGAGGCCGCGAGTGCCGTATGAAATCGAAGCATACCTGAATCAAAAACCTGATGGGTCATCTCATGGAGCAGAGTCGCCCCGGGAGTCATATACTTATCAAGGTATTGCGTTCCATCGGTGGCGATGGCGGTGTTTTTGTAGTTTCTCACATCGTCCTTGAGTCGCAATCCGATTTTGAATGCCTTTTGGCTTTAGCCCTTCACACTAGTGTTGTTATTCGTTGTTTACTAGCTAGTTCGCCCTCTAAATTGTTGGGCATTCCCGGATCTACCGAATCAGAGATTGATGTCTTCGTGATTTGCACTTCCATGTGGGTTCGCCGTACGTCTAATTTTCGACATCAGATAAAACATGGATTTTAGTCGCGCACACGAATCATATGGGCAGGCGTCAATTTAACTGGTGCTAATGACCTCCGCTTTAGGATAAACATAGTGGAACCGTGGCAGAAATAGACCAATCGGTGAGGCAGTCTTCCACTCCCACACAAACCATTGGCTGAAAGGGGCCATGCGCTAATCATTTTTGCATTAGAGTCCGATTATTCATCAAGTATCCTTGGACAGACACTCACGCTTTGTTTCTCGGCCCGTACCCGAAAACCCGCTAATCCTTATAACGTTACTTTAATAACAACATCAGCCTAAAAGTATCATGTTATGGAACGTATTGGACTTTAGTGTCTAATGAGTCATTGTAAATTACCGTAATTTTCTCTGGAATTCTAGAGAGGGATCAAAAGAGGTAGGGTAGATCTTTCACCCCGCCCAGGTTGAGAGCCGGCAGCCAATCCTGTTTCTACTATGTCCCTCGGGCAAATTTTTGAATTTGTACCTCGCGCCAATGGCTAGTACCACAACATGCAAGCTATGGCTACATCGAATTGAAGGAGTGCAAGCTTTATTTAGGAATAGATCCAGGCGTCCAAGGTCATGTTAAAAACTTCATTTATCGTCTCTGCTCCAAACGTCTAAGCGTGGTTAGCAAGGCAGCAAGTTTATCGTAGCCTCCGAGGCTAAGGGCGACCATTGCATTAATAAGCGAGCCGCTTAACTAACTAGTTAAAAAGCGGTTGCTTGGACATCTTTTACTTCCCCGTTATCAAACAACTCGACGTCAATTAATTGCTTACTCAACTCGATACATATCCAGTTCACAATGCAACCAATTTCTAAAATTGACTGGGACAAAGGTGACAAGGATGGACTTGTCTCCATTGGCTCCCATAACCTTTATCTGTCCGTTTCGGGGCCCGATCGCAAGCCTGGAAAGCCTATCGTCGTTCTCATGCAGGGCCTTGGCAGCACGATCGATGAGTGGGTTGCAGTGCGAAAGCTTGTGCTTCCATTTGCTCGATGGTTGAACTACGATCGTTCAGGGATGGGGAGGAGCGAAGGTCCCGACCAGACACCACCAAGCATATCTGCAGCATCAGTCGCAGCAGAGCTCGATATTCTCCTAAAGAACGCCGGTATTGAGCCTCCGTTTATCGTTGTTGCTCACTCGTGGGGAGGCTACACTTCTCGCGAGTTTCTTGAACTCAGGCCGAATGATATCGTGGGCATGGTGTTCGTGGATTGCAATACTGAACATATCTTTGACGGTGGTGCTTGGGGTTGGGACGTTTTCTATCCAGTCCTCGGTGGCCAGGATTTTGTTGAAACTACCGGTCTTGCGACGTCCCATGTCCTATCCCAGGAGGAGTGGAAAGCCTTTAAAGACGAGCAGGCTAATCCCCGACATCAAGCCACTGAGGCTGCTGAGATGCAGGCGGTACCGAACGACAGACTAGCATTGGCCTCCAAAAAGCAACTCGAGAAGCTACCTCTGAAGGACTATCCAGTCAGTGTAATCATTGCGGATACGCCTGAAGATTTTCAGAAAATTTATTACTTTGGAGTGGCTGCAGGCAACGGAACAGAAGAAGAACGAGCTCTGTTTCGAAAATGTCTCGATAGATGGCGCGAGATGAATGAGGACTGGCAAAGAGAACTTTTGAGGCTTTCTCGTCTCAGCAGATCTATTCGCCTGCATTGCAGTCACAATGTGCAGCTGTTACAGCCACAGAGCATAGTTAAAGAGATACAGTGGACCATAGATAGCTGCAGATAATTCTCAATCTGCTATAAAGCCTTCCCGGAGACGAACACCGAAGTGACCCCTACTTAATAACAAATGTATTAATGGTACCTCATGCTGTTAGTGATAAAGCCTAGCCTTGAAAAGAATTCATTTTCTTGGTATTGTGTGCCATGAGATTGATTACGGAGGGGCACTGAGGTAAGTATAGGAGTTTCGTGTCATATACCGTATTATACGTAATTGGGTCGTTCTGGAAATAAAGGAGTCTTTTCTAGAAAATAGATTGTATTGCGCTCTAGTCAAACACGAATTAGCGTGCTTTCGGGTACGGGCCGAGAAACAAAGCCTGAGTGTCTGGGGGTAATCCGTTTTCGATTATTGGCGACGCTGACTGGCTCCAGTCGGCAGCTCGTACAAGGGTCAAGCCTTATGCTGCGATACTGAATATCTAGGTCGCGAAAATTGCGTCAGTAAAGAGAAAGCTAACAGAAGTAGTTCTCGATTGACATCCTCAACGTTTGCACTGAGCCCGGTGGTAGTTCAGGTAGTGGTGGTGGGGGTTGACCGTTGACCTTGGTTCACGTTTTGCCCGATAGTCGCACATGAAGATGTTGGTGCAATTTCGTTCATTATGTTGGGTTTGCTTATGTCGTTTCAAAAGCCTCAAGAGTGGTGTGGGTCCAGAAACCGTAGATCTCAACTAATGACGCAGGATAGAGGTTTATCAACAACATTAGGACCGCATTATCTATTGTAACGTGACAAATAATTCCAACCAATGATGAGACAACGCCAGGACGCCCTCCTACCAGTTCTGAATTATTCATAAATATGCGTTGCCTTCTTTACATTCTGGACCAAGCCAGGAATATCCTCTACGAAACGACGGGCAATGTCCTTTTTTATTCCCTTGCCGATGAAGAATTCTGGGTCTTGATCTTTGTAGACCTGCTTAAGATCAAGACCATCTTCGAGCGTAACGTTACACGCTTGTCGAAACGCAGCTTTGAGATTGTCATCAGTGACATTTGACTGTTGCCGTTCACCGTACTCTTCGACAGCTACGTCTCTAGGTCCGGGAATTTCCAGTAGGCCCATAATCGTCGGGTCACCTGCCTTCTGGGCAGCGGAAATCTCTATTCCAGGGGCGGAAGATTGGGAGTGCAGAACGTTGATGTTGATAGGAGGGTACGTTATACCCTGCGCAAAAGTAGGATCTCCCTTACGCTTGTCTTTCTCCAGTCTCTGTTACTCTTCTATATTATAATTCTTCGCGGATTGCTTCCGGCACGTCCTTATACGACTCTAGAATGCCACCATTTTCTACGTAAGTCACTAGGCGCCTCATATAGTATATTTTAAGTTAATAGTATCTTTTTCCTATTAGGTCCAGCTAACAGTACGGGCCGAGGTAGCACGAAGACAAATCGCATCGTATTAAATTATAGACGCTACTCCAGATTGGTCTCTAACCAGAAGGCTCCTATTCGGTATCTAGCTATACGTCTCGCTCATCGAGCATCCTTCTTATTATAGAAGATTTACCTCGTTTCTCCCATTTCCGTCCAGCGGTCGGAGAGACTTGGTCGTCTTTATAGTTAAAACAAATACTCAACCTCAGTTCCTTGACTTGGCAGAACAGATTCGACCACTTCTAGAGCTATTTATCGACGACAGTCTAATTAATATCGGTCTTATCGAACCATTTGGTTAGGTCACGCTGCGAACAGTGGTATGGTTCGTCGAAGGTCATTTCTGGCTCCCGTCCCTGTTTGGACCCTAAGCGTCTTATCCCGGACTCTTTGGGTCGTGCCTGGACTGTCAGGGGCGACACGTGATAGCGCTAATACATAGCGTCCGGGGGTCGATTGGCTGTCGGGTGCCGCTTCAAGCTTGGGACCCTGGAGGCTCGTAACACGTGGGATGTCATTGGTTGCAAAGAGAGATCGGGCGTTTCTAGACGGCCAGCCACCAGCCAATTTATTTTCTGGGCCAATGGGGTTACTTGGGCTATCGTTCAGCCCATGCAAGCCTAGTATGTCTTTTGCAAGCAAGTCAAGAATAACCGACAAGGCGGATTTTGGAAAGCTTTTATCTGAGCCCGAGCCAGCGCCCAAAACTGACCACAAACTGAGCCAGTCTTACACAATCCAACGACTCTCCCATGATGGCTCCTCCTGTTTATGCTACCGTATCAACGAACAACTTAGGACCACCTCGAAGGATCACCGGGAAATATGCAAACATCTTCTTGGGATTTCTTATATTAACCCTTCCTCTGGCTGCCCTCGTTGCTCTTCTTCTCGTCCTCATCTATCACTACCGAGTTGAGCAGATTACGCCAAGTGGGATCCTGGTCCAATCTGGAACCCTGCAAAATGACCATGGAGCATTATATGTCGACATCAACCCGACAATACTCATGAAAATTGCATCACTGTCGAGTATGATTGCTGGATTCCTGACCACTGTCGCCGCCGGGTTAGCCGCATACCCCTTAGCTTCGGCGGTGCTCACCAAAACTAGAGATGGCAATCCGGGCGCGCTTTTATCGCCCTTCCACTATTACCTGATGCTGGACCTGATTGAAAATGCCGGGTATTTCACCGTCTGGCGGTGGCTCAAGTTTCGATTCAGCAAGAGTCAGAAGCAAACCAAACCTCCCCCACAGTTGATCAATCTGGGGAGAACAGCCTGCCTGACCTTGATTTTCGGGTATGAGACATTCCCCTGCCCCCCACAGAGACCAAATGATACTAATAGTGGCTCTGAAATAGAGCTCTGATCTTCATAGGAGAGACCTGGTTACACTTCAAAACGGATCCCACCGAATTTACCCAATTTGGCCCCCTTCGCAGCGATACGGCCACATATTCTATGTCTCTAAACTCCAACTGCACCACCCAGGACAATACCTTCAATCAGCAGTGGAATCGTCCCTGTTCCTTCTCCCCCAGTATCAGAGGCGGCTACTTCCTGAACCCCAGCACTACACTCGAGGTCTTCAACAACATCTCCACGACCAGAAGCGTGAATGTAGTCTACGGTACCGACGCTACCCACGCCTTCCTCGGGATCCCTAACAACGGTAGAGATCAAGGACACGACTTCACCGCCACCACTTTCTCAGTCTCTACACAATGTCAGTCTGCAACGGCAGACTGCAATGTCAGCCGTGACAACATCACTTCGGGAGCTGGCTCCTGGTTCCACTGCGCCAAGCATACTGCTTGGTGGGGGTTAGTGAACGGTCCCCGTCTGGACTTCTCCAAGCATTATTTCACGGACGCCACCGGCACCCAGAACGCCACATCGGTGGATGACACAATCAGCAACCCGTTCTACATCGGGTTCGGAGGCTTTACGGACCCATCCGCCGGTGCTGGCCTCAAGCTTATCCAGTATAACGACTTGGGGGTCATCGCGCAGGAGTTCGGCGGCGTCGGCTACCTTTTCTTCTGCAATACCACCGTGTACGATGTCACATATACTGCCGTGAACGGCTCTATTACGGACTTCATGACGACTCCCAGCAACAGCTCCACGAGCACAGCTCTCGTGGCGGCAGATTCCAACCTCAACTCCGGGGATATCAAGCTCCGCGATGCCGCAGATTTGGGTGCCATCCTGGCCAACGATACACAGGACATGGCCGACATATTCGCGCTCGAGTATAGTCGGATCCTGCTGTCGACTGTTTCCGGGGCGCTTCAGGCCTCCCCGATTCTTGGAGGTCGGCAGCGGACCACGAAAATCGTTGCGCGGGTCCCCACCGTGCCGCTCTACTTTCTCTTGGCCTCCGTGGCCCTCATGATCGGACTGGGCATCTGGCTTACCGTTGCAGCCTTGATTACTATCCGCATCAAGGACATTGAAGAAGTCCGTGCGAGATTGAGCGTGAAGCAGCTTGTTGCGGACCGCATGGAGCCTGAGGCGGCACGGGCGCCTATCAAGAGTTTGGATGATATCTTTACGGCTGACGGGGCACAAACGGGGCTTATCAAGAGGATTGGCATTGGAAAAAGGGATTCCTCGGTTGGCGGGTGGGAATTCAAGGTTTGGGATCCGTTGAAGTGATGGCCCTTGGAAGATGGAATAGGAAGATAGAAGATAGAAAGAGACCCCAGCAAACAGAGAGACAACCCTTGTCGTTAGGGCCCAGCGGTGGCCTGTTCATCGACGGTAGCTCGACTCATATCGACTCTCCAATAACTACACAGTCGAGTAGAACGGGCGCGACGACTACGACCCCAACGACCCACCGCATACCTACCACCACACCCAAAACCTCCCCAAAGGCGACTAGTACGACCACACATACAACAAGCACTAAGCCCGCAACTACCTCCATCAAGCCCACGACCACTCGGACCAAGCCCACCACCATTTCGACTAAACCTACCACAACCCCCACCACCCCAACTCCAAAGCCATCTCATACTGATGAGATATTGACCATTGGAACTCTCACTATCACAGCAGACCCCACGGGCTTCCAAATCGGTTCCACTACCCTCACGCCTGGCGGGTTCATTACAGTTGGCACAGAAACAATCTCTCTGGAAACAGGTGGTGGCGACGTGATTATCGGTGGAACTACAGTTCCCATCACGACGGCGACGTCCACTCAGGATTGGACCACTCTATCCGACGAGTCGACCACTGGACTTTACGGGTTGATTACCCTGCCGGGCCTCAAAACTCTGACAACACCCACAATCATCACTACGCAGTATATCGTGTCTAGCATGAAAACTACAACGGGCCCAATTTACGTTGGAACAGGTGGCATTGCGCTCCAGTCATGGCCTCCGTCTACGGACAATGACCATAGCGGCGGCGGCATTATCATCCCAGATCCCATTAGGCCATCCATTTCGAACCCCAAGTTGAAATGTCCTGCTATCCTCAAGTGGCTCTGCGGGCCCGAGAACACCAGCTCCACAGATAATGGGTCAGATGTTGACCCGGCCGATAAGCCAAATAGCGATCCCGAGGACGATCCGAATAAGGATGACAACCCAACAACAGGGCCTACCTCAACACATTCCTCGACAACGTCGACATCAACCACGTCAACCTCGACCTGCACCAAGACTCAGACTGTTACAGACTGTGAGGTCACATGCAGCCCGACTGTTCTGAGTGGTAAATCTACCACAACCATCACCTGTTTCACTACTTCCTGCACGACGGCAGACGCATGTTCCAGCACCGGTACTACCGCAACCACCATCATTACCTCTGAACCGTGTGGAACAGGAACAGCAGCCTCCGCCTGCCCCACATTCACTGATAGAACCGAGTGGGTCTACCCTCATACCACGATAGATACCGGGGAGGTGGACAAGTTGGCGGCATCGATCATGTCGGAGGATGACTCCATTCTGGCAGCGTTCTCGTCGGCATTCTCGCAGACTGGGGCTAGTACGACCCCGAGCACACTTGCCACGACCACGAGTAGCGGTATTGCGACGAGGACTACCAGCCATACTGCTACTTCAACTCGCATGACTAGTACCAAGGCCACCAAGACCAGCACTACCACCTCTGCTCTAACCTGCATCAATCAATATGACTCTCAAACGGACCAGGATAGTTGCTACTGTGAAGGGCACTCTGGAGTCTACGCGATCATGAGTTCGACCTCCGGAATGACCAACTATCAGCCCTGCGCTTGGACATACATTGCCGCCGCTATACACCGATGCCAATGTCGGCCCTATCACCAGCACCATATCCGATGGCGACGTTGTTTACTGCACATCGGCCCATTGGGCCGAGGATGGGGGAAGCAGCAAGTACTGCCTTGGTACCATGCCAACCATCTCCACTGCGTCCCATATAACCACCTCATCGACCTCAACGACTTCATCCGGGGTCTCCCCAACCGGAACCGGAAGGCCGACGGGCGAGATGTACATCGGCATCGTCGTCTCGAATGGCTTCGATTGGACCTGGGACGTCTATATTCCCACCGTGGGCACTATCCCTAACTGGTGCGATGATTCGATAGGATCCATCTCGGCTGACGGGGACACGACCCGGTCCTGGCTACCCCCGGATATCAAGTTCCAAGACCTGGATGGCAAGGCCAAGGATTATCGCGTGCGTGTACACGGGGGATAAGGACACTGTCGGGTCACTCGCTTGTGACGGCATGGGCGAAGTTCCCTGCACCAGTGACTTCCCGCAGAGCGATGATGCGCCTATTTGCACGAACAGTATTTTCATATGCCGGATCTGCTTTCCCCAGGGTATATTGCAAGTGGTATGGAAGTGACGGCAGTCTCTGAGGATTGGGGTCTGCATGTTTCATATGATTGCATATTCGATCATCCATTTCGTGAGTCCTATCATATCAACCCACTCCGGATGGCGGAATAATTCTAACTATCGAAGATAGTAGTGGTATTCGCTGGTATTGCCAGTAGGGATACTTTCATATTAGGGATTGAATAGCAGGAACAAATGTTGAATACTCTTTTCTGCTAGAGGCTATTTGCAATTGCAGATATTCCCCGAGAATCCGAGAAATATTTAGATGTTAGTACTGTACTTGGTTTCCTGTGTATGAGGCGAAATGAGTAGATCGAGGCATTCCTTCTGGGTGTATTGCGGCATGTCTCACTAAGCATCGGGTTCGTGGGTGCAGCGGTACTGTTGGCCGGGGATGGCGCAATCACGGCCAAATTCCTTGCTTTTTGGGCGGGCAGCAGTCACAAGAGCCCGAGGGCGAGACGAGCAGTTCTCTCAACCCCGCAAAGAACTTCAGAAACTAAACCTCCCACTTACCATCTCTACCCTCGTCGCACCCATCGCACCCATCGTGTTTCATCATCATTCATCATCATTCATCATCGTGGAACCAAATCGCATCTGAACAGAGGAGACAACCCATTGTGGCGGGTGGTTACTCGATGGGAATCCAAAGCCTCCTCCTCGACCGGAGGCCGCCGACCGCAGGGAGAGCGAACCACCCTGAGGGGCGACCGAAAGGAGTCAGTCACAGGCCAATACCAAGCACTTTGACAGCGCAGTCGGAGAATGCAAGGCCGGCTGCGACTCGCTGAGCGTTTCGATCGAGTAAGAGAAATGGTCGGAACAATACGGGCAGTTTTGATCGAGTAACAGGCGCCGATAAAAGAGGGAGTCGGATGGGACGGCCCAGTGATAAGCCCGTCTCCGCCGTCCACTGAAGTACACTCTGGTACTAACCCAGCGGCAGCATCGGAGGTGCCCGATGCGCAGTCGTCTGGAGGCCTGGATCTTCGATAGCCGACCTGCTCTATCGTCCAACCACCCACCACCCCACCGGCCGGGTCTTTGCCTCCAATACAGAAATTTTATGGTCATCCGAACCATGGTTCAAAGCCACAATTCAGCAGTGTGTCTGGACAACCCTCGGGGACGGGGGCCAACCCCCCAATATTCACTGCAGCCCAGCGGATCCTAGGAACCGCCCTGCGGCAGGTAGCGAAGTCGCTCAGGCGCCGCGCTCAGACATCTCCCCGATAAGGCAAAGGTGAGGGTATTCGCCCAGTGACCATCAGTTCTCCCTCGTGCATTTGCACGACCTGTCTTCGTTGACTGGCCCTGTCCGCCGTGTACTTGGCCACCCACTGCCAATCATCGAGTAATTGCAACCACATCGGGTCGTCAATGGCTCATCCGCAATTCTTACCTCCTCGGCATTTCTACCGGGTGGGACTCCCTGGGTGGGTATCTCGATGCTTCTCTTCGTTCGACACCGGCGAGTGGGCCGCAATTCCCCGTTCGCCAGAGTAAAACTTTTCAGGGCCGAGAGGCTTTGCTTTGTTATTTATATCCCCTCCCCCGGACTGAGTCCTTATCTCTTGCCCTTTGTGCCTGTTCCCCTCCAGATAAGCCAGCCCTTTGCTATATACTTTAGGGTTGCCCCTCGTCTTATCTCCCCCCAATCCCATCCCAGCTTTCTTCTATCTGTTCAGCTGTGCCTATCGGACTTATCGATTACCGCCACCACTCTCTTGCCTATTCCTATATAACCCTAACGCTTTCGGTGGATCCTTCACTCCGACTCTAGTCTGTCCTCTTTGCCGCCGCTATTGACCACTCGTCGAGCTTCCTGTGATATCGTGATCAAAGGCGTGCAAGAAGAGCAAGACCCCACCGGACTAGCTACGATGGCGACAGCTAACATCCCCTCGATTGCCGTGGTGGCCTCATCGCGCGCCGTTATCTCCGGCCGTCTAACTTCTGCCACAATTGTGATCTCCCTCACCACTGGCAAGATTACCGCCGTGTTTGACTCCGTCATCCCGGCGTCAGAATTCCCCGACGACACTCCCTACACCGATTACTCGCCTTATGTGCTCCTGCCCGGTCTGGTCGATGCTCACGTCCACCTGAACGAGCCCGGCCGCACCGAATGGGAGGGTTTCTACACCGGCACTCAGGCTGCGGCCTTTGGCGGTGTGACTACCGTTATTGATATGCCTTTGAATGCCATCCCGCCCACCACGACTGTGGCCAACTTCAAAGAGAAGCTTACCGCTGCCCGGGGCAAGTGCTGGGTTGATGTTGGCTTCTACGGCGGTATCATCCCTGGCAATGCAGGTGATCTCAAGGGTCTGGTCCAGGAGGGCGTTCGCGGTTTCAAGGGCTTCTTGATCGACAGCGGCGTAAGTGATCAACATCATCTTTTGTCACTTCTTCCAACGTACTAATCCCGACCCATAGGTTGATGAGTTCCCTGCTGTGAGCCAAGAGGATATCCAAAAGGCGATGGCTGAACTGGCAGATGAGCCTACCACACTCATGTTCCACGCCGAGATGGTCCCCCCTATCACCGCTTCAGTGGGTGATGAGGTCCAGAAGTCTGAGGCCCCAGCGGCGCCGGCTGGTCCTCTTGAGGCCTACTCGACCTTCCTGGCCTCCCGCCCCTCGGCCTTTGAGACTTGCGCTATTGAGCGGATCCTCTCCATGGCCCACCTGGCTCCTGACCTCCAATTGCACATCGTCCACCTGTCCGCAATGGAAGGTATACCGCTCCTGCGGGAAGCCCGCGCCAAGGGTATCAAGATCACCGCCGAGACGTGTTTCCACTATCTGTCCCTGGCCGCCGAGGAAGTCCGTGATGGCGATACCCGCCACAAGTGCTGCCCGCCCATCCGCTCCAAGCTGAACCAGGACGGCCTGTGGGAGGAGCTGGAGAAGCATAACAGCAACGGCGTCATCCAGACCGTTGTCTCGGACCACTCCCCCTGCACACCAAATCTGAAGCTGCTTCCCTCCCACATTCCCGGTTCCTGCATCTCCAACGGCGACAAGGTCGACGAAGAAACCGGCAACTTCTTCTCCGCTTGGGGCGGCATCTCCTCCGTCGGCATGGGCCTGCCTATCCTGTGGACTGAGCTCAGCCGTCGCAAGGGTCTGACCCCCTCGCCCAGCGATGAGAACACCAAGAACGCCTTGCAAGACGTGGTTCGCCTCTGCTGCGCCAACACCGCTGCCCAGGTCGGCCTACAGACGCGCAAGGGTGACCTCCGTGTCGGCTTTGACGCCGATATTTGCGTCTTCGATGACTCCGCTGAGTGGGTCGTTGAGCCCAGCACCATGCTCTTCCGCAATAAGTGCTCTCCCTACCAGGGCCGCACCCTGCGCGGCATGGTCCGCGAGACCTGGCTGCGTGGTGAGCGTGTCTTCAGCCGCGACGCCGGCTTCGACAGCAAGACCCCGGCCGGCAAACTGCTCCTCGAGAGACGGGTTTGAGCCACCCCCCTTTCCCTCGTCCTTATATTTTTTTCGCATCTCCTTTGTCACCGACGTCCGGGACAAGTTGACCTTGCTGGCAGCGCGCCATATGCGACCTTTCCTTTCCTCATGTCCTCTCTCCCTGCATCTCGTTTCTCAACGAGCACTAATGACTGAACAGCATTCATACCCGTTAGAGTAATGACAGCGCATTTGTAGCTTAGGTATATAATACGAAAAGTATCTCTATTAGTATCATCTGGGTATATTATCTATTGTACAGATCCGAAAAGTAGTCTACATCCTCATCCTTACCATCATCCCTCGTTATCCTTTTTCATTGCGTTTCTCCCATTTCTCCCTGACTCTCCTCCGCACCCCACCATTGACGCCCTTTCCCCAAATCTCATCCTTCTGATCCGCGTCTACACTCTCCGCACTCTCCACACTCTCCACAGCCTTCTCACTCTCCACCGTCCCAACAAACGTCTTCCGCTCCTGAAGCTTCCTCTCCTTCGCCCGTGCCCTTTCCACCTTCCCGAGGTATGCACCGTACAAGAACGCCTCAGCCACCGCAACCGACAAGGCCGCAAAAAACGATATGAGCACGCGCACCGCGTCTGAAGCCCCACCACTCGTCTCTTGGCTCTCTCCCTGCGGCCCGGTCCACGAGGCAAAAGTCCTGGCTAGAATCGAGGGCATGGTGAATTTCGTCAGCGCCCAGTAGACGCTGAACCCGGTTATGACGACTGAGAGGAAGATGTTAAAGACGAGGCTGGGGGTGAGAGTGTCTTCGGCGAGGGCGGGCGCATCGGGCGGAGGAGCGTAGGGGTCGGCATGGTCGGGGCTGGGCGTGTACGTTGGGTTGAGGAGTCGCTGGTAGGCTACTCTTTCGGCTTCAGCGAGAAGGCGCGCTTTTGAGGCGAGGTATTCGGGGCTCTGGATATTGTGAGTATGTTGATGCTGGGATGGAGGGTTAGGACAGGGTAGGTGTCATCGTAGCACGCACGGGCTCAGGCTTCTTTGGTGGCGGTGGGACGTAGACCTTTGTCCCACGCAGAAGGGCGTTGAGAACAGTCAACCCACTGTCGTCGGCGCTGGCGTTGTATGTGGCGTCGTTCTGGAGCTGCTTCGCGAGGCGGAGGAGCTGCTCATGCGCAATCGGCCCATCCCGTTCCAGCGCCGCAGGGGCAGGAAGATCGAGTTCCTGCCGCTGCGACGCAGGCACAGCTTCGAGAGCGGCACGAATCCGATCTGTCGTGGCAAGGAGGACCATCCTCGGGGGGGGAGGCGTTGGCGTTTACAGACGGGATGTCGGGGGAGGACAGCTTGAAGCTGCGGCGGAGGAACAAGCGGCCGCTCAGAAACTCCCGGGCAAGCTCTCTCCCCACTTTGCTTCTTCACACCAGCGCCCAGCCATGGCGGACTCCAAATCAAAAGTGTGAGTAGTCAATTCGACCCTTCAGATGCCCTCGTCATTTTTGCACTTTTCCCACTCCCCCGTTCTCCCCCATCCGCGCCCACCGCAGTACCCCTCCAACTTCCGTTCTAACTAACCCCTCCATCCTCCAGCCTGGCGACAGCACAAACCAACCCACGGGGTATCCCCGTGGCGCCGTTCATCGACAATGTGAGCGACTATGTCTCCTCGCGGGATGAAGTCGAGCCCACCCTCCGCTCCTTCCAGGAGATGATTTCCAAGTACCAGTTCATGGAGGTGAACACCCAGCGCCGCGGGCAAGGACTGCGCGAGAAGATCCCGGATATCAAGAAGACGCTGGAGATGGTTCGGTTTTTGAAATTGCGCAAGCAGGTACGCTCGTTTCCCTTGGGTGCAGCCATCCAGTTAGGGGTTGCGATTGCGAACGCGAACAGACTCTGATCTTTTGTTTTTGTTCTAGGCCAATCCCGATACCGACCTCGAGACTAACTTTGAACTCAATGATACCCTCTACGCCCGCGCGTCGATCTCCCCCGCCGACATGGAAGAAGTGTACCTTTGGCTCGGCGCGAATGTCATGCTCGCCTACCCGCTGGACGAGGCGGAGACGATGCTCGCGGAGAAGTTGACGGCGGCGGAGTCGAGCCTGGCTCACTGCGAGGAGGACCTGGAGTTCTTGCGCGAGCAGATCACAGTACGTATTCGGAGCCTATGTCTATCTGAAGGCGGGAGAATTGCTAATTGCTGTCTGGTAGACGCTCGAGGTTGCCACGGCGCGTGTGTACAACTGGGATGTGGTACAGCGTCGTAAAGATAGGGCCGATGGGAAGGGGGATGATGAGAAGAAATAGCTTGCCTGATTGATGGGCGGGAGAGTTGATTGATCGGATACCAAAGAAAAATTTAACGACTCATTGGACTGTTCCGCGCGTGCTACAGTCCGTACCGAAAAGCTCTAATCATTCAACCCTGAGATATCTATCAGGCCGAGATGATTGCCGCTGAATGGGAATTGATATAGGACGGGTTGTAGCGAACTCCTGAACCGACCGCTCAACATGCGTCACAAATAATCTGCTCACACAGCATGTTTCCCTCCAAACACTGGCGAAAGACGACGCCTTGTTGGGCATTCCACTGATCCTGCTGTAGCCCTAGCCTCGACACGACCTGCCCAGGCAGTCCGAGTATCAACCACATGGTCACTAGGATCAAGTCCTTCTCCACCCCCGCAGTGACTAACACCAGAGTCCGCGTGAGACGAGTAACGTAGCATTCAGACTCATGCCGTAAGCATGCTAGAGCGGCAGGGGGATCAAATCATTGCTGAGACGGCCTCGTCAGTGCAAAACCGCCAGTGCGGGGGTAGCTGCCACTCTCCCATCTACAATTTTCTGCAAGCATGCCTTTCACACTGAAGGACGTGGCGGTGGAAGAGCTCCCCGAGATTATTGCTGCGGAACGATACGCCTTCGAGACCCCTCTTCAGCCTATCTTTCGTTTATACTGCCCTGTTCTCGACGACGATCGAGCCAAGGCCATAGCGGACAGCGCGGCTAAAGAGCAAGACCGCGTCAAGAACCCAGATCCTAATATAGAAAGGACATGGATCAAGGCCGTTGCCTCGGAAGGTTCTGAAGGCTCTGAAGCGAGCGCACAATTTGCATTTGTCGGTGCTGCGGAGTGGATCTTCGTGACCGAAGAATCGAGCTCTGTGGAAGCGGCTGTCGAGTCGCTGGCCAAGCGACACCCGGAAGGAGGGGCTAGACTCTTTGCAAGCCAGTGCTTTCAAGTCCTTCGCGAAACTGAAGACAGAAACCGGACACTCACAAGCGGGACGCGACCCTATGCTTCGCTCGGCAGCTTTTTCACTCTACCAGAATACCGCCAACGGGGCATAGGTCACTTGCTGATGCAATGGGGCCTGCAGAAAGCAGATGAAAAAGGCATAGACACCTGGATCGAGGCTGCGCCGCCGGCGGTCCCTTTCTATCAACGCCATGGGTTTATACAGAAAGAAGTCACTCAGTTACAGCCCCAACGCCCAGATGGGCTATCGGAGAAAGTTGCCGCAGAATGGGACGCTGCGGTGGAATCAATCTTGCCCATCACCGCCGTCACTATGTGCCGTTTGGCAAGAACCCATTAGATTGTGCGCGATGAATGCCGTATCGAGTGCATGGATGATTACACAGTCCTGTTTCGTTCGCTCCTATGCATGTATATCAGCATTACAGTAGTTAACACCACTCTACATCTCCTGAACAGATCCTTTAATAATACGGCACAATGCATTGCCTACTGAAAGTACTCCCTCAGAAATGAAAACAGTCTAGCTGATTATAGGATATAACGAAAATCAGAAACAGAAAGAGACAAGCAGGATGTATTCAATTAACGTCAAGCCAAAACAAGCCAAGAAACAACATTGTGCGGTATAAAATTCTCAAACGCCAGATCATGGAAGACGCAGCATGCATTCGTAAATCATGAAGGCTCCCATCCAGTACAACATTGAACAGCAAAATCATACCACATCATAAGAGAAAATTCGGGCGTAGGAAGAAAGGGAGGGAAAGATCGATAAACCCGTAATTATAGGATCACTAAATCATGGCCGAGACCATTTGGTGGACTCAGATGCAGCAAGGCCACGCATTCGCTTCGTGAAATCAGCTTCACTCTCGTCGCCGACAAATGTCCACTCTTCGATATCATCGACATCGTCATCGGCGTGACCTGGTGAGGCCGTCGCGGCGGGGGTGGGCGAGAACGGGGTAGACGACGCAATGGAGCGCTGACGCGCGAGGGTTTTGGCGTACTCCATGTCTCTGTAGAGAGACTGGATGGCGGTAGCAACACCGTCCTCCTAGATTTCCCTTGTTAGCCCCTATATTTCACGCATTAATGTTTTGGTATAACGTACGTTGCGAATTTGGACGCCCAGGTTCCGGGCCTTGACTATCATCCGTTCGCTATGTGTGGCCTCCCAAATTGCCCGCGAGAAGACGCTGACATTCAGCTTCTTCATGCAGATTCCTACCCCCAGATCTTCAACCCGAGATCCGAAGAAGAATTGGTCGCCAAAAAATGGTTTGACGATCGTAGGAACACCAGCTCGGAGGCTCGCACCGGTGGTACCCGCTCCTCCGTGATGAGCTGCTGCGTCGATCTGCGAGAAAAGCCAGTCGTGCGGCGCCGATTGAATTTGGTGAATCTCCGGTGGCAGGGGAATTTCAATTTTCTGGCTGGAAGGGTCACCAAGTCGGTCCGACCATCCTTTGGAGAGGATACACCGAACATCCGCTTTCTGAACGGACTCGATAACAGTCCTGGTTAAAGCAGCCGGGTCTGACACCACGATCGACCCAAAGCCAATGTAGACAATTTTCTTACCATCGGCACGAGCCCTCTCAATGAAGGCAGATAGCTCAGTGGGAGGAGTCCAGTCGGAACCCTCGTTCAGGAACCAGTAACCCGTAATGCGAATCCAATCTGGATAATCGAGAGGCGGAGGAACCACGGAAGGCGAATAGTTGTAAAGGAACGGGACTTTGTTCTGTTGCATCCTGTCCAAAGTGGTGGCTTTGAGACCCAGCTCGTTATTGCGCCAGCGGTTCACCTGTCCGGCGATGGCTTTCCAGAAAATATTATCGAACATGACGTAAGTGATGTAGTTGTACGCTCCCCCCATGCGGGTTTCTGGCACTGCGAAGGCATGTGGATAAGCGCGAGTCCTTGACCATGGCATAGTGAAACCACGGAAGTAAGGAATTCGAAGAGCCTCGGCAATATGAATGCCAGCCATTGCACTTGGGGATTCAATGAGAACATCACTACCCTGACAGCTGGCCCAGGAGGACGTAAGCAGGTCATCAATCCACCCTCTGAACTTCGACGAAGCTTCCCGCAGGAAGGAATATGTGAACATTCCATTCTCCACGCAGATCCGCATCAATTCGGCAGGATCTCCATCGACGGTAGCAAACTCAATGCCATGGCTGCGAATCCATGGCTCGAATTCAGCGTGGGTTGCAATTTTAGGCTTGTGGCCTTCGGCAAGAAGACCCTTGCACAAAGCAATGTAAGGCTGCACATCGCCTCGAGAGCCGATGGTAAGACAAGTGATCTTCAAAGGCTCAGTTGGCTTGAAATTTATAATAGAAGCACGCGGGTCGTCGAAAAACGGATGAATATCCGACGAGCTCTCGTGAAGAGATGGATGGGTGTCATGTTCTTCAGGGCTGTCAAGCCTAGCCTCCTGAAGCATGCGGTGCTCCGATTTGGCAGCCTCAACTCGGTCTCGCTCCTCCTCCGCGAGCATGCCAGATTCCACAAGAAATTTCACAGACTCCAAATTCTGGTGTAGCGTGACAGCACAGTCATCTCGCCCATCGGCGGCGTTGAACTCGAAGAAAAGCTCCTCATGGCCGCGGACAATCACAACGAGCCCGTGGTAGCCAAACCGAAACCCCTTCTCTTTCTCCACGTTCTCGACATCTCTGAGCGGGAGAACCATCTTAGTGCGAGTACCGGGAAGCAGGCTGCGGAAACAGATCTTCCGTTCACTGATATATATCTTGCCGTAGAGAGGAAGAACGCGTGTCAAGTAGGCATAGTATGTTGCTTGGAGGTGCTCCGTCGGAGGCAAGCCAAAATGCGCTCGGAACCGGTCGCCGTGTTTGAGACCATCTTCTTTATCCTCGGGATCAACTGTCGGGTCTTCATGCAACACCTCTTCAGTTTCACCATAGTGCTGTTGGCCTCCGGTCCACATGCCAGAAACCTTCTCGATGTAGCCCATTGATTCTGTTGCGAGTAGGCTACTCATCTGTTTGGATCTGCTTCGCAGATATTCGGCAAATCCAGCAGCACGCTGAAGAGGGTATGCTCCCGCCTTGACGAGATCGTTCAATGGTACACCTGGAGGATGCCTAGAAGATTGTGGGAATCTTTGATCTGCGGGCCCAGGAGCAAAGCGCATGTTTTCCGCGTTTCTGTTAGGGCTAGATAGCTCGGAACTATCTCGTCGCGTCATATTGCCCAGCCGTGCAGAGGCGGAACACGCAGTGTCATTCGATTGTTGCCGGCCAGTGTCTCCCACGTCGGAAGAACGTCTCGGCAACGATCGCATGGTAGGCGATTGGAAGACATCGCTCCGGTTGAGGATTTGGCTCGCGGATTCATTCGTCTCCGTGATCGACTGCACAACGGCGGATGACTCTGTACCTTGGTCCATTGACTGGGCAAATGAGTCGGCGGAACCTTGGGGGTCATTCCCGATACTCGCACTTCGTCCGCGCGGGGACTGTTCATCAATCTGAACCGAGAAACGTCCGCTATTGACAGACAGTCTCTTCAGATCTTGAGCAAGGACTCCTGTTTTGGCTTTCTCATCGCCTTTCTCGGGCGAGCCATCCGATAAGTTCTTTGCGGGTGAAGAATTGACCAGGTTCCTTAGATAGTTGAAAGCATCCTGGCCATTGTTAAAGAAAGTAAAAAAATACTACGTCAAAGGTTAGAGCTCTATCGGGAAAAACTGGGAGCTAAACATTTACCTCATCAATGGCGAAAGTCTCGTTGTTGTCGAGAACACGGATTTTGAAGGTTTCGGCAAACTCGGCCATAGGACTCTCCTCCAAGTCGATCACGCTCTCAATGGGAAATGATATTTTGACGCTATCACCTTCATTGTGCGATCGGAAAATGACCTGCTGTAGAGACTTCACCCATTCCTTCGCACTTGCGGCACTATCGGCCCTAAAATAGTAGGTTCGCTGGTCGGTTGTGACTTGGAAGTCCTTCACTTCTGAGCCTTTGATTTTGGGCTCCGCAAGAGATGCGGAGATCCCATACCGGAGATCTACATGACCACTTGGAAAGTAAAGGTTGGAAGCATCGGCATAGTATGATAAGACGTCGCCCTTCAAAACACACCAGTAGCGGTTGTATTTGGGGTTCTTCCGACCACGTTTGGATAGGAAGCCGGATTTGATCGCCACAGTGGACTTCTTCGGGAGATAGGCATAAAAGCAGATATGTCCTTCCGTGACATACATGTAACCCTGGAGGAGCATACTCTGCAATAGAGCACATGCGTATTCCACCAAGACCTTCTCTGGTTTTTCGAACCCAAACATCTCCATCAACCGGGTGGATAGCGCAGACGCCGATGGCTCTAGACGGTCACCACTCGGAGTCTCAGGTCTGGATGGTGCATTTTCGGGCTTCGCGGCAGTATCAAAGCGGTTCTGAGCTTGTACCATACGAGCGAGAATCGGCGCTGCCCGGGGGTGGCGCTGCGTGTTCGCCTCGTTGGTAGTTTGAGAGTCGCCCCACTAGCCGCCAGCGGTTCACCAGATTTATCTTTAGATTCCACTCCAGGTATCCCTCGCAGTAGTTTGTTTTCTGATCTTATCCTTCGGTGGCGTCGTCCTCGCTCTTCGGTTTCATCTGGTAGCTTTGTCTCCGTCTTCCCGCTGGTTTGACTTCGCTCCGATGAGAAGTCTCGACTAGATCTCGATCGTGGCTCGGTATTTGTGTTGGGTTCTTCCACTTCTCCGTCGCTATCGCTCGAGTCATCAAACCGTCCGCGGAAATCCGATCTGGAGCCAACGGCGGCGAGAACGGAGAACAGGGACTGTTGCATATAGTGCATGTGGCCATCTCTAGAACGTATATTCTGTGGCGGAGCTGTGTAATCAACCTGAGAATCATCGCCATCTTTAAATCGCTCGGGCATTCGAGCTGAAAACAAATGGTGATCCGACGAAGGCCTCATGCTTGCGCTCATCTTCCGGTCCGCCCGTTCCGACCGCCTTTTGGCGTCATCGAACAAAGGCCGCATTGTCGAAGATGGTAGTCCAATATATGTTGATGGGGACTAAAGGTGTAGGCCAGGAGAAGCCAAAGTCACCGGTGTGGAGAAGGGCAGTAACGATCGGAGGAGTCAGGATGCGTCGGAGGTGACAGCTCGGAGCTGATAGGGCGATCAGGGATGGGTGTTGGCCTGGGGTGCCCACGTCAGGCGGGCTTCTATAACGATGGACCAAGCAGCAGATCTGCAAATGACAGGGTCATGTCAACTCGAAGGTCCTGGTGCGGTCAGACGCTGCCAACTGAATCATTCAAGTGGTCCGACAGCCCAAGCGGACGATAAGGGAAGCTTGCGGGATCGATAAGCAAATCAAACGGCCCCGCCCGTGCACCATGGGCGTTCAAAGATGGAATGGAGTGCCACCGATAGCAGGAAAGATGCAATGAGTCAGTCGCTTAGCTGAGTGCAGAAGAGTCCAGCCAGGCCAGTGAGGCGCATCAGCTGCCTCGCAAAGTTGGTTGCATGTGATGGCGGCATCGCCAGGCGTCAGGTGATTGCCCTTATGTAATCGGCAGTTGGATCCCGGAACAGAGGCTATTTTGCTTCTCCTAGACTGTACTCCGCAGATTGGTCTCGTTTACTTTTTTCGCGCGCCATCAACTATAGCCGGCGGAGAGTGGGTGTAGAAGTGATGGGCAGTAAGGAATACTCAACCCAACGGATCGACTGAGCGGAGCTTGATGATAAGTTATCATAATTAGATATGGTCATAGTTGATAGAAAATAGGACCGTCGACAGTTTTCTTCTCCCACTCCTAAGCCTCGTCCCGGGGGATGGAAAGATATGAGGGTCAACTGAAGCACTCGTATTCTCTCCGAAACCCCAGATCGGGATACCTGAATATGGAATTCCTCCGCTGCGCCAGGCACCACCTTAAGTTGATAGACCGTGCATCCGACATCCCTGCTTTAACCAACAAAGAAACAGCCATGTTACACTGGGGGCCTATTCGGGGCTTGTCCACGGACGCGCGTTCTCAATCCTTTCAAACATGATATTACAAGTGGTAAACTCCTGGACGGTCCCACGAGTGGTCAACTCAGGCGCATCATAGATCCATAGCACCATCGCCTCGCGCGAAGGCGTGCTTTACTCCGCAAGCAAGCAATACAAGCCCGCATGGACCGCATCAACTACCCCCAACTCTCCACTCTCTAGCGTAAGATGGGAAAGCACGCAAAATAATCCTTGTGCCTGCTCACCGTGCCATGGCACCCCAAAGAAGCTTTATATACGAGGCCTTGGCCTGTGTCGTCTTGGCTTCACTGATTGAATACCCGAGCTGATTCCAGGTTTAACCATTCTTCAACCGTTGTGCAAACTTTAGCTCACACACGCACCTGTTCACGCGCATTGGGTTATCAACGGTCCTCGCCGACTTCTGTTGGCGACTTCCCGCCCCCACAGTTACACTTGCTCCGCACGCAAGGATCCACCCCAGCCCGCCAGATCAACACAGAGGATCCGACCCAATCACCATGGGGCTATTCAGTGTTCCTGAGCTTAACACCCGACTGGGCACTTGGCGGGCCTACCATCTGGCGGCGATTGTCTTGTATGCTTCGCCGGTCTACTGCTACTATCCTTGTGTTCTATAGCAACTGATTTTCCAAGTATATCGTCTTTCCTTTCAGCCTATGACTCGGGTGTCGCGGGCGGTATCCTGAGCTACAAATCCTTCCAGACAGACTTTGGCTACAGCAGCAAGCACCAGTCGAAAGTCTCCTCTCTGACTGTGGGCTTGGAACAGCTGGGATCCTTCATCGCCGCGCTTTTTGTTTACCCATTGACCAATAAGTATGGGCGCAAGATCACCATTATTGGCTCCACTGCTCTCTTCGTTGTCGGCGTGGTTATCCAGGTGATCAACACTCACTCATTGGCAGCCTGGTATGTCGGCCGCATTATTGCCGGCCTCGGCATGGGCGGCCAGAGTGTGGTGATCCCCATGTACTCAGCGGAGATGACGCCCAAGGAAATTCGAGGTCGCTGCGGTTCCTTTTACCAATGGCTCTACACCTGGGGTGTCTTCACTGCGTACTGGATTGACTATGTAAGCTTCTTCTATCAGCTTCGCGGTTACTAGAGATGTGACATTTACTAATCATTGAATAGGGTGTTGCCAAGAGCACAACCATCTCGGGCACTTCGCGTGAATGGCAGATCCCTGTAGGTCTTCAGTTGATCTCTGGAGGGATACTATTCATTGGTACCTTCACCCTACCAGAGTCTATCCGCTGGCTCTTGACACAAAATCGCGTGGACGACGCCTGGAAATCCCTTACTTGGATCCGAGGTGGCGATACCCCGAAGACTCGTGAGGAGTTTGCAGAGACACAATTGGGACTTCAGGCCGAAATTGCTGAGCGGGAAGGCTTCTCCCTCCGTGAGCTCCTCGAACCTGCGAACCGTCTCCGCTTCCTCGTTGGCCCTTTGCTTTTTATTTTCCAGAATGCGACTGGCAGTAGTGCCCTGGCAGTCTTTGCGCCACAGTACTTCAAGTTGCTTGCTGGTAGCGGCACAGACCGCAACATGCTGCTGACTGGCTTGTTCGGTGCTGTCAAGGTCATCTCATGCACCTTCTTCATCGTTTTCCTGGCCGAACGACTCAGTCGCCGCATGACACTGGTCAGTGGCTCGGCGCTGATGGCCACTTGCATGTTGATCACTGCCCTGATTGTCGACTATATTCCCACCCAATCCACAACGAGCGTCACGGCCGCTGGAAGGGCCACAGTCGCAATGATTTACCTCGATATCATGGTCAGTTTTCTTTTCACCTCTCCTACTCTCTTATCATCGGTAGCCAGCGAATAACCCAGTGTTAGATCTACAACTGCTCTTGGGGTCCCCTTCCTTGGGCCTATGTGCCCGAGATCTTCCCAACGCGCATTCGCGCCCTCGGTTTGGCAGTGAGCATGTTAGCCCATTGGGCATCATCGTTCTGCTTTTCCTTCGCGAGTCCCTACATGATTTCCAACATCGGTGCAAACACTTTCCTTATCTTCATGGGTTTTGATGTGGTTGCTGCTGTCTTCTGTTGGTTCTTCGTCAAGGAGACTCGCGGAAAGAACCTTGAGGTTGCCGCCGGCACTGAGTGGGAGGCGGCTGAACGTAGCTCATCTGACGAGGGCGAGAAGGGTGGTGTGCTCAATGCGGATGGAAAGAGAATCCAGCTCATCAGTGTGCACGAGAATTTCCACGCTAACCTCAAACACCGGCCGTGAGATAATGGGCTTGTTGTGCCAAATAGTTTGAGCAGTGGCTTCGGATGAATACTTGCTCGCTGGATGAGACTTTGGTCCGGGTAGTGGTTAATGAGGATATCATGAATGCTCGCTTCATTGAGCTTTGTGTACGGCACACGTTCTTTGAGACTTTAACTAAGAATCAGAGGGTGATACGACTTCCAACACGAATTGGCCATGTTCAAATGGTAAAATTGTACATCGAAATTGTCCTGTAGATCATATAAAGAAAATATCCTTTAGCTAAATAAACACATAACGCCAAATCATGCCTTCTCAGACTTTTTCCGCTTCTTATCCTCGCGGTCCTTGTGAGACTTCTTCGACTTCTTCTGACTCCGCTCCACATCGTCATCATTCTCTTGTGTGTGCTTTTTCGACTTCTTCCGGGGCTCCTTGCTTGCATGAGTGGCATCTCCCTCGGTGTGGTGATGCTTTCTCTTGCGCTCCTTCTCCTTTCCACCCGTGGGGACCTTGAACGAAGGCTCCTCGGATTCGGACTCCGAGCTAGATCCAAGATTCTCTGGGGCACTGGGAAGACTGCCAACAGGCCGGAAGCGCATTTTCAGACCCTTTGGCTGAGGCCGTGGCGGCTTGACGGCATCTCGCAATATCTCAATTGCAGTAGCATTGGCCTGAGCAGCCTCCTCTGGTAGGCCAATCAGCTCTTGCACATGGTAGCTTGGGATGTGGTCGGCCTTGGTGGAATATGTCTGAGTGGTCTCGTCGTACACGAGTAAAGACTTGCCCTCAGGGTCATCTTCGTTCAAAGTTTCCGCCGGGATTCCATATTTCTTGCCCTCGTATGCGAGGAGCGGCTCCCCTTTCAGGACTTTAGACATAGAAATCTCCTTGACTTTAGACAGAGGGAGAAATGACGGGGCGGTGATATGAATGACTTGCTTGCCGCGCAAGTTGGACAAGATAGAGGAAGTGTTTGAGGACGGAGGAGTTTGCTTCTTTGCGGACTTGAAACCGGCTGGCGGCTTGTATGGCTGGTTTGGGCCGGGAATGTGAACCCTACAGACATAGTTAGTGCCAATGCGCTTACGGAACTGAGTCCATCATGGTTAGAAAGACTCACTTCTTGACCGAAGCTTGTTCTTCGGCGGCATCCTCGCCTGTGTCCATATCACTTGAGCTTCCTGATTCACTTCCGGACTCCGACCCCGACTCAGAGGTTGAATCCGAGTCCGACGAGTCCTCAATCTCGTCCTTCGCTTTGGTCGCAGCCTTCACGGTCAGCTTCGGGTTGTTTTCAAGCTCGGGCGAGGTCGATCTGCTTGAGCTGCTATCGCTCGAGGAAGAAGAAGCAGGAGCCATGGTGGCTGTTGGCGCTCTGCGCTGCGCTTCGATGCGGCGTTGCGAGATCTCCACGGCCTTGCGTGCGCGGAGGAAAGTCAAGGGTGCTATTCAGTCTGCAACAAGCAATGAGCCGTGAGCTGTGAGCACATTGATCTCGCAGCAATGCTAACCGCCGAGTCCCTGCAACGTTTGGAGGAATGTTGGACGTTCCAGCCGATCTTTTTTCTGCTCCGCGAGTGCACGGACCACTTGACAACTTTTTTTGCTTATCGGCTTCATCACCGCATTATCAACCTTCTGCCTTGAAAATCGGATTCAAGGAATCATTTCCAGAGATTAGGAGATGAAACGCAAGGCTGATAAACAGCAATCTGCTGGTAATTCTCTGAAATTGATATCCACACCTGCAAGCCCCTTATTAATGCCTTCGCCAGCTCCTGTCAGTGCCATGAGCGCTGTCGCGGCGCGCAGAGCCCGGCAGCAGCAAGCGCAAGCCACGACGGCGTCGAAGACTACGGCAGACGTCGAAATCGCGACTGAACCGCCCTCAAAGCGACCACGACGATCCATTGAAGGAGCAGAGCCCACCGCCAATGGCGGGGAGTCGAAAGGGCCCCGCACGAGATCGTCGAAGGTGCAAGAGGAATCATCGCCTCCAGTGACAAGGGCCGCACAGCAAAAGCAAGCCTCGAGATCCGATCAATTGGGCTCGCAGCCCCATGATGTGGTGGGAAATCATGAGGAGTCAGACCAGGAAGGGGACGAAGAGGAGATGACGGAGAACGAAGTCGCGTCAGTTATTGGCGACGCTGATGGTTATGAGTCGCCGGCCGATACTCCAGCCGAGCTTCAAAACTTTCCTCTGTCCAAGGCGCGGCTGAATAAGAACAACATACTATATGGAGACGAGGATGCCTTGTGTGTCCGCATCAAGGAGAAAATGGTATGGCAGAAACTATGATAATAGCTTCCATAGCGCTAACCGTGCGACAGAACCTGGCTTTGTTGGGACAGTATGACCTATGGGTCAAAAGAGGAGTTGTCAGCCTCATGGGGGCCAAGTTACATCCTTCGTCCCGAGTGTATAGGGTGTATGCCCCCTCAACTCACTCATTGCCAGTCATTAAATGCGTCTCTGGCGTGGATGGTGAGGCAGAGGTCGAGATCAAATCTTGCAAGAGCGGCCTTTCACGTCTGCGAGATATTTCACCTCTATACCAAAGAATTTGGAACGGAGAAAACACCGCCGCAGATAAAATTACCCTGAAAGGTGGTCTTAAAGATTCCCGGCGGACTTTTTCAGTGGTACGCAGCATCTAAATATCTCTGTCTAGCTTTTCTTATGGAAAGACTAACTCTTCCATAGCTGTATACATCAGCGGATGACTCTCTGAAACGGCATCTGCGACCCCTTCATCTCGACAAAAAGTGGAGCGCATCGATGAAAGGGCTCTCCCAACGACATGGCCGCCTCCGAGTTCTAATCTGCGGTCCAAAGGCCTCCGGCAAATCAACTTTCTGTCGCTATCTGCTGAACCACGTCCTCAGTCCTGCTCCCGACGCAGACAATGGATATACGAATACTGATGGCGTTGCATTCCTTGATCTGGACCCAGGGCAGCCCGAGTTTGCACCGATGGGGCAGGTCTACCTCGCACACCTACGCGCCCCTTTCTTTGGTCCTCCATTCACCCACCCATCCTTAGATGATGTCCGTGATGGCCAGATCTTGCGAGCTCATTACATTGGAGCAACGTCTCCGAAAGAAGACCCTGACCATTATGCCCTGGCTACAATGGATCTGATGGAACAGTATCGATCATTGTTAGCGAGGCATCCCCAATGCCCGTTGATTGTCAACTACCCCGGGTGGATTTTTGGCCAGGGCTTAGAAGTGGCAACATGGCTGATCAAGTCTCTCGGTCTATCCGATGTCGTGTACATGAGTGAGAAGGGTCCTGCGGAAGTTGTGGAGCCTCTCAACATGGCTGCCAATGAGGCTCGGGTCCCGATGACTATCTTGCCATCTCAACCCACTGATTTCGTCAGCCGGTCGAGCGCCCAGTTGCGCTCAATGCAGATACAATCTTACTTTCACTTGGCCCATCCTAGTGGCCTTGTCAATCCGCTTTGGTCAGAAGCACCACTCTCCCGCACAAGGCCCATTGCTGTGGATTATACGGGCAGCAAGCAGGGCATCCTGGGTATCATGGTCATGGGGTCCCAGATTAGCCCCGAGATGCTGCGAGAGGTGCTTGAGGGAGCTATCGTCGGCGTTGTCGCGATCGAATCTCCAAATGCAATAATGGGTGCTGCCTCTCAGGCATCGGAACAACGACCGGTGGAGGACGATGAAGAGAACGAGTCTGATACCGATGAATATGGAGATATAGATTCAAGTGAACTACGGGTGGATCGCGCTGCTTCTGGGTCTTTGGCCAACGCGGTCGTCCGAACCCCTGAGGATCTTCCCTACCTTTTCATTGGGTCTGGAACATCCATTCCCCTGGATCCCAAGGCCTCCAACTGCCTTGGCCTGGCGTTGATTCGGTCGGTCAATGCCGAGTCGTGTCAATTGGAGCTCTCCACGCCCATCCCTTCGTCACACCTGCGTGACGCTATTGAGCAAGGGCACGAACTCGTACTGGTCCGCGGTCAGCTGGATAATCCGAACTGGGTTATCAGCGAAGAATATCACGCTGCACGAGCTGCGGAGAGGCGTTATCAGCAGACGATTGCGCGAGGGAAGAAAGACAACGACTTTGTCGATGACCAGGACAAACAGAACGAGACACTTATGCTGCTGCGTGAGAGGATTCGCCGTGCAAGCAACGTGCCATGGATGACTGTAGTAGAAGACAATAGCCGGCGTCATCGTGAGGCCGCAGCGCGGCGTGAGAAGTCGCTGTGGAAGCTCAGAAAGAAGGCGTACCCCGGCAGTGAGAGCGAGACCGACTGGTAATGCGGTTGCATGCACTTGTCAACCAACATCTGATCCATACTAGTCACAATTTATTTGAAGCCTGGTACAGCCAGGTCCACTTATCACTAGAATAATGAGGGAAATTGAGATGTATTCCGTGATAGTTGAATAGTTCGGGCTTTAGTTAGGCCCGACCTTTGGCCGACGGGGGGAGCTCGGGAATTACTAAGGCCCGAGAGGACATCAGCCTTCAAGTCGAGTAACTTAGCCCCAAAAGGTTCATCAATGATGCGTTGGAAAACTCTTTTCTAGACATCCCATGCTTGGCAGATATCGTTCGTCTACTTTTCTGTATCTACAGGGGCAAACAACTCTGGTGTAAGAGCCATGTCGACGCCAGAGCGCAGCAGCCCGGGCCCATCGCGGGCCCCGCGCCACTCGTCTGCAAAGTCACAGCGAATCCTCGCCTGCGTCCTTTGTCAGCAGCGCAAGGTGAAATGTGACCGGAGGTTTCCCTGTGCCAATTGCGTCAAACATCAGACGCAATGTGTGCCGGTCGCGCAAACGCGTCCACGAAGACGCCGGTTCCCCGAGCGCCAGCTTCTAGATCGCTTACGGATGTATGAGGACCTGCTCCGCCAGAACAAGATCAAGTTCGAACCGCTCCATAAAGAGTCTGGCTTGGTCGCTAGGATCCCGGGGCTACACGAGGAAAATGAAGATTCCGACGCTGAACAGCCAGAGTCTGAAGGGACCGATGGGCCATTTCCGAGTGACCCTTCTAAGCCGAAGAGTGCGTACGAGGCTAAGTACGCCATGTACCTGAAGATTGCTTTGCATTTAGATTGAGACTAACTCATTCCAGAAATATCTGGTACGCCATGAGCCACGGGGTATGATATACCACTCCCCCTCCCCCCTTCTAAATCTATAAAAGCTATATGCTGATATTTTGGACATCAGTTCCGAGGGGTTAACAACGATGGTGATTTGGATGATGGTGTGCGGGAAGTGATGGTCGGTAAAACTTGGGATCAAGTCTTTGATAACGATGACCACCTTCTCTTCGGCTCCCGACAGGCAGCTGTCAACGTTTCTACGCTGCACCCAGAGCCAGTGCATATCTTCAGACTCTGGCAAATATACCTCGATAACGTTAACCACCTGCTCAAGGTCACACATACTCCAAGTCTGCAAGGGCGCATTATCGAAGCTGCGAGTAACTTGGCAAGCATTAGTCCCACTTTGGAAGCCCTTATGTTTGGCATCTATTGCACGGCCGTTTTGAGTCTTGTCGATGACTGTCAAGCAATATTTGGGATGCCCAAGGTTGACCTTTTAAAGAAATATCAGTTTGCCTGCCAGCAGGCTCTGTTGAACTGCGGGTTCTTACGATCTGCTGATCGCGACTGTTTGACCGCTTTATACCTCTACCTAGTACGTCATCTCGGCCTTCCTGTTTGTTTTTACTAAACAACTCTAGATCTCAGTGCAACCCAGTACTGACCCCCGTTCTCTTTCTTCTCTTCTCGGTGTCGCTATTCGTATTGCACAACGCATGGGCATTCAAAATGAGTCGAGCAATTCGAAATACCCCGTCCTCGAGTGCGAGATGCGCCGAAGACTCTGGTGGTCCCTTGCGCTCTTTGACGCTCGGATTAGCGAATTATCAGATTATAGGACCACGACTCTAGCCCCAACTTGGGATTGCAAGGCCCCTCTCAACGTGAACGATTTTGACCTGCGAGCTGAAATGAAGGAGCCGCCAGCTGTTCAGGGGAAAGTTACCGAGGTGCTTTTCGTAATCTTGCGCAGCGAGATAGGGGAGTTCGTTCGTCATAGCCCGTTTCATCTAGACTTCACCAATCCGTCTCTGAAGTCTGTCGTCAGAGATCTTCCAGGCGATGGCGATCTTGATGCCCTGGAGAAGATTATCGAAGAAGGATATCTCAAGCACTGCGACCCGCAGAATCCACTACATTTCATGACAATCTGGATGATGAGATCGGCCCTCTCCAAATATCGTCTTCTGGAGTACTATTCAAGATATTGTTCTGAACCCCAGGCGGAGAGACAAAGCGATACTCCTATGCTCTATGCATTTAGAGTGCTTGAAAGCGACACAAAGATCATGACTTCATCCATGACCAAAGGTTACATCTGGTTTCTTCATTTGTATTTCCCCCTTCCAGCCTATATCCACATCGTCCAAGAATTGATCAAACAGCCTGTCCGTGCTGAGGCAAGACAGGCCTGGGAGATTATGAGCGACAATTACGAGGCCCGATTTACTACCTCGAACTTTGTCGGCACTTCCATCTTCAGGACCTTCGCCAAGATCATTCTTCAGGCCTGGGAGGCCCTCGAAGAGGCTTCCAAGAATGCCGGGGACCCCGCGCAAGAGCCGTTCGACCCACCGCGAATCGTGTTGAATCTCAAGCGAAGAATAGTGGAGATAACACAGAAAGAACAAAATGCCAACCCAGAGCAACAACCCAGCGATGTTATGAACACTGATATGACGAACTTGCTCATGTCCATTCCGATGGGATTCGGCAACGCAGAATCGCTCAACGGCATGGGTGGTCCAGACAGTTACCTAGGGATAGACCCGATGCCATACCCCAACTTTCCTGGACAGGTCTCGTCGATGGCTGAGATGAATCATATGACTTGGGCTTCGATGGTATGGGGTTTCCGTGAGCGTCGCGGGTGGTGAGGACCATGATTGCTCTCTAGGGTCGCAGAGTAGCATTGCGTGTAACCCAATGTTTCAGTCATCACTCCTACCTATGAGTTTCTAGAAATATGACTTCTACTCCTGCTTAACACCTTGCTTACCAATGCAGAGTACCTTCGGGTTTTGACACAGGATCTATCTCCATTGCGGGGGGGGGGGCCTCGAGTGGGTCAGCTCCGTTAAAGCCGAGGGCGGCCCGTGGGTCTTTATATGTAGCTGGTATAAAAAAAACACCAGAAAAACAGCCATTAATCAACAACGTATCCATCATTTAAAATGGCAGCAGCAAAGAAGATCATCTTGATTACCGGCGGTAAGTTCGTCGACGATTCCTCTCGATCGCACGCTAACATTCTCAAGCAACCAGCGGCATCGGCTTTGAGCTGGCGGCACAACTAGCGGCAAAGGGCTCATACCATGTGTTGATGGGAGCAAGATCACTTGAAAAGGGCAATGCCTCTCTAAGCGCACTCAAGGCTCAAAATTTAGCCGGCGCCATTGAGATGCTCCACCTGGACGTTACCCAGGATGACACCATCGAGCGTGCGGTAGCGACGGTTGAGCGCAACTTCGGCAAATTAGACATTCTCGTCAACAATGCAGCCATCGCAGCCATGAGCCCTCCACTTCGTCAGCAGATGCAAGACGCATTCAATACCAACGCCACGGGGCCGCTCCTCGTCGGCAGCGCATTTGCGCCGCTTCTACGAGCGTCGAGTGATTCTCCCCGGATCGTGAATATTTCCAGTGGAGCGGGCTCCATTGGTCGTCGACTAGATCCTTCTTCGCCTCTCTACAAGGTTCACGGGCAGTATCAGTACCGTGCCAGCAAAGCGGCACTTAATATGGTTACAGCTTGCCAGTACGTGGAGTACGGGCCAGAAATCAAGGTCTTTGCGTACGACCCCGGATTCACGCAGTCGAATCTAAGCCCGCATAACGTTGCGGAACATGGGGCTCGGGCGGCATCGGACTCGGTGATGCCACTGGTGGATGTCTTGGAAGGGAGGCGGGATGATGAGGCGGGTCGGTTGCTGCACAATACGGGGACATATCCGTGGTAGGTTAGGTCTTCTTGGTATGGGGAATAGGGAGCAGCTCTGCATGCACATCATCAATATTCAGATTACCTTGGAGTCTTTGGAACCGCAGTGCTGTGGCACTTTCGTAGCATCACATCTCGTTCTCCAGAGATTCGGCGCTCCTAAGAAAAAAAACAACAACACAGAGTTCAGAATGGAGGCTTTCCCTTCCCCTCCTCCGCATCCCGGTATTTCCCTTCTTCCATTATGTTTGAGGTGTTTTCCAGGGTCATTCCATCGAAATGGCCCGCCTGATACGTACCCGGGAAGTGGATGACATAGGAAGGGGGCGGTGGCGGCGGATTGAATGCCGATTGTTGGTACAGAGACTCAAGTCTTCCCAGTCTGTGACTCATCTCAGCGACCTGCAGTTCGAGAGAAGCAAGCTTCGCAACCCGGCCCTGGAGATCGGCGGCCTGCGCTCCCAGAATGGCGCATGTCTGGGTGTTGGAAGATGTGGCAGCCGTGTGTGCCGTCGTCGCCTCGAAGAGGAGGTTTTGTATGTCGGGGGTCTCTTTCTGGCGTCGTTCTCTGCTATCATTCCTGCATGTTAGTCAACTTATCTTCCCAGGGTAGCATCCTTCCGCACTCACTTCACAGACATTGCAACCGAAATCTTGCACTCGTTTGTCTTCTGGAAAACAAGCTCCTGTTCCGCTGAGCCTGAGAGGGTCTCTCCAAGTTCCTGCCCCTCAGATTGGCTCGGTTTCTTCCTAAAGCTCTTGCCCCGGCTGCGTTTCTTGGAGGGCATGTTGGCCGAACAGGACAATTTGAGGCTGTTGGGGCGTGAGTGACGGATGTCAAGAGCTCTGGGGGAGCGTCGAGACACCTTGCGTGCCGCGCAGTAGGTGAAAGTGTAGAAAGAAGCTTTGACAGAAGGAGAAGCCTGTCATGAAGTGAGAGTTCAGCTATAAGGCAAACCTTGTATCAATCTTTGTATCACTCGCTTTTAATCTGTGACGCCCCTCTTCCGGTGCCCTCCTTCATTTTCCCCACCTCCTTCACCTGGTTTACCCGAACATTTATCTATACTACTCGCATCTTATTTCTTTTCACGCTACTGATCACCTCCATCTCACCACACCTGTCGACCTTGATACCATGCCATCGATAAGATGAGTCTATGGCAAACAGATCCTGCGGAAGGCGCAGGGGCCCAGGTCCACAGGTAGATGAGGCGCCACCCCAGTAAGACCCTGCCACTTCCAGGACAGTGAAGGCTTGTATTAAACAAAGTGCGGTATTTCCACTATTTTTCCCTCTCAATGGAATCATTGGCTTATACAAGTTGCGGGGTGTGTAGTCCGAGAACGGGCAGAAAGACTATCAGTATCAACATTTCTAATGCCAGTGATTGTCATCAAATTCAGTCGACCATCACCGTGTCAAGTACGGGTGAGGAGTCGATGGTGATGGGGGAAAATCCAGCGAGGAGGCGACTCCCCATGAAACTGCCAGTCACGGGTTGCAGTATAAGCTTATCGCACTACACAAAAGATCCGCTGACTCACTCAGGAGGCAATGGCAGCCGGAAGAGACCCCAAATGCACGGATCAATCTCGTCAGCCTGATAATCTCGCCAGCCTGATTGCTGCAAAGACTGCGACTATTGCAGGTTTTAGGTGCCGGCCGGGAACATCGCGCGGCAGGAAAGAAGCAACGGAAATTAAACCGGAACCGTGGACGGCGAGATTGTCAGCGCCGCGAGCAACTGTCCGATGAGTCCTGATTTCTCATTGGCAATGCGGCCCAGGAACGCTAGTATTATCAAATCTAGCCTCATGATGGCAACTCCTTAGGTCAGACGCCTTGGACGCCTTGGAAATTTTGGGCGGCCATTGCATACTGGATATGGACCGCCTTCAATATCAATATATAAACAACCCCTCTCCCAGGGAATCGGCGCGGCAGTGACCGGTAAATTGGCCCCCGAGAAAGAAGAGATTGGGGCCAATTAAGGCGAAGGCTTGTACCTGCGTCGGCCGCGGTTGTAGGGCCCCATGCAGCCGAATATCGCCTAGTCTGCCTAATCAGCCCAGTCCTATCGGAGTATGCGCCCGAGCGGGCCGCGCCATTGTATCAGATTCGGAAAAAGGCGGCTCGTGGGGGGCATGGGGATGGGGAGGTGGTGTGAGGTTTACTCCTGGGATTGGCGATGGGACTGGGGATGGGACAAAGGGAACAGGGGGAATAGCGAACTCACTCCACCAGGCAGGGCGAGTTCTCGAGAGTTGAAGGCAGTACACGTACGTTGTAGGCTCCGCAGAAAGCCAGCAGAGATTAGGTCGACCACCGGGTGGGTCGCGTCCAGGCTTGTATGGAGGATACACCAATGGCTGTCCATGCCCATGCAAAGCCGGGTCCCTCTAGCTGGAGAGCACACGTCAACTCCCGCCCAGAATAAGAATATTGTCCTAAATAATATTAGGGCTGGCCATGTGCCCTCGCGGCCCATCATTAGCGCCTGGCGTACGTATAGCCCGTCGTGCCAGTTGAGGGCCACTAATTAAAACTGAGGGCCCCCCAAGCCCTCCATTTCCTCCTCATCACACTCTTTCAGTTCGTCGCCAGCGAGGTCGCTTTGTCATTTTTTTTCCAGTCACTCTTTTTGAGATTGGACCTGCTGCGTTTCCTCGCTCAAGACCTTCTCGTTTCTTTCTTTCGGTGTAGCTCCGTGACCGAGCCCATCCTCCAGTAAACCAATATGCGGTTCTCTAAGTCTCTGGTGCTGCTGGCAGCCTTGACCAGCAGCGCAGTTGCACGCCATGGCTACCATGCCCGTCATGAAGACCATGTCCGGCGCCAGGATAGCGGCAGCACCATCACGCTGACTGCGACCAACACCGTCTATGTCTGCCCGTGTGATTCGTCGACTTCAACCAGCCTGGCGTCGATCTCGACGCCGATCCCCACGACTACTTCGACTTCGACTAGTCAATTGACGACGTCGACTTCGACCTCAACTTCGACCTCGACCTCAACTTCGACCTCGACCTCAACTTCGACCTCAACCTCAACCTCAACCTCAACCTGGACCTCAACCTCAACCTCAGCCTCAACCTCAACCTCGACTGAGGTCTCTACCTCGACTATCGCTTCGTCCACGACTGCCGCTGCTTCGACCACTTCGTCTGGCGCCAGCGCCGACTGGACTGCCACTGCCGCCAGCGGCTCGTACTCTTCTTCGGGCTTCGGCACTCCGACCAACTCTTCCGGTTCAGGCGATACCTACGTCGGCAACGTGGGCAGCCCTTACGGTAGCAACATCATTGAGGTTGCCAGCTCCGAGGCCAGCAGCTACAAGTATGTTGTGCAATTCCAGGGCTCGGACTCCGAGGACTGGGAGGTGGTGATCTGGAACAAGATCGGCTCCGATGGCAAGATGGACGGCTGGTATGGCAACGCCTGCCACAGCTTCACCCTCGCGGCCGGTGCCACCAAGTACTACGCCTTCGATACCGACTCTCAGGGTGGCTGGACTGCCGCTAAGGGCTCCATTCCGACCAACAGCTACGGCAGCTATGCTTCCACTTGGGGTGAGTTCGATTTCGGCTCTAACTGCAACGATGGCTGGTCTGGCTTCGATGTTTCCGCCATTCAGGCCCAGGAGGCCGATCTCACCGTCCAGGGCATGAAGATCTGCAGTGCCCTGGACGATGGCACTTGCTCCTCCATCACCAGTGGCGGCACCGTTTCCAACGCCTACACCGCTGCTCTCGCCGACAAGGGCGGCATTGGCGGTAACCTTGTTGCTGGTCCTGTCCGCCTGGCCGTCACTCTAGACTACAGCGGCTAAATCCCTGTCTGTGATGGAAGGATGTTTTATCTCTCTTTTCTTTCTTATGTATCTACGCCCACAGGTGTAGGTGTTATGTGTGGGGACGGCTTGGTGTATGACCAGTGGTATTATTTTTCTTCATGTCTTTTCCCAATTCCTCTTCTCTTCGTGTCCCATATCAATTTCCCTAATATACCACCCTGACTGCAAAGCGTTGGGTGAATAGCAACCCCCTTTCTGTTCATATCTGCACAACCCTTGAGTGGAGTTACGCGTCACTAGTGTGATGGGGCGTTCTTGGCCATTTTATAAAATTCCTGGGCATAAAGTTTCGGTACCTATATTTTTGGAAGCCGAAGTTTGGTGGCTTTAATTTTCACTCGCATCTAACCGTATCTTTCTTCATTAATCGTGGTTTCGGGGTTTTGTATAGCTAGCCTGATTCGGGAGAGCTAAGGGTAAATTTTTTACGTGCTACCCTCAGTAATCAAAGTAAGCATGTTGGCAAGTCTGTTGTCAAGGTGCACCCCCTAATGACTCAAGAGAAAGTGGAAGGGTCAAATATTTGGATTTTTCGACCCATCTTTTTTGGTTGGCGAATTGGACTCTATTCGTCGTACCAGTCGGATGACACGTTACTAAGCCCAAGCAACTAAAATGGCTATGGCAAATAAAATTATCGAGGCATTATCAAGGTGCACCTTGGCTGCATCTCAAGGGAAACTTGAAGCTCAAAGATTTCAAGCTAATCTTCTTGAGTTGTTCGGGAAATTGTAGGTGGCTACCTTGGCTCATGCAGCGGGTCACCATGATGGTAAGGCAGGTAAAGCCCAGACCATCATACTAGGTATGCTGCCTACATATATATAGCCTTACCCAATTTTAGTTCAATTTCAGAATTCATATAAACCTTACAGCCCTATGGAATTGAATTTTCACATAATTTGAAGCTTGCTACATGAAATATTATAAATCACAAACCCGGTGAAGTATGTCGAGAGCACGACTTAGGGCTGCCGCTATCGATAAGGCTACCCCTCGTCATGTGGGCGGTGAGTCACCAATCAGTCCCAGCGGGATGACTTTTTTTACTTATCGCGACCCCTCTAGAAAATCTGGAAAATCTTCTTTCCCATTGCCTTGCGGGGGGACACTGTTTCTACAGAGTCATTCTTTGATCTTACTCAAGATCTCTGGAGCAGTGCCTGTCTCCTGATTATCACCATGCCTTCCACCGAGGCGATCCCCCACAACAGCTTCGACACCATTCTGGTGCTCGACAATGGCTCGCAGTAGTATGTCCTCCTTTCTCGTGATCCTAGACAAGCTCAATGGCAAATGTCTTATCATTACGATCTGCTCTAACGTGTACCCTGTTTGCAGCACCCACTTGATCACCCGCCGTCTCCGCGAGATCAATGTCTACTCTGAGATGCTTCCCTGCACCCAGAAGCTGGCCGATCTGACCTGGAAGCCCAAGGGTATCATCCTGTCCGGTGGCCCCTACTCTGTGTATGAGAAGGACGCACCCCACATCGACCCCGCCTTCTTCGAGCTCGGCGTCCCCATCCTCGGTATCTGCTACGGTCTGCAGGAGATCGCCCACCGCCTGCACGAGGACAACGTCGTTGCTGGCACGGCTCGGGAGTACGGCCACGCCGATTTGAAGGCTACCCGCTTCGGTGGCCACGTCGACAAGCTGTTCGAGGGTCTCGAGGATGCCATGACCGTGTGGATGTCCCACGGTGACAAGCTTTGCAATCTGCCCGAGGGCTTCCACACCATCGGTACCACCCAGAACTCTGAGTTCGCTGCCATTGCCCACCAGACTGAGCCTGTCTATGGCATTCAGTTCCACCCTGAAGTTACTCGTGAGTCTGCCTCATGATTTACCAATGCAGATGTCAACTGTCCATACTGATAGAAATCCAGACACTCCCCAGGGTGGCAGGCTTCTGCAGAACTTCGCCGTCGGCATCTGCGGCGCTTCTCAGAACTGGACCATGTCTGAGTTCATCGGTCAGGAGATCAAGCGCATCCGCGACCTTGTCGGCCCCGTGGGCCAGGTTCTGGGTGCCGTCAGTGGTGGTGTTGACTCCACCGTTGCTGCCAAGTTGATGACCGAAGCCATTGGTGACCGTTTCCATGCTGTTCTGGTCGACAACGGCTGCATGCGCCTGGACGAGTGCAAGGTGGTTAAGAAGGTTCTCCAGGACCAGCTGGGCATTAACCTCACTGTTGTCGATGCTAGCGAGGAGTTCCTGGCTGGCCTGAAGGGCGTTCATGATCCCGAGAAGAAGCGCAAGTTCATTGGTGGCAAGTTCATCGATGTGTTCGAGGAGGAGGCCCGTAAGATTGAGGCTTCGAGCAACGGCAAGGTGGAGTGGTTCTTGCAGGGCACTCTCTACCCTGGTGAGTACAGATGCCAAGGTGATCTTGAAGTCCCAAGCTAATACCTTCTCTTAGATGTCATTGAAAGTATCTCATTCAAGGGTCCGTCCCAGACTATTAAGACCCACCACAACGTCGGTGGCATCGCCGAGCGCCTCATGGCCGGCCACGGCCTGAAGCTCATCGAGCCTCTGCGCGAGCTGTTCAAGGACGAGGTTCGCGAGCTGGGCCGCCAGCTGAACATTTCGCCCGAGCTTGTTGGCCGTCATCCCTTCCCTGGTACGTCACCATGACCTCTCTCTCTCTGTCTCCTCGTCAGCCAAAATCTAACACCATCAACAGGCCCCGGTCTCGCTATCCGTGTCCTCGGCGAGGTCACCAAGGAGAAGGTCGAGATGGCCCGCAAGGCCGACCACATCTTCATTGGCATGATCCGCGAAGCCGGCCTGTACGACGATATCGGCCAAGCCTACGCCGCCCTGGACCCGTCGCGGGCCGTCGGAGTTATGGGCGACAAGCGTGTCTACGCTAACATCATTCTGCTCCGCGCCATCTCCACCCGCGACTTCATGACCGCCACCCCGTACCCCTTCAGCTACGAGTTCCTGAGCAAGGTATCGACCCGCATCGTCAACGAGGTGGATGGCGTGTGCCGTGTGGCCTACGACTACACCAGCAAGCCCCCTGGTACTATTGAGATGGAGTAAATAAGGAAAACATCATTCACTGGCTGCATGCTTTTGATTTTTGTTCTTTTTGGGTTGTGGGGTTTTAGGGTATAATAGAAAAGCCTTTGTTAATACAGGGTTTAGAATGATCGAATGCCGTTTATGATTCATGTGCATAGAGAGAATTAAGTTCAATTCATTTCACTTCAAATGACTGACGGGGTATACGGAACGTGTGAAATTTGACGAGAGTGTTTATAGAACAATGCGGACTGGCGATCAGCTCAGAGCTCGGTTTTCGCGTTCAAAGGTGCAGCGCCACTCTTGATCTGCTCTTTCTCCCAAGACTGCACCATGAGCGCAGCCACATTCCGACCCATCAGTGCGCTGGTCTCCATTGTTGAAATGAAGCTCTCGATTCCACTGGTGTACCAGATACCCGGAGCAAGAACGGTCTCTTCAAATGTCACTCGTGGGTACAGGAGTGGATACGGGTGCCAAAGCTTCTCATGGAACCAGCTGATCTCAGTCTTCGGCAGATCGCCAATAGTCGTGTTGGCCTGCGGGGTAACAACCGAGCCGGTGCCCTTGGAGTAATCAATGTCAAGAATGTCCGCAATGAATTCAGCCGTGGGCTGTTCAGGTGAGAAGATCTTGTACACATAGTGTACCTCTTGCTGCTCCTTGCCATTCTTCGGAGCTGAATATTCCACTGTTTGGAGTGTACTAATGCTCCAAAACTCAGCGGGCCCGACCCCGTTTGGATTCTGGCCTAGATCGAGGCCGTCGGGAAGAGTAGTGAGAATGGTTTCTGGTGCTTGATCGTTCTTCCCATGGAGTCCAAAATACTTGGGTGAGAGCCGATGAGCCGAAGCGAATAGGGTGACGTGCAACTTCACAAATGGGATTTCGTCCGGGATGTGCTCCAATGGAGGAGAGATAGCTATGCCAGAGTACTGCAGTGGCCCGGCAATGATGACCTCGTCAAATTGAGTCTCCTCCAGAGACTGCGGAGAGTCTAGCTCATCACTCGGATGTGATGTGATACGCACAGTACCATCGTCATTCCGCATAACTTCGGTGACAGTAGTATCCAGCTTGACACCGGCGTTGGCGGCCTTGATGGCGCCATCAAAGATCTGCCAGTTTCCGCCTTCGATGGAAACAGCACCATCTGTAGCCATGCAGACCATCGACTCCAGCCCGTGGATCAATGGCAAGTTCTGGCCATAGTTGACCCGCGTGCTTGCTTGGATAATCTCTCTCGAAAACAGAGAGGAAATCTGGTTTGCACTGAGGAATTCACTGCCGGTGGATGAGGTGACGTTGAGTAGTTCTACTGCGGCTGCGGCCTCTGACAGCGACTGGAACGGGAAGACGGGCGCCTCGTATAGACGCAGGAACTTGCCAACGACGCTCTTCATCAGATTTTGGGTCCGCAGCGGGGCCATCCCATATCGCCAGAAAAGTCGGGCAATATTCCACCAACTGTAAGAATTTTTGATGGTAAACACAAACTGCGTGCCATCCCAAATACCGATAGATTCCTCGGTTTCCCTGGGCCGTCCGTGGTCTGCAGTGCGAACAGTGAGGCCCAGGTCGCGCGATGCATTGACCAAGTTATGATTGACCTGGACAAAGATCGAGGCACCCAGTTCAATTGGATATGCCGGGTGGTCAAATACATTCACGGTCGTTGAGCGTCCGCCGATATACGAGGCTCGTTCGAAGACCGTGACATTGAGGGGAATCCTAGCCTCATCCGCAAGCTTGCGCAGCTCGTATGCAGCAAAAGAGCCTCCAGCCCCAGCTCCTGCAGACAAAATCAGCATCTTTAACACCAGATGATTTGATCTATTGGGCTGCAGATTCAAAAGACAGCTGGATGCTTACCGATGACAGCCACCCGCTTTGGGGCGGCATCTATAGCGGTCCGCAGCAGCTGCTGTTGCTGCTGAATCGCATTACTGAGCGGCAAAAGGAAAGTCCAAATGGTGTACAATAGCCACAGGCTACCGGATATCGGTGCAGCGAGCACCATTATTGCAAGCCGCTTGCGAATCTGCGGCGGTGGATGAGCAAATGGGTTGAGAGGTAATGAATGCGATGTGATGTCGCAGGGGAGCCTAGAGCCATGACGCGGTAATATTACGGCGGTGTGGGGCCGCGGTATCGCTTATCGCAACATTTTTTGTGAGCGGAGGGGCTTTTTGCATTTCTGCAGGGCACTTGCATTTTCTGCATTCCTCGCCATTCTCAGTACTTGCATTGTCCGCCATGGATCCCTACGACAGTGACTCGAGTCTCGACGAAGACTTCACCGAGACTAGTGTGCTCCTCGGGTACGCCGCGGAGGAGGTCATTGAAGACACAATCAGCCATCTGGGTGGCTGGCCGGTATGTTCAAACCAACCAAGCCCTGCGCGGGCACATACACTGACACTGCTTGCTTGGCTTGCTATAGTCATGGATCGATGAGAACACTCCGCCGCCGGGCGACTACGCCTACTGCAAAGTCTGCAATAGCCCGATGCTCCTTCTCCTCGAATTGCACGGCGACCTGCCCGACCACTTCCCCAATAACGAGCGCCGCCTGTACATCTTTGGGTGCCCCAGGAAGCCATGCAACCGCAAGCCAGGCAGTATCCGGGCGTACCGCGCAACTCGTAAGGTCAGTCTTCCCGGCCTACCACTGCCACGGCCGCAGAAGGAGGAAAAGAAGCCCGAGAAGAAGCCCGAGCCCGTCGCACCGCCCAAGCCAAAGCAGGACCTGGGGGCGAGTTTGTTCGGCGCGGCGTCGTTGACAAGTAGCGTGTCGGCGAACTCCAATCCCTTCTCGGTCAATCCTGGCTCCAGCGTGGCGGGGGCCAATCCATTTGCGATGCCCAAGCCGGCGACGCCAGCAGGCCCCGCATCCCAACCTTCTTCCTCGACCTCCACAAATGCGCTTGCTGAAACATTCGCCGATAAGGTCCGGATTTCCTCGCCCAACCCCACAGCAAGCGCTTCAGGCACGGCTACGAAGCAAACGCCCGAGTCAGCCGGTGTCCAGAGGCCATGGCCCGCACAGTCGGATTTCCCGCCCCCATACAAGAATCACTACCTCGACGCCGAATACGAAGCCATGTCCCAGCCGTCCACGCCCACAATTCCCGAAAACGTCACCATGGAGCCCATGGAGGAAGAAGGCAGCGGCGGTAACGTTGACCTCAAGGATACTTTTGAGTCAGAGCTGGACAAGGCCTTCATGAAGTTCTCTACACGCCTCGCGCACAACCCCGAGCAAGTCCTGCGGTATGAGTACCGTGGCGTTCCGCTCCTCTCCTCTTACACAGATCAGATCGGCAAGCGTCTGCACCCGGAGCATAGTGCTGGCCGAGTGACGACGACCGGCGGTGGGAGCATGCCCCCGTGCGAGTATTGTGGCGCCCAGCGGGTGTTTGAGGTGCAGCTTGTGCCCCATGCTATCACCATGCTTGAAGATGGGCGCGAGGGTGTCGGGCTCGGTGAGGGCGATGCGGGGATGGAGTGGGGCACTATCATTTTCGGTGTCTGCGGGCAGGATTGTGCTCCGGAGAAGATTGGGCAGCTTGGCTGGCGCGAGGAATGGGCAGGTGTGCAGTGGGAGGAGACGAAATAGAGGGAATTGAGGATCGACTAGTTGATATACCCATGTGATGTTGTTTAGAGAGGGTGACATGTTGAGCGTCCGGTTGGACGTATAAAAATAGATCTCATTGGGTTTCTATAGATCCATGTTTCTGCGATCTCATGATAATTATTTACGCGCGGACATGCTCGAATGCCTCCTTTTGTTTTTGGACTGTATGATGATTCTTTTTGTTTTCTATTGCAGCGAGCCAGAACATGAAATGCGGCTCGGCATAGCAGGCATGGGTACCTAGGTATGAACATGGGCATCTCTCTCGCACACCCTCATCAACCCGCTCTCATTTCGAAGAGTCAAAACATAGGGTTCCAATACAAAACAGGGGGTCAATCAATCGAGAAAAAGAAACGCCGGATTGCGCCAGATCCCGACTCATCTCCGCGGAGCTTTCTTCATGCGAAATCTATCACCGTCGTCACGGATCGGGGATTCATGAACTCATGTCTCTTTTTTTTTTGGTGCTTCCCTCGCACACGGAGAGAAAAGGGACGGAGAATGAAGAATGTGGTAAAACGTAAAAACTGGAGAAAAGAAGATATTTCAGGGAAGGGCTATTCATGCGGGCTGCTCGAAGCCGCGGCGGATGACACGACCGAACATCTCGACGCCGACGTGTTCGCTCTTCACCTCGCTGCGGGCCTCGTTCTCCTTGTTAGTGGGGACGCGGACGACGTCGCCCTCAATCTTCCAGCCGCAGACGTCAGCGACGAACTTGGCCAGGGCGTCGCGGCTGCGCAGGTCGAGCCACTGCTCGAGGGACTCGGCGGTGATGGTGCGGAAAGCCTTGCCGACTTCCACGGCGATGCGGATGCGCACGAGCTCCTCGAACCCGGCAATGTCGGCGGTCAGATCGGCGTACAGGTCATCCGAGTTGAGGGTTGACCAGAACTGGGTGTACTGGGCGGACTCGAGGAGGGTAGAGAGGCGGGAGAGCTTCTGCACGGACTCGACGAAGTCCGAGTTCTGCGAGGCGGCCTGGGCCTCATTGGTAGCAGGGAATGGCTGAGTGTGGGCGGGGAGCAGGGCGAGGCAGAGCGAGAAGGCGGGGGAGGGGAACACGGTCAGGGCCTTGACCAGGACGTTGGTGACGGTGTCGGGCTGGAGGAGGTGGGGGTTGAACTGGTAGCTATTTGAGCGAGAAATGGTCGGGTTAGCATACAGCTTCCAACCCATGTATCTCATGGTAAACAAGCGTGAAGGGCTTTGTCAATAAAGCTGAGACAATGTCACTGCAATGCATTGCTGGCTTTTCAGGAAGATTAAAGTTCTCAACAACCCCATACGCGACGGGTTGTCAGGTAATAGGAAACGTGTAAGAAGATAAAATCGTTCATCACATAAAACAAGCCGTAAATTTCCGCACGCATTTCTCGCGACATGTTGGGCAAAATAAAGAACAGTCCAACTCACAGCTTCAGCAGCGCCAGGTTGGCGTAGCAGTCGAATGACCGGTCCTCGCACTGCTGGGCCACGTAGTCCTGGAAGACGGTGGTGGTCTCGGGGTTGTACCGATCGAGGCCATTGAGAATGGCGTCGATATGGGCCGGTCGGGTTTCACACTTGTCGAAGGCGACCATCTTGGCTGTTGTGTGGGAGGGTGGTGAGATGCGGGTCTGGCTTTGTCCTTGGAGGTGATGCTTTTTGGTGGGATTTTTGATTGTGGCCCGGGTGTGCTCGGAAGAACTTCAATGGGGTAGTTTCTCCGGCCATCCCATGATCCCGAAGTATGCCCGGGTTGAACTGCAAGAATGGCGTTATTATGGGTTTCATAGGTGGCTACAGGTACAAGGTGTCAATTAAGCTCACTTGATCCAACTTCTATCTGAAGAAGCCCTTACTTTCCTCCAAAGTGTTTTGAGACCTTCATTGGAGGCTCTTCCTGGAAAACCGGCAAGACTGTGGGTAGAAGACGTGGTGGATCAAGAAGAAATCGGTTTTAGTCTGTGATCGTCTCGAGTGTGATCCGAGTGGTATATTTCAAGAATGGCCGAAAATAGCAACCTGTACGTGAGAATAGAGGTATGAAAAAGGAAACTGTGAAATGAGGGGCATGACTACAGCTTACCCATAGTTGCGCCGACGAGTAGCCTACAGTATACAGGGCATCATGCAAGAACCACACCGCTGGTCTCCACAGTCAATATACTAAGGGTTTCATTATGAGTACCTTGAAACAGATCCCTCGATGCTCGATCCGGGTATGGAATCTGTTTTCCTGATGTGGGGAATCCTTGAACGAGCGGCTCGAGAAAAGGAACTTGCGTTGGTTATGCTACGAGGAATATTTCCTCTGACATGCTCAACTATGGTTGTTGAGGAAGATGCCTTTGATGACACCAGCGACTTGGATAATCTCGCATAATAATGCCGGATGTGACTTCGACAGCGTGCGTGTGTGGGGTGTAAATTTTTTTGGTATTTCAAAGATAGTTCAGCGTATTTGTGAGTGTTCAGATTGAGCATGTTTATATGAGTACTGATGTTGATGGTCTTGATCTAGCACTTGCCTTTAGTAAGAATCAATGAAGTTCTAGCCATCTAGAAGAAACAGAGGTACTGAAACCTGAAAAGAAACTGCAACCGTCGAGTCTCGTCGATGGTGTGGTCCACTCGTGACTTCTCATCTTACCGGATCTTCTAGCCGCCGGGGTGTTGCAACAACAACGGGGGCCAGACTCGTCATAAATCAAAGGAGGAAGCTTTGCCTCTAGGCTCATACGCTGAGCGCGTATGGTGATATCTCTACCCTAGTGAGGGAAGGCCTAGGCCACTTTATCTGAAAGAGACTAGATCATCTATAATAGAAAGAGCAGAGTTCGAGAAAGATCAGCCTGAAAGGGCTATCATAGTTCGTGTCCAAATAATACATAGAATACATGTTCTCTTGAATGTCTCATCGTGATCATCATCAAGTTCCCAATCATGGATCCGAGTCCTCAAAATGAGCCAACCGAAATAGGAAAAAGAAACAAGCGATCGCTGAAAGACGAGGAGCCCACGGGAAACCAGGCCATCCAAGAGAAGAGAGATCAAAGAAAAAGAAGAAACCAAGATAAGAAGCTAACTCCGATCCGTGTTCGTGAGACGCCGTATTCTATGCCCAAACCCATCGCAAGCACATAACAGGGGGGAGAAAAAAAAAGAAAAAGGGAATAAAAAGTAATTAGTCATAATGGGGGGGCCGGTGAGAAAGGGAAGCAGTAACAGAAACAGGCCCAGAGGCTAAATGCAAAAAAAAATGAAAGAAAAAAAATAAGACCACAGGGATGATGCTATCGCTTGGAAGGCAAGCACCGGGGGGGGGGGGGGGTGGGAAGGAAAATAGCCGTGGTCGTGAAGGATGACCAAGGTCAAGGGTGCCTGGCTGGAAAGCAGTGCCGGCGGGTATCTCATCAAACGGATAGAGGATGTAACAGCTCGAAAGAGTTCAGTTAGGCCACGACTGAGCGGCGAGTGGTGGTGGTAATGGGGATCGGCTTGGGGCCAGAGGCAATCTCGAGCTTGGACATGTCGAGGTTATTGCTGTCATACTGGGAGACTGACTGGCGCTTCTTGGAGCGCTCGGTGCCTTGGGACACGAGGACTGGCTCTGTGGCCGCCGCGGACACCTCGTCACCCATGGTGCTGCAAACGAAGCGGTCCTCGGAGATAGGCACCCCGCCGAACATCGTCCCCAACTGCTGCAGCAACGCGACAAAATGCGCGTGGAGCTCGGCAAATATGTATTCATTGCCCACGATCTCCGCCAGGTTGCGCGCCCGAATTTGGCCCAGGCGGCGCGGCTGGCCGGCCAAATCCATGGCGCGGCCTGTGAGGAATGATGACACGGGGGTGTACTGCCGGCCGCCGGGCTGAGTGGTCGCACTGTTCTGCTCCTCGCGCTTCTTCTTTTCTTCTTCCTGGAAGCGCTCGGCGGCGCTCACAATGCCGGACGCAATGCGCCCGAATGCGCGCCAGATGACAGGGCAGGCTCGGAATGCTCTTCCGGCATCCTTGCCCGCGAGTGCCACCAAGGCGTAACTGCGCCGCTTGCCGCGCGCCATCGGGTCCGGGAGGCGAAAGATGTAGGCGATCGTGTAGCCGGCCACGGAGTCGCCGAAACAGATCGGACCGGCGGACAGGCCGCGGGGGAGGAGCTCGCAGCTCAGGGTGCGGATGGAGGAGCGGCGGAGGAGAGCGTAGTCAGCCGGGTTCGGGGGGCCGCGGAGGGAGAGGTAGGTCAGGATGTGCGCGTGGCATGATGCATCGGATGCGATGGAGACGGAGCGCAGGGACTCGGGTGGCGAGGCGTGGGTGTGCGCGTCTTGGGGATCATCGTCCATGTCGGAGTGGCTGTTGCCGCAGGAGTACACGACCTCGCGCGATCGCAGGACCGGGCTGCCATTGCTACCCTTCGCATCGCGACTGCCGGGCGCGCCTGAGGGCAGCTGCTTGCTCACGCCTTCGGGGAGCGATAAGCTACAGCTGGCGCATGTGTCGCCATCCGTGCCGCCCACTCGGGAGCGCTCTTCGGGGGATCCTGCCGCTTGTTGGGGGCGGAGGAAGTAGGGATGATCTTCGATCTTGGGAGACCGGGACTCTGAGGCCTCGGGAGTGGTGCCAGGCGATCGGGGCGATCGGGGCGATCGGGGTGATCGGGGTGATCGAGGTTCACGCGGGGAGTGGGAGGTGTCGGGCGAGGCATCCGCATCGGGATGACATTGTGTGCAGGCGAAGGGAATGACCTGCGAGCAGATGATGGAGGTGGGGCCATGCACTTCGCAGAAGTGCGTCAGGGAGAGCTGTGGCAGACGATCTTGTCAGTGTTCTGTACTGTCTGGGCGGACCTCTCGCGCCGGTGACCGCGGGGCTGACATACGATAAAATCCATGGTCGGGACCAGATCACGCAGCGAACTCCAAATCGTTTAGGCCATTGCTGCGGAGCATAGTGGGATTGGCAGGGACTGGTATGTGGATCCACCGACCAGGTTGCGGGGGAGGAAGAGCAGGGAGGGCGGAGGAAAGCGAGGGAGGTGAGAAAGGTGAGGGAGACGAGGAATATGAATGTGCGGGAGATGAGGGAGACCAGGGACCATATAATGGAATAATGGACGTAAAAGGATGTCCACGACAAGGCCGTAGGGATAGAATGGAAGGGGCTTTTGCCACGGCCCAAAGTTCCATTTGACCCGGTCGACGAGTGGATCGGCAGTCCCAAGCGGCTGTCGCTGGCGCGCGACCGGCTCCCCTTCTGAGACGAATGGAACGGTTGGAGAACGAATGGAAGCCCGATGGAAGCAACCTGGACCCCACTCCGTCATGCCCACTGGGGCTTCTCCGATTTACTCCCAGTTCCCACCGTCTGGTTACTTGCACTGGCGCTGGGTGCGGCCTCGCCTGCCTAGGCCGGACGCATGCAGGGCGATCTCGCGACATCCGAATGCTCTCCAGGTCTGTCCGTCAGGTACTTTGGTCCCGTCTGTCAGCAAACCGGTAAAGCAATCAATCACCTGTGAGGCCCAAGTCCTCCAGTCCCCAGGGCTGGGAATGGCGCTGTATCTCACATTTTCTGGCCCTCCCCTTACTTCTGGCCGGGGCTCCCTCTCCCTCTCCCCCTAGGGCCACTAGAGCATGTGAACTACTCCAAGTTCCAGCTCGTCGGCCCGACAGCAGACGAATCGTCTCGTGGCCCAACGTCGGTTCCGTGAACTAGTCCGTCCTGGGCCGAGGGACCTCGTCGGTGGGGTGGGCCCGCGAACGCAAACAGGGGGGAACGCCAGTGGGCGAGAATGTGCCGAGAGACCGCCCTGTTTTCCGACACCGCTAAAATGAGGATCACTGCAACTATCGGGCGATTGGGGCGATTGGGGCGATTGGGGCTCTTGGGGGCTATCAGGACGATGATCGTGCTGCCCTAATTACGGAGTACGGCTTTGTTTCAGAGGGGACTCGTTCTTAGGGGGGAGGAGTTGATAGGGATCAACTCAACTCCCTATCCACTCCTAGGAAGTCCCTCATTTTACATCCTGGTTCTCTCGGACCTCCTACATTCTATCTCCTACGACTTCCGACTGGACTGGGACTGAATATTCCGGCTAGGGCGCGGGGATGATCTATCACCTGCACCTGTGGGCCAGGGGGAAAGTGGCTGGCATCTATATTGCTTTTTCCTGTTCCTTTCTGCCGGGACGACAGGGCCAGATTGGTGTTTGCTAGCTTGCTTCATTGTTCATTCCGGAATAATATCGTTGGCCGGATTGAATTCCCCCTGGTTCCGTTTGGGGCGCTACCCACCATCACACCGCAATGGGGGTTTCAACAGGGAGTCAACGGGTTGGCAAGGGGTTAATCCTTCCTCACTCGGCAGCCTCGCATCGAAAGCCGTTGATAAGCCCCGTCGAGAAGAACCACCATCGTCATCATCCTCATAATTCAGACTTCAGACCATCATGCTCATGCTGGGGGGTCCACTGTCGGGTGCTATCTACAGTATACTTCCCAAAGCCAGAGACAGGCCTCGATTCCACCAATGGCTGGATCCGTGTACTCCGCACGGAGTAGATAAAGAAACAATCACGGAATCATATGCGACATGTGATGGTTCTCCTCCGGACCAGGTCTAGGAACGGAATCCTGCGGCGTCATCGCGCTGAACCCGTCCACTCACGGACGATCGGAGCGAACGAGACTCCTTTAGAGGCCCCATTTACTTCCAGAAGCCACATCACGGCCTAATTCTAGGAGGTCTCTCTCGTTTTCCCCGGTTCCCCCATCTTCGTCTCCTCCGTCCTCCCCTGAGTCTTGGTCGCTGGACCCGGGCCCTCCGGACTGACCAGCGTTACGCGGCATGGAACCTAACCTGGTTCGAGTCCTCCGTGGTCGCCCTGCCCATACTTGGGAACGAGCTCAGAGAACTCGGGGGAGCCTCGTATTGCCTGCGTCTCCTCCCGAGGGCTGCAGCAAGGGCTGGATTCATAGCCGTTGAGCCATCCGGTCGGGCTTCGCTCAACGTCATCACTTTGCATAGATCTATTAGTCTGGTCTGGGCTGGTCTGGTCGCGCGTCGAGTTTGGTCGGGTCTCAGCCCAGCGACCCGTCGAATCGGCCCGGAGTTAACAGCCATTGAATCACGGTCGGCTACTTTCTGCTTTCGCCCGCCCCCATCCTCGTTTGTCGACACCTCCGCCTCCGCTCTGCAGATCGAGTTGACACGGGATGTGATAGGGAGACCGGCCTCATTAGCGGCGAGGGCCATCTCACGATGAGATCATGAATCATGCTTCCTGATTTAGATTAAGCGGGTAATGCCATCTCGTGGTTATTGGCACATCCCGAGACTCCCCTATTTCCACCGACCTATACAGTTCGGCGGGCACGCTATTCATTCCCGATCCCAGTCGCCTCCCCCTCCTTCGCGTAATCGTGGAGTCCCTCGAGCCTCCGTACTCCACAAGGAGAACAATCCGAACAATCAAAAGAATGTAAATACGGTTTCTCTCCCCCAAACCCCCACTACCCAAGTGGAAAAGCGCTTTTCCCGTCCGGCGAAAACCCAGCTCGTCTCTACTTGCAGCCTCCCAGGGCCGAAGTCGCGTTCACCGACTCCTCCAGAAGCTCCGCCCACCTCGCCCACCCCCCCCACCAAGACCTCTACCGCAAGGGAAACAAACCTGAGGGATTTCGCCAAAACAAAATACGCCCAGGCCCGATTGCTGACCAAAGGCCCGGGACATCAGTGGCACGCCACATCCATGGGTCCGCCGTGCAGAAGTGCGGATCGCACGCGCCTTAGGGCCCGGCTACGCGGATCTCGGTTGGTTGCCTGGACTGGGCTGGCCATTTTTCCTTTTTGACTTGCCTGAGTTGCGCTTAGGTTACCCACTCGCGACGGGGCTGCAGAAAGGCACACGACGGCTGAACGGTTCTGGGATTCGCGATGGGTCGCGAGAGGGCCGGGCCTGTCGATATTAATAATAGTTTCCACTGTGCAGGCCCCAGGATGTCACGTCTGGGGACTCCGTCGCTCGAACAGTGATCATCTCCGATCGCGGTCTGTGTTCGATTGGGAAGGTCGTTACTTCACATCGCCGGGCTTGACGGGGGAGCTCCGAGGTCCCTGAAGTCGACAAAGGTACATCCAACTATAGCACTCCGTAGTCCACGCAGAGTACGCAGTAGACACTGGCAACATCCTCGGTTTTTTCGCGAACTGCCTCGGCTGCACAGCACGCTGCACCACTTGCATCCGGCAAGAACGCTCCTGTTCATCGCAGCGCCTCCATCGGTCTGCCAAGCGTCCAATATAGGCTGCGCGCGGGAGCTGCTCGCAGCCAGTCAGGACTAAAATTTTCACGTGGTCCTCCGATTATCGTGGCTCGTGGCTGCGGTGGAGCCCGGCGAATCCGCTTCAAGGCCACTTCGACGACTGACCTGCTCTTGTGGGCCGGATGGATAGCCCGTGGATCCCATGTCAAATCCCATGTCAACCGTCAATGTTTGGAGGTAAGACTGCCATCGACAGTAGAGACGGAGACAGAACTCCTCAGAACTCCTGCAATACAGGCCTCGGGAGCGGATAATGGGCTCCGCACGACTCTCCCCGAGGACTGTTCCTCGTAGACCGGGTGTGGTGATATTGCGGCCACTGATTTGGATGAGTCCTTGGTTCCGATGGCCTTTTCAACCGTCTGCCCGCACTCCCAGATTCAGCACGCTCCGCCGGAACTCGGTAAAGTCCTCCATCTCACTACCGACCCGGTCCAAGACCAGACGATCGTAAAGCGGATACAGAGAGTGATACAGTCCCTCGGTGGACCCGTACACAGTTGGTCATCTCGGGGCAAAAAATTTGCCTAATGGACGCTCCCACATGCCGTCCCGCGGTGCGAAAATCATTCAGTAGATCGGGGTGCCGAGGAGCGCTGCACTGGCACCTTTCGCAGAGAGCAGCGATGATCGCCGGCGGGGCGGACATGCCTGTGACCCGAGGTACAGGCTCGGTCTGCCGGGGGGTGGTTATAGCGGATGAGGCCGGCATTCGGGGGGGCCTATTGCTGGGGAACCACTATTTTGGGGGGGGGGGGGGGGGGGGCCTATGTATCCGCCGGTTCGAGGTAGCCCGAAAGAGGCCCATGTCTGGCTGACCCTTGATCTGCGAAATATTCGACTGTTTCTGGAGCCTCCCGTCCCGCAGTCCGAAGTGGGGATTGTCTGCAATGATCGTCGGGCGTCAAAGATTGCAGATAAGCTCGTAACAAGGGCGGAGAAGCAAGCGTCGACGCCGAAGAAGCCAATTTTATGGAACTATAACGATAACGATTGTGCCCCGCGTGACTTTCCTCAAATGATCGTAGAGCTATATCCACCCACTGAGCATATAGGTATATTTCCCGATGACAACCATGGCATCGAAAGCCTTCGGGCTGCTTCGGAGCAACGACGTGAAAGTCGCCCCAGCCCTAGCGGTGATGTATTCAGAGTGGTGCGGTTATTATCGTCACCGTTCACAATCTGTTCAGCGCCATGCAGCATGATTAGACGCGGTCGTTGGAATAGCAGCCTGGAAATCCAAAATGATTCAGGAAGTGGTCTCTAGCAGTCCACAGTATGGATGACTGCGTCCTCCTGGATAAAAACGAGGTGGAAGGTAGGCTGAGCTGCTCATCGAAGAGCCCGCGCTTAGTCCTAGATAATTTGCGGTCGCTTCTGAATCTCCCCCGTCGTACGAGTCCAGCCCGTGCTGGAGTAGTTACTCGAAGCCTTCCGAGCGCATCGGACTTGCTTCATGTGCCAAGCAGAGCATCTGCATGAATGTCGGTACCAGTGGCGCCCCTTACGGAGGTAGCCACTGACGCGCCTTTGGCAGCCTCTTATCCCGTCTAGCCCGGGCCACCTTCAGCGTTGCATGTCGTGAAATCGGAGATGTCGGTGCCATAGAGAAGGTACACGGCGAGTAGCTCCGAGTTGAAGATTCTGGCAGGGCGACAACCTGGCCGGGGCGAGAGAGGCCGATGCAGCTTGCATGCGAGGAGTCCAGATGTTGCTTTACCAAAGCCCCCTTCTCTCCAGCACTGTATCCTATTCTGAGAGAGCTGCAAGCACAGATATTTGGCATCAACTACAGATATTATTGGCTTGGAAGAGTTATGCGGTGACATCTTAAGATGTACGTAGTCTGCCATTAAAATCATGAACAGCGGTAACAACTACCTACTATGATATTGGTAGATTCCCCTGTCGATCCCGACTTTGTTTCAGTGAGGGAGCTCAGTCTAGCATCCAATTTGGTGATAAAATACAGCATAGGGAGATGGAAGTAGCTAGATGGTCAGATCAGGTTGAGTGACCTCATTTGGTCATGGAAGCTTGTGTGCCGCCCAGCTAACAACATGGATGGCTAGCTAGGTGCAATATGGCTGAAGCGCGAGTTGGGAAAAAGTCTCGGGATGGTCCCCATGTCACAGGAAAATGCACGAGTCCTGCTGGTCCTCGATGGCCCTGAAGCGATGCCGATGTCGTACAAGCCAAACTGATTGTAGTAGTGCAAGTGCCTTAACTCACAGATCGTTAATCGGTCATCTTCCGTCATCAAAAAGTGGGCTTTGATGTAGTACCGGAGAACATTTGACGAGGTTGGCCAGCACTAAACAATCCTCGGACTTAATGGTGCGGTTTCGTGAGTAGTGTGCCATTCAATGGCGGTCATCTTTCGGCATCCGGAGGTTCATCATGGACAGCATGTTTCCAGCTGGGCCAGCAGTGCCAGCCTGGCCCTGAAGAGCCTCGAGTAGATTCTTTGCGAGGTTTATGTTGACATTTTCGTCCTCATCATCCACTTCAGGGTCAGCATTTGAGGACTCTGCTGTCTTGCCTTTGGGTGAAGTCACGCCAGAGGTCAATTTCTGCTGGTTTCGGTTCAGGTCAAGGACACCGGTTCCTTTGAGTTCAGCTTCCATCTGTCGAGATAACTCTTTGATCTGCTCCGTGTCGTCTTCTTCTTCAAGGTCGTTCAGCTCCTGGATTCGGTTACGCAGGGGTGTGGCAAGAGACGGGCCCTGGCCAGACCCAGATGGCATGCCCATCATTTCTTTCATCATCCGGGCGAATTCCTCTTCATCAAAAGAAGCATCTTTGTCTTCCCCATCACTGCTGAGCTCCTCATCCTCGTCGTCGTCCACATCCGAGTCTGATTCGAAGTCGTCGATAAAGTCTGCTCCTTCGAAGCCCGCCGAGTTGTCGTTCAAGAACTCTTCAAAACGGGCAACAATCCGCTGCAGATTTTCCTGTGCGCTTGCATCACCAAAATCGCCGCCAGTCTTCTCGTTGCCTTTACTCTTCCCTTTAAGTTCCCTGTCCAGATCTTCAAAGTTGATGTCCATCCATTTCTCGTCATCCTCTCGCTTATCCCAGGTTTTTTCAATTTCCTCGTCTGTGGGGAGCTTCTCATCCCCCGTCTCAATATCCTCTAGAAGAAGCTTCATTTCTCGGACGGAGGCTTTGTCTTGGTGGTGAGGATCATAGAGCAGCATCTCAAAGCCACAGGCTAGTTTCATTCCTGCTTCAGCGCGCGTGTATGCTGTTTGATCTTCCATGGGCGGCAACCTTGATGCCCAGCTGCTTGGAACAGGAAACTCTTGACTCTTCAACTGGGCGTATCCAACTCGAGTAAATCGAACGCTCACGGTGACCAAATCATCAGGTTTGAAGGTCAGGTCTGAAGCATCCTTTGTCCGAAGGGGCTGTAAGGCAATCGGATCTCGGATGTAAAATGCCTCCACCGCTGGGGATATGTATGCTGGCTTTTGATGTAGGAGGAAGGCGACCTTGCGGGGGATTGTCAGGATCGCGGAGTGAAGATTTTCGGTGATCTGTTTGGGGTAGTTGCGTAGCCGGTAGAATGCCTCCTCTTGAATTATTGTAGATTTCATGAAGCGATCTGGCTCCTCTTGAATGATCTTTCGTGCTTCGGTGAGGGTAAGTTTCTCAGTAACTTTTCTTCCTTTGTCTTGCTTTGGCTTGATGATCCGAAGTTCTCCTTGGTGGATCCAGACCTGATTGATATCGAGTCAATTAAGATGACTCTTGGTTCCATTAGGATGTATATCAAATAACTCACCCTGTTATCTGCAACTTCGGGCTCTAGCCAAGCGGGAAGAGTACCGGCGGCCTCGACGAGCAAGAATTCGCCATCACTATCCACAACCCTGACCCAAATATCCTTGTGCCGTTTCGTCAACTCGCGAAGTAGGTACACAATCACCCACTCATCCTCGATAGAGTCTCCGTAGTTGGTACGTCCGTGAAGTGAGGTGATGCCTACTTCCGCAATTAGCGCCGGCCGTGGGGAATTACAAAGAACAGGGTTCAATAGGACATTCAGTACCATTATCTTTGTTTATCTCCAGTCGAAAGCTTTCGCGCTGCCAGATATAGTCTTTGAGAAGCTCTTTGGTCAATTCGGCGGCAGTGCGTTGCACTTCCAGCAATCGGGCTCGAGTCTCGGCGGCTTCATCGATAACGGCGGGGGCGGGGGAGGGCAAATGATAAATGAAATACTCGACCGAGTCGTCAGGAAGCTCCGGCTTCGGGATCGGACGAAAGGTCGACTGAAACCACGCGATGTCTTCTTCGGTCGCCATTGTTCTGAGGTGCTTTCACTGCGCGGCAGCAAGCATGACCTCATGGCATTCCGCATAATCGAAAAAAAGCGGCAAAGACGCGACCCACCCGTGACTCGTGCGCTAGTCCCAATAGGGCTAGACATCAACAGTCTGCGACTCTCTCGTCGTCGCCGCTCGACACAACACGTCCAGATCAGCTGTTTCCCACCAATTTGTCCAATATTGACGGTGATGGTCGCGTGTTGAATGGTTCTAAGTACGCATTACGCGGTTCTGGCACAATGACATTTCCCTACATCGACACGCCACGCACCGAGATCGACGGGAACGCGACTTATCTTACCAATGGCTTTCGCAGCGTGGGCCGAACACACCTTTCAGCACTCGACTCGGTAGAAAACTCGTTCGCTACTCCATCCAAGGACAACGATGTGATCAAAGGATTTGGAGAGGGGCGAAAACGCGTTTCGGCCTCCAATTTGGGCACCCCGCGCGCCAATGCGGCGACGAAGTCTACGAGAAGCGCATTAAGACAACTCCCGTCGGCTGGAGCTGCTAGGGGCGAATTCACGCCGCTAATGCGGAGTGCGACGAAAAACAACCTCTTGAGAAATGCGTCCATGAATCGAGGGGCAGATGACCCGAAAACCCCGGCCTACCTGCGCGAAGGCAATCGAGGCGCCGCCCATACCCCCGGTTTACCACCCATGGACATGTCCGACATTTATGAGGAAGATGCGACAACAGATGATCCCACGCCTCTTCCACAAGCTGCGAGTAGCAGTGTCCAGAGTACACCACTTCCGTCTCTTTTGGGACGCGACGTGCGAGGGATTCTGGGCGACGGGCAAAATATGACCCTGAAGGAGCAGGAGCGAGTATGTCAACTGCTCTTTGGATGTGCTCTGAATGTGTACTAACCTCCACAGATCATTGACAGGCTTGACAAAGACAACTGGAATCTGAAGCTCAAGATCCACTACCTGGAGGAACAACTCGAGAAAGCAGGACCCGAATACAACAGCGCAGCTCTCAAGGAGAATACCGAGCTCAAAGTTCTGAGATTGACAATGCAACGCGACATTGTCCGGTACAAGAAGAGTCTGCTGCAAGCAGAACGCGATTTGGAGGAGTATCAACAACAACTCATGGAGTGGAGAGATAGAGCCCGGAGGAAACAAACCGATGAGGAAGTACAGCGTGAAATGGACCTGATGCGCGAGGAGGTCGAATCAAAAGATAACGAACTCAGAAAGATTCGCGAAGAATTGAGGTTGACCAAAGATGATCAATCTCAAGAAATCGAGAAGCTCCGAGATGATGTAGAAGATCTTGAGGCTGCGGTACGGGAGAGAGACCGTATTATCGAAGAACGCGACGAAGAACTGGAGGAACTTCGAGAGAATGGCAAAGAGAACGATGCGGGAGCAGAGCTTCAAGGCGAACTCGACCGTGCGAAGGAGCATATTCAAGAGCTGCAGGACCGTCTGGAGCAGGCCAAGTCAGAAGCCCAAGAAGCGGATGATGCCGCAAAGAAGGCCATCGATGAGAAGGGCCGTACTGAAGAAGACCTCCGGGAGCTTCAGGACGAGATGGCGGACAAGTCCTTTACAACAAGGGGACTCAGTCGACAACTGGAGGATAAAGTCGATAAGCTTGAGGAGGAAGTGCAAGATTTACGACAAGAGAACGACACCCTCAAAGCTGAAATCGAGAGCAAAACGGAGTCCGTGAGTCGTCTCGAGGAGCGTTATCAGACCGCTCAACAAGACCTCAGGAACAATAGCGGAAAATTGGGCGAAGACCTTGAATCAGCCAGACACGAACGGGACTTGGTCCAGGCTGAACTCCAAAAAATGTCCGCTCGACTGCAAGAGGCCCTCGATAATATTCAACGCAGGAATGAAGAGAAAGAGCTTCTTCAGACCCGGCACCACGCACTGACTGATGAGTCTGGCGGCTTGCAGAACGAGTTGACCCGAGCGCAGTCTAGGATACGCGAACTCCAGCAGGCGGTTGAAGAAGCCACAAATCGTGCTCAAGACAACCAGAACCTTCGCTGGCAACACAAGGCGGAGGTGGACCGTCTTCAGGATGAAATTGATGCTCTCCAGCGCGAAATCGAGGACAAGGAGGGTCACTTCGCCCTCGAGCAGGATAGGTGGGAAAGCACCAAGCGTTCCTTGCAGTCTCAAAAAGAGCGTGCCGAAGAACAAGCAGCAGGCCTCAAGCGAACAATCGAGAGACTTCAAGAGACAGAGCATACTCTTTCTGGGAAGGAGTTCAAGCTACAGGAAGCTATCGATAGCGAGAAGCAGCGCCATCTACAAGAAGAAGCGGTGCTGAGTCGCCAGATCAAAGAGCTTGGCGACGAGCTTTCTCAAAAGAGACACATTCTGGATGAGCAGCGTAACGACCTCCTTACGGTGAGGGAAGAGCTGCGCGTGTCTCGGCGCGAGGAGCAATCACTCAAGGAAAAAGTGCAGGCTCTGGAGGACGAGGTTGTTGTCTTGCAATCGAGTTTAGCGGAAGAGCAAGAATACGCCAAAGGTCGGATGCTGAAGGGCTCGTCTGACGTGGAATCCCAATTGCAGAAAGCAATTGCCGACAGACAAACCCTCCGTGACCAGCTTGCCAATGCTCATGTCGAGCTGCATGACTTGCGAACTTCGATAGGCGAGGTTGAAGCCGAACGCGACGAGCTCCAAGCGCAGCTTGGTCGTCCTCAAAATGCGGAAGACACCACCCGTTTTGACCGCGAAAAGCTCGAGCTTCGGCGGACCGCTGTTCGACAAGAGAATGAATTGCAGCGCTTGCGAGACGACAGGACCTCCTTGTTGGAAGCCAAAGCTACTCTTGAACAGCAGCTCGGATCTGAGATCGAGCGTGCCACGGCAGAAGAGGGCCGCCTTTCAGCTGAGATCGATCGTCTCCAGGACAAGCTCCATGCGGGCTCTGGCAACCGGGATCGTGAATTGACAACCGCCAGGACCAAGGTTCAGCGGCTTGAACGACGCATTCAAGAGCTAGAGCTCCTCCTGCAGCAACAACCCGCCATGGAAAATGAGCAGTCGGCTACCCATGGGGACCTGTCTCTGATTCGGCATAGTCTCGACGAGGCTCGCAGGCGTGAGAAAATTCTTCTGCAGCGCGAAGCCGAGCAGAAGGCTTCTACACGCACACTGAAGTCACGCGTCTCTGATCTGGAGAGAGATCTCCACGATGCTATGATGAACAAGTTCGATTCGCGCTCTCCACAGAACTCGCCTTCCAACAAGCTTCATGAGGAGTTGCGAAGTTTGCGAAAGCAACTTGCAGATGCCCACCGATCCCTCAAGGAGATCAAGGCCAAGAATCGTGATTTGGAACGTGCGGCGATGAAAGAGGAGGACCAAAAGGATCTCCACGAGCTTCTCAAGTCGTCAACTCTTGAAGCCGAGGCCTTGGCGCTCAAGGTCTCCGAACGAGACTCGCGATTGAACGAGCTCAAGAACCAGGTCCGTCGGATCCGTGAAGAGCGAGCGTTCTGCATTCGCAAAGCCGAGGCGGCAACTAAGGAGTTGGATGCACTTCAACAACGGTACGAGGAAGCCCTCAAGAAAGTGACCAACTCGAAGACTTCCAGCAAGGGTCAACATGAGAAGGAGATGCGCGGGCTAGGCAAAGAAATAATGTGGCTTCGTGCCCGTCTGCAGCGAGAGGAGAAGTTCCGTCGTGACTTGGCCTGGAGTAAGGGCCTGATGGAGCTTGGCGAACGAGTCCGCGTTGCATGGTTAGTAACGCATATCCTTTCCAATCTACGTATAATAGCCCTGTGACTAACCCAACTTAACCACCCACAGCAACGAAGCCGACCTCCGCATGATCACCGAGATGGGTGTTCAAGCCCGCGACCGCAATCCCATGCGAACTCCACGCCGCAAGTTCAAATCAGCCATTTCCCTTGTGTTGGCTACCGTCCGTATGCAGCGGATGGGCCAGGAATGGAGACTGACCAAAAAGCTCGGCGAGGGCTTGAAACGAGCCAAGAGCGAGATGCTGAAGCGTCGCGAAAGCTCGAACAAAGGTCTGTTTGGCCAGTAGCTTGCATATGTTATACGGTCACTGCTTTTACATGTTGTTTTCCGGGTCCGTTGTCTTTGTCTCATTTTCTAGCGTCTTCTATCCACCCTTCTGCCACGAGAGATTCCCCGACCTGTCTGTTTAGTATGAACATTTTTTTTTGTGTTTCCCCGAGTTAGTTCATTGCCCTTTGTTGGAGGCGTTTGGGAACTGGGTTTTGCGCAAGTGGAAACCTGTCATTGGTTGAGTTTGAGCATGGTCACTCCGGCGTGGACTGAATCATTCGAATGTTACGTAACGGAAATGAGAAATTGATTCGCAAGAAGCAATCGTCTATCTCAATGAACAGGTGTAGATCGAAAGGGCCTCCTTCGCGCAGCATGTTTACAACGATAATCAGGTTTGGGTGGTGGGAAACTGAGTTTACGTCGACAATATAGAGTGTGGAGTTAACATGTCAGCGCCACGGCTTGCCCTTCTTATGACGAAGCCCCGCCAAGATAAACACATGGATATTTGCTCAAACAACGCCTCGCCCTTGCCAAAAGATACTTGGATAGAGAAACCAAATCAGACCAGAACAGAACAAAACAAAACAAAACGCTTCTGAACACCAAATACTTCAGACACCCTCCGGGCCACGAGCAGCAATGGCGTTGACTCATGCAAAGACATAGAACCATGCAAAACGAATCACCGAGCCCAAGCCATGGTCTATTCCATGGCATGCCCTCGTTCCTCATAACCCAACAAGAATGCAGATCAAACGTGGGAGCTTTCATACTCATAGACATGGATAGTGGGGTCGGGTAGGAAACCAGCCCGGGTTATCGAGATGAGATGCGAGAAACATATTCGAGGGTAGACGTAGATCAGGCTCCTTCACTGCCAAACTCCTGGGTCCACTCTGAGTTCCTTTGAAGATCTTCCTGGCTGACAGTAGGCCTCGAATTCCGAACCGCCTTGATAAAGTCCTTCAGAACAAGTGGGGGTTCCAGGAGCTGCTCTGCTTCAATACTGAGCCAAGTCATTTCAGTTGCGCCGGCATCGCCTGGTGAGCAAGGGGTAAACTTCTCGGCACCATCAACGGTAACCTATGATGAAAGCTAGGGTGAGCTAGAACACTAAAAATTTCAGCGCAGAGAGAACTCACCTTCTTATAATGTGTCGCTGTTTGGATCTTGCGAATTGGCTGCATCAGTGCATCTTGCACGGCAATGCTGATATCGCTACCAGAGTAGCCATCACTCATCTCGGCCAGTGACCGGTAATCCGCCTGAGTCAATTGACATGGTGTCGAGCCCACGGCCAGCATGAACATCTTCATCCGTGCGTTGATATCAGGCAGACTGATGTGAACTCTTCGTTGGAATCGTCGCCTAATGGCAGCATCCAGCTGCCAGGGAATGTTGGTCGCGCCCAGAATCAAAACGCCCTTGGAATCCTTTCCCACACCGTCCATTTGAACGAGCAATTCCGTTTTGATACGTCGTGACGCCTCGGATTCGCCTTCTCCACGCGGCCCACACAGAGCATCAACTTCATCAATGAAAATGATCGCCGGCTTGTTCTCACGGGCCATGTTGAAGAGTTGCTTCACCAGTCTATGAGGGACCGTTAGCTGCATGCTTACTGACGGGTAACTCAGGGCGGGTTTCACCTTTCACTCTCACCCATCCACTTAGACACCAGGTCACTACTGCTGACGCTAAAAAAGGTGCTGTTCGCCTCGGTTGCAACGGCCTTGGCAAGATAGGACTTTCCAGTACCGGGAGGACCGTAGAGCAGAATGCCCTTCCAAGGTTGCCGCTTGCCAGTAAACAGGTGCGGAAACTTGATGGGAAGAATGACCGCCTCTTTCAGAGCTTCCTTTGCACCCTCCAAACCAGCAACATCCTCCCACTTGACATTCGGCTTGTCAGACAGGATAGCTCCCTGAAGAGCCGACCGGAGCTTTTTGGCTTCCGCATCTTCGCCGTTGTCTTCGTCTTGGCTTCTGTTTTCAGTACGTAGTCAGCGCAGAAAATTTGGATAGAGCACTTTTGCTGGTGCCACGAATAGACAGTGTCTTATCCATAGAGCCACCAAACGCAGGCCTTAAGGGGGGTGAGGAGCAAATCATACCCTCCTTTCCCACTTCCTTGCGCGACCTTTCCATTCGCGCCCACCGCGCTGGGTTTCTTTTTATCTGCTGAAGCCAAGTGGTTCTTCAGCTTCTCTGCGCGGTCCATGTACTCGCCAGTTTTGGCACGAATCATCTCCTTGGACCGGGGGTTTTTCTCCCATTTGAGCGCCAGCATGAACAACTCCAACGCGGAGTAGTAGAGCTGATAAGCCTTCTCGTATTCGCCCTCGTTGTCATTCTCGATCGCCTTCTTGACGGTGTCAATCGCGCGCCCCAAAAAGTCCGTGTTACTCATGCTGGCCGTAGTTGTTCTGCCTGGTTCGTCCCGTCTCGGTGGAGTGGCAAGTGAACTGCGGAGTGGTGAAGCGGGGAGAGGAGGGCGGATGCTGGGGTCTTGAGGGTTCTAGGCAGCGGCTCAAACGAAAGGAAGCAGCTAATCGGAGGCAAATGGCAGGTCGGAGGGTAGAGAAACGAGGAAAGCGGCGGTCTTTGCAGAGGGGGGTGTGGATGATGGAATTGGAGGGGGAAGGGGAGAAGGTCGGTGTTGACGGGCGGGCAGCAGGCGATCGGTTTTCCCTCCTCCCACCTCCCCGCCAACCTACACCATGGACGCCCAGAAACAGCTTCAGGCACTTTCGGATGAGTTCCAGCAGCTCCAGACTGGTATGCCCCCTCTACAAAGCATTTTCTCTCGTGCATGACGATAACTAATTGTTCCGGCCCTCCCAGAGCTTGAGAGTCTGATCGATGCACGCCAAAAGCTGGAGTCGCAGCAGCAGGAGAACCAGGGCGTGCAAAGCGAATTTGCCCAGTTGGGTGACGATTCCAACATCTACAAGCTTGTCGGACCTGTGCTGTTGAAGCAAGAGAAGACGGAAGCAGTCATGGCTGTCAGCGGTCGATTGGAGTTCATTGAGAAGGAGATGTGGGTGTCTCGGTCATGGTCCACAGCTTACCTTTGCTGACTCGCCTTAATAGCAAGCGCATTGAGAAGGAAATTGAGGACAAGCAGGAAACCAGTGAGAAAAAGCGCACAGAGGTATCAAGAATCCCCTCGCGCTCCCCCACCATTAGTATATGCTAATTCTCCTACGCCTAGATCGTGCAATTCCAAAGTCAGGTCCAGCAACAAGCGGCGCAGGCCTCCGCCTAAGCTTGAATGTTCACCAGATGGAATGAAGGAAGGGTTCTTCAGTTTGGGATCAACAAACGGATCATATCGGCTGCATGCGATGGATGAGCCGCCAATTCGTTTTGTTGCGCACGAATATGGCTCACGTGGTCCTGATACTTTTTTATGAGAATACCGGCGCATACCAAGGGAATGTACAGGGGGTGGGCATTGATATGGAGGGGAAACACCGACATCTGCTGAAGTGTATGATCTACATGTGGACGAGCCCCTTCACGGTGGATGATAACGATAGGCTGAATTTGCCAGAGATATACCCGTTGAAGTTTTAACGAACAAAAATACCAGGTGGTCACAGAGTAAACCAGCCTAAAAGAATCCGGTGCCTAGGATCAATTTTTTGAGTGCTGGCTAACCCCGAAACGCGGCGCCTCTATTCTCTGCCACACCAAGATATCGACATTCCAAGTATCCATTTATTGATTCATTTTCGTAATCAAAATCTCTTATGTAAAAGAAGAGGAGAAGATCTATCTATGACTTAATGAGCAGGCTCTTGCCGGTCATCTCGGCGGGCTGCTCGATGCCCATGGCAGCGAGGATGGTGGGCGCGACATCGCCCAGGACACCACCCTTCTTAGCCAGGCTCCAGCCCTCGGGAGCGTTGGCCATAACGAAGGGAACAAAGTTGGTGGTGTGAGAGGTCTTCGGGGTACCCTTCTCGTTGAGCATCTCCTCGGCGTTACTGTAAGGATTCATTAGCAATGGGGACCTAGACTGGACCGAGGGTCCCGTATCAAGCAATCTCACCCGTGATCGGCAGTAATCATGAGAATGTAGTTGTTCGCCTTGCAAGCCTCGTAAATCTCACCGATAGCCTTGTCGGTGGCAGTAACACCCTCGATGGCAGCCTCGTACACACCAGTGTGGCCAACCATGTCGGGTGGGGCGAAGTTGTTCATGACGAAGTCGAACTTCTTCTCGGCAATACGCTCCGACATCTTGGTGCCGACGGCCGCAGCGCTCATCTTGGGGTCGAGATCGTAGGTAGCAACCTTGGGCGAGGGGATCATATCACGAACCTCGCCGGGGAATTGTTTCTCGATGCCGCCGTTGAAGAAGAAAGTAACGTGGGCGTACTTCTCAGTCTCAGCAACGTGGCACTGCTGGAGACTCTTCTTGGCGAGCCATTCCGCAAGGACGTTGCCCATGTGCTGAGGAGGGAAAGCGACGGGGAAGGTGTAGTCGGTCTTGTACTGGGTCATGGTGGTGAGGGAGATGTTCTTGGGGTAAGGGAAGTCTGGAAGAGGAGAGCGGTCGTAGTCACCCAGAAGCTGGGTAATCTCGCGAACACGGTCCGAACGGTAGTTGAAGAAGAAGAGGGTATCATTATCTGTTGCCAAGTTAGCGTCAGCATCGAGATGGGTGCTTTCTTTTTGAATCAAAAAACGCACCCTGCACACGTCGCTCCTTGCCGCCGACGATGATCGGCTGGAAGAATTCGTCGGTCTCGTTCTTCTCGTAGCGCTCCTTGATGGTCTGGAGCGGGTCCGAGCTGTCCTCGCCCTCGCCAGTGACCATACCCTTCAGGCCAACCTGGACACGCTCCCAGCGCTTGTCACGGTCCATGATGTAGTAGCGGCCGACAACGGTGGCAATCTCACCAACGCCGAGCTCCTTGGTCTTGTTCAGGAGCTGCTCCATATAAATTCCAGCACTCTTGGGGTCGGTGTCGCGGCCGTCACCGTAGAAGTGGATGAAGACCTGGGGGATCTGCATCTCCTTGGCGACCTCGAGCAGGCCGAACAGGTGGGTGATGTTGGAGTGAACACCACCGTCAGAGACGAGACCGCAAAGGTGCAGACGGCCATTGCCCTCCTTGGCACGGGTGAAGGCCTTAACAATGTTGTCCACCTTCTTCAGCTCGCCATTCTTGAGGGTCTGGTCGATGCGAACGCTGTCCTGCCAGACAACACGGCCGGCGCCAATATTCAAGTGGCCAACCTCACTGTTGCCCATGAGGCCCTCGGGCAGGCCGACAGCCAGCGACGATGCATCGAGCTCAGTGAAGCCCTGGGCAGTCTTCGAGTTGGCTTCGGCGAAACCGGACATGTACGGGGTCTCGGCAGCAGCAATGGCATCGCCCTGGGGCGGCGACTGGGGGCCAGCAATACCCCAGCCATCGATGACAACTGCAAGGTCGCATTAGTCCGGGGTGAATCTGGGGACATCGGGGGCAAGCGGATCATACTCAAAGCGACTTTGTGGTCGACCGCAGCCATGGTGGGGGTTGTATGTGTCGTAATCACAGCTGAAACACAGATCAATGGCTGAATCCAAAAAGGATAGTGATTCGAATCGGGGTCTGTTGCTTACATACAAAACAATAATGCGAGGAAAGAAAGAGTGGACAAGAGAGAAGTCCAAGAGGGCGAAATTAGCTGGCCGGTGAAGGAGGGGCATTCCCGGTGACGCTTTTGGTTCTCTGGCCCCGACGTCACCCTGCGTTCCGACTCTTCCCTAAACGCTTATCCTAGCCGGCTTCTAATCGTTCATTCACCCATCTTCCCTCGGGACCCAATCTGCTTGGATCTGCAATGGCTTCCAGATCCCCGACAGCAGCCACGCCGCTGCCCAAATCCTCGGCCGTGCCCGAGAGTCCGTTGAAAGACGCGCCCGAGTCACCGGAAACAGTCCCCTTCCCTCCACCCCAGACCTTTGAGATCATCCCACCATTGCACGGTATTCTTCTTCGCTTGCTCTCCCCCAAACCTACGTCGAGTGGACAGAACGGCGCACCTGGAAATACTACAGTAGCTCCAGAGCACTCGGTGGACGCGCAGGCACAACACCAGCAGGCGTCTTCAAGCATCCCCGGAGGCAATACCACCAACACTCAAGCTGCACAAGCTATACCGGAGGTCCCAGCCCACGATTCAAATGGCCTGCCACCGCTCGACGTCAAAGATCTCCCCACCGCGACCAGCTCAGTCAAGATTCGGATACAGAAAGCGCGTGCTGTGGTGGAGGGGCTCCCAGATACACACCGGTCCATTGAGGAGCAGCAGAAAGAAATTTCGGAGCTTGAGGACCGTGTGGCTCGCTTGCGCTCCGTTCTTTCAGACTTTGGAAGCCGTGCAAGGAAGCCTCAGGAGGGCCGCGTTGAGGTGACAGCTCCCTGAAGCTTTGGAAAGAAACACCGAACGGGCCTAAACACATATCCGGCATGCTAGGTGCAGATGTTCTCTTTTGTCTCTTTTGTCGTTGGCGTTCAGGAAAGGAATACCCAATATAAATTTTAGCACTCATCTTTACAATAGATCCATTTTTTCAACGGTGTCTTTTGCAGCAAGCACAATCGTGCTTCGGAACCACAAGAAAAAGAATCGGGGCCACAATATAAACAGGGACGTAAAAAGAGCCATCTAGCAACCATTACGAGATGAAATAAGTGCATTTGCTTGCTTGTCCAGGACCCTCAAACTCAATCCGGCGAAAAGTCTCCGATATCGTCAACATCTCGTGGCCTGAGGCACCAAGGCGGTCCCGCCCCCTCCCCCCACCAACCTTTTTTTTCTTCCCTCGCCATCCTAACAATCCTTTATATCCTCCCATATTCTTCCTTTCTTCCCAATTATTTCTCCCCAGGAGATCCACATCTATCACAATGTCGTCCTACGCTCTGTCTGAGGCCCACAAGGAGGTGAGTGCTCCATCTAGCTCCCTTTAAAATCAAGATCACATCGTTGACTCATCCCGCAAAACAGCAAATGCACAGCTCCCTCAAGGAGTCTGACCCCGAGGTCGCCCAGATTATGGTATGTAACGGTCTACTTGTCTTGATGAATCTGATCAATCCCGTTTGGAAAGCAGCTGGACTGGACTTTACTGACCCCTGCCTTCTTATGTTGCAGGCGAACGAGATTCAGCGTCAGCGTGAGTCGGTCGTCCTGATTGCCTCGGAGAACTTCACCTCGCGTGCTGTCTTTGATGCTCTTGGCTCGCCTATGTGCAACAAGTACTCTGAGGGTTACCCCGGTGCCCGCTACTACGGTGGCAACCAGCACATCGATGCCATTGAGATTACCTGCCAGCAGCGTGCTCTCAAGGCTTTCAACCTGGACCCTGCCAAGTGGGGTGTCAACGTGCAATGCCTTAGCGGCAGCCCTGCCAACCTGCAGGTCTACCAGGCTCTCATGCGTCCCCATGACCGTCTGATGGGTCTTGATCTCCCCCACGGCGGCCACTTGTCCCACGGCTACCAGACCCCCGCCAAGAAGTGAGTCACGCCCGGTGACAGTCGTTCCATAAAGGTCATAATTCTAATCATACTGTTAGGATCTCCGCTGTCTCTACCTACTTCGAGACTTTCCCCTACCGTGTCAACCTGGAGACCGGTATCATCGACTATGACACCCTCGAGGCCAACGCCGAGATGTACCGCCCTAAGATCCTGGTCGCCGGTACCTCCGCCTACTGCCGTCTGATTGATTACAAGCGCATGCGCCAGATCGCTGACAAGGTCGGTGCCTACCTGGTTGTCGACATGGCTCACATCTCGGGTCTCATTGCCGCTGGTGTTATCCCCTCGCCCTTCGAGTACGCCGATGTTGTGACCACCACCACCCACAAGTCTCTCCGTGGCCCCCGTGGTGCCATGATCTTCTTCCGCAAGGGCGTCCGCAGCACCGACAAGACCGGAAAGGAGATTCTGTACGACCTTGAGAATCCCATCAACTTCTCTGTCTTCCCCGGCCACCAGGGTGGCCCCCACAACCACACCATCACCGCCCTGGCTGTTGCCCTTAAGCAGGCTGCTACTCCCGAGTTCAAGCAGTACCAGGAGCTGGTCATCAAGAACGCCAAGGCTCTTGAGAACGAGTTCAAGGCCCTTGGCTACAAGCTCGTTTCTGACGGCACTGACAGCCACATGGTTCTTGTGGACCTGCGCCCCAAGAGCCTGGACGGTGCCCGTGTCGAGGCTGTTCTGGAGCAGATCAACATTGCTTGCAACAAGAACTCTATCCCCGGTGACAAGTCTGCCTTGACCCCTTGCGGTATCCGTATTGGTGCCCCCGCTATGACCTCCCGTGGCATGGGTGAGGATGACTTCAAGCGCATCGCTGGCTATATTGACCAGTCCATCAACCTGTGCAAGAAGGTCCAGAGCGAGCTGCCCAAGGAGGCTAACAAGCTCAAGGACTTCAAGGCCAAGGTTGCCTCCGAGAGCGTCCCTGAAATCCTGGCTCTCCGCAAGGAGATTTCTGGTTGGGCCAGCACTTTCCCCCTGCCCGTTTAAGTTAGTCGTTTGACTACGCGGAAGGGAGTGGTAAAAGTCCGGATATGAAAGTTACAAAGAGAGATCCCTAATCAACTTGGGATCTCGCGAGTTCAACATCATCTACGAAGGGTCGGGAGATGTGAATACCGCACGGTGCGTTACATGGGGTTTTTATATACAGGTCTGCTTTTTCAACCTTAGGGACATCTGGGATTCGGTAATATCCGTTTGTGTTTTTTTTTATTACGAGCATGCGAAACGAGCAACTTTTTCAACCTCTCCGCTTCTTCAACAGCGGGAGGGCATGGTTTTCAAGAGAGACAAAAAGTTCAACATGAATTTGGCGTGTAGGCCTTTGATTTTGCTGTGTACCATTGTACATCACCATCAATCAATCAATCAATCAATCAATAGTCTTATTCCCGATCGAGCTTCTTTAGTATACAGGTGCTATGTGGGGATCTGCGTCTTCCGGTGACCAGCCCAGTTCCCTGAAAACAGGATCTAGAAATGCGCACTATTCTTCAGCTTATTCACGCGCTAAGAACATTGAGGCTGCAGATTATTCCAAATATCCTTCCTATCGAAGCCACCCGTCTAACCATTGTGTCAACGATATAGCAAATAGGCACGTATTGTCTTTATCTCCGAGTCTCGCATCGACCTTGAAAGTCCACATACCGCTCTTCAAAAACATTGTAGGAATATGGAAATCTAGTAATATATCGCTGCGGCCGCTACTAGGTATGTAGTCAACCTGAGTTCCACGGGCATCGCGAATAATGAGGTGGGCTAAATCGTTGAATGGCGTAGTCTTAAACGGCATTATAACGGACTCTGCGTCCTCGTAGCTACCATTGGGGTAGACTGCAGAGCTACTCACAGAGAGGGTCGCATCGACGAGGCCCTCATCAAGAAGTGCTAGCTCCTTCTTTTTAGATTCAGGGAGATAGCCGTGTAGGTAGACGAAGAAGACACGGTCGCTTCAGGATGTCAAAATGTCATCATTAAGCTGCATATCAAGGAAGGGATCTTACGCGACGATAGGCGTCGGGGCAATCTCGAGGAACTCGACGTACAATAGCTGGTCTTCTTTTGGCACGGTGTCGTATATAGCATCGTTGTGCCCGGGGACCTTGTCTTGTTTGACCATAACTTCCACGCCGAGGAGAGATTGTTGCTGCGCAGGGTTGGTGTTTCTAAGAACGGCTAGTGTGGCGGCGCAAAGAGACTAGAAGTGCGGGAAAGTCGATTTATCATCTGGCGGCATCAAACCATAGCGCCTAGACTTATATTAAATTTGAACTAGGTCTCGAGATCCTAGCACCTCTGGTTGTCTAGATATCGCAATAAATCCATTTCGCCAAGAGATAGTTGTTTTGTACACCATCAACCTACTCTTGTAATCGAAAAACAACCATGCACGGTTGGACTCACTATCTTTTCCCTCCACTGTACCCATAAGGTACTTTTTTCTTCTCTTTCCCCTCGCAAGTATCGTTCTTTCCCAAGGTACGTGTAGGATACCTGATCGGTAGTTCTGTGGATCGGCCGATAGTAAGGTCCCCATCACGTGTGCCTTATCGAGGGCCCCCCTCCTCAACGTCTCCGTCTTCTCTCCGTTTGGCTTCTCTGCAGCGTTCGTTTCCCTGGCTTCCTTTGATTCCCTCTGTGCTGCTGTTCTCTGCTCCTCCATCCAGATCACCTCGGTTCTGCCTCGAGTCTGTTCCAAAATCCGGGCAGCTTCCAGCCACCCAGCCCCACCTTCACGATAAGCCGTTTCTATCTTATCGTTGCGCCGGGCCCTTGTGGAGGTCATCGTCACCAGACTCGTGGACGTTCCAGGGATCTGAATAGGTGCAGCAGTGCAGACATCCTCTCGACTCCCCCAGTCTTGCGGGGAACACACTCGCCACGGGCTAAGGTCGTACAGACATGGCAAATACCGCCCAGTGCTACTATTGTTTCGAAAGTCTTTCCGCCTCGTTTGAGGACCGCGAGCCCCCATCTCTGGCTGCCGTAGAAGTCCTCTGGGAACAGTACGAGCAATCTAAGAAGCTCTCGAGCCTCCGAGGTCACAACGTGGACGGCTCGGCCTTCGACAGAGAGGATGACGATGAAGTTGATGTTGAGCCAGTCTCATTCCAGTCTGTAAATGAGCATGAGGCCGACCGTGACACCAAACAGTCGCCCCAGACAAGTAGTCGGCCTCAGGGTCTGAAACTACCTAACGTGAGCCGGCTGCAAAGTCAGGTATCGTCGGATTCGTCCAGTGCAGCTACAACGCCCTCTGCTACATCCAACACTTCATCGAACTCGCTTTTGTCCAGTTCTACCGCAATGACAACTCCGAGCACCCAGTCAGAAGGAGTGGGCTCAAGAATCACATCCACCAAGCAGCGGTATCCGCTCTTCGTGACTTGGAACACAGTTTCTCGCAATGGGCACAAGACTTTGCGCGGGTGCATAGGCACATTCGAGGCACAAGACCTCGCAGCGGGGCTAAAGTCTTACGCTTTGACCTCGTACGTGGTCCTCTCCTCTTCCCTTCTGCGATGGCACCCCGCCAACCCGCGATAGCTTTTCAATCACGAGTGAAGACTAATCCATGTTTTGGGGTGTAGGGCTTTTGACGACACCCGCTTTTCTCCAATCCCCCAGTCTCTCCTCCCTTCCCTCTCATGCTCCTTGACTCTTCTAGGATCATTTGAACCGTGCACTAACGCCATGGACTGGGTTCTCGGCACTCACGGCCTGCGCATTTCCTTCATCCACCGCGGCCGCCGGTACGGTGCCACGTACCTGCCCGATGTCGCCGTGGAGCAAGGATGGGACAAAGAGGAGACTGTGGAGAGCCTGATGCGCAAGGCAGGCTGGGACGGCGGCGCGGGCAGCGTCGCTCGGCGACTGCTGCGGACAGGCGGAAACTCAGGCGCCTCAAAGCCCTGGGATCAGGTCTCTGATTTCCGCACGGTTCGGTACCAGGGTCTCAAGGCGAGCGCAAGCTATGAGGAGTGGCAGGAGTGGCGGAACTGGGTGCTCTCGCTCGATGATGGGCCGGAGATCCTGGGCTCAGCCTGAGGCCTAGACCTGCAAGTTTTTGCTACCTACATCTCTGTGTTCCCAGAAACGCGGACTTATGACTGTAATGAACCTCGTTGTTTTTGTCCTTACTAGGTTGGGATTAATAGGGGGCTATCCTCGGGAAATACATTAATGGTGCCTTATAACGGGCTGGTCTCTGTTAGACTTATACAGCAAATTATACATCGAGAATCAAGACTTCCGCCGGGAGTCCTCACTTAAGAATTGACTCATCAGTCATTGCATTGGGGTGATAATATGTCAAAAGCCCTCGATAAACAATGCTGTAAACAATTGTGAAGAGGATGGATGGACTGTCCAAAGCAGGCTAACATATAGAAAAGAAGACGCTCACGCAAAATGTCGCCTCTCTCTCTCTTTCTCTCTCTTTCTCTCTCATTTCCCATGACCACGGCTCCATAACCCAGCCACCATGTCCTTCACCCTCCGCTCCTGCTCCCGGATCTGCTCCTCAGTCTGCCCACGGGCATTTCCCCGGCTATCAATCTGCATGGGGCTACCACCCCTATTGCTCGGATTCGGCGTACCGTGACGACTTTCGTCAACAACCTCATTGCCATTCACCCGCTCTGGCTTGGGATCAATACTCATTACCCCATCCATCATGAACCCGCCACCCTCGCGCAGCTTGTTAATAGCGCGCACGGTATCGATCGCGCGGTGCAGGGTGCGCCGCGCGTTGAAGTTTTTCTTGACCGTCGGAAGCAGGTCCTCCCCTGAGCCCATCTTGGCCGGGTCATAGGGCGGGTTGACCCAGATGTGCTGCAGGGCCTCATGGGCGATCATCCGCTTTTGTGGGTCGATTGTCAGACACCGGTTGATGAAGTTGCGGGCTTCATGGGAAACACCGCGCCAATACTCAAGAGGCGTGAAGGAGTAGTCCGCGGCCAGAATGGCCTGCATTTCCTCCAGGTTGGAGTCCCGGTCGAAGGGGGTATAGCCGCACAGGAGGAAGTAGGTGATCACGCCGATAGCCCAGATATCGCTAGCGACTTTGGTTAGTTTGAGAGACAAGCGCGTGGAAAACAGGGCCTGAAATTTACACTGGCTTGCCGTGGCCGCTCTTCTTGAAGATCTCCGGGGCCATGTAGCCCGGTGTACCGCATGTGGTCGTCAACACGTGGAACTGCTCCTCGTCCATGATCCGGGATAACCCAAAGTCGGCAATCAAAAGGTCCGCGTTATCCTCCGGGGTGCGGAACAGCAAGTTCTCGGGCTTCAAGTCGCGGTGCACAATGCCGTGATCATGGAGATAGGCCACGGCCGAGAGGACAGCGCGGATGAGGTCTGCCGCATCGGACTCGTAATAACTGCCCTTACGGCAGATCCGGTCGAACAGCTCTCCGCCAAGAGCAAGGTCCGTAACCAGATACACTAAATTCCATCGTGTCAGTAGGGCTGGTGGGATACAACCAGGATCGCTCTCCAGGCCTTGTGCCACGCACAGTTATTCATGGTCTCGAAGTAGTCCACCAGCGTGAGGATATTCTGGTGGCCCATGGACACTCGCTTCAGTACAGCGATCTCGTTTCGAACCTATCCAGTTCCCCGCAAGGGACCGTCAGCCTTGTGCGCTGTGCCACTGAAGAAATGGAGGTCGTCCCACCATGTGTTCGCGCCCCGCCATCAGGCGCTTGTTGATCACCTTCGCCGCATAGTATCGACCGGTGTCGATGTGTACGCACTCCTTGACGACCGAGTAAGAGCCCGCCCCGAGTGTTTTGCCCGTCTTGTAGCGGCACGGCTGGACCTGAGGTCTCTGGGGTTGCGCCATTGGAATGCGAGGTGGGAGGGTCTGTGGTGCGCGATCCGGACGGGGAGTGGAGGGGCGCGGACGGGACAACAAAGGGCGGTCCGATAGCAGTTGCGATCACGATGAGGGATAAATACGAGGCGAGGCGGTAGAGACGGCGGGGGAGTTAGTAGTATGGATCTGCGGAGTCGTGGAGAGTCAGCCTCATGTCGCGCGAGGTGCCACGGTTGGTGCGGCGGGTCAAGCCCCGCTAAGGCTATTTTGCAAGGATAATCAACCGACAAGCCCAATGGTCCGGTTGTACACTCCCCGTCCTGCGGTCGGAGATCTTGGGTGCCGAATGCTCGAATGGGGATTTTTTTGAGTCGAGGAAAAGGCTACTGGAAGAGGGAGGAGGAGGAGCAGGGAGGATTGGAAAACGGATCAGATTAATGGCTCGCGGGGATCGACGATCACCAACGGCTCGAGTATTTATTTACAAGTTAGCCCAGCACGCCCAGCACCGCTGGCCATGCAAACCCCTCGGAACTCCCAGCACGCCTCGAACATGAAACACATAACCAAGCATATACAGTAGGGAAAAACAGACATGAAAAAATAGGTCACACAACAACTCAACCCCCGCTACCCCTACAGTTGGGCCAGGACGCCCTCCACCACAGTCTCCAGCAGTTGCAGACTGTGGAACTTGGCGACACTCTGGAACACGCGCAATTTCTTCTCGGTCTCCTTCAGATCGACCGTCGAAGTCCATTTGCCGCTGCAGGAGCAGTGCTCCATGAATTCACTCACTTTGAGGGTGCTGCACTTGGAGCACTTGAGGTCCTGCGTCTGCCATTCGACCACAAGTCCATGCACCTGGCCAATGAGGATTTCTTCCTGTGCCAGTCGATCATATTCCGTCTGGCAGAAAGGGCAGCGCCAGGGTTTGGGACCCTTGCTGTTGTCCGTGCCCGGTTCGGGCAGGACGTCTTCATCGCGGCACAGGTCTAGGTCGCGGATGAGACAGCAGGCGTTGCAGGTAAGCTCCGGCAGTTTCAGACTCGCGCTAGGGTTTTCAAAGCGACCCTCTTTGCTGAATTCACGGACCTCGAAGAGGGCCAGGAGCTCGCGGCGCAGCAGTCGAGATTCGAGTGTTGTGGTCTTGGAGAGACTCAGAACTTGCATGAGAAGCTTGACGAGCTCCAGGGCTGGATTACGCTTGTCTCCCTTAGGGTCCACCAGAACACCGGGAAGAACGGGGAAGGCATAGTCGGAGGCCAGCTCAGGGTGGAGCAGTTCATCGCGCTGGCGGCGAATGAGTCCTGAGATTTGTTTCTTCAGAGGCTTCGAGAATCGCTCAGCAAGAATAGCAGTCAGGCCTTCGTCGTCGACATCGTTGGGCTTTCCAATCGGAATCTGGGTCAGACGAGGCGTGGATGAAATTTCATTCTCCTGGAGATCGGGGTGCTTTGCGGAGTGCATTAGCTCGATGTACTCGACAACCCAATCATGGAAGATGGTCTGCATGGGTGTCGGCAAGAATCGACTAAGTTGCCAATGCATCACTGTCTCCAGCTCTTGCTTCTCGGCCTCCACGACCTCCCGGCAGCCTCTGCCGCCGTAATTGTACTCGTCATACCAGACGAGATAGTCCCAATACTCTTTGATCTCGAGATCGATGAAATGGAAAGAGGGATTCCCTCGGATCGACTTCAGAACGTATTGGCTGTAGGCGTAGGCATTGCCCACCTCGGTCTTGGTTGTCTGAAGTAAGAGACGGGTTGGACTGGCGAAGATAACATTGGAGCCGACTCGTCGGAACTCAGCCATCAATCGCTGGAACGACTTGCGTGAGAGCAATCGAACATAGTTGTGCAGGGATCGGTCGTAGAGGCAGGATACCGGGCTCTCCACCCACCGAATCAAGTGCTGGACCATGATATCGGCCATGCTATTGCCCGCGCAAGCCTCCGTCCACCAGTTCTTCACCATTTCGCGCAGTACCACGGCACCCGCAGATGCAAACGCCTTCTCGGAGTACAGAACGCCTGTGTCATCCGCTCCATTGCCAGAGGGTGCTAACAGTGCATCGTTCCCTTCCATCTCATTGACAATCGAAGAAGTGAGAATGGTGTTAATAGCTAGATTGCGAATATCTAACTCGATGCACACTGTTGAATATGCATTTGGCGTATTGACTGACGGCATATTGACCTTCTCCAGTGGGCCAACGATGTCATCCTTTTCATATCCAGCATGGTCTGGCCGGGGTCCGTTAGACCACCAGAGGACAACATTACTCTGCTGGAGACGCCGAGCATACGCGACGTCGATGAGATACCTCGGATCATCGGTCTCCAAGTTGCAAAGCGGAACATCTCCGTACCGAGCAAGCAGAGTCAAGTGCTGGACCCATGCGGCCAAGTACAGGTAGTGTGTCACAAGGCGCCTAGCAATGAACGCTTGCCAACCAAGGGGTGGGAGATCCATATCCGAAGCTTCGGGCTTCACAGCCAGGGTTGGGTACTCTTTCAGAATAGGAATGTCGTGACACAGTCGATCCTTCTGTTGAGACTGGATGACCAAAACAGCGGGTTGGGTCTCATCACTACGGAGTTTTCGAACCAAATCGCCAACTTCCAGGTGAGCTTTTCGACGAGTCATCACCTGGGTAGTCTTGAAATGGATCTTATCTTGGTATTCGAAAGCATTTTGCGATGCGTCACTTGCAGTATCCTGCAGTTTCCGAGAAAGTAACTCCGCATAGATCTTGTCGACATTCGGCAAACCCTGAACATCTCTCGTGCGGTTGAGGATGACAATATGCGCCTCTTTTTGGGTTGTCGAGAAGAGGGCAAAGACCTGTCTCTCTCCAGACGCGACATGGTACAGGTAATGGTACGCCAGGGGAGAGTCCATCAAATAGGGCTGGTCTGAAGTAGTATGGAGAAGCGTGGACAGATCGAATCCTTTCTCCAAACCGTCGCCGAGAACACCGCGCTGCTCTTCATCAAAGGTACAGTGACTTCCCAACTTCAGGACTGCTCGGATACTGGGGGTAATGTCCCGCTCGTAGACGCCTTCGATACTAGAGTGCTGGAACAGAGCATCCATCTTATCTGCTTCCTCGAGGAACTTGTCCTCTGACAAGGACAGCTTGAAAAGGTGAACCGATGGGTGTCCATTGGGCAGGGTGTGGTGCACCTTTTCGACTTCACAATCCGGCACTTCAATGTCGGGCAAGGAATCACGCTTCAAGTTCACAAAGAATTGCCGCGGGACCTTGACATTGAAAGCGTGTATCTTTTGGTCAATGAGCACAAATGCTCGCACAATGCCAGCGCGCCCTGTCTCGCGTAGTTGGAGGACCTGCCAAGTACTGATATACAGCATCTGGGCTTGGTTGCGGAAGAAATTGCTCAAAGGATCAGATGCAACATTAGTTCGCTCGCCAAACAGTTGGCGACGACGAACACGAGCTTGCTTCTGGATCTTCCACTTCTGTTTCTGGTATTTGAGGAAACCTTCGTAGTCGTCTGTAATGGACGGCATGGCAGCTGGAAGAGTGGCAAAGGGATCAAGAGATGATTTGGTGACTCCCTCAGGATGCTTTCGTTTCTGAGCTACCTTCCCATCGGGAGAAGACTTGAGCTTTTGCGTTGAATGCGCAATGACTTCGTCCATATCGCCAGAATGTTGAACACGATGATCCAGAATGTTGGCAGATATCGTAGAGAGTGGGGCTTTCTCCGACTTTTCGAACAGGTCAGTCATTTTTTTCTGCTTGAACTTGTCATCCTTTTGATTTATTCGCCGCTGTAACCAATCCGGATGAGCGACACGAGGCACCGGGTTTCGCAGCTTTTGAAGCGCAGCCGGAATGGTGATGAGCTTCTGAACCACAGACCCCAGACGCTCTAGGTAGTAGCTCCAGTCAATGACCGTCCGGGGGTCCATGTCCCCTGGGTCATCCTTGAGCCATTTGCGCAGGAAGAAGCGCTTGACATTCTCCTCCGCGGAAAAGATAGTGACTGGAATGGCTCTCTCTGTGACGGGGGTATTTCTTGGCCTCGAGGAGATAATGTACTTGCAGTTCAAGCCCTTGTCCTTGACCATTTGCTCTCCCAGAAATTCTGCTAGGCGCTTGGCTGTAGTGATGGACGTAGACTTTTGGTTTCCATACTCTTCCAGGGTCTTTGACATGCTGCGATTCTCCGAAATAAGGTCGATCAGTTCTTCATCGGCTAACGTGGCTCCACGTTCATAGAGCACATCCAGCCATCGGTCGGCAACCCGAGCCACTGCGGCATAGGTTTCGGCAAGGTTGGTGCCTTCCAGGAAAAATTTGAAAATTTGAGTCTGGAAGATCTTGATCAACTTCAGCTCTCCTCTTCGCTTGACCTCGAACCCCTTGAGCTCAGCCAACGACCCATCGTGGTTAAAGACGGCATATCGCTTCTTCAGGTTCTTGTCTTCCTCCTTTGATGTTGGCAAAATCATTGCTCGGTAAGGTCCATCGACTTCGAAGAAAATGGAGTTCTCGCTGTAAGTCTCGTACTTGTAAGTGGATGGCTCGACCAGTGCCTGATACTGGTGATTCGTGTATCTGGCATGGACAAGGTGGTTGAGCATGACACAAGGGTACGAAATACCCAACTTCTTCCCGTTCTTCAAAGTGAAGGAAAAGTTCTCGGGGAAAGAGCCCGGCAGCATGCACCAAATACCATCGGTGTCCAGTTCCAGCGGCCGGCCAAGGCGTTCGACAAGCTCTCGCGCCATTTGAATGATGTGGGCACCAGTCAGACAAGTGACACCAGCCATTTCCATGGAATACCATCGGGAACCCTTTCGCATGACATAACCGTAGAAACTGTTCAGAATGACCTTGTGCGCAAGCTGCAGCGAATCATAAAGGATAATCATCTTCTTTGCCTCGTCAATCTCAGCTGCAGAAGCTCCGGATGATTGCAGCGAATCGGTCTTGTTTTTCCAGACCTTCTGCTTGCCCTTGAAGTCGTAGCGTCGATCACGGAAGCTTCGTACTGTATCGACATAAAACGGGTTCTCTCTTTGACAAATGATTGCCTCTCGTACCACGGTCTTGCTGTCATGGATCTTGTGGTAAATCTTTTTGCTATAATCTTGCAGGCGCTTCTTCACAACTCCAGCCTGCTCTTCGATGCTGAGATCACCAAATGAACGCAGCAAACCATTTTTTGTTCGGCTTGGGAACCGTTCATTTCCAGTGGCTCGCCGAATCATGTTATACTCATCGCGCTTTGCAGGCAAGAACTCGCCACGCCAAGCCCACGGCATACGTCTGTCACAAGTCTTTCCGGGCCGGTTAAAATCGCAAGCGGCACAGTCAGATTCATCAATCATGGAATCGGGTTGTAGACGATTGGTGATCATGATGTTGGGATACATAGAAGCAACATCCAAGTGATAGATCAAAGGAACCTCGTTTCGGCTCGGATTGTTCTTCAGCTCAAGCAGCTTCTCTGCGATCTGACCCTTAACTTCATCGAAGTTCGCAATGTCGTCCATAGATTTCTTCTCTTCAACTTCAATGCTGAACTTGAGAGCATGGTCTAGGTCCCGGAGCAGCTCGTCGATCGCAGCAGGGTCAACATTAAATCCGGTGGGGATATCGCTGCGGAAGACACCAGCTTCGATACTTTCGACATGACCGCCAACATAGGTTTCAGACTCGAGCAAATGACCTTCGTAGAAGGCCTCCGGGGGTCCTTGTGCTTGTTGGGCAAAACAATCTCGTGCTTATAGGCCTCGACCATGAGCAGCATCTCGCATAGCGTTCCAGTTCCCTTGCGCAGCGTATCATCAGCGCTAAGCGGAATAATGGTGCACAAAGAGAAAATGAAAGGATGCACATATTTCATGTACAAGTAATATGTCGCGACAGCATCGGAAACGGAGTATTCGGCCAGCGTCTGGGGTCGTTCGCTCGCATAAGGCGTCATCAGTTCAGGGTCAAGCTCATCGGGATCATAGCCAAGCTTGGCGACTGTCACAGCTTTCAGACCACGACTTCCTTGGGGAAGGTAACTGTCACGATTGACCCATGCAAAGCAGTCCATGTGAACACAATTATCGCTTTGGTAGATGTCCTCGCTGTTCTTCCTGAAGCCAATCTCCATGTACATGTCAATTCCCTGAATGCTTGCCCTCGTTTCTACGAACGGCCAATCGAAAAAGTCACCGTTGTATGTAGCGATAACTGTCGGCTTGGCGATCTTGATGTGTTCGAAAAAGCGCTCCAGGACTGCTCTCTCATTTGGTTCATTGAAAATCACGAAAGGTCCATTGTACTCCGGCTTTGGGGTGTACTCGAAATCGTTGATATCCTCGGAGACAATTTCTCGGTTGGTGATAAGGAAGCCTTGACCATCGATCATGTACGAAATCATCATAATCTGATCAATCACCGCATCGGGGAATTTGAGGGGTAGTTTCGTTGTCTCGATATCAAAGGCCAGGACAACGGGATCGGCACGCTGGAGTCGTTCTTCAAGGCAAGTCAAAGTTATCGCGCCATGCTTCGCCTCCACATTGTACCACTTCCCAATCCGAATATCTATAGGGCCGGGGTCAGCTGGGTTTGCGCACAGCGCAAGGCAGGATCACACACCCTTGTCAATCGAGACTCGGACATGGTACGGAACGTCGTATTCTCGAATATCAACAATAAAATCACTCGCTTGCATGTTGCCATTAGGTCGTTGCTCATTAATTAGTTCGTCGTCAAAAAGGTCAAAGCCAGTTGTGGCACTTTGGGAGTAGTTCAGTCAGCGCAATCGCAAGTCAACACCGAGATACAGGACAAGACAGACCTGGTCATCTCGACGTATGCATCCATCACATTTGCATTTTTCCTGTTCTTCTCTGCCAGAGGAAGAAGGGTCTGGCGGACCTCAAGCAGATTGGGCACATTGGCAAAGTTTAATTTGATGAAGGTCCTCCGGTGTCCAAGCAGGTGGTTTGGGAGACTCAGGTCTTCCTTGTCTAGCCGCTTGAAACTCTTGATCAACCCTTCAAAAGCTCTCCGGCACCACTCCTCCACTTCCATCTCATGGCCCTTCTTGACCGCAATGAGGAAGTAGGGATCGTATTCCACCGTCGCCTTGAAACTGCCTCCGTCGTCCTGGAGAAAATAATAGTCGACACCAGCACGGCCTCCAGGTACATTTGAATCTTCTAGCGTGGTACTGTGCATGTTGATCAGCCAGCCGGCCCTGGTCTCGCCGGACTCGAAGCGCGGAAAGCCAAGGGTCTCATCGATCGTGTTGGCCAGCCGAATGGCCTCGAATTTCTCATCTTGGGAAGTTGCTTCGGTGGAGCGCAGGGATCCGAATTCGACTGTCTTTGTTCGTCGAGGGTTTGAGGACGCCGCATTGGAGCGGAATTTGTTCCCAAACTTGCTGGGTTTTCGCGAAGGCATTGCGACACTGGCGCCCAGTCGGGCTTTTCAGATTAGTCTTGGTGACAGGGCGGGGGAAGTATTCAGAACATGAATTCGTGCGATGATAGATTTCACAAAGGCAGTGAAGAAAACGAGGGACGACGTAGATGAGGTGAGATGCTCGGGACCAATGCCTGTCGGAGGGTCCAGCAAATGACCTGCAATCGGCTCTAATCCAGTCGATCTCAATCGCTTCTCGACGCGTCCGCGTGCCTGCCCGGGCACGCGTAGGGTTAGTCAGCCCGCATTCGGAATAACTATCTACATCAGGATATGCCGGAACATCTCATCGCCCGCCACTATCGCGGGTATCAACATTTTGGCCGCTAAGTTGCTGATCGATTAAAGAGAGCCGCTCGGCTTTACGATCATGGCAGAGAATCCTCGAGAATCCGGCTCCTCGCAGGAGCCTGGCAGCCACCTCCCGGTCAGCATCCCAAATACCGACCCAAAGAAGCCGAAGCATGACTTCCCTCAATCACAAGTCGGGAAGTTATGGGATGCCTTTGGCAACCCCGAAGAACCTGTGAACGCGCTCGCCAATGCGTCCTACAAGCCCCGGGGCAAGGACCCGAAAGATGTCTCATACTCTGACGTTGTCGGCTCAGTATCCCTGTCCGAAATCTCATCATTCTACAAGGCGCCATGCGCACGAGAATCGCTACTGACCGGAATTGGCGCTGGATTTGGTATTGGTGGTGTACGCGCTGTATTTGGAGGTATGTCCGCATGTTCCAGCATTATGAAATCTGTTCAGCAGCTGAACTGTATACCTAGGGATGCGCTCATTATGGTCCGCCGGCAACTGGGCAGTCGGAATATTCGCAGTCACCTCTCTGGGGGCGTACGAATTCTGTCGACGACGCCGGATTCAAGAATTGCATGGAATGAAGGAAGCTGTTGAGCTCATGAAGGAATTGAAGGAAAAGAAGCAACGGGACAAGGAGAAGGCTGCTGAGGAGGCAGCCAGGCGGGCAGAGGAAGAGACGCGGAAAAAGAGTTGGACAAACCTCTCCAACTACAAATTCTGGTAGTGTTGCTCTCTCGTAAGTCGGAGTCACGGTGTTTGTACGATATATAATCCAAGCTGTATATTCCAATTCTATGTTAGGGTGGCTGGCATCATGTCATCAATCATATCTGTATATCATAGCACGCAAATGTTCTTATGATCATTCAAGTAAATCCCCCGATCTTGCTCCATTACGCCCAATTGCTCCCAGAAAATGCCAGATAAATACTAACTAGTTGGAGAAAGCAGTCGTTCATTGTCTGTCTTGAACATCGAACTTGACTCGTTTCTGAATGGCGCCTTTGTGTATGCTGTGAAGTCGGTCCAGGCTAGAGCCTTCATTCCTTCTTTCTCGTCGCTTCTCTCGTGCCTCTCGTGCTTCGCGGGACTTCCATTCGGCGACCTGGCGCTGTCGTTTCTGGGAACGTGCCCAAGCAATGGCTGCGGTTGGCTTGAAACCGACGCCGTTGATTCCGTAGCCATCGTCGGTTGGATCAGTCGGGTTGTGTCCCGTGATTTCATGATCATGCCATGTGAACGGATTATCTAGCAGCACAGCTGTAGGCGGAGGGGATAATCGCTGCTTGCGACCCTTAGAAGGTGATGCGATGTCGCTTTTCTTGCGTGGAGATGGAGTTGACCTCCTTTTTGAGGGCGTGGAAGCGGGCGTGACCAATGCATTGTCCGGTGTAGGTGTAGGTGTACGTTGTGGTGCCGACTCAAACGCCACATGGTGGCCTTGGACGTCATGCTGGTCGCTGCTATAATCTGACAATGGCTCAGGCATATGGTTGGGGCTCCGGTCGTGACTGTCGGAGGCACATGTTGCCTGCTCTGCCTGTAGGGTAGGAGGTTGCTGGAAGTCGCGATTTGAGGCTCTTGGGTCCGGGAAACGGTCTCCACGAATTGCCAATTCTCTAAACCGTCCCGCCACCGCTGCTCGAGGGCTATGTCTCCCGGGCTCCGCCTCCTCGCGAATGCGGGCCTCCTGCAGACTGGCGATAGAGACTGTTGATGTCGGTGATGCAGATGGGCTGTAGTAGTCTGATTCGGAGGGCTCTCGTTTGCGCTTAGGCGATAAATATTTGGGGGGATCCGTCAGCGTCATCGCGGGTTCAAGGGCGAAAGAACTTGTCGGGGCGCCAAAGCCGATCAGCCCTAGAGATCGCATTTAGAAATATCGTGGAGGGCCGGCCCCGTTCACCATTCAGCAAGGACCGGGGGCATTCATAGGAGCCCCGTCGGCAGATGCGGAGATCAGAGTGAGGGGCAGGTCACTGGACGTCCGGGTGGGAGTTGAGTTTCGCGGGGCCATTTAGCGACTTCATACTGGACGTCTAACCCCCCTCCCCCCAATACACTTTCCACGGCCATGCAGAAGCACCTGCGTGCATTTAGTTTATCTTTTGATTTCTTGTTTTTTTTAGATTATCTGCATCTACTACCTACCCCTCTCTTTCGGATTAGCTCCAGTGAATATGACTTGGCGGTGTGCGATTGTTCATTCTTGTTTTTCCGTTAGCTCGATCTCATTATTGAGTTCTAACCAAGCTAGACCGTGCATTTTCAGTTCGTACAGGACTAGAATTATCGATTTAGGCTCAGGTTGAGCAAAATCGAGAAATTGACAGATCCCCCGCGAATACGAGATAATCTCAAAATAGTGCAGAACTGCGGATTCCACGTAACGCTTTACATGTCAAGCTTGGTTGGCTACGAGTGCAACGCTCTGCTCTTCTCTGGTTGGTTTGGCTCCCTAATTACAAAATCGATTTGAAAGAACGATATCTTTCCAGCTAGGTATATTTGGACGACCCACGGTCACAGTATGCGCCGAGACTCCGCCGTTAGAGACCAACCATCTATCTTGATCACAGAGTTCAATGGCATGGATGGATACTGACGAAGAGCTCATCTCCATAACTATGTCTTGAATCACCAATTTCGTAGGCCACAGGGCCTCGGTGAGCCCAGCAAGCCTTTATAACCAGCAATGGAACGACTCCGGGATTCACTAGAATTTAAATCGAGACCGACCGGAAGTACTACCTAACGCAAGGCTTCGGCTACGAACACCCAAGCCAGGGGATATATACCATCTATTGGCAGGGGGTTGCACGAAAAGCACAGTAATACGGGATAGAGCAAAAATTTATTGCCACCAAAGGGCCTAAATCAAATAATTTACAAATCCCCGAGCCCATCGAGTCGTGAATAAGATTGAGAAACATGAAAAGAAAAGATGAACCCAACGCCATGACGAAGACTCCCAGTACCATAAATAAGGGCTTTTACGCCTTTTGCTTCTTCTTCGAAGGCTCAGCATCGGTGTCGTGCTTGCGCTTCTTCTTCTTCTCGGACTCGCCCTCACCGACGTCAGACTTGCGCTTCTTCTTCTTGTCGCTCTTGTCGCTCTTCTCCTTCTTCTCCTTCTTCTCTTTCTTGTCCTTCTTCTCCTTCTTGGTCTCGGCGGCATCAGCATCCTCCATCTCGGCGTCGCTCTCATCAACGTTGACGTCAATACTAGCCAGCACGGCGTCCATGGCGGATTTCTGAAAATACTGTGTTAGCAATGGTCTATCGTAGTTTGGTAGTGTCCATAAATTTCAACGTACCATGGCGACCTCGTTCTTAGTGGGGGCAGCGCCGGTGGAGTAGAACTCCAGGCGCTCCTCAACCTGCTGCTTCAGAGCCTCACCAAACTTGGTGGTGGGGGTCTCAGAGAAGTTATCGATACGAGAAGCGATGGAGCACTTGTTGGCCAGGAAGCGGGAGATGCGGCCCTTGTTCTTGGGACCAGCACGGCCAATGAAGGAAGAATGGTAGAGAAGACCATACTTAGGGGTGTTGCCCTTAGTCTTCAAGGCACGGAACAGAGCCTTCTCAGCACCGAGAATCTGGACAGTGGAGGCGGGGTACTTGGACAGGTTGGTCAAGCTGCCAGCGTGGGAGATCAGGCGAGCGCCAACGACCTCACCGATCAGCGCGGCAAGGTTGGGAGCAACGACACTCATCTTGGCCACCAGGTACTGGTAAAGGGACTTGCGGTACTTGGCGAGGCTAACAACGCGCTCGGCGAAAGCAATGACGTTCTCCATGTCGGCTTCAGAGATCTCCTGGCCCATACTGTGCTTGGAGGCATCAATGATGCTCTGGGCAACACCCTTGTCGTCCTCCACAAGGGCAGCCAGGTCGTGCAGGCTGTCGTCGTTCAGGCTCTTCTTGTCCTTCACAAAGAGGGCAATCTGGGCATAGCGCTGGTTGTCGGAGGCAATCTTGACCAGCTCGGGGAAGTGCCACGAGTACCATTCGCGAACACGCATGGAGAAGGTATTAATGGCCTTGTCAAGCTGGTCCAGGATAGCAATGGCCTGGATGATGTGGTTGTCGTCACGCTGGACAGAGAACTTGACCTTGGCACGGGAGTAAGCATGACCAAGACCCAGCTGAGCGGTGTCCAGGTCACCCTCGCGAAGCTGGCTCAGCAGCTTGGTGAAGTGCAGGCGGATACCACGAAGGAGATCCTGAACGACCTCACTAGTGTCGCCAGTCTCGCAATCCACGAAGGAGAAAGCGGACTTGATGCTGCCGGCGAGACCCTTGTCGCAAAGACCGAGGACAACCTTCTTCTTTTTACTGGGCTTGGGGAGGTTCAGATCAAGGAATGAAACAAGAGCCTCAGATGCGACACCTTCCGAAACGTCGTTGATCTCACCGAGAGCCTGCTTGTTGTTTCTGAGGAGAATTAGCGAGGACTCCTATGACAAGAGAAAAAAATCACTCCTGGGCGCGTAAGACATACTCGAAGGGCAGGAAACTGGCAAGGTCAATCATTTTGCCAAACTTAGCAAGGTCGTTAACACCGGCCTGGACTTCTTTCAGGCGGTTGCCCACAGCGTCACCCTGGAGGGACACCTTGAAAAGCGAGTAGCCCATAGGGCTCTCGAAGAGGAGATAATCGGCCATGGCGCTGATCTGGGGACCAAATCAAGTCGCAGAAATGGCCAAAAGATAATTGTAACAGCGGGAGCCCAGAAACGACTCAAGGAACGGACCGGCGGGTTGCTGATGGCGGACGTTCAAAAGGGCGGGAGACGGGCAAAGTCGAAGAAATCGAGAGCTCTTTTTTTTCGCCGCTAGTGCGAATCCGTGAATGTGGGCTTTTTGCCCAAAATCGGCTCACCGCCTTTGCAATCCACCGAGGGCATCCAAACTCCTGTGTGCTGCTTGCTGCTAGCTCACCTCCCCATCCCATTACGATTTTTTCTTGGGCTGAGCTCCCGGTCATTCATTTTCATAGCAGATATGTCTGCAACTCAGCTGCTTAACCCCAAGGCAGAGTCCCGGGTATGGAATGCTACCCCCGTATGACCCCTCCGTGGCCCGCACTAACATTTCATCTAGCGGCGTGGAGAGGCCCTGAAGGTTAACATCAGTGCCGGAGAGGGTCTTCAGGATGTCCTCAAGTCGAATTTGGGTCCTTCGGGAACCCTGAAGATGTGAGTTGCGATGTACCCGCACGGATGATCGTGATAGAGCTAACAGAGCCTTAGGCTGGTGGATGGTGCCGGTGGAGTACGCAACAAGCCCCTTTACCTATGGAAATACTGCGAAGCTGGTTATCTAATGCAGCGGTACTATAACAGATCAAACTGACCAAGGATGGAAATGTTTTGTTGCGGGAAATGGTGAGTAGTGAAGTCCAAACGTTCTCAACATACAGAGCCCGTGCTAACATTTTGGCAGCAAATTCAAAACCCTACGGCCGTAAGACAGGTCTTGCTTTGCCAACTCTTGGTCCTCGCTGATAATATCGAAAGGTTATGATTGCTCGTGCGGCAACGGCCCAGGACGACATTACTGGTGATGGTACAACGTCGGTCGTTCTCTTGGTGGGAGAGCTTCTAAAGCAGGCGGATCGCCACATTTCGGAAGGTCTTCACCCTCGTGTGATTACCGATGGTTATGAGATTGCCAAGACTGAGGCCCTGAAGGTATTTGGGGAAACCGGAATCAATTCAAGGTGGCTAGTCTGACACTATACTTGCAGTTTCTCGACAACTTCAAGCTGGAGCGGTCCATTGACCGAGAACTCCTTCTTTCTGTCGCTCGCACGTCTCTTTCCACTAAGTTGAACAATGCTCTCGCTGAAAAACTCACTCCCGACATTGTCGATGCCGTCCTTGCCATCCACCGAGCCAACGAGAAGCCCGACCTGCACATGATTGAGATCATGACCATGCAGCACCGCACATCATCCGATACCCAGCTGATCCGTGGTCTGGCTTTGGACCACGGTGCCCGCCACCCCGATATGCCGAAGCGTGTGGAGAATGCTTTCATCTTGACACTGAATGTCAGTTTGGAGTATGAGAAGTCCGAGATCAACTCTGGCTTCTACTACTCTAGCGCCGAGCAGAGAGACAAGTTGGTGGAAAGTGAGCGCAAGTTCGTTGACGCGAAGCTGCAGAAGATTGTGGACCTTAAGAAGCAAGTTTGCGGTAATGATCCCAAGAAGGGATTCGTCGTGATCAACCAGAAGGGTATTGATCCCCTCAGCCTGGATATCCTCGTCAAGAACGGCATCATGGCTCTGCGGAGAGCTAAGCGGAGAAATATGGAGCGTCTGCAGCTGGTTTGCGGCGGTGTCGCCCAGAACAGTGTTGAGGAGATGACGCCCGATGTTCTCGGCTGGGCCGGTCTGGTCTATGAGCACCAGCTTGGCGAAGAGAAGTACACCTTCGTCGAGGAGGTCAAGGACGCCAAGTCTGTGACCATCCTCATCAAGGGTCCCAACGCGCACACTATCGCTCAGGTCAAGGATGCCGTCCGTGATGGTCTCCGCTCGGTCTACAACACTATCGTCGACGGCTGCGTGATCCCTGGAGCCGGTGCGTTCCAGGTCGCTTGTGCCCAACACTTGAAGTCGGACAGCTTCACCAAGACGGTCAAGGGCAAGGCCAAGTGGGGTGTGGAGGCCTTCGCGGATGCGCTCTTGGTAATTCCTAAGACCCTCGCCGCCAACTCTGGCCACGACGTCCAGGACTCCCTGGCCGCGATGCAGGATGAAGGTAAGGATGGCGTCACTGTCGGCCTGGACCTGAACACTGGTCTCCCGATGGATCCGATCCAGGCGGGTGTGTTCGACTCATACCGTGTCCTGCGAAACTGCGTGGCCTCCAGCACTGGTATCGCCTCTAACCTTCTTCTCTGCGACGAGCTGCTGAAGGCTCGACAGATGAGCAAGTCGGGTGCGGGTGGCCCTGGTGGTATGGAAGAGTAATGCGCCTTTGATTGATGATGCCCGGCGATTTCATGTAAAGAATTAGATGAACTTGGGACTGAATGCTTTTGATGCTTTAAAAGGTCCAATCTTCTCAAAAAATGCACACATTAATTGCACGAGCGTTGCAAATAACCAAGCACCAGATTATATAGTAGAGAGGCCTATTTCTAGACGGCTCATGGTCTCGGCTCTTCTTTCGAATAATTAGCCTGGCCTTGGGCGCTTGCCATTGCTTTGGTGATTGATCTTGGAGCATAAAGGTAATCTAATTTCAGACTTCAGATAGAATGCTTATCATTAGGGTCATAAATCAATAAGGAAAACGTGCTATACATAATCCTTCTATGGCAAACTGAGACACGCTCAGTTCTCCTCCGAGCCGGCGCTCTCGCTACCCTCAGAAACGGCCACAGAAGGGAATCCTGCCACAAATCCGTCGGCTTTAACAGGATCTTCCAAGGACAGGTGGTGGGATTGCGCCCATTCCAAAATATCGGCCTTGTGGATGACTATCTTCGGGCTTTCCTTCGGTTCATCATCCCCCATCAGACGACTCAATTTGCGCTTCTTCGGGGTTGTGTCAGGTCGAACAACGCCCATGCTTTTGACGGCCGTGATTACATCTTCCGTCAACATTCCAGTAGCCCGGCCAATCTCTTCAACGGTCATGTATTCTCGCTGGGGCTTTTTGCGGGATGCCTTCGAAGGAGAGCTTTTTGGAGGCTTTTGTTGTTCTACTTCAGACTTTTTGTCCTCTCGCTTGCCACATAGCAAGTGTCTCGCAATTCGCTCGGCCCAGAAACGATTGTAGCTTTTCTGGCCCAGGTCGCTCAGTGGTTTCTCCGGTCCACCTATGTATCCCCCGGGATACTCCCAACCGCTGAGCTTATAGCTCACTCCCATCAAGAGTTTTCCAAGTTGTCTGTGCTGGTATGGCGGGAAGACACAGATGCATGCAAGATTGTTCGAGTCCCACGAGAGCTTTTCTTTCGAGAAGAAGCCTAGAACATGGTAGTTTTCGGGGTTCTCCGGTTCGGTAAAGGTGAGGATATAGTAAAGGAAGGTCGCGACGTCGAAAAATACTGTTTTGTGGTCAAGGAAAAGTTTGGCGAAAAGGGATAGGTTCTGGCCAAAGAGCTTGTGATCCTCGCCATCAACCTCCCATACAGCGTACCCGCCGTGGTCGTACACTTTGGTGCCGGGGGGCGTTGTCCGATGCACGCAGGCCCGCACGTGCTCCGCAAATGCAACTTTGTCGCAGGAGTATCGAAAGCACCAACGGCAGACATAGAGGTATTCGGCATTATTGGCGACCAGATCCTCCGGGTAAATTGACTGGTACCATGGCTTGAATAGGAGGTCTCCTAGTACGACGTTCTTCACATTGCGATCACCCGGACTCTGAAGCCGCGATGACGCTTTCCCGGCCGCCATGGACGCGCCCTCAATCTTCGAATTATGTTCAATTGTGAATATGCTAGGTGTGCGATTGCCTAGGCTTCAAGAATTTCGTGCGTAGGATGCGAGATCCAGTGGTCCGGCCATTGGCATCACCGCGCGGAAGTAGTAGAGGGCTGGTCTGTATCGAAGGAAGGTCTGAGGAACAGTCGTCCCGACATAGAGGGTAATCAGGTGGCCGACGTCAGCGATCGTTTAAATGAGGCAGCAGGTATCCTCCTCCCTTCGCGGCGATCAACAATCGCGAAGGCGATCTGCAAAAATAGTCCTGACTCAGCGGGAGCTATCAGGTGATCCGGGCGGGGAGAGCTCTATCTTATCCGTTGTTGCCTGGAGAGTTCACAGTGAGATCATCCGGTTATCCTTGCTTTCAAACCCCATCCCAAAGAGGAATCCCAGATGTCGCAGGCAACAGCCATATACATCTTTTGATAACTGGCGTTGTGTCTTTCATATATCGTGGATCCTAAGATCGCTGCGGAGGCATCCCGATCTCACACTTTTTTGAATCTAGTTCAACCGTGCAACGCCCCACTCGCCTGACCTCAAGGGTTCACAGCGTTCTCTTCCTCGATGTTGAAACCTTTCCAAATCAAAGACCTTCACAGGTCTCCATCCCAAAGCCACGAGGATCTTTCAGGCCGACCATCAAGTTCTCGTGGAGTCGTGCAGATATCAGCCGCCGACTACGATGACATCGCCTCTAATCACCCTCGGGCAAGGCTCACTTATCTGGATGATGATGACGGTGATCAAATCACGGTAAGACACACCTAGGGAGGTTGTAGTCTATCTATAAAGTGGCTAACACTTCTGTGTAGGTTGGATCTTCTCTCGAACTTTCTCAGCGCCTAGACGAGCAAGTAGCGATCGAAACAAGGCTTGACAACTTCCAGCCATCCCAGGATGAGCTGGCTCCGATGCATATATTCGATATCCGTCGATCAAACTCGGTTACTGAGTTGTGGAGACAATTCGAGAAAAAGAATAACGATAGTGTACGATCGCAGCAAGTGGTAATTGATATTGCTGCTCCGGCAGATCCCGCAAATGATGAACGTGAGCATAAAGAGGAACCAGATTCAAATGACACCATTACTACCTCGCCTCCGAGAGATGGCGACCAGCCTTTTATGGCAGTGTTTGAGGCTGAGTTGGCCAATGTCCTCAACTCTGCGGATAACATTGGGGATAGGGCTGCACAGCCAGAACCATCATCTGCATCCGTACCCCCATTCCCGAACACTGGCTCACAGAGAACACCTCACCCCTTGGAGGTCATTGCGGCCACATTCCTTTATCACCTGGTCAATGGAGCCAACTCCGTACAGTCTGAACTGAGCAGTAGGCTCCCAGAGCTGCAAGACCAACTGCGAAATGCTCAGAGAACCGTTCCAGAGAACGTACGAACCTCGCTGCAGAGTCTGCTGGCCACAATTGAAGCACACATGCGGATTGCTTTCAATAATCTGCCGGATAATGGAAGACAACTGGCAGAAGACGCCATCAATGCTGGGCGACCTGTCGCTGAGAATGCTGCCGACGGTTTACGAATGATGGCGTCGGAGTTTAATGAGGCAGGCCGAACATTATTCTCAGCCTTTGAGAATGAGTTTGGGCGTTTTGGACTAAATGGCTCGACTACCACATCTGAGAGACCACATCCGACACCTAGTCCATTTACAGGTTCTACCTCCAATGGTCCCGTGTCACCAGACCCCACGTCTCGGGACGCTGATATCCATCCCGGAGATTCAGAAATGCAAGAGAAAGAGGCTGCTGATTCCGGTCCGTCTTCGGCGCCGAATCCTGAGGTCGGCGCATATACTACGCCTCCTGATGCCAAAAGGTCAGGGGGGATACGCTGAGAGAAGAACAAGGTAGCCACCTTTATTCACCGGGTCCTCATTACTTTCCTCCCTTCCCTCCGCGGCCCGCTCCTCCTGTTCCGCCTATGCCTAGGCACCAAGGCCCCCCTTTCCCTCCCCAATATCCTCCCTGGCAAGCACCATGGGATCCTGTGCGCCCTACCCGGCACCATCGACCACCGCCTCCACGTCCACCCGGCACAGGTATGTATCCAAGTCAATCATGGCTTCCTATGAACCGTTGGTTTAACCCAGTCGGTCCTCACAACCTCCATGGCGCGCCTCCAATGCCTCCTCCAAAAGAAACCTCAAATATTCCGGACAGTCAATCAGAGGTCCTTGAAAAGAAAGCCCTGTTCATCGGAAATGTTGGGTACAAAGTCACTGAAAGAATGATCCAAGATGTCTTTGCTTCGAAGGGGTTCATTGTCTCTGCACACCTTCCCCAAGACTCCAACACTGGCAGACATGCCGGCTTTGGCTACATAGATTTCCCTTCAATTCATCCGGCTATAGCAGCAATACATGCTTTGCAAGGTGTGCACATTGATGGACATGCGATCAATCTTGAGTTCACTGATGATGCCCTCATTGAGTCTGTGTGCCCATCAGAGCGCCCTAGCCATGCCGAACCGAGTACTCTATATGAGACTTACACACGCCAGGAGCTTCCTTCTGAATCCAAGGGCTCCGGAGCATCTGCTCTGGAGCAAAAAGACTCTGGAGTTTCCGTTGACCAGTCAGCCCGTGCCCGTCGTGCTGGTCGCAGAAAATCAGTGACATTCCAGGAACGAGATCTGTCTTCGTTAGATCTCAAGGACACGAAGGGGAAGCCCAAAGAGATTCCGGTTCGGCTTCAATCGCCTCCGCTGATTGATTTATCCACCGATAACCCTACTTCTCAACACAAGTCGGACGAAGTGCACAATCATTTCCCCACGCTGAATCCAGAGCTGGAGATGAGTCGTTTCCCGCCCGTCTCCCAGTTAGAAGCCCAGCTCTTCGCCAACCAACAACAAGGCCGTGCGATTGGTACTGAATCCGACGCGACGACCAGTCAAATGGCAACTGGTCCAGATTTGCTACCTGAATTTCAGTCAGCTTCCTCGTATTACCCCGCTGGTCCCGGGGACGAGACATCGTCCATGATTTTCGCCGGCCGACAGAAACAACGTGGCTCTGGAGGCCCCGGTCTTCATCGCTCAAGTACAATGACATTCACACGCCGAGAAGGGGAGCCCTTGGGAATGCCCAACCCAACGTCTTCGGACGGTCCCTCCAATGTTAATCCATTGAGGAGACATGCTACGGAGCGCCACTCGCTTCGACGTGGTCCCCGCGATTCCACCGAGACAGACACTTGGGCGCGATTGGACAGAAGAGAACGCCGCCGTTCCAGACGCTCATCCTATCACAGCATTCCCGGGAGTTTCCCTGTGGAAGAGGCACCTCAACCTGCAGCGTCTGGTCCGCCTGATGCTAGCGTCAAGGCTAAAGAGTCTGACATCGACAGATGTGTCTCCTCCCTTATGGATATGGGCTATGGAACTGCTGACGACGGCGGGCGATCTCGGATGGCAGTTTATGCTGCGGCTTCGAACGGCAGCCTCTATGATGCGATCGAAATGATTGAAGAAGAGAGAAAAGTGTATGCCAGGCACTGTCGGGAGTAAGATGGATGGGCTCGAGGTCCATTGTGTTTTTCGGGCTTGACGCACCACAGTCGCTCCTTTTACCACACCCCCTGTCTGTCTTTCTCACAGATCTTTTTGTGTTCAGAAATACTATCTTTATAAGCGATAATCTGCCAGATTTAGTCAATCTCAAATCAACTTGTTTGTGCTCCGGGGAACACCGATATATATTTCGTAGAGCCGTCAATAATCTCTCCCTCAGAACAAGGTACTGTAGATGGGGGCTTCGTGGGGGCTTCGGTTAACAGCAAGTTGGCGACCCATAATTCCAGCAACTCAATAGGTATTGTTAAGTCTTAGGTACCAGGTTCATGTCGATATCGTTCGATCTGGAAGATGCGTACCTAGTCCACGCTGTTTTATCACAGTGGTTGACCGATTGCGGAGTTGCTGATTGGACCGGCCGAGCTGCCCAGACATTTTTCCAGTCCGCAAGGTCGCAGGTTGATCTCCGACCATCAATTCAGTCTCCCAACGCAACGCTCTCGATCCAGCCATGCACACATGGCGGCGGACCTTCGCCACGTCTGTCGCCAGATTCGGTCCTAGCTCTACACCCTATCCTCGATCCGTTACTCTGCGATGCGCGCAGATCCTCCAGGCTAGCAAAGCGGATGGACCATGCAGCTTAGAAGACAAAGAGGTCAAGGTCAATGGGTTCATCCGGTCGGTTCGGAAGCAGAAGCGCTTTGCTTTTGCAGAGATTTCGGACGGCTCTACTGCTGAGCCATTGCAGGCGATCCTGAAGCCTGCCCAGGCAGCTGAGTATGTCCACCTCGGTGCTCTTAACTCCAATCTTGATTTGTCCGCGCAAAGATCTAACACGGTCGCTTTTCCTTATAGTCTGTCGACAGGCACTGCAGTAGAAATATCCGGCATTTGGAAAGCTTGCCCACCTGGAAAGGAGCAGACTCATGAGCTTCAGACAACCAAGGTGACTGTGGTAGGCACGGCGGACCCGGAGGTTAGTATTTCGCAAGCATCACAAAGGAGAATGAGTAGTTCTGACCGCCGCATCTTGACTGCAGACATTTCCGATACAAAAGAAATACCATAGTCCCGACTTCCTACGCCAGATCCCTCATCTCCGCATTCGAACTCCCTTCCAGTCCCTGCTCGCGCGCTTCCGGTCCGAATGCCTGTTCCAGCTGGGCAACGTCTTTCACTCCCGCCCCGAGGGTGGCTTCACGCAAGTCCAGCCCCCGATAATCACATCATCAGATTGCGAAGGAGCGGGCGAAACGTTCACTTTGCTTCCGCGGGGTGCCACGGCGCTGTCGACCACCGAGGCCGACCATTTCTTCCGGGCGCCCAAGTACCTTACCGTGTCATCGCAATTACACCTCGAGGCCTACGCTGCTGAGCTTGGTAACGTTTGGACGTTGACGCCCGTTTTTAGGGCAGAGAAGAGCGATACACCTCGTCATCTCAGCGAGTTTTATATGCTCGAGGCCGAGGCCAACTTCATGTACAATCTGGACTCCCTCACGAACCTGGTCGAAGACCTTCTTCGTGACCTGACCCGTCGACTGTATAATACTCCTGTTGGCAAGGAAATATTATCAGCTAAGCGGACTGCAGAGTCCGGACAAGAAAGCAGCACTGAGGAGCCGAAGTCGGCTCTGCTGGATAGGTGGACAGCGCTGATGGATGGACCCCGATGGCATCGCATTACATATACTCAGGCGGTGGAGATGCTTCAGCGAGCGGTCGCAGAGAATGGTGCCTCGTTTGAGCACCCCCCACATGGAACGGTGGTTTACAGACTGAGCACGAAAAGTACATTGTCGAGGTATTACACCAGGGCAACCCGGTGTTTGTCACGGACTACCCTAAGGCCGTCAAACCGTTCTACATGGCTCCTTCGCAGGTCGGCGAGGGCAGCACTTCGAGTGAGACAGTTGCCTGCTTCGATCTGCTTCTTCCCGAGGTCAGCGAAGTCGCCGGCGGCTCCTTGCGTGAACACCGCTTGCCCAATATCATTCAGAACATGCGTGACCATGGCCTGATCAAACCCCGCATGACCACTGAGACCGATGCACCGGCTTCAAACGAGCCATCCTACCCACATCTCTCACCAGACGAGGATCTCGGGCATTTGCAATGGTACGCCGACCTCCGACGCTGGGGCTCCGCTCCGCATGGAGGGTTTGGGCTTGGCTTTGACCGATTCCTGGGTTACTTGTCTGGCGTTTCCAGCGTTCGGGATGTTGTGTCATTCCCGCGGTATTTTGGTCGGGCTGATTGCTGAAAAGGCGCGGCGGACAGTATGGTTTCTGAAATGTACGATAGACCGGAACCGCAGCATCACACATCCACCTCTGAGACCCTGTACTATTAATGACAACTGGATATATTCGGAAACCTGTCAGCATAACGAGCCTACACCCCAATCTTCAGGCCAGCAATACTAAAATTAAAACTAAATAACCCATCGTTCGTCGATGGAAAAGCTGATACGTCTCGTCGAACACCGCCACCCGCGCTCCTCTCACACCGAGAACCGAGACGGCGCCCCAGCTCACGTCCGCTTCTTGGACCAGAATCAGCCTCATGAAATGCCCGGGTCACCTCCGCCCCTCGCACTTCGGATTTAGCACAACCCGGGGAGGGGGCGCTGTTGGCGGCGCAGCTGCCGGAAGAGGGCGGAAGCTTGCCCGGGAGCCAAACAGAGTTAAATGAATCGCTGGAAGATAAAATGGGGTCGGAGACTATTACCTATTACTGTAGTGCGCAGTACGGAGTTTATGTACATATGTACTGTATACATATAATATATTGGGGCCAAAATGAACACCTGAAGTAGTACTCTGTATTAGGCCGTTCATTCCATACTGCGGATACGACGCAATTAACCAACGCCGCAGGGGGCCAGAAGGAATGGAAGGAATGGAAGGGGGGATTCAGCCTTGCAGCAGCAGCGAGCCTCGACATTTGAGTTACTCTGTGCGTGCAAGCGTGCATTTTCGGACCCAAAGATCCCTTGCTATAGCCTTCGATTTCCTTTATGTAAAGCAAACCCCGAACGGCATATTTACACTTTTACTACAGTACAGTATGTAGCATAGAGCTACAGCACACCCCATACTCGTGTATAGTATACACCGCACATCAACATCTACCCCCGTCAGCGTAATTGAGTTCCGCTCAGCCGGCTCTCGCACCGGTCCAAGCAAAGCCAAGCACTCTAGCGTGATTGTGGGCGCCCACAGCCAAACGCAAAAGGACGGGGGTGAGGGAGTCATGCATTGATGCTTCTAGCGACCGCAACGCGCAGCACTAGGCGAGCAAGACACAAATAGGTTTCCCATCCCAAAGGGGCAGATGAGAGCCGAAAGGCGGAGGAGGCTTCCGTCAGCAGAAAACGTGGTGCGTGGGTCTCCGGGCCTTCGTTTTGTTTCTCTTCTTCCTCTGGATTCTGGGAAATACTCTAATTCGGGTTTGCGGAGCTCGCTTAAGGGTGCCGAGGACTGGGTTTTTCTGGGCATTGAAGTGCTCGGTGAGTAGAGCTTGGCCGGTTACAAGTGGGTTTATTGGTTTTGTGGCTCAATTAATGCATGTTTGATTTTAAATTTTGTATACGTGAGCAATTATGTGCGTCGTCCAGCAGGAGCATGCTACACGGAGGGCTCATATTAGGAGGGCAAAATAAACCCAAAACAAACTGGCGACACCTAGTTAGCATGTTCTTAGGCATGAGTACGGAGTACATCACACATCATCAGATAAGTCCACAGCCTCACAGGGTCGGAATGCCATGAAGAAGAAGGAGGAGGAGGAGGGGATGGGGAAGGGGGGGGGGTGTCTGCGCCCAGGCTTGGAAACTGGGAAGTTCTTAATCTAATAGACTTTACGAGAGCGAGTCGCCGAGCCTATGCCAATCAGCAGGCTAGGATCGGCGGACTAAGGGGACCCAACCTTACCGGGGTTAAGCATAAGCAAGAAGATGTTCGGGCAGTGTCCGCCGGGGGGACGAGTCATGCGCTGACTGGGGACCATCCCTGCCTGACGTATCATCCCGTAGCAAAAAGGGCGCAAGAAAAGGATAAAAAATGATGGCGATCCTAGCCACCGAGTTAGTGAACTTGGCGACCTGATGATGCTCTATCGTTATGATTCGTATACTTCCATGCTTATTGTTAACTAGTCTCGAAAGAGAGGTGAGTACGTGACCCATCAGGTCTCTGGCCCGACTCTAATACCAATTACCCCGTATTCGTATAATACCGGCCATAACGTTATTATTACTGCATGTGGTAATAAAGCATGATGACTGATAGGTATTGATTGTAAATCAATTTCCACCACCCAATTCAGGGCTCCCGTCCTCGGCTGGGCAACCTCCCTGAGCGCATACTGTAAAACCAAAAATACCGTGCGCCACATGGACCTGTGCTTGATTCATGTCTTCCCGAACAGGAAAGACTGGTCGGGTCATCGAGCCGCTTTGGGACCAACAATGGGGTCGCCGCCGTGGACATTTTAACTCGCGAGGCTACCTTACTTTGGGTCTGGGCATGGACCCCTAGCTACCATGGCTATCGAGGCGAAACTGGCTTTAAGGCTTGCCGATGACAGTTGCCGCCGTCCCGAGCACCGCTTACCCCCAAGCTAGGGGGCCTGCCCAGAGAGGAAGGATGCCACCGCTGAAGTCCGATCGTCTTGGCAAGGACCACCATTCATAGATCGCAGAGTAGGTCTTGGCTCTGAAGGGTGGGTTTACGTTAGTCTCAAGGCACTAGCAGAACAGCCAATGTCTAACAGCTGATGACTGGAGTGGCCGAAACCCATAATCCAATCCATAATCCAATCCATAATCCAATCCATAATCCATAATCCCATAATCCATAATCCCATAATCCATAATCCATAATCCCATAATCCCATAATCCATAATCCACAATCCACAATCCATAATCCACAATCCACAATCCTTTATCCATAATCTAGCCGGAACGGCTATTGGTGGGAAATAATGAAACAGCCTGGCTGATCTTGCGGTTGGCGTTGGTTTTGCACGGATAACGGTAACTACGGAGCAGTCTTCGTGCGATCATTGTGGATTTTGATTGCGGCAATCGTCGGATAAAAATCCCGAATAGTGGCGTGGGAAGCTTGCGAGGCAATTATTAAAACCTCGTAGCAATTTCCGACTCAAGCCCACGCTAGTGCACTCCCCATTCATCCCAGAGACAATCACGGAGACCTTAATTGTGTTGGTGGAGATAAGCTCGTGCGACGTTTCACAGAGCCAGCGCTTGGCAACCTTTAATTCTGATTTTGCTCAACTTCGAGGGTTGCAACGAGCGTGACATTACAGTACGCGGTCGCAACTATACCCAAAGTCATGTACAGTAGAGTTGATCCGTGGGTAAAAACCAGTACAGTACCTGTAGGGTGTGCTAGACCCATGCAAGGGCACGTCATCGGCCCCGAAGGAGGTAGAAGGGGGCGATGAGAACGGACTGTAGTAGTAAACTCTGTAATAAGTGCATGGATTCAGCCGTAAAGATTATTGGGTTAATGTGGTATTAACCTTGAGAAAAGCCAATGATCCGCCCACACGGCAGACAGAGCTTGGCCGAACCTTCATCCTCAGTTGTTGACTGCTACAGAGTTTCCAGAGTCAGGCTGACCACGCTAAGACGATCACACCGAGTCGGAGATTATTGATCAGGGTGCAGCGAGACCCGAAATGATCGAACCTTGTGTACTCCGTACCCTGGTACGGTGATTGTGCACGCCTCGGTAAACGATAAATTAGGCCGGAGATGACGAGGATAATGACGGAAATCATAGCAATCATTTCCTAGGATCTATGGTCTACGTACGCCGTAGGCCCATTATTCATGGTGTCTGTTTCTGGATGCACTCCGTACGTACAGTAGTCTATGCAGTAGTATTATTGGGTAAACTGTATGTTAAAGACGAAGCCGGACTACCCGGCGCGTAACGCAGATGACTCAAAATACCCTATCGGCTGCATTTACGCACCGGCCCCCGTGTTTTCGGACATAAGGTAGGACAATGCCGGGCCCATGTGGAGCCTCCACCGCAATGCCCTTGATCGTCAGCTGGAGTGGAAATGAGAAAGCGCAAAGGAAAAAAAGCGGCAGCGAGCAAGAGAGCCAATCCCGTTCCCCACCACGCTCGAAAGCATTTGCAATGCTTACGAACCACGGTCGGCAAACATTGCGTCGGCTTGGCCCGCAAGGGCCTACGCTATCAGCGGAACGAGTGATATGCTTAGCGAGCGTGGAGCCCGGTTGTTGAGCCTGGCTCCACTCCGCAGATGAAAGGGAGCCAGGCTCGGATGATCGGGTATACCTGACGGCACTCCGGCCCCGAAGTTATGTCGAACAGAAGTATGAACAAAAGAACAGAGTGTCCAGCACGACCTTCAATAGCCTTGGACGAGGCTAGCTAGCCTCGCGCGGGCCCCGGACCAGTCAAAAATGTTTCGGGAAAATCGGCTCCCCGGTGAAACCCCCCAGATTACCAAGACTAAATTACTAACTTATTGGTTTGATTCGAATGCGGAAACGAGCCAGAGTGGGACGGGAGTCCTGTCGACAAGTGGGTTAGGTTTACCCTTCCCTTTCATCAGGGTAAAAATGAAAGTGGTCGGGAGCCGCGGCTGACGCACAGAGCAACTCGACAGATCTCGCACATGGTACATCATGTAAGGGAGCAACATGTGGTGACTTGAGGCGTTATGCTTATTGATTGCGTTGGAGCTCAAAACAAGGAATATGATTCATTTACCTACCCGGGTCTATGTATGATTGTTTATTTCTGGTTCTGGGAGGTTTTAGACCGGGGGGCGGGGGGTAACATTGGTTGTTTCTACTTCGCGCTAGGATCTGGCTGCGGCGCAGGCGCAGTACGATCGGTCTGGGACCCTGGCACAGCCTTATTCAGTAGTGGCCCTTCATTTGCAGTCGAAACACAAATTCATGGCCGTATAGGACACTAGTATATTACATCCTGCTTTAGTTCTGTGTCAATTTGGTTGCGGATGCACATAATGTCGACAATATGACGGTTTAGCCCACATATACAGTAGCCTTGTTTGCATGTACCCTGTGTCCTGATGGTCTTATTTGACCTTTACGTGGTCGAGTTTTCTTTGGCTCAAACACAGGAACTAGTGCGACACTGTACCATCTACCACCAGGTCGATGGAAGTTCAGATCAGCAGAGTGATATCAGGTCCCACTAGTCGGCGCGCCATGTGAGACATCTGATGCAGGCCATGGCCCAACCCGAAGTTTAAGTAGAGTGGTGATGGCTCGTGATTTACCTTTCTTTGCCTGTCCAACCGACCAACACATGGGTATACAAAACACCCTCACCCCGGTTTAACAACAGATATCCTCTGCCTAGAATACATCGACCTTGTTAGAAGCTCAACCAGCCAGCCAAACTCTCATCAGCTGCCAAATCAACCAGCCTCTGAACCCTATTATAGTGTTGCCTTGTGCGACCGGACTTGGTTGGCGATACGCTTTACCTGGCCCTGCGGGGCCGGCCCGTGCGCAAGCTCATCCTTGAATCAACGAGCCCCATGAGCCTTCAGAAACACTGTCAAAGGTTTTTGACCTTTGTGACAGCCTAGTGCCCTTTGGCGTACTGTAAGTGTACCGGGCGCTTCGGCTAAGTGGTTCCTCGATTGGTCGCTCAGGTCTTGCCTTTTTCCCTTTGACAAGCTCGGCGGCACCCGCATATCGTATTGGGGTTGAGCCACCTGCAAGGTGGTCCATAGCGCCCGCAGCATTGGCAGCGGGAAAATTGTCCATCTCTTAACCTTATCGCTTGGTCCAAGAATCTCGGCGGTTACGAATCCTGTCCACGAGTACATTACACTACCCTCTCAGAAAGGACGAATGGAGATGGAAGGGGGGCCATCAGTTACATTTCAAAAGCCGCAGCCCCCTTTAGTCGCACCCTAGTCCTCTTTCTAGGCCTCCTGGGCTAAGGATTGATGATCCTTTCGGCTTTGTATGCGGAGAAACAAACCCCGAGTCGTGTACATTGCACCAAGCACGAAGATCCCATTTACATTACGTGGCATCTTGCCTTTCGGCCGTGCATCCCACGTAAACAAATCGCAGACATGGATACACCCAGGGCAGGGGAGGCCTAATTCAAATGCTCCCCATGTACGATTCGTACATATGGACGCATGCGATGTACCGTAATTATTATTTTTCGCAACGCCCCCCAACCTCAAACCAACGCAACCATTAATTTTGATGTTTATTTTTGGAAATGCCTTTCTTGGTCCTTCCTTTTTCTCGGGGAGGGTAAGTACTTCTTGTCAAGCTTTGCGGTCAGCGACAGTTCAAATCTAAACCTTGGCCGCGTCACTAGTTGATACGAGTACGAGTCACGAGTGCAAAATGGCGACTGTGGCTTGTTCTTCCCGATCCCGCGATATACACACGACACTAGAATAAAAAAAAGTTATTTCCGAGGTGGCTTCCTGGCTAGAACCATCAAGATGCTTTGGGGAGGCTGATGCCGACCGAGCCGCTCAGTTCGCTTCTTTCGGAGGAGGACGGCATGGAGGACGGAATTCGGCCGTAGGGTTCGCTCCTCTTATTAGTAATTATGAATCCTGGGATAACGTTTTTTGGAAGGTGGAGATGGATTGATTCCGTGGTTGCGTTGGTGCTAAATCCCGATAGCCAAGTGGGTTCAACAGTTGCCCGGGGATTTTCTTTTGATGGGTGGCCCATTATTATTATTTCTTTTTCTGTAAGGAGCTAGGCGATCGTGATTGATAGGTGTTATCCCCGACCGTAGATAAGTGCGCCTCCTCGCGATCAAAAACCGGAGTCGCTGGAGAACCATGGTCAAGAAAGAGGTTAAAATTACGAAGTCGGAAGCCCGTGTGGTAAGAACAATACAAACTGGGAAGAATCAAATGGTCAGGCACGATTCCACCGGAGGGATACGCACAAGGCTGATCAAAATTATGATCATAAAAAAATGACCGCGCAAAGTCCTAATTGACCTTGATTACATTCTAATTAATCCAATCTACAAGAACTCAAGTGTTGCCTCTCGCGGCCTAGTCCAGATGCCAAGCATCAGCGCGCAATCAATCGGCCAGCTGAAAATGGACCAGGGTGGATGCGGTCGCTCTAAGCGAGCATAAAGTTCAGCGCCGGTGTCCTCGTGTCGGATTAAGCTTAAGCTTCAGAGAGCGCGCACTAACCACCTTTTTTTATTTAATTCCATGCGATCAGAGCGCCACTATGACAATACGTCTGACACAGATCATCTTACGGGGTCGTACACCTCGGTGCTCCATCCGGGCCTGGCCAGTCACATTCTCGCGTTTGGGCGTCTCAAATTTAAATTTGATTTTCTTTGGGAGAGTCATTTTCAGGCCCTTTGCACATCATGGCAGGAATGGGGATGCCTTGCGAAGGGGTAAGCCAAGTCTCACCAATAACCTACAGCGCTTTTCCCTGCCCTTTTACCTTTCCGTCCCCTTCCCCTCCCCCCCCCGTCCGAGCCCCACCTCGTCCTTGGTCAAGCCACCGTAAGCTTAGCCAAGGCCCCCCAAGAGCTTCCAAGACTGGTTCTAGGTTGGCATGGTTGGCGACCCTTTCTGACTGCTGCCTCGGCCAGGACAAACAAGACCGGCTTATCCGCATCTAAACGGAATGATCCAAGACTTCCAAGACTTCCAAGACTCTGTTTTCAGGAGGACCACGGCCCCCCGAACTAATCAGGGGGCTGCTCCCTAGGGAAGGTACCCAATGTAGCTCAGTAGCCGTGCCTACGACCTGTCCCCTCGCTGGTATGTCATTCGATCCGAACCTTGACATGATTCCGGGTGCTAGGCTAAATTTACAGTTCACGGTTTTGCATGCTTGCGCAGGCAACACAATATGACCCAGCCGTCGTTTATGGGGTACATAGTTTTTTAGCTTCGAGCTTTATCTACTCCGTACTCCGTACTCCGTACCCGCTTGATGACTGAGTGCTGACTGAGAAATGTTTTACCCGAAGGATCGGATTTAGAATTTTAGCATTTTAGGATATCAGGATATCGGCCCTAGGCCACCCCCTTCAGTGCTACGGCCACCATCGCCACAGCCACATCCCAACAGCCGCCAACCATTTTGACTCATTGGGATCCAAGGTTTCAATGAATAATGACAGTCATGCGATGACAATCGCCCGTGGATTTCAAATCATGTCCTGTCTGCTTTGTTCGGACTTTCTTCTTCCTTTTCCTGTTCCCTGTGCAATTCCCTATCACATCTTCGATCGTCATTCGCTCCATCGACCAACCTTAGTTGTCTGCCCCCACTCAACCCTGTTTTTCCAAGAGGCTATTTATTGTATTACCGTAAACTATTTCCTTTTAGAATTTCCTTTTTCGTCCAAATCCCCAGGGAAGATAATTCAATTTGATTAAATAATCCTTTTTTTGTTCCCTGGCCCTGGAATCGGTTTCTCATTCGGTCGCCCATTCTTGGAATCTCGGCGTTTAGCAACTTCCGTTCGATCTTGGCTCGGTCCCTTTGACTGCTCGGTTCCCTTATTTAACCTTCTTTCAATGATTCTTCATGGTCCTGCGACACCTTTATTAGGTTCCGAGCACCCCAAATCCCGCGCGAGACTGTTTCAAAGGAGACTTTCCCTTTCCCCCCCCCCCACCACCTCTTCTCTCTCGCTTTTCGCTTTCCCTTCTCACCTACTCTGTAACGGCTTTCGATCTTCGTATCTATCGGATCCGCTGAGACACCGGGCGAGGGCCTGAACCCACATCCTACCAACCTTGTGGGTCCCAAGAGTTCAAAGAGTCCAAGAGTGAGTCCGTCCCCTCCTGGATGAGCCTTTTCTTTGGTGTTCCTGTCGCATTCTTTACACCCACTCCTCCAACCCACTATCGCCCCACCACAAATCTCTGCAGGCGCTCAGCTTTTCCCCCAAATCAAATCAATTTCCAAAACGGAAAAGCAAAAAAAGAAAAAGATTAATATAAAAATTACGCGGGTCTTACCCTGTTGGGTGACGTAAAAAGGCTCGGCCTTTACCCACTTCGCATACACTACTCAGCCTACCCCATACCTACTTACGATCTTCACTGGCAATCCTGGTCCCTCTTATATGCTTTGCTCTCTCCACCTTATTTCATTTTACATTTTATGCTTCCCCGTTCTCTTCCCCCCCCCTCCTATCTTCACGGCACCGTGTCACCACACTCAGCTTGCTATTTATCATCCCGGGAGAATCTAATTTAAGATTAACCGTCCGCTGCAGATCTTATCTCACCACCTCGGATCTCTCAGCATCGATCAATCTCCAGCATAATCACATCACTTGAGTCACTGGAGACCGTCGATCAAAACCCAGGACCGACGTCGTCGACTTGCTCCATATTATTTAAAGAGTCTCTTGCCAGAACCCCTGGGGCGTCAAAGCTGCTTAGCCATTCGGGTCATCGTTGGACCTGCGAGTTGGGATGGAGACCTACTACGGACACGTCCGCACCCCGGCGGATGCTATCATTCTCTTCGAGGCTTGTCGCATGGGTCTGTTGCCTCGAGTCCAGCGTCGGCTATCAGAGAAGGAGCGACAATCAATTCGATCGGGCTCAGTATTCGTGTGGGATGAGCGGGAAGCGGGCATGCGACGCTGGACCGATGGCAAATCATGGAGTGCCAGTCGGGTTTCCGGCAGCTTTCTGACTTATCGCGAGATGGAGGGCAAGCGCGGTGGTGGCAGTGTGCCGCAGAGTTCAGTGTCGCGGGCCGGAAAGACGCCCGAGAGCAGGGGCAGCGATGAGGAGCGAGGGGACGGAACCGACGAGGGCCCTGATGGGTATCGGTATAAGCCGGATGGCCTGATGAAGCAGTCCTTCAGTATCACCACTTCCACGGGCCAGCACCTTCACCTGATCAGCTACTTCTCTCGCTCTCACCCCGCGGCGAACAACCTGCAACAACCCACCACCGACCCTGCGCTGCGACATGTCCGGCCCCAGAAAGGCCTGTACCCCGAGTCGACCGTCAATGACCAGCAAAATCTCCCAGTGGTTACTCGGGGGCCCATGGCGGGCGCTGCGGCCTATCCCATTACTCCTCATCCCATCGGCGCGTTCCCACGCACCAACCCCACCCACAACCAGTCGTATACTCAACTCCATCACCCTTGGCCTCTCACACCACTGGCGACTCCACCAACAGTCGCTGTGCCATATCCTGGTACTGCCTATTTACCACCAGTTTCTAATGGGGCTTCCCCGTACGGGCCACCACAACACCAGCAGCCCCCTCACCTCCAGCAACCAGCGCACGCTCTGCCACCCCCACCTCATGGAATTCCAGGTCCTTACGACAGGCCCGCTCATCCCGAGTCAGCAATGCCACCTGCGGGTCCCCCTCCAGCGGGACCACCGGTCTATCCCACACGATCGCCTCGGTCCCTGCACCAGCCACCGCCAGAGCAGAGGAGCCCAGGGATGTACGGACCCGCCGCGGCAGATCCTCGCCTGGCCTCACCCAGAGTCCCGGTTGGAGCAGCTTCGCAGGCTAACGGAGCTATGCACAGCCCTCATATGCTGAAGCAGACTGCTCCTAGTGCAGTGCAACAACTCGGACACATTGGCGCGTCCCCGAAGCCGGAACCAGGTACTGTGCCTGGGATTGGTTCCTTAATGAGTGGAGCCTCGCTCGCACCGATCACTTCGGCTGGTGCTCCTGCCCCTGGACCTGGAAGCCCCCCTGGTGCTCGAGCGCCTCCCACTAGTCAAGGACCCCGAGATATTCCCAACGAAAAGATTGGGTTTGGAGGAGAGGACATGAGAGCACTGCGCCAGCTGGACCGTGTGTTCATTTGAACTGCCTCGAACTCTCTTCAATCTGGCCACTTCGGCCTCAACACTCCCGCACACATCAGGCAGCCCGATTTATATCCAAAAGATATGCCACCAAAAGAGGAGCTATACACGTCTTCACCCCCTCCACCGGCCGTTGCCTGATCGTTCTCGACTCTTCCCAAATGTCTTTTCTCGCTTTGATTGATCGCTCGCCCATGCGACTTCCAGTCTATACTTTTACGGAGCAGGGCGTTCTATTCATTTGATATCCACTACGCTTTGGTTTTTGTGTGTCATGTTTGTCATGTTGGTCATTCTTAGCATCTTCTGCATCGGTCAAGGGGCCATCTGCTTTTTTTTATTTATTTATTTCCTGTCATTTTAATCGTTTACCTGACGTGTGTGATCGGGTCACGGCTCATGGGTTACCGGGCCTTTTCATACATATTATGATGCATTGGGATTGGATCGGTTCTACACGGATGGGATACAGTTCTGGGCTTCGGGTTCCGTCTAGTCTAGGCAATAGACTGGCTTTCTATATGTATCCAGTTTCATGACTGTAAATTGTAGATGTTGTAGATGAAATGTCGGTCTGACCTTGACCTGAGTGGTAATAGAAAGTACGGAGTACGTACTCCTGGTCGACTGCTAGGTAGGCGAATTCACGCCGCTTATAGCCAAATGAGCACTTTGCTCGTGTCGCCCATTCAGGACCGCATATCAACTGCAAGCCTGTCTCTTTCTCCCTGTCTTGGTGCTGACTCGCTCACACTTGAACTTGAATCTTGGATTCTGTGATATTTGAAATGACAGTGCGATCCTGGGATTCGCATGGGCCTTAGCGGCTGACGCTAAGTTTCTGCGAATCTATTCTCCCGGTACTCTATGGTCGGCTCCGTCACGAATCATTCGGCCCGTTCTCTCTTGATGCGTTCCTGCCAGAGACGGTGTTATCGACGAGCGGGTTGGCTATGTCGACCTTTTGCCTTGTTGCGGGCAGCAGGCCCAATGATGGGGGGATCTTGGGTTGGTTAGTCCTGGACGTTGGGTTCTGCTCCGTACATCAGCAGAAGCTGGCATTGAACTCGCGCTCTGGATCGGGCTCCTCTTGACCTTTGAGGGCTGGGGAACCAAGCAGACGCCTGAGCCGGTCGTAACATCTTTCCCTGGTCATCGACACAGGAGGGAATGGAGGATCTTTAATATCACCTCTTTTCTGCACGAATATCAAGAAAGCAGAGAACAGCCCGGCCTGTTCGACCCCTTTTTCTCTGCCATGCCTTGGTTATTCCTTCGTTCACTGACCGATCACCGATCGCCGTCCTAAAGAACCAGCCCGCACATTATCAACCTTGTTCCCGTCCTCAACCCTGCAATATCCGCTGGATCCGAGAGGCCCGCAAGCAGGAGGATATTGATCTCGGAGCGGCATCCTTGCTGCCCACATTGTGTGTTACCGCAGACCTTCCGTACTGGAGTCGACAGTGGCGGGATGTGTATGATCGGACCAGACCAACCACGATGCGGCCAATGAATGTTGAATAAAGGGAAGCCGAAAGAGCGATATACGTTCTGAATTGCTGTCATTGCTCTTTTCTTTGCATTGGGGATTTTGATTTCGTTAGTGACGGGGACCAATAATGTTATGCACGCCAACCGACGACGAGATATGGGTTTGGTTCTCATGGCTTTGTTGGATGTGAGATCTGCGCGCGTGCGTTAAGCTTGAAGCTGTTCAGGAGACCCTTGTAAGCCACACAATCGTTAGTTCGTTAGTCTAAGCGACTGCCCCCTCGACAGGTTGACCTTGTGCTTCTAGCCGTGATGCAGGTCATCCCGAATTCCATTGTTCTCGAGCAAACGGCTTTTCATTCATAGACGTAGGAGTAGTTGAGAACTGGCTCTTCCGCCCATTCCCCTCCCCTTGGATCTCCTCTGTTAGTCAGTAGTCAGTATTCAGTAGTCAGTCCACCCAGCCGGGGTGCTGCGATGCCCCAGCGAATCGCGGTGGTGAATCGCAAAACGCGGACATAATCAGGCGATTGGTCCCCTGACGGCCGATGAACCTGCAGCAATTCCGAGGAGATGGTCGTGCCATTTCTTTTTGCTTTTTCCTGCGAGGAAAGTCAAACTAGTCCACAATCCTCTTCTCGAACCGCTCGTCATCAGCACATCCTCTTCGGTTCCAGCCGGGCCAAGCTGAAGAAAATGCCGCCCATGTGCCCCTCCATGAATCCTCGATCTGTTGATCACGGTTATAGTCATACTCCGCGGTATAGATCGCCAATAGACCCGGTGAAGCGGAGGGCCTTCTTCCACGCCACCCAAATACGCGATTTGCCTCCCTGCAAAAGCAACGGGTGCCGGACTGTCGGAATGGGGCTAGTTGGCCACGGAGACGGTGGCGTTCTACAGTACCGTTTAATTCAGTGGTGGGCATGGTGGCACACATGGAGATCCCCTGGCATCCTGACATCGGAGAGTCCCTGCTCAACCCGAAGTGTCAGTTGCCTGGAGAAGAAATGAATCAATCATTGGTATTGATACTGTAGCCATACACCCCCGTCGCTGTAACCTGTCATGGAAGAGGCCGGAGTCGAGCTCTAGTGGAGGATTCGGACGCTGCCCACAGGCTTCATGCAATGACCTGTGCTCTAAGGGATCGGTTCCACGGGGCTAGTGGTCAGTCTCGCGATTCTTGCGAGAGGCGGTTCGCATTATGCTAGTGGGTATATTTCATTGTCGAATACGAGATGCAAATCTGGCTGAAGACAGATCAGGGAACAAAGGGGCAACTTCTATCGCATCCCACCACTGGCAGTGGGCAGAGTACAGTAAGTAGATGCACGTCTGCATCGAATGTTGAGATTTTGAAATGAGTTGGGCAGTGTATCTAGCCCACTCTCAGTGGAGTTCATGATAATTTCCAGACAAACTTCAGCCCGCGAATCTTCCCATTCGAACCTTCCCACCACAGCAACAGCATCCAGCCGGCAGATGACCAATGACCGATGACCAGTCTGACGCCGGTCGGCCCTACCACGCCCTTCCACGCCGGCCATGCGCCCCCAGAAGAACAATTCCGGGCTGGGATGCCACTAGCCCAACTCTGCCACCGAGCTGACCTCCAGGCGCGAACGAACGGCCCTGCCCTATCGTCAACAGCGCCGGAAACCGGAGACGGCCGCCGAGCGCCCGAGCGGGGTCACAGCCCATTGTCGCGCGACATCACCGGCGTGTGTCGGCTTTTTGCCCTTCTTAGGGGCCGCGGCGTGGGCGGTGCGGATTTGCGGGACCAGTTCACGATGGCCGAAGAAGTGCCGACTATCGCCGTCATGCCAGGTGGGGGGAGATTGAGTGTGGGTGGAACCAGGGTGTCGCGATCTTGGACGACCAGAGCAATATCTAACGAGCGATGTACACTGTAGGATAGATCGCAATGATCGCTGGGCTCTTGGCGCACCCAGGTGTCCAGTGAGTGTCTAGCGAGTGTCCGCTTTTTGATTTCCCCATGAGGTGATGCGCAGAGTTGGCCTCCACTGTGTGTCCTGTGCTCTTACTGGCCCACGGTGGTGCCGTGGATTTGCATTGATGAGACCGAACGACAATGCGACAACGGGACCGCACGGTAGGGCAGAAAAGCTCTCGTGGTCCATGCGAGAGCTGACAGCTTTGCTGGTGAGTTAGTGTTGATTTTCATTCCTATGGTAGGTTGTTCAGTGCCTTCCGCGCTTTGAGCCCTTTCGTCCGCGTCGATAGTTCGGTCTCATGGTTTGGATTTCATTTCCTTCGTTCGCTTGAGTGTAATGTGCGAGCCGTGAGCTATGCGTCGCTGGCTGGATCATGCTTATGCGTACGTTCCGGCTTGATGCTAAGTTTATACTTCACCCTTGCAAGCGTGTAGGAACCTCCGGGCATGGTGCTTCGTCGTTTCGGCGGAGCCCGGTGGGTCGGGCACTGACCCTGGCCCTGGTTCATGCTGCTCGACACAGTTGGTGTGTCAAGCCTCCTCGTTCCCGCGTTGCGCCCGACTAGAGAGATGGGATCAGCCAGGGGGCTGTTCTGGACCACTTGAGGCCAGCCACCAACTTGTCCGTGGAACGCGAGAGAAGGGGGTGATTGGGGGAGAGGGGGACCCACGATCTGTCGGTAGTCCAATTGAGAGGTATAGAGGGGGCAAGGGGAGGCCCATGCAGTCCAATGGAGAAGAGCGAAGGGAGGGAGTCCCGGCACACCTGCTCTTCTCAGACACGAGGTCATGTGGATCTTCGAGTTCGATGAACCCCGCACGGTCAGGCACAACATGCTGGGCTGGGCTGGTTGGCTGCTAACGATGGAAGCTAAGCATATACTTCAGTAGTCAAGTTACGTAGTCAGTTTGGACGGACTCCGTACTTTAGTGTTACATATGTAAAAGCGGAGGCAGAATGGAGCATGTCCTCCTCCGTCTCGACGTAGTTAGGACGGTCAGGTTCGTTGCCCCGTCTCTTTCCGGATGCTTTTTTCCCAACGCCTCTTGAAAACTTTGATGCCCACATCACGCCTCCCAGGAACGCGCGCGCCAGACAACCACGATATGCGGTCAATTACCGACCTGCAGTAACCACCTCCACCCAGAGACTCGCGATGGTATCCTTAGTGCGTCGGCATTAACCGGTGGTTCATCTCCACTCCAAACGGGATGGTGCGGGAAGAACCTTTAATTGGGACCCGCCAGGGGCCCGCCAGGTGCCATTGATTCCATCCTGAGCCGGGTGTGCGGGCATTCAAACATATTACGTACGGGCATGGTGGAGATACTCTATACGGAGTCCGCCGAATGCAACGCGGCGTGGTCTACCCCGGGCGTATTTCATGCTGTTTGACGCGAGGGCCATGGTTGTACCCCTGCGACAGGCACGCCCGACAACTGGCTTGGGCCTAGGCCGTATTCTTCTGATCCTCGTCCCGCGTACTCCGTCTCTGCTTAGTGTCAGATCACGACGATCTTCTCGGAACTGAAAATTGTTCTTCTCGAATGTTGACTTGGATGGGTCCGACTCCATTGGATTGCATTAAGTTGCTTGACCGGCCAGCTAGTCCTCGCTAGGCTGGCACCAGAGGCGGACCAACCACAGGCCGTTTGACGGACATCCACCCCCGTGACCAAGAGCTTGCGATAATTTCCGCTTCAGACCATCGATGAGGGCTCCGAGCTTGAATCCCCAGTACCTAGACCCAACAAGCGACGAGAAGGCAACTAGCAGGGATCGCTGCTGGAATTTTCCCGGGTTTCCACTCTTGGCCACCCGGCCTCAGCTGATGCGTCCAGAGCCCAATTGGCTCAAAAGGCTTAGGTGTGAGGGCCCCCGTCCCTAGCCATACGAGAGGCGAGAAACCTTGTCACTGAAGGTAGGGTCAGGATGCGAGACGGGACAGTCGCGACGTCGAGTACCTAGTGACCTCCAGGGCGCTTTACTCCCGACATGACGAGGGGTTTTCCCTGTTGGTCGTGCGGCAGATCCTGGGGTGAAGCAGCAGCAAATGGAGGACCTTCTGGCCCCAACAGGTACGGAGTATCTGTCCTCACAATCCTCCTCACAATCCTCCTCACGACATCCGGCAAGGCCCTTCCGGTGGACTCGGTCTAAACGCCCTGCCACATTCCATCCCTTTGGTCACGAGCACCCCGGCACCCTCCGGACTCGTCTCGCCACGGCCCAAGCACTCGACCTGAGCTGTCGGAGACGGAACCGTGACGGCTGAAGCTGCCTGAAGCCAGTCGCTTCTTATGCGGGTCGAGTGACAGCCTGCTGATCTGGGACAAGTGGCCAGACGGGGAAGAACGCAACTGCGTGTCCCCAAGAGGTGGAGCCCGCAGGAATACGTCCCCTCCGAACCTTGTCGATTCCCTGCAGCGGATGTCTGTGCTTGGTCGCTCGAGACGATCCGGCCCACTTACCCCAGATTGTGGACGTTGTACAAAGGAGAGAAATTGCGTAACAGCATTTCAATGTCGGGCTGCCATCAAGGCGGGATTGCGCTTAGACCCGTGGAGGCTGGAGACCGCTGCCATTCTCTGCCAGGGCTGAGAAGGGCCGAGATTGGCCTCGTCCCGTCCCGGTAAACCACTGGACCAAACCTGGGCGAGGCGGAGAGTCAGAAGGGGCCGAATGCCATGCCTGCTATAGGCTGGCAGGTGCGATGGGGGTTGTTCGCGCGGGTTTGATACTCTACGTGGAACCTGCCGCGCTTTCCCCAGCCAAAAAAGGAGATACAAGAGCGAGACCCCGTTTCGGGCTATCCTAGCCTCAGTCGATCCTAGCGCTGCCCCCAGCCCCAATTCCAGCCTAGTGACCGTACCACCTACTGTACTTACCCGACCGGGTCATAGTGTGGGGGGACTGCGTTGTTTTCGGCTGTCCGATTTGCCCCCTGCAAGTGAGATGAAGATGCAAATCGAGAGTTAGACAAGTCCATTCTGATTCAGGCATGATATAGCAGCTGTTCGGGAATGGGCTCAGGTTGGGGATCCTGGCTGTCGGCCTGCCCTAGTTGAGCTATGCTTCCTGGTGACCGCCTGTAAGTTTGGCTTCGGAGAGTAGAATCGGACAGATCCCATGGCCCACGCCTTGTGCCGCATACTCGTGTATCGTGTATTCCGGTATCTTGTGTACGGTATCCATCCCCGCGAATTCTAGCAGTTTGCCGCCTGTCCGAGCCGCGTTCTGCTATGGCTGCATGACTCGCTTCGTCATACTGCCTGGACCCCTTCCCTGAATGGAAGCACATCCTTCCCGATGGAGTTCTGTCTGAGGAGGACATGGGCCGATGCGTCCAGACACGGTGCCATGTCCACCTGGCGGGACTTCGCAGTCAACCGCTATGGCCATTTGTCAATGGGAAAACCGAAGAGAAAATGAAGGGACAGCAAACACCAACGAACAGCGCCCCTTCAGTCACCCAAAAGGAACTTACCACTCCGTAAAAGGTCCACGTTGATGCTGAGCATTGCTTTTTGGGATTATTGTTTTCCTCCCCATTTTTTCCCTCGCTTCATCACTACAAATCAGGGCGTCAGATCCAAAATGCTTGGCAGCCTCCCCCGCATGCAAAGTTTAAACCCTTATAACGAGGTTCGAGGGCCCCCGATTCGTATGACCTCAGGCTTTCCATTACGCATTTAATTCTGTTGCGCAAATGCGGCGCTCTTTTAATAAATATCCTTCATCTCGGAACCTCCCCACTCTTTTTCCTCTCCTAGTCTCCTCGTCTCTCCGTCTACTTCTGACGTACTTCGTCCGGCCTCTGCCTCCCTCTCCCTCCCTCGTTTTCGTTCTGTTTACTCTTTGGCCCCCTCTTACTCCTCTTTCGTGATTGTCTCCCCTCCACGATCTCCCGAGCGGCCTGCCACTAACAGAGTCCGACGCTACGCCTGCAGTCGATTCCTATTCCTCGCATAACTTAGGACCACTGTCGTCCCCACCCCATTTATATTCTTGGCCCTCTTCTACTCCTCCCCTCCCGTCCTCACCCACGCTACAGCCAGCGCATCTGGTTCACACCTGGTGCCATCCCGCTTTCGCCCGGACCGCCCATGTCCAATGTTGTCTATGCAGAATTCGCCGTATTTTGCGCACCCCGATGTGAACGGGTCGGGCCTGCAGGACGAGCGCTGCGACAGCCCCTCGGACATCCCCACTCTCCGCTCGGTCACCACCGCGCTCCGAGCCAGCACCTCCAGCACCAGCACCGGCGCCAGTCCCGATGATACGTCCACCGACTCCCACGACTGGACGGGCGACCGTTCCGATCACTCCCCGGATCGGGATGCGCACGCCAACGGCTACCACCCGTCGGGTGCCCTCGATTCCGTCTTCACGCTCGATCGCGCGCAACACGACATGGACAGCCTGCCCAAGGTGGAGGAGTTGGACGAGGATCTCCAGAGCATCAAGCCGTCGGATGTGGGGGCGGAGGAGCAATATGAACCGGGAGCGCCCGCGGCTGTTCCACGGAAACGTGGGCGCCCACGCAAACACCCGCTCCCTGCGCCTGGCGGCCAGGTTAAGGTCACCAAGGGCCGGTCCAAGACCGGCTGTATAACCTGCCGTCGCCGGAAGAAGAAGTGCGACGAAACCAAGCCTGCGTAAGCGGTCCCCTGGTCCTCCCCCTCCCCCTCCCTCTCCCTCTCCCCCTCTCCCCCTTCCCCGCCGCTTCGATCTGACAGGATTGGGGATGTCGCAGGTGTCTCAACTGCCAGAAGAATGCCGTCGTCTGCGAGGGATACCCCCCGAAAGAAATTTGGAAGAGCGGCCGCCAGAAGATAGCCGATGGTATGTCGTGCCGCGATCTCAATTTCGACGTGCCGGCGCAAACATCTCGTACTGACGTCCCCCTCCTCCTAGCCGTCCGCACACAGTCCCTGACCACCGTGCCTCGAAACCTTCCCCTTCTTATTGATGGCATCGAGACCGACATCGACCGCCGCTTCCTTGATCACTTTGTGTACGGCTTCAGTCGGGTCTTGACCCTTATCAACGATGACTCGAATCCCTTTAAGGAGATCCTCCTGCCAATGGCCACGCAACACCGGGGGCTGATGCATTCTCTCATGTGCTTGTCGGGGTCGCACCTGTCCGGTCTGGACCCAGAGCCCAAACTGAAGGAGCGCAAATACTTCCACTTCCACCGCGCGATCCAGGACCTCAAGGACAATATCACGGCGTCCTCGTCCCAGAGCGCGGGCGCGGGCGCGGATCAGGACCAGCAACTACTGGTCGAGGACCCGATCATCGCCTCAACCATTGCACTCAGTCTGAACACCATCTGTGAAGGCGAGACCAATGGCGAGTATCGCCCACATATGGATGCCGCCCGATATCTGCTCGTCTCGCAGCAACCGCGCAACGAGAAATTCCGCCAGTTCATCGTCGAGTTCTTCCAGTACCACGATATCTCGAACGCGCTCACCTCCCTGGACCGCCGGCCCTCACTGATGCAAGGCGGCCTGCGTCTCCCCGACTTCGTCCCCGGCGCCCAGGCCGGCAATTTCCTCGGGGTGTTCGATGGGTTGTTCAACTACATCTCCGAGATCACCCAGCTGCGGGACCGGATCCGTCAGCGGTTCAACGAGGGCTACGAGCCTGCCGTCGACTACCAGACTCTGAGCGAAGCGGTTCAAATCGACACGGCGATCCGAACGTGGAAGACCTCGCACGAGGAAGACTCACCGAACTGGTTCCTGGCGCAGCTGTACCGCCAGTCCACATGGGTATATCTGTACCGCACGATCCGGCCTTCGCGCCCGAGCGATAAGATTGCGCAAGTCGTCGACGACGGCCTTGGCTATCTGGATCAGCTACCCCAAGATGCTGGTGCCTACAGCATCGTCCTGATGCCGCTCTTCCTGCTAGGATGCTCGGCCTTTCTCCCGCAGCAGCGCGAGCGCATCCAGCGCGGCTTTGAGTCCCTCAAGGCCTATTCTAACCTCCGCAACATCGAGCCTGCCTTCAAGGTAGTGACCCGTGTATGGGAGATTATGGACACCAAAATGGAGGACAGCTGGGACTGGGAGAAAATCATCCGTGATATGAACATGGATTTCCTGATCACCTAGTTCCCGTTTGCTACCCTTTACCGCTGATCTTTCCCTACCTATCTTACTTTTACGCCCTCATGTTGATACCCTCTACGCACGATTTCTTGGTTACGTTTTCTTTCTACCTGTTCACAGTTGTCACGCAGACGGGTCGTACCCCGCTGTATCTGGACAAGAAATTCCCTGTTTTCCGGTGAAGGTATGTGAATTTCTGGCCCTCAGCATGGCGATCATTCCTTCCGGCTGTACTATGTTATGTGGCGTTTCGTTGCGTTGCGTTCTACTCTGCTTATGTGATCTGTCTTGTTTCTGTTCTATGTGAACCATGCATATGCATTGGGAAAGGCGGGGGCATGGGAGGCCTGGTTGCCCTAAGTTTTGAGTTTTGAGTTTTCTTTTCTTATTTGCTGTTCTGATGGCTGGCGACTTACAATGCGTGTGTGTCCGCAGTAAGGGGCGGGGGGGAATGTGGAGGGGGTGCATGGTGCGAGAGGCGCACATATACGGGACTCGTCCAACGGTCAAGCGGTCAAGCTGGACCGTGGCCTGGACGTGTCTGATCGTGTTTCCTCTCCTCATCTTCGGAAGGGCGCTGTGCATCGTTCTGTACATTTCTCCCGCTTTTGCGAAGTGGATATGCAGAAAGTCAAAAGCAAACCCCAAAAAAAGCTGTGGTGTTCGAGTTCGGGGGCGAGGGCCGGTATTTTTGCGAGAGAGCGTCGGCTACCTCCTCTTCATGACGACAGGGGCATTTTGCTCTCCCTTGATGGATGTTTTGATCGGGCGGGGTTTCTTGCATATGCCTTTTATGGATCTATGTTGTAAATATCCTTTGATTCTGCTCTGTATGTATTGCTGCAATTGGAAGCTGTCAATATCTGTGTATATAGGATGGTCCATACAAAAAGTTTTTGACGTCTTGAGGCTTGGATCGAAGTCATAATGTCGTTGGGTTTAGGTTTGAGCTCGGCCTTCAAGGTTAGGGCAGTCACCTTGCTTTCATGATTGACTTCGCTGTACCTAATAGGGCGAGGTTCAATGCCCGATCAAATAGCTACATAAGATCTGTGTGACAAATACTGAATGTCACCTTTCACATTCCCTAGAGATCTAGTTGGTGGGTGTCGACGCCGTTCCAAGTGCGGACTTGAAAATCATGGTTTTCGTCGAAAGGCCCAATAACTATCCAGGAACACAGAGTTTGGCTTTTCTGACTTGGATTAATGCTAAATAGAGACCCCTTGACCACCGGAAAGCTTCTCATGTCTACGTGGTGCATCCATTTGTCAGTGTCGATCATGAACATCACAGGGAGACAACCTTAAAACTCTTTTGAAACAGCGGATAGACGAACTTTCCCTTCACTTCATGAGCGCATCCGTCGCATATCATAAATGCTTTTCGTTTGAGCTAGAAAAGTTACCGAGGTCATCAGGGGAGCGAGAACGATATCTATGTTCCTCCGGGATCGAAAATAACAGTTTGATCCAAGTTTTCTTTCATTACATACCTCTCCATGGCAATGACGAATTACCGGACAAGGACGCGGGCACAACCCACGGATTCTTTGTTAACACCATTTAAAATGACAGATCATCCATGTAACTGATTAGGATGTGGCCCAGTCTTTCGAAGTCGCCCAAAGGTCGATCAAAGTGTCCCACCTAGACGACCGGCTGCCTCAACCTTTCAGCACCAAGTGCCTCATTTTGCCCTTCCTCCCCCGATCCCACCGATTGTCTCAATCATGGCATCTGTCTACTCTTCCCCACGCCCTCGGACCTTGGGCTTCCCAACCAAGATCGCGCCTCTTAGAGGCGACCAGCAATCCAGCCCCCGGTCGTGAACGGGGGCCGGCAAATGCGGCGGATTGACAGTAAGTAGTCACAAACCCACCTGCTGCTTCCAAAGGACACATTCCTCACCATCCTGACCAGAAACCACCTCCGAGATCTGGGGCCCGCCCGTCTTCGCCCACCGCCGGGCCTCCGTTGAGCAAAGAGTCACGGGCCAAAACGAAGACATGCTCCGCACATTCCACCCAGCCTTGCGCTCCGAGCCCGAAGTCTTCGCACTCACCCGGAAAGGCACCGGCCACCAAGTCTGGCTCGTGTTCCCCCGAAAAGGCGACAGCGGCCCCTTCGCTCATATCGGCGGCCGCGCAGTGCATACACAGCCCTTCTTCGAGACACCAGCCGAGCACGGAACGAGGTTCGCGAAGATGGTGGATGACCCCATACCGCGTCAGATCGATGTGCAGGCGGCCTTGGCTCCGGAAGACCTTGCGCAGATCAAGGCGGCTTTTCCGCGGGCCATCGGAATTCAGATCTTTCAGTGCGAGTGTGCAATCGTCTTCTTTGATCGAAGGGAGGATATGCTGCGTTCTTGGGAAGATGGGACACCGCCCAGTATTGGTGGGCTTATGGTTGGATATCGGTGTTAGGTTGGATGGATTTGACGGAGTTGGCGTGGCTTGAAGCGAATCATATCTTGCTGCAGGGTTTTTTCCATCTCTACTTCTACTAATTTATTGCTATGCACTTGCACCAACCATCTCATGACGGCAAGACTTACTCCAAGAGCACTCCTACGCTTCATATATCACCATCCAGGACTTTGACCAGATCGCTCACGCTGGGGAGTTTTCCAACATGAGAATATCTTTCTATCGTTCCACAATTGAAGTTACTGGTGGAACATGAATAGAGGTGTGAACCTCCTCCGCATCCCGACTAGCTACCCTGCCTTGGCCAAGGCCCCCGAATTTGAACGGTACCACTGCAACCAGAAGATCTCTAAAGAATATTTGTACGTAGTGAGTGAACGGGGACAATACTCTTTTTTGATGCCCATCCATAAAGCCAGACCCCCCGCTCGCCTCTAGTGTTCTTCAGTTAGATACGCGGCTCGGGCCCAGCGCGGAGTTACCCCGAGGTGGTCCCGCCACGAAGAGGGTCATCCCACGCGTGGACCGCGGGGCCGTCTGGAGTCCACCGAGGTCGGCCAGCGTTATGCCGAGCTGTCACCCCACGTTTGAGGACGGCCCCCTCTTTGTGTCATTCTGCGCTCAGCATCTTAGCTTCCTTCATATTTCTCTGTATTGATTATAGAAATAGTCTCCTGACACACAATGCCCTTCTCTACCGCCATCCGCTCAAGTCTACAAGGCTCGACGCCCGCCTTCGGCTTCTGGCTCACGTATGTTCGATCTTAACTCGGACCGAAGTCCGTTGACGCAATTCCTACGTGTCATCGCCCGACAAGCGGTCTAATACGGGTCATTGTCGCTAATTTCATTCATGTGCAGCCTTCCGAGCGCTGGTCTTGCTAAAACTATCCTCCACGGCGCCTCCGGAACCTCGGCAAGGTTTAGCTGGGTCCTGGTTGATGCGGAACACGGATTGATCTCTGATAACCACTATTATGAGGTTTGTGGATGGCGGTGACCCGAATATCTATTGTTTCAATGAACTGATCAATGGCTCGAAGCTCAATAATGCCATTGGCCACGAGTCTGCGAGCCCCATTATCCGCGTCCCTTGGGGAGAGGAATGGATGATCAAGCGCGCCCTCGATGCGGGTGCTCACGGTATTATGACTCCTATGTGCCACTCCGAAGTATGTATCAGCCTATTGGCAGCTTGGCCCATCCTCTTATGGGGGTGTGCAGCTCTGATAATGATCCTTTCGCCCGCAGGTTGATGCAGCCAATATTGTCAAGTACACCCGGTATCCGCCCCAAGGTACCCGCGGTTACGGCCCTATGTTTGCGCCTCACTCGCTCCCCGGAGTGAACCCCGGACCCGACTACGATGAGCAGGTGAATTCCAGCGTGACTGTGTGTGTGCAAATAGAGTCGCGGCCCGGTGTCGAGAATGTGGAGAAGATTGCCGCCGTGGACGGCATCGATGTGCTGTTCATTGGCCCCTTCGATCTTGCCAGGCAGATGGGCGTTACTCGTGGTGGCGATGAGCACGAGGCTGCTATTCAGCGTATTCTGGGCGCTGCCCACAAGGCCGGCAAGAAGGCGGCTATTTTCTGTATGTCCGACCTGTTTCGCTCATGATATATTTGGAAGGTTGGCAAAGCTAAAATTATTACTTCTAGGCACTGACGGGCATGATGCCCGCGCCCGTGCGCAGCAAGGCTTTGACATGATTTCCGTCAATACAGATGTTGGTGTGATCCGGGCGGGTATGCTGAATGAACTGAAGACTGCCAACGGAGAGGCAGTGCAGGGTGATGCTCGTGCGGGCTACTAGATTAGTGGTATTTTTAAGGTATCAGGTCCGCTGTGATAGATATACTGCATCGATAATCTCAATCACGAAATTTATCTATTCTCCAACCCTTTCCGAATCCCTCTATTTCGATCTGCACTCGAAACGCAGCTCTCTCTGTGGAATACTTTCGGCTTTGTCTCTCGCATATTCATTGGAGTAGATTGATATAGTGTAGAATAGTTATGTCTCCGAGAACTCGATCATGGACCCTGCTCGAATCAGCAAATTGCAAGAGCATAGCAATAGGGTCTTGGACATGTGTCTTAGATGTCGAATCAAATCCATGGCATGGTTGGTTTCTTAATTTCTTTGTCCGACAAGATCGACGCTAGTCTGAAAAGTCTACAGCAACCTAATTAGGAAATATCCGTTTCCTTATCCATCTGCGATCTCACTTATTTTTGTCTTGTTCTACAGCAGGAGGACTGTTGTAACTATCACTTGTAATATAATTTCTCTGCTCTTTCTCGTTGCTCAAATGCCGAAACCCTCATCATCTTGAGCATGAAGTCGACATCGGCCATTCCGATCGCAAGCCCTGATTGGCCAATTTGACTCGCTTAGAAGCATCTAAGCAACGCCACGTGTTGAGGCGGCCGGGTTTCAAGCGAGCCAGGCCAATCAGGATGCCGACGGGTGACGGGGAGATTTATAGGCCGGGGACGAGGGGCGCCTAAAAGGGAGCTGGGTCGCTTCAGTCTCCCGTGGAATTTTTGGTCAGCTTGTGAAAGCCATCACCGCACCGGATGTCTCTTTCATCCATGATTGCAGTCTGAGGGGACCTGAGTTAATCTGGTAACCCCGCGCGGGATACCTTACTCTGCGGTCACTTGACATCATTTGAACGCGGCCCGCTCGGTCGAAAAACCTCCGAGATCTGGTCGCTTGAAACTTGGAAATAACGTTGCAATATTAGGAGGCACGGTGTTGAAAGCTACCTGAAGCTGATCCTTAGTTTTCACGATGGAGAAGGACAAGACAAGCACCGACATCGCTATTCAAAAGGATGCCCCGTCCGACGCTGTCCTTCAGGATGCGGTGTACAACCTATCACTACGCGCGGTCAATCCGGTGGATGTTGGTGTGAGCAATCTGTCTCTTAATATCAATATCGCTTCATCAGCATGGCAAACATCACCATCCCACCTCTGGCGTCACCTGCGAGGGCGGAAACCCCAAGGCACCTCGAAAAAGATACTGGGCGGAGTTGACGCGGCTATGCCAAGTGGTAGCTTAACAGCTATCATTGGCAGTAGTGGATCGGGAAAGACATCTCTCCTGAATCTGATGGCTGGTCGAATGTCCATTTCGCGGGCGACAGTCTCAGGAAAGACGACGTTCAACGGAAACAGCGATATCAACAGCGTCCGCAGCGCCTATGTCATGCAAGAGGATGTCCTCATTCCAACTTTGACCGTTCGCGAGACCCTGCAATACTCGGCGGACCTCCGACTGCCACCGCCGACCACTCAGGAAGAGCGCCATGCCATCGTGGAGCAGGTCATCCTTGAACTTGGACTGAAGGAGTGTGCTAATACTCGCATTGGCACAACCGCGCATAAAGGCTGCAGTGGTGGTGAGAAGCGCCGCACGAGCATTGGTGTGCAGTTGCTATCAAACCCCTCGGTGCTGTTTTGTGATGAGCCTACGACGGGCCTCGATGCCACCAGCGCTTTCCAGATCATCCGGACGTTGAAGCGACTTGCGCAAGATGGTCGCACCGTGATCGTGTCGATCCACGCCCCTCGCTCCGAGATATGGAGACTTTTTGATAATGTAATTCTTCTGGCTCGCGGGTCTGCGTTATATAGCGGGCCTGTGAGTGAGTGCCTGGCGCACTTTGAACAATGCGGTCACTCTCTGCCTCCGTTCGTTAACCCCGCCGAATTTCTCATTGACTTGGCTGCCATCGATACTCGAACCGAGGAACTGGAGGCAGCATCACACGCCCGCGTTCATCACCTCCAGCAAGCATGGGGATCTCGGCCAGGGCCAGAAGCAATGGTTGACGTTTCTGGCGATGGCGAGAAGAAACCACCAGTGACACCACCGTTGACCGACGCGGATACAGGTGCCATGAAGAAAGTCTCGTTTCGCCGCCAGTTCCGTGTTCTCACATCACGTACTTTCATAACGACCATCCGAGACCCAATGGGAGTTGCCGGCAGTCTCCTCGAAGCTATTAGTATGGCTGTAATCAACGGCTGGATCTTCCTACAGCTCGACGAGAGCCTGACGGGCATTCGTTCACGCCAGGGTAGCCTGTACACGGCCACCAGTCTGAATGGGTACCTAATCCTGCTGTTCGAGACTTACCGATTGACAATCGACATCCGTCTCTTCGACCGAGAACGCAACGAAGGCGTAGTCGGTGTACCGGCGTTCCTGCTGAGCAGGCGAGTCGCCCGGTTTCCCCTGGAAGATCTGCCGGTGCCACTACTGTTCTCTAGCATCTTCTACTTTATGGTGGGCTATCGGCTTGAAGTTGAGCAGTTTTTCATCTTCTTCTCTGTGACGCTGCTCACGCACTATATCGCGGTAACGTTTGCAGCGGTGTCCATCGGCGTAGCGAGAAGTTTCCCTGGCGCAAGTCTGGTCGGCAACATGTGCTTCACCCTGCAGTCGTTTGCGTGTGGATACTTTGTGCAGTCTCAGCAGATCCCCGTGTATGTCCGGTGGCTCAAGTGGTGCGCTTACACCTTTTACACATTTGGGGCACTGTGCGCAAACGAATTCATCGGCCCTGGCGGCTCAGGGCTTGGGCAGTTCTACGACTGTCCATATTCTGATGACCCACATGATCCAGCATGCAGGGAATATACGGGGCGATACATTATGGACAGCCTCGGCATGCCATCCAATTGGATCTGGCGACCGATGGTGATACTCGTTGCGTTTACCCTTGGCCATTATCTGTTTGCAGGTCTGTTGCTGCAGTACAATCGCTTCGCGATTGACATTGCCCAGGGCCGAAAGTCGGAAGGCGACCCTTCAGCTGGCAAGGCTAAGATCGTGGTTCGTCCTGCCGAGGAGGCCCGGCGAGTCGCTATCTCGTTGGACAAGTATGCGCTTGCGATCCGAAAGCGACGGATGCCGTGGCAACGCAAGCAGATGCTTCAGATTTTGCGTCCAATTACCGCTGAGTTCCAGCCCGGAGAGTTAAATATCATCATGGGTCCATCTGGAAGCGGCAAGACATCGCTGCTCCACTCGATGGCTCGAAGGCTGCATGATTCTGCCGGCACACAGTATCACGTCAACGGTCAAATGCTGTATAATGGGGCCGTGCCATCCGACAATGTGATCCGCTCAGTTACGTCGTTTGTGACCCAGGACGATGATGCCCTCATGCCTTCGTTGACGGTGCGCGAGAGCCTGCGGTTCGCCGCAGGCCTACGACTGCCTACGTGGATGACGCGCGAAGAAAAGAACCAGCGCGCCGAAGAAATCCTGTCCAAGATGGGCCTCAAGGAGTGCGCCGACAATCTCATCGGCAGTGAGCTGATCAAGGGGATCAGCGGAGGCGAGAAACGCCGAGTCACCATCGCTATCCAGATTCTCACGGACCCAAGAGTGCTATTGCTAGATGAGCCTACCTCGGGCCTGGACGCCTTCACAGCGATGTCAATCATTGAAGTGTTGCAGGGCCTCGCTGCTGAGGGCCGCACCCTGATCATGACCATCCACCAGTCGCGCTCAGATCTGTTCAGCCACTTCTCACAGGTTCTGCTTCTGGCTCGTGGCGGCCATGCCGTATACGCCGGACTAGGGCAGCAGATGCTCGCGCACTTCGCCAGCTTGGGCCACGAGTGTCCGAAAACCACGAACCCAGCGGACTTTGTATTGGATCTCATCACGGTCGATCTGCAACAAGCAGACCGCGAGACCATCACTCGCCAGCGCGTCCAGCAGCTGATTTCCCGCTGGACCGTCGCCACACCGCAACTGGGGCGGACGTCGTCGCAAATTGCGACTCCAGCGGAGCTGGGAAGTTTGCGACGGCAGATGCTGCCGTTGCGTGTCACATTCCCGCTTGTGCTGCATCGATCCTTCCTCAACTTCTGGCGCCAGCCACCACTGGTGATGGCCCGGTCAATGCAGGTAGTCGGCATCGCCATAATTATGGCGCTGTTTTTTGCGCCGCTGAAGAATGACTATGCTGCTGTGCAGTCTCGCATGGGCTTTATCCAAGAGTTTGCCGCATTGTATTTTGTTGGTGAGTCTTGTCATGTCTCTCTATATGATTTTCTTCAATCATGGCTTCGAATGCTGATTGTCTATCTAGGGATGCTCCAAAACATCGCCGTTTACCCCAACGAGAGAGACGTTTTCTACCGCGAGGAAGCCGACAACTGCTACTCTGCTGAGACATTTATCCTGTCCTACACGACCATCGAGCTCCCCTTCGAGGTGGCCTCAGCGCTCGTCTTCGGCGTGCTGGCCGCCTTCGCCGACAATCTGAAACGCAGCGTAAAGATGTTCCTGATCAGCGCCTTTAACTGTTTCTGCATCATCAGCTGCGGCGAGTCGGTAGGCATCATGTTCTGCACGCTCTTCTCGCACGTTGGCTTCGCCGTCAATATCACCTCCGTCCTCCTCTCTATCTCCACCATCCTCGGCGGCGTGATGAGTCTGAACGTCAACGACGTCTTGCAGGGCCTCAATCACCTCTCGCCGATCAAGTATTCTATTGCCAACCTAGCGCCTTACTCCATGCATGGGCAAACATTTAGTTGCTCGCCGTCGCAGCAGCTCGCGGATGGGAGCTGTCCCATTAATACGGGTGAGCAGGTGCTCGCGCTGTATAACCTGGACAAAGATGGGCCCCTGAATGTGATGGCTCTGGGCATATGCACGATCATCTATCGCCTAGTTGCGTACGCATTTCTCAAAGCCATGCGGCCGCATCGCTTCATGGAACGGTGGCGTGACTGGAGCCAGTCGAGACGGTCGAGTTAATGCCTTGTCTCTATCACCTTCCCTTTATTACAGATACCCCCTGCCCCCCGTAGTTTCTTTCTTGAAAGCCTGATTCGTCTCAGTTAGACTTCTTCTCTTCGTCTTGTTCGTCTTCTTCTTCTTCCTCTTCCCGTGAACAAGGCCCAGACAAAGCTGATTCGACGCCTGGAGCATCGACAAGACCTGAGGGATACTCTTCATCCCTGTCGGCACCGGAGGCCGCCGGGAACAATTGCCCTGTAGTAGGCAGCCGCAACGAGCCGCTGCGCGATCATCCGGGCGGATTTTCTGAATGGGCCACGAAGCCCGCCTGACGGATGGCAACCGAGGCCCAATGAGCGCCGACTGACTTCAACCTTGGGGATGGAGATGCTCCCACTCGTCCCCGTCGATTCATCGAGTCGTCGCCAGTAGCATCGTATACCTCCCTTCGACCGACTCACCCACACCGGCCATGCCCAGCCTGCCAAGGCCAAGAACACATCCAAACCGGCAACGAGTATCGCCCACCGGCGCCCCCCAAAAATCGAGTCCGAATAGAATGAATAGAGTTTCCCTAGAAGCGTATTAGTATTTTCGAACTATCTCGTGGCCCCAAGATTCGGCTCGCGGCAGCTTGGCGCCAGCAGGAAATTAGAGGCGTTTTAGCGCCAACAGATCCGTCCTTCGCGCTTCCGAATTTTCTTTCGACCAGCACCGTCCTTTGCGGTTGACCCAACGCTCCGAGGCGTTGTGTCCTTGGATCACAATGGCGAATTGTAGTGTGATTGGCGGAGCCAGTGAAGACGTCTGGCGGAACGAGCGGTTCGGCCAATCGTCCAACACAATCGGAACCGAACAATTGCAACAAAAATGCATTCCTTCACAGCCACAAACCCAAACATTCGGAACTGTCCAGGAGAACGGAACCGCACTTTCTCACCAGGAACAAGGTCCACCAACGTCTCTGAATGGCCAGTCAAGGCCAGTGCCTGTTCATTTTCCCGGTGCTTGCCTTGTGGCAGCGGGGCAGAGAGGGTGCAATGAGAGTGCAGCAGTCCTCCTTGCGACGTCCCCTGGAGCAGATACTCATAATTCTCATACGTCTCCTGCACCAGGCACCGTCGCCCCTCGGCCAGCCAGCAGCGAGCCAGCGGAGAACGCGTCGAACACGAGAGGGAGCCCGCACAAGACCCAAGGCCCCTGCCCTGAAACCCGACGCTGGATCTCCGACCATTTGCTCGTAGACGGACCCCTCGGACCCTCTGACCCTCGCCCAGTGGGGTGGGGCGCCACGTCGCCCGCCCTGAAGCCCTGCAACGGCGAGGCACCAGGCTCGCCATCCGACTGGCGGGCGATCGGCGGGCACCCTCGAATCGCAGCGCGCACGAACGGGGGCGCCCGCCTTGTCCTTCGAGTGGGTGGGGTGTCTGCGAATCGGAGTTGCAGGAGGGCCCTGGGCTTGCAGCGATCGAATCGGGGGTGCCCTGGCGGGGGGGTGCCTGTCCATCACTTGGTCTAGAAGCGATCGTGTGAGTGCATTGAGGTCAGTTTTTTTTTTTTTTTTTTTTTTTTTTTTTTTTTTTTTTTTTTTTTTGGTTTCGCGCGCGGTTCCACAAACACTTCTTGAAGGCGAATGGGATCTCGGGGAGTGGCATCTCGGCCTGTGCTGTGTTTGAGAGCCTCTGTTTTTTTTTTTCTCCATTTGGAGGCGGTTAGAGTTTGTCTGAAGTCTTGTGCTCTCGGTGGTGTGTGGAAGTAAGAGGTTGGTTAACACAAGGTATGTACGAGGATGGGGGGGAAAAAAAAGGAAGTATTGTGTAAAGTCAATCATGAATGTGGTCATTCAATAAGTATTGTGAAAAGTCAATCATGAATGTGGTCATTCAATCTCTATACAAGTCTATCTCATAACATGCCCCGTGTGTTAACTCCCAGGAGTTCGTGATCTCCCATATTCCAGTTTCGTGGGGTATTCAAAAGGCATCACAAAAGGTTCTCATCATAGCTCGTAGACGACGTCCTGCCCCGGCGGCGGGAATCAACCGCGCACAGGGGGTGGAAGACAGGCATGTCGAATCAACCGAACATGTTGTGGGGGTGGGGTGAAACGCAGAACCCATATACATGGAATCGACATCAACCACCAAAAGGGGCCACTGACTTGGGTGGAACGAAGAGAAAAGCTTAAACAAAGAGGGTCACCAGCCCGGTTAGGGTTTCAGGTGAAACGAAAAGAGGGAAAGAAGAAGACCCTTGAAAGGAGTGCTCGGGTCAACCGGCATGAGGGAATGGCTGCGTTGCGGAAACCAGAAACGAACGAGGGGCAGTGCAACCATTTACTGGCCGATAGTCAGGCCCAGCCCGGTGTTGAGGGGGCAGCCGTGGGTGGCATGGTCGTCGGTGGGCTGGAGATAGGCGGCAGAGCAAGCGGTGTCGCCAGCCTTGCAGATGGCCGAGGGGCAGTTGCCGGTCTGGTCCGTGGGGACGACGGCGAAGCCGAACTGGGTGAACTGGGAGTTGGCACCCATGTTGATGCAGGAGAGATCCCAGAAGATGGTGTCGGGGGTCTGGGTGTACTCAAACTGCAGGACGTCGGCCTGGCTGGGGTCGGTGGCCAGCTTGATGGAGACACCGCCGCCGTTGGGGTTGGTCTGCCAGGCCTCGGTGTAGATGCCGCCGTTGGCAGGCAGGATCTGCATGGGACCCACGACGTCGGTGACGGACCAGGCGTAGACAGGCTGGGCCAGGTTGTTGACGATCTGGACAGCGCCGTTAGGAGCGGCGCTCTGGCGGACCACCATGCCCGAGGGCAGGGCCGAGGCCAGAGCGGCGAAGGCAGCAGCAACGAAGGTCTTGGTGAACATCATTTTGAATAAAAGACGGTGGGAAATCTAGGGTATAGATTTGGAATCGTGGGGAGTGGTAATGAAGGTAAGAGTTGGATCAAAAGATCTATAAGGAATGCAATCGAGAATCGATCTCGAAATGAAAGGAAGGGCCCGAAGGGTAAAGAAAGCGAATGTCTTCAAAAGAAAGAGAGACTGGTGTGAAGAAGAGAAGGATGTTGCGAGGGAATGAGCACGCCCTCTTTATACCCTTTGCAGAGGGTCTCCCATCGCGTCGCCCCGGATAGGTACCGATCAGAAAAAAACGTGTGCGGGCCAGTAATGCAACCGCCATCCATGGATCGTTCCAAGGGACCGTGGAGCCTCGGTGAACAAGGTGCAAAATATTAAAAAAGGTGAAAAAGATGAAAATGAGAGTGGGGCCTGCTGGAGGCGAATCAGAATGGGGAGGAAAGGCCGCGATGGCGCGCTTTGCCGGACGTCGCATTTTGGGAAGGGAGTCTGGTTTCAATGGATGGTTCTGGACGCTGGTAGTCGAGTGCCTACTGTACTCCGTACGAGGCACTCCAGGGCCCAATGGAGGTATACCGTGCGACCAGGGGGTATATTCGACGGTCTGTGGCCAGCGTGGCCAGGGGCATCATGAACAGCATCATGAACAGCATCATGAACAGCCCGTTGATTTTGCGGTGTGATGAGAATCCAGAATGGATGTGTCTGGTGGTCTGGTGGTCTGGTTGGTCTCGGGGAAGCTGTGAGGTCCAGCGCATCTGGTGAGTCACGTTCTGCGCATAGTTCGCGAGTCGGTACGTCCCGTGTGGACTGGTGCGTGAGGCGAACAGCTGGCAGTGCGTGAGAGTTCCCGCCAGCATCCTGCACGAGCCGGACCACCCCGCGCAGCCCTAGAGGATGCGTGGCAATAGCCACCATCTCCACACGTCATCCCTTCCGAGCCCACCCGCGGTTCTCCCCAACGATAGAAGCGGCGAAAGAACCTTCTCCCGACTCGCGAGGGCAAGTCTTGCCCAGGGCATCTGGCCTCGGCAGCATGGCGGCACGGACACGTCTTTTGACTCGCTCGGGGACCATGCGAACCATTGAACAAAGACTCCAATACTCCCAATATAGAATCACGCCGTTCAGGCTCAACCGAACCCACGAGATGAGTCCATCGGGCCTGGAGAAACTACCAGTGTGAGCAGCATTCTGGTGCGCTTGCCAGCATTGCCATTGCCATTGCCATTTGCCATTGCCCTTACCCTTGCCCTTGCCGTTCCCAATCTGACCGGTGCACCCTGGACCTGCATGGATCGTTTGACGTGTTCCACATTGGCGCCATCCAGCCGGCCTATGAGATGGGCGCGACACGTCAAGCCCCACCGCCGCCGTGGCTGTCTGGCCGAGAGGCCCGACCTCGTCTTGTTCCTGGATATCGCTGGCTGTGGCCAATCCACCCGACCACCCGACGAAATTTTCTGTTTCTGCATCGCTATCCACCAATCGCCCCCCACCTCGGTGCTAGTGCAGTGCCTCTGACGTCGCAGGGCCCGTTGGGTACCTGTCGATCCAATCGGGAAGGGCTTGCTGTGGTGGCGATTTATCTGGGTTTGGTCAAATGACAGGGAGTGTGTCCCTGGTTGATTTCACCTTATTAATGTGAGTTTGATTATGGTTCTGCGATTCGATTTGCTATGGTTTGTTGTGTGGCCCATGCTGAAGCTGAGCTGAAGACCCTGAACCACAGTGCCCAAACCCGAGGGACGCCGTGTTTTGGTATACGAGGTCATCCGTTTCGACTGCTTTCTTCCCTCCTGCGATGGCGAGACCCGTTGCGCGAAAGGCCCATCGCGCCCATTCCACTGGCATATGCTGCCCTATGGCCGATCGCTCTAGCCCTAGCGTGTGTCCGTCCCACGGCCGGTGGGACACCTTAATGGCAGGAGTGGGCCAAACTAGGCAGTTCGCGGTTTAGTAGGTACTCCGGGAAGAAGGGACTGTTGCTTTCACCGAAGAACTGGGCTGGTCCGGGGCCGCAACAGGGCCCAACAACCGGCGGGGCGATCGCACCCCTCTTTGCATCTTTCTTCCCACTTTTGCCCACTTTGCCCACCCTTCCGCACTTCCAGAAATGCTTGTGATGATTCTAGACCGTGTCTTCGGGCTGGCCGCAGGGGGCGATCGGGCTCTGCCTGGTACCTGCGGTCCTAGAGCGCCCGCTAGCCTGCTAACCCCAACTCGCCAATTTGACGGCCTTGTCGAGAGGGCCTAGAAGGCCTTGGGAAGGCTTGGGAGATGCCCCCCATCTTGCGCACCTGCTGATTTCTTATGTCACTGCCAAGTTGAACGAGGTCTCGGTAGGCTTGGCGGACAAGGCTGTGTTCATCACCTCAGACATCCTGGGTGGGCCGCAGAGGGTTCGAGATGACGATGCAATAATGCAACAATGTGCGGATGCAAGGGTGCTGTAAAGTGCGTAGTAATAGTAAACTATGTCATGACAAAAACTACTTGGTATACTACTGTGTCCAGAGAGAACTTTCCGAGTCTCGCGCCATTTTGTGGCACCCCCGGTGCCTGGCTGGTGGGGGCTCCACTCCACCATCACACAGCCACTGCAGTCACCTTCCTGCTTCGGCCCGCCTTAATCGCCCGTTCCTTTTTCGTGGGCAGGGATCGTTGTTCCTGCAGTCCGGTAGCCCGGAACGGGAGGCCATGAAATTGGCTGGATAGACCAGGGAAGGACAGGGAGTGCCTGGCTGGGCCGAACAATGGAGGTGCCGAGATAGATAGATCTTCGGGGCAAGGCCGTGGTGACTGCTCCTCTCCACCCGCTCCCCTCCCTTCCTCTACCACATTGGTGATCGCATAGCCGATAGACTAGCCAATGTACTCTCGCCGCTTGATTCCTCCTTCTTGCGATGACCGGCCAACTCCAAGTTGATCTGCCGGTGGACATGCACCAGCCAGTCCACGTAGCTTTGGGCTTCGTTGTTCCGGTCCTCCAGCAGCAGCCGAGCAAATTCATACTCCGCCCCATCTAGGCCTTGCCGGGCCAACTGGATGGTCACGGCCTTGGACCCGCGCACCGTGGAGAAGTACTGCAGCAAGTTCCGCACTTGGGCGTTGAGGTGCGTCTCCAGCACCGGCAGGGATGAAGTGTTGGGATTCAGTTCCTGGAGCGAGTCGTGGCCGGGGCCGAACAGGTCCTCCAAGAGGTTGGGCGAGACCTGCGAATGCAGCCAGAGTAGAACGGCCTGACCGTTGTCCACGAGGTAGGCACCGCCGTCTTCGATCTTAGAGAAGCTAGCCCGCAGCGCTGGCGGGACTTGAAGCTGACCGTGCGCGTTGGCGAAACCGTCTTCCGGCTGCAGGTTGTGGATAGGGATGATGCGGGGGTAGAGGTAGAGAGACATTTCAGTGCAGCCAAATGATCGGATCATGCGCATGTCATGGACACGGCGGTCTATCGCTTCGTTGCCACCTGTAGAACCAGTGTCAGTCAGAAGGTCGCCGTCCAATGAGAAAGAAAGATCACTCACCCTTGAACGCCCTGGACTTCACCAAGCTCAGCATGTACATCGAGAATTCCTTCAAGTTCTCCGGCAGAACCAGCTGGCCAGGCGGGTGTGACCCGGAAAAGATCTTGCGGTACCCGCTGAATATATCAACTGTCTTCTCGGAAATGTTGGCACGAATGTCCTTGAGGCTCTTATCGAGTGTCTTGGAGGCAGCTACAGAAGAGGGTTAGCACGAAAAGAAAGTCACTGGGTGTCTGCGAGTTGCCGGTTGACTGACCCTCCTTGGCAATGATTGCCACTATCGCATCCTGATCCACATACTTCATCGTCTCCATGCCACCATCATTGACAGCGGCCACCACGTTGATACACCGGACCCGGCGCTGGCCATCCGCAGAGGTATACAGTAATGCGGCCTGGAAGTGCGCGTCCAGCTTGGGGTCGAGCTTCCCGTCATAGCTGAAGAGAACACCGATAGCCTTCTCCGCGTCCACAGCGCCGATCTCAAGATCGGCTCCCAAGGCATGTTGTACGAAGTTTCCGTGGTAGGACGATACCTGAAGGCCGTTCGAGCATCGCACCTTCATCAAACACTGGTATCCTGTCTCTCGGTTGACAGCATGAGCCAGCTCCTTCCGCACCTTGATGGTGTCGCGGGGTGAGTGATAGTTGGGGTAGAAGAAAGTCTCGCCTCCAGTGAGGGCGGCCACATGCCCTGATCATCAAGTTAGCCTTCCAGGTTCTCCAAACACGCCACGTCTTAGGTTCCAAACATACCAATGGTCGCCACATCCGTATAGACGCCACCCGGAGACGCAATGAAGAAGTCAACGCCCACACCCGCCTCAGCCAGCTTGCTAGCGGTCTTCTTCCATGCCGGATCATCTGTGGTATACAACTTCCGCTCTGCGTCTGTCCCGTGAACGCTCCGGTCATCTCGTTGTTCCGTCAGCTTTCCGGGGCCCCACGTTGGCAGGCTAGCCAGCGCGCAGACAATCTTGCCTCCCGTGGGCTGCAGGGCCGAGAGAGCCGCATTCAAGGTAGGAAGCAATGCTGATTCAGTGATCTTGATATGGGAGAAAATGGCGGGTATCCGGTCTAGAAGAGATGTGATCACGGATCTGTGTTGCACGGGTTAGTAGCTTGGAAAAAGCAATAGCTGACTGGCACATACTTCGATTCGTACGGGTCAACAAACAGGCCCTCACTTAGTGGTACGAATGGCTCTTCCAAATCGGTCATTACCATCATCTGTGCCTGGCCTAACGTCGCCTGAGTGTCCAGTTAGCTCGGGGCTCGCTATTCGGCGAACTGGGACCACCTACTGTGAGATTGTAGAATTGCACCTCCTTGTCGTATGTGACAATGCCAACCTTCGCGCCGGCGGGCAGCTTACGAGCTTTGGACTCATCACCTTCAGAGCCATCCGCCTCCCCATCCTCGCCGTATAAAGCCTCCGCAATACCTGCACAAACGCCCTTCAAGTAACCACGATGTACCGACTCGCGGCTCACATCAATTAAGAAGAGCGTTCGCAGACCCACCGGCTCCTTGTTCCAGTATTCCTTCGGCACCAAAAACTCGACCGTGCCCATCATTAATTCTGGCCGCTGCATGCGGTCCACACGTGCGCCACTTGGATCCAGAGGCGCATAGTATTCGGCGGGCGTGTCATTTGGGAATGTGCACATATTGCAGACAAATTTGCTGCCACCGGCGCGGAAGGACATGAAGGGGTTGATGTACGTGCGGCATCGTCGGCAGCGCGGGGGCCGACATCCCCGAAGTCCAGCACGGGGATCGGTTGCTCGCCAGGGTCCAACGGTGCGAGGGGCTGCAGGACCATGCCCAGAGGAAGGCCGGTGGAGGAGAGGAAGTCGGAGGTCGAGGGGATGTTGTTTAGCGTCAGGCGGGCGTACTTAGGCGAGGAGTTTCCTTGGTCGTGGGCGACAAACGGAATCGAGGCAGGAGGGGGCAGATGCCGGTCCATCGTCGGGTAGACATGGCTGAAGTAATGCTGAGCGGGCAAGTCGCGCGATCGGGGGATGCTGGGGATCTGCTCGGGGTCAATTCGACCTTGCGCGGCCACAGAGTCCGCACCAGTGGGGATCCCTGGCTGCGATGTCATTCCTGGAGCGGACAGTCCAGGCTGAGGAACACCAGCAGGCGCCACGAGCTGCGGGCTTTGGTTCAGGCCTGTGTTGAGGAATTGAGGGGTCGATTGCACACCACCCGCGGGCGGCATCGCGTTGTTGAAGCCTTGCGCCGGGGCAGTCGTGCCAGCTCCGATGTCATGGTGAGCATGACGATGCTTCTTTCGATGCGTCCTAGCTCCAGCATCTGCCGCAATCCCCAGGCCACTCATCTGAGAGGCCAGACCAGCCATACTGGGATCTCCGGTGGCACCCATTGGTGCCTGTTGCGCGGTATTGTACGCGGCATCTGGGCTCTGAGTCGCGTATGGCTGCTGGGGGGAACCGTATGCAGGCCACTGATTCGGCGACGGATTGCCATAGCCAGCTCCCGGCTGGGGAGGAGCTGCACCCGGAGGATAGCCAGCGGCTGGGTATGGTTGAGGAGGGAGGTGTTGGGCTTGAGGGTTCGAAGGGTCGTTACCGGCGCCCTGGCCCATTGCGTGATACATCTGGTCAGCCATGGTAGATCATACCGTGGAGGGAATCGGAGGTGGAGGAGATCAGTAGAGCATGACAGACGAAGCTGCACCCCGCGGTGTTGACGATATACCGGATTGACCACCTTTACCTCCCGCGGATTTACGTGGCTCCGAAGCTCTTCACGTGTGGAACCGTGACTGAACCCACTGAACCAACTTGACTCCAAGTCTCAAGCACAAACAAAGAACAAAACGAACAACCGAATTTTAGATCCATGTTCATTCAGTCTTCCCTCGTTCCCCCCAGCTTAATATTACGAAGCCAAGAAAGATCCCCGAGGAGCGGGCGACTTCGTCCTGTTAGATACTCCGTCGCCATTGCCTCCACCGCTATTCCGCCTACACGGGATAAACATTCAATATTAATATGCCCCAATGCATCCATTCCGCCTCCGTGCTGAGGCAGGCTAGTGAAGAAGTCGGAAACTTCCTCCGACCATCCATCTCGGTCGGATAGCATTGTGCGCTTCCAATAATTATCCAGTGGCCGTCACACATGCCTAACCCTCTCGATGCTTCTGCCCCTGTCATCCGTTCACGAACCCCCTATCGCTAGACTCACTGGATGGCTGCATGGCTGGGTTGGCTGGCCCTAATCTCTGGACGTGCATACCCTCGAATCAATTGATTCGCGCTTATCGGATTGCCCTCCAATTTTGCCAAATCGCCGGTAGCCCCGTCTGGAGGTTTTAGGCTTGGTTCATTCTCACCGTCTCTTTTTCGACGCTCCTGGATCGGAGCTTAGCCCCTCCATCTGGCGTCACCATCGGACATCAAAATTATACCTCCCGTAGAATAGTCTCTAGCGTACTCCCCTGCACGGTAAGTTGCCTCTGTCCCTTTTAACAGGGCGCTCTGATGTTTGATGTTTGCTTTTTCTTCTCCCAACCTTATCTCTTCCCTCCCCTCTTCATTCCGTATGATGGTTCTGACAGTCAACCCCCTAGACCCAGATCGGAAAACCAAGGGGAATTCCACGAATTCGATTGGAAACCCGCTTCCTCTGGTACCACCGCCGATGGCTACGATCCAGGATGATGATGAGCGTCTGCTCGCCCGAATTGGCTATAAACAGGTACGGTGGACATGCCCGCCTAGCTCCGGAATCTGCGGGTATTGCCGTCTAACCTTATTTCCCCGGTATCCAGGAGTTGCGACGAGAATTCTCGAAATGGTCCACCGTGTCGTATGCTATCTCCATCCTCGGTGTCCTCGGCTCGGTGCCAGCGACATTTGGGTCGCCGCTAGCAGCGGGAGGCCCAGCAACCGCCGTATGGTGCTGGTTGATCGGCTCTTGCATGGCCATGTGCATCGGGAGCTCTGTAGCAGAGCTGGTCTCTGCATATCCAACCGCAGGTGGCATGTACTTTGTCACAAAGCACGTGGTGCCTCCTGACCAAGTCCCCATCTTTTCGTGGATTCAGGGTTGGTGCAATCTGCTGGGACAGACGGCGGGGGTGTCGAGTGTGGCCTATACCGTCAGTCAGATGCTGCTGGCATGCGTCAGTATGAACTCGGATCTCGTCAATGGCGAATACTCATACACACCGTATGGGACTCCCAGTCATCGATCGAATGTATATGCTAATGCTATGCTAGAACGGCAATGCAGACCGTGCTGGTATCTATTGGAATGCTGGTCATTCTCGGCATCCTCTGTTCCTTGAGCACAAAAACCTTGCATCGACTGATTCTATGGTTTGCCCCAATCAACAGTATGAGTCCAGCCCACACATCTCCTTCCAAGTTCTGATCTCAACTAGTCTCCGCTACGATCTGCATCTGTGTTGCACTTCTATACCTCACCCCAGACAAGCAGCCGGCCTCGTGGGTCTTTACCCACTTTACGGACGGCTCCGGGTGGGGCTCCAAAGTATTCTCTTTCTTCTTGGGTTTCTTGTCCGTTGCGTGGACCATGACCGATTACGATGGGACGACACAGTACGTATAGCCTCGTATGTGAGCTTCACATGATTCTAATTTGACTTTCTCTACAGCATGTCAGAGGAAACGCACGATGCCGCTGTGCGTGGCCCTGTCGCTATCAGGACTGCAGTGCTGGTATCTGGAGCCTTTGGGTGGCTTCTCACTGTCTGCTTGTGCTTTTGCTTGACTGATTTTGAGGGAATTTTGAGCTCTCCGACGGGCCTACCCGCCGCTCAAATATTCTTGAATGCTGGTGGAAGGCGTGGTGGCACTGTGATGTGGGCCTTCGCTATCCTGGTCCAATTTTTCACGGGCTGCTCAGCTATGTTAGCAGACACTCGAATGGCATATGCCTTCGCCCGAGACAACGCACTTCCATTTTCTGGATTTCTTTCAAAGGTCAACCCCTATACTCACACTCCCGTCAACGCGGTCTGGTTCGTGGTATTCTTCAGCATCTGTTTAAACGTCATTGCGATTGGCTCCACCGAGACGGCAACGGCCATATTCAGTGTCACGGCCCCAGCACTCGACTTGTCCTATGTGTCTGTCATTCTGGCACATCAGATATACAAGAACAAAGTCAAGTTTGTTGAGGGGCCGTTTACTCTAGGAAGATGGGGCACTCCTATCAACTACATTGCTGTAATCTGGGTGTTGTTTATCAGTACCATCCTCTTCTTCCCATCCCAACTGCCTGTGACCGCCGCCAACATGTAAGAGCCCTCCTGACGACCATGCAAACTACAATATACTAATATCCTTTGGGCTAGGAACTATGCAATCTGCGTTGCTGCCTTTATCGCCATATTTGCTTTGGTCTGGTGGTGGGTGGCAGCAAGAGGGTAAGACAGCTTTCCAATGATCAGGGCAGCAGCAAGTACTGACACTATGTTAGAACATACACAGGACCCCAGACCAATGATATCATTAACCAAATACCTAGCGAGGAGAACGGAAATGACTATGACGAGCCCGACGACTGCTCTGTGTAGAAGATATCATATGTCACCAGACAAGATTATCTATTACGTTACACTCAGATCGACAATTGATAATTTTCATAGACGGGTATAGAGAGGGAAACAATATGGGAGTTTGGGTAGCTGTAGAGAGCAATCGTTGTCTCTTTGATTATTGATTATTGCATTTGAGCACGACCTCACTGGAAAGCTTGTTTCTAAAGCTTCTAATAAATTAGGATGGATTTAGCTAACCCATTTGATGCTTAATCTAACGTCTTTCGGGTAGCATTAAAATGTGCACCAACTTGCTCCCGCCATGAGCTTAACACCTAGTCGAGATTGTACGTGTGTTTACATGTAGGATCCGAGAACCTGTGAAATCGGCGCCGAAAATAACCACTTTTGACGCCAGAAACGGCCCCCTTTCCACGGGTAACTTTGGCGCTAAAACCCTTTGCCCGGGGCAGGCACCCCCAAGCATAGGTGATAGATAATTTAATTACACAGTACCAAACTTTATTCAGCCGAGAAAGGTATCTTAAAGTGATTGTAGACTTGGGAGATCATCACAAATGGGTGTTGTGCCGGAATGGTCTAACGCGGATTGACTCGGATCTCTTGTAATCGGTCAATAGTCTGTTCGGAGGCTGCCCAGCAGTCGTCTTTTTGGTCTTTATTTCCCTTTATTGCTTTAGGAGTTAACTGTATGGCTACCTTTAGTGTTCATATTGAGGCTCTCTAGTCCTGGTGGATATGGAATCTACTGCTAATTGTACCACTTAAACAATTTAATGATACTACCTACAACTCTTAATTACTTCCGTGAGAGCAGGGAAAGCTTCACTTAGCCTGCCGGGTTGACTGGCAAACTGCGCACTTCCTTGTCCTGTTTATCTGGTCTCAGTCATCCCGCTGTATATCTTCTTGTCTGGCAGATCATCTCGGCCTTGACAGTTCAATGAACCATCGCTCGTTATCTTTCCCTCTCTGCTCCTTCGACCGGACCGCACCCGCTCCCCTGGCCATCTGTGCTGGCTCAGAGATATTTGTCTCACACCCTTCCTTCTTATTGACACTCTCGACTGCGCCTTCTTTTGAAGGAAGGACGTTCCTGCTCACACTTTCCCCTTCACTTCAACGTCTTCTATTCGCATCAAGGATCTTCATCAGATTCCTTCTGTCACGACATTTACTTTTGCTCCCCAATCTCACTTCACAATGAACTCTGGCGACATACAGTCTGTGGCTTTTCAGTTCCACCTTTTCGGGGACCTCTGGCTTGAAGATCCCAAGAATTTTCACAACGAGATTGACCTGTCTGAGATAACGCAATATCTGGCTCTCATCGAAGCACTCGACAAGAGATGGGAGCATCGTACGTCATTTCTGGCTTCTTCGTCTTCTTAACCATGAGTCAGCTGACAAAAAGTAGGCCCACGGATTAGTTGGAATCTGGACTCGGCTTTTGCGAAGTTTGTCGAGCGAGAGACAGCTACATGGAGCAAGCAAGGGGTAGAAAGACCCTCTCATGATCTTTTACCCCCAAGTGGCTCTATAGAGTCTTCGCTCGCATGCCACCTCATGAATCCAACCTATTACGTCGCAAACCCCGAGGATCGAATTACCGATGATCCTTCAAGCCCAACGATGGAGTTACTACACAATAGTGGCTTTTCATCGCAAAATGCGTTAATCTTCGACCAGGTATGCCGGACGGGGCGAACTGAGGACATGATCGAGTTTTATACCGATGAGTTCTATCAGCCCCATCGCGATTTTGTACGTGAAATTCGAGGAAACATGGCTGCAATCGTTGAAATTTGCTGGGGCAACACTGTCTGGAAGGAGATGAAGAGAGAATTAGGTCCCCGACTGGTTCGATATCTTCTCTGGGGGGTTTTCAAGCCTGTGAGGCTTTATCTTGAACTTGATGAAAGCCACCGATCTCTAAAGAGGTTCATTCTCCATGTCCGACACCCAGAGTTCTTTGTCAGAAGCGGCCTAGCTAAACTTGGTCTTGAAGCCCGGAAAATCTACGGAGAGGCCCAAGATCTAGCTTTGACAGTGGCTAGACGGCTAGTCGGTGATGGAAAAGATTTTACCGTCAACTGCTTTCCTTGCCTCCCTTCTCTTCAGGTCAATCGACTTACTCGCAAACAAGAGAATCTTCGTGACAAGAATGATCAGCTAGCCTTGAAGGCTTTTGAAGCAGCTTTTCCAGAAACGTACCAACGCCGAGTTCGCAGAAAGGAGGAATCAGAAGAGATAAAAAGTGTTACTTCAAGGTTTGACAGTGTCTCTAAAACCGATGATGAAGTTCGAAAGGGAAGAAGTTCCGCAGGATAAATTGGTGATATAACCGAAGGTTTTTTCCTTAATCAGCAACTACTAACAGACATACAGGAATGCCTTGAGAGAGACAGAGCCAAAAGATTAAAGGAAACCATTTCGTCTTTTGAGAAAGTTCACCAAGATTTCCTTGATGAAGAGTTCCAACAAGATTTCAGCGATTTGGAAGCCCCCTGGAATATGACACGAGAATGCACCACTTGGGAAGCACTTCCACAACAGTTTGTTGACTGGATCCAAGCCCAAGCTGGCCTGAGACTTAATGGGGAGCCAATATCGAATCGAGATATGCTTGTATTGGCTTTCAGCTTTTGAACTGGAGAGAACATGATAAGTCCTTTGATCCAGGTACACCTCCTATCATTGCTCTTGCAGTTGATGTGGCATTACAATATGTCAAGGAAATAGCGCAGACAGGAGGTGGTCTGATGCAAAGTTGCACAATCCCAGGACCTGCCGAGCAAGTGATTCAAAGGAAGTGTTTCACATGCAAAAAGCCTGTTCTTGATGATGCTTTCCCGCGTTTCCAAAAGGACATGCTAGAAGCTTATGTCATTGTGGTCCATGAAGGATCCAATTGTGGTCGGCTGGATTGCGAAGGACAAAATTCAGCTCTCACCCCTATCAACCCTCGGCAGAAATATACACGTCTAAGAACACGAGCGTTGGCAATTTCTGCTAGAGCCAGGAAGGAAACATCTCATATTGCCGTACTACTCCGTTCAGGATCAGATTTGAGAGACTGTGCCGAAGAGGTCCTCGTGCAATGTCCGAACAAACGGTGTGGCCATAAGAGAACATATCGTGCGCGCTGGACAATCCATGATCCTCCTAGGCTTTTACAGCCCCATTTGACATGCAAAATCTGCAAACACAGTACGGCATACTTTCGCGCCGTTGATGCCAAAATTCCAACCGTGAGGCGGCCTTGTATGATGTTTTGAAAAGATTTAGGGACATTGGATGCAACCTAATGGAGTTTCCAAAACTTCCAAAGATCATTTTTTCTGCTAAACTCACCTACAGAGATAGGTTCGAACTGCTTAAGAAAGCCAAGGACCCATCTTATGTCATTCAACTCACGGGGAAGGCCCAAAGGAAGAGGAAACATGATTTTGCCTAGTACAACAGGCTGAGGCATATTCTGAATGAGGCAATGAGTGCGGAGAGTGGCAGCCCGGGAATGGGCGAAAATGACCTGAGGGAAATTCACAAGTACGCCATTTGCAGGTGTAATAGTAAAAGACTACATACCCTATGAATCGATGGATGGTCCATATTGATACTCACTGTTGTAGTCGACATGTTGACTGTCAGTCGTTTTCCAATCTACTTTTACAAGCCCCGTCCATTATATGCTCGAATATTAGACCGTGTCATGACGACACTTGGTTCTTTCAAAAGTCCCGACCAGCAATATCAGCCACGAGCACCCCATGGTCCGAGGCAGGGCTTCCAAACCGCAGGTGGTGGCCATCAACTGAGCTAATTTATCTTTCCCTGTGCCAAGATCCATGAATGGTGGATATCCGACACTGCAGGTACTATTTACTGGCAATAATATCGTTTGACATAGGATTGCATCCCACTCACTCGATTGCTCCTCGGCATCAGCTCGATTCGACAGATTTTTGTGTGACGATACCTCAATCTCAAGGTCCCGATCCGGACAATGGACAACGTTGTAACAATCTAGCTGCATGTTGTGTCAGTTGCTGTACATGCGGAGTTGTGTAATCGTAGGTCGTTTGGATCCCTACACATTGTACCTTGCCGTGCTAATGCTTGCAGATCTGCCTGACTTTGGCAACGAAAAAGCTTTCGGTGTAGGAATGCGGCATTTCATTATATAGCCAATCATATGGCTACAAGAATCAGATATCATAGTACCAAGAAGCTATCAGATCTAGCAAAGGTTGCTCCGCCATCTTTCATGATGCCTTTCTCCGTATACTACAGGTACCAGTCTTTCTATAGGGCCAGCGAGGGAACTATGACCTAGCGATGGTCACTGACATTGATCAGGGCGTTCACTAAAGCATGCATATTCTTTCGGGGTGAGGCAGATGAATTATTGCGCTATTTCGGCTCCTTGCTCGGGCATAACGACAATGATTCCGAGGAGATTACAACATGGGCCGAGAATTACACTAGAATAGATGCCGAATTCATATCCCTTATGTACCGGTTTCCTATTCTCAAGTCTGCGGTTCTAAGGCTGTAGCTTACTTGCCTTAAATTCTTTAGAAAAGCGATGATGATAGGAAAGTATGATCTATTTCAAGTCCGGAGCGAGTGATCGCGACGATCTCGCGATCGTATACGTCCAAGACCATGAATTTAGCGACTTGAAGATCCCTAATACACCAATTTTCTGTCCAAAGGTCCCAAGCGTGATGAATCCTCCAAACGACCACGAGAAATAGGATGAGGACTGGCAACTTCAAGTGCTCATACTATATGTACTCTGGATACCAGAAAATCTAGATCGAGGACCGATCTCAATAAGCCTCCAAGTGGTAATCAATCGTGCATCCCGATACCTGCCAATTGCTACCTAACTTGCAACAACAACACAGCCCCGAGCGGTATTGACCGACTGGAACTCATTCAACGTACTTTTGACATAATGCTAAACCCAGCCTTCACTTGAGGGGTAAATAACACCGAAGAGGCAATAATCGCTGCCAATGTCATAATGGAGGCTTGCATGTTTCTCCACTCTAACAGAAGGCCACGGGAGATCCTCTAGGACCGGAGAATTCTTGATTTCTCTTCTTTTCTTATCTTTCTACCGCCCAGTGTTTCTCTTACAAGTTCAGAAGTTCGGCCAATTCGAGTTATCGGATGTGGCTTTTCTAGCAGACAAGAAATTTTCCCCGTGCGCAAAAAGCCAGCTTTGTATTCACTATCAAGGTGTTCCTCTATCCCAACCATAAAATATGATCTTAGTAGTTTACCATTCCTGAACCTCGCCAGTGTATAGAACGACCTTGCCACCGTACTGCTCCTTGGTTCCCTCGGTGATCACGCTCACCATACCACCGGTGGACTTCTCAATGGTATCCGGTGCCGATTCAATCCCCCAGCCCTTCGCGGCAGAGTTCCCCATGTCGGTCTGAACCCAGCCAGGATCCAGGACGAAAGTGTTAAGCCACTCATCTTCGGCGTTGATCCGAACACCATACCAGGGGAGAATTGATTTGGAGGCGCCATATGAGGCACTAGGAATGGGTGGCTGGCGTCTAGGAAGAGATTTAGTATCGATGCATAGATCTTGTGATGCGGGTATCCTTACCCCAAAGCTCCGGCTCCAGATCCCATGATGGCGAAAACCGGCTTCATTGCCGACTTCTGAAGCAGATCACGCGTGGCCTGGTAGAGTGACACAACGCTCAACACGTTCACCTCGATGTGCTCGAGGATATCAGCCCGCTTGACATCCTTGACAAAGGGATACACCTTGGCGATGCCGGCATTGGCGACGACGTAGTCGAGGTGATCGACACCATGGTCGGTAGCCTCCTTGACGGCGTCGAAGGCAGACTGCTCGACGCTGGCATCATACTTGACCACGATAACACGGCTACCTTCGCCTGTAGATAGCTTGGCGAGTTCCTGGGCAGTTGCATGCGCGGGATCACGGACCGCAGCAACGACAATCTATTGGTGGTGCCTCGGGTCAGCCACTAGCTCGTGCTGAGTGAAGTCGCAATTGAGAAAGAGGAACCCACGTAGTCCGGCTTTGCGACGAAGCCCTTCACGAGCCCAAGGCCCAAACCGCGGTTAGCGCCGGTCACGAAAGCAACAGTCGAAGCCTTGATATACGATAAAGACGTGTAAAAATTCAGGAGAGCAGAAGTCAATTCGGGGGTCCGCGTCGGGTCAACACGAACTAATGTAGCCGGATGTGTACGCACAACAAGAATAGCCAGAATCGGCTGGTTCATATGTTTCCATATCGGAGTGAAACACGATCATTGATTACCAATCTACATATCTTGAGGGTTCCTTTTAGATTACAAATACAACATCTATGTTCCAAGTTAGTGATGCCGCAAACAAAGAACTATCCGGGTCAATTCGGAGGGGCCGAGAGGCGGCGGGCGATGGCGTGGATTGGCAGGAAACGAAAAGCAGATATTGGCCTTCGCATAGTGGGGGTCTACTGGACCCTGGCCTACCCTCGGTGGGCACCCGAGGGTAGCGTATTGAAGCTAAGATAAGACAGACGCGTTACTTCCAGTCCCACTGTGATCGGGCGCGCATGTGCATCATAATCATGCATTGCCCCTGGGAGGGGCCGAGGAGGCCGTGAAGTAGTCACATAATTCGATCGGGTCACGTTCCGCGAATAGAGACAGGCTGAAGGGATGCTTAGTCCTGAGCTAAAGCAACTATGGGCCTTATACGAAGTGTATGTAACCATTATTGCTCTTATATGCTGCAAGATGACTGGGTTCTCTTTCTCTTGCATACTGGGCGGTTTGCTTACATCTCTCCATCTGCGATTCGTTGAGACAACCGCCTGCCGTTCAGCTATAGGTGAGATGCTCTGTAGTGTTGGTCATCAATGTTAGCCAGAGAGAGTACAGTACACAGCCTTCGACTTCTTGATGGAGCTTCTACCAAAGGAAAGGGGACCGAGTTAGAGTCTGAAATCCGTCTTACATTGCTCACACAGATCGGGAGGGTAATCAAAATCATCAAACATGTGTGTATATTGCTAGCACCGAATGACTGTGCAGAGGGATAGTAGAATCTTGATGTATTGATTTTTCCTCTTTCGCTGCTGCCACTAATCTCCTGAGGCAATCATGTCGACTTCACCAGAGATCCTGCCAGAACTGGGGAGACTTTCCCAAAATTGAGCGCCAGGCTGGCCGACCTTGACCTACGAGACGTCGCATGGAAGATATCTGTTTTAGTTGTTGCCCTGATCATCACTCAGGCGATCTGTGTAGGTATTTATCAATGTATGTATCCGCTATAGATTCAAGTACTGGTCTGTGCACTCAGTGCCATCGCCGTGTATCTGTCGCCACTGGCGAACATTCCGGGGCCCAAGTTAGCTGGTAAGAGAGGACCCAGTTGACCTTACTTTGATGGAGGGAGCTGTGAATTGATCTATCTTTCAGCCTTGACGCACTGGTATGAGGCTTACTACGAAGTGTGGCTTCATGCACCAGCGATGTCATTACCAGGTATGCCTTTGGTGACAGTTTCGAGTTCATGGAGCGCACCTACTTCGGAAAACCCTCCTTCGACGCCACCGACATGTTCTTTGGGCTGACTCGTATCATTATTTTCTTCCCGTGGTTTGCCCTTCTGATGCAGAAGTCTCCCGGTTGGCTTGTCAAGGCTATGATGCCCAACCTGGCAGAGCTCGTGGACACGAAATCGGTATGTGTGTCATCTTATCCCTGGTACGCTGCAGGTCAAGCTAACCTCCAACGAAATGGTGGGTTGAGCGAGTTCGCGAGATCAGAAGTGACCCAAATCCAGAAAGAATCAAGAGTACAATCTTGAGGGTATTCTCAGTAGCAACTTGCCTGCCGCTGACAAGACTGATGCTTGTTTGGCAAGTGAGGCACAGCTCGTCATATTTGCTGGCGAGGGCACCACCGCATTTACCCTCATCGCGGCTGTGTACGAGATTCTGGCGAATCCTCCCCGCCCTTGAACGACTCAAGGCTGAGCTCGCGGCAGCCATCCCGGATGAGGACTCCATCCCACCTTTTGCGCAGGTTGACGGGTTGCCCTACTTCAATGCCGTCTTGCAGGAAGTTATCCGCCTGCACCCAGGAGTCATGAATCGCCAGTTGTGTCTCGCTGCTGACCAGCCTGTCGTGTACCGTGATAAGCATGTGTCCGGCCGCGAGTACGTCGTACCTGCCGGCTTTCTTGTCAGCATGAGTCCTCTGTGCCTGCATTTGAACCCGGATGTATACGATGATCCGTATGAGTTCCGTCCGCAACGATGGATTGACAATCCCCAGCTGGCCCGTGCCTTTTTAGCCTTCTCGAGGGGCACTCGAGCCTGTGTTTGGTAAGTATAGATTTCCTTCTCCCCTGGTATGCTCTTTTAAGCTGACCCAAAGATAAACACGATTAGGATGAATCTTGCGCGACGTGAAATGGCCGTCGTGCTGGCCACGTTATTCCACAGATATGACCTGTACCGCGGGCAGCGAGGCCGCACGCTCGAGTTGTATAGTACAGAGCGAGCCAGGGATGTTGATGCTAACTTTGACATGATCACTAGAACGGAAGGAGAACGCCAAGAATTGCCAGACATTATCCGGTATATATGTCGCGAGCAACCATTCAAACACACCGAGCGTTCTCGCAGAGCATAGATTGCTGGACAAGCTCCGAGCTACTGGCGACTTCAGGATTGTCTTCACTGGTGCCTTCAAAGTCGGGTTTCTTCATTTCGTAGGCGCTACGGCGGCACTACTGGCGAACCAGGTACCCCGAGCCCCGTCAAATGGAAAATTCTCGGCAGGAATGATATTGTTTGACTTTTTTTTCCAATTGCCAAAAGCCGGATCTCCTCCTGCTGCAAGTAATTGGGAGCATCTGCGACGCGATGCACGAGGGGTGCAGCTACGTACACAGGCGGAAATGGAGGGGAACAAGCAAGTAGGAAGTAGTCCCCCAGCCACCCCCACTTTTTCCCGCGCAGATTCTCACTTCCCCCTCCTTCCGACGTTGCGACACAGCTGTACAGTACTTTACACGATTATATGGTCTACGCCGAAAATACATTAGAAGAACAAATTTGGGGTCCCTCAGGGAGCATGCATGGCGAGCTTGGTAGAGGTAGGCTGTCTAGATTACACCACGCGAAAAAGGGAAAGCCACCAAGAAAAGCCAATCCACCCGCCCCCACTATTTTAGCAGAGGAAAACCCCACGCTCAAAGAGAGACTGTACCGCCGAACCCAACTTGATTATTAAGATCAAGCAGTTTACAGCTCACCGCAGTCGACAATGGTGGGCTTGACAGCGGAGCGGACGGAGCCGGAGGAGGAGCCGAGGGCCTCAATCTCCTTCACGACCTGCATGGAAGCCTCGTCGGCAACCTCGCCGAAGACGACGTGCTTGCCATCGAGCCACGAGGTGACAACGGTGGTGATGAAGAACTGGGAGCCGTTGCTGAACCGGAGAAAGAAAGGCAGGTCAGTAAGGATCCAGGAGGCTCCATTGGGATCAACCTGAGCCGGAGGAAAGAGACTTACGTGTTGGGACCAGCGTTGGCCATGGACAGCAGACCGGGGCGGGTGTGCTTGTACTTGAAGTTCTCATCGGGGAACTTCTCGCCGTAGATGGAGCGACCACCGGTGCCCTATTCCGAATGGAAACAACAGGCATTAGAGACACGCCCACAAGGGGGAGAGAGAGGTCATTCCCGGCGAGGGAGAGATGAGGTAAGCTTAAAACTCACGTTGTGGCGGGTGAAGTCACCACCCTGGAGCATGAACTGGGGGATGATGCGGTGGAAGCCGGAACCCTTGTAGCCCTGACCCTCGGGGAGCTTGCAGAGCTCACGGAAGTTCTTGGCGGTCTTGGGGACATCAGCCTCGTAGAGGTTGAAGTTGATGCGGCCAGTCTTGGCTGTGGAGGAAGTCAGCGTCAAAGTCAATGGCAAGCGACATCACAGGGATGGACAGTTTCAGGTGGATGAGATTGGATGGGAAGCCTCAATGAAAGGCTGGAGGGGGGAAAAGAGGATGTGGAGGGTCAATGAGTTTTACCCCTCCACCCCTCCTCGCAGTTGAAAACGGGCATGTACTGTCAACGGGAGGGAAAGACTTACGGGTGCTGCTGCCCACAGGGGCGTACTGGATGTCGAAGAAAGCCTTGGTGTTGGACATGGCTGCGGATGATGCGAATGATCGATAGGCAATGGGGTGGAAAGAACAAGAAGAAGAGAAGAGGGAGGGTGGGGTTGACCTGAGGCGGCAAAACATGGTGAGGGGCAGAGGACGGAGCGGGACAACTCGTTTGCCGGGCTGCATGCGGGTTAGCTGCTGCGGTGCGCCAGAAAGACCATGTGTGCTGTAGAAGTAGATGCCTCGACACCTTAACACATGAGGCGCTGTTGGGAGTTCTCCAGGAAGGACATGGCCTTCGGCAGAAGGCGCTTTCGGTCAGGGCAACGCGGCTATCCAAGGACAGGTCCTCAATGCCCTCCGTCAGCCACATGGAAGAGAAAGACTTACATAGTAAAAGTACAGACGATGGAAGTTGCGGATAACAGAAGCTATAGGGGGAAAAATTGAAGCTCGCCGCAGAAAAGCTCCCAGAGCTTCGTGATTATATAATCCCGGGAACGCCCTTCCGTGTCCGGCGGGGATGGACACTGCGCTTTGTTACCCTTGACGCTGGTTACTGGGGTATTAAAATAGCATCCATTCCGGAATAGTAGAGAAGTAGGATTCCCATCACTTGATCATTGCGATTTCAGGGTGAAGAGTCCCGATTTTCTAGCCAGAACTGCTTACTTCCAACCATGTTTCAATCGCTCATCCAAGGTACAACTCTAACGGCAGATCGAGATACTTCTGGTAGTCCAAGTCCCTGTTCTGCTCTTGTGCAAAGCACTCAACATGGGCCATAATGTAACCTTTATGGGGAATGTAGCGGAGTTTTTGTCCGATCATAAATCAATTACTAACCGATATTTCCAAGGTTGATGACCGTCGCTGAAAAGGCCCGAAAGCCACATAGCGACCGTGGATGGAACATCGACTCTAAGTCGGTAAAATAATCCGAACTTTGAAAGTATGTAGAGTGATGTTAGCCAATAAAAGCCAAAGTACGCATCAAATTAGAAAAAGGGTGGTTGGACGCATCGCTTGCGAAATAAATGGGCATGGTATATCAATGCAACGCCATCGAAAACTCGTTTGTGGACTCTTGTCTGAGGTTTTCCCACCACGATTGGGACCACCAACCAGCTCTTCCATGGAATCTGATTCACCATAAAAACGAGATCACGTATAGGATATATGACCGATAGCTCGGGCTTGGGGGGCATGTGATGATCTTTCCTCTTCATGGGCTCCCTGAATCAAACTTGTACCAGAGACATACCTATCTGAGTGAACTCGGTGGGTTTTCTTTCTTCTACAAAGCACCCACCAACGACGCAATGCATCAGGATTCTCCATGCGTATTCTCACTATGCTAAAGCAGACAAACTAATACTCAAAGAACAATCTCCAAAACATAATGGGCCCGTCTGGTAGTATATATTGTAAGCTGGACCTTAGAAGCTTTATGTTAAGCTTAATTTTATTTGACCCATTTCCATCGATTCTACAACATCCTGGTTGGGGAGTCTCTCGGAAAACATTATACTTTGCGCATCGCCCCCTCGATTTCTCCGGGTTAACTTCACGCGTACGGAATGATAATTGGCAGTCTAAGATTATCCACTCTCATTCTCAGCTGCCTCGGAGTCGACCCAGCTGTTATGCGAGATAGTAATTCCGACTATAAAGAGCTTCATTTGGACCCAGGGCAGCAGCGGAGATGGCCGTGTGTTTGAGCAGAGATTGTTCATCAAACCGACCAGAAAGTGGCTACCAATTCCCGACCAATGTACTTTATCTTTCTTGGCATTGGAGTTGATGTTGAGCTACCGCCAGCAATATATACAGCGGGATAGGTGGAAGCAGCACGGCAAGACAAGGATAGGTATCAACCGCCGCAGGCACACATTACGTTTCTTTGTCCCGAAAGTTACCTCGCATAACTGCTCTAAGACGATAGTGGCAATGATGGCTATATGGCTACGGGATATCCTTCCTGACTCTGCGCGCTCATAATTATAGCGTGATTGCTGCAAATACGCTTTGTAAGCACATATAGAGGCATGAATGAGATGTGCATGATATCTGCATATATTCTTTTCATGGGAACACCCGAAGTCGTGGAGATTTAAATAGACAATACCTACTGGTCCCACGAAGGATCCCTGCAGAACATCTGGATGTTAAATCCTATTGATAGATGCATATGGTGGAAGTCCGAGTTACTAAAACATCAATTGGATGTATGCTGTAAACAAGATAATGCATACTGATAGTATCTTCATTTGCATGGTGTACGCCCACTTTATGAGATAAGTTTCAGTCATTGTGCCGACATAATGTATTGTAGTTCAAAGTATTGGAGATAGAAATTTAGTAGAGGACTCACTGGATGGATGCTTTTTTTCTTTCAAAACAAAATATATCTACATTGTAGCCCGGGGTCGGCTTGTACGGTGTCGATGCAAGACCCTGTCCAGAGGGTCTCTCTTAGGGTATGAGATCAAAAGTTGCCTTATTCAGCATCCAATAGGCAGTTTGGTCGAGTGGTCTAAGACGTTTGACTCGAATGGACAATCTTTAACTTGTTCCTTGGATATCAAATCCCTTCGGGGGCGGCGGTTCGAATCCGCCAGCTGTCGGTTTACCTTTTTTCTTTTTTTTTTTTATTTAACTTCCCTCTTCGTTTCTTATTCAACCACCTTTAAATGTAGAACCGCCAGCTAATTCGAGTAAAGCTAACGTTGACTGTCGATTCTACCTTGAATTTTATTCTATTTATATTTTCCTCTATATAAGTACTTAAATCTAAATAAACCTAAGAACCTTTAAATAGGCAGTTTGGTCGAGTGGTCTAAGACGTTTGACTCGAATGGACAATCTTTAACTTGTTCCTTAGATATTAAATCCCTTCGGGGGCGGCGTCGAATCCGCTAGCTATCGGTTTACCTATTTTTTACTTCCCTCTTCGTTTCTTATTCAACCACCTTTAAGTGTAGAACCGCCAGCTAATTCGAGTAAAGCTAACATTGACTGTCGAATCTACCTTGAATTTTTCTTCTATTCATATTTTCCTCTACATAAGCATACTTGAATCTAAATAGACCTAAGATCCTTTAAATAGGCAGTTTGGTCGAGTGGTCTAAGACGTTTGACTCGAATGGACAATCTCTAATTTGTTCCTTGGATATCAAATCCCTTCGGGGGCGGCGGTTCGAATCCGCCAGCTGTCGGTTTCCCTTTTTTACTTCCCTGACCACCTCAAGGTTCGGCTAGACGCCCGCTACTTTGATAACTGCTTTGATCCCTGATCTCCCCTGAAAATTCAGCGCTGCACAGTGGCGTTCGATAATTTTGAAATCCCCCCTTTGATTATATAACTTTCTGCCACCCTTTCTGCTATACTAAAACCTCGCATTCCATACTAGACTAGTTAATACACCGTAAAACTAAGCTGCCAGCTTGTTTTGCCCGCTTGCTGTAATAATCCACACGAAGCTAGTTAAATAGGAAACAGAGGCTGTTCGATTAAAGAAATCAATCTCGCTGCTCTGGCTGCAAATAATGCATCATATCCACCTGGATACCACGATATTTACCAGCGATCTGCCTCTCTCAGTGTTGCCCTCGGCTTTGCCGTCGCTGTTGACCTCGCTATCGCTGATACGGATGACCCTGCCGCGATGCCGAAGCCCCTGAGCCCTCTTGCTGAGCTTCGAGAGATCCTCTTAAGTGCTATATTCTCCTACGAAAGACAGGCTCTAATCATTCAGCTCTAATCTCCGAGGGAGCTCACCGCTTCTTCGGGCTTACAGTATGTAGAAGGGGAGGGTGTTTTACATACAGCGCTACACTAAATAAGGGCGAGTGGGGAGCAGCGGGTTTGTTTGGTGTTGATTGTTTGTCAAAATAGCACCTTGGGGTTGTCGATTTATTAATTCTCGCTGTTTCGATCTATACAGCCGTCCTTACAAGCCCACTGCTTCTGCGACTCTCCTCCACCACCGAGGGGATGACGAACAGTCCTTACGGGGAGAAGATCAATGACCCTTCAAGACGAGCCGTTGCGCTGGTTGAAACGGACGGTTTGGTAAGATTGATCTGTTGCTAAAACCCAACTTCAAGCTTGGACGCCCGTCTTTGAACATCTCCGCGATGCTGCCTGCCATTTCTGCCGCAAAGGCCGGCCCGCAAAAAATCCGTACCTTCATGGAAACCGGGTACAGCAAAAGCTGCGACACCTCGCTGGCTTGAAAGGTTGTACCTTAATGCTCGGTGTGTCGGACTACTCGCCGCCCATCCTGAGCTGCGACCCTTTGTCAACGGGGCCTACACGGATGACAATGGGAAAGTTATACCCAAAGAAACAGCAGCTAAAGGAGAAGAGCTCGACGCCCAAAAGACCGAGATAGACGTCCACCAAGACTAAGACAGCCACAGCTTCTGGAAACGACCAAACCCAAAGGGTCACAGCTCAGGATAGGCGGCGAGTAGTCCGATACACCGAGGATTAAGGCACTCGTATCGTCGTGATCTTTGGCATATCTGAACAAAGTCATCGCCATTTAACTCGTCAACCAGAGTATTTGCCCTGCAAACCATGCTTCTGGTTGACGAATGGGCATATACCACTTTCGTCTCGCCGCCATGTGCGTCTTCGAACGAGCATCGAATGGCCCGACGAGACCCAGGATCTGCAAGAGCTTGATCTCCGGTGAAATTGCATCGTAAAATGAATCGATGAAGTTGTTTCGGCCTCCAACAGCTTTGGGTATGATTTTGTAAGGTGTACGGTCGGAATCGCTTTCAAGCGTTCGGTCTTGGACGACGAAATCGGTCTGGGAGTATGAAATCGAGGAGTTGTTTCATGACCCTTCTTAAGTCGGGAAAACAACCTAGTTTAGAAGCTTCTTAGTGGCTCTAGTGGACACAAGTGGTGTTACGGTCATACCTGAAGGACTGGTAGTCTACCTTGACTGATCACTGGGGGGTTTTCAGCAGGTGGATTTGACTTCTCGTCACAACAGCCATAGCAGGGGAACTTTCCACAATAGTCGCCACAGCCATAGCCGGGAGAGAAAGAGTTAACACAGAGTCTGCAGACTGGGCAACAGGTATGATTCGGGGCTGTGAATTGGCAGCAGTCTGGGCAGTAGCATCGTCGATTCTGTTCTTCTTTTTTCTCGTCATAGCGAGGCGGACGCGACAGAGCCTCGTGCTGGAAACGCGGATTCATGATTGTTACTAGTAGATGGTCGTGGATGATGAAAGCGAATCCTTCTTTTGGGGGAGAGGAGAAGGAGGATATTTGACAAAAGAAGAGATTCAAGAGGGCTGAGTAGATGAGGGGAGAAAGGAGAACTGATATAAGCAGTGTGACCGTAGGTTATATCTTCTGAAGCAGAAAGCGTGTCAAAGGATGTTGTTTGACACTGATGGTCGGATATCATGTGCCATATCATGTGTTCTGGTTTTTATCACCTACTTACCTAGATGGCTCATGCTCACTCTCTTTTCCTTTTTCCCCTCTTCGTGCTTCTCGGCAGCTAGATCTCAGTAGCTTGCATCCAGTTTCAGCTTCGCTTTCTGCATGTTCTCCATCGTGGTGGTTCGACAGACACAACCATTGGATCATATATTTGAACAATACATATGGCTTGAAAGAACTATTATTACAGAATATAATCGCAATCGGCCACAGCATATTCCGGATCAGTCTCCATCAACTCATTTCCCCATGGCTTTAAGCAATGAACGGCGTTTCAAATTCCGCTGTATAGTCAAATCCGTTTACCTTGAGCCTGATATGATCATGGAGAATGTTTTCTGGTCCTAGGTTGCCATACGCAAAAGTGTACGGTCCAAGGAGAGCGACGGCCTGAGTAAGATCATGCGTCTATTCCAGTCCCAGGAGCAGGGGTTCCAATGCATGCACTTTTGTGACAACTCGACACTGCTCTTTACTGGGTGATTTTCTTGTATACAATAAATAACAGATCCGTCTATTTGGTTCATAACGAAGATCTTCTTGGAAACCATAAATCAATGATAGATCATCCGTCAAAGACGAGAAGGAAGCCCGTTTACGCCTGCGATCTAACGTAGAAACCGGCGAAGACGGTCCCGAGAAGAAGAGCTTTCCCTCTTAGATAGTCGCACCATCCCCATCATAAGCCTATCTGACGGCATGATTGTGCTGTTCGCTCGGACGGCCGGTCTCTTGCCGTGGGGTTTGCTGTTCGGATCCTTGCTCGGAGTGACCATGGGCCATCCTTAATTACCCGCTGTCTTTGCGCCCACCACCAATGGGATCCAATACGTTTAGAGTCGCGCAGTGATTTGTCGCACGGCTAGATTAAGTTGAAAATGCCGGCCAGCCGAAATGCGGGCTATGTAGACTTGTGAGCAACCGCAGCGTTGAAAATTACTTTTCACACGAGATTCTTGGCGAATCCATGATTGGCCACCAGTATTGGGACTCGAAAGGCACCTTAGTCACTTAACAGGCCAACTGGCAGCTATGAAGGCATATAGGTGTCTTCTGAGATATTACGTTACATACAGCTAGATAGGTCGGCTGTGACGGTGCAAGTCTTACTGTAATGTAAATGCCCCCGCACTATGACAAGTCTGGCGTAAGGGGGTTCATTTTCATACTGTAGCCCTGACTGAAATTTACTTCGTGAGCCTGACTCTGGGTGCCCTCATAAAAGCCTCGGTGGCTAAGAAAGGAAAGCCTCACCCGGCAGAGGAACTATGGTACGTAGAGTGACCCAGGTACTCGAGACCCCTTCTATGTATAATGGGCAAAGCGATGCCGCGATCTTATGCAAGTAAGCGCCGATCCAATGTGCGTAGTTAGCGTTACTTCATTATAACGGGTTTTACCTAAGAAATACCATTCAATCCGGTACCTGCGATTGCCAAATACTAATTGGCTGTAAGAGTGGAGAATTTCCCCTTACTTTTGGCGATACGTTGCGTTACAGTTCTCAATGGTAGATCCTTGGTGCGATTTCATTTTCAGATCGTCTATGTAATAAACCCTAATATATCGCACTCCTTGATTGGATGTAAATCATACACTTATTTCACATCCTTATTTCACAAGAGATGGAAAATCACGGTCATCGGCGCGGCTAGACCCGCTCGGGCACGATCGCGTTCTACCGCCTTCCGAACGAACCGATATCCGATGGGAGGGTGATTTCTGGAGGCCACGCTGTTTGCCCCCCTTGGTTCACAGAGAGTCCGAGCAACATTGCCCGCGATTTTTACGCCAGTCGGTTAGTCAGGGTAGGTACTACTAGTGATCCTCGTGATTTACGACCGGTCATATTTAAGTCGGTGGCCCATCGATGTGACACTCACAAAGCGACAGAACTCTATCACGACCATCAGAATCATGGGCCACAACACTCAGCCACTGGGTGGTTCCAAAGGTATGAATTTCTTCAGATTCTCTAGAGGATTTGGGTTCAATTGGATAACAACTTCCAGTTTGGACTACACTCATAACAAACACTGAGTATCTGTCGGGCCTTTTGACCCTTGAATACTCTCTCAAGAAAGTGGGCTCCAAGTATCCGCTCGTCGCTCTCTACACGGATTCATTTCCTGCCGAGGGTCATCAGGCCCTGGATTCACGGGGAATTTTGAAACGACATGTCCCTTACCTCCTGCCATCAGTTTCAAAGGACTACACTAACGATGTGCGCTTCTACGACTGTTGGAGCAAGCTCACCCCATTTTCGCTTACCGAGTATGATCGTGTCGTGCAGCTCGACAGTGACATGGTAGCACTCCAGAATATGGATGAATTGATGGATCTCGAGTTGGATGCACCGGAATTGGCTGGCACGGGAAACCGAGTGTTCGCCGCCAGCCATGCCTGTGTCTGCAACCCGCTTCAGAAACCTCATTACCCCAAAGACTGGTACGGCTAACCACCTCCCTGTTGACAAAGCACCCAAATAAAGTTTAGGGAAAGTGATAGTCTGACGCTTTGGCACGACAGGATCCCGGCCAACTGTGCCTATACTAGCCAGCATAACACCCCTGACATCGCGCAAACAGCCGGTGCCTCGGCCACTGCGGGCCTGGGGATCCCGAATGGAGGTCTCCAGGTGGTGAATCCATCTCAAGGAACCTATGAGAAGATCAGTACGCAGCTCGGTTCTGCTACAACATCGAGCTACGATTTCGCCGATCAGTCCCTGCTTGGAGATGTATTTTACGGCCGATGGGTTGCCCTTCCGTATATTTACAATGCACTCAAAACCTTGCGGTGGAAGGGCGTTCACGATGCTATCTGGCGGGACGAGAATGTGAAGAACGTACATTACATTCTCAGTCCGAAACCATGGAATGAATTGGCAGACAATCAAGAGCAAGGAGGCTCTAAGTCGACTCAAGACCCGTCTCACGCATGGTGGATATCATTGAATGAAGAGAGGTTGAAGGAGGAACGCAATAATGGCCTGAATGACCAATTTTGAGGGGGATTTGTTGTTTACAGATGACATTGTCACTATTTTTCCACCCACGGGGTGCTGAGTAAAGGCTTGAAGCAAAACATTTCTTATTCCTGAAGCGTCACTACCGCCTCCTCTCCTTTTCTGGGACCCGTTGCCAAACGCCGCCGTACATTCCCTACCAATGAATGAGGCGTTTTTCGTTCATTGCCCGCGGAGCATTTGTCGATATGCTCTTGACCGAGCAGCAGCTTGACCAGTCCGGCCTGACAGTTCAGTTCTGCGTATGATAGCGGGGTTTGTCCATTGGAATCTTGCGGTCTGTAACGACTCCCTCTGTGTCGAGCAGGAGTTTAACGACCCTCTCATGGCCAACTTTGGCTGCTCATGACAGCGGAGACATTCCCAAAGCATCTTCGGAGTGTTTGTCGACGTGTTTTTGAGCGAGCAGCAGCTGGACAACCACCTCTTGTCCCCTTTTGGCCGCCAACGCTAATGGAGTCATCCCGTAATTGTCCTTGCGGTTTAGGATAAGGCCCGGTGCTGCTAGCAAGAGTCTAACGACGGCCTCATGTCCTTTTTTCAGCGGCAAACGGAATCGGCGACAGTCCGCAGGTATCCTTGATGTTCGGGTCCACACCCGGTGTGGCGAGGAGGAGTTTGACGGCAGCCTCATGGCCATCTCCCACAGCCCAAGCAATTGCTGTCCGTCCGCCACCGTTGTTAGAGTTAGGGTCCGTACGCTCCGAGGCGAGGAGCAGCTTGACCACCTCAGGATGTCCGTTTTTGGCCGCCCATGCTAGCGACTTGGACATCAATGGCGTCAGCCACGAATCATCAGGGCCTATGTTAACACTCTCAATGCCAAGCAATAGTTTGACCACCTCATGATGACCGTTTTGTGCTGCGCAGGATAGCGGCGTTCGTCCCATGTTGTCCTCGGAGTCTAGGCTAGCATCTTCTTTGAGAAGTAACTCGACCACCGTCTTGTGTCCGGACTCTCCCGCGTAAGCTAATGGCGTCCGTCCCAAATAATCCTTGATTTCAGGGTTGACACCTTCCGCGCCAAGCAGCAATTTGACAACTGCCTCGTGTCCGTGCTGTGCTGCCTTTTACAGTGGCATCCAACCCAAAAAGCGTTTGTAGTTTGGATCGACGCCCTCCACATCAAGCAGTAGCATGACAACCTCCGCATGCCCGTTCTCTGCCGCCACCGTCAGCAGTGTTTGTCTGCATTCGGACATAGTATGAACATCAGCCCTTTCTTGGAGCGACATTCGCGCCGTTCTATGTTGCCCACATCGTGCTGCCCAAACCAGCGCCGAACCCCCGTCAGGCTGCTATGAGCGAATCAGAAAATCCCTGCCTTAGAGGGCAGGGCACCTCTCAAGTATATGAACAAAGGATTGTATGGTGTAGTTACTTTACCGTCTCTGCGGGGCTGACTCTGTTAAAGTGTAAGATCAGCACCTTGATGTGACCTATCAACAGGCTCAGTCCGAATCCGAATATCTATCTAGTTAAAGCAAACATGGCACCGAGATGGCCAACCTGCTTTCCTCCTAGATTAGAGCGAACCTAAATAGTACTTCTCTATAAATTCTTGTTATCCATTAATATGACTCGTATGATCTGGAGACTGTTGCTGCCGAGACCCACGGTGTCGTTGGTGCCGAGCTGGCCTTTCTGCGCTTTGAGACTGCGAGGTCTGATCGAACCGGACGAGCACCCCATCGATGGCGAGTATAAAAGAAGGTTGACCCTCGAAATTCTCATGATGTACATCTTATGTATTTTGTAGATATAAAAAGACCGCATCCCCGGAAAAGAGCTCCTCGGATCAGGCTTTGGACATGCTGCCAAGTGAAAAACAACCGAGATATCTATGAGGGTAGATCATGATCACAAGACCGCAGTACTATCTCCCTGAAATAGGCTAAGAAACAGACGGTCACATAACCACTGCATATCCAGGTTGGTGACTATGCCACACGTATCAGGACATCATTTCGGCATTGTCGGCTTGTTGCCACATATGATAGTCGCTCAAAAGCAAGAGACGAAAAAAAGGAATAGGGTAAAAATACGAAGGGGAGTAAAAAGAATCGCAAATCAAAGATGCATAGGCAGTGTCATCTACGACGTTTGTGATAACTGCAGATCCGGAAGGTGTGAGTTTGGGTCATCACCGGAAGTCGTCCTCGTCTGCGTTTGCTAAAGACTCCAGGCGGTGCACAAGATCCTTGGCATGGCGAGCAGTCTCGAATGCAATAGGAGGTAGCTGATTGGTGACCTCGCGCAGTTGCTCGGGGCTGGTAGCATTATGGCCCTCGGCGGCGATGTTCAGCAGCCGGCCACGGCATTGATCGAGCATCTGAATGACGGGCTCGGATCGTTCACGCAGGGCAACATCGCCGTTACGGTCGTGAATCATGTTTTCCGTAGAGGAGACCACATTGGCAACGATGTTTCCGATGGCGGATACATAGGTCTGGACGGTCTGCATGTCGTACTCGGCACGAATGCTGGCTACCAGAGCCTGGATGGATTGGACCATGCTATCAGTCTGATCCTCAACATATAGCTACAAAGGGGGACAAATTAGCACTTATTCAGCCGAATAATATTCCTTGACCGGGCATACCTTCAGCTCCTGAAGCTCGTGGTCCTCCTGAGGGGCCCCGTAGCCATATCCATTGCCATTAGTTAGGCCATTCTGCATCGCAGGGTGCGCCTGATCTGGAGGACTCAACACGCTATATTCAGAGTGGTTGCTGAGCGGCCTTTGGCCGCCCGTGGGGCTGAAGTAGTCCGGGAACTTCTCGTGCGACATGTCCACGTCGTCCTCGTCCAGTTCATCCGCGGGCGAGGCGTGGATCTTCACGGCGCGTATCAACTCCACGACAGCAGTGCAAAGATGTGAAGCAGCCGCATCCAGCAAGGAAACTGGTGAAAGGCCGCCGGAGCTGGCGAAGTTGCGAGCGGCGGTAATCATGTTGTTGGCAGTAGCAGAGACGCGATCCTTGGCCTTCATGCGCAGAGCAGCCGAGCCATCGACCGGCGGGGGAGCCTGGTCCACATCCTGAATCATATGGCGAACAGCCACAATGACAAACTTGATTTGGTGCGATACTTGCTGGGAGTCCTCGAAACGGGCAATGCGGAGAAGCTCGTCAATTGACATCTGGAACTTGGTGACATGAATGTCCTTCACGACACCGTCAGCCTGTACCAGCTCATGCTCCTTAGCAATGATCCTTGCATCAGGCCGGTGATCAGCAATTCCGCCAGAGGACGTGCGCAGGTGGCGCAGCTGAGACTTCGCTTTGGCATAACGGTGCTTCCAATCATTGAGCTCCGCTTCGAGCCTGTGAACGTCGTTGGATAATTGCTCTTCACGTTCCCAATTGGAATGGCTCTGGGCCGTGAGGGTCTTCATTTCCATAAGGAATTCAGATGCTTCACGTCGCACCTCCGCTGTGACCTCCTGTTGGTGTTGCAGCTCCACTTGGAGGTTCTGGTGCTTGCTCTCCAAGTCAGTGTATCGAGCCTCCAAGGCTACATCTCGTGCACCCTGACCGGCTTCATCGAGCTGGCTGCGAAGATCACGTTCCATACTGTCATGGTCAGCCCGAACTCGGTCGAGCTCAAGCTGGAGCGAACTGTTCAGATCCTCTGCCTTGGAGACCTTGCTCTCCAGATCCTGTCGCAGATCATCCCACTCCTGGCGTTCGCTATGGCTGATTGCAGATTGGTCTGCATCTGATGACCGGGATAGCTCCTCATCCTTCATGCGAAGCTGTTCCTCCAGCTTTTCGACCTTGTCCTGCAGCGCTGAAACTTGCGTCTGGCTCTCCAGGAGCAATTTTCTTTCACTGTCACCCAGAGTCGTTGTAGTACCCCGTCTGCTCAAAACAGCATCCAGGGCAAACGCATCGCTCCGAGCATCATCGTCATCGTCTCCTCCCATATCGTCACTATCCTCCACCATCGTGCTCTTGTTGGGAACCATGGTGTTACTTTGAAAAGACCGAGGGAAAGGACCGTCTCCATTCATCCCTGCCGGTGGGCCTCCTAAAGAACCTTGGCGCGGAGGGAATGGGCTAGGGCTACTAGGAGGACCACCTGATGGATAACCCCGGCCCATGCGACTAGGAGGGCCACGAGACTGTGATCGTCTGGCACCGGGAGGTGGTGGCCGCCCGCGGCCGGTGAAGTGCGGAAATCGACGCTCCAACTCGCAGAACACATCGGTCGCTAGGTCGCGGAAACGCTGATGTTGGAGCGAGGCGAGCTTCTGGCGAGCATGGTTTCGCTTCTCGTGGAAGTCTTTGCGCGGAGGGAGGAAGGGAGGAACGTCAGGACGGGGAGGTCGGCCCGGCGGAGGCATCGCTTGCTGGCGACGCACTAGCTCATCGTAGACGTCGGTGCTGAGTTCATGGAACTGGGTGGGCGAGAGTCGCAGCAGCTTATCGCGGGCTTTGTTCGATCGGCCGTTTAACCGGTCCTCGCGCATCGAGGCATCGAGAAATCGTCTTAAGGTCACATAGTGTTGGTGCAGGATCTCCTCCATCTGTCGGCCCCGTCGGCCACCATCGCGCTGGCCATCACCCAGAGTTCCAACACTGGATCGTGCAGCTACTGAGCTGGGTGGGGAGGGATTGCCGCTGCCCAGATGTGGTGGTCCAATGCTGTTAGGACTCAAGGGCGCGCTGGGGACGCCAGAGGTTGGGGGGTGGCTAGATTGCCTCGCGAGGAGATGGTCGGCGAAAAGGCGGCGTCCGACTTTTGATATTGATTTAGGCCGGACCAGTCGCTGCCATCAACGGAGACAGGCGACATGGCTCCCGAATGGCCATTCATATCAGGCGTAGGGAACAAAGGTTGGCTCCTCCGGCCGGGGTAATAAGGCGATGATTGGGGTTGAAAGGAGGTTGGAGACGGCTGTCGGATGCCTCTACCGTCGTCACCGCACACGTCTCGGTCCACAGTATCTCCTCCACACAGCGATCTGAAACCTGAGGAGCCGCCGGGAAGGGGGGGGGGTGGGGGGAGGATTCGACCGGACGGGGAAAGGAGGATCAAAGAAGGATGAACAAAGTCTCGACCCCGTCGAGAGTGTCCTGGTCCAAAGGAGTGAAGGACTGGACCGGAAAAGAAGAAAACAAGGAGCCAAGGGCAAAAGGGAGGAGGTGCAAAGTGTGCCAGGTTCTTCGTGACTCCGGAGTTCCCTTAGTTCCCTTACGGCTGGGACCCGCCGGTACGTCCAGTTCCTTACAGTCCGCTGTAAGCACGGCAGGTCCATACCGCAAATAACACTTAGTTCGCTGCAGGAACCGCTGACCACTACTACCGAACCACGGGATTCATTCATATAACATGATATCACATCCCCAGAACTGGTACCAATTTAAGGTGGTCCGAAAACACGGGAACACACGTCGATGGATCTATACACTTTCCGCCCTCTCGTGCCGTTTCGCATTCTTTGCTTGACTTGTCACAAAGGGGGAGGGAAAAAAAGATCCCAGGTGTGGTCCTCGGTACAGTAACAGTATCGGTACTAGACTCCCTCGCGAAGGTTCAAGGGACACAAGCCACACAGCGGCTGAGATCACATCTGAGGGCCCAGGGACCCCTCCTACAGGCTGCAGAACTCCTGCGAGTAGATGGCCTAAAATATAGGTAGTTTCATCCCAATAGTTCTACGGATGGATGATTTCTATTTTCCACCAGAGATTGCACTTTCAGGAGACTGACGGGACTAAGGGGAAACCCTAAGGGCGCCGTTCAGGAGACGACAGTCTAGACCCCAGACTAAGCAAGTTGAACGCCGGCTGGAGCGTGTTTAGTGCGTGGTGTGGCTCGCCGGGTACCGCCTGCGTATCGTGTGGTAATCATTAATTTCATGTAATGTTGACGGGACCAATTAAGTGACTAGTTGGTTAATTGGTTGATGACTTGTTGGCGCTTAGCCTATCAGGGACAAGGCAGAGGCAACTCTGGGTTAGAGTCAGTGCAATAAGTACGGCGGGCGAGAGCGGCCAGTTTGCAAATGCTAATCTGATCATTTGACCCCTTAAGGCAAGTGTTCAGTACTGTAGTAGAGACGAGCGAATTCCTATTCTGACAAGTATAGAGCGCAATTGTTTGGAAATACATTGGCGGAATAAATACTAACAGTCTCCCAGCATTGTTTCTACTTCGTCTGGAAAACTTTTCCTGGGCCCAACTCCGTTTCTCTAAATATTTCATAACAACTCTTCTGGTAGGACTTCTTGGATCCCTTTAGGTGAGAAGAGACTCGGAAAGAAATACGATTTCTGGGATGCTACATCACACTAGAATGCAAGGGAATCGGAGGCAAGGCTGGTCTGCAAAATTGGAAGAGTCCTCCGCACATACTCCGGAGTATAGCACGCTAAAGGGTTGAGACTCAGTACCTTGCCACTCTGGCAAACAATTAGTAAAATTTCTCTTACCTGAGAACCCGAATCGAGCCAATCATCTCACTTGCATCAGCTGCAACTTCGACGCATACTTGTATTAGATCAGGATCTACAGTGTTCTGGAAGCCTTGGTCGAATCAGGTGAAGGACGGCCTGGAAATGGTTTGCTTGCACCCTATCAGGGTTTTTTTGGGGGAAAGATTACGAATCTTGTTTTCGTGGTGCTTGCTGCTGCCATTGATCTAACTCAGCAAGGAGACTTTGGACATCCACCAATGAGGGAACTTGAGCATGCGGTCCAGTAAAATTAGTTCTAATCGGGTCGCCTGATACATACCAGGATAAAGTTGGCTCTCACAATATCTTTGACCTGATACGGTACACTTGTAAATGATGTACGGCAGCAGTCATCTGGCTCCAAAGTTAATGCATGGGGTTCTTTTTCATCAAGCCGGACGAAGAAATACCGTGGTGATAGTGCCCTGACCATTAATAGCGTTCCCCGGCCGCCAGCTTAACTGAAGGCCACGAATGGTATGTTCATCTGTGCAAGTGTCGTCAATATCAACGGGGGTCTAAGATACTGTTAGCAGCATTTAAATGATGTTAGGGATGTCAAGGAAGTGGCTGGATGTATCATCCATACGGGGCTCGGAAATAAGGTTGAGTTAGGCATAGAAGAGCCTACACAGTCGTTAAATTTTGTAAATCTATTAAAGCCGGGATGTAAACTCGAGCACGAGCAAAATATGCAAAATATGTCTGTGAATCAAGTAAGAGAAGGAAGGCTGAAGTTTGGATTCCGTGCTCGCAGAGTTTTCACAAGCCTGTCGGCCTCCAGGAACTTGAACTGACTCTTCTCCCCCAACAGTTTATCAAGCTTCAAGATCATCCAATGCAAGACAACATATAGCTTGCCCGACTGAGCACCAAATACAGAGCGCGCCAATCAAAGGCTAACCAGAGCCATGGCTCTTTTCAGGCGTGTCTCGACAATGCAGCCCTGAACCTATCAACACCCTGCCTCTATACGGTCTCCAACTCATGAAGCGGGTTATTGGTGGATTGTTCCTTGAGTTGACTGAAATCGGGTACACTGACAGCCGAGTTGGTCCAATCATACCTTAGTGCATCTGCGGTACGCAATATTCTGCTAACATGCATCGAAGTTGTGTTGGTACACGGACAGCATCGATAACGAAGTAAGTATCCTCTCTGCAGACCAGCATAAATGGACAATAAAGGCATACTAACCCAACCCGCCACAGTTTGTGATCGATTATGTCCCAGGATACTCCGACTCGCTGTTCCTTTGCACTGGCGGCTCGTAAGTACTCTATACGCACCGTAGGAGTTCTATCTAATTCGATCGTGATAGTGGCCATGGGTTCGGATTTCTTCCCATTCTTGGCAAGGTTGGTGCTTGTATCACAATAGTGCAACAAGCATACAAAGCTGACCACAAACTGCAGTATGTCAAAAATCAACTGGAGCGAGTCCCTGATAAATTCACCCCTCTCTGGAAATGGCGTGCTGCCGAGGAGGGCAAGAAATGTAACGGACTGGAGGAGGGAGAAGCAGGCCCTCGCGAGATGTCCAAGCTGAGACTAGCAAAGCGTAAGGATCCTGAGCCCGTTCTCGGAGACTTCTGAGGTCTAGACTAACAATGAGACACAGCCGAAGACTTTCGGTTCACTATCAATAGTGCTTTGTAGGAATGTTTTCTATGTTTTCTATGAATTTGTTTGAAGAATTGGTCGTTACAGCGCAATGAATTAAATAAGGTGCTGGTTTTCAAACTCAAAAACAAGTTTCATAGGCCATGGGCGGCCGACATATCTATCCGGGAAACACTGAAGTACAGAAAGTAGAACAAGAACGTAGCTCGTATCCGCTGGTTACGGCTTTAGAGTGACCCCCTTCGTCAGAAGGAGCCAAGGATCGATTGATCCGCTGGCAGAGTACCATCATAGGTATGATCCCAGTCTCTCCTCATATAGTAGGTCCAAAAGGGCCAGTGGTGAGGGAGTAGGATTGAGATGCAGGGCCAAGAATATTAAGAAGGCAAGACGACATGCTCGCCAAACAGTCTGCATCAAGATGGTATCAAGAGGATGTCATGGGTCGCGAGACGGTATACAGAGACTCATTGTCGCGGACCAGATTGAAGTGGTCGCGGTATCTTCTTATTTGGAAGTCATGGACAGGCCACGGGCGGCACCCACGGCAGCGGATACGGGGGTCGACGACCGGGTAGGCGCCGCGCTGCGGTTGTGGGCCATGTGGGCCTTGACAAGGTGGCCGGCGGCAAGTGCGGCGCACAGGCTGAGCTCACCAGCCAGGACGGAGGCCGCAATGATGCGGGACAGCTGGCGGGCATTCTCACCGGGTGTGGTGGGGTGGGCGCCACGGACACCGAGCATGTCCAGCATGGCCGATTGCGCTTCAAGAATGGTACCACCGCCAATGGTGCCCACCTCGATAGAGGGCATCGAGACAGCGATCTGGAGATCACCATTGCGGCTGTTTCAGACTATTAGCATTGCCAGTCAAAAGGGCATAAATTCACGCCAGTGAAACTTACTTTCTCATAGTCGTGATACAGCTGCTGCTCTCGACGTTCTGGGCGGGGTCCTGACCAGTGGCGAGGAAGATGGCAGAAACGATGTTGGAAGCGTGAGCGTTGAAACCTCCCAAGCTGCCTGCCATGGCGGAACCGATTAGGTTCTTACTGACGTTCAGCTCCACCAGAGCGTCGACATCGCTCTTGAGGACACTCTTGACAACGTCACCGGGAATGATAGCCTCAGCAACAACCGACTTGCCACGGCCATCGGTCCAGTTGATGGCGGCAGACTTCTTGTCGGTACAGAAGTTACCCGAGAGCGAAATGATAGACATATCATCGAAGCCACACTCTTTGTGCATGACATCCAGAGCCTTCTCGCAGCCCTTGGAAATCATGTTCATACCCATGGCGTCACCAGTGGTAGTCTTGAAGCGAATGTAGAGATAGGTACCCGCAAGCGCAGTCTTCAGGCTCTGAAGACGAGCAAAACGACTAGTAGAGTTGAAGGCAGCAGTGATAATACTCTTGCCCTCTTCCGAGTCGATCCAGACCTTGGCAGCGGCAGCCCGCGCCAGGGTGGGGAAAGTAACACAAGGACCACGGGTCATACCATCGCCAGTCAGGACTGTGACCGCACCACCGCCGGCGTTGATAGCCTTGGAGCCTCGGCTGGTACTGGCAACCAAGACACCTTCAGTAGTAGCCATGGGGATGAAATAGCTCTGACCATCAATGTTCAACGGGCCAGCAACACCAAGAGGGAGGGGTAAGTAACCAATGACATTCTCACAGCAAGCGCCGTGGACCAGACCGTAGTTGTAGTCCTTGAAAGGAAGCTTGGAGGCCTCCAGCGAGTTGGTGGTGGCAGAGGTGGCGGGGGTCCGAGCGACCACGGCGCGACGGATCTTAACGGCACGAGTGAAGGCATCCACACGGCTCATCAAGTCCTCGTTCTCCATGGTCTTCTCCAGAGCATAACCAGGAAGCTTGCCTTTCAGAGACAGAGCAATCAACTCCTCATCCTTCAAGAAGGGAGCGCGCTTTTCCTTGAGCATAAGCTCGCATTGCTCGGGGGTCCGGCTGGACTCTTCCTCGTTGGGCTCGAACTTGGGGTAGACCTTTGGCGCAACGGGCTCCTTAGGAGCAGTGGGAACGGGCTCGGGCTCCTTAATACTCCAGCGGGCAGCATTGAAGAGATAACCATTGAGAATGATGCTCAGAGTCAGAGCAGCAATAATCCACTTGCTGATGAAAGGGTCCTCCACGCTCTTGAGCAAGCTCTCGAGGACCTTGCCACCAACCGCATCCAGGAATTGATCCGAATATTCAATGTCGAATGAGCCGGTGTCCTCATTTGCTGCGTAATGAATAGAAGGGTACTCCAGCTTGTACTTGACGGGCGGAATAATCGTCACCATGGTCTCCTGCTTCTGGCTTTTGGCGGCCACGTAGACAGCATCCAGACCATTCTCTGCCACCTTGAAGGGATCAATGGGAGTAGGAGCCATCACATTGGACCAGCGGGCAATCAGGGCGCCATTACCGGTATTCCGGAAGGGAATGGCGGACAAGTTCACGACATTGATCAGGATGAGGCCACCAACCATGAGGATCTTAAAACGGCGCACACTGCTGGACTTGATCTTGCGTCCAAAGATGCTGGTGTCAGCTTCGCTGCTGTCCGAACCAGCGGCGGGCCAGTCATTGTTCGAGGCGACACTCTCGGCAACACTGTGGGTAATGCCGTCCTCTTCCAGAGCCTTGCGCAGGGCAACATGACGCTTGATGCGAGTGATCTCAAGCTTGATGCAAAGAATCGTGGTATAGAAGGTGAAGAGAAGGACACAATCGAAGAACAAGATCCAGGCCGCGAGGAAGCAGAACTGCTGAAGGCCACCCTGGACACCAGAGGCAGCACCCATAGCCAACAGGCCTATCTCAATGCAGTAGTGCTGGACGATCTCAAAGCCCTGCGCCTTGATAGCCGTCGAAATCGAGTCCTGAATTGAACCAGGAGGGCTCGAAGTCAGGGGACGGGCAGCGGCACCGGGGCGGGGGCGGCGGTTGTCCACGGAAGCGTTGAGAACAGCGCGGGTGAACATGATAGGTTTCTCGAAGCCAATGGTCACAACCAGGAAGGGAAGACCCTCGGAGAGCAGAACAAGATTGATCGGCACACCAAGCTTCGTGGTCGTCAAGAGACCAAACAGGAAAGCAAAAGATCCCGAGAAGAGCACCGTAGCAGCCAACCAGAAGTTCGAACCCAGGCGGCGCATGGAGAAGAAGAGGGAAACGAAGCTCAGGTGCATCGAAATGTAACCCAGGGCCATGATGACAATGTCAATGGTCTCGGCATGCTTGATAAGATCCACCAAGGAACTCCAGGCATCCGCCAGCCACAGCTTGAGAGCCGTACGGGAGCCAACGGCACCACGAGCGGCCTTCATGATCCATTTCTTCGACTCTTCTTCGTCCTCCTCCGCAGACAGGTCAGGAATCTCTTGCACGGCCCTCAAGAATTCAGGGACCTGGTCAAAAGGCACCGCGTACGCGAGAGCGGAGTCATGGGAGAAAGGCGAGAACAAGTTCGGAGTATGCGGAACCAAGTGAGCGGAGACATTGGCAGGGACCGGGACATCGTCGGCCGCTGGGGCAGTCGAGGCCGACTTAGAGGTGGAATCGGGGAAGATGAAGGTCGCCAGAGCCAGATGATGCACGGCGGGCTCGTCAATCTGTGGGAGACTTGTTAGAGTCGGGGGTTCTTTTTCGCGAACGTCGTCGAAATGCTTACCGTCGAGTCCACCCAGGAATCCTCCGCCTGCCACTTCCACGAGGTTGACTCGCCGAGGCGTAGATTCCGGCTGCCCTGGAGTAGAGTATGGATATCCACTTGGCCTGCAACATCGCGAGGATTGCGCGCAACGTCCAGCAGGCTACCTTCGAGCAGGCCGACGTAGGTGGTGCTGGCGAGCAGCGCAATCACTACGATGGTGTGGATGGGGTGCACACAGGCACGGCGAGAGATGCATTCGAGGACAGAAGTGACCTGACGGCGAATCCAACTTGGCTCTGTGTCCCGATCAGCTTCTGTGGAGCGCAATCTCTTGGAGATTAATGAGGTCGCCATTGTGACGGGGCGTGGAGGAGGGAGCGGTGTAGACGTCTGTTGAAGGCGTTGGGGAATTAAGACGGTCCGCAGGGACCAAAGCCTGCGAGTATCACCGCCGTGGTGCTCTTCGTTTCGACCAAAATTGACGGAAGGTAGGAGATCTCGAAAGGGAATTGAGTCCTAAATCGAGGGCCGCATGTGGCTCACGAGGCCGACGGGTTCTTCAGGGACGGGGAGTTCCTGTGGGAACTGTATTTCCTTGGTCAGCGAGCGACCCAAGGGGGGTCATAGGGGGTGCGACAGTGCATACCAACAGAACAGCAGGAAACAAGAAAGAACCAAGAACAAACCGTCCAGGCAATTGGAGCGGTGTCGCGGTACAACGGAGGAAGAGTACGGGGACCCCCTGAAGGCTGCAAAATACTCAGAGCATCGGGCCCACGCCGATGGAATTAAGTATCGCCGACGACGGGTCTGCCAAGACACGCCAACGCCAACAACAATCCAGTGGGGAGAAACGTAGGATTCCTCAGAAAACCCGGGAAGAGGAAAGAAATAGAGAAGATAAGGAGAGTGCTGTTTTCTAGGATGTTTACTCGACGAGCAAGAAAGATTCCCGAGCCAACGCAACACCGGGGGATGACAAGCTGGACGAACTAGACATGGTACCATGCACACTACGGGAGAGATGTTGGAATTGGGCTGAATTATTTCGTAAACCCCTTGCCGCCCCTTCTTTTCTCGGCTGTCACTTTCACTAGCAGTTACATTGGATTTTCTTTGCGGAGACGATTTGGTATAGAAGAGAAACGTTGAGGCGGTAGCGACGCTCGCGTCCCCTTTTTTTTTTTTTCGCAACCTCGCGACTTTTGGCTGGCCCGCTTGTACTTGGACTTCGAACTTCGATTGCCGGCCCGCCGGTGGCGCAGGCCCCTGCTCAACCGACCCCAATCGGCCCCAGACGTGGCGGCCTAACAATCATTCAGCCGGTGTTCCCCGAAATTTACTTTGCCGGGGATTCGGGTTCTTCTGTATCGCTTTCGTCGCATCTGCAAGATATCGGTCTGCTCCTGCAGAAGAATATTGCAGAAATGCAAGAACTACTGTGGGTGTGACTTCGAATCCTGCAGTCGATCAGCACAGGCTCCACTTGGGCTTCCAGGGCTTTGCCTGAATTCAATGCGCGGGCATCGCTTCCGGGTCCACGTCAGCGCGGTCCACCTCAGCGAGATCCCACTCTACTGTATTTCCCAAACCCTCCCTCTGAAAGGGAAACTCCACAAGAAGACGGAAGACTGAAGACCCATTCCGCAGGCCGAACAGTCGGTTCTCTCGGCTCGTTGGACAGTCCAGATGGAAAACCCACTCAGTGGAGCTGTCGGAGACATCAGATCAAAATCAGATAACTCAAGGTCAAATCATTCTTCGTCTCGTCTCCGCCCCGCGGATTTTATCCACAATGGGACGTAGTTCTTTAAAACCCGGTCGCGGTGTAACTTCGTATCGGCTGTCGGCTGTGGTGGGATGGGGGCGGATACAACATCGTATTGTCTAGAGAAATCATGTCAAAGAATCAATCTTCTCGAACAGACGAGCCCGGGCCAGTGAAACTACGAGCAAAGAAGCGTGGCCGTGCATGAGGATGTGCACTGTGGTACTTCCCGCCTACGCGATTGATTTTACCACCTCCTTTTATTAGTTCGCTATCTGTACACTGCTTACTTTACCAATAAGTTCAACCACGCTTCCGCGTCATCCTCTATCCTTTACCTAGTCCTTCCTTATCAAAGGGCGCAGGCTATTAGATACCAAGCCGGGCACACTACATCACGGACATCCTATGCAAATTAATTCTGAGGAATTCTAACGGCAGAAAAACAGTGGGTCTCTCTCAGCATGCTAAAGCAGAACAGGACAAACACTAATGAACTCTGATGGTAGATCCAGTTAGATCCCGAGGAAGGCGGCTGAAGAGAAGAGGAGAGGGCTGCAGAAACGTGCATGTCAAGGCACCGCGCAGGCCGGATGAGGCTCGATGCCAACCCCCTCCCCCAAACTTGAAGCCTGGACGATAAGGTCTGCTACTGGTTGACATCCCTGGGCCTCATTGCCGTGAGACGCCGAACATGAGCCGTTGCAGAATCCCGCCCTGAGAGGGCCAGGCGCTAAGGGAGCCTCCTTCGCTCGGCCAATGGCAGTAGCCGCTGCGCTCAATTCCCTGCAGAGATGCAACACTTGCAGACCTCTCCCGACCACGGGTGATCTCCAAAGCTGCAGCTACAGCCATACACTCTCCAAGCGCCAGGAGGTTGCGGGATCGTGTCTCAGGACATAAAAATATCTCCGTCCCACCCCCATCGAAAGCAGCCTCCCGTCGCCTTCGCAACCATCTCATCCAACCATTCTTCATTAGGCTGCCGCCCTCCGGCAGTGAAGGACTTTAGGCTCGCATGACAGCCTGCCGCCGGGTATGGATCGTTTCAACTCTGACGTCGAGTCCCGCTTCAGGGTTGAGCCTGCTTTGTTTGCCTCTCCAGTTATACGCGACGGTGGCTCTCTCAGTGCCCGTCCCTCCTATATGTGCAACACACGTTCCCTGGTCATGTCGGACCTTCTTTGTCTTCATTGTGTTTTTCTTCTCGAGTGGTCTGGTGCCTTGGGATGAGAGTGCCTTGAAACAATCCTTTTGATCACTGCCTTGTTGTCTAGTTATGGGCAGGTTTGGTGTGAATAGCTAGAGTTTCCTTTCTGTTCCTTGTGTCTTTTTCATTCCATCTTCTCTCTAAAATAGGCATCAGGCCCTTCACTCTACCCAAAGCAGCATCTCACCCCCCCCCCCCCCCCCCTCCTTTGCTGAATATACATAAATTGCTTTGCATGCCGGAGATAGTGGCCGTGTCCTCCTCAACCACACGCTTTTCATCAAAGAACATCATCTACGGAATTGCACCGCGAGCCAGTGATCATCATCTTTCCACCAAACAAGACGTGGAGGCTCGAAAAACCATGCGGCGAAGAACGCTCCAGGCACTCTTCGCATTCGTCGCATCCTCCAGTGCCCATTCCTGGGTTGAGCAGCTCACTGTCATCGCCCCAAATGGGACTTTCGTGGGCACTCCGGGGTATGCGCGAGGAAACTACCTTCGCAGCACCTCCGGATTCAGCGATACCACAATGACCTACTTACTTCCACCCAGCAGTCGGGCAAATGTGACGCTGATCTTGCCCACCGACAAGCTGTGCAAGAGCACCCAACAGACCCCAAACCAGACGGATGGAAGCCCCCGTTTGCAAGCCAGCGCTGGCGCTGCGGTTGCACTCCGCTACCAAGAGAACGGACATGTTACACTGCCCTGGAATCAGCCTGGGAAACCAAAGAACCGAGGAACGATCTACGTGTATGGAACCACACAACCCAAAACCGGCGAAAAGCTTTTGGACGTCCACGGTGTCTGGAACAGCAATGGCACCGGGGGCGATGGGCGAGGCGTGCTGCTGTCCCAGCAGAACTTCGATGACGGCCGTTGCTACCAGATCAACAGCGGCAACATCTCGGAATCGCGTCAGGAGGAGTATCCGCACCAGGCCAACCAACTGATGGGCGCGGATATGTGGTGCCAACAGGATATCCGGCTGCCATCGACCGCCCCATCTGGGAAGTTGTATACGCTCTACTGGGTGTGGGACTGGCCCACTGCCCCGGGTGTCGATCCAACATACCCACAGGGGAAGCAAGAGATCTACACGACGTGTATGGACGTGGATGTGGTGGGCACGTCCGTGTCCCAGAAGGAGATAGAGGATGAGGACGGGTATGCCGTCGGCCAGGATCTCAACAGTGCTGCCATCCCGTCGGAGTTTGCCGATCTCGACGATGCCCCGGCAGCAGCAGAGACAACTGCGCTTCCGTCTCCACTATCCCACCCCAAATCAACATCCACATTGACGATTACATCGACGGTGGAGGTTCAGGTGGTTACCGTGACCGCTTGGAAGACGACTGAGAAGACCGTCACCGTGGGTGGGTGTCGATCGACCGGAACTATGAGTGCAGGACGGCAGAAGAGGGCATACAGAGGGGGATGAAGGATGAGTTGGGGTCCATGGAAATACATGCCACATAGATTTGAACGATAACCACACACACTAGAACATACATCATTGGATATCCATAAACATAAACAGCAAAAACTCCCAGTGTCCGTATTCTTTTCCCAATCGAGAACATGGTCTTCGTGCTGCTCCGAAAATGTAATCAAAGTACGGCCGCCACCAACGCCCAAAACGGCTAAGCCCGCGATCTGAAACGCGCTAGCACGTGACGCTGACCTAAGCCCCGCGAAGCTTCAATTCACACAGGAGGCCTCTCCAAGCGTCGCGAGAGGATCTGCTTTCTTTGCTCTGCTCTGCTCTGCTTCAATCTCACCTGTTGGTGTGTTGGTTGTGTCTCGGCATACCCCTTGCTGTTCCTGCCGAGAACCCTTCCACGACCTGCCCGCGCTGATCATTTACCCTGAGGGACCACTAGAAACCAAGGTATGCCCCAATCATCCCCAATGCCCCATCTTCGGCCCTCCATCTCCTTCCAGGACAAAAGGGTCCGAAGCCCCTGGTCCATATCCTGCAAATGCGACCAGCCCGGTGATTCACCACCTCCCCTCCCCCGACAACCTCACTTTCACTATTCTCCGCATAAGCGCTGAGGCCGGTTCGCATTTATATCTGACACTGGCCGTGCAGTTTCTGCTATATTTAGCATTTGCCTTCGGCCTGCGGGACAACGCCTGGAACAACGACGTTCCGTCCCCAGCGCATCCTGGGCTTGATACACTCCCTCCGCGCTTGACGAACCCTTCCGTCACTCTCTCGAATCCCCGTTCATTCTCTCCTGGGGTCCGTTCTTTACATTTCCCTGCATCCGTGCACGATTCGGCGTTCTCCCCCTCCCCAAAGGGTCGGCCCTCCCATACGCACTACCCTTCCCCTCCTCGCTTTTGCCGATTCCCGATCCCTTCCCGTCGGAGGGATCCTCGTCCACCTCGATTAGCGCTGAGTGATACGAACGACTCGGCCCGTTTTGTCTGGCCCGTTTTGAATTGTGATTGGGAAGCAGTTTGGCATCTCTGCCGTGATTTGTGCACGAGACCTGTCGGCCTGTCGTCTGATTGATTTGAAGTGCCCGTGGCATTCAATCGCAAGTGGGATCTCGTCGGCGCCACCATATCGCAATGCAAAAATAGATTCCAGTGAACGCGACCGATGAACACCCCTTGCTGAGCCCCGAGCGCCCTTTTTCCTATCGTCAAAACACCCCCACGCTTGAGATTATCCCGGCCTGCCCAGAATGACCTCCCCGGCATCGCCAAATATCCTCTCGGGGAACAACCTGCAAGTTCTCCCGCCTATTTTGACGGACAGCACAGTTAAGCCATCTCCGAGCGCAAAGGATCGGCTCTCCACATACTCGAATATCTCCTTCGCTTCCCAGAACCGGTCACGGCCTGGCTCCCATGTGTTTCCCATCTTCCATTCCAGCCTCACGTACACCCTAGTACGAGATTTTGCCTACCCGTCGATTCATCCGTTGCACTATGGGCCCCCTCCACCGCACGCCTCGGGCGTGTCGACCCCAGCCAGCGAGTACCGCCGCTTGTCCGATCCACCAACATCTTGGGACACTGCGAAGGCCCCGTGGACCACTGGTGGTTGGAGCGCCGAGACCAGCCAAGGCCATCAGCAATTGCCGGCCATGTCATTTGGTGATGGGCCCCCATACAGTGAAGATGAAGACCTGCACAGTCCGGTGGTGACCTCGTCGCGCCAGCGCAAGAAGAGCACTGGAAATGATTTGAACGGCATGGTAGACGAGAACGGCATGCTGGTAGCTGGAAATGTCGAGCGCGGTACATTTGTCGGCCTGAACCCTGACGGCAGTGAGACCTACTATGTCAACGGCGGTGGTGAAATGGAGGATGGTCCTGGTGGGGAATACATTACATACCCGGCAAATGAAGGTCGATACTCGGTAGCATATGCCGGCCAGCAAGGCTACGCGCAGGAAACTGGCTTCGAGTCAGAGGATGACTACACGCGCGGAGACCGCTACTCGAACGATTATCAGTTTGCTGTTGGCTGCCCGGACGAGGAAATGCATGGAAAGGCCGTCGCACTCTTCGACTTCGTGCGTGAGCACGAAAACGAGCTCCCTCTCACGGAGGGCCAAGTGATCTATGTTTCATACCGACACGGCCAAGGCTGGTTAGTCGCCGAGGATCCGAAGACAGGAGAAAACGGTCTGGTCCCAGAGGAATTTGTTCGGCTCATCCGAGACATTGAAGGTGGGCTCACCTCATTGAGCGAGGAGCCCAATCCAGATGTCACAGAGAACAGCGTATCAGCCAGCATGGAGATGACCGACGATGAACATGCTTCAACCCCTACCCAGCAAAATCACAAGGGCCCGAATGGCGACACGCCCGTGTCTATCGCCGTCGAAGGTACAGGTGAATCTCACTCCACGTCAGGAAATGGAAAGACTACCGGAGACGCTGGCAACCGGTCCAGCCTGATGACAAAGACTTGACGACCCTGGCAAGATGCATAAGCAGCTTCACTCAACAATGGTCCTAAGTCGGCAGCGCCTGGCTCTCCCTCCGTGCGGCGTTTGTTAGTGCCAACTCCATTTCTTTGAAATGTCAAAGTCCATTGGCGCGCTTCCTCCTACTACCCTCTTATCGACATCTCAAGGGTCGACCCGATGGAAGAAGTCGCACACGCACTTCACACCTTTCCACCGCCATGCGCCGTTCCCGCTGATGGACATTCGATATGCCGTCTGGGCTGGCAATGGCCACCAATCAGATACGGGGAGAGCCATAGTCACGCTTAGTGCCTGCTGGCCAACCAACATGCCATCATCTACAAGATGAAGCTGGTCCCAATTCCAATAAGTCGCCTTCTCAACCCACAACCATCACCTCAATCAGTCGGTTTCCCCCACATTCTCCACCCCTCCACGAGCCCTCCATCTCCCCTAATATTGCACCCACACACTCCACAAATGCAGCGCATGCTTCTACATGCCTTGATAATCCGAAACATAACAATAGCGACAAGAGGATTTAGAAGAAAGAATCTCTTTCTTTGGCTTCTCTCCGACATACGCATTTGTTGTTCATATCCCCTTGTTCTGTGTTCTCTTATACCTACGATCAACCTATTCTCACCCCCTTTGACCTCACCTCCCCTTTTCGCACTTGTATCTAGCTTCCTTCAGCGCAGGCGTTGTCCTAGCATCAATTAGCATCAGCGTAATGCCTATTTGACCCATTTCAATTATTTCCTTCCTAAGATATCGTGCATGTAGGCTTCATAAATATTCGAAATTGTGCCATCCAAGCTCATATCATGCCAACCGTCTGTGCGTAGGCGTTGTCTTCATCTTGCATTCCATATGTAGGGAGATGCTCCTCCTTTCATCGATAGCAACTTGCAGTATTCATCAATCAAGCCAATCGTTTCATGTGTAAGAGAAGGTAAAGTCTGTTTTCTTGGCATCAAAAGGGGATATATAAACAGACCGCTAACCGCACGAGGGCTCCTTTTACTGCGATGAGATCTCGTGAGATTAAAGGGGAGAAAAGAAACAAAAGGACATTTTCAGAACTGCTCTGCTAAAGCGTGACAAGCCCATGAATCCAACAACGAAAAAGAAAGAAAGGTGATTTTGCAACAATAACAAAACGGGTCGAAAGAATCAAATGGTGTCTGAAATTATGAGATGAATGGAATAGAATGCTGAGTCCTGCCTGATTCCTGTCCCGGGCCACCAGGCGGTCTGGTACTCAGTGGTGGACAAATACGGGGCGCATTTGAATGACTACCGGCAATTGGCGAAAAGAAACTAGATCAACCAAGCAAATCATCGAATGCGGAGCCACCTCCCTGCTTCTGCTGGGGATGAGACTGGGCAGGCGAAGCCGACGCAGCCGGGGCACCCCAGATACCGGCACTGGCCTTTTCCTTGGCCATACTGGCAAGGTTGGGGCCCTTGTTTGCGTTGGCGTTGGACTTGGAGATACCAGCGCTAGCGCTAGCAGTGGACCAGAGGGAGCCGAACGCATCACCAGAGGACTTGCTTGCTGTGCTGGAGGCGGGTTTGCTTGCGGTGGAGGCAGCGGGAGAAGAGATGGAGGGCTTGGCGGCGTGAGAAGAGAGTGACTGCGTAGCGCCGATTGGGACGGAGGTGAAGTAGTTTGGTGTGGCAGCCTGGTAGCCAGACGGCTTCGAAGCCATAGGCTGCTGCTGCTGGAGGTACGCGGTCTGCGACACCGGGGAGGCAATCGAGCTGGTTGGCGGGGTGGGCGTGGCCGATGTGAAGCCAACCAAGCCGTTAATATTAGCGCCCTGGGAGCCAGAAACAGGTACAGGCGCAACGAATTGGGTGCTCGAAGTCGTGCTGTGGGTGGAGGCGGGGGGCTGGATGGAGAAGTTGGACGAAGCAGGCGCTGAGGGTTGAGTCGCCGGAGTGGCAGACTGGAAATCGTCGAAATCATCGTCATCTGCGGTCGAGTCCAGCATGTTCAAGGTGCTGCTAGGCTGCTTGCCAGCAGCGGTGGAGGATGCCGCAGTGGCGGCAGCAGGCTCGTCATCACCGAAATCGAAGAGGTCTGCCACAGGTGCGGGCTCTGGCTTCTTCGGTTCTGGTTTGGCCCTGGAAGCCGCAGCAGGCTCACGTCGTGGGGCGCTGGGTTCGCCCTCGTCGTACTCGTCATACTCTTCAAATCGGTTGCCCCGACGGCTTGTGTCGCGGCTGGAGTCCTGGAAATCACTCGGGGCACCGCCGAAGCCTCCGCCATCGCCATACACACCACCACTATATCCACCGTATCCCATGCTGTCGCTTCCGAAGCCACCGTACTGGCTGGAGCCAGACATGCCGCCACCGACATTCATGCCACCTTCGAAACCACCAAACTTGTTCCGGTTGGTGCGAGCCTTCTTGCGCTCAGAGCGGATTTGATCGACATCACCCAGCAACTTCACCAGTTCTGAGGACCGGTTACGCACATTGATACCCTGGTCCTTTCCGTTCAGGTCAATGAAGTGGAATTGCCGCAGCATCCGCAACAGCGACATGTGAGATCGTGCATCGTCGACCACCCGCTCCGATCCATTCTTGACGAGAAATTCGAGGAGTTGAAGACTCTGTATGTCGGAGGAAAGCAAGAAGGTCAGCACAGCTAATGGATAATGTTCGTGCCATGATGCGGCGCACCTTGTAGATCTGTCTCCACTCCTCGGCGCTCTTGTCGGTGAACCGCTTGTAAATCAATGGCATGATCTCATTGAGTAATTGGCTGCAGTGATGTATAAGCATATAATCCACCAATCTTGGCTCAAAGTTTGACGACACCACTGACTAGCTATGTGTTCCATTGGCTATCTCCTGCATCAACGTAGTCGAGGCACCCCAGGGTTCATTGTTTGTCGCTTCCCGGACCTAGTCCTCAAGTAAGCTAGGCTGTCCCATGACTTATCGCGGAATCGTATCGATGTAGGTCCTCGCAGCTCGTGGGGTCGTTGCGCGCGAGAAGTCTGGCTGGTATACGAACCTTGGCCTCCATTTCGGTATAGTTCATGACGGCTATGACGGAGCGGTCAGCCCGGTGTCCCGGAATTGCGAGACAAAGCTCTGTTGTTTTTGATCGCAGCAAAATCAGATCCAAGATGTTGGGACATACCATTTTGCACTTTGCGGACACCAGCCTTGAGGTCATACAACGTCAGGTTGCTGACCTTGTCTTGGATGTTTGAGAAATCCATGGCGAGGGGCGGCTGTTGTCAGACTGAATCGGGCGAAAAAGAAGAAAGGACAGTTGCCAAGCAAGATCAGATAAGCTGGTCAAGCGATTGATGCCCAAGGAGAACGGAATTATCCAGGCCCGCCGGGAATGGGGTGTAAGAACAGATGGTCGGAGGGGGAGGCGGCCGGTTTCCAGCTGGCCGATTCCAGTTCCATGCGCCACACAGTCACGTGGCCAACCCCTGATCCCGGCCGACGCTCAGTATACTCCACGGCTAACCAAGTTTATTTACGGAACAGGGAGATAAACAGATGATTCCAGGGGGCTTTGATGAATCGTGATGTTGTGTCATTGTGTACATATCATTCGAATGCTCGTATAGCCCGAGGCGCTATCGCTATTGAAATCCAGAAAAAAATACCCTAGGTATCTAAACAATAAAAAACCAGAAAAGTAAGAATATCACTAAGAAAGCTCCGCTCAAATCATCATCCCTCGTCACATCCATCCACATGAGGTTCATTCGTTGTAAAACTTCTTCATGATCAAGTGTAGGAAAAGGTTAACGTTGACCCGCATCTGCCCGTCGAAGAAGTCCATGAATTGCGTGTTGTTGAATTGGGCTTGTAGTAGGTCGTCGAGTGGTACTTGGGCATTGGCACCAGGAACCATCATGTTGCCGCTGCTGCCATCAATGGTGAAAACTCCTACTTCATTACTGGAGATGGTCAGGTCCACCCGGTCGTACTGGCGCTCGCTGTAACCCTTCCAGCCGACAAGCACACCTCGGTCGGCCAAGGTGCGAGCGGAGTACTTGTATGAACCAAACTTGAAGATCTTGCCCGACTTCTGGAGCTCTCGCTGGTGATCCCACTGCTTAGTAAAGGGCATAAGGAATCGCTTCTTGCCCTTCTTGTTCTGCAGCGTGATCATCGCCTGCTCAATATAGTCGTTGTAGGTCTTGAGCTGTTGATCTAAGTAGATGGCTTGATCATTGAGACGGCCAGAGGTCATCCGCGCCCCCTCCAGCTCTCGCTCTCGCTGAATTCGGCGGCGATGCTTGGTGCGGATGTCACTTGCAATGGCGTTCAAGAGATCTTGATAGTGGTTATGCCGACTAATCTTGCCAGCCTGCTCGAGGCGAAGAATATTCTCCAGCGCAATGCCCTTCAGTTCTGTGTAGCCAATGGATCCGATGTCAATCAAGGTACTAGCCTCGGAGTAGGCACCGCGACGAGGGCTATTCGTATTCAGTTCCTCTCGGACCAAAGTCTCCCACCGTTGTTCATCTTCGAGGCTCGGAGGCTTGAGCATGATATCCATCAAGTTGGCACCGGTCTGAACTCGAATGATGTAGAGGATGCATCGCTTGGTCTCCATAAACAGGGCCTTGACTTCCGCTTCTGGGTCTGAGTGATACGTTTGTTAGCTAGATTGTCCAATAGCGAATCTCTCTAAGGGTACAACATACCTTCAGTTTGCGCCAGCTTCGGGTTGAGTGTTAGGTTTATCTCCGTGGAGCTGACACTCATCAACTCGTTCTCATTGCTTTTCACGTTGCCAAGATCGCGCACAAGCTGTTTCAGGATGTCATCGGGGTGTGGACACATGAAGTCGATTTCGGAAGCCACAAGTTGGTGAATCGAAAAAATGTCGGACATCTTGATGTACAGAGTTGGTTTAGCCTTGGCGTAAAGATCGTTAAACTCGTCGATGTCAAAGTAGGCTTCGGCATCCTGAACCGAGATCACTGCTATAAGTTAGCTTGTGGAAGGCAAAGATAGCAAAGGGACAAGAAGAACTTACTTTGGCCCCAGATCTGGCCGAGCCTCTGTATTGACTCGCCGACATAGGAATTAAGAGGTTGGAGGTAGACATTTTCAGCGCCAAAAAGTCTGCCGGAAGCGACTTGGGTCACAACCTTCGCGATCTCGCCAAGGTTTCTCTTTTGTTCTTGGGTAAGACCGCGATCCACAACACCGTACTTCTCTGGCTCGAGAAGAGCGGGCTGGAAATAATTCTTCCACACCCAGTGGCCAACCGTTTGAAGCACAAATCCGGGATCCTCGTTTGGAAATCGGCCAAGCAGGTTCTCATACATCTGCTGGGCGAGGTATCTGATACCGAATGGCATGCGGTACAAGAAATCCTCGAAAGCAGCAAAGAATTGATCCGCAATGTCACGCAGATCTTGCAAGTGCTGTATGAACGTCTCTCGAGTCTCAGGATCTCTGATGGCTTCTTCTCGGGGAAGGTCTGGTCGTCGACGGCTGCGTTGACCTGTACGAAGTTCCTCGTTGTTGATGGAAGAACGGTAAATCTGGATGGGATCGCTCTCAAGGTCAAGCTCGGGATTTTCGATAACGGATTGTTTCACCACGGTGCCAAGAACATCGCGCATGAATTTGCGGTCCCGGGGCGATTTCGCGTAGGAGCCGAAGAGCCTGTTCCAGAACGCGTGGGAGCGCAGGTATTCAGGGAGCGAGGTGAAGTTTTCGATATCCTCCTTAACGGAACGAGCAAGAAGCCTGACAAGGTAATACTCTTCACGTCTCTTCTGTGAGTATCCAAAGAGACCCATCATCAAGTGTCTGATCCTCTCATACTCCTTGTCCGAGGTATTGAGCTCACGTAGGCGACGGAACAGCCGGGCAAGGTATTGTGATTGGGTTTGTAGGAGGAAGAAAAACACTTGGTACTGGTCCAGCTTCTTCCTTGAGGTCTTGTTCAAAGCCTTGAGATCGTAGGGGTCCTTGGAGGAGATATCGGTATTGGACAGTAGGTTCCCAATATGGCCACCAAAGTGCTTTTGATGCTTGACAACTTCGTCCAGGGTAATCTTGTTCTTAACGAGCAAGGCAATTTTGATATCGAGCTGACTGATGTACTGCTCTGCAAGCTCGTTTTGACGCACTTGTTGAACAACCAACTTTCGCAATCGTTCGAATTCAATCTCCTCGTCGAAATCAAAATCGCTATCATTGAGAAGATGGACAAAGCCCTTAACAGTGCCGACAGGTGGGTTTTTCCCGCTCGTCAAGCTCTTATATGCCTGGCCTTGGATACGGCCTCTGATGACGCTTTGAGCCTTGATGACCTTCTCCATGTTTTCGTTATAGTGACGGCGTCTCTCCTCAAAGCGGTTGCGGACGATACAACCTCTGATGCGGGCCTGGAGATCGATGATGAAATCTCCCTCGTCTTCCAGGACAGCCAACATTTGGCCGACTTGCATCCGCACAAGCATAGCCCTCGACAATGCTTGGAGCTGGACGACATCATCTTCACTATCCTCAAGGCGAGCAAGCATCCCACCAACTTCAATGCGCAAAATTGCAGAGCGAGCAAGGGATTGAAGGTCCACGATCAGATTTTCCTCCTTTTTGAGGTCTTGTCGTTCTGCCGCCCGGAGCCTGCGTTGAAGAACACCTCTGACCTTGGACTGCAAGTCCAAGATGACAGATTCTTCCTTCTTCAATGAGGCCTCCTGGATCTCCAGGAGCTTTCTCGTGGCCTTGCCTCGAAGGATACCTTGCAGGGTAATGACAACTGATTCATGCTGGGCAAGCTCGGAACGGAGAGCTGAGTTGTTCTTACGCACAGCAGCACCTCGTACAAATGCTTGCAATGCGGTACATCCACGTTCGTTCTTAGATAGAGCATGCAATAGCTGCACATGACGTCTCATGGATGCCAAGGCACGAGCGGTGGATTGAATGAAGGTGATGGCGGCGGTTTCATGTTGAAGAGATGTCTTGACTTGGGACAAGTGCTGACGGGCGAGACTTCCTCTAATCACTGCCTGCAGTGATTTCACCGGGCTGCTGGCTTGCTCGGCTTCCCGAGACTGTACACTCAACTGTTTTCGCTGCAAAGCACCCCGGATTAGTGCTTGAAGAGTCGTAACATCATTTTCGGCGTAACGTGTCTGTTCATATTGTTCGGAGACATTCTTGCGTTTCAGCGCACCTCGGATGGCGGCTTGAAACTCCTTGATACCAGATTCCTCCCGCCGAGCGCGTGTTTGCAAAAGGCTGGCTTCTGCTCGCACTTTGCAGGCACGAATGAGGCTCTGTAGTTGAAGGACATCGGTTTCTTGAGCCTTCCGCCATCGCTTCTCCCCTTTTTGGCGGTGGCGCACGATAAATCCGCGGCTTATGGCTTGAAGCTGGATGGAAAATTGACGCATGCTCAGTCGGTACTGACTAATCTGTCGGGCCCAGTCCCCACGCAGGCGTGATTGTAAGTCGATCAACAAAGGCTCGAAATCCCAAAGGTCATTCATCATGCTGCCAAGCTTTAACCGCAGCATAGCACCCCTGATCTGACCTTGGAAATCCACAATTGGTTGTTCATTTTCGTGCAGCTCACGGTCGATTCGCTCCTCCTCGGACTCGACAGGCTCGGGCTCAGGCTCGGGCTCTGCGCCAAAATTCGCAGCCATACCCGCAAAGCTAGGCATGCTGACACCGGCCTTGTCCAATCCCTTCTGGGTCTTTTCAAGCTCATGATGCTCGAACTCCAGCTGGCCAACCAAGTTGCCCATACGGAAATCCAGCATGCCATTCTTGAAAAGCAGCCAGGACAGAGCGTGGATGCAGTGGATGACCTTCGGAATATTCTTTTTTTCGTAAAGGTCGATGAGCTCAAATCGGAACAATTCAGGGAGCTCCACATCGTCAAGGAATCGGAAGAACAAGGCGATGTTGTCAGAGTGGCGATACTGCAGCCTGGCATGTCGGAAGATGCGCAGAACCCGATCTGGGTACATTGCCTGCACAACCTCGGCTAGGGTCACTCCATCTCGCAGAGCTTCCTCTAGCCCAACAATTGGCGGAATTTCCTTTTGGATTACACTTTCAATCCACTCTTTGGCCTCTCCAATATGGCACAAATACTCGTAAGCCTGCAGGAATTGCCGCTGTTGATCCATCCAGTTTCCAGCAGCCCACGATGACGCCTTGGGCTTCTCCGGGGACACCGCGCCAGGTCGTGCACCAGCGACTGAGTCCGCGCGCTTCAAGCGTCGCCGCCCTTGCATTCCAACCACAGATTGTGTTGCCGCGCTGAATTGAAAATCATCGCTCTCAGACTGCGCAATCTTGGATAGAGTTCTGAGATGACGCGTTGATGACTTTTGGAACGTCTCAAGTTCCGGCGCAGATAAGGCGGTGGTGAGTTGTGGTGGATGTGGGCTATTTGACAGGCTTTTCTGGGGCGATGAGGCGCGCGATGACCCTGGAGCGGGTGTGGGTGACCAATGTTGAGGTGTAGCTCCCCGCGGAGGCGTTTGCGGTTCGAACGCAGCTGCTCTATTACGAGGCGACTCGTTTTCTTTGAAGTGGACATGATACGACTCTGGGGTAATGGGCCGGTACTCCTTGGTGAGTTGTTGCTCGTCGATAGTCTGGCTGCGAGAGTGTCGGTACGCGCTCGGCTTGGTGGCAGATGCAGTGACGTTCGGCGCTTGTTGAAGGGGTCTCAGGGACCGGCGGATGCTCTCATATGTTGTTCCGGCATTTGACCAACTTCCCTGTCCGTTGGGGTCCATTGTCCCAGGGCTCACTTCACTTTTTCCTCGACGATGGGCTTGGGTGCCCGGGATCGACGCATTTGAGGAAACTGTGCTTGTTCGACTGGGGGCAAACGAGCTTGAGGCTATGGAGTAAGCAGAGGAGTTTGTTGACGCGGTTGAGCCGTGTCGCAGCGGACTAGTTGACTGCGCCGGAAGGTCCGTCTGGGCCCGCTTGAGTGATGGGAAATGACTCGACATCACTATTACCGTTGCGACAGGAATGCGAAAAGCGATGAGAAGTTATCGTTCTCGTCTGACCGCATCCCTGCTCCCGAAGCAGAAGCGGGGGCGTTGTTTTGTCCAATCCAGGCTCTTGAGGCCTGTTGATGTTCTTGTTGATGGTGAATCCGCGGAATGTGAGCTCACGCGGCGGCGAAGGGTTGAGATGTCCCGGGTTGAGAAATGGAGTCGAAAATTCAGCGGACTGGACAAAACCAAGGATGACGGGAACTTGAGAGGCTCGTGAGACCCTCCGATGATGGAATTCTTGTTGACGGTGGGGGGGGAACTGGGCAGGTGCGACCGGGATTCCCCAAGCCCAAATGGGACAGTCCCAAAACAAATCTCCCAAGGTGGTCTAGCGTCGATCAGGTGATCGCCGTCGACCCTCAGCCACTTCTCACGTGTCGTAGCAACAAGCGACCTGGTCCAATTGATGCGGCAGGCAACGGCCTGTAATAGCAACTTGGTGCGGCTTTATAGCCACCATCTGACCCTTTCCTGCTTTTCTGTGTCGGACGTGTCAGATAGGGCAGGATGCGTGCAGTCTTGGCAAGCGTACTTGAGATCGATTTGGCAAATTTAAGAGGGTTCCGTAGTCCCGTGCGACCATAGCATTCGCCTACCCTCGTAGTCCACCTTTCCCCTTCCTTCCACCCTCCATCGTTCGGTCAATCGAGGTCTGCTTGACTGACTAAATATTTTCTCTCTTGTAGTTCATTTTAGATTAAGTTAAATTCCCTTCTTTTGTGACAAGCAATGTCTACGCGGAATTTCCTTGCCTATTTTTTATATCTATACTACCGGCAGCGATTTATTCCATGTTATGAAGGATTATTCGCAAGATAGATCAGCATCTTACCCAGCTATGAGACAAATAGAAGTCCTCGTGAACCGCTTGGCCCTCAATAATTTGGAGAATACCACGTACAAAGCTACTAGATCTTCAAAATATCTTCCCACAGCCCCATGTGCTACTCTTAACGGCCACGGCTCCTGCGTAGTGCGTGATTTAAATGTTGCCGGTCGAACCACTAACCCCGCCAACCTACCGGAATAACGCGAGAATAATGACATGGACCCAACCATAAAAACCTATCCGAAGCAACCCTCTTCCTTTCATCCCGACCTTAATATTTCTCAAATCATCGCATCTTCACCATGGCCACGCTCGACTCCCAGCCCCATTTTCTTTACAAGATTGTCCCCTCCACGGCGGCAGTCCGTGAGCCACTGCCCGATCGCCTACCAGTCAGCGAATTGGACGAAAGCTCAGGATTTATTCATCTATCGATGTCAAGTCAGGTGCCAAATACATTGAAATTCTTCTTCAGCGAGGAGCCACTCGTGTATATCTTGCGCATCGACTATTCAAACGTGGTCCAAGATATTATTTGGGAGTCCCCGGACGGCAAAGTGTGCGGTCCGCGGCCAGGAGAGGGACTGTTCCCGGTAAGTGGAATTTCCGTCGGGTCCCTCACCAAGGCATATTTTACTAAGATAGAAAAAAGCACCTGTACAACGGACTCAAACTGGGCAAAGACGAAGTGGAAAGCATCGCAATCTGGAAGAATGATGACGGATGGGATAAGGCACTGAAAGGGGCAAAACCATGGCTCCTGTACTGATAGCAAGATACTATTCGATTGCGATCAAGCTATCCCTGGGGGCAAGTACCTAATGTAAACACAATCTGATCAAAATCTGATTCAACACACTGCTACTATTGCTACTTTTGAGTACCCTCCAAACATCACCTTGAGCTTCTAGTCACCTAGCGGGTAGCAATGCATAACCTGTCCATCTGTCCACCACGAATTGGATTAACCATATGCCGCACAAAACGTGGAGAAGATATCGCAACCTTTATCCGAGGTATATACTTACAATATAGAGAAGCATCCGCACTGGCTAGGAAAACGAAGCTGGTTGCAACCTCGCTGGGCTCACCGGGTCGACCGAGGCCTATTTTCGAGCCCCAACCCTCCATCTGTTTAGCTTCTCGAGTGTCGACTTGGATCGGAGTGTAGATAGCGCCGGGCCTGCGTATTTACAGCATTAGCCTGGTAATTTCATGGTAAAGCACCACAACCCGGAATTGCTTACGCCACGGCATTGACTCGAATGCCTTTGGGGATCAAGTGGGCTCCTAAAGATCTGGTGAAGCCGATAATGGCGCCTTTAGTCGCAGCATAATCAATCATGGTACCTGATCCCTTAAACGTCACAACAGACGAAGTGTTGATGATACTGCGGGCAATGCATGAGCGTTGTCTTGTTGCGATGCTGAAAAGGATATGACATACGAATCGCCTTTATGCATGTGGGGGAGGGCGAACTTCGCCATGGCGATCATCTGGATGATGTTGGAATTGAAGATATCCTCTGTCTTCCTCAGGTCAATATCCACAAAGTCCTTGCACATGTATTGCTTCGACGCATTGTTGACAAGTACATTGATATTGCCGAATCTATATGAGAGCGAGAGTTAGCACATCGGTTATATCGATAAATACCTTGCTCATACTTTGCAACATGTTTCTCTACTGCCTCACGGCAGAAGTTCCGGTCTCTCAAATCTCCCGGGATAAGCAGACAATGCATACCCTCATTCTCAACCCTCGTCTTCGTGGTCTCGCCGTCTTCTTGCTCCTTTGGTAGATAGACAATGCTGATATTGGCACCCTCTCTCGCCATCAGAATGGCTACCGCACGACCAATTCCAGAACTAACTGTGCGTTAATGATTGAACACCCTCAATGTGATTTTTGGGATACCATACTCGCCCCCGGTGATGAGCACGTTCTTGCCTTTGAGTTTACCCGAGCCCACGTATTCAACAAAACTCCCCTCGCCCTCCAATTTGCTTGATTCACTGGGAAATGCCAATTTGCTCTCCAACCTGGGTAAATCTATTTGAGCATTGTGCCAGTGGCATAACAGTTTCGGGGTTCTTACCCTGGTTTGGATTGACTTTGTGCTACTGCTGCCGTTTTGAAGGCGCCGTGCTCGCCCATTGAAGATGACATCTTGTGACGGTAGTGACACGAGCTTTGTTCAGGTTAGGATGATCTCTGAGTAAGAAGAGGGGAAATAATTCTTTCATTCGGACAAAATCTTAAAAAGAAATGAAATCATGATCAGTGATCCCGTCAGCATTTCGTAGGGGCATTATACATATATCATGTTGTCGTCATTCGTGCTATAAAATTATCCTGAGATCCCACCCAAAAACCTATTGTTAGATTGTTGCACCGCCATACATGTTAGCATCTTTACCTTTCGATCAAAAATTCAGGAAGCCGATCTGCGGTAGTTTCAAACCTAGATCTATGAGCCTATGGATGCCCGAATTATGTGCCTGGGCAAAAGGGTATCATGGTTATTCGCTTGAACTGTAAGCCACGCGCAGGCACTGTCATGATTAACTAACAGTATCTAGATGCCATCATTAAGCCTACACCCTATACAATAGGTCTCAGTATCACTTCCCATATTCTTAGGCAGATGGATTATTCTTTATCACATCTACCTTGTCCCCGTCATCATTTCTAAGCCGCTACGACTCACCGCTCGAAGCAAACTCGGTAACCAACCAATGGCTGTCGTGTGGGGTGAAAAAAGCTTGCGCGCTAGTCCAATATTGGGAAGGGGCGGACGTGCGCCGAAAAAAAGAAAACGAAGGATCTCCTCGCTCGAAACTTTCTCTTCTTCTTTCTTTTCTTTGGGAAAGCTGGACTCTCTCCATCAGCAGATTGTTTATCTTCTGTTGATTAATCTTTTCTTTTTTCTTGGATACCCCATCAATCTCTGGTTTTAGAGTCCCATTCTTTTCATTATGCCCATCACTCACAAGGAGGCCGCGCCCGGTGCCGCCATGAAGGCCGAGATTGAGGATTACACTAAGGCCCTTGAGGTCGTGGCGACCTACACCACCCAGGATGGCCTCGATGTTGACACTCTCCTGGACTCCGATAAGCACGGAGCTCTGACCTATAACGATTTCCTGGTTCTGCCCGGTTATATCGGTAAGCCGGCCACATTCGGGGAGCTGGCGAGGCCTATCTGTTAACGATCCCGATCAACAGGCTTCCCCGCCTCCGATGTCTCTCTGGACACCCCTGTTACCAAGCGTATCTCTCTGAAGGCTCCCCTTCTATCTTCTCCCATGGACACTGTCACCGAGCACAACATGGCTATCCACATGGCCCTGCTCGGTGGTCTGGGTGTCATCCACCACAACTGCGCTCCGGAGGACCAGGCGGAGATGGTCCGCAAGGTCAAGAGATACGAGAATGGCTTCATCCTGGACCCCGTTGTTCTCTCTCCCACGGCCACCGTTGGTGAGGCTAAGGAGCTGAAGGCCCAGTGGGGTTTCGGTGGTTTCCCCGTCACTGGTAAGTTGATGAAAAGATTTCCTCCTTGCCCAACATTGCCCCACCTTTGCATGATGAACACACCTTTATTATAACTTTCGTTCCACTGGGAGCAACGAGAGTTGCACTGTAGAGAACCTTTTTTATCTGATCTTGTCTGGAAATAATTATTTTGCCTACTCACAATGCTTTATTTGGCCTGAATGCTAACGTGGACTTTGTGACAGAGAATGGAACCCTTCGCTCCAAGCTGGTTGGTATGGTTACTTCTCGTGACATCCAGTTCCACAAGAATCTTGATGAGCCTGTTACCGCCATCATGGCCACTGACCTGGTCACTGCCCCCGCTGGTACCACCCTTGCCGAGGCCAATGAAGTTCTCCGCCAGTCCAAGAAGGGCAAGCTGCCCATCGTCGACAACTCTGGCAACCTTGTTTCTCTGCTTTCCCGCTCCGATCTGATGAAGAACCTCCACTACCCGCTGGCCTCCAAGCTTCCCGACTCCAAGCAGCTGATCTGCGCCGCCTCTATTGGTACTCGCGAGGAGGATAAGCACCGCCTCAAGCTGCTTGTTGAGGCCGGTCTGGATATTGTCATCCTGGACTCCAGCCAGGGTAACAGCATTTTCCAGATTGAGATGATCAAGTATATCAAGAAAGAGCTGCCCGATATCGATGTTATTGCCGGTAACGTCGTTACCCGGGAGCAGGCTGCTTCTCTGATCGCCGCCGGTGCCGATGGCCTGAGAATTGGCATGGGCTCCGGTAGTGCTTGTATCACCCAGGAGGTTATGGCCGTCGGCCGCCCCCAGGCTGCTGCCGTCCGCAGCGTCTCTTCTTTCGCTGCTCGCTTCGGCGTTCCTTGCATTGCTGATGGTGGCGTCCAGAATGTTGGCCACATCGTCAAGGGTCTGGCCCTGGGTGCCAGCACCGTCATGATGGGTGGTCTTCTTGCCGGTACCACTGAATCTCCTGGAGAGTACTTCGTTAGCAACGAGGGTCAGCTCGTCAAGGCCTACCGTGGCATGGGTAGTATCGCTGCCATGGAGGACAAGAAGGCCGGCGGCGGCGGCAAGAATGGCAAGGCCAGCAACGCTGGTACCGCTCGCTACTTCTCCGAGAAGGACCGCGTCCTGGTCGCCCAGGGTGTCGCTGGATCCGTCCTGGACCGTGGTTCCGTCACCAAGTTCATCCCTTACCTTATTGCCGGTGTCCAGCACTCCCTGCAGGACATGGGTATCAAGTCCCTCGATGAGCTGCACGCCGGTGTTAATAATGGCACTGTCCGCTTTGAGATGCGCAGCGCCAGTGCCCAGGTCGAGGGTAATGTCCACGGTCTGCACAGCTATGACAAGAAGCTTTACTCGTAAGATCCAAGCTTTTTGAATGATGGATGGGTTTTCCCGCTGTGAATATTACCTAAATGGGATTTTCCGCACGATGACACGGTGAAAATAAAAATGGGGGATATGATAGGACTGGAGTTAGATTCGAGGAGTTACGCTTTCTATTCAATGAGCATATGTGTTCTGACCACTTACCTACTTGCATAAACTTGTAATTCGTGTAGCAGAAGAAACCGAAGCCGAAGCACATGGCGTGGCATGTCGGCTAGCGCCGATATGGCCAAGCCGGACGCGGGGTACAGGGATTAGCCTAGGCTCCTCGGGTCAATCGCCCTTCCCCTATAAACACCTCCGGCGTGAAGCGGTACGGTATCGGGAGATGTCTGTCATATCCTTTGAATGTATCTGCTGCCGCTGGTTCGCCCCTACTTTGACACAGCCACTGAGGACTGGAGAACCTCGATTATCATTTCGCATTTCCCAGGCCTACCTGTCACGGTTCGCAAGCCGACGAGGTTTTGCAAGAGGTTATTCAGAAAGCTCAAATCCACCATATTCACCTCAAAATCAGAGAATGCCGCGTACAAAAGGAGATGGCGAGGGCAAGAAACAGCCTGCGATTCCTCGGCCTAGTTCTAGGTGAGTATCCCGGCGGGCAGCACGCTTACGCGGAGTCTTCCGTCTTCTATTTCATACGGAACATTCGCAGCTCTCGGATAAAGCGTACAACGGAAGTTGTTTCTAATGATGCAACAGTGTGATTCTAGTCTCCCCAAAGAACGAGATCCTGCTCCTCCATCGGGTCCAGACATCCAGCTCTTTCGCATCTGCCCACGTGTTTCCGGGTGGGAATTTGTCCAGCCAAGATGGCGCATGTCCGCCTCCGGAAGACCTTTCGAGGCATGATGATGCCCCCCATTACCGACGGGCAGCAATTCGCGAGCTTTTTGAGGAGAGCGGGATTCTCTTTGCGAAGGACGGAAGCTCAGGCAAGCTGCTCGCCATTGATGAAGCCACTAGAGAACAGGGTCGAAAGCTCATTCATCAGAATAAGGTAACCTTCGATGAGTGGCTGAAGCAGCAACATGCGAACGCTGAGCCTGACACAGGTTTGTAATTGTCCTCAACCGGTTGCCTATGACCTGGCTAATATCTGGAAGACCAATTAATCCCGTTCAGCCGCTGGGTTACTCCGAATAATGTCCCCAAGCGCTATACAACCCAGATGTATATCTACTTTATGCCATTGCCCGTGAATCTCGATAAGAAACTACTCGACGAGCTACCGGCGGAAGGAGAGCGCGAAGAAATCCAGGTCCCAACTAGCGATGGTGGTATCGAGGTCACAGAAGCGCAATTCCTCCCAGCCTCGGAATGGCTTCGTCGCGCACAGAGCGGAGAGATTATTCTCTTCCCCCCACAGTTTCTCCTGCTTCACATAGTGTCCGGCTTTCTTGACAAGAAGCCTCGGTCGGACATTTCGGCGGAGGAGATGGAAAAACGTCGGGCAGGGCTCGTCGAGTTTCTGCACTCGGGCACGCCCCCTTGGACAAATAAGTGCATCTCGCCCAAAATGATGAAAGTGACTGAAGACGGACGTACAGTCCTGGCCTTAGACGAACCAGGTCCTGAGCTGGAGGGATCTAGCAGACGAGGCGAGTCGGAGTATGTTGTGCTTGTGCGCTTTACGAAGGGGAGTGTGAGGGAGGTAACAGTAGCCTTGAAGAAGGATGTTCTCCGAGAGGGACGAGAAAAGCGAAGTAATCTTTAGACTGTACAGTGTTTCGCCTCTTGAAGATTAACTACTTTACCAGCCTCCCAATCGGTGAGGAGAAGAATACAAGGACCTGATTTGGAAATTGCGCGGAGCATAAATATTGCCACGGCCATAGATTGGGTATTTATGTATAACCACAGCCTACCGCCTTCCGGCCACGTCAGCCCTCGACAAATAGTCACATGACCCACACAAACCATTTGAGTCTTTAATTTTATGGGCCGCCAAAAAACCCACCACCTCCAACCTCACCGTCGCCCGTCAAAACCTCTACACCCAATCAGCCAAAATGGAGAACGAGAAGGGAGAGATCGTCGATCTGTATGTGTTTTCAACCTCAATTCCGCTTCCGCTACAATCTTTTCGGTGTCCTGTATCTGGTTGCCCGCACCCACGAATTCGTGTCGATTTTCGCAGCGCAAAGAGAGGGAGCTTCCGGCGGCTGTTCGAAATGAACCGGGGAGCCACACGCCGGCGGCTATCGTGCGATTCTATGCGAGGAAACATGATCAGGTCGCCAATAGATTTGGGCGGGAGCAATTTCGATATTGAACACTGGAAGAAGAGAAAGCGCTAACAGAACACTCTCTCAACAGCTACGTGCCCCGCAAGTGCAGCGCCACCAACCGCATCATCAAGGCCAACGACCACGCCTCGGTTCAGATCTCCATCGGCAAGGTTGATGAGAACGGCCGCTACACCGGCGAGAACCAGACCTACGCCATGTGCGGCTTCATCCGTGCCCGCGGCGAGAGCGACGACTCCCTCAACCGCCTGACCCAGCGTGACGGCTACCTCAAGAACGTGTGGACCGCCTCCCGCCAGCGCTAAATCTGCTGCTGAGATGTGGTTTGCATTGGGGGGTGTTGACGGGTTGATATGATGTAAGTGCCACCTTTGGTCCCAGTGGGCATCGCGATGGGTGCTAATTGTTCGCAAAAGACGAACTGTGGCTTGATTGGTCCAGTTTGAGGATTGGTTACGAGAATAAAGGGTGGAGGAGTACTAACATGTCTCCTTCGGTTTGATTTTTTTCCCTTAGGGAGGAGCCCTGTTTTCCTACTGTCCTATCTATCGAAATGAAAAATGGAATCGACGACTTCATGGGTCAGGTTTTCTCTCTGATTACCGCCTGTTCAAACTTCTTCACGGCCCCTTCCGATAGATACTCGGGGAGAGATACTCTTTCATATTTTTCTTCTCGCAGCCTCCCGCCAGCTATCACGAAAAGGAAAGTCCGAAACATGAATTCAAACAGAAAACAAACGATATTACTCCCTTCCCCCGCTCCCCACCTACTGTCTCCCTCTATTTTCCTTGTCACACCAACCGGCATATCAAGGCTTCCTCACCCTAGTAGACTCGGAAACCAGATCGTTAACCCGGTCTGTGATTCTGATGTCTGCTCTCCATGAGCGAGGAGGTAGAAATAGCACATCCAGCCGAACATTATACATCCAAAACCCGCCTTCTGAAGAGCCACCGTTGCAGAGTTTCATGCACTGGGGCACAGATACGGGTGGGACAATTCTTCTGTAGACCTTCTCAACTGTGTGAAGTTGAGTTGCATGACTTGACCGAGCCATATGTATATTCAATGAAAAAATGAGTTCAGCTATTAGAAGCGTGTATCTCTACTTATCTCATTCCCTCGTACCCTAATAGTTCTGTTTCCCACACTCGACACTGCCCAACCACATTTTCGTGCCTAACATCGCTTTTTAGATAATCGATCACTGTTCTGGAGTCCCATTTTACAATTTTCGGCTATGATGACAATACCGGTCAGGATCATACCTTTCTCTCCGCTATCACAAAGTTCTTGTTGCGAAAGGCACTGCTTTAACTCTCTACCCGGCCCTATAATATGCATGGCCTCGAACCTGGAATCGGGCAGACGTTTCTTGTCCGGTTTGAATGGTCTCATTGGAAGACTTAGATATGGTATCGCTTGGCTTGGTTTTTTTTTTCTTTTCAAGTTCCGTTTAAGATTTCGATTCATTTGTCCTCATCCATCATTGACATACAATACGTTGTCTTCCACATGAACTCGTGATTTCAATTTCAAGTAGACTCCATGGCACTCATAGTCCCAAGGCCTCCACGGACAAGACACGACGAAAAAACTGGAATTTAGTCTATAGACAACCAAGCCACCAATGCCTTGCTAGCTCCTGAGTTTATTTTGTTTTATTCCTTTTCCAGACGCACAGCCGGGTTGGTCTCGATGAAGTTCAGGTCTACTTTGTGGCCAAGAAGCTCCCGGATGTTGCTCACGCCGTACCTGAAGGGATCGAGATGTTAGTGATATGGATAAGCCAGAACACATCTTTCATGAGACTGGAAACTTACTTGATCATGGTCGGTCGCTCCAGACTCAATCCCCATCCGTAGACTCTCATGTTCTTGGGAATACCCATGGACTCTAGCATCTCCGGCCGGAACATACCACTGTTACCGATCTCCACCCACTTGCCCAGACCCTCGTGGTAGCCGAAGATCTCCATACTAGGCTCGGTGTAAGGGTTGTACGCAGGCTTGAAGCGGAGCTGGTGAATGCCCATCTTAGCGAAGAAGACCTCCATGAAGCCAATCAGGCCACCCAGGGTGAGACCGAAATCGGCAATGACGCCCTCAATCTGGTGGAACTCTGCCAAGTGGGTGGCATCGACGGCCTCGTTTCGGAAGACACGGTCAATACTGAAGAAGCGGGCCGGCCGCGGGTTGGCGGCGAGCTTGTGCAGCACGTACGCCGAGATGGAGGTGGTATGCGTGCGCAGCACGAGACGCAGCGACTCGTCTGCGTTCCAGGGGTAGCGGTAACCGATCGAGCCGAACTTGCCGTGCTCGTGAACCTCGTGCACGTTATCCCAATACTTTTGGTAGTCCACTGGCTTGTCCTTGGTTGCTTGCGAGGCGGGCTGGGTGGCCTTGAGGCGGTGCGGATCGCTGAGGGGATCCTCATGCGGGGGGTCGGCCTTGAGAGGGTCGGCAATGTAGAAAGTATCTTGGAGGTCGCGGGCGGGGTGTTGCTGGGGGACAAAGAGGGCGTCGAAGTTCCAGAAGCCAGTCTCGACGTAGCGGTTGGTCGGCATCTCCTCAAAGCCCATCTCGAAGAAGATATTGCGGAACTCCTGGCGCACCTTATTGAGCGGGTGCAAAGCACCGGCCGTTGTCGGAGCACCCTTGGCGTTGAAGTTGTAGGGCTTCAGAGGGGTGGTCTTCCACGAGCCGTCGGCGATCATCTCCGGGGTGAGGTCGGTTTCCTCCTTCACAAACTCCCGGGCAAACTTGGGGCCCTTGGAAATCTTGTAGGCGATCTCCTTGGAGAGAGCGATCAATTTCCTCCGCTTGAGGTCTGCCAGGACCTTCGCATCACCCAGGGCTCTGGTCTTTTGCACGGTGAGCAGGTGCTCACGGGTCTCATCGACAATCGACTCCGTGGCCGCCCGCAGCTTATCATTGTCCTTCTTGATCCAGCCGCGCTTGAAGGCATTGCCCTGGCCAACCTTGGCGTTGTCCTTCCCCACTAGCCCGGGCAAGTCGCTAATCTTCAGGCCGTCGATGGCGGCGACGACAGCCGCAAAGACCTTGGCCTCGTGACTGCCATTGGTGGCAATCTCCTCACCCTCGGAGGTGAGCACAATGACTTCTTTCTCCAAGGTTTCATATTCAACCATCTGCCGGGAACCCAAACGGTCCAGCGCACTTTTAACGCTCGATGAGGGGTGGGAGGGGAAGGCTTCGTTAGAAAGAATAGGCGCCTCGGACGCGGACAGGGCGTCCAGGAGCGGGTTCGTCAGGTCGGACGCCATTTCTGCAGCCGTTTCCTGCGGGAAATTTTGGCGGAAGCGGTTTGGAGCGTGCGGGGGTCGGTCGAGCGGTGCTGGCCAAAATTCACGATGACTCTTTTCGCAGTATCGGTTCCGGCGGGGCGGAGCGACCACTTCTGCCGTTTCACCCCGCCATCGCCGGCGGGCAGTCGCCTCGACTTACTTCTGAGTGCCTTTGGAGGGATCGAGTTGCGAGTATACTCGGTTGCGGAGTGTATTGACAGCCTTCGTCAGCCAACCCTCTCCTGTAGGCGTACTACTTGACAGTATTAAATTGCCCCTATATCATATACTGTACACTGGACTCGTGACCCGTCTCCCCTGAGGCCACACTACTGGTCTGCTGTGGACGACTCTTTCAGCACACATAAATAGGGAGATGGGGATGTCTACTCTGTATAGGTCTCTTGACAGATTGACGGAGTCGTTTGGCCCAACCTTATCGTCGCCTAATTCTCCCTCCTTTGCTGCATACATGGTTTTGGCACGACTAGAATGTGGCCAATTGACGGATGCTTTGATCTCCGAATCATTTGCTGCGGCCAGTGTACCCTGCACCCTCCTGTGTTTGATTCTCGCCCGTTCGCCACAGCGATGCGTTGTCACGTCCTTACTGCAGAACTGCACCATGACTCTGGTATGTGATCAACGACGGAGTTCAATGTCCCCGGAGAGGAGATCAACGATCAGATACACCGATCCGGCTTCCTGTGACCGGCGAACAGTTATCTCCGACTCTCCGTCTCGCAGCACCACCAACCGCCATGGGGATCTCAGGTACTGTCGAACCCTTTCCCCCGGCAAATCCCTACATTCCCACATTCAGTAACGATGGAGCCTTGCGGATCCAACCACCCGAACGCGATGAGCAACGAAGAGACGATGGGACTACGGAACGCCTGAGCCACCGAATTTTTTTCCTCGTTACCGAAATGGAAACAAACTGTGGGACGGGCAGAACCTCCCCGAGACAACCAAACCTCCTGAGTCCACCACTGGCCGGGGCTAAGGTTCGCAACTGGATATTCCCCACTTGGCGGACCGCTCTTCGCGCTTCGCATGGTCTCCTATCTCGCTCTGTCGCTCTTTCCCAACGTCGGGAGTCCCAGGGTTGCCAAGCACAATCCTGACACAATCACGGCCCTGCAGCGATCGCAGGATGAAACTAGACTGATGCCTACTGGAAGCCGGGGTGGAACCAGTTGGCAACTCAAACCGCGAAGCCATTTAGAGAGAGTCGGGCGTGCGATCGCCCCTAGGCCCAGTAGTTTCGACGGTGATCTGCACGTTTTGCAGCCCGATAGCAGGGAGAGCGAGATGAAACGGCTCAGCGCCTCGATATCACATTTACTTTCTCCGTACTTTTGGACTGCATACACCTGTGTAGCTACTGACTGTACGTAGTCATGTGTTGAGCCGTTAGATCACAGTCAGAACGGTCAGAACTGCACACCCTGGTTCTGCGGGCGAACTCTATCGTAGTGGTCTGTCCGTGCGTTGCGAGGCCCTAGTCATCCACCTTACTCCGTACACCGCGTAGGGTCCGGCAAGCGAGGCTCAGTTATTCGGCTTTTTTCTACGGCAAACGTGGGCAGCGTAGCAGAGTGTGAAGAGTGTGCAGAGTGTGCAGAGTGTAGGAGAGTGGGCAGAGTCGGCTACGGTACGGAGTAGACAAGACAGCATCAGACAAAGACCAACCTTGCCCCAAAAAATAAAGCAGCATCGGCATGACCGCCCCTTTCGCAATCTTCCCCCCTCGTCTCTCCTTCAACTTCGATCTCCTCCCTCCGCTTTCCACCTCCCCCCTGACCTGTCCTGATTTGCCTTATCTGCAAATTCCCTCTCAGCCTTTTTTCCCTGCTTTTCTTGGGCTTTCCCCCGCAAAAAAACGCGTCGCTTACATAACCGCCTTACCGGACGGTTTCCTGTTCCACCTACCCACCCACCCGAACAACCCCCCCCCCTTCAACCCGACTCCCTAAACGTTCCCTCTCATCATCCCCGATTTCCCGAGTCATTCGGGACGTCCCTGGTTGACCATCGCCTTCCTCCCGGAACCCCTGTGGAATCACTCCATGTCGCTCTAGCTGCACCTTGTTTGATCTGTCGTGCCAGGAACTCGTCCCCGTAAGTTATGCTCGTTCTGTCTCCGCTGCGGCAGTCGACCGTCCCGAACTCCCTATCTCTGGGTTGCTCCGTCCTGAGTCATGAGCACCTCGAGATCTTACCTGGATATTTTCACTGCTGGGACAAACGGTGAACATGGACTGGAATGAGGGACTTGTATCACGACCTGGCAGATCGACTAACGGGATGCTAGGGCACAATGGGTGGTGCGGACGAGACGCTCGTGGCTGCGACGGCCGTGCTGCAGTCTCTCGCCAGAGACGAGCCCACCACTGGCTCTGCTTCCCCTCCCTTTGATTTCGAATTCCCCTCGACCAACGGTGCGAAATCGTCCAAACTTCCCGGAGAGCCTAGCCCGGCAAAGGCCGCCTTCGAAGCCGAGTTGGAGGCCTTGGTGCGCCGCGTGCACCACCTGGAATTCCAAGCTGTCAGTCATCACCAATTCCCCGACAATCCCCAGCAGACCACCCAGTCTGCTTTCGGATCCACCGAGAAGAACCCTGATTTTTTGTGGACCTTTGGGCTCGATCGCTTGTCGTCCGGTCAAGGTTCTGACTCTTCTTATTGCCTCACACAGCAGCAAAAACTGAATCAACCCGATCGGCGACAGCGGACGTCATCGGGCCCCGAAGAACGACCCCAACAACCCGCCCCGGCAGGAGACCTTGACGATGACGAAACCGACGAGGAGGATGAGACCGGGGCAACCCGCGTCGTGCGCGAAGAAGACATCAGCATCCTCCGCAACCATGTGCAAAAACAGGCCGAGGAAATCAGCTTCCAAAAGGATATCATCGCTCAAGTTCGCGATGAGTTGCAAAAGCAGGAAGAGCACACCCGCCGTGCCCTGACCAAGGTCGAAAATGAGGATGTTGTCCTGCTGGAGCGTGAGCTTCGCAAACACCAGCAGGCCAACGAGGCTTTCCAAAAAGCCTTGCGAGAAATCGGCGGCATCATCACCCAGGTCGCCAATGGTGATCTCTCCATGAAGGTTCAGATTCACCCGCTGGAGATGGACCCGGAAATTGCAACGTTCAAGCGCACGATCAACACCATGATGGACCAACTGCAAGTCTTTGGTAGCGAAGTGTCTCGAGTCGCCCGTGAGGTCGGAACGGAGGGTATACTGGGAGGTCAAGCTCAAATCACTGGTGTCCATGGTATCTGGAAGGAACTCACGGAAAACGTCAACATTATGGCCAAGAACCTGACGGATCAGGTGCGAGAAATCGCCGCTGTCACCACTGCGGTCGCCCACGGTGATCTCAGTCAGAAGATTGAGAGCCGTGCTCAGGGTGAAATCTTGGAGTTGCAACAGACTATCAACACCATGGTGGATCAGCTTCGGACCTTTGCAACAGAGGTCACCCGAGTCGCGCGTGATGTCGGTACCGAAGGTGTCCTCGGGGGTCAAGCTCAGATCGAAGGCGTTCAGGGAATGTGGAACGAACTCACGGTTAATGTCAACGCCATGGCCAACAATCTGACCACGCAAGTGCGTGATATCGCTACGGTCACCAAGGCCGTCGCCAAGGGTGACTTGACGCAGAAGGTGCAAGCCAACTGTCGAGGAGAAATTGCGGAGTTGAAGAATATTATCAACTCCATGGTGGATCAACTACGACAGTTCGCTCAGGAAGTCACAAAGATCGCCAAGGAGGTCGGTACCGATGGTGTGCTGGGTGGCCAAGCCACCGTGAATGATGTGGAGGGCACATGGAAAGACCTCACAGAAAATGTCAACCGCATGGCCAACAACCTGACTACTCAGGTGCGTGAGATTGCGGACGTCACTACGGCCGTCGCCAAGGGTGACCTGACCAAGAAGGTCACCGCCAACGTGCAGGGTGAGATACTTGACCTCAAGAGTACCATCAACGGCATGGTGGACCGTCTCAACACCTTTGCCTTCGAGGTCAGCAAGGTCGCGCGTGAGGTCGGTACAGATGGTACCCTAGGAGGTCAAGCCAAGGTGGACAACGTGGAAGGGAAATGGAAAGATCTCACCGACAACGTAAACACCATGGCGCAAAATCTGACATCCCAAGTGCGAAGTATCTCGGACGTGACGCAAGCTATTGCCAAGGGTGATCTTAGCAAGAAGATTGAGGTACATGCCCAGGGAGAGATTCTGACCCTGAAGGTGACCATCAATCACATGGTGGGTCGACTAGCCAAGTTCGCCACCGAACTGAAGAAGGTCGCTCGCGATGTGGGTGTTGACGGGAAAATGGGTGGCCAAGCCAACGTGGAGGGGATCGCAGGAACTTGGAAAGAAATCACCGAGGACGTCAACACTATGGCCGAGAACCTTACATCCCAAGTGCGTGCCTTTGGCGAGATTACCGATGCCGCGACGGATGGTGATTTCACCAAGCTCATTACCGTCAACGCTTCCGGAGAAATGGACGAACTGAAGCGCAAGATCAACAAAATGGTTTCCAACCTGCGTGACAGTATTCAGCGAAACACTGCCGCTAGGGAGGCTGCTGAGCTCGCCAATCGTACCAAATCCGAATTCCTTGCCAACATGTCCCACGAGATCAGAACTCCGATGAACGGTATCATCGGTATGACCCAGCTCACGTTGGACACGGATGATTTGAAGCCTTATACTCGTGAGATGCTCAACGTGGTGCACAATCTCGCAAACAGTCTGCTCACAATCATTGACGATATACTCGACATCTCGAAGATTGAAGCAAACCGGATGGTGATTGAGAGTATTCCATTCACCGTACGAGGCACTGTGTTCAATGCGCTCAAAACGCTAGCCGTGAAGGCGAACGAGAAATTCCTGAGCCTGACTTACCAAGTGGACAACACGGTGCCAGACTATGTGATTGGCGACCCATTCCGTCTCCGCCAGATTATCCTTAACTTGGTCGGCAATGCCATTAAGTTCACAGAGCATGGCGAGGTCAAGCTCACAATCCGGAAATCGGACCGGGAGCAATGTACCACCAACGAGTACGCCTTTGAATTCTCCGTCTCCGACACCGGTATTGGTATCGAGGAGGATAAGCTGGACTTGATTTTCGACACCTTCCAACAGGCCGATGGCTCAACCACCCGCAGGTTCGGTGGTACTGGTCTCGGCCTTTCGATCTCCAAACGGCTGGTGAATCTAATGGGTGGCGATGTCTGGGTCACCTCTGAGTACGGACATGGCAGTACCTTCCACTTTACCTGCGTGGTGAAGCTTGCCGACCAGTCCCTGAATGTCATCGCTTCTCAGCTCTTGCCGTACAGGAACCACCGGGTGTTGTTCATCGACAAAGGTCAGAACGGTGCCCAAGCCACCAATGTCATGAAGATGCTCAAGCAGATCGAGTTGGAGCCTTTGGTTGTTCGGAACGTAGAGCACGTTCCGCCCCCTGAGATCCAAGATCCCTCTGGAAAGGAATCCGGTCATGCATACGATGTCATCATTGTGGACTCGGTTGACACGGCTCGCATCTTGCGGACATTTGATGAGTTCAAGTATATACCAATTGTTCTGGTCTGCCCGTTAGTCTGCGTCAGCTTGAAGTCCGCCTTGGATCTTGGGATTAGCTCCTATATGACAACGCCTTGCCAGCCTATTGATATGGGCAACGGCATGCTTCCCGCACTGGAGGGTCGGTCGACTCCGATCACCACCGACAATTCCCGCTCATTCGACATCCTTCTGGCGGAGGACAACGATGTCAACCAGCAACTTGCGATGAAGATACTCCAGAGGCACAACCACAATGTCTTTGTTGTCGGCAACGGCTTGGAGGCTGTGGAGGCTGTCAAGAAGCGTCGTTATGATGTTATTCTGATGGATGTTCAGATGCCTGTTATGGGTGGTTTCGAGGCCACTGGCAAGATCCGAGAGTATGAACGGGAAAGTGGTCTCCAGCGAACTCCGATCATTGCGCTCACTGCGCACGCCATGTTGGGTGACCGCGAGAAGTGTATCCAGGCTCAGATGGACGAGTACCTTTCCAAGCCGCTCAAGCAGAACCAGATGATGCAGACCATCCTCAAGTGCGCCACGCTTGGTGGCTCGCTGCTGGAGAAGAGCAAGGAGTCTCGAATTTCAAGCAGTGGGGAAATGCATCCGATCCACTCCTCCGTGCCTGACAACCAGAACCACCACCAGCAGCAGCAGCGATCACAAAAACAACAATTGTTGCCTTCGCCGCCACGACCTGGCATGGAGACTCGAGCAATCACTACCTCTGGCCCCATTTCCCGCGGCAGTATCGCTGAGCCTGAAGACCAAGACGAAGAGATGATCGATGATCGGGTACGTTAGCATGTATGTTCCGAAAAGGTCGCATTCCGGATCATACCCGGCTAATCGTTTCCCTCTTTTACAACAGGCATTGCTTCGATCCAACAGTACCTGAGCTCACAAGCATACCCTGAACGTTTTATTTTCCGCCCTGCAGATTTGCTAGATGGTTTCGATGTGGCCCGTTGATACCCTGTCTATATGAGTCTTCGAGTGCTTCTTTTATCATTCCCATTGCTTCGTGGTGAAACAAGAGAATCCTCATTTATTTCTACTGTTCTCACATCCTTCTTATCGGCTCATACCCGCCTGCTTCATTGTCACCAGCCTTCCTCCATTGTCATTTTGTGGAAGATCCTTCCCATCTACAATCTTCTTCTCTATTCTACTCCATCATCAATCATTGCATTCCTTTCATCTTTATCAGGTGGTGTCTGGCGCATGTTTATTGACAGGAACCTGGGTCTGTTCGGCAGTCAAGTGGGTGACTGAAGGGGGAGTTTGCAAACAAGAGGGGGTATGGCTACGCTTTTTTTTCACTGGCCCCCCTCCTAGGGATTCATTTCCATTGTCATGTTTGCCATCTATTCTCTCGCTTACAGTCTATCCTCGGAGCCTTATCTGTTTTTTCCTTCGATATTTCTATCTTTGTATTGTATCTAGTTGCTTCTGACTTTCTGGCCAAACTCACAACGTTTTGGACAGAGAGCATGACCAAGGCTTCGAGGTTGTTTTTTCCTCTTGTGTTTCCGATCTTCTACTCTCGCTGTAGTGGCGTCTTCGTCTCAAGTTGTTTCCAAACGGGTGATTTGATCATTGCTCGTTTCGATACTAGAATGCAAGGACTTTCTTAAATCTTGATGAACGTTTTAAGGCGATTTCAGTTGCCATAACTACTCCGTGCTAATCCCTGGCTCGGATTGCCAGCTTTGGATCCTTGTATCTGGCTGTCTTGCTGTGGGTTGGCGCTCCCTCGGCGCCCCACGCTGGCCTGTTTACTGGTTAGTCCACTCAAATGAGGATATAGCTGGTTCCGAGAGTAAATAAAGGTGTTTCCAGAGTTAATTAGTCCGGATTAGGCCTAGCGGGATTTAACTCTCGAGGTCAGCGACCGAAGATAGTATAGCGTCGTATAATAAGTTAGCAATTACCCAGATATCTATCGATATCTACTAGGCGTCTATCCGACGTCCAGCAGACACCTATACAGTGTTTAAGTAGGTTTAAGAGGATAAAATAATCCTTAGTCGAATAACTAACTAGTTATGATGAGTGGTGTGGAAGAAGGTAAGTTTACGAACGCGTCGTATGCCAAGGTTTTCAAACAGGTGTTCCCAGAGTTCAGGTCTAGCCTGATTAGGAAGGGATCGCTGGAACTCTGGGAACACCTTTTTTTACTCTCCAGCCGAGCTGCTTCCTCAAACTTTCAGCTAAAATAACTGGGTAATCGCTGAGTCATTGTACGACGCTAAACTATCTTCGGTCGCTCACTTCGAGAGTTGAATCCCGCTAGGCCTAATATAGACTAGTCAACTCTATGAGACCCACCGATCCAACTCTCGATCCCAGCTATATAATCTCCGGAATTAGCTCGGCTGAAGAGTAAAAAAAGCTGTCTCCAGAGTTGCGGCCAAACTTTCCTAATTTGGTTATCCGCAACTCTGGAGGGGACCACTTTAAAGACTTGGCATACGCCCCACTTGTAAACTTACAGTACCTTCCACAGTAAATGATAACTACAGTAGCCCAGCTATACACTCGGGAAACTTGTGTTCGTTTCTAGTCGGGTGTTGTTGATACTACGATGCAAAGAACGGGCTGAGACCGACTCAGACACCAAAGGAGAAGCAGGAGGGCAGATTAACACCAATCTCCTAGCGCTGAAAGAGGTCATTCGCGCTAGAGCTCAGAATATGGCTCGAGTCCCTTTTCGATCATCACCGCTTACCAAGGTGTTGTGTCAGCATTTCCAGGCATCTTCGGATTCGCATCTAGGTATGATTCTCACCGTCCCGCCTTCAGTCGATGAATTTACAGCCACGAAGAATTCATTAAAGTACGGAAACTTGGTAGAAATAGCCGGGGATAAGAAACCGAAGCAGTTAGGGGATGTACATCGAATCAGCCCTTCCAAGTAAATCAGAAATCAAAGCCAGACCCTCGCCTCGGTGGCTCTCTTGGGTAAAAGGATTTACGCCGTCACGTACTCACTTATGCGTACAGAGATATTGGATATCGGCTTTGAGAGCCCTTAGACTCCCCTCAGTGTAGCCAGGAGTGGAGGTCCGAACTTGATAGATGCCCAGCCAAGAATTCCCAAAGCTGGCAAAGCCACAGCACTCAGCTTCATAGTCGCCGACAGGAGCCTCGGTTTCAAGAAGCCATTCACTAAGGCCTTGAAGTTCTCCGGGTCATTGGGAGTGGGATATTCTTCGTCGGGGATTGGCACCCCCAAGAAAGGGCAGATATCCTCCCAATCCACACCATTTTCAAGCTTGATGATGTGTAGGCGTTCCGCTGGAATTGTTTCTTTAGCCATTTTGATACTGGGAGAGACCGTTAATATGATTTTCTTTGTTATGCTGTCATCTGGATTCGGAGCACATACTAGTCATTGTAATATTTGCATAGCTCTTCCTCATTGTCTGGGTCGCCAATATTCGTGCCGCTCGAAAACGCGTTGTACATGAGCACGTTTGTTTTCATGAATGCGAAGAGCGTGGCATCAAAGTACTTCAGCACAGAAATTGGGAAGCTGGTTGCCATTTTGACCACACCACCAGCCGAGTTGTTCACGGATCTTGCCCACTTCTCCGGTTGTCGCTCCGTGAGAATAAACTTCACCTCAGGCTCGTTCGCGTATGCCTCAAATACATTTTTCCCCATGTAGCTGGGGATCTCAACTAGACACTGGACATGTTCAAATCGTTAGATTGCCATTCGAACACGGCGGAACTTGGAAAGGAGATATCGACACACGTCATACTCATGCAGCCACTTGTCAAAATCAGCCCTTGTATATCGCTTAATCCCAGAGAGCCGATTGTACTGCGCCGTGGCTGCCTCGTTGAAGAGATTGATATGCGGCAATCCTTTCTCGACGACACACTCATAGAAATGATACGACCTGAAGCCCAGTACCTTCATTGCTGTGTACATGCTCAGGGTCCCTGAACTAGATGCATCAATTTTGATTAGCATGGTGCAGGTTCCCATACGAGTCGCACTATTTCTGCTTTCTCACCGGCTAGGGCTGGCCACGATCACTTTCATTGGTCGGACCTTGGCCGGAGTTGGCCATCGATCAATTTCCCGTGACATTCCAACAGATATACCAGCTTCGGAAGGCACAGACAAGGCTCGTGAAAGATAAACTTGGCTCTGATAAAATAGAAGTGAATGTGACGGGGGAACACAACTCTCTTAATCTGTTGGCTTCGATGAGGCTGAGCTCACAGTGCTCTGCCCGGCGAGCTGGCCCGGTCGGGCGATTGGGGGCCTGAAAATAGCGCCCAGCCTCAAGTAAGCTAATTCCCACCAATTGTTTGCTACTATGGGGAGCATGAACTTAGAGAGGCTGACATTATTAAGTTTGATTGTTGTGCTTATGCCCTATTCGGTGAGTGGGACTGGGAGAGGTGTCAACTCTTAGGAGAGCACTAAATCCAAAGAGGTAAAGTAAAGTATTAGATGACACGAGTAACAATACTCAAGGGGTCGGTGAGCCTGACTTGGCGATCGTTTGTCCTATCATGTTTCCAAGGCTTGACTATTTGACATGATCCGAGCACGATGTAAAATACGCGTCGCGCAACATGTTATGTGCTCATTGGCGACGCAGGCCGAACGTGCGCCGCACATGCCCATCGACTAGCAGCCGCTTGGATGTTAGGCGCTGGTTTTCTGTTTCAACAATTCTCATCTAACTTGATGTTCCTGTGAATAGTTAGTATTTTTTGAACGTTGTCATCGGGCCAGATCTAGATATGATCACGCCATATGCCCCCGGAATGGAGCCACCTTTCGACACGCCCATTGCCCAACCCGAAGATAAGCTTAACTGCCATGAGATCCTAGGATCAACCTTGGCGGCTATAGAAGGTCCAACCGTAGTCTTGGGGCGAGATAGAACAAGAACAAAAACAAAAACAAGCAACTTTATTATCTATTTGTTGAAGTTCCCAGCGAATATCATTAAAAGACAGCCAAATTCAAACTTCTAAGTTACCACAAACACCAAGACATATTCGAGCTGATCGCCAGCAATTGGGGTACCAGACTGTGATTACTTAGTACCGATGTCTGATGCGCGGGAATCGCGGGAAGACTGGTCCAGGCTCTGTGGTGGTCGTTCCAGTTGTTGTTCCCGTATGAATGCTCGTCAGATTACGTGTACTCGTCGTCGCATTCGAGAAGGGACTGGTCGTGTTAGTAAATATCGCGGTCATATTCCCTAGTATCCCGAAACGTCGGACTATACCGGGAGGAATGGATGCCCGTGGGGTCGTGGAGACACGACCACTGGCACCCGCAGAGCTGGCTGTCGCGCCGGGAGCTTCTGTCGACGTCGGCAGGGTATGTAAGGTGCTGCCACCTGCGCTGAGGGGTGTGGTGCTGCTGAATCCGAGACCTAGTGGTGTCGAGCTGCGCGGAATTGGTTCGCTGCGTGGAGTTGGTTCGCTGATGCCGCCAGGTCGAGCGCTGGAGCTGGCACTGGCACTGGAGCTCAGAGCGGCTGGGCTCGAAGATGGTCTGATCGAGGATGGTCTGGCCGACGAGGAAATACCGACCGTGGTTGGACTTTCGCTGACCCCACCACTGCTGTGACTGGGGGCACTGCTGGATGTGGGTATTCCGGCTCCAGGTACGCCTCCACCTCCGCTAGAAGAAGGGCTGGGAGCGCTGGTTACCGTCACTGTGGCCGTGACGGTGGTCGTCGTCGTGCTCACGCTCTGGGGGCAGGCAGCACAGAGAGCGCTAGCCACTCCACAGAGGCCGGTTGTCGTGGGTTGAGGAGTCACAATTACCGGAGGCAGTGTTACGGGAGCACCCGATGATGAACCTCCAGGGCTGGTACCAGTTCCTCCTCCAGGGCTCCCTCCCCCCGGACTTGCTCCTCCTGGGCTTGCTCCTCCTGGGCTTGCTCCCCCTGGGCTTGCTCCCCCCGGGCTTGCTCCCCCCGGGCTTGCTCCTCCCGGGCTTGCTTCTCCTGGGCTTGCTCCCCCCGGGCTTGTTCCCCCTGGACTTGCTCCCCCTGGGCTTGCTCCTCCAGGGCCTGGGGGAGCTCCACCCGGGCCGCCACCACCGGGGCCGATACCAGTCCCGGCGCCAGGACTACCACCTCCCGGGCCAGGAGAAACGCCACCGGATGGACCACCGCCAGTTCCACCGCCAGGACTGCCTCCTCCACCGGGACTGGGGCCTCCTCCAGGACTTGCAGCCCCTCCCGGGCTACCACCACCATTGCTGCCTGAGCCAAGATTGCCACCAGCTGCGCCTCCACTGGGTGCGCCTGGGGACCCCGAGGTGCCTCCTCCGCCGCTTTGGCACGGGCTTCCTCCGCCGGGGGTGTCACCGACATTAGGATCACGAGCTATGAGCACAGGGCCCATCAAATCAGGGTTGCCGCGCTCTTCCAGCTCCACGTAGTCATCGGCTTTGGCGATAGCAATATCATCGGCCCGAACCGGAAAGCTGGTGAGAAAGATGCAAGAAATAGCCAGCAAGGCCAAGCATTTCTCGGCATACATGATCGAAACCGGCTAGATCGGTGCACGCTGATCTAAGAAAAGGATTCACGGGAACGGGTGTCGTTCAAATTGAAAGCTCTCGTATGGTGTTGAAAAATGCTGATCGAACAAACTCGACAGATATCGAAGCCAGGTGGGAACTTTTGTCGAACACGGAAAAAGAAACAGAGCAAAGACAGGACAGCAAAATCGATGCAGTGTCGAAGCGTGACACTGGACAGCAGAAGAAGGTGTAGTCTGGACCCGAGAAAAGACCTCGTAATATGTAGCGCACGGGAGATTGCTTCTCATAGTGATGAGTTTTCGATGTCATCAAAGCACCCTTTGGGAGTCGGAACTTGTAGAGATTGCATGATTGAGATTGGCGGTTGTCTAGCCCTATGTTTGGGGCCCGTGGTGCTGGCTAAGTTTGGGCCGCCCTATTGGAAATCATCGGAGAGTTTAATCCACGGCTGGATGATCCAAGCTACCATCATCGTGACTGTGTGGTCACAGAGATCACGATGAGGTGGAGGGTCCTATCGGAGATCTTATGCGATGGTTTTTGTGGCCGGATGTGATCCTCGCAATACTAAACGTAGTTCATGTAGCTGTTAAAGTTAGGTTCAAATATTTCCAAGCGGACTCTTCCGAAAAGGGCTCCTTTGTTTGTTGGCGAGCTAGCCCTTTCCAGTATCTCTCGGCCGGAGTTGTGTTCGCCCTGACTTGACCTGCTGTCGGAATTCCACCCTTTGTCAAGTCAGGGCCGTACAGTGCACTTCATCTTGTCGGTGATAGTATGCTACCGTTAACCATCAACAACTGGAGAGGCCGCTTTTGAAACGGGGATGAAAAGAGTCAATTATATCTCGAAATAATTATGAACATTAGTAGCAGCGGTGTATCAAATTCGAAAACCAGCTAAGATCTATGCAAATGCACGTTCGTATCGTCGTCATCGCGATGCACTTGAAAATACCGGGAGAAATAATAAGAGACGCTGAGACCCAATCTGAGAAGGTCGTCATGAAAAACTGGAGACAAAACTTTTCCGTTGTCTAATCACTTTTTGAGTCATGGGTAATGAAGTCGTGCCGGCGGATTGTGTCGTCGAGGTTTCGTCAGCCGTTCGTCACGAACTAGAGTGAGAATCTAGTAGATAGCCAAGGGGCGACGCCAGCCGACTTCGACAACCTTGACAGCTGTGCAACAGGCTAGACCAAAGGCGTAGCAGACGGTAGTAAAAGCAATGAGACCCCAGTATTGTCCATTACAGCGAGTCAGGATTTCGCCAGCAATGGGTATACCGGTAAGAGTACTGGAGGTGAGGAGATAGTGGTTAGTCAGTCAAAGGTATACGTGACACCACAAAGCATAGCCCAAGACAAGGGACTGGGTAGACTCACCCAAAGCTCACAATGGTGTAGGCAGTTGCGTAATAGCGACCATAGTTCTCAGTCTTACACAGCTGTCCGACGCAGACAGGCGTCAAGCTGATATTGCTACCGCTAGAGAAACCAAAGAGGAGAGCATAGATGACTAATAAGGCCAGGCTATCGCCGGCAGGAAGCCAAAGGCACGCATTGCACAGCACGCACAGAGCCACGGTAGCGATCAGAGTGTTGAACCGGCCCAGGAAATCTGCGAAGAATCCCGGGAGCGATCTGCCGAAGAACGAACCTACGTTCAGGATGGCCAGAATCTGGTAGGAGAAATTGGTTGAAAAGCCGTGGTCAAGGGCGTACGAGGAGATGTAACTGATGGGAATGAAGAGACCCCACTCAATGAAGAACACACTTGCGGTCGTCAATGTGAATCTGATGTCGCGGAAGATGCGGAAATCAGGCAGGACATTCTCCTTCGAGAACGGCTTTTGCGGCAATCGAGATCTGATCAGGAGATTTGCAACCCCCAAGGCAATCAAACAAATCAATGCCACCACGCGAGTAGCCCAACCCCATCCGATTTTAGGGAACAAGGCTTCAAGAATGAGGGGGAATGCAATGCCTCCAATTGAGCCACCCGTAGCTGCGATTCCTGTCGCGAGGCCTCGTCTCGCGTAGAAGTAGTGGCCAATCGCCGAGACAGCCGGGGTGAAGATGAGAGAGGCCCCAACTCCACCGAGAACACCGATGACTAGCATGAAATGCCAGTATTTGGTACAGAATCCAAGAAGAATGATCATGGCCATCTCACACACTGAACCAGCAAAGACCAGGAGGCGGGGGCCACGGGCATCGAAAATAGGGCCGATCTGCACACCGCAGAAGAAGGTCAGGAAGGCGTACATGCCAAAGATCCACCCAATGCTACCGGAGCTGTAATCTTTCAGCTGGTGGCTCTCGATATATGCCTGAAAAGTGCCAATGGTGTTGACAAGTCCTAGCGATCCAAAGAGACCGAGGAAGCTGCCCAACACCACCAGCCATGCGTCAAGACCGCCTTCGGGGTAAATGTTGCCTTCGGCGTCTGTGGTCACTTGAGTCAGAGGATCTCTACGGACAGACCTATGCGACGGGGCAATGGTAGATGCCGTTCGGTAGAGATCATGACGATCGGCAACGGTAACTGGCTGCTGTTCTGAGGTATGGTTGGCCGAGTTTGTCTGTGCCTGCTTCTCGAAATCGGCCACTTTTGTCGTGCTCTTCTCTGTTTCCAGTTGGGCAGTCTTCTCGCAGTCCGTGGTGAAAGTTTGAGTCTCGATAGCCGTCGCTACGATACTCTCGCTGGCGTGATGGTTGAAAAGGAGGCCATGGTCATGATCACCAGCTGCGTCTGATGTGCTGCTGCTAGTGGGCCGGGCCTCGGTAGACATCCTACGTGGAATATGCCGCAAAGCCGGAGAGGTCTGGCTTTATAAGCGTCAAACGTCCCTTTGTTGTCTTTTGGGTCGGGGAGCGAAGTGGACCTGGGGGAGTTTTAATGGTTTGGAACAGAACCTGCGGAGGGAGAGGGGGTCGACATTAGCAATCGAAAAGTCGGAGTCATCCAGGCCCCGGGTACCCAAAGGTAGTGGTGCATCGTGCGGAATAAACCCTATTGGCCTCGAATGTTTTCAGAGGGGCTTTCTATGCCCTTTTCAGAACAGGGCAAATTTTTCGACAACGAGAGCCGGGGGCTACTGGTAGGTGGGGCCTGGTAGAGCGGGTAAGTTGTCTCTACTGCCGCGCTGCTTGGCATTGTACCATCCCACCGCAACCGGAGGCGTAGGTTTAATGGACATCTACTTCGTTGCAATGATCACGTCTCGATGAAAATACCTGTAGTGAAAGAGGGGTTTCGGTTGTATACGGTTGGCCGCCCGAGTGCATCATGCAATGCAAAGCTTCGGAGGAATGAGCAAATCACATCATCACACCGCAAATCTCTCCGAATCATCGGCGGGTATCCCGATAAATATATTTCCATGTCCCTGAGCATACCTTCACCCCACCGTCCTTTGCAATAAGCCCTTCATCCTGTACCTAGGTAGGCATCAATGGAACCCACCAACTGGAACATGTAAAATGCGATCTTATAGCCGCCATCATTGGCTGCCATAGCTGTGTTGCTAGCTATACTGACTTGATTAAACTGATAAGACGAGACTAAAATGACGTTGGATTGTCTCACCCAATATCACGGTCGATTGAGCACTGAAAGTGTATGGGAGCTAGTGATTAGACCATCTTTTCGTGAATTGTTATATCTCTCCGAGTTGCCTCATTGGCTCCTGAAGTTAGTTTGCTGGACCAACTCCCATCAAGATTACACCAAAATGATCACAGATTGAGAAGCATCATTTCCGATCATCTAGCCTGCACCTGAGCCCGTGGTTTCGCGATACATGTGATGGTTGACTAAATTTGTGCTAATGCAGATCTTGGCATTCTTGCATGATTTTACATCAAGGCAGTTCTCGCTTGTGTAATATTATCTCTCGCCATCTTCCATACACCTGGGCTTGTGGTTTAGTGGTATAATACTCCCTTAGCATGGGAGTGGTCCGGGGTTCGATTCCCCGCGAGTCCAGTTCTTTTTTATTTCGTCTTTTCTTTTGGCCTCACGCATAATAAGCAGGCAGGGGTTATGAGTGTCACTACTTGCTCAAAATTGAAATTGGAGAATGCTATCGTACTGAAGAGGGTGAAATTTGGGCGAAGGTCCCATAACATGGGATGGTTGAAGTGAGGCCAGTTCGTGGCCGTTTCTGGCTGCCCGCTTTTCCTGTTTGTTACTAGAAACGTTGTTTCAATTCGATCGTTATTTCATGGCCTCAAAGTACTCTTTGTGGATGAAGACCGAAGTATCCTCCCGAGTCCAGCTGTTGGGCCTGTGGAGGGCCTTCAAGAATGGTTAGGCTTGCTTATTAATCCAAGAGAAACATTGCGGACATGAACCCAAACAGGATTCGCGTCGGCCTTCGTTCTTATCAGTGGAGGGAGTTGTATTGAATCACGTCGGCAGATGCCGCCCAGCCCGTTCGTAGCAGGCTCTTACCGCTCGCAATTGGCCAGTCGCACTGTCGATCGGCATACTCTCAGCTCAGGCCGAGGCTCTGCCACCAAGCCAGCTCCATGCAGGTCCTTGACAGACTGACGGCCCCCGACGGAAAGACAAAAAAGCTTAGTATTGTTCCCGGAAGCAATCGGCTCTCGTCAAAACGCTAGAATCATGTCGTGGAGTCTCGAGTCAGGTACCATCGCAGCTCCCAACTCATGGGCCACACTGCTCTCCGCACGCCAAGCATTGCCTCCGCGCGTATGATTGAGAGGGGCTGGAATCGGAGAAATCATCTGATCCAGCAGCCTAGCTTGCACAGGCTACCTCGCCTGGGACAAATGCTGCGCTGACCGAGTTTTTATTACTGCATGCTGAAATAACACCATGCGAGTTGCTTCGCAATGTACGGTGTAGTCCTTGCTTCCCGCCACCGCGATGCGCGGTTTATCAGAGCGGGGGACCCTAGTCCGCACAGTAGACGCTCATGTTTCTACGGAAGAGGGGACAGAGATAACCCAAGCCAATCGAAAGGTGTGCCCACTTTTTCCCCTGAATGAGCTTCATCATCGGCGGAAGGAGAGATAGGCCCTTCCCCGGAATCCGACGCTAGCCCGGCAAGCCCTACTTACGGTTCCGCGTCGGTGCGTTCCGTGAGTCAACGAGCCATGGCCTCGACAACAATCGTTCGTTGCTCTTCCTTTTTGGAGCAAAGCCGCAAAAATTAATGGGGCAGCAGTCTTGTTGAGCGCAAACAGATCCACAAGGAAAGAGAGTGCCGATCGATGGCGAAGCAGCCGAGGATACCTTAGCGACTTGCCGTTCCGGGAGGACTACCCCGCCTGCATAATGCATCAGGCTAATATCAGTGGCTCAATGACACTAAAAGGGGTGCATGTGGAGGCGCTGAAGAAGCATTGCCCGGCCAGATGGATAAGCAATCCAGTGGGCCAACGGCAGGTCATGCTGGCCTGGAGAAATCCAATCATAGTTCCCGAGGGAATGCAGGATGCCTGCTGAGTTACATGGTGTCCCGTGCCTATTAAACAGGCTCAATCGCTCCAGTTCATACTTGAAAGGATCAGTGTGTAGGGGGCATCTTTCTTTTCATTCGAACTTGGGCTCCTCCATACCCTAGCCCTTACAGGATGTTGTTTACATCAGTCCTGACCCCGGCTCTGCTGGCCCTTTCGGTGGGCATTGAAGCCGTTGCAGCGTCTTCGCATGGACGCTTTGGGCAACTCGCCCGTGACCCTTTGGAGAGAGCTAAGCGGGTTGTCGAAAATGCCCATGCGAAGCCGGTACGGTCCAAAAATGATTTTCGTTTTTTGAGCCACAAAACCAAGCGTTAGTAAAGCCTCCAACTGGTCGGTAATAAAGTTGCCGGACTGACGAATCAATCCTAGCGTACCTGGTCAATAACCTCCCCGATGTCCCCTTTGACATTGGTGAGATGTACTCGGGCCTGATTCCCATTGACGCACACAACGAGTCGCGGGCGTTGTTCTACATCTTCCAGCCTACCATTGGCGAGCCCGTTGACGAAGTCACCATCTGGCTGAACGGCGGACCTGGCTGCAGTTCCATGGAAAGCTTTCTTCAGGAGACTGGTCGCTTCCTCTGGCAGCCGGGTACGTATGCGCCCGTGGAGAATCCATATTCCTGGGTGAACCTGACAAACATGCTGTGGTATGTACTTGCTGAATGGGGGAAAACTTATGCCGGTCCTTGAGGAATGATGTATTGACTGGCCACGCAGGGTTGACCAGCCGGTTGGAACGGGCTACTCTATTGGCACGCCCACTGCTACCTCCCAGGAGGAGACTGCCCAGGATTTCATCAAGTTCTTCAAGAACTTCCAGCAGACGTTCGGTATCAAAAACTTCAAGATCTATGTGACGGGTGAGAGCTACGCTGGCCGCTATGTCCCGTATATCTCGGCCGCTATGCTCGACGAGAAGGACAAGAAGTACTTCGATTTGCAGGGTGCATTGGCATATGATCCCTGCATTGGCCAGTTCGATTATGTGCAGGAGGAGATCCCTGTCGTGCCATTCATAAAGAAGAACGCGAATTTGTTCAACTTCAACGAGACCTTCATGGCGGAGCTGGAGCACCTCCACCAGTCGTGCGGATATGAAGAGTTCATCGACACGTATCTGACCTTCCCGCCGCCAAAGGAGCAGCCTCCACTGTTCTTCAACTGGACCAGCATGGAGGAGTGCGATGTGTTCGATTTGGTGTACGAGACCGTCTTCGACATCAACCCGTGTTTCGACCTGTACGAGGTCAACCAGATGTGTCCATTGCAGTGGGATGTGCTGGCTTTTCCGACCTCGCTCGTTTACGAGTCCCCTGGCTCAGCGGTGTACTTTGATCGGCCGGACGTCAAGAAGGCCCTGCATGCACCTAACGTGACCTGGTCCGAATGCTCCAACAATCCCGTCTTCGTTGGCGGCAGCTCTGGTCCCGAGCAAGAGGGTGATATCTCCGCGAACCCCATCGAGCACGTCCTGCCCCAGGTTATCGAGGCGACCAACCGCGTGCTCATCGGCAACGGTGACTACGACATGGTCATCATTACCAACGGCACACTGCTGGCCATCCAGAACATGACCTGGAACGGCCACCTTGGTTTCCAGAAACGGCCCGAGACTCCTATCGACATCAAGATCCCCGATCTCCAATACGCGGACATCTTTGCGGAGAATGGTGCTTCGTCGCTGGATGGTGCCCAGGGTATTATGGGCATCCAGCACTACGAGCGTGGTCTCATGTGGGTGGAGACGTATATGTCGGGACACATGCAGCCGCAATACCAGCCTCGTGTGTCTTACCGCCACCTGGAATGGCTCCTCAAGCGTACCGATGAGATCTGAGAGTTGTTGATACATTTAGTCAGCTTTTTCCTGCATGTGACTGATTCACCTCTGGGCTGGCCATGTCAATATACGCCCAATCCTGTATATAGTGGCGAAGCACAAGATAATCTGCATTGTCAACACCCCGCTAGATAGCCTCCCGGCACTCATAAACGCGTGTTGACCGCAATTTAACCGGCATAGCTCATCTTCTATGCATCTCGTACATACCCACGTCAAGTATATGTATTTCAGCGCCGAGCTTACCCCAGAAAATACGGAACCGGCCCGTGTGCTTCCGCCCTTGCGTCCCCATATGGCATATAAATCCCCGGGTTGATAGCCATAGAGGTTAAAGATACTGAACATGCAATTTCGCTTCCCGCGGGAAACTTATCATGTACTTTTGTTGTCTCATCGTATCGATATGGCCTGATTCTCTATTTATCTTTGATTCAAAAGAAAAAAGATAAATTCAAGCGAATGGGTTGTCATACCAATTGCCGGGACTGGATTACCAATTTGAGTATATGGTTTCCGCACTGAGGCCGGGGCGGGGAGAGGAGCCCGGGGGCAGCTTCTTAGTTGATAGTCGCTGGATTGGCGGCCGGGGGGGGGGGGGGGGCGCTGCTGCTGGATACCAGATCTCATGCTGGGCAAGGGCAGAGATTGATGCGGAGCGGATGCGGCAGTTAATTTACAACCGTTGACTATGCACTTCAAGTTTCGGGCCGGGGTATCGACAGGCTCGTAAGATTACTCTATATGGAGGCCGAGCTGGAAGGATATGCAGGCTTTCGGCAATGATCCATACTTGTTCGTACAATCCGGGACAGGATTGAGGTCTGGATTGAATTGTCTTCCTTTTCATTCATCAGGATCAGACTATCCTTTCCTCTGTACATGTTCCGAGCAGCGACCGTGGTAAGAACCCGTTCGCCCCTCAAGGGAATACGAATACGTCTGTTTACGCGAGTCCTCTCATATTATCCCGTACCACAAAGAAATAACTCTTTGACTAGTGCACACAGGCATTGTGCAGTTGCATATCCACCCCGGATCTCAACCCATATTGAACTGCGTAGCCCGTGGATACCCGCAGGGTCCTCGCCTCTCACTGTTGGGGTTAGTGCCGTGGCAATCTTTCCCGAATATGGTGCATTCTTTTTGTTTGACTCCCCTTCTCCTGGAGGTAACCTGGAGAGAAAGGCATGGAAAATGGTGCAGACAACTTCCATGTGTAGTTAATCGTGATACGTTAACACTGAGTGCATGCACGGCCTAAGGGATTTCCTGCCATAGGAACTGCTGTGACTTATTTCTCTCACACGACAACCGAGTGGGGCACAGAGAAGACTGATCGGGTCCCTGAACGCCACAGGCTGCCCGCGGCTTGCCAAGACTGTCAGGCTTAAACCCGCAGCGAATAGGATCTTAGGCGTCTCACGATCTCTATATCCCTCAGTGGAGTGAGGATTCCTTGAAATCCTGTTTCTTTTGCGCCATGATCTAATCTGTCTCTCTTTGACGGTACAGTTGTATGCCATATAGGCGCCATCCTGCAGGTGCTCGCATTTCAGTTGCCGGGAGACACGCTCTTTTCTCTCGCCCCACGCGGACACGGTAAGGGCCGGGTTGTTGCTGCCGGAAAAAAATGAGTCCGCCCTACGGAGTAGAGCAAGGCACTTGGAAGAGTTGCGACAAGCAGTCGTGCGGGCTGCGTGGGCCCGCGCCGTCGATACAGGGTGGCCCTTCTTCGAAGCGGTAATTTATGAGCCAACAGAAGGCCCGATTACCACCACTTCCAGGGCTCTCACTGGCGGTGACAGCACAAAAAATACGGCGTCCATCCATGGACTCCTACGATGCCCGGAAGCGGCAAGATTCGCGCCTCCGCCAAGACGGAGACGACTTGGGGGTTGACTTGCACGTCAAACTGACAGACTTCCTGTCGGCCTAGAGGGGTCAATTAGGTGTCATGAGAGCCAGGCGCATGGGATCATCATGCACGAGGAGAAAACAGCAAGCCATAATGATCAATTGTGGAGAATCGGAGGAGAAAACGAAGAGGAAATGGCAGCAAGGCACGAGGGCGGAGATGACGTCGGTGCTACGGCAGAGAGCAGCGTTGCTTGCGGCCTGTTTTGCGTGTTTGGCTCGGTTTGCCTGGTTTGCCCCGTTATTCTTCGTTTATCCATTTTCCCGTCCGCGCTCATTTCACGGTCATCCTGCAAAACCCCGGGCGTTTCTTCGGCTCCGGTCGAATCTCAGGATGGTACGAACCGTGGAAATGTATCAACTGCATTGCTCATGAGATTTCGTGGCGGCAGTGGCGTGCATCCCGCGATACAATCTGGTTGAGGCGGAACCGGCTGACCAGGGCGGACCGTGTTGCGAAGACTAAAAGCGGACCGGCTCCATCGCTCCGTCTGGGCTAAGCCCATGCCCAGGGACCTCGCGCAGGCAAATGCATCCTATAATGGAAATCATACCCTTTCTTGCTTTTCTCTGGTCGGGGCAGACCCGCCGAGAACAACCGAATTACCTGATTTCTCTTGCCGGCTGAACGGCCTCGGGTCTAGCCAACCCCAGCGTCCCCGGGATTGACCCAGTTCTAGGCGGTATGGGCAATACGGATCGCGCCGATTCCACGAAACCCTGGGTGGAGAGACGGACAGGGCCCATCCCCGAAGTAACTTAGCACCAAACGCCCTCCCAGCGGGCCCGCGGCTTGGCCTTGCCGCATTTTGTACCACCGAACGGTCAACCCGTAATTTCGAGAAAAGGATAGGCAAAGAGAGCGATGCTGCACTCTGTGATACCGTGGTTGCCATATAGTACTTCATCTATCCCCTCCGCTTTTCTCTTCTTCGTTCCTTCTTCCGTCCGTCCCAGTTCACTCTTCTCCCTCCCCCCTCCGCTTCCTATCTACAGTATCTACCTTCCCACTCTCCATCGAGGTCCGGGGTTTAGCTTCACATAGCTTTCCTCACCCTCCCACTTCCCTAGGAACATTCTGTTTCCTGGTCATATCCTAATCGAAGCCTGTTCGCGGCTGATCTCTCCCTCCTTCGACTTTGTGGAAATTCCAGAACAACAGACAAAAAAAAGGATTGGTCCCAAATACAGTGACCACACAGCATCAAGACTATTCCGCGCACCCGACTGCTCTAAAGTAGCAACGCGACAATTGCGGCGACAATACCCAGCCCAACCCTCGTTAGTTGCCACAACGTGTCGCGTATGATTGAACTACCATCGCGGCATCTTCGGACTCTCCCAGCGCGAATCTGCCCACCCCCTTCACGATATAGGACCCGATTGCATCTCCTGCTCCATTGCGCCAATTCGTAGCCTTGCCCCGACGGACTGATTACGATCCCCCGCATTTCAATCGAAACTTGCCAGGACGTTCCCGCAGCTAGCAGCAGTCCTTGTCCCCAGCAACCTCGCCCACGAAGCACGCTTGTTTTCCAACGCGCCTGGCCCATAAGCGGTTACGATGGGACTCGCCAAATTCAACCCGTTCAAGAAGGACCGCCAGAACTTCCCAGGAGTCGTGATCCCGCTGGCGGATGCTCCGGCCCATGCCCCCACAAACCCAGATGAGAAGGCCGACAAGTTGTTGGATCGTGCCCCCTCTTCGGAGAACGGTTCGCTTGGGTCGCTGGGCAAATCCAGCCATCTGACCATTGAAGCTCTCCGTGCTGAGGTCGAGGCTGATCTCGCTACATCGGGCCATGACTCGGCGTATGACCGTATGTGCCCTTTTCCCGACTCATGTGTCCTCAATTCCGCCCAAAGCATCCACACAGGCCCATATTCCCCTGGCATGAAAAGGGTTTGTGCTTTGTGTGTGCTTGGTCTAATTTTTGGGATCGTGCAGGCAAAGCAAAGGTGATCAACCGCGCCATTCAGGATATCGGCATGGGCCGGTACCAGTGGGAGCTGTTCTTCCTGTGTGGCTTCGGCTGGACGGCAGACAAGTAAGTGCCAGTCCATCTACGAAGTTCCACCGGCCTTGAACCGGACTAACATTGTTTTTCCCAGCCTCTGGCTTCAGGTGAGACTCAACGACGGATATACTTCCAGGTCACGTGGTTACTAGCAGCTAATCATCTCCCAGGGTGTTGCCCTAACTTTGACACCGTTGTCCTACGAGTTCGGTATCTCCGAGTCGCATGTTCGATTTACAACTTGTGCGCTGTTCTTGGGCCTGTGCATCGGTGCCTCCTTCTGGGGTATCGCATCTGACATCATCGGTCGTCGCTGGGCATTCAACACCACACTGTTCCTTGCTGGGACGTTTGGTCTAGCTTCCGGCGGTGGTCCCACCTGGATTGGGTACGTTCTTAATTGATGAGTGCTCGTTTGATCTCACGCTAACAAGTGGTCCAGTGTTTGTGCTTTGTACTCCTGCCTTGGTCTCGGTGTTGGTGGCAACCTGCCTGTCGATGGCGCTCTCTTTCTCGAGTTCCTGCCTTTCGCCTCCGGCAACATGTTGACGATGCTGAGTGTTTGGTGGCCCATTGGTCAATTGATTGGTAGTCTGTTCGCCTGGGCCTATATTCCCACCTTCAGTTGTTCGACCATAGAGGGCTGCACCAAGGCTCAAAATTGGGGCTGGCGCTATCTGGTTCTCACCCTGGGTGCCATCACTTTCTGCATGTTCGTTGCGCGGTTCTTCTTCTTCCACTTGTACGAATCACCCAAGTACCTGCTATCTCGCGGCCGTCAGGAGGAGGCTGTTGCGTCGGTCCACGGCATTGCGTACAAGAACAAGACCCAGACTTGGCTGACCAACGAGATCCTCAACGAGATCGGTGGTTATGCCGAAACCAAGGAGGTGGAGAAGCTCACCTACGGTCAGATTGTGACACGATTTTTCTCCAAGTTCTCGATGGAACGTATTGGTCCTCTCTTCGCCACAAAGCGCTTGGGCTTCAGTACCGTCTTGCTCTGGTTCTGCTGGGCCACCATCGGTATGGGCTACCCGCTCTTCAATGCTTTCCTGCCGCAGTATCTCTCCAAGTCTGGCGGTACCACCAACTCAAACTACATCACCTACCGCAACTACGCCATCACGTCGATCGTCGGTGTCCCAGGCTCCATCCTGGCCTGCTACACCGTGGAGATCAAGTACATAGGCCGCAAAGGCACCATGGCTATCGCCACTCTTATCACCGGTGTGTTGCTGTTTTGCTTCACCGCGTCCACCAACTCCAATGTTCAGCTGGCCTGCACTTGTCTGGAGGCTTTCTTCCAGAACATCATGTATGGTGTTCTGTACGCCTACACTCCCGAAGTGTTCCCGGCTCCAGTTCGCGGTACCGGGACCGGTATCTGCAGCTGTCTGAACCGTATCGCTGGTCTCTGTGCCCCTCTAGTCGCTATCTATGCGGGCGGTTCTAGCCCAGACGCACCGATCTACGCTTCCGGTGCCCTGATCCTTGCTGCGTTCGTCGCGATGGCCTTCTTGCCCATCGAAACTCGGGGTAAGCAGACTCTATAAATGTATAAACGGAGACAGCCGGGCGACCGGACTGCAGTACATGACCAGTTATTTATCTCCAATTCATGGAGCGACGCGCATGTCCTCCAATATGGACATATTCGCATGCTAGATTCCATCATGATCTTTCAATATGACCCCTACAATTTTCACTCTTACTCCTCTTCTCTCTTCTCCTATTCTTTAGCACAGTCTGAATATTCTGCCGTCCTCGTTAATTCCGGCGCGTTCTAATGTATCCGAGGTGAACGTCTCTGGGGAGTAAGCATTTGCTTCCCAGACTATCCATGTACCATCGCTCCCGATGTCGAGGATTCCAAGAGCCCCAGTAATATCATGTAGGTATGCTATTCTGAAAACCGGGAGACGACGGTATTTGTGGTGGATTCCTCAGGGGCATTAACCTTGGATTAGGACACGAGCACTGGTTGCTCGCTTTCTCTCTCTCTCCACAAATGCTTAAAACTATATGAGAGTAGGATGAGGCCCCAGGCGCAGATCATACCACCCACCTCAAGAGCTTACCATCAAACGATCCCTACAAATGATGCCCTACAAATGATGCCTGCATAGATCAAGGATTCCGTGAATATGGAATATTGAATCAGAATGCGATCTAAAACAGAGAACAAGCCTCTACCAGTCCATTTACGAAAGGCCATAATACAGGATAGGATACCCAAAGCAACTTATAAAGGACAAGAAGTTCACAAAAGCCCAGTTTACCTTTAGCCCACATTGGGACTAGCCAGAAATGCCATTGGAGAGTTTTCATAATGTCACAGAAAGAAATAGAAAGATCAAAATGGAAAGACAAGACAAGACGTAGATAAAAGTACCCCGACACATAATCCCATTGAAAACAAGACGAACTCCTAGACCAAGCCAGCAGCTCCGCAACGCACTAACCACAAGCAATGAAGAAATGGGTACAAAGTAAATGAAATCAATGGCTAGTCGCACTCATCCCCATCAAGATCCCTGGAGTACGTATGCTCTTCTTCGCCAGGTTAATCCGATAACGTGCATAGAAAGCAGAATGGAGATGAAGACAGATGATAGCGGATAAAAGTGAGAGACGTCGGTCATGAGTCACGGCAGGGTAGGGTATAACTCGGTAGGAGAAATGTGGTGGAGAGGTGAAGGGATGAGAAGGGGGGAAAGCGTGAAATCCATGCAATATATCGCTCGTTAAAGCACATAAAATGGAAATGTATGCCCAGAGAAGCAGAAACACCGAGACTCTTGGTCGTTTGCGCGTCTCTATACGTGTTTATGCCACTGGCTGTCCTTGATTGCGACGCCCGCGCTTCTCGAGCAGCGTCGCACCCTCCAGGCTCAGCTCGAATGGCTGATGCGCCTTGCGACCGATGGCATTCTTGGCTGCTGCGGCAACTGCCGCGTCGTGCTGTCCGTAGCCCTGCTGTTTTGGTTGACGGTGGGCCTGCCGGGCTTGGGCCGCGCTACTTTGGGCACCAAGGTTCGTGGAGCGAAGCTTTGCTTCCATTCCAGCGACGTCGCCTGCCTGGGTGTTGGACTTGGCAACCTTGAGGGGAGGCTGATCTGTGGTTGCTTCACCGTGGGGCCGGTATTCAGATTCGTCATCGTAGTCTTCGTTCAGGGAGCCAAGTGCAGACTGGAAGCCAGCTAACGGGTGGCCACTTCGGGCGTTCTGCTGACGGTTCCGACGGCGCTTGCCTTCCTCCTCTTGTCGGTGAACTGCGTAGCCGACATCGAAAACCTCACGCAGGTTGAACGCTCCTGGAGAGCGGAAGTCCATCCGGCGATCTGACGCCGCAGATGGCGCATCCTGGAAACGGGAACTGGCGGGTTGGTATGGGGCTTGGTCGGCGCCGACTGGGTTGAGATGCAGCGGGCCATCTTGGCGGGCCGGGCCTAATGGTGTGGCCAGGGGTGGAGCGTCGGCAGCCGGGGTGGTTTCTTCGTCAGTCTGCCGGATCCAGGGGTGTGCGAGAAACTCCTTGATGGAGTACCGTTTCTCCGGGTCAACAGTCAGGAGATGCGAGATCAGATCCTGAGCCGACTTGGAAATGTCATCCCACCAGGGTGAGAGGAAAGTGTACTGGCCACGGGCCACCTTCTCCGTAAGCACCTGGATACTCTCGTCGTAGAACGGAGGGAAACCACACAGCAGAGTGTAGAGTACACAACCCATAGCCCACATATCTACACTCTTCGAGTACCGCTCGTCTTTCACAATCTCGGGCGCAGTATAGCCGACTGTTCCGCACGGGGTCATGGTTTGGCTGTCCCAAATCACCTTAGACAGGCCGAAGTCTGCAATCTTGATCGTGCCGATCCCACCAGCGCCGATGCCGGGAATGAATTCCCCCTCATCCTCCTTGTCTTCATCGCCTGGCTGCCTTGGCTTCGGGTGTTTGCTCGGGACGAAGGCGGTCGGGTAAAACAGCAGGTTTTCGGGTTTGATATCACTATGTTGCTTTGTTAGTAAATACTTCCTCCCGAAAAGGAATATGATGGTCGCGCACCGATGAACAACGCCAGATGTCTCATGCAAGTATTCAATGGCCTTCGCAACTTGTACAATCACGTGTCGGCTCAAGTCTTCGCTAAAGTATGTCAATCGCACGATCTGGTGGAACAGCTCGCCACCAGGGCAGAGCTCGAGAATGATGTAGTAGTATTGCCGGGATTCAGAAAAGTCAATCAACTTGACGATGTTGGGGTGGTCAAGATTGCGCATAATTTGGACTTCCTTCAGGATATTCGCTCGCTGTGGGAAGACAGAAATCAGCCACAATCTCCAACAAGAACGGAACAGCAATGGCATGCAAGAAAAGAGAGACAGGGACGGCAGTAGCACGCGAGTCACCACTGCCGATGGAGGTGTGGCGTGGTATAGGAGTCATGTTGCGCACCTCCGCACCCCGTGGGACCTTCTTGACGGTGGGATGGAGGTGGTTGGACTACAGGAAAACAGGTATTGGCAAGGTTATTTTTTTTCAGCATGGAGAGCGTCACTCGAGCCATGCAGGCACCAGAGCCAGAAAGGAACCGACTAGAGTAGCACCAAGAGAATAGGAAAAGTAAGACCCTTCAGTCACCCTACCTGATTGCTGTTCATTTCGAACTTGCGCACGACCTTGATCGCCACCTCTCCATGCTCTGCAGTCGTATCTCTGGCGCGGTAGACGTTGCTGAAAGCGCCATCGCCCATCTTCTCCACAAGGATCCACCGGTCGAGACCAGGGTACTTGGGCATCTTGGAACGAGAGGTGTTCTCCTCTTTGACGAGCCGTTCGATTTCCACGGAGCGCTCGCGCCTCACCTCGTCGTCGGTTTTCTGCTGGGCGGTGGGACCGTTTCCACCATTGGTCCGCGTGTCACCTGTATCAAAGGCCTCGAGGGCGGGAGAGAATTGGCGTGGAGGTTGTGGCTGCTGCTCGGCGTGGACGGGGGACACGTCGGTGGTGGGCTCAGAGTGGGGAGTCACGAGGCGAGCTTGTTTCCCGTGCCGGATAAAGTTCTTGATGTTCTGTATTGTGCTCATTCTGGGCGGTTGGAAGGGGTAGAGGAAGGAAAGTGGTGAGTTCGTGAGCCGATGCCGTCAGAGGGAGGAGGAGGAGGAGGAGGAGGAGGAGGAGGAGGGGAAAAGGGAAGGTAACCAGGCCTGACGACGTGGGTTGGTTAGGCAGTCAGTGGAGGGAGAGAATCGAGGGACAGGGATCGGGCTCGATCAAGGGAGATGGAGAAAGAGAAGATGGCGGAGCAAGAAGGGAAAAGGGGGTTGAGAAGAAGATGGGGAAAAGCTACGGAGCTGAGATGAGGTCAGAATGCCCCCGTTTCGCAGGTGGCCGAGGAGGGGGAAACGGGGGAAGAGAAAAAAAGCCAATGACGTCCGATCTTCCGGGCGATGTCATCGTTCTTGAGGGTCCAATTCCTGCCTGCCCGACCTGAACGAATCTTTCAGTCTCTCCAGTTACTTCCAGCTCATTCCCAGTTGCCAGCTGACCTATCTAGCTAGCCATTTCCCTCTTCCTTGGCTTCTGTCCAATCCACCTTTGTTTGAACTCACTCACTCGGATCACATTGGCCTACTGTCGTCATGACCGCCACTGACGATCCACCCGCCAACGGTTAGACGGTTATATTAAAATTATTCAGAGGGTTTAGTTCAGATGATTGATCCCCCTGAGCGAAATTATTATTATCATTATCATTATTGTCATCTTCATCTTCATCTTCATCTTCATCTTCATCATCATCATCATCATCATCATAATCAGAGTGGTTAGGGATCATGTCGTGCTAGGATCCCGGCTCGAGGGTTACGAGACCCTTCCCTGTTTTGTGTGAGGTGCTATATGATATATGACCGACGTCTTCGTCTCCTCTCCAACCTTCTCCTCTCCTTGGCTGGAGGGTGCCGCCGCTTGTGGTCGCCTGCGAGGACCGACCTGAGCGTTCTTGGCCTCCCCGCGGCCTCCCCAGCACTTGTCCCCTCGCCTCTCGTAGCCTCTGGCCCAATCGCCTTTTCTAGTGATCGCAGGCGGCCCTTACCTGGTAGCATACGATGTCCCTTCTTGGGTCACACAGACCCATCGCAAAACCAGAATGACCGTGGTATCAAGTTGGTATCAAGCTGTTCACCTTGGCCAACCACACCGGTGGAGTGAATATCGTCATCCTCGCCACATCACCCAAACTTCAGCCGGATGTGTTATCTCTCGCTCTGGCGCTCTAGCCCTGCTTTGTAGACAGGTTGCCTCACGATGGTGGGCGAGGCCCCTATTCCGCGTGCGGCTCCGGCCCGTCAGGCCCGAGACGAAGTAGATCTGGGCGCATCAAAAGCCCCACGCATGATGGGAATGTGTGAGGCGGCGCATGTGGAGAGAGACCTGCATTCAAGGACCGAACCATTCAAGGACCCAAGATGCTTGATGCAAGGCGCGGACATAAAAAGATCCAGCCCTGAAACACCTCCCGCCCACATACCCGATCTGGCATTCTTCGGGGCGCTGCCAGGAATTAAGAGAAAAGAGAGTTCGATCCAGGAACGCCTTTCCATCCGAAAACCCCCACATGGCCCAGCCTGGAGGAGTCGTAGGGTCGTAGGGACGGGGAGGAACGTTATCTAGGCACACCAGATTCCTGCTGAGCACTTGCAGCTCCTTCGGAATGAGACCTGCCATGCAAGAACGAACGATAAATCTATAGTTAGTCCGATAGCGTCCGCACAGTTGGCACGCTGCGATTGGGGAATCCAAGGCGAGGTGCAGGGGCCATGGGGCGCACACTACTGGTCCTCGACGTGCTGGACGGAAGGATAAAGAAATTAGTCCTCTTCCCTCACTAACGTGCATTCATCCACGTTGAAACGTTGGCCCCTCCGCCCGTTTCATTCGGAGCTTCTTTCTTCCTTCCTACCTTCCGTCTTTTTCTCCATTCCCCTGCGCCTATACTTCCTCTATACTTCCCTCTCGACCCCCGATCCCCGAGTTTTGATCACTAGACAAGCCCCGCCTGCCGATACCTATCGACCGGCCTAGTTGCCTGTCGATACCTCCCAGCCACCACATCCAACCACCTGTCGGGTTCGCCTGTCCAGAACGACCGCCTCATCCCTGCCGCACTCCGTTTATGCACCGGCTGCAACGCTGATCGGCTGTGGACTCGGAACTACATCTCGACCGGGCGATCGGCTCCCTTGCATCGTACAGAGAAACCCTCCCCCCCCACACATAGATCCATCCACTCGCCATTCTTATCTATCCAGACGAGTCTCGGTGTGGACCCTCCCGCGATGCGATCCTTGCGACCGTCGCCCCAAATTCTCTGAACAATCTTGCCATTCTACACTCCAGACACCTGGAACCAGTCCCCCAACAGTCGCATTCCTCCAAAATCGCGGTGGCCTGATTTGTGTGTGTTCTGGGTCCGTCAAGATGCCCGTGGACGTGATGGGCGCATCGGCGGATGCACCAGAGCGACCGCTCCTCAGGTCCCGCAAGGCGCTCCCGCGGCGGGGCGTTGTGGTCCCCCATATCAACAGGGCCCAACCGACCTCCCCAGATCCAAAGGGCACAGTCACCGCGGCGCCAGCTCCTCCGTTGACTCCGCCCGGCGCGAACCAGGAAGATAGCATGGACGAACCGACGCCGCGGAAGACCAACTCGTCGCGCCCTGACAACCAGACCACCGGCATGTTGACGCCGCGTCGGCCCTCCAAACCCCCAACACCCGACGTGACACCACCTCGCACGACCTCACTCACGAGACCAGCCCTCCATCACGTGCATCTGTCGTCGTCATCGCGAGCCGACTCATTCCAGACTGCCTGCGAGAGCATCTCGTCCGATGGCGACATGGAAACGCCCGTCCGATCCTCATCCCAGACCGCGTCGCAGAGAGCCAAGAACAGAGCCCGTTCGACTACCAGACAGAATGCGCCGAATGGCGTGCGCGCGAAACTGACATATACCAAAGACACCCCGCCCTCAGCCTCCCAGCCGCATAGCGAGACAGAATATGAAACTGGGTTTGAGTCGTTCGACGGAGAGTGGGCGTCCAACCAGACCGACGGATCTCCGACACCACTGGCGGGGAAACAGAAGCCTTCGAAGACCCGGAATTCATCAAACCACAAACCCCCCCAGATGAGGACGCGCTGGACGTGATCCATCTGGATGAGTCTTTGATGCGGGAAAAGAATCTGCGGGATCGAGTCCAGAATACACAAAAGGTGACCGAGAGTCCGTCGATGGAACGGTTTCGTGAGGATATTGGTTGGCCATCCGACGATAGACCTTCACAGATGGAAGCACCGGAGTCGCGTCGGTTGTCGGGAGTCTCTTCCACATCTACTGTCGAGGCGATGATCATCGATTCTCCAAAGCGAGCCCAACGCTTCTTGCGACATACCGAGAAGAGAAGTTCGCTCCGTTCTGCAAGCTCTCCCATCACCAGATCTGAGCGTATGTCCACGGCCTCCAACCTTGACTCACAGCGCCGTCTTGTCCACAAGGCCGCTCGCATCTCAGAACAGGACCGTCGAAGCGTTTCATCCGATATTTCCTTCTCAACCAAGACTACCGCCAGCGCGCCTCGGATTTCAGCGGATATCATTCCCGTAGTGGTGATACCGGAGAGACGCTCATCCCTCACATCTGGACCCAACAGTTATGCTTCGTCCAAACCTGGCTCCCAGCAGTCGAGCCGAGGCCCCCCACCAGTCTCTTCGAATGGCTCTGTGAACGTCCCGCGACCAAGGAAGCGGACCATGTCGGATTCCGTGTCTGCACGATCCCGAGACCAGGACTCGAGGGGCCGTCTGGTTGGTCGACCTGCTATCCCGCCGCGGAGCTCTTCGCTCTCTGCGCCAACAAGTCGCAACACTTCTCGCGCCACATCTCTCACCTCGGAGAGTCTGCGGAGTCATACTTTAGCCATGGATCTGGAGATGCAACAGGGTAACATGCAGCCCGTCTCGCCGCCCCGCTACAATATTCTCGGTCCCAATGGTAATGGAAAGAGTTTTCTGGACCCTCCAACCCTGCCGGGAATCATGGTCAGTTCAACGGATGATATGGCAACCCTGCGACCCCCATCATTGCCATATACACAATGGTCAATCCCATCGTCGTCTCCGGGGCCGATCGAAATCCGAGAAGCTACTGCTGTCAGTCTATTCGCGCACAACAATCGGTCCCTGCTTGTGGTTGATCAACGGGTACCGCCAGACCAACGCGTGCTCCAAGCGTTCCAGAACGGGTTTCCAGGTCGTGAAACCCACCCCCAAACCCCCGACAGCCCTACCCGTCCTGCGCAGAGGTTCGTGGAGTCTCCATTAAAGAACCCTCGTCCACCACCTAAGCCGCCGGTCTCCAAACCCCTCCCACCGATTCCTATCCAAGACGGGACCGCCGACGCTACCACACAGGGCAATGGAGGCCTAGTTGGTCGATGGCACTCGGTTCGTCGCCCATGGGCCGCACGCTCTCGGTCTGATTCCTTCAATGCTATTACCCAGTCCATCTTGCTGCCATCAGCGAAGAACCGTAAAGCAGGAATCGAAATGGACAGCCGCTTACACCCCTTCTGGCGCCCACGCGGATTCTGGGACGACGTCTCCGGCTCCCCCAAAAAGAGAACTCCGGCAGCCGCACTCCCGCAGATCCAGGCTTCGTCAGTAACTCGCTGGGCCTTCCGCAACAACGGCTCATCTTTGAAGGACCGCCTGCTCTGAACCGCCGAAGCCCCGAAATGACGTGCCTGTTCCACGGACTCTCTTCCCCTGCACACTACCACCCCAGCCGCGGCAGTCTCGTCGATCACGGTGGCATTCTGCGCACCGGATCGCCTCTGTATCAGAATCGCTACCGCCTCCTGTCTCGCTGGGGTCTCCGTTGGCGATCAATGTCGCTGCGCAATGTGCGGGTTCGTCTCCGACGAGTTCGTCAGCGGCGTGACGAGCGAAAACGAGCTGCGCGCCGGGAAACCCTCAAGCAAAGTATCGGGGGCCCTGTGTACGTGGCGTCCAGCACGACCAATGGCGTCGTGCGGTGAGATCGCCTTTGCTTATGCTATTATGGTCCATGCCCACCCTGCTCAGTGGGTATGTTTCACATGATGAGATTTACGACGCATCTGGAGGTCGCATTTTGCCTTGATTTTGTTGCACTTGCGACTGGTTTTCTCTCGGTTCTTGTTTGCGTTTGGTTTTTTCTGTCCCCTTCCTTTTTCTTTTGCTGATACGAGATCTACGAAACGATACGATACGAAGCACGATGATGACTCGATGACTTATGCTTATGCTCATGCTCAACCTGCGCCATGTTACCGCTCGGCCATCTGTTTTGGTGGCCATGATGTCAAGATGTACCATAAGATGAGTCTTTCTGCGTCGCGGTGGATATACACTTTGCCTGTAGCCCGAAACGAATTGGAAATGGCTCCTCGTATTGGAAGATGCGTGCTGCGCGGTATATACAGTGTATAAATCGTCGATAAGGGTCGTAAATGTAAAATGATGTAGACAGATAACCCGCAGGGGAACAACCAGTGCTCGCTAGGGCTCAAGTCATCGCCAATGCGCCATCCAGAAAAATGTAGAATCAATACCGTCCCCCCCAGTATCCCCTCCCGCTCGCCTTCGCGTGCTTCCCTCGCCCGCTAACACTTGACCTGCCCCGGATCGCCATCGACCCATACTCAGCCTCCCTCTCTCGCCTTAGTCGCTGCTGATCTGGCGTTTCAGATGACCCCACGTTCTCATCGTCGTCCCTCCGACGGGCACTACTAGAAGCCCCCTCCCCGGCCGACGCGGCCGTAGCCCGAGCTCGTTTCAGCATGGCTTCCCAGGTAGGCGGATCGAGGAAAGGCTGTGGAGCAGCAGCGAAAGAGAATTCAATGCGCGTGGCCTTTGTCCTGTCATCTTGGCTAATATCGTCTTCGCTGTTTTCGCAGGGTGCTTTCATGCACACAGTTGCCGCGACGGCGCTGGGGTTGAGCACTTTGTACACTGGCTTGTGGTTGGTGTTGCTGTGTGTGGTTGGAGGGAGCAAAGGACGTTTATTGGGGATAAGAAGAGGGCGACTGCGATCTGAAGCCATCTGGGGAGCAACCATCGCCAGGAGTTGGCCAGATTCAAGAGATGGTCAAGGTGAAGAGATGAGCGATGATGTCGATGTGGAGCTACCTCAGGCCCTTATCGCTATCAGCTCCCCTCCGACATCTATGCAGTCTTGCGACATGAGACACTCCACAAGCCCCAGCTAGAATAGAGCACTACGTTTGGTTTGAACTTATAGTCCGCCCCGATTCAAGCCAGGCATCTCATTCCTCCCGCTGCCAACGCCGCAAGCGAATCTTTATTCCAAAATTGGGCACGTAAAACTCCTCAAACGACAGCGCCCCATTCACCGACCCTCGCCCGCCTTCCTGCGCCGAACCAGGCAAGATATCAAAGTGCTGCAGCAGATGCGCCAACACCAGCTTCATCGGCGCGCTCGCCATCCAGCGGCCGGGACTGCAGTGCAAATATGAACAGAACTGTCAGCCGGTGGGGGCTCGGGCGGTTGGAATCGAAAAGGTCGCAGAAAAGCAAAGCAAGGACCGCCGCAAGACTCAGATTTCAATGAATTTGCAAAACAAGTCAAACAAACATACACGCCCATCCCAAAAATGATATACTCCGGGCTCAAGTCCACGAGTCTGGTGTTGCTTGCTCCGGCCGCAGCGCGCTTTGCGAATCGGAAGCCGTCGAAGGTTTCGGGGTCTGTTTAAACTGTGCTTGACCGCTGGATGCAGCTGCTGGGGATGCCGACGTGGGTTCCGGGCTTGAAAGTTATACCTAAGGTGCCCTTTATTAGCCAGTGCCGTCGGGCTTCTGGAAGTCATACTCGGAACCCTAGCGGTGTACACGAAAGGTAACGAGACGAACCATTCGAACGCTCCAAGGCAGTGAGTGACACAGACCCGGTGAGCAGAAACTGCAGGATGATTTAGTGCGCTTTTACTCTAAGCAAGCCCGGAGGTGCCGGCTAGATGGACATACCGGCTGCAGGAGGATGCAGTCGCTGGCACTCCTTCAGGAAACTATCCAGCAAGATCATTTGATCGCAGCTCGCGGTGGTGGCTTCTTGATGGGCAAGAGTCGTCTCGACTTCCTCGCGCAATGGCCGAATGTACTCTGGGCACTGCGCAAGCTCGGACAAGGCTCCGTATAGTCCCTATATAGGTGAGCGTTAGAGTCTCATGTTAATTGCACGTCCCTCCCCCATCTTATGATCGGTGCGTACATAGGTGGTCGTGTAGATGAACGCGAACTGCAAAAGCAACATCTCGCCAATGACCTCGGGGTAGCTCCATTTCTGGCGGAAGACCGAATTTTCGTATAGCCAGCGGAAGATCTCGACCTGGGACAGCTCGGCGTGAGACTTTTTAACGACTTTGTTGGCATTGTAAGGCGAACGAAAAGCAATGCTTACCGGCTTCTCCGTCTGTCGAGGATTGGGTCGCTGATCGTCGATACCGTTGTCACCAGCCATCTCATGGCGATATTCGGCCGCCCGTGCATCAAAGTGCTTTAGGAGAATTTTCCGCGAGGCATGCATATCCCATCGAGTGCATAAAGTGGCCAATCGGCTGATGAAGCCACCAATATACCTATTTGGCCCGGACACTGTCAGTCGCAGTTATATGGTAAGGATGAAGATTCGTACCGCTTCAGGCAATCGGGAACCAGGAATTGGACCCGAGTGGTCACGATCATTCCCAGTATGTGGGCCTTGACGGCTTTCAGATAATCCTCGTTTTGAGAGAGTCTCGAGCCAACCATGGCAAAGCTCCCGCTACGTGCGACGATAGAGTAGGCAAAATCGAAGCAGCCTACCGTGCATTCTGTCATATAGAAACAATAAGCGGTTTGCTTTGCTCACCTCGCAGGTAAAAGCCGCCATCTAGGCTTACCACCGTTAGGAAATTCCATCTTGTATAGCTGAGATAAGATCGCTTCGGTCATGGACGGAATATATCGGCCTAAGCCTTTGGTAGAATGTCCCACGGATGAGGCCCGAGGTGGTTTTTGCAATTGCTGGCCACCCTCTCCCTTTGTGAAAATAGCCTGGCATGACATGTGAAATTTGAAGCAGCTGTTGGTAATCGTTATCGGTTCAGGATCAATGGTGGCTGGTCAAATATAACTTAAATTACCTACCTGGTCCATCCATGGCTCGGGTGAGGCCACCGCACTCGGCGTGTTTTTCAGCTCTTCAATCAGCTCTGGTTTGCACAAGATTACCTGACGGAAGCGAACATCATGTTTGGACCGCCTCAACTCGACGAAGCGACCATAAGGTCCATCGACTTCAACCGCACCTCCCGTCGCATGCTCCAGGACATGCGCGAAGAGACCTGGGGCTGGGTCGTCTACCGCACAACCTACCGCTCCGACCCCACATTCCACAAAGCAATCGAAATCCTGACTTCCTGGATCAAGGCGGGAGTCTACGAAGATCTCCACGAGTACGGCTTGGAAAACCCGGATCCTACGCCCAACGATCAGCTCTGGGCGCGCCACCAGCTAACCGTGATCGAGGAGCTAGCCACGCTGGACGGGGCTTCGTTGGACGTAGTGCGGGGATATTTTGAAGGCTGGGTAGAAGCCCAAGATAAGCAAGATGCATGGAACAAGTACCGCGCGTGCTTGGTGATGGATGAGGCGGCTGTCCAACGGCTGGGCGAGGCAATGACGCCAGAGGAGCACCGGGAGAAGCATGGAGAGCGCTGTTATATAGAGCTGCGGCAATGGTTTCTTCCAGCTGTGGAGGCGTTTCCGGAACTCGAAGAGGGAGAGACCGATTTTGAAGGGTGGATGAATTGTTCGGTCTTAAACTAATACGGCTGTGGACGTCTTTGGGCGATGGGATGTACATGGAAGATGCCTCGAATGAGGTCCAGGACGGGGTGTATTGAGGGCGAGACTGGTAGGGTTGCTCGGCGCCGCTACTTCTGGCTCCCATCCCTGTTATAGATCCTCCATTCCCTGGTCTGACGTACGCTTGGTTTTCTTAATCGTGTGCGTATTCATTTGACATTTAAACTCCAGAACCCCCGACGGCATCGACCCCGAAGATTGCTTGCAGGACTCGGTTCGGCCCGGCATGTATATCTTACAGGCAGGAAGGGGGGGGAGCCGGCGGCAGGAGAAGGGATACATAGTTACTATCAAAGAACTGGGCCTATTGCATCGAGGCACGAGAGGAGCACACAATCGACGATCACTTAATGCCTTTACATATAGGCCAGTGCAAATGCACTGGTGTGAACATATAGTAATCAATACGAGCGTCTCTAAAGTAAAAAATGTGATCTTGCGTGCAGGAGAGTGGATGCCTGGCCATATTGCAAGCGGCTCGTCTTTGGAGCAGACATCGAAAAAGAAAGAAAATGGCTCATACATTGAATACGGACCCCTCACACATCAGATAAACATTGTCGTACAAAGGGTTCGTCAAGAAGAAATGAAGCATATGACCAACGTGCAATCAGGCCCAAAAAGGTAAAGAACAGAGATAAATGACTCCCAGAAAAGGTATCAGCAATTGCATGCGTGTGGTATAATGATACAAACAGGAACGTCCACCATGCGCCCGCAGAGAACTAGCAGCAACGCCAAGAAAACAAAAGGTGTAGAACTAACGGGTGGCATATGCGTTCATGTAATGCCTTGGGACTCCATGCCGCCCATCGTCGAATACGAGGACGGCAAGTCTACCAGGCCGTCTAGCAGCCAGTTCAGGGGGTCGAAGACCTCGTAGTTCGGTTCCATGAACCCACTTGGGAGTCCACTGAAACCGCTTCCTGGCGCTTGGATCCCAAGACTAGGCTGCGTGAGCATTGGCGCGGGCGCAAGACTTGGGTCGCCACCAGAAATCCCAGGCGTAGATGACTGAGTGCGGGGTAGGCCTATAGAGGAGGCGGCAGACGAATCGGCAGCAGAGTCCGGGTTGGTCGGGTTCTTGAGGTATGCTAGAGAAAGAAGTTAGGATGAACACTCTCATGAGCAGAATGAGATGGATCTGACCTTCAATATTCCGACCCTTGGTCCGTGTGTCTTCCCGCCATCGCCATACCGAGTCGAAGAGCAGAGACATGCTCATACGGCAGCGAACCTTCAGTCTCAAAGAATCATCAACATCGGTGGTGTTTGCCGCTGACCGCTGGGTTGCACCCCCAAGCCGCCACATCTGGGCAAGCACTTCGGCGAGACGTTCAGGTAGGTCGTTGCTAGATACTGACACGCCACGAATGGCCCAGATGGTTCGATTGAACAGATTCTTTGTATACTCCATATCCATGTGTGAGGAGAAGAAGCTCTTACTCAGCTTGAGAAGAGTACAACCAGCTGCGACCATCATCTGGTAAATGTAGTAAGGGGTATAGGAGAGAACCGGACCAACTTCCGTCTCCAGGTTCATGGCAACCTCGAGGAATGATGTGGTTGCGACGTATAATGACAGAAGACGCTCACGGTAGTCTTTCGTAGAAGGTTCATCAAAGAATGCAGAAAGATGCAAGTGGAGATTAGAGGCACGGAGGTATAGATTGGTTATGGCTAAGTCCACCATTAGTATAACACAGAAGCAATAGAGAGGGGTGATCTTACAATCATTGAGGACCTTTAACTGTTCCTCGAGCTCGACAAAGTCTCGTGAAAGAAACGAGATCATTGTATTCCGTTCTTGGTCGGTGGTTAGTCCAACAGGATCTCGTCGATTGCTGTAAAGAGCTTTGGTAATCTTGTCGCAAAACTTTTCAATCTCCAACCTAGGCCTGATGTCTGCAGGCAATTTAAAGTTGGGATCCAGTGAATCACTCGACAATGTCCAGTCGTAGAGCGTGGAAGGGGGCTGGCCATAACCAGTTGATACGCTAGGTGGAAAGAAGAATTAGATGGTGCTCTTGAACGTGGGAGGTCCATAGGTATATCATACCGCTGCGCAACAATATTGCAAATAGCCCAGGTTTGCACTTTATCCCTTAGCTCCTCCTCAATAAGCTCGACACGGAATTTGCTAAAATCCTGAGTATGCGACGGGCGATGAAGACCAAGCTGCATGGCAACCTGAACCATCATGCCACAAAGCATAAATGTCGGGTCTGTGGAAGTACTGCTTGTTGGAAATGGCCACGAGCAGAGCAGACAGAGGGCTTTCACAACGTGGTAGCTTTGGGGAATATCTGCCAATGTACTCCATACAAGGCGCGTGACAGGTCCCGCAAGAGAAGTCAACAGACCGGAATCACTTTGGTACCGTCGAGCACCGACGCTGATGATCGTCCAGAAAAGCAAAGGCGAGGCGGTATAGTAATCGCTTGGAGCCTGTGTTCGATTGAGGAATGGAAGAAATGGATGATAGTAGGTGAAAAACCTGTTGCGTATTAGTCTTGACAACCCTGCTCCGCTCCAAAGTGAAGCGATTTAGGGTATTGAAACCTACAGATTGAACAATTCTGTGACTTTCTCCGGAACCACCATGACATCTTCAATCCGCTTGAGCTTAGAGTTGCCGTTCCGCATGTAGTTGGTGCCATCGAACCCAGAACGCAAATCAAGTAGCGACGCGACCGCTTCCTGGGAGCCCATGTACTGATCTGCTGACGACATGGCCGAAGGCGTCTGGTAGACACCAGTGGGGCTGACCTGATTCATTTCCTGTTTGGGTGTGATTTGCCCTACTGATAGTTGTTGTTGTGGGTGAATAGCTGGGCTAGAATGTGCCGTGGCAATTTGCTTCCGCAGCTCGATGATCTCTCGTTCCATCTCGGCGTTGCGACTGCGCTTCCCCACCCGCTTGAAGTTAGACTCGATCTTGCAGTCGAGTTTCAGGCGGCGGCATCTGGAGCAATCGGACCAGGGGTCTTGAATGACGTCGCATCGAAGCTATACGAAACCATTTGAGTTAGCAACATAGATCAGTTGCAGAACTTGGGCCGAGCAAGCGCCACCAAGCTGTGTCGCATGAACCAGGATGACCACACGCACCTTCTGCTGTCGACATTCATTGCAGGCGCGCTTCACCGGCTGTCGTCTCTTGTCATCGCGCTCGTTATCCTCCGCGTCCTCAATACTCCCCGGGGAACTGTCCATCCCCGCCATGCTGATATTGCGCTTGCGACCGTGCATGCCATCGGCAGCGGCCATAGAGGCAGATGTATGATTGACCCCGGCCATTACGGGACTTGTGGCAGCTGACTCATTATCAATTTTTGCAGTAGGATTCGGGGCCTGGGCCTGAGACGCCCCGATTCCGCTCGACCGCCTAAAAGACGCCAGGCTGATGACGTTGATGCAACCGGGATCAAGGTTCCGAGCGGCTAACCGAAGGATTGTCTGTGCAGTGAGATGTGGAACACACAGGGAGGTTGTTCCGGCAACGATCCTAAGGCGTAGACACTTTTTCCAAACCCACGTTGATCCTTTCTTTCTCCGCACACGCCGTGGGTTGCAGACCCTCAAAGTTGCGCTGGTGAGAATGACTCAGCGCGGGGATTATCAGGTGACTTAGGCCGGACGAGACGCGGATGTAGCGTTCAGGCAAATACAGGCATCCAAACGACCGGACTTGCCCCCGACCTCCCCGGTGAACCAGATTTGAGGGTACGGTTGATTACCTTGATAGGGAAGCTAAATTCTAACTAACTTATCGGAAATTTCCATTTGTCATCATCTAGATACCAGTTGGGATCCGCATGTTCAGTGATTACAGTCATTGCTATAGTGCTGCAAGTACCAAGTACGAAGGACAAGACTGTGCTCACTACAGCACCGGTGATCCACAAAATGGAAGGTGAGTGGCTGTGGTTGACGAGCGGCAGATCTATTCGTCCTTGAAAATTTGAGACCTCTTCCTCGCTTAGCAGTTGTCTTCTACGAAATGACGTGACTGTCCCTGTGGGTCTCGATAGAAGAGTGACGGTTGCAAATCTGGCATACAGCCAACCAACAGTATCCAGAGATTTCGCTTCTAATAGTGTCTGACACTGGCCGGTCTTTGAGACTATTCTAGTATGTACTGGTTCTCGTCGCGTTCGCCGGGGCATGCTATATCAATTGAATCAAGTCAGAGGGCAAGAAAGGATCATTCGATCAATGGTGGAATCAAGGTTGCAACCTACAAGCTGCGTCTCACCATCTTGCCCAGTATGGAGCTGCGCATGATCTGGACGCTCTAGCGGGTGAGGACACTATCCCAATGGATCTCCGTTGTTCCAGCAGGCCTCCCATCCCAGGTGTTACTGAAAAAGATCAAATCAGGCATATGATACCCTTGCCCTAATGATCCACCCCCCGAGATCGACCCATCGTGTTTGCTGTATCTGGCAAGAAGTCACTAACCCTAGTTACGAAGGCGGATCGGCTCATCCTCTCGAAGAATCAGCGTGTCAGCATCCGGAATCACCGTGGCTTGACGGGAGCGACAAATGGCAGACAGAGGCATCGGTTGTTGATATGGCTGTTTCAGTCCTGCATTAGGTCAGACCCAAGACCGAGCTCAGAAGGAGGACCTAGGAAATATGTACTAGGACCAGTAGAACCAGGATAAAGGAAAGGCAAATTAGGCGGAGCAGGAGCAGGAGCAGGGTACTGTTGAGCACGCTCGTCGTAGAACAGCGTCCTACCACAGCAGGCGATACAAGTCACCCTGGAGAGTATTTTCGTCTTTGCCCTGGGTAGCTGGAGGAACCAGGCAAGAACAGTTGCGACAGACGGTCCTCTAGGGTGTTGCGAGCGTCGGCGACTTCCGCGCTTGCTCAACCACGCCATCTAGGTCAGCTTCTAGGGCAGATCGGAGACCCAGGTCCACCACCGGATTGAATGTCTCACGCAGGATAACCACTACCGCGCCCCTATCCTCAATAGCTTGTGCCGAAATTGTACGGGCAATTGGACTCGTCCGCATTGTTACAGATTATGGGCCATTCTGAGAGCAGCAGAGGGACCAGGCGGAGAGGGAGGGAGTGAGTTGTCTGGTCCACCTGCTCACAGGAACAGCATTAACTAGAGAACCTCTGTGAACAGATGGGCATGGATAGCAAACCGTCTTATCTGCTTGATTCGTCAGAAAGTCTGCATATTGCGTTGCTGTTCGTATCTAATTCCAGTGGTCTGGTCTCCTGCTGTCCGAAGCATATCCTGCATGAGTTTGAGTCCCCCTCATTGCTTTGCCCTATACTCCGTTAGTGAGCCTTGCCCGCCTATGAGGTCATTCAGGCCGACCGCCCAATCATCCCACCCAACGAGGGCCGCTGAGCCGCCCGAGGCAGTGCTGCCGCCAAACAACCGGGCACTTTGCGCCCGACTGCCGCGGGCCTCTTCGTGTTCATCAGTCCACTCGGTCCATTCACTCCATTTAACCCTGTCAGATTATCTACCCCAATATGTCTGTCCTTGATTTCGATCCGGCATCCCACCCTCGCCTCCAGTGGACGCGTCTGGTCGCGCGTGAATCCGTGGTTGGCCGTGGTCATCCGTGGGGCCCCTCATTGACCCGCCGGTTTTCCCCACCAGGTCATTCGCTATCGCGAAGCTTGAACTGATTGTTCAGCAAGGCTTAGCCAGGCGGATTTTCTAGTGGGCTTCTAGCGTCGGTCTCTTGCTGCTGCTGCACTGCCTGAAGTGACCTTGCAAATTGTCATTGGCTATTAGCTCCACTGCCCCAGGGCGTTGCGAGCATGCAGCATCAATTCCCCAAGTCCAATGGTACGGAAACCCTGCTGATCTCGCGGAGCCAGGGTTTGAGGGGGCGGTTGGGGTCATATCGGCGAGTCCCTCATCGGACGTCAGCCCGTAATTATAAATCTCCCCAGGACCCCTCCCGGATCTGCTAGCTCTGTCACGCTTGCTTCCAAAGTCCATGCCTACCGACAATCCACTATCTACGATAGTGTAATTGATACACTGACCTTCGGTGAACTGTTACCATGGCTGGGATCACGGACGACAAGTCCAAGGTAGCAGCCATCAACGGCACAAATGGTGCCGAGGCGGCTCCTGATAAGGCCACTGCGCAGGCCACCGAGCGGCCGCCCTCATACAACCAGCCGGAAGTTCTACTTCAACTACCCCAGCTAAACCTCAATGAGGTGGCCATCAGTGCGACTACTCGCACGGTCACCCGTGACCAGGTTGTCGCGCATCTCAAGTTTCTGGCTGTGCTCGCTGATCTGCGGGACTTGATTTCGAATAATGATGGTCTCTTTGGCCTCTTCGACTCCGAGGCCGACAAATACCCCGACTCACTGAATGAGGCTCGCGCCCGTATTCGAGAGAAGCGGTGGGCCGTGTACACGGCTCGCGCTGTCGACCGCTATCAAAAATGGTGGTCGACTTGCCTCCCCATGTCACGACCGCATGCCACCATGCTGGATTTGGAGATGCAGAACTATGAGGATATCGTTGATTGCGAAACTCTGATTTTGTGGAGCGTAGATAATATGCCCCCTCTTGGTGAGTCCGAATCGGAATCTTACTGTTTAGGTGCCCACGCTGATCAAGGAGCTCCAGATATTTTGATGGTCTGGCATTCTCATATGCTTAACCCGAGAGACTTTCTCGAAGATTGCATCCGGTCGGGCAGGATGAGCACCTGGAGGACTGGATTCCCGTTTGCTGCCGTGAATGCCTGCATCAACGATCGCACCTTGGAGTACACCGTATCCGAGGAAACTCAAAAGCTGTTTGAGCAGCAGCTTCAGTTGAAATGGGACAATCTACATGATGCACCCGGCAAGGATCTTGAATGCCCGCGCTGTGCAAAAGTCAACACTATCCTCTGGACGGAAGGGGCCATCGGGGAGTCGGTCAAGGAAGCCTTCAAAAACAGCACTGGTTTCTCGGACCGGTCCTTCGAGATGACCTGCAAGCATTGCAAGTATCCCATCGACCATGGCCGCCTGAGAGTGGCCAAGTTCCGGAGTGATCTCATCAGACTGCTTCAGAACAATCGACCCATGCCAGGATCCATCTACAATATCAACGGCGTCCCTGAAGGACTGCCCAAGACGAGAAACCAGGTACTCCACCGATATATGATGTTCCCGAGCCGGCTGATGGAGGCAGTGGGAAAGGACCTACTCGCATTCACCGACCCTCGAGTGGACTGGTGCAAGAACATCGACGACCTCCGCAAAGAGCTCGAGGTCAAGCTGCGCGACCGAAAGGTACTGACAGTCGCGCACGCCGGCTTCTTCCGGGGCGGCGTCCGACCCGGCGAGAAAGTCCACTTCCGGCGCATGATGTCGCACTACTGGGAGAACTTCAGCCCTTTCGCCCTCGACCTTGTCGGAGCAGTGATTCGCCAGGGAACGTTCGTCCAGAAGATGGATAACATCGACTGGCTGCACTCGCCCACGGTCATGGATACCGCCGACCGGCTGATCAAGAAGTACCAGGTCTTCTTCGAGATCATGTTTTCCAACCCGCGGAACATGGCTGTCCCCACGCTGGACGTCGATCTGGCCTGGCACACACACCAGCTTCAGCCCAGACAATACTACAAGTGCAGCACGCGGCACACAGTGCGAGCAATGCGTATCTTCATTGACCACGACGACAAGATCGACGAGAACAAGCTCTCCGAGGCCTTCGAGTGGACCAGCAAAATGTACCGCCGCGCCACGGACGGTGGCATCTACAGCGAGTGCACATGCTGGTACTGCGAGGCCACGCGCGCACCGGACCTCTACGACCGCATTTTCAGCGTCGGCTCCGCGTCCCGTGCCCGTGACAATGCCGACACTCTCCACGACCGCGCAGATATTTCCTCCGACCCGGACAAGAACCCACACATCTCCGCACACAACGCCGTGCGACCCGCCACTCGGGCCGCCGAAGATCCCCGCATCGGCCAGCTCCAGCGCATTCGTCTGCACCAGAACTACGAGAAAGCTGTCCGGCGCGCCGAGAAGCGTGGTCGTAGCCGCTCCGATGCGAGGAGGAGCGAGGATGGCGGTTACGCGCCATACTACTACGCCCCCTATGTCTGGGGCTACCCGATGGTGGTGCCCTTCTACGGGCCATACATGTGTGACCCAGGCATCAGCTCTGACTCCTATGCGTGCAACCCGAGTTGCATGAACGTCAGTGCCGGTGGCGTTGGTAACTGTTGCTCTGGGACATGCGGCGGTGGTGTGGCAGCTGGCTCTTGCGGTGGTGCTGGTGGTGTTGGCTGCGCCGGCGGTACCGGGGCTGCTTGTGGAGGCGGAGGAGGAGGATGTGGGGGAGGTGGAGGAGGTGGGTGTGGAGGTGGAGGCGGCGGTGGTGGTGGATGCGGTGGTGGTGGCGGTGGTTAAACTGCATCCCAGCCCAAATTGCGACGATGAATCCTTCTTTCTTATGACCCATAGTATCCTCGATCCCACATCTTCACCCCTTGCTGCTTATTACTTGACCTTCGATCTATTTGCTATTGGCCCTGCTAGTTCTTCAGCTTGTTTGTAGAGAGTGCACCCTGGTACTTGATATTTATGAATTCAGATGACTCCAATCAACCTACGATCTCCTCCTGATATCCTCTCCTCCCGTATATCTACAGATCCAAGAGCCGGGCTCAGTAGGCTGTGCGACGTATACCGCCTGAGTAAAACCGCAACTACGACAAGGTCGGAGACGAAATTGGCAATTTTGATTGATTTGCATTCGTCCGGGTCATATAATATCTAACTTCTAACGAGGGTATCACGGTCCGTAGATCAGACTCATGCAAAGACAACACTACATGACAATGCACTTATTTCGTCGTTTCCGCTTTCGCTCCCGAATAGTATGTTCGTTCCAATCCTCAATGCGCCTCCGCCACTCCTCATTCGCAGGCGGCGGCAAGCTATTTGGTTCTGTTGATACCCGCCGGCGGAAAGATCGCTGTCTTGCAGGGATCTGCGCCTCGTCATCATCTTCGGTGAGATCCAAGGCGTTGCCGTAGGGTTGTGGGATATGGAGGAGATTGGGGGAAGAGACGGAGTAGGAAAGATAGGATTCGCCGAGCAGGGTTGCTCCTAGGGTGGCTTGTTCTTGTTGGGTTAGGCGTTCAACTGGGTGGAAGGCTAGGGTGGGGAGTGGTTGGAGAGAGGGGAGGTTGCTGGTAGCGACTGGAGGGATTGGTATGGCTGCGTTTGCGGAATCTGGGCGAGCTGGCAAACGATTGCTCTGCGCCATATCGTCGTTGTTGACAAGAAGTTGTTGCGGGAACTGAGGGACATGGGGTACATCTGAAGGGGCTCGCTCCAGACCAGGAGCTTCTCGAGCGACAGGGGAGGAATCTCTTCTACCTCTTCCGGAAACTCTAGCGCTAGTAATCGACCCGAGTCTTTGGAGAAGCGCAGATTGCGGCCGTGGACGATCCGAAAATTCCTGTCTTGCCACACGAGTGGTCTGTGCTCGCAGGACTGGCTGAACAGGATCATCGACGCGGGTTTGGCGAACTGTAGGCCCGCTTGGAAGAAGAGATCTCCGCAAATCCTCCGGCAAAGGTTGGTCAGGCTCGCGGGTGTAAGGTGGAGGCGGTGGCACCCAGTTATCCGCGTCACTCTCATGCGGGATTCGACGACCTTGAGTATTGCGATATCGCGGATCATAACGGCCTCGCGTGGACGCCGCCGCTGTAGCAGCTCGGTGAAGTGTGTCGCGAGAACGGGGCTGTGTATTGTCATACGGGACGTCGACAACCTCGCCACGATTTGGCTCGTCTGGAGACGTCGCAATGGCTAAGCTATTGGGGCGCAGATGTGAGATCGCGTTCTGACTTGCAGTTCGGCGAGATTCTCGAATAGGCGTCCGTGAGGGTCGTTGAACGAGAGACGTTAGTGTCGTCGGGTCGGTATCCCCACGATGCAAACGAGTCCGCCGCCTTTCCAACTCTACTTCGGTGTCTAGCGAAGAGTCCGGTTCCATGAGCATCATTGGCACGATCTCTCCTACTTCAATATCAAGCTCGGTCTCGTTGCCATTTGTAGTCGATCTCTCAAAGTCCAGGATGAGTATCCTCCCACCATCCACGGGGATATCTTCTTCGCCGAGTATTTGTGGACGCACGCCACCAGGCGCCACAGCAACAAGCCGACGTCTTGGCTTTCCTGGATTGGTACATCGTACCCAACGAGCGGATGTGATTCCAGGCATATCAGTTATTCGCCGGCCACGGACCAGAGCCTTTTGGGATTGTTCAATAATTTTCTCGAGTTGGGCTCGGTTGTCATGAGGCACTAACTGTCCCTCGCTGTGGTGATTACCACAAAGGTGAGCGTCATTGGGTTCTTCTGCCCCGGCGGCTGGCGGAGTAACATCAAGACGTCCTGGCACTCCATATATCCATATTTCGGAGTTTTGAAATCCTAGGGCAAGAAGCTCCCCAGCATTATCCGTAGATGGAAGCATGATCGGCAACGTCTCCCGCAATTCATCTGCCAAGAATGGGCTGGCAAAGTATACCCCACCGGCATTAATGTTGTCGACTTTGATTGCTCGAAAAGCCCCGAGAGCACTGTCATATCCTATGACCCAGCTATCGTCTGCTTCCTCATGACCGTTTATCAAGCAAGCATGAGTAAATCCAGGGGCTGTTTCGGGAAAGAGAATTTGTGTGGTCCACATGCGCATTTGTAGTTCCTGTGGCGATACGTCGATCCCAATGTCGGTGTAAAAGGGAGCTGTGATGGTGACGATACCACCTTGTCCATCATCAAGCGGCGATCCAAGCAACATGGTCCCATCAAGAGAGAAAGAAAGAGCATCGACGCGGGGGCAACGCGCTGCTCGGCGTTCCGTGGACAGAACCTCGTCTCCCACAGCATGGACCTCAATACAGCCCTCGAAGGACAAAGCCAGGACACTTCCCGTGGGTGAGAATATCAAGTCTCTTGGGGCATCATTAAGTGTGATCGTTTGGAAATGCTTGGCCTCATCATCAGAGAGTCGGTAGATATTGACCCGGTGTGTGGAGGATACGACGGCCAGAAGGGAGCCATCATCCTGAATGGTAGCACCTAAGGGTCGGCGGCGGGTTTTCAATTCGTACTTTACAGTTACTCGTTCTATGGTCAGATCGAGCACGACAATTCGGGACGAGCTGATACAAAGAACCATTTGACCATTTGCTGAAAACGAGAAACGAAACACTTCGCCGTGGGGAAAGGCAGTGGACGAGCTCATTGAGCTTGAAATCAATCGAACCAGAGTACAGTGGGGCCGCAGAAAGACATCAAAAGCATTCCGCCTGATTTCTTCCAGGAATTGACGCTTGAGGTCTGGCAGGCTGTCGGTTTCGGCAGGCGCGGGGTTTGCCCCTCTCGTCCACGTAAAGGACGGGCATTGCGATAAATGGTAGGCGTACAAGGAGGGAGACTCTGATATCCGCCTCCACTGTCGATTTAGCAAAGCCAGAGATGCAAAGATATTGGCGTCGGCGGCGTAAAGAATGCTACGCCGGTTGGGTTAGGAGCCCTGAATGCCACATGGCCTTGGGAAATGCCACCTTCCACCAAGAGAACCCACTTACTGCTCGATTACACTTGGAGGCAGCCGATCAAAGGCGCCAGTCTCTCGAGGGATCGGGGCCTCCTCCTCCATGATCACCAGCGGTTCCCGACATGCGGAATTGGCGCTGGCATCCGAGTTGGAGATGCCCTTGGAGAGAGTGGCTGTGCTTCCCAACCTCCTTCATGACGCCCGTCGCGTCGATTGCCGATAAGTTATAAATAGCTGCGGCACGTGGGGCTGACTCAGCGTCCCCCCTCATCCAGTTTAGTCTCTTTTTTCTCTCTGTCGGGTCTATGATCGCCGACAATCTCGCAGTCAAATGTCACCGGTCGCGTGAGGATGAGCAAGATGCAGAGCGCAACATGAAGTATAATTCGCCCTAACCCACGGTTGCGATTAACCTCCCCCCTGGCGCCCGTCGCATTCGGCCGCGTCGTACCCCTCACTGTACCCGACCGAGATCGGCCGACTCCGAAACCCCCGGGAACTTTTCTCGAGATCGTTTCCCCATCCCCCCTGCTGTTCGGCACCTCGTTTTCGGGTTTGCGAATCATGTCGCCCGCAACCCTTCAAGTCAATTCCAATTCGAAGCTGCCGTCGCCCGGGTTCAGCGCCGGCTCGCGACCCTACCGCTCACACAAGGTCCGCGCTTGCGACCTCTGTCGCAAGCGCAAGTCTCGATGCACCGTCGATATCCCGGGCCAATCTTGCCTCCTATGTCGCGTGCAGGGGGCTGATTGTCACTACCAGGAGGAGCCGAACCCGGACTCCTCGGTGTTGAGCACAACGGAGACCAAACCGTGGTCGGGAGCGCAGCCGGTTGAGCCGGTGTCGGGCAAGAAGCGCAAGCGCAGCCCTGATGGACTGCCCACCTCCCGTCAGTCAACCAATGGACCTAGTCCGCAGGGGACGACAATTTCGTCCTCGGGACGCCGGGGAAGTGATGCACGGCGGAAAGATATGGACGACCCGCACAATGAGTCAGTTCTCATTGTCGGGCCCATGGTTGCAGAGGATGCGCAGGTCATTGAGCAATATATGCCCCCTGAGCGGTCCAGCCTGTCCGAAGACGCGAACAGTCATCCATACAATATCTACTCCAGCGATCCACGGAAGCCTGTGCTCTATACCACCATCTCGCGGCGGAGGAAGGGTATGCGCCGCGGCGTTCCACCTGGTGAGAATCAGAAGGAAGTCCTGGAACAGATCCTAGGACCATTCAAACATGACCTTGTCAGGCTGTAAGGGCAAAGACATATGCTTTGATATTTTTTTCGGGCGCTAATTGCGATTGTTATTAGCTTCATCGATCGTTTCAACGTCGCGTTCCCGATCTTCGATGGCGAACAGTTCTGGGAGTCTTATATTACCGATGGTGTAGAAGATCCGCCGGCTGCGCTTCTGTGCCAAGTATACTCGATGTCCCTCGTGTACTGGAACCATACACAGAAACTCTCGTGCCATCCAAAACCCGACGTTCGATACGCGGTAAACATGACAGTGGCTGCTCTGCACGAAGAGTTCTCGGCACCTGGTCTGTCCACAATTAGTGCCGCACTGATTGATTTGACGGGAAGACCTATCTTCTCGATGACTGGAAACGCCATCAGCTGCGGACGCATGTTGTCTTTGGCCAACTGTCTTGGTTTGAACCGCGATCCGAGTCATTGGAAGCTCTCGCAGCAAGAAAAAGATCAGCGTATTCGTCTTTGGTGGGGTGTCGTAATTCATGATCGCTGGTAGGTCACGCTGCGCAACCATTTGCCGCCAATGATGATTCTCTAATACGTTCCACAGGGGAAGCTTTGGTCACGGTGTACCGCCACAGATCGCCAAATCCCAATACGACGTACCGCTGCCTACTGTTGACGGCTTAGTTCCGGCGAGCCTTCGCACCACTGAGCGTGTGAGGGCAGCGCACTGCCATATTTCTTTGTGCAAATTAACCGAAATCCTGGGCGAACTGTTACCTTTGGTCTATGGCTTGCAGGCAAAGCCCGCACGCGAAAGCTCCAAGAAGCTGAGGCAGATTCGGACGGATCTGGATCTTTGGGAGGACTCGCTTCCCGACTGGTTGAGAACACCAATAAACGGCCGTGGCGAGCAGTTATCTGCGTCTAGCAGCTTGCAGCTTGCTTTCTTGGCGGTCAAAATGCTTGTCAGTCGAGTGGAATTGAATGTAAGCTCTTTCTATACTAACAAATATCTTGCTGGCAATTTACTCACATATACGCTATAGGAGGTCAACAACGCAGAGACCGACAATCCCGAGGCTCGTCGCTACTTTCAGACCGAATGCCGCAGATCAGCAGAAGAGATCGTGCGGTTCATTACCTCCCTGCGGAAAGATAACTTCAAGGAATTCTGGTTACCATGTAGGTCTCACATGTGTTCTTCACCCCATTCCTGGCATAACATAACATTCTGACAATTTCCGTAGATAGCGCGTTCCATCTGACGTCTACGGCCACGCTCCTTGTGCGCTGCGCTTTCGAAACAAACGACAGTGAAGTGGCGCGGTCCTGCCTGGCCAACGTTGAGACCCTGCGTAATGTGCTACGTCGTGTTCGTGAGGAAGAAGACTGGGATGTGGCTGACATGTGCCTGGACCACTGCGAACGAATCATGCACCGTCTACCTGGTACTAGTGCCGCTATGGACCAGACGCTTACTGCAGCGATAGCTGACAATGGGTTGGTCAACCCAGCCGCGATCTCATTGCCCGAGACTCAAACCAATAATGATATTGTGGATGACATGATGTCCATTTCGAATACGTTCGGAACGATGGATGGCTTCCCCTTCGACATGACAGGTATCTGGGATGTCTCCGTGTTCCAGGATGTCAATCTGTCTTGAGAAGGGGACTTAAATCCACTATAAGTTAGATTTCTTTTCTGGCCTGTTCATAGGTTCTGTTTTGGGGGCAAGCAGGCGTGTATGTTAGATTACCATTTTTGCAATGTACAGTGGCGTTCCATTAGTTTGAAACCCTCCGATTTGACCGCCTTAGCCTACCGCCCACTACATTCGGCTAACCGCCCCTGACCACGCTGCGACACGCTAAGTATAACGCGTCTCTTTTGTTATTTTGAAGCTATTCACACGCTAATAATGCCTCCTCTTCGCACAGGGCAGCAATACGATGCGCCGAATAGGCACCCAACCGTTGCCGCACGACGATCTGGCTACCAGCTCGCCCCCTACGAGCGTATCAAGATTGTTGAGCTAAAATCAATTGGCTGGACATACAAAAAGATCCACGAGCGCTATCCTCACATTCCAATTAGCACGATGAAGACGGCGGTGGCTAGATCTAGCCTAAGAGGGCCTACCTAAGAGACACTTCCTCGGTCTGGCCAACCGAAGAAGCTTAACGAAGAGGATAAAACTAAGCTTCTTAACGCTATCGACGAGAACCTACGAGTTAAATACGACGACCTCCTTGCAGCAGTCGATAATAAGGTTAAACGTACATCGATTTAGAGACTCCTTCGTGAGGAGAATCGACGAAAATGGCTCGTACTTCAGCGACCGGAGCTTACCGAAACCTACGCCCGATTACGTCTCGAATAGGCCGAACGAGTGTAAGGCTATATAACAGATCAGTAGAGGAAGATCTTTTAGACCGACGAATCGACGATTGAGAGAGGTAAAAGGGCTCGTCGCGAGTATACCTTTACCCGACCGTCCGAGCAAATCGCTGCGCAAGATATCGACCTAGTATCCGTATATAAGGGTATTAAATAGATGTTTTAGGCTGCTTTCTCTAGATCTAGTCGACGATCCGGGCTTATATCACTCTTCGGAGACCTAGATTTACCTCGGGGAGGTGTAAATCGGTAGGTTATCCTCGAATTATACCAACGTATACTTCTAATATTAATAAATAGTATCGAGGGTGCTATTTTTCAACAAGATAACGCCCCTGTGTATACTGTACGCGTCGTAAGGGAGTGACTTGAAGAATAAACGTTCGAAATTATGGCCTGGCCACCCTATTCGCTAGATCTTAACCCGATTGAGAACCTTTGGGCGCTTCTTAAGGCCAAAATCTATGATATGTATCCGGAGATCAAACTTATGCCTGATAACGAAGAAACCTTAGCGTTTTTAATCGCTGCTGCGCAAGAGGCTTGGTCAGAGATAGATCTTTCTATATTAGACAATTTAGCTATAACGATGCCTAACCGGGTGAAGCAGGTGCTTGATAATAGTGGATGGTATACTAGTTATTAACTAGTCATGGAATGCGAGGTTTTAGTGTGGCAGAAAGGGTGGCAGAAAATTATATAATCAAATGGGAGGGTTTCAAACTAATGGAACGCCACTGTATATACCCAGAGGATCCAACGCGAAGTTGGACCGTGCAGATAAAGATAATTTCAGTCTATCAGTCTCAGTTTTTTTCATATTAAAGCATCTGTCCAAATTTTGTACATGGAGAATCACGAGAAACAAAAGAATCGGACACCAAACGCTATTTTACAGTCGTTCCGAAGGTGAATGAATGCTCAGAACGAACCCAAGAAACCATCTAATGACCTGCCCCTTGCCCGCAAATGACAAAAACCAAACCCCAAAGATGATGAGTTGGGAGTGAATAATAAGAAGCAAGATCCAGGAGGAGTCTGCCGCTGAATCCCAGCAGGAGCCGCTTATTGCTTGGAACCGCCACCAAACATACCCGTGAAAGAGCCCTTCATGCTCTGCATCTGCTCTTGGCGAGCTTTCTCCTCCTCGGCCGCCATCTCAGCAAGCCACTTCTCGCCGTTCTCGCGGATCTCACGGTCGATCATCTCATAGTTCTTCTGGCCGCGCTCGCGGATCTGATCCCAGAGCATCTTGCCCTGGGCGAGGCCCTCCGAAGGCGACTGCTCGCCACTCATAGTCTGCGACTTCAAGCCGAGAGCAGAGGCCAGGCTGCCCATGCCGATGGAAGGCTTCTTCTTCTTCTCTGCGGCGAGCTCATTCTCGAAGCGCTCACGCATGGCCTTCTCACGCTTAGTGAACTCCACGGGGATCGAGGTCCCCTCGAACGACTTCAGCACAGGGCGAACATCCTCCACGCCCATGCCAGCAAGGTACTCCAGGAAGGGGATAAGCGCAACCAGGGTCTTGTCCTTGGGGTCACCAGTCCACTTGTCCAAAACGATGGCGTTTTCGGGCTGCAGGCGGGCGTGCTCCTCCTTGGTGTCGATCAAAATCACCTTGGACAAGTCGCGGTTCAGATAGGAAAGATCCTAGTGATATGGGTCAGATGAATGCAATTGAGAAAGTTATTTGGGGGGTGACCATACCTTGATATATTCTCCATCTTTGTAGCGGGTAGCCTCACGGAAGAGGGGCCAGCGGATGATACGATAAGGGTCCAGTTTCCGGAGAACCTGGTCGGCCATCATACTTGGCACACTGGTGAACAGAACAAGCTCGTAGTACTGGTTGAGATAGCGGAGGAAGTAGTCGACGCCAGGGCGCTTCGCAACACGCCATCCGTGCTCGCGGCTCCACTCGCTGTGGACAAGCAAGTCCTCTAGGGAAAGAACCAGAGTATAGGGCTGGCGCATGGTAGGGTCCTCGTCGGGAAGCAGCTTCGGGAAAGCCGGATCCTTGTAGTAGCTGGTGAGGTCGCCCATACGAGCCTTGATACGGCTCCACCAAAGACCGGGGCTCCAGCCGGAGGGGGTGTCTGTGTGAGCACTCTCTTCCTCTTCAGTCTCCCAGTTGCGGCCCAGGTAACCCATGCCAGCAACACCGGCAGCCAACATCAATGCGTACATGATGTTAGCCATGCGGGCCTTGCGGCGGTCGAGAGAGGTCTCGTATCCGCCCTTAGGGATATCACCGCCCCCACGGCCAATGCCATCCTCGCTGTAATCCTCTGTTTGGGTGTGATCCTCGGTGATGTTCAGCGGTCCCTTCCTCGTGCGGCCTTCCAGCTCTGCAGCCAACGTCGAGGGAATACCCTGGGTCAGGTCGGGTAGGGGCTTGTTGGGAGTCTGCTCCGCTTCAGGCTATAAAGTCATACTGTTAGATTGGTTTGTTTTCATTTTTGTTTCCACCTTGAGACAGGAAACGGGTGACTGGTGCCTGATAGATAGCTTACAGCGCTGGAAGACTCGGACACTTCGGCCTCGGGCTTCGTCTGTGTATCAACCTCGGGCTGCTCGGCAGCATCCTGGTTTTGTGAGGCCTTCTCGGCAGCCTTGGGCTTCGTTCCCTTGAGATCCTTCGCCTGCATCGACTCAGGGAGCTTATAGGGGATACTGTCCTTGCCCTTGGCATACCACCGGGGTCGCTGAGCGGACAGGGCGGACACCCGGACGGTAGAGGCGAGGGCGTTGCGCCTCGCAAGAGGCAGAACGGCACGGCTCAGCATGACGGGAGAGAAATATGATTAAAGATAGGCAAGAAACAGTGCACTCATGCCTTGCACTCAGCGCTTGGAATCACGTCCTCGGCTTCGGGACGAGATTCCTGCAGAAAAGTCGGCGCGCGGTGGATCGGGCGGTCCAGACAGCCCTGTTGCGCAGTTTCTTTATCTGTCGCCGCGTCAGATCTCCCTTTTTTCTTTTTCTTTTCTTCTTCATCAATATGAAAGTTGTACCCAGACATTAATTTGACCCTTCAAGCACTCCTCATGCATGCCGGGTTGTATTAGCTGGGGAGACTAAAGAAGTTTTCTTCTGAACCACTCCAAGAGCCGCAGCGAAGGCCTCCTCTGATGCTGCAGCCCCGTATGTGGATCACATTCTTTTGGTGATTTTTCAAATCTCATCTGTCTTGTTCGGCGTTCGAGTTTACTCTCCAGGCGTGCAAGATCAGCGGCGGAGTTGCAATCCATTCCGGCCCTCAATCTATGCTAAGAATACGAAAACTATGAATTCCGTGTCAAATTCCAACCTTAGTCCCGTGCCGCGTACCTGCTCATAGATCTTGCCCCTCGCCGTTCAACCTTGGAACCTTCCCTTCCACCATGCGCCTCAAAAAATCACAAAGGGCCGAGTTCTTCGAGGATGATCTCCTTGAAGAACCAGCGCCCGTACGGCTTCCGTCAAAACCCTTCCGTCTCCTCGATCTACCATCTGAGATTCGTGAGCGCATCTACCATTTCGCCCTCTTCACCCCGTCGCGGAAGAGCGCCCTGAAAAAGAATGGGACCGTGGGGGCATCCGCGAAGAAAAGCAAAGCCTTCTCCCCGACGTCGCACCGCATAGCGTTGTTTCTGGTCTCGCACCGCATTCACGATGAGGCCAGTTATTATTTCTATTCGACTCAAATTTTTCGGCTCTTCCCAGTGCAGGACTTCGCGCGCATGCCGACCGTCCGCCAACTCCCCCGTCGCCACCGCTCGTCGGTCACCACAATCGAGTTGATTCTTGGGAATAGCTGGACGGCGCCACCGCGAACATGGACGGTGAATCAAGGCTTGGGTCTGCACGACATGACTCTCACACGCACACTAAAGGTGTTTATAGAATGTGATCCCTCACAGCCGATTTTCGAGGGCTTCCGCATCTCCAAGGAATACTATACCGAGTTTGCGGGGAGGCTCATGCGGCAGGTCTTGGAGCGGCTGCCGGGCCTGGTTCAGGTCGAATTCGATGCCTATCCCTCAGTGCACAAGAACGGGTCTTTAATGAGTCGGCTTTTGCAGGAGACTCGGGACGCTCAGAAAAAAGTGCTATGGGGCCCAGAAAGGGGTTGGGTAGACGATGAAGATGATTATGATGATCCGGGAGAGGATCCAGCAGACGCTGCCATTGATGGTTTGCGTGCCCGCAACCCAGACATTGATGTGTTGACTGACTCACTGCAAAATGTGAGTCTGGAAATTGAGACCGTGGCATCCTAGACTGCGTTGATGTTCAAGACGTGAGATGATTATGATATATATTACATTGCGCGGCGTTATAGACTTGATTTAGCTATTCAATCCTCAGAATGCAATACTTGCCCTGTAGGCTGCACCTAAATAGTGTAGAGGTACCTAGGCTTGATTTTTATATCTTGGGTCGGAAGAGCCCATCCAATGCAGCGCCAGGCAGGACGAGAACTCGATTTTGCCTAGTATCTAGTACCAAGAGGTAGTGATATGCCGTATGATATCGCGAAGAACACAGTATTTCATGATCAGAGCGTTTCTGTAGGTTTCATGCGCCTTCTAACCCTCTAAAGTTCCTCATCCACGTCCATAGATGCACCGTTGGCACCATCCTTGCCTGGCGCCTGCCGAGCCACAGATGCCTCCTTGTCGATCATCTGCCTCGAGACAGCAACGATGTTGTCCTCGATCAGTTGCTGGCTCACGTCTTCGATATCTGTGGGTTGGGGATAGTTAATGTTTGCAGCATCACAACGGAGTTTCGGGTAGACATACGTTTTTTAGGGTCAACCTTGCCCACATATCTCGTCTTCAGCTGCTCTTTGCTCAATTCGGTCTCTTCCTTCACTCGTTTCTCATAGCCTTCAGCAAGGATAACAAGCTGCTTCATCTGGTCCACGTTGTGCTGGCCCTCCTCATGGAAGTCGTTCATCTGCAGAGCCTCGGTCCACACGTGCTTGTGCAAGTTCATCAACATGTTCTCCTCCAGACCCGTCTTCCGGTAGTTAATGGCGATGCTGTAGTAGTGGCGGTTCAGACCGTGGATGAGGGCCTGGATCGAGGGCTTGTTCAGGTGACCCAAGTTGGATGTTGTTTGACGGGGCTCCTGGCCCATGACGACAGTTTGGGGCTGGATGAGACGGAAAGCATCAATTACTACCTTGCCCTTCACCGACTGAATTGGATCCACGACAACAGCAACGGCACGGGGAGTGAGCTGCTCAAACGATTGTTGGGTGTTGATATCGACGGAGGAAAGCCAGCAGCCGAAACCAGGGTGGGAGTGATACCAGCCAACGACGGTCTCTGGCCTATTTGAGCAAGAAAACGCTATATATCAGCGCAGCTCTTCGGCACCCATACAGCATATGTGGTAGCTTACCGTCCAGTTTGTCGGAGCATCTCCATCATCTTGGTCTGGAACACGGGGTCCACAGCCTCGACACTGACACCTGTACCACTCTGGGGCATAGCGAAAACATCCACTACCCGAACTGTATACTCATCGACAAACTCTCCAAGCATCAGGCCCATGACTTCCATCGGCACACCAGCACGGCCGTGTCGCAACATCTTCAACAGAGCAAGGGACGAAATATGGACGGTTTCGGAGTTATCGATCAGGTTCGGAGTGTCCTATGTCGAGACGCCGTTAGTCATACGTGCCATAGGTAATATGATGCTCGAAAGGCAGCTTATAAATAAGCGCAGAAGCTCGAATAGAGAGAGGGACACATGGCGACACCGAGGCCGCCACCCTTATGACTTACACCACCAGGAGCACCACCCCCCATTCCAATGCCTTGGGCGGCCTGCAGCATTCTATTGATGCGGTCCATGATGGCTGGAAGCAACTAATCGAGTTGCCAGGACGGAGGGATAAGAGAGATTGATAGCTTCCCAGTCGGAAGCTCCAGCAAGGTCGTAGTGGCTCAAACGAATCGGAATTTCGTCACGGATCAGTCTGAAACAAGAATCAGGAGCAAAGCCACAGATAAATGTATCGATGCTTAAACAACCGATCAAGGAAGCAGGGAAGCGTTGGCGTGTTGTTTGGTTGATGAAACAGTCAGTTCCCGGAGCTTGACTGACGAAGGCGGTCTGAATTTCTGCCGGCCATGGCTCCTTCCCACGCGGCGATCGATTCTCTCAACCCTCTCCCGTTCTCTGTCCAAAGCGCCGTGAGCATGTCAAATCTGGCCTGCTGTTGTGTTTGAAACATTACGTGAACCGTCACGGTGGTCTCTGGTGCTCTAGTGTGCGTGCCCTTCCGTGCTCCGAGGGTACCTAGTCGCCATTGTCTCCCCTAACCCGCATACTTCCTTTCCTCCACCCTCTTCTTGATTGAGATCTTCCCAAACCCTGCTGGCACTTTTGGCCAATCTCTCGCCTTTCAACGCGCAAAATGGCCGCGGAACCCCTTTCCAATGGCGTCGGTGCCAACAACAAGAAGGTGGCCTACTTCTACGACTCTGATGTGGGCAACTACGCCTATGTCTCCGGACACCCCATGAAGCCTCATCGCATACGCATGACCCACAGCTTGGTCATGAATTACGGCCTGTACAAGAAGATGGAGATCTACGTAAGACTTCCTATATCCCGCTATGAGCCACAGAAAAGCGCCCATTCTAATGCGCAAACCAAACAGCGTGCGAAGCCGGCTTCGAAGTACGAAATGACCCAGTTCCACACCGATGAATACATCGACTTCTTGTCAAAAGTGACGCCAGACAACATGGATCAGTTCTCGAAGGAGCAAAGCCGATACAATGTAGGTGACGACTGCCCGGTTTTTGATGGTCTGTTCGAATTCTGCGGTATCAGTGCTGGTGGCAGCATGGAAGGCGCTGCGCGGTTGAACCGCGGCAAGTGCGACGTCGCTGTCAACTGGGCTGGTGGTCTTCACCATGCGAAAAAGAGCGAAGCTAGTGGTTTCTGCTACGTAAACGGTAAGATGGGATCATATTTTCATGGAGATGTGCTTCCTCGCTAACCTTTTCATTAGACATTGTTCTCGGCATCCTCGAGTTGCTTCGATTCAAGCAGCGCGTCCTCTACGTTGATATCGATGTTCACCATGGTGATGGTGTTGAAGAAGCGTTCTACACCACAGATCGCGTCATGACAGTCTCGTTCCACAAGTATGGCGAATATTTCCCCGGTACCGGTGAACTCCGTGATATTGGTGTCGGCTCGGGCAAATACTATGCCGTCAATTTCCCTCTCCGCGATGGTATCAACGACGCCTCCTACAAGAGCATTTTCGAGCCTGTGATCAAGAGCGTCATGGAATGGTACCGCCCAGAGGCTGTGGTCCTTCAGTGTGGGGGTGACAGTTTGTCTGGTGATCGTCTCGGTTGCTTTAACCTCAGTATGCGCGGACATGCCAACTGCGTCAACTTCATTAAGAGTTTCGACCTGCCGACTTTGATCCTCGGTGGTGGTGGTTACACCATGCGCAACGTTGCACGTACCTGGGCCTTCGAAACTGGTATCCTTGTCGGAGATAACTTGGAATCTGAGCTACCCTACAACGACTACTATGAGGTAAGACTCCTCTTGATACCTTCTTATGTGGGCTAATCCACTGACACGGGTTACTAGTATTTCGCTCCCGATTATGAGCTTGACGTCCGTCCCTCGAACATGGACAATGCCAACACAAAGGATTACCTGGACAAGATTCGCAACCAGGTCGTTGAAAATCTCAAACGCACGGCCTTTGCGCCGTCGGTTCAGATGACTGATGTACCGCGCAATTCCCTCCTGGATGGCATGGATGACGAAGCCGATGATATTCTCGATGACCTGGATGAAGATGAGAACAAGGACAAGCGATTCACCCAGCGCCGCTTCGATCAGTACGTAGAGAAACCTGGGGAGCTTAGTGAGAGCGAGGATGAGGAGGAGAATGCAGCCAATGGTGTCCGTCGTCAACCCGGTGCTCTTCGTCGCCGAAACCAAGCCAACTACAGAAATCTTGATCCTGCAGACTCTGGCCTCGACAGCGGCATGGCTACTCCCCTCGAAGCATCCTCAATTGCCGACAACGAAATGGATATTGCCTTTGACTCAAAGATGGCAGATGCCCCAAGAACTGATCCCGACACGGCAGCCACTGCCAATGACCAGGATACCCCAGTGGCTGATTCGGACCGCATGGTACTAGAGGGAGAAGATAAGGGTATGTCTGCAGCCGTGTCTCAGCAACCATCTCCTACGCGCGATGAAGATACCACAATGGAAGACGCCAGTGCACCAGCCACAGAGACTGAGCAGTCTGGTGCAGCCGAAACTCAGGATGAGAAGAAACCTGAGGCATTCCCTGCCGCTGAGGAAATATCTAAAGCACACCTGTCTCCCTCCGGGGCCCAATCGCTTTCGAAGGAGTCTTCAGCACCCGCAGTAGAGGGCTCTGCGCAATTCACGCCGGCTGGCGATTCCGAGGAGGCCCAGGGAGCACCTGCAGCGTCTGTTGAAGAACTGACAACGAAGGAGGAATAAACTGGCTGTGATACAAGACAACAATATCGGATCTAGGCGCAACGGACAATGGGCAGTACGGTGTTATCGGTTTGTCGGCATGCACGCATCTTGCTCAATCACGGAGGCTTCGTGTCTCTCTTCGTGGAGAAACGGCGAAAACGGTTGTTCCATAAGTCGAGAGTCGATGTTTCATCGTCTCTTTGATCGAACGTAACCAGACAGATCTTGAGGCTCAAATCCGATGTGATCCCGGAGTACGTCGTTCTAAATGGCTGGGAAGGAATCGGTTGAGTGCCTTCGATCGCGTCTGTTCTGTTTTTCTAATTTATTTTCTATTTTACGATTTTATTTGGACAAGCAAATGAAAGAAAGCTTTGATTCTAATCACTCCATGTCATTGGGATCTTCTCTTATAGTCATGCTGAATGGACTTGTAAGACCACCAGGTTTCAAACTCTCACCACTCACAATGGGCGAGTGGCTTCATTTTACATGACATTGGCTGAAAAACGTCTTGAGATGTTCATCTTCGCGAGTGGTCCACAGGGGCAACAATCCTGTCCCCCGTCATCGAGAGACGGCGCATAGATCTAGTTTATATCACGTGACTTTAGAGCTCACATCTCGATGACATAATACACGGGTTCGAAGGCCCCAAAGGGGACTAGCGCTAGGGCAACCCCAGCCGACCAATCGGGGCGGGGCCAAGATTTTCCTCGCCCACCGACGCACTAAGCGAGGCGAGAAAGCACCGTGGACGTTTCTTCGACTCCCGACCTGACCTTCTGTCGCCAACCCTTTTCGCCTATCCCGACAACCCCGATACTCAGCCATCATGTCTAAGAGAGGGTAAGTCTGACTGCCCTGCATTCGACCCGAAGGACCAAGAAACCACCCGGGGAGAGTTTTCGTGGAGGATCTCGACGACCGAATGTGCAACATCTTCAACATCGAATATCTCGACCTGGGAGGATGGACGACACGGGTGCAATGCAACAGAGTGAACGAATGGAATCGCTGACCTGTATTGTTCAACAGTCGTGGCGGTGCCGCCGGCAACAAGCTGAAGATGACCCTCGGTCTGCCTGTGTACGTTCCGTCTTAACCTTGATATTTTCCCACGCCGTGCCCTCGTCCAGTGAAGCTTCGACAACCCGCCCATAGCCATTCGTCACGGTCGAAACGATGCTCGCCAGCTCTACAGCAATCGCAAAACTCGCCATGGAATATCGAACAGACCACGACGAATTGGCATAGGCGGGAAAATATCGAAATCATTGGACGGGGTCGCTAGGCATTGGGATACTACGAAACAAGCAACGCAACAGAAAACTAACGGTCTCGTTTCTTTCGAACAGCGGCGCCGTGATGAACTGCTGCGACAACTCCGGTGCTCGCAACCTGTACATCATTGCCGTCTGCGGTATCGGTGCCCGCCTGAACCGTCTCCCTGCTGCTGGTGTCGGAGACATGGTCATGGCCACCGTCAAGAAGGGAAAGCCCGAGCTCCGCAAGAAGGTCATGCCCGCCGTTGTCGTCCGCCAGAGCAAGCCCTGGCGCCGGGCTGACGGTATCTACCTGTACTTCGAGGACAATGCTGGTGTTGTAAGTGGATGATCCTTTTTCACTGGAGAGTATAGATGGTGTGTTGGGACATGATTCGAGCTGGTTCATCAGAATCGACTAGGATCGTGCCTTCTTCATACTTCTCTACGCGACCAGTCATCTTGATTCTCCGCTGCCGTGTACTAATCATCATTCTACAGATTGTCAACGCCAAGGGTGAGATGAAGGGATCCGCCATCACCGGCCCTGTCGGTAAGGAGGCTGCTGAGCTTTGGCCCCGTATTGCCTCCAACTCTGGTGTCGTCATGTAAAGAGTTTGAAAACCGAATAAAACGAACAAAAATTCAACGATACCAAAACCTGACTCCTTGGGACTGGGAAAACGGGGTGCATTTATGGCATATTGTGGAGAAAAGAGGCAATGGGAGAAGTGGGGGAAGGTCCATCTGACATGACGAATTCCACCTGTGTTATTTCGAGCCGGTTTTTCTCCCATTCGTGTTTCTTCTCTTTAAACACTGGCGACTCTCGGAAGTATACTGAAAAATACTACCTTTTCATGACAATTTCCGGTGCTTTGTATGTGGAGGAACTGCGAATGTGAGGCGGGTTTGCATAGAGCTCCCCTTTATCGGCCTCGCGGTACACTCGTGTACTTTCTTCTAGGGCTCTAGGCGGATCCATGATATCCGATGACCTACCGCGAGAGCTGTTGTCATGGGCTGATGTAGTCGTATTCTACGTAGAACTGGTAGCGGTCACAGCAGACTCTTCCTATACTGGAGCTGCTTTGCCTCTATCTGACATATCCATAGCGGGCTTGAAGTACTCATATGATTTGACGAATAAGATTTGCTGCTCATCTATATGCGCGATGTGAATTTCTAAAATCATCTGGCTTATACGTAGGTATATGGTACAAGAAAAGCGAATATACATGTCGTCCAAACGCACACCATCTACCCCTTATTTCTTCAAATCATCATGGCCACGGGCCTTCCGAGGCGTCCGTCCCCTTGGGGACTTATCGACACACTCCTGTCCCTTCAACGTTGGCGGATCCAAGCACGCCGTCTGTGCTGTGCTGGATTCACCAGCCCCCAGCAACCCAGCAATGAACCAAAGAAGTCCAACAATCAACGTCACCAAGACAAGCACATGCACTGCCCACCAGATATGCTGCACACCAGCCGGGCATAGTGTCATCTCATAATTCCACTCGCCAAGACTGGTATCGAACCAAGCTGAGAGAAGGCCGGCATTACCACCAAACTCGCCCATCATCGAGCGGAGGGTTACCTCGCGGATGGAGGGGGTATCGGTGGTTCCTGGCCTGTACTTATTATAGCGTTTGGAGGCCCACTTCCAGCCCTGAGAAGAGTCGTCGGTTCCTTGCTCGCCCTCGCCTTGATCTTTGGCGGTATGGTTGATATAGTGGATAATGTCGCAGCCGGTATGGTCGTGGCCGGTGAGGATAAGCCCCTTTCGGCCATAGCCACCGTACGGTGCATTTTCATCGCCATTCAATCCGAAAATGCCCTGCAGGATTCCAGTTGCACTGACATGATCGCTGAGGTGGTTCTGCTCTTTCAGGCCACCAGCCTTCCAGCGCGGAACACCGTCCGGTCCGCTGTTGTCGTCGTCTTCATGGAAAGTGAAATAGGGCCCGTCAGTGCAGACACCATCTTCTTTGTGCATTGGAAGGTGTGTAAGAAGCAGGGTGAACGTTGACCGGTCCTCAACTGGGTAGAGGCGCTTGCTAATCAGGTCGTTCAGGTAGGAGTAGCTGCGGGTCTGAAGGTCCGGAGACAAAGCAGGCGTGTCGAATATGAGGGTGTTTAGGTTAATGAGATGCAATGTCGGCGTGATAACCGACTGATTAGATGCATTGCCCCCGCGCGAAACCGGGGGATGCTGGAAGCGGATATCCCAATCGGCGCGACCAAACTCGCGCTCGAAGCGGTGCATTCGCGCCTCGCTCACATCGCCTGCGTATCCAATGTCATGATTGCCGGCGACGTTGATTATGCGTCTCGGCCATGCTGGGTCGGCGTCTGGGCCCAGGGGCTCCAATTGCTGCTTGGTATTTCCTTGGTTGCCAAGAACACCACCTGTCCAGGTAATATGATCGTCCACGCGCTCTCCACCGCGGAACACTCGCGTCCAATATCGCTCGCTGCGCGACGAGAACTCTGCATCATCAATCCATTGGCTCCCCAGAAGGTCCCCCAGCACCGTCGTATGCGTCGGCCGAGTCCACCAGAACAGGGTCCGGTAGATGTGGGCGAGATAGTAGTCGTTGCCCACCAAATCTAACTGTTTCAGCGTTGCCCATAGGGACCGTGGTATATCCTCGCTAACGAATGACCTCACCCCCATTGTGATATTCCCCAGGACGTTCGGATCCAGAAGCGCCTGCGGGAGCGGCGTAGCCGTCGAGGCTTCGGCCACAGCTCCCTGGACGGCACGCCAATGCGTGCGCAGACGGGGAACAAGCTTCCAATCAGGCAATGGCAGGGAGGTATCGCCCTCAAGCTGGGGGTCTGCAAGAACTAGCAGCCGAAAGATGGCCGGTTGGGTGTCCGACGCGACGTCCGGGGTGCGGAGGTGTTGGAGGAAGGTGTTGACGGCCACATTATGCTGTATCTTATCGAGGACCGAGGAGCTTTGGGGACTTTTGGACGAGACTCGAGACAGTGGGAAGCCACAGCCATTGAAAACCGGGTAGAGGTATAGGTAGACGGAGGCCGCGAGTGTGAGCGGGAGAAGGAGCGCAAAAACGCGGCCGAGTAGGGCGCGGAGGGACATGAGCGTCGTGGATCAAGGATATTAGAAATCCTTATCAAATAATAATATACAGCATATTGAATATAAGGACGAAGGGAGAGACGGTAGGTAGGTAGGAACAAGGGTGAGTTGAGAATTAAGGGTGATAGGCAAACAGCCGAAGCCACCTCCGCGGCGCGAGATAACCAGCCCACATGGTCCGTGGTACCTGGCAAGGCAGTGGATCAGGCCAGGCGACCGACTTGGTCCCTCTCCGAACATTTAAGGACTTCATTGTGGATAGTAAAGCAAACATTCGGATGGGACCTGAATTCAAAGATAGTCCTGTTGATTTGTAGCGTTCGGTGGTTCTGTCTGTTCTATCCTTCTGTTTGAATCTGTATCATGTGACGCCGAATGATTTGGTATGGGTTGGATAAAGACAACACTGCTCCTCCTTGCAGAATCTGCGGCTGGAGTCCGGCGTCAAAGTAATGGGCAAATGATCTTTCGAATTAGATAATATTATTTCGTAAGCAGATAGAAATTTGTTGCACGAATGATATCGGACCACGATCTTGCGAATCCCACCCCGTATATCCCGAATGCATTTAAGCCACCCTTGGCCCGAGACGCGTGAATAGCTCTACCTCCATTCTCTCGCCGGCATCTGGCTGCTCGAGAATTTGGCCCATATCGTCACTGCCGAGATCTTCTTCCCACTCTGGCCCAGGGTCAGCATTGGCTTTCATGTTGCTGTACACACACATCCGCAGGTGCCAACGCAGAAGCTCTGCACTGACGCGATTGTTTGGATTAGTACCATTTCTGGCAGAGTCTTTGAGGCGTGCCCCTCCAAGTCCTGTCGGGTCTCCTCCAAAAATGATTATCTTGTAATCGGCCTAAATCAATAAGATATTAGTCTCAATTGAAGATAGAAACAAAGACGCATAAGAAGCCTTACATCCGGATCCACCCCTACCAAGAAAGCATCGAAATCTTCATGGACAGTGGTACTAAGAAGAAGCCCATTTTGGGGGGAGTAAAGGCCGCTTTGTCCAATCTCGGTTGCAGGAGAGGGATCGGTAATGTAGAGTCTGTAATTGTGTCGGTTCCACTCTTCAAGCTGGCTTGTAGGAAATATGTGGGAGGCCGTCAGGCCCCGATATGGCTTGTCGCTTTTTGTGACCATAGCGCTGCCTTTAGAGATTGCACATATGGTGTCTCTTGCACGAATGGTTCTTCGGAATAGTGTTGCTAAAAAAAATTATTAGAGATATAATATGCGCCTCGCAATTCCAGAGGTCGCCTACTAATAAGTCTCTTTCACTTTGTCCAAGAGACCCAGAGCTCTGGTCCTTGGTGGTGACACGACGTGGTGCTTTCTTGGTGGTGAGCTGGACAGTGATCGGGGTCTGGTCTAAAGTCTATTAAAAACTAGGGAATCTTGAGATATAATATACTCACCTTCATGATCACGAACAATATAATTGCCCGGGCTGACGAGGGTTTGGCGGTCTTCACGAAGCATCCGGCCTAGTGACCCATCTTGGAGGAGAGGAAATAATGACCATCTTTGCTGGCTGGGGATGATAAAAATCATGCTACAGTAGCGATATAGCATCTCGTAAGTCATATATCTTTGACCTGAGCTGACTTGCAATGCTTTATTGTACGTTACTGATCAGTTTGGTTTGGTTCCTATATATATATATAGCCTCTGGGTGAGTATTGCTTGCAAGCTAGTATAGTTCCAGCGTTATCATAGATGCGAACATTATCATTAGGCTCTCTTGGATCTTGGAGCATACGTTCCATCCTAGGGTACGCATGAAAGAATAGATGTAAAGAAAGCCAAGGGAAGTGAATAAATAAATAGAGTAGCTAGATAGATGAAGAAGTAAAGTCTGATATAAGGTGAAGACTAATATGAGGTGAACACAAGGTAAAGTCAAAGTGAAGACAAGGTGAAGACGAGGTAAAGTCAAGGTAAAAACAAGTTAAAGATAAGGTGAAGACTAATACGAGGCGAACGAGGTGAAGAGTAGTGCGAGGTGCGGACGATCATTTTAATGCTTGGGACCGGATCATACTTCCGATGGGAAGATGTGTATGGATCGGCCATGATTCTGTAACTGTCAAAATTATTTCACTTGTTGGAATATTGCGATGTGTACTTTCCCTTTGTCTGAGCGGTCTATTTTCTAGCAGCTCTCGATATAGAGAAAGAACACTGGCTAGCGCACGATATTTAAACATCATCGCACCATATCCATTATGTCTTATCAAGGTGAGCGCCCAATCAGCTAACCAAGTGGTTAGTGAGCGCTTAGACATGGATCATAATTGACTATTTCACCAAGTGAGTGGAACAGATTGGTCAGCCAAGGATCAGGTGATGCTTAGAGAGCAGATCAAAATGTTTATATAACAATCATGATCAGGTAATAAAATTACCCTCTTTTGAAATGAAAGCAGTGGGTAGGGCACCTTACACGAAGACGACGCGCAAACTGCGCCACAACCTTAACAAAGTCTCAGAAAGCCATGGAATTAGGATTGTCTACAAGCCCACGAATATGCGTACATAGGAGAAGATCGTCCTAGATCGAGCTACGAACCCATAGCATCGTCACAGCATCGTCCACATAAACCAAAGATATAACCATTACCTAGATCATCATACAGACAAAACTGCCCGCATAAACCCTTCATATCCACGTCATTGAAACAAAAATTGGCCGTGGCCAGAAAGGAATGGAACAGAAGTCGAGTCGGAGAGCGAGGGGGTATATCACATCAAACGCCAGAAGGGTAAGGGGAAGGGGGTGTTGGGGGTGTAGTGCCAAAAAGATAGCCAAAAAAAAATAAAGTAAAGAATGGAAAGCAGGAAAACGGGGGAAAGGGCTTCACGAAAAGCAATGAGTAAACGGCAACAGCAGATATCACCAGGCAGATAGATCTCTAGATAGTCTTCGCCAACATTATAGCAAGATTGTGGGAATGTGGAAAGCAAGGTTATTTCGAATCAGTCTTGGCCAACGGATCCGGGAGGAGGGATGAATTTCCCAAGTCGATATCTCCAAGAGGATTTGACTGCGGACGGCCAGTGCTCTCGGGCTCGATCTCCCGCAACTCATTCCTCGCATCGACGAAGGAGTTGCCGTCCGAGGAGGGCGATTTGGCTATGTTCAGGCCATCAATCCTGAGGCCGTTGTCTTCCTCGTCTTCCTCGATCAGCTGAACTGGCTGCTCGAGGCCAGATGGGAGAGTCATCAGGGCGGGTGGGCGCTGGTTCATCATCCGAGCCTGTTTGAGACTGATGGTCTTTTGCTTGTTGGTGGTCACCAACGTCTCCAAGTCGCGCTCGATAGTTGCTTTCATGAGTGCGGCCATCCACAAACGGCCCTCTTGGACGCTGTCAACTTGGAAGAAGTGTGTTGTCGGCTTGGTGAATTGCACGGTGCGTGAGTTATTCATCTTCGGGGGCACTAGCTTGAAGAAGAACGGTCCGTTGCCGTTCTTGTTGGTGAGTGAGGCGATTGCGGCTGGCGTAGTTAGCTTCATGCCACCTCCATTCTCGGTAGTATTGGCATTGGCAGGCAGCGCGGTGGCGCCGGTGACGGTCGCGTGCAGCGCGATGATGGGGTCGTTGTCTGCTCGGAGCACTCGATGAGCGGTGATGTCAATGAGGCCTCGCTCCTCGGTGTCATCTTCAGAGTAATAGTAGGACAGCCGGCGACCACGCAGGACAAACAGCCGGGGCTTCCATGTGGTCATCAAATTGGACGATCTCTTCTTCATCCAGCCACTGTACTCGCAGCCATCTATCTGCTCTCTTGGAGATTTCTTCTCCAGGCCACGAGTATAGGCGCTGGTGTCTTTCTTCGACTTGACCGTCCGCGGCCGGACTATAAATCCAGCACCATCAGTGGCCTTGCCAGACCCATCAGTGCTGTGGCGTTCCGAGCTTTTGGATGTCGCAGATGGGGTGGTGGACCCGGTACGGGCAGACATGGGGTCGTAGTCATGAGGTGAGGCAGGTGCGGAATTGTCACTACTTCCCTTGCCAACAACATCGGAGATAGCGCGCAGGCCAACCGCTCGTCGGATCTTGGGCCCGGCACCACCCATCTTCGGCAGCCCGAAGTGTAAGGCTGAGGAGCGAACGGTACCAGATGCCTTGCCATCCGCCTTACCATCTGCCTCGCCCTTGGTGTCAACTTTGGCGTCGCCTTTGCTTCTAATCAGAGGCCCGAAGCTTGAGAAGAAACCCGACTTCGCTTCCGGGTTGGAAGACTGCGATTCGTTGCCGCTTCGGTTCGAAACACGCGTACTCATGCTCCTGAACCGACTCTTGGGCGGTGTCCCATGGTAGGCCTGGGCAGCGGGAGAGACATGTGTGACTGCGTCGCGCATGGAGTCGACACTAGCAATACGAGACTGACGCTTGCCTGCAGTACTGGCTCGATAAGGATCATCCGCGTAGCTCGACTGTCGAGAATGGCTGATACTCCCACCGGTGGACGTTCGCTTTTGCAGAACGCGTCGAGTACGGCGCGAATCCACCTCGGTTCCGGAGAAGTAGCCCCGGTCGAGATCATCCCACTGCTCGGGGGTATTCGGTTCTGATTCGGTGGCTTGTGCTCCGCGATAAGCTGAAGTAGTCCCTATTGACGTGCCCGGACGAGTTGGCAGTGCTTGAGAATTACTGTTGAGAGTCCATGCCCGGTCAAAGGACGGCTTTTTCTGATGACTACCGTTCATAGATAAATCGGGCATACCGCGAGTAGTGGCATCGATGGAAGAGTGTCGCCGTCCATGATTGAACTCACGGATTGAAGCTGCGGAGATTCTCCTTGGCGAATCATGGCCAAACGAAGGGGCGTTGGGTGTCATAGGGGAGCTGTTGTTGCTGGTCAGCCTTGGGTGCTGGCCAGGAACGGCAGAGATCCGAGGCGGATATCCCGAACCGGTCCTTTCCGATACAGATGGGATGCGCGGGAGAAAGGGACCAGTATGGCCTGCACGCGACAGTGATCGCTCTTCAGGGCCCGCATAGCTGGAGAAGGAGCCTCTTGCGGGTTGCAGTTGCGGTTGCGGTTGCGGCTTGATGCCCTTCACTTCCTCCTGAAAGGCCTTGATTTTGTGCCAAGTCTTTAGCCGCTTGCCCATGACCCCAAGGTCAAACTCTTTCATGAAAATGGTGTCTTGGCTCATTTCAAGAAGAAGGTCACCAGTGATTTCCTCCTGTTCGAAAATATCACAGTGTTTGGGGTCGACTCCGAGGTCCCGTAGGTGCTTGGCCGTCTCGGTGTGATTCCACCGCCGCACTTCATCGACTGTCAGATGCGTGTTTTCTTCTTCGTCCGTTTCGTGACCATTGATGTACGAAATGCGATGGCTCAGATGACTGCTGTATTCGCTTCCGGAATCGTTGATTGTCCGTGCCTCTTGGGTGGACACGCTATGGCGAGGAGTGTTCATGTCCGTAATATGCTCATCGATGACGCTCAAGGTCTCATTCATCACAGGGCTGTCCTCGCCATTCGCGTGGTTGTCAATGGACCTGCGGAAAGCATCCTGGATATTGGCCGCCAGGTTCGGGCGCGGTAGCGGAGACGATGCGGATCGTTGTTGCTGCTGCATTGGAGAATCCACCATCTCAGAGGTACTGGCATGTTGCGATGCCTGCGGGGTTGTCTGCTCACTCCCGACGGAGGTAAAAGATGACTCGATCGGAGTCGAGGGTTCCATCTGCGCGGGCGACTCGGTATTTTCGGACGCGATCACCCCCTGGGGTGCGGGGTCGGTCTGGAGCTTCCCCAGTGAGCTGGGAAGCCGATGGCTAGTCGGGATCTCGTGGGCATGCGCTTTTCTCGTAAAGCCTACATCAGACGTTAGTGGCTTCTTCTAAAAGCCCATGTGTGTCGCATCGGAGGCGCATACCTGCTGGGAAAAGGCCCTTCTGGCCGGTTCCGGGGTGTTCACCCAGCCACCATCCATCTTGAAATTCTTCATCCATCTCCTCCAGCAAAATCACGTCGCCGCGCTTCATTCGCAACTCATCTTCTCCGCGCGGGGCGTGTTCATCTGTGTTTGGTTAGGCGTATTCGTTCAGAACGAGCGACTGCGCGAGGGATGCGCGAGTGCGCGCGCCATGGTCGCAACCGGGCAGCACTTACGAAGAACCCAGAGATAATTGCCACGCTGGACATTCTGGGGCGGCGCAGGCGAGGCCTGCGCAGTGGCAGCCATTTCGTCCGAGTTCTATGGCAAAGTTCGATCCCTCCGATGGGAAGACGTGGGAACCGAGGCCGGGCGAGTGGTTCGGGATTGGCAAGTCAAGCGTAGGACATGGGAGCCGGCAGCCCTTTCGGGAGGGAGAGAAGACAAACACGCGGTCCACGACCGGTCGGGAATCTTGCGATGGTTGAGCTATGTGAATTCGGGGAAAGGGGAGAGAATGCAGCAGGTCAGGAATCTAGCGCGAACAAGGCGACATCAGGGCTTTTGGTCATTAGCTCGCGGGGTTCGGGAGAGAACACTAACCTCAAGTGGACCGAAGCTTCGCTCTCCAAGCGCGGGTTTGCGATGAAACAACCGTTGGGGGGATCTCCAGGGCGTGGCGAGATCTACCAACCCACTGGGACGGATCCTGATGCTGATTCAGGAATTTGAAGTGGAATGAGCGAAGGTGTGTTCAGTGTTGGGAACTCGAATTCAGTTGAGTCCAGTTGAGAAAGTCGAGACGTTGTGTGGTGTGGTTCCACTACAACCCACCAGAGGCCAATATTGTCACAGGGAGAGGGGCAAGCGAAAAGGCGTGGGCCAGTGAAGGAACAAAATAGCGACGCAAAAGCACACGGCCTGAGTGACGTGTACGGCCGTCAAGGGTTCCCGAGTGTTCTGGACGCGGGCGATCCACGGTCGACCCTGCGTGTTCCCTTGTAGGGGGCCGAATTGCAAAGGCGAGCGGCTGCGTGGCTTGCACGGCAGACCGACGGGGGACTTCAAATCGAGGGGAGGAAAGTTTAGGAGGAATTAGGGTGGAAATTAGTGAAGCAGTTTGCTTCCAGACCGATGGATGCGTCATGCGTCCACCGTCCACCGGAATGCGGCCACGCTTGCAGCTGCAGTCGACGCGCTACGGAGTACACTATGGATTCATAGTGTGTGATCAACTAGCATCTCGGTCTATCGACTCCTTCCGGCTTTTGCCTGGCCCTCCCTCTTCATTTATCTCCGAGTGGTTCTAGTTCCGCCAGAGTGGAGCCTCCATACTCCGCTGGACTCGGTAGTTTCGAGGGCATCGTCAAAGTTTAACCACGGAACCATCATCATACTTCTAGTTTTGTGCAAGCGCCGATCCAAGTATCTGGATGAGTCCTTGTAGATACCAGCACCGACGGACAGTACATCCCGGCATCAAAAGGCTCCCGTGGCATCAGGTATTCTATACTTCCTCCAGCCCTACCAGCGAGCGTCCGAGAAAGTACCAAGTACGTGCGGCTGCACGATGCGGCTTGTCCCATTTTCGCCCATTTCGCGCCTAGCGATCTTTCTCTGCCTGGACTGGGGCTTTGTCGTTCTCTTCCCTTTGACTCAAGCTGACTACAACTCACAGCCAAATCGAACCTGCTCGGGCTGGCCAGCGCTCAACAGTCCAGCGAAACCGACGGGGCACGTGGCGCAGGTAGATCTTTGTCTTTGTTCGCGGAGAGCAGAGCAAACGAGCAAACGAACAAACGAGCAAACGACGCAGCTAACGTCCCTTAAAAACAAATCACTTCGCCCCGGATCCAGACGATGAATCTCCGCCATGACCTCCAGGTTTCAGCGACCGCGCCCTGCTGATCAGGTTGAGGAGTCCAACTCCACTGCAAGTTTGTTTCTGGGCGGCGTGCGGAGGAACTGGATGGCTGCGCCCGCATTGTCCCCCACAGTGCCCACGCCGAGCTTGTGCCCTCCGCGCGATGCGAGGCCTGTAGCCATGGCCCCTCCAGACCCGGTGACGGGCACGGATTCGCGGATTTCGCTAGATGCCCCGAATCGCGTCAATCCCAATGGCTCCGATTGTCCTCCTGCAGAGCTGGCCTTACTGTCGCCTGTCACACCGGGTGTAAATCTACAACCCGCGTCTCTGGATCCTCCGGTCGACAGCGAACCCGGTCCTCCACAGACTGCTTGTCCCCCGTCAGTCCCAAAGGCAGGCTCTCATCCCAGCCCCATTGTCTCGCCCCGTCCCACAACCTCGACGAATGAGCTCTCCGTCGCCGCGGTGGCCGCTCCACCAGCGCCTGACAGGCCGACGGCGATGGGAGCGGTGACAGCCCATCTGAGAAGCGATGGAACTGCAACCCTCCGTCAACCCTTAAATCCACCGTCACCTTCCTCCATGAGTACCCAGGCACCGACGGGGAGCCCATCAGGAAACACAGAGACACCGATCTCGGCCTCGAGCGGGCACCGTAGCGCAGGTCCAGGCCCGCGGTCTCTACAGTTCACCACAGGCGGCATCCACGCCCAGTCGGTGCAGAGTCCATCTCTACAAGTCCCGAGTCAGACGAGCCAGAGCCCCGTGGGGCCATCAACATCACCCGCAGATGCACCGGAGAGCCACGCACCGGAGCCGCCGCCTCAGCAAGTGATTCCAACTCCTCCTGGGTCCCAAGATTTCAATCGGCCAACCTCACAAGATTGGATCCAATGGAAACACAGATCGGAAGCCCTGATGAACCAAGCGAGGCTATGTTCGCGGCATTTGGCTCTACCCAGGGCCATGCTCCTGACGGAGGCCTGTGACCATCAAGATCTTTTCTTTTTGGTGCTCCATCAGATCTTTTGCGAACTGTCCAGGGGTTACCACCGGGTTCTATCGAGAATTCCACCGCTTCGCCAGCCACTGTCTCAAATTGGCTTAGAGAGGCTCGAGGAGCTACTGGAACCCAATGCGAACCTCCCGCCGGTAATGTTGACGGCATTCTGCTTTTTCCCACGCAGCGTGGAAGACTACATTCGCACTCCGTGGTATCAAGCGATCATCGAAGAGTTTTCACGCTGCCTTGCGTGTCTTGCCACTCGCGTTTCGTCCCTGCAAACTAATATGCATCGGCAACTCCGTAGTCGTGGCTATCCGCCGCTGGTAGCGGAGCTGAAGCAGGAGTATGACGTGAAATCACCGGTCCTACTGAGCGTGATCTTTTCGTCCATTTGTCGACATTTGTACAAGGATGAACATCTCGAGAGTCTGCGGCGCATATTTCAGAATGACTGGCTTCTCACTACTGGGCCCGGTCTAGACCAATCTGCCCTCGCGGCACTGATTGAGCAATATCGAACGATTCCGATGATATTCATGCAGACTGCAGGCCCTCCGCGACCTCAGCCATCTACCGCGAGTTTTGCGCCACCAGCGAATGGGAACCGTCATTCTGCCTCTAACTCGCCGCATCTTCAGTCTCCAACTTTCTCCCCAACTATGTCCAGCGGCCCTCGGGATAGACCGCTAATGACTCCTGCTCAAGGGCAGCTAACTCATTACCAGTATCCTTCAGAACAGATTGCGCAGTTAAATGGTCAAGTCCCGACCCGAGCGTGGCAAATGGATCAAGTTGCACAGGCGCACATGCTGCAGGGACAAGGCCAGCCAGTTCAGCCAGTGCAGCTGCAATCTGTTCACCAAGCACAAGAACAAGGGCAACAAGCTTGGATGAGGCCTGTACTCATGGTTCCCCAGAACCAGACTGCTCCATTGGGTTATCCAGTTCCGACTCGAGTCAACTCCTCGTCATCGTCGCCTCCACACTCTGCTCTAGGCAGGCCCAGTCAGGTGTCTCAGCGGCAGGACCACCAGCAACAGCAACAAAACCCTCTCCCTCCCTGGCCTTCTCTCACACGGTCCCCTGCGGAGAACCGTGCGAGTCAAGGATTGGTACAAAGTCAGCGTAGTCAGTCAAGGGAGCAGCAAGTTCTGTCGGCACAGTCCGCCTCTCTCCCAGCTGTTCAGGTTCCTCAAACTCAGAACAGCCCATCTCCTTCGTGCTCGGTGCCTCTACTTCCCCCCGCTGGCCATAGAGCACCACAGGTCCTGCAACCGAACCCAATGCGAATCGGCCTGCACCAGGCTGACCTTCGTGACCCGGTCAAGCTATTGCTGCATCGGGGGCTCGGAGGGGAAATGATGCAAACCGAGCTGTACCAATATCTCGACGGTTTCTTGCTAAACCCAACCGTCATCGACCTGGATACCTTCAAATACACGTGGGACTTCCTGGTATCCACCCGCGACCGCCAATGTTTCCCTCAGTATGTAGACCGAGGACAAGGTCAACGCCCGGCCCGCATGTACGAACCAGGTTGTCGGACCTACCGCCTGCGCGCCATTGCACTGCCATCTTCGCAAAAGGAAAGCGCGCAAAGAGTGTGGCCAACCGCAAACACCACCTGGCCCAGCGTGTTCTACGTTTTTGTCAACGGTACCGAGTTGTACGTGCGTCGCAAAGTCCACAACGGAAAGGACCTACCCCTGGACATCACCAAATATCTCCACGAGGGTGAGAACAAGCTTACCATCCATCTGCTTCTGGGCCCCGATGAATGTAAAAATTTCCATTATGCGTTTGGCATCGAAATCATGGAGGTCTCCCAGCTGGAGCAAGTGCTCGCCAAGACACGCCACGCCTCGCCGAGCGAGACTCGCGCCAATATCAAGGACCGGCTGAATCCAACGACTGACGATGACGAGCTGGCCATCATCACCGACAGCCTAACTGTCGGCCTCATCGACCCCTTCATGGCGCAAATATTCAATATCCCCGCCCGCTCCACCAACTGCACTCACATCGAATGCTTCGACCTTGATACCTTCATCAATACTCGGAAGTCTGAATCAGGCCCCGGCCCGATGAACGACAACTGGTGCTGCCCAATTTGCAATGCAGATGCTCGCCCGCAGTCCTTGATCGTGGACCATTTCTTCGTTGAAGTTCGCGATAAGCTCATGATGCATGGGAAACTGGAGTGCACCCGGGCAATTCAGATCCGGGCCGACGGGACGTGGGAAGCCAAGATTACTAGCGACGATGCGTCCTCTAGCCCCTCCAGAAGCAGGTTCTCCAACCCACCTCCGTCTAAGAAACGCACAGCGGATATCATGGCCGATGGAGCGGAGGAGTTACCTCGGACCAAACAAGAGCCCTCTTCAGTCGTTCATGTGCGGGAGGCAATGGTCATTGAAATTGACGAGTGATCCTCTCTAGCCCTGCCTGGGGCTTGATGTTTTCATTCACCTTTCTTCTCATCTCAACCATTCGCCCCCTACGAAACGATGGCACGACCCCAATCATGCAATTTGCGCTGTCTTTTTGGACTTTGGTTACTGTTCGCCTTTGGCTTTCCTCGCGTGCATCACAAAAGAAAGATACCCCCCATTATCATGAACTAGAAGCAGATGTGTCACGGCTGGTACGTATTTTGCGGGCGTTCTGTTTGTTTCGATGTTTGTTTCATGGTTTTTGGCGATTTGATTCTGGCTTTTCTACAGAAAACTGCGTGGTGCTGTAATTGCTCAGTTTACTGCTCGGCTGTGAACATATTTTCTTCCCTACATTTACATCTGACTGGCGTTTGGATCGTGGGTGTGGATTGCATGGACCAGATCTTTTGTGATATGTGCATTGTTTGGGGGTTGAAATATTCTTCTTGCTGCCTCCATTGTCGACTTCCAGATTATCGGATATATGTGATGGAAATAAGACATGTGCCACACTAGTAGATTTTGAGCAGCTAGAAGGTCCATGCTGAGTATAAAGATTTCTATATTCGTCATCTAGTCCAACAGGAACCCAACGTTCCAAACAAAGATGATGCTCATTCAGCGGAGTAACTCTCCACCTTCGACATTAAATTATACAGAGATATAGGTATATGAGATATTCAGATCATGTCGCTCGTCAGGGGAAGGGAAACAGTTACTTCCTGACTCGCCGGACATGACTGACAAGATTCTCAATGACCCCCTCGAACGCCTCCTTCTCGCCGACCAAGCCGTCCCGGCGCTTCAGCCAGTACTCCAACACTGCACTGGCGCGCAGGGTGACCTGCTCCAACTCCGAGACGTGCTGCGTCAGCTCTGTGTCCGTTAGGCCGCTGAGCGCGGCATCGGTGGTCGCGCACAGCCGGCGCACGGATGAGAGGTCTAATTGCGGCGGCGGAGCGGCGCCACGACGGGTGGGTTTTGAGCGTGTAGGGGCCTGCCCTGTCGTGGTTGTCTCGCTTTGAGCGTCGCCCTCTTTGCGGAGTTGGTTGTGGGATAGGGTGTTAGGGCCTGAGTTGTCCAGGTCGATGGAGGGGAGGATGAGCTTCTTTTGTTTGGATGCTGGGAGGATCTCGTCTAGGTCGACGGGAACGCCGAGGGAGACAAGGAAGAGGCGGCGGATGCGAGACTTGACCCAGTTTTGTGGTTGAAGGGGCGGTGGCGCCACGAGCTGGGACCATAGAGAGAGACTGCGCTCCGTGCTGAATATGGCCGAGGAGTCAGGAATGGGTTCGACGGGTGGGAGAGAGTCCAGTTCTTGGGAGCTGGGGAGGAGGTTGTCTAGGGTGCTTTGGAGGGCAGTGAGGAGCTCAGAGGTGGATTTGAAGTCGTCGAAGTTGGTAAGAGGGGGCTGATGAGGGTTTGGCGTTAGTAATTATGTTGAGCTGTAGTTCATCAGGATACTTGCACTTACAACTGAGATAGGTGCTTGAGGTTGCTGAGGGGAGGTCGTGCCAGCTGTAGCGGCGTCCTCAACAACCTCAGGCTCTTGGAAGCCGTCGTCGAAGTCTCCGAAGTCATCATCACCCATATCACCCTGCTCCTCAACAAACTCATCAAAGTCGTCTCCGAAGCCCTCATCGTCATCTCCCCCTTCAATAGTGTCGTCTTCGACTGCATGATCTGGTGGGGTGGGAGGGTCGGCGTTTAGAGATTCCACCGAATCAGGCATTGCATCACTTGGGGATCTTTGATGAGCACGTGGCCGTGATGGCAGCTCATCTTCAGCGGGTAAAGTGTCCACTCGAGAAATTCGTGTCTCAGGAACGGGTTGATTTGAGGCATTGGAGTCTGGGGATTCACGATCCGCAGCTGGTGGCGGCAGAGAGCTGTCCGAGTCGGAGGCCCTCGTCACAATATCAGGCACGGCATCTGCTTCGCGCTTTTCATATGCCTCTGTGCCAGGGATCTCGCCATGGCTAGGCGACTCCGGGTCTACTTTTTCGACTATTGTCCGCGGTATTGGCGAGCCGCCTGGGGTCGAGGGTCGGTCCTGCGACCCCGCCGGGGGAGGATCCCTGCGGTGTGAACCTTCTGGGATCACTTCAATTTCGTCGGGAACCGCATCCTGTCCTCGTTTCTCATAGGCCTCTGTGCCAGGCACTTCGCCGTGTTGAAGGCTGTCGTCGACCCGCTCTACTCGAGTTCGTGGGACAGGGGACGCGCGACCGGATTGTGGGCTTTTTGGTTGTAAATTTGCATGGCCTTCGCTGGCATCTGAAAAGTGGTCCTCGTCGCTGTCTGAAGCTGCTGAAGTAAGATCACGAATTAGCCTCCCTCCAAGGAAAGTGACGTAGGAAATCTTGGAGAACATACCATTGTCCTCAGCTCCAGGGTCCTCCATCTCAGTGGTCTTGCTGGGGGGTTGAAGAAGGGTAGAGGGATCGGGCAACGCCTCCGACATGTTTGCGGGGTGGTGTTAAAAGCTGGGACATGAGAGGAAGGGAGGAATGAGTGGGAAAACGGAAAAATGACATGCACGTAGTGTGTAGCGCGAGTGACGACGTTGGTAACCTGCGATCGACTCGAGTCCAGAACGCGCAGGCCTCAGGCAGATAATAGAGGCGGGTGCCTTTAGTGTGCCTGGGAAATAAGGCATCGACAAGCGCGTAACCAACTTGTTCAAACTCCTGCCGATTAATTATTGCCGTGCTCTCCTCCTACCTTAAACTCACCCTCACCTCTCGCACGCTGGGTTCAATTGACGCTCAAGCGAGAGATTGAATCGCCTTCCTTGGACCTGTGACCTCCTTTGCAGGTTTCCCCCCACCTTGCATTGGTTGACAGCCGTTTCAGCTGCTTTTTCTCCCAATTCTGCCGATTCGTTTGTTTGCGACAACGCATCACCATGGCGTTCTCCTTCGGCGCCCCAGCTTCTAGCGGGGCCTCCAGCGGCAGTCTTTTCGGCACGTCGGGCAACGCCTTCGGTTCCAACAACCAGAGTAGCTCGAACACTGGTGGTGGTGGTGGTGGTGGTGGTGGTCTTTTCGGAAATGTAGGAGCTTCTTCCACCAGTGGAAGCGCTTCTCCTTCGCTGTTCGGCACAGCTGCTTCTGGCAGACAGAGCCCTTCTCTCTTTGGTAGTGCTGGTGGCGCTTCTACCACGACTTCCGGAGGAGGCTCTGGCTTCTCCTTTGGTGCCCAGTCTCAAAACACATCTGGCAGCCAGAGCGGCAGCGGCGGCGGCTTGACGTTTGGCGCCAACGTCCAGACCCCAAAGCCCCAAGGCACTCTTTTCGGCAGCGGCGCCTCATCAGCTACCCCATCGTCAGCTACTCCCGGCCAGGCCGCCGGTTCTCTGTTTGGTAACACCTCAACCACACCCGCTGGTCTCCCGCCAGCATCAAAGCCACCTTCCCTCTTTGGAGGACAGAATGCCGGCTCTTCCAATACTTCGTCGTCTACCGCTGCTCCCTCTTCTACTACACCAACCACCTCGCAACCACAGGCCTCCGGCGGCTTTTTCGGGACCGGTGCTACTCCCGCGGCCTCAGGTTCTCTGTTCGGGGGGGCTCAACAACGCCTGCCGCCCCGGCAGGTGGCCTTTTTAGCACTGCCAATAAGCCGGCCGAGTCCAGCACCCCGAGCGCAACCGCAGCCCCAGCTTCCAAGCCACTATTCGGTGCTGGAGCTGCTGCTCCCGCTGCAGGCGGTGCGCAAGCATCCTCCCTCTTCAAGGCGCCTTCTGTCGGCGGCGACGCAGCTACTAAGCCTACATTCTCCCTCGGTGGGCCTTCTTCTGCGTCCTCCGCAACCACAGTCGCATCCCAGCCTTCCTTAGGAACTCCCACTACGTCCACTGCTGCTCCTCAAAAGTCCCTCTTCCCCTCCCTCGGGGGCGCCACATCCTCCGCCGCTCCGTCGTCCACGGCAGCGCCCGCGCCCGGTGGAAGCTCATTGTTCCCTAACTTGGGTGGTGCCAAATCTACCGCGGCAGCTACTCCGGGGACTGCGGCCACTACTGCCACGCCTACCACCACACCTGCTGCAGCAGGCAGCCTGTTCTCCCAGCCGGCTAGTGCTACACCGTCCACTCAACCTGCTGCTACCACTTCCACCGCAACTGCACCGGCTATGGGTGCAACCGCTGGTGCCGCAGCCGGCACTGGTGCCTCTGCGCTTGGCCAGTCAACCACTGGCCCTGCTCCCCCAGCTCAGTCCCGCCTGAAGAATAAGACCATGGATGAGATCATCACTCGGTGGGCAACGGATCTAACCAAGTACCAGAAGGACTTCCGCGAGCAGGCTGAGAAGGTTGCTGAATGGGATCGTATGCTGGTGGAGAATGGTAACAAGGTTCAGAAGCTGTATGGTAATACAGTCGACGCCGAGCGTGCTACCCAGGAGGTTGAGCGCCAGTTGGCATCGGTGGAGGGTCAACAAGAAGAGCTGAGCTCGTGGCTCGATCGGTACGAACGGGAAGTCGATGAGATGGTATCTAAGCAGGGGACCCATGGCGAGCAGGGGCCTGACCAGGAACGTGAGAAAACGTGAGTGGTAAATTCCATGTTGACTCTTTCATGCCTGGACTAACTAAATTCTTTCAATAGATACAAACTGGCCGAGAAGCTCTCAGAGCGGCTGGACGAGATGGGCAAGGATCTCACCAGCATGATCGAGGAAGTCAACGGCGCCTCTGCAACCATCAGCAAGACAAACCGGGCAGACGAGCCGGTAGGTCACATTCTGCTATACTCATTGTTCCTACTGCTCACGCTTGCAACAGATCTCTCAAATCGTCCGCATCCTCAACTCGCACCTGTCTCAGCTGCAGGTTATCGACCAAGGCACCTCCGAGCTACAGGCCAAGGTTGCTGCCGCCCAAAAGGCCGGTCAGTCAATCTCCTCGCGCCTTGGATACGGCTATGCCAACCCTGGTATGGGTGGCGGCAATGCTGCCGATGATTTCTACCGCTCTTACATGGGCAGACGGTAGAGGGATGATATCATGCGTGTCTTAATGATTCTTTAATCGCGGGCTGTCGATCGACAAATTACTCAATGGGAAAGGAGTGAATTTTAGTTAGATTTTTTCGTCATGTACTTGCCTTGCGCTCCTCTTATGGCAGTTGTTCCCGGTCGAAATAGTATCCCGGGGAGAGCTTTGTATTTGTTGTCAGTCTTTCTCTGGGCTGGGTCTGGTTCATTGGTTGCCGGTCGAGGGGCTAGAAGGGCGTAATCCCAAATCATCTGGGGGGAGGTCTGTGGCTGCCCCCGCGGTGTTTCTTTTCTAATATTCCTGTGTCTCTTATTACTACTACCCGAACTGTACTGCACTTCTTTGGTCCAGAGATGCTCTGATTTACCAACCATTTTATGTAGTCCATGCTCGGCATCTCATTGATATGCCCCTAGCAGCCTTGCCAGTCAAGGCTCTCAACGGGATGGAGTTCTGGACAATGGGGGTGAAGAGTTGTATTCCATTGTATCCACGACGAGGTGACTCCGAGTCATTCCTTCACCTCCTGTCTAGTTCTTACCCCAGATATCCGAACTTTTGTGCGACCGTTCATAAACAAAGAGGTCCTTAACCACTCATTTCGCCATATCAGAGGCCTAAACAAGCAATTCTCATGTTTGTGCAAGATTCCCAGCGTTTATTCCCACTGGCTTTGGCTGACGTCCCTCTCTTGCCACGGGGATAGTCTTCTTAACTCTGTTCTTGGGCTCTTTGCGCGTTCCTCCGTGACAGACAATTGGCGGGTTGGATAGCCCAACTCGCTGCGGATCCATAGCCATACTCGGTACGCCTGTTATAGATACAATTAGCTAGCTACCTTGATCATGGGTAAGGCTTAGATCAAATTGAGCCTCTCATGCTGCTATTTTTTCCATTCCTCACAAAATAGCTGACCACTCACTTGCTTTAAACGCAGCGGCCGCGTTCACCGGTGCTGATGTAGATGACTTATTGACTTCGCGATTACGGTGATCGGCAAAGACAAGTAAGACAAGTAAGAGAAGTCATCTAATGGATTGCATCTACACTTCATCATCTTCATGTTTGCTGACTTCTTCGGATCTCTTCAAGCAATATGTGGTGGATTGGCCGGCACTGCCTCGAACAACTCCGAGCAGTGCAGAACTCTGGCTGGATATGTGTACAATGGTTACTAGTTTAGCCTGGCAACTCCTCGCCATGCCATCCTCCTGGAGACGGTGATCTTCCATGCAAGCCATGTACATCGTGTTGAGAACTTACTCTTTACGTCAATACGAAGACCAGCCCCGCGTGCACACGCTTGGGGCTCTCCTCAATGGCCTCATCCATGGTCCTTCATGGCTTCTATCCTGGCCTTCCTCCTCCGGGGACATCCGCTTTTTACGGCCCGGCCCCCCAGCTGCACATTCGTCTTCTCCTGTGGATGTGATTCATGGCTTCACCATTGATTTCTTCTACTTGATCCCTCTCATAGTAGCAAGGGCTTGGTTGGTACTATCAATCTTGCGTCTGCTGCGACCTGACCAGGAAAGCAAACGCATCAGGGCCAGTTCAGTTCGAGCGTAACGTGGTCAAACGGCTCTTGTCTTGGACAAATCCCTTGCAGCGGGCATCACGCGACGACCATGTGGCGCCTGATGGCCACCACACCGCGGCTCGTGAAGTCCCGTGAGCCCTTTTTCACCAGCCCGCAGTCTCTCCCGGCCTCTCCGGTGCTTTCTCGGGCCCGTGGAACGAACCTTATGGCGGGGAGATCCAATCTTCCCTTCCCAGCGGCTGGGAGTGGGCCCCTCCAAGGTGACTAAGCCCTGCGAGGGCCGCCCCGGGGCGCAACCCTTCCTCCCCATTTCCCCGCATCTGAGACTGACCGCGCCCATAGTCATTCCTTACGCAGGTCGTGGTGTTCGCACATTTTTATAGAGGAGGGGACCGCGCTGAGCTGTGGCAGGCCAGATTTCCCTCCCTGCAGACAGAGCAGACAGGATGGCTCGCTCGTCGTCACACGCCCCGGCCGGGCTGTCATGGTCTACTCTCTATATGATTCTGACACTATTTTTCCTCTCCTTTGCGGCCGTGGCCAATGCGCTGGCGTATGGGCCTCAGAAACCCCTTGCAGAGACGGGTATCGGATCTGAAACTTCCTCTTCCCCCCCGGAAGACCTTGCAACCGAGACCGAGCTGGAAGATAGCAATGGGACAGAGCCCTTGGGCTGGACACCTCCTGCTGAGACATTGCAGGACCTGCTCGACGCATTGAATGTCATGCAGGACGAGTATTTCGTGCTTTGGTTGGGCACGTGGCCATCCAGCATCGATTGGACGGCGGCCGTGCTGGGGACGCACGTCGCGGCGACACTATCGGCCTTCTCATCCAGGACATTTGTCGTTGTTGAAGCCGAGCAATCGCATGACCTCTCCTTCTCTTCATTCGAGAACACTGTCAATTACTTCTTCAGTCAAACCAGTACGTTCTACTTCGGTGAGAATGCTTTCAGCCTACGGAACCAAGCCTACGACGACATGCTCTGGGTCGTGTTAGATTGGCTGGAGAACATCAAATTCCAAGACCTGCACTCGACCCTGCACTATCCCACCTCCAACTCCTCTTCAAACAATACGTCCTCACAAGCATGGTATGGCACGCAATTCTGTGACGCGGCGGCACACCGAGCACGGGTCTTTTATGAGCTCGCTTCAGCCGGGTGGGACAAGACCCTCTGTAACGGTGGGATGATTTGGAATCCTTCCTTGACCCCGTACAAGAATGCCATCACGAACGAGCTCTACATCTCCGCCAGCATTAGCATGTATCTCTATTTCCCCGGGGACCCCATCGACGCGCCCTTCGTCGCCAACTCGCCCGGCAACAGGGCCAAACGGCCGCACCCGCATAATCCTATCCATCTCAATGCTGCCATAGACGCCTATGCATGGCTCAAAAAGTCCAACATGACTAGCACTGGTGGCCTCTACGCCGATGGCTTCCACATCAGCGGCTGGCGCGGCTCGTCGAACCCGGGCTCGCGCAAATGCGACGTCCTCAACACGATGGTGTATACTTACAACCAAGGTGTTGTTCTCAGCGGGCTGAGGGGGCTCTGGCTCGCCACCGGTGACCAGGACTACCTGCGTGATGGCCACGAGCTGGTCTACAAGGTGCTGCGCGCCACCGGGTGGCCGCAGACGACATCTCTGAAATGGGCAGGGCTAGGACGCGGTGGTGTGCTGGAAGACACATGTGATTCGCGCGCAAGCTGCTCGCAGGACGGGCAGACCTTCAAGAGCATATTCTTCCACCACCTCGCGGAGTTCTGTCGGCCACTGCGGCCGCAAGAGGAAAGGTTCCTGGCGAACGAGAAGCGGCAGCCTGCTGCCGACGAGGACTGGGCCCAAGTCTTCAACCGGCATCTACTGCGGTGCCGTGCTTACGGGCCCTGGGTTGAGCATAACGCGCGGGCTGCGCTGGTGACTCGCGACGAAGACGGCAAGTTCGGGCAGTGGTGGGGACTGCCCTTCCCGCAGCTCTCGGTGTCGAGTGAGATTGTAAATAGTAGCACGCTTCCTCCCGGTGCCGTGGATTACCGCAACGACGGGTTTGACGCCGATGCCACAACTGACGGTGTGTGGCGGGACTTCAATGACCGTGGCCGGGGGCGTACGGTTGAGACGCAGGCTGGCGGTGTCGCTGTGTTAAGAGCTTTGTTGCAGTGGCAGACCAGTGACGCCCTCTCATGAATACGGTGGCTCCAAGGTTGGTGTGTTTTTTGGCGATGCATATCATTATTCTCATTGTGTGTCCTGGGCGCTTTCAGGTTCCTGTACTCTACAGATTCTCATTCTATGGACATTCCATGCAATCACGATCAGGCGGGTTCCGGTTCGACCCTATCTTTCCCATTGACAGCAAGCCATGCAGCGCTAATATCGCCGTAGGGTGAGATGGGACGAGATATATTTTTTCTTACCGTAGTACGTACGCATCTTCTCCTACAGTAGCATGAACGACCGTCACCTTCAATCTTCTTCCAGCGCGCCCAGATACCCAGCCAAGCCGATGCACAATCAAGCACCAGACTCTTCTTCCGCTTACCTGATGTCTCTCTGCCATCTTCTATCTTCTATCTTCTTTTAACTCCCAACTAGTCCGTGCACGGAGCCCGACTCCGGCTCTCCGGATTCAGTCTTACCTCCATCCGCCCTAGTACGGCGTACAAGACCTTCAATCGATCGACCACAGCGGAGTCAAGCTCCCACATTCCGCGCAACCCAGCTCCACAGAAGCTATGGGACAGGCTCCTCCCCAAAACAAGAAACCAGATTTGAAAACAGGATTGCTCCATCGATGGATCTGCGCGGGATACTGATCCTGGCTCGTCCGAGCGTTCTGTGTGACCCCTTGAGCCTCTTTGATCCGGTCGGGTCTGGGATGTATCTGAGCTTGACGGACGGGGTCGGGGTGCTCGGTTGCGTTGGGGATGGTTGGACCGAACTACCGAACTACCGAACTAGATTGATTTGAATCTTGAAGCGCCGACGGGCGACGACTGGGTCGCTATGCATTGTGGTACGATGGTGATTTCAGCCGGGGTTGGTTGTGAGTTCGCAGTGGATTTTACTGTCTCTGCTGGGATTTTGTCATTTTGACCTAAATCGGGATCCACCACAGTATAAGACATTTGAGAGCTTGGCTGACTACCATATGACCCAAGGGAATCCCTTGACGATGGAGAGTAGCGACATAACACCCTCCAGAGGGCGCATACCCGATCGCCGTTTTCACCCGCAAGCGGCCGTTCTGGTGTGGATGTTGATCTCGGGGGACCTGCAGCTACAACCTCCACTTTGCAACCTCCACCTTGCAACCATCCCGCGATAAATTACTGATTACTATCCGTACGGAAAATACTATACTATACTATACTCCAGATTAAAAAAAAAAAAAAAAATACCGCATACGCCGATGCGCAAGCGCAGATTCTTTGTTTCCCTAGCTCTTCTCGTGAAGAGTAGAAAACCCACTTTCAGAACATACAGGGGCGAAAGGAAGAACGAACGGACGAAGAAATCTCGCACGTCCAGCGAGGATATGCCAAGCCGCAATATCGTCCCACTCCGCCAAGAGGGCATTGCATGAGCAGGCCAATTTCTTGGCCTCTAATTGGCTTGGAAAGAAAAGAAATATCCCGCGGCAGCGCGAACACACCGGCCAGTGAGGCGCGGCGAAAACGAGAAATAAACCCACCGCCACTCCCTCATCGCCGCGCCATCAGGGCTTAGCGTGTCTTTTACGGCCCTTGTGCCCCCCCTCCTTCTGTGCCCTCCCCCCTCCCTCGTCCCGGACGAAGGACATGGAGTGAGTTGTACTGAGTGGGGGGACTTGGGAAGCGATGTAATTGGCACTGGGCCAGATGCAGATCAGCAGGGTGGCCCAGCGGGATAGAGAGACGAGAATGGAAACCTCTCGCGCGGAAGGGGAGGAGGATACTGGATCAGAGGGACCAAAGGGACCAGAGGGGCAGAACTGGCCTATCTCACAGTACTCCGTATGTAGTTACCGTATGTGGCACTCCGGCGACTCGATGGGGGCCGAGCAGTGAGCAGTGACAGTGGTTGGCGCGTAACGAGGGTCTCATCGTCATGAAGCAAGCGCCTCACGATGTTTGTTTCAATCGCCCCGAAGCACGTACTCAGTCTAACGACTAGCGGCCTCACTAGTAATGAATCAAAGACCAAAGTACTGTATACTCACATATTGCACCTCCCAAACACGAAGCTCTGTTGCGGGCCGTGAGCAGCGCATCGACAAGGCTCCCCTGGTGGAACCACCATAACCCAACGCAGTCACACGCGCCCCTTCGATGGAATGTCGGGCCTAAGCGTTCTTTCTACACCATCTGACTCGAAGGGGAGGAGGGGGGGGGGGGGGAGGGGGCGCCTGCGGAGATCCAGGGACGACTGCCACTGGCTCTTCAGGGCGTGCGCTGCGGCAGTCAAGAGGAGGGGGGGGAAGGGGCCCGCTGGACAAAGTGGATAGACAGTGTCTGGGCAGGAGTTAACGAGGATGAAAAGACAGCAGAAAACAGCACATCAGCAGGGCCGAGCAGAGAACTGCTCGACCCGGGCTGCGTTTATCGCGCATTCAGTACACCTTTCCACCTACAGTATGCTCGCCCCCACACCCACCTTTGCGAATGGCCCCAACTCGGGTCGCTGGGTGGAGTGGGAATTTTCCGATCGGTCACATTGGCGTCCCACTTGTCACGATCCGCTCCGACGAGTAAGGATAGCCGTCAACAAACCATGAAGCACAGGGGAAGAAGAAAAATCACATTCCACGGCCGATCGGCCGATCGGCCGAATGCTAAGGCTCAGGGCCGAGCTGCCGTGCCATGCGCTCATTCACGAATGCCGGCTGGGATATCTCAGGGCTGCGCTGGCGTTTTCCTCGTGCGACGGAACGCGCTCCCCGGAGATGGAGTGGCGTTGACGCTTCTGATTCGACTCGCTGCAGCCACCGACAAGCCACTGCCGGCGATGGGGACCCGTGGGTGTGGACGCTGGTCGGGCCCGGTACCTGGGAGAAACAATGAATGGTACAGGAGAAAAGGGCGGATGGTTGAGGACCATCCTGAACCGCCTACAGGCCCCGTGACCAGTTGCCCACCAGAGGCCCACGATGCTATAAACACATCTCCGGATGGGGAAGATGGACTATACGGAGTAGAGACTCTGTACTCGATTCACGGATGCACATGCTCCGTGCTGCATACACTATTGCCGATTTGATTTGCTCGAGCATGTTCGTCGTTCTTCCTTACTCTTCCAACCACTCTATCGCCTGCACCAAGCCTCATCGCAGTCCCCTCCAGGGTGGGGGACTACCATCAGCCGTTGACTCGACATTTTTTCAACCGAGCACGGTGGATTGATGGGAAAATCCTGGGGATCGGCACCCTACGGTGACCCTGTCTGGTTTCGCCTCCTTTTAGTCGGCCACCGATCCGTCAAATGATAATCATAATCCGACTTGAGCATGGCCCCCCGGGTGAACCCACGGGAATGGATCGTCCTGACCTCTGCCCAAGCGGCTGCGCATTTCTCTACCGGTCGGGCATTGGTGGTCCTGGACTTATGACTCCGCCGAGTCACTGGACACGGCATAGGATTCCATCAGGCGGCAGGAGCGCCTTCAGCCAGCATGGTGCAGCAGATCACCAAGCGGATTACGGACTATTCCTTACAGCTCCGGGAGGGTACAGTGAGGCAGAGGATCGCCGCCTGCTGGAGTAGTCCCTCGCTAGTCCCTGCCCCGGGATCACTATCTCCGACATCGACTCAAGTCAGGATTAGGACGGCCATCCTGCGACGGCATCGACCGTACGGAGAGGTCTGTAGAGGGAGCGCATCATCGCCGAGGGGCAGAATGGGTTCCCGTAAATAGGTTCCATGTTCCTTGGGTCCACGGGGCGCAATGATCGTCCGTCGAAATTGGTCCCCGATGAGGCAGGAAGCAGATCGCAACCCCCAAACAAAGTGAGTAAGGGAACAAAAAAGGTTGGACCCCCCGATGTCTATCTTTGTCCGAGGGCGAAGGCGAGGAAAAATCGTCGGCGGCTGATCCTGCATATCCCTTGCCCGACGCTCACGACATCGACGGATCATGAGTATCTAATTTTGCCACCATATCGGCGGCAGCGATGTCATCGGTGAAGCGAAGCACTGTTCCCTCGCATCCTCCCGTGTGTGGCGCGGTTCAGCGGTTCAGCGGTTCAGCGGTTGAGCGGTACAGCGATACAGCGATACCGATATGTACCAGGGGGGGGAAAGTGTACGGAGACCTCCGTCCGTATAAACTCCCGAAAGGGATCGGAGCCATCCAAATGGCGTCATGCCCACTCGTTGCGGCTCGATCGACATTGCATCGCGCCCCCCCCTCCTCCCTTCGTGGGTCCCTGAGCGCTGAGAGGTGGAGGGCATCCCGGTGCTCCGTCAGAAGTCAGAGGCGGTTTCCCCATACCTCCAGCACCAATGATGGTGCCTCAGTTGCGTTTCAGGCCAAAGTACGATTTCTTGTCCCCAGTTTCCCAGCTCCCCGTTCCCGGGGGGTTGGAAAAGGAAGTGGAATGTCTGAATAATGAGCGATGATGGGATCATGCGTCCTGTAGATCGGTCCATTGGTGGGGAGTCCATCTCTCAGCATCAGTATCCGTACTTTTCATACGGTCGGCAGGAATCCCCAGATTCAGCGTGTCGGAGGCGAGACGTGGGGCGGCTGAGATACGCGGCTCTTCCGGCTGAGAGCGGGAGAGAGAGGTCAATAGATTGTCTCTGTGGCGCCTGAAGGGTCCGGATATTCGAGTAGGTTTGCCCTCACCACCGGAACAGACCTGGCAGGCCGGGTAAGGGGGTGGAGAAATACGTGGGCATCCTATCAAGTTCGGTACAACTTACGCTACCCGATTTCTGCCACTCTGGCGGTGGAGCGTGCGATCAGTCATTCCCGACTGGGGTCGAGAGGTATTCAGGGGAGTATGAGCGAGGTACTGCGGAAGAGCGCAGTCCTCAGGTCCTCCGTACAGGATCCTGCATCCTCCGAACCTGGCAGTGGACGGTGGATTTTCCTGTCAACCCGCCAACTACTAATGGCGGAGGATGGTGGTGGAGGCTGGAGGAAGCGGTGTACTTCATCGCTTCCCACGACATAATTCCTCCGTCAGTGGACTAACGAAACTCTCACAGCTAACCCATTCGGTCCTGTTGTTACTAAAAACTCGGGCTAACCCCATTCGTTGATGAGGTCGGTTCCTGGTCGCTCATAGGCAGACCCGTGGGTGGGCCTCTCCACCCTGCACCGGTTCGACCCTCTTTCGGTGTCGCTTCCATGGAACCCGTAGGTTCTTCTCCTAGTTAGCTAGTCGGCCTAGTGTCTTTCTACCGGCCTTAGCGGATGCCCTAGTGTCCTTTCAACTGCTGGTTCTGCGGATACTGCTGGGTTGCTGGCTTCTGCTGGCTCTCTGCGCCCGCCCCCCCCCCCCCCCCCCGAAACTATCGACGGATTACGAAGGACTGACTGAGAACGACTCCGTAACCCTAAATGGGACAAAGGTAATCATGAGGGCCCCCATCCGAGAGGCGGAAATCGACTTAAGGACGCGACCGGATCCTCATAGTAATTAACTAATACTATAATCTTTCCTCATATACTCCGTAATCATCAGGCTCCATCGCATTCATAACCGTCTCAAACTAAACTGTGTGGCTGCCACGCGCCTCACGGGTTCATTTTGGAGAGGGGGGGGGACGATCACCCCAGGGGACCTCCCCTCCACCTACTGAAAAGGTGCGAAGATAGTCATGGGCGTGCCAATCACTCCCAGGGCCCAGCAGTATCAGCAGTATCGGCAGTACTAGCAGGCAGTACCCAGCAGGACCCAGCAGGGCCAGCAGGAAGGGCAGCCAGTAGTGGGCTGAGTGGACTTTGGTACTTTCGTCCGCCAGTGGTGTACGGCCCTGTGCTTTGATCACCCAAGAGACCCTGGGGGTACCGCCCGACCACGCGGCCGCCGTACCACCCTCGAAGTCACTGGCAAGTATCCGTCACCGCATTACCGTATGGTAAACGTAAACTCAGGAAACGTAGTAAAAGTCAGGAAAGTCAGTCCTCCACTCTGCTGTGTGCTCCTGTCGACTGCTGCTCTCTCTTTTTTCCCTTCTTCCTTTCCCCAACCCAACGCCCACATCGCCGTCCCCGATCTCCTCACCTGCTTTTCCTCTCGACTCTCGCCTCGCTCAGCGACCCTGGAATTGTCCCTCTCCGCCGCTTCTCACCACCTCCTCGCACCTCAACCTTGAAAGTCCCGATACACCGAAAACGTTGCAATCAACTCCACCGAACAACCCCCCCAACAGTCACCACCACCAACCCACATCCCCCCCCCCGGTCAACGTTTTCCTGCACGCGCTGAGAACGGTTTCCATATCGACTTGTGTCCTCCCGAAACTCTGGCGCGCCCAACCACCCGCCCTTCACTGAGCTCGTGGTCCGATTTCTACGCCCATTCACCCTCGTTCCGATCCCCCCACCGACCCCGGTAGCTACCTCAAGCGTAACACAGATTTCTCATCTGGGGTACATCGCTAGGGGTAGACCGTGGTCGTTCACCGTTCGTTTCGACCCGCCCAAAAGGACTCTGCTTCTCTTGCGTCCTTGCCCCTTTAACATTCACTCTCTCGCCGCCTCGATCTGTTGACTGCCGCACCCGTACCTCGGAATTCCATAGAAGTCGCCACGCTGGACCTCGCCAACTCCATCCTGTTCGACTGTGTCTGTTGCGAGCAACCCCCCTATGGCCTCTGACATAGAGATGAATGAAGCCTCACCTGTGCCTACTCTGCCGCATCCCAACGACGCCGGCCGCATGCATATGTCATCCCTGTCCTCATCGTCATCCATATCCGACGCCGAAACTGAACGCCGGGGCCGCTCCGAACGCCCGCGCATGGCGAGCCGCAAACCCTCTGCTTCTATATTGGTGCCCCGAGATCACCCCGAAATTGAAATTGAAGAGGAAGAATTTCCTCCCGACGACGCCCGCGCTATGAGTCCGCGCCGCAATTCTGCTGACTTAGAGCGATTGGGCAAGGAGGCCCGCCAGACGCTTCAGGAGTGAGTGCCCCCTCCCGATGGCCATGTTGTACAGATTTGAACTGACTTTTTTGGACCATGATAGACAAGCCAAGGCCCTCCAATCATCCCTTCAGGCTCTCGCCGAGCGCATCGATGCGGTCAAGTCCGACCACGATAAGCTGGAAAACGAGAACAAGATTCTACAAGACTACATTGGTGGTCTCACCCGCAACATGACCAAGACTGAAATGACCCGGAGTACAAAGGCACGAAAGGCCCAAAAATAACTCCGCCCTGACGACAGAAACTCGGAGGTGTCGCAGGAAGAACGGGAGAGGTCACAACACCACTGCGACTCGGGAGATGAAGACTTGATTTTCTCTGACCTAGGGAGTGTTTCTGGGAGCCCGCCATACGCCATCCGTTGCGCTCTCTCTTGTCGTTGATTATTTGATTCTTTTCCCACCCAGCCCCCAGCCCCTTCACGACAATCGTTTTCCCCCGGATCTTACGCGCCTGATTTCATGCTCGTGGATGACCCGTTTCGCGTCACCAGAACTGTGATCGGCATCCCAGTCTGGCGTCTGCGCCTCCACGGGATGACAAAGTACAAGGACCCTCCCTGACGCAATACCGGTTGCCCTCTTAACGGATGGCAGTATTGTACCAATGGTACAACTGCTCCCCCACGGTTGTCGCCACTCCACCTCTTCATACCTCTCTTATGACGCTCGGCTGCCCGACTGGTTCGAGTTGGCCACCCACACAATATCCGCATCGCCACGCATCCACCTACTATTCTCAAGATCATCCACGCCACAAACATCCGTCACCGACTTCCACCGCCTTTTTGACGCGGGACCGACCGTTGGAACCAGTGAGGACGGTCCCAGCGCGAGTGCTTATTTACAAGGGGGCAATGGATGTTCCGTGACATCATCGCATACTTGGGGTTCGTCAAGTGGTCCGCCACCTGAGTCTTGGCAACCTTCTCTTTCCAGGACCGTCCACCAAAACACGGGGTCAGCCCTCGGCTGTGTGCGACGCCAATCTCACCCTGATACGATGTGATCTTCATTTCGGCTGGATGATCGTCCTCCTTTATTTCACCTTTCCTGGTACCTAATCACCTGGGCTTTTTGCGACACTCCCCACACCCCCCTATTCCTACCCCCATAACACTACCATTATTACGGTGATCCTCTTCCCTCCCTCTCCCGGATCTACGTGTGATCTCATTCGGCGTTCTTCTCTTTTTTTTTTTCTCTCCATTTTCTCATGGTCCTTTTATCTGACTCACACGGCGGCTCTTTGTGAACACCGGTTTCACTTGTACTTTTTTTCTTTCTCTTTTTTCTTTTTTTATCATCGGATGCATAGCACCTTGGGCGTTTCGGGGACTGGGACTAGACTCGATTTGATTGGATGACTTCTTACCGGAGCCCGCAGCTGGATATGTTTTCGTTGTCGTATGGCATTGCATCATCATGGTCATGGGCAACAATAGGTAGGCGCGGAAAGTGGAAAGCATCTTACCCCCGGGGGATTCTCTTTTCGGAGCAGTCCATTGTTACTTTTACCTTCTGATTTGTTTTCTTCTTCCCTTTACACCTGATCACCTTTGCCTTTGCCCCCTCCCTTTTCTCCCTGTTTTGTTTCCCTGAAAAGGAGCACAGCATAACGGGGCGTACAGGAAAAGCGCAAACCCATGTACATCTTCCACACGTCTTGCATTTCTTCAAGCAATGGACTGGCTTTCCCCGGAGAAACGACTCATCAAGCCCAGACATACCAATGATTGTCTCCTCGTTCCATTTGCATACCCTATTTTCAGTTCTTTCAAGGGCGGCCTGCAGCCTTCTGCCTCCATTTTACCCATCTGTTATTATCCTTACGGCTCCATACCTGCTTTTGCCTTGCTATATCCAGGATCCCTGTGAATGTCTCAAGTCCCCTCCCTTGTTTTTTGTTTTTTCGTTTTTTATCATTTTCTCTGATGCGCCTCATACCATACCCCCGCTTTCTTGTCTGAAGTTGCATGGGCTAGTCGCATGGTGGTTTTTATGCAAAGCGATTCATAGCAATGGGGAATCAATCACTTCAATGAAATCATCACAACCCCTACCTCGTAGCCCACACCCCGTAGGTGTGAAAGTAAGGTTGTGTAGCGCTGATACATGAGACTGGTAAACGGTGTCTCTGTAGAGTCAGCATTTCAGTCGTATCTATTCATTCATGGGAGGACAGGGAAAGGACCCGCTTCTGTTTTCGCTGCGGAGGTATCTGCCACTCCTTCTCTTTGACCGGCCATCCACTCACGACCTAGGCCAAAGAATGAACACAGGAAACTTGTACAACTGTCCGCTCGCTGCCCATATCGGCGTTGCCACTTGTACCCTAGCTCATTTATTGACTATCCTCTCTCGAGTATGATTTTACCTTTCAGTTCTGTCTCTGCCACGCTGTTTGTGTTTTTGGGCAGGGATGGGTACATGTGTAGCGCAGGTAGATTCTCAAGTCAGTGTACCTAGCAGTTCGCATGAGGCGACTTGAAAAACACCAACCAGCGAGGAATAGTATTATCAAGAACATTCCATACAAAGCCGAATCCTTTGCCGAATCCTTTCAGACATAGGCGCCCCCGGCCAGGCAAGGTCCTTGGCATGGATAGACGAATCTGACGTCAGGTTTGACTGCCATTTCGAAATCAGCAACGATATAACAAGCAGACTAATGATGATACATGATACATGATACATGATACATGATACTTGCGCAACAGTAACATCAGTAAGCTGAGTGGGTACAAAGAGCATCAATATGCTATATAGCTAGGAGTGGGATATGTGAATAGAGATCTATGACCGAAAACATAATCGGGCCTAGAACTCTACAAAATCACTTAGCAAAAGACGACTCATTGCAGAAGGATACGGATCATCTCGACCCAATACTGTACTATTTCCTCATGGTCGAGGTAGAGCCAGCGCCGGCATGCCCGCTGTTTTATTCCCCGTTTTGTGAGACCATTGCGCAAGCTGGTCGCTTCTCCTCTGATACCTTTTTGCAGGAGCTATTATGCAGGCCGGGACTTGCAATTCCCCCACGTGAAAGAAGCCTCGAAGAACTAAGAAGCTTACCCTATTAAGATACCTCAAGAACTCATACGCCGTTCGCCTCGTGGTTCTCGTGCCGGGCCAATTGAGAACGATGGGTGATATGTCAACCCGGTAAACATGCTTGGCTTCGCGAAGACGTCGGCATACCAAGCTGTTGGGGCATTTAATGCCTTGGCGAGATCTCTAAGCCTCTAGTGGGTTTCAAAGAAGAACAGTTCCTGCATTAGGGTAAGTAGGGATCGGATCGTAATTATATTCCACATGCAGAATCTTCCCTCTCTGAGTTTGGCAGCCCCAGATCCTGAGTGCATAAATCCGGTGCCTAGAAGCTCAACCAGAGAAACCAAAACCAAATAACACTGCGGTGAACCATGGCGATTGCTCTCTTCAATTGAACCCCTGCCAGCAGTAATGGAGAGCGCTCCGTCGGAGCGTGCTGACTACAACATTGAACATGCTAGATTGCTGATCAAGTTATCCAAGAAACCGTCGATGGCCCTAATCATACTTCGTTCCATACTTCGTTCCATACTTCGTTCCATACTTCGTTCCAGTGTCTACCAAACCATCCAGTGACAGGTCTACTACTACCGGTCCATGATGATTCCAAAGGGCCGAGATTGCCACGTTCACCAGCAGAGCACGCCTGCTACAACGTGACCAGTTACTACCAATACCAGCAGGTAAATGTTACTGAGAGCAGTTGATCTTTATGAGAAGAAAACCACATCTAGCGAGCATGAAACGCCACACGGCACGAGTACGAAGAGATATAAAGATCATAAGAGAAAAACAGAGGTCAGGAATCATGGAAGAAGGGACCAATAAGAAGAAAAAGCCAGATCGGGGATCAGTACGAGGCCCTCATTGTAGTTCCTGATAAGGAAGCTGATTTAAAAAAAGGATTCTCTGTCCGTGTGTATGTGTTGATGGGGGTGGGGGTTGGAGAGTGCGCGCAAAGGGGACTCTTTAAAGGGTAGTTAAGAGGCAGGTCGACAAAATAACAAGGAGAATCAAAGAAAAAAACGAAAAGAGAAGAACTGAACAAGTCCAGTCCCAGAGCAGCAGGTAAGGCAAAGCACCCCACCAACCGCCGCAAAAGCCCAAGCAGAAACGTGGCTCAAAGTAAAAGCGGGTTTCCTCCAAGAGGGACATCGACAACACACAGTACCTGACGTATCCTTTCCCATCCTGAGGCTATGAGCCCCCCCAGACAGTGGAACCGAAAGATTTCAGTTCATATCGATGCGCACATCTCACAGTACTTCCTCTTTCCCTTTAGGCGCTCCCCCGCTCAAGCTCTCCTTTATTCTGGGCAGACCTATCGTGCCACTCTCTCGATTGTCCCATCCGTCTCCCGAGGACGTGAGTCCATCATCAAGATCTTTTTAGATTTCATTCTTTACTCAGCGGCCTGCTTATCCTCGGCAGCCGGAGCCTCCTCCTCCTTCTTCTCGGCCTGAGCACCCTCAGCGGCGGGCTCAGCCTCGGACGAGGTCCAGAGGGTCTGATAAAAAGGAGGAAACGGTTAGACAGGGTGAACTCGTATAGGTCTCAAAGATTGGGGGTATAAAACATACCAGGTTGTCACGGAGAAGCTGCATGATCAGGGTGGAGTCCTTGTAGCTCTCCTCGCTGAGGGTGTCGAGCTCTGCATAACACGTTAGTCCCCTGATTTACGCACTCGAAGGAATAACTGTGGACAAAAACTGACCAGCAATGGCATCGTCGAAGGCCAGCTTGGCCAGGTGGCAGGCCTGGTCGGGGGAGTTGAGGATCTCGTAGTAGAAGACCGAGAAGTTCAGGGCCAGGCCGAGGCGGATGGGGTGGGTGGGAGCGAGGTCGGTCTGGGCGATCTCGGTGGCGGCCTTGTAGGCCTCCAGGGAGGCATCGGCAGCACCCTTGCGGCGGTCGCCAATGGCGAACTCAGCCAGGTAACGGTGGTAGTCACCCTTCATCTTGTGGTAGAAGACCTTGGACTCGCCGGACTGGGCGGACTTGATGAGGTGGTCGTCAAGGACCTCGAGGATGTCGTCGCAGATCTTGGCGAGCTCGGCCTCGATCTTTTGACGGTACTCCTTGATCAGAGTAACCTGACCCTCGTTGCCCTTGGACTCCTCCTTCTGCTCGATCGAGGTGACGATTCTCCACGACGCACGGCGGGCACCAATGACATTCTTGTAGGCGACAGACAGGAGATTCCGCTCCTCAACGGTGAGCTCAACGTCGGCCGAGGCAACGACCTTCATGTTCTCGACCATCTCTGTGGGCGCATGTCAATATTCGAAATCCGCGATAGATATCCCCACTGAAATTGGGGGGACTGGTGATAGGAGTAGAGCAAACCTTCATAGCGCTCAGCCTGCTCAGCGAGCTTGGCGAGGTAAACGGCGTCTTCGTGACCCATGGTGAAAAGTTCTACAAAATCAATGGAAATTCTGATTAGTTCATGTCACACAACGAACCGAGTCTGGATGGCCATGATAGTTGGAGATGAGAGTGGGGATCACGCCATCGACATCATCGCCAGCGACCGGGAGGGGTAAAGACGCGGTGAGGGCGGCATATTATTTAACACCGTTTAGTGGCATTCCACTTGACATCACGATGGATATTTTCGGACACAGCCATCCCCTCGCTGGGCCCGGAGACGGTCGATCATCGATGGTGATGGCGCCGACTTGTCGGCCCTCCCGGCTGAGCTTGTTTTGGGGGGGGTCAACCACAGCGAAGCGGTCGCGGCACCGGCCCCGCCAGTAAACAAGGGAAGAAGAGGAAGTGGTATCCCCGATGGCAGACGTGCGATCTCGATGAGGGAGCGGTGTGAGGGGAAAGGTGATAAATTTTTAGAGGGGGTCTCCTGGGACTTTCCCCATGTCCAATGATCCCCGGTCGAGAAGTGTGTGGTTGTGTGTGATGGCAGGTTGCAGGGCGCGATCAAGGAGGGCAGAGAGAGATTGGATGAAACGAGGCGAACTCACCTGGAAATTGGAGAGGAGGGAAAAGGAGCCGGGAAATAGATTGGGGGGATAAAATGGATGGAGTGAAGGAAGAAGGGGGAAGGTTGAAGTTGAGGGAGAGGAGAAGGAGGGGGGAGAACACAGAAGGCGGTGTTGTTGGGATTTACGTCGAGCAGCAAACCACAACGCGGGACGGGCAACTCGCACGGCGACTACTAACGACTATCGATGAACAGCATCTATAGACTCGGATGATCTCCTCCCATGTGCCTTTCTGGTTACGCCTGATTACTCCCCTGCGTGGTTGGCCTTCCCCCCTCTCTCGCTGGATGTTCTACGCCCTCGAGTCTTCTGTGTGGTTCGGTGGGCCTGCCCAGCGTCATCCCCCATCCCGCGCCCGCCAATCGCCCTGGAACGTTTCCCCTATGAAGTACTCGCGCCTCACTTTGGAAGGGCACACTGTGCTCACCAGCTTCCAAGGCAGAGCCGGCGCTAAATACCTCGCTCGTTTCTGCCGGTCTGAAGTTCCCCACTAGTCTCGACTACAGACTACTAAGCCTGGTCATGTTCACTGAGGCTGCCACCATCTCTTCCCATGATGTCTGAGCACAGATAGATGAACCAGTTTCCGTCGTCACGTAGTCCACTAGTCACCAGTCACCCCGTAGACACAAGAGGATCTGAGGCCCCTCATGATCTCCGTCCAAGCCGAATGAGAGCGCGTTTACTTATCGCAGAGATTTCCCGGGCTGACATAAGCCATCATCTAATACAACCCCGGACCTGCCTCCCGCAGAATCACATGATGGGGTCTTGGCGCCTGTCGTCATGGCACGCCTGTCAGCTTTCCCCCAGCTTGCCAGCCTTCTCTTAAGCTTGAACTTCCCTTTTACCTCTCTCCAGTCATCTCTCAATTTTCTACACACCATGCTCCGTCAGACTATCATCCGACCTGCCGTCACGGCCAACCGTGCTCTGCTGACCCGGTCCTTCTCGGTTGCCGTGCCCCGAATGGGCGAAGGCGACACTGGCGCCCCTCGCTCTGGCGGCGCTGCTTCTGGGTTTGTACCACCTCCATCGCCCCTGCATCATCCCCTGAGCTCCCCTCGGCTATGCCTGTGCCCAGGAGTCCTGAACGGCGACTGTGGACCGCGTGTCTGCCTGGTTCCTACCGTATGACATCATCAATTGCTGACAGTTGCCTTATAGTGACTCGTTCACCAAGCGGGAGGCTGCCCAGGAGGCTCTCTACATCCGTGAGAAAGAGCTCGAGAAGTAGGCTTTTCTGGACCACTGAACTCAAACACACCTGCTAATTATGATTGGGAACAGGCTCCATACGCTGAAGAAAAAGATTACCGATCAGCGTCAACACCTTGATGAGCTCGAGAGTCACATGTACGTTTTGGAATCCTCCCAACTGTGCCTTTGCTGAAAGCACACTTCTTGTGTCTGGTCATGCTCTGCCTATATTTTGCAGTACTAACTCCTCCCAGTGACAAGTTGACGAAGGACCAGTCCGGCGGCAAGAACTAGATAAAGTACATGCCAACTGCTTCCGTCCTTCCTATGCCATCGAACGGTTGACTCCAATTGCCGTGTACCATATTATCGTTACCTCCCCTCCCCCTCTGATTGATGCCCTGTTCTTTGATTTCGAGACTCAAGATTCGTCTTTGGACGTTGCAAGCGGCATGTAGGGTTAGACAAGACAGCCATCGCATACCAGGAGTTCCTCGATTATATCTTCCTTCCAAGTATGCTCTGAATAAACTGCTTCCGCTGTTGCAATTCCGACCTTTATGGATTCCGACAATGAGAGCACCGGGATGCAGTCAGGGGACGAACCGAGCTCCGAAAGTAGACAGATGGGTCTAGTACAGTAGCAAGCAGTTGTATTGCCGTAACGTGATAACTCCATGTAGCATACCGCTATCGAGCTCTACCGATTGCAGATGTCCGTGATGAGCTGATTCACGGCAATAGATTTGTTGTCTGTGGTTTGAGAGTCTGCGCACCGTAATGCCATGCGATAGCGTAGCACTTACCCAAAACAAAACACCAGAGCTCCTAGAAGAGTCTGCTACTATCCAACACACTCAACTATGCATGTCGTCGCAGATGTATACCGGGTCTTAAAAAGCTGATTGGTTAGAGCCAGGACGAGACAGAAATAGGTATGTTTTAAGCCATGGTACTGTATGACCATTCCAAATTTGTGACTATAGATCTTTACTACTAATTGAGGCCAAATTCCCATGCTAAAGGACAGCGCGCCATGAGAACCAATGGTCTCCACCGAGGCTGTGATGAAGAATTATGAGCATTCTTGTGTTCTGAAGTAAGTCAGCGCGCTGAAGGAAGCTACAAGAAACGGGACCTCCATACCCAAGAGAACAATAGATCAGGGCGCCGGCGCATACCTCCCCCCGGGCATACCACATCCACGCTCAAGGAGCCCCCAATGAGTGTGCGCTGGTATCCAGAAAGAAAGGTACAACCGGCGAGAGCGAGGAAATCCGTGTTTCGTCATCCGTCAAGAAATTCGTGTAGGCATGCAGGGGGAAGGCGAAAGGAATAGGCGCTGCGGCGGATTCAGATGACAGAAGCGAGCAGCCCAGGTATCAAGAGAAAAGGGTTAGGCACAACATCCTGTCAGGGAGGAGTTGTGTACTGGGGATCCGAGATCTTAGTCTCGATCGCCTCCGGGGCTGCGACTGCGACCGGGGCTACGGCTGCGATTCCGAGGAGCGCCGCCCCGACCACCCTTCTGGCCTCCACCCTTGCCCTCACCCTTGCCCTTGCCAGATGGGGGAGGGCGGACGAAAGCGTAGTCGACATGGAGCGTCTGCTCAAGGAGCTTCGTGCCATCCAGGTTCTTGATGGCCTCGGAGGCCTCAGGAAGGGTCGAGTATTCAATCAATGCGTATCCCTAGAGTAAAAAGGTGTTAGCAGTAGGTCCCTTCGCAACCATAAAGGGCCTAGCACGGAAAGCCAGAAAAACAGATCCAAAGGCTTCTGCTGCGGCTGCGCGAAAAGCCAAAAGAAAAAGGCCACGACGTACCTTGACATAACCTGTCCGGCGGTCCAGGTTCAAGCTGAAGTTCTTGATCTCGCCGTACTCGGCGAAGAGATCGGTGATGTCCTCCTCTGAAGCTTCCTCGTGGATGTTCGACACAATCACAATCCACCCCTCAATACTGCGCACGGCGACGGCGCCGGACTGGGTTCGAGGCTCGACGCGGCCAGACTCCGCAGGACCATCGTCCTGGGCGACAGGCGGGTCGACTTCCATTTCATTCGACATTTTGGCCGGTTGTAAAGGGTAGGTAGAGAATCACAGGGTTCACCGAACGAATTGGCGCGTAAGGAGGAATGGAAGCGAGTGCGGGCTGGCGGCTGGCGTCTGTGAAGGTGCGGATCGGGAAAAGCTCTCTGGCCTTCGAGGGCCCGTTTCGGTTAGCGCACCTCCGCCTTTCTAAAAGTGGGTTCTCAACGACACCTTCGATCAACAACATACATGAGGAGCTGTGCCCATGACGCTTGATCATTTGAGACAGCTTGCTTGGTCATCTTTTTGATAGTGACAATTTGATCCTAAAATTATGATTGTCATATAGAGGTACTCAGGAATAAAATGCCAAATGCTTCACAGGTATATCGTTTGGTCTCTCTACGTCAGTCTAGTGTTGCTCCTTTACAAACAGAAACAGCGTAACAGTCGAATTGCTCACTTGAACACAAGAATCAGAAAATTTCCTCCTCCTATGGTTGAGCTAGTTCCCTCACTAACAATTTCGTGCGGCTCTATCGCGCTATGAACATGGACCGCTCGTAGTCAGCTACAGACGACGTATCACTGTTATATAGATCAAGGCTAAAGCCCACCAGAAGGAGGAAAAGGCGGAGTCTGTCTAGGGGAGCGAATATTATAGTCGTAGTCGTTATAGTCTCTGCGATGTCTATCTCTATCTTCCACCAACGTTTATCTGCGCACCGCTTTCCGTGAAGGGCACCCTTCTGCCCCCTCGAGGTGACAGCAACCGAGAAATTCAAGTGACCAAGCATGCCAACAGTGCTCTGCTAGCCTTCAGTAGCCATGCTGCCGGTCGAGTAAGTTTGAATGACAGGGTGGCTGAGTTCATCCAAACAAACTAACGTGTCAATCGTAATCCAGCAACGATCCAGCCTGCGTCTGCCTGCATGGATGCAAGCGGTCACTCGATCCTCTCGAATTGATTGTACTTGATACTGAATCAAATGAGCCACACCGACTTGATGAAACTTACGCTGAAGTCAACGCGGTATTTGACGTGATCACGGGCAGCTTGCAGCTGAAGCAGAAAGTGGGCGACCCGAGAGCCTGGCCGCAGGCACAGCACAAGATAGCCATGTACTTCACCCTGTCCAACAGCACTTTCATCAACCTGAAGGGACTGGGGGATGGCTCCCTCTTGTTGAGCTTCAAGCTCAACGCCGCCGTTACCACGGATATCGAAACAACCTCCGACGCCGAACCCAGCCTCGAGCTCACGGGACCGACACTGCTGATCCAACATCTAGTTCTGGGCTTTTCTTCCGACGAAGTGGGAGAAGGTCCACTGTACAGGGCTATTGTGGATCGTCACGGTGATGAGCGAACTTTACAGCTGCGTCTCCCAGCGACGCGCTTTGAGGGGTGGCTGACCATTGCCCTTATCCTGCTCACCTTTCGGGAGATCAACACCCGGATATGGCACCGTATGGTGTGCAGTCCGGAACTGCCGAGTATTGCAGGGTTCGATTGGGCTCAAGTCCAGGAAAAATTAAACTTCCCAGGGGCAGACGCGGAAATCGAAGCAAAGCCAACCGCGAAGAGTGACGCTGTACCCGACACCGTCGTTGTGGACTCGACGGCTCCTCTTCTTGGACCACCGATGGAGAGTGCTAACTCAAGCTTTGAATTTCTGTGAGTCACAAAGGTTCTGGGGTGGAGTGGACCGACTACGGATCTTGGCAATATCCTGAAAGGAAGTAAACCGGTGTAAGCGTCCCTCTAAGGAAGCCTCTGCCGGAATGCCAGAAGCAGAGAGGCAGATGCCAAAGGAACATGAGATCTTTGCCACAAGAACCGGATGGAGCTTTGATTCAATTTCATATTTCCAAAAGAAAATGGGACCATATATTGATTGCAAACTGTTCTATTGGTGCACAAACACTATGGAGTGGAGATGTATTCCCCGAATGTTGTAGGAAAGACAAGACGTAGAGAATTGCCACCTCATGTTCAGAAGCATGAGGATTTGGGATCAGGGGGGAAAAGAGACAAGATGGATCGTTAAAAATACAGGGTTTCGGCTAGATAGAAAGCAAGGAAAAAGGAACGCCAGTGGGTTCACACCCAAATACCCAAGCAATAGAAAGATTACTTGCGGTTGTTGTTCCGCATGCCGAGAATCTGGACCATACGGACGAAAATGTTGATGAAGTCCAGCTCGAGGCTGACACTCTCGTTGACAACATCACGCTTAATGTAGCCACGCTCAGCAAGGCGAGCGTGGTGCAGGATCTTCTGCACGTCATAGAGAGTGAAGCCGCCGAAGACAGCCAGACCACCGTACAGCCAGATGCGCTCAGACCACATCAGGGTACGGGCAGCAGTAGCGGGGAGAACCATGGGGGCGAGACCAGACAGGGCAACGAGGGCGACACCAGCGAGGAGGGGTCCACCGAGGTACAGGTACTTCTCCTGCTTAGCGGTTGCGCCAACGAAGGCAATCGAACCCATCATGCCGACAGTGTAGAGACCAGCGCGAGCGAGGATAGCAGGGTGCATGAACATCAGTGGGGAGAGGAGCGCAGCCTGGGTCAGGTTGAACAGGGTCCAGCAGCCATACTTCATGACGTAGCTATCAGAAAGGTTAGCAGGGCCGTTTCCAAAAGGATTTTCCAAAAGAATTGCCAAAAGAATGAGCTGCCAAAAACTTACTTATCCGGAGAAGTATAGAATGTACCGTACATCGAGCCAATGCTGCCGACCAAACCAACACCCATGACCAGCCACGGGTTCATGGCCATGAGGCGGTACGACCAGCCGCTAGTATGCAGAGCGCGGGCAGCAACAGCGATGATACCAACACCAAGTCCAGTGTGCATGAAAGTCTCGTTCAAGAAGCTCCGCTCGTAAGCGGGCATGCCGCCATCCTCGCGGGTTTCACGGTTGAAGATGAAGTTCGTGGCCAGAATGGTACCACCGACGATGGCACCGCCATACAGCAGCTTCTGAGTGAGGTTTCCACTCTGGGCATTGTAGGTCTGCTGCATGTAACTGCGACGGAAGGCATTGTGGAAGGTCTGACGAGTCTTGGTGAAGAACGGCGACTGGGCACCAAAAGGCTTGGGGGACTGGGAGGGCTTGAATGGAGAGTTATGAATGAAACGAGCTGTATTGGAGAGCTTGGGGGCTTGTGTGAGCGCCGACGATACGGCGAATGGACGCCGGAGGAAGAAAGCCATGGCGACGATGGTACCAAGTGATTGATGGCGATGAGACGTTTATATGAGGCCGGCGGCGTCGGTGATATCAGACTGCTTACTCACCGGAGGCGGCATGTCTTAACCTAAGTCCGAATCTTCCAGAATGTCATGTGACTGGTGGGGTGAGAGATGGAAATGCGGCTGGCAGCACTTTCAAGATACGTCATGCTTTGATCGTGGGCCTGTCTTCGGTTTTGACCATGGCGTTGAAACTAGAGACGATCAATATCCCTCACCTGCCAGCCTCGCTGCCAGTGCATGTGGCGCTGTACCGTAATGTCCAGAATTCGGCCTTTTTGCGGCAGCAGTTGCTTGCCGGCAATTCAGAGTTTGAATATGCCTTAATTGACGCGAGCATGGTAAGAGCTTGTAAATCTCACATTTGGACTAAGGAGATGTGAAGTGTTAATGAAGATATAGGTCCTATCTAGGGCCCATGCATTGGCCGCCGTCTTCCGTGCGGTGAATGACTACATGAACAACCGGCTCAAGTCCCGCAATGTGCACTCGGAGATTGTGTTCTCCTTCAACCCGACAAATAATGTATGCTGAGTACTTCAACTGCGCCACAACTCACAGAAGCTAACTAGATTAGATCGCCGAGTCATTCCGCAAATTTGGCATTGCTGACTCCACCAAAGACTTGCTGGTTGTTAAAGTCTCCGTGACTCCGGAGATAACACATGACTCCGTTGCCGCGCATTTGGAAAGTTCTATCGAAGGAACTTCCGTTCCTTTCGATGACCTCACATTGTCTGAGATATCCGACATTACCAAGATCAAGAAGCTCTACAAGCTCGGTGCCTTGCCTTCACCGGCGGCTAAGGCAGATCCTAGCCAGCCCAATGGTACACACACCGATGACGCCCAGAGACAACTGGAACTTTCAATGCTGGGAGCTATTGCTCTACGGGGATCATGAAGAGATGATCTGAGGCTCATCAAACCCGACCATCTTGAACTTGGCCCACGGGACGTGAAGCCCAAAGTCTCAGCGGTGGTCGTGACTGGCGTGGATAGTTGACTTGCCCAAGGGCACAATCCCGCCGTCCATCGCTATGTCTATCGGGCCATGCATCGAAGTTTTCCGATGTCCCTTGGCTTAACGAAATGTCTGGACAACGTCAATACACTACATGCAGCAGCACAAAAATGTCTTGGAACGAGCTGGTTGCACCATGTGGTCCGCAGGGGGAGAAAGCCATGTAACGATTTCGGGCTGCTGGCCCTATTAGTCAAATTCCACGATAGCCCAATCACAAGGTGAATGACATGATGTAATCAACTTGAAAACAGAAATGAGCTTCACCAGAAGACTAGCTATTGTATAGACAAGTATAGACATGTAAAGAGACCACCTACCACCAGGTAGCCATAAATTTCCAAATGGGTAACGCAGGCGTTGGAACGCGTAAAGGTATATATGGAGATTAAGAACCCCAGATATTTAAAATCAGTTTATTGCAGTGCGCTCGTTCTTGTTAAAGGTTTGTATTGACCGTGAAATTTGCAAATGCCATGCGTTGCCGGGTCATACTGTTTCCTTCGGCCCAAAACGGCAATTCTGCAACTTTGCCAAGACCCGATCGTCATCTTCCATCGCATCTTAGCGCGACCTTTTGAACCTCACAACCTCCACAGAGCGGGGTCCCAGTGGCCAAATATCGAATTTGAAGCATGGAGAATTTCACGACAGGCTAGATATGGAAACATCTAGCTCAAAACGCCACAACATCGGCCACTCAACAGTCAAACACGCCGCTCGTCACAATGACGAGCTGTGCGAATGTGATTATTTTGTCCTCGTCCCCGATCCCCCCGTCGCGTTCCCCCACAAGAATCGTGGACAAAACCAAAGAACTGGCTGAGATATCCCCTCAAGCTGCGACGCCTCCGTCCATCCCTTCGCCGTCGGAACTATTCCACCCTCCCTTGTACTCTCGATTCTTCGATGTGCCGACTCAGACCGGCGACGCGTCGAAGAAGAAGCGTCAAAGAACGAAGAAGACTATCGCTTCGGGCTTGATCGAGGAACATGCTCCGAATATATTGCGGCAGGAGGAGAGCAAGGCTGCCAAGGAGCTGAGATCAAACATGCTGGGAGACCTAGAACCTCAATCGCTTGATCCGAGGACCACCGTTGCGAAAAAGACCACCGGAGCGCAGATATCCCGCTCCAAGACAAAGTCCAGCTCCAAGACGAAGACGAAAAGTCAAGAGGCTGGAAATATGACACTGGCTGGCAAGGTTACCAAGGGGAGCAACAATACACAAACAAAGAGTACGAAAAAGGCAGGAAAGAAGACAGCTGCGACGAAATCGCCCCGTATGGATTCAACAGATAATCCGGAGCCCAAGGCGTCAAATACCCTGGGAAATGACGAGGTGCTGCAGCTGGACGAAGCTATGAGAAGACGCACGGACTGGACGCCACCCAGAGAAACTTCTCAACCGGTGGACAAGACGGATGACGGCAGTGGGGTTGACAGTAACTGTGAACCAAGCACGAAAATTGGATTTAATAGTTTTCTCTCCGACTATAACTACTCTGGGTCTGGGTCAGATTCCCGGGAAGTCCTATGTGCAACTGATGGAGGCCCAACCAAAAGAAGACGGATTGAGCTCGTGGGCCCTCAATGCCAGCCCATGCACAGCAGACATTCGAATGATGTTAGCCCTGCCGAAGGAGATGAATCGTCCTTATCCTCATCTAAAGCACAGCCCAAGAAGCAGAAGCCAAAGAGTCAGAGGCGATTCACAACCCTGACAGCGCGGATGACAGCCCAGTATACCTCGAACGATCTAGAGGAAGATCCGTTGGTGGAGGACATCACTCAGCACATCGGAAAGTCAAACACTCGACGAAATAAGAAAAAGTCCAAAGAGAAGGACCCTGAATTGGTCGTGCTTTCTCCGGAGGCTGCTTTCCAGGCGTTGGATCAGCAGGATGTTGTCTTCGGTACTTGCAGTCAGCTCGAAAGAGACGATTCCCCGGAAACACTACGAGAAATGCAGCAGGCTATTAGTGCATCAGAGATTTTGGCATTTGAAGAACGAGCAACCGATTCTCCTTTGGGCACTGGACGAACAGCGACAGGCGATTCAACGTCACGTGCTATGTCTCGATTGACAGGCGCAAGAAACTTATGGGGCATTGCGGGCCGAGACACAGGAGGGTCCTTAGTCCAGGCAAAGAATGTGCACAAGGTTGATCTTCCAGACGCAACTCAAGTCAGCAAGAAGAAGGACACAGTCAAACCAAGCTCAAAGGCAAGCATCCCCGACGATGACTGGTTTGACCTTGACTATGGAACATCTGGCCCTTCAAGGAAGAAGATATCATCAACCGGGAGAGTCTTGAAGCCGACAGCCGTCCCTCATCCTCCAGCATCCACTGGACCGGTGCCACCTGCTCATGGTCCTGAACCGGCATTGCCAAACAGTCACCCAATGGGCGAGGTCTCGCAGCAGCCCCCAATGCCCCGCTATTGTGGATTTACAGATGCCGAGCTCTCAAAGCAGGTTGCCACATATGGGTTCAAGTCAGTCAGAGGGCGCAAGAAAATGATTGAGTTACTTCAGAAATGCTGGGAGTCCAAGTATGGCAAGGCGACACAGCCTCTCGGCGGTTTCTCTCAACTCGAATCAGCGTCAGAGGCTGAAAGTTCAGCCGCCGTGTCTTCTGCTCGGCCACAGAGCCCAACGGCCAAGTCTAAGGGAAAGACGAAGGCCAAAAGAAATACATCTATACCGACATCAACTGATACAACCACACGAATCGAATCTGTTGGAATAGCCAGTCCAAAAAGGACTAAGCAGCAGCACTCAAAGGCTAGAACACCTCCACCTTCTTCATACATAGACGTTGAAGAAATTCAGGATTCGGAGGAAGAGGCCTATCTTTCACCGAGCCAGGTGCAAAAACGCTATACCCAGATATTCTCCAAGACCACTGCCTCAGCCCGTGAACCTTCCTTAGATCTTCTGACCAAGGAACTACGGAGTCCCACAAAGAGTAACGCACTTTCCCCCAATCCTCTACGCAGTACCAAATCATTGTTTCCTGCCGCTGCGACAAAGACGGCCGCAACGGCATCTTCCACACGAAATAGCCTACTGGACATATCCACCCAGATTACCGAGGCCGTTCGTGCTCAGCCCGCATCCGGCAGCCGAAGCCGGCCAACATGGCATGAGAAGATTCTTATGTATGATCCCATCATCCTCGAAGACTTCACAACGTGGCTGAACGTCGAAGGGCTTGGCCTTGTTGGCGAGGATCGTGAGGTTGGCACAGCATCTGTGAGGGAGTGGTGCGAGGGTAAAGGGATCTGTTGCTGCTGGAAGAAGAACGCAAGTTGGTGATTCATTGGTTTATTTGGCTGGCGCAATGCGTCTTATTCGATTTGCGTTCTGAAAGCTAGATAGCATATTGCATTAGCTTCGATATACCCGAGATATACGCAAGAATTGTATAAACTTGATGGAGAAAGTTTCTCCCTAACACTACTCTACGCTCATGTTCTACGAAGTTGGAAAGTTGCGAGGCATTAAGAACTGCATTGCTCGCCACGCCCGAGCGTGAAATACCGGACAATCGCGCAACAGTTCAAGAACACATAGAGCGCCGATACAGGTGCTTGCCAAACACGAATCCATATCCGATATCCACACCATATGAAACCCCGCGAAAACACTTCGGAAATCTTCCGATGAAGCTGTCGCTCAACGGGAGCCCAATTGGAACCTTAGTCGCCGTGTTGGAGACACATTCATCAGAAATAGGTAGAGGGGATATGCCGCGGAATTGCGTTAACAGGTTCTTCGTGGTGCTTAGGTTTCTAATTCCAAAAGGTTAGGCAAAAACCAAAAGGCAAGTTATGAAGGATAACGTAAGTGGAACAGGCGCGAAATTAATGCAAAACAATAACCAAGAAGCATGGCCAAATTCGGGCTCTGGTCTATATCATCTGGAGCATTGGGCAAGAGTTATATGTACCTGGGCGACCAGGATACAATTGGCATTGTACAGGTCAACATCCTGTAAATATTCTTTAGTATCCACCTTTGAAAGAAAGAGTCAAAATGAGCAGCGACTTGCATCGGTGAGCTGGAGCAGCTCGTTTTGCTGCTCGACCTGCTCTCGCAGGATCTTGTTCTGGATCTCCAGTTCGGTGCTGCGGAAGCTAAGCTGAGTGTTCGCCCGTTCGAGAGCAGCGATGTACTCGCCGGTGGAAGGGAGCTGGAGGTCCTCCGACGAGGGGAAGGCGGCGATATGAGTGTCGGCGGGAGAAATTGTCAGGAGTTCCTTCTCCGGGACGGTCATGGGCCCATACTTGATACGAATCTCACTGTTTTCCTCCTCGAGCACGGCAATACGTGCCTTGAGTTCCTCAATTTGAGTGGCCATTCGCCCAGCAGCACCGCGCACCGAGGTCTCCCCGGTGACCGTATCAGTTACCTTGCACTCCAAGCCAGCTTCTTCAACGCAGGGCGCACAGCCCTCGGGGCGGGAATCGCACTTGAGTCTGCGGATCTGCAAAAGCAAAATGGAAAGGTGTGATTAGTGGCTTTGCCTGGCCTGCTATACTGAAGGAAAACTGGGGATATAGATTAGTAAACATACTTTGCACCGGTCACAAGCCTGGCCAGTCCTTCTGCGCTTCTTGATATGCGCACGAATATCCTCTGAGTAGTCCCACTCTACAGGAGGTTGACGGCTCCGACGCCCCTTGGTTTCGCGCGGCGTTTGGGCATCCTCGTCGCCATTGATGGCTTCTGGGGACGGAGCAGCAGCGAGGGCAAGATTGGATTTATTGGCGGCAGGCATAGCAGACTCGGTGATGGGCCTGAGGTCAGCTGTATCGGGGGTTGGAAAGCCCTGTCGCAGGGCTGAGAGCCTGAGAAGAGCGTAACAAATCAGCGGTGACGGGGCTGGCTGCCACGGGATCGAGTGCGGAGATGTTAAGAGGGTTAGTGGTGGTCGTGCCGGACTTATCTGAGAGTAAGTCCGTACCTTCAAGCGCTTGTACAGATTCCTCAGAGGGGGAGTCCTGGTAGGGTGCCACACTTGACGAGGTACCGGTCCAGAGAGCAACGAAGGGGTTACGATCAATGACGGCCAGGAGAGTGCTGGAAGTGAGATCAAGACCACGATTAGCTGAGAGGAATCAAGCGATTAACGTGGGAAGCGAGGCTCTCAGAAGAGTCTGATATTTGATATGATCTGAGCTCAAATGACGTGTAGGAAGTACTCACATTCGTCCAGAATTTGAAGAGGAAGGTTCAGTTTTAGGAGGCAAATAAGCTTGCCTTGTTGAGCCAGAAGATAGACTTGTAAAAAAGAGTACGATGGGTGAGAGATGAAGAGAATAAAGAAGATGGGGAGGAAGGAAGGATAGGTGCTTTACTAGTCGGAAGCAAGAGAGAACCATAAAAAGAAGTGCAGGCAGCGCTGAGACGATTCCAGCACTCACCCTTTGATAATAACTGCGTCGAGTATCATTTTGGGGCCTTTCAAGTACAGTGAGTACTTCGCAGGCTTCGTAGAAGATATTTTGCCGCCTATACTTCTAGACCCGGAAGCTGACTCTCTCGAAATTAATTTGATATTACCAGCCTTGCGAAGGATATTTACGTCGTTGGGGTCTCGAATCGGCCGTACAATGTGAAATTCAACCTGGCCAAACTCTGGCATTTCTCAATAGACCGAGGGACGCGTTCCTTCAACTAAGCCGTGTGTACGCAAAATTGCCACTGCTAAAAAGAATGGATCGCCACGCCGTAATGGGGAATACAAGGACCAAGATACGTAAGAAGAAAAGCAGTCAAAGGGGGATGTTGAAGAGTGCAACAGGCCCATAATGGCAAGATGAACTGGCTCAAGGCTGCGAAAGCAGAAACCAAGCCCTGCCATAAGGCAAGAAAGACGTAATGAACAAAATAAGGATCGAAAACGAGCATAGTCGAATGCGCTGCAACGGTGTTACAGAAGTCAGCCTCCAAAAACTCGAACATGTCGGAAATGACAGAGCTTCACAGCTTGCTCATAGTCGTAAGATAAACCACCGCTACGAGCCAATAGTGGAATTTTCAAGAGAGCTAAGATCTGGAAAATGGCAGTGACGAGTTGCTCACGACGTTTTGTATTCTGACTGTAAAAAACAAAGACGGATAAGACATAGGGCACGGGAAACGACAAAGATGCCGCAAAATAGCACAGGTAAAACAAGTCACAAAGATATTCTGCCCAGATGGCTAGGCAAGATGGACAAACATGGACAGAGGCCAGTCTATCGTACTAGCTTCTGGTCTTTGTCGTTTGAGGCGAAGGGCAGGGTTTTGCCTACTTGGGCGGTGATGAAGGAATAAGCATTGTACAGTTGTTCGCCCTGTAAACAATCTTAGTGTTCTATTCTGAAAACACAGAGTCAAGATGGTAGAACTTACGTCGGTGAGGCTGGGCAGCTCGCTTCGCAGCTCGACATACTCTAGCTGAACGGGGGCCTAGAACCATAGATTGGCATTGGGATTGGTGCAGCGTACCTAGTGACCTTCCTGCCTGAGGGTGACAGTGTGCTCGCTGTCGGAAGGGATTGCCTGGTTTTCTGGTAAAGGTCGGCACGAAGCTGCTCGTTTTCCTGCTCGAGGGCGGCAACACGATCCTGCAGACACTTGATCTCCACAGCCATGCGACGAGCAGCACCTCGGACGGAAGTATCCGTAGTAACGAGATCTGTCACTTTGCACTCCAGGCCTGCTAAGTAGCAATTGATACAGCCATCGAGGCGTGGGTCGCATCTGAACTTGCGCACCTGCAAGAGAAAGGATGGATGAATTAGCCCATTTACTCGATTTGATACAGTAGAGTCGAACGAGCGAGACTGAGGAAGGAGACGTAGATGAATAGATATACCTTGCATCGGTCACAGGCTTGGCCGGTTCTCCTCCGCTTGCGGTTGTGTGCGATAACTTCCTGGGAGTAGTCTCGCTCGGGAGAGTGACGGGTCCGACGCCTCTTCAGCGAAGATTGGGCATCATCCTCGCCAGCGGGGTTGGAAGCGTTGGTTGTAGGCGCGGAGTCAGCTTTGTCAGGGCTAGTGAGAGGCGCAACAAGGGTTGGGGCACCTGATGTAGGACTGAGAGCATGGGAGGGATTCATGAAATCAATTGGGACAAGACTGGTAGGGCACACGGCGCAAGTGGGATCGTCTGGAGGAGGACCGGGAACAGTGAGGACGTCACTGAGGTACCCCCAGAAAGGGTCCTCCGCCAATGGCACTTCAGCAGGAGGTGTAATAGAAAGGTTATGGTCGCCCATGATGATGATGGCGGGCGTTGTATTGTTGATATCAAGCCGAAAAGCTAAAGGAAATCAAGATCAGCTAAGGTAAATCAACAGGGAGATGTGGGAAGAGAAGCTCTTCTTGATATCTTCTGAACTTTTCAGGAAAAGTAGAGGAAGAGGAAATAGTTGTAATCCAGGGGATGATTGCCAAATGAGGTAGAGAAGGATGCTTAAGTAGGTGGAAGTAAAGAGAATCAGTGAACTAAGGCCGAAACTCCAGACTCTCTTGGGCCAGGAAGCTCTTTCTGGTAAATATATAACAATGCCAGTCTTGGGAGAAATTACATTGTTTGAGCCTGAGACTGCTGCTCAGAGTATCCAAACCAAGGATATCACCGTAGAAAGGGGGCATTGCTGCCCTTTGTGAATTGTCTGCATCAAGGCCTAAAAAGGTACATCTATAAAATTCTGAGTCTTACCCTAAGTCTTGGCACAAGGTAATTCAAGAGTCATTTAATGAATCTGGCTTCGATACAATGATCATAGCAATACAGCGTTTGACTTGTTGGCCAAAAAATCATATGCATGGCCCAAGCGGAAAAAATAGATCGAATAAACCATAGGCCAATGTGAGCCAACCCCGGGAATTCCCGCTTCAAAACTATACCAGGTGTTTAGAAAAAGAGAAATTGAGTAGATAGTGTAGGAAATTTAGATTTACAGTAACCCCGGGGTCCCCAATCAAAGAAAAGAAAGATCAGTAGACAAAAGTGAAACATTATCTCGTAGGTAAATGGCAATAGAGACAAAAGAGAAGTAAAAGACCATCAAACAGATTAAAATATCGAACGCAACCGCGAAAGTGATGCTGTCAGTCTTAGAACTCCTGCCATGCTCAACCAGTCCAAGAAGTAGAGAAACCCGTGACCCGAATCCCAATCGTAGAAACGCACAAGCCCGGATCTGGAAGTGCAATCTATATGGGGCGAGGCCGACAAGAGAATGAAAAATGTTCCAGAAACCCCTGAACTCCCATGATTATCAGAAGATGTTCTCGGTAGCTCCATGGTGATGAAGACAGAAACCCGAAGGAAGGATGCGAAAGTTCGAATGAAAAGAGAAGAGTGGCATAGCTAGTGCATGCAGGCCGTGATGTGTGCGTATGTTGCAAACTGGGGGAGGTAGGCCCGAGCAAAGTATTGCCAGTGTGAGTGTCATGCTGTGGAGAGATGGGGCCACGAGGGGCCCAGGGTAGGGATGCTAGACGAGGTTGACAAGATCCAACAATGCTCAGGAGTGCTCAGATCATCTGAAATTCCTTCCATTTGAAGCGACAGTCTCGAACTCGATCCGTGGTTGGTAACGCATCGGCCCATTATCCTCGAACCAAGGCGTGAGGTTCTTGCACTGGCTTATGTCGAAGGATTGTAATTGGTGGCAGCCTTCGGCAACGGCCTCGACGCCTACTCCAGTAACACGGACACAGCCGCGTACTGATAGGTGTCTGAGGGAAAGGAGGTGAAGACCGATACTGCGCAGGGAAGGGTCGGAAATAGCCGAGCCGCAGAACGACATGTTGAGGTACTGCAATTGGGAGCATTGAAGAGCGAGAACTTCGGTTGCCGTATCAGAGAGGGCGCAGCAGAAAGACTAGGTACCGGATAAGGGTCAGTAACTGGTAATTGAAGTGATGAACATGATGAAATTCTCACTAGATCCAACTCTTGCAGCTGCTTGGCGGCATTCGTCAGATGGACGATGGCATTGTCGGTCAGGTATGTGCAATCCGCTAAACAGAGTCTGCGTAAGTTGGTGAATCGTGCATTGCCCCAATACTGGAATCCTTGATCTGTGATGGTGGTGCAACGTGTCAAGTCCATTTCTTCGATGCGACTGGCAGCATGAGAGGCGATGTGGTGCATGGAACGATCTGTGACATGTTTGCAGTAGGAAAGAGTGAGCTTCGTCAGCTTAGGGCAGCCATAGACGGTGCCATCAGGGGTTTGAAGAGTCGGCTTGATGGAGGACGTCTTCCCCTCGCCAGGTTTCTGATTCCCGGGTACGAACCATCCTATAATACGGGCCATGAGTGTATCTCCCACTTTTCGGCAGTTGCTCAGGTCCACCTCTTGAAGACCGGTGGCTTTGCTGGACATTTCAAGGATAGCAGATGCTGTGACGTCCCAAACGCTTTTCATCTTCCACGTGGTCGATGTGGGCGCACAAGTATTCGCTAACGCATTGAAGCCTTCATCGGTGATATGGAAGCAGTTGTTGATGTTGACAGATCGAGGCCGATTGCCGACAAACGGGCATATAATTTTAACAAGCACGTCGTCGGTGACTTTGCGATTATATATGCTAAGGTCCAGGTTGCGAGCCACGTCGTTTGATTTGTTCAGAATCTCTGACCAGTGAGACGACACCGCGCGAAATCGAAGGAGATGATGGAGATCCAAGAATTGGAAGATGTTCAACAGTACACTATCGGGGAAAATTCCATGATGGGCGACGCCGAAGGGACGCGATGTTTGGTGCGGTTTGGAGAGGCCAACGGTCTCAGGGAGGGCCAGGCATGAGGAGGTAGCAGAGCGAGGCTCCGTAGGAGATGACCGTTGCAGTTCTCCCGTGAGTTCCTCCGGTGTCAATGGTGCCACCGAGCCGCGTCGGCTTCGCAGCCGGACCTTGTCCAAACCAAGGCTGAGATAGGGATCGGGGTCTGAAGGTCTTAACACGGCTTGCTCCTGATTATCAACTGACGACGGTCGAGGCGGTCCATCTAGTTCAGTTTCGGTCAATGTTAGAAGGGGCATTGAGCGCCTCCGAGAAGCCCTTATCTTGACTCGGTCATCGATGTCCAAGTCGCCCATGGGAGCTTCCTCGTCCGTTGCCTCTGACATGACCACATCACCATCTGCTGCAGCCTGAAGTCTCTCTTGAGCGGTACGTTCGACTTGTTCACGGATATCCTGGGGGCACATTTCCCAGAACTTTGATAGCACCTCTCCGCTGAGCATGAGACACTCAACCGATGTAACGGATCGAACGGTAGCTGTCCTACGCGGTGCGAGCGATAGGCTGACCACTTCTCCAAAATACTGGCCTTGCTTGAGCCGGGCTTTGATTTCAACATCCGGGTGATCAGCCCCATTTGGTTGGCCATGATGCATATGATCTTGCTTATGCCGTTCGGTAACAACCTCCACTTCACCGCGAACGATGAAGTAGAGTTCTCGGCCATGAGAATCTTGCTTGATGATGTCGGTGAATGGAGGGAATGAACTTGGCTGAGCATTGAGACCCAAAAAATGGAGGATATCGGCCGGCAGCCCCTTGAATAGAGGAAGCTCTTTGAGCAAAAGACGAACATTCACCGAACCATTGGCCAGCGCGCTGGAAGCATCCCGGCGCCCCGGGCTCGGCGACTTCCGCTTCTTGTATATTGAGCTGAGAGTCAAGTCTTCTTCAGTGACAGCCAGGTCTTTGGAAAAGCTCTCTCGCAATCGTTTTGAGCCCCTTCGCACCGGGCTGGGGGCGGGTTCATCCACAACCGGAGCAGAGGTTTCTTTCTTCTTCTTCTCCAGAATCATCAATCGCTCCTGAGCTTCTTCCCTAATGGCCTGCTCAACCTCCGGGAAGCGCGGCAAGATATTTCGAAAATCCTCTTTTGTGAGCACGACCAGCATGCATCGAGTGCGAGCGATGATCGTCGCAGTGCGCGGCCGATCCATCAACACACCGATTTCTCCAAAGAAAGCCCCCGGTTTGAGCTCGGCATATACACTCTCACCATCACGCGACGTGACAGAGACCGCACCGCGCACCAGCCAGTATATCGCCTTCGCGTCATCACCTTCGGTCAGAATATAGTCGTTCGGGGCGTGGAGCTGTGGGCGCAAGTGCTGGCCAACCTCAATTAAGAAGGATTCCGGGGTGGACTGAAACAAAGGGAACGAGCGCAGGCGATCGATGAGTTCGAGCGGCAAGGCTTTGATGTGCGAGGAGGCCAAGGGGGAAGGTCGCGCAGGCCGGTTGGGGTTCAGGACCGAATCGAAGGAATGGATGAGCGACACGGTATCGGACAAGGGCGAGACGGCCTTGGTCGGGCCACCGCTGGCCCTGCCATGACGACGCATGATCTCAGGCAGTTCGGAGCAAGATCAGATGGAAAGTCAGTCGGCGAGCAGCCAGGCATACAGCCTGGGAGCATCAATAGAACGATGACGTCGACGAGAGCAGCACCAGAGTCGAGCTTCCCGTCGGCATTCTTCCACACCCAATGGGTAGAGTCGCGACACTAGCAGAGCGGCATCTGCGGGGGGAAAGGATGGGAGCTGGAGGGGTACGTCAAAGGATGTGAAGGATGTCAGAGCTCACGGGATGCCCTTCAGGCTGAAGGTGGGGGGTGGCCGACTCAGCGACGTCAAATGCGGTTGAGCTCCACCGATCTTCTGGCAACCGGAGGAAACTCTATGGGAACCGCCAAATGTCCTCTGGCTGAGCTCCACTCTGCTGTCGCCGAAGAAGCTTCAATTTCTCATCAGAGCATTCCAGTCCCAACAATCTCGCTTGCCTGAATTTCTCATGGCTGGTGGGGGCGGCACAAAGCGGTCAACATCAATCGGATCGTCACTTTTGCTTTTTTGGTGTCTGCAGAGGCCGATCTATCGGCTCATCCGGGGTCGATTTGGGTAGAAAAATCTACGCAATAGAGGCTATGGTGGCTATAAGATGGCAGACAATATCCATTAGAGATCTTCCGGTGCACTATATCTCAACAGAAGGCGACAAAGGCTGGTTTTCTTTTGCGGTCATCCACGGCGGATCCCAATCCGGCTCGCTCGCCGAGCGCGCAATGGGCAGACGGCGTGACTCCCCACACTCCTGCAGACCGCAGCGATGCAACGGCCTGTGTGTATCTGCTAGGTAATTTTAACCGCAATTGGAACGGAATCCTGGGGAATGGCCATTTCATTTGTGAATGGCCTCAGAATAACCGGGCGCATTGCATCACGTGCCCAGATGCCGCGACGGCCCCAAGGACCCGACTGTCTATAATCACTATGGTGTAGGGAGTATAGAACCAGAACCAATAGAGGACTGGAGTACTAGTGGAATAAGGAGCACCGTGGGTCATATACAATATAGTACATAAGGGTATCAAAATATACAAAATACAAATTATACAACAAATCAATAGCAGAATGTGTCCGTTGGACAAGATTCCATGTGCCCATTTCCCAAAGCAGTGGCTAATGCCATACCAGGCAAGAGGTTGAACTGGTATTCCCTAGATCTCCATTTCCCGTATTATAGCGCGGGCAGGACGATAACTCCCGTGTGAGACCCGGTTGGGGTTGTGCTATCCCATTCCGGCAGTCTGGGCCCTCGGGGAGAGGCCGAAAGTGGACTTGATGTGCACCACTCATGGGATACCTGCTTGATCTGGGCGGCAATACATCACACAATCATGCCTGAGCCTGAGAAGAGGGCCAACGCGGACGTTGGCAGGGCCTGGACGTCTCGGTGTGGCCAATGGTCGACGAAGCCGACCGGCCGGAGTCTAGCAAAATCGATGCAGCCATAGACAAGCCTAATCAAACCGATCCTTCTTTCGCCGCTTTGGACCGGCGATTGCCCAAAAGAAAGTCGACGTAGGCTGGGTGGTTGCCCTTCATCGATTCCAGGGCGTCTTGTAATAGGCCGTAGACCAAGCTCATTTTCAATCCAAGCTTTGCAGTTCGGGCGGCAGTATAGACATCGTGACGGGCTGAATAGAAGAGAATCAAGTTAGTCTTTTTGTTGGCGCTTTGGCTCACAAAGGGCTCTTCAGCCCAGGTCTTACCCAATAAACTGTAGATTCCCGAGCAGGACAATCCTGCTGTGACAGTGGACAAAAAGTCCCTCTCATCATGCCGGGCATAGTCAACTGTCTCCTCAAACAGACAGAATGCAAGTGCCCCTGCCCCTAGCTTTGATCCCATCTTGAAACCATCCTTCACGCCGCCCACAACAGAAATGTAGTTCTTGGTCTTGTGGTACTGGAACCAACCTGTTGAGGTCGTAGGGAACCGATGGGCGTTCTCTGCTCGGAAGACAAGGCCCGCCTTGTTGCTCCCATGATAGTATCCCAAGGCCATTCCGGTGGTGAATGCAGAGATGAAAGCATAGGGTAAGCGCTTGTCAACTTCGATGCCCAGCCGCGGAGGAGTGTCGGATTCGAAAAGCTTGTGCCAGTGGATGAGCTTCACCAGAAGAGAAGATTCGCTCGAAGAGTCGGGCTTTGGTTGTTGAGTCTCCATTCTGGAGGATGTGTGCCAGAGGGGAAAAGGCACTTGGAGGCTTTGAGTGAACGTAGTACCAGAAATTCGGAGCGCGGCCTGCTCCCGCCCTGACTCTCCGCCTCCGTCACTACCAAATCACTAAAGCGACCGTCAAGACAAGCAACCTCGCCAATCCACATCTACACACCTACAAAATGGTGCGTAACATGGCTTGTGTCGTCCCTCACCCTTTTTACTGACTCTTGACCCACAGCCGCCAAAACAAGCAAAGCCCGATTCGCGGGCCTCGACTCTTCTCTTCAAGAAGCATAAGACCACCGTCCTCCTCTCACTCCAACCGCACGAACCCCTCACGGCCGTCAAAGAAAAGCTCCTTGAAGCTCTCAAGTCGCGTAATATGCTCGAAATTAACGGGGACCCCCTTCCTTCCGACTCTACGCTCATCGAGTTTGGCGTCCCCGTAGACAGAAGCGATCGAGAGAAAGGATGGAGACTCCTACAGGGAGATGGGGAAGTTACGACGAACACCGCAGCAAAGAAAGCTTCGTCAGGTACTCTGCTAGCTGCAGGACTCGACAACGGTCATTCAGTTGCCTTTCGTTTCCGCAAGCCGGGCGACGCGCCAGAAGGTGATGAACCGGACCCAGATATTGAGCGGGACGATCCAGGTTGGGACGTGATGATTCCAAGCTTTGACGATGACGAGGAATAGCCATGTGCAGTGTGTGTTACGGCTCATGGATCATATACGACAGGATGGGCATGGCGATATCGCTGCCCAGAGCGTGGCGTCTGGCGCTGGTGGACCTAAAAGGTTTCTTGCTTCATATCTTTCTCACGGTGTTTACTGGTGGCTTCGGGTTGGGCGCGGAGAATAAAGCTAAACCTCCATTAATCTCTACGCTGTACACTACAAGATTGCCGCAATCTTATCGAGTTGCCTAGAGGGTCTTCTGACAGGACATTCGCCGTCCCTCCTACTGTAGGGGGCGGTTTAACTGATATTCTAGACAATAAGTAGACAGTAATGGGCTCCAATAAGATCTCAAACGATCGTAGACAAGCTCTTCTGTCACATAGTTCCTCTTGTACATTCGATATGATCAGTTGCAGGAATTCTCACATCCCGCGACACAGCTGAGACAGGTGGTGCGTGGGCATCAGAGGGGCGAGCGTGGTAGACACCCGAAACACATGTACATACCGGCAGAGTGACGGCCACTACAGAGTGCTGTGGTGGCTTGTTAATTGCCACGGCATCTGCAGGTTAATCGCCACTCTGTAACGGTTGCTCGGAGCAACCAGGAGGGGACAACACGCACACGCATCAACAAATGAAATCGCATCCAGAAGATGCTCTCGGAGAATACTGCATCCCATACCCCATACACCTTTAGCTCCATACATTCTCCATTCTCAATCGTTACTTTCGACAACGTCAACCCCCTCTGCCCTTGCCGACCGCAGGGTGTCGCCAACTGCTTCGACACACCGGCCCCGCAACATCGCGACTTGGTGGGAATAACACGCTCCAACTTGCACCATGGCCTCATCCGATGGCGCCTCTTCGATCTCGGTCGCGGTCCGCGTGAGGCCATTCACAATCCGCGAGGCGGCCCAGATTTCGAGGTCCGACGATGGGCCTCTGTTCCTAGGTGACGGGTCTCTGGCCGGCGTGCCGGCTCCCAAGCTGAACCAGAAAGGGATCCGATCCATTGTCAAGGTGATTGACGACCGATGCTTGTGAGTACCAATATATGGGTTTCTTTCATGAAGCTACGGTGTGCTGACCAGTCTTAGGGTCTTCGATCCTCCCGAGGACAGCCCCGTCCAGAAGTTTTCCCGGAGCGTGGTCCCTAATGGCAAGCGTGTCAAGGATCAAACCTTTGCCTTCGATCGTATCTTCGACCAAAATGCTTCTCAGGGTGAAGTTTACGAATCTACCACCCGCGGACTCCTTGATAACGTTCTCGACGGTTACAACGCAACGGTTTTCGCCTACGGTGCCACGGGCTGCGGAAAGACACATACTATTACGGGAACGGCACAACAACCGGGTATAATTTTCATGACGATGCAGGAGCTCTTCGAGAGGATCGACGAAAGATCAGGTGAGAAGGCAACGGAGATTTCGCTCTCCTACCTGGAAATCTACAATGAAACCATTCGCGACCTGCTGGTTACGGGTAACACCAAGGGCGGTCTCATGCTCCGAGAGGACACCAACCAGTCTGTCTCGGTCGCGGGTCTATCGAGCCATCATCCTCAAAATGTGGAGCAGGTTATGGATATGATCATGCGAGGTAACGAATGCCGCACCATGTCCCCAACCGAGGCCAATGCCACTTCGTCCCGATCCCACGCCGTCCTCCAAATCAACATCGCCCAGAAAGACCGAAATGCGGGCCAAAATGAACCTCATACAATGGCTACCCTGAGTATCATCGATTTGGCTGGAAGTGAACGAGCCAGCGCTACGAAAAACCGCGGGGAACGATTATTTGAAGGTGCCAACATCAATAAGTCCTTGCTGGCGCTGGGTAGCTGCATCAACGCCCTTTGTGACCCTCGGAAGCGCAACCACATCCCCTACCGAAACTCGAAGCTCACTCGACTGCTCAAATTTGCCCTTGGCGGAAACTGCAAGACTGTGATGATTGTGTGCGTCAGCCCGTCGAGCCAACACTTCGATGAGACCCAGAACACCCTGCGATATGCCAACCGAGCCAAGAATATTCAGACCAAGGTCACCCGCAACGTGTTCAATGTCAATCGTCACGTTAAGGACTTCCTGGTAAAGATTGACGAGCAAATGAACCTGATTAATGAGCTCAAAGCACAGCAGAAGGATTCTGAGAACGTCGCCTTCTCCAAGTTCAAGAAACAATCTGAGAAGAAGGATGCTGTCGTTCGTGAGGGTATTGCTCGCATTCGCAGTGCCTACGAACATGGTCTTCCGGAGCGACAGGAAAAGACCAACAACATGCTCAAGCTGAGGCAAATCAGCCGTCGCATTGGTATTCTCTCCTCCTGGATCGCGGCTTTTGATGGCATGTGCTCGTCCCGTGAAAACGAGGAGGGATTTTCCAACCTCCACGCAATCCGCAAAACCGCGCAGGGCATTCTGCTGGAGCTTGAGGGCAGCCGACACCACTATAACCAACGTTTGTCCAAGAACACTTGGGATCGGGCCATGATCTCGGCGGTCGAAAATGCGACGAAGCAGCTTCAGGAGTTCGACATTAGCGACGCCAGCGACTACGCAAATCTGGACAGAGAAGCTGAGCTTCTGCGGTCAAATGCCGAACGTGAGGCCTTGTCTGCAGTGGTCGATCAAGACAAAGCTGGTGAGGCAGCTGCAGTCCAACTGCTGCTTCAAGCCCAATTTGAGGTGATGGCCTCGATCGAGGATATGATGCAACTTAATGCTTCCGAGGCTATCCAGAAGGGGCGGCTTGTCCTAATGAAAATGTTGGAGAGCTGCACCGATGCAGCTGCCAACCTTGTCAAGCCCGACGGCACCCTGCCTGCAGTCCCGAATCTTAATCTGCAAAGCCCTGCCAAACCTGCTAGTCCTGCCAAGCCGAAGAAGAGATTCAGCTTGGTGGGCCTTCCCCCTCCAAGACTGTCTCTCACTCCCTCTGTTCAGCTCGCCCCGGTGGCGGCTGCTGCATCTCCAATTAAGGGCTCACCTCGCCGTCGCAAGGTTGGCGCCGGGCGAAAGAGTGTCAGCTTCACCCCTAAGAAAACACAGGCCAAGGCTTCTAAGCGATCTGTTCGCTGGAAGGATGACGAGGAGGATGGTCCCCTCACTGAGTTCCAGAAGACACCCCAGAAAGCTCCTGAGTCCTCGGACGATACCAGCTCCGAAGCGGAGCCCTCCGAGCCTTCTCTACCAAGGACAGCATCTCCTATTCCACGAATTATTCCAAGGGTTGCCAGCCCAGCTTGTTCAGTCTCCCCTGCTCCGGCCCCGCCTGAACCGACCCTGAAAGTTCAGAAGAACAACAACCGGTTCACGGCTGGGTTCCTCTCTAAGAGAACTGGCAGCTCTCCCCTAGCCCCCCCTCCTTCCGTCAGCCTTCCCCCCTTCGACAATGAGAAATCTCCTCTCCGTGACATTGAGGGCAGCAGTTTCTTGAACCGCGCTTCATCAGAGAAGCCCTCCCGGATAGCCGTTCGGTCCCCAAGCGGCAACTTTTCGAGCAGCCCGGTGTCCGACAACAAGGACAATTGGAGGTCCGACAAAAACGAGGCTATGAAAATTAATTCCGCTATGCGCCGTATCTCCAGCAGTCAATTCGGTGCAACATCGGGCAGCAACTCGTTGCGGGTTCACCGCCGTCGCAGCCCTAGCTCCAATACCTATGGTAGCTCTCCAAGCGAGAACACGATGTTCACCGCATCCCAAGCCCGCCGCATGGTCAAGAGCGAGCGTGAGAGTGAGACCAAGCCTAATGTCCTCAGCGCTCACGCCCTGCCTGTCATGAAGAACACGGGACGACGGACCACTCTGGGAGGTGACATCCGGCCTCGGCATGCCAGCCTGTCTAGCAGAGATGCTCTTCGCCTGAGCGCGATCGCAGCACCCACCGTGAACAATACTCCCGAGTTTACCTCCAGTAGACTGCGGTAGACAGACGACCTTCTGATTTAATGTTACCCCTGTACTTGGAACGGTGTACCGGAGCTTGGCATTGGGCGTTGGCGTACTAGATACCACCTTTTTTTTCCTTTCCTTTTTTGTGAATCCTCTCCTCTACGTTCTCCACAGATCTGACAATGCTCTCGTCCCCTTGTTATCTTTCTCTTGTTGTTGTCTACGCCGCTGGACCAGATTGCCTATCGCATTCGGATGTCGACGTTTGTTCTCGCTTCTTTTCTGACATATTCTTCTTGGTGTGTACATTAACAACGTTGATCTGTTTCATTGCAACATTTTCTCGGGCACTATGTCTAGTTTCTGGGCTCGTATTTCTGGAAGCCGAGCCGTACTTCGGCAATTCAATCCTTTAAGGTTAGGGTTCAGTATGGAATGCGGGGAGCTTCGATGTTCCGTGCTGCTTTGTCAGACTTCTGGATGACGCCATTCGAGACCTACGGCTCTAAGCTCCCGATGAGTCTTTATTTCTTTCTCCGCCAATTCTGCCCAGAAGATTCCTTATATTTCCTATACTTCTTTTGCTTCGCAAGAATCTGCGACATTTTGCAATCCGCCTGCTGAAAATCGATCGCCTCAGCTTATCATATCCCCCCACTTCTGATCCAGCAAGTCCCCACCCGAATCCAGAAATTATTCTGGCACATGTCTTTCGCTGCTCCGGTTGCCTCAACACTCTTCTCACGCTTCTTCCGCCCCTTCTCTGCCAGCTCGCCATTCCTTTCCTTGACTCACGAGCCGCAAGCACGCAAGATGTCCAGCACCACTGAGCAGGCCACCCTCGCAGCGGGCTGCTTTTGGGGCGTTGAGCACCTGTTCCGGAAGCAGTTTGGCAACGGCAACGGCCTTGTGAATGCGAAGGTGGGCTACAGTGGTGGCCAGACCTCATCGCCATCGTACCGCGCCGTGTGCTCCGGCGATACTGGCCGTAAGATCTTCTCCGGAGCTCCCCGATGATTCCCAACTGTGCGCGAACACCTTGCTCACCTTTTTGGCGCTCCCCCAGATGCCGAAGCTCTCCAGATCTCATTTGATCCCTCCGTCGTGTCCTACCGTCAGCTCATTGAGTTCTTCTACCGCATGCACGACGCGACGACCTTGAACCGCCAGGGCCCCGATGTCGGCACTCAGTACCGCAGCGTGATCTTCACGCATGGCGAAGAGCAGCAGAAGATCGCGGAGGACATTACGGACAAGGTCAGCAAGGAGTGGTTTAAGCAGCCTGTCTCGACTCAGGTTGTGCCCGCTGGCCAGTGGTGGGATGCCGAGGAGTACCACCAGCTGTACCTGAACAAGAACCCGACTGGATATGAGTGCCCTGCTCAGTATGTGGACCCCAAGTGTCAATTCCCGTTTCACACCGCGTTCCTTCCATTATTTCGTCTTTCGCTGACTGCTCGTGCCTTGCTAGCTTCGTACGGACCTTCCCTCCTCTTTCGGAGTGACTCCGTTCCCATATTTGATGGTACAGCTTGAGCCCCTGGGAGAAGATCTAAACACCATGGCGGAAATAGCATGGCATGTGAAACGACATGACCGTGCTCAGACCTGAAATAGGGTCATCATTCGTTATACGTAATGTTCTTCAATTCTGTGGTCATTATCGCGAATTGAGTCTTTCTCTTCCATCTCGGTAGCGAGTGTTTTATAGCGAGATGGTATATAACGTACGATAAATTGGCACCCGGTCAACCTTCTTATTATGCTTGAGCTTCTGCAAATGCCTAAGTTTCGGCACAAGTAACCTTGGATGGCATGCGGATTACTTTCCTCAATAACCCAGTCAGGGCTGAGATCGGAAAGTCATGCCCCCTCGACGCACACGAAGCCTCTCTCTCACGGGGTGGCGAGAATTATGCCTCCCTCCAGCAGCACCCTCAGGCGTGCAGGGACTGCCCGGGCGGGAAGGCACATGTGTATCAACAAAGAAGCGTGGCACGTACGAGCGCGATTTTTGTTTGTTGACATTTTGATTCAGGCTGAATTTCCCCATCTCTCTCCTTTTAAGTGACAACCACAGCATCTTCCCCTCCAACCTCTTACAACTTTCCACCAACCTCATCTTCCCCATCAACCTCCTACAACTTCCTTCACTAACGACCCTTTGCCTTCCTCAAGTCCTAGCCACACTTTTCCACCACACTTATCCTTCACTCACATCTTTTCACCTCACTCATCTTTCACTTACCACATCTTATCCGTGCCTCCCACTTACTCTACTCATGGGGAAACGCAAATCCGCAGAGGTGGACGCTGAGGCGTCGTCAACTGATGAACTCTCCACGGATATGGTGTGCCATATCAGCGCCCGCTGATCCTTCTCCATCTTCCCTCATCCCCACACCTAAATTTGTTGTGGTCCTCACACCTCCGCATCACTATCTGTCCTCCTACCTTTTGGTGCGTCTTTTCGACGTCAACATGCCTCTTTGGACTTGTGTTACTCTCGCGATGCCAATCAAGACCACCTTTCTGTGGTGTATGCACTTTTTGCGCACTGTGATCAAAAACTCCCAGCCTGGCAACGACGTGCCACTGGAAATCAGCTACGTTCTGGAGCTTGAATGTGGCAAGAGATTTTCCGCAAAAATGACTGCAAACCAGCATGCTAAGAGCGTGCACGACCATGTCAGATGGCCCTGCTCACGCGCAGAGGAGATGGATTGTGACAAGACGTTTACCGCAAAAGGAGAGTGCATTCTGGTTGGCAATCACTTTCGTGGAAATGTTCTTGTCGCATTTCAGCTCCTCTGCACGTGGGCAGGGCCATTTGACGTGGTCGTGTACCTTCTTAGCATGCTGCTTTGCAATCCCTGTTGCGGAATACCACACCGTCCATCCTGTGTCAAGGTTGTTTCGCCCGGAACTCGGCATGCATTCCTGTACGTTTCGCTAGGGTTTTTCCTTCTAGTAACGCCGCGCGGAACTCAGGGGGATCACTTCCCCCGCCATGACTGCTTTCGCCGAAGCATGGGCCTACTTCCACTCTCAGAAGTTGCTCCGTGTCTGCCCGGAGATGATGTTTTCGTCGCCTGGGCGAAGGCTAAACTGACGTTCCACTCCCACATTTCGCAGGCGGTTCGCGATTATTTCGTCCAGGACCCTACTGAGGACGTCCAGCAGTGGCTTGACCAAATGGATGCGGACTTCCCTCTGTATTTGGAGGAAATCTAATCGACTGAATTTTCCTGATGGCCTGAAATGGTGGTGGCTTGGCGACACTTGATGGTGATTATGGTGAATACACACAATTTCGAACAAAGAATAAGCTTTCGCTTTCTGGAACTTTCTGGTCGTCCCCACCGAGTGGGAACTCTATTCAATCTTTATCGGCAATTCAGGAGAGCCTGACGCGTAGTGATCTGCAGCATCGATTACCGTTGTAGATTAGGGACTGTCGATCTGAAATGGCGTACCAACATCTTTTGCTCCGGCTGGCACGCCACAAATCTAAAAAAGCATCTTTCTGAAAAGTCTGTTGGTATTAAGATAGCGAAATTACCTAGTCTAAGGAGGGGCGTGCGTAGTAGTCTCGTCTTGGAAATCATTCCTGGACCACCAGACCATAGAAGGACACTGCCGACGGGACGATCATTCCCAGCACGATGGCCTTGAACATACTGGCGTCATCCCACCCAGCCTTGTGGGCGAACATTCGAGCCAAAGCACCACCGACAATTCCCATCCAAACAACAAAGAAACCCAAATCATTCCAGCGTTTCCAAGCCTTTCCTCGCTTGGACATTTCGCTGGTTGATCGCATGGATGTACCCCATCCATCCTGGAACACAGTAATCAAACTCCAGGTGTGAATCATGGGAAGGGGGATGTTGTAGAAAAAGATGCCAGGCCCAAACCACAACCAACAGTTACTGGGGCCTCGGTCTGGGTTGCGGAAGATGTTGTACAGCAATGTGTAGGCGATGCGAATGCCTATGTCGTACCAGTTGAAATAAATAAAGGAGCGGCCAGTCATGAGATAGTAAATAATATAGCAAAATGCAAGCAGGGGACCAGCCTCTCGCTTGATGGCGGCCCAGAAGAAGAGCGGATTATTGAGGACGTAAATTTGAGGCTGTTGGAAGGATTCAATGTGGGCTGCTCGGCCCCAGCGAACCTGTTGCATAATCCAGCGGCTCAGGGTTGTAGGGGTATCAGTTGCGGCCAATGTGTCCGACACATATGTCACGGTCCATCCACGCATGAGGAGGTTGGTGGTGAGATGACGATCCTCGTTGACAATCATTCGGTGACCGCATACAGTTTGGGTATACCAAGGATACAAGATTGCTGGCAGCGCCGCTACTCGGAAAGCTGTGCTGGGGCCAGACTGGCACTCGCTGGTGCCCGAGGCAGTAGAGGTTGATCGAGTCATATAAAGCTCCGACCAGTATACCACGCTGCCCAGTTTGCTGGTGACCGTGTCATTCTCATTGTGCACAATCAGCCCCGAGCTTCCGCCACCGACGTGGGGGTCACCAGCAATGGTTGCAATGGTGCTTCGTAGAGAATCAGGCAGCACGATCGTGTCAGAGTCGGAAGACCACAGATACTCGATGCCGAGCATCTCGGAGATCACAATGGAGAAAATGAAAGACGTAAACATAATTCCCTTCTTGTGCAAATGTGGCTGGAAGAGGCACAATCGTGTGATGCCACCGGCCTCACCGAGGTCGAGGTCATGCTCGGACAGGATCTCGCGCGCGAGCTGACAGCAGTGGGCAATAGTCGCTTCCATATACACCTCAGGAGCCTGAGCGTTCCCATCAATGGTGGAAAGCTTCTCAAAAGTCTTCATGGCCATCTCGCCAAAAGGCTCGTCAATCTGAATGGTTGTCGATCGGTCGGGGAATACCTGTATCTCCTGTTAGTATGATACGAGGCGAACAGTCTCATAGATGCTGACCTCCTGAAAAACGCGAACCATTTCCATGTCCGGGGTATCATCGCCATCGACGCCCACCAGGACGAAGCGGCAGTCTGCGGCATGTTTGTAGCTATCTAACGCCCGAGCAAACAGCTCTGGGTCTTCACGGTAGCCGACGATCGCCGCCATACAGTCTGTGCTGCTGTCGCTAGTAAGCAGACCGCTAGCTTTCTCCGGGTCTTGGATATCCTGAGAAGGGGCCTTCAACCGCCGCCGGCGATTCCCATTGGCGAAACGATTGTACTCCGCCGTGAAAATGACCAGCAGAATATCTAGAGTCAACGGGTGTCGTGTATAGCCGGTAATGAGCGTGTAAAGTGGGATCACAATAATGCATCCCAGCAAATTAAGAAATTGACGAAAGCGAGAGACGTCGGGGCCCCTTTGAAACATGGAGAACCCCGTATACAAGTCTTTCTCGTTGAATAAGTCCATTTTAACGGCACTCGTTCAGCGCGAGTAGTAACGAACGACGGGCAGAAAATTAGAGGCGAAAAAAAAAATCAACAAAGAATGAGAGAAAGCCTTCAGCAAAGTTAATAAAAGAGTGAATAATTAAATTATTTGGAGGGGTCGCCGGCGCACTGCCAACCTTTTTTTTTTTAAGCCAAACGTAAGACTGCGGGACTGATGCTCGTGGCCTCCGGTTCGGGCTAGAGCCATGCTAGCTGAGCTAACCTAAGACAGACTCAGGGGCTTTCCTCGTTTTTCCGATATGGAAATGAGACCTTTCTCGTGTAGTTTCCTACGGCTCAGCGCTAGGCAGCCCAAGCTGTGAAACCCGGGTGAAGACGGTGAGTCCAAGTGTGGCTCGGTGGAGTTCGTTTCATTGCATGGATCCAGCGGAACGGGCGCAACGGGGCTTGGCAGGATTAGTCTAATTCGCTTCGAGGCTTTTTTTTTAGTTTGGCTATTTCGAGTTGGAGAAACCTTTTAATAAAAAGGAGGTATGCCAACGGTCCGACTTGCTTTGCAACTGCGATGGCGGAGCATCTTCATCCTCTGCAATGATGCGCCAGCAGTTCTACAAGGACAACCGCATAGTCCCCTTGGGGATTATGCTGTTGACGTTCTTTGTCTTTGTCTATCATTTTGAACTGCATCGTCAGGACCCACAAGGCGCGATCACCGCGGCCGCTGTTCCGAACACATTCGTTGAACCGTCACGCCTGGAGAATTCAGATCCCAATCCTAGCTCCAACTATGCGGATGAAGCTGTTGACCAGCCCATTCACCATGTCGTTCCCTCGCCAATTCCGTCCGCCAAACTTACAAGCTCTCCTTCCTCTTCTTCCAGTCATTCTCTTCACCCGCCGACAGGCTTGACCACCGACGATGTGGTCCTGATGTTCAAAACTGGCGCGTCCGTCCTGTGGAAGCGCGTTCCTATCCACATGGCCACCACATTCGCTCCTCACCGCATCAACTCCGACAACATTCTCCTATATTCCGATCACCGCGAAACCATCGGACAGTGGGAAATCATCGATATACTCGCTAACACGTCCGACAAAGTCCGCAACTCAGAACCCTTCCAACCGTACCTCCAGCAAGAGGACTACGAATCGCGTCAGGTTTATGCCGAAGTTTCCAACATGCCTGGCGACGCCGATGGACCGACTGGGGGTTGGAAACTCGACAAATACAAGTTTCTGCCCATTGTCCAGCATGCGGGGCGCAACAAGCCTCATGCCAAATGGTACATCTTCATGGAAGACGACTCCTACATTTTCCTCCCCAATCTTCTCCACCACTTGGAAAAATTCAACCACAAGGACCCATGGTACCTGGGCAGTCTGTCCTGGACCCATGGTGACTACTTTGCTTATGGTGGTTCTGGCTTTGCGCTGTCCCGGGGTGCCTGGGAGAAGAGCTTCGGCACCGACCCGCAGATTGTGGAGAAATACCAAGAATTCACGAAGGAGCATGGCTGCGGAGATCATATCCTGGGCCACGTCTTGCACGAATACGGCGTGCAATTTGGCGAGACCGCTGACGACAGTCGGCTCCGCTTTGGGTTCAACCCCGAATCGCACTGGTCGACCTGGTATCAGCCCGCCAATTGGTGCAAGCCAGTGTATAGCTGGCATCACACGCACGGCAAAGATGTTGCCAGATTCTACAATCTGGAGCAGTCCTGGGACTTTGAGAAGGTAAGTGCTCTCGAGTCCGGTCCACTGGTTTGAAACATCGCGAAGCTGACAGTTCATGCTTACCAGGGTCCGTTGAGATATCGAGACATTTACGAGGCGCTGGTCGCCCCGTACCTACGCCCCCGCGCAGAGTGGTGGGATAATTGGTCAGGCAAATACGAGATCAAGTCCAGCATGGCCGCAGACGCAGAACCACCCAGCACGGTCGAATCCATTGAGACGTGGCGCAGGGCCTGGAAGTCTGTGGACAGCTGCGAGGCCGCTTGCATAGCTTGGGCTGACTGCGTGCAGTGGTCCTTCTACGAAGACCGGTGTAAGATGGACAGTATGGTTCTCCTGGGCAATGGCATTCCTGAAGGCGATTCCAGACGGCAGACTAGCCTGCCGTGGGTCAGCGGATGGCTGTCGAGTCGGATTGAAAACTGGGCTTGCGAAGAATGATTCAGAGACTTAATATTAGTGTACATACTCCGTAGATAGAGTAAGACGATCATAATATCAGCAGGCACAAGCCACCGGCTCGTTAGCCCCCTGTCAAGGTCTCGAGCGCCCAAAATAAGAGTGAAACAACCCGTCCCAGGCGCCAGGATTTTTTTTTACTCCCAAAAATGTGTTCGGCTATCTACTGTACTCGTAGACCATACCTATTCCAGAAAGGATGTGCCCGGTGGCGTCAGAAGGCGTACGCCAAAAGGGCCCTACGCTAAAATAACTGGGCCCTGCTAAGACTGCGCTAGTCGACCCCCAATAATAAACGTCGGGTTTTGGTACATTATACTCGTCAAAATAATTCGAATCATCTGATCTCTCTTCTGCCATCCCTCTCCTGCGGCACCCATGGACCGCACCACCTGGCTCGATGGCCTCCGGGGCATCGCAGCGGCCATCGTCGCGACGGATCACTATTTCATGGGTAGCGTTTTAGACCATGCCTTCCTCTCGTTCTGGACCGATCCGCCCGAGGAAAATCGGCGGCTCATCCAACTACCTCCTATTCGCCTCCTTTTCGCGGCCCACGCGATGGTCCCGATGTTCCTGGTGATCTCGGGCTACGCGATCTCTATCAACCTTCTACGACTTCGAAATAGCAACGACAGCAATTTTGTACGTCGTCTTTCTTCCGCCGTCAGCCGACGAATTTTCCGCATCTATCTGCCGGTCTTTGTCATCGCGGTCATATCCCAGCTTCTGTTCTTTTGTAATCTCTACCAATGGAACTTTGGTGATGAAATCGTCAGGGGCAGGAAACCTTGGACTGCGCCATGGCTGCACATCACCTACGTCTTTCGTTATATGATCGACATCATGAACATCATCAATCTTCAAGGGAACTCTGGCTTGAGCAGCCAGCTCTGGACGATGCCTGTGGAATTCCGAGGATCTTGTATCGTCTATGTCACAGTCTTGGGACTAGCATTCTGGAGGCCGCAGCTCCGACGCATTGCGCTGGCATGCCTAACCACCTACTGGTTCTATTTTGGGCTATGGGAAGTCTTTGCCTTCTTGGCCGGTCTATACCTAGCTGAGATGCGGTTATTGTCAGGAGCAAGTTCGTCAGATGAGGAACCAAAATTGCCCTTCCATTCCCTAACAGATTGGACGTCACATTTCAAGTCCGTCAATTTTTCGACAATCTGGAAATATTCTTGCTTCATTTTCGGGATTTACCTGGTTTGTCTTAGTGACGGTGGTGAATTACCACCTGACTACCGATTCCTCAAATTCGTCGAATCTTCGCGCTGGGAGAACGACTGGTGGGTTGTGAGCAGATGCTGGAAGACGGCAGGTTCCGTTCTTGTGGTTTATGCCATCAGCCAATTACCCCGTCTCCAGCGTCCGCTAAATTCATGGCCGATGCAGTATCTGGGGAAGATCTCATTCTCGCTCTACCTTGTGCATCAAACTGTCTACCATCTTGTGCGTGACCCTGTGAGAAACTTCCTGTGGTTTATTGCCACCAGAGAGCCTTATTCCGAGAACTCCAGGCAGTATACAGTGCCGTTTGCATTTTCATGGTTGGCGGGATACGTAATCATGTCTGCAATCAACCTGTATGTGGCACACTTGTACACGAAGTATGTCGACGAGCGCTGCGTGCAGATTGCACAAAGGATCGATAGGTGGTTTACTCGGCAATAATCACATGTATAGATGTATGATATAAATCGGGATGGCGTGGTCTTTTCTTTATTCAAAGCATGGTTTCTGATCAGTCGTTTAATTCCGGTTTCTAAGACTCTGCTGAGATCTAGGAGCGTCGCCTTTCACATGGAATGTATAAGCCCTGTTGGCAGTACGTACTCCGTACATTTCACGAGTATAACTCGCATTATAGGCGTTAATCAGGGCTAGTGATGATAACACACGTTATGGAGAGCAGCGAGAACAGTAGAGCAGGCATTGCAGTAGCATAGGGAAGTGAGATACCGCGCGTCGGATGCTTTCCAATGAGCGCCAAAACTTAGGCAACGAAGGGAAGTCTTGGACTTTGTTCCCCGTAGAGGACATCCAAAGACTTTGTCCACTCTTGGGGTGGCGTTTTCCCCTTCTTCTTCTCTGGAGAAAGAGACCTCGAAAATTATTTTTCTACAGAGCTCGCTCTCACTCGAGTCGTCACTCTCATTTTCTTGGGCTCGACCCTTTCTGAACAAGTCTATCTAAAGTTCACCAAGCACTGAAAGTGACAAGAATCCCTTGGATAATGACTCAGGCCTCCGGGAATTCGAGACTTCCTCTGAAGCCTTACGACGAGGGCTGCTGCGTGCGACAAAGCAAGGCATGAAACACATCAATGCTTTCGCAAGAATCATCTAGTGTATCGTGTGAGCCCTGCTCGAAGACTTGCGTTTTAATCTACGCTCCCATTTGATTTCTACCTTACTCTTATCACGTGTCTCGCCTATGATGAGATGTTGACCAACCAAACTAAGGTTGATTGAGGATATCTACAACTCCAACCATCTTCAGGACCAAGCTACACTTCCAAAATGAATAAAAAGGCCCATTCTGTTATTCAATATTCGACTTCTGATGCTAATTTCATACTTGGGTCTCAGTGTTCCAAAATGAAAGCGAATCCTCAGTGGTCAATATGGGCCTGGAATACCGAAGATGACAATGGGCATTTCAAGCGCTGATCCACATCCTCCGAGTGAGAAGCCGGCTTTCGGTTCCGAGACTTGAATCAATAATCGTCCATTCTCCCTTCTTGTCCCTTGTCCCTTGTCCCTTTTGTAGTCTTGTAGTCTCGTATAGTTGTCGTTCCTGGGGGTTTATACCGTGGTATCACGTGCAAGGTGGGTAAGTGAGGAGGATCTCCACCAATTGGAGAACAATCGCCAATGTTGTAGTCGCTAGTTTCGCCCTTAACTAGAATTGACTGGTGCGAAACGACTCTTCCTCTGTCGTTCCAGCTTACCTCTGCTTCCCCTTCCACAAAATATGCAGCTTTAACTGTCCTCACCAAAGTTCTACTCTTCCCACTGATCTTGTTCTGCGGCTCCATGGCCGTACCGGCGTCCTAGAGCCCGCTAGTCTGGAGTCTGCCGATATGCCGGGCCGCCCATCAGCCCATTTGACGGGTGCTACGATCGGGCTTTTAAGATCGAAATCAGGATGCAAAACTTGCAAGTAGGTGTCTGGTTTCATCTTATCGAAGACTATCCTCCTAACTGCGTTCAGAATCCGAAGAGTCAAGTGTGGAGAGGAAAAGCCTCACTGTGTGCGGTGCACCAGCACAGGTCGCACATGCGAGTATGAGCGCATCAAGTCCAGCAAATTCTCTTCTACCTCCTCTGTACTTCCCGTGCTCACCAATCCACTTTCGTTGTCACCGAACACGGTGTGGAGAGAGCGGCGTGCTTTTGCCTACTATTTTCAGCACGCCGCATCGTCTGTTGGCGGTGGACTGGATGTTGACTTCTGGCGCACCATCGTCCCCCAGGTTTGCCGGAGTGAGCCTGCGGTATGGGACGCTATCATCTCCGTCAGTGCACTATTTGAGAGTCCCGAGCCAATTGTAGACCCTGGTCTCACACAAAATCACCGAGACGCGCTAGGCTGGTACTCGCGCTCAGTGTCTGCTGTTCGTCAGCAAATTCAGCGGGGCAGTATTGATACCTTTGTCGGGCTGATCAGCTGCGTCCTTTTTATCTGCATTGAGGCCCTCCAAGGCGGAGTCGACGAAGCCATACAACTGTTTTGCCAAGGCGTGCATCTTATTCTCGCGTTGCGCGCCCAAATAGCCGATGGGCTAGTGACGGCTGCTAAGGCGGCATTGTTGGAAGATACAATCGTTCCAATCTTTATTCGTTTAGGATTGATTGGCTTTACCTTCTCTCGAGCGCAGATCAGTGCCCTGCTACGAGACTCTGAACACAAACCGATACGGCTATTTGTCTCCCTTAGATCCGCTCGGGAGGGAATCGTTCGCCTCGCCGCAGAGATACAGTTCTTTCAGCATACGTGTGAAGAGCATCTATTACGCCCTGATGTATCCCATGTGCCCCCGGAGCTGATGGATCTACAAACAGTACTGTCGGACAGGTTGAGGGACTGGCATACTGCTTTCGTGAACTTGATGGAATCAATGCATGCCACAGAAGCTGTAACCCCACAGGACATCGGCACCGGTGCCCTTTTCTCTGCCGTTTACGAGGCACTATTCATCATGCTCGAGGTTTGTGTCTCATCAACAGAGGCCATCACCGACACATTTTTGCCGAACTTTCAGAGGATAGTGGAACAGTCTCGCATCACTCTCGATGCATCAATGCGATCGGACGGCACACAACCACCGTTCACATTTGACATCAACCCCGGCATCCCACTGTGGTTCACCTGCCTCAGATGTCGGGATCCTACAATTCGACGCGAAGCACTGGCTCTCATGCTTCGATCTCCTCGGGTGCAGGGGTTTCACAGTTGCATGTCTGCTGTCACCTTTGGCGAGAGGATTATGTTGCTCGAAGAGATGAATGGGGAGGTAATGAGCGCAGCTCCAGAACCAATGCATTTCTCGACCACAGAATCGCTCATCGGATATCAATATTCCCCGTACTCTAGCGATTCTCCCTCGCGCGCATCTCCTGGGTCTTCGGACCCCGAAACATTTACTCCAACAGCACAGGCTATCCCGGAAGAGGCACGCATCGGACATTTCGATGTCTTCCAGCCAGAAAAGGGGCTTCCTCCAGAGATGACAGAAGAAGTCATGGCAAAGTGGAACCTCAGTCGTGATCGACCCTTTTTGGGTTTCTGGCGAAACGAGCGCGATCCAACCAACGGCACATGGCGGATGGTCCGTGAATACATTCCCATGGATCTAAAATATTAATTAGAGCTTCAACTGTTCTTGTTCGGAAGGATGATTACGATCAAGATAATGCCGATAGGTATGAATTGGAAGATATATAATACATGTACGCACAGGCAAATAACGAACAAGAGTAAGTTCACACCTACTTAAGACCACCTTCGCCTTCATTGCGTTCGGACACTGACCTTGGCGAGCAATTTCATTCTGCGCCACGCGGACTACATGAATGTTCTGAGGCCCTACCAGGGGATCCACGGGCTGGAAGAGCTACAGCCTGCAGATAAGGAGCCCCGATGAGCGATAGTCGGAGCGAGTCACCCTCAGCCATTCATTCTTTCAATTGGCTCCGATTTCGCGACATGAAGAGCCCACCCGGAGCCTCGTCGACGGTGGCCCGAGCCTCAAGATAAAACACTCGCGACGCTATCATGGCCTTAGCGTACCAGGGCTATATTTCGGTCGCAGACTTAACCCAGTATAAGGTCACCTGACCCACATTTCATGTTAGCACCCTCAACCGAGCACCGTTCAAGAACTAATCTCCGGTGAAAGGTTACCGAATGGCACCCTGTCCCCTGTCTCGCGTAGAAATAATTTCCCGCCTGACTCGTCGCGATTGGTGGCGGGCTCATTTCGTTGTTGGCAGAACGCCACTAGCCTGGAAGCGGCAACCACGACCTCGTACGACAATCCCGCGTGGTACCAAGCCAGGGGATATATACTCCGTATGCACACGTCGGACGCCACGCTGGGGGTTGGCGCGATCTGAACAAGTACGGAGTAAGCAAAACATTACCCGGGGTGCGGAGTAGTACAGTCAGTGGTGAGGCCACGCCTGCTTTTCTCCTAGCATTGACTTTCCATCAGGAATCCAAGGTCAGACTGGGTGTACATACTGTAGGTGTACAGTAGGTACTCCGTACGCCGACCGAGCTATTAGGCTTGAAAGCTTTGCCCCTTGCCTATCTGGGGGATGACGATGACACATTCCTTGGCTGGACATTGAACAGCCACCCCTAGAAGAGTCAACAGATGATCTCTGATCTCCTAGCATTTCTTCTGGAAGCATAGCTGCGGTTGCTGGCCAAAATTACGACTGTTTACCATATCAGTAAGGCTGGCTATCGCCCACGATTACAACAGGTTTTTGCTGAGCTTTCCTTTCCGCCCCTGACTTTGTGCCCAGACGATCAGCAAGCGGCGCTCCGCGTTAGCTCCGGAGTGAGTGCCCATCAGCGGGAGCCAACTGGCCCGGTCAAGCGGGACCAGGTTCCCTTCGTACTGGATCGACAGCTGCTCGTTCCTGAGCGACATTGCTGTTTCTTGGGCTGGGAAGTTCTTGCGGATTGAGCACATTGATGTGCATCTAACTGCCATGCCGAGGGTGTACCTCCTGTCCATCAATGCCCGGTACGTCTGCCTGCTGCCAGTCTGTCGCTTGGCTGCCATTCTGGGTAGGCTTGGGGTCTTGGGATCGTCTTGGTGCCGAGCAGTTGCAGCAGTTGCGGGTTATTTTAAACCTCGTTCACTTGAGTTTGCGGGTGTGCGAGTTTGGCGCCCAGACTAGTGGGGGGCTTGGGACTGTGGTGTCCACGGGGAGGGTTTCCTTTTGCATTGCAGCCTGGCTAGGTCGGTGGTGCGCTCCTGATCCAGAGGGGGTTAGCTACTCCGTAGTCACTCTAGTTAGACCGAACGGTGGCGAGGGGGTCGGCTTTCCGTGCCCGAGGAAAGCAGTCCGGGCGGAGTGGCACGAGAAGTAACCCTGTGGATTGGTGGGTTCAATTGGTTCAAGAGGGAACCATAATACTTGGACAGTGCAAGGAGTGTGGGGAACAACGATTGGATCATTTGTTCTTGCTGTGCACGATGTGTCCACCAGCCGTCTTCCTCGAAGTCATGAGTTCATCAATACTCCGTACAATGTATCGTACAGGGTCTCCTGTAGATTTTGTGTACTCCGTACACCGTACAGTACTAGAGAAACCGTTCGTTCGGAACAGGCTGCTGGACACAAACGCCTGGGGGAAATGTCTCAGGTGGCCGGTTAATCCCAGCAAATGAACTAATCCAGTCTCCGAATCGCTGGCAAATGAAACCGTGCATCTCATGACGAGTCGTCTGCCTATCCCTTTCTTGCCCATTGAGACGGGGGTCCGCTAGTCTGTCTCATTTGAAGTGCATTTACTGCGGACACCTGACTTGAGTGAGTGAGCTACTGTACATACGCTGTCCATCATCCTCCATACCTCCCTGGAGGCAAAATCCAAGAATAGGCATCAGATCAGAATAACCCGGACAACCATAAACTTTCCCATGGGACTGTGACGCAGTCTTCCAACCCCCTTCGGTACCGAAAATACCAAACAGACTTACTGTACGGTACCGACTGTAACCGGGTGCACAGACAACGGGGGCGCTCCACTCGCCTCTCCAGGGCCTTTGTCCTTTTTCTCCTGGGCATTGCATGCGTCTCCACCCCAGAGTCCCCTAAAAGTCCCTTGTATTGTAAAAACAGCACCATGTAATCTATGGACGATAAGACGTGAGGCCAGTGCCAAACCTGCCCCAAGGGGGTTAGCATCGGCGTTGTTCCTTGGTTGTTTACATCTAGCGGTTCTTTATTACACTCTCTGACCCAGCCATTGACCCTTGGGTACACGCCGAGCGCCCGATTGATGGACTTTGAAGGGACTGTCATTGTTCGTGCGCTCCTCGTAAGGCCCGTGAAATACTCCAGGCACCCCCCCTCCCCCCGTCTCTTTCCTTCAACGCCCTCAAGCAGTGAAATCGAGCTCACTTGCTGCCCTTCGTTCGACTCTTATTCTTTTTCTAATTCCCACAGTTCGCTCGTTTGTCTGTGGTTTTCTCATCCTTTTTCTTGTAAATTCTCATTTCGCACATATCCACCCCCGTATATAATCTCACACAATGGTCCGTTTCGTGACTCCGCTCCTGGCCCTCTCGGCCCTCTCGGCCACCGCGCTTGCAGCCACCACCACGACCTGCAGCACCAGCAGCCAGTGTCCTGAAGACAAGCCCTGCTGCTCTCGTGAGTCTTTCCCTTCTGCACGGGTCGCGACCCGCGGCCGATGCAATGGCTAATTTCCTGGCTTTGCGCAACAGAGTATGGCGAGTGCGGCACTGGCGCATACTGCCTCGGTGGTTGCGACATCCAATCCTCCTTCTCCATTGACTCCTGTGCCCCCATGCCCGTCTGCGAGAACAAGAGCTACACTTGGGACAACCTGGACAACTCCATCCTGAACACCAAGTACCTGGGCAACGCCAGCGACGCCGACTGGACCTACAGCGGCTACCCCAAGACCGAGGATGGCAACCTGCTCATGACCATGCCCAAGAACAGCGTGGGCACCCTGTTCGCCAACAACCACTACATCTGGTACGGCAAGATCTCCGGCAAGATCAAGTCCTCCCGCGGCCAGGGTGTCGTCACGGCCTTCATTCTGCTCTCCGATGTCAAGGATGAGATCGACTATGAGTGGGTCGGCGCCGACTTGACGGCCGTGCAGACCAACTACTACTGGCAGGGCGTCCTGGACTGGCACAACAGCGGCAACGCCTCCGTCGCGGACAAGGATACCTTCGACGACTGGCACACCTACGAGATCGACTGGCAGCCCGACCAGACCCAGTGGATCGTGGACGGCGAGGTCAAGCGCACCCTGCTGAAGTCCGACACCTGGAACTCGACGGCCAACCGCTTCCAGTACCCCCAGACTCCCGCCCGCCTGCAGATGTCGATCTGGCCCGCCGGCTTGGCCAGCAACGCCCAGGGCACCATCGACTGGGCCGGCGGTGTGATCGACTGGGACAGTGAGGACATCCAGCAGAAGGGCTACTACTACGCCACGATCGGCCAGGTCGACGTCGAGTGCTACTCTATTCCTGACGGCACCGTGCAGTCCGGCAACACGTCCTACGTGTACACCGACGCGGCCGCAATGGTCAACAATATCGCCGTTACCGATAACTCCACCGTCCTCGGCTCCCTCGGCGCCACCGGCCTTGACATGACGCTCGGCGCCAACAGCAGCAGCGCCACCTCCACCGGCAGCGACAGCGTGCCCACCAGCAACGGCGGCTCGGGTGGCATGGCCGGCAACAGCACCGGCTCTACCTCGGGCAGCTCGACTGACAGCAGCACCTCCTCCTCGGCCACCAGCACGGGCTTCAGCCAGGGCACCGACACTAGCAGCAAGGGCAACAGCGCGCCCGCACAGGGTGAGCGTGTCCTGCGGGGCTCGCTGTTCGCGGTTCTCGTGGCCGTGGTCGTTCTAGTGACGCAGTAAATATAGCGTGAATTTGGGATTTTTTTGTCTGATATCTACCCTCACTCTCCTTAGAGCATCAACATTTTGGTTTCCATACTTCCTTTTCTTTTCTTTTCTGTTCTTTCTCGTCTGCTCATCTCACGAGTAAGATTTCGATATCGGAAGCGGGTTCTGCTTCTCGACTGTCTCTGACTGAAAATTTTGATCCACCCAATGAGAAAACATCTTTGCTTCTCTTGTACTATCGCCTGGTTTTGGTGTCCTTTTGGATCAGTTGAATTTTTTTACGCCCTGCCCATGTCTGAAATATCCTGCTTCCCCTGCTGCTACGTCCTACCCGGCGTTTCCCTCTTCCGATACCACCTGGATGGTTGCACTGTTAGACCCTTTTTTTCCTTTTCTTTTCTCCTTTCTTTCCTTCTCGGTCCTGCTTGATGTCCTGTTATGTATGCCCCGTTCTGCGACTGCAATGCAGCACCGCATTTCCTGCACATGTTTGGAAATACCTAGCACTGCTATAGGTCTTGGTCCGGCTCCTATTCCGGATCTGTGATAATGGGTGGTCCTGCCTCAATTATACTCGATCTCTCCGGTACACGCTTCATTTCCAGCTCCCCGTTACACCTCGTATCTATTAGAGTCAACACTCCCATTTCCGCTTGGCCGTAGGTCTGCGCCTCTACACGCCGTAAACCCTTCCCCTCCCTCTCCCCCTCTTGACAAGACGTCCACTCAAGCTCTCGTATTCATGCAGGGGTTTTCATGGTCAGTGGTGGGTTCCGCACTGGACGGGCCGCGTCTGGTTGGGCGTTGAATCCGGGCCCCTGCAGGAACCCCGTGGCTCCACTGTTGCTGTTTCACGCAGTGTTTTCGGGTTCCACGTGGAAACTGGGGCTGCGGAGGGGGCTGCTAAAATGTGGTGATGGGGAGGCCGTGTGGGGAATGGTGCGTGCTTTGGATAGGGCGTGTTCTAGATCGCGCCACTGGCGTGGTATGTCGGGATTCGTTTACTGCATTTACTGTGTGCGTGATACCTTTGCTGTGGGAGTGATGTGGGCAGGTCCTTTGTTGGAGCTGGGATTATGGCTTCTATGTCATAATGTACGGCCTGGGGTTTGCTTGGATAGGCTAGCGGGTGAAAGGAGACATGAGGCGTGGGGTGAAAGGCCACCCGCGGGGCCGAATGCATACAAACAAGCCTGCGGCAGGTCCGGCATGTCAAAATTGAACCGGAGTCACCTACACGGCGAAGAAAACGATCAGCTAGACGAACGAACTGGTAACGGCGTAAGAGTCAAGACGATGGGGTGTGAGGAACGCCAAACCCACGGCCTATCGAGAGGTTGCGGAAGACCACATTCATACACGTTGAGGTCTGGTGGTAAACATCAGAAATAGACACCAAACTATGGTCAATTGACCGCAGCAGGAGAATTTGGACTGCCAGAGTGGGGATGGTAGGAGATGGAGATACAGGAGTAAGGAAGGCAGTTGAAATTATAGAGATCCGCGGGATACAAGGGCGTTTGATTTCTGTTTTCTGCGGGGGTTTGGGTGATTTACTCTACTGCAGTATAGCGAAACGTGGTTTTCTTATGTATCTACTATTTCATGCGCGAGGTTTGGCGTTTGGATTGCTCTTGCTTCCGACAGCGGAAGGTCCTGCATAGGCATACGCCACTCGTTAGCCTGCGTCAGGTTAATAGAGTAGTATCATCATCATCCTCATGGGTTATGTTGAATTAGACTGCCCGCGCATAATGTTTTATTCCCGGAGGCAGCAAGAGTCTTGAAAGGCGAAAGAAGTTTTAGCCTTTGAATAAAAGGTTACATCAATGAACGTATAGTGATAGGGTTCTTGTTTGTGGAATTTCCCAGGTTATGAGTATTAAGTTGAATCCTAAGAATACCACGCACTCTCGCTCGAGCATATCACGAACCCAAGCCACCTTCAAACCCCCAGCTTGGAATCCAGACACGCACCTCGTCAACATCGCCCACGCTCACAGAAATCATTCATTCAAAGGGCAAGACTCATGACCCACCCCTCTCCATCCTCCCCCAGCTCCCACTGCCTAGCATGGAGGTGTAGAATGTGTAGAACAAATGAATTGGAGCTGACGATGGCCTCCAGTCCCAAAACTCTGCAGCACGATGTGTCTTTACTGGGGCATTTACTACTGTGATTGCGGCCACGTCCGATTCCAACTGCACCGCTTCTGCCGCCGACTCTTCGCTCAGCTGCAGCGCATCAACGATCCCGAGCAGCGAGGGAAATACCTGCTGCCTTTCGACCCGAACATACCAGGCTGTGAGCCTATTGCCGTCTTCCGAGACGACAAGCCAGATGAGACACAGCCTAGTAAGGGGAATGTAGTGCACTGGAGGTACAATGTGTCAGAGCCTTGCCCTTCGTGCGAGGCTCATTCCTTGCATCGGAAACAGGACGAGAGCCAGAGAAAGCGTGGTTGAAGGTATTTGGAGGACCGGGCGTTAAGAGTGTGGGCTTGTTTCGGTGATATCCCAGCGGGTTCGGAGTCTCAGGGCATGAAGGAGTTTGCTTTCGCATAGATTGTTTGTATAGAGTACACAATGCCACAAACCCTGACAGAATCAACCCAGTGTATATGAAAGAAATCCGGCGTGGATGTGAAAGAGAAATAATGAGCGCCCACCCAGCTAAAACGCCAAACTGATAAAGCCGAAAATCGGGACTTCTGAAGATATGCTATGGGAGACATCGCGCGCGAAATAGGTCCAGTCCTCTAGTGGACTCCGCCACATCCGCAGTCGTCAAGCGATCGCTTCTTGAAGTCCCCGTGGTACGTATCCAGGCCCTCGGTCCGCACGGATGAGCCGTGGGGATCCCCCATCCAGTTGTACTTTTCTTGGGTGGTAGACTCCTCGCCAGACATAGTCCAGTAGGCGGCAGACTGGAGGCGCTTGGTGACGGCTTCGACGTCGAGGTCCAGGTAATCGGCAAGGAAGGCGCCCACATCAGTGTTCTCGTTGTTACCGACCAAGGGCCAGGCATCCTTGGAGGAGGATGCATAGATGTTGACGTCAGCAGCTGCGTAAATAGTATTAGCAGGGATGTGTACTGAGGTGTGCCACCCGGGGGGCGGGGGGTCAATCTTACCGGAGTGTCCATGAGTAGACCAGCCGATCTGCGCGCGGCGGCTGACCATGTCTGCAAAGACATACTGGGGAGACACCTCGGGTTCAGGGTTGAGCAGGGCATTAACCTCCTCATCGGTGGCATCGCTGATACCAAGGTCCTTCTCCAGCAGCGTCTGGCGGATATAGGCCTTCTTCTTCGAGTCATCGTCGTTCTTGCCGGCCTCGGAGAGATGCTTGCTCAGCTTGGCGGCAACGTACTCGCTGGAGTGTTCGGCATTGGCCAGAATACGGGGCAGCCAGAGATACTGGGGGTAGCTCTTGTGAAGCTGTCGAGCGGCGGCCAAACCACCGGTCTCGTGATCGGAGGTGCTAACAAGCACACCGGGTGTCTCATCCTTCTCCAGGAATTCAAGGACAGCAGCGAAAGCCTTGTCGTAGGCAATGACTTCGTGGACCTGCGCAGCGGGGTCGTTTCCGTGACCGGCGTGATCTATGCGAGACCCCTCGATCATCAGAAAGAAGCCCTGTTCGCTATCCCGAGTCGCCTCGCTCAAAGTCGTCAAAGCCGTGCGAGCCATCTCCTCCAGGGAAGGATAAACGTCGTTCTGTGAGCGGCGGTCGATCTCATAAGGAATGTCCGTCTGCGCGAAGAGGCCCATCAAAGGCAGCTTGGCTTCAGTGCCGCCATTTAGGGCATCAAAAGCAACTCGGTCCTGCAAGTAGGTGAACCCATTCTTCGAAGCAAGGTCGACGATATCGCGGTCATCGCCGCGGCAGCTGCCATCCGTGGAGTTTGGTAGGAAATGGCACCGCCCACCGCCCAGAATCAGGTCAACAACCCGGCCCAGCGGGTGCTCACCAGCCTCCTGCTCCGCGATGCTGTCCTCGTACTGACGCAGATTGGCATGTGAAGCAAAGCATGCCGGAGTTGCGTCTGTGATGCGGGTCGTGACAACCAGCCCGGTATGATAGCCCGCCAGCTTAGCGGCCTCGAGCACAGTGCCACACGGGGAGTGGTCTGGGAGCACGGAGATGGCTCCATTGTAGCTCTTGTGCGCACAAGAGAATGCCGTCGCACCGGCCGCCGAGTCCGTCACCAGGCTGTTACTAGATCGCGTCCGGGACTGGCCGATGTGGTGCCTGTCCAATACCAAAGTATCATCGATGGGCAGGCCCTCTGTCAATTGTCGGAAACTCCTGGTCATCGACAGACTGGTAGGCCCCATGCCATCAGAGACCATGAAGATCAGGTTGCGCTTGCCGGACGGTCTGCCATCAGGGCCCCAGGCGTCCTTGGTGGTACGGTGACTCTTCGCTGTCTCATGCTGGTAGACCACCGCGAGGACGATCACCAAGATGGTTGCGATGACTGCCCAAACAAACGTCCCGACCTGTCCCCAAAAGCCCCAACCCCGTCGTGGGAGTTCGTGACGGCGACCCGTCCGCTCGCCGGTCAAGAGTGCATCTTCCTCTTCGGCATTTCTGACCGAGGAGTGGTCGGAGGAAAGGCGCGGGGCCAGAAGGGGCTCATCTCCCGCCATGGCTGGTAATTTATTGAGTCGAGTCGAGCTCAGGTACCTGAGCTTCCCCGAGTGGTTGGTGGAGTCAGAACAGAAGGGGCCGGGGGGGGGGGGGGCTGGGCTGAGGTAAGATAAGATAGCGCGTTCACATGACCACCAACACCCTTAGATTTTACAAATGCGGTATAGGCAGTTATCGCGATTTGGAATCAAAAGAATAATGTACACAATAGGGGAATCAATTTGCCGCCTTTTCGCATGGTACCAACTCCTCCGCTAGAAACCCTGCTGCTTGATCTCATGACCGTCCCTTCCACCCGATGGGGATCAGCGCCGCCGCGATCTCGGAGACTCCGCGCTCCGTCGCAAGCAGGTTGAACTGCGCCGCCGCATTCCGGGTATCCTGAATATCTACACGGATGCCTAGCGAGTTGATGTGACGTTTCGTCTCCGGCGAGAGGGGATGCATGCCGCTACCCAGGCCGAGAATGAGCATATCTACGATATCAATCCATCAGCAAGCTGAGCCAGCCGGGTTTTGCCCGAAACAGTAATAGTTCGAGTGGTAGCACAATGGCGTGGTCAGATGACAAGATCCCCATTCCACGAGGCTCATGACCGCCGGAGCGTAAAAGGTAAACGAGAGAGGGAAAGAGAAAGGTATTACGTACCGGGACGCGGCCACACCACGCTCAGCAATCCCCACGCCTGCTCGTCCAGCTCGAACTGGCCCTTGGCGTTGATCATAGACGCCTTGGCCGCACGGTCATTCTCCGCGCCCTCGAAGGTCTTCCATGGCCGCCACGAGAACGCTTCTCCACCCACGAGCAGCAGCGCATCGCCACCGGTGATTTTCACGCCGCTATTCAGGTGGAAGCCGGAGTCGAGGCAGGCGTCGATGGCAGTGCTGGGGATGGGGGTGTTGCCGAGGACGTTCAGCGCGGCGAAGTCCGTCTGGGTATCTTCCTTAGACTCGGGGCCGCGGTCGTGACTGGCGGGCTTGTGCGCGTGCGAGCGGGGAATCATGCGAGTTGGGCGGATTGGGGAGCTGTAGCTGCGTTGTGTAGATGGGATGTCGAGGGATGTCAGGGCGCGAGGGAAGCGGGTGGCGCTGCGTAGAGGGCGAGGGTCCGGTGAGCTCAAAAGCGAAGTGCGCAGAGCGCGGAGGAGCCGAGGGGATGGCGTTTGCATTGTAAATTGAAAAAGAGAACTCTAACAGGAAGACTCGTGAGTTGGCGATGAAGTAGGCGATGGATGAAGGATTCGGGTTAAGATGTCGACAAGCTTGCCGCGGTCTTGGCATCCCAGTATGTCCTCCTCGTCTTCCCCTGAAGTACGATTACCGCCCGACATGAACGCATACAGTCCATCCCCTCGTGGAGCTTTGGAAAATGGGAGTGTGTTTACGATGAATTGACCAAAATGCAAACATATTGTTCTCAGGTCGTGTCGCCAACTGATCAGGTTTGACTGGTTCGTGGGAAGTACACGCACCAACATGGGCGGCACTCTTCTAAATGTTGAGAACACACTCCTCAATTGAAAAGTCCTTTGTATTAATAGATCCGTTTCGGCGGCCCGAGTGATTAATCTAGTTTTTATTTCCAGGAAACCCAACCGTGACCAATTGCACCTCGGGTTTGATATGAAACAAGGACAAGGCAGAATGACTTCACTCATGCGCGTCGTGAAAGCCCCAAACTCCAATAAACGCGATGGGATGAATGCGACAAAAAAAGATACAGAAAAAGAGTAAAGACCCTGCACCAGTAAGGAGGAAAGGAAAAAGTAGAGGAAGACCCGAAAAGAAAGAGGGCGAAGATTAGGAAAGAACGCAAACACAAAATCCACATCTCCTGCGACCCTTGCTGTTCTCCGGTCACATTACTGCCCACTTGCTTCTGGCGTCGGGTTCTGAAATGTTTCGAGATAGCATATGCACACATCAAAAGGTAAAACCTGTGAGGAGAGTGCTGGGGGCGGGATTTGAGTTGCCTGTACAGGGCGTCCGCGGTTAGAACGGATTTAGTGGGCTGGGCGACGGGTGCCATTGCGATCCTCGTCGGATTGACTGGAGCTGTCATCGCTGTTGGTGGCATTGCGGATGCGCTCGGCACGATCTTGAAGAACTTGAGCTTCAGCTGCGGCCTTCTGGGCTCGGATCTGCTTGCGCCACATGCTGGCGTAGCGGCCCTTCGCAGCTAGCAATTCCTCGTGAGTACCGCTCTCAGCCACCTGACCATCAGCCAGGACCAGGATACGATCGGCAGTGGTGATGGTGCTGAGACGATGTGCGATCACGAGCATAGTACGGCCGTGAGAGAGGGTCGAAAGGGCGCGCTGAATGTGTTCTTCGGTGTCAGTGTCCAGAGCGGCGGTAGCTTCGTCCAGAAGGATAACCCGAGGATTTTTCAGGATAGTGCGGGCGATTGCGACTCGTTGCTTCTCGCCACCGCTCAGTCGTAGGCCGCGCTCGCCAACCTTTGTGTTGTAACCGTCAGGGAAGTTCATGATCTTGTCATGGATACTGGCCGCGCGGCAGGCCTCGAAGACGTCTTCATCGGTGGCGTCCTGATTGGCATACTTCAGGTTGTACATCAAGGTCTCATTGAAGAGCACCGTATCCTGAGGCACCACACCGATGTGCCTTCGAAGAGAATCAATTGTGATATCTTGGACATCATGGCCATCAACAGAGAGGCAGCCCTTCTCAGAATTGTAAAATCTGAATAGCAGACGAAAGACGGTTGATTTGCCGCCACCAGACTCGCCAACCAAAGCAGTGGTAGTGCCCGGCTCGCAGCGGAACGTGAGCCCGTTCAATGCTGGCTTCCGTGAATCGTATGAGAACTCAACATCCTGGAATCTGATATCGCCCTTGCACATAGCCAGGGGAGTAGCATAGGGGCTATCGACCACCGTAGGCTGCTCTCGGAACAGTTCTAGCATGCGCTCGGCGTTGATCAATGCTGACTGAATAGACCGGTAAAAGGTACCGAAGAAGTTCAACGGGCCCTGGAGTTGGGCCATGTAAGTCAACAAAGTAACAAACTGACCGACGGGGCGCTGGCCAGTGGAGACTTGGTATGCGGCGATGAAACACGTGAGTAACAGGCCGATCATAAACACGGTATTCTGACAGGTGTTGAGAAGCGTCAGGGAAAAGAGAACGTGATATTCAGCCTTTTGGTACTCGCCCACGGCGTCACGGTAGCGTTGGAACTCGTATTGTTCCGCGTTGAAATACTTCACGGTCTCGTACGAGACCATCGAGTCATTCCTAAGAACACGCTGTTAGTCACAATGCTCATGCCCTTCAGCACTAATATACAACTTGGCGACTTACTTGACGGCATCTTCCTGTCGCGAGGCATTGACCATCTGTCTTCTGATCTCCGCTCGCCATTGGGCCATACGAATAGTCACATAGAGATATCCAAAGGTCGAAATGCCCACAACAAGGGCGTAGTACGCATCGAAGGCAACCAGGAAATATCCGAACGCGATAACCAAATCGATCAGCATAGGTACGACCTGGAAGGTGACCTGTTCCAGGAACGTATTGATAGAGCTACCCTTGCTCAATGCAGACAGCACTTCACCTGTCTTCTTCCCGAGATGGAAATCCAAGCTGAGTCCGTGCACGTGCTCAAAGGCAGCGGTGGAAAGCTCCATGTAAGAATATTGGCTGACAGGAATCCACAGGCTAGAGCGCATGGAGCTCAGTAGGCCCTGGCCACCCTGGAGCCACCGGAGGACTACATACATGAGGATTTCCAACCACGGGACACGGAAGGCCTTTCCTTCCTCGTTGGCCAAAATAGTGATGATATCTCCCACCTTGCTGGGTACCAGCACGTTCACAACTCGTTGGAGAACGAGCAGAATGAAGCACAGCACCACGATGATTTGCAGGCGGCGGGATTTGGATGGCCACAGGTATGGGAAAAAGAGCGAGTAGCCGCTGAGATACTCCCACCAGCTTGTGGCAGGCATGGTCGTCGGACGAACCCACGGATCTTCTTGAGGCTTAGCAGCTTCGGCGTGCGAAGCACCGTGGGTGGAGCCATAGGTATGGCCATTGGGGTTTCCATTTCCGTTCTCTGCAGCTGCCGCATCCAGCAGACCAGTGGCCTCGTTGATACCGCCGTTGGCGCGGTGCTCAGCCTTCTTCACATGGCTCTTCCAGGTGATCGACTTGCTGGCGTACAGGACCACCAGAGCCAGCAGAAGCAGGACGCGGAAGCTGTTCGAGGCCACCTCTATGAATTCCCAGGGCGTGATGGTTCGGCGGAGCTTGCCACCTTCGGGATCTCCGACGACCGGCTCATGGTGAGGGGAGGTGTAGAGCGAGAGAGAGGTACTAAGAATAACGAGCTCGATGGGAATGGCGGCAATCCAACAAACGAATTGAGCGGCTGTCGGGGATGGGGTGGTATCGAGCAGGGTCATCAGTAAGACAGCATAGAAGAAAAAGGAGCCGACAATGTAGATCTAAAACCCCGCTGGTTAGCTTTCTGCCGGACAATTCCACGCCATTTGGCTCAGCATCTCCCCCGCGATCCAAGACCGAGACAGAGTACGTACCACTGTAGACTGTCCTCGCCACCAATGCTCCGACCGGGCCATCACCACATGGAGGATGTAGATCGTTGCATCAGTCAGGAAGGTCATGAGCACGGCCACCGAAAACCAGTTGAAAAAGCGCTTGACGGTGGGAGAGAACTCCTTGGGCTTCCGAGTGGTGGCCTCGCTGCGGCCGCGCTTCGGAAGCGGTCGTCCCCCCGGGCCCATGCGAGGGCAGTCATTGTTGCTGGCCCTTCTGGCTGTGACCATGGTGTTGAGCACAAAGGCCACCGCCAAAAGGAACAGCAGGAAGATCGGGTAGCATGTGTGCAGGTACTCCAGCAGCTCGCGAGCTGCGCGGGGATCCATAATGAACCGGTCCTCCCACGAATATCCGACCAAGAGGAGGAGTGATCAAACAATTTCCATGACACAGCAGTGTCCCCAACGATCCAAAAGGCAGAAGGAAATGAAGGAGGTGAAGAGAGACGGGTTCGGGGAAGCGGAAACGACAGTCGACGGGTATGGCCAAGGATCGACGCGAGGAATGATGGCCGGACGCGGAGGGGCGGCGTTGCTTGCCCACGAGGATCGGAGCTTTCGCGCTTGTGTTTGCTAATGATCGAGAGATCTAAACTTTAGCAAATCAACACCAAGAAGGGTTATTTGCTTTTTTGGGGGAATTGGAGGAGGGGGTGAACGAGTGGATGGGTGCTCTTTTTTCCCTTTCCGATCGATTATGGATCTGGGTTTCGAAGGGGCGAAAAAGGGCCGCGGAGAGAGTTTGGGAATTTTCACAGCCCCAACTGACCTCCCAGTGGCAAATCATGCGCTAAAAAAGCAATTGGGTGAGGGCATGACCTACGAACCAAATAATGATCCTCCGAAAAATCCGGCCGGCAGCCTCGGGAATAGGCAATGGGGGAAAAGCGGCGAGGACGAGGTGTGTAGGTAGGAAGATGGAATGACGGTGTGGATGCAGGCGCTGCAGCTAAACAGCTAAAATGGAGGATCCACCGGAGGTTGCGAGAACGGAAGCAGACTCCGTCTCTTATACTCGGGCCCCTGTTTTTCCCGGCCAGAAGGGCAGACGAGCAGATGTCGGGATATTTCAATAGTCAATGTTTGCCAGGCCTCGGGTCGAAACACAAACAAGGGAAGGGAACAGGCTGGAAGGGCTGGAAGGGCTGGAAAGGCTGGAAAGGCTGTGGCTCGGCCGCTGGTGGAAGTCCGGAATAAAGAGTGGTTCGTGCCCGACCGGGGGTCGAATGGGCCACCGCAGGGGTCAGTAACTGGTGAATTCGTTAATCAAGTCCCTCAAGCTAGAGGTGTTGGTGGAGGATGGAGGATGAATGTAGTTAGGCCGGTTAGGCCGGGTTGGCCGGTTTGGCCGGTTTGAGGTTGGTCGATTTGGTCGATTTGGTTAGGGTTGGGAACCGATCGGACAGACTTACAGCAGCAAGTACCAAGTAGTGGACGGAGTCCCTGTAGCCTGTGGCCCGGTCGCGAACATGTGGAATGCCTTCACGGCGGTGGAGAGGAGTTGATATATATAGAAATGATCATCCCATCATCTCATCATCTCATCTCATCATCGTCGAAAGTAGTAGTATTAAAAATAATCAAACAATTAATCATATCGAACAGGAATAATCATCGTCATCATTCCGAGACAACGAATGGACCTCCAAAGGACATCTATATATGCCGGACGGGCCCTCTGCTCCCACTTGTTCGGAATCAAATGGTTCAGAGGCGCGCGTTCTTTCTCTCTTCCGCCCCCCCTTCACCCCGAACGAACGATCTAGATTGTCTTCGATTGCCTTAGATTGTCCTAAGACCTCGAGGATGTGCGACCGCCGGCACTTTAGCGACCACATCTGAGTTCCGATTAGACTCGCTGATTAGCTGCACCTGCCCCCCCACCCCCCAAATGTCTCCTTTTAGCTTTGACGCTTGTGGTCTCAGGGGTGATGAGCGGTTCTAGTGTCGCTTGGGCTCAGCTGGCTTGGCTCGAGTCGAGACCCATTTCTCGTTCCCCGATCGTCGTCTTGCGCAGACATGCTAGGTCATCTTTTCAAACTTTTAGTGAACTAACTTAGTGACCTTCTTAGTCACCCTTGGGTCATTGCATTTCGATTGGACTCCCGCCTTTCCGGTCGAAGGTGAGACATGGCTTCTTGTTCTATTTTTCTCTTGTGAGGCCACTTATGACGGGTGCTCCACGATGGGTCTCTGGTTCTACCTGCGTTGCTTTCTCTGCTCTGATGAGGATGGAGTCCCATTCGGAGCGTCCGGGAAGCCACCTGCAGTAGACTGTGCGATTTTCAAATCTGATCTCTCATGGTGTGTTGGCGTCCAGACCGCTCTTGACATGTGGATAAGCCTGGGCTTCAGGTTGAAATGAAAAAGAAGACAGGTCGTCGTTACGCCAGGCCGGTGATCTCGGTGGGCCTCTACGCATACATACTTCCATAGCCCTATCGTCCTGTAGATACGTGGAATGCTTGGAACGGACGGGGGGAATACTCCGGCCTCCAGAAGTCACGAACGGCTCTCTTTGGGGAAGATGTACTCCGTACTCCTTGGCTATACCCCTGTACACACCACTTCCTCTACTCCATTCAATCACAATAGGTGTAGTTCCCGAGAGAGAGCGATAACTTGGTTCGCTCCTGGCGGCTGCCTCAGGAATCCCACTCCACCACGTCGGGAGCTTCACCGCTTGCGCAACCCAAGCAACTCTAGCCAACCCACACGCAACCCCAACACGCGCATCTCCCCCCTCTTTTCCCCCTCCACTCGGGCTTCTGCTCATACCATTCGGTCAACTGGTCGTGTGCTCGCAATGGACGTGTGAGCCATGTCGGACCTCTCTGGGTCACGCTCCCCGATTCCCCCTCCCCCGCCGCCACCCACCAAGTACTCCCATCGGGCTGCCAACGCGCTCGCCCGCTTTGCCCAGCCGTTCTTCTCCGGGTCGAGACCCCCCAGTCCGCACAATAGCCGGGTCGATGGTCCGCGGCCGATCAGGTCCAAATCGCTGTACGTGCTGCATATCGTCTCACACCGCTTCACCTTGCAACCAGACGGCCTTCTTTTCCGAGGTCCTTGAGATATCTCCCTCCGTATCTTCCCCCTTCCCCTGTCACCTCCTCCTCCCACGATCCCAGCTCGGTCGATAATTCCTGATCGGCTCAAGGGCACCTCTAACGTCATCAGGCCTGGTGAACCGCAAACCGTTACCCACCGCACTGGTATTCCCATTGCCGCTCTAGATATCTCGCCGCAGAGGACGCACGCAGTCATCGGAGGCAAAGAGATTCTCAAAACCATCCGAGTATCGCCTGATCACTCGTCGGAGGAATTTAACATTCGCAATGCGGTCATCAGCTATGCATCGACCCACCATGAGACGGGCGCGCCGATGCCGCACAAAGATCAGTTGAATGTGAAGGATGTCAAGTGGTCACATGGCAATTACGACCGGATAATCGCGACCGCGGTCGCCAATGGTCGGATTGTGGTCTACGACCTGCAGCGGCCCGACCTCCAATTATGTCGCTTCCAGGGCCACAACCGTCAGGTTCACAGACTCGCCTTTAACCCCCATCTCGCATCATGGCTGCTGTCTGGCAGTCAAGATGGTACGATTCGAATGTGGGATCTGCGTTCGGCCTCTGCGAATCGGGGCCTTTCCACGTGCGGCAGCAAGCATGTGTACCAGGGCAATAGCGATGCGATCCGGGACGTCCGGTGGTCTCCTAGCGACGGCGTCGTGTTTGCGACCGCCTCAGACAGCGGCGCCATCCAGATGTGGGATTCGCGCAAGACGAACGCCCCCCTGATGCGCATCGCGGCTCATGATCGACCTTGTTACGCAGTCGACTGGCACCCTGACGGGAAACACATCGTGAGTGGAGGCACGGATCGGCAGGTCAAGGTCTGGGATTTCTCATCTGCAGAGCGACGGCAAAAGCCTGCGTTCCAGTTCCGGACCCCCCAGGCTGTCACCAATGTCCGGTGGCGACCACCTTCGTGGGTGGGCGACTCGCCCAGCTCGGGAGAGTGGCAGTCGTCCCAGATTGTGACCACCTATGACAAGGAAGATCCCCGAATTCATCTTTGGGATCTTCGGCGCCCGCATGTCCCCTTCCGCGAGTTTGATCGGTACGATGTACCGGCAACCGACCTACTCTGGCACTCCAAGGATCTGCTGTGGACGGTCAGTGAGGCTGGAGCGTTCACCCAAACCGATGTTCGCTATGCTCCGACGGTTGTTAACCGCCGGCCGATGTGCTCCGTCGCCTGGAGTCCCAATGGTGGGTTCGTAGCATTCGGCCAGCAGCGACCAAGGCGGCGTGCCTTGGGTGTGAATGCTTCCGAGTTTCTCCACATCGGCGAGGACAGGGGCAGTAGCGGCGAGAAGTCGCTAAGCCAAAGTCCGGCCGATGATAACCTCGAAGAGGTTGCTCTAGCCTCGTCGTTCCGGCCTCGACAGACCAAGTCATCAGCGATCCGACCATCGAAGTCTTTGGGCAGCACCCCGCCAGCCGCAGTCGATATCATTCCCGTTTTGCCCCTTGAACAAGCTCTTGCCAAGATACCCGCCCTAGTCCCAAGTCAGCTAGGATCGATTGGGACTATACCTGGTGCCACCCATGATCCATTCGTCTTTCGGTTCTTGGCAAGCCATTACTCACCAATAATGAACGAATACGCCCACAGGCAAAGCGATGCTGAAGTTCTGAACTCGTTGTTGGATTCACTCGATCACAATGCTGAGTGTGCGGATAAATTGTCCCTGACAAAGCTGGCTCAAACCTGGCGGATCATCAAGTTCGCCATCCTCCAAGAGCTCCAACGTAGATCAAGGGAGCAGCCGTCCGGCAAGGGTGCTGTGAAAGGAAAGCCATCCAAAGACGGCCTGTTGACCGACAAATCACGGGCAGTGGACGAAGGCCGTCAGGGCAAGGTGAAGAGCCGATTGTTTAAGGGTGTCATGGAGACCGAGGGACAAAGAGGTCTCATTCCCGAGGCCGAGAGCACGTCGAACATGACCACACCACTTGCGCAGCCATTGCCTGATTCCCCGCAGGTCTCCTGGGCAAGTAGCACAGACTCGCAGATCCCCTCCCTTAATGAGAATGCGATCGACTTTGACCCTCTTCCACCGTCGGTTTTGAGTTCGCACAATGGCTGGGGTATGTCGGACCCGGATGCTTCTCCTATTCACCATCCCCTGCCTTTGACCCAGGAGCAATCACTGTCCGGCGAAGACACCCGGCACTCTCTAGGTTCCATCCCCGATCGTCTGCGTGATCCACTACAGCCGGACCTGGACAATGAGCAGAGATCCGCACCACGAGCGATTGCAGGCCGATCAGACTGGCGCGTTCGTGGCCGCTCAGACTTCCCCCGAGAGGCCTCCGAGGATGATTATGACCAGAAGATGGAAGACAAGCGGGCTGCGCTTCGTGACTACAAACAATACCCGAAGAAGGTCTTGACGCTGGATTCCCCAATGGAATCTAACCGCCCCCTATTGACCGCTACAATCGACATGACTCTTCTGAGAGTTTCCCCATGTTCTCTGCCTCTACGGATAGCTCTCATCCTTCCAAATCAATTGCTGCCTCATACTCGTCCAATGGGCGACTCTCAGATGCTCGAACGGCGGAGAGTGGGCAGGCTGGTTCATACGCTGCGGGTCGGCCTGCTGCCACGGCGAGGCGAGAATCCAATTTGGATCCGGCACCGGAGGAGCCTGAAGATGACTTGGATCTAGACGAGTCGGCTGTCGAAAATGATCAAGTCCATCTCGAACGGCCGTCCAGTCCACCTCCATTGCTGACTGAGTCAACTCCACTTGAGCAGCCAGGTTTGGAGAACGGGTTCAGGTCTGGTGTCAATAGCACTACCGCCAGTTCCGCTTATCCCGGCGTAGCAGGTATTTACGAAGAACTTTCGCAAATCAAGATTCCTCTCAGTCCGGATGCAACAGATCTCACTCCATGGAGCATCGAAGCTATTATGAAAGAGGCAGTTCGATACTACCATAGCAGCAGCACTGTTGATATCCAGACAGCAGCACACCTGCTGCAGAAGCTGCACGTTCTTTTCCAGGACTGTGAGGAGATCCTTCCCTACGAAGAGTGTGAATTAGTCTACAAAACCTACAACGAATATCTCATCCGACACTCAATGGACCTGGAAGCCGCAGAGCTCCGCCTGTCTTGCGTGCCGACCTACCCTGGCGTCTACGACTATGCCCAGGCTGACACCTTCATCAACGTCTTCTGCTATACTTGCCAGCGACCATACGAAAACCCCCGCCGCGACAACACCCGCTGCCACCGCTGCAGCACCCCACAAGCACCCTGCTCAATCTGCATGAGCATCGACCCACCCCCGAATGGGTCGCCGCCCAGCGCGAAAAGTCCCCTTCTTCCGGCAACACAAGCCCTGACCCGAGCGTCGAAACAACCTCACACCTCTCCACCCACCATTCCGTGTCAACGGAGTCCGTCTCACTATCCGAGCTGAGGCCTCTCGACTCCTTCACCCCGCCCAGACCCAAAGGCTCCTCCCTCTGGACCTGGTGCCAAGGCTGCGGCCACGGCGGCCACCTTGCCTGCATCTCGACTTGGCTGGACGACCTGTCTATCAGCGAAGGCGGCTGCGCCACGCCAGGCTGCTCGCACGACTGCGGGCCCGGCCCGCGCCGCGATGTTAATCGCCAGATGCTCCAGGCCGAGTCCAAGCGCCGCGATTCGGCGAGCCGCTCTGCGGGCGTGGGGCTCGTGAAGCGCGATCCGTGGACCAAGGGCGAGAGCAAGGCTGTTGAGAAGGTGCGTGGGATGCTCGGCGCTGCGGGCGTGGCTGCTGGTAGCGGGGCTGGTTTGACTTCCTCGACGATGAACTCTACTGCTGGACAGGGAGGCCAGTCGTCGGGTGCCGGGTCGCCGAAGAAGGTTCGGCTTGTGACGCCTGTTGAGCAGGGGAGGCGGAGGGCTGCCTCTGGTCGGTCTGGTGGAGCGAGCAGGGACCAGACCGGACCTTGATTTATTGAGCGACGGTTTTGGGGACATGCCGCCCCGGCCCGTCTCATGTATAACTGTTATAATTTTTTCTTCGACGCATTGCGTCTTTCGTTTCCTTAGCGGGTGTTTTACTAGATATCCGGATATTTTGGCTTTCAAATGATGCATCCATCCAACCAACTGTGCCTCTCCGAGTATCTCGTACCTATGACTTTAGATACATCTCTGACACACTCACTGTACATAACCTCAAAATCTCCGCTTCTTCTTTGTAGGCTCCTTACTCTTCGCTTCTAGATGTCGCTTTAGCTCTTCGCGTCTACGATCAGCTTTTTGCGCCTCAGTCTCCTCCTCTTTTGGAGCTGGAGCCGAACTGGATGTTTTCGCTGGCAGTGACGATCCCGGAGGCTCGGGTTTTACCGACGCCTGGTCTGCGGTTGGTTTCTTAGACTCTGGGATGGCTTCTGGAGACTGTGGTCGAGGCTTTCGCTCAGGCAAAGGGGTAGTAGGTCGCTGTTGGGTGGAAGACGTCTCTGTAGGAGCTGCTGCTTTTGCTTTCGCCTTTCCTCCTATCATACCAAGCTTGGCCGGCTTTCTAGCTTTGCGCGGCGATGTTGCTTGGGACGGGGGATGGTCTTCAGTTTGTATGGGAGCCTCCTTGGGTTGTAGGCTTGGTTCTGATGGAGTAGGTGCCCGCTCTGTTCCCGATTCTGCTTTTTTCATCTTGCCTCCGATCACACCTAGTCCACCTTTGGGCTTCTTTGTGGGTTTTTTGGGCCGTGATTCCGGTGCACCGGTCTCAGGTGAAGGTGGAGCTCGAGGTGAAGTCCTTCGTCGAGGTGGGGATGCAGGTTCCGACTCAGCTTCGGATTCTGTTGCCGTGGCCTCGTGCGCATCTGCAGCTGGAGGCTGTGGTGATGGGCTCTTTTTGTTGGCTTTTGGTTTGGGCGGAATGACTGTTGATAGGCTGTCTTGCTCGCTTTGTCGGGGGGCGATTTCTTGTCGCTAGAGTTCGATAAGCATGTGCATTTCTGCAGTTGGGCGTGGATGGTAGTTATCTCAACAAACCTCGAACTCGTCGATATCGCTTTCTGAGGCCGTCTCGCCGTCCAGATCCACATCTCCCTGGGAGTAAACTGCCTTGTCCCTGCTCTGAGAGGCAGAATCTTTTGAATATTCCTCTTCCTTCTCTTCTTCGATGGGACTCGGCTCTGAATGCCTCGGAAGACTGCTCCACCACTTATCGCGCGGTGGGCCAAGGCCCTCGAGGCCACGGTTACCACCAGAGCTCGTAATTTCATGCACGAGGTTGGAAGCTGTGATCGAGGCAGTTTCTTTAGATTCGGCGAGCCAGCTCTGCTCATCAAACGGCGCAGCACCTTTGATAAACTTGGCTGCTCCTGACCTCGAACTGCCTTTGCGGGCCGTGCGCAGTCCAGCAGCACCGGGGAAGACAGTTCCTAGATCGACTCCCAGAGCCTCAAATCTATCGAACAGCTTCCCAAGTACCCAGTCCTTTTGTTTGAGCTGATCCAACAAGGATCGCTGACGTGACTCCCACGATGCCTCGTCTTTCAGTAGTGGCAGAACCAGGCGGCTGGTCATCAATGAAGCACCCTCCATTGACAGCTGTAAAGTCCACTTTAGCGGTCTTAAAGGCGCAGGCAGTTTGGTGCTGGTTCTGATCTCAAGAGAGTCGGGCGAAGAGCCACTGTTTAGTGTTGCCGTACCTCCATCGCCACGGAGAGCTTCGCCGATCTTTGTGAGAAGAAGGTCGAGCTGCTCTTGACCCTCACTAGGATCAATAGTAGTGTCGCTTTCATCCGCTCGTTTTAAAACCTCCTTGCGAGACAGCCGTTCAGACCAGACGGAGGTGAGGTCCGTGACGTAGAGCTCATAGCTTTGGCGGGTCCAGGTGTACTGGCAGAGAAGCGGGGGCGAGTCTTCTTGCTGTAGATTTAGTCTGCGCCATTCTGAAGACATGCCTTAGACTAGTTCTCTTGTTGCGATCCCGTGTTGTCATGAGGATGAGCTTGCGCGGATGCGGAGAGCTGCCTGGGGCCGCCGGGGCAAGTTGACTGACTAGTTAGCCGCAGGCTTCTGTCCGCCGATCTCCCGAATCACTTTTCAACTTCACGACGTCAAGGTGACCACCGCCAAACTCCACCTCCCCCCCCTCCCGGGATCCTGAAACACCCCCCTCAGGTCATCATACTTAGACCAGCAGAATGTCCTCGCGACTCCCGGACCGCTCAGGCCCGCGGCGCAGCCGATCGCGATCTCCATCGTCCTGGCGTCAACCCCAGAGTCGCCCCCGCAACGAACGAGACTATCGCGACCGACCGGACTCGGATCGGAGATGGGATAATGGGAACTCGCGCGACTCACAGCCGTCTCGTAATATGCGCGATCAAGTCCGACTCAATCAGCTCCAAGAGGACGAACAGGCGCGTGAGTGGGTAGCGCAGGAGGATATCTTTGTGCTGAAGCAGGCCAAAAAGAAGGCGGAGATCAGAGTGAAGGAAGGGCGCGCAAAGCCAATTGACTGGCTGACGGTCACACTACGTGTCATCGATCCTACACGCGATCCCTTGGACGATGAGATTGCGGACTCCGAGCTCGATGTGGTAGACCCGGATGGTGTGTTTGAGGGTCTGTCGCAGTCACAGCTGGAGGAACTGGAGCATGATATCGAGACGTTTTTGAAGTTGGAGTCGAATGCGCAGAATCGGGATTTCTGGCAGGTATGGTTCTACTTGGTTCCTACTCCGAATAGAGCACTCTACTTACAACTAGATCATCTTACAGACGATGAAGATTATCTGCCGAGACCGACAAAAAGCCTCTGCCCCTCATGGGCGAGCCCTCAACTCCGTGGCCGCCGATATCAACAGACTTCTCAGCCCGAAAACCTACGAACAGCTCCAGACGCTGGAAATCCAAGTCAAGAGGAAATTGAACTCCAATGAGCCCATCGATACAGATTACTGGGAAGAACTTCTGCGCAGCTTGACGGTTTGGAAGGCCCGAGCAAGACTGAGAAATGTATATCAAGCTGTGATCGACGAGCGTGTTCGCGATCTACGGAAGCAGCAGAAAGAGGAGGCCGAATCTATTCGCGAAAAGCTCGCTCCTCTTGCGCCAACAGTATCTGGAGACGATCGGCCGCAGGTTTCTATGGATTCCATCGAGTTCAAGGGCTTGGATCCCGATCCATTGCTGCAGGTGCGGCAGGAAGACAAGGGTCTGGAAATTATGGACGAGTCCGTATTTCTTCGTCAAGTGGTGAGTTCTCGCTGTCAATCCCGGTTGGATCCTTGTTATTAACCCAGGAAACAGGCTCGTGAACGCCAAAAGATTCTTCGCATGGGATATGTCCCGCTCCGACAGCGAGGTGCCGAAAAGCCGACCGCGGTCGTCGCCAGCACGTCCACCAACATGGCTACACCAGGGGTGCCCGGTCGCTTCTCTTCGATTCCCAACGATGATTTTTCTCAAGCAACCAAGGCCCTCTACGAACGGGAATTGGCCAAGGGAATTAGTGAAAACGAAGAGATCTTCACCAGCGAAGAGGCCGTCACTACTGCTTCACAGTCACAATGGGCTGGCAAGCACCGCCCGCGAAAGCCACGATATTTCAACCGTGTTCAAATGGGCTACGAGTGGAATAAATACAACCAGACCCATTACGACCATGACAACCCACCACCGAAGGTTGTGCAGGGTTACAAATTCAACATCTTCTACCCTGACCTCATCGATAAGACTAAGGCCCCCACATACCGCATTGAGCGAGAAGATGGTCGCCGGCGAGGCCAATCCTTTGCTGAGGCTGGAGAGGAGGATACTTGCCTGATTCGGTTCACCGCTGGGGCCCCCTATGAAGATATCGCTTTTCGCATTGTCGACAAGGAATGGGATTACAGTGCGAAGCGCGAACGAGGGTTCAAGAGTACCTTCGACAAGGTAGGCTCTCTCCATTCATTCTCCACCTGTAGTACGTCCCCCGGGGGGAAAACAATTCTGACTCGCTTTTCTGTCACACAGGGCATTCTCCAACTCCACTTCCAGTTCAAGAGGGTACGTGACTTCGATACCTTGAATCCTTCTGATCCTTCTGAGCTTTCTGACCGGAAGAACTGACGCTGTCTTAGATCTATTACCGGAAGTAACACATGCGTGACTGGTCAACCGGTCATTGCCACATGGGCGTTATATGGGGATGGAGCGAGTGGATATGTGGTGTGGTGGTGTATGCAGGATGAAGATTCGGGGTGTATTTTCCAAAGAGCCGATATCCTGTGAATCCAGCTTACGAATCCAGTTTTCCCGCGATTGATTGGGCTGGAAACCATTTCCCTCCTTCCTTTCTGCCTCCAAGATCTCACATTCAATAAGCCCGCGAACTCTCCGCACAGCCCACGTGTGGAGCCCAATATCAAATGTCTAATACAACCACCTCTTGACTCCCCGATGTCCCTGTTGTTCCAATTCTCTCCACCACGGCCACCTCTGATGCCTGTCGCATGTGAGGAGGGGCTATTCCAAATGCTCCCCCCAGCCACGGCCAGTACTTCACCCCCCCACGTGCCCAATGACGGGGTCAGCGTTGTTGTTCGCGGAACGGCGGACGTTGGAGTCTGTTCTGGTGACACATTACCGGCCTGCAGCGTGCAGGTCGTTTCATGACTTCCGGCTGGCTGGACGCAGGCCAAGCAAGAAGAGACGCCCCTTCCAGGCAGGACAGTAATATTCCCTAGAGGGGATCCTCTTGTCCGCATTTTTCTTTTCTTTTTTCTGTTTTTTTTTGTGAATCCTGTTTTTCAGAACGGCCAGTTGCCTCACACGCAGCTTCCAGAAGGCCTGCGTTCAGCTCCGAACTTATGCAGATGAATGGCGACCGGTTCTGCAGGCGGCCGCCACCAGCAGACCATCCGGCCCCTCTGCTGTTCCCCCCGTCGATCCTTCCAGCCCATCTGAGGCCATCCAGAGCCCATCCATGCGTCTACTGTAGCACTTGATCGACCCGCCTGGGCCGCCTGTGAGATCATTGGCCAACGTCTGTACTATGAACATGCCGTTTCACAGCTTGGGCGTCTGGCGGAAGGAAAGATTCCCGTAATGCAGTCCATTGGCGCTAGCTTCGCTCTCATTGTGCTATCGCCCTCTCTTCTCTCTCGTTCTCCCCCCATAGCGCCCCTCTCGCTTCTCCAGTCGCTAGTTCCTTCTCTCCGGGACGACCTCCCCGGTACACTCCAGGTCAACCAAACCCCCCCCCCCCCCCCAAAAATTACCGAAAGTCCCTAGCCCGCACGGTCTCTTGTTTGCTCTGCAGGACCATCTGGCTATTTGCAGCAAAGGAGGCATGTACCTAACGGGGTGGCACAAAATAATTATTATCTCCTGCTGGGAATAGTTGAAGCGTACAGCTCCAAATTACCCGTCGTGACTGGTGATGGGCATGATGATTACCCTGGTGGCGTCTATACTGGGGCTGTCTCTTTCGCCCTCTATTTGGAACAACCGCTCCAACCTCCAAATCCCACACTTGTTCCTCCTTCTATCCCCGTGCATGTTCTAAGCTTCTCACGCTGGTCGACGTTCCAAGTCATAGCACATACCTAGCACGTTATTGCGCGTCTCGAGGCCCTATCGCATCCCCTCCCGACGCCATGGACCGCTCGTCGCCATCATACCACCATCCTCTGGCTCAGATGCCAACTGACCAGCGGGAGCACGAGCAACATCGACTTTTGGTACAAACGGTGCCGCCGCGTGCGGATTCCCTTTTCCAGGCGAGTGCCAGTGCCAATGCCCCCCGCCTTACGACCCCGGATCCCCAGTCAAGAACTGGGCAGATTTCACATCTAACCTGGTGCCGGAATCCATGATCCCCCTTCACCAGGCGAGGTGTAGTGACCCGTGGGGCGCCACTGGGCTGGAGCCCTACGAATTCAGTACCTCTTCCCTTGCACGCGCCCTGGTGCCTGAAAGCACGTATCTCCCGCCATTCTACACTGCCCCTCACGCCAACATGTCGTCCCTGATCGCTTCATCTGCTAGCGTGGAATCATTACGCCCGCGCATGCCGAGACACCGTGAGCAGGATGATCTCATGGACTGGCAAACAGCACCGGCCACAGCTTCCTTTGTACATCAGGAACACTTCCATCCCCCGCCATCCCACGGGAATATTTCCGAACGATCTATGCATCCAATGCGCGCAACGCCTCCATCACCACCGATCTCCATCTCCTCGGATCATTCTCCCTCTCGCTCTCATAACAGCATGAGTCCTGCTGCAACTATGCCTGTGAGGGATAGCACCTCACCGGGCATTAGCCTCGGGGATACGAGCGACCAAGAACCCAATAGCGGGCCTCCGTACTCCCGTCTGATCTGGGAAGCTCTCATGTCCACTGAGGAAAAGATGCTTCCCCTCCAAGGCATCTACCAGTGGTTTGGACGAAACACCACCAAGGGAAGGAATGAGACCTCAAAGGGCTGGCAAAACAGCATTCGACACAATCTATCTATGAACGCCGTGCGTGTGCCCCACTCTCCTCGAGTCTCCCTTTAGAATGGTCAACTGCTAACCCATGCGGGACAGGGATTCGAGGCCATCAAGGTCGAGGTCCCGGGCAAGAAAGCCATGAACTACTGGCGCTTGACCGGGGAAGCAATCCGCAACGGCGGCGTTCAATCGACGACTAGGTATCGCAAGTTGAGCGGCAAGAAGGTCATCAGCTCAGATCCCCTCGATCACCGCCGTCCGCGACCCGGGTCTAAGGGTGGCTCGAAAAATGCGGCTAAGGGATGCCATGGCCCCCCAGGCGAGCAGCCCCGGTTACCGCCCCAGTACGAGCGTCCTCTTCCCATCCGGCCTCACCTGCATCGTCCGCCGTTCGAGACCAACCATCCTCCCTCCTTCCCACCCATGCCGCACTATGGAGTGCCGCCGCACATACCGAACAGCCTGCCCCAACTGCCGTGTGAAACCTGCTACCAGTTCGACTTCGGTAACGTGATTGGCACCACCGGCCATCCCCCCAATGATAACGCGCTGTTCGGCGTGACTGCAGAAGGAGAGCCCGACTGCGCTGCATTCGTGGGGTCTCTCGGATGGTACCCCCTGGGGCTCGATCACGGGCTGATGACAGGCCCTCCCGAAGGGGTATCCGATTAGCTCTGGCTTGTTGGCGTGGTATGTAGGCCAAGGCATTGGTTTGGTCACGACCGACGGGGGGACTAGAACGCACCCCGGCGGAAACCAACAACAGTGGGGGGTGGGTGTGGATGTGTGGGTGTGGGAGAAAGCGCATTCTGATTCGATTTGATAACGAAAAAAATGTGGGCTTCGCTGACTGCATAATTGTGATTTTGTGGATTATTCGACTGTTTCTGGCTGGAGGCTGGGCCCATCGGGCCCTTAGAGCTGAATAAATTAGAGGCCTTTTGTGGCAGTACTTGTGTATTTTGTGTGTGATGTGGGGAGATAGGGGATCCTCGTGGAGTTCGAAAGCAGCGGTGTCATATTGCAGGCGATCGTTTGCTTTCTAGCGTCCCGGAGCCCTGGGGGATGGGTTTATTTGCTTTTTCATATGTGGGAGGTGGAAGTGTACGAAGTATCCGAGCGCTTGCCTGGCGGTTTCTTCCGCCCTCTGAGTGCAGGAGCATTGCGCCTCGAGCATTGAGATCCATGTGTCTGTGCCCCCGCCGATCTCATCGCCCGTCATCTCCACTGCGCTCCGGATCTTCGCTCGGATGCTCTGTTTTCTCTCGGTTGCTTGCGCTGGGTGTAGTTCGTATGGGCCGGTCCGCTTCCCTCGAACGAGCCAGTTTGGTCCCACTTGGGAAGCCTCGCGAACGTCGTTTCTACCGGTTGACGCCCGGATCTTCCACGGCCCCCGCCCAGCGATCTACCCGAAGATTTTCCGTGATGCTGAAGCGGAAGGATATCTCCCCATGCGGCTAGGGCTGGAACGGCATGCCCCATACCGACGGCTCAGACTGGCCCTATTGTTGCCCTGTTCCCTGCATGTCACGGCCCATACGGTATGCTTCGGTGTCCACACGGAGTCGCAGCCAGCCATCATGCAGGACAAAGTCGTTGGCCTCTTCAGAATGACATGTCCCGAGCAGTCGGTGTCCATGAGTTACTGGGGCTACTGGACACCAACAACTGCCGGTAGTGTTCGTTCTAGTTTGGCGCCTCCTAGAGACTCCATCTGCTCAGCCTACCCCCAATGAGCCACCCCATGCCCAACCATGGGCTCTTTTCCTCTCCGTTCTCAAGAACCAGCCTATCGCTAGCCCGCAGCCACCTTTCCTTAGGCGCGAACAGACTCTTGGCACCTTCCGCCCTTCCAGGCCAATGCCTATGATTAGTGCTATCATGCAAGTATCTGACTCCGTCCTTCTTCCCCGGCCGACACCCCGGCCTTCCCTCGGTGCTGCGATCTTGATCGATCTAGAAACCACAATTAGTACTCACCGTCGATTATATGGGAGCAGATCGCATGCGCGGGGATGGATCGAGAACCGGGGGATCTCGAGAACGGTTCCTGGCGCCAGAAGACACATCCCTGATGCGTGATGCCACGTTGAGTATGATTGAGCAAATGGGGAAAGGACAGTACGATGGCGACAGCCGAGACGCCCTCTGTCATGGCGATCGTCGCCGGCTCCATTGATAGTGACGCAGGATCGAGCTCATTATCCTACCTCTTCGTGTCACAGACAGCTTCTGTGCTCGGATCGACGGTGCCTCTGGCGACATGGGTGGGGGGCGCACCACCCTCCGGGTCTGGCATACGAGAGGCTTGTGGCAGAGCTGAGCTATCCGCTAGTGGAAGCGGGTAAAGGGAGACGAACAAGGGCCCGAGGGCAAGGAGACCGGGAAAGACCTGGGATTGTCTCGACTGGCGTTTAGATCCGCTATCGCCCCCTCCTCCCCGAGGAAGCTGGTTGGCCCCCTGGTACCATCCACCTACCTCCATAAACCCATCTGGGAAATGTGCAACGCCTCTGCGGAGTCTGCGGAGTCATGAGGGGGCTAGAGGCTGTGCCACCATTTCTACAGACGCAGTTGCGGTTGACAGCTGCATGCCGATCCCAAAGTACCCACGCACCGCGTTTGGGCTCCCCGTGTCCCTCGCCCCGGGCCGTGTCAACCTTGAACTGGTAACTTGTCAGGCAGGAAATGCAAGGACACTTGCAGGTCGCCCGATTCAGCTAAATAAGCCTATTTGGCAGCCCGCTCCCTCCAGTCTCACCGATACTGGTCGATCCTTCTACAATAGGGCAGCTATCCGCCATCACGGGGCCTCCATCCTTGGGATGGCTGCGTGGCGGTATGCGTGCATGGTACCTATGAGGCTCAGACGGAGACATAAGGTTTGTTCCGCTGCCCGTGATTCTCGATACTTTGGGAGGGGCTGCTTTTCTATTACCTCAAAATAGGGATCGCCACTGACTTGCAGTGGTGCCGCAGGTGGGCATCCGTCGCCCACCCCTTTAGCGAGGGTAAAAGCTGGCGTCGAGAGGACGGATTTTCGTTCCGGACGGCTATCTTTCGGTGCTATTGGAACACGTCGGGAGTGAAGATTCCAGGGTGTTATCTATGAGTCCACTCACCAAACCTACACCGATAAACCCAAGCTGATCGTGACCCAATGGGAGCTACTCGGGAAACGGCATGAGCACTGGCCGCGGTAGATTCAAATATTGTGACTCTAACCCGGCATGTCTAGGTCGGATCTTATTCTCATCCTGTTGCCACCTATGAGCATCGGACATGCTGGGCTAGAGCGTACCTTGTTCATGTTGCTGAATGGCATGCAAGTTCCGCAACGATTTTCAGCCGCCTTCGATCCGGGATTCTTTTGCTGTCCCCCTTTGTTGCAAGTCGGGTTCGTCCTCGTACATATGCAGGCCTATGGAAGCCAGCATCAATAGCCTAGCCCTTGTTTCCATCAGCCGCCAACCCCCCCCCAAACGATCATGGTGCAGTTGTCAGGTAGAGGGCCAACTCCCATCCGGATCTATTCCAGACATAGTCTGATCTGTCATATACCGTGCCCTAAGATAGAAACACCCTAGAAAAAGAAACGACACAAATACGACACAAATACGACAGATCCTTCTTTCACAAATATGTGGCGACGCATGAAAAATGCCCAGGGGAGAAGGTTAGGGGACATTCATTTTGCAGCCGATGAGTAGTGCCACCAGTCCCAATGCAAGGATTCCTAGACGCAGTGTTCCGGATGTACCTTTTAGGCTCTTTCTGCGCGGCGAAAACTCGTAGGATTGAATACCCGGTTTCTCTCTCTTTCTCTTCGCGGTGGAACAATTCTGCTTCGTTTTATTTCTCCTTCCGCGCACGGCGTAGCACGAACCCCATCCGCTGGGCGCGTGCGTGATGGAAACGAGCCGACGTCACAGTTGTCAGTAGTACGTTGTTGCGCTGGCGTTTATTCCAGCCTCGATTTTGAGCCTAGGGCTGAAATCGAAGGATGGAGCACTCCTCCCAGCCAAGAAGGTGTAATGCAGCCCCGAGACCAACGTGCCATTCCTAGCGCAGCCGACTGACCGCTCCTCGGCATGGTTCGTCTGAAGATCGTGCATCGCTAGCTCGTGCCGGAGTTAAGCTGACAGCTTGGTGAACCGGGGGGAGGAAGGGGGAAAGGCAAAGCGAAAGCCAAGAATTGGGTAAACGAGGAACATTTGCCGATCCAGATCGGCAGTGACCTTATGGACTCTACCTGTAGAAGTGGCTCTACGGGGCAGGGGTGGTTCGATGTATACGAAGGCGCGCCCGCTGCCACGTATACATTTCGACGTACATTAGCTGCGGAGGATGGAAGTGGAGGGATCGCTGTTCATTGGTACCCGGCGCAAGGATTAATTCGACCAACCCGACGGTTCCAGCTAGTGCAACTGACGGGGTGGTACAAGGTAAGGCTCTGCTGCTTCCTTCATGATTCATGCCCTACATAGACAATGCGCTTTTTCTTTGACCCTGTGGGTAAATTCCTGTCGGCAGGGTTGTGTGGTACATAGTCGTTGTAGACGTTAGACAAATTTGAGTTCGAAAAATGCCGTGGTTCAGGCCATCGGTCAAAGGAACTTAATGTGAGAAATACACACTGCCCGGCAGATGCTTGAGTGCTCCGGCCTAGTATAACATCATGGCTACCACCAAGACCTCCCTTTTTATTTCCTTTTTTTCTCTTTTTTTTTCCCGTCCGGCAACCGCACTCAGCCGCCTATGACTGACATCGGCACACCCCGCTTGCATGCCAAAGGTACCCTAGCCTCGTTGAAGCTCGTACCCCACGCAGCTAGCATTTGGGTAATCATATTAGAGCAGTTGCTATCAGGCGTATAAAAGGATTTCACGTAGGGAAGGGGGCGTATAGGAAGATAGAAGATGCTTTGTGAAGGAATTGATGCAATTGTAGTCCGCTATTCTCCACCGTCACCCACAATATATACATCGCATCGCGAAAATCAAATTTTCCTTCCTGTGCACCCTTCAAGAGTACCTAGGACCAAAGTTGTAAACGGAACCACAAGGTGGCACCAGCCGGTGCCAGATGAGATCTCTACCAAATCCGACCGATCCATTGGCATATGCAAGTGTGTCACTAGGTAACCTTCTAGGTCGTGGTGGATATCGGCCACCTCGCGATAGAAGAAAGAAAAGTTTTAGCCAGGCCTAGCGGAAGCTTCGATTGCAGAGGACCTTTCGATAATATTTACATCTCTGTTGAGAAATTTTCCATTCAAAATGGAGGCTGGAGATCGACGATATGACAGCTGCAAACCCGCATCAAGCGTGCCTAGAAGCTCGCTATCCAAGCACGTTCGTACATCCGACCCGACCTTCTGAGCGGATCTCCCAGGATGACCCCTTGAAGAACCAAATGTCTACAAAACATAGGTACCAAAGAGAATGGAGCGGTCACCATGCAGCCGGAGGCGCAGCAGCATCGCTCCCATAAGAAGATTTCACAGGCCCTGGCCATCCAGTTAAACCCAAAAACCACCTAGCTCTCCGCATCCCTGGCCTGGATGTCAATCCGCGGTGGTCGATGTCGGAACGAGGCCCCAAGTTAAACAGGTTGAGACGAATGGTTCATAGGACCAACAACTACAGTCAATCCCCGGTCTATAAAATGGTGAATATACCCTCCTTCCACCCTCCGCCTTTTCACCGCCATGGCTTTATCCGCTTGTAAATTGTAAATTCGAGACATCCTGCAGCCACCATCTGGCAGGGGATGTGCTGCTGTGCTGGTCGGTTCCAGACCAATTCCCCGACGAGGATATTGTTTCTAGAGTTAGGGCCCCATCGTCATAGGGGCCGTTACGAGGGAATATTGCGCTCCACGCGGCAACGTATTAGCATCTCGATTGAGGAGGTGATAGGGCAGACCGCCGGAATAAGCTTTAGCATTTTTGAGCCGGTGTGAGAAGATATGCATGCAAGAAACGAGAGACCTGCGGTGAGGGCGTGCGTGCTAGGCCCTCTAGAATTCGGGGGTTCGAAGGATCCCCACAGATAAGCGTTGGGCGACGGTCTTGCAGTAATTGAGATGGGTGCAATGGTGCAGAAGCAGGTTGTACCAACGCCTCTACTCAGGAGACGATGAAGACTCCAGCTAAATTATATGGGCCTACCGAAAGAAAGGGAGCCATAGAGACACCGTCGTTACGGCGGGCTTCGCGAGGGGACACACGGCCGTCTAGAAACCATTCTAACGCAAGAATAATCCAAGGGGTTCATGTACAACACAACACATTTCGTGGGAATCTCATGAAGGTAATAAAATTGGGTTTCATTTGCTTAGCCACGACCCAGACCATGGGCTCGCGTGCTAGCGGTTCCTGTTCATCCTTTTTTTGAATCTAAGAGAACCGTTCCCGTTTTTTCCGTAACGTTCGCTCCCCAAAAGACCAACACCGACGAAAACAGACTTTGCTTAGCGCTTGCCAGCAGCCTTCTCCTGGGACTCCTTGAGGACCTTCTTGACGATCTTCTGCTCCTCGATCAGGAAGGCGCGGACGATGCGGTCCTTGACGCAGCCGGCGCAGCGGGAACCACCGTAGGCACGGCTCACGTTCTTCTTGGGGCGGGAGATCTGAGCATACTCGCGGGGGCGCAGAGCGGGGATCTGTAGGGCCACAATGGTCAATCACGTTGTTCGGTGCGAAGACGAGGCAAGATGCGGTTATGCAAGGAATGTGGTCGTTCGGCCGACTCGCAGGATCGTAACAATGGATGCAAAGAATAATTATTCGATGCCATTCGCTCGGTTCCTCCTCGGTCGCCCACCACACAACCCACACACAACCACACATCGCGCGAAAAAAAATTGGTTCAAGAAGCACTCACACCGGGGAGCTTGATGCCACAGTCACCGCACTTGGGAGCAGTGCCCTTCTTCTTCAGGTGAAGGTACCGGAGAACACCACCAGGGGTCTTGATGATGCGAACCTTGTTGGACCGCGTGTTGTACCTATGGAGCGAGAGAATCCGTCAACATGCCGTTCGAAAACTATACAACCATGCAAATCGTCCGGATCGTATCGAGCATCGATTCCAGCGTTGAGAAGGCATTGTGCGAGACAAGGAATTTTTTTTCAACGTACGGGTTCCGGCGGCGCTGCGGGTGGAAAACCACTGTCAGTACTTTCGCTCCGGTTCAGTTCAATTCATCGTAGAAGATGCGACTCACGTATTGCAGTCTGGCGTTCGGCATTTTGTCGTGCTTGAACCTCTGCGGTGGTCAAGAGCGGCGTGTGTCGTTCGTCGGGTTGTGGACGGTAAAATGTCGAGGCAGACGGATTTGTGTGGGTTTCGCTCTAGCGCACTTTTGGCGAGTCCGCGCTAACACTGATAGGGACTAGCGCGATACGAACAGCCGCCACCTCAAACTTCGAGCGGAAGGAGCAAGTTTCAGCAAGCAGAGGATCACCGGGTGTTGGTGTCCTTTTTCATCGTCCCGCTTGGTCTCAGTTCATTCCACGCGCTTGCGACAAGCGCCCTACACCACCTCTACCGACGATCGCGCCCCGAGTGGATGGTTTTCGACGTGACGTGGACGCGACTCTGAGCTCAACTCACGTCTAGGGAGGGTGGGCGTACTCCCCCATCAAGAATCACCACGATGGCATCTTTGCCTCCTCCACCCCCTCCTCCGGGATGGGGCGCAGCTCCTCCCTCTATGCCGCTGGCACCACCGCCCCCTGGCTACCAGCCGCCCGCCAACCCGAACGTCGCAAAATTTGCGCAGAAGAAGCATGAATGGTTGCGCACGCAGCGCAGTCGCTTCGGCGAGAAGCGGAAGGGCGGATTCGTTGAGACACAGAAGGCGGATATGCCGCCAGAGCATCTGCGGAAGATCGTGAAGGATATCGGCGATGTCTCGCAAAGGAAATTCACTAACGAGAAGCGCAGCTATCTCGGTGCGTTGAAGTTTATGCCTCATGCGGTCCTGAAGCTTCTGGAGAACATGCCGATGCCCTGGGAGTCGGCCCGCGAAGTGAAAGTGCTGTACCACGTCAACGGATGCTTGACCATGGTGAATGAGACTCCGCGCGTCATCGAGCCGGTCTTCCATGCCCAGTGGGCAACGATGTGGATGTGCATGCGTCGCGAGAAGAGTGATCGACGACACTTCAAGCGAATGCGCTTCCCTCCATTTGATGATGAAGAGCCGCCCCTTTCGTGGTCCGAAAACATTGAGGATGTCGAGCCTCTGGAGCCCATCCAGATGGAGCTTGACGAGGACGAAGATGCGGCAGTCTACGAATGGTTCTACGACCACAGGCCCCTGCTTGATACACCCCACGTCAATGGCCCGAGTTACAAGACATGGAATCTGTCGCTGCCACAGATGGCGACACTGCACCGTTTGAGTCACCAGCTGCTCAGCGATGTGGTAGACGAGAACTACCACCACATGTTTGATCTTAACAGCTTCTTCACAGCAAAGGCTCTCAATGTCGCCATCCCTGGTGGCCCTCGTTTCGAGCCCCTGTACAAGGACATTGACCCGAACGACGAAGATTTCAGCGAATTCAACGCAATCGACCGTATCATCTTCCGCGCCCCGATTCGGACCGAATACCGCGTCACCTTCCCCTTCTTGTATAATACCCTACCGCGCAGCGTTAAGGTCGCCTGGTATTCTCACCCCCAGGTGGTTTACGTCCGCACCGAGGATCCCAATCTTCCCGCATTCTACTTCGACCCAGTCATTAATCCTATTTCCTCCCGTTCCGTCGCCCCCAAGAATCTCACCGTTAGCCACGAGGATGAGATCTTTGGCCCTGGCAACAACGAAGATGACTTTGAGCTTCCTGGAGAGGTTGAGCCATTCTTCGAGGATGAGGAGCTATACACTGCGGATACCTCGGCTGCTATCGCTTTGTGGTGGGCCCCCCACCCATTCAACAAGCGGTCCGGAAAGATGGTTCGTGCTCAGGATGTGCCGCTGGTTAAGCAGTGGTACTTGGAGCACTGCCCTCAAGGCCAGCCCGTGAAGGTTCGAGTGTCGTACCAGAAGCTGCTTAAGACCTATGTGCTCAATGAGTTGCACAAGAGCAAGCCAAAAGCTCAGAGCAAGCAGAACTTGTTGAAGACTTTGAAGACAACGAAGTTCTTCCAGCAGACTACTATTGACTGGGTTGAGGCTGGTTTGCAAGTCTGCCGCCAGGGTTTCAACATGCTGAATTTGTTGATCCACCGGAAGAACTTGACCTATCTGCATCTCGACTACAACTTCAACTTGAAGCCCGTGAAAACCCTGACTACCAAGGAGCGCAAGAAGTCTCGCTTCGGAAATGCTTTCCACCTGATGCGTGAAATTCTCCGCCTGACTAAGTTGATTGTGGATGCTCAGGTCCAATATCGCTTGGGCAACATCGATGCCTTCCAGCTGGCTGATGGTATCCTGTATGCCTTCAACCACGTTGGTCAGCTTACCGGTATGTATCGGTACAAGTACAAGTTGATGCACCAGATCCGTTCATGCAAAGACTTGAAGCATTTGATCTACTACCGGTTCAACTCTGGCCCTGTTGGCAAGGGGCCTGGCTGCGGTTTCTGGGCTCCCGCCTGGCGAGTTTGGCTATTCTTCATGCGCGGTATTATTCCTCTGCTTGAGAGATGGCTTGGAAACTTGCTCTCTCGTCAGTTCGAGGGCCGTCACAGCAAGGGCGTTGCCAAGACCGTCACCAAGCAACGTGTTGAATCCCACTTCGATCTGGAGCTGCGTGCTTCGGTGATGGCGGATCTCATGGATATGATGCCTGAGGGTATCAAGCAGAACAAGGTCAATATTGTGCTGCAGCATTTGTCCGAAGCCTGGAGATGCTGGAAGAGTAACATTCCTTGGAAGGTTCCTGGCTTGCCTGCGCCTATTGAGAACATCATTCTCCGGTACGTGAAGAGCAAGGCTGACTGGTGGATTTCTGTCGCCCATTACAACCGCGAGAGAATTCGCCGTGGTGCTACCGTCGACAAGACCGTGGCAAAGAAGAATTTGGGTCGTCTCACTCGTCTCTGGCTCAAGTCGGAACAAGAACGGCAGCACAACTATCTGAAGGATGGTCCGTATGTGTCGTCCGAGGAAGCCGTAGCCATTTATACCACTATGGTCCATTGGCTGGAGTCTCGCAAGTTTTCGCCAATTCCATTCCCGAGTGTTTCATACAAGCACGACACTAAGATCCTCATCCTGGCCCTCGAGCGTCTTCGCGAGTCTTACTCTGTGAAGGGCCGTCTTAACCAGAGCCAGCGTGAGGAACTTGCCCTCATTGAGCAGGCATATGATTCTCCAGGAACAACACTGGCAAGAATCAAGCGCTTCCTGCTGACCCAGCGTGCTTTCAAGGAAGTCGGCATAGACATGAACGACAACTACAACAACATCAACCCTGTCTATGACATCGAGCCTATCGAGAAGATCACCGATGCCTATCTGGATCAGTATCTGTGGTACCAGGCCGAGCAGCGCCATCTGTTCCCTGCTTGGATTAAGCCCTCTGACTCCGAGGTGCCCCCGCTCCTGACTTACAAGTGGACCCAGGGTATCAACAACCTGTCAAATGTCTGGGAGACTGCCGATGGTGAGACCAACGTCATGATTGAGACCGAGCTTTCCAAGGTCTACGAGAAGATCGATCTTACACTGTTGAACCGCATGCTCCGCCTCATCATGGATCACAACCTGGCGGACTACATCACCTCGAAGAACAACGTCCAATTAAGCTACAAGGATATGAACCACACCAACAGCTATGGTCTGATTCGTGGTCTGCAATTCTCGGGCTTCGTGTTCCAGTACTATGGCTTGATGATCGATCTGTTGCTTCTCGGCTTGCAGCGAGCCAGTGATATGGCTGGCCCTCCTCAGAGTCCCAATGACTTCTTGCAGTTCCGTGACAAGGCTACTGAAACCCGTCACCCCATCCGTCTCTATACTCGTTACGTCGACAAAATCTGGGTTTTCTTCCGGTTCAAGGCCGACGAGTCTCGCGACCTGATCCAGCGATTCTTGACCGAAAACCCCGATCCCAACTTTGAGAATGTCATTGGTTACAAGAACAAGAAGTGCTGGCCTCGCGATTGTCGTATGCGCTTGATGCGCCACGATGTCAACCTCGGCCGTGCCGTCTTTTGGGACATGAAGAACCGTCTTCCTCGGTCTATCACCACCATTGACTGGGATGATACTTTCGCCAGTGTCTACAGCAAGGACAACCCCAACTTGCTGTTCTCCATGAGCGGATTCGAGGTTCGCATTCTCCCCAAGATTCGCAACCAGAACGAGGAGTTCTCGGTCAAGGACAGTGTATGGTCTCTGGTCGACAGCTCCACCAAGGAGCGGACTGCCCATGCCTTCCTGCAAGTCACCGAGGAGGACATTCAGAAGTTCAACAATCGTATTCGGCAAATTCTTATGTCTTCCGGATCGACCACCTTCACCAAGATTGCCAACAAGTGGAACACCGCGCTGATTGCCCTCTTCACGTACTACCGTGAGGCTGCTGTGTCGACCGTCAACCTTCTCGACACCATTGTCAAGTGTGAGACGAAGATCCAGACTCGTGTTAAGATCGGCCTGAACTCGAAGATGCCCTCGCGTTTCCCGCCGGCTGTATTCTACACGCCCAAGGAGCTGGGAGGTCTGGGTATGATCTCCGGCTCTCACATCCTCATCCCCACCAGTGATAAGCGCTGGTCCAAGCAGACCGACACTGGCATTACTCACTTCCGCGCGGGAATGTCACACGACGAGGAGACCCTCATCCCCAACATTTTCCGATACATCATCCCCTGGGAAGCCGAGTTCATTGATTCACAGCGTGTATGGATGGAGTACTCCCAAAAGCGTATGGAGGCGCAGCAGCAAAATCGTCGTCTCACCCTCGAGGATCTCGAGGACAGCTGGGACCGTGGTTTGCCCCGTATCAACACCTTGTTCCAGAAGGACCGCAGCACCCTCAGCTTTGACAAGGGTTTCCGTCTTCGTGCTGAGTTCAAGCAGTACCAGTTGATGAAGAGTAATCCCTTCTGGTGGACTAGCCAGCGACACGATGGTAAATTGTGGAATTTGAACGCCTACCGAACCGATGTCATTCAAGCTCTGGGTGGTGTGGAGACCATTCTCGAGCACACCCTGTTCAAGGCAACGGCCTTTCCGTCTTGGGAGGGCCTGTTCTGGGAGCGAGCATGTCTTGCAAAGGGCACGCGTCTGCTCCGCTACGACGGCTCGGAGGTCAACGTCGAGGACGTCAAGGAAGGCGATGAGCTTCTGGGCCCCGACGGCCAGCCTCGCCGTGCGTTCAATATTGTGAGCGGCGAGGATCGTCTGTATCGCATCAAGCTTGGTGCGTCGAAAGAAGACCTTGTCGTCACCCCTAATCACATCCTGGTGTTGCACCGCGAGAAGCGCGCAAGGAATGTCTACGCTGGCCCCTCAATCCACGCGCATGCCGACCGCTTCAGCGAGCAGTTTAGGGAACTGCCCGTGCCAAGCTCTAGCCCTGCGGCGGCTGATCGCCCTAACAACCTGGTCAAGCAACGCGACAACCTCCTCGACGCCCTCAAGAGCGCGATTGCGTGGGCACTTCGCGCAGAGCGGAGTCCGGTTGGCGCAGCAGCCATTCGCAACGTGCTGAATGCTACTGTCGGCCTGAATACCCACGATGAATGCTTCCAGGTCATCGAGCCGTCCGAGCCAGGTGCCGCCAAGGTGAAGCATGGGAAGAAGCCCTATTTCACCTTTGCGTGGGGTAATACGCAGCGCACCAACATCAAGGGCCACGCAGCGCATCCGCCCGTCTTTTTCCCCTCTAGGGATGAAGCTTTCGCAGCCGCAGTTGCTAAGTCGCGAGAGCTTCGCGCTCGATGCGACGTGACTCTGGCCAACCTAGGCGAGCGTTTCCGCGCCAAGCTCGCAGAGCGCGACGGAAAAGGCGGAGAGATTCGAGTGGACGCCAATCTGCCGAATATCTTCCTGCTGTGGAACAAGGGTGGCGCGACCCCGCGCATTCGCGTGTATTGCTCGCGTGACTACAAGAAGTATGGCCGCCAATACACCTTTGATTCCATGCCGGGAGATGCGCATGACCTTGGTGCGCAAGATTCGCAGCTTGGTGCGTCCGACGCGTCGCTTCCCACGGGATTGCCTGAGGTTAGCGCGGCGGAGCGATTTGATACCGTTGAGATGACGGCCGAAGAATTTGCCGCGCTTTCTCCCGAAGAGCGCAGCTGGTACCGTGTCTTCCGCTCCCCTGGCTTCGAGTATCCTGAGCATGAAGTCCCGGTGCACCCGTACTTCCTCGGTCTCTGGCTTGGTGATGGAAACCGCCGAAGCACCACCATCTATAGCAACCACGAGCAAGCTGTCCGCGAATTCCTCGTGCAGCATGCCGCGGAGCTGGATTTGTACCTTGTGCACCATGGCGGGCTGAGTTACACAACAGTCGCACGGCACAAGGGCCGCATTGGTGTCCCGCAAGAGGTTTCGTTCCCGGCCGCGCAAAAGGACGAAACAACCCGTCCGTTAATCCGCCAAGCTCGCCAGACCATCCGCAAGCAACGCATGGAGGAAGCACTGCGTCATACAAGTCCCTCTCCACCTCCTGCTCACGAAAAGCGTGGGCTGTCTTCAAGCGTTGAATCCACCCCGCGCCACAAGCGCCAAGTTCTCTCGGAGATACCAGAGACTCCACCAATTTGGCCTGGTGCGCTTGGCGAGTCAGACGTGCCTCCCTCTACGCAGACCGCTGGCGCTGCCTCGAGTGCCCTTTGCTCCCTGCCTCCCGCGCTTGGCTCGCTGCTCTCCGCAATTCGCCCGCCGGCTTGCGCACCTAGCGCGCAGCCCGCAACGCAGCCCACTCATGCTGCAGAATGCGGACCAAGCTTGTTCTCCCATCCACCACAGAAGCCTGTATCGCGCTCCGTTTCTGCGCTCTCCGCTCGTGCCGCCTCGGGAGCACCCAGCTCGTTGTCGCGTGCGCCAAGCTCACTGTCGCAGGAGGTCTTCGCCACCGACGCTGATCCCGATGAAATCCCTGAATCTACCTCCGATCAGCGCGGTGCAGTCTACGATGATGACGCTTGGGACTTTGAGTTCCCATCTGCGGCTGACGCAGACTGGACCGGGGCCGCCTCCAAGCTGGGTTCTGACCCTGAGATCATCGAGCTTGCTGAGAAGTCCGAACAGCGACTCGTCGAAGAGGAGGATGAGGAAGAGAAGCTAGATTTTGATCTACTTCTTACAGACAGCGAGGATGAGGATGGTGAGGACAAGGTGCGCGAGGATGCGGAGTTCGACGCTGCGGACAACGTCGATCCCAGCAAGCTTGCGACTCGCCGGCGTAATCACCGCCTTCAAACCGGCCAAAGCGCGTATGGCGATCTCTCGCACGATGAGCAGCAAACTCTACTCCGCGAGGTAGTCACGCAAGCTGGCGGGGCGTCTTCCAACACCTTGATGCGGGCACTGCGTAGCTTAGGGGTTGTCGCATCAAGCACCACCACTGGCCCAGAACTTGATACCAAGCATATTCCGCAATGCTATCTGAAGAACTCACGCGCTGTTCGCCTTGCGGTGCTTGCAGGTCTCATCGATAGCGATGGCTGGTATGTGTTCCCGGAGAATATGCTGGGCTTTGCGCAAAGCGCGAAGTGGCACAAGAAGCTTTTCTGGGATGTGGTAGCGCTTGCTCGATCGCTTGGCCTGAGCGTATGGACCAAGCAGATAGAAGCGTGGAATCCTAAGCACACCAAGCGTACTCCGCAGCTTGTTGCGCAGATTTTTGGAAATGTTGCTGAAGTGCCTTGTCTCCTCGCACGGAAAAAGGGTTGCGAGCGGTATATCCCCCAGATGCATAGCTTTATGATCAAGGATATCAGCTTGGAACCCCATGCGACGCAGTGGGCTGGGTTCCGAGTGGACAAAGATCAGCTATATTTGCGCCACGATTACCTTGTTCTGCACAATTCCGGTTTCGAAGAAAGGTGCGTACCTCTTTTCCGTCTCCCATTCTTAATTCCCCCCCCCCCTTTCCAATGATCTTGCTGGACCTCTTTCGGAGGCTCTTCCAAGACGTTTTTACACCGAGTCCATGAAAATCCGGATTTTAGAAACTAACTTTCTGTGTACAGTATGAAATTCAAGAAGCTCACCAACGCCCAGAGATCTGGTTTGAACCAGATTCCTAACCGTCGATTCACTTTGTGGTGGTCCCCCACCATCAATCGTGCGAACGTTTACGTTGGTTTCCAAGTTCAGCTTGACCTGACGGGTATTTTCTTGCACGGCAAGATCCCCACTCTCAAGATCTCGCTGATCCAGATTTTCCGCGCCCATTTGTGGCAGAAAATCCACGAGTCTGTGGTCATGGATTTGTGTCAGGTGTTTGACCAGGAGCTAGAGCAGCTTGGCATTGAAGCTGTGCAGAAGGAGACTATTCATCCTCGTAAGTCTTACAAGATGAACAGTTCCTGTGCCGATATCCTGCTCTTCGCGACGAACAAGTGGAACGTTACCCGGCCTTCTTTGTGCTTCGACACCAAGGATGTCTACGAGCCTACCACGACGAACAAGTTCTGGCTGGATGTGCAGTTGCGATACGGTGACTACGATTCCCACGACATTGAGCGTTATGTTCGTGCCAAGTACCTCGATTACACCACTGACAGCATGAGTATCTACCCTTCGGCTACTGGTTTGATGATTGGCATTGATCTTGCCTACAACCTGTACTCTGCTTATGGCCAGTACTTCCCTGGTCTGAAGACTCTGATCCAGCAGGCCATGGCCAAGATCATGAAGGCCAACCCCGCCTTGTACGTTCTCCGTGAGCGTATTCGCAAGGGTCTACAGCTGTACGCCTCAGAGAGCAACCAGGAGTTCCTCAACTCTCAGAACTACTCCGAGCTTTTCAGTCCGCAGATCCAGCTGTTCATTGATGACACCAATGTCTACCGTGTCACGATCCACAAGACCTTCGAGGGTAACTTGACCACCAAGCCCATCAACGGTGCAATCTTCATCTTCAACCCTCGCACTGGGCAGTTGTTCCTGAAGATCATCCACACCAGTGTGTGGGCTGGTCAGAAGCGTCTAGGTCAGCTCGCCAAGTGGAAGACAGCTGAAGAAGTTGCAGCGCTCATCCGATCTCTGCCTGTGGAAGAGCAGCCGAAACAACTCATCGTCACTCGTAAGGGTCTTTTGGACCCTCTCGAAGTTCACTTGCTCGATTTCCCGAACATCTCTATCCGTGCCTCTGAGCTTCAGCTGCCCTTCCAAGCTGCCATGAAGGTCGAGAAGCTTGCTGATATGATCCTTCGCGCCACTGAGCCCCAAATGGTCCTCTTCAACCTCTACGATGAGTGGTTGAAGTCCATCTCCCCATACACAGCTTTCTCTCGTCTGATCTTGATTCTCCGTGCCCTTCATGTCAACATTGACAAGGCCAAGATCATACTTCGTCCCGAGAAGAGTGTGATTACCCAGGAGCATCACATTTGGCCCTCGCTCCCCGATGAAGACTGGATCAAGGTCGAAGTGCAGCTTCGTGATCTGATCTTGAACGACTATGGCAAGAAAAACAATGTCAACGTGCAGAGTTTGACTAGCAGTGAGGTTCGAGATATCATCCTCGGTATGGAGATCAGTGCGCCCTCGCTCCAACGTCAGCAAGCTGCCGAGATCGAGAAGCAGCAGGAGGAGGCCAAGCAGCTCACCGCCGTTACGACCAAGACCCAGAACGTGCGTGGTGAAGATATCATTGTTACGACAACCTCGCAGTACGAGCAGCAGTCCTTCGCCTCAAAGACCGAGTGGCGCACTCGTGCCATCGCAACCTCGAACTTGCGGACTAGGTCGAACAACATCTATGTCTCTTCAGACGATATCCGCGATGCCGGCTACACCTACATCATGCCGAAGAACATTCTCAAGCGGTTCATCACCATTGCCGATCTTCGTGTCCAGGTCACCGGCTACATCTACGGTAGCTCGCCACCAGACAATGATCAGGTCAAGGAGGTCCGCACTATCGTCATGGTTCCTCAGGTTGGCAATACCCGGGATGTCCAGCTGCCGCACCAGCTGCCTCAGCACGACTACCTGAACGGCTTGGAGCCGCTTGGCGTCATTCACACCGTCTCGGGCAATGAACCCCCGTACATGTCGGCGGCAGATGTGACCCAGCACGCGCGCCTGATGAACTCGCACCCGTCGTGGGATAAGAAGACCGTGACTATGACTGTTTCCTTCACTCCCGGCTCTGTCTCGCTTGCCGCCTGGGGTCTCACCCCCGATGGCTACAAGTGGGGTGCTGAGAACAAGGACATGAGCTCGGACCAACCGCAGGGTTTCTCCACCAGCATGGGTGAGAAGTGTCAGCTGCTGCTCAGTGACCGTATCCGCGGCTACTTCCTTGTTCCCGAGGACAACCTGTGGAACTACAGCTTCATGGGAAGCTCGTTCGGCGGAGTTGAGAAGCGACCTATCTACGTGAAGATCGATACTCCGCTACGCTTCTACGATGACCAGCACCGCCCCCTGCACTTCCAGAATTTTGCCGAGTTGGAAGATATTTGGGTTGATCGGACGGACAACTTTGAGTAAAAAGATGATGTACTCATCCATCATGGGTTTTCCTTGGAACTTGGTGGGTGTTCAAATTCATGCTTCGTTTTCAAATTTCCCGGGCGTCTGTCTCTTTGTATTACTTACCTTATGTATTTTGCCCTTTTTTCCCTGTGAATGATGACAATCATAATATCATGTATTTCAAGCGAAATTTTAGTTGAAAAGCAACGAAATGCTTTTATATCTGAGCAGAATTATATTTTGAATTCTCGGTAGACGCGTAGGTATGGACGTGAGTCATGTGATACACTATGCAAGTACATTTCTACTGTGCATCATTATGGGTTTTTGATTGAACCAAGACCTATACGAGGGTGTGGGTATGAAATGGGCATGACGGTTGGAATCAAAATGCACATGATCGAATTGATCACCGGGCAGCCCGACAGCGCGGATTATCTGCTTTCCATCGCACCACCACCCACAGAAGAAGGGTGCTATCGCCTCCGACGATCGGACCGTGAGGTGATTGCGCGCTTAAAGCCAGTCAGAAGGGATGCAGGTCATCGGGCTTTGCGCCACCCCACCATATCGGGCGGAGGCCCGATCCTGGCTCAATGCAGCTGGGGAGGTTGGGAGGTGATGACCCAAAAAGAGCAAAATGGCGCTCCCAGAAAGGAGCAAGGGACGGCTCAGCGTCCTAGTTCTCACATAAGAAGCACGTTCGGAAACTAGATGGGAGGAAAGAAAAGTATAGCTAATTTTCACGAGTCGGTAGAAACATAGTTACCAAAACGGTCATTTCCCGGGGGAACGGGGGGAGGCGTTTTCTCATACCGCAAAGATGCAGTACGCCAACTGCCACCGTGCTCAACAAGCCAGCAAACATAACGAGACTAGCGAGCAGGGATCAGCCCGAATGCCCGTGGAGACGCATTGAAGAGGCCAACAAGATGCCCGCTGCTAAGAGGGCCCGCATGCCACTAGCACATCTAGCACATCCATCACATCCCATCACGCCTGCCGCCCACCCGGATCTTCCCTCCTTTCACCGACCACTCTCCCTGCTTTGGACGAATATACAGTTTGACAATGGGGCAATGAGGCTCATCATTGCCCATCCGCCACAGTCATGACTCACGATATCAATCGTCGGGCGTAGGGCATATCTCGAAGATTGTTCACGCCTCCCTTTGATGACGGTCCCTATGGCTGGATGAATCGGGGGTTGGCTATACCATGTCTGCCCCGCTCCTGACGAACGCAGCTGCCAAAGACAAAAAGCAAGACTCCACGCTCATCCCACAGGGTTATGAGATTCATTGTTTTAACCCCTGTCCGGCCCTCTTCGGCTTCGTATGGGACTGCTGTGATTGATCCTCGCATACCCTTGGCACTCCTGGACAGTCCCGCTAGATGGCGAATGGTCCGACAGCCTGCCTCTTTGGCTAACCCCAGACGGTACTCATTGGCCGAGCCTTGTGAACTCCCACTCGAATGCCCTCCCCGGCACGGGGAGCTAGCGGGGAAGCACCACCCAGCGAATGAAACCCCTGTCGCAGACTGTCCGCTTGCCCCTGAAGTCAATCTGACGGGGCTTTCCTCGTTTCGCGGCTCCTGTTGGGCTTCTGGTATTCCGAAAAAGACCTCGCCGCTGAACGGTACCTTGACCCCCTTTAGGCTGGTGGTGGTCTACAGTATTCTCTCTCCTCTGCGTGGCCAGACCCCCGTCTCACCTTGCCTGCTCCCTAGGAGAGAAGCTGCCACGGTCCATTGGGAGTTATCCCACTCTATAGCACACCGGGTTTAGGGGGGTCCTGGATAAGAAGGGATTGCATTTATTGGCAGAGGCCGGAAGGCAGCGCGCTTTGAACCGGTTTCGATATCGATGTGAATGTGGTCCTCTCCGTGACAGTCACCCTCTGACGTTTCTATTCCATTGGAAGACTAGCAAACCCAACCCTAGCAACGCACGCTCCGGTTGATGGGCTTCGTCGGCGCTGGAGCGTCCCACCTTGCCCGCTACGCAAACCTCCCCAGGACCAGACGAGTACTCGGTGAAGAAACTTATAGATGCGACTTCGTCCCCAGGCTGCATCTCTTATTTCCCTAGCACCAGATGTCGCAAATCTGCCTCTTTGTACCCCCCCAAATTATGCTCTTTCAGTCCAGTGGGCTCCGCGTCCTGGTTTCCCTTTGATACTGGGAGGTGTCGTATCCACTGCTCCTTTACGTGAAGCGTTTCTACCGACTCGTGAAAATTAGCTATACTTTTCTTTCCTCCCATCTAGTTTCCGAACGTGCTTCTTATGTGAGAACTAGGACGCTGAGCCGTCCCTTGCTCCTTTCTGGGAGCGCCATTTTGCTCTTTTTGGGTCATCACCTCCCAACAGAAGAGTCGCCGGCCGGGGCTCCCCCTGGCAAGGTCGATGCATGTCCGTAACACTGGCGGACCCGTACCGAGGCTTCGCGATCAACTTTTCCCACGCGGACAAGCCCGATGACCATGATATCATTGCCTACGATGCTCGGAACAAGTTGAACGGGCTTCCCTTCCAGCCCGGCTGCTCCCATTCTCCCTATGACCAGCACCCTCATGCGGCAACGCCGCTGTTGCCCCATCCGGCACCTCAGACCAACAGCTTCAATGATCCGCAGCCGAGCTATGCCCCGGTTCATCAGATGCTCCCGCCTCCGCCGCATTATGGCTATGAGCTCACGCCACCGCAAGACAATAGGAAACGCAAGCGGTCAAGGTCCGGCGGCGAAGGCGATAGCGGCCGCAATGTGAGTCGCCACCTTGGACCCCGAGAGCATCTACCAGCCCTGGCTCTTGATGGAATGGGCACTGGAATGGGTACTGCCGCCGAACAGTCGGACATGCTGTTCGCTGTTCACACTGGTCCTTCCACGTCGCTTCCGCCTTCGAACCAGATCTACCCCTCTCCGATTGCTCTCCCAGCCCCGCAGCAGCATCACCACCACCGTCTTCCTCTCCAGCTATTAGATGCCCATGCTGCCTCGTCCGCGATACTGGGAGCTCCCCCAACCGTGGTAGGTCAGCCGGGCATGCCAGACCCGGCACCTCGACCCCGGGGGCCCAAGCTCAAGTTCACGCCCGAGGAGGATGCACTGCTGGTAGACCTGAAAGAGGAAAAGAATCTGGCGTGGAAGCAAATTGCGGACTTTTTCCCGGGACGAACGAGTGGGACATTGCAGGTGCGGTACTGCACGAAGCTCAAGGCAAAGGACGTGGTCTGGACGGATGAGATGGTAGGTGAGTCTGGGTCTTTTCTATAACCTATGGCGACTAATTGAACCAGTTATCACGACTTCAGCACGCGCTGAATGACTATGAGCATGACAAGTGGCGAATTATTGCGGGGAAGGTTGGCAATGGATTTACACCAGCCGCGTGTCGTGAGCAGGCTTCGCATTTCCAGTCGTTCCAGACTCTCCAGGGGGTGCAGCAGGTTCAGCAGGTTCAGAGGGCCCAGGATGCCCAGGATGTCGATGCTTCGGGCTCACCTCAGAGTGGAGATGGTCTCCGAGTATAGGGCTCAATATATAGTGTGAAGTACCTATACGGTCTTCTTGCTTTTCTTGCCTTATATACCAGAATGGAGTAGAAGGTGGGTACATGTTTTATTAGAGCATTAGTGAATAAAGGTATGTATCTGGAATATGTGGGATTGGAATGATATTAAGCACGAATTCAACCTTCTATCATCACACCAATATCCTATCACTTCTCATTAGCGCTTGTCATCCCTCAAGATGGCTCTATAAAATGGCCGGCCTGCAACATCGAGAATAAGATCAGTAGGGGATTCAATCAGTACCACAGCAGTTGTCAACATACCCTTATTCAGACCAAGAAGCTTCTTCTCATACGGGCCCAGCTCCTCTTCCATTAAGATGGTCTGCGGAGGCGTCTCCTCTGCAGGTCCATCATACACCCATCCCCACCGATAATCCTGACTCTGCTGGATGAGATCGTCCTCATCTCCATAGGCATCTCGCTCGCGTATCTCACGACGAGACCTAACTCGTAGCTTCTCGAGCTGCCAAGGGCCCTTTCGAAGAAGAGCACGGCATTTGTACAGGCCAACGTCGTCGTAATTTAAACCGTCGAGAGCGAGTCGAATCCGAACAGATCGGTGAATGCGCTCGTTGGTCCCTTCCAAGAAATATTCCGTAGGAAGGGCAGTCTGTGGATCAACACGATGATACATTCCAGGCGTGCGAGTTGTTTTACCGGCCAGCTTGTAGAATCCAGTCTCCGGTTGAACGATCTCACCGAGACCCCACGGCCGCACGGGCTTGTGCTCTTCGTAGATGGAATCAACCGCCCATTGCTTCCACCGCTTGCGCTTGCGGCTGTCATCGGTCGGTTCCCCGTCTTCAGATTGATCGTAATAGTAGCGAACACTTTCTTGGAAAAGCAGATCAATTGTATCTGCTTCGAAGGCCACGCCAAGATCGGCTAGCTGATCCATCATCCAGGCCATAGTGACATTAGCGAGCTCTTGGTCGGGAAGACCACCGCCAACGTTGGAGTGAGCTCCACAGAACCAGACTTGTCGGAGATCCGTGTGCACACCGCGAGGCCGTTCCCAAACAGCCGGGGCGAAGGATGTGCGGACTTCGTCTAGGGCGAGAGCTTGGAAGGCGTGTTCGATTGTGTTTGAGAGAGTGGTGTCGTACCACTTGCATGTATAGACGAGTCAGTATTTCTCTGTGGCTAGGGAATTCCAAAGGGCACACTTATTCTTTGGTAGAGCGAGGTATTTTGAGTGTGTTTGATAAATTGGTGTCCGGAATGCCTGAATCCATCATCAATCTTGTACACTTCCACCAGAGATAATTGCCAGCGCACCTAAGCTTCCAACTGTGTCGAAAACTGCGACGCAACGAATTTTAATACGGTACCCATCTGGGTCATAGAGCCGGGTGAGTCCCTCCTTAAAATATGTCAATACAATCCAGGTCACAAGGGGAGTAAAAGACCACGAACATCTTCAAGACGGAGCTTGTACTCTCTTTGATCAATGGGTTTGTTAGGGAATGGTATAGTGGGAAATTTGTCCTTGTAGTTGGGGTTTCTGAAGTTCTCTGAATCCTTGAAGATTGGGTAGAGATATTCCATTCCTCTGTTTGTGAGAAGTCCGATTTCCGTCATGAGTCCCTAGATCTATTAGATTTCCCATGTCTTAGCATTCCTCGGGGACAAACAAGGTATGCTTACAGCCACACTACGAGCGGTGAATGCGCCACGGGAAAACCCTATGAGAAAGATCTCATCGCCAGGCTCATAATTTGTTGCGATGAAACTATAGGCTTCCCGGATGTTCTGCGACCGGTCGTCAGACAATCGCCTCGCAAATATAAAGCATGATTGCACCCACTTCATCGACGCCAGCACCGAAAACCCCGCCGGCAATTGTGTCTGAAATAGTTCCAGAAGTACCCACGCCCGGATGATAGTAAACAACTTGACTCTTCCCATCCAGACCCTTCTTTCGCAGAGCCCGATACAGGCGGGTCACATTAGAAGGAACCTGGAGAGTATAATTTGGATCATGAAGGGTTGGGCGATTATAGCCCTGGTCGCTATTGATCCACGTGCCATCCAGACATACCACGAGGCGTTTTCCCTGGGTCGCCATTGTGTGTAACTCGACGTGGTTGGCAAGAAGATCCAAAGCGGGACCAAGCACAGTACCTGCGTCGGGCCGCGAACAGAAGCGCAGAGGAGGAAAGGGTGGTAAGATCGGTGCGTCCAGATAGATTGCGACGAGCTAATATTTATTGAGCCTATAATCAAGCACACGCAGGAACCGTTCGCAATTCCAAGGACGTGGATACTAAGAACCGGAAATTACGCGGACTTCAAACTACCCCGCTTCAGCCTCATCTCACCCGTGACCTCACCAGCTGAAACCCTTTGTGGCTGTCTTGTTTAGTGATTGCTGTCTTATCTTCTTTTTGTATTTTTTTATTCTTATAGAAATGAAATATGAGTTATCTGATCCACGACTTATACTATATGTCAATTTGTGCCGACACTGCCTAATCAATTCAAATGCCCACCATATCCATCCGGTCATTTTACCATGCACCGAACCGAGCGCCAATCCATCTCAACATGTGTCATCATAACATCTTCTTGGCAGCCAGTCTTTGATTCGATATCAATAGCCTGGCCGCCTGATTCGCTGCAAGACTTATCAGACGCCGTGCAGGTGCCACCCATCAACGACCATGAGTAAATTTTATTCACCGGGCCAGAGGCACAAGCGGTTGAGTTAAATCCTCCATCGGTGAAGTATCTGCAGTAAACCCCTGTTGTATCATCGAACGCGGCTTTATAATCTCCAGGAAGTTCAAGGCATTTTGAGTCCTGGTCTTTGTGTCCTTTCAACAGGTAGTAATCTTGATTACAAATTGTGCCCGTATAAGCTATGAGCGTCCATTGGGGGCCTGCGCTAGACGTGGTGCTTGACTGGTGAGTTGTGGTCTTAGTTGTGGCTGGAATCACCTTCGTTGTGGTTACCTCTATGGTCGTGGCTGTTTTCTTCGCTGCAGCTTCAGTGGTCGAAGTTTGCTTCGCTGCAGCTTCAGTGGTCGAAACTTGACAATTCGACATGCAGCTGACGTCTTGTGGAGTACACCAGTATTCCCCGGGAGCAGAACATACTCCCTGGCCCGTACACTATAGATACCGTTAGTTCAAAGTATGTCAAGAGGGGTTGTGGCCGACCTTACGCATTTATCCGAAGAGCACGGATTTAACGACGCAAGGTCGGACATATTGAGAGGCCTTGTGGTTCCAGGAACCTGAGGGCCACACTGCGCTGTGGGGAGGGCAAGTGGCATTGGGGGATCTCCGGGGCTGACGCATATAAATGAACCTTGTCGCAAAAACCCGCAGTCAAAACGCCAGCTGTGGGCATTGTATACTTGGAGCTGCGCCACAGTGATCCCAATTTTCTTCGCAATATCCTGGCAGCCCTCATTGCCAACGATGTACGTCTTGCAAATAGTCGACTTTTTGACTAGAGGGGTTGTACCTTGCGCAGAGAATGACCCACGCCCCCTGATTTGTAACGGAAGCTCGCTGGGCTCAAGGAATCCAGCCGCCATGGTGATGAGGAACAGCCCGCATAAGGCTAGAAAGTAATAATGACCATGATGGAAAATCGCCATATTGACTTTGATTGCAGATCAAGTTGTCCAGTGGGTCTCATTTAACACGGTCTATCGGTTTATATATGCGTTTCCCATTCAACCATCTGCTCGTCATCAAATCATTAGAAGCCCAGGCTCATTGATACATCCGGGGATGCAGATGCACTTGGGCATTCGACTGAAACTGGACAGATTATTAATAGCAAGACTTTCATTATCTCCGAAATTCTGAAACCCCGGGGTATACGCTTCAGACCAAACACTTCAACGGATGATTGCTCCTCTCGAAATCCATCAACAAAGAAGACAGAGGAGATCGCTGCAGGTGGGCATCAACAATCCTCTTGGCTGATATTGTTCTCCTCATCCTTGATCAGACAATCGGTCATCACCTCTCTACAGCGTATGCAGGGGCTCATCTTGTGACCGATCTCTACAAAGCCATGCCTATAGTTTGGGGATGCATGCTTTGCACACCTCCCCCTCCACTACAGAGCCCTAAGCCCTACGTTTCCTAACCCGTCTGGTGCATGCATGGTCTTCCTCGCCTCCCGTAATATCAGCCAATCAAGAGCTGAGTCATCGGCATTACCCGCGGCCCATTGGCGCACAGAATCCAGCCAATCAGCGGCCAGGACGGGTCAAAGCGGCTTCAAACCTCACCCAAACCTCAGACCTCCAAACTCTCGCTCATCCCCAAACTCCCCTCCTCTACCCCATCCATCCAGCTCCCGCGATGTTCCTCCAACGCACCGCCTCCGCCATCGCGAGGCGCTCGCCCGCCCGCGCCTTCACTCTCGCCCAGCGCCCGTTCTCTTCCTCGATCGTGCGTCGTACGTGATCCTCACTCCAGTGGCCTGATCCGACCTCCCCCGACCTTCGCTATCTCTACTTCCCCCCCAAGTCAATTGGGCTCCAGCACACCTTTTTCGATCAAGCAAGCTCGAAAATAATTTGTGTGACTACCAGCTAACGCGAATTGTCTCTTCATAGGTGACGACAAGAAGTGGGCCGTTAAGGACGAGGGCAAGATCCTTTCCTTCGACGGTTAGTACCCTCCCGACCACGCGACAACCAATTGCCCCGATCGTGCCCCCAATACCCCGGAGGGGTCCAGCCCGTCACTTTCCCCATTTCCCTGAAGCAATTGGGTTCCATAGGCTGCACGAGCTGCCGGAAACATGGACCGAGGACCCCTCTTAGCCGAGTCATATCGAACGCGGCTTGCTGGCTCGCAAATCTCACCCTGCAGAACATACCACTAATATGATATCTCCGCCTTACAGAGATCAAGACCGAGGATGACCTGATCCCCCCCGGTGCCAAGCCCGGTACCATCCCTACCGACTACATCCAGGCAACCGGTCTCGAGCGTCTGGAGCTCATCGGTAAGATGCAGGGCATCGACATCTTCGACATGCGTCCTCTGGATGCCTCCCGCAAGGGTACGTGAAATTCTCCGTTTTAGTCTTGTGTCGCGCGTCGCTTCGTACGCGACGCTGGTACTCGTTTTTACCGCTCGGGGACGCCCGCTGACCCATACCGCCGCAAACAGGAACCCTCGAGAACCCCATCATCGTCAACGGTGCCGGTGATGAGCAGTACGCCGGTTGCACTGGCTACCCCGTCGACTCCCACCAGGTGAACTGGCTGACCGTACGTCGGACCCCAACACCCCCGGTCAACTATCCAAAGCACTAACTCTGGTCCCCGCAGGTCTCCCGAGAGCGCCCCATTGAGCGCTGCCTGGAGTGCGGCAACGTCGTCAAGCTGAACTACGTCGGCCCAGAGGAGGACCCCCACGCTCACGACCACGCTCACGACCACGGCCACCACCACCCGCCCCACGAGGAGCCCAAGACCTTCGCCGACTTCGTCAAGCCTGACTACTGGTACCGGTAAATCTGGGGCTCGATCTAGCGTACCCTAGCGATTTGAAAATCTTCGATACAGTGTGAATGGCCCCTCGCGGCCCGGGGCGCGCGAATCTGTGTGTCTGTATCTGTTCTTGTCTGCGTGGCTTTGGCTTGCCCTTCTTCGATCTCTTTTGTAGAATACTTCTCTAGTGGATGAAAATGAGAGTGCCAGGGGGTGTACTTTTGACTAATAATTTGGTTTGTCACGTTCCTTTTCCCGTTTAGCTTGCAAGCTGCTGGGCTGCAGCGCACTATGCCTCGACCGTTGACCGTGTCAGACACCAGGGAAGGTTGATGCTTTTTCTGGAAGCATGCTCCTATGGATGGTACGAAGGGGTCCACAGCCGATGCAAACATCAGATGCTTCGAGGTCTAGAAATGGACAGGTTCGAATGGTTTCATAGGAGAGGAATTTAGATGCGTTCGGCGAATGTCGTACGACCATACATAATGCAAGTAGAATTATTTTAGTTACCCCAACTGAAGCAAGGCTTAACTAGAAATGCAGGTGAGTATCTCTATATCCTAGCATGTGAGGATAATGTGTCGAACGAATCGCGCCACCATCACATCATACCAGCGAAGCCGGACAAGATGGAACTAATCTCGCCAGGCCTATGCCCCATGGCCCCGTAGCTGTATCCAGTATACGGCACTATCGCCTAGCGACCAACAAAGTGCAGTTCCAGAAGCCGAAGCGGCGGATACACAACCGCCGTCCACGAGAAACCGACGTAGTTGCCCATATCGGCGCCATATTCACCAACAAGCTTCGCCAGTGGCCCGATGTACCACACCTGCGCCATGCACAGCACAGCACCAACCCAGCCGACAACGAACGCCACAAATGCTGCGATGCCGATAGGCAACTTGGACGGATCCCGCCACGCAGCCCAGTTATATCCGGTGCGGAAGCGGAAGAAGAAGAACTCCTCGATCAAGATCGCGAACCAAATAGCCACCCAGTAGCCCATCAGCGCGAGGAAATTGGTGAAGATTTCAGAAGGTGGCTGCGCCCTGCCAGTGCGCAGACGGTGTAGATGATTACGCCCACAGTGTTCCAAATCACTCGGGGTACCTTTTCGGCGTAGCGGCCGAGGATCTGGAAGTCGACGCCGGCGGAATAGGTGGGTGCAACGGTGTTGGCAATGAGCCCTAGGGCGACAATCACGGAGCAGAACTTGCCAAAGCCGTGGAGGGGCCCGAAGCCTTCTACGATGAGGGCGCCTTGGCCGCGGTTGTAGGCTGCTTCGTATTCGGGGTAGGCGCCAATTCCGGAGGCGAGACCGATACCGCAGACTAGGGCCATGGCGAAGGAGAGGACAAGCCCGGTTAAGGTCAGGGTGAAGATTGTACGGCGGGAGGTGTGCTCGGGGTAGTATACGAAGAAATCGGCAGCCAGAGGGGCGTAAGTGATTGCCGCACTGAGGCAAATGGAGAAGAACGATAGCCTAGCACCGATATATGTTAATTGAGAACATGGCATGTATGATGGCTTGACGTGGACTACTAACCTGTTACCGGCTAACGTCCGGGGATCACCTTGAGAGGCCGCCGACACGTCGAACTTGGTAGACGACACGCCGAAAAGCATGCACACAACAATCAGCTGGGGCAGAAATGCAAATCTAATAACTGCCAGTGATTAGTTGTTGGAGACATAATCAGATAAAGAATAATACGGACCGTTCATAGTAGTGGAAGACTTGAATGCCGAATGTAGCTACCACCCAACTGATGATTGCAATAATAACAATGCCTGTTGCGTCGAGTCAGTCAAAGCCGTCCAACACATCAATATCTTAATATCTTTAGGCATCACAAATCACATACCCACAGCAACCGACATGCCACCCGGTGAAACAGCAGACAAGATCTGCCCTCCCACCACACAGTCAATCAAACAGTACCCTATCATTTGAACGAGGTTCAGCAAAACAATAATCTTGCTCGGCCACCAGCCCATCGAGTAGCGGCCAAAGGCCATAGTCCTAATCCCCGAGATGGGGCCCCAGGTTGCCACCCATGCGGCAACGAGCGAGCCAGCGAATGAACCAAACACAGCACAGAGCGCCGAGTCCGTGAAGCTGAGTCCATACACCGCCGGGCCCAGCATGCCCAGGGTAATATTGTTCGCCGCGAGATTAATCGATACCCACAGCAAGAACGCTTGCAGATACGACATCCATGACAAGCGCTTCATGCGCTCGTCCGCCGCGACTCGCTCAATGCCCCGCGCCTCAAGGTTATACTCGACAAGTTGCTGCTCGAAGGCTCTCAGTAGGGAGCCGAGGCGCGAGCCGGCGGGGTTGCGACGACTCGCATTCTCCGGCGGGTATGTGGCATTGGTCTTGTTCTCATAGTCCAGTGGGTGCTCGGTCGAGCGGACAGTCTTGATATCGTCGTCTTGTTCATTACGCGCCGCTATGGCGGCGACTTCATGTTCCGAGGCCATGCTGCACACAAGCGTCAGTACAATCCGTTCGATCGAACCGGGAGCCAGGTAGGCAGAAAAGCGCATGAGTCCTTTCGCTGGAATTATCCAGATCAAGTTCAACCGTATGATCTCAGAACGGCCGCGGGCAAGAGAAGCTAGCGCAGCCCTTGCCCGCGGGCCGAACACCGGTCTTCATGCAGGTTCTAGAAAGGTACCTTGATCATTAGACAATACCAGGCTACTCGTCTTCATGGTAGCCGTCCCCGGGGATGGTGTGAGGGCGGGAGTCGGGATCTGTACTCGAGGCTTGTAAACTCGGGGGAAGCAGTGGGCGAGCTGTGCCACCTTCCAATCTGGATGAGTCACTATGAAGCAATGGGTGGTTAGCGGGCGGTGGCGATGAGGAATTCAGGATCTGGGGAGAAATGCAGTCACCTGGAAGAGAATCTGCCGATGGGGAGGAGACGCTGAGCGTAACTGGATTAATTGAATAGCCTGAAAGGCGACACTTTGAGACAAGCGATAGCAGAAAAAAAGGTGTGGAGGATGTGGGAAGAGGCCGCGGGGAAAAATGGATCGCCCGCGTTTCTCGGCGGTTTTCCGCTTCCGCCGGGGTACGAGATGCGCCGAAAGGACAGACCCGCTTTGATCGTGTCTATTGTTTCTGGTTCCTGACTAGGCTAGTTTGTGCAGTTACTGGAATCTGTCTGGGAATCATCCATATAGCATTGGTCACGAAAGAAAAGAAAAAGGGGGAAAGCCAGATAGGAGGAACTTGAGAAAAGACATCAAAAGACAGCCCGTATGGCACCAAGAAGGCTAACGCCCAAGTACGAAGGGGGAAAAGAGGCCAGAAGAAAGATTCCAGGCAATATCAGAAGAGGTAGACTAAAAGAGACCAGATCACCAACTCCATGTGCCTTGTCATATCAGTGGCCCCCGTCAGCCATTGACGATATTTGCATCGCTATGGAATTGCAGAATCCGGGGAGGGAATGCCAAATTCATCAAGATGCATGAAAAGAAAAGAATAGAAATCAAAAGTTCAATCATCACTTCATCAGTGGGTCATCAGGTGCAGCAGCTCAAAGATTTTTGAAGTGCTCCTTGGCATACTGCTCGCAGGCCTGTAGAGAGAGACGGAGTTAGGATCCAGAGTTGCGGTTGGACACGAGTGAATCAGGTCCAGGGGCATCCGATGGCAACAGACCTTGGCCGGCTTGCCGACTTTCTGTCCGATGACCTTCCACTTGTTTGCCTCGTATTCCTTAATTGCGTCACGGAGCTTTATAGACTGCGCGCTGTCAGTGGGTTCGCGTGGGCACGCGACAGGGGGGAACCGATCATACCTCGTCTTCGGCGAACTCGGCGTAGTGCATATCCTGCATGATGAGGTGAGCGCACCGATCATAGAGCTTGAATGACCCGCCAGGTCCCATACCTTGTACCAGTGTTTCTTCACACTGCCCTCAGTCCGCGTCGGAAAGGTCTGCGACGCGTTGAATTAGCAAATTGGGATGTCGCGACCATCGACGGAGGCACGGACGCACCTTTGCGATCTCACTCCAACTTCGACCTGCATCGCGCATGGTCTTGAGCCGTTGTTCCTCCTCGGCCGTCCATGGGGTGTTGGTGCGACCCTTCTTCTTGGGGGTCGCCTCGACCGGCGGTTGGAGGACGTTTGGGTCACCCTCCATCGCACCACCGGCCGTTGTCATCGGTGCCGCCATCATCGTGGAGGAGCCCGCAGCCGGGGATGAGGGACGCTTGCGCGATGAGGAGGGTTGTTGCTGCTGCTGTTGTTGTTGCGGATGTTGCTGCTGCTGTTGCTGTTGCTGCTGTTGCTGCTGTTGCTGCTGTTGATGGGGGATCGGACCCGTGGGTATAGGAATGCCTTCAAAGGTCGGAACTCGATGGAAGGGATGGATCTGTTGTTGGGCGAGGAGATGCGGCGGGGCGCTGGTGGTGGCCGAAGTCTTGATCCGTTTGGAAGTCGGAGGGGACCTGGTCGCGCGTCCGTTAGCATGGAAAGTAGAAGGAGTAGCGGCGGTAGCAGAAGCAAATGCATCGCGCAGGCAATGGAGAGACGCTTGTGTGAACAACAGAAGATGGAACGCGACTCGATCTGCACTCTGTTTTCCTCTCTCGCTCTCTTCTCCTCAGGCAGGCTGACGAAGCTGTCTCATTCCAGAAGAAGTCTCCCTCCCGCAGTACAGGAGGCAGGAGCCGAATGGAGATCACAGACGAGGGACTTACGACATGGTGAAAGACAGGAGTTCTCAATCACACGTCGATCATCTGTACATACGGGGCGCGCGTAGGGGGTTAGCAGATCTGCTACAGGCGCGCCTCGATCAACTTTTAGGAAAGCGAGCTTCGTTACACTAACGATGACGCAGGCGCATCGCAGGCAGAACCAGATCGGGAAAGAGGGCAGCCAGCGCGACAGGAGGGGGGAAGAGTAGAACCCAGAGGGAGCTGGAGTCGTGGACTTGGCCGTTCGGAAGTCGCAGGGAAGGGAAGTCCATTGATCCCGACCGGGGGGAGCGACGCGATTCAGCTCTCTTTCGCTTCGTCCCCCTTTTGTTTCAGGAGAGAGCAGGAGGAAGGGGATGGTGATGATAATGACTGTGATGAGTCGGAAGGAGGGACGGGTGAAGCTCACAGATCAAAATCGCATGGTCGAAGAGTCGAATCGGGCACCTCGAATTCCTCCGAGTACGGGGAGAACATGAGGCTCGAACGGGGGGGGGGGGTGGATGGTGGTAGGTCGTGGTGGAGGAGGGGAGAGGAAAGTTGACGTGGAACTTGGATGACAGGGAAGAGTAGGAGCGAAAGGGTGAGGGAGATGAGAAGAGGAGAAAGAGAGGAGGTGAGCGGGGATGGAGTCACCTCATATCACGCCGGTCAGGGCATAGCACGAGGCTGCTCAGATTCTGCGAGACCTACTCAATCGCGCCATAGCCGTCTATCGTTTATCGCCTAGAGCTGATCCTGAACACTCGATCTCTTCCATTCACCGTTTGGCGACGACCGTCTGGGGGAGGCCAAGTGGAGGGGTTGGGAATGGGCTTGCGCGCCGTAGTTCTAGGCCTTTGCGACTCCTCCCGTCTCCGATGCTATACAAAACACAGAACACAAACCACAATAACACAAACACCACACACCACACACCAAGCACCAAGCACCGAGCACCTACTCGGACGCTCCCCCCCCCCTTTCCTGAGTGCCGAGTCACTTCTAAGACCCTACATCCAAGACCATCCTTATCGTGTCAAGCGGAAGATCATTACAAAACCATGCGCTTCCGCTCACCACCACCACCCCTCTCCGGTGCATTCCACCGTTCGTCACTCTAGGAACCCGATGCCCGGGGGCCCTGTCACAAATGGCTCGTGCGGCACTCCAATTCGACCGGCGCAGTTGCTGCAGAAGCAGGATGGGCCACGTCCGACAGCTTCCATGAGACATTTGGGCCGAAGACGCCCGCGAGTGGCCTATTTCCAGAATCCGGTGACCCCGCGAACTCTCACAGTGCGAGGATGACAGCAACGAGGGGGTCAAGGTCAACCCGCGAATGGCACTCCCCACGGCCTGCTGGGGTCTGCACTTGCGGCCACCCGCTCGAGCCGCATTCGCGCAATTGCCACGGTGGTCCATAATGGCCATAATGCCTTCCCGGACGCGGACTTTCCAGCGGTGACAGCTGCCGCTACAGCAGCAACAGCAGCAGCCTGTTGCTGTTATCACTTCGCCTACTCCGATGATTGCTGTTGAACGAGTCCGTCCCACCCGAGACTTGGCGGACTAAGTCAAGCCACACGAGGGTGTGCAGCCACGATACCCCTCCTCTCCTCTCTTGCGTTTGCGGTCATGCCAGTGGAGATGGGGCTATATAGACCAGATCTCAAGTCCAGCGCCCTTCGTAATCAAAGAGTCCCGGGGTATCCCAAGATTCGTCCGGGGATATACCCATTGACTGGCAATGCTATCAGGCCCCGTAATCCTCCAACCTCCTAATAGTCATTTCCCGCCATCAGGGAATCGGGCTCATCTCCTGCAGACTGTCAAATCAGCGCAGACAGTCCCGAACAGGACGAGCACAGCGGCTGAAGCTAGCTTTGCCTCGCCAACGCCCCAATTGCGACTGCGAATGGTCCACGCCATCCTGCATCCTGTGGAGATGGCAACCGGTAGGGATCGTGCATCTCCTCGAAACAATGTGGCTGCTATCTGCAGCACGATGGGGTCAAGGCCCGTGTCCATTTATCGACGCCACCAGACAGCTTCAGATTTCAGATGGAGTGCGGGCTTGCGAGGTGGGCACAGTGGCAGGTCATCTTCTCATTCAAATCTAATATCGCCGGGTTACGCCTATGTTGGGCAGGCAAAGCGTAATTGGATAATCTGACTTGGGCGATATTCTCGTCCAGAGTGATTCAGATCGGTCCTCTGCAATCAGGGCTGTTTGTCCATGTCTGTCATCTGGACCCTGTTGCTTATTTTCTTATCGGATGCTTCACAGTGCATTTACTGTGGAAGGGACCGTCCTGCGGCTCAATTATCATGTTTGGCCATGTGGACGATTGCTGCACCGTGCAAATCATCCTACAGGAACCCTCCTGAAATGGTGGGGTACCAAAGTACATAGAGTGAGGTTGGTGGAAAACCTTGTGTTTCCTCGAAGTGTCAAAAGTCGCGCCAACCTCTTGACTTCTATCCGCTACACTATGCCTGAAATGATTAGCATGAGAGTCACCGGAAGGTGTTTACGCTAAGGTTGATGCAATCATCGTGTTGTCCGTTGTAGGCTCTTGCCCATATCGAAGGCCAGAGTAGGTAGAGGTAAACTCGGGAGTTACCTCTTGTCAGCGGCTATACGTAGGCGCAGTCTTCGTCAAGATAGAATTCCAGTCGCGACAAGCCCTGGGTGTCATGCAGCGATTGACTGGACTCAGCCATTCTAGAAATAGATTTGAAACACTACAAATCCCTTTTTGAATCTTGCTTGAAATGCATGTTCGATGCATATACCCCAAACGAAGGCTAAGCTATAGTGACTCCAGCCCGCACGTGCACGGCCGTCCCCACAAGAGCAGGCTGCGAGAGTGGTCGGCCCTAAAATAAGGCACCAAATTTAGCAGCTCGACAACTGAGCCCGGTGCGAAGTACACACATGCCCCAAACAAGGCATACAAGGCGCACCCCCAGCGCTCTCTGGACCCCAAACACTGGGCCCGTGAGATCCGCACTGTTAACCACCCGACGCACAGACCGAAAGGCTTACATCATTGCTCACGTGAGGACACGCGGCCCAAGCTTAGATTGCTGATAACGGGCCGGGGAGAGCTCCCCTTCCCGCGTCAACCTGGAGGCTTGGGCCAGACAACAGAAGCGGAACCAAGCGACTCTCGACATTGACACGAAGCATCCACCTGCGATCCTTATGCTGCACCATCCACGGCCGCTTACCCAGGCTTGTCTGTTTATCGATCTGCTTTAATCAGCCCCGTCTTGCGACCTCGCCCCGGCGTACACCCCGCGACCCAACCCACCCTCCTCCTGACCGCCATGGCGTGGAACGTATTCCGCGTGTTGGCGGATGTCTCTCATCTCGCATCGATCTGTCTCCTGATCAGGGCGATCCATAAGAATAAAAGTGCCGAGGGTAGGTGTTGACCAAGGAAGCAACCGCACTTCGGGCCGAGCACGCGACTAACTCACCATGGGTTGAATAGGCGTTTCACTCCTTACACAGCTGCTCTATGCAGTCGTGTTCATTACACGGTATCTAGATCTGTTCAATGGGAATACATGGTCGGTACGGATGTACGGGAAGGGGGTGATTTGGAATGTCTCCTTCAAGCTGTTCTTCATTACATCGGCCTTCTACACCATCTTCATCATGATGAAGGTCTTCCCGCGGACACGAGAGCGCGAGCGGGCGTGGAAGCTTGGCATTTACTCTGTGCTGGGCTCCCTGGTGCTGTCGCCGGTTGCGATCCTGCTTTTGGAAAAGGGCCAGTCATCGCATTGGTTCTTGGATGTAAGGAGCCCCGATCTCGTCCCCATGACCGACTCCCACCTCCTGCGCGAGGTGAGGTTTGCCCGAGCTTCGCTAACGCCAGCCCACTTCGCGGCTCCTAGTTCCTCTGGGCCTTTTCCATCATCCTCGAGTCCGTCTGCGTCCTGCCACAGCTCCTGCTCCTCCGACAAACGACCGTCCCCACCGTCATCGACTCCTACTACCTCGTCGCACTAGGCTCCTACCGCGCCTTCTACATCCTGAACTGGCTCGTGCGGGGCTTCGGGTCGGAGCACTACTGGGACCCAGTCGCCTTCTTCTTCGGCGTCGTCCAGACAGCCTTCTACGTCGACTTTGCGTGGGTGTACTACTCGCGGCAGCGGGTGAAGCTGCGCAACGGCGGCGTCGTGGACTCGGACGACTTCAGCAAGAGCTGGCTGGTCAACCGGGTCATGAACTTCCGCGCGGGGCGGGCCTCGACTGACGAGGAGCAGCACCTGCACGAGGACGAGGAGGGCGGTGATGGACGCGCGAGCAGCAATCGGTGGGGGGCGCGTGGGATCTCGATTGCCGCGGATGACACGCTGGAGAACTACGGCCGGCACCCGGAGCAGGAGGAAGACGACGGTGACATCGATGGCGTGCTGGAAGAGGATTATCTGGAAGATCACGCGCAGCGTGCCCGTACGACGGGATGATTGCTCCGGATGGACAAGCTCCGGTGAGAGTGGGAAATGAATTTATAGCTGGCGCGGAGCTATTCCGTGGGCGCCATCGAGACGGTTCTTGTTATTTCTTCTATCTTTTCTTTTTGGTCCAGACCTGATCTCCCTGTCATCATGTGTGCATTTATGAGCGGGAGATGTACGGGTTCTGCTTGTGCTGTACGGTGTCCGGCGCATGTCCTGTAGAAATGAGTTGACCGGGTTGTGGAGGCCCGTTCGTGTCCAGTATGAAAACCATCTATGACAGGCCATTAGCCCGACGGAGTACCGGCGTATCCCGCCCTCATCTCTCATGTCTAATCTCTCATCTTCCTTTCTATTTTGATGCTGCCCACTGTTTCCGCGACCATAGCGGCAGCCCCAGGGGTATATTCCAGGCTCTTGGTAGGGGTCCTGGCCCCAAGCTGAGCCTGACGAGCCTTGCTGAGCCATGCTGGCCGCCTGCCGGGGTTCTTTCACGTGGCTAGACAGTCACCTGACCGGGACTCTCAGCGACCGGGCTGACAGTGGCTTCCTACTTTGTTTTAGCTCTTTTCGTGGAATGGGTACAGTTCGGTCCACGCCTAGAGACGGCTGCTTCGAGAAGCGAGTAGAATGAACCTCATGAATGGGAGACCTTGCCGTCCCTAGGCACTGGATACTGGTGGGTCCTGGGCCCTGGAAACACCGCTCCCATGGTTCCAATCTCTAAATCTCCCTGTCCTTCTATTCCTTGACTACCCCTCACGAACATGAGGGACCGGCGGCTGCAGTATGTGACGAGTCTTGATCACAGGTAGGATGTACTGTACATAGAAAGCTAGGCACGCAAGGAGCGTAGTTTTCCGGGTTGGGCTTGTCCAGGCCAGTTTTGGGGGGGGGGGGGGGGGGGGGGGCGCTTAAAATGCTGGCTGCTGAGTAGCCCGTCTATGGGAAGAGTCCACGTAGGAGGAAGCCCCCGTTGATTTGGGGGGGGAAGGTACAAAAGACCGAGGAACACTGCTGGGCGGGAATCGGGCCTACCGGGCCTGGGCGCTCTATCCTATCCAGGCGGGCAGCAGCCCTCATCGCCCTCCAGACCAGCTCTGCCTTGCGGTAGTAATGGAATCCGATGGGGAGATGATGAAAAATTCGAAGGATATAGCTTGTCCTTTCTTTCTTTCTTTCTTTCTTCTTTTCTTTTCTTTTTCCTTTTTTGGCAAATGTACTGTGCTGGAGGTGCCGGAGGTGCTGAGATGCTGAGGTGCTGCGGTCTGGAGGCCAGCGCTTAACCACCGGCTGTGAATTCTCCGCAAGGAAAAGCCACGGGAGCGGCGCGCGGGTAGCTTTCAGCCTCAGCGACCCCCGGTCCTTGCCGGCCTCGCTGGGGGCTTCTGATCCAGTCAAGAGCCGCCGTCATTCAACCCTCCTGCAGGTAGGTAAGACACGCGTACTCGTCCTTCGATGCTCACCCCCCTTCTCTGAGCCATTTTTGATTAATTTTCATGTCTCTAATCATGGCCCCAAGGTGTTGTATACCTTTGAAGACCCGGGGGACGGGAATCCCGAATCTGGAACCGGACGATAATGCTCGCTCTATGCTGCTCTTTGATCGCATAAATTGGAGAGAGCTAGTGTAAGTATACCAAAACATTTGTTCCTCAGACCACGACAATCATTGTGCAGAAAATTGGGTGAATAACCACGATGGGCCCGATTCAAACTACGGCAGGATGACGGGGAAACTAAGGTAGTTCAATGTTCCGCCCCGTGCTGATCCGGATCCGCCCTCGAATGGTCCGATGCACTGCCTAGCTAGCATTAATGCCACAGAATGACTCCATCAGCGCTAATCAGAAGCTGTCAATTTGGCGATTTGGCCCGTTTCCTGCCCTGCGAATCCACCCTTGGCCCTTCCACACTGCCATCCTCGCGGGTCCGGCCTTCTGGAATGGGGCTGGCCACAAAAAGAAAACAAAATAATAAAATAATCACAAAAGGAGGGGGGGGAAATAAAAACTTTTTAATCATGGCCCTGCAGTATTTCCTCAGGTGGAACCTGGCCGATTCATCACCGGGAAGGGAGTCTGTGCCCGCCCACATCCACCCACCATGGCCCTTCTGGGGTGAATGGAGCATGGGGGCGGGAAACGCTAGCATATCAAGACCACAACTGGCACTATTAGATCTGCTGGCGCTTAAATATAGGCCCTCGTCGAGTCTACACTTTCCCCCCCCCTCCCCCCCCGGAGCGCTCCAATGCATCACGGCCACCATCGGCGGTACTATCCTGCGTTTCTAGTGCACTCTGAGCCTATAGTTGACGGACCGACGCTGCTTGTTCGTCCTGCCTCGCGAGGCATTCCGGCCACGGGCTGTGATATCTCTCAAATTGAGTCTAGAAAGCGTGCTGCCGACATTGACTGCTATATCTTATTGCTTTCACCCCCTCTCCGGCGGAGCTAGTGCAGTGTTCTTCTCTTCAGTTTCTTCATCTATAAGAATCCAGGGGGTTAACCTTGCGGTCTCTGTGCTTCTTGCTCCACGTTTCAAGGTTCTTCTTTTTTCGCCTTCCAGACATTATTGTTCCCTGCATTTAACGCTGTGATTGGCAAACCATCTTCCTCTCCCAACCGCCGCCTCCTACTCTTGTTCCTGCACGGATCTGTCTGATCGTGTTTCATCTTCTGCCACCTTTGGCGCCGCTTCCAATCACGGGCACGCTGGACCCCCAAGCTCTACTGCGGGCTTCATGATCGTGCTCACACATTTGGTGAAGATCATGTCGCACTGTCCGGGATCTTCTCACTCCAGAGAGCAAATGCAGGGGTACTATGAAACTGTCGGCCCCGACTGGACAGGCGTTGAAACAGTAAGGCTCGCTCCTTAGCCCTAACCCTCAGTCACTCCCAAGGGCCACCAAACAACGTCAAATTCTCAGATGGCTAAATATAGTTGTTATTCTCCAGCCGTACCAAACTGCCTTTATGGGGGTGAACCCCTCCCCGTATTGCACAGAGCCTATGGTCCCGCATCCCGCCATCCTCACGCCCATCTCTCTCCCGGATAGCTCGTTCCATCCGAGCCCAGCCCTCGGTCACCACTCCCAGACGCAAGAGTATCCACCCCAGGAATACCGATACAGCATCAGCGACTCCGTCCAGCCACAAGGACTCGGTATCAGTGCCCCCTTTCCCAGTGAATATCCCCGGACAACAGCTCCGACGACCAACTATATCTACGCCCCCAATGATACGCAGTATGGGATGGGCTATACGCCCAGCATGTCGCCGTCGGCCCCGGCACACAAGCGCATGAAGCGCACATTGTCGGATGCGAGGACCCCATCTCGTGACACCCACACCCCCCCTCAGCATTCTCCCACATCCAGAGGGGATAGAGCGGATGAAGCACGAGCGCAGCCAAAGCACGCCAGCGCGAATGCCGCGCAAGCCTCGCGCACCAGGCCGCGGGCGTCGCGATCCAAAAGCAGAAGAAGAAGACGCCTTTGTCGAGGATTTGCGAGAGCAGAATGTGGCGTGGAAGATGGTGCGCCAGTTGTATTCTGAGCGCTTCAATAAAGATGCCTCGGAGGCTCGTCTGCAGATGCGATTACTTCGTCGCCGCAAGGAGCGGCTAGCGCGCTGGGACGACCGTGATGTGAGTATGTGTCTCGGCAATGCACAGGAACCTGCTGTGCTGATGAATGGGGAGTTTTTCAAGTTATCGAGTGGAGCGCTAATGGTGATAACCTTTCCAGGTTCAACTTCTTATCAGCGCCTCCGAGATGTGGGAGGTCGAGAAGTATCAATTCGTCGCTGAAAAGGTGAGTCATGTCCCCGAGGCAAAGAAACATAACCTCGATACAATACTATTCTCGAGGTGTGGGAGCTAATGATCTACAGATGAAAGTAATGGGCTCCACAAAACACTACACCCCCGAACAATGTAAAGCACAATTGTGTCACCTTGAATCCAAACTACGCCCCCAAGCCCAAGACTCAAGCAGCGACTCTCCTTCAGTAATATCCGACCCAGCAGATTCCCCCACTATACCCCTATCTACTTCACGGAAACGAGCCCGTCCGGAATCGGAAGATTGATTTGGAAAGTTAGGGGAAGTTTAACCGTCGAGTTCCGCCTAGACTTCTTTCGATGGGGCGGGCGCCTCCGATGACAAATACATCGCACTTGGACTTTTTCTTACGAATTTCATGAATAGCTCTGGCGCTGGGTGGTCGGATTTTGTGTTGTTAATTATTTGCATTATACTTTTCTGGGGATTGTATTTGGAATAACAGCTTCAGTTGTCGCATGAGACTTAAGACCATGATGACACTTGCAGTGCATTGCATAGATGAGGCCAAGTGGGGATGTACATTTGCAACTTTTAGCGAAGCCACTTTGGAGTAAATACGTGGAACTCTGGAAAGGCAACCCCGATTAATCTCATATAGACCGGATCTTGTCCGGCAACTCCTGGCCCCCTCCGTTCTAGTGCTCACCCCCTCGCCGCTTTTTGCTCACTGGGTAGAATTGAGCACGCCCCTTATCATGGTCTAGCGCCTAGGCCTGGTGCTATTCGAGTGGCAGTCTTGGCTATCGCGGTGAGGACTGCTCGAATCTCATTCTGTCGTGGCTTGTTGATCTCCCATTCTTCTAATTTGCCGGCCTGAAGAGCGGTTTGAGGATTGGGAGTAGTGTTGTTTCTAACAGCCATGTTGAGTATCGCGTATGCTAATGGTAATCGTACGAGATAAACTTCTGCATTAACAATGTTGTGCGAAATCAACCGAGACTCAATGTTTAAGCAAGTATTTCTACTTATCTCATCCCAAATTTAACAATTGGAGAGCTGCTAGACATACATTGTATACAGTGTTGAATGATGGCATCATTAGAGGCCTAACCCTACCCCCCGTTCTTACAATTCTGGGCATATATGCTTTAGATGCTCATATATCTGTCTTGCCGCCTCCTCCGGCGTGAGATTAGACACATCGAGTTCTGAATAGTTCGGGTGGCCGGTGAAGCGATGGACATCCTCCTCGAGGCGGAACTTGCTAACAAGCTCCACGTCTGTCAACTTTGAGTGTAACTCTCGATCCGATGAAACTAGGCGCTGCATGTTGGTCTTTTCGTCGCAGAAAAGCATAATGGGAATAAAAGCTGCACGTCGTACTTCTGCTGTGGCGAGATATTCCGCGCACACAGCCGCACCGAGTTCGTCGTCGCTCTGAAAATCCGTAAAGATGTAAGTCGTGTCGAATGTCGCAGGCTCGCTGGTGAGGGCGGAGAAGATGGTTTGTCGAATTGCGCGGCGTAGAGTTTGATAACCTGGCTGGGTGCGGTGGAGAATAGCGTCGGCTGGGTTGATTAGGAGGTGGTTATGGACGAGTTTTGCGAAGGGCAATAGCTTTAGAAGAAAGCGGGCGATGGTGAGCTTTCCGACACCCGGGAAGCCATTCAAATGGACTATTGGGCGTCGTGGTTCAGGGACCGCTGCAGTAGTCATAGTGGTCGTGAATAGCAGGCAGTTACAGCCGAAAAGATAGAATGATCCGAGTCGACGGAGACAGCTTGGGTTAATAGAGAGTAACGCCAATATTGTTAGTCGATGGAATAGTATGTCAGCGCATGGAGCGGTAACTTAACTTACCACCAGCAAGTTATGAGTCACACGGAAAACCACCGATCTTATGGGTTTGTAGTTAGTTAATGAGTGCTGGTGCCTGTTTACCCATCCTAGAAATATTCACGTTACACAACTTGACTGATTAATGTAGAGATTTTGTTACGGGGGCCGCCTAGGATGTCGCTCTGGGAAAACAGGTCGGGGATCGGGCTCGGCGCTTCTTCAGGTACCCGAGAGAATAGCCGGAAGGGTGACTAAAAGAATTAAACAGGATCGGCGGGGATGTTTTGAGCGCTTAAGTCAGTGTCAATCTGTCGATACGGGTTTCTACCAATGCTTCATAGATAGTGTCGCTGTAGATGCCATCGCTGGTGTTTGGGGTAACATGACTCGGGCACACGATTCTTTTCTTTAAATAAACCACAATTCGGTAAACTCTTCTATAGAGGGTGTCCAGTTCTATTCATGCATCGTATATTTCATTATGGCACGCCAACAATCACTCAGTCAGCATCGGCGGCCTCATCCTCCGAATGCAGCTCCTCCTCAACAACAGGGAATGTCAAAAGGGCCGCGATGCCTCCAAGCCCCTCAAGACGCTTTCCACTTTCATGGTCAGAGCTAAGAACACGTACCTCGCCACCCTCGACATCCCGAACACGGTCTACCAGAGCGACCCACCGTTTACGCTCAGCGACATCTTGCGACCGGAACAGCCGGTTCGACATGATCAACACACCCCCACCGCGGCCGACAGCTCCTTGGTCGACAGCGGATTCCACCTCGCGAGGACCGTATGTTGCCTTGTTCGTTTCTTTGCGCAGCTGATCCAGGAAGTCGTCCATCAATCTGGTCTCGCGGGCGTACTTGGTATCCGCAAGGAGAGTCTTCACTGCGGGTGATTGGAGGACCTCAGATAATGAATTGAGATACCCCGAGGCAGAGTGCACGACGACAATGCTGGGAAGCAATCGCTTCAGACCAGGTGTTGTCGTTGATGCCTCCGACTGAATGTACTTGTGGAACCCTGCGGCAACGAACCCAGGCGAGGCGAGTAGAACAGGCCGCACGGCTTCGTTATTAGAGCCAGACGTAATGCTGGTGTTAAAGTCCATCTGACGCAGAAGGGTTTCCAACGTCACGCGGAAGAACTTGCTCATCCCCTATGTCCACGCATTAGCCCTCGGCCGAACAGTCCCCTGACTTCAAATTCAAAATACTCACCTTATCATGATCTCCACCACCCTGCCTCTTCCTCGGCACCGACATCTCAACCTTTTGTTTCATTATCGTCTGGAATTGCCCAATAAAGCAGATATGCGCCAGTCCCTCCTGCATCACAACCGCCACTGCCTCCGCGCGCCGTTTCCCGCCCTCATCAACCGCATCCTTCAGCATTTCCACCGCGATACTATCCCACCCCACGCCCTCCCCGTCAGCACCAACCTTCTTCTCCAGTGTAAAATTGCGGTTCAACTCGAGATCAAGCGTGTGAAATTGCCCCACTTTCGTGTGCGCGGTCTCGTTCATGATCTGCCCGGATACGTGCAGCTGCGAGCTGTGCGGGTCGAAGTCGAGGCTTTTCACTTTGATTTCGAGGGACAGATGCACCCTGGCGGATGATGTCGATCCTGTGTCTTGGACTGTTGTTACGCGCCGGATTGCGCTCGCGCGGAGAAGATCACCTGGACGGATGAGGTTGTATGCGTGCCACTAGATAAGTGCATTGTGTTAGGTGTGCGTTCGATACTTGTGATCTAGGACCAGTGGTGAATGCTACCATATCTTCAGGCTCTTCGGGACACAGAGTGACCGTCCCCGAGCCATCGTGCTCGATCTTGTTCTTGATCAGGCGCATTGTGAGAGCAGTGGCTTCGCCGCGGCCACTTAAAGCTGGCAACAGAAGAAGTCGAGAACTAGGGGCACTGCCTTTGTTTTCTTGGTCACAAGGAGGTCCCCTGTTAATGAAAGGTATGGATCAAAAGGCAGGTATGGCTCCCTCGGGCCTCAATAGCGAATGACCGGTGTGATGTTGACCGAATCGAGTCCTGTCCTGCCCGCCGCCCTCTGATGCCCCGCACAATACTGCCGCGAGAGACCGCTCTTTACGCGTTCGTTCTGCAAATTGTTCCTGCAGGTACTGTTTCAATTCAGGGTATTGGGAGTCAACTGTAAACTGGTTTATTCATACACATCAGTTCAGGAATAAGAGAGGTATTTGCCTTCTTTCCAATACCTTCTATCTCATGTCATTATGATCTTGCAAGAATATTTGTAAACCACAGACCCCAGCCCCTCCTATATGGCCTCCTACTCCAACCAAAATAAGCTATCGGATGTTCTAATACTTGCAGAATCAGATGTTAGTCCCGTCTTTGCCAATCTACTACATGAAGCCCTTCAAAAGATATACAGTGTCCAGATCTAATGGCGTTGGCCCACTCTGGACACTGCGCCACCAGTCCGCCGCTTATCGATAAGAGCTCGATTCATTATTAACAACATCGACCATAAATCATAGCCTAGGATATTGAGTTCGATAGTTCGCTTCCGGAATTTGTGTTTGATCACGTTTGACATCATCATGAATCTCCGATGGAGTTCACCTTCCGTAAGTAGAAGCCAGCCCCACGTATCGATCGACCAGTAAATCGGCACAGTCCGCACCGGCTCCCCACTTCGCATGGCGTCAAGTGCCCAAAGGGAGACCCCGACACAGACGAAAAGCGCGGAAATGACGGAACCGAAGTGGTCCGTGGAACTGTTATCAATCAGCCATTAAAGAAGAATGGGCCCGGCTTTTCTGCGGAAGGTTTTCTCCAACTCCGATTTCTTGTCTTCTTTCCCCCAATCCCCCCGCATCGAACCTCCGGAACTCAAAAAGCTTTGTCAACACCGCAGATATGGCCGGACTCACCCTTCAATCGACGTATAAATTGTTGTCAGGGTTTGAGATCCCTGTCGTTGGTTTTGGCGTGAGTATTACATTTGTCTATTTCAAATTCCGTTTCCATCTTCTAACAGCTATTTGTCCCTCTAGGTTTACCAGACGTAAGTTGTAATCGTCATGACTCTTGCAGAGAGTCTCGCTGACCGTCGCTCAACAGACCTGCCGATGTCACCGAGAGAGTTACTCTCAAGGCCTTGGAGCTGGGATACCGCCATGTAAGCCAGAGCTATAACACGCAGACCCGAATCGCCGTAAATATTAATAATACCCCCTCCCCCCTCTAGGTCGACAGCGCCAAGGTCTACCGCAATGAGAAGGAGAGTGCTGCAGCCATCCGCAAGTCTGGCCTTGATCGGTCCCAGATTTTCTATACCAGCAAGGTCCCAAGCTCATGCATGGGATACGAGAAGGCTAAGCAGGCCATCGAGGAGAGCGTCGCTGCTGCCGATCTAGGCTACATTGATCTGTACGCAATAATCGCCTCTCAATCCGCCATCTTCAGATTAGGACTAATATCATCGCTAGTATGCTGATTCACGCCCCTTACGGTGGCAAGGAAGCCCGCCTCGGCACCTGGCGCGCCCTGGTGGAAGCTCAGAAGGCGGGCAAGATCCGCTCTCTGGGCGTGTCCAACTTTGCCATCCAGCACCTCGAGGAGCTGGAGGCGTACATCCAGAGCGGAGCGGGTGGCCAGATTACCGTCGGCCAGTACGAAATTCACCCCTGGTGCCCGCGCGAGGATATCGCCGAGTGGCTGAAGAAACGCAATATCATTGTCGAGGCGTATTCGCCCCTTGTGCAGGCTACTCGCATGAAGGAGCCTGTTCTGCAGAAGCTGTCGGAGAAGCACGGCAAGACTCCGGCCCAGATTCTGGTGCGCTGGAGCTTGCAGAAGGTATGTGGCCCCTTCACTGCTTTGAATAGAACCAAGAGGCTCATGCGATTGATTTAGGGATATGTGCCCCTGCCCAAGTCTGTGACCGATTCGCGTATCCTGGAGAACTCGCAGGTCTTCGACTTCGCCCTGTCGGAGGAGGACATGGCCAGTCTGAAGCTCAACGAGTATGCGCCCGTGTGCTGGGATCCGGTGCGGGACTGCAAGATCTAGGAGAGGGAAGATCTAGAGGACGGAAGATCTGGAGGAGGAAAAATCTGGAGGAGGAAAAATCTGGAGGAGGGCAAGTATAAGATATGAACTCAACTAGTAGATAAAATAGCGACTCCAAATAAAAAGGAAAGTGCCACGAACAAGGCTGGAAGAAGGCAGGAAGTAAACGAGCCACGCCGCTTCCCCGCCCAATCTGGCAGTTTGTTGACTCTCGGCACAACGTATCGCCGTCAACGAACGCTGGGAACAAAACATTGCCGCAGACTCCGACACCGACCTCTCTCACGTCAACCCCCCTAATGACCCTCACAAGTTCCCCCATGAGCGGGACATCGGCAGGCAGTCGCCGCGACGGTTGCCCCCATCATGCCAGATCAGCCGCGGCGCATCGTCATCGAGAAATCCAGCACCGTCCGACGCCGCTACCAGCGCAGTAACAAGCGGTTCAAGTTCACCGCTTCGCAGCTACGACGGATCGAGCGCGAAGAGGAGCTTGAGCGCCGGGCAAAGAATATAAAGGAAAAGGAGGAGAGGCGTATCGCCAACAAGAAGAAGAAGACGGAGAAAGAAGCAAAGGATCGTGAGGAGCGCAAACGGCTCGGGCTACCGGATCCGAATGCGCCCAAGGTCCCGTCAAGTCAACCATTACTCTCGGCGTTTCTGGGTGCGAAGCCCAAGCAGACCGTTGACGAACAAACTATTGAAACGAATGCTGCCCCTACGACCACGGAAGATGAAAGAGGGGATACAGAGGTTGAGAGTGCGGGCGGCGACACCGAGGTAGAGTCGGATGTATGTGACGATCTGGACGAGGAAATAGCGCAAGACCTCTTATGCCTCCAGGATGCGGGCATCCCCGAGAAACCAGAGATCCCTGATATGGGTAACTATATCAGCGCAGAGACACTATGCTCCCTCAAAGATGACTACGACGATGACGAATTCTCCGATTGTTCAGCATTCAACGACGCAGACATTATGCAAGAAGCGGACGCAATGGCAGTTTCGCGACCATCCCACACCCACATACCGATCTCTACCACCTCTCATCATCCACCAGTACCTACCATCTTGCAGCCGCCCCCGAGCGACCATTCAAAATCCATGGCCCCCTCGATAGCCTCACTTGGAAGTTCCTTCCGCGACGAAACAGCCGAGTACCTTGAGGAGGTCTTCTCGCGCGGCTGTGGCGATTCATTTGGCGAGCTGATCCAGTTAGATTCGGGCGCACGATAAACTTGGTCATTTGCCAGTACTTGATCCCATGAACAGTAACAATATTTGAGATGAACCCGATCATTTTTGGACCAAGCTTGGAAGTCTTGGCACTCCGGGGTGAGTGGTCGGCTGCGGTCCGACGGTCGGCAGGGGCACATCCGCACAGGCTTCGGATGCTGCAGGGCCCATGCCCCTCGTTCGGGTTACGCAAAATCGAAAATTGGGGAAGTCGAGACGCTTAGCAATCTTCGTTAATTCCGGCGGAAAAAATAGCCGGGCCCTGCTTCGCTGTAGGGGCAGAGCAAGAAGAAAATGGGGCGCTGCTTCCTATCGGGAATGACGACACGCGCTGGCGGGTTGCGCCTAGACATATAGATCGATCTACTCGGCCAGCGAACGTGTACCTTGCATCTATTTTCTCCCATATTTTCTCCCGGCACTCCTCTAATTTCATTCTTCGTACATTCTCTCTTTGCCTCTCTATTCTCCACACATTCACTATGCCCTTCGTACAAGCTGGCTCCCACAGCCTGCACTACACGGACTCCCACCCAACTGGCGCACCAACGCCTTCCGGCCTGACCTTCATTTTTGTCCATGGCTTGGGCTCGTCGCAAAATTACTACTTCCCCGTCATCCCACATCTGACCGACCGTCATCGCTGCATTGCCATCGATACCTACGGCGCTGCCCGCTCGCCGTACACCAATGACACAGTCTCCATTCCCTCCATCGCGGAAGATGTCATCGGCGTGCTGGACGCGCTGAATGTGCCCAAGGCCGTAGTTGCCGGTCACTCCATGGGTGGACTGGTGGTGATTGAGCTGGGCGCAAGGCATCCAGACCGTGTGCTCGGCGTTGTGCCCATTGGGCCGACACATCCGTCGGAGGCACTGGTGTCGGTTATGGGCAAGAGGGCGGAGACTGTGCTGGAAGGTCCGTCCTATACTCCCCCTTTCCTGCTCAACTGGACTGTTTGATAGACTCTGATGACCTGTATGTTGCACACGATGCTAATTGTCCATTACCACAGCTGGAATGGAGCCGATGGCCAACACCATCCCCTCCGCCGCCGTCGGCTCTCGCAGCACCCCGGTCCAGCGGGCGTTCATCCGCGAGCTTCTGCTCGGCCAAAATCCTGCGGGCTATGCGGCTCTCTGTCGGGCCATTGCAAGCGCCCAGGCTCCAGACTATGCCGCTGTGCGTGCACCGTTTCTGCTCATTGCTGGCGAGGAGGACAAGTCTGCGTCCCTGGAGGGATGCAAGCATATCTTCGAGCATGTCTCGAGCACGAGCAAGTCCATGGAGATCTTGGATGGTGTTGGCCACTGGCACTGTATTGAGTCCCCTGATGAGGTGGGCAAGTTGATTGCGCAGTTTGCGGGGAATATCACTGCTTAATTTAGAAATATGAGAGTGAACATTAAAAGACGTGCCTTATGACCTATCTCGGAGTTGTACAATTGAATATGAACGGAATTCAGGCAAAATCATAAGCCAATATGAACCAAAAAAGGAAAAAAAAATGCATTGGACCATTCAGACTCCTGATTGGAACAGGTGGAAACAAGGGGGAAAGAAACGCTATCATCGTAAAACCATATCCCGAATCAAACATATATGCAAGTAATTTACGTGCCTCCACTTCAACATCGCTCTATGCGCTGGTCTTGGTGTCAACCACCAGCTTGATGTTATACTGGAGTTCAAGGGCAGCTTTAGGGTCATCCTTGCGCGGGACAAAATCCACAACCAGCGAGTCCTTGACAGCGAACACGGAATCGTTGTCAAGGTACTTGTCCTTGCGGTCGAAGATCTGAGTGGTCAGAGGCCGGTAGCCTTCCTTGGTAGCCTACAATCACGCATTAGTCGTAAACCAGGATCGACCAGTCAGGAACCAAAACTTACAATGATGTGAATATGAGCAGGGCGGAAGGGGTGGCGGTCCATCAGGCTGAGTAGCTTGCCAGCAGGGCCTGCACAAAGATGAGCACTCTATATCACAGAGCATGATCGTGCAGAAAGATTCTTACCATCATCGGGCACGGGATAAGGCGTCGGCCGCAGGCAGTAAAAGTTATACCGACCATCGGCGTCTGTCTTGAACTTGCCACGCAGGTTGAACTCCACCTGCTCCGGGTCCTGCTGCTCATACAGGCCATTCGTCGACGCCTGCCAGACCTCCACGTCCGCGCCGACAAGCGGCTGCTTCGTCACAAAGTCAATGACCTGGCCGTGCATAAATGCCATCTCGCCACCGTCCTTGGGCTTAGTAACGACGATATCCGCGCCGTTCTCGCGGTACGGGGTGTCGGCCCGGAAGAAGGGGCCCAGGATGGCCGTGGCAGTAGGCGCATCCTTGGCTTCATCGGCGAGGGTGAAGGTAATTTCATCGACCAGGCTGGAGACCACGGATTAGGATTTGGGTTTGGATACATGCAATTTGCGGGGGAGGGTTTCTTGAGGCGTACGATTCCAGACCGATCACATCGCACACCAGCTGCCCCTCGTTCCGCTTCTCGTCGCTCATTTGGCCCGCCCAATTGAGCATCTGTACGCCGGCCATCCACTCGTCGACTGTGAGCTCATTTTCGCGAGCGAAGTCGTGCACATGGCGGATAAGCCCCGTCATGAGCTGGCGCAGGCGCGGCGAGGTCTTGGGGCCCATGGCGTTGATGACATTGTCGGTGAACTTGGGGTCGAATCGGTGAGTCGCCATTTTGCAGTGCAGACGTGTGGTCGCAAGGATACGATGAATGACGTTGACTAAATAACAAGTGTAGAGGAAAGGCAAGAAGGTTGGTTGGGTCGCGGAAAAGGGAAGTATGCGACGAGACCCCGAGCTTCCTCCACAGTAATTTATATAGCATGTGCAGATCCGACGGGAGTTTGGACCTGACTGCTCGGCAATCAACGGATCCTTCCACTTGCCTTGCCTTCCCACTTCTCTTTTTTTTGGGTGCGACCCCAGACCGAGTTGACCAACGCGTCGATGCTTATTCGAGGCGACCCCGCAAAAGCCGCGGCGCGGTGGCATGATTGGCTCGGGGCGGTGTCGGATGCGCAGTTTGACAGTCGGGTCATCGGATGGGTTGGCTGGTACGCTTCCGATTCCCCCGCAGTCGGATAGCGGTGGTGGATGGCCATGCACATATTGGATGTAAGTCAGTTTCTATAGGTATCATAGTAGTGGCCATCTCGGTAGTCTCATGAGTTTGTTAGTTTTCAGTGGAATGTGCTAGATATGTAGAGTTTCTGCGCTGGAAGTTCGCCCTCATCGCCCGCTCTTCAGAACTTCCCACAGCCCCGAGTGCCCAGACCAACTGTCCCATCAGAGACCACGTTATTGAATGCTGGCACGACCCTCTTCAGGACAGCGAGGCGTCGACTGGCTACTGTGGAGTTGGTCAGAAGACGTAATTTAGAACGCCATTGTTGGCCGTGGAACAGTAATGATCAAGTCGGCTGTGGTACCTCTGGTCAACTCGGATCGATAGACAGTTGATTACATTGCGTAGTTTTTGTCTTTGCATAAGCTACTACCTTGCATGATGGCTCCACAATCACCGCCGATTCTTCGGCGTCCCCTTCTTCGTCAAGTTCTCCGGGAGTTCCTTCAGCACTTCTCCGCGTTCCCAGATCTTCCCCAAGCCAAATTTGCGCTCAACCACAACATCGAAGAAATCAGCCGAAACCACCTTCTCCGGGTTGCCATCGGCATCGGTCTTGCCGTTCAGGACAGGTACTCCCTCGCTGAGAATAACCCCGTTCTCACTGCGCCAGAGTGGGCATCCAGCGGCGAGCGCCTTCTTGATATCCAGGTAGATCAGAACCTGCGCATCTCGTCGCATGCCCGAGATGACCTGTCTCTCGTCCCGGGCTGCCCCTTGGTCTTGCGCCATCTTATCCTGAGCAGCGAGGACAGATTCGAGAGATGGACCTGTTGCGAAGTGGACGTGGTGGCGCCCCATATTTCGGAGCCCACCGGATTGTAAGATGAGCGGCCATGCACCGTGGAATGTACCGTGCACAACTGTATCTGGGAGCTTCGACTCGTCAGCGAGCGAAAGAGGTTCTAAGAATGAGGCAGCATCAACGCTCTGGATGGTGTGGCCCTGGGTCGCACGGATCATGTAATTGGTTGGATCGGCATCTGTTGCAGACAGGGCCTGCTGTGTCGCGTTGGCCTGGTCTTCGTTGCTGGATGGGGCCTCAAGCACCACCGTGGAGGGCTGGTCGCCGCCTGCTGCAATCTCCCCATCCCCTTGTTCCTCTATCCCGGGTGTAGTTGTAGGGTTTGTAGTAGCCTTCGTTGTCGATTCGGTCGGTTGTGCGGAGGGAATGTGGAGCAGCGCAAAGCGTTTCTTGTCAGACGAGTGTACGGCGTGCTTGATTTCATCGAAGGTAGCTTTGATCGACTTGAGCTTTCGCCATTCAAGCTGCGAGATGGCCACCAGTCAGCCAATAACTCTCTTGATTTATCATTTGAGAGATCCAAAGCTAGCAGAACATACCACGTCTGCCACATTTGCGTAGCCTTGAGCGTTCATCTTCACCCCTTCCTTTTCGGCTGCGTGCCGCAACAGCAAGCTCAGAGCTTTGGAGACCTGCACATCGCGAGACTGGCCTTGGCCACGAGCACCACCACGTCTGTCCTTTCCATGCTGTCCCATGGTGGGATTTCGCGCAATTCGGTGGGTAATGGTAAGGCTGTACTCTGCGACGCAAATTGGTGGGGGAAATCGTCACGGTCCGCGGAGCTTTGAAATGTTTTGGCGGGGCAGCTGTGCGTCAGGATCGGAGTCCGTTTTGAGAAAGTGGCCAGTGGCACAGTCCGAGCGAATCACCAGGCGTGATTCACAGGCGTCAGCAAGCACCAGTTGGATTCTCCTGGTAAGATAAAAGGCTAGCGCAAAGAGGGGGAAAGTTGAGAATATTGGAGAAATTCGGCGATAAACGCGATAAGAAGTGGGGAGCAGTTCTAATCCACTCACTGAGCCTGACTAGAGCGCAGGAATGGTCGACCTAAGTAGCTTAATTTAACTAAACGCGACACGCTAGATATTTCCATCTCGTATCTCCTACCCTATCAACAAACAACGAGTGTCATACCTTTTCTACTTAGCGATCTTCCCCCGTTTGCTTGGAGTTTTCTTGATAATTGGGAGTGGGTTACCTGGGTTGACCATGACAGTCCGGAGAAGAACCAGGCATGCGAAGCGTTCGGCTCATTTTCGGCGTGGTTACTCTAATCTAATCCATTACATACGGGAAGAATCAAGTTTAACTGGCCTTCCTTAGCTGGATAGTGGCTGCCAGAACAGTACCAGGTCCTTTGTATAGATAGGACCCATTACACCTGATACCCTACTAGAATACCTATAGCTTCGCCTCCCTGCCCTCATTCAACTTCGCAGGTAAAAGCCTCCTCAGAATCTTGCCAGTCGGAGTCTTGGGCAAACTCTGCAAATGGAAGACACCTCCCCTGAGCTTCTTGTACCCTGCCAGCCGGCTGTCCATCCAGGTCCGGATGGCATCGAGTACCTTCTGCTTCTCAGAACCCGACAGTCCCACTGTTCCCGGCGAGAGGCTTACATAGGCGAGGGGCACTTCGGTCGCTTGGGAATCGTCGTAGACTGCACAGACGGCAGCATCAATCACATCTGGATGACGGAGGAGCATGTCTTCGAGTTCGGAGGGGGCTATTTGGAATCTGAAATGATATAAGAGTGATTAGCTGGTAATTGGAGAGTTAGGGAGGGGGATCGTCAACCCACCCCTTGTACTTAATCATCTAAATCCCAGTCGTTAGTTGAATGCCGTATCCGACAAAAGTAATGCGAGAGAAACCAACGATACCTCTTTCAGACGATCAGTGACCCAGAAGTTCTGATTCTCATCCATCTTCAATATATCTCCTGTTCTGATCCATCCTTCCGAGAAAGTTTGGTCTGTTGCTTTGCTGTCACTGACATAACCCCTGCGAGTATGGTTAACGAGGTTTACGTGGGAGAGTTTGAACAGACAAGGCCAGTCCGTACATCATTACCAGTGGGCCACGGACCCACAGTTCACCTTCTTCACCCAGAGGGACGTCCTTGTGTGTCTTCGGGTCGACTAGACGCGCTTCTCTATCATGACATCAGTAACGGTAGCTTATAATCGGAAGCGATATATGCAACGCACACTCCTGCGAAGAGCTTGCCAACACATCCGAAAGCATTTTCGTCTTCATCTACCTGATGGATAATCCCCCCCGAGCATTCGGTGAGTCCATACCCTTTTAGTTTTGATATTAGTGAAATATCAGTGACAAGGGATTGACAGTACGAACCTTGACAGATGCTGGTATGCGGAAGACGCTTTTTGAGCAGAAGCTGCACAGATTTCTGGAAGTCAACTATCATTAGCATCATGTCGCATGCGTGGTAAAGGGAAGGCTGTCGCAGTCGTACCTTCAACGGGGCGGCAGAAATGACGATTCTCCTCAAGGAAGCCAGGTCATATTTCTGAGCAACGGGTGATGTGGCCAGGAGAAGCGCGACCGGGGGAACAAGATGCAGATCTGTAACCTTCATCTCGCTTGACTTGCGACAAAAGGTTTCCAAGTCGAACGTCGGAAGACTGCAATATTGGGCTCCAACCCACATGCCAGACAGCACTACAAGAGTTAGGCCGTAGATATGGCAATCTAGAGTTGAACCGTGTCAGTGGAGTTACGAGACTAATCGGAGGATGAGCAGCTTACACGGTGCAAAGAAGACTTCACGGACAGTTGAGTTGACCCTGCCCGGCATGGAGGCGCGCATTATTAAGCTGTTCATAACAACGTTGTAATGAGAGAGCTGGACACCCTTCATTTTTCCAGTTGTTCCGGAGGAAAAGCAAATGGTGCTGGGTACGTCCTTGGAGCTTCTCCCTTGGAGGTCATAGGGCGCTAGGCTCTGTGTAGCTCTTTTGCCAATAAAATCGTCCGGAAACTACAAAATCATTAACAATCAAGTTGAAGCATCTCAAGAAAGAGTGCTACAGACCTGTGGCAGATTGTCAACCTTGCAACGAACAGTCAAGATCTTGGTGTTCGTCATTGATAGTGCAGCTAAAGCAGCCTGGACGGTGCTGAGCTTCTCTTCAATAGTGGCAACATGTGTTGGCTGGGTAATCTGGAGAACATGCGAAATATCTTCACGTGTGGCTGATGTATTAAGAGGACTAGAGTACCAATTAGCGCCTTTTTCAGGTCTCCGATGTGTTGTACTTACGCGAAAATAGCACCTGTCCACCACGTCGCATGAGCGAGAAGGACGAAGGCATTCTATACTTCCAATCAGACTAACGCCCCGGAAAATGGTCGAGTGGGTTCTCTTACGGAGTTGTTAACCAATGCTAGTAAGGTATCCCCTGGCTGCAGTCCCAACTTATTCTGCAAGCCCCAGGCAGCATGACCAGCTTGTTCGCGGAGAGAGCCATATGTGATGGTATCATCGGAGAAAGTATCAGTATGAACAACCTTGGATGCTTGGACTTCATCGGGGTTGTACTGCATCATGAGCTGGGGGATGGATAGATCCGTCGCATCATGAATTGGAATTACTGGTGACCGGTAAAAGGTCATGGTGCAGAAGGTTAGGATGGGTAGGTGGTCAGTCCGGTTGGTGCGGTACAATAACTCAACTTCGATGATATCTGTTAAGTGCCTGCTCCGGTTAAGTAACCAAGAAGCCCCTAATCATGCTAAGACGCGCCTTAAGTAACGCACATTGCCGGTAACTAACTCTCGGAGAAGTCTATGAGTGGGCTAGTTCTGAGCTAGTCATTGGCTAGTCATTGGCTAGTATTATGAGGCTGACAGGGTCCACCGAGGTATGACACATGTCAAATCGAGGTGTTTCCTACCGGAACTGGAGATTAACGGACACGACCACTACTAGTAGAATAAAGCTTCTGCACGGTTATACAAGCTGCAAAGTATCGTTTCATAGTGCGAATAGTTCGTTTCTTTAAGGTTTCAGCTTCAATTTCAGACACTCATTAAAACGAAAATTACAGTCTCGGCCCCATGATTGCGTGTTGGGGCGGGTGGGACCCGCGGCAGGAAGTCAAATCCAGATTAAGCTATCTACCGAAGTTCTTCCGTCGAATCGCCGTGCCTCGATGGTTCGTGGCGCAAGTATCTTTGGCCTTTTACGTTCCTAGGGTATGATCCTGCCACGGGAACCATCGGACTAAGGTGCACGGAGGTCCATTTCCAACGGCCCAGTTAGGTTAACATAGCTAAATTGGCTTAGTGGTAATAGCATACTAGTGGTCTGACTAGCTTTTCTACGAAGTCGTGCTACAGTACCCTCAGACACGTTCTCTCCCCCTGAAATTTTGACTCGTTTTTCTATGTACGGTGTATACGGAGTGGTTAAGCATCTCGGCCCGTTTTCATGCAGCATTTCCCAACACCAGAGGACTATTCATATATGTGCACGCGCACCCCCACATCCTGGTAGATACACTCTTTCTCTATGCCTGATAAACACAACTTGTGCCTTGCTCGGTTGAATTGAAACCCTGCATTCGCCCTTCACAGTCACGGCAGCATGCGATTTCTTCAATTTTGGGCTACTGTCTTACCCTGTACAGTAGTACTTTTGGCGGACTTGGCATGTGCTGACGCACAGTCTCTCCCCTCATGCGCGGTAGGAGTTTGGAATGCCCCTCCGTGCCATGCGATACTGATAGTATTCACAGCTACAATGCCTTGCCGACCTTCTCCCCCAGTCGACCTGTGCCTCCACTAACCAAACATGCATATGTACAAACGTTGAACTCAATGAGCAGATGAGTGTTTGTGTCACGGCGGATTGTACCATCAAGGAAGCCCTCAGTGCGTGTACACTAAATGTATGCTTGTGGTTCGCATTGCTAACCGATCACATAGCCACGCTTAATGTCACTACTACAGCATGTGGAGCTCCAATTCGAGATCAGACTTCTCTAAGTATTGTGATCCCAGCAGTCGGTTTGTGGGTTCTGCTGTTCGTCGCATTGAGGATATTAACACGCCTTGTGATCACGAAATTGGAAGCCGGCTGGGATGACTGGGCAACCATTCTTCTCTCAGTAAGTCCGCACATCCTTGTAAAGGCTTCTAGCTAACTGTTCTAGTGCTTCGTGGTGCCCGTCAATATAGGCTCGATTATGCGTAAGTAACATCGATCCCTCTACCAGCAGAAATTCATTGACAATCGCTTCAGTCGGAAAGGCTGGCCTAGGGAAAGACATTTGGACTATCGAGTTCAGCAATATCACTCGAATCCTCCATGTACGATCACCCAACATATTCCAAAGCTCATGACCTAACTGACCACAATAGATTTTCTACATCCAAGAACTCGTCTACATCGCCTGTATCACTCTCACAAAGATCTGCTTCCTCCTCTTCTACCTCCGCATCTTTCCCTCGGAACGAATGCGTCGCGTCATCAAAGTCTCTTGCCTTGTGACAGTTTGCTACGGCATCACTTTCATATTCGCCCTTGCTTTTCAATGCTGGCCCATTGAGCACACCTGGTATGGCTGGGATGGGCAACATCCAGGGAAATGCGTGCAGAATCATACTCTGGTGGTCGTTGCCGCCGCATTGAACATCGTACTAGATGCTTGGGTCATTGCTCTGCCTATTCCCAAGGTGCTGGAGCTCCAGGCTTCAATCACCACAAAACTTCAGGTCGTACTCATGTTTTCTGTGGGCTTCTTGTAAGTTTTCTCCTTCTCTTTCTCTTTCCCTCTTCGGAACTCTAAACATCCGTGGAACTAATGTTTTACTAAATTAATAGAATCACCGGCGTCAGCATTTACCGCACCATCATGCTCAAGATCTTCGCCACCAGCACGAATCCAACATGTACGCCCCCTCGTATCCTTTTCTTTCCCGCTCACCAAATAACTAACAGAGTTGTTCACGACAGGGGACAATGCCCCCGGCGGCTACTGGTCCGTGATCGAAGTCAACGTTGGACTTTTCTGCCTATGCATGCCATCTATGCGGTCCTTGCTCGGTCGCCTATTCCCAAGCATGTTTGGATCAACAAAAGGGAACAGCACTACGGCAAATACAATCAGCCAGAAGAAGCGCCGGAATACTGGTAGCGGTGAAAACACGAGCTTTGTCCAATTGATTGAGTTGGATCATACGGAGAGTCTGAAAGATCATCGGAACGTTCATTAGGGTGTTATCATTGTTGATTTGGGATAAAATAAGGTGTTTGGTGTTTTCTAAGTCTAATGATCATCTACTCCGTAGATGCTTTTTATCTCGTGGCCGGGCTCCAAGACGCACATTTGCACTTCAAATACTCCGGATTACGAAAGTAACCCTAAGAGGATCTACGACGCTAATCATAAAATTTCTGTGGTTCGCCGCAGGTCACGCATTCATCCAGAATATACTCTATATAAAGCATATAACCCTAATTGGATGGTGAGGATCGCTGTCACTTCCAAGTATGCTGTAGTATGGCCTTCAGATAACCACGTGGGAAAGTAGCGGTTGGGGTCCGAGATAAAGGAGATAAGGAGTATCGTGGACATTGGTGCGGGGCTGGGAATTATGTTTTATTAAGGGGCCGCAAAGAACATCTGGGATAGTGCAGTTCATGGGACTGGCTGCCTGTGCGAGCGGGATTATCTAGCTGTCGTAACTGATCGTATTAAAGGTCAGAGTAGTACATGGTGGGGCAAATAACGGAGGGTCACCCCCAAATAGAGTTAGTTCACGTCACCAGGTGCTTAGCGCTGGCTCATTTCAAAAAGGTCATCTTGCACCTTCCTAAACGCTCTCGCTGCGGTCCCCGTGGCGGGGAGCCGTTTTTGACCCTTCGACCATCATGCTCTCTTTACGGAGTAGTTCCAAGTCCTATCGTGCCGTGTCTTTCCCTCCCGCCAGCATCTCTCGCACCACCTCAGCGGCCTCATGTTTGTTTTAATTGGACACCGGGGACGATATCTTCCATAGTCAGTGGGACTGTAGCATTATCCTATTACAGCCCGCCTGATGACCTGTTGTAGGGGCCCGAGCGTGAAAGCGGTTCGGGCCGCGGGAATTTACTTTCCCTGCTATTAACTGCACGGACACGCTCTGGCCCAAATAAGGTACTGGATAATGCCCAAAAGTACTTATTGATAGCCTGGATACGCATGCTTTTACGATATACGGAGTAGCTAAGCATTCTCCTTACTCCACCGGACATGCAAGGCTAGCTATGTAAATGATTTTCTGGCGCGTAGTGATTCTGGTCGACGTGTGGCCCATAGAGTAGGTATAATGTTTCAGATAGAGCTTAATACGGGCTCAACACGGCAAGAGTGCTCGCTGACCAGACATTGCATAGAATTAAATAAGTGGTTTACTGATCGGATACTAAGTAATCAATAAGCGACTCACTAACTATGAGCGGACCCTGAGAGGCAATTGAGTATTAACCATAGGAATGATGGGACTGATGTGATCTCTGACTCAGTGACTCTTGAGTTCGTGCTGAAATCTACTCAACCGAGCCTAAGCCTAAGAGCCCTCATAGAACCGGCGGCAGCCCAGACAGGAACGCCCCGCCCGGCAGACATTTTCCTGTCTATCTAGCTACATATGAATCAATGGGTATAGAGTAACAATAAATCAAACACAAAAAGCGACCTCCCCCTGCACCGGACCTGATGCATGCAGTAGTACTCCAGCACTGGATGCAAACGACGAGAAACACCCCTTCAAGCAAGTTTCAACCCGATCTCACCGATCGCAGATGCAGCTACACTCGGCCACTGGACACACTTTGTGTCGCGCGAACCAGTCTTGAGCGTGATGCGCATGGAATCCATGGTTACAGTGGATACAGAAAACCACAAACCGCTTCATGACTTCGTCTTCCGCGGCCTTGTGTGGATTGGACTCCCCGTCGGTGGCAATTCCTGCTCGCGACATCGGGTCCGGGGTCCCCAGCCACATAGTACAGACACCACAGCGGGGCATATGCCGACCACATCGGGGACACACTGTCCCAGACATAGCCGCAGACCCCAGCGGGTTGCCAACGGTCGGGTGCACGGTTTCGACCGTGGCCGAGGGAGAAATTTGAGAGGAGGCGTCGTGCTGGGTGAGCGGGTGAGTGCAGTAGTTGCAAGTCAGGCTGACCTGCTGCGGCGGTGTAGGGGTGAGCTTGCGTCCATCCACAGTCACCGCGAAGCAACGAGACCCGACGTCGAACCGGGCACGTTCGAGCTGGAGCTTCCAGGAGTTCATCTGGCGTCGGTAGGTCTCGCGCCAAGCTTCGAATTGGGCAGTGAATGGTGGGTGGCTGATGATCCGTGGAACTGTGTGGCTCATGGCTAGTACCGGGGTTTGAACATCGTTGAACTTCTCAATGTAGGACTGGAATAAGGCCATGGCTAGGTGACCCAAGCCCGTCAGTACCACGCCCTCGATATCTCCTTGCCGCATTGCTTCGGAGGTGGCGTCTTCCAAATAGTCGGTCAGCTCACTGTCTGGAAGCCAGCGTAGTGCGACTTCAACACGGTACTTCAGAGGAAGCGTGGTTTCTTTGATGACAGCATGCCAGTCTCCTTTGCTTACAAGCGCTAGGATTGCTCGTGAGTAGGGATCCGTAAGTTCTTTGGAGATTTCGGCACAGGTATCTTCCCAGTCGGAGCTGTTATCACCCTTCGCAGAACCAGCGATGGCCATAGCGAGAAGCTTGTGGGCCTGTGTGGGCTCGTTGCTCCTAAGTCCGAGGTATGCCAACTTGGGTTCGTCCTGAAAAATTGCCAATGCAGCAGCTTTAGTGTGCTGGTTGTCAGAAGAGAGGCTCTTCACCAACTCCTCCAGCTCTTTGTGTGATTGTGCTGCACCACAAAGACGAAGGCAGAGGCGACGGTGCTCAGGATATGCTGTGTCACAGCCTTTGGTTTCTGGCAGATTTAATTGCTCGGCTAAGTGGGCGATTGCTTCAGCGACACTCTTTGGGCCATCACCCTTGGTGCTAATGCGCCGCTTTTCGAAAAGATGGCCTAAAATGACGGTCAGTTTCATGAAAACCAAGAGACTACTGACAGGAACGAACCCATATCGTTGGTCCAGACATTGCTCACGCCCAAGTAGTTCATATCGAGCCCATTTACTACCATTGTCATTCCTGAAGAGTCGGCCCGCGCGCCTGCAGAGATATTAGTCCATGTTTGAATGCTGTGAATGTTAAGTTCTTCAATGGCTTACGTTGAACCCAGCTCCAGAATTCCTGCAGAGCAGGGTCATCTAATGCAATCGACCGATTACGAGCCTCATCAAAGAGGTAGCCCTCTTTGCACCGCGATTGAACGACCGTAGACATAGTCAATGCCTCCTTGGCAGTAAGTAGAGCCCCAAGAGTTCCGAGTGACACTGCACGTTCCCGAAGTTCTCGGCTTGGGATGGGATCGGAGCCCAGAACTCGAGAGACTGACGGTTTCTTGTCTGAATTTGCTGACCCGTTTTTGGAACTTGACAGTACGCGTGTTCTGATATTCTCAACAAGCACAGAAATTGGAGATATCTGCTCGGACAGAGGGTGGATAGTCCTGATATCGGAGTCGCCCGATGAAATACCACAGGCTAACACCCCTTGTGATGATAGACTGACAGGCGCACAAGGCGGCCGCGCGGTTATTATTTGCGGTTTTCCGTTACCGTCAAGTGCAATGGCACTGGGCTGAGGAGACATGCTCAAATTCAGGAAGTCAAACGAGACAATACGCTCCTTCTCCTCGCACCCGCGAGTCGGGTGATCAAAAGGAGGGCATACATCCCGCACGTACTTAGTGTAGACCGGCTCCGGATAGTTTCTGAACGAGCCTTGTCCAAGAGTTTCGTCAATTGAAGAGCGATATTCCTCAGACAAATGATCCTTGGCGATGTCAAAAGTCTTGAAATGGCCGGCGCTGGAAAGCGCTCCCAGATAGCCTCGGTTGGTCTTGGAGAAGCGCAAGCTCCAGATCGAAGACTTCGGGCTAAAGACGCTCTTGAACTGTAGTGCAGCAGCGGATTGATTAGTCTCGGGAGTACTTGCTGAGGAGCCGACTGATGGCGATGCAAGTCGAGCCCCTACGCGCCGATCCCAGACACAAATCGTGCTTTCATTGGTGGGCTGGCAGGATGCAATGTAGTTCTCGTCGAGCCAATCGATGGCCAAGTTGTGGACGCAACGGGTCGGGAATTGCAAGGAAGGATTACCCGGCCCCTCTGCAGTCGAATGGACAAATTAGCGATAGAAGAGGATAACACATGGTGTCTGGCAAACGGACCTCTTAGATCATAGATGCGAACAAACTGGCCCTTAACACCTGTCACCAGTGTATCAGGCTGATCCCTAAAGAACTTAATACTGGTGATTGGCTCAGAACTCGCCAATTTTCTCAAGGGCTCTGGGAATCCTTTGCTCCCGCCCGCAGGACTGAGCCGCTGGTTGACGTCCCAGATATTCAAGCAGAAGTCGTTCCGCACGCGATCAAGACCCGACGCCACGAGACCATGTGTGCTGAATGCAACCGCATTGCAGTATCTTTGATTGCGAACCGGGAAGGAGAGCGATTCTTTTGCGCTGGCATCTAATCGTAGAATGGTGGCCTCGCCGGACGACTGGCCGACGGCGATCAGGTTCTCGTTGGACGTAGACCAGTCGAAAGCGCGGAACAGGGGGACATCGATTAAGGTAGAGAGCACTTCATGCCGCAAGGTCCTGTCGTAAGTGCTATAACCCAACACCCTACAGAGACGAAACGCCTTGCCTGTGACGTCGACGGACAGAAAGCGCTGGTCGGTCACGGTCGAGCTCGAGGACCAGCGAATCGCGGACTCCATGGTGCTGAGTCCCTCGTCCAGGCGGTTCTGTGAGCTGTTTCAGAGGCCGGAGCCTCACGTCAGGAGATATTGACAACCAATTGAGCAGCTGGCGTGGAAGGAATTGTGGACAGGATGAGGGACGCGGTATCGTCACTGCGATCAGCTGGCCGCTCATTGGCTCCGCCAATCTGGGGTCGGCCCGATGATATGCCGACCACCTTTCTTTTTTTCTGCGTGGAATCACCAGCTTGTTGTCCCCAACACCACCATGTCAGAACCTCGGCATAATCGCAGCTCGAAGCGCAAGGGCCACGATGGCTCTGAGGATGCTGCTTCTCGGAAAAAGCAGCACCGACAGCCTGCGGCCAGCCCGGACCGCGTTCCATTTGAAGATTACGGCAGTGAAGGCGATGAAGTCCCGTCCAAGGCAACACGCAGCTCGAAGAATAACACATCCGCAACCCGAAATGAGAAGGAATACCCGTCAATCAATGAGCTGAAAAGCCGCATTCGTGGTGTTAAGCGTCTTCTCAACAAAGATCTACCCGCAGATGCGCGGATTCTGCAGGAACGTGCGCTGGCAGGCTACGAGCAGGATCTTGTGGATGAAACAGCACGCCGAGAGCGTTCCAACCTGATCAAGAAATACCACTTTGTTCGCTTCTTGGGTGCGTTATGGAAATTATTTTATCCCATCCCAAATACATCTTGTGCTAACCAGCATCTTATAGACCGCAAGACTGCGACCAAGCAATTGAACCGCCTCCAGCGCCGCGAGAAAGAGAAAGACCTTGACTCGAAGCAAAAAGCTCATTTGGCACGCCAAATGCACGCCGCCCGTGTCAACCTCAACTACACCCTCTACTACCCCCTCACCGAAAAATACATTTCACTCTATCCTAAGTCGCAGGGTAAACCTTCCGACGAGGCACTTGAGAAATCCGAATCCGAGTCAGAATCTAAGACACATAAGAAGGCTGAAGAGTCCAAGCCAGCCATGTGGTCTGTGATTGAGAAATGCATGGAAGAAAACACCCTTGATGACCTGCGTGAGGGCAAGCTGAACATTGGACCTGATGGACAGCAGATCTCGACCACTGTTAGCAAGAAGCCAACTCTGCCTGTAAACGAGAAGAAGGCCAAGAAAGAAAACACGCACAAAGAGTCCAAGGAGGTGCCCAGCAGAGAGAAGCATGCCCAGGACAGCACCCAGGACAGGCCGAACAGGCGAGAGCGCAGGAGAGAGCAGCAAAAGGTGCGCCAATTGCCTGTCAAGACTGATGATGGAGATGACAGTGATGGTGGATTCTTTGAAATGTAACTGCATACAAAAGCATGGCAACCTTGGTGTTTGGTGTCTCTCTTTCATTGATCTTCGGTTGATATCCAATCTGCATTACTTGAAACCCATTGCTGGTTTAGCGATGTCTGTCGGTGTCTAAAGAATGAATGGGTCTATTCTGCGGTTTCACAAACTAGCTCTGTAGTTGTCTTTGCTGTGACCTATCAAACAGCGCCTGTAGTAGCACCGTTGGATTCAAGGCCGCAATGAGAACGAGTATCAAATGCATAAAAGATTGCTTGTAAATATTAGATCAGGCTCATTTCTACCTTCCTATCCGTCATATGATTCCCTATAATCAACCCAGGAAGTGGTAATCGAGTCAATCGCTTCAGTATGGTGTTTTTCGAGCCGATTGGTTCTGGAGACATCGTTCGAAATCATGTGTGCATATTGTGATTGAAACTTTTTCCCAGTCCTGAACATGCTGAATGTCTGAAATCTTTCCCAGTTCAAATTCGATCCTATCTCAACACGTATTCCAGTCCCTTCCCAGCTTCTGGAGGTCAAAAGTATTGCGCATAATCTAGATGGAGAAATCATTTGACCTTTCTAGCAGTATTTTGATGTTTTGATTCAAGGGCATAATGTGAGAATTCCCAGACTTGAACATGAATGATTTCACAACACTGGTTTGGTTAGCTGTAAACAGATCCGCCCAAAAGTAAGCGCTCGATATGTTCGCGATTAAGATGATATCGAGACAAGGCCAACTGTACACATCGTCATTGATGGAAATAGACCAAGGCAGGTAGTATTAGGCAAATATTGAGCACTAAAAGCTCAAGAGGAGTAAGAGATAGCGATTCCACTGGTTACGGTTGAGATAGATAGGTTAATATACGAAGCACATATTCGGTATACTACTATCCTTTTCGAATAAGCGCAACGAACTCGTGCTCTCTCTGAGATTTTTGAATCCACAATTTCATAAGTGAGCAGCCGAAAGCAGTGAGGATACCTGGTGTATGATCATGGCACTGCTTTTTTAAGTCTTCTAATGCGCATCGCACGTCCACATCTCTCCTTCGAAGCTACGCCGCTTTCGATACGGATGCAGCGCTCTCTGCATAGTTAACTACTGACAACTGCACTCGTCTGCTTTATATTGATCTATATCTCTAGCCTAGTTTCATCCTCTATTGCTCACATTCACGAGCATAATTGCGATATCGAACGGTACATACTCTCTGGTTGGTCCTACGTTTGTCCTTCGGCCCTCCTCACCCACGACTGTTTTCTATATCTATCCTGGTTTCACCTCTAGCTCCATTAGACGACGTTTTGACATCTGACGACCATTTCATGGCCTCTCAAGACTCTGCGCATTACCTCGATTTCCTGACCTCTGCTTCAATTAAACTATCATGCCTCGAGCCTATCCCTCCTACCTCCATGCGCAGACTTCCGATGCTTGCACTGTCTAAATCATCTGCGTATGAAGATTCACTCGCCATACATCTTTCTCCAATCTTGACCAACCCTCTCGCTTCGCTGTCATTTCCACCCATTTCAGCCCATCCTCGACGTGCTCATCGCAGCTCTCGAACTCCATTTCTCTCTCCCTTCCTACGAACCATCTGTTCGCCCTCACACATCCATTCACTCAGTGGTCTTTGTCAACTTCGATCACCATGGGAAACTTCAAGGACGGATCGATGGCCTGCGTTAAGGCAGCCATGATCTCTTACACGCAAGAGCTCAAGGGACACAAGGAAGAATGCGCCAGGCTGCTGACAGAGCACGAACAAAACACACCAGACATGATCTGGAAGAAAAGTGACGAAGAAGGCAGAGCGCCCTTTTCTGCGGGAGACTCGGCGAAGTACAAGCTCGTCACAACGGTCACGTACGAGAACGGCAAACCTGTCTTCCCACCCAAATTCACCCGTCTGAGCGACGAACTCGTCTACCTGGCCACTAAGTTCCTAAAGATGACTGACCGTGCCAATGGCTATCCCTACGACTTCAACGACCGAGGCGATATCCGCGAGGATCGTGTTCCGTCGGGACTCTCACCCATTATCTGGGCGCATGGGCTCCCCTTCTTCCCTGTGTTCAAGGGCTACTACATTCTCTGCGGGCGCAAGCATGCGCGCTGGGTTGGCTGGCTTCTTCATAAGAAGCAGCACAAGACCATGCAGGCCTGCCCGATGTGGACGATCGGGCCCGTTGTGGCGCCCGGAGGAGCAGTTAACCTTGCGCGCACCGTGAACCGCCAGATGCGTATGCATATACCCAAGAGCGCTAAGGATGTGGATCGACGCTGGGAGAAGGCCGCGGGTGCGCGCGACATCGTTTCGACGGCACACTATCAACTTTCTGTGGTGCCGAGGACTCCGTCGACGGGCTTCGTTCTCATGCCAATCTATCAGGTTGAAGGGTACCATGTGCGATGCGGCCCGAATGCAATTGACGGTGGGAAGGGAGTTGAAATCGGACGGCGCACTCTATCTGATCACGGAGTGACCCAGTTCGACTATGACGCGTCGTTGAAGAAGCCGTATTCGAATGAAGAGAACCCCGCGTTGTACCCAGATGGCGACAGTGAATGCACGGACTCGGAGGCCACGGAGTTGATGAGTGACATGGAGGAGGATGAAGATGGATCGTTCGTCAACAATTCAGAGGAAAGTGCTGAGACGGGTGAGATTGTCGAGGAGCCTCCGAAGAAGAAGCTCAAGAAGAATCTCGCTGCTTCTGTTGAGGACGGTAATCAGCGTATCCCGCGTCGGCAGACTACTCAGTATTTCCGGAGTCCGCAGATCAGCAACTGGAACGCAAATACTCCCATGACCTTTGATGCTACTACGGCCAAGAAGCGTCTGATGGAAATCACGACTGCTGTCGGTGTGAAGTGCACCGCGGATGACGAGATCACCTCGGGCTCTATGGTTACCAGAGACACCAAGACTGACTCGGAGGTCAAAACCACGGCTGCAATTATAAGCAGCGATACTGTCGGTAATATCGCTGACAGTAAGGTAGCTCATGGCGAGACCACTCATTTTGAGGCGACGTCTAGGACGGATACTCTTTTGAAGCGTGACATGGAGATCAAGTCCGCGGTGGAGGATATCAACATGGTCAACATGAGGGAAATTCCTACCCTGGGAACCCCGTCCCCCGAGAACAAGGCCTTTGCTGGGTCTCCAAGATGCTGAAAAGCAGGCATCTCCAATGTCAGCAGACAGGGAACCGGAAGCAGACCGTCTCAAAGACTGAACGTGAACAGAACATCGGCGAAGATATGATACGCTAAATGGGTTCTGAATTTCAATTTCCTTGCGGCTCTCTCTACCTTCCAATTGGTCTTCTTCGTCATCTTTGCATATACAAATGGCCAGTCCTGCAAGCACCGAGTGCAGCACGATATTAATGGCACCCAAAAAAATGCAATTTTTGGAGTTTCAGGCTTCATTTCATGCTTTCATCCGTGCTTTCCTCTTCCATATGCATTAGCATGATTAAGCTTCCACCTGTTTCTGCATGTGGGTGCTTCTTGATAGTTGTTTACGCATTTCAAACCCTGGTGGCTGGACTCTATCAACAAGCATCACCTGACTCTGCGTTCTGACTAACCATTCCTTTCTCATTTCACATGCAAGTGGTACTTATTCAAATATCAAAATTGCCTTTCTGATTGAATTCTGATTCCTTAATTTCCGGTTCGATTTCATGAAGAGCTGTCTCGGCCTAGATATGATGATAAGAAGAGATAATAGGAAAGAAGCAGAAGCCGAAAGGCCGTGACATGGCACCGCTATAACCATCACCCAGAATGATGAGCTGACACGGGGGAAAGATGGCAATGAAAGAGATAGGGAAAGCATCAAGCTTGAACTCCGGTCTCCGTTCTACATATGCGAGGGAAGGCCGATGAGTAGGAGAGGTTGATTGGCAGATAGAAAAGATATAAGGTGGAAATCGCATCTGTAGGTAATGCAGGTCGGTCTGGTCTTGAGATTCTGACGCCGGAGATGGGTGTTCAACTGAAACACAATGAAATTGAAATCAAAGGAATGCGCTTGTTTGCTCGCTGGCTGAGGGAGAAAGATAGGTCGGAGTGGTGGGGCCGTAGGTTCGCAGGGGGAGAGAAGCCAGACCAGCCCTGGCCTGTCGCGGGGGGTCGTAATGTCGTGTGTATCTTGTAGCATGTTGTAATCAGGGTTGTTGCATTGCGTGCTAGCGATCCGGCGCTGACAGGTGTTCACAGAACACAATTAAGAAACGGCACCAGTAGATTCCAGCTACTGGGTTCAACGAGGCCTGATTGGGTGAAGTGCTCACATCACCGCACAACTACCACCACTCTGAGCACGGCGGCGCCGGCCACCAAGCGCAGAAATTCCGCCAACACCGTAGCCATCGTCCTCTTCGTCGGCGTTATACAGTCTCTCTGCTTCCCGGGCACGGCGTCGTCGACGTCGTGCACCTGCACCGGCAGCACCGGCTTCTTCGGTGGCCATCATGTAGTCTGCCCACTTGCGGTCGAGACGACTAGCAGCAACGAGGTCACCGCGCAGGACGCGCTTTGTGTGCTCGTCGACGGTCATCTGCCAGCCGTAGAAACACTTGAGCTGAATAATCTCGGCTGGAAAGGTCGACGATGGCGACGGGGTGGAAGTCGGCGTGACAAAGGTGGTAGTCATTGGTGAATCGCTGTCTGAGGTTGCGTGGGTGACGGTTACAATAGCAGCTGACGGCGAGATAGACTTGCGGGCGCGTGGGATGTATGCATTGCTCGATAGGACTTCTTTGATGCCTGCCCAGGTGACGTTGGCGCAGTCAAAGACAACCAGCCGCAAGCCAACTTTAGAAAGTTCATCGCCATAGCCGCGCTTCCGGACACGGAAGCTCGCTTCCATAAGGGTCAGATCGGAGACGCGGGTATTGTCCATTTCGACGGAGCGTAGCTTCGGGCAGTGTTTCATGATTTGCAGCATGCCTGTGTCACCGAGATTTTCGCAGTAGCTGATGTTCAGGTGCTCGAGATGCCGCGCACAGGGGAACCTGGAGAGCTCAACAAGAACGCTATTGCTCAGATTCTCCAGATCTTCCAATTCCAAGTGAGAGAGGTTGGGCGTGGTGCGGATGACATCGATGATGGCGTCGTCGGTCAGCTCCGAGCACTGCGAGATTTGCAGGCCCTCCAAGTCAGGGACGTTGTAGGCTAGACTTTTCAGGCCATCGTCGGTGATATCTGAGCAGTGATGCATATCCAAGTGTCTCAATCGCCGAGGCGGGACGACGGGCCGATCGGTGAGCACGTCGACGGTTGGGTCGACACCGTGCATGAGCACCTTCAAACTTTGGTCGGTCAGATCGGTGCGACTCATGATCAGTCGTTCCAATGTATTGCGCTCAAACAAGGCCAGGGTGATATCTTCCTTGTCGAATCCACGAATCTCGCTGGCGCGCAGATCCTTCAGCCGCTCACAGGACTGGACGACTCGGAGGATTCCATTGGTGTTGACATTGTTGCACCAGGAGATGTTCAACGTCTCTAACAGAGGACAAGATTGAGCGATGATTTTCATGGCAGAGTTGGTCACGTTCTTGAGGCCTGAGACGTTGATGTACTCCAGTCGCGGGTTCCGCAGCAGGAAGTAGTGGATGGACGTCTTGTCGATGATACATCCTTCCAGCGAAAAACTGACCAGGTTCCGGCACAAATCCGAGATCCGCTCTCCATCCGAGGACCATTTGTGCTTTAACTGGATGCAGCCTCGCAAGTTCAGGTCGCGAACGAAAGGCCCACCCGATGTGAGGATTTTAATCAGAACATCGCTCGGAATCTTCGAGTAATACTCGGCCGTGTCCACCTTGGACCACAACTGTCCATCGTAGCACATCTCATTCCACATCTTCGACACTGCCGAGCAGCGCACAATTTCACGGGGAGTCAAGTACCGAAAGACCTCCATCTTCAACTCTTGCGGCATATCACCCCAGAAATCAAGCGTGCGGGCCGCCTTTGCGTCTCGCAGGATCAATTCCGTATCCAGCATATCGCCCTCCACCGGGGTCACACTTCGAGGAGAACCCCCGAGGTCGGCCTCAAGTCGAAGGGCAAGGGGACGGTTCGCGAGGCCGTTGGGGTATCGGTGCCCACGAGGCGGATCCGAGCGTTGCTGCCCTCCAACTCACCCGACGCGCCGGAGCAGCCCGGAGTGGCCGGTCGGGGATTGAGGCCCCCATAGACTTGCGGGGAGCTGCCGTTGCCCAGACATGGGGAGTATGCAGCGGACGATAACGAGACACACGATAAGGACGCCTTGTGGTCCCGCCGATAACCAGTGGATGCCGATCGCCCACGGCGGGTTAGCGTCGGGCTGGACGACATGCGCTGGAGACTCTGCAGCAACTTCTGGCGGCCCTTGAGTTTTGGGGGTTGTTCGAGAGCAATTTGGCCGGCTGACGAGGCTGGGCTCGCCAGCGAGACCTCCGGCGAGGGGAGGATCTCGTCGGTGACGGGCGTGGCCATGGTGGAGGGGGTCGGCACGGGAAGTCGGAGTAGGTTGTATGGAGTCGGGATCTAGTGATGGTGCGGAAGGAAGGAGAGATAATGAGAGGGGGAGAGAGAGAACAAGGGGCGCACGATCCTGCACCGCAAGCAAACTAGATGAACATAGTGATTGCGCGCAGAATCAGAGCAACCCGAGGTCCAGTGTGTGTTTGTCTATCGCTCAGGTTGCGGGCGAGGTGCGAAAAACCGGCTGAGACAGGTGGGGGGACGTTGAGCGTTTAAAGGTCGCCGTTTATCTTCGGGGGCTCACGGCGTGCGAACCGTGGCACTCGCCGACTTGGACCAGCGGGGCGTGTACCGAGTGACGTGCGCAGTACCGAAGCTGGTAGGTGAGCCACGAGTAGGATTGGAAAGGAGAGCGCGAGAACGAAAGAAAATAGAAAGAGTGAGGGAGGGGGAAATGCAGCAGCAGAGATAAGAGCGGAATGCGTCGGACGGAGAGACAAGCGGAATGTGATACTCTCCAGCGACGTGCGGGCACGGGATATCGGCCTTCCTCTCACCCGATCGCCGCAGACCGCAAGTACGTCGCAAGTACTGCCCAAGTAGACCGTAGAATGCAAGTATACTGTTCGGGCCTGCCTTTTCTTTGATCTGTTGACCTTCGCCTATCTCGTTCCTCCAACCTTACACGACTAGCGCAGAGTTCCTAGACAAATGAGTGACCCCCCCTCGCACGCAACTCACCCCATCCACTGCTCATCCTGCGACTGTCCGAGACTTTCTTCTCGGCTTATCGTCCACCAAGTGTGGCACAGACGCAACGACCCACGCGACTCGTCGGCTGACGACGCCCTGGAATACGGCACATCGAACCACGCGGAGCACCGAGGGCCAACTGCGACCTGACTAACTACCAACTACTATCTGACTCCCTAACCCGGTGTCCTAGCGGCCCCCACCGGTGAACGATAAATCCAGAGTCCAGGGACTCGTTCCTGAGCACCACTATCTTCCCGGTCTCGGGCCTCGCCTCTCGGCGGTCTCGGCGGGGCGCGCCTGCGGGGGAAGAGCGTGGACCCGTGGGACCATCCGCGGAGTATTAAAAGCCCGAGAGGCAACTGGCTCTCTCGGGGTCTGCTCGGTGTGGACGCCAGAGACATAACCCAGGCAATTAACGAATGAAGAGCGCAGGACGATTGATAATGGGACCTGAGCCGAACCCTCATCTCGGCCGATGTGCGACTGGCGTATACCGCTCTACCACCACTCCTGAATAGGTATATGCCACTGCCACCAGGCTCCGCGACACGATGCCCCGAAACGGCTAGGAGAGTCCGGAGAAGTCGCACTTTCGACCCCAGACAGCAGGAACCGAACCAGTGATTTGCGAGGCACTCGGCACTGTTGGAACTAAAATCGACGCCAACAGAGCCCCTCTCCACGGGCTAGACCGGTTTGGCCAAGGACGGAGCCGCCAGGGAGCGCCAACCCCCCCCCCCCCCCACACACTATTTGGTCCTCCGGGCAAAGACCCCCGGAGAATCCAAAGAACAACGAGAAGCCTATAACCTAGCTAGGGCAGGAACGAGTCGATCCACAAACGTCAATCCACAAAGGAGGTATATGTCTTTCTGTCATGCGCAATGCTCTTGTTTCTAGATACACCCTAGAACAGCAAAAAAGAATAGTGTTCAAAAGATATGTCATGCAAAAAGTTTACTTGAACAGACGATGACTGCAATCATGATGAGATGGTGAGATAGTGGGTGGATGGACCTGAGCAGGAAACCCAGTATGGGAGTATGAGAGTATGAGAGTATAGGGAGATTGATGATTTTTGTGCCCAAGAGACCCGCCAGTTCCCCGCCCCCTCCGAGCCTGGGGAATTAAACAGAAGACAAACAATGAACCCCCATATAAATTGCCCGGATTCGCAGCGCACATTACACATCAAGCAAAAGCAAACAAAACGTCGTGGGGTATCGTGTTTTTCTTTTTCCGGTCATCAATGAAGGAGGCATGGCGGGGAGAGAAGTCATGGCGATGAGTGCAATGGGGTTTTGTGGGGATACGGCGAGAGCTTGAGACTTGGAACTGCATGTAGCTCAGTCCTCCTCGGCCAGCCACGGGTGCTCAAGCACCTCGGTGATGGTCAGACGGTTGTCGACGTCGCGGTCCAGCATTTTGCGAATTAGGTCGATGCAGGCTTCGGAGAAGGGGAGGAATGGAATGCGGAGCGGGTGGTCCAAGATTTCGTCGACGTTATAGAAAGGGTTCTCCTTGTAAACAATCGTGTAGAGCAGGATACCCAGGGCCCAGATGTCCTGCTCCTTGCCGCGATAGGATTTGCCTTGTAGGACTTCAGGGGCGGCATAATCTATACCAAGGGATCGAGTCAGCATCTGCATTGAAGACACGATATGTATTCCGAACTCGTCTTACCTATCGTTCCCACAAAGACATCAAACGGTCCGTTTTTGATATAGGCCGCGCTGCCAAAGTCTATCAACTTGATCCGGCCATCACCATCCAACACCACGTTCTCATCCTTGATGTCGCGGTGCACCACCAGCGCCTTGGTGTGCAGATGATGAATGGCACTAACAACCTGCTTGAAAATATTTCGACACTCCGATTCATCCATGTTGGCCCTGAGTTCAATATAGTCAAACAGATCCATGCCGGGGAGTCCGTGCGGGATCATTTCAATATAGTAGTTGATATCGTCCTCGAAGAAGCCCTCCATCTCCACAATGTTGGAGTGCTTGTATCCATCGCGGCGCAGGAAGTCGAGAACGTGGATCTCCAGTGGCACAGTGCCCAGCCGTCGGTCGCGAGTCCATGTATCCACCAGAATCCGCCTCTTTGTGACAAACTTCAGCACCATCTTCTTGTTGGGCTGCTTCTTCAGCCGCGCCAGCTTGACCTGCCCGTAAGCACCTTGTCCCATCTCCTCCAATATCACATAGTCGCTGATCGTGCGCTTCTGTGGCGTCTCCTTCTTGGCGCCGGCAGGCTTCACTTCGGAAACCGGCTGCACGGGCCGATCGGTGAGTGGCTCAGAGGCCGCCTCGCTGAGCTGTTGGCTAAGCGTGGAACTCGGGGTTTGAATTTCCACAGAAGTCTTGCTGGTATCAGGAGTTTGATGACCAGTGTCGCTCGCAGACGGGTGGTCCGACAGGGGTGGGACCCCCGGTGCGGGGGAGGGGGCCTTCGAAGAGGGCAGTGACGAGGATGACAGGTTGGCCGCGGGTCCGGCAGCGTGGATTTGCCGTGAGTATGTGACCCACAAGGCATAGACCAGCTCAGTCACGGCGATGGTATCGTCGCTGTCCTCTGAGTCGCTTGAGCGCTCCTCAAGCCTCTCCACATGTTCCTTGGAGAAGAAAGTGCCGCTCTTGACCACGCGCAATTGAATGTCAACGACGATGGTGGAACCGTCCCGATGTTTGGCCAGCAAGCCACTAGGTTCAGTAAAAACAGATGCTGCATTGGCCTTACCATCACGGAGAATGGACAGCGTTCGCGCCCGACGGAAACTGTGTTCAGGGATCACAATGCCATCCACCAATGGCACGTTGTCCTCCTCGGTTAACACATCCAAGATCTCATCGAACCCTGGCACCAGCTCAGTAATGTTGCGTCCTTCGGGGCGGTCTTGGCCGAACAGTGCTGAACAAAAGACAGGGTTCGAGCTGATAACATTCAAAGTCGAGGATGACAACACCATCATCCCTGCGACATGGGGAAAACTTGACACCTGCAAAGTTTGACTTTCGTCCCCTCGCCCGATGGTCACTGGAATGCACACTCCAGCAGCAGTCCGGGCGGCAAAATGCTTCAACGCGACGATCCTGTCTAGTCCCTCCTCGGGTGATGTTTCGAGAGACTCGGACGGCAAACGTGGTAAAAGTTCGGTTATCGACTGACCAGTGCGAACTACCTGCGAGCCCCAGATCTTGTCAATGTCTCCCCGGGCCTCAACCACTCTCCAAGAATCATCACACCGGACAGAGGCGATGTTTTCCGTGATCTCTTCCAATACCCAGATCAGACCACCACGCTTCTCCATAACCCAGACGCTAGCCGATCCTTTGGCGCCATTGCGCTTCTGAATAGGCACCACATCGCCACACAGCAAAACACCTCGCGATTTGTTGGCTGGGTGGTTCGCATTGCGGTTATTTCTCGTGCTGGAGCCATATCCATCATCGGTCTGTGCTCTCCGAGACTTCTCGCGTGAGGAAGGTTTACTGAGCAATTGTGCCGTCACCCCGTTCCCCAACCCTCGGAACTTAGGGTTTACGGCGCGGATATTGGGTCTCTCCGGCTGAAGTGGCGCGCGGGCTGTGGCATCAGTGCTGGGGTCCCGAAGCTTGGTCTCGAGCCACTGCCTGTGCTCTTTCTGTACGACCTCTAGGATACTGAGCCGGCGGACCTCGGATTGGGTGACCCCAAATACAAGACATGAGAGGTCGTTGGCTGCAAGGATAGTCCATGGTGCCTGGGCTTCGGTCCGAAAGACGGCCTGGGAGACGGGGGTCCATTTGCTGCTGTGGGTGTGCAGGGCAGAAGGGATCGGAAAGCCCAATCCAGCAGTTGATGAGGCCAGAGAGACGAAGGGATCCGTGGAGGCGTAGGGTTGCGCTAGAGTGTCCATCAGCTTGCTTTTGAGTGAGGCGGAGGTGAGGTCCGTGTATGTACGTTTTAAGCTTACGCGCCGGGATGACGGTGCTGAGATCAGGTCCTTCCTGGATTGCGGGAGACGATCACCGGGGACAGCGCTCAGCATCTGGGAGCTTTCGGAAGTTGCCTGTGAGCCTGTGGGAGGGAACTGTTCCTGAAGCGCATCGCGAGTACCGATTGGAGACGAACCACGGTCCGAAAAGGCCTTTTCAAAGATGTTGTCGCCATTCACATCTGCAGGTCCAGTTGTGGGTCCTCGCAGGTGCGTGGCATTTTCCTCGTCCAGCACTCGAGCTCGAGCCAAAAGATCCATCATATGCTGGATATCCGAGTCACTGCTCATATTCGCCTGCGCGTTAGCGATGGCAGCATTGGTGGCTGCCCAGCCCATGCGGTCGCGCATGAAATCGATCGATCTCTTCAAGATGTTTTGTCGGCTGTGCAGCAACTCTTCCGATTGCTGGGCAAAAGAAAATGAATGCAATGACTCCAGCGGGAATCGGTGAAGGTCCTCCAGATCACCAAAATTCTGGCTCATGGAGATGCGACTGGTATGCGCTCGAGATGAGGACCTCGAGCGAGGCGAAGGAGTGGCCCGCGTGGAAGCGGTCATCATTGGAGCTAGGGATGATGTCGACAGGTTGGGAAGGGTCAAAACACGCGACGGTTGCTGGCGTATACGATCCAGCCCGGATGGACCGATTCCATGATCACTCTCGAACAACGGGGATCTGCTGCAACGAGGAAGAATCCATCAGCTTCTTGTCCGACCGGGACCAGGTGTGCAAAATGGAGGTTGGGGCTGGTCGCGGACCTTGAAAGAGGGTCATATCCTGAGGAATAACTATCCACCGATCCTCTCACGGGTTGGTCGGTCCGCAAGGAAAGCTTTTGAAAGCCCGACTCCGACTCGGGCGATTCGGAAAGTGGTCCCAAGGGAGACGAGAGAGGACTCGGTTCACCTAAAGGGACATTGAGATCAGCATCCTGCAGCCTGTTTTTCGACTCTATCGGCGCGTGTTGGGATATCCAATACACGACTCCGTGAGAAAATGTGATGGCCTCAAGTGATGCGGGAAGGGGGAGGGCGTTGAATCTCCGCGGTCAGATGCGTCCCGAAGCATGCCCAAGGTCCATTCTTAGGCTGGGATACTTGGTCGCCGACTCGTGAAGGAACCACGCACTGTGGTCATATCCCTCCGGACTGGGTATGTTTGTTATTCGGAGCGTTTTCTGACGACAGCGCCTGATTGACTTCGGGATGGGCCAGGCGCGTCCCTCGTTCTCTGGTGTAGCTTTCCACCAATGGCCCCCACTCCTTGACGTGACGAGCCCGTGGCATGTGAAACCAGGGAGCACAGGGCAGGCAGACGGGATTGGAAAAGCATGTGCGCATGACTTACCATCGGGGTTGTATGCTGACCCCATTCTTTTTGGCAGTGGCGGAGAGGTTTCTCACTTTCCTCGCCCTGGAGACAAGGGGGGATGAAAAGGAAAGTATGAGGCTCAAACGGAGCGTCGAGTCGTACGCGACATGGAATGAATGTAAGGTGGAAGGGTCATTCGCTCGAGTCAGCGGGCTGCGACCGGGAGGGGAAGAGGGCAGCTGCCTCGTAGCGCGCCCGGCATATGTGGCGTCGCGGGCAAAGCACGCGGTGGTGATTTGAGTCGCTTCCTTCGGGGGGAAAAAGGAAGAAGAGGAGAAGAGAAAAACGGAAGCCAGCGGGGTTTGGTAGTGGGGAGGGAAAGTGTAGCCAAAAGGGGGGTGGGTGATGTAATGGGCGTCTCTCCGTCGCTCCGTAGGGTGTAGTCAGTCGTCGACCTAGTCCTCTTTTCTTCTGAGCCAGCAGACAGGGCTCAGGTAAGTTTCGGATGTAGGAATAAGAAGCGAAGGTGATTGACGGAGGGGAATTTTGATCGACCGATCGGCACGGTAGTTAGCCACCATATGGTGCCTCCGCGGTCTTTCCTTGCTCACCACGAACTCGTAGTTACGCGGCACTACGAGTACGAAGTATACGACCACTCGAACAAACTCTTCCTACATCGCCTATCTCTGGCAGTCAAGTATGGAGGAGGTCCACCTCGGTCGAAGCCGAGGGAAACGCCAGGGCCCTATAGGAGATGCAACACATTGTCGGGGTTAAGGTACAATACAACGCACCAGTGCAGTGCACATTCCTCTTTCCACCCCACTCCTGCTAGCCCTGCTGTGCTCTTCCTCCTGGGCCTTCGGTAGGGCAGAACCCCAGCATCCCAGTTCTTCCCTCGTTGAACTTCATCGCTGCGATTCTGATGCAAAGCGGTGGTTCGCTCTTCGCCGATAGATCCGAAGCTCTTCCGGTGGACCTGTGCGTCCCGCCCCCCACCTCCTGCCAGCTCATACAATGACCGTCCAGCGAATGCCGAATTCAAAAGCGGAAATTAGACGACATCCTGGATCTCGCGGTGCGCATATCTCCACCTGCATGAGGCGATCTGGATCGGGATTAATCAAACCTGAGCCTGTGCCTCTGCCCCCCTTACAGCGGCCCCCGAGCACCTGGGAGACTGCGCAGCGCCAATTCATCGTGCTCGGCTTCAGCTATCTGTGGGTGCTCGTCTCCGCCGTGACCGAAGAGAGGGCTGCCTTTGCCTCGGGGTTGGTCCTGATGTCGCCTCTGCTCGGGGGGCATCGAGGCTGAGCTGACAAAGGTCGAAAGGTTCCGGCTGCCGCCCAGCATCCAGGAGAACCCTGCATCCGACAGGGATGGTCGCACTGCCGGCCGCAGTCCCTCCCGCTCAGTGTCGGCGTGGCCGTCGGTGATTGTCGTACTGACTGTGGTGATGCTGACAGGCTTCAAGGTTCCATTCTGCATGCTCGGGCTAGGGGCATCCACGGGAGAATGTGGCGGCACGCCTTGCTGATCTTCTTTCTCAGCCACGCCTTCAGGTCCAGAACGGTTGTCTGGGCTCGAGACAGGTGGTGGGGCTGACCGAGGTACCTCGTTATCTATTTTAGCGGAATGCGGGGCACTCCCTACTGGGGGTGGGAGCATGAGATTTTCGAGGCAGCTCTGCACAGACTGGGCTCGATCTAGAGCTTGCTTGGCCGCATCGATGATCCCTGAGTCCAGGTCCTTCATGGTTTCTAACTGCCCACGAATGTCCTTCAACGCCTCGCCCAAAGCGGCCGCCAGTTCTTTGTTTCTCTCTTCCAGCCAACTGATCTTGGTTTGTAGGCCAAGCTCGGTGGCTGTTGGTCTCTCCGGCGCGCCCTTGATTCCCATTGTAGAGGCCGGGTTTGGACGTATGGCCGCAGAACGATGACCTGGTTCATAATGCATGGTTTGCATGTTCTTCCGAGCCTCAGTCACCGCTCCTCGGACAGCCTTAGTCACACCCCAAGCTTCTGTCCGGCGTTGGATCCCTTGGGAGACGTCTTGAAAAAGTGCCTCAAGACTCTTGGGGCTGTTCCTCGCGGGAGAAGAGGCAGAGGAATTGCTCTCGCTGCGACCCTTGAAGTCTTCCCAGAGGTGAGCCTTCATGGCAGGTCGGATACCGGAGTGGCTGCGGCACTTAGATGACTCTGGCGGTCTACCCGAGTACTTCGAGATAAGAAAACTGCCTCTCTCCGCTGTCGGGCTTTGCTCCAGGTAGAGTGCATCATGAACGAAGGTTTGGGGGGCGTGTGGCTCGGGAGACGGATAGCGCAGCAATATCGATAGTGCGCCAGAGTAATCCGCTTTGAGTACTTCATGGAGCCTGTTAGTCAAAATTCATCGAAACAAAATTCATCGGTAAAGGATAGTCACCTACGTTGCCAGCGAATCCGAAGGAGCATTGCAATGCATGTGAAATCCACAAGGTCGGATCTTAGCCCATGCGCGAATAGTAAGTCCCACATCATAAGGACATCATCGAAAGGGAATTCTCGGCCAAATAGCAGACGCATCCAACGGCTACGCATGCAGTTAGCAATCTGATACGATTATCATTCAGGGTTTACCATATTCTCACGTCAAGAAGATCTGCGGTAGCACATCCACTGCATGGAGGTGTTCCGCCAATTCATGATCGATGATGGTTAGCGCCTCTTGGTGGAGGTACTGACACCTGCTAACAATCGGAATGACATCTATCTGGTTATTTGCTGTCTTCGTCTCGCCATGTTCATAATATATGCGAGCAGTCTGCATGACACACAGGAACAGTGTGAACGAGTCATGTTCGACAAATTTGGTGTTAAGGAGGTCCAGCATCAAGCGGCCCTCTTCATCGGTGTAAGAGGCTGCACCTTGATCCGGGCATTCAATCGAATCCCGGTCAATCACCCAAAGTATCGGAGCCAGTAGCTCGTGCATGCCTTGTCTATAGCCGACATCCGGGTTGAGTTTGGAGTAAACAAAGAGGACATCGGTCAACTTCTGTTTCGTTGATGGTTCTTGGAAAAAGAAATTCTCTTGCAGACATCGATCGACGTCCTGGACAATTTCAGCTCGTAGTTTTTCATCATTGCGGAGGGTTTGCCAAGGAGACTAAGGAGTGGGCAAGAGGCTTTGTCAGACCGATCATCCGTTGAACCTCTCCAGTCCACTGTAGAAACCGGGGCACAAGCATACCTCGTCGTCGTCCGCCAGCGGGTCGACTGTCGACTCCAAATCATCGGGGTGGTCGATATACTTCAGGAAATGCGCGCGCAGGGCGTCGTACACATCCCGCGACTCGGCGAGCTTCTGAGACCATTGTTCGCGCCCGACACCGTCGAAGAGCAGAAACACCTACAGGCGGGATGAGTGTTGAACTTAAATCCAAGTAATCCTGTGCCCACGGACCTTCCAGCAGATCGATCTTAGCCCGTCGTTGCACAGCTTTCCTCCCTGCTCCGATCGCAGCGCCGCCCGCAGGTCGGAGGGGGTGTCATGGCCAAGGAATAGTGCATCCCATCTCTTTCTGCCGGAGAGCGAGTCAGCTTGTTCGGAATCTCCATGCTCGTGGTTTTCCGGGGTACACACCTGGTGTCCTCAATGGTTCTCATTTCACGTGCTGGTAGTTGGGGAAGTGGAGGTGAGTAGCGGAGAGGAGGAGAGGGGCGATAATGTAATCCGCGGCACCTCGAGCTCTTATCGCCTGGCTGTCACTCGCTCGGAGCATTGCGAACATCCGCGACCCCAGGATTCCAGCGACACATACGAAACGTGGTGCATGTTTTGGTGTTACGGTAGCATATGACCTCGTCTTAACCTTATGCTATCTCACAGCAGTTCATGACCTTCGGCTCCAAATGTCCGCGGACTTATTAGCAGAGTTCGGCCAGGGCTCTGGCTCTGGCTCTTCGCAGAGTGCCGCACAGCTGCCGCAGACAGTACGACCGAAAACAAACTCGCTGATAGACGGATTTGATCAAACAGACGATATTTTCTTCGGCGAGACCTCACATACCTCGCAGGACTGGCAGCAGAGCCCGCGGTTGGCATCACCACAAAGTCAATATGCATCCGCAGCTCCCCGCCAGTCTGCTGTCTATCCAACATTTGATCTCCCTCGGCAGCACGACAGTGATGTGCTGTTTGATGCCACAGAGGATGCCCCTGCCAGTGATACTGATGATGACTGGGGCGATTTCGAGGGTCCAGAGGCTACCCTGCAGAGCCAGCCGCGGCAATCGTCAGTTATAACACCAAAAGCGCCAGTTAGAGCACCAGCACCAGCGCCACAAAATCTCCAGGATCCAAGTCTAGCCGGAACTATCGACTTACTAGGCGGGCTGTCAACGGCTGAATCGACACCAAGTCCAACTCAACCATCTCAATTTGGAGCCAGGAATCATTCACCTCAAACAGGTTGGGAGAACGACTCATTTGGGGACTGGGGCAAATTCACAGAGGCTCAGATTGCACAGGCAGCTCCACCAAAAGCTTCCCCGCGGCAAAACCAAAAGAGAACGCCTGTGAAGTCATTGCTCGAAGATGATTCTTTTGGGGATTGGGGTGACTTCACAGAGGAGCCATCCGCCAACCTTCCACCACCAAAAGCATCGCCCAAGAAACAGCCTTCTCTAAGGGCCGGTGCTCCCTCCAAAACCACCCCCATGAAGGCCACTCCCAATAAAGCTAGTATACCAACCAAGGCCCTTGCAGCGACAAGAGCAACAACGTCTGTCCAACCCAACAATCCCGCTAAACCCAATTCTACCCAACCCCCGTGGGAAGACGACGCCTTCGACGACTGGGGTGACTTTGGCGATGGCCCAGCACAACCCAACCCCAATTGTACCTCACTATCACCACCAACAAGCCTATCCCCGCAAAGCTTCGCCTCAAACACGCCATCCTCAACCCCAACAGTCCGACCAACCAACATCCCGCCCCCATCCATCCTTCTCGAACACCTAATCGACCAGCTAAACAACCTCCAAAAAGAAGCCCAAACCGCCAAAACCCTCCCCCAACCCCAAAAAGCCACCACAGCCACCAAAATCCACAACACCCTGCACATAGCAGCCCGCATAATTGCCGGCCGCACTCACCGCTGGAGACGCGACACCATCCTCGCCCAAAGCATGCGCATCGGGCCCGCTCGCGCCGGAAAACCCGGCGGCATGAAGCTCAGCGCCGTCAACAAGCATGAGGACGTGAAAGAAGAGCAGGACGCCGTCGACGTGCTGGGTCTCTGGCGTGAGCGCGCCGCGCTCTTCAACTCTGTCGTCCAGGCTGCGGGCCAGAAACCTATTCCTGTTGTGTCGGACCCCGCGGCGCTAAAGGTTGTTACGGTGCGGGCAGAGCTGGGGGGAATCAAAGCTGGGCATGCTTGTGCGCTTTGTGCGTTGAAGAGGGATGAGAGGGTTTTGAGGGTTGATGAGGAGGTTGTGCAGGATAATTTTGGGGAGTGGTGGACGGAGCATTGGGGGCATACGGGGTGTCGGGCTTATTGGGAAGGGAATCGGGGGTTGCTTATGCAGCGATGAGAGGGAGTTGGTTCTGTCATGTTGGGTGTGGATAATTGTGTTTTGGGGGGTGAATCAGACGTATGATGTAGAGAATGGCTTGATTAGATCATAACATCTAGTAACCCTTAGAACAAGAAGTCTCACACCAGGCATCGGCAAGGTGAAGTAGATGTCTCCCAAGTCTAGGTAATTCTAGCCGCATCTACACCCATACATGCTCTTACCGTCTCCTTACCATATCGAAAGAAAAAGACAAAGCAATTGAACATTACTTGACACGGTTTAAGTAAAAGTAAAAGAGATATTAATGCAAATTACCGTCACTACGTGACGGCGAATGAATAAGGACGCACAAGATTCCTCCCAACACCAATTTCTAGAGAAGTGAGTAGATACACGAAGGGCAGAGAATCAGCCAGAAGCGGAGAAGAGTGCTGCCCAGCGGCATGCGGGCCGCGGGCGTGTCTGCAACTGACCCGCATTCCTGCCCAAAGGCACGAGCCCAAGGGCCGGAGCGCGGGCCAAGGGTTGTCCAAAGGATATGTAGCACCCCAAGCCCCATTTTCCTCCGCATCCCTGGTCGTCACCGGGATCCGCCTGCACAAGGGGCTCTGGAGCGTTTCGGCGGGGATCGGGCCATATGAGGATGCTGCACCACAGGCACCGAGGGTTTACCTGTTTGTCCGAGGAAAAGACAAGAGTCGGGGCGCTCTCGGTGGAGCGAAATGAAAAGGCAGATCCCAGTGGATATATTTCAGCCTTCAGCCAGACTCCAGCAAAGGAGCTGCAACCACACGGCGGGTGGGTGAAGATCAGATTTCGATTTCTGTCGGGCTCTGCAGCCAGGCCTGCGCCAAGGGCGAGGGCGGCGTATTGCGGATCCCAAGATCGGGACTGGTAGGTTGTTGATCACCCGGTTTAGAAACTTTGAGCAGAAGGCAGTGCAGGCTATGTAAAGAGTATCTGCGTCAGCTATTGAACGTGGGATGGGAAGTCTCGGCATGGTCGCACTGCGCAGTGACGATCACTTGGCACGAGAGAGCAGAAATGGAGAAAGCAAGGGGGCTTGGCCGGCTTACAGGACTGCTCAGCATGCTGTTCCGCTTGTTGCGACCCTTCTTGATGTGGTTCTTCAGGGCTGTCGAATCCAGAGGTTTCAAGAGTTCGAAACTACAGAGGAGCTCGCCGGAGACGGACATGATAGCACCCCAGTTGTCGAATTCACCACAGTACTGTGAACAAAACCCCCCAGATGTCAGCAAATGGGTTCCAGAATGAACGAAGAACTTGAACGAGAGAAAGAAAGAATGGCTTACGTTGGGTGCTGAAAAGACGGTCACCAGGATGCGGTCCTGGTAGAACTCATATCCATCCTCAACCACCATGTGGGCTCGACACACCAAATCCAAGTCATGGCGCTGCAAAAAGTTCATAATCACCTTCTTGCCGAAGCAATAACTGACACCGCGTTCATTCGGTTCCCAGTCTTCTTCCATATCCGCCGGATCACTCCACAGGAGATCATTCAGCAGGCCATAATCAGGAACATCGGTAGGCCGGGCAATACCCCGAATATCGTCCATGTGCGACAAACTGGGCGACAGACCACCATGCACACAGAAAATCTTGCCCGCCACAATTGAGGCAATTGGAAGGCAGTTGAAGGTGTCAATAAAGCCCTTCCAGACCTTGATATTGCAGCGCCGCTTACACTCGTCATAGAAACCATATACCCGCGTCACATTGGCGCATTCGTGGTTGCCGCGGAGCAGGAAGAAGTTTTCCGGATATTTGAGCTTATAACACAGAAGCAGGAGAATGGTCTCCAGACTCTGCTTCCCTCGGTCGACATAATCACCCAAGAAGAGGTAGTTTGATGCCGGCGGGAATCCACACATCTCAAAGAGGCGAATCAAATCGGTATATTGGCCGTGGACGTCACCGACGATCTTCACCGGAGCAGAAAGCTCCAAGAGCGCCGGCTGAGACAGGAAAAGCTCCCGAGCGGCGGAGCAGATGGCGGTGATCTCGGCATTCTTGAGACAAACGGTCTTGGTGACCTTGGTAGAATAACCTGCATCCAACAGTCTCGAGATCATGTCATCCAAATCGATGGACTTCAAAGCGCCCATGCCCATTCCAGGGGACCCAGAGGATTCGAGCGGGGCGTTGAGAATGAAATCCAGAATGGGGTTCAGTTGGTTCTCCCGCTTAATCAAGATGGATTCACCCGCCTTCAGCGCCGTGCCGACGGGCGGGCCACCTGATGGAGGGCCCTCCGATACATGGTCCACCTCGCCACTCTGCTGCATCGCATTCACATCCTTATGACCGCGCTTCAAACTGGTCGACAACGACGGTGATGGCGGAGGCTCAGGCGAGCCAGTGCGCGAGACAGGTTCGGAGCCCGGGGACGAGAGGCCGGCGTTGGAGCCGGGGCGACTGTTAGAGGACTTGACCGAGCCGGCGTCGGACTTGTCAACCTGACTGTCGGTCTGGGAGAGGGCGGTGGTCGAGCCACGAGGGCTGTCGGTGCTAGTGCTGCGCGCACCGGGAATCTTCGAGCGAATGGAGCCACGGAACGAGCGGAGGGATTCTTTGGTGTCGGATTTCGAAAAGGACGGATAGGACTGCAACGGGTCGCCCGAGTTGGCGTTGCCCTTGGAATGCGATTGACCCATCGCAAGGCTGGGCTGGCTGCCAAGCTAGGGACGGGGGGTGATCGCACGAACGTTCAAACCGCTACGCCGAGAAAGTTCCCCTTGGGCGTTGGAATGTCTTGGCTGCCCAGCGGCGGGAGAGATGCAATGTCCCAATGACGGTATATTAAGCTTGCAGGCACCCGACACGGCGTGGACAAATGGGATTTGCTGCAGCTGTTCACACCGGAGCGCGTTTCGGGGTGTGAGCTCCGGCCAGAAATGACCAGACAGGCGAGAAAAAGGTTAAAGGGCGGGCGAGCCGGGCGCAGGCGGTGGCAGGGGATGGAGCGACCGGACGAAGTCGATAGGGGAAGGGAAGGGGGGCTGGTCAAGGTGACTACGGGTCAGCAAAGGGGATTTCGAGGAAAGCTGGACGAAGCTGGGCGAAAGCTGGGCGAAGCTAGGAGGAGGGAAGAGCTGAGAGGCAAAGCTCCGAGGTCGCACGGACAGGAAGCTCCGCGGGATTTGTTCTCTGCCCAACGGGAACAATCAAGTCAGGCGCCGAAAAGGGTCTGGTTGACAGTGCTGAACCCCACCCAAGATTCAGTGGGTATGTGGAGGTTGAAGAAAGAATGCAAGGGAGGGTTGGAAAAAGTCTGGCAACGAAAGGGTGGGTTGCGGGCTGTGGATGGGCGGAGAGGGAAGAATGCGTCATTATGTACGGGGATCATGGGCCAGGTTCTGTATCCCACATGTACATCACCCGAGTGGAGAGGGGATTGGGGAGGGAGGAAAGCGAAGGAAAATAGGAAGGGACTCACCTTCGATCTTGTATTGTCTTGAATCTGGGATGGATATTGAAGATTGGATAGCAAGGGAAAAGGAAGAAAGAGGGGAAGGCGGCGGTAGATGTAGGGCGCAAGTACTCCGCCACCGCGACGAGGTGGAAAGGTACTTCGCAGTACGACCAGTCTGGAGCGCTTCAGCGGAGTGAACTGACTTTCGAGCTGAGCATGCGGTTCTGGCCAGCCACTCGGTGGCCACAGCCCCCGACTTCCCGACCTTTAGGTAAGCCGGATCATCCCCGGAGCAAGGGCAGCAAGTATAGAGGATGCCTAGTCTAGGCCCGAGGTATTTATAGCCTTCGCCTTTGATGCGTTCATGACTTGAGTCTACTTGAAATCTACGGAGTAGTGTTGTCTACGCGGAGTAAGTGAAAGATGGGGCGTGATTCTCAGAAGTCGGATACCGCGTTCAGAACTATCTGCTTACGGTGCGACGTGCGACTCCTTCCAACGCTCCACCCTCTCAGGCCCATGTCCCTCCTCCACTCCGCCCGATAAGCGACTATCTCGACCCATTCTACTCCCACCATTTGAATTCGGTCTGATAGAGAAGGACAGTGCGAATGGCGCTGCAGATGGCGTCTGTCCCGAGTGCTTTTCCGAGATGGCCTAGCCAGTGGAAGGAAAGTTATGGGGAGCTTAGACCCCCACCAACGCTCCTATCACAAGCGGCGGAGAAGAAGGCTGGTGTTTCCAAGCACCGTTCCAGCCCCCACGTTTTGTCGGCCACGTAGAACACATTAATTGTGATTGATAGGTCTCCGGAATCCTTCCATGATGCCTGCAGCCGAGGGTGGGTTAAGGTCCTATTCAATAAACAATCCGGGTGAACTGCTCCTCGAAGCAAAGGGAGCTCCCTCGGGCTTGACCTGGTCACAGAGTGAGTGGGCAGGGAGCCGCGCAGATAGGCTTGGGTCCTGCATAACAGCCACAGCACGCGCGCCAAGGCATCTCCGTGGCGGAGACACCGCCTTTTCCCCGTCCACCCACTGTCGTGTATCTCCCCGGACCGCCATAAAAAATACCCCAAATGGACGAGCCTTGATAATGGACCTGCCCGCCAAGCCGCCATGGTCATGCGAGAGAGCTGCCGTGTCCCCCGTGCCACGTTGAATTGTGCAGCAGCAAGCATCACACACCAGGTCAACCCGACCAGGTCAACCCGACCTTGGCAGCCCCGCGTTCAAACCCCCATGCTGGCGAAAAGCCAGGGAGCCAGAGCTGGCATATGGAAATCGGAAGGCAAAAACCGGATGGGATGAATGAGGCAGAATTGAAATGAGTGGGCTTCTTCCCGCGGGCTTGGCTCCGCCAAGGTAATCGTATCCTGAAATCCTGGGTTGATTTTCATTGGGAGGATGACAGCAAGCTGGATGTCTCGTGATCATGAGCGCTGACCGATCATCCCTCTCTACTCCAGCTCGATCTTCGTAATATGGTGGCCTGGGATCACAATGAGACCAATGAGCCGACTGGTCATGTTGACTTTGACGGTGGCGGATTTGGTCTCAGATGTCTTGTCCCATGACTCGGTCTCCTTTGCCGCAGCTTCTTGGATGGCGGAGGTAGTGGGGAGCCGGTACTCGAAGGAGTTGGCAAGAATGATGTTTCGCTCCTGGTGTGACAAAATCCAGTATCAGTACAGCTCATAGCTCCCAGTACCCGATCGTAGACTCCCAGACGCCTTTCTCTCCTCAAAGCCCCCTTTTCCCATCCCTCTCCGATCACGATCATGAGGAGGCTTACCGCATCGGTGCACTTGAAGAGGCCGACAAACATGCGGCCATCAGTGGCGTGTATGCGCAAGGTGCGACCCAGCAGGCCATTCAGATATTCAATGGCCTTCTCATTATCCATTGTAGCAGTGGGAGTAGTCGTCTGTCGCTGTGATGGTGCAAGCGATTGGCGCCGCGAGACCGAAGTTGGGAGTCGAGCGTTTCGAAGAGCCTTGGTGAAGACTCAACAGGGTTTGGGGTTCAGTGGGAGTCAGATAGGAATTGTGTGTATGTGAACATCCAAAATCTAGCAATTGTAGTCAGAACCAATTGCTCATCGGTGTTGTGGGAAGAACGGTCGTCTGCCAGCACATCAAGAAAGGACTACTGATGCCTGAGGCGTCATATTGGTGGGGTGACCCACATCAGCAATTGCGTGGGAAAGCTTCACCGTGAACGAGGTTAATCCAAAACGATTACTCCGGGGCAGATCGAAAGGAAGGAAATGGATGGATATGGCGATAATTGGCATACCAAAAGTTTCATAAAATTCGTCTCTCGTAACTGACCCGATAACCTACATTTCAGACCTTAGTTTTCGAGTGCTATGGTCTGATGAGTTCCTCTCTTCGAACACCAGTATGAAACGGACCCCCCAACCTTCCCGCTGATAAGATCTCGTGGACGTAGAGATATGAAGCACTCTCTTCTATCAAATCATCATAAGTTAATCCATCGTCATGAATCTAAATCCTTAACCGGGGCATGGTTACTATCGAGTACACGCGCCTAACGAGTTCATTGGGTACCAAGACAACGAGTCTTAAGACTTGACTCGAGCCTGGTCTTGCTTCGTGGCTTTTAACATCTCATGGATCCCATCACGGCCTTTGGAGGTTGAGTTATTTAGAGCCAACACCTTCTGCTCCCTTTCTAGGATTCGATATGTCGGACGCTATCTCTCAAGTGTCCATGGACACAGCTAAGGCTCGTGCACATTTGCCTGGAAAATTCTTGACTGGAATATGAACTTTGACCAAGTATGTCAATTGTAAACATTACATCCTTCGTCTCCGTCCCTAATACTTCCACCGACCCTTTGAGATAGACATGAAACCACCACTCCCATATAACGCCAGGTTCTCCCTGAGAATCAGAATCAACCACAGAAAACAACCCAAATTCAAACTCAAACTCCTTCCCAAAAACACACCCGAGAGGAATCACAAGAATAGACCAGCAGTCTCTTCCCACAGAGCGACCGGCGCCCGAAAGACTGACAGAAGACTCACAGCTTCGCAGGTCCAGAAGCACTAAGCACCTCCATTCCAGAACCCCCACTTGGCAACCGGGTTGGGGTTCTCGCTGCTCTCATCAGTATCCATCTCCATCTCCACGTCCGTCTCCGTCTGGAAGAAGCCGGAGCTCGTCGTCTCGCTCCCGCTCGTGCTCCCAGCCATGTTCATCTGCGCGAATACCTGGCGCCGCATGATCTCTTCCTGGTCCATGGCGGTCTCATTGGCACGGGCGGCAAGAGCTTCACGGGATGGCCGGAAGGGCGACGATGGCTCTGCTCGGGGCTGGAAGAAGCGCAGCAGGGTCTGCTGTCGCGGGTCGACAGTTTCTGGGGACGGGATGGCCGGATCCGAGTCCATCATGATGTCTCCGGTTACATCAATAGCTGTTATGTGCTGCTGTTGCTGTTGCTGTTGCTGTTGTTGTTGCTGTTGCGCGGAGAAGATCCAGCGGAGGGTTTTCTCTACTCCCGTCAGCACTGGTTCTGGTGCCTGCGAAGGACACGATGGAACACGATGCGCCATGATCTCTAAAGCTTCATCTGTGCAGACATGGACCACTCACCATACACAACATCGTCGCTTGGACGGCCATTCCGGAAGCGCTTTCGGGTCCGGCTAGGAAGGTCCTTGGAGCTATCGGGCATGCCCCAGCTAGGCGTAGGCGTTGCCAGGCCAGACGGGAGCCCCGAGAACGAAGCCTTGCGCTTGAGCGACATGGCAGCGGCGATATTATTGACAGAGGATTGAGATGGTTCAGTAGGGCATCCGGGAGAGGGGACAATTGCAGCTTCGAAGCCCGGGCCTGCAGAGTGAAGGGCAGAGTTGCATCTGAACCACCGGAAAAGGCTGGACCGGAGCACGTAGCCCCATTGGCCGGTCGCGTCTTTGGATTATGGATTCGCGTTGGCCGGGACACGCTAGTCTGGAATGGGCAACATTGCACACAACACACTGCCCACCGCGAACCAGGACGGATGAGCTATGATATGAGAGTGTGCAATTCGATCTATTTGTGAGATTCCATGATAGCTATCGTCTCATTAAATGGAATAGAATCTCATGATTGGCTGGTTGTTGCTGCACGGTCTGATCGTGCAAGGACCAACTGCTGGAATGCTTGAAAATCGATCAATAGGTGTTAAGCTCTATCGTCTATGCATCAAATGTACCTTTGAGAACACTAAATCGGTAGTCGATGGAAATGACGCGCCAAATACCTACGGGTTGCTGCCCCGTGGGATGAGAGGCTTCCGAAACAATCCCTAGTGGAGGAGGGGGTTGTATACTTCCCTTGCTCCCCCGTCATTATATATTATCGATGGGACAGACAGATTAAACCAGTATTCTGGTTGGTCGTCGCACCAGTGGATGAAACCCACGCCCCAGTTTACCCAAACAAGGGTACCCAGCAACCCTGACACCCACATTACTTGCAAACCACCCGGGATGCCGTGGTCCAGAGCGTTCGGGATCCCGCAAAGTGCTCCACCATGATGCTGTTCTCCCCCGCTTCTCCTCACCCGGAGCTCACCCCAACTAAACCCTTGATCTTTGAACCCCAACCGGAACCCCACGCAGAATCCAAACTCCATGATGGCTTCTAGACAGGCTTCTCACGCTGGTTCCTGGTACTCTGATAATCCTCGCGCCCTGACTCGCCAGCTGGACGACTGGCTAGCGGAGGTGCCAGAATCGATGGATCAAGTCGGATCGCTTCCAGTACCCGGAGCGCGAGTGATCATTGCGCCGTATGTATATCTACTGGCTGGAGTAGATAGCCTCAACTGAGCAACAGAAACGCTAACGAAGCAGACATGCGGGGTATGCTTACTCAGGACCCTGCGCCGCCTTCGCATACAGGGCCCTTGATCTGTCCAAGATGTGAGTTTACCGTTGACCGAGAGCGGCGGGTACTCTGGCATGATGGGCCTTCATAACCTCTGAAAATCTAGAGAACGCATCTTTGTCTTGGGCCCATCACACCACTATCCGCTTTCCACGCTGGCTCTCCCCCAAGTAACCTCCTACTGTACCCCGCTCTCCAACGAGCCTCTGCCCCTCGACACAGACCTTATCAGCCAGCTTTTGACGGCCGAAGCAACCAAGACCAATGGATCTAAGATTCGATTCACCACCATGAGCCAGTCTGTCGACGAAGATGAGCACAGTATCGAGATGCACCTGCCATATATTCATCGCTTGCTGCAGCTGCAGTTCCCAAACACTCCAGCGGCACAGTACCCGCCGCTGGTTCCAATCATGGTTGGAAGTACCTCTGCCGCGACAGAGCAGGCCTTCGGTGCCTTACTGGCTCCCTATTTGGCAGACCCGTCGAATGCCTTCGTGATCAGCTCGGACTTCTGCCACTGGGGTCTCCGCTTCCGCTACACATATTATGTTCCGCAGGCTCCGACACCTGGACCAGTACTCCCACTGTCGAGCGACAACCTGCCCCAACCGGGCCAGGACCCCGACGACATTCTGAAGAGCATTAATTCGGTCTCCGCGGGACATGCCTTGCAGCGGCGTGATCGGGTCTCGAGCAAAGAGCCTGCAATCCACGAGAGCATATCCGCATTTGATATTGCTACTATGACGGCCATCACGAGTGGATCAGCGAGAACCTTCCTCGACACCATTGACCGCACCGGGAACACGGTCTGTGGCCGACATCCGATTGGGGTGATCATGGCGGCACTTAAGGTTGCTATGGCGGGTCAACCCAGCAAGAAGGGTCTCTTCCACTTCCTCCGGTATGAGCGCAGCTCGGATGCGGTGGATGTGATGGACAGTTCTGTTAGCTACGTGTCTGCCTTTGCGGTGCTCTAGCCCGTGCCACTGTCTAAATGATGAGATGAACAAGGGCTCATTTGTGCTTTCACTACGGAGTACTCGGATCGGGGTATACACTCGTAGAATTTTCGTAGAATTAACCCGCACCCAGATTATTCATCTTCCATTACGGTCCTGCCACAGCGGTTTTGCCGAACTGCTATGATGATTGGTTGGGTCTTGGTGGCCCTTGGGCAAGAGGTGGAACAGTCTGAATGGAGCGCTGGGTACCGTATGATGGGGATTAGGCAAGGGGGTTGGTTGACCCTTCATAACGGCCAAGTGGGTATCCATCACTCTGAATAACTCTATCTCGGACCGTAGATCAATGAAGGGAAAAAGGGCACGGGGCTTTCGCAGATGTATCGTTTGGCCGGAAGTCGAGGTCTGGCGTAGGACACGAAATGCATAAAAACCGCATAGCCCAGGATCGCCCATATTGATCCGTGCCGGATACGCGCGGATCGGATCACACACATGAATAAAAACTCTGCGATCAGATCACGGATACACAGCCCCTAAACCCCTATCTCGTATCTCGATACCCAACACATGTTTTTTCACCTGTTATACATTTTCGTCCTCTCACTCGTTACACCTATCCGTTTTCTCGCCTGATCGACGGATTCGTCCAAACAGGGAATCGGTACGAGCATTGCACGGGAGTCCGGCTACCGCCAAGCCCCGACGACCGACGTCCGCATCGAGCTTAGTGGTGCAGGGGTGGAGCTCGGCAGCCGGGCGAATATATGAGAGGGGCGCACTATTGGGTTTGATTCGCAGGTTTTCTGCATCGCATCACGCTCATTCGTCGCACTCGTTTCTCAAACAGGAAGGGGGTCATGTCAGCGGTGAAATACGGAGTAGTGACCAAAGCATGTAGCCCGACGCCGAGACATTTCCCAGCCACGACCAGCAGGGCCGCATGGTTAAGTTTACGTGGACCTTGGGTGGTGAATTAGGTAGCTTGCCGCGCTGAAGAAGGCTGTGCCCTGTGGCTATGGAGGATGCCGTCGTCTTCCGACTCGCTCGGGTTTCCCCATCCCGGTCTAAATCAAGTAATATGTGCGCCAAGCTGATAATGCTATGCGAGACCAGTCCAAGGTGAGGGAGTGGGGCTTCGAAAAAATCGAAAATCATAAATACAACATGAGCGAGTTCCGAATCAAATGGAGGGAATACTGCAGTAACGATAATACTCCAATCAACTTGGTTTTTCGACACAGCCCTATCCGGCCCAGGTCTATACGAATACGGGTGGGCCAACACTGTGACTGCGGACAGAGTACGGAGGGGGTGAAGAGGACCGGAGCGCGATCGACCATCTCGGGAGCCATACGCTTTCTATCTCCGGCGCCGTATACGTAATTGCATACAGCCATCCGTTCATGGTTGGCCTTTGTTAGCCATGGTAGCGGGGGTCCCGTGGACGGTTTTACCACCTCCCCCCTGATGGCGTTGGCCAGACTAGCCAAAAACAAAAGCAAACCATGTCTCATGAGCCCACATAGTTGGTGCGAGCGGTCAGCCCCCGTAGTCCCGTCAATTGGTTATTGGTTGGGTCCAATCGCATCGAGCACACGACTCAGGGCCGGATCGGTCATAGAGCACGACCCCTCCAGCGACACTTGTTGCCTCCCAATTCAAGATTTTTGGCCTGCTTCTATTGGCGTAGGGATCTGCCATGCACTAAAAGAAATATGTAGCCCCGTCGACGGGGGCGGCACATCTGATATGTAGTCAATCCCAGCCCGCCCCTGGCCAAGTTGCGTACAACTCCCGAGGTTCTTCGTACTCCGGATCATCCGCATCTAACCCTTGGAACACTTTCCTGCTTTTTCACAGCATCGTCGATCATTTCATCCATCTCGCCTGGCCCCCGGAGTTCCGCCTTGGCTTTCCGCTCCCTTGTTTTGAGTCTTTCCTTTTTCCCTCCATCCCTTGAACACCCTCACACGCTCTCTCGCCCGCCCTTGTTTCGGTTTCTGGGTTTTTGGTATTGAATTTGTTCGCTGGGGTTTTTACTGCCAGATCCCCCATCATCTCAGAATGTCGGCGACCACGCCAGACCTGGGAAAGCCACAATTCTCGTCGCACGCATGGCTGGAACCACTGGTAAGCTTCATCTCCAAGCAGGACACCCGATTCTCTCCTTCACATTCAACCTAACGCCATGGCAGGTGGTTGTGAGCATCATGCTCGGCTCGCTGGTGCTCAATCGGCGCAAAGACTACAGCATCTTCGGCAAGAGGCAGGACAATGACCGAACCGCCCGCGGCTACTATGATTCTGGAGATGAGAGCCGTGGACAGTCCCCCAACCCACTCAAAGCAGAGCGTGTCTGTGGCATTTCCGTCATCACCCCAGACTCGTCACGCTGGGCCAACCACTTGCACAGTCGCATCTTGTACAAATTCCCTTTCTTGGTGGAGATGTTCTATTGGTCGGTCAACTATCTCTTCTACTCCGTGACCAAGGCGACGTCCCAGTGGCTGGTGCCCGCTCAGGTGGGTGTGGTCGAAGTCGCCCAGCGACATGGCGAGGATATTCTCTGGTTCGAGCATGAGTCGATCTTCTCATGGATGTTCCCGATTCTGGAGTCGGACTTCCAGGGCTATTTTCTGACTAGCCACCCGGGCATTCTGACCTTTTTCAACCGCATCTATTCCCTGGTCCATATCCCGGGAACTGTGCTGTGAGTGATTGGCCCCGAGACTCCGATGCCCTTTTCGCATCTTAACTAACCGGCGCACAGCTTCCTTTCCTGGTACTACCACGAAGCCCCGAATGCCAACACCTTCGCTTTGGTCCGCCGCACCATGACCTTGGGCAACTTCTTCGCCTTCGCTACCTTCTGCGTCTACCCGTGCATGCCACCCCGCCTTCTCCCCGAGGTCTATAACTTCTTCGATACCGTTCGCCAAGAGCACGCCGAGAGCGTCTGGGTCGACAGCAAGTCTGTGAATCAGTTTGCGGCGATGCCCAGCTTGCACTTCACCTACGCCTTCGTCATCAGCAGCACCTTCCTTTACCACTCCGAAATTTTCCGCCGATTCCGTGGAAAGCCCGTCCGCAAGTCGACCCTGACCCAGGTCATCTATACCGTGCTCGCCTTCGCCTATTCGCTGCTGGTTCTCAGCGTTATTGTCGCGACGGCAAACCACTATTGGCTGGATGCGGTCATGGCTATGATCTCGGTGACGGTGTGCTTCACGATCAACCGCGTCTTCCTGCTGCTGTTGCCGGTGGAGTACTGTCTCTGCTGGCTGCTGCGGTTGGCAAAGCCGCTTCCCCACGTTGGAGGGAACAAATCAAACGAGCGCAGCGGCACCGAGTCACCCAGATACCGGTCTGTGCCAGGCTACGATGTCGTGTGATATACATAATATTTTCCTCATGCCTTCTTCGCCACACATTGCATCCAACTCTTCGCATCTGCATCTGCATCGTTTTCCCTTCTCTCTTTCTTAATTCCAATTTATAAAAAGCTTATGTGCTTATTGACCTATTGGAGAAACTGTTTGGCTCCCACCCCCCCCCCCCCCCCCTCACGATCCCACTTCTCGGACTACACTTGATTTGGCTCTTCGGGTGCGAAGGACCACATGGGCGTTTTACGGCATGGACGTTCCTCAACCGCCTTGGGTGGAGTACCCCCTGATGTGTCATGATCATATTTTGCAGTGCACATGGCGGTGATTGCATTTCCTTTATGTGGCCTGGTGTGGTCGTATATATAGATGGCGCTGGTGATGGTTATAGAGTTTGTTTATGTTCTGTGCAAAGACACATATTGAGCCTTTCCAATTGATCATGCGTAAGTGCTTGCCAGGCGGTGTAATTATCCGACAGGCCACGACATCTCTTGCCCCCCTCCTTTCTATCCACCTAGGTTGCAAGTCGTCGGTCCTATGCTCTGAAATTGCGGTTTGCCACTCCAAATCCCCCGGATTTCCGCCTGTCCGCTGTACCACCGGGATCCATCGACCCTTTGCCGCTTGATCTCCGTTTGGCTGCGGGGTCATGACATGTGCCGTCCAGTGCCCGCCAGCCCGACTCATCCAGACTGCCACTGATGTCCGATATACTTCATCACCCGATCAACACCCAATCGGTCCCCTACAGACATTGTTGCACGAGCGGGCACCACATTGGCCAGCGCCAAGCATGCATCTGTTGCATCAGCCGGTCTGCAGTTCTGTGCTTGCCGAGGGTGCATTCGGTGCATTCGGTGGAATCGGTGGAATACCTCATGCAGGGTCTCTCGCGACAGGCGGATATCCGAAGAAAGGGAAGAAAGGGAAGAAAGGGAAGAAAGGACCAAGCGATGTTCAAACCGATCTAGAAATAAGGTTTAGACCGTGCCAGTGCCGGAATCGCCCCCACAGTACGGTTGTACACTGTCCTCCTGAACGCGGGAAACTCTGATCCATCATCCCCCAACATGCAGGGCCTGGTCTGAAGCAGGATAACGACGTGGTGCAAGCGCATCAAACACCAACGGTCGACTATTCTCAGCCCTCGTTTCGGGGCCTATTATTGGAGCGCCGTTGGCGGGTTTCTTTGTCTGCCAGAACCGACCCTGTTGGTCCCTGAGCGCCCAGGGGTAACGCCTTGTCGCGACAACCGAGATTCTGTGACAGCCACCGCTCTTATCGTCATGCATGGATCGCGCGTTGATCCTTTCATTTAACGCCCGCGACGCTAGGGCTGGGCCTTTGATGAAACGCATGGGCCACTCACACCTATCGCACGTCTTCCCACTGCCAGCGTGCCAGGAGACTGTGGCTTCCATTTTCCGCAGGTCACCTTGATTGATCGAGTTTTCGTCAAAGATGGTCGGGTCTTATCTGCCCCCTCGGGTCCCACTTGCGGTGGTTGTGGATCGCACGCGCCGGTGGCGTTCATCGCGCGCGCCAATGATTCTCGGGGGCTTTGATGCCGATGGTCTGGGTCTGACAGGGTGATACTGTAGCAATGAAGAATCCCCCGAGATGAACGGGGCCGAGGAATATTTCCGGTCCTTCATCCTTTCTCCTTCACCCTCCCTTCCCGGTCACGTCCCCAGGTAGAGTCCCGGAGAAAAAAGAATGAGCATGAGGTTGGATTGGCCTGCAGTACAAGGGCGAACCTAACTCGTGAAGAAAGGATATCTCCCTCGTTCATTCCTCTCACGATCACGCTCCTTCCTCGCCTTGTTTGCCTATTATTACCAGCGCGGGCTGCTGTTCACTCCTTAGTTGGCATTCTGAAGCTGTTTACATATCTACATTCCAAATCGCTCCGCTCCAAGAGGAAGACGCTTTTCAGTCCTTTAAGCAGTTCCTATACCCTCACAACTACAACCACTCAGCACCTCATCTGTCATCAGTCCACCCAGCATGCTCCGGGAGCTGCTCACACTTGCCCTAACAGGACTGATGATGTCGTTCTCGGCGGCCTGCCCGGTACCTACCCCCACCACCACGACCGTGCCGTCCGCGACGGCCTCGACTGCTTCTGGGGGGACAGATAGACTGGTCTTCTGTCATTTCATGGTGAGCTACTCCAATCCAAAGAGCACGACCCCAGTTCGCAGCCTGACCATCCAACTTCCCATGTTCCTAGATTGGGATCACCAGCAACCGCCAAAGTGCCCGTGATTATGATGATGACATGCAACGCGCCAAAGACGCGGGAATTGATGCCTTCGCCCTCAACATTGGCACTGACCCCTACACTGACACGCAGCTCAACTTCGCCTATGAGTCAGCCGCCCAGCATGGAATGCAGGTCTTCCTCTCCTTCGACTTCAACTGGTGGAATGCCGGTCAGGGCGGTGCCGTCGGCGCTAAGGTCAGGCAGTACGCGAGCCGCCCTGCACAGCTAAAGGTTGATGGTAAGGTGTTCGTGTCCTCGTTTTCCGGGGACAGCGTGGATGTCGGTGCCATGACGGCGGCGGCCGGTCAGGATCTCTTCTTTGCGCCGAACTTCCACCCGGGCCAGGGGAATTTCGATGCTATTCAGGGCGCGCTGAATTGGATGGCGTGGCCGAATAATGGTGAGAATAAGGCGCCGACGGCGGGGCGCACTGTCACTGTTGCCGATGGCGACCGGTCATATGTTACTGCGTTGAAGGGGAAGCCCTATGTGGCGCGTAAGTCAAGGGACCACCGGTAGCGAGGTTATGTCTTGGGCTAATAGAGCGACAGCGGTTTCACCATGGTTCTCGACGCACTTTGGCAGCGAGGTTTCGTACAGCAAGAATTGGGTCTTCCCATCTGATATGCTTTGGTATGACCGCTGGCGGGAGATCCTGGCACTCGGCCCGCGTTTTGTGGAGATTATCACCTGGAATGACTATGGCGAGTCGCACTACGTGGGACCACTCTCATCGCCGCACACGGACGATGGTGCCTCCAAGTGGGTGATGGATATGTACGTGTTCTGTGCAAAACTTTTCTTCGAGGTGTCGACTGACACATCCCCCCTGAAACAGGCCGCACAGCGGCTGGTTGGAGATGGCCAAGCCCTTCATTGCCGCCTACAAGGCCGGCGTGACCGTGGCTCTCCCCTTCATCCACGAGGAGAAGCTGGTGTACTGGTACCGCCCGACTAAGAAAGATCTGAACTGCGACGCCACCGACACGACCATGTCAGGCAGCCCCAACAATGCCAGCGGCAACTTCTTCGCTGGCCGGCCCAACGGGTATGAGTCCATGACCGACGAGGTCTTTGTGGTCGCCCTTCTCAAGTCCCCCGGCCGCGTGACCGTGCAGTCCGGCGATCAGCCCCCCAAGACCTTCGAAGCGCCCGCAGGCATCAGTGCGCATCGCGCCCCGATGGGCATCGGCCAGCAAAAGTTCACCGTCACGCGGGGCGGGCAGACCATCCTGTCCGGCACCAGCCTGAAAAACATCGTCGACACCTGCATCTGCGGGATCTACAACTTCAATGCGTATGTGGGGACGCTCCCGCCGCCAGCCACGATTGACCGGCTCCAGCCCGCTGGGCTGACCATGTTGTCACAGGGGCTGAAAGCTGCCTGCCCGATCAATACCCTGGGTGCGAGCACCTAGACACATGTCACTTGGAGGGACAGGAATGGGGGCACCACCACCCGTCCCTGGTTGAACTAGTGCAGGACAAGAGTAGGTGAAATTGGGTGATATGGATATGAGGAACTTGGTATGAATTCGCGCAATCGGTGCCCATCTGTACACTACAAGCGCTGGTCGTTTCGTGTAGTTACCTCTGTACTATCTATTACTTGCAACCTTCATAACCTCACAGCTCAATGATTCGTATGCTTCCCATGATCGGGCCTGAGCTCAACTCAAGTGGGACCGGGCTCTTTTCTCGGCACTCGTTATCAGCGAGGTGGAACTTGATTATAACTATTTACGACAGTCTACCACTTCCAATTCTCCGGGTGAAGGTGCCAGTCATGCTCTCTGCTTAGCTCCGCCAGTCCATGTGCGACATAAAGAGACTCTGACCAATCAAGTTTATCGATAATTGGCCATCCCCTTCGGAACCCCGAAATGTGACTGTAATCCGTTAGTATATATTTCCAACGCTTTTATATAGCATGCCTGGCATACACATCGCCCGTGGTCTGATCAAAGATGATCTTCGAGAGTCCGGGCTCGTCTGGTGCTACCCCACACCTAACCATCTGTCTTTTGATTATATCAGTATCCCCTCGTCTACCTGCCTAGGATTTGCATAGACTTACTCATAGGCGGCACGGAACTTAAAACGGATATCTTTGCGTGCGATGTCATCCAAGCCCCAGTAGAACTCCTCTGTCAGAGGCACCCCGGGGACCTTCTCCCACACAATGTATCTAATGTAGCCGCCAGGAAGAAGGTCGTGCTCTCCCTGTGTACTTTCTGCGTGGCCAAGGAATTGAGGAACAGCGGCACAGCGTCCAGCTTGCAACAGCTTAAAGCACTCTAGCTCGCCACACACTGGAGGAGGAACGGCCTGTTTAGTCAGTGTGGCGTTATCAGCATCCTCCGTTCCAGTGATAGGAATCTGTTGGTAGATACGCATAAACGCGATCTGCTTTGGGTCCCCTACGGGATGGCACAGAAACTTGCCAACAGTCTTAGCTGTCCCGTGGCCCATCTTGAAATCGTGTTCTGTAGCAGGAGCTGCCTTCTCTGCGAGTTTCTCTGTGATAACCCATGTTTGGGAGAGCCCTGACCAGGCACACACGAGGGTCATTGTGGAGCCCGCCTGAGCAGAGGGCGTGGCGCGGGAGGTCGTAGCTGGGGAGTTCGTAGCGCGAGATGGATCGGGCTTGGTGGCAGAGACGACGAGGGAGCTAGGTTCTGGTGACGGACCATCGGAGAAATCGTTATATGTGGTGACCGTAGTGCCGACAAGGCCGCGGATTAATCGAGCATCTAGATGGATTTTCCGACATGAAGTGCCATAATGATAGTTGCAAAGAGGAGGCTTTAGAAAAGCAAAATAGCTTGAAACCATAGGTGTCTAGCTTGGGGGAAGAAAGAGTGAGGCATAATTATCTACTGATGATATACATGGTCATGTGATCCAATGACGGAGATCTCCATCACCATCCTTTCGCTGGAAAACCAAACATATACTATAGCGATGGACCAGAAACATAGTTGGCTTGCATTGCGTTATGTGCAGTGGACACCCACTAGCACCTCTAAGTAGTATACCAACTCCCAGACTTACACGATGTACAGTACCATACCCATTCGTCAAAGCACATGCAGTCTACGTAGCTGTGGAGGAATTAATAATAAGCATAAACAATCATCCGTGCACGTACCAGCTGCAATCTGATTCCAACGCCTAGCATACCGTTACCAGGCCAGATTCTTCGAGTGGTTGGGGCGGGGGTTGTTTAGATTCCAAGTTCCATCATAGCCGTCCTCGCTGCACCACCACATAAACAATCCCGATAAGCGATAACGATAGCCACTGATAACTCCTAATTCGTTGCTTTATCGCACCGCGCCCGAATCAGGTGTATACGGTGGCGTCGAGTTCGGCATGCGAACCGACACAGTGGACATTGTATGTCAATCGTTAGTATGGGAGTGGGAGTGGCTCGTGTTCTCAGCGGCCTACCCCCTATTCAACCGGCTCGAACACCCAGCTCCGAGCCCTCCGAGCCCAGCGGGACCCCTGGGCCCACCAGGCGCATCCACTGGCTCGCCTCTAAAAATATCCCCCAATGGGCCCGTGCTGGCCTAGCGCAGGGCTGAATGCTGCGCCAAAGCGCGCAACAAGGGCTTCTCTGTTCCAATATCCAGGTGCACGTTTCATAGTAAAACAATTGCCGATGCAGTGCCGTGTTATAGTGGTGATAGGACCGGGGGCCGCTGCGGTTGACTGTCTTGCGCAGGGGCGCAAGGCCAGCTTTTTCGGGACGAACGCCGTAGGGGCTCCACGGCTGAACCCATCGTCAGGCCCACACCAGGCAGAGGTTGAAAGGCGCTAGGGAGGTCATCGCGGGGGATAATCGCACACCATAATATTACGGGTAATTTTGGGTATTTGGGGGCCCACCAGGCAGGATTTTTTAATTCTACACCAAGAAAGATCGCAAATAAGAGTCCAAGTGGTAGTGGAAGATTGTTAATAACAGTAATTAATAGTTGGTATTCAAAAGGGGGTCAAGAGGTATAAAAATGGTATGTATAGACAAGAGGAAAGAAGAGAATAGTAGACGAAAAGAGAATAGAGAACGGGTCCCAGAGTGGGAGACGTGTCGTGCCCCAGTCCAGACGGAGGGGTTTTGTGACGTATACATGCAAATGAGAAAAGAAAAATGGCTCGAGGCGTGTCTCGTACAACATATGCCGTCGCACAAAGGAATCCCATATTAGAGAAAGGGAGAAAGAAGAGGAAAACTGTCACCACTGGCGCCGTGCAAAACCGTGCCAAGTCAAATGCTATGATGCAACAAGATAAGGGGCAAAACCGACTGGCGGCTGTCTTGACGTCCAAGATGCTCCAAGAACTTGTCTTGCGTCAGACTGTTGTATCCAAAGGGATCGAAGGGGAAAAAAAGAGATGATTCGTGTCCAGTACATCGGTCGGTTATAGGGAAAGATGGTAGGTGTAAGTGATTGTTTTGGTGATCGATGATCGGTGGTGACGACCGTGCTTCGGCATTCACCAGCCAGGCCGGTGTGCGAGTCAAGCGGAAAGCCCAATGTCGGGTCGCGGTCGCGCGCTGGTATTTGACCAGGACGGGTGGTTGCCAGTGTTGGCCACCGGCACAGGGGCACGAGAGCGTGCGTGTACCTGTGATGCGGGCGGGTGGACCCGGCGCGACCGTCGTGACTCCGATCGGTGAGGTGTGTCCACGTTGTCGTGGAGTGTGGTCGAAGGCGGCCGGTCCTCATTATCAGCTCAATCAGCTGGTGAGGATCAACGGGTGGCCCTAGATTTGGATAGAGTTGTAGGAATCCAAAGGAAAACGATCTTTGGGAACCAACAATGAAGGATATTAGAGGTTCGAGTAATCGTAGAAAATGGATTTATCGTCCACCCGGTGGTGGATGATCAGGACCCGAGTTTCCGTGACCTCCGGCTCTCTGCCATCCGGAGTCAGCTTCCTCGCGGGCATCGGCGTGCTTCTGCTCCTCGGGGCGGCCCACGAGGCTGCGAGGCAGAATGTTTTGAATCTCGGCAGCAAGGGCGGAGGCAGTGTACCCGCGCAGCTCGCGCTCTTCACGCTCGTCTTCCTTAATGAGGCGGCGCTGGTCAGACTTGGACATGTTTTCGCGGCGCTTTCGGCGAATCTCATGGATCGACCAGAGAACGACCTCCTCGGAGGTGCGGTTGCGAGGACTGCCGTGCTTGGAGAAGTTGCGAACGTAGCGGCGGGTCACATCGGTCGCGCCGTCGATGGAGAAGGCGACGCAGTACGAGATCTTGCGGCGCCATCCTTCGGTGTACAGACGAGGCTGGTCCCAGGCCTCCTCGCACGCATCCACGTGTACCCAGCGACGTTGGTGTTCCGAGTACACCTCGGTCCAGACATAGTCCTCGGAGTTCCATACCCAACGGACGCGGGCACCGACCGCCCGACAAAGCATGCTGAAACAATTGGCCCATTCGCCAACACGGCCACGCCGGGACTGCAGCAATTGCCATACATCGGAGTACCGGGGGAATCGTTCATAGGCTCCGCAACTCGGCTCGGAGCATCGGTACAGCTCGACTCGGGTGGCGCCACGGGCGGTCTCGTCGGGGCTGGGAGGCGTCATGCCCTGTGCGATGGTGGGCATGCGGCACTGGGAACATGGGGGGTTGTTGACGAATTGGAAGAAAGATCGCTTGAACCACCTGCGAAACAAGGGATGTTAGTATGGGAGGGAGAGACGAGGGGGGTGGGCAAGACTAGGGTCTGTGGCGGTCTCGAACGCACCTCAACAATGCCCGAATCACACAATCCTGATAACCCCATTCCGGCTTGCCTCCCACGCTGGCGGCCTGGGCTTGCATGATCTGGGACTCCTCCTCGGCCTCGGCATACAGGCGATCGAGAGGAATGGTGCACAGGGCCTCGTCCAAGAGACCCGGGTTCTCGTACTTGGTCGGCGTTACCGACAATCCCTTTAACAAATTGTAAAACTTGAGCGAGGCGGTATCATGGGGAGGCGAGGGCATAATCGGCAAGCCGCGGACGGCTGGGCTGGATGGTTGTGGTTGCGAGGCCGGGCGCGCTTCGGTGCCAAGCGAGGGAGGTGGTGGCGGCGCTCGCGAGGGAGGCGGAATCGAGTGACCGGCGGGAGGAGCGGGCGACTGGGAGTCGGCTCGCAACCGAGACGTATCCTGCAACTGGTTGAATCGCTTGGTGCGCATCAACTGTTCAAACTCGCGGCTGAGCGAGGTGGCATCGTAGTTGGTGGTCAAGCCCGGCTGCGAGGCCCGGCGATGGGGTCTGCCGTCCGCCATGGTCGGAAAGGCGAAGTCACCGGCGGCAGACGTCGACGGGATTTACTCCAGGGTGAGGGTGAGGGCGTGTCGACGGATCAAGACGTCGGAGGAGTTGGTCGAGAGATGAAGGGAAGTGAAGAGGGCAGAGGATAGAGGAGGAGAGTGTAGAAGGAAGGGTCAGTAGTAAAGAGGGCCCTGGGGAAGGTGAACGTATGGTGGGCCAGGCCAGGCTGGGTGGGATACTGCGTATTACGAGCGTCGTCAGCCTCTCGCCCAAATCACGGGCCCCGCGCCCAAGCCGCGTGTGCCAGGCGGGCCAAGAGAAAAGACCCTTTTTCTCGTAATTTATCCTGCACACGTAACCAGATCAGTTCCCCTACAGTACGGTAACTACGGAGTACAGGACTTCGTATTCTGTCACCTGTTAGGATGTGGTTAGGGTCTCGGACTCGTATTGTATTTACAGGCTGGGCAGACCACATCACCGGAGAGTCCTTGGGCGAAGGCTTGTACAACGCTTGAGTCTTCCGGGCACGCTTCTGATTCTTCTCTTCTCCTCGTACCTGACTCGACGGATCATGGCTCCATCCGCCTCGGATCCAGCACCAGAGGCTTGTTGTGCTTAACTTTTACCCCCTCGATGCCCGTCCTGGTCCTCAGCCAGCACCTGCGCGATCTATAGCGTTGTCGTCAAGATGGAAAGTATGAGGTGGCTTGAGCGAAGATCTCGAATGATCGTCCCGTGTCTCGACTTGTCCCAGAGGACGGGGCAGAGCGCACACCAGCCTACGCGTTCGAAGCCTCTCCAATTTCCTTTCGCAGGACTTCGATGGAGCTGAAGCAGCACCTGTGGCGGAGACGCGCAAGCATCCGTCTTGGCAGCCAGTACGATCGGGCTAGAGCCCCGTTGGGGCTCCACCACCTCCCTCTCCGTCCTCCTCTTCGTCGTCCTCTCCTTGGACCCGCTAAACTACTTCGGACCATGCTGACATCCATGCTGTCGTGGTCAACCACTGAGCTCAGCATTACGCCGCCCGTCAATGGCTGGCCCGGTGGACCCTTTCTCCCCCAGGGGGCTTGGCACTCGAAGGCTTCCGTCGCACTCCAGAATATCCTGCCTGCGCTGGGTCCTGGTATGGTCCAATGTTCCTGTCGATCGGGATGCAACCAAACCGGAGATCGCGAGCGCTGGTCTCATGGACGGGCCTCTGTCATTCAATTATGGTTGTGGTTTTACACGTCCACGCGGTCGATGAGGCCAGTGCATGTACGGAGTACGGGTCTATCCCTTACTCTTCCCGTCCTCGTTTGGTGGTTGACGCAATACCCAGCCCACTCGATCGCCAATCACCGTCGAAGGAAATCCTCCGAACGGTCCAAAGACCCTGAGAAGCTGAGGGTCAATCGGGTTCAGGGTCGCCCCCCATAGCAGTAACAGTCGTCCGGTTTGCAAGCTATCGCTTCATCCCGAATACCCACCGACACGTCTCCCACCGTCCCCTCGTAATAGCACATGTACCCAAGTGACGACCGTCTGTCTACGGTATACTGTACTATACAGAGTACAATGCATACGCACTTGTCGGCACTCCCACTCAACCCAGGCAGACTCCATTGATCGTACGGGCACGCGGGTAAGAACCTTTCATTTTTGTGTTTCCCTTAGTTTGAACTCCTTTTTCCCCTTTTGGCGTTTAAACTGGAGCCGCAGTTCGCCGTTCGCCCCGACTGTCGAGTCGGTCGCAGTTCCGCTGATCGGCCGACCACCAACCCATTCGACCCAACAACCTGACCCCAAAGACGCGTAGCTCGGTCAGTGACCAACTGATTCCGTCGCTAGCTTCTCCATCCTCACTCGGGCAGCTCGGGCATCATTAGCCCACGTTTCATGCGTAACCCACAGCCTCGAGAGTGGCTATGCAGCAGCTTACCTATTTTCATCCCATCGCCGTTGCCCGGGGTCTACATAGCTCATAGCCCATCGACCATAGCGATAATCCATACTATATATGCACTGCCATCCCAGCGACCACCGTAACCATCCTTACCAGGATCTTATAGTCGGTCTCCTTGCTCGGCAGGGCGGTCTACTGAATCACGCCTAGCTCCGATGGCGCAAACCCCAGGCAATTTCACGCAAAACAACCGGCGGCTTCAGTAGGGGGCCAAACTGCCAATTTTCAGCCTCGGTGACTCAACCCACCGGTCCCAGCGTATTGGTGCTCGAACTACTCGCTACAATACGGAGCTCACGATTAGTGGTATGCCTGCTTCGTTATGGGCCGACTAAACAACCACAAAACAGCGTCTGATGCGGCGTGACTGACCGGGTCGTGTGGGATTCGTCTGCGACACGCAGCATGCAAGGAACCCGCCTCCTCAATATCCACGTCCTCGGGGTGACGAGGGAAACGCATGCCGCAAGATGACGAAGAAATCAAGCTGCCACTGCGGGATAAGAACTTTAGCGCCGGTCAGCTCGGGCGCGTCGTGCCGAGTACCCCAGCCATACAATGCGCTCTCCCCACGCCAAGAGGCCAAGAGCCATCATCGTCGTCACTGCAAGCATGGGCTAAATCCTAAGGCAAAGGGCACTGCTTATCCCTGGGCTTCTGACGTACACCAGGCCATGGAGTTCATCACCCCGTCTAACATGTATAACATGTACTGTAAGTTTGCCTGCCAAGCTCATCTACTTTGCTCCGCGTTCCATGGGTAAAGCCGACGCCCATGGCACACGCCTTGGCACAACAAAAGCAACGATTCTCGTGATTCGCAGGGCTGGGCATTGCGTCGCCCTCACCGCGCATCCTGTCGCTGTTTTTCTCCTCTATCCTCAGCCAAGGACCCCGACACGTAACGCAGCGAAGATGATGTGCAGAGCCATCGCGTCGCTGCAAATCCTCGGCCTCGCTCAGACCGGCTCAACGATGATCAAGCGACCTTCGCTTTAGCCCGTCGAACCTGAACCCGAATCCGCATGAACCGTCATGACGTATGGAAGAGATAAACTAAAAAAACGCATCCACAAGACAGCGGTGACTCGACGGAACTTATTTTGCTAGTCCGATCCACCAGCTCGCACACTACCGCGCGTTAGCTCTGCGCTTCCGCGTCACCCACCACTAGACTCCAGGAGTCCGCTGGCCGACTTACGTGCGCCCAATTTGAGATCTGAGTTTTGGGCCCGTTTGCTTGAAATGTTTCCCATACGATACCTTACCTGGATCTGTCCTCGCTGTCATGTCCAGGCGTTTACGTGTCTGCGCAACCAGTGGATCGACCGTTGATGAGCCTTGCGGGGCCGTTAGCCTGGGGAGTTGCTGCCGTGACTGTCCTGATTAGGAGCTGGTCATGTCGCTGTTGACCTATTTCTGTACTAGCTTGGCTCCATTTTTGAAGAGATGATTCAGAAGGAGTGAAGAAGCTGCATCAGCAGCCCACTTGCGGCCGAACTTGGCCCGAGCACGGATGTTCCTGGTTGATAGGAACGAAAGACTATTTTGGTTGCCACGTCTTGGGAAAGGTTCGCTCGTTGATAAGCACGACTAACCGTTGACTGTGGATTGACTAGCAGGATTTGCTACTGTGCTGCTCAACATTTAGGTTTTGGGCTTGCTGTTTATACGCAATGTGCCAAATCTGGCGCGCTATTGAAGTCCGAAGATGTTGGGTTTTGCCTGGTCTTGTTGCTGACTCGTCATCGCCTTATCCTGGGCCCTCGCCTCCTCTTTTGGCGTTCTACTATCATAGATGGGGGTTTGAACCATTAACGGGCGGCGCCATTGCTGCGTCACTGCCACCTTCGATCTGATGTATGATACCAAGCTGTCGTATGTAGTTGTGACTAAACAACTTAGTGGGTGGATCGTGGGCTGCTTAGGAGAACAGCATCGACGTGTCGGTGCACTCCTGTTCGATCTCCTGTATGCCGTCCTATTAGACTATCTGATTCTCATTTCCCCCATTTTTCTCTCGGTCCAAGCGAGGCCGAGCTGGGCTCGGGCACGCCGAGTGCATCACATCTGCCATGGTTCTTGTTCTTTTGCATACGCTGTCTGCGCAGACTGTGCGTGAAGGCGAGCAGATCATTTTTCAGTGTCGCCATTCATTAACGGGGGTTTTGAAAGAAACACCTAATTTGCCTCTCAAGTTGCTCCTTTGTAACTTGAATGACCTCACGACGTAAACAGTCATTCATATCACATCTATTGATATACTTGAATAGACTTTTCTTCTTCATTACTCGAGTGTGCAAGGCTCATCTGGGAGAATTGAACCTCTCCACGGTGGCTTCATGATTTCCACTATAAACACCAGATCACGATCGTCCAGGGACCCATTCGAAAAGACTCCGGTTGGGCTGCTAGCCAGGGGACACATGAGCTCGCTATAAAATACGTGGACCGGCCACAGGCCAAAGGGATCCCAAGCTTGGAAAAAGACACCAATAGCCCCCGGGGGAGCCATACACACCTCACGGAGGCTTCAACCAAAGGGTAGTCAGCAACCTCGGCAATCCAGTATCGCCACAAAGATGATCACGCAACCCAATGGACCATATCTTTAGAGAAGAAAGAATTTCTAGAGAGGCCCAAAGCTGCGGGAGACCCTGGGAGGATACAGCAAACTGAGGTACATGCTCGCAACTGCCGTCGGGCAGCCATCCAGCGGGCTGGTGATTCGGTCATATATAAAGCCTCGCTAAAACAAATTCGAGACAAATCACGATTTCTCCCGTCCAAAACCCCTCATCTGACAACTTCAGACGGCACCGTTTTCTCCGAACTCCCTCAGCCATCGGCCTCATGCATCCCTGTGCATCGCGGGCGATAATTTTCAGCGTCAAGATTCTGGCAGTTCAATACGATGACTGTCTTCATCGCTTCTCTGTGAGCGGCATGCCTTCCCGCGATTTAGATGCTCAACCGGCTCATATTGACTCTTCAGGTTTCTACCCTACACCATTGACTTCAAGACTGCCGGTCTGAAAAGCGGTCGTCGCAAGTCTTCGCCCAGCCATGGTGCTGTCGACGGCTCCAACTCCGGTCCCATCGTCGGTCGTCTGCCTCGCCTGAGGTCTGGCAGCTTAGAGCTGACCCCGGGAGCGACGACAGAGGACGAGAAGATCTTCAAGGCTTACGCATCACAGTCCGCTGGTGAAATCCCTATCGCTGATGACCCCAACGGACCTGGTCCCAGCGAGCCTCGCGCGGTGCCCTGGGGTCACAGTCACAAGTTTAATCAGCCCCAGTCGAAGGCAGCCACTCACCCAGAGCCATCCATCCTGAGCCGCCCCGCTTCACGGCAGGGATCAAGGGACACTTTCATGGATGGTGCGCCTATTTGGCCGACAACAGATCGGCAAGGAAGTCCCCGTGCTTTGCTTTCGGCCGTTGACTGGACTGTCAAGGCCGCAGAACAGGGCCATGGTGGCCTGCAAAACGCCATACATGCCGCCGAAGAAGCGGGGGTCCTGCTGAATAAGATGTGGGTTGGAACGCTGGGCATGCCAACCGACTCCCTAACGGAACTGACTCGAGATGTCATCGATGAGACCCTCAGGGATGACTACGAGTCCCTAACCGTGTTTGTGGGCGACAGCGAGTTCGAGAGCCATTATGCTCATTTCTGCCGCTCGGTCCTCTGGCCTGCGTTTCACTACCAGATGCAAGAAAGTCCCCGTCATAATGAATACGATGACTACTCCTGGAAACAGTATCTCAAAGTAAACGAGGCTTTTGCCGATACAATCTCCAGCCGCTGGCAACCAGGGGACCGCATCTGGGTACACGACTACCATCTCCTATGCTTGCCCGCGCTACTAAGAACGAGACTACCTCATGCAGAGATCGGGTTCTTCCTGCACACGGCGTTCCCCTCCTCAGAGGTTTTTCGCTGCCTGAACCCACGGGAAGCTCTACTGGATGGTCTCCTTGGTGCAGACCTGATTGGGTTTCAGACTGAAGAGTACTGTAATCATTTTCTCCACTCTTGCAGTCGACTTCGGAGACTGGAGGTCTCAGTTGATGGGGTTCAAGTCAATGATCGATTCGTTCGTGTCAAAAACCATCCCCTGGGGATCGACTACAAGTCACTCAACTTGCTGCGTCAGTCGGTTGAGGTCAAAGACTGGATCACCAGTATCACCAATCGGTATAAAGCAAAACATTTGATTGTTGCCCGAGACCGACTGGATGCACCTGGAGGAATCAAACAGAAGCTTCTAGCATACGAGCTCTTTTTGGAAACCTACCCTCAATGGCGAGACAACGTATGTTAAGACCGATCCCTCATACCGATCAGACAATGCAAATTTAACGTGGTTAACATAGGTGGTCCTGGTTCAAGTTGCTTCCTCAGCTTCTGAAATTCCAGAGCTAGAAGCCCAGGTTTCAAAAATCGCAATGCGGATCAACTCAGTCTACTCAACTCTCACACATCAGCCCCTAGTCCTCTTGCAACAAGACATTAGCTACTCACAATTCCTCGCACTCCTCAGCGTCGCTGAAATCTTCATGGCCACCAACCTCCGCGAAGGCATGAATCTAACAAGCCATGATTTCATTCACTGCCAAGATGGCGAGTTAGCATCGCAACAGCATGGATCCTTGATTTTGAGTGAATTCACCGGCAGTGCATCAATATTCCATGGTCATGAGCTTCTCGTCAACCCATGGGACTACAAGCAGTGCGCTGATGCCATCACTAAGGCGTTGGAGATGTCCCAAGAACAGAAGCAGCGCAACTGGCAATTTTTGCTCGATCGTAAATCCCCGTACACCGCGCTGGCCTGGTACTCAAACCTGCACTCCGCTCTCACAGACTCTCACAGCTTACAACAGTCTCACCATACACATGCCTTCTCACCACTCCGAGTGGATGCCCTCCTGAAAACTTACAATGCAGCCCAGTCTCGTCTTTTCTTCCTTGAAGACGGCGCCATATTCGACTCAGATACAGCAAACCCCCCTGTCGAAACCACTGACATCTTGCAAAAACTAGCCCTTGATCCGAAGAATACAATATACCTGACCAGCAACCGCAGCCCGAATCAACTCGAAATAACAGCCAAATCACTCCCGGATCGGATTGGCTTCATCGCTGAGAATGGCTGCTTCGCCAGGCTTCTCAACACCACCGAGTGGACAGACCTCGTTGACGTTGATCGCACCGGTGACTGGCGCGCTGCTATCAGAAAGGTAATCGAGTACTTCCACGAACGCACGGAAGGAAGCAGTATCGAAGAGCACCGGTGCTCTCTGACATTTCATTACGGTAATGCTATCGACCCGGACCTTGCCGCTCGCCGGGCCTCCGAGCTCGCTGATCAGATTAACGGTGCGCGAGGCAGTGAGGCTATTCGTGTCGTTCGAGATACCGGTGCAGTCAGTGTTGAGCCCTTGTATGCGTCCAAAGCTGTTGCTGCTTCTATGATCCTGGACCAAGGATCTGGCGAGGAGTTTTCGGACTTTGTCTTCGTGGCCGGTAGTGCGCGAGGCGACGAGGCTTTATTTCGGTGGGCCAATCGCTTGACGCGTTCTCAGCCCGCTTCATTCAATCCCCTTAGTGTCGCGGTTACGACTCTGGACACTGGTACGCATGCTACCGAAGCTAGGGCTGTCTTGCCAGCTGGATGGACCCTGTTAGATGTGCTGCGGTCACTGTTGACCACAGATCATGCGAAAACTGACTGACAAGCATCAAAGCTCCTGTGTTGCGATGGGAATGACTAGGCCAGAGGTGTCATTTTTTGTTGTTTTCTCTCCCCTTCTTATTTGTCCGACATTTCCTTCGATCGGTGGCCTGTTTACCTCTGAGACGAGCACCTCTCATGAAAACACACGGCCCAGGAATACTGTTTACTATAATTATCCCGTGAATGGCATGGAACGGATACACAAGACACTGATGTGTCGTTGAGTTGTGCATCATTAGACTGCAGGCTTATTTTTTGATGCATTTAAATTGTTTTTAATTCATTTCCGTAATCAATATCACTATCTCATGCAACGAATGATCCGCGCAAACCCGTAGAACGAGAACGAGAACGAAAGCCCAAATACCAAGCGCATATATCGTCGACAGGATGAGAACTGGACACCGTGGGAAACAGATACCACTCTAGAATAATAGAAATGGACGGATACATAGCGATGAATAAGGGGGCAAACCAATAAAACATTAACTTTGGCGATTAAAAAAAGATACTCCGGGTAAAAGGAAGATGTTGAAAAAGGTTTATTGCGCCGCGCCCAATGACGAAGTGAAGCGGCAATACTTCAAGAAGCGAAGATATTGTATCTGCAATGGACCGGCCAAGATCACAGTGAGGTCAAGGCGTACGAAAGCGACGTGGAGCGAACGAAAGGTATGGAGTCGGGCAGGCGTGAAGAGCCGACCTGACTGAAAATCCCCGGAAGATCAACAAAAACTGAACTGATGCGATGCACGTGTGAATAGAGAATCCTGGGCCGAATATAGAACCAGAGCCGTGAAATTGGGGGAACATGAATCGTAAAGAGTAGTCCGTAGCTGGTAAACATTGCTCTTCCCCGGTTGCTACCTTGCCTGGCCTGTGCGAGGTGGACTGTAGAGGATGAGCAGCCAGTCACTCTTGACAAATAATGATGATGAACATGAAACGGTTCCAATACGAAGTGGTTGATTGTTCAGCCACCGACATTAGGGTTTTGGTTGTAATCTTTGGACGAGGCTGAATTAGTACCGGCCGAGATTAGTGTCGGCGCAACACGGCGCTTCTTCGGTTGCTGGTCCGCTGCGGTTGAGTCGGGACCCTTGCTCTCCTCCTTTTCGCATTCGCTGACTGTAGGTGCGTCCCGCTTGCCTAGAACACTGGGAAATCCACTGGCAGTGCTTTGCTGCGAGGTTTGCAAAGGGGTTTGGGGTGGCGTCGTAAGAGGAAGAGTGGAGGGTTGCGAGGAGTGTGTTGCTGTCACCGAGGGAACAGAGCCAAGGGTCGGTGTTGGGTTGTTGACCACAGCTGCAGACTGCTGCGTAGATGATTGGGTCGCGACTGAGCATGCTGAGTTAGACCGCGCAGGGCTGGCCGGTGGTACCTGGGCATTGCTGGCTGTCGCAGGACCTCCGGTGCTCGTTGGTGCGTGGGTCGGTTTCACAGGTGATGGGGCATGTGTCGGAGTTGGCAGAGGCGTGACGTTTGTCGAGGGGGTGTTGGAACTAACTGGGTTCGAACCAGTCGAGATCGTACCCGTGTAGATCTGACCTAACTCTCCCGGAGCAAATGAAAGGGTGGAACAGAAACCATCAGAAGAGCTCATGATCAACGTCAACCCATCGTTGGCCCTGTTTCTCGTCAGAATCAGATGTAGAATGTTCTCAAGTGATGCACTTACCAAGTTAAGTCGGTGAAGGTGGCAAAGTGCAGGTTGTTCACAACACACAGAGGAGTCTGTTGCTGCGTGTCATATACCAGAACGGCATCTTGTGTGGCAACAGCATAGACGATGCGGTAAGGAAGTGCAAATACTGTGGAGGTTGAGCTCTGTCCAGCATCATTGCCCTTGTTCTCGGTGGTCTTCGGTGATGCCTGAATCTTGGGTGCATCGCCACCTGCCTGGTTAGAAGATGGCGGGTCCATGGGAGGCTTGCTTGTAGACGATGTATTCGAAGCCACGATAGAGTCCGGCAGAGGCGGGAACATCGCCTCCCCCCTGCTGATGTGTCTACAGTCATGTTTTTGACCGGCTGCGTACCCTGCTTCAGGGTATAATAGATTGGCGAGCACTTGACCGCTACCGACGGCTTCTTGTGACCAGGGAGGTGGGCGATGGGCGGCTTGTTGAAACCGGCCCGTGTGTAGACGTAGACGGTGTTGATGATCTCGTCGGTGGTTTTTGAAGAATCGGTGGCTGAGACATGAGAGGTCTTATATTGGCCAGCCGGTGTGAACAAAAGGCTCCCATCAGGTGCAAATGTTAGTCGTCGGAAGAAAGATGTGAAAGTTTCATTGGCATAGATGCTGGCATTCTTAACACCAAGGCCTCCAAGAAGGCTCGGGGAGGAGACCTCTAGTGGCTTCACAGCGGGCAGTGGCAAAGATGGGGCGGGCGACGCGGAGCGTCGAATCGACGGGGACGAGCCAAACGAGGAACGCCGACTGTGAGAAACTGGAGGAGGATCCATTGGCAGGTTAGAAGCCATTGGGGTTCCCGGTGTCGATGGAGCAGGCGAGGCAATAGCAATTGAGTTGGTCGAGCTCTGTTGTGGCCTGCTGGTCGGTTCTGGGGCAGGGCTGCTGGAGGAGATGCGCTTGGCAGGCAGATCCATCTTCAGGATCTTGCCGTGGGGGGTCAGGGTAAATTGACCATCCTTAGTCTTCAAGCTGTACATGTGAACTGATCGATCGGATGATTGAGTCGCGACAAATTCATTGTGCGGATCCCACGCGACACCCTGCACATAGTGGGAGTGCTCTGCGATCTGCCGTACCATTTGCCCTGCGAAGTCAACCGTCAGCTTTCGTACTTGGATCAGTCCGCTGGTACCGATAAACCAACCATTTTGAGCATTGTAGATTCGAGCAATATTGTCCATGCTCCCTGTAATGATAAAGACTCCATCGGGTGACCAGGCCAAATCGTAGATCTCGGCACCGGATGAGCGGCACATGTGCTTCACCCGCCAGCTCTCCTTGTCGTCCGACCGGTCCTCGCCAAGCCCAGGCTGTGTTTGCAACTCAGACGGTACCCAGAGCAACACATTACCATCGTCTCCGGCGGATGCCAGCATCTCACCTGTGCCCACGTCAGATTAGTAACGCCCAGGAGCACTTCCGCAGGAGGGGAGCTTATACCCTTCGGACAGAATCGGACCACATTGACAGCCTGCGTATGCTTCACCAGTGTACTCAGATAAGTCACCTTTCGTTCCTCCCCAGTAGATTCAACGCGCCAAAGCTGTAGAGTGGTGTCAAACAGGAGTACTTCAAAGCAGGATTGTTGCAGGGACACGGGGGAAAGCGGAACGTACTCGAACGTTGTTGTCACTAGCAAAAGACGGTTAATCGAGGCATATTCCTCCTTTGGAGAGTGTAAACACTTACTTTCCAGCGGTTGCTAGTCGGCCCTTGCCATTAGGATCAAAATGTACGGAATAGATGGGGGCATTGTCGTTGTGCCACGAGATCAGCACCGGGGAGGCCTTCATGATGCCAGCCGCAGCTCAGCGAACTCGTCCTGGGTAGCCACTGATCTTAAGAACGAAGAGAATGCTGGATGGCTTCCGGCTTCCACGGCGGGTTCTGGAGGTTGAACGAGATCTCCCCCGTCTAGGCCCGTTGACGAGGGGGTTCGTGTATAGCCTGTGGAGGGGGAAACCAAGGAGAGATCGGTGCGAGTGAGATTGAACGGGCCGTGGGGTGAGAGAGTTGCAGGAAAGAAGGAGGTGGCAGAGGGAAGGAGTTTGGTGGAAGGGCGAGAGAGTCTGACGATGATGCTTCGAGTTGTTTGCGCGGGAACGCGACCGACGGCCGATTAGATACGGAGGCCCACCGCCAGTGAAAGGCGCCCGATTTTACACCACGAGACACGATTGGCAAGGCTCTTTCCGCAAGAACGAGACCAGCGAAATCTGATTCTGCCAATTGGAACAATTAGGATGGCCACCAACTGAGTTGATTTTGTTCTATGGCTCCCGTATTGCCAAGGTTTGACTCGGAGAGGTTCCAGTGCGGAGAACCTAGAGCAAAGCAAGATATATAGCTTGACCAATAAGTGGGCAACCCCAGAACGCCCCATTGCCATTGCCCAGAAGATAGTGATAATTACAGTAATTGAATCATAGCTAGAATTACAAAATGATCTCAGCTTTGCTCCATTATGAGACCCATTTTCCAATTGTCTCTCCGAACCAGCTGACGGCTCTCTCCCTTCTCTTTGCCCGGGCGTCCTCCTGGCTCTTCATGAACGGACTGGCCTCCTCGACATACAGCTTCTGCTGTTCCAGCTGAGCATTGTGGGATCGGATCTCCAGTTCACGTTCGTGAGGAGTGAGCTTGACCAGAGGCTTGGATGGCTTGAACCCGGCTGGGATGGCCTCGCCGCCGGGGATTTCAACCTTGGCCCCAGCCACCCCGAGAGTATGAGAGGCCTTCTCGGGACTGAACAGCGAGGTGAGAGGCGGTGGCTCAACTCCAGCTGCCTTTGCATCCGCCACTTTTTTCTCATAGTCCACCATTTGGTGGTAGAGCTTGTCAGCGTGCATCTGGATCCGCTCCTCCTTTTCAGCGTCGTAATCGAAGGTGGCCGCGTAGCCTAGGGCCTGGAGGAATTTCTACACAGGTATTAGCATGGTTCGAGCAGTAGATCCGATGTTCACAGCGAGATCGAGGGGCACTAACGCTCTGGGTCTGGAAGCATCGCGAGAAGGTGGCATTCTCCGCTGAGCACATCGTCAACCGGGACTCGATCTGCTTCTGCCAGTTCCCCGTCTTGAAGCAGAAGGTCAAGGCCTCATGTTCTAGAGCACAATTTTCCATCGCCGCCCGCTGCACAGTGTCACCGCGCTCCTTGTACTTTTCAACCACCCGTTCCGCTCCGCGGACCCCAGGAGAGCTATCGGCATTGCTAGGCGGCTTGTAGGTCTTCCACAGATCGGCATAGCGACCATCCTGGTAGAGTGACGCAGCGGGGACTTTGGGTTTCGACGACTCGGCCTCTTGTGATTCGGGCGATTGCACAGACGAAGGTGTAGGGGCCGCTTGCTTCTCACCAGGCGCAGGCACGTATTTATCCGGCGTCTCTTGCTCAAGGAACTCCCGGAGGCCCGGGTCAAGATTCTTGACGGGGTCGTTTTTGCTGTTCCCCCAGAACCAACCCATTGGTACGTGATTGTGCGACGATAGAGGGGAGAGGGCGTGGAAAGGCGATTCTTCAGAGCGTTGCGGAGAAATCGGGACAAAAATGGATCGGCCCCGATGGACTCTGGGCCCGACCGCCGCGGTCGTCTCTGATTCTCCAACATCAACACGACGCGTCTATCTCGACGCCGTTCCTCCACAATGGATTCCAGTATGTGCAGAATAATACGGAGTAAGGGGGAAATGACCTTCTGACAATTTACAGCGCGAGAGGAGCGGCTGCAAATGCGACAGCGCGGAGCTGGGTACGCGCCTCTACCCCGCGAAACCATAACATAGAACGTGCAGCTAATTGCGGGATAGGACGCGCAAAATCAAGGAGGTTGATTTCGGTTTTTCCTTTGGAGGCGCAGCGATTGGACCTTCGAATTCAGCTGCGGTACCTCTTGTCCCTGAGCCGAAAGAACCGTCGCAACCTGAGACCGCGCCGACACCTGCAGCATCACCAGCGTTGAAGGATTCACAAGGAATTGGCAGCGTACGGCGCACACCGGGAAGCGCGCGCAATCAACTACCCCAGCGCCCGTCAACATACGACATACCTTCTGACGACGGACCTGCACAGTTGCGTAGCAACAAGAGGCGGAAAATCAGTACGTTATGGACCAACGGTGTGCTAGCCATCAAAAATAGGAGCCTTCTACTAATACCATTGCCGTAGGTCCTCCAAGCCAAGACGATGGCTCTCCTTCGCGTCCCAAGACATTGCGCGCCAGAAAAAGCATCTCCATCACAGCTCAGAATGGCGACACAGGGCCCGCCACAAGAAATCTGCTGAGCGCCTCCATATCAGCGACCGGACCCGAGACAACGCACGATCAGACAATAAGGGAGGTAAACCAGGGTGCCAACGGCGTAGAGGTGGACCTGACAGCTGCTTCTGAGCCGCCACAGAGCGGTCCTACGATTCCTGACCGCACCCGGCCATCTAAGGTCCCAATACGCAAGACTCAACCAGCTGTTGACCTAGCCCAACCTACCCGGCCATCCCTCGAGAAGAGCCGTAAGAGTGGGTCACCACAACAAGAGGAAAGTCCGGCGAAGAGGCATTCGCAAAAGTCTACGCCACCGACTATCCAGGAAGACGATCAAGCGAAGACGAAGGGCTTACGAAGGCGTGGCGAACTGGCCGATGGTGCTGAAGCTACTCAAGTTCAAGCTCCGGCATCGGATGCCAACGCGAAGAAGGGACAGGAGGACAGCGAGCTTGCACGAGATACTGCCACGGAAGCCGAAAACGACAACCAAACAACGCAAAGGCCATCATCCCGGGATGGGCCCAAGTCCAAGCGTGGCCGGCCGCGCAATGCTAATAGCAGGAGCTCTCCACCACAACCCGCCGAGAATGTGGCGACGGAACCAGAACGAGAGCCGGAGCAGCGCAATGAATCTGTGCATGCCACCTCTCAAGCCCCTTCGGAGAAGAAACGCCCCCGTGGTAGACCGTCGCTTGCAAAGAAGACGGTTGATGCAACCGTGGGGGATGTGATACCGGAGGCTGAATCCGCAGCGCGAGACGAACCTGAAAATGCCCCATTAGAAGTGCCACCAAAAGCCAAACGCCTTCGCGGTAGACCGTCCCTTGCTATGCAGACGTCTGAAGTACCTGAGATTGAAGGTCGGCCAGAGAGCTCAGGCATGTCAAAGATTGCCGCAGGCGAGTCATCTACAACGGCGGCGCGCCCAGGCCGCAAAGCTTCAAAGAAAAGACAAAAACGACCGCAGCCAGAACCAGAACCAGAAATGGAACCCGAGGTACAAGCTAGTCAAGAGCTGGACCCGCAGCCAGGAGCAGATGTACAGACAGAGACAGAGGCTGGACCTCCGAAGTCTCGGCGTGGTCGTCCTAGCAAAAAGGCCATGCGAGCTGGAGGATCGGAGGCGCCGCCCTCAGAAGAGCAGCCAGACACCGACGAACCACCAGAGCCACGCCGAAAGACAAGAGAAGCCCGGGGAGAAACCGTCCCTGTTACCGTTCATCGTCTTGCGAATGCTTCTGCTTTGGGTGCTATGTATGCTTCCGGCAATGGCTCCAGCGACGAGGAGGAGGGCTCTGCCGACGAACTCTCGACCCGCCAGAAGACCAAATTGCCCAACCGCGGTGGAGTCAATCCAGCGGATGTGCTGAGTCAAATCTGTCGCGAGACATTGGAGAAAACTCTCAACAAGCTCAAGGTCGGGATCGAGAACGAGACAAATAACCAAAAACGCGCCGAATGGTCCCGCAAACGGAAGGCTGTGGAAGCGTTTGGCTTGGAGCTGGATAGCCGTCTCTTGGACCTGAGTGAGATGCTCGACAGCAACTTCGTCCTTGGCATGCAGCTCAAGAAAGCGAAGCGTGATATGATGGATCTGCGAAGCCATCTGTACAAGGTACGGAAGGAGCGCGAGAGTATAGCTATACAAATGGATGCGGTGCGTGCCAAGCATATGGAAGAGGAGAAGGCAAAGACGGTATGTTTTCTTTTTGTGGTTGCAGTTATTCGAATAAATTACGTGACAGAACTGACGATAGCCATAGGCTCGGACTACCATCAACAACTCGCTCCATACCGTTGAACTCGCCCTCGATCGCAGCCAGCACCGTGCTGCGCCCAGCACAGAGCTTTCTTCGGCAGATGTCGAGTTCATGCTTCGCACCGTGGCTGAGGATGTTAGCTGTCGGGCCCCTGGGGCTCAAGGGGGCCTACTGAACCAAATCCGTGCCTTCAACAACCAACTTGAAGCGACTGCGCGGCGCCTGGAGCAATCGTGATCTTTGTTCCTGAAAGTTTGTCTGGAGTCATTTTTGTCGTTCATCATTCGTGATACCATGATACCAGTTTGAAGCGAGTTAGCAATCGGGAATAGCGTTTTTTGTTTGTACACCCCAAGTCAGGTACTACGTGATAGTTTAGAAGTTTGAGGTTTAGTCATTCTCAAAATCGGCTTGACCAATACATAGTTGATGACTATTTCCTAGACCCACTGCCAAGGCCTTAGTGCAGATCAATTATTGAGCTGGCCACGTTAAATTGAGAAGCACAGGAAAGTATGCATTGTATAGTATGTGTGTATTGGTCAAGCCGGTTTTGAGAATGACCGAGAGTTCACGTTGCTTGACGGATGATTAATCAAGCTCCGTCCATCCGCGGCCCGAGTTTGTTGCGTTTGCTGGGCCCCGAAAGCACTATAATTATTAATCACGGGTGCAACCTTGTTTTTAATTGGAAGCTTCTAGGCGGAGTTAGGGAGTTATTGTGGATATAGGACTCCACGTGGAACTCTGTGGAAGAAAATTTGTACGGAGTAGGCGGCATTAGAAATGCCGACTCGGAGACTTCCAATCGCACGTTTCTCTCCTTACTATCCCCATAATAATTTATCCAGTACCGATCATTTATTATGGTTCACTTGAGTATAATGGCGGGATTAGAAATCCCCCAGTGGGCCTGGTGGCTTTCCCACCGGGCAGGGACTAAAACCTATATAACAGCATCGGTCGTCTTATTTCCATTTCGATAGCATTCACTCTACTCCATCAATTGGACGGCGCACTTAATTGATTCTGCCATTTTCCAATTCCTCTCCCACACTCACCTTAGCGGCTCAATTCCCCATATTCATCGCTTCTACCTACTACCACTACATCCACAATGACCAAGTTGTTCACCCCCATCCGCGTAGGGCGCATGGAGCTCTCCAACCGCATCGCCATGGCGCCCATGACCCGCTTCCGCGCCGACGACAGCCACGTCCCCCTCCCAATGGTCAAGGAGTACTACGCACAGCGCGCCGCCGTGCCCGGCACCCTGCTCATCACCGAAGCCACCTTCATCTCTCCCCAGGCCGGTCTCTACCCTAACGTGCCCGGCATCTACAACGACGCTCAGATCGCCGCCTGGAAGGAAGTCACCGACGCCGTCCACGCCAAGGGCTCATACATCTACGTCCAGCTGTGGGCGCTGGGCCGCGTCGCAAGCGCAGATCTGCTCAAGGCCTCAGGCTTTGAGGTGGTCTCTGCCAGCGACATCCCCGCCTCCGCAGACGCGCCGACCCCGCGCCCTCTGACCGAGGAAGAGATCCAGGCCTATATCCAGGCCTACGCGCAGGCCGCGCGCAACGCGGTCGCAGCCGGCTTCGACGGCGTCGAAATCCACGGCGCAAACGGCTACCTGGTGGACCAGTTCATTCAGGACGTGAGCAACAAGCGCACCGACCGCTGGGGCGGCAGCATCGAGAACCGCGCCCGCTTCGCCGTCGAGGTGACCCGCGCCGTCGTGGAGGCTATCGGCGCCGACCGCACGGGCATCCGCTTCAGCCCGTACAGTACGTTCCAGGGCATGAGGATGGAGAACCCGCAGCCGCAGTTCGCGCACCTGGCGCGCGAGCTGGCCCCGCTGAAGCTCGCTTTCATGCATCTGGTTGAGGGCCGTATCGCGGGCAACACTGACACCGAGTCCGCCGATGAGCTGGACTTCTTCCTGGATGCGTATAAGGGCGCTGGGCCTGTTATCATTGCCGGTGGGTATCAGCCTGAGTCGGCGAAGGAGGCGGTGGACCAGAAGTACAAGGACCATGAGGTGGTTATTGGATTTGGTCGGCCATTCACCTCGAACCCGGATCTGCCGTTCCGCCTCAGGCAGAATATTCCTCTTGTGCCGCACCAGCGGGACACGCTGTATTTGCCCAAGGACCCCAAGGGGTATACCGATTGGGCGTTCAGCGCTGAGTTCGAGAAGGTTGCGGAGGCTGTGAAGGCTACAGCTTGATTTTGGACGGACGGTCCGGAACTTTTGTCATTTGTTGATTTCACTGCATAGCGTTGCGTCTTTCTTCTTTAGATTAGATTAGATGGAGAGATTGGAAAGTATAGAGTTATTAATTTTTGCAATGCTCTGGAATGATAGTGGTACCTCGAGAGTTGGACACTACTAGCCTGACCGCACTTTTGGCGCAATTCGGGAGGAATTCATAACGCCCAATTGCAGCTTTGTCGGGGTATTCAACCTTTTCGAGGTGCCACTTTACCTATGTACATATCCCCTCCTCTACTCAATATCGGGTATTTGCCTCGACAGCGGTCCTTCTCAATCATCAGCCGTACCCTGTGCAGGACAGCCTTCACTCGTCTCAAATCACAACTTGTACTATAGCCCCTAGTTAGCGCCCCGCACACCCCATCGAAAACTTAATATGGATTGATCCACTTACCCGAAATTCATGGTTGTTCCGATCTGTCAGATCCAAGAATTCGGAATTCTGCACATGCGTCTCGCCCGCATGCCGCTGATCCCGGCGTCGGTTCTCCCAGACATAGTAGCCTCGCAGCAGCAGCACAAAGATAATCGCCACTGAAGTGGTGGCGACAAGCGTAATCTTCGCCGGGATGTAATTAGGTTCGTCCTGCGTGCGGAACGTGAGCGGGCCCAGGATGTTGCCTAGGCAGAAGGACATAAGCATAACGGCGTTCATGGTGATTTTCTTCGTGTGTCCGGCAATGTTGGCGCCTGCGATGGAGTACATGATTGGGAGGGCCGATCCGGTCATTTGCGTCAGGTAGTTGCCGGCCAGCTGCGCGGCTTTCATGTTCTGGGGTGCGAATGCGAGGAGGCAGCCGCCGAGTAAGCCGCCGCTTAGCGAGAGGACAGCGGCGAGGCAGCGCTGGTCGAAGCGGGAAGCGAGATATGTCACCGTCAGGATGCTGATGATGCCCACGACGCCGTTGGGAATGTTCAGGAGCTCGGTCTCCTTGGTGGTAAACCCGATGTTCTTGATGATCAGGGAGGTGAAGCTGCTGATGGCGGTGTTGGGGATATCCATGGCCGTCACGATCACAGCAATCAACCATGTCTGCGGGTCCCGGAAAACCTCCACGGATTGGCGCCATTTGAAGTGCTTGTTCTCGATACCGGTGCGATTCTCACGCAGCCGTTCGATGGCCAGGACTTTCTCGGCATGCGTCAATCGCGAGGTCATCGGGTTGTCTGGGAGGAAGATGATGATGCAGATGCCGACGGCGATCGTGACAAGACCGAAGATCAAAAACATGATCTGCCATGATTTAAAGTGGTCACTGGTGTAGAAGAGCAGGCCGTATGCGACCAGCGCGCCCATGATGGACGCAGTGCCGGTCCCGAGATACCAGATGCCCATGCGTTGCGGCTGTTCGCTCCGTTTGTACCACATTGAGGTGATCAAGATCAAGGCCGGCGCAATGGCACTCTCGAAGCATCCCAAAAGTACCCGGAGTGTCATCAAACCTCCCATAGACTTTGCCGTGCAGTTGAGTGTGGTCATCAGACCCCACAACACGACGTTAAAGCCAAGGTACTTCGCGGTGGGCAATCGCTGCATGAGATACCCCGTTGGCAGCTCGAAAAATAGATATGTCACGTAGAAGGCCAGGGTGAGGTTGGAGAACTGGTTGGTTTGCATGTGGGTGTCGCTGAGCAGGCCCATCACGGAGGCATAGTTGATGAGCACCTTGTCCAGGTATTGCAGGTTGTACGCCGCCCACATCAGCGGCATGATCATCCAGTCGATTTTGCGAACCAGCGTCTTCTCGTTCACCTCCACTGCGGACCCGGTGCCTTCATCGCACAGGAACTCGAGCGCGGCATCTGCTTTCCCCTCTGGTAGCGTGCCATTCTTAATCTCGTACTCGACCGACTGTCCCACAACGGAGTGCATCTGCTCTTCCTCGGGGGCTCCCATATTGTAGTTGCCGTTCTTCAAGGTCCTGGTTCGGACTAAACGGATTGCTTGTCAATTTTGTCCAGGAATCCATCGGGAGAATTCCCAGTGCGAAGCTGGCCCATTTCAACCTCCAGACACAACCCCACCTCCGGACAACTACCGTGATAAAGAAGCATTCGACAGGCTTATCTGCCGACCACGGCCATCAGTTGCAGATGATAACGCGAGCCCCGATACCTCTTCAAGAAGCTTGTTCCCAGCGGTACTATCAACAGCGAGCGGAGGTGCGGGTTATCCCGCTCCTGATAGCAGCGCACAGACAGATCGGCCTATCGCTGGGCTGCATGGTTGGCTGGCCATCTCCCTCACCAGCGGGGTGAAGGGTTCTCAGGAGAACCCAGATAGCACATTATCTTGCTCTGCGAAGGTCATGACAGGCTTGTCGGCTAAGCTGTTAGACCTGATCGGGAAGGTAGCGAAGAATAGGGGGCCAGGGGCAGAGATAACTGCGCTGCAGACCCCGCAGCTTGCTTTGGGTCTGCTTGGGGTAAGCTTGGGGTTATGGCATATCGGGATGAAGAGAAGGCTAAGGTCCGGTACAGATAACACACAGAATCGATCAAAGCGCGAAGCTCCAGGAGGCTGCCAATCGCAGATGCGGACTCGTGGCGGCTGGAAATGAAGGTGCTCCTGATAAGAGCAGAAGCGGAGCTGGGTAGCCCCAACGTGAGCCCGTGCCGCGATAGCGACTAACAAGTCCTTAATGCAGAGAGAAGAAGCGCATCTAGCTATCTTGTTCCCCGAGATTGGTTTTGAGGGCGACGATCCGAAATCATCGGGGTTTGCTCCCACCGACATCGGCTCGGTCATGGCAAGTCTGCCTCAATTTTGAGCGCGCTTCACCGCAACATGCCCTTTGGCCGCTGTTCCACTCGACCGTCTCATTCGTCGCAGCAACCCACGTGGAAGTCCCGATGCATCATGGTCGATCCTCATCCCCAATGCTCTGATCACCGCACTCCATCGAAAGCGAGCTTTTTGCGGCTGGTCCAGGGTGAGAGGCTAGTGCGGCAACCGGGGAACTTTGGCGTGGTGGAGGGTCATCTAGCTTGATCCTGGTCCCCCTAATGGGTCTTAGCCGCGCATATTCTTCAAAATTGAGGCTCAGATGGAGTATAGTAGAGCTGGGGCTTGCATGTAGCTAGCAAGAACCGTAAATTTAGCTCCTTGGGCCGGCACTTGCGGCGCTGATCCGACCCGCTTGGATGACTTTGATGCACGGCCAATTTGGTCTCGATATGCATCTCGTTTGGGATGCACTGCAGCACTACCTTGCAGATTACGCGCATTTACTCCTTTTTCTTTCCTCCCCCCCCCCTCCATACACTTACCTCCAGTACTGCGCATATATCGTGGCAGCCCAACAGTATTTGCACCCCAGTGCTCCGTACGCTGCATCGTGACCGCCGTTCCTACACGACCTACGTACTTCTCTACACACCACAGCGCGCTGCATGTTTATCAGAATACCACAGTTCAGCGGATAACAACATCTACTACTATAAACGAAGCGTGCTGTACATAATAGTAGGTACAGTTGAATAGGGATAAGAGGTTTCGCATTGCAGTAGTTATACCTATTCAGCAGAAAATTAGTAAGCACGGGGGCAGAAGTAGGGTGCAAATAACTACTTGTGGTCAGTGACTGACCATGTCCATGTCCACACTCTTACAGCATACCCCGTACTCCGTACAAGAGCGCAATTCCACGTTACCTGCCCGCATCTCCACGAACTCTCACCCCAGTCTCACCCCAGTCTCCACTGGAGACATTCTCCCCAACTTTGGTTCTGGGGGTTTCCCGACGGCTACGGACACAGGGACCAGCCAGACCCAAAGATGACCGCCGAGCAAAGTGGACCCCGAACATCATACCCGAACTCCCTTCCGCTCCGCCGAGCCGAACGCAGCAAGCCAAGAGCTGCGACGGCTACAACGGGCAAGCGAAAACCCGACAAACGTGGAAAAAGCGCGTTCCAAGGGTCGCGGGTGTTCTTCTCCAGAATCTGGTCCGCTTACACTCCGCACTGCCCGAAACGTGGGGGTTGGGGGTTCATCCCCGGTGGCGTAAGCGTAATTGGCAGGCGTCGCGTCTCCTAGACTCAGACTGCGCCGCAGCCGAGAGTTCCGGAGCTGCTTAGCTGATCACTTTCGGCCGATATGACGCGTCAGTACAGTCCCTCGATTCTGCTGACGTCGTTTCGGTTCAGGAATCGCGGCAGCCTGAGCCGGATTCTGGTTCGTTGCGTCGCCCGGTCGGGGGGCGGATTCCCCGCACGAGGAATCCGTCAGATGAGCAGAGTGCGGGGACGGAATCTGAGGCCAGGGGAGGGCGAGTATCCACGATGATTTGGTGGAGGGCCGAGCTAGCGGGCTCTCTTCGCTAGTCCTGCGAAATGGATCGTTGGTGTGTTGCCGGGATCGTGGGATCGTCTCGGCACAGGGCTGAGCTCGAGCTCAGAGCTTTCCCCGCCCCATCCTGTTCGGGGCCGAGCTGCCACGCCGGGGGAACGGAGGGTGGGATCATCGTATGATGTGGGATTGGGGGGAGAGAGGGCTGGTGCCAATCCATGGGAGCCTGGCAAGCGTACATAGATTTGCGGATTTGCGGATTTGCGGAGAATGATGTGGTGGTGGAAAGCTTGCTGGGTGGATTGTGGCGGTCAGCGAGGATCGACAGCTATTTGCTATTGAGAGTTCACTATCGAAAGAATGAAAGAATAGTAGCGTCCTCTGTATACGGTACTCCGGAGTCCGGAGTAGTTCGAGATCTGGAGGTTGAGATTGGCATCCAATTTGTGATTATTGTATTACTGTGACTTGTACGGAGTTAGGGAGGGGAGCTGTGATGGCCGATCTTGTTGTGGCGGCGAGCTGGAGCTGGAGCTGGACCGCGGTACACAGCAAAGGAAAATTAACACCTCCAGCTGCCCATGAGGGGAATGTACGACATAGATATGTTCCGACCAAGAAAAACGCCGGTGCCTGAATCAGCGACCGGGCGGTTGCGTCAAGGCGAATCAAGGCTGGATGCCGCATCCTGCAATCCGTCTGGGGTACCGTACGGAGTACCTGGCGATGAGCTACTGTCGGATTCAGGATCGCGGCGGGCCGAACAGCCTAAATCCACGGTAGTTACACGCTACAAGGGGGTAATATGCAGTGTGCAGTATATTCAATTTCGTGGATGCGCGCCGACTGTAACACGTCCGACAGGCCCCTGAAACCAGCGCTGCAGGGCAGCACTTGCACGACCGCCTTCGCACCACTACCATCGTAGACTAGTTAGTACGACGCTGCTCCAAGCGAATTTTGATACCGTGGGTGGGGTGCTGGTGTTTCATTTCGTCAGCAAGCCACGCCGTGGTTGGCCTCGCCTAGAATGGTGGACTGGTATATTCCGACTGCTGACTACATGTGGGTGGCTAGCGCGCCACATGCATGCAGGAGCATGCGCATGAAACTCCATCAATCAGCACGGTGGATCAACTACGGCGTGCTCCGGGTGAAGAAGGGTGGAGCGGGGGCGGCATGAGGTGATCGCGCCAATGGAGCCTGGGACCGCATGTAACTGCTGGTCGGACTGGGCCCCGGCGTGATGGACAGGCCGCGATGCTGAGGTGGTCGGGCTCGTCTCCTGCTCTTTTTCGATGATTACCCATGTTTGCTGATGCGGCCTGCGCGATTGGGGAGGGCCTGCGTGGTCTGGAACGGTCAGGACACTCGTTCTCGTTCATGGATGGTTGTTAGCTCTGACGATGTGTCTGTTTTGGCTATGCGGTTCGTCCGTAGTGGGGATGGGGAATTGTCCGCTGCATGTACTGCATGTACGGAGTACTCGGTACCTCCTGCGATTGCCATGCCACGAAGTCAGACCCATCGCCTCGTCCCGTCTCCCCGGTGACCCATTCATATAAGCTTCGGAGGACAATGGACGGTGAACCACTTATCCCGCCCATGCTAAAAATGCGACGGCGTGAATCGACCTGATACGAAAGCCGTCGGTGTGCCAAATGGGGCCAGACACGGGCCGAATCCGAAGCGTGTTGAGACATTTCAGTTCACCGTGTGCGTCCAGAAGCAGGCGGGAACTGCGTCTTGTTTTTTTTGGCGTTGCTCCTGTGGAGTGCGGGCGACCTGTCGAGCCAATGCCACTGGGTGCGTGGGCTCAGCCGCGCACTCGACAATGGAGCCCGGACGCAGGCGCATCCCAGTGGCTTAGGCTTAGCCTTGTCCGCCATCTGCGAGTCAGCGGCCCGCCGATCCAACGAGAGGATGAGTTCCCCGCCGGCCGCGGCCGGCCTGATGGCCTGTCGCAGTTTAGCGGCGCTCGAAGTCGGGTTTGGTGCGACACGGCCAGCGACGCGCATAAAGTCTATTTGGGCACATCGAAATCAAAGCTTGGTCCGGTGCTGCGTTGCCTAGTCGCCGGAGATAACAGAGCGGGCGCGGCATGTCAATCAACGGGCGGCAGCCCTAGTGTAATGAGGATAATCTGGCGCAGCCCGGCAGAGGGGCCGGCACGTTTGAGGTGCCGTCTCCACGCGGTATCCAAGGTCGGCACGGTGTGCGCTGGACTTTTGTGGTTAGCTAGTTGTTTAGTGCTGGGCCCATGCCTCGAAAGACCCGACCCAAAAAAGGGGCAGGAGAACAGACAGGCGGACCTGGACTGGTCCTGGTCTGTGTTGAGTTGCATGCGAGGCAAAGACTAACGCACTAGTCCAGCAGACTAAGCGCTGGACTGCTGCATTGTGATGGGTTCCACCACCGGTGTGTAATTTGCTGTGGGGATGCCAAGCACAGAATACAGTATTAGCCGGCTGATCGCTGTTGTTTTGATGCTCGAACCCCACAAATTGCTGCTTGCGGCTTCGCCATGGCCAGAAATTAATAATCTGCCAATGGTCAATTAGCTAATGGCAGTAGTTGGGAGGGGACTTCGTACTTTGTCCTCTGCAGTCAACTTAACTCGTGTGTACCGTAAGTATTTCGTCGCGGTCTCTTTTATGTATTGGATTGCTGGGGCCGAGGTCCTGACGCAGTCAACTCTCACGATGATCCTCCTCTCCTCCTGGCATGCAGCCTCCACTTGGATCATATGGATCAACAGCCCCCGCTCTGTTCGTGATGCGATTTACCCCGGGGTCCCGGGCAGGGGCAAAATTACCGTTTCAGTATTACCCAAAGATACCGGCAGCGGAGCGTCACACTGTAGACACCAGGACCCTGAGGACCCACATTCTCCCCGAGCTGCCTGTGGTAATCCGAGTGGTAATCCGAAAAGCTGACGAAAATCTGACGAAATCCCGTGCCTCAAAAGGCCGCGGCAATGATGGAAAAGAGGGCGGTGCAGGTCCCTCCAAACTCTGTTGAACATACTGTCCATTCGAAGTAGAGACTGAGATCACTGCCAGAGGTCCGCTGCGCACGGCAAGTCGTGCTGGAGTGCTGGAGACAACCGGTTTTTCCCCCGTCGTCCATAACCAATGAGATCACGCCTCATGGCCGGTCCCCGGATCCTCCACCTCGACCTTCCCCGGGCTTCTGTTGCCCATTTGCCATGCCAATTCTCAGGTCGTTTCCATCCATCCCTCCGTGACTAGTGAGAACAAGCCCGCACAATAATGCTGGCGGGGATTGCCCCCATACCCCACCGAGTCATATCGTGTACTGGTCCCCATAGGAATTGACCCTGCCTTGCCATCGGTGATCCATACTGGTCCATAGTCAGCCAATCCGTAAGGTCGCTATGCTCGCACCATTGGACCCCTGCTCCGTCCCGTCTCGCGGCTTCGGCGTGTTCGAGAACACCCTTGACTAGTCGAGGGGTCTCTCCTGGGGCACAGCAAGGAGATTGCAAAACCATAGCGCTCGTCTTGCATCATATATGAACCCGGGCCCATGTTTCGGTGGGAGCAGGGGAGAGGAAAAAAAAAAGACCGTTTTCCTTCCTTTCCACTCTTCGCACTCCGGTTCTCCCTTGTTTTTTTACTTGCTTTCCCTTCCTATACCGGGATTTCCAATCTTCCATCTTCTAGTGCCCACTTTTTTCCTTCCAATTAACCTCCGTTAGTCCTAGTGGGACTGGTCCAGCGGCTGCACATCATTGCGGTTTATTGAAACAACTGAGCAAAGCGGGTAAGTCTGGTCGTGGGGACTCCACTTTCTTTTCTGTGGTTTTTTTTCCTTTCGTCCCACGGAGGACGGTTCGTGTGTTGGGCCCCTGTTCCGGCTGAGCGGGTTTAGTGCCAGCTCCGAGGTCATCGAATAGCTGAGAGCTCTCCCCCCCCCAGAGAGGAGCAGAAGGCTGCATATAATAGCTCCGGTGGCACCTCCCCTCTGGTGGCACCCTCTCCTCTTCTTTATCTCTTCATCTCTATCAATCCTGCCCAGCAGCGCTGATTGGCTCTTGATTTGATCGCTTTCTCCTTCCCAGATCCCTAGTATAACTGTGTTATATCAACCCGGGATCTTTTTTCTCTGTTCAGCGAGCTGAACAATTCGTTTGTTGTTTGCCATACTTTGCAAGCCCCTCATAATTCTGAACCGTGATTGTCGACCCCAGTGATTCGCGATCAAGATCAACATGTCTGTCGAAACCACCAACAACGGCGTCCTGGAGAAGGATGTGGACACTGCCGCCCCCCACGCCGTCGGCAGCGACACCGGCGCCCCCGTCCAGCCGCAGATGTCTGCAGAGGAGCATGAGGTGGCGCGCGCCGCCGCCCGCTTCGGCTATGGGCCCTTGGCCCAGGTCAACACCGCCGAGGCTCGCCTCCCTCCGTTCGGAGGTGAGTTCCAGCCCGGTCTGTACAAGCCCGTCGAGGGCCGCAAGTTCGCCAATCCCGCACCCCTCGGCCTGTGCGCTTTCGCCCTCACCACGTTCGTGCTGAGCGCAATCAACATGGGCACCCGTGGTCTCACCGCGCCCAACATCGTCGTCGGTCTTGCTTTCGGTTATGGTGGTCTCGTCCAGCTGCTGGCGGGCATGTGGTATGTCGCAAACCCCTTCTCCCGCTGACCGCAATTCGCAACCCACACGTTACTCACCGTGATCACGCAGGGAAATGGCTGTCGGAAACACCTTTGGTGCCACCGCGTTGTCCTCGTACGGTGGATTCTGGATCGCCTTCGCCATTGTGCTGACTCCCGGCGGGTTCGAGATTGTGTCGTCGCTCGAGGCCGACGGTGGCGCCGACTTCTTCTATGACTCGATGGGTCTGTTCCTGATGGGCTGGTTCATCTTCACCACCATCCTTGTCTTCTGCACCCTGCGCTCGACCGTCGCCTTCTTCCTGCTGTTCTTCTTCCTGGATCTCACCTTCCTGCTGCTCGGTATTGCGTACCTGGTCCGCACCGACGGTGCCCCCACCGTCTCCATCCAGAAGGCGGGTGGCTTCTTCGGCTTCATGGCGGCCTTCGCCGCCTGGTACAACGCCTTGGCTGGTCTGGCGGATAACAGCAACAGCTTCTTCATCATTCCGGTGGCCCACTTCCCCTGGTCCCCCACTGGTCGCACTCGCCGTGGCAAGACCGACCGCGAGTTGGCGTAAATTCGTCCGCTTGGAATGGGTCTGATGGTGGAGGAAAGGACGCGTTTTGTCGCGTGTAATGTGATGATACCCCCGGTGCTTGTACCATCCTAGCTGCAGGTGCAAAAGTGCAAGAGTTCTTCTTAATCTCGGGTCGTGCTGGCTCGGTGGACGCGTTCGCTCGTGGTCGGTAGCTCGACTTTGACTGTTGGCTTCCATGTAGCTTTTGTCGTTTCGGGTCGGATGGTCGGATGATTGTGCCATCGGCTCGCATCTTCGTCGGGCTTCTTGGAATGTTGCTTGGCGGAGTGTGGGTTTGTAATGGAGGGGATCTTTAGTGGTTTCCCCCTTTTCCTTGTTGTATTTAGTCTCCTTGCCTGTGAATTGCGCACTTAGTTAATAATCCATTGACGTTATGATAATGAGTGTTCCGTGTCCCTGTTGTGTAAACGTACCTTGCAACATGATGCTGCGCATGGCGTCGCATGCCGCCTTCACTTGCGTGCCATGCGTCTGAGTGCTCGAAGGATTGGCGGGGCTCGACTGAGATCGATGAGCAGATACCCCCGATGGGTTTGCAACGTAGGAAGTGGAAGGTAGGTCGGGAATAATCGAAACCAAGTGATGACTGGAAGGTCAGATATCAGTGAAGAGAGACGAAATTCTGTACTCAAGGAAGACAGGCATGTTGTTCTCGTTAGCTATATCCGCACAGGCGCAATCGAATCTAGATGGTTAGTGTAGAAATCGATCTGCGGAACGGGTAGTAAAGATTCGCCAGCTGAGAGGGAGGATTCAGAGTAGATCACTCGGAGCAAAAGCAAGCTCAAAGGGCAGGCTGCATCAAGCAGAATGAAAAGTCCTGCACAAAAACGCAGCGGAGCAAAATCTGTTTGGGAGTCCTCGAGTGGTAGTGAACAAGACCCGGCCGCAGCCGGACTTATTTAGACACTCTCTTGTCCCTCAGTCAATCCATATTCTGGGCCCGCTCAATCTCAAATTGGTGGAGATGTGGTCTCATATGGGTAGGATTCTCTTCATGGCAAACAATAGTGTGTCACTTCACGAGTCTGCATCGAGAGGAAGTGATCTCCTGCGAAAGGTTAATCAACTCTATTTTTCAATCTTTGGAGGGGGAGCGGATGTAAATAGGAGAGCTTACCGAAGTGGGCCACGAACCCCGAGCACTTTCTTGCTGGATTTGGCTGGTTAGTGAAGGCACTGCCCCGGGGTTTACGATGGGTGCACAATTGAATGTAGTGAAATGAAACGACACAGAAAAAAGGGGAGCAGGATTTATTTAGGTCTTTCAGGGCTCTCAGTGAATTCAGTGAGTAGCTTGTTGCCCGAGCTAGCGCCGATATCCACCCGGTGCAAACTCGGGAGACGCTCGGCCTTCAGGGGCCCGGCAATTGCTCGGGCTGCCGGTGGAGCTCGTGCCTGAGTTGCTTGTTTATTCGATGTCACACTGCAATGGGCCGGTAGCTATCATGAGTTTCAAGGCATTCCGATATGATGTATGAGGTTCCTCTGATCATTATAATAGAAGTACGGAGTTCTCTCACACCTGTCGACCGGACCAAAGGGAGAGTTCAAGGGCTTCGGGCTAATGATTTACACGAGACGACCAGTCCTATCGCACCGGGAAGTCCGAGGAGCCCCACGATAACCATTGAGAAAGGGCTTATGTAACTGGAGATTCACGTCAGTACGGAGTAATAAATCTGGTGATGCGAAACGACTGTTGAAATACGAGTCATGCTGCAATGGCATGACTCAACGCCTCCTACCAGTTTCCAGTTTCCAGTTTCCGGCTGCCTCAGCCTAGGCGCGCAGCTCATCTTGCATGGTGATCAGTCTCTGCCCTAGAGGTCCCGCTCTCGTAGCTCCACTCTTTCAATTCTTCCCTTTCCCTTGTCCTGCTCCTGCCATGTAAATATTACAACGATACTGATCAAGAGGGAGAGCAGGAATGCTCATCTAACGCACAAATAATCGCTGATCACATGATTAGTAGATATAGTATAAATCGCGCCAAGTTGCTGAGAACCAAATGCCCGACACGCTTGGGCTATGGCAATTGTAAAGGTAGAATCCGTTGCATTCTGCTTTGGACTGGGCCGACTTTGTTCTGGCCTTGGAAGTGCCACGGTTCATTCACGGAAGGCCAACTTGGAGCCGAAACTGGTAGATGAGCGGTCACTTTGACTCTAAACAGCGTTGAAGGTTGAGGGGCTGTGCGATAACTATAGAACTCCAAACGTGGTGTAAGTTCCTGTCTATGCATCCCAAGTATCATCATTGAGAGTGACCTGGAAGTTACTCAGGTTTGAATTGCGACTAGCCGTGGAACTTGACTCTTTGTTGGGCAACCGATGCGGTCTCCCACCTCAACGCTCCATCGCGGGCAATCATGAATCCAAGAATTGCTATTATCGGCGCCGGCCCCTCTGGCCTTGCACTTGCTGGACTCCTCGAACGGCAGGGCATCGATTACGTGGTCTACGAGCGCAGCTCTGCCGAGACCCCACCTCGGGGCGGGTGCCTTGATATTCACCGAAGCAGTGGCCAGGATGCTCTGAAAGAAGCTGGCTGTTTCGAGGAATTCAAGAAATATGCGAGGTACGGCGATGCAACTATCCACTCGGTGTGGGACTATCAGGGCAACCAACTTTTCACCTTCGGAGAAGGTCGCGATTCACCCGAGATCGATCGAACGCAGTTGAAGCAAGTCCTACTGTCCGTGATTCCAACGGCCAAAATGCGTTGGTCGGCGGGTGTGGAAGCTGCCAACAGGAACGGCCATGGCGATGTTGTGCTGATTTTCACCGATGGGACAACAGTGTCCGGTTTCGATCTTGTCGTGGGCGCAGATGGTGCTTGGAGCAAGATCCGGCCCTTGGTAGGCTGAGCCAGTGACATTCTCCACGTCGTTTGGAGAGCTGACGGTTTGCAGGTGACCGCAGCCGAGCCAAAATACTCAGGCATCGTCTTTCTCACCCTCTTGATCCTACCTTCCCACAACTTCTATCCAACCGTGGAGCAGATAGCGGGACACGGGCCGATGATCGTCTTTGGTCGAGAAAAATTGATCTGGATTCAACGCCAGGGAGACGGTCACTACCGCTTGGACGTGGGATGGAAAGGGCCTGCGGACTTCCCTGTGGGCGAGAAGTTTGATATGGTGGATGAGAATGCTGTCAAAGAATTTCTCCTCCAAGATCAGCAATTCGGCTGCCATAGTTCTCCAGTCAAAGCAATGATTGAGGCGGCCACTGGACCGTTCCGAACGTGGCCATTGCACTATGTGCCCCCCGAGGAGCTTAACTGGACGTCTGCTTCCGGCGTGGTGTTGATTGGAGATGCTGCACATGTCACGACGCCGTTTGTTGGCGACGGAGTCAATTGTGCCCTGCGTGACTCCCTCGTCTTATCTCGAAAGCTCAAAGAGTTTGGCGTCACTCGACAGGCTGTTGCGAGATATGAAGCAGACATGTTTCCATATGCCCGTGATATGATCACAAGAAGCCTCGCTGCTGGGGAGCTATGCTTTGAATGGGACAGTCCGAGAGGATTTATGAAAATGATGGCATCTGACGAGCCTTTGGTCAAGATGAGCCTCGACTACTGAATCAGAAGAGATGCGCCCACCAGCTAGTGCCAAGCCTGCAATCATTTCCCATGTTCGATCCTCTCCACGTAGATTCTCAACAATAAAACTAGGGCTATCTTATGTGGCAGGCCATGGCCAAGTTTAGATGCTCCAGGCAGTTCGGCTGGGAAGAAAGTGGAAGTGGGAGCCTAACTAAAAAAAGGCATGATCGCCTTCCAACCCGACCTCCCCTCCCAGTCTATTCCTCCCTAGGAATCCATTGCGAGGCTCCACTCGCTGACTCGACCCAAGTGTGATGCCGAACGGGGGAACGCAAAAATGATGAATACGAGGGGATCAGCCTCGGTCTCGTAAGATCCTGTGAAGATGCATGCGAAGATAAAATGGCCCTCTGTCGAGATGACTCCTCTCAGCCTCCAAAGTGCCATTTTGGAGAACCACTGACACCATGAGTTCCCGTCCGACTGTGAAGGAGTCAATGAAATCCACTTGGCGCCGATGGGATCGGAGTCAGTGGACATTCCCCCACAAAGTCTTTGAGCACATCAACGTCTACCACGTCGACCTGGATCGCGAGGTCCCCGTTCACTCCAAACAAGATAAAGTGCCGTATGTCTCCGACTGGTCGATGAACATCTGGGTCATCGTGCACGCGGGCATTCCACTACTCCTCCACCAACTCTACGTGTACCTCACCGGGACCAACTTCGGGCCAATCATCGCGTTTGGGTTCTATTACTATGCGTCGCGGGTATTTACGACCCGCGAACTACGCAGCATGCGCGAGCTCGGGCATAAATATGGCTTTTTGGATGGGGACAAGCATGAGCGGGATGGTGTGCCGGATGAGGGCGTCTCGAAGGCCCTGACCTCCGTCATGCTAGCGGGCGCCGTGCGTCCCTTGATGACCGTCTATCTCACCTATCAGACAAGCAACGCGCCGATCTCATTGAGCTGGCAATGGCTTCCACTGGAAGTGGGCTTATATGGCATCGTGCTGGACTTTTGGTTCTACTGGTACCACCGCATCATGCACGACGTCGATGGGCTTTGGAAATACCACCGCACACACCACCTGACGAAGCATCCGAATCCGCTGCTCACGATCTACGCCGACTCGGAACAAGAATTCTTCGATATTGCGGGCATCCCCGTCATGACTTATATGACCATGCGGTTCATGGGATTCCCGATGGGCTTTTACGAATGGCACATCTGTCAGCTCTTCGTTCTGTTCGCCGAGCTGGCCGGACACAGTGGGCTGCGTCTCCATGCGTCGCCTCCCAATCCGCTCACATGGCTGATGAGAATGTTCCACGCGGAACTTGTGATTGAAGACCATGACCTCCACCATCGCAAGGGCTGGCGGAAGAGCCATAATTACGGCAAGCAAACGCGCGTCTGGGATCGCGTGTTCGGCACCTGCAGTGATCGGGTGGAGAGCGTGGTGGAGAATGTGGATTACGAGAATACACTATGGATGTCGCTGTTTTAGACGACTGGGCTGCGATTTGTGGGAATTTTGACGGATGCTTATGATGATCGGCAGAATGAGAGATGGTTAGATCGGCACCAACACCTCTGTCCGTCCGTGGTTGGTGCCTGCCCCCAATCCGATCGCATCATGTAGCCAAGTGCGCCCTCCGCCACCATCAAGCCATGGAATCCACTTTGGCGGGCCGCAACCCAGCTAGTGTCTGCCTTCCCCGCATGGGACCGTTCACGGCTGAATCGTGCAGCATCCTCCAGCCTCGATGCCTATTATGGTTTAGCTATTTCGGCCCTGATAGCATCATGAACTCCTTTTTACCCATTTTTAAGTTCTTCAGCGGACTTTCGCGGTGTGCATCTCTGGTTTGAGCCGGAAAGCATTGGTGGGACTCCTTTTTGCGCCGGTGTTTTAAAGAGCCCGGCACATTGAGTGTCGCACGTTTACCCCCATGAGAGAGCTGGACACAATGCATGACTTGAGGAGAATATGGTTCCGGATAAATTAAGATTAAGGGATAATTAAGGCCATGACCGAATCGATTGATTCCCCAGGTCGCGGCTATAAAATCCCACAGATCTCATCATTCTCAGTCCCGCATCACTCATCGTGCCTAGAAGTTCAAAAGTTCATCGAACCCAGTTTCCCAACACCTTGATCATGTTGTCCTTTACCACTCTAGTTGTGGCTTGCTCCACCGTGATGAGTGCCATGGCAGCTCCTAGTGCCATCAGCAAACGTGATACGATCACCAGCACCCAGACGGGAACCAACAATGGCTACTATTACTCCTTCTGGACCAATGGTGGTGGCACGGTCGAGTATACCAATGGTGCTGCCGGAGAGTATAGTGTCACCTGGGAGGACTGTGGTGATTTCACGTCTGGCAAAGGCTGGGCCACTGGGAGTGCCCGGTAAGCATTCCCCACCCGCAGGGTATTTGCTGCTATCTAACCGATCCCGTCTCGTGGGTAGAGACATCACCTTCTCGGGCTCTTTCGAGTCGTCGGGGAATGCATACCTCGCCGTGTATGGCTGGACGAAGAGCCCGCTCATCGAGTACTACATCCTGGAAAATTACGGCGACTCCAACCCCGGCGACAGTATGACGCACAAGGGGACTGTCACCAGCGATGGCTCGACCTATGACATTTATGAGCACCAGCAAGTCGACCAGCCCTCCATCTCCGGCACTGCGACCTTCAACCAGTACTGGTCCATCCGCCAGAAGACGCGGTCTAGTGGCACCGTGACCACGGCCAACCACTTCAATGCCTGGGCTTCGCTCGGAATGAGCTTGGGCAGCCACGACTACCAGATTGTCTCGACGGAGGGATATGAGAGCAGTGGATCTTCGACCATTACGGTTTCGTGAGCATGATGCTTTCGGTCGTCCCATGTGTTCCACGCATGCCAATACATTTTGTGGACCCATGGGATGTCTCCATCTACCCTTCTACTTAGTCAGTATAGCAGGACCGTGCTTCAAATAGAGTATCGAGCAGGAAGTGCGAATAATGCAATTATGGAAAGAATGTTGAGGCATAGGATATACATCGCGATGATGATTTCTCCGTTCCCTAAGATACACTATACCAAGTCAAGCAAGCTGCATAACAAAAGAAGCCACCAGGCTCATACCTTGACAATACCAAGCTCAAAAAGGCTCTCTGCAGTGGCAATGACTGCGTCAGCATTCGAGCGCGGTGTCCAGCCCAGCAGGGTTCTAGCCTTCTCGTTTGAACCCGGCCGACGTTCGCCCAACTGGGGAACCACCAGGGCAATCCCAGGATTGAAATATCCAAGCAACTTGATCACAAAATTCGGGATGGTGTTTGTCGGCACCTTCCGTGCTTTGGGGCCCAGTCTTTGGCGCAGAGTCACCGCAATGTCTTTGACTGTCATGGCCGGGGGTGCCATACATAGGAACCGTTCCCCCTTGGCTTTGGGATGGGTCATCGCGAGGAGATGTAGATCAGCAACATCTCTGACATCCACAATACCGAATTCCAGATGGGGGCACCCTGGCACGGCGCCGCTGAGCAGACGGATAATGATCTCAATGGAAGTGGAGGTATCCGAACCCAGGACAGGGCCCAGGATGGCGACCGGGTTCACAACAGCCATCTCCAGGCCACCACCTTCCCTTTCGATGAAATCCCATGCCGCACGCTCAGCCAGTGTCTTGCTCTTGTCATAAGCCCCGACCCCAGGCCCATCGACCTGGGTCCAATCGTGCTCGGTGAACGCCTGAGTCGGGTCCCGATGGCGATGACCGCCCCCGATGGCGGCAAAAGACGAGGTGACAACAACCCGCTTGGCTCCGGCATCCCGAGCCGCCCGTAAGACGCGCAGGGTCCCCTCGCGGGCGGGGACAATCAGCTCGTCTTCATGTTTTGGCGCCGCGGCAGGAAACGGAGACGCGACGTGAAGAACATATGTGCAATCGCGGACAGCTTCGGCCCAACCGTCGTCCTTGGTGAGATCAGCTTCCACAAAGGAGACGCTGGCTGGGTCTGAGGCACCTGCTGCCTGAAGCGTGTGAAGGACGGAGTCTTTGCGTCCTAAGGACCGGATTGTCGTCCTCACTTGATAATTGGCAGCCAAGCACCGGAGTATGCAGTGTATGCCGACAAAGCCAGATCCACCAGTGACCAAGACCAATTCCTTGCTAGTTGCCATGGTACCAGGAGCAGAGATGAAAAGAGGTGCTGCGCTGAGCTTTTGCTGGGAGGTGCGCTCTGACGTCTGCGCTTCTAAACGGAAGCACGGGTTGCTTATCGGATGAACGTTGTTTTGTGATCCGAATTGATCCTTTTGTTGCATACATAACTCAGGAGGCGCTGTAATCCGGTGGAATCTCGGCTAGGAAATACACTCGCCAAGAAGACCACCATGAGTCGACTATTCAGGTCCTTAAATGGATCACTAATGGATCACCACGCGGAAAGTACTTCAAACATGCCTGCCGATAACGTCAGGCACAGCACGGTGCATTGCGGCGGTGCGGGGCCTCTGAGCGCGATACCCCCGATGGAGTACGCTGTAGAGAGGAGGCCACCTGTCCGTGGACAGCGGGTTTCGGGTGACTAACGTTAACTAACTTACGAGGGTAGCCCACTTAATCATGCAGGACATTTTTAGGAAGTAATTATGACTCGGATGGGAGGGTGCGCTCTTTTCCCCTCCCCTCCCGTCCGACCGAACCTTTTGCCTTCCGCCTCACCCCCCCCCTGCTATAATGGCTGATTAGCTAGGCAGGTGTCCTTCTAGGAGGCATTCCAGGAATCCAGAGGTCAAGATTCGAGGAGAGGAGCTCAGAAGGCAAATCAAAGGCTTTGGCTCAAGTGAAGGATAGTAATATCATAGAACTATATCCAAAATCTGTTTCCTGGACACCAGAGTGTTGCCGCCAGTCCCATATTGAAGGGTGAATGGCCAATGCCGATCTCAAGACCCTCTATGATGCTACAGCCTTGTGACAAAAGGCTCGGGAGGAAATGATCTGAAAGTCATCATTCGTTGAGGCTCTCCTGCATAAATTACATATACCGATACCCACCCCTATCACACATGCACAGGAGTGGAGTATACTAATTACATTATTTTGAGTGGGGGTGGACGAAGAAGAGGGGTGAGCCCCAAAGGGTCACATAGTGGGTGGCTCCAGCCGCCCCTCGACCTCCTGCCAAACTTGCCTCAGCATGGGCAGGTGGACACGGTCCGCATAGAAGAAGCCTAGCAGGATGGACCGGCAGTCATGCCAAGAGGTCACACCGTGCAGCTGCGCGGCCGTTGCCAGCTCCGACACAAAAAACGTGCGCTCAGACGGCATGACCTGGCTACACGCCGCGCCTGTGAACAGCAGCCAGATCAAGAGATCACGGCACAGCGCGAATAGCCCAGACGGGATGGTCGCTTCCAGTGCAGCGCGCAGTGCCATGATAGGTTTTGGCAACAGCGGGGCAATCATGGGGTAAAAGCTCCAGATGGCGCTGTTGTGGAAGCACAGGCATGCCAGGCGTGTGCAACCCTCGATTGAGTTGTCACCTTTGATCTGGCCGGTGGGCGTGTACCGGTCCGCGTGCAGCGAGTACTCGACATACAGCACCTCGAAGTTGAAGTAGTCTTCCGTCTCGTCATTGAACTCTTTGTAGCCCGTGCTGCCCTTGATCCACTCAGCGTACCAGGATAGCTCGAGCAAGTCGTAGATTATTTTAGAGAAGGATTCGCTGAAGATTCCGGGAATTTTCATGAGCGGGATCAGGCGGGTTGCGCAGAGGGCGACGTCATCGTTTGGTGGGAGAAGGGTGAAGCCTGCAGGGCGGACGGACCGGACGAAGGGGAAGATTGGTTTGGCGAGGGCCATGCAGGCAACTCGAATATCCGTCCTATCGGGACGTTAGAGGGTTTGGTCTGTAAAGAGTATAGAGAAGGGGGTTGACCAATTAATCTGGAATCGAACATCGGAGGGGACATCGGCGAAATTCTTGCGCAGTCCAATCATCTGGCGCAAGCCAGCTAAATGGATCTTTAAATAATCCGGGTTGCCCGATGCAATCTGCACACGTTAGTCTCAATAGGTCTTGTCCTGTTCAGGTTGAACCCTACGCACCTCGATTGTCAATAGTGTAGACACCGCCGCAATCAACTCATCACTAGCACACTTGACCGGATCCGACAAGCCCTCATTTACCAAACGAATCGTCTCGCCCCGATGATGAAACGTATCAACCACAAGCGCACTGCGTGTCTGATTCGGATCTCGGATGGGCAGCTCGCCCCGTTGCATAGCCGCATTGGAGGTGGACATGCAGATCGTCGCGTGAAGAACGGCGGGGTCTCGCTGAATAAGAGCGGCCCAATGTGCCTGCAACTTGGGCTTATACCGCGTCTGCAACGGATGCGCTTCTTGTGTGAGATCCCATAAGACTGCCAAGTGATGTTAGTCGATAGATCAGTTTTCAATGATGGGGAGTGGAGAACAATCTGACAATTCTGCAGATGACGCATCATGCGATCCGTGAGCTGTGTGTGTCCAGTATTAAAGGGATCGTGGGCCCCCGGGCCCACCACGGTCCATGGAGAAAAGGATGATTGTTGGGCTGGATACCCCACAATTTCATCGTAACCACTACCGTCCCACGATTCATCACCCCATAAGTCCCCCGCCCACGCCTCTGCTGCGGCCGCCACGGGCGAGTAGTAGCCCACGGTAGTCGTAGTAGGAACCAATTCCTGCGACACTGGGGGTGAGTCTCCGACATGTGAGCTCTGTCGGCTGCTATCAGACGAGGAAGAGGGCGTCGATGCTGGAGGCCGGGGCGGCCCCATGGCCCCCGGGATCGTCTCCGGCGGCTGGAAGGCCAAGTGCTTCCAAGATTTGCCTTTATATTTCTTGGTATTCTCCAATCGCTTCTTGCGATTGTGTTCGGACATCACATGGGACCGGATGCGCTTCAGTGTCTCCTCCTTCGTCCCCGATGATGCTGAGTCTGGATCTGTATGGACCCAGAATAGCGTGGACTTGCCTGATGAGGCATTGGTGGCCTTCCGGGGCTTGCGGACCTTGGAGGGAGCACTGCGCTCCGTGGTGGTGGTTTGGGCAGGCTGCTGAGGGGCTGAACTGGAGGCTGAAGCTGAAGCGGAAGCGGAAGCCAGAGCTGCGGGCCGAGGCGGTGCTGCTACGGTTGTAGTGGGACAAGGAGACATGGAGGTTGTATCGGAGTCCTTGTGGAGGTCCGAATCAGCTTCACACCATGCCGTGCGCGTGCGTGCGGCCACTGGGGGTCGAGAGAGCACGGGTAGCGTCCGCTCGTAGGCCCCAAAGTACGTTTGCTTGGCATCCATCGTCGAGCTTAATCGGGCGCTGTGGGTGAAGGAGAATGTAGAAATATGAAGAGAAAGGAGTTTGGGACTATCTCCGGGGAAGGCCCGGCGGGGTCGAAAAACAGTTGGAGGTCGAGGCAGGAAGCAGCAGTACCCGTCGGAGGAATATCCCTGACGGTCCGCAAGGAAAGCGAGTTCTTCACGTTTATCATGGCATTGCCCGGCGAATCATGGCCTCCCGCGAAGGTCGCTAGTGAGATTTGAAGCAGCGCCAGGCAGTGGAATTGCTGCGAGATCGCCCGCTTTTTAGGGAGGGGGGAGGAGGTGGTCTGTTTGACAAGAGGATGGGGATGCGGAGATGCCCAGAGGAAGAGGAGAAGCAGAGGAGGAGGACGTGCTTTTCTTTGCGGCGACCCCGAAACCTAATAGTGGGCGCCTTAAAGGGGGTCTGATCTTAACTTTGTTTGAGACAAGCTACACCTGCCATCGCCCCCGAGGAATTGAGGGGTCGACGCCCAAACTTCCACACTTCCTCACGTCCGCACTGTCGCACGTCCATGGCTCCTCCCAGCCCGGCCACGCCCACTGGGGGACTTTCCCTGGGGATCCATTCCGCCGGTACGGGCCCCAATTGGTACATCAACGTCGTTGACTGGGTCTTGCTGGACGAAGTCGCTGGTTCACAGGAGCGGCCCCACCCAGTCTGCACAGTCTCGACTCCATCGCCTTCCCGAATCCCGAGCGCTATGGCCTGTGAAGTCGGTGCCTGCGGTGTCGATCCTGCCTTGTCCTGAGAGACCTATCCCACGCCGCTAATATCGGCACTCCGGCTCGGACTGCTCGAACCAGCATCTTATCCCCGACCGGACGTGCTTGCTGGTGCTTTGACCAGGCGCAACGCCGACTGCGCGGTGCAGACCCAATGCACGCCGTCTGAGGCGCTTGCGCCGGAACCCTTCTGCTGGGACCGACTAGACATGCTAACGGGCCATGCGCCCGGCGATGCAGCTCAGCTTCACGTAAGCGTCATGCTGGCAAGGCCGTGTATACACATCAAAAATGCGGATGACGCTACAGAACGCATTGATAAGATTGCAGGTGAATGCCACTGTTTCAAGCAGCCGATCATCTCAGGAACATCATCATTGAGCTTGGCTTTACTCTTTCCGCCCCGGCATGACGACAATAGTTGACGAAAATCCCCGTCGCCCGGCTGGGGGCCAAGTATCGCCTTGATCTAGCCGGGGGCCATGTGCCGGATGGAGGTTCTGGTATGCGAGGCCTCGTCTGGCTTACCGAACAGTGAACTGCCGAGTATCAGCAGCGGGTATGATCTCAGGCGCGTGGCGCGAAGCCGATCTGATATAAGCACTACTAGGGGATCTGCAGCAATGATGTAAATTGTGCACCGAGCAGAGATTACTCCTTGCCACTCAGCCGGTCATTCGGAAAGAAAAAGATATGCAAGATTATGAACTGCATTGCTTTCGCTGAATACGACTTCTATCTATTTCGTCACGGCGCGCACTCGGCGCAGCGGGGACTCAGCCGCAGAGCGACGTGCCAGCACCACAGCCCGCGTCGCCAGCTAATGCATGGAACATGGGAGAGACGGTAGGGAACAGTATGGGAAAAGAAAAACAGAAGCATTGAAATACAACAAGAAGGATAGGAAGGAAGAGCATAAGTGCAAGGAGAGGTGCTTCCGTCTCAACGCTGGTAGCTTGTGCTTAGAGCCTTCCCCCTACGTCATGCCTGGTCGCGGAAAGATGGGAACCGTGTCCATCTGTTCTAGCCCGCCCATTGTGCCATTCTGCCCAGTGGCTTGCCACCCTTGCCCCGTCTGCTGGTTGATAAACTGACTCTGGCGGAAGGGATTGGTGCTTCCAGTGGGGTTGGGTCGCAGAGGAGCCGCTGAAGGTTGCAGACTCGCGTTCTGGGGAGGTGGGACGGAGGAGCTCCGAGCAAAAGGGTTGGTCCCCGTCCGCTGGGGCTGGAGTGCTTGTGGCTGCGCTGGCGCTTGGGGAATCTGGGGGACTTGAGGAAGCTGAGGAACGGGATCGGGAGCTCCCGGGTTATAGTTAGGCTGCGCCATAGAAAGGCGCTTGGCGAATGGATTTGTGTTTTGCCGTTGCAGGGGGCTAGCAGGGGCGGGAAGTACACCTCCAGTGGGATTATGCAACATCATAGATTGCCGGAACGGATTGGTTCCAGTGTGCTGCGCCTGCAAGGCCGGTGGCTGTTGCGGCTGTTGTTGCTGCTGTTGGGGAAACGAAGGAACCTCGTTATGGGGAATAGGAGCCAGCTGTGATTGATATCCGTAGGATTGTGGCTGTGCCGTATATCCGCCAAACCCAGCACCAGTGGGCATCGCCTGGAGCGGTTGCGGCTGCTGCTGTACTTGCTGCGGACCATATGGGTTGCCAGTGTTTTGCTGAGGGAAGGCCTGGCCATATGAACTCTGCTGGCCGTAACCGGTGGCTTGAGGCTGCTGCGGAAAACCGGTTTGCTGGGGGAAGAATGCCTGTTGTGGCTGCTGTTGCGGGTGCTGCTGGAAGCCTGTTTGCTGATACTGCATTCCGGTGGACTGGGCCATCGGCTGTTGGTTCTGTTCGATGGAATCAAAGAAATCAATCAGATCCGTAGGGGGTGGTTTCTGTGTTTCGGGCTGCTTGGGCGGGTTTGGCATGCGCTTAGGTTGACTGCTGAAGGAGGCCTCCGCAGCAGAGGGCGGCGCACGTCCGTCTTTCTTTATCCCTTTCCCGGCCAAGTATTCTCGCCGGCGAAGGTCAAAGTCTGGATCATTCAAGTCATCCTCAAGAAGGCGCGCCAAGTCGGTGGAAGCATGCTTGAGCTTCGGGATTTCTAAACGAGTGGCAGACTGAAAGTGCCGTGCAACTCCCAAGAACTGTACCACTTCCTCCGTCTGTTTTGTAAACATCTTGTAGATTGCCAAGGCTCGTTCACTATCCGGTCTTGACATTTCGAAATAATGTTCTATTCACGGCCTTAATTAGAACTCGCACAGGGCTCCAGGGGAGTGAGGGCAATTTACCCAAGACATTGATTGTACCCTCGTTCATAACCGAGTACAGCGTCAAGAGGTCGAGTGTGAGGAGGCGGAATGCGGTCAAACTGATCTCGTTCTCAGGCTCATCCGTCAATAGCTGATGGACTGTCAGACACTGACCATGGCGCATTCAAATTCCCGGGGGTTTACTTACGTCACATCGCAACAACGCACGGATCTGCTTCTGTACAACTTCTGTTTCTCTCAGAAGACCTTTGTCCACGCTCAGTCGCTTCAGGCGACCGGGTCCGCTTCGTACGTAGTCGGTCTGAGTGGCGCCGAACGCTTTGGCGCGCGTAATAAGATACTCCGCATACCGCCGGATATTATGTCCCTGTGATTGTGCTGTCCGTACTTTCAGTATGATGTATCCACAGCTTTTCTATTCTGAAAATTTACCTTCTGAGAAGTTACTAGGCGCGATCTTCCTGGGGTTGTCCGAGAGATACGACAGAGCTGCATCCTGCTGGCCCTCCCGAATCATAAGATGAACGATGATGAGCGCCTTAAACACGATCGTCCATGCGGAATCACGAAGTCTGTGCTGGAGTGTTCGGAAGATCTCTGCGACGCCCGCTTCGCCTGTATGAGTCGCCACCAGGATCGTTTCAACGTATTTAGATTTAGGGGCCGCGAGCTGTGCGCAAACATGTGTCAGTGCCTGTCCACCATGAAAACTCTAGTCAATATGATCCGACACCCACCTTGAGCTTGGTGGCGCCCTTTACCGACTTCTCAAAGTTGGTCATCTTCATGGGGTCTGCAGGTCTTCTCGGGGCCCGCTCCGTCTGTCAGAATCGATTGAGGTTGACGAGATGCAAGTTTAGATAGACAGGCGTCCGAATAAAGTACTGAAGTGCCCGCTTCAGAAGTCAATGCCTTTGTGATGTCCGTGTAGAATCTCAATCATCACTGGTATCGCCCGACGGGGTGGCTCATTGGGCCATTGCGGGAGCCTGGGAGGGAGGAACGACGGCGCTTTCCAAGGCAAAGGGACAGAGGCGATCGGATCGACCGGGTTGGTGAGTGATACTCAGTGCAAGCCCGTGAGCGCGGCGATTAGGAATGCAGGAATAAGGATAGGGTTGAGAGGACGTAAATACAAAGGACAAGTAGGGCCGGTGGGCGGAGCTTGAGAGTTGGGATGGCAAGCCCAATCAGGTATAGCTCCGTTTTCCAGCACGAGGATCGGATGTATGTACATGACATTGAAACATGTCCATCTACCGGCCTATCCATGCAAGGATATTGACAACTCAATAAATCTATTTGGTGCTCTCCATTTGATTACAGTAACGAGACCTATCCCTGGTACGTACGCTTATATGTATTGGGCGCCTAGGTAGGTATGAATGTTTCATCAGGTGACTGGATGGCGTTAAGGCAGGTTGCGAAGGATATATAGACGTCTCCGGAATATATCTGAGTTCTTGAGCATGACTATAATTAATAATATGCCGCTAAATAGTCACTGGACCTTTCACCCGGCATGAAAAGAATTGATATAATATGATGAATAACAAATTAATTGTATCACAACGCCAAAGGTCTTCTCCGCATCAAAACCTCACGTGGCTAATTCTGGATTATTACCCAACTAGTACCTACCACTGTCAATAATTTACTTTTTCTGCAGCCATACATAAAATTTACACGCGCATGTCATTGAGTTCGCAATCAATACCACTCCTGAAAATATCTTCAAGAGGGGCGAAAAAAAGAGCCCGCAAGAATCCTTATAGTGGCATGTAGCTGTGGAAACCACTTACGTATATCCTGTCCTCTGGAACAATCAATTGGATCTCCGCTATGCTCAGAAAACTGACATGCTCGATTTCAAAGTTCATTTCAATAGCTCCATCCATCACGGAATGATAGCCACAGCCATACGACTTACACGGACGAGCTATGAAACCAGACACGCCGGGGCCAAGACCTTACGACTAAAGTTCTACTGTACACTGTATCTACAAGCAGTTGTAGAAACAAAATCAAAACGAAACAAAACGTCCATGTATCACCGAGATATGCAGAAACGGAAGTATCGATTCCCCCTATCGTATCAATGACAACAGCCTAGATGAGCAAAAACTGGGAAATACAGCATTGAGAACAATCTCGTTCCAATGCCCTCAAGGGAATAGCCCTTCACTAGGGCTGGTGTACGGTTTCCATGGCAGGAGGATGGATGAAATATTTTTGCTTTTTGTGTGGATACACATTCTTCAGCAAGGTATCTGGGACATGGAAACTCGTAAACTATCCCGACCCCCGTACAAGAAATTCCTTTATATCCAGTTCAAACCGCTTCCCTCGCCGTATTGTCAATCCCGAGCACCCAGTTCGATTCAACGCTTAGAACTTGCTGAACGACTTGACGGCCTTGCCGGTACGGGGCAGGACACGCAGGACGTTGAAGCGGACCTGTTTGAAAATGCAAGTTAGCCAGAGATCAGGATAGACTTTGATACTAGAGCCAGATGGCGCATGGATGGGTGCAGCCGAATGTCACGACGGAAGTCGAGCAGTCCCTGATAGTGACTACCGAAGTGTATCGACTTCAACATGCGGATTCAAGGGTTGAAACGTACGGTCTTGGAGAGGGGTCGGCACTGGCCGACGGTGACCCAGTCACCCTCCTCAACACGGAAAGCGGGGGAGACGTGAGCAGCCAGGTTCTTGTGGCGCTTCTCGTAACGGTTGTACTTGGGGACGTAGTGGAGGTATTCACGGCGGATGACGATGGTACGGTGCATCTTGGTGGACACAACGCGGCCGGTCAGGATACGGCCACGGATGGAGACGAGACCGGTGAAGGGGCACTTCTTGTCTGTTTAATTCAGTTTGTTAGCGATTTGATGAATTCGCAGGGATATGGCGGTTCAAGCAAGATCTCTGATATGGCTGGTCATTTTTTCGAGGAAGGAGGATGCGGTCTTCGCGACAACTGAGAACAGGAAGCTGCCTTCAGAAGATTCATCGCAATCGCCTGACACCATTGACATCGCTTTCCGCAAGCGCCAGATCTTGCACTGGCCACTTGCTGTCCCATCTCCACCATCGAAAAAAGCCAGAAATGTCGTAGATCTCGCGAGATTGCCAGAAGAATCGCATCGCAGGTCGTGCATACCGATGTAGTTGCCCTCAATGGCGGTCTTGGGGGTACGGAAACCCAGACCGATGTCCTTGTACCAGCGGCGGGTCTGACCAGCCTTCTTGGACTTGGCCTGGGACTTCGAGTTCTGGAAGATGTGAGGCTGCTTCTGGAAAGCGCGCTCGGACTGGACGGTCAACTCGGTCGCCATGGTTGCGGTGTGTGTCGACGGGGAAGCGTTGTCGAACTGAGTGAAAAGTTGGCGTGTCGGGTCTCGGGTTAAGGACGTCAGGATGAGAAAGATTCGCTAAAGGCGCGGATTCTTGTGTGTGTGAACACTAGTCTACTTTGGGACTAGTGTAGGTGCGGGTTAGGGCTTGCCGTTTGTTTACGTTTTGAGACATCACGTGATATTGAAACGCGCCTCGGGCCCGGGGACGTGTAGCCGCAGGTATGGAAGGGGAATGCGACCAGCTCCGATCCTTCAACCACGCCCGCCCTGTGCGTGTATCATGCTCAGGTGATTGCGATACTCTGTGATTGCCGCCGAAATGTCGACTCGACCAGACTCTGCGGCTACGCGACCACGTTCCCGCCGCTCAATCGCCCATGTACCACGATCTAAGATGACGTCCGGTCTGGACAAGGAGAATGCGACGACAGACATCGGAGCTATGGCACCCTTTGAACCCAACACCAAGCCCACTACAAAGGACAAGAAGTCTCGAAGTAAGAGCTTAGGACCAGGAGGACTGGATGCTCTTCAAAATTCCAATGGCAATCGCCGCAAGGTAGTTATCACCCGAAGTTCCCCACCCGCATTGGAGGCATATCGAACTAAACTGGGTCTTCTGTAGTCGACCGCCTCATTTCCTCTAAAATCGATTCTCAAACCTACAGTACCTGTGTCTCCCGTGCGAAACATACCATCGTTTGAAGAAACGCGCCGGCGCACCCCTGCTCGTGATGCATCAAACCATAATGTCGATGCCGACGGCAATGACCAAGGACAAGAGGGACTACTGATCGATTTTGCAACACCACCGCAGCCCGCTATGGCAGGAGATGGGAATATTGACAATCCGTTTGACAACTTCAATGCGACATCTGCTATCCGCGACGAGATGGCTGCAACAAGAGAACGCGACGAGAAGGAGCGCCGTGAACGTGAACGTCAAACTATCATGGAGAAGCGAGAAGCGCGACGGAAATCAATGGGTCTGTGCTCAAGGAAGCAAGGAAACATATGAGGTGTTGCTAAATCATCTACAGCAAATCGTCGTGTTTCGTTCGCCCCTGAAGCCACATTACACACCTGGAACGTGGTTGAAATACCCGAAGACGCAACATCATCATCTGCCTCCAATTCTACACGACGTGCATCATCTCTTACGAATACTCAGAATCAACCACAGCCCACGCTAACTCCGGCGAAGGAGGCACCTGCATCACCAGATGACGCCGAGTCAGACTTCGGCTTTTCTCCAGTTCGCGAGCAGGACCTACAGCAAATGAGGGACCGCTCTGCATCGACTGGCACAGACGATGGCCCCGCAGACCTCTCAAGCCCATTCAGCGGAAGCTCAGCTGCGAGCGAAGATACTGGCGCACATAGCTTAACTGAAGAGGAAGAAGATGACAACTCCTTAGGATCTGACGATGGATTTGACGCCGAAAGCACTGCTATGAGCATGGACGATTTGACTGCCCGCTCTACTGCTACTGTGCAGTCAGATGTATCATCCAGTTCCAGTTCCAGTGCCAGACTCAACGACGCACTGCGCCAGGCTGCCAAGGAAGCCGGAACCGCAGCAATAGACGAGGAAACTGGTGAAATGTCAATGGAACTTGCGGATCAAGAAATCACTGGTGCCTTTCAGCCCTGGATCAAGAAAGGCCAAAGGCAAAGCTTCGACTGGGAAGACATTAGTGCCCGCCATGACCAAGAGAACGTCGACCCTTCCAAGGCTGTTTCGACTCTGGAGTTCCCGGCGTCAGATGGGATGGATGAGGACGAAGATCTTAGTATGGATGTGACAAATGTTGTTGGCGGCATTCTAGGCAAAGCACCTGGGCGTCGCCAGAGTGTTCCCAATCGCAAGTCCTTAGGCCTAGAAACGAACTATGGCGACCAAACCATGGAGATGACTGGAATGGTTGGAGGCATTGCGCCTACAGAATCTCCGTCCATGCCCACAAATGATGATAACGACGATGAAGAGATGACTATGGAGTTCACGTCAGTCGTGGGTGGTGTTTTAAACAAAAGCCAACAATTCCAGCAAGCTGCGGATAGCAGCACGGAACGACCAGGTTCCTACACTCCAAAGTCAGACCACATGTCTGTGGATGTGGATAATGAACCCGACGATGGTATGGATATGGAAATGACTGGCGCCGTTGGTGGTATTCTGCCATCTGGATCGAGGACCCCGGACAGAGCTCAGGCGAAAAGGATCATGGAGCTTGAGACTGAGTCCGGCCAATTGGGAAGCTCGCCCTTCCAAGAGAATGTCCGGCAATCTCCCGCGAAGTCTCCTACGAAATCACCTCTTGCTATGCATGTCGCAGCTGTTGCTTCCGAGAACGGCAGCCCCAGCCTGGCGAGTGTTCAACCCAGACGTTCTTCACGCCGTAGCTCTGTATTGGGCGCATCAAGAACCCCAGAGTCAGCCACTCGCCAGCGCTCACCAACGAAGAAACCGACTACTCCCTCGAAACAGCTGACACCTCAGCCAAAACCCACCACTCCCAGCAAAACTCCACCGTCTGCCAATATCACCTTCCGTAGCGCCTCTCCGAAGAAGCTCTTCCAGCCCGAGATCCAGCAGTCGGCACAGAAACGCAAGTCTACCCGCCTGAGCATCTTTGAACAGAACACTTCCAATGGACAGTCAACCCCTCGCATTCTTCTTCAACCCCGTGAGGGACGTCGATCTTCCGGCCTGGGGATCGATAAGGAAGGTCTTGGATCGCCTCGCGTCGCGGCTATTCTGGACAAGCGTCTATCACTGGGTGAGAATACACCGCAGTTTGTTCCCCAGGAACGATCCCGTGGTGGTGTACGGTTTGAAGACCCATTGAAAATGCAGGCAGATGAAGAGCGGGAGCGCGAGGAGGAGGAACTCAGAGAGGACGGTCATATCCCTCCGCCTATCAATTTGGACCGAGATCCCACTTCGAGTTTGAAGGATATGATTTCGAGCATGAGTCCGAAGAAGGGCAAGGTCGGCAGTCGCAAGAGTCTACACGTCGGAGCTGCTCGTGGTATCTTAGGCAAGCGGCCTGCGGAGCTCGATCTGGAGGAAGAGGAGGTAGAGAACTCACCCAAGCGACTGCGTGGGCATACCGTCAGTCCTGTCAAAGGCGTCAGACTGCCAGGACCAACCCATGATGGAACGAGTCGCCGATCCATCCGTTCTCCCGTCCGCAGAGCTCGTAGCTCCTCGCCCCTCAAGGGTAGCGCCACCCCTACTCAGGAACCAAGGAGCGTCTCTAACAAGGGGACGACGCCGCTCAAGGAGGGTATCGATGCTCTACACCTTGTCTCTGATCAGCCAGAGGAAGAAGAGGCAGAGGAGGTCACTGCTGAAGGCCAAGCTGCTGATATGGAGCCTATCCAGCTTCAAGATTTCCTTAACATGACCAATATCCACTTCATGGAGCTCACCACAACGAAGAGACGACACACCACTGCACCTGGGAGTGCTACCAAAAGGCTGAGCCGGGCTTCCTTGGTGAATGTCGCTAAGCAAGGCACAAGTACTTTTGACGACTGTGTGGCTGCTGGCTTTTGCACAGTACCTATGCTAGAGCTGTACCAGCACGTAAGTGCCACTGCGAGGTACCTTCCTCATTGATGGGGCTACATTGCTGACTCATGATCTAGTCTTGCCGTGAATTGAAGTCATACATCTCCGAAGGCCGTCAAGTGATTCGATCTATTGAAGCCGAAACATACACCGACAACCCCCCTCTCTTCCGTGAATATATGTGTGCCCCTCCAGACATCCGTGTGATTATGGACAACCAGTTCCGAAATGTCAAAACACATGCACGCCTGCTTAGCAAGGCTACGTGGTACGAGTGGCGGATGAAGCTTCTCGAGGGTTTGAAGGAAGGACTCCACCGCCATGTAGAGGACATGAAGGCGGACGACGAGCTACTGTCTAAACACGAGGAGCTTCTCAATAGCGCCGTGCCCCCCTTGGTAGAAAAGCATGCCTCTCTAGAGCAAGAGATGAGCAATCTACAGCAACTGGTGGAAGAGATGGAGAGCTGTGATCAAGACGAGTTGCGAGGCGCACGCCAAACGCTTTCCAGGGTCGATGATGAGATTGAGGCCAGGAAGAGAGAACTCAAGCAGCTGCAAGAGGAGGTCCAGCAAAGGACCAACATTATCGAAGCCGGAACTGAGATGCGCGATGAGTACCTGGCACAGATCCAGGAGGCGGAGCGCGTCAAGGAAGAGTGCCGCGGGTGGAGTGCGCTAGATATTCGCGAGCTCAAGGCTTCTGTCCAGCAAATCGAGCGTCAAACTCGCTGGTCAATTACCTCTGCATCGACACCTGCAGAATCATCTACCGGTCCCATGTTGACCATATCATACCGCGGCCAGTTGCAAATCAAGTTCCACCCCGAGGCCTTTGCAACCAAGAACTCAACAGCCGAGAAGACGAATCTTCCTCTCGAGTTGAGCTCCATCAAAGGCAAGGCGCTCTCCCCCATTGCATCGCTTGTCTTGCCATCATTGCAGCGCCACCTCGCCACAATCCAGCAATCCAAGGTCGCCCCGAAGCAGCTTCTGCGCTTCATCTCAAATGCCTGGGACCGCACCATCGGCCTTGAGAACGAAGCTCGCATGCTCGAGTTCTGCGGCGTCACCCGCCTCACCCTCTCAGATCCCAACGATGCCTCGCTCTACCTACGTGCTCGCTGCACTCTCCTCGGCAACGCGGCCGTCTCATCCACGCCCGGCCGTAAAGGCGCTGCGGCCAAGAACAACAGTGCGAAGCGTATTGATGTTGACTTCACCGTCCGTACGCGCATTGACACTGAGGTTGAGAACATGAAGGAGATCGGCTCTCTCGATTTCGATATCGATGTTCTAGCCACGAAGGTCTATGGCTTCGGCGCTGGTAACAAGTCCGGTCTCTCCGGCAAGGAGATGCAGAGTATTCTTGGCAAGGGGATGGTTCGTGACGATGGGAACGCCCTGGGCAATGGAGTCTGGTGCAAGGCCGTACGGATGCTAACTGGGTCTGTGTTTTAATTGAGGAGGATGATATCACCGTTTTTTTATTTTCAAAGGAGCTGGATCGGACTGGGATGGTATTACCTGGAAATGGGTTTGGAGCAACGGAGTTTGTGGTCAGGTTGTGGAGTGTATATTTTCTACCTTGGGTTTGAGCGATTTTTATCTGAATGATTATGCTTTTTCAATTATATTGAATACCTCCAATTCGTGAGCTTCAAGTAGGCCCGCATTCGAGCCATGGCAGATGATCTGGGAGAATAGGCCTCACTGTATCCAATTTATGCAACCCAACCAGCTACCAAAACATGCATGTTAATATTATTCATCATAATGCAAAAAGGCAGACACTGTCCGCCAGTCAACAAGCTACACATCTATGCAACCTTTCTCCAAGTCCCACATCGAATGACAGGGCAATCCCTGAAGGTAGATATAGATATGTACGCAAGAAAGTTATTAATTTCTAGAAGAGCCCCAGGAATCCATTCGGCCAAATCGCCTCCGCCGTGTCCTGACCTTGCTCCTGCGCTGTCCTGGGCGGGGCATAGTTATTGTACCCCATATCGGTGCCCGTGAAACCAGAACTCGGGTCCTGCTCTGCGTCCACAGGAACGTTCAGGAACGAATCTGCCGACAGGATGGGGAATTGGATATTCTGAGACTGAGCGGAGGAGGCAGTGATGCTTTCGTTAGGGAATAGGCCGGACCAGAGATTGTCGCCGAATTGCCAGTCCGCCGTTAGCGGCACTTGCCAGGACGCAGGGAACATGTTTGCGCCTGGCGTGGTGCTGTTGTTTGAGAAGGGAGACTGGGTGTTGTCGAGGGGGGAAGATTCGTTGGCGTGGTTCGCTGTGGCATCTTGCCCGAGTTGCCAGGAGGACAGTGCGCCGGTTGAGAAGTTAGAGGTTGTTACTCCATTAAGGTTGCTTAGTCCCAGACCGGCCGGGTAGCTTGCGTTGGGTATGGCCGGTTGGAGAGGCATAGTTGAGGGAAAGGAGGCTGTGGCGCTGGGGCTTATGGGCACGACGTAGCCGTCAGAGTTGACAGTTGGGAAGCCTCCGATGGCTTTAGGGGTACTCAGCGCGGGCATGTGCGGATGTGTCGTGGTATCGGTGTTGGATGTACTTGGGGCTGTGGATACTGAACTGTGCTGGGTGCCCGTGGGGTTGGTGGCCATTGATGCCCGGAGCGTTGAAGGTTGATCTCGGGCCTTTGCGTGCGATCTTGAGAATTGATGACCATGCCGCTTTGTACCCGGCTGCTGGTTTTGTTGCTCCGGGTCATCTGTGCTTCGAGTCCGTTTCTCCTCCTTTTCGATTGCTAATCTGGCAATGCGTTCGAGGTTGGCAGTCATGCGGGTCATGAAGCCGGCGTAACTGGCTGGCCCGTCACTTGGAGCGAGGGTCGCGAAGAACGTCGAGGCCATGTTGAGGGACTGGAGGTCATCCCTAAAGGTTGAGGATTGCATGTCGCGGATAATGTGTGAGAAGATTGTTGCTGCGGCTAGGAAGACGTAATAGAGCAAGGACCTAAAATAGGTACCTTGAATGTTAGCCAGTGTAGGGAGACATAAGGCCCGGGGGGGGGGGGGAAGCACATACCAAACCCATGCAATATCACCCCACGGCATATTGTTCACCATCTTGAGTGTATCACGCGCAGCCGTCACGCAAATGACACTGGATTTTGCTGCATACGCCTTGCTCAGCGCCTTCAGCTCCTTCGGCTCCTTCCGTTCGTTTATTAGATAGTTCAGAAGGAGGGGTATTCGGTGAACCATGATCAGGGCATTATAGTAGACAAAATGGAGGCCAATGGAGGCAAATCCCGACAAGAAGTTTGCTTCAGCAACTTTTTGTCTGGGATTCTCGTCCAAGCAATAGTCTTTCCTCCACTCCCTGAGTTCGGCATCTAGCTCTTTGACTGATTGGTAGATGTCGCGAGGTGGTTTGAGCAGTGCTTTGGCGGAGTACAGCTGGCAGAAGATGCGGGTCTTGATGACAGACATGCGACAGAGTTGGCGGAAGAAGGGGATATTAGTTGAGGAATTGAGGCCGCGGTCTTCTTCAAGCTCCTGAGGCAGGGGCACATCGAAGTCCTCGGGGTGTTGAGAGGGGGCGTTTCCGGCACGCAAGCATGTACTGGAAGGATAAGCCGCTAGATCCAGATATGGCAAGGGGGTTGCTGGGACTGGGTTGCTTACCTCTGGTCCACGGTGAAGGCGACCCAGAACACACGCCGCCTCTGCTCCTGCTCAGTGGCGTTCAGATCTGGTCTTGGAACATCTCGGTGAAGTCCCATTCGCTGGCATGACCGCATAGCTGCCGTAATGAACGGCAATGCTGACTGTGTCCCAGAATTTCCACGAAGGAAAAACCCCTAGCATATAAGTTAGAACCATTTTCACATTGAAACTATATGGCTGAAGGGTTTACCATGCTCAACAAAGCCTGTACACTCAAAAGATCCGTGCGTCGTAAGGCCAGCTCCGTAAAGACCGACATGGCATTCTTGAAGTACATACGGGCCCTTTCCCGATCCTTCTCCGGCTTCAGGCTATTCGAGAATCGAAACTCGTAAGCCAGACATATCACCATATTGATACTCGCCCATCGAGCGGCATCATCGCAAGTCTGTTGCGTGTATTGCCACTCCACCATCCTCATGAAAGTTCCTTCATGGTAAATCGGGAATAGACGGTTCGCTGTGCTGAAAAAGTCGTTTATAAGGGAGAATACCTCTGACCTTGGCGGCAGGGGCTTGAAGACCTGCGAGGCGAACAGGTCGTGGAACACATCAGGGCGCCAGTGAGCCCATGGATTGTCATGGACGGAATCGGTGGATAAGAGGCTCAAGAAGCTGACATCGCCCGTTTTGCTCTTGATCCATTCGATGCCACCCCGTGACAATATTGACAGGGAGCAGGAGCGTCCTATGATCGAAAATCAGTCATGAAAGCAGCAGACCACAGGGCTTGGTGGACAACGAACCGAAATATCGGGAATCGTCCCGTTCGTGGATCTTGAAGATGGGAGTGGCCTCGACGTCTCCCACGCTGGGGAAGTAGTCCACTTCTCCAGACGACGCACGCGATGTAAAGGACACATGTGATGATTGACTTGAAGATTGAGTACGCTTGTGGGATAAATCCGAGGCCTCATCTGGGAGATCATCGTCATTTTCCGAGAGGTCCTCCGGCATGGTGTCACTCTCATGCAAGATGCCAGCTGCTTTCAGCAAGGATTCGATCCTTGACAGGCGATCCTTCAACGAGGCCACATATTGATCGCTGCCAGCGATCCTGTTAGCCTTGTCTAAGCTAAGCTAGACTGGGTAGAAACCGAGAATCACTAAATCCGAAAACTGGGTGAATAGCTGCTATTCTCGTGCACACACACCTTTGAACCCGCTCAGTCGGCCCCGGACTCGCCGGCAGTACACCATTCGTCCTCCGCCGGGCACACTGGTCGCAGATCGAAGCAGACCCCTCGAACTTGCAGCTGGTTTTCTTTCGGTAACATATCTCACACGCCTAGCGTCCCAGTCAGCGCGAAAAAAGCCACACCTTGTGGGTTCATCGACCAATAGACCCCACGCATAGGGACACATACCCTATGGCTTCGTCTCCGCCCAGCAGACGGTGTGGTGTTGGCCATTGCGTGGGAGGATTCGTTAAAGTTCATGCTTCTATCATGACGGGGATTTATGCCAACTGATTGCTGCATTCCGTTGCGCATTTGGCCCCGTCAACCAGGACTGTTAATGCCAAGCCTTTTTTTCAGCGCGCGGCTGCGCTCATCGCGCGGGAACGGAAATCGCCTTAGCGCCGGAGTATTGCACGCGCGATAGCTGCTGACAGCGGGATTGGGGCTGTTGGGGGTTGGTCCCAATTGTTTAATGCTGGCAGTGTTTCTCTCTGAATTCGTGAATCTGGGGATCAGAGAACTCCGGGTTGGGTTTTGGACCCCCGCGCCGGAGGGACCCCCTCCGTCACTGGAACGGACATTCGGCACCACGGCACGCTCGAATCCCGAAGCACGATGGGCGTCTTCGGTACCCACATGGTACCTCACTCCCAGGTGGGTTAATGCGGAGGTTGTAGGTATCTTTTAGGTACCGTTGCAGTACCTTGTAGTACCATGGGCTCTGCGGCCGTGAGACCCCCAACAGGAACAGGCCTTTTGGTGGTTCCGTCTAGGTATTGCAAGGGCATGGCGTGTTGCTCGCAGCCTAGATAGCAACGCATTTCTCTACGGGCGATCGGTACATGCTTGAGATTGCATCCATGTGCACAGGGCATTACTGGTAGCTGGGCGACGCAACCATGAGAGATGGGAAGCACGAAAGGTTCCCAAAGTGCACATAGTCGTACGGCCTGCAGAACTGCGAATCTCGAGCAGATCTCAGCTTTCCTAGCTTATCCCCAGACGATCACCAAGAGGACCATCTTTTTCGAGCAGCGCCACTTGGTCTCCCGCTGACAAATGATCCCCGCAGTGGCATGGAGATATCGACGTGGACGGCGCGTGGGTCAACCTGGCCTAGACATCATTCTTTCTCTGCTCGACCTTGTGTGACAGATGTGACAGAGACAATTCGATCTCATAGACTTCTCATAGACACCTTCAGCGACCATGCGGGCCACGACCGTGGGAATCGTCTCGATCGGAGACATGGGCCTGGGCATGGCCAAACTACTCCAAGCCCACGACTATCGCGTTGTCACCGTCGGCGAAGGAAGAAGGTACGTACTACGTGGACTGCACGTCCAGCTCAACTCTACCCGCAAGCGATGCATCTCACACCCGTGCTAGCGAACACACACTCTCCCGTATCCGCACGGCGGACATCGAGGTCCTCCCCTCCGACCAAGCCCTCGTGGCCCAGGCGGACTACATCTTATCCATCGTGCCCCCGCGGAACGCATTGGCGACCGCTCATCGCATTGCAGGGGCTTGCAAGCAGCCCGATACACTGCGTCAGCGGGACTCGATCGAGGACGTCAACGGCCAGCCGAGTCGCAGCCCGCTCTACTACCTCGAGCTCAACGCAACCCCGCCCCGATTGGCGGCGGAGATGGCGGCCCTGTTTGAGGATGAGTCCGCCAGCTCCACCAGCTCGCTCGCCTGGTGCCAATTCCTCGACGGCGGGATCATTGGGGGCCCGCCGGCACCAGCGCCCGCAGCTACAGCTGCAGCTGCAACGCCAGACGCTGACGAAATCCGCGGGGCGTGGAAGAAGCCTAGCGTAGTGCTGTCGGGCCCGATGGTGGACCTTCCGCCGACATTCGCGGCGCTGGCCACGGTGCTAAATGCGAAAGTTGTCTCGCCGCGGATAGGCGCCGCGTCGACGCTGAAGCTCTCCTTCGCCGCGCTGACCAAGGGCCTTACGGCACTTTCGATCCTGTCGTTCTCCACCGCGCAGCGCGAGTCACTGCTCCCCGAGCTGCTAGCGCATCTGGACGAGTACTCGCCGCAGACGGCAGTGCTGGCCCGTCGCGGGGTGGTAGGCATGAGCCCCAAGGCGTATCGGTGGGTGGACGAGATGCGCGGCATTGGTGAGGCGTTTGACACCCAGGGCGGCTGGGATGGTGTCGGGGCCGGTATTTATGATGGGTTTGCGGAGATCTACCGTACAGTTGCGGAGGATACGATATTGGGATTGGAGCGTGTTGGGGCGCGCGAGCGCGGGACTACCGTGGGCGATGCGGCGTTGCTTCTTGCGAGTCGGCGGTCACAGGAAGAGAAGCCGAGGCCGGCATGAGTCTGATTCAGATCCAGATCTGGACCCAGATCCAGGTCCAGATCCAGATCCCCAGCCATCGTCCCTAGCCCAAAATAGATAGGGCCATCGAGCGGAGCGTTCGCGCATGGGTTGGACGGACAGAAGTACCGGGACTCTTCTCCGCGGCCAAAGCTGGTCACGTCACGGTCGAGGTGACAGCACGACATCGCGGACGGTACGGAGCATGCGCATTGGCAAGAGGACGATCGCAGAGTGCTTTTCTTTTATCGTACCCTTTTTTTTTTTTTTTTTTTTTTTTTTTTTTTATTGCCTATTTTCTCGGCTGGCTCCGTGTCAGGCGGAGTTGCCAAGCCTCACGGCACGAGAGCGTAAGCGGTTCAGACCGCGTCATCGGACTGAACCAAGTGGAGAGCGGCGGGAGAGTGGATGGATGTCTAGTGGACAGTATGCAGAGAACGTCCGAGCGGAGGAGCGAGGAGAATTAACCGGAGCCCCTATATTTATGGAGCGAGAAACATGGCCCAGGGACTCCCGCGACGGGGAGGGAATCTGGAATCTGGGGAAAGATATCAGCCTCTTTGTATTCGGATCACACCATGGTTCTGTGCATTGCTTTGATCGGATCGCTCGTACTTCCCACAGTCGAAGTGTTGTGACTCCCACCTCTTCTGCCTCGGTCTCCCACAAAGCGGTGAAGCCCCTCCTTTGGGACCAGGCGGAGCGGGCGAACCAGACGGCGCAATCACGACATTTCTCCATCTGATCAGATCATCAGCGATCTGCTGCGTGGCTTGTTTGGCCCGTACGGAGTTCCCGAGTTACCGAGTCGGTACCCAGACCACGCCGAACTCTGTGTGCCTTGGGTGCTTGCGTCGGTACTGGCGGTACTGGCGGTACTGGCCGTTGTACTGTACGGTTCGCTGCTGAGGTGATCACCAATCCTTCCACTCTCCTCCCGACTGGCTCCTCGTTCCTGCCTTTTTTCGGCTGGCTGTTAGTTGCTTGTGTTCTCGTCCTTTTTGCTTCCCCTCCCCCCTTCCCCCCTTTTTTACCTTTTTTGTGCCTATTCTCCTCTGCTCTGATTGGCTGTGTACGGGGTACGTCATGCGCTTGTCCATCAAGTCCGCCTACGTCTGAGCTTGGTGATCGAGGCCGAACACTAGTCCCGCCCATCCGCCATCCCGACCTCACCACCGCGTTGGACGGCTCCACGCCTCCATTCCAGTCTCTGGCTGTCACTGGTGGTCCTCTGACTTTTAATTCCCTGTTCATTTCCCTTCCATTGGATTGCTTGTTTCCGAGATCGTCCCCCTCACTCTTCATCTGATCTGGGGTTACCGTGGGACGACACCAAGACCGCCACCCCTTCCACCTCCCTCATACCGTCCACTGTCGCTGCCACTGGCCACTGCGCACACCATCTCATCCCCCTCCTCCGCCCTAAACGCTAAGAGCTAGAGGACAGGCCTCTAGACGCTCCCCAGGCCTCGCTGGGTTTCAATTTTTATTTCTACCTCCCGTCGAGCTATTGTCTTTCTCCTTCCTTCCCCCCCCATCATGTCCGAGGAACTCCCGCCTCATCCCCCCGGTCCTGGCTTTGACAAGATCGAAAATTTCAACTTCCTTCTGTCGCGCACTGATCCCGGAGCCAAGGCAGCGCGCCAATACTCCTTTGACACGGACGCCGGGCTGGTCCCGTTTACCAACGTGAACATGGATTACGACCAGACTGAGGGCATGGGCGGCCTCTCCGTCAGCTCCTACGATAGCATCGAAGACGAGCGCAGCTCACTCGATCTCTCCCGATATCCCTATCTTGGTATGTGCCAATTTTCTTTTTTTTGCGGGGGTTGATTTTGGTTTAAACCCAAGCTTTGACTTGGTGTGAGAGGTTGCATCTGTTGCGCCATCGCCGACCTTGTGGTTCGTGTGCTGCGGCTGGACCGGTGCCTTATCCTGGATTTGAGGCCGTGTTCCCAGGACCCTGGTTAGGCGCTGCTGCATCAGCAGCAGCAGCAGCCGCGAGCAGCCGCAGCGGTGATGCGAGAGAGGGAGAGAGATGAGACGAGGCTTGAGTCAAGCCGAAAGATTGAGTGACTGAGCTTTCCCTCCCCCATGTGTCCCGAGCTGTGTTTTATTTCGAATTCCATTCTTGTGATTTACCCGTATGCGTGGATGCGTTCTGTTGTGATGCCCTGAATCTCACCCCCTTCCCCTCGTCCAAACCTCGGGAAACTCGAGCATCTCGCGAAACGGTGACCTGTGCTCCATTTCGGGTCTGTCGTCACTCGAGTGACAGCTCGGGCTCCATGAGACTGCACCAGATGGATCAGATGGATCGGGCGCTATGAGATCTCCGTCGGAGTCCCAGCCCAGCTTCAATAGCGAGCACGCAATCCCGCATGCATATGACAACCCGCAGGGCACTTCACCCAAACAGCAGCCAAACCGTCATGGCTGCCTGGGGCCTGTTGATTTGCTCATCGTGCCCGGTGTTTTGCTCATTTGCCATTTGCCATATGCCGTTACATCTATTCCCCCATCCCCTCCCACCCGTGGACCCTTTTTCTGGGGATCTGCTGAAGGATGATCGCGTGCATTTCCCTGTCGTCTCAACCCCGTGGAGGGCGGCGGTCTCTCATTCTGTCTGCTCAGTTACACTTCATTCTACTCTCTCTCCCTATCTCCTCTGTGGCCAACGGCCCCTGCCCGAATCCCTGACACCTCAAAGCTATTTCCCTCACCGTGATAGCTGGCCCTACCTACCCCTGCTATATACACTTGCCACCACCCACCATGCCTCGCAAGTTCGATCGCTTACTCCATCCCCCAGCTCCCAGCGGCGACAAAGGTATCAACTACTCTCTTCCCGACCACATCTTGCGATACTCGACACACTCCATCTATCCACCGGTTCCCTTTGCGCCCGATGACCTCGGCCATGCCCCGGGAGCCCTGACTCCCTCGGACGTCTCATCGTCCATCTCCCCGCCCAACGGCCAGATGGGCAACATCAAGTACTCCACCTCCATCTCCGGAGACCGTATCGCGGCTGCCCTGGACCAGGAGGAAGGTGTGCGGGTGGCGGCCGAGGAAGACCGCCGCCGTCGCAACACCGCGGCCTCCGCCCGCTTCCGGATGAAGAAGAAGCAGCGCGAGCAGGTCCTCGAGCGCACCGTTCGCGAGACGACGGAGAAGAATGCCTCCCTCGAGGCACGCGTCGCCCAGCTGGAGATGGAGAACCGCTGGCTGAAGAACTTGCTGACCGAGAAGCATGACGCGACGAGCACGCGGATCCCTCCGCCGCCACAGGACAGCTCTGCCCTGGAGTCCAAAGCGGGCAGCACACGCTCCGGCCAAAAACATATTCAGCCTAAAAAGAAGGGCGTCGGCACTGATGAGTAGGCTTGAAATGGAAAGCTTGCTTGTTGTGCTGTTTATTTTGCGTTTGGCTTGGGTTCTGTATCATCTCCTTTCTTGCGGTCATCGACTCCGACACTCGAGAGACCCGTTTGTGTTTCTTTTACTCTGTCTTTGCTGCTTTTTCGAGTGCACCTACCTCGCCCCGTTGCTACCTTCATTCATCCATATTTATTCAAAGGCTGAATGGCGGTCGGGGCCCTGGTACACACTCACCATGACGATGTCACGACCTTTCTCCTTCTCGTTTCTCCGCGCCTCGCGACCGCAGTCCGACCGTGGCTTCTGCGATTCTCAGGGATGGTCGTTGCCTTTGTGCCTTGGATTTTGGGACGTTTATTTTGCCTGATGTTTCTTCCCTTTTCCTCTTGCTATTGTTCGACGCTCCTCTATATCTATCATCGTCACCCGCTCCTCCCCCTCGGCTGTCTCCATACTTCTTCTCCCCTCTGTCCAGGCCCTTGATACCTTTCTCCCACCGGGTTATTTACCGACCATTGCTCTGGTTGCGGTTATATTCATAATGTGTGGTTCTCCTCTCCTATGTGGAAACTGAATGTCGCTGTACTGTGCTGGTCGGTGCTCGAACGGGCTTGGTTCTCTTGGTCTTTTTTGCTCTGGGATTTGCTGTTTCTCGCTGGACGTCTCTGGGTCTGGATACGCCGCTTGCATACTATACTATATGCGTACTGGATTTCTGGCACCAGCTCACGTTGTTTTTTTTTTTTACTTTTATGTCGCTGCTTTTGGCTACGTAGATATAGGCTGGCAACCCACTCTTTCCTCAAGTAATTCCTTTCGGGAGTGAAAAAGGTAGGTGGGGCTTGCAGCAATCACAATGGAGAGAAAGTCCATGCGCTGGAACCAGCGTACACTGGCATATCGACTTCACACTTGGTCTTTCCCTGACTGAGAATGCATTGATATTGCACTAGAGAATCTGCAGGATATTTTCAGTCGCAGTTAATTCTCATAGCACAAGGCGCAAACAAGTGCACCTTGTATGTTCTTACGACTTGTTGTTCCTCGACCGACCCGCGTCGTGCGCCGCCCTAATCTGTATTCGGACTCCGCACACACTCACTTCTTAATTCGATGTCATTGCATGTTGTCTCCACATGACTCATGTTGATTTTTGCGGGGTACGGCCCCCTCGAACGGTTTCCTATAATATAGCTGAGAAGATGATCTAGCAGCAACTTCCCCTTGATAATCTCTATTTCTAACTGAAGTCCCGGTCCCGCATCCCCCCAATTTAATCAAGGCCAACCTGACCGAAAAAATGTCCGCGCCCATCGACAGCCATCGTGTCAAGGACGACATCAAAAAAGCCTACGATGACATTGCCCCCGTTTACCTGGACTGGACGCAATCAACTCACCAACGACGACTTTCCTACCTCGAGGCCATGCTCAAACATCTCGATTCCGCAGAGGGAGCCCGAGAAAGGAATATCCTTGAGCTAGGTTGCGGCGCCGGCGTGCCATGCACGCAACTCCTCGCATCCCGTGCAAACACCTGCGTCACCGCAAATGATATATCGGAATCCCAAATCGCCCTGGCACAGGAGCGGCTGCCGGTGTCCGTGAACCTGATACAGGGGGACATGATGGAGCTAGAATTCAGCCCGGGGCAGTTCGATGCCGTGCTGGCCCTCTATTCCATTCTACATCTGCCCCGTGAAGAACAAACGGCGATTCTGCGCCGCATTTGGGGTTGGCTCAAACCGGGGGGTTGGCTTCTCGCCAACTTCGCTGCTACTGCGTTTGCGAGCGAGTCGGATTCGTCCTGGTTGGGCGGTACGAAAGGGGCTGTGCATTGGAGTGGGTGGGGGAGAGACGAGACGAGGAAGATTTTGATAGATCTGGGCTTTGAGCTGGAGATTGATGAGGTTGCCGTGGATGCTGAAGACGACAAGGGAGTGCTGCGGAACGTGGAGTTCCACTGGGTCTTAGCCCAAAAGGGATCGATATGAAGGTAAAATGCGCTCAAGCGGACATTGTGAGGGATTTAGGATGAATGCATTCCAACGTAGTTGCTCAAGACCGGAGACCGGGGTGGTTATCGGTTCTTGTCTCAGAATCCCGAATGGGGACTATGGGTCTGGGGCTCAAATCTGGAAAAGACATGAAAAAAAGGTTGTCGATGCAACATTTATTTCAGCGCCGGCATTTGAGGCTAAATGGGTTTGCCTTATATTATTGTTGTACACTACTGCGCTACACTTGCGTATATGTAGTTACTTCGTACGCTCCTGTGCGTAGTGTAGTCTATATCCCATGCTAATGTGGCTTCTCTGAGAAATATCCTGGCTCACGTACCCTGACTTCTTTCCATTCTTTTGATTTTCGTGCATCGACAATATCTTTGGCACTGAATCCAGATATCCTATACTGTCTTGGGAAAATGTCTACCACCGGCAAGTCGATATCCACTCTAATGCCAGTGCTTGTCGGTCTAGCGCTGGTTGTCGAATCTGCCGTCTTCCAACTATTCAATGCTATTACGCTGGAACAGGCTTCGCCTGTTTTTATGAATTTTTCACATCCTGGTACCATTCACCAACATCTGGGGATCATGATAGTCAATGTCCGGCCCAAATGCGGCGGTGTTCCCAAAATGACAGGCTTGCGGGGTGCTATAATCATCGTCAGTGCAAGAACATGATAGAAAGGCAGATGCAAGCTTACACATTGATCCATAGCGTCGTTCTTGAGCGATGTCTGTTGGCTTTGCATGATTCGCCATAGACGCCAAAGCAATGAAAAGGCAAAATATGAGGAATCCTTCAAATACTAAGCGAAGATCAATGTATTTTCGCAAGGATATTGCTGTGATGGTTTCCTTCGCTGAAGTGCAATAACCGCGTGGCTAGGACTGACGGATGGCGATTGACAGAGTGTGAGTAATTCTAAAGAGCGATTGCTACTTGCTAGAGCCTATAATCTACTAGGAATGAGAACTATCTATGATGCTTCTGTCAGGTTTGTTAATGGCCGGTGGTCATGAACTGTGTGGTTTGAAAATCTTTACAATTGCTACCACCATCAAGTCAAGGGCGTTCTTTTGCTGTTCAGCCTTGATGTAGGTTTTTCTCCTATACTTTTTAGGTTTCCCTACATATAGATGTGAATGCAAAGGCTTTATCATCATTGAATTTCTAGAATTTAATTGATATATAAGGTGGTACTAAGGGGAGCTTCGAGTTTACGCACTGTAAAACCAAAAAGCACTACTGTAAACTGCTGGTGGGTAGCCAATCCCGCCCATTTTTTACAGTGGGGTTGCTCATCAATACCGATGCGTAATGCAGAGGTACACGTTCGTACATCGTTTCCGCTATTTCCCCGAAGGATGATTAGCTCCCTCGTGTGATTGTCCGTAATAATCGGAGCGGGGTATTCCTCTAGGTTTGATTTGCTTTCTAAAGCTCATTCACTCAGGGCGTTTCTGGCAGGGACAGTTGCCGTTTCAGCGTTTCAACCGGATAAACAAATTTCTTACGGTTTAGTCAAAGGATACGCACGTGGCACACCAGCCCTGGAGATGGCAGCAATCGATTGCAGCAGGAGATCTCCTGAGATGCACCAAAATCAAGTTCCATCGAGTGATCAATCACAATCAGACGAGCCGGACGACGAGAATACATGGTCTCTTGTTCAACTCGCTGCTGCGAATGGTGATCTGTGTCAGGTACAGCGACTTCTAGCCACCACGGACCCCAATGAGGCTCCGAGAGGATATTATGGGAAAACTGCTCTTCAGGCTGCCTCCTCTCATGGCCACATGGCTGTGGTTGAGGCGCTGATTGTGGCAGGGGCAGACGTCAACGCACCTGGAGGAAACAACGGAGGCAAAACAGCCATGGTCCTAGCCGCAGCAGCCGGCCATATAGATATCGTCCGCCGCCTCGTCTCTGCAGGTGCAGATATTAATCGCCTACCCCATAAGTATACCGGTCGAACTGCCCTACAGGCTGCTGCGGAGGGGGGTCATATCGAGCTACTACGATGGCTACTCAAGGAAGGCGCAGACGTTAATGCGCCTCCGGCTAAGAATCACGGCCGCACCGCCCTTCAAGCTGCTGCTGCGGCAGGTCATAGCGATATCGTGGAGATTCTACTTGAACACCAAGCCGATATTAATGCGCCTGCTGTCCGGTATAAGGGGTTGACGGCCCTTCAAGGCGCCGCTTACGGAGGTCATTATCGCGTCGTCCAGCGCCTATTAGCAACAGGAGCTGATGTGAATGCGCAAGGCGCATACTACAACGGGTATACGGCGCTCTCAGCAGCTGCGGAAGGTGGCCACTATGAGGTTGTACGGATGTTGCTCGACGCCGGCGCAGATGCCTCCGCTCCATCGGGAAATAAGAAACGGACGGCAGCACAGATTGCGACTTCCAGAGGACAAGGGGAAATCGCGCAACTTCTTTGATGGCGTAAGGCATGACTTATTGTGGCGAACCAGAGTACAGTCTGACTACGCGATGAACTGCTTACAGAATGCTTCCTGAGGGAGATCCTGTATATTCGGCATGCGTCGAATATCGATTGTATCTATCATAAGCAACCTTACTAATGGCACGTCCTTGCCTATGTACCCGTCTCTCGGCCATTTCAAATAGATCAATAAGCCCTTGGTCATGGCGAGCATATTATCCGGTCGGTTCCTCGGGGCGTTTCGTTGAAGCAAACTAATACAGTAATAGGTAGCACGCTTTTAGAGGGGATAGTCTAATTAAATGAAAACAATGGGTACCGAAATAAGCTAAATTAGTTGATTGAGCAGGTTAAAAGAGTGGTAAACAGCGGCAGTCCATCTACAATCGTGTAGCTGACCACAGATTCTAGAGCATACTACTGAACATTTGCCGACCAGTTCGAAACACTCGGGGTTGCAAGTCCACCGGTGAAGGGCTCAGTGCCAAATTCCAAGTCTATTATATCCTAGATCAGTCATTATTCAGGGACGCGACACGGCAGCCAAGGAAATTGTACACTCCTCTCTGGCTTCGATAAGTTCCCATCAATTCAAGTTAGTCAAACAAGCCCTACCGGCCTGATGAAACTAGATTCTTCCACTTATAAGCGGGTGCGCAACGTAGGCCGGAAGTACGTTAAGTACTAAAACAGAAAGGGAACTCCAAGAAGTGGCAGAGGAAATCCGTTCGAATCACTGAGGAAAACACCTGAATTCATCCTTGTTGCGCGTCTATCCGTCGGAAACCTCTATTTCCTAAGAGCAATATATCATAAAAAGCAGAGTTTCATTAGTACCTAGTTGATTACCCTAACCCAACGACCCTATCCTATCCTATCCTCATCCTCATCCCCGAACGAGGCTTAGTCCAACATATAAACCCACACGAAGAAAACGGGACAAACAGGACAGCACAAGATGGTATTACATTAAGGAAACGAACACAAAGGGAAGAACAAATGGGGAACCAAAAACGGGGAAAACACATCAAAAACCCGTTCGTTTTAATCGGCCGTGCAGTTCATCTACACCCGGCCCTTTCTTCGTGAAAGCTGGGGAATCGGGTCGGGTATACCGACTGGAGAAAGGTCTGCGAACCCCCAGAGAAAACCGGAGCAGCGACGAGCACGACCAACGGATGGTGTATCACGACATAGGCAGGAGATATTCATGTGAACTGGAAGACAAGGATCTGTGGGTGCGGTTCAAGGAGTTGTGACATGGCAAGGCGTGACTTTGAGGTTCTTCCTCCGTGGGCTCGTCGCATTGGAGGGGGGATATGGTGTCATCGGGTGCGATGCCATGGACCCCCAGCCCACGCGGAAACCACCGGACGAAGCGGAGACGCAGAAACGAGTGTGTGGGTTGGGAAATTGGAGGGTGGAGGCAAGGAAAGGTACGAGCCTGAGGTGGTGAACCGAGCTTTCCCCTTTTCCCCCACCGTCCGCCATTCCTCCACCATAGGCGAAGCAAAGCCGTCAGATTCGTGGCATAGGGAAAAAATAAAAAAACGCAGGAAGAGCACAATGAAGACTCTTCAGTCATTGTACAGCTCCTTTGCCTAGGCGGCGATGGGCTCCCGCTCCTCCTCGCGGCCGCGCATCTCACCTTCCGCGGTGCTAAGGCCATCTTCGCCCTCCTCGTGGTAGCTCGCGTGCTGGTCGGCGGGCAGCCAAGAGTCGCGATCGCCGGTCATGGGCTGGTCCTGGCCCGATAGGTCGACGCCGTCGCGGTTCTTGTTGACGTTGTTGCGGTGGCGCTGGGAGAGGGTGCGCGAGCGCTGCGACATGGTCGACTTAACGACCGCCTTGGAGCTTACCCAGTTGGTCAGGGCATCCTCGCAGTCCTGAATGATGGCCTTGCTGGCATCGTAGCCGTCGTAGGCGTGGCGGGTCTCGCCGGGGGTGACGGGGGTGTCGTCGATCAGGTCCAGCAGGTGCTTGCCGTACCCGGCAACGATGGCGACCTTCTCGCAGTGCTCGCGGAGCGCGTCGAACTGGTACTGGAAGGCGGCCTTGACCTTTTCGCGGGTGATGTTGGACAGCTGAGCCTCAGCGACGAGCGACTCGGCCTCGGCGCGGACGAGCTCTTGCTCCAGCACGACGATGCGCGGCGAGTTGGGGTCCTTGTACTTGAGCTTGGCGATCTCGTCGGTGATCTTCTGCTTGCGGTCACGGCTGGGCTGGACGGAGGCCTCGATGTTGCGGATGCTCTTGATTGTCACGCGGTACTGGTCGTAGCGGTCGACAAACATGTCTTCCAGCTCGCCGATCTCGTAGATCAGGACACCGAGCTTGTCCGTCACATCCGACACGTCCTCATCGCAGGCTTCGCCCCAGATGGAGAGTTGTTGCTGTTCGGGGGGAAGTAAAAGTCACCGATTAGCCTCAGAACGTGCCTCTCGTTTGCGAATGGAGAACGACATTATCGGCTACTTACAGCGACCTCCATGCGCTCCCGTGCGACGAGCTCCATGCTGCGCATGACGTTCTTCTCCATCTTGACCAGTTGTGACAGCTTCTTGGCGAGGTCGGGCCCGAAGGCACCGGCCGCATTTTTACGGAATGCATGGCCTGTATTGCGTGTTAGCGGTCGTTTTATCACGGGCGAATCCTTCTGTCGCTCGTTGCGTGCTTCCCCTGTCGCTCCCCGGGGGGGGTTTGGAGTAGCCCGGGGTCTGCCCGATCAGGCAGCCTCGGGGCCCCTCCCATTGCGAGCAACCGGGCGTCGGGAACACTCGCTCTGAGGGCGACCGAAGCTTTTGCGGTCTTCCACTCACCGATACCACCCTTTCCTAGCCACCGACCCGACTTGGTGGAGGACAATGGTGGTGGAGGGTTCTCGATCTGCGAGGCGGTCGGGGCGCGCGACTGGCGCATAGAATAGGTGCGATGCATGGCGGCGGTGGTGAGAGTCGACTAGGGGGAAATCGAGCAGGAGGTCCAATAGGGAGAAAGTGAGCAGGAAGGATATCGGAAGTCAAGGTACCTGCAGCCAGCAGCGGGTTAGAAAAGAAGGGTGGGAAGGGAAGAAGAAAAAGCGACGGTGCCTTGCGCAGTAGTGACGTGAGCTAAAAGTGGGAGGGGGAGGAAGGGTAGTGACTTGTCGTGAAGAACTTACCTCGACGGGATGCGGCGGAAGAGCACTGCAACCGGAGATCGACACAGGGGTATCAGGAGGGAGAGAGGTCGAAACGCGGCCAGCTGGTGCAGTGGTCGTAGAGAAAGTCTGCAGGAGCAGGACTCGGGCCTGATATCTCCAGTCGGTGACTCGCTCTGCTGGTCTCCCCCTGGTGACGTCGACACTTTGATGCGAGCGCCTAACCCTTTTTGGTGGAGAACCGGGGCAGCCACAGACGATGATGTGGATGATGCTGGAGAAGGCGCTCCGGGGATCGGCCCAGTCCCGTGAGAGCAATTGAGACCTGGAAGAGCTTGAACAGGGAGCTCACGCCAACCGGACACTGGCGGATCCTGGGGGCCACCCTGCGCCCCAGCAACGAGCAGTCCGGCAAAGTAAAACAGGAGACACTAGCCACCAGGCCAGTTAGACCGCGACAGAGGAGCTCAAGGAGGCACTCGCGCGTGCAGATCCAATTGATCCAATAGTGCCGGCATTCTCCAAGCTGCGATCGCCGACGTCATCGTTCCCGGAGGTGTTGATGTCATGCGCGGGTAGCCGAACTATGGACTCGACCATGTCATGAGTCCCGCAGCGTTGCATTGGCGATCGTGAAAATTTCCAGATGGAATCAAGGAGAAGGAAGAAATAATGGTCGATCTCTGGCACCCCCGTCGGTCCTGCAGTTCCTGTAGTTCCTGTAGTTCCTGAAAATCGTGGATCGTCGCGATTGATCGTCAGTGGGGGAAGAATGCTGGGACGCTGCTTATTCGGTGGAGTGTTTGGTACGCTAAAAGACGGGCGTCGCCAGTCTGGCCCAAGGATTCAGTGATCCAGCCGATTCATGGCAGGATGGTACCATACGTATATACTGTATTTATGGATTCACGAGTTCGCTATGAAACAAGACTAAATAAGAACATGATATTCCATCCACAGGTTCATGCAGTTGAAGAGTCTGCGCGAGTCTTCTGCTTTTTACTGCCCTTGGTAGCTTTACTACTGGGGCCTCGTTTGCCCGTCGAGCTCGAGCCCTCGCCGGCCCGATCCTCCACTGCAGCTGCCGCCTCGTCACTGCGCGGCGCCGCTCGGCCACCACGGGCCTCCTGCCGCAGTCGGCCGAAAGCCTTCTCCATCCGGCTGGGACCGCCAGTGCGGGCCCGCGGCGCAAATGCTCCGGCGCCCTGAGGACCCTGCATGAACTGTGTGATGTTCGACTGTGTGCCCTCCTGCTCCCGACGGTTCATGTCTCGGATCACAGGCACCAGAACCTCGTCAGTGCGCTCTTGACTCCAGCCAATCGTCGACATGAGGAAGTGCCGTAAGCCATTCAGATCAGGCACACCCCATTGGAATGGCGACGGGTCCCCATCGACCTCGGGCTCTAGGTAGGCGGTGTCCACTCGGGTGTCAGGGAACGATGGCGGCAGGAAAATCTTGGAGGCCTTCTTGCGGAATTTCTTCTGGAAGGCGAGATGGACGTCGGTGGGATTGCTCATGCCCATCTGGACCTGGGTCCACCAGTCGCGAAACTCCTCCAGGCTCGAGAACTCGGTGATAATTTCGAGAGCCGTGACGGGACCGATGCCGGGAATTCCTTCGGTGTAATCACTGCCCAGCAGATGCGCGAAACTGATGAGCTTGCGCCGGTAGAGGGCATATTCCTTCTCAAAGTCAGAGGATAGATAGCATTCCACGAACTTGCTCTGATTGAACATGTTCTTGTAAACGCGAGTGCCGCCGAAAAGGAAAGTATCACTGTCATCGGTGACAATCCCGTCCACCAGTCCCAAGGAGACGAGTTGGGCACACTGTGCCTCGGCCTCCATGGGCGCAGTGATATACGGCAGCCCAAACAGTTGAAGCAGCTGCTGGCATTCATTGATCATGATCTGTGTCACCTCGTCCGCATCACGTCGATCTTTCCGTTGCTGATTCCGTAGCTGCTTGAGTTCTTGTTCATAGTCAAAGGCGTCCTGATTAAGGACATCCGAGTTGAGCGTCTGGGCAAACCGAACGTGTTCCTCCCCTTCAGCTGCAAGCTGTCGCATGAGCTCTTCATCTTCCGGGTCGCTGAACTCGCCATAATCATCGACAAAGTGGTCAAATTGCGCGGGCGCTTCTTGTGGCTCGGGATGGCGATCGGTGACCACAGAGATCTCAGGGGGAGGACTCGGTGCTGGGGCCGGAACCGGAGGCAAGACATCTTCAAACTCTGGTTCAGGAGAGGCCGATGTCTGCGACGCTTGTTCCTGAGCCTTGGACTCTTCTTTAGCTTCCGTGATCAGCGTTTGCTCAAGTTCACCCACCGGAGCCTTGCTCTCGATCGGCTTATTTATAACCGCTGCTTGGGCGGACTCTGCATCGAGCATTTGGGGAAGAGCAGACCCAAGCTTCGTTTCTTTCGCGTCTTCTGATGGGACGACTTCCATAGATGTAGATGCCTCGGCCACTCTCTCCTCTGACTCCGCTTCTAGATCGATGACTTCTTTAGTCTCTGACATGTCATCAACATCAATGATGTCGGGTGATCGATGGTTGGAGAGAAAGAGGTCGTCAGGGTGTGCCTCGTTTGGAATTTTGCCCTCGTTCTCGAAAGTTGGATCCGTAATGAATTCCTCATTTAGTCTATCCCCAAAGAACCATGGAGGAAGCGGTTCGGTCTTCTTCTTCTTGGAAGTTTCCTTGATGAAACCGCCCGCATCATTGTCAAGCTCATGGGTTTCGTCAGCCCTTTGGGTGACCTTATTGAGTGTAATAGACTCAAAAGGAAGTGGCCCCGAGAATGGGGTTTCAGCCTGATACTTCTTCTCAGAGACCTTGGTTTGAGCCACTGCAGCGGAAAAATCCATGCCGTCGTCATCACTTTCATCGAACGCCGGTTCTGGTGCAGGCTCGGGACGAGCTGTTGTGTCCAAAGGCTGGTTAACAGAGATATCAGGCATATCGTCCTCTGGAATTTCGTTCGGCTGCATCGATAGAGCGAGAGCTCTTTGGAGCTCGTCATCCTCTTCATCATCGAAGAGGTCGGCGTCTTGATTATGATGCCGTGAAAGAATGCCACGATCGCCTTGGACGAACAGCGCATCGTCTTCAGTATCTTGTGCCGGGGTGGGCAAATCTCTGCGTGATTCAAATAATGTTCTTTGCATATCGGAGGCTTCTTGAGCCTGCTCTAGAGATTCATCGAATAGACCCTCTCGAAGGAAAGGCAGCTTTGGTAGCCTGTTGACACCTTCGATTGGTACATCCTCGAATTCGTCATCATCCGACACGTCGTCTGACTCAGGATCCGCGTCTGGTAAGCCGTATTGATCAACATCAATAGGCTTGTCTTCCCGTCCGGCTTCTTTGTTCCCCACAACACCTAGAACCCAGCCACCTTCAGTTTTGTTATCTTTGACTAGGACATATTCTCGACCACGCTCTCCAGCAATTCGCTGTCCAGATTTGTAGAACGCCTCCTCTCCGTTCATGCCGTTGATGTTCATTAGTCGTTGCGTTAAATCATTTCGTTCCGTGACTCGTTCTATTTGAAACTTTGAAAAGGCCATACGGTCTGGAAACATGGTATCAAGCTGTTCCTTGGAATAACCCATTCTCAGTCGGCTCCTAAGCCTTGCTGCATTCAGGATATTGTATCGGTCGGTGGCGGGAAGACTGAGGAAGAAGGGACTGTCGAAGTCAATTTTAGAGAAGTCGTAAAGATTAATGTCTTGGCCCTGGTGGAACTGTCGCGCATATTCTTCCAGCTCTGCTTGTGACATGATGCGAGGGTCGTTAGGAGCACCCATCTCTTCCAGCGAGACATCCAGATTCGGAAGGTGATACGCATCCTTCTTTCGGAATTTTCGAGACTTTTGTCTTTCCTGCTCGTTCATGAAAGCCTCCTCCACGTAGACTGGAGCCTCAGGAACCACGTCTCCCTGCGGAGGACGTTTCTTGTTCCGCCGCCGCTCCTCAGCTTCCTCCTCTGCGGATCGTTGCATCTGCACTGCAAGCAACTTCCCTGCGGTCCTCGTCGCATCGTCCCTTCGACCCTCCCGTCTTTTCTTGCGCGCGGCGATCGTCTGTCGTTTCAAGACCGGAGCACCGCCATCGAAGACAAAGACAGGTCGAATGCCGAAGTATAACAATTTGCATATGCGGCGAAAGAAGCCGACAACGTGCGAGTTGCGTAGCGCATTGCCCTCCTTGTCGCGCACTGCTTTTAGGAACTGGTAGATCCAAATGGACGCGTCGACGGCCAGCCGTTTCTTGTTAAGGGTCTCGAGTTTGATAGGTCGGGCACAAGGCTGCAACACTGTCCAAAGGCCGGTGACACCCATGACGATTCAGTTGGAGGCCGGGTTCAACTTGAATCGGGTGCGCTGTGAGCAAGCTCACGGATCGCTCACCGGGGTGAGGCTCATGACGGATCGGAGTCGCTGCGGGATCTACTTCAGTTCCTTGATTCGCCGCGTGAGAAGGCGCGAAGTCACGTGAACCGTAGTGCCACTTTAGGGCTAGTGGGGCTACCAAAATTAGGTAAGCATTTCAGGGTGGAAGGCGCACTTTGACAGGCGGCGCCTTCCTGAAAGAGTGGGATAAATTGGCATTGAGTCAATTTGAATCGATTGGACCGGTTGACTCTCAATGCACGGTGGAGTCGGTGGAGATGTCTATCTCTCTCGAGGTCAGTGCCTGCATACAAAAAATTTCCCGATGTATCAACCACACCATCCGCTGACTCGAAAATCGCAGCATGTGAATGCATGTCTTCCCATAACAGCACTGAAGGCGGTCCAATGGAGCGATCACACATTCATTTTTGAAGGGCAAGGCCCATTTCTTCAAGTAATTGATGACCAAACAGGAGATGTATTTGCCCAAGTGCGGGCATTTAAACGCAATCACGTTCATGGCTTTATCACCATTCCTCGCCGGCGGGAAAGCCAAGACGACTCATACTGCGAGTCGATCATTCTTTGGGGTGGGAAGTCAGTTCGCGCCTTTGATGTCTGCCTTGACAAAAATCATGCAGTCAGCTTGACCGCATCCAGCGTCGAGGTTCTCACTCCGGACTGGATTATGAGCGGGTGCGCAGCAGCAGCAGACCAACCGGATACAGCATATCTGATCACTGCAAACAATGCGCTCTTGAGGATCAAGCTTGAATACGGCACATATGATCGGTATAGCACGAATATCGGCATTTACCAGCTTGCGACGAGTGTGAAGTGCATCTTGTATGCTGCTGACCTCATTGCGCTTTCCCATTCTCATGTCCTTATTGCCTCTGGGACTGCTTTCGGCGAGATTATTGTCTGGTCTTGTTTTATAAGTGAGAGTGAGCCATCGCAAGCCAAAGCAGTCGCTTCTATCCACCACTTCTTCACTGGCCATGATGGGTCCATATTCGGAGTACGGATTTTCCCGAACATCTCATCTCTGAATGGTGGGCTGTCAGGTAGGCTGCTGGCAAGCTGCAGTGATGATCGGACTGTTAGAATCTGGGACATCTCCGACTGCGAGAATAAATCATCTCAGGACCTATCCGCTTACTCCACTGATGGCTTCGAGCTTCGAAGTACTGGATTTGGCAGTGGTCTTGGGTCTGAGTTACATGTTGCAAAGGCCTTCGGCCATGCTGCTCGCATTTGGAGCGTGAATCTTTGCTCACCCAAGAAGGACAATCCGACCACTTTATGTCTGGTGACTCGAGGCGAAGATCGCGCCTGTGTGGTGTGGGAATTGAGCTGGGAGTCACCGTCCTTTGGCACCACGAAGTATCATCTTCGTGAGATATCTTCAACACAGCCCCACTTGGGGAAGCACATCTGGGCTCTTACTCTTTGTGACCAGGGCGAAGAGACTGTTGTCTATACTGGAGGTGCTGATGGGGCGTTGAAAAGCTTCAGAGTCAACAAACATGCTTTTTCTTCGACGCAGCACGCCCCTCAAGTCCAGAAAATGCCCTCTGGCCCAGACGCACCCAAGACGCTTGATTTTGTTGCTCCAGACTGTCTCATTGCTTGCTCCTTGCGCAGCGAGCTCCGTCTCGGGTACGTGAGTCCAATGGAGAATGCCAATGTGACATGGGAGACAATCTGCACTGCTGACGATCTCCGCTCATTCTCGTTGATAACTGGAATTCCTCAACACGGACTGGCATTGATAGCCAATTCGCAGGGACTAATTAGGCTTTACAACCACAGCACCAAATCGATCAACGAGTTGGTGAATTTGCGCAGGCGCCCACGCGAATTGTTCGTTGCGCACAGAGACCTTCTTTCTGAATCTTTTTCGTTTGTTGCGTCTTACTTCGAGGGCGAGGAGGCCGCGTTAATCAATGTGACAGGGTGGAACAGCAGTTGCCCGCGAGCTGAGGTAGTAACCTTTAGTCTGCCGATGGCACCCTATGTCATATTCGCGGCTTCTTTGGTGCATCACGGGAAGTTCTTGCTTCTCGGATCAGAGCTTGGAGGCCTGGCCGTGTACCGGATTGCGGGCCTTGGCTTGGCTTCCAAGCCGCTGGTAGACAGCAGACGTATCCATGGCCATGAAGGCACCAGTTGTATCCAGATCGTGCCATCTACTCCACAGGAGGGCCAGGAATACATATTGACCTGTGGACGTGATGGCAATTACTGTGTTCATAAATTACATGTTCACTGCGGTGAAGATGATTCTCCCTCCTTGGAAACCCTTGATCGGACCTCTTCTGGTCTTGGCCGGGATCTCTTTGGTCTTTACTTTGAGGAAACAACCGGTGATCTCATGATCTATGGATTCCGAGCGCAAAGTTTCGTCTTGCGAAACGAGACAAAACATCAAGATATCATGTCCATTGCGTCTGGTGGCGCTCGCAGGACCTGGGTCTACCAACACGGGACCAAAGACAGCAAACCTCTGCTCGTTTGGCTAGAAAGGACCAATCTGCATACACTACGCATTCAATGTGACCTCAATCGTTCCATCCGGGCCGGCGGGCATGGACGAGAAATCAGAGCTATGGATGGCCTGAGCGCTATCCGCGGAAGAGGACCTATTTTTGCTACCGGAGCAGAGGATACCCACGTACGCATCTTTGCTGCATCTAGCCGGGCAAATGCGGGCCCTTGGGGTTCATTCGAATGTCTGCGCATTCTGGACCAGCACAGATCGGGGGTTCAGCAGGTCCGTTGGTCTATGGACGGCCAATACCTTTTCACCAGTGCTGGCCACGAAGAATTCTTTGTGTGGAGGGTTCGCTGGCTTCCCACAATTGGTATTTCTGTCAAAATGGAGGCTGCCTGTCCGAAGAGTGATCCGGACTCTGAAATGCGGATCACAAGTTTCGATGTGCTGGAAGTAGAAGAATCTAGATCTGGACAGGGCTTCCTGGTCTGTTTGACATTGTCCAACTCTACGATCAAGGTATGGGCATACCTCTCTGCAGGAATACAGTTGCTAATGGGAACTAGATATTCCACTTCTCACCTTCTGAGGGTTACCGCTTCACTCTTCTGGCCCACGGGAGGTATATGACGAACTGCCTGACTCAAACTAACATATGGGTGAAGGACTTCTCCGTGAGCCTAATAACAGCCGCGACAGATGGGTACTTCACCCTTTGGGATTTGACCAACACCCTTAAATCATTTTATACCATTTCTCCATCGGGCCTTAAAGCCAAACGATCGTTTGAAGGCTCTTGTGTCCAACCAGAGAACATTACCTGCGAAAGCAGGTATCAAGTTCTTTCTAATAGCGTCAAAGCAATGGAGTTAGTGCCTCTTTCCGATACTGCCACAGTGGTTGTGGCTGCAGGCGATGACAACTCGTTGTCTATATCCCTTTTGAAAACATATTATACAAACACTGGCATCAATGCGCATGTGGCTTCTTTTTCCATTCCAGATGCTCATGCAGCATCAGTTACAGCCTTGAAAGTTCTTCGCCGGGAGCAGCTTGCAACTGATAACTCTGGCACAGAAGTCTCAAAGCTTACAATAGTAACCTCTGGTAACGATCACCGCGTTAAGTTCTGGTCCGTCACAGTGGACCCTACAAAACATCACTCAGAGGGAATCAGCGTGGAGTTCTTGTTGGACAGGTACAGTGCCGTGGCTGATATCGCCTCTCTGGGTTTCCTTCAGGATTCTGCCCATGAAGGCTGTGCAGATCCCTTGTCTGGCACGGGAATGCAAGGGAAGCTGCTCGTCTGTGGCGTTGGAATGGAGATGTTAAAGGCCAGCCTGCAGTGAGGCCTTGGCCTGCATGATGATGACGTGACGATGCTCATGTATAAAGAACATGACGCGCTGTATTTAGCATGGTGTTCGAAAACAATAAGAAAAGAAGATTATGCATTATTATCTGAGATCTCATTTCTGTAAACCCATTGTTTCACCTTCCCATCTTTGCAAGGCTTTGCTACCAGGTCCAGACATCAAGCGATCGGGTTCTTCAGCTGCCAACTGATTTTCGACTCTGCGCCCGTAAGGTTCATCTTCCCCGGTAATATGAGATATGATTATTCGGGCTAGCATACACCAGTTTACCTTGAGAGTGTGGACGGTGAATTGAAACGGTGTTGATGACCTATAGAGTCAGCCCCCGGTCATCATTGATGCTCCTCATCATATATGGGCATGAGGCTCGTCACCCCCCCACAAACCTCCTCCTAGGCCTTTATGGACAATATAGCGTGATTCCGGGGTGAGCTATGTTGTGCTACGCACTCTTGCGCAAGGAAGCTGTGCAACCTACCCCTTGGCGCGGATAATTGGACTATGTGCTTTTTCCTTGGGAGCTACTATGGTTTCTCGTCTCAGATACAGCGAGCTAATGGATATCCTAGGCCTGTGGCTGGATACTATATGGTTCATTCGTTGGATTTTAGTATGATTTGATTGGCTACCTGACAACTGCAGACAATGCATCGCTTGTTCTGAGCTACAACTTGGCTGTCGGTGGTGCAACCATCGACAACTCTATTATCAATGCTAGTGTTGAGGACATGGGTGGTCCATGTTTCAAGAACGAAGTCAGGCATCCGCATCTATGTACTTGACAGGCTTCCTTCATCCAGACTCGGTCTCAACCAAGTTCCACCAGGTGCTGCCACTTTATAAAATGAATCCCATGATTCGCATATGCTGGATTTCTCCGAAAGAGGTTGCCAATTTCACCGAACATCGTCATGGGATAGCTATATCATATACGGCTCCGCGTCTCCGTGTCGATCGATTCCCGAAGCGCCACGGGGCTCCCCAAACACTCTTGCACTGACCTAATTCATGCTGCGGAACTCAAGCCACCGTTGCCTGAAGAAAGCTTGAGGGGAGCCCTGCAGAACAGCCTGTGGCTTGCATCAGGCGGGAAGCGGATGTATTATTGTCGTTTACGTATACACGGCTGAGCCAGCTCCGTTTCATATCTGGACCCAGTCAAGAACGGCCATATCTCCCCATTATAAGTTGGGAGGGCATTGACCCCTTCTCTTTGGTGGGGAATCCTGGTCCTGGGGTAACCCCACAATTAGCCCTGGTTATGACAGACCCCTAGGTGTTATTAAATAATGTTGCCCTTGAACAGACTAATTGAAGGTTCGACGGGAAGAGGGGCCGTTGAGCTTTCCATGCTCCGTGTCCGTGTCTTTTTGCGACTCGTGGCTAGAATCGAGTCCCGTCGCTTGGCTATACTTCTCTACGTGGTTAGAGGCGCCTGGCTCGTGCGGGATTTCAGCAGAGGGTATTCAATAGTTATATGGAAAGGTCATGCTGCACCGACCAGGAGGAACACTGTCACTTGTCTCATACCCTGATTCAATTTGCCTCATCGCTACTCCTTAGCTTTCGCTCTAACGTCAAAGATGAGATTAAATCACATTATATTCCTGGCAGCCGCGGCCGGCTCCGCGGTGGCGGTTCCTTTCAAGGATCACGCAAAGAGAGCCTCTGCCTTTCAATGTATGGAAATGTATTTTGGAGTGCCTCGTGGACAATAGACACTCACATGTTTTAGGGTTTGGGTCAAATGAATCGGGAGCCGAGTTTGGTTCGGGCAACATCCCTGGTGTCTGGGTGAGTAGAGAGGAATGAGCCAATGCATAGTATGTCGTATGCTAGAGTATGCCAGCTCATGATAATCTTTGAAGGGAACCGATTATATCTTCCCAGATACCAGTACCATTCAGACCCTGATAGGCAAGGGGATGAATATCTTCCGGGTTCAGTTCCTGATGGAACGGCTTGCGCCGAATGGCATGACTGCATCATTCGACAGTGCTTATCTGAAAAACCTGACGACGGTGAGATTCCTCTAAAGTCAGCTTGCTGACGGTACAGAGAATGCTGATCGGAGTAGGTGGTGAATTATATCACCAACGCTGGCGCGCACGCTGTCATCGACCCGCACAACTACGGGAGATTGTAGGTGCTCTCCATCCCAATTGTCGGATCGATCAGGCGATATTAACAAGTTCGCAGCAAGGGTGCTATTATCTCCAGCACCTCGGACTTCCAGGCGTTCTGGGAGAATGTTGCTGGTCAGTTCAAATCGAACAGCCTGGTCATTTTCGACACTAGTGAGTGTACCCAAAACAATGCTCGCAAAGGGAGCCGTTCTGACGTCTTCCCTCCAGACAATGAGTACCATGATATGGATCAAACCCTGGTCCTCGATCTTAACCAAGCCGCAATCAATGGTATCCGCGCGGCAGGCGCGACATCGCAGTACATCTTCGTCGAGGGCAACTCGTGGACCGGTGCTTGGACCTGGACCACCGTGAACGACGACATGAAGAACCTGACCGACCCGCAAGACAAAATCGTGTACGAGATGCATCAGTACCTTGACTCTGATGGGTCTGGCACCAGCGAGACGTGCGTGTCGACGACGATCGGTAAGGAGCGGGTCACCGCCGCAACGCAGTGGCTCATCGACAACGGCAAGGTTGGTATCTTAGGCGAGTTTGCCGGCGGTGTGAACAATCAGTGCAAGTCCGCTATCACCGGTATGCTGGACTATCTCGCCGATAACTCCGATGTCTGGAAGGGGGCGATGTGGTGGGCCGCGGGCCCTTGGTGGGGAACATATATCTTCAGTATTGAGCCTCCAAGTGGTGTTGCTTATACCGGCATGTTATCGACTCTGCAGCCGTATTTCCAGTGAATGTGGTTCTAATTTCCCGCGAATATGTGTATGTGTGAGCGAAGGCGGGGAGTATGGGTGGCGAATGGAAAGATCGAACGGGGAATGTGTACTTGACTGTGGAGTACTCTGTATAATGCTAGCATCCGAATATAAAAATGTTCGGCATTAAAAAAGGGTTATTGTTAGCTATAGCCACCTTTAGAAACATGAAATTAAACAATTTCGTGCTTTCCATCGGCCGCGGCGATATCCTGCATCGGGTACGAGTTGACAAGATCCGTTGGTGTGTATGACAGCATGACGAGGGATTGACGGTGACGCGCGTGGGCCCCGATACAGCAACTCTTGGCGACGCGCTTGGGCTGGAGATTCCGTCATCACCTGTGGCTGATGCGTACCTCTTCCAACTTTGACCTACATACTTAGACCTACAGTAGGCACCGGCATCCCTCTCAGGCATTCGGATGCAGGCCACCCCTGACCTGAACAGGTTGGTCGGTTATCTAAGCCTCAGAGAAAAGTTTATCTTAAAATTAATTATAGAACCCAGGGACACCGGGAGTGGATAACGCGTTGCTCCGTGGAGACCGCCTAGTACGAGATGCGATCAAAGTTAAGGAAGCGTGTAAGGGGGTGGAGTGTGGAGGCGGCGACCGTACGAGACAGCATCGGTGCCAAGCGTAAAATGAAGAAGCCTGGGCCAGATTGCCTAGATCAAATGCGGGATAACGCAGGGCTGAGAGGCGTGCTCGCTAGGGTTTTTAGTGTTGTGAGGGAGAAAGAGAAGGGTGGCGAAAAATTCAGACGGTCCACAGGGCTGGAGGGTGACGAGGCAGCGTGGGCAGCTCGATTGGGACGGGAGGAATGGAGATCCTGCGCTCGACCGTGGAACTTGGTTTTTGGGTAAGGATTGGAGAGTTTGGTCGGCCAGGGGCAGGGGGTTTTCGACGGAGGATTTCTAGATGATAGACGTGTTTTCTGTCAATATGATTGCTGTTTGTGTTTAGGGGATAGTCGTCTGCTACGGCCGTCATCTGTGATGGATAGATTAACACTCTACTTCGTAATGACGAGGAGATTAGAAGGGCAATCTCGATTACCTCTTTGGGCTTAGCGCTGACACGAATAGAAACAAACGTGGCGTGGCCCAAGGCGGGTCCAGTACTCTTATCTGATTGGCTGACAGCGGCCCCGAGGGGGCGTGTCCCTTCCCTGCGCCTCTCTCTTAACTGCCCAGGGAGGCTGGAGTCGTTGCTAGTGCGTCTGGGTGTGCGAGGCTGTACGCTCCGGTCGTCGTCGTTCCAGTGCCGATCATGCCAGGATAAAATCCACCGGCCTCCCCAGTTTCTGACTTCTCCATCCCCATTCCAATCCTCCTTCCATCAACCCCCCTCTCGCCTATTCAATTGACAACTGACGACCACCCATCACATCAATCCATCATGGGGAAAGCCGGCCGCGTCGCGTGTATCTTCACGCCTTATGTGCTCACTATCGCCTCCCTGATCTGTATTATTATGGTCGGTCTGGGTTGTACGAAGGCCAGCTCCGGCACCTTAAACAACCTTTACTTCGTCCGGGTAAGTCTCTCGGTCATCTCTCACACCAGCCTTGCGAACAAGTCACTGACAAGGTTCTTTCGATAGGTTGATCTCCAGAACATCAGCAGCGAAGGATCCAAAACGACAACCGAGATCGAAAACATTCTCAGCGAGCACGGTATCACTAGTGTCACCTCGAGCGAGGTCTCCGATGTCCTCTCGAAACTCCAAGAGGACTCCACACTGGCAGACTTCTACCAAATCGGTCTCTGGGGTTACTGCGATGGCGCAATCAACAACAACACGGCCAACGTCACCGAGTGCTCGAAACCAAAGAGCGAGTTCTACTTCGACCCATTCTATGTCTGGGGTCTGGAGGACTCGGATGTGAAGGACGAGCTGCCCTCTGACTACACCAAGGCCATGAAGGTGTACAAGGCCGTCTCCAAGTGGATGTTTATCGCCTACCTGGTCGCCTTCATCGTTACCATCGTCGAGATTCTAGTTGGTTTCTTCGCCATCTGCAGCCGCTGGGGCAGCTGTGTCACCACTTTCTTCGCCGTCCTTGCCTTCCTCTTCACCACCGCCGCCTCCATCACCTCGACCGTCCTCTTCTCAGTGTTCAAGTCCAGCCTGAGTTCCACTCTCGACGCCTACGGCATCACTCTGACTCTGGGGAAGAACATTTACGCTGCTACCTGGTTGGCCGTAGTCTTCTCCCTCGCTGCTGTGATCTTCTGGACCTTTAGCATCTGCTGCTGCTCCGGTCGCTCGCCGTACGGCAACCGCAATAACAACAATGCCCGCGGTATCACTGCCGAGAAGGCTCCCTACACCTACGAGCCTCTTGGTGCGGGCCAGCACCCCCACGGCCACCAGCACAACACCTCGTACCCACCTCCCGCTGCTCACGGCGGTGAGTACCCCATGACCAACACCAACCAGCGGTCGAACGCCTACGAACCCTTCCGCCACGTCTAAGCTAAGCGCGAAGCAATATGCTTCAAGAACCTCTTACCATGTCTCTTGTATACACCTCCTGAAGCGTTCTTAGACTGGGGATACTGTGGCGTTTGACTGGTGGCTTTTTGATGGTTATATGGGCTTGGTCTTTTGCATGCTTTTTTTATGACCACTTTCCTTTTCCCCTGATGACTTTCATACTTGCGAGCGATATCTCTGATGCAAGTGCATTTTTTTTTTGTATATGGTTACTGATAAAAATTGTATGCCAATACCCACGATTGAATTAATTTGCAAAAACTTATAGCCTCAATCTTGATATGCGCTTCAATAAGTAAAAGAAACGAGACGTTATCCCGCTCCGTCTACTCCGTATAATCTACAATAAGTAGTAAATACAACAAGTCCCACCTTTGGACAATAAAGTTTCCATAAGGCTCAATAGTTGAGGCTCTCTACTGGACATCCGTCAGGACCCTCCGTTCCACAGTGGATCTCACTAGTTTAACTCCGACCCCCACATTCACATTGATATCTAGTCTGATGGAAGGACACGCTCCGTAGCCCAGAGGGGACAGATACTGGCTGGGTGTGGAAGCATGACGCGAAGCACGAGCTGAGGAAAACAGCCGAAGATACGAGGTTAATGGCTGGGGCTGGATATCAGCTGCCGACCTCAACGTTTGTTTTAAAATGTAGCCTAGGTTCGCGACACGGCGCGGTATGGTGCAATTGAAGCCTTGAAAAACCAATATCTTTCTAGTTTTCATAAGCCCCGGTTCCTGTATGGTAGATGGGGTATTGTGTTTTCCATAGCATATAATATGTACATGAATCGGAATAGAAAATAGCCAAGAGTCGCCAGGATATAGCCTCGCAAGTACTAAGTTCACTACTTCGTAAAAGCCATGCAGTGCTAGCTGCTCCCAGATAGCGTCGCCAACGTCGTATGGGTTGGGCGGCAATATAGCTCAGTTCCCGACGAGGAAGTTTGGGCGAGCCTCCATGCCCCAAGGTTATTGTCACCGGTGAATCGGCCGACGAATCACGCCCTTTTCATTTAAAAGGACTTTTGCTCCCCCGCGCCGGTGTCGCTCGCTCAACACATTCTGGTCAGCTTCGGCCCAGGCCTTGAGCGGGGTTCCTGGGTGGTCGGACCAGGCTGGCCCAGTATTGGTCCACATGTGCCGCAGCGACATGAACCAGTTTTCTTCTTCGCTCTCAAGTTCGGCCTCAGGTTCAGTTTCGGGAATCTCGTCCGTGGCTGAGACGAAAGTTTCATCCCCGAGCTCAACACTTGCGGTTTCGTGGCGAGTATCGTCCGCGTCGATCTCTTCATGGTCGGTTTCCTCAACCTCGACCAAGCTAACATCATCCAGCTCCCCTTGGGTGTTGGGCTTTTGGGTTTCTATGGCTTGAATATAGGCGGCCGCATCTGACCAGAAGTTGAGGAGAGCGGGGTTTTCGTCGAGCGAATTCGTCGGAATTGCTTGGGTATACACCGCCTCGTCCGGGTTCATTTCGGAGCCTTCAAGTTTGACGATGGCTGATGATGTGTCAGAATCCGTTTGAGTAGGATTCAAGTGGCCATCGAAGGCATAAAGAGCGCTTGTGGTGGATCCTCCAGACAAGTGTGCATGGAAGTGTGAAAACCTATCCGCAGAACTCGTTGCAAGTGTGTCCATGGCTTCCCCCTGGATGAATTGTGAGGGAGCATACGCCTGGCTGCTAGCGAGGAGAGACTCTATATCATGTGGAACAAACTGGGATGCAGCCACTTCGATGCCGTAGCCTGATAGACTACGTCTCTTGTTCACTGGTCGGGAGAAGTTTGAAGTGAAGTAGAGCTCATATTTCAAAGTCTCGGTGGGATCCCGGGATGTGTGCTCTTCTAGGTAGGAAGGATATCGCTGAAGGTTCATGATGATGAAGTCATCCCACATGTTGGACTGTTGTAGCAGACCTTGCGCACGAACGTCTTGCAGTTTGGAGCAAAGCTCAGTGAAGTGACCATAGTCGCCGGCGTAGCTAGGATAGTCAGTGCAGAATTGCTTGTATACTTGCTGCGCCTCGGCTGATTTTTCCGGGTCACCAATAAAGCCCAGGCGACGAGCAACTAGCTCAGCACTCTGCGTGGCAGGCATAGCTTGACTAGTGTGTTGCGTGTCTCGTGTCATGTCTTGTAGGCTTTTAGACAGGGTCTGATCTTGGCCGGCATCTGAAGGATTGTAACACCCCATTGGAGACACTTGCGATGAACCTTTAGGGTCATTGGAGTAGCCCTGCGTCATGAGCTGGAGGGTGGGCTCATGAAGCAGAGAGGAGGCCAAATCGGCAGAACTCGCACACAGCTGGCTTAATGGCTTGACATTAAAGGTTGAGCCCGGGGAGGAATAATCTTGGTGGCAGTGGGCAGGTTCCGAAGAATCGAGCACAACTCCATGTTGCGAATGGGAAGAAGTGTCTTGAGAGTGAGAGTTCATGGTGCTGGGTTGTGTCTGAGGCACGGCAATCTCGACCGGAGACGCAACAGCCTCCGTACGAAGTGAAGATGATTCTGTTGTCTCATGAGTCGACTGACTTCTCTCGGAACTCCCAGGATAAAGGCATGTATCCGGTACTCGTGACTGCGAAGAAGGTTTGTTGCCCTGGGAGGAGAACTGTGGATACGGAGCGCCAGGCTCCTTTTGTTCATTATCAGGGTTTCCATGGTATAGTCGATTGTGTATCGTCAGAGGAGTCACGGCGACCTGGACGTGATATCTAATGATCCCGGAATGCGAGGAAGCCGAGCCTACGGGCTCTTGCTCGGCCTGACTGCATTGTGTGGGTGGCAGGCTTTCGCCAAGCGCAAAAGGAATCGAATTCTCCATCACCGACTCATCGTCACTTTCTGATTCCGATCCATTTTCAAGCTGTTCGACGACAGATTCTGGGGTGTCCGAGGCTGTGAGTGACTCCTCAGCAGAAAGCATAGGACCTCGGTCAAAGTTCTGGCTGACAGGCTTGACAGGCGAGTCTTGCATTTCCACATCACCGGAATGGCCCAGATCCTTCAGACTGCTTTGGATTGAAGTCGTCACATTGTCTGATTTCCAGTTTTCTGGTTCATTTGTCGGAATGGGTTCAAAGACAGCGCCCCCAGACACATTCCGAGGATATCCTTTCTTGTTTCTATGAGGCTGCAATATTTCATCGGAGTCACTTGGCCGTCTCGGGTTATCATTTTCCGCTTTCCGACCAGGGATATAGTCGTCAGCGCTGGGACCGGCATCTGTCCGCAGTGACATGGGCTGCCTTATAGGGCTGCTTTCCGGAGGCAAGTTCCGTGGACTCCCGTGGGCAGAGCTTCCCGACCATGAGTATACTTCTTCTTCCTCGGGTTCACATTCGGAGATTGAGGTGGTTTCTTGGGTTGAGATTGGGGTAGCAGACCGACTGAATGTTTTCTTGTGTACATCTTCCTTAGCCGATTGGTGCCTCCGCTGAGCGATGCTGTTCCACTGCGTGAGAAGCCAAGGCGGCACATGTCCATGAGGTTCGGGGCTGCCTGGCGCTGGAGGGATCCAGCATAGATTTCCATCTAAGAGATCAAGTTGGTCTTTGGGAATATTGACATCGCTCGCTGGTATTTTGGAAAGCCCTTGCCATGGGTTCATTCTAGGCAGCGGGGGATCGATTACGGGGATATCATCGGCATTGACCTGCTGGTCATTCTTCAAGTGATGTATTTCAAAGGGAGGCTCATAGGCTGCGACAGGCCCTGGTGATCTCTCTTGTATGGACTCGATGCGCTGTCTTTTTTTGGATGGCAAATCTCCTGTTGCCTCTTGGGGCGGCTGGAGAACGTGACTCTCGGCACAATTGGGCTGTGATTGAAGATCCACACTATCACGATGTCGTTTTCGCGAAGGCGAGCGATTGGCCACTTTGGACGCAAACTGCGCATCGTCAGGCTCATTGGAATCTAGCGGGCAAAGGGCTGTAGTTCCATTCTGCGGCTGAGACGAGATGGAGTCTTCTCGAAAAGTGCGATTTTCCAGCGGAGGGGAGTGCTGAGCGCCATTCGCAATTGGTTCTCCACCAGCGAGCACCCGGAGAGGGCTTCTGCTCGTCACAGACCCGTTTATTTGCGTTTGCGTGTGTACTGAACATCCCACGGATGTTATTGAGCTTGGTTGCGGATTGGGACCAAGATGCTGAAGGAGTTCGGCGGTCCCACGTGTGAGAGAGCGGTCCATGTTCGCGTTATAATGGATCATGTCGTGATCGTGAACGGGCACCTGAACGGGAATTTGAGAGAAAATTTGCTGTGTTTCTCTTTCCTTCAGAGTGCTGCTTGGGGAAAGACTTGATTGGGGCATATGCTGATCTACAGGCCCAGTGGACTTCGACGGTGGGCTGCGTGATCCATTTGGCTTGATAGCTGGGCGGCTGCTCTTGGCTGCCTGTTTGGCCCTGTCCAGCAAGACCTTCACGACTTGATTTTTCCTTAACTTTTTCGCAGGCGTAAATTTCACAAGTCCTTCTTGCCACTTGATGCAGAAGCGATTTACCTTGAGGTGCACATCGGGGGTAGACGTCGAGTACGTGAAGATCAACGCAAAGTCCATAAGCTGTATTAGGTGCTTTCGGGGGCTAGTTTCATTTGAATGTGGGTTTGGTGCCTGCAGTTGGGTTGGATCGGACAATTCGCGAGGAAACATCGCGAGAATCTGATTATCGGCATCCATCAACAGTGCGCTGTCGCGCGGGGATTCTACGCTCCACTAATGAAGGTCGACCAACTTGTCAGCCCATCCTAGATCTCGTAGTCCATTGAAAAGAGTGCAAACCTCCAGAACCACAGCCTCGGAATTGAGCCCGGGCTTGCTAAAACTCAATGTAGCTCCGTCATCCTCCACATTGATGCCATTCCGCGAAGTCTGGCCAAGGTAAAAGCCGAGGCACTGCTCGACAAAAGTGGCGAGCCATGCAGAGGGGACAGCGACATTCATCGTGTAAGTCCAGATTATTCAATGACAATATCAAGTGCCATCAAAGTCATGTCCGGCTGGAGGACCATGTCCAGAAAGTTGGCGTCGTGAATTTTCGCATCTCCACGATCGGCAGGAGCGAGCAGCTGCCGATAGCAGATAAGACGCGTTGCGGGACGCGATCGGCTGACTCATCGGCGCACCACGTCATTGGGCGTGAATTGCGGAGAGCAAGGGCCTTTGCTCTTGCGTTGCTCTCTTTCTTGACAACATCCGAGACATCCCACCGGGCTGGGTGATTTGATCCCAGTCCGAGCTTCTTCCACAGTTAAGCCCCGAATGCCCAGCGACCAGAAGTACCCTGAGTCCCGTTCATGGATCGTTCATGAGCTTTGGGCCTGACCGCAGCAACTACTCATCGATGGAACAAACGTCTCATGGAATGGCAAGCCCCTCTTCATCGTCCGGATTCCTTCCGCTTGGCCGGCGTGGATCGAGGGGCTCTCTAGCCACGACCCATACTGAGAGAGAAAACATTGATGCAGCTCTCGACCAGATCCACAGCGCGGCGTACCAGTCCGATTCCCTGACGCTTTTCAACGAGTTCACCAGTCCCCCCGCACCGGCATCCGCTTCGGACGAGAAAGGTTCATCGGAGGAGCTGCAGCGGGGGCTAAGTGGACTATACAGTCGCTTCAGGACATCAGTTGGGGGTATGAGAGACATCGTGAGCGGCGGGGCAAAAATTGCGGACAGAAGTGCTGCGGAGAGCCCTGCGGTCAAAAGTCCGACCTTAGAGCGGTCCACGATCAAGACTATCCCAGACCTAGCGACCAGCTCGGTAGATTGCCCGCCATCACACCCTGACCCCTCGCAAGGTTCCGGACTGCATTCTCCAACTGTGTCAACCTTTCATCCTGATCAGGATGCTGCACCACAGCCAACCGCTGGCAAGAGCTCCAGAATTTCATCAAAAAGCGCTAGCATATCCTCCAAGGCATCCGTCTCCCCCGCTCCGGGGGCGAAAGCCAATATTACCTCACTGACAAAGTCTGCTGGCAGCTCTATCGCAGCAGACCCAGCGATCACCCAACTACATGTGAACGTCGCTGGTCCACGCCGCCGTTCGCGAAGCAGCTCAGTTAACGTGCCTTCGCAAGGAATCCAAAATGCGGAATCTTCAAGTATCGGTAGTAGGGATGGTCCTATGGAGATGTCCGTCAGCCAATCTTCTTCGATGTTAAGCCAGGGTACCTCCCATTCACCAGTGTTGTCCACGAAAAGACAGGAAACCCTCCATGAAGAACAGGGTATAATTGAAGCTAGCGAATCTCTTGCTTCTACCGGCCATGTTTCGGATGGCCAGCCGCGAAAGCCGTCGAATGCGGACCAATCCCGGCCCCATGATAACATTTTTCAGCAAGCTGCGCCACGAACTTCAAAGCACTCCGAACTCACCCAGGACTCGAAATCTCTGAATCAGGAAAGCAGATCCAACTCGCGGATGTCTTCTAGTGTACGTGATGAGTCTACGGTGCCACCTTCAGTGTCAAATAGCCTCTCGAAGATTACGCCGCAGGACGGGGGTTCTTACGTTGTGGACTCGGCTTCCGACAGCATTGTTCCATCAGCTTCTCGCGATGAAGAAGCAATCGGCGACGTATCAAAGGCTATCATCCCGACAATTCCGACAATGCCAAACGAGAAACCGCATGCGCCGCCTGCAAGGAACCGATTGCCAGGATACGTGATGTCCCGAGCCTCTACTGCCGAAACAACCACTACTGTGGCTTCTTTACCGCCATTGAATACAGCAGTTGCACCAATAACGAGGCAAGCGTCGAATGGAAACCAGCCGCCGATCGCAGGCGATGGTGTTCTATCTCAGCTGCGGAGTAAACTGCTCAGCAGAGATTTCTGGATGCGCGATGAAAATGCCAAAGACTGCTTTCACTGTGGAGAGCCCTTCACTACATTCCGCAGGAAACATCACTGTCGTACCTGTGGTCAGATCTTTGATTCGAAGTGCACCCTTCTGATTCCTGGCACGCGGTTTGGGCAACCTGGCACGATTCGCGTTTGCAAACCCTGCGAAGCAATGATCAACGCACGGGATGACGATTCTTCTGAGTGTTCGGACAGTGAGCAGAGTCCCATCATCATGAATCCACGAGGTTCTGAACCCAGTTATGGCGGTGGGAACGTTCGCCCTTCTGTCGACGACGACGATTCGTCTTCTATCGTCTCTCAATCTATCGATCATGTACTTAGGACCCCGACGATGGCTATCCCGGCCACACGACGCGCAGGAGAAGGCCACAATCGTCGTTCGGCAGTCCTTGAAATCAATTCCGACCGCCCTTTGACCAGACCTACCTCCTCGCGGTCATTGCGGTCATCACTAGGAGTTAGACCGCACTCCATCAGTCATAAGCGACATCATTCACGGCAACAGTACATCCGAAGCTTTAAACCCTCCCACGAGGATCGCGCGCCTTTCCAACGTCGCCACCATGACGATTTGAACGCTGAGAGTAGACTTCCGGCGTTCCATAAAGACAACATTATTGACCCTGATCTGGCACAGTACCTGTCGGATGATGCTTCCAGTGGTGATGAGCAACCCAGCTTATTGTCTGCGGTTTCCGAAGGTAACCTCTCCAAGAGCGGCGGCGACAACGAGAGAGCAGCGGGATTTGGTGGCTTTCTTGCTGTTATGAAAAAAGGCCGCTCTGCATTTGGCGATCGAGGCGCACCCAGTGTCAGTCAATTCGGTCGAGACGCAGATGAGGCAAGCATCACCAGTTCGCGGGCAGTCAACTTGCCGCGTTCCTCGCGACGTCGGAATTTGAGCGTTGCTAGCAGCATTCATGCGCGTAATTCGCCAAGGACGTCAAAGGACAATATGTTCTCTCATGATCTATCCTTACCAGGGGCTCCTCTTACTGTTGGCCTGAAACCACCCGGATTTAAGATGACCAGAAGTTCATCAATGAGAGGGGCCGAGGCACCGCCGGCGGAGCTCAACAGGGCCAGCCTGGAACATGTACAAAGGCTTTTGTGGCAGCTACTGGTAGAAGGATCTGTGCCAAACAGCGGCAGCTGGGAACGCGCCCTGATGCCAATTATCTTGAAAGCGGCGGATGAAGTGGACCCGGATGTTCAGCGCGGGGACGATATGGATATTCGTCATTACATCAAGCTGAAAAAAATACCCGGTGGCAGGCCTGGCGATACTTCCTACGTCTCTGGACTTGTTTTCACCAAGAACCTTGCCCTCAAGAGTATGCCAAGAAGCATTCCGCATCCAAATATCTTGATCATAACATTTCCGCTCGAATATGCGCGCCAACAGCAGCACTTCATGAGTCTCGAGCCTCTCATCCGACAAGAGCGCGAGTTTCTCGAGAACCTTGTCAGTCGAATTGCAGCTTTACATCCAAATTTGCTGCTTGTCGAGACAAATGTCTCCGGTCTAGCACTCGCTCTTCTCGAACAAGCGGGCATTGCTACTGCGTATAATGTGAAACCGTCTGTTCTCGAAGCGGTTTCAAGATGTACTCAAACCAGAATCGTGACCTCTATGGACAAACTCTTGACAACCACCCTTCATAGTGATTGCAGCAGCTTCGATGTCAAGACCTACGTACATTCTGGTCGGAAGAAGACATACATGTACATCTCCGGATGTCCCAAAGAGCTTGGATGCACAATCGTTCTAAGGGGCGGCGACGAAGAGATACTTGGGAAGGTAAAGCAGATCACCGAATTTATGGTCTATGTCGTGTACAATCTGCGTCTTGAAACGAATCTGATGAGAGATGAGTTTGCCAAACTGCCGACAACCTCATACAGCCATGCTCACAGGCCCATCTGTGCCTCGGAAAGGAAGGTAAACCCCCAATTGGCTGCCGATGAGGGCAAGGATGGTGCCACCGAGTCGGAGGTTCCGAATGAGAAACCAGCAGAGGGATTTGAGATCAAAGCGCCCATGTCTACAGAAAATATTGAAGTCCCTGATGATGTTCCGATGCCAACATATCACGACGACATGGTTCATGATCATCAGACTAAGATCTTGTCTGCCTCACCGTTTGTCAAGTTTGAACCACCGTATCTCCTCATGCGGACCAGAGAGATGGAACGTCGACTGGCCTACCTCAAACGTCTCCGTGACCAAGACGGGTACTCTGAACAAAGTGCAGAAGAGCAGGCTAAGCCTCAGAAGTTCATTCTCATTACCCCTGAGATGGTTCATGACTCTCCCCCTGATGCTCCACCAAAAGTTAAAGAGGTCCTGCGCGCAGCGCATGACGCTGAATACGACCGTGTCCTTTACCATTATCAAACTCAGAAACGACAGTGGGAAGCCTATGTCTCAGGAAATTCCAACATGTTCGATCCGTATGCTCACCAGAACATCGTGGTCCTCTACAGCCTTGTGTGCACCACGACTTCAGTACCGTGCTCTGGGCCTGACATTTTTGCTCTGGAGTTCTATAACGAACATGGGGACGATACGATATTCGAGCCTGACTGCACGATTGGGCAGTATGTTGACGACCTTTGCCACACAGCGAATGCCGTCTGCACCGTCAATGGCTGTGAAAAGCGCATGTTTGAGCATCATCGACAATATGTCCACGGCGATGCCCAGATTAGTGTTTTGGTCCAGCCTTACCCTTCCAAGCTTCGAGGGATGCAAGATACGGTTTTGATGTGGAGCACTTGCAAAATCTGCGGCAATGAAACCCAGGTCACTCTGATGTCTGCAAACACTTGGAAATACTCTTTTGGCAAATACTTGGAGGTCTCCTTCTGGGGCAGGAACCTCCATGCCCGTGCGGGTGTATGTCCTCATGACCTCCAGCGAGATCATCTCCGCTACTTTGGCTTCAAAGATGTTGCCATTCGCATCCAGTATGATCCAATACACCTCCTAGAGATTGTTGTTCCACGACCCCGTGTTACCTGGAAGGTGGATAATGATTTGAAGTTGAGAAACCAAGTTTACTCCGACACTGGAGATCGTCTCAACAAGTTCATGAGATCTGTTAATGTGCGACTGAAGGGCATCAACGTGGAAAGTGTTCTACCTGAACTCCTGGATGGATGCAGGAAGGAGATTGAAATGTTGATCAAGAAAGCCCATGAGGACCATGCTTCTCTAAATAAGCGTCTGCAGGACAAGTACACCAGTTCCCGTTACTGGGAAGTCATCCCCCTGAATGAGGTTCTTCGCGCTGTTCAAGAGAAGGTGGTTGAATGGGACACTATTTTTGCAGACTTCGAGAAGAACTTCTTTCCATCAGAGAAAGATATCAAGAGACTGGCGACCTTGCAACTCAAGAAAATCTTCCTGGACAAAGATGCAACATCCTTGACTTCTGATGATGCGCTTCACACCCCCACTGGCATGGAAGGTGAGACCATTGAAACGAATGAGAAGCCAAGAATGATGCGACGCATGACACTTTCACCTGAGAAGGCTCAAAACGTGCTGGTCTCAGTTGTTGAGGAGCATACCGGCAAAAAGCACCGAGATTCACCGACCGAAGCTACCGAGCTCCCCTCTTTGCTTACTCCAACTCATGATTTGGCACCTGATGCTGTCAATGGCAAAAGAGATACCCCGCAAGATGCAGCTGTTGCGCAAGAGGAGGTCCGACACCTTGATTTGGCTGTTCTATCGAGCCAACCCGAACAAAAGCCGCTTGACCCAGCCTCTCCTCTCAGTCGAGCATTATCCAGCTCAGATGCTTCGGCGGTACTTGCTGAGGCTGAGCCTCATCGAGATCTCAAGGATTCCACAGATTCATCCTTTGTGTCTTCCCCGGCAACCAAGAGCAGAGCCAAGGAAGACAATACCGTCACCGATCTTCCAAGTACTCCGCCCAATCGACCATCGGCAATCCCAAGGCTTGCTGAGGGTGCTTTTCGACGGTCTGGGAAAGCGCGTTCTCCTCCATTGATCCGTGCACAATCTCAACCTGCTCATCTCGTCAGAGAGAAATCGTTTGGCCTCAAACTCAGTCACACAAATTCCATTGATTCCGGAAGCTCACGAAGCGACTCGACCAAGACATCGGAAAAGAAGTTTACTGAACGCCTTGGGTTGAGTGTCCTTAAGAATGGGCGATTTGCCCCGGGGCATTCCCTTATTCCTCGCTCCACTCCAAAACGAGGCAGTTCTCGCGTATCAAATCTCGCCAGGCACTTCGAGCAACTAAGCCGTGAGTTCGAAAAGGAAAGACAACGTGAGAGACGCCAGCGAGCAGCTAAAGGCACTTATTCACGTGCATTCCCCCTCGCATCTTCGAAGCCAATTGTTGAGGTCTACCGGAATGTGAAAGAGGCCGTTGAAGAACGGGAACCACATGTTGACGGGGAAGATTCTCTGCCGGCAGCCCCACAAATCATCCCGGATGACATGGGCCGAAAGAGTGACGATTCCATGGATCAGAGGGGACCTGAGGAAGCTGTTGCAACATTTTCAGGCCAGGAGACGCCCTCGGGATCGTTCGAGGCCAGGGGCATTGTCCCCTCTGATTCTCAGCTCATGTCTGAGGGTGAGGCAGATGAAGGACGCAGTGACGAAGAACGTAACTCTGGTGAAGACCTCCATCATGTGGACTCCCAAGAAGACGCCAAAATGCTGCCTTACGATGACTCGATTGATTTCAAGGATCTTCCTAAGCATGAAAGAACAACCCTATTGAAGATGTTGACAAACTTTTGGTCTGAGCGATCCGCTAGCGGATGGACGGCCCTTGATTATCCTCTCAGTGGGGGAGATCACGTCTTTGCCGACTGCGATATCATCGTGCGCGAGGACGAGCCAAGTTCTCTGATTGCATTTGCTCTGGACTCTTCTGACTACAAGGATAAGCTGGCTAGCATTCAAGAACGGTACGATGAGATAGAGGGTCATCACTCAGAGTTTGAAGATGAGTCCGAGGTCGCCAACGAAGCTCGGTTAGAGCATGCTCTCTTGCGGCAGACAGGAACTCATCTCAAGTATCAGTTCCAGGAAGGCCAAGCCAAAATGCTGTGTAAAGTTTTCTACGCCGAACAATTCGAGGCGCTTCGCAAAAAGTGCGGTGTTGCTGATCGCATCGTGGAGTCGCTGTCCCGTTGCTTGAAGTGGGACTCCAAGGGCGGCAAAACAAAGTCAATCTTCCTCAAGACCCTGGACGACCGGTTTGTCCTCAAGTCACTGGCACCTGTCGAGACCCAGGCCTTCTTGAAGTTCGCTCCAGCGTACTTCCAGATAATGTCCGAGGCGCTGTTTCACGACTTACCCTCGGCAATTGCCAAGATGTTTGGATTTTACCAAATCATCATCAAGAACCCGGTAACGGGAATAGAGCAAAATTGGTTCCTGTTGCTGATGGAGAATCTGTTCTATGATCGTGCTCCTAATCGTCTCTTCGATCTAAAGGGCTCGATGCGCAACCGCAAGGTAGAAAGCACCGGTGAGCAGGATGAAGTTCTGCTGGACGAGAACATGGTCGACTTTATCTACGAGACACCCCTATTTGCACGAGAGCATTCAAAGAAGCTTCTAGGCCAGAGCGTGTGGAATGATACCCTATTCCTCGGCCGCCAGAATGTCATGGACTACTCGTTGATGATAGCGATTGACGAGAAACGCAGCGAGTTGGTGGTCGGAATCATTGACTGTATCCGAACATACACTTGGGACAAGAAGCTTGAGTCTTGGATCAAGGACCGAGGCTTTGCTGGTGGTGGTCGCAATCGTCCAACGGTGACGAGTCCGAGAGAGTACAAGAGTCGCTTCCGAGAGGCGATGGCACGATATGTCCTACAGGCCCCAAGGTATGCCTTACAAACTCCCACAGCCAGTTCACACATGATATCTGACGAAATTAGTTGCTGGCATCAATTTCAACCAAGCGCGATGTACCGGTACCCGCAGGGTGAGCAACAAGTCACCAATGTCACAGACTTGGACGCCATCGATGGGGCTGATGCCGGTGCTTTCTAATGATTCATAATTCGGATTTGTGATGCACAAACTACCACCATTTCCATAACGATTAATGACTCGACGACATTTTTCAATTCCAAGGAACTGTTCTTTTGAAATTATTCACAGGCATTGCATATACGGTCTGCATTTTTGCTTGGTGGGTCTGTTGATGTTATGGAGGGACAGAGTATGAGCGGAAGACGTGGGCAGGCGCATTCCGGAAATTTTTTCTTATGTTTTCATTTTAGACATCGTGGCAAGCGGCTGCACCTATCGCATGACTTGTCCTTGTTCCAACTGTTACCTTTAAGATAAATTTCTCAACATATGAGCGAAACGTGCAAGTCAAACTAACATCCATCTAGCCCAGTAGAACTAGAAACCAAGATTACTTTCCTTGAATGAGCCACATACTATTTTTATGTTTCCTCCCAAGGTCCAAGCTAGTATATGTCCAAGCACTTCACTAGTATATTCGGCTCTACGCATGTGACGCCTCCCTCGGATCGACAAATGTAATGCCTTATTCCTGAGGCATAAATACGTCCCCGAGTCATCGGCGAAAATCGGGAGCAAATGGGGCCGCACTCGGGAATAGTGTTTGACCATCGAAGCAGAATGAACTTTTAAATTCTTTTTAATATTTTCACAAATTTCCGCAATCAAGCGGCTTGCTGTCTGTCGCATCGCGCTGTCTAGCTCGTCGATGAAGAGGGCTCACACAGCGACTATCGACAGGGCATACTAACCCGCCTAGCATGTTCGGGTGCCTGCAGAACACATGCCTCGGCGGCGGAGGCAGCGCGTTTTCGTGATCCCCCGCAGCGAGAGGCCTTTCCGGTTGGCCGACGGCCCTCCATTTCTTCTTTTCTCACCTCATTTCCCCTCGTCTGTGACTGGGATTTGGCTATTTTGCGATGCGCTTCGCCCCTGGCGACGCTATACCTGAGCAGAAGTCGTACAGGAATGCGCGCACAACTCTCAGTTCCTGCGAAGAGCACGAGGGACAGAACCAACCAGCGTACTAACCAGATGCCAAAGGCAGCGTTTCCAGATCTATTGATTCCTTTGGAGTAAGGTCTAGGCTAACTACACAGCAAACTTGACCTAAAGGCATTATATTCGTCTCATATACATGACAAGGCATTAACCTCTTTCCAAGAGCCAGCATGGTCCAGACCACGCAGAAACGAGCTTAGGCTTGAAACAATGGAAAGACACATTTTGCAAAATGACGAAACAAGGAAAAAAAGTATGTATCCAACCCCTCGCACCAGCGATAATCCAAAAACAAAAAAGAAAGCAACTAATTGGAGCTATAGATTCATTGAGCTCACCATCATCTGGTGTCGTCGCAGATCTACTCCATGGCCAGGCCAAGGTTCTCCTCCGCGGGGACCACACGGACGGTGTTGGTGTGGCCCATGCCACCACGCCAGCCCTGAACGCAGACGATGGGGTCGCCCTTGTTGATGATGCCGAGCTTGAGACCGTGGTTGATACCCCACTTGAGGCGGCGGTCGACATCCTCCTGCCAGATCTTGACGTTGAAGTCGGGCTTCTTCTCGGGGAAGTAGAAGGGCCACACACCGCGGTACAGGTGCGAGTACTGGAAAAAGCTTTTGTTAGCTTGGAATAGGACCGGGATACTGGAGCTGCAAAACTTACCCGAGAAGCGGTCGCGTTACGAGTGACCATCAGAATGGGGCAGACGGGACGGTACTTGGACAGAAGACGGGCAGTCTTGCCGCTGGTGGTCAGGACAACAATGGCACCGGCGTTCAGCTCCAGACTGGCGCTGACAGCAGCCATGGCGATGGACTCGGAAGTCTCGGTCGGGCGAGGAGCCAGGTTGCGCAGCTCATCGAAGATCTGGAAGTGGGGGATGGTGACCTCGGCCAGCAGGCAGGTCTCGTGCATCATCTTGACGGCCTCGCAAGGGTAGTTACCCTTGGCGGTCTCACCCGACAGCATGACACAGTCGGCACCGTCCAGGACAGCGTTGGCGACATCGGACACCTCAGCGCGAGTGGGACGAGGGTTGTATGTCATGGACTCCAGCATCTGGGTGGCACAGATCACGGGCTTGCCCTTGATGTTACACTTGGCGATCATCATCTTCTGGGCGATAAACACCTTGGGGGCCGGGATCTCGATACCAAGATCACCACGAGCGACCATCACACCGTCGGTCGCCTCCAGAATCTCGTCAAAGTTGTTGACACCCTGCTGGTTCTCGACCTTGGCAATGATCTGAATCTCCTTACCCTCCTCGCCAAGCACCTCGCGGATGCTCTGGATGTCGCTGCCGCGGCGGATGAATGAGGCGAAGATCATGTCGACCTTGTTCTTGACACCGAACTTCAAGTCGCTGATATCCTTCTCCGACAGAGCGGGGAGGTCTACGTCGGTACCGGGCAGGTTGACACCCTTGCGGGACGAGATGTTACCGTTGTTCAAGCACTTGACGCGCAGGGTCTTGTCATCCACCACCTCGATCACCTCAAAGGACAGGATACCGTCATCAACATAGATGAGCTTGCCAGCGGAAATCACCTTGGTGATGTTCTTGTAGTCAAGATACCTGCCCGCACTTTGTCAGCATCTGCAACACCAATCCCGCCATACGGTCGGCTGGGCAACCAATCCATCTTTTTTCGCCAGACGGGTGCTTACATGTTCTTGTCGTCACTGGCGGTGGCATAGGCCTCGTCCGTGGTGATGTTAAGCTCGGCACCCATGGCGATAGGGAAATCCTTGTCACCGACGGTGTTACCGGTACGGATCTCAGGGCCCTTGGTGTCGAGGGCAATGGCCAGAGGACGGCCAGTCTGGATGCGAGCAGCCTCACGGGCGTTGTCGATCACAGATTGGTGGTACTAATTGATGCCAGAGTCAATGGAACGCCTTCACCGCATGTCAGCACCGCCAGGTACTTACCTCGTATGAGCCGTGAGAGAAGTTCATGCGAACGACGTTGAGACCCACTAAAGTCTGGTCAGTCTATCTTTTCGGCGGCAGTTCTATCGAGTTATTGTTTTTCGTACCTGTCCGGAGAGCGTTGATCTTCTCCACGGAGTTGGTCTTGGGACCTACAGAATGAATCACGTCAGCGACATTTTTTTTCCCGGTCATTCAATGACCATGACCCTTCCCCAAGAAACGAGCTTCGAATCAAGGGTCTAGGCGTGGTCGTGGACACAACATACCAATGGTACCGATGATGGAGGTGCGGCGGAAGTTCTTCGCGGGCACCATGTCGGTGTTGAGCTTGGAGTGCCACTCCAGCTTCATCCGGTTGGACAGGTGGTCGAGAGAGGTGGTGGCCGCCATTTTGATCTGCTGCACTAAACTAATAGAGGATGTGATAGCAGGGGGAGGAATCAATTGCAGAGGGTGGGATGGAGAAAAAGCGAGGAGGAGGGGTGAAAACGGACGGAGGGTGAAGGTGAGGGGCGGGAGGGAAAATGTTGGTTGCCGATGCTATCTCCGCCAAACGCTCCCGCTGCTTTTTCTCAGGCACCAACCAGGACGCTCCTCTGTTGCACTCTTGCCCCAGACTACTCGCCGGTGTACAGTGCTCCTATAGCTTGGCATGTGCATTGCTACTCCGTAAATAGCTGAACCGGTCTAATGAAATTTCTTCTGATCTGGACTTCTCTCCTCCTGTAATTTCTCTCCCTTGCCTTAGTATTTACCCATTATCTACCCCTCATCCAACTTGACACCTTGCGGCCAATCTTCAGCGGCCGCATCCGCTCTGAAAGACCAAAAAAATATACAAAAGCTCCCCTCTTAGTAGAAAGGCCCGTGCTGGTTTGCGTGCCGTAGATTCAAGTCCTTTTATCGAGTAAACGTGACAAATAGCGACACCCAATTTGATGGCCCCCCGAGCCCAGAAGCGAAAAGGGATTTCGGTGGGAGCAGCCTTATCGATAAGATTGACCCGGCCGCTTTGGGAAAGGTGCTCCCCAGCCACTAAAGTCTGAATCGAGTAGCTATTTACCTAAGCACATCAGCCACCCTCCAGCTGCTCAGCTGCTCAGCTGCTCAGCTGCCCAAGGTCATGTGAAAGTGACCCACGTGATGCCTTTCCCCGACCGCTGCCGCTCATCATCTCCAACTGCTGTGGCCTTGTTGAGACTTGCGATTCTATGCTCTTCACGCTGATCACTCTCTCCACCATGGTATGCAGACCTCTATTGCCTTGAATTTGAGAGTTGGAGAAGTGTTGCGAGCTCGACTAACCCCATTCGCTGAGCAGTTCGGCCGTCTCACCCACTACGCATTCGATGCCGTACTCTGTAAGCTGCTATCTGCTATCCTGGAGGCAACCCGCAGTTAGGTCTAACCGATATTTCTCTCCACAGTTTCCGCCTTCCTGGCAGGTGTCAAGCGATCCACGGGCCTCACGTAAATAATACCCACCCCTCCGAACCCTCCGCATCCCCCTCCCATGTCTTGCTATGTTTACTTCCTACCCGACGAGAAGCATGGAAGGCGCTACGAGAGGACAGTCTTGCTAACTTGGTTAACCCTCGCGCACCCCCACGGATGGGGTCGCGTGCGTGCGGGTTGCTTCCAGCCCCAGTCTCAAAACCGAACAGATCTCTGACAACAAGGAAGTGAAGCGCTGGGTCGACAACTACCTCGGTGTCGGCGAGTGGGTCATGGATCAATCGGTGGCTGTGATGGGCTCTTCGAGCTGGTTTGAGCGCCGGCGGTGATCTGTTGTCCCCTCAAGAGACGGCAAGAGGCGATTTACGATCCTTTCGATGTTTCCCGAGCGGACATTCAACTGAGGTGGTGATGTGACCATGCAAACGCACACTATCTCAGGACTGATGTATGACGAAGTACTTTTCTCTGCGCTGAATTCTCCGCTTCCCAACCTCATCTTCAGAGTTACGGCGTCTTTGGCTCCTTTCGTTTCATGCGATACCTTTTGACACCCTGCGTCTGTACCTATTCAATAGCACAATACACAAAACTTTATGCTCTCGTGCTCAAGGGAGGCTACATTTTGACTATTCAGTCAACCCACACAACTGGATTGAAATGCCCACGGTCAGACAGGCGGGTTGAAGAAGAGGATGAAGGATTACGACCAAGCGCCATGCGATGCGAGTATCGAGGATGGCGTTGAAGGCATTTGCTAGTTGCCGGCGAGCTCGGTTCTTTCTTGATGTCAGCGAGCTTGGTGTTGGTTACCGGGCCGGTCAGGCTGGTGATTTGCCAGGTAGATTGCTGTGGGGCAAGGTCGCATAGAAGGACTTCTCGAAGAAGTAATATCCCAAAAACCGCCCAGAATTATTTTCAGGCTATCAAGTGTCTATCTTGCAGGTGCACAGTTTCCACAGGGAAGGCAAAATGCTATGCAGCTGCACCGCCAGCCCTACCAAAACGCGCATCCTCACAATCAGCAGCCACCAAACAGCCCCAATCCACTCGCAAAAAGGCCCAGGCGAACAACATCGAATCCACTCCCATCTGAACACAAAGAATACAATCTAAATATTTCACTACTTCTCCCACCGGGAGTCGAAACCGGACCCCCGACCTCGCCGGCGTCCATCTTCCGCGCAAACAGCCGCCCACGAATAGCCTCACAAGGACCCTTGATGAAGCCCTACAACCTCAGAGCCTGATGGCTCGAAATTATATTCCAACCCATCCAAAAAAACACCCAAACCGCCAGATGGCAGCTCCAAGTACCTTTTCATCTGGCCCCACGGGAGGGTTGTAACCTCACGTATGTCAAGCAGGCTCCGCCGAAGTTCGGCCCCAAGACACCAGTAGCTTCGCCGGGAGATCCTTCGGATCGATCCGTTCCGCTAGGCCACAGTGGGCGGGCAGGTTAACATGAGGGGGTTATAAGGGGGTTATAAGGGAGGGGTTGAGGGTCTTTAGGAAGGAGCGTGGGTGCAGAGTGGCGATTTCCCTACTGGTCGATAACATGACTCGCAAGGTTCGGACTGGGTCAAAAGGTATGTGGAAATCATTGGGGTATGTACAGAAAGACAACAGGAAAAAGCAAGCATAAATAAGTGCACATGGGTAACACAGGCTATGTCTGTAAGAGCTCGTCAATATTCACGCGACGGAAGTAGGAGATGTGCCCCATCTCCTCCCAGTAATGTGCTATGTAATCCGTGGAGACAAGGATGAGTTGGGACGCGATGTATGTATCTGTGACAAGATGAGGGAGTCAGGAAACCCAGTCGGGGTTGCGAAGAGCTGGGGAAACGGAGTTGCCTACCGTCGCGGAATCCGAGGCCTGCTACATGCCCCATGCACTGCACTATACGAGCCCCTTCAAACGGCTCTTCATCTGCCACGCGCACGAGTCCCTTGGGCCCAATATCCTCGGCGATAAATGTGATTTCGCCGCGAGGAACATTCGGGTCTCCGGTCAGCTTGACTGCCCTTAGGCTACCTTTCTGGGTGGTTTCTTCACGATTCCCATCGATATCCTCATTGTCAGCAGATGCAGGCGTTGCGGTTGCAGAACCCGCCTCAGAGTCCAAGTCGACTTGGTATATAAGAAGAAACTCGCATCCATGAGCAGAGTAATCGCCAACCCAGATGCCTTGGTAGGGCTTCTCCTTCGTGGGAATATACCATTCTGGGTCGATGGTCGTATAATTGGACATTGCTTCGTTATCAGTTGGCGTCATGCGAAGTCGAAAATTGGCCCACCGCTTAATGCGGAACCCTGACGAGGACGCATCAGATGCACACTTCGGCAGCAACATATTTTTGGACGATGTGTTCCTAAATATTCGATTCGTACTCGGAATGATCTGGGGTGGCCAGAGCCTGGCGTCGGTGATGACTTCGTTATCCGGGAGCTCTCGGGGGCAGAGCACCAGGGAGCTGAAAACATGCTGGGATTCAGCCGCCATGGGCATCCGGCGATCAGGATTCCACGTCTGACAATCAGCGATGGGATTAGATGGCTCCTGGTCCTTGAGGAGAAGGACCGGGTCATCCAGCCACAGGCTGATCTTGGGATCAAACGTCTGAATCATGACGTCCGGATTGGCCTCCCAGATATGGAACTTTGGTGTGCGTCGGTCTGCGATGACTCGGTATGCCTCTATCACGCCTCGCCGATTGTCATATCGAGCTAGGATTAAACACCCGTGTGCTTCGGTGTCCGCAAACCAGATCTTATTTTGAGGGATAAACCAGTAGGGGAGATGGGCAAGGTATAGTCGATGGAAAGATTCGAAAGGCCCCGGATCATGGATGGGGAAAGGAAGATGTGAGTTGATCAGGCTGGCCCAGAGGCGGTCGTTGGAGGCATGCTCAGCGAATGTGCGGCATGTTCTAGACACACGGGCGAGATCTCGCGCGGAGAGGTGGGATAGGATCTGATGGATTATTTCGGCGGGGAGTTGATCAATCATCGAGGTCTGCTCAGTGCTGTATGTCCATGGCCTCTCATGAAGGATGTCCTCAATGAACTGCTGGTGGGCATGGAGGCTGCGGTCGCACGGATCCTGTACAGCGAGTCAGTTTGGGAGATTGGACCAAAAATCCCCACAGCCAGAGCCCAGCCAGCCCCGGTTCCAAGCACGAGAGAGACAAACCTCGATAGAAGAAGCCACGCTGGCCATCACGCCTATATTGCGTCCAGGGTGTCGAAGGGGAGATGCGAAGGTCGGGGACCACTACTTGATCTCCTTCAGTCACGCAATGACATCACTGCAAGGCGCTGTGGTAGGAACACATGGCTAGTTGGTAACTGTAGGGAGAAGGGAATTAGACGGAGCAGAAGTCTCGGTTTTGAAAATTCGCTCCAGCTGGCCAGGTACTAATGCCGGGCGCAATGCATGGAGTTGGAGGGGAGAAGTGAGCTCTTGGAGTGGTGGGGCTTTGTTGATAAGATAGCACTGGAGTCAACTCCGCACGATCCACGAATCGATTTCACGGAGGACCGTGTCGTCTACCAGGGATTCAAAGATGGGTAGACTGGTCGCATACACCGTTGGCAGTGTAGATGGGGGGCAGAAAGGCATTGGTCCAGGGTTTGGAGGTCAAGTGACCCGCAAAAAGCAAGGATTGCCCTCAGGTGAGTTCGAGCGGGATCGGCGCCTGGTGCAGGGGGAACGCGACTCCAGCCAAGTTGGGGATAGCCGTCCAAGTAGTATTCCGGTGGCTTCCAGAGGCATTCTTACTTGTTGACGAATACACACTGCCCACTGGGTAAGAAATCGCTGCCTATCGTATATATCAAACGGTACAAGTACGTTGACAAGCGCGATGCGCGGCCCCAAACAAGGCCGGCCGATTCGTGTTGCGTCGATCTGATCTCACTGCGCCGCCACAGCTGGTTGGGCTGAAGCCTCACTCCGCACTTCACACGAATGCAGGTCAGTCCAACACCCCCTATTTAGGCGCAGCTCAGAACAGGGCCATATCTGGACTCGAGACCGTTAGTATCGCAGCCCGTAGCTTTTGATTCGTAGATCTCGGTTCGACGTAATCTCTTGAGTGTTTAGACTCTACCGTCAGATCTATAACGCGAATCACTCCGCTCGGAGTCTTTTCCAGCGACCTTGCCCTCACGAGCCTAGTTCTCCATCCGCGATAATAAAGTCAGCGAGAGCACGATCATAGCGAGTCATGTGGCAGTGATGAGTCTCTTCCAGCGAATCCTTATCCAGTCCCCAATGAAGTGGCATGACTAACTTTCAACATCATCCTACAAGAATAAGTCCTCGGTTTCGCCCTCTTTCATATCATGGGAAATCATCTGATGATGAAGATGAGATAGTAATTATCAGACCACAACCTCATAGCACGGATGGAAAAGAGAAGAAATAAGAAGAAATTTCACGGATGACGGGAGTGCTACAGGAAATGGGATCTCTGAAGGTTTCCGTCTTAGCCCTCTAATAGTCTTGAACGTCTATTGATACGATGGGCAATATAGGGAAGGGATGGCATTCAGCCGTCTCACGATCGTGAGAGTACGAGAGATATTTGGGATCGATGCCTACATGGACAGTATATTCTCACGGGTATTGCATACCTGATTTATCTCTTGATCGGTGAGCTGTGAATATGTAAAGATCCAAAGTAGCATTCCTGATGCGCTGTGGCACGTGATCTCCCGAAGAAGAAGCTTGTTTACATGGCCGGATTAGGAAAGCATATTGGGTCTAGTACACGAAGGCAGGCGCGAAGAGCCCCTGCTGCCTGCAGGAGCCCCACCTTGTTTGTTTATGTTGTGATCTATAGACTCGACTTTATAAGCGATCGCCCTTTGTGGTCTTTCTTGTTTATTTTGCCATTCACCCAGTCCACCAACAATTCTTTTGTCCTGGTCACTACACGCCCGGGGTAGTGGGGTAATTCCATCTTCTATATTGCCAATTCGGCTACTGTCAAACATTAGCCACCAACAATGGAAACACGACTGTCTGCACGCAAACGCAGAAACAGTCTTATCTCGGATACAAGAAGCGAATCTCCGATCTCACACCGAACTATTGAGCATGCCGTGAAAAATTCTATTTCCACCCCGAAAAAGGCCAGGAAGCGAGTTCGATTCTCCGATCCCGGGCCTCGGTTGCTGGATACTCCGGCTTGCTCTACTGGCTTGACCCCTGCGATGAAGCGCACCTCGTGTGGAGAGCGAGGCACCGGCTTCTCGAGGCTTGGCAATGGCACACCGAGTCGGCGAGCGCATCGGCGGGGATCTGCTCCAACACCGCGCGTCCAGCGGTCCTTCGATCCAGTTGAGCCATTCGATGAAACAAGTACCGAAAGGGTGATGCAGTTCACTCCTCTCCGCCAAATACTGGACACTCGAACACAGAGGAGAATCCGACGCTTCGGCCTGAGTGAAGAAATCAATAGCATCGAGCGGGACAACCGGAGTTCTGTAAAATTCGAAAAGACCCTTGATGCTTTGCGGCAAGAGCGGGACTCTCTACAGCGCGAATTGATTGCTTTGAAACAAAGGCACGAAATTTCGGAAGACCAGCTGCCTTCCGATGAATCTTTCTGGATGTCTCCTCAGGTTCGCGTTCGTGAGCTGGAGCGTGAAACTGCACGACTGCGAGATGAAATCTCCGTGACTTCCAATCATAGACTGGACACCCCAGACCCATCACTCGACAACGATGGAGACACCTTCACACTCAATGATAGCGCTATCATCGTCTCCAACTCACCAGATTTCCGTGGCAGGCGTGATGACTACTCGCCGGTACCAGATAGCCGTACGGTATTCGATCAAAATGCCGACGTCTCAGCCCAGGCGCGGGTCATGAAATCCACAGAGGATTCTGATATGCAGACTCTCACGTTCGATCTAGAGGCTGCCAGAAATGAGAAGAGAGAACTTTTCAATGCTTGTCGCACGCACATTTCGACCTTTGAGGGATCCGGTTTTGGTGATGTCCTTCGACAATCATCTCCACCTCCGGACTTTTTCGATAATATCAGCAGTATTTTGACTACTGCGCTTTGCCGTGCCTCCGATGCAACTCAAGCACTTGAAGGTATCAGCCAAGCATGCTCCAGCCTCGGGTTTTCTGGCACCAACTCAGATGGATTGATTGACGATATGAGATCTCACTTCCGCTCTGCGCGCCTTGAACTTGAGCACGCAATCCCTGGGGAAACTGCCAACGTGAGCCTCGAAGATGGAAAAGCCACTCTAGGTGCCTTGGTCAAGCGTGTCAAGTCTCTGGCCAACGATCTGAAAACAGAGCGCAGTCACTATCATGGCTCGCTCGGTCGCGAGAAGGCTCTTCGTGGACAGTTTGACAACTTGTTACATCGGTATGAAGCCGCCGCAAACAAAATCAGCAAACTCGAAGATTCCATCGCTTCGTCTGCCAGCGATATGGTTCACACTAGAATGCGAATGCAAGACCTCGAAAACGAAGACCAAGAAAAGACCATAGGGATTGACAGATTAAACGCCGCCCTGGATAAGTACCACGAAGACGTGAAGGGCTTGGAAGAGATGGTGGGCCATTTGGAAGACGAGAACCTGGCCTTCAAAGAACAATACAAGAGAAGAGTTTCCGGTCTTAAGGCGCAAGTGGCCAGTGAACGGGAAAAACGCTCGGCGATGGAAAGTGCTGCCTCCCAAACTGAATTCCGAATTCGGCAGCTCGAAGAGACCGTCGAACAGCACCGAATTCGTGCTTGCGAGCTTGCCACGGAGATGGAGTTGCTCGAAAAAGAGCATCAGGCAGTGATTGAGCGCCTGGGGCAAAAGGCAAGCGAACAGCAGCAGCAGCATGAGGAAGAGACAGGCACTCTCAATGTCCGCATCTCCGAACTCACTACGTCTCTCGAAAGTGCAAGGTCTGAGGCTCATCTTCTGCGACAGGTCAACAACAGCCTAGAAGAGCAGCTCCAGATGGAGATCGAAGCTCGCGATGAGCTCCTCGAAAAATGGGCAACCGAGCAAGCGCGCTCATTTGCCTTTATGAGAGAATCCGTCAACTCGGAACGTCGGCGAGCCAAAGTGCGCGCGGCAAACTGGGAGCTCAAGTCGGATGATCTCATGTCTGACGGGACAACGATCATGGGAAGCGAGCCCATTACCCCTGTTAGCATGACTCGGTTCGTTGATGTCGAAATGGGGAGAGGTAAGAATCGCCGTCGCATGGATAGTGGGATCGGCATTCTCTCCGAAGAGGATTTTCTCGCAAATGAAGGCCTTGGGGGAATCGACTCTGACCTTGACCTACCAACCTCTGATCTCATTGATACATAGATCATATCTCTCCTTTATCTTTCTTTGGTGGGACTACCGGGCATAAGCTCCTACCTCGTATCCCCTTTCGGGACTGACATTTTCCTATCTACATCTGTATATACATTAATGCCCGGACAATTTAATTTCCAACATTTCGCTATCGGTGACCCCTCTCCGAAAACTTGGAAGTGCGGGGTGTAAATTGACTAGGGCCTTCGAGGGATACGAGATACTCCCCCTGAACCGAGCTTGGTGGAGAGTTGAACCCGTATCCCGTGCAGATCGCAGGAACCGAGTGCCAAGGTTACTATTTTGAGTAGCATCCGATGTTAATTGTTTCATGCACCGGGGAAAGACGGCCGTGGTACATATATAGCCGAGCAAAGTGGCCATTCAGTGCCTAGGTAAGTGAAGAATCACTTCGCTCCGCCATGGGACTCAAGTCGGTCATAGCCATCGGCATTATCGCCAGTTCTGGCTTGCGCTTCGCGGCAGCAGACCGTGTTCTCAGACATGGCTCGCCAGAGTCGGTCGGAATGCTTCCTCAGCCTTTACAGCAGTTGCAATTGAACCTAAGCCAATACACCCGCCCGGCCAACTATGGATCCCACTCGTACGAGCAGGTCCATCCCATTCTCCCAGGGGGCTCCGTCATGGTCGGCCATCAAGGGACAATCGTGAGCGCGTTTGCCTTTGGCAATGCTAGCCTATATGCCGATGCTCATGGCACGCTGCTCCCATCGGACGAATGGGTTCCAGCCCGAATGAACACGATCTACGACATGGCTAGTTTGACTAAAGTTGTTACCGCTGTCGCAGTATTGCGGGCCATCGATGACGGAAAACTGGACTATCGTAAACCTGTCTCACAATACCTGCCTGAGTTTGCAACCAGTGGGAAGCGCAATGTCACGATTTTGATGCTTTTAACCCACACCAGCGGCTTCCCTGCGGACCCTGAACCAGGACTGTACGATCCGCGCTACACAACCATGCAGCAGCGTGTTGACGCAATTATCCAGCATGAACTTGCCAATCCTCCGGGGTCCACATACCTGTACTCGGATCTCAATTTTATGAACCTACGTTTCGTCCTGGAAAGGATTACGAAGACACCATTTGATAAGCTTGTGGACTCGTTTACCCGGGAGCTCGGCATGACAAGCACCTTTTTCAACAAGGGTAATACCAACGCCAGTTCTAATCCTTATTATGCCCGCATGGCCCCGACAGAATACCAGATTGAAGTTTTGGGTGACTCTGAACCCAAGCGCCCTCAGCCTGTGCGAGGCACCGTCCACGACGAAAATGCCTGGGCTCTAGATGGTGTCAGTGGACATGCGGGTCTCTTCTCGAGTGTCGGCGATGTGTCAATTCTGTGCCAGATGATTCTCAATAATGGCACATATGGTGGCAAGCAGATCTTAAGTCCCCAATCCGTCGACCTGATGTTCACCAATTTCAACGCCAAGTTCCCGGGCGATGAACATAGTATCGGCTTCGAACTCAACCAGTTCTACTTCTCTGGGCCGATGGCTGGTTTGCAAGCTGGGGGACATACTGGTTTTACGGGGACATCGCTTTTTGTCGATCGGGCATCAGAAACTTTTATGGTGATGTTGGCGCATAACGTACACCCGAATCGAACATGGTCCAGCAACAACATCGTCCGCGAAGCATTAGGCTACTGGGTCGCTCGGTCGCTCGGTCGCGATGTCACCTTTCCGCCTTAGATACGTCTCTCGCGTAATTTGGGGAAGCCATGCAAAGGGAGTCATGGTGGGTTTAGTTATTTGGATAAGCAACAATAAACACCACGCTCTATCTCGAATCTGGTCTCTCCATGCAACCCTCTCCCGGCAAACAAGAACTTCGTAAGACCCCAATCATGCGTTCGCTGAAAATGGTTTCCCATTATCGGGCCGTCACTCTGACTGAGTCTTCAGAGCGTCCTTCTTATCATGACCCGGGCTAGCAAAAAGGGCTCCGAAGAAAGAGAGGATACTGGAGGACCGTAGCGTCATGCAGAGCAGCAACGTGAGGCCGGTGACCACGATCTCGTCCTTCAAGGCCTCACTGTCCGCCATTGGGCCCATAAACTCGATCTTTCCGAGTTTCTTCATTGCCCAGAGGTTGGCGCTGAATCGGGCCACCGGCATCTGCTGCTCATCGCAACAGATAAAGTCCCATGTTTTGAAGTCACTATCACTGGTCCAGGTCAATCTGACCGGCTTCTCATTGTCGGAGAGGGCGAGGGAGCGGTGGGAGTAAACGGTGTGCCAGCGCCGCTGGGCAACTAATGTGTCACGTCGGCCGTGCAGCTCATAGTCGGCATCAATATTGAATGTGTGTAGAGTGCCAGTGCCAATAACCTCTTCACTCTCTCCGCGTCTGTAGATGATGCGCGGGTTCTTGAACTGTTGGAAGTCGACTGTATAGAGGGGCTTTGCGTCGGGTTTATTTGCATCGGTAATCAGGGCTTTCCATTTCTTCCATGTAAAGTCGACACTGAGTGTAGCGGTCGTGGAAGCTGTGGGGGCTTCTGCTGTCGCAGTCGTTTGTTCCATTATTTAAATTAGTGGTTCAGATGAACTGGCTGTCGAGAGATTTTCCGAATGGGGGACCGTTGATGATCATGAAGGTCTCAGAATTTGCAAGTGTAGGGTCTCTTATCAAGCGTGATCATGGTGCCCCATAGCCATCTCCCAAACATTGCGCATCTAACCTCAACCATCAACTTTCCGCCCTTTCAGCTTGGGCCCAGCGTGTCCGGTCCACACGATAGCCCCCATTTCCCTTCCTGGGAATCATGTACCGCTCGATCCAATCACATCTCCGGTCAGCTCCCCAAGTGGATAATACCAAGAGCTCGAATGATGTCATGGCCCCCAAAAGATGGGGAACCCTCGAAATAGAATGGCCCTGGACGTCTATGGTCATACTATCTCTTTTTGGTGTTGGCGCTGGGCTGTGCTGGGCTGTGCTGGGCTGTTGAGCGACAGACCGTGCGAAGCATACGCAACAGTGTAGTGAATAAGGAACGAAAGCACGGATAGCGTCGAACTGCGGAAGAAAGTCAATTCCATGATGGCAGGGCGACGTCAATCGGAACCTTGATTCGTGCCAACTTTAATTATTAATTATTGACCTGGTCCTCACCTCCACAATCCTTCTCCGTACAAACCCAAAGGACTACAAATTCCAAGACTTTAGTTCCATTTCGAAAGCCTGAGCTCGTTTCCTCAGCCTGATCACACTGATTATGTACAGCATTGTCTCTTCGCGCAGCATCTAACTCGATATCACAATTCCGAAGTCATGACTCAGTCAGCTAAAGGATCCAAGTATCGCCTGTCGGTGACAGCAGGCACGGACTATGACACAGCCACCCATGAAACAGTCGAGGTCAATGGCAAGACGCTATGGCTGGACAGTGATCGTGCAACCATTGATCTCAGTGTCCGAATCCAGGACTATACCGGTATATTACCGGAGTGTCTCTGTACTGCTGAGCAAGAGCTAACATTGAACAGGATATCCGGATTCTTCACCAACCTCGAGCCCCTACTTCCAGCATTCCCTACACACGAACGACCAGTACTCGATTTCTTTCTCATTCACCCCAAAGGAAAACATCAATGGCAATGACTTGATCTTCGGGAACGATTTTGACAAACCGATCCGCGACCGTCTACCACCGGGCTTCAACGCGGCCTTGCGCGTGGTGAAATGGACCCTCGACCCCTCCATCGAGGGCGACGCATACGCCGACAAGCCCTATTTGTTTAGCCCGGCTCTAGCCACATGGAACCAGTTCCGAATTGGCGACAAGAACCAGAAGCAGAAGGCTTTGGTGACGAGTGATTATGTGGTGGAGGAGGGCGCCGATGGTCAAGGCACAGAGCGTCGCAGCCAGCTCAAGATTCCACAGACTGCAGCCGAGCGTAGAAAATACTTCCAGAACGAGGATAACCGCATGGCATTCGATTTCGAAGCTGGGAGGACGTACCTGGCTGATTTTGGCAATCAGTACCTATCTTTCAGTGGTAAGTCGACATCCTCTCCTTGGTTCCCTACTATACAATAGAACGGGCAAGACTGATGTGACATCGGAGTCATCTAGACCTCGCGATTCACCTGCCGGGTTTTCATATCCCTGTGGCAAATCTGGTTGATGAGGACAACAACAACAAGCTGCGCTACGTTCTGAAGGATTCAAAGACAGGTCGCGTGTACCTGGTTGTTCTCTTGTCGCTCGTCAAGCAAGACCCGGATTCAGAGAACCACCACCAGCAGCAGCAGCAGCAGCAGCAGCAACAGCAACAAGAACAACAACAGAGTCAGGAATGAGCTGACGGCAATGCCGCCAATGCGATAGCCTGGGCAGGCGATGACGCTATATGCGACTGTAAATATGCATCAATTTATCATAAGGGGTCCTTGGACGCGTATACAAAGTTTTTGATTCCTGCTATTCTGGACATCTACAAGTTCAATATCTCACAGTCTCTTGAGGACATCCTCCAGAACCTCCTGAGTGGTGGCCTTTCCGCCCATGTCGGGGGAGAGGAACTTGGCCTCATCCAAGTTGGCATCGACAGCAGTATAGATCTTAGCAGCGGCGTTCTCCTCGCCGAGGAACTCGAGCATAAGAGCAACGGAGCGCAGGGTAGCGATGGGGTTGGCAATGCCCTTGCCCTCAATGTCGGGGGCAGAGCCGTGGCAGGGCTCACCAATGGCGAAGCCGTCACCGACGTTGGCGCTAGGGACCAGACCCAGACTGCCGACCAGAGCAGCGGCCCCGTCGGACAGAATGTCACCGTACAGGTTGGGGGCGACGATGACATCGTAGTACTCGGGCTGGCGGAAGAGCTTGTAAACCATGGAGTCGACGATCTGCTCCTCGACGTGGATAGACGAGAACTTCTCGGCGGCAAGGGCCCTTTGCGCAGTCTCGCGGAACAGACCGTCGGTCTGCGACAGCACGTTCGACTTGTGGGTGATGGTGACCATGGGCTGGCTGTGAGCCGAGGTGCCAGGGGTAGCGGAGCGGATCTTCTGGCGGCGCAGAGCGATCTCACCAGCAATGGTAGAGATGCGCATCGAGGCACGCTCAGAGATGCGCTTGATCGCCTCAGCGACCTTGCCGTTGGGGCCCTCCACGGTGCGCTCCTCCTTCACGTACAGGTCCTCGGTGTTTTCGCGGACAATGACCATGTCGATCGGCTTGCCGTTGCTGCTACCGGCGGTGGTCTTGACGGGACGCACGTTGGCGTACAGATCGAGCTTCTTGCGGAGAGCAACGATGGGAGAGGAGTAGCCGGCAACCTTGGTGCTCGGGGAGCTGGCGATGAGGAGTTAGCCAAGTTGGACCAGAAAAGGGTAAGAGTTTTGTGAAATTGCAATGCTCACCTGACAGCACCGAAGAGGGCACCATCGCACTCCTTCTTCAGGGTCTCGACAGTCTTGTCGGGCAGGGCGGTGCCAGTCTTCTGGAAGGTCTCAAATCCAGCATCGAGGTTGACGAAGCTGAAGTTGAGGTTCAAGGAGGAGGGCAGAGACTCCAGAATCCGACGGCCAGCCTATAGTTCATCAATTGACTGTCCCATCGCCGTGATGCTGGTCTTGCCGTGTGAGCTACGTACCGGGATGACCTCCCGTCCGATGCCGTCTCCGGGGATGAGACCTGAGGAGTTTCGATTAGCCCCAAGATCAATGCGCCCACTCGATATGAAGTGAAAAGAGAAACCGTACCAATTCGAAGTGTCCGAGCAGCAGCAGCCATGGCGATTTGTTGGGGGGTGCTTCCTAACTTCCAATGACTCGCCGTCATCGGAGTATTTCTTTTCTATGCGGCGGCGGACGATCATTAATCCGGCTTCACTCCGGGGTCCGGAGGAAAGCGCGAGATTCAAGTGACTCGACCACTCTAGGTAGCTTAGATATAACTGATCTTGTACGCAGATACCGCCAGAAAAATATTTCTAGAACCTATCATTGTATTGTATTTGGGGGCCCCATGCCAATGACCTTAATTGGGTCTCAAGTGCCGAGAGAGTGTGATGAAGACAGAGATCAGCAGCGGACTCCCCAAATGGGACAGTTATCGCGAGCAGCAGTTTGAGGTTGACCCGCGCATCTTCTCCTATTTTGCCATCGCCTAATTTTATATTTTTTCCCCCTTGTCGAATTTACCTTGCTGTTTCAAGCCTTGAGGGAGGCATTCAGCCAGACTTAAGGTTCCGTGCGCAGCTGCACAATCACGCTAAACCTTAAGTGGTCAGTATCCGCGATGGAGTCGATCGACAGTCCAAAGATCTATACGGCGGCGGAGTATGCAACAAAAAATTGAAGCCAAAGGGGTGTCTGCTGAAATATTTAAACTGTGAAGGTCTCGCACTTTCTTTTCAATGCTTTCGACATGCTCTTGCAGTAAGAATATTCTACAAACCATCATGTCATCATCCCATCTCCTGTCCCGCGCTACCGAGGACTCAATCTCGGCTGGGAAGCGCAACATTGCCATTGCCGAAGTCGTGATCTTTTCTCTCATTCAGATTGTTCAAGTATCACTTCGATATATGCAAGAGTGGCGGTATTGGCATCATAGGAAGAGGAAAAGCCCAGTGCGATGCGTCCTCTATTCCTGGTTTAGCATGGTTGGTCTGCTGTCGCAGAGTACGTTGGAAATTTACAGCGTATAAACTCATGGTACAATTAGCTGACCACCATTTATTATCACAGTTCGAATAGCTAGTTCCGCTATGATACTCTCTACATCCACCCCGAATGAATCCATTCTCACCGCTGAGTTGTCCATGCAAAGCGTGGGCCTCTCGCCTCTTTTATTCGAAGTCAGCCTTGTTCTTCTGCGATGGTACGTAGCACCATATACTAAGACTAGGTCCTTTGGCTCAATCCGATCATCAAGATCTAGGCAGCGCTGATATTCATTCTCAATGCAGTGGCGAAGCCGGCGAATTTGGACCGGGAAATTCAAAATACACCAAGGCAATGCGTGTACTGCTGCATGGTTTCCGGTTCCCTATCGCCGTTGCCATCGTTTTGGCGGTCGTGGGAGGAATCATCAAGATGCATGCACTTGAGGTAGCCGGCTCCATTGTTTTCATCGTCACTTTCGTTTTTGTCTGTGGCTTGATTGCTTGGCTTGCGGTGAAGTCCCGTACAACTCTGACTCTGGCCGGCCACCATGGTATCCTACTGATTCTCTGCGCCTTGCCGTTCTTGCTGGTTCGGGTCATTTACTTCTTGTTGCTGGAGTATGGACCCGTGAAGTTCAACCCAGGCTATGGTGATGTTGGCATCCTCGCTGGTATGGGGCTGTTGATGGAAGTCTTCGTCGTCTCTTTGCTTGTGACGGCTCGAACCGTGGCAGAGCCTATTTTCGGGCCAGCGGATATCAAGCACGTCGTATCTCACGACGAAGAGCGGACTGGAAATTGAATGTACTCGTCTGCTGTTCTGCTTCTTGCGGGTTGGGATGCTGAATCTTCCAATAATGTTGAGCAGAAATTTCATATTTCATATTAATGTTCATTTGATCCAAGAATAGGTTCAAAATTCTTTGGTTGGGAAGCAGCGTAAATCTTTGAAAATTGGCTTAGGCGAGCGAGGATCCACGATCTCGTTGCAGGGTCTGCGACCTCAATTGCCACCCTCAGAGGAAACCCCAGTCGATAGGGGCCAAGCACCCCGACGCTGCTATACTCGACTGATCGGCAAATTTGATCTCGGAAGTAGATAACCATGGCTGCGTGTGGGCCAGGGTACCCAAAGGTTTTCAGGACTTCATGGATGATGATCATGTAGGCGTAGTAGCCGCAATAGATGCTTGCATGTGTCATGTCTGAATACGTCAAGACAATCGGGTATGTAAGGTCGTCGGTCGATGTCAAGGTTTCACTAGGTGGGGGAGCAATTTGAGAAAATTGCTCGTACCAAGGTGCCAATTTGCTCTGTAAGTCGAGAGCTTGTTCCAGCGTGGCCGATATGATCTGTAGTGCCTCGGGAGTGGTGATATCAATTTCTTTCAGGTGGTAGAATCTATGTACGAGACTCGGGGCGTATGTGAAGTACGCAAAGAACTGCTCGATGGATTGGTGGAGATCGCTCGATATCCCAGGGGCACACTGTTGCCGCATCATTTGATGCCACTCTTGGGTAGCTAAGAAGCAGGCCTCGCCAGAGAACATTGAGTGCATAACCTGTTCCAGGTCAAAACGGCTGCTGGGTCAATATCTTCTTTGGGGTTCAGCTTACGATCAGTCCCCGTGAAACCTTCAGCAGTGAAATGTCCAGCTCGTTGCAGTAACGGTCAGGTCCTCTGATTTTGACCAATTGGCCAAGTCCTTTTGCATGCTTCATCCAGGATTCAGGATCCTCGGTATCGGTAAACAGCTTGAGAAAAAGTCAAAATTGGTGATCCTGGCATTCAATAAGCAGACAAAAGGCTTCTCTTACCTCGTATAAGCATAGCAGTACAACGGAGCAGAAGATGTGTGAAGAGAGGCACTCAGAAGGATTCTTCAGGGATTTTCGAAGTCTATGCAGGGATTCTCCATAAGCAGATCGAGCATAAGCAATCATCTGGTTGTTTTGAAAGATTTTTCCAAAATGATGTGCCGCAAATGACTTGATGGTGGCATCTAGCGTTCGGTTATGGCCATAGACAGAAGGTAGATAACTAAACCAGTGGGAAACAATATGCTTCTGAGAGGATGGTGCTGGTTGGGAAAAATCTTCAATGAGAGCTTCTAGGCTTTGCATGACATTGATGTCTCCAGAAATCAAGCACCACGGCTGTTCTTTCTGAACAGCCACCTGAGAGGCGGATTGGGAGTGATTGCCCGCGTTTGGGCTCACCCTGTCGGACCGCTGCTTGTTTGGCGAGCTGCTGCCATTACCCGGTGGACGCCTGCGGGTACGATATGGCTTTCCGGTGATGAACTTGAAGCCTCTGTCGTACCCCGGACATGGCTTTCCATATGTCTCACACTTGGCACATCCTGGGAGTCTTTCGTCACACTGTGGCGCGGTTAACAAAAATGCTATTCAATCTAAACGGGGCGCGGCATGCCTTAACCCGACGCTTCACACAAGTAGCGCAGCCGCTACTTCGAGGTACGCCGACCATCTTCGATCATCCATTAGCATAAAAAGGGTCAGGGCCGCCCCGACCTCGTATAACTACTGCAACCCCCAGCTAGAAATGCTGACATAATATCGGATATTAGTTATGCCGGTACTACCTGTGGTCGTGGTGATGGCTATCAATCGGCTGCGTGTTTATGTATGCCGTGTCGACAGTTCAGAGTCAAATACGTGGATCCTGCATTCGGAAATTTATGCTGACAAGCTGCTAGGCCACGGTGGTTGATCCCTCCACATGAGACCAGATGGACTGTCGGTAGGATTCCGGCAGGGCTTCGCAGGGGTTTAGGGAATCTATTTCCCGGTCCACACTAGCCCCCTTTCTAGAACGTGGCTAGACATATTCAGTAGTTATCGAACGGCTATTTAAGGTAGCTGGTATCGAAGACTCAATTCCGGTACGGTATTTAGCGGCCTTCCATAGGCTTCTTTGCTTCCAAGACCCTCGATCGCGTCCCTGAACCATGGATTGGAGCTTGGATCGCGGATCCATTGTTTACGTGCATCCACAAGCCCATTCGTGGTTTCTCTTCCGGCGTGTCCGGCAAGGAGGTGGCACTATTGAACCATTACCTAAGTAGTACATTGTGGACCTGAGCATGACAATAAAGGTCCTCGTCAATTTATGTATGTAGCCAAATACAGTATACTGTATTCCTTTGTTTTGTTTGGTGGCACGGAGCCGAAACGCAGGCTGATCGCAGGAAGCGGGTAGGCGAGATGAGCAGATGTTTCCAGGAGTAAAGCCCAGGATGAGATCATGAATCCACCGTGGCAGAAAGATGGCCGCGAGACCCCCGTTTGCCCCCTGAAAAGGAGGGGACCTGCAGTAAGGCGAGGTTGTTTTACCCCGTTGGACGCGCTAATCATCACTAGCGCTTTAGTTTCCTGATCGACCCTTCTTCACGCTCCCCTTCCACTCTACTCTTTTAGCAACACCGTGTTCTCTCATCGTCCTTTTTCACGATTTCTACCCCAGGAGGGGGTTCCGTGGGATCTATCACTGCATACAGCCCCATCCCACCGTCAGCCACGCGCCCCCTGTGCGATCGACGCGTTCCTCGATTTCCCCTCACGCTCCATTCCCCTGACTGCTTGACGTCGTGTCGCCATTCCTACACCATGTCGGACAATGCCCACCCTGGTGTTCGCAGCCTCCTGGCCAAATTTGAGAACAGCCAGAGCCCCATCACCTCCCCACCGTCGCGTGGCCGGTCTCCCGTGGGCTCGGATACCCCCGGGTCGACCAGGCAGCTGTCTAAGGTCCGTGCCAGCTTTGTGACAGTGGAAGGAGCCATCCAGTCGAATCCTGGCTCGCCATTGAGGAAGTCAAGCGGGCGAAGTGACAGCCCGGGTATATTTGGACCCAAGCTCAATGCGGAGGAGGTTGAGACGCGCCGCCAGAACAATGTGGTCTCTCCGACGCCAGGTGGACATGTCAAGTCCTACCCAAGCATTCTCGATGGTGCCGCAGACGATATTCGATCTGAAATGGCTGCAACAGTGACAAAGGAACGGAAGGTCAGCGGTAACGAGGAGCCATCAGCACCCACAGAGAGTGCAGCTCCACCGAAGGAGGCTACACTGGTAAAGACGGAAGCGCCAGCCCCAAGCGTGCCCGCAGCCTCAAGCAATGGAGCTTCTGCCGAGAACTTGGCCCCTAAAGCAGTCACCAGGCGACCATCCAATATTCACTCTGCCAAAAACAACGCTTCGAGCAAGCCCGCTTCGAGCAAGCCCGCCTCGAGCGCACCGACTGCGACTACGCCAAGATCCACCAACAGTGCAGGTGCCAAACCGACCTCGGCCCGGGAAGTAGCCAAAGAGAGGGCCAACGCCCTTGCCCACAAACCCAGTCGCGCCTCGCTGAACCCTGCATTCAAGCCCTCCACTCGGGCGACTCGTGGCTCGACTCCATCCACCGACACCCACAAACCCTCTCCCAGCAGTGCCACTGATAACAAAACTCAATCTAAATCACCCACCCGGTCCGTTCGCCTACCGGCTTCGATAACAGCCCAGACTCAGTCATCCACAGCCAAGTATGGAAGCGCTGGACCTGTGACAGGACGAACCGAAAAGCCAACCGCAACCCTCACGAGGAAACCTTCCACGCTCAAGAGTGTCGCCGCCCCAGCCGGAGGGGTGCGTAGGCAAGTGTCTCGCCCCTCCCTTCCCACTCAGCCCGCCCCAGAGCGCCCGAGCTCTCGAGTCAGTGATTCCAGCTCAAAGCCCGTCAACGAGGGCTTCCTTGCTAGGATGATGCGTCCAACAGCCAGTTCCGCCAGCAAGACCCATGAGAAGGGCGAGACCAAAGCTCCTCCCAAGCCACCAGTCTCTAAAGCTCCTAGGCCGTCGATGGGGCGGGCCTCAGAACGGAGCGCGACCCAGGCAAAGTCAAAGCCCGCACCTCTGAAGGCCCAGAGTGAGAAGTCTCAGCCTGCCAACAAGGAGGTACAGTCACCGAAGGAGGAAGTGAAAGCTCCTCAGAAGAAGCCAGAGAGCGAGAAGGAGAATATGGAGGAAGTCGCCTCTGTGACTCCTGAGGAACCCAATGTCCCTCAGGCCGAGGATACCATCATCGAGGAATCCGAGCCGGAGGTCCCTACCAAGGCAATCGCTGATGATACCGCAGAGAAGCCAACCGAGCCTACAATCCAGGAAGCTACAGTTGAGTCCACTCTGCAGCCGGTCGCGAAGTCAACTGAGCCATCTGTTGAGCCGACTGCCACAGAAGTTACAGTTGGGTTGTCTGCTGAGCCTGTTGCTGAGGATGTTCCTGAGGCTCCTGCTGATCCAGTTGCAGAGGCTAAGGATGAATCGCCCAAGGAGGAGCCAGAAGTGCCCGCTGTGAAGGATGCCGAAGAGGTGCCCGCCGAAGCTACCGCCGAAGCCAGTGGCGAGAAAGTCTCTTCTGAGCCACAAGCTGAGGCAGAGGCGCCCAGGGAGGACACCGCCGAGGCACTTGTGGCACCCACTGAGCCCATTATCACCGAGGATACTGCCATTACTGAAATGAAGGAGACCCCCAAGGTGGTGCCTGAGGTCCTCGAGGCCCCTCAACAGACCGACACTGCCGCCCCGGCTTCCCATGATGATGTGCCTGAGGTGGTGATGGATATCACCAGTGCCCAGCCATCAGAAAAGACCAACGAGGAGCCTAGGGAGTCTTCCCCAGCTGCGCAGCCTGCTGCCCAGGCCAAGTCGCATACCATCGACATTGACTTTGCTCACCTGGCACTGAGCTAAATTCATCTTCGTCCATTCCATTTCCATGATCACGTTCTGGACCAACCCCCTTGTAATCTTCTGTGCTGATACCCTTGGTCTTTCCACTTCAAGGAGCCCCAGACTCACATTCCCATTGGTCCTTGTGTGATGTACTGGTTCCCAGGCATTTTGTTTCATTTTCCCGAGGGTTTATCTGTTTCTATTTGCGTCCAGGTTTTTTTGTGTCTCAGTCTCAATTCCTCGTGATGCTGATGCTGAGAGTCTCCTGTGTGGTCGTTGCATTCTTCGAGTTGATATCGGGAGCATATGGTTTTATTGAGCGATTTAGTTGCATTCTTCGGTTGAGCATATTACACTACCTTGTTGTCATTTATTACTGAGAGAGCGTGCTTGGTCTTTGCGTGCTGTAGGTCAATGCCATTTCTCGGGATTCGATCTGCTGGATTCTAGTAAGATTGAAAGAAGGACTTCTGTAGAGCCAGGCTGGCCTGGGGTAAAGGAGAGAAAGAAAGTCACTTTGGACTCATGGCGAATTTCTTTGATAAGTTGAAAGATCTTGGGATGATCGGGTACGAATCGCTGCATGTTGAATTCGTGGAGGTTGTTCATTATGTACCCGAGAACTACGTACCAGAGCCTCCCCGACCTATGTCTCCTGAGGCGATGAAACATTTGGATAGCTTGCCAGCGTACGACTCAGATATATCGTTATAGAAGGAAAGTAATAGCAGAGCAGATTGCACGGGGAAGTACCAACGTTCGTTCAAAAGTGCTACGGAAGAATGGACAGACTCTTAAATAGACTCATTATCGGTCAATCTACTAGTAGGGATTGTTTGGATCAACCCAATATACTCTTCTTGCGACTCTATCTTCCGGAATATTCTCTGGGTTTGTTTGTTATGGGACGTTCCTCAAGAACGCTTGTTGCTTTCCGGCAGGCGAAGCCTGAATGCCTAAATACCCGAGTGGCCGAAGAGAAAGAAAATCAGGTCGAGTTTGATCGAATATATCTTGGCAACTAACAGAGCGTACAGAGCTCTGGGTTATGACAGTAACATTACTAGTATTGATAGCGCTAGGTAGTGGGTAGCGGTAGCAACAAATGCCCATCAACCAACCTCATTCATAAACAATTGGAAGCGTAGGCTAGATATACAAGTGCACTTACTTTACACTTGATGACTCTGCTTTATTTCAGTCTATGCTGAGGTGTATATGTCCTTCAGAAGGGATCCAAGTACATACGACCATAGGGTGTGGAGAACAGGGCTTCCCGTCCGCTCAGCCGTACTTAAGCCACACGCCGGCCCGTTAGTAGTATGGTGGGTGACCACATGCGAATCCTGGCTGTTGTATGTTTTATGTTTTTGCTTTCAGACTTTCTTACTCCTTTTTCCCCTTGGCAATCTACTTCTCAGGGTTGTCATATTGATATTTTCACTTAACAGGAAATCGATTGACAATATCTTTCTAACAGGGTATTTCCATAGCCCCTATAACGCTTGATGATGTTATTAAAGTCCTTCAATATGCGAATAAAAATATACATAAGATCCAGAGTCCCCATTTCTGTCGGTTTAAAGAGGAATCCGTCGCTCGCACTTTACTACTGATGGAGCTTGTACATTGTGTACCACACCTTATCTACTGGTGCAACCCTCGAGATTCTTACTAAAAGCTAATTACTAATGAGACTTCCAGTTGGCCATTGAAACAGGTCTAAGGATGCACATCATCAAGGAAACTTCGGAACGAGCTCGAGAATTGGTTCACGATTATTCAAAAATCAGCGATTTGCATCAGGATCCTTGCATGTTTGTCTTTCAAGCGGCCGAGCTTGTGCGGAAGCTGAACTTCAAAATCCGACCCTCTGTGTTGTTGCCCATCGCGGGCCTGGTTCTCCTTCTCCTTCTGAGCCATGGCTGAGTACACATCGCGTTCGATGTGCTTGAACACCTCTCCGGTGATATTTGCCATGTCGTCAAAAAATCTTCGAGATACATTGGTCATGCTGTTTGAAACCGCACGGATGATGTTGGGAAAAAGTGTTCCACTCTCAATCCGGCCTTGAACTATGTCGCGCTGAGCTTTGGCCTTGTCAGGGCCTTTTGCCCGTTAGCGTTGTTACTAAATTTCAATCGTCTTGTCCCAAGTCACTTATTTGACTTGCCTTGACTTGTAACTGCAGCTCGGTAAGCAGGAATCATCTCTTGCACAATAAATGACGCCTCGTTGGACTCCAACGTCTTAGCACGAATGCTTCTATTAATTATTAGTATGAAGAATGACACATCAAAGCAGTGAACAGTGGCGTACCGGATTTCTGAGGTCAAATCTCTTTGCGAGTTTTCGTATTGGAAATTGACTTCCTGCAGCTGATGGTCAAGGCTTTCAATCATTTTGGAGGGAAATCCATGAGCTAAAAGATGCGTTAGCTGACTTCATCGCTTTCAAATCAAGTACGCTTACCCCCAAATTGGAACTTCTTCAAAGCCCCGAACCTGTACCGGATGGAAGCGCATAGGTCTTGAATTATCCCACGAAGCTCATCCTCGAGTCCATCCCACTGGAAGTCGGATTCCGCCCGCATTTTCCAAATCAGTTCACTGTTCCAGTCAACGTACTTTCCCGTGGAAGGGATATGTCGTCCTCTATTGAGGCAACAGGTTCGGTATTTCACTGGAAACGTATGTTAGCCTACGCAGCTGCTCTTCCCTTCCTCATGATTGCCAGAACTGATAAACTATGGAAGTTTTCATACCCCAGGGCCACTGTAACATTGTTAGCGAGGTTCTGCCAGGCAATGGAGACACTCACATCAATCCATTCAAGCCCTTTCTTTGTTGCAACTTCTTGCCAGTGCGCCTGACGGTTATCTATCGCAATGGTCAGCTCCGTAAAGGAGTATTGGAGAAGACTCTTACCAGAATACTCGAGTATCCAATCTTTGAAACACATCTCCAGGTTTCTCTCGGCTTTCTCGAGATCACTCAAGATCTCCACGGAACGTCAGCGGGCAGGTGAATGGATCGCCATTGGAATCGATTCCTTACCACATCTCTTATTCCCCTCATTGCCGAAATATCAAACTTCATCGGATCCCGTGGCTTTTGCATCAATGATTCTTTGTCTCTACAGTGCATGCTTATCGAGGTAATTAGACTGGGCAGCGTCGCTCGAAGAAAGTTTTTAGCGTCGCGTAACCTCGAATCTGCGGACAGGAAGTAGCAGAATTTTCGCAGTTCGGGAATACCGCTTATAGCACGCAATCTTCGATCCATCTCACTGTCCTGTTGACGAGAACATTCTTCGTAACGGAAGTTTGACACGCAAAAGACATTCAGGTCTCCGTCCAAACTATTCTCGTACACGGTCTTGAGTCCTCTTTCCACGTGTCTGTTTCTGCCTTCAATGAAAAGTATTTCCTTCCTATTCGATATGTGGTGAATATCACTCTGCATTTGGGACTAGTGTTCTACTTACTCCCGCATCAGTTGCTGCTTGTGGGCTTGACTAGTAGCTTGCTCGATTGCGGAGTCCAGTCCTTCGATCCGAGAAATCGGAAAGTCGGATTCCGAGCCTCGAAGTTCTCTTTGAGCTGCTTTGACATTGATCACCTTTTTGTTATTAGTGATGTTGTGTCCTCGTGTTGAGAGAATACTGACATCTGATTTTGTGCAGATCACCGCGATTCGTAATCCCTTCCCCCTTGAATCTTCCCCACTCGATGGTGCAGAATGAGAAATTGCCGACTCCAAGGACGTTTTCAGAGATTGGTCAGTGAGGGCCCGAGAGATATCAGCAACCAGGAATATGTGGTCACATTTAGTAAGATATTCCTGTGCTGCTTTGACTCTTGCTAGATTCGTATCCTGGAGACCTAGATGGCTGTTAACTGAAGACAAGTTGGAATGGCCGGCACTCTTACCAGGTAAATCCGCAATGACAAGTCCCACTCTCAAAATTGGAGCATCAAGGAATATCCTAAAGAGCATGCTAAACTCAATAAAAGTCACTCGCACTTGGAGGAATAATATTCACTTACCGAATAATCCTAGTAAACGGCCAGAGCCTATCACGCACGAACGGTCTTATATACTCGAAGCACTCATCTGCAGTCTCTGCATATGTGGTCCATTTACCGTCAGTGCTCCCTGAAGGCCATGGGATATTTTTGGACCACCAAACCAATTGGTCGGTTATCCGTTCGAAAGCTCTGTCGGACTGATCGCAAAGGAAGTTATGGTTAAATCCTTCCTCACTGCCAAAAGCCGCACTTAAAGCGAGCCAGGCCTGTTTTGACTCCTCATCTTTTGTGTAGTCACTTGCGCTCAATGAGTCCTCTGAAACATCTGGTAAAAAGATGCTGCGGCGGAAACTCCACAAAAGTTCTTTGATGTGTTCTTTGCTAGCCATTTCGGAAAGATACTCGACCTCAATTTTGATGCGCTGGGCTTGGCCCAAACCCATTTGCCTGTATTCGGTAACGACCGTGGTGCAAGCTGAGCTCATGTCCCCCTATTTCCTTTCATGAGTATCAAACGTTTCTAAGATAGTTCCATGTTTCTCACAATTGAAGCAATATCAGGGAAGTCAAGGAGAGAATTGATTACGCTGCTCTTGCCCACTCCTGAGTTTCCTAGAAAGGCAATAGTCTTAGTGCCAAAGTTCAATTCGCCTGCTTGCTTCACAGAGCTCCCAGCATGTTCATGGCGATTTTGGCGGGCAAGCAATTGTTCGAGTATGGTGGCCGAGTTTCTCGCAAGCTGAATCCCATTGAGCAGCGCATTTTGAAATACGTGGGAGAAAAATGGCGATTCTGGGATCTCCTCCGGTGGGATGCCGTAAAATGGGTAAGTTCGACCACAGTCAGAGAAGAATTTAGAAAGCTGGACTGGGTCGGTGGTGTCCAGTGATAGATTTCCCATTGGCGAGGTTATTGTACCGGGAGTAGGTGGCTGTGGCTGAGGGCCTTGTGGGATCTAGCAATGAGATAGAGGCCGCTTAGTTACGCAGAATGTCATCAGGTTAATCACAGCACGCTCATACATTGCATCTATCGGCCCCTGGCTTCGGCGCAGACGGGCGGATTTGCTCCTGGCTGTTGCTATTGAAGCGAAAGGGAGACGATTGGGGCTCTTGTGAAGCCGGAGGAGAGTTCTTTGATCCACGAAAAACGAATCCAGGAAAATCGGATCCAAAATCCTTGCAAATGACGGGATTACTCGTCTGGGCACCTGGATTTCCCGTAACTTGCGTGGCAGAAGCAAAGTCACCGTGAGAGTATACGTGAGGATGTTGTGCATCATCTGGTTTCTGTGTCCTCGTTTGGCCATCTGAAAAGGCTGCAAAGGCTTGGGAGCCAAACAAAGATACTGGTCTATTTCCCGCACCGGTTCCCATAGAAGTCAGTTTTAGTCTTTTGTCAGTCTGGTCGGTATCTGATCCAGAAGGCTGAAGCATGGTATGGGTTGGATGACTTGGATGCGCGACTCTCGGGACTTGCAGAGATGTCACTCCTTGAGGCAGCTTTTGGGGACTCGACCTGGGCTGTGACGAACGGCCCTGAGAAGTAGAGGTCATCTTTGACGCAAGGGTGATTGAGAGCAGAAAGGATCGTGAGTTGACATTAGTGTAGCACGGGGCGGAGAACAGTCCAATTAGTACCAAAACTCATTTGTGAAACTAGCGTTGGATGGTCACTGTGCTAGCTTGCATTAGCTTGCATAAGTTGGGGGCCAGGAGTTTCATGGCCCTGTTCTCTGCCGTACATGACAATCCTCCCGGCCGTCATGGTCTCTCGAATGAGAATCCACTTCAGCGTATTCAAGGGTAGGAGAGTTTAAATGTGGGTAACACCTCGACTTCGGTACGGTCTGTGTGGACGGCTTAACCCGGCCCCTTTTCTTTCTGTACACTTAGTTTGACAACATACAACGGTCATACTATGGTGATGCTCACCTAGCGCCCACCATTCGAGCGCCCACCATTCGAGCGCCCACCATTCGGTTGGAGGCGGCTCGCGTGACTACATAACTTGAGGGTGCAATGAGTTTCAGTGAGAGTTCGACTGACCTGTAACTTGGGCGGCTCGCTGCTATAGGCACTTGGGCCTCAGTCAGCTTTAGGTGTCAGTTCACCCACCTAAATTTTCTCCGGAGGTGCAGAGCGCGCAGGCAAAAGGAGCATTGGCACATTTTCACAACGGGAGGTTTCACGAGCGGCCGATTTGGAGAGCCTCCAAGGATGAACTAAAAAGAGGCGCTGGGAGCGTGCACTCTGTATCTTTGACCAGTTAGCGTCTCTTGACAACACCTCGTCTTCGGGCGGCTAGCTAAACAGGTCTCTACTTGCTTCCGTTAGGCTCATCTCACTACATCTAAAAGCAGCTAATCCACCCGATATAAGCTTTTAAGGCCTTTATTGTGACGATCTGGACGCGAGTGGAATTAGTGTGACTGTTTGACGATGAGAACAAACATGGCTGAATTGGGATGATAAGAGAAGTAGCGCCTTATCATGGACATATCAAACACCGCCCCGGACGATTAGCAGGCATGTTATTAGTCTAGTAAATAAAGCTAATTTCTTTACAATATTTCTGCCGAAATAGAAAATAGATACCCTGCTTAAAGATAGCAATCTTCTGCTAAAGGATACTTTCCATTATCAACTTAGCCTAAAAATACAGGTCAATACTCGTGAGACCCGTAAACAACGTGTCAATAGATTAGTTAGCTCTAAGCGATCTGATTAGCGGAGACCGACAGGTATCAAGGTAGGCCCAACAGCTCCAGCACTTCTCCGTTCTCCCTTCTCTCCAATCTGGGTATTTGTTACAGAATACACTCTTTTATCAAAGACTAGGCCCTTATCACAATACTATGCAAATAATGTAAAGGCATTAGCCCTCTATATTTGCACTATTTATAATCTATGAGGTACCTAATAGGTTAGTATAGGTTACCCATGCCGACCCAAAACCTATAATAGGTCTTAGATTCTATAGGTTATGCCGCAGTCTAGCGAATAACAAGAGATAGATTTATCAAGATGGCTCAGTGCACACTTATTGTCGCCCTCTATACGTAGCAGAATGGTCCGTCTAATTTTCGAATAATCCAGGTCGCTCAGCTTCACCACATTACAGGCGTGAGCCTACACCAGGGCGTTTTGTCCTTGGCTGCGGTCAACTTAAGGTAAGTGTAATGTCAGGAAGGTAGTAGAGAAATAGAAGAGATAGAGGAAGGAGAGGGGAGGGGGGGGTTTCGATTCGAGCGACCAGGAGGGGCAGGAAGGAAAGCAACAAAGTGATGTATGTTCTCACACCGCGAAATCTCTCCTCTGATTAGAAAGTGCCTTTGGGCATTTTGGGGTAGGGCTTCACCCCTCTAGGCGAAGAATATTCAGGTGGGTGAACTGCCACCTGAAGCCCGCCTGAATAGAGCGGCGAGTCGCCCATGACCGAAAGGTGGGCGCTAGGTGAGGTTGGCCATACTTTTGGCTGTTGTATATCTCTAGTTTTTATCATCGGTATATGTATTCGCGCTGGCTAAGAATACATCTACTTAGAGTAGTTGAGCTTATAGGGAAGAAATCTGCCATTAGTTATACCTCCAGCCAGGTGAATGCATCAACCTAAATCTAACATGTGATCAATCCCAAGATATTATTCTAGTGAGTTGGAAATGTTGACAATAAACCGTAACCACGCAGCTAGCCAATACCATTCATTCAAGAGCCCATTGGAGACTTTGCAACTCCTCCATACATAATGTCAAGACGCCAAGGAGAACTGTGAAGCCTCACGTCGTCCCCAACGTACAGTTGCAGGCAAAATATGTTCATACTCGATATAATGCTGAATAAAACCATATTGCATCCAACGAAACATCCATCACAGCTTCTTCTCCAACTTCTTCAAAAACCGATTCATCCCGCTCTCCAACTTCATCACATTATCCTCCAACTTCCGCGGCCGCTGCCCGGGAGCTTTCATCGCCTTCTGCGCATTCTTCTGTCCATGCCCACCAGCCTCCGCCTCCGTCGGCCGATACAACTGGCTGTGGATATCGTACTCGGAAGACGCAGGCTGTTGCGCCTGGGGCTGTGCATACGAGTAGTTCGAGTAGCCGCCGATTGGAGCGGCGTGTTCGATCTGGTGAGGCGGGGACTGGGAAGTACCGTATACTTGCTGAGCATAGAGGTGTGCGTTAGGATCTTGCGGTGGCGGAGCAAAAGACATTTGGGCCGACCCCGGTGTGCCAGGTCCCAGTTGCCCTGTATGGAAGGATTGCGGGTATGAGGGGAGACCTCCTGGGGTCTGGTTGGGTTGATGAGATGGGAATGAGTTTGTATGTGAGAGGCCGGCACTCGGGGGTGGTGAGGCGTAGCCGGTTTCAGCGGTGGCTGGTGCTCCTGGGTATGGTATGCCTTGTGTTGAGGTCGGTGGAGGTGCGAAGGAGCTGAGTCCTGGGGTGCCGCCCATCTGGTGCGGGGGAGTGTATGGGATGCCTTGGTCGGCTGCGACTGCTGCAGCTAGGCCAGTGCCCTGGGTGCCGTCCTCTGGTGGGGGTGTCTTCTCGCGGTGCTTGATCGGTTCTGGGGCTGCCGGTGCTGCAGGGTTGTATGGCAGAGGGGCGAAGCTGGCCGAATCTCGCCTTTCTTCTGCAGAAGCCTGGGTCCCGGCATGGGATGGTTGATGGTCGGTCGGTGGCCCGCTTGGAGGAGGGGGTGGGAAGCTCATGGTTTGAGGAGGCCCCTGTGCGGTTGGAGCTGCTACCACCGGGGGTTCAGATCGGGAGTTGGGTGTCTGTCCGTTCTGGTAAGCAGGATCAGAGATAGCCACGCTCTCAAGTTGCTGGACCACAGAGCTCATCGGCGGGTCTAGTTGCGCCGCTGGCCGATCTGTCTCAAGTTGGGCAATGGCTAGAACACGTCCGACAGTGTCCAAGAACTCATTGGCATCATCTAACGTCCAAAAGTAGATATCAAGTGTATGAAGCCGATGTAGTTCAAGGTGTCCACTGCGTGAATCTGCACCTGGTAGTCGCCAGTCGTACTGAGAGACCTGCCGCTGAGCTGAACTAGCAACCCCGTCCACCGTCAAGGTACAGCGGGTTGGGAAGTGGGCTGAGTGTCGGATATGCACGTTGTTCATGGCCCCATGAAACGCATCCTGGTCTAAAGTCCCGGGGTTGTTGGCAATCTCAATCCGTGCCTGATTCTGGGAGGCATCGTGGTAAATGTATAAGTAGGAGCCCTTGTCAAATCGGTGGTGAAAGGGCTTCGAAATCGGTGGAGTAAAATAGTAATGTATGTCGGCGAAACTATGGCATTTGCGCTGTTAGATTCCATTCCTGTGCCACTGAGTGCACATTGCGGGGGACCTGCGGAGAAAGTTAGCTGGACTCACATAGTCAGAATACGTTCCTCGCCGGGTTGCGGAGGCATGTTTGCCTTGAGAGTTTGGGGATGCGGCGTGCGGCGGAGGGCAAAATATATTATACTACACGGACGGGGAAGGAATAAATTTAGAGGCATGGGGACTTACGATGTGCAGCCGCCTTTATACCACGGAGGGGTCGAATGGCTCGAGCCTGTGAGACGCTCCCTCCAGCCGCCGAGTTGCTCTTAGGCGCTTAGGGTGATGTGACAGGGTGGGTACTGAGTACCTTCCTGTACTTGGCCATCACACGCATTCCCCCGCGGGTGGGGCAGGTATGGGAAGTACCAGGTACCTGGCCAGCTGCCCGAAGAGGGAAAAGTGAACTGGCGAGCTTGCGGCAATGGCCAGCACCGGCCGGAGGCACGGTTTCTCCGAAAATTTCCATCGCGAAGAGCTGCGGCCTCGCGAATTGGCTCGAGTCTGATCGGTTCAACTTCTTTCCTTTCCGCTGTCCACGCCATTGCGGTGTGATTTCAATTTCTGATCCTCTTCCTGCCGTCTGCTGAACTTAATTGGCCTGTTCGTTCAGCGCCATTCGGCCCACGCCTGCCCTCCGCACTTTTCTCCTACCCCCGTGAAACCGGCCCCGGTAGGGCCCATTGCTCGCGACAACTGTTCAAGATGTCTCTTGTCAACCTTGCCTCCGTGTGCGCCCACCTGAACAATGCAACCAAGGCCCGCTTGGGTCTCACCTCGATTCCCAACAGCAACCTCCACCTGAAGCTGTGCCAGGCCCTCCAGAACTCCGGCTATATCTCCTCCGTCGTGCGCGGAGGCCCGACTCCTCCTCCCACACACCCTATCCTCGGCCATCCGGCTGCGAACGACGAGTTAGAGGGTGTTGAGCCGATCACCCGGGACAATGTCGCATCGCGACGCCTCTGGCTGGGTCTGAAGTACTGGCAAAACGAGTCGGTCCTGGGCAAGGTGAAGATGGTCAGCAAGCCTACCCGACGGGTCCATCTCGACGTTGAGGCCTTGCGTCGAGTCGTTCGTGGTGAGGAAGCTGGCTACGTGGCGGGACTCCGATCGCCCGGTGAGAGTCTCTACCTCTCGACAGACCGGGGAGTCTTGGAGGCCCGCGAGTGCGTGGAGAAGAAGATCGGTGGCCTGGTCTTGTGCCGAGTGCTATAAGTCGCCTTTCTGTTCGTGAAAATGCGGTCTTCCTGCCCCGGAAGGACGAATATTGGGGTTCCTTTGTTTTGCCTTTTGCATCTACCCTGGAGTTTTGTCGGTTCGTCGCAGCGGGGTCTCCTCTTGAGATCCGTTTTCTTTATGCGACTGTTGGGATAATTGCCTCGGTCGAGGATCTGTATATTAGATGTTTGCGTGTATCGCATTTCCTGTGCTCTGCTCGGGGTGGTCGCAGAGCTGCCGCTCATACCGGTGCCGTGTATAGATTACGACTTGAAAACATGTCCAAGATTCTCTGCTTTTAGAGCAAGCCCGTCTACTCACTACATTTTTTTTGAAGTACCAATCCATCGGCAGTGTCTGTTGCTGCGATGGTCGCACGTCTCGCCGTCACGCACCCTGACCGATCCCTGGTTTGCCGCCCATTCCCCCACGGTTGAAGGGGTGAAGGCCCCAAAGCTGCCCCGTTGAACATCCTCCCTTTGAATACCTCTTAGCGCCCAGTCATGTCAGACAAAACCATCTTAGGATCCAAAAAAGTTCTCGTATCTGGAGGCACCGGGTTTGTGGGCTCAGCCACGGTGCGCGCTCTGGCCGACAAACATCCCAGCTGCGCCATCACCATCATCGACCGCAGCCCGCCTCGGCCCCAACATGTCGTGCCCGAGAAGACCGAATTCATGAAAGTCGATATTACCTCGCCGAGTGAAGTCAGCAAGGCACTCCAAATGATCAGGCCAGACGCTGTCATCCACACTGCAGGGATTGTCCCAGCTCTCGCCGACCGGTTTGGCCGGCGGGTGGAGCGGGAGGTATGGAAGATCAATGTGCAGGGCACTGGGAATATGCTTGATGCAGCCGCCAAAAGTGGCGTCGAGGCTTTCATCTACACCAGCACCTGCTGTGTGACGACCGATGATATGAGATTGCCCTATCCCAATATTGATGAGGAGTGGCCGACGTCGCAGACCTCTCTCATCTATGGCGAGTCTAAGGTCGTACCCCTCATAGCTACAATGCATGGACACTTTGATACTGGACTTGGGCTTCAGTGTGGAGAATACAGCACAGGCTGACAGAAAATAACTAGGCTGCTGCAGAGGCTCTTGTCCTGAAGGCGTCTAGTAGTCATATGGCGACCTGCTCCCTCCGACCTTCCGTGCTCTTCGGACCCGGGGACTATCAGCTAGTGCCATCCATTCATGCATGCATTGCCAAGTATGAGACTCCATTCATCATTGGAGATGGCCTGAACCTGTGGGATGTCACACATGTGAGCAACATCGCCGATGCTCATGTCCTCGCCGTGGAGAACTTGGTGACGTCGCGCACAGCAGCGGGCGAGGCATTTTTCATCCAGAACAACGAACCGATCACATTTCGGGATTTCTGCCTTGTTATCTGGGCCCATTTCGGCCATGTTCCGCCCTTTGAGGTTCATATCCCGGAAGGGCTGGCGTATGTGGCAGGATTGGTTTGTGAGATGGCCACCTGGGTGACAGGGAGGACCACCACCCTGAGCCGTGGAAGTGTCCGAGATGCATGCGCCGTGCGATATGCGAGCGGAGATAAGGCCAATGCAATTTTGGGGTACGAGGCTCGGATTGGCATCGAAGAAGGCATGCGGTTGAGCTGCGAGGTAAGGAGTCACTCGAAAAGGATCTATACCCACCTCCCCCTGATCTGTCTGATGTCAATGGCTGGGGTCAGCGGCTGATCGGAGATGGAACAGGAGTACGCCCAGCGCATCGGAGTACAACTACCGCCACCAATACAACCCGACCGGAGTGGTCAACCCGGTGGCTGCTGAAGATCGACTTAGACTTTCGTGCCGTCTGAGGCCGGAGGGAGTGACACCCTGCACAGAAACCACCTTCTATGGTTTCCCCCAAATCGCCGCCGACTCCATTGTCGTGAGAGGCACCTTTTTAGCGCTGTTCTATTAATTGCCACCTGATTTGTATATTGCAAGTCCCTCGATTCTCCACCAGCGGCCGGAAATCTGGAAGGCTGAACCTACGTTCCAATATGTCCAATGTAAGACATTGGGCGGACGATTGGGCTGCAAGACCCCCACACTGGTTGTGGCTCCAGGCGGCTCTCCACCGAAACGTAGTTCGGGGTCAGGTCGATCGCGGTCGAGATATAGAAATGGCCCATGCGCTGATTGGGCCCCAACGGCCTTGCATGCCCGATCGCGCAGCAATATGAGCGATCGAAGCTCATGGAAATGCGAGATACCGAGATGTCGTCAAACGAGGCCAAAAAGGTGCCCATGGACGTCACGGGGGTGGCATGTGCTTCGCCTCCACCGTCAGGCTCACTCTTGTCCTTCCTCCGTACCCTCCGTGCATTCCGTGCAGATCCTCCTCCTGCGCAGTCAGGTCGCTATCGGCCACCGGCCAACAAGATGCAAGGCCTGACTTCTCCCTTCATGCCCTCCTACCCAACTTGCTGCCCAAGCTCGCTGCCCCAGGTCCATTGTCGCACCATATTGGGGTGGCGCTGGCGTGCCGTTGGCCTTTGCACCCCCTAATCAATGAAGATCACAGCTTCTGGTTAGCAACCCCATCCCCGTCTGATCGAATGTGGATATATCCCGCCCCCCTCAATACCCTAGAGCCCTAGACCGGCCTAAGCCACGTCCAATGCGTCTTGCCCACCAGGCTCAAGCTCGATCGATCGAAATCTGCCCCTAAATTGTACGCTTGAGTGGCACCGAAGACCTACCGGGTGGTTCCCTGTCTAACTGGTGCAATGAGATGTCATCGAGGAACAAACACTCAGCTCACGGACCGGACGCATCATTTGCCAAATTACCTGCTCCACTTCTGCCTTGAAGGTCTTCTAGCGCGGCTCTCCATCCACTTGCGGGCTGAGATTAGCCAGTCCAGAAGCAGGCGTCAGGCACACCTACCAAAACCCTCGACCCGGGTTCTCCTGGCCATATATTACTGGGGGTGTGACCACCCAGCGCTTCTTCAATACTGCGGATTCGTCCATCTTCACCTCACCTCCTCTTAAAATAGCCCGACCTCATCTGTCCTCTCGTCTGACTCTTCTTTCTTTTCTTTCTGTTGCTGTGATCAGCGGGTCACTAAGATCCTGACTTCATGGTTCCTGCCCTACCTCCCCCTTTCACGGCTGTTCCAGCGAGCTTCCAGCCATTCTCTGCAACTCAAGTACACCTTGGTTCTCGAGCCGGCTCGGTCAGCAGTAAACTGGATATCCTGTCTCGCCCTAGGTCAGCACAAACAAAAAACCCATTCTTCCTTCCTCCCTTCTCCTTCCTCTGTTTCCCGCAGATAGTCTGCCGCTGGTATTATACACATACTCACAATTCCCTACAGCACCATGGCTCAGCATTCTATGTATGCTCCATCGGGAGGCTCTCCCGTTATTCATCGACCAAGGTACTTGCACACTACACATTCTGGCCTTTCTCATCCCCGATCCCGACGAAAAACAAAATGTCTTCTATTACCCTTGCTAAGCAGTAGAAGGGCGCCTTCGGCACCCAGAGCCTACCTGAGGGATAACCGCCAACTCATGCCACTGGGAACCATAGATTTCGAAGCTCGCGCACAGTACCATGGATTTGCAGCACCCCTGGATAGTCATGGCCATGTGATACCTCAACCCACAGGAAGATTATCCTACCCTCCAGCTGGACAGCCACTCACTCCGGTCTCGATGTACCCTGAATGGAACCCATCCGTGCAAATGTCGCATGAGCCACTGCGTCACGATATTAGGCCACTGAACCCCTCGGAGAGCCCGGAATACATTGTGGAAAGAAACAGCCGGCGAGCTGCCGATATAAGCCGCGGAGGATCCCAGTACATCTCCCAGAGACGGTCCTCAAACCGGGATGAATTTGATGGCCCGCACCAAATTCTGGATGCGCCTTCACCCCGGACCCTCCCAACCCGGGAGGAGGAGCTGCCCCAGCTCCCTACTAATCTCGACGCCGCAGAACAAGACAGAATCTTGCACGAGGTCAATGACCGTCTGTCTCAGTGTGCCTTTGATTTTTTCGCGAGATATCAGTTCCCCATTCCCCTAGAGCAAGACAAGAGGCGAGTTCAGGTCCCCTCGGACCGGGAGTGGAATGAATGGGTGCACCTGCTGAAGAGGCTGGCTACTCGGCGACGTATCCCCCGCCATGCCCTGCACAACGGCCAGATCAAGCAGCTCATTACTGTGCTGGAAAATTCCCTGGAGATGCGTCATGCTGCCAAGCACAGCTCTCGACCCGTCAAGGATGACCGTAATGTGCTGCAGCTCATCTCTGCTGGCACGCAGGTTGCCAAGATCCTCAAGGACTCTAGCGCCATGCAGTTCTTTGATTGTCTTTATGTGGACACGGAGAAGCTGATCAACGAACGCCGCCGCCGGGTGAGATTTGCGGACCACTGATCCCGCCGGATAAATACACGCTCTAACCCTGGTTAATCCGTGGCATTTATCATTGCTTTTCTCCTGGAATATCCTGCCCTGGACCGTCTATTTTTCTCTGATGTTTCCCGCTGGTTCCACGGACCCATGATTATTTTTTATCCACTGGAAAATTGCTGAGAAACTCTTCCTATCTCGGCTCCCCGGTTTTCTCTGTCAGCCCGGGACTTGTCTCAAAATCCATGGCTACCTATGCTTGTGGATTTCAACCCATGATGGATGCTCGAATAAATTAACCGCGCTTGAATCAAACGCCCACTTCTGCGCTCCCCATTTCCTTGGGCGAGCTGTTGCACGCTTTTGAATGAGCTATGAAATGTGGGGGTCATATATTGATTTACGATCCACCGGCAGCAACGAGGAAATGGCCAGCTATGAAGTACGACATAATATTCTTTTCGGTTTGAGTTTATGTTCCGTTGGAGTTTTGTTTTTGTTTTGTGTGTTAATCGGGTCGGCTGTTTCTTATATTTTATGTTTGTTTGGGTTCATGTACTACCTGATTGGGATGACCATCGCGAATGATTTACGGAATAATGCTGCCCATCCATCTGTCGGGAAATAGGTCAACGAATTTTACTCATCCTTCTGCTTGCGTTGCAGACTTCTTATCTTCCGTGACGTCGATGGGCAGATGAGCAAGGATCTAGATTCCTGAAACAACTCTCGGTGCAAACGAATGGCTTCCTTCCGGTCGTTTCTATATGATTAAAAGCCACTACTTGGTGTTACCGTTGCCACGAGCGATGAGGTCTCACATCTATCCAATGCATTGTGATAATTCTGACCGTGTATCGATCAAAGTCTACACGCCTTTGCTTTCTTTTACCCTGAAACGACCTATCGCAGCCGCCACAACCATTCTTCTATCGCCGTCTGGAAACCGACAAAGGATCTTCTAGTCCCAGTCATGGCACTGAGCTACCGCGCATTAACGAGCCTTCGCTCCTTCTTCCCAAAGTTCAACTTGGTCGAGCCCTTATCAAGGGCTGTCGCCAACCCTTTGTATACAATTCGGGGTTATTGGATTTTCCGAACGTTGGCTGTTCTCGTGTGCTGCTCTACAGTTCAGCTTCCATTTACGGTGAGCATGAAGATTGATAGACAATGTTGTTGAGATTACCAAAGAGGAATATATGATTACCCCACGGGCTACAGCGGACATGCTCACGGTATGGTCTCGAAGATCCATATCAGAATCAAACTCGTCTCTACACAGAAAGCACCGCAGCTTCTGTGCGTAGACATTCTGCGTAGCACTGACCGGAAGAATTAGACTAAATAGCAGAGATGATTTTGTTTTCACGTTCAGAGGAGGAATTTGGAAGGCAGAACTCTGAAAGATACTTGATCACAGTTCGAAGGCAATGATGTGGGCCGTGCGGTAGGGTGCACGAATGCCGGGCAAACCCAAGGGCAGTCACGACTGGTGGTTTCAATCGTTTCCATCCCACAGAGCAAGGCACAGGATAATTTCTCTCAAGTCTGTTTCAATCGTGTGAGGTGCCACCTGAGGTAAGGTAACTGTTACGAAGGAGCCGGCTGGAAGAACCAGGTGCATTAACGAAACAACTAAAGTGAAGAAGGAAGAAACTATGGGGGGCGAAGTCCACTATTATGTAGAGAGCTCCCATGCAAACGCGCCCCATCACGTTAGTTAGATCAGCTGCTTCCTTCTTCACATGTTCCTCAGGTGATCTCCCAAGTCATCTGACCACAGTACCTTCGCTCTCCATGTCCATTGTCTGTCATGCATCACAGTAACAATTGTCAGTTGTGGGGTTAGGGGCGGTTCTAGCATCCAATGGCAAGGGAGTAGAACATGTGAAATGGCAAGTGGTCTCCAGGGCGAAAGTGCTCCACCTGGGCACCTCAAAAAGATGAAATGAAAGTGGGAATATAGTGGAAACAAGGAAAGAAATAACCCGTCTTCGGAAATGGAAATCTATCCTTTTGTTCGCTGAGCTGAAATATAATGGGAAGCATTTCCATCTAGAACCTATATTTTTGTTTGAAGGAGTATCTTCATTCTCGTACAACCAATCAATTGGCCGGATGGTGTAGTTGGTTATCACGTATCGTTAACACCGATAAGGTCCTGGGATCGAGCCCCAGTCTGGTCATATTTTTGGATTCCAATCTTGCTGGAATCTCTTTTTTTTGGTGGTACGGGTGGATCCGTCGCACCAATATCGGGAGGGCTAAAGATCAAGCAGCCACGTGATTTGTCGGATTGATACTCTTTCAGCTATAATGCTAATAGTCAAAGAAATATATGCCTTCCTAAAGAATAAGGAAGGTTCATATCTAACAGTACAATTCAACCTACATATTAAACTTGGTACTCCAATATAACTGAAATCCAAGATCTAGGGCCCTGAGTGAAGACCGAGGCCAACCTTCACTAGATCAGGGGATTCCATGGAAGCCATACACAGCGCGCGGTTCAGGATGCTCTATTTTAGAATTGGGAATATACAAACAGGATTCCACTGCCCATTTCGAAGGTAGTTTAGTGGTCGATGGCCATGTTACTAACATAGTTATTCAGATGGTCAGTCACTCAAGAAATACCAGCTTGTGTCTAGCCCTAAATGTTCACCAGCGTATCCACCCGCACCACGAAAGAAAGGCATTCCACCAAAATTGATATCAAAATGTTTAACCAGGCCAGGGCTCGATCCCAGGACCTGATCGGTGTTAACAACCCTATCCCTTTGTAATTGCAGACACAAGGGACGGGAAAGAGGTAGATCCAAAGACTGTGAATCATATATGAGATGCAAACACGTTCCTCATAACATAGAGTTCTGAATTTGCATCCGTAATCTCATTCAGCAATCGAAGAATCGCACGCACTCGGGGCGCACGGTTTGTCAAAAGAGATACCTGTAGCCTCTCCCAGCAGATTTTCGCCAGTTCTCCCTCAAGTTTTGCCATGTTGAGAAGATCTGCTTTAGCCTTGTCAAGAGTAGATCCGCGAAATTCCAGAAAGTCCGCTGCATTGAGATTCGACTCTGCTCGGTCGCGCCCCACGCTTCCGACTTCGTTATATAGCCTGTTTTCAATAGCCTTGTGCCGACACCAGTCTTGCACAAGATATTTTTCCAGGCCGGTGGGGAATATGTCGTTTCCGTCACTGACACGACAGATCATAAAAGCCATGATGTACCAGTAGAACAGACTGTCCACTCCACTGGACTGGAGCCAGTGGTAAAAGCCGTACCCTGCGTCACCGCCTGAGCCGTTCTGTGATGAGTGGCATCGGTCATACACGGTAATACTTAGCTTCGCGTCAGACACGATGGATAGCCACACTCTTCTCATTTCAAACAGAAGGTTCCGTCTGCAATAATCTCCCGCGGTGCAAATGCCAGGAGATTCCATGACACAGTTCTTGTGGGCCGAAATGGCAGTTCGAAACTGCGCGACTGTTGCATCGTCTTTTGTATCATGCACATGCACTAAGGTTGGCTGAGGGTTCACTGCGGTTGCAAGTGCAGTAAACCCCGAGTTGATCTCCGGAAAACATTCATATATCAGACTCTGACATGAGTTGATTGCTTCGATACTTTTCCAGCGCAACTGAGTGTCTCCGTAGTGGTCGATGAAGTAGGCGGTCGCCATGAATTCAAGCGTGTCATACAGGACGTGCGTGCTGAGCTCAAGGAAAAGGAGCTTGCTATTCACGATTCCGGTTAAAATCAAACAAAGATGCTTCAGCGGCGAATCGCCCATGTTTCTCTTTTGCTCAAGGAGGTCGACGTCTGAATCGTTTGATGAGCAACAGGCTCTCAAGAAAAGAAGCTTCCATGATCCACGGAGGAGTCTCTGAAAACACAGAGATGCCGCGGTGAATTTTGGTATATTTTGCCATTTCGTCCACTGCGTATGAAAAGAATGTCCTGACCAAGGGGCCCTGGCCAGTGTTGGGATGACATTTCAATGCAGCCAAAATATAACCTTTTGCTATGGTTGGAAGACCGAATGTGATTTTTCCAATCCAGATATGGTTGCTGTATTCCGGTTCGACGGTACGAGACCTGATGAAAGCCCTTCCCCGTTCCGTAGCTCTAGCACAGGACCCAAGCAGGTTTTGGATTGGTGGTAGTAGCGATGTGATATTTGTAATTGCGAGGATTGCGTAAGCTGTCTCTTCCGTTGAATCGGGCGTGCCCCAGGATCCATTGATGTTTTGTGTCTGAAGCGTTCGTACAAGAGCCTGTACGAGCACCAGGGGAAGCTGAACTTGCAGTAAGTCTTCTGGCAATGCTTCAACGCGGCCTTCCTCGTAGGCGCGTAGATACAGGGAGAATGCCTCCGATATCAGCATGATTGGGTAATATGACGAGGAATTCTGAATATTGTCAGTAAGCACGAGTTCTGTTCTTTCAGAAATTCGCTTGACACACCCATTTGTCATGAAGAAGCCCGTCCGTTTCCCACCAGCACCTACACAGGAAGTGTATACATTTCCTGATTGATTGGCTGTATTCACCATTGCTAGAGAGATGGACGAGTGCAAGCAGCACATTTGCATTAGCGGTAGGACTTGCATTGCGCTCTCCAGTAAAAACCATAAAATGGTCTGGTCCTTCCCAGCGTTGGATCATCCTATCAGGTGAAAATGATTGGCCCAGGAGGTGGAGAGTCGTCAACATTTTTGCAGTATCGTCAGGATCAGGAGGAACAGATTCAGCGGCCCCGACAAGCCCGTTTTGGTCCTCGAAGTGGCCAACCAGTCGATCCTGAAGCTGCTGGAGCACATCCTGTTCGAGCTCATCTCTAGAGAAACCATAGTGCAACAGTGTTGATAGGACCCATGACGTTTCAAAAAAGCTCGTGGGAAACGTTTCTGGTACTCCGCGATCGTGAGCCACGCTCAATTGCACGATATGCCGCAGAAAAGCTTCAGCCTCCTCATCCCAATCTGGAGCTTCCATGAGGTACACTGCCGTTGCGGAGGGGGAATAGTGGATGCAACCTAGTCGCTTGTGGTGACCCAATCGACTGAAATCGGCAATGCCGATAAATGCTTCCAGTGAGTACAAGATCGACAACGGTTTTTCACCATAGAGGTCTTCAATTGAAAACTTGCTCAACTTCGCCTCGCGAATTTTCAGAATGCGGTCTATGCCAGGAACCTCAAAAACCAAACCCTCCTTCTCGAGTAGCTCAAGAAGGACTGGAAACCATAGCTCGAATCCTATGGGGAGCGTTTCATCATAGCTTTGGATGTTCCATTCGGAAAGGGTGGCTCGGATGAATTGAATAGCACGATTCGATCGCCTTTGCAAATCGTCACGCCCCGCCTCGGAATGGTTAACAGGTCCTCTGAGATGCCTTTGGATTGCAAGAAGTGATGCGAGCCCGTTGCAAATTTGGTCAACGGCCGACGCTGTATTACCCCAGCTGCCATCTTCGCGCTGGCTGTTGACCAGGAATTCGAAACATTCTGGAAAGGCCCATTCATCGTTTTTCAGGACCATAGATACCCAAGCAGTGTGGTACACACTGTTTTCGATGCTTCCCAGGCCATATTGAAGATTCCAGTCATTCAGAAGGTTGCAGAGAAGGCTGTTTGCCGAAAACAATAGGTCCTCGGGCTCCACAAGCGACCTCATGTCGATGAGATAAAAAAAGATGTATACAAATGGTAATCAGGAAGGAGGCCCCTCGGTCAATTGCGACTCAGGAATAGCACATAAGTTCTGGGTCTTATACCTGGGTTCTGTTCGGTCAATGCCCGCAAATCCCGAAAAGCCGTCCGGCGTTATAATGTGCTCCGGCCTACTCTTGCAGGACACTTGTACGAAATGAGTAGGCTCTCACCAAGCACGGGCCTTCGCTATTCGCATCATCCGAAGCCCACCGCTACATGCAGCGCCACGAAGCAATGCAGGGCAGCACTAGTTGCATGATCATCACTTTGCGCTCTACTAGAGCAAAATAGGTAAGTATGACAAAGTGGCGTCAGAAGGGCCAAGTAGTAAGTGCACCGGTTGGGCTCTCTTGCAACCGATTTTTGATGCGGGAAATGCGGGGAATATGCACGTAGTAGAATACAGAAAAGCAGCGGTGGTGTGGTCAAATGCGAAGACACATAGGCTTTCAGCCAATCAGAAGCGGACTTTATAGAGGTACCTAGCAAGAGCATGTACGCAAAATGCAAAGAAATAGGGGAATAGCAAAATAAAAGAAGGCCTCCGGGGCACCTATATTAGGGTTAAAGGCAAAGGACCAGAGAATGGAAACCGCGAGCTCTAATCGTAGAATTGAAAGTTGCAGAACAAAAATCACAAGATGGTGTGAACTAAAGGAGTAGTCACTAAGACGAGAGCTCCTTCTAGAATTCTCGAAGTAGAAAGGCAGAATCCGGCTAGGAGCAATATGATAGAGAAGGATGTTAATAGTAGAGAGACTTTCTCTCCCTTTTCTCGTTTCAGGGCACGAAGGTAGGACTGTCCAGGATCCCCAGACAGCGGGAAAAGCAATAGAGGCGAAAATACGAACATTGTATGCAATAGGCCTAAGAAGGAAAGGAAACAAGGTAGAGAAGAAAGGAGAAAAATCATGAAAGCAGCAATCATTAGAGAGCTTGGAGAGTTGAGGCAGCAAATGACACAAGATTGTGAGGAGCAGATAAGAGAGTTCCTTGGCACTAGAAAGGACCAATGAGGGTCGAGAGCTACGAAGAGCTTGACAGTGGTAGAGCAGCGAAGGTTTGCGGGCAGCTCGCGCAGGTCTGTAAACATTTGTAATAAGGGCAGCGACATCCAAACAGACCTGACCAATGACATACACTATCGAAATGTGAGTGATTGAATCAACTTCACCGAATCTTTCGAGAAAGCTGCAAGACCAAGCAGCTAATGAATTGTAAGAGGAGGAGGGAAGTGAGGTATTGAGAAAGGTGGTTGAGAAAAAAAATATGACCAGACTGGGGCTCGATCCCAGGACCTTATCGGTGTTAACGATACGTGATAACCAACTACACCATCCGGCCAATTTGATATAACATGGGTCGAGTTTCTAACTCATGAGTTTACATCATATGGCTCCAGGCTATAACCCCCTATCAATACATTTGTGGGATCCCTATTACTTGAAAAACATACCTGCGGACTGTAGTTTTTACCTAGGTCTTCAAAGATACATTGCATATCATATTGAGCTAATTCAATTTACATATATTTAAAGTGTCTAATGATATCAGGTTACTATTCTATTGGATATATACCTACGGAGTACCTACGGAGTGTCCATCCGAGCGAAGGGCTATGGCGTTAGGCAGTAGCAACATGGTAGCTTTAAAAAACCTCCTCCCCGGGTATAGTCCTTCCCTGTCCGCCACTCTATTTACACCCCCTCATCCGAAACCAAGTGACTGTGACGATCTCCCTTCTTAGTAATAGCGTCAGGGTAACAAAATATACACTAGTAATTTCCTTGCCGTATTGGGTGCGTTATGCCGTCAATAAATGTCGAATTGCATGCTCAATCATGTTGTGAGAGGTGTTGTTACAAGTGTAGAAGTCCTTGAGTTTAGGACGTCCCATATATGGAAAAAGCGGCTACTTTTTTACACCGGATATAGGGTGTTCGGCTTTGTAGGGCCATGCATTCGCTATCTACCCCTGTTAGCTGCCAATCCTGTTGGATATCCCGCGTATTGTCCATGTACATACTCGACCGCGCCCATGGCTAAATAAACTCAATAAAATGATACGGCGCCGGTGAAGCGGTCGCATAGTCATCGACCAACGGCCAATGTCAGGAATACTACACCAAATAGACCAGCCGAAGTCACAAAAGGAAGACCAACCCAGGGACCAGCAAGATTTAGTCCGATCTGATACACCAGCGGCCAGAGTAGTGACCCAACGAGCGTTCCCAGAGTTTCCATGATTGCGTAGACGGAGTAGGTGATGGCGCGGTGCTCCTCAGGGGTTGAGACCGTTAGGATATATCGGAGTGACTGGCCGTAGCCGCCTCCAAGGCCGTATAGTAAGATGCCTATCGCGATGTCAGCTATTTTGAGTGGGAATTGGACGCGCAGGAAATAAGGACTTACTAATAGCCAAGAGGGACGGAGAGGAGGAAACCGCCATGCCAGCGCATCCCAAGGCGGACAGCAAAACACTGCTCCTGGCTAGCGCGAAGTGTGTGGACACCTCTGCGGGCCCTCGTCGGGAAAGAAGCAAGCGGTCCACGGTCGGTAGTAATAGTAACACAACTAGGTGGGTTGTGCTGTCAAGGGAGACCAGGTATCCAGACTACATCAATTAGCATGGTCGGTAGAATCAAGGTCAAGGTGCGTACCCGAGAGAAAGACCAGTTGAACACCTGTGAGGCATAGATGATCAGTAGACTCATGACACTGACACCGAGCGACCGCAGCAGTAATCCCAACAGAAGAACAACTAAACTGCTCTGCTCCTTGAGAAGAATCATCACTGGGCGCAAAGTGCGCTGAATCGACTTGGGAGCGTCATTTGTGGACAGCGGCTGATTGACCTCTTGTTGGTCCGATTCTGCAGCAAGTGGACGCTGTTCGGGCACTGGAAGGACCAGGCAAAACGAGGTGAAAATAAGGCCGAGTCCCAGACAGACTGGAGTCCATAGAGAGTTGTCCATGATGGTAGAGCTCGCAAGATAACCAAAGACGCTGCCAGAGTACGCGGCAGCCTCCAGCAGAAAGCAGCGAGAGGGCCTGTGTCAAGGTTTAGCAGGGGCTTGGTACCAGATCGTCTTTCGGTTTTGACTTGCCGCAGATAGGACGGCGAGACATTGGCGACAATGACAAAGAGCATCGATCCGCCGACACTTGGTCCACCTCCAATCAGATAGAAGACAGGAGCCAGGTAAATCAGCCCAACGGGCCAGATTTGTCCATACCAGCCTAAAAAGCGTCAGTCGCACACCCTATTATGGAGTAGATTTGCGGAGGTTGAACAGACAGACAAGATCAAACCAGAGCTCCCCTAGAAAAATACCGGAGATTGACAATAGTAAGACCTTTTTCATGCCCCAACGCTCCGCTAGAGTCGCATAAGGAACGCCAGGGCGACGCCTGGAAGCAGGAGCAGCAGACTCACAAGACCCTTAACCATCGCAAGAGACGTTTGAATGGGTTCGGCCTTGCAGTCCCGCTCACTGACAGAAGCCAATAGCGTGCCCGTTTGGCGAGCATAATATCGTTCGCAGATGACATCTTGTAGAACGCTGGTGGTGGGCGGCACCGCGATCGCAGTCCCGGCGTTGATCAGGAAAAGGACGATGAGAGCCACGTAAAATGTATATTTCGCGAGGTTTGCTTCGTGACCGCTACCTTCACCCTGTCTATCGCCTGAGGCTTGACTAGAGTTGGCCGACGATGCTGCCTGCAGCAGGGGTGTGGCCTCCGTCTCTTCCGGGTCAGCCATCATAAACTCCGTCGGTGTATGGATGGGAGGATGAGTGGCCAAAAGTAGAGACAGTTGCGAGGGCGCTAGGCCGTCAGGAAACGAAAAGAGAGCTTCCATACCTACAGATAGGCCCTATCTAGTTAGTCTAGTTAGCTACTCCCCTCTAACGTAATTCCCGCCCGACCGAGCCACCCGGCCGACCGAGCCACCCCATCAAAAAACGCGTCTTCTAACCCACCCACCTAATTCAACCACCTACCATGCCACCAATTCGCTCTGGATCTGCTCAGAAATCAGCCAATCAAGAGGGCAAGATCTTATTAGCCCTTGACGATATCAAAAATGGTCGTGTCGAGTCTATACGCGCAGCAGCGAAGCTATACGCAATACCTCGCACTACACTATAACACCGCGCTGTCGGCCGCCTCCCACGCGTCGATGTGCGCCCATCTAGTCATAAATTGACCCAATACGAAGAGGATTCGCTTACTGAGTGGATAATCTCTATAGATACGCGTGGTGCAGCGCCTAGGCCCTCTATAGTGCGAGAAATGGCCAATATTCTACTAGCTACGCGTAGTGAAGACCCTCCAGCTACTGTAGGTAAAAATTAGCCATCAAGCTTCGTGCAACGACGCCCTAAGCTTCGTTCAGTATTCTCTAGACGCTACGATTACCAAAGAGCCCAAAACGAAGACCCTACCTCACTACGAGCCTGGTTTACGACCGTATAAGATGTTATCGACGCGAATAGTATCCAACCGGAGGATATCTATAACTTTGACGAGACCGGCTTCGCTATAGGGATTATAGCTACACAGAAGGTCGTTACAAGGGCGGAATATTATAGTCGGCGATCGATTTTACAACCGGGTAATCGTGAATGGGTTACAGCGGTCGAAGTAGTTAGCGCTGATGGCTACTCGCTACCGCTATGCGTAATATTCAAAGGTAAAAACTTCATAGCGTCGTGGTTCGACGAGAAGCTTCCAAAAGATTAGCGTATCGAGGTCTCGCCAAACGGCTGGACTACCGATGAAATTAGCCTTCGGTGGCTACAGAAGCTATTCATTCCAGCGACGACGACACGTACGAAAGGGAAATATCGACTCTTGATTCTTAACGGCCACGGTAGCCATCTTATACCTCAATTCGACTAGATCTGCACAGAAAATCATGTTATACCACTTTATATGCCTCTACACTCTTCGCATCTTTTACAACCGCTTAATATTAGGTGTTTTGCTATATTAAAACGCGTATACGGTCGCTACATAAGCGATCTTGCTCGTGCGTCGTATAACCATATCGACAAGTTCGATTTCCTCGCAGAGTACGCCCGGGCGCGCACGGAGGCCTTTCAACCTTATATTATTCAAAATAGCTTCGCTGCTACCGGTCTTATTCCAGTCGACGCAGATCGAGTGCTTTCGAAGCTCAATATCTTACTCCGAACGCCATCGCCACCAAATAGCAGGCCAACCACTAGCTACAGCCAATTTAGCCCAAAAACACCCAGGACGGTCGTATAATTGCAAAAATCAGCTTCGATATTGAAGGATCTATTAAGATATCGGTCAAATAGCCCTCCGAGCCCATCAAAAACCGTGCTAGATCAGATTATCAAAGGCGCTTGCATATCGCTTCACGGGGCCGCGCTATTGGCGCAGGAAAACAGCGATCTACACACAGCGAATCAGAAAATACGCCAAAAACGCACACGATCTAAACAACAGATAGTGCACGAAGGAGGCCTCACGGTCAAAGAGGGCCTACAGCTAGTTCAGCAGCTGAATCAGCCAATTGAAGACACTCTAGTAGTAGTGCAGCCGCAGGGCGATGAGGCTATTCAACTAGCTCAGCCAATCAGAAAAGCTCCACCGAAGTGTAGTGGGTGTGGGCAGGTCGGACATAAGGTTAATTATTGTAAAAACCGCTAGATATAGCTAAATTGATACGTTTTGGTTAAGATATTAAGATTCAAAATTTCCTAATGGGGTAGGGTGGCTCGGTCGGCCGGGTGGCTCGGTCGGGCGGGAATTACGTTAACGTAATTCCCGGTCGATCCGAACACCCGGTCGTTCCGAACACCCCTTCAAAAAACGCGTCTTCTAAACCACCTACCCAATTCAACCACCTACCATGCCACCAATTCGCTCTAGATCTGCACAGAACTTGGCCCCTCAAGAGGGCAAGATCTTATTAGCCCTAGAGGATATTAAAAATGGCCGCATCACCTCTCTTCGCGCGGCGGCGAAGCTATACGAAATACCACTCACTACACTACACGACCGTCACCACGGCCAGCCCTCACGCGTCGACAAGCGCCCATCTGGTCATAAATTGACCCAATACGAAGAGGATTCGCTTACTGAGTGGATAATCTCTATGGATACGCGTGGTGCAGCGCCTAGGCCATCTACTGTGCGTGAAATGGCTAATATTCTATTAGCTGCGCGTGGTAAAGACCCTCCGCCTACGGTAGGCAAGAACTGGTCATCAACCTTCGTCCAAAGACGCCCTGAGCTTCGTTCAGCCTTCTCTAGGCGCTACGACTATCAAAGAGCCCAAAACGAAGACCCTATCTCACTACGAGCTTGGTTTGCGACCGTACAAGATATTATCGACGCGAACGGTATCCAACCGGAGGATATCTACAACTTTGACGAGACCGGCTTCGCTATAGGGATTATAGCTACACAAAAGGTTATTACAAGGGCGGAATATTACGGTCGGCGATCGATTTTACAACCGGGTAATCGTGAATAGGTCACTGCGGTCGAAGCAGTGAGCGCTAGTAGCTATTCGCTACCACCGTGCGTGATATTCAAAGGCAAAAACTTCATGGCGTCGTGGTTCGATGAAAAGCTTCATCTTCCAAAAGATTGGCGTATCGAGGTCTCGCCAAACGGTTGGACTACCGATGAAATTGGCCTTCGGTGGCTACAGAAGCTATTCATTCCAGCGACGACGACACGTACGAAGGGGAAATATCGACTCTTAATTCTTGATAGCCACGGTAGCCATCTTACACCTCAATTCGACGAGATCTGCACACAAAATCATATTATACCACTTTGTATGCCTCCGCACTCTTCGCATCTTTTACAACCGCTTGATGTTGGGTGTTTTGCTATATTAAAACGTACATACGGTCGCTACGTAAGCGATCTAGCTCGGGCGTCATATAACCATATCGATAAATTCGATTTCCTCGCAGAGTACGCCCGGGCGCGTACGGAGGCCTTTCAACCTTATATTATTCAAAATAGCTTCGCTGCTACTGGTCTTGTTCCGGTCGACGCAGATCGAGTGCTTTCGAAGCTCAATATCTCACTCCGAACGCCATCGCCACCAAATAGCAGGCCAACCACTAGCTACAGCCAATTTAGCCCAAAAACACCCAGAACGGTCATCCAATTGCAAAAATCAGCTTCGATATTAAAGGATCTATTAAGATATCGGTCAAATAGCCCTCCGAGCCCATCAAAAACCGTACTAGATCAGATTATCAAAGGCGCTTGCATATCGCTTCACGGGGTCGCACTATTGGCGCAGGAAAACAGCGATCTACACACAGCGAATCAGAAAATACGCCAAAAACGCACACGATCTAAACAACAGATAGTACACGAAGGAGGCCTCACGGTCGAAGAGGGCCTACAGCTAGTTCAGCAGCTGAATCAGCCAATTGAAGACACTCTAGTAGTAGTGCAGCCGCAGGGCGATGAGGCTATTCAACCAGCTCAGCCAATCAGAAAAGCTCCACCGAAGTGTAGTGGGTGCGGGCAGGTCGGACATAAGGTTAATTATTGTAAAAACCGCTAGATTAAGGTCAAATTCATGTGTTTTGGTTGAGATATTAATATTCAAAATTTCCTAATGGGGGTGGGTGTTCGGAACGACCGGGTGTTCGGATCGACCGGGAATTACGTTACCACACGTCTGTTAGGTAATCTCCAAGTCCATCGTTATCTCATGCGTCACACCGATAAGGCTATTCAACCAGCTTAGCTAGCAACAAGGGCTCTACCAAGGTGTAGTAGATATATGGAGATTGGCCATAAGATCAATTCATGTAAAAATCGCTATATTTAGATAAATTGATACGTTTTGGTTGATAAAAATTGCTTTAAAAATATCATCTGTGTCCAGGATAGCCGGGTGTCGGATTTATATTTTAAGGTTCGCAAAGATGAAAATTCATCCACGTACTAGGTACCCATTGGACAATACTCATCTTATCAGCCCAACACAGACTCTAGGAGGGCGGTAGCCCTGTAGTCACCCTGCCAGAATCTCTGCCAGAAACCATCGACACCCTATATCTGTTACCTAGGCCGAAGGGACCTACGTCGTGGGCGATGGCCGAATTGGAAGTGACAGTCCAAGGTAGGTAGGTAGGTACCTTGCAATGAATGATAGGTATAGGTTAAGTCAGAAGTTTTGTTCGGAGCATGCGCTTCCAGCTACGGGGTTCAAAGTATGATTTATTTGATAATTACGCATGTAGCGCAGCGGCCGAAAAATGTTCATTATATCATCACTTTAGAGAAATAATATACACAGATATCTGACGTAAAGATATCTACAATGGCTCAAAAGCTAGCCATTTCAATCCAACTCGCTACAAATGCCAGACGACGGCCCTTATCAGCTGCCATCCGTCGTGAAAATTCCTCAAAGTTGAGCCTCGCCCCGCTACCACCACGCTCCTTAGCTTCACGCTCGACTCGATTCAGATAGGCCCACCGGGCTAGAGTTCGTGCTGTAGGCTGGCGCGGGATGGCGACTTTCTGGGGCGGGTTGGTCGATTTAGGTGGCGGCGGGAGTGGCTGCATGGGTGAGGGTGGGAGTTTTGGTGCTGTTGCCTCAGCTTCTGGCGAGGATGAGTGGGGGGAGGATGGGGCAGGGAGGTGGGTGGTGCCATCTGGCTGGAGACGAAGTCGGTTGGGAAGCTCCGAGGCTGGTGAGGTACCGTCTCCGCCGTGTGTCATCACCATAGGCCTATCGCGGAAAGAGGGACCTGGGCGGGGCGCATCTGAGTCCGGACGGAACTGTGGGAGAGTGGGATCATAGTCGGGTGTTTCGTCGACGCTAGAATCAGGCTCGGCATCAGAGGACTCGTCAGAAGAAGCGTCCTCGGAAATAGGCATTTGGTACTCCGGGTCAGACGAGCTGGTGATCGAGGCTGTTTCGTCATCATCCTCATCCTCATCCTCGAAGGACTGGTCCTGGCCAAGCCTGTCTTCATGATCGGGATCGGCAAGATGAGCTGGCCGAACACCATCACCTGGTGATATGCCCTCCGGCAATGGAGGTGCTAAGACTGGACGAGCATCAACAGGCTCAAGGTGTGGGCTCTGCACCGCATAGCCAGCGCAACTCAAGAGATCATCGAGAGACTTATTGTCTGTGATTTCCTGAAGTTCCCCCTCGTGAATGGGTAAGGCATCACCATCTTTAGGAGAGCGTGTCTGCGCCCCTAACTTCTCTGCTTGCTCAATTTCATGTGCCCAAGTTCTGCGATCAGCTCGAGTCCGGTGGACCTCCATCAACAAGTCCTCCTTTTGCTTGAATAGAACGTCGAGAAGCTCGTTGAATCCTTGCTGCGTGACCTGGTACAGGATTTCCTTGCCGACGTCCTTCTCGACCTCGGGTATCTCAAAGCCGCCCCACCGCTCACCGACAGGGATACTACGCGAAGATGTCGATGGATTGGACCGCACATCGTAATCATCCGCGATATCATCCTGAAATCGGACTTTAGAAGAAGAGCGGGAGCGTGGAGAAGGCGGGTGCGATTCGGTAGTTGGTGATTCGACTATAGACTCCCCATCACTGAGGTCCTCGTCGAAAGCTGGGTCTTGCTGATAGCCTGCAGGGATGGTGGTGCCGTCTTCTTCATCGGTATAGAACGCTCTACGGCGCCAGCGTTCATCAATCCCGTTGCGACGTGTCTCTTCCATGCGTCTCCGATCATCGTCACGCATTCTGTTATACACAGCTGTCACGATGCGAGCTCTGTCGACTGGGTCGTTTATCTCCTGTGGGGGCACGTACGTTCCGAGGGCTTCAATTATGTCATCCTCATGGATGTGCTCCGGTGGTGGCCAATTGCCGCTGGCAACTGATGAGCTGGATTCATCGGACTCACTCTCATCATCGTCATCGTCGTCGTCCTCATCGCCATGTGCGGGGTCTGTTGGACGAGAGTCGGTCGCAGTATTCGGAAGACGTAACGTAGACGGGAACATCGGTCTCGTACGGCCAAATTGTTCTCTGACAGAAGCGTCGCCTACAACCGAGTGTCGATCACCTGTATCGGTACCATCTTGTCGAAGAATTCCTTCGTTGTCAACGATTTCCATGTCGCCTTCCGGGTTGATGCGCTTGCCTTCGCCAACTCGCGAAACTTCACCCGAAGGAATATTGCCTGGGAATGCAGAGCTGATAGGCTGACTACCCAGGACAACATCACGCGCACCCCCTTCAAGGAAATCATCTTCCATTCCGGCTACCATGTCGCGGTTGAGTTCTCGACTGAGAGAGTAATACGCTCTGAAAACTCGGAGAAAGTCCTTGCGTTCCACAAATCCATCACCGTCAATGTCGTAGCCGCGGAAGACGCGACGTAGCCTTTCATCGTTGCTCTTATTGTTCAGACTAGCCAAGCCTTTCAGAAACTCCTCGAATCCAATGAGGTTATCTCCATTGGTGTCGTAAAATGCAAACATGCGATCGTAGATGAGGCTTGGCGGAGGCGGGCGAATAGACGTGTTGGGCACAAAGCACCGGTCGAATGTCTTGCGATCAATGGCCATGTAAAGTTTGTTTGGATCATCGGCCCATTCGTAGTTAGCCAGACAGCGGAACTGATCCCAGAGAGCATCAAGCTCGGTATTTTCAAAGCTGGTCTCCCGCATCAGGCGCTTTGCCAAGGGACGTGGAAGACTGCGAGGTAGCATTGCGGGCTTTCCGGGGTACCACACGGGTTGAGATTGACGCGGGTTTCCTAGGAATGGGGCAGGAATTCGGACTTTGTAGAATAAATGCGTCTTGATGTGCACCTGAATTGCCTCGCATGTTTCACAAAGATCGTAATCAATACAATTAGCGCAGCGGTAGCGGATACCCTGGATCGGCATAGCATTGCAGCTATTGCAAGTCACTCCTCGGTGGATATAGCCATCCCTTCGCGCCTGGTCTTCCGCTATATGGTATAGCAAGTTGAGCAGGTTCTGACCTTCGCGGGTGGGAGAAGAGTCATTATTCCCGTCCCTCCAAGAAAAAACGCTCTGGTCGTCCACTGTTTCCCCACTATCCGGAATCTGGGGAGGCGCAGCTGCATCAGGGAAGGTCGACGTAGAGAGAGTCACGCGCTCACCATTCTGGCGTCGACGGCGCAGTTCATCTCCATAGTTCTCGTCGCCGTTGAACCGGCTCAGCGCCCTCTCAATGCCCCCACGTGAGATTCCTCGCCGTTGCAACTGCTCCGTCAGATAGGCTCGCTCCGGGCTATTGTCTGGGAGAGTATGCGCAGCGGGGAAGTCAAGCGCAAGGAATGATTCGAGAAACGTGTCCTCCATCATCTCGCGCATGCGCTCTGCGTGGGCTGGGGGTACGCCGACCTCCTCCATCAGCTGGTCGCGAGTCGCGAGCAGCGACGGCAAAAGTCCACTTTCAACCCGTCTTCCATCCTCTGTCTCAATGCGGAATGTCCCGTATACCCCATTCTGACGTTCCAGCTGCTCCAAATGGGTTATGGCGCGGTATGACGGTGTGTCCACGAGTCCTGACTCGTCGGCATCTGATCGTCTGTGACGGCGTATGGCGTTTCGGCGTCGGAGTGGGACCTGTGATGAAGATTGCGACGACACGACGTTATTGTGAATGTAGAGGAGAGCATAGGCAGCGGCGACACCGGTGAAGAGGTAAAGGATGGGCCGATATCGTGCCAACGACACCGGCCCCGAGCGTGTCTCGGACATCGCGGAGGTCAAGCTGTTGGAAGCTGCACAAACGCCCTCAAGGTGATCAAGCGCAACTCATGATTGACCAAATCCGAGTTGTTTGGTTTGATTTGCGATTATCTGGCGAGTAAGTGAGTCCGATGGGAGGTCGTTTTGTGGTGGTGAAGGTGAGCTGAAAGCTGGGTGTTCCACGGGGAATTCGGCGGAAGCTTGGACGTCACGGGAGCTAGAAATCCCAGAAATTCCAGGTGTCACCAAGGTCAATTTCGCATCCCTACACCACATCTGCGAAGATTTGAATTTAGGACAGCTTTTCTTTGGATATTTCCAAGTCTAGATAAATCTTAAAGTGGCTTTAATTTAGTTCTCGTTCAAAAGACATCGCTATATATGGTGGATCGGAGCTCTATGAGCTCGATATGGACAATTTCAATCCGAAATTTCTAATCATCTACCTTCAATCGGAGACACAATATATCAATCTAATTCAAATTTCCTCATGCAAATTTTAGTCCCCTAACAACAATGCAACCCGTGTATACCATGCAAGGAGTCATTTAAGAGCTCCACAGCCTGCATTAGATCGGTGACGAAGACCCTTTAGCGGCTGAGCTTGGCTTCACGCATAAAGCAGGCGCTGAACAATGCAAAGAACACAACGACGACCATGAATGCAAATCCTTTGTTGACTGACCATCCATAGCAGCCGCGGACAATTGCGGCGATATCGGGATCCAGTTTCTTGATAAAGTCGAGACTTTCTCGGACCCCGTCAACGATCCGGTCGATATCTTTGCTATTCCGCAAGCCGTCTCGTAATCTCTCTCGCAGGAGCTGCTGGACGACGGTTGAGGATAGAGAAAGCCCAATGACGGAACCTAACGACCGGAAGAGATATGAGCAAGCAGTTACGACGGCTTGATCCTCGAAAGTTGCATTCGATACTATGAGGATGATTAGCAATGTGCATGGTGCCTGTTTGTTTCTCCAAAAGAAAGACTCACTCAGCCCGACCAAAGTGGTCGTAACACCTATTCCATTGCCAAATGCCGACATGACCGTACCGATGATCAGGGGGACTACGCTAGCGACGGCACCGCCTGAAAACAGGAAAATGGTGAAGCATCCAGTTGTCAGGGCAGTATAAGCAACGATAGTCAGCCAGTAATACTTCCCAGTCCACCTCATGAAGAAGCCGGCAAAAAGAGAGCCGGAGACACCGGCTAGGATACATGGCAGAAGGCGCAAGCCCGCTGTAGTGGCAGAGACACCATCAACGGCCTGGAAATAGAGCGGGAGATAGAAAAGCACTGCAAACCATCCTCCAAAGCTGAAGAAATTGCAGCCATAAAGGGCACAAAAAGTCCGGTTAAAAATAATATGGCCAGGGGCGAATGGCTCGGCTGCGAGGTAGATCTCGACCAGGATGAAGGCAATGAAAAGGACAACCGAGATGCTCAACGAGGCGATCGTGAGAGGCAACTTCCACGATACATTGCTGCCACGGTCCAAACCAAGCAGAAATCCCAGCACAGCGCCAACAAGTACGACCGCCCCGAGGAAGTCAATGCGACGCAGCTTGTCTTTCCAGTGGGACTTCTCCTGGGCTGGCAGCTTGAGCATCAAAGAGACTGCAATGAACGCGAGAATACACATGGGAAACTGCGCCAGGAATGCCCTAGAACATCATGTTAGACTAAGGGCGGCCTTTGGGGAAATCGGAGAACTCATACCAGCGCCAGCCAATATAATCAGCCAAAATTCCACCGAGAGGTGCCCCTATGCCCGACCCAGTGGCATAGATGATATTGATTATACCTTGCCAGAGACCTCGATCACGCAAGGGGACGATATCACTCATCAATATACTGACAACGGTGGTCATACCTCCGCCGCCAATGCCTTGGAAAACCTAGTGGAGGATTAATCATGGATTCCTCAAATAACGGGGCAGAACATTAATGAAGACATACACGAGCAGCAATTAGCTCATTGATATTGCGAGCCAGACCGCAGAACAAGCATCCCATTCCAAAAATGGCATACGCAAAGAGCAGACAGGGCTTCCGGCCGAAGATATCACTCAGCTTCCCATAGAGAGGCTGAAACGAAGTCAAAGTCAAGAAGTATGAAGTCGCAATCCAGTTGGTCAGATTGAGGGCCTTGAGATCACTTCCAATCTGGCCATAGCTGGCCATGATAATGGTCTGATCCGCTGCGGACAGGAAAATCTATAGTCATGTGTTAGCCGAGGTGTTGCGACAACTTCACGAGGTCCGGATTCGTCTGGGACCGATAAGGATTTTTCTTCTTCAAAAAGAAGGAAAAGAGAAGAATTCATACCCCTATGGAGATTGCAGGCACAATATACTTGAGCTGCTTCTTTGCATCAGGAAACGGCTCCTTCGCCTGATCTTCTACACACTGTCTGGGCTCTCCTGACTCCGCATCGCGGCTAGCAATCGCCCCGGTAGCCGCAATGCCGTTGCTTTCACCCAGCAACGGCGACGTCTCAGTGGGAGTCCGCTCTGGCGCCATCGGAGACGTACCTCTACCTCGTCAGACTCACCCACAGGTAGATCTTGAGTGTTGGAAAAGAGTTGAATGACTCAATTGGCGGCGGAACGAGCACGACTTACTCTTTTCGGGAACCGGTTGCGGTCACGTGTTGATAAGGGGACTGTTCCCCTCTCTGACTAATGCATTGGCCGGCAGACGTGCGAATCATCGGGGCCGATTGCGTGCAGGGGCGGCGCCGCGGTCCCGGACGCTCGGGCCTCCGTCGGCAAACTGGTGCCGGAGATGATAAGACGGACCCAATCATGACATCTGCAAGGCTATATTGGAGATGATCGAAGCAATCCATATTTCAGCATCTTGTCGGTTAGAGCCGCTACTATCATTGCCATAACTAGCTAGATACATAGGTATGTACATGCGAACCCCAAGACTGGTCCACGGCTGGGTGCGAACTGTTGAAAGAAAATACATGTCGTCGTGTCACATCATCAAGGTTTCCCGTCGCTGTTGAAATTCAAGAAAACTTTATAAGCTGCCGTGTGAAATAGACTTTCACATCTATGCTTCTCCCCAGATCTCATCGGCGATCTGCCGAACCAGACCCAGCTTCTTCTTCTCATCGTCCAGGCTCAGAGGGTATCCACTCTCGTGGGTGCTGAAGCCACACTGAGGGCTAACGCAGATGCGCTTGAGCGCCTCCTGACGGCTCTCACCACTACCGGAAGCAACAAAGTCGGCAGCATTGTAGATCCGCTCCTTCATCGCCTCCTTGTCCTCCAGCTCGCGCAGCTTGGTGCTGATGACGCCAACCACGACGTTCTTGTTTTTGGGGAGGAACTTGAGGGGCTCGAAGCCACCGGCGCGCTCGGTGTCATACTCGAGGTAGAAAGTGTTCACGTTGAGGTTCTGGAATAGCTTCTTCGCAATGATGTCATACGAGCCTTCGGCGAAATGGCGGCCGCCGATGAAGTTGCCGCGGCACAGGTGAATCCCGGTGTGCATGTCGGCAGGGATCTTGGCCACGCAGTCATTGTACAGCTTGACATAGGCATCGAACAGGTCATCGACAGTGCCGATGTTGTCCTTGTCCTCCTCCCAGCCCTGGCGGAAGGCCTTGGAGCAGAAGTATGCCATGCCGGGGTCGTCAAACTGGACGTTGCGCAAACCGGCCTTGTACAGAGCGTCCAGCTCGGCCTGGTACACCTGGGCAACGCCCTGGAAGTACTCCTCGTCGTTGGCATAGGCCTCAGGAGTGTAGGCTTTACCTTGCTTGTACCGCATGTGAAACCAGGCGGGAGTAATCATGGTGAGCTTGATGTTGGCCCACTCACTCTCTGGTAAGGCCTGTTGGACCAGCTTCAGCTCGTGCAGGTTCGACACGGACTTTTCGGCACTCCAGGAAAGCTTGGAGCCGGCAATGACCGAGTCACCTGGCATGACCTTGCGGTCCTTCTCAATCAGACTGACGACATCGGGGTGGTAGAGTCGGAACATGGAGGCGTCGGCGTCCTGCAGACGGATGGTACCTGACATCTCCAGTCAGTATATGCGTCCCAATTAACTACTGGGGCTCGAATTGAACCTACCCTGGAATTCATCCCACGTCAAACCCCAGAAACGGGTGCGGTTGAACTCGCCAGAGGAGATAGCCTTGATACCAAGGTCTCGCTGCAACTGGACAACATCCTGAACTGCCTCCTTCTCGACAGCGGGCAGACCAGCAGCCTCTTCAGAGATCCCACCCTCACGGATCTTCTCGCGAACCTCAAGCAGCTTAGTAGGACGCAACAGCGAGCCCATGTGCTCGGCCCGGAAGGGTGGTGCGCTGTGGAGCTTGGCCATTCTTATATAAGGGATTTCCGGATCGTGGGAAGCAACTATTGGCTTGAATGTGATATATGTCCCCGTAAGAGCAAAGTGGGACGAAACTGTTAAGAGTGAGTCTGACTGCCAAAAAGAAATAATTATCAAAAACCAAGATAAAAAAGAAGGGGAGAAGACCGGAGGGCAAATGTGGTGCCATGTGGGGATGGTGGGAAACAGTAGATGGGAGACGGCAGGTGGGGCTGCGATGGGAGCTGAAAACGTCGGACAAAGCGCCATTGCGATTTATTGCAGCGCTGTGGGGTCATACCAAAATGCTCTTGAATACATTTGATATTCTTATTTTCCTGATCCAAGACACCCCCCTACTAGAATCTGGGATGGGAGCATTCTCACTTCCATACTTTATCTGCAGCTTTGATGTTGTGAGACGTGAGACGAGATCGATCTAGTATGCAGAGCCCCACATGCGCTTGCTGAATATGGATGATACACCCATCTGGCGGAAGCACAAGTACTCAGACAAGGATGCAGAGAGAGGCCCCGACTGCAACATGATTCTAAGTGTAGAGGGTATCTCTCAGAATGAAAGGGCGCATTGGGGTCGCTCTGACATTCATCTGGTACTTCCAGCGGGTTCAGCTCACGAGCCGCAATGGCGCAAGCGAATTAAACATCAGCTTGTAGTTACTGCCGATGACACCAAAAGGCCCATTTCGAGATCTAACATGGGGGACCTTGGCTACCATGACGAAGCTCTGTCGTGTAAAGTACCTATTTCGAACTAGATCTAGGAAGCGTTGCTAGCTTGTAATACAACGGGGTCAACTTAGTGCACCGGCTGTCATTCAGGGCTACATATTCTACTACGACGCCCACAAAGTATGAAGTAAGTGTCAAGGGCTGTTTCTGATGTCTATCTACGAGTTGACGCCGCTTCTCCGTTATTTCTTCATCTATCTCATCCTCTCGAAACAAATCATCTTGGCCCCACATTGGAGTGTATAGAGCCGCATCATGCGTGCTCTGTGGGATCAAGACACAAGAATGGTACCTAATACACGACATAATGGATTGATTGAGGAGGAAGTGATGGATTTACATATATTTATACAGCGTAACAGTCCGATTTGAAAGTTTAGGCATGGACAGGTCGTTAAATTCTGCGTCGAAAGAGGTATCTGGCCAAGGATGCAAAACCTATATAAGTGCGCTCAGTTTCCATTCGCCACCACAGGAATAGGAACAGGTCCACCTGGCGAGTCCGGCAGGCGGGCCGTCAGAACTTCCACACCGTCCTCCGTCACCAGCATGGTGTGCTCGAACTGGGCCGACAGAGAACCGTCAGCAGTCGTGCTGGTCCAGTCATCTGGCCAGGTGCGATCGCGGTGGGTACCAATGTTGATCATGGGTTCGATGGTGAAGCACATGCCGGGTTTGGCTGTGCCGACGGCCTTGTTCTTGCCGTAATGAGGCACGTTCGGGGCGCAGTGGAAGAGCTGGTTGATGCCGTGACCGCAGTAGGTCTTGACGACGCTGCAGTTGCGCGACTTGGCGTGTTTCTCGATCACATTTCCGGGATCCCGGAACAGCATACCGGGCTTGACCAGCTCGATCGACTTGTCAAGACACTCGCGCGAGGTCTCGACGACCCGGACGGCATCGGGGTTGGCAAGGGCTTTGTCGCCAACATAGTAGGTTTCATTGATATCACCGTGGAAGCCCTTGTGATAAAGAGTGACATCGATATTGACGATGTCTCCGTCCTCCAGAGGCCGTTGATCAGGAATACCGTGGCAGATGGTCTCGTTGACCGATGTGCAGACGGATTTGGGGAAGTGCATATAATTTAGCGGCGAGGGATACGACTGAAGAAGACCCCCAATTAGTATATATATCCCACGTCAACTCATGCCTTTGTCGGGAAAGGATCATTACCTCGCGCTCCACGCAAGCCTTGTGAACGACCTCATCAATGTAGTCGGTGGTAACGCCAGGCTTCAATGCTCGGGCGGCAATATCCAAGACCTCACGAGCCAACCGGCAGACCACACGCATACCCTCCTGCTCCTCCTCATTCAAGATCTTGATCTTGTGCCCACCCCACAGCTTTTGTTCGGAGATGGGAATACCGCCCTTGGCATAGTCGGGATGTGGGATCGACTGAGGAACAGTCCGCATGGGCGACAGCGGATAAAGGGGTCGGAGGGCACCGGTGAATTGGAACGAAGGGAATGGGTTGAAGTGACCGGTAGCTGGATCAGGTTCAGAAACTACTTTCGGAGGAAAGAGGTTGGTGAGGATATTACTCTTTTTGTGGATGGTCTTGTGCTCGCTCTGCAGTTATACCGAAATACGCCATTAGCCACGATGGGTTCCCATAGACCGGGCGCAAAACATGTGTCTTGACAATGTCCGTCTAAGGTGAAGAGTGCCTACCCAACTCCGCTTGAAACAGTCTTGCGAGCAGAAGAAACTGTCCGTGCCCATCTTTAGACAGGTCGGACATTGAAGAGTGCCTGCGTCCTTAGCGCAGTCCACGCCACTGCATTTCCGAGCTGCGACAGTTGCCATGGTGTTGCTAATGCTGTGGATAGCCTAACAACTAGAACGGTTCGCAGATATCGTCTCTGGTGCTTGCAATCAACCCAAAAAAAAGAAACCCGAATCCCCGCGGCCTCGCAGTTGCCGACTAGTCCGAAAAAGAACTAGCGTAGCTGACAGATTCTACTTGGTGCCCCAGGCCACCAGGCACCACACTCTTCCCCTGCGGATTACTCAGCAGACTCCCGGGCGATTCGGTTGAAAAGATTTCCCATTTAGGCAAGGGCCGATGTCGCCACACGTGACAAGCTTCGCCTTCGACTCATCCGGGGAAAGGGTCCTCGGTCTCCTCGGCCTGTTCTGTTCTCATCCAGCAGGTTCTGCATCATGGCAGCGGCGACTCCCAGGCAGAAGGTGGTGGTGGTGGGCGCCGGCCCCGTGGGCGCTCTGGCGGCTTTATATGCTGCGTCCCGCGGTGACGAAGTCGAAGTATACGAGTTGCGCGGAGGTACGTTCCAGGTCCGCTTCTGTGTGACTATCTTTCAAACTCCCCGAACTTCCCTGCGCGGCAAAAAAATTCCCAAGAGAGAGAGAAGATCCAATGCCTGGGAGATGCATGCGCAGTCCAGCGGTGCAGTGTTCTCCTAATGGCAATGAGTAAAATTTATACCCTGCCCACGTGTCTCGCAAGGTCCCTACATCAACTGGGGAAATCAAATCTGTCTGGGAAATGTCTCGATTACAATTGACTGCGGCGTTGACGGTTCCCTTGCGCCTGCCGTTCCTTTCAGCGTCGCGAAATCTTCCGAAGCAAAGTCAAATAATAATTTTCGCGCATCCGTAGATCTCCGCGATCCGACCACCGTGCCGCTCAACTTCACGAAGTCGATCAACTTGGCTATTTCCGAGCGCGGAATCACCTCCCTCAAACAGTCGCACCGGCCCGGCCTGATCGAAAATGTGCTCCGCGAGACGATTCCCATGTTCGGCCGGATGATCCACGGCCGCGACCGAGGGCAGCTGTGGGAGGCTGCGCAGGCCTATGATGTGCACGGCCGAGTAGGTACATCCCGACAGCTGACAGGTCGCCTATCGGGCGCCTGCATGACGCATCAACCCCGTTTTTAGGTTGCAGAGGCCGCTAACGATTTGTATTCAGGCTATCAATGCATTGGATCGAGGCACTTTAAACAATGCCCTGCTTGACGAGCTGGAGCGCACTCCAAATGTCAAGCTCGTTTTCAACCATAAGCTTACTGGTGCTGATTTCCGCACCAATAAGGCCTGGTTTGAGCATCGCGTCCCCGGCGAGACTCCCCAGCCGGACAACCTCGGTGTCGCGGGTCGAGTGCCTGAGATCGAGGTGTCCTTCGACTGCCTCATCGGTGCCGACGGGGCGCACTCGGCCGCCCGTTACCACATGATGAAGTTCGCCCAGGTTGATTACCAGCAGGAGTATATCGACACACTGTGGTGCGAATTTCGCATTCCACCCTCGGAAGATGGGAACTTCCGCATCTCACCGAACCATCTGCACATCTGGCCGGGGCGCGAGTTCATGTTCATTGCGCTACCATCTGCAGACAAGTCATTTACCTGCACCTTATTTGCGCCCTCGGAACACTATACCGCTCTGGAGAACTCGCCGGATGACCTGCATGCCTTCTTCGATCTGCACTTCCCGGGTGTGTGCCCAGAGCTTATCGAACCTGAAGCTCTGAGCGAGCAATTCACCGTCAGCCCGCACCTGCCATTGATCAGCATCAAGTGCAATCCCCACCACTTCAGCTCGAGCGTGGCTATCATTGGCGACGCTGCACATGCAGTCCTCCCATTCTACGGACAGGGACTCAACGCCGGTCTCGAAGACGTGCGCGTGCTATTTGAACAGCTCGATAAGCACGGTGTCTATGATTCCGACACCAGTGTCTACACCCGTAGCGTTAGACGCCAGGCTGCCTTCCAAGCTTACACCGAGCAGCGCTGCGACGATACCTACGCCATCAATGACCTTTCCAAGCAGAACTACCTCGAGATGCGGTGGGGCGTCAAGTCACCGCTCTACAAGCTGCGCAAATCGATCGAGGAAACGATCGACCGCCATCTCCCATTCTTTGGCTGGAAGACGCAGTATGCGCGCGTGAGCTTCAGCAACCAACGGTACTCGGAGGTTGTTGAGGCTGTGGCAAGGCAGAGCCAGCTGCTTGGTATTGGCTTGACTTCCGCTTTGGTTACTGGCGTCGGTGCTTTGTCGATCTTGATGTGGAAGTATCCGCGGTATTTTTCTCCCACGCGCCTCATCTGGGCGTCACTGCGATGCTTGGCAAGCTTCTGGTAGCGTTGGTATATAGGGCTTGATGTGGTGAACAGTTAAGCAGAACCGCATCCGATGTCGCATTTTGCATTCTGGGTCGTGGCTCTCTCCTCTTGTATTTCTTTCTTTTTGGGTTCGTGTATAGATCTATGATTTTCTGGATATCCTTGTCGCGAAAATGAATACCTTCGAGTCTTTGGAAAGAAACCTCCATAGTCAGATGATAGGATAGGTACCCAAAGGGGGTTGTGTTTAGCGCCTGAAGAAGGCCGGTATAAACATCCATAAAACCAAAGCCCACAAAACGGTTTAATCCCAATACTTGATAACGCCTTCCAACCCGCCAGTAACAACCTTGCTTGTCTCTTGCGGATGCCAGTCCAGGCAGGTGACAGCGCCACCCTCCTTCCCGCCGGCCAGAATCTTATGGTACATTTTGCCAGTCTTCCAATCCCAGAAGCAAGCGTAGCCGCCGCTATCCCCAGAGGCGATGAACTGGCCATCGGGTGAGATCTTGATATCAATGCCGTATCCAGCATTGTTGTGTCCGCGGAAGCTCTTCTTGCGGTTCTGTCGGAACTTGTCTGTGGCTCCGTAGACCACAATCTGATTATCACCAGACTGGAAAGCCACGTACTTGCCGTTGGGGTGAGGTGTGGCCCGGGTGAGGGCGAACATGTATGGCTCAGCGATGAACTTGATAGGAACGGGGATACCGTACTCCCAAGCACGCAGCGACTTGTCATCTGAAGTAGAGATGAAGCGTCGGTTGTCGTCGACGAAGGTGATGGTGTTGACGGCTGCCAGATGGTGGTCGTATTCTTGGACCAATTCGCCAGATCGTGTGTCGAATTGCACGATCTTCTTGTCCGACATACCAGCGAGGAACTCGTGCCCATGCTCGACACCAGGGTTGAAACGTACAACGTGCGGCGTCTTGCCGGTCGAGAAACGCCCCAAGCACTTTCCGTACTCTGTATCCCAGAGTTTGATTTGTCGGTCGTAGGAACCAGTAAGGAAGGTTTTCCCAGTAGGGTCGAAATCCGTGTCGGTAATGGCCTTGGAATGTCCAGAGAAAGTCCGCAGGAGCTCCCGGGAATGGTACACATCCCAGATTTTGGCCTTTCCATCGGCAGCGGAGGAAAGAAGCAAGTGACCAGAGGTTGGGAAGAAGCGAAGGGAGGTGATAGGCTTCGTGTGAGACCTCCAGGTGTGCACCAGCTTCTTGGGCACGTAGTTCTTGACGCTACCGACTTCCTTCTGGAGGTCGATATCCAGATCCTGAGGAACATGCATATACGTCCGACCCTGGTAGTCGAACTGCTCTGAGCCGTGAAACTCGGTAGTTTCCACCTTCGACGTATCGCCCTGGTACTCGGTAGCCGCCTTGCTCATGGCCGGCATGGGCGCCGCGGGTGCCAGAGTCTCATCCTCTTCCACCCATTCCTCGTCGCTTGCGAGCTCGTGCTCTTCTCCCGAGCCAACCTCGATTTCGTCATATTGTTGGTCATTCTGATATTTCGCCCAAGGCCCAAGGTACGCACCATCACCCTCGACAACACTGGAGTCGCCTTTCTTCTGTCGCTTTGCTCGCCATGCGGCCGACGCTTCCTTGGAAGGCTTCATCTGCACAACATCCCGTCCCCCAAACTGCGCGACATTCTCCATGTTTCCGACGAACTGGTCCGGCTGAGTTGGGTTGCGCGTGTATCCCAGACTTTGGAATGTGCGATGTTGAGCGGCGAATGTCGACTCGCTGATGGCCGCTTCCTCCGCGAAGCCCGTCGGGACATTCTTGCGCTTGACTCCGTTTCCAGGACCTGCTGATTTGAAAGGGTTTGCGGGACCCTGCGATGGACGCATGAGATCATCGTATGTGGCGTTGTAGGTGAGGGCTTGCGACGAGGTGTTGGTGAGGGTCATCTGCATATGCGCATGGTCCTGTAGGGCAATTAGTCTTATCTGATCGCCCTCGAATGAAGAAAGCGGTAAATATGAGCGCAGGGGAATGGGCATGGGCAGCATATGGGGGACCAAACCTCTGTATTGACGTCTGGTGCAGCAACGATCGTGGTTGCGGTCGTTACTGAAGGGTTGGGCACAGTGGCGTCATCGTCGCTGGACTCGTAGCCAACGCCTAGTAAAGACGCCATTCTGGATATGTAAAGAGGAAACTTGTAAGTTGAATTGACGCCCACCCACGACCGCGACAGAGATGGGATAGGTGGAAGTGGTTGGCAGTTGGGTGGATAGGATTTTTACGGGCGTCGGGAGACCCGCGAAGTGAAGACGGCGGAGCTGAGCTTCCCGCTGGCGCGACAGATTAAGTCTGGGTCTTCATTTATCTTCTCGCCCCGCGGATCTGCTCTGAAAAGACTGTATGTCTCAGAGAGTATTTTTACATGGGCTGTCTCCGTCCAACACTTTACAAAGATACGGAAAAAATATTTGGGTATCGTACGCTCTTCATTGCCAAACCGCGTGGGAGGTATATACAACTCACAGGCCGAAAAAGACATGGCAAGATCAAAATAGAAGGACATAGAGAAAGGGAGATAAAAAAGCGAAACTGGGCAGCAGGCTGAAAGAGAGCTCATAAGCCTCTTCTAACGCAAACAACTCAGAGCCGTCAATCACACACACACCACCGCATCAGAAATATCCAGGAGATAATCTCTATTACCGATCACCGCATCCATGCCCAGCCATCTAGTCTCAAAAATGGAAAGGTCCTCGCGCGTTAATCCATTAATTCATCACTCCAGGGCAACCCAAATGGTATCGGAGGACCGCGATATATGGCATAGCGGCTGCCCGGAGAAGATGCAGCCGTTCCCGACATGTATAAACCAAAGACGCGACCGACCGTTCAAGAACAGATAATGCAAATGCCCCGAGGAGCTCTTTGCCGACTTAACAGTGTCCTTGAGCTAGTTGGGAGGGCCATGGCGCATTGCATGTTCTGTCGTTGTACGCAGTCAGTGGCTCTCATCGCGGATCAGAGCGACGATCATGCTGTACAGGTAGAAGAAGAACATCAGGAGGTGGAAGCCCAGCTTGATGAAGGATTCCTAAAAGGACGCGCAGACGGGTCAGCTACACATTTCATGGTCGAAGAGCTAGAACCAAGCATTGACCGACCTTCTTGTGCACATTCAGCTTGCGGAAAATCTCGGTCGCATCCAATAGGTGCTGGTTATCATAGATCCTGTAACCCCAGAAAAAAATCTCAAATTAGCCTTGTACGCCGGGAATTGGGGTGACGAGGTCGGGATCGGAGGGGGCCGGAGGGACACACTTCTTGGCGTTAAATGCCAGGAGAGGCAGGTTGAGCAAGATCGCAAGCCAGTAGCCATTGATAACGAAGAGGAAGGTCAGGACGGCGTGAACAGCAGCCTCGGGGACGATGTAGGCGTTCAGGCGGTTGCAAAGGTCGATGGGGTTGATGTAGTCACTGCACGGGAAAAGGGGAGGCGCAAGTTAGCGATGCTTTTGCGATTTTCGCCACGACTCTCTTGTTGAGCCTGCGCGCGTATTCTGGACAGAGAGACTCACCACTCGAGATCGCTGTACATGATGGTGAAGAAAACCTGGAGGAACAGGTTGACCGCATTGATCAACACTGACAGCAGGTAAAGCCACGCTTCGCCGGACATGATGGGTAAGGTATCGACTCCTCCGGAGATATGAGCTAGGGTTCAATGACTGGAAAACGTGTTCCAGATGGTCAGCTCAGTGAGGGTGACAAGGAAGGTGGGGATTTTGGGGGAGAGGTCAAGCCGTGGTGCGGACCGCGAGGGCCGGACTTGGAGATGGGTTTTGTGGGGTCCGAGGCTCGGAGGAAGATGGAGGAATCACGAAGAGTCTCTTGGGCAACCTGGGGGGAGAAGATCGGTGCTTTACTCACAAAGCAGGACTTGCGTAATGACACGGCTAGTGGAGATGGAGAGGAACAAGAGAGACTGCGGGCACAAGGAGGAGAAGGTCGGAGCTTGCGAGGTTGGGTTGAGTTAGCGAATCTTGCCAACCTGAACGGGTCGGCGGTGGGAGCAACGACTGCGGAAAGTTAGCGCGTCATCCGCCAGCCGGAGGTGGAGGCGGACACCATACAAGACGCAGATAAGAGAACCGAGTAATAAACGGAATATGGGCGACAATTTGATTGAGGCTGGGGTTTGACGTACAAAAGACCAGGCTGAGGGAACAAAAGAGCAAAGCTTTAGCACGTACATGAGTCGCCAAGGATGACGTCGCACACGTGCTCCGCATTCCAGATGGCTGCTGATTAGCTCAGGGCAACTGGCCACCGTGGAAGTATAAGGAGGTAAAGGTAGATAGATTAGATAGTTCATGGCCCTCTACGGCGGGCAACGGCTTAACGAAACCTGGAATGTATAGATGGTAACGGCGCTCGGTCTATATACACATAATGGAGTTGGGCTCTTTGGCCGGAGTCCGAGATCTACCTCGTCACTTTAGTCATATACAACATAACTTCCCCGGCAAGCTTGAAGCAACAACTCGTTGGAAAAACAAGCAAGATACAGTGCGATTCACCCAAGACACCGTATAGTCAGTGGAACAACAGGGCGGGACTATGGCCAAGCGATTCCCATGAGATCATGTTCGAATGCGAACGAACTTATCGCTTCTCAACAAGCAGGAAATGCATCGCTCCGTATGCAATGATGACAAAGGCCCCGGAAATCACAGCGAGGCCAGCCACGTCATACCAATAAGCAAGGGTGTTGAAACCGAATGCGCTCAGGATCGAGGCTCCGGGAACTTCGATATCTAAGCCATACTTGTGGTCGATCAAGGTGAGGAAGGTGACCTCGTTGACGATGAGGGCTTCAAAGCCGTAGTGGAAGATGGACAGCTAGAAAATAAATTGTCAGTGAACGAGCCAGGTGTCGTTGAGGGACAAATAGATAAGATGGACTTACGCTTTGCAACCACAAAGCGGAGGCGGGAATCGCATCGTGGTTCAGCAACAGACCGGCAAAGAGCAGGCTGAAAAGCATGACAAGACTGCCGATCAGGTTGGCCACACCACCGTCCCGGAAAATGATGCCGATAAACAAGCAAATGCAAGCAGCTGCGAGGTTAAACAGAACCAGGACTAGCACAAAGCGGAGGAACTCGGGCCATGCAGGGATTAATCCGGTCATGGGGTAGACAATAATGCCCATAATAATGGGTGGGATGAGTCGTAGAGGTACGATATCAAACACAACCTTGGCGGCGAAATATGTGACTGGGTGGTAGTAGCCGTTGGCTCGCTCGCGGACAAACAAGAGTCGCTCAGTCGAGAACACAGTTAAACTGGTGAGAGTGCTGAAACCAAACAAGGCCAGGATGAAGAAGAAAAGACCGAGACGATTCTGGAAACCCTTGATGTCATCCGTCAAGCCATAGAAGAGATACCCAGAAAGAACCGCAAGAAGGATGGCAATGGCGTAGTGAGTGAGCATCAACATCGGGTTGCGGTAGAGATTGCGCCAAGTGCGTTGTGACAGAATGAGGAACTGCCGAGCCAGACCGACACGAGCATAGCTCAGTTGTCCCACCCCGGGACTAGACAGATGCGAGTTAGTCGAGCCATTCGCAGTCTGTGCAGCATGAATAGCCGAAGAAATCTCGTCTTGAACTGAGCGGCAGACGTCGGAATTCGCGTAGCTGGCAACCAAGATATCGAGATCAGTTTGGCCAGGTGCTGGGGGTGGCAGCTGATCAGGATCATCGAGGACCTGGGGAGGAACACTGCCTTGTTGACGGTGCAGACGTAGCCATTGCTGGGTGTCCTCGGCCACATCAAGAGTAGCATCTTCCTCGTCGGTCTTCGGTGTAAATGGGCGTTGCTCTTGATCCTTCCGTCGGGAGTAAAGCTGACGATCTTGTTGCTGCTTGACAGACACCCGCCGGCTGGTCTTCGGCCTTCTTGTCGCCTCTGTCGTGCTCAGATTGTCCTCAATGCTTACATTCGACGCACTGGCGACGGACTTGACAGCTCTGAGGCTGCTTGATGCAGTTTTAGTCGGGCCACTATGTCCGTCTACCGCGGATTCAACTTCGTCCGTGTAAGTGTTTGCTGCACTGGCGTGCATTGTGAGGTCGACGAGGTAATCCGCAATGTTGAACCCAGGTGGGCATGAATATCCAATATGATCAAAGTACTGCTGGCATGAGGAGAAAGGACCGGAGTAGACGGTGCGACCACCCGCAAGAAGGATAAGTCGGTCAAAGAGAGCAACAATGTTTGAGCGCGGCTGATGTATGGTGAAGATGACAGTCCGGTTGTATGTCTTAGCTAGAGTTACCAAGCATTCGACCACATTGAACGCGTTGTAAGCATCCTGGACAAGGGTCAGCTTGAGAATAAGATTAGGAGTGTCTGGCTTATCATACCAATCCGCTAGTGGGCTCATCTAGGAAAAGAATGCTGGGACTGGTGACCAGCTCGCAAGCAATGCCAACACGGCGCTTCTCACCGCCAGAGATACCACGGCCCTTACCTTCTTCTGAGCCAATCAATTGATCTCTGATATGGTATATTCCAAGCTGCTTTTCAACATCTAGAACCTTCTGTTCCTTGGCCGCTCGGGTCATGTCCCGGGGTAGTCTCAGGAGAGCACTGGTCAAGATAGTCTCATGAACAGTCAAGGTTGGCAGCATCGTATCTTCTTGGTCGACGAAGCCAACAATGCTCTTAAAATCGTTGTCATCAACCTTCTCGCCATTTACATAGAAGTTGCCATGGACGGCACCGCGCTTGTTCTTTCGTGCCAGGAGATCCAGGAACGTAGTCTTGCCCGCACCAGATGCACCCATAATGGCAGTGATTTGTCCCGGTCCCGACGTACCATGTATACCAGAGAGAATCTCTTTGCCGTTCAGGTAATAAGACACATTATCCCAGGAGAGTGCTGCCGGTCGATGCTCAGCCAGAAGCTTCGCCGATTCGTCATCAGAATCATCCGACAGAGACAGACGGAGGTAGCCCCGGCGGGCAGCCCGACGGGATAGGTACCAGACAAGCAAGATCACGGCTACCACGAAGAGTGAGCAACCGGCGATCACGCCCGCGATAAGAGGGGTATTGATCTTCTTAACAGGGCGCTCATAGCCCGGTTCGTCGGTCTTGTATAGACACTCTCCAGCGTCACAGGACAAGAAGATGCTGGGGTCACCAAAGACCCCACTGATCAGGTTGTTCATTTCGGGTTCCGAGAAGACACTCTTGCTGCCCGCAGCAGTCGATTTGGTGGTAAAAGTGGCAGGTCCTTTGATCACTTGGTCAAGGAAGACACTGAGATCAATAGATCCGTTCTCGCCACACAAGAACCGGTTCTTGATGCAGCTGCAGTGGGCGTTCTCGCACTTGTAGTTGGTGGAGTTCGTATCATAGTCGTTCTCCATGTCCCACTCGCAAGTATCTAGACCGCAGTAGAATGATTCTTTTTGGCCAACCCAGAATTGGAAGTTGCAGGTCTTGTCCTCTTCCTTACAGGAGAACGTCACCTGTGGCTTCCGGCCATCAAGCTGGTCCAGGATCTTTCGATTCGTGACATCACACATCTGAAAGTTTTCCTTGACCGTAACACCCTGCTTATAGCACCTGCCGCCTTCACCTTCGGGCATCATGGCATTGCAGGCATTGTCTGATTGGCAGACATTGCAGTTGATACCGGACCAACCATCTTTGCAGTTACAGGTGTCACCCTCCCGTCTCGGGCGGTTCTCGCCATCGGCCAGCGAGCCACACACAGGAACCGAGCAATCATCACCTCCAAACCCAGGCGGACAGGAGCATTTGCCATTGTATTTGTTGCACGGCGCAAAGTGGGTACAGTTATATGAGTCAAGCTGGCAGTTGAAGCAAGGCGGACACTCGGGGGCCGGTCGTCGAGGAGCGGATAGGGGGATCGGGGAACGAGGTTCACGTCATAAACATCGCTCCAAGCTGCTGCTGAGATAGCGCAAGAGACCAGAGCGATAACCGAAAGAAGGAATGCGGATGCCGACCGCATATTGAGTAGGGGTGGCTGGGCCCTAAGTTGAGGCACCGCAGTTGCCGGCGACCGAAGAAGGAATGCGGAAGCGAATGGCCAGATAGCTTAAAGCTGGCAATGAGCGTTGGACATCCGTGTAGCTTTTTGAAAAGTGTTGTGAGGGGTGGTAGAGTGGTTGAGACGGAGGTCTCCAGATGAAGTGGAGAGCAGGTGAAATGGCGACGATGACGCGGGCGGAGATGGGTAGGCGGTGCCTTCGGAGCCAGGAACCCGCACCGCCTGTGACACGGCGCTTCAGCGATTCGAGTTCGAGGGCTGGGCACTGCAGATGCCACTTGCGCTAGTTGTTGGTGTTTTTTTGTTGCATTTGGATCTGACCCTGACAGTATCATTTAGTCTCGATCTTCTAGCAACATCTTCTTATCTTTCTCTGCCGCCCATACGGAGGGCTCACAGCTGTCCAACCACTTTGGCCACGACCTCAATGCGGGGACGCCACGTGATTTGGAGATTTAGCGGGCCGAGGTGCAACAGCGACAGGACTCTGTGTGCATACAGAAAGGCTTTGGCGACAAGCAGAAGTCGGTGATCCCCATAAGTGTGTCTCAAATACGTTCATATCTGATCTCGACTCCGTAGTCGCGCACAATGGTGAAACTGGAAGCTTTTGCGGTTGAGCAGGTATCTCCCCGCATTTGCGCAACACTTGGTCCCTTGTGTGCTGCTTGTGATAGGCCAAGAATCAAGGAATGATGCTAACAAGGCTGCAGTGGATGGACAAGTATGAGACGACTGCCAAGTACAACACCGCCGAAACCTGCTGCGCATCCATTTCGATTGACGATCTCCGCGAGCTTTCCGAGGACAAGGACGTCAACCCGTTGAACGCGCTTCAATCTACTAAGCTCACCTATGGATCCATTCGAGGATCTGACAAGCTGCGAGAGACGTTGAGCAATCTATACTCCGTTAAGATCCCAGGGTTGGTACCCAAGGACAATGTCCTGATCACGGCGGGCGCAATTCAGGCCAACTTCTTGCTGCTATACACCTTGGTTGGGCCGGGGGATCATGTCATCTGCCACTATCCCACATACCAGCAGCTATACTCGGTTCCTGCATCCCTGGGAGCGGAGGTTAGCTTGTGGAAGTCGAAAGAGGCCAATGATTGGCAACTGGATATGGAAGAGCTGAAGGGTCTAATCCGCCCAAACACCAAGTTAATCATCATCAAGTACGTTGAGATTCCAATAATATTAATCGGGACTTTACCTCACCAGACAACCCCATAATAGCAACCCACAAAATCCCACGGGGGCCATCATCCCTCGCGATACACTCCAAAGTCTGGTGGACATTGCCCGCCAGTCTTCGATTACCCTCTTTGCCGACGAAGTTTACCGCCCTCTTTTCCACAACATCAGCCCCATGGACTCACAATTCCCACCATCTCTTCTTTCTTTTGGCTATGAAAACAGTGTAGTGACGGGCTCAGTCTCCAAAGCATACAGCCTAGCTGGCCTGCGAGTGGGTTGGATTGCGTCTCGCAGTCATTCGCTCATCGAAGCCTGCGCCAGCTCTCGCGACTATACCACTATCTCGGTTGGTCAGATCGACGATGCAGTCGCTAGCTTTGCGCTTGCCCCAGAATGTATCCATAACCTCTTGAGGCGGAATATCGAGTTGGCCCGGACCAATCTCGCGGTTCTGGAAAAATTCATCGATTCCCATCGCTGGGCATGCGAGTGGGCCAAGCCCCGTGCAGGCACCACTGCTTTCGTTCGCTTCAGCAAGATGGGCAAGCCGGTGAACGATATCGCCTTTTGCGAGATGCTTCAAGAGCGGAAAGGCGTGATGTTTGTGCCCGGAAGCCTTTGCTTCGGGGGCGGAGATGACTTCCAGGGCTACGTCCGAATTGGATATGTCTGTGAGATGGAGGTGTTGGAGAAGGGTCTAGAGGCTTTGCGAGAATTTATGGAAGATGATTACGAGGAAGTCCCTGCATTGAAGAAGGCGAAGTCACTCCAATAGAACACAATCTCAGATACGATTTACAATACCTACGTTAATGGGGTGGTGGTTGTGATCCCAGCAAGACTTGTGCGACCGACCGAGAGGTCTTTAAAACAGCTCATCAATGAAGATACCCATATGTGTCTCATATACTGACTTGAGTGTGGGCTTTTGAAGGTCCATAGAGCCTCCACAGCGCAATCATCTCTCCACCCCAGAGCCGCTGCCGAGGAGCTAAAAGCCAGTTGTGGGCGATCGCCGCTGTCTAACTATTTAGTATGCCACCTTTTGGCCCTCCGATGCACCGTGCGAGCTTAACTGCGTGGGGTAAAAAGACGACTGGCGGGCTATTGGCTATCTCATGCTTGCTGATCTCACCTGAATACCAATATACGCCGAGCTACCGGCCCATGTGAAGGTGATGGAACTTTCTTTGCTCCGAGATGCCATGAGCAGGTCAACCCGCAAGAGTATGCAGGATAGGCAGAGATAGATGAAGAAACGGGTCCCAAACACCCGCTATAGTTGGCAGACATGAATCGGTGGCAATGAGCGTGATGTGGTGTAGCCACCGTCCCTGAATCCGACGGCGCGGCCGCACTGGGCTGAGCGCGTCCGTGCCGAGGCAACTTCGCAATCCGCGGGCCTCCCCCTTGTGCCATTTATTGGCCTCGAACTTTCATGCCACTCCCTCTGCTCTTAAGACGCTCCACTCCCCACGCTCCACTCTATAAATCCTGTGGATCGCTGTCGGCAGGATTGACGTAGCGCCTCCGGTCTAACCGGGCCTTGCCACGATACGGCCAACCGTACGATCGTGCCCTTTGAATTGCTTTTCCCAACCACGCCCTTGATCTTTGCGCTTTATACACAAAATGCCGCTACCTCTTGTTCCAGGTTGGTATTTTCGTTCAGCATGTCTTGAAAATCTCTGCTAAAAGCTCCTTTCTATATGAAGACATCCCCCTGCGCTATGCACTCCCAGCCGCCGCGGCCACGGCGGCATATCTCAACGCACGATGGTCCCTCTCCTATGATATCGGCCTCATCAAGTCGTTACTCAAGATGACAGTGAAGTCGCACTATGCGGAGCGGGGTGATAAACTGAACCTCTTCTACGTCCTCGAGAACTTTGCGCTCTCTCCGGCGACCGCGGACAAAGAGTTTATTGTATACGATGGCAAAGCATGGACGTTTCACGAAACCTATTTGATGGCCCTTCGCTACGGTGCCTGGTTCAAAAAGGTCCAGGGTGTTCACCGCAAGGACATTGTGGCAATGGACTTTATGAATTCCTCGACCTTCCTTTTCATGGTCCTCGGCCTGTGGAGTATCGGCGCGGTCCCTGCATTCATCAACTATAACTTGGCTGGTAAGCCCCTCACTCACTCCGTGCGGTCCTCTACCGCGAAGCTCCTGATTGTTGACGAGGAGGTTCGCAACTGTTTCCCCGCCGAGCAGTTGGCGACTTTCTCGTCGCCGAGTTTCCGTGATGGAAAGGGCTCGGTGAAAGTTGTTTTTTTCACGGCCGATGTTGAGTCGCAGATTCTGGATATGGAGCCCTCGCGGGAGGATGACAAGGTCCGTAGCGGCTTGATTCCCCGCGACATGGCTATCTTGATTTACACCAGCGGCACTACTGGTCTCCCCAAACCTGCCATTGTCAGCTGGAAGAAGTGCTGGTCTGGTAGCCTGTTCTTCGGAGACTGGATGCGGATAGGCCCTTCGGACCGCTTCTTCACTTGCATGCCGCTTTACCACTCTTCTGCCTCGGTTCTCGGGTTCGTGACGTGTTTGATGAACGGGTCGACTATAATCATTGGCCGCAAATTTTCTGCCCGCAACTTCATGAAAGACGCTCGCGACACCAATGCAACCATTATTCAGTATGTGGGCGAGACTTTACGTTATATTTTGGGCGTGCCGCCCGAGGTTGATGCGACTACTGGCGAGGATCTCGACAAGAAGCACAATATCCGACTCGCCTTCGGTAACGGTCTCCGCCCGGATATCTGGAACCGCTTCAAGGACCGCTTCAACATCCCCACGATTGCCGAATTCTATGCTGCTACTGAAGGTACCTCTGGCTCGTGGAACATTTCCTCTAATGACTTCTCCGCCGGTGCTATTGGTCGCAATGGTGCTCTGGGCAACATCATCCTCGGTCGCGGCAGTGCCATTGTGGATGTGGATCATGAGACTCAGGAGCCATGGCGGGATCCCAAGACGGGTTTGTGCAAGAAAGTTCCCCGGGGCGATCCTGGTGAGCTTCTGTTTGCTATCGATCCCGCGGACCCTAGCGCCACGTTCCAGGGTTACTTCCGGAATGCGAAGGCCACCGAGGGCAAGATCGTGCGCGATGTGCTGAAAAAGGGCGACGCCTACTTCCGAACGGGTGATATGGTTCGATGGGATAGGGAGGGGCGCTGGTTCTTTTCAGATCGCATTGGCGACACCTACCGCTGGAAGAGCGAGAACGTGTCTACCAATGAAGTTGCTGAAGTTCTCGGCGCTCACACGGACGTGCATGAAGCTAATGTCTACGGCGTGGCCCTCCCCAACCACGACGGCCGTGCCGGATGTGCGGCCATTGTATTCAACCAGCAAGTGGCCAGCGGGAACACCACGGGCCGTGCTTTGGAGCCATCGCCTGCAATGCTTGACAGCCTTGCTGCTCACACCCTCCGTAATTTGCCTCGCTTCGCTGCACCTCTTTTCATTCGTGTGATGTCTGAGATGGCGTCGACTGGAAATCTCAAGCAGCAGAAGCATGTATTGCGCACAGAGGGCGTGGACATTGGGCAGGTCTCCCCGAACGACCGCCTGTACTGGCTACAGGGTAACACCTATGTTCCCTTTGGAAAGCAGGACTGGGATCGATTGAATGGTGGCCAGATCCGGCTTTGAGTGAGCAGACCTGCTTCTATTAGTTCGGCTCCTGTGTTCTCGGAACCCTTCTTGCCTACTATCCTCGAAGCATTGTATACTTCACCTGTTGCCCTGAACTCATTCAAGATACCCCCTCTGCCCCCTGAATCATGATTCTAGCCTGCGATGTTCTGTCTCGTTTAGCTTATCTTAGCGACCTCCATTTTACCCTTCTCAAGCAGATCTGTAATACATTCATTCGAATTTTCCTCGTATAGTTAGTGTAACGGAGACTCACGTTGCCTCTTCCAAATGATCGTTTATAATCGACAACCGGTATAAATGTCTGACCCTCAAACATCATAACCGAACTCGATATTAGGTAAGAGACTCCTTTTTCTTCTCCCAGAAGATCCTTCGAGATCTTTGGCACCCTTTAGGTTTTCGTTCCACAGTTAGGTAGTACCGGCCATTTCATGTATATTTCCTCAGGTCGTATTCATCTCATGTTGAACGTAATTGGCATGGAAAGGGTGCAGTATAAATCTGATGGATATTCAGCAGATTCTTGATTACAATCTTAAGGTAATTCTACAGTGGGCACAGCACCATGGTCGGCTTCTGTGTTGCCCTCGCCATTTAAAGTCTTATCGAGGCTTCGTTGACGCTAGCCCCTGAAAGGCCCCGGGGATAAGACGGACGGAAGCCGACATCCCACCCCAAGTCCCTCCACTTTCTATTCTCGACTCCCCCTCCAACCCATCGGAATTCTCGCCTGCCACGCCGGATTGGGGTAGCCTGGACACGCGAGTTTGCTGCCCCTACTTGGCAACATTAGGGTCTCCCCATCTTCCACCGATGTCCGAAACCCCCGACAGTGCCCTGGACCCGCTTGGCGCGGATCTCTCGGCACAGGCACCTAAGAAGAGAACGCGGGTGCAGTTCTCGTGCACAGCATGCAGATTCCGGAAGTATGTTTTATATGAATAGTCCCCATCGTTCGTGATATATTGCTTCTTCCTTTATCATAGCTCCCAGTAAAGATACTGATAAAACACAGACTAAAATGTGATCGCTCATACCCATGCACCAACTGCAAGAAACGGGGCGAGGCGGGTACGTGTTCCTATGTTGGCCGCGGGCCTCGAGGTAAAGCCCAGCATGGGCGCTCGAGCCCAACGCTTGTTCAAGATCGCCTCCAGCATCTGGAGAATTTAGTCATGTCCCTGGCTCAGAAGAAGAACCCTATCGAGCCGGTCGTCAATTTTAATGGGGGTGCGTCTGATCATGCGAGGGCGTATGACACGCCAACCACAGTGAGCGATCGTGATACCAAACCGTCTCCTCGCGACACGGGCACGATTGTCGTGAAAGACGAGGGAATCAGTTACATAGACAGCGCCGACTGGCGCGCAGTTCTGGAAGAGGTTCGTTTTGCAGTGATTATAATTGGGCGTGTTGACGGGATGCGCTAACACTTATTTCCTGCCTAAGATCAATGGCGTGAAAGAGTACCTCGATGAGCATGAAAACTTTGACGATGAAAAACGTGAAGATGGCCTAGGCGATGATTCCTCTCCAGCTTTGTTGTTGGGGATGAGCAGGCCCATAACCAAAGAAGAAGTACTCGTAGATATTCCTCCACGATCAATCGCCGATCGCTTGGTTTCTCGCTTCTTAAAGACAACTGAGCCATCGTTGGGTCCGTCTTTCTATTTGAGTGGCGTGTGCGTCAAAATGCTAACATTGCATCCAGTTTCCCTCCATGTGCCTACCTTTCAGAAAGAGTATGATCAATTCTGGAACAACCCACACAGCATGTCATTCACCTGGATTGCGCTTCTCTACGCCATTTTGACCTTGTCGGTATCTTTGTATCATCGAAGCGAAGAGCCTCTGCCACTGAACATGGTGGACCCGGTCACCGCTTGGAATGTTTTCCGCAAGAGAGCTGCGCAGAGCCTGGTACAAGCGAACTATCTAATACCCGGCCGCTACAAATGCGAGGCCTTGTTTCTCTACTCACTGTGCGAGTTTTATCGGACCCAGGATGCGCAGGTTGGAGTCTCGTATCTTCTTGCAATTACCATCCGGCTCGCTATGCGCATGGGTTACCATCGTGATGCGAGACATTACCCAAGCCTGTCTGCATTCGACGGTGAAATGCGGCGGCGTCTCTGGGCCCTACTTTGTCAACTTGATATCTTGATCTCATTCCAGGTCGGGCTACCACGAACGATTCAACCATGGCAGTACGACACTGAGTTGCCATCCAACCTTCATGACACGGATTTTGACGAGAATTCACCCCAATTGCCTCAAGGGCGGTCTGAAGAGGGAGAACGGACAGCTTGCACGTACACGAGGGCGAAGTCCCGGATCATGAAAGTTTTCGGACAGGTTGTCGACCTGGCTTATTCTCGAGAATCGGTGCCCTATGACGAGCTCCTGGCGATTGATCGTCGCTTAGAGGAAGCGCATAATCTGTTGCCTTCAACCTTTCAGATGCAACCCATGAGCCAGTGTATCGCGTTACCGACGGACCTGATCATGCGGCGGTACACGCTGGATCTGCTCTATCAAAAGGCACGTGTGGTACTGCATCGCCGGTACGTGGCAGAGCCTGGAAGCAAATATGCCTATTCGCGATCGGTCTGCCTAAGTGCCGCTCGAGAGACTCTGCGACACCATTCCGATATTTGGAACGAGTCTTTACCAGGCGGTCAGCTGTACGCTGAGCGATTCTTTGTCAACTCTCTCCAAAACACCGATTTCATGCTTTCGTCCATGATTCTTTGCTTAGAACTCTCACAGGACAGCGAACGTGGAAGTGCTGCGCGCTTGGGAGTCCAAGAGCACACTGATCTGATTTCTCTTTTGGAGACCACCCATCGGATTTTCAAGGAGGCACGGCGCCGGTCTGTGGACACGCAGCGGGCATTTGCTGCCTTGACTATCATGCTAAGCAGGGTAAAGGGCACGAGCCTCGAGAGCCTAGTGTCAAAGAACGTAGAGGAGTCGATTCCGATTAGAGGTACTTTTTTCAACCATGTTTGACTCCTGTGGGCACTAATGAAGAATCCAGATCAATTGGCTTTCCAACCGGCTTCGACCTCAATGAACCAAGAGCAGTACCAAATGTACGCCGCAGCAAACGCTGGTGACCTGCAGGCGGCGATGTACAATACTAGCGAAACGCCATCCTACTCGCCACTCGATGTGATTAAGGACATGCTGAATACGCCAGCTCAACTTGACTGGGTAGGACATTCCCAATTTTGAACACCAGGTTGCCAAATAAGCTAACTTAGGGACGTTAGCGCCTGTATGACAGCCGTGTGTCTGGGTTTGCGGGGCCGAACCAGGGCAATGTCTGGCTCCCAGGCACCCAAGGAACGCCCATGGGAATGGATTTTGTCACCTATACTGGCGATGCCTATTCGTCCACGAATCATGGCTAGATAATTGCTGGGTGATCGAAGGATTTATCTATTCCTAGAAATATGACACATACAATAAATGAAAATTATGACACTTATTTTCTAAGATAACTTGGGTACATGCTTTGAGTTGTAGTCTTGAATTCCCCCATGTAGTACGGAGTAGCCAGGCACAAGAAAGGGCGGAGCCTCGGCCGCAAATGCCGATCACCGCGGAGCCGCGACTTTTTCCCTGGCAGGATTCCAACGTTGCTCTCCAACATCTCCAGGGCAAGCACACGCCGCGAGGACTTCTCACCTATTTATCTCTCCAATGCGACCCGCCCGCGCCCGGCGACCTTCATGTCGCACGATTTTCTCCTCAGACCGGCCGTCAGTGCCTGAGCGTTCGTTACTGCCCGGCCAGTCCGCGACAAGGACAATCAGCACATCACAACAACCACGCCCGAGTACGCAAGGAATACCACCATGCTCTACATACACGGCGAGACGATCCTTCGGCCTTCCCTCCCTCTCATCCATCTTGCCGTCCGCGCCCAACGGCAACAATAACTCTCCTAAGCGCGTCCTGACGGCCACCCGCACGCTACCCTACTCGCCCGCCCTGCTCTTCAAAGTGATCTCCTCTGTCGAGTCTTACTCGCAATTCTTGCCCTTCCTCACAGCTTCCACCGTGACAGCCCGCGACCCGGAAACCGGCCATCCAACACAAGCCTTTTTGACCGTGGGGTACGGCCCGCTCAGCGAAACATTCACCTCGCGCGTGATTTGTGATCCTGCCAATTGGATTGTCGAGGCTCGCAGCGGCGCGAAATATGGAAACGCCGATGGAAATACTGGGGGCAGCAGCAGCAAGTCATCTGGCCTCAGCGGATTCTTCCCTGGTGCTACCGAGGGCATTTTCGAGTACCTCTCCACACGGTGGGAACTGGTGCCGTTGGCTCCCGTGGATGGCAGGGATGGGCCACAGACGAAAGTGAATTTGGAGGTGCGCTTTGAGTTCCGCAATCAATTACATGCAACTGTCATGGGCGCCGTGGAGGGACAAATGGCTAGCGTCATGATTGAGGCGTTTGAGAAGCGCATTCGGGAGACACATACCCAGGGCCAATAGACTAGACGCCCAGGTTCTGGATCTTGTATATTATTGGCGTTCTTGGGATCCGAGATTTAGACGTGTGTACAGTACCATATAGACTCCCTTCGACTAGGTATAGAAGCATATGTACCGGACCATGTCTGGCTATTCTTGGCTTTCCCTTCCCGGTTTATTCCTCGCCCCTCGCCGCTTTTTGATCACCGAGTAGAATTGAGTACGTCCCTGCGCGGGATGAGTTGCTCAGTGATTATCATTATAATCAAGCGGACCTGCTCACTGAGCCTGACCTGAGCGAAGAGATATGCGGCTTGAGTTAATTCACCTCAACAAATTGCAACACCCTAGTCCTACTCACGTCGAATCTTTTCTACTTTGCACGTATCGCCTATCTACAAAGGACCGCCATCATCAATGTAACAAATGAATCTCTCTGAGCCCTTATGAGAATCACTTTCAAGTGAAAGGTCCGCTGCTTCAGGGGCTTTCCAAGAACTCTCCAACATATGAGCCCATGTCTCCACAGGCTATGACTTCCTCATAGTTGTCGCCAAATCCTTGGCCCTCCACAATAGCACGATAGTAAAAGACCACCTTGTCATTCTTCTCCATGAACCGGAAAACGTTGGCATGGCCCTACCCCTCAAGCTCCTGCCATCTGGTCGCCATCGCCGAGGCCACTCCGGAATATTCACTTGAAGCAAGGCAACAGACGCATGCTGGAAAGCAATTTTAACTCCCGCCCCATCGTGTCGCCTGTTAACAGATGAACCGCTACCGGACCCAACGAAGGGAACATAGAGGTGTGCAGTACCATCCTCGAAGTGATGAATATCGTAATCACGAGTTCTGTTGGATGCACTTCCACCTCCTTCAGACGATAGTGATGAGCCAAAGCTAGCGTACCGTTATTGGCACTAATTCCAATGAGTGGATTCACGATTTTTTCATAAACGCCAATAAAGTAGTTGATCCTAAGGGCTTCCATGTCTTACTCGGGGATCGATGGGATTGATCGACGACAATTTCTCAAAATTGTAGAGCTTAAATAGATCACAGCAGCATCAGCACTGAATTTTCCGCTAAGCAGCAAAATTAGATTAAATGCTGCTCTGACGTTGGTAACCCAAACAGCACATTGTTTGCTATTGTGTCTCTCGCAGACTCCCCTAACATAGTCTCCCACGGGGGTAACGAGGACATTACTAGAGTTCATCATAAAGGAAATCAGTCTCCATCTTCCTAGAGTAATAAGTGGCAGTGATCCGAATAAAACATACGCTACCTCGAGTATTCCATGACCGACCCAAATCGCTCTTGGGACATCTTGACAAGTTAACCTCTTTCCAAGATAGGCTTTCACCATTCCCTTAGGGGTCAGGCCTTTGATAGGTAGCTTGCAGCTCTCCGTCGGTGAGAGGAGCGGCAAATGCCACATTGCTAAGAACAGGCAGAGCAAGAAGAGCCCAAGAAAACTTCATCTTAGGCTTGTGGGCAATATAATTTGATGGAAATAGAGGGTTCGATAGCTGAATGATTGAAAAAGCATTCAAGGCTCTGTAGCCAGGATTTTATATTTAGGAAGTCGGCCCAACGACATTCCATAATCGGAATAGACAGTAAGGTCACGAATGGCTCTATCTTTAGCTATGCAGTAGTTGCATTTAGTATATTCTTTGACTACGTACGGAGTACTCTTTAGCTGGGTCCCCGTCTGCCTTACCACGAGAGAGATCGTCAGCTTGAATTACTATCCTAGGGACGAAAGGGCCAAGTCTTACGGAACCAACGGCCCAGCCCCCTATGGAGTTAGACAAGGTGACGGACCGTGCAGCTAACATAGGTGGAGTATTCGACTCAGTTCCCGTCGTCCAGGGACCTCGGAAGCAGCTGTACCCTATCTTAGTGGAGAGAAGACTGAGACTAGGGGGTTATCTATCGCGCTAAACACGGGCTGTTAGCCTACTAGCGCCGGCCCCCGGGGCCATTTCGTGAGGGATATCTTCGGGTGTGCCTCGGCGGCACAGCGAATTTTCTGCGATATCACTGGGTATACGAATTCAGCCCCATCATTCTGCCTACGGTCTTTCAGTGACTTTTGGTCACTGAAATTTGTCTCAAGAACACCGCGATCAAGAAGGGTCTTTTGAACTCTCGGCTCTTTTATCTACTGATTAATATTTCCTACTCTTGATATATTGTCTACTTCTCACAGAGCAAGCCTGGAAACAGGGCAAATCCGTCCACCAGAAGTTCCGCGTCCTCCACCACAGTGAAATCTTATTAGCTATCCCATGAATTCCTTCGTATTCATAGTCCGCCCTGTTGAAGAGCATTGTTGGAATTTTCACTTAGAATGTAAAACCAGACAAACCGCTAGGACGGACTTCATCATGACAGCGTGGGTGGATGTCCGCTTCATTGTCAATGTGTCAGGCTTCGGGGGAGTGCCACAAGAACAGCATCTTTGTCTAGGGCAAACTTGGCCTATTATTTTTGAGAGTTCTAAGTTTGGTGGTGAGTAAATGGGGGGTCTCTTCTTTGCTTTTCTTGTGCTGGAATATTCTTGTCGTTGGGCCTTGCGGGTTGACCGGAGGTCTGTTTCTTGACTTGAGAATGATGAGAGGCTGTCCTCCGCTTCCAGCGCGGAGAAAAAATCCTCATGAAGACCAATGAAATTTTACTTGAGAATATAAGAGGTGATAAGAGTTGTGGTATGACAATAAACTATTGTACAAATGGAATAGAGGTCGATGGATCACCATGGAGAAACAACGCAGTCTATCTGTGGGTGCTGGCAACAACGAGAAGCACAAGCAGAGTGGAACCTCCCATAACCATGTTTAAAACAACCCGAGAGTTTCCCACAATATTTTCAATTTTTCTTTTTCTTTTTCTTTTTCCTAATTTACCAAGGTTCATGAACGTTTTGCTCCGGCTGAACACTGTTAGCGCTCCGTCTCGCTTCGTGCGTAACCTCAATCTGGCTGGAGACCACAATTCCAGGCGACGACGTAGTTTCACCTCCAGGACCAGCGTACGCCTTCAAGCCCTCCAACTGCACATTGTCGACAATTCTCTCTTCGCTCTCGTTGAAAGTCATATTGGCAGTGACTGGATTCGAGCTTGGTGGGCCCCGGCGATCTCGACTCCGACTCGGATAGTCTCCACCACCAATGCTGCGGAAACCACCAGAGGGAGTTTTGTATGTTTTTTGCGACGTTTGGAAGGCGCTTCCAAATAGGACGCCTAGCCAGGTTTTGAAGAGTTTGAATATCATGGGGAGGTTGGTGGTGATCACGGCGACGAAGGTTTCCCGGGTTCCCCATTCCTCCGCGATCTGTGCTCCGCTTACGGGTGACTAGTAATTTGCGCAGATTAGAGGGATGTATTGACATATGGGGAATACGCCGAGCAAGGGTAGGACATACCACGATGAGGAAAACGCTCTTGATGGTCGCGCAGACGAGCACGAACACGCCGGCACTGAGGACGATGGTCACTGCTACCTTCTTCAAAGTCTTCAAGCTGGATTTCCAGAGCATCGGAATAGGCACAAAGATGAGGAATGGGTCTGTCGCAAGATTCGCGGCGAATGTCACCCAGATGATGGGCATAGAGATGGCAGGTTGGCAGACGTCTGAAGAGGAGGTGCTGGGTTAGCAAAAGACCGAATCGGAGAAGATGGCATCTTTCTCACTTTCTGGCGCTGGGTTAATCTGCCAGTAGTGGTTGAATGGCCTGCATGCCGTGAAAATTGTCAAGACACTAGCAACCATACTTCCAATGACAAGGGCGAATCCAACAAAGACGGGGATACGGTACTTTCGGCTCAAGCCATCCTGTAGCACTCGTTAGCAAGTCAAGATTGATGCGAAACGCATGATAGCGAGTCATACCGTAAGTCGGACATAGAATGCAAGCACGGACAGTTTGAGAAAACCAATCAGCAACATGTAGGTTGTCCATCCTGCAACCTGGATTTTAGATCCAATCACTCTGTGTGCATTGTTAATTTGCATTCAAATATTCGCTCGCGGACTCGTCATGAACCCGTGACATCCATACCTGGCGACATATTCGGGATTCGAAGGCGACAGTGCGGCCCGCTGGGCATCTGTCATGCTGTTGTTTGCAAGGCCATGGGCAAATTTGCCCACACTGTACGCGAGTGATGTTTGCGCGGTATAAAAGATCTAGAAAGAAAGGCATCAGTATGGAGCGCAGGTCAACGGTGTCGTTAGGGGAACAGACAATTGCGACCCAAATGAGATAGTCATCGGCTCCCAGATTCCTCCAGCCCACAGCTCTTACTCGAGCATATGTCCGGAGCAGGGTCACAGCAACTCCAAACGAGTAGAGCGTCCATAACTCAACCGTTGCCTTGTAGGCCGCGTGAGCAGCATCGGACGCGGCATCTCTGGCAGCCAGGGTGATCATGCCAGACATCCCTAAAAAGCACAGACAATTAGCATGCCAGAACACCAGATATTTCCGGTGAAAGAAGGCACGACTAGTAAGCCACCTACTTTCACGCTGTATAAGGGTAATACTGTATGCCTCCCAATGGCAGACTGGCATAGCGGTCGCTCGCTTGTTAAACGACGGCCAGAAGGACAAAAAGAGAGATGTCGAGTCTCTCGAGAGAACGCCCAAATGTGCAGCCGCCACAAGACCCGAAGAGGTTATGGTATCCGTACCATGAAACCATTAATGAAGTACACGGTAGCGATTTTTCTGATCTGCATGCATGCGCAAACCCAGATCTAGGTTTTCGGGACGCTCAAGCTTTCTTGAAGAGTCCCCAAGCGAAGTCGCGATTCCTTGAGAGTGAATAATTCCGCCAATTCAAAGTTGTCAGCAGTTTGTATCATGTCCAATGATACCTTCAGGTCCCCCAGGCTGCGACCTTCTCCTGGGCAATCTCATTAAAGTTCACTCTAACGATGAGGTCCGCGCTAGGATTCCACGTCGAGAACACTAGTCTGGCTTCAGTAGGAGCTTTCAGGTTGGCGCCCGAGCGCCCATCTGTCGAAATAATAAATGACCGTATAGACTAAGAATGTTGCCCATGGAGCATTTTTAGTAGTGGTTATTTTGCACAGGATTTGGCCCGAATTTAGTCTTGACACCATCCAATCGCCAAGCGCTGCGGCCCCCTTTTCCCTCCACTTCAAAGCGGATCGGGCCAGGTTACGCCTTGCTTGGCGTGGCCAGTGGGAAAGCTGCTAAAACCAACCGGGCCACCTGGTGGCCAGCCATGAGGCGTGTGCTACCACTCATATGGCGCGACATTCAAACTTAACCTGGATCGATTGAACTTACAGTTCGTCTCAGCGGGGGACCAAGCAAATCAGTTCCATGGGAATAGATTGGTGGCGGTCGGGAGTCGAGTACACTAGCGTTTGCACTCGTGTAGAAGGGTTTTCTGGGCTTCTCTCGAAATGTAACATCCAGCCCGACTTCCGACCACCTGCATGAATAAATTGATTTTTCTTGCGTGCTGCCAGAAGGGGGTTTTCCGTCCACTAGTATGATCAGGGACACGAGTCGTACGATATTCCTGTCCTCTCGTTTCAAACCCAAGTGTTCGAGGAGAGTGGAAAGTACCTTGTCGATCTCGGACAATTGACTTCGAGGGTGCATACAGTATATGAACAGTTATGTACTCGCTCATCTGTATCTGCAGCCAAAAGACTTATAACTGCTCGCCTCTCTCAATGTTCAAGTCCTTTAGGTCTGATGTGGAGACCGGGTATTCGGCCTTTTGACATCGCGCCATTGACCTGGCCTACACCTCCACAACCACTAAGAGGATTCTTTAGTCATTTTGGGGTAGAAATTAAATACGAGTCCCATAGCTACGTACAGCGGCAGAAATAAAGATTATTAATTCCCACGTTCCCACGGAGTAAATGACAGGGGTCCGTTCCTTTGCCCAGCCCTCCAGCACATCTTTCCACGCGGCCGTTTGCAGGGATTGCTGCTCAACCAACAGCGACGCATTCTAGCCACAACAGCGTTTGAGTTTCTTTGGACAGCCGCGGCAGTGTGCATACAGCTTGCACGATGTATCAGTTCAAGATGGAAGTGGCCATGGCGATTGTCGCCTGGGCTTGCACCGCGGTCGGCCAAAACCTGCCCCTCGCTCGGAGCCACGACCCTGGCCATCATTCAAGGGGCAATTATGATATGACAGACCTCCAGGCCAAGCTTTCTAGCTCTGCCAAAATCTACTATCCCAACACGACTGAGTTCGAAGCTGCCTCGGCTCGATGGTCGCTGTTGGACGAGCCTACTGTGAATGTGGTCGTGGTGCCTGGTACTGAAAATGATGTTGCCGAGACTGTAAGTGCTTTTGTTTTCCTGATCGGCGTGCATTCTGTCTTCTTTCCTCTGTTGCGATCCTCAGATTAGTCAACTGGCAGCAACCATGGGACAGACAATAGTATTGAGCATATAGACCTGGACTGACAGTGCATCAGGTCCAATTTGCCAACCAGCGGGACTTGCCCTTCTTGGCCTCCACTGGCGCTCATGGATCCCTCACCTCGCTGGGCAAGATGACCCAGGGAATTGAGATTTACATGACTCAGCTCAACACCGTCACCGTCTCGGGAGATGGAAAGACCGCAACCATTGGCGGCGGAGCGATGGCGAAGGCTGTCGTTGACGAGCTTTGGAACGCAGGAAAGCAAGCCGGTAGGTGGCTCCCCGTGTGTTAATGTCCATATCAACAAAGGGGTGCCTGGGCTAATTGCTGAAATAGTTACTGGAACATGCGAGTGTGTTAGCATTCTCGGTCCCGGTCTCGGTGGAGGTCATGGCTGGCTCCAGGGACACCATGGATTGGTCGCTGATCAGTTTGTTTCGATGAACGTTGTCCTTGCCAATGGAGCCTTAACGACGATCAACGCAAAGTCTGACCTTTGGTGGGCGATGAAGGGTGCTGGCCACAACTTTGGCATTGTTACTTCTCTCACCACCAAGGTCTTCGACATTCAGTACAGCAACTGGGCGATTGAAACCATCACCTTCAGTGGTGACAAGGTTGGTGCCGTCTACCAGGCTGCCAACGACTATCTGTTGAAGAACGGTACCCAGCCAGTTGGCTTGATCAACTGGTCTTACTGGCTTAACAACCCAGGCGCTGACCCCAACAACGTAAGTCAAAACATCTACCTGAACGCTGTTTTCCATTGCTAACTTATCCAAGCCGGTCATCATTTTCTACATCATTCAAGAAGGTGTCACCACCGTCGACTCAGCCTACACCCGGCCTTTCCACGACATTGGACCTCTCTCAATCCAGCCAGCGTCAGGCACCTATACCGATCTGGCTTCGTGGACTGGAATCGCCAACAACCAGCCACCCTGCCAAAAGGCTGCCCTTGCCAACCCACGCTTCCCAATCTATCTCCAGTCATACAATGTCGACGCGCAAACGAAGGCGTACAATGTCTTCGCAAACGCTGTCCGCGGAACCTCGGCCTTAAACAACTCCATCTTCATGTTCGAGGGCTACTCCATGGAGGGCGTGCAAGCAATCCCCAGCGACTCTAGCGCCTTCGCCTTCCGCAGCGAGAACATCCTTGCCGCCCCGCTGATCAACTATCTCCCTGCTGGCTCCACTCTGGACTCTCAAGTCGCCAATCTGGGCAACAAGCTTCGTGACATTCTTCGTGATGGTACCGGCATGGATGATTTCCGGGCTTATGTCAACTATGCCTACGGCGATGAATCTCTCCAGGAGTTGTATGGATGCGAGAGCTGGCGCCAGGACCGCCTGAAGGCTTTGAAGGCAAAGTATGACCCGACTGGCAAATTTAGCTTCTACGCGCCCATTGCGTAGCGTTGGTGAGTTGGTTGTTAGACTGCGAATTTGTATATAATCATTGTGTAATTGGGTATCAGTGCCCCTACTATAAATATCACTCGTTTGCACGAAGCGCTAGGACCGACGGCGGAATTGAAGAGAGTACTCCTGTTGCTGCGACCTAACTTTCTTTGCCATACTTCTCTAAAAGGTCGTCAGAGCTGCACCCGATGAAGTTTGTCCGGGTAGATCAGAGTGGGTATCAACCGCTGAGAATCTGAGTTATAGGTCAGCTGGTCGAGCCCATTTCTGAAACACCCATATAGAGCGACTGATGCATGCCGGTAGGCATGTGTATCAGTGACGGCTGGTGGCACTAAAGTACCGCTGAAGTAGTAGGCGTATCTGGCAGCCATATCGAGCTTGGTGTCGAGATAGATGTTAATTTTCGTGTCAGCCTTAGGGCAGCCGATCGACCCGCGGGACAAGGAGACGTTGGACTCAAGGTCCAAGGTAAGTCGCCTTGTCTGCTCTTAGTGATGATGGTCACTCTCGTCAGACACCTAATTGCTTGTGTCCAACGACACTGAAATTTCTTTTCTCGGAGATTGCCCTGCATCAGGTCTCTAATCCGGGCTTTTCATGATCAGCCTCGCCCCATAGTTTAGAAAGTTCGCGGGGCTCCCAGTCCTCGCCGTAGCGGCCGTCCGCCCACCAGACATGTATAGAATCCTGGCCTGAGCAGAACATCCCATCGGCAGCCTATAAGTCCTCGGCTCCGTCCAACCGAGAATAACGGAGAACACGCCTACGGTCATCGAGATACACGAGCAGTACGTTCCCCGGCCCATCGTTTGCCCCCTTGTCGTAATGAGTATATAGCTCCATTTGGCCGCCAGGTGAAAGATCGACAGAGCATAGTCAAACTGGTCTATGCCGACCTTTATAGCCTCGTCCCGCGCTTTCCGCTTCCTCTCGTTATACCAAGCGGCAAAACTTAGCGTCTCCTCGACAATTTGCGGGATACGAGTTAGGATATTATACAGCGAGTGCAAGCCGTAGTTGATACCGCGTCGTAAAGCGCGGCATCGTCAAAAACCGTTCCGTCGTATTCAGCCTCGGAGATCAGCTCGGCTAATTTTTCTTCCGAGCCTTCGCTCACACACAAAGCAGGATGTAGCTTGGCCATCATCATAACCAGCGCCTTCCTAGTTTAGTACAACGGTCTGGTTAGCTGCCCAAGCCCCGTTTAGTTTAGTTCGTCTGGTAGATTCTAATGCATCATCATTCATCTACCTCACCGATTCATCAGATGTTTGAGCTTGAGCCACTCTCAATAGAAAACAAAAAGGATTTTTGACCGTAGTATCATACACGATAAAAGGATTGAGTTCCCCGCTTTTCCCTGCACCTTATTTCCATAGCGCATTTGCTCGATGAGATGGAGTGCTCCAGAAAGGAGGGCAGGGGCAATGCTATGGAAGAACTAACCATCTATGAACCACTCCATAGAGGCTAATCCCCTTTGGGAATAGTCCTGGACAGGTTCGGGGAAAAAGAGAGTTCTCCCTCACGTGACTGGTCTGAGCATGATCACTGTCTGAGCCCGTGCTGACATCCACTCAGTCAGCCTGAGCCTAAGCCTGAGTATTCTCATAAAAGCGGCGGCAGCTCACCTGTCGGGGGAAATGCGGTACGTATAGATACATATGGAGCATGACTGTCAAGTTCAATTCTATCAACCAAACCCCGCTGTACAATCCGCAAGGCCAACGGAGTTGAACTCGAGAAAGAAGTAAAAATGTGATAGTATATATAGTACAGATTATCCAAACAAGAAGGCTTTTTCACCGCTTAAAACATGCTCAGACTGCGGTCCCGGCTGGCCGTGCTTCGCGCGCCCTTCACGGAGCTGATCGCGTTGTAGTTGTCAAACACCACGTCCCAGTTAATCCGATCCCACCACCGCTCGAGGTACTCTTCCTTTCCAGCAATGCCATAGTCCATCATCCACGCGTGTTCCCAGGTGTTGACGCACAGAATGGGCTGCACATCAATGGCACCGGGGGCAAGGTTCTTCTGGTTCTGTGCATGGGCACCCATTGAGCCGGCGAATTGGTTGCCGAGGGGTGCGTCGGGGGAGTGTGTAGCCATGTCGACGGGCTGCCGCCGGGAGTAGGCGGCTGGGTAGGGCGAACCGGCGTTGTAGGTGCAGAAGATCTGCATTAGGCCCTCGCGCTCAAGGTTCTTAGCGAGCCAGACAAAGCCGGGGCCGAACATGGCGTTGGCGGTGGCCAGGAAGTCCATCTTCAGGGATTCGACGGAGGAGCAGGTGTCGACAATGTCCTTAGCGAACTTCTCGGGAATCTTGGTGGTAGTAGGGGACTGCATAGGAAGAGAGTGTCAGCAGACAAAGACTATTTGGACATTCGTGGACAGCGACTTACCAGGCAGTTAAAGAAGAAGTGGTTGTTGTGAGCCATGGAGGCATAGTTGAAGACCGAGGCCATTTCCGGGCGCTTGGAGTACTTGACCAGCAATTCTCCGGGTTTGGCGTCCGCATCGACGGTGTCTGAAAGGTAGAGGTCAGTATTTAGTCCAAATTTCTTTCAACACCAAAAGCGCGTCCCCGAAGCGGACAATTCCGCCGGGCGAGTCGGATCTGACCTTGTGTCAACAGGTTGAGCTTGTCCACCAGAAGAGTCTGGTACTGGGTCCAGGAGAAGTCGAAAGCCTCGGGGGACATGAGCTCTGGAATGCCATTCTCCTTGTAATAGGCATCATGCTGCAATTGAGGGATACGGTGCAGGCCACGAGCCTGGAAGCGCAGGGCGGAGGAAGGTGTCTGGATAAGGCAACGCGATCAGTCTCTGCGGAGCAGGCAACCGTGGTTCATTGACAACCGAAAAGAAAGGCAGGGCTTACCTGAAGCGAAGCCGCGCGCAGAGCGCCCGGCCTAATGAGTCGGCTGAACATGATGGGCGAGAGATGTGACTGGCGTGGTCCGTAGCTTCGCCAAACCGAAGAATTTCCCTCCCGATGCATTTCCCAATCGGGAGTAGTGGTGCTGACATAATCCAGCCAATCAGTGCGCACCGAAGTACATCAACATCTTCAGTGTCTCTCTAAGCGCCCACCATCGGCCGATCTGCACATCTCACCCTGTGGCACTGGCCACGATTGCTGCTTCTGCAACGGAAATCAGGCTTAGCGCCCGCCGAGTTGCATATTTAGATCATGTCGCTCATGCTGAAACTCGCCGGCGGCTCCCTGATTGGGACCCGAGCGCGTGCCATGAATAGATCAGATCCCTTTGTATGCCTATGAATGAATGCCTTTCAAAGGTGCCTATTCTTTATTGCCTGATCGCCCCATATAACTCCTATATGTTCTCGTCTTCCACATCTAATACTCTCTCTACGTCCAGGGGCCTCTTTTTGCGTCGTTTGGCATGCATCTATGATACTCTTCTACAAGTCCTGCGAAACTTGACTTCTGTTCGGGCTTTCACTATTCTCAAAAGGCTTGAGTACTACCTCCAAAAACGCCAGTATGGCGAAATCTACTGTGGGCGTTATCGCCAGGCGCTCTTCGATGTTCTTTCTCTTGAACCTCATGGCCAGCCTTCAACCAAGCCATGCTTCCACTTTCGATCCATTAGACCTACTCCCACGGGGTTCGAGCTCTTGTCCTAGCTCCTATGATACTTGCGGTGGTAGTCTACCTGATACCTTCTGCTGTCCTTCCTCATCCATTTGCATCGGCCTCGACGACGCCAGCTCCGCTATCTGCTGTCCCTCCGGGGCGAGCTGCGACTACATATCACCGATAGTCTGCGATGTACAGGAACAGAACGCAACTGCACATCCCAAAAATTCCGTCAAGACAACCAAGCTCGACAGTTCCCTTCCCACATGTGGAGATGCCTGTTGCCCATTTGGCTACACATGCCAGGGGAACAGCACCTGTGCTCTGAACCAGAAGACCTCAAGCACAGCGTCATCGACTTCCCAGGCTTCATCAACCTCCACGTCCACCGCCACTGATACTACTGGCGCTACATTCACACCCGTCGCTTCGCCCTCTTCTTCCGCCTCTCAAGACAATTCAACTACCGCGCTCGCCTCGTGCCCGTCGTTCCCAAGCAAAGCTGTGGTAGCAGGCTTCTTCCCTGGCGCACTCTTCGGCGCCATCTTCGCCGTCCTCATAGCAACATGTCTCCGCCGCCGATCTCACAAGAAGGATCTACAGAATCACGATCCAAAGGCTGGCCTACATTGGTCCCAACGCTCTTCATCAGGCGCCGTCATGGGAATCTCCAGCCCAATCGCTAGTGAGGATAATTCATACCGTACAGACTTCCTGTTACGTCCCTCTTCGTCAAGGCGCACATCGACAGGAGGACGATCAATGCTACACCGGACCGGTTCTAGGGTCAAGAGCCTTTTCTCTGGGCAACCGAGAATGGACAAAGACGTCCCTCCGGTTCCTGATGTGCATGTGCAATATCCAGTCACTCCACCCGGCCAGCGCCAGGCCAGCACCGAAAGTATCAAAGTATACTCACCACCGGGGGCATTTTCACAGTCGAGAAAGTTTCTAGGCCCTGAGCCGTACCCTGGGACGATTTCGCGACCCGATACGACATTTACAGATCTGGTGCAAGCTGTTGGGTTTAATGATGCGAAGGGGAATCCTTCGTACAAAGTTAGGGAGTCGCCAGACAAAGAATTGAGGCCATGACCGCCAGGATCATCGTCCTGGTGATACTTCATTCGTTTCATCGTTTCATGAGCGAGGACTCGCAAATCAGTCTTCACTGACCGAGCATTGTTGATAAAACATTAGCATTTACATTCTTTAGAATAATATCATTTCATTTTTTTGATGATACCCAGCTCTGATCGGTTCCTATTCACGTTTGCGTTTTCGTCTTGTTTGACGATAAGGAGGGTCAGAAAGGGAGAAATTTGTTCTGCCTGGTGGTATTTGAAATGCCAGACAGAGTTAACCTTTGAATGTGTATATGTGTAGCTTGTAGAATACAAAGAAAGGTAGTTCTGGCCAAGGAGCTCTATGCCGTGGCGCGCTTCCGCGCCTTCCAGCCTGCCACGAGTCGCTTCAGTTCCTTCATCAAACCAACTAGTAATGGGACACCAATTGGACCCAGTAGAGGTAGATAGACGGCAACCTTGTGCTCATCTGGGAAATATACTTGACCAACCATACTCTTCTCGAAGAAGCTGCGCTCAGCTTCCGTCTCTGCGATGCGCGCACTGGCGAGAGCAGCACTAAAGCGGCCCTCGCGGAGATGAGAGCAGGCGGAAGAGAGATGAGTAAGAGTCGTAGAGACAGAGGATGCAACGGTAGCTGGGATGGGGATAGAAGGAAGGGATTCAGTGAGACGGGCGAGGGAACCCATCGTGGATGAAGCGGAAAGAAGAAGGGTTGCAGCACGGACTCGAATCAATGTTTGGAGGCGGAGAGGGAGAGAGGCAGGAGTAGTTGGGGTGCCAAGGAGGGTTAGAAGTTGGTGGGAAAAGGTTAGGAACGCCGGTCGTAAAACCTCTTGAGAGATATGGGTTGGGTTTGCCTGGCTACCGCTCTTGTCGGCCTGAGCCAGAGGCGGATTGAGGAGAAAAACGCCACCCCATTGCGGGATAATCCAACTCGAAGCACGATTCTCCTTGACGACCATCGGGGACTGAGAAGGATCCGGGACATAGAGGATGAAGTTGAGAGTAGGGCCGTTACCGATGCTCGGGTTCAGCGGCCACTCCGCAGCATTGATAAAAGCGCTAAGATCCTCCTTCTTCAGTGTCCATGCCGCCTCCGTCTGGTCATATACTGGTGGCGGTGCCATGGGTGAAAAGGTTGCATAGAGCTGAACCTGGGTGTCGATGGTGAAGTTGCTTATAGGGCCAAATGCGTGCAGCAGAGGGGATAGGTACTCCTGTACAGCGGCTTCAATGTCCCAAGAGGACGGCGCAGAGCCAGGCGTAAACAAGGAGAAGGACAGATGATATGTATCAGCGTACTTCATTGACCGGCGCAAGCGTCGGCTAATGCTTTCCAGGTCATGGCCGGCAGCCTCGCCGGAAAGGATATAAGCAATCGTCGCCTTCTCCTCACTGTATAGCCGTTGCAGCTCTTCTGCAATAAAAATTGAAAGTGGTGGGTTCGAAGAGGAGGGAATGGGAGCTTGGCTGGGTGGGTAGAAGATATCGAGCTGAGTGGTATCCGCACGTAGCTCCGAACGGGGGTGGCCAGATCCTCCTGAGGAACCACACGAACAGTCAATGCTGTGTCTGGTCCGTCTTCCATTGTGTTTTCAGATACAGCCGGGTTATTATCGATGTTCTGTGTCACGGAAGTGTCGGTATCGTTCGTCAACTTGAGGCGAAGGTGGTGGGCGGCGAATTCATTGAGATCGTCGAGCGCATGCTGAGTCGTGCGGACAAGGTGCTGCGACTCAGGTGATTGCATCGCCGGCGCTACGACGTGAATTTCAAGTGGAAAGACCGGGCGACATGCCTATAACGACCAGAATTAGCCATCCAGCTCTGTACAGGGTCCAGTCATTGTCCCTGCTTCCACATCGGCTTACCTTGCCATCAGCCCAGTCCACCATGTCCTGGATGGGCAGATGCGCCCGGTAAATCGAAGTTGTTTTCCACCATATCGGAAATCCAAGGAAGATGATCACCGCCCAAAAGGCAGCAATGACGCGAAACCGCGTTTGGATAGCTTCTGGGGTCTCGGGGGGCGGGACGCGCTGAGTGATGGATTTGAGGTCGGCTGTCGACGTGACCGTTTGAAGAGACTCATGGTCTCCAGTTTGGCTCGTCATGGTCGGGGCATGCTTTGTGCCCTGGAGACGCACCGCCAGAGCAATGTTGACTCGAAATGCTGGCGCTTTGGCGTGCTGGAGTAGAGTCGGAAAGGCTGAAGGCGGAGAAGGGGGAACAGGTGGCACAGCCGCTTCGGGTAGGACGAGCTCTCGAAGAGGAAGTATACGACCAAGCACCTTGAAATATCGAATTGAATCAAGGTAGAACAAGAGATTTATTCGCTTTGCCAATGCTGAATAGTCTCATTAACTTTACAGCTTTGCTCCTTTCCTTTCCTTTTCCACGATCGTTTAGTGGTCGCGGAGATCATACCCGATCTACTACTTACATTGGAAGGCAATGCAAGAGCCTCAACGTGGATAAGGAAGAAAGAGAATAAATTCACGATTTTGCAAATCATCCCACTAAATCAAATAGGGTATCTATCTTGACCAATAACGCCGACCCAATGGAGTGGTCAAAGACGAAGAAGCAGCCTTTGACCCTGCCGCTCGCACCTGAAGACAACATCACCCCTAGTGTTCCTTCTCGAAGATTTTCTGAATCGGCTTGGCTGCCTGTAGTCGCAGTAATCAATTAGTAAAGGTGGATTGCAACCAAAAAAAGGCAGAAGCGCACGCACGTCAATGAATTTCTCCAGATCCTTGTCTAGGTTGGCTAGGTCATCCTTGCGCTTCTTGTTCTCTGCGATCAACGCTTGCTTGCGCTTGAGCAGCTCCTGACGTGCCTGTTCGAGTTTCTCTCGTTCCGCATGTTCGTGGTTGATGCGCGCCACCATCAGGTCGTGTTCATTAGATTCGCGATGTTCGGGAAACAATTCCAAAAATTCTTCAACCGGGATCAAAGGCAGCGAAAGGTATTTATGACTGTTCGGAAGCACAAGAGTCGAGTCAGCAGGGTTCTAGAATGTCCAGGCAGGGCGCCCCGAATAGTACTTACTCGTAGGACTCGCAGGCGGCGATTTCGCCTGTCAGGTGCTTCTGCTCGTAGTACAAGTTCTGCAATTGGAGATGCAGTCGGTCGATCTCCTGACGAGCCTCGGCGGTGGCATGTTTGGTGTCGCGCACACGAAAGATGGCGTCCCGGTTTTGGCCGCGCAGCTGAGCGAGCCGTGCGAAGAGGATCTTTTGCTGTTTAGACGCCGCCAAGGACAGCTCTTGGAGGCCGGTGGGATCAGTCGGGCTGTTCTCGGGGTTCAACAGCGCTATCAGCTGCTGGCATTGGGCCAGGGTCTCGGCGGTGGTGCCGAGCACGGGGAGCAGCGACTCGTCAGAGACGATTTCGCTGATAGCCATGACTTGAGTTTGGAGGAGGTGGCGAGGGGGGAAAGGCCCGATAAAAGTTTGGGCGACTAGACAGTGGATAGTGGACTGGCCGAAGTGGAGCAGGAAGGATCAATCAGGCGCGGCAACCGCACTCCGTCTGGACCATGTGAATGCTGGGTCGCTGGTGGTTGGGGAAGACTTTAGCCCGTTCTGCCCTCTCTCTGGCCCCTTTGCATCTCACTCTCCCCACCTTTCCCCTCGTCCGCCACCTGAGCATGCCGTGTACATAGCAGTCTGTTCCTCCTGGTTTCAACAGACTCTAAGACTCTCCTGTCGCGGTGGTTTGACTCCCTCCTGAATTCGCCGCTCGATCTATCCATTCTCAGCGCCCAACTCCCCGGACTCCCCCGGCCCCCACCGTTTCTGGATACAACGAAAATCGCGCAACCCGGGCTGCGATCGAATTGACCCGTAACGGGTAACTGCTGTTACCCAAAAATGGCCTGCTCAGCATCATCAATGACGGTGGAATCATATGCTGAGGCGGTCTCGTCCTCCACAGCAACCCCCGACGAGGACACCGCTCTCCTGCGAGACCGGCGACGCCGACACTCTTATCATGCCCCGAGGAAACTGTCCTGTGACTACCAGGATGCGGACACTGTATTTATCAGAGTGAGTCTTGAGTTCGGGAGACTTCTCGGGCATCTGACCCTCTAACATTCTCTTAGGTCGAACTCTTTCTGGCCGAACTCGAGCGCCGCATGTTATGGATCGAACAATACCGGAAATCTCACATGGGTCAGATTGACTCCAGTCTTCGACGGGGATATGCTACCCTGGAGGCTGTGAGAGACCAATGCTCGGTCGCATCCGGCGAGCTTATGGGCAGCGGCAAGAAGCGAGCCAAGATCCTGGTGGAGACCCTGGAGGACCGATACAACGAGGCCCTTGCGACCAAGGAGACTCTTGAACAGAAAGCGCAAGCTGGCGTGCGCTTGATGGAGTCGTTCTTGTCCGAATTGGAGTCTCGGGCACATGCTATCCATGACCGCGGCATCTACGGCACGATAGATGATGGATGGAAGGCCGTGGACTCCAAGCTCGTTCACGCCCGAGAAGTGGTGGACGAGGGAATGGAACGTGCCCGCCGAGCCCGCGATGCTCTCCGCGAGAACATCGACGAGGCTATTCGTCTGGCCCAGGAGAAGCGTTTGATCACCTATTCCGATCTGCCGGACCCCTGGCGGGTAAACCCTCACATTCTGAAAGGTTATCGCTTTAGCACCTCCAAGGTGGAGTGCGTGTCCTCTGTCTTCTCATTCTCGAACGAATTCGTCAACATTTGGTCCCATATCATCGGCCTCATCCTCGTTCTCTCTATCGCTTTCTACTTCTACCCGCTCCACACCAACTTCCACCTGAGCTCCAAGGCTGACATCATGATCGCTGCTGTTTTCTTTTTTGCTGCGTGCAAGTGTCTGGTCTGCAGCACCATCTGGCACACCATGAACAGCATTGCCTCCCAGTCCCTGATGGAGCGGTTTGCCTGTGTTGATTACACGGGGATTTCCTTGCTGGTCGCCGCGTCGATCGTGTCGACCGAGTACACCGCGTTCTACTGCGAGCCCACCTCGCGTTGGACTTACATACTTCTCACTATGTTCCTTGGCATTGGCGGCATCATCCTTCCTTGGCACCCGACGTTCAACCGTCACGATATGGCTTGGGCCCGTGTGGCTTTCTACGTCACCCTTGCACTTACTGGATTCGCTCCTCTTGCGCAGCTCTCCTACACCCGTGGCTTCGAATGGTGTATCTACTTCTACGCTCCTGTGGTGAAGAGCATTATGGTTTACTTCGTCGGGGCCTGCGTCTATGCCTCCAAGGTCCCCGAGCGTTGGAAGCCGGGTCTTTTTGATTACTTCGGCGGCAGCCACAACATCTGGCATCTGGCCGTATTGGGTGGCATTCTGTTCCACTACTGCGCCATGCAGGATCTCTTTGCAGATGCTTTCCAGCGTGCTCTGGGCGAATGCCCCAACCTGACGTCGTGAACTGGTGGCTCAGCACCACCGCTCGAATGGCTGTGGTTTCTTATGATAAACGAAGAGGGAATGAAATGACCGGATTGTTTCTACGTCCCGTTTGTCAGATTTGAAAAACGCTTCTGGTTTTTCATGCAGCTACATTTTCTTTTTCGACGAAATCTCATAGACACCATCCTTCACGTGCTTTAGATGCACTGAATGGCCGTTTTGCTTTTTGTGCATGGGTGGTGTTTCTTACCTTGTTGATTCGTGTTCATCAACTTTTGCCGCTCGAAGGCCTTGCCCTCGAAGCCTTATCGGTCCCACTTCCATTGAGTTGATAAAGCTCAATTGCGGTCGGATCATGCACACAGTTTCGCTCTTCCTTGTTGTACCTATTTTTTGCCGCATTTGTTGCGCTTTAGATCTCGCTTTTGGCCCTGGTTTCGTTATATTCCTGTCCTGCTAGAGCATACACCGTTGTTTTCAATCTTCCATACCTCGCATTGAAAAGTGCCATTTGCCATAAATATAGAGACTTTGCAGAGATATTGAACTTCGGACTTTGATTAGATAAGTGAAATGTGAATTGAATTGCAGCTCTGTGGAAGTATATTTGATGCAAATTTATGCAAACTTTCTTATCGTCTAACTCGTGCAGTCTGTCATGACATGATTCGTGGTCACTACCGAAGCCGTCCTGTTTCAATCCACAATGGCAACATTGAGGCAGATGCTGTGGGTATGCTGTAGCGTGCAAAAGAACTGGAGCTGGCACTAGTCCAGTAAGAAGAGTTCGTCTGCTCCTTTGCACAATGGCAATATGAAGAGGGCGCAGTTCAGCACGGCCCTTGAATTGCTAATAGAGACAAGAACCTCCTGTTCTAGGGTCGATCTTATGGAGAAGGCCAGGTGTATATTATTGCCTGTCCAGGGACTGTGGATGCCATCTTGGAGACACCCCAGACACCCAGGTGTGTGTCGAGCCAAGGCTTAGCTTCACTCGCCAGTCTGAATAGCGGGATCCGCAGTGGCAGCATCGTCACGCTTTCGGAAATTACCCTGCATCCAGCAGCGGTACATCTTCAACTTGGTCTGGCGGTTGACGATAAGTCTGCGGTCAACACCCAAGTGTTCGACCTGGAAGGGAGCGTCAGGCTCAGTAGGCCTAGACTCAGAATCGGTTTCGAGGTCAATCTGCAAGCCCTTCTCCGGACTCCAACGACTCCACATCTGCCTCAGCTCGTCCATATCGAAGAAGTACACGCGGGTACCATCGCCACGAATATAAAAGTTCTCAGCCATGTACCGGCCCTTCTTGAAGCGCACCTGCGCAAGATCTCCACGGCCATAGTCACGGAAAAGAACACAACCGCCGGGCTTCAAAACCCGCCAGATGTTGCGAAGTGCACGATCCCATTGGTTTGGGGAGAGGGCAGAGAAAATAAAAATGAGCACCACCACGTCGACAGAGCCCTCGGCAAGGCCGGGTGGCAAGGAGTCCTCGGTCTCGGTGGGCTCCGCGGCGACATCCCAAACATCGGCGACCATGTATTTGGCATTGTATTCCTCGCTCTCGCGCATCACCTGAACTGCGTACTTCGAAAAGTCGCAGGCATGCACCATCAAATGTTCATTCTCATTGTTCCTGATCAAAGGGAACGCAGTGTTACCAGCGCCTGCGCCGACCTCGAGAACGACTTTGGGGCCCGCCTCCTTCTGTGTCACATCGGCAAGGATTGGAAACTCCTGGCGCAGCCACTTGCGGTCCTTGAAGAAATTGGCAGTGTTGTTCTTGTAAAAGTTGTTCCACCACTTGGCGGGGTCGCCATTGAAGCGTTTCTGGTCGAATTCTGATACGGGCGCCGCGCGCTGCTTCTCGTACTGGGTCTCGGCAAAGGCTTTGAAGTCGTCATCCGGTTCGACATGGTCCCAAGCGTTGAACTCGAAGACATCGTCGCCCTGCTCGAGGTACCGCGAACCGAATTTAAAAGGGTCCGAACGCTTCATGTTGTTCGAGGGGTCGTGCGACCGATGAGGAGGCAGTTGTGTCGGTTGCGCATTTCGGACAGCCTCGTGGACATCTTCGTCGTAAGGCATGGTGTAAAAGCTCTGCGGCGTAAATTGTAAGGTAGAAAAAAGAAGAAGAATAGCGCGGGGGAGATTCTCGAGGCCAAAAAAACCAAAAAACTTAAAGATCGTCGGGGGTACCTGATTATGTCAGCGGTTATCGATTGGACCTGTGGCGGGGTGTCTTTATCGATAAGAAATGCGCAAGTTCCGAATCGGGAGGTGTACAGGCTCGAGTAAGCTGCTTATCGTATGATGATGCGATTAAGAACGACAATGTTCGTTAAATAGCAGATTACTCAAAGCTTCATTGTATCAACTAGACTACTTCAAGTACCAGCTTTCCTCAATCTCACCTTCCTCAAGCTTACTCAACAAGAGTGCTCAAACCCTTCATAGGTCTCTCAGGAACGACATGACAATCTCTAAACAGAAGGTATGAGTACTCACCGAATGTTACGCGACGTTATGTAAAACCTGGGTTATCAGAGCCTAGTGGCTAGGACGCATAAAAGTGGTCAGGGTACCTTCCAAAAACACATAAAGACACGATGAGAAGACCTAAATGTAGTTCATCTGCGCGAAGCCTTACCTGTTTGCACATCTTTCTATTTTCTTTCTTGTCCTCAACCACCCTTCTCACGCCTCATATACATTCATAAGCTTTGTTCGATCTGTCAATCGAGCTTATCGTCCCTCATCACTAAAAATATCACGAGAGGTGGATGTGTCTCGGTGACCATGAGTCGATCGAACGACTGCTTCAAAAGCGAGGCAATCCCGCTCATGACCGAAAAGCCCTTATCCTATGCTATCCGTCAGTATACTCTGGAGAGCCTTGATAATCTTCTGTGAAAAATTAATAAACATTATGATGCTCCTTGGGCATGGAGAAGACCCCAACCAAGATGTCGAAGGCGGAGAATGGTGCGAGGGTGAGCCTTTGAACAGCGTACCAAAGAATGCGGACTGATTAATTATACATCCATAGCCATACCAATGATCGTGGCGGCCTACAGAGCGAAGATCCCGTAATCCTTGATCTCTTAATCCAGCATTGAGGAAGAGGAATAGAACGGTCCCTCTTTTGTTCAAAATTGTATATATCTCCTCGAATTCGCAAGAAGGTATAATTTATAATGGTGTTGTCCGGGAGATCTTCACGAAGAAGATGAATGAAACCTGGAAGTTCACACACTATGATCGGCCATATACTATATCTGAATCTCATATGTAGGAAAAGCTCAGTATATGGGGCTCACCCATGGACGATACGCCTCGGTCACAGTTGTATACTGTAACGACCTGGTACAGTTTCGATGACGGTATCTGTAACCTAGGAGATTTGAAAGACCGGTAAATTAACAAAGTGTGCAGTGGCGGTGTAATCATGTTGACGAACACATACTAAGCTTATTTCATACTTTCGTGGAAAGACTGGGCCAGGTAAATAAAATTCCACACTACATGAAGTTGAACGGAAGGGTTACGAGTCTACTTGACGATTGACAAATCATTAGAGGCAGATATCATCTCGCAGAGAAGGATCCGTGGATCACCCGCGGAAGCAGGAAACGTTGCAGCATAATGTTGATGCCTCAGGCGTGAATGCTGATATCAGCGGCCAATCGCGGACCACGGGAATTTGGATGCCTGGGCCCTGCGGCAGCCTCAGCAGGCCACCCCCCATCTGATTCTCTCCCCCATCTTCTTCCCCAACATTTTCCTCTGATAGAACGCTCTTGCTCTCTGGACCTTCATTGTCCATTATCGTCGCTCCTGCCGTAAAGGCCTATTCGACGTGAGTGGGGAGCACCTGGCCTATCACTTATCGCGCTGCTCCGGTCTCGGTTGCGGCTCCAAGAACCCAGGGTTCTCTATTGCGGCGCTCGTCGGGTCCGAAATGCGATAGTTTTTCTCGGCCGGTTTTTTTCTTTGATTAGTTTCTCAGAGAAACTCACAATTCTCTCTATTACCACTTGCATCCTTTCTTTAATTTACATTCTGTGGGCCATATCCCAGAAATATTATCCCTCCCCGGGGCACTCTACACATCCACCATGTCCTTCCTCGCTGGGCTTTGCGGGTGCTTCACCCGCGACGATGTGTCCCCCAAGGCCTCATCCCAACCGGAGATGCAGACAGCTGCTTCACAAAGCCGCAACCGCATTGGCGTTCAAACAGGCCGCTTTATCCTCTCCGAAGAGGGCGACTTCATCCGCGCAGATGGTCCTTCTGGTGGGCGACCCGGGCTCGGGCCCCCACCCAATGACTCTGACCTGGGGGGCTATGCCAGCGTGGTCCCGCTTCCCCAATATACGCCGCGTCCGATGAGCATCCACGAGAAGACGCTCGAAGCTCATTTGCGTGATCCGCCCATGTCATCGGACTCCACTTTCTCCTGCCATGACGAGAAACGCCCTTACCTGTACGATGAGGAGTTAACATCTGACAGCTCGTCAGCTATCTCATATCCCAGCAGCTATGGCAACACCTCCACCGCGACGAGGGAGACTCCGCCGCCTCCGTACTCGCCTCGCCAGTCGGTGATGCTGAGCCGATCTCGCTCGATCTCTATATCCTCCGCAATGCTTGTCACTATCCAGCCCCCGCCGACAGCACGGGTGAATGGTGCCCACACGGGTCCACCTCCATCTGAGGCGGATGATCAATCAATCCGTCGTCGACGGAGAGTCTCCTGGGAGAGCCGCTGATGGAACTATACCTTGCTCACATCACCCCCGCAACCACCTATCGATATATCTTACTTACCTACCTCTGCCCTACACACCTTCCCACCAACACCGGCCGTTGGATCCACAATGATACTCGATCTGGAATCGAATATCATCGAGTTCTGCGAATTTTGTTTTATTGCATTCCATTCCATTCCTTTACCCTTTTCTTGTGTGTCACACAATGCATACGACGCGACGATGTAGTGACGCTTGTTTTGAAAGGCTTTTTTTGTCATGACTTGAAACGATGGGATATCTCAGGATACTTTATAATTGCAGCGATTGGACATATGAAAAATATTGGACATACTGATGCGGTGGAATATGTGTTACTACAGAGTACACCATAATAGAAAGTGTCCATTTTCATACCCGAACGACTGGTCTCAGCGCGCAGGTCCAATTTCTTCTAGTTTGCTGCGAATCGGGGACGGAAAAACTTGTGAAATTCTCGCATAGCATCATATAATCATGTTCAGTGATCGCCCGCGGTTCAGCAGACTAGAAGTATATCGCCCGGACGCTCGAGCGCAGTCCTTTCCTGCACATGTCGCAGAAGATATCCGCACGACTGGGCCGGAAACTCCAGCAACTTCAGCACAAGTGGATCGTCAGTATCCTCCAGCCGCATGCAAATAGCGGTGCACTCCGAGCGAGCCCGAGTCTCCATCCACCACTCATCGACATGGCAAATAAGGGCCAGCCACCACGCCAGCAAAACCAAAGCTGGGGGATTCTTCGCTAATAAGCAGTCATAATACGCGGGCTCCAACCGGCCCATCCACATATTATACTTCTGCGCGCTTTTCGGCGATATTTCAAGCACGAGCAGCCACGTAAGCATCCGCAAGGGCCATAGCAACGGATTATTATCCACGGTCGACATCTCATCTATGCCACAGAGGTCCGCAAAGTCCGGATCTAAACCCACACGCCCGGGCCGTCTGTCCTCAGAGTCGATACGCGGATCGTGTGACTCCATGAAAGTGGCCCACCACATGCTTTCAGACATCCAGGGGGCGGTGTGCTCGAGCAAATAGCGCAAGCCGGCTTGCAGACGGAGCCAGTTCAAGGAGCTGGGGTCGTTGGAGAAAACAAAGGAGGTGCGCGGGTTGAATTCCTCCAAGAGGAAGGAGTGTACTGTGAGCAGGATACATGTGGAGTAAAGCTTGTCCATGTTGTTTCCATCGACGCCTGTGGAGACTTCGCCCGAGTATTGGTGTACGGCCTGGCCCCAGTGGAATGCCTCGGCGATACGGTAATGACTATTGTCGGGAACAACATTACAGAGGTGGGTAATTGCAATGCCAATTATGGCATGCATGAGGAAAGGAGTCTAGGATAGTTAGTGGTCGTCTTGGACGGTGGCACTGTTCCTGGTCTAGAAGCCTCACCTCAAAGGCAAGCTGCGTCATCTTCATCCTCATCATATCCATGTTGGACGGATTCTTCTGGGCTGGGTAGCTGGCTACGGTGGCGAGGTTGAAGTGCCGGAGAGCCTCCAAAACACGGCCTGTTGACGGCAAACCTAGACGTGATTTGGATTTTAGACCGGAAGCAGCCGATCCAAGCTGGAGCAGCTCGTCTATTTTGTCGGCTACCAGTAGCAGAGACATGGACGAGGACAGGGACTCGCGGGACATAAATTGGGCCACGCCCTGTTGTGGGGGTTCAGAGCGCAAGGGCTGGGCGGTATAATCGCAATCGGCCCCATGCTTTTGACAGCGTAGACAGTGGGGTTTTGTTTCGTCACACTTCGGCCACTTATATTAATGGGTTGTCTTCGAGTTGATTTTACCAAGCCTTCAAGGCCGGTACCTACCTTAACTCGGCGCTGCTTGCAGTTGGCACACCCACCGCGGGACTTCCGATGAGCCCGGCGAGAATGATAGGCCCGCTCTGCCGGTTGGGCCGTAGATCCGTGCAGCAGGGCCGTCTGTGATTTGTAGTTGGGGATGCGGAATACACTCCTTTGCCCCTGCATAGGCGCAGGCGGGTCCGGGAGTTGGTGGCGGTTTTCGGACTGGCGCATAGTTTCTGGTTTTCGGGGAATATAGTACCACAACGCGATCATCCAGTACTCTGAGATGGTGAAAGATTGTTATAGAGCATGCAAAAGAGCAGATTGCACAAGATTTAACGGATATGAGGGGCCCTCGCAAGGCAGACATATGCAGCTGGTATGTGAGGTTGGAGTCACAGCCTCCGCCCGACGGCAGAGCGCTGATGATAGCGGCGGCACTCAGACCTATGAAAATTATGACCAGGGACCATGAATCTCGCCCGTGCGCTAATGTCCTTGGCTACCGAAGAGAGGAGAGAGGAGAATGGACAATGATGCAGTCAACGAGGTCGCCATCGTTTGGATCACGGGCGCGCTAATCCTAGATAGGCAATTCTCGTATTCGTCCTGGTCGGGCCACTTGGTAGGCGGTGCATGCTAGTATCTGCGTTGTCTTTAGTATATCACGAATGGCCGTAAATTCAAGGTGACTGCACCATATTTGTGAATTCAAACAAGTAGAAGAAGTTCTAGGAAGCATCGTCTATGGCCAATGTATGACTCATGTAGGGTGGCAAAATAACCAGTATGAGAATGGGGTTGTTTAGAGAGGTCATCATTCACCCAGGGTAAGCGCTAGCCCCGGATGCACATAACTCAATACTTCATACATGCAATAATTCTGTATAGGACACGAGTATAGACTGTTAGGGGCCCTACCAGCTTTAACCCATCTTCGCATTGGAGAAATCCATCTCTGTTGCACATGTTAGCCACAGGGTTCCCCAGAACAGAGAGAGCTCCAACTATCCCAGGACTTCGAATGAGAATGCGATAACGTACCAGGGTGCTGCTCCTGAAATTGCTTCAGCAAGTCCATCTTCTTCTGCTCGCCGCTGGTGGGGCCACCCATCTCCTTCTGTCGCTGATCGTACATCATTTTCTCAACCATGGCACGGGTCTCCCCATCCAGGTCACTCAAACTGGAGTTTTCTGGGGTGATCTTGGTCACATCGATCTTGGGCGCTGACGTGACCACGTGCGGCCACCATTCCACCTTGTTCACCTTATCGAGGTGAACATTGACTTCCTTACCAGGTGGCTTGGTGGTTGTCTCCAGAGTCCAGGAGGATTCATCCACGAGAATGGGGTGGGGGAAGTCGCCCTGAGCAAAAAAAAAAAAGGAAGTCAGTTAGACTGCTGCAAAGAACACCGTCGACTGTAGACCCAACAATTTGGAATAGCTCGGTGGCTGGCTCATACCTCGATAATCGGCTCCTGTCCCTTGATCGCCACGCGGATCTTGCTTTTGGTCAGGGTCACCTCCATGTCACGGCCCTTGATGTTGGCAGGAATCGGCGCCGTGACGTCCACATCCCGAATGGTCTGGGTCCAATTGTAGGGGAGCTGGGCCTGCTCCGCTGCCTCGCGGGCCTTCCGCTCCGTCTCCTCTCGTTCGCGGTCGGCCAATTCAGCGGGCGAGAGATTCTGCTCTGGATCGGCGGAGGACATGATGACGCGGGGTTGGTGGAGGGGGAGGAGGGGGGGAGTTGATGGAGTGACGGAGTTCGGCAAAGCAAGCAAACGCGGTGGGGAGGTCAGCCCACTTTCGAAGGGAGCTTGGGCCGAGCACTCTCATTGGCCCCCCGCGGACCATGAGAACTACATGGTGTACACCACCCGCAAAAGGAATTATTTGCGAAGCCTCGGAGAGCCCATCAGCCTGGAAGCCATGCTTCCAGCATGACCGCTGCATCGATATGGGACCTCACGATGATCTTGACCTCTCCATTCCCCTGGATCCACTATCTGGGACAGGTCTGGCTGGAACAAAATCCTTCTAGCCGCGCTATACGCGTCTTTTATCTCCCGCTCCTTGCATGAGCCTCGAAGCACACGTCAAAGCCTCCTCCCGGAGGCGAAACGGGATTATGACAGATCTGCAGAATGACTAGTTCGTCTCGATCGGCAGCCCGCGAGCCTAAAGGGGGCATTGGATTCCCATGGGTGCCACCCAATGCGACAACGGTACGGAATGCTGTCAAAAAATTGTCTGCAGGGAGCGGGCGTCGATCCCAACGCGACACAGAGCAGCCATGTCGATCGCGGCCTGAGCTCGCCCGAGAGAATCCGAAGCCTTGGACATACATACATAGCTAGCGACAGGCGTGCCGAGCAGCTCGCTGATGCTCGTGCAACCAGGCACTCACCGCTCAGGACATTCAATCCCAGAATTCCTCGTTGAGCCTGTGGCGAGCTGAAACGGCGTAGGCGAATAGCGCATGTCAACCGGCTACATGACCGTCCCCCGCCTGCACCGTTGACCGACTTCGCGTTCATCTGCACGCCATGACATGCGACCAGATGGGGAGGACTAAAACATCGATCTTGAGCCTTGCTCAGGCATATGCGCGTCGGATAAGGCGGCCGTTATCGGCGCGACAGGAGAAGACAGGACAGGACAGGAATGTCCAACGCTCAAAGAATGGATAACGGTCGCAATCACAATGATGAAAAATGATAGTCGTCGACTTGGCATTGGAATAGTCTCTCCAAATTCGAAACCAGGCCAGGGCGAGCGATCCGCCAGGGATGTTCCCCTCGGATATGCAAGCCTCACCAGATTCCCACTTTCTAGAAGATCGCTCATTGGTACGCGCAGGAAAAATGCAGGAAAATCATAATACCCAGGCTAAGACCTGGGTGGCGGTGCTGAAATGCCATATTGTCTCATGCCCCGTCTAAACCAACCGCAGCACAACTCCGTTTTCGAAGGCGAAAAAAAGAAAAAAAAAAGCGAGTGTCCCAGAAGCCCAACCTTTGCAAATTCAAACCGTTTCGTCCATCTCCGGCCGGTTGTGCATCGTGCTCTCCATGGACCGCTTCACCAATGCAAATATAGTCAAGAAAGGAAACCCGTCACACAAAACACGGCCAAAAAAAGAAAGCCCCCATAAACTCCGACGTAGGCAAGAAGAGCAGCCCCGGCAGCCGCAGCCGCGCAAGGGGAACTTAGTTCATCGATTCGAGGCCTGGCTCGATTTCCGGGCTTGCTCTTCATCTAAAAAAAAAAATAAACGTCAACTTTCTCGCCCTGCATCTGATCCATCACATGTCATGGGGACGTACCTCGAATTTTTTGGATCTGCTTGGCCGTGTCGTCCATGAGTTGCGCCCATCGGCGCTGGTATGCCTCGACGCTGGTCATGGGCTTGTCCTTGCCCTGCGAGACGTCCTTGGTCTTGACAGAGTCCATGGCGACACACGCTATCGTCTGTAGAGAGGCGGAGGGAGGTATATGGGTATCGATATGGAGCCGTGTAGGTTGGAGAGCAGATGTGGTCGCGTATGCACACCGAGCAAGACAACAGAATGAGGGAGTCGAGGATGAGATTGAAGGCAGCGCAAGCCGTGAGGAACTATGGTTGATGTCCAAATGCTGACTCGGCAGCTATCGCGACGCCAGGCCCCTTTATATAACATGGGCCATCCACAGTGGGTGATTACCCGATTGAGAAAAAAAGAATATGTGAAATGGAAAGTTCCACCAAAGAAAAATCCAAATCATTTAATTTTAGTGTCATTTTTCGATCCCAACAAGAAAGCAAAAGCCAATAAAAGCATTGTCGAAATGTTTGCTTGGGACAGAAACCGGTCACGAGCCACCGTCTTCCCATCCGGCGCAACTCGCCAACCACGCGAGCCAAACGGCCAGGAAATATCAACAGCCCCCTCATAATCCAATCAGATCCAAGGCCACCGCATCTGCAGCTGAAGTTCGGGTCTGCTTCACCGACTCTCTTGACCCCCCCTGGATTCACCCTACCCGAGTGAATAAGACGAGCTCCGAGCCCCGCCAGAAACGGGATGGCGGCCCGCCTAGCCCACTCAGGAAGACCCGGGTAAATCCCGGCATATGCAGGTTTTGGCACCTGTAGCTTATTCGATTGGTCTAGGGGGGAAGAAGGGAAGATAGACGATATTCGTCCGCGGGGAGTCATAGCTGGATCTGGGAGTTGGCAGCCTTCTCCACCTGCATCGCGCCTCCCCCCCTCGCACCCCACCCCTGGGCCACAACCCAGAAAAAGCAAAACCCAAAATCAAAGAAAAACAGGGCCGTGATGTCAAACCACGGCAAACTAGTGACGCCGTCACAGATCGCGCTACCACCGGCCCCCAGTCCGAGTCCCTTAGATGCCCTCCGCCCCTCTCGGAGCCCCTCGCTAGCTAATGGGATGCCTTCCAGGGTGACCCCCCTGAAGACGCCCCGTACCAATCGGGGGGCTTTGTGGCTACATCCGCGCCAGCCGATCTGATATCGAGGGTCGAACCCCCTTTCAGTTGCCGCCTAACGAGGGTGGGGGCCAGGAAAGGGACGGGGACGAGACATGTACCCGTCTGCCTGGTACACTGGTCAGCTCCGATAGGGTACAGGGACAGGTACATGTACCCCGTCCACCATCACCAGGGCGCCCGGGGGAGCCGAGTTGGGCTGATCTTAGGGATCGGCACCCGAACCGCGCGATCTCTGCGTTGACAGAAAAGCACCGGAGGGGGAGAGCGTCCGGTTTCTGCACTGCACAGGACTGCCTCAGACAGCGTCCTATTGGTCCCAACCGCTGGGTTCACCGCCGATGAGACGTTCAGGTGCAAGGCCATTGCGGGACGTTGCATCTTCCAAATCCACGTGGTCTTCGGTCGCATGATGGCCGTTGCCCGGCTGTCTTGTTGTCCTTGACCGCATCGTCGCGGTCCAAGTACATGAAGACACGTACGCGACCGACTTGGTGTCCCACGATTACAAGGATGCCCCCCGTGGTCATCAGATGACCGACGCCCAGCCGAGGCGCTGCTGATGCTGATGCTGATGTGATGCTGGTACTGGTGCTGGTGCTGATGCTGGTGTTTTGCTTGGACAGCGGACGCTGACGGCCAGAGAGGAATATGACGATGTCGGCACTTAGCGCATATTGCATCGGCGCAGTGAATGATCACTGGCCCACGGCGCTACACTTGCGTCGGACCTTCAGCGCGACATTCGGAGGAATTAGCCTTTTGCCAGGATGACGGCATCACCAGTCCCATTCTACGTTTCTTGTTTCTGTCACTACGTCCTTGACGAATTTGTCAAGAGCCGGGCAGGGTCAGTGCTAGGGTCAGTGCCGAGCCTACACGGTGTATGCTGCATGCAGTACCACCACAGGTGACGGCGAGGACTGCCCGTGACCTCATATTTCATTTCGTACCTGAGTCATATTTAAGGGGGGAGCTGAACATCTGTACTCTGTAAACGACGGAAGAAGGCGAGCAAGGAATTTTCCTTCCGGGAGCCCACAGTCGTGTCCACCGTAGTAGTGCTAGGGATCCTGTGAGACACAAGATGGAATACATCGCCTATAACTAAGCTCTGGGCCGATCGTCAGCCAAGCCCCAAGGTCCTTACATGTCTTCTCCACGTCTTCACCCGACAGAATGGAGTCATCCGACGACCCATCCTTCCCATACTGCTGGGAACGCTACCACCCAGCCGACGGCCCATCTCCGGCCGATTAGCGATCGTATTTCGTACTTTTGCGCCGGATCACCTCGCTTCGAAGAAGCGAGGCGGGGAACCAGTTAGCGCAAACGTACCGAAGGGACAAAGATACCTAGCTAGACCAGGTTAGCGGGGTACTTTGGGCAGCTATGGATCGCCCCATCCGTGGAACTGGCATCTACATCCACATCCACTGGAGTGGGAAGGGTCCGGTTCGATCGCTATACCCGATTCGGGCGTTGTCCCCACGAAACGGCGAGTTAGCACTCGCGGCTTTCAGGACGTGCTTCCGAAGGAACGAGTTCAGGTTTGATTGACGCGGGTGTTGACGGTATGCAAGAGTCGCAGCTGCCACGTCAGTCCGAAACAGGCCATTAACATCCGTGATGATCATAGTATCACAAGACGTGGATCAGAATTGCGAGGTCCTGCGAGGCGGATATTACCCGAACTACAGTAGTTGCGGGTGGTTGACCTATTTGTCAGGCGCTGGACCAATAAGATATACCGTGAAAGATATTTGATATTGTGATTTGATACACCACGTCACCACCCATTGGTCTTTGATATTGATTAGCCTCAAACAGGATGATATAACTCTAAGAGAGAGAATATGGACGGAGCAGGTCAGGCAGCAGTAGATATGCACCTAGATTTCTACCAATCGGACCAAAGCGTGTGAAGATGGGTCCTTATGCTTCTCCTCACAAGCCGGGGTTCCACGGACACTAAGCGGATAGGTACTTGCTTCCCAAAACCGAGAGAGTACGAGGAAGAGACAGGCCGGATCTCGTGGATAGGTAGCAAATCGCTAGAAGGGGCGAGGTTGATGGCTAGCAGTAAATAATGATATATGGAAAAGTGAAGGATGGTGCACAGCCAGCTTGATCATAAGAAAATAAACCAGGTCACTTTGCCATGCCACGCCATCCTCCCTCTAGTAACGCGCTGGGTCAACCAGTCTAGCATCGAGGGAGAGAAAAAAGATAAAGGAGCATGAATCGTAAGTGCTGGCTCGGTGCCTGCATCCATTGGCCAGCCATAATGGTCAGACCGGGTTGTGTTCCTGCAAAGCCCGTCGCCGACGAAGCAAGATGGGGCACAGCGCCCCGTTCGCCGTCTGCAGCCTTAGTCTGATTTGAAAGGAGGAAATTGAACAAAGAATAGGAAGAATGAAGGAACCAAGGAGTGCCGTGTATGCCGTTAGTGTGTGCCCTATGTTGCAAACGCCCGCCTGAAGTGCCATGTATTCCACGCGCCCCCTCCCTTTCCCCATGCATAGTTCGCTTCGGAAAATAGATTCCGTGCAGAAAGATTTCAGTGTGATGTGATGTGATGTGGTAAAATTTCAGGAATTGAGTAAGTAGCCTCCCGCTGGCGCCGTGGTATGAAAATATCGCTAAAGAAGACCGAAAAGAAAGAGAGAAATCGCCAGAAGTCGGCGTAGATGATGGAGTAGATCCGGTGAATAAAGGGGCCTCTGTACTTGGAAGACGCTTATTCCGACTCGTAAAGCAGGCCAGCATGGGTGGCCCCTAGGAACATACTCGACCCGATACTCACGGTCAAGTCCGAGGGCAGGGTATGGGAGTTCGCAGGTAGGGGTAACCCAGACTCGGTCTCGTCGACAAGACGGCTAGGAGAAATTGTGTTTTCAGAGTCGAGGTCAACCAGGTCGAAGAATTGACCGGCGAACTCAGCAACTTCATTAGCCACTTTGAGCTCCAAGATGCCCTCGAGCACCTGCATGTCCTTTTTCCACTTCCGCTCCCTCCGCGCCTTCTCCTCCTCGCGGCGGCGGCATGTCCCTTCACGGGCACGGACTTTCATGCAGTTGGGGCATAGATAGTTTTCCTCGCAGTAGGAGCACTTGCAAGGTGGATTAGCGTGCACACAGTCCTGACAGACATAGACGGCACAGGCCTTGCATTCTCGGAGGTGGCTTGGGCAGCGTTGTCGTTGGTCTCCGACGGCGCGATACTGGGGGCAAAAAAAGGATTGGCATCCTTGCCAACGTGGGGGTTCAAAGGGGGACTCGGACGATACGGACGTTGGCGAAGATGATCCGGAGTGGTTAGACGGTGGGGCGGAGAATGAGCGAGTAGCATTGCGAGAGAGAAGAGGATGGGTTAATCGGTCACCGTTTGGTGTGTCGAGGTCATGGTCATCTGCAACGCCGTCGCCCTGTGGGTCGTCAATGAAGCTGCTGTTGGTGGAGTCGATGATCCGATGCGTTCGGAATGGGAGGTCGTAGCCGTGGAGTTGTTGGCTGAAGGTTGCATCAGGTGACGATGACGATGTATGGATCGCAGATCGGGTTTGGATAGTCATTTTCTCGAATGCAAGGTCTCTGTAGCCACAGATGCGCAGGCGAAGCCCGCGGAGGTCGTGTTCGATGCAGAGTGGCTTCGAGCAGCTTTTGCAGTGGACTTTCCACTGGGGCGAGTCGTAGCACTCCTGGCATAGATTGCGCGGACATGGTGATACCTGCCGGTTGGGCGGCCCAAGCAACCATTTCATCATGGCGAGGTGCCCTGTTTCCAACGAGTAGTCGGGTTTGCTGGGATCGCCATAAGCGTACTTGGGGAATGTCTTGCTCCATTCGCTGACGGTATACTCGAGGTCTTCCCAGCCATGGCCTCGAGGTAGAGGAACAGCACGCACTTGGTCGACATCTCGACTAGGAGTACCGATGCTGATACCCCCGCCTCCGGAGAAGATGGGCTCTGTGCAGCACCAGTGGAACTTGAGAGCAGGGTGGGACGTTGGCGCGCCCCCGTGGAATGCTGTGTTGTCGATGGGGTTTGAGACGGGGTCTTGCATTGAGCTCGGCGAGAGGGTCGCCCCAGGTGCCCACCACAGGGAAACTGAAGTGTTTGAGCCATTGTTGGCGTTGTTTCCGGAGCTGGTAGCTGAGGATTCTCGATGAAGGTATGGCCGCTCATAAGCACAGCTTGCACACAAGGTTCTTCGACATCCCACACAATGCATCAGTATGCTGCATTGCTCGCACCGTTCTGAGATATCCTCAAAACAGTTGTCGCATTTCACGTTCTCCACGAACCGGGTGTGGCTCTGCCGTAAATGCGCCGGCTTCATCTTGCCTTCGCCAACATCTGGGCCCTCCCCAGTACCTAGAGCTTCACCAAAGCATCCCGTCTCGCAATTCTCCCACAGCTTCCCATCACGCACACGCGGCCGCTCTGTTTTGTAGCCAACAGGGCCAATCCAGTTCTTGCATCGCCAGAGTCGATCGAATACCACCCAGACCTCTGGGGAGCCTTGTGGAACCCGCATCGAGACATACCCGCGCCTGCGGAAACATCTCCCAGCAGGAGTCGTGCACCAGGCAGTGTCCGTCCAGATCCCCAGTTTGTGGCAGAGATTAACTAGTTCGTGAGTCGGTTCTGAATCGGAGTCCTTGCGCAGTAGTGAAGCCGAGAGGTATGGCCGACGACGGTGGTGACGGCACCGGTACGCGTAGAGACTCTTGAGAGCAAGCCGCTGTGTTGCTGGAGAACTACCAATATTCTTCTCCATATCCACATCGTACTGCAGCCCAAACATGGTCAGGTACGGGATAATGTGGTACTTGAGAGATACATTCTTGCAACCCCGAACCGACAGGTGCTCCAATGTCTCCCGGCGCGCATGCAACACAGTTGAGATCAGAATCTGCCCGGAGACGGCCGTGTTATCCAGTTCCAGGCTCTTGAGGCACCCACTGAAAGGAATCACCACGGTCATCAGGAGCTGATCCAAGGCATATGGTCGCGACTGGCGTTGGGTTTCTGGGTCCGACATGCCCGGGATGATAATCCGGGTTGACGGGAGGGTGCCCGACGGGAAGAGAAGTCGAAACGAGAGCGATTTCCATGCGGTCGGATATGATCGGAGGAACGTGCGAAGGTAGTGGGAGGAGTGGTAGAGCGCGAGGATCGTATCGGTCGGGATCTGGAGTAGAAGCGACTCGAGGATGGGTGCATTGGTGGTGATCACCCGTTCGAAGAGGGAAAGCAGCCGCTCCGGGGGAACAACGCTATTTTGCAGGGCATTCTCAACCAGCTGCTGCGGTGCCTGCTCCGAGCTCGTGAGTGTCTCCCCCATGATGGCCGTGTTGCGGTGGTCCTGACACCGGGCCCGCGCGAGTAGATACCGATCTCGCTCAGCTCAGATTAGGTTGATAGATGGGACGACGCGGAATCGCCAACTTGTGTAAAAACGCAGCTCATGATAAGGTGGGCTGAGGTTGGGGGATGGGCAATCACATCTCCAGACAAGCCACCATGCAAGGCCGTCAAGACTGAGCCGTTCGGTGATCGATAAGACGTGGATCGCAAGGGCTGGGCGGATCGGGTATCCAAAGGGGGAGCGAGGGAGGAGAGGGGGGGGTTGCAAAGAGAGGGGAAACGAAATCTCGCCAAAAACAGGAGAAGGGAATTGAGAGGTCTCACGGGTTTATGCGCCAGAAAAAAAAAAAAAAAAAAGGAAGATCGAAAGAGACTCTCAGTCGCGCCGGATGCGCCCGTATGAAAGAGCGTCATGTGATACTACACTGCGTAGCCTCCATTCAGGCTGATTGTTGCCAAGTGCAGATGGGGCACAATCCCAATAAATAGATCCAACCTTTCCCCGTTGCAGCCGAGTAGATCGACGAAATTAATTGCATTCTATCGCTTCTCATGTACAAATAGGCTGTGCTGGTCTCCAGGTGGTGCATGTCTTCTATAGGGCGCTCGGCCGCCGCCTCTAAGGCCCAATGCGGCGCTAATGCTTCTCGGTCGATTCGCCCACAGTGTACCCCCTCGCGATGCCCTTGCGCCCTTCCTTCACAAGAGTGCTGTCGGCTGGGTCCTCCTCTTCATCGTATCGGATATCGAAGTCACTCCCCAACCCCTTCCATGTCCGTTGGGACCGGAGGAACTCGGCCCCTGGTGATACAGCGCCGCCGATCATCGCTAAGTCACCCTTAGCTCGCCGGGCCAGGGCCCTAGCAGCGGATGGCCCGGCCGCGGTCGATCCATCGATCTGGTCAGAAGCGCGGGGTGCGGGATCCCGCATGGGACGGGAATGCGAGACGTACCGTCCTGTCCGCAAATCGAACTCGGGCGGTGCACTCTCGGGTTCCGACATATCCTCCTCCTCGTCAATGGTTGTATCGTTTGATATCGTCTGCTCATCTTCGTTCAACTCCTCCTCGGCCGGCTTGTCGAGAATGGCCTGGAAGTCACTCTGCCACAAACCGGTCCACACCCGCTCAGCGTCGCTCTTCAGCGCTAGTTCCAATTCAAATGGAGTAATGACGGGCTTCCAGAAATCCCTGCTATCTACCAGCGAGCTCTCCCAGCAGCCAATGACCACCCAGCCACCAATCTCACTAAAGTTAGCGACCTTGGCAGCATTGAGCTTGCCCACGACAAACATGTAGCTCTTCTTGCCGGCGGCGGCAATTTGCTCCTTCACATGTTCCACAATATGCAGATAGTTCTTGACACTGAGGGTGTTGATCAAGATGCCCCAGATAGGGACCGTGTTCAAGGAAGTGAGGATGGCATAGCGGCGGCGTACTGCGGCTGAAGTGGAGGCTGGAAGCGGCTTAACGTCGTTGTTGCTTGGGTTATTCGTGGGATAAATATGAATGGCGGCAACACGAGACGCAAGGGTCAAGAGAAGGGCCGTTGGTGGGTCGGAAATGTGGAACAGCTGCCAGTCTGCCAGTGTCTCTGGAGCCTCTCGGACAGTCTCAGGCACAGTACGATTGGGAATAGCTGAAGATGGCTCGTGGACCACTCCAGTAGCAAACACATTGCTGTATCCATCCTGCACCAGGCGAGCATGGAGTTCAGGGACATGGCCAGAGAAGGTCACGTCTGCCGCAATGATAACCTTGGTTGTCGGGTCCGGGTAGGTTGTCTTGAACGCCTGCACGGCAGGCTCTAGAGGCAAGGCCTTGTGCGTAAAGACATAGATCACGGGCAGTCTGGCCGTGGGCGACAAACACGATCGCCCGTAGTGCACCACGACGTCTGCGTCCACATGCTCCGCGGCCACCTCATCTACACAGCAGGTGCCGTACGAGGTGTCGGCCAGAATGTATAACCGGGGAGACCACTTCTCTGCCCCATCAGCCACAGATAGCTGGGATACGGACTGAGTGATGCCTTCTTCTGCATCCGCAGCGCCACCACCTGTCTGGCTGGTCGCGTGTGCCCCATTCACACTGACAACTTCCTCGGAGTTGAGACCGCGGCTGAGTAATTGGAAGACCCGCGGGGCATCTGGGAGCATATCATCGGGGAACTGGAGGGCGATGCGCTTATACCGCGCCTGGCGGATTTCTTTCAGCGTGCGCTCGATGTCATAGGTGATGGAGAGTTCGTTGTCAGAGAGTGGCTTCTTCGCATCGTGGGAGACGACAGGCTCGGTCGCCTCGAGGATTCGATCGTCGGGAGTCGACAGCACCGGGGCGGCCTCCATTTCGGATCCCATTTGGGGGGTTGTCGCACGGGGATTGATGTTGGAGGGGCAAGTGGGCGAAATGGTGGGAGTGCCCAAGAAGTTTTGGAGAAAAAAATGATTCCCCCACTTCCCCCGCCGCCGATAACAAAAATTACGGATCAGCCCGTTGGCTGATACCCAACCCTAACAGCATCGCCTGGAAACACATACTTCACAAAGACATGATTATGAATAGCGGTGTTCAGTCAGATTAGTGTTTTTGTGTCATAACTCTAAGTACAATTCATCAAGTTGAGTATCTAGCGCGATAATATATTTACAAGTTGGCCTGCGCCGGCTCTCCCGCCCACACTCGGCGGATCAACTCGCGGATGGGAGTCCGCTCGACCGCGCGAGGATTCCAGTAAGGGTTGGAAACAGCAATATCAGCGGCCTTGTCAATGTCTTCTTCCTTCATCCCAAAGTCCCTCAAGCCGCGCTTGACCTTCAGTTTCTCCAGGAGGACATTCAGACCATGGATCGCATCGCCATTGCTGTCTGGCAGAGCCTCCGCTAAGTGCTTCATAGCTTCTGGAATGTTAGGAGCATTGTAAGAGAGAGCGTGCGGTAAGACCGTAGTGTGAGTCTCCGCGTGGGGGAGATTGAAGCTGCCACCCAGTGTGTGGCACAGCTTATGGTGAATGGACATGCCGACGCTACCCAAGCAGACGCCGCAGAGCCAGGCGCCGTACAGGGCTTTGGAGCGGGCTGATTGAGAAGATGGGTTCTCGACAATCTCGGGGAGGGCGGAGGCGAGGGCCCGAGTGCCTTCAATGGCCATCATATTGATAATTGGGTTGGTGTTGCGGGCGTAGAGAGCCTCGACTGGTGATCGTGGGATTAGCTCATCGGAACGTGATGACTCGACGTATATCTTAGGGTCCCTTACCTGCGTGAGCAATGGCATTGACACCGCTCGTGGCACTCATGGCAGCCGGCAGGGTCATCGTTAAGTCCACATCGTATATCACCGTGCCGGGCAAGATCTTAGGATCGGATCGAGTCTTCTTCAACCCATCGGCCGTCTCGCCCAGGATGGGAGTCATCTCACTGCCCGCATAAGTCGTCGGAATGCAAATATGCGGCAGCCCGGTGCGGATGCTGATGGCCTTGCCGAGGCCAATTGTACTTCCACCACCAATCGAAATGATCGAGTCGGCGGCCTGCGCTGTTGCATACTCCAGCGCTTTGTCGGTGATATGAGTTGGGGTGTGCATGGTCGCCTCGCTGAAGATGCCAGCTACCTGGCCTCTTAGCACGCCCTTGACACTGTCGGCCTGGCTGACCTGCTGCGGCGTCGAGAGCACCAGCGGGGCTTTGACCTGCAGCCGGGTAATTTCATCGGGAAGCTTCTGTAGGGTGCCGCTGCCGAAGACGACGCGGCCGGGGTTGGGGTTATACTCGAAGGCATCCATGGCGTGTCCGTCCGTTATAGTTTCTCCATTCGCCGATTGATTGGGAGCGGGCCAATGCAGTCTTATAATGGAGCTTCCCCCCACCCCACCATCCTCCGATGAACGTCATGGGCTACCGTGGGGCCTGTGGGGTCTGCCGTCGGCAGTTCGACTGAGCTTGGTTCCGATATGCAGTGTGCAACTTCTCACAACCAGTCTATGGTCCGAGTATGGATAGAAATTCCATCGCAGGTCCATTGGTTCTTATACTCTCGTGAATGGCCCGTTTCTTTGCTAGAAATGACTCAATGATTCGCTGATGTCTTCCTACCATCACAATGCGACTGAAGTATTGCGGAACATTCCACGGGCTTAGTTCAGCATGAATAAGCACCCCGTGGCTGCAGGGTATTTCCGTATCGGATATAACTTTGCCTGTCGAATTCCGCACCCCCCTTCTCCCTCCCTGGATGTGACTTCAACCGTGGGATTGGCGGAGAGAGTCCGAACTACGCATGCCCTAATTGTTTGAAAACCCTCGCCCATCCCAAACACCGACGCCATGCATCGAAATTTTTACTTGGTTCTTCTTTGATTTATTGAACAGGTATGGGTATCAGATAAAGGCCACGAAGCATCCCTTTTTTAGTCCATGTCAAAAGCCAAGACGTCCGGTCCAGTGCCACGGCCCGACTTGCCCTTCTTGCGCTTCTTGCGATCGTTCGCATCCGCATTCGCATTCGGTCGCTCTTCAGCATCGCTGTCATCAGAATCATCGTCGCTGTCGTCGCTGTCACCGAGCATGTGCTTTTCACCCGCCAAGCCGTCTCTGCCCCCACTGCCGGCCTCGTGCCAGACTTTGACAATTTGACCACCACCGGTGACCATGCGGCCTTCCACGTCAAAGCCTAAACCGACCACGCCCTCGGTCTCGTCGTGGACAACCTCCGAAGAGACCTTGTTAGGACCGATGCGGATGAATTTCACGAGTCCATTGCCTAGGCCGGCGGCCAACATCTTGCCCTTGCCTAGCTCATCCGGCACCGCTATCAGGGTCTCGATGGACTCGGCGCCACCTGCATCGGGCTGGACGTAGATTCGCTCGTCCTGGTCGTCCCAGGCGCCCTTCTCCCAGAGCGTAAGGATGCCATTCGACCCACCTACTGCCACTTTCTCGCCGCGGCTGGTACCGCTGCTGGCCAGGCCGCCAATGTATGCGGAGCTAATCAATTCCTCCTCCTGATCTTCACTGCGTACCAGGACGCCCCGGCGCAGATCAGTCACCGCCAACGTTGTGCCGCCAGTTGTCACCCACTGTTTGCTGAAGCCGGAGGTGCTGGTGTCAGAGGCAGGAAGAGGGGTCAGAGAGGAGATGTAGTCATCGTGGGGGTGATGCGACTGCTCGGGACGCGCAGACACCTTGGAGTAAGGAATGCGGAGGTCGTAGAGGTGCAATGCGCTCGAGTCGGTAGCAAGCAGAAGAGTTTGAGGAGAGAGAGCATGGATCACGGTTGGCGCATCGACAGATCTGCATAGCAGAGAAAGAAATTGTTAGCGAGGGCGATTCAAGCTGAAACTTGAAGGCGATAGAAACCCGCATACCCAGTCTTCTCCAGAGGAATTGCGATTTTGTTCACCACCTGCCCACTCTCTGATTTGGCGATCTTCACCAGGCCGTCCGTGCCAGCAGAGTACAGCATCTCGCCGTCAATGCTGAAACCCAAGCACCGGCAGCTGCCCTTATGCCGCCTTGTCTTCCACATAGTATCGATGTGGCCCTTTCCATTGCGTGAGGACGCAGTCGATGCGCCATCATCGTCGATATCAGTCTCTTCCGCCGGCAACCGGAATGTTTGAACATGCCCCGCAGCCAGACCGACCGACACGACGGGCTCGTTAGGGTGAATAGCCTGCGTGAACAAGTCTGAGGAGAGCGGCAGCGTGCAGACCGTGTCGAACATGGTGACACAAAGAGGCCAAGCTGGCAGGTTTCCACTCCAGCGAGGCAGAGACACAATTCGGTTCGATTTTGCTTTTTTGGTCCTCTTAAGTAGTCGCGACTAGACGGAGAGCTAAGTCGGCGAACCTTCGGAGCTGGCCTCTTTTTTTCGCGGGCCGAGAATCTTCCGCCTCCGTTAGTGCCGGTGGGTCCGCCCAATTGGCAAATGACATTGATCAATAATCGACTATCATAGTTTGAATTCAATAATAGATTGCACAAAATAACAGTCGCAAATGAAAATGAGAGGGGATCTCCCTATAAAGAAGTGAATGAAAATAGATACAAAAACAGGTACTGTTCAACAGCTCTCATCGTCACCCCTTTCCAACCCTGCACCTTCCATTTTCCTGGCTGGATATATTGGCTACTGCATGGCACCAGTCCCCTACCCAGAGGCAAGACACTTAGCCGAAGGCAAGACAGACAAAGTCAGCCACGCGCAACGTCTAGGAAGAGTAAGTAGACCCAATCGGGCCAACCTTGATGTTGGAGAATATAACGTTGGCAGAGGCAGACTCAGACTCGATGGTGGCGGGCTTGCCAGAGTCAGTGCTGCAGGTACCACGGGCAACACCAGGGTCGGTGGCACTGGCGTTGGTGGGGTAGTTGCTGTCAAGCCAGAGCATGTCGGCGTAGTGGTCATCCCACAAACTCATAACCAGAACCATGCCCTGGGACAGAGCATCGCCCATGCCGGACAGACCGCCGTGCTGCGAGAAGATGTCCTCGTCGCCGAAAGCAGTTTTCTGGGCAGTGCAGAAGTCCGACGTGATCGAGTTACCTGAGACACCGCTCACGTCCGAGGCTGAGTTGGCAATCACCTTGCCATTTTGCACGTAGATACGCTTAATCTCCGAGAGGGTTCCTGAGTCAGTACCGTCGCTGGTGACGAACTGGGTGACAACTGTCATCTTGGAGTTGGTGTCGACGGTCTTGCCGGGGCCGAAGAAGCTCTCATTGCCCATGCGGTAGGGGTTGAAGTCGCAGCCATCGGGGTCGCAGGTGCCGGCGTAGCGACTAGAGGAATAAGTGCCACCGCACGCGTCAGCCTCACACATAGTCTGGCCGGCGGTGTCGCAGGGGTGGGGGGTCACAGCAGTAGAGATGCTGTTCGCCTCCCAGATATCCATCTCGGCACAGCAAGCGCCGTGGTTGCCAACACCGGCGTTCTGGTCGTTCTCGGAGGGAACCCAGCCGTCAACATTGCCCTATACACAATATAAATTAGGTCTTGAAACTCATGCTTTTGTATGGTACCAGTACGAAGCTACTTACCTGGCCGTTGATGAACTTCAGGTCACGAGGGCACTGCGAGTCACAATATCCAGTGCCGTACTTGGCGCCGGCCTTGTTGTTCTCGTATTTGGACAAACCGCCGTCAGAATCCATGGCGACAAAGTACAGAGCACCGTTCAGGCCACAGGGCAGGTTGGACACATCCACATCGAAGGTGAACTCCTGGTTGAGCAGCTTGAACATCTGATACGTGTTCTCGTCCTCCATGAGATACAGACGAGATCCGATGTTGGAGCCAGTGACGAAGTCCAGCGACAAGGAACTACCGCTAGCAGTAACACCGTAGGTGCCGGAGTAGTCCGCTCCATCCACGGCGCAGTTGGTAGCGCAGGAGGCATCGTCGGGGCAAAGAGTGGCATCCCACTGTTATTGGAAATTTCAATTGTCAGCGACAGTCACAACCTTGAGTGGATTGAACGTCAAGCATACCGTGTTGCCAGTGTAGCAGTTAGTGGTGCCGTTAACCGAGTGGACCCAGCGCCAGTTGGCGTCCACGACCACAGAGCCAGACTGATCCGTGCAGCCGGAGGAGGTGCATGTCTGCCAGGTAAGAGAGGGGTGGGTCTCGGTTTTCTGCGTGCCAACCTGCTGAGCACTAGCAGCTGCCGCCATGGCAGAGAAAAGGAGTGTGCGTTGATACATTTTGAGAGAATCGAAGGAACGAATAGTTTGTTGGTTGATCCTTTTGCTATTGATTTCCACACTGGCCTGCAGTGACTGAACAAAAGCAAGATCCGAGACGCGCCGATAGTCTCTTTATATATCTTTTCTTGTATCGGGTAGGGCATCTACTTGTCGTGCCATGCAAGGCTCAAACAAGTTCCGTCCCTGCATCATACTCGGTGTCGCGGACCTTTACGCCGTCACCAAACTGGTATAGACAATGAGGCAAAGAGTAAAAAGGTCCCTTCACATACTAACGGGGACTGCCAGATTGGGTGGTGGCCGGTGTCATGCTTTGATTTCGGAGTGGACCCAACCCCACGATTAACATGGGAAGGATCGTCGTTAGACTTAGCTAAGTGTGTCTCGACAGGGTCCTAGACTGGAATCTTGAGCGGCTAAGGAGCGTCTAGCGGTTTCAATATTCACGGGTACGGAGAGTGCTCCGTCTGATTTTGTCGATGGCAGCCTGCATTTATGCATTTTCGAGGGTTGATCGAGAAGCCAATATCAATGTGCTTGGCATTAGTTTGTCCGTCAATCGTAAATCGTCAATTGAAAGCCCGGGCTTTTGCTGCTCTGTTTCGATGGATCCTATGCGCAAACAGTCCTGTATATCCTTCTCCATTGAGACACTGTGGAGGGGGCTGAATCTGCCAAGATTGCCACCAAAGCCGATGGCCGCTATGTGGCGTGAATAGTGGACATATCGCTGCGAACATAGTGATGTTTTGGTCGGAACAGGTTCTTGGGGCACGCTAGAAATCCTGACGAGCGTTCTGCACACCCATTTTTGGTATGGGGTGTTTCAGATCAGTAGCGAGACCCCTCCCGGGTAATATTATCCGGGGACAACGGACAGAACGAGCAGAATATCCTTCAATGAGAACACGGCTGTCTCGGCCCTGTGCCCATCTTGAGATATCATACCTGGCTATTCGTCAAATCGAAACAGAAAGGTCAGCTTGGCTGGCATTCGCAACACTGATAGACTCAGCATGATTGGGGTCCTGGTATGTGCATCCTCTAACTTACATCACAATCAAGCGCTTCGTAATGATGCATTCCAGCATATGTAAGCATTTCGTACACTGTAAATTAGGATTGCAATGAAGAATGCGACCGATATTCCAGCTCGCACTCATAGTACTCCTGGAGACAAAACGAAAATTCCATTTGACCAACTCAAGGGTCACTAGGGTTCACAATTCGAGACATGGATGCCCCTTGCCGCTTTTTGAGTCGGTGAGTGATTCAATCTGAAGCGTCGAAAGATTGAACAGGGTATGAAGGACGACTACGCGGTCTTGGCTGGTCGTGTCGATCGCATGCGGGGTTAACAGCCACTAGTAACGAAGCCGCTCATATGCTCCATGCCCTAATAGGATGAACTAGGCTCTTTCCTATTGCAATTCAAGCAGTTAGAATGTCAGGCCCGTTTGCTCCATGGGCAATTTTGGAAGTGATCTACCTAATGGTTTTACAGACAGGGGCGCTGGGAGAAACCGGAAAATTCTTGTGGCGCTTGGAAGGGCGTAATAAACTTATTTGGACTGGGGATCAATGGCATATTCTGGCAGGGGTTTCCCACAGTTTCAAGGATTCTGCAAGCCTTGCACCGAACACACTTCGAGTTGCGGCTGAGGCTCTCGCTCTGCCACTGGTTCGCCGGCGCTCATTGCTTAAGTTCCTAAATCCCACCAAAGATACCTAATAGCAAATGGACTTGCAATCTGCAAACTATTCCATAAGTTCAGAACAACAACAACAACAAAGGCATTTCCAAATGTGACATGGCTGTGTTCTTGCATTAGTCGACGTCTAAATCAAAGGTAGCATTGCAGAGGCTTTGAGCCTTAGAGATCTATATCTTCATAGGTATGACGATAGCCGCTGGATGGAACATAAAACCCCATCTTTGCGAAGGGCCGTTGATACACTTCTTTCTTGACTGGATATGAACCATAACAACATGCCAGAAATCTTCATAGCAAGGTGGGTGGGTCTTCGTGGCCCTCGCGAGGCCGTCTCTAAATTTCACGTCGATCCTTGCCTCATGTGACGGGTTAAGCCAAGCTGTAATTGACTAGGCTCATCAGACCGACTTGATTGGGCTTAATTCCATCGTCAGGTGTTGTGGTGCGGAGCAAACTCCGTCTGGCCGATTATAGATTGGGCAGCAGTATCGGGCTATCAGCAGTCTTCTCGGGGGAAAGGAAAGGAAACTTCAAACGCGACTGTCTTTCGTGAGTATCAGTCTCACAAAGACGAGCAGAAACATGAGTCTAGGAATCATCCCTTAACGCCCACGGTTCTCTGCCGATGGCTTGTCGCGACTTGTCAAGTGGGCAGTTCCCAATCGCGTGAATCGACCCGATGACGTCCCCCTTATCGGGCTTATCGGCCACATGGAGCCGCGGTCCTATCTTGCCGGAGGCACCCAACGACTCCGCCTTCTGCCCTCTCCCAACCCACTCGTTCGCGCCTTCCGTCGTATTCTCGTATCTCAGACGCTCATTCACTTGCTGTACCCTTTGTTACTGCTAGATAACTTCGTTCCAGGGACAGCTGGGAGTAACCATGGCGCTGTTCCACCAAACCGTGGATTTCCTCTCCGACTCCTGGGCCAACCAGCGAACACAGCTTCCCCTGTTGGCGATAACGGGCGCGTCGTTCACACTCGGCATCCTGCTTCAATCGCTTTTCGGTGGAGACAGACACAAAGAGACGGTTCTTGTCTCGCCTCGCTCAACGGTCTTGCCTGGTCTGTCGGAGGCAGAGAACCGCAAACTACCACTCCCGAATGACGTGCTCCCCGGCGCCCGGGATGTCGCAACTCCGTACGGTTCGATTCGAGTATATGAATGGGGTCCTGAGGATGGCCCGAAGGTTTTGCTCGTGCATGGCATCACTACGCCGTGTATCGCGCTCGGTGGGGTAGCCCATGCGCTCGTTGATCGGGGTTGCCGTGTGATGCTGTTTGACTTGTGGGTTCTGCCACGCACATGCAATTTTGTGAGGAATACTGACTGAACATTGGAAATATTAGATTTGGGAGAGGGTATTCCGACTGTCCTTCGGATCTCCCTCAGGATGATCGACTTTTCGCGACGCAGATTATGCTCGTCCTGGCCTCATCACCCATCTCCTGGACTGGTGCCGGGTCCGGGAAGTTCTGCCTGGTTGGATACTCCTTGGGTGGCGGAATTGCCGCATCCTTCGCATCATTCTTCCCCCAGCTCCTGTCGTCGCTGGTTCTCCTTGCACCTTCTGGGCTTGTTCGCGATTCGCAGATCAGCTTGCAGAGTCGTCTTCTGTATTCGCGTGGCCTCATGCCTGAGAGTCTGCTGGGATTCCTCGTTGGTCGTCGACTCAGGGCTGGTCCCCTTGTCGCACCGAAGTCTAAGAACAAGCATGATCAACTCAGTGCCGCAGATGCACTCACCGAGGAACTTCCGTCGCAAAGCGCGGCCGAGGTCCAGGTGCTGTCTCGCGAATATCCTCATATTAATGTTCCCTCTGCTGTTGCATGGCAAGTCAACAGCCACCCTGGCTTTGTTCACGCTTTCATGTCCAGTATGCGTTACGGTCCGATCCTCGCTCAGCGTCAATGGGGTACCTGGGCACGCCTGGGGGAGCATCTGAGCGCACAGAATAGCATGTCGTCAGGCAACCAGAGTGAGAAGGGATTGCCGAGTGACAAAGTCCACATCCTTTGTGGCAACAATGATGCGATTATCATCAAAGACGAGTTTGTCTCAGATGCCACGACTGTCCTTGGTGGAAATGCAGTTTTCAAGTTCTATGAAGCAGGTCATGAATTCCCCAGCACGAAGTACGAGGAGGTTGCGGCTTACATCTGGAAATTGCTTTGAGGGGAACTCGGGATTTGACTTTTAGCTTTGACCACTGAGCGTGTTTAAGTTCGATATTTAGACATTCTTCAACTATCGTCTTACTGTGTTGGATAGAAATAAATAGACAAGGAGTACACTTTATGATACATTTCGGGTCTCACATATTGAACATATCACCCAACCCTGACCCTCACTCTGACTCTAGGTCTGACAACGGGTCTGACTGACGCAGACTCGTCATTTCTGGGTCTTCAGGATGTCATCCATCGCATTGACTTGACTTGATAGACCGGCAAGGTGCGTGGATCGCTCCGGCATTCGTGCCCCTGCGTAGTAGGGACCTTCTGCTGCCGGTGCCCGGGCGAAGCGGTTCACGCTGTTTTGGTTTGCCGGCGGGACTTGACTGACGTTATTTTGGCTCAGAGTGTGCGAGGTAGTGCCATTACGGGAGCTACACGGCCGAAACGGTTAGTTATCTCTTAGGTCCTGAGGCTGAGATATTGATATTCTAGACCACCTACTTGGAGGTTGGCTCGGGGATAGACATGGTCGAAGGTTGGGGAGAATGAGTATCAGAGGATTGCTGATCTGAAGATTCTCGCCGGTGTGCTGAATCCGCCCCGAAAATGGAGAACAGAAGAGGACAGATGAAAGTAGCCACAATGGTAGATGTGATCCGTTTGATAGCTGGAAGGGATTTGCCCACTTTGAAGATGCTGATACAATAGAAGGTGCTTGGGATGATGATGGCTCTGAAACAGCAGGAACCCGAGCTCTATATATGCAGGAGCAACTGCGAGGCCAAGCTGAACTAGAGGCATGCCTTGACACACACGAGTTCTAGAGCAGCTTGCATCCCGGCCCACATGGGCAGAGAGAAGCTAAGCCTGAACGGAATGGGGGGAAAGATCTTCAGTTTGCATAAGCTGCCCACAACAGCGGGCTCCACCAGCCATGGGGCCGGTGACACCATTCCGCCGCCAGACTCAAGGAGCCTGACGGGGGGCAGTCCGCATGAAGCATATCCGGAGGGTCTGGAATTCTGTCGAGCGGACGCTAACTAGAACAGGCGTTGTGTAAAGTGCATACCCGCCAATCCACGCAAAACAGGCGACGAGGCGGACGCGATTGGCTCAGAGGGCTTTTGTGAAATGGGGGCCGCGAAGGCAGGAACTAGATGCAGGCTTATCTTGAGGCCATGAGTGGTGGGGGGTGGGTTTTGGTCCACTTTCACGATGGGAGTACTGGAGGACTGGTTCAAGGGCATGCCATGCCTCGCCAGGGACAGCTCGGCACATGGCCAACCACATGTTCGTCTGCGGAAATCACCAGATCCGGAATCTGCGCCGGGTGGAATGAGGCAGGGTGGCGCAACTGCAGCAGTTACGCGCAGATACGCAGGTTCGACGTTGGAGCTTCTGTGAGAGATCGAACAAGGGTCTAGGAAGGGGGGAACGTCATCGCTCGTGGGTCTAGATCGGCGGCGGCAGGGCCAGGTGCGCCAGATTGGTCGACCTGAGCCGATCAAAGCCAATCAGGGCCGAGTATGCTGAGGCGGTAACTGCGGCGCTTTGGCTTTGCGCGGAATTCTCGCGTGGTTGTGTTGGGGACGAGCTTCAAGGGTGAAACAATGTCGTGGGCCCAACGTGGTTTGGTCACATGGAGATCACGCACTGGCCCAGGGGCACTCCTCTACGGCTAACCTCCTCACTCCTTTCGCGGGGAAAAAAGCCGAGCGCAAGCTTACGGCGATGCGGCATGCAGCCGGCCACGCGCGAAAGTAAGTTCTTTTTCATTTTCCTTTCCCGACTGCACGGGTGCTGATCCCTTGCCATGGAGACGCGGCCCCCACCGGTTTGGCTATTCATTTGTCTACTATCAAGCGACCGGCAGTTGCTTTCATGCCAGCCGCATCTCTCCGCTAAGCCTTACGAGTCGGCCACCCTGCATAGCTATAACGCCAGTCTCCGGAATGTTAATGACCGGGACCGAATGCGGAGATCGTCGATGGAAAACCCTTGATTCACTCTGAAACAAAGGGTTCGCGTATCCCACGACAGGGACGCACGTGGAACGCACTGTCAGTCATTTATTGCAGTGCTGACCTTGTATGATATGTCCAGGGAGACCACAAATCAAATTGTCCGGATCAGGCAGGCATCGGCACTAGGTGTTTCGCCAAGGGTCCCACATGAGTGGCACTGGGATCCCTTGGGCCGTGCTCCTACCGGTGGCCCAAGCCTTTGGGAAAGAAGATGGTTGGGGGACACGGCAAAAAGTGGAAATAAATGCGGGGTGGAGGTCTCCGTGTTTCATGGGGCTCAGCAGCCACACCGGACCAGCTGGGTGTGCATCCGATATTAAGCATCATGAACTGGACTAAGACGATTAGAGGGGTGTGAAAGGCTGGAGAGGGACGCCGAGATCCACCATCTCATTTCCAGCAAGTGGCTTGCGGTCCGCTCCCTCCGCAAGCGACGGGAGGTCCGTAAGGGCCTCCTCAATGGGAGTCCCCGATCCCGCGTGCACAGCCGAAGTATGCAGCGCGTTCTCCTGCTTGTCCAAGAACTGGCCCTGAGTCCTGGGCCCCCGCTCTGTGCAGTTCACAGCCACGATCGCCATATGGAACCGGCGTTTCAGATAATAAGGTTGCTTTTCCCACGCGTGCTTGTTCAGCGAACGGGTCATTCCAGCCTTCCCGAGTCAGCAATGTTTGACGACGTTGCGGGCCCACCACTGGCTAGGGTATGCAAGGCACGCATGGCCCGGGCGCCGGAATCCCAGCAACCTTATCTCCATTCGGTGCTAACCGTCGATCCCTGGGGTGCCCATACTGGTCTTGCTGTCGCTCGCATGATGCGTCTTTTAGCTCCTGATCAGTGAGTCGATCATGAGTTCACCCCAGCTGATGGATACGACCACCTGGCAGTGTGCGGCTTTGGTGTGGTTGGTTGGGGTGTTTTGTACGACTAGGGCTGATTCCCATGATCACCAACGATGTCCGGGCGCCCAACTGGTGCCCTAACGCCGCTTTTGGCTATTCAAACCGAACGGGAGAAAGGGGACCAGAAAGAGCCCAGAAAAAAGAAACCTTGCTGATTTTACCAACCACTTCCCCTGATATTTCGATATTCTACCTATCACACAAGAAGGCCGAGCAACCGAAGATGATTAATGATCCTGCCAAGGGGTGGTTCACAATAGTTCACAAGGGGGCGACCAAAAGCAGCATAGATCGTCCGGCTGATCATCCCTTGGTCAACGGTTGCCCAGCTGGCAAATCACGCAGGATGCCTCGATCTGAAAGGCGAAAGCATCCTCATCTTGTGCTACGGTACTCAACGGCGTACGCCGGCTGGGATGCCGAAGGAGCCGCTGCAATCCGTTGCTATCGCAACAGTTCCTGGTGCAGACCGTCCCACGACATCACTCGGGAGCTCAACGCTCCCCGGTCTCCCCGGCCCCGATGCGAACGCTGGAGCAAGGGCCATGCACCACACTGGACAGCCACCCAGGGCAAATAGTGCAATCTTACCGTTCTCTCTGCGCCGAAAATGTGCCGGTCAGTTTCAGACCCGGATCACCCCCGGAAACAGTATACAACCCGTAACAGGTACTTGTTGATCCCCCTATCGGAGCTGCAGTTGCGACTCCTTGCCTGAACTTGCGACAGCCCGGAATGAGCGCTGCTCTTGGTATACGAGACCCCTCCTGCCGGATGGAGACATGCGAGGATCGCCATTTCCCACCAGATCCTCCTCACCCAGCTCGTCGGTTCTTTCTCCAGAAGCTTGGGCACCGTGGCTGAGAAAATTATGCCCCTAAAACGATTTCAGGGATTCCTACCCGAGCTGGGCCGCCTTAGACGGTTAATTTTCGGGTAGTCTTTTCCCGAAAGTCAGCAATTGGGGGCTCGTCCGTGGTGGGGTTTCGCATCGTTGCTTTTTTGATTATTTTTCTCGAAGGCGCCGTCCTGTGATTTGCAGGCAGCGGAACTAGTCTAGCGCCGGACCACACGGTCGGGATGGGGGACAGCTGAGCGGTCCCAAGGGCTGGTAAGCTGAAACATTAGCTTGAACTTATTCGGCGAGTGGAGCGCGAGTGACAGATCGACTTGGACCTCATAGTTTTGGAATTACGATTCCAGTTTCTCTTGTTGCACTCCTGCCTCTTCGGGACCGGCGTGTATAAACAGCTTCTTAATGAGGCAACCCTTCAAGAGGCTGGGATTTTCCGTCAGCACAAGGTCCCCGGTTGTGGGGTGCCTTCATGTCTTTTGCAACAACTCGAGTCATGACTTAGTCCATAGCAAATTTGTCAGCAATGCAGATGATATTTGAAATAAGACATGATTATTTTCGTGGCGCGGGACTCAACAAGGAGGAATATTTATTCGAGCGGACAACCCAACTTGAAGGAAATGAGGGGTTTATGGTATGTTGAAGCGCAGATTCGCAAATGGGAGTCTTTGTACATTTACATAGTTCCGGTGAGAGATTCAGGCCTGAGAGCCCTCGTTACGCTAACAGGTAGGTGTGTCCAAGCCGCAGGTTTTCCTGGTCGCATCGGCTCCTCTTTCGTTGCTCTTGCGCATCTTGTACTACCACCTATTCGGGAAGATCCGAATCATTTCTCAGATCCGCGTCCTTCCAACTGCACTTGCAGGGCCTAGGCCAGGCTTGAACTTGCTCGAGCACCCCTGTCAAATTCCTCTCCGCTTTCATGCGCTTTCAGTATCTCGCGGGCACAGAGTATAACATGGAGGGACCTAAAGCCCAAGACGTTTGATATCGCCACAGAGACGTCTGGTCTAGAAGAGTAACTATACGTGGTAGTAAAGAACAGGATGACAAAAATGAAGATATTGAGCGCCGGATCTATGAACTAGCATATCGCTAGCCATATGGTATTGTCGGCCAGCAGTGCGATCGAGATCAAGTCACAGGAAATATTGAGAACTAGACAGCTCTCCCCTCTGGAAAGAAGGAAATATGCCTCGGCGGTCGACCAAAATCCTGGCAAGATGGTCGGCGGAAAGATGGTTGAGCACTAACATCCAGTCACGGGGGTGCCGGCTGGGCCCAAGTTGAACACACCAGTATTGAATGTTCTGGCACATTTTCTGAAGAAAGAACAAATAAAATCCACTTGAAGCCGCTTGAGATGGCTGTCAAGAAGTCAAATTCCTAGAAATATTGAAAACTGGGAAGAATGAACTCCACGTTTTCTAGATACACGGAGCGCGACTTTCTGGTTCGAGCCCAGAAACCACCATTTAGAGAGTTAGAGGATTCATTAGATCGCTTTTAGGGGTAGTCTCCCCATTCTTATTTCGTTGAGGTTGAGGTATGAAAAGTTGACGCACGATATAGATGTAGGCGGTCCTACTCGATGACGTAAACCGCGATGTCAATCGAGATTAACATAAGATTTCACCTTCAACGTGCCCAATCGCTTCATCTTAGCTAGACATTGACAGCATTCGCAATCATAAGATAAGACATCCGTCTTTGTTGATTTTGTCGATCGCGTTCGCATCGAGAGAGAGCTTTTGGTTGTCCAATCAGAGATGCCATAGCTGCATGTGTGTGACCGTCACTCCGCGAAATAATCCTGTATTACACGACGGAATGCCGTCATGCTATCTGGTTCCTCGTTCATCCTAAATGTCCGCTGAAGATAAATACTAGTCTGTCTAAAATTGGTAAATTAATAAATTAGCGCTATTCCTATACTGCACTGTTCTTGAAGCCACTCCCCGGTTCACGCCCAACACCACGGCAGAGGTCATGGGGGTATCTTATGTCCATTCCAAATCTATTGCAATCTTCCTCCGTGCTCTCGTTCGCCCTAGGCTGAAACTTCACCCCCAACCAGATAAAACAATCTTCATCCCGGCGCAGGACTGTGATCGAACCATCAAAGCCCACGTCTACCAACCAGCTAGAGAGAAAACAGAAACAACCTAGTCCTGTCCTGATTAACTTTTGTGGCAGCGGCTTTGTGCTTCACACCTTTGGATCAGACGATGAATACTGCCGATTCATCGCAGACTGGACCAATTACACTGTAATTGATGTGCAGTACCGTCTTGCACCGGAAAATCCCTTCCCGGCGGCTTTCAATGATGCCGAGGATGTCGTGACATGGGTGCGATCACAGCCAGAGAGCTTCGATATTCACTCTCTCTCCCTCTCCGGATTCAGTGCAGGGGCCAATATTGCCCTGGCGGTGTTATCTTCGTCATCGCCTTTCTGTCAAAAAGATGGTACGAATGTTTTTCTCACGGTCATGTCTTTTTATGGCCCAGTTGATATGGCTCTCCCGACTCCGCAAAAGCCCCAAGCAGATCCGTCCAACTTTATTATGCGAAAGATCTTCCCGACCTTGTCCCATCTGTGTCACAAATGCCTCAACTTTACATCAGTGGATCCAAATTACCATCGTCTTTCGCCATTGTTCGCTGATGCCGGAAATTTCCCTCCCAACGTCCTGATCATGACTGCCCCCCAGGATCCTTTTGCCATCGAGGCAGAGAGGCTGGCGGACAAAATTCGCAGTGTGGAGAAGAAGGTAGTGGTTTGCAACAGGATGGACGGCTGTGCCCATGGGTGGGATAAGGAAGCAGTCCGAGGCACATCGCAGTGCAAGGCGAAAGATGACGCGTATAAATTGGCAGCTAGTATGCTGCAGAGGGCAGAGAACGAAGTGAATGGGTCTAGGAAGACGGAGGTGTGATTTGATACCCATGCATGTATAGACAGCGGAACGACAATGTACATCTAGACACAAATCAGAATACAAAATATTGGAATAACAGTTTTTAATCAATGTTTGCTATACCCAGAGTGGTTAAAGATCCTCTTACGTGACATCCATGCAGTTTGTGTCATTACGGCAAGTCTTGCTAGACTGGATGGATCTGACAATGCAAAAAAAGCCATGGATTCTTGATTTTGCACCCATTTATGATGGGCGACCGACAAGCTGGTATCCACTTGACGAGTGTATTAGGCAGATGTACCATTATTGACCATCGGTGCTGACCACACCGCGCGAGGTGAATGAACGGGTAGAGTCTAGTACTGTAGAAAAGAAAAAGAGTAATGAACTAGAAGCCAAAAATACATACAACAGCCAGGATTCGCATGTGGTCACCCACCATACTACTAACTGGCCGGCGTGTGGCTTAAGTACGGCTGAGCGGACGGGAAGCCCTGTTCTCCACACCCTATGGTCGTATGTGATAGTTTAGGAACGTCAAATAGAATATAGAGAAAGGAATTTAAAGGGAAATTAGTTGTGAGAATCGACCACGACGCGCGATAGTATGGAGAATCCCTTACCATGCTTTTCCGAATAGACTAAGCTCTATTTCCAACCAGATGGATTTAATTCAAAAATTTTGGATTCGAGCAAAAGAAGCTTGTTACGATTCTCATTGTGAATCCGATCCCACCACTATCTCACCACATTCATCTATCAACTGTGCAATTCCTTCCGCTCCCGTAGAGCTCCGTGGAATATTATGGCCTCCCTCGTGCTGATATATCAATCGTTTGGTAGGAGCTGATAAATAGACTAGTTGTAGTGACGCGGGCAACCGAGGATCAACTCGCCCATAAACATGGAGCGTTGGAATTCCAATCCGGAGATGATGGGGCATATGCGTGGTATCCAGTCCGAATACACGTGTAGGATCGATTGGAGCCGACGGATCCAAATGCAGGTCAGTATCACCATTCCCTGCGGGAGTGATCCATCGGTCTTTCCCCCATTTTAGGATCGATTCCTTGGATGCACGTTGACGGAGAGCTAACTTGGTCTTCCTATCCCACTCGCGAGCTTCGTCGGAAATGCTCATTCCTAACTCTTCTAGCACCGGCAAGACTGGTCCGCCGCAAAAAAATACAACGGCTCTGAAAGGTAATGGCTCGGTTGGTCTTTCCGTCTGATGAAACCAGATGTAACTGGCGATCAGGAGGCAACCTCGCGAAAAGCATACCATTCCGTCATATGGATCATCATTGTTTTCGATCAAATAATTATGAAATCGCTGACAGGCAGCTCGAATATCACCCACGGTTGCCTTCTGCCACCATGTGTAATAGGGACCGTCCGGATACCGGAGATCAAGGCCGGCGGCTGGATTAGAAGCGAAAGGGCCGTTGATGAAATGAAACCCGTGCTTTGATGGTTGTAAGTGGGCGGTGATAGCCGCTACAATTTCAAGGTTAAATTATCTGTACTGAGAGATATTCTTGACCAGGCAACACCTACCCAGTTGGTCCTGAAAGATGGTAGCAGACGACCCTGTGCCATGGATACATAACCACTTCATAGCGTGCTTAGTTCAAGACAGGCTAAGGAAACCCTCAAGAAAAGAAAAATACAGATCAGGCATCCGGAATTGTGTTTGCTTAAATTAGGACAATCTTGAATGGCACCAATGTATCCACGACTAGATTTAGGTACTTCAACATGAGATACATACGTAGGCTCACGTTCGTTTAGGTACCTAAAGGCCAAAACAGCTCTCAAGCTAACCCGCCCGCGCATGTTGATATGCACCAATAGGTTTCAGCACTTGAGTAGTTTTCAAAAATGTGATAGTTTATAATTCTCTGCTCGTGAAAACAAACTTAGAAACTTTAGGCCGTGGACCAAGGAACATTTGCGCCAACCCCAGTACATGGATGAGTTAGTGCCAAAGAAGCACGATTATTCATTGCAGACAGTCCATGAACTTACTAACGATATAAGTCGAGGTAGTAATATCTGAAATGTTGATTTCAATCTTCTCTGACCTTCCCCACCGATCTAGGGACCGGGTCCATAGGAAATACCTGTGGACCTTTCTGAAAGCCTTCGTCAAAAATACGATCGGAGCGAGCGCGCAGTGACGGCGGTGTGGCCCATGAGTTTTGGGGATCACGAAGCCACAAGCGTACCAGGTGACGACTTCCGACGATTTGAAATTAGCCAATCTCCAGGACATATTTCACCACCAATGCCAACTTACCGATTTTCTGAATCGTCGACATAGCTGTTTCGAGCATGTACCATACTTAGGTTATTGATGAATTGCATATCGCCTTTCTCCAGCTTCATGGCAACATGAAACTTTTCTGCAAGAAAGTGGAGAGCATCAAGTGCCTCTACCTGAATAGGAGTTAGCATATTCGTCTGGGAGTGAGCACCATATCCAGAGAATGAGCGTCGAGAGAACTGCAAGATCACTCGTTCCGGGGCTTTATCGCAAGCTGGTTGGTAGAACAGCAGCGGTCGGTGAGTGACCAGATCGGGCTGCCGTGCGCTGGCGGTACAGGTCGAATGACATATCAGCAATCTTGTCAGTTCCCTTGAAGGGTCAGTTCTGGTCACGGATTTCTGCACACCTAGGTATTGGCCAGTCCTCCGCTAATACGCGGATCAGATCGGGGCGGGTCTCCGCCAGAGCATTGTACAATGTCCATGCGCTCGCGAGCAGACTTTCACCGCCATTTAAGGGCTCGCTTAGAACGAAGAGGGATACAATATCCCCCACATCTGTGTGATATACCACTTCACCGTCTGAATACGCTGCTAGCGCAAAGTTTTGCATGCTCCCCGGACGTCGCATGTCGGTTATGTGGGCCAACATCACGTCCGCTGGCTGCCCCTCAAACTGATGGTCTTGCCGACCGCGGATAGCGGCGATGTGGGAAGAAATGCCGACATAAATTATCATGTTCTCTTTGCGAGAATAGCGTTCCACTGGAACTCCTCGAATAAGAATGAAACCATACCCTGAATGCAGATTGTCTGACGCAGATCTGAGGATTGAATGCAAACATGGCAGAGGGAATGTTGACGAGTTCAGAGTCTCCATTGGCCGATTCATTTCTGCTGTAGAATACTACTTAGCGGTGAACGTAAAGAAGAACAGTGACGAGTGTGGCTGACTGACTTTGAAAGTGTCTGAGCGCTGCATCGATCTCAAGCAGCTGCGGATCTTGTAGAATTAGCAGGTACGGAGTCTCACCACCTGCAGTGTGATCCATAGAGATATTATCCCCTTCCCAAGCCATATCTGAGGTCAGTCTCTGAGGAAACCCATGCGGAAGGATTCTCTCTATGAGCCTTCCCTGTGAACGGTCGAATAACTGAGTTTCGTGCTCGTTGAGATTTGGAAAGTAAGGGATGTGCTCGAATGATTGTGCCATGACCGTATCCGAATGGGGTACCACAGTATAGAGACGGGGGTCGGGGAGACCCAAAAAAGTTGTCTGAGCGCACGAAAAGAGTCAATATTTTATAGTTATATCTCCCGGCATCCATCCTACTTATCCTGCATTTTGATTGATGCTGATACATATTACATGAGTGTGCTGGCGTTTGGTCCGGTTTAACTTTCTTGACAATACAGTATGATGGTGTACTGAAGTTCAGTGAAAGTGACCTATCGATACGGTGGAGAGAACACGGGCCTACAGTTCATGGCAAACATGACGATAGAAGCTGCAAGCTTAGCTGGCATTAGAGCCCCGCCCCTAGAATAGGTGAGACGGAAGTAGCCAATCGCGGCAGCTGTACATAATACTGCATGGTGATAAAGCAAAAATACCCCCTGGAATTAGCCGAGGTTACTCAAGGAGAAAAACATTGCCATGCGGGGAAGTTGATATTTCTCTTTAATCGAGTGGAATTCGCAACAATTTCAACAGCCAATATGACCATCCTCTCCGGGCACGACCAAGCGTCATTTGAAACAACGAAGCGTCTTCTTGCAGAGATTGTCAATGAAGGACTAGTTTCTGCAAAGCTCGAAGTAACTGCGCCCAGTGGGTCACAGATGATGTGCATACAGAGTACACCCCAAGATGGAAGCTTGGTCAAGGTAGCAATCAAGGCCGGCACTATAATTGAGACGAGAGACGATCGCGTGGTGTCTGTTGTACGACCAGATAGCTTACAACCACCTGTGACTATTGCGGGTACCGATGATGGAGAGTTGGATCCAGGGACACTATTTGAATTTCTGAGTACTTCATTCGGCGATACCGCCAGTGAGACAGTACTGGATGAGATCGTTCGAGAGTTACGCAATTCAGCAGACAATCAAGGTAAGATGGTGTCGATGTCAATTATCTTTCGTCGTATTAACTGTACTCAGCAAAATGGCTAGAGATTAGCCATCACCAGCCATTATTAAGCCTAACAGATAGGCCTGCGGACTGGGAACGCACTTTGATCTACGGCCATCCGAGTCATCCTGTACGGCTGCTGAGATGCCAACCAACTTGCTAAGCTAAATTCTGATCCTTGCATTGGCAGTACCACCGATTGTGCTATGCTCAAGCGCCACTGAGACAAATCACCCCCGAGGATATCCCCGGGATGCTCACGCCAAGTCTTGCATTTGTTTCTGTTCCGCGCGCCAATCTCCGTATTACAGGCCCTTTTGAGCAAGAACTGCAACCACTCCTAGAAAATCTTGAGATACCAAATACAATTAGCGACAGAGTGATTGTCCCTTGTCTCGCTCAGCAATTACCCTCTATTCAACAGAGATTCCCGGCCACCATCGTTCTAAAGCTAACTATGGATTGTGCCGACGCTCAGGCATCAATGCGTACTCTTACTCTCCGGCCATATTTGGAATTCAAGTACCACTTGAAGCTCTCATTGGCTTGCCAAATAACTTCCGCTCTGCGAACTATCACGCCTTGGACAACCTGTGGCGGTCCGGTTCAAACCAAACTCTTGGAGAGACTGCTTCCAAATGATCTCTGGGTTTTCCGAGAGGTAGCGGCTATATCAGGCAGCCAGGACGATTTCAACGACGCGCGGCATCTTTCTTGCATTTTGCGAGATAGCTTGGAGGTTAGAGCACAGGCAAACGACGAAACTCTTATCATTGCGGCAGCATTGGCCCAGAAGCCTTGCGGACAGATTCGTACATATGCGGAGATTTTGTACGGACTGGAGACAATCTCCCAGAAAAAAGAATGGTTTCAAAGGTAAGTGTCATGTTCAGTCATGGATTAGACCAGAATGATGCTAATTCCCGTACCGACAGATACGTTACAGTTCTATTTCAGCTTGTCCTTCCCCCGTTGGTTCAGTATGGAATCGGACTGGAAGGCCACGGGCAGAATCTTGTGGCCCGTATTTGCCTCCAGACAGGCCGAATTAAAGGATTTGCTGTGCGTGATTTCGGGGGTATCAGAATGCATGTTCCGACGTTGCGAGATCATGGCGTGGCATTTGATTCACTGCCATCCGGGTCAGCCACCTTGACGGATAATTTGCAGAATGTCTGGAGCAAGGTACATCATTCACTTCTTCAGAACCACGTCGGGCTACTATGTGGGGCATTGGGGTTGGAAAACCATGGCGGGTGGGCAATTACTCTGGAGACTTTAACGGCTGTCTTGATGCCTGACAAACGCTCTCTCGGGAAAGATTTGTTTGAGTACTTCACCAAAGATACAATGCCATTTAAGTGCTTCCTGAGAATGAGAATGGAGGGTAAATACCGTGATGTGGGTTTTTCAGTCGCTATCTGTTGCTCAAACTATGAATAATGACTGACTTTAATTCTGCAGTATATTGAGCGAGAGGTTCCTAATTCGCTTCTCCTGGGTTCCCCTCGGTGGAAGTCGATACTAGACACATACAAACCCTCACTGCATACCACGTAGTCGGATCATGTTGAAAACAGGAGAGATAACACAAAGGGCAGTACCTGTTCCCTGGAGGGCTTTTTCTAATTGTCATGAGTAACTGTCTTCTGTACTCAGCTTTTTGTTTCAAATCTGAATGCTAGTTCGTTAGGCATAGGGTGGGACACCAATAGCGTGTTGAAAGGAAATAGAACTCGTTATGTCGTGACATCTAAGTACACATATGTTTTACAGGATCGATAGCCTATTTCGAAATGTTCATGTGGGAGATTTGGGTAATAAACTCCGAGAGGGAAATACATATGTATATAGAGATCCCGGATCATTGTAAGCATGCTTCTTCCGTTACAGTGGTCACGCATGTGCCTCTTTACAAAGCAAGGTAGGTTAGACGAGTTAAACAATCAACGATTCAGGCCTTACAGATGATCCAGGTAACTGGGATGAATAGGCTGGAAGACAGTGCAACAAGCCCTCGCCTCATCATTAATGAATGAACAAGCCAAAAAGAAAAAAGAAATAAAAACATACAACAGTCAGGATTCGCATGTGGTCACCCACCATACTACTAACTGACCGGCGTGTGGCTTAAGTACGGCTGAGCGGACGGGAAGCCCTGTTTTCCACACCCTATGGTCGTATGTGCTCGAAATCAACCTAAGGAGGCTTAAGATTACCCTTAAAGACTATGAAGTATAGGGGTCACAGGGATCTATCGAAATATGCAAAACCATATAGACTAAGAATATAGCCCATGGAGTATTTTTAGTCTAGCGGTATTATGTCCCTAATTTGTGCGACAGGATCCACCTTTACCTTAGCTTCAGTCTCATTATAAGTAGAACCTTAGAAGTATTCTTGGCCTTACTACCAATATATATATATCGATAATAAACACTAGAGAGATATAGTGCTAAGCATCAACTATAATCGGAATCAATAATAATAATATACGACGTTGGCATGTGCCTTATGTGTGGCCAGTAGTCGGGTGGCTGCTGGGTGCCACCCGGGTAGCCGTTATCCTACTGGTACCCCATCTCTCCTCTGGGAGCATCTCCAGGTGTTCACGAGTCGCTGTCTTTCGCTGTCTTGATGCTTATCAATAAATTGAGGTTTGAGCAGCTGTCGCAGTGATTTAGATTCTGTTTCGACAAGAGACAAATCTGAGCTGTCCGCCGGCGTGTGCCATCGAGCAGTGCTGAGTGAGCATGAAGCCTTTCGATTTAGACGTCCCGAATCTCCAAAACAGGCTCAACCCCTTTTATCACTCTCGCAGGTGATCCAACAGCAATTGAATAGCTTGAAATATTTCTAGTCACCACGGAATTGGCTCCAACTGTGACTCCGTCACCTATTGTCACGCCCGGCAGGATCACTGTATTCCCTCCAATCCAGCAATCGCTCCCAATTTTGACCTCTTTCGAGTAGTCTGTAAGGTCTCGTCTCCCCTGGACCGCGGTTGGATGTGTAGCAGCATAAATGCTCACTCCTGGGCCAAACTTCGTTCGATCCCCAATACTAACAATTGCGCAGTCCAAGATGACCATGCTGCACTCATTTGTTAGCTTCCGACATTGGGACTCATGCCCACACAAGACTCACTTGAAGTTTGCGTAAAAGTCATTCCCAATAGATATGTTGCACCCGTAGTCAACTCGGAAAGGAGGGTCAATGTCCACCCTTTCACCAATGTGCCCGATGAGCTCCTTTAGCATCTCATTCCGGTCTGCAGCTAAGGATTCGTCGGTCGCATCATCTGGCAGGTGCGAATTATACTTGTTGACAAGCTTACGCGCGCGTAATCGGCCGGCTAGAAGCTCAGGAACAAATGAATCGTATCTGTTCCATATTTGTTAGCAGTCGTTCAATAAAGAAGCCGAGGTGTCCAAACATCATCCCAGAGATCATCTTTTCGTAGTCGTCGCACCATGGCGTGTTTGCCAGTGTCTTAGCACGCGCGATTGCTTCCGTGCTCTTCTCCGTATTCGCCATGGTGAGTTGCTAGTTTTCAGAATGCGAAATAAACATTCGTGTTGTTATAGGACATGGTCGACTCTTCGTGTCTTAAATTGGACTGTGGTGGGGCAGAACAGGTGGAGTGGATCCACACCGAAAAGCTAGTGATTTATTGGTTGGCCGCTTGCTAGCCTAGCCTATTGTAGCAGGAGAGACGGTTTGGGCAATGGCCGAGCTCTCTTTCCTATTTGGGAATTGAGGAAACAACTTTAGTTCAGCCTGTGTCTCCATTTTGCCGATATCTGTCCCGCCAGGGTCGAGCCCGCAGTCGAACAAACCATACATCGCTTATGTGAAACAAGGGGGTAATCTCATGTGTCTCGGTGGCAACGGATTCTAATGGGTATCGTCTACAGTTGTTCAAAGGCGAATGCGCCGATCAGAAGTTCGCCGAGGAGACCAGGTGTGCGCTGATAGACCTTTACCGGTGGTGAGCGAATTGGCAACACAACTGATAGCAAGGATCCTTATGGAGATCAAGAGGCATGGCATGTAATGTATTGTTTGGCGTGGGCTTCTGCGCCGAGGGAGTTGCTCCAGGCGTGCCCTTTAAACGTTGAGCAAGTCGGATGACACGGTTTCCTGGATCTTCGAAGGCATTGGGAAAGATGAGCTTATCGGTGTCAAAGGGCCAGGAAGAGGCGTAAGCGGTGACGAGATTGATTGGTTTGATTTCAGCATCGGAAGCCCCGCCTGTGTCAAAGTTCTGGCGAGCGGCACTGGTCACTTGGACGACCTTCGCATCGTGCCCGAAGGCGTGGCTTTTCCCATACTGAATACTCTTGGGATATAGACAGGCCTCATAAGACCTGATATGACCTACTATGTCAGCAGTGGTGGGGGATGAATTTTCTTGGTCGGAAGCATCAATTGGCTGTCCTTTCTTGGCTGGGACGAATATAACAACAACGTCGCAAGGCTGATAGGGAATGTTATGAAAGGGGTTCTCAAGGGCCTACCTATGACAGATGGGAGCATAATTATTTATGTAGATTCCAAAGCCAATGATAATGTGACATAGGTCAGGTCAGCTAACATATTTGTCCAGCGACTATTGAATGTGGATTTCATCGCCGTAATTTCAGCTTGCTCGGCTAGGCTCAGATTCGACTACTTGGAACCTAATGACGGATGTATATAACAGGGATATGAGCATGTATTAGAAACATGTGAGCTAGCTGGGCTATTTACAGGAGACCCATCTTGTACTTTGGCTCGTCAGGGTGAAGCATCAACATTGGGCTCTTAAGATCCACCCAGCCCATGAATGGCTTACTGAGCCCATATCCCATCCGTTCCTGTAAGGCTGGAGGAAGTCCTCTGACTGAATCAATGCTGTTCGCCAGGTATTGATTCTCTTCCTGCCTCAGCCAGCCTCTGCAGTTGAACGTTGACAAAAGAACGCGGTACTCATCCTCCGTCGTATTTGCGGAGCCGCCATGGAAGCATCCCGAGAGCATCATAAATGCATCGCCAGTATTGAGTTCTGCTTGAACAGTTTGTGCTTCGTTCGGGGGTCCTTCGCGGTAGTCCCAAAGATGGGATCCTGGAATGAACCTGGTGGCACCTTTATATAACGCAGTTAGTAACCACCTCAAATCCATGTGCTCATGGCCGTACCGTTCGCTTTTGTAGTTCGAGTACCAGCTACGAACAGACCAATACCACAATCTCTACCAAGAGTGTGCTCGGCAACAGCTCTGTGATCAGGATGATGAGGGGCATCGTCGCGATGAAGAGGCTGTGCTCTTGCGCCAGGTCCAATGCGGAAAACGATGGTATTGTGAAGCTGAGGAAGGCTGGTGCTCTCTTCGACTTTATCGCCAACCTAAAGGGCTGTTAATCATGTCCTCGGGGTACCGATAGTTGACTGACCCAATTGTATTTAATGTGGCTAGTGAGCAAGGCATCGCTAACACTCAGCCAGAGAGGATTTCCGACGATGGATGTGGCGAAGGTGGGAGATTTGCCCATCATGCCATAGGCACGTCGAGTTTCTTGGGGAAAGAAGTCTCCTGAAAATAAAGCGTCAAAAACACATATAAATCTAGCTAGTCGCTGAGTTGCTTTACCATCTGCCCAAGGCTTGTCCGCATCTAGGTAGGGATTTACATCCTCCATTATGCGATCGATCTCCTCCCTACCCAAAAAGTTGCGCACAATGACTCCTCCAGTGATCTTGAGTGCATTGACAATATCGTTGACAGTCGCGGTGGAGTATTCAAACTCTTGAACACTGGGAATTGCCGATTTTGATGAACGGACCTGTTTAAAAGGTCCGCTCGAGCTGGCGTCGATTACATCGCTGTTGGTTGCAGGTGCCATGGCTGAAGCCTGATCACGTTTCAAAAACAATTAAGATCCCACAAATGTAGAAATAAAGCTCATTGAAGAATAGGTGAGACTTTTGGAGGTACAATATACCTTTCTGCAAGGGAGACAAAGCCGCAGAGTTCAGCTCATTGCCCTGGAGATTTAGTCTTCTTTCGGTTGAGCTCTTTGTTTCCTGTTCTGGAGCACACTAGACCACGAACCTCAGCTAATCGATTATCAAGTAGAGTATGAATTTTGTTCGATTTGGAAAGAGAGAATGCCCGTGATAAATTGGCCATCGGTAAAGGGATGAAAGAATGACCAGCCCCACAGGACCCGCCCCACAGGACCTAAAAGGTAGGATAGATATTGGAGCCCAAAAGGGTAAGAGAGTTAAATAGTTGGGTCCCAAACAGGTTAGAGCTTTGATGTACGAAAGTAGTTAGTGTTCTTTCTGATCATCTTACTCGATCAAATGACCAAACAATCAAAGAATTGCAGCGATTACGGAGGAGTGTCCTCATCTCTTGGGACTAATCCTGGGTCAGATAGTTCAAACCCAAACGCCAATCGAGCACGATACTCCCCAGTTTGTTTCATAGAGCCCGCTGATTACGTCTAGTGCTCATGATGACCACGTTATACGGTACTGCTCGCCGTATATGGGGCTGCACCCTTGTATAAAAAGCAGATCTATCTATCATATTCTAGAGCAACGGGCACTCTCGTTATACTTTCACAGTGACAAATTTACACAGTATCGCAATGTCAACTCCCTCCAGCTTCAAGCAACCGGCCCTGGCCCCGACCCCGGCACCAGCGTCGACGGACGATGTTAACGTCGACGATCTGGAGCTCGAAGCGCAGGGTTATTCTCGGGAGATGCCCCGACAGTTCACCACATTGAGTCTCATGAGTATGAGCTATGCCTTGCTGGCCACATGGAATGGATTTGGTAGCGCCTTTGGCACTGGCTTTACCGAAGCTTCGTCGGCGGGTTCCATCTGGACGTTGTTTATTGCCGGCCTGATGACCTTAGTCACTGCAACCGGCATGGCAGAATTATCATCTGCCTACCCAGTTGCAGGGTCACAGTATTACTGGTCTTATGTCGTCTCGAGCCCCGAATGGGCCCCGTTTGCATCTTACATGTGAGTTTCTACAAACCACCCTCGAGCCAGAGCAGCATTTGATCCAAATGCTTGGTGTACGTATACAGAGATTGGGTGGCTAACTGAAAGCATTAATCAGCGCCGCCTCTATCAGCACATTCGGATGGTGGTTGGGACTGGCAAGCGTCACCAATTTCATCGCCGCGATGGTCCTTGGCTGTGCCGCTCTGTGCTGGGAAGACTATATCATCGAGAACTGGCATATCTATATTGTCTTCGTGTTTATCACTTGGATGGCCGTTGGCCTAAACATTTGTGGCTCTCGACTGCTTCCTCTGTGGAACAATTTCATCAGTTCGTACGCTTCGCTGTATGAGCCTCAAATCATCGCTGACCGTTTTCTAAGTGTATTTTTCTCTCGTTTTGCTTGTGGCATCTATCGTGACTCTACTTGCATGCGCTTCGCCCGGCTATCAGTCAGCACAGCGTGTGTTTACGGACATGACAAATTCCACAGGCTGGCCGAATGATGGATTCGCCTTCTTGCTCTGCATACTCAACAGTCTCTACGGATATTTGGGTGTTGACTGCGGAGCTCATCTCTGCGAGGAAATTCCCAAACCTACCGTCAATGTGCCCAAGGTGATTGTAGGTGCTCATAAATCAACGTGTGGGTGAATTTGCTAACCTCACATAGATATATCCTGTTCTTATCGGGTTCATCACTAGTAAGTAGAGACGCCGGAGGTAGTTCGAAATTTACTCTAACCGTATGAGCCCTCCCGTTTGCAATCTCTCTCAGTCTCGTCATCACCGACATCGACGCCATTATCAGCACCCGCACTGGCCTTCCTATCATTGAAGCTTACTACCAAGCAACGAGCAGTAAAACTGCAACGGTGGTGCTCATGGCTGGCTTCGCACTGTGTCTCTTCGGGGCTGCTTGTGCAAATATCACTAGCTCCAGCAGACAGCTGTGGTCCGCCTCACGCAACAATTGCTTTCCCCTCTCCCGATGGTGGAAGCAAATCCACCCGCAGTTCAACATGCCTCTGAATGCGGCATGCGCTTCTGGAACCTTCGTGACGGTATGGCACCTTCTCGAAGTCAAAAGCTAAAGTGTTAACATTTTGTAAGCTCTACGGGCTGATATTCCTTGGTTCTTCTGCGGCCTTCTCGTCCATGGTGAGCCCCACTGAGTACTCAGAGCAAGCATGTGCTGATGTTTCCCAGGTCGGAGCCTCAATCGTGTTTATGACAACGTCGTATGTTATCCCCCAAGGAATCCTAGCCTGGCGTGGACGTGAGAAAATCCTACCCGCCCGCCATCTGAACCTTGGAAAGTTCGGCCTGCCGCTTAATGTCCTGTCTTGCGTGTGGGTTGCATTTGTCGACATTCTATACTGTTTTCCTACTACCTATCCGGTCACGGTGGAGAATATGAACTGGATTAGGTGTGCATGCCCTTTTAATCTGCTTGGTAGCATAATGGCGAAGATTCATTAACATGGTGCCATAGTGTGGTTATCGCTGGCCTTGGTAACTTTATTCTCATTGCCTGGTTTGTCCTACAACGCCACGTTTTCAAAGGGCCGTCAATCAACTTGGACCTGCTGAATGAAGCACGCAGCGAAATTTTGCAAGGCATTCCCGTTATCCACGGTAAAGATCTTCCAGAGGCGGGGCCCTTGTCGAGGCTGGGTGAACACCCAGAAGAGATTGCTACTTCTGCAAAGACAATTAAAGGAGAATAAAGTTGAATGGGCAATAAGTGCCAGGTCATAAAAGTATTGGACGTGGTTCTGCACATATAGAGCTAGAAGCTAAAGATACAAGGGGAGACTCCTCCTAAATCGAATTTTCATACAGCGAGATTGCTGGAGAGCTTACGACGACTCGGTCTATGCATTTAACGGGGGACCCTCATTTTTGTATCTCCCGTCGATGTGTTCGCCGAGTCCCTGGTCATACTGTAGTTGCTAACAATGCGTAAGGGTGTGTGTGAGGCTAAGTTTGGAAAGTGGGTCGACTCAGGTCATGTGGGGACGGAACAACTTATCGATCTGAGCCGAGCCGAGTAGTCTCTAGATTGAGGGATGATTTTCCTTATCGGCCTTATCATCACGTTATGGGTTGAGCCGAGCTATAATCACGGCATTGGAGGCCTAGAACACGCTAAAACGTCCCCTCTTATCTAGCTGGTTTGCGTATATTCAGCACCAAGACCGAACAACACACCTAGGACCCTTCTGGTCTTCCTTTCTCCCCAGTCAATGCCGGAGGATTGAGCAAGTTTCATTGACGATATTTCAACAGTATCTCTTACCTTTACACGACCCGGCTAGCAGCAAACGTGTTAATTTTTGTCATCTCACAGCTGGATTGTAATTCTTGTCCATGTTTTCTACCGGCCGATGCGACTGGACAATGGCTTCAATTGCCACAAGCACCTCGGCCTCAGGCTCCCCAGCCCTCTTCAAGCCGCCAACGGCGCACCGAACAAACTCTCTGGGCTGGGCGAAGTCCGACTGCCATACGTGCCAATCTTTGTCTCAGCGCTGCGATCGAAGAAGACCTCGGTGCGATGCGTGCACAGCTCGAGGAATAGTATGCGGCGGATTTGCACAGAAGCTGCAATGGCAAGACCAACGGCGGAAGACTCGGCCCCAGAGACCTAGACAGACCAAAGCCACCAGCCCTGAGGACTATGGAGGTTCTACTGATACAATAAGATTTTCATTCGTGCAAGAAGATGGGAGACGAGAGACAAAGCGCAAGAGGACGCACAAGACACCGTCCCCCCACACACAGGAAGACTCAGCAGAAATGCCGTCATCGACGCCTGACGCAGGGTCAAGTCCGGAACGGAGATATAAGCCGGGGTTAGAGCTTGGTCCAGTGCTGTACAGTCACCAGCCCGACTACTTTCAGCTTCCGTTCTCCACCCTCGAGCAGATTGCCTTTTTCACGTGGACGTTCAGTCCGGTCACTCTGACCTACGATATCAAGGCCAACCCGTGGCAAGCCTGCATTCCCCAGATCGAGCAAGCGCCCTTCCTCCTCGACGCGGTACGAGCGCTGGCAATCAGGCATCGATCCCACCTAGAAGACACCCGGGAGAGCCTCTCGGTGCTGGAGCTCAAAGATAAAGCGTTGTCTTCCTTTGCACAATCAATCGGCATGGTGCCACTAGAAGTGGGAATCTCAGCGTCACTGATACTGATTGGAATCGATTACACTGAGTCCGCATTTGGAAATTGGATTGTTCACCTTCAGGGAGTCCACAGAATGATTGAAGCAGCTGGGGGCATTCAGCTTGGAAATGGCGATATGCATCTTCGAGCTCAAATCGCGCAATTGGTTTGGTACGACACAATCATTGCTCTACTGTCGAGGAGACAGCCCGTCTTCCCACGAGAATACATTGAGTGTGTTTTATCGTGGAAGAGTGAGTCGCAGTGGAGCTTTCTTGCACTCAACGGCTTCCCGGATGCAGCGTTTCCGCACATGTACGAGATAGCCGAAGCCGCAGCACATGCGTCTTCACTCTCAGAGGGCCATGTGGCCGGCCTGGAGATGAAACTCTGGCTCGCCCGCTTCGAGACCGAGCAGGGAACCACTGATAAGGATATTGCGGCACTGACAGATTGCTGGAGGTTGGGTCTACTTCTCTACTGCACTAGAGTGTTCCATCGCGGTGAAGCGGCGAGACGGAAGGCTCGCGTGCTCGCCGAAGAAATCATGTGGCTCGTTCACGATATTCCTGCAGATTCCAACAAACAGAAGCAAGCCCTGTTGCCGCTTTTCCTGGCAGCCAGCGAGATGGAGTCATTTCGTTTCCGTCGCATTGCTGTGGATTTCTGCGAGAGGTGGAAAAAGAGATCTGGCATTTGGCTTAATCAGACCGCGATGGAGCTCTTGGAAACCGTGTGGGCAGCAGTAGACGAGAATCCCAACGGAGATATCTGGTGGGGTGATTTTGTAAACCCTTCGCCGGATTGCGGTTACTTGTTTGGATGATTGACGGCACTGGAGATCCCAGACAGAAATCTGATTCTATTATAAAGAACATCTAGATGGTGCCACAAGCCCAACCGTAATCTGGTAGGGGGTCATGTTGTGAGGACATAGGCTAGGATGAGCATTTTAAAGACAAGGGGATCTCGGAAAGTGAAATAGCCATGTCCTGCCGCTGCATTTTATAGTAGAAGCGGATGCCCGGGATTATTACGAACCAAGCCAACATGACCAATTATGCTCGACCTATGCTGCGAGGTGGCGATTTGAGAAGGTAAGGAAGGCTAGGTCAATATGTATTCTTGCTGACTTTCTGATTTGTCCCGTATCAAGGAGCCAACTCAAGGGTAGACACGATCCTCGTAGCATACCTTTATGTAATCTGGTGAATTCCTTTGTTACTTGTTCTCTCTTTTTACTTTTACCTTGAAAATGCCTTTCATGGATTTCCGCACCTCTCTTTCTCTCGGAAGAGACCCATTTTCGGAAAGCTGCCGGCCTTTGGCTATCGTCAGACGCCGCTAGTGAACGATAACAACTCGAACATCCCATCATCAGAGGCAATGGAATCAGCCGTATTCGCAATTGCAAAGAGAAGGGATGCCTCCATGAGTTGTTGGAGTCGTGCTGATTCAGCAAATAAATATGAAAGAACTGATGTTGGGCAGAGAAGGCAGCTACTTAAAGCCTGGATGAGCCATAGCTGAATGGTAAACCAAATCGCTACCTCGGATCAAACCAAGCCTCGCTTCTCATTGCCGCACAATATCTCTTGTCTATTATCCTCAGAACGTCGACCTTGCATTTTGATGTCGTACCGGGAACGATCTATCTCGTCGACAACGACCAAGATAACAGTGTGTTGAACCAAACCGAGCTCTGACCCGCCACATCCGCTGAACTAGAAGCCGTGGCGAAAGTAGAGGGCTATATTGATAGCATATGTCTATATCTTGGGAATCGGCATCGCCACGATAGTTTAGTACTTAGTTCTTATTCAAATCTCAGAAGAAACCAGTATCTCAATTTCTGAGCTCAATATTGGCATTGGCTTGCTGTTTCTTTTGCTTAGTTGGGAATGTCTGGTCTAGGTACCTATCGCTCTAGTCTTTGGTCGCCGACGAGTCTATATCCTCTCCCATTTGTCTGCGCTAGGACCAACTATTTGCACCGCGTATTCCTCGGCGAGCGAGTGTTACGCCTACTAGATCTTGCTAGGTCTCTTCGCTGTGCCGTGCGAGGCGCTTCCTGAGATTTCGATCCCTGATATCTTCTTTGCTCACGAGAGAGGTTTCTATATTGGATTGGTATCGCCTGGGCCCCTCTCATTCTATTGCACATGCTCGATGCTGATATACTCATAGTATCTACGCCATGTTGGCATTTGGGACCAATGCCCTTTCACCTCTGATCGCTGAGTTCATCACTAAACTCTCTTGGCTGGCGCGCAGTAATCTGGTTTTGCGTGATCCCACTTGCGGTTTCGACTATCATCATCTTCTTCGGGTTTGAGGAGACTTTATACTTCCGCACAATTGTCGAAGGAGTTTACGTGGACGACAATACGTCCGACGACTCAAATAAGGAGACATTGTTAAAGGAGAAGATTGACGAGACAACGCCTGCGACAAAGAATTATCTCACGGTCCAGACTTCGACACAAGTCATTCCGTCACCATTGCCATCGCAGTCATATCTCAGTAAGCTGAAGATCTTCCGAAGCCTTCAGGGCCGGCCATCTGTCAAGCAAATGTTTTTCATGATGTACCGACCACTGATGATATTCTTTTACTTCCCATCCATCGACTGGGCTGGCTTCCTCTACGGCATCAAGTTATCCTGGTTCACGGTCTTGAACGGTACCATGAGCGCAGTATTGAGTGCTACGCCATATTAATTTTCCTCCAGTATGGTCAGACTATCCTACATATCACTCCTTGCTGGATCACTCCTTGGTGCGTTCTGCGGAGGCTGGGTGGCCGGCGTATGCGGGTGAGCGGCGTGAACGGAAGTGCGTTACTCGTTGATGGTCAATTATTGTTAGGCCGTCGCGAGTCATGTCTGCATGTGTTCCCTCCCCTATGGTACTTTTGCATGCCACGTGGGGCCGAGGGCCATCTCAGTCTAGCGGCATTATGGCCCAATTTTGTGTGACAGGATCCATATCTTACTTAACCTCAGTTTAGTCTTTTTTTAGGTAGAGGGATTCTTGGTCTTAGCGCTAAAATATATATATCGATAATGAAAACTAAAAAGATATAGTGCTAGGTAAGCATCAACTATGATCGGAATAAATAATAATAATATACGAAGTAGGCGTGAGTGAAGAAGACTTCATGGAAGATAGAAAGCAAACTAAATAATAAAAATAAAAAACATACAACAGCCAGGATTCGCATGTGGTCACCCACCATACTACTAACTGGCCGGCGTGTGGCTTAAGTACGGCTGAGCGGACGGGAAGCCCTGTTCTCCACACCCTATGGTCGTATGTGTTTGAAATCAAGCTAAGGAGTCTAATAATATTGATAAAGGCTAGAAAGTATGGGAGTTACAAGGATCCATACATAACCTTAACCTTAGCTTCAGGGGTTTTATAAGTACAACTATTCTTGACCTTAGCGCTAATATATTGTTACCGATAATAAACACTAGAGAGATATACCACTTTGCATAAGAAGAAAACAGTTGAAGCAAAAGACCCAAGGACCCTAATGGAAAGATCTTTACCCAGACCTAAATGTTGCAAGGTCTACACGGTGTAGTTTACATACACTGTATTATCTCGTATTAGCAGTGACATATCGCCTAAGCTACAGTACAGCACAGTACGTAAAAACCCCCACTGGCTCGCCCCTCCCCTCCAGGACTTATCTGACCACTCCAATTCTCTCCAAACTCCTTTTTCTCAACCTCGGAGATATAGTCAGAAAGATTTATGTCAACAATCCACTGGCCCGAGGGAATCCCTCGCGAGATCAGACCGCATCCCAAAACAGATCTGTCTGGAGCCGAGGTCAGGGAAGAAGTCAAAGGCTGGCTACTTTTCGTCCAAGAAAGCTTACACGTAGCCGCGCCAATATTAGCAACGACGATGAGTACGAGCTACACCAACGACGAGCCCTGGTCCAAAAATGGGCTTCTGAGTCGCAAGGTGTTCGTGATGTTAGACCTACATACCCTATTCACTCCAAGTCTTCCTCGAACCGTAATTGACGGTATTATAGTCGTTCCAAAACCGCGCTTCAGACAATGGGCTTGCGTACCCCCTGAGGTATTAGAGCATATATCTGATACTCAACAGCCTTGTGAAACGAGGCATGTCATTTCCGTAGCACCGGTTGACGAGACGCATCCGATAAACCGGGCGCGATGGGCCAAGCTCGCTATTCTTTTTTATCGTTACGATATTGAATCGGGGCACTGTCTCCCCTTCGATATCCTGATTCCCACGGCGGCAGCATTGAACCCAGCTACTACAAATACCTATTCCATTGAAGATTTTCTTTCTTGGTATTGTCTTGAGAATGCCCATTTTCCAACTATCCAGATGACCCGCACTGGAACGGTGCTCTATCGTCCATATGAACGATACTTCATGATAGTGGATGACGAGGGCTTGAAAACTGGTCGTTTCACGGTGGTTCAGTTTAATAGTGATGGGACTATTAAGGATTCAGTTTTCCTACGCCCTTTTAATATGTACCGTTTCGCGAACAATCTCTATATCCATGGGAGAGAGGGGATTTCGTGGGTATACGAGAGAGTTCAGGCGGCAAAAGACATCAAAACCAGCCGTGAGTTTTATTTTACACTTCACCCTTTCTATTTTACTATATGTTTTAGTCTATATACTAACAGAACGGGGGAATAGAATGGATATGGATCTACCTATCGTGGATATCCTAATATCGGCGGCCGAACCAAACGTAGCCGAACCAAATAGCATCCCGTATGCACAAACGATATACTGCGACCGTGTACAGTTTGAACAGGACATCGAATGCTATGCGCCTGGATATCTGGCCCTTGAAGCTGCTGGGAAGGGTGGGGAGTACGACTTTAGCTGTCTCACTAAGCCCGATGAGATTCCATTCGACAGAAAGCCGGTGTACAGAGAATGATGGCGGCTCTCATGGCTGGTGCCGGACGTCGTCCTATGTAGAGGTATATGTCGACATATTCTATCATCTTTGAATCCGACCTCCACTTTAGCTTGATGTCCGTGGTCATTTATATATGATAACTAAGGGGAATTCAAACTCAGGAATGAGATTATTGTGTATTAACTTATATGGCCGTAATACTGTCGTTGCTGAATGCATAGAGGCTCAGGTTGACGATGCCGTATACAATTGGACTCACACCGTTTAGTCAATAATTGATAATATATCACCAATACTGATCTGCATGTTGGAGATCTGTTATGGACGGGGTATAGAGGAGTGTCGAGTAAGAATGATGGTAGAGCGTGGCTTTTGTGGGGAGGTGATGCAGCGGGATTAAATTGACAATGGTTGTCGTTCGCGGTCCTACCTGTCCAAGATTTCACGTATTTGGAAGGTAGATGGATATTTTCTGACCAAGTCAGAAGCTTCCTCCCACTGCACTAGCCCTGTGTTGGAGTAATCTCGTCCGTACGTATAGGATGTCAGAGCTTTTTGACACAATTCCGCATGTTCCGAGTTGCTCACTCCCATATAAGTGGCCTCAGGTGCAAATTGGGCGGGATCCATTATTATACTTATCAATCTTTTGTCAAAATACGCAAAAAGCTCAACAGAAGGTATAATGGGATGTGAAGTTACCACTAATTATTCTCCGACAATAGGTGGCAATGAGTTCCCGTCTTCCTTCCCCGATTATATCCCTTCCTGTGCCGGAGAAGGCAGGCACAGAAATAAAGTGCAACGCCGGATCTTGACCTACTGGATGGCCATGGCCGGGGTAAGTCTGATATCTTTCAGACCAGGATCCAGCCCTGCATGGTCTCTTAGAATGTGTGCGGCCACCCACTATCTGCTGTTCCCCAGGGCGGATTGTATCGCCTGTGCCACATTTAGGGTTTTATTATCCTCATTGTCACGCTTCTTTCGCTTCCCCTGACTCCCTTGCCTGGGTTGGTGTTGGTGGCCTTGGATTTCCTCTCTTACTTCTGGCCTTACCCATCCGGGGGGCGTACTTCTCCGCCGCACCAGATGCAGTGTATGAAGGAGACGCAGTGGTTGCCGGCCTGCTACTGGCGTCAATTTGCACCATTTCAACCGCTCCTCGGTACGGGCTCGCGCCTGCGCTGACATCAAACGCAAGCATTCACCGACTGGTCATTTCACTACCATCGACCAATCCTAAACTTTGGCCCTCCGCTATCAGCTCTACGGAATGATGTATTGCCTGGATATGTATCAGGGTGTTTAGGTGCCGAACTTCCACATATAGTGCTCTCATGTTTTCTGGAGAGCAACCGAGAAACCCTTACCCCTTAAGTCACGGGCTCCTGGAAATTGGAGGCCTTTTGGGGCAAGTTCAGCACCAAATTTGACCCCATTCTGGGGGGACATCATGGTCTCCGGCTGATTAATCCAAGGGCTTGCTCTGTACACGGCCAATATGGGGGCCTGCGCTACCCCGATCCAGGCTCTCTGTGCTTAGAGGTAACCCCTCAGCATATATACAAGCACGACACCCACACCGTCCCTAAAGCATCAGTCCGAGCCTCTGGCGCCAGACACGGTTGTCTTTTCCACCCGTAACGTTGGACGGCGAGCTCCCACCCCCCGCCCGACAATAGGAAATCAAATCCCTATACGCTGTTTCCTGCGAGCCGAACTGGATATACCCCCAATGAAACTTGCAGGAAATCATAGGTCAAGTTAGATAAGGACGTGGTGAATAAGCTTAGGTTGGTCATCAGTCAATATATTACCAGTAGCAGAGAAATCCACGTATTTCATGAAAATTTAATCTCTTCACAAGTCTGTTCCACTCAGCGTTTCGGCTGAACGTGGTCCCACATTCTGTGCGGCCCATGAGAGCGCCGTGCGGCCATCATTGTCTTTCGATTCCACATCAGCTTCCTTCGCAAGTAGCAGATGACAATCCTCCGTGTCCATTCCATATCAGTGGCGTCGAGCCATCTTCCTCGTCTCTTAGCTCTAGGCCAGCACCACACTCGAGCAGTAGTAGATTGACAAAGGCCGTATACCCGTTCCCTGCTGTTCATGACAGCGCTATCTGACCATAGCCCTTATCTTTTGACACAAGGTCGGCATCCTTGTCGAGTAGCAGCGCGACAATAGCCTGGTTCCCATCCTGTGTAGCCCATGAGAGCGCCATCCGGCCATAGTCATCGTTTAACTGGAGATCAGCGTCCTTATCGAGCAGAAGAGAGACAACACCCTCGTGCCTCTTCCCTGCAGCATGTAACAGCGCTGTTTGGCCATAATATTCCACACTTGAGATCAACACCCTCCTCGAGTAGTGGATTTACGAACATTAGGCATCTTCTTGAGCAGTAAGCAGGAGTGTAACAACGGCCTCGTCCCCATTCTTTGCAGCCAATAACAATGGCCTCAAGCCATGTTCTTCATATGGAAAACTGGATTACTCATGAACATAGTGTTAGAATCGCCACTATCGGTCATATTGGCCGTGCCTGATACAAATGAATTGCCTTACTTGTCTCAGGTTCCGGTCTACTTTGCTTCACCCACGACGCGCTCGAAATAAAGCCACTACGTTGTCTAAGAAGAGATTCACGAGCAACTAAAATATCTTAACCATCGAGATGAAAGGTCGTGATGATATCAGGAAGGTGCATGGAATAGACACGAGAGAACCCGTAATCCCACTGGATTACAGTCCTAAATTTACTGGTTGATTATTATTATTACGCTGTCGTGAGTCATTTCTGCATTTGTTCCCTCCTCTATCCTTGCATGTTTTACAACGCTAACTCTCGATGCATCGAGCTTACGCGGAACTAGTAAGAGCGAGCCTATTATGACCCCCACCCCCTTGCTTGAGCAGCAGTAACTCACCTAGCGGTGAAACTTTCTTCGAAGCACCCCTCATGCATACAGCCCTCTTTGTTTTCACAGCTGCGCCACGAGATTTGACAGGACAGCAGCTTGTATCCGGAGTCAACGACGAACAGAGCCCGGGCCACTATTACGATGTGACAACATGACAATGAGTTTCTGCCCTCAGATTAGAACCTCCCTTCAGGTAGATACCATGATCGATATTTTCCATCCTTGATGCCCCCTATCCAGTCATGATTATACCTCCAACTAACTCAATATGGAAGCTTCTTCTGTTCCTTGTCTTTCTCAAGATATAAAACTTGAACTGTGTGCCGGCTATGCCCCATCGCAGCGGCGACGTTGTCATGCTCGCACAAATGCATTAGGGCGCAGTAATCGTTATTAAGCTAGGGCACCAAGCTTCTTCGTGCCGGGCAATACATTGATACTTTACTGGTGGAGCTGCCTCCTAACGTACTGTGCAGACGATTCCATCAAAGTCAATCCTTTGATCTCGCTACGAGCTGGAAGAACCAAGTTGGCCATTTTCTACGATCTGAATCTCATAACAACTCCCCAGCAGTCAATGCAGAGCGTCGTCTGCTTCAGTGGTGCTGCAATTACCCGGTGAAACATACGATATTGCGTTCGATACACGACAAGGGAGGATTTCTACTGCCGAAGAAAGCATCGCGAACCTGCGAGGTTATTACCGGATTCAACTGAGGTTCCCGAATCTCAAATTAATACTTTTGCGCACGCTGCGAGGAATGATGATGCTGCAAACAATATCAAAGGAACAATCTGCCAAAACTACCAATATAGCACCAGGCAGACAAGACGCACCAGAATTCAACCTCCTTCAAGAAGAGAGGCGCCCAATCAATCTAGTGCGGGGAGAAGCAAGCTCAACAACACTCATTAATGCCGCTGAAACCAGATTGGATATTGTATCAACAAAACCATCATTGAATCTTCACTTGAGCAGTCCCACTCTGGAACGGGGTCAGTCTTAAAGTCATTACATCAGTCGTTCGTCCGTCTGGATGGCCTGTTGATGGAGATTGTAGAATTTGTTTGGAGTCTTTGTGAAGCAACAAGCGGGATTCCGTTCAAATACGAGGGCAGAGAATGGTGAAGAGGACGGCAATGGTAGGCGATGGTGAAGACGAATTTAGGCACGACCAGGGTGAAATCATGTAGTGCAAGGCTCTATGTGGAGTAAATTTCCATGTAAAATGTAAGCATCCGTGGCTTGCAAAATAATCTTTCCCTGGATGTCGACATGTCGGATGGAACGAAGACGTTAACTGGTTCTCGCTTCTGATAATTTGATTTGTTTCTGTAAATCATGCTCACATGAGGACCATACATTAATTATAAGTAATTCCACAAAATGGCAAGTATGATGAGGTCAATGAGAGTAATTCATAGCACGATCCCAACAGAAAGAAAATGGCGTTATTAGCAATAGGTACTCAAAGAGACAATTAACAAGCGATGTACAGAGCACTAGCACATAGTGACCATAACAACCTTCGCCGGTTCAGTGAATGTTCCGTTGACCGGTGCACTCAGAGCCCCGTTTGTTGTGACATATAGGACCTCCTGCCCCCAATAAAAGCCAAATTGTGCATCAGTCGATCCAGCAACAGCAGTTGAATTCAAGTTCCCCACGAAGACAGACGTCTCGCCACTAGGAGTGACTTTAAGGACTGTATTTCGCGGATGAGTTGTAATATATGCCGTTCCATCTGGTTTCAGTGCCAGCCCGTCCTGGAAGAAGCCACTAGCAACAACCTCAATGGGCCCTGCAGCGGAACCGTCGGTGTTTAGTGCTACACGACAGAATACTTGCTTTGTGCTGCTGGTATAATAAAGAGTGCGCCCTGACACCTTGATCCCATTGATTCCAATTGGAGGGAGCCCTTCCACGGGGAGCATGCTTGAGTCTGATAATGCAACCGAGTAAGCCCCAGTTCTGGGATCCAGGCGCCAAACTGCACCCTTTTTGGTGTCCGCGATAAGAAGAAGTGGCGGGCCACCTCCTTCATACAGAGTCATTCCGCTCAAAGATTGGCCCTCGGGGATTGCTTTGAGAACGCTCGCTCGAGGGGTGAGGAATCGTAAGTCGACAGTCCAAATGACAAAGCTGCCGGCAGTTGCCACCGTTGTGGCCAGGTCAACTATACCGGCGCCCACTGCGTAGATGCCAGGTGATAGCTCGGTGATTCCAACAGTGCTGGTGGCATTGGGAAATGTGTATAGCAAAGAGGCTTGTTTGGTCAAGGGGTTAATTGACCATAGCTCGGGAGTGTCCGTGCGAGTTATCAGGATGTCTCCATTTTCTCGAACAGCAATCCCTTCAATCCAAGATCCAATATTGGGGAACTGAAAAATGGTCGAGACTGTAGTAGATGTACAGAGTGCGCTTTGAGGTATAGTCAAAAGAAAGACCAAAAGCCCCCAGAGAGGGATAGAAGAGAAGCCTAGCATCTTGCACATGATCAAGCCTTAGAAGGAATTTAGTAAATCAAAGCAGAGCCTAGGGATACCGTCCATATTTAAGACATATTCATGAGCAAATAACTCACTAAGGCGTAATTAACTGACCGTGCACCTTCTATGTGCCAAGAAAAGACATATTACTTTCCTTGGAAATTTGGGCCTAGAACTTATCTCGCAACTAGGTTCCATTAGGTTCACCGAAGCGACGGCTGAGAAGCGACTCCCTCCAGCTTTGGACCAAAATAGCCTCTTCCTTGGATAACAAACGTAGTAAGATCGTATTGGTAATTTTTACCCCCTGTCCAATTTTGGTAATATGACCCGCCGTTTAATGGTCAAATTCAGATACTGTAGCTAGACAGGTGATGTATCTCACATCTTACTGGTACCATCCTTGTCCCTACATTATTTTTCGTGTCATTACGTATGGTTGCATGCTGATGCAGTTCAACACCATCACCTGCCCTGCTGCCTGATAAGAAAGATATCTATTTGAAGGGCTTGTTTTCTTGTTCTTTTCGAAGAACTTGCATGCTCATCTGAAATATTTGACTCCTCCTTGCCGCTTGCTTCAACATGGAAAACATTCAATTTCAAGGTAGAAGTCCTATCTCAAGCACCACCACTACAGATCACTTTAACATTTGACGTAGACTACCTTGCCGTCTCCCGTCTTGTCTTCGAGTGGGCTGATAGCTATGACAACAAGGCAAGTCACTCAGATAGTGCTGCATGACTACCGTACTCATCCAAGACAAGGACTGGGAGAGACTGCGCAAGATCCTCGCGCCGACCTTGATGGTATAGCGCACCCGCTCTTCTACACGTCATGCATCACTAGGGCTGACCATGAGCTGGCAGGTGGACTACAGCATCGTCGGTCACGAGTGCTTTCCAGATATGGACTCCGAGGCATTTATTTCATTGACAAGCGCTCCCGAATTCCTCGGAGATCCACTTGTTCGCACTCAGCATCTCATTGGTGCTGTAAAATACGAGTCGGTCTCTGATTCCGAGATTATCGCGACTCATCAAATTCGGGCAGCTCATCAGCGTTACAAAGACTCTGATTTAACCACGGTGGAATATAAAGGGCATGGCCATTCGATCGTTAAACATTGGTACAAGAAGTTCAATGGTGTCTGGAAGCTTGCTGGAGTGCGTCCTGAAATCTATTGGAACGAGTTTGACTTTGAGAAGATATTTCCTCTATTGTCTGCGGCGCATTGACCGATGTGCAAGCTCGGGAGTTGACCCACGCTAGTCAGTTGTGCGTCACGGTCCGGATTCGTGGTTTTGGTCTGAGGGCGGAAATTCTGATTTGGGTAAGGCGCGCGGGGCATGCACATCGTCGGAGACAGGGTTTAAAAGAGAATAGGACCTGTGTATGCTAGGTTTATTTTTTCCACCTCAAAATAGTTAGGCCCCAACATCAAGATAAAGACTAGACCTTCGTGTTCAGCTCTGGACGCCGCATGCATCATGCATGCAGGGGATGGCGATCTGTAATTGGTGAAGTCAGCCGCTCTTTATGCAGGTCTCACATTCTCATATCGGCATCATGTTCGTACGCAATTATGAAGCCTCACAATATCCTTCATCGACACACCTGTTTGTGCTGTCTCTTGCAGCAGTCAGCTGCGCTTTAGGATAAGGATTATGGATAGCTGAGGTCCGAGAAATGAGCATTGGTAATTTTCTGATAAGTCGCTTTCGCTTGGGAGCAAACAAAACCTACGCCTAGATTCGCTAACCCTGGAAGGATTCATGTCCTTTACTCTCAGCGCTGGTGTTTCTTCTCTCTTTCCTCGTCATTGTCCGCAGCATTCCCTGTTCTTCTCCGACCTCTTTGCTGCGCACGCAGCCGATTCAACAGTCCTCGAATTGGCAAAGCAAAATGCTTCTTCAATTGATATTGTGGACAACCCTTCTACTCGAGTCTATCTCTGCCAAAGATGTCTACTATGATTGGCATGTTACTTGGGTTACTGCTGCCCCTGATGGATACGAACGTTCGGTAATCGGGATCAACAACCAATGGCCCTGCCCCCAGATCGATGTCGATGTTGGAGACCGGCTCATCATAGATGTTCATAATGATCTGGGGAACCAGGACACAGGCATTCATTGGCATGGGCTCCATCAATATATGACAGGGTACATGGATGGAGCACCCGGTGTAACTCAGTGTCCCATACCCCCGGGCCGATCCATGCGTTATGTTGTTGACGTATGTTTCCAGTCGCTTTGCTTATACTTTATTTCCATGAGTGCTGACTAGCTTTCAGGTCAATCAAACCGGGACTTATTGGTATCACTCTCATCGCATGGGCCAGTATCCGGATGGGCTACGAGGAGCGCTCATTGTTCACGATCCCGATGCCCCCTTTGAATACGACGACGAATTCACTCTACTTCTCTCCGACTGGTATCATGAGGAGATGACACCACTGATACAGAGCTATCTATCCGAAAACGATCCAGCAACCGGCGGGCTGGAGCCTTTGCCTGACTCGGCATTAGTCAACGATGCCACCAACACAACATTCCCCGTCGAGCCTGGCAAAACATATTTAATTCATCTCATTGTTGTCGGAAACTGGCCAGGCTTCGCGTTCTTGTTTGATGACCATGAGATGACTGTTGTGGAGGTCGACGGAGTATATATTGACCCGTTTCCAGTCGGCAGTCGCAACCTCCGCCTCGCGACGGGTCAGCGCGCAAGCATCCTCCTTCGTACCAAGGACGATACCAGCAAGAACTATGCCTTTTGGACCATCATGGACATCAACATGATGTTCATATACGAGAACCGTACCATTCCCGAGGGCTACAATCCGAATGCGACCGCTTGGCTAGTTTACGACGAAACGAAGCCTCTCCCTCCGGCTCCCCCTCAGTATGAGTTTGATTTTGTTGATGATTTGGAGTTTGTGCCTTTCGACCACGAGCCGCTTCTTGAACCTGTTGACCATCAGATCATTATGGATTTCAATTCGGCGGCGGTAGAAGGCGGCCTGACGCGATTTGTGATCAACAACCATACTTATTATGAGCAGCAAACTCCGACCCTCTATAGCGCATTGATGATGGACTCTCACCACACGGAAAATAATGTGTCCGCATATGGAGCGGTCAATCCTTATGTGGTCAACTACGGTGATGTGGTCGAGATCGTGCTCAATGACTACCACAGTAACCTTCATCCATGGCATTTACACGGCCACCAGTTTCAATGTCTCCAACGAACAATTCCAAATGGAGGGTACTTTGACGGTTATTTCGCCAACATTTCAGCAACTCCCGTTAAGCGCGACACTTTGATGGTGCAAGGCCATGGGCATTTCGTGATACGCTTCCGAGCAACTAACCCAGATAAGTTCACCCCAGCCTATATTGCTTCGTGTCTGAATAGTTTGGGCTGATCGGCTTTGTACGAGTCTGGCTGTTTCATTGCCATATCGAGTGGCACGTCGTCAAGGGAATGATCACCACCATTATCGAAGCTCCCGACCGTCTCAAAGACATGGAAGTCCCAGAGGACCAGCTCCGGCTCTGCGGCAACTATCCATTCGCGTCGGAACTGAGCAAAAAACCTGGCAAGTCGAGATCGAAGACTGGTCAGATGGAGCCCAAACATTGAGTTTCCCCATTTTCACGACCTCGGCTGGGTGGGCCATTGGGCTGTCTTTGATAGTGCATAATCGGTACCTTTGCATGCTTAGGGTGGAGGGTGATAATTGTTGGCGATGATCGTTCAACGCTTTGGATAGTAATAGTTGAAAGTATAGGGTGATTTTTGGTGCTGGGATACATAATATCAATTCAGGTGTGCAGCTACATGCAGACCGGCCGAGACATTCTGGAAACGAACTAGATCATCCCTGTATCTGACCCAAAACGGTGAATCGCGGCGCTGGAAACACAGCAACGTGTCCTGGACGCCCCCCCTCCCCCCCAAGCACCGCAGCCGCAAAACCACATGCCAGCTGTGTAGTAGCAATCGGCAGATTATTTCTAGATCATTGTACCCATCACTGATAGCAACAGGACTGCCAAGGCGCCCAAGCTTCGTCTCGGCTTTGGTGAAGCCCCCGATGAGGTTTCTGTAGCTGCAGCTGTAGCTGTAGCGCTGGCCGTTGCACTGACCACCCGAACAGCATAATCTAACGACGTCACAGGCGTGCCATTAGATGTCATGACGACGGTGGAGGTGGCGGTGGTAGAGCAAGAGCAAGCCGACCAACTCGTCCAGGGTGGTGCCGTTTCCCAGTCCCCCGAAGTCCAGCCCGTCCACGTCGCGTTGGGACAATCGCCTGGCCAGCGAGGCTGCCCCCACCAGGAAGTCCAGGGTCCGGTCGTCCAAGGCCCTGTCGAGTTCAGCCCGCTCCATGCGGTACCGAAGGGACCGGCTCCACCTCTCCACATTGGGCTACCTAAAAGCGTCTTAGCAAGCTCACTAGGTGGTGGTCTTTCGCCTCGGACACCAATACCATACCAAGTAACGGTGAACTAGTGGAAATTGAAGACAAATGCCGAAGATGATGTCTCTTAGCGGCTTATCTGGCTCAGAAGTGGCGACCCTAGTGACGCTAGTCTTTTGCCCGTGGGAAGATAGAAGGCAAAGTTGTAGAGCTTTTGCACAAGAAGAAAAGGTGGAAATCCAGCCTTGATCTGTTTTTTTTTTTTCAATAGAATGGAAAGAAATCATGGTTGGTAGAGAGGATAACCACCTTCTTAAAACCCCAGTCACCATGAACCACAGAGGCCTTGGATGAATACTTCCTCCGTCCAAAAGGCTAGACGCGTCATCTACAACCCTCCATTCTACCTAGTCGTCATGCGTGCTTCGTTGGCGGCTTTACGGGATCGACCAAGACGTCAATGCCCTACACAAAACGAGGGAAGTCCCTGTCATTGTCGTTATCTTCCTCGTTTCCTTTGAAACACAAAAACGACGGACAGGGTAAGCCGAGACGGCCCGTACAAGCTAGCTGGTCCAAATCCCAACCTCAGAGCGCGTCTGTAAGCAGGACGGAAATGCATGGTAGCCAGCCTTGCATGGTCGCCAGCCTTGCATAGAGAGCTAGCATGTAGAGTGGGGGTAGAAAAGCACAGACACGAGTGCTTCGGGGATCACGCCAATCATGCGGTACAACGAACTGTTCGGCAAGGGGCAGCCACCGGGAGGGGAATATGATGCATGGGATCGGAAAGTCCATCCATCCAATAAGACGACCAGACCGGTGTCAACCTCGTATTTGACTCCCCACCCGACTGCCGTTGACTTTCGAGTGGACGCCAAATGCCAGACCCAGCCGGTGGGAGATGTGGGGGATCGGGGTCAACTAGTGGCGTTTGGCTAGACTGTTGATCGAGACGGGATCACCAAATCTGAAAGCGCCACGCAGATGGCGCTCGCTGCAGCGGCCGTGCTCACCCCTCGATCAAGATTCTGGGTTTCTGGCTCGCGTTATCTTGACCCTGCAGGAGCATTTGAATTCCACTGCTGTCATCCCGAGCCAAGCCTCAAGCCAAGAAATTAAATACAGTACACTCAGGGGAGGCGGCGCGGGGGGCGTAAGCTTAGACGCAATGCGCCCGCTCTGTACGGCTCTAGACTTTACGGTATGCACGCTGAAATATACACATCAAGTATGCCCCAAGGGTTTCTGCGTAATATTCTAGCACGCCAGATCGACGCATAGCTAAGTCACATGGGACGAACAGACAGCTCAGATGCATTCACAGATCCCTGCTCAAGTTCCTTGGACCCCCGAGGCAACCTTGTCGCGACCTTGCATCCGCCTATGCGATCAAATATTGGCACCACCATTCACGGGAAGTATCTGGCCTGAGAAAAAAACAAACAAAATTAGGAGTCAGCTGTGTTATAATCCCCTATGCATCTCTACCGGAGAGAGTTTGCTTACCGTTGATCCATTCGCTTTCGGGGCTAGCCAGGAAGGCCACGATCCGACCGACATCCCTGGGAACACCGCATCGCTTTAACGGACTTCCACTGGCCAGCGCTGCCTCAATTTCCTCGAGAGAGGAACTGCGGTCACACCCAGGAGCGTAGCGCCAGGCATTTGCATCCCACATGTCAGTCTTCACTCCAGCGGGTGCGATCGCGTTGACGGTGCAGCTCTTTTTTCCAAAGTCTGCTGCAAAGCAACGTGTAAATCCCTCCACGGCGGACTTGCTTCCAGCATACAAAGCATGTCCAGCCACTCCGACGCCTGCAGCAATCGACGACATCAAGACAACGCGTCCACCGGGCTGGAGATGCTGTAGAGCATTCTTGGCAACGAAGAATTGAGCACGGGTATTGAGGTTGAAAATTTCCTCGAAGTCGGCCTGGGTAGTGTCCGCCAGGGGAAGGAATTTCTCTTGGCCTGCGTTGGATACCACAATATCAAGGCGACCGAAATGAGCAATGACCTCAGCAAAAAGTTTATTGATATCATCGAGGTTATTCAAGTCTGCTTGAAATGAGGCGGCTCGAGCGTTGGTTGCCTCAATCTCCTGAACGAGTTCAATGGCCTGGGCTGAGCTACGCGAATAGTTGATGGCTACCGCAGCTCCCCTTTCGGCCAGTTCAAGAGCAATGCCTTTGCCGATGCCTCGTGCCGCACCTGTAATAAGGGCAACTTTTCCTGACAGGGGCTGATGTGTTCCGGTCATCGTGATATTGAAATTGGGGAGAAAATTCGAGCACAAATAATTGCGGTTTCCAGCTTGATGATCTCTAACCGAAATATATGTGTATCGGGGGAGTCTCCCTCAGGCTATATATAGACTGAATATTGACTACTATCACCTGGAGATGGGCTTAAGTCGCTGTGTCTAAAATTGGATGATCCTATGATAAGAGAGTTTCCAATGCATCTAGTATTTGTCGTTTACAGGAAAATGTGCGACCTCATGCGGGATTTCCTCCCTTCAGGCGATCCGGTGGCCATGACCACACTATCGCAGCCTTGTTAAAAATTTCTTTCCTCTCGGTTACTATTTCCTTTTCGCCACTATCATCAGACAAGGGGTAGTCTTGGACGTACTTCCAAGTTCCTGCAAACATATATATTTCCACCAAACCTTAGCTAATCTAATGTAATATTCCATTATCAAGTTCTGCCTCTACACCGGTTTCTCATCGAGCACGCTCCCTCGCTCAGTTTCAATACCCCTTATTCTGGTTTCCATTGAATCCATCGATAATGGCTGCCTTGGACGCACCCAACAATCCCCCCCACCCGGTCCAACTTGGCTACTGGGGCCACTGTTGCTCTCCTCTGTCTGTCTCACCTACTGACTCAGGCTGCCCTGGGTCAGGCAATTGCACCACTCCTTATTATTAGTCATGACCTCAAAGCTGCCAGTGTGGCCGCATCGAGCTGGTACGTGGCAGCATACAGCCTGACAGTGGGAACATTTATTTTGATTGCTGGGAGGTTTGGAGATGCCTATGGCCACCGACTGATGATCCTCATTGGCTATGTTTGGTTCGGGTTATGGTCGCTAGCATGTGGCTTTGGTGTTTACTCCGGAAATGTGCTTTTCATTATCTTCCGCGCTTTCCAAGGAATTGGGCCCGCTATGCTCCTCCCAAATTCCCTCGCTGTCCTTGCGCATATGTTTCCACCGGGGCTGAAGAGGAACATCTCTTTCAGTCTATTTGCAGCTGCCGCCCCCAACGGGTACCTTCTGGGCTGTCTCTTTTCCAGCATCTTTGCCCAGCTTGTCTGGTGGCCTTGGGCCTATTGGGTTCTCGGGGCCGTCTGCTTTGCTGCTGCTTTGCTGGCCCTGATTGTCATCCCACCCCAGGCGTCGGATATGCAACCTAGACCCGGCCTAGAGCAGATGGACCTTTTTGGTGCTTTCTGCGGGGTCATAGGGTTGATTCTCGTGAATTTCGCATGGAATCAAGGTGCAGTTGTGGGCTGGTCCACGCCATACACATATGCACTCCTTATCGTGGGGCTTGCGTTCCTGCTCCTCTTTGCCTGGCTGGAAACACGGAGCTCTCATCCAGTCTTGCCTACACAGACTCTTAATTTAGACACCATCTTCGTGCTGACATGCATCTCATGTGGCTGGGCTAGCTTTGGGATCTGGCTGTTCTATGCATGGCAGGTATCTGAACGAATCCTCGGATATACTCCGCTCAGTGTCGTCGCACAGTTTACCCCCGTGGGCATCTCAGGTATCCTTGCGGCTTTTTCGGTTGCCTACCTGATTGGACGACTCAAGCCATACTACATCATGCCCATGTCGATGCTTTCGTTCTTGTTAGGCTCCGTCTTGTTCGCCACGGCGCCGGTGCAGCAAGTCTACTGGGCCCAGGCCTTTGTATCGATCATCATCATGCCATGGGGAATGGTCAGTGGAGAACATTATCGCAGCCCAAGCCCATCTATTGAAGCTAAAAAAAACTAATGTCTCACTTTCTGGGTTTTTAGGATCTGTCCTATCCGTCCGGCACAATCCTGCTGAGTGCTGCAACGCCACATCAGAATCAAGGCATTGCCGCTTCTTTGATGAATACAGTTGTCAACTATTCTATATCCATAGGCTTGGGAATTGCTGGAACTGTTGAGTCCAATCTGAGCTCCTCAGGTCATAGCGTTCTTGAAAGTATTCGCGGGGCACAATATCTGGGCATCGGTCTTGCTGGAATGGGGCTGTGTATCTCCATCGTCTATCTTGTTTTGAGCATAAGCCGCTCAAAGGCAAAGGCCCATGGGACGGGAAGTGACAGGGATTGCACCCCGAAGCCTAGCTCCTCGGAAATGACGGAAGCTTAGAAGCATATCTAAAGAGGAAAGAGTGGACCAGACATCCCGGTGCGCCAGTCACGTAGCTAGCTTCATAGCTCGGCTGCTGATGCCAATCTATCTTTTTAAACCATCCGTAAATGGCAATCCGTGCTTCAACTTTGCATTATGATAACATCATTTCGGAGGTTTTCAGCATTTTCCTGGAAGGGTTCATCTGACATGTGTATCTAGGGATCGAGCTCGTTCTTGCAGATATCCTATAACTGGCTATCCTTGTATATTGCTTTCAGCTTTCAAGTCATGACAAATACCGTATGGCAGACCGCCATAATATTGATAGGCATTGGCACGGGATTGGTAATGGATATACAGGACTGCATTGTTTTACATAAATCTCTTTTCGTTGAATCACATCCCTGCTGTATGTATACACGTATTTTTCAACTGCAAAGACACGCCGACCCGCATACTCAGATAACACACCAAAATTGTGGGCAGCATCATGCCGTAAACGATACGTGTCGTCATGTTTCACATGAGCTTTCGGTGAATACGAGATTGGTCGGAGATCGATCCCATGCTGTTCGATATATAAATACACTCAGCTGATCAAGAAGAAGATAAGGTCCCGCTAGTCTGTACGCAAGGCATGAGCAGTAATACTGAAGTGTTGAAGGTTCAAGTAAAGTATTTGAAGCAGTTCAGGCCTTCAAGTCTTTCCCAGCTTCAACACTGCTCGTCCTGCCAAGCTCGCCATGGACGTTCTAGTCTTTGGTGACTCCACCCATGGGGAGATCGCTGCCTATGTGCACGATCTTGTCTTTGTTCGAACCAAGTCACCCTTGGTCTCATGCTTTTTAGACTCTGTGAGCTGTATGCTCAGAAGCACCATTTCGGGACTTCCAGCCCTCCAGCGCGAGACTCTTCCGGCATTTTCCAACTTGACCGAGTTTATTGATCACTATATTGCGAAAGGACAAAGAAATCCAGTCGTAGAGGCTACGTTCCTCTGTGTGGCGCAATTAGCGGACTACTTGTCGTAAGGCCATCTATTTTTGGCTGTCGAGTTCCGCATATGAAACGATTCAACTGACAAATGCACATTATAGCTTTCTTGAGACCGAGGCAGAAAGACCACAACACAACACAAAGATCATTGCCGTCTCTTGTGGGCTCATCGCTGCGGCTACAGCATCAATTCTCCCACACGGAGTCAGTGGCGTGGAGATTGCTGTACAAGCTGTTCAGATCACACTACGACTAGCGTTGCACGTTGACGCGTTAGCAAATCGATTAGACCCCATCGATCAGGGAGCAATTGCAAGTTCTTGGGGCCTTCAATTTAACGAGTTGGACGCCAGCGAAGCAAAGTCAATGATTGAGAACTTTATTGAAGAGCAGATGGTAAGGACATTACCGAGAAATGACAGAAAGACATGGCTAATCTTTAAACAGGGACTGCCAGAGCTTAATAAACCCTACATCAGCTCCATTTGGCCCTCTGCCACGACGATTTCTGGTTCTCCTGATATTCTACGCCAGCTGGAAGGATGGGTTTCAAGCAAAGGGCTCTCTACATCTCCAACTCGCATCTCCGGGCCATACCACGCTCCTCACTTATACAACGAATCTGTTGTTGGTGAAATAATCAACCCGGACACCATACATGGAAACGATTCTTCGATATTTACGTCTCAGAAATCTTTGCTTTCATTGCACGATGGAACTCCCTACGATGCAAAGTCCTTGGCAGACTTGTATGAGCAGGCTGTCAGAGAGATACTCGGATGTTGCCAGGATTTCTCTTCCTTGAGAAGCACACTGCACGGTGAGCTGGAGGGATCTCAGCAAGAGCACAGTATCCTCGCCCTAGGACCAATCGATGAGGCAAATCCTCTGCTCGTCGAGCTCCAGGCTCAGCATCTGGGAGGGGTACAACCGCTCTTGAATTGGAAAAGGAGTCTAGGATCTCGCCCTCCTTCATTCTCATCGACCAAAAAAGGTGGAATTGCAATCGTGGGCATGTCTGGGAGATTTCCGGGGGCACAAGACCTGGACGAGTTCTGGAGAGTTCTCCACGACGGGATGGATATGCACCGAGAAGTAAGTCACCACTATTCGTACGCTTTGCAGTTCACCCCCAAAGGCTGACTACTCATTGTTGCAGGTTCCATCCGATCGATTTGACGCACAAACCTACTATGATCCATCCGGGAAGGGTAGAAACAAAAGCCATACCCCTTTTGGTTGCTTTGTCGACAATGCCGGCCTTTTTGATCCCCGTTTCTTCAATATGTCGCCGCGTGAGGCCACCCAGACGGATCCAATGCAACGTCTGGCTTTAATGACGGCATACGAGGCTCTTGAAATGGCTGGATACGTTCCTAATCGAACACCCGCCACTCAGCTGGACCGTATCGGAACCTTTTATGGACAGACAAGTGACGATTGGCGCGAGATCAACGAGGCTCAGGATATTGACACCTATTTCATCACTGGAGGTGTAAGAGCATTCGGACCGGTACGACTCCTCCCTCACTTATTCACACATTCTTCTTCCTAGAGCGCATAACAACGGATACTGATTTATGGCGACCGTTTTGGTCTATTCGATAATTGGATAGGGTCGCATCAATTACCATTTCGGATTCAGTGGACCTAGCTTCAGTGTTGACACAGCATGCTCTTCAAGCACGGCGGCCATCCATGCAGCATGTAACGCCCTCTGGCTGCATGATTGCGATACTGCCATCGCCGGCGGCATGAACATCATGACCAACCCCGACATTTTTTCGGGTCTCAGCAAGGGCCAATTCCTATCCAAGGTCGGCCCCTGTCAGACTTTTGACAATGATGCCGATGGATATTGTCGTGGAGATGCGGTGGGATCGTTAATCTTGAAGCGGGTCGCAGATGCAGAGGCTGATCATGACAATATTCTCGGAGTGATCCTGTCTACCGCAACCAACCATTCAGCGGATGCGATCTCCATTACCCATCCACACGCGGGTACTCAGGAAATTCTCTACCGGAGAGTGCTATCCCAGGCTGGTATAGAGCCTAAGGATATCTCCTATGTGGAAATGCATGGCACCGGCACTCAAGCAGGAGATGACACAGAGATGCGATCTGTCTCCAACATCTTCTCTCCCGCAGCCCGTCCCCGGACGAGCGACCAGAAGATGTATGTGGGCTCCGTCAAGGCCAACATCGGCCATGGTGAGGCCTCCTCGGGTGTCACTGCAGTCATCAAAGCTCTGTTGATGATGCGAAACAACCTTATCCCGCCACATATCGGCATCAAACGTGAGATCAACCGAGGCTTCCCAGACCTGGCCGCACGGAATATGTACATCGCTCGGGGGCCAGTTCCTTTGCCTCGCCTTCCCTCTCAAACTCGCAAAATCTTTGTGAACAACTTCAGTGCAGCCGGCGGAAATACTGCCATTGTAATGGCAGACGGCGTCCCCAGACAGCTGAAGGGGTCAGATCCTCGACCAGTTCATGTCGTGGCAGTTTCCGCGCGATCGCTATCGTCGCTGAAAGCAAATATGAAGCGGTTGACTGAATATCTCACCTACAATCCAAACATATCACTGCCTAGCCTGTCATACACTACGACAGCTCGCCGTATCCAGCACAGTTATCGGTTTTCTTCTGCCGTCTCAGACATTTCCACTGCGAAAGCTGATTTGATGCGCGCCGCCGAAGCTGAAATTGTGCCGGTGCCCACAGCACCCCGAATTGTATTCACCTTCACCGGCCAAGGCGCCATGTATCCAGGTCTGGGGGCAGATTTGTTCAAAACTTGCATGTTGTACAAAAGGAGTGTTCAGGAGTTTGACTTCATTGCAACCTCCTTCGGCTTCCCAAGCATTCGAGCTCTGGTTGATGGAACTGACGACCGGGAATTGACAAGCATTCCTCCAACAGTTCTTCAGCTTGCGCAAGTTTCGATCCAAATGGCATTGACCCGTGTGTGGAAATCGCTCGGTATCCTGCCCGATGTGGTTATCGGACATAGCCTGGGGGAATACGTGGCCCTGTTTGCTTCTGGGGTCCTCTCTGCCAGTGATACGATTTATCTAGTGGGGTCTCGGGCCCAGCTATTGGAAACTCACTGCCTCGCAGGAAGCCATGCCATGCTGGCTGTTCAAGGGAAGATTTCCACCTGGCAAGACTCATCCTCATCAAATCAGTTTGAGACGGCATGTGTCAACAGTCCGACCGAGATGGTGCTGAGTGGGCTTTCCGCTGAAATTGAGACTGTGCAGTCCCTCATTCAAGAACAGAATGGGCGTGTCACTCGGTTGAAAGTGCCATATGCATTCCACAGCTCCCAGGTGGATCCAATCCTGGCTCCTTTCGCGCAAGTTTGCTCAAAGATCACATTCAGAACGCCAAAATGTGAAATTCTGTCCCCATTACTCAAGCGCAGTTTGACTCAAGGTGATATCGACTCGAACTATCTATGTCGTCATGCCCGCGAAACAGTCAACTTCCATGGGGCGCTTCAGACAGCAATATCCAGCAAGATCATTGATGAAAAGTCAGTCTTTGTGGAGATTGGGCCGCATCCCATCTGCAATGGCTTTGTAAAAGCCATGCTTGGTCCTAAGGTCGCCTCGTGTTCGTCACTTCAACGAAAGACCAAAGCTTGGGAGAGTCTGGCTCATGCGACCAGCTTGCTGAACAATAAAGGGGCACACATCAATTGGGCCGAGTATCATCGTGACTTTGAAGACTCGCAGGAGCTTCTGGAGCTTCCCTCTTACAGCTGGTCTTTGTCAAATTATTGGATCGATTACACAAACGACTGGTGTTTGACTAAGGGGGCGGGCGACAACGCTCCAGTGACATCAAACGGTCCACCGCCACTGTCAACAACCTCAGTCCAGCGCCTAGTCAAAGAGCAGTTCTCAGACTCTGGCAACACCCTCGTGGCCGAAACCGACATCTCCCGTCCCGACCTGAGCCTAGTCTTGTCTGGGCACTTGGTGAACACCATAGCTCTCTGCCCTTCATCACTCTATGGAGACATCGGTTTCTCAATTGGCGAATATATGTACCAGAAGATGTACCCCGGTTCTCTGGTCGATCACACCCCTTGCATCAATGTTCGCAACATGGCTGTTCCGAAGACTCTCATTAGCCGGAATACCACCGAGCACACGATCAAGGTTGTTGCAGAGGCCGACAAGGCCAAGCAAAGCATCGGGTTTACCATCTCCTCTCAAGAGGGAGATCATGCTACATTTGCCGTTGAGTTTGGAGAAGGATCAGACTGGATCGAAGAATGGAAACGAACCGGCTATCTGGTCCAAGCTCGCATCAAAGCACTCCGGGGCCCGGAGGAAGAGGATGAAGTTCATGTTCTCCGACAGGACATGGCATACAAGCTCTTTTCAACCTTCGTTGACTACAGCAAGACGTTCCAAGGAATGAAAAAGGTGTTCTTGAAACCCGGAACTTGGGAAGCCACTGCCGATGTTGTGCTGGAGACGCCAAGCACCGACCAGACTTTTGGTGTTCCGCCATATTGGATCGACAGCATTGGACATTTGTCTGGCTTTGTTCTCAATGTTCAGACCAATGAGGATGCGAAGAAGAACGTTTATGTCTCTCATGGCTGGGAATCGCTTCGTCTAGCACGCCCTCTGGTTGCCGGCAGAACTTACCAAACATACGTCCGGATGGTAGAAAATACAGGCACTAACTATGTCTCCGGTGATGTCTATTGCCTCGAAGACTCCACAGTGATTGCTTTGTTTGGAGGAGTTACATTCATGCGTATTCCAAGAGCCGTCCTTGATCAAGTCCTACCTCGGCCCAAAGCCGTTTCATCTCGTCCAGCTATTGATCAAGGGAACCGGGCAGTTCCCGAGCACAACAGCAGTGCTGTTCCCCTCAATGACTCAAGTTTGCAAGGAGCTGCCGCCAACTTCTCAAAGTCTACACACCTGCGGCCAAGTCTGTCCATTGTCTCTCAGGTTCTGACAATCGTGGCCGAGGAATGTGGGGTCGACCAGAGCGAACTGGCCGATGCGAACAGCTTTGCTGATCTCGGAGTTGATTCCTTGATGCAGCTTGCGATCAGCTCTCGCATACGGGAAGAGCTTGAGCTTGAAGTCTCTTCGTCCTTATTCATAGATCAACCAACTGTTGGAGCTCTCAAAGAGTTTCTACGGAATCTCGAGCCGAAGGACTCATCTGAGGATGATGACAACTCACGATCTTCAGCTTCGGAATCGGATGTGAATGATAACTCTTCAAGTGCGACCAGTGACTTTGCCGGTACCCCTTTGTCTTCCGATGATGTCCAAATCCCAGATCGCGCTTGGCAGGAGGACAAGAAGATGCACCCAGAGGATGTCGCGTCAAAACTCACTGTCCTGCCATTGACACTTCCACCCCTGCTGCCTGATAGAAAATCCACTTCCTTTCTACTGCAGGGCAATCCAAAGACTGCGACGACAAAGCTGTTTCTCTTCCCAGATGGTGGGGGCTCCGCAGCTTCATATGCCCGTATCCCAGATTTGTCATCCGACATCGTTGTCTACGGTCTCAATTCACCTTTCATGACTACCCCAGAAGAGTTCGACTGCGGCGTTCCCGGCATGGCACGGTATTATATTGCAGAAATGCAAAGACGCCAACCTCACGGTCCTTACAATGTCGGGGTAAATATCCGATCTCTTTCTGTCCATCCCTTCGCTGAATACTTTCTCCTCTTAAAAGCACAAGGACTGATTTTTTTTTAGGGCTGGTCGGCTGGTGGCGTGATTGCTTATGAGGGCGCCCAGCAACTCATTAGGGCAGGAGAATCAGTTGATCGATTGATCCTGATAGACTCCCCTTGCCCCTTGACCATTGAACCTCTCCCTCTATCTCTTCACAGATGGTTCAATACACTCGGTCTTCTTGGTGATGGTGATGAGACAAAGATTCCCGTGTGGCTCTTGCCCCATTTCCAGGCGTCGATCAATGCGCTTTCAACCTACAACGCTCGTTCCATTGATCCTTTCAAGGCCCCCTGCACCTTTGTTATCTGGTGTGAAGATGGAGTCTGTAAGAACCCAACAGACCCTCGGCCAGACCCCTATCCCTATGGACATGCCCAATTCCTGCTGGAAAACAAGGAAGATTTGGGTCCTCAACTATGGGAAGCAATGGTTGGGATGGCGAACATCAGGCTCTCGCACATCCCTGGTAATCACTTCACTATGATGAGAGCGCCATTTGTAAGTCTATTACGGGATTCTGTGGTGGAGCAAGGCTAATGATGCTTTTTAGGTTGATGCTCTTGGTGAAAAGATAAGACAAGCATTCCTATAATTAATAGTGTTGAAGGGTGCTTGGTTTACTTTCAGGGACCTGCCGTTGGTCGCACAGCTGGTAATACTGATATATTTTTTGGTTGGCATTCTTTTCATTCTTAATTTGGTAGCCTTGACAGCTTAGATTTGAATCAATAGTTATGAAGGAGATAATTCTGGAGACACTTGTGATATATCATCCACTTAATTTAATTTCGGTAGAAGGGGGGTAATGGCAGATCAAATGATAGCGGAGAATAGCAATCTTCCTTAGAAATAGCTCAACTTGTCTTCCCTGGAGCTCTCTAGGCTGCAGCCACATGATATAATACAAACAGTGGTACCCAAACTGATGCTGCCTCCTGGGCGGCTCGATGGCATCTCACTAGATGATGCTTACAGCAGTTACCTAGGAGGAATTGCTATCGAATTATGTAGGCAGAGCATTGTGCTGGTTATAATCTGATATTTTGGCAGCATTTGTCTGCTGCTCGGGACGATACTTTGGGTGAGGAAAAGCCTCTATTGATAAGTAGATCCATTCTATCATCAACTCGCTATCATAGTTTCTCTTCACTATCAAGATCGTATTAGTTGATACGAAAGGGGGACAGGTGGCACCCCCATACTCGGGATTTCTTATGAATGGAATTCGGAATGACCAACAAAACCTTAATACCATGAAGGAGCCATAATTGGTCGTCGTCAAATCTCTCTTCCTAGTCATATCAACACATCATTAGGAGAAAGAGCTGCCTCGCAACTATATTTTCTTCGCACACTCTGAGGCTGCCCAATTTAAGAGTGCCACAACTTTCTACGTTAATTAAGGATTCAATTCCACAAATACTTATGGAGGCAAGTAGGTGCCATTTAAGCTACTGTAGTATAATAGATCGGTCCTATATGCTGATTTCCCTGAGTTGCTGTTTGGATTGAAGGGTAAAGTCTACGATCACCTCTAGGAGACACCCCATACACCTAGCGGGTCAGGGCTACCTGACTGGCTCCTCTGAGCTTGTAGAGATTTGACTCGCTTTACCAATGTTCCAACGCAGATTGGACCAATAGTAGTGCACAGGGTAATCGCCCACACTACTACTAAGTAGATTTGCGAGGTTTCGTTGTCGGTGCCCTTGTCACCACCCGGGCCTGACACGGCAAAAATCCCACCAGTTTCCGCCACTGATGCTATGAGATATCCTATCTCGCCTCGTGCAATCATTGCCAGACCAAATATAGAGGCCGGATACAGAGAGCGTGTTTTCTCCAACGACGTAGAGCGTTCTGACAAAGTCGAAGAGCGGACTTCGTTTGGAGACGATTGCTGGGAAGTTGAGGTATCTGCAGGAGATCTTGGTGGACGTGCGGCTTTTTTGGCTTTCTTGTTGGGGCTGGAAAGGTGTCGCTCAGTGTCTTGCTTGCGGCGTGACATGCACCAGCTTATTGGGAGCGCCACCGCCCGTCGAAGTCTTATAAGACCAGCTAGTGGGCTGATTGTGATTGGTAGAATCCATATACCAGTGACGATTTTGCCGAGCGCCATCAATAATGTGTACACTATGCCTCGCCAGACGACTTCTCCTTGAAACATTTGTGTCACGGGAATTGCAAACCCGACCGATGCCTGCCACTGTCAGCATGTTATACTGAAGAGCTGAATGTGTGAGAATGTAGAAATCACTCACAAAGAAAAAGGGACACAAAATATAATGAAGTGGCTGCTTGCAATACAGATCAAAGGTCTGCTGACCGGGAATAATCCTGGTGTTATCCTGGTTCATAGCGCTCGCAGATGAATCCATGCTTGATGGACTACTTCCTTCCGTATTTGGTTGGGATTTAGCATTGCTAGCTGAGGCTCGACGCGCCATCTCAAGACAAGCTAGGGAAGCATCACTAGTCGCGGAAGTCGTATTTCTCCTATGCTGGATGCTCTTTTGTATGGACATCATAAGATCATCAAACCAGGAAATACAAGCACCGGCAAGGTAAGCTGCAAAGAGACCTGAGGTTCCAGCGTAAGACGCCCCAGCCACAAAGCCGACCAAGATAGCCATGTGCAGAACAAAAGCCGCCGGAATTTCTCTGGCTTTGGGCAGTAGATTTATTTTAGTTGCATACAGTTTTCGCGCGGCCGGTGCAACAGCGAGGCTGCAGACGAGAAGAATACCAAGAGCACAGCCGATGGCCGCGCAAACAGGGCGAACAATAGTCACAGCACTGAATGACTCCGTACTGGAATTGCCAAGGTTCGATATGGTCTGAACCATGACAAGGCCTGCGACATCATCCATCATTGCAGCGCCACTGAGCACAGTTCCCAGTCTAGACTTGGCTAAACCGGTTGTGGAGAGGATGGTGAATGTGGTGCCAATGCTTGTTGAACACAAAGCTGCTCCAGCACCGAAGGCCTGGAGGGGGGTTGCATCAACAAGAGGCATTAGTATAAATGATAGACCCATTGGAGTTGCAACCCCCGTAAATGCTGCGATTGCCGAGAGGGTAAAATGAGCCTTGAGTTCCGTGAACGAAGTTGAAAGTCCACCTGCATCTTAATGTCAGCATTGTCTTCACACGGATAACGCAGAAAGCAGAGGATTTGAATATAACAAGTTGAAGCAAATAAAAACAAAAACATACAACAGCCAGGATTCGCATGTGGTCACCCACCATACTACTAACTGGCCGGCGTGTGGCTTAAGTACGGCTGAGCGGACGGGAAGCCCTGTTCTCCACACCCTATGGTCGTATGTATCAGATACATCATCAGCCAGTATGATATAGGGATCTCAATTTACAATGCAGGAAAACAATTAGAGCAACAAGTGGTGCCTGACATGAGCCGCTCTCCGAAACCAACGACAGAGACAGCAGGATTAAGAAGAATGATCTCGTTAAATCACCACAAAAAAAGGAAATAAACGCAATGTGTCATTTTACCTTCATATACGAGAAGTAGAAGGCCAAGGTAGCCTAGTTGTTGCATCATCTCTTGGGCTTCGTGTGTCAGCCACTGTGCACCGGGCATACCCCAAGTAACTCCGATGAAAATTTGCCCGATCAAGCCACAATACACCAGTTTGTCCAAGAACCAATTTGCAAAGTTCAGGACCAGGAGGAGTCCCGACTGGATGAGGACTGTCCGGATTCCCGGCTCTTCATAGGGCAGTGCCGGTTGGGATGTCATGACGACTATCCGGTGTAGTCCAACCTGACTACTGTTAAATGAACCCCAACCAAGAACAGTCTATTGCAACATGTGGGGAAATGTGCAACCGAATACTAGTCTGGTAAAGATGATAATAGGCGCAATCGCGAGGTACAGTGAAAAGTGGCAGCCGCGAGGTGATGTTGAGAGATCAGAACGGAATAATTGATTGTCCTTCCCGGTGTGGGAAGAACACTACGGCCACGACTATTGAAGTGCGCCAAGACCACCCTTGACTAACCTATTATGGTAACCCAATTTCTCCAGTGTGGCTCGAAGTATATGGTTGGTAACCCAGGAAATTACTCATAGCACAGATGCTAGTAACTAGATTTCAACTGAATATTACATAGCTTTCCTCCCTTAAACTCTACCTACTATTCTACTACTATCTATTATCTACGCCTCTATATTTAAAATAGCATAGACTAAATTAAGTATCTAGTATGACGAGTTTCTACAGATAGCAAGAGAAAAGATGAGGAAGCACCGCTAAAGGAATTGTGGGCCGTTCCAAAGAGGACTCATCGGGCCTCTGGAAGGCAGTAGAAGACGGTAAGCACCGGACCTGTCAAATTGAACAGCCTCGTTAAACTTATATGAAGGCTGACAATTTTCGAACCTGTCGACCTTCCATCATTCCAACGTATCTCGAACATTCTCATACATTGTGAGGCAACCCCAATAAAACTACTCCCTCTAAAAAGGATTGTTTGCTTACAAGATTGTCCATCAAGGTCAAAACCATACTCTACATTCATATTGGCCACTCTAGACAGAAGTGAAGTTGACGAACAATAAGGGATGTGTGAGGTAGAATCTAAATACTCTCCATTACGGTCCGCCTTTGTCCCTCGTCTGCTCGCCGCCCGTGCTCATACGATTCTTCCTATACAAATCCCCTAACGCATACACCAACTCGCCGCCCAAATGAACCACAAACATCGCCGCGAGATAAACCGTCGACAACAGGATAACAAAAAGCGTCACTGCAGCGAACGGCCGCGACACGCTAGCAAAGGCATACCACGCACTCGACGCCGAGTTGGTCCCATCCGCCGCCAGCGCCACCTGCATCGCATTGAGCGCAATGCTGAACCAGCCAAAGACAAACCACAGCGGACCGTAATAATTCGCGAACAGAGCGCTATACTGCCAATACATCTTGTGGAAATGGAGCCGTTGCAGGAATACCTTGGACCACAGGTTCAGACGCGTGAGTCGCAACTCGCCAAATTGATACCGCGGCGAGACGTCGACATCTTGCACCGTTTCAAAGGTGGAAATGAAGCGCATAAACTGTGAGTATCGCACACCGCGCGGAAGTAGGCGGAGATTGGTATCACCTGTTGCCATGAGGAAGTCTGATTTATGTCGGATAAGATAGAAGTACGAGCGCAGGAAGCCTAATGCGCCTCTGGCGATTTTCTGTCGCATAGCATCATGTTGCACAACGCGGTTCGGGCCTGTGAGATAGAACGTCCAGAAGGCGTGCGAGAGGAGATACTTGGGGATCGGTTTGAGATGAACGATATCGTGCGCCCAGACTAGATGCAGCTCTGGGTTCTCCGTAATGACTACGCGACGACCGCGCACGGCCTGCTCTGTGAGCGACGAGATGTGCGTGCTGTCTTGTTTCGCGACGAGCCAGAGGTGCGGCGCGAGACGATTCAGATCGCTGGTGACAAACTCCGAGAGCAGATAGCTCGGTAGCTTTGGGTCGTGTAGCGCAATCTGTGGCTGGCCTGGGAGATATGTTTTGTCTGATAGAGTAGCAGTAGTGTCCTGGGAGTTTGGTTGATTGATCGTTGTTGTTCTCACGATAGAGCCCTTTACGGCCGATGTGCTGAGGTTGTGATATAGCTGAAGCACCTCTGGAAAAGGTGCGTTGTTCATGATGGGTCTTCAAAAAGCCGACATGAGCCTATTTACTTCGAACCCCAGTATTCAAACGACATCTAAATGTGAAATGAGAAGTGAAAGAAGGCCGCCAAGCCGTCGCGGTCGCGAATACGAGCGGGGGTGGCTGAGGCGCAGGGACACACAAACAGCGCAAGGCTGACAGCTAGCCCCGATATCACGCGGCACTTAGCAGGGGTGACCAATGGCGATCATATTAGAAATCGCGCAATCCTGCGACCGGTCGTGGTTTATCACCTAATGTACTGCGTAGGTATTGACACCACGCCAGAAGTGCCTGGGCTCGTGCGGTGCGTGAAGAGTCTTAAAACACCACCCCTGCCCCCGCAAAAAGCCTACAGGCAGAAGTAAAGCTTATATCGCTGTGCACGAGAAGACATCATGTCTGCCGAGCTACAATCAGAGCGGCGTAAAGGGAGGCTGCATGAAGAGCGCCCTGCACAGCAGCCGCCACCCGACCAACACGACGAATACCACGGCGAAGTAGCGATCGACATCATCGTCGTCCACGGCCTTGGCTCCAAATACGCAACAACATGGGCTACAAAGCTCAAAGACGGCAGTCGGTTCCACTGGCTGAGGGAAAAGCTCGGCCCAGATGTGCCGCAAGCCCGGATCCTAGGGTTTGAGTACGGGTCAGAATGGTATAGAGACCCGGCATACACCAGTCTGGAAGAATGCGGTGTGGAGCTTCTGGGCTGCGTTATACGCGACCGACAGCATCATGGCCGCACGGAGATGTGCTCGACGAGAAGAAAGCGGCCTATCATCTTCATTGCCCACAGCTTTGGCGGTCTGGTCGTCAAACAGGCCCTGGTGACAGCCTACGAGCGATGGAAAGATGCCGACAAAGGCCAGGGCGAGTCAGCGGCTACCACCATCGACGCTGTTTGGAGGGTGAAGGCAGCGAATTATCGAGACTTCTTGTGCAGCGTTGCAGGCGTCATATTTCTCGGGACTCCGCATCGGGGTTCATCATTTTCACGCTGGGCAAGGGCAAAAATGATATACGGCTCCATCATGGGCCAACAGAGCCACCCGGAGCTGCTCAAGGTACTCAAGGCCAATTCTGAGCCGCTGGAGAAATTGCAGCAGGGATTTGAGACTGTCTGCAACGACTCGCGGGTCCTCAACATACGCCCGCGGTGTTATAGAGAAACACGCCAGGTGCCATTACCCCCCTGGATCGTTGTCCCAGCGGAGTCGGCCTGGCTCGAAAATGCGGATAACGGGGCCTTGGATGCAAACCATATGGAGATGAACACATTTCAACCGGGTCCTGATGCCAATTACGACAAGATTTTGTGTGATATTCGGCTGATCTCCAGCTCTGCGTCGCGCTCCGTTAAGCACAGGCTGGAGAGATGGAAGTATGGGTCTATCGTGGCTGAGAGCGATCGAAATGTGGTCGAGCATTGGCTTGACGCCTCGCGTAAGCCCCAGATCCAGCATTTGCACGGAAAATTGGCATGTCAGAGGACTGCCCCATATACATGTGGCTGGCTTCAAGAGTTAGATGACTACGGAAAGTGGGTGTCTAAAGATACACGCAAAAATGTTCTTTGGATCCATGGCAAGCCGGCCTCTGGGAAAAGCGTCTTGGCTGCGTACTTGATTGATGCCCTCAGCAACGCATCCGAGGCCCAAGAAGCGTCCAGATTTTCAGTCTGTAACAACCCGCGGTCCAGTCCCACATGCGGTTCTAAAGTTATCAAGACTACCGTGCTGTATTTCTTCTGCGACGTCGACCAAAGCCATGACAAACCTGTGGGGGTTCTGGGTACGCTGATTCACCAGCTACTATCAGCCCATGATACAGATGAAGTGATGTTCGCGAGGGTATATCAATGGAAGGAAAAGACACCGACGAGCAAAGTTGATGCAAGTACGCTACTGCGGTTGCTGCAGGAGTTGCTGTCTCTAGTTCTTGGCAATGTTTTGTGAGTTGTTGCCTTTCCTGACTCCATGATAATCTCTGCTAATTTCGAAACTAGCATTGTTGTAGATGGTCTGGATGACAGTCCCTACGGCACCGACGTTCTCAAAGCCCTTCTGGCTATCGCCGCTACTGCCAATAGCACTCGTCTAGTACTTTTCAGCCAGAGGCGCGAATCACTCCGGGACGTTCTAGATTCAAATTTGGCCGTCGTGAACTTCTCTATTACCGACCACACTCGCCAAGATATCGATCACTACGTTGAAGACAGAACGCTGCAGATGCTAGACCGACGACCGGCCCTGGAACCAAACGGTAAAATTATAATACAGAAATTACAGACCTCTTCACAAGGAATGTTCGAATTCGTGAATATGACCCTCCACAACATCGAGAACCACATAGCCGATATCGAAGACGTCGATGAGTATCTCGACACTCTACCGAGTGGGCTTACCGGTGTATATGAGAAGATCTTTACCCGGTTATCTCACAGCACAGAAGACATTAAACGCCGGATACGAACGGCCCTTCAAATATTGACAGTCACCGCCGTCCCAATCACCAGCTTGGATCTCCACACTGCATTGAGAGTCTCAGAAACAATGGGAAAAGCGACAAAAGAAAGAATCTGGTGGTCTGAAACCACAGCAGCCAACGCGTCAAGAGAGCTCAAATTGCTCTTAGATTCTCTCGTCGAGATCGACCCGCATCAGGTCGCCAAGCTCGTGCACTCCTCTCTCCGTAAAACCCTCCTACTGCAGCAGGAAGCTTCATGGGATGACGAGTCTCATGCCGGAACAAGACTCTGGTATCAATTTACTGCCGCCGAGGCACACCTTCTCCTCGCCCAGATCTGCGTGGTCGTTATCAGCGAGACAACCCTATCACAGGCCCATGCATTTCTACCCCATCAGCGGCCACTCGTCCAACACGCCTGGAATTACTGGGCGTATCACCTGCGCACGTCCGGATTTACCCTTGCAAATAAACATTCCTGCGTTGTGTTTGACCGGATGCTTCGCCACGTTCACCAACACACACTGTCATTTCTCCAAGCACTGGGGAATTTCACCACGAGCCCACTCACACCGGTGCTAGGGGGCAAGAAGTATACTCTCTTAGAGTACCGACAATCCCTCCAGCGAGCACAAGGCGCGCTGACGTCTGCTATTAACTGCGTGTGCGCAACGCGACAAGCAATCCCCATCGCAGCAAAGCTCCACGAGTCCAGAGAACGCGTTCCGCACGATCTGACCGATGTCTCCGCCGAAACTTACTACGAAGCACTCATGAAGAAGACCAGATCCGCTGTGTCCGAGCTCCGCGCGCGATTTGTCAAAGACAAAACGCAGGTGGAGCGAGTGAGGCTCGATGCCCTGGTAGAAAACACATCCATCGGGAAGATTTTCCAGAATGAGTACACCCATGACATCGCTGCGCTACTCGACGCCTCGCGCTCCCTTCGGCTCTTAGCACTGAGCCTCACCGTCAACCCGATCCATACGATCTTGACGCAGAAAGTAAACACCCTTGGATTCTCACCGATCAACCTGCTCGTCGATGTAGCGCAGCTGTTTGAAGAGGCAGCCAGCTTCCCGTACTGGCAGCACCTCCCCGCAATGCTCGATGCTGCAGATGCTTTTGTCTGCGGCGATGCAGACCCACAGGCTGAGCCGGCCAAATTCGTTCTTCAATCGCTGCATCACCAAAGACAAAACACGAGTCTGGAATCTCCTCCTGACCTCAACCTTACCGACACGCCACCAGATAAGCTTGTTCGAGAGGTGCGAGAGCTGACTGAAGTCAAAGGCTCTCGCTGGATCGCAACTCGGTACGCGCTGCACATGATTGGGGCTGGCATCGACAATGAGGTCGATGACGAGAACGGCCTTTTTCGCACGATGGTCATCACTCCGCTGGTCAACTTACGTCTGAAGGAAAAGTTCTTTATGGTAGAAGCAAACGACGGCTCGTGGCCTTTGTTTCTCAACCCCCAAGCGACGCTGGACCTCACTGCCCCAACAAGCCTCCGCGACAAGCCTGTCAAAGAGGTTATTGCCGCACTCCCATCTCTTCTGAAATTTGTCTTCATTCGATACATAATGGCATTGCTACATGCCATTGCAGAGATCCCGCGAGCCAGTCTTGTCGCGCACTACATTCAACTGACAGTGTCCAGATCAGAACTAATCGAGAGCGCGCGTCATTTCAAGCAGCTTTATCAGCGCCGTCCGCTGGTTTTCAGACACTTATGCGCGATAGTTCTCCTCTACTTCATCAGAAGTACATACTTCCCTCTGCTAGGCGCACACGCAATGGCTCGGCCATGGACGGAATTACCCCTGGCATACCGACATCCAGCAGCATATCTAAACCTGCAGACGGGCATCGAAGCGACGTTCTGGCTCAAGTACACGATCATCATGCGTCTATACCATGCCGTCGGGCGGGCCTGCGTCAAGTACAGCCTAGAGACTGATCCAACACAGCCTCATACGCGATCCATCGACACCCTAGCCACTTTTTACAACCTTCTATCCATCGAAAAGAACATCTTCGGCATCAGCTTTACATGCGCGGTGCTCACCGCCGCCGCCAAGGTTATCCTCTACGAGCCAGACAACGTCGAGGCAATCTCCAGATTGACATATCTGTTCACCTTGGCCAATCTGCTCGGTATATTCAATATGCTCGCCGGTGCGGTGCTGCAGCAGGAACAAGCGAGCTTTCTCCAGGGCCTTCCAGTCGTCATACTGCAGTTTGTAGTGTTCTTCGCGGCGATCAACTACCAACTCGCGCTTCTCGCGTTTTCGCTCAGGATTTTATTCTGGGTATTATGGCCCGTCACGGCTCCTCTGATCGCGCTCTGGAAGGTAGGACTGCATGCGTACGCACCGTTTTTGAAGTTCGGCGGGGTGGTGTGTTTTATTCTTGTCGTTTTCCTCGCTGTCGACGGACTCAATACTGCTATCGCAGACCCGCATGACCTCGAAGGCTCTCGACGGGCCGTCCAGCGCGCGCTGGATAATATCTCATCTCTACGAGATAAGCCGGAAAGCTTGGTTCTTGGAGAGTTTCCTCTTGGCCCGAAGGGAGAGGCCCCTGCTCTGACGGTCCTTTCGTCATCAGAAGAAGACGACGACGACTCGTGGATCTGGCCGGAAGACACCATCCAGGATGACAATGAGGACAGGCCCTCAGATCGCCCGCCGCCGGATATAATAACGAACGACATGCAAACACCTGCTCCGCCAGGCGCGGCGCAGCATTTTGGAGACATACTCTCTGCCGAACTCGGAGACGCCGTCCGCGAAATAATCCAACTGCTTGAAAACGCGCGGGCAGGCGGTTTTACAGGTTTCGGTCGCAACTCCATTGATTCCAATACGTACCTAGGCAATCAACGAGGGAGCGGCTGGCGTATGCATATCGGCCAGCCTCGACTGACGAATTTCATGAGGAAGGATCTACATCTCGGTCGTCGAATGGACGACTGGCACACGCAGAATAATCACCTCGGGACTCTGCATAGCCTGCACAGTAGCAGTGCCTTTGGCACCTCAGACCGAATACCCTGGCGCGGCATGGGGCCAATGTCTCGATTCAGAGATCAGGCCGGGGACTACCACCAGGTCACTACTACAACCACCACTTACCACCGCAGAGAAGTCCATGAATCAAGCAGCTGGAATTTCAATTTCAACACCCCCGGCAGCACGCTTTCGTACTCATCGACACATTCCGGTCCACCCGGATTGTTTGAAAATATTTTCTCTCGTCTGGGCCTGTTTTTCATAGCTGCTGTCTGGCTGTATATTATTTGGACGTTTTGGTGGCTTTGGACGACACCGTCGGACGTGGCGTCGTCGGGATCGGGGTCTAGTAGTGTCATAGTGCGCACGTCCTGCTGGCATTTTGGGATCCCGTTGGGTTATATCTATGTTGGATATGGATGTGATGGGTTCATCTTTGAGGTCCTTGGGTTTCGTCTCATATGATTTTGCTTAATGTCGTTGCCAGGAGAGCTTAACTATCTTGAAAGGGTGTATTGATGGACTGTATATGATGATTTCCCCTGCATTATGTTCGCTTTTCTTTTGACGATATGGACGAGCTCTGTCTTCTTCAATGCAAAGGATGTATCGTTCACTATCTGGGTCGGCCACAATGATGGGTATAGGTTGAATGACATTTATGGCGTGAAGCACGCTCTTTCCTCCTAGATTATCCAGCAGACAATATCAACACGCCTCACGTATGTCGTGTAGCCCATCGGAACTGAGAAACATTTGTATTCGGTACCGTTCTCCTCGACCGTTTTTCGATCCTGTGTCTCCTCATTGAATACTGATATATATAGTCCTTAAAATTTGATTGTTCTGTCCTTTTGGGGGTCTGGTGGGAATCGATGACTTGCAATATTTCGTTCTTCGCGCCCGGCAAGGGCATCATCGCCTTTCTGAAACGCGTGTCAGCCAAGTACAAAGTGTGAGGATTTAATGGTCGGCTTGCTGCCATGGTGCTACCAGAGCAAATCGAAGAAAGCGGGTACCGTCTTGTGATTTGGGAGAAGGTCTTTCTCTTTCTTGATTTCGTCTTTGTTGGCGCGATCTTTCGTTCGGCTATTTGAAAGAGGGGGGGGGTATGACACCCAGATTGGGCAGCAAGTCAACCGGAGCCAGCGGAGGGCTTATAGGTATAGGCGTAGCGGGCGTAGGTATAGCGGGCGTAGGCGTATAGCGTACTCGTAGCGGTCGCTAGATAGCTAATAGATCTAATATATTAAGCGTGGTAGCTATATCTAACACATTATACCAATTGAAAACGCTCATAATAGCCTCAGAAAGCACCAGTACCTGGAAACCGGCTAGATTCTTTTGACAGCCCTACGATTTGTGCTAAGGCATTAGCGCTGGTTGCTGCTCACTTCAAAACCATCTCATCTCTCTAGGAAATCATCGTCGAGGTTTATGAGGAAGGTCCAAGCTCAGATATCAGAAGGAAAATGGAGAGTCATGGATGGATACTCAGTGTGGTGGAGCCAGTTGAAGAAGAGGAGTGGAAAACGACAGACCTTGGAATGATTTTGAAGATGATGAGTTTCTTTATGATGATTACGATGATGATGACTACGATATTGACAATGATAGTGACTTTTGGGGAAGGGCGGCAGATTAAGAATCCGAAGGTGTGAAGCCATTTCGAGAGGTTGCTACGACCCGCTTCAAAAATATATGAAGCCATGTCTTTAGCTATCCAGCACCCTAGCAGATCGCACATCGTGAAAGCGTCTCTTCGGAATTTTGAGCGAGACAGGGTGGATAACTTTGTCGAAATGGACATGAAGGCTTTACGAGACGATGAACCCCCTCGACACGAATTTGGAATCCAAGGCCTACTCGCCTTCTATGATGTACAAGGCTTTATGTCTATATAGGAGCCTATGCTTTCTTTCAATATCATACAACGTTAAGGCTCGTCAGACTCCGACTTGTTCTCTTGATGAACAGCACCGTCTTTAACATCATATCGGAACTGTGCTTCCTCCTCCTTCAGCTCAGCCTTCAAGATCTTATTCGCACTCCAGACAGGCTTGATTTTGAAGAGACGCTCCACCTTCTCCAAAGGAATACCACTGGTCTCGGGGATAAGGAAGAAGGCAAAGAAGAACGCGAGGAAGGACAGAGAGGCAAAGAAAAAGTAAACTCCGTAGCCCATCGTCTCGAACATTTGTTCGGTAAATCGAGATACCAGGAAGTTGAAAAGCCAGTTGCTGGCTGTTGTGAACGCCTGAGCCAGGGAGCGGAAGTTAGGGTCGAAGAATTCCTTTTCGCGGTGATGTTAGTAGAGCTTAAGAGAGCTTAAAAGTAGGAAGCCTTACAGAGTTGATGACCCACGGGGTACCGTTCCAAGTGGGAGTATATACGGCAGTCCAGAGATAGAAGAAGAAAATAGCAGCGATACCTCCGCCGTTCAAGCTGCTTGAAGGATGATCCTCCGGTTCCACAACGTAGATGTAGGCGCCAATGACCCACATACAGATAGAGCCGGTGATACCACCAATGAGAAGAAGCTTACGTCTTCCCAGCTGGTCAACCAGGAAAAGCAGCCAGACAAAAGTCATGACGGCCTTAACAACACCGAAGATACCAGTCATGATATTCACAGTATCACTGGCAACACCAATACTCTGTGAAGATCGTCAGAAAAAAGTCATATACGCGAGGCACAGGGGCATGGTGCTTGACCTACCGAGAAGATGGTGGGCGAGTAGTAGTTGATGGCATTAATACCCGAGCCGTTCTGCCAGAAGAACAGCATACATCCCAGGAACAGACGCCACATCATGTTCGGGCGCTGTCCAAGAGCCTGGAAGGGCTTCCAGAGGCCGATTCCAACTGTGGCCTTTTGATCCTCATGTGCTTGGTCAATCGCAGCAATCTCTTCCGTGATGTAGAGATCAGTGGGGGTCAGCTGGCGGATCCAGCAAAGATTCTCCATCGCTTGCTTTCGGCGGTCGTGGAGGAACAGCCAGCGGGGAGATTCTCGAATCCACACTGAGCCAATGAAGAGCAAGCCGGATGGAATGAGTTGAATGGCAAATGGAATAATCCATTGCTCGCGGCTCGGCTTTAGATGTTGTTCAACGCCATACTAAACGGTGAAGGGAAAGTTAGCTTCGAGCGAAAAAATTCAATCAAATCAAGGGCAGAGTCCGCTGGCCATGACTCACGTTAATCCAGAATCCCACTAGGCCACCGACTTGCCATCCCAGTTCATAGAGTCCGACAAGACGTCCTCGAATGGCCGGCGGAGCCAGCTCCGAAAGATAGATAGGAACGATGTTGGAGGCGACACCGGTGCCAAGTCCAGACAAAACACGACCAGCGTACAAGATTCCCAAGCCGCGAGAGCTGTTGGCACCGCACTGCAGACCAGCTCCCAATGAGAAAGTAGCAGACGCAATGGCCAAGCACCACTTGCGTCCAATCCAGTGGCTAAGGCCGTATGTGAGGAGAGCACCGAAAAAGGCACCGGCAATGAAGAGAGATACAATATTTTCACTAATAAGATCTCTTTCCGCTTTTGACTTGCTCTCGAGGCCGAACTCATCTTTAAAAGATGTGAGTGTGACTGTTGTGCCGATGAAGGCACTCGTATAACCGATCATATTGGAGCCACATGATGCAATGAGAGCGAGCACATAGACTCGCCAGTTGTAAACCGAAGGAGGTGTTGGCCGATCCTCAACAAGGTGAAGGATACCACCCATGGCAGCTAAGTCGAACAGCTAGAGGAGATGAGGGAGGGTGGACTGGTCGAGAGAAGAAATTTTCGAAGGATATAGATGGAAAGAAATGAAGCCCGGTGAGCACGGGATGGGGCCCCTAAGTAATGTTTCGGTCCCCAGTGGGCGTGTGGGTGTGGATTTTCTCTCAACGAGCCATCCCCACAACATACGTCGCGTAGAACCCCATCCTCTGGGGCAGTATGGGGTTTGAAAGTGAGGCTACAAGAGTTTGGAGGGTTACTGATCCCACGGGGTGGGAACCTTTGGGCCGGGGTAGTGTTTTCCCCGGTCGAAACGTTCAGCCGGGGCCAGCAAATGGCTACTAGTATATATCCAAACGGAATCCTACTTCCTTGGGCGAGAATTTTCAAACATTAGTTTCATCGTTTTTAGCCCAACAATACCATTTTCATTTTCGTTTGTGAATCTTGCATTGTCGAAAGACACCTGTGGCTAGGAGGCAAGAATCTCCCCCCGGTGGAAGCTTTGCATTTACCCGCTGAAAGGGGGGGTTTCCGCTGTAGCCCTCGCTCGCGACAATCTGCGTCACAATGTACTGGGTACATCCTTCTCCGCGGATCGCACGGAATTCGAGTGTGGAGAGCAGGCAGAGCACAGTAAAGTCCCTCTTGCTGATTGAATAGCCAGAGTACAATTCGTAGACCTCCCCCAATGTTTGAGATCCACTATGTCGGGGAGAAACCCTTAACCACGGTGGAGTCGGAAGCTTGCCGAGCAGGCGGAAGAAAGGATAAAAAGCCGGAGGTGATGTTGGGTCACGTGAAGAGGTGAAGGCGAGGAGCCGGACATGAACACGTAGTCGCAGTGTCCGTTGGTTGCGCATTGGTTGGATCTCGTGGGGGAGGAGTATATGTCTAACCGAGAAGTACCGGCTGACGTAAAAGTGATGATCACTGATGTGTTTGTTCATCACAGAGATGACATATGCTGCCCCATTCAAAGGAACATAGTTTGATGGCCTTGGGCACGGGAAAACACCAAGCCGCAATGCAATCCAAAGCTTTCTAACAAATTTGGTTATTGCAACAGCCAAGACGGCAGGCCAAGACGGCCCGGGAGTAGTCCAGCTAATCGATGGGCGGGCTCGAACCACGCCGGATAGACATCAAGTGGAGCCTCAATTGCCGAGTCGGTCTGTTTTTGTCACCGGTGAAGAAGTGAATATGTACAGAACGCCCTGTGTCGGCAGCAAAGCCCTTCTACCATATAGCCAACCTAGTTCTCCTTGCTGAGAGTTAATGGCGCGGAATGCGATCAATCGGGACAAGCTCAGTTTACGGGCCGCTTTCGGCATGCCTTAAATCGCGAACACGGCCCGATTATGCTTCTAAAGTAATATACGATCTTGTATTGGGGCGACGCATCTCTACATCCCCATTAGATTGACTGATTTACTAATCATCAAATTACGATATACCGATTCACTTCTCTGTTTGACCTAGAAGTTAGGTTGCAATGCACAGTCCGTCGAGTGATAGCTCTCTAGGCGTGACAAACCGCTGTGTTCGTGGTCCAATCTATCGCTTAACAATGTCCCCGAGGTGTCAGAACGCGAGCCAATTATGAGATGCTTGACGGTATCTGCCGTGCACTGGTCGGCGCTCACGTTCCTTGGTCCGAGACGGCTGCAAATGCGAATTTCGGGATAGAACCAGAAGGGGACTGTGCTGTGTGAGGATATAAAAAGGTGCCTACCTCTACTAGTTACAGAATATGTATAGGAACAGGGAGGAATCTAACTTCAATTCTTGAATAGAATCTCGGCGCACTATTCGGCACGCTTCTAAATCGTACCGAAATTCAACCCTCCGCGCTTGGCGACAGGCATATGCTAGCTCAAGTACACTCCAATTCTATGCTATCGCCACCGCTACTTGCGACAGCTAATCATAAGGTCAGCGGCACAACCAAGTCTTTGGAAGATAATCCCTCCTCTTAGCATTGTGGTCCGTGAGACAGGCCCTCGTCCCGGTCTTTGTCTTAACGGTGGCCATATGCTTACAAGGTTGGCATTTGGAACTACATTCGGTCACGCTGCCTTGGAAGCCGCAGCAAGCAAGCTTCTTAACCTTCCAGAAGTGCCATCCAAGATGCACTCGGCATAGCGTGCGCTCGAATATATAGATTAATGTCAGCGCAATCTGGAAGCGATGTGAGACGCATGCAGCACGTATTGCAGCGCGAAACGGCCTCCACCTTCAAAGATGGCAAGAACACACTGCACTATTGACCCGGTCGCATAGCTGCAAAAAGAGCACCCCGATAGTAGAGAACATCAGCAGTATGCTGAGTGAGATTTCTGAAGCTGCTTGAAGCATGATGGATGGAAGGCAGAGCGACCGTTCTCCACATTAGAAGCACCAATGTCCTGCGCTTATGTTGCCGCTGTCCAACTCGTCGTCCTCGGATATCACCACAACAATTCCACCATGATTTGCTCGATAGGAATGCTTTACGAAACGTGGTGAATAAAAAGAAGAGTGTCCACGAGCCGAAGCTGGCTCGACGAGAAATATGAATAACGCGTCATAATCGCAGGCAAGGACGGAAGTATGGTCACAAAGACTCTTGTGCGCCACAAAATGTTACTCCTGGGCTTCGAACGGGGGTATTCTAGGGAAGTTTAGGAGATTCGAGGACTGTGGATGATCAGAGACGAGACGAGATCGAGGCGGTGTGTGGTGTGGAGGCCATCGGTGCGCTGGGAGCTGCTTGCTGGAGCCACTGTAAACCAAACCAGTTAGAAGAGAGAGATCGCACATTTGGTTAGAGTTCAACAAACCTAAAGCTCGAGGCCAACGCTTGTTCCTGTCTCTTGTTGCTCTCTCCAGTTGCTTCGGGATGGAAGACGTGACGCAGAGAACTGACCTGCCTCAGGCACTATCACGTGTCGGCAACCGTACCTCGCATCCATCAACACACCACTCGTGGTCCTTCAACACAGTCGCTGGCATCAAGGGAGCAGTTTGAAGAAATCCAAGCCAGATAGTGTATGTGATTGATTAGCCTCTAGGAGTGGTCTCCTCTAGAGTGGGGCAGTCACGATTCCAGATCTTTATCAACTCATGACATGCCCCTCTCTTGCTAACCTACTGATCTTCCCAAGGCCGGAGGACCTCGTCACGAACCTGCGGGATCATCTTGCGGCACCCAGTTGATGGCTAATACAGACAGGGAGGTACCTCGAGCATTATTGAGAGATGGACAACCTGGCATCTCCCGCAGCCATTCAGAAACGTATCTGGGACGGGCGGATACCTTTGGAGATTGTGCTTGCCCCTTCGCAGAGCCGATGTTATGATCAAACTGATCCATATATTGTGATTATGCCCAAACACCCTTCTACCTAACCTTCAAACTTCTTGTTAACCCCAACACAGGTTTCATTCCCACGAGTCTGTTATCTTCCCTCGTTGCTCCCAAAGCTTCGAGCCTTTTTTTCTCCCTATTTGATTGAGCCTGGCTCCCAGCACCATGATGGCTGGTTTGCTTTCGAGGGTGTGCCGCTGAAATGGCACTATCCCATCGGTCTGCTGTTTGACTTATACGCTGGAGCAGACCCTGCCACCAAGACCGGCTTCGGAAGCGATGACTCTCAGGAGAGCGGATCATCCTTCCCCTGGCGACTGACGGTCCACTTTAGCGACTGGCCAGTTGAAGACCTCGTTCAACTTGATGCAAATGGTATTGTCATGAATGATGCATTCATCAACAGCGTCAAAGAGGCAGACTTTCTTCGAAATGGAACCGCCAAAGGAATCATGAGCCTTTCCAAAGAGGACTCATCAGGCCTCTGGAAGGCAGTAGAAGATGGTAAGCACCGGACCTGTCAAGATGAACAGCCTCGTCAAACTTATATGAAGGCTGACAATTTTCGAACCAGTGGACCTTCCATCATTCCAACGTATTTCGAACATTCTTCTGCCCCCTCCATCGCAGCCGTTCCGCAATGTACCGATTCGCATCTTTCTACCGCTACTACCCGACGAAGAGTCGGGGTCACTCAAAGTGGTTCAATCGCCTCTTCCTCCATTAATGCAGGCTCTGAGTGTTCACTCTAGTCAATCAATCAGCTCTCGGTCGAGCCCCAGTACACAGCCTCAGACCATAGGCGGTGTTCTGCACACCTTACTCCCAAATCTTTTCCCAAGCCGAAGAACTCCGGTTCTTGCAAAGCCAGTCTTACATGGTGCTGTGCTTCCTATGTCTGCCCCTATTGAGGAAATAGTGAGGAGCTCTGCATATGGAGACGGATGGGCTTATGTTGTTGTCCGAATGATGGGATGAAACCACCTAGGAAACGCTGATTTCTTTCAGCCTTTTGGTTTCATATGATGACCATTTTCTTCATATTATCACATCACATTAATACAGTGAAGCATCTCTTAAAAAAATATTTCCAAGGAAATTTTCAACTACTACATTCCTTTTGAGGCACTTGGAGATTACTGGCCTCCTTTTAGGAAATATGTGCGTATTGAGAATAGGAAGAGGATAGGATGCTAGTTCAAGAACATCTTGATTCAACGATACATTAGTAGGAAGAAATGTCGTCGCGTGGTCTCTCGCTGTTCAAGCAACTTCTCAGCACTCATCCAGAAACTAATGAACGAGTCTGAAAAGTGGGTATCGTGCAAGGAATACAGAATGTCAACAAAAGCACCAGAAACCGGACTTATGACCCTTCACACACTATATACTGTTGCTCGCTTCCAACCAGAGTAGAAGAGCCGCCGGTCTCGGGCTCAGAGAGATCCGAATCCATGTCTTCAAAAATTGTAGTTGCGCTATCTCTCCCGCTTCTTTGAGGTACAGGGCGCAGCTGACCATCATCATCAAACCACAATGAACCAAAGGGATTTTTCTTCGCCAGCTCAAAGGCAGTGGTTGGGTTGTCTTTCTTCTCTCCCTTTTCCCCATTCGCAGTGGATTTCTGGTCTGGGGGAATCTCAAGGGAAAGATCCGCACCAGCATCGAGTAATGTGCGGAACAGTGGCTCCCGTCCGCGCTCAGCAGCAAGGTGAAGGGCAGTTTTACCCTCACTTGTAGTGGCATTCACCTTTGCGCCACGCCGAATGAGGAAATCGACAAGAGAGGGTCGTGGAATGGGCGCCATTGCTGCGAGATGAAGTGGAGTCTCGAAGGCCCCCGAAACTGCATATTCATTTATCGAGGCACCATGAGCTAACAAGAGTTGAATGTAATCAACAGTTCTGTCAGATGTAATATCAAGAGCCCCTGTCCCAGCATAGACAGTTTGATGGAGAGGGGTCCAGCCTTGGCTGGATATGGCCTTCACGTCGATGCCATCGTCCAGAGCGGTCTTCAATATGTCGAGGCAATCCTGGTTGGTAGGCGGGGTCAGGTGAAGGATTGTCTCACCTTTTGCTGTTTCGACCTCAATTTTGGCGCCTCTGTCGAGTAGAAGGTGGAACATTGTCTTATTTCCACTGATAGCAGCGCATTGAAGAGGAGTATAACCTTGAGACGTCCGCGCTTCGATGTTCGCCCCTTGATCTAAAATCTTTGTCATGATGGAGGTATTCGAGCTATACCGAGCTTGTTCATGGAGGAGAGTTTCCCCCTGCTTATTCCACACGTTGATGTCTGCTCCACCGATAAGAAGAAGGTCAAAGGCAATCCAATGCCCTTTCCATGCCGCGTATTGCAGAGCTGTCGGGCCAGCCAGTGATCGAGCCTCAATATGAGCACAATGTTGCAAAAGGAGAGATATCGCCTCACAATTGTCTGTGTTGGCTGCCAGCTGGAGAGGGGTCAGTCCCTCATCATTGACAATATCAATGGTAGCCCCTTTCTCCAAAAGGAATAAGATGATCCGTGGTCGTCTGCATTGAACTGCTAGATGAAGGGCTGTGTTTCCATTCTTTGGATTCTGGAAATTCAGATCCACCTTGTGTTTGACCAAAAGGGGAACCGTAGCCTCATCAGTTGCTGTTCCAACAGCCGAGTGAAGACACGAGGAACCAGCGTGATCAAAAATATGTAAATCGACATGACTGGAAAACAAGAGCTTCATGCACTTTCGGTGCCCCCTCTGGGATGCAATATGTAAAGCGGTTTGTCCGTCTGCAGTGGTCGCATTACCGTTTGCTCCGTTCATGAGAAGGAACTCGGCCATTTCATCGTTACCTTGATACACAGCACAGTGCAAAGGGGTTACGCCTAGGGCATTTTCCTGGCCGTTGACTTTCGCTCCTTGTTCAAGCAGGCGCTTTGCTTTCCCAGGAACGCCAAAGAATGCGAGGAAATGAAGCCCACTCCAGTCGTTCGGATATTTTCCAATTCCAAGCTCTGACGGCATGCCATCGGCCCTTCCTTTGGTGTAGTCAAGAGGTGGCCTTCGCCAAAGCAATTTGTTGAGGAAGGTTTTGATCAGCACTTGTATCGTTTGCTCCTCCTCATCAACTTCGCGGGCATGCAGACCCCAGTAGGTAGCTGCATAGTTGAGGAATCCCTTCTTCAGTATACGAGAGGGGCCAACATCATTACTGTAGCACTCGTCCACAATCTCATCTGGGCTGATTGCAGTGAGGCAGGCCTGTGCCATCTCCTTCTGCGCTCCAGGGAAGAACACTCGAGCAGCTGAACCATCTAAATATTCTTTTGCGGTGCGATGAACAAAGCGAACACTCCCACTCACTGCGTCAACGCTGAGAAGTCCAGCAGTTTGTATTTGTAAGGAGTGCTCAAATGTCATTTGCTCAGGCTTAGATGCCTCCTCATCCTCCTCATCGACTGCGCTCTTCAACTCGGAAACTGTGAGGGGCCTCAACGAGTAAAGAGCCCAGTAAATGTAACGAGTTGCTCGTGGAGTTAGGCTCACGATTTGTTTCATTGCTTCTCCGTATGCCTCGCTTAAATTTTCGGGTAGATGGACGAGGGCTCTTTCAAGCAGACTGCTATCGGTATATTGCGACAGCAGATCGAGGTGAATCTTGCTAAGGAGGAATCTGGAGGGCAGAAACTGTAAGTAACTCTTTGATCAAAAATGACTTGTACCGGTAGAAAGCTTACACCCCATGAGACTTGTCCACCACAGCATGAATGATTTTGTCCTCAAGTGCCAGATCCGGTGAGTCTCCTCCAAGAATTTTTCGAAGACTACTATCCGCTCGTGCACGAGTGAGAGTGTAGAGGCCAATATCCTCCGGAGGCGCAAGGACGCTCACGTATCCGGAGTTATCTTGTGGCTTTACACCGCTCATTTCTCGTAGGGTCACGAGAAGTTGAGCCTGTTGAGGCAGCTTTTGGAGCCGACCTAGGATTCTTTCCTTTTCGGAAAACATATCCAGTCCATCGATAACAAACAGAACCTTGGAAAAACGATTGACCTCTGCCCGGATTGCATTTTGATAGGCTTTGGGAGAAGCGCTACCGCTTCTCAAGGACTCTGAATGGTAAAGTGCGGATGTTGCATAGGAAAGACTGCGCTTGCGATACACAAGCTGTGCCAAGATATTTTTTAGAAGATCGATTGATGTTCGTTCTTTTCCGCCATCCTCTTGACAGAAGACAAACACGGTGGCAACATCAGGCGAGGTAAACGTTTTTTGAAGGAAATCAATAATCGCAGAGCTAGATGGTGCGTTAGATCAGCATAATGCGGATGATGTGGCTCATGATCGAACTTACGACAAGAATGTTTTGCCGGCTCCAGCTAATAAAGATAAGCGGATGACACAAAAGGGCGCCTCATAGCCAGAAGAAAGGACTTACGAGGTCCTATACAGTACAAGGTTCGGACAGCTCCAAATAGCCACTGTTTGAAACTCGAGTTGTCAAATATCCATGAACAACTCCCCTGTTGGCGTCTATTGCAGAGATCTGCAAGTGCAATGTAGTGTTCTGAAGAGAGTCGACTTGTCAGGTTGAGAGCATCGTCTTCGAATTGCAGGCCGACCTTGAGGTTGGCTATGTGAACAGTCGTTTATGTTAGGCCCGAATCTCTCAGAATATAGTGTTGACTCACCAGTGTCAACCTCTCGATGCATCTTCAAGCTATCTCGGATCTCCTTGTCCAATAAAGCTCGCTCTCTGAGAGACATTAGCGTTCGGGAAATTCAGCCTGCGACCGATGGCTCCTTACTCAGAATCGGGCTGCATTGACAAAAGAAACATAATTTTGTACTGCTCCAGTCGTGTATTGTATGTCTTATCCAATAGATGCTTTCGGAAATAGAATGGGCTGACCCCGCCTGGTTGAAAGTAGAGCTCAACGGATTTCATTGTCATTCCGAACCATGAAAGAAGCTCACTCAATGCTCGGAGGCGACCGACCGCGACGAACCACTTCTCTTCGGCCCAACTGATTTCATCCTTGATGCGATAAAGGAGATCAAGTATGTCTGTAAGTAGCGATAGCGCACGGAACGATGCATCATGCGAGTCTCGTCCGGTGTTCAAGCAACGCATTGCCACGCGTGTTGACTGCGCGACCTGCACAAGGCTTTCGCGGACAGCGGACACATTTACCATGGCTGGCGGCAACTATTGACATCGATGCGATGGTCGAGCAATGGTGTGAGCGGGCCCAGGTAGAGAGAAAGAAAGGAGACTGGGCGCAATATCGCCATGGGAGAAGGGAGTGCTGACTCAAGAATCCAACCTCTTATCGTGCTCCCAACGGTGCGCCATGCGAGATGCCCCTGTGCGCGGCTAGAAGGGAAACTGCGTGCGTGGGAGAGGCTGATCCTTTCCATCCAGCCTCCACTCGGTCGGTCCCAAGGCATCCTCCGGGGGCGGCTAGCCAGTCCTTTTACTCCCTACCCCGGAAAATGGACCAAGGGCCCCAGCATGCTACCGGCCGTTCTCACCGATTCTTCCTGCGCTGCTGCTAATCTCTACGGGTATATCACGTCGAAGCACAGCACAATGTGATATATGGCGCTAATTGTGGGCGTTCACGCTCACCAAATTCACCCCAACACGCCTCAGTGACTTTCGCTTGGTGCGAGAGGGGCAGCGCGCAGGCGGATTCATGCGTTGTGATCGCCCCACGCAGGTTACTGAGTGCACAGACCCATCGCTGAGCCAGTCGCCGTGAACATATAAGCGCCCAGGCTGGAACTTGCATTAGGCGATCACCAATGACAATCTCGGTCACCCGGAAATACTAGTGATGCGTGGAAACCTATCATAGGTGCCATAGCTGAAACAAGCCATGGAAGTTGCGGTCACGAACTGACAAGGGTGTTCGGAACTATCGGCTCGTGATCAGGTCAGGTTGGGCGCTGTCCGACTTTTGACCGACAGAGCAGAGGAGGGGGAGAGGAGAAGTCCAGCCCGAAGCCAATGCATTTCCCGCCAAGGGTTGCCAGCCACATTCTCCAGCGGCGACATTTTCCGTGACACTTGTCAGTAATAATTCTATTCTACCAGTTACCAAAAAGTCTACACGATCACAACTAAACCTCACGTGATAAAACTTGGTGAGAACCAGCTCGAATTTGATGTCTTCTGAAACTAACACTGTCAAATAAATCTTTAATCGTGAGGTTTTACATCTAATGAGCTCGGGTGTGAGCTATGTACCCCCAAATACCCATATACGCCTGAAGTCCCCCATTCAACATATGCCCAGAAAATGAGAGTAGAGCATAGAACAGGACAACAGACTAAAGAAGCCATGTGAGAAATGAAATGTAGTAACGCTCCGTCATGAAGAAATGAGATTCGTAAGCTCATAGCAGCTAGGCTTCGGTGTGAGGCGAAGCTGCATGGATGAAAGACAATAACAACAGCACACCAAAAGCTCAAATGAACCGGACGGAAAACGAAATTGGGGTGGGTATATAGCGATGGTGAAGAGTTGGAATCAAGAGAGTGTAAACGGCTCTGAGCGACCCGAGGGAGCTGCTGGCTTTATAAGGAAGTGCCATTTACATCAATTTTATCGCCGCTTCGAGTATGCTCTTTCAAAGCCCTGACAAGCATAAACTCGCGCAGCCATTCAATGCGCTCTTCTCGATTTTTGACGGCAAAATGGTGCGACTTGCCACCACTGGAGAAGATAGACTTTCGGTCTAATCCTGAGAAGTTTTTGGGCGACGGGATCAGCGAAAATGCGAAGGCCGTGTCCCCTGAAGCATTGTCCTTGCGTTTCAGGACTGTTTTTTTGAATGCCGCTGTCAATTTGGAACTTGAAGCAAGGGAAGAGCATGCCACGGCATAATCATCCACGTCAACATACTCAAGAGCCTTTGAATCTCGATGAGCGGACTGCTCATCCATATACATGCCAAGCTGGGTACCCCTCAATGCGAAATGGTGCTCATTCCACTCGTGACGCAACAGGCGCGTAGTCTTGCGTTTCTTCATCCAGCCGCTGTGAATTATATCATTTGACACTTCACCCGTGGGGCTAAATGGATTGACACGACAGTGAGCCGCACGTGGGGTTCTTTCCAAGTCCTCGGGTGTATTAATCGGCGACATCACCCGTCCTTCGTCGAGACGTGCGAGGGCAGGCTGGGGAGCGTTGATAGATATATTTCGCCTGTGATTTTCCACCTTCGTCGAAATTGGACGAGGAATCGGATCAGGGCCGTGTTGCCCATGGGAGCCATATCTCATGTCAGGGGGCACCGATTGAGAGAAAACTCTCTCGATCGGCCCGACCGGAATTGCTGTGAGAGGAACATCAACTTCGGACAGCGGCGATGTCTGCCCGTAATGAGGATCTTGTCGATAATAGTCAGATGGCGAAAATAGACCATCGGAAGGAGCGGCGGATCGCTCGGCGATATTTTGCTGGAACGGGGTTTTACTGCGCATAATGGAAGGGGTGATAGTGCGCTGGCCAGAAAGGTTTGGCGAAAGGGTAGAGTTCCTCATCGCAGCACTACGGCTGCTGGGGATCCTGAGCTTGGGGAGGCTGCGCAAATTCTCTGCAAGGTGTCCTGGAGAGTTGTCATCATTCGGAGAAGGAAATGTTTCCCGTGGCGGAGTTGCTGGATCATTGACAGGTTGCAACCGACTCAGGCGTTGGAAATTCAAAAAGTTTCGTACGTTTTCCTGGGGATCGCGGGGCTGAACATCGTGTAACTTTTCCTCAGACAAAGGAAGCTCAGTAGACTGAGTCGGGCCGAGGGCATCGGAGGATGCGACGATGGAAGGTGTGATGTCTGACTTCGGCGTTTTGACCAGATTTCGAGCAGTGGTGGCATTGCCCGGGTCACCATGAACAACCACAGGGCTACACAAAGACTCAACGGGAAGATCCCGGGAAACGCGAGATAGCCTTTCCTGTTGCTTCTGCCATTTACGGCATTCTTCGCCTTTGGAGCACCTGTGTATCTTGGGCATCATCTGTTCGATGCCGACGATAGAAACGGAATCATTAGGCCCAATCACTCGCGGCCGGCGCCGTCTATGCTGACGACGGCTCTGACTTTCCTCTCTTTCTTGTGAGGGATAGTTCTCCTCGCTGGCTATAGGAGTCGCATTGCAGCTTCTGACACCGACTTCAGCAGCGGTAGAATTCGGTGTCGCTTCTCGTGAAACAGGCTCTGACGGAATGGATGGTTGAGGATCGGATGGCTGATCCGACATGATATTGCGAAGTTGTCGAATTGAGGCCATTAATCCATGCCGCTTACCAAATGACTGGATATCGAGCTCCTTCAGATCTTCGGGCTGGAGATCTAGGAGAATAGAGCCCGTGATATCGTTGACGAAAAATTTCTCAACAATACTATCGTCAAACCTCAGCATTTGCATCCAATTGACAACATCTTGAGGAGTCCAGCTCGCAACTTGTGCTTCATCAGGCAGCGCTGTGTCGTCAATTTCAGGCACAGGCTGAAGCGACGTTCGAACATTTGAGACTCGTGGGATAGGCGTGTCTCTCCTGTCGGGGCCCAGCTTGGATGCGGAGGAGTACAAGGGCGTGGTGGCACTATCAGGGGCATCATCAAATATCAAGTCGATTTCGACAGATGATTTGATATCCATCGAGCCATCTGACATCCGAAAGAGGTGCGGCCCATCTGGGCCAGCAACTGGATTGTCATCAATATGGAAGTGAAATCCACTTAATCCAGCTGAATCTGGTGTTTTGATCTCGTCGGGGGTGGAAGCGGTCGTTACACTCGACGATCCAAGCTAAAAAGTTTGGTTTTAGTTCCTGGATTGGCTGTGGCTGAGACAAAGTTTGTTAAAAAGAGGAAGTACATACTGAGCGAACGCTCCTCCGGGGGGAATCCTCGAGAGCATCTGACTGGGAATCGGAATCAAAGTCGGTATCAAGAATCTCGGTGGCCTCTGATGGCGGGTTCGGAACTCGCGGTCCCCGGATGGATGGAAATGGTCCGGCTCCCTTCGATAAGTGGCCTCGAAAAGTAGGCCAATAGTCGTTTTGGCTGGTCTGCTTGTTTCTTGTTAATAGTAGCTCCATATGAAAGGCATTTAGACGCACCATTCTGAAGACTGTGCCTTCGCGAGACCAACCAAAACGATAGATAGGTCAATCAAAATTTCGTAAAGGAATATCTTTTCCTTGGAAGCAGTAAAAAATAATTCAGAGCTCCAGCAATACAGGCGAGGAGCTAGGTTTTCATGCGGGAGATATGAAAGAAAAGGATCGTAAACAGGAGCGCTGAAATCAGACACAGTATACGCGAGGGCTAAATAGCATTCAACAATATTGTCTTGGGAACAATAATGAGTGGTATATGGGGCGTAGGTGTGAAAAGGAATTAATGTTGAGAACGGGCGGTCCATGGGTATATGTAGAACGACCCACTGCAAGAGGTTTGAGTTGCCAAAAAAAGGTCACATTCAAAAATAACCACGGAGAGGACTTTCAACCAGTGGGAAGGATGTGATGAATTGAGTATGCAGTTGCAGGAGGTGACGTGCGACCGGGGTTGCTGGGGACCAGACGAACTGAGCTACCCTGGCATGTTGCAAACATGTTGATTGGAGAGCGTTGAGGAGCTCGCGCAAGCCTAATGAGGGGTCGTTTCCTCTCGTTGGACAAAAAATGAAGCTAAGGGCACGGTTCCAAAATTATCTCATGGGGAAAAATCCTGCAAGAGGGGTTGGGAAATTCCTACGACAGGCTGATGTGCACGGTACTACTGCAGTGATGGGAGCCGAGAGCGGATCGATAGGCTCTGAGCGTCTGACGCGAGCGCCCTCACTGGGCGGTCGGGTCAACAAGATCCAATTGCCCTCAAATTACTTGTCACATTGGCGCTAAGGCAGCTATCTGGGGTTGATCACACACGGGAAATCTGCCCATAATTGCCCCGAAGAAACAGTAAATGCTGATAATTTTAGCAACAGACAGGCATTAGCCAACATTTCCGGCTTTTCAGGGCGCTTCATTGTTTCCAGAAATAGATGGATTTGCTTCTGCCTGAGGGTGATTCGCCTCGCAATTTTCTCACCAAACTCGAGACGAAACGTTGGTTATACCTTCGGTAGTCAAACAGCCTCTCAGATGACACAGGGAAAACCATTCGGCATGTGCTTGTGTGTTTGGAATCGTGAGTGGCACCGTTCCTAAAATTACACCCTACCTGAACCCCGCACGAGTGGGCGCAACTCGACACATTGTAAAGTTGACTAACTGATCACGACAATCCATTCTTCGCATTTTCCTTGACGGAACCGTACGGAGCCTAGCTTACCATCCTTCTGCCCGTTCTGTCTCTATCTCCGTCCGCATAACTTCTACCATTTTGACAACGTACACCCAGACGCGCTTATTCAACACGGGCATGCTAGAAATTTCCACCAAGGCCCCGTCCATATCAACCTGGAAATGTTCTGTTCTGCTCTCAAACCTCTTACGTTTTGTCTATCTTATATTTTGGAAGAAATAGGAAATAGCCTCACCATAGGTTTTTCAGGGGTTTTTGTAAATTGAGAAACATAACATAGAAGATATATAATCAGTCTGAAGCATCCTTGGCCCGGGAATGAGGTGGAATGGACTAATTTGCCGACAAACTAGACTGGAACCAAATTATTTGCACTTGTATAACATCATCTACCCTGTCGAGGAGACGGTTTCTACAGACTGATAGAGTACTAGAGGACATCATTGTGTGTTCAAAGTTGGTCACTGATTCCCACCTGGTAAGCAGGCGATATCTCACTAGACGTACTTTAGGTAGTTAGCACCTAGTTTACTCATTCATGCTTCATACTATCCCACTCCATCGAGGAATGAAGCATCAGTACCCTCTCAGGTGACAATGCAATTTACTGAATCCTGCAAATGCGTAAAATAAAATAAAATTTGGCTACATCGTGATATTCGTGGATCTTGCCTCGAGCTAAGAGCACCAGAGGCCGAGGCTGTCAAATTAAATTGCGAACCGGTCAAGTTGCTCAGATGACTGTGGTTCTCGCTTAAAAACCGCTGCACCTTTAGATAATGCCGTCATTTGGGTGATATATGCAACGGAGCGAACCGCGTTAAGCAACCTAGTGGAATATGATGCTAATAACGTTTCGACTTACCCAAGCTAGGTGCTTAGGTCCCTTAAGGTATCCTAAATTAGAAATAATTAGTGATCTTTGCCTGCATTTTCTTCTTAATGCGTGATTTAACTGAAAGTTATTAATAGTAAATTTTGCCCAGAAAGGCTGAATTACTCAAACGCAAAGTGTTCATAATGAACAAGATGATCTGCCCCTTAGTCCGAGAGCCTGTAGATTGGCGGTTAATTGTTGCTAATTAGGGATACACATCTGCAAGTGCGTCCCGTGCGAGCAACGGAAGGGTTCCCCGCTCGAGTGATTCGGCTGCAGGGCGTTGGTTGGTTCTCGAGAGCCCGTTTTGCACACGATGGGCTCGGCCCACCGCCCGAACCGCCCGCGGCTTTAGGAGGCGGGGCCAATAAGCGGGCAAAGATGGAAGCTTGGCATGCACAAACTGCAGCCCCGTCACGATCTAACCCCACCACAATGTGCCTGCAGCCACCAAATGTGACCATCCGACCCAAAGGTCCCAGCTACGATGACAGGCAGTCAGAGGCCATGTGAATTTGTTCACTGCCTTATGAGACTGCTGGTAGTAGGTGCGATAGTAAGGAATTTATTTAAGGAATGAGACAGGGGATTCTCTTGAGCGCAATGATAAAATAGTTTTTGCAGGTCCAGTGCATCGCGGGATGCCTGGGGAGGGGACATCGTGCACGGATGATGTGATAGCAAGAAATCAAACTTTGTGATTGAAGCTTGTAGCCTATCAGCGTCTGTACCAGCTATCTGCATGCAGACCCCCAGCCAATGGAGCCTAGGAGTTGTCACACATCCCATTCGGCTCACTTGACTCTACTTACAGAAGCGAGCATTCGGGGGCCGATCGAACCCACATGCGCAAGCCAACCAACAGGAAACTTATCCCTGTTCAAAATGATCCCAAATTTAGGCCACGTTCGGTGTCATTTGTCCCAGCTGCAGATCCCCGCCCATGTTCGCATGGCCGCCTGGCTTCGATCAGCCAGTACTTGCGTAGCTTGTCAAAAAATAGAAGCATCGCGAGATGCAGGTTAGATCGCATATTAGTCTTTAAAGTCTTCTTCCTCCAAGCATATCCAGATGAAACATTCCGCCTCAATCCATCCCATCCTCAACATTACAACTCGGTTCTGTACTCTCTTCCGTCTCTGAGAGACCAGGCACACGAGCCAAACCATCTCTGTGCTTTTTTTCGTTCCCTTTTCGTTTCCCCTCCCTCCTGAACGAGGGCGCATAGCTCCATTAGCGGCTCTCTTATAACTCAGTTGTTGCCGCGCAGCTTGTTTTGATGGGATAAATTCGTCTCTTAGTCTTCCCTTTGCACACTATCCACTGTTTCTCCGACTCTCAACACACACAAAATGCCCCATTCTAAGCCCTCTCTCGGCTCCTCAATTCAGCCAGCGAAGAAAAATGACGCATCTGAGGTTGACACTATCAACGCGGATTCGACTGGAAAGTCTGCCACAAAACTTCACAAGCGTTCAAGGTCCGGTAAGTTCGTGACAGGGAGACCCGGTATCATGATGATTATTCTATGCGTTGGAACATTTCCATTGTTCTTTGATAGTTCTCGGTCTAATAACTTTCCCTTAGGGTGTTTCACTTGCCGGCTACGACGAAAGAAGTGCGACGAGGGCCATCCTTCATGCAAGGCGTGCACCAACCTCAGTCTAAAGTGCGAATACAAGCGACCGATGTGGTGGGCGAGCGCAGAACAGCGTCGACTTCAAAAAGAGCGCGTTAAAAACAAGATAAAGCAAACCAAAATAGTCGAGCGACGGGGTTCAAATCAAGGTACACACCCATTCATGTCTATATCGCAATTGAATGATTGATTTTCTGACGCTGTGCACTCCTTACAGACCAAATGGAACGCACACTTGGACCTTCCGCTGGATCGCCCCCGCTTGTGATGGCTGGAGATTACGAATTCAACCGCCCGACTTTTACCGAAGCCTATGACCCTTTTGCCTCTCATGTTCAGACTCCTGCATTTCCTCCTAGCTCCTACCCGCCCCAGTATGCGCCTTACGAAGTTGACGTTCGAACCGAGCGACAGACATTTGTCAATGATGTTCCCTTCCGACATGACTCCTCTGTCTCCACATTCAGTGCGATGGGACCCCCACAGCTACACACAACTCTTCCCAACTTCCATGGAGACGACTGGTTACAAGAAGAATGCTTTAATCAGGCCGGTCCATACGGCAGCCTCGATCCTACTCTTCCGCAACAAGCAAATGGAACAGCGATAACATATCTCCAATCCGCAAATATTCCGGTGGAGGAGCACGACCGGCCATTTTTGGACCACTTCATCGAAAATGTCCTGCGCATGATATTTCCCATTTCCGAGGTCCACCAACAAGGTCTTGCTCGCGCAAAGGCAATTTTAACATCACTCGAAACAAACAGATCCTATCTCCACTGTTGTTTGAGCGTCGCCGCCATTCATCTGAAAACAACTGTCGGCCTTACTGCTGAGCAAATTGATCATGACATTATGCGGCATCGGTATGAGGCTATCTCTCAGTTATGCCAGGCTCTCAATAGCGATACCGACCATGAAAAAATTTTGGATTCGACTTTGGCAATGATATTTTTCCACTGCTCGGTTGGCGCACCTGATGATTGCCTGCCAGATATTCCTTGGAGCGATCATTTCCAAGCAGTATCAAATCTAGTTAATAAGCTAGAATTGCCAAATTCAGTAGCACTCCCGGCCACAAAACCTTCGGCTACTATCAGCCCTTTCAGCATGTCCCTCACAACCTGGATCGACATTCTCGGAGCCACGATGCTGGGCAAAACTCCGCAGTTTGCGCACACGTACCGGACCAAGCATCTGAGTGGAACAGCCTCTGGCCTGCGAGAGTTAATGGGATGTGATGATCGTATCATGTACCTCATCTCAGAGATTGCCTGCTTGGATTCTCTGAAGACGGAAGGTCGTATTGATGACTTGTCTGTCTGCCACCACGTTTCCGCCCTTGGTGCTCAACTGGAATACACCGAGTCTGCCAATCAAATTTTGGAGCATCCTTATACCTGCACAGGAACGCTTCGACCAGATCAGCTAACAAATACCATGAGCACTATCTTCCGCTTTGCCGCCCGCCTCTATCTATGCAGCCTCGTTCCAGGCTTTGATCGCAATCAACCCAGCATCGTCAATCTCGTCTCATCCATCACCAACGCTCTTCAATTTATACCTGCAGGGCCTTATGGTTTTGATCGCTCCTTAGTCTGGCCATTGCTTATGGCTGGTACTTTCTCTGCGCCGAATAGCGAGTTTCGCACAGTTCTCGCAGAACGAGCTGCTGCGCTTGGGGAAATTGGCGACTTTGGCAGTTTTGGCCGAATGTATCGCCTGGTCCAAGAGGCTTGGCGACTGTCAGATGAGACAATATCGCCACCAAGCGATGCTGAGCAGTCGCAAGATGGACAATTTGGCCTTAAACAAGAAATTCCATCGCCTCCCAGCTCTAGTCACACAAGAACGCGGTCAATCAAAAAGCAAAATGTCCATTGGCGCGACATTATGCAGCGAAATGACTGGCGCTATTTGTTGATTTGATTTAGTCTTTCAAGTTGCCTTTTTTGTGTCTGGAGTTACTGATTCTCAAAATAAATGGTGGAGTTGCGGTTTGGATTTTCATGTGTTTTATGCCTTATTCCCTGGTATGCTTTTTGGTGTTTGGCTGGTGTGGCTCTCGATTTTGTTTTCATGGAAGAATTCAAGTTCACAGGGTGGGAACATTTCACCGTGCACTGCACGATACGGCAGCATTATACTGATAAAGAGTTTCAAGACCCGGAGTGAAAGTCTGCACATATTTTTTTTGCGTATGCATTGCTTCATAGATCTCAAACCTTACAGAGATGTGCGCAATTATAGGAGCAAAATGGAATTTCATCTTGTCCAATTTCCATATACGTGTCATTTCACTCAGTTACCTACATCTATATATCTAACATAATCCACCCTGTTTGGAACATTCGGGTCTCCCATAAGAGGTAGTGGGTTTACGACAAACTTGACCTATACTCATCATTTTCGGAATGGATCTTGGAGATTTGTTCATGGCTCGATGAGCCAGAGATGACGTTAACCTTTTGGTACCAACCTGTTCACTGTGACAATTCTTGACGACGGCTTTGAAACTGCCATAACTAGAAAGGAAGGCAATTTCCCTTGCCATATCTTCTAAATGTCCCGATGAAGATCCCCGCTCTTACTCCCTCGAAGGCTCAGGGTGTTTATAAATGAGCTCAGTGGTTATCTATTGTTCGCAGAATCGGGATATTGCAGTTTCTCATGGTAAGTCGCACGATAGGAACTCAGAAAGAATTAAGCTAGGCGTTATTAAATTAATTGGCAGGCGGCCTGGCCGCATTTTTCACTCAAATCTGAAATTGAGAAGTCAATTATGGAAAAGTGTGCTGTCCTCTTCCCTTCGAATCTATTCTAAATTTCCTTCATCGGGGCTTCAACAAAAGCACGTAGCACAAGAATCCCCTAGCAGCAATAAGGAAAGCTACACGCTGTATACTTGAAAGCAATTCCAGTATAAAACAGGGAATGATAATCTGCTCGAAATAGGCATTGTCAAACAAACACAGAAGTAGTACACAACCGGCGCTTGTCGTCGAGGCAACAGCCAGCGCGCGTGACATTAGTCTCTGCTCGTGGCTTCTTCCGTAAAGTTCTTGAATTTTTCAATTAGAGACTAAACAATAGCCACCATTGGTGATGCACCCTGTGATGGGTTCTCCTAGATCATGAAGTGGATCCCGATGCAGTTTGAACGGGAGGGCAACAGCGACATCGATCTCCAGAATAGGACTTCAATATTCTGAAACGATCAATCGGCATAATTGTTGGGAAATAGGCGAAGGGTTTCTTGCAGGCTATCATTGGAAAGGAAGGCACGGTACGATTCAAGCGCCTCTAAAGGGCCGGCCATGATCTGAATCTGAGCGCTTGCCTCCCAGTAATGGATCCCATTTGCTTTCCGTAAAATGACAGGCCCTTTACACATTGAACTGCTTCATTTTGCCAAATCTCGGGGCTCTTGTGCGGGTATTGAGCCTGAATCTACCCGGTAAATACTAGCACTTATGTACGTTGCGGTCTGCAAAACGAAAGTTGATATATCGATGTACTCAATCGGTAGTAATTCATGTTTGACTACGCATACTCCAGTATTAATCTACTGGACAAGGTGGGCTTATTCATCTCTATTATTAGTAACCATTCTCCCTCACGGGGTTTTAGGGTCACCCAAGGAAAGCCGCAGAGTATTGGCAGACTTTCAAGACTTTTCGGCTAACATGATATTGTTTCATTCGTTGCAGAGTGGCGTGGGCGAGCCGCTGGGTTTTTAAGGAGGAACCGCGCGCTTTAGTCAGAGCGAACCAGGAGGGTTGAGTGAGCGGCGAAGGCCCCTGACCAGGGCCAATATGAAACAGCCTAGCAGAGAGACAATTTCTTCATGGGCTCAGCAAGATTAATTAATCGCTGATCCTACTCCTGTCTACAGCCACGCGGCTCCATGGTGTGTGGATTGAGAAGGCTTATAACCAGGAGATAAACCCTTCGGGAACACAAACATCCTTCCCCCCCTCCTTTCCCCCAACAGGCCACCCGAGGCTTAGGACAATCAGCTGGACTGAGATTCCAAGCCTATTCCTTTTGCTCTTGCAGCGTCCAATCTGTGACCATCAGCATCCACTGCTCGCAAAGCGGGGAATCTATCCTGGGCTCTCAAACGGCTCCGTCTTAATCCTTCATTTGAATTCTCCAACTTGGAGGAAATCCTCCGGGCAACAAGAGTGGGTGACAACAGTTTAAACGCTTTTCTTGCAGCTGAGAACTGAACACGCAAACCTAACCGCCTTCCGAATAGCCCAGTCCCTCAGTCAGCCAGTCAGAAATACACCGAACTGTATCGTCACCGTCAGACACATCGATACAGTATTTTACCGATCGTTCCATACAATACCGCTGCCGTGTCGTCCTCGTCGCTCCGCCCTTATAGATCCGTCTCGCGACTTGTGTCTTGCGAATTGCTCCGCCAACTTGGATCTCTCTTTGACCGCGCCACGACCGGGCTACTACCCTTTCTTAGTGTTGCTGTGGGCTTTTTATTCTCTCGTCTCTTCCACCTGCCGATCAACGCCTCGGCCTTCCAATTATATCTTCTTGTTTTTTGAACACCGCCCGCCCCCATTTCCGCTGCCTAGCGCATTGACTTAAACTGTTTGGATCCCTGCCTCTGCTCCCACCTCTTGCTTGCCTTCTCCCCCCAGCATCTTTTTGCTTCGCCTCTTTTGACCCACCACTGCTGCATTCCCATTCTCATCTCTTATTTATTGCTTGCAAGTCCACATCATGGCACCGACCAAGCCTGTGCTCTATCCTCTCAAAACACCTAAATCCATGACATTCCCTTCCGAACTCAGTCCCCTCCCGGCGACGCCTCTTTCCATCAAATGCGAGGATGGGACTCCAACACCATCGCTCACCCCCCCTTCTTATGAAAAGTTTTTGGAGGCCCTTACGCCGGTCATGAGTGGCCCAGCAAGTGCTGGAGTTGATTTTCAGCGATTCAATTTTGAAAAGCGACGCCCTTCACCAATATCCGTGCCTTCAAGTGCTTCTAGCGACGGACCAAAGACAACTAGCGCAATTCCGCCTCGTTCGCCAGCTGCCAGCCAACAGTCTGCGAGTCCCCAATCGGCCAGACTTCCCTCTTTACGACGTCTTCGCATCCCGTCATGCGTTTACTCTTCTTTGAGTGATTCCCCCGGGAGCGCACGAACAATCCGATCGCCCTTTTCCCCTTCCGATTGGAAGATACGATATATTGAAACACCGAGGAGTGCGGGTGGAAAAGCGGTCAGTGTTCGCCAAGTGGTAACTCGAACTGTTACATACAAGCGGACGCAGTTGGACCCTCCACCAAAGGGGAAGCGTCGCAAAACGAGCGAGTGCGGTGATGATTAGGGATTATTTGGAAGGCGCGCATGCGCCCCTGTATGGGGTGAGGGAGGCCTGATTCCTCTATTCGCGCCATGACCTCTCTAGTTCTCAATTTGTCCCGCGCGTCCAGCGACTGGCATCCCGCCAATACTTTTGCTTGGTTCTTTTGATACGACTACTTTCACTATGGGGTCCTCATGACATGGTTAGACTATTCGCATTGTTTTCTCGCACAGCCTGGGCTCAATTTTCTTCTGGTAACGCCTCATTGTCTGTTCGCTTAACCGGTATCTTATGCACGCCGATTATCTGGGTCGGGGGGAGAATGGAGTTTCTGACGTGGTTCTTACTTTGTCCAGTACTTGATTTGTGTTATTGTTGGTGGCGGAGAAAAGGGAATGCAAGGATTATTTTCTGGGTCTTTCTGTGGGGGCTGCCCGTGTTTGGTCCAGCTCGGAGTTTCGTGGTATTTGAGCTAGGAATTGCTATCGATCAACTTTCTTCCTCATTCGGCATATGTCCGTCCCTTTACAAAGCAGATAGCTTCATCTCAAGCGGTGTGAATATTGATATTCCTTTCTTCTTAGTCACCTTGATAGATACCGCTCCAGACTTTGGCCACGGGCACGTCAGACTGATCATGCTCAACAGTGAAATGCGCGAGGGCTATGATAGTAATACAGTTTGTAACGTCGCTCCCCCGGTGAGGATCTGAAGGCCCATGGGGCCACGTTAGTCGCCCTCCACCTTGAAGCGAATGGGCCTCGCCGGAGCTAGGTTGGCGAGAACCATCGCCTAATCCGTCGACACCTATTAGCCCAAGGCGGAACGCTGAGTCAAGTTCAGGTTATTTTGTTGCGCCACGGGATCATTAGGTATGGTAGCCCCAAGGGAATGGTTACCCTTGGGCCCTTTCCACGTGTCACCTGCATTAGGGGATGTTGGAAACTCCAGCTTGACATAGAGAAAACCAACATTACCCTCGACGCCCGAAGGATCGTGGCCGTACCCAGATCAGGCTAACGCATATGCATTTGTTCCGGGGAGGCTCAAGCCAGGGTTCGAGCTCAATCCGAGATAGGACGAGTCTCATTGTTCGCCCTGGTAAACAGAGTTCACTTTGCATAAGGTATGGAATCTTGTCCACGGATACACGGGCTATTACGCGCATGGCTAACTAAGATTTCAGCCTTCTACCCTAGGTTTGTGAAATTCCTCGCTCGATAGGCTAGTTGTACCGCTGACCCAGTGGACTGCATAGCCAGGGCGCATAGAATGGCCACCAAGAAGCCCAGCCAGCATCATGAACTTTACACTTGGCGCCATTCAAGCGCCAGAGGTAACCGAGATGGTCACGGGAGCATAATTCGAATAGCAGGCTGAATCGACAAGTGCGTAAAATAAACCGTACTTCTTTTTGTATTGCAATAAGCTGGCGCCGGTGGCATGGAACGCTTAATAGCAGTGACGAATAGTGCCATTCAAACCACACGCCACAAGGCATCAACCCCTGTCACAACAGAGAAGAGTTGATACGTAGTACATAGCCCCATACAATAGCCCCGGTCCTTGAGCCGCGTAGTACGACAGTTAATGACTCGAAGGATTGTTCGATTGCTGGATGAACTCGGACAACTCAAATCGGTCTAGTAATGGCTAGACGCCCGAGATTACCTTGCTAGCCAGCCACCAATTTTTTGGTGCGTTGTAATCTGGCCTGATGCTACAGTATATCTGTAGGAAGCCAGACACTGTACGAGCTCTCAACCATTCTGTATTGTATGTATTATATCCATGTTCCTGTGGTATCATTACCGTAGGTGACCTTTGGGCGAAATTATCGGAGAATACCCTACCGGAGCTACTGTAGTGCATGCATATACGGAGTCACGAGATAAATACTCGCGAGAGAATGTTTTGGTAGATTATTATACGATCGGAAACTATCATTAGCTTCTTGATCTGAGTTGTAACAAAGTGAATTTTACAATAACGCGGAACAATAGACTCGGTGTATTGCGGTGGAAATAGAGGCCCAGAGAGTATCACTTGACCTTGATTGTCATCAGTGTGTACATGGTACAAGTGACCTTGAGCAGGATAATCATTACAATTGCTTGACTGCCCGCGTCATCCACTCGTTGGTAATATTAAAGAGCCGAATGTTGTATTGCGTGAAAATTTTGATTATTATTGAGATCTTGGAGACTGGTAAGATTTTGCCAAGAGGGAGCGTAAGTAACCATGACGGCAAATACTTTACAGGTGTATCGGTCGCCCCGTTGTAAGCCCCTACATCCCCGACTAGAAGCCCATCCCAGGCCACATACTTTACGAGAAAGCCATATGGTGGACCTCCTGACTTCCTAGGTTTCAAACCCCTCATAGAAACGGCCGGTAAAAGGGATTAGGGAGTTCAATGCCCCGGTGATGGGGGTGCACAGAAAACCGAATAGAGACCCACATATATACATTATCCAATCGCTGATCCCAGTGCCATGGGCTTAGGGGAAAGGCCCGCTCATCGATCTCATTTAAGCGCCCGCGCTATCCTGCATTTGTATAGTGTGTGCTCGAAGAGAGAATCTGCAAATATTCGTGGCATGATTGGATCGTTCTGGTGGGGCTGTCACGCGGGGGATAAGCCCGTCAGAGGGTCTATGCTCAGTCTATCCCCCGATTCCCGACAAGCCATTTGCCCGTCATTACACTCCTCCTGCAGCAACAGGGAAGGGTTACCTATTTTTGGGACAGAGCGGGCGGGCTTGCTTTAGCCTTTGTGCTCCATGTGCTTCCCATCCCTTGGTTTTGACCAATGAACGCTCCTATTTCGGGTCCAAATCAGACCGCGAAGAATAGGGGGTTCGAATTCCCTGTTGACAACGAATCATTGGCCTACGCCCAATGTGATACTTTGATAGCTCTACGGAGTGGACTCTTTCGGTCATGGTTATTGCTTGCCTTGCTCAAGTCTAAGCGTTCTATCACAAATTGGTCACATCTTGTGCAGGACTAGCACATTGAATCGGAGTTCGCGAAGGGCAACAGTAGCCGCTAGCAAGGATACAGCAAGAGGCATGACTCTCGTGAAGACGCCAATTTTAGAAGCGTATGTTTTATGCAAGGAACATGCGCCCCATGTCTGCCCCTACTGGTTCCGTTAGGATCGTCGTTAACGTCATTCTTCTTGTCCCACGTTTCGACAGCGTCACATCCTGATTCCCTGTCACCGCCATCCCCCTCCCTCCACCGGAACTGCGAGCTGAAGTCTCGTAAATCTCACTATCCAATTCTCCTTCCGCTCAATCCAAGAGCCCTGGTTCTGCTGTATTTTGGATTGTGACCTTGTAACCGACACAAAGGCTTTGTCACAGACGGTTCCCACCACACCGGTATCGGATCTACGTGCAGCATCCACGATCCGTCTGCAGTATAAGGCTAGGCGAAGCGCTATTTTTGGATCCTATTCCAATTTAAACGACACCCCTTCAATACATCACCGATGGGTCTGTCTTGAGATATCCAATTTGTCGCGTTGATTGAAGAGCTACAGTAGTGAATGGATCGAGCCATTATTCATTTATAGGAGTTTGTGTATATAAATCATACTTTACTAGCCTTGGTAGGGAAGCAGTGAGAACAAAAGTATCAGATCTCGAGGCTGAGGTTGACAATGACCATCCGCTCCTAGCGATGGGAACGAGACTAGCGCCCCAGTCATTGGCCATTGTGCAACCCGGCGGCAAGGTTGAGGACAAGAATAGCACTGTCTACCCATGAGATAGGGATAGAAACCCAATCAACAGAAAACCAATATCCAGACATGGGGTGACCGTTTTCCAAAAATATCTCAATATACCATGATGAGCCTGTATATTCTCGAATAATTGTTCTGATTGGCCGCTCATCTGTTCCATTCCATGCAGTACAGTACCGCTTCCAAACCCTAATGCATGCCCCTCCAGAAGTCCATACTCGGTTCTTGCCCGGTAATAGTGACGGGATATCTTTATATGCAGGGGTGATCTTGCCCTTGATTGGCCTGTACTTGATCTTCGGCTCGAGGCCTTGGAAGGTTTGAACTATTGAATGTCCCCTTAGGCCTCAGTGCTCTGTCGATCACACTACTGCAGATTCTGTCTCTCGCTGAAATGACTATTATTAGGAGCTGGAACCTATCATGATGTTAATTTTAGATCTGTAGCGCTATACCTTAGAGAGGGATGTGGTCGAGGTCGTTCGGTCGTGGTGATCGTCTCGGCTGCTTGCACACCATCACAAACGCCGATACCACGGCCCTGTTTAACCAGACAATGACCCCGAGTACACCGTTAGATAATGAATCTAGTTTATTTATATCCAATTCAGCTGATCGGAGGTTGTCTTTGTCTTGAAATGCATACTGCCTTTCGGAACAAGGTCTTCAGTACGGTACAGTATGGTACCACTCTCATCGTTTTACACTTCTTGCGTGCCGTATATCGCCTATCCTCGGTATCAATTTTAAGATAATTCTCTTCTCAAAATCCATCATGAACTGCCTGGATGCGGGCGGAAAGGCCCCATATGCCAAGGTAACCCGCCTGATGGTGGCCGTCTCTAAGGAAGCCTGTTGTCACCGTGACGCTACCGAAGAGCTATGAAAGGGCAAGGGTCTCTGTTCCAGGAGAAATTGGCTCGGGAAGAAATCCTGGTGCTTCATGGCATAGTCTAGAAGCGTAGTCCGATCTTGAGCGAACACTACAGCCGGCGACTACGTCCAACCTCTCACCAGCTTCTTATCTGGTAGTCCTTATGTGCAACATGGACTGAAGGTACCTTAGAACAAAAGATTCAATGCTTTTCAGTAGACACAATACATTTCAACGAATAACGAACTTCTCCAAGCAGATCAGATCCCTGGTATTCGCGGAGAATTTTACCGTGGTATGTTTATTATTCTAGTTAGTAGGTTTCTGGAAGAGAAAGTTTAAAATAGATTTTACTGTTTTGACCTAGCTTTTCTTTAAGCTAATCCTCAATCAAGTTCCATATAGTGCTCTGATCTTGGATCCCAAGAACATAAAAAAAGAAAAGAAAAGAGAGAAAGAAGGTACATTTGGTACATAGCTAAGTCAACCTCATTCTTAGCACATGAAATTATAAACATCCTGCCTTTCGTGTTATTCACAAGCTTACAGCAGGTCAAAGGCGATTTGAAGCCATGGGATTAAGAGCGGTAGAATGAACTCTGGCAAACCCAGCAGTGTTAGTTGAGAGGGGGAGTGGGGGTTGAGGTGATAGGTACTGCATGCAGGCCGCTTATCACACTGCATCTGCCAAAAATAGACCATTCCAGAGAGCCAACGCGGGGTCAAAAATTACCTGTGAATCATACCATGAACAAGCAGCCGAGTCCATGAACACTGATTTTCCATACGTACACACTGGAGAGTGATGAGCCAAAGGGCTTCTATCAGTTCTTTCACCTATATGGAACCCACGTGGCTGGAAGTTCAAAGATAAAGAAGGTATCACCGCCGATGCTATATTTAGAGGCGGGGCAGAGAAGCACTGCGCTGGATCGTCCTGTCCCTCACAGACAGACAAATAACATCGTAGAGATCATACTATTCCTTTCCTTAAAAGGACTAGCCGCAAATGTCTGCCTCCCGCGCTCTCCATTGAAGCGGCGCAGGATACATTCCCAGAATCCCGTGATCGGCCCGCCCGCTACTCTTCTCTCCATGAGCCGTTGCACCTCCCCTTCCCACTCAGCCCGGCTGTCACTACGTGTACCGTATCCTCCTCTCTGTCAAGCGGTGCGTCACCCTAAGCCTGTCGCCGAGTTTCCCGAGTCTGTGTTCCGTGCGCCCCCCAATCTCCCAATACCTTTTCTTTTTTTACGTCCTGCTCCGCCATGGCTCAAGCACCGCCCACCTTCACCCCAGACAGCGAATTCGCCGAGCTGGAGACGCCACGCGGTCCCAACAGCAGTAGCCTGTCCATATCGGCACTGGCCCGATTCGAGTTCGAGGCAGGCAAGGGCAATGATGGCACGAAGATCTTGATGATTGAGTGGGAGGACGATGACCTGACCCGATCTGCGGCGGAGGGGTCGTGGCATGTCTCATGGACCGGCAAGACTACTGTCCTGCCCGCTGATGACCGGCCCAGTGACAGCCTTCACCGCGTTTACTTTTTGCTGCCTTCCCAGGTCACCATCCCGCCTGTGGTTACGCTCTGTTATGAACCGCGGCCCTCGGACAAAGCAGACATCGCGTCAATTCCTACTCCAAATCCTCGCGATACTTTCCAGCTGAACCCATTACCCGCCATCTTCCCTCCGGAACTGGGAGCTACGGGTCGCTCGGCCGGAAAGAAAGGAGTCCTGCACACAATATGGGCGAAGAAGCGTCTGCGCGTCCTAGACCAGGAGATTCGCCATGAATGCTTGAATAATGCTGAGGGGGTTGCCCTGCACATGGCACTAGAGGAGAAGGAATGGATCGAGACAAACTTTGGAGTTACAGCACGGACTATCGACGTTGCCAGGAGCCACGACTCCTCGACCTCAAACTCAGTCTATCCCACTGGGCCAGCTACACCAGTGTCCCCAGTCAGCGGAAGGAAATTAACCGACAAGCTCAAGGGATTGAAACTGCAGACCAGCGAGAAAGACTTGTCTGCAAAAGATGGTCAGTCTTCCGCCGTCACTAGCTCCTCTATCGGAGAACTGATATCAGCAGACTCGAGTCCAAATTCGGCGCATCTCCTTTCTCCACAGTCCCCTGATGTCGCCGTTTCTTCCTTCAGCTCCTTCAGCACTCTCGCCAAACAACCGCCGGACTCCATTCCCACACCAGTCACGAATCCTACGCCGACTCCAAACTCCTGTACCAATCCTGCGGGCTCTGAGTTGCCTAAGGCAGTTGCACTTCATCCCCCCGAGTCCGTCCAAGAGGCCCAGCAGACGACTGGTCCTGGAGGCTTCGCTGCGATGAGCTCTATGGCAACAATCGCACGCACTTCGAGTGCCGAATCCGGCGAAGGACTCTTCGCCAAGGCGCTCAGCCCGCGCTCTCCGGATCTGCCGCGAAGCCCATTCTCATTTGCCTGACTTCCTGCTTCTTCCATTTTCATTCGTCCATTTACTTCGTTACGATTTGTCTTATGATTCCCCTTCTGCGGTGTGACGACATATGCCATCACTTTTCTCATCATCTCTACGATATCTGGGAGACGTTTACGGTCCATACCCCTATTCATGTTCATATCCATGACCTTGACGTTGACCTCGACGTTGACCTCGACGTTCACCGTGACCCCGAATTTCTGCATCTTCATTTTCATATCATTCGTACATAAATGCTATCATGGACCTGTCTGTGTACATAGAACAACCCCCAACCGACCTCCTCGAGACGTCTCGTTTTTATTTTGGCGAAGCAAAAGAAAAGAACAGATTTTCCGCCACGGACCGTAATGTATGAACTTCTTCGCCGTGGGCGGGAAAAAGGCGTATGCGCTACACGAATAAAGCAAGTGGCGGTTTGTAACCCAAGTTTCCGCCGAAAGGAGAAGCAGAGCTCAGAAAGTAACAGCCGCTTAATTCTTCTTGCGCTGGCTGCCCTGGCGGCCGGGCTTGCCAGTGGATGAGCCAGATGCGGTGGCCGAGGTAGGAGCTTCGCTGGCATCCTTCTTCTTACCCGTCGCAAGCGACTCGTACTCCTGCGCATCCTTGCGCTCGGCATACCACTGGCCGGCCTGCAGGACTAGAATGCCGACCAGGACGAGCGCCAGGATAGTGTTGCTAGCTGCGAGGACCTTGAGCGAGTCTTCGCGGCCGAGAATCTGATCCTTATCCTCCGGGGTTTGTGCAAGGTCAACGCCGTACTGGCCGGCAGAGGCGAGGCGCAGGCCCTTTACAATGTTGGCAATGTAGACGGTGACGCCGCACATGTAAAGGACAAGCGAGGCGCCATCGAAGAGCATGTTAGACTCGGAGGGTCTGTAGAGCTTGGTGACCAGGCCGGCGAGGCCGAGGAAGATCACAATGTGGAGGATACGTGGAATAAGAGGAGGCGAGGCGTGCAGGAAGCGGAGGTGCGCCTCGAAATAGTCGAAGTGAGAGGCCGGGGTTGGGGTGGTGGACCACAGGATTGGGTAGTCGTAGGGAAACATAGAGAAGATGATGCCCAGGAAGAAACATGTTGCTAAAACGGGTCTGTCAGTCGTGGTCTTGTGGGATGGGCGGATGCGTGGGCTCGTGGGTACTGAGGCTCGGTGGCCTCAAGCGGACGCGGGGAAGAGTGAGCTCACGGCATAGGATTAGGAAGGTCGCGAACGACCCGCTCTTGAATGCCATTGTGAAAAGGCGGGAGGAGTAATCTTGGGTTTGAAGAAAACGGAATGGAGAGGAGAAAGAAGAGGAGGAAACAGGGGGAAGTGAGGTTATCTCTAACCGGGCGCCCGGGCGCCAAGGCGCCCGGGCGCCCCAGAAAAATACGGGACCGCCTGAGATAAGGCTAGCAACGGAGTAGGCGATAGTTATATGTCAACGTGTCCGCGCTGATAGGTAGACACAAGATTATGGTACATGGGGGCTCTCAACGCCGCGTAGTTCAACCAGCGCCGTGAGTTCGTAATTATGCGAATCGTGGTATCGTCCAGAAATCTCCCGGCCCCAAAATGCAAAATGTACATAAATTAGAATCCAATCGCCCAAAGAAACAATCAATCATCGCTGGTATCGAGGTAAAGACTCGTCCGCATGCGCCGTGCCGCCCACCAATTGATCGTCCTCGTCGAAGTTCGGCGCAGTCGGGACAGTCGGAGCACTTGGACCCTCGCCGGCTTCGCCATTTGTCTCCTCGTGTGGGACACTTGGGGCACTAGCCTGTTGCATGAGTCGCTGGCGCTCCAGCTCCAGTTTATCGTCTGTCGGAGCCGAAGGCTCGCTGGGGCCTGGGGAATGGCCGTTCACAACCACAGTCTGCAGCGATTCAGCAGATCGCACGGCGTGCGGTACGCCATCAACGGCGGTTGACGGGAGATGCTGGTAGTCCTGCAGATGGTGGTCATCGGGCAGGACAGGCGCGGTTGGCACGGGCACTTCAGCATTGGATGGGCCTGCCTCGTCTTCCTCCGGTGGCTGGCTAGGCAAGAGGGCTTCTTCATGACGTCGTAACCGGGTCTTCTCGTCCACGGGCTCTTCCACTTCTGGATGCGCCGTCATTGGGCCGGTAGGCTGGAACGGTTGCGAGTAATCCTCGGGATACTCTGACCAGTGGCCCTCTTGGGGGAACCCATAATCATAGTCTTCTTGCCCCCCGTATTCGTTGTGGGAGCTCGGCATCGGGCTAGCTTCAGGCCAATCCTCTCCGTCTACGGGATTGACCATCGTCGAGGAAGCTTGAGGTGTGGTATGAGACGCCGAAGAGCTGGTAGTGGTGGATGGTTTGCGTTCAATCGTAGCTTGGCCACGCTGTGTATCGCGAGTCCCAACCACTACTTCAAAGGCTACTGAAACGACACCTTTCTCCCGGCGAATTTGGTCCGTATCCAGAATATTGCCTCCCCAATTGGTCGTGATGCCGCTCCCATTCGCATCGGCTGGGTTAAGAATCTGGCCGCTGGGCGAAAAGGTGCTGCCGCCTGAAACCATGTTGAATCGGGGGATGAAGCGATCGGGAGAGGTGATTTTGCCCCGCAAGTCAACCACGACTTCGACATAATATCTGAAATTGATCATTGCCCCAGGCACACGCGTGATGGTGGGAAATGCGTCCTCTGGAACACGGATGGATGTCTTGACAATTGCGGTCATGGTGCTCGGGTCCACAATTAGCGGTGCAAATGTCTGCGACAGATCCTTGCGGAATGTGCTGCTGGTGCGACTGGTGCCAAGAGTCAATCCCCCGAGTCCCGTTCGGGAGCGTGGATAACAGTCCTCATAGACCGGCTTTTTACCAGCTGCGGTGGAACCGATGGGGATTGCTGGATGCAGATCGATGCGGCCCTGTCGGTAGAATGTAACGACGATCCCGTGCGCGCTGCGCACTTGCTTCGAATGGTTGATCGTAACCTTGATGGGCAAACTATCGCCCGGCAGCACGCCTGCGCGCAAAACCTCGGCCTTTGCGGTGATCGTCTTATCCGAGATCGAGGGGGTCGCGCTGCGACCTTCGCTGGTCCGGCCGCCCGTGCTTGTTGAGGAGCTTGGGTCGCTGACGACCTGAAAGCTCTGACTGCTGTTGCTCGGCCGACTAGAAGAACTGACATTGCTCGGAGAGGGACTCAGCGGCGGGCGATGATCCACCGCTGCAGCCACACCACTGACTGGAGTATCTATGGAGGCGGTGTCTGGTGCAGCAGTCGCGTCGGAAGTTGTTGATTTGGCTTTCGCCTTGGATTTGGATCGCTTGGAAACCGGTTCTAGAGTGACAATGCGGGCTTTGGGGGCGGGGAAAGGTGCGATATCAATATTTTCGAGGAAATTGACCCGCCGGCGGCAGGTCAGTGTAGGGTTCATGGTCGTCGGTCGGGTCAGGGTAGATGTTAACGAATATGCAATGGTGCCTCGTTCGAACTAGAAAATTGCGAATGTGCACGTCAGTATTGATTTAGGGTATCGGATGATGAAGGACCACACACATTAAGACTACTGGGGAGGGCGTAAGGCGGAAGCCCCATCTCGAAGCGGAATTTGTAAATGCCCTCTTTGAGACGACCGTCGCCACAGAGAACGACCTCGTCCTCGAACAAGGTGGCCAGACCGTTGCCCATATATTCAGCGCCTCGCCGGCCGCGCCCGGGTCCAAGGAATCCCAAATCGGGAGGGGCTTCCCCCGCAGGGATCGCGTTCTTGAACACCTTCACATATCCATGCAGACAAACCACTATATGCGTGATGCGAACCGGCCGCACGACTGTCACGAGGACCGTGCCTTTGATCACGTCTCCGGGGAAGTACGAGCGCCATGGGTCGTCAGGGTCGATATAGAAGTCGGTAATGCTGCGATTGCGGTTGCCCAGGGGGGAGCGAAATTTGGATAGAAAGGAGTTGTGATTCCGACTGACCGACGACATAGGGGTCTGGGCGGGAGGGTGAGAGGACATGACACACAGCCGCTATCTTGCTGCTGCATCCATACAAGATGCGGGGACGGAAGTTAAGGGGAGCGGCGGGACCAGATGGGTCGCAGATCGTGACTAAAACGACGCAGACCCCTGGGGCAGGACGCGAGATGGCGGGAAGGGAGTCGGAGAGAGCGGGAAGACACACAGAGCCCCCGTGAGAGAGTCCAATCGAGCGACAGGTCCGTCAAGTCGCACGTTCCTGTCGTCGGGGGGGGAATCTGACGTTGAGGACAGCGTCCGCAGAGCACGGTCTGATTCCCAACGCCACGGTATGTGTTCGCGCCACAGCACGCACGAGATTCCCGAATCCTAAGAGAGGAATGGGAACTATGACCAAGAGCCCGCGGGCCGCATTGTTTTCGCGGCGACACCGAAGCGCAGGGCGGGGATCTAGAGTCAGCCCCGGTGGGAACACTCGTGCGAGGGAGATCGACAGAGGAGGCAGTTGCGAACGGATGGGTAATGGCTCGTTGTTGGCGTTGGGGGTGGGGGGGAAGGGAAAGGCGAGCTGGGGCGTGAAGGGCGAGATGATCAAGAGTCTCGCGAGGGCAAGCTTGCAGGTCGAAGGAGAGGCGCGGGAGGTGGAATGTGGGACTGAGAGTGTGGCGCAAGATCGGAGGAGGTTGAAGGGAAGAGAGGAGGCGGGCGGTGGCACTGGCAGTGGGGGGGTGGAGCAGGAAAGAGGCAGGTTGGGAACAGGAAAGGGTATGGAGACCCGGGGGGGGGGGGGGGGGAAAAAAGAAGGAAAGTTAGGCAGTCAAGTGCGTCGTAGCCGGTCGAGGCCAGTGGGGAGGTCGCCGACTTCACGATAAGCCATCACGCCAGCAGTCCCCCGGGCGGAGAACCGAGACCGGCCCAGATGGGATTCGATTCGTGTGTCGCACGGTCAAGCTTCTCTTGGTGGCTCAACTAGTCTCCCCCCTTTCTGGGCATCTGGAGGGATTATCACTCTGCCCACACGTCTAGCGTTGTCTACTCCGTATTCCGCTACTCTGGAATCAGACGTGTCGGATAATCCTTGTTTCATCCTGGAACTCTACCCATGCTAAGCTTTTCCCTTCTCCTGGACCCGGAGAAGCACCGTAAGGCTCGCACCCGCGATTCCATACCTGGTTGCGCGATGCGTCCGTGTCAGGCCTCTAGCTCGCGTAGGCCCTCCCCGTCCACGTACTCGGCTCCATAGCAGTCGCGCAGAACCATCGCGACCAGTTCCCGATCCCCGCCAGCCAACCGACGCAGATACTCCTCCAGCATGTAACTATTGTCGGTCCACTGAACGGCCTGTTTCCGAAACTCCGCTAGCTCCGCCTGAAGCTGCTGCACACTCTTATTGCGCACTGGGTCGTGTGCAGACGTTGTAGACTGGAGCCGGTGAATCTCCGTTCGAAGTTCTGCTTGCCTGGCTAGCAGGATCTCTCGCTCCGCATCGCAGCCGGCATCCTCGGCTTCCTGTTGGTGCTGTGCGGTTTCAGCGGCCAGGTCCGCCTCTGCCTCGGTGAAAGATTTCCGCGCCGTCTCCACCTCTGTCTTGACCCGGGCCAACTGGCGCTCGCGGGCGTGCTTCTCGTCGGTTCCGAAGCTCCAGTACCAGTTCCCGCTGCCGATCTTTTCGACTCGTAGTTTGCCCTCGTCCGCGAGGGCCTGGATGTATTCCTTGACCTGGATGCTATGGATCGCGGCCACGGTGGGGAGTGCCTTTTCCAGATCTTTCAGCGTATGGCAGGTGCCGGTGGCGCGCAGGTGAGTCAAAATCAGATCCTGCTTGTCATTTTTGGAAAGCTTGGGCTGCATCGGCCACAGGACGCGTCAGTGGGCTCGTCTCCAGCAGTGTAGCGGGCCTTTTGGGCCGTTAAAGCTCAAACGCTCCGGGCAAGATCTCTCCGTAGCGGGCCACGTACCATGATGTCGTCCGCTAGAGACCCGTGGTCCACTGGGTGTTCTGGACGGGATCTCCTTTCCCTGGTTCACGTGTAAAAAGGTTTATCAATCGCGAACGTGCCCGGTGAGCAAAAGCAAAACATGCGACGGGAGGGGAGAAACCCAATTTGGGAGGCCATCGAGCTCGCTCGCCACCAGCCATCGACTACTCTTTCCCCCTCCCCCTTTTCTTCACCAACCAAATCCACTATTTACATACTCATTTACATACTCAAACAATCGATTTGGAACCCGTTGCGTCAATAGACAGACTGCTATCAATTTCAACTTCCCTATTGTATGATGGCGGGCACGCGGACAAATGTAGACCACCAGAGACCTGCATGAACAAGCCTCGAACCATTATAAGATGCGAAGAGGCTAGACAAGTCGCTTACAAGGTTCTCGAGACTGGTAGCTGGATTACGAGCCACGGGTCAACAGTCCTCGTGGATCCCACTCGCTGGAAAAGAACAGGGGGCCAAAGTTACCGGTGGAGGGTATGGGAATGGCGCCAACTAACCAACGAAATCGTCGGTTGAGGCGTCTGCAGCTGCAGGTGAGAGGGAGATGAGCAGAAAAAAAATGGCTCGAAGCCCAGCCGCTGTCAGTTGGACAACCTTCTCTTGGCTGACGTGAGATTGCCGTCCATCTCCGCCACTATCTGCCAGTTGTGTCAACGGCGCCAAATCATACGCCTCGGGCCCAGGATCGTTCCTGCTGCCGCTGTCATTTGGATGGTATCTCGATGGGCGTAATTTCTGCAAGCCAAGGGTGGCTGTGTGCAGACAGCAGAGCCTTTTTGCGCAAGCCGGGAGTGTCCGCGCTCGGGGTGCAATTCATAGATGAGAAGGCATCTACTGGGCGTACAGAAGATCAATGATGTTTGGGCGATGGAATCGCATTAGCATCGTTGCAATCATCGTTCATCGAGTTCCGTGTCCGCGTCGGTAGTGGAAGCCCCGCCCTTCAATTTTCGCCGTTTGAACTTCCGCCGCACGCCCTTCAGATTATCCTGTGAGCTAACCATGCTGTTGGTGCCGGTGTGTGACCTCTTCCTCCGCCGTGTGCGCTCTCGGGACTGCGATCCGGCGCTGGTGTCGCTTTCGACACCCGCCTGCTCGTCGTCGGTCAGCTCTTCTCCCTCCACGAGCACCAAGTCACCCGTTTCGCCCAGGGCCTCTTTAGCCATTTCCTCTACCAGGATCCCCATCGCAATCAGGGCTGTCTCGTCCATGCTTTGGTGGTCGTGGAGGCCATGATCTTCCGTGGCAAATTCGTAAAAATCAGCTGTGTAGGCGTGAATAGCCTCGAGGAGCTCGGAGCTCGGGAGTGCAACGTCGGAGGGTAGATTCTCATGTGCAAAGTAATTCCCTTCTTCCCCGGAATCCGTCACGTTGTGCTGCGTGCGAAAAAGAACCTCCTCCGGCCGCAGAGAGCGAGCTCCCGACGAGGCTGTGTCGCGGTAGCGGGAGGCAAAAGCCTCCGCTGGATGGTGTCCTTTGCGGTTGACGCGGCCTGAGAAAGGTCAGATCGATGATTCACGGAACGTTGCCGATATCGGCTCTTACCAGCAACAGCATCGTAGAGATTCGTGGTGCGTCTGCTCTGTCTGTATGAATACTCGCTTTCTGGAATGTCAACCTCGGCCTCGGGAGGAGCGAGAAAGGTGTTCTGGCTCAGATTGAGCGATTTGCCATAGGACATCCTCTCTTGCTACCATCAGCATCGAGCAGGCCTCAGCACATCCTCAACAGGGAAGTTTGGAAAGATATTGGAAGGACAGCCCCAAAATTAAATGCGCCGGCACAACCTTAATCCGATGAGGTCACCCGATCGAGGTACCCGATCCATCGTTCCCTTGAGGTCTTCGCTACCTCTGGGCAGCAGCGCTGATGAATGAATGAATTCCTATCTTCTGAACAGAGCCCTCGGGTCTGTCACGCCAAATGCGTTCCATGTCGCGCAAACCACACGACTAGTGCACCACCTCGAGCCTGCGCCGGGGATTCGATTCTCCAGTCGCAGAGCCGCAGCTGCGGATCAACCTCAAGATAGCGCGACACCTGTGGATCGAGAGGATCCTCTAGTGGGAAATGTATTTGCCCATAAGTCTGGCGTGAACTGTCTGGCGATTGATCAGTTTGAAGGACGGTAGTACGTGCAAAAAAGAAGCTATGGTTCTCCCCGCGCCTGTTTCTAACCCGTGTAGCATGATCTCCGGCGGCGCAGACCCATCCATTCATCTCTGGGACCTTGAAAGTAGAGGATCGGAGCTCGAGCATATCCACCGCGCCCGCGCTACCGTGAGCAAATCATCACATAACGACGCGCATACACACGCTGTAACCTCCCTCTCCATATACCCATTCGACCCCGTTCCGTCCACCATCTTCTCTACATCCCACGACGGCACATTGAAGCTCTCTGCCCTCCAATCGCCCGCGATTACCCCAGTCCATACCTTCAATCTCAATTGTACGCCATATGCGCACTCGTTTGCCTCCCAGCCGGGGTCTACTCTGCTAGTTGCGGTGGCTACTTCAGAACAATCGGTGCGTTTAGTGGATTTACGATCGGGATTAGCCACGCATGGCTTGCCAGGACACAATGGCGCCGTTTTATCGGTATGCTGGGCTCCACACCGGCCGTACTTGCTTGCGTCGGGCTCGGTGGACAACCGCGTAATCATATTCGATGTCCGGCGAGGCGGTCATAACTCTGCAATTGCGACCTTGGACATGGACGATCCAGTGGGACTGGTAGCACCGGGCTCTGGATCTGTACCCGCATCATTCGAAAGCCGACCAGCATTTTCTCGGCATACGCGCGCTCATAATGGACCTGTGACCGGCGTGCGGTGGACGTCCAATGGCAGCCATATCGTTACAACGGGACAGGATTCGCGCATTCGGGTGTGGAATGCAACGACGGGCGCAAACACATTGGTGCATTTTGGCCCTCGAGTGCGGAACAGTTCGACGTCGCATCTAGCTGAGCGAGCACCGCTTCTGGTACCCAAGGGCTGCATGAGTCCCGGCCACGAGACACTCCTGTGGCCCAACTTCAATGAGCAAGATGACCGGGGCGAAATATTCATGTTTGAACTTCGCGAGGGGACATTCGTCAAGCGCCTCCGGGTTCCCGGGCTGATGGGGGGATCCCAAGTGTCTCGTGGCCGGTCGAGTGCCCTCAGTGCCGCACGCATCAACGACTTGATCTGGCGTGGGAACGGTGCGTCTGGGGAAGGCCTCGAACTATTCTCTGCCCATGGCGATGGGACCATCCGCACTTGGGTCTCTCGGGAACCGGACGGCGAGCCGAACGAGGAAGAAGAAGCAGAAATGGCCGACCGAAAGAGAAAGCGAGATGTACTGGACCAAATCTACAAAGGCTTTGTTGGCCCGGATGCATCTGAGCTTTATACTTGAACTGTCCAGTGTATGATATTTACTCGGGGCTACCGAGCACGGTATGAAGCAATCATTCAAAACTTTTTAACCATCTAATGCACCCGGGCAAGAGCGCAGAACTCGTTACTCATTGCGCAAATTATTCCCTCCAATCTTCTCCTCGGCATCCTCATCCTCCTTCGCATACCGATCAAACTGGCTGCGATTATGGCTATGATGCTTCATGTCACGCGCATTACCCGTGCCGCCGGGGATGTTTGTCCCCATGAACGCACGCTTCGACTCAACGCTCGCGGGCAGCGTATTGCCCGTTCCAGTGAGGACCTCGCCTGTCTGCCCGACATCGCGGGTTGAGCGCGGCAGGTCTCTGTCGTTGTCGGCTGCGAAGGCGGTTGAGGGCTGGGCGGTGCCTTCGTAGTCGTAGGCGGGGTTCTCGGCGCGCTGGTCGGGGCGTGGCACGGAAGGGATTGTATTCATTCGGCCGGCATCGTTGGGCATCGTGGTGCCATCGACGGCGAAGTCGGAGATACTCCCGCCTTGGTGAGGGTCTTGCTGTTGGCGACTCATTATGAATTGTCGTGATAAGATAGGTGTTATTGGAGGGTTGTAGTTGTAGCTGAAATAGAAGGGCGTTTGGATGGAAAGTTCAGCGCGATAGATTTAAGGTAAATATTTGCTTCTGGAGTGTGGTTTTATAGATGATTGGCAAATCTTAGTAAATACGTGGATTCCCTGATCTTGACTGGTTGATGTCACCGTATTGCAGAGTCTGGGAATGATGAATGGATGATATCATACGAGGACCTGGCATCATTGGATGAGAACGTTCCACGAATGAAAGAAAATGGTTTCGATAGCCTGGATTAACCAATTGGGTGATATTGAGTTTTGCAAATCCGTAAACCTGGGGGATATGGTTACTCAAAAGGAATTGGCGACGAGGAACGTGTTAAGGTAAGTGGCAACTGGACAGCTACCAAGCACGACGGAGGGCCAGGCTTAGCGGTCCATCTTACTCAAGTTGGATGAAAGCGATTCCTAGGTTTCCCAAGTAGAAAATGGCAGAAAACTTCTGAGGTAGAAATCAAAATCATGTTTCAAAATAAATACTCGTGACACCTCATTTGAGACAAGCGTGCAACATTAAACCGGATGGCGACTGGCGCGGAGGTTCACAGCTTCACAAAGTTATACGGAAAGACACAATACGAAAGGATAGAAGAAAGAGTGAAAATACAACAGTCAGGGTTGGAGAAGGTCCCCGTCACTGGAATGAACGGATTCACGGGAGTCCTTGATATTACAGGACCAAGGCAAGGACACCCATCACAGCAGCAACAGCGGAGGCAATGCCGCCGGAGACACGCGCAGCGCTGCCAGTGAACATCATGTCATGGGGCGAAGGCGAGGCAGAAGCGCTGTGCAGGGGATCGGCACCGCTGGGCAGGCTCTGGCTGCTGGACGGGGTAGCCACGGACATCATCGCGCTAGACGAGGGAGTGGTCATGGGGATGTGCACAGGAATCGAGGAATAGGCAGCGCTGGAGCTCATGGGGGCCTGAGACATATAGTTGTAGCTGTTGGAAGGAGCGGAGGACGAGGAGGGGGCAGCGGGGATCGAGGCAAACTCCGAAGGGTGCGTGACGGACGCAGAGTAGGCCACCTTGGGGTCGACATAGGAGGACTGTTCAGGAACAGCAGACATAGGCACGGCGGCAGTGGTCTGGACAGCCTGGGACACCACCGGGGTGGCATAGACAGTCTCCGTGGAGCGGACCTCCTTGTATTTAGTCTTAGTCACAGTGCGGACAACCTCATGGACCGAGGCATCGCACTGGGGAACCTCCTGATGGTCTTGACTAGGGGTGTTGGGAGAAGCTGGAGGCTCCTCAGGGGTTGCGTACGCAGGAGGAGCAGGGTGCTCCTCGGGGACCATGACGGGCTTGGAGGGCGCAACGGGGGCCTCCTCGGGGTAGGGCATCCACGGCATGTGAGGCACCGCGTGGTGAGGATGGTGCACAGTGGTGGTATCAAGTTTGATGGCGTGGTTGTCCTCATTGTGCTCGTTGACATTGCTGTCAACGCCGACAAAGTCCGGGTTACCGAAGCTGGTGCCTCCATCATCGCCGGAAGGACCACCCATCGCGGTGCCACCGTCAGCCATGCGGGACGGGGAATAGGCGCGGCGGAAAGGAGCACCACCCTCGGGAATGTAAGGACCAGGGCCGCCACCAACGTCAAAAGGAGGGAAACGCGGAGGGGGATAGACATCCGTGTTCTGGAGATCAATGGAATGGTCATCCTCGTAGTGCTCGTGAACATCAGTGCTCACGTCCACAGTGATTGGGGCAGAGAAGGACTGGCCACCATCGTCGCCGGAGGGGCCACCCATCGCGGTGCCACCCATCTCGGGCTCCCAGCCACGCTTGAATGGAGCGCCGAAGGGTCCAGGACTAGGATAGACATCCTTGTGCTTCACGTTGATTGAGTGGTCATCCTTGCTGTACTCGTTCACGTTGGTATGGACCGATGCGGTTATCGGATTGCTGAAGCTCTGACCTCCATCGTCACCGGAAGGACCACCTATAACGGTGGCACCATGTCCAAAGGGACCTTTGAATCCAGAGGGAGGGCCGCCGAAGTCCTCGCCTTCATCGTCACCGGAAGGACCACCCTCAGCGGTGCCACCAGATCCAAAGGGACCTTTGAATCCAGAGGGAGGGTCGCCGGAGTCCTCGCCTTCATCGTCACCGGAAGGACCACCCTCAGCGGTGCCACCAGAAACAAAGGGACTGTTGAATCCAGAGGGAGAGCTGCCGCCACTGGGGCCGCCCATGGCAGTCCCACCAACCTCAGGGTCCCAGCGCTTCTCAAATGTGCTGGCCGGAAGATCGTAGTAGTCTCCGTCCGCATTGGCCCCCTCACGGAACCCAGCAGGGGGGCCTTCAAAGCCGGCCGGAGGCCCAGGAAAGCCCACCGGAGGGTGAACTGGCGCACCAATGGGAGCAAAGACGGGAGGAGGGTGAATGTCCTTGTTCTTGACCTTGATGGAGTGGTCATCCTTTGCGTACTCGTCCACATTGGTGTGGATATCGGCGGTCATGGGCATATCGAAGGTCTGGCCCTCGTCATTTCCAGAAGGACCACCGATCACCGTGCCTCCGTAGTGCGGGTATCGGCTGCGCTTGGGGAAAGGGCCCTCACCCGGTCCGAAAATAGGGCCATAGGGGCCCGGGACAGGAGCGGGCGGGTAGACGTTGGTGTCCTTGACCTTGACAGAGTGGTCGTCCTTGCTGAACTCATCGACATTGGTATGCGCGTGCACGTTGGCCCCATAGGGGACTGTGAAGCCACCGTCCTCATCATTGCCAGACGGCCCGCCAATGGCTGTGCCACCGACGTGGGGGTGAGAGTACTGACCGCGGGTCTGCATACCCTGGTCGTTTTGCTATGTCAACCATCAGCGATGTTGCGCCTTCTGCACCCTCGTCCGCAGTCAACTCACCGTGCTGTGCTCCATGGCCTGGGCGGCCGCGGCCAACAGGGCAATAGGAATGCCGCCAACAAAGCCCTTCATGATGTTAGATGCGCAAGATAGAATATTACTATAAAAGAAGCTGTAGGCAGCTGTCTGTGATAAAAGAGTGACTGTAAATCCAATGCTATGGGCGAGCACGTAAAGAATGGCGGAATTAGTTCGAAGATACTCCCAAACACATAGCAGCAGCAACCATTCCGGCCGCAGGAGGTCGCTAGACCTTTAGTACTTGCTTAGCATTCATGACCACCAGGGCTATATGACGATGGAATGTGAGTGCTTGGCCAGAAACTGGGCATTGAGATTCGGCCAAGCAAGCAACCCCCATCAGAATGCCGCTGGGAATGGTGATCACGTCAACAGTTTGGGTTGTGCTGCTCGAAGTATCAACAAACACCGGATCATTTCCTGCGTCGGTGGTGCTGTGGCATTCCTCGGACTATGGACGGGGGTGCATCGCCGGGGCCTTGGTATTCACGAGCGCGAATAGCATGTCTACCAGGAGGGCCCCTTGGTCGAGCCTGATCGTCTTCCTACTTCACGAACCTCGCCGGGTACGGAGGCCATGATGGCATGGGGCGCGTCGATCCCGCTGAGCCCAAGGTTAAAGGGATGCAAATATGGGGGAGCCCTTGTCGCTCAACCGTCAGCAGTCTACTTGGGAACACACCGCCGTGACATGTTCCATACCGTGGGATACCATGTGATGTCAATCAACCAGGCACTGGCCGGCGAAAACATCCAAAAGCATTGTGCTGGTTGGCTAATGGCAAGCAACACAGTCAGGCCATACGCGACGGACGTGCGGCTGGGGCCAAGGACCTCCTCAGCAAGCGGAAGTTTTGAATTTAAAATCTACGAGGCTCGCCACACATGCGGCGGCTGAGCAACCAATTCCCACTGCTACTCGAACATGGGCGTCCGCCTACTCCCAGAAGTCCAGTAGTTCTACTGTTCCTTGAAACCATGCAGCGTTCCTTATAAGGGGGATGTTTCCCGTCTTCGACATTCCCCTCCCATCGCCCTCATTGAAGAGGACCCAACGGGAGGCGAACTTCCTATCGGGGAAGAAATACTCTCCAGAACCGATCAGCCCCAGAAGGGGCCGAAGGCAACACATCGCCGTGGAATTCGTCCAGAAGACAGAGCGAGGGTCGTGGCAGGTTCTGTTACTTTTTGATGAGGAGAGAAAAGAAGGTAGAGTGTGAGATTTTGCGGTCCTTTTGTAGGTGCTGTGGGTCACGTGCCCGGCCCGTTGTTGTTCCTGCAGTGGGGACTTTTTAGTGCAAGTCCCTTAACGAGCTGGTTCGCTACGAGCAGACACCGCGGTCCAACTACAGTTGTCGGATCGCATCAGACGGTAAACGTCACCAGAAGAAGAAAAAAAAAAAAAAAAGATATATAAGCTGGCATAGAGTACAATGAGATCAACCAGCGCATGCAGGGAATGTACAATGCAAATGCTGTGGCTTTCCTCGCCCCCATCCTCCCCCTGTGATCTATCAGGACGGGATCCCGTCTATGATTCGCCCGGGGTTCACAAGTCCATGCGCCCAGAACTCCCTTCCGCCATGGCAGTTGCATTGTCGTGTCATACGAAAAGGAAAAGCAAAACCACCATGAGGATGTAGGAACGCTGGCCCGGGTGATGATGACAAGGAACGGCCGACCAGGGTGTCTCCCCGAGTCAAGAGAGTGAGTCGGTACGGTAATATAATCAGGATCTGTCCGAGATGATCAGCCATTGTTTCGCTACTCTGCCGCGGTCAGTGAGGACTCACCCATCATCCACCCAGGGCCGTCTGCTCTGCACTGGCTCTCCATGCCGCGCCCCCCACGGCGGCGGTGATTCCCAGGGCGATGGCAATCATGCTTCCCACCGTCACCACAGCCACTACTGCTTTCAAGGCCATCCGCTGTCGGGTGGTCAAGGACTGCATACATGACCGTGGCTGATTCTCAGCTTCCCACAGCTTCGATCGTCGCGGGCTCTCGTTTCGCGTCGAGTACGGGCCTGCATTTTCGATATCCCTCAACCCGCTGCGCTCGCGATTCTCGTTCTTGGTCTCGAAGGTGAGCTGCTCCTGCGAGATGGTGGGGGATCCATGGCGATAGAAAGGTGAGTAGGGCTTGGCCCCGACGTGCGGATCGAAGTCCAGGTTGCGGGGTTCATTGATGGAGGGCGTTGACTGGATCGACGTCGAAGGGGACTGGATCTTCGGCGTCGAGGCGTGCTTCTCATCGTTGCTCTTGATGGATGCGGCCACCTGGGCCCCAATCACTCCGAGTCCATGCAGGCTCATCGCGCTGTTTCTCAGAGACGAGAGGGAGAGAGGGGAGAAACCCAGTTCGGCAGATCTTGGACAGCGACCTCCGGGATTCTCTGTGGGCTAGGGATCTTCGACTCTGCTGCTGGGATGTGTCAGTCGACTTGGTCTGGAGTCGTTGTGTGATTGCCTCGATGGGAGTGGTCGCAGCTGGGATACTCCCATACATAAACAATGTCGTGTCAACCTGGAATGCGCTCCAAGTCCAGGAGGCCCGAGACAGTCTCATCGCTCGGGTGATGACGAAAACAGCCAATTGAAATGAGAGTGGTGGCAAAATAGCCGGCTGCTACGGCGTGATCAAGTGAAGCCTGACAGGAAAGCACAGGTGCCCTTTCCCGTCCCTGCGATCATCTCTCCCCCTTTTCCTTCGCAGCAATCACCTCCACAACCCTGCGATTGGGGCAACTGTACGGGTCAACTGAATTGCAGTGGCTCACAATAAAGGCCCTCCCCTGCCAGACAGTGTCTGTTCCATCCCTTGATTGGGACATCCTGTGCCACCCTGAACAAACATTCCTACCTTACGCCGGCGGAAGAATTGTCTCCCCTGCAGCTCAAGACCCCGTGTGATTGGCCCGGTGCCTCGAGTGCATACCTGGCAGCCAAGTTGGTCACATCACAAACTCTGCGCCCCTCTCATGGACTGCATTCGTGTCCTTCCCACCCAGTCCAATGCGAGGAGCCCACCTGGTCCCCAGCACAGCCTATAGCGTGTACCTTTTCTGTAAACCACGCAGTATTTAGGCTCAACACGGGGTCGGCCTAACTTAGCTAGATAGGGCAATGGGTTTGTCTAAATCTCACTGCTGTATTCTCTTGTTTACGGTCTGTAGATTTCAGGGCCACGAAAAAACTGATCTACCAACCTGACCTTCGATTCATCACACGCCGAACGAAATGAGCGTACATGCGCTGTGTCACCTACAGCGCGAACAGGAGTGTGGACGGCTTTTTGCTGTCAAAAAGCAAACATGCTGATCGATCCTGCAGGAGGATTCAACCGATCGCGGGTAAAAACCACTCGATACATAAATAGATAATGCAGAGAACAACATGCGGAAGGCAGCCCATGTGTACAGCCACACCAACTCAGTCCCGCTTTTGTATTCGCCTTCCCCGAAGGCAAATCTGTTGGCTATGTCGTTTTGTAGTTTTCGTGGGCATGTATCGTTCACCCGTACAGAATGCGCCCGGTACTTGACGATCACCAACCACTCAACGGTGGATGAGCTCGTACCTAGAGTCAGCAGCCCGTCCGCGGACTGCTATAACTACATATTTTACTAGGTGTAGGCATGTTTCTATAAAAAGCATAAATATCCTAGGGCTGTAAGTTAGCGAGTCAAGACACTTGACTACCTAGGTTCTTTTCAAATGGGTGTTGACGCATGGTAGGAATTGTTGTTAAAGTGGTCCCTTCTCAACCTTACCAGATATATATTTCCATCTACAAGTACGTCTATCGGGTAAAGTTTAGCGCGCCTAGGCAGGTAGGATCACATAGGTATTTTTTCGGTTTTCATTTGTCTTCTCATACACAGAACTGTGGGCGATAGAGCTCTGAACAATGAAAATTGATAGGATCTACCATCTCTCCTAGTATACGTATTCAATGCAGGTGGTGAACTACCTACGTAAGATTGGGATCTGGCTAACCCCAATGTCAGGTAATGAGTGTGAGCGGCGGAATTCAGCCAGTATTTGGAATGTGCCGGAAAGGGAATGCCAAATTCGGTCCACATCCATAAAGGGGATACGGAAGCATTTTCAACAATAAATAGGTAAACCACACGCTCAATTGCCCGGTTAAATTCGGGATATGATGTGCTACAATAGAATTCAAGAATTGCAACGCAGAAGCAATACTGAAGTCTAAATGTATGTTTAAAACCAAGCCCGTAGACTATCACAGGTGTGAGGAGCGAGGATGACTGTAGGTAAGAGATATATAAAAACCTACACGGCAATCATGAAGCCTATCAAAGCCTTCCCGCCCACACCGTTTGGTTTTAATTAAGCTTGAGAGTAAGTCTCGTCTTTGGCTATAACAGCGGGAGAGTAACGAGACATGATGGCATTGAAGTGAAGATCGCTGGCGCATTTGCTGTTGGTCAGGAAGCAGTCAGACAAATTTACCGGCCCGGACGTTGTAGGGCACGTCCTTGAGTGTGTTCAAAATGTGGTCGACACCCATAGCAAGGGAAAATCTGCAAGTAAGACGGTTGCCACGCCCCGAGTTGCGAATGTGTAGCAGTTCTTCAAACTACACTAAATTCCTGTATTTTAAGTATAAAATTTGGAGTAACTAGAAGCTGTACGAAATCACCCTTGTTCGAGACATGACATCTCAAGAAACCAATACAATCGGGGTTGTATAGCTTGTAGCGTCGCTCGGCAGATACACGCATGCACCGGCCAGGCTCTTGAACCTCGACCAAACGCGAAGAATCCCCCCGTAGTATTTCAACTGCTGCTCCCAGTCAAGCTGTTGGGGCACCCAATATGTTATGACAGTGTTCCTCAGGCCGGGAGAAACACTATGTACGCGGATTTCATGAGAGGCCCATTCCAATGCCGGCGTATGGGTCATGTTTCGGATATCGGCCTCCGACGCTCCATAGGGGGTAGTTGGTACACGCTGCCGAGAGCCAGTGGATCCAGTAAAGTCGATCGGATACCGAGGGAATCTAGCAAGGATGGCCTGTGAAGCAAAAAAAACCAAAAAGAAGAAGAAAATCCAATTTACGGACCTTGTTTGGGCTGTAGGAGGCCACCGAAGCTGTCAACACAATCGATCCCGAGATGGCAGGCTTGATGAATGTTCGGCGCACCTGGCCGTGTAGAATGCCCCCAAGAGCTGATCCATTCCTGAAAGTCACTTAAAAGAAATCGCCAGTCAAGAAGTCGCAGGGGTCCACGTTCACCGAGAAGAGCGCCTCGATTCCTCAGTCGTGAAATCCAGCGCTGCCTTTGTTTTGTTCGTCTAGCATTCATCACCACCCCATGCAGCGGCCCAGCCGCTTCGATAGTCTTACTGACTGCCCTCGAAAAAACTACTGGCTTGCTGCGTTACTTTAACTTAGAATGTGAACAGTTGGTAGGGAAAGCGTTTGGACAACGCCTGGAAGTCATCGCCGGCCTCGCCGATGTCTATGGAATAGATCTTGGCTGCGCCGCTGATTAGACAGCACTCTGCGATACCGAGCCCGACCCCGCGATTTCGCGCCGGTGGCTATTGTGAGGTCAAATATTTAGGTTATTATGTCACATGAAATTAAATCAAAGCTCTGAGTTGACTAGCAATGACTTTGGCCTCAAGAGCAATTTTGGTTTGGGGCACGGAGGGAGCAGATTGTGTTGGATAGAAGATATAATTTAGGTCGTATAATCCGCATAGAAAAGTCTTGAGCTGAGAAAATCAATAGCGCCGAGAGAAGAACTCTTCTTCTAAAGCTGCTTCTATACCTCAAAAAACCCCCCTAGGTACGATGCGAGGTCGCACCTTAGCTATAGGGTTACAGTCTCGGCAGTCCCTGTCTGTATGACGAGGCACTGCAAGCGATGTTTTGTGCCAGTAACGAAGATATCCGAGTTTTCAGCCAAGTACTGATTAAAGATTGTTTCCTCGAGGTTGTTCGTTGGTCGGGTGGATCAATTGGCCTCGATTCGAGCACCATCCCCGCAGCGGAGATCCCCCGCAGTAAACAAATGATGGCATCGGATCGGAGCAAAATGGGATTTAGAACAAATTTCGAGTGTGTGATGGCCACCCCTGGAACTCTATATGATTGCAACAAAGAGCCAGTGGATTGATGTTATCCTGAGTGTACCTTGTCGGCCGCAAGCTGTGGCCGGCCAAACTTGATCAATAGTAGAGTTGCAGGTAGCTGAGCAGCTGCGAATCCAATCATGGCCCTCAGCTGCGTAGCGTAACCATCGGCAAAAACAGCATTTACCTCATCCTGGAGATGAGGAGACAGAAACGTTATAGACTTCGCGTTCTCAAGGAAAAGGTGCAGTTGGTGCGGTGATAGAACACCTTGCAGATGATTCGACAGACGGCCATTGAGGATATTTGAGGCAATAGCGAGACCGATAGCACCGCCTAAAAATCGGAGCTGAACCACAGTACCAGTGGCAATTGCTAGAGGGGATAACACGAGATCAGTTAGCATTGGGTAATCTCTTTATGATCACGAGTCACTCATGGGAGCACCTACCGAGGTCTCTGTCCTCAACTATATATGGTGTGGATAGCATCAAGGTGCCCAGAATCAATCCCATCCCCACACCGGCAATAACTCCATAACCAATATCTGTGGCGTGGAAGGCCCTTGAAGTAGCGATAGTTGAGAGAAGTCCAATACCTACTGTATGGATCACACAGCCGACGAGAAGAGAATAAATGAACGGTATGCGGCCCCTAGAGCTGACGAAATTGATAATAACAGCCGCAATAGCCGCAACAGCAGAATATCCAATCAGATAGATACCTGAATCGAGAGGCGATTTGTCCCAGAGTAGTTGGGCTTGCTGTGGAACATAAACCAAAACAACGTTGAATGGTGCACCTGTAACAAATGAGGTACTGAAATCCCCCGTCAGAATAGACCGATCTGTAATATAATCATCAAGTCGACTCACATGAGAATGCCCATCCAGGGGCGATCAAAGAGCCATCGCTTAGGAAAAATTGGATCTTTCCCTGGGATGTCCGAGATATACCACTCCCAGGCAAAGAAAGCAATCCACGAAACCCCAGCCAGTACAAGAAGCGCAATCGCGCCTCCCGACGACCATGAAAATGCGAGATTGGTTTCATTTAAGACGGTGACAATCAAAAACGAACCAACTATCATGAGGACCGACCCCACTAGGTCAAGATTAGCGAATGAACGGTATGATGCCCGCGTTCTGAAAGACGGTGTGTGTTGATCGAGGCCAAAATTTTTAGGCATCGCAACAAGTAGAATAACGATGGCAATAGCACACACTGGAGCGCTAAAGATAATGGTCAGCATTTTCTTCAATATGAATTTTGGAGCGCTAGCATACTTGATAAGAAAAACCCATCTCCAGGCTGAGTTCTCCGCTAAGGCGCCTCCGATAATTGGACCGAGAAGGCAAGCAAAAGCAAGGCAACATGACATGAGGCCGCTGTACGTCGGGAGTTTCGTTTTAGGAGCTATCTCGTAGATGCACAGGATTGCAAGTGCGTATGTACCGGCACCACCTATACCTTGAAGGGCCCGGAATATTATCCTAGGCCAACAATTAGATTGCAACTACACGAGCATGGGGGATTGTATTGGATCTCACAGTTGGTTGACTGTCTGCGCACACCCGCATCCGATCGAGAATGCGAGCAGAATGACCAGAGCAGCAAGCGTGGTGTGTTTTCGCCCGACTATGTCACTGGCTTTAGTCCATATTGCCATAAACCCTGGAGACAGTGAAAGATTAGTAACGAACGCAACAGTAGTAAACTACTACGCGGAGATAGTTAAGGCCGAGTATTTGAAGAGAAACCAGCCAAGGAGAGAAAGAGGATTCTAGAGTTCCATATTGGGTCATACCTGTATAAGTGGCCAAATATCCAGTGACAATCCAGCTTCGCTTTTCAAAGCCGTCTAGGCTATCCGTGATATTCGTGAGAGACGCGCTCACAATTGTTACATCTAAATTGGATAGAAAGAATCCAATCAAAAGTCTATCGCCAAATCATCTGTCAGCCTTCCTGGTCCAAAAACCCCAGTATTTGCCGGAGCACGTACCCTGTTGTAGTCAGGACAAGTCTCCATCCTGTAAGATAAACGATTTCACTCCCGGGAGAAAGTGGTCTTTGCGTCGACCCCTTTTCTTCCCCCGCTGTATTATCCCTCGTGTCCCTCCGGGTTGGCCTGGTATCCGTTTTCTTCGCGATCGGCTCTGCAAAATGGATGCGGCTAGACATGGCGGTCAGTCGGGCCTCTCGAGGATGTTGGGTGCTTCAAGTGTGGGTGATGACTGAGTTGGTAGCCATCGCTGCATGCGACGAGAGGGAAATTTTGAACGGGGCGACTCACTATGTAGGACCAAGCCCCGCATATATTCACCCCAGGGGCTTCAAGTGGAACGCGGGAGACGCGTGATGACAGAATGTGGAATATTAATGGCAATGAGATCGGCGCCGATCATTGAACCTAGAGCTTGGCCTGAATGGCTTGGCGCAAATCGGCCAAAGTGACCGAAACTATTACGAGCCTAATTGACCAAATGAAATAGCGAGCTCTTATCGCGACGAACCTCGCTGGAATCACCTTGTACTTGCTATCCTTTTCCTAAGTCTTGCTCCGAAAAGAGGCGGATGATCACTCCCTAGCCCAGGGGTTTAACGATTCACTGGCGTTGAATCCCGATGTTCGGTTGTGTTTGATTAGCCGAGTCGGCTCCTCCTTGCGGGCTACTTTCCTACCCCTGAAACAGGCAGACGAGGCTTAAGCTTGATTCATTCAACGTCGTGAAGCAAGGGCCGTGCACATCCACTAACCACACTGGGGAATGTGCTGCCGCATGCCTTCGAATCCGATAAATCTTTAGCGGAGCTTCTCTTGATTCTTAGCTCAGGAGGAGAAGTCATTTGATCATTGTCGGGAGGGGCAAACCTGACAGCAAAGAGGTCCCGAGGACCGATAAGATGGCCTATAGCGCCTCGATAGATCTTCCGTTAGTCTAGTGATCTGCGTTCCATTCTCCTAATTAGGCTAGTGTTGCACACACGAGCCTCGATATGCCAGGCAACAGATCTGGAGACATAAATCATCCAGACACAAAACAACAGAATGCATAAAGATAGAGCGGTCACTAAAAATAAAACTTGGAAATTGCGAATAAATTGCATAAGTGTAACGAGATTTGAAATTCTGTTAGAATTATGCAGGACCTTCATCCGTAATACTCTACTAAACCCTGAAGGCTTCGACAACAATTACGACAATAGCCCGTGAAGTTCACTCGCATCGCATTGGGTATGGACGAATTTGTGTGGAACTCAATTTGCACGAAATTGATGCCAATGAGCCTTAGCCAGAGCAGTATTTTGCATTATGTCATAAGTAATACTCAAATAGGTGATCAGGTTGATTCCCGAAATCTGCTGCATGACGGCCCTGTATGTCCGCGGTGGAACTGGCTGTTGGGGCCTAAGGGGCTAGATGAGTTTCCTATATGTAGCGCAAATCCTGATTGGAATTTTGGTGAGAGCTATCTGAATATTTTCGATCTTCATCAACCCGTAATCGCACGCTATCATCCATCCCCGCTAAGCATTGCGCTCGCATCTTGTGGGTCAGTTGACCCCGAGATGCATTGTCATGATCGCGTCTATGTCGGGCCAGATTGACAACCGATTGAGTACTAGAGACAATGAAATCGACCATGCAAACGCTAACACACGTTTGGTCTTCCGGGCTTGACTTGTACAGCCTACAATTCCTCCATGGCCGACGTGCACCATATGTGCCGGTCGCTCGCTCAGAATGGGGTCAGCCCAACATTCGCGTCAACACACTCTCCACAGGGATTAGAATTTGCTCGATATTGATTGAGAAGTTATAACTGTTGCCGACCCATTTAATGACTATAGACGGACTGCTGTGACCGAGGCTCTGCTGGAGGAGAGACCCGAGGTAGAGGAGACTTGGATGCGCGGTGCCCTTCACGGTCGCCTTGGGGCGTCCGAGGAATTTGGGACCCACCGTGTACATTCTCGCTGGTGGCAGTACCCGGATGACCGGTACCGACCTCCACATTGACGGTGGTCATTGTCCATCGCCATAGATCCGTTTCATCCCATGCGTTGATGACATAGATGTGGGTTGTTCAGGCGTTATAATCTGGATTCGGATCTGGTATACAAGAATCTCTCTGGAAGAGTATTTTCACCGCAGTCAATTCAATGATTAGATAGCTGTCGGCGGGCTTGTCATGATTTCAGTATTCTCAAAGTGGAAAATCCAACAGCTGAGGATAGCCCATAGACATCCCAAGCATCTCATCCACGCTGTGTGTCTGTAAGTTCAACATTAACAATGGGTCTAATTTGATCGAGCTTGATGGTCTGAGCTTACCATGTCCAACAATTCTGGGGCGATGTTATCGTATAAAAAAGGAGAGGTAATGTCACTCGGTTGCATCTGAGACATGTCCATTGCTTGATCTAAAGACGTAGCACTTTCAGGTTCAGGAACACCGGGCTGACTTGGTCGGAAAGCTATCCCGTGACAGAGTGATCAGTACCTGCTGAAGGTCTGTTCAAATATTATGTGATGAATCGAGGGCTACTATACCTGCTTTTATACCTTGGCTGAATGCAACATTTGTCGAACCGCTAGCTTTCATAGGAATTTCCGAAAACACATATCTCGTCTGATTTTGAGCTTTGCTGAAGACAAACTCTAATGCCTGCACTGCCTTCCGAGATTCATTGGACAAGCCATTCAATTGAATCCATATGGTGTATGACCTTCGCAGAGCCTGAAAGATTTGGTGTACCACAGCACTTGTGAGTGGTAGTTGCTTTGGATTAGCAGCTAAATCGATTGAGAGATGATAGTTCAGCTCCAAGCAGAGCAAAGTTGTCGCAAGTAAAAAGTTGCCTCTGAACATCGGGGATATTGTCTTCCACCGTTCCTTAAAAAGTCGCCCCCCTGGCTTTGTTTCTTGGTCCACGAGGAACTTGTAATCAAGGACATGAAAGGCTGACTTGATGCATGTGGTGCGAGAAAAGGCAAATGCCTCGTTGGTTCTTGCCGGAGCTAGGTAGCGATAGTGTAAGACACACTTTGCCTTCTCCAGGAGAAGGACGAGTTGAATTCGGCGCAAAATTATATCCGAGCTATCAATGAGGGACTTCCCCATTGGCCGTTCTCGGAGATTACTCGGAGTGGATTCGTATGTTTCAGGGATGAGTTTGTCCATGCGCATTACCTCTGCATAGGCCGGTCTGCGGATCGACGTTGAAAAATCGGTTATCATCCCCAACATCGAAATCAATCTGTTCTTCGCTACCAACCACTGTGTTGGTGTTTCAAATGAGCTGGGTCGTGGCGGAGGCAGCTCCGCGATGTCTTCATCAAAGTCATCGTCCAGTAGATTCCTCGGAGGCGCAGTATCCGATTGGAATTCGCGGAGGAGTCGTGGGAGTCCAAATTGGGCAGAGACCAGAACATCCCAGTCAGAAATGAGAGACCACAGACGGCGTCGCATTTCACCCTGGAATGGTGAAATATGGGGGAAATGAGAAGGGTCACGATGATACCCCATTCGCTGGGCCATGCGCACGATTATACCAAGGAAAATGAGATCGTCCATTTGCGCATCTCCACTTCCTAGAAATCGGGTATTCAAAGCGCAGATAAGAGTCTCCATTGTATCTGGAGGGCAATCTTGATACTTGCCCAGCACCAAACACTGGTTGAGTCTTGCACTGTATTCCTGTACTGAGTCCTGAACGTTCTGCAAGTCAAGATTGGAATGGTGCTGAAAAAGTAATGACAAGCACATCACGCCGTATAGTTTACCGATCCACATAATTGGCGCTTCGCTAGGACGTTGCCAGAACGTTTCATACTGATAGGGAAGAGTATGAGCATTGGTTGGAGAGATGTATTTCCATCGCGGAAGGAGAGAAACCATAATGAGACAGTAACTTACTGCTTTCAGAAATGATGGTCCATGTATCACTACCCAGCAAAAAGACCTGTTAGCCAGGCCTTGCCGATCGTTGCAATCACCTACATGGAAGAGTTTTGTTGCCAAAATATTCAGCAATTAGCCTATCAGCTATTTCACGCAGCGGCAGAGCTCCCAAGATCTCCTCCTTGGTTGCAGGCTGTCTTCCAGCAAGCAAAAACTCGGGATTGCGGTATGTGATCGGTACATGGCTCGAGTTTCTAGCAGTGCTATCCTGCACCGAGCTTTTAAGTTCGGATATCTGTACATAATTTGGTATTAGTAAAAGAGGGCTTGCCTCGACGGAGAGAATAAGTAGGGCCGTACTCCGTCCAGGATCGCAGTCCAGTGGGTTCCCTCAACATAAGTTGCTTTGCTGTCTTGTAATTGAATATGGCCAAAAGTTTCAGATTGTCCGCTGCGATCTGATGACAGTCTCACTTTAGGATCAATGGGTTCTTTATCGGCGTCATTGCTCAGTGGACCGTGGCCTGCAGCCTGGCTAGATGTATTCAGATGGACATGATCCGCAAGAGAGGCGATGAGCCTTTCTAGTTGCCCTATGCGGTCTGTTAAACTTGTGTCAGTTCCCTGACTCCGATCTTTGGCGATACGACCAGTGCTCTTGGTGGTGCTGGAGTGTACGTAAGTGCAGGAAAGTGAAAACCCTCGGTGGATGCAGGATCCACAGGGCTGCCCTCTATCGCAGCGAAGCCTATCAACAAGATGTTAGCTTTTCTACGGGAGTTTCATCGGATCTGTTGCTCTGACTTTCTTCTCCTGCAGAGGTTGCATGATAACTGCGGCTTATCCCTTCGCCGGCTTGGCGGCAGGAGGTTTCGTAGGTCTCCGTCATCGCTATCGTTTAAAAAGGCAGTCATTGTCGAGACAACCAAGTGCGGGGAGCGCTATTTCACAGGCCCTGGGTGATCGGAGGTCGAATTATATTTTGAATGTCGTAATTTTGCCCAGTGAATGAGAATTTGAGGGACCAGAAACGCGTGCTTGTGAAGCTAGTGGGGCGGACGCGACCCTCCGACCCTCCGACCCTCCGCTCCGATCCTCCGGGCGATTGGCCGCTGGGTAACAGTGGCGTCATTCGATGTTCAAGTTTGTCAGGGAAAATCTTACATTCACGACATTATACTCAATTCATTCAAGGACATTCAATGTAGTAATATTGTTAGTAAGAGTATATACGCAATCTGAACGGGAGTGACCTCCTTGAACTCCCTGGTAACCTGCGTCAACGCATCATGGGAGATACTCTTCAATTATATTGCTGCCCATTGAATGGCCCTGTGATGTACTTTATGACTCGCCGGACGCCTGGTGAGATGACAGATATCATTCCGAGATTGACCATATTCATGTTTTAGGTGTCGGAGGGCAAACGAGGTCAAGGCACAAAAGAGTGTGATTTGTTGATCTAATTGTTTTATAGAACAAGTTCTGTTGTTCTGGTCCTTGGCACGAGCACGTTGTGGTTCTCAGGTACAGTGAAGCTCCCCTCCTTCATGGGTATGGCAATTCTGTAACAGTCAGTCCTCTGTCTTTATTTCAAAAGAGTGACAAGGTTCACTCACGGCGGGCACATCAGATGTCGTGGAAGGGGCTTCGATAGTAGTGGCTGTGGCAGTTGCTTCGCTCCCTCTTGTGTCAGCTGTTACCTCATCGTCGTGACGGTGTGAGTGTTGTTCTCCAGGGCAGCCAACTCCTGGTACAGAAACATCATGAGAATAAACCTCTAGTGCGAAGTACTGGAGTGTTTCCGAATCGTGTGTTGACAGGGTCGCGTTCTCGGCGGCCAGATTGATGACTTCCTCATATCCATCCGCAAAATGGTCAACCCAATATTGCCCGATTGTGGGGAGATGATATAGTCGGTGCAGCAGATCCGAAGCCCAGAAAGTATTGGTCTCAGACCCGGAGACAGTATAGCCCAGTCCACACATCGTTGAGAGTGAACGACGAGTCTCATAGCTCAGATCGCAGATGACCGTTTCATCCGTGCCGTTTTCGCCTCGCCAATGTCCAGCATAGCCTAAGTATAGAAATTAGTTAATAGGTTCAGTCACCGTTACCAGGCGGCCTGGCTTACCTTTGAGGGCACAGTTCCCATCCGGGTTATCACAACGGAACAAGATATCATCCTTATCACCATTCACGACAACTTCAAAGGCCCCAATAGCCTCCAAGGTGGGCCTGTTGCCAAAGTACTTTCGGTAAATTTCACTTTCATTTCTCCAGCGCAAGATATGATCTCTAGCATGGGCTGCAAGGGTGACAGCTTCCGCTAATCCCAACTCAATTTGACGACGCTGTGTTGCATTACAACTCGGGTGAATCGAAAATTGCGTCACTGCGCCTTCGTTCCAAGGAGATACACTGGTTTGAGTGAATGGTCTGGATTGATTTCCAGAGCTAAGCGCAGGCAAAGCTGCAGCTGTAGTTGCTAAGAAAAGCAGGACATTCAAAAGAGGTGCCATTTTAGAATGCTATTCAGACTGACTTTTCCCTCTTCTCTACAAGAACATTGCCCGGTATCCAAGGTCCCTTTTATACCTTATTCCCTCGCCTAAATTGGATGCTCATGATCCAACACTTCCATCGCCAAGCTCGGATGATATTAGACCCATCTCCCTTTTCCACTTGACATTGACGGAATAATATCTTGGCTGAACGGTACGGGATACTCCAGTCAGCCACGGTGTACGCATATGGTATGAGCCAAGGGAGTACCTTGATAGTTTATTCTAACAAAATACTCTTTTCTCGCAGGTTGGTCGTAAGAAAATCCCTCCAATGCCAAGAACCAAGACCAGCGGAGTACTGCCAAGCAGCTTGGAAAGGGGGACCTTGATAGAACAAGAGTCGCGGAAACGGTTTCCTTTGGGTGAAAACCCATCATTTCTACCCAATAGCTGCTCTTGGAGGTGAGCAGGAAGTGTCTTTCCCACTTGGCGACTGAAACGTTGGAGAGGGATTTTCGATTAGGCAGTCGTCGTTCCCGTCAACCGAGACCCCTTTATAGAGGGCCGAGTCACCCTTGCAAAAATCCATCAGGCTGTTCTGAATAATTCTGCGTGCCGTTATCTCTGGCAAATTCGACTTCAATATGTACATTCTGAAGTCTGTTGTCATATCGTTGAGTGCCATCAAGGCATATGCGGCCACTACTGCAAGTGCTGCTACACCCTCGGTTACAGGATGCCATACCCATGGATCGGATATCTTCTGTTTCGATAGTGACGGGCATGAGGTTTTAATATCAGCGACGGCAACACCTACAAGAGGAGTCCCAGCACAGTACACGGGCTGTCACTCTCATGGAAGCGAGTCGTAAGTTTCACAATGTCAAGTCTCAACTAAAATGCTAACAGTGGCACTACTCACAGATATTGCGTGGACGAGGATGGAAATGACGTTTTAATTCAGGACGAAAATGAAAAGGAAGATGACCACGACCACGACGACCATGACCATGAAGATTCCGAGGTTTCTGATTCAGGAGAGAAATCAAACTGCCACTTCCATGCTGGCGTGGAGTAAGTTCAATGGTTTATGTTCTTTCTTACGGTCGCAGGTTAATTAATTAAACACAGACATTGTGTCAGTGAGGGCGAGTCAGAAGGAAGTAGCAGTCAATCATGCGGCACTCAGACAAGAGACTATGATGTGCCTCTGAGGATTGGAACGCTCTTCGCGGTTCTGGCTACGAGTGCAATCGGCGTCTTTGCTCCTATCCTGTTATCAAAACTTCCCTTTGCATCCATTAATCTGATGGCATCGACAATCATCAAGCAATTCGGCACGGGCATCATTATCGCAACGGCATTTGTCCATGTAAGCCGGACGGTGGAGCAGCATTATTGATTCAAACACTAACAAATCGCTAGTTATACACACATGCTTCTCTCATGTTCACGAACGAATGTCTGGGTGAACTCGATTACGAGGCAACCACGTCTGCCGTAGTTATGGCCGGTATATTTTTGGCTTTTTTGTTCGAGTATGCTGGCCATCGAATTACCACGGCACGGGGGTTAAAGCGCCGACATCTCCTACAGAGCCCTCAGAGCCACAGCCGCAATCTCGCAAGGAGAATCTTCCATCTCAGCAGCATTCGACACTGATGCATCTTGGGCACACCCACGGGTCGCCTCTTGATCCCACAAGGCCGAACACGAAGTTTTCGGTGTTGGTAATGGAAGCTGGTATTCTATTTCACAGTATTTTGATTGGTTTAACCCTAGTTGTTGCCGGCGACTCATTCTATAAAACTCTACTGGTGGTCATTATCTTCCATCAATTCTTCGAGGGATTGGCACTCGGTGCTCGCATTGCGACGATCCCTGGTGCGATCTTTCCCTCCAAAGCCATCATGGCTGGGGCATTCGCTCTCATCACCCCGGTCGGCATGGCGATTGGGCTGGGCGTGTTGAACTCTTTCAACGGAAACGAGAGAAGCACTCTGGTTGCTCTGGGTACTCTAGATGCTCTTTCCGCTGGTATCCTCATGTGGGTGGGCGTTGTTGATATGTGGGCTCGAGACTGGGTAATTGAAGGAGGTGAAATGCTGGATGCAAGCTTGGGCAGAGTGTTAGGGGGAGGGCTGGCCTTGGTGACCGGACTCGTTCTAATGGGGCTTCTTGGAAAATGGGCCTAAGCGGCAAATTGACCGCTGCCAGCAGCTTTGTCGATAGTCTCCACCCTGGACATCTGCCAGATCTACTTCCACCTCACCTAGTCCATTATAGCACCCAAAAATAAAATTAAGCTATATACTCCATGTGGAGTAAACATGAACTTATGGCATGAGCTCCATTATCAGACCCTAAAAGATTAAATTGAACCCAGGAACTGAATTTATTTTGCTCACGATCTCCGATCTGTCACGGACAAGACCGATATGTTGCCCCGCTTGTGTGGTCTGCGCAGCCAATACCCAGGGTTTTCCGCAACAACCTGCCCGATCGCGAATAGCTTCTCCACCTTGCCCAACACAAGACCCTCAGTAGCTGGCCCCCGCGTTTTAGTGAGAAGGATACGAGATTGGTTACACTGCAACTCCATTGAAAGGACGCTTTGATTGTTCTACACTATAGTCATGCAGATCCCTGCGCGGGTGGTTGGTCCACGGTTATTGCCGGAATGAAAGCTAGACGATAAGAGGTGTTGAGAGACGCTGTGCAACGCATCTGCCAGTGGTCACCCGCCATCTGTGCCGGCTGGAGCTTCCTAGGTAGGCTAGTGGGACGCTAGTCGAGAGTACGAAAGATAAGAGGATAGCAACAAGGTGGACTACGATGGGGACAGCTATATGAGCCCCTTCCCTCACCCCCTCCCAAGCCGTGGAACAACTTCACTTTCGATCACAATCATACTATCTACCTGCTCCTGGCCCGTCGCAACATACCTAAATTCTCCCCGCCTCTCCCTCTCCCTCACTTCCCCCCATCGACCAGTGGAAATCCACCACGACAATTTTCTTTAGATGGCTGTTTTCTCTCTCTATCCATTACGGCTCCATTCCCATTCCTATACCATATCGCTGTCCCAGCCCCTTCGCAGAGCCAGTAGAAACAATATACAGGAATCTAAACCTGTGTCTAAGGCGTCAGTCGTCGCGCTTTGCGAGACCGTAGTGGCAACTCAGAATCATGTCAATTGAAATCGTGCCGCTGGCCAAGGCCGATATACCGGGGGCCGTAGAGTGTGTTCAGAAAGCGTTTGCTGATGACCCCTACTTCCGATGGGTATTCAACAACCCTTCTCAGGTATGCCATTCCAAAAAAAAGACGACACACCAATCCTGCCCTTGGTGAAGTCTAGAGGGAACCAATCTCCCTCAAGGAACGCGGAAAGATGGCAACGGATTTAATATTTAATCTCTTTAGTTCAACATTCAGCGAAACGCAGCCTCATTAGCGGCGCATTTCCAATACGGCATCAACTGTGGCTGCCCGATCTCCGTCGCCAAAGTTACCCGCGCTACAAGCGACCAAAAGACCGAGCGCGATATCAAATTATCACCAGGGAGCATTGTCGGCGTGAGCTGGTGGTACTCCCCTCAGGCAGCATGCATACCTCAGACCTGGTCCATCTGGGTTCAGGAATGGCTTCTCTCTTTCCGACAGCTTTTAAGTAACATTCGCTTTCTGGGCCGCGGTGGACTCAACGTCCCCCGATACTGGATCTGGAAACAGGTACAGCAAGATGCACATGATGCTCTGTGGAAAGATCCCCGGGGCTACTACTTTTGCAATATGGTAGGGGTCAGCTTTCAGGCCCGTGGAATGGGTGTGGGGAAACGCTTGATGGAAAGCGTCATGGAGAAGGCGGACCGGGAAGGTATGCCATGCTATCTGGAAAGCTCCAAAGGCCATCCCAATATTGCCATCTATGAGAAGATGGGCTTCGAGCTGATCAAAGAGATCGAGTGCGCCGAGGGCGGGAACGTCTGCAAGGTAAGCTGATCTTGTTTTCGATGGTTATATTGGTAATTGACAAGAACGACTCCAGCTTTATTGCATGATCCGGAATCCCAAAACAAAGTCTTAATAAAATGATCATAGGGAAGTAACCTGGGCGATTTTATTGATTCTACGGGATTATTGTCGGGTAACTTGACTGGAGATGCAATAACATAGCAATAAATTACTTTGATAATGAACCTATTTTCTGGATCACACAAGGAGCCATGCCCTGCCATTATCATAAATAGATCCAAATGCCCCAAGAGCTCTATCATAGGCGGGCGGTGCTGGTGATAGTTTGGTGAGGCTGGGGCTGGGGCTACGCTTTGGGAGTGGCCCAAGGTCAAACAAAGCAGACACAACACATCGGATATCCTATCGGGAGCAATATGCAAACTCACGCCGTGATGCTAGTTTCATTTCGGCCAGTCCAAGAACAGAGTCTAATAACATTAGCCTTTAAGCGTCCTACCCCATGTGCCGTCACCTATGCGTTAAACTATGGGCAACTTATGCGCCGTCTTTTGTGGCTCCATAAATCCAAGTAAGAATTTAAATTACCAATAATTGCCGCCTATCATCACTGTTGCGTTGAAAGAACTGCCAGCCCCTACCCTGTTTGTCCTCTGACTCTCTCTAGTACATCTAAATTTAGATTTTTCAAAGGCGCCATTCCACGAAGGAACACGACTCGGATACGGAGGATAGTGCTATGGTAATTTTACCTGCTGCTAGGTGATTCAGAATAGGGATCGCATAAAGACATTGTATCTGGCCTTTTCGGTAATGATCCTAATTCGCTATCATCCACACTCATCAAAAAATGATTACGTTCATGCCAAGCAGAACTAAAGCTGTAGCGAAGAGCGATGAAAAGGTCCAACACAAGTGGCAGATACATGCACCCGCACCAACTCATCCAACTAAAGACTTCAGGAGATACTGGACAGGTGGGATGAGATCCACCTGATCCTTGATTTGGATGAGTATTCCATTGGTGTACAGTTGCTCCTTCACTACGGGTCTTTTCCGGGTGAAGACACCGAGATTCTGAGCCTGTCTGATTGGAATGCTGTAATTGGGTTTTGCTGTCAAATCATGCGAAGTTCTATAGATTATCATATACTTTGATTCAACCTCATATCCCCGTCTTCTGCATGTTTTGAATCTGGTTCTGTCATGCCAAGCCTGACAATGCACGCGCTGGATCGGCGCTTAGGCACGTCCGCGGCATGGTTGGAAAACTCCATAACGGGGGTGTTGGCCACAACCTTATCACATTCACTAATGCAAATGCAAGGAATATACCTGCTGTTTCGTGGCATCGGCGACGGTTGGCGTCTACTCGTTGGCATGGGGTGTCTCATCTCCAGGGTGCGATTGTGTCGGCGCGAGGCGATCGGCACGTCGTGGGCGGCTACATCATGAGTCGCCCCGTCATCACAGTGACTTGGCACGCGGAACAGACACCATCCTTAGAAAAGCCCGACCGCCTGGGTTGGCCATGGCTGTTCCGTTGAAGCGATTCGCGGCGATCACCAACGAGTACGTCTCGTAACCGCCGTTGAGTATCCACACTAGACCACGATTTTCCCGCGTGGAATAATAGACCGCAATTTTCCTGCGTGGAAGAAAGCATGGCTTCCTTAGAACATAAATAGGTCGTTCCAACCCGTTCAAACATCAATCTAACTCCTCTATATTCCATCCATCCCAAGATTTCGCAAAGATCACTCTCGTCTTAAGAAAGTACAACCAGTTTTGTCGACCGATATTCACCTTTCCCTGTCTTCGAACCGCCAGCCATTCAATGGCCTTACCTCCCTCACACCCAATGAACTTGAACTATACCGCTGTCACCATGATAAGCGAATCAAGCATCCAAATTCAGGTTGGTGTCTTCCTCTAGTGACTCGACCTCTACGGTATCTAATCTCGTATAGCGTCGCATCGTCCGGCATTTCTATAGATCCTACGGCGCCTTCGGCCTATCAAAAACGCAATCTCAGAGCATAACGTCTTCATCAATGGTAGGTATCTACCAGCGTCGCTCAGATCCTATGCTGATCAGTTCGCATAGATTATTCACTCGACAAAAACTCTGTCAAATTCAAAGCGGCACACGAGTGACCAGCGAATTTCCACAATCTATCGCACCTGGGCTCGAGGGACCCGAGATACCATCACTATGAAACGGTACGATGGCATCCAGTACATCCAATGTACGACTCCCATATTCTAAACGAGTCAAAGCAGTATTGTGAAGAGGAGTGTTGCTCGCGTCAGTGCAGAGAAACAGGTCCAGAACAGTGTCACCTCCTCGCTCACCAGAACCCGCCGCTACCGGTACTCTGATCCACCCAATAAATTTGTGCATGTACTGTCGCAAGAAACAGGTCCAAGTGCCCCAAATCTTGAAAAGCAGGAGAGCAAACCCGCCGCACCCACAGCAGAAGAATGTCGGCTTACAGCACGGAGATTTGATCGGATAGTGCGTTTTTCATGTTGGAGATTGTTATGCAATCATGATAACTTATTCCTAGCCCGTGCCGAGGATGCCGAGGTTGCCGGTGCCGAACCCGCCAACTCGCGACTTCGAATGAATCACTTGCGGCTGGATTGGTTTCTCGAATTGGACGGTAGGTTGTTCCTTGATCCGTCCCACTCTACCCTAAAACGTCTCACTAAGATCCACCCTCATATAGTGAAAACTAGCCTATCATGACTATCATGGAAGGGTGTTGCTCGGAATTTCGGGTTAAGAATGGAGGAGATTGCCTACCATAATATTTTCTTGTTTGTGGAGGCTGGGCAATTGACTTGGCTTCAACTGGATTTGCTGCTGCCCCCATGTATGCGTTTGAGTTTTGTCTGAAATTTGGGTGGCTCTGGTTCCTTGGATGATGTCGGATAGCTCCAGGTCGATCCGCTGGTCCCCCAAATCTCTGCGCTCGAAGATGGGTCCAAGCTCCTCAATTTATGGAATGCGATTCCACTTTGTTCTACACTGTTCCAAGTCAGGATTCTTCCTGGCCTACTGAATGGGGCTGAATGGCTTCTATCGTGTTTCCATCCTGGACAATCCGACTCGAACTGAGATATGAAACAAGGGCCCCACTCGCAGGCAGCCCAATTGACAACGCCGCGAGAGCCAATCGGTGCGGCGTGGGGCCCACGACAAGCTTTGCATTTGCCAACGGGCACGACTAGCACCGAGCCCGACATCTGCGTCCGCACTGCTATTCAGGGCGTGGGAAACTCACTCAATCCCCAGGCCGATCTGGATACTTCTGTAGAGGGAAGAAAGGAAGGAAAACGGGCTGCCACGTCGTCCGGGAAGGTCTGTAGCTCGTCCTGTAGATCGGACCCCTCGCAGCCAAAAAACGAGTCATCCGCTGCCATCCGCGCACGCGATCTGCGAGGGTCTGCACAACCAATCGCCTCCCCAAGTCATCGACCGTAGAGCTTGGTCGGCTCGGCCATCCAAACCTCCGCAAGGGCCGGCCAATCGCAATCCGGAGGGTTCCGCGGTAACACAAAAAGGCACAGATCAGATTGCGAACTGGAGGCATCGCCCCCTCGAGTTGCGTAAGCCAGCCGTTTGTGCGCATCGCCTTTATGTCTTAATGTATATGTACCTCGTCGCATCCCCGGCCTGGGTCTTTTTCCTTCCTCTCCTCGCGATCCTCGGCTCATTCTCGACTCCAGCCCTGCGTGGATCACCCCAGACCCTCAATCTCGCCATGCACTGACCACCGCCTAACGGCCTTGTACACCAAAAACGCCACAATCGAAAGCGATCTTCCGCGATACGTCGATCGGTCAGTTCGATCGTTCATCATAGCACCATGGGTCTCACCACTGGCGCCATCATCGTGCTCGTCCTGGTCGGCTGCTTGGCCGTCACGGCTCTGGGCGCTTCCCTCTTCCGCCACTATACCCCGATCGAAGAAGAAGCTCGCTATAGTGCTTCCTACGAGCAGGGAAAGTACATGCGCACGGTGCGCCTGCGCAATCATAACCACTTAAGGCAAGAGTCGCTCAATGCGGCCAAGGCCAAGGACCTCGAGTCACAATGTACGCTGTCCCGATCGCTCTGCTTTGCCATCGCATGTACTTGCTTGCCCATGCGATCATGCCGCTAATACTTCGTGTACCCGATCAGATTCTACGGACCAAGCATCAAGCCACTACAACCCCCACACTCAACCCGCATCGAGCACGCCGCAGGCGTAATCGCGTTTCGCACTTGATCTACGAAATTCGGATGACTACGAAATGCCACGAGGGAACTTTTTTTTCTGGCATGACCAGAGATCATTCTGGATCCATATAGCGCACTGAATGACGCTTGAAATGGAAAAATAAGAATAGATGAATTGGCAGCATCCAAATTCGCGATCAGCGATCGAACATGTCTTTGACGAAGAGAAGCACAGGAGGAGGATCTCAGGCACAGATCGTCTGGGACCTTTTTTTCCTCTTCAGCGCACAATTCGCCTTGTACTAGTTCCCGACTGCATAATATGCGGTCCAAGGAACTTTTCTTTGATCTACAAGAACCTCCTCTCCAAATATTACAAAACATTTCACATATTTGCTGACTCCTGGTCGGTTTATTCATGTATTGATATGCAGCTTGAGTTACATCGCAAGATAGTCTGGTCAACATGACTATCCTCCTAGGGACATCTTTCCAATAGTATTTCATGACTTGAAATATCTTACATACCCAGGCTGCGTGAGCCAGTAACAAGACCAGAGAGGTTTCTCCAGGATTATCCCCAGCGCATACGTCGAAGAACAAACTCGAGTTTCATGCTTTCCTCCCAGATTAGGTTCAACATTGCGAGATGTCGTCAAAGCGAATCAAGCTCCGGCGAACTCAATGAAGCAACAGCACAACCTGCTAGAGCGTAACCAGGGCCAAAATCCTTACCATACGTGATGTTGTTTGACTTGCTCGGATACGCGGCGATGTCGGGACAACGCAATTTGCTGCAGTTACCAGAGAGACCACTCTCCATGGCGCCATGGAAACCTTCGTTGCAATGGCTCCTCATTCCACAGGGAACTGGAATTCTTCGTGCCATCCTGCATCGGCCGACTTTTCAATCCAATGGACCGATAAATCTTATATACCATGGTCCTCTTGGGCTTCGGTAAATTCAATCTATGCTGCGCATTATCTTGTATCCGAAGCATGTCCGGCAACAACTACAAAACAACTTGGTGTAGACACATTGCCTGTCGTGTATTCCCATCGCCCTCACTTCAATTCCCCAATACGCCGTTCTGCGATACGCTGAACGGGCTAGTCTGGCCATCTCATCCTCCGGTGGGTCGAAATGGGGACTCGCAGCTGTCGGGTGTCTCGGCATCCCATACATCAAGCCCAAGTTTCAGCCACGGGAGTTTCAGAATGTACGCCACGCGATGGCCACTCGTCCAAATCCTCACCATAACGAGGATATTCCCGGTCGCATCCTGGGGCCTAGCAGGGCTAGAAACAACACAGCCAGGAATTCCAACACGGTTACGGGCACCGACCAGATCGCTGAGAGTCCGCGGAGTCCAAGGATGTCTGAGCAATGCCTCAACCTGTCATCTAGTATCTCAATTCGCTGTTGTACCGTCCATCATAAGCGCAGCTGCGGATAATCACCAACTTACAACATAAAATTCAGGACCTGTACAATCGACGCCGAAAATGACAGCTTCTGGCGCCAGAAACGGCTGCCTTTCCACCCGAACTTTGGACCAGCTGATTCACCAATGCCTTTCGCTGGACCACCCAGGCTTGCGTCGCCCAAGCCTCAGAGAATTGCACAATTAGGTGTACTAGTTGCAGCACAGGATGGTCCATGGCGGACAGATACCGAAAACTGATCCATGGCATATATAACCTTGGAATGATCCTCTACCTAAGCCCAAGATTTAGTCGATGATGAAGATCCACGTCAGGGATTGAGTGGGATCATTATTTAGAACTTAAGGAATATTTTCCCCTCTCTACAACTTTCCCATCTTTACATCTCTGAAGATATTCAAAATGGGTCCACACTATCTAAGCGAAGACTATATTCGAGACAACTTTCCACCGAAACGGACATGGCCGAGGATGCCTCGCAAAATAGTACTCAAGATGTTTACTACCCTTCCGTTCTCCGACGGGATTTGCTTTGCGCTGAGTTGCAAATACACGCTTGCGTATTATCTCGCATGTCTTTGGTTTTTTGGAGGGACTATACCTGGAAAACCCAAGCGCGGCGCGAAAATCACCCCATGGGCTAGAATACACCTACTCCGTCGGCTCCAAAATTCCCGTTGGAAGTTTTGCGATCAATGCTGGACGCTTCATCCACGCTCTATTTGGAATATACAACCTTTCTGGAGACTGGACCATAAGGCGTGCTCTTATGGCTGCCACACCCTTGGTAGTGGGAAGTGCTATTTGCCGTACGCTGGGGAATTTGATATGTGTCCTTCCACCCGTCTCAATATACACCACAAGCTACAACTGATCTCTCTATGCCGTCGTCAGCCCCTCGATTCTAAGGGCGGTACTCAACACCTGACAAATCGCAGCTGCGGATGCACTAGGATGTTAGTACACACTTGTACCTTCAAAGGACATCCCTTCGCAGAGGTTCACATCGACGTTTCGGTCTCATTCAGCTGCCAAGACCAGAGCTTACACATGCGTACTCGTTTGCTATTCGATTTCAAAAAGGCGACCCCTTCACAGCTGGAAAAGTTCTGGAACACGCGGCGTGGTATATGTGTGCGTGGAAACACTGGAAAGTGGGTTGGGCAGTTTTTCCATGAAGCCCGGAATGCTTTCGGCATAGGAGTGGATTGGAAGCCCTCTCAACGGTTTAGTTGGGATGTGAATGACGAAGGACCATTGGAGATTACCTTGAACCGCAATCTGGGAAAGCGTGAATGGCCGAGCAAGAGCTGGATTCGCAACCGTCGCAAATTCCCTAAGTAGTATTTGGTGCTTTTCCTCTTTCAAGGACGGGCTTCAATTCACGACAGATGATCTGCCAGAGCTGGATGTACCGGATTTTAGGCTGCGGTCGCAATTTGCCCGATCGGGGTGCCGCCGGTCTATAAGCGTGGTGGTATCCGCTCTCCACTCGTCAGTCCCCCTCCCTCAGGTCCACCAGCGAGGGGTAACTGAGCAGTTGGACGAGACGTCGGGGTAGAGGGAGGCGCAGAGGTTCTTTGACTTGTTTGCAGCGCTGAGTCGGTTGATCGACATGTCCGTCCCAATGACCGGCCTTGTATCTACAAGGCTCAGACCAGCCCCTCGAAGCGGTCGCGGCCATTGGCTGGGGGCGAGATGCTCCGGCCTGGTCGGGCGCAGGATCAGACTTGCTACGCATGAGATTACCATATACTCCGTCCTCAGTATGCAATCTCACGGCTGATGGCTTGGATGGCCCCCATAATCCTCACGTGGGATGATGAAAAGGAAGGTTTCAGCGGCATCTCGATTACTCAATGCGGTTATTTTCCGCTGCCTAGCCACGCTGGCCCGGTCCGCGATGCTGGGGGAAGAACCAATCGCATCTCGATCAATGCCATCAGGCCGTCCGACTCCAGGCTACGACTCGCATTCTCGCATTGGATTTGCCAGGCAGCCAAGAACGACACTGCCTTGCTGGGCAATACGGCGTATTCGCAGACCCCTAAACCCGAGCCCCCCCACATGGTTCGTGCGTTACGACCGTAGAGTGGATACGAGTACGACGATGTCGGGGCCAAGATCGAGCTAGCTATTTATTGAGTTGAGGCCTCGTTGTGCCGGTGTGAGAAAAAAGAAAACAGAAAGGGCCTTTGCGAACACTCTCCCAGACCGACCTTGAACCTCGAGCTGCCGCAGACGAGATCAGCTGGATCTTCATGCCGCGTGAGCCTACCATGAGCGCCCACTTGTCCAACTACGAAAGCGATACAGCGAGTGACGAGCGGTATGTGCCTACGTGCCCTGCGGACGTCATATCGCGTTCTTCCCGCAGCGCACAAGATCTAATTACAGAATCTAGGCCAAGCTCGGAACCCGCACGAACCAAAATTCAAGCAATTTTCCAAATCGCACGACCACCACCAAAATCATCGCTCCGACTCTCCCCAAAGCTTTTGCTACAAATTCAACAACTCTCGCAAAATCACCGCCCAGTCCCAGTTCTAGAAGTATGGCAGCCCCCAATGTGCAAGTCAAGATTGACCCGGGAGTTCCATCAACGACCAAAACTACGCACCGGGGATATCTATGCGACACTCGATGAACCATACATGTTCAGCGCACCCTCCGTGCGAAAGCGACCGACCGAACCCGAGTGGCAAGAGAGCACAGATTACAATGCTGCGATCAAAGATATTGTGGCGGCTATGTGCCAATCCGCCGATAAGACCAGGGGTTCAACGCTACACTTCCGCGATGCGCAACGCAGCTGGCAGGCCAGCGTGGGTACCACGGGGTCTGAGAACACGCCTTGTTACCGATTCACCATCAACGATGAGAACAGAGACAAGAGTGATCCGGGGCGGATGATGATGCAATGGGAAAGGCGTGGCCTTGCTGGCAAGGACGAAAATACTTCGCAGTCCTTCCATTCAGACCAGTTCATTCTAGTCTTAATTGATCGCAAAGCGCGGCGGAAGAGCCGCATAGCAACCATGACCCCTGGCGGGCTGGAAATTATGGTTCGGAAGACCTCTATTATGGAGCACCTGCAGGTGTGCTTGGATTTAACGAGCCCTGTAGCGACGGCAGCGAGCAGCCGTTGTGACTCTCACGAGAACCTGGAAAGGTGGTTGTTTACGCATGTTCTGACATTAGGAATATGGGTTGCTCAGCAAGAGGGGTGGCTCGGTTCGTAACGAGAATATGAATGAAAGAACAATCTAGATGGTCCACTGTTTCCCAGCATCGAACTAGTATGTAGCAATGCCCTCCTCCAACGCCTTGATCTGCAGCGCCAGCAGACGAGAATAGTACCTGCACAGCGCGAGGTTTCCACCCATGAACCAAAAGCCTGGGTGGCCACTGCGCCGCCAAATAGTCCGCATTTCGCCCTCTGCATCTAGACCCCATACATCACCGACCCGATCGGCAACGTCATCGCCGAAGATAATGCGGGCCTGGGTGCGCATGTTCTGGTAGCCGGTCGCAAAGACAATCTCATCTGCTTCCAACTCCGACCCATCGGCGAATCGGAGCCCGTTTGGCAGAACGTCGCTGATCTCCTGCCCCTGTTTGACCTTGATCTTCCCATCCGCGATCAATTTGCTGGCACCCACGTCGATGTAGTACCCGCCGCCGCGTTGGAGGTACTTGGTCAAAAGACCGGCGTTCATTGGGCCCCGGTCAACCTTAAACCCAGCCTTCTCCAATCCCTCGAGGGTCTTCGCGTCGTTCTTGGCCACCAACTCGAAAACCTTGACCTGTTGTGCCTTGAAAAGCTCGGGAGGGATGCTCCACAGATACGCGTCTGAATCCTCGATCGGGGGTCCACCCTCTTCGTAAAGGCCCTTCAATGCGATATCGACAATTGACTCCGATGATACGACCAAGGTGGAGCTTCGCTGCACCATCGTAACATCGTAGCCCTTTTCAACGTAATCTTGGGCAATATCGTGGCCGGAGTTGCAAGATCCAATGACGATAGCCTTCTTGCACTTGGAGCTTGCTTTCGCGCCCTTGAAATCGGAGCTATGACAGATGAGGTGTCCTTTGAAGTTCTCCATTCCCTTGAAGGTTGGCATATTCTTTTTACCGGAGTGTCCGGTAGCTTGAATGACATGGTGCGGATGCAGGGTGCGAGTTTCGGTGGTGCCGTCTTCCTTCCTGCGCTCGAGAACGACGGTCCATTCTTTCTTGCCCTCGTCATACGACGCTGACTTTAGCTCGGTTCGAGTCCAGACGTTCAACTCCAGAAGCTTGACGTAGGACTCGAAAAAATCGGCCAGCTTGTCCTTAGGAGTGAAGATAGGCCAATTGGACGGAAAATTGAGGTAAGGAAGTGCGTCGAACCACACGGGATCATGGAGGACGAGTTGGTGGTACCGCCGACGCCAGCTGTCTCCAATTCTGTCCTCTTGGTCGATGATCAAGGTATCGACATTGAGCATCTTCAGACGAGCGCCGGCGGTCAGACCTCCTTGGCCAGCACCTTGTAGAAATCAGTACTCTTGCATGCTCTTTCGTGATAATATGGCCAGGGGATTATACCGATGATGAGTACAGTGGGCTGCTTATCTTCATATTTGCTGTCGGCAACTCGCCGATCCTGCCAATTCTGGCGCCCCTGCTGTTCTCCATGCCTCACGCCAACAGGTCTGCGCGCATTAATCGCCTCCTCATGACCTGTTAACTCCAGTAGGGAAGTGGAAACGGTGAAAATCTTCCACTCGTTCCCTTCCTGAGCCAGTCTCAGGACACCTTGTCCATTTCCAAGGTTGGTGATAGCCTTGATGAAACACTCCACGCCGTGAACTTCCCCAAAGGCATCGATAGGTCCATTGTGCGGCGCTCTGAACGCAGATGAATGATCGACCTCAATTTTGATGGACGAGGAGCTTTCTGTTACAAATTTCGAGACTGCTTTAGAGCCCTTAAGAGTCCGAAAATCCCAAGACAGGCACAGGTGGTCGCGCCAGTAACTGTTTTCCAGAAATAGCTGTGAAACGGCATCGGCGTCTTTTTTTTCAAGTGCGTTATTCAGCCGATCAACTATGCCAGTCGCGATCTTGTCGGGGTCTTCCGGGGCGGCGACGTTTGTTTCGGGGAATGTGCCAAGTGCTATATTGCAAGAGCCGGGCTCTACTCGGTCTCGCGATGGGAGACTCCGCTGGTCCCCTAAGCGAGACTCAATGTCAGCAGCTGCCATCTTGGGCGTTATTGTGCGGTGGGGGGTGATGTTGGGGGGAGAGAAGAGTTGGCCAGGATTAGTTAAAACTGACAGTATTTAAACGCGAATGCCAGTGCCAACCCCACACTGCCGACTTCGGACAGTGTTGCGAGGGGGCCATCTGTCGCTAAAACGAGCTAAGATGTGTGACAGAAAATTGAACCATGCAACTTCCTGATAGATCTAGTGCCGTCCCCGTCCCCGCCTCCCCGCTCGAGGTGAGGGGGAGGCGGGGAAGGGGGGGGTTGCGGGCGACGGAGCTAGTTAATAGGCCCTGTGTTATTCCTTTTCCATCCCATTTGGGGGGAGTCAGATGTTAAATTACATTATTTAGTCAACCCGTTCCCCAAGCTTTTGGGTCGTAGGTTGTAAGGCCGGTGAATTGCTCCAGGCCTTTCATATCAATGATTTCTTACGTGTATGGGTTGCCGGTCGGATTAGTAGTATGCATCAAGTTACAAAAGTGGGCTGCACGTAGGTCGTACTCGGCATGCCAGCCAATCAATTCCCAGGCATTGCTAGTTTGTTACACACCGCAGCTATAGCGAGGCGTAGCCTCAATGAAAATGTAATTTCCCTACGTACTCCTGCATAATACCTCTGAATCTTGAAATACCCAACCCTCTTTCTACTGAACGTTATGGGTAATGCCTCCGACATCTTAGAGGATGGGTGGGGAGACAGTCTGAAAGACATTCATAGTGGGACAACGCTGAATGATTTAATGGTCTAATTTGACCGTGTGAAATGAACTTGGTGCCCACTAAAGATTGTGAAGCGAATTGGGGTTTTAAATCAATCGACTCTTGGGGAATCGAATGGTATCGAATGGTATCGTCTATCAGAAAGAGTAGTCATGTTCAGCCTTTTTGGATGCCTACGATGTCGTACGTAGCTATGTACGCGAGGGTCCTCCCGGTAAAAATATATCAACCACGCTTGTGCCCCCAGATGGCTTACCTTAATATAGTTTGAACCTTCTGGTCGATAACTACTGGCCTCACAAGCCTAATCAGCCCGCATGATCCGAATTTCTCGGAAAATTAGACAAGCTACTGAAGATTAAGGGCTGAACGACGGGAAATCGCAAGAATAGATTATTTAGAAGATACTTTCTCAGCCTTTCTAATTAAAGGGTCATCAAGGCAAATTGAAAGCCATCATACATCAACCAGCATCATTGGTCTAGTGGTAGAATTCGTCGTTGCCATCGACGAGGCCCGTGTTCGATTCACGGATGATGCACAGCAATTATCTTTTTGCACCCCTTCGGCTGGTAAAACCCATATATACTTTTTGGCTCTCCAAATTCTTCGGCATGCGAAGGAAGGTCTTCTCAAACGCCCGCGAATTTAACTCTGCATGCAAAAACTTCCCCCGAAAAGTGCGTTTCAGTTTTAATTTTGTTCAGCTGCTGGCCGATGGTCGCACGACTCCTTCACTTGCGCCGAACGTGCTGCCCCGCAACTACATTTCTCCTTCCCGCCACTAATGCGCGGTGGAAGTAGAGAGACTGTCGCGTCAATTTACAGTACGGCGAACCTCAATTGACTGCATTGCTCCCTCCGTGATCTCTGGCGCATTTTCTACGGAGTACAACAACCCCCATTCGGATCTATAACTGAGGACCCGCGGCGCAGAAGCTCAACCCGCCCAAAGCCCCAACAGCAGCGAGTAGCCAAGCCAATCAATCCCCCAAGCTCGGCTGGAAGAGTCTAGACCGCGGCGATTCATGCACTGGAAACACCCGCGCGAATGGCCAATCCAACCAAGCTTCGGAGTAGCCACTCAAGATTTGCGAAAGCGTCGTAAGCCCGCATCGCATTTGGTCTTGGCCGGCACGACGCGTTCGCGGAGCCACCTGCACGGAATCGGAGACAGGCTCCTATCCATGATTGATTGATTTTTATTTTTGGTCGCACGCTTGGCAGGGCTGGTGAGGAGTCCCGACATGCTGTTGAAGTGCCTAGACTTCCGCCCATTTACTGACCGCGGAGTGGCTTGTGTCTCCTATCTCTCTCCTCCCTGGTCGCGCTGTGCCTTTTTCATGGTTTCTGTCGACCATAGCTTCGCATATGAAGATGCTGGAGCGGTGATTTACGGCGTGAAGTTAAATCCAGTCTGTGGTTGACATGAGTCGAGTCAGACGCCAATGCCTGGGCTGCTTCCTGGCTGCCCTTGTGGTATTCCTCCTGTACAATCGCAACCGATCGTGGCACGATGCCCACGCTGAACAAGACCCATCGGCGATCTCACCTCCATCCGCTCCAGACTCACCGGACGTTCACCTGCAAGATGAGCCCACACCCGCTTTTCTATGGTCGACCTTACCGATTCGATTCCCCGTCGCTTCAATCGCATCGATACCGCAAGGGCACCCCCGAAAACTGCCTAAAATTCAATCGGGCTCTTCACGGGTATCTCGAATTACCCTATGGTACCAGACAGGCCGACAATCGGCCGTGAAGGAAGCTTTCAAGCGGTGTTGGGAGTCATACACGTCCCTGGCATGGCAGGCAGATGAGCTCGCGCCAGTTAGCGGTACGTCGCGGAGCGGACTTGGTGGCTGGGGCGCAACACTCCTGGACAATCTGGATACACTGTGGATCATGGACATGCGTAATGAGTTTGAGAAGGCTGTGGCAGCGGTCTTGCAGATGAACTTCGCGGACACATCCTCGCCGGATATCAACACCCAAGTGGTTAGCACCCATCACCTTGGGGGTCTATTGGCAGCATATGATCTGAGTTCCGACCAAAGATTGCTGAAAAAGGCGATTGAGGTCGGCGATATGCTGTATGTTGCCTTTGATACCCCCAACCGGATGCCTATCATCCACTGGGACCTCCACAGAGCCGCGCGCCAGGAGGAGCAACTTGCCGAAGAAGCAGTATCTGCTTCGGAACTGGGATCCTTCGTTCTGGAATTCACGCGACTGTCCCAAATCACAGGCGACCAGAAGTATTTTGACGCAGCACAGCAAGTCACAGCGAAGCTAGATCGACAACAGGACTCTACCAAACTGGCTGGCATGTGGCCCGTTGTTCTCAACGCTCGGACGGAATCCTTCGATGGAGATTTATATACCATGGGAGCCGAGGTTGATGCTCTATACAAAATTCTGTCCAAGGCATACGCGTTGCTCAGCGGGCAAGAACCCATGTATCGCAAGATGTATGAGAAAACTACGCGCACAGCCGCAGGACACAGCCTATTTCGACCTATGAATGTCGAAGGTAGGGACATTCTCGTCCCTGGTTCAGTACGAATTATGATGACCGAGAACGGAAAGACGCGCACACACTTGGAACCTCTAGTTCATAGTCGGGCGTGTTTTGCAGGTGGCATGTTTGTGATGGGTGGTGCGCTTTTCAATATCCCAGTCCATCGGCAGATCGCCCACAAGTTAGTGGATGGTTGTATCCGGGCTCACAATGCTATGCCAATGGGTATCATGCCAGAAGTCTATGAAACAGTTCCCTGCGCATCACAGGCGACCTGTCCGTGGAACGAGTGGCATTGGAAACAAGAAGTCTACAAATGGACAATCAGCCAACCGAACCCAGATCCAAATTTGGATGTTGATACATACATTCGGGAACATCATCTTCCCAAGGGCTTTATCGCCATCCCCGACACCCGTTACAACCTAGGGCCAGAGACTATTGAGAGTATATTTATTCTTTATCGAATTACCGGGCGGGAAGACCTACTCGATGCTGCGTGGGACTTGTTCGAAAAAATCCAGAATGCTACCGAGACGATCAATGCCAACGCGGCTCTCTTGGATGTCACAAATGAGGGCGAACCAGCTCCCGATGACTCTATGGAGAGTTACTGGATGGCGCAAACCCTCAAATATTTCTACCTGATTTTCAGTTTCCCGGATGTCCTGAGTTTAGACAAATATGTCTTTAACTCTGCAGGACACCCGCTGAAGATTCCTGAACACATGGGGCACGGCTTTGGATTCTAGTGATTAGCAGATCTCATAATTTTCTTGTATTTCTTTATCCCCGGTTTACGAACTCTAGCGACCATCTGTGGCGAAACATGACTTGCGGATGTATAATATTGGACTTCGATAGCGTGGGCGTGATGATCATTTCATATTTTTCCTATGAGGGCATGCCTGCTACAGGGTCCGACCGGCCATTCAAGGTTAAATCTAGCACATTATAATATGCTCTATACCATGCTAGTGAAGATGCTTGTAGGCTTTAAATGGGTGTGGTGCTACGGACCAACCATTATATCCAAGATGAAAAGCAAATTCCCTTACACTGCCCTCATCTCAAAAGAAGTCATTCATTTCCCATCAAATGTGTCATCTCTGCTGAATCGCTTTTGAAACGAGACTATGAAGTAGGGGAAACAACAGGCGCCACATGAGGCTTATTGCTATATTCGATCTTCACAAAAAGTAGCGAAGATAACGAGCCCCCCTGTCTGAGCTGAACTGCTGATATACGCAGTTTGCGTTCAGGCTATCCAATCGTTGGAGCCCGCCCCACTTCTCTTCCCCATCTTGTGATGTGTCTGACGGAGAAGACGCAGTCAGCATCTTGGCAAAGGCATGTTGCTGAAGTACAAGGGCGTGATAGAGGTTATAAGGACTGGCGCGGCCAGCATTGACAGGAGGAATCTCAGCCGCACTCGAGTACGACTTCTGTCTGTTCGGTCGGAAATGGCAAAAGGCGGCCCCCGTAAACGAATCTACACTGATCTTGCCACGGTCCTGATCCTTCTCTCAACATTTGCCGGTGCAGTGACTCTGCAGACTCAATTCACGCTCCCCGATACCTGCAATGGCGCTCGTGCACGCGCTCTCGTGGCATACGCGTCGCAATTCTTCCTGGCAAGCCCTATAGCCATCTTCGCGATTTTCATGAGTCTGCACGGATACGAGGAGAACGATATTATCGAGGCAGGCCGGCATGAATTTATTCAATGCCAATTTGGTCTCACTGGTATTATGATCATCGCGGGGTTCTTGCTACTCAATATCACTACTCTTTACACGGGAGGAAACTACCTGGGACCGGCCGGAATAGCTTTGACGGGAATTTTCATTTTGGCGACTGTCGCATGGGGGATCGAAGATCATTTACCTCCGCCCACGCAGAACGGCCAGGGGAAGACGGAGGCAGACGCAGACGCCGAGCACTCTGCTGGTAGCCCTGATTCAGCGCCAGCGGAGCTGCCACAACGGCAACGTCAATTCGGGGACCACACTGCGACTGTGGCGGAATTCCTAGGCTATGCTGGCCCTTCTCTGTCAAAGACCCGGTTAGCCATGCGATGGACGATTTGTGGACTCGTTGTACTGGAAGCGGCTGGGGTTTTAGTATTGTTTGGGCTGGGGATAGCTCAGGCAGTGAATGCCTCGCCAGAGGGGTGTCAATTACTTTAATACAGGAGGAAGACTCTGCTGCCCAAAGGCGATCTGAATTGAACCCCCTTTGCAAATAGCCTCCCGTTAGCATAATTGGCGACGATGGCAGTAGAACAAATAAGTTATAAAAGTCAGGGTAGGTCCTCGACCGCACGTAGTTTACTGCAAATCCAAGCCTCAAACAGGCCGAAGATCATTAGTAGAAGAGCATGACGCCAGCATAGAGCGACCTTGGACGTGCGAGGGAAACGGCCGCATGTGGGGGGAAATCCGAGCTGGAAATTGTCGCTTGGTTATTCAGGTACTAGGAATGCATTTTCCAACTACGATTAGCATCTACTTACGCAGAGACCGAAGGAAGGTTTGCTAAAAAAATGTTCGTATTGAAGTTGATATATGGGAGATTGATGTAGGATAGTGATGCTTTTTAAAGTGTGTCCTGTACGAACTGTGGTGCCTCAAAACTCTCCCGCGTCAAAAAAAGCAGGAATATCCCAGAAGTTCAAGTCCTCGAAGCCAAGATTTGGAACCTAGATATGTGTGAGACTTCAGGTCGAAATGCACCTCATCCTGAAAATAAAGCAATATTTACCGTAAATTCCGAGTCTAGGGTCGACCCAATTGCACTTTCAGGTGTGAACCCCCTCACTACTTCATCAGCAGACGTAGGTAGCGTCCCGTCTTTCATAGTCATGAGGGAATCACTCGAGATATGTTGCTGTAGTAGTGTGCGACATGTTCTCATACTCTCCATGAATGCTTCTCGTATATGAACCCACTCTGCCTGCTCTCCGCGAGGCACGGCATGGACCTGAGCAAGGACACCTGCTGAGAGACAATAGCGCTTCATGCTCGGGTTTCCGGTAGCCAAGCCTTGGTAAAGATCCTCGTTGATGCGCTCGAGGGCTTGGATGATCGGTTTGCGAGCTTCCTGTACTAGTTGATCCACTGCGGTTAGGATCTGGGGTCCAGGGCCGGTTGGTTGTGCGGCGACTTCCTCTTCTAGTTGGGTGATGAGTTCTAGGCTGATTACCATCATAACGTCAGGGGAGAGATGGCCTTTGAAAATGCCAGCCCCAGACAGAGATAGTCGTTGGAAATCTTGATATGGTGTTTGGTCTGTGTCTGAGGATGTGCTGGGGCTGCCTGCGTAGGAGGCCATCATGAGAGCGGAGTCGAGACTGAGCTTTCGGGACAGATAGAATCGCGGATCATGAGTTGCTTGGATTGTGAATGGGCGGTAGAGATTAAGCAAGAAGCGTCGTAGTACATTGTCCATGACCCGGTGATGGAACTGGGTCGGTCGAAGAGTGCTTCCGCCGGCTCGTGAGAGCCATGTGTGAAAGAGAACGGCCATTTCCCTGCAGGCTACAGTTATCTGGCCGCCCAAATGCAAGGCAGCCTCATACGATGGCTCGTGGAAGCATTCGTTGATAATTCGTGCAATGCGAAGACGCGTGGGGAAAGACTGGAAAAGAAGAACCTGGAGGGATGACGTGGTATACCGATCATTGGGCTGAGGAGGCGGCAGGTCTGTCGTCGACCGATCAAAGTCATCATCACTCAGGTTTGACGGTGGGCGCGTATCGTAGTCTTGCGGAGTGAGTAGTGGAGGCATGGCCGCATCAATTGAGAACTGAATGTTAATTTCGAGAACAGTGGCCCATATGCGACGTCGCATCTCAGCGTCAAAGATAGAAACTGTTGGGAAGTTTCTCGCGTCTCGGTGTAAACCTTGATTAATAGCTTGACGCAACAAGGTGCCGGCAGCCATCCAGTTGGATTCCTTGTCAATCACATAGGCCTGGCGACAGAGAAGCAAAAGGCAATGCACCTGTAAGCTTTCCAGACTGCCAAGCTCTTTTTCGAACGGGCCTGACAGCCACCACTGCGCGGCATAAATCCAGCGCCGAACCGGTATCCCGAGATCATTTGAAGGACCTGGTTTGCAACGGAATATCGACCCAATAGCCAGGATCAGCAGGAGTTCCATCACAAACCCTGTCGAAGCAGAACGCGGGTTCTCCCAGAAGCGTTCATAGTCCTGGTAGAACGAGGGAATATGCAAGACTCGGTATATCAACCCTAGAGTGCGCAAGTAGTGGTGGACGAGCTCATCGCAGGTTTCTCTTGAAGGTAGATCGTTGAGTAGGGCCGGGGCTGGGTCTGCCAGCTGTGGCGCTTGTCGGCTTTTGATAAGCCGCCTCAAGCCCCGAATTTCTTTGAGTAGCTTGCTAATTTCATTTTGATTGCCATCAGTGTAGCTGGCTGTGCTGCGCACTTGACGCAAAAGACGAAACTGATAGAAATGATGAGCCAAATACCCAGTAAGAATGATTCTTGCCGCCAATAAAGCGTACCTGCTGGAAAACAAGGGCCCAGTGCGTCGTGCCAAACAATTTTGTTCTCTCGCCAGTGCTCTTGAGTCGGGGAGCTAGAGGGGAAATGGTCGTCTGCGGTTGATCAGAAAGCCGCTCCAGCTCAGCAATGCGATCATCCAGACCACTTATGTTATTTATCGCATCAGGGTTGCCGTTAGATGGCAGATGGCGTCTTGTTGTACCATTGACCTGATATTCTAGCCTTGATAGACGATCATGAAGAGCCCGCACGCTGCTCTCCAGGTGTGCAACCCGCGCTCCATTGGTAGCTCCCTCTACAGAACTAGCATTCCCAGATGAGCCATGTGTCCCGTTATGATCAACTGGTGATCCATGCTCACTCCTCCTGGATGCCTCAAGCCTTGCATTCAGAGCAGCTTTGCCCTCATAGACGTACGAGCAGCTCAGCGATCCGTGGCTCTTCGTGCATGGTTCGCACGGCATTTTCCGGTCGCATCGGACTTTCCGTTGGCGGCATTTTTCGCACGACAGCGCCGGACGGCGGCGCTTGCGTGGAATTGAGTGGGCATGATCATCAGTATGCATTGTGACCGTGTCGCTGAAGCGAAAAACTCGCGATATTTATCTTGAAGGGTCTGGTTTTAAGTACTGTGGCGCGCGCGTTGCGTCAAGGTCGCTGAATTCCGGCAAATCCCGGGGTTTAGTCGGGGATTTCGTCAGCCCAGTAGGTTACAGGGCAAAAGATTTGTTCGTTGGTTGATTAGAACAACATAAAAAAGAGATATTAGGTCAAATACGTATACCATTCAGGAACGTATCTATTGATTGACTGTATTTCTATTTGTCCGGCGAGATTCATGTGAAAATGATAGTTTCTTGCGGAGATATTACTATACAGATCTCGACACCCTATAGGTAGGAGTTCTGATTTAGAGCTTGCGGGAGAGCTTCCGTATGGATTATGTGTTACGCCGAACAAATAGAGTACTTTCAATCGATGGTGAAATACGTTCCGCGAGGAATAAGGGGTATCTATTTATATATATTTACATGCCCACCGTAATATATCCGAGTCCTCATGTAAACCAGCCCATTGATGCCAACCAGTATCAGCTCCCAGCCGGAGATATATTAGCCCGGTACCCAGAGAACACCGTTTATGAATCGCAGGGGAAAGATATAAAAGAGAAGAAAGGAAAAAGGACCGGGAAAAGGAGCGCAAGGAGCGCTAGAGGGAAGGCAAAGTTTAGCCACTAAATGACATAGCCCGCTGCCGCGATGCCCTCTTCCGCATCTCATTATCGCGGCTCTTGCGCCCCATCCGCCCCAGGGCCAGCGTTTCCAGGGTGTACGGCTTGCCGCCCCAGATCAAGTTCCGCCCCTTCCTTTGCTGCAGGGGCGGGATCCAAAAGTGCGTAACTACCGCACCAAGGATCATGCATCCGCTGAAGACGAAAAGGATGATGCCGTGATGGCGTGTTGAAGTATTACCTGGACCGGTACCAAAGTGGTAGTATGTTGATACGAGCTGAACGAGAATGGAGCCGAGTTTGCCGGCACCAGCACTAATGCCATGGCAGGTAGCTCGGTAACGGGTAGGGAAGATTTCGGCGGGGATCATGTAAGTTGTTGCGTTGGGGCCTGGGGGCGGTTAGTTGCTTCTAGCGACATCATAGATGATCGAGATAACATACCAAAATTGAAAAGAATCTGGCCGATAATGTAGATCGCAATAACAGCAGGTACACAAGAAGTAAGGGTGATGAAAATACTGCCCAGGGCAATGAAGAGAGCGGCCAGAGCAAGGAACATGTACTTTTGGAGAGCGACACGGTCGATGCGGTGCGCGAAAAGAATGAGAAGCAGTCCGCCGACAAAGCTGCCAATATTCAAAATGACAAGGCCGCGGACAGAAGTGTTAAACAGCTGTTGGTAGACGCTGACTCCGGGCCGTTCATCAGTCTCCCAGCTGGGCGCCGAACCGCTGAGGTGGAGATCACCCCATGTTTTAGCAAGGAACTGCGGGCTGGAGAGACCGATGCCATAATAACCAAAATCCAGGAGGAGCCAGGCAATTGAAGTACCAGCCAGACTGCGCCAGTTTCCTTCTGTCCAGAAGTACCGGACGATATCAGTGCGTGCAAGGCGCCAGTGCGAGTTGAGTGTTGCTGGAGGCAGGCGGCTGTACTCCTCGTCTTCATGGATGGAGTCACTCCCGAGCGACGACATTGGAGGTAGTTGGATGGCACTCCCAGCACCAGCCGCATAACTTACTTGATCGAACTCAGGACTTGTAGGCTGCTCACTGAAGAGTGTAGTCGCATCGAACTCGGCAGTGACGGGGTCATCTTCGATTTCCACGAGGTAGCGCGGACTCTCGGGAATAGCGAACCGGAACAAAGTCGCAATAGCACCAGGAATAACACCAATTCCAAGGACCCAGCGCCACATGGTGTCAATACTGCTGGTGAGGTCGTCGGAGCCCCTACCGCGGCCCACCGCGACCACAATGAGTGAGACCAGGTTACCGGCGATCTGCCCCAGCGGCTGCATGAAGAAGACGCTGGCCATCATACGGGCTCGATGCTTGGTTGGAGCAAACCTAGGTTCACGTTAGCTCCAGACCCGGTTGCCGAATAAACGCTAGGGCAATAGAGTACATACTCGGATGTTATAACAGCAGATAATGGATAATCTGCACCGACACCGATGCCGACACAGATTCTCCACCAGATCAACCAGGCATAGACGTTCATGCTCCCATTCTCGCCAGTAGATGACATGACGACACCCAGTGTGGCAGTAATCAAGAGAACCAGCTCGACACCGTACATCTTCTTTCGCCCATTCTTATCTGCCAAAAATCCAAAGACCACCATACCGAACAGCGTGCCGGCCAATGTTGCAATATTGATGCAGGTGAGTCGTAGCGAGGAGGTCTCGTCTCTCCAATAAACGTAGGAAATCATGGGGAGGGCCATGTTACTAGCAAAGAGCTGTCGCGGGGTCGTTAGTGGTGCGATTGCTTCCTTCGACACACACTTCGACCGAACGTACTGTATAACCATCAAGGAAGAAACCGAGACCAGCGACCAGCACGACAATCCACTGATAGCCCTGCCGGTCGATGGTCTCGTAGATTTGGCGCATGCGGACATATCGATCCTGTCATTCCATCTCTCCACGTTAGCTATGCGCGGACCCCCTTGCTTTATTAACCCTCCCATGAGGGGAAGCGGGATAGCAGCCCACCTGTTCATGATCGAAGTCCCGCGCACGGTCGGTTTTGTACAGTCGGGCGTGAAACTTCCCCATGGCCGCTGCAGCAGAATCCCTCGACCGTCACTGATGTTTCATGCCGGTGCCCGGAAGGATTAAAGAGAGAGGCTCAGGAAACCCGACGTGAGATATAGTCAGACCCAGACTCCGGGTCGAATCCCGAGACCCTCTCGTAAAGGTCCGCTTTGTCCATCGGCGAAAAGAACCAAGACTGGCCAGCACCGGCCTGCGCGGCGTGGAGCCAATGAGCCCGGCACGTTGAGCCTCGCCAGTGACCCAAGGTAAGCGAGCGTGAGCCCTTCTCGCACTACTGTAGCCCGCTGGATCACACGGCGATGGGTCCCTTGAATGGGATTGAGTGGACTGCGGGGCGGGCTGGGTTGAATGAGAGAATCGGGTAGCGGAAGTTCGGAGTACGGCTGCGGTACATTTGGAGGGGTACTTGTCATCCGCAATGCACGATTGGATCAAGTAGCTAGCACCGCGTCCTCTGTCGCACGGAGTGGGAGGTCCTCCGGCAGCCGCTAAGCCGAGAAAGAGCTAACCGCCCCACTTGGCCGAGCCAAACCCATTGGCAGCTCCCCCCACGTGCGGGCCATGCCGTGCTTGAATCGCTCGGCAAATGCCCCACTCCTGAGTATGCTTTGCACCACGCCTTTTTCGACTCTATTTAGATTCAAGCGAGTCTACCGCGGCATGAAAGTTACAAGGTAATAGATGAATGCCAGCCCCGCGATGTCACGTTTGGCCTCAGTACAATCTACGCTAGGCCTTGTATCCGCGCAGTGACGCGTTGTGAATGGATGAATTGAATCATGTCTCGATGAGGCGCTGCATTATATGGTATCACACGGAAATCACTAATCATACTCCGGAGAACTCCGCCATGCAAAGTGCCAAGAAGCAAAAAAGTTAAAAACATGTATGAAATGGAAGGACAGGGTCAAAACAGAAAAGCCATGGAAAAAGAAAGGTACCAGCCACGCAAGGCCCGGAGATTAACCTACGTAATCATCCAATCGTAAGATCCGTTGACAGCAGCTGGCAAAAGTTCTTGCAATCTAAGAAACAGTAAGCGATGGGCTCGAGCTTCCGTTGCCCATGGAGGTCGGAGCACTGACCATCATCATCCAGAAAGGTGATTTGGAGGTTTCGCATTTGTGATAAGATCTCGAAGTTGGGGTTGAGTTCGATGGTCATCGGTCGCCCGGCTTTCTTCGGAGGTTTGATACTCGCAACGCAGTTGACTGTGGCTGGTGTTAGATAGGAATTCCCCGTGATGAAATTGTCCGGGAAATGATGGTGGCGCAGGGTAGCACTTCATCATCAAGACAAGCGCACCTCAAACGCAACATACAGAAATGAATGAAGAATGGAGAATCACGATAAACAGAGAGGCGGGACTCACGGGGAATAGATACGTATCGCTTGAGCTGGTTGCGCTGTGAATTGGCGAAGTAGAGCATGACTCGTTTGCCATTCTGCCCGCGGAGGATTCGGAGATTCTGGCTGATGCACTCCTCCCCGCGGCCCTTGGACTTGGCTTCGGCCATGCCTCCCAGAAAGACCAGTTTGGAGCATAGTAACAGTTCTTGGAATTGGACACAATCTATCCGCGGTTAGGATGAGCCCGGAGTGTGCCGAAAGGGTACGGTCGCATACCTTCCCAATTCTCAAATTTATATGACAGCTGTGTCATGAATACGACTTGTGCCGTCTGGACGGTTTGGTGATCGAGGAAGGAAACACGAAGCGGGTACTGTTCGCTGTCTTTGGGATGTTCAAGATGAGGGACGGGTAGTTTGGTATTGTGAACTGTTGATGGTCAATCTCTGGGTCTTCCTTCGAGGCCTGCATCGGCCTTGGTTGTTTCGTGGGCCACTCACAGGTGTGAACAAAGGGCGTTTGCTGGCCGAACCCTCCCCCGAGCTCGAGACATTTCAACGCCCCCGTTGCGTCTTTACATACGTCGATAAAGGAATAGCGTAATTTGAAGAGTTGGCCGTTCTTGACGAATGAGCTGATCGTGATCAACCGGTTAGCGACTGCCAGCACTGACAATGCCCACCTGCACGATCCACATACATAGTCATGGAGGGATGGAGCTCCAGGCGCACCACATCATCGTACGATTGCCATGACTGCTTCCGCGAGCTAGTCCCGGGGGAGGTTGCGGGGCTCTGGAAGAGGATGCTAGTTGAGGCGGACGACACGGTGGAGGTTGAGACCGTGCTTTCACGGCGCGAGGCAGTACTTGCCCACTCCTGGAAGTCTGGCGAGAGAGGGAAGTGATGGCTCATGGCCGCAATCTCGAGGAACGAGGTCCCGGATCTTTTTTAATAGCAATGAGCGCGGGACGGGCGCATCTGAAGGGGCTCAACGGGTTCAGGGCGGATCTCTGTCCAGAGATCGGCCGGCAGGAACCATGACATGACCTAGCGGATAGCCGGAGAATGGGTTGGTATTATGTAGAGAATGTCGGCCATGAATAATATATGGCGCCGTGGTAAGCGCCGGGAAGTTCAGTCGAGCGAGGCCCAGCTGGACCTGCCGGACCTGCTGGGATCGCTGGACCCCGCGAGGCAGGAAAGCAGAGCGCCAATTGAGCCCACAAGGACAAAATCTACCGGAAGACCCGAATTAGCTGGGGGGGACGATGGCTGAGGTGGAGCCGCGGCAGAACGTGCCCAAATGGCTGGCCAGCAGATCATCGAGCGGATCCACTATCGAGAGTCCCTCGTGGCTGTGGACTGAGATGTGACATGCCATGCCACTTGGCGAGTAAGAAAATGGTGAATGGGGAACTAATGACAGCCCGTAGACCGAACGTGGTGCACACATCCACGTCCCGCCTAGACTCGGCAGCGTCTGCCTGGTGCTGGATTCATCACATAGTGCTTCGTATAGTTGCTCCGTTTCCGAACAGATCTCGCGGAAGCTCCTAATCTGGCCCTGACAAGATCCTTCCCCTTCTATCCATTTATCCGCCTTTCCTCCTTCCTACTTCGTCCAGATTTGGGTTCGTAGCTCCCGTGGATCTTCGCCGAACCTGAGAGCTAATCCAATATCGGAAATCTCCCGAACACTTCTCGAAGTGATCTGGAATCCTAGTTCGATCGACCGAGGTGGTCATAGCTCTGACCTCTGCAGGGGCTGCCTATTTGCATTGCTACCAGGCTAGCAAAAAAAAGAAAGAAAAATTAGAGGCGCAGGGAAGGGTGGATACCTATGTAGCCGGCGAATGGTCCTCTCTATGGTATATACGGAGTACTACCTTGGCCACATGGGTTTGGTACCTGTATCGTAGACATACTTCAATAATCAGATCCATGCCCAGGCCGACACAGGCCATCTGACCACAAACCCCGGCACCTGGAGGCTATCGCCATTTTATTTGCCCGTTTTTCGTCAGTTGGTTCCAATTAATTGCCGTGTTCGCCCTGCAAACCCCGCCCTTGCCCTTATCCACCAAGGTGCCCGATATGGAACCATGGATCATCCTATCGCTGTCCCGTTCAAACGGCCATAGCAACCGCACCGAAAAATCTGACGCTTCGCCGCCATGGCAAACCCCCCCCCCCCCCCCCCCCCCAATGCACGTGGTCGTCCCAATTCCAAACGGTTGGAAGACATGCAGGGTATCGCCAAGCTCTTGGAATCAGTGGGTCAGGAGAAACGCAGACGCTCGGTGGAAAGCGTCTGGATGCTGGAAGACGGACAGTCACATCACGCCCATCTCCGTATCCTCAGGCAGAGCGTACCCACCCAACAGAATAGGTTGGTCTGTCCGGCACCACATGGGACCGGGAAGAACGGGGTTGAGACGCATGGGCTCGTTTAACACTGAACCGACCCACAGCACTAGGGCTACGGCCGCCTTGAAGTCAGTCTCCTCATATCGCGCAAAAGTGGCGCGCAGCTGCTCCGTTAGCGCCTGGTAGATGCTGCCCTGCCGGCCATCCACATTGCTGCCGTCAGCGCCGAGGCGACCGGATCTCCGCCGTCGGTAAACTAGCGTGAAGGCTTCACCGAGGAGCTCATGCGAGTCTCTCGTGGCTCGGGTCTAGTCTCTTCATTTTGCTCGTCCCAATGATGATACTGCTCATGAAACCACCTTGCATCGCCTGTGTTCTAGATCGCTGCCGAGGCTCGCTCTTGGGCATGCTTCCGTGCGAATTCGGCGACACCCGGCTGGGCCTTGGGAATGAGGAATGAGGGTCCGACGAGGAGGACCGAGGCCAGAAAGCGATAGATCTCGGGGAATGAACTGGGCTATGACGGACATGCGCAAAGCGTTGCGCAGGAAATGCCAGAACGGATAATCATCCGATTGATCGAGGTTTTTGAAATTGGCGGACAACTTGCCCGTGATAGCGGATGTGGTATAGTCGAAGTCGTCGAATATGTTGATCTTTTGCTCTTCTCTTTCTGCGATCCTTTCCCCAAGTGTATCAACTAAGGACATAATAATTGCGGTTTTTGTTTGGCTAGTGCTATCTTAAAGAAGCCTGGGCTCCCAAGTCATCTTTTCCGGCCGTGGGCTACAGGGTCTCGAATCTTGCTGATGTTCTTTCCTGTGACGATGACCCGTAGTCCAAAGTCCCCCGATAGATGTCGCTGCACCCGATCATATTATTCTATGCCTGTGGATTACGGAGGATGACTTGCTTTGAAGCGACTCGCAATACATCTGTTCCATGATGCTTCAGAACCCGCACGCATTGTTGTGGGAATCGACCGAAGTATCTCCGATACAAAAAGTATTAAAACGGTCAAAGCGTAATTTGAGACCCGTGGAAGCAGCTGAGTTTAAGAAGTCTCAGACAAGCCCGAGTAAGACGTCATTCCATAACAAACATCCACACACGTCGACTCTTATCAACAGGACAGTGCTGAGGCAATGATAGAGTGGCAGTTCTATGTAGACATTCTACGATGTAGTTCATTTGGCTCCCAAATATCTTGATGAACATTCTTTTTGTCCAAGTCATTTCTGCTACTTATAGGGACTGTCCTCCTGTTCTCATCGGTTAGCAACCAAGTACAAAGGGCCCATTGCAGATTAGCTCGCATACCCTTCGGACTATCCCAAGGCCGAATGAGCCGAAGATCTTCAGTTGACCTGTCCGAAAGAAAAATTGCGGGATTTCATTCATCCACGGCAGGAAACGAATTAAGAAATTGGCTAGTACACCTGATCAAGGCGCAGATGGCCTGGACCTGTTCTCAATTTCTGCACCCATGGTTTAACCTTCATCAATCGTACATTCAGAGTTCACAAATATTTGCACTATAGGACCTTGGCATGCCAATGGCGGGGCCCACTATTTTTTCTGCCGTTTGAGTTCCTCCACATCAATTCCCGTATGAAGATCCTAATTAACAGGGTGCCAGCTTTCGTATCCAGTACCCTGTGCTCTACTGTAAGGTGTTACTTGGTAGTAAGGTGTTACTGGGTAGAGGATAGAGAATAAAAAGGACAGGAGTGGGGGGTTCATGTCATCGATAAAGTAAAGTATGGATAAGAAAGGAAGGCGGTGTATGCCGGACCACAGTGCAGATACTAATGACGGCTACTGTAGACGTCATACCAAATTTACCATCCCCGCTTGTCACATATTTCAAATCCCGAGCCATATCCGATCGAGTAGATTATCATTTGCAGGCTTCCGCTCCGGACTATTATTGTTTTGGAAGAGTGCTAAGAGTTGAATCACTTCGAATCAAAGGGGTCTTAAAAGCCAGAATGCATAGACAACTGTAAAACGGCTGAGGAAGAGCAGTCTGTCGCTCAACCTCATCAAGCTTCGCATGCTCATCTTGCCAGCTCCGGCAGTGACCTGATCATACGAAGACCTTTTGCCCGCCTGAACTAACATGTATATGTGAGCTTCTCGAACTTCACAATCGAAATTCTGAGATATTCTTCCTATTGCACGCAGCCTGTCACGGTCTCAGGCAGGGATCGACATATCCGTCACCTGGGCAGCAGATTGCGGGAGACATCAGCGATGGCGGAGTTGTACGGAGCTACCTAAAGATGCCAACCCGACAATCGCCATAGACGAGAGCCTACCTACCGGCTGGCTGTCATTTTCTTCAGAGAATTAAGGAAGTTTCGGATCCCTATTCTCATTTATTTTTTGGTTCCTCTACACATCTTGTCGAATATACTATTGCCATAATCGTAATTCATTTTAAAGAATAAGTAAATCTAAACCCGTGACTCCAATCTCTAACTCTGAAATACTCAGGGCATTCAATAAGCTGAGAACAACACTGCACATGTTTAGCTTCTGCCCATAGCAATGCTTCAGCCGAGATAACTAGTTATAAGAAATCGCCTGAAATGCAAACTGATCCCTGCACTCATTCACCATCGTATGTAGGCATGACAACATCTCCTACCATGACTGTCCTATGGTCTGGCCACGACTCAAAGCGTTCCGTCTCCTCTGAAGCAAGTGCGGCATATTTACCAAAACAGACTTTGCCGTTTATATTTCTGGTTTTAGCAAGGGTAGAAAATGGCTCGTCACATCGTAGACCCGTAAATTGGTCGATACAGACCATTTGGCACCGTTGACATGCGTCCAACACATCAACACGGAGCTGATCTGGGCCGATGCGAAGAGAGGACCAGTGGTCCTCAGCGTAAGGCTGTTCCGCATCTCCGAGCTGAGCGAGTCGTTCTGCCACGACTATATTGCCTCGAAAAACATCTGCGGCAACAGCCTTACCTCCGCCAGTGCCATGCTTCGTGTTTGCTTTAATTGTTTCGTTGAGACGATTGACAGATGAGCGCGAGACGACTAGAATTGGCATCTCGTTCGAAAGCAGAAGAGATTTTCCGTTTACCTCGCGGGCTGGAGGAGGAAGGTCAGGCGGGAATGAACCAGGCATGATAAACTTGCGGAACCTGCTTCTCCACGTGCCAGACAGACGACGTGGCTGTGAATATCGGTTGGCAGTTTGGGAAGGGAACCGGGCCAGAGTACAAGGAACACCCAGAAAGTCGGAAAAGAATGCAGACACCACCGGTGAAGCATAAGCATGCAGGGGAATTTGAACTCCACATATCATAGACGACCTTTTTGTGTTTGAGCATAACGAGGTAGAAATGAGACTTGTGTCCTCCCAGCCAAGAGAGATCTCGAGGCTCACTTGGTCGGTCAGAACACCACAGGTGATACGCAGGACACCCCGATCAAGATCAATCGCAGGGCGAATGAGAGCCATGCGCGGGTAGCGCTTTTGGTTCAATGCTGCCCCGGTCCCTTGGTGGATCAGGCACCATTCTCGATCCCAAGCCAGTCCTTCTCTTTTGACCTCCCAGGGTTTGCCCTCGGGGATTCTGAAGGCACCACAGCTCTTAATGGGAAACACTGAAAGGCTTTCAATGTAAAAGTGCCTTCCGACGACATCAGTCGCTTCAAGAGGCGGATTCAATGCAACAATGGAAGGGATCTTCTCCACATAAAACTCCTCAACAAAGTCAACCAGCGAGTCGATGTCCTTCATGTTAGTCATTGCACCTAAACTGACACGCAGAATGCCTGTCGGCCGCCCACCCAAAATGTCGTGGGCGTCTCCGCAACGCAATCCAGTAGAGTAATGACGGCGCAGGTCTGCGCCCGTCCACCCAAGAGAGCGTGCAGTACCTCCCGGGTTGCAAACCGATCCAGTCCGGATTTGGACATTTTGGATGGTGGCCAGCTTCTCCACCTCGGTCTTGGGAACCCATTCGCCCTTGCTATTTCGTATATTGAACGCAATAATAGGACCTTGAGTGGTAGGACATCCATAAGCGGAGTTAGTTTGGTAGATCTGGCACGCAGTTGTCTCATTCCAATGGGTCAAGACAGAAAGTCGGTCGTAGAGTCGCTTGGCCAGGAACGCAGTATGCGCGGAGATATTTGCCATCGAGCCATAGAGGCGCTTATGGGTATCAAGGGCGGCATCCAGAGCCAAAATGCTATGAAAAGGCAGCGTGCCGTCCTCAAGGCGCTCGTGGATAGAAATTTCTTTCTTTGCGTGCCACTGTGCACCTGCTGCGATGACCATATCCACAGTGCCGCCACCAAAGTACCTGCGTCTCTCAAATACACGGGCAGCACTCTTTCGGACGATCAAGGCGCCTAGATCTGGGAATCCAAAAATTTTGTAGAAGCTGAGCGCGGTAAAGTCTGGCGCCGCTAAGCCAATGTCAAGCGGCGCCGTCGACACCAGCGAAGCTGCATCGAGTAGTGTGTAGACATTTCCTCCGCATTCCTGTGCTGCCGAACGAACCTCCTTACACCACCGGAGAGGAAGGCGACGACCATTCATATTGGATTGTGCCGGGAATGCAAAGAGTTTAGGTGCCTTTGTCTGTAGACTGAGTAGCTCAGGGATCCAAGCGTCTACTTCGGCATCGTTTTGGAAACATTGATGGCCCATATCCGCCAATTCACGCACCCCGACCACACTCGTGTGGGAATCGATATGATAGCTATACCAAAAGCCGCGGTGGTCGGAGTCCCGTAGCGAATCAGCGACAAGCTTTATGGCTGCAGTTGCATTTGCCACAAAGACCAGATCGAACTCCTCTGGGTCCGCGTTGAAGAATTGGAGGACCCGTAGGCGAATATCGTCCGTTCGTTGCGTGGATAGCTGCGATGACAGAGACATCGAATGAGGGTTTCCAAATAGATTGGATGTCATATTCTTCGAAAAATCCTCAATCATAGACTTCGCATATGGCGTTGTGCCTGCGTGATCAAGATATGTTGTCTCTATACAGGCCAGGATGGCCACAATCAGCATGAGGTTTATTAAACTGAGGTCAAAGTATCTATACCATTCAATAGGGGATACTCTTGCTCTCGGATGGTATCCACGTCTGCAGAATAACCCTGGCCATATCCAGCCTGGGGATGTTCTGCCCCGGTGGGTACCGTCATGATGGAGGGAGAAAAGGGGCAGTCTGCAGGGTGAGGGCTGGAAATGCCCGTTCCGGATCCCCTGCAAGACTGCAGGAACCAAAGCCAAAGTGGTAGATCTTGAGCAACACGTCACAAAAGATGTTGCTAGACAAACACTTTATAGCCGCCGCTAGCAAAGTCTGTGTCTAAGGCAGACCACCGGTCAGTCACGCATTCGACTAAAGTATGGGACGCGAGTATCAAAAAAGCTTCCAGAAATAGACTGCATCTTCGCGCAGCAATAGTACAATGGAAAACGGTTTCGAGACGTTAAGAGAGGGGTGGTACAGCAGATAAGGCAGATAACTATAAACGGTCGGAGCTTACCGAGAATTGTCAGCCGCTTGGAGAAGGTGTGGAGCTCATTTACACATGAGCGAGTACTGGTCTTCTTGAGAGATATAATTATTGTAACCAGCAGGGCCCGCCATTGCTTTTATAAAAGATGCGCGCGGCAGGAGGGGCAACGATCGTTGAAGCGGATGAAATGGCCATCTCCTCCGCGTCGCCGGTGGCAATACATGACATGGGCATATCATGTGACTGGGGCAATACCTTGTGGGTTTGCCCTTGCGGGGATGAGCCTGTGCGCACGTCTCCCAGTTGCTCTTCCAGGCATGTCCACGCACACTGCGCTGGCATGTCGCCCATGTCGGAGCTGAATGTCGGAGCTGACGGCTGATGGGGGCCACAGTAGTTCGTCCGCCCCATATTTCTCTACAAACTTGGGTTCGCGTAAATCTAGTGCGGTCGATCTGGTTCCCTACATCGGCATAGGTACCTAATCATACAGAACCGGATCCAGCCCGCCAACCACGACTGCAGGGTACATCTGCGGTCGCGAACTAGTCTATTCCTGCTGTTTCTTCTGAGCCCTAGCATTCAAACCAAGCAGGCTACCTGCCCGCAACACTATTGACTAGCTGTCTTCCGTCTACGTACGTACCCGAGGTTGTAGCCATGTCAGCTTACCATCTAATGTCAGGTCCTAAACAATCGCCTAAAATACCAAGACTTGGGGCCAGATATCGAAGCTGTAAGCCACGGCGGCTCAAGGACGGCCGTGCCCGAGCTGAAAACAGCACATTCGCTTGAAGAGCTGGAAAACGCATCGCCTTAACTCGGAATGCAACGATAAGAACAATCAGTTTGAAGGATTCCAACCTCAACGAGCTTCGCATTGGCCCCCAGCCCCGAGATGACAAGTATATGCCGCAATTTCAAGCACCGGACCCAGACTCTTGTGGGCCCTTTTTCAGCGCTCGCTACAAGCCAAAAACCCGTCGTTTCAGCTCCAATGAACCGGCCTACTATCACGCCGGCCAGTGGAGAACAAACAACGCATGCATAGGGGATTTTTGGTGATATCAGTGTCTCTGATCCAACAGGATTTCGGATGAAATAAGCCAAAATGTAAATTTTCTGGTGAGATAGCCTGAGCCAAGCCTCTCAGATATCATTGGGCAACACGCCCACGCTTCGTATTGTACAGGTGCTGATGAAATGGCGCAGATAAAAAAAAACTCCCATCCCAAACCCCTGCAATGATTCATACATGTGCTTCTGCCGAGGAGATTCCATGCATGATGGAATAGGTCGAGCATTGGTGTAGAAAGAAATAGCAAGAGTGGACCAATGAGGAACGATCGAAAGAAATAAAAGAATATTTTCAGCCAGAGCGCCCCATTTACCGCTTCGGCCACTGTCGCCAGCCGCGACCATGACCTCTCTACAGATCGAAGTTAGTTCTGTCCCAATAATCACAACAATTGCAGAGACACTCACCTGCTTCCACAATCGGATCATCTCTGGCATCTCCACCATCGCCTTACGGCGGTCCTCGAGTCTCGCTTCCATCGTCCGCTCCCACTTGTGACCCTTGACCTTCTGGCCGATACCGGTTCCCTTGATGCGCAGGCCACGCTCCGCAAGCTTGGCAGCCTTGTATTCCGTGGACTTGGGCCCAGGAGGCAGGAGTGGCTCGACGTTGTATTTAACGGCCAACTTCACCAGATCTGCCTGTTGCCGCAGCCCATATCGGGGACCAATCCACTTTTTGGAGTTGAAGATCTTCCGCGGCAAGAATGGGTTCTGGTTTTTAGGGTCATTGTACAAAAGTGCACGGGAAGATGAGAAAGCCTCGGGATCTGGCCGGTGAGCACCCTTTGCTTCACGATCGGGTGTGTAGGGCGAGGGAAGGGTCTGGTCTGCGGAAGCTTCGCTCTCCGGGGGAGTCGGACGTGGTGCGACAAGGGAGGAGTAGAGCTGTGGCGGGTAGCGAGCGAAGAAATTGCGAAGGCGAGTAGGCAGCGCGCCCACGTTCTGAGTAAGGGAGGACATCGTCGCCGTGAGAAGTGCGTCAACTGAGACCGTGGGTGTTCACGATGTTTGGATGATGGGCCCCCGATAAAAGTTGAAGCCGCTGGCCGCGGGACGCTAAACCCCGACGGGTAGTGTTACCGCCTTGTGGCCTGAGGCCGCCAGACTTCCCATCTCGTCTTTTCCTTCGGCTCCAGTTTTCAGTCGGTTTCAGCCTGAGCATCCCTTTACACCCGCCATTGTTACCAGCACTACCATCTTATCCCTAGTGATCGGTACCTCTCACAACCTCTGCCATCGTTGTTTTATTGCGCGCCTATCTAAAACTGCTGCCATCATGGCGGACTACCACTTCGGAGGCTCAGAAGAGGAGAATGCGGAGTTGAGGAAGCTTGAGACCGAGCTGGTACGTCCGAAGCGCGCACGCACCCGTAACCTATGTCTCTGATTCTTACTGACACCTTATATAGGTTGATGATCCAGATAACTTCGAGACCTGGGAGAAGCTCGTGCGCGGCGCCGAAGCCCTCGAGGGTGGTATCAATCGCAACTCCAACCCGCAGGCAATCACTACCGCGCGCAACGTTTATGATCGCTTCCTGGCCAAGTTTCCTCTCCTTTTTGGTTATTGGAAGAAATATGCCGACCTCGAATTCTCGATTACCGGTACCGAAGCTGCAGAGATGGTATGGGTCCTTCCCCAGCCCCCAGCATTTTGCATTCACAACCTCGCACCCCGGTTACATTTGCTGACGGTACTGGATATAGGTCTATGAAAGAGGCATCGCCAGTATCTCCCCTTCGGTGGATCTCTGGACCAACTACTGCTCCTTCAAAGCCGAGACCTCCCACGACGCAGACATCATTCGAGAGTAAGTATAACGATGCTATTTCCTTCCCTTTTCCTGTAACCGTTACCGATGCAGCTCGCAAAAAGCCTGTGTGGTGCCGATTGTGTTTGCAACATGGATATGTGCCGGTCATAGCAGTTTCATTGATTATGGGTGAGACACCGTCGCCTTACCACCCAGACTCAAGTGGTGTTTACTTCTCACCCATGGCTCATCCAGGCTGCTTTCCTTCTCCACGTGACAAAAGACATTCTTCCTCCTACCCGGACCAGTTTCGTTCGATGGCCCCCCCTCTTAACCCTGCGCACGAAGCACTGGCTGCTTTCCCCATAGCTTGCTCACCCTCGTTGATTTCCGGGCCTGTCATAAAGTGACAGAGTTATCACTTATGTTTGCCCCGTTATTTCTTCCTCCCCTCACACTTCCCGATCCTTCCAGCACCAACAAAGTCTCTGAATATGCCATGCTAACATTGAATTGAAACAGCCTATTTGAACGTGGCGCTAGCTGTGTCGGCCTGGACTTCCTGGCACACCCGTTCTGGGATAAGTATATCGAGTTCGAGGAACGTGTCGAGGCACAGGACAAGATCTTTGCCATTCTTGGACGGATCATCCACATCCCGATGCACCAGTATGCACGCTACTTTGAACGTTATCGCCAGCTCGCTCAAACTCGCCCCCTGGTAGAGTTAGCACCCGCGGAAACCATGTCCGAGTTCCGCTCAGAGCTCGAGGCTGCTTCGTCTCAGGTTCCCCCCGGCGCCAAGGCTGAAGCTGAGATTGAGCGTGATCTCAGACTGCGCATAGACAACTACCACTTGGAGGTGTTTTCAAAGACCCAGACTGAGACTACAAAGCGCTGGACCTACGAGTCGGAGATCAAGCGGCCATACTTCCACGTGACCGAACTGGACGAGGGCCAGCTCACAAACTGGAAGAAATATCTCGATTTTGAGGAGTCTGAAGGTTCGTTCACCCGTATTCAGTTCTTGTATGAGCGCTGCCTCGTGACATGCGCCCACTATGAGGAGTTCTGGCTCCGTTATGCACGATGGATGGCTGCTCAATCGGGCAAGGAGGAAGAGGTGCGGATTATCTACCAGCGTGCCAGCTATCTCTACGTTCCCATTGCGAACCCGACGGTTCGGCTGCACTATGCCTACTTCGAGGAGCTGTCAGGCCGGACAGACGTAGCTAAGGATATCCACGGTGCTATCCTCATGAACCTCCCCAGTCATGTCCAGACTATCATCTCTCTGGCTAATTTATCTCGGCGCCACGGCGGCCTCGAGGCAGCCATTGAGGTCTACAAGACCCAGTTGGACTCGCCCGAGTGCGAAATGGCTACCAAGGCTGCGCTTGTTGCCGAGTGGGCTCGTCTCTTGTGGAAAATCAAGGGCGCTCCCGACGATGCTCGCAAAGTGTTCGAGGAGAATCAGCAGTATTACCTCGACAGCCGCCCCTTCTGGGCCAGCTATCTCATGTTCGAGATTGAGCAGCCCACCAGCGCCGCGACTGAGGCGTCTCAGTACGACCGCATCAAACAAGTGATCTCTGACGTGCGCTCTAAGAGCACTCTACTCCCCGAAATTGTCAAGGAGCTTGTGCAAATCTACATGGCTTACCTCCTCGAACGAGGCACCAAGGATACCGCCAAGGAGTACATGACTCTGGATCGTGAGGTGCACGGCCCGGCATCTGTGGCTGCTGCTCGCACAGGTGGCACTGTTGTGGTTCCTCCGACTCCTGCTGACATACAGCCTATGGCCGTTCCCCCGGTGCAACAGCCCACTCCTGACCAAGCCGCTGCTACTGCTGAGGCTTATGCTCAGTGGCAACAGTACCAGAGCCCTGTTAACGGTAGCTCGGCCGCCTAAGGTATCGGCTTTGTCCGTAGCCATTGCAAGGGCTGCAGTTCTCATCATGTCTCGTTTATGAACCCTTTCATCCTGGCGGCTTTCTTACTAGGCTGTCTGCTTTCTTTGCTGGGTTTCTGATACCTTATCTACCCGGGTGGGTGACTTTCTTTCCATGTAGCATCATGTTCTTGCCGATACCAGGCATTGTTCTCGTTTCCTGCAGGTTTGTTAGCGATTTTGATGCGCCGAAAGGGCTTTTTTCTTTTGCTCAGACGGGTCTTATATTCGGTTTCCTATCCTCTTTCCCATATCAGGGCCCCTTTGTGATTGGAGCAAGATGGGTGATCCCGTCCGGAATCGTTGTACTTTAGTTGCCCTTTTGTTTCCAATGAATCTGATTCGGTGCGCTTCATCTCTCACTATCTCAAATCGAACGTTCGCATTTCGTTGCTTTGTATCACGTGATAACGCGTCTGGTCGTCTCCGTCCGCCGTAGAAATTCGAGATCCAGATGCTCGTCTCGCCGCTTGTTCCACCTTCACGGCCATTACTTTGCTTTCGCGTCTAGGCAACTATGGAAGGCATAGTGACCAACGGCTCTGATGGAGCTTCTTTTGGTCCTCCCCCAGATCCCGTTGAGCGTCCGCCAACCCCACCTCCACCTCCTCCTGAGGACTCGGGCGCGCCTCCACCGCCGCCAGACCATGCGGTCCCTCCGCCTCCCCCAGAAGATGCGCCGCCCGCACCTCCAACGGAAGCTAAGAGTAAGAAGCTAGGGTGGGGAGCAAAAAAGCCAGCGGTGGCTCCGCTGAGCGTGGAAGACCTTATTCGGAAGAAGAAGGAGGCCGATGCAGCAACTGCGAAGGTATGTTTGTCTTACGATGTGACTATCGTGCAATCGCGAAATGCGGAATCATTTATTAACGTTTTGTTTATTCATATACAGCCGAAGTTTTTATCCAAAGCCGAACGAGAGAAACTTGCGCTGGAGAAACGGGCCAAAGAAGTGGAGGCTGAACGGCAAGCTAAGGTGATATCAAACGGTGGCAAAAGTAACGGGGTTTCATCCGAGTCACGACCCGCGAGAGTAGAAGATGTGGACAACTATCGCAGAGATCCAAGTGGACGCGTTCCTACTGGACCTCGTGCCATGCGCGGCAACGTCCCAGCAGGGCCAGGCGCTTCACGCAACGGAAAGGCGTCGCGGAATCGCGACCTGGACCCGCCGCCTCCCCCAAGGCCGAAGAACCCCAAAGCCGACAAGCGCCTAGCGGAGGAAGATGAGGCTACAGCACAAGCAGCGCTCGTGAAGCAGCGATATATGGGAGCGGATCAGACCTCGAACTTCTCCGCAAAGAAGAAGCGCAAGCGTACGACGGACCGGAAGTTCAACTTTGAGTGGAACGTTGAGGAGGACACCAGTGGCGATTACAACCCGTTATACCAGAGCCGACACGAAGCGAACTTCTTTGGCCGCGGCCGATTGGCAGGTTTCGGAGAGGATGTGGCGGATAGTATGGCGCGCAAGTACGCGCAAGCACTGGAGACCCAGGATCATGAGTCTGGTGGTATGCGTGCTAAAGAAATCTTGGAGATGGAGCGTCGCCGCCGTGAAGAGAGCACGCGCAACCAGCTCGACAAACACTGGAGCGAGAAGCGGCTGGACCACATGCGCGAGCGAGACTGGCGTATCTTCAAGGAAGATTTCAACATCGCCACCAAGGGTGGTAGTGTGCCCAATCCGATGCGGTCATGGGAGGAAAGCCAGCTGCCGAAGCGTTTGCTGGAGCTCATTGACCGTGTTGGTTACAAGGAGCCTACCGCCATTCAGCGTGCGGCTATTCCAATCGCTCTGCAATCCCGCGATCTCATCGGTGTTGCTGTGACCGGATCCGGTAAAACAGCTGCATTCCTGCTTCCGCTGCTGGTATACATCTCAGAACTACCACGGCTGGATGAGAATGAATGGCGCAAGAACGACGGACCGTACGCCATTGTCCTCGCGCCTACTCGTGAGTTGGCCCAGCAAATCGAGATTGAAGCCAAGAAGTTTACACAGCCACTGGGATTCAACGTCGTTAGTATTGTTGGTGGTCACTCGCTTGAGGAACAAGCTTTCAGTCTGCGCGATGGCGCAGAAATCATTATAGCCACTCCCGGTCGTCTCGTCGACTGTATTGAGCGCCGGATGTTGGTTCTCGGCCAATGTTGCTACGTGATTATGGATGAAGCTGATCGCATGATCGACCTGGGTTTCGAAGAACCCGTTAACAAGATTCTTGACGCTCTTCCAGTCACTAACGAAAAGCCTGACACTGAGGAGGCCGAGAACCCACGCGCTATGAGCCAGCACCTTGGCGGACGAGACCGGTACCGCCAAACAATGATGTACACGGCCACCATGCCTGCCGCTGTTGAGCGCATTGCGCGCAAGTACTTGCGCCGTCCCGCTATCATCACCATTGGCGGTGTTGGCGAAGCCGTCGACACTGTCGAGCAACGCGTCGAGATGATTCCTGGCGAAGACAAGCGCAAGAAGCGACTCGCCGAGATTCTCTCATCGGGCGACTTCCGACCTCCCATCATTGTCTTTGTCAACATCAAACGCAACTGCGATGCCATCGCGCGCGAAATCAAACAAATGGGCTTCTCCTCTGTTACCCTGCATGGTTCCAAAACTCAAGAACAGCGTGAAGCCGCCCTGGCCTCCGTCCGAAGCGGCGGTACCGATGTTCTGGTCGCCACCGATCTCGCCGGTAGAGGTATCGATGTGCCGGACGTCTCCCTTGTCGTCAACTTCAACATGGCTGGTTCCATTGAGAGCTACACCCACCGTATCGGTCGTACTGGTCGTGCGGGCAAGAGTGGTGTTGCTATCACGTTCCTGGGTAGCGAGGATTCCGATGTCATGTACGTTTTCTGCATCCTTTTTTCTCTATTATTTTTGGCTTTGATTATGAGACTGACTTCAAATTTAGGTACGATCTCAAGCAAATGCTTACCAAATCTCCTATCTCCCGTGTGCCCGAGGAATTGCGGAAGCACGAAGCAGCACAGTCCAAGCCGACGCGTGGCCAGGGCAAGAAGATCGAGGACAGCTCTGGATTCGGAGGAAAGGGAGGGTGGGCGTAAATGTTTTTTGGTTCGTTTGTATTATTTTCAATCTATACCATTTCCCGCTGTTTCGATGGGCTCAGGTTGGCTAGTTGAGGCGTCTGTGCAATCTACTACACGAGATTGACGGATTTCGTCACTTTGCTTATTTCAAAATGCACCTAGTAAAATATTCAGCCGTGAGATTACTGTAAGCATCCGTCGTTAAAAATACTTTAACTAAGAATCGCATCGAACATAGAATACTAATCCAATCTAATTTTTCTAGCTCTGGTTTACTTTGCCCAGCAGAGTTGGTACTAGGTGATTCTGTGCCAGCTAATAGATAAATGAGTATAGTGTAGAGATATTGATGTCAAACGAGAGTGGCGGAGACTTGCAAAACACAACCCGTGTGCCATCGCCTGGACATGCTTAACTAGATTTAAGAAAATAGAAAAATCACAATAAAAAGCCACAAACCTCGAAACCAAACTGCCTTATCCAAAGGGAAATAGAATGACCCCGGCGCGCCAAACGAACGAACTCACAGCTTGCTCTGGAGATACTGATTGTTCTTCAACCAGGACTCAACGTCCTCGCGGTCACGCTTCAGCCAATTGACCTTGGCGCGGATGGCGTCCAGGCTTTGCTCGACGGCACGATCGAAGCCCTATAACCGCATCGTTAGATATGAATGTTCACAAGAGATATACTGAGTGGGAGAAGACGATGTATTACCTTGGTGTCCTTGGCACCGAAGAAGTCCTCGACGTCCTTCAGCTGGGCCTCTGTGGAGAAGCTAGAGGAGCAGAGCTGCACGACAGTGCCCAGCATGCCAAGAGATGGCGGCAGACGCTTGTAGATACTGTCCCAGTTCTCCTTCATCCAAGTCCAGCGAGCGTCAATACCTGTTGCATGGTTGCGGAGACCGGCCAGGGGCATGTAAATATCCTGGTTTCTAACCTCATCACCCAATGCCAGGTCGAGAGTCCGCTTGATGAGAGCCGGGTCTTCAGCGGTACCAAGGCAGCGCAGAGCAGTGGTCTTCTCATCGGAGGTAGCAGCATGGCGGAAGCGGTCGAGAACGACCTCGTACTCCTTGGCGCCGCCGAACTTCAGAGCAATGCTGAAAACACTGCCGCGGATGTTGGGGTGAATTGCAGAGTGCTCGCCAGCAGCGAAGCGGGCAAACATGTCCTGTGCAGCCTTGAGGACGACGGGGTCGCCGGCGTGACCAGCGCAGCCGAATACGAGAGCCTTGAGCTGCTGCAGAACGTGGCCATCCTTTTCGGAGAACTCCCATCCCAGCTCGTGGGCCTTGGCCGAGACCAGCTCACGCTGGAAGGTCAGGAGAGCATCCGTAGTTTCGGTGGGCTCGAAGATCCAGGCAGCACGGAGAACGCCAATGCGGGTGAGCATCTCGTTCCAAACAATGAACTCGGTCTCGGTGTCCAAGCCCTTGAGCAGCGAGAGCAGGCCGGAGGTCTTCTGGTAACCAGATGAAGCCAGGGCACCCGAATCGGCAATCAGACCGGCGCGATCCTCGGTAGTAAGCAAGCCATCCCTGGCAGCCTGACCCAGCTTGGTGAGGCGCTCGGGGGAGTAGGAGGTACGGTAGATGCCAGAGTGGTCAGCATTGACCTTGAAGAAATCCAGATCAGGAACCTTGAATTCATGCTCACGCTCAGTCAGCATGGTGTTCTCATCAACACCCTGCTTAGTACGCAATCCAAGCATGCAGGGATACAGAGTCTGGTCCTCCTCCGGACGGACGTCACCGGTACGCAGGAAGCGGTTTTGCTTCAGTTTGATGGACGAGGAATTAGGGTTCTCGGTCACGCTGATGACAGGGAAGCCGACGTTCTTGGTCCAGATCTCCATGACAGACTTGACAGGCTTGCCACTGGCGTCGGCCAAAGCAGACCAGAGGTCACCAGTCTCGGTGTTTCCATAGGCGTGCTTTTTGATGTAGTTGCGAACACCCTGGAGGAAGACATCCTCGCCGAGGTACTTGGAGATCATGCGCAGCACGGAGGAGCCCTTGGAGTAAGAGATAGCATCGAAAATCTGGTTGATCTCATCAGCACGCTTGACGGGCACCTCGATAGGGTGGGAGGCGCGCAACGAGTCGAGGGCCAGAGCACTCTGCAGGTTATCAATGACGTATGTCTGCCAGACCTTCCACTCGGGATAGAAGGCGTTGCACGAGTACCAAGACATCCAGGTAGCGAAGCCCTCGTTGAGCCAGAGGCCATCCCAGAAATCCATGGTCACCAGGTTACCGAACCACTGGTGGGCCAATTCGTGCTGAACAGTCTCGGCGATTCGCTCCTTACGCGAAGCGCCGCTGTTCTTCTCATCAAGCAGGAGATCGACGATACGGTAGGTGATCAGACCCCAGTTCTCCATGGCTCCGGCGCTGAAGTCGGGCACTGCCACCATGTCCATTTTCGGGAGCGGGAAATCACTGTCAAAGGCCTTCTCGTAGAAAGCCAGAGTCTTGGCAGCAAGCTCGAGGGAGAAGCGGCCGTGCTCGATATCCTGGTCAGGTGTAGCGTAGACACGAATGGGAACGCGGAAGTTCTTGGTCTCGACATAGTTGAGGTGTCCCACAATGAAGGCAACCAGATAAGTGGACATGAGGGGCGAAGTGTTGAACTTGACGGCCTTCTTCGCACCGTCCTTTACATCGGTCTCCGACGCAACATCCATATTGCTCAGGCACGTCATGTCCTTGTCCGCAATCAGAGTCACCGTGAACTTGGCCTTGAGAGCGGGCTCGTCAAAGCACGGGAAGGCACGGCGGCAATCGGTGGGCTCCATCTGGGTTGACGCAATGTACTCGGTCTTGCCATCCTTTTTGTATGCCGACCGATAGAAGCCAGCCATGTTGTCGTTCAGGATACCGGTGAAGGTGAGGGTTAGCTGCGCATCGGCGCCGGCGGAGATAGCCTGGTTGAGCTGGATGGTGGCGACCTGGCTGTCCTTGTTGAAGGCGATTTCAGGCTTCGACTCGATCACCGAGCCCTTGGAGTGAACGACGGCACTGTGAATTTCGATCTCATTGGAGTTGAGGGAAATGAAGTCCGTGTCCTCGTTGACCTGGAGGCTGGGTATACAGGTCAGCACTGGACATAAACCGGGAACCTCGGAATTGCATACTCAATCACTACGGTTCCATTGTATTTGAAGGTCTTGAAGTCCGGCTCGAGGGTCAGATCGTAGTGCACCGGCTTCACGTTAGTAGGGAGGACTTGACGGCCTTGGACATTGGTCGAGCCCGAGGACTCGTCGCGCCGGGAGCTGCACATTCTGCGGTAGGAGCAGTAGCGCTTGGAGGTCTGCGAGAGGGGTGAACGGGAGGATCGAGATGGAATGGAACGAGGGCGAGAGAGCAGGCTCGGAGTTGGAGCTGAGCGAGGGGCGGAGACAAAGAGGGGGAGGGGTCTGGCGGAAAGAAGCGGAGGCTTTGCTTGAAGCAACGCACGCGTGGAGAAACGGCGCATCGGCAGGTCAACAACCCCAATACCAATGGGGGGAGAAAAGAAGAAAAAAGAATAAAATACACGGGACCAAGACACCCAATTAATATACAAAGTTAAAAACGAACAATGAATGACCGCATCGACCAAAGCACCGGAGAACAATCGATTCAGAATCGAAAAGGATGAACCTGCCAAAACCTGGGCAGAACGGGGCGGTGAACCCGCTGGCCGCGCATCCTTTTGCCGCCCTTTTTTTCCTTTTACTTTCTCTCTTCTTCACCTCACGCAAGTCTCAACCAGCGCATGCCCCGATTCTTCCACGGCAGTCGACTGTGGAGTAGCCTACGGGCTACTCCTCCTTGCAAGACTATGCACCAGTCAGTTTGAGGGGCCTATGACACACAGCTCTGCTGCTTCCCTGGATAGGCATCCATAGAGTACTGGGACATGCATTCCTGGCAATTGGCCTTTGGAGTTGGATCCATTGGTTCAGAACCCTGTTCTCCGCTATCCTTGCGCAGATTTTTCGAGCAATCTCGCGTGGCTTCACTTGCCATAGGCTACGCTACTAGTAGCAGCCACCGAACGCCATGGTACCTGCAAAGTTATCCACTTTGGATGTTAGTGTAGATAAGAAAGTCTCCATTTATGTTACACCGAGCTCCACATATACCCGCGTAGTTGTCAGTATAGAGCATCTATCTAAGAAGTCTAAGAGCGCCCTGCAGCAGCTTTTGGCAGTCGAGTAAACACGGTGCGAGACCAGCCGTCCGCATCCACCACCGACTCCTTGACAAGCACATAACCGCCCCACCGTGGCAAAAGGACGGCCCAGACAAGGTAGTATAATGCCCCAAAAGCAAACAATCCCAGAGCCACAACACAATGCAGGTAATATGGCAGCTGCTCATAGACGTTCTGGCCGGCGTCAGGTGGCACATAGGGAGCCACCACCAGGTACAAATTCGACAGCAGGAAAAAGACAGTGACGGGGAGTGTCGCTCGGATTCCAGGGTTCCAGTCGGGAAACTTGGAGCTCTTATTCAAGTAGATATAGATGAGGCCACCGGACACGAAAACGTTGACAATTGATAGGGGGTATGAGATGAGGCTGGAAGATTGGTTAGCTCATGTGTGTAAGTGCTGTGGGTGTGAAGGATTACTTGAGGAGGAAGTTATAGGCATCGCCAGGTGGAGGAGCCAGCAAAATAATGGCCGACATAATATAGTGCTCAAGAAGGCCCGCAGCTGGGGAATGGAAAGGCCAGTTACTAGCAAAGAACTTCGAGAAGGGCAGGATACCCTCCCGGCCGAGCTCTTGGACAACTGTGTAACTCCCATCAGTAAATAGAAGTATATGGGCTTTGATGGACACATACTTCGACCTTGCGAGAATAGCACGGACAACACGTTGCCGAATGCGGATAGGGCCACAAAGACCGACATGACCTTCTCAGCTTGCTTGCCGAACATATTCCTAAAGAACGCAGCAGCAACCACGGTGCCAGACTCGAGCATCTCCTCCTTCGATACTGCGGCAAAATAGGCGATGTTGACAAACATATAGAGAATGCCAACAGAGACGATCGCAAGTGGTGCCGCGATCTTCAAGGTGCGGACTGGGTTCTTCGTCTCGCTCAGGACCTATAGCACATTAGACATCACCATGTACCGGACAATGTGGTATTCGCCGACTCACATAGTTGGCATTGGAGTATCCAATGAAGGACCAAATAACATTGTACAACGCCATGACAATGCTGTACCCACTAGGTTTTGTCCCTTCAAAGGCATTCCGGAAATTATGCGGCGTCTCGGTCTTCGTATGCCCAGCTAGTGCGGCCCAGCCCGCGACCACGATGAACAAGACGATAATCAATTTGATTATACCGAGCAAATTGGAAAGACGAAGACCCCACTTGAGAGCCGTCGAGTGCACGAGAAACGCCGCGGTGAGACAGCTCAGCCCGATACCACGCTGGTTCCATCGATCGACTTCGATATCAGCTGCGTTGAGAATATACTGACCAAAAACTACGCTGTTGCTTGCAGCCCAACCTAATAAGAAGGCGTAGGCGGCGAACATGGCTGTGGCCAGGAACTTGGGTTTCTTGTAGACGTATTCGAGGTAATTCTTCTCGCCTCCATTTCTGATACTCCGGTGAGCATTGTGTCTTCTTCTCAAGTTTGGGTTCGAGCAGGGTTTGAACATACTTCGGAATAGCCGTGCCCCATTCCAGGTAAACCGCAGTTCCTGCCATGGCAATAAAAGTGCCAATCACCCACATGATAAGTGAGAGACCAACACTGCCCGACAGAGCTAAAATAGTACCCGGTGTCGCGAAGATGCCAGTTCCAATAACACGGTTGAAGATCAGTAACGTTGCACTGACTACGCCGATTTGACGACGATTTTCAGGGGATGCCTCGAAAACATTTCCTTCGTCTATAGACCGTCGTCTCCGTCAGAGCATATCACTTTGAACGCCAACACATCATTCCCAAGACATACAAAGACCAGAAATCCCATCCGCGGGTTTCGGCCCATCTCCACCATGTGGGGGTATTGCACCGTAGTTGGCAGACTTATTCGGGCTCGCCTCGATGGCAACTAATCCAGCGGGCTTCAGCATGCTGGAATCGGGGACTTTTCGCTGGTGCAAATAGTTTCGCAAATCCGCTATCTACCCGCTTATATTATTTTGTGGTTGGCGGCTAGCAACGGGATGATGTGCTGGCGCTAAAAGTGGTGCAATATGATTGATTCAGCCTAGGCAGGATCCCACCTTAAAAAAACCCGACCGGAGTGAGATGCGCCGCCTCAAGACCCCTCGAGAAACCATATACTCTAATTTGTGGGCTTTCTAGAAGGCAGCGATGCCTCATTTATTTGGTCCACTTTACAATGGAAGCGTTCGAGAAGGAAAAATCGTGGTTATAGCCCGCACGTTACGCCCGACCGGGCCGAATCTAGTTCAGGTCGGCTTCCCGCAAGCAAGACGCACGATAGATCGCGTCACCCACATCAACCAGAGGGGGCGAAGAAGCGATAGTGATCAATCTACTGTTCAATGCTCTTATGCCATGCTGAGAGTCTCTCTCATCTTCTCCGGGAAGTTCATTCCCAGCACAAGAACGGTGGCTTCTCAAAGGCTGGGGGCCGAGCACAGTCCAACTCAAGGGCCGAACTAGATTCCCGAGATGGATGCGGGAAGGGCTTGACGCGAAACTGCAGGTTAATCCGACGGCAAGAAGCATTACTAGCACGTAGAGCCCTCGCTCATATTTTTACTACTATAGTACACAGAATTGAAGCGACCAGTCCAACCCTTTGACAAGAGCTGATACGATTCTACTAGAAATTATGGGACAATATTCCACCATCGACTTCGTCATCAAAACGGCGACAGTCGTCTCGGCATTCCCGCGCCGAGACGGGCCAAGGACAGCAGAGTGAAACCTTGACACGGAAACCGATCACGCCATTCCAGAACCGCGGGCTCCCACTCGATCAACTCTAGCTTTGGTAGCTGTCATAACTAGGCAACTTGGGCGGTGGCCGTGACTTGAGTGACCTCAATTGCGTCAAACGCCTCATCTAGTGTCTAGCCCCCTTCCGTTCAACATCGGCATAATCCTACCCTAACCCCAAATATAAGGTTCTTGTCTAGTAACAACAACCTACTAGTAATTAACTAATGCGCGATCGCTTGGATTGGATAGTTATTGAATAGCTATTCAATGGGTAATGATGGGTCTCGCATACGGGTTATAGTCCCGTCGGGTAAATTCTCAATCGGTTTGGAAAGAAGAGAGTATTGATTTTAGGAGTTTCATTGAATTCTGTTACGTTCATTGAAGATTTCATTGACGATCAAGGGTGTCTCATCTAAGTCGGCATGGCATATGCAACCCATCCTCTCCCATTCCATGGCCATGAACCAAAACTCCCTGATCTTGTGCATCCAAATCCGCGACAAACAACGAAGTACCAGTCTGTATACCACACAGTCCCACGTGAAACGCCGGTAGAAGCAAACCTAGTAAGGCAGAAAAAGGAATATGGTAAGAACAGCAAATAAAAACAGGCAAAAAAAAAAGAAGAAACCCAAACAGGACAAAAACTCCTCTCCCCTTCGTGCTGTGGGATATATGGCAGGGGCACTGAAAATTTGGACATGAAATAACAACATGAACACGGAAGGTATTAGCATTTCCCCGCTGAGCAGATCGGGTGGGGAAACGTGAAAAGTATAAATGCATAAGACACTGGCGCGGTTTGTATTTGAAAGCGACATTTGAGAGGTGAAAGATAGAGGATTTGGCGTGATGAGAGTGGACGAGGGAGAATCTTGAGCGAGACTACCGTGGCGGCGTAACTCCCGTGGCGTGCGACAGAGGGACCAGATTTGACGACGGCATTCGGCCACTGCCCAGAGTGGTGGTAGGTGTCGAGGTTCGCTTCGCCAGGATGGCCAGCTTCTTCCTAAGAGCTGTTAGGCGACCGCGCATGCTGGACACCACTGTTTCACACATTAGCGACCGAGCTCTTTTCAGAAATAGAAATGATAGAGAAGGAAAACTCACTTTTGACAACCACCTGTCGGTCCTCCCCTTGCAGGCCATCCACTAATCCCCTGTCGCCAAGATGAGAAGAGTGCTGCTGATGACTCGATGGGCCTGAAGAAGACTGCAATCCATCATCGTCGAGCACGGCCTCCAGCATGCGGATAGCAGTGACATAGGCAATCTCACAACCGGCAAGATCCTCACTGGTCAACTCATTGATAGCCGCAGCCCGGCTCATCTCCAACGCACGGTCATACATCAGCTTCTCAGCTGTGACGCCTGCGCTGACTACCACATCGGCGGAGCCGATGGAGGCAGCAGTAGAACCAACCGAGTGATTTTCCGGGTGACTGGGATGGTCGAGAGGCAATCGTTTTTGGCTTTCAATGAGTTTGAGGCGCACAAACTCGGCCTTCTCCAGAACCTCGTTGAATCGGCTCCGGACCCATTGCACCACGTTGTTTATCCGAGTACCAGCGAGTCCGCTGTTATCGCCTCGGCTCGACGGTTCACCGTACATATCCTCCCGGTTCTTGCGTGTCCACCAAGATCCTGCTATGTCCATGGACTTTGCTAGGAGAGACAGAGCCTTCACGTAGAGGACCAGCGCTTCTTCGGAGAGGGTCACGATGGCGTCGACCGTCAACCCATCATCAGCGGAACTATCAGGGTCCTCAGTTCCACTGAGACTGGGTCTCACGGACGGATCTGTTGGCGCTGAAGGGGCGAGTGGTATAAGTTGTTTATATTTAACCTCGGCAAACCCATAGACAACATCGCTTCGGGTGGCACATTCTTCGATAACCTGGACTGTCCTGCAGTCTTCGTCGATAGCCGCGTTGGTCTTAATCCCATCGCCCATGAGCATCAGACTTGTTTGTGCCGCAGGGTAGGCGGGAAATGGATTGTAGGCTAGAGGTGGAGACCGGCCACCCTTGGTTATAGCCAACGGAGGCGAGAATCCCATTCCGAATAGGCGGCCACTGGCCATATTAAGAGCTTTGGATATTGCCGATGTCGCCGACGTCGGGCTCTGTCCATATCGTCGCTCATATGAGTGTTGGCGTTGGTGCGTTGAGTCAGCTCGCGCACGGCCAGGTATAACCTGCATAGCTTTGGAGATATTAGTGTGTGGGGAAGTTGATGTTACAGTTTGAAGTCCCTGCGTAGTTGCACGGCGAGGCACAGCACTTCCTTGTCCGCGCGAAAAGCCGCCTTGAATACGAGGGCTGTGGGCCAACTCGTCTGCGAACGCATTAACTTCGACTGCGCGTTTCTCGACCACCACGTAGTCCCGTTCAAATGCCACCTCTTGAGCAGCACGCTCGCGCTCCTCCAGGGTTCGATTATCCTGGCCTGTCTTTGGCGAGCCCGAAAAGGTATTTCGGCTTCTCTGTCGTTCCATAGCCGCCGCTGGCGCATTTCGACCGACAAGCTCCTGGCGGCCTGGCGCCGTTGCATGGGTGATTGCACTAGGCCGATGCGGTGGTGTACTACCTCGTGCGTGCTCTCGCAAACCACCCGATGAAGGCCGGTCTGCGCTTCCTATCCGACGCATGGGTGAAGCACTTGGTGGAGTATCTGGCTTCTGACGGGTGGTGTTTGATCGATGCGGAGGCGGATATGTAATACGCTCTTCCTGATCAGTAGAGTAGGGCGAGTCCCTCCTAACGGTTGCATCAGTCTGGGCGAGTTGACCCGGTCGAGGATCAGTCCGGTCCGCGGCTAACCCAAGCTCTCCAGAGGGCGAGGGCCGCCGGTTGTTCCGAGGCACATCGTCAGCTATCAACCCCGGGATCGCCTCTGTGATGACAATGTTATTGAAGAATTCGGGGAAATTTAGTCGCTCCACGGGGTTTCGCTTCAAAAGTCCCCGAATAAGCCTCTTCATGTCATCCGAGGCCGGATTCTCTTCAGGAAATCGGATTCGATCTTCTCCCTTCTCGATTTTCCGCAGCAGTTCGACGTGATTTGTAGCACGGAACGGAGGCCGCCCCACCACCATCTCATACAGCACGGTACCAACAGACCAGAGATCAGCCTTGGCGTCATACTTCTCGTACCGCAAAATTTCCGGTGCCATATACAGTGGGGAGCCACACAGAGTCTCCGCCAGGGAAGTGGCAGGTAGGGATCGAGCGAACCCAAAATCCGCAATCTTGAGCATCGGTAGTGTCTCCAGCCCCGTTATCGGCTCATAGGAATTATCGCTACCCTTATATGGAACGAACTGCGATACACCACTCCTGTATGAAGTTGGAGCCGGGCAGAGCAAGAGATTCTGGGGCTTGATATCTCGATGGATGAGATTTCGCTCTCGCAAAAAATGCAAGGCGCTGGAGAGCTGTTTGAGGAAGTGCCGAACGACAACCTCGTTAAGTGCCCCGCCGGATGGATTGGGATATTTAGAAATCATGTCCCGGGTGGACGAGTGCTCATACAGGGTGTCTCGCTTCTTGATAAAAGCCGATAGGTCCCCCAGAGCACAGAACTCCATGACCAGGTGGATATGTGATGTGGACTCATGGCAGTCGATGAGCGCGACGATATGTGGATGGTGGAGCCCTTTCAGGATGTCAATTTCGGATGAAAGGTTGTCCTTCAACTTCTTATTGAGCTTTGATAGATTGACGGACTTGATGGCTACGAATGTGCGAGTTTTCTAGTAGTAGGAAAGCGGTTAGCAGTGCAAACAAGCAGATGTATGATCCATGACTCACCGTATGGACACCTTGGTAGACCGTCGCGAAGCTCCCTTGTCCGATCTTGTTGTGCCGTGTGTACGGACCGATGGTCATTTCTAGACGAGAGGTCTCGCGTGACCTCCGTGAGTGTTGAGATGCCATGGCTGTTGTCGCCGAGTGGCTCCGCCACTGCGGGCCGATATACCGCAGAGGAGGCTTCCGGGAATATCACAACACAACCGCGCCCCGTCAACCACAACTACCTCAGCAGGAATGAAGTCGTCGGACTCAACAAGAGGCCCATCAGGGGAGCCTGGATGAGCTGTGCTAGGCACCGGGAAGGGCGGGAGGAAGAGGAACGCCAAAGGAACGAGTCTGGGAAGGGCCGAGGAGTAGTGCGGTGAAGATCGGCCGGTCAAGTTGGGTGAGTCAGTGGCCGTGCGGGTTGCAAGTCGACGACGATAAGGTCCAGATAGTCTTCCGGGGCTTTATTCACACGAAGGTATTCCAAAAGACGCCGTGGAAAGCGGTAAAGTAGGTGATGATGTATAGAAATAGAGACCAGTATGGGATAGAGCGAGTATAAGGAGGGGAGGTGTGGTAGTCGACCAAAGTGGGGAGGCGTGCAGGAAGGGGGCGGGTAGCTGGTCTAATGGGGGAGGAAGATGATGTGATGTTGAAAGGGCGGGCAAGCTGGACCCAAAGGACGGCGTGGGTGGTGATTGGGGAGGGGGTGTGACCTGCGCGGGCAACAGCCAACGATAACGAGTGACAGGCGGCGGTGATCTGGTAAGGCGGTCAGAAGGGCGGTGGGTCTGGGGAGGCGGTGGGGGAGGAGTACTGTACTATACTGTACTTATGTAGGCTCCCTGGAGGACCTTGGGGGTAAGGATAAGATGGGGAAGATTAATGATTATACAGGAGTCGAGCCGAGAGAAGAAGGAAGAGAAGTACCGAGAAGCAGAGAACCAGCAAGGCAAGAGACAAAAAAGGGGGAAGCAGGAGGCCTGCAGGTGCCCAGCTCAAGTGGCTATCGCGATTAGATAAGGCGAGATCGTGACCTATCGCCAGTCACGAGTCATGTTCCGACGAATCCGCAGGGAACATCGCTATTTAAATATGACGCAACACGAAGAAGATTCTCACTAGCTGCGCATAGCAGACTAGATCCAACAGACGGTGTATTGGAACAATGCCAGAACAAAATCTCTCACAAGAGCCGGCTCTTGCCATTGCAATAGATAGCTACATGCATCTCCACCGGATTTGCCTCCCCGATCCGAGATCGGCAGCCCCAAGGTTGCTGGCTGGCGATAGCCCCAAAGCTTATCGACGCAGGCAGAAACCTGGTTTCCAGGCCATGGCACGAGAGCACGCCCCGTCAGACAAAATAAGATGAATAATAAAGGAACCTCTAGGTATAAGTTATGATACAGAATTTCCACATGGAGCCACTTGCTGCGTCCTCCTATACACATCCGCTCCTTCCTACTGCACTATTAAACGCCCAGACCCCGGACTAACAGCCACAACACAACTGGCACGACAACGTTATCATTGCAGCCAGTGAGGATCGCCTCGGTGGCGCTAGTGCCACCTGCCGCCAAGGCCGCTTTGCAGGCCGTCCAGAGCCAGAATCGAAGGGTGGAGGCCGCCGCGCCAGCAGATCCGGCTGATTCGGCCCCTGCTACACTCCACCCTCCCACCATCAGCCAGGCACGAACAGCGAGCAAGCCGCACGTCACGGCCGCCGCGAAAGCCACGCTGCCTTCAAGTGACTTGCCTCCTCCCCAGAACCATTTGAGCCGACCGTACCGGCGGCCGATGAGCGAGGCCGCAGCGTCACCCATGCCGACACAGATGACTCCGCTGACCATGCTGACGTCTCGTGTGGGCACCTCCCAACCGGCCCAGGGGCCGTCGCCATTGCGCTCCAGGTCGGACAGTGACAACCAGAGCGGGATGGAGCATCCGATCAAGAGGAATATGTGCGAAATAATGACCGGCCCGCGGTGGTCGCGCCCGTCCACGTACGGGGCTAGGAAGTAGGTCAAGGGGCGTGAGATCGGAGGGAGCTGAGACGCACGGAAGAGGTCCAATAGTAAGAATACCGAGAGGACTAACGCCAGCGCCATCGCACAGAACGCCGGGTCCACAAACACCGTAGGCAGAAACATCAGCACCATCATGCCATGGAAAACCTTGCGCCGCGTGTCAACTTCGGCAATCGAGCTGAGCTGGAACACAATTGCCAGGCCTGTTATCAGAACCAGAACACAGTAGGCGCTCATTAGGAGGCGGGTGTTGGCGGGTCCAAAGTCAGTCTGGCGGACATGCTCAACCCAGCCGAGTGCGCAAGAAGGAGCTTGGAGAGCTGCTCCTGGGCGCGTTGGCAATTGGATCCAATACTCGAGGTTCAACATGAGCACCCAGAATCGAACTCCGTTCAAATTGCCCAGGAGATAGCCCACAGCCCAGCCAAAAGGATCCTGTCCTTGGAGTGCTCGTTCAGCGATATACTTCCGGATGGGTCCCAGGATGATCACCAGCGATATGACGTAGACGTAGAGCGCATACAGCCATTTGCGGACCTGCGCTTGGGCTGCAGTCAGGGATAGGAACGAGGCAAGGCCGGGTCCCATCAATTTTTTGCGGCGGCCCCCGGGCGTAGTGCGCACACGTTCCTCTTGAACGGCTTCCTCAAAAGTCGCAATGGTATGTCGTCGTCGCCGTTTGTGGGAATGATTATGCTGCTCGAAGGCTTGCTCAGCGGTAATATTGTCGATTGCCGATACAGGTCCCACGGACTGTACTGTGTCTGTCGTCTCTCGCATCGTCTTCGTTCTTTGAAGCCGTGGCACTCCACTAGGCCCATCACTGTCTGATGTAGGCTCATCTGAAACACCAGTCCGGCTCAGCTTCTGACAAAGCCGATGGTCCATCATATTGAAGAATTTCCGCGGAGAGGGCGAACCGCTCACCGAGCGGCGGAACTTCCAACTAGGAATCCGCGCCAGAGTAACCTCCCAACGTAGTATGTGCCGACACGACGCGAATATACACATTCCACCAAGCCATATCATGGCCTTCAGAATTTCTGCCTGAGGAGAGGCCGCAAACAAGTACAAATTGATCAGTGCTGTCGTCAAAAGCTGTAGTTCGGCTGGAAGAACGCTGGTCGTCAATAAAAAGTTTAAAGTGGGTATCAACGCTTGATGCAAAGGAAAAAGAAGAATCAACGATTCCGCATCGTGTCCGCGCAGCGTCAGCGGTTTGGGCACTGTATAGTCGAAAGAGATATGTTCTGAAACAAGGACCGGAACCAGGGTCACCATCCAATGCGTGACACTGAAGCCATGGATCCAGTTCTGCAGTGGGATGGCAGGGGCCGGGAGAGAGGAAAGGCTCAAGATGAGGTTTGGTATGATCAAAGTCGGGCGATGGTGTGTCAAGGATAGCGAAACGAAGACCGGGATAAGGATTGGGTAGAGGAGCGGAGCTGGATCGAAACTCGCTGGTATGCAGAAGAATGGGCGTTTGGAGTTGGAGGGCCACATGCGCCACCTTCTGCTCCTCGAGACTCGGAGAAGCATGGGGTATGCAGCAGATAAACCAATGAGTGTAAGGCCATGGGCGGCGAGCTCTGCAAGACTTTAGCACATCCCATCTTTCAAACATGAGACAACAGTCTTCCTACCTTTCCTCCAAGCCCAAGCGATTGAGCGAGCATCCTGTTGCAGTAAGACGACGGCACCGACAGATAGCAGGAGTGCAGTCTCCATGAGTCGTCGCAAGATCTCAACCCGCTTCTGCCGACTAATTTGTTCCTCCTCGGCAGCTTTTCCCTCTGTCTCTTCTTCTGAGCTTCGTCGCGAGATCCGTCCAGTCTGGCGCGCGAATGATGGCCATGGCTGTAATGTAGGCAGCCACGCATCAGTGTCGAGTACCCCGTTCCCGCCCGAACGCAACCCCTTTCGAGGCCGAATAGGCGGCGCAGGGAGGCCTCTCAAGATCCCAGTGCTTTCATCATCTGCCTCCGTGCCGCTGTCGCTTGGTGTTCGTGATGATTTTGAGTAGTAGGAGAGTGGCTGGAGGCGGTCACCTTGTTCGGAGGGTGTGCGCGACCCGAGGCGTCGACTGCGGTGGTAGGGATGGGGAGAGCGAGTGAGCTGTCGCAGATCTTCGACGATCACATCAGAGTTGGTAGCAGGCGTGCTGCTGCGAGGGATCGCCTCCTGTTCCTCGTGGCCCCGCGGAGAACTCATGACACCATTCCTAGGTCGATGGGTCCGTCATGCCGGGACAGCGAGAGTTGTACGGAGTAAAGGAATCGAGAATCGCACGATGATGTCGAAGGGGGGCGGGTACGTACTCCTCCAAAGCGCAGGGCAGCGAATGGGGCGATCCTGGGAGTTGCGGGTTGTTGTTATCTTTCCTGGGCGCCGCAGGGAGCCTTGCTTATCACATGTCCGGGCCAGCTCCACCGTATGACATCGTGTGCGCATGTACAGTGACAGACCACATTTGTACCCCAGTACTTCCGCCCCAGTGGGTTAATAATATTCTGCTGAATGTTCTGCAACGCGAAACCCTCTTATCCCTATTCAACTCTGCCTAGTATTCTGTATAGCACGCTTCCTTTATAATAATCGGTGTTGTTACCTGCTGGATTGTAGTATTTTGATAAACAAGAAGCGAGCTGTTATGTGGAGAGGTACGCGACGTAGCGTCGTATGGGTAGGGCAGTCAGGATGCAGATATACTGGGGTGCAACACTGTGTGGGAAGCACAACATCCCAGCGTAAGATTCAGTATCGGATCTCACCGCAAATATTATGCGGGCCTCATTGAGAAGCTCCAAAGGAAGCATGTATAAACGGTTTAGTCAATGGCTTTCTCATTGCGAATCCTGATATTTTTGTCCACTCTTGGCCAGCCGGAGTTGGAATTTGCGCTGCATCTATCAACCACCCTAAAGGTATAGTTCTATATCCCCGGATTTACTCGTCCAAGCCATACTCCTTCTGTAGGATCACACCACCAGTCAATAGTCGCCCTTCTCGTCCCCAAACAGATCGACATGGAACGATCTGACCTGGCCAGAGATCCTCTGGTACGGGCTGCGTGGTGTATAATACAGCCTGAGTTAATTGCGGGTCCTGACACAGGGAGTTGATCAATGAACGAAGCCTCTCTACCAAAGACCCCTCGGATGTTTTAACATCCAGCTCAATACAGCGATAGCTGTATTGTTCATCCGCAACGGTCGAGACGCCATCTTCTCTGCTCTCCAGAGTGACCTGCTGACACTGACTCCCCAAGCCCTGCCACTCAATGTCACTGCCCCGAGGAAGCTCATCCACCTCGACGGCCAAGAACGGTGGAATCGTGGCAGCAGCATCCTCGCCGAGAGCAGAAAACCTGGGTAGGCCCGACTCCACAGCCTGGGGTATCAATTCCTCCTGTCTCCGCCCATACTTGATATCCCAAGCATCAAGCTGCGGCCCCTCATCCTCCTCCTTCTCCTCATCACCATCAGGCCGGGCATGCATCTTCTTCCATAGATCCCATGCAATCCGCACCTGTGTCTCAACATGCTCACCACCCGTTACAAAAGCCACAGCACCAAGCCACCAATCAACCTGCATCGCCTCTCCGATCCTCCACAAATGCTGAAGAGACAACACAGCCCGAAGCGCATATCCCTCCAACCAAGCTTCACCCTGCGCGGCAACCTCCATAGAAGCTGGGTCCAGCGGAATCTGGCCCGCGATGTAAATCACCCTACCCTTGGCTCGCAATGGAATCGACATTGCTTGGGAATACGGGCCGATGTTCGCTGGCGCCCAGTATGACCGCGACTGGACGTGCAAACCTTGGCGCCGGTCTCGCGCGCCGAGGTCGACCACGAAGGAGACCATCACTTTGACGTTGGCGGGGAGGGTGTCACCACAGGCGACTGTGACACGGGCGGGTGGGTTTGGCTTTTTGAAGAGGGAGACGTAGACGTTGTTCATGAGGGCGAAGTCGGCCATGGAGCGTAGGAGAACGGTGGCGAAGACGATGTCGTCTGTGGAGCGGGGGGTGGAGGTGGAATTGGGAGGGGATGATAGGGCATTCTGCACTTGAGCGACGATTGCGTCCATCTGTTCACCGGCACCGGGGCCTGCCTCTGGTGCCACGAGGTTTGCGATGGTCCATGTGGATCGAGATTGGCAGTGGTGTGGTTCGCGGATAGCCCACGCCGGCGACGGCGTAGACACTCTGGTGGATGTTGACATCGTCTGATCCGAAGAGAGTGGCAATATTTCACCCAGTCTAGTAGAGAACGGCGTATCCAGCAGCGCCGGTCTCCTCACATCCTTCGGCGCGAACTCCTGCGTATCCCCAGACTTGGGTACACACTTCGCTCCCTTCAACTTCATAAAAGCCACACCACCCTCCCCAGTCCCGACATCCCTCGTATCAATCTCAATGCGCTGTTTCCACAGGAACCCAGGTCCATCCAACACCAATGTCTCGTACTCCCCACCCTCACCCAACACCGCACCCTTGATATCTTCAGGCGCCGCAAACCGACTCATAGCCTTCACAAGACGTCTACGCAGCGCTCGTCCCGCATTCGCAGGCCCCGACACATTCTCCCACAAATATCCATCATCAAGACCACCAGATGCAACCTTGATAATCCGCGCATCGCACCCGCACTGGGCCATATCCTCTAGCAACCCCGCCTGCCCCACCGCCATCGCATCAGCGTCCCGCTCAGCCGGTGACGGGAGCGACGGATACATCCACAGCCAGGCAAGCGGCACGAGCCCCAGTCGGCCGGCGACGTTCTCAATGCGGGTGCGTTGGTATGTTGAAAGAATCGCCCCTGCCGAGACCGCATTTGCCTCGGGGTGGGCCTGGATGATGCGGCGGAGCAACGGGACCAAAGACTCCGTTTCGTCTGCCTTTGCAGTCGAATCAGCGTGGGCAACAGGCTCGGCTGCCTGGTCAGCCGCGTCGTGCCGGTATATGCGGGACGTGTCTACGGCGCCGCCGGTGATGGGGGCTCGGTAGAGTGGGATACCCAAGGCCGACTCGTAGAGCGGGATGACGCTGTGGCCGATGGTTTGGTACATGAAGCTGTCGATGTCTTCTTCGGCATCATCCATGCCTTGGTGGCCACCCTGTTCGGGGATGTGATCACTGGATGTGCCTGGCGTTTGTTCTGGGTGCAGATTCGCCAGGGCGACTACCTTGTGCCCGTTGCGGATGCAGTGCAGGATCGAGTAGAACGAGTCCTTTCCGCCGGAGATCAGGGCAATCACATTGAGTCCGGGGGATGGAGATGGTGCCAAAGGGGGCATCGTGATGATTGGAAGGACGTTTGGACCTCTCAATGCCTTTCCCCTGCAGTTTCGTTTCTGGTTTCCTGTGGTTGAGTGTGCCATGGCGGCCTTTTTTTGTGTCCCCGCCATGGCCTTATCGATAGGGCGATAAGCTGGGGTCGAGTCCACCAAGAGCGCAACACGAGATTGCAGGTTGGCTCAGGCCATTTTTTAGCTCAGCCTGCCCAGAACGAGATGCTAAGACCGAGAGGTAAAACCTCAGATCAGGCCATTTCTTTTTCGATTACCTAGTTAGTTTAATGTGGTAGTTATTTTTCGCTCGCACGATGTTTTTGATCAATTTAATCTAATTAATAGGTAGTTTTGGCGTCCCTCCACTTACTAACTACTGATAATATTAAGTATTCTAGGACTACTTCTAATAATCTAGTAGTAATAATTTTTGTGAAGCTAACAATTTGGCTAATAACCTAGAAGGGTTTTAAAGAGGATAAGGTAGTGTCGCGGCCAAAGAGCTACGACTAAAGGACACCGGTGATACTTGCACTGGCATCGGAAAGTCGCAAGATGTGACTTGGGCCCGGCTTCTCGCTTGGAATGCTCAAATCGATTATACCTGCTCGTACGTGGTGACGCCCTTTTAATGGCAACACTCCACTAATGAACGGATACATAGAAATCTGTGGAAGTCTGGTGAACACTACGATCTGCGTGAGCAACCTAGTGGGAAACTATGGCCTCGGAGGCATGACGACTATTGTGACTACTATAGCGTAAATGACCACAATGGATCAATCGTATTGCCCGCATACTAATAGTGTTAGTGCCGTTCCTTCGCCTACTGGAGATGGCACGAACTCTCGCTGTGGCTAATATTACAAGGTTGCCGCAATCGAGACTTGCACGACCATGACGGACAAACTCAGCATTTCTCGAAACAATCTGTGGGTGACCTGTCTTTCTGGCAAGTGAAGACCAAAGCTAACGGTGATAGCCTTTTCCTGAATCCGGAACTCTTCCAGAACTGCACAAATCTTCTGGCCGACACCTACTACTGCGTGCAACCGGTGGGGTATATTGCGACGTACTCAGGCTACAGAGAGTCGTCAACTTCCACAGTGCCGTTTGACGAAACCTCTTCAACCTCGCTACCTAGCCAACCTCCAATGATCGAACTCAGCGGTCAAGACAGACTGCTCGGGACTTCAGCCAGATAAGTATGTCTGCGCTGGTGTCGAGGCAGCCACTGGAACCGGTGTCACGACGCCGTACCCTGTTCAGACGGGTATGGTTGCTACGTGTGACGAGTTTTACAAGGTCATCGCAGACGATTCGTCCGTCGATATTGCCAATGCAAACGGAATTCCAGTGGCTTCTTTCTACACCTGGAACCCGGCCGTGGAGACCGACTGCTCGGGCTTACAAGCGAGTATGTCTGTGTCGGCGTATCTTCCTCATAATGGGAGCTGTAGCTAAAATGAACTGCCAGTATACGATTGGACATGTCTTGATACGTATTGATAGGATTTTTTTGAATAGAGGAATGGGTATTAATGACCTTCCAAGGTTCCAAGATTAAAACTCAATGCAGGACATTCAAACCTTCGGCTCGGGATCAGCTGGGTAGCATTCCTAACAAATAATTCCTAGTTTCTTAAGATCCTGGAAATTAACGTTGGGCCGAGTGTACTCCGCCTCAAAAACGTCATGATTCGTCCCGTATCCGTCTTTGGGGCTGCGTGTATCTGTTCCATCCAGGGGATTTTCTCCAGAGCCATAGAGAAAGCTTGCCACCTCGTCTGAAAGTTTGATGAACCTCCCCGGCCATCTGCGATGGCCTTCCATCGCGATCGTGACGGTCGGTTTCAGTGATTGATCTCTCACCGTCCAATCTAGTTCCTCTCGCATCCTCTCTAGCAGACCAGTCAAACACAATTCATCAAAGGGGAACTCCATAAATTCCAAGTCAAGAGATCGTAATGAGGATGGTGCCAATTTGAGTATGCCCATCAACTCCGATGTATCAACGCTGAAACGAAAGAGCGCCAAGTGAGACAGATTCGGCCACTCCTTAATAGGCAGAACCTCCTTCAGGGGAATAGGTGGATCCCTCATTGAAGATTGATATCTAACATCGAATGTAGTTGATAAATGGACATGGGTCAATTCCTTGACCAGGCTCACAGCTTGACGGAATAATCCGCTTTGGAATCCTGTCCAGTCACCACTACTACCAGTAAGTAAAGATAGATGAAGACGCCGGAAGCCTGGACGTTTCATGATAGCCGCAAATTGATTGTATTCCTCACACGGCCGATCGAAAATCAAAAAGTTTAGTCCGGTGTGGAGTTGCTTGGAGTCGAAGCTCAGCTCGGAAACATTATGCTTATGCTTCTCCGCCTGTGACAAAAGGCGAAGAACAATTCGAGCCCCTCTCCATCGCTCCTTGTAGCCCTCGTTTACCTCTGACCACGGTAGCGGCTCGACAACCTGGGGATCAACGAGATCACAGTTCCATCCTCGCGGAATCGGATAGTTGAATCCGTATGGAAATGCTCGGATCATAGGTGTCTCGTACAGCGGAGCAAACAGCCAGCCGTGAGCCGCAGGCGTAACGGTCACTCTTTTAAGCCGTGGGAATCGCTCCAGGCCGTAAAGAAAGGCTTTTTTGTCGTCTTCGGATCCGATCACAGACGCCTGATCATCCCCTAGTTGCTGATAATACTTCCAGCAGGCTTTCAACGGCATTTGGGCATCTATCTGGTGCTGACGTGCAACATGGTCAGGTCGGTCCACGTCGCGGTATTTCCGATACTTTATCTTATGGAGGTTCTCTTCGCATCCCTTCGTGAACCAGATGGGACATCCCTCATTGGAGTTGAGTGGGTACATGGTTTCCCATATCAACGGCGCGAATTGAAACCGTGCGTCGTCCCAGATGATCTCCCTGATTTCGTGGCGAAACTTTGGATGATCTGCTACAGCCCGAAAAACTTGAATGTTCAACGAGTTGGCCGAAAGAAACACGCGTGAGGAGGAGAAATGGTGAAAACTCGCCGAGGGCTTGGCACGTCAAGCGCAAGGACTTGACATCTTTGTTTGGCAGAAAGGACACAATGGATGAAATAATTTCAGGGGGGAAACGCAGAAACCACGGGCTTTGTGTTGCCATCCCGGACGAGGGAATTAGTAAAGCCCTTGGAGGTATGTCAATAGATTAAAAGGTGCGAAGTTGGAAAGATGTCAAGATATAGGTGAATCCTTCACTCAAATAAAACCAAGCCCCCCAGGGCAAAGCGGCCCAGGATCAATTTCCTGTAAACGGCGGACCTATGAATTACTAGATCTGGTTAGTTTTGCCGCTTCCGAGTTAGCGCCCTAATACGATGATTGGTTTCGCCTCAGCAAGGACTGCCTCGCTATCCTCGTTGGTCAGGCCATCGTAGGTCACTTTCATCGTAATCGAAATCTATTCCCCCAAAATCATCTCAGACGGGCCTTCCAGATACACACTAGGATAAGGTGTTCCAGGGCTAGGAAAAAAAGTGAATAAGTCAACAGCTATATGAAGAGAGATTCCATCTTTGCTCAGCTCTTACATTCGCGCAGATTTACTAATAGGTGACGGAGCAGGATCCCGTTGGAAGATTTTCGCCTCCTGTATAACAGTTATAGAGGAGCAGGCTCCCCCAGGAATGATAGCACGGGGTACTCCCGTGCCCAGGCCAATTTTGTGGGCCGACATGCTCACGGAGAGTGCCCCAGTCCCACAGCGCATATTCAGCGCCTGGCCAGAGCAGCTCATACTTCTCACCTAGGACCAGCTGGTCGCAAAAGGGGAGAGGATCACCTGTGTTCCTTTTGAGACATTGACCAGGCAGAAGCTCAGCAAAATGCCCCTCCCGTTCTGTATACTTCAAAGTCTCAGGAGGTGGAGGCCGGTGATTCTCCACCTTTTTCAGACCTTCTGGCCTGCGTTTGAACAGCATAAAGCCCGAAGGACCCTATGCGTCACAGTCCACGTCCCATAGGAAAGTGCAGGGCTTGTTGGTGCCATCCTCCTCTCGGTGAATCTCAACGAGGATGCCTAGGGGGTAATCGCGAGAGACAGTGATGCTGGGTGTTATCTCGATAGAGAGAACAGGCGTGTTTGGACTGGGGCTTGTCAGTTCTTGAATTTCTTGATAAATGGGAGAGATGATATGATTGCCAAAGTAAAAGACTCACGGCCTACCATTCTCAGAGATGCTGACATTTTTTGCAATTTCAGGTTCCATGGCGGGTGAAAAGTGGAATGACGCCGGATTATGAAGTGTTGTGAGGGCCGCGCATAGGTATTTATACACAACCTTGGACGGGAAAGCCAAAACAGACAGGTAATACCATCTCAAAACCTTTATGAAGCAGGCTCTTACAGTATTAGCCTGTCACACATAGATAGGTCTAGAGGCGAGGGGAACCAATCCAAGATGATATGATTGAGTTGATTGAGAAAGAAAAGATCAGACTAAACTGCCCTAAGACACGTTGAGGTGTCCTCTGTACAAACTGTGGAAAAGGGTTTAAAGCCCTGGGGACTTGCCAAATGTCGTGATTTCACCGAACGCTAGGCCAGAATACGACATGCGCTAAATTAATCGACTTCATAATAATCCTCGACAACCTTGTTTCGGGTTAATTCGGGGTGCAGCTTCTTAGGTACCACGGGCGAATCACAATAAGGGGAATTATCTAGGGGGTTTGTTTGATATTCTTATTCCATTCCACTAAAAGTCTCTATAGCTTTTTAAGACGCAGAGTCAAGATCCTCAGATATTTGAGCCAATAACGGCCGTCTCTCTGTATCACCAGCCTCAACATGCCTTTTCTGCCGCAGGCCCAGATATAGCAAAATTCCTTGCCCTAGAGCAAAAGCAGCATCATCAATGGCTACAAAACCAACTCGTCGGTACCACTCAAGGAGAATCAGATAGAGAGGAGGCCAGGATCCACGGGGATCTTCACGATATGGATCCCATGGGAAATAGAGTCTCAAACCCCACGAGATAGCCGCGAGAGTGAAAATTGCTGCTTGGAGCTTCAGCCCAAATAGACTCAGGTTTTGCATCGGCTTTCGCGCTTGTCGATAAAACCCTATCACTAGGGGTATGACGGTGAAAAATGGGAATAGAAAGATGTCATGAACAGCCACTAAAAAGAAGATAACGTCGCGTTCGACCTCCGGACAATTCGGTTTCATGGTAGAACAGAAGACATCCGTCAAGGAGTCGATTATGACTGGCACCAGAGAGATCATAAGGTAGCCGATATAAATGATGATCGTTAGGGCCTTGCGAAGTCGACTAACAGAGCTATTGTAGAGGCCGAGCCCGAAACTACGTATTGCAATGTCAGCGATGGATAGCTCTCGACTTGTCAGAATGTAGGTGTTTGTAGCTCACAGGAAAACGAACAACGCACATACACCTATCAACTGGATCAAATTGATCCAATCAAGGGTATTACGGGGGTGATGGGTCCACATCCCCATCTCGGGCTCAGGGGGGATATTAACATAGTAAAAGAAGCCAAAGAACAAATGCTCTGTGGAACATATCAAATTGAAGAGGAGATATGCCAATGAAATGTGCCTGGCTTCCTGTCCCGGCCAGACATGGCGTATAAGAGGGAGGAAAGAATAGAAGACCAAACTCAGGACAATGCTGTTTTTATGAGCGCCCAGCGCAGAGATTATGACTTGGGAATAAGTACTCACAGGCTAATAATGTCGAGAATCATTTGTGCGATCCAAATTCATTGATGTAGGACTTTTAGAAGAAAAGAAAATGAAATAAAAGGGGAGTAAAGCAGCATTTTTAAGGATTTTGAGTGGTCAAGTGTCTCACATTCGGATACCATTCAATTCGCTCCTTCCAGACATAAACTATTGTAATAAAGCAAACGGCGGGTGACGGAGTCTAAGGATCTCTCTAGTAATGTTATCTTTTCTCTTGGCGGTTTCTAGTTAGCCCCCACGTTACATTTTGGCGGTTTTTAACTAGCCTTCACTAGTACCTAAATCTGCCTCTTCGATTCGATGTTCAAGAACGACTTCACCGGGAGTGAAAGCTGTGAAAATTGGAGCCATCATGCGAACTGTCAGTTAGGTCCTACTTTTGAGTCAGCTAGGTATCTGTGCCCTCCATGATATTACAGCGCACCCATACCAGATATAGAAGCCTATGGATAGCAATCTTAGCTATCAACTACCTGCCTGATACCGGGCTCCACCTGAACCTTATCCATCCACTCAGGGCTCGCTGGCATGGATCCATCCATGGATCCAACCTCGATAAGAGGCCCGACTTCTAGGTGTCCAGCCAGACGAGGTAGATTCCCGTCCTCCCGCCGCCGAAGCCCTTCAATTCATAACAAAGTACTGTTGCTGTGACTTGTGAGTGTGGGTTGGGTTATACGGTGCAGACTCTGTTCCCCGATGAAAGTACTGATTTAAGTGCTCTGCAAACAGCCGGAAAGCTACCACTCCCAGATGGCACCACTTATAACACTACACTCGGCCTCGATCCTGATCCTGATCCAGTAGCAGTCTACTAGTGCGATCTTGCAGTGGCCATTGCAAACCAGCCGGATGGAGAGATAGCGAGCTATGAGGCATTGGCGAAGCACGATCTCGCGAGTGGCGATTTCAATACCCAGAAGATTAGTTATTTCCTGCCAACACGCCAAATCAAGGCGTTCCATAGGTACCCGATGTGCGGATCTGGCTTTTTATCGGGATGCTGTTATGGATGTGAAGGATGATGTTGATCGCTTTTACTGATTTCAGACTCGATGATTTCTCTGGCTATCGGAAGTTCATGAGAATCTGTGCATGTATAAAATTTGCCATTGGCATCAATTATATTTTTTTTCTCGAATACTTCAATGCGTACTCTTGTCATCATCATTAGTAACTGGTCTAAAACTAAGAAAACTGAGCATCTCATCCTGTTGAGTAAGCAGGAGAAAGAGGCAATAAAGATCTCGCTTGGCTCTGATTGTATTGGCTTGTGTAGAAAGCATCTCTCTTGCAGAAAGGCGGGTGCTGATATAAAGAGACAAAAGAGCGCTGGCGAGACCTCAGATGCAATCTCGAATCCGGCTGAGTCGGGCGTTTGGTGCCACCCTGTCTACTGCGCACTACTTTCCCTAATCACCCCCGGTCGGGCGATGTCAAAGCAGCGCTCACCCTATCCCATGGGACTAATTAGATTCTAGTAGAGTAGAATTAGGGTATTGGCCTTCAGTGTGGGAAGAAAAAGTAGGGCAAGAGTAGACAGTTATAGTGGGCGGTACAAGGTGGTTGGGGGTCAAGCGACGGCTCGCCGTCCAAAGTTACAGGTGGAAAGGCGGCCATTTCTGGCGCCAATTTCACAGGTCCTCAGAATCTAGTTGTAATTTTGACGAAAGATCCACTGGGGATCTAGAATATACCTGAGACCAACACAAACGGGCAGGCAAGAAATGCAATGCAAGAAGGGTATGAGTGACAAAAAAAGGTTAGGGTGAACAAGAACGGGAGTGGTCAAATTAACTTATACACGAATGTGACCAGCACAAGAAACAGAGGGGAAGAGAACAGGAAAAAAAGAGAACAACAAAAGTATTACATCGAGATAAGGCAAAACGAGATGTGAACGAAGCAGACAGAAATTGAACGGGCTAGAAGTCAGGCAAGAAGGGAACCGATGTCCAAGTAGAAGAAAATCACAGAGAAAATCGGGGATCAAACGGAGGCCCCACGTCTTGTGCAACGATGGACTGAATCAGCCCAAATTGTGCTGGTCCAGTTTTGCAGCGGAGGTCAAGAAGAGAGAAAAAGAAAAGGTGGGAGAAAAAACAAAGGAAACAAAAAAGACAAAGGAAATCAACACCAATCCCACCACCTGTAACCGTAGAGACAGATGCCATCATTTGCTCTATGTTCTTTTTGATTCCCTCTTCCTGTTCATGGACTCCGAAACAAGAAAGAGAGGACCCATGGAAGAAAGTATCGTCTCTCCAAAGAAGCCCAAGCCTTAGGCAAAAGAATCATGAAGGCTGCGAGAAAAAGAAACTCCTCTCGTAGCCGCCCCATGACATGTCCCCGTTTCCTTGTGATGTGACGCAGTTGCGAGGAAACCAAGTTACCGTACACCGATGACCCCTGATGCCGCCACCAGTGTAAATGCCCGGACGCCAAACCCAATCAAGACCGCGACGGCGATGAGATCCCCGTAATAAGAGGCACGCCGGCCGAAGATGTGTGTGTGTGTATTAATATATGCAGTAGGAGGTACTCCTGGTCTCATAGAAATCATCAAAGGCAGCAATGAAATCAAGCCCAAAAGAATATTTAGGCCAAGTCACGCTTGCGCTTCTTCGCCGCGCGGCGGTCCGCGGCAGGGGAGTCGTCGGCGTCGACACCGGACTGGGCAGCCTCGTACATCACCTGGCCCAGTGCCCCCGCGTCGTGTTGCTCGTCAAACGACATCCCGGCCTCGCTGGAGTCCAGGACACCCATGACAATGGAACCCCCACCGTGCGTGCGAGCATGCTGGGCTAGGTTGTCGCTGCGGGAGAACTTCTTACCACACTCGTGGCACTCGAACGGCTTGTCCTGGGTGTGCAGAGAGCGGTAGTGGCGCTTCAGGTGCTCCTGGCGGCGGAACCGACGTGAGCACAGGGTGCAGACAAAGGTCTTCGACGGGTCATCTGTCAACGACTGCTTGCGGCCGCGACGGTTGATGGACACAGGGGCCGGCTCGGAGTCGGTGGCCGGGGAGCCCACGGAGGGGGCACTGCACTCAGAGTGGGCCACGGCGATCTTCTTGACGGGCTCCTCCTCCTCTTCCTCCTCAAAGTGGGTGGTTTTCCGGGATGACTTGCGGTGGCTGCGCTTCTTGGACTTGATTTCCTCCTCGGCGGTCTCTTCGGCCTCCTCGAGCTGGGGCTGAGTCGACTCGGTCCACTCGAAGGAAGGAAGACCATGGTGAAGGAAGGCCTCGTGCTCGTCCGAGTCCTCCAGACTATGCTCGCTCAGGAATCCATCGTCCTCGACCATGTACTGGGGCACACGCTGGCGCTTACCACCCAAGTATACGGCGTTGGCACCCGGGTGGAACTCCACCAGGCGGTTCAGCTCATCGTCGGAGTCGAGGTCGGAGAAGCTGTCGAAGGTGGGCAGGGAGCTCAGAGGGTCCTCGGTCGAGGCAGTGAAGGAAGGCGAAGGGTTCTCATTGACCGGCAGAGTCACCGACGCGCTGCCCACGACCGCACGAGGCTCCTCCGCGTCGCAGGTAAGCGTCGGCAGAGGAGGCAGGTCCTGGGGGGTGTGGACATTCACCGACGGCTCGACGGTGAGCTGGCGGGGGTCACAAAGTCTGAGCCCACCGACTCTGCCGTCAGAGCCTGAGAGTGGGCAAGGATGTCGGAGGGGACCGGGGAAGGCGAGGGCGAGAGCGAGGGGCAGGACGTGGCGGAGAGGAGATCCGACGTATGGCTGGCGAGGAGCGATGGTGGGTGAATAAACACTAACGAGCCTCCCGAATTAGTCTTGTGTTTGATCGTCTTCCCCCTTGCATGAGGAGTTCGCCCATCTGCTGGGTCATCGCAATATGACATCTCCATTCGTTCCATCACTTACCAGGTGTCATCGGTGGGGAGTCGGCGCGCGACCAGTCCGGGTTGGCCAAGATCTCCGTGTGCACGTCCGTCTCACACCCTTCTTTGACGCCCTCCACCTTCTCAAAGGTGAAGAAGCCGTCGTTGATCGGGGTGTGCAGCGTGCCATTGGCGGACGGAGGGCTGCTGATGGAGCTGCCAGACGAGGACAGAGGGGGTGTGGTCGGGAAGGCATAGAGGTCGGCATTGATGAAGCGGGTGTCCAGAGGCATCAAGGCGGGGGAGCCCTGCTGCACAAAGATGGCGGGCTTCATCTGCGAGGGCTGCGGCGAGGCAATTGGGGTCATGCTCATGGCGGCACCGCGGAAGGCATTAGTGGTGGCCATCTGGTGCATGTTCATGACCGGCTGAGTCGAGTAAATCGGCTGCTCAGCCCCGTGCTGAGCGTACTGCATCTGTCCATAGTACGGCACGTCTTGGGGCTGGCTGGTGTAGTGGCCTTGTTGTGATGTCGAGTCGGGGTAGTATGCAAACGAAGGTTGGCTTTGGACCGGAGTCGGAGCCATTGTGTATGTTGCGTCCATGGCGGAAGGGCTGGATGTGTCGAGTCAGTGATGATGTCGTGTCAAGGAGTGCTCCTCCCAATGGATCCTGGATCACACAAAACATACCTGTCGAAATTATCCGTCGCCAATGCGTTCCACGGAGTAGTACGTATTATGGTATAGAGGCGGTCGAGAAGAGTTGCAGTGGCTGGTCAAAACCGCTTTCTCGGAGGCAAGTAGACGCAATAAATGAATGGACCAGGGGGGTGATTAGGGTATAGGTAGATGTATATCGAGGGTCGAGGTCGAGGGAGATGAGGGAACACTTGTAAAGGAAGGACAGGATCCTAGCGAAGCTGAGGAACCGGAGGAAGTGATTGGGAAGGAGAGAAATATCACGAGTCGCAAAAGGCCCAAACCCAAAACAGTCAAACACGAAATACTAGTCGGAAAGTATAGAAATAATAAAAAGGAAAGGGTCAACAAAAAAGGGACGGGGAAAAAAAGAGAGACAGGGCCGATAATAGGCAATCTGGGAATATGGGAAGAGAAGGGAAGAGATAGACCAGAAGGGTGTCGCGGTGGATAAAAGAGTGATCTGCCTGGGCTATTCTCTACTTGCCGGGTCACTAGTCATAGCAAGAGTGGGCCAGGAACCGAATGCATTGCGAAAATCAAAAAGAATAATTGAGAATTATGGAATAATTAAATTAGATTTGAATTTTGGGGGTGTCTCACGAGAGGTACTGTATGGCTGGGTATGCGGTGTAAGCGGTGGTATCAGTCTGGGGCGGGATTGGGAAAGACACTGGCGGTGCACATCACCCAAGAGTTCAGTCCCGGGCAGGCAGAGAGCTCCAATCGCATTGACGGAGGACGAGGGATCGGGGGTTAGCGCGGATTAGCGTGGTAAGGTGTGAGGGAGGGTGGGTGAAGTATGGGTTGGGTGTGGTGTGGTGGTTTAGTGTCTTTGTGCAAGACCAGCCAAGTCAGGCCAAGTGGGTGGGGCCCGGGCCCATCAGAGATACCAGCCAGCGACCAGCGACGAGGCAAGAGATACCGTACGGAAGGACCTACCAAAGCGCCGGGCGCTGGACCCGCCTGTATCGGGCCAGGGAGGATGCCCACATCGGCCGACAAGCCCAAAAAGAAAAGTGGATCCGCACGAGCTGCTGGTGTGACGCTGAAATGCGGAGAGAGGCTATGCTGAGTGGAAGCCTGAAAAACCCGCCTCCACGCACTGAGCGTCCTCTCAGTCGGTTGTCCGTCGGGGGGGGTCTGATTTGTAGGGGGAGCTTGACGGAATCACGCTCAGGTGAGACCTTCCCACATCCTCCACCACTCCGTGTTCACATTCTCCCATACGGCCAAAAATTTGGGAAGTGCCCGTGTGGCCACGAGGTGCATGGCGATTGGATCAGAGCGATGGTGACAGCGGCAATCATTTACACCTCTTATCAGCGTGCGCACCGACCGGGCAAATGGGCACCGGCTGAGTGGGGTTCCTTTTTCCAGCGAGTCCACCGCTCCCAGTAGCATCCAATCAGCGGCCCCGACAGCCAGGATTGGCCCCACGCCTGTCCCGTCTCATCATTTCTCGACCAGGACATCGTCTGTCTATCGCTCCAGCGCCCAAGAGGAGATCGACATCTATGATCTGATGGTCTCTATTGCCTCCTTCCTTCGCAGACCCATTGCCCCCCCCACCACCCCCCGGTACGGATGAGATACACAGATACCAGTCCGAAGGGACATGCCCACGCTTGCTGCACCAGCGATCAGCATGTGGAAACCTAAATGCACCGGGCCTATCCATTCCCCATCAAGTATGGCACTCTCCCGCAGGACGACGCAAACCCCCAAAAGTCGCTCAGGACTTTCCCCTTCCGTCGATCCGAAGACTATCAACGGTGGCGACCACCGTGCAACCAGCTACTCGATCGTGAAACGGTCGACCTTGGCCACCCTAGTTGCTTTTCCATGCTTACAGTGCTTACTGGACGGACGCCAGTCCTAGGCTCGCTGGGCAATCTTGGAGCCATTTTGCCCCCCGCGCACCCACCACCCCCCCCCCCAGGTCCGTTTCAGATGATCCTAGCCAAAAAAGTACCACAGTCAAAGAAATCCATCCAACACTTCCCCGGTGGTTGAGCATTGATGAGTGATGAGCATTCGCAGCTCACTAGTGATTCCCTTCGAATTCTGGCTCGCCGACTCGGGAAGATCCCTCGTCGACTATCCCTATAGTGTACGGAGTATTGATTTACTATTCTTTTTCCTTCGCATTAAGTTGATCCTGCCACATGGATGGTTCGCGGGCCTTTTCTCTTCTGGGGAAAACGTAAGGGTTGTCAGGCCGCGCAACACGTCAAGACATCAACCAGATCATGCAGCGCGACCGGCCAGGCCCCCCACCGAACAGCTCGCCTGCTCGGTGGCTTGTGATATTCCGTCGGCCCAGTTGCGCGGCCTACTGCAGGAACAAAGCTGTGGAGGCACAGCCGCGAACCATCGGAGAGCGGGCGCCGCGATTGGGTATGTGGGCAGACATGGGAGGCAAGGCTCGAGTGCAGTTCTCGTTATTCAGCGTCGAATGAGAGGGGCTCCCAGCAAGCCGGCGAGGGCGATCCGCGTGCCCTAACTCGACTGATTGGACACCATCGGGTGCGCGCCCATGCATTCTCCATGACGTCGCGCCTACCATCTACCTCTAGTGCTGTACGGAGTAGAAAACCCAGAGACCCTCAGCTGTGAACTATGGTCCAGGTGGATGCTTCGCTATGTAGCATATGTACATGGCTGGAAGCAGGCATCAGATATACTTTGGGATGCCGCTGACGCGTATGCTACATCTGATTGGCCCGGTCGTGTCAGCCATGTCGTGAAGTGATGAGTTTCGGGTGCATAGGCAGATGTGATGGCACTGCTTTGTCTGACTTCTGATCGGTAGATCCGGGGGAAGGGCGCCAACGGCAGTGGTGTGGTGGGCTCTACCCACACTTGGCCCCTTTGGAGCAGAGGTCCGCCGTGCAATGGGCCCCCGTCTCGGCTGCTTTTACCTCTGATGCATCAACCGGCCTCAGATGCACTAGCTCTCCAGACACTGGACACATCCAACGGAACCCTCTTTGCCTTCTGCCTGGTGTGAACTATAGTACGGTCCACCGTCCACTGCCGTCCACCACGCAATTGCTTCCATCCACACAGCCACCTGTACGCCGATGATAACCACGCAAGGTCTGGTTCGCTTGCCGGATCACGCCAACGTTGCGGCACCCGACTAGAACAGACTTCCTCTCAGCACTCCAGCACCGACTGTCCCAAAGGCCTTGGCCGACATGGAATGTCCTCACCGTGGCCCCGAAAATAATATCGTAGCAGAAGAAGAAAAAAGAAAATTACACATTTTGACTATTGGCTTCCTCTATACGGAGTACCTGATACTGTATCACGCTCACAAGACCAGTTCTTTCAGACCCTCCATGTCCACTGCAGACCCTCTCGAATCCAGCAGCAGCGAGTCGCGGCTTTCATCGCCCATCCTTTCCTTAGCTCGGCCAGCGGGTGCATCCTCCCGGTGGGATTGGCCGCTTCTAAAGATAGCCGTCCCCACCATCCCCTTCGCGGACAAAGCGTCGGCGCGGGCGGGAATCCTCGACTTCCGCCGCCAATCACACCACGCCGCCCACGCACTGGGCAGGCCGGGAAATTGGGGAGAGGCCGCGGCCTGGGAAATTATTCGCCCCCCCGAGCCACTCGCAGTGCTCCGTACGCAGGACTAACAGTACGGTTGTTCGGAATATGGAGACCGACCGGATTCGTCCTGCTCCACTGCGTCCAGAAGGCCCAGACGTTTAGTGTCCCTTCGTGCTATACTCCGTTCTCCGCCGTACCTGCGCTAGGTTGGTGTCAACAAAGCCCGCCTCTCCTCAGGGCACGTTTGGAGAACAAGTCTGGCGCTGCGACCTCGGTTTTTCTCTCCAGTGTTCCATCTCGGGTTAGAATAGCCCCCCCCCTTCTTCCAATTAGTTAAATTAGTTAACTAACCCAGGCCTTTGGTCTGGGTAAATGGAATTATGCATGGAAGGCTGTCACTTTCCCTTCGAGAACCGCAACCCGCAATGGCGCATCCCTCTTAGCTTAGACTATCTCACTAGAGGGCGCATTGGGGTGCATGATCCGAAGTGCCCACGGAGGAACTCATGCGTCAGCCTGCGTTGATAGATGGCGGAAAGGCAACGACGAGTCAACTTTGTCACCTCTGCCCCAAAATTGTGCCTACTTGGGGGGGGGGTTTTCCAGGGTCTGGGCCCTCTTCCTATTCTAGCTTTACTCCTCCGTACTATTTGCTCTTGGAGGAGGGATTTTGCCTCATTTTCATTATTCATTGCGGATGCCTTTCGGCCAGCGTGCACAGACAAGTCAGGACCCTCGAGAACACCACGGGTCAACCAAGAAAGAAAAATAAAAAAAACCCCTCCCCCAAATTAAAATTAAAAAATCTCAGACAGCGCTATTGAACACTTTTCATTCAATTGACCAACCCTATATTCCATACATCGTATGAGCCCCGAGTGCGCGATGGCTCCAAAACCAGGTCCAATGACCTCATTGACGGGAGCGTGCAGCGGCAGAGCTCCAGAGCTAAACAGGGGGGAATAGCTGTTCCATGGGGGGAGTCGGCAGAGGGGACTCTAACCCAGTGGATGCGAAAGCGAGCAAACCGCCAGCTCTGGGCGAAATGCGGTGGGGCATGCAATAGTCCACACTGGAGATAGCGCACCCGAGGCGGGGCCGACTCCTAGTCCGAAATCAAGCGCGGAAGGTCCTCCAGTGCAGCCGAGCCAACGACGATGTCTAGCCTCTGAGCTCGCAGTGGCTCTGATGGAGTCGTGCTGGTGGACTTGGCTTCGGGGCTTCTTGCTCTGACTCCGTACAGTAACACAGTCTAGTTCATTGTCCGTGCTAGAGAATGACCCATGCTGGGCTCCCGGCCAGACTGTTTTCCGTGGACGCGCTGGGGGCAGCGGGCGATCGTGCGCTAGGAAGCGACGTGAAGGGTGACGATTTCCGGGCGAATCATCGCCGGGCACGATTGGACGGGACGCTCGGGGTTTGGGATGCGAATCACCGTTGGCGATCATCGCATGCCTGGATCCGGTATAGAACCGACCGATGCTGTGGTTGACCTGTCGACTGTAACCGCTGCCGTGTAATGGACGCACATCCGTCACTCGGGAAGTGTCAATCCTGACGCGGTGGGCGTATAGTTCATGGTTGACAGGCCCCCGCGCTGGCGACGGTTTTCTGCACATCACCGTCCGACGAGGCCGTTGCACGCTCGAGGGTCGTAGGACAGCGTCTATGCAAAGGTCCCGCGATACATCATCTACGGATCTCCCATGCGTCGCCGAAAAGCTTGCTTACTGATTACTGCACGCTGGCCCCGGAGCCCCGGAGCAACCAAACGCCACCGCGACTGGTCGTCTCGACTGGTCTAAACCGGATGATTGTCGAGCGCCTTCTTCCGAGACGAAAAAACCACGGTCAAACTCACCAGCACCAGCACCAGCACCAGCACCAGCACAGAAAAGAAAAAAGCAAAAAGCCAAAAGCCAAAAAAGAGAAGCTCGCAATCAAAACAAAGAAACTCTTCGAATAAGAAAGAAGTCAAAAAAGGGCAGGGTGGAGCCACTCTACAAGGTTCCGCTTTGATAGCAGCTCCTCGACGTCTCGTACTCCGCCTTTCTCTCACGCGCGTACGCTGAACCGCCTCAACGGCTCGTAGCTCGCGCGGGCATTAATTGCGATGGAGATCAGGCCGGTACTCCGGCTCCACCGAGGCATATACTGTAGTGTCTAAAGCAGGAGGGTCGAAGGTCAATGAGTCCGATGGGGACTGTGGAGTAGACGTCAAGAACCCGACTAGGACGTCGGAGTGGCCTTGATCATGCAATCCATATCGCGTGAATTGCGTGGAGTATACTCGGGGCCAGGGATACCCACCTATTGTAGTAGCCAAGTAATAGTATGCTATGGCCCGTCTACGATCCCTTTCGAACACAGCCAGCGCAAGCGCGAGCCCCGACAGTGCGGGTTACCTTCGTTCGAGGTGCAATGGCGGCTAGTCGCACTCGAACATGCATATGTTGCTTTTGGGGGCGGCATAAACGGTTGCGTACATGGACCGTAGATAGTCTCGATGGGTCTGTTTGCGCGGGCACTCGCGCTAGCAAAGCTTTCTCCATGTTTCTCACAAAGAACCTTTCGCGCATCAGAACCTATGTCCTAGCTATGCCAAGAGGAGAAGCCAGTCCCGAAGCGATACCTGGCTATGGCCATTGACTTTGGACAGGGTCGGGAGTCGATCGTTCGTGGCCACCACTCCGGTCACATCGTGCCTGTCTTGGACCCGGGTGGACCACTAGGGCCGAGGCAACCGTGGAGAGAACAAGCTAACCAGCCCACACCAGCACGAAGGCGTTAGAAAGACACAACTTCGGCCACCAGCCACTGCTATTCCTTTCCGGACTAGACCGGGACTCTATTTCGTGTTCTGGGTGTTTTGCGTGTGACCCGGTTCTAGCGGTCTTTTTGGGTCCCATCATTTTTCTTTTCGGTCGGCACTACCGCACGTTGGCGGCGAGCTTGAAATCTGAAACAAAGCGAGTTGACCGTATCAACACTAGTGGCTTCGACGGAACACGCGTTTTCGAGGCTGCGGTGGGCACTAGTGCAAGCCGGGGGCTTGGCTGCGCCCCACGGTCCGTCGAAAATCGAGACTACGGCGTGTTGTAGCGGTGTGAGGGGGCAAATGCGATAGGCGCTGGTGGGTTTTCGTGGTATACTTGCTTATTTCTGCGTGAGTCGTGAGTTAGCCTCGGTCTGTACTCTGTTGTATCGGGAGGTGTTGGATGGGCCCGGGCTTGCGGTGGCACACGAATGGCGTCCCAATTGGGTAACCAGTGGTGCCATCCTGGAAGTCATCGGCTTTTGATTGCAATTCATTCTGTGCGAGATTGAGATTCCCTGTCTCACTCGCTTTTTTTTTTTATCAGCTTACGACCTCTGACGGTGTCTCGCTTGGGCATTGGGCGCACCGTTGCCACCAGTATACCACGGATATTAATTGGGGTATCTGGATCACTCAATCCTACGCGGGGTCATACTATCGCGCGATTATTGCACTGCAACCTTCTCATTCGGCGAGACTAATTGGCTGGGGAACGGGCAACGACACACTAAACCCAAAAAAAAAAAACCACCGCATTTACCCGGCTGCAGTGGCACTTGCCTATCTACGCTCCCCTACGGAGTACTCCTAGTGCTCAGTTTCACCCATGGTCCTCGCGTGCACGGTGTATCCCTGCGGCCGCAAATGCCAGCAACGTAGGCCAAGCGAGCAGAAGTGCGGGGGGACCCTCGGCTAACCAGTTTCAAGGGCACAGCATCCATGGGACCGCCAGACAGTCGGCCAGCACGTCTTGCACCGCGGGCCGTTTATCGCGGAACCACACACCCCATCATTTGCCCGGGGAATTCTATCATCACTCGGGCCCCTGTTGTGGGCAATGGTAGTACTCAGGTGGATGATTGTGGTATCTCTGGTCCAGATATGCACTCGCAATCCACATCCACTTGAACCTCAACTTTGGGACCAGACAAGGACCTTGAGGGAGTTTATCTCACGCGGCGAGTTCCGAATCCCACTGGCACTAGCTCTATCACAGGGAACCGGTCAATTTTACCTCGTTAGTAACCAAGGCCCAAGCCCCAAGCCCTAAGCTGGGATAGGCGTGTGGGAAACCCGGCCCTCGGTATCCGCCGAAGTTCTCCGGACTCTCCACCGATGAGCGAGTCGATCATCCAAATCCTGCTGCCCGCCCCGGGGGAGTTTGCCACTGGCTACTTCTCCCGACGCTAGGCCCAGCGAGGTACTGAGTCCCTGGCGAGCCGGCATTTGAGCCGTGGGAAGGGGCCTCTGTGCCTGGGGATAGCCTTTTCGTCCCCCCCCTGCTTGCCGTGCCGCTCGCAACCTTCCGGTCGGTAGTCACCTTGGACAACGTGCGCGAACCTACACTTGGACCTCTTCTCCCCGTCACAGACAATAGCTGCCAAAAGCTGCCAAAAGCGCCACGAGCTATCGCCAATGTGGCGGACTCCGGAAGGTGGATGGGCCACATTGGTTTGGGCAAGATCTGCTGTGCATCTTCTACTCCATTTCTGCGGACAATCCGTATGGTTTGTACATACTTTTACAAGTCCCCATGAAAATTAGCATCGGGCGCGCTATCCAACTTCGGGAAACCCCAATGAGACACTCCTCCCCGGCTGAACTTGCACTAGGCCCACGGTCTAGCAATGCGACTAGGGCCAATGGAACTTTCTCGACGCCGTAGCAGCACCGAGCTCGACTGTCTTCGCCACCAAAGCGCAACAATCTTCAGGCACAGAAACAGAGTTTGCCCTCGTGTCCGTGAAAGCTGCGACGCTTCGGGGGGAATCGTGGAAGGGTGGGCTTCCTACCCACTCGTTCCACCTACTGCTGGGCCGCGGCCGGTGAAGCACCAACCAGACCACCCGCGCTGGACCTCGCGATAGCAAATCGCAGTCTCTCAGCGATGCCAAGGGCTCCCCCAAAATGCGGAGGTAGGCATCTCGGCTCGTGGCGAAAACGAAAGCCCTGCATTTTCCCCTGGATCGGACAGTGGGCATATACTCCTGCATTAGGGCGAGTGTCCGTGATGATCATGCATGGCCCAGCCAACGAAGCGGCGTCCAGGGTCCCCAAAAGTCCTTGATGGGGCAACTTGCAGGTGTTCCGGTCATTGCGTCCCTTCTCCTCAAATGGGCCATCTGCAAACTGCAATCTATTCAAAACACGGGTAGCCCCGGGGGCGAACCCGCTCTTACGAACCGCCCACCGCGCAGCTGGGAACCGATTCTTCCACGTCCGCTGGTGGGCTTGCAGGAGCAGGAGCAATCCTCCGTCCAAACCTTCCAATCAGGCCAGCACGGGGATTTGAGAGGTACCTTGCAGGGACCCAGTGGACTTGCGCAACTCACCACACAGTCCCACTCTCTCCCACCCAACACGTCCCCCATCACGTAGCTGAGACGGAAGTCCGTATCGTGCGCCGTCCGCAATCTCTGGTAACACTGGATCCCTCCTCGGGGCAAGCGTCTCCCGCCCAAATGACGCGATTCCCGCGCTCCAGCCGAAACCCTATCTGGCCCAGGCCACTTTCTGGTTCGCGAGGTCATCGCCAGCTATCGCCTGCGCACGATGCTGCTCCCTGCCGCGCCCAATTGACACAGAGCCTGCCGCGGAGTATTCCCGAGCCCACTCGCGATGGAGCCAAACCAGGGCCAGCGCCAGACGCCATATCCTATCTGTCTCTCTCTCCCAGCCGACGAACCCACCGTTCCCGGACGCTACTCGATCCCTGTCCTTTCTCCGACTCCAGACTCCATCACTGTGTACATCTCCCGGGCACGGTGGAAACCACCAGATCCTGAACGTATTCCGTACATCCTTTCTATACGGGCTCTCCAATATTGTAACTCGGATCCACCCGACGCACCAGCAAATCCCTGATGAGCCGTTTCGTATCGTATCTGTGCGACGGGGCATGGATCCTCAGCGTGCCGTGAATTTGCCTTTTCTCGCGCGATCGAGATCGACGGCCCGGCTCCATCTCAGATGGTATGGCCCGCTGTCCAGCCAACTAACGATCCCACACGGTCTCTGGGGCTCTCGCTGTCCATCCCGTACGTAATATGATATCGGAGATTTTCGTATCTTTTCCAGCCTGGCAATGGGAAGACCATGAGTCCACCGTGCCTGCGGGGCAGAGGATGTGCCTTATCGGGTTTACACATTAGGTTGGTAAACGATAAAGAAGCTGCAACCGCAGGCCGGCCACTCGACGAAGTAGCCCGTCACGCGCTGCGAAGGCTCTTTTGGAAAGCGCGGCGACGCCGAGCGCTGCTAGTGAATACCTTGTCTCATTCTAGCTCCAATCCACATTCTTCAGTTATGCGAACTGCCCTGCCAGACTAATAAGTGGCACGCCTGCACGTGCTGTGCGCAGTGGACACCCAGCTCGCCAGCGTGCGCTCATCGCGCCCGTATACTGGCTGCCTCGGTCAAGTCAAGACGGGCGGGGAGCGGGTCTCCCAAAGAGCGACGCAGTTGTACAGACGCCAGCCCCGACACAACACACAACCCAGCGAGCCTCCAATGGAGATACAGAAAGGAAATACCTATTGTGTACAGCGCAGCCAGGCCCAGCTCAGACCCGCGCGGCTCGTACGGTATAAGATGCCATGCCAGCCGAGGCGGTCCGGTGTGCTTTTTTGCCGACCAAGTAACTCCTGTCGTGCGCTACAGAGTCCAGAGTCCGAACCGGTTGCTATGTAACCTTTCGCCGGCGTTTGATATCTTCGCGGCTCCATCGGTCCCAGAGAGTGAGGTTCAACGGATTTAATCGTACCATTGCGTCTAATTTCGTAGGCCGGTACGCTACGGGATTCCGTGCTCCAGTGCGGGTTGTTTCAATTCGGAGCAATTTGGAGATATGGAGCTTAGGCCTCGGCCGAGCCGCGACGGGTTGTCGTTGCGTGATTGTGCGTGGGATGATAGACGCTCGATCCAGCCACGGCGCGGCAATGCACGGGGGTCCAGACGGTGCCTTCGCTTGATAAGTTCAAGGGCTACTTTACGTGTTTGCTTTACGAGCCCGTGTTGCTTGGCCGGTGCAGCATATAGCTATGTGCAACTATGCTCAACGGGCCCGGAGAAGGGTCCTCGAAGAAAACTCTGATACCCGATACTCGCAGCTGGCCAGCATAGAGGTAGCTTAATGCGTAGGCCCGACGCATTCACAAACTTGAAATCACCAGGGGGGAAAAAAGAAAGGGAAAGGCCTCAGTGGATGGTTACAGTAAGATCACGCTCCGAGTAGGAGTCAGTCTCTTCCTATCATATATTCCATTATCCTCATCATCAGCCAAAAAATAATATATGAGAAGAGAAAAGGGAAAAACATCTCTCTGAAGAGAAAAGTGTGCCTCGATGCACTTACCTAATACGCGAGCTTTGTTAGCGGAGTCAGGAAGAACTATTGTTCCGATACGCATCCACCCACGGCCATAAATTCTTCGTTCGCGCGGCGCCCTTCTCTTCTCTTCTTTTTTTCTTCTTCGTGCGGCGGCGCAGCTTCAAATTAAATACCTACCCGTGTTGCTTGGACGTCCACGGCCTTTGTCAAAGGGGCCTTCAGTGATGTTACCAGGTGTCGGTTGCGCCACAGAAGAACGGAATTGCACCCCGCTTCTTACTTTATTGGTCTTTCTGATTTTTCAAGGATGAGACCATTTGGTTTGGGATCGGACATACCTTTTTAAAACGCCCTCGAATGTTGTGGGTTATATAGGCAGATTTACACTTTCGTACTGTTGGACAAATGAAAAAAAAACCATCTTGTGTGAAACACCTCTTTCTTTTTGTGGCATTTGCCGCCCTGCGTAGTCTGGTAGCTCGACCCTCCCGATACAGTCCTAATCCTGGTCCTCACTCTTCGCGCCTTGGTATATCCCGGTGGTCTTTCGTTGATCGCTCTCGTGAAGGTCTACCATGCTAAAGTCTCTTGAACAAAAATCAAATGTAGTCTCCTGTCCAGCCAGCCTCTACCATTACTCGCCAGGCTCATCGCCGATTTTCTCCAGCTTGCCCATGACCCTCTTCTCGCCTGCATCGCCAATAATGCGAATCCGGTCCACGCGCAGCTTCTCGCTGTCCCCGTCGCCGTCCACGAAGAACAAAACTAGCGAGGTCACGTTCTGGAACTTGACGAATCGCAGATCAACCGTCGCCGTCCCTGTCTTCGCATCCCACTGCTCCGGCTGGATCTCGATCGTCTGCACGGGGTTGGCGTCCTCCGCCTGCTCGAACCCAAGCACATGCGAGGTGTTGGTGTAGAGCTTCAGGGTCCGCGGCCGCATGGGCAGCTCGTCGTCGTCGTCGCCTTCGCCGGCAGCGGGTGGGAAAGATGTCACATGGAGCGAGTGAACCTTGAGCTTGGACTGGAAGGGCACGTAGAGCATGAGCTGCTCGTCGGTGTCGCTCTCGACCCAGTCTGCACCGCTGCTGCTGCCCTCGTCCGTGCCCTTGCCCTTCCCTGCTAGGGCCGATGGCTTGGAGGTGTCGAACAGCACGCGCGGCTCGCCGAACTGGTTGTCCCGGTTGAGCAGATCCAAGCCCTTGGTATCAACCTGGTCCGTCACGTCGGTGTACCGCGCAGCTACCTCGGCGCCCATCCAGCCAGCGCCGCTTCCCTCGCCAGATCCGCCATCAGACTTGGTTGCTTCCGATGCGAGCCTCCGGATCACTTCGTTCAATTTCTGAGGGTTGGCGCCGGCGACCGTCTCGATCTTGCGGCCGGTGTCGAAGACGATGAAGGTCGGGTATCTGCAGCATCGGGGTATGGTCAGCCAGGGTCATTCGTAGTGCTTTTCTCTCTCGTATGCTCGTAGGTGGTAGGGAGGTCTGCATCGGACTACATACGCACGGACGCTGTATGCCTGCGCAAGCTCCTTCTGGTTGTCACCGTTGATCTTGGTGAATGTGATGTGGTTCGGGCGCGACAGCTGCTGCGCCAGGGAATCGTAGACGGGAGCGATGGCTTTGCAAGGACCGCACCAGTCGGCATAGACTATTTGTTCACCAGATGTCAGTCAGTGTCTTCTGTTCTGCGATTTTGAAGGTTGGTGGTTCCAGGGTAGAGGCGGAGCTCGAAGCTCGCGCGGAGTTAAACTCGGGAGCATCACACTTACAGTCGGCGACAACAAAGCGCGAAGAGCTCAGCAGTGTGCTGAATTGCTCAGTGGAGGATATGTTGATGACGGCCATGGTGGACGGTTTTTGGGGGGTGGTTTGTAGAGAGGGGAGATGGCGGGGAGTCGGAGGAGGTTGTTTTGCCCGGTCTTCCAAGTATGTCACCCGCCCCTCGGAGTCAACCCAGTTGAGTCCCGCAACATTTCCATGAAAAGTCTGTAAGGTAGTCGAGCCAGAATGGTCCTGGTATTTACATCGGAGGAAAGATTGAATCGTGTTCCGAGTGTTTCAATTCCAACCTACCTGCAGATGGTCTTCCAGGCATCGGTCACCGACCGTAAATCTTCAATATATATTGATGCCTGCCGCCAGTGGGAGTAAGGTTATCCGGCGGGTTTCCACTCTCCACCTCATCAGTTCCGAGTACACTCGTCTGAATTCTATATCCTACAACTTCTGAGCTTGCTCTAGTGTAACTAGAAGAGTGAGAAGCACAGGTATACCCAAGCATTAGATTTGGAGACCTCCAGCTGTTAATGAATAGAGTGCTTTAGGGTACTATGTATCTGTCTAATAATATGCCGACAAGCAAGATAGACATCGCAAGTCTCGGCCGTATACTCGCAGAGAGACCCGATACTGTTTATAAATTTTGGACTCATGGACTGCCGATTAGGGAAACCGGTCAGGGTCTGCGAGGAGGACGGAGTGCTGCCAGCAGACCAAACAGCTGCTTGATCTGCAGACCATGTCGAGAAGGCTAACTCCCTAGGTAGGGCTGACAGCATATCCGGGGCTCGACTATAGAGTCATGGCCATGGTATTGCTGTCAAGCTCCTGTGCTCGTAGAGCAAGGAAGCTGAGTAGTCTGGTAGAAGTTCAGATCCCACCAACTAGGCTCCCTCACCTATGGATGTCCTGGAGGACAAAGATCTGGTGTGGCAAGAGTCGTATGGCGGATAGTATGACAGCCATGCCTGACTGACATAATGAATGTAGCCGCCAATATCAAAATGTTCCGAATCCGGAGCCATTCAGGTCCGCCTCTCAGCCATCATCCTCAATGGCAAAAAGCACCTTCAGCCAGAGACTGCACCCCCGGCACCCAATAACGATCTCGCCATGCTCCGACTCTCTCTCCAAATCTTCTTCCGTGACCGAAAACCCCCTCTCATCCCCACACCGACAGCCGCGATACCAGCAGGCGCCGGGCCCGTCATCCGCACCATGCTCATCGCACGCAAGATCCTCCAGATCCACAACCTCCAGCCCAGTATGGAAGACGTCGCCGGTCTTCTCTCGTTCCGCGACCTTCAACCGGTCCAGTCTCAGCGCGCGATCATACTCTGCCCGCAGTGTCGGGTCGCATAGAGCCTTATACGCAGTTGTAATCTCATCAATGGTATACGCCCGCTGCCGCGAAGCGTCCTCGCCCGACCGCGTAAGAAACCCATCGGAACTCGCTGATCCCCTTATTCCTGCGTCCTGTGCGACAGCACCTGCCTTGTCGGGGTGATGCTTGAGCAGGGCTCTGTGGTACGCGAGTTTGATCTGTTGCTTCGACAGGCCTGCCGACGACCCTGTGAACGGGATACCGAGGATCTGGTAATAGTCGGCATGGGCGGTAGTTGATCTCGTCATTCTGAAGGGGTCTTTTTGTTCTCGTCGCTCGCCGAGTGCAGTGTGGCTGGTAGTCGTGCGCTGTGCAGAGCTGGGCTGGGCGGGGGCCAGTCAGAGGCGCACCCCAGGTTTCGGCGCACAGTCGCGAAGTTTGGCGGAGAGGCCCAACCGTGTACAAGCAAGGATCCTGGCTCTCCGGGGCGTTGAAAATGCGGGTTTTGAGGGTGAGTCCTGGTCTTTTTCTGGGGTGTGCGAAGATTTAAAAGGTCGGCCTATCGATTTCACGCGGGAGGTGCCCGCCACTCCGGGCCCCGCGGATCTCAGCGACAACACACTCTGCCTTTTCGTTGTACTCCGTGCTCTGCTGCCACTTACAACCTCGCTGTCTTATCTCATATGGATGCGGCGTCATCTTGCAACACGGCCAGTACTGGGGTTTCGGGTTTCATTATTCCTGAGGAGGACTACGGGTTCGCAATTCTTCGACGAGATGGCCAAAACAACCCAAGTGCTCCCGAGAGTTCTCGTTATCACTGCCGAACTGACAAGGCAAGATGGAAGGAAATCTAATCAAGTCACATTTGAAACGATCTAAGATCACTATCTCTAAAGATCGGGAATCATTTCGGATATCAAACAGGTGAAAGGAAACTGAGCAGTCTATGCAGGCAGATGAAACCCCTAGTCTAACGGGGAAGCGTACACTCCAAATCAGGCAAAACGATCATCTTACTCAGAGGTCTTGAAGACGAAGCGGTCCTCCGGCTTGATCTGGAAGGGCACACCGTTCTCGAGGAGCTTGACATAGACCTCAGCGAACTCCTTGAAGAAGACATCGCTGTCCTTGGCATAGCGCTCGACATGCTTCTTGAATCCCTTGTCCTTGACGAGGGCCATGTCAGCGGGCAGCATCATCAGAGTGGAGGTGGTTTTGTCGGTGAACTGAGCCGGGCCGTTCCACTTGCGCTGGTTCCACTTCTCCTCGACGAGCAGGCGGAAGAACTCGTTGCTGAAGACGGTAGGGCTGAAGTTCCAGGGGCCCTCGAAGCCGGAGCGGTCAGTGTGAGCACGGCCCAGGGCGTGAGCACCGATCAGAGCGACCATCTCACGGTCATCGAAGCCCATGCGGCCGAAGACGTCGCGGATGTGGCGGTGGTCCTTGGTGGCATCGGGCAGACGGCCGTCGGGAGTGCAGGCGGCGACGTCCTTGTCCTGACGACCGGGTCTCCAGGGGATGACGGGACCGCCAAGCTCCTGGATGGCGGCAGAACCGGCCAGAGTCCAGAGATCGGAGTAGGTGATCCAGGGGAACTTGGCCTTGACGGGCTCGAGGAAGTCGCGGGCGAGCTTCAGACCGGCGTTGGCGCCGTGGTCAGACTCGGGGGCGAAACGCATGGTAGCACCGTTGCTGCCACCAGTGCCGGTCTCCTTGTCATAGGTACCGCTAGCGTGCCAGGCGAGACGAACGAGGACCTATTGAGATGGGGAAGACTGAGGTTAGTGGCGCGTTCTTGTCCTCCATCGTTCAACCTTGATGGAGAAGGGTGTCCATTGCTAACTTACGGGACCATAGCTGCCGTCGTCGTAGTCGGTCTCGTTCGCCAGACGGTGGGCAATCTCATCATACACCTTCTGGTAGTCCTCCTGGGTGGGGACGAAGGGACCCTTGGTGGACTCGCCGGTCAGGTAGAAGTACGCACCAGCGCCACCAGCGACGGCGAAGGCCAAAGCAGCCCAGATACCGCCAGAGCCACCCTTCTTAGCGTCAGCCTCAGAGGCATATCCGCGGCGAGCAGAGGCACGGAAGCCCTGGGCGGGGACAGCGAACCGAGCAGAGCGCGCGGCCGGACGGAACGAGGAGGTCGCCGGGGTCGAGCGCAGGAAAGCCCGAGAAGCGGAACGAGCAGCCGAGGCCATTGTGATCAGATGAAGAGCAAGGAAGGAACGGAAAGGGTGGTATTCACACAAGAGCAAAGAGAAGGGATGGAAGGGAGAACAAACAGGTCAGATCCGGGAGAAAAAGGAAGAAGCCGAGGAGGCCGGTTACTTGTACCCCCCCGGCCATTATCCGACGCTCCCCCATAAAAACCCAGGGAACCATGTGTATCTACGGCCGCAGAAGCGGCGGGAATCCCGGCCAATTACTTGGGCCATACTCGCGATTGCCTCGGTATCGGGCTCTCCGCATTTTGTCTTGCCGCTCCTCAGGGCGGCGCAACCAAACCACCCATGGTTCTTCCGAGTTGTCTCCCGGCGTGCGCCGATCAAAGGCAATCCCGGCCGTGCCGGATTCTGGTTATCCCCTGATGCCAACTCCCAACGCTTTCCTTCGTCCGGCCATGCCTGTGAATCTCATTATGTACACTCGTCAGCTCCACATCTGTCGCGGTGGAACCGTAATTACCAACACGAAAGCTCTGCTTGGCTGCGCGACCGAGTGGCTCCACTGTGACTGTCCAGCCTCCTCCGACCGGATCGCTTACCTCATCGAACGGTCTGGATTTGGGGGCTTGCTAATAAAAGTCATCTACATCGTCATCTTAGTACCTACAGTATATCAGTGTCAGCGGTGACCATTCCTTTGGGATCGGTTGATTTGAAATCTCAATCCATGGCTACACTCGATACTCGTGCAGAATTTGTTGACCACCAAGCACGGTGGTTCACGGTTCATGAACTCTGCAGATCTGCTTGAGCTCCAATGGACCAACAGATCGATCAGCGACCAAATACGGACTTTCATAGAAACATATCTTGGTTGCTGCTGTTGTTTGCGATAGAATTATCAGAGCCAGTTCGTAGTTAGAAGTGGCGCTCGATATTATTACATATTGGAACCTGCAGCAATGGAAGCACAATATATATTGACACCTAGGTAGCAGAAAATCCTCTGCTGTAATACAAAGAGGTAATCTTGCATTGGTCATCCTTTTTTTGCAATCAGTATGCCACTGTCTACCTACAGGTTGCGAGAAAGCCCCTGCAAGTCAAGGGGAGCATCTCAAATCTTTGATCTTTTTGTGACTGCTGAGTGGCAATCAAATTACACTTCGGCAATGCCGGAGTAATGCTCGAGGGGGGCATCGTTTTTTTTTCCCCCTCCAACCAGGCTTCGATTTTGTGTTCTTGTTAGTACCTTGACGAGTTCCATTCGACCTCCTGCCATGCTCGTCCTGCAACTGCGTCTAGAGTGTCTCCTTTTGATCGTTGGGCTCTCGTTTGTGTGCGTGTGTCGAGGCGATTATCTACGAGCTATCGTCGCATGGATGGAGCAGGCATATCGAGGAATTTCAGCGGCTTCAGTTGAGCTATTTGCAATCTGATCTCCAACAGACTCGAGTTGGCAATACCCGTGTCCTTGGATCAAAAAACGGCTACCTAATCGCATCGCATGAAGCAATGCTAGGGGAATGTACTGTAGGTACGTGTCGTGCTAGGTACTGGTAACCGGAAGGGCCGGTGTATCGGCAGAAACTTCGTCAAAAGTTCCAAAGGACCATTAAAATTCACTCCATTCAATTGCATTGTAAATTATTGACTGAGATGTTCGTCGTAGAAAAGTCCTGCTACTCGATTGGGGCGAGCACCAGGGTGGAGTAGACGCAGCCCTGCTAGAAGCTGTTTGGTTTTGTTCTCCCACGAACGAACGATAAAAATCACCCATGAAGCGTCCAGTGCCACCAAGAGGCACCACGCGGGTTATGTGGGTTTCGAAGCATTACGCTGTCGACCTGGAAAGTCACCAGTCTGAGGGCTATGGACCGATCCTCACATTATAGGACCGACCCACGGCTCTTAGAGGCCCGAAGGCTGAGAAGGTGAAGGAAAGAAGAGAAGGGAGGCGAGAGCGAAAAGTTTTGAAAAGAGAGGGAGGGCAATAGCTCCCCACGTGACAACCACACTAACGCCGTGCCAAGTCACGTGCACAGGGCCTACTTGGTGGAAAATTTCGAGCGCACTCCTTTCTCCTCCTTACACTTTTTACAAAATACGAACGCATAATCAACCTCCAATTCCTCTATGCCATAGGATGGCAGGTCATATTGGCGTACTAGAAGAATCTTTTGGGTATTTGTGACTCCTCGACGGCACAATTGGAGCTTTCCAGCTCCCTGAGTGCAGTGGTGGATGCGAGTCACCTGCTGCTCGTACATTCCATGGCTTATGGAAGCTATTTGATCTGTAAACGCGATGGGATGGTCTAGTATCTGTTGGATACGTAGAAAGCTTGTGCCAACTATCCTGCCAGGGGCGCCAGACTGATCTTCCCATCGGCTGGGCTTGAGGCTTGCAGCTGGGCTGTGATGGGATTGAGCTTCTAGAAGCACCCCAGAAACGGAAGTCCCTTCGCCAAGCGTTGCAACACAATCTTTGGTGGAGCTGGAAATAGCCTGCCAGGGGTGGCCGCGCGTAACTCTAGAACTCTAGAAGCTTGGAGAGGTCCGACTGGCCCAGAAGCCCAGAGTTGCAGAGCGGATTCCGGGGTGCAACTCTGAAGTTTGGTAGTGCCCCTCGCAGATTCTCCGGTCTGGTCGGTCTCGGGCCCTGATCTTCCTGCCCTGATCTTCCTGCCCTGATCCTTCTCCGCCCACCTTAAACAAGTCTTCTTCCCCTATTCCGTTCGCTCCGCAATCCTTGTATTGTGTCCATTCCTTTAAACTCTTTCACCATGCCGAGTGGCATCAGCAAGCGCCAGCAGCTGCGGAACGAGAAGACCCTCGCCGAGCTGATCCGAACGGTCCCTGGCAATGATCGTTGTGCCGATTGCGATGCCTTGACCCCAGGTTCGTCCTCTTCCCGATACCTGACCTGTGTCTCTCGAAAAGGGCTAACACATGTCTCCAACAACAGGATGGGCAAGCTGGAACGTATGCCTCTCTCCCTGACCTTCGTAACCCCTACACCCGCATCCTCAGACTGATCGTGTGTCTCCGAACAGATGGGTCTTTTCCTGTGTATGCGGTGCGCCGCAATCCACCGCAAGCTGGGCACACATATTTCCAAGGTCAAATCTTTGACAATGGACACCTGGTCTTCGGAACAGGTTGATGTGAGTGTATTTTTCCTTTGTCTCAGGTCGAACCCCCGGAACTGACTGGTTTGGCGTTTTATCTAGAACATGAAATCGCACGGCAACTTGCTCATGAACAAGATCTATAACCCCAAAAATGTTCAGCCACCTGTTCCGACCGACATTGATGAGGCCGACTCATGTATGGAACGGTTTATCCGGCAGAAGTACCAGTACCGATCGTTAGAGAACGGGAAGCCGAAGCCCCCGAGCCGGGACGATGCCAGCTACACCAGGAGCCGTGACAGGAGAGATGAGAGCAAAGACGAGAGGAGAGAGGAGAGGCGGGAAAGGCAAAGGGGCTATGATGACTACCACCGAGATGATATCTCTCCTGAGGGCTCGCCGCCCCCGCCGCCGCCCAAGTCTGGCAAGTTCTTTGGGTTTGGCCTTCGATCAGCTTCCTCGACATCGAACCTGCGCCGATTTGGAAACAAGCACAAGGAATCGCCCTCGCCTCCTTCTGATCAACGATCCTGGTCCCCGCCTCCTCGCCAGAAGACCGGACTTGGTGCACCCGTTGCGGATGTGACGACTGCCTCGTTCGAGGCGAAAATGGCCGCACTGCGGGATATGGGCTTCATGAATGATCGGCGGAATGAAATGGTCCTTCGCGGGCTCAGTGAGAATTTGGATAAGTCCATTGAGACATTGGTCCGACTGGGCGAAGGAAGCAATCCTGTATCACGGACCAGAACTCCCGCCCCGACCAATAACACATTGACTGCTGGGGCTACAGTGACCTCGAAACCGGAGACACCAACCAACCCATTCGACATGCCTACTGCGACAAACGTCAACACAGCCCCTCAGCAGGCCCCTCCGCAGTCACAAACTGTGTCATATAATCCGTTTGACCCACCGAACCAGACACCACAGTCAGCGCGGCCTTTGGAAGCATCCTTCCAGAACCTCCAGGTCTCCCAGCCGCTCTTCCCGCACTCGACCGGTGGATATCCAAGCCACACAGGCTTGATGCCACAAGCTACTTATCAGCAGCCAATCACTCCGCCGGCCACGTCAACATTCTCCCAGAGTGGCTATGTCTCATCGCCCCAGGCAATGGACAACAACTACAATCCGTTCTTCCAAACAGGAGCCCAGCCGCAGGGCGGCATGGGTACGCAATCGTTCCCCAACCCTAGTGCGCCACAAAATAATCCATTTTTCAACACCACCTCGCAAAACCCTTATATGCAACCTCAGACACAACAGAATGGTGCATCGGTGCCAACAATTGCGCATCCCCGGCAGCCTCAGCATGCAAACACCATGCCGGCAATTTCTTCAACCTCGCCATTCGGCACCTCTCCATTTGGCACATCTCCTTTCGGACCATCGCCTTCTTTCCAAACACAGCAGCAGCCACAGCAATTCCATCAGCCCCAACAGCAGACCCAGAGTGTTACCCAGGGATCTTACAATCCGTTCCAGGCAATGGGACCGACCAACTCGCAGAGTGTAGGAGGCTACTCCAATCAATTCCAGCCTCAGCAGCCGCAGCAGCTGATGCCTCAACACACGGCCCGCATGGATAAAAACAGCATTCTCTCCTTATATAACGTTGCTCCATCTCCCTCTGCCATCCCTCCCATCCCCGAACAGTTTCAGTCTCAGTTCCAGCCTAGCACGGGAAGCAGCCCCGTCCCCCCTCTTACAAATTCCCTCAACTCTACACCCCTGACCCAGCCTGGCTCAAACATCCAGACCCCCCAACCCAGCGCCAACACTGCTGCTACCGCATCCCGCAACCCATTCGGCGCTGCAACTATCGGTTCGGGTCTGGCAGCTCAAGCAGGCGTGTCGGCCTACCCGCCCTCCTCAGGCTTGGGCATTGGAATGGGCGCCAACGGCACCATAGCCGCTGCTTCGGCAAACGGCATGAATATCTCGCCCTTCTCAGGCCCGCCACCGGTCAATCAAGCCTTCCCAAGAACCCACATGAGCCAGCCGAGCGTGGATGTCAACGGCCTGCAGAACGGGCGCCACAGCCCCGATGCATTTGCCAGCCTAAGCGCGCGCTATGGCTGAGCTTTTCTATCTGATGAGACCTGGACTCTGCCATGCCATTTGTCTGTTCCTGCGACTCTAAGGCGGGGATTTTGTTCTTTGCATACAAGTAGATGTGGATATGGTTATGGATACGGATTGATACTGCTAACGACAGGGATGTAGATGGGATCGACGAGATGTGGTTACATGTGCATGGCTGGGTGCATCTTGAAATTTGTCTGGTCTATCTTACTCTTTAATTTGTGTGTTCATTTACTCTTTCTTTTCAGGCTTTCTTTTATTTTCCTTGTCTTCTTCTGTACAAGATTGTTTTATCTCTTTCCTTTATATTTTTTCGCCTCCGATTAGCGGGTCAATGGTACATATTTCTTTCTTGGTTTTTTTTTTCTGGAACTCGGTCTCGGTTGTATAGTATGTACATAACTACATAGATCGCTGCTTACCTCAATGCACCACGTCAGCTTGCACCCGAGTCTCTTCTTTCTCGCACGCTTTTTATCGGCACTATATTTCTCCTGCACTAAATACAGTCTAGTCCCAAGCGCAAAACCCGTCACGTGAGTTTCGGGGTCTTCTGCATGCCTCAGACTTTAAATACTTCATCTTTCAAACTGCTGTAGGTCAAGTGCAGGTTCGGTGCGCTCAGGTATGTCACAGCCAAAAAGTATTGTTGGTGGAACAAGGAGATTAATTTGATAGTATCTCAGTGTTTGACTCTATTCAGCTTCTCTGCATCTTCGCACGATGGTATTTAGATCATCGAGGAGGTCGCTCAGTCTCTATAAATCAGTCCATCAGTTTAATCGCCCCCGAAGATGTGTTGCAGGCAGTCCAAGTAGTCTTTACGATCAACAACCATCTCGCTTTCCATCGTACAACCTCTTTCGGCCCTTCAGCATCTTCCACCCGCGATACGATTTTGGAACAACGGTTCGTATCCTCTCACTGGGTGGGGAGTCCTTGAACGAGGCAACGGTGCAGTCGTTCAATCACAAAGTGGGCGATTATGTGGAACAGCACGATGTGCTGGCAGTTATCGAAACCGACAAAGTTGCAATGGAAGTATATGCTCCTGAGACGGGCGTTATACAACACATCTTTGTTGAAGAAGGAGACATCGTCACCGTCGGTCAAGCTATTGCTGAGATTACCGTTAAATCCGAGCCTGGAAACGCAAGGAATAAGAGCGCTTCGAGTGAGAAGTAATAGCCTTTCGAAAAAGCTTAGATCCTTGTTCGAGACAGATATTCTCTGACGAAAGCACCCGCCGTCTTCCGAACGTGAGGAAGCGCGCTTGCGTATTGATGAGGTGACGAATAGGCGAGGAGGTTAGAGTTGGGGATTCAACCAGTTTTGTCTGTCTTGAGGCTCTAAATACTTTCATATGTTCAGAATATACATCAGAATTTCATATTGAGACCAACATGGACCTAACGGACCAATATATACAAATATCCATGTGCCCGATAAGCTTTGCCATCATCCGCTTTGAAAAGTGAGTTTGTCGAGTGAATGGAACTGGGATGCTCGCGGTGGATAAAGCTAAGAAATAATCCGACTGAGTTGTAGGTAAAAAAGGACCACACTGTCACAGGTATTGACTTATCTATACATGAGAAAGGAAAGACATTAGGTAGAGAGGTTCTAAGGATCAGCAACAGGCCCGCCAAAAAAGCCAGAAGTCAGATAACGGCGCCCATTAAGACCATAACTCGTGTTCATCGAATTCCTGCTTCCTGTTGGACGGGCCACCCAGCCACTCGGGCCATGAAAACGAAGGTACCGAGAACGGAATCCGGTCCCAGATAGTGGGCGCTGGAGCCCAGAACCGTGCCCAGGGCGAGGAAGCGCGAGAGCGCTTACTCCACGGCCAGACGGTCTTGGACGGTGGGGTGAAGAGGGACTGCACCGACTGGTGCCACGAGGACCGCGGAGAGAAGTAGGACTGAACCGATCGGCGCCACGAGGCAAACGTCGAAGGACGTGATCGCGCGGACCAGGGGAATGAGAAGGAAGATGGGAAAGAATATGAGGAGGGGATAAGAGCCTTCCATCCTCGCTTCTGCTGACGCTGCGCTTCCTTCTGGAATACCTCGACGATCCGGTCAAATTGGCGGTCCCGACTCTCCTGCGCGTGTCGCCGGGTCTCGGCGCGCCATGCGTCTTGCTCGGATGAGTCTAGGCACCACACGACGACGTCGCCACGCCGCCGCCAGTCATCGTGCCAGGCAGTGTTGTAGGTGCGCCAGCACTCAGCGTAGGAAGAGCCACGGAGCAGGTTGTGCATTGTGGGCTCCAGCTGCTCGAAGAAGATGAGGTAGTCGGGCCACTCATGTGTCCATGTGTGCGTGGCTGAGGTAAATGGAGGCTGTAGGCCGGAGGCGTAGCTTGGTCGCGAGGGTAGATAGCGCAGTCCTCCTTTCATGTTGTCGCGTAGGAAGTGGGACGGGTCATCGTAGAATTGGTCCGCTTCGTCGCGATAGACGGCCTTTTCGGCCTCGGTGCGATCGATCGGCGGCTCGCAGGACAGTGCCCATGCGCCGATAGTGGGATATACGAGGTGCGATCGCCATGGGGTGCTATGGCACGGCATCAGGAATCCAGCTGTTATTCCGGTCTCCCCTTGTGTGTCCAGCGAAGGCACGGAGGATGACGAATGGGCTTCATGTTGGTGGCGCAGGTAGGTGAGGACATCCAGGACTCCAGACGCGTGGTAAAGGGTCGTATATAGGGCAATAAACAGGTTGGCAAGCACGAGAAAGATGAGAGTGAGCCTCTGCGGAGTGAAGGCGCTTGACGACCGCGAGTATACTGCTGGATAAAAAAATTGCACGAGGGGTGGCGCTGCCAGAATGTGCAGGGATGGCAGCAAAGGGTAGATGAAGCGGACTTCTTTATGCGATATCAGAGACAGGACGAATGGCATGAGTAGACAAACTATCGCCAACTGCACTCGGATAGCCGTCTGCAAACTATCGGTGGCCGAGGAGGTTCGGGTTGTCAAGGTGCGGTAGAGACCGACAAGTGCGAAAGGTAACAGGGTGGTGAGCAGAAGCGGATAACCCTGCGACGCATAGTAGTGCCAATCATTCCGGCCGTAGAATACCGCCAGCGACTGTGCAATGTTGAAGTATAAGAATCGGACTGGAGGAAAGGTCCAGATTCCGTAGAACGAGCGGTCCGCGACGGCGGACAGGGTTAGGATTGTTAGTCTGTGGAACACTCAACGTCAGCAGATTATATCTTCGAAAGAAGTCAAGAAATTGACCAACCCGCAGATGATGACCTCCCGAATGAGGACCTTGCGCTGGCTCCAGCTGGTCCGAAGCCAAGCGGCGATGGCCAGCGTCGCCCAGATCAGGATGTTTGTTGGGCGGAGAATACATGCGAGGGCCGCGAGGGACAAGCATTTACGAAGACTGTGCGCGATGTGCGTCAGCGGCTGTTCTGATAGAGTTTGGTGATCCCAGCCATACCTAGACAGGAGGACCCTTTGAGACTCGGCACCGTTCCTCGCGCTGCCCGCATTTCTCTGGCGGGCATGGCCGTTCGAGGTACCTGTTGACCACTGCCAGGGCCAAAGGTCCAACGCGGCAACAGTCACCGTCGTCTCCACACAGTTTGACAGGGTCCTTGTTGAGCAGAACCATTGCCAAGGATTGAGAATCGTGACGATCAACTGTGTACCATCAGCGGATCTGCCCAACTGCGCGCAAATTTCCGCCATAATCATATCATGCAGCGCAACCACATACCGTTGTCCATGCGCCACGAGAATCTTCTCCGTAGATGCGAGTAGCTAGTTTCCAGGTATAGAAGTCGCCGATCGCGGAGATCACGGCCTGCGCCGTCTTCGGCCCGGCGATCAAAAGTTCTGCGCGCGTCGCGGCGGAGAGGCGGAGAGTGGTCGCGAGGAAGTCGGCAGCTTTGTAGATGGCGGCGAAGAAGAGAGGGTGTAGGGAGGATCGGAGCTGGTGGTGCCATTCCTATCGGAAGACAGATGGATACGCGGTTAGCGACGCGGCCTGCGATCGTCGTCGCGACAGCTAATGCCACTTACCCAGGTCACCCAGGCGCCCTGGCCCTTGCCAAACGCAATCTGCCATGCAGGCTCCAATGACTGGAAGAATTCATCGGGCTGGAAGAAGGTCCGGAGGGTGAGGGCATTGACAAGACGGAATGCGACAAGGAAGACGAAGATTTTAGCCGCTGGGAAGGAGGGCGGCTGCGGCGCGACACGACGCGACGAGGCATTGAGGGACGACATAGTCGAGGCAAATGGGAGCAGCCGAGAAATTAATCCCGTTGCTGTCACAGGCCTGAGCTTAGATAGCCCTGGGGTGGATGCCGCGGGGCGTGGAGCATGACATCAACCGGGAGGAGGGAGCGAAACGAGGCACGAGACGGCGACCAGCGAATGAAGCAGTGTCCACAGGCCGGCCCGGTACGAACAGACTCACTATTGGAGACTTGAGGGTTATTCTGGAGACGGGGGAGCAGAATCAAGCGGAGGCTCGTGTAATCCTGCGCATAGGGGACAGTGGATGTCAAGGGTTTTGGAGGCTCGCGACGACCTGCACTTAGGAGAAGGGCACCTGCACTTAGCGGCATAGCGGCGGATCTATACGCCACGCCCGCTTCCACGGATCCTCCAGCCTACATAATCGCCTCTTTTTCTGCGAGAGGGGTCGTTTCTTCTCTCTTTCATTCTTATTTCTTTCGAAGTCCCCCGACCACAGATTGGATACTGCTGGTCTATTGCTCCTGTTATTCCTGCAATACCCCCTATCCCCCAGCTTCTTCTCCGTCACTGCTTCTCCAACTCAAGTGTTCCCCGCAATCCACCATGGCCACCAACGGGAACAACGGGTCGCTCGCCCACTACCATGCAGCTTCGACTGAGGAAGCCATTCAGGCTGAGAAGCAGTATGCCGCGCACAACTATCATCCCCTGCCGGTGGTGATCGCCCGCGCCCAGGGCACCTCCGTCTGGGACCCCGAGGGACGTCACTATCTCGACTTCCTGTCCGCCTACTCTGCCGTGAATCAAGGCCACTGCCACCCCAAGCTGGTTGCCGCCCTGGTGGACCAAGCTTCGCGGGTGACCTTGAGCTCGCGCGCGTTCTACAATGATGTGTTCCCCCGGTTCGCCGAGTTCGTCACCCGCTACTTCGGCTTCGACATGGTCCTGCCCATGAACACGGGCGCTGAGGCGGTCGAGACGGGCATCAAGATCGCCCGCAAGTGGGGCTACAAGGTCAAGGGCATCCCCGAGAACAAGGCGCTTGTCCTGAGCGCAGAGAATAACTTCCACGGTCGTACAGTAAGTGACTCCTGTTCCCTCCCCTTGGCTGGCTGTGCACTGCACTCTGCGCGCGCCGCAAGAAACGGAGCTGACCATGGCGGTGCCTTGAATAGTTCGCTGCCATTTCGCTCTCCTCCGATCCGGAGTCGCGCGAAAACTACGGGCCCTACCTCCCTGGGATCGGGTGCACCATTCCTGGCACGGAGAAGCCCATCACCTATAACGACAAGGCCGCCTTGCGCGAGGCCTTCGAGACGGCCGGCCCCAACCTGGCCGCCTTTCTGGTGGAGCCCATCCAGGGTGAGGCCGGTATCGTCGTCCCTGATGATGACTACCTGCAGGAGGCTCGTGCCCTATGCGACAAGTACAATGTGCTCCTGATTTGCGATGAGATCCAGACGGGAATTGCCCGTACGGGCAAGCTGCTCTGCCACGAGTGGAGCGGAATCAAGCCCGACCTGGTCCTGCTGGGCAAGGCCATCTCGGGTGGTATGTACCCCGTCTCGTGTGTGCTTGGCCGCAAGGACGTCATGCTCACGATCGAGCCCGGTACCCACGGTTCGACGTACGGCGGTAACCCCCTGGGTTGTGCCGTCGCTATCCGTGCTTTGGAGGTCGTGCAGGAGGAGCAGATGGTTGAGCGCGCTGAGAAGCTCGGCCACCTGTTCCGGAAGGGACTGGAGGACCTGAAGAGCCCACTTATCGAGACTGTGCGCGGCAAGGGTCTGCTCAATGCCATTGTCATTGACGAGTCCAAGACGAACGGGCACTCCGCCTGGGACCTGTGCATGTTGATGAAGGCAAAGGGCTTGTTGGTATGTTATTTGGAACCGTGTTCTATTTTCCAGTCAGAGTCTTGGTGGGGACAAGCTAACGGAGAACCCTCATAGGCCAAGCCCACTCACCAAAACATCATTCGCCTGGCCCCACCGCTGGTCATCACGGAGGAGGAGATCCAGAAGGCGCTGGGCATCCTCCACGAGGCCTTGGATGAGCTCCCCAATCTGAAGGGCACGGCCGAGGATCAGATCATCCCAGCGGCGGAGAAGAATGTTAAGATCGGCCTCGAGAATTAGATCCCACCTGGGGACCGCGAACTGGTTGATCGGTCCGCTGAGGGGCTCTCACCCACGATCTCCCCTGGAGCGCACCGCGCTAGGTTGCTCCGCGGCTCAAACTAGATGCGCAGGCAAATTTCATCCCGAGACAGGCGTCCACTAGGTCGATGGCGCGTCAGACAGTCTCGCGAATGAAATTAATGTCACTTTACGACACGACGATGGAACGGACCCAAAAGTTTAGCCACAGAACTCTACTGTTACAGATTGTATGCCATAGCTGCAGCCCAGAGTCTAGACCATACATTGCTTTGCCACGCTTTGGCAACCACTGCAATCTACATCGTACGTGGCACCTGCATAACCAGGATCGTGTATCTCATCCTCGAATGAATCGGCCATCCTAGGCTTACCTCCGCTCCGAGGGGCGGAGATAACAGGCGGCGGACGGGGGTATAGCAGTAAACAAAGAATGAAAGGACGAGGCAGATAGGGTCAGGATAGGGTCAGGCCCCAGCGATAGCAACCCCACCTCTTCTCATCGGGTCGGGCGTGGGGCATTAGGGGGTTTATCAACGGAGCCGTGAATGGACGTATAGCACGCTTCGCTTGCTTCTGCGTTAAGAATACGACGGGCCGGGCATGGCGGGGGTCGGTGTTCGGGAAACCCGACGCCGACGCTCCGCTGGATAGCTCGAAGCCAAGTCCAGCCAGTCCAGCGATTCCAGCCAGTCACAAAGCAGGCCCACGCTAAGCGAACGCGAACGCGAATGCGTACGTTCTACGTGACCGCTCCTATGCCTTCTGGCACCATGGATGACTCGTCCCTGGTAGCGAGCGATCGCGTGGTGGGGGGTTCAGGCTTCCCTGTTGCTAGAAGCTTAGCTAGCAGTGTCGATTATTTTCCATTTTCCATTTTCCATTTTCCATTTTCCATACTCCGTTAGTCCGAGCTCTGAGCTCCGAGCTTCGTAAGATTTGCCGTGACAGGTAATGGACGGACCAGAGCCGCCGGCAGAGGATCAAACCCTTTCCGCCGCTGGGCCCGCATTGGATCCCCCAATTAGTGTCTAGTCTGACTGCTACAATGCAAGGCGAACTCGAGATTGAATATCCCGAATATGCCACAAAACCCCGTTCGTAACTCACCGAGGCCTATTTCTATTTCTACTTATCCTCCTCCCTTCATGCCGGCCAGCAATCCGTTTTCATCGCCGCCCGCAGTCCCCACTATTTCGCCCCACATCGAACGGCAGGCGATGGCTTAAATCCATAAAGTCCAGTTGATTCCCAATTGCGACGAGCCGGCTGCTCGGGCGACTTTTCTTGTTCCAGTTCGGTCGCATTCCCGTGTTCCCCCTTCCGACCGTTGGGAACCTCAAGTTGCCATGTCTGCGCCGCCCGATCCCCTGCCGCAGGCAGTGGTGGCCGAGAATGAAATGCTTCAGGCGGCCGATAGTTCCAGATCGGCATCTGGGGACGAAGCCAAGACCCCCGAGATCACTCTGCAGCCACCCGCACAGAACAAGAAATGGCACCAGCGACTGAATCCCTTGCGCTGGCAGACACCACCGCCGGTGCCGGATGAACGGACGCCCTCCAGGGAGTATGGCGCGTCTTTTTTCAGCGTGATCTCGTTCCAATGGATGTCGCCCTTGATGAAGGTACGTGCCGTGTGTTGTTGGGTTCATGGATAGCTGAGGTATATTGGACGGTTGCTAACGCAGGATGATGTAGGTCGGATATTTGCGACCACTCGAATTACAGGATATCTGGACTGTCAACCCCAACCGCACCGTTGATGTCTTATCAGACCGGCTGGACGCTGCGTTGGAGGGTCGCATAGCACGCGGCACAAAACGCCCTCTGGTCTGGGCCCTGTACGACACCTTTCGATTCGAATTCCTTCTGGGTGCTATCTGCCAGTTTTTCAGCTCGCTGTTGCTGGTATTTGCGCCCTACTTGACTCGATACCTGATCGCCTATGCGACGGAGGCTTATCTAGCCCAGCATAGCGGTCTCCCGGAGCCGCATATTGGGCGAGGCATGGGCTTTGCCGTCGGTATTACTTTGATGCAGGCTCTGCAGAGCTTATGTACCAATCAGTTCCTGTATCGCGGCCAGATGGTGGGTGGCCAGATCCGCGCCGTGCTGATCTCGCAGGTCTTCAGTAAGGCCATGAAGCTGTCTGCTCGTGCCAAGGCGGGTGGACAGGCGACTCCCGAAGAGCTCAAGGCATTGGAGACAACCAAAGAAGCTCTGATGAACCAGGATGGCAAAGCGAAGAAAGAAGACCCCAAGGCGGCCGCTGATGCGGCCCGTGGTGTCGCCGGCGATGGCCGCGGCTGGAACAATGGCCGCATCGTCGCCTTGATGAGTATCGACATCGACCGTATCAACCTGGCAATGGGTATGTTCCATATGATCTGGTCAGCCCCTATCTCCATCATCGTGACGCTGGTTCTGCTCATCGTCAATATCGGCTACAGCTGTCTCTCCGGCTATGCTCTGCTGGTATTTGGAATTCCGTTCTTGACCTACGCCGTGCGCTTCTTGATCAGGAGACGCAGAAATATCAACAAGATCACCGACCAGCGAGTATCCCTCACCCAAGAGATTCTGCAGGCTGTGCGATTTGTCAAATACTTCGGCTGGGAGAGTAGCTTCCTCGCTCGCTTGAAGGAGATCCGCAAACGGGAGATTCGCTCCATCCAAACACTCCTGGCTGTTCGCAATGCCATTATGTGCGTGTCTATGTCGATTCCAGTCTTTGCGTCGATGCTGGCCTTTATTACCTACGCCCTGTCAAAGCATGACCTGGACCCTGCTCCGATTTTCTCGTCGCTTGCCCTGTTCAACTCGCTGCGGATGCCGCTGAATATGATACCCTTGGTCATTGGACAAGTGACGGATGCCTGGACGGCTGTTAATCGAATCCAGGAGTTCTTGCTGGCCGAAGAGCAGAGTGAAGATATTGAGAAGGACGAGACAATGTCTAACGCTATTGAGATTGAGGATGCGTCATTCACCTGGGAGCGTTTGCCCACTGACGACCAGGAAGAAGAGAAAGGCCAGAAGAAACCCGAAAATCTCCCCGAGCCTACTGGTCTGCCATCTTCACCCAGCGAGAAAGGAGACACCGATGACGCACTGCCCTTAGAGCCGTTCACGCTGAAGAATATCAACCTCGAGGTGGGACGAAACGAATTGCTCGCGGTCATCGGAACTGTTGGCTGCGGCAAGAGTTCCCTGCTTTCGGCTTTGGCGGGCGATATGCGTGTGACTGAAGGCAAGATTCGGATGAGCACCACACGAGCGTTCTGCCCGCAATATGCCTGGATCCAGAATACCACGGTCCGGAACAACGTTCTGTTTGGAAAGGAGTACGAGGAATCGTGGTACAACCAAGTCATCGATGCTTGCGCCCTTGGCCCGGACATGGAGGTTCTTCCCAATGGCGACGCGACGGAGATCGGAGAGCGTGGCATCACAGTATCTGGCGGTCAGAAGCAGCGTCTCAATATTGCTCGTGCTATCTATTTCAATGCGGAACTTGTGCTCATGGACGATCCGCTGTCGGCTGTGGATGCCCATGTTGGCCGTCACATTATGGATAAGGCAATTTGTGGCCTTCTCAAGGACCGCTGCAGAATTCTGGCAACGCACCAGCTCCATGTACTCAGCCGCTGCGACCGGATTGTTGTGATGGAAGAAGGTCGGATACACGCCGTCGACACATTCGAGAACCTGATGCGCGACGATGAGCTCTTCAAGCGACTCATGTCTTCATCAGGCCAAGAAGATTCGCCGGAAGAGGCCGAGGTTGCTGACGAGGTAGTCGGAGAACCTGTTGAGACGACTGTGTCAAAGAAAGTTGTGCCAAAGAAAGCTGCCCCGGGGAAACCAACTGCTGCTCTAATGCAACAAGAAGAGAAGGCGACGGCATCTGTCGGGTGGAGCATTTGGAAGGCGTACATCCGTGCGTCGGGCAGCTACTTCAATGCTCTCGTGGTGTTTATTCTCCTGGCTCTTGCCAATGTCGCCAACATCTGGACCAGCTTGTGGCTGTCTTACTGGACGTCTAACAAGTATCCGGGCCTGTCGACTGGCCAGTATATTGGCATCTACGCTGGACTCGGTGGCAGCGTTGTCGTCCTGATGTTCGTATTCTCGACCTATATGACTACCTGCGGAACCAATGCTAGTCGGACAATGCTTCAGCGCGCGATGACCCGTGTTTTGCGTGCCCCAATGTCGTTCTTTGATACCACCCCGCTTGGCCGGATCACCAATCGATTCTCGAAGGATATTCAGGTCATGGACAATGAGCTCTCGGATGCGATGCGTATTTATGCGTTGACGATGACGATGATCATTTCGGTCATGGTCTTGATTATAGTCTTCTTCTACTATGTAAGTGGTACCCCACTCACAACGATGTTCATTCCCCCGTGCTCACTTATTTCCAGTTCGTCATCGCTCTTGTCCCATTGTTCATACTGTTCCTGCTGGCTGCCAATTACTACCGTGCATCCGCGCGTGAGATGAAACGCCACGAAGCGGTTCTGCGATCGATGGTTTATGCTAAATTCGGCGAAGCCATCACGGGCACAGCCTGTATTCGTGCCTACGGCGTCGAGAACCAGTTCCGAAAAAGCATTAGAACCTCCATTGACACCATGAATGGCGCCTATTTCCTCACGTTCTCCAACCAGCGCTGGCTCAGTGTGCGACTGGACGCCATAGCTACGGCACTGGTGTTCGTGACTGGAGTCCTGGTTGTCACATCTCGATTAAATGTCTCCCCCAGTATCTCTGGCTTGGTGCTGTCTTACATTCTCGCCATCGCACAGATGCTGCAATTTACAGTCCGCCAGCTTGCCGAGGTGGAGAATAACATGAACGCCACGGAACGCGTTCATTACTACGGAACGGAGCTTGAGGAGGAAGCTCCTCTACATAGAGTGGAGGTGAATGCCAGCTGGCCTGAGAAGGGCCACATTGTGTTTGACCAGACGCAGATGCGATACCGTGACGGCCTGCCGCTTGTTCTCAAGGGCCTCACCATGGATGTCCAGGGAGGTGAGCGCATTGGTATTGTTGGCCGGACCGGTGCAGGCAAATCTAGCATCATGTCTGCTCTGTTCCGCCTGACGGAGTTGTCGGGGGGCACTATCCACATCGACGGCATCGATATCTCCACTGTCGGTCTCCACGACCTGCGGTCCCGCCTGGCGATCATCCCGCAAGACCCGGCTCTTTTCAAGGGTACTATCCGCTCCAACCTGGACCCATTCAACGAGCACACCGACTTAGAACTATGGTCTGCCTTGCGAAAGGCCTATCTCATTGGCGACGACACCCTGGGCCCTGCCTCCGAAGCACTCCCGAGCATGCCTGGCACTGGAACCACAACCCCTGCCACTGGAAGCGACTCCAAGCCGCGCCAAGCAAACCACTTGACGCTCGAGTCCGTCGTGGACGAAGAAGGCCTCAACTTTTCACTCGGCCAGCGCCAGCTGATGGCCCTTGCCCGTGCACTCGTTCGGGACGCGCGCATCATTGTCTGCGACGAAGCCACCTCGTCCGTCGACTTCGAGACCGACCAGAAGATCCAGCACACCATGGCACAGGGATTCGAGGGCAAGACCTTGCTCTGCATTGCGCACCGTCTGCGCACGATCATCCACTACGACCGCATTTGTGTCATGGATCAGGGCCAGATTGCGGAGATGGACACCCCGCTTGCGCTCTGGGACCGAGCCGATGGCATTTTCCGGGCGATGTGCGAGCGCAGTGGGATTACCAGGGAAGATATTCTACAGGTGGATTGAAGACGGAAAAACATAGAATCCCATCAGACGTCATCTGGTGTCGCAAGGCATCATCAAGTGAACATATAATTATAATCTTTCATCATCGGTCGTTTGCAAGAGTTTTATATACATCTACATCCCAATTAATATACAATCCAAAAAGGCCCAGTCCCTTACTCGCTAGCTACTCCTTATCCAACTCGCACACCAACTCCATTCCCAAATTCCTCATCATCCCCTCCACGCCCGCCTCCTTCCACCCTGCCACATCCCGCGCATCCAACTCCACCTTCTCCTCCTCCTCCGACAACGCACCCACAGGCAATCCCGTATGCCTCACAGCCAAGCCAGGCGCCGTACGCACAACCCGCATCCTCAGCCCCGTCAACACCCCCCGCAGATGATCCGCAGCCTTCCCGCCGCCCCGCGACCCATACGACACAATTCCCGCGGGCTTCCCCTTCCACTCGTGGTACAGATAGTCCAGCGCATTCTTTAGACTGGCCGGAATGCTCCAGTTGTACTGCGGCGTGACGAAAATGAACGCGTCGTAGCCGCGCACGACGGAGGACCACGCGCGCGAGTGCCGCTTTGTGTAGTGTGGTGTCGGGTTGTCGGCGGGGAGGCTGGCGGGGATGACGGCTTCGTCGTACAGGGGGAGGGATTGCTTGGCCAGGTCGACGATGGTGAAGGTGATGTGGCGTGGGTTGGTGTCGATGGCGCTGGGGGAGGCGGGCGAGGGTTTGTTCGTCGGCAGTGTTGGGTCACTGGTCAGGACGTCATAGACGTACTGGGTGATGGTCGGGTTGAGGCGCGGGGAGCGTGTGCTGCTGGTGACGACGGCGATGCGTTTGGGTGGCATGGTGAGAGTATGTAGCCGGTCCAAGAAAAGAGTCAAGGGAAGATGCCGGAGTCATACGGTTAGGTTGGGAGCTTTTACCAGGAAAGATTGTCTTGGGGTGGATCTGACGTCCGCGGATCCGCGGGCTGGTTGAGCTCATGTGGGTCGGCGGAGGTATAGTTGGCAGCGAAATTAACTTCCGCCTTGTAGATTGCTATTCTTTTCTCGGGCCCCACTGCCAAGACTAGCTCAAAGATTCATTTGACAGAGCCCAATAAATTAACATAATCCACTAGGGATATTACAGTAACTGGTATTGGAACAACGTGGAACGGGCCATGTTCGACCACCTGTACATACTCTACATTTCTAGGTCACATGAGGCTGAAGTGGAGGCTGAGGTCGCCCCAATTTTCCTGCTTACCCCTCTCAACTTCTTTCATTCAATCAGAGACCTCGCATGTTGCTGTCACTATGGCGAACATGTCAAATAACGGTACAAACTACGGGCTCCAGGTGGGGATAAATAATGGATCTATCATCGCTGAATGCCTTCCTCCTTTGGGTAAGTTTTTTCTGTAATGTAACACTCCACAAAGACTTACACAGTTATTTATCTAGAACCCAGCTTTTTCTTTACCTCAAACTATGGAAAAACAGCGACCATGCAGACCTCCTATGGCTTTCAGCAGACCCTGGTTGCGGGAAGTCTGTGCTAAGATCACCGACGAAGTTGTTCAGGCTGCCGCAGAGAATCGATCCTGCGGAATAAGGATCATGGAACTTCTACTTGCTCAACGAGGGGCTGAGATCAAGATCACCGATGAAGTTGTCCAGGCTGCCGCAGGGAATCAATCCTGCGGAATAAGGATCCTAAAACTTCTACTTACTCAACGAGGGGCTGAGATCAAGATCACCGATGAAGTTGTCCAGGCTGCCGTAGGGAATCAATCCTGCGGAATAAGGATCATAAAACTTCTACTTGCTCAACGAGAGGAGATCAAGATCACCGACGAAGTTGTTCAGGCTGCCGCAGGGAATCGATCCTGCGGAGCAAGGATCATGGAACTTCTGATTAACAGTCGAGGGTCTAAGATCAAGATCACTGACGAAGTTGCTTCTGCTATCGCTGGGGATATATATTATGGAGCAAAGATGATGGAAGTCCTACTTAACCAACCAGAAGTCGAGATCAAAATCACCCCAGAAGTTGTCCAGGCTGCCGCGGGGAATATATCAAGCGGAGCAAGGATCATGAAACTTCTACTTAACCTGGAAGGAGCTGGGATAAAGATTACTGATGAAGTCGTCAGTGCCGCCGCGGGGAATCAGTCTAGCGGAGCAAAGATTATGGAAATTCTACTTGATCAACGAGGAGCCGAGATCAAAGTCACTGATAAAGTTGTTCAGGCTGCCGCAGGAAATAAATATCGCGGAGTAAAGATCATGGAACTTCTACGTGACCGAACATGAGAAGAAGCCAGAACTAGTTATTAGCGTCCAGATCGGATTTTCTTTACTAGTATAACCGAATTGATCTAATTATTTGTCCTTATTTCCACGTGGATGATTCATCCTTTAAATTATTCATGTCGGATTCCGAATTCCCAGGCCTTAGAAAGAATATGTAGAGCCTTAATATACGTGAGCGGGCCACACCAACTTAATATGGAGTCTAGGATTTCTTTTACGGGATCCCTCAGCCAACATTATTCCAATTTGCTTAGGCATCAAATGAACTGACCTAGAAAACAAAATGACACCAAAAAATATTACTAGCGAAGGGCTGTGCCCTTCCACTCTATTCTTGAGGAACGTCCTTATCTATGTAAATAGACAAATTTCAAGAAGGCCAAATAAAATAGAAACGGTAACATTAATGTCAATTTTACCCATTGAACCTTTCCTAGGCATGTTTTTTATTGGGCCTCGTCAAATAAATATTCGAAGTAGTGTCTTGGCAGTGGGGCCCGAGAAACGAAAAGCAATCAACAAGGCGGAAGCTGATTTCGCTACCGACTGTACAGCGGGGGCGATCCGATCCTTCAGGTGTTGTTTGCAGGCAAACATGATTTGCCAAGCTGTGCCCGCTCCCTTCGATCTAGTACGTGCATGTGACTGAGCCAGACGTATTCATCAAGATCTTCCCCCACCCTATTTTGGCTTTCTCCGTCTGTTGGCTTGAATTTCTCTCGCCAAGCCTGCAATCCATCTACATTTGTCAGTCCGCGTCCAAAGCACCATCGCCGATGATTGCACCTCCTTGTATCCATGTGCTGCTGAAAGTTTTACCGGAGGAGTCTCATCTGCCATCGCTTCTGCCACCCCGCGGCACCCCGGAATTCGATCGCTTCATGAAAGGCAAACTCATTGCCCTTGACCAAGACAAGTGTGGATCTGTTGCCGTATTGGAAGGGCTTTTATGGCCTGTGAACCAGAGAACGAAACACACCACAACACGGCAAGAAGAGGCTGATACTCAGTTGGTATCCTTACATGCGGCATAAAAACCATTTCGAGCTACTAAGATACGATGGTCCGTATGTCAAGGTCGAGCAGATCTCATTTCAGATACGTCAGACCCTTGTCAGGCCCAGTCTGACGGGACGCGGCTGGTCTGCGCAAGGGTGGAATCGCTCACTCTGTGAGTTATGATGAGAGGGAACGATGAAGATTCTGAAATGGGGTAGAGGTAATGCGTTCTCTCAGGCTTGTTGTTTGGAACATTCTGTGGAACAGCGTCCGACTCGACCGTAGACGAAAGTCTATCCGATGCATTTCTCCGGATCCGTTCGGCTGAAGAACGCTAGCCATCTAGTTGGAGCTAGCTTCGGAGGATTTGCATGTTTAGGCACAAGTTGCCTAGAAGCCAAGACATTTAATCTCGGCAAGAAGAGCCATGCAGAGACTCGATTCTCGACACGTGGGAGATTTGATCATGAAATCATGCAATACCCATCGCATCAAATGTTTGATCTCGCCTGTTGAGGCAAAGCGATGGCATGATCGGTTCTAACGGTTGACCCCCCAATCACGATCTGCAGGATTGTCCACGTTGTGGAGTGTTCGCGAGTCGAGTGAAACCCATGGCGTGAAATAGTATGCTGATGGGCTGTAGACTAACTACTTGAGCTCTAAACGAACCCCCATGGCGATGCAATCGTCCCTGCCTTGTTACCCCCTCTCTCCCGGATCTGCGCCAGTCAATGTAGCCTGCGCAAGGTTAATCTTATAAAAGGACGATCAAGTCCTGCAAAGTTGGGAGCTGTCTCAACAATCAATATAAGTTGCCTTGATCCAGACTTGCACGATGAGGTCTCGTCTCATCCTTAGTGTTCTCTTCGCGGCGTCTTCTGGCGCGACGACCCCCAGCGGCAAATTTACTGCTTTGAGTTGTAACGTTGCAGGGCTCCCGGAAATTCTCCAGTCTAACGATGTTAATGGGTCGAAGACTGAGAACGCCGGGGAAATTGGCACCTACTTTGCTGAATATGGTTATGATATAATCAATCTGCAGGAGGTGAATCTTGTTTCACTCAGTCTACTGGCGCAAGTTAACAGGAACAGGATTTCAACTACCACGCATATATCTATGCGACCGACGACCATGCCTACCGGACGGCCACGTCCGGAGGTGCGGGTATTGGGAGCGGATTGAATACCGTGTCGAATTATGAGTGGGTTGATTTTACGCGCGAGAAATGGACCACGTGCTCTGATGCGTCGGGGAGCGACTGTCTTACTCCAAAGGGGTTCACCCTCATGCGCTGGAATCCATCCGACGGTGTTTACATCGACTTCTACAATATTCACGCCGATGCGGGGTAAGTAAGCACTGAACTGCGCATGAAAACAAATGCCTGACCTCTTCTGTTAAGCACGGAGGATGGCGACGAGACGGCGCGGAACGCCAATCTACAACAAGTGGCGGATTATATTGACACCTGGTCAATCGGAAACGCTGTGGTGGTGATGGGTGACACCAACAGTCGATACACTCGAAGTGCTGATACTGGCATCCGTGTCTTCAAATCTCAGAATCGTCTCAATGATGCTTGGGTTGAGCTGGAGATGAGCGGCGTTTACCCGACTGCGGGAGCTGATGCGGTCGTATGTGACAACCCGTCAGAGATCGAGACCTGTGAGACCATCGACAAGGTGCTCTATCGGGGATCCGACATTGTCACCCTGTCGGCCGATGGCTTTTACTACGATGGTGAACGCTTCCTCAACACCGACTCTGCATACCTGGGTGATGTTCTGTCGGATCATAACCCAGTACTCGTCAACTTTACCTGGACTATGTCGAGCTCCCTCCGACAGAGTGAATTTTCGGGTGGCCCGCACGGAACGTGGTTTAACGATCTGCCTAACGTTCCGTCGTCGCCGGTGGCTTCGGTGCTCACCTTCCGTGGCGCTAGTCGTCTTGATGCTGTTGCACTGCAACTCTCCGACGGGACTTCTTTCAGCCACGGAGGAACCGGTGGTACGGAAGTGACACTAACCCTCGGGACTGATGAGTACTGGACAGCCACCAAGATTTGCACTGGCCAATATAATGACCAGACTCGAAATTTCTATATCAAGGCTACTACAAGCGCGGGGAACACCTTGGAAGCAGGCACGGTAACGGATAGTTGCACCACTTATACTGCTGATGACGGTTACGGAGTTGTGGGATTCATGGGACAGGATGGCGATGAGATGGATCAGTTGGCTCTTATCTACGCATTCCAGGCGTCATAGGCCTCACATACGACATTGTACAAAATCTTGATTGAGGGGAAATGTTTGACCATAGAGAGTGATATTTCACAATTATTTGCAATTATGTAACTCTACAATCCCTTTCAGGATCTCTGTTCGACATAGCCCCAATGGCTATAATGGGTAAGGGCCTTTGACTGATGATATCCGGACCCTCATTTCAAGATCGTATTGTAGTCCGACCACGTAGCGTAAAGAAAGTCACGCCTAGATAAGGTCTATCACTAGCTATTGCTCAATAATCTCAATCAGGTTTGGGCGCGACGCTTAGCATGCAGATTCTCGATTGGTGCGTCCACTCCATAGTTCATGGCCTTCTTTAAATCCCCCAAGTACAGACTGGCAACGCAGGCAATGACACCAAAGGGTACGGCGATGATAAAAACAACCCGCAGTCCATCAGCATAGGCTTGTCTCAGGGCACTGACTCCAGAACTGATAATCTCGGAAGTGATACCGGATATATTTTTCAGAGATGCATCATCGTTCGATGACAGCGCTTCCACGAAAGCATTAACGGAAGATTGTGGGAGTCCCGCCTGCAAAGCTGCCTTGGAAATGTACTGAGGGATGTAATTCTCAAGGCGTGCGTTTGATGCGGCATAGTAGATAGCGGTGAAGACAGAAGCAGCTATGGCGCGAGAGCAAGCCGTCGCTGCGGTTGCGGTTGCGATTAGATGGTGTGGCGTTGAGAGCTGAACTCCTGCAATGACCAAAATCAAAGGCGCACCAAAGCCGAGTCCGGACAAAGCAAGGAAGACAATGGCGGAAGAGTTATTGTCGGGTTGAATAGTAGACATGCCAACAAGCCCGGAAGTAAAAATAATAAAACCAACCAGCATGGGCGCACGAATGGTCTTGAACTTAACACTGTAATAGCCATAGATCACCGTGCTCATTGCTGCAGCGATCCAGTAGGGTAGTTGCCGGACTGCCATTAGGAATGGATCTGTTTCGAATAATATCGTCGTTCTGCAACGTGAAAATTAATATTTTGACAAATCGATCTCGCGCTGGAATATAGGACTCACAAGACCGGGTAGAATATCACGAAGGGAAACAGCATAATCGCCTCAATGAATATGAGCACAATGCAGATAGCAAAAGTATGGCCTGCACTATTTCCGACTTTGCCCCCGTGGAAGAGATCGTGGTGTAGAATTCCGGTTCTGGTGAACTTCCACTCGTAGATTCCGAAGGCGACCAGAGTTAGTATACCTACGATCAAAGTGGCCAAAACTGGCCCACTGGACCATGTGTATAGACCGCCTCCAAGGTTGAGTCCGGTCAGAAAAATGGTCAACCCAGCAGTGAGAAGGAAAAATCCTAAAAGGTCCACCCGGCCCAGCTTCTGCCAGAACGACAGATGATCTAATCGAGTATGCCTCTTCGGGGGTCGGTAGCCCACAAAAAGTCCGATCGCTGTCACTCCCCAAAGGGCCATTTGGATCCACTAAAATATAACTGTCAGATCCATTAGCTCGGGTGGAAGGCTGAGAAGGGAACATACATAATAATTTCTCCACCCGGTGTGAGGGTTCGCTCTGGTCAGCGAACCGATGATCAGGGGCCCTGCGCAGGCACCCACTGATCCAGCAATGTTGATGCACGCTTGGGCCACTGAAATGTTGTGAATAAAAGTGGATAAAACTGTCATGGGGTTTGTAAGGGGAACTAACTGGCCCTCCATCGTCTGGGTAAAATATCACTTGGTACGCAGTATGCCAGTGGAACGGTCGCAAACCCGAATCCAATCAGCACCTGTGCCGCAATGAGCCGATATATATTAGTTGATCCGGGTGCAATTGCACTGCCAATAAAAGAGATAATAGCTGGGCCGACCAGAAATGCCTTCCTGGCCTGGAATGTGTCTGAGAGAGACGAGAGGAGAGGAGAGAGCACGGCTTGAACTAGTGATAAGGAGTTGGGAACCCATGAGCCTGCGATAGTATTGTTGAGGTCCTTCTCGATATAGGGCAGCTGGAAAAAACGGCATGAATTTCAAATGCTTGTGATATTGTTTGGTGGAGGGGCCCAATTACCGCAGCTGGGGGACCTAGAAGCCCAAACACCTGGACGAGGTTCAAGAAAAACATGGCAGCCAAGGCGAAATAAGTCCGCGCATGTAGCGCCGGCTCTTCATTCTCTTCGTAGCACAAGTTCTTTTCCTCTGGGTTGTCCACATTGTCGAACTGTTCAACGACATCGTCTTTGTTATCAGGTCCCTGGTCGCTGTGTTGGGCCGTAGAAGGCATTGTGCATGGAGAGTATGGGGCCAATCGAAACTGATAATTGCGAGGGAGTCAGTAAGAAAGGACCCAGTAATCAACGAGGGGGAAACGAAATGTCTTATTTATGCAATGCCGATACTTGGAGCGATAACACACGCTAGCAAGTGATAGGTCACACTGGAGACTGCATGCATGCCTTATGTTTTGGTATGGAAATTTGGATTACTCATGAACATGAGTTTTAGGATCGCCGAGTTTCTGTCGTACGGGCAGTGGCGCGCCCGTATGGGTCGTGCCTAATACGTGACCCCCTTGTTTTTTTTCCACCAATCAATCTTTTCATCTGATTTTGATTCCACTTGATCTTATTCGTCATGAATTCATACTACGCTATACGTGTCTAGCCTGCTACGACATGAAATTCTTATCTATGTCGTTGACGTCCTTGAACTCTAATGTTCTGGGAACGCGTTCTGCAGAGACCGGTCAGATCTTCCCCACGAACGAGATGGTCGGGCGTGCAAGGCCCAAGGCTTCAGAAAAGGATCACAGATAATATGCTGAGCAAGTACAAGATGAGAACTTAATTTCCGTAGGCTCTTTACGTTTTATCAAGTGAGTATGGACTTGAAGCTTACTGAGTCCGGGACTTGGCTATCCCACGGCTTTTATCCTTGACTTGACACGAATTCCTTTGGGGAGCTTCATCCCCAAAATAGAGCGGCCTTGACCTGGGCATACTACTCCTGGTAATCTACAACATCATGCTAGTACCTTAATTTAAACTCATTGGCTATACGAGTATATTGCGGCCCGAGATATACGTCGGGTGAGAGATTTCCCCCCGCCCCACCACTTGCAGATCTACTTAGAAAGAGGGGTTTCCCCGAACCCCAATCTTTTTTGATTTTCTGATTTGAAAAGATCTCCCACCATACTAAATACAGATGGATCGCTTTGAATATTGCCAAGCGCCATTCTGCCCATCTGAAAATTTATGGAAGCTCAGAAGTAGCACGATTTGCATGATCGCAACACTTCACCAAGTCATGACATCACCACCCAATAACAAGCTCACATCATATACGACTCTGAAAATTTCAAAAGTACATCAACTTTACAGCTAGCTAAACCTTGAACTAAATAGCTACTTTCTGCCTCTCGGATAGATTGCACCTTAAAATTTCCCAAAGATGCAGCCGCCCGACTATTCGGTGCCTCAGGCAGCACAGCGGCTGCTTGAAGATGGGATACTGGACAATAACTTGATGTCTCATCTTCCTCCCGAGCTAAAGGCACTTGCGCGTAATATTCAGTTCACGGGTGCCTCGAAGCCAAGCATTCCCATAAATTGGAGGCTTGCTGAGAGCATCTCCGCCTTGAAGGCTTTGGAGGCGACAATGCTCAATTTGCTCTTGACGCGCAAATATGAAATCGCACCCGTTAAAGCGACCATAAACACGTAAGTCAACGCATGAGATTCTTGGGCAGACAAATACTAATAATTCACGCACAGGGATCATGCGAGCCTATTTTTCATGTCACCAGTGCTTACGAAGTTGATCGGACCCGATGGCAAGCCCGTGGCTTTTAGTCCGTTACAGGGAGGTGCGATGGAACTTTTCCCTAACGAGGACAAGTATGGCAGCCTCTCCAGCTTGCATCGGGGGCTGGCGACTAATATCTACAAGACAAAGGATGGCCGCTATTATCATATTCATGGTAGGTCGAACTTTCGCAGATTCAAAATTATCGTTACTCAAACTATGCTAGGAGGCATGAATCCCGATCCAACGTTGATGGCTCTCGGTCTGTCTGCAGACGATAGCCCTAATGATACGACCGAGTCTGTGATTCGAAAATTCGAACATGCTGTCTATAGGCATGAATCTGCCAATATAGATGAACTACTTAACGAGAACTTCAAACAGGCTGGTTCAACTGCTTGGACCGCAGAAGAGTACTTTGCCAGCAAGCATGGTCAGGCAAATCAACATATTGGGTTATACGAAATCGAGAGAGATCCAAATTCATCTCAACCTGCTACCTGGTGGCAAGACAATCCCAGCCTTCCTTCATCCCCCAAGCGCCCACTCGCTGGGTTGAAGGTTGTTGACCTTACCCGCGTCATTGCAGCACCTTCCATTACCCGCAGCTTGGCGGAGATGGGTGCAAGTGTAATGCGCATTACCTCCCCTTATATCACAGATATTTCTATTCTTCACCAAGATTTGAACTGGGGCAAATGGAATGCCTCGCTGCATCTGAAAGATGAAGGAGACCGAGAGACGTTACGCCAGCTGATCTTGGAGGCTGATGTCGTGGTTGATGGATACCGCCCTGGTGTCATGGACCGTCTAGGTTTCGGTCGCCAAGATATCTTTGAATTGGTCAAAGGTCGTGGGTATGGAATCATTCATCTCCGCGAGAACTGCTACGGGTGGCATGGGCCCTGGAGCCACCGGAGTGGTTGGCAGCAGATTAGCGATGCAGTATGAGTTGCATGAAGTTTGAACCACATAGAGGGACAGTTGCTGATATGCACCTTTTAGAACTGCGGTGTCTCTTTATCTTATGGGCGGGCTATGGGCCTTGATGAAGCAGTGACTCCGATTTTCCCCAACTCTGATTATTGGTACGCTCGATTTCAACTTTTATCTTTCATGCCACTGACATGATATAGTACTGGAGTCGTGGGAAGCACTGCGGTCCTGGATGCCCTCATACGAAGGGCGGGCAAAGGAGGAAACTATGCTGTTGATGTATTGGAACCACTTAGGGCTTGCATCGAGCTTAGCTGACTGAACGCTAACAGGTCGCCTTAAACTACTATTCTCAATGGTTAGTCCGGTCGTGCGGTACCTATCCAGATGAGATCTGGAAAGAGCTCTGGGAACGCCACGGCTCCCCTATTTTTCGCCACTACAGTCCGTTAGCACACCTGCTACCATCGATGCTGGAGCTTCTGTACCGATACGATGCAGCGACGCTTCTAAAGCCAGAGTTCTTCGAGCCTCGTAGGTCAGGCGCGGTCGGTGCAACGTTCATTCAAGTTAAACCCATCGCACAGTTTGAAGGCGGCGCGGTCGAGTTAAAATACAATGTAGGGAGCCGTGGCAATGGCATTGATAAACCAGTTTGGCCAGACGATCTGACCACAGAGATTGTTCGGTAAAGTTGGAAAATGGGGTGATTGTACGATAGCAAGGATTGATTTTTGCTACCTATAGAACTGGTCGCGTAGAATCACTTAACCTAATTATAAGACGTCTTCATCGTTTCCAGCTAAATCACTTTATTAAGCAGCCCATCCCCAGATCCGCTAACATATACCTGGGTGACACTGCTATTGGGGGAATCGGTACCGTTTGTGCCACTATCCTCTCCATACAGTGCGCCTCTCTCGATGCCCTCGAGGGTGTGATTGTTACTTTCAGGGATCATCAGCGTGACCAAGGCCGTAAGAAGCATGAGCCCAGAAAAAAGACCCAAGACGCCTTCAAGACTGATCGCATCCGTGACCGTGCCGAAGGCAAAGGAAGTGAGAATGGCTCCACATTTACCCGCCGCGGCGGAGATACCGTGGGCGGTGCCTCGGACTCGGGTCGGGAAGACCTCGGCAGGAATGAGGAATGTGGTGCAGTTGGGACCAACGGTCAACACAAATTGAGAAAGTGCAAAGATGACCATGAGACCAGCTGTAGGAGTGTGGGCACTGGAAGTACTGATTCCGGCCCAGATAGCGTAAAGTATGCTGACTCCAATGCAGGACCAAAACTGTTGGCGGACACGTCCGATGCGGTCGGGAAGGAAAATGCCGACGTAGAAACCGGGGAGATAACCCTGTACATGTCATTAGCCAGGAAGCAACACAGAAAGAGAACAGAAAGACTTGCAGCAGCCTGGATGATGATATTGCCAACAGCAGTGTTGTATAGAGTCTGCCAAGGAGTGGCCCCTTTGGCATAGCCAATTCTGGCTAAGACGATGCTTTGGTTGAGGTTGATTCCATAATAAGCGATATCGCTATTTATTATTAGCGAGTCCATTGATCTGCGGCAATTGCCTCAACCTACAAGAGGAACCAAGCAGTGGCCGTTGCAAAGAGGACCTTGGCATGCTTCAGTACGCTGAAGTATTCGCGAAAGTCTTTCCACTGTTCTTTGAAGCCGCGTTTCTGTCCAGTGGTCTCATCGCAGACATCTATACCGAATTAGTGGATTTTCCATAGATAAAATTATGTTCTGCCGATATGAGACTGACATTGCTTGTATGGTAAAGTCTCCGTAATGGTCAGCCGGGCGTAGAGGGTGAACGCAGCAGGAATAATGCCGATTCCCAGGAGAAGTCGCCACACCCATTCAAGGTGATTTTGATTTTCTGCGATGGGGCCTTTGAAAGCCTTGAGCAAGATCAAGAAGACAATACTAGCAGCAGTATTTCCGAGGCCAATGTTCGAGAAGACGGTCAAGACCTGCGTGGCCCGAGACCCAAAGGGCGACTTTTCTGCTGACAACGAAGAGGACAAGGGATAGTCTAGAGATGTTTAATATGGTAGATTGCCATGAGTCTCAAGACCTTCAAAACATGCTAATTCTTACCTGCTCCAATTCCAACACCAGTTACTACGCGGAAGACCGTCACCCAGGCAGTTACTGACCGGGGACTCATGTTCTTCCATGGCAGCAAGATGACCATCAGCGTCCCGAAAATCGTCAGAAGCAACTCGTTGCCGTAAATAGTATGGCGGCCCCAGACATCACTTAATACGCCAAAGATGAGCTGGCCAGCCACCATGCCCAGACTGAGGCCGCCTTTGATCGTATCACTGTCGACTGCCGAGACCTTGCCATCTTGGAAGTATAGGTATCCCAGAATTGGAACCACTATGAAGCTGCGTGAGAGACAGGTCTAAGAGCCTAGATAGTTACATACCAAGTCCAATTGTCAAGTTGAGATAGCCATCAGCGAAGAACCCGACTCCCGCAGTGATCAGGAAGCGCAGCTTCGCACCCAGAGAGGCCATTTTAGATCGGAAAAACGACTAAGCAAGCAGAATACTATTCGCGTTAACTGGAATGGCTGGGAAAGCGCTGCGAGGCATCTCGGGTTTCGATATAGTAAATTTTGCGCTGGTTCGGTTTTATAATCCGCAGCCAGTAGAGGGGTCTGTTGAAGTCAATGCACGAGTTTTCGGCGAGAAGTACCGCGAGCAAGGCCGGTGGCGAGTATCAGCTCCGAGCAATCAACGAATATACCATTGATCTGGTGGTTGGCGAGGAAGCAATGAGCAGTGCGACAGTCTCCACGAGGCTCTCACGACGCGCGGGCCAAATTTTGCAGGCACACTCCGGCATGTGGAGAAGCCAGTCACCGTTCTCTTCCGCCGCCACGTGCGCTCGGCTACAATCCGCCTCACGCTATATCTTCGGTACGAAGTCCTGCGGTGCTTCTGGTCCGACTATCACCTGTCAAGCACCCCCAGAGCCTAGATCCTGGCCTAAAGCTAATTTCCGCTTGTGCCTGTTCTGGTTGGTGCGTTCTTACTAGATCGTCGGACTGACGGGTTGCCGCTAGCCGCAGGTCGGGTCAGATTCAAGGCGCGCGACCACTGAGGGAGTGGATCGTGCCTGCGTCGTGTTGCGCTATGGAGGATATATCGCTTCCCTCGCCACCGGCAGTCAGCGCCTTGCGTGAATCATTTGGTGATAGTAAGCCGCCAGACATTACTCGGAAGATCACAGCATGCGTGGCATGTCGCAAACAGAAGGTGGTATCCCTGATAACAGTGCAATCTGAAGGTTACTAATGGGTACATCAGGTTAAATGCCATATGCGAGAGGGACAGGCACCATGTTCACGGTGCAAGAAGCGAGGTCTGCCATGCACTGTGAACCGGAGTCTGCAAACACTACTAGAAGAAGATGTGACGTGAGAATCTTGATTATCCTAAGCGGAATAGCGTGCTCACAATTTATAGATGGAAAGGTGCAGTTGTACGAAAAATTAAGCGACTTGAAGATGCCATTGCGAAGATCGCATCCAAAGTCGACCTCTCCGATCTCGATTTAAACCAAGCACGGCCAGAGGAAGCACCAGAGTCCATGAGCCCGCCGGTAGTGGAGATGACCAGTGCAGAGCACCCGTCGCCTAGCCCAGAGCCTCAATCGAAAGATGACCAGGAGGAAACCCAGACTTGGGAGGTGATCATGGACCCTCGGGGTGGTCCAGCATCAATACCGGCATCTTGTCTTTCAGAAAGTATAAAAGCAGCAATGCACAGTCTACCACAATCTCGGCGTCCTGACCTGATATCAACCGGGATAATCACATTACGGCAAGCGTTGGCCCTGTTCGATACATATCACTTGCGGTTAGATCACTTCTTGTATCGCATACTTGGGGACCACATCAGCCTGGACTCAGTACGAATCGCGTCACCGCTCTTGACGGCAGCGGTTTGCACAGTTGGGGCTCTGCACTCCCCATCTTTGGGTCACTTATTCGATACATGCTATGCAGAATACAAGGACCTGGTGGCCACGCAAATGTTCTCCAGGCATGCCAATGAAGATGACATTCGGGGACTATGCATTGGTGCCTTTTGGTTACATGAGCTTTCGTGGGCACTCATCGGAAACGGTATGATCGTCAAAGCTACGTTAGGAATGAACAAGACTAATTCTAACTGACCTAGCCGTCCGGCTTGCCTCGGACATAAATCTCCATAGCGGGATCTACAAAGCCCTCAAGGGTGACCGAGAAGGCTATATCCAGGCGCGGCTTTACTACCTTGTCTACGTGTGCGACCATCATTTTTCCGTGGCATACGGTCGACCTCCTATGTCTCGCGAAGGTTTCATCATCGACTCGGCAAGTCGGCTTCTGGAGACTAGGAATGCGACCGAGGATGACGCCAGACTGATCAGTCAAGTGAAGGAATGGTCAATCCTCGGTCAAGTCTTTGACACATTTGGCGTGGACGTGGACACCGCCCTTGCCTCCGAGACAATCCCCCAGCTTCGGCGATACGCCATCGCCTTGGATACGTGGTTTTCCGATTGGAATGAGAGCTTTCGCGAGAACAGGAGGGTTGGAAACTACCCGCAAAAGGGCGTTGGTTTCCACTTCCATTTTGCGAAGCTCTACCTCTGCTCTCATACATTCCGCGGCTTACCCGCGGGGGAAAATGCCACGCGGTACTTCTCGCCCGCGTTAGAAGAAATTGCCAATACTGGTGTCCTATCGGCCATGTCGATTCTTCGAGTCATTGTCTCGGACGCAGAGTTCCGATCGTTCATGAATGGTCTCCCATTATATTTTAACACGATGCTCGCATTTGCGGTCGTCTTCCTCCTCAAGGTGGCTACCAAGTATGCGAGCGTGATTAGAATCGACACTGCCAAAATCCTTTCCCTTGTGACGCAAACGGTCGCTGCTTTGCGCGAGATCACTCAGTCGATGCACCGACAACATCTACTTGTCGTCATAACTGAGGGACTTGAAAGGCTGCTGCTTAGATTTCAAGTTCCCGTCCAGACAACACAAGAAGCAGTCTACCATGCATCGCCGGCAATGGAACCACCCACCCACCTCGAACTGAGCTGGATGGAAAACATGGCAAGCTTTGATTTTCAGACTAACTTCCCTGACATAGATGACTGGTGGCTTCATTATAATACATCAATAGGCCCTGGGCGTTCCATATGATCGGTTAGACGAATATCATGATGCCCAATTCAGAACCAGATCGAAGATGTCGTAATTCCGCCAGCTCCTGGATTTTGCTGTTTTGCTATCATGCACCGGCTTTGATGTGATGACCGGGATTGCCTGCTCGCTGAGGCCGCCGTGGGATCGAAGGGGGTGGTCTTTGATGTTGGAAAGGTCGTGGTTTGACGGCTTGCTTCCGATCACAGCATGCGATTTGGAGATCACCACAATGTCCCCTTCTCGATCAAGGGGCATGTCGTATTTTCCACTTAGAGCTTCTTCTACCTCGGGAAGCGACCGACAAAATGCCACCATGGGCTCGAGCTGTGAGGGATCCTTAAGATACACGCGCACAAAAGAGCCTAGTGCACCATGGTGACGGACGAAGGGGTCAGTAATGGGACAGATGAGCTTCGAGGCCTCAGGGCCAAAGTTGATGTTGAGAACCTCTTCCAGGAACAGCACATTGGGCTCTCCCAAAGAGTTGGACTTCTGGCTCATTCCGTGATCGCCGGTGATACCAATGACTGGTGCCAAAGCGGCGAGTTTCTGCAACCTCTCATCAATAGATTTCATGAAATCATCGGCTTCTCTATCACCAGGTGCATGCTTGTGCTGAATGTAGTCAGATAACGTCAGGTATAGGAAATCAGACTTCCCCTCCTGGAGCAACTTGATTCCAGCGTCCAGTACGAACAAGGACAGCTCGCCAGAGTACTGGCTTGGAGCAGGCTGACCAAGCCACTGCTCCACATCAGCAATGCCATTCACCTCGAGCGTGCAGTCTGCCGCACGTTCAGCCGAGAAGCAGATCGCGCCTTGCAAGCCGTGCGCCAGGATCTTGCGGAGCTTATCTTTGGCAGTGACGGCAGCCACTCGCACGCCGCGTTGAAACATCTGCTCAAGTAGTGTAGACCCCCGGAGCAAGGAATCATCTGTGATCATTCTTTCTTCGCCAGATTCCCGATCGAGGAAGAAGTTGCCTGCGATCCCATGAATCGATGGTGGTGCACCGGTGATGATGGACACATTATTGGGATTGGTGAACGACGGCATACAACTTTTGGCGGTTGCATGGAATCCTTTCTCGATAAATTGCTTGAAGGTGGGCAATATGCCGCTCTGGATGCCGGATTCGAGATACTCCGGGTCAAATCCGTCCACGCAAATCACGACAGTGGGCTGTGTGGGCATTCGATATTTCTTCGAATGAAGCGTGAACTGGGTTCTTGACTCTAGTTTCTCATTTAGATCGTGCCTCGAAAGAGAGATCAAGTTGATACTCACCAAGAAGGCATTGATATGCCAGCTCTTCGTAAGTGTCCAGCTGGGGCACTACGCTATCGGGATCCTTGGCCGAATCATCCCAGCGTCTCACAGCCAGCTTAGCCTCCAGCCAGGGATCCTTCTGTGCCTCGAGGACTTGCTCCGGGGTAAAACTCCCACCCTGTTGTAAGACTATAAATACATAGAACCTGATGAATTTTGAGAAGACCCGTACCTGAAAGCGCAGGGTACGCTTGCTAGTCTCACTCAGCCCATCGTGGTAGGTCTTGTCCGTCGCAACTAAATACCTTTTGGCGATGACGTGCGCGCCGACTAATTGACACACGCGCTCACTGAATCCAATTTGACGCAAATATGCCTCGCCTAGGATTTCATGGCTTTGGCGGCCAATGTATTGGCCATCCGGGGTATACATCTTGCCCATTTTCGAGGCCGCAGGAATAAAACCCCCAACATCATGTAGCAAGGCCGCAATGATGACTTCGGGGTCATTTCTGTATTCAGGAGACTGGGTCGCATGATAGGCACATTGAAGTGAGTGCTGCAGTTGAGTCACTCGTTCTCCAAGATAGTCGCCTTGGCCTTGGGCATATAGGAATGCGAAAAGAGTCGTGATTGTTGCTCGCGTATGCTCCTCGACCGAAGCAAGTATGTCGTCCGCGGAGTGGGGGTCAGTGATTTTGAGATTCATAGTGGCAGTGTGATTTCGAGTAAGCAGTGGGTTCTGATACGGACTAGCTTCAATAGGTGCCGTTGGACGAGCGATGGCCCTTCTAATTTCCTGCTTCTCGGAGCGTACTAATAGGCGATCGCATGAAGGCAAAGGCAAGAAGGCCGGCGGTACCCATATCCGATGCCCCACGTGCCTATCATTGATGCGTTGATTCCTTGCCCGTCATCGTGGATCCTCGTGGATCTTCGTCCGGCTTTCGATGGTGTGCAGGGCCCGTCGGTGCGAAGCCCGGTGGCCCGTGCGGACTGGCTGGGTCGGGGCGAACGCCTGTGATGGAACAGGTGCCGATCAGTGTCGCATAGTAATGAGGGTCCTCGAGCCACGGAATGTTCTGGTTAGTGATCCAGAAGGGGAAATTTGGATGCGACGGATTGGTGCACGCGATCGCGGAGTGGGTTCGGAGGTTGTGGATGCCGCGGGGAGAGCCGTCACCTTGAGCATATATAATCCGCCTTGGTGGCCACTACAGAGCGAAACTCTGAATTCTTAGAGCAGTTTCGAAACATCTCTGGAAAATTCTCATATTTCCTTTATAATGAACCCCCTTACCCCAGAGCAAGTGGCCTCCTACCACGAAAATGGCTACCTTCTCCTGCTCGCCGAAGAGCACCAGCTGGTGGACCCGGTGGCGTTGAAGCAATGGACAGAAGAAATCAAAGCCTGGCCTCGTGTCAAGGGTAAGTGGATGCCTTATGATGAGATCAACATCAACGGCGAGCGCCAACTCATGCGCACCGAGCGGTTTATCGACTTCCATCCTCAGTACAAGGAGCTCGTGTGTGGCCAGAAGCTGGGTCAGATCCTCAAGGCCGTCTCTGGCGAGGTAAGTCACTCTGATACGCGATAGAAATCTAGTCGGGATTCATCTAAACGGCCCCATAGGATATGCTCCTCTTTAAAGACAAGATCAACTACAAGCAGCCCCACGGCAATGGCTTCCAGGCTCACCTCGATGCTCCGGCGTACGACCATATCGGCCGCATCGAGCATGTCACGGCTAACCTCGCCATTGACGCCGCCACCATTGAGAACGGGTGTCTCGAGGTCGTACCTGGGTCTCACCGTATGGAAGTTGAATTTGCCCAAGGCGGGCGTATCAAACCCGAGTGGGAGCACGCCCATGAATGGGTCATCATTCCTCTGCAGCCGGGGGACTTGCTGATCTTTGGCTCACACCTTGCGCACCGCTCTGCAGCAAACAGGACCGAGAAGAGCCGCTCAAGCCTCTATGCTACTTTCCACTCGAAGAAGGATGGTCTAGACTTGAGGGAAAAGTATTACAAGCATCGGATGGAGATGTTTCCTCCTGAGCATGGTAAGATTCCTGATGCCTTCTGGAACGTGAAAGCAGTTTCTAACTTTGTCTATATAGAGCGTGAGGAAGGCAAGGATTATTCACAAGGCTATAAGACCTACGGATTTGCGGCCCCTTTCACCAGGCTTGACCAGAATGCTGCTCCTGCGGTTGGGGCAGAGCATTAGTGATGAATGAGATTGAGAGCAGAAAAGGAAGAACGCAATGATATCGCAGGTGCGAAAACCTCTCAGCTATCTTCAAGACGGACAAGGCCTACTAGATCTCATATTGAGGATTGCTTTCCCACTCAAGTTGACTCCCTACGAGAACGCAGCTGGAGCTGGGCAATTTTAGCTTTAAACCCCAGCTATATTAATAGCCCGCGATTGGCATTTTCGCGTTCTTTCTCCGCTTGTCTTGCTGCTTGAAGTAGATTCGGAATAGCAGTTTTGTTCGCCTCGCGGGCAACATAAATGGGTCTTCGGCTGTAAGTGTCTTTAATAGTCGGATCAGCCCAATGCTCTAATAGAATTTTGGATGTGGGGTCCGATCCCGAGCCGCGTCGTGAAGGGTGGTCTTGCCATGAACGTCTTGCATGTTGACATCGAGCGTGTTGTCGAAGTCAAGCAGGAGTTGAAGAATTTCACTTTGAGCATTAATTGCTGCAGAATGGAGCATCCCTCACTGGAAGACATATTTATGGTGGACATTCGCTTCCCTCCCTCTTCTCTTTCTCCTTCCTCTCTCTACCTCACCATCACCCTCTTCCCTTCTTGTTCCTTCATCCTCCCACCCTTTGCTCCGATCTTCGACCCCTCACACCCTCTACTCCCAAAAACTACCAGCCAAGGAGAATGAGTTCTCAGAACTCGACCCCGGCTAGTACCCCGCTTGTCCCGGTTACGAGCCCAGGTACCACGTCAAATAGACGCTCGGATGATCTTGGTCACAGTGACTACCTGTGAGCTCCCAGTAATTATATCCCACTCTAAACTACCTACTCTACTAACAAGTCAAAAAGAGGGGTCCCGACTCACAGCAGCCAGGTCATCGGTACCCCTGTTGTGCTCCCCACCACTTCAAGTGGTGTTAATAAGATGCACCCCGCCTAGCTAGCTATATATATTCTCACCCTACTATACATAATAGCCAGAAAGGGAAGCCGATAATATATTTCCTCCTAAGCATAATAAGATTCTTGATACCTTCTGGACTATGATAGTAGTTTCTGACTTTGTCTATATAGAGTGTAAGGAAGGTAAGGATTATTTATAAGGCTATAAGGCCTACGGATTCGCGGCCCTTTTTACTAGGATTAACTAGAATACTACTCCTACGGCTAGGGTAGAATATTAGTAATAAAGAAGATTAAGAGTAGAAAAGGACGAAATACGTAATAATATTATAGGTACGAAAATCTCTTAGCTATCTTTAAGATAACTAAAACCTATAAGATCTTATTAAGGATTACTTTACTACTTTTGACTCCCTATAAGAACGTAGCAGAGCTAGGTAATTTTAGCTTTAAACCCTAGCTACCTATATTAAGAATCATAGTCGTAGGGAGATGGAGCCCCTGACTATTCTGAATCGAAACCTTGTATTTATATATTTGTCAATAGTACACTCATTTAATATATCGACCATCCCGTTATCATGATATAGCGAAAGCAGCAGCAGCCATAAACAATGTTGCGATGATGATCCACAGGCTCTGGCTAGGGAGGAGGGCGGCATTCCGCCAATTACTCCTTTGGATAGCCTGAGAAGTTGTCGAAGGGTTGGCCGTGATCTTCGTTACTTGGCGAATTTCTTCGCTTGAATGCACCTCCTCTGGATGGGAGGCCGTCTCTTCGCACATGGAGTCCAAACCAGAGTCATCCGACGAAGAGATTCTACCACAAGGGCCATCGAAATTCCCAGGCTCATGAGACCGCGTTGGGACCAATCCATGGTGATCTGCTTCCTCGGTGGGAGCTGTCTGCAAATGTGTTCCTCCAAGAGCCGTGACTGACTCTTGGGATGAGGGCAAGTCGGAAAGCTTTCCTAGTTCCAAAAGCAGATTGGCAATTCCTTCGTGGTTATGAACTCGTGCCAATGAGAATGGGGTGTGCCCAAGTGTATTCTTCCTCCAAACTTCAGCTCCAGCCGTCACTAGTCGCCTAACGGCATCCTCTTTCCCGTACATGACGGCTAGATCCAGCAAGAAGTTCAAGTCGCCACGTTCTTGGGGCAAGGCAGCTCCAGATTCAACCAGCGTAGCGCTGAGGATTTCTTCATGACACGTGGCCGTGGACAAGGCAGACTCTCCCCACTGATCCTGTATGTCCAATTCAGCCCCGGATGCCAGGAGAATGTCTGCGACAGCTATGCTGTTATACAAAGCGGTCAAATGTAACGGCGTCCGACCGTAGTTGTTGACCATATTCAGAGGCGCCCCGTATGCGATAAGTAAGCGTGCGATGTCTGCGTTGTTGCGAGTGGCGCTGTAATGGAGAGCTGAGTCGCCGACATCTGGATCTTGAGCGCTGATTTCTGATGGAGTAGCCGTGGAAAGTCGCACGCGTAGCTCATCAATTAACTCGGCACTAGACAAGGCCCATATTGGCAGTGGCGCATTAACTGAAAGCTCTGTATCTATACGCACTGGCGACGGTAGAACGGTGCCTGTTTCAGTTCGTTGGAGAGGTTGACCAGGCAGCCCGCGATTAGCGTTTTCGCGTTCTTTCTCCGCTTGTCTTGCTGCTCGAAGTAGATTCAAAACAGCAGTTTTGTTTGCCTCGCGAGCAACATAAATAGGTGTTCGGCCGTAAGTGTCTTTGATGGTCGGATCAGCCCCGTGCTCCAATAGAATTTTGGTAGTGGTGTCCGATCCCGAGCGAGCCGCGTCGTGAAGGGTGGTCTTGCCATGCACGTCTTGCATGTTGACATCGAGCGTGTTATCGAAGTCAAGCAGGATTTGAAGAATTTCACTCTGAGCATTAATAGCTGCAGAATGGAGCATCCCTCGCTGGAAGACATCTTTATGGTGGATATTTGCTCCTCGATCAAGCAACAACTGAACGACGGGTATCTGGTTGTAGTCAATCGCTCGATTCAGCGCAGTTCCCAGCGTTCCTTCTTGCTGAACTTCGGTGTCGGCCCCATGATCAAGGAGGATTTCGACAATCCGGCGGTGACCGTCTTCCGCAGCCATGAGTAACGCGGTTGAACCCGCACGGTCTTGAATGTTGATGTCCAGATCCGGGTGCGTAAGAAGTGCACCAAGAACGTCTGTCTCGTTACCAAGAGCTGCAAGCATCAACGCAGTCGTTTCGCGAGTCTTAGATCTTTTGTTGATCTCCAAGCCCGGCTTGCGCAAGAGAAGCTTTACGACCTCAAAATGCCCTTGGTAGGCAGCAATCATCAGCGGGGTATACTCCGTCACCCTGAGATTCACTTCGATTTCATCCCGGTCCAGTAGGAGCTTGACTATTGTCGGATGATCGCACATAGAAGCACTATAGAGGGGAGTGCTTCCCACATGGTCCACAGAGTTCACATCAGCCCCAGCAGCGATCAAAGAAGCGGCGACATCGGAAACACCGCGTACAGCAGCCAGTGCGAGGGGGGTGATGCCGTTCATATCTTTGGTGCCGGGATCGATACCACTTGCAAGGAGCTCGGCCGCCAATTGGTTTAAACCAAAATGGGTAGCAAGGTGCAGTGGGGTGCTGCCATCCTTACCGGCCCAGCTAGCAGAGCTCTCATCATCAACATACCACAGCGCTTGTGATATAGCGGCGAAGCGCTGCGAATCCGTGAGGAGCGTTCGGGCAAGACCAGAAAGGTCATCTCCTGGAGTCTGCAGAAGATGCTTTCCCCAATACTGTGCAGCGTATCGAAGAAACGGGTACGCCTGAATTCTTGCATCAAAATCGGCTGCCTCGGAGGGCCCCGAGCAAGCACCCTGCTGGAAGGGATCAAACATGAGATAGGTGAAACAATTGGAAGTCAGTTTCAAAGCCCCATCGGGGAACCAACGGTCCTGAGTTGCTGACTGCGAAAAGAAATTCTTGGCCGAGTAGTGAACTAGCCTGACGCAGTCGGATTCATCGAATTTGACCAAGCCAGCACACATGGAGGCCAAGATTTGAACTCGGATGATGTTGTCATCGTCAATGTCGCGATTCCCTTCAGAGATAGCAATTGCATGCTCAATTTCGCGACATTCCAGAGGACGCTCAGCAAATACTACCCAGCGCAGAAAGTCCATGGCCACTTCGCGGTGACTCGAGGGCAGGTCCTTGATGCGAAGCATCGCATCATTGTATGTACCATCCAGCTCGGATGGAAGAACACGTAGTGCTTCGACGACCTCTCCGGGGCGCATTTTTGACGCGAGGGTATCCATGTTGAACTTGGCCAAAAGGAACATCCCGTCATTCTCTTCAACAACTCTCTTCACAATCTCGGCCATCAGCCCTGTTTTGGTTTCCACGCAACGCTGCAGAAAGTCTGATGAGCCAATTCGCCATTTGACGTAGGCTAGCAAATCTTGTTCCATGGCAGCAATATCAATTCTACTGCTGTTGAATTGTTTGACAAGAACATGTCCTCTATTACCACACCGCTCGTCCTTGTCATGGCATTCCTCACAAAGGTCGAAGCCATCGGGAACATCCTCATCACAATCGCTGCAATGAAACTGATAACACAGATTGGCCTTCTCACACACATCACAATAAATATGCCTTTCAATGTTGGCAAAATGTCTTGTAATGTTATCAACTGGTCTTGAAGTGACCATGATATTGACCTTTGCCCGGAGCGATGTGAGGATTTCGAGAAGCACCAGTCTGCTTCTCTCATCTCGCAACTCATCAAGCCCGTCCACAACTATAAAAGTCTTTGGAAAGTGCATGAGCTCCGAACTGAGAGCTGATATGTACTCATCACGGCTGGGGCAAGTTTCAGCTTTGCTATGCTTGGAGAACAACTCCGAAATCCCTTCCCAGAGCACGCCATAGCGCTGAGCGACCTGCTTGGCCAAGCTTGCAACCAACCCGTCGATAGACTGCGACTGTGAGTCATCCCACTTGCAGTAGAGTATCAGAATCGCCGCGTCCTTGACCCCACCCTTTTCGCTGAGTCGGAGTTTATCCAGCTCGTTGACCACGATGGAAGACAGGAGAGTTTTGCCGGCTCCAGGGATACCTGGACAGAACAACATGGCATTCTCATTCTCCTTCCAGTTTCGGAAGTCTTCGCACCCTAGGAACCATTTACAGGTCCCTTTATGCTGCTCTTTGAAAAGGAGGCTTTGCTTGGCGATAAAATTCAAGGGCGACAACCATTCGATCATCTCCTTCAACCGCGCTTCATTCACGACAGTTTTCATTGCCTGCCCATCGCGATGGATTTCTCGCGTGAGCGCATAATTGGATTGTTCCAAGGCGAAGTGCAATGTCTGCTGCATCCGAGAAATTCGGGTGATGATTTGTGTGACGTCCGGTTTGCCTAGCGGCCATGCCAGTGTTTGCCGGATGCTTCCCCGAGCCGAGCGCGGCTTGAGCTTGCTCTCGACATCCTTGACCAGACCTTCTAGCTCTTTAAGGATTCCATCCGATTCAAAAAGCGACAATAACTGTGGCGGGAAATGCTCTTTGTCAACGACATTTCCATCGGGGGCAATCTGCGCCTGCAGGGCCGTAATCGTGATCCACAAATTCGACAACTCTTGAAGAAGTGACAGGCGCTCTCTGCCCCCCGTGGCGACAGTTCCCAGATATCCGATGATCTGGAACGCGGCTGTAGCAACACCAGCGATGCTGGCTGCCAAGCTCAATGGATCCATAGGGACCTAGTTCTTCCGAAGGCAAGGCAGCAGAACCAAGGGCCCGGGGAGGTCAGGGACCGCCAAAATCCCAAGCAAGGTTCAACCCCATGGACGCGACCGACGGCGAGCATCGGCCCGCGCACCATGCAGGAAAATGGGGGCGAGGAAAAGGTGTTTCTATCCCGACCACTAAGAACTACGAAACACTTCGTTTGCCTTTTCTACTTGCGCGCTCCCCCTCACTGTAATGGGTGTAGCGTGGCTGACATTGAGCCAATGGGGAAGGTCTCTGAGCCCAGGTCGTGTGGGCCTCGACTCAATACCCGAATTTGTCGATGTTGATCGTGCTGACTCACTTTGTTGACTGTGGCCAGCTATCCATCACATTATCAATGCTCATTGGACAAAGATCCGGGAAGCCTTCCTTCTAGACCGAGGAGCCAAGGTCGAACTTTTGGCGGGGTAGATAGATGGATTTAAAAAGACTGCACCCCAAAGCAACTCATCTTGAGACCCCTTATTCACAAGCCATCACATGATCATTCTATCAAAATCCACCTAGACAGCCTATTCCAGTGCCATGACTTCCATCGAGCTAGAACTTACTACTCGGGAACAGGTCAACCCGGATAGCTCTGGGATAGACCGGGCTGCCCAAGAAGGCAACGACCCTGCCCGGCATGATGCTAACGCATTCGAAGATACGCCACCAAATGGAGGCTATGGTTGGGTATGCACATTCTGCGTTTTCTTTATGATTGTGCATACGTGGGGTATCAACAGTGCTTGGGGTGTTATCTTAGCGCATTTTCTCTCGCACTCGACATTTCCCAACACAACTCAGACCGAGTATGCGTTCATCGGTGGATTGTCGATCGGCACGGCGTTAGTCATGGGACCACTGGTGTCTCAATCACAGAGAGTACTTGGAGTCACAGCTACGCTACTCTTCGGGACAATGGTGATATTTGCAAGCTTACTGGGTGCCGCATACGCTCGCCAAATATCGCATCTGTTTCTAACACAAGGCATTTGTTTTGGGATTGGAATGGGATTCGTCTACCTGCCAGCAATGTCCATTTTGCCCGCTTGGTTCTCAACTCGCAGAAGCCTCTCAATGGGAATTGCCGGCTCTGGGTCTGGTGTAGGAGGCATCTTATACAACCTTGTCGCCGGTTATACAGTTGAAAGGTTCGGGTGGCGGACCACCTACAAGATCCTTGCCTTTGCGTCACTTGGGGCCAATCTCCTTTCATCGCTGCTTCTGAGAGCCCGTGAACCATCTCATCATCGTCCGAAGCGTACAATTGATCATCACGACCTCCGTCGTCCTGAAGTGCTTCTTACATTGGTTTGGGGAATTGCAACCGAGCTCGGCTACGTTACAATCTTTTATTCCCTGCCAGATTATGCCTCATCTATTGGCCTAACTACGCAGCAGGGATCGGTTACGGGTGCCATCCTAAACTTAGGTCTGACAATTGGCCGGCCCCTTGTGGGCTACATCAGCGACAAGTTTGGGAGAATTACGGTTCCTGCCATCCTGACTGCCGTCTGTGGTTTAACCTGTCTGGCCATTTGGATCCCCGCATCTTCTTACTCCGCACTTCTTCTATTTGCCCTTGTGGGGGGAATGGTCTGCGGTACGTTCTGGGGAACCATCACGCCAGTCCTTGCCGAGGTGGTTGGTCTGGGCCGGCTGTCATCCGCATTTACTCTGATTTGTTTGGTTCTTACGGTCCCAACCACGGTTGCCGAGCCGATCGCTCTCAGCCTTGTGCGAGGCTCTAGCTACCTTAATACCCAAGTCTACGTGTGTTGCATGTTCTTACTGGGCGCTTTTGGGCTGTGGGTCCTTCGCTCTTGGAAATGCTATGAGGTAGAGAAGAAAGCCTCCGAAGAACAGGAAGGACTCACCAGTTACGGCCCATCTTCATTTCCAAGTTTCTCTCATTGGTTTGGACCCCGTAAGCTTTTCATTCCAGGTCGTGTTTAAGTTTTCAAGCATAAACACAGTATCCCAAACAGGGATATTCCAGGTATTCTACTGGTCCCTGTATGATTTGAAAAATTGCCTATTGATTTGACCGCAAGCCAACGTTTCCTTTCATCAATTTTGCGAATCAAATTGCTAAGCTCAAATGCAAACATGTCAAAGCCCTTCGTGATCTTGAACCCCTTTTTCTCATCGTTTTTCCTTGAAAAAGGGGGTAGATTAACCGTTAAACTGTCGCTCATGGTCGATCAATCCTATATACAGTAGAAGCAACATTCAAATAAGCTTCATATTCTACCTCCGCCGCCGTTTCCGGCATATCGTAATGGTAGTGTCCTCCCTTCCTATTTCCATCCGTCTCAAAACCGTGCGTATGCTCCATCCTCAAGCCTAAACCTTCAGGATCAGCACTGTGCATCACAGTCAAGCACACAATTGGGGCTTCAAAAACATGGTATGTAAGCCACTCCTTTTCCAGTTGCTCTCGATCCTGAAAAGGTAGCTGATCGCTCTTCGGGAAATCTGGCATAATGTGGAATTTGGCTTTCCCTTTCTTTAAAAGAAACGCCCCACCGAGGCTGACAGGTCTTGAGTCACCATAATGATCGGCCAGGCCAAGCCGGATGCAATTTGTGAAGTTCTGGTCGCCGGTTCGCGCCCGAGCCGTGATCTTGAGAACGGGGCCAGAATCTCCAGTTGACCCGTAGAGATTGACCATGAGTCCGCAATTCAGACTTTCAATGGGCTCACAGCACGATGAACCATCCGGGTTCATCTGGATAATGCGAGTGCCATTTCTCACTTTGTCCACATCCTGATCACCAGCTCCCACATGAGGCCCAGGAGGAGTGTAAAGATTCACTGCTAGTTCTGCATTGTAGCCTGTGTCATGGAATGGAGCTGCCCCTGCGCCGATCAAGAACCCGCCTTCCTGCTCCGTCATCTGCATGTCCCTGGCGAGTGAGCGCAGGGAAAATCGGGCGTCCAAGTTGGGAAGCGGGAAGAGATTAGCCTGGCCACCAACATCAGCAATGCAAGGACTCCCTGATAGGCCAGGGCTTGCCAGGTGGAAAGGGGGTTGGCGGAGGTCAGGACATTCCACGACGCTCGCGGTCGCGCTCGCAAAATTGGCTTGAAGCGACCGTTGGATGACAGCTGCTAATTCCCCCAACGGCGGAGGATCTCGCGGATGCGTTGTAGTACCCATGGCTTCAGAGATGGTAGCTAGACGGACTTGATAGTCAAAAGGCCTGTGCGATGACGAAGGGCTGTTTGCGGGGAAGAGGAGCGCCGGCTTGTCAGCACCACGTCACGCAAATTTCGCCGGCGCCACCCGCAACGACAAACTATAAAATGCTAACATTTGTTTTCTCTACTACATTTAAGGATGACAAGCATTGTATTCAGAAAGGGCTCGACCTTTTAAGCCAACGCATTTTTATAGAACAAATTTGACCTCCGATCGCCGGCCGTGCCGGAGGCAAAGCCCAGGAAGAGGCGAACTTCTCCGCCGGCCGTTTCATAGATTGCCAGTCCTTCTGGTTCACGGAACGACAGCGTAGATCCAGCTTTCGTCAACGTAGGTCCTTGCACCACAGCACCGGTGTTCAAGTTAACGCTAGTAATCTCAGAATTGACCGCTCCTTCCGTGACATCGTAGGAATTGCCCGTCAACAGATAGATGTATTGGCCATACGCAGCGTAGCCCTGGAAAGTGGCTGATTTGGTATTCGCTGATGGATGCTTGAAGTTCGCCAGCGGGGTACTGAAATTGCCATCGGTCGCTTCGTCCAAGTCAAAGACTGCGATGTGTTTGCCGCTGCTCAGATTGTACCGGACAATCAGGCGGTTGTTGACGGGGTCAATGGAGCAGGTGTGTTCCGTCGCGCCCGAGATAGGTTGGAATTTCTCCAGCGAAGATGAGGAAGACGCGACTTTGCTGCCACTGCTGAACTTGAACCGGGCAAGCTTCTTTCCATACCCATTCGAATTGGCTTCTACCTCAGTCCATAGGTATGTAGATGACCCATCAGCCTGGGCGCCGAAGGAGACGCCATGCCCGAAGCCAGTCAGATACATATGTCCAATATAGTTGCCATCAAAATCCAATTGGGTAATGCATAAATCCCCTGATGTCTCTGAGGAGCCATCACTCCGCTGAGAAACGAACAGTCGTCGGTTGGTGTTGTCGAACGCAAACCCTTGTTGCACGGTCGCGTCATGTAAGGGTTTGCTGCGGAACAAGTCGTAAGATGGCTTCGATAGATCAAAGCGCTTTGATGAAGGAACTTCGGCCGATGCAATCTTCACGGTCGAACAGAGAGCCAGAAATGCAATGCCGATGTTCGCTGGCTTGAAGATGCTCTTCCAACCGATGGTGGAGATCATATTGAGGAATAGATATTCTGTGAACGACGAAATGCCTAGATTGTACTTGGATCTGGGTCTAAGGAGGCCGCCATATTTATATTCAGGGGTGGTATGAAGCATCGCGAGTGCCAATACGAGAAATGTCCGAAATCCCCGCTGATCACTGCCCTGACGCGCTGTCGGTCCTTCGTATCGAGACTAACAATAGCAGTGCCAAGTCCGTAGCGTTTCGCAACATCCCGCGATGGATATGGCTTATAATCGATTAGATTGTCACAACGTCAAGAACGGTCCGTTTGAAAAATAGATGTGCATGCTTGAATTGGGAATATGGCCAGCCAATTAAACTTTGTGCGTGAATCAGGTTCCATTATTTCGAATTGGGGGCCCAACATTGCCAAGATCATTAGCTCAAGACCTGAGCTTTTGCATCCGCTAATCAAATTCACACAATGTGCCGACAATCCCTAGGCAGCCAGTATTTGGTGAGGGTGGGGGGGGGGGGGCGGTGTAAGCGTTTGAGGCTCTGCTACTGAGAAAGACCAAGGCCTTGAGGCGACTTCTCTTTCACTACATTCCACCGCATCTTGACATCTGCGGGCTACGACCAGCAACCATTATCCAAAATGACGGCGACCTCATCGTCAGCAACTAACCGGGTCTTCGCTACCCCGGAAGTTTTGGAGATAGTTCTGCTTCAGATGGACATGCGTACCCTACTTACATCTGCTCAGCGTGTCTGTCGAGGCTGGATGGACCTCATCACCAAATCACCCGCGATCCAAAAGGCGCTTTTTTTCACTCCGATCAAGGAGTCCGAATGGGGCAACGGAGCAAAGACACTCAACCCACTATTGGCGGATCTTTTCCCCTCTATCTTTCCTGCCAAAACGAGAGAGTCCCCTAACCCGCTCACCTTCTCTAACTTGAAAATGACGCAAACTCCTACAAACATGTTCCCTTTTGTACGGGGAGACGCGAGTTGGCGCAAAATGCTGATTCAACAGCCCCCTATATCGGAGTTTGGAGTTCTTAGCCTAACCCATGGGAGGGGTGGCGACAGCGCTGCTACGTTCAGTATCCCAGTTTGTTTCACCAGTTCCACTCCCTTCTCTCAAAGTCTCCACTAACAAATAGGCACCAGAATGATGAGAAGATGCAGAATGCTGGATATGGCGGTCTCCGGATGGAAAGACTCTTTGAGTTTCTGCTGCTCAGCCCTGAAGTTCAATTCTTGGTTTACACGCGAGCTCGAGTTTATTGGTCGACAGAAGAACCCATTATGTTCGGCGAGAGCCACAAGGAAATCAACGACAGGTTCCATCAAATGATGGAAAAGTATGACTTGGTCGTATATACACGCGAGGTGTTGCAGTGCAGTTGGCATCCCAGGCCCCCAAGTGCCGCTGAAGTTACCCGGAGGGAGATCATTGCTGCATATCAGGAACTGGGTCTTGAGACCTATTCAAAAGTAGAGGGGATTGAGAAGGCGGAAGGCGTGGTTAGCACTAGTAGGTGGGCATGAGGGCGAGGGAAACGGGGCAAGTGCCATAGATACTGAGGCTAGGGCATGCCAATTGCTCAAATCGCTGGGCCACTCAGTTTATCTGAAACCCAGTTCTGATGTGCATATATGGCGTTGCCCACGTGAAGAAGCTTTGTTGGACGTTTGGGACATATTTATTGACTTGACTATGGATAAACCACAGCACGAGTAGACATTGAATATGATCTGATATTGTAAACAAAAATAAACTAGCTAAACACTACGGGCGGTCCTCAGGATTCTCCAATATAGCAGTTCTCGCTGCAGCGAACAAGATACAACTCTTCATCTTGCACGGATATTCGTTTCAAGTCAATGTTCATCTCCCTCATTCCGGTGCATAGCCTCATTAGTCCTTTCGAACCACGTCATAAATCATGAAACACAAAAAAATTTCTCCCAAGAAAAGATTCCATCAACACCAACCCTATACAATCTCTAAACCACATAGTGAGGTCTGGTGCGGCTAGAGCTGCGGTGTCGGTGGTGGGAGGAGGAGTGACCACGACGGCTGCTGTGACTACGTCGGCGGACAGTAGTTTCCTTGACAACAACCTCGCGGTGCTTGCTGTGGATGAACAGCGCAAGGAACGCAGTCCAGGCGAAAAACACAACCTCCATGATCCCCAGGGCAAATGAAGCCTTCAGCATCGCGCAAGTCTTGTTGACGTGCAGCGCGAGCGGGTTATTGGTGCTAGTGCCATACGCGCCAAACGGGCCCAACGATACCCAAACGGAGCCGCCATCCCATTGTGCGCAATCAGCGTTCGCGATGAAGCGCAACTGGTAGACGCCCGCGATGAAAGCGCCGAAGAAGCACATGTCGAGGAACGAAACGAAGACGGATGAGCGCTTGGCCGCGGAGAAGCGGATTAAGGTATCGATGGCCCAGAAGACCGCGATCACACTGACGATGAAAAGGACCAGGATGTAGGGCGGCATGAGCATGTTGGCCTTGAGGTAGCCATCAACGAAATAAGCCTGCGATGCGATAACGGGTTAGTACGATCTTGTCTGCTGCGATGCGCGCGAGAAAGGGATAGACTCACCAGCATGCCAATGATCGGAATGAGGAAGGTAATCTCCACCATCCGGTTGAAGATGAAGAACACACTGCCAATCATCTTGTCGGGGAGCCTGGTGGGCACAGAGTTCAGGGGAAACTCGATCTCAGGAATGCGACGACGATGAAGGGTTGCGGAGGCCCAGCGCAGAAAGTGGGAGGCAGGTATGTACGTCAGAAGTAGACGATCAATGTAGGTATTGTCGATCTCAAGGCTACACTAGCATCGCGTGGAGAACAAAGACGATACAAGGAGAATTATTGCGGTTGCAACCTGCGCATCTGCACTGCACGGTCCGGAAGGAGATGAGTAGAGAGAGAAGAGGAGAGATGCGAGGGGCGCAAAGAAAAGGATCTCACTGCCGTCTTGCGCTGACACGCCGCGGGGGGTGAGGAGGCTGGGCGAGTCACAGCGCACGTCCGAGGTGGCTGGGGCAACGTCGATTGGGACCGGGGCCAAGTACAGTGGCTTACTGGTATGGTGCTCATGGTGCGCAGATGCGAGACGGGTGACATTGCAATGGGGTTAGTGCAAGCCCCCCTCTTGTCAGATTTAATTAATGTTCTGCATCTGATTGACTGTTGATCCGCGTAGTGCTGCCGAATGTTGTTTGTTGGAAGGGCAACCCGGGCCGCGGCCAAGTGGATCCCCGCGCCCGACTCGGAGCCAATGGGAGATCATCCATCTATGAAGGTAAAGAACAAAAAACCGATGGAAATTATGTGCAACCAGGTCATTGTGTAAAGAGAACATTGAAGCTCGGTACGAAACAAGGTTCATTTTCCATCGAAGTAAGCTGTTCAGAAAGGACAATGTGGATAAGTATGCATATTCGAGTCTCGAACGCCTGAACCCTGTATATGTACAGAAAGAAAACAAGAGACCGAGGAAAAAGAGAGAGAGAGAGAAAGAGAGAGCTCGTCAAGGTTCATGTAAATCGCGATGGGCCATCAAGCCACAAATGCACGCTGATGTAATGCAATTCCGTCCGGGAAAGAAATCACCACGGATGTAATGTAATCTAAACATCACGAAGCGGCGTATCGGTCAACGGTCGGCCTCGGTCGGTGTGACTGACTCCTACCGCCGGAGCCGCGTACACAGGACCAGGGGGAGCCGCATGGGTCTGCGCCTGGTACGCTGTATTTGTCTTGAATGGAGGAGAAGAGCGACCTCCGGGGTTTGGAGTCATCGCATAGCCGTGCTGCATCTCGATTCCGTTACCAACGTCGTCTTCACTAGAAGACCAGGTGCCATCCGGATCCTGGTCGTGCCGACGGCGGGGGTAGATCTGAGAGGTGAACGGGTTACTTGGGACAGCGTGTCGCGAGGAATCAGCAGGAACTGCGCGATTCGATGGCGACACAGAGCGCTCCTGCACACCAGAGGGATCAAGGCGGTCTTGTCCGGGATTGCATAGAGCAGATGTGCTATCATCGTTAAGCGTAGCCAATTGAGTGTTGATTGGACGAGGCGGCTCAGTTCCCCAGGTGCGGATCGGGTAGGCTCGGCCCTTGCGCCAGGACTCGGTGATCGGGGGGAAGTACTGGCGGTAAGAAACAATGGCGCAGACTACTCCCAGCAGGGAGCCGGTGATGACGTCGAAAGGATGGTGGCGGGCATCCATAATCCGAGACACGGCAACAAGGGTTGCCGCAAGGATAGGCACCATGACCAAAAGGCTCTTCCATGCCTCGCCGCGGTTGTCCATCACATGCAGCTTTCCACCCAGCCACAATGAAGTATAGAATAATCCAGCAAAAGAGGCTGTTATCGGAACTATCGTTAGTATCTTAGTGTACCTGTCAATCGCAAGGCGGTATGACAACAGAGAGTCGAAGATGAAACTCACAGCTACTATGACCTGTAGGCGTTTACCGTTAGCATAAAACCATTCCAGAACCACCAGAACAACATTGAGAATGACGTACCGGAAGGCCACGACCGGAATCCATCCTTGATTATGGCTGCATCTCCGGTACAGATGGTCGAATTGGATAAACCGTACGGGGTCAAATCATGGCTCCCAGCACGAGGCTGGCACCGATCTATCAAATCCGGCCGAGGCTTGCCGCAGGCATTCTTGAGTACCTGGGTGATCACAAACGCCAGTCCTTGGGACAGCAGCAAGCCCAGGATGCCGCAGTTCATCTCCCACAGGCGATCCTTCCACCGCCACGGACCCCGCAACCTGCGCTTCCCGGATACCGGGTCCTGAGGCTTGTGGTGCGAAAACAGGCCATCGATGAAGAGAGTATAGATGCTAATGAGGACAAGCGGGAAGCCGCCAGATATGCAGAGCGCATATCCAATGGGGATGCGTTCGTGGACGGCGTAGGGATACTGGAGGGAGATGTTGTTGAGGGAGAAGTGCTGATGGAACGGCTCGATCGAGTCCAAGATAAAGAAGCCGATCACGCAGGCGCTAGTTCAATCCTTGGAGTCAGTCAAATCGGCATTTCTTGGGGAGATGGGGACTTGGGAGTCTTGGGAGGTGGTTGCAGTACACACATGAGAATCACATAGTCAAAGATGTAGCTGAATGAAGGTCAGTCGAGGCCACATTCCGTGAGAAAGACGACGAGAGCAGAAAGACGCACGAAATGACCACGCGCGGTCGGATCCGCCGCTTAGAGAACGGCAATTTGGCGGGAATCTCCATGAGTTCCCCAGATTGCGGTTCAATGGGGAAGAAACGGGAGCTCAGATAGAGAAAGGGACGCAATAGAAGTAGCGAACCCAAAATTAGGCAGCCTTATTGAGCTCCCAAGATTCTTGGCCGGTCGCGTGCCTCCGCCCTGCCAAATTACGTGGGGGCACAAAGGCGCACTGTGTGGCGCTGGATGGATGGGCGTTTACCGTTGCCCCTGAACCCTGCACTTGCTATTTTAACTTGACCGTTCCATCTTGCGCCGAATCAGCGTGGCTGAGAATGTCACTGAGGTCTCTCCACATTCGGTAGGTATGGAGTAGTGGGGACCTGAGAGCTCACTCACACAGGCCGCTCCTGATTCAAGTTCCTGTACTCCGTACACGTACCAGTCCGGAGAAGTCTCGGCGCTAATGGCCCTTGTCCATCCACGCCTTTTTCAGACAACTTACCCCTGCCAGAATGAGTTCTAGGAACCATCTCTGGATTTTTGCAGCCTCAACATTCATCTATTGTTCAAGTCTAACACCGCCCCAAACTTTCTGTGAGCTCCTCTGCCAGATCCCACCCTACAGCTGCTTTGTTTCATCCTGACTGCTCTACACCAAGTGAGAACATACAACTAATAATATAGAATCATCATCCTCTCAATCCGAAATCTATATATGAAGAACTGACAATTTGGTCGCCAAATTGCTTCGATTTCCCGTTTAGCCGTCATTTTCTTTGTGCCGCACCACGCACAGATCCACAGTCAGCCCGGAATGGTAAATCCTGGCGCGATGACCTTGGCGCGTAGCTCACCAGACGGAGGAGGTGACTGATCCTGCGTATCTGACTTGTCACCGTGGCGGTGTAAATTGCCTTTGCCCACCGGTCCACATACGACTAGGCAGCATAATTATCTGCCGCTATTTGATGGGAGGGTAACAATGCAGCGTGCTATTCGACAAGGCGTACGGGGGAATGAAGAGCTAATGGAGAGTGGATAATAGAAAGAAATGAAGTGAGAGAGCAGGAATGACGTGGAGATGATAATCATACAACAGTTGAAACCGTGTCGATTGTGCTTATATATCAGAACGTTCATCGGATCAACAGGCCCGCCCACTCGGACATACATTCCGCCCCAGGTACAGGACTACAGGACCAAACAAAAGGAAAACCACGACCACATAAAAGCGTTTTCACATGAGGCATTAACAAACTTTACATGACATAACATTTACCCCAACCGACTAGTTATACACTGGCCAATATGACCCAATCATCATGGGAGGCTGCCCAATTAGCAGGTGGTGATGAACAGACCCAGACTAGGAAGCAGGTTAGCGGAGATTCAGAAATCGTCTCAGTTTCCCAATAAAACTTACGGAGACGGGTTCCAGTCTTCGAAGAAGTTCAGGTTAGTGCTACCGGCATTCTTCATCTCGTAGCTGACGGCCTGTCCCGCCGGGCACGAGAAAGTGGACACAACGTAGGAGTTCCCAGGGGAGATGGTGATCGTGCCCAGACCCTTGGAGACCGAAGGAACGTTATTGTAGGTAGTGGAGCTGCTGACAGTCTGCGAAAGCTTGCCGATGGCAATCTTGCCATCGCCGCTGAAGCTGTACGAGGAAGTCTGGAGATCGGTTTTCTTGGGGAACAGGAATACCAGGCTGCAGGTCTTGCCGGAGTACGATTGCGGGATGTCGAAGTTGAAGGTGGTCGAAACACTCGAGTTAATGGTCCCGTTGAAGCTATTACCCTCGGGGGTATCAGGTGATGATGAGCTGATCGGGACCATCAGGTGGGGGTACTGATAGTCGCCAGAGAGGGTGGTAGGGCAGCTACCGCTCGAGGACGATGATCTTGAGGCCGAGGCCGAGGAAGAAGAGATCGGGACACCGCCACCACCGCCACCGCTAGGGCTCGAGGGATGGGTACTGGTGGACGGAGCGGGTGCGCCAGAAGACATGGGGGCGCTCGAGGGCTGGAAGCCAGCGGCTGAGCTGGAGGAGTGAGAGCTACTGGAAGGGACTGGGCTGCCACTTGGGGCCGCGGAGGGACGCGAGCTACCAGAGGGCTGAGAACCACCAGATTGTTGAGAGCTGCCAGACGGAGCCGGGCCACCGCTCGGGCCAACAGAGGAGAAACCAGAAGCTGGGGCAGTTGGCACAGAAGCGGGAGGAGAGCCACCGGCAGAGCTAGAAGGCTGCGAGGTACCAGCAGGAGCTGGGGAAACTGGCACAATAGCGGGAGGAGAGCCACCAGCAGAGCTAGAAGGCTGTGAGGAGCCACCAGGAGCTGAAGTAGCTGGCACAATAGCGGGTGGAGAGCCACCGGCAGCACTAGAAGGCTGCGAGGGACCACCAGGAGCTGGGGCAACTGGCACAATAGCAGGAGGAGAGCCACCAGCAGAGCTAGAAGGCTGCGAGGTACCACCAGGGGCTGGAGCACCACCGGGGGCGGAAGATTGACCTGCAGCAGGGGCAGCCGGAACACCGGTCCCGGAGCAGCTGCAATCAGATACAGTGACGGTTGACACAACTGTAATAGGTGATCCCGAAATAGGAACCGGGGCTGAGCCTGCAGGGGAGCCAGTGGACCCAGGTTGACCAGGGGAACCAGATTGACCAGGGGAACCAGGTTGACCTGAAGGAGCTGTGCCAGATGACGAGCCGCCAGCACTGGCGCCAGTGCTCGTGCAAGAGTCGGCACTCATCCGGATGTTCTTGCAGTTGGTGACGGAAGTGCTGTTGGTGGTGTAGATGTTCGAGCCACCATTCTGGCCAGTTTCACAAGCAATGAAGGCAGGACTGCCGTGGAACTCCAATTGGCCGGAGGACGAGACATAGAAGCCCGGAGTGCCGGCCTTACCCTCATCGCACTGGAATTGAGTGGTTTCCGCTGATGGTAGGAGCACGTTAGCTATTGACACTAATGAAGGGTTCAAGTTGTGCAGTATACTCACACGTGATGATGCAGCCACGACCAACGCTGTCGGTGATGACACCGGTCGAGTTGATACAGTACTGAGACGCGGACAGACTATTGTCCCCAATGCGGTTCTGGCCATCACTCAGTTGGCCCAGGTTGCCGGACATACCACCAGATGCCGTTATGTGGAAGCAGCAGGCCCCTGCATTGCGGCCAACGAGGGCGTTGGCACTGGCAGCGAAGGCCGCGAAGACGGCGAAACTTTTCATGATTTCACGCGAACGCCGGGGTAGAGCCACAAGACGAACGTATAGAGTTCTTCAAACCCTGTTGATTTTATATTGACCTCAATTTCCCGTTGGTCAATAATGTGTGTCGAGATGTGTCGAGATACGTCGAGACTCTGTAGGGCTATCTTCCGGGGAATTGGGTCATTCTTATAGCAGGGAGTGTGGATGGGAACCACACCGTTACGAATCAAGATACCTGACCCGATGAGCAAGCATTGGCACACCCACCGAGGATCCGGGTCATATCCCCGAGAGAATGGAAATTAATAAATCAGAATAGATAATCGAAAATCGTGCCGGCCTCTCACAGTTGAGTTAGGTCATTGACCATGGGTATCGGAAGGCACAGTGGGCCAGTGCCGTCGGAGAGCAGGTATACGAAAATCCGAACCAGCCGGACAGCCCATCCGCAGCATTAGCATAGACGTCATTTCGAAATGAGGTTCTCTGCCCTGGTGTGGAGAAGCATCCAAGCTTCACTCTCCGCTCTCCAGCGCTGCGGAATGACCGATGGTTGTCAATGGCTGCCGAAGAGGACGCAGTGGAACACTGGAGCCTATCATAGACACCCTATGTTCGATCTTCATTAAGTCTGGATATTCGTCTCCAGCGATTCCCGATAAGCCGATGGATGCCTTGACCAGTGTGTTTCGAGCGGCAATGCATGCGGTCTACCACGGAATGTACCTGAATCTCCGTCATTCAGTAGGGCGCTTCACTGACCAAATCTCGGGCCGGACGGACCACAGGAGTCACTCCCCACGGTTGGCAGGTGCTGCATCTTGCTTATCATTGATTCCCATGGCATTATAAAGAAGGTACGCATGGAGGTCCTCTAGCTTGTTTCTTAATAGAACCAGATAAGCCTACACTTGGGGTGGTTCTTCTCCGGGTCGCCTTTATCATAACTCTCATTGATAGAATATCACCATTATCAGAGGCTACAAGATGCAGCAAACTAACCTGCTCAAAAGGCTAAGATTAAAACTTCGGTAGGGCTTGACACAGGGCCAACCCCTCCCCCCACTAAGCCCCTGCGACCCTGAGCAGTGGATCTTTCTTGACATTGCATCACATCATTGTGGACAGCCCTCGCTAGGAAAAGTGGGCTGTACGAAAAGAAAGAGCTTTTGCCATCCGTGTCAGGGACGATGGAGAAAAATGAGATCATTGTGTTATAACCCACGGCACTTTCCACGCTAGCCAGTCAAAAAGCAACAGGATTGGGTCGGACCGTGTGAAGCCGGAAGTTATCATCGTGTGGGCCAGTCGACGGTGGAGCCGACGAGAGGGTATCCGGCCAACAACATCGCTCGCTATTTATATGCACCAGGTTGGACCCAAAGAACCACGTTTGGATACGCACATTCAATTTAGGCAACGCAACATTCCTACAGTTCATCAGCCTGGATGAAAAAGCAATGGCATTCGTTGTAGACTTCAATTTACACGGAATCGGGTCACAGACAGGTTGCAGTGGGTTGGGCAGAAAAATTGCATCGTGGCGGAAATTTCGTAAGGGAACACGATCCACGATCCAGGACGCGCGTACAGGGCTAGATTCATATGTCAGACTGGCGATCTGTATGCTAGGGCCCATCGGTACTTGTTCTTTGATTCTAGAACACCCGCGAGCCCAGTAAGAGCGACGGCGAAGATCTTTCCGTTACAGAACATTGAAAAAAATCCGAAGGCACCTTGGACCAAAGTATATCCGATTCCTCCGCAGCGGATTCGAAAACCAGTCACCGCGCCACGTCATTCAGTCGGTGGAACCACCGATCGGCGAGAATGCCATCCGAATTCCGTCGGCGTGGCTGGACAGGAGTAGTGGCGTTGCCTGTTATGCCCATTGCAAGTTGCCATCATACTGTAGACTCGACCGTTGCATCTAGGCCAAGTTGAGAGCCGTTGAGATAATTAGGCCCACAGTGCTAGCTCTGACGCCAGTACCAAAGTAATCGCGACAGGCAATGTCGATCGCAGTGGATGAGCCGGGAGGTGGCCTGAATGGGGCCCAACGGTCTCGTTGAAAGCACGCGTCGATGTCGCCAAGCCTTCCCTTTACCTAGCGGCTCTTGAGGATATGCGTCATTAGTAATTTGAATTCGTGAGCCTCCAGTGAGGTGTTGGTATCTGATTACAATATTTTTGAATAGGGACGGCGGAGACAGGATAGCGTCATGCACGCGGGGAGATGTCTAAGAAGAGAAATATACGGACAGCTTTCCATTACTTGCTTTTTAAGCGTATCTGGTGCCAATATAACTTTTAATTATGTATGTCTATTATTATCATATTGATAGGAAGGGAGCATCGAGCTCGGATAAAAGAGTGTTCCAGTCAAACAGAGTGGACGGGTCCGCGTTGGTATCAAATGTCTGCCAGAGATCATCAAAGGAAGGGAGCGCGGGGTCCGTAGACGTTGGCTCCAGGTCGGCTTCAGAAGAAGGTACTGGTGTGGGAGCAGAACCAACGGACGCATCCTGTATCGGTCCGTTGCTGATTTTTGAGTGGGACGCTGACTTCCTTTCAGTAGGGAGAGGAACTTTGTTCCGTTGAAGGATAGAGTTGAAAGTATCAAGGAGCCTATCTGCAAATGGGGACTGGCTCTTGCCTTCTTCGAGGATGCCTAACGCATTACGAATCTCTAACCGACGCTCCTGTTCCTCGTCTGGTCCGAAACTCTTATTGTGGCAAAGATCTATCAGAAGTACAATGATGGCCATGCATACACAAAGCAAGCTCCCCGAAAACTTCATCCGAGTCATAAAAAAAGGGATGTTGTTGGAGGATAGCTGTGCTTCTGTGCGAATAACCATGCGCGCTGCTTCAAGGCATGCGTTTCTTGAGTAGGTGAATGGAGCCTCTGCTGCGCGAGATAGGTAAGGAAGATGCAGCCTGCAGCGCTGGGTGTGGAGCATGGAGTTGATAATGTATCGATGGACAGCTATACCGGAAGATCTGTGAGGGTCTCTTTCTGGTAATTCCCTCATGTCATAATCCAATTGAAAAAAGTACGGCAATGCTTGACTGAATTCACAGATCCTTTGGTCGATCTCTTTGACCTGCTGGTAATCCGGATTCCCTAATTCGGCTTCCAGGAACGGGAAACTGTCGCTGATTTCTCGACATATTTCTCCGAGTCGAATTCGCTGGAGGTAATATGACATGACCGTGGGCTGATCAAGTGGCTTGCCGACGAGGTTCATACCATCAAAAAGATCTTCATCGTTTGCATGGATGGGTTTGTTGGTTGCCATATGACGGGGGTTAACCATATATATGCCTTGCTGTAGGCCCGTCAACTGGGACATTTGCCTTTACCTCGATGTTAGATCCTTCATCAGCCATGTGAAGCGCAGCTCGAAAACCTACCAGTCTGTTGCAACAAGATACCACCACACCCGTCTGCCTATTTCTGCTTTCACCGAGTCTGACTGAGGCACATCAAGCTTTGCGTTATACCTGTGATCGATTCGGTGCAATGATAGCTGCCATGCGATTGAGGTGGCTGTAGAAAAGAGATAGCGAGCCCGAGACGTGATGCCGACGATATGGCAAACCAAGAAGGCCAGAATGATCAGGGCTTGAACATCCTCAATGGACTCCGAGCATGTGCGACGGGAGTATTCCAGCACTTCGAATGACATTGCCATCCATTTTTTGGATAGTTCATTGGCGTCCGCGACCGAGGAGAATGCCAGTCTGTGCATGTCTCGCTCGGTCCAAAAAAAGGCAGTGCTAGCCAGCATTGCCAATAGCAAGGAGACTTGGCCGAGCTTTACGGGGCTTTTTGTGCTCAGATTCTCATAGAGCTCATTCACAAGCACACGGACCGAGGGAATATGGACAACGTGATGGAGGTAGGTGATGTCAGTGAGATATTTATCGACGATCTGTTCTGACTCCTCGTGGAGTGGAAGCCACATGCATTGGGTTGAAGTTCGGTCCAAAACATCTCTATGCATCACGGGTGTGAAAGGTAATGTTTCTTTGATAGGACATGTTCTAAACTCTTAACGCCATGGATCACAGTTAGATATGAGACTTTTAAGCTTGAGCATTGTGAATTTCTTACCATATTCCGCAATGCATAACCCCGTTGCTGAGCCTGGATTCACTATCTGCGACTCAAGCCATTCTACATCCACCACAGATGATTTCTCTGAAAAGGATGCAGAAAAATCACTCTTGCGCCGAGATGGGGGTGGCCCTGGCCGCGAACCAGCTTGATCGGACGGAGAACGAGTAGGCTCGCGTTGGCCAATAACAATTCCTTCAAGCCTTTGCAAACGGGCTAACACATCTTGCTGAAACTTCTCGGGTGTCTCGGGATCTTCATTGGCGCTGCTGGGTAATACTGAGACCTCCGATTGACAAGAAATACCGCGACTGGAACAATTGGCACAAGGGAACTGCCGGCTGCACCTCAACTTCCGTGATCGGCAAAACAGACATGAAACTGGGCGCGAGCGCGATGAGCCTGTACGATTTTTCTCAACCCGACCCATTATGATTCTCAGACTTCTGCGGACTTTGTAAAAGTCCAACCTTGCTGTTGCGAGAGGCTGCGAGGTGAACTGGGCGCCCAAGCAGTGAACCAATGAGCGGCCGTCTGGCCCCGCGGAACTTCCGCGGAGTCCGCCTTGGAGCATCAGATGTATGACGACGACGCCAGGTACATAAGCGCACCTCTCGCAAGAAAATTCAACTACATTGTATACAAACACAAGGCAAAGAAATCTAACCATTGTTGGATTCTGTAACCCACTTTCCCACCCCAAAATGGACTCTATCGTTGCTCAAATTCACGCCTTGGCCGAGACTTCTGACGAAGTCGGTCGGCTGGAAATCCAAAAAGGTCTTCGCGATGTCCAGATGGAGATTCAAAGTCCTAAAGATCTTCTAATGAGCCTTGCAAACTCGGTTAGTGGTCCACAGCATGTGGTCTTCGCCATTATTATCACTAATTTGCCTAGCAACTCCTTATTGCAACCATTCGCATGGGGGCAGATCTGAAGTTGTTCCGCAACATCGCTGCCCACAAGGGCTCAATGACAACTGTTCAGCTGGCTGATATCACCGGTTCATCTCCTCAACTGCTGGGTAAGTGCTGTGCTATTCAGTCCGGTGACACAGCACTTGCGATTAACCTCGTTACATTACACTTCTAAAGGAAGACTGCTTCGATATCTGAGCTCGAACGGCATGATCAGGGAGACTGGTCTTCATGAATACCAGGCGAACACCAACACTCATATTCTTGCTGATGATAAGGGAGAGGCTATGGTATATCACGGGTAGCCACCCCCTTGTTATGCATATTTGAGTCATGCTAAAATTCCCAATTCAGATTTGATACCCATGGACCGATCGTCAGCGCGATGCCTGACTTCTTTAAACAAAACAATTATCGAGACATTGATAGCGTCACAGACACTCCATTCCAGAAAGCTCACAACACCAAACTCAGACCATTTGACTGGTTTGTCCAGAACCCAAAGCATTTCGAGACGTTGCAGAAGGTCATGACTTCGCTTGCAGGTGCAGAATGGACAGTCGGGTTTGATCTCCTGGATATGGAGGCAAAGAAGGTCCCTTCAACGCCCCCTCGACCTTCTGAAAAGCCCTTTTTTGTGGATGTAGGGGGCGGCCATGGGCACCAGAGTATCCAGCTGGGCAAAAGATACACCAATCTCCTGGGGCGCCTTGTCCTACAGGATCTTCCGGCGGTCATCAACCAGCTCCCTCCTATTGAAGGCGTCCAAACCGAAGCCTATGACTTCTTCGAAAAACAATCCATTATCGGTCGGTCTTTCTCGCCTTAACTCTCTCTCTGCCTTCAAAGAGGTCCAGCTAAGTTTCGTGTCCATTTAGGTGCCAAGTTTTACTACCTGCGACGGATCATTCATGATTGGCCCGATGAAGAGTGTACGAAAATTCTTCGAAATGTTGCGGATGCAATGGATCCAACCTCCCGCCTGCTTATCGATGAAGTCGTTTTGCCGGACACCGGCGCTCACTGGCAGGCCACAATGGCCGATATTTCCATGATGATCGGACTTGGTGGAAAGGAGCGGACAAGTGAGCAGTGGCATTCACTGGCTGGCTCTGCAGGCTTGCGGGTTGAACAGATCCACCTCTACACTGCCTCCACATATACCTCTATCATTGTTTTGGCCCTGAAATAGAGAAATGGTGTGGTGGCTTTTAGCGAGACCTGATGCCTACCTGCGAGAATATCAAAATCTCCCTTCTTCAGTCAATGATATTTCTTCCGCGGGTATTTGTGATGTTGTCAGTGCCGATAGGAAAGCAGGCACATCATCTTTAGTAGACATATTCCGCATTACTAAGATCCAAGGTCACTTGACAACAGGGGGAAACAGAAATCATCAGGCAAACTTATTCTTCTCAAGTGCTCTGATTGGCACATGTGATGTCAGAAGGGCATATGGCCCAAATTATAGGGGAAGAACCTCATCGGACCAGTGCAGACACAATAATGGGCATTGAAGGCATAGCCACGCTGATTAGGCAGAGCAACTAGTAAATGATGAGCTGGCAGAGCGAAAAGACTCAACAGAGATAAGACATGGGAAGGATCTACTCAGGCGCGAGGTCGCCGTAACTTCATAGAAGTCGTAGAGTATCCGCATTGATGCCTTGGACGTCTCTCTAGTGCCATTGGGGCTTCTTAACTTCAGATACCATCCCCGTTGAGAGTGATGGCACTGCTTTACGTCGGCGCTAAGCAACGCTAAGCATCGATCAACCGTAGACACGCCGGATCAGCGCTCAACACTGCCGTTGCAGAAACACCGAACTGTAAGTCTTCCAGAGGGGGGCGTTTGTGTACAGTCCACAAGAGACTTATATTGGAGATTCTTCCAAACGTGGAGATAGATGCACAGAATCAAATGTAGTGGCTCAAAAATATTGTACATGTCCTAAAATACCAATCAGAATCACAGCTTGCCGCCGGTGATCTGCTCGCCCAGCTTCTTGACTCGGTCCTGGGTAACATCCCAGCGAGCGGTCTCACTCTTCCTAGTCTCATTGACGACGGACTGCACCGTTGGTGGCACGCCCAAATTCCAGATGTTATCACCCTGCTGGTGGTCGTTGCGCCATGCCTCGTTCTCGCCTTCGGGGAACACGCGGTCGATCTCAGCGGTGAGTTGCTCCTCCGTGGTAATGAAAGTGCGAGCGTTCATATACAGAGACTGTAAGTGATCACGGCGCTCGGCATCCTTCTCGGCCCGCTTGGCCTCCATCCGAGCCCGGGAAAGGGCAAGTCGCTGTTCCCGGTTCGGGTCCGCCAGGGTTGTGTGTGGCTGAGGCTGCATGGCCTGAACAACTGATGGCCGGGTCAAGCGCTCATCCTCGGCTTCCGGTTGTTGGAGAATACGCTCGCGTCGGCTCTGGCTCTCGAAACTTCGATTGAACATGGTTTCAACTGCCACTTGCTTCCGCTTATACAACGTCTGGAGACCTTCCCGGAGGTTCTTGCGTCGCAAAACCGCCATCTTGAGCTTAAAAGCCTGCTTTTCGGGGTCACTGCTCTTCGGGTTGACGGTGCGCTCGGTCGAAGGGGCAGGGGTCACGGCATCGAGGTATGCTTTGCGAGGCTTGTCCGCACGACGAGCCGGGAAGAGCTCGCGAGGAACCGGGAGGGTACCCTTAACGCGTGGTTTGGCGGGATTGCTGGCCTGAACGATTCGCGGAATATCGATGAAGTGAGGAGACTCGGGTCCGACTCGAAGGTTCGGCGAAGTTGCGAAGCCACGGACCTGCAGGCTGGCAGTCCGGCCGCTGCGGAGGGCAGACATACTGCACCGATTGCACCCCGGTCGCTCTACGGATGGAGCAATTTGTCAGGGTAATAAAGAAGATAATCAGGTTCAATAAATAAAACAACACAAAATCGGTCAAAAGGACCGCCGCGCGTGGCACTTGGAGAGGAGGATTCGCGGGAAAGCAGGAGACCAACGCCGGAAGAAACAGAAGCGATTTTCCAGTGGTCCGTGCACGCTCGTCTCTTGGCGCCCAAAAAAAAATTACCTCTCCGCCTTTTTTTTTTTCCCTTTTCTTCTTCTCTTCGCGCTGTGCCACTTCTTTTGTTTTGGTCTTGCCTTCGAATTTTTTTTCCGAAGGTCAAAAGATTTTCTTCCTCTTGAAGACCACAAGAGATCCTCACCATGGGTACCGGCAAGAAGGAGGCCGCACGTAAAGTGCGGCAGGGGAAGGTTGATGATGGCATGGGCAACGTGAAGACTAAAGGTGAAAACTTTTACCGGTAGGTCCACAACATAGTCCGATTGAACCTGGAGGCAGCCGAGGCTAATTCATTTCACAGCGATGCGAAGAAGATTAAGACCTTGAACATGTTCAAGGATGGCAAGGCTCGACGCAACGCCGCTGGAGAAATCACTGTCTCCGCTTCTTACCAGTCTCGGGATGCCCCTGTTGCTCGCATTGAGCCCAACCGCAAATGGTTCGGCAACACCCGAGTTATCTCGCAGGAGGCTCTGACCTCCTTTCGCGAGGCTGTCGCCGAGCGTGCGTCCGACCCGTACCAGGTGCTGCTCAAGACCAACAAGCTCCCCATGAGTTTGATCCGGGACAACGATACCGTGAACGGGCTGAAGCAGCATCAGGCGAAGATGGAGATTGAGAACAACCCATTTAATGATACCTTTGGCCCCAAGGCTCAGCGCAAGCGTGTCAAGCTGGGCGTGACTTCTCTGGAAGATCTTGCTGGCGAAACGGCGAAGTTACACGACTCATACCAAGAGAAGATGGATCAGGGGACCCATGACGATGGCACTCCTATTGTCGCCAGCGATGTCGGTGCTTTGGAACATACCACCTTCACCACCGCCCGTGAGGCTGTCTTCTCGAAGGGTCAGAGTAAGCGTATTTGGAATGAGCTTTACAAGGTCATCGACTCTTCGGATGTCGTGATCCATGTTCTGGATGCTCGTGACCCCGATGGTACTCGCTGCCGGAGCGTTGAAAAATACATCCGCGAGGAAGCACCCCACAAGCATCTGATCTTCGTCTTGAACAAGACCGACCTGGTCCCGACCGGTGTTGCTGTAAGTGTCACACTATACCCTTTCCCACTTTTGCTTCAGATCCCCTACAGTTTTTATCCTGTTCATTCTTCATTGTTCTTGATTTCTTGTTTCGTTTTTCTCGGTCATCGAGCCGTTCCATTGCTAAGTCAAGGCTTCTTCCTGCGACTTTTGTCGTGCTTTCTTCAATGGAGGTCTGTCTGTTACAGCTTTGGTAGATCGACAATGTCCCGCACCAAACTTCTTTCTGAAGCAAGGTTGATTGGCCTTCGTCTTGAAGGCCTGTCGTAAGGGACATATGTGTTTTGTTTAAGAGTTGAGTTCTACTACTGCCTTTTCTGGTGGCTTGATAGTCGAACTCTTAGTAACATTCCACACATTCCTGCTTTTTTTCATCCATTTTTTGGTGACTATGTGCTAACATGGCATCTTCTACCAGGCTGCTTGGGTTCGTAACCTGTCCAAAGATTACCCTACTCTCGCGTTCCACGCAAATATCAACAACTCCTTCGGCAAGGGATCTCTGATCCAACTTCTTCGTCAGTTCTCATCTCTGCACTCAGATCGCAAGCAGATCTCCGTTGGTTTGATTGGATACCCCAACACGGGCAAGTCCTCTATCATCAACACTCTTCGCAGGAAGAAGGTCTGCACGGTTGCTCCCATCCCGGGTGAGACCAAGGTGTGGCAGTACGTCACGCTTATGAAGCGCATCTACCTGATTGACTGCCCTGGTGTGGTTCCGCCAAACCAGAATGACACGGAGGAGGATATTCTTCTGCGCGGTGTGTGCCGTGTGGAGAACGTCCACAACCCTGAACAGTACATCCCTGCCGTCCTCCGCCGTGTCCAGCCTCGCCACCTGGAGCGCACTTACGGTATCAAGGAGCCTGCTGATGCTATCGATTTCCTGAGCCGCCTTGCTCGCAAGGGTGGTCGGCTTCTTAAAGGAGGCGAGCCGGATCTGGACGGTGTTGCAAAGATGGTGATTAACGATTTCCTTCGTGGAAAGGTTCCCTGGTTTACCCCTGCTCCTAAGGGAGCCGCTGGCGACAGTGAGAAGATTGAAGGCCGTGAAGGCCGCCTGGGAGAAATGGCTCGTAAGCGCAAGCTGGACGATGCTGCCTCTGAGCCCGCTGATGAAGCTGAAGCTGAAGCCGAAGCTGAAGCCGAGTCATCAGAGTCGCAGCCTGACGGTCAGTTCGAAGGCTTTGATGAAAATGATGATGACGATGATGATTCTATCGCCAACCTCGAGATCAGTGATGTGGAGAGTGGCGAGGAAGACTGAACGTTCAATGGGAGTCAGCCCAAATCTCCTCATGCTATTGACTGCATGTCGACCCAAATGTCTCGCGCTGCCTCTTGAAATAAAGAGTATGTGCAGTCGCCGATTCGCACCTCCAGCGGCATCCCAAGCTGAGCCGTGTCGCGAGGGCCCTAGTTGAGCAACAACCACACTAGGGAAGGGAAAGGTCAAGCTTCTGTCAGCAGCACCTCCCAGAAGGACACAGCTGCTTTGCGAGCGCAGTCCACAATCGCGTTCATGTGTAAATGTGCGTTCCCGGTGCCTGGTCAAAAGCCCACCAAGTCTAGCATGGTCGCTAGGAGGCGACTGGCCGCCTTAGATACCCCGATTTTTGAAAGGAATCAAATGAAACCCTCATTTCTTCGAGCAAATACTCTAGTCTTGTAGCCCTCCCTCAAAACATTTCAGGAGTAGTCATGCCCGGACGCTAGTTTCTTCATGCAAAGAAACTCACTCACCCACGGCTCGGCGGATCCGGGGTCTCACCGCTCTCGGCGTGGGGTTTCACCGTCGTCATCCTCCCGGCCAAAGCTGCAAACGACGACGCGTGATAAGTGAGCGATCACATCTGCCTCTTTGCTGCCTATCGCAATGACGTGGAAGTCATGCCAGACGATATGTCTATGATTCCGTATAATGGGGGCAACCTCGATGTTGTGTTGTAGGTTTAAGCAACTTCGTTCTGGTGCTGAAGCTAACGACCTCTAGCCGGCATAATGACTCAGTGGTCGTGTTCGACCATGATTCCCGGCAGCTTGCCCTACGAAACACCGCAGACGAGCATAATGGAGAGTTCGAGCTCGCAAACTGCCCTCTCTGTCACCGTCCAATGCGCGACAGCAGCCGAGGAAGGCACCGTGGGAGCACAGACCCAGAAGCGGAATTTATCAATCCCAACTACTTTCGCATGCTCAACAACAGCTTGCCAAGCTCTACAGCCTCCTCTAGACCCCAATCTCCACGTCGCCGCCTCGTACAGCCTGCCCTCCCTGGCGGTCCAACCAGCGAACCTGCTTCTGGGTCTGCCCCACCCCAAGGCCAAGGGATATCCTCGGCTGCTTTCAGTCCTGACTATTTCAAACGATTTTTTGTGGAGGAGAAGGTTCTTGGGAAAGGCGGGAAGGGAGTTGTTTTGCTTGTGAAACATATGCTGGATGGAGTCTCTCTTGGACATTTTGCCTGCAAGCGAGTGCCCGTGGGTGACGACCATGAGTGGCTAGAGAAGGTGTTGGGCGAAGTACAGTTGTTGCAACACCTTTCCCATCAGAATCTTGTCTCCTATCGTCACGTCTGGCTCGAAAATGCCAGGATCAGTACCTTCGGCCCTAGCGTACCATGCGCATTCATCATACAGCAATATTGCAATGCGGGTGATTTACACAACTACATCTGTGGATCTGTTCAAGCATCAACTACTGCACAACAGCTCAAGGAGCGACTTCGGAGGAAGTCAAAGGGGGAACCAGACCTCCAAGCAAACAGTGGAGGGCCTCGCACACTACAGCTGGACGAGATCTACTCTTTTTTCAGGGATATCACAGCCGGGTTGCGCCATTTGCACGTGAATGGCTACATTCATCGTGACCTGAAACCGAACAACTGTCTTCTTCATGAGACAAGCGATGGCATTCGAGTACTGGTTAGTGACTTTGGAGAAGTGCAATCGCAAAATGCAATGCGCAAGTCCACTGGCGCAACGGGAACAGTCTCTTACTGCGCACCCGAAGTTCTTCGACAAGAATCCCCGGATGGGCCATTTGGGAACTTCACTTTCAAATCCGACATCTTCTCCTTGGGAATGATCCTATACTTCTTGTGCTTCGCGGAACTTCCATATCGCAGTGCCGACATCATTAATGAGGATAACGAAGACCTAGATCAACTTCGCGAAGAAATTACACATTGGACGGGGTTCGACAATGCAAGAAGGAGAAGACCCGATCTGCCTGCAAAGCTCTACTCATTCCTGGATAAATTGCTCTCTGTGGATCCGGATCGGCGTCCCACGGCAGATGAGGTGTTAAACGGCATCCAAGCTGCGAATAATGCCAGTGAGAATTTTCGGTTCAAGCGAGCCAACTCAGCCAGCCCCGATTTGCCTGTGGCACCGCGGATTCATCCAGTCGATAGCCCCGCACCAGAACATTCCATAGACAGGGCACTCTCGCCCGTCAAAAAAAAGATCCCTCGAAACCCCCTGGCAATCAGGCGGGATTCAAAGTTCGATTCAAGTTCCGGGTCCAGTACCAATCCAGCATCAGAGACGGTTCTGGACGGTCGGCCATCTCTGAGCCCAGACAAGGACCTAGTCATGCGGCAACGATATTCCACCTCGCCCCCTATGTCTCCCACAGGACCACCGCCCCAGAATGAAGAATCTATTAACTCGCCAGCCCAAGCCAATCTTCGTCAGCAGCAACAACTCCTTCCACCACCGCCCAGCCGATTTCCATTTATAAATCACCTGAGCTCTTGGAGTATCTCTCCAGGCCTGCAAGTCTCGCTGTTCCTGGTGAAGGTAGTCAGCGTCCTTCATCCCTGCTCGCCTCTAGCCGTCCGCCCTTGGTTCCTTTATCCTCTAATTTTGCTGGCAGCCATCACACTGGGAGTACATGATCTGCGTATGCAGGCCCTAGCAACCATCGTGCATGTGATTCTCGTTGGGCTGAGTATGAAGCTGGGGATTCTTTGTGCGTGGAATGGAGAATTCTCTATGGGCGTGTGATCCGCATTCCGTTATGCATTGAAATGAGACATGATTATGCCACTATGATACCTTTAATGAGCAGTCAATGCACGAGGTATAATTCCTAATCTTAATCTGGGTCCAATTGGAAAAATGTAATAATAATTGCAAGTGGCAATCCACTTAGAAACTGCTATCTCCTAACTAGTACCAATAGTATCTACAGATGTCGGGGGGTAAAATAAACCACATCTCCATTATCTCAGATCCCCAGCTGGGCTAACTTCACCAAAAGAAATGTCGCCCGTAGGTACCGCTGTTGCAAACAGGCACAATACAGACGAATTCTCCGGATCAGAAAAGCTGGAACAGGAGCCTGAAGGTGATGCAGCCAGAGAAGCCCCCGATTGGATATTTAATCTCGGAACACTGTGATGGAACTATGCCAATTTGCTTCTTCAAGAAGAGACATCTCCATTTTGATTATGATAAAAACCATAACAATTTGTTCCATTGCTGTTGCATTCAGAGAAGGCAGGCGAAGAGCCAAGCAATGAGGCGACATATGTAAATAATTGATTAGTACCTACGAAGGATGAGGCGAGATTCATAACAAATAATCTATGTCTTGAGTCCTGGTGTAAACAGCCAAATTTGAAAACCCGCACGTTTAAAAGCCAGCCATGAACCAGATCAAGGCTATGACCGTACCCGAGCAGCTTTGAACTTGCTTACCCGCTTGAGTGGTTCTTCAATAGGTACGAACTCTGGCTCCTCGTCTTCGACAAAGCCACCTTGTTGTTGAATCTTGCTGTTCCGCATTCTGTAAAACTCAGAAGCGATCTCGCGGCGGTGCATCTCTTCGTTCAGCTCATCTGGTTCAGGAGCTGCAGCATGTCCGGGGGTGATTTCTCGCTCAACCAGCTTGTCAGCCAAGGTTCGGCCCTCGGGTGGCCTGGGAGCTGATGGCCCAACAGGGACATCTGCGATTGGCGTGGAGAACGGCTTTGGTTCTTTAGGGGTTGCAGGGAATAGATCAGGGGTTGTTGTGGAGGGAATGGTGTTGGTTTGTGTTCGAATAGTCGGAGCCTCGGAAGATTGAGAGGATGATTGGGAAGGTGTGGGTTTGGTGGAAGGTCCTCCCGCGTTGTCAGCCGGATCGGCTGCTCGAGTGCTCTTGAACCGCGAGACCCTCCTGGGGCCATTGGATGGGACTGGCTGAGGCTCCTGCGGCCGCTCTGTACGTTCAACGATGGCATCAGAGAGGACTGGAATGTTTGCTTTGGGCGGAAGGCTCTTCTTCTCTGCTGCGGCAAGCTCAGCTGATGGGGCGATATCAAGATCGTCGGCAAATGCAACTTTCTTCTTCAGCTTCTTGCCCTTCGCAAAGCCATCCGCCTTCTCATTCGCTCCAGCAGGTTCTGTCGCAGAATTCTCAATCTCCTGCCTGACTTCCTCTGGGAACGTCTGAGTGTCTTTGCCCATATTGAACATTCCTCGAGCATTCAGTTTGGCTTCCAACTCCCGCATCTGCCGATGGTACTCATCAGACAGCTCGAGATGCGAGCGGCCAAATTCATCTTCATCCTCCTCTTCTGTGCCTACGTCGAGCTCGTCGTCAGAGACAGAGAATTCGCTTCCGTCCTCGTCCAGCTCCAGCTCCGCTACAATCGCGCCGACCTCGTGGATACCGTATTGTAGCATTTCTCGTCGCAGCGTTGCTTCATCAGGAGACTCATCGACATCGGTAACCGGAGGCTCCTTGCGATCCTCAGCTGTGACAAGGGACACTGGTTGCGACAGATCCACCTCAGCCACTTCAGACGCACCGGTTTCGTTCAATTCAGAAGCATGACCAGTAGAAAGCGCCTCAGGCTGCTGTGTGGTCTTATCCACATCCATTGCATCTACCTTTTCCTTGGGCGCTGCAGAGCTCGGCCCAGGGGTGTTCTCACTGGGTTTGGTGCTTCCCGGGATATGATCAACGCCTGCTTTCTTCAAAGCGTCCAGTATCTCCGGTGCGTGATCTCCGGGCGTATTGACCGAGCTGGAGATCACATTCCCATCCTCATCGAGTTCTTCCATAATCTCACTCAAAGGGAATTTTGCGCTACCTGTGATATCTGCAGGGACCTGATCGCTCGAATCCAGTGTGTACAGCTCATTCTCTGTCCCTCGGAGCCTCTTCTCTATCGTTGCAACATTCTGCTTCACATAATCAATCCGTCTGCCTAGAAGGTCGACGATCTGGCCACGGGATCGCGTGACGCCTGCTTCTGTGCGTAGGATGGTCTGCATTTCCCTCTCATCCAGCAATGATCCTCCGCATTCGCGCGCAACGGCGAGGAAGGCTTCGGCAGTCGCATTATCATTCAGTTCGTTGATCTCGTCTCGGAGGCCGTCGTATTCTGCTTCCCAGGTTCGCCAGTGGTAGAGGGACTTCTGGAGCTCGGTGATATTGTCTTCGAGCGCGAGTCGCCGTCGCTCGAGGGCGTCGAGGTTGTGACTTGGAATACCCATGGCGTGATGAATAACACCCGGCCTTCTCGCTGTTATAAGACTGTCTTCATCGCAGTCGCAAGCGTGAGAGCGAGGTGAGGTGGACTGGGGGGCAAAAAAAAAGAAGAAAACCGAAGGCCGATGACGTGGTCCGTGCACGTGGTGGATCCCGCCTTTGTCTCCAGCTTTAACTAATCTCCGCTACCTTTCACTTCTCTCGCGCGGCAACACACCACCATGGCCTCCAAGAATGGGATCGACCGTCGGGATGAGGACGGTAAGCTGATTATTACTTTTCAAGATGGTTGAAATGCTAACGTCTTCTTTGTTAGAGGTCTGCCCCGTCTGCAAATCTTCGCGATACCTCAACCCGAACATGCGATTTCTCATCAACCCGGAGTGCTACCACAAAATGTGCGAGTCTTGCGTCGACCGAATATTTTCGTCTGGCCCAGCCAGCTGCCCCGTTGCCGGGTGTCGGAAGACGCTGCGTAAGAACCGATTTCGCCAGCAAACCTTTGAGGATATTGGAGTCGAACGAGAGGTGGATATTCGGCGGCGCGTGATGCACATGTATGCCACTTAGCCCCCGTCCACTTGTGGTGGAAGCCTCTAACAGTATCTTGTATAGCTTGAATCGCCGCGAAGACGAGTTCGATTCCAAGCGCAACTATGACGATTTCCTCGAGCAGCGCGAAGATATCATCACCAACCTAGTATCCCGGATCGATGTGGCGAAAACGGAGGCCCAGCTACAGAAATACGCACAAGAAAACATGCAATCAATCCGAGTGAACCAGGCACTCGAGGAACAGGAAGCTTCTTCATTCCAAAAACGGATGACCCTCGAACAAGAGGAGGCCCGGGTACGACGGCAGGCCGCACGAGCGGAGTACGAGAGCGAGCGGCGCGAGATGCAGGCTACACGAGAAGATTTCCTCGTCCGTTTGGCATCTGGGTCCGCGGCAGATGCAGCTGCTATCGCTCGCGAGGAACACAAGGTGCAGCTCAAGAAGTCGTCCGCCCGGCGCAGTGAGGAGGACCGCATCCGACAGAAGCAGGCTGCTCTCCGAGGTACCGAGACCAAGCGCATGGGTACATCACTCACGACGGCAGATACCGCTGGTCCCGCTGCAGATGCCGGGCTTATCAAGGGCTTGCGCAAGATCAAGACTCCCGAGCCAGAGAAGCCGTACGATCCCTTCATGGGTCTCGTGCCTGGAAAGCGCGATTACTACACCCAACAGGAGTCCTACCCGTCCACCTACCTGGACAAACTCCGAACAAATACTGCGGCGCTGGCTGGTGGATACGATCTGCAGGAATACTACTCGCGCACCCTTTTGGAGGCATTCGCTGGCCTGGGCTGTTTTGTTCAGGAAGAGGTTGCGCAGCGTGATGCTATGTCTTCCCTTGGCCTTTCCAAATCGACTGCAACTGAGGGGGCTGCTATGGCCGCCGTGGATGAGAACATTGCATGATGGATACTGCGGGCAATTTGGCATAGCGATGGCGTTTTGAAACGATTTGTTTTCTCTGTGAAATACCAGGTAGCTGAAAGATTTATGCATAGCATCGAGAGAAGAATGGCAATCGTCGTATTTCTAAACCCTTGAATTCTGAGACTTGCTTGGATACATAGCTTATGAGAATTTTTCAATAGGCCGCGAGACAGGGGCATTACCAAACGTCTTAGGGCGAATACGCCCAAAGACCTAAAGAAGACCAGGAAAGCTAGTAGTGAAAGCTGCCAAGAGGCGGTAGAAATACCATTTGCAGAAGAATTACAATCGCCAATAGAACATAGTAGACTGAAAATCCAAAATTTACGCACGGCCAGTCAACTCCGCAGTGCTCTCAATGCCCTCCCAGGGCAGGTCATCATCGTCTTCATCCTCCAAATCCACTAGTCCCGTGCGAGTCTTCCCGCTGTTCGCCGTCACATCGATGCCAATAGATTCCAGCGTGAGATCAAGGTCTCGCTTCGTAATTTCGCCCTTGCAGGTCTCCAGGACGTCATAGAGAGCATAGATCTGATCGGACTTCATATCGATAACCTTCAGAACAGTCTCGATCTTTTGCATGACCGATTTCCGCTGCCGCTTGCCGAGGGAGGCGTCAAGTTTGTTATGGGCTCTTTGGTAGGAAGCAAGCTGCATCTTCAGGTGAGAGAGCTCATCCTCCAAAGTCTTGAGAACGGTAGCGAGGGCAACTGCGGGAGGCTGAGAAGGACGCATGGTCGGATCCTCTGTCGCCGGCATACGCTCTGAAACAGGGACAGGCTTCGGAATCTTGACAGCTTCGTGGTTGCAAGGGCCGTCGTGGGGAAGAACGTTCTTGCAAATCATGCAGTTGTTGCCGTCATGCTGGGCGATGTCATCCAGGGCTCGCTGGGCGGACTCGGAGTGGCGAGAGGGGTGACTGGCGGCCAGCTCTGCACGGCTCAGGGTGATGTCAGGAAGAATGAAGGCAGAGGTCATTTCCTCGATATTCCTGCGCTTCTTGCGTTGAGGCAGGGAGGCCACCGAGTGATCTGAATGACGTCTCGGGCGTTCAGCGGTAGGCACCACGAGGCTGCTGTCGCCTTCTGTCGTAGTTGCCGATCTAGTGGTAATATCGCCTGCAGCTGATGCAGGGCGGGAAATGGTAGGCTTGGGTTCGCGAAGGGATGACTTGCGTGGAAGAGGAGCCTTCAGTATGCTCTGGCGAGTTAAATCGATGGTTTCGGTAGCTGTAGTATCTTTCGCATCTTTCGGACCACTCAAGCGACGCTGCTTGCGCGACAATCTCTCTTCCTCCAATGTTTTCCGCAGGCGGGCAATTTCATTTTCCTGGAAGTCAATGGTTAATATTATACAGCACGAACAACGGATGGGGTTCAAAAACTTACATCAATGACACTTAGCAGTGTCAGATCCTCCACCTCCGAGGAAGGCTTCGTTTGTTCAGTGGAGTCAACTGTACCACTCAGATCTTCCAGAACAACTCGCTTCACACGCTGCTTAGAAGTGTTTGGCTCTTTCCGGGAGCTCTTGGACTCGGAGTGACGGGAACGGTGAGGTCTGGCCGATTTCGATCCAGATGTCCGCTTTGAAGTAGGCATGTCAATTGAAAACAATTCCTCTTCCGCGCGTTCCTTCTCCAGTCGAGAGATTTCCTTGTCCACCTGGGTAGAAATCTTAGCCCGAGAGTCATCCTGGCGCTTGGAGTTCAGATTGTTGCGGCTGCTTTTCGAGGTAAGGTCTCTTGTGCTGCGGCTCATATCTGCGCTATACGCATTGCTATCATCGGGATCAGAGGCAGAGAGGCTGGCATCGGATTCGAGGGCGTCTTGATCGCGAGGCTTGTTCGAGAACCGGGCCAGCTGGGTCTTTAGGGTCGCATTTTCTTCGCGCAGTTGATCATTCTCGGATCTAAGTTCTCTAGTCTCAAGGTACGCCACGCCTAATTGGGAAATTGCCGACTCTCTCTCATGGTTGAGGCGTTTGACTGCTGCCTCTTGAACTTGGGACTTGCGGTCCGCAATATCAAGTTGGTTTTGTAGAGCAACATTGGCTGCTTCGAGCTCTGTGTAGCTTTGTTAGTACAGGAAGAATATGGGAACGCGCTGCACTGACTTTGGTTATCTGCGTTTAGTCGCTTCGAGCCCTTCTTATAGTCGACATCTTCCACTGCATACTTGTCGGAGGTTCGAGACCGGCCAGCTTTGAGTACTGCATTCTCCGCGCGGTAATGCTCAATTCGCCTCTCTGCATCAGACTTGTACATCTCCAGCTCTGAGACCTTGTCCTGGAGGAGTCGGAGGGAGACAAACAAAGCCTTCTCATCTTCAGGAATGGGAACCGCATCGAGGGGCAAATGTTCCCGCGATAGGGACATGTCAGTGGCATCATGGAGAGGAGACACAAATCGAGTGGAGCGCATCTTGGGTTGCCGAGTAAAGACAGGCGTGCCGTCTTCGTACACACCAGAAACAAGCTCGGAGATATTGGGGAGGTCGGGAAGAAGGAATGACTGGCGCGTCATGGTATCGCCCATCGTGGTTGTGTGGTTGTGCAGGTGAGAGGTGGTTGTCTTGCGGGGCGTGCCTGCAGTACTTGCTTTGCGCAGCTCTTTCGCATAAGCTTCACGCGAGGCGCGCTCGACCGCATCTGCAATCTCTTGTGAGTTGTTGGGATTGCCAAAACGCGTCGATCGTGTGTTTGTTGCAATTGGAGCAGGACGCTCGTCTCCCAGGAATGAGCCGTCGTAACTGTCGCGTACTTTCGCGTGCATTTCCGAGAGCGTCCGGCGTTGGTCACGTTGTGCTTTGCCGGAGACTTGAGGGCTCATGATCTCCTTCTGAGCCTGGGTTGCGCGTCGCAATTGGGCATCTTTTCGCAGATTCTCGCTCACTGCGCGTCGAGATGTCGCGCGCGAGCCGAGTTGTTTCTGAGGGGTTGGATACTCGACGCGCACAGCCGGTGAGGAGGAGCGAACGCTGTTCTGGAACGACATCACAGAATCACGAGAGTCATCGAGGCGGCGAGGAGGTTTGCCGGAGGCACCGCGGCCCATCTCCATGGACAGGTCGCTGACATCAGACATCGTGTCTCGGTCCATATCTCCTTTTTGTTGACCTTCGTCGTCGTCTTCTTCTTCCGATGTGGGCAGCTGGGAAAATTCAGGGAAAGCGTGTTCGAGAGTTGACGTGTTGATCACAAAGTCGGGTTCTGCTTCCTCGTAGGTGCGTCTAATGGTGGGAAGCTGCGGACTGCCGAACTCGCGGGTGGACGCCAATGCTTCGTGTTCAGGGTCGAAGTCGGACACGGTGAAGTCCACTTCTGAAAGAGGCATGCTCAAAGTCCAGGATAAAATTCAGTCCGAATAGGCTATTTCTTAGGGGGCGAGTAGGTGGACATGAAGCACTACCCGGCGAGGTTGTTGACAGACGGGTTTGTTTTGGCGGCCGGGAATGTTTTGGTCGCGCGTCTCGGCCAATCACCCGCCACGAGTACCTCCCAGCCACCTCAGTCCCGCTCCCCTGGGACGTCAACTCCATCATTAATCCATTAATGCACCTTCGCGTTATGGTTATTCTCTTCGTGCAGTTGGACATTCACGAGGCCGAGACCTTGCTTGAAGGTTCCGTCAATGGTAATTTTTAAAATGAACACAGAACCTGACTTTTAGGTACTTGTACCTCCGGATGCCCTTGAAATTCTCAGGTCTGATAGAACCTAGTATGTGTGAGCTAATAAAATATCTTGTGCCTAATAACTACCTAAGGCATACCTCCCACCACTTAGAACTTAAATAAATGTGGACAGTACTGGAGAGAAATTAGAAAAAGTGGCTCACTCCCCTCCTTGTTTCCCTCTATCAGAGCATCAACTCTGAAAAAAGGTTTAGGCTACACGAGCCCCACGGGCATTACAGTGCCATAGGTCGAAAGCTACCTAGGTAGGAGTAGAATGGATAATGTAAGTTAGGTAGCGACAGATGATGATATCCATATTTGTGCTATTTGTGCGGTCTACATATTTCCCCCCATCCAAAAAATCCGAATCCCTATGGAAGCTCCTCTGCCCAGACCCGGCATCCCATGGAGAAATACCAGGATCTCACAACCCAGGTTAAATCCCAAACGCCTTGCTAGTAAAAAAGTGGAAGGATGACGCCCAATCGCCTGAGTCTCGAGATTGTAATTTAAGGCATTCTCGATCAACACGACGATATGACAGTTTCCATGAAGGTTCAGGCCCGTAGCACCACAATTATAAGTGGTGATCAGGACCTGACAGCCAGACCGAGGGCTTGTGAACTCCGCCATAGCTGCTGCGCGCTCCTCTGCGGATTTTGAGGCCGTAATAGAGACAGTGCGGAGGCCCAATCGGACCACAGGCGCATTCCAAGTCAAGGATCCGAAGGAGCATTGGGAGACGCGGACATCGCCTACAGAGATAGTAGACTTGCTCCGGTGCACTCTTGAGGCGCGGAATAGACACGTCTCTGCAGGTCGCTAAGAAAAATGCTTCAAAGCCATAGTCGGATCCATTGACGAGGCGGCCGATGAAACCGCTCAGCGTCTACGCACGAGTAGCGCTGTCTAGATACTTTGCGAGCAATAGGCTGAACGCGGCAAGGCATAGTATACGCAGAGGCCCATGTTAATGCGCCTACCAGGATCAGAAGCATCACCAGGTTTTCTATATAGTACTCATAGTCTACCTAGTGATGCTTCCTTACCTAGTAGGCGTATCAATATAGGCCTTCTCCGTATACTATGCCTAGCCGCGTTCAGCCCATTGCTCGCAAAGTGTCCAGACAGCGCTACTCACGCGAAGACGCTGAGCGATTTCATCGGCCGCCTCGTCAATGGATCCGACTATGGCTTTGAAGCATTTTTCTTAGCGACCTGCAGAGACGTGTCTATTCCGCGCCTCAAGAGTGCACCGGAGCAAGTCTACTATCTCTGTAGGCGATGTCCGCGTGAGGCCAAACAAGGCATTGCGAGGAATCTGGGCAATGCTTTGATGGGCCCGGGTCCGTATGTCCTTCACATACTGGCATTCATCCAAGATTACTCTCTCAAAATGGTGATTGCCGTCAGAGATGTACGCGGCGGGGAGCTTTCTCCTTTTCTTCCCGAGGGACAGGACCTCAGTCCCAGCCTCGGTGTTGGGTTCAGCATTGAGTTGCAGGACTCCGAGTTGCAGAGCAGCGGCCGAGGATCTGGTCGCGTGAAGGGGCTTATCAGAATCATCTTCATGGGTGGGTCCATCGAATTGTCCGAATTGTCCGAAATGAGTGGGGGGTTCATCATCATTGGAGTCATGATCATCCTCCGAGTCATAATTCATCCTCAGTAGCATCAGCCTAGGAAAAGTACAGTTAGTTTAGATTCAAGGGAGCCTTGGATTTCAAGTGTATTTAAAAAGTGCAGAGGCCTTGAACGGTTGGGACGAACTATGCACCAAGCTTGATGAGTTGGACCTGGAGGATCCGGAAACTGCGTACACAGTGGTGGTGACCTCATACCAAACCTGGGCAATGCGGACAACCACGAGAAGAGGAACAGTGCCCACTCAGGTAAAATACCCCCTCCCTTGAATTTCAAGTGCGCTCAAAGATGACAAAGCGCGAGCGCAATTGAAATTTAAGGGAAGGGGGGACTTTACCTGAGCGGGAACTGTTCCTCTTCTCGTGGTCGTCCGCATTGCCCAGGTTTGGTATGAGGTCACCACGACTGTGCACGCAGTTTCCGGATCCTTATTTGGAGGATGATGCTAGGTCGGAGTGAGGGCTCAATCACTGCAGTCGCTAGTTAGTCCTAGTGTCCATCTATCCAGGGGCCCGCGATTTCAAGCTCACTCACAAGAGGATCGATGGGGAGGTTAAAGAAGAAGAAGAAGAAGAAGAAGAAGAAGAAGAAGAAGAAGAAGAAGAAGAACGGTGGATGGAGAGGTTGAAGAAGGAGGAGAACGGTGGAAGGAGAGGTTGAAGAAGGAGGAGGACGGTGGATGGAGAGGTTGAAGAAGGAGGATGAGGACGGTGGATGGAGAGGTTGAAGAAGGAGGAGGAGGACGGAGGATGGAGAGGTTGAAGAAGGAGGATGAGGACGGTGGATGGAGAGGTTGAAGAAGGAGGAGGAGGACGGTGGATGGAGAGGTTGAAGAAGGAGGAGGAGGACGGAGGATGGAGAGGTTGAAGAAGGAGGAGGAGGACGGTGGATGGAGAGGTTGAAGAAGGAGGAGGAGGACGGTGGATGGAGAGGTTGAAGAAGGAGGAGGAGGACGGAGGATGGAGAGGTTGAAGAAGGAGGAGGAGGACGGTGGATGGAGAGGTTGAAGAAGGAGGAGGAGGACGGAGGATGGAGAGGTTGAAGAAGGAGGACGACGGTGGATGGTGATATGATTTCCTTAAAGTCAAATACGCGCTTAAAGCTCTCTCTCGTCCCTCGATAGCAAACGGTAAAAGTTGTGAAGAACGGGGTGCTAGCTAAGACTAATCAATCAAACGACGGAAAAACACGTCGTTGACGCTCGTGTTCTGTTGATGCTCGGTTCCCCGCCGGTAGCGTATTGAACAGGGCGGTACTGGTTGGTGGTTTGGAGTGACCAGTATCGCTGGAAAAGAATTGCTTAGATACAATAAATTTCAATTGAAAGCGGTTTGTTTAATTGTTAGATTTACTCTATACAATTTCAGTCTCGACTCTACTCAGCATTGGGCTGAATGATCAGCCTCTCCGCACTGATACGTCCCTGTCTGAGAAGATCCCAAGCTAGCTGAGCCTGGCTCAATCCTCCCATAATTCGAGACGGAAGCACATACATCTGATCATCTGCCAGTACCTTTTCCAGATAGTCCCACCACACCCACCGGGTGAACTCCGCATTTGCCGGGTCCATGTAATCGTCTAAGAACTGGACGAAGAACCCAGTGACCCCATCCGGCAGATTCACACCAGCCCTCACACCCATAGTAGACAGAAACGTGCCACCACCTTGCGCGGCCAACACAATGCCGATCTTCCCCTGGTCCTTCGCTGAATCCGCTGCGGCAAGCACAGCATGATACGGCCCCAGCGCAATAAGAGCCTTGGTTGCAGAATCATCCGTCCTGTCTACAAATTCAGATGCGCCTAGCGATGTGACCAGCGCGGCATTCGATCCCGACGCCACGCCCACGACCGAGTAGCCGGCGCTGGCAGCTATCTGGACGGCAGTAGCGCCGAACGAGGAGGATGCTCCCCATATGAGAATCTTTTTTGATTTATTCTGTGAATCTGGAGCAGAGCCAGGCCTGTCCAGTTTCAGATGGAGAAGAAGTGCACTAATTGCGGCGTAGAGATTGGAGGCGAGCGTGGCCGATTTCTCGAAAGATGCGTCGCCGATCTAATGCAGATGGTATTATAAAACAGCGAGCTATATAGGGAAAAGGAGAAAGGGACGAACAACTGATACCTTTGCCGTAAGCTGTTGTGTACTGAGCGCATACTGCTGCAGGGCTCCAAAGCGCGTGTCATTGCGCAGTGTTCCTGCACTGTTTGTCACAACTCGGTCTCCTATCTGGAACCGGGTGACGCCGGGACCAGTTTTGACTACTCTCCCAGCGAAGCACACTGCTCAATAATTAACAACCGCGCACAGTCGTATTGGGGGTCACCACGAACAGCCAATGATTGTGGGGTATGTCAACGGGAATGGAAGGACACCATCCTGGATTTTGTATTCGGCTGGTTGAACGGCGACAGCTTCAGTCTGCGGAGGTAATCTTCTTAGCCTTGTGGCGGGCTCACATGTCTTTAATATCGCCTACCTGGATGAGGAGCTCATCTCGTCCCGGTTCAGAGATTGGCGCCGGGCGCAGCTCTAATTTCGCCCCCACAGCTGGAAGCCAGGCCGCGGTATTATGCATTTCTGACATTGTTGGTGAGAAACGGATAGATTCCGTGAGCAAGAATGACGGAGTAACGATGGCAAGAAATGAGACTCGAAGAAGATTTCAACTGTCTCTCTATCACGACCAGTTTTGAGTCCCTTTTATACCCTGCTATTTCCGTTTTGAGTTTGCCTAGTCCGTCCTCGGGAATGATCCATTGATTAACCTAGTTAAAGCGTTTTTCAGCAATCGAGACCGCAGAGGGTCGAAGTGTGGTGTGTACAATGTGTATCGATCAGGTATTTCTTACGGCGCATATTATCAAGTGAAAGTTTCCTGTGCAGTACAGTGTGTGTGTGTGTGTGTGTGTGTGTGTGTGTGTGAAATCATTTACCCTGACCCCTCGCGAACGATATGCAGGATAAAACAACTGTATATATCTGTGTATGTACATTTGGAGTGATCCACTTCCTGAAAACGAACTTGGAGCCTCGTCAAGGCCTACCGTGGCCTAATTGCCGTTCCTGCTGTTAGGCTGCCCTTGTGGCGCGCGGCTGCGAAATCTTTGTGACGCCTCGGCGAAGTTCAGTACGGCATCAATCGTCCTAGCTCGCGAGACGGTGTCTGGTTTACCTCTCTCACCTTGTTTTGAGCCTCCCAGCAGACTCGGTACGCCATTGAATGCGTCACCAACTTCTCTCTGTAACTTGCCTCGGTGAGTATGGGTACATTGCATCATTTCCGTCCGGTGTGCGGTCGACTTCCGACATCGAAAGTGTGTGTGTGTGTGTGTGTGTGTGTGTGTGTGTGTGTACTGTACGATTTATGCTTGGAGTTACCGTACCCAAAACCCGATGGCTAAGATTTACCAGAATCGACTAACTTGAGACAAGAGACAAAAAATATTATCCGTTTTATTTTGCTACATAGTCATTCCCAAATTTGCGAGGCAAGTTGATACTTTCTGAGTTTGTTGACCTATCCTCGACATCAATGCTTCAGATTACCCACTTTCGTTTTGGCAATAGAAGCCTTCAATCCTGCCTCTCCAGGCAGACCTTTCCCTTTTTGGAACAGCACACAAAAACTTACTTTTCAGGATAAAACTTTCGCAGTCGCCCATGAGAGATGAATGCTGCAGATGCTCAGGAAGGATACCTTTCCACTTGACTAGAACATAGGTCGGCCGCGTAAGAGGCTCCCTAGATTGAGATCCCTGGCTCGACTTTTCAGAATATGGTGCGACCACAGCAACGATTTTTTCGATGTAATTGAAGTTGTACTGGTATTGACTACCCCTTGTAGCCTGAGGCACCAATATATATCATGGGAATAACCTCACCACAGAATATCATAACATAAGCGCGGAAGAGTAAGAGCACGAAGAGTACAGGTCTGGGAGTGCACTGCCCTATATGCCCTATATATACACTCTGAAAAAGGGTTTAGGCTACACGAGCCCCACGGGCATTACAGTGCCATAGGTCGAAAGCTAGGTAGGAGTAGAATGGATAATGTAAGTTAGGTAGCGAAAGATGATGATATCCATATTTGTGCTATTTGTGCGGTCTACATATTTCCCCCCATCCAAAAAATCCGAATCCCTATGGAAGCTCCTCTGCCCAGACCCGGCATCCCATGGAGAAATACCAGGATCTCACAACCCAGGAACCCACAAGCCAAGTTAAATCCCAAACGCCTTGCTAGTAAAAAAGTGAAAAGATGACGCTAAAAGGACATCAACGGCCGATGATGTACTCGAAGGAAATCCGAGAAATAACAAAGAAATGCGAATACAATCGTGAAATCATGCTCATTAATGCCCTCCTGTATAACACGTTGGCACATCCATAGCCACGTGTCGACGACTATCAATCCATCCTGGCGGATGTTTTATTGTGAAACGGCGGCATGCCCAGTAGTGGTGGGTGGAGGGCCAGATGCAGATACACTGTCCGACGCCGCCGTCGAGGTTGGCAAAGGTCCTGTCGGGGTTGGCGGGGTCGGGGGGTTAGGTAAAGATTCTCGGGTATGAGAATCCGTGGGTGTTGCGGGGGAGAGCGTGATGGGACTGGAGATATTGACATGGATAGGCGGCAGACGCATGACCTCCGGAAGTCGGTGGTCACTCCGTTCGACGATCGGGCTTTCGTAGGCAGGTGCTTCACCCCAGTCGAGATGGTCATAGTCGGGTGGTGGCGGGATACTCAGGGTGCCCAGGTCACCTTCTTCGGTGGCTTGGGAGACTGGTCGAATGGACGATCCGCGTGTTGACGTCTGATGCAGGACTAACGGATCAGCCTCGGTGGATACGGTGGATGCAAATGACTCGACGCGTGAGCGGTTGCTTGGCGGATCCATCAAAGATGGCGATGAGGCATTCACGGCAGCGTTCTGAAGTAGTGGGTATTGATCAGAATCCGAAGCGTGCGAGTCGGCTCGAAGACGTGACCCGTCATGTCGAACGTGGCCGAGCTCCGCGTAGCTGACGCTGGCGATCCGCCGATCTCTTTCGCGAGCCTGGTGTTCAGCGATGACGGCCGATGCATTAACGGAAGTGTTGCTTCCGTTTCCATCGCGGCGACCTCGGCCCCGAGCGCCAGGTTCCTGAGAGAGTTGCGCGAGAGGGATCGAGTTCCCTCGCGCTCGTGCCTCCCGTCGATCTCGTCGGCGAGCCTCACGATCGGCCAGTTCCTGTCGACGCTGGAGGCGGAGCTGATACAGCGCTTCCATCTGATCCTCGCGGCGTGATTCTTGTTCATCGGCAGTTTCAGGGAATTCGACGACCATATCCATGCCAGCCCGTTCTCCCTCCCGGGCGATGACTTGCTCGGTCGGTTTGGGACTTGCCGAGTAGGGCGGTAAGGTCATGATCGAGCGGACGGATGTTTCGCGTTGCACACCATTGTTGTTGTTATTGCGGTTGTTAGTAGAGGCGATGGCGCTCATCTCCGGGATCGATCCACCGGCACCAGGATAAGAGGTGTTCTGGCCATTGTTTTGACCATTTTGGTTCGGGACCTGCCCATACGCGGCGCTTCCCGGGCACCATTGCTTCCATTTGCGCTTCAAGGATTGTCCAGGGATGTATTTGGGCTCATAGTACCGTTGCCGAAGCCATCGAGCCCCGAAATACACGCAGATGCAGACGGCGAGAACGAAGATGATGACCGAGACACACTAAAGAGAGATCGAGACGAGTCAGCAACATGAGGTACAGGGGATGAGACGATGCGACCGCGCCAAAATTGGCTGTCGGATACGGTCGGAAGCACGAGATGGACGTACGACGATGAAGATGCCGTTCTTCTGGCTGAGGCCTCGTTTCTGTGGAATGTACATGATGGGCAGCGCGGGCAGCGGGCCCTAGAGATCTTCGGGAGGCATGGAAGAACACCCCAGATTTCGAACAGGTCGAGGAATGATGAGCGGCTGAAGGAACACAAAGAATGACCCCTAGCCACTGGCATAGTATGAATGATTCCTTCTAGGCGCGAGTGGAGCAGGCGAGACAGAAAGACCAGAGACGCCATTCCTATTATTATCCAGCGTGGAGCAGAGTGGACCCCGCAGCGAGTAGATGGCGTGGCCCAGAGGTGGCTGGGGCGTCACTCAGCCTGGATGGTCGATCCTGTTTGAGGTGTGCAGTCGGGTATCTGCGCACCTCCGGGTCTTCCTGTTATCTGGTTGTCTGGTTGTCTGGTCGTCTGGTTGTTTGGTCGGCGTTGCTGGGCTGCTGCCCTGCTGTGCTGTGCTGGATTGCCAGAATTCCGAAATCCTCGGCCGTCCGGGCGAGCCGCGCGGCGGAGATCAGCGATGACTTCCCCGGCTGAGACTGTCTCGGTCAAAAGTGCCGGGTAGCGTCATTGGCGCTCGTGCCGTGGCGATTACACGGGTCGGCCTTTTTGGTACTGGCGGTGCTGGCGGTGCTGACGGTGCTGACGATGCTGGCGGTGCCGATGGTGGTGCATCTGCTGGCAGCAAGGAGCACGGCCTCCAACTGGACCGCGGTAACACCGGCGCCCTCCACCCTTACGTTGGAGGGGTTTCGCTGGGGATCAAAGAATAGATTTTTGATGTTTATCTGCGACAAACGAGTGGCAGGGGTCACTCGAATTAGGACTAGCCTGTTCTTCGTGTGGCTGACGAGGGAAGGTCAATCTCCTACGTCAGGAACCACCGGCCCAAATAGACTTCATGATACCAGACCTCCCGATGCATGGATCCTCAGAGAGCACGGGCAGCTGCAGAACCCGTTCTCGCAGAAACCAATGCTACCAAGCTTGAACCCGATCCGATCCACCTGCCACCTTCTTCTTCCCTCGGTTCTTCAGCACCGGCACCATGCTATGCAGTAGGTGTCGATTTGCCCCGACTCTTGAAATTCCGGATCGTAATACGCGATCGTTTCCATCAGCTTGTCCTGATGGCTCTCGGCTAGGTCCTAGGCCTCTCCTTGGTCGACGGAGAGACCATATAGTAGCCATCTGCCTGGTCCTCGTGGTGGAGGGGTAAACTGTGTCTGAGCCAACCGGAACCGCCGCAGTTCCAAACGGCCCCACGACGAAATTACTTTCCGGGAGATTCAGTTCCTGCGAAATCAAGCACCGTCCGGAGAATGTCCAGAACCGTAGTCAATACCCGAGTGTTTGTGCCTGCTCGAGCCCTGTGCTTAGTGGCTGGCCTTCCCAATGCATGGGCAGCGAATGCCACCCTTCTTTATGATTCGCTCCTCAATTTGGCGCAGCCGCTGCCCGAGGTCCATCGAGCCCGTACTAGGAAAATGAATGATGATTCACCAGCTGTTCAAGATAATTATCATAATATCTCGGTGATCACATGGTCCATAGTGGCTCCTGTAAGAATCGTATCGCCTTGTCAACCACTTGTGTGTCTTCATGCTCCAGCTTGGACTTGAAATCGTACGGGAAGGAGGTTTGCTTGAGAAGCGGCTGGTCCTCCCAGAGCAAGAATCCATCTTTCGAAAAGGCAAATTCTCGGTGAGGCTCGTCACCGAAAATGATCGGAAGCAGGGACATGCCATTGGGGGGGGGGGGGGCCTCATCGACACCGCACAGTTGGAGGACTGTGGGGACCAGATCGACCATCTTGCCATGCTGTCGCAGGCAGAAGGCCACCACTGCCGATGATCAAGGGCTCACGAACCAGGTTATAGGAAATACTCTGGGCCACTTTTGAATGAGCCCATGGTCTTCGAGCTATGCGCCATGCTCGAAGGACATGGTGATCGTTTTGTCCCAGAGTCCGGTCGCATCAAGTTCCTCGACAATCCGGCCGATCTGATCGTGCAGCCGCGAGATTATGCCCAGACTTCAGCGTGAATTTCTGCAGTGGCACGATTGATCTCATTGGAATTGCAAATCATCTGCAAATCCCGCGACTCATGTCCCGTCTGCGGTATGTCAGGGCTATATTTTTGGTGCGAAAAAGAACACCATGCCATAATTTTCCGCATGAGAAGCAGGTTGAGGCACATTCCCGATATTATACCTTGAAAAGTAGGGCACCTCCATGGTGAAGGGGCAATGGAATAGCAATAGCAAAGACAACACCCTCAGCTTGTTGTCGGGAGGACCTTCGAGCCATCCCTCTACCCTCCGGACGGCGGCTTCGTCATAATCCACTGCTTTGCTCACATCGCGGCGCCCCATATAGAGCAAACCCTCACAGATAGTAGTCTCCGCTTCTGGCCTCTCATCCCCTTAACAAGTCATCCTCAGTCAACCTCGGCTCCGTGAGGGCTGGGGCAAATGGATCTCCTCGTGGTGCCGGATAGGCAACATGGTAGCGCCATCTTCCTGGAACGGAACAGATTTAATATCCCATAGCTTGATCAAGTTCTTAAGGGCCGATCGGATTCCAGAAGCATGAGGATGCAATCCCGTGAGCTTGGAATATCGTGATTGCGTGCCGCCTGAGCCTGTTCGCAGATACTCCAGCAAGTATCAGGACGAATTCGCTAGCACTTCGCGATCAAAGGTTTCGTGGGCTGATTGAGACAGGTCGACTTCAAATGCCGATGTCCGTGGAGACCTCGAACCCACCGATGAATCGGCCAATGCCTTTGTGTACATGTCGGGGAATGGCACGGAGGGTCAACTGCTCGAAGCCATTTCTATGCGAGATCAGAACTGGACGGATATCTATAGGTTGTACGAACCAGCGGAGTTGTATGACCGCCACACCGAGCCATGAGTCTGGGCAACCTGGCTACTGCCCCGCGGTTTGTGCACCAGGCACGGTGCATGGAGAGCGTTCCGGTGAATGATGGAAACAAGCGATCTTTTTCCTGATACCAAAGTGGTTTCCCCAACGTAGACGTGCCCGATCCGAAGTCAGTGTCAGAAGAGCGAAAAGGGAAGCTGATGAGATGGCCCGGGGGGCGGGTTTCGCTAGTGACTAAGTGCCAGCGAAACAAGTAACTTAACTAAAGAGAGTGCTATGGTGTTGCAATGTCCGTATGTAGTTCCTAATGGTGTGAAGAGGCCAACCTAAAGGCCGGCCGATCGTATAGAAACAAGACGGGGCGGACCGAGCCAAGTGTCCGATCATCACGTCCCCCAGCAGTTGTCCGTCTTCACGACCAGGCACCCCGGACTCTGCAGTTCGTGCATGATGCCCTGGCTAGCGCTTCCCCGTGGAGAAGCCAGCCCCGCAGAAAGGGGCGCGCGCATGGAATGACACGCGGTTGGGTGATCATCTGCGCCGAAGGCATGATCGCGCCGTGACCCCGACCGTGCTGGCTTGCAGCCGGAACGCCTATCGGATGCCGGGTGTGGCCTCGTCCCAGCTCAGATCGACAAATGCTAAATGAAAAGGGACCGGCAGATCCAATCGGCGCGCATACTAGTCGGCCAGAAGGCTGCGTGAGGTCACCGTAACGCTGAATCACAGGGCCTCGTCAGCCTGCCCTACTCGAGGGTGGAGAGGATGGCAATATTCTGGCGACTCGTGTGCCCCGAGCGGCTATATCATGGGCCCAGCTGGCAGATTGAGATATTGTCTGCACCAATTCAGATCCCTCTGCAGCCCTGTGGCTTGTCTCCCGCGCCTTGTGGACCTGGCCTCTATTCCTATCAGATTGTCCCCTTGTGTTTTGTTCTCTACGAGACGGACGGCTTCTAGCCACGCGAGGTTCTGCCCCCTGGATCTTGATTCTCCCTGCAACTTCGTGCAAAATGTCGACCCTGAACTTCGCGTTGAAGAACCAGACCGGTTCAAACACCGTTTATGCCTATATCACCGGTCAGGCGATTGACAATAACAATGCGCTCTTCCTGCTCCAAGCAGACGGCAAGACCGCGTACTACCCAACCTCGCCGTCCGCTACTCTGACTGCACTGGCGCAAGACTGTGCCATCCCCCTCGGTGCATCTGGAAGTACAAAGACAGTGACTATTCCGCATATTGCGGGTGGTCGATTGTGGTTTGTACGCGACGCCAAGCTTACATTCTACTTGAATCCTGGCCCGGCGCTTGTGGAGCCCTCATCGTCCAACCCATCGGACGCCAACTACAATCTGTATTGGGACTTCTGCGAATTCACTTGGAATTCGTCGCAGCTCTATGTGAACATCACTATGGTCGATTTTGTGTCGCTGCCCATTGCACTGACGCTTACCAACACATCGGGAACATCGACGACTGTTCGGGGCCTGCCGTCCAACGGACTCGCCACGGTTTGCACGGCACTGACGACGCAGAATGCGAAGGATGGTGCAGGATGGGACAAACTGATCATTACGAACAATGGTAGCAATCTCCGAGCGGTGTCCCCCAATACAGGTATTACATTGAACAGCGCCTTGTTCAAGACCTACTACGATTCTTATGTCGATCAGGTCTGGTCCAAGTACGCCGACACCACTCTGACTGTCAATACCCAGGGAGCTGCGGGCGATGTCACTGCCAAGGTCTCCAATGGCAAGCTCACCTTCTCTTCCGGGAGCATTTCGTACGATCAGCCATCCTCGGCGGACATCTTCAGCAACAGCTCTGGGGCGTTTGCAGTCTCTGGTGATGCTATTAAAGACGCAATCACTGCCCGCTTGGCGGCTGCGTTCAATCGCTCGACGCTTTTGATTGACACCACTCAACCTAACGGTGAGGAGGTTGCCAATTACTACCAGAATGCCGTGACCAATCACTACTCGCGAATCTGCCATGCCACCACTCTCGACAACCGTGGCTACGCGTTCCCTTACGACGATGTCGCGCCGACTAGTGGTGCCGACCAGTCCGGTAGTGTGTATGACTCGAGCCCCCAGCTATTGACAGTTACCGTTGGCGGGTCTTCTACCAATGCGACCAAGATATCCACCACTCAGGGGGATAGCACCCCCGTCCAGGGCACCCAGACGAAGAGTCGATTTTCAGGCCTGAAGAAAGTCATGCAGAAGCTGTCTTGCAAGAAGTAATACCAGGCACAAAGAACACGTACGCTGGGCTGCTGGGCCATATGCAATTGTGATGTAGATAAGCTTTGTGGTTTACCTTTTTGCCTGGGCTGCTTTTTTGGTATTTATTTCTGGTTTTCTGGTTCTGCGAAGGATACTCAATGAATACGATTGTTGAAACGCATCATGAGATATAGTTATGCAATACAGTTCCTCTACTCACCCTTAACACTAATATTCTAGATCTGCTCGCCGGCCTGCTTCCGAATATACGCCACCACCTGATCGGGCTGGGCAAGCCATGGCGAATGCCCGGCGCTGATCTTCTCCGTTTCAATTATAGCGCCCTTTCGCTGTGCACGATCGACCATCAATTGTTGAACAGCAAGAGGGAGAGCCCGATCGTCTACGCATAGTAGATAGGACGACGGGATATCCATGTATGCGGCGCTGGTAGCGGGCGCGTTTTTCGTAGACCATGCATGGGGCCGGAGCGTCTTCGCCCACTCTTGGCCGTCTGCCACGTCATGAAAAAATAATGTGAATGGATCACTGGCTGTCACCGTCCCTTGTTCAACCTGCAGAACATGTTATCAAACAAGTTCACCTACCGAAGTTCGAGAACTCTGTCATCATGCCCATGAATAAACAGGAGGTACAACTTACATCTCCCACATACCAGGGCGGCGGGATCCCGCCAAATGCCCCGATCAGACTCTCGCCGACGCGCGGAATAAACGCAGCGATGAACACCAGCTTCACCACACCACCCTTTTTTCCGCTTTGTTCACGGTCGGCTTTTTTTAGTCCATCCAGCGCGCTGTTCACTGGTAGGCCGGCCCAACTATGAGAAACGACAAGCACATCTTGGCCGGCGTCTGCTTCTTGCTCGACCAGTGATCGCACTGCCGCGATATCCGGCTGCAAGTCCTGAACCGTAGTCGATTGTTGGACGGAGGGAAATGCGATCGTGTGGCAGTTATAGCTATGCCCGTTCAACTTCTTGATGATCGGGTCGAATGCCGTAGGCGGGTACCAGGCGCCGGGGGCGAAGATGATAGAAGGCTTCGACATGAGTCCGCTCTATACCAAGATTGGCGTGAATCGTAACTAGAAGGCTAGGAAAGGACGGTAGAAATACCGAATAGAGAAAAATCTTCTGGTAGGGCTGAGACGGTTATTAAAATAAGCCAGTTTGTTCCCGCCCCGCGGCGCTAACCTACGTCTTGGCACGCGGCGGCCTTAACTAGCGGCCCCGAAAGCCTAGCGTGGCCTTGCTCATAGGTGGCCGACGGTGACTAGGTCTGAATTCACCCATTGTGCCTCAACAAGACGTTTCGTTGCAATGGCAGCGCCTCATTGGCTTCAGATTTTGATGATGCATTGGAGATAATTCCTCTAAAAGCTGACTATTCGGGGCCGTCACAAAAATAGAGTGTCTTCGTCAATAGATGGCACGGGAGGGAGAGCTAATATACCCGAAATGTCGCTGTCGCTCAGTGGAATGAGATCTGGGTCATATAGAGAATCAAACAGGTCAAGATCAAGGCTTGTGCCCACATTCTGGAGCAGACCCTCAAATTGTTCATCGGTGGCATCTTCCAACTTGTAGGCTCCGACAACCGACACCGAAAAGGTGGTGTGGGTTTGTCAGCGCTACAGATAGATATATTCATGATAAAGGTAATAGGATTTTGATGCGTGTCTAAAGCGAGGAGTCTTTAAATAAGGTTTGTTTGAGGCACGGTTATTCAGGCCTTTTTGAAAGCGGTTCTATCATGAGTCCATCACGCACCCCTTACGCCAGCGCGCACGTTTAATAATCACGGTCTCTTCAAAAGTGACTCCATGATGAGCCCATAATACATTAGCCACCTGTACAGAGTCTTTATTAAAAAACCTAAGGGTGCAAGAAGCCTAGCTTAGCATATCAGAGACCGAGTAACTAATCAAATATGGAAAGTAATTACTAATATTAGGTCGGCTCTAGCAAGCCCAACGGCACGACTTATATAGTCAATTATTCTTTCCACAACTTCTAGTTTTCCCTCTGGAAAAATCGATGATACTATAGTAGAAAAAAAACCTTCTATCGCCCGTTTTTATTATAAGGATCGATGTATAAGAAGAACAAAAGAGTAATAAGTACGGGCTCAGCCCAATATATATTCGATAAACGCCAGAAATAGAGCCCCAACATGGAATCTGACATTCTACCTCAAATATCTATATACTTCCGTTTCCTTCCTCCTGCGACCTCACGAGCTTAACAAACAAGACATTCTTGCTTCACGCGAGCAACGATTAGACCACCCAAAGCTTTAGTTAAGTCCTTGCTACTCGGCAAACCACTACGTATTGTTTAGGAAAGCACTCGGTCGGTGTATTTTGCTACCATACAGAAGAGATAGAACGATCCGTCAAATCACGGACAAAGAACCTAAAAGGCCGAGAGTAACGGAGATAGTAATAGCAGATATCATCTAATATTAGCTAAATGTCCAGATTGATGCCCAGATTGACCTTTTTTATATAGAGATCCTTTTGTGAGGAATCCAAGGTACCCGGGCAATGGATAACGTACTATGGTGGTGCTCGATATCGAATAGAGCCAACGCATTGGAAAAGAGCGGCATGGTACTCTAGTACCGTATCCAGCTGAAAGTAGAAAGAGGTCGCCAATAGTGCTGTGACCGCATCTCTGTGGTTTTAAAGTCCCGAGGGATGACTAGACCAGGATCGACGGTCTTCTGACCTTGCTGACTGGCTTTTTCCACTTTAATTCTAATGGTGGTGCTCTAGCCCTAATTAAATGCTCCATACGCCGCCACCTATTCGCTACTCTGTGCATGGATGCTATTGCTACGCACTTCTATAAAGTCTTCCTTTGATTGGATCTGGCGCCTACATACTATGCCTGTTCGGTTACACGTAGCAGTCTCATAGCAAGCGAAGGGAAGCGGGGTTAGGCAGCAATACGTCAAATCTCATCCCTTGAACGTAGAGCGAAATCAACGGTCCCTGGAACAACGAACTTATTTGAACCTGCTCATACGTGTGGATAACCTGCCGGGTCCGATTAAATTTTGCTTTCTTCCCTTGCTTCTAGCCATGAAAAAGATAAAGCGCAAGCCATTTGGGTATGAAGGGACTTACCCCAAGGAATCCAATCCTCCACCACCCGAGGCACAGAACAGGGAGGATCAAGACACCATTCTTGGGCTCATTGCGAGGTGAGAAATAGCATCTATCCCGATTTAAGCACAATAGACAATAACCAGATTGCTAACATAGCATAGCTTGCACCTCAATTCGGACTACAGCGATTTGACCATTTTTTGCAAGGATAAGATTTTCTCAGCACATAGGCTTGTTGTTTGTCCTAGATCAAAGTACTTTCAAAATGCTTGCTATGGCGGGTTTAAGGTATGACAAGGTCTATCTATTAACCAATATTGAACCTCAAACCGATAAGCAGCGAGGACTTGTAGGAAACCGAACAACCGATTCGACTAAACGAGAAAGAGCCGATCCTCATTGAGAAAATGCTGGAATTCCTATATACAGGAAATTACACCCCTCCATGCCCTACGCAACCTTCGGAAATCGTACAGGCCGATGGAGGTGACATACCCGGGATGGATAGGCAGCCTGCAGAAGAGCCATCGCTGGAGTCTCCACCGGAAAATGATGTCATTGACGAATTCCCCCTAAATCATGCAAGCAAGGAAGGAGATGAAAGGGTCGTTACAAAGCCACTCGTCGAATCCTTAGTCGACTGTCATCCATGTTACTTCCACGTGCGCATGTACGGCGAAGCGGACTACTTCATGATCGACGACCTGAAAAGGAAAGCAGAAGTACATTTCTGCGCTTCGTTGCTGAGTTCCCCCAAAACAGAGTCTTTTGAAGAGGCCATTGAGGAATTATATTCGACACGAGCCAATTACCACAAGCTGAGACAAGTGGCGATTGGAGTGATAGTTGCTAATCTGCCGAATCTCCGAAACGGACCCGCGCCGGTAATCACTCCAGAATTGACGAGGTCGATTCCCGATTTTACATACGATCTACTTCAAGCCACTCTAGATAAGTATGTACAAGACCCGCCAGATGTGGAAGAACATAAAGATCAGTCTCAGTTGAAGGTTGAGTACTGGGGCTCCTCAAGGAGGTACTAGTTTGCATCGGGGTTAGGTGTGCAATTTCTCATATTTTTCGCACCGCAAAAACCACAAGATAGTTGCCGTGTCAATAAGGCTTGCCCATCAGTTATTATATTAGCCTTGAAAGACACCCGCACTTCCCTCTCTATTTATTGCAAGTATTCTTTCAAAATGTAAATCGACTATTTGACTCACCCTTTATTTAGCTGTATGATTTCAGCATTCCGTCGCTGTCGGTGTTCATCATAAGTCTCGCTGGGGGCTTCGAAGAGCACGTTGGATGTAAAATTAATCAATTTGCGCCGTTCATCCGAAACTTTGGCTCTCATATAAGCTTCCTCATTTAATCTGATAGGGAACGATTGGTTGGGCAAGTGATCAGTAATAGCTACGAGAATAGAAACAAATTGGGCTCGCAACTAGGTGCACATCAGGACAAGCATGCCGAGAAAGTTCGGAAAGAGAGCTTGAAAGTAATAAGAACTTGGAGATCACTTCCGAATTTCCCAGGGATAGTGCTCCAAGAGAAATTCCAAACTTGGGTAAATCCTAGGGACACTTTACGTATGATATGGTATTATGGTGGGGTCATATTAACAGAGCTGCACTATACAATTCTTGCGAAAAGCTGGTGAATATCTCCCAGCTCAATTCAACGAGTACGCGGAAGCCTGTAAACCAGAAACAGCACCACAGGCCTTCTTCATATCAGGAAAAATAGGGAATAGCATCGATGAGATAGAGTAGATTCATGAAAAGCCACTTTCGTCGGGGTTATTGACCAGCTCATATAGTCTGCCCCCTACTTGCTGCGCAAGAACCCGGTACGGCCCGTCTTCCACCACTATTCCTTGATCAAGAACAATGACATGGTCTGCGATCTCAATCATCTCCTTCGCGTGTGTGATGATAATCACGGTGAGCCCACATCGGGTAGCTACAAGCTGCTGTACCGTTTGTCGAACCACCTCAGCACCAACAGGGTCGAGACTGGACGTCGCTTCGTCCAATATGAGGATCTGGGGCTTCCGGAGCAGAGAGCGAGCTATGGCCAGCCGTTGTTTTTGACCGCCAGACAGGCCAACGCCACCGTCACCGATGACAGTGAAATATCCCTTCGGCAGTGATAGGATGAACTCATCGATACCGGCTGCTTCAGCGGCAATGCGGACACTGTGTATGGATGCTTTGTCCGAGACTCCGTAGCCGATATTCGCGTAGATCGTTCCAGGGAAGATAGTTGGCTGCTGCGACACGATAGAGACATGTGATCTCAGTGTTGGAACATGCAGGCGTAATATGTCTTCTCCCCCGAGCATTACTGTAGGTCGGCCATCTCTGGATACTGGTGCCTCATACAGCGCGAGAAGTAGAGATGCGATGGTAGACTTGCCGGAGCCGGAGCGACCAACGATCGCCGTGCACGAATTCTGCGCGATTGTGATCGAGACATCCTTCAGGACTGAGATGTTTGGTCGGGAAGGATACCGGAAGCCTAGATTGGTGAGTTGGATGGGCGTTAGCCTGGCAATCTTGAGATCACCCCGATGCTCGTGCGAATTGGCATCGGGAAGTTTTGAAAGACGAAGAAGATGAGTAGCTACTTCGCGAGAAGTATTGATTTGGGGAACTAAATTGGCGGGTTAGCAGTCATTTATCTGACTCGATGGGCCGATGTCTCGCTTACTCCACGATAAGATTTGTGCTGCGTATCCAATGCCGAAAAGAAGCAGCGAAAACACCATCATTACTTCATTGACAGTAAACTCAGATACCGCGAGCACGGCACCATAGTAGAAGATGAAGGCTAATAATGCCAGTTAGTATATGCTCAGTTCTTTCTTGGAAAAGGCTTAGAAGACTTGCCACTCGCGAGTGTCACTGTCGACTCTAGCATGCCGAAAAGCAAACCAGAGTAAATAGCGCGTTTTATGCCCAGCTGTAGGCACTTCGAGATAGCGTCTGTCTGTTTGTTATGAAAGTATCCCTCAAGCGTCAAAGTCCTCACAGTGCGAATCTCTGCAAAGGTCTCGGTAAAGATATCCGAGGAAGCACGGCTGGCTTCGCTGCATCGCTGTTCCCAGAGGGCATTGATTCCCTCAAACCCTCGGGCGATCACGTACATGAGAGGTCCACACGCAAGGGCCACCAACGTCAACTTCCAGCAGACTATTAAGCTCCAGATAATTGCCATGGCTGTAACTGACGCAGCAACAATGAGGTATCCAGCGAAGCGACCGAGCAAGTTCCGCATATCCTCGCCATTTTGATCCAGGTAAGCTGTGAGCCTGAACAAATTATTTCCCTCTTGGTCGAACCATGCTCGAGGTTGTTCGAGCACTCGCTGAAATGCTCTCTTTCGGAGGGTGTCCATCCACCTCTCGCCACAGACTTCGAGAAAGTAATGCATGAAAAAGGAAGCCAGGCCATCCCCGACGGAGACTCCTAGTACAGCCAGTGACCATTTCATTGTGAACTTGGCGCTGTTCGTACCTGCGTAGAATGAGCCGAATAGCTGGGACAGACAGTAGGAGAAGATCGGTGTCGCGCTTGCATGAGCTAGTGCCGATACGATGCCCAGAAAGAGGATGATACGTTGACTTGGGGTCAATGTAGGCACGATGGTGCCCATAATGTGGGACAATGAAGCCATGCCCTTTTCAGTTGCTTCCTTTTGTCGCTTTGACTCCCGCCTCCTCTGAGCAAGACTGTGCTGTTTGGATTCTGGATTATCAAGAGTGAGGTATGGAACAGGTGATTTCTCAGCAACAGAGTCTTGATGGTCAATGTGGATCATCTCAAGATCCTCCTCTGGTGCTGCGTAGTAAGAACTCGGGCGTGCTGGTGACACCTCTCTTCTCGGTATGCTCAAGAAAGTCCCCCGTTTTCTGAGAGGATACGAAACGTTTAGCATAGCGCCATTAACAGAGTAGATGGAATCACATCTTGATGCTGTATGCCATGTACCTGACCATGAACTAGATCGAATGTGAGGTTGCATCGATGTTTCCCTGGGATCATGGCGCGCATGGGGCGGTATGACAGGCTTGTTTGCCAGACTTTGGCGAGAGGAATGTTCCCAAGGCCGGCCATGATATCTTTCGTCTATCGACTTCGACCGTGACTTGCCATTTGAATTGTCTTTGGCCGTGATGCGAAAGTATTTGTCGCTTCCAGGTTGCTTCTCCACGGCATCCCTGTACCCGCTCTGCACAATTGACCCATTTTCGAGCATGTAAACGAAGTCTTGGCCGGTAATGTGAGACATGTCGTGCGTGATGATGATTGTCGTCTTTCCGCTACGCCATTCCCGGATTGCCTTCATCACTGCCACGCGATTTTCGTGATCCAGAGCACTGGTAGGTTCATCCAGTATCAAAATCGGCGTATCACGCAATCTCGCTCTGGCGATGGCAACTCGCTGCTTTTGACCACCACTCAGAAGATTCCCACCAGGGCCAACACAAGTATCAAGCCCGTTGGGCAGATTGCTGAGCATGTTCTGGAGCATGGCAACATCGATCGAATCGTGAACATCGTCTGCAGACACCGTATTGTAGTCTTGACGACCGAAGGCAATATTCTTCAGCACTGAGTCATTGAATAGCACACTGCGCTGTTCTACCAGAGTTATGTTGTTTCTGATCCAGTTAATGTCGAGTGTCTCGATTGGATTCCCGTCAATTAAAATCTCGCCCGAAGAAGGCAGATAAAATCGCATCAGCAGCTGGCCAAGGGTGCTTTTTCCAGAGCCACTCTTGCCTATGATGAAGGTAATGTCCCCGGCCGGGAAGAAAAATGTCGATGGTCTGAGAACACAGCGATCTGGCTGACCGGGGTACGAAAAGGATACCTGGAAAAAGTGTCAGCACCTTCAACGACGGTATGATGAACATTTCATCATGTACATACCTTGTTCACTTCAATATCACCCTCACAGTGTTGCGGGTACAAAGTACCTGTCATCTCACACACAACACGCTCTTCTACCCGTTCATGCATGGTTGCCCTCAGCATGACGCTCGCGACCTGACCCTTCTCCATGACAATCAGGTGTGGCAGGACTTGCTCAATGGACTGCGCTGCAGTCAAGCATGCCCAGAATGTCCTCATAACTTCACCAGAGGTAATATTCCCCGCTCGAGCAAGGGAGCTGCCATACCAGAAGCCCTGGACGAACATGCCAAACATCATCCACCGAATGAATGCAATTTGCAACGAATTTAGCCTGGCTTGTCTAAGATAATGGACGGCTGACTCCTCGATGCAACGAGAGAAACTCCAGGATTCCATTTTCTGGCCATTCAAGCATTTGACTGCATCGATAGAAGAGATTGCATTGCTCGCAATCTTTGATGCCTGAGTTAACGCCCCTTGCTGTGCTTCGATACTGGGTTTCATTCGTGTGGAGAGGAAGGCAATGATGGCCGAGAATATTGGAATTCCGGCCAGTGTTACCAGAGATAGCCTCCACGAAGTATAGAAAGCCAGACCCAGTGACGCTAATGATCGACACAAGTATTGAAAAAGCAGTCCTAGGGGCTGGGAGGTTGCCGTTTGAAGGTCATGAATCTGACTGAAGAATGTGTGAGCATAAGTCGATCATCTTGATGTGTTCCGGCTACGACTCACGCTTGAATTCCGGACAGGAAAGCTCCAGATCCCTCCGGTTGTGCATCGAACCATTCCACATCTCGTGTGATTAGCTCACTAAAGACCCTGCTACGGATGTAAGAAGCCTGTAGTTCCCCAAATGCAATGAATAATGCGAAGTAGGCGCTATTGAGCAACCAGCCAGCGGCGCCTAGCCCGAGCATGCCGAAGCAGCTAGTCACGATTTTGTTTCGAAGTCCGTCAGCGGCAATCTGTCCAGCCCCGAAAGCCGTAAACGCATCGAACACATTTCCCAGAAAGACAGCTAGAACCGGTGTGACGCATCCAGCGAGCAGGGCAAAGACACCTCCTATGATGAGTGTAGGTACGTCCCTGCGGGTCGTAAAAATGAATAAGGATTTCCAGCTGGGGTTGAGACCGGCTGCTCGAAATCCCGAATGAGTAGTGTTATGATCGGCCATCTGGGATTTGAGGCCCGTTGCGCCCAAATTTCATATCTAGGATATGGAATATTCGTAACAAAAAGAATGAATTATAAAGACTCCGACCATGGTGAGGAGGAAAAGAAAAGGGGGATCCCATCCAGGAAGCATAAAATCTAGAATACCGATTCGGGTCGTTCATTGTTGAGACGAACAATATCAAGGAATTTCCCGATGCGGAATGATTGATGGCAATGAAGAGCGGCCAGGTGGGACAACCTTGAACAATCCTTGACAAAATCCTTTGTTCTCGAAAGGTGACATAGTGGGACAGGCAGCATCGGTTAAGAGCAAATGTGAATAGGAGGCACGCGATGCACCCGAGACAGTATTGGCATCAGACAGGGTCTGATTCGTGAACGCTTCCCGCTGACAGATACAAGGTGCCGACACCACTATCATTGACTCGATTCAAGAGGTACCCGAAATTCGGCAGGCAACCCACCCAACTTGCTCAATGAAAAACAGACTAAGGGAAGCTGGTCGCTGGTTAATCATAAATGCCATCTTATATCCGGGTATATGGTTATAATTCTCATGAAGTTCTCTGATTAGTAGACCATGGTCAATCCACCTCCGAATGACGAACTTTCTATCAAATCCGTAATCACTCGTCTATCACACAACCACATCCTTTCAACCGGTCGAGACCCGAACCTGCAGGGCACTTCCGTCTGACGTATCACAAATTTGACGCCGTATCTCTCAGTGGGACCACAGAGCAGTACAAGTCGTCGGTATAGCAGCCCGGGTGTGGAGTCGAACTTGACTTGAGGTCAAGTGCGGTGGAAAGTAGAGGAATGCGCACTCAAGAGCTAGCCTTCTGGGCGCGCTCGTAAATCCAGTCATTCAGACCCGCACGGTTACTTAAAATTGTTAGTATCGTGATTAAACCCGTGTGTTCCAATTACGGGAAAGCTCACCGAGCAATCTCAATAGCGTAGAATTGCATGCGAACACCTTTCACACTGTCAGCTTATCGCCCCACCTCACTAGAATCGCCCTTCATGCGCTCCGACTCACCGAAAATGGTGGTATCCTGATCATACTCAGCATCGGCGCGGGTTCGAACGATCGTGCCAAAGTTGAAATCCTCAATCTTCTTCTCGTACTGGTTGACCCAGTTGCGCCACTTCTCCTTGCCAGCCTTGCTCTTCATGTCGTCCTCGTTGATGGTCGCGGCGGGATCGAAATCAGGGAACTCAGTCTTGAAGGATTCGTAGATCTCGTCATCCATCTTGGTCAGGCGCAGCTGCGAGCCCCTGACTTTCTCAAGAATGGCCCAGTATGTCATGAGATGTTCGACAGCTGTGTATGTTGTATGTCAGCGTCGATCGGATGCGAGAGTGGAATTTTGGCAGGAGGGTCATTTCAAGAGCATGAGAATAATCGGGAGAATGTAGCAAGTTTGGCGACTAACCCTTCACTGCGAACTGCTTTTCCATCTGTTGAGATGATCAGTGACTGACTCGTCTCCGGTATGCGGGACACTTTCTGGAACGTACATCCTCAAGGTTATCGGCCGTCTCGGGATCAAATGGCTTCGACATTTTGGCGGTTATTTGTGTAGGAAACGACTTCTGAGACAAATACAGCGATAAGAGAAATGATCGGGGAAATGAAGTCGAATGAGGTGGGGAGTGTCTGCTGTGCCCCGCGAATATTTTTTTCGGTGGGCGGAGAGGCGTACTGCCGTCCCAAAACAATCTCCGCCCACGGTACGTCATCATCGGGCCGCCCAAGCAATCTACACATGATTACTGTAAAGTTCTTCTGGCTTCGAAATGCTTCCTCGGCGATATTTTACAAAGAACAAGTTAACAAGTATACAGTAATATTATCTGGAATACAAATGAGTCAAGTGTTTTGCCAATAACTGTATAGCACCTTAAGAAGTAGATGACGATGGGTATACACAAATGCATGCTAGATGACAGCCCAACCCCAAATGCTCACGTATCAGCGAATTCATGAAACCAATATGATAGTGATGATGCCGTGGGTATCCATTTCAGGTCGAACTCAGTCGCTATCGGCATCGTCCGGCAGCTCTTCGAATCTTCCCTCTCGGACTGCCTGGGCCACTGGGTTTTCCATCGTGATAAGACCATTTGCCCTTGCTCTGTAATCCAAGATTAGTAAACAATGATTGGCTATCAGGGTTACGGAAATATTCACCTTTCGAACAGCACAAACAGTCTCTCTGCTTCTCTTTCCTTCTCTTCCTCAGTCATGGGAGGCTCTGAATCCTTCGGCTCTGCAGCCCAACGCTGTCCGGTGATTGGGTTGACCTCTGAGTCCAGCCCAGTGGGATCATTAGTCGCGAAAGCTTCGCCGGCAGTCTGGGGAATTTCCATTCCGCGCGAAGCCAAGAAACCAGCGGCAAACCCATAGCCAATCCGTCGTGTGAGATTCTCGGCGTCCTTGCCCGAAAGAACAAACATCAGTTCCGAGATGCCAGTTTTGAGGTTCGGGTAGGGGCTGGTAGAAAGCTGCAAAAGCTTCGAGGCAAGAGTATCTGAATGTCCAATTGGCAAGGTGCGATCGTTATCCTCGGGCAGAAGAAGCCACTGCATATACTTGCGCGGGCCATCGGGGGCAATTTCATGGACGACGATGAGAGAATGTAGAAGCGGGACTGCTTTTTCCTCCAACTCCTCCGGGCGGTATAGTGATACTGCCTGATCAAGGATATTGATCAGCTTATCAACATTACAGTTCTGGTTGAACTTGGGAAAGAGCGGATTGCTCTCAAAGTGTTTCTCTTTCTTTTCCTCCAGGTCCAGTACGGATAAACAGTTGATCAGGTAGCTGATCAGGCCGTCCAGCGGCTTGGCTGGAATTTCGATGCGGCTTATGATCTTCAGGATATGGGGGATTGAAGGCGAGAAGGTGACAGCTAGATCGGGGTAAAGCTTGGAAATGTTGAAAATGAGTTTCAGGGTATCGGTAAGAGCCATTTCGTCCATCTGAGACAACGGCGGTCGACCGGATTTGGGGAATTGTTTCGCGTGGCGAGTTAGTTGCTGGCTCGGTCAGTTCCTTCTACCACAGTATGAGTATGAATGGAACACGCACATAGTTCACGTTGTCGCCGAGGGAATGCTTCGTGATTAGGACTTCGAAGTCCATTGTGGTATCGTAGGTCGACAGGAACAGAATGCGACTGGTGACCATTTCATCTTCGGAATTATCAGTCTGACGTTGTCTCACCAGTCAGCATGGATCCCGGGTGGTAAACGGTGGCACACCAAGTCACCTTCAGGGTTTCCGCCAGTTTGCCTCCATATCCCGTGTCCACAAAAACCTGGCGCATCTTGGAATCGAGGAGGAGGGCATTGGCAACGCAGCGCAAAGCAGCACGTCGCACATCTGCTGTCTCCCCGTCGAGTCCATATCGCACCAGTATCCCGATTCCCTGCAGCACATGTCAGATCCGCAAGTATCACAAAAACACGGAGTTTATTTCCATCGTACATCGCTGCAATAGATCGGCCCGGCGTCGACGGGGTTCGTGCCATACTGGCGCAGCTGCAGAAGGGTCTGAACTTTTTCTGTAACATGCAAATCAAAATTAGAATCATATTGCTAGCGACAGGTCTCTGTCTGGAACTCACGCGCTGCTGTCAGACGCTTCTCCTGCAGATCTTTCTTGAGAGTGTCGAGCAGTTGGGTAACCTGCTGCAGCTTGGCTGTCATGACCCGTTAGCCTATTTTTTGTTCCCCGTCGCCTAGTATCTCATGGAATGCGATCTGCGAAGGCATACCTGCTCCCTGCGCTTGGCGGAAGTCCATGGCGATCCTCCGTCGTCCGGGGGCTGGATGTCTCCTCAACGTCCTCGAAGAATTAGGTTGCCGGGCGAGCTCTGAATTGAAGGCGCTAGCAGTGCGTGTCGTGCCGGGGGATGCTGCAGCTTGGTCGCGACATAAAGAACCAGCCGCTAAGCTATTGCACTCGTGAGCGAAAGTGGGAGAAGAGAGAAGAAGGGACGCGGGGAAGCACGACTCTGGCGTGAATCAGGAAGCACGCCCCACCTTAGCTTCTGAAGTCCGCCTACATGATGATTGCACCTTCCACCCCCGGGACTTGACCAGGGCGGGCAGCCATCGGAAGAGCGCTGGCTTTGTTTTTCTTTCTTCTTTTAGTGTCTACACACAGGAAACCTCTGGCATACTGCGAAGCTGATATACCTCCGCACTCTCGCCAAGGGTCATTGAACCGCGTTCACGACGATCTGTGGCGCCTTGGCAGCTACACTACTGATTTTCTCCAGGATAGGGTTGCCAGTGGCATTCATGTCGCAGTGCAGCATGTCATGATGAACTAATTTATGTAAGAGAACTTAAAATAATAGCGTCATTCTTCGGCGGATGTGATAGAAGTAAACATGGAGATACTCTGTCTATTGGGGGAAATCGCGGCCCAGAGCGCGTGGCTTGATGCCTTGTCGCCTGAACCTTCAGGTTGGACGCGGCCACTTTACGCGATTCGCGACAGGCGCGTCCCCAGCTCCCATCTACTTTTCACTGGCTCTGGCATCAACGCTCCCCCGATCCCACCACAATTAATTCAGGAATCCATGGGAGGTCTCGTTTCCGTCTGCTTGACACCCAGCAATGGTCCTTGATCTCTCTTTTTCCTTCTCTTTGCCCCCTCTCTGAACCATGGTGGAGATCCTCGGTCCTCTCCCTGCTCGCCCGCCAACTCCTCCCAGGCCAGGTTCCCGAATCGACCAGACCCATCAGAAGGACCCCGAGTCCTCCCAACCCATCCAGACCCCCGGGACTTCCCCTCATACGGCGAATGCACCCAGGCCTCCTCCGTTAAGCCACGGTTCCAAGCGTGTCAACTTCTCTCCATGGCTGTATACCGTCATCGAGTCTCCGAATTCCAAATCGGCCAGCAAATACAAGGAAACGAAGGGACGAGAGGAGACGGCCTTTGAGAGTCCGCAGGCCAGCGCGGGGAGACCGTTCAAGTCCATTCTCAAGGAGACCAGTTCTCCGATTCCCGTGTGGTCACCAAACGTCGATAAATTTACAACGGAATCGCTCGCCATGCTACTGGAGTCAGTGGTTCAGCAATTGGCGGGAGAGTCAATCTCTTCGCGACTCGATGCATATATGCAATTCTTTGGAGCATTGAGGACATACGATGGATTGCTGGGTGGGAAGGAGACCGCAGACAAACTGGGTCTGATCACGGATTTCATCCAACGTGACGTGAGCCGCGACTTGGAAATTGGCAAGCCTCTGGATACAAATCTAGTGAACCAAGCCCTGAAACTGTCCGCTGCATTTATATGGCAAACCGACATCTCAACGCATCTGTCAGATGAGTTCAAAGTATTTCTCGTGGACCACGCAATCACTTCCCTTCAAGAAGCCAAAGCACCGAAGTCTGTCCTAACACACCATATGTCGATTCTTTCTACGCAGAACTTCAGCTCCAAAATCATGACAACTCTGCGAATTACTCGTCTCCTAGCGGCATTGCAAGATATCACCAAACATGTTTCCGGCAAAGCCATCGCCCTGCATCGATTGAGCATCTACCAGCGCCTTCTCGCACAATCCAAGTCGATTTTTATCTCACAATCTTCGTTATGGGTGGAACACTTGGTCTTTGGCTTGCTTCATCATGTAAAGGACACCCGGTCGAAAGCCATCACTCTTGGCTTTCAAATCTCCATGGCTGCGGGCCCGACGCCTGCTCTGTCGAATAACATCCGGACTCTTTTCGATCGGCCACTCGAGGGTGATCGAAAGCTAGTAACAGAAGTTTTAGAGCGGATGTCGCGAATGGTGGCATCTCTAGACACGGGCATCCATGTGCCGCCGATTTGGAGCATCGTGATTCTTCTTTTGCGGAGCAAAAAGTGGAATTTGGACCAATGGGAGCATTTCAAGGAGTGGGTGCTGGTCCTTCAAAGATGCTTCAACTGCAGTGAGCCTGTCATCAAAGCCCAGGCCATTGCAAGCTGGAATCGGTTTGTCTATGCAGTCAGTCCCAACGAGTCGACTGGTCGATCGTTGATCAAGATGCTGGGGAAACCGGTTATTTCGCAGTTCGAGCGAAAGAAGTCCGACAAGTCTGCATTGCCGCCCACTCAACTTGCCCTAGGAAGCTATTACAATTTACTTTATTACGCCTTCCGGCCTTCGTCCCCCCACCATCATCTCGATCTTATATGGGAGGAATACATTGCAATTCCCTCTACAACTATCTTTTCAACCATTCCAACCCTCAGCGATAGCGCAGCGCTTGTGTTGGCAAACCTGCTATGGTGTCCGCAGGCTAAAGTTTGGGCAGAGACTCGGATCACTGACAGCGCCAAAATGGAAGTCGAGGAACTCCCTTCGGTTGACTCCCGATGGGTCCGTTCGAAAGTTTTGTCAGTTTTAGAGGTTTTCGAGTCTCTCTTGAAGTCTTCGATCTGGGACGATGAGGCAATCGAGAAATCAAATATCGCCCTCGCATGGAACAGCCTGGCTAGTGCTCTCTCGCAGGCCTCCAGCAAAGAAATTACCCCTTCCGGGGAATCCATGCAGGCTGTTGCCAGCGTTCTTGGTTTCTTACATCGTCTCTGGCTTACAGGGCCGTCATCTTTGCATGCCACCGGCGAGTGCTGTGAGGACGCTTTTTTCGAGCGATTCTGTTTCTTGGCGAGAACCATGATTCTTTCGCTTGGAGGTATTCCCTTCACAGAGAAACTCATGCTGAAAACTGCCGATGGGACATTCCAGATCTCCAATACTCCCGCTCATCGCTCTTCTGCCCCGGGTACTAATCTGGATAGCCCTATCTTACATCTTTTGCGCACAATCAGCAAGACCACTATGATTCCGTCGCCAACTCCATCATATATCCGCCTTGTGGATGGAACAATTGCGGCATCTTGCAATGGAAGAATTTCCCGTGGATCTCGTCTCGAACTACTGCAACAATGTGCCGACTTGAGTATCACGGAATACACGTCCCCCTCCTACGACCGGCATCTATTGGAGGCGGTTTGGAAATCCACCGCACGTGCTACAGCAGATGCGTTGCAGTCCTTCCCCATTGAATCTGCCCGAGAACGTGATGGATCTGTTTCGCGGGACTACGAGAATATCACCAAGATTCTTGTTGCTGGTGTTCGCTTTCCTGGTGCTTTCGAAGAGTGGTCACGGCTGCTTGAATCGTCTGTGCGTGTGGTAAGGACAGAGAAAGGAGACCGGATCCTCACAAGTCTGATTGTAGAGCCCATTGCTGCCAGCCTGATTTCCATTTCAGCTCCTGAGACTTATTTACCTACAACTTCACTACTTGGTCAATCGCTTTCCATTCCATTCGCGCAGGAGACCGGGCTTGGACTTGAAAGAACCGTCTCTCAGCCGATGAGCCCCCCGTCTTTTCCCTGTAAACTATTGGAAACGGTTGGGAGAACCTTACAGTTGGGCTACAGCAGCTTCGATGCCTCGCAAACCCTTGATCTATCGGGTTTCATTGAGTCTTTGACATCTTTTCTAAGTTCTGGCACACCGTTCTTTCGCTCTCAGGCACTCGAGACTCTCCAGGCACCCCTTGGACTGTGGATGCAAGATTCTGAATGCAAAGTTGATGTTACACGCGGGGTAGACAGTCGGGCCCTGACTGCAGTAGGTGCATTTTCGTGGGAATTTGTGTACAGCAACTGACTGTTTAATAGTCCCAGGCGCTTTCATCTGCCGTCCTCAGCATTTTGCAAACTGCTGTTGTTGACGAGTTGTCGTCATTGCAAAGATTCGAGACCATCATCTGCGCTGGCTTGGAATCACCCCATCTCTCAAGCACTAAACGATTTGTCGATTTCTTGCAATCGACTAAGACTGCCTCAGATCCCCTCATTCATACCACCGCAATGGGTCAAGCACTGTCAACTGCGACCTCCAGGCTTTCCGCCCCACCTCACCTGCCGCAAACTGCTGTCCAGGTACAGTCCAATCCATTCAGACATCTAGCTCACAACGTTAATTTCTTCACTCATAGGAAGCCAACTTGGTGTCGTCGAGCTCACTCAAGCTAGACCACCAGCGAGGGAACAAGCAAATTATAGCGAAGTCCATTGAGACTGGTGACATTCACTTCAATTCGTCACCCGTCATTGAGGCGAACGAGTCCACACTGCCTGAACGTGCGGAGCTCAGTGAACCTCAATTACCCACGAGCTCAGAGGTGGCGCTCTTTGAAGCCCCAGCCACATTCCGGAGAAGTCGGCGTGAAATGTTCCGAATGATTGAATCTATCAGATCGTCGTCACCTGCAAACACGCCCAGTAAATTAGGCTTCGATACGCCTGTTCACCTGCGCAGACTGCATTCTCAGTCAGGCATTCCCTTGACTCCTACCTTAGCACCAGCAGAGAATGAGGAGGGCTTCATCGGCTCATCTCCTACACCGGCAACCAGGGATCCGACACCTGCGATGAACTCAGATGCCCCGGGAAGGAAGTCTCAAGATATAATTATGGAAGATGCGACCGATATGCCTTCCTCGCCTCCAGAGCTCACGTCCCGAAGTCCCAGCCCCCAGAAGCTATCTCGGCGCGCTCAGCGAAGGTCTGCTGCAAAAGCAAGGAAAGCCAATGCTCATACGGATGCTGGGCAACAAATTGCTAGCAATAGCCGAGCCACCCCTAGCGACATGGAGAATCTTCCCAGAATCCTTCAGGCAATTATCACGGACGATGTCAAGGAAAATACTCCAACGCCTCAAATGGATGAAAGGCCGCCTAGCCGTCGCACTCGGTCCGCATTGAGCCAGAGCACTGAAAACGATCAGAATGCTGCTCCTGTTGCTACTACCAGCACTCCTGCTAAGACAACGGAAGAGCTGTCCGCTTCTCTCAGTTCAAAGTCAACACCATCGTCCAAAAAGAGAAAGAGAAATGGGGCACCCAAAGAAGCGAATGGAGCAAGTCAGCAATCTGCTTCAGCTCCTTCTACTCCCATGCCTCCAGACTATCTCGTTGATTCTTCAAGTGAAGATCTGGAGTCTCAGATTGCATCTCAGCTTGAGCAAGATTTGGAGTCAGCCGTTGACTTGATTGGCAAGGCGCATAAGCAGACCGCCACTGGCTCAGAGGCTCCCGAACCAGCCACGAAGAAGAGGAAACGTGAAGAGCAGCACACTCGATCCATTACAAAGGACAGGCGACGATCAACTCGTATTTCAACTGCGAAGGATCTCAGGGCCGCCGATCTAGAGCAGCCCGAATCTACACCGGCTCAGGATGCAGCGATCTCTCAACCTTCTCAAGAGGTCTTCTCTGTCCGTCCCGCCTCGACCACTCCCCGACGATCAACTCGCAGCTCTCAGAAGAAACACGAGGAGGTCAGGATGCCTGACTCGCTCCCTGAAACTACCCAAGAGGAGCCAATTAAGGAGCAAGAGCCTTCGCAGAGGCCAACAAAGAGACCCCGCAAATCCCTGCGACTCGAGGATCAGCCTGCTCCTTCCCCCATTGCGGGAGAGAGCATAACTGGCAAAACGAGTCGTGGCTCTCGCTCTCGGAAAACACGCTCACCTCCGAACGTAACACAGTCTCAGCCTCTTCCTTCTCAAGAAGAACCGACCGAACTAGAGGCAGCAACCAAGCAAGTTGAGCTTTCCCCTGCTCAGAAGGATCAGAAGGATGCTGGCCCTGAAAATATTCCTGCTCAGATGCCAACTGAGCCGAACGTTAGCTTCGCTTCCACCGAGGAGGCCACCGATTCTCAGATGACTGATATCGGTCCATCAACCGAATCTCTGCCTGAGGGCACTGTTGGCATACAGCCAGATCTGGATATTGTTTCAGACCAGCCATCGACGGGGGTGGCAGATCTAGTCATGAACGTCGCCACTGCCAAACCCGAAACGGAACCCATTCCTCCCAACCTCGAATCCGACATCAGCGAGGCAGGTATCTCTCAATCCCTGAAGAATCTCCTAGACAACATGAAGTCCGCGAAGTTGGGACCAAATGCACTTCGCGAAGTCGACGACCTCCTTTTCAATATCCGTGTTGAAGCGCATGACGCGTCACGGCGATACAACAATTCGGCATAGCGATGGCGTTTACGAGGCAATCTTTGCTTTTTTGTGATTTTATTTTTTTTCTATATTGGCTCCCTTCACCTTCCTATTCCCCACGTGCATTTTACATCCATAAAATAAACAGGGGCCAGTGCATACATTGGATGCGTGTTTCTGTTTTCTCTCTTTCCTTTTCTTCCGGGGCGCCGAGGGAACTGCATCTTTTTCTCCTTCTTGATCATGCTGTATTCTATTGCCCGGTGCTGGCTTACGTGGCTTTTTAATTCAGTGAATTGGTGATCAAACTATATAACACAAGACCCCTATTCATTCTATCAGGGGATTCGAAGTTTATTATGGGTGGCGTTAAGCCCTTCTTCTCGGAACCATGGGTCCTCTTGCCACGAAATTCACAGGGGCAACAAGTTGAAGCTAGTGGCCATCTGGAAACGGAGTTCGAGAATTTGTCGACAGGCTAGTAGAATTGCCTATCTGCTTTCACCCAAGGCACGCCTGTTACCATGATGTTGAATGACGCAGGCGGAAGTGCCACCACCACCTAGTATTCGCGATATAGGCCGAGTTGTCGGCGTCTCTCTCTGCGCCTTATTTGATCTTCGTGTGCCAGGTTTTACTGTGGTCAATCTGTTTGTGCAATCTACACATCAGTCTAAGTCAAGATTTATACCCATCTCCAACCCAATTTCTCTAATTCTTGGAAACTATATCACCATGGGCACCCAGTACATGATGCAGGCCGGTCTGGCCTCCGGCATGTCAGCCACCGAGGGTATCAACTCGCCGCATCCTAAGCCCGTTGACCCAAATCTCAGCGACCCGCCTTACGTCCTCCCAGCTGACGTGATCCCCAACTCGCGAAGTCGAATTGCCCTCCACGGGTATGGGGGCAAGGACGTCCCGATTCCGTACCTGAGCATTGGAACCTGGGCCTGGGGCGACAAGGCAACATTCGACTACGATGCTACGATAGATCTTCCTCGGATCCACGTCGCATGGGAGAAGCTGAAATCAGTCGGGCTGACCTTTGTGGACACGGCGCAATCCTACGGCAACGGCGAGAGCGAGCGGATCTGCGGGACCCTCTTCAAGGGCATGCCCCGAGATTCATTCGTCGTGCAGACCAAGTGGTTTTCGGGCGGCTTGTCCAATACCTTGATGCAGTCGCGCGGGCCAAAGGCCCGGCTCAAGGCATCGCTCGGACGGCTGGGTCTGGGCTATGTGGATATCTACCTGGTAGATGGACCCACGCATGGCAGCATGATCTCCACGGTCGCCCAAGGCCTCGCGGACTGCGTCGAAGCTGGCATGACTCGTGCAGTCGGGGTTGCCAACTATGACACGCAGGAGATGATCCAGATGGCGGATGAGCTGGCCGAGCTCAACGTGCCGCTCGCCGTCGCCCAGTGCGAGTACTCAGTCATTCGGCGCTTGCCCGAGGTGAGCGGGATGATTCGCGAATGCAAGAAGCGCAGCATCTGCTTCCAGGGCTTTGCCTCGCTGGCGGAGGGCCGATTGACGGGCAAATACTCGTCTCTCAACGAGCCCCGGCGGACCTTGCGCTTCAGCAGTTACCCGATGCATATGCTCGAGCCCACCATCAATGTGCTGAAGAGCATTGCAGCGGAGCGTCGCGTGCCTGTTCCCGCGGTGGCGCTGAACTACTCGATTAACAAGGGCGTTGTGCCTCTGGTCGGAGTACGCACCGTCGAACAGGCGGAGCAGAACATGCAGGCGCTGGGCTGGCGGTTGACCGAAGACGAGATCCACCGCATTGAGAAATTCAGCATTCAGGGCAACACGTCTTCATTGATGCAGCATGGGTGAAGGATGCAGATGGGGAGCTCTTGAGTGTAAATGTAGAACAGAATGGATCAGTGGATTGTTGCCTGCAGCTGACGGCAGCAGTCCCACGCGAAAGATGCAAGTGGGGCGAGATCAGATCCCCCGCCATGACCGCAACCATCGACGCCCGTCCGGCCACTCCTCTGCTTCACAACTCACAATTCCCATAACACACCCTCACCCTCACAATGGAACGCTCCAAAAAGCCCTCAGCCATCGGCGTGGGAGCTTCCCTCCCCCAGCCGACCGTCTCCGCCAAGCATGGCATCATCGAAGCCAGCTTGCCCTCCGGCGAGTCCGTTGCTGTTTACCTGTATGGCGCCACGGTCACCTCGTGGAAGGCGAATGGCCAGGAACAGCTGTTTCTGAGTCAGAAGACTCATCTGGATGGCTCCAAGCCTATCCGCGGTGGCATTCCGCTCGTGTTCCCGGTATGATTTGGCCACTTGACCCTGCCAACTTGTGTAGATGGACGGAAGCTCACAGGAAGCTCTTTGGTCGACAGGTCTTCGGTCCCCCGCCCCAAAACCACGTCACCTCGCCCTTGCCCCAGCATGGCTTCGCTCGCAACTCGACCTGGGAGTTCCTCGGCAAGTCTTCGTCAGAGGCAGGCAAGGGCGATCTCGCCGTCAAGCTGGATTTCGGCCTGTCACATACCATGTTGAGCGAGGAGTTCCGGAAGGCATGGCCGTATGAGTTTGGCCTGGTATACAGCGTCACTCTGACCAAGGGTGCGCTGCGGACATCGTTGCAGGTCACCAATGAAGGCAAGGAGAACTTTGAGTTCCAGGTTCTGATGCACACGTACTTGAGCGTCGAGGTAGGGTTCTTTGTTACTGCTTGTCTTTCCAACATGGGCTTCTTCTAATTTAACCCCCACAGGACATCTCCAACATTCGGGTCAAGAACCTCGAGTCCAAGACGTACATCGACAAGACCCGCAACGCGACCTCCCACACCGAATCCTCTCCTGCGCTGGCCATCACCGGAGAAACCGACCGCGTGTACCAGGGCCTGGACCCGGCCACGCCCATCATCGTTTCCTCCGCTTCGGATGATCAGCCTCTGTTCTCGATCACCCGAGAAGCCCTCACCGATATCGTGGTCTGGAACCCCTGGATCGAGAAGGCCAAGGGCATGGCCGACTTTGGCCCCGATGAGGCATATCAGAACATGATCTGTGTTGAGGCTGGCTCGGTGTCTAGTTGGCAGACTCTCGAGGCTGGTGACTCTTGGGAGGGTGGCCAGAGTATCAAGTCTCGCCTGTGAACCACGCAGGCGAATGGTGGCGATGGGATCTCTGTGCCTGAGAGGTGTTGCTCTTATGCATGAAACTTTCTGACTTTTAAAGGCGCTTGATGTTACGATCTTTTCAAAATGAATAGACACTGGTTAAATGCAGCAGACTACAGTCGCATTTCTTCCACGAACATGGTACATCGTTGCTTCATTGATATAGGTGCGCATTAGGTCCCGCATGATCTTCGTAGAAGTATCTGCTCCTCGAGCTAAATATAAAAGGTATGAAAACAAAAGCTATGTACAATTACAAATCAACCACAATCATTCAAAAATGCTCACCTCATACGAGCATTTTCCATCCCAATGAGAAGCTTTCACATCATTTCACGTGGATATGATCCTCCCGACAAGGTGTCGGCGCCGGACTCGCAACATCAATAAACGATCGACGACCCTCCTTACCAGACTGAAACGCACTCAGTCTTTCTGCCGCCTCGAAGCTGTATTGTGGGCCCCGGTACTCGTGCCTGCCGCGGCAGATCCACCACAGTGCGGTGAGAGTCATCAATCCGACGGTGATCACGCTGGTATAGTTCATACTCTGTACGGTGACGGGCAACACAAACGGGAAGCAGAAGAACACCACCGTCACCATGATGTATATCAACGACGTGATGTTCACTGCCATGCCTAGTTTCTGTCCCATGTAGAAGGGTCCTGGAACCATGTTGCGGCGACCGGATAGAACGTGCGGGAAGATCGCGCCGAAGTAGGACATTGAGCTCAGCACGATGAACGAGGAGATGAGGGCTTGGAAGGCCGTCGTGCTGCCGACGTAGATGCATCCGAGACAGGTCACCATTGCGCTCATGGCCACTGTTGCGCGGACGGGACAGTTGAGGGTGGGGTGGACTTGGGCGAAGTAACTCGCGAAGGGGGTTGCGTTATCTCGGGCGAGACACCACCACATGCGTCCGCCGGTGACGAAGGTGCCGATCAGCGTTGGGAATGTAGCAAGGAATAGCACGGCAATGAGACCGATGGCGCCTGCATTGGAGCCGGTGGCTTGTCGGTAGATCTCGGCGGTTGGGAAGAAGCCGATGTTGCTGGCGTAGACGGCGTCCAGGTCCTGGATGGAGTAGAAAAGGGCGATCAGGTAGACGAAAGACGTAATGAAGGCTGTCAGCATTTGCAACATGATGCCTTGGGGTACCTTGCTCTCCGGTTTTGGCACTGTAGAGATGCGATTAGAAAACGGTGACAAGGAGACGGGGGCTCTACATGATACCTTCTTCGGAAAGATGGCTAATACAATCGGGCGTCCCGACTGCAAAGGCCGCGTTCAATAGTCCGGTCATGAAGCAGACCCCGTCCGACCAACCCCCGGTCCGATTGTGGTATTCCGTCCATACCTGGGCGTTGCTTGCATGTTTCTGGGGCATCACAGCCAGCACAATCACTGTGACCACGAGTCCGCACATGGATAACACGAGGGCGATCCGATTGATCAATGGGATGAAGCGGTTGCCGAAGCAGACAATCGCACAGCAGGACCAATTGACGATCTGGAAGACAATGAATACCTGCCAGGCGTGCCAGGGAATACTTGTATGTTTGAGCAGGTACATTGCCACCGCTTCGTTTCCCAGCATGGAACTCATCGACGCGGCCGATAAAAGCCATGCGCAGGCATTGAGATAGCCCGTGAAGAAGCCCGGTCCATGGCCTCCGCTTCGACTTAGGACTGATGACCAGTAGTAGACGCCACCTGCGGACGGCATGGAGGACGATAGTTCGGCCAACGATGCTGAGATGGCAGTGTAGAAAATGCTGACGAGGACAAGACCATAGATAACGGCCATAGGCCCCCCATTCTGAAGGGCGGCGACGATTGTTCCGCCCGTCGATGCCCAGGAGCTGGATGGGGTTAGGTTTGTAGATGGATCTGGCACGGTGAGGGGATGAAGCACCTACTTTGCAATGACAATGCCTAGACTCGTCAAACTCCAAAGCCCAAAATTGCGCTTCAATTCTTGCTTATGGCCCAGAGCAGCCTCCAAGCGCACTTCATCTATCTCGCCCTTCGTCTTGAGTGGTGTTACGCCATCCTGGGAGATGGTCTCGCGTACCGCCACAGCCATCTTGTTCGTGGAGAGGCAAAAGAATCCAGACAATGACAACGGGGAACCAGCAAGAATAAAACCAAGCGAGTCAAGCGGGGGAAAAAAGTCAGTACAGGGAACACTTCGCACAAACGAACTGATCCATTCGTTCTTTTCCCCCCCGAGTAGACGGACGAATCCGAGGCGCAACCCCAGGAATGCTTCATGCGAGGGTGCAACGCCCATATGGCGGCCACGTGTAGTGCACGAAATTTTACGAAAAAAACCGATGAGGAAAATCTACGAGAAAAAAGAAAATTCGAAGCCGAAATGACCAGTCTTCCATTCTTTCCGACAGGGGGAGGGACGCGCCCTGCTTCCCAGTGCCAATGGTGCAGCCGTGCAGCTGGTGTTGAACCCTGTCGGGGCTAACGCTCGCTATTGGCAATAGGCGGCTTGGCCGGCGCGGTGGCTGTCGCACTCAACGGACCTGTACGATGTACGAGGTGCGCGGTAGATCGAGTCGCAAGTTATTCTCCCCGCAAGCGCGAATCAGCAGCCCGACTCTCTAGTTACCTGCCCAAAGGGTCGTATCTGATGCATCGCAGCGCACGCAAGGGGCTCGGCCCACTGCAATAGTTGGCAGTAGGGCTGGTCGGGCCTTGATCGGGCAACGATCTGCTGGGTTCCTCTAGGATTGTGAATGATAGTACAGGGTATTTCCGAGGAAATAAAAAAGCGAGAGATGAGAGGGTGTCTGAGCAAATTGTCAGAATGGAGTACTGTAGACCATTGTTTCCCGGTTTGCTGTCCCGCTGTGCCACCTCCCTTCCAGCATTCTTGAACTCCTGTACGACATCCCATTGGCGAGATGCAGGCCCAGCGTACCGTCCTCGGGATAACCCCACATGGCCTCGCGTGAGGGATCGTCGTGCCCAAGATGTGTTCGCGTAAAAGAATGTAAAAGATCGATCAATGGATTGGACTTGATCTACTGCCGCCCAAACAGTATACTGGCCCTGATCGACACTACCCAGCCAACGGATTCACAAGATAGGCCGATTCGCATTTGAACCCCTGTTCTCGAAGCCCCACCATGCCAGACGAATAGGAAACTGGCCAACAAAGCATTAAGAGCCTTTTTGTTAGTACCATAATCTCACACTGGTTGCATGGGACGTCGTGAATTATTTGGCGGGGTAGGTAGATCTATGGAGAACGCTGTGGGATAAAGATATATATTCGATCAAAAGAATGAGACCGTACTTCCCCCGGCGAACGAAGCCTTGGACAATCAGCTCTAATCTCGGTTGTAATGTTCTCACCTCAGCAAGGACCACCGGAGTCTCCGAGTCATGGAATGACTGAGAGGAATTGTTTCGAGTACTGTAATAACGGGAATTTTTCATCAAGATCCTTTTACCAGGGTTTCCTCGGGAAGCGGACCTTGAGTGTTCAGATATGGAAGAGAGGCCAAACAAACTGGGTGAAATGAAGCATCTTGTAGCATCTTGTATTGGACTCTTCAACTGCTCTTTTAATATGGAACCATTCTCAATTAATGTTTTCGGAAAAGTTGCTTTAATGTGTCGTGGCTTCAGGTATCACTGCACAGAGGTGGAATAGTTGAAGGGTGCTTTCGGCTACGCTGAGGAGGTGCGCCCCTACCTCCTTAACGTACTTCCTGCTTAAGCAGCACACCCGCTCACACGGCGCACTCGAAAGCACATAGTAAATGAGAAATTTCGTAATATCATTTCTCAACAATCAAGCTATTTACTAACTCGAAGACTAGCATAAATCTGTTTATAGATATTTAATACCAATATGGCCTATGCTGCAATATATCTTCCACGCTTCTCTGGTATCACCTCACCATTTTCACAGGAGGATATGTGAGAGTGCTATGACGGATTACTATAAGTCAGCTTTGGATGACAAATTTTACTATATGAACGGTGTCAGCACCCTCGGGCTCTAGGGCAGCGGAGGAGTCAGGGCAGTATTCAATGGCTTGAAGAAGTCCCACAACGATGCCGTAGGATCTGTCAATTTCATGACCAAGTCTAAATTTCCCCACACTCATGGCGGACTCATAGCTGAGACGATAGCGTGAGTTTCAGTCAGCTGCTCTCCTTTCCCCTATATAGCTCGAAATCATTGGCTCTTCCACGTTCTTAGTGTATTTATGTGTGGACTTCGCCATTAGAGGGATCTTCCCCAGTTGCTGCTCCCATTCTTCCCGCAGAGCGTAGACAACATTCTTGTGCATACGTCCAGAAACATATAATATTATGTTGTGAAGCTAAGTTCTACCATCTATCTTTCGTCGCGTTTGCTCGTTATTGCTCGCCGGGCGATTTATTCGATTACAAATGCGCCGCCACGACGACGCGTGTTCACTCAACATCAAAAGTATAGATTGTACTCACATCTTGCTACAACACTGTCGAGTATATAACCATGTCGCTCATTCCTCCAATAACCCAAGAGACGAGAATATATCCAATATCTCCGTCGCACCAAACCAAACGTGCGTACTTAACAGATTGCAAGATATAGGCAGTGCCCTTGTCCCTCTATCTTTCCTCAACTTCCCTCGGAGCCCTGCGCGTGGCATAGCTGCTCGCAATAGTAGTTCATCTATGGAACGGTTAGTAGGAATCCAGCACGACCTACAGAAGAGGTTTCTGACCTCATTACCACCAATGTGCCACCCTGCAGAGCGACAATAGGTGCCATCCTAGAGATTATCAGCAACAGGAAACTTGTTGAATTTGAGGAGCCTAGGCAGTAACCGTACAAAAGTACAGTCGGGACAGTGATCCCATTGGTTGTTTCCAGTGTTGCGCTGTTTGTAATAGTCGCAAGCGCACTGGGTCGCCTTCTCTAGAATCTCGTACGACTTTTCCCAAGTGTACCCGCCGTGATAAGGTGAACCGCCAGACTGAGTGATTTTTCGGTTAGATACGCATACTGCGACGTCGTGCAGTTTTGCGAGGGCACTAGAAGTATGATTGAAAATAGTCAGTTGAATCCTGTGAACGGTAGAGTCGACGTGGATGAACATACCCCGCTGCAAGGACGAGGACGGAGGCAACGTAGCTGAGCTTCATTTTTGGGATTGCGTCTGAATATGAAGTATAAGATTCCAGTGATTTCTGACGGGAATGTTTCAAACGAGTAGGGCCAGCTTCGGGGAGGGTATTTATGGTGAAAGACAGGATGACTGATTATAGCTATTTCAATTCTTATCTCGCAAAGCCGTATATAGTCATTTTTTTTCTAATTTCGCAAGGACCGTATACAACTATTTCATTTCTTATCTCGCAAGGGCAGTATACAGCTATTTCATTTCTTATCTCGCAAGGGACCGTATACTCCGTATAGCGTCGGGCGGCTAACTTTGAGATTGGGAAGAATATGACTCGAATCGAAACCACGAGATAGGCAGGTCGTCGCGCGCTTCTCCGCCACGTGCGGACCGGCAGGGTCCACAATGAACTATACGAATGAACTTTATGGTATATAGCTATTGCCAGCTTTAGCCATCCGCGATCCTTTTGTCTCAGGTAATGTCGAACTAAGCTCTATCTGTATAGGCTAGTAAGGCGATGTCCAATGGGATTGCGATGATCATATTAATGGATGATAGTAGAAAAATCCAGAGGTTGCTGTCGAAAGCTTCTCTCTAGTGCTTACGGACGCTAGCACGCCCGTAAGACCGATATTCCGCGGTTACAGGTGTGCAAAAGTTTGAAACTATTTCCTTATTGCCAAGGCTTTTTTTGCCGGATGAAAATCTACTGAAAAGCTGGAATCAGACCACTACGAGATAACATTTTGTATACCACCTATTAGTCTCCATAATTGCCGGGCCAAGTGAGGCATCGTAGCCGGTAAATTAGCTAACATATAATGCGCCAAATGTAGCAAGGATGCGGTATAGACGGTGAGCAGTAGGCAGTGAGTAGGAAACAGTTTCAAACTTATGCACTGCTACTGTACAACGCTCGCGTTCATGAGTAATCCAGAATTTACATACAAAAACATAACTAACATTAACAGAAGTGGGAACTTGATGAATAAGCCCGTTCACAGTGGCAAGTTACCATTCCACCTATTTCGATAATTAACCTTTAAGTTCAGGGTCGGCAGATACTGTAAAGTCTGAGAACTAAACGAAAACGGGTAAATCTCGGGGAGTATCGCTGCGTTTCCACTGGGCACTCTTGGTACGGGCAAACTTCGGGTAATACGGCGGCATCATCTCTGATCATCTCTTATAGCACAATTTATGTCGCATGCGGCCAAATGTGAGACACTTTGACACTGATTGAAGATCTAATCCTAATAGAGGCCAAGTCCAAAATTTGGGATTGAAGATTATCGCCCCAAGAGATTCGTCCACAAGTGACGACATTATATCTAAGTTTTGCCAAGATAAATAACGTTACAAATCGAAACTACCCGACGAGGTTCTCATTTCACTATCTGACTTTCTGCACACTTACAGGTCTGATATTCGCGATCCTGCAAATCCATCATTCCAGCAAGAGGAGAAATCCATAACTCCACGTGCTGACAATGTGGGGAGTGTTACAGATCTTTCAGGAATCTTTACTCCAGTCCAATCATATACAGTCATGTTCCATATCGATTAATACCACTATTGGCCCACCCACTCCACCGCCCATATTTAGCTAGCTAGAAACCACGGTATTCATATGAATAATAATGATGAGACGAAGCAAATCTTAGTGAGTATTGCGCAGATTGCTGGCAAGATATAGAGATGGAGCACCTAGAGCACATCTCAGAAACTATGCCTAATAGAATTCAGGCAATCACTAACTCAAATGGATGGTATACACCATATTGGTATATGTAAACAGCGATATGTGTGATAGTCTATCAATATTAAGGAGGTTTCTGGCTGGCAGAATATTATATAATTAGGGGGGTGTGGGGTTAAAAATTCTGGAACATCACTGTAACCAGGTCTATAGAGCCGTTGGGAGTTTATCTCGAACTTTGACTGTAAGGGCCCTGGGTGCGTATCATAACCACACCAAGCAGGTAATCTTAGGTTTGTGAGATCCACTGGTATCATGTAGATCGTTGAGAGCAATAGAACTTCGAGAGGATTCAGCTTGCCCAACGTAACATAAATAATGGGAGTTGCCCCGTGGCAAGGGAATCCTGTTAGAGTAGCCATTGAGATCCTTCGCAACTTTTCCCACTCTTATATATCCACATAACAATGCTTTTCAACGCCATTGTCGGCTTTGCTTTGGCCACGAGTGCCATTGCGGCCCCGTTCACGGTGTCTGGCCTCAACAGTACCAAGTGGACACCGGACCATATCCTGCAGCCAGACGAAGTTATCTTGTATGGAGAGGGCCGAAGTAGGTATCCTACGAAAACGAGACTTTATAGAGAAATCTCGCTGACCTTGATTGTTGCCTTATAGTGGAAGTCGTCCATGAATCTGTTTACCACGCACTTATGGCGGAGCAGGGCCTCACTGGCAAGCCAGAAGCGCCTGAACTTCCCAGTACCCCATATGCGAGCCACAATGGATCCGACCTGAGTGCCAGAGCCAACTGCCATACGACTGCCGTCGTGACCGACCGCTCTGAAACCTTCATCGACTGGGATGTGCAGATGTCTCCTGTGGTTATCGGTGCTGGAACCGGTATCGATGTCTACGTCAGTTCCGGGTACAGCGTCAGCAACACTCTCGAGGTCACCGCTGGCTTGGATGTGACTGCTATCAAAGACAAGTTGGGTGCCTCACTCGGGATTGACTACTGGCGCACCTGGTCTACCCAGACCGTCGTCAACATCAAAGGAACGGTTGCAAATGGTTACTCTGGCGTGATGATCACCAAGCCCACCACGACACGCAGATATGGACGTATCCTCACGGGTTGTCTCGGCTCGCAGAAGCAAACCGGCACATTCGTGGCAGATAACCATGTCGATGGCTCTTATGCTGGAGTGAAATGGGTTCAGGGTGCTATCACTATGTGCATGAAGAAAGAGTACCCTCTCTCTCGCTGCGAAGGAGGTGGCTACTTTGTCTAGATGCCCTTGATCTGCACTGTTTTATCGCTTGGTTGGCGTGTTGCAATGCAGGTTCTGGAGTAGGCTACTTGGTGTTGTTTCTCAGACCATGGCCACGAATCTTGACCCTCTCTCTAAGAGCGTTGGAGGACCCTGTTAGATCAAAACGCGCGGTCTCATTTTTACATAGAAAGATGTATAGTCTTCCCTTTTTGACAATAACACTGTTGCTATGGATAATTGGTGCATTACTGTACGAAAGGGTCTTTCTCGCCAAGCGAGATATCATCAGACCGCGTGATAATCCACCGTTGAAAAATTTGTGTAGAGCCGTATATTGAGGACGGATTGAAGTCTTTCTCATCTTTCTATCAAATGAGTCAGAAAACCATACAGCAATGAGCAAATATATCGACTATACCCATTAAGAAATGTGGCGAAGGCAGTAGAAGACACAGCCACCAAACTGTCACAGCAACAGTCACGAAAGTAGAAGTCGCCGCAAAATAGTACACTCTGCAAGTCATCAAAAAAGTAGAGTTCATTCAAAAAAGATATCGAATTCGAGGAAAAGGAAAAGGAGAGGTAGAGAAAGAGATATAAGCATCTATGACGATATAATTATCTGTAAGGGAAGTCATTATTTGCCGATATATCTTGAAGAGAGGTTTGATTCTCGGTTGTGATCGAGCAGGACTCAGGTTTAGTCATAATTCTTCTGAGTACCGCCAAGTTGTAACCCGAGAGGAGCGGATTCCATAGCTATTGGTGCCATGGCGGCGGCCCATAGTAGCCAATTCTCTCTTTTAGGGGTGATAGGACCCACGGTCCGCAACACGCGATGGGCCACTGAGAGCCAAACGATTCTCGGGAACGAACAAGGAGCAAGTCATGCGCGGCACCAGAGACAAGTGGGGAAAAGGGGGCTAGAAACGGCGGCCAATCACTATCTCAAAGGATACCATACGCTATCTATAACACTCGCTATCAACTCCTCATGGAACAGACTCCTAGGAGTACCTCGAAGGGGATTGGCATACATTGAAGTCTGAAATAACAAAATCGTTAGGGGCAAGGTGAAATGAACTATAATCAGCTATTCCCAAGAACATCAGGAACATATATTAGAACTCCAAGTCGACAGCTAATAGGCCAGTGAGCAAAACTGGGCTAGGGGGGTCTGAGCACGCAAGCGGAAAATGGGAGGCCAAGACCCGATGCGTAGGTAGAGCGAGTAAGCACGCGACCGTCAAAGCATTAGGTTAGCGGAAGTAGAACCCAGCGCCATTGGCACCTATTTCAACGGACATTGTCTCGAAACCATCTCGAAGACCATCCCGATAAAGCGTGTCGCCCGCTCGGAAATCGCGTCAAAAGGTAAATAAGGCATGTAGATCCTACCTTGAAGATAACTGGCGACTCGTTGAGGCGTGATTGGAACTTGGGATCACCTCGCAGATCACCGTTCCGACAAGCCCAATCAAATACCTCACCACAGGTTGTGATCGCCCACAATGGAATTTGACCTGTCGCTCCAGAGTTTGCTGGAGGGGTGCGCTGATCATCGAGCTATCGCCATCATGCATACGGGGGGCACTTGGCATCGATCATGGCTGGGCGCTGAGTGAATCCCAAGCTGAAGGGACGATCGACTATGCCAATCACTCGTTACACCAAGCTCAAACTCGCTTATAAGATCCTATAATGGATACCTATCTTGCTCTGTCGCGTCGCACGGTGGACAACACAACAAAAGCAAATTTCAATGTGGCTTTCTGGTTTTGTACTTCCCGGGACTCGACCCGGTAGCCTGGGAGCAGCTCTGGTTGCAAAAGTAGGGACGAAGGGAGTCCGAAGATGCCCCAAGGACTTGAGTTCCGAGCTTTCCTTATGATCTACATTCCAAAAGGCAACTGTCATCGATCTGGTTTGATGGCTCCCGCTTCTCCCTTGCGTCGCAGTTTTCCATTACTCCTTGCTTGTCACTCGCCCCTCCGGCCCAACACTGACATTTCACAGGCCAAGACGCATGACGCTGCAGTCCTCACCCCATTGGTGCGTTGCCGACTCCTCCGATAGTATTGAGTTTATTCGCGCTCACCGACTGCTAAGAAGTGACTACTCTTCTTCAGCTGCGGCCCAGGCCAATTTGAGCACAAGCACCGGATAATCGATGACCTCGTCCGGCCATGGCCCTCTGAAGGGATGCTCTTCACTAGCCTCGAACTGTGAAATTTTGACTGTGTACACATATCTGGTCCTCTATGGCAGACTTTCATTTCCTCCCTAGAGTGTGAAAATAGCTCGACCTAGGGAGCGATTCTCGCTCCATCCGCCAGGATGGGGAACGTATCGCCCACTCCGCATCAGCTTCTTGTAGAAGCCGTGATTTTTTGGAGTATAGGTGTTATTATTTATGTCGGAAGAATGTATGGCTCTTCAGGAAATCTCTTCACTGAAAATATCACTGACAATTCACAAGGGCTGCGCGAATAATTGCAGGCGGAGGGATTAAACGTTTATTTTGTACGGCGCCGCCACTCCTTTTCGGCTCTTTAGGGCCTCATCAACTGACCATTGCTCCGGATAATTAGGGGATGATTATATTATGACAGCGACTTTTGTGAGCTCGAATCCCTGCGAAACAAGCCTTGTAGTATACAAGATGTATAATGTTGGACTAATTGACGCTCGCCCAACAGATGATATACACCACCCTGCTCGTTCTAATCCAGATATCCGCACGCTATGCCACGAATCTCATGGACCCTAAGGACTACGACGAGGTGCTATCTGACCCGAAGCAAGTCAGCGACCGCATCTATGGAAGCAAGATTGTTATTGGACTAGAGCAGTGCATGTTGGTTTCCACCTGGGGCGTCAAGACGTGCATGTTGATTTTCTACTGGAGGATCACGCAAAACCTTCGCTCCAATCTATATATCAAGATCCTCTGCGTCTACGTGGCGTTCGGATTCGTCGTTATCATGGTCACCTACTACGGGGTTTTTTGTCGACCGTTCGAACAGTACTGGGCCATGCCGGTGAAAGACATGCAGTGCGCGACCTACCAGCGCTACTCAATCACGCAAGCTGTATTCAATATTTCCTCAGACGCCATAATGTTCGCCGTTCCGATTCCACTCCTAATAAGAGCCCAACTCAAGGGGCGCAGGAAGGTCTTGCTTCTGGGCGTCATGAGTCTGGGTCTTTTCACCATTATCGCCGCTATCCTCAACAAATACTTCAATTTCGCCTCCCCGCTCACCACCACATACCAAATCTGGTACATTCGAGAGGCAAGCACTTCCATCTATGTCGCGAACTTGATGTGCTGGTGGCCACTGCTGCGCAAGCTGTTTGGTCTCAAGGCCTTTTCATACAACAGTAATCGTGGCCAACGAGCGCAAAATGATAACAACCACAACAAGGACAGCAATGTCTCCTCCGAAGGCTCACGTTCCCACCCGTCTTTTTCACGCCCGTGCCCATTGAAATCCATGCGACCGGGCTTTCGCAAAGCCGGTCAGGACGCCCATGCCGGCAGACATGGTAATACCCACCGCTCCAGCCAGGAGGCTATCACCCACGCCTCTAGCGATTATATGGATGAAATTTATCGTGTCGAGGCTGTTCCGCTGGAACGCTGGAATAACAAAGAGAATCGAGATATTGATCTTGAGGATCAAAGGCCGACCAGCCAGGAATCTATGACGGCGCTTGACACCAAACAGTCGAAAGCATCGTCTCGGCAGGACCACATCCACGAGGTGACATGATCACTGAACAATACTTTGTCGCTAAACGTAGTCGTGGATGAGTTGGGCGTTTATCAAGTTTTGTTCCGGGCGTTCTTCTTACCGTTGTTGCTTAGCTCGTGGCCCCTATTCTTTATACCCCGCCTGGGTACACTTTGTATTTGTCCCCAAGATTACTTTACGGATGGAATGGAAGCAAGAGGTTTTCCCCGCCTTCAGCGCATTCTTAACTGCCACTATCGTATCCATGCTGGTTTATTTTGATCGAATCAACACAATCATCGGCAGAAATCATAGTAACCATGGTTCGACACTCGGAAAACAAGAGAAACGGGGTTTTAGGCATGCTATTCATGGTTTGATGTTTCTCCTAGTCTTAGTAGAGTGGCGCCGATGGTCAAGGGGTTACGATGCCATCCTCCCATGTTTCATATGAGTTCAGATGGCGGCCCGGGTTCGAATCCCGGTCGGCGCACTTATCACTTATCTTCTTCTTTTTGCCTTTTTTTCTCGTCACTAAACTTCCAGGTCTCTGAAACAGCTAGACTTAATTAATTATACAATGATGGTATTATGATTATTCCGGAGCACGACCGAGTCCTTTCGGAGTTACCTGCGGTTAAGTCGGCACTCCGCCGCGAAGTGTGGGGGGCGCGATGGTGTCAGAGCCCGGGCTTTTTTTGCCTTCGCTTTGTTTCTGTTCTGCCGCTCAACTTCCACGTAAATGTCGCTATTGCCTGACCCCTATATGAGGCCTGCCAAGTCGACTAGCCCCTGCTGCTGAATGAGCGCAGATCAACGGCAACCAGCAACCATCCACAAAGCCGCCGCACTGCACCCGGTCGCGTGCCCTCCGGTCCTTGGCTGATGGGGTCCTCTCCACACGAACGTGCGGGCCAACCCCAACCAGAAGAAACAGACGACATTCAACTACCTTCCCAAGACGTCCTCAACAGTCGTCCCAATACAGCGTTTTTCGTTGAAAGCGACGAGGAGAGTGTAAACACGGCCATATTTAATGGAAACTCTCCACAGAAAACGCTCGGCCCTGCGGCGTTTCTCACAAGTCACCGTCACCTCCCACCAGCGGATGAAGATGATAGTGACGATGAACAGGACCATGACCATGATGGTGTACTCGGTACACAGGAGTCCCAAAAAGAGAAGCCGGTAACATGGAGCTCGCTGCCGAAAAAAGGGCAGCTGGCGCTTTTGACCATGGCCCGGTTATCGGAGCCTCTCACCCAAACCTCATTGCAAGCCTACATGTTCTATCAGCTCAAATCGTTTGATCCGTCATTGCCCAATTCGACCATATCGGCACAGGCAGGTATTATGCAAGGTAGTTTTACTGCTGCGCAGTTCCTGACTGCGGTCTGGTGGGGTCGGCTGGCTGATGCTGACTGGATGGGCCGCAAGAGAGTTCTTTTGATCGGCCTGCTGGGGACTTGTATCTCTTGTTTAGGGTTTGGGTTCTCTCGGTCCTTTGCTACTGCTGTTGTATTTCGGACAATCGGGGGAGTGCTCAATAGCAACGTCGGTGTGATGAGAACCCTGATAGCGGAGATCATTGTGGAGAAGAAGTATGCCACCCCTGCCTGCACTAGTAGTGATACTGAAGCTAAGACAAGCCTAGGTACCAATCACGGGCCTTCTTACTATTGCCCATGTGCTTTAACATCGGTGTCATCATCGGTCCAATCCTGGGAGGTTCCCTGGCCGATCCTGTGCATAGCTTCCCCCAGCTCTTTGGCCCTGGCTCCGTCTTCGGAGGCAAAGATGGCGTCTGGTGGATGCAGCGGTGGCCCTATGCGCTGCCGAATGTGTTGAGCGCGATCTTCATCTTCATGTCGTTACTAGCCGTCTTTCTTGGGCTCGACGAAGTAAGTACTCACAGCATACATGCACCAGGGAACACCGCTCTAACAATAGACTTAGACCCATGAAGTTGCCCGTTATCGTGGTGACTGGGGCCGGAAACTGGGAAAGCGGATCGTGCGAGCCTTCACCCGCCGGCCTCCACACTATCGGCCTCTTCGCTCTGAAGATAACGACTCGGTGTATCTCGACGATAGTGTGGGGGGCTGGTCTGTTCCATCGAGCCCAACCCGCTCACGCACGCATCCTCGGCCTCGCCTCCATAAACGACCTGGTTTCTGGCAAATATGGAATAAAAACATTCTTCTCACATTACTGGCGCATTTTCTGTTGGCGTTCCACACCAGTGCCTTCAACGCCATGACTTTTGTGTTCTTACCCACCCCTCGTGCCCCTGAAGGCTCCCGCGACGGCTTCTTCCACTTCGGTGGAGGCTTGGGTTTGCCTTCTGCGCGTGTCGGTCTGGCCACGGCAATCATTGGTTTCATCGGTCTTCCCCTACAGATTTTTCTTTACCCCCGCATCCAGTCCAAACTGGGTACACTTACCTCGTTCCGCATGTTCCTCCCCTTCTCATCGATCTCCTACATCCTCATGCCATTTCTTGTCGTTCTGCCACGTTTAGTATGGGTTGTGTGGCCTGCTTTCACGCTCGTTGTGTCTTTACAGGTTATCTCCCGCACCTTTGTGCTCCCTGCCGCCATCATCCTCGTTAACAATTGCGTCTCCGATCCGTCTATCCTGGGTACTGTCCATGGTGTGGCACAGAGTATCGCCAGTGCCGCTCGCACTTTGGGCCCCTTCCTTGGAGGCTGGGGTCTCGGTGTCGGTCTCGCACACAACATGGTTGGAGCTGTATGGTGGGCTTTAGCTATTGAGGCTTTCCTTGGGTGGTTTGTGCTATGGACTATCCACGAGGGTAAGGGTATAGAGCGACCAAAGAATGAGATTGATGAGGAGGACGACTGAGAGATGGACATTTGAACGACTGCTTTGTACATACATCATTGTAGGTACGCACCTTATAGAGCTTCTAGATTTTTCATCTCATTTTTCATCTCATCTATTTTCAGCTAAGAATATCACCCCTATGAATCATCGATCAAGGCACAAAAATGAATCCGCGAAAGTATATCTTACTGAACCAAAACATTGAGCAAGAATAGGTATCCCTTTGTGCCTATTTCTTTGAGCTTACGTCGAAACTACTGTCTATAACTTGTTCAGACGTATTTCTGAGGAGGTTCGTTATTTGCAATGCTGGGCATACTGGGGACATAATAAGCTATAACTGTTAGTACAGGTCGCGTGGAATACTTCTCCATAAATTAGTACACAGACCAGGCCATGCGCTAACGCAAGTATGGTTTGTACTACTACAGGGGATAGAACGTTCCTTGAATTACTCCCTGCGAAAAGTTTCGTCGTTATTTTGTGAAAAATTATCTTTCTTGCAAGGCTTTAAAAGTATGGTATATTTCATATAGACTTGAGCTAAAGATCGTTAAGCGTCACACGAAATAATCACAAAATGGTATCATTATCTTCGCTGAGTCCCCCAGTTTGCATCAAGAGGTGACGAAACTATGGCTCAGCCTTGATCTGACTCACTCGTCGGCCCTGATTCTCCTTCCGCTCCTCTTGCAACGCCTGGGCAAATTTGCTTCTTTCGCGTATCTGAGGCCCCTTCCAATAGAAAACATAAATAGGAACCACGACAAGACATGAAAGGCATGCCAGAACAGTGCTGGCATACTCAACGTGCCACTTATCTCCGATGTTATTGTACATCGGCGTTGCGTACATGGCCGATATACCAGCAAGGAGATCTCGGGCGAAGGCGTTGCCACCACACTGCGGAGTATGGGCCGTAGGAGGCAATCATGTAGTCGACCGAAGATAGATAGATCGCGTAGTTGGCAATACCAACCATGGTAGAAAACACCATGGACCCAATCCAATGCACTCCGTACTTTTGTCCCAGAGACGTCCACGCAAACCCAAACAAGCCAATCGGTTCAAACGGTGCAAGGAATAGGAGCCACTTCAGGCGGCGCTCAGGTGGAAGAGCGTCATCACCCTTGGCTTCGCGGATAGCACCGTCCCGTAAGAACCAGGGGATATAAGAAAGATAGGCGAGGAAGTAGGCAAGATTGATCGGAATAATGGCCCACGCCTGTCCGAGCACACCAAAACCCCACCCCTGCTCGTAGACGAGCGAGAAACTCTCAAGGAAGGTGAAGATAAGTGCGTCGGAGAATCCGGATAGGAGAGACAGGCAGAGTACGATGGGCTCGCGGAGAAGCATGTGGAAAGGCCGAATCCAAATCATACCGGCTTCTTTGAGTGAGACACGGGGCTTCTTCAGTTCGTTGGGCCCATACACATTCGGGTCTTCTCCGGTTTCACGCCGTCTCTTAGCTTCCCGGTCGATGAGAATTGTCGAACGACTCTCAGGCATAAAGAAGATGATTGCTTGTACAACACCTCCAAAGATGAGTTGAATCCAGAAGAACCACTGCCATCCGAGGTCTAACGATCATACCGGTATTAGGAATCTTCCATGTAAGAGAACAGGGTTATTTCTTACATCTTTCGATTGGTCCTCCAATAACTCCACCAATGCTGGTACCAATGCAGGAGGACAGAACGATGAAGGCCAAGGGGAACTGTTGTGTCTCCCGCTCGTAGATGTCTGCAATAAGACCGAGAGTCACACTACCACCAGCGGTAGAAATTCCACCCTAGATTGTATGAGCTCAAGAATTAATCAAGAATCTGCACCCGGAGGACTTACCAAGCCGCGCGCGACAACGATAGTACCCCAGTTAGGAGCCAAGGCTGCTGGAATTTGCCAGATATTGATCAGGAACATGGAAAGCTGGAGGATTGGCCAACGGCCAAACTCCTCACTCCAAGGCGCCCAAAGCTCACATCCAATAGAATAGGTAACAAGATAGATCATTTGTCCGGTGCGGGCTTCTTGTTCACCAATGCCGAAGGCCGACGAGAGTGGCTTGACTGCATTTGGGTAAACAGAAGTATTGAAGTTCATGGATACTTGAACACATGCAACGGCGGCGAGGTAAGTCCATTTCTTCCATCGTGGCCAACAATATCCTAGCTTATCATAGCAATCGTGCTCTTTCAGTTCACGCTTTTCTATCGAGGGAACCATGTCTTTCTCAGTACCTGAATCAAGCACGCCGTTGCTGGGCCGGTCCCCTGCACCACTCACAGAAGTCGACCGGCTTGAGCCGCGGACTACTGGTGGGGCTGAGTCGGCCATGATAAAGGCAGAGGCCAGATCAGTATTGATTCAATTAAAAGTTCGGAAAGACCATTCCCGGTATATTTCTTAGGTATTTTGACACGGGAAAAGTTCACCCCAGCATTCAAACCCATCGTCATTGCTCTCAAACCTGATTTCCAACAGTGTGTGCGCACATAAAAGTGGGTGCTTAAAGTGGATTCTTGAGGTGGATGCTAGCTTTCGAGTTGCTGAGTCGTGCATCGTGCATCTATGAACGAAGGTGCACACTTGGGTTTTGCTCATCCAAGAATATTAACTAGACACCGCACAGATGGGATCAGATTTCAATGTTGTTTAAACACTTCTATCAGATCAGAATCCAACAGCGACCGAACAAACCCCTTCATGAAAAGAGAAATCAAAGACTGAAAATTTTGATGGTGAGATATGGTCGATCCTCTGATCGTCACCGAGGGTCCCTCCGACCATTTCTTGGTGGCTCCACTATAAAGTGGACTGCCCGAGCAGCGGCCCTGAATCTGACGTCAATTGGAATAACGCCGGCTAGACTTTTCACCTCGGAAATCGGCTGATAGAAAACTACGGGTCAATTATTGGAGAGAGATGCACAAAACTATCCGACCAACCGATTGGACGAACCATGTAAAATAAACCACAATGGGCGGTGTTCGGAAGTGGTAGGTCTGCTCGAACGGTGTGTAATCTATGTTTTGGGTAGAAGATTTCGCTTCATTAAAATTCATTTTACCTCATATGGCAGTCCTTCATTCATAAAAGGCCACTTTTGTTATAGAATATCTCTTCCTCTCCAAAGCGGGACATAGACAACCCACTCAGCCTTTGCTACCCAAGGCTCTTCTATCAAATACAGTGATCGACCCTTCAAACTAAGTGGGCTACCGTGCGTCATTGAGCATTGTGATCATGTATGAATTGAGGGCGCGACGAAGTCCTTCATGGCACGTGTGACATCCCCTTCATGAGCCCTGAGAAGTTCTGTTGCTTTATTCTTATGCAAGTCCAGCTGGTCGGCCTATTAAACAAAAAGGTCAGATCAGATTTGACAACATAGCAATAGTAATAATCAAGCATTATTAGTATTCATACCAGAAGTGTGACATCAGCTGCAAGTATTTTAACGGCCTTCTTCTTCACCTCTGCCTCTTTCTTCTTCGCCTCGGCCACCTTCCTTTTTCCAGTGTCCTGGCCTGAAGCAACCTCTAACCGGCTCATAGCCTTACTCAAAGCTTCCTGGTCTGCGCTGGATGGTCCCTTAGAGGAAGGCGCATCACCTGCTAATCCATTCGTATTCAGCGAGGAGAGGGCGGCAGCGGCCATTCGGTCTTCGGCGTTGGCGGGAAGCGGCTGGTCCACTGCATGTGGATCAGCACTAGCGGAGGGGATGGGGTCCGACATGATAATCAATCGGGTTGATCAATGGTGAGAGGTTCACTGGGCCTCTACGGTGTTGTCGTGGAGGAACAACGTCACTGATAAGCACCTGCCCCGCGATAAGACTTACATAAGGTATCTGACACCTGAAACTTCAGGCTACAATATGAGTCATCCCGATGTCCGCGAATAAGCGGCCGTGAGCTGAGCTTAATTCATTTGCTGGCTTTTTGATTTTGATGTGCATTTTTTCAATTCTTTGTTGGACTCAAGATCAAGTGACCGATACTCCAGCTCTGCAATCTCGATACTTGTCCACCTCATTGGACAGGACATCCATCAGACTCTTAATTTACCCTAGCGCCATCTCCCCCTTATCGTCCCACCATCCCGCACGCGGGGGCCAATCCACCAGCCATGGCCGACTGGAGTCCAAGCTGTACGTGCCATGTTTCCACAGAAGTGGTCTCCGCACGCGATTGATTCAGGCTAATCGCTCATTGAACCCTTTAGCGTGGACAACCAAGCCCATCAAGCAGGATGTGGTCTACGAAGATGCCAAGGGCGTGAAAGCGGCTCTTGACGCGCTGCAAAAGCTTCCCCCGTTGGTGACGACACAGGAGGTATATTAATTCAGAACTAAGCAAACCATCGAATGCTCCCCAAATTCTAACAGACTCTCAGATCAACAATCTCAAGAACAGCCTAAGGAATGTCGCTCTGGGCAAAGCTTTTGTCCTGCAAGGTGGTACGTGTCGTGTCACCCGTGCTTCTTATTTTGGTTATTTTAACTGGGACTGACTTCGATCAACAGGCGACTGTGCGGAGTTGTTTGACTACTGTAACCAAGAGATGATTGAGGCCAAGGTCAAGCTACTACTGCAGATGAGCTTGATTCTTATCTGGGGTATGAAACCTGATACTTCCCCCATGGAGAATGCACGAATTGACCTTCGGGTATAGGAGCCAACAAGCCCGTCATCCGCATAGCACGCATTGCTGGACAGTTTGCCAAGTATGTTCTAAAAGACCCTATTAGCTCCACTCCAGTGGAACTAACATTCGCTCCCAGGCCGCGATCCAGCCCAACAGAACTCGTCAATGGAGTTGAGATGCCTTCCTTCCGTGGAGACAACATCAACGGCTTCGCTGCCGATGCCGAGTCCCGAAAGCCAGACCCGTCACGTCTGGTCTCGGCTTACTTCCACTCAGCCGCAACCCTCAATTACATGCGAGCATCCCTCTCCTCCGGCCTTGCAGACTTGCATTCCCCTCTAGACTGGGGTCTTGGCCACGTTATCGCGCCCTCGATCAAGGAGCAGTACTCAAGGACTGTCAATGCCGTCAAGGATGCATTGCGTTTCATGCACACAGTCGGTATCGATAAGGACCGTGGCGTTGAGACAGCAGATATCTACACCAGCCACGAGGGTCTCTCACTAGAGTACGAGCAAAGTCTGACGCGCTTGCTGAAGCACCCGCTCCAGCGTAACTCGAGTACAACTGCCCAGCCGACGTCTGGATTCTACGCTACCTCTGCACACTTCCTCTGGATTGGTGACCGCACGAGGCAGCTTGACGGTGCACATGTCGAGTTCTTCCGCGGCATTGCCAACCCCATTGGCATCAAGATCGGGCCTACCATGGCCGCAGATGAGCTCGTGCGCCTGTTGGATGTCGTCAACCCCAACAAGGAAATCGGCAAGGTTATATTGATCTCACGCTACGGCACTGCGAAGATCGCTCAGTTCCTGCCCGGCCATATCGCCGCCGTGCAGGCTTCCGGCCATATCCCCGTGTGGCAGTGCGACCCCATGCACGGCAACACACAAGCCACCCCGTCGGGCGTGAAGACGCGTCACTTCACTGATATCCTGTCAGAGCTGAAACAGGCACTGGAAATCCACCGCCAGGCTGGCTCTTTCCTGGGGGGTATGCACCTTGAGTTGACTGGGGAGGCTGTGACGGAGTGTGTCGGTGGGGCAGCGGGTCTGACCGAGGATGGGCTTGGAGAGCGGTACACTACCTTCTGTGACCCGCGCCTCAATGAAAAGCAAGCTCTTGAGCTTGCGTTCCTCGTGGCCGGATTCTACCGTAACGAGTCAGAGGAATGAGACGTACAAGATGGCAAGAAAAATGAGCTGAATTTTGGGTGATCTGTGGCAACTTAAAATGATTTCGGATCTGAATGATAAATTATGGGTTATTCATAAATATACTACACTAACGATAGGAAGATGGTTCAAAGCAAGAGACGTGCATTCAACAATGTATACAACAGACCCCGAAATTCTAAAGCAAACCCGGGTATGAAGAGACCCCACCATGCCGAAAGAAAACTCCATCAAAGTCCCCCCATATGTACAGTAGACAAGGACAGATGTATTAAACAAAAGGTATCACAAAGAATCAGACAAAAACAAGATCACCTTCCAAGCGGACTTTGGACAGACGGTTTATAGAAATGACTCTTGCGTCGCGCAGCTTCCATACGAGCCCGCTGTTGACGTCTATACTCTACTTCATCGTCTTCTTCAAAATTGAATATAGGCTTGTCTGACCCCTCAAATAGGCCGCGATTGCTCTGCTTAGGTGGGCAGGACTTCTGGACCAACTGGGCGCGGTGGGAGTGGAAGTAAGGAGTAGCGGGTGACATGCCAATGGCATCGAGGTTGGCAAAGTTGTAGCCCGGAGTTGCAGGAACGTGATAACGATCAGTCTGCTGAGTAGGGGTTGATGGCGCTTCCGCCTGGTAAGTCGGAGGGGTGATCTTTCGGAATCCCTCCATGGCCCCCCAATCAGCACCGCAGCGGCGTCCGCTGGCGGAGGGAGTGGAGTGCTCAGCAATGGGCACGAGAGTGCCATTAACATTGCTCAAGGCGCGGGGCTCCATGCTCTTCCGGCGCTTAGCGCCACCGCGAGGAATGATGGAGCTGTCAACTATATAAGGTGACTCGTCAAGCCACTTGTTATCCCTCTCGCAGCTGTAGCATATGTTAGTCTTATTAATTGTAGAATTACCAGATATAAACTTACTCAAGGACCCAACCAACACCGACCAGTTTCACTAAGCCGCCTGCATGTTTGACCTTTTCCAAAGTACGGAGACCGCCATCCTTGTACACGACGTGGGTTATTCCCACCTTTGATTCTTTGGGATCCACGCCATTTATAGGAGACATGCTCGACTGAGGGTTCCATGACCATGTTTTGACACAACGAGCGCCCATTTGCTGCAAGAGCTCAACAAAAATTCCTGAAGCATCTTCACCTTCAGTAGTATGAACATCCACATGCACGACAGCACCACGAAGCGCCTGCTGGTCGGCACCGCTCCTTCGGCGAGGAGTCTTCCCAGGGCTCGAAGCTAGAGCCGGTGACCGAGGTACTTGAATGTCGGGGAGTTTCCCAGTGGAACGTCTGGGGGTACTGCAACGACGCTTCGGGTTCGGGCTAGGGCTCCTCGAAGGTCGCGGGGCCTTGTGCGGAGAAAAAGTGGGGACACTCTCATTCGCAAACAGGAAGACAGGCTTGCGCATACGGGGGGATGAGCGGGTTTGAGACCTGCTTTCAAGTGACAAACCTCGCTTGCGAGGAAGCTTCAGAGGAGAAACTTCGCCCTCGCCTTTCAGTGGTACCTTAGACACAGTGTGGACAGTCCGGAGGTGATCAATTCTCCTCTGAATGGGAGTGGCAGGTAAAATGAAAGGAGAGTCGCAGTTTTCTTTATCATCATCGCCAGACGGTAGATCTGGGCCTTGATCATGTTCTTCACTCGATTCAGGAGCCGACACAACCTCATGGGGTTGCACTTGCTCAGAACCAAGTTCCTCTGGGTCTGAGAGTTCAGGGTCTTCAAAGATGTCGGTGCGAATTGGCGAGTATGTCATGGAGTGCTCTTCCTCGACTACCGCGGATTCTGGGGTATGAGAAGACAGAGGGGTCATGCAAGCGCCATCGCTGTTCGCCTGAAGAGGCAATTCTTCAAACAGCGGCGGTGTGTTTGCGAGTGGAGTGCGGGAAAGGTCAGGGTAAGAGACATTGTCCTGTGTCGGTGTCGAGCTTTCCACGGCCTTCTCCAAGGGGCCAACAAGCGAAAAAATGCCACGTCGACGTGGTTTGGCCGGCCTAGCTTGAGAGGGTGTATTGGTCTCCCAACTGTCAAACTTCCGGGCCAAAGGCGTAAAGCCAAGATCGACATTGACAAGGGACTTTCGCTTTCCAGAGAAGCTTGGGGTATCGCAGATGGCATGGCTGCTGGGTGAAGGAATCTCAGACTGGGTAGTTTCCAAAAAGCTATCTTCCTCAGCAGCCACGCGTGGGTCGACATTAATGTCGAACAACCAATCCTTCGATTTGGCGCCGTCCTGTTCATGTGAGGATACGAAGGTCAATTCACGAGCGGGAGGGGTAGGAGCCAATGGGGGAATGTGTTGAATTGACGGCTGGGGACTGTCAATTTCTTCAGCCTGGTTGAGCTCATGGGGCGATCCCAGTTGATATGAAATATTGAAGGTTCCGTATGGTACGAGAGCAGGTCCGTTATCTTCCCCCTCATCTCCTTCGCTCTCAGCCTCCTCTTCGTCTGAATGATGAGCGAAACCGGTATCCTCGTATCCATGGTGTTCAGATTCGGCAACCTTGGGTGCAGGTGTAGGTGACAGCACTTCCTCGAGATCAGCTAGACCAAGAGTGGGTTCCGATGGCGAAGGAGAGCACTTTTCGGAATCGTCATGCACGGGATCCATGCGTTCCAACTCTGTAAAGTTGACTTGATCCTCAGGGTTCTCGAAGACTCCCGATGTGGTATATGGTTCGGGAGTCTCTTCCTCATCCACATCCGTTTCTTCCACGGCTTCAACATCGTCCAAAATCAGATCGTGTTCCACTTGTTCTGGGAGGGTTTGGAAAGGCTCCTGGAGTTCTTCCATAGTATTGAAGCAAATTGTCCCAAAATCTTCGGGCTCGTCGCGGATTTCTTCTTGCAGCTCTTGGATTTGCTCGTCGATAGCAGCATCGTCCCAATTACGCTCACAAGTCGCCGTTTCGTTAAAGACATCTTCATCTGGTTCAAGTTCCAAGAGCTCTTCGGTTGCAGGGGTCTCTTGAGGCGAAGGCAATGTAGAGGAACTCCTAGCATAACACTGCAGTTCAATACCGAAGATATCACGAGCCACTTCCTCGACCATCTCGATATCTTTATCAACGGTCATTTCGTCATTCTCGAAGCTCATGGCGGGAGACATGCGTGGCTTGGTATCAGAGAGATGGGGCATTATCGTGGTGTTTTCGCCGCCTGACGTAGAGGCCACCGGATCTCTGGAGGAGAGAAACGAGCTTTTGAAAGGAGATGCAATTCTCTTCGCTGGACTTTGGATAAAAGAGGTCTTGGCAGAGAACGGGGTCGAAGACTTCGCTGGTGACTGAGAGAATGAAGCACCCAGATGGGCTTTCTTGGGCGACATCTTAAGCGGCGAAGATGGACCTTGGCCGAGGTTCGGCACGGAAGCCGACTTGGCATCTTCTCGGAAGAAAAGACCACGGTTGGGTGTATCCCTAAGGGAAAAGTGGAATGGGGATGGCTCGGGTCGTCTGGCGGGGCTTGATATTAAAACCGAGCCGCTGAAGTCCACCGACTTGCCAGGCGGCAATGCCAAGTGACCATTGTCGACAACAGTGTTGCAGCTGCGGTTGGGCGTGAAGTTGATTTTCCTCACGGGGGAGCTCAGGCCAGTAGCTGATGATCCGTGTTTAGGGGTGAGTGGTTTCGGTTCGCCGTTCTCATCGATTAGGCTGGACGCTTTCTTGGGGGTGAAGTTGATCTTGCGGACAGGAGAGCTGAGCCCAGTGTTTTCCAGACCATGTTTCACTGGCGAATGAATGACCAACTTCACGGGGCTCTTGAAATCGTCCTTAGCTGCGCTCAATTCATCTTCTTCGCCATCGGAGCTAGCATATGCTGCTAGTGATTTGGCCACCTGCTTGTCCTTCTTGGGCGACAGTGGCTTGACAACGTCCTTGTTGGCTGCTGCGGGCTTTCGTCCACGGCCGGCTGTGGCCGCAGCATTGCGCATTGGCGTCGCTCCCAGGCCAGCCTTGCCAACACCCTTTGTAGGAGCCTTCCTACGCCCAGTGACAGGAGCAGTCAGTTCTTCTTCCTGCTCTTCAGATTCTGAGTCAGACGGCTCTTGGAAAGTCACGGTTTTCTTCTTGGCAGGACCGCGCAGGATATTCGATCGTATATTCATAGAGTTGGTGGCAATACGGATATGCTTGGCAATAGCGTTTTCAGGGACTGGCTCAGGGTCAGCTACCTTTCGAGTGGTTTTCCGAGTGGTAGCCGTTGTCTTCGACGCGGTGGCTCCCTTTGGTCGCCCTCGAGGCTTGGGAGCTGTCTCGGGTTTTGAAGCTGTGGCCGTCTCTGATAATGTATTCTTCCTCGGTCGACCAACGCGTTTCTTCACTGGCTCTGTCTTGGCAACCCCATCTTCGACTTCATCGCTATCGGCGATTGCGTTTTGGGGAGTTGGCGCCAGCGTCGCCTTCTTGGCGCGGGCTGTTGAGGATTTGGTTTCGACGCGGGCAGCCGGCCGTCCACGGGGTCGCACAGGCTTCTCGTCATGCTCCTTCATCATCATCCCAAGCTCGTCCTCGGTATCGTCTGAGTCCATTTCGACAATCGGCGCCGTGTTTTTCCTGGCGGTAGTCGATTTTGTGACGCCTCTCTTCGTCGACTCTGCCACAACCTTGGCTTTGGAGCTTGCAGTGGTCTTGGTCACCGTCGATCGAGGTACCGTGCGGGTCCCCCGCTTGACAGGGGATGGTGGGAGGACAGCTGCGCGTGCCATGGCGGCAAGGGAAAAGCTTGTGTCGTGATTATTATTGTTGCGCGTATTGATGTCGATGTTGTCGTATGTCGTTTTAACGTTGTCGGTAATGTGATGCACTCATGACGGGTCGATCGCGTCGGGGCGGTGTCTCGGTCGCGGTTGCCCAATGTTGTCGGAAACGCACTAGATTGCAGGTCAAAATAGTCGGGTGGAGTGTGTTTGGGCAAACCTTGGGGGCCCGCACGGTTTCCATGGTAACTACCACGTGACGTGCTATGATCTGCACCGGGCTCACAACACAACAATAGTTCCAACTGGGCAGCGGTTTACTCGTGGGTCAATCGTACCTAACCAAGTCTTTGACTTTGTGGAATCGAGAGCTTATTCATGACTTTTGGGCTCAGGCAGGTTGCATAAAGTGTCTCGTCTTAGTGTAACTTATCTAGCGCAATAGACATATATCGAGGAAGGTCAAGCTGATGGAAAATCCGCAGTCAATGATAGATGGGATTCAAACAATTGAATGATCATCCCGGGTCCCACCTATTTCCCCTCTCACTCGTCTTCAGCTAGTAAGGTTACTACCTACTTAAATATGCCGCTGCCGTCGCTCATGACAGACACCCACATTGATAGGGTAGGGTAATGGGATACGATCGACACCTAAGCCTTCATCTCACTCGTCAAGTCTGCCGAGCTAATTCTAGTTTACATATCTCGGGTTAAATGGAAGTCCTGCATGATGTCTCCGGTCCCTCCGGGTTCTTGTTACTGACCCAAAATATTGGGACAAACTACCTAGAGATGGGCCATTTCCATCCTGTCTGATAACAGCACCAAGCGCCCAAGAAGGGGGAATGTTCGAGCTGTGGACGCCTACGGCTCTTTCCACTGACTTTTGACAGCGCCAGGAATCTTTGAAGCAATTATCGCAGCCCTAGTGAGCCTCTACCAGTGCCGCTCCCAAATCCTTGAATCAGTCAAAAGTGAGGCCCAGCGCACGGTGAATACACCTGAGGAAGACTGTTCAAAAGATAAGCAGACCAAAAAAGTGCCTACTGTCGCTTCGAGGCGGAGGGGCTTGAAAGTCCGATCTAGCTGAACACAAGGACAAAAATACTGTTAAATCAACAATATACAGGTAGATAAATAGGCCCGTAATAGCCTGTCCACACCACAATTGTATCCGGAGCTTGCTTCCGGAACATTTGAGCCAGGAAGAGGGACAGGGCAGATGGCTGCTAGGATGGGGGGAGATTGAAGGCAACGGACGTGGACAGTATCTGGCCAGGGAAACTTTGGTCTATTTTAGCGGCATTGCCACATCAATTCGAACTACATGCAAGCTCCTTGATAGGGTGGCTAGGGCTCTTCACATAATCTCAAATTCAAATATGCATACGCACAGGCCAGCAGTATTCTCGACATGCGCGTAGTCCGATCGGGTTATCCGGTCTCCCAATGGGGTGATAAGCGCTCAGAAACGTGGGGGTACATTCCGTAGAAACAAGGCGAAAGGAGACTGTAGCGCCCTTCTGAAAATAAGAAGCATACTGTACGAATAAATAACAGCACAATTAATGACTATTTGCAATTAAGGTGGATAGTGTCAAGGTCCATGCTCATAGTCCAGAGTAGACTACCAATGTTGACCAGGCAAGCAGACCCTGGGCAGACTCTATTTCATCCCGATCAACATCGGCCAGAGTCACGCGGACCACCTACGAGGGATCCCGCGGCACCACAAAATGGCCAAGACCGGCGTTCTCACACCCATCAGACCGGGAAAATTCCTCGTGCCTGCCGCGGGCAATTCTCGTTGGCCATCGCACTGGGCGGCTCGGGCCCCGGGCCGGACGGGACTAGGGAACGAGGGGGGACGAGATGTGAAGCGTGGAAACAGGGCAAGGATATCAGTCAAGCATGGGGGCACAGACCACTGATCTCGAAGATCTAGATCCCGACGAGGTCCAGACCGGACGAGGTTCATTAGCGGTGTGAGCTGTGAGCTGTGAAATGTCCTATCGATCGCCACTGCGAGATAAACATGCAGGGCGTGAAGAGACTGGCCACGCAGACGAACATTCTAGAAGGCCGGGGTGCCAATGTTTATTGCGGTTTAGGTGGTGCTTGGAGCTCACGAGAAGCAGGGTGGAACTGGCTGGCCTCGGATTTGCCTGAACGGGCAAGTACATGGGGCTCGCCATGGGCGCGGCAGCAGGCTTTGCTGGTCACACGGGCATCTGATACAGCGGCGAAGGGCATCTCCGATACGCCTCTGCTAATTTGCTATTTTGGTAATTTGGAGGTGGGCCAGGTCGGTGGAGGTTATCGGACTCTGCAAAGAGAGTGATGTTGCATTGGGTTCTCATAGAGTGGAAGTACCTGAAGCGGGGGTTCGCAGTACTCAATCGGGACCGTATACTTTGCTATCTCGACTTCTATCGCAGCTCCCAATCAGCCGAAGGCACAGTGATCTGGATAAAAATTTGGATCGATGGGAAAATCACCCCTAGATCCCTGCGAGATCGCTGGAATGCGCCATTGACTTTTTCTTTCCAGCCAGGCACCAGACAGAAGCCAGCCTGGAGGCACAGCCCGCGAATGCGAGCACATGACCCGAATATTCTTCGATCTGCGAGGGGCGGAAGGGGCGTTTGTGTGGGCCGTCTTCCCCGGAGAAAGGAGGTCACCTGAACCCGGGCAGCCACTGCCGGGGTGAGGCCGGCTTGCCCAAAACAGACATCCGATCTGGTGTACCTTCGACCCCGTCCTCCTCGACTGCTCATTCGATCGATTCTGTGGCAAAATGACCAGAGGAAATATCATAGTAACCAGGATAAGTGCCAGATGGCCACCATTTCACTCTCTATTACATCAACAGTCGTAAGAATCTAGGAGGAGTGATGTGCGCCATCCTGTTATGCTGGGAGTTCGTAAGGTTGTTCTTTGGCCGTAACGAGTGTACTCCGGACTTCGATTGTCGCCACGGCCGTTTAAGCTGTGCCAACGCGCCCACACATTCCGCGGGGGTCCAGACCCGAGTCCACTCACGATGCCCACGCCAGTCTGGATTACCCGTTTGGGCCAGTTCGCCAATTTCTGCGTGTTCACGAGACCTTCGCTGGCCGGGGAACCCCCCCCCTCGGCCCTCCGTTCGATGATGAGTCTGGGCAAGACGGCGCCGGAGGGATACCACGGCATCGTGAGTCGTCTGTTTCCCAGATTTTTTATTATTTAAAGGCGGCCCTGCTCAGTCCATGGTAGTTTCTCTCATCAAACACACTGTATTCTTCTCGTGAACTTAATATCTTAATTGCCTCTCGACGACGTTTACACCCAACACTTCGACCCTGGTTCATATCCCTCCTACCTTCATCTTCTCTTAATACTTGATCTCTATCCTATTTCTTTTTTTCATTTAATCACCCATCACCTACCACGATGTCCGTCTCCATCGAAACCAGCGAGGTTCCCTCCGCCCCCATGGCTGCCCAGCCCGTCCTGATGGGCCAGCAGTCGCGCATGCCCGAGTTCAGTCTCGCTGGCAAGGTGGTCTGCGTCTCGGGCGCCGGCCGTGGCCTGGGTCTGACCCAGACAGAGGCCCTGCTGGAGGCCGGTGCGAAGGTGTACGCTCTCGACCGTCTGGAAGAGCCGGTATGTTAAAACTCATCTACGATCTCTCGTCCGTCTCTAATACAAGGCACGACAGGCGGCCGAATTCGCCCAGATTCAGCAGAAGGCAAAGGAGCTGGGCACTGAGCTACACTACCGTCGCATTGATGTGCGTGACACCGAGCTGCTCAACAGTGTGATTGAGGCCATTGCCAACACCGAGGGTCGCATGGACGGCCTGGTCGCCGCGGCGGGCATCCAGCAGGAGACCCCAGCACTGGAGTACTCGGCCAAGGATAGCAACACCATGTTCGAGGTCAACGTGACGGGGGTGTTTATGACAGCGCAGGCGGTGGCCAAGCAGATGATTCGCTTTGGCAACGGAGGCAGTATCGCCATGATCGCCAGTATGAGCGGCACTATTGCCAATCGCGTATGTTCCCAGTGTTTCCTCCTTCTCTTTATACCTGTTGGGGACGGTCTGATCCCGCGTGTCCATACGGAGCCCAACCCACCACCCTCCCAAGACCTCCCCTTCCCCGCCTTTTTACCCTTTCCATCCCCACATTTTGCATTTGCCCCCGCGGATCCCGCCTCCACTCGACTAACACGCCTCTTCACCCCAGGGTCTCATCTGCCCCGCCTACAACGCCAGCAAGGCGGCCGTCATCCAGCTGGGCCGTAACCTGGCCGCCGAGTGGGGTCAGTACAACATCCGCGTCAACACCATCTCCCCCGGCTATATCGTCACCGCTATGGTCGAGAAGCTGTTCGTTGACTTCCCTGAGCGCCGCGACCAGTGGCCCAAGGAGAACATGCTGGGCCGTCTGTCGCGCCCGGAGGAATATCGCGGCGCTGCGGTGTTCCTGCTTAGTGACGCCAGCAGCTTCATGACGGGCAGCGACCTGCGCATGGACGGCGGCCATGCCGCGTGGTAAATGGCAAATGCGCAATAGGCCGGAGTGGTGGAGAGTTGACGAATTGTAATCAATGATCATTGATGACGCGGGTCCGTGCTGGCTCTGGGGGGACGGAACCCGGTTCTCATTTGCATGGCGTTGTGCTTTCTATTTCTATTTCTATTTCTATTTCTATGTTTAAGCGTGGGGGTTTGACCATCGTTTTTGAGTCTGGGTTTGAGTTCGACGGGCACTAATTTTCTGGGCGACATTTTCTTCGGATGCTTTTGTTGATAATAGCGACTCTTTGGCTTGGAAAATTCTGTCTCGCCTTTTGTCATATTGATTAGACTCATATTGATCGCTCGAGTTAATGCACCCTCCGATGTGATCTGACCCACTCACCCACTCCTTGACAGATCGGCTCCACAGTGACAAAGTCCTAATCCTGGGGAGGCCCGTCCTCGCACGAGCTGCAGTAGCGTGTCCTCCGTTCTCGTAGCCGGGTCAGTTGAGTGCATACATGCTCGTAATCCCCCATCCCACCCGATCCGCATGTTCGCATTCCCCCCGAAGCCCATCGCACCGACATCTGCTTTCGCCTGTTCTGTCCAGTGACATGCAAACACATCGGACAGTTCTCGGAGGAGTGCACCGTTGTCTCGCATTCACGCATGACCCCCGCCGATCAACCTCTCGCAGTCTATGATGTCTGCCACGCCCAGTCCTCGACCAGGGAATTCGCCCCACACCATTCGTACTCGCCCAAGGATGGGATGAGCTGGCGATGCAAGGGCTACGGCCTACAGTCCATTTTCACCTGGCCTTCGGATGCGTTTGTTTTGGCTGTCGTGGCGAGTTATGGGCGGGAAGATAAAATTCACTGAAGTGCCTGCGGTGGGTATTTAGGGGCTGAGTCTGGAGTATTTCATGTGGTGGATGGGAGAGCTGGTGAAGTCATGACGGGACACCGAACCGCGCGGCATGCCCTGATTCTGGTACACACGACACGACACGCCAAGAGAAACCGTGAAGAGGTGCGCCCTGGTTCGGTCTCCACGAGCAAGTGCAAATGCTAAGCGACCAGTCGAGCAGCTGGGCCGTGCTCGTGATTGAATAGGTTGGATGGACGTCGCACACGAGCGATTTCCCGGTTGCGCTTCTCCGAACTACTCCCTCGCATTGGCGGACCGCCTGGGGATGCCCGACCACGCGGATAGTTGCAGCTCAAGGACCTCTTCAGGCGACTCTTGATCCCGGTGAGGTTGGAGCTGGTCCTTCCTGGGACTGGTTAGGGAGGCCCCTCACGAGACGAGGTATCCTGAGGTTATTGAGAGGGAGAGAACTGAAAGGGTGCCGACTACGGGAGCGGGTTGCCACCCAGGGGCATGGGCGGCGGTCTCCGGTGGATTGGGACACTGACTGACTCGGGCTTTGACTGGTTTCTGTAGCCCGGACGGTGGTCGCCACACACAGGAGCAAGCATGACACACAGGATGCAGTTTACTAAGGTCATAATCATGCGGGATCGACATATCAGATTTCCCCTTTCTCTCGACGATAACAATGATGCAGTCCTACTGGTAGGAAGTGTCCTACAGCCCCAGCGTCGCAATGGGGGCTACCGCACAGACTAGGATCTGGACCCCTAGCCGATTCAGATTGCCACGCCACTTTTTCCACCATCCTCGGCGTAACGATGAGGCGTCTCTCGACGATGGGTGGCCAATCCCATCGGGCTCCCGTCCCAGATCTGTCGAGGTTTTCGCTCAGGAGTTTCTCGATAGGGAAGCGCGACTGGATGACAGCTACGATTTCTGCCGAGGCAGGTCTTGGCGTCTTGGCACGGGACTGCTCTTCTAGAAGGCTTCTTTCTAGTTTCTGCATCTGCAGCCGTCTCTCATCGGGGGTGCTCTATGATTCGTGTGATAAAACTGGGAATCAGCACGCTGTGAATGGACGATGCATCCGCCACCGAGCAGGGTTGTCCTGCTGTCAGATGGTCAGGTTGATATGCGGGTGGTAGTGGCAATGGTCGGATATCACCGTAGAAGCAGAAAGCAGAGATAAGTAGGTGCGCAAGTGGGGCCGCTCACTTGCATGCCAAATTGCCCAGGAGACCAACCAGACTTCGTACGGGCCAGACCACTCATGTTACAGAAATTAGCATCCACTCATGGAACCCCCATCTACTGCCAAGCCAAACCTACGTCCAAGCCAACGGCCCAGGCCACGAGGTGCGCGCGAGGAGTCTAAAAATCACCCAGCGGAACCCTGCAAGTGAACGATAAGCAAAAGCCAAGCAAATCCAAGCCTGCTCAAGCCTTTCCAGGAGGTCTGTGTGTTCGCCTCCTCCGTCGGACGTCCCGAACTTCTTCCGTTCGTGTGATCATCCCATCCTGAGACTATGTCTCGTCACGTCTCGCGAGTTCGATTCAAGTCACCTCCCCGCCACCGCCAGATGGATACCCCGGGGAATTTCCATTGCCAGGATGCTACTAGCCCCTGGCGGCCCCCGTAGCCGAGGCTCGCCTCACGCCCCTGGCGGCACTTTAGGTTAAGCTTCCGGCCGGGAATTGGCATTGGGAGGTCGCAGCCCCCCTGCCAGCCACTCACAGGGGATAGGGTGGATGTTGCGCAACCATAGTTACATGGCACGGGATGGTTGCATCCACCAGCCACTCCTTAGTGCGGGTGTGCGTGCAAGCTCTGGCGAGCTGGATCGGGCGTGCTCATTCGTTGCACGCTGAGCCTTATCTGCCAGCCACGGACATCTTCCCCGTTGCAGTATAGTGCCCCTGGAGGAGTCTGGGGTAAACACGGTCTTGCCTGGTATACGCGGTAATTTCTCATTTCTCCCATTTCGCCTGCCCACCTCGCGCAAGTGCCGTGGACTCGGCTGAGTCCTCTGCAGGCGAAACTCCGTACGGTAAGTTCCGGGTTTGCAGTAGTTCGCTCTGGTTGGCAGTCAACCAGCGCCTGGTGCGGAATCTATAAGAGCTCGCCTTCTCTCACTTCTTCCCCCTTCCTCTGCACGTCCCTTCTCTCCTCCCTCCTCACCGTCCCTCCCCTCCTGTCCCCAGTGCAGGCCTTCATCATGGCGACTGCGGATGTAACCCCCTCGTCCCATTCCTCGGAGATCCAGGAGACCGACCGTGCTGCGACCATGAAGGGCGATGAGTTTGTCGACCCAGGCCGCCCCGAGAAGAGCCTCGTTTCTGCCTCATATAACCTCCAACTCGGCGACGAGGACCCTACCGAGGAGGAACTGCACGGGCCGAGCGCGTTGCGCCGTGTGTCGGCCCCGATTCCGTGGGCCGTTTACACTGTCGCCTTTGTCGAACTGTGCGAGCGCTTCTCTTACTATGGCACCCAGGTTTTGTGTATGTCGTCTCATATGTTTCCGAGTGGGGTATCTGATCCTAACGTGCGCCTTAGATTCCAACTTCGTGAACCATTCGTTGCCTCAGATCAATGGCCCTCCCGGCTCGCACCATAACACTGGTGCTGGTGGTGGGAGCGCCCAGGGTGTATCGGGAGCGCTGGGCCAGGGCGTTCAGACTGCGAACGGGATCAACACGTTCAACACTTTCTGGTGCTACGTGATTCCTTTGTTCAGCGCCTACGTCGCCGACGAGTACTGGGGACGATACAAGACCATTTGCTGGGCGATTGGTTTCGCCATTATTGGTCATATTATCCTGGTTATCTCTGCGATCCCCCCGGTGATCACCAACACCTCGGCTTGCTTTGGCGTCTTCATGCTGGGTGTCATCGTCATGGGTTTCGGTACCGGCGGTTTTAAACCCAACATTTCTGCCCTGGTCGTCGAACAGATTCCGGACGTGAACCTGAAGGTGCGCACCCTGCCCTCCGGGGAGCGGGTTGTCATCGACCCGACCATCACCCAGAGTCGTATCTACCACTACTTCTACCTGTTCATCAACATCGGCGCGCTGATCGGCCAGATCGGTATGGCCTACGCCGAGAAGTATGTCGGTTTCTGGCTGGCATACCTGCTGCCGACGCTGATGTTCTTGACCACTCCCTTGGTGATGTGGTGGGGGCGCAAGCGCTACCGCCAGTCTCCTCCCCAGGGCTCCGTGACCTCCAAGGCGGTCCGGGTGTTCTTGTACGCGCTGCGAGACCGGTGGCACTGGAACCCCATCAAGTTCTGGAAGCGCAGCCACGATGGCACCCTCTGGGAAGCCGCGAAGCCATCCAACATTCCGCCGCACCTGCGCCCCGCCTGGATGACCTTCGATGATGCATGGGTGGATGAGGTGCGCCGTGGCTTCGCCGCCTGCGCCGTCTTCTGCTACTACCCGCTGTACTGGGTCGCCTACGGCCAGCTGACGAACAACCTGACCGCGCAAGCCGGAACAATGACGCTGAATGGGGTCCCCAACGACGTGGTGAACAACCTCGACCCCTTCGCGCTGATCATCTTCATCCCAATCTGTGACAGCTTCTTGTACCCCGGCTTGCGCAAGATGGGCATCCAGTTCACCGCCATCAAGAAAATCACCACCGGCTTCATGCTCGCCGCGCTAGCCATGGTCTGGTCCGCCGTGATCCAGCACTACATCTACAAGAAGTCGCCGTGTGGCTATGACGCGAACAACTGCTACGCCGATGACGGCAGCGTCATCCCCGCGCCCATCAACGTCTGGGCGCAAACAGGCGCGTACGTGCTCATTGCACTGTCCGAGATCTTCGCCTCCATCACCTCCCTTGAGTACGCGTACTCCAAGGCCCCGCGGAACATGCGCTCCCTCATCCAGGCCATCTCGCTCTTCACCAACGCCATCTCCGCCGCCATCGCCGAGGCGCTGAACCCGCTGTCCAGCGATCCTCTGCTGGTCTGGAACTATGGCGTGTTCGCTGTTATCGCGGGTGTGGGTGGTTTGCTGTTTATTGTGCAGTTCTGGAGTCTGGACAAGGAAGAAGATGCACTGAACAACTTGCCTGAGGGCCACGTCGAGGCTGACCTTAAGGGCGCGCAGGGCATGCTAGAGGCAGCTGAGATCGGGCCTGTGAAGGGGTAAGGTGTGATGTGTGGCATCTCGCCTGTTCAATTTTTTAGATCTTTTTTTTTTTTTTTAATAATTTTCCCTTCTCTTTCTATGAGTTTTGGGCCTGTCGCGGACGTTTGATTCATGATATCCATGCTGAGGTCTGAGATGAGGAAATGCTTAATGATTCAATACTAATATCATACATGCATTATGATTTAACTCGTAATTTTATTTACATCTAGAACAACTAATTCTATTTGCCGTGTAGATGGATCCGGACAGCGGGCCGATCTGGATCCGAGATCGATCTTGTGGTTCCGATGCCTGGTATGAGGTGGACCCAGCCCACCTATAGGGTTGCAGTGTTTGAGGTCAGGGTGATCTCATAGTTATCAGACTTTGATTCAAACCGGGCATTCTACTGAAGATCTTCGCAATAGTCCGGATAAGCTTCTTGGCTTGCATAAGGATAACAAGTGGTACTTGCAGCTCGAAATGGATGCTTGCACTGAGGGCCACTCAGCGACCTAGTTCTCTCAGGCGCTGGGGGTCAAATAGTGCCAGAGTTCTTTCTAATAAGGATTCAAAGGTCTTAGCACAAGTAAGCGTTCAATTTTAGCATTACTGTACACGCGAGATATGGCTTGATTGAGGGTTTTGCTCGCAGAGCCGATGCGGCTCAAACAACCGAACCGCTCGGGGCAGATCATCCCAGCGAGCCTGGTCGACGGAGTATCCATACCTAGAAGGGCTACAATGGCCAAGAAAATACGATGCGTTGTCCTATCTTGCCCACGCTACCACTGCGTATCCCGTATTCCGTATATCTACTATAGGGAGTATTCCACGAGTGTCGCGCTACGGAGTACGGTCTGTTCCGTACGCCCATCCCCATCGTTCGCCCTAAGCCCCTCCAGCCCCCAGCCCAACGCCGGGCCGGTAACAGGCACCTGTACTACATCGAGGTAAGTCGCACGCCCCGACCTACGTGCAGGAATGGAGCTCACTTTAGCCACTATCGACCCAATCCACGCCCCTCGGCGCATTCCCAGCATACCCCATGACGGGCTAGCGGAATCCCGCTGCCTGATGGGGTCGCAGCGTTGGGACCCGTGGAATGGGCATGTCGGATGGCCGCGGGGGTATTCCTAGCTATTGTCCCATGGGTGATTTTGTTATTTGTTTAGCCCCACATTAGGGTCTGGTGGCTTCGGGTGGATCGACAGTCGGGGCTGAGGCGCAGACCGAACCAAAGGCCGACCGACCCATTCAAGATTCAAGTTGTTTGCGATTGTGCAGACTATTCTTATGCACCCGCAATTTAGCTGTGGTGCCGAGAGGGACACTGTCCGTTATGAGACTTGCACAAATTGATTGATATCGTGCGAGCAGCACACGAGGAGCCGGGACCCGAGGAGCGTGCCGGAAATGCGGATGCCTGGTCCAATGTGCATCATTGACAGCTTGGGATGGACGGAATATGGATCCATCCCGCACTTCGCAGGGCAGAGGCTCACCTCAGCTCAGCCCTGTAGGGAGATTCAAGGATCCAAAATAGCAGCAGCAGATCAATTGACTAAGATTGAGCGTGCCAAACTCGTAACGCAACATTCACCGCCATTGCAGCACATACCAGGCTTCTTCAGTCATTTCGGCCCCCGCTGAAGGATTTGTCCCTCTCGACTGACATCACCAGCTCCACCGGATGCCCGCCCACTCGCTGCGCCATGATTTGCGGTCCCCCGGGAACGCCCCATTGCTCCATGAACACGCCGAGACACAAAGTGAGGTGAGCTCGAAATCGCGCCCCGGAGTTGCTAAGCATCCGGCGAGCCCGGCCTGCATAAATATCACCCCGGCACCCCTCGCGGCTGCCGATCGCCGATGCTCCTATCCCCGGATTGCCAGCACCCTATGGTCATTGACCCTTCACTGCACCTGAAGAGTTGCGAGATTACCGAGCGACATGAAAGCTGCTGCGCTGATCACTTGCGTCGCGTTGGCCCTGCCTGGTACGTATTGGGGTGCCTCGGTCGCGCGGACCTTCTGCAGCCCTGCCGCCCTGCAGCCCTGCATGGTCCCGAGCTTCCTCGACTGCCATCCTAAAAATGCCACCGCCTGCTAATTTCCCTTGATCGGATAGGTGCCCTCGCCGCCCCAGGTATTGACCCTGACAAATTTTCGCTGGCTCTCGCCAGCCGTGCTCTGCCCAATGCCCCCGATGGATATACCCCGACCAACGTGAGCTGCCCGGCCAGTCGCCCGACAGTGCGCAGCGCCGCCGAGCTGTCCTCGAATGAGACCTCCTGGCTGGAGACCCGTCGCAACAAGAGCCTGTCGGCGATGAAGGATTTTTTCGGCCATGTGCAGGTCGGCGACTTCGATGTGACCTCGTATCTGGACCAGCACGCGAGCAATTCCTCCAATCTGCCTAACATCGGCATTTCCCTGTCGGGTGGTGGTTACCGCGCGCTGATGAACGGTGCCGGTGCCCTGAAGGCCTTCGATAGCCGTACGACTAATGCCACTACCAGCGGCCACTTGGGTGGCCTGCTCCAGTCGGCTACCTATGTAGCTGGTCTGAGTGGTGGTAGCTGGCTGGTCGGCTCTGTCTACATCAACAACTTCACCACCATCTCGTCGCTGCAGACTCAAAAAGCTGGTGCCGTCTGGCAGTTTGGAAACTCCATTCTCGAGGGCCCGGATACCGGCGGTATTCAACTTTTGGACTCGACGAGCTACTACAAGGACCTGGCTACCGCTGTGGAGGGGAAGCAGGATGCTGGGTTTGACACCTCACTCACGGATATTTGGTATTTGCTGAACTCCTTCCAGCCCCCTTCCATTTTCCCCTCTCCCTCCCTCCCTCCTATCAGAATATCAAAGCCATTTTTGCTAACAGCGCAATCACAGGGGCCGAGCTCTCTCCTACCAGATGTTCAATGCTAGTGGTGGAGGCATTGACTATACCTGGTCATCCATTGCCAAGACGCAGGACTTCATCAATGGGAACTATCCTATGCCTTTGGTCGTTGCAGACGGCCGTAACCCCGGCGAGCTCGTAGTGGGAAGCAACTCGACCGTATACGAGTTCAACCCCTGGGAGTTCGGTACCTTTGATCCGACCATTTTCGGGTTCGCCCCGCTGGAGTTCCTCGGCTCCAAGTTCGTGAACGGCGTCATCCCCAGCAACGAGAGCTGCGTGCGCGGCTTTGACAGCGCGGGCTTTGTGATCGGAACCTCGTCTACCCTTTTCAACCAGTTCCTGCTCCAGCTCAATACGACCTCGCTCCCCAGCGCCGTGAAGGACATCTTCAGCAGCATCCTCGGCAAGCTGGACAAGGCCGACAACGACATCGCCTCTTATGACCCGAACCCCTTCTACCATTACAACAACCACTCTTCCCCGTACGCCTCGCAGACCGAGCTGGACGTCGTCGATGGCGGCGAGGACCTGCAGAACTTGCCTCTGCACCCGCTTATCCAGCCTGAGCGTCACGTCGACGTAATCTTCGCCATAGACTCCTCGGCTGACACGACCTACAACTGGCCCAACGGCACCGCCCTCGTAGCAACCTACGAGCGCAGCCTGAATAGCACCGGCATCGGCAACGGCACCGCGTTCCCGTCCATCCCGGACCAGAACACCTTTGTCAACCTAGGGTTGAATACGCGCCCGACCTTCTTCGGCTGCGACAGCTCCAACTTGACCGGCCCCGCACCGCTGGTCGTCTACGTGCCCAACTACCCATATTCGACCCTATCCAACGTGTCCACCTTCACCCTATCCTACTCGGACACTGAGCGCGACGACATCATCCTCAACGGCTACGAGGTCGCCACCATGGCCAATAGCACCCGCGACGGCAACTGGACTGCCTGCGTGGGCTGTGCCATCCTGAGCCGCTCGTTTGAGCGCACTGGCACTACCCTGCCTAGCATCTGCACCCAGTGCTTCTCGGACTATTGCTGGAACGGGACAGTCAACTCGACCACGCCGAATGCCTTTGAGCCCACCCCCATGCTGAGCGTGCGATCCAGCAGAGCTGGAGCGATTATGCCGACCCTTCTGCCCACTGTTGTGGCGGTTAGTGCTGCGCTGTTCGCTCTAGCATAGTGTAGGGGCATGTTGACATGACGGCATCTGCTTTTATACTCTCTGCATTTTTCATTCTTCGGTTATTTTAACCCGGGCTTCTGCGATGTTACTGAGCAATGATGACCGACCCCCTCGTTAATTTTAAGCACCAGCTGTATCTCACTTGGAGTGGCAGATTGCGGTATCACAAATGTTGTTTAATATTTTTGGATGTAAATACAGTATCTACCAGATTTAATCGAACTGCTTACAGCGCTCCACTGATCGGCCGTCGGCTCCTTAGCCCCAACCTTGCAAGCCAAGCCTCTTGCTGCGCCCGGCTGAGAGCCCAGTCAGATTCCCCGCTTCGGACAAAACCTAGCTTCTCCCGCTAAGACTTCAGACAGTCTTCCTCGTCTTCGGAGACTATGAGTGCCATTGCCCTAGGAATGAAATGTCAGGACTCGAAGTTATCGGGGTCGTCGCTAGCATACTCCAAATCGCAGACCTAGGAGCCAAACTATCCGTCAAACTATGCTCCTTCTACCGCACTGTCAAGGATGCCAACAAGTCCATGCAAAGTCTCTCCAGCGACGTCTCACTCACGTGCAGTATTCTGCAAGAACTGGGAAGGGTCCTCGAGCAAGATGAACAAACCAAGCTCTGTTCCCAGAAGGCGTTCGGCACAGCCCAGGAGGTCTTAACCGAGTGCAAAGCCGCCTTCGAGACCATTGACAGCGCGATGGAGAAGCAGAGGCAGGAGGGGGCGAGGAATCCGGTTCTGCGCGGTGCGAGGAAAATTACCGTCGCCTTTATGGGACCGAACTTGGATCTGCTCCGGAGCAACCTGGAAAGGCTCAAATCGACGATGTTGTTGATGCTACATGTTATCATGTACGCTGGGCAGCTTCGCCAGTATGTATATCTTGGTTAATTAAGGTAGGGCCTTTGACACTAACGATTCGTCAATAGGAAAGTTGTACACACACCACTCACCAACCCTCGCGGTCTAATTCAAACCCTGATAGAAGAAAAAAAGACAAACGACGCCAAATTCGACCGACTCACAAGATCCATCGAAGCAGTCAAGCTAAATAGCAATGGGCCAATCCTTACAGCGCAACAGACAAGCTCTACGCCAGGCTCCGACGAAGAGCTCGAGAAATACTACGGCTTAGTTTGGAAGTTGCTACACGAAATCGATTCCTGCCAGGAAAGTCTCGAGAAGAGTCGGCATCTTCGAATGCGCAACGGTGTTGTGAACTTACACTCAGCAGAAGCTGCCATCATGAAGCATACACATGGTGACTCGTTTATTTGTTCATACGAAGAGGCGTTTTCATTTTCCGCTGGCCCGACTCCCAAAATTCCTGGTCGGATCAGGGAGACACAGTTCCCTGGGCAAAAGGTGACTCGCGAAAAATCGCCTCCTGTTCCTCGGCGGCCGCTGAAGAGGAGGGAGCAGGAACGACTCGTCTACCGTTTTGGAGGAGGCAGTGAGACCGTTTGCATCACGCGTGAGTACTGAAAATCTGTCTGCATGTCACTGATCAGTGAAGATTGACACCTATTACAAAGCCTTCGATCGCGACGCATATTTGAGCGAATATGTTGTCAACGGAGAGAACACGGGGGACTCTGAACTTGACAGAGATGATTATTATTATCGTCGGCATCGAAGACCTCGTCCAGATGATTCCGTCATCGCCAGCCGTCTCCAGGGCGGCCACGACGAGGTCTACAGCAGCGGCGACAGCAGGTTCCTTCGCAGAGAGAGATGGGAGCGTGATGATGAAGAAGTCTATCGAAAGCGCCATATAGATGAGGGCGCATTGGCAGGTGCCAGGGTGGCAAAGGTAATCCGCAATCATCGCAAACGCGAGGACGAACAAGAACCCAACGTCCACCGCGCCGATAGACCGTTTGCCGATCCTGTCCTATCAACTACGCCCCTCGTTCGTGCTAACAAGGTCCGCGAAGACCAACGCAACCCGAGAGCCATACACTACGACTCAGACTCCATTGGACGCTCCCCGCATCACAATCATCGCCGCCGTGGTCGAAATAGCCGCAGTCGATCTCGGTCTCGGTCTTGGTCTCGACCCCGCTCACGTAGTCGCCGGTACATCGCTAGCTCCGAGACCGATAGTGCTCCCAATGGCGACGATAATCGAAGAGTTGTCGCCCGGGCAGGGCTAGCTGGTGCTGCTGTTGCCGGGCTGGTCGAGAGGGCGCGAAGCCGTTCTCGACAACGCCGATATGAACGAGAGCGCTCCTGCAGTCGGCGAAGACAAGGCGTCCCTATCGCGACTGCTGGTCTGGGCACGGCCGCTATCGTTGCTCTCTTTGCCAAACGAAAGGCTAAAAGGCAGAGGCAGAGCGAAAGCCCTAAACCGCCGCACCGGGCTCTGTCTGGCCCTGTTCCCGAAGTCTCAAGGGGGAATTCTGAAGAAAGCTCTTTCACTGGAGACGACATCAAGGACGAGGCTGTCGAAAAAGAACCGGTCGAAGAACCGGTCGAAGAACGTCACCCTGAGCAGATATCGACCGTTTCCTTGGATGAGTTCATGTTACAATGGACAACACTGTCTCGCGAGGAGATTGTCGTCGAATAGTGTGATCCTCGTCAAGTCAATGAGGTGCGGTTAAGTATAAAGCTTGATATATAGTTGATATACCTAGTTCTCTGATCGGCCGGAACCTTTCACACTCATGTCTGTAGGATGGAATATATAGCAAAAAGCATTACGAAGCGGTGTACCATCTCCAAATATAACCAGGCTTTTCAAGTATATGGTCGCACAAGGCTTGTATTATCGGAGGGGTTATGCTTCGTCGGGCGACATGAGTTCGTGCTCTGAAACTTCAGAACAGGCCCAATGTTGTTGCTGATGTTGATAATAGAACGCTTACTACATTCCGCGGCTTCAGCTACTGCGACATAGTCAGTGATTTGCTAAGAATTATATGGCGAATCCCTTCGAGCGTTGAGGGAGGGATTCTCGGCGCCACCTTGGAGCCGAGTTTGAATTCAAGGAAAGTGCCTTGGGTGGTGACTGACTGCTTCAGGCAAAACGTGAATTACTTCTTCTGCTCACCCTCGCTCACCCTTTTGCTCTTCCTGACAGCTTGGTTGTTCCTTGGTGGCCCACCTTGAATCCTGTGGGCCTTTGACCAGTACGCTACAGGAACCCAACCTCGCTGCTTGAATAGAGCGACAGCAACCAGAGGCTAGCGGGAGGCTTCAAGACGATTTTCAGAAAATATTTGGCGAGCCCTAATATTCTGAATTTAACTGCAGTTATGCCACTAGGGAGGTTTCAAATACTGTTCACAACTGACGGTTGGCATGAACGCGGCCCCCGATCCAACAGCATCTGCACCACCTTTTCATGGCCGTTGGCTGATGCGGCCTGGAGCGCATTGCCATACTTTCCACCCTGGGCGTTGATATCGGCACCGCGATCCAACAGCATCTGCACCACCTTTCTATGGTCTCTAGATGATGCGGCCTGCAGTGCACTGCCATACACTCCACCCTCGGTGTTGAAATCGGCACCGCGATCCAATAGTATCTGTACAACTTTTTCATGGCTTCTAAAAGATGCGGCCTGCAGTGCATTGCCATACTTTCCACCCTGGGCGTTGATATCGGCACCGCGATCCAACAGTATCTGCACCACATTTTGATAGCCTCCGAATGATGCGGTCTGCAGTGCATTGCCATACTTTCCACCTTGGGCGTTAACATCGGCACCGCAAAGCAGCAGCATCTGCACCACATTTTCATGGCCTCTAGATGATGCGGCCTGGAGCGCATTGCCATGGCTTCCACCCTGGGTGTTGACATCGGCACCGCGAATCAACAGTATCCGCACCACCTTTTCATGGCCTCCAAACGAGGCGGTCTGCAGTGCATTGCCATACACTCCACCCTGAGCGTTGACATCAGCATGTCGATCCAACAGCATCTGCACTATTTTTCCATGGCCTTCAAGTGATGCGACATAGAGAGCATTGACATAGCGTCCAGTCTGGGGGTACTTATCCTTCGAGTTCACGTCGACCCTGTCTGTACCGAGCAGCAGCTTGACGACCGCCTCGTGACCGTTCTTGGCTGCCCACAACAGCGGCGTCTGGCCATCTCTATCGGTCGACTCACGTTCAGCGCCCTTCTCGAGCAGCAGCTTGACGACCGCCTCGTGACCGTTCTCAGCCGCCCACGCCAGCGGCGTCATGCCATTTCTATCCTTCGACTCGCATCCGGCGCCTTTCTCGAGCAGCAGCAATACGACCGCCTCGTGGCCGCTCTTGGCCGCCCACGCCAGTGGCGTCATGCCATTTCTATCCTTCAACTCGCATTCGGTGCCCTTCTCGAGCAGCAGCCTTACGACCGTCTCATCCCCGACTCCTGCAGCGTCTAGTAGGGGGTTGTCGACTTTGTTCACTGATACGTCACTATCATCGCCGTCCGAGAAATCTAGAGCAACGGAACGCAAAGAGCCGGCTGATCTGATGCCATCGGCTCTCCCAGAGTCTGTCTCTTCATTGCTATCGAAGTTTCGTGGAACTGCAAACGTTGCGAGTTGTTCCTGATGGAAAGCCACGTGATTGCAAAAACCCTTATCGAAAGGCCCAACCGAGTAGCAGAATGGGCAGGTTTGTCTGTCATCGGCTACCGTCATCTCGGCTAGATCTAGGAGATTTTCGATCTGCTGCCCATCCAGGCCTTTGTGGCAATCTTGAAAGTGTTGCAGCAAGCTGTCTTTCGATGTTGAGGTGAAGGATCTGTGTTCGAAGCATCTCCATATGCGGCGGTGAACTAGCCGTTCATGTTCCAGCCACGCATGCCGACTGGCGTACATGCGGTCGGCATCTGGGCATTGCTCGTAGGTACATACGTACGGCTGGAGATCTTGGCGGATATGCTCTCTAACATCCATTAGAACGATGCTCCTATCCTGCCGATGCTCCTAGACACTTACTGCCATGACTTTCCTTCTCCTTGTCTCGACGGACAAGCTACCCAGCAATACGGACAAACAAATTCTGACTGGCCAGCCGCATCGGGAGGAGGTGGAGGTAGTTCTGGGGACTTTCCATCAACGTCGTAGGCCGTAGTCGCGTAAGTAATCACGGTCTCTGTGTCCAGCTGGTCGTCCAACTCACGGTTATACATGGAGAAATCGGTTCCTGACACCATGGTTTTCGGCCCTGGAGTCGGTATGAAATTGCCTGAGATAGGAGGTGTAATTGGAGGCTTGGAAAAAGGTTCCGCAGGCTTCACGAGAGTGGTGGAATTCTGGTGGGGGGCTAGCTCGTCCGCACTGTGTGAGAGCTTGAGCGCATGTCTCCGCCAATATGCAAAATACATTCTCCGGTGAGTGATTGCTTTTGCTAAGCGATCTCGCAGAAAATCGTCACCATCCAGCAGGCGATCCCCGGCATCTAATATATCCAAAAACCCGTCATTTGGGTCTCGTGCAGGTTCAGCGGCGAATTCCTTTGTTGATGGACACCGGCGCAGGTGATCGAGTGACTCTTGTACATGCCGACGATCGAAGATGGCATACGCCGAGAACAAGTCTTTCCCTGTTTGTGGATTCTCTTCTTTCATGAGAAGAGCTTTCTTGGTGAGAGAACGATATCTCGTGTTGCGTATCTTGAACGAGAGCCTGTACAAGTGCTCCATGACATCTTTGATTTCGTCTAGTCTCTCCGCCAGTTCTCCGGTGCCCAAGTCACTACTGGAGTCACTCCTGTCACTGTTGTCCTCAATTTCTTCGTCAGGGCCATGGGGAACATCGCCACCCTGTTCGTACGGTAGGCGAAGACCTGTGGTGATCTCGGCACCTGGGCAAGCACAGTCACTAAGAGATTCCACTATACAGGGCAGGAGGTGCGACGCAACATACTCTGACTCAAGGAGTCTTGCAACTGTCCCAGGAATTTGAGAACGGCTGCTCGGAGCACCACGGAGTCTCGTAGTCTCGCATCAAGAGAACTTCGGCCTCGCTGTAAAGCGCCCAGATTACCCGCCCAAATCATGAAGCGGGCATATTCATTTTCAATTGCCATTGGCATCATCTGCGATTTAAACTCATCCGAAGATGTGCGCAGCGATCGTGTCAGAGTATCGAAGCATCTGGCACAGGAGGTCGAAAGGGTGCCGATGTCATCCATGGCTAGAGTTTCGATCCCAGAGGCCTGGAAAATATCAGTTCGTACACCTCGTGAGCTCCATCTTCATCTTTCTAGTTGATAAGGTGCAACTTGTTAGAGCCAAAAGTGTATCCACGCGGTTCGAGGTTTCTCTCCAAATGCACGAACACAATTAAATCCCTCATACTAACGGAAGGATCGCAGGGAATGCCAAAAGATCATTCGTTGAATTAGCGCCGAGAGCTGCGCTTTGGCGGGGTCGATACCACAGCAAAATGGCGTGCGGCTGAGATGTGCTGTGGCCGGGCCGGCGCGTCGGGAGACTCCACGTTTCCACGTTTCCCTTGGGAAGAACAACAACTTCCTAGCTCGGCCGAAGGCGAGGGGAAGGGCCTTTTTTCGTTGATGTTGATTCATCTCGCCGCCTCTCCAGAGTAAATTGCGTTGATGGGCCTCGTAATCCAAAATGGTGACCGGAGTGGAAACAGCTGGACTCGTCCTAGGAGCCATTCCCATCATCATATCTGCCCTCGAGAACTATGAGAACTTGGCAGCTCCCACACAAGCCTTTATTCATTGGAAACGGCATTTGCGAAGGTTGATCCGGGAGCTCTATACAATACACACATCTTACGACCAAGCCGTTCGTCTCCTACTGAAGCCATTTGCCGACCTCACAGACCAAACCACGATGATGGAGGATTCCCGAAGCGCATTGTGGAGAGAGGGAGACATTGCTGACAGTCTACGCGATAAGTTAGGACCGGTATACGGCCCATTCATTCTCACCATAGATGAAGTGTCAGAGATCCTGGTCGAGATAGCGGCTTGCCTCAATATCCCTGGTTCGCAGCAGGTTTGAGCACCCTTCTTGGAAGGTAGACTCAGCACTGACTTTGGTAGGTTTTCACAAGCAAAAACCTCCTGCCAGTCGTCTTTTCGAACTTGCAGATCGCGAATACTCCGTTCCTTCACAGGAATTTCGAATTCAGGCAGAGGATCAAGTTTACCATGAAGAAAAACCGTGTAAAGGCCGCGCTCGAGCGTTTGGAGGCTTGTACGAGGATGATTGATGCCTGGACCACTAGAGCCGACAGGATGCAGGATGAGATACCGCAGAGTCGTCTGAAGCTGAAATTTTCTGCATCCTTGGGTACCATCCAAGAGAACGCGACCAAAGTACATCGAGCAATTTCTCGAACCTGGTGTAACGACAACCCTGTCCATGTCGCTCATCTGCTCCTTGAGCAACGGCTGGTAAGGTCAAAGAAAAGGAAGAGGCCTCTGCAAACTCTTCAAGCAGCGAGCTCGAACTTGGTGGCGCAGGCGACTTCTTTCGGACTGAGTCTTCGTGGGGACTGCAACGCGTCTTCTCAGTGGTTGAATTCTGAAATAAGGATTGATGAACTTCCGTCCAGGTACGCACTGTTGGGTTCTCTTTCGTCATTTTGAGCTCTGATGTTAATGTGACGCTAAAGAAGCGCTGGGACTGTTCGCGTGACGATATCAGGTCCAGAGGACGACCACGACCCTGCAATTTTGCACCATATCACGACTTTATGCAAAGTCATTAGGCAACCCCCGCATCCATTTGTGGTATTTTGCCTTAATGATACGGGGTTCCTGAAATCACGCCCGTCCTTGAAAGGGACTGCTGCTGAATACGTTCAGCACTCTTTGTCCCTCGAGGCCCTTCTTCCGCACTTCGAGGCCAGACTCCCCATAACAGAAGTGTACGGACTCGCCATCACCTTGATAGCGTCGATTTTTCAACTCAGCCATACTCCATGGCTTGAAACGAAATGGAGTAAGAGGAACATCGTATTCGCAAGAGCAAACAGTAACACGCCATTAACTGTCGACCTAAGATATCCTTCCTTAGTGAAGGAATATCATCGCGGTACGTTGCTTCAAAACTCAAGTTCGAGATCATCGCAGCTGATCCAGAAATCAGGAGTTGGACCGCGACGACCCGCCGATACACCCATCAACACAACCTGTTCGAACTTGCTTGCCTTAGCGATTATGCTGCTTGAAATTAGTTCCGGACGGCCTGTTGAGCAGAGACTCGGAGATGATCAAATCACTAACATCTTACCGAACGATCAATCGTATCTCCAACTAGCCGGGGGATGGTTCAAGGAGGAAAAATCTCATGGGAGATTATCAAATGCCTTCTCCCAGGCTATTTTGACCTGCCTACAAGAATACCTTAACCCCGATGCAAATTTCGATGATGATCAGTACTGCAACGCTTTCAAGGAAAAGGCTCTGTTACCGCTTGAAGAGGAAATGGACCACCTACTCTTTGGACCTCCGAGGTGACTTTCGGTGGGAAGCATTATAAAGAACGAAGCACGTGTATCGAAGAGCATACAGACGTTCAATCTTTCTAGGACTGGAGGCGGCTCTTGTCAATGCGCCCCTTGGTCTCACGGTCCTAAGGGACTGGTTTGAAAGGAATATGTAACCTCTTAGGGGTGTGCAGGCTGGAATACATCCTCTGTCTTCTTTGCTATTGAAGACCCTCTCCGGGCTCGCGTGGTCCTTGAGCGAACAAGAAAGACAGCACAAGGAACAAGAACCGGGACCTGCCTAATCCAAGTGCGATAGACTCCTTAAAAAAATAAAAGAAGGAAGAAATACCTCACAGGATTCTGTCTATTGCCACGGGTGCCTTTACGTACCCCATAAGCCAAATGCGTGAACCATGTCCGTAAAGACAAGGGGAGAAGAAAAAAGTGAAGATAAAAAAACCCGAGGTATATAACCCCGAATCCAGTTTCAGAATACATAGTACAGAAGAGAATAAGACAGAAAGAAAGGGACTAGACATCAAAAATAATTCGTCAAGGCGGCACAGCCCGTGCCAGCACACGAATGTTATCCACAAAGCCCTTCACCAACTCTTCGTACTGGTTCTGCGGGTCTCCAGCCATGGCAAGATTACCCTGGCGCTGGATTTCGGCAGCAGAGATCTCGACTTCGAGCTCGTGCTCGAATTCGTTCTTTGCCGAAGCCTATTTGCTGGGTCAGAAGACTGGTCCAATGTCACACAAGTAGCTGCAGGGGACAAACGGGAAAACTCACCTCCGCTCTGGCCACCTGCGTTAGGTCGATTTGGTAGGCCAAATGTCGGTAGCTCATGCGATCTTTGATGCGCTCGCCGCGGCCACCCTTGGCTACGTCGACCATGGGCAGGGTGCTGACATCGCCGTCGTACTCCATTTCTAGGTTGACAGAAACGCGCCAGTCGACGTTTGTGCGGGGGCTGCACACGTCCATGTCTGCGACGCGGCATTTGACGATCTTTGCGAGGATTTCGCCGGTTTTTACATCTGTGGTTACACGGACTTTAGGTTTGTGTCGAGGGTTAAGATTCTGGCGGATCACGGGGGGAGGTCCTGGGGCGAGACTTCGTAGAATGTATCGCGCTCTTTTTTGTGGGCGTAGGAGATGGGGATGCGAGGTGACTCGTTTGACATGGACGCCTTGACTTGCTCATTGAGGAAGTTGTTCATGGCACGGTGTTGCTCCTGGAAAGTTTCATGGTCAGTTTGGTCCTGTTATGCGAATCAAGATGAAGAGCTTCGCGAAGGATGGATACTTACAACAGTCATGGTGCTTTCGAACGACGTGCGCACTCGCGACTCGCGGTTAATGACGCTTTCGGTGAGAATAGGCAGTTGCAGCCTCTCTCTCCGATCCATATCAATGACATGGCCCAACTTTGCTTCAATTTCAATGATAGCACCCTGTCCTGCTGCAGCCGATCCAGCTGGTCCAGCAGCCACATCGTTCCTTATCACCACATGCTGGAATAAGAAGTCACAGAGCTGCTTTGTGATTTCTTCATATGGAATGAAGCCGGTAATGGATGGTTCCCACGGACCCAGAGAGCCCTCCTGCGGTGTGCGAGGAGCGCGAGGGCCATTTGCGCTCGGTGGGAGCACCACGGCCCCAGGTGTCCGAGCAGTGCGTGTAGTGGTCGTTGAGCCAGCAGCTGATGCCAACGACTGCCTGCGAGAGGCCCAAGAGTCCTGATTTGCGCCTCTGGCATGCCTTGGAATCGGGGGCTGAGGATTGGGGATCACAGGACATCTGCCCTTGGTGCGAACGGATCGTTGGGCATAGATCGGGGGCTCGTTGTAGCGTCTCCTCTTTGACCTAGGTGGCTGATTCTCGGCATGACCCATTGCTTCATGATCGATTTCCATTTTCAGGGGGTGTGAACCGCTTCTTGGAGCTGATGGGGAACTGTTTATCTGCGGGGGCGCGGTTGCAATGGGCGAGGCGCGTGTATCTGACCCTGGCCCCGATGAAAATGGTGCTGTGGGACTCTCGTTCCACCTTCTGTCTTCGGATGAGCGAAAGGGGCTGCGCCGGCGGTATCAGAGGTAGCTGCCGTGCTGTTCTGCCGGGAGACCACCTTTGGACTCGAATTCTCGGAAGGCTCTTGTTTCACGTGCGCGGAATGCAGTTGAGGCGTCGACTCGTAGGGACGGGAGGAGGGGGACAGCTGTCGCGAAGTGGATGGAGATTTTCTCTGCCTCATATCCCGTCCTTGGGCTTCATGTATGCCGTGTGGGCTGGACAGAGTATTGCGCGGGGAATCGCGGCCGGAGGACTCTGGACGCGCAGAGGAGGGCGACTGGCGAGAGGAAAAAGCAGGAGGGGGGCCCAAGGGTGTTCCTGGGACTGAGCGACGCGCGGATGGAGAGAACTGATGGGGCGGGAGCGGTTGTGAGGCGGACGGAGGGCTGTCTCGGGGACGAAAGATTTCACCCGGAGCACGCGGGGTCGTCATCATCGATTGGAGTGAGTGTGACCGTTGCTGCGCAAAGTAGGATTGCTGTTCGGGATGTTGAGGCCCTGCAGTCATGGGATGCTGCGGCGTATACGGGGAGGCCAGGGGGCCCGCTGGGGCTTGGGGATGCGAATTGTAGGCCGACGCGCCGTATGGATCGCGCGCACTGTGGCCGTCCGGGGTCGAGACGAGCGTGGGGCTTTGGCTTTGCTGCGATTGCAATGCTGTGTTCAGCGGCGGGGGTGCGTTGAACTGCTGGTAGGGCGACTGGGCTGGGCCAAAGGACGAGGATCGATCCGGCGAGGCGTGCGTGTGTTGCAACGAGGGCTGCGAGGGATGCCCCGAATACTCTGAGTACTGCTGCTGTGCGCGCTGTGGATGGGACGGATCAGTTGGTGAGCTGGACGCTTGAGTGGCCGGCGGAGCGTTGGAGGCACCGCCGGCGTCGTTCATGATCGTGCGCAAATCCATCGCGACAGCGTGCCCGCTTGGGAGGGAACCACCACGACCACCAGCGCGAGCAGGTATTATCGGCAAAGACACGCGGCTGGCGATCGCGACATCAGACCGTGGGAGGGTCACGATGTTGGAGGAGGGAGGATCAATGAATAGAGGCAAGACAAAGAAGAAGGGAGAAAGTTCTCGCCGCGGACCGCGCGAATCAGGGAGCTTGGGAGGATCATCGCCGCTTCGGGGACAGGCAAACTAAAAGGCCACGCTTACGGACTCCTAAAGGACAGTTGATGATACTACTCAAGGAAATATCTAATGAGGAGTCGGCGTTCTATCTGATCTATTCTATACTATCGAAGCTCCCACGACACCACGGGAAGCTAGTGCCAGCTTGTAGAGCTGTTGGCAGCTATCGGGACCTTAGCTGTTATAGTTCTCGCCAACACCTTTTGCCCGGGTAGGACTATGATCAGCCATGCCGACGGCCCAGACAAGGCCGTGATTCTCTCCCGCAATGTGCGAAATATCACCCGAATCATGCGGCCGATTGAAGTTGCGCCTGCGACGCAAAAGGCCACTTTGGAGTTTCGGTATGCGGTCAGGTGATCGCGCTGACTCAGCAGGGAGATGGAGGCTGGCTTGGCATCGCATGAACGAGACCCTGGAGAATGAAAGAATTGCCAGGGCTGAAGTTGGCGCAATGGATATCCTCGTCGCAAAGGGGACGTCGATGCCGATCGAGTATAGACCAGCCTCGATAGGGGGCATCACACTCTGCCTCGCCCGGCATGTCACATTCAGGATCCTCCCGCTGTCTGACGCGTCACGCATCTGACAAGCTATACCTATACAATTGCGATCAAATAATCCTCAGCTTTCAAGGCAACCCAAGTCGTCAAGAATAGCTTCATACAGTAGTCCGGAATCACTGCGATTGATGGGGTACCATCCTCGAGCCCTATAGGTTCCAAGTATAAACCTCCGCTGCTACAACGTCAGCAAGCCCACCTGCCGCACCCGGGGGCCTAGCTGTCCTGTCCGCCAATGGCATGGGATCGACACCCCGTCGCTCTCCTTCTCCTCTTCAACTTTCCGATCCTTCATCTCTCCAGCTTTTGAGTAGCTTTCGAGTCCTTTGGCTTGTCTTCCCGGCTGCAGCATTGTTGTCGTGTGCAGATTGGCCAGCCAAGTCTGCCAAGAAGGCAACTTTGGATCAGAAAACGCCATCCCGCTGACGTATTCCCGGGGACCACTCGACCGCGTTCTGGCTAATCTACACACACCTTCAACTCCCTCCCAAGTCCCTCCCCAACCACAGGGGACTGTCTCGCTACTGGGGGAGCAGCTCACCTTAACCCACGTCCCATTCTCTGTGGACGACCATATTCAATGCGCGGCTCGCTTTAACGTCTCCTGTGCAAGGCTCCCCCGCCGCACCCTCCAAACGCACAATTTCCAACACCATGGCTCCACCAGTCCAAGACCAGGGCTCAACTTCGGCCTCAGATATCCCCCTCGACCTCGAAGTTGGCCCTCGATCGACCTCCCACTCGAATAATACCTCCCGCTGGAATGGTTTCTCCCAATCCCACCCGTCCAATATGCTTGCGAACCCCAACGGGCTGGCACCGAAGTCGTCGCAGGAAGATTGGCTGGCCTACACTGAAGATGCGGGACATCGACTGACAGTCGCGTTGACACCTAGCTTCCTACAACGGTATGTGGGCGGCGAAGGACCCCAACCCACGAGGCTGCATGCCATCGCAGCGCTCGACGGGTTGCGCGGTTGGGCGTGTATGCTCGTCTTCAACTTCCACTTCCTCTTCACATATACCTGGAAGGTTGCCGTCGGATGGGGATTCGCGGGCGAGAACTTTGGAATCCATCAGCTGCCGATTTTGCACATGTTGATCTCCGGCCACATCATGGTGGCGATTTTCTTCGTCATCTCGGGCTACGTACTCTCCTATAAGCCGTTGAAGACCATCCGGTCCCGGTCGTTCGAGGAGGCCTTTACCGTCATGGCTTCGTCGACCTTTCGACGAGCATTGCGCCTCTACATCCCATCCTTCGTCGGTCTCGCATGTGTCTTCGTGGCTGTCCGTCTTGGCCTGTTCAATTACTCGTGGGGCGTCATCAAGGAGGGTCATACAATTGTCGGCACCAATGAACAGCACCCGCCCGTGTATCGGTCTCTCACCAAGCAGTTCTGGGATTGGTATAACACCGTCGCACGCTTGCTGAATCCGTTCGATTGGGGTCTCTATTACAACAACTATAACCCACATCTATGGACCATTCCTGTGGAGTTCCGCTGCTCGATTGTCCTGTTCATCACGACGCTAGCCACCTCGCGTCTCATGCCGGTCATCCGTATGCCTCTTGTTGCCGGATTAATCTGGTTCTGCATGCGCTATGGCCGCTGGGACGTCGTTCTCTTTCTATGTGGCATGTTGATGGCCGAGATCGATCTAATCAACGGTACATGGGAACGCCCTGCGAACTCGACTGCAGTGCTTGGTGATAAAACGCATATCCGCTTCCGCCCTGGCGGTAAGGTCCTGGCCACTGTCTCCCGCCGACGCCTATGGATCGCTATTTTCGTGCTGGGGCTATATATCGGGTCAGTCCCAAACCTGGGCTTCAAGTGGACGCCCGGCTACATGTGGCTCTGGAACCTCACCCCATGGACATACCCTGAGCCACATCGATTCCCGCAAACCATCGGCGCGGTCCTGATTGTCTTCAGCATCAACCACTCCCCCGATCTCCAAAAATTCTTCACCCACTCGTTGTCCCAGTATCTGGGCAAGATCTCATTCGCCTTTTATATTGTCCACGGTCCCATTCTGCACTCTCTTGGGTACTCTATCATGCCTAGTATTTGGGCTGTGACAGGCAAGGAGACCAACTTCCAATACTGCTTTGGCTTCCTGATTGGCTGGTCTATTTGTCTGCCAGTTTCCATTTGGGCGGGTGATGTCTTCTGGCGCGCTGTCGATATACCCAGTGTTCAGTTTTCTCGCTGGATAGAGAGTCGTGTTATTGCAAAGGACGCGCCAGCGACCGGGACGCCGAGTTTGTCGACTCCGCGAGCGCAAACCCCGCGGGTACAGTGAGTTGATGTCACGAACTCGCACATCGTCTGTCCTCCCAGAGAAATGATTCCTGTTGTAGTACATACTGCTACCAGGATATGTATTTCTCTCACCTTTTTAGATCGGTACCAGCTCGCTGGGCGAGTTAGACGTTCGTTAGCCGGGATAGGGATACACTTCTTAGACCCGCCGCTGTAGATATAGAATACTAATACACTTTGAATAAAAGAATCAAAATGGAATTGCGGAACACCACAGTAGCGCACCCTCGTCTAACTATCGAGATAGGAATAAAAATCGAAAGGCAACAGAAAAGGGAGACTAGGGAGAAAAGGGCGCACCACGACCAATATTCCGATGTATCGTATCGTTCATTCATTCACTCGTACCAAATCAAAGCAAATCACGATGCTACCACCCGCCGACGCAATCGCCCGAACGAACCCCAGCACCCCCGCGAAGGAAACTAAACGCTGAAGTCGACGTCGACCGGCCCTCACGCAGCCTATGCAGAATATGCCAGAACACGGAACAAGAGAGCAAATCCACCGGTCTAGCAAGCAGAAAATACGGAGCAGAACGGAGGAGAAGAGGGAGAAGTGGTCGACGCCAATGGATGCATCCGCTGGTGCAAGATCGATGGGGGGCGATCGGACAAGTCAAACCATCTAATGCAGTCAAAGTCAAGTCAGGATGACGGGGGTGAAAACGCAGGATCCTTGTGCGCGAAGTAAGAGGACAAGGAAAGGCAAAGTATGGCGAGAAAATAGATGTGAAAGCACCCCCGGCTGCGTATCATTTTCTCTTAAGTCCTTCCCTATTTTTCTTATAATGAGACGCCCCATATTCCTCGTCCGCCGCAGACACCGAGCCATTCGCGAGGCTGGCCAGAGTGGTTGGGGCCGCCCTGAGGGGACCAGCTGATATTTGAGACTTCATAGTCGCACTGCCATGCTGCAGCGGGTCCGCGCTCGGAGGTCGTGGCTTGGGCTGGGGCGCCGGGCGCCTGAGGAGGTGATAGAGGCACGGCATTGTGCTGGTTGATAAGATCCCATATAAGAACAAGGCTGTCGTCGCCTCCAGAGGCGAGGATGCCGCGTCGGTTAGGGGACCACTCGACACAGTTCAGAGCCGCGGAGTGGCCCTTGAGCTCAAGAAGGGCTTGTCCTGGCTGCCGCACGTCAAGAACACGGACGACATTGGAATCCGAGGAGAAGGTGGCAAGGAGGTGGGCATCGTGAGGAGAGGCTGTGTCAAGGTAAGTAAATACATAAATACGTCCAACAAAACTGCGGAAATGTCGGCATGTCCATACCTGCAATTCTCAGTAGTGGCGGAGGCCAGAGGCCGGACTGTGATGGGCCAGATGGGCTTGAATTGCCAGGGCTCATTACCGCTGTGAGAGGGCTTAGCTTTCATTTCTATTAACTTAAAAATCCCAAGAAGCACTTACGCTTTTCATTTTTGTCTGATGGCTCGTAGATGATAGTGCTGTGCTCCAGGCTTCGCAAGTCAAACATGCGCACACTTCCATCAGCACCACAACTGACGAAGACGTCAACGCTGTTTGCACAGAATCGAACATCGTAAACCTCCTTGTCGTGAGCAATGAGCTGTGTCTTGGCAGTCAAGGTCGGAATGTCCCAGATTGTGCACGTTGTGTCGATGCTAGAGGTAATGATAAGACTCGGGGATATGGTGTTCCAATCCAGGGAGGTAATGGGAGCGGTATGCTCGGGAGATTTAGAGTTGGACAAGAGTGCCAATGGAGAGAGCTTGGAAGGGGGAGCATCCCTTTGGCTAGAGGGCCGGGTGATGGAGTTGGAGCTCTGCAATGGTTGGGCATTGGGGAGTGACCACAACCGAAGATGATCGCCAGACGTGGCGAGCAAATCCGTGGACTGCTTCTGGGAAGATGGTGGTTCCCAAAGGATGCGGGTAACAGGATAGGAGTGTGTTGCCTCAGCGGTTTTGACATAGTCCAGCTTAATCTCACCCGCTGCGGCGTCTGGAGTATCTGGGTCGGGTTGAGTCCAATGTGTGTCAATGATTTGGATCTGGAGGTGGGGTCAGCAGCAGTCATCGAGAAAGGTGGTTTGGATGCAGGGTGCTCGAACATAGTTGTGATTGTCTTCCAGATAGCTCCCTACAGCCAACTTGCCCCCAAACGAGCTCGAGCTTCCAGAGATCGGCCATTTGCACCAATCGACGGCATATATGGGCCATGGTGCCACGTAGTTACTGTTTGTTGGAACCTGGTTATCTCCATTGTACGGGAGCAGCCCCGGGCTCATCAGTGCATCGCTAAGAAGATGGTCACCTGGGGGTCGAATATCTGCCAACCCCAACGGGGAGTACTTGGAGCCCAGCGGGGTGTGTGGCGGGAACCCAGCTCCGGGGGACGAAGGATACTTGGCCCCTTCCAGTACTCCGTGTTGTTTGAACATAGGAGACTGGTCAAAGCCAGCTGGACTGGACCGTGAATGGCCGTGCGAGTTGATCATACTCGAGCGATGGCTGGTCTGCGGTGTTGACTGCGGCAACGTAGGAATGACCGACGGGGCCGTGTTGACCGAGACGGCTGGCGGGCGATTCTGACCACCCGGCGTCAAAGATCCAGGAAGGGCACCACTGCTGTTCCCACCCCCACTTGCATACTGCATGGGCTGTGCGCTGGAGTGGACGTTGATTGCTGGGACTTGGGTGGCAGCGCCCGCGTCAGGCGTCGTAGGGTAGTCGTGGGAGGGCGGCTGGCGGGAGGCGAGGTTCGGATTGATCAGGCCGGTCGAAGGAATGTGCAACTCCTCGGGCTGGCGCGCGAACATGGCCGACCGTCGAGGGGAGTCGAAGGACTGCGCGGGATTCGACATGGTGCGGAGGTGCCACGGCGCTTGGTCTAGGGGAGGGAGGGAGAAGGGGTGGGTCTCCGTAAGCTCCCCCTGGGAACGAAGATAACGAGTTGAGGAGGGTCTCCGAATTGACGGGCGAGCTGCAATCGAGCTCTGGACCTGGATAGACGAGGACAAGCCACGGATCAATCCAGCTGGGTCGGCCAGGCGCAGCTTCACGAGCGAGTCGAGGCAGCTGGGGTCCCGCGCTGACTCAGCCGACCCCAGCCTCGACGATCCGCCGGCGCGCAGTTCCATGGAAACGCCCGACTGGGGAGTGCAGCTTCAGACCTCCATTGAACGGGCCGTTTCGCTCGTTACCAAAAGCCTAACCTCTATTGACGACTTTTTGGTCCTCTCTTTCCTTTTGTTTTCCTTGCTCCCGACCTTCCAGTGTGGTTCGTCTTCATGGCATCGAATCCCCCCACTTCACCCGCGGCTCTATTGCTGCTTCCCCCGCCACCATCCTTCTCGTTCAGTCAAGTCAGGGATGCATTCGAGAAACCGCTCTCCGATGTACTGGCGAAGCTCGTGGGAGATCTAAACGGATCTAAGGCCATTGCCCCTCTCGATATAGTGTTGGAAATTCCTGGTTTGCTCTCGCCATCCTGTCGGCCGCACGCCAAGATCTTTGCACCGCTCCAGCACTATCTAACTAGCATCTATACTCTCATCGGGGCTGTGGCTGCCGCACACAACATCGAGCTGGACTCGCCCGGCGGCATTGATGCCCGCGTCATCTTTACCGGGGATTCTGCTTCTGGAGACACGACTTCTGCGGGCCAGGGCTTCGGACCAGTTGTCGACTTGACATCCTTGGCGACCTCGGACCGACAGTGGGATCAGGTGTTCTATCTAAGTAACGAGGCCGGCCGCAGGCTATTCCACAACTTTATCCACACGAACACGAGCCAGACCACTCGTGTTGAGTTCAATGACCAGGCCATTTCATGTATCTCCAATTGGGCTGTCCCAATGCCTCTTTTACTTCCAAAGGACCAGCCACAGGCCCTCCAGCCCCACTATTCCGTGATAGTCGGCGGCACCTTCGATCATCTTCACTTGGGCCACAAGCTTCTTCTCACAGCCCTGGCACTGACACTGGAACCACCTACCGACGCAGATCAGGGCCAAGAGAGGCTGTTGAGTGTCGGGGTCACGGGAGATGCCCTCCTAAAGAATAAGAAGTATGCGGAGTTTCTCGAAAGCTGGGAAGACCGTTGCCAGAGTACCGCAGCCTTCCTGCGCGCCATCATGGATTTCTCTCCGAACCACACTCCCCGCGTTGAGCGGATCACTGCACCCGGTCCCAATGGGAACGCCGTGATCATGAGGATCCAGCCGAATCTGACATTCAAGTTTGTGGAAATCTGGGATCCCTATGGACCGACGATCACGGAGGAAAGCCTCACCGCACTGGTAGTCTCCAAGGAGACACTCTCTGGCGGGGCAGCCGTGAATGACGAGCGGGCCAAGAAAGGATGGAAGAGCCTGGCGATTTTCGAGGTGGACGTACTGCAGACGGGGGCGGCCACGGAGGTGACGGACGCCAACACTTTCGAGGCGAAAATCAGCAGCACAGACATTCGGCGGCGGCAGATGCATCTGGCCAAGGTGTAGGAGGACATCAAATCATTGGAAAGGAAGCGACGAGACCGGGGCAGGAGGGGGTGTTGGAGTGTTGGAGTGTTGGTTCCAACATGGGGCCAGTGGAGAGCGAGGGGGGATATTCGCATGTTGCAGGAGTAGTTCGGTTCTTGTAGATACGTTGCCTACCTATGGGGGCTGACTTTATGTGGTGTCAATCAGACACTTTAATAACATCCAACACATCCAACACATCCAACACATCCAACACCCCCACCTCGCCGGGCTCCTCTCGGGGCTCCAATCGTCCCAACCATCCTCCGTTTCGATTTCGGCCAATTTCCCCCGTCCAGCAGCTTCTCCACCAACGCGAGCTCGTCACTCTGCAGATGTGACAAAAGGAGCGGGGGCCTGCATTGGCCTGTCCCTCATCGACGCCTTCCAACCACTCAGACAGTCCCCCCACCATTCCAAGCCATTCCAACCCTTCCAACCATCACCACCACCGTCGCTCCACCATCCAACCACCACTCCATCCACCTCAACCGCCCCCGTCCATCCCCATCCAACCGACTCGCTTCTTCCCTCCCTTCAGCTGCAGGTTCGCGCTGGCTGCGCGGGCTGGCCGCAGCCTCTTTCAATCATGTGATTACAGCGACTGTCCGTCGCCAATGGGACCCTCAAGATCGCGATGCAAAGGCCTGGCCGGGGCAGCGCCAAAGCGCGCTAAACCAGGGTCTTGATGATCATCCCGGTCGCGGTCAGGCCTTGTTAGGGCGAGGACCGTCGCCATGCGGACATGGTGAGACAAGGCCTGGGGCTGCGACGAGTCCACTCGAGCTTTTGACAGCTTGCTTTTTTTTTCCTCGCCCGGCTCTGGTCTTGTCCAGTCGGCTTTTTTTTAGATTGTGGTTTTATTTGATTTTGAATTATTTTTTTCTTCTCCACGACCGTCTTATAGCCAGCGCCATTCCCACCGGTCGTGCGCCCCCAAATACACTGTGTCATCTCTTTTTTTTTTTTCCTGACTACCGTCGCGCTGGTCTTGTAAGACCCAGCCACCAGCGAGCGCCTGTCCCCCGGCCTCTCTTTCGCATTTCCATGTTGCTGCTACTCGCCCAAGCAGCCGAGTTGTCGGCTGCCGCGCGCGCCGATCATGGCCCAGCCACGTCACCTTCTGGACCTCGCCGACGAGCTGCTGAGCGAGATTCTGTCTTTCTTGCTAGAGGAGCCCGGGCCCCGAGCCCTAAATGGTAACTCCGCCAGGAACGGGCACAATGGCCACCACGCTGGGGAATACGAAGACCATCACCCCATGGACTATGGCTATGGCGAAGCCTCCGAGCTGGATCGTTTTCGACTCGTTTGTAGACGATTCATGCGCATCGGCACGCCACGCAAATTCTCGCGCTTTATTCTGCGCTTCTCGGAGGATGGTTTCCGCCGTCTGGACGACCTGTTGAAGATGCAGCTGGCCTGCTATGTGAAAACGGTGACATATCTCGTGCGACCCTTCTATCAAGGCAGCGGTACCCGATGATCCTCACATCCGTTCATAAAATTAGAGACAAGAGCCACGGGGCAAACTGACAACCAATCTCTACAGGCTGGGCACTGGCTTTTCGAACGCTCGGCACCGAAAACCCTCTCCTCGCGCAATTGCATAGCCGCCGCCTGCGCGAGCAAACCACCCTTGTCGACAGCAATGACGACCTCACGCAGCTCCGTGCTGCAATTGCGGCCTTCTCAGCTCTGCAAGAAATAAAACTTCTCCGCCTGCAAGACGAAGCCGACGAGCGGCTCCTCGATTTCATCCGCGACCAGGCCATTGGCAATGCAGCGCCCGCGACCCGTTTCGACTGGGAGTCTGCATGCTCGCGCGCCGTCACCAACCTAGGCATCGCCCTGCTCGACTCCCAACGTACCTCAATCCGCTTCATCGGCCCACAGATCAGTCCCGAAGCAACGCTGCAGCTTCTCGAAGCACCCTCAACCACCCTCGCCGCAATGGGCGGCCGCATCACCAGCCTCGACATCAACTTCCATGCCAACACCGACATCACCGCAACCATGTCGCACCTCTCCTCCGTCTTCCACCGCTTCTTCATGGAGGCCAAAAACCTGGTAGCCATCCACATCGGCTTCCCGGCCAAAACCCCGCTCGACCTCGACCTGGAAGCCATATTCCATAACATCCGCTGGAAGACTCTGCGCACACTGAGTCTGCAGGGCTGGAGGCTCAGCGCCGACGAGCTCATTGCGCTCGTGCGCCGGCACCGCTACCAGCTCCGCGATTTCCGCCTGTTCGCAATCTACCTCCGAGCGCCAGGCCGGTGGCGCGACGTGTTATGCGTGCTCCGCGCGGAAATGGAGCGCTTGGTTCGGCTCGATATGCGCGAAATCGACTATGCGGAGAACTTTGACGCGCTCACCATCGACAGCGGCGTCGAAGTCTTTGACCCGCACCCGGCGCCAATGGCCTCATCCGTCTCCGTGGCCGCGGCCACGGGCACGTCCCCGCCGGAGTCACATATCCCTGCTGCGTTTGGAGGCAATGGGCTCCCGGCTCTGGGGCGCAGGCTGCCACTGAGACGGGGGTCGTTTGGAAAGGTGCGCGGATTGTCTGTGGATGAGTTGGGGGATAACGGATTCCGCGTGCAGCAGGATCAGGTGCATCTTTGGGAGGCGTGGGTTTTATCTGGACCGCGGCGGGACATGCTGAATAGATACTCGCACTAGCACTAGCACTAGCACTGGCACTGGCACTGGCACTGGCACTCGCATTCGCATTCGCATTTACAGGGTCTTTTGACATTGGAACTTGGACTTGGAGCACGAGAGTACAAATTCGATGGATTCAAATGAACGAAATTGGGTGGGAAAGGGGGAGGGTGAGCAGGACTATCATCCCAGGAGTTGGCGGCTGTTTGAACAGATTCACTGCGCTTGATAATTGATATTGGGTTTGATGCGTTTGCGGGTCTGCATTGAAGCCTGTTCTGCTGTGCATTTGGATTCGATCGCAGATTCATGAGCAATATGCATACATGATAGGGATCCCATGACCTAACTTTCTTCTACCCATTGATTGGCATCTGATCTAATCGGATCTAAACTAAACTAAACTCCACTCAACTAAGTATCTCCAGCGTAAGGATCTTCAAGAAGAAAGGAATATATATACCAAAGAAAAGGAAATGACATCAATGCCACGCTGGGAATTCCCCAATCCCATTGTTGCACAACAAGAAAATAAAGTACCTTCAAATCCTCCGCACGGACGGGATTGGTCACGCATTACAACTTGACCAGTCCCCACCACTCTGCGCAAAACTCAATCCCCGCACAAAATCTCCGCGGTAACACCGACCGAGCTCGTCAACCGCACAGCCATGCAGCGGGACAACGCGGTCATTGACCAGCACGCGGACCAGCGGCTCCGCCTGCCCGCCACACTGCATCATCTCAATATACGCGCGCGCACCGAATGGTACCGTCCAGGCCGCAGAGTACCCATCGGCGCGCGACGCAGCTTGAACGTGGTCGCGTGGCAGTGGGGCAGTACCGTTGTACAAGCCCAGCGCGAAGAAAATCGGGATCATGCCATTGTCGTGCGTGAAGTCCGCGTACAGAGTGCGGTTGACGGGGAAGGTACTGGCCCCCGGTGCGTCGAGGGTGTGGTTGGTCGTTGTGGCGTCGTGGACGGGGGCGTGCGTCATGCGAGCGATGAGCTCGTTGACGAAACCGACGCCCTGCGTGGGACCCAGGGCGCTGCCGGCGCCGTAGCCGTAGTATTTGCTCAGCGACTGGAGATAGTTGTACTGCGTCCACTCAGCCTCGGTGAAGAGGTCGCAGAAGGCCGACACGATGCTCCCGTCTGAGGTAGAGGAGACGGTGTCGAAGGCGCACATATCCATGAGGTAGGTGACGTCGTTGTTGGAGAGGGTTACGCCCGGCAGGCTGGACTGCAGGCGATGCACGATGGGCGGCGCAATGATGGCAGTGTAGTTAGCTGTGACCTCGTCACCTAGTTCGCTGGCCTCGAAGTCTGGACAGGTGTTGTGGTTGAGGGTGTTGTTGGAACCGCTGTCCTCGGAGATGACGACGTTAATCGTCGGGCTTATTTGGTTACGGTCTGCGGCGCGGTCCTGCGTCTTAGTCTGCTGGAAGCCCTGGATGAAGTTCTGGCCAGACGCGACGACACGGGAGGAGCCCGAAGAGCGGATGAAGGGGACGTGGTCCCGAGTTAGGGCTTCGTAGCGTTCATAGAACTTGATGCCGGAGCTGATCATCTGGCGCTCGCCAAATGGGGTCAGGTCATCGCTGCCCAGTGTGTAGTTGTAGGAGTGCAGGAAGGCAGTTTTCCCGCGGAACGCGGTGGCATTGGCCTGGATGGTCTCGACCAGCGCCTTATACTGCTTGCTCTTCGATGCAGTCGGGTACCGTGCGCCATGCCGGTGCAGGACCTGAACGAAGATCAGGTCACACTTTTCCGGGACCGCGTCCGAAATGCTAGCATCTGCGAGGGAGAAATAGGGGGAGTACTGGCCCCAGCGGTGCGAGATATCTGCGAAGCATTGGTACCCACCGTTGATGCTATTGCACGCGTGCGGACCACGTGCATCTTTTTTTCTGGTCTAGACGTTGCACTCGCCACCAGCCGGTCAGGACGTGTTCTGTCAAGCACAGCCACCTCATACAAGGGTTCATACCCAGTTACCAAGTACACCGTTATCCAGATGACGGCACCTAGGAGAACGGTGATGCTCACTAGAGTCCACCGGTACGAGCTTATGGTCTTGGACTTGGGGGAGCTTTGGCCATCGACATGATCGCCCAGGAGACCCTCCTCTTCACCATCATTGCGGAGTCGGTTCCTGTACCCCGCCATTTCGGAGCTCTTTCGGCAGAGCCTCAGCTGTTGATTGGCCTCCGCGAGTTCGGAAGGCGTTCCACAAGGCCAGGGGAGGTCATGGCAGAGAGAGAGAAAAAGAGAACAGCGTACGAGATGCAGGACGAGAGGACCACGACATCTGCCGTGCCGCGTCGTCCCTTTCCCTTAGCCTGAAGTCGGCCTGAGGTCGGCCTGAGGCTGGCCGGCAGCGCATTCCAGCGCCCGTGAGCGTGCGCGCGTTGCTGATTGGTGGATGCTCTGCTTCAACAGCACGGATTCGTGGTACTTGCAACGTACTTCTCTGAGAACACCATTTTATCTGATCGACAAAGTACTCTCCCGGTACCTGTTGGTATCCCATGCCTCCTTTCCACGCCTGACGGCGGCGGTCTGCACTGTTTGTTCTCTCACACGTCGTCGTCGCTCTTGTAGCTGCCCTCTGCACCACATCCACCCGTTAGTCTCATTAACTTGTCATTCAACACTCGCTTGATACAAGATCGCGCGCTAAGTCCGGAGTCCTCCTCCATCTCCCCGAACACCCTCGATCGCCGGGGAAGCACAATGCATGACACGATATCAACTCCATGGAACTAGTCTCCCATCCGGATCCGACTAGCCTCCTCGATTATCTCAACGGCCCGCCACCTATTGGCATAATATGCAGGCTGCAGATAGGACTCTGTCTCCATCCAAAGACAGATGACCCACGCGAGCGGTTCAATGTGTCAAATACGGGCGATCAACAATCCACGCCGTCCGCCACGCAAGGGGCATCGTATTGGTATCCGGCTCCCCACTCCACAAGAGTAGAACAGCAGTCCGTAGTTCGTAGCCCGAGTGCGGTGTCAAGGTACCTACTATATCCACGACAGCAACCCCCCCCCAGGCAACAGAGATACCGCACGGCAGAGACCTGCCGAAGATCGAAGCAAGCTACTGCAGGCCTCGTGCAGGTACGCTGCGATTGGAGAATGGACCATTCTCACTGTATTATATACTGACGCGCCAACTCGATGGATCCAGTGTTACCTGTCAACGGTCTCTTGCCACGGAATTAGAATTTGCACATACAGGAGTTCGTACATGCTGACTGCCAAGTAGCTATATTGGGAGTGTTTGGAGCGTCACCTGCATGCATCCTCGGTCTATGGAATGGATATTTGATGGGGTGGTTTCCTGGGCAATACCCAGACGGCGTAGGCCGTGCCAATCAATGCGCTGAGAGGGACGATGATATTGGTGGTTGTAATGTGGGATCAGCTCTACACTCCACGTCTGATTATGGGGAACCAAGCCAAAAAGGGTACCAGCAGAAAACAAGGACAAGACCAAGGACGAGATTCGGGAAACAGGGAACATAGAACAGAGAAAAGAGAAAATTTTCAACTCAAGATTCGCCAATGGAGGTATCACCGCTGTAGAAATCAGACACCAAGAATGGCAAACGGGATAAGCAGGGGTGGTCAGGTAGCCGGGGTGATGGGAAGAAGAGGATGTGGAGAACAACTTTTGGGCCGATACAAAAGTGAAAGAGACTCCGTAAATAGATCAGGGCTATGAGAACAGACACACGTAAGAACCAAGATATACTAATACACCCGTGCCAGAAGGTCAAGGCGCGTGGGTGAGGGAAGGGAAGGGAATGGACATCGCTAATTTTGAGGCACTCAGGCAACAGTCATGCCAGCGACTGCTTGCTCATGACCGGGAGGATTGGGATTAATAGAAATAGAGGACATAAAGAAATGAACAAGAATAATCGCAAATGAGAAAGAAAAAGGGGGGGCGAGGATTCATCTGCCCCCGCTCTTCCCGTTCATACTCATGTTCGGGACCATGACCCTTGGAATGGCGGCAGAGATACTCCAGATACTGGCGGTGGCCCACTCCGTCCTATCGAAATTTCAGGCGAGTAGGCGGCCGGGCTACCAGGCCAGCTTGCCTGCGGTCTCGCTGAGTCCAGCAACCGGGTCGTAACAGCCTGGCTGGAACCCGCCGCAGGCGTCTGAGACTGTCCAGTCCCCGAAGCCGACCGCCCCTCCACGCCGGACCATGCCGGCGCCGCAGCGGGCGTGTCCATCACTGGTACCAGGGAGGGCTGGGTGAGGCGCGGCGAAGGCGGTCTCGGCGAGGTATAGATCGCAGAACCGGAGCGGTCGAGGGCATCGCGGAAGAAGTCTCGCTCGGAGCGGTAATGGTCCCGCTGCAGAAGGAGCGAGCGGATCTCCTCGCTCTGACGGCGGACCGTCTCGGCGTGGCGCTGGATCTCGTCCTGCTGCGCGGTGAGCCGCTGCTCGAGCTGCATCTCGTTGCGTTTGCGGTTGCGGAAGCGCCGCGATGCGTCACTGTTGGCCTTGCGCTTCTCAGCTTGGCTGGTGGATCCAGACTTCAGGTCCAGCAGACACGGGATCATCCCCGGCGTCCCGGCTGTGTCTTCGGTTACGCTGCTCCGAGGGCCGGCCGTGGCGAGGGTCCCCCGGCTCAGCGATTCCATCGTGATATAGGGCGTTGGTACCGCATATGCTGCGGCACTGGGGGCCAGGGTCACATTGGTGACGGCTGGCGAAGCGCGGCCAAAGTGGCTGAAGGTTGAATGCGGCGTGGACGGGCTCGTTTCCTGCGAGTTCGGGTTCGTCAGTGGCCCTGGCCCGGCACTGGTTCGGCGCGAGTGGATGCTCGGTGTCGAGTGAAGCGAAACAGATGCTAGAGGCTGCGCGGCCGATTGTGATGCAATGGGCCGGAGCGTCGCGTCCAGAGGAAGAGGTGAGCTGACGGGGGGTGGTTGCCGCGAGCCTACAGTAGGTTCCTGGGGAACCAATGGTGACTGAGCCACGCTGGACTGGCCTGATGTCCGGCCGCTGGTGCCAACAAACCGCGCCGAGGGTGAACCCGGATTGATCAGACTCCGTGGATGGGATTTCGGGGACAAGGGATGCTGTACAAGTGGATACACCGAGCGCAGCGCGGGCGAAGAGCCTTGCCGAGGTCTAGGTGAAGACGGCGGCCCTGGTCGGCTCAGCTGCTCACGGACGCTAGCGCGCCGGACCGGATCAGTCGCGCCTTGTGCTGGGGGATTGAGAATGGCATGGACCCCGATGGGCCGTGAAGACGAGACTTCCAGCGGGGGTTCCACCGGCCCATATGGATGCCATGACTGTGGACGCGCGCGCAGCGGCGGCCGACGAGCGGGCTGGCGGTTGCCGGGCCCCAGGTCGCTATCGATCACGCTGCGGTCGTCCGAGGATGAATGAGTTGCATCGTCGGACAATGGGCCAGCGCGCAGAGGCTCCTGCGACATGGGCGGAAGTGTGTGGGCGGGCCGGGGATTAGGGCATGACCGATTCCCCCTCTCTCTGTGTCACCAGGGGTCTCACGGAGGGTGTGAGAGAGGGAGGATGCCGGATAGCGAGGGTTCACTGGATAATGCGACAGCTTTGGCGAATGCAGCGGCCTCGCGTAAGGCGCAGTCAACACGCTGAAGCCTAAGGTCGCCACGGTGAAAGTAAGATAATCGGACGAAGAAAGAGATCGGACCGTGAGAACGCAGAATCCCCAAAGTGTTTGGGACCTTTTTCCCTGGTCTTTCTCTTCTCTCTCTTTCTTTCTTTCTTTCTTCCTGTTTGCGTTGAGTCCTTTCTGCTAGGATCAGAAGGGGTGAGAAGAGTGTAGTATGCCGGACTGGATCCCAATTGCCCGTAATGACCACGGCGTAGGGTTGAGGTATAGAGACGAATAAAGACGAAGCTTCGCGAGACGGACCGCAGAATCTCCAGCTTAACACCGCACTTCTAGCCCAAAACGGACAGGGTCTAAAAGAGCCAATTCGGGTGCGATCAGATCAACCCATGTGCATGCAAGACGGAAGCGATCCGAGGCCCCATCAAGGCGAGGGGGTTCCAGGCCAAAGGAGGTGTATGGCAAGAGTAAAAATGGATGAATAATTAGGGCCTGAATTTCGAAGTACCGGAGTACCAGGTACAAGGGAGAGAGGAGGAAGGAGGGAGAGGTGGATGAATCATGCGAAGAATAAGAATTTAATATTAATAATTGGCGGCCGTTGAGCAGCGGTGAGAGAACGAAAGGAGTGGAAGTGGGGGATCCATGATCCATCACCTTTTTTTTTCGTCGTCGTCTCGGGGGGAGGATGCTAGTTACTGCTGGGCTCGAGTCAGTGCCTCTGTCCGACCCAGACTGTCGGATAGTTGGGCAGGGACAGGCCTCACCTCTTTTCCTGGCCCATGTTTAGTGACGGAGCTGGTTACCTGGTCCATACTGTATACTTCATACTCCTCCGTAACTACAGTACTACAGTACTACAGTACTGTCCTGGCGCCTTCGCTTGTCATCTGGAGACCAGTTTCCCTCCGGATTGCCTATAGCAGACCCCAATCCTCTATACAACGGTGGCGTTGCCTATTCTCTCCATCTTGGGATTGGCGCCCTGCCCACCCTCAGCCTCGAGGGGGCGAAGGAACGACGAGCACTCCAATCCAATGCCCAAGCTCGTGGAACTGCCAAAAGACTAACCCAGGTGGGAACCAACACTGGGAGACTGGAACTGGGGGAGAATTGGCGGTCTCAAGTTGTGTGATGGGCAGATGGTGGATCCTCCACCCTAATACCCACTCCGCCTCTCTCTTTCCACCCTGTCCTCATTATTAACTGCCTGGGGAGCCAACCAGCGATCGTCGGCATGCACAGAGCGAATCACCGGCGATTTCTGGATGGGGCAACTGCAAGTGTGCGGGCGCCGTCACCATGGACATGGACAAGGGACGGGTGGAGTCCCCTGAGCTGTCGGGCTGTCGGGCTGTCTGAGCTCTCTGCTGTCTCTGTCCAGCTGTCTGGTCCTTTCCTGATGGCTCCCGATTCGTTTTCGCTTCTCCCCTGCCTCATACATGGCTGCCTAGGTCCGGAGCGCATAGTCCCAGTCCCAGTCCCAGTCCCGGTCTTAGTTCATAGTCCTAGTTTATAGCCATGGCCTGTGAGCTCCCCTTCGATCCTTTGCGATGACGACAGATGGTGGCGACGGTCGCCTAACAGGAAAAGGGGAGCATATTCGCGGTTGCCCGTCGTGATTTCCCGTTCTTTTCTTTTTCTTTGTATTTCGCCACTTTTCGACTATAATTTCTCGTCCGTCTGAGGGGCGGTTTCGGCGGAAAGAGCAAAAACAATCGGAAGAAAAAATAAACATAAGTCTAATAGCACCGTCAAGGAAAGCCTAGGACTTTCTAGGCCCCCTAAGGTGTCTACGGTATAGCGTCTAGTCGATTTGAGGGGGTCAGGTGGGCCATTCCATGACGCAGAGAACCGATGACGATATCTACAGTATACTGCAGCGGTTTCAGTTGGAAGTGGGCATCTCCCCTAAGCCGATAATTCCCTTCGCCCAGCTGGTCCTAGTCCTGGTCCTACTATGTTCCGAGTTCGGCGCTCGGGAGACAAGTGAGTGTTGAAAGGGGAGAGGGGAATTAATTGAGACACAAAAAAAAAAAAAAAAAAAAAAAAAAGGAAAGAAAAGAAAAGAAAAATGAAAATGAAAATGAAAAAGGAACCATCCAAATCCGATAGATTCATAGTGGATCCACATGGCCCTGGGGGAGCCGCCGAAAAAGAGGGCAGTTGACACGTTCGTTGTTTAGAAGAGCACAAAAATGGGCTATTGTCTCGACCGACCATCAAAGGGAGGACATAGGTACCATCCCGAGAAAAGGAGAAGAAAAAGAAAGGGGACAGGGGAAACCCGAAAGAGGCAAAGGAAGGCCGAATGTGCACAAGCACGGCGATGCACTCCGGCACAACTATTGCAAACCTTAACCGCTCCGAGGTTAGGTTTGAATGTTGTGCATGCATCACCAGCGTTCCCCGTGTCAGTCCCGGCAAAGAGGGACCGCTGCCGTTGGTGACCGTTAGGGGGATGATCAACTGATGAACGGTAACTCGGTGGGTAGAGACTATTGGGAGCCCCTCCCCTTCACCGGTCCTTGGGTTCCCTCTGATCTGAGCGGTCGAGGGAAAAAAGGGTGAGAAGCCGAACCTAACCTAAACTGACACTAGACCCCCACCCCAAGTCAAATCAGTCTGGTGGAGACCTAATCTGCGATGACCGAGCACGGGGCCGGCTGCCTTTTTTTTACCATCTATATTTCTGTCCTTTTTTTTTTTTTTCCTGTTTTCTTAGTCGATGCTGAAATTCATCATCGCAACCGAGTTGGGACCCGTTAGGCCGAAGGAATCCTCCGGCCTATTAGCGGCTTGATATAGTCTGCGATAGTTCGGGGGTCCACTGGGCCCTCGCGGTGATTCCTCCGCCCTACGTCACCAGCAGTCCCCAGGGTAACATAGACCATCGTCGGGATCAGAAAGAATGGCCATTGACACTTGACCCGTGACCTGGAACTGCTCGTGTCACGGGGATCTACAAAGCAGTGACGGGTCCGCCAAAGCTCAAAAAGTACCGAGCCTGCAGCAATGGGCAAATCGGAAACAGCAGATAGCAAATAGCTTCGACTCAAATCCAGGACACGACAAGCATGATGGCTGCAAATTACAAGGATGCTCGGCCTGGCAACGGGGAAGCTAGCAGCTTCCTAAGCTCGACGATCTATCAACCCCGTTTCGCCCATTCTACGGCCGAAACGAATCCGGCCAAGAGCTCCCGTGACGCCTCACAATGCGCGCAGGGCGCATGAACGAGCAGGAGATTCCAAGTGGGTAGCTCACACCGTCTATCACCACAGGAGCTCTCCACTTTCAACAATGTCATCACCGCAAGCCATCCCGCCTGGATCATCCCAAGACCCCGTGTGCGCAGGAGATAGTTTCCGCACGGCAAGGTCGAATGATGACGATCCATACTAGCGCGACGGCGGCTGCAGTGAAAAGTGGATGCCAGAATCCTTCGAGAGCGCAGCACAGCACACCAACAATGAAATGGAGAACCTGGCGAATCTCCCCACTGTGGAGCCGGGTTCAGCTGAGCCAAAAGAACCCGATGCAGTTTGTGCTGAAGCTTCTGCTCTACTCTGACTTGCAGGACTAGTTTCGTGGTTTCGCCAGAATCGGGGCTGAGTCGCGATCCACCCCGATCGAGTCACCATCGGGGATCAACGAACACCGGCTCAACAGCTTTGCCGACAAGAACGCCGTAGTGTTCTACTGTACCACTACGGGGGGAAAGGGTTACCGCTAAGACAAAGACAAAAAACAGAAAAACAAAACACAAAACAAAACAAAACAAAACAAAACAAAATAAAACAAAGAGATAGATCGTTGATGAGCCACGCAGACGATTCTCCGCTGGTTCGTGGTTGGCCTCCAGAGGTGACGGTTACTGCGTTTGTTTTGTTTTCGTGAGAGCTAGCTCCTTAAGGCTTAGGCGTCTTCGTAGTCACCTTTGAGTCACCTTCTCGCTGTAACTAATTATGTAGCTGTCAGGGAGGCTTCGTCTGCGTTTAAGTTTAGGGAGGGCCCTTCGACACTAGCAACCCGAGCAATCGCTAGCCGCCATTCTGGCAGTGCGACGAATCACCGCGCGCCTCGGGGCGACATTTGCGGTCTGATAGAACCAGGCGCTCTGACTGGTCCGCGGAGGCTCGGCTTTTCTCCAGTCTGGGGTGCGAGACATGCAGCCAGGCGACTTGCAGCGCCCCCAATTAGTTTGGTGGAAGTGTCATCATCGTCAACTGCCCTTTTCGTCATGGTTGTCCGAATGGGGAGATTCCATGCCTCGAACGGGGGGCCGCGCTCCTATCTCTGGCCGCACTGGTGGCTTGCAATCTCAAACCACCGTTCCCAGCGTCTCGGGTCGAGAGCCACCACGCAAGTCTCGCCTACGTACTCCATCGTAATTGAATCTCCGGAACTCCGGTTCCAGCCATGTGCCATCGCCATAGCTCCTCCGCCTTCTTTGCCCGTTGCCTGCTGATGATGCGTAGGTGCATGGGGGCCGAGACTCGAGGGGCTGGGGCTGGGGGAATGGTCCCAGGTATCTGGTACCTGGGTGTTGCGTACCACGGTTGAGCATGGATAGGTACCAGCGACAGGCAAATGCCTAAACAGCTCCGTCCCCACAAGATTCTTATTTGCCGCACATACTGTCCTGACCGACCAATGGAGGAGACAACTACCGACCGGACCATCAGTCATAGGACAGGCATCAATAGTGTCGGTCACCGGAGAGAATACGATGCATCTACTCCTCCATCAGGGGAATATTCATTTTCTGACACCTTTTGTTTCGTCCGTGATTTCGTGGTGGACCCTCCGTCCGGATTGCAATATATTTTGCTTTCCCCCCTTCTGGAAACCTGCGCCTAGTCCCCTCAGGGCACACCCCTTACCCCCTTCTCTCAGCGATCTACGAACTTGGGGGCTGTCCACTTGCGCTGCATAAGATCATCGCATTACCTCGTGTCCGCTGCAACCGCCACCGGCCAACAAAAGAAAAGAAAGTCAAGATGCAAAAACAGAGCGTAGTCCACCGATCTCGGCCTAGACCGCGCAATGCTTCTCCGTCACCATGATCGTGGTTCTGCGAGTCATGACCGGCAGCAGCAGAGACATACAGCAGTTCCATTTGGAACTCCAGATCGCTACAGACCGATCCTGCATACCACACAGGTCACGTCTCTTCGTACATCCCGGCCGGCCTTCTTCACCGAATTGTGCCCGAGGGCTCTGGACAAGCTCGAGCCTTGGCCCTGGTCCTGGCCCCCGGCGCGCTGCACACGCAGACATGTCCTCCGTATTGGCTGGGCACTGGCACTCGGAACACCCGCAACACACTCTCAGCACCTCCCGTGCCTGCATTTCGCCCTGCAGGGCGGACCCGCCCAAGGGCAGTGCTGGTGCCCACGCGTTGCTGAGGCCCAACATGCAAGAGGGCGATCGGTCTACCTTGGCTGACGCTACAGCACATCCAGCATCCAGCATCCAGCATCCAGCATCCAGCACATACTGGCAACTACTCCCATGACTCTGCTAGGCAAGGTACCTGTTGTGATTTTTTTTCTATAAATATCAGATCAGCAGGATGACGGCAGCGGCACGTAGTGCTGGACGTGTCGTAATCTAGTCCGGCTCGGGATGCGCAAAGCCCTCGTCACCACGGAGGACTGTAACTTGTAACCCAGCCCCTTGCGGCCTGCAGAGTTGGGAACCTGAACTTAAGCCACGGACGGCGGGTTGACAGCGAGCCGTTCCGTCATCTTTCAACCACCCCGTTTCGATGATCGACGACCCCACTCCACAGACAGGAGACCTGCTCCGGATCTATGATCTATCGACTTCCGGCTGCGATGTGTCAGGAATGCACCTACAGCACTGACCGTCCCCCTCTTCCGATCTCCAATGCGTCTGGGAGGGTTCCCCCGGCAAACAAGCCTCAATTGTCGCATCGTCGATATATATGTACAGAGACGGAGTACGCTCCACCAACTACTGTGTGGCTACGGGAGAGGCACAATAGATCGTCTGGAGTACAGGTGACGGTGCGATCTATGTAAGGATGTACTGTAGTCTGTAAAGGTGAATCTACCACCCAAAAGGCTCTGTACACAAGACACCGCTCTGTTCCAGCCGTGGAATCGTCCACGGCTCGTTCCTCGTCTCTACGGCCCCCAACCTCTGGAACATCAGAACACCAGAACACCAGAGCCCCGCTAGCCCTTCGCTGCTTGGATCCGGAACTCGTTCTTCGGCTGTCCGCGCACACCGACATCAACTCGAAACAAGCGGCCCCCATACCGCACCGACTGCGGGAACTGCGCATCATCCCGATCATCCTTCGCCGAGGTAATGAACAGCTCGGTGCCCACGAACGCCGGACACGTTGGGTTGCGCGTAGGCAGGTCAATCTGGCCAATGACCCGGCCGTCCGGCGCGATACGCAGCACCTTCCCGCCGCCATAGATCGCGCTCCAGAGGCACCCCTCCACATCGATCGCGAAGCCGTCCGGCTCCAGCGGCTCGCTGAGATCAAAGTGCACGCGGCGGTTGCTGATGGCGCCGGTGGCCGCGTCGAAGTCAAAGGCGAAGATCTTGCCGGTCGGCGAGTCGGTCCAGTACATCGTGTCGTCGGCCGCATTCCAGCCAATCCCGTTCGGGATGGTGACCGGCGCCAGCATCTGGTGCAGACGGAGGTCCGGATCGAGTCTGAACAGCACGCCCTCGGCGCGGGGGGATTGGACTTTGGGGTCGTTCATGGCGCCGGCCCAGAAGCGGCCGTGGCTGTCGACGGCGCCGTCGTTGAAGCGCATTCTATCACGAGCAGGCTGTGAGTCGGTGAAACGGACACGCACTACGGGATGGGTCTATCTAGTCTGGGGGCTGGTCGTGGGTGCGCATCGCCGCCACCCGTGTCTCGACCGCGCAAACCTCCCAAGAAAAAGAGATGGACACTTACAACTCCTGCTTCGGGCCATCCTGCTCCCAGGGTTGGGCGATGTACGAGAGCTTCCCAGTAGTTCGGTTCAGCCGGGCGAATCCATGCTTGGCGCCGACAATCAGCTGGTTCTGCTCGGCCTCACCCGCGATGTTGGCGGTGACGCTAAAGTGCCCACCAGGGACCGGCTGTCAGCGGATGCGGACACGAAGGTGAAGCTGCTAGTGCTGCCGGGGACGCAAAGAGACCAAAGTATGTGAAGATGGTCTGCGACCAGCCACGACACTCACTTTTCCCGCCCCCAAAAGGCAAAACGGGAGGCGTCTGGGCGTCAAGCCCCATGGAACCAAACACAAAAAAAACTCCAGTCGCAGAAAACCTACCCGATTGCCGCGTCGGTATGGATTGTCTTCAGGGAGTCCGGGCCCTGGGCCAGATTGAGGCGATAAAGTTTGTGCTCCCAGATGTCGACGAAGCGGAGCTCGTTGAGGGCGGCATCGTGGAAGGGGCCCTCGAGTAGGGTGCCCGGTATGTCGAGATAGGGCTAATGAGGGCGGTGGTTAGCATACTCTGTCCGCATATCCGTACTCCGTCCTGTTGTTGGCATGGCCGCGACAAATGGTTTTTCTTTTGCGGCTTAGCAATTCTGTGATTGGACAATCACTGGTTTTTTTTTTTTTTTTTTTTTTTCTTGTTTTTTTTCTTTTTGATTCGGTATGAAAGTTTGGGGGCTGGCCATTAAAAATTGCCTGCTTGACCGACACATCAAATCGAAAAGAAAAGAAAAAAACAATCAACAGTAAAGCTCTAGCCAATGAAAAAAAACAGTGAATAACCTGGGACGGTGTACGGAGTCGGCAAATACGAAAATCATGTTCTGACCTCATCAACCGTCCATCTTTGAATTTCAGACATGTCGATCACGTTGCTACTCCACCGGACAGAATGGAGCAAAAAAAGCGACGTGCTAATGTGCCAGGGGAGGGGGTGCGAGATGGGAAGGGAAGGGGCAGCAAGTGATGGACACCGCTATTTGCCTGTCTTTCGGGAGATGGAGGAGCAACTCCGGGGAACGGGGAACTAGGCGGACTTGGTGGACAATGTTGGGACTATGTCACACACGGTTAGCGGATCACCGTCAGACGTCGGCGCAGGGGCTATAGCGAGGGCAGAGGTGAATCACAACAGATCCTTGGGTGGAGAGACCACGAACCTCAGACTCAAAAGTCAAGTGCTGGCAGCGCCGATCGCGGGAATGGACCGCGAATGTTCCGGGGGAGATCTTCCGAGCTTGGAGAGAAGGATGTACGGAGTACAGCAGGAGCGGAAGGAATGTTATGGCGGTAAAGGCGAACGACTGCCAAGACCCCGCCCCCACACTCCCAATGGGCGGAGTACTCGGACTACTATCCTCCTCCGGTACTTGTCAGGACGGTAGAATGGACAGGAAACCCCCTCTCGGACCTGCCTGGCTGTTCCTGATACTCCGTGCTGTCCATGTGCTGCGGGCCCAGCCGTGGATACACTAACTCGCCGGCATCGCCACTACCAGGTTGGGCACAGGGAGTCGAGCTCATCACAATCCCGGTCCCCTCAGCCTGCCCGCTGAACTGCAGGTGCCAGGTACCTACTCATCCCTGATCCCATCCTCGATTCGCGGGATACTCCCTCACTCCACCCCCGTCCCCTCTCGATTGGTAACCTGGTCACTGGTATGCTCGTCAAAAACCGCGCCATCCACTCAAACCCAGAGCACTGTACTCCGCACCCCTCTCCTTCCCAAATCGCCCAAGCGCCCACATGACCGCTTCTGCATGCAATCTGCAAGAGATTCATGTACGTGTGTGCTGGTGCTGGGCCGGGCGCTAAGCCATGACGCCCGCTCCCCCCCCACCCCATTCCCGAATTTCATGCCTAACCCATGCCCGCCAAAGAACAGGATTGGGCATAAAAGAAGCGTCGGGGTCCAATCAGCGGCACCTTTGGTGAAATTCATGAGACACCGAGCAGGAAAAGAAAAAGGAGACGTCCTAACTGGGTTGGTGGATAGGTACATGGGCCATGTCGGTCCGGCAGGGAATGTACCCGTCCCGAGGACCGAAAGACCTAACCTAGGCGACGCATTCGACAGGGTTGTTGGATCATCCAAGACATCCTCGACCGACGGTGTCCTAAGAGATCTAACTACCTAGGTCCAGCGCTACTGTCTCCAACCTGGCCAACACCCACGGTGATTCCGCCCTGCAGGTGTCTCACATTGACAGCCGTCCGACAGGGCCATCACAAGGGACGCGGTACGGAGGATTGGCTATGAGAGCTTCTACTTTGCTCCGGCCAGGATGAGTTGGTCCATTACGCCCGGAAACTCGAGAAACGGCCCAGGCCAGCAACTACGGTAAGTAAGCGCCCCCACCAGCCCCCATAGGCAAGCCTGACACCAACAGTAAGGATGCATGCCCGGACCGCAGAGAACCAAGCCCCCATTTACCACTTAACAACGCACCACACATGCAGCCCCGAGGGGCTTCATCTTGGTCGCCGATGGGGCTGCAGGCCCAATCACGCGGAAGATGCACCCTGGCCGCGAGACAAATCGCACTCAATGCAGCTCATGGTCCGTTGATTCTCGGAGCGTCGGGAGGGTAAGGCTTGCTTGCATGCAGGGAAGCATGTAACGACTTGTTGCCCTGCCCTGTGTTGTCCTGCAGGTCGTTTTTGGATCTGGATCGGGATCTGGATCTAGATTGGCATCTGGATTTGGGTTTGGGTTTGGTTTTTGCATTCACATTCGTGAAGGGGACGGGGATTTGAGATTCGAGCGTGAGACGGGGTTTATTCGATGCTGTGCGTGCATACATGCGCTGACGTAGAACATGCCAGCCACAACCCAGCACCGCGTCTGTACAGTACATCCACAGTACCGACCTGGACATGTAGGGCGTACGGAGCAGTGAGCTACTCTGAGAGTTCATGCGTAGATCCATGTGGAGAATTGGGCATCAATCACGGTTGATCGGTTTTTCCCAAGACCCCTAGTGGGTTGGCTTTGCCGGATGGGGCACAAGACGACTAGGGCTAATGGTCATCAGGAATCACGATCGGCTGTCTGCGACTTGCTTGTCTGGGGATCGTGTACTCCGTACAGAAACGGTAGTGTCCACAGGACTGGCCTGATGAGGGCCGGATCAGCTTCCACGGAAAGTTCCGCTAGGCAGGCGTATCTTGTGCAATTGGGCGTGTGTACCGGGGGGGGGGGGGGGGAGAGAGGGAGAGAGAATCCACTTGTGAGATGAGGTGCTCTTGGGGGATAGTGAGTGGATCCGGAGGAGGTGGTAGGAAGGGGAGGGAGTCGTTGAGAACGTGCTGTGAGGTGCAGTATCACAGATTCAGCCAAACCGCTAGCGAAGCCAGTCAGATGGCACAGGTCCAATGGAAGGCTACGCAGGCAGGATGGAAATTAGATTAGTCGAGATGGTGGAGTTTGGTTGGTCATCAAACATAAGAAGTGTCATCTAGTTACAAGCAGGGACTCTACCAAATGGAGAAGTCCAAGTTTACAGGCGGCTGCCCATGTTGACGTGAACAGCCTTGACTTGCGAGTACGCGTCCAGGCCAGCCTCGCCGAGCTCGCGGCCAATACCACTCTGCTTCACACCGCCGAACGGCACGCGGAAGTCGCTGTCGTTGCTGCTGTTGATCCAGACCATGCCGGCCTCGATATCAGAGGCGACACGGTGGGCACGCTCGATGTCGCGGGTGAACAGGGCCGCTCCGAGGCCGTAGGTAGTGTCGTTAGCGCGGGTGACAGCCTCGTCCTCGGTGGTGAAGCTGGCGATGACGACGAAGGGGCCAAACACCTCCTCGCGGTAGATGCGCATGTTGTCCTTGACGTTGGTGAAGATGGTCGGGGAGATGAAGAAGCCGCGGCCGTCGCCGACGTTCTTGTACGGCTCACCGCCAGCGGCCAGGGTAGCGCCCTCGGACTTGCCACTCTCAATGTACGACAGCACACGGTCGTACTGCGCCTTGGTGACCTGCGGGCCCTGGAAGGTCTCGTCCTCGAAGGGATCGCCGACCTTGCTGGTGGTCTTGACGACCTCCTTGAAGAGCTCGACGAACTTATCGTACACGGACTCGTGGACCAGAATTCGCGAGGTTGAGGTGCAAACTTGACCCTGGTTGTACATGATACCAATGTGTGCCCATTTGGCCGCCTGCTCGAGGTCTGCATCCTCAAAGACCAGCAGAGGCGACTTGCCGCCAGTCTCAAGCGTGACATTCTTCAGGGTACCAGCGGCCATCTTCATGATCTCGCGGCCAGTCGCGGTCGAGCCAGTGAAGGCAACCTTGTCAACATTGGGGTGCTGCACCAGGGCGGCGCCAGCCACACGGCCATGGCCGTTCAGGATGTTGATGACACCGGGAGGGAAGCCAGCCTCCTTGATCAGAGAGGCCAAGTAGAGGATGCTGAGAGGAGTCTGCTCAGCAGCCTTCATAACGATAGTGTTACCGCATGCGAGGGCCGGGCCGAGCTTCCAGGCGGCCATTGCCAGCGGGAAGTTCCAGGGGATGATCTGGCCCACAACACCGATGGGCTGGCGCAGGGTATAAGCAAACTTCTGGTGAGTGGTGCTAATGGTGTGGCCCGTGACCTTGTCGGCCCAGCCGGCATAGTAGCGGAGGGTGTTGGTGACCTCGCCCAGGTCGTCGTTCAGCGACACCTGGTACGGCTTGCCTACATACAGTCCGTCAGTCGCAGTTCCTCTGTTCTTTCCGCTTTTCCGCAGAGCATTTCCCATCGGAATCCGAATACAAGACTAGCTACTGACCGTTGTCCCAAGTCTCAATAGTGGCGAGAGTCTCCTTGTGCTGCTCAATCAGATCGGCGAGCTTCAGCATCAAGACCCCACGATCCGTGGCCGAAAGCTGCTTCCAGGATGGATCCTTCAGGGCCTTGCGCGCAGCTTCCACGGCAGCATTCACATCCTCCTCGCCGGCGGCATAGACCGAGGTGATTTCAGCTTCGTCCCTGCCAGCTGGTCAGTGTCCCGTGCCGCGTGGGTAAGGGAACAAAGCGCGGGGAGGAGATACATACGAGGGGTTGATGGAAGCGATCTTCTCGCCGGACTTGGACGCCACAAACTCATTGTTGATGAAGAGGCCGATGGGCTGGGTATAGGAGCGCCCGTTCGGAGCAGTCAGTTGTACGGATAGGTTCGACATGATGGCAGTGTGGCGGAACCGGCGAGTCGATGACGAAGAGAGCACACTAGAGATACGAACGGCAGACAGAGACGAGAGGGACAGACCGTGCAGAGGCCGAGGAGTGAACAAGCCGAGCATCCCCGCGTGAATGGTGGGAGGGGAAGTCAATTTTAAGGGAAGCTCTGGTCCCTGCGATAACGCGATAACGACCGTCCCACCCTGACGTCGGCTGCACTTACTCTTCGCGGGCAACGAGCAGAGCTGGAGGACCAAATTGCTCCATTCGTCTGCGGTCGGAGGGTCTGCCGCGATGTGGTTGGCTGCGCTGGCCGCCATTCTCCAACCCCTCCATCACCACCCCGAAGCGTCTTCCATCTCCGCATTGTGGCTGCCGGCCATTTAAGAATTGGGTCGCCTAGCGCCCGGATGCATCCGCACTGAAAAGGAAAATACGGTGCTTGTCAGCAGCGGCTGGATGCATATCTGCTGCATGTCACCGCGGATCGGTAATGAGTTATGGACGAGCAAGATGATGACAACGCCTACACTACGACAAAGAGGGCAAGAAAATCATCCAGGCCAGTGGAATAACCCAATTTGGTGCTGAAACTGTAAATCCGCCCGCAACGCCTCCTCTCCCGAAAAAGGCAAAGAAAAATCACCAAAAAGACCACAATTCCCCTGCAGAACAGCAATACAAATCCGCCTTCATCGCCTTCATCAGAACGGTGGTCTATGTACTCTCTTGCGGATCCTCGCCGGCCAGCTCGAGAATGTACTTCCATTGAGCCGGAGTCACTGAGGACACGCTGAGTCGCGATTGCTTGATGGTTTGGAGGTTCTCGAGGGCCTTTCCAGGCTGCGCGTGAGTTTTGAGGTCGCTCAGTGTGACCTGTTTCTTCAGCTTGCGGCGAAATTCGACGTGCACAACCACCCACTTGGGGTTGTTGCGACTGGACTTGGGGTCGTAGTACGGGTGCTTAGGATCAAAAGCGGACTCTATAGGGGAGAGAAGATTGTCAGCAAACTGTGTCCGATGACAAACAAAGGAAAACGGGGCCCTCGAACCATCAACCGAGTGTTCTTTCACAACCTCCATGACTCCCACCACCCCGGGAACCTTGCAGTTAGAGTGATAGAAGAAAGCATAGTCTCCCTGCTTCATATCCTTCATAATGTTTCGTGCTGTTTTCGATAATTAGCCATCTTTACTGCATCATGGATGGCATCATCCAGTAACTCTTACCGACAGCGTTGCGAACTCCTGTTACTGTTCATTAGCAAATATACAGTATAAAGTCAACGGTTCAGACATACCGTCCCAGGGCTCCGGTTCATCTGCAGCGGCCAGGTCATCGATCGAGAACTTAACATCGACGCCCTTCTCAAGGCGCGACTCGGGCTCGGCCTTCATCAGCCAGTATGAACGACCAGTTTCGACTATGGGCGCACTGTCGGTGGTAGGTTCGGGGCTCCGCTCAGATTTGGACTCAGATATTATCGACTCGGCTTCGGGTTTAACAACACTCTCTGCGCCATTGGTAGCCAGACTCTGGTGTGGCCCACCGCGGCCATCCTTCTTCGGTGCTGCTGCCGGGGTTGCTGTCGCAGAGCCTGGTGCCAGAAATCGACAAGTAGTCAGCAATTTGTTTTGACTATTAGGTATTCTGGAGTCACATCATACCACGCTCTTTGCGAGGTCGTCCACGGCCATCCTTCTTCTTGGGTGTTGTTGACGGGGTCGTTGTCGCGGTGCCTGGAGTAACCAAAATCAAGTAGTTAGCGGCCTATCCTTAACAGCGCCGGCGCAACACATATCCTACCTAGCTCCTTGCGGGGTCGTCCACGCCCTCTCTTCGGACCAGGCGACGCGGCAGCTGCAGCTGCAGCTGCAAGATCAGCTTCCGAGAGAACTTTCCGTGGGCGTCCCCGTCCGCGCTTAGGACCATCGGAAGACTTAGGGGTCGACCCCTCGGGGAATTTGCGTGGGCGACCGCGCTTTTTCTTCTCGCCGGTCTGAGGTGTTTCAGCGATCTGCCCGAGAACAATTAGTGACGCCCGCGTGTGGATCTGGGGGTGGATTGAGCAGGTGAATCCAGGCGATCAGCCCCCCTGAATGACACGCTTACCGAAGAAGCCCCTTCGCCTGAACCGACAACCGCAGGTGGCTCGTTTCGAACACGCTTGGAAGGCGTTCTAGCGCTATCCTCGGCCAGTATGGCCCCTTCTGACTTGCGTTTGGGCGGCATTTAGTGAATCCGACGAGGCGACCGGCGCGACTGGGGAGTAAACAGACAGCGGGACGTGCAGGTTTTTCAACACTACAACTCCTGCGCAACCTTGATCAATCCGATCCCTACTAGCTGCACAAAAAGTCAAGGCCGAGTGATGTCCTGGAATGCCTTGAGGGAAGCTTGTGCTTGCCGGACCTTAGCTTGGACGCGCCGGTGGGTCCAATGATGATCCACGTGATCCGAGCTTGATGGTCGTAATCCACGAGGAAGCAACGGCCTCGATACACAACTTGAGGATATTTTGCTCATCGTGGGTTGAATGGAGAGCCCTGTCTGGCCCAATAATTCTATAGGTTGAGTTTCTGTTGGCTCATGTCACCTCCACAATCCTGCATGGTATTGGTCACTGATAAACTGGCTTGCCCGATACATCTATATACCTGCATACCTAAACCGCTCCGTCCCACAATCTACTTTGCACACATCGTTATTGCACATATATTTGGTTTCTATTAACAAACTTCTCTTTGGGTCATCTTCCTAGGTATGGCATTTCATACGCGCATCATATGAATTTGACAAAGAACAAGGTCATAATGCGGGGAGAAATCTACGCTACCCATCGGCTGGCACATGGCATGGAGCTGTGTTGGGTGATGGGTAGATAGAGGTACGGGAAATCCTCTTCTTAGGCCGCAAAGGTATTCTTGATTGAAATATCTTCCTAGCTTTCTGGGCGTAAAAAATCCTTCCTATAGGCCTCAGGGAAATATATGCATTCACTCACAGTCCGGATTCATAGATGAAGATGCGAGTACTTGAATGTCCTGACAGAGTTGAGTTACACTTGTGGCAGACTTAACAACCATCAGAGGCAGAGCATAATTTGTGACCACTGTTTAGATTACAACACTCTAGGAGCTCCTCCACGGACCCTTGGCTGTATCAAGAGAGGGGATTGCATGAAATTTGAGAATGTAGAATTTTAAATATGCCGGAACTTTCAGTGATTAGTACTCCGTACTATCCCTAGCCATAGGTTCTGGTCAAATCGTTTCAACCGGGTCCGATCGGTCGGGCAAGGTACCTGTCGAAGCACCGAAGAAGCCTTTCGAAACCGCCCCACCCAGCGGGTCTCCACGTTTGTTCTAGCATTATTGCACAGTCTGGTGGACATGAGATGGAAAGCTGAACACAGCAGTCAATAGGGACCCGCCATTGGCTCCGCTCGTCACCATATCTGTGCCTTCCCATCCTCAGGGATCGACACGTTGCTGAGAAAGTACCTATGATAGACCGTGATGATGTGTGCAATTGCGCCATTTCGCTGTGTCTCCATTGGCTCCAGGTCGGAGATTGTCGGCCGACTGAGGTCTTGAGAAAGTACCGCTCGGCCGACAAATTCGGCTGAGGAACCTCTTCTGAAATCAATCGGGGGCCAGAATACGAATCTACTGTTGAGTACCTGTCAAGAGAAGAGGCAGTGGGAGGAACGAAAGATCTGGGGACAGATGTATATAGATAGCCCGGTTTAGCAGCGCTGGGGGACCAGGCTAACGAAACCAAACCAAACCAAACCGAACGGGAGAATTACGCTAAGGATGCGACTGCCTAGAACTGGTTCCTGGGCCTCTTCTTCCCGTGGTGCACCGCAGAGACCTCTGGAACCGACCCGAGCCATCGACGGCGCTGAATGGCATCAGGAACACTAAACAGCCCACTTCTCCCGTAGTCCAATCACTGCCGTTCTGCCTTAGGGCGGTGTGCAATTGCGTGATGCGCATAACTGCCGGATGAGGTAAGTCATTCACGGCGGGGATGCGTCGCCATCGCAAGCAGGAGGGGCAGTCTCACGACTATTTGAACCGCTCAAGTCCCCCGTCTCTTTCTTACTCTTCATTGTATCCGTTGACTTTTCCAATCATCCTTTGGAACTTTCTCTCCCCCATCCATCACAATGGCTGCTGAGCGTGCTCCTCCGTATGTACCCTCGATACGAAGCTGACCCTCCCCCCAAAAGTCTTCACCTCCTGGAAGCTGACTATTATCTCTCCACAGCCTCCGTCTGGGCTCTACTGCCCCTGACTTCGACGCTGAGACCTCCACCGGTCCTATCAACTTCCACAACTTCATCGGCGACAAGTGGACCATCCTCTTCTCCCACCCCGATGACTTTACTCCCATCTGCACCACCGAGCTGGGCGCCTTCGCCAAGCTCGAGCCTGAGTTCACTGCTCGCGGTGTTAAGCTCATTGGTCTGAGCGCCAACGGCGTTGAGTCCCACCACCGCTGGATCAAGGACATTGATGAGGTCTCCGGCTCCAACCTCAAGTTCCCCATCATCTCCGACCCCGAGCGCAAGGTCGCCTACCTGTACGACATGGTTGACTACCAGGACACCACCAACGTCGACTCCAAGGGTATGGCTCTGACCATCCGCTCGGTCTTCATCATCGACCCCTCCAAGAAGATCCGTCTGATTCTCACCTACCCCGCCTCTACCGGCCGTAACACCGCCGAGGTCCTCCGTGTGATCGATGCTCTCCAGACCACCGAGAAGCACGGTGTCACCACCCCCATCAACTGGCTTCCCGGTGATGATGTTGTCATCCCTCCCCCTGTCTCCACCGCCGATGCCAAGGCCAAGTTCGGTGAGATTCGTGAGGTCAAGCCCTACCTCCGCTTCACCAAGGACCCCCGCAACTAAACGGCGTATGCCCTTGACTACGATGTGATGCGAGAATAATTTTTTCCCCCTTAAAATGGTTCCTGGACACTAGCTTTTGTTAGGTCGGGATAGCCTACTTGATACCAAATATGAAATGACTTATCCACCGATTTTTTTGCATTGTGATTTTGGTTATAATGGACCTCCCTGCGTCGTGTAGCTTGGTGAGGATATCGCCCGCCGTGGTACCCAAGACATTGCGTTACGGGTTTGCTACGATGAAAGTTCCGATCAGATATTCCTGCAGGGTGGAATTTTTATTGTCACTTGCTGCAATGGCGCATGGACTGCGGAGTACCTGCTCTAGTGGATGGTCCAACATAAAACAGGTGGAGCCGCGAGGGGATACTCGACGGGGTACAGGGCAAATGTACGCTGCACAATTCAATTGGCTCGCACAAAACAAGGACTCGAGATACGTTTTCTAGAACAATGGGAACCATCCAACCCCCGTAATAGCTCATACCATTGCATCAGCCAACCTATCTAGTGTCAAATGCAATCTATTCCCTCGGCGGTGTTGCCCAACGAGTATAGAGCGGGCGCGGTCGTACCCGCCCCCATGCCCATCCGGGAAATGCCTGAGACCGCCTTTTTTGTGCCCATCCAAACGTTCACGGGCTGACACTTTTCCTCTCCACTACGAAGCTTCGCCGGTGCCTCCTTGCGTTGCTCTGATTTCGCTGCCAGACCTCCCTCTGCCTCTTCATCGCCTCATAACGACAGGCTTCGACGCGGCGGGGAACAACCCACACCCTGGTCCTCCTTCCCCCACAGAGCCACAATTCGAGCCGCAGCGGTACCTGCGCGAGGAGTGCCCGCTGCTTACGCACCTTTGAGCTCACCGACGAAGGGGTAACCCGACATATGCGTGTCGACTGACTGCAACCTACGACCGGGCGCCGAGAAAAAAAAGGGGCCAGATACAATACGCTCGTCCACCGTGACCACATTCCTCTAAGCCCGGCGGGGAAACAACCATTTCACCCACGATGATGTCCAGAAGCCAGTCAAGTCTGGGATACATGGACGCAGGCCAGGATCCCTCAGCCCCAGGCGGCTCTCCGTCTCTCCAGCAGCACCCGTCGTCGGGCCCGATCAACCTGTCCGGGCTGGTGTGCAATGTTCGCCGAACCACCGGCAAGGAGCCCCACCCCCTGGTGGGCGCGACCACGACTATTTTGGGCGATAAGCTATACGTTTTTGGAGGCCGCATCCTCTCGCGCAGTCGCCCGCAGCTGACGTCGGATCTGTATGAACTGGACCTGATTCGGCGACACTGGACCAAGATTGAGGCGGCCGGGGATGTCCCTCAACCCCGTTATTTCCACAGCGTATGTGCGCTGGGTGATAATAAGTTGGTCTGCTACGGAGGCATGTCACCTGCACCAAGTACACCCAAAGATCCATCAGATCCTAGTGTATCTGGGTCAGAGACCCAGTCGGAGGTCGTGGTCATGTCGGACATTCACATCTTTGATGTCCCTTCGCGGGCATGGACCCGGGTTGCGGCCCACGAGTCTCCGCAAGGACGATACGCACATTGCGCTACGATCCTTCCCTCTAGTGCCTCATTTACCTCTGCCAGTGCGCCGTTGTCGGCCATCCATCATAATCCAGAGTCCTCTACGCCTCACCAAGGCTCTATTGGAGTGGATATCGATGGCTTTGGCGGAGCTGAGATGGTGGTGGTCGGCGGCCAGGATAGCTCCAACCATTATATCGAACAGATTAGTGTTTTTAACCTCCGTAGCCTCAAGTGGACTAATACCAGTCCACTGGGACGCAGCTGTGGCGCATATCGCAGCGTCGTTGCACCCCTAGTGGGCATGGGCGTCTCGGAGGTAGGCTCAACTGCTCCCGACCGAGAAACCCACGAGCCGATCGAGGAGTCCGAGTCTCCAGGCTGTCCTATGCTGATCTACTCAAACTACAACTTCCTGGATGTCAAACTGGAGTTGCAGGTGCGCCTGCCGGACGGGCGTCTTGTCGAGCGACCGATGCAGAGCCAAGCGTCCCCCCCTGGTCTGCGTTTCCCGAACGGCGGCATTATCAATGGTCACTTTGTCGTCAGTGGCACCTATTTGACCTCCTCCAAGCAAGAATACGCCCTTTGGGCCCTTGACCTCAAGACCCTAACCTGGGGACGTATTGATGCTGGAGGCTCCGTCTTTGGTCATGGCAGCTGGAACCGCGGAATTCTCTGGCCGCGGCGCAGCGCTTTTGTCATCCTTGGCCATCGAAAACGAAGCTTGGTTGATGATTACAATCACCGGCGCATCAACTTTTCACACATTTGTCTGGTTGAACTCGAGGCCTTTGGGCTGTACAATAACCCGTCTCGCACCGCTTCCACATCAGGATATAAATCATACAGCTCACCCTCGGTACCTGCGTCGTTACACCTAAAGTTGTCCCAGTTGACGACCAGTGGCCGACCCCTATCCGCAGCATCTGATGAGCTCGGCAAGCTGGCACTCTCACTGCACGAGATGTCTGACATGGAATTACAGGCTGTGGGCGGAGAACGGATTCCTGTTAACTCCCGCGTCCTAGCACGGCGTTGGGGCCCTTACTTTATCCAGATCTTGCGCGAGTCGTCTGACGGTGGCATTTCGGAAGCTGCCACTCTCCGTCCGGCTCCAACACACCCTAGTCGCAACTCGAGCATCACTATTACCCCGTCCGTTGGACATAACAGCAACTACTCCAGTGCGACAACATTGGTCAACCCTGCGGCCCCGTCCAAAGCGCTCCTAGAGAACCTGGAGGCCCCCTCCGCCCATGGCCTTGCGCCAACCTCTCGACCGCGCGTCCTCTACCTCCCTCACACTATCTTTACCCTCCAAGTACTCGTTCAGTACCTCTATACCTCAGCCCTCCCTCCCCCGGGCTCCTCCCTGTGCACCCCACAAATCCTCTGCTCTCTTCTCCAAATTGCGCGCCCTTACCAGGTAGATGGCCTGCTGGAGGCGACTGTGGAACGCCTGCACCAGGTCCTCGATGGACGTAATGCAGCCGCAGTTTTCAACGCCGCTGCCATGGCAGCGGGCGGAGGCCGCGGCACCGGCTTCACCGGCGGCCTAGGCGGCACACTGGAGACCCTGAACGGCGCCCACATCGGCCGCAACGGCTCCGCGCCCGGCGTGTCCGAGGGTGGAACAAACTCGCACCAGAGTGTCCTCGCCTCCGATTCATCCGACACCGAGCACGGCGGCATCTCCGCCGCCTCCGCCGTCAGCAGCACCAACGACGCTACTAACCTAACCCGCAGCTTGCCCTCGCTGCGCATCGACACGAATTTGTCACACTCGCGCACTCGCCAGCGCAGCCACCGCGACCGCGAAGACTCTATCAGTAACGCTAGTACCGCGACGTCCGCATCCAGCGCCAGCTTCAGCCAGTCGGACTCGGAATTCGTCAGCGACAGTGAGAGCCGATCTGCGTCGCGTGAGCATCGCCGCCGCGGCACGGATGCCGAGCTGGGCCGCACGCAACGCGAGATCTGGACTGGCGATTTGAGCAGTGTGATTGGGCTGCAGAAGCGCGGGCTGCGCGGTCTTATGGAGGGCCGGCGGATGCGTGAGCGCAGCGTGAAGCCACCTAGTGCGAGCAGTGGCTCGACTTCTGTGCCGCCATCAGGGTCAGACTACTACCTGCCTATGCAGGGAGTGGCAGGTTAAATATGGGTTTGGGTCTGTGTTTTAATTTTGGGACTGGCTGGACTGGTTGGCCTGTTTGATAGACTCGGGTTGATATGGGGGGCTCTTGCATCGCCCGCGGGATCATGATCTGCACAATTTCATTTACTTTCTTCACATCTCAATCTCGCTCTGATATGAATTCTTGGACTATAAACTCCTTTTTTTGCTTCACCTACCCCGCAGGCTAGCGAGGTGACGTATTCAGAAAATTATTCTCTATTCCGTGAGATCAAATGGGAATGACTTTACATGGATGTTCATTTTCAACTCTTTCCATCTGGTTTCTTCTTTTTAGGTAAGGATAGAGTTTCATGGGTTGGTCTGGTCCCCGTGCGCTAGATATTTACGGAGCTGGAGTTCAGATGTAATGAATGCAATAACGACGTTATACTTGAGTTGTATTATGTACAGAGGGTGGTAGGTTCTCTGCTTGGCTACCAGATTCCTACAAAGCATCTTCCTCCTTCTTATGATGAGGGCGAGGAAGAAGAAGAAGCAGCAGAAGAAGACGAAGACTGATCTTGTAGTTGCTGCTGTTGCTTCATCAACCTCTTCGGGCTCTTGTTCCCGTAAACTGGGCGGATGGGGCTTGAGTCAGTCAAAGGCAAATAGATATAGATATAGATACTAGACGCATAGACGCGGTCGATCCTCAAGGAGCGGATACAGAGACAGAAAGCACTCACCACGCTCATATAGAATCCACGAAGTGTACATCACAATTGGCAGCGCCACGATAGTGGACAGCCATCTAGCCCAACCATCAGCACACTGTAGCCCAGCATCGCTTGGAAGCTAGCAAGCACAACATGAAACAGACGCAACACTCGTATAGTCTCAAAAGAACTGCATAGCATAAAGAGAGGTCTCGGATACATACCGTCGCGCAGCAACCTTATACTCCTTCGTCTTTCGAATGTCCTGTGGCGCCTGCGGACGCGCAGGTCTGGGCGGCGGCCGGGACCCGCCGGTGCTCCTCGGCTGCACCGGACGGAGATTCGGAGGAGCTTTTGCAGTCATTTTGGATTTGAGAAGTTGATGAATGGACCGCGGCAGAGGCGGGTGGGTATACTGTCTGGTCGGGGAAAAGACTGCGAAGGTCACGGCCCAGGGCGCGGAGGGAATGTGTGGCCTGAGGCAGAACCCGGATTTGGGTGCTGGGCTACCTGGCTTGCTCGTCTTCTATAGAGACAGATTGAATGCTGGAGGATTACTGCAGATGGTGAAATATTGGAATATTTGGTATTAACAAAATGTGTCGTTCGTATACTACAGGTTAAGCAAGCAATGCTCTGGTATAAGGTATGAAATCACAGGATTGGCAGCCCCGTCCATGCAGAAAGAAAACTCCCCAAACACAGAGCCGGCCAGGAATGCAAATAACACAAAAAAGACAGGCAATTATCCAACACCACGCTATGAATCCTCATTTTCGTGTTGGGCGCAATGAAAACAAGAAAACACGGTGGTCGTCTGACCACTCATCCGGAACGCCTTCATCATCTCATCGTCCGCATGAAAATGCAGGAAAATAAAGCAACGCAAGAGAAGAATGAATATAAGTTGCGAAGAAGAAAAGTAAAAAGAAAAAAGAGAGGGGTTTCACACCCCCCGTCCTCGCGCACGCTTTCCTCCCCCAGTTGTGGGCTTACCCCTGGTGGCACCCCGGCCTCGACTTCCGCCCCGATCATGACCGCGACCGCGCGTGTCCTTTGGGGCAGATTTTTCAGCACGGCTGCGGCCACTGGGGGTTGAAAGAGCGGCAGTATCGACCTCAATGTCAGCCGCGCCGCGCCCGCGCCCAGCGGGCGATTTTGAGTCTCCGTTCACCTCGTCGTTGGAGATGAGATCTGCTGCTCTCTTCTTGCCCTTGTTTACGCTGGGCTTCTTGGTCGATGTAACACCTGCAGTGGGGCCGACTGCTTGCTGGCGGCCCTGGCTGGTCGCAGGCCGAGCCGGGATTACGTTCCGGGACAGATTGCACTCCTGCATCTCCGCCGCGGTCGGAGGCTTCACCGTTAGACGAAGGCGCTGCACCGTCGTCGACGGTGCATCCTCCATAGCGGGAGGAAGGGGCGGCATCTTTGTCTCAGGCTTTGTCTCAGGCTTCGCCTTCGCGGACCGCGAAGCGGGTGTCTTGCGCGGTGCCTGCTTGGTATTTGCAGGCGTGGAGACTGTTTGCCCGCGCCGCCGCTTCTGGTCCCGCTCACCGTCTCTGAGAGCAGCGGGATCAGACGGAGATACAGGCTTATCGGCGATGTCGGCTTCAGGTTGGCGACGCTTTCTCCCACCCTTCCTGATGGGCTCAGTTGGTGCGATCGCCTTCTTCTTGCGTGCCTGTGCCTGGGCCCTCTCCTCGGTGACGTCCTCGGGTTCGAAGTGGGACTGTGGGTCGAATGGAATGTTGCGGTCACCGAGGAGAGGCGGGTAGCCAAAGGCATCGTTGGTAGCAGCTTGTTCGTCCGATCGGGATCGGACGGGTGGGTACGGCAAAGCCTCGTCACCATAGGCGTGGGGAGCACGATCGAGGCTGTAGCCCGGGGGTGTAAGGACAACTTCCTCGCCACTCTTGTTGGTGCGGCCAGTGTAAGTCCACTTGTCTTCGGAAACATTTGGAGACGAGGATTTCTTGAAGGTGCGGATGATTCTGAACTCGGGGTTGGCGGGCTTGGAGACGCTCCCAGCATCCGTTGCAGATGCTTCGTCGGACTGCGTGACGCCTCGGATCTCGTCCATTTCACGCTGTCGATGGGCAGTTCGTGCATCTTTGATAAACTGCTGAGGATCGGACGGAGCGACAAAATCAGTGCTCAAGGCTACTGTGGCGAGTTCGAAGAGCTTCTGGCCGGCTCGGCCCACGGTGATCTGGACACGATGGAGAGTAGATTTTAGGGAACTATTCCCTTTCTTCCCCTTCTTGCACGAGCGAGTGCCCTTCTGGATAGTGGGCGTGGGAGCGGACCTGGGGGTGGACTTGGGACCAGACCTGAAACCAGTCTTAGACGTGGAATTAGGACTAGTCTTGGGCGCAATTTTTGGAGTAGTCCTGGATACGTTTCTAAAAGAGATTTTGGCTGTGCGATTGGAAGAGGGAGCGGGACCAGCAACAGGAGCGGCGCTGGGGGCGGAGGAGGTACGCGCCCAATCTTCGACCGGACCTGGAGTCTCTTTATGAGGACGGCGAGGTTTAGATTTCGATTGAATTGCCTCAAGAGCTTTCGCTGTTGGTTTGCGAATACGGGTTGAAACCCGCGTCCCCATGGACGAAACACTGGGAGTGGGACGGCGATCCTTCGGTCCATCGAAGCCGAGGCCCCCCGTGTATTGGTCGTAGGTCCAGCCTGTCGACCCGAGGGTGCCTGTCATTTCGTGGTCTGAGAAAGAGGTTTGTGGACTCTCTAAAGCAGCCATGCGACGAGTCCGGCGACTGCTCTGACTTGAGTTTGGTGTTTCCACGGCGGGCGTGTAAACTGAAGAAAGTCGCGAAGGGCGAGCTTGGAACGTGCTACGACGTGCCAAGGATACATCCGGAGAGGCATTCCGTGAGTGACCGTTGGTAGAAGGGGTCTTCGGATTGTAGAAATGGATGTTGAAGGAGTTGTCCGGTGTGGTGGAGGGAGGACGATCAAGACTCTTGGAGGAGCGGGAGGATGAATTTATAGTCTTTTCCGCGGCGGGGACTCGTGCTGAACGCCTCGAAGGCGTCGATAGAGAGGCATCAGTGTTGGCTCGTGCAGATATCGACTTGCGAAGTCCCTTTTTGGGTGGCATGGTGCGTGGTGGCCTGTGATTCATGCCCAATCCGAGTCAGTTAATCTGTAAATGACGACAATGCGAGGGGAGGCAACAGGAGTGGGAACAAGGCCAAGAAAGGGAGAACAACAAGAAGAAGACAGCGAAGAGGAATAGGAACCTCTTGCTGACGCCAGCGGCAGTGAGGGAGTAATAAAGAAGAGGCACCGATCGCGGGGGAGGTCGACGCCAGAGGAAGTCTGCAAGTCTCGGGGCAGGGCTGGAGAGCGAGCTGGGGTTTAGGGCCTGGTTTAGGGCCTGGTTCTAGGCCGGAGGCGGCGGGGACTCACTAGTTCGGGTTCGCCCATTAAGCAAAGACTATTCCTAAGGGTTCGAGGGGTATTTTGAACAGTTTGTCGAGGGTGTTCCAGGGAAGATCAGGCCGACAGGGCGACGCAGACTTGGGGAAAGTGAGGTCGGAGCAGAAAAGAAATTAGGGCTAAGGTTGATCGGCGCTTATCGGCTTCATCGCCCTTCCGCCTTATTCTGCAACTCCAGAACAAACCACCTCCCTCCTTCCTGTCCTTCTACCAACTGCTTTGTTTTTTGGTCGTTTTAAGATGCATTTGTGGCAGGCCACTCTTCCTTTCTGTCTGCTGGCTTCAGCTGCTCTGCCCGTTGCGGCCGCATCGGCTTGGGGCTTTGCTGATGCCACCGTGGCAGTTCAACCTAAAGGCGCTGGGATCAACGGCGGATTCAAGGAACAGTAAGAATCGATTGGACTTGGCTAGAATCTCCCTGGAAGAAACTAGAGCTAACATGCGACTACAATTAGGTTCACTTCGTCCAAGCCACTATCAAAACCTGTTGCATTCGCCGGCAGCGATACTTTGCGCGTCATCTTGACTGCTCAGGAAGGAAGCTCTGCGAAGCGACCACACCAAGCATTCCTCCTGCTGAAGGACACCCAGAGTGGGCTGGATGTCTCCTACCCTTTCATGGTCAAGGAGAATGGCAAGTCGAGAGTAGAGCTAGTATGCGCCTCGTGAATGAAGCTCTGGAGCGGACAGCAAGCTAACCCCAGATCCATCTAGACCCAGAAGGAGCTCCCGGTCCAATTCCTCTCCCTCGCCGAACCCCTCGATGCCCGTGTAGTGATTGGATCCTTTGGTAGCTCCGAGGCCTATGACAGCTCCGTCTTCAAGCTGTCGGTCGAGCGGGACCCCAACGTGCCCCTTCCGACCGTGGAGACTGCGCGTTTCGGCAAGCAGCCCGAGATCCACCACATCTTCAAGGACTCTCCCTCCAACCCACCGATTATCATCACCCTGGCTTTCGTCGCTGCGGTTGGTGCTACTCTCCCGGTTCTAGCTGGCCTGGTAAGATGATTGTTGTTTCGTATGCTGTTTGCCTAGCTAACCAATCCTTTACTAGTGGCTCTTCCTCGGCGCCAACCTCAGTCACCTCCCCACCGCGCTCAAGTCTGCTCCTCTGCCCCACATCATCTTCCTGGGATCTTTGTTTGCTTTTGAGGGTGTCTTCTTCCTCTACTATACCTCTTGGAACCTGTTCCAGCTCCTGCCCGCTGCAGCTGTGGTTGGCGTGGTCGCATTTGTGAGTGGTAGCCGCGCCTTGGGTGAGGTGCAGGGTCGCCGCCTGGCTGGCCTCCGGTAAGCGTCAAAATGACGCTGTAAGGCAATTGTACTTGCTCTCATGTTGGGATTCACACTGTACCTTGCGAAAGAGGTGGCCTGTTGAGCTCCAATAGAGCTGTATCTTATCTGTGATGATATTTGTCTCGTTCCAGTCAAATCGGCATTTACGAATGAAACTAGCTTGTGCAATTATATCTTCTTTTGACGGCAGGTTTCTTCTTGGGGGAATTGGAAGATCAATCATCGTTTGCAGACCATGGAGATTGTTGCCCTGGGTCCTCGAAAGCCACCCAAATGCAATAGATCGGTTTTTCAGACGTTCCGCGTCGATAAATCCCTCGCAAGTCCTTCAATTTATCGCTCATGAAAGATGTTCTCTAAAATTTGCAGATCAAGTAACTAAATGTCTCCTAAATGAAACTATAAAAATCCCTCTCCTGATTATATTTTGACGTCACTGGAGTGGCTACACTGCAATCGCGAATGCCAAGGCGGACCTCCGCGTTTCTCCCCGATCTCCGCCGCAAAATCACCAAAGCTTCAGCACCTCGTCGCTCCTCGATCTTCAGACACAACACCGCACATTCTCAATGGGCTCCGCGGCCTCGAAGCCAGTGAAGTCTACTGCTGGCGCAGCTGCGCGCCGGCAGTACCCAAAACAAGCCGCTCCCCCACCGAGGACGCCACGAACAGCTCCGAAAGCGTCGCCAACGCCGCAACACTCTACTCCTACATCTGCACCAGCGCCGTCACCGAGCCAGGCGCCAGACCGCGTACCACAAGGGCCGACTTACCACTCCAAAGAACAGCCTTCGAGCACCAGGTCAAGCGGTATGCATTCTCCCCGACGTCGTTGGCGTTCTCCGACAGGGCGCAAGAGAGCGGCCAAAAGCATGCCGCGAAGCGCCTGTACATCAATCCCACAGCCTTTGCTAACATCGGATTGTCTAGCTATTGATCTCGATGGCCGAGACCCTGACTTCGCTGCCTCCCTCCGCCATATCGGACCCGTCAACCCATCCCCAACCCTCTCCAACTCCAGCACCGTCTACCGCGGTTCCATGCAGACCGTCTTCCCGACAGCCTCTAACCCTGCTCTCCTCGTTTTGACCGCGCGCCAACGAATCGGCAAGGCTGCGCAAGAAGAGCTTGAGCAGGTCGCACGCGGCAGCGGCACCGGAAGGCAATTCCTGGACGCGTTTACTATCTCGCAGGCGCTGACTATGCGCGACCAGCAGAAAATGCCTCTGCAAGAGATTGAGAGATTACTGCGGATGAAAAAGGGTGTTATGGACCGCTTAGGGAAAGACGGGGTGGTTTCGCGGGTCTCAGTGTGATGTGCTTGGTTGCTTGGGAACAGAGTTGTACTACGTAGCTGCCCTATTTCTTCATCGGAAGGTGTTTCGGTGTTTTGACCTCTTCGGAGATGGCGTGGACGCGAATGGTATGTGAAGTATGATATGTATAGTATTCTTTGTTTTTTATCTGATACCGCCATCGCCATCTCTACTCTAAGGAAGCTCTGACCTCCCCCAAAAAAACCAACGTAGGCTGCAGCAATCGATCTGTAGCACACGTGGAACAAGTCCTGAGCCTAGTCACACGGGACACTGTCGTGGCCCTGTGGTCCTCAGCCCCTAAAATATATTTAGTTGCATCGTGTATGTAGGTAGTATCTCGAAGAGCGCGTTGAGTTCCCATATATGGGTGTCTATCTCTAGTTTACACTAACTCTGTTGGTTATAATAAGTATTGGGTAGGCCATGGGGATAACTCGTGGTACTGTTACTCGGACGAAGTGATTAATCTTGAGTCAGTGTTTGGCCAGATCCTGTCGTGGAATGACCATGGCGAGACTCAATATATTGGACGTCTGTATAGTGATAAATACGCGGCGTTTGATGTCGACAATGCCTCTTTCAACGACGTTGCCGACTATCCACACGACACCTGGTAAGATTGAGACGGCTAGTAGTAGTAGTAGTAGTAGTAGTAGTAGTAGTAGTAGTAGTAGTAGTAGTAGTCGTCGTGAGCAACTTCCGGGAGGGACGACCAGTGAGCTTGTCGAGCAGGGCAACATGGGGCAAGGCCACCCCTGGCATTTAGTTAGAGACATGAAGCTCACTCCAGAGAGGATTTTTGGGGTGCCGAAGGAACTGAAGCGAGCCCAAGAGTCCCACCTGAGCTGGTGATAAGGCCAAGTCCTGCATCTTGGATGGCTGATCGACCAACACAACAGCAACGGGAAAGATCAATCGTGATTAATTCACAAATTCTAGTCATTGCTATATGACAATTGATACCGGGTTTAGAGACACCAACTACGTCCAGTTATCCGCTTCTGGAGTGATGGTCGACTGAAGCTATGCAAAAAGGGTCAAACGCTGGGGCACATCCAGTGACTCTGCCCGAACAACCAAAATTTGACTACTGTGTTACGGGCCATCCGACCTGGAGGGGTCATTTGGGGATTATTGAAAAGCTCCTGTGACGTGCGCCGACTGTGGCGGCAATACCACCCATAATCGAAAGCTGCCCCGTGAAGAAAGGTAAGCGATGTCGGTGGCCAGACAGCCACTGTTGAACTACCTCTGTATCGTGTTCCCTATCATATAGAATAGCCTCTAACTGCGACAGTATAGTGTCTCAAAAATTAAAGCTGCTCCAGCTGCGGATTGGGGTGTGGTCATTACCTAGGCGACACTATCTATGTACACTTGCGGTGTCATTAGCCGCTGAACTGACGGTGCGAAAGATAAAATACACATCTGGATCTCAAAGCCCGTGAAGCAAGCCAGGACACTCATAGTGATCACCACGTTCAGACATGTGAGGTAGATCAAACGACATTATTTTTCACGAGCAGAACGGCTCACACATTGTAGGGCCAAATGAGGACTTGGCTTCTGCCCGTTTGCCGAGCCAGAGCCATTGGATTTCTCCTTGGTCTGATCTCTTTTACATGAAACCGGCACTGGCATCAGATGTCAAGGCTTGTCGTGCTTGTTCCGCTCGTGCCGAAGTCCATCCGAACCAACTTGGCTGACTTGAGCAATCCATTTTTTATTCCGAAGGGAGCTAAAGTTTGGACAAGGACAGTCATGCCCGAAATCCTTCTCAGGGAAGAATGGCGATACGTTTCATGTGCACATTTGGATACCTCGACTTGAGAAATTAAGCAGATTGTGTCCTATAACTCCGTACCTAACAGCCGTGCTGTACAGCAAGGCCATGCACAACAAGCAGGGACAGTTTGGTGTGCAGCCAGCGATTTCCTCAATCAGACCTTCTCTACAAACTCTTCGCATCTCTTCTCGTCGGCCCCATATTTACCGCCTTCAACCTCCATCTTCTGGATTTCAGCATTGAACTGAACCATGTGCTTGGCAAATTCCCTCTCCTCATCCCACACGAAGGGGCTTTTGCTGGCGAATAGGAAGTCGATCTGCTCGAGTGTACGGCCGGCGGTCTCGGGGAAGAAACAGTAGATAATGGGGATGTAAATGAGCATAGCGGCACCGAAAACGTAGAAGGTCTAACAAATAAGAGGTCAAAATATATATAAAAAAAAAGGAAAAGGGAAGAGAAAACCAACCTTCTCTTGGATACCAGCAAACATGACCGGGACCAGTAGCGATCCAGCGCCGTAGCCGACCGCCCAACCCGCAGTACCGAAAGCGTTACCTTTGGCGCGCAGCCAGGTCGGGAAAATCTCAGTCGGATAAATGAAAGGAATCATCAACCAGGAGGAGCTGAAGACAACCACATAGAGGAAGACCATGGCAGCGGCTCCGGTTCCGTACTGTTCAGCCTTGTCAGGGTTGTTGACGGCTCCACGGTTCAGACCACCACTGGAGGAAAGTCAATAGGAGCAATGCCAAGGGCAAAATAGGGGTTTACTCACAGTGTAAAAAGAATAATACTCAACGCGACTGCTCCCCAGTAGAGAGTCCAGCGACGACCAACTCGATCCAAGGTCATGGCAGCGATACCAGTTCCCAGGATACCGCAGGTCATGCATAAAGCAGACAGCCAGTTAGACTTAAAATCATCAAAGCCAGCAGTGCGATAGATGTTGCCTGAGTAGATGACGACAGCCGCAATACCCGTGCCGTACTGCATCAGAACCTGGAGCCAGAAGGCCAGCTGAATACGACGGCCGATGTGAATATCCCCCGATCCAATGCCCAAGAACATTTTGACATAGCTGGAGCTCTGCGACTCTTGTTCTATCTGCACGACGGCGACGATTTCGCGAATCTCTTTCTGTACATTGGGGTGGTCGCGGTCGCCATCTCCGCGGAGCTTGGTGATAATCTCGAATGCCTCGTCGTTGCGTCTGACCTTGACGAGCCATCGAGGCGATTCAGGAATGAGCAGAGTGCCTATGACGAGAAAGAAAATCGGGATTGATTGGCAGGCAAAACAAAAGCGCCATCGAAAGGCGCCGCCAGCGTAATCAGTGAAGGAAGTAGCGAAGCCAATCCAGGAAGACAGTGCAATGCCTCCAAAGTTGGCCAGAAAGGTGAGGGCGATTATTTGACCTCGATGGGCCGCTGGAGCCAGCTCTGCAGTCCACGAAGGGGCAATAACGATGATGAAAGAGACACCTACACCGGCGACGATGCGGGCACAGAGCATGTGCGCGAGATTTACGGCACTTGCTTGGAGGATAACTCCGACGAGACACCAGAGGCAGGCCATCCAGATACCCTTGATACGCCCGTAGGTGTCGGAGAAACTGCCGGCCCAGAAGGCTCCGAGGAGAGCACCGAAATAATACATAGCGGCGATGCCACCCTGCAGAGAGGGCTTGATGATATGGCCATTCTGATCGGCGAAGCCCATGCGATGCTTCCGTTGTGATACTAGGTTAGTTCACGATTCCGATTTTCGGAGATAATGGCTCAGGAGGACTGCGGTACATACTCCATATTCTGGGGCGACATTGACGGCACCCATGACACCCTGACTCATGCCCTCATAGGAGATGGCAACGGCAGAGACCGCAGTAATCAACTTGAGCAGTCTCGGTCCAGGGACCGTCCGCCAGTAGTCTTTCAGGAGCATGATGAATTAACTTGGATGGGAGGTGAGAAAGGAACACCAGACAGATTCAATGGAAGTAGGAAAGTTAATATATGGAAACCAAGAGTGGGCGAGGCAACCCCGGATTGTCAATGGAGGAAAGATCATCGTCGTATCAGGGACATGTGGCGATGTTTATAGACGATGAGTGGTTTGTATTCGTGCGATAGTGGAGAGAAAGAGAGGGAGAGACAGAGCGAGAGAGAAACCCCATGGGGGAAAGGTCCACCAAAACTAGGGCTCCATATTTCCTTGGTTCTTGACGGGTCTCCAAACCCAAAAACCTCGGGGGTGCCTTCCTTTTCGGTTTCCGACCCGCCTCCGCAATCTCAAATCCCGAGTTCTCTTTCCACTCTCCATCCGTCCCTGATCATAATCACCCTTTCCCTTCACTTCATCCTGCCTACTCTCTATACTCGTCTCGATATTCCTTCTTTGGGACTGGTCTACCCCAGGTTTACCGTGTCACTCCTGCAGACCACAAGGATTTCGATATGGGAAAGCTTCGCTCAAAGAATGGATGGTCAGTCTTCCCCATCATTCATCTCCCTAAACTACACTAGCTGCACACACTTCGCGTGACGATAATTGGCTGGACCTGTGGCTGGTCTAGATCTATATACCTTTCCTTGGGACTGTTTTGAAGAAGTTTTGCCAAGCAGTACTATCGACTGTGTGGCGATTGATGGGGAAAATGTCCAAGCATTGTCTGCTATCGGGAATTTTGCTAAGTTTTTTCACAGCCTGACTTGTCGGAAAAGACATGTCAAATGTATGTCATTGAACAATTCAAAATAGGCTGAATACACCGTCTTAACGTGAACAGGTGACCAAGCCAAACCGATCTGTGGGCAGTGTCAGAAAAAGAACCGGCCATGTCTTCGAGAAGATCGATCCAATCGCATCACAATCAAGCATTATCAACCACGAATGGCCAGGAAGAATCCCCAGGATGCTCCTCACCTTGATAATGATGAAATGACACTCTCTCCAGAACACGGCACCACAGACGTAGTGGTTGGTAATGCAACCAGCCCTCACCACCTTGCCAATCCAAGCTATGCCGAGTGTTATGGCAATGGCCACGACAATGCCTCGGTGACATCCACAGACCACACACGTGGGTCTCTTTTCCTGCAAGAACCTAACAGCGACTCTGTTCCGTTGCCACCGATGGCCTCTCCAGTCAACAATACCACCACGTCCCCCTACTTGAGCGAGGGTGGAATTCAGACCACTCAGTTACTCGGACTTGACTCCAGTCCATTTTCTCCGGCTTCACGTGCAAATGCCATACATGCAGGGTCCCCTCTGACCTATAGAGAAGCTTACCTTGTGCATCACTTTGCTACGCACCTCGGGTATTGGCTCGACTGCACCGACGCTTCACGCCAGTTCACCCGGAAAATTCCCCTCTTGGTCAAGCAATCGTCCATTCTGCTGTATGCCGTGCTTTCATACGCGGCCCGGCACGTCGGAGATGCCGAAATGGCCGAGCAGGCGCATGAGCGGTGTGTAGAACTATTGATCCCCTTTCTGAGCTCGGAAACGGTGGCTGATGATGACATCCTGCTGTGTACCATTGTCATCTTGCGGGTGTTTGAGCAGTTGAATGGTATGTCTGAGAAAGCGTTAAGTCATCGTGGGACGCCCAGGCTGACTTCACTGGGGCTGACGCAGTCATGGTAACCGGCAGCGATCGGGAACGCCATTTAGCCGGCTGCTCGGCTCTTCTCCGGGCATCGCAAGGACGGGAGCTGGATCCCTCAACCCCGGGCTTGCGGCAGGCGGCTTTTTGGGTCTATATGCGCCAGTGTCTGTACAATGCTTGTGTGCATCAGCAGGCTCCCAATGTGGATTTGAACTTGATTCTTATTCCCCCCCCAAGCGGAAGTGACCCTCTAGGCAATCCGAACTCTGAAACAGCCTGGGCCAACACAATGACTTGGATCTGTGCCACCGTGATACACTTTTGCTTTGGGTCGCATTACTCTGAGCCTTTTACCAGAATGCGCCGATGGCAAGAGCTATCCGAGGCTGTCGAGAATTGGTTGAGCACCCGACCGTGTACATTTGACCCAATCTGGTATAGCGAGGCCGTCCCGGACAGTGGAAATCCGTTCCCAGAGATATGGTTCACGGCGGACTGGCATAGTAGTTCTGCCCGAAGTCTCCTACGTTGCGCTGTCTAATTCTTTTTGTAGTTATGGCATTCGGATACTATCATCTTGCCTGTATGCTCTTGGCCATCTATAAGCCATCGCCTAGATTTGCAGTCCGCGGGTTACACAGCACAGCGCGTGAGTCTGATGTGAGTTCTGGTTTGCTGTCTTGCGAATGTGTTCCTGTTGACGCCATCAGATCCGAGTCATGATGCACGCTCGTGCAATCTGTGGAGCCTGCAACAGCTCCCCGTCGACGGTGCCATCGTTGATCACGCTCTGTCATTCCACGTTTATTTGTGAGATACATCCTGGCTTGTACGTGCAGGGTCCAGTTACTGACATTAACAGGGGGTCCCTTGATGACGGCTCCAGCAGAAAGGGATGTAATTATTAGACTGCTGCAAGATATGGAAGCGAAGCATGCATGGCCGACAACTTGGATAGTCAATTCTCTAAAAGACGAATGGTCGATGGCGTAACCCGCTCACAACAACACACCCACATCATTCACAAGGTACATAATAAAGATAAAAGGAAATAATTCTTGCGACCAAGGAAAGTCATTGGCCCTCATTGAATGATACCACCGCGTACTTTCCGTTCCGGATCCAAGCACCACCGGGCGCCTCCTCGTTCAACCTATCAACCTTGCTCTGGTTTGAGACACCAACACAAACATCAGACTTGTTCGTGCGAAGAGCCAAGATCTTAACGCCGCTCTGCTTGCCAAGGGGGCCCAAGGCCTCCTCGTACGTGGTGATGTGAGGCCACAACCCGTCCCTGGTCAGTTTGCGGTAGTTAAGGTCACCTTTGAAGATGACCATGTAGCTGTTCTGAAGCTCCTTGAAGAGGGCAGGTGCTTTGGATGGCATCTCGTGGAATGAGAACGGGGTCGTCCAGAAGGGGTCACTCGTGATCGTGATGGCGCCCGACTGGAATAACTTGCGGAGTCTCGGGACGAGTTGGTCGAGATACTCTCGATCTGGGAAGCATTCGCCGGAATCAAGATGCTCAAACAGTGAATCGACGTCGGAGGCAGTGACATCGCTGACGAACCACGGAAACTCCTTGGCGTGCAGTCTGACAGAGGTCGAAATGCCCGAGTCCAACAGATACGCGGCATAGAGCACATCGGTGAAGAGCTCAAAGCCAGCGTTGTCGAGGACAATGTCAATCTGACGACTGGTCTGACCGGCTGTGCGCTGAAGATACCCCCAGACGTCGTCCGTGTCGTTGTCCACGATGTTTCGCTGGCTCTTCTGGATGGCTTCACTGCCCTGGAGTTTTTGCAAGTCCTCCAGGGTCAGGTTCGCGAGGAGCGACAGATCTGTGGCATTCCCCCACAGGGCGATCTCCGTCATCTCGATAAACAACACCTTCTTGGCCTCCTCCTTGCTCTCGGTTTGGGCCAATGTAGTATCGGCAACGACCTGCACATAACGGCTGGCGAGCTCCGCGACGGCAGCTCTCGACTTGACAAAGGTAGAGTCTTTCTGGCGCTTGAAAACATCGTAGTTCTTCCAGTGCTTTGAGGAGTTCAGGATTCGTTGGATGCGTCTGGCGGGGGGGTTTTAGGGCAATTCGTCAATCCGATCTTCACAGCAACAGTCGTACCTGTACATGTAGCATTCTCCAAAGAGCCAAGGGCAGTTGATCCAACTGCAACCGCCAATTGCAGCCAGCTGCTTGTTCCACTCTTGAATATCGGGCTTGCCGTCATCTTGCAGGGGTCTGAAGCACCGTGAGTCTTAGAATTTCAGGTCTCGGAGAAGAAGTGCGTACGTGAGGGCCTTGTTCTGTTTGATGTTTTCCTTGATTTCCTTCAGGGCAATCTGAATGGCGATGCTCTCCACTCTCTTCTGGTTGTCAACATCCTCTGCGGCCGCTGTCTCGCCGATGTCGTCCACGGTCCCCTGTATGATTTTGGCCCATCGGGTCTCGGCTGTCTCCTTGGCCATTGACCCCTCCTCCGAGGTCCAAACTGCGCGAACATCGTGAACGTTGCGGGCGACGGAAGGCATGGCGATGTGACTGTCATAGATCCAACTAAGGAACCAGCCACCGCAGATGCCGGGAATCTTTAAGTATTCATATTCACCAAATTGCAAGGATCACCCTCACCTGGTCCACAGGAAAAGAGGGATATCCCAACCAGAACTCGGGCTTCGGGATTCGATGGCCCACCATGAAACCCATCCACGCAGATAGGGAGAGGCTCGCGACTGCCTCCCCGATCCTCTCGGCCAATGGCGCGGGGGAAGGGAGAAAGGGTGGTCGCCTAAACGGCCCGGGACTGACGGCGGAATCGGTTCCCCACGTTTTCGCTATCGTGGGGGGTCGAACGGTCCGTGCACCTCGTCTCGAAGCTACCCAATTAGGCAATTCGGGCATGCATCTCGGCGTCGCAATCGACATTTAGCTCGCGATGTGCATTTTGAATCCTCACATCTCGGCATTCCCTCGTGCACAGGACTTGGAGGGTGAGGTATGACGGGTTTAAGTGGTCCGGTAGGAATGAGGGGTTAGGGTTTTACAGGTATATATATGAAGTGCCTCTTCCCTCTCCGCCTGATGACCGTTGGGACTGAGATCACCAGCTTTCAATTTTGTAGGTTCACATGACAAAAATGGTCACGTCGATTGAATGTCCCGAGCCCAATGGCGTTGCTCCCGTGAACGGCACTCACCGTTGTGTCGCCAATGGCACCCTCGACATTACAGTCTTGGGCATGAACAGCGGGACCGCCATGGATGGCATTGACTGCGCCCTCGTTCGTTATCGTCAGGCGTCTCCTGAAGCTCCTTTGCACATGGACCTCCTCCAGGTACAACTGCTCTCTAGTGGTCTTTTCTTGATTCGACTTTAAGCGGAACTGACAAATTGCCCTTGAATAGTACGACGAGATCCCCGTCCCTCACGACATCAAAAAGACCATCCTCGCCATGCTCCGCGAAACCAAAACTACCCCTTCTCTCATGTCCCAGCTCAACGTCCAGCTCGGCACCATGTTCGGTGAGACCGTCAAGCTCTTTTGCACGAAGCACAACATACCCATGGACAGCATCGACCTGATTGGCTCCCACGGCCAGACCATTTGGCTTCTCTCCATGCCCGAGGCTGGCGAGATCCGGTCCGCCTTCTGCCTTGGCGAGGGAACTATCATGAGCAGCCTGACCCACATCACTACAGTCACCGACTTCCGCATGGCTGAACAGGCGGTCGGCCGCCAAGGTGCGCCTCTCGTCGCTTTGATCGACGGTCTCCTCCTTCACCACCTCACCGAGTGGCGCATCTGCCAAAACATCGGCGGCATCGCTAACCTCTGCGTCATTCCACCCGATAGCGAGGGTGGCGTCGACGCTATGGTCGACTGGGACTGCGGCCCGGGCAACATGTTCATCGACGCCGCGATGCGCTACTTCACCAACGGCGAGATGGAGTATGACCGCGACGGCGAGTGGGGGGTACAGGGTACCGTGAACCAGGCAGTAGTCGATAAGTTCCTCGACAATAACAAGTACTGCAACCGTCTGCCTCCCAAGACGACGGGTCGCGAGGTCTTCGGCGACAACGAGGCCCAGGAGATAATCGACGAGTGCTTAGCCCTAGGCATGAGCAAGTACGACACCGTCGCCACCATCACCCGCATGACAGCCCAGAACATCGTCAAGCAGTACCGCACTTTCTTCCCGAAGTTCAATATCGACATCGACAAGATCGCCGGTGTCTACATGTGCGGTGGTGGTGCCCGAAACCCGAATATCATCAAATACCTCAAGAGTCAGCTACCAAATTCGAAGATTCTCAGGCTCGATGAGACAGGGGTGCCTTCCGATGCCAAGGAGGCTGTCTCGTTTGCTCAGCAGGCTCTCGAGGCTATTCTGGGCCGTGCCGCTCTGGTTCCAATTAACAGCGACTCGTTGATGCCCAACACCATCTCGGGTAAAATTGCACCAGGATTGCGGTGGAGAGAGGTCATGGCGATGGCAGTGGAATTCGGAAAAGGTCAAGGACAGCTGCCGACGGTCAAGGAGATGGTGATCGACCGGCCGTACACCGCTTGGAAACCTTAAGAGGGCAGGGGAAGTACAATTGTCTATTTTGAAGATTTATGAACTGTATATAAGGGTCGAAAGATGATTTCGTTTCAATGTAGCACTGTTAGCGACATTTTAGTATCTACCATTAGTATGATTTACCACCTTCCCCTCGTTCTTCCCACATGCAGTGTAGCCAAGATTCACGCTTCCCCCCCACACAGGCTGACGGATTTTACTCTATGCTAGTCCATCCTACCACGGTGGGTAGATGAGACTTTCCTAACTATGCAAATAGAAAAGGTGGGAAGGGGGCAGGATAAGCAGATTTTGTTACAGAAACTTAAGTAAAGAAAAGTGGGCACTTAATAAATCAGCCTATTCTTGGGGGTAAGCTACCACTCCACATCCTTCGACATTGAGATGGATATCTGCAGAATGTGTGAATATATAGTGACTCAAATCCACAGAGAGTGGCAAATTCAACTGTGGACGATATTCATTGTAGTTGAAGTTATACAACTCACGACTGACGCGGGGTATGGACGCGAACCTTAAACCGAACTTATCCAAGGAGGGTTAGGCTCGGCAAGGTTGAAAGGATACATCAGCCCCTGAGGATGGTTCTTAGCTCTGCTTAGTGCAGCCCCACAACCGACCGACTGTAGAAGAAGGGTCCAAGCCGCCGCACGAAAGTCTGGCTAGCCCGCTACGGAAATTGAGCACGCTCCGGCCAGCCAGCTTGCCCGCAAATTTGACCCTCTGACTTGGCCGGGCAGCCATCTCCTAGTTAGGCCAACTACAGATCGCTACCAATACGATGCATCGGGTCGGACGTATGGGGCAGTTCGTTCCAGTCAGGGTCTAGAGGACTCCTATTGATCCGAATCAGTGACTCAGCACTTGACTCTGCCTTGTCTCAAGCTTCTGGGGTAATGTGGCATACATATGTAGGTAATACATCGCGCTAGTCTGTATCCCGTACTCTGTATCCCGTACTCTGTACAGTAGAAGACTTAATCTGGATACGAGGGCAGGCGCCCGCTTTCCCTGTGTTGCACTGGTCGGGTAGGGTCTTCTGGGTCCACAGGGCTGATTGTCTAGTGCTTGTCCCGAGGCTGATCACGTCAGATAAAAGGGTCCTGCGACGATCTGTTACAAACTGAAGTCCGGGGCAATGAATATAGAAGAAAAGTTGAGTAATCGCCGCCCTGTGAGAGAGGACGATGGGCCCTTGATGGCGGACATGATAAAGCATGCGGGTTGGACAGGAAGCCCAGAATTGTAGGCAGTCGGCTGGACAGCCCCAACGTTGTGTGGTCAGGAACGGGCTCTCGGGAGCAAAACGGATCCGACTACGTAGAGTCACATCGGCCAGAGGAGTTTATGGGTCCCATGACTGTGGCAACATGATCCCCAGAGTTTGGGAAGTCGGGGCGGCTGCAACTTGGATGTTGCCAACACGAGGAGGGAAAAATCTTGTCGCGTGCATAATACCCCCTTTCGGGAGTGCTTCGCTGACGCAGTACTGATCCCCTATGTACCCCGAAGGATGAGGACAGAAAGGTGGCTGTAATATTGGAATTAGAAACAAGGGAACGATGGGAGGACTATTGGGGTCGTGCGGCAGGGAGCGTCCCACCGATGTGGTGATGCAGCAGAGACTGATGTCTCAGCCCGGCGAATCAAGGGCGCGGAGCTCAGGCTGCATTCGAAGGCGCGCTGCAGGGTCCACCCAGTAGTGAACAGCTCAGGTCCCGATCCCGTACTATCCAGTGCGAGGGAAGGGGAACACAGCGGTGCAGACCGCGTACAGGGAGTTTCGCGATAGCCACAGGACCACAGGCCAGCCATCCGAGAGGGTTTCCGTGGCATCCGGGTAAAATGAGGGAGCGCGAAATCTGGAGGGTCCACTTCGTAGCACGGATGTCCGGCGCAAGCCGAGCAGAGAGGAAGGTCGAGAAGACTTCATGGTCGAGAGAGTGGGCCCGGAGACCCTACGGTCGAAAAGGGGAGTGGGAGGGCCGAGGTCAAGGAAGGGTCCGCTGGGTCAAGTCGATCCAAGGAGCACACAGCTTTGCCAGTCGCGTGCCTCGATGCCTATTGGAGCCCACAGCCCAAACGCCGCGGACCCCTGGTGTTTTTTTTAGTCTGTATTATTTGATCATATAATTCTATTTACAGTAATTTCTTTCCATGGTTTTTTGGTGCTTGAGGCTGACATTTGATTGGCATTGGCTTCTTTGGGCCTTGATTCTTAGTTTCTCTGACAGCGCTGAACATGATCCCGGCTCACATCTAAGAATATCCTTTCAACTTCCCTTTCTCTCCTTTCTTTGACCCCCCTCTCCACCCTTCTTTCTGACGTGATCTCTAATTTTCGACCCTCTTTATACCTCTGCACATACGCGCCCATTCGTCCACTCGACATATCGACACATTCCGGGGTGCTTTGTCCCCCATTCCAGTCGTTCTCCGCCCGTCCATTCCGTGGCATCCTTCCCCTGCTTTCACCTTTCTTTCTTTCTATCCACCTTCGCGACGCCGAACCATGACATGACCTCGCCATGAAGCTCCTGGCCTATCTCCCTCCGCTGCCGCCGCTCTTGTTTGCGGTGTTGACCGTCGGCGGCCTCGCCTCGAAGGCATTACACATCGCCCTGCACATTCACTCGCTTCCGTTTCTATATTTCGTTCTCTACGCGCCCACTCTTGTGTTACCAGACTTGCTGGTCATTGCGTTTGTACGGGTATTGTTACATACCCCGTCTCCGGAAACCAAGTTACAATGGGTGTGGGCATGCCTGGGGGGACTGCTATCGTATGTGACATTTCCAGGAGAGAAGGACGGACACCGTCGAGGTTGGCGTGGCCGAAAAGTGTGCTAACTGAACATGTTTGAATATAGTCTGATCGTGTGGAGCGCGTCCTCCATCCAATTTGGCTTCTTCATGCAAACGGGCGCCGAAGTCGCCTGGGCCGCCAGCAATAGTTTCCTCAGCGATCCTGCTGCCATGAAGATCTTGCTGAGCGGCATCTCGACCGTTTGCGCCGCCGCCACGGTGCTCGCCCTCGTCGCCTGGTTGGCGCATGCGAAGCTTTACCACTGGACAGGCCTAGGGTTGCAGGCAATCCAAGACCTGTTCAAGGGAAGCTATAAAATGCGATACACCCTGCTCGGAGTGCCCAACAAATCTTGGATCAACAAGTCCTGGTTGACGACTATGGATCTCCGAACCGTGCGCCGTATCGCCATCGCCGTTTCTCTCTGCTCATCGCTGATCTTCCTGGAGCTAACTCGACCCTCCATTCCCTACGACCATCTCTCTGGCGCATTGCCGTTGACGCTATTGGATGCATTTACGAAGAAGTCTAGTACCACCGGAGGCTGCCGGCAAACGCCGATGAAGTTCCCTCTCTGGACTGATGTGAACACCGGCTTCATGACAAACAGCTGGTCACGGCCCTCGTGGCTTCCGCAGAACCCACCTCCAGGATTCAGCCATTATGAACACAGCCCCGACGAGCGCGCCGAGAAGGATAATCCCGCTTGGTATCTTTGCAACGACAACGAGCCCGGTTTCTACAATCCCAAGACGGACCCCCTCAAGATCTCGAACCTCGGGGGCGACATCTACGAACCTTTGAAGGCGGCTTTCAACGAGCACTCCGTGGAAATTGACCATGTCATTCTTTTGACCCTCGAAAGTGGGCGTAAGGAGCTGTTCCCCATGCAGCAAGGGACCCCCATGTTTGATGCTTTGCTAGAGTCTCACACGGAGGAACACCGGGATGAAGCGATTGATCGTCTGGTTACCATGACGCCTATTGCACAGATGCTGACTGGCGAGTATTCTACGGACAGCAAGGGTGAGAAGGTTGATCTGAGCGGTGCGAACTGGCATGATCCGGCGGAAGAGGGCATGGGCGGACTCAATGTCCGCGGTGCCCTCACCGGCAGCACATTGACCTTCAAGAGCATTCTGGGAAGCCACTGTGGTGTTCAGCCTCTGCCCGTGGATCTCTTGGAGGAAACGGGCCTTGAGATCTATCAGCCATGTTTGCCTCAGCTGTTCGAATTGTTCAACCGGGCGAAGAACCCGGTCTCAGAACTCCTGGAGCGTGACGATACTGCATCAGGGGCTTTGAAGAATCCCTGGAAATCAGTTTTCATGCAGTCCATCACCGACGATTACGATCGTCAGGATGTCCTGAACAAGAATATGGGCTTCAAGCACAATGTTGTTAAAAGTACCCTGACTTCCCGGAAGTCCAAGTACCGTGCCAAGGGAGAAGAAATTAACTATTTCGGTTTCGCCGAAACCGAGCTTAAGCCTTACGTGCGCGATCTTTTCGAAGAAGCTGCCAATAACAGAACCCGCATGTTCCTCTCGCACGTCACCAGCACAACTCACCACCCGTGGGATACCCCCGACGACTTTCAGTTGGAGCACTATATGGGTGACCAGGGCAACATCAACCACAAGCTAATGAATAGCTACCTCAACTCGGCCCGCTTCGTCGATCACTGGCTCGGCGAAATCATGACCATGCTTGATGAGACCGGCATTGCCAACTCGACGCTGATTGTAGTAGTCGGCGATCACGGTCAAGCCTTCAGCGAAGATAACAAGGATATGACCGGTACCTATGAGAATGGGCACATCGGTAACTTCCGCGTCCCGTTGGTCTTCCGACACCCACACATGCCCCGGATCAACATCGACGTCAACGCAACGTCCATCTCCATCATCCCGACCATTCTCGACCTTCTCGTCCAGTCCCACTCCCTGGACGCCCGAGACTCCGAGATGGCCTCTGCCCTACTTCCTGACTACCAAGGCCAGTCCCTCATCCGCCCGTTTATCCCTTATCTCAAAGAGCGCCACGACTCTCCGATTGAAACGCCCAGCGACATTGACGTACGCTCCTCGCGCAAGACCCAACCGAAAGAGGGCCACCGTACTCGCTACAACTGGAACTTGGGCATTATCAATGCCGGCGGTTCTATGGTCTCCGTCACTGCCGCTGGTTCCCCTTACCGCCTCGTTCTACCCCTCAAGGAGGGCTTCGAGTACGTCTTCAGTGACCTGAACCAGGACCCCGGCGAGCTGCACCCCATCAAGTCTTGGACGATGGACGATCTTGTGGACGATGTCCTCTCCAAGTACGGCGAGGCAGCGGCCGAGTGGCTGGAAGACGCGGGGCTGGTCGGTAAGTGGTGGGTGAACGAACAAAGGCGGATCTGGGGCTACCGGGAGGCATAAAGGCCCGAATTTGCCTTGCCCTCCTTCCCCATGGTCCTGTTTAATAATTTTGCACGATATTCAAGTCTATATATGGTTGCTTTTTGTCTACTTTGCCGACGCACTGGCATCGCGCTTTCCCCATTCGCTTTCCCTCGTTCCTCCCTGACGCACTTTTATCTGTCAATTATCACGATTTCACCTTCCGAAAACTTCTCCTGGGACGGTGTTACGAGTTGCCCACGGTTGGGCTCCAATGTTTCCTTTTTTTCTATTTACACCCTTGAACTCTTCGAGTCGGCGCCAGATATCATGTTCATAAATAACATCTTGTGCATCGAAGAGTTGGGTACTTGATTCCCTGGGGTGCTATATGCCTCTGCCGCGCTTGCGGATGTTTTGTGGGGGACCCAGGCGGGTTGTGATCGGGTCCCCTTGTACATAAATGACATATCATTGTTTGGGACTCCTATTAATGAGACATGGCTTTGCCTAATAATCCAGTTGATGAGAGACTATTTCAGCCATAAATAGGGCCCGGCGGCATAAATGTGCCCCCTAGATCTGGTGTCAGATTTCGTTCTAAGGGCCTTTTGCGCCGTGCGCTGGCTTTGCACTCTACCTTGTTCCGACTATACACTGTACCTAGCACATGCCAGGCATTCGGCTGGAAATACTTATTCTGTCTAATATGGTTCTTTTTCGATCTCGATACCCTTTTCGATCTCGATACCCTTAATACAATCAAACCTCACGTAGGTCTAGTTGCTGATCGTTGTCATATGCATTGAGCTGTTGAAAACTTTACGCACAGGATCATTCAGAGAACCTAGTGAGTTCTCACCATCACTTCCACCGTCTAGGTACCAATGAATCGACTCAGCTAGCCACTTTTTCCATGTTTGTCCCTCGTCCAGCTTTAAAATCATGTTCATACGAGTCTAGTCTCAAACGCCTTGATCTTGCTCCTCTCCTTTCAACTCCTCTTACTATTCTGCCCCCGGTTCCAGGATGAGAAATGCCTTGCTGCTTCCGAGCCGATTGTCGAGCACTCACGGCTTAGGTTGTGGTATGCACTTAGAGAGAAGCTTGAAAAGCAGTTCACAGACTCTATGTACTCTATCTACTTGGTCCATCGTTCCATCCAAGATTCAATATATCTCTGTATCAATCCACCGGCCACTGGGTCCTTGACAAGTCCGAGAGAAGGGCAATCCTGAACTGTGCGGCCTGTCTCAAAAGTAAGACCCGCCACCTGCTGCGGTTGAGCCGAGTCCGTGCTCTGCTGCGGACTATACCCCCCGTACTTGCCACGCCAGAAATCGATCAGTTTGATACTTGGGTTCTTCTCTGGATCTTGTTCGCTAGAAGCCAATCGCTGAAGCCATTCTTGCGGCGACACTACATCGAACGCGGGTAAAGCCGAGCCCTGCTTCAGAGCGCGAAGCAAATCATTCTTCCAGTTGAAAGTCTTTGGATTGACCAAATGATACGCCAAGTCAATATCCGGGCTGGCCGCGGCTCCCTTCATCGCGAGTTCTGCAACGGCTTGGGCGCATTGATCCACAGGCAGCCAGCTTGGGCTCTCGGGGAGTTCAGGGAGCACGCCTGTTGTTAGCGTACTGCGGAACATGAGAGCTATAGCCTCCGTATCATTCCACTGCGCGCTCACGGTGTCGCCGCTCAGCTGCCCGATCCTCAATACTCTGGCGTGCATGCCGGTGTGTCGCATGGCATTCCGGGTAATATGCTCAGTGACCAGCTTTGAGCGACCATAACCCATTTTTTGCGCATGGTCCAAGTGTTCAATTGCATTTTCAGCAATTGCGGCGGGTGGGGGAGTGTTGCTCGCTGTGCTGACACTCGAGCAGAAGAAGAACTGGGCGGGGACTGGCAGCTTGGAGCGCAGACAGACGTTGATGAGGTTATATGTCCCGCGAATATGCTGCTGCTCAAAGGATCGCACGCCGAGGTTGAAGTTGACGGCCCAAGCACTGTGGATCACACAGGTCAGTGATGAGAGAAGGTGCTCAAGGACATGACTCTCCAAGCCCAGATTAGGCTGCGCTAAATCACAGGGCACGGCTCGAAGCTTGGCAGCCTCCTCGTCCTTGAGAGGAATCTTGCGATCAGCGAGTGCTTTCCAGAGACGAGCGCCCGCTGCCGCTTGTCCCGGAGCCCGCACCAGAGCCCAAACTTCCGAAACACGCGGACGCTTGAGAATTTCGGCGACGATGAAGGCACCCAAATTGCCAGTCGCACCGGTGATAATCACCACATCCTTCTCTGGCTGCTGTGAAATCGTCGGGTGGTGTTGAGTGAACTGTGAGTATTTTTGGATCATTTCCTGCATGACTTTGACTTCATCTTCGGCCTCGACTGCTTGGCCAGTGCGCTTTTGATAGAGGTGCTTTGCGAGGGCACGGACGGTACCCTTCTCGAAAACAATATTCTGGCTCAACGCTTCTCCGCTCGCTCCGAGATCCAGCTCGCGTACAATGAATCTCCAGATCTGGGTTGTTTGCAAACTGTCCACCCCTGCGGCGAAAATGTCGGATTCTGCGCTCGGCAGTGGCACATCCAGGTCCTCGCGGAACCGCGCCAACAGCCAATCCTCCAATTCGGAGACACTGAGTGCAAGCTCGCCCTTCTGTCCACTGGCGCCGAAGTTGGAGTATGCCTTCTCAATCTCTTCGGCAAACTCCTGGTAGACCTGAGCCCGGATGAAGGTTCCCTTGTCTGTCCTGGGGTACAGCACATCGGCACCCTTGACCACAACTAGTTCCTTCGGAATTCGAGAGAATGTTTCAGCTCGGGAATTTGCCACCTCTACTGCCGGCCAGATTGTTTCCAGGAACTCCTCGTCGCTTAAATGTGCTGCCTTATCAGCAGCACGGAAGATCAAGGCCCCAGGGACGGTCCGTTGGAATCCGAACACGATACATTCCCTGACAAGCTCCTCCTCTCGGACGCGACCTTCAATGAGAATCGGAAGCACCTTCTCGCCATTGACCAGCGTGATACGGTCATCCAGTCGGCTCAAATATTTGTAATAGTTGCTCTTGTTTGGGTCTGGATGTCTAGTGAACAGGTCTGCCGTCCGGAAACTGTTCTCTGGGTTCTTTGCACTGAAAGGTGGCTTCGAGTTCGAAGGTCCTTTGCTGGGCAAGCCATCTAGTGCAACGCACTCAAAAACCCCCGGCGAGATCTCATCCATCAAGGTGTGGTCAGCGACTGGGCGATGCAGCCTCATATATTGCCACTCGGTGTCTCCGGGAGGTCGGAAGGAGGTCATGATCTGACCGGTCTCGGTGGCCCCGTAATTTGCAACCAAGTTGACACCCTGTGCAACGAGGCGATCGCCAAGGTCATCCGGACAGCTCGAACCGCCATAGAGCACTAGCTCGGGCTTTGCTAGCAATCTAACGCCGTCGGGTTTCTCGGCCAGTAGTTCAATGACATATGGTACCGCGCTGATTTGCTGTGGCTGAGCAAGCAGTAGAGCATCGTAGAGGTTTTGATATGTGACGGGAAGAGAGTGATTACCAAGGAATGCCTTCGCGCGGGTATAAAATGCCCGTCCCAGTTCCATGAGTGCGTGAGAGTGGAACAGTGGGCTGGTCGTGAACAGACGGAATCCAAAACTCTTCCGCCAATTGGCTAGTGTCTGAAGATTGGTAAGGAAAATTGGCTTGGGGAAACCAGTGCTGCCGGACGAGTGCAAGATCCAAGCTATTTTCTTTCCCTCTCGCGATAGATCGACGTTAGATCGTTCAAAGCGTGGCGAACTGGGTTGACGATTGAACCAGTCTCCTCGTTGCAAGACGGGGAAGCTGCGGCAACTAGGTCGCTCTTCACCGATATCATGTACGGTCTGATCAAACTGCTTCGCAAAGATCACTTGCTTGCAATTGGCCATTTCAAGCAATCGTGCATATGCTGAAGCGGTGAGGCGTGTCGACAGAAAAAGAACGGCATATCCAAGGCGGTTCAATGCGAAGAAGGTCAAAATGACTTCGAAGCTGGAACCAGCAAGCATCGCAACCACCGGCGCCTCTTCTAAACTGGGGTCCTATACATGTACATGGTTAATTTTCACGAGATCGAGTCACAGTCTGTAAGAATGCTCACTGCAGGAGTGAGGCCCTGCCCCATATAATATTGAATCGCGACATCCGTATAGCGGTCGATATCGCCAGCAGTATGTTCTTCGAAGTCAGCCGCACCGCGGATCGGATAGCAAATTAGTGGAATCTGTGACTCGTCGGGCTGAGCAGCATGTGACTTCAGTAGGCCGTCGATGGTTGCAAACTGCTGAACAGGAGGGTAATCGGCATGGAGAGTGCCATCAAGCAGGCGAGTCGCGATGTCTTTGTTGCGCGACGCTTGCACGTCCACGCTAGTGACCGTTTGCATCATGGTCGCCATGATTGTGCCACCAATTTTGCACCGTCATCATATTCGAGATATCATCATGCATTTATAAGATACAAATATAAGAACCCCACGGTGTTTCCATCCCACGTCCCGAGAGTGGGCTTTTCCCGGATATATTTCCGAGGCTATTTTTCCCGTTACGTGCCCCGGAAGAATGCAGGATGATCGGCTCTACACCTACCTCTGGCGCCATAAATATAGGAACAGAAGAAATTCAAAACTAAAACAAACAAGAGTCAAATACACCCTCTAATATTGCAATTGCGACCGGTCCGATCTCTTTGAGAAATACCCTCACCGTCGCAACGATACCTGCCTTTTGGGCATGGACTGCAATCATTGCTGCCATTACAGCCATAGCCACTGTCATGCCAAAGCAGTCACCATAAAAGACAAACGACGACCGGGAAATATTTCGAATTCCTTAAGCCAAGAACTTCCGAACAAGCCTAATCCATAATGCTCGCTATGTGCTCAATATCCGGGAAACACCGGATTTGTTTCCAACGGAAACGCCGATCATCTTGAAGACAGCCTTGCCACCAGCGCAGGACGGTCAGAAAGTGGGAGATACAACACTGCTGACTACCGAATAGCGTATTGGCTTTTGGTGAGCGAGTCACGAGTAGACCTGGCTTTTCTGATATTACATTTGACCACCGCTTGTGCTTCAAAGTTACTGGCTCAGCATCTAATGCCATCCCCATGCTTCCCCGCATTACCCCCACGCGGCACCACCGCGATTTTTTGGGGAAGCGGGTTTCCCCCTCCCCTCTTGCCTCCACACGATTGAATCAAGAAACAGCCAAGAGAGAATGACATAGAAACTCGCTTTCAGTTTCCTCTAGGTAATGAGTATGTACAGTGTAATCGGTCGCCCCCCCTTATCCTCGTATGACTTGGCAGATTGTTATGTTGTCCTCTCAAGACATCCTCTTTAACCATGGAGCTTTTCGGGCACAAGTTTCGATAACCCGCGCAGCCGAGGCCCATATTTCATAAACAAAAAAGGAATTGGTAATAATACCGCAGCCACGGCGCCAATTATTGAAACGCCAGGGCCAATACCAAGTGCTCTAATCATGGGTTTGGCTGCTAAAGGAAGCCCGGCCGCCATGATACTTCGGAGGAACGTGACAGCCGCGGTAGAACTGGCCGCGTAAATTCCGTAAACGTCAACGAGGAAGTTCAAACACTGTTGGAAGATACAGTTGAACCCAACGCCAATAAACAAGGCCGCAAAACACGGCAGAATCCAGTGATGGGGCGGTTCGGCTGTCCACGCAAACCAAAATGCACCAACCACGAAGAAAACAGCGCCGAAGGCCATTGGTGGCAACCGAGCTTCCGGCACGGCCTTTCCATTGGCGGCTTTGGCAATTTCGTTATAGCGGAATTGATTCCAAATGTTGAGGCCCACTGAAGAGATAACGCCAATCAATAGTGCCAGGAACGGTAGAGCACCAATTAAAGGATTCCAGCCACGGACCTCCTGGAACACTATCGGAAACACTTCCAAGGTGAGGTACATGACACCGTAGACGAAGGAAGCGTATATCGCGATGCAGGTGACTATTGGCTCCGTGAACAGCATCTTCATGGGGCGGGCAAGCTGTTTGGTCACGATAGAGTGGACGTCCAGTTGAATATGTTCATGCGGATGATAGTATCGTGGATCATTCCTCTCCATTCGAACGCTTTGTGCTTTCCTCTTCAAAAGCACCGGCGGATACATCTCAGGTAGAAAGAAGAAAGCCATGAGGAAGGTGACGAAAACCCAGATGGCCAAAATATAACAACACCATCGCCAGTCAAGGCGAGGGTTCAGAATGATCGCAGCACCAATAATAGGGCCGAGTGCAGGACCGCCGTTCACAGCCACTGCATATAAACTCACTGCTGTGCCTCGTGTCTCTCGGCTCCAGATATCTCCCAGTGCCGCCGTAACATTGCTGATAGGCGCAGAGCCAAAAAAGCCCGTGAAAAAGCGTGTACAATACACCGCAGCCGCAGTTTTACTTCTTGCTGTGCCGATTGCAAAGAGTGCTTGGCAGAAAACCGGTGGAAGAATGCTCACTCTGCGCCCCCAGATTTCGGACACTGGCGCCCAGATAATCGGGCCGAAGACGAAACCAACGCTGGAGATCATGTTAGGAGGCAATGGAAAGGCAATCAACGATTGAGGCACTCACAGATATAATGATACATCTAGAACTGCTACCTCGCTACTCACGCCAACATAGTCGGCGATGATGTGGTCGGCCGGAGTGATGATACTTGAACCCAGACTGCCGGCCAGGGCGAGCATGCCCAACTGAAAAGTTACCCACCATTTAAATCGTACAGGCCAGTTCTGAGGGTTCACCGGGTCATCAAAGTCCCATTTAATCATGTAATCAGGGTCGAGGGGAGGTCCCGTTTTCTCGCCGGCGGGAGTGCTATCAACAGCACCGCGGGACCAGAAGCGCCGCATGATGTCCGCCGGTCAGTCTTGAAAAGTTCCAGCACTCTGTTACCTCGGAATTCGGAATGCAAACTATACATGGGGAATGACAAGGGCCAAGGCTTCAGTGCGGAAATTCAATTGCTTGATTTTTTTTTACACTCGGCGCTTGCAACGTTTAGCCGAGATTGGGGGAGTCGGCCGGTCCCGACGTCGGAGATAAAATTGGCACGATTCCGAATCCGAAAATCCGAATGCCAGGACTAACGCTAACGAGCCATTTCAACTTGGTGCACAGACAAATTAGTGTTGCCAAATTAACGACAGAAACAGGGGTGATCGAAGCTAGTATGAAGACTTGCAGAGGGGACGTGGACAACTTGGAAGAGTCATTATCGACAGGGGTTCAGACGAGTGTCCACGCCTTTGGATTGGGCTGTTCCCAACTGAAATGCCATTGCTGCTGTTCTGAAGATATTACATCCGAGGTTCAAAATAGAATACATTTGTGAATCCGATCCACTCCCATCCGATATCTAAAACCATGCTGTGTTGAGTTGACGAGCTTTTCCGAATTTCGGGGTGATATAGAGCGAGAAAGGGACAATAATAATTTACGGGCTCGGCGTGCCCTCGTCGTACCGAGGACCGCCATCGTCGTCACCATATCCTGCACCGGGGGTAGCGGCAGTAGGTCCGCCCATCGCCGGGGTTGGCGCATCAAAGGCAGCCGGTGTCGGAGCATCGTAACCTCCACGCTTGGCCATTCCGCCAGGAGTTGGCGCATTGAAGGCCCCTCCAGGGGTGGGGGCGTTGTCAGCCCATGCTCCAGGAGTCGGTGCAGAAGCACCGGGTGTAGGAGCAGCACCGTAGGCGCCCGGGGTGGGAGCGGAGTAGTTTCCACCTGGCGTTGGGGCGTCGTCGAAATCGCGTTGGTCTCGGCTGTTGGACATACCACCCCAAGCTGGAGTACGGTTACCAGCACCAGCACTGCCCCATGCCGGGGTCCGGGATCCAGAAGCGAAGTGATCGGCGCCGGAGCTGGAATCATATGGGGTGCGAGAGCCAGAGTTCCATGCTGGTGTGCGGTTACCCAAACCACCATAGGCGGTACGGTTGCCCTCGGCGTAGGGGTTCGAAGTACGTGATCCATCGTTCTTCCATGCGGGAGTACGAGCACCACCCCAGGCAGGAGCTACGTTCTCGTTAAAATTTGAACAAGAAAAAACGATAGGGAGGCTAGGAGCTTTGGGCTTACTTCGTGAAGACGCGGCGCCGCCCCAGGCAGGGGTCCTCGAGGAATCAGCCGCAGCCATAGGAGTACGACCACCCTGCCAACCGCCTCCTGAGGAAGCGGCGGAACCCGAGTACGGACCACGCGAGCCTCCTCTTCCACGGCCCACATCTAGCGGTTGTTTGGAGATCGGACTGCAGAATCGTTAGTGATCAGATCATGTCAACCAGGAAGGAATAACGTACTCTTTGGGAGCAAGGATATCTCGCGGTAATAGGACTGGCTTGTTAGACGTATAGAGCTCAACCTGAGCGGAGGTGTCGTCTGCATCTCTGACAATGCCAACCAGACCCTTATAGCGGCCCTTGCGGACAGTCACAGTCTTGCCAACCAGCCTATCGCGACCGCCACGGCGAGGTGGTGGCATGTTAGCATTACCGCCACCGGGCGTCTGCATAGCCAAAGCAGGGTTCATCTTGGTCAGATCGGGACCAGTGGGACGGCCTCCCCGGGCAGACACCGTAACAACGTTTGTTGTTCGCACCACGGAGATACCAGCATTCTCAGCCTGAGATTTGTTGTGCAAGAAGAGGAAAGAACGGTGGATATGAGTAATGACTCCACTCCGCTGCTCTCCATAAACCTCACGGACGGTATCGCCGTTCTTGATCTCGGCACCATTGCGGTCAGTTGCGACAGCATCCCGCCGAGGCGTAATCTTGCTGGCGATCTGAGTAGGTAGGACATTCCGAACGGAGCCGTTCTGATCCATAACACGAAGAGATTCACGGTCAACCTTGATGACGCAAGCGACGGTGGCAGCACTGAACCAGATTAGCAGGTGTTCAAATTAAGGTATCACGATGTACTTACTCAAGCTGGACAAGGTCGTGAACATCATAAATGCCAAGCTGACCATCAGCAGCCATCTCAGCAGAAAGGCGGAGATCCTTGCTGAATACTGTGATTTCCTGCATGCTCATGTCGCTAAGCAGGGTAACGGTGTCATCCTTGACTTGGACGACCATGCCGAGTTCATTTTGATAGCGACTGCCTCCAATGACTTTGACGTGATCACCCTCACGGAAACGCTTGCGGAGGGTGCGAACAGGTGCATCGATTGTCTGGCCTGCCAGATCTCCCTCGGTGACTTGGAGTGAAATGATATCACCACGAGTCGAGACCGTTCGGCCGATCAAGCCTTGTTGTTCACCACGGTACACCTCAACAGGATCACCGGGTTGATAAGAGTCTTCGGCGGTTGAGTTCTTCAGTGTCTCGGCGAGGGAGGCCAAATCCAAGTTGGCGGTTCCGTCTTCTCCTCCGCGTGCAAACATGGTCACCTCCTCCAACCGCGGATTGACGTTCTTGGTTATCAAATGCTGGACCCTCATATCCTTGATAAGGAAACCATCGATGTAGGTATCGTTGAGGTAGCTCCACGACTTGCCACCCAATCCAGATGTAGCGGACAGATACTTGGCATGCTTCTTCTTAGCCTCTGACTCACTGAACAGACGCTGAGGGGGCTTGACAGTATTCAAAGCACCGCGCTTGCGCTTGGCATCGGGGCCGAGTATAGCGGCGTTATCCTCATTCATGCCGTAGTCCAGGCGAGGAACAAGGCGAACGGTGACATTCAACCCGTTGGTCTCAACTTCTTCAATCTGGGCAAGGTCACCCTGGTATCTGCCTCGCTTGATACGTACCCAACCGCCGGGCAGAAGCTCCTCCGATTTCTGCACACGCAGCAAATCAGGCATTTCCTTCACTGGGACCAATGTCATTTTCTGGGAAGGGTAGTAGAATGCAATGCCCTCCAGCGCCTCGGTGACATCGGCTTGTCTACGCGCCTCACAGTAGAACCAGCCCTGCATGATGTTTCCACGCTCAAAGGCTGAAATGATGCGGATTGGGTTACGGGAACCAGCCGGTCGCTCTTCCATACGCTTCTGGACAGAGTAGATAACCTCTCGCTCTTTACCAGGCTTGCAGCGGCAACCCCAAATGCTGGGATCCTCCACACTAGGGAGAAGCAGTCTCTTGGGAATCACGAGCGCATCTGTCGCAGCAGCACGGTTTCGTCCGTAGCGCTCCTTGAGCATCTGTGCCTGCTTCTCTGCATCCATTGTAGCATCAAGCTCACGCTGGCGATCCAGTTGTCGGTGGCGACGGTCATCTGTTTCGGCTCCGGCAGGGAGGGCATCGAGATCGTCGGGGTGCATCTCTGTGCCAAACTCGGCGAGCTCATCCTCCTCATCTTCTGCCTCATCCTCTTCCTCGTCGACACCGGCTTCCTCTTCGAAGAAGGAATGAACACCGCCCTTTCTGCGCTTGCGCGGACGGCCCTATCAAAGAATTGACGCGAGTTAACAGCAATACTTTCGCGTAGTTCGGTCAGCCAGGAGAAACTAACCACAGCCTGCTCCTCATCATCATCGTCGTCGTCGTCCTCGTCGTCTCCGTTTTCATCACCATCTTCAGCACCCTCACCTGCGTCATCGTCTGCGACCTCCTTCTCGTCGTCATCTTCCACCACATCGCCATCGTCCTTCGCATCATCATCTGCACCATCCTCAGGGCTGGCCCGTCTTTTCGCTGGCTATTTATTGTGGTACCGTCAGTGCCATTTCCGACAACTCTCCATGCCGCGTACCACTGACCTGGGCATCCTCAACGTCAGAGTCCTCTACAGGGGCGGGGTTGAAGTCATCGTCCTCCTCGTCCGATCCGAAGTCATGGTTGAGAAAGTTTGACATCTTGACTTGACACACCCGTAGTGTCGGCGAAGGTTGAGTCGCGTGGTATCAGGTAAACGGTCTCGGTTTCAGGGTCGAAACACTGGGGTTCTCTGGATAACCCTCCAGACTGATCAGTACAGATAAAGATAGTGCGCAGGCGCAAAAGTGACGGGTTGGGAGACCCGGGCGTACCTGAGCCGTGCGGCGACTCCCAGCGTTAGGGACACAGAGAGTGGCAGCTGAGAACCAACAAGTGTCAATTATCAAAGACCGAATTCGATTCAGCTCGATGAAACGCGACCGGTCGAGATGAAGAGTGAGCTGGGGCAACCACTAGGTGCGCTAGGAGCAGAGCAGTTCTGCGGGATTTGCGGGCTGTCACCGAGCGACCGCCTTCTGCAACCACGGTCGCAATGACGGTTGTGGGGAAAGAGAGAATAAAGAGGCGGTGATTTGGGACACGGCGCGCAGGGAGACGAGTGTTCTTATACCCTGAGACCCTGTGTCAGCAGACGCGGGATTCGGAGAAATCGAGGTGCTGGCCATGAGTTCGCGGCGAAGTTGTGGCGGGAGGCTGCGCGGCTGGTATCTGTGCCTGCCCCTACTTGCTCTGTTTACTGCGCCCCAAGGTAACTTCTGTCTCGCGGATGCAGAGCCCACGTCAACGGATCTTTGATTCGGAATGTTTTAACTCTTGTTCAGCCTGGCTTTTAATTCCAAGGTATCTGGAAAGAACTCAGAGAGAAGAAAAGCATATCCTATCGATTTTTCCTGATTTCTATTTGGACTGCTTCCATGTACTTTTCTTCCACTACTTTCATGTCTACTTCATAGCATCAACTACTTTTTCCCGCCAGCGATTTTGAGCGAAACATGTTTCAATATTATGCTAGAAACAAGAATTCAATACACCTGGTATTTTATCATATCGTACAACGCGAAGATCATAAAGTAAATAGATAGATAAATAACCGAAAACCAAAAAAGCGCCACACCGGGCGGGATATTTAGCCAAGAAAGAACCTTTGGAATCAAGATGAGGGGATACAAAACATGTCCAGAAGCGACCCAACGAAAGGGAAGATGATCTATCACAGCCAATTTTCAATGCAACGGATCTGTTTAGAGCTTCATGCCAAACATCTGGTGCACGCGCAAGCTCTGGCGCATACTCAGGTCCAACATAATCTCCTCGCTTCCACCGGGGATAGCGTAGGCGCGGACATCACGGTACAGGCGCTCGATCTTGCCGCCCTGGCCTCCACGGCTGTAGCTGAGACCACCAAAGATCTGGCTGGCCTCGCGGGCGCAGTATTCGAAGGTCTGGGTGGACTGGGCCTTGAGGCCGGCAATGGCACCGCCCAGCTTGAGCATGGCCTCGGTTTCCTCCATGCTCTGGCACTGGAAGATAATGTTCTCGAGCCAGTTGTAAGTGGCCTCGATCTGGCGGGCCATGTGCGCAAGCTTCATGCGGATAACAGGGTGGTCGACCAGACGTTTGCCGAAGGTCTTGCGCTTGTGGGCGTACTTCATGGATTCCTCATAGCACACACGAGCGAAGCGGACGCACTGGATGACAATGCCGATACGCTCGTGGTTGAAGTTGGTCATAATGACTACGCTCAAGTTAGTGCATTGTTTAGGGGGGAATCCAGAATATTCCGACGTTTCAACTTACCTTTGAAGCCCTGGTTCTCCTTGCCAATCAGGTTCTCAACGGGGACTTTCACATCCTCGAAGGTAATGTAGGTGGTGCCACTACTCCAGACACCCTGACAGTCCATGCGGCGAGTGCTAACACCGCCCGCCTCGCGCTCAATGAGAAGAACGCTGAGGCCGTTCATGCCAGGCTTGCCAGTCCGGACGGCAGTAGTGAAATAATCGGCCCAGATACCGTTGGTAATCCACTTCTTCTCGCCATTGACAATATAGTGCTTCCCATCCTCACTAAGCTTAGCCTCACAGCCGAGGTTAGCAACATCACTCCCCGCATCGGGCTCGGTGATCGCCAAGCAGATACGCTTATCGCCAGCCAGGATGCCGGGCAGAATGCGGTCAACAAGCTCCTTCTTGCCAAACTTCACCAGGGGCGGGCCACCAATGCCGTAGCCACCGATCAGGTTCCATACTAGACCACCGCTACCAGCACGCGACAGCTCGTCGGTCAGGAGCATCTCATGGAACAGGTCCCAGCGCTCCGGCGCCACGGACTGGACTCGGTAGGGAGTGTGCTGCTCGGGGTACTTGACACCCAGCAGACCGGCCAAGTAGCCGCGCTCACCCATCTGCTTGTAAATACTGTCCGGAACTTTCTTGGCCTCATCCCACTCGCCGACATACGGCTCGATCTCGGTGTCGACCCATTGGCGGACTTCCTCGCGGAGAGCGGCATGGGAATCGTTGAAGTAGGGGGGGAGGAGTACTATGGTGAATTGAGCAAATGTTAGCTCTCATCTCACAGACACTACCAGAGCATGACTTACACCCTGGTACCACGAAGGGTCGGCAAATGGAATCAGCTCGCCAAACGGATCCTGAGGCTCAGCAGTCGCCGGTGGCTTGGAATCAGCGGGAGCAGCCTGCGGTGCTGGGGCGACCTTCTTGGGCTCCGGGGTGGGAGCTGGCGCGGGCTCTGCCTTCTTGGTATCCAACGAGCCGATCTGCAGCTGACCCTTGTACTTCTTCAGGATTCCCTCGTTGTGATACTTCCAGAACTGCTTCGAAGCATCCTTTCCGGCAACTCGCTGGAGAACTGTGCACGTGTTAATATCGACTTCGCGGCAGCATCGGCGGCGCCATGACGTACTCTTCTTCCCACCTGTGTTGCAGATTTCGGTTAACACATGTGATTCCGCCCGGCAAGCCCCAGGGCTTGTCGCGTGACTTTGTGGGACAACTCAAGATTTGTCATTCAGAGAACTTACCAGGGTGCTCATCTAGGAACTTAGAGACATCATAGACGTCCTCATCGATCACAATCCACAGGCTGTCGCCTTTGCTGTGCGACGCCACGTCGTCCTTGCTAAAAATCTTCGACATTGTAATGTATGCGGGTCGAAGGAGGTTAGTGGGGGAAAGAGTCAGGTGTAATCGGTATACAGGAGAGAAAAACAGAATGAAAGACTGAGATTAGTGGGGAAGAAGAAAAACCAGGGTCAACTCCGGGGTAGATGGAGCACGCGCGATATATAGGCCCGGAGAGCAGCGCCCCATTTAGCAAACCCCGTGTCCAGCACAATGCGACTCCAGTTTCCGGAGGCCTCGGAGCATCCACCTCGTGCAGTTTGGCGGGATTTTGGGTCTTCAGCTGCTTTCCTCGGTCGCTGCGGTCGCTGATCGGTTCGGTCATCGCTGTATGCCTGGGCGGTGATTGGTTCCCCCTGCGTCATCACTGCAATAAAATGCCGAGGCGTCCTGCTTAGGTAAGCCCTGCTGGCATGTGAACATGTGAAAGTGCTGGGTGTCGGCGCATTTGCGATTCGTGGCATGCCATTCATGGAGCCATATGACTCGTGCTTTCCGGCTGCACTTAGATCAGGTGGCCTGGGGTGCAAGTCCCCATCGTAGTGCTGGCAATGTGGTTGATGGCCAGTGAAGAGGTTCGTGAGGCAACTGCATAAGCTAGTTATACATCGGCGTCATCCCTGCATAGTCCAAATTAGTACATTCATCCCCACAATTGTCTTATCCACCATATCCCCCCGGAAGGAATAAATTCAATGATTTCGGCAGCCGATCGCTATTAACACTTTTGCTCTTTGTGTATTTCTCGAACTACTCATACAAAGAAAGATGAACGAAGAAGGGCAGACACACTATATCTGCCACGTGACCATATGGAAAGAATATGAGAGATCGGAAGCTGCTACTCTTTCACGTGACGATTCTCCTAAACTAAACAGGTCCAAGGACAATGTAGCGGAATATATAACAGGTGTTGGGACGACAAGTAAATCAGCATCCTCAGGGTGATCTCTCAATGGGACTCGGCATCCCCCGAGTCCACCTTTGTGACACTGGTCATGGCCCTGTGGATGCCTAGTGAACGTTCAAGGGGTTGCGTTGCTTTAATTACACCACAAACGATGGCAAATTGCAAAGAAGAATGGGGTTTGGCAATATTTGCCATGGATGGAAAGTGTGGATAGACCTGAGTTTAACTATGAGAGCAACTAATCTCTTCAAAGTACGTACAAAGTACACATTCTTTTAGTAGGATGAGAGGAATGAATGGACTGACGGTCTGGATCAGGATTGTCAGCATCAATATCACCTGACGCGTGATGTAAATCACGTACTTTGTCGTGAGAATATCCCAAGGCAGAGAGAGGTCATGCCCATGAATCAGTGTATTCCAGGCAAGATTGTGGAATATACCGTGGATTTATTTAGGAGGCAAGACTAGTACGAGCGTCACATGGCTCGAACAATATGAACAAGTTACAATTCTTCGGATAGAATTCCCGAATGCAGGACAGGGATTGAAGGTCAATGTGTCAAGACGTGGAGAATTGAACAGGAATTGACCAATCTCTCAAATTAGAGATTGCCAGCAGACTGCAAACGAGGAGGCTGAGAGGTGTGGCTGTGGTAAGTCGCAGTCATCCCAGGCTCTCCCATAGGAAAGAAACTTATCCAAGCGGATAGGCGCCCACGCAGGTACCAGTCGTCCACGCCCTAGCACTAGATGCAGCACCAAAGTCATTGTCTTCCATTTCAGTGAAAAGTGCCAGTGTAGACTCCTGATGTGACTGTTAGTAGTCTAATAAGTCTGGTAAGAATACAATACCTAGATTATCTTACCTTTTTGATTGGCTGTTGCACACTATCATGTGACGGAAGACCATAAGGAAGACACTTCAAAAGATGGAAGGCTGCAAGGTCAAAGGCCAAGAGATGAAAGCCCATAGAGACGTATCAAGGTGTTGATGGACCTGGTGGAAGGCCATGTGATTGTGTCAAGTCGTTGGTATATCGTGAGGTGAAGGGCCATGTTGACACATCATGACGCAGAGTGCCATGATGGTAGACCAAGGGTGTTGATAGTGATTGAGGATCAAGGTTTCAAGGGATTGGCAGACCATGTAGATGTGTTGGGGGATTGACCTGCGAGAAGGTGGGGAAGATCAAGTGGCAGCCAGTAGGAGAGGCGGCGGTGGAGGAGGGGAGTGAAGAATATCTGGGGGGAAGGGAGTATTTATATTTTTCAGGGACGGGCAGTGAGAAGCACTCATTTTCTAAACAGGATTGGCATCGCTGCCTTCAGCAACCAGCACTTGCTGCACCTCTCTAGTCAGGCGTGCTTTGAGAGCGTTGTGTGATCGGAGCAGGCACGATATGCCCTACTTCCTAAACGGGACATCAACGCCACATTCACTCGACTAGGCATTGTGTGCCGTGCGCGAAGTTACTTGCACGTTAGAGAACACCATACTAAGTCAAAACACACTGTTAGATGCATCTCCAGATCGCCGCGCTGCCACGATTTTCGGCTCCGCTACACCAGTCTGCCCCGTACATCCCCATAATCCCTTGGTGATTGGCCACTAGGCGCATCATAGTATCACAATTATCCAACTCTCTCTGATCAAAAGCCTCGCCATCTTTTCAGATGCTGACCTTGGGCCACCATTCTTCACTTCTTTCAGTTGTGGCTGCTCTTTGGTTTCGTGTTCTCATTACCTGACTCGGGAAAGTATTCATCGCATGGTAGCCTGCCGGAGGCTTGCCGAGGAGGCATTCGTGATTCGGGAACTGGACGGCTGAGTTAGGCCATTGGTGAATCTTTGAGACAACAGGGCAGGACGCCCCTTCGCACCATCTCTGTTTATAAAGCCTCCTCCTGACGTTATCACAGACTGGCTTCATCCATAAGAATCCAACCGGTCCTCCAAGATGTCAGAGAAATACGACCTCGTCATCATCGTGGCCAGAAGCGCGATTGATGACGGAAGGGAGACCGACGAGAGCCTACGGACAAGCCTGGAATACACCAAGTTATGCTACGAACAAGCCTACGGCCAAATAACCGGTCAATACGAGTTTCATACTTTTGCCTGGCCATCATATGTCGAGCTTCCTGCTTCAGGAGAGACCGTTCAGTTCTTCGCTCGTCGCACTGAAACATTGGCGATCACCAACAGGCAAATGATGGTGGTACTTAACGGCTGGGACGGACTGACCTCGAACGGGGTGACTTTCAACACTTTGTTCAGGCATAACGCCTCGCGCATCACACTCCGTGTCTTTGCCGATCAGCCTCGGTGCTTCTATCGGGTCAACGTGGAACAGATCTTCCAGCTTTTCGACGGCAAGATTGTCATCAACCCCTTTCTCAATGGGATACCTCACGAGCCTTTGGATGAAGAAATCACAGCAATTCTTGATCACGGGGAGAGACAACTACAATATTCCACGGCTCTCTTTTACCGCTATTTTAGGGCGTTTGGAGTCCTCAAAATCAACTAACCATCACAACACCTCTTCACCGCTCAAAAAGTTGGATGCCAAAAGTCACAAGCATACCCTCCTTGAACGCGCGTTAGATACAATGGAGCAGGTGACTGGGGCAGACAGCCCAAGAGTGATTGGTCTGCGATGCCACAAAGAATAGTTCATGGAGTCTAATCGCTAGTGGGATGTGGGTCATCCATACGTATCGAGATGAACACTCCACTTGTATTGAGCAGCAATCTACTAACCACTCTTAGTTAGTCTCTTGGTGCAAATATTAATTATCTGGCTAGTTTCCCCCTATTCTTTTCAAGGCACGCTCTCCTGTTCGATCGGCCTATTCGTTACTAGGCGCGATCCCCCCTCCACTTGTCTTAACCGCACGTTTCAAGGGGTAGCTCGAAGCCATCTCCTCTGAGCAGCTGAACGGTTCATCAAATCATTGACATGTCACTGTCATTATTATAAAACACGAACCACGGCTTAAAATACGATAACAGGATTCACGATACGGGGTTTCACCGGATCCTTGCAGAGTACATGGTTTCATGTAAATGAGACTAGAGATGTTCATGGAGCGTAATCAGACTACTATGCCGATCGATACCTCGTCAAATCGCTCACATGGGGCTACGGGGCTATGTGCCCGGACCCATGCTTGTTATGGACTAGTTCCCAGGAAATGGAGCTGATTCGACAAATATAATTCAGATTCAGACAGATAAAGAGAAAATGTCAACATTTGATTTGAATTCCATTAAATATGTAGATATCGAAGGTTAAACAGATTGAAATATAGGTAACTTGATGAGGGTATTCATTGTGCTAAGATTGACTAAGTGCACAACCCTCCAACCTTGGATTTTAAAAGTGAGCCCATTTCATTGTTTCTTAGGCGGAAGGGGACAAGATGCGGCCTTCTGGGGACCAGCATGGTGGGAATGCTGGTGACCATGAGCGTGCTGACCTGGATGAAGATTCACTGTTGATGCTGCTGTGGATGCTGCTGTGGATGCTGCTGTGGATGCTGCTGTGGATGCTGCTGTTGAGGTTGCTGTTGAGGTTGCTGTTGATGCCGGGACTGTGGGAGTTGATTCGGATAGGAAACTGGAACTGCCAGAGATAGACTTGGTAGCTTCCGGAACCTTGATGAGGGCGGCCAAGGTATCCACCGATCTGTGAGTTGCTGAAGTCGATGTTGTCGATTCGCGAAGCGAAGCCACATCGGTTTCATTCAAATGATACAAGAGGGTTCCCCAGCCTAAAGTGTCGTAATATCCGGAAACCTTATGAGAACCGAAAGATCCAGAACCGGGCTCAAAGCCACCATAGGTCTCATAGGTCTTGTTGAGGTATTTTGTCGTCCAGGGTGCTTGTTTGCCTTTGATCATCACATAGTGGTTGTAGAGCACTTCCCATGCCCATCGGGTATCCCCACGAGAACCACTGCTAATTTCAGTATAGCTGACTAGACCGTTCGTGTAGGGTTCGAAAGGGACTTCATATCCCAGATTGTAACGGGCAAAGTACTCAGCCCTGTAGATTGTCAATTGGTATCAGTCTCAACCATTCAATGGAAAGAGGCGAAGCTTACCCGAGTAGAATGCGGCTGTTGTTGTAAGAAAACAAATCTTCACCCTGGTTCCAAGCCTGTTGTGCAATGACGCCTAGCAATGCGAAGTCCAAGGCAGAATGGCCCTGGTCGCGGCCCTCTTCTTGTCCTTGACCTAGGGGGTTACCCGTATCAGGTTCCTGCACAATGTTGGTTACAGCATTGTTAATTGCGCCATTCCCAGAGCCGTTCTTGAAATAATCAACAGCAAAATTGAATGTAGTCGTGTTATCGGTGAGGACCCCAATCGCCATAGCCGAGGCAACCTGCGCGAGTTCCCAGTTGGCGAAAAAGTGCTTCACATTGTGCTCCGAACCGTCTAAATGTTCAAGAAAGTAAATGTTCTTTGCCAGAAAGACATCAACCATCATTGTCTGAAATTTAGCCAGTCCATTCTCTCGGAAAGGGGTGTAGTCGCGCAAAAGCTCTCCTGCATTTGCTAGCTCGTGTCCTTGCAGTCCCGCCACGAGGTACTGGTCGTCATTAGAACCGATTGACGTAAGCTTGTCGCTCCAGGAATTCAGAATAGTGGCCGCTGCATCAGCATATGAGGTGTTCCCCTCGATCTTCCAGCGCAGAGCGAGCGTGAAGGCGGCAGCTGCATCGGTCCATAGTAGATAGGCGTTCGAGTCGGTTGAGCCGACCGCATCACGATCAACTGAGCTCACAGCCTGGGGAGTGTAAGGAAGGTTCGCAGGAGCCATGTTGACGAACGAGCTCCAGCAAGCCTGCCATGGATCCAGTCGGGCGGAGATCTTTCCCCGGAGACGGGCCAGATCAGACTCAGCGACCAGCAATCCAGGATGGCTGAAACTGGACGCCAGAGGAAGTAAGGCGAGTAAAAGCTGGAGAGCTTTCATTGTTGTCGGATTAACCCGCAGCGGGTATCAACGAATGGAAAATGAGAGAGAACGGTAGGTTTTCAAGAAAAATGTTAAAGAGTGAATGAATGAAAGGAGTGGATAGTAAGATCAATCAAGAAACAGCGCAGCAAGCAGCAATATCCCCTATAAGTGTAAAAGCTTAACATCTCGATGCCCGGAACTGATCCTGAAATTAACTAGTCAGCAATATAGCGGCGCTCCGCCCCTGGCATTTACATGAAACATTGGACGAGAAATATAAGGTTTGATCCTGGCTTGTCGGAGGACTTGCCTAATTAGATAAGAGATCCGGTAAGTTGCAAAATAGGAATGGTACGGTGTAGATACAGTAGCAAAATCGGAGCCGCTAATTTAGGCTTGATAAACACGACCCGCTAAAAGCTAAATTTTCTACGCCGAAACTGTCCTCTTCTCGCGTCGATTTAAGCTCAGCTGAAGGCGGATTCGGCGATACTTGTCTCGCAGCCGCAGTATATATCAAAAAACACGTTGAAAGGATAAGAGCTGCTACAATAGAAATAATTGCCGGCAAATTAATTTACCACCTGCCTTTGGCTACCTAGCAACCAACGCTGTCCTGTCGAGTAATATTGGTCTCCGTATGTGTCTTGACTAACAGCGGCTGAGCTTGGCTATCCTCGCAGTTATGAGCAGATCACAGTACAGCAGATCGAGATTAAGAGAGGAGGGAAGGGTGGGACCTACCTAGGGTGCAGGAGCTGTCAGTATAGTGGCCGCTCACATAGCAGTTATCCTCCTCGAAGTAATCCCAACCACTAGTTAACAGAAACGAATTTTAGTGAGCCAGCAAGTACACGACATCATCGGCTAGTCCAGGTAGAGACATACCAGTTGACAGCACCGTTTAAGGTGATGCATTCTCCTGATTTAACGCAGGTGAAGTAATACCCGCGCGTCCACGACGAGGACAGCCCCACAGTAACTGCATAATTTGTGCCCGGTCCGGATCGGCAATTGACATGCTCACTGAGAACTCGACACAACTGGCCCGACCGTTCGAAGATCTTTTTCCCGTCAAGGACCTCGCTCTGCCCAGAACCCTCTGTAACTGGAGCCGCAGTGAGGCCCAAAGCAAAAAGGGAACTAACGAGAAGAGGAGCAAGCTTCATGATAGATTCAATGACAGAGACTGTTCTTGTGGAGTTGTTGACAGTGTATCACATAGGTCCCAGGGGTGGAAGGGTTGGGGGGATTTTTTAACTCTTATAAAGGTACTTGCGGGGGAATCTCCTGTAATTTCCCGGCTGCCAAGAGCCAAGCCCGGACTTCGAGGCTTTATTTAGAACCTGTTGTGAATTATATAGAGTCGCTAAAGTAAACAAACATCTCTCAGCGGGCAGTTGAGGAGAATACGGCCTCTTAGCCTCTTGGCCTCTTGGCAGCGCAGGTTTAAGGTCAGCCGGCTGGTCTCCCATCTGCCGAATACGAGGATCTATGGAGAAGGTTACATAGCGGCATTCGTGCCAACCCTCCTGAAAGGACAAGGGTCACCGTATGTATTAGTCCCCGTCAAACCTTTTGCCCTGTTCAGCATGGGTTCAAAACTCAGCCTAATCATGATGCCGGTGTCCAAGAATGGTCATAGATACTGATGGTTTGGGGTTGTCGAGACAGACAGCTAGCTTGATTTTTTGCAAGCATCGCCATAGCTCGTCGCCAGGCCAAGTACTTTACAAGTTCTCAATGCAGATGACTAGGGTCTCAGGGTCTCTCGTAGACTCAAAAGGTTGAAATCGGTGGGGTTTACCGTGATGCCTACAACAGGAGCTACAAACTTGAATAAAGCAAATAACTATGCAAAAAAATGCTTCATATCACAAGGCGAAATCCGCACTTCCCAAGAGATCAGGTCAAAAGAGCCTAATGAGTCTAGTAATACATCCAGCGTCAAAATGGTTTATGCTGCAGACCCCCTCTACTCTTCCTCTCCTTCCGTCTCATACGTGAACTCGTCCGGAACTGGCGCATCCTCAACTCCCTCCTCGTCTTCATCCACGGCAGTCAGAACACCGGCAGCCGCTGCAGCACCGCCCATGGAAGTGTAGTCAGACAAGGCAGCACGAGCAGCTGCCCGTTGAGGGGTCTGCAGCGCTGCGGTACCGATGGCAGCCTGAAGGCGGTCCTGAAGGGTTTCGGTTGAGGGTGCGGGCGGTTGAGGTCTCTTGCGGCTGGCCTCCAGCTCGATGGTTTCGCGAGGCTCATCGGGCTGGTTATCGAGAACGACAACGACGCCACCAGTGGGCTGTAGGGAATAAGTTAGTACCGATTTTATAACAACCTATAGCTGACGATAAGTGGAACATACCCTCTTTACAGGCTCATACCGCGGGTCGGGGAAAGTAAGGTACTTGAGCTGGGCGGGCAGCACCCTTGACAGGTTGTCCAGCTCATATCCAACCTTCTCCCGCTCAGCTTTCTTCTTTTGACCTTCACTGGTAACCTTCTCGGCCTCCTTGCCCTCTTCTCCTTCAGCCGCCGCTCCACCGCCCTCGGTGTCCATCTTGTCCGGGAGCTGGTCTGACACCTTGGGGGTAGTGGGTGTTTGGTCGATGTCCATGCTCTCTCGTCGGGCTTGCTTCTCCCGGCGCTGGGCACGACGCTTGGCCTGCGCGGTGGTAGAAAGCACGGCAGTCTTCACCTTCTCAGGAGCCTCTTCGGTCTTCACCTGCTGCTCCGGGGGATAGTCGAAGAGACTGGGGCGACTGTTGCTGTGGAACTTGAACTTGGGGGCCTCCAGCTTCTGGTCCACACCAATCACAGCTGTCGGAGCAAAGCTAAGAGACAAAAAGTGAGAGAGGGGGAACCAATACCAGTACTGCACGAACACTGCGGTACCGACAATGCCGGGCATATTCAGGTTGCCCGTCTGAGTCTGCAAGCTGATAGTGCAGTTGCGACCACCAGCATCGATAATACCAAGAGCCACAGCACAACCGAACTTGGCCATGGCATCTTCGTGGCGGTCACCGATCATCTTGAGCATAGCCTTGCGGAGACTGGTGACACGGGGGTTCATGGCCTCGTTCTGCTGAACGAGAACCATGGAGAGAGCAATCAAGGCACCCTGGCGGACAAAGTCTGTTGAGTCCTTCAGCATAGGCTCCAGGAGATCAATTGCCTCATCCAACCCGGTTCCAGCGCAGGATATACCCAGCGCCATAGCTGCACCGTACCGAACATGAGGGTTGTAGGACTCCGAAAGCAGCTCCACCATGCGGGGTACACTCTGGTGCTTCCGGAACAAAATGAAACCCAAGCTCAGCACAGCAACACGACGCACATCATCATTGACATCGCTAACGGCAACATGGAGGAGCTTGCGAACCGCCTTGTTGCTGCCACTGCCACAGTAGGCCAGTGCTATCGTCATGATACCGCCGTAACGGAGGGTGGGATCGGGGTCACCCAGAAGACCGTTGATAAGCTCATCGGCAGCCTCCTGGCGCCCATACATGATCAAAGCCATACCCATGGCCAGACCACGAACGATCTTCTCGTGCTGGGTATCGTGTGCGTATTGGATCATATCTTCCAGGGCCTTCATATTGCCAGTTCCCAGCATAACCAGACCCATGGCAAGACCAACAGCTTCGCCGTTGAGAGCGGAGTCGGTGTAAAGAACATTCCTAAGATCCTCGTAAATGCCTTCATCGCCGGTGGCCATACCCGCGACACCCAGTCCCAGAGCACCACCGTGCTGAACAACCTCTTCCGTGGCATTCTTGAAGTAGTCACGGATGATGTTGACAGCCATGCCACCGTGGTTGGCATAGATGAGTCCATAGGCGTACAAAGAACCACCCTGGCTGTAAACCGAGTTCGAGCTGCCGCCAACCCCGGCAATCTGGTCCTTGGGTAGGTAGGGTTCCAGCAGTGTCTGGCCCTGGTTAAGGTTGCCACGGTGGATGACACCCAGAGCAGCAGTAGCCGTGAATTTGGACCAGTTCACAGCCTTACCGAGCCACTCTAGGTTATCACGGAAGAACTTATCACGGGTAGTTCCCGCGTGCATGAAGGCATTCGAAATTGTAACTGCGGTGTGGAAGATCGAATTCCGAGCTTCGAGGCTGTCGCGAGCCTTATCCAGGATGGCCATGTCCGTCTTGTTGTTCTGATAGAGGAATTCCAGGTTCAATTCAATTGTCTTAAGACCATCCAGAATTTTGAGAATATTCTTGAAAGCAGTGGTCGATTCATCCGAAAGCTTGCTCTGCTCTCCCGACGGCCTAGATGAGCTTGATTGGTCGTCAAGCAGTCGGTCAGACTCCTTAGGCTCATCGTTCTCAACCTTCGGGTTCTCGGCCTCGGCCTCTGGCACCAGCTCGGCAATCTCCTGGCGAACCTTTTGAAGGAACTCCTGGGTGCTGTTATCGTAAAGATCGAAAGAGATTTGATAGGCGACGGCAAGGGAGCGCGAGTCACCCTTCTCGACAAGTTGGCGGAGAATGATGGATGCCATGGAGTGTTCATTAAGGTAGACAACGCATTTCGCAATCGAGAAATAGTCGGGCGTCGGGATCTCGTTAAGAAGGTCAAGGATGAGTTTCAAAATCTGGAATAAGAATTGTGTTAAGAGATGTCGTCAATTTGAAAAAGACTGAATGGGTAGACAAACCTCGTTGCGGAAAGCCCGCTCCTGAACAATGCCCATGCAAATGTCCAGAACGTACTCCATAAGCTCTTCACTTCGGCGGAATTCACCCTGCTGCTTCTTCTCATCCTCGCTAGCTCGGAGAATGGCCATGCGGAGAACATCCAAGCTCTTCGCCTCAATTGCGATACCAATCACTTGACGGTAACGCTTTTGACGGAAGCACTCCTCGAACAAGCGTTCAATGACAGCCTGCAGTTGTCCCTGAACACCACGCTTCAAGACAAGGGGGGTGTCCTCATGCTGAACACTGGCATCATCGCCACCGGGGTGCGCAGCATCAATGCCAGGAACCTCCTGGCGCGATAACAAGGACTTCGACGGCAGGGCAGACTTGGAGAATGGTGTGATCGGAGAGGTCAAGCTTGCTGATGTGCTTGTGGCGCCATCGCCGGATGCTGGGAAGGAGTTGTTCAGGTTGGCGGATTGGTCACCGGCGGTGCGTCGCTGGGCGGCAGATAGAGAGATGAAGGTATCGACGCATTTCGCTACAGAAACACACCGGATCGTTAGCAACCTATACAGTGATCTGCTGCCAAGGATGTCACACAACTTACCGATAATAGTATCCTCATACTCGCCACCGTTATCCAGCTTGAACAGCTTGCCTGCGCCCAGGGCCAGAACCATACTCTCGTTATATTCCTGCAGGTGATAATATACCTTCGAGGCGACAAGAGCTGCCAGCTCCCGTTCGGGGAAGGATTCATCTTCGTAAAGAGCCTCACTGGATGGATGTGGTCAGCGCTGTCCGGAGGCCCTGGAGGGTCTGCTGCGGGGACGATCCCGCCAGCGAGAACCGAGATCGTGTGATCGCCTATCCTCGAGAGAACTCTACTTACATCTCTGGAACAGCATTCACAACCTCTGTCCAAAGCAGATCGATCTGCGAATCTAATGACTGCAAAGCAAAGACCTTGAGCTCTGGGTCAGGCTCCGAGAGGAAGCCGACCAGACCGGCGGCCGAAACGAGTCCGACCATCTTTATCGGAGAGGACGACTGGCGTCAAGAAATCACTCAGAGGAGCTCAAACCCGAAGGGTGATGTTGTTGTTGCGGTGACGAAGCAACGTCGACGGGAAGGAGCTCGGGGGAGGCAGCGAGTGAACCCCAGAGCAACGACGGTCTAGGAAGGGGAATCAGTGGCCCCAGATCAGATGATGGCACGTAATTCGAAGACAAATTAGAGGGAAAGGACGAGACGAGATGAAGTGGACGTGTGAATGGAAGCTGGAAGCAGACAACAGAAGCTTTGCAGGCGCGAGTCAACGTCAACGGAGGAGCTGACTGTACGGGTCACGTGAAGCAATGACGCCCATGCGGTCCGAGAGCGTCGGGCGTCAGCTGGCGAGGTCCGGCGGACTTTCGAGACTTGCTCAGAGGGCGACGTTAATTGCCCGTTAAATAGGTGTTCGTCCTCAGGAGCACCGCCAGAGCTTCAGACTTGCTCCCGTTCTCCACCTGAAGCCTGGTCTGCCCTGTTTACCCAGCATGTCAACACTCCTCCCTTTCCGAGACAAGCGGCTACCACCTGTGCCAGCTGCCGGTTCGATGTACCACCAGCATCCTCTCCTCCATGTCGAGCGCCAGACAGAGCACATTCAGCGCAATCTCCAGACTTTGATTGATGCGCAAAGCGAGGGTCTTCTGGCAGGTCTCGCGCGATCCCAGCCAGAAGACACATCGGATGGAAGCTTTACCCCGACATCCTCGGCAGCTGGTCAAGCTCGGTCTCCGTCAACAATCCCTGCCAGGCAGCCCCCTGTCAAGAAAATTGGACTTCGCGCTGCACGGCAGGGGATATTCCAATCCATCTATGATCTACTAAAGCTGCGAGAGGAGGAGCGTGACATTCTGTCGTCTCAGACAGACGAGCGCGACAACGCGCTCCATGAAATCCAAGGGTTCTCCTCTAGGAAAGACGGCTTGGAAGAGGCCATATCCTCTATACACAATGACCGAGAGAAGCAACTTGCCACACGGTTACAAGAAGAGGCTCGCGGCCTTGAGACTGACATTCGTGAGCTGGAAACCAAGCTGTACGAGATGAAGGCCAAACATCGCAACCTGATCAGCGAAATCTCACACCTCGAGAACTCCGTCGACGCGAAGCTATCTTCGTATAATGAATCCCTATCCCTCCTTCAATCCGACATTCAACACTATCTTCGTGATCCTCCAGTCCCACCGCTATCGCGACGCACGGGCGAGTCTACATTCTACTCCTTAAACCCCAAACGGCGCACACTCGACATGATGGAGGAACACTGGAAGTCGGAACGGGAGTACCTGCATCAGAGACAGCACGAAGTGGATGCGGAGATCCTAGCTCTGGAGGAAGGGGGTGGAGTTTGGAAACAAGCCATGGCTGACGTGTCCGGCTTCGAGAAGCGCCTCAGGGCTAACATGCGGCACTTCATTCAGATTCAGTCGTCAGCGACCGAATCAAATACTGAGCAGTTCTCGGGGACGATGGAGGAGGTCGCCGCGAACGTTTCAGAGGACTTGGACAAGACTACGCAGCGGCTGCAAACACATTTGGAGCTTGCTGAGACGAAGGATTGGAAGCTTCTTGTTTGCTGCATCGCCGCAGAGCTAGAGGCGCTCCGAGAAGCACGTGGAATGCTCCTTCCAGCTTTTGGCTTGCCAGTACCCAACAGCGCGCCCGCCTCCCAGTCGTCGTCCCCGGAGAACCCAGCTTCAGAGAATCCCGGGGATGTGCATGAGGACTCATTGGACAATGATGATCCTGAGCCGCCGGCTGATATACTGAAAGATGAGCATGCCCCGCACGCAGATAGTGCGTCCAGATCGGATGATGATGAGCCAGATCCAGCTTGGCTCTAATCTTGATTAGCCTTGTAGTTAGTTGAGAGGAAAGAGATATACATCTCGCGCTGAAATGTATCATGAATCAACGACACGTTTTGATGACCAGAGCAATTAGCATTAGGTCGCAGCTACGAAGACGCTGCCTGTAGGGTTTCCATAGGTGGGGTCCAGTTGGGGTGCGGGCGGGAAAGCTTCTCATGGGCAGCTCCGACATCAACTTCCAACCTCTCTTCAAGAACAACAGCCACTGGGCAGCAGCTTCGTTTGGGACGATGTAACTGATATTCGTCTTAAACCATGGACCTCCAATCTCCGACATTTTCTTTCACTATACCGTCCATTCATGACGGCTGCAAGCTGGAATGTCGACTCTATCTGCCGCACCAGCTCCAAGATATAGAACCAGAAGCATCGGGAACCTCCTCAGCCACGTGCGGTGCGATTGTCGCCCACCCTTACGCACCACTCGGTGGCTGCTACGATGACCCAATAGTGGGCTTTGTCGGTGGCGAGCTTTTACAGGCAGGGTACATCGTGGGGACGTTCAACTTCCGGTACAGGACCTCTCTGCTCAGCTCTGAGCTTGCTTGGGACTAACATGACCATAGCGGAGCTGGGGGCTCTGAAGGGCGGACCAGCTGGACTGCGAAGCCAGAACTGGGGGACTATGTGTCCTTCTACGGGTTCATGTTGAACTATTTACACGAGGTGAATGCGACACTCTTTACAGGACAGAATGAGATCCCTGCCAGCAAAGCCTCCAGGACAGAATCCCGACGCGTCCACTTAGTCATTGGGGGGTATTCGTATGGGTCGATGGTCGCCTCGCATGTTCCGACCCTTGATGTCATGCTGGACCTGTTCTGCGATGGGACTGTGACACCGGCGGCGATCGATGAGATTGGCAGAGCAGCCAGGAAGATCGCTGTGCAGTCCACACGGCGGCCCCCAGCAAATCCGGACCGCCACGCCGACCAACCGGGGCCCCGCGCGGCGACTACGATCTCCTATCTGCTTGTGTCACCCTTGCTGCCACCCGTGAGCCAGCTTCTGACTGTTTTCTCTGCCCTATCAGTGAACGTGGGGGACCAGACATCAGCTCAGGCCCGACCTGGGGGCCGTCCAGCCGACCAGCTGAGCGCGCACCGGACGCTCGCGCTATTTGGGGACCAGGACACTTTCACCGCAGCCCGCAAATTGCAGCGGTGGTCAGCCGAGATGGCCCGCATGCCGCAGAGCCAGTTCCGGGGCTGCGAAATCGAGGGTGCGGGGCATTTTTGGCGAGAGCATGGGGTGGAGACTCGGGCGCGACAGTCTCTGCGAGAATGGCTACGATCTTAAGAGGGTTGCGCTTCCGTTGTGGAAATAGGGATGGAGGTGGAGATGGAGATGGGGATGGGGATGGGGATGGGGATGTGGATGATGTTCTTTGCCACGAGAGGACTTGAAGTTCTATCTATTTGTGAAGGCATATAATTACCATACGAATATATACTGACATCCCCCCTTCAAGCATGGCGCATCCCCAGTCTCACATGCAGAGGCATGTGAAGGGCAGGCTCCAGGGGCGCCCCCCCGCCGGGGTAAAAAGGCCCGGCTGTTCAGATGATGGAGTAAAGATCATCGGGGAGGGTTGCAGCGGGTCGTAATACCATCTGCAGGCGTCAGCAAGATCAAGTCGATCCATCGATTCTCGATTGATTAAGGCGCAGCTGCATGCATTTCCGCAGGCCATGCCGCAGAGGGCAAAAAGTGGGCAAAATAGAGTCATCGTCGGGCCGCTGGGGAAAAAGTTGAAAAAGTTGGGGTCAGCGGGCGAATTACGATTGGCCCTCGTGACGTTTGTCCTCCTTCAGACCGCCAGAACCCACAGTTTTCATCCCTCATCGGTGATTCCTTTATGAAACCATCATTTTCCATTCACAGACCGTCGGCCTTCGTCGGTCTCTCGTTTCACTCCTTCTTTCCCTCATAACTTAAGGTTGTCGAGGCTATCATCCCTGGACTCCGAGTGGGCCGCCAACCCCGGCTGGATGGCTTGCTCCCGATGCACAGGCCTGCGATGTCGTTGGGCGACTCCACAATAGTCCAGTCGAAATACCACCATGATTCGGAGAGCCGCGCGCCCCTCTCCTCGCCGACGCGCCGGTCCCTGCGCAAGTCCATCTCCATCCCGGCCGTGTCCACGATCGTGAGGGATTCGTGGAATTGGGCGGGCGAGACCCTGCACACCTACCGGGACGGTCTTTCCGCCGAACAACGAAAGCGGAAGGCGGATATCGAGGACCTCAAGCAGGTGTTCTACCTGAAAATTAAGAATGTGAGCCATCCGCTGGTGATCCCCGACGGGCAGTGGTATCCCCTGCAGAGTTACCCTGCTAATTGCGACGTGAGCTGTAGGCGGTGTCATACGAGGAGTGGCGTACTTGCGCCACCGAGCTGGACGTGCTGGAAGACAACATCACTTGGAAAAATACCTTGGAATGTGCAGAATATCATGTCGAGCTGGTCCAGGAACGGTTGCGACAGCTGGAGGAGGCGCGGATTAACTGTGACGTGAGTCGCATGCTATTTCTCGTCCGCACCGGTCTCAGTCGCGACCTGGGGGAGATGAGCAACGCGTCGTTGTATCGGCACTCGCATATCGGGACCAAGGACCTTATCGATCGGTATATTACGACAGCTCTCGAGACGATTACCACCTTGGTGGATCTGTCGGTGCATAATCGATGTGACGGGCTCGAGCTCAAGTACATACTGGATCAGCTGTTGGCAGCGCGACAGGCATTTGGCCGGAGTGCGCTTCTTTTCTCCGGAGGCGCCACATTTGGCATGAACCACATTGGTGTTCTCAAGGCCCTTTATGAATCGCAGCTCATCCCGCGCATTATCTCGGGGGCTTCGGCGGGGAGTATTGTGTGCGCGGTGTTTTGTACTCGCACCGATGATGAGATGCCCCGTCTGCTGGATAGCTATGTGCATGGGAACTTTGCAGTATTCAATGAGCATGGGCAAGAGGAGAACATCTTTCAGAAGGTGGCACGGTTCTTGAAATTTGGATCCTTTCTTGACATCTCCCACTTGGCAAATACCATGCGGGCCTGGTTGGGTGACATCACGTTTCAAGAGGCATATAACCGAACCCGCAGGATTTTGAACATCTGCGTGTCAAGTGCCGGCATGTACGAACTTCCTCGGCTGCTCAACTACATCACGGCACCCAACGTGTTGATCTGGTCGGCAGTGTAAGTTTCCAATCGATTCCCCCCCTTCTGTGTGATGCCAAATAGCTCTAACAGCATATGTGTAGAGCGGTATCCTGCTCTGTGCCGTTGGTATTCAGGCCCTTCAACCTGATGGCCAAGGATCCATTGACAGGCGAGGCAATTCCTTGGAATGATCTTCACAAACAGTATATTGATGGTTCCGTTGACGGCGATCTTCCAATGACACGCCTATCGGAGATGTTCAACGTCAACCACTTCATCGTTTCACAAGTCAATCCCCATGTAGTCCCATTTCTACCAAAAGAGGATGGCCCAAGATACGCCGCCGAGCCAAGCCCGTCCATCATTCCTCGCTGGTTGAACACGATGACTCACCTTGCCAAAGACGAAGTGCTTCACCGAATGACCGTTCTTTCAGAACTCGGGGTCTTTCCGACCTCCATGACCAAAGCCGCGTCAATTATGAACCAGAAGTACAGCGGTGACATCAACATCTACCCCAAACTAAGCTCATCGAATTTCCCGCGGATTTTGGAGAATCCAACTACCGAATTTATGGTGGAAGCCTGCCTCAGCGGGGAACGAGCGACATGGCCCAGGCTGAGCCGCATCAGGAACGCTTGTGCCATTGAACTGGCACTCGATAGAGCCATTCACCAAATGCGGGCCCGGGTCGCTTTTAGCCCCGGACAACTGGATTCGCGCATGCATGGCTCTCTATATCATTTCGCCGATCCCACGGACACCGGCGCGGGACGGGGGCGTATTCGGAACCGGAGAAGAGGTTCACACAGTCAGGAGTTGGAAAGGAGGTGCCCAAGAGCACTGTCCCCCTGCGACACAGCACATGAACTGCGAAAGGCGCGCAGTACCATCTCACTCGAAAACCCATCCCTCACCACATCGAACGATCTAATCTCCGTCCCAGCCCGGCGCAAGGTCCACCACCTCCGTCGATCGTCCACCTCCTTCAGCACCGGGGTCTTCTCTGGATCTGGTAGCGACGATGAAGAGGAGGATCCCGGGCTGTCTTTATCCGTTCAATCCCGGTCTTCCCATCACCGTGGCTCGTGGGACGCCTCATTCTTGGTGTACGGAGAAGATTTCAGTTATGGCACGCGTGGCCCCGTCCGATCCCGACGATCTTCATTCTCAACTGGAAGGACGCCAAGATCTGCTTCAAGCCGTCGAGGTTCGCCAAAGCAGGTCTATGCAGCTTCGGCTCGGGAGATTTCCATGGCCTTGTCGCCTTCGTCCCGTCACCAGCTTAGCATGACGCCAACCGTGCATCCGAGCTCTCCTGACTCCCTGACTCGCAAAACGCGTGCTTGAGGATTGTAAGCGGAACATGAGTTTTGAGACGCATCACTTCGCCATGCCCCCGCGACATGACGGGGGTGCTGGCTTGTCCCTATCGGGCCCGGATGCCTTGCCGTGTCCGTTGACACATCGCGATAGCTTGAAAGGCTGACCTCCTCCTGCTCTCCGGTGCGGGCCACTCGGACGGGAGGCATCCGAGCAGGAACCCTACCAGAATTCCCATTTTCTTCGCCCCGGCTTTTCAACCAGTCCCTCCTTCCCTATACTATATCCACTACACTGGGACTGGGATTGCTGCATGATATACTTTGGTTGATTGGAATTTCCCTTTGTCTAGACCGGCTTGGCGCCGTGCCTTTCGGAAGGAGTTGTTGTTGACCTGGGGTGAATAGAGCCCCGCGTATCTGGGACGCCCGCGCTGTCATCTATCTATGACAAGCAGTGGCGGTCTCAAGTGTATATAGTACAGATGTGTACATACAGACGACACACTACAGACTTCAGACTTCAGATAACGCCTTGTCTGTTTCTCGGACGGAGTACTCCGTAGTTTCATCTCCTTATCGGCCGTGGCTCGATCGACACTCCTAGTACAGTTAAGAATCTGAGGTTCCGCCCGTGGCGCGACCGGCCTTGGAGCTAGACTGTCTCCTGCTCCAATCGCCGTGACTCCGTACTTCGTATTGTGCTCCGTCTGGTTCTGTGGTTACTGTGGCCAACGGGGTGCCCCCCTTCTCCCCCACCGGCCGGAGCGGAGGCCGGCACTCCACCAAGGGGGATCATCGGCATTGGCGGTTGGGAAGGTCGAGGCTCTTCTTGCAGTCAGTATCTTGGCGACTTTGTTCAAGAGGGCTGTTTTTGCGGATACACTTGCGGGTGCGCTTCCACCAGATTCGATTTTCTATTGCTTGCTGCACGAATAAAAACCATACGGCGACTTGCATCGCTCAACAGGGGACGCTGAGGTTGTCGATCCCCGAAACCATGGCTCCACCGGGCAGGCTAAAAGGCACGTTTGAGCCAGTTCAGACTGCAAGGTCCCGCCCGCACTAACCGCAAACAGCTCAGGGCTGACGACGACGCGGTGGACTCGCCGCACTTTTACATCCTCAGGAACCCTGTGACCCAGAAGCAGGCTTGTTTTGTTTCGCCTTCTGATCTAATCTTGAAACACCGACTAGTGCCGCCAGTGTTCCACGCGGTCTGGACACAATGGTACTTGCAAACCAGCACTCCGCAACGCGGACGGTCATATTCGCAAGATGAGCAAGAACAAGGGACTCTCGCGACACCCCAAGGGTTTCTGGCGTGCTTCGTGGTAGAACCATGGCTCTCAATATTCAAGCCAGCCCCTAAAGCAAATCCTGCCCGAGCTGGCCCACCTGCCGATCGACTACGGCCCATTAGCCGCTCCTTTATCAATCAGTGGGAACGCCTATCCTTGTTTTTCTCGCAGGGGGAGAATTCTGGGCAACCGGAATCTACCTTGCCAGTGGGCGAGTCTACAATAACTGCTGTCCTGATACATGCCCTGTATCAGACCCCCCCCCCCCCCCCCCCCCCCGATACCTGCCATGTGGCGATAATATGTGGGCGATATGATGAAAGCCCGTCCAGCTTTTGCTACGGCGAGGATCCTGCAGGATGGCCCCCGACAATCATCAAACCTTGTTGATACCTCAAATTTTGGGATATTCTGACGGCTCCGAAAATAAAGCCAAGCATTACAGTGACAATAAACTTGCTAATCCCTGGGCACAGGCATTTCATGCCCGAAGTTAAGCTCGTCGGCCCTACTTCTTAGTCTTGGCCGCATCCGCTAGCGCTCGATCGAGGAGATTGCATCCACTTCTGGTAGGTGCCAGGATTATCTGGCTGCCGAGCAGTGTGATACGGTCAGACCACTTCGGCACTGTGATATACACGGAACATGATCATCGCACTATTGTCTGGGTTCCTGGCGCGCTGCCTATTCAAGCAATCCAAGCGAACCCGTTGGGCCCTGCAGAGCCACTTTTTCTCCCAGGCTCCCGGTGGTGCTGCCGTTTTCTGGCCAGCAGCTATCACTCTATCATACGCTAGTGGAAAATAACTCAGCCCTGACGTGGATTGGCGAGTGCCTGGACACGTTCCTTTCCTGATGGCCCTGAGATCGGCAATCCGTCTTCGTTGCCCCGTGCTTAGAGTGTGCCCCAACCTCAAAAAAGAGGCGAATTTTTGAGATCATTGCCCCATCACGGAGTTCTCCATCAGGGATGGAGTACCCGAAGCGAGCTGGACCCCGGCAGCCTGAGCCAAGATGGCTGGTACACTGCGGGTCTGAGCAGCCTTATAAAGACATCCCCGATACGCTGGGCCGTTCTATCGGACTTTTTCTTTGGAACGTCACGTCTCTCAAATACTCGATATCTGATATTGAGTCTCGTCTTTCGAATTCTCTGTCCATTCTTTCCAGAACCGCTCCACCTAATTCAAACTACACAATGAAGTTCACCGGCTTCGCTGCTATGGGCTTGATGGGCTGCGCCCTCGCCCTGCCTCACGGTGCTCCTGCTGGTGCCCAGCGTACCGACCAGCCCACGCCTACTGGCCTTCCCCCATCCGGCTTCCCGACCCCGTCTGGTCCTCCTCCCCCGCCGCCCAGCGCCAGCGGTCTCAACAAGCACCAGTTCGGCTCTTTCCCTGAGCCTTCCGGCACCCCGTCCGGCTTCCCTGAGCCCTCTGTTGGCTTCGGCTTCCGCGGCTTCGGCAAGCATCCGGGCTTCGGTATCCCTACCGACCTACCGTTCTCTATTCCCTCCGGTTTCCCTACCGACCTACCATTCTCTATTCCCTCCGGTTTCCCTACCAGCCTGCCTACTGGTCTCCCCGGCTTCGGCGGCTTCGAGAAGCGCCAGGACTTCAGTATCCCGACTGACCTACCGTTCTCTATTCCCTCCGGTTTCCCTGCCAGCCTACCTACCGGCCTACCTACTGGTCTCCCTGGCTTCGGCGGCTTCGAGAAGCGCCAGGACGTCAGTATCCCGACTGACCTACCGTTCTCTATTCCCTTCGGTTTCCCTACCAGCCTACCTACCGGCCTGCCTACCGGCCTACCTACCGGCCTACCTACCGGTCTCCCTGGCTTCGGCGGCTTCGAGAAGCGCCAGGACTTCAGTATCCCGACTGACCTACCGTTCTCTATTCCCTCCGGTTTCCCTACCGACCTACCATTCTCTATTCCCTCCGGTTTCCCTGCCAGCCTACCTACCGGCCTACCTACTGGTCTCCCTGGCTTCGGCGGCTTCGAGAAGCGCCAGGACGTCAGTATCCCGACTGACCTACCGTTCTCTATTCCCTTCGGTTTCCCTACCAGCCTACCTACCGGCCTGCCTACCGGCCTACCTACCGGCCTACCTACCGGTCTCCCTGGCTTCGGCGGCTTCGAGAAGCGCCAGGACTTCAGTATCCCGACTGACCTACCGTTCTCTATTCCCTCCGGTTTCCCTGCCAGCCTACCTACCGGCCTACCTACTGGTCTCCCTGGCTTCGGCGGCTTCGAGAAGCGCCAGGACGTCAGTATCCCGACTGACCTACCGTTCTCTATCCCCTCCGGTCTCCCTACCAGCCTACCTACCGGCCTACCTACTGGTCTCCCCGGCTTCAGTGGCCCCGCTCCCAGTGGGCCTGCTCCTTCCGGCACTCCCACCGGTTTCCCCCAGCCCAGCGGTAGCCTCCCCAGCGCTTCCGGTGTGCCCACCGGCTTCCCCGCGCCCGACGGCTTCTTTGTCTAGCGCAAGTTTCCTCCCTTCCCTGAGCCCAGCGGCCCTGCCCCATCGGGCCCCGCTCCCTCTGGCCCCACTCCTTTAGGTCCTACCCCGACTCCTCGCGTTTAAATAATAACAACAACAATAACGCGTGAGCCGGGATTGTCGGCAGCAGCTAGTTCGGCAGAGTCTGGCGAAAAGAATCGATAGATGGCTCGATTGTACAGTTTTGATGGGTCCTGATGTATTAAGTTTGGAATTCCAATCGGGGTCGGATACTAGATTATAACTTTGGTTTTTGAGCGTGGATGTACGGACTATGGACTACGGGTACAAATGTTTGGAAAGAATGTTTGATTGCGCAATGACAGACCTACAGTATATGAGGGCTCATCGTTTGCGTCGCTTAACTTCAATACATTCTTTGACTTTCTTGACCGAAATGCAGCTCCGCCGTATCCCTCCATTTATAGCCGTTTTCTTCCGCAGGGTTGCAACTTACAAGGGCCATTGAATTAGCAATATGGCGAGAATATTCTCCCGTTGTCGCGCGCTATCCTGCAGAATTGGCCGGATGGGTACTGCGTAATTGCTTAGTTGTGCAAAAAAGAACCATGTAGACTCGGCCTTAAATTGATAGTTTTCTAAAAATACACCCTTAATTTGGCTGCATTTGGGTGGGATGGAGGGTTACAGTGACCGGGGGAGCCAAATTGGCGTTAATTGACTTCTATTTTAGGACCCCTGTTAGCTGCAAAGTGTGCTAATTAAGGAACGCCATCCCAGTTAGCGCTGATCCTCCGCACCTGCTGCATGACCGTCCGGCGCCAATGCACTCTCTCCATTGGCTTCGTTCACCAAACAGCTGTCTTGCCACTGCACGTCCCGCAGCTCGTGCAGCTTCCGGATTCTTCACGTCGTGCACGTCAGCAGGGCTAAAACAGTGCGGATTGGCGAACAAGCTTTATATCCAAACGCCTGCCGTTGCGATGAAGCCCTGACGATTGCTGCGCAATCCGGCCATTTGCAATTGTTCAGTCCTCCTTGATATCGAGGAGCTTGAAGGTTGCGCGGTCGTGTCGCGGTCGCTCGCCTCTTTTGTGCCTTGTTTTTTCTGCGTCGCCTGTTTTCACCCTGGCCTTTACAGCCGCACACTTCCTGTGTCAAGGTTGCCCCGATCATTGGCTGTTGACCCTCCACAAGCCCGCCGGACAGTGGTTTGCCGCGACCCTGGCCTCGTCCAATCCGAGCCGGCCCTCCTTGTCTGTGTTGATTGTCTTGTGCCTCCATGCACGCCATCGACAGATCCCCTGACACGAAGGTCTAGGATCTACTAGCCTTACTGATCCTCGGAGGTACCGATCTCCGTCCGCCCAGCCCAGGGTGCGCCGGATTATTTGAAGAGATCCTTTTGCACCTCTTCTGCGTCTGGCTTGTCCGGCTTTCTTCTCATCATTTCCCCGCTATACTCGGATGCCAGCTGCTGCCCCCACTAGCAGTCGCGCACCCAAGTGGGGATTCTATAGTCAGCATGGCGGGCATTGTCAATAAGCCTCTGGCCATCTTCCGCCGCCCCGAGTCCCCCAAACCTCTCCACACTAGGTGGGGGGATGTGGCTATATCGGTGCCTACTGATGGCTCATGGAATCAATACGACAACCCCCATCGACCAGCTCCAGAAAGACAATCCTACGGGCCCGGGTTTGTGCCGGACTACTCCCCCTCGGATCGAGTCTACAATACTGCACGCAGCAGCGCTACCAGAGAGAGCATTCTGAAGAGTGAGGACTCTGAAGATGACAACAAAAGTACATCCACGGGTAGAGCCTCAACGGTGTCTATATCACGACGAAACTCGCTATCTCTGGGGGCCTTTCGCCCCCATAGACTCTCCGTACGTTTGGCCTCTCGCCCCAAGCCCCTGAGAGGCGAATTACAGCTCGAGAGAGAAAGCCACCAGGCAGAGAATAAGATGCCCGAATTTGCGTACAAACCAATCCACCAGAACTACCCGACCGAGATATCTGAAAAGTCCGAGCGCTCTACCCATCACTATCGCTACATCCCCACAAATGGACGGTATCTTGAAGACATCCCTTCTCCTCGGAGTCCACGGAGCCAGTCAGCCACACCATTCCACGGCTCTCGCACCCGGCGAGATTCCTTCATCGAGTCTCTTGCAAACCGAGAACGCGGTCGCGAACTAGCGAGAGTCCATTCCCCACAGAACTCACGGCCGGAAGATGATTGCCAGAGTGTACGATCGAGTCTTGCAGATAGCTCTGACAGCTCTAGCGCTGGCTCTGGCTCCAGGCTGAGCTTTGGTTTGCCGCCGAGACGAAGGTCGTTGTCTTTGAAACCGCTGACTTTGGCTATGGTACCCGATCCCGAGGATCTCTATGCGTGATGGATATTTGACATTTCCTTTGTTTACCTGGCACAGCTTCTCTCCTTATCTACTCCTTGATGTTACTATCATTGCCCGGAGTATACATTCGGCATTAAAGGGCGTTCGGAATTTAAGTGGCGTTTTGGATTTTCATTTCGGGGGTATACTATCTATCACAGAATGCAGCCAACTTTCTTTTCCCCCACGCTATTATGATACCAGATGTATTAAGCTAATGGAAACACCCTTAAATGTACACCTGGTTTCTGATGTCGGTCAAAATTCGTTGCTTTGCCGAGACTTACCGCGGAGCGTTATAGTTCCGTTGACGTCAGGCTGACCCAACAATCCAGGTAATGAACACAAAATTGGAAGTTACCGCGACCTTGCTTTCAGACGACTGCACCTGACATCTTAATTGGTGGATTCAGAATCCATTAGACCCAAGCGATCGTTTGCAACTGAAGGGGATTGTATCGTCCCAGCTCTCGCTTCGCGGTGAGGAGTCCGACTGGATTTGGTCAGTATGACGGCATGGACGGGGATGACTATCCCAATTATATGTTGCCTCGCTTTTTTCTGGACAACCACCTAAACCTGAAACTTTTTTGAATTCTTTTTTCCACCACCTATACCTTGAAACTGTGTACTGTGCGCTGCGCCTCTTATCATTCCTCCCCGCCTTTTAGATAAATAGACATATACATTCACCATGGCGGACGCGGTAGTTCAACTGCGGTGTGGTGTCAAGGTATGGTTGCCATTACTCTTGCTATCCTGATCGTTCTCACATATCGTATGATCATGCAGAATGATGGCTGGGGCAAGAAAGGGAAAGCCTCGGCCGCGGCTCAGCTGTGGTCCAAAACGCCAGGAAACCCTGGGATCGACGAGTCCAAAACCTACTCTGAGGTCAGTCATGGGTTACCCCGAGTGGTGAAGGAAAGAAAAGACTGAACGATTCACTAGATGTGGATGGGCACATATCCATCGAATCCATCATACCTCCTATCTACGGGTGAACAGCTGGGTGATTATTTGAAGAAGAACCCCCAGCTAGTGGGCAAGTCGGTCAAGGATCGATATGGACCAGAAGTCCCATTCCTACCCAAGGTAAGACCCTTGTGCGGAATCAAGATCGCTTTGATTTCCTCGGCTTAACGATCGAATGATCCAGATCCTCTCCTTCTCCAAGGCACTGCCCCTTCAGATCCATCCTGACCTGAAACTTGCGGCCAAATTACACAAGGAAGACCCGGAGAAGTACGGCGACGCCAATCACAAACCGGAGATAGCCATTGCACTTTCCAAGTTCGAGCTGTTCGCCGGCTGGAAGCCCCTCAAGGACATCCAATCTCTTTTCAAGCTAAAGCCACTGGAGCATTTCGTTCCCTCATCTGGCAACTTCGACGACGAAACCCTACGGCAAGTCTGCAAGGCCCTACTGAGCGCCTCGCCGAACGAAGTCGCCTCCACCATCGCGGAGCTCCAATCCATTCCGGAGTCGCAATTTGGCACAGACTCCTATATCCCCGGGATGTTGGACCGCCTCAGCAAGCAGTACACCGAATGCGACAATGGCAACCTCGTCGCTGCCCTGCTGATGAACTACCTCACGCTGGGACCGGGCGACTCCGTCTTCGTGCCGGCCGATAGCATCCACGCGTACCTGGAGGGTGACATCGTGGAGTGCATGGCGCGCTCGGACAACGTAATCAACACAGGGTTCTGTCCTGTGGCGACGCGCGACAGCGTTGAGCTATTCGGGCAAGCGCTGACATTCACCCCGCACGATGCTCAGGGCGCGCTACTGCCCCGGCGCAAGAGTGACAAGGGCATGCAGGGCAAGACGGACGTCTACGCACCGCCGATTAGTGAGTTCTCGGTGCTGTGCACCGCACTCGGGGCCGGCGAGAATGAGACGCACCAGGCCATTCATGGGCCTAGCTTGATGATTGTGACGAAGGGGTGCGGATCAATGAAGATCCCTGGGAATACGACGGTCGGGTTGCAGGAGGGGTATGTGTTTTTTGTCGGACAGGGCGTCGCGCTGGACTTTAGCACTGACAAGGGCTTGGCGGTTTACCGCGCGTATGCGGAGTAGAGGGTTGGACGATCGATGATTGGAGGGACTGGGGGGTGAGTGGGCAGTTTAGACTCTGTAGATGGGAGGGGTTGCCAGGGAGAACATTCTGATCTTGGCCTGGTGTTGTTTGTGGCGTGCTGGCGTTCCTTGTGGATGTACAGGTACAGATGTACCAGCCGGGGGGGGGGGGGAACGAAGTATACTCAAATCAAGATACATTTCTCCTCCACTTGCTCTATGCTTCATGCAGGAGCAAGACGGATCATCTCCACCCGCATATGAGGACAGTACAGACAAAATAGCGGTGGTAGCCAATATTTACCCTAAAGTGCTGTCCATGGTCGAGGGACGAAGTGTTGGCGTTGGTGTTGGTGTTGGTATTGGTGTTAGCGTTGGTGTTGGTATTGGCGTTGGTATTGGTGTTGGTGTTGGTGTTGGTGTTGGCTTTGGTGTTAGTGTTGATTGCCTCTGCAAGATGTAATTTGTCCGTTCGTCGCGGCGCTTACAAGGGCCCAATCACAGCGCCATCGGAGTGTTGGTTCTGCGAGGTGCATCGATGTGGATAGCGCTGCTGCAAGAGACACAACTGGGCGCTTTTTTCGAAAGGCCTGGCCGGGGGCTAGTGCCATGTGGGCGAAAGCGTGCGATGCGCTGGCACTCCATCGGGACGCATTGTGGGCTAATTATGGTCCATTATGGGTCTTTGGGGCTTTTGCGATCTAACTATAGTCCGTTAATTGATACTATCTTTACAAGCCTTCCTATCTTTACTCTCTTCGGCCGCTTGGTCCCCCAAAATATCCCACTTGAAACACGGTCTCTGTGTCAGGAAGAAAGCTTCGCGCTTGAGCATGGCTGTCTTATATCTTATATCAGAGCCCCACGGCTAAGAAGTCCGCTGAATTCTGATTCTGTTTATGCTAGGGCTTGGGGTCCACTTCCCACGCACGGCTGGTGGGTATGGATTAGTTCGATTTCATACCAAGTCGACTCGACACTGGGATCTACTTGCCCCCCCCGGATACCGACGGTGATTGCTATCTGCGTCGCATCGCTGGTCACTAGCTTCATTTTTGCGGTTTTTTTATTCCGCATCGCCAACGGACCGGGATATGAGGAGGATAGCCCCGACACTCATCACACGATCTGCCGACCGATTCTTCGTCGACGACGGCAATTCCCATTGGCGTGTTCGCTGCGCGTATTCGGATTCTTGCCAGTAGGTTCGCCGGGAAGGGCAAGGGAGTCAAGGTGGTAATGCACGCTAACCATCGCCAACCACGGAACCCCACAGTGACGGGCGGTCTTCTGTACCTTTTCTCCCGCAAGGAGAGAGCAAAGCGAAAGCAACAGACCCAGGCAGAGCAACTCGCGCCGCTCCAAGTGCCTCCAGCTTACCAAACCGACTTCTACGAACCGCTCAATGGGCCCCGCTCGGCGCATCCCCGGCCGCTATCCTCTTTCGCCCCGGACGCCAGTCGCCAGGCCCACTATGGCCACTATGGCCATTATCCCCACCCGTCTGGCAGCCACTATGGTCACTTGGGTCACTATGGTCACCAAGATCCGTATCGCAACCACAGTGCCTACCCGCAGCAGCTCCCGCGAGCATCGTTTGACAGCCCTCCACGATACCCAGCCCTGCCAACGTACGATCCTTCCAGATACCAACCCATTGGGCCCTCGTTGACCCCCACTGCCGATCGGTTCTCGTTTAATCACCCTAATGCCAGGGGCCAGACTCGTCTGAGCGAGGTGCACTATCCTGATGCGCGGCCCTTGTCGATCTACCAGCCGCCTCCCGTCCCGGACCTAGCCCCCGCACCGCCGATTCCCCAGGGGAGGGCTACGCACGCGCGAACAAAATCGATCAGACCATTTCCAGCCGCTGCCTCGGCCGGACAGCGTTCGTTTGGACCAGGGGAAGGGAGGGAACGGAGTATCTCTGAGCCAATGCCTGCCGGCCCCGCGCAAGGTAGCCGGGGGTCGCGACGGCCCAAACCGGTGTTGTCACGGTTGGTGACCAATTTCGGTTAAAAGAGAGCTGGAATTTAGTGTGATGGATGGGCTCTATTTAGTTTATTTCCGCCGTTTTCTTCTTCTTCTTATCGATCCTCGTGAAAAGCCGCGGATGGAGCCTGGCTGCCGGGACAGCTGTCGATTCGTTATGTCTGTTCATGAGCAGCGAGGCGCATGGCGTTTTGTTTTTGGGTTGGACTAGTTTTCTTTCTAGCGGACTAGTGAAATCCCCTATGAGGGCAAGGACTTTGGATTCATTCCCCTTATTTATTGGACTGGAGAGAAAATGAGACAGCGGTTGAACGGTCCGAGGCATGGGCATGAGTCAACGCGATATACTCCTGATGCGTTTCCCCAGAGCGTTGCCTACTATGTATACTCTGTAGTAACCGAGGAGTATGTCTTGCGCCTGTTCATTGTGACAGAATTCGGAATTTTAGACGACAGGGCCGAGCCACGGAAGCTTTCCTGCCAAATCGCCGGCCCCGCTGAGTCTCCACCTAATGCACTTAATGCACTTAAAGCGCATGCAACAGGGAGAGATCCAAACAGGCGCTTCCGGCCGGTGCGTCGATCTTGCGAGGGCTTCTCCTGTACCTCCCTCTTGTGAAATTCAACCGTTGTCAACCATCCATGATCCCACTGATCCACTAATTCAGTGATTCAGTGGCTGCACCCCTCGCAGAGAGTGGGTGCCTTGCCCTCCCTCGGCCCAGATAAGCTCCGTGGCCGCGATATGTGCTCCGTACCTCCACGCCACGAGGCCGAACGGGACGATCAAACCTTGTCTTCTGAACCAAGATGAACCAGGATTTCCTGGCCCCGAGGCTCTCTGACCCCCTCAAGGCGCACCGCCCGTTTGTCATGCTTCGCTTTCTCCCAGCCTTGTCAGGAATTTCTGTGCCTTTGTGCCTCGACTCGATCATGATCTCAACTGGCGGGCTCGAAATCCACTCCGGTGCAGGGATCGAGATGCGTTCTGGTAAAACGGTATCTTGTCGGTCGACTTCAACGAGGATGGGGGGGGGGTTGCTTCCCTCCCAACCCCTCTTTTGATCCCTGTTGCTCCTAGTGGCTTTCCTGCAGCTCCTACCAGAGAGCCTCCGCGGGAGGAAGGGTCAGGCGGGAGCTCTCCCCTGTCAACCACCAGCTTTTGGTTGCATCAACGTCCCCCGCAGACAGGGGCGAAGGAATAACGCCCAATCTTTGGATCGACCTACTAGCTGTCCGTTGTCCATTCGCCCATCTTCCCTCAAATCTTCCCGCCTTGTCGAGTGCAGCGCAGATCCCAGAACAAGCGCCATGCCAAGATGACGGCGGACGACGTGCATAGATTACTATGTGCAACCTATCGCTGACTCTCCATCATCACTCACAAATGCAAGTCCTGCGCCGCAAAGGTGTAACTCCCTCTCGACCGGGCTCAGATGAACCGGGGGCGAGAGGGAAAGGGGGTGTGGGCTGCATATCCTTTTGGCCCCTCATCCTTTGTTCCCTTTTGCTTTCCCTCTAGGTGCCCCCTCTTAGTCTGCAACGGTGCACCAACACCTGCAGTCCTCGGAGAATCCCTCTTCAAACCAACCTGCAACCCGCTGGGCTCTTTCAACCCGGTCAGTTTTTCGCGCTTGCGGTTCATTCGTTGCTGCTGAAGCGCTGTTGTACCGGACTCGCATCGTCCTCATCCCAAGTGGCGCTCCTGGGGCCACCGCCAGAGGGGTTGACCCAGTCTGTCGGGCTTGCCAACCCGAGTCTGCCTCATCGTTTGCGGGCTGTTTCCAAAATTCCAACACCGTGAAGTCATCCAAAATAAGATCTTTTACCCTTCTTGATCAATCTACAGACATGCGGCGGGTGGGTAGTATCTGTTCTTGAGCTTTTTTTTTCTGAAATAACAGCATCTCATGCGTGCGAATCGTCGTCTGTCTGGTCATCTCTTCTGATTCAAATTTTGGCTGTGCACCTGGCCTGCCATCTCCGGGACGAGAAGCTTTGGTCCCTCGAAGGGAGTTCGATCGGGTCTGGAGATGAGCACCGCACCAGGGAGTGATCTGGTCTCCCTGTGCGATATTTCTTCTTTGACTTGTAACAAGCCTCATCACGCTTCCCAGTCTCGAGCTCGTTTCGATGATCAACCCGTTCAAGGCCATGGCCAACTTGATCAGAAGATTCAGGAGGAAGCGCAGGCTTTCGTCCGAGTTGGACACCCGCTGGGGCGACCCTTCTATCAGCTACCCCAACGCCGGGTCCTGGAACCAGTGGGATCAACCATCTGGGTTTGTTGCAAATGCCTCCCCGGGTGCTTCGCGGACTATCCAAGCACATGAAACGCGGCGATATGTGCCCTTAGGTACGAGTCCTTCACAGCATCCCGGAACATCAAGCGACTCCGGCTATCAAAGCTTCCATCCTCGCGAGGATCCTGCCCATGCCGACTCGGTCATCCCCAAGGGATACTTCAACGAGAATATACGGCACCGTCCTGGCAAGAGCCAAGAACCACCTCTCACGGGACTTGGTATCGGTGGCAGCCGATCAGAAATGGAGGGAGCCAACAGGACCGCGCTGGCGGATGAATCGTGCGACGAAGAAGAGGAAGAAGGCCGCGACACGTTGGGAGACCCAGCAGGATTGGCTTTCCGCTCCCCTCTGACGGGCGGTTCGCAGCGATATTCCCCCCGAGATGACCAGGACCCTTATTTTGATCGCGCCTCTAAATCACCCCCGCTGTCCGTCACCCAGCGCATGCGACGGTTGAGTGGACAGAGTTACATGACCGAGCCATCATCGTCTGTCGCAGGAACAGCCAGCTCGAGACGGACCAGCTACACTGCCGCATCGTCAGTTTCGGCACCATCGCTTCCACCGGATACGCCGCGATTTGTGTTCAACACCATGCACCCTGCGCACGAGAAACAATCTCCTTCCCGTCCGAGGCACCGGGAGCCCGAGCCCCCCTTCAGCAAGAAATGGTACCGTCCTACGAGGACCTTTATGGGTGATGGGCGATAGGCGATGGGTGATGGTTTTTTTTTCTTGCACAAATCATTTTTTCATGTTTCTTTGGCGATCTAGAGATTGTTCATACTGTATGTGGGAGGCACTTGTTTTTTGTTTTTCCGCCCCTCTTATTTGACTTTGTTATCTGGAAGGCCTCGAGCGTCCCGGGGTTTTCTTTGGATCTGGGCTGTATTCTCCAATCATTTGGAACAAATCCTATGCATTTGGTGCCGGTTCATAAACAACACGATAATTCATCCACTCCATAGGCGCCGGCGATAGTCACCGGCTATTGGCAGTATCGGAGCACACACTGTCAGGGCAAGATATCTCCATGCGACGGAACCTTGGCGCTGTACACCGATTCCCCACCGAACGCCGTCACACGCTCCACTCTACTCCGTACGAACTACAAAGACCTACCTCGAACCTCCGCACCGACAAATCTTGGCACTTTTTTTATCTCGTCACCACAATTCACCTCACAAAGAAAGGCAGAGTGCCCGGCGTCCGCCTCGAACCGAGCCAAGCTGCCACTACAGCACGACCGTCACTGGGCGAGTGGCGGAGAAGGAGGGGCTGCAGCTAAACCCCCTCCGTGCGTGCAGCCCGTGCAGCTTATGCAGAGCGAGTCACAGTCAGCCGCCTATCACCAATCGCCCACCAGCCCTCATCACACTCGTCACGCTCTGGCGAGATCCACCTGCACCCAGGACAGGCGATCCTGCATCTTCTGCCAACCGTCGCTCTGCTGCCAGTGGCTCACTCCCAGCCTCTCGGCGATGAGCTCTAAGCGCCCAGGCTGGTCCTTCAGGCCGGGGTGTGCTTGATTCGACAGGCACATCCCCCTCCTCTCCGAACACCTAAAGTACCCAAAGGCACTTGTCTGCATAGGGTGTTCTTCACGCTACTGTTCCCCACTTCCTCCCTCAACAGCTCCCCTGCTTCTCGATCATCCCACCCGGTCGCGGCCGCCAGGAGAGCGACCTGCTGGACACTGAAGAAAGAAGCTTTCCCTCATGAACTGGATCTCGTCCTGCCCCCTTCTCTCCGAGCCTTCATTGCACCTCTGTCTCATGAGAGACTGCTCGCCCGTTTCCCGGCTCTAGGCCCCGATCCTCCCATCCCCCACAAACCCCCCACCCCCTGGCTGTCGTGGAAGGTACGGCAGCTGCCGGATCTACTCCGTCCGCATCCCATCCATGATGCCTGGGTCGTGGTACTACGGTCCGAGTCCCCCTGGGATGCTGGTGATCGTGTTAGTAATATTGCTCGTCGGCAACCCTGCCCCGGGGGTCCTGGGGTTAAGGACGACCTCGGGCTCACCGTGTTCCGATATCTGCAACAAGGAATCCACCAACACGACGGCGTCGGAAATCGTCTGTCTGGACACCGACTTCGACAAGGGCAAGGGCAAGACCTTCGAGGATTGCGTCACTTGCCTGTTGAAGAGCTCTTTTGTGGACCGACCCAGCGGTGAGACAGATGTAAACTGGGGTCTCTGTGAGTCGATGGCGAGTAGTCCCAGAGCTCTGCGCTCGTACTAACACACCATCGATCGATCCAAGATAACTTACGCTACGCATTTACAAGCTGCGTATTCGGGTATCCGGCGACAGCAGCGAATATCTCCACGCCTTGCACAGTCGGCTGTCAGAGTATCGAAAGCGCGGTAGTAGACGATATCACCATCCCCAGCGCGAGCAATTTCGACAATTGGTGCTCGGCAACTGGCTTTGCCGACAATGTCATCAATGACTGCGAGTTCTGCTACAACCTGACGTACCAGCAGGTGAACCCGCAGGTCTATATGGCGAACTGTACGTATACCTGACCCTGGCAGCATTAACAGAGAAGCATCAAAACTGACCGAGTGCCACAACTGCAGTCCTCGAATCCATCCGGTACAATTGCCACTTCAGCACCGGGATTGGCCTTGCATTTGACATCGCCCCATCGCGCATCTTCACCGAGACCCTCCTCCCCTCGAGCATGTCGCTCTCCACTTCCACTTCGACCAGTGGATCGGGCGTGAATCTAGGCGTGGTCATTGGCCTGCCTATCATGGGTTTCTTCATCATCCTTTGCAGTCTGGGGGCGTGCTGCTTCTTCTTCATCCGCTGGCAGCGCAAGCGCGTCGGCCGCGGCCGTTACCAGGATCATCTGTACGCCCGCTGGAACGACACCTCCATCAGCACGCCCCAGCAGGCCCAGGGCGGCTGGGGCTCTCCGCAGCAGATGCATGCCGCCGGGTATGGTGCGTACGACCCCGGGTACGGCCCCGGCTTTGGCTTCACGGACAACGACGGGCAAAGCCGCGAGGTGGGATATGGCCATGACTATTCCCAGTTCGCGTATTCGCCCGCGATCACCGAGTCATCCCCGTCCACTCAGTTTGCCACGCCGCAGGTCGGCGGGTATGGCTTCTTCGAGCCGGATCGGAAACAGCCGTACGCGGAGGAGATCACTCAATCGCCCCCGCCGCCCCAGCCGTATGTCTCACCGCATATGGGGCAGGACTACTTCGAGCCGGATCGGAAGCAGCCCTTTTAATAATGGCCCGAGTCTCACAGGTGCGGCCGGTGAAAAGTATTCTATGCCTTGTAGTTAGCGAGTGTGTCGGGTGATGCTCGCAGCACATCTTGGTCTGTACCAACCTTAATGATGATTGAATAGGGGATTGAATGGGGGTCCTTGAGGGTACTCACATCACACCCAACGGCGTTGTCGTATTCCGGTTCGGTTCTGTTTCTGACTTGTTTGGTGGACTACTGCTATATCCCCTCCATGTTGCGATACCGTGATACCTTCCGTCAAGTGGTTCAGCGAACGAGAAACACATCAACATACCCAAATACAGCCTTTTTTTCTCCCTGCGCTGGGGAGTCAAGACAAGGTCGAGACCACTTCGTAGATCAGGAAACAAAACATCTCCCCCGCGGGACCATCGGCGGCAGCACGAAACTATTTATCCCCCCACCCCCGCACCTCCCTGACACGCATAGAGTAAGAAAAGTCGGCAGATCCCAAAATAAACCACAGGATAGAGTTTAGCCTTGACGGGATAAGAGACTCCGGGGCCCCGGCGCGCACTCGATTGGCTGTGCACCTGGTCGGTCCTCGTTTCAGTACGCACTGCCAAGGGACTAAGGGTCTGATGCCGTGTCTGACTCGTGGAGTCCAGGTTATTTTTGGAGGCGGGACGGGTGTGCGCTTGCTTGTTTGTTTCTTATTGGGGTTGTGGCTGGCCTGGCGGTGCTGAGTAGATTGAGGTGCTTTACATCGGTGGTCGAGTCTGTATGGTGTTGGGAGGGCCGGTGATCTACCGGGGGTGTGAAGGGGGGGGAGAGGGGTGGGGGGAGGATTGGCTATACGCGTCTAGAGACTTTTTTTTCGACGCAAGAGCCGGTGTACATCTCAGCATAGAGAGTGATTGACTGTGTTGAATGATTTCGACAGCCAAGGAGGTAAGCCCCAATAAAGCCACCGACCAATTTTACAGTAGGCCCAGAAGCATAAAGCCCAGTCCTCTTATTAGATATGATGATTATATTATAGCCTTTAACAAAATACATGGTTTGATACGAGGGACGATGTATCTTAATATACCCCGATACCTAGCAATTTCTATCGTCTAGAAGCTTCTCCATCGGATATAAACTATAGTAATATCAGTCCTACGCCGCCTATCGATTATAGCTCTCCGCAAAAAAACTATTTCCCAAAAGAATAACCTGTCGTTAACCCAATTCAGTGATTAGGAGGATAGTCGGGCATTTAATAAGGATCCGCAGAGCTATACATACTACATAATTGAGGGTAGGGGTACTTTACCTAATACTTTAGGCCTAGTATAGGCCCTTTCTACTATATTGTACCACTATCCTATCCATATAGCGAAGTGTACTTACTATAGTAACAAACCTGCCCTTATATTCTTGTGATCTTACTAGTCTAGTCCCAAGTAGTCTTTATCGAGGTCTATCTATATACACTAGTATAGTAGATAGAAGACTCTCTAATATAACTATCGAGCTAGAGAGGATTCTTTAATAATGAGGACATAGTCACGGCTAAGTAGGGGAGGATATAGTCCTAGGACCTTTTACTACCTTAGGTAGGCTGTAGACAGAGACACTATAATCCAGATAGCCCCTAGCTAACCAGCTACTAGACCCGTAGGTATTATATTATATAAGAATTGTTAGAAGTATTTAGATAGTCCTTCCTATATTGGGAAGGATAATCAATTACTCTGTTCTGATCTCTCATCATATAGTCTGTGATGTCATGTCATATACTAGGCTATATTTAGAAGAGTGGGCGAAGAGAATAAGCGAGTTCCCTGAGAGTTTTAGACCAGACCATACAATCAGTTTATTACCGAGCCTAGATCAACAGCATATAGGTGCGGAGGAGAATTAATTCTGCTTTTCCAAGCACGGGAATAGTTCACGAATTGCTGTTATTAGAGGGCAAGGTTTAGTTCCACCTAGAATTTACTGCAAGTTATATTAGACACTGTGCACTCAGTCCAAGCTCACTCGCAGCCACACAAGCATAGTCAGCATCCAGCAGGTCGTAATTGCCATTGTATCCTTGCCAGTGTGTCCTCGCCAATCACTGGCTATCAGATATAGAGATGATTAACTAACTTTGCAATTCTCAGAAAACCCAATATTAATTCGTATGGACATTTACCTGGACTTGGACCACATCTTCGAACAGAAAACTCTCACTTCCTAGACGGTAATCGGCTGTGCAATCCTTGGATCAGTCACGTAATAACTCTCGTAAGTCGCCAGATCGCTCAGGAGGGACTCAGTAGGCGGCTCAGCCGACAACGGCATCTGGAGGACGTCGCCGGTCTTGGGGTTGAGGATCGGCACGTTGACTGGCCATCCGAAGAGTGTTGACCACTCTACCACAAATTGATCGAGTGGCGATGGTGGCGAGGGGAGCCTGGGAGATGCCACTGTCCCATAAGCTGGACTAGCCGCCTCTTCTACAGCCTCCACTTGCTCGGCTTTTCCCGCAGCCGCCCAAGTTGTCCGTACAGTGCCTGGACCTGCCTCTGGTCCCTTTGACGGAGGCACGAACTCAGATCCTTGTATAGATGGAGTCTTGGCTAACGGCGGATCACCGTTGACGTTCACGTCCGTACGGTTCGCATGGATGGCATTGAACGTTGGAATCGTATCGTTGCCCTTGATAGGCAGAGGCGCTGTAAGTATAACGCCGCTCATCAGGTTGACAGTGGGTGCATCGGCATCCATCAGAGAAGGTATGTAGTTTCCCTTGGAAGAATGGCTGGGATCGGTTTCTTTATCATACTGACCCCAGATCGCAACGGGCAGTTGCTTCATCACCGGCGTGAGCCTGAATGAATCCGTCACACCCGCGATGGTGATGGTCATTTCAGACTCGAATGTATCAGACTTCTGCATGGGTTTACTGTAAATGTCTTTGTCGGTGTAGTCTTTTGCATTGAGAGAGCCTGTGCTATCTCCATTGCAAATGGCATTGGTGAGTGGCATTCGAGTCTGGACACGGAAACTGAAAGTGCCAGCGCGAACCACCCAGGGTGAAACCTCGGGACTTTGAATCTTGCCCTGACTGGGAACAGCTCCTGTTTGTACGACAAGTACGAGCTCAGCATCCGGTCCACTGGTGACGCTTGATGATGGATCTTGCTCATTGACTTGCAGCAATAAATTCCAGAACGTTGGCCAGTCGAGTGGTGCTGCGGGTATGTCACCAGAGCCAAACGCGATATCAAATCCGAAGACCCAGAAGTCGACGTGGACTACGCCCTGGAAAGGCGGGCCTTGGAGCCAGAGAGAGGCGCCAATATCCACGCTGATATGGATGCTACAGATCCACAGGTCGAGCGTAAAGTCGACACCTACCGAGACACCCACAGAGCCTTGAAAGTAAAAGGGATGATAGTTGATCAGGAAGTCGGCCCAGGCGTCAAAGTGTGCTCCAAGTGGTCCGCACGAAAAGGCGGCTCGGAGGGTGCCGCCACCCATACAGGATTTAGGAGTTGCACTGTTCAATAGTCAGTATTCTTTTTGTACGTTGGAAACGGGGATAGAAAGTCTTACGCAAAGTAGGCTTCGCCATTGATACTGATACACCCATCCAGGTTCCAGGAGATCCCCAGGCGTGGTGGCACGGGGTAATATGATTGGGGCGTGTATGCCTATGTGGAAGAAAAGAAGTCAGTCAAGGATGTTCCCATGAGCAGGGGGCTACTTCAGAGGCCCGCTTACCGCATGATAGCCACCGATTGTATAAACCCAGTCTCCGGCATAATGTGAATTTCCAAACCAGCTACAGAATGCATATCCACCGGTCAAATGGCACGATGGGCTGAGAACAAAGGAATTCACATTGAGCTGGCCCTCATCCATGAAACCGCCGTGACTGAAATCAAGACATGCAGTGATCGCAAACTCAACATATATAAATGCGTCCGACGGCTTGGTGGCGGTTTCCGGCATCGAGGCGACCCCGTCGGCGAAGATACTCAGGGTGACGTACGGATTGAACCCAATCACGACAATGGCAGAGATGTTGACCACTTCAAAGGCCAGCACATTCAAGCCAGCCGCAAGCCAGAGTGCATGGTCTGTTGGAGCGATCCACTGCACCCCATTGACATCTGGAAGACAGAACTTCGTTATGAGAGACATCGGGTCGGAAGAGGCACCGGGAACGTCGGAGGCATGGGCTATGAATGGAAAATTCATGATGTTATCGAAGTCTGGATTGGTAATGGCCGAGTTGTATCCAAAGCCTAGCTTCACTCCCGTGATCTCGGCAACTTCGAGCTGTACCAGGGGGCCCTCCAATTCTCCGTAGATAAAGGCGGTTTTGAATGAGCTGTTTTCTGCCTGCGCGTTCCCGTACGCACCCACGGCCATGACTGTGTATGGATCAAAGCCAACCGTGACTCCGCCCATGTAGAAGTCATCCTTGGCATAGAAGAGTCCAGCGAGAGTGATCGGAGGGGCCTCAAACGCGAGGGCCAGCCCCCCGAGGGTGAACCCGATGTCGGGGACGTTGATCAAATCAGTGAGCTTGATCATTGTCAGGTCGATTCCCACGCCGAACTGAAGCAGTGTAAATCCAATGGGACCAAGCACGACGGTGGCATCAAGCATGACCCAGAGAAACTTATTGTGATAGCGAAGCCCAATGTTCGCGATTGACAACGGTCCCAGAGACTTTTTCATCGGAGCCATAGTTGTTTGGTCATCCTCCTCCTCCTCTTCGTCATTTCGCCACACCGACAGCTGCGATGCCGGATCGGCTGTCTTTGGTTGATTAAACAAGTAGTCGAGGACGACGTTGTCGTTCAAAATGACAATAAAGTGTGACCCTCGTGGTAGGACAAGATCACGGTCATTGGGAGTCTTGGCCTTGTATTCGAATCGAATTCTGTCATTTGGATACTGCGCAAACACCTCATTGTTGATCAATTGGGTTTCTCCGTAAGTGAGCCCGCCTGCTCCGTTGGGGTCGTCTTCTGAAACCCAGACAAAGTCCATGGCGTCGTATGACTGTGGAATTGCCCCAACGAGAGGAATTGCCTTTACATCGGGTGTAGGCCCCAGCGTGAATCGTATGATGCGCTTCGGCGGGGGACTGGTCGTTGCGCCTTGCTCGCTTGAGACAGTCTTTTTCTGCAGCTGAACAAAGGAGAGGGAGATGTTGTGTGTTAGAGCGATTCGAAGGCAGAACGCGAGTGTCCCATCTCCTGACTCCTCTCCAGCGTCGTGCTTTGTGACATTTAATGTGATGAAGTCATCACCAGCGCCTTCGGGCACGTTGATATCAATATTGGCGCACTCTGGAATGTGCTCTGTGATTCCAGTCCCGCATACATCCTCGAGAATATCAAATAGCTTGGTACCTGAGCTCTTGACTCCAGCTGCTGTCTCTAGGAGCAGATGTGCATCGAATTCCCAGCCCGCTTGAACATCGCCACTTTGTCCCCAGGAGTGGAAATTAAACTGCAGCATCAGAGAAGTTATGTATATGCAGCCCCGGAAGACAAAGTCGCTTGGAGCACCATCGCTCAACTTGTAGGTCATCGACATGGTATCAATTCCAATGTTCTCAAGCACGTCCATCATGGGATCAGCATATCCGGATTCAATATAGGAGTAAAAGTGTCCAAGTGTGAGGTCTTGCACTTCGCCGAAAATTGTCCAGACACCAGTGTCATCGTGGGAGATGACCACAGTCAAACTGGCATCGGGAATTTTGAAACCATGCGGATCTCGAGGTTGACGTGCTTGCAGAGTCACGGATCCGGTGAAAGTCAAGTCGAAATTAGTAGTCTTAAAGGTGTGCGATGCCGAAATGGACACCATGTCGATAGCCAGTGGAGGGACAGTGGCATCAGTAGCCATCTGGCACACAACCGTACCTTCGAATCCAATGTACAAGCTCTCGTTATCATCCTTGCCAATTTCCACCATCAGATAGTCTAGCCGGGTCGGAATGAAATGTGGGGGTTGCGGGATACTAATCCCTCGAAGTGGAACAAGCTTTGTGAGCTCAAGATAAGGTGCCAAGTTCTCAGTAATTGGCAACAACCGTCGATATTCTTCGTAGAACGGAGCCGTATAAATCTGCTCCTCCGTGAAGTCGGGGACCGCCATTTGTTGCTGAGGCGGAGGCACATCTAGGACCATGCTTCCCACGAAGCGGACTTGTGGCCACTGGAAAGAGAGGAAAAAGGCAACATTTTTATCCATCTCCTGGACTCTTCCAATTGACATGCCGACCTCCAAAACCATTTCCAAAGCAGAGACTCTCTTGCGTGTCGGCTGACCGTTATCATCATAGGCCTGCGAGATGGTGAGAACCAGTTGCCGGAACTTGATTGCATTTCCAGCGTCCAGTAACGAGCTAGCTCCGGCGTCGTTGAGCCAGTCCATCAGGTTAGGAATAGATACCCCAGAAGCATCCGAAACCGCCTTTGCTAGGATGCGCTCTATCTCTGTGATAAGGTCTTTGATGCCAACATCACTGAGCACCCTTAGTGTTATTTGCAGATACTCGGGGTCCTTGAGGTCCACATAGGTCGCAAAATGGAGTGCAGAAGTCTTGAAGGTCGCTGACAAGATGATCTCCGACTCATTGTTGACAAGGAAAGCGTCGCCACCGGGTGCACTGTCGCCCATCTCGGTATACGTGGATTGTGTCCGACCGACCACGATGACATCTGTAACAGTCACCACATCCTTTCCAAACACCTCGTCAATGGTTCCTTGCAACCCAGCGAGACTGTTGTCCTGTGCCTTGAATTGGAGCCGTAGGAATGTGCTATACAAATATGAAGGTGCAAACCAGATGGCATTCCGATTGCCTGGAGTCTGATCGAGGACCAGTTGCAGATCCTCTGCAAGCCCGAAAATTCTCTGAGGTAGCCCTAGAGTATTAGTGAGATCGACAATGCTAATTTGGGCACCAATGTTTGAGTTAACAGGGTCCAGTCCCAAGACTAGCATCGAAAATTCCGAAATAATACCGGTGCTGGGGATAGAAAGGCATGGTTTGCCATGATAATGGAGTGCATTCTGCGTGCCTGAAGAAGTGAAAGTCACTTTAAGGGTGTGCATTTTGGGAGAAAATGTCAGTCGAAGGCCAAGGGTTATAGTGAATCCCGAGATATCAAACCCCGATCCAGGGGGAGCCACAGGAACGACTTGGACGTAGATTTTAGTTGCCTGACAGCCATTGGTTTGCATCCAGTAAAGCCAGAGATCACCATCAATTAGAGGGATACCCAGCTTGTCATCTGGACTGGGGGGCGAAGATGGTTTCTTTGTCAAAACTAGACTGCTGCTCTCCAAGCAGTATACAAATTCATCATTAACACTGCCTTTCGTAAGAAAACACAGAGTAGGATCACCAGCTGATGATACGATACCATCCCAAGCAGAGGATAGGAAGTAGAATGTTGGATCACTAGGATCCTGCGGATTGACTGATATCGGTGGCAGCTGTGCCTGGACATCGGGTGTCGCCGACGCATCCTCTGTGGAACTCAATCGGAATTTTTTCCCTGCTCTTTTTCCTTTCACCTGCTGTGAGATCAAGATCTTTGCAGCCGCCGCAGCTCGGCGATTGAGGGTTTTGGTCGACATAGTTCCTATAGGGCGAAGCAAGGCTTTCGGGTCTAGCTTGCCTTTTTGCTTGGTGCTTGTCGGTACCACAACAGGTCTTCCTCTTCTGGTGATCACCACCGCAGGAGGGCACTTGATGGTTGTGGGAGGCCCATCTTCGTTGAGTACCGGAAGGCAGTTAGGGACAATTCCAGGTCTCAGCGTTATGTGCCAATACAGGATGTCGCTGGTGTTTCTTTTACTCCGTCCATCCGCTAATCTTGAGGCGCTGGGATATACATTCTGTTTGCTGGTTACATCGCTGAGCAAGGCAAGCATCCGGTCTGTCTCTTTCGCCAGTACGTCCTCTTGTACGTAGAAAGGTTTCCCGGCCGAACTCGGGTCTCTGGGCCAGTTGTTGAAAAAGTTACCTGCCCCTGCGGTTTCTGCTTGCAATAGCGAACGCATGAACGTGCCATCCGCGTTCAAGATTCCTGGAGGAGTGGGGATGTACTTTAGTGCCTCGAGGCGGAGATTTGTCAGCTCCACAAGCTCATTGTCAACCTCATCGCGAAGGAGCCAATATGGGTAGCCCATGAGGAGAAGAGGTCTCCGTGCCGGAACGTAGTAGCTTGGATTAGTCGCTTTCCGGGCTATCTGTCTTTGAAAGACAGCGTTCTGGTAGGCAATAATCTCCCATTCTGAAAGGTCACCAGTCAGTTCAAGTGAATCTGAGGCGAGCGCGAACATGCGAAGCTTGGATCGACGAGCATAGAAGCTCGGAATACCTGAATGTAGAAAGTTCTTTTCACGATCATGGAATAATTATTGAACTTACTCGGATGTCGGTGCGATGTGCCACAGGAGACCACTACTGCGTCTGGTTGAAAAACATCCAGCATCGATGTCGGCGTCGAACTGTCTGCACCATGGTGGCTGAGTTTCATGGCAGGAATCCGATTCGCCGCTGTTGCATCTGCTTGACTCCACGCCCGAATCTTGTCCTCCTCTTCGTATTCCGCATCTCCGGCGGTATAGTGCATAATTGGAGGGTTGTCTGTCGGTGTGTGCCAGATAGCCAGTGCAATGATAGATGAGCGGTTGGAGGCACTGTGATTCCCATCGATAACGCCCAAGCCACGGTCTTCGTGAATGACTTTGCTGTCGGCCCCAACGCAATACAAACCCGGTCGGCTGGGCTTTTTTGTTCTGTTGGCGCCGTTGATGAGGTCAACCTTGTTCCTGATACTGTCATAGCCAGTTCCTGGTCTCAGGGCCGAGTCGAGGTCGAAAAAGTCCCGGCCAATGAGATTTGCTGGTCCGTTAATCAGCCTCAGCACCTTCGGCACCCAGCCTGTCAACTTGATCTTCGATGTTGGGTCCAGGGGATTAGTTATGGCAACGGCAAAGTCCACGTAATTTGGATCCGTCGGATTCTGCCTCATCGCCGAAGCATGTTTTCCAGCACATTTGTTGCTTGTCTGCCTGCCAATTCCCGGCGTAACCGAGTCCGCCTTAAACCAATACGGGGTGCAGAGCGCGGTTGATACTCCCCCAGCGCCGAACTTGGCGTAAGAGAACTGGACCTCTTGTAGCGCAGCATCCCACGTTGGCCGTGTTGATGATTGCATCAATTCCAGCAACCGAGTTTGAAGATCGTCCACTATCAATTCCATCACACCTTTGTAATGGTCGCTATCCCAGTGGGTTATGACGATGGACTCGAATCGAACCTTCTCGTCCCATGTCGCTGGATAGTTATACATTTTAGGAATATGACCCAGGACCTTCTTGACACGATCTGTGCCCATCCCAGCATTTCCACCATCAATCCAGCAGGCAGACTCAATGTATCCGCCCTTTGCTAGGTCGATTTTGCGTTCCGGAGTGGAAGTCTGGTTGAGAAGCAAATGAACAGCGGCATCACCGGCGCCCACACTGCAGTGGAAAGAGTGGACCGCATATGTGGCCGCCATGTTTGATGATCTGCTCTAAGATCCGTTAATGCGCTTGTAGATTATGATGCGCAATAACAAGAACAGCAACAGTCATAGATTTTGTAGGTTATATCACAACGATAGCTGGACTGGGAGGTGCGTCAAACAGCAAGCGTCTCAGGAAAAATCGCGATTCAATGCCATGACTGGGTTATGCTCGACCACCGGTCAGCTGTGAAAAAGCCTAGTGGCTAGAAAATCCGTTCGACTTGGCAAGCCATTGTTGTAATTGCTGTTAAGCAAGTCTGATTGCGTCCTGCAACCCAGGTGACCAGTGGGGGTCTCGGTGACTTTTGCCTCACGTCTCAGGCTGAACCAACTCGAGAGCAAATACCCGACTGAACGGGCTGAATCTTATCAAGGAGTCTTCTGCAAGCGTCAGTCGACGGCTTAGTCGGATGTGAAAACGATGATATGGCACAAATCGGCCCTGGCCAGACAAGTCTCGATTCTTGTAGGCTTCAGCGTCGACCTTGTCTGGCCACTGGTCGCCATCACCTTCCCATTATCTGAGGTGTCATGATGTCACAAATTCCGCCTTCTGTGTGTATATCCGGCGATGCCCGCACTGAGAGAATGTCAGTTTGAGATGGCTGCTCGTAAGGACATTCATTGGATGAGCGCGCCGTTGTCCGTTCGCAGCTAACCACCTAGTGCTTGTGCGTCGAAAATCGGATGACCTTGGATATGAAGGCTGGCCAACTTACAGTAACGTACTGTGTAGCGTTACTGTATGGTACCGTATAGGACTGTTCCGATTGTTTGAGGGGAGATCATCACCCTAATGTCGTTGGAAATTCAAAATTGATTATATAAATCAGAATTGCTTCGAACTACATGATCAGTGTCCCTTTATTTTACTTGTGCTCAAATGTGTACTTCGGACAGTGGATGCCTGTTGTTCAATCCTCAGTTCTGATCCGCCACTCGCTGTAGATAAAACCGTCAACGATAAGCCGACGATGTCTCAACTGGTGCAGACGAACGTCAGTGTTCCAGTCCGAGTGGACGCCTTTGCTCTCAGTCGGAAGGTCTGCAACTCGGACTACTCCAAGATCGCCCCCTTATCACAGCCCAATTACTTGTTCTTACGCTACACGGGCAATCTCATTGAGCATGATATTCTCTCCCAACATGACCTTCATGCCGCCAGTCCGGCTGCACTCAACTCTCGCGTGACAGACCTAGGCACGGCACAACTCCACAGGCATCGGCTGGGAGTCTATCTTCACTGGATTCTACCGCGGGTCTACCGCACCGGCACCGCAGCCACGGGAACAGCTGTCCAGAATCAGACGCAGAAGAAGAAGGAGCAGGGATATGAACCGGACCAGAGCACGGCTGGCCAAACGCCAGATTATTCCGCTCCAGATTTCCGCTCAGCTCCCAACCGATGGATGATCATCCGCCGTCTCGAACCGGGCAGCGCGGTCCCGGCTGGGACGAGCATCGAGGAGTTTCAGGGAGGGTGCTCGAGAGCGACCGTCTGCGGAACATTAATGAACTGGATGAAAACACCGACGTGGAGGTCGATGTGTCTCCATTCATCGATCCCGATCTCACGTCGGATCAGCAAATCTCACTGCAATCAGAAGTGTTTCTGGGGCAGAAGGAAGATCTCACCACATGGAGCGAGTACTCTGGCGATCCAGCGAAGGCCCCGAAGAGAGCCAAGTTATCAATTCTCACCGCGTCGAACAATCTCTTCGCCGACTACCAGCCGCACAATTCAAACGTCTTCAGCATGCTGGACGATTTCTCGTACCCGGACCCTGCACACCCAACGGATCCAAGTAAACGATTGTACCTTGACAAGGCGAAGGCCAGCTATTATGTACTCGGCTGGCATGCCGATGAGAACACGACCGCCCTAGACCCGTTCAATTGGCAGGACACCGCCTCTGCTCCGCCCACCAACGGTGACCGTCTCAGGGCGTGTCTGATGCAGCTTGCTGGACCCGATCCACCCACGGGCGGGACTACTGAATCAGCTTGGTCTGATGCCGCAATGAGTCCACAGGCTCCGTCGCGAGTGGTTTGCCACGGCGCAATGTACAACGTCAAGTGGGATTGCCACGGTGCTCCAACCCATATTCCAGCAGACGACCTGGGCAAGAAAGTGAAAGATAACGTGGCAGTTGGAACAACCACCTTGGATGCGTTACTTGCCTTGGCCAAGAGCAACCTCCCGCCGGTAAACGCAGCTGCTTCGGATCCAGTCGTACCCTCCATTCCAGATATTGAAACGGATCTCTTGAAGATTCAGACCCTTCTGCTCAAGCAGGAAGATGGAGTTGACCCCCAACTAGAGGCTGAAGACATCTTGTTCGAGGCCAATTTCGCTAAAACCGATGGGGGAGTGCATTGGCATTTCTCGGGCAGCGCGCCTCCACCGTCGCCTTCTCGAAAGCCCACAGTCAGGGACACTTCTCCACCACCAAAGCCGGTTCCAAACTCGCAGATTGATCAACTGAACCAAAACCAGATAGTTCTGGATGTCTGCCAACGCGACGTGAAGGCACTGCAATGGAAAATCTTTGCGGAGTGGTTCAAGTTTATTATCGCTCCCGACAAGACACATCCCTTGAGTCCGGAGTATCCCACTATCGTGGCCAACAAGCTGCAATACTTGATGGGTCGCCTGGTTCAAGGGTTGACGGACCCTTCGCAGGGGAGAATCGCACAGCTGCAGAGCCAAATCACAGAGATTCAAAACCAGATGAAAAAGAACATGACAATGGCGGTAGAGCAAGGAGCAGCAGGGCAGTTCTATATGCAGAAAGATCCAACTGTATTAGTTGGAGAAGTTGAGAGTGCCTGGCCCTCGAACTTTTCGTCTTCGAATACCGTCGTGAGGTCAGATACTCAGATCATCACAGATCTGCCTGGTGGGCCGCCTATTTGGCCTAACCTGGCCACGTTCCAGGACGAGATCCGGTCCAAGCTGCCAGAGAGCATACGGAAAACTGCAGAGAGCCTTCTGACCGAATGGGGCTTGCTTCAATATTCCACTCCTGCGCCGAACCCGCCTGCGAAGCCGAAAGACGGGCAGTACTTCCCGGAATTTCACGATGCGACTGGTGCTGGAAACACTCCCGGCTTTGACAGCTTTGCAGACACCCAGGGATGGTTCCCGCTGTTCATTGAGTGGGAAGCTTCCTACTATCATATTCCATTTGAGACCTGGACATTCCAGGAGCGGGTGTCGACGAGTGGACAGATCATTCCCCAATACCGCCTCGACCCTTCTGTTTGGGTGGGAGATCCTCAAAAACATTATGCGGACAATCAGCGTACACTCTCGGGACGCATCCTGTTACTTCCGCAGTCTACGTACTCGTTGGCGACCAACGTCAACCAGATCTTGCAGAATATCCCCGAAAAGGTTTTGTGCAAAGAATACGGACTGACCCCAAAGGAGAAGAAGGATTTGCAAGACAATATTCAACGTCTTCCCTACCTCTCGGCCCCGATGTCTGGGTTCATCGATCATCTTCTCACTCGCGTCCAGGGCACTCATATCAAGCCCACCAAACGAGCCCCTGGCGGGCAGCCGGAGCCCCTCCAGGAGGCTCTGGTCCCAGGAACTGCCGTGCCATTTACTGCGGACCATCTCGTTGCGATGGGGGGTGAGACCAACAATACACCGTATGGCGACCTCGTCACGGTCAATGATCGCAATGATCCATTTAAGCCCGCGACCCATGGGCAGTGGGCATTTACCAAACTGAATATTATCGACAAGTTCGGACAAGCGCTGACCGTCGTGGACCAGAAGCCGGTCAGGTATACGGATCCCCAACCCCATGTCTATCCCTGCGTCAGTGACTATTATTCCGTGGATAAGATCAAGGTCTCGATAGGGTCAGGCCCGCCCACTGACGAACCTAACACGGTTCTGCCCGATGATCCGGGCAAATGCCGCTTCGTGCAGTTTCCTCCGAGCATCAATCAACCCAGCCGGCTCAACCGCGGCTTCGTTGTCCCCGACACGGACAATAAAGGCTGGTGGCGAGAGGCGGCGGTGGAGCATGAAAACCCGGTGTGGGGATGGGTTGTGGTGAATTACGCCGACTATGGGATCCAGCTATTTCTTCAGGATGGCACATTCTATCGCGAAGTGCGTGTAGTTGACAGTGACGATGACAATGGTAGCACCCCGAAAAGGTCGGCCAGCGCACCTTCCTGGGCGCCATTCCAACCGCCACCGCAATACGACCCCAAGCAGCTGTCCCAGCTAGACAAATTGGTCCAATGTCTGCTGGATGCTGGGCCCGATGGAACACATGACTACCTCTTCGGCGTGGCCGGGATGATCAATCGCTCCATTGCCCACATCCCGCATCTTCCCAACTCCTTCGCTGGGTTTTTGCCCGGTCTTGTTGGAAAGCCCCTCGCACTGGTTAATCTGGGGATGTCGCTCGAGCTGGCCACCGAACCACTGGGCAGCCAATCGACGGTCTCCGGTCCACCAGAGCAGAGTCTAGACCAGTATCATTTCCGCGTCAAAGTTGGAGATGGACAGCGCATGTTTGATGGCTTGGTCGGCTATTTCCCAGCGACAAAGGATGCCGCAGGCGAGGTTGACCTGAATCTGCAGAAGTTGTACACCTTCTTTGCAACTCCTCCACCACCGCCATCTCCATCGCCAACTCCAACTCCTCCACCTGCATCCCTCACCGCAGAACCAATTCCCACCAAAGGTACTGACCCTACCATCAACATCGGCCCTTCGAACTATCCCTGCGTCTCCCCTTTCTATCTCCCTCAGGCCCCGCTGCCATCATGGGATCCTCTGTCCGGACAGCCTCCTCCAGCGCCTTCCACGCCCACTCCCCTCGCAGACCTCAACAAGCAGCGGAACCAGCAGCTGGTGGTCGTCGGTGCCATTCTGGACCCTTTCCAGCCCATCCACTTCTACTCGGGCATTCTCCCCGTTGCCTCACTGTCTCTCCCGGACTGGACCATTGCCGCCGCCATGAAGAAAATGACCGCCTTCTTCCGCGCCGGACCCCTCATCGTCACGCAGGATGTCCCGCTCCAGGTCTCCACAGATCGCGTGCTGGACGCTACCTACAGCCTTCTGGACAATCAGAAATGGCTCGTCCCATCGGCCAACGTGCAGATTCCCGGACTAGCGAGTGGGCCGCAGAATGGTGAATGGAACTGGCTGCAGCCGTATTGGAGTCCCAAGCCGCCCCCGGTACCTTCAGGAGGAGCCGTGGTGGATCATGCGAAGTCACAAGAGGATAAGGAGATGTATCTTACTTCTGAATCCACTGAATCCACTGGGACAGTTGAGTACAATGCCATTGCACTCGCCCGGACGGACCAGAGGCCGCGCTTTGAGAAGGGGCCGTATGTTGCGTTGGAGGGGTTCCTGCAGCTGGCAAAACCGATTGTGAAGCCTAAATTCTAGTCTACTTGAAGAGGTGGCGTGCCACCTTAAACATACCTTTTTACATAACGTTTTTCACAAGCGAGCGGCGCAGCCCAAAACACATAGCAGATGCGATAAATTACAATTTCATAAGGTATCTCAGCAAACATACCTGATTTAGATAAAAGAGTATAATGTCAACCTCTACAGCATTCCCAATACATTGATACAATTTGAGATCATTACCTATCACAAGTCCTGACCTGGAGACATCTCTCGAAATATAAATTACAATGTAATTTATGGTAGCGCAGCAAAATAATATTCCAAATACCTAAAATCGGACTATTATATTTTTTATATCTAGAAAAGCACATATGCTGATGTATATATACAACTAAGTTGTGGTTGTTGAAATATAATGGGATAAAAATTGGCATTTTATATGGTATTTGGGAGTGCGCCGGTCGCTTGGGAAATACGTTATATTGTGCTCTCAAACTTGAAATTACTCTGCATATATTTTGGACTTTGCATCAAACGGACAAGATATCAGTATGAAGCTTGTGAGACTACACTCTATAGCAACAGCAACCCCTGTCTTTTGGAATTATATGCTGTGCGCATTGCAAGCAACAAGATGCGTAGACTTTTGAGAACGGCCAATACACTGCTTGTGACCTGTAGTCAACTGCGCACCGGCCAATGTGCACATTCGCGATGGTGAAATTTCATTCTCATTTCAATTTTGCCAGTTCCCTGTTCCAAAAACCTATTATTCAGGCTCTCTCGCCTGCTCATCTACAGCAGTCCCACAATCCTCATCACTCCCCACTCCGCGCCAGTCCAGCCTCGGTCCATTCCCCCAAACCACACCCCAACCCACGGCCGCAAACCCCGCAAACCCCCACCCCAGACACAACCAGAGATTCGCCTTCCCCGCGACCCAAACCACATCCGCCTGATTCGTCGGATCCGTTGGATCCGGGGAAGCTCCCGTCATCGTAATCGCATTCCCATTCGGCATTTGCTCGTTCACCGCGCCATCAAAGCCAAGATATTGCGCCAGAAAGGCGGTGACGATTCCCGCCAGTAGTATCGTGAACGTCACGAGCGAGAGATATTCAATCCACACATGTCGTCTTCGGCGACGGTCCCGCAAGAGCTCCTTTTCCGCGGGCCGACGTCGAACACCATACCACGCGGGAAACACGGGCACAGCGAGAACGACCAGTACCAGTGAGAGAAGGAGGGTCGTGCCAATGAGAACATTGGAGGTGATGAGCAGCCCCGCGGAATTCGAGAGTAGTTGGCATAAGTGCGGGTTGTCGGATAGTTCGAGTGTGCAGCGTGGAAATGAGCAGTTGACGTAGAAGTGGTCGGTTGGAGTGGAGAGTGCGGCGTTGGTTGTGGGGGTCGTTTCTGCCTTGCTATCGTCAGGAGGTGGCGGCTCGTATGGAGGGAGGGCCACGCAGTTGATGAGTGGTGAGCGGTGGACGCGCAGGTAGTAGACGACGTTGCCGCTGTCGGTGAAGCGTAGATCGCGATGGGCCCAGTCCGAAGAGGTAGTCGAGAGAACGACGAATACCAAGGAGAGGATGAGGAAGATGGTGAGGAGGAGTATACTGAGAGTGGGCAGGAGGCTTCGCATCGTGAGTTTCTCTTCGAGAAATATTTCAATGTCGATTCAATTGATCGTCCGTGAGAGAAACAGTGCTTAAGAACGCCCTTTTTCCAAGTAGGTGATGGCTTCAGTACACTGGTTATCGATACAATACCGAACAGTGCGGTACCGTACCGAACGCAGCCCGGACGTTTTCGAATGCTCTGGCCCAAATATTCTGTTACAGAAGCAGAAGCAGCAGCGGAACGTGTGTTCAGCTGGCCCCGAATTCTGCAGAATAGGGGTCCATCACCCGAGATGCTTTGAAGATGTGGCGTCATCAAAGAGACCCCAGAACAAGATGGTGCAAACAGGCGATAGGCAGCTACATATCTCTTGAACCCCCACCGAATTAGGTCCTGATCAGTGTGAAGAGTGGAAAAAGGAAAAGGGTGTTGGTTACATACAAACACATCACGAAGTTTGGAATGGGCTAACTATTACATAGCAAACCCAGATTGAACAACCCGCAAGTTGCTGTCGAGCAATAACAAATCAGTTTATCATGGCTCCCATTGTGTCCCCAAGACATCTGTTCCTCCGCAAGGCACGGCAGCATCTGGGTCTGGAGTCAGAAACTAAGCATTTCCTTCAAGATGACAATGATGATGATCCCGTCGTCGACGCGGGAGATATGCATCTCAATTCTTTCTACGCGCCCGCTCTGACCGCAGACCAGCCATACGAGATTGCAGTGACGCAGGGGATCACCATCCCCGATGTTCCGCCAGGGACGACGAAGCCAACACTGCAAAACAAGACACCACAGCAATTCTCCATCTTTGCACCCCAGTTCAAGTTGGAACAGGGTGATATCCATTCATTCTATCCCCCAAACGCGCATTCCGACCTGCCGAATGTGCTACCGCACATTGTCTTTTCCGACCCTCATCTCCCATGGGAGAGAGGCTCGAAGTACAATGCAGATTTGCACGGGCGTAATCGCATTCCATGGCTAGCATTGCTCGTGTTTGACGGCAATAATGAGTTGAAACTGACTCCAACGCAACGGGGACCGGGAGGGATATTCCCCCCGGACATGAGTGTCAATGGCCAGCCCGTGGTCCAGGATGGATCGAGCTACGCCGTGTCCATGACTTGGGATCAGCTGAACAGAATGGACGCTTCTGTTCCCCGCCAGATCTCCGTCAAGGACAATGATAAGCCAGCAGATATCAAGACGCCCTTGACTGTTATCTTCCCGACTGCAGATCTGTTCACGGGTCTTTTTGCAGCATACGACCAGCCTGCAGCTCCTGGAGGGCAGCCCACGATCCAGCCACAGCCAACTCTGAAGCGGTATCAGTATCTTGCTCACTATCGAAATATCAATACATCGGGAATGGCTGGTGCCGGTGTTCAAGACACCGGTCTTTTTAGTATCGTCACGTCGCATCGAACTGGACCGCTGGATCTCAAAGTCCCTCGCAATATGGTCGTCCACTTGGTGACCATCGACGGTATCCCGGAAAACGTGAAATTCCCGCTGTCGCCGGACACCAAGGTTGGCGCCCTGATCTCACTTTATTCCTGGAATTATCGTTGCCTGCCTATGTCGTCCATCAGCTTCCCAGATACTATGAGAGCAATCTGTGGGCAGTCGCGGAAGATGCTGCAGCCACCGAGTTCCATCCTGCAACAAGTGGCCTCGTGGAATGCGCCCTCACCGTTGTACGCCCAACTGATCGGTCAGCGGTTGAAGCTGGGCTACACGCTGGTTCGTTATCGCGTGCAGACCGGTGAAGAAACTGTCGCTTTCACGCGGGGCCCTCTCGTCCCAGTACCTGTGGACAGGAAATCCTTTCCTGTTACCACCAATGGCGGCCAGTGGCCTCCACAGTCGAATTCGGGTGCAGACTATCAGATCCTGGACCCTCAGTTAGGCATTATGGACATCACCTACAGCTCAGCGTGGCAGCTCGGACGCACCCTAGCTCTGGCGGACTCTGCATTTACTACGGCACTGACCCGATATCGGTATGCTGCATTTACTGCAGCACTGGCGAGGGCAAAGGAGCGGATTTTATTGGGACTCGGAAAGTGGAGGACGAAGAAGAGCATGCTGGTGACGCTTCCGGCGACAATCAACCATCTTTCTAGCCTTCACAAAAAGGCCTTGCGTGACCCGAGTGGCGATCTATCCGAGATAGAGTACAGAAAGCGATGGGACCGAGAGCCAGTTGCAGAGTTGCCGGATCTGTCCTTGGAGAGCGCGGAAGTTCAAACTGCCTTTAAGAAGGAGCTGGACCCGGTTATGGAGAAGCTGGCTTCTGGGCGCGCTTTGAATGTCAGTGAAGGATCCGATGGAGAGAATCCAGAGCCAGCACCATACAATGAGTTCAATGCGCCATACCACGCCGATTGGCCCATCATTCAAGCTTGGCTGCTAGATAAGATGTTGCTATCGGGCATCCCAGCGCACTACCTCATTACGGACCCATCGCATCTCCCTACCGAGTCAATCCGCTTCTTCTATATCGATCCTGTGTGGGTTGACTGTCTTCTGGACGGTGCACTTAGTGTTGCCAATCATCTGTCACGGAAAGATGATCTGATCCGACAGAAGATCAAAGATCGGCTTAACACCTATCTCAAGACACCATTGGACCCCAGCGCCGCACACAAAATATACCCTCCAGTTGCCAGCACCGGGTTCTTCTTGCGCAGTTCCATTGTCGAGGCGATGCCCGATCTGCAGGTATCTTGTCCATTTGTCGATCCGGACGACAAGAAACATAGAGCGGAATTGTTGCGCCATGATATGTTAGATAAGGGGGTCATGCTGGTTCTTCTGGACCGAGACTTCGATGATCCCAACCTGGGCGAGCTCACTTTTGCACAGCCCCCTCACCAGCAGTACTTTAGCTGCGGGGATGAGCTCACGGGCGATGCCGTCGAATTCCAATTCAAGAAGATACTGAATCTCTCCACTCCGACTTCCAAAGTTGATCCTAAAGATCCCCGATGGGGTGGCCCGCTTTGTGCTGCGATGACCTGGAACCGAAATGGCCAGGGCGATCCTCCAGGAGGACCTGTCTATGACTGGAAAACAAATCTCATCCAGGTAGAGAACTTGGCCGGTACGATCACGAACTTGCTGGATGAATACATGGAAGGGCAACCCGGGTGGCAGAAGGACGATGTGCCGAGTAGTGCCGTGTTAGCATTTCAACTCAATGCGCCCAATTTCTATGCCACCATGGCCAACGGAAACAAGCCCATGCCCGAACCGAGTGGATCGTTGCAGGGACAGAACCTGGCATTCAGACAGATATACTTGGGCTCGGAGCAAGATCTCGCACTGGAGCAGTCTCTTGAGGGATACAGCAGGTATCCCACACCAGCTACTGCCTTAACCATACCATCTCGCCCTGTCTTTCGTCGCCAGGTTGAGAAGACTGCTCCTCCACCACAAGATCCTGCTCCTCACAGATCCACACCACGCCCAATACGTTCCCATTATCTTCCTCCCGACGGTTTTAACCCCTTTGTATTCCCCTCTGGTTTCCCACCGCGTGATAGGTTCCCTAAGGCGCGCCTTGCATCCGCTCCCTCAGATTTCTGCGATCAAGGCACCATGGCCACCAGCCACCGATACGAATTTTGGATGTACCCATCATATCTTCTGGCCCAGCAGACCCAAACCGGAGTAATCCCCAAAGACGCCATCGTGCCAACCAACGCGAACAAAAACATAGATCTGATCTCCTCTATCAACCTGATCAACACCACTCCACCCGCCGACGGCTCCAAGCTCTATCTCCGAGACATCGAGGTCCTCATACCCGTCTCCCCACACTATACTTCTGCCCAATCCGCCTTCAGTCCTCAGCAGACAGCAACGTCCTCCACTGGACCAGCCGTGATGACCTCGTCCAGCTATCCCGGGAAGCCGACTATGTTATCCAATGCCAGATGGGTGGTCAAAGCATCCACTATGGCCGGGGAGAATGTCGCCTCGCATCTGAAGCATAAGGAGACTGTCGCGGAGAATTACCTCGTTTGTAGACTCATCCCACGCAGTAATTATGAGATGGTTCCCTTCGCGACAAATAGGACTTGTAGCTTTATTTTGCCGGAGATGCAGATTGACACTGCAGAGGGTGATGTGGTGGTGACGTTCCGGGAGTGCTACTGGCAGTACCCGCCTTCGGGCGGGTACAGAGTGGCAAAGTTCTATTCTTACACGAGGACAGTGAAGAAGAGGTCCGTAAGTGGTGATTTGCCATAAATGTTTATCACTGAGCAATGCTACTGCTACGATCTTTTCTTTCATGAAACTATTCCCAACCGGCACTGCCTCGCCCATGAACTGGCGGTGTGTCGCGAGGCAATGGGGGGTAAAAGGTGGCTGGCTGAATGCCACACCAGTCCTTTGTTATAACGCACCCCTCTCTCATGTTGCACAATACGTGCTGATCCTCGTGTTGTTCTTGCATTTGCTGGGTTGACTTCGCATTTAATTTCAAATCATGGCGAGGGGAACCTCGATGTTCCCCTCAAGAGACTGCATGTTAAATAGAGTGTTTCCTGAAGGCTTCGTGAGGGATCGTCAAAAAACAGTCTTGTCACATTTGGACTTGTTGCCTTCTTCATTACCTGACTGACAGGGCTTCTACCCTGCAAGTGGATTTTATCTTAACAGTCATTCTCAAAAGGTTCTCATCCTAACCTTAGCTTGCTTAATCATTGAAATCTGAACCCAGAACCAATAAGTGGTATTTCATATAGCTCCGGATACTCTATAATCCTAGCATTATACATATATCGATGCAAGCTGATAATATATAGCCTAGTATGCAAGAACAATGAATGAGATTAAGTGGAACTAATTTGGATGAATAATATTGATTAGACTATGGCAATATTGTTGATATCTATAGATATCTATATATCCTCTCCGCTAATTGCAGATATAGTATATCTCTACTGGAGGTGTGCAGGGGGAGGAGAGATTTGGTTATTCGCGTCTAGAATAGATTTTTGTTTTTCGACACAAGAGCCGGCGTATATATTTTAGCGTAGAGGAGAGTGATTGACTATGTTGAATGATATTGACAGCCAAGGAGGTAAGCCTTAATAAAGCCACTAACTAATTATAGTAGGCCTAGAAGCATAAGGCCTAGTCCTCTTATTAGATATAATAGTTATAGCTATTTAACAAAGTAAGTAGTTTAATACGAGAGACGATATATCTTAATATTCCCCGATACCTAGCAATTTCTATCGTTTAGAAGCCTCTCTATCCGATATAAGCAATACCAATATTAGTCTTACGCCGCTTATCGATTATAGCTCTCCACAAAAAAACTATTTTCTAGAAAAATAGCCTTTCGTTAACCCAATTTAGTGATTGGGAGGATTGTCGGGTATTTAATAAGGATCCGCCAACCTATATACACTTTTTAATTAAGGGGAAGGTCACCTCAACCAAAAATGGTGGCGAAAGATACAGAAAAGATCTGGTTCTAGCCCCTTGGTTTTATAGGAGGTTTTTTCTGTTGCCAAAGCCAAAGGAGCTTGTTATTCGAAAGTATGTATCCACATCGGAAAATCGAAACGGACGACACTTCTGTTGTCGTATCAGCCACGCGGTAGAGGGATCGAACCGATATTGGTTGATCCTATATAGAGAAATAGCATAGAAATTAAAAAATTTCCGACGGTGTTGTAGTGAAGGCAAATATTGTTTGGCCAAAGAGGGTACCCGTCAACGGGAGGAAATCAGCCATAGCACCTGCATTATATCAATGAGAACCAGGAACAAGGGGAAAAAAGAGAGACATGTGATTCCGTTACATAGGCATTTAAACCTTTCTTACTTCATATTATTTACAACCTCTTCAGCAGTGCCGTTATAAAATCCCATAGCCGGCTGAAGGTCCGTTTTACGCCCCCAATACCTCTTGGTGGCGGCGGCGACGACTTTTCTCTTCCAGGGAGCATATATATTTCTCCAAATTCAGGGGAGCCTAAACCGACATCGGTTGAAAAGGCAAGTCGGGGCCGGCCGATTATGCCTCCAGGCAGATTGTCTGCAACAACACCCATGCTCACGGGGAATAGGTGTGCATCGGAGTCGGCATCTAATCTTTGGCACATAAGTACGATATGAGCACTGCTGGATCCCCAGGTTGGAAAACCTGGTGGAACATCGTGATGACTTCGGAAGAGAGAATTTGCAAGTAGCCCTATGACCATTAGGCCGCCACATAAAGTGGCCAGAGCAATAGGAAGCAGCGAGTATCCCACGGCTGAGCCATTGAAGCGAGGAAAATGTACCACATTGCCAGTCGTATCGAAGCCTAATGTTTGCACAACGAATAGACTCTGGGACAAAAGCCAATGAAGCAAAATCATGGCCGTAGTTAGAGTGACTGAATAGGTGAGTGGAAGTGATAGTATATAGGACGAACGCTGCATCCCGAGAGGCGTAGAAAAGCGCAACGACTTCTTTCCGGCGGGTCGTAGAAACCGAACCCACTGGTCGGCGACAAGCTGCTGCGTCATGATGTTGTTGTATAATAAATAAAGAAAGCTAACTAAAAGCTGAATGATGTTGGCGAGAAAAACACACTTGATCAGACTGTAATTGCTCGTTTCGCTGCTCATGCCAAGAAAGCCGGGATTAAGGCCAAAGCCTAATTTGAAGATAGCAGGGAGACTCATATCAAGACCTCGATGTTTCCAAAAGATAATCGAATCAATCAATACAACCATTGGTGCCGCTATTCCAATACTAAGCCTAAGGGTTGTCGTGTTAACCTTCCAAATCGGTGTGCATAGATATAGTGGGGTGTGGTAGTCGCCAAACTCACAATATCAAAGATATAGTCCAAACCCTATAGCTAACAGATTTGAACCACGAGATCCGGCCTTCGGGGAGCCAGATTCGAGGACTCGTGTAGATAGATGGCGACTTTGACATATCTCCCGGACGCTGCAGGTACTCCGCAATGGCGTCCCCCATCAAGACCATAGTTTTTTCTCTCTGAAATTGGCCGGACTTCTTGCGAGAGGAGAACCAGACAGCTGAGAGAAAACAGCATTGAAGTAGTGTACATACACTCACGACTGTGAAGATCTGTGTTCCATAGTGCAGACCACATTGATGGCTTATATCGGGTTCCGGACCCACCAAACAGTAATCGACTTTAACCCAGAAGGGCCAGCCAGGCTCCTCCTTTTCCCGACGGGTCCAAGTGAGGACTACCCAGTCATCAACAAAAGTGTTGGCCCAGTCGTGAGTGCATAACAAATTGTAATCGGGTTGGTTATAAGCTTCACATATCCACCAAGGCGCACGGCTCCAAACATCAAACCTGCGATCCAACCACCAAGGAGAGTATTGTTGTAATTCTGAGCCGCTGTGATGTTAGATGCAACGACAACCAGAGGCCTCTTGGTTCCTAGAGCGTTGATATATGCGCCAATGCAGCTCTGCTTGTCCAGACGTGTGAAACTGGCCATCTGGCTATACAAGTCGTGTACTGGAGACCAGTCCTTGCCAGAAAGAGTTGGTGGAAGAGGGTCTAAAGCCCAGTCGCGGCCCGCTTCCTGGAAGTCACTTGTAACTGTAGCTGAGGCATAACTCACGACTGGGGTCGATGTGAAGAGGAGAGAGTTCCAGCTACATGGAATATCAATATCATCGATAGACAGCGAAACAGCGGGAAGAACTCACAACAAATGCATGCATATTGAGAGAAGCCCAATTCCAACCCACTGGAAAATTCTGCGTCGATTAATCCACCGCAGGTTTCGAAGGCTCTGAATCCCAATGTCGAGTGAGACGCCGCGAGTATGCGCGGTATCTATTTCCTGTCGAGAAGGGGCGACTAAGATTTGCATGCAATAGCTGCCAGCACCGAGATATAAGGACGATAATACGTTGAGAATCACGTGTGCAGCGCTATTGATGCCTGTAATCTCAGAGCATTGGCCCATGCGTAGGGTTCCTATTCCATTCGAGTCCGGTGGGAAGAACACCCAAAACAAAATCAAGACCGCGATATTTGCTAGGCAAATAACGGCTGTGGTAATAAATTGGTTGCGTAGCATTTTGGATCGCTTGGATGCCGCAGTCTTGCGTGTTTTGGACCGCACGTGTTTCTCGTCGATCTCGGGGATATACTGACCGAGGAGTTTCTTGCTAGCATACCGAGAACAAACATAATCCCGATTCTTGCAGGTTTGGTCGTTGTGAACCGGTCTCTCATCATCTCTATCTGCCGCCTCTTCATCCGTACTATTTGATTCCGGTGACAAGATGGCGGGGTTTGTCGTGGCGGCGGGGGGCGGAAGGAGAGGAACATTCTCATTTTCTGGCACCAAATCAGCTAGGTCATTCATCTCGATGCTGTTTCTGGACCCCATCATAAGGGATACTGTAAGAACGAAGGAAAATGGTGGCTCTCGGGCTATTCAAAATCCAACATTTTCAGCCGCATCTGAAATGCCGAATTCCGCCGGTCTGCTAATAACCCAGTACTATAGAAGGTGCCATTATAGGCCATTCGACTCAGCCCCATCACTACCGTCGCGTTCCTCCTGCAGTAAGCCCAATCTCGAATGTACGCTCTAGCCTGTGCTATTTTCATATCAGTCACAAGGTTGATTCTTTGCATAGAGGAAATACTTTTGAAATTGTGGACTCTATCTTTGGCCATCATTTGTTCGAATCGATCGTACTTCCCGTCTCTATGAAGGACCCACCAAATTTGGGTAATCGAAATCCAGGCCTGACAAGGAGAGCCTTTTCTAGACTGGGTAGGTGTGCCCCATGTTGATTGATGGGCTAAATGCAGCCGCATGCCGCCGCCTCGCCGTAAGCGGTCGTGGTCGCGACTCATTGGTTTGACCGCCGTAGATCACTTGCAAACATGACTCGCGCTGCTTACTCTTTACTCGCCCCAAATAGCACTTGATTCTAATTCACTGGTAGAAGATCATTGGATAAGATTATCCTAGCTACCATAAACTGCGTGCGCTGAACAGAATAAGAGCAAGGAAAGAGGGAACCGGAAGGAAAGCAATAATAAAGGTCCCGCGCCGGCAATCTGGCACCTTTGACATGCCCTGAACTACCATCGCTAACGCTATCGGCGAGAGTTATTACCTCGTTGCCTGTTGTACCAATTTCGTCTAGTAAAATGTACCGGTTTCCCTGTCAGAAGGTTCCTCCCGTGCTGAAACTCTTCGATATGCTCGAACAAATCATCCCTACTGGAAAAATTCTCTTCGCATGCTAGGCAGGTCAAGTACGGGTCGACTTCATCGTCTTGATATCCGTAAGGTCTGACATATTCCTCAGGTGTCCCTGTGACGAGATCCCGGCCGTGTTGGAATTCTTCAATATGCTCGAACAGATCATTCCTATCCGAGAACTCCTCCTCGCATGCTAGGCAGGTCAGCCATGGGTCAATTTCTGGGACTTGAAATCCGGGAGGTCGGGCATATTTCTTAGGCTTCCCTGTGACGAGATCCCGGCCGTGCTGGAATTTTTCCAGATGTTTGAATAGATCCTGCCTATTGGAGAATTCCTTCCTGCAGGCTAGGCAGGTGAGGTATGGATCCACATCGTGATTCCCGCCATTTTGGCTTGGTGTCGTTGCTGTCGTGTTCGTCTTTTCCCAGCATTCAGAGCCATTATCGGATGCAATATCCTCTTCCTCATACTCTTCTTCGTCATTCGCGTCGGGATCGTATTCGTATTGTATTTGCTGTTGATCAATCTGGTTGTGTTTGGTTTGTTTGTGATCGAACAGTTCACTGGCAGATGTGAAGGTCTCATAGCAATCTAGACATTGCGTGTTGGATGTTTTCAAGTGTCTAATTTCTTGAGTCAAATGCTCAACATCTTGGTTGCGCTGACATTGTATCTCTTGGATATCCTCTCGGTGTTGCCGAATTATTTGCTCCATTTCTTCACGATGCCTGCGGTTTTCATTTTGCTGTTCCAGCAATCGCTCCTCTAGTTGTTGAATCTTCTTTTCGTGCATCCTCTCCATGCTAATCTTCAGCTCCTGGATCTCTGAGTCTCTGCGCTGAAGCTCTTTGGCTTGTCTCTCTTGGTCTTCCTGCAGAAGGTCGCGCATCTCCTGATCCTTTTCTTCGTGAATCTCCCGAGCTCTTTCATTGAACTCTGTTTGCATCTGCTCTCGTTCCTTCTGTAACTCGCTCTGTAGCTCCTGACCGGCGGAGGTTTGGTCCAGATCTTTGTGTAAATCAACCATCTCAGTCTGGATGGCCAATTTAATCTCCTCGGGTGGCTCTGTTGTATCAGAAGGTACAAAGTTCTGTATGGCGGCCATCGCAGAGTCATCGGTGTTCCAATGTCTCTGGACGCGGGCACCCCTGTCGACAAAATATCCCCAGAACTCGTCCGTAGTCCGCAAGGTCTTCTCACGGTTGTCGCCATCGGTCCCATCTACTTTTTCCCAAAAGGTGGTGAGAAATATCACGCTCTTGATCCCTTCGGGACCACACAGCTTTTTGAACATGACAAGATTTCGGCGCGCACATCCACCCATACGATTATCGGAGATGCGATGCAGGTACAAAATACCACTCAAGTGGATCTCCTTCTTGTAAGTTGTTGTCAACCAGGTGGCAATCTCTTTGAGAATGTCTGTATCTTTGCGATCCGTATCATCAAAACCCGGAGTGTCAACAAGATAAACGTTGGTGTGCGGAGTGAAATCTTTGCATCGATAAACTTGAACTTCCTGTGTACCTATATTCAAGACTCAGTATTCTCCTCTCACTGCCATATGAACCACATTTAAGCCAGACTTACAAGAATGCAGAGCGCCGGGATCACTTATGGCAACTTTCGCGTCCGTGCAATGCGAGATGAAGGTGCTCTTTCCAGCGCCTGTCATTCCCATGATCGCAATAAAGATGCTTCGCTTGTTGGATTGCAATGGTTCGTTTGAGACTTGCCCACTGAGTAGAAAAAATGGGTCAACACTTTGATAGGTATATCTCGTCATATTTGCGTGTTTGAATTGAAGATAGGCTCAAAAATGACAAGTTGCCTTGGGATGGATTTACGCTAAGTATATTATTGGAGCCTGTGAGGCTTTATAAGTATGCTTAGAGGAAGTTTGCGGCTGATTCGTAGACCTGCGTCGTTCTCAATGAACTAACTACCCGTGCCCGAGCGGGTCAAAACTTGATACGCAAACCTCACATCAGATCAACCTTGTATGCCTCGCATTCCTCGTATAACAGACGCATAGTGCTTCCGACGCACTTGATATGCACGCGATCGGTAAAGAACAATCGACCCCGCACTATTCGTAGGCCCTATTGGTGGCCCCATTGTTTTATTTTGAAATGCGTCTCAGCTTCATCTGCACACTGCTGTTTCTGGAGAAGCCACCAGATAGACGAAAATAGTTGACTTATCATAGGCTTCCGCCCCTTTTCCTCAGCGGCTAAAATTTGGTTATTGTGGCTGCGGCTGGCTTGGTGGCAGCTTCTCGTCGCTGAAACCACACCCCTTCTGATCTATGATGTTACCGGAGGAATGCTCCTTCCTGCAAGCCTCATACAACACCGCGGTTGTCTACTGCATCACCCACGACCAGTTTTCTTGCAAAAAAAGCAAATTCGACTAGCTTTTCTAATATTGTCGCAGTCCGAAACACAGGTGGCTACAGTCGCTATCTGGAAGGGGCGGAGCAGTTGCCATGACATATGTGACTACACTTATGAGGAGCCCCGCTTAGAACAAAGATTTTCCTTGGTCGATTAAAGCTGTTGTTCACTTGTGAATCTATTTGGATTCCGCTTGCCACGCACACGCAAAGCTAATTTCAGTTCAAGATGGACTCTATTGATCAGGATATGACAGAGTATGCTATCAAACCATTTTTTTTGGTTCCTTTGCTAACACTCTATAGGACCTCTGAGTTTTCTGCGGGTGTTGCGGTGCTTGTTATGGGTATCACCGGTGTCGGAAAAAGCACCATCATATCAAAGCTTATAGGAGGTGATACTGGCATTGGCCATGACCTGACGTCCTGTGAGTACAGCGCGAAGTCTACCAATTTGCTTAAAATCGTTAACATATAATTAAGATACACAGGGTATTAAATTCTACAGCATTATGATCAAAGACAGAGCTGTGTATTTGGTGGATACCCCCGGATTTAACGACACTTATCGTTCGGCTTTCGACATAGTTTTCTTGATTTGTCTGGGCGACCGCCATTAATAGATCATTTTCTGTGGTCAAGAGTGCATTTTTCACCCCACCTGCGTTATATTGGAATGAGGAAAAAGACACTTTACAAGACCATGGGTGGCATTGAATTGGGCATCTAGAGTCTCTTCAGCTTAATTAACTTGTGGACAGGAAGTGTTACTATGAAACAGGGCACGACCGTTCTGGTCGGAGCGAGCACTGCATATACTTAAGAAGCCAACACTCCCCACTCAGGATTAGGTCGGCGGTTTAAACATAATTTCAGGCCGAAAGCCCGAGTTGGAGATTCACAAGTTCATGGACACCTCGGACCGATTTCAAGGGTTCGGAGAGGGCTTGCAGAAGAGTTACAACGCAGATGAACGCAAGTAATGCATTGGCGTGTACCTGGATGTATACAATTGAAGTGAAAGGAGAAGTTTTGCGACATGAATAGGGACTGGAGACATAAAACTTTGCTGTGATGAATCATTTAGAAGGAACAGAGAATTGATATACGTCTTAGTCGTTGAAGCCGAGCAAAACAACGAATAGCATGGAGTTGTTTTTGCGGGTTTGCTGGAAGCTCGCTTCTTATCGGCGGCTCGCGAGCTCGCTGACCCGCGGACGTGCATTCGTCTTCATCACCTCACTCGACCAACCCCGCCATGGCCGCCCTCACATCGGAGGAATATAAAGTGCTCGAGCAGTCGCGCCAGCGTCTCGTTCAACTGACTCGCTCTCTGGGCTCCCTGATCGCAAGTCTCGAGCAGGGCGATCCCCTCCCGCCATGGTGCGCAGCTCCCCCGGAGCCCCAACCTTCAGCCAAGGATCCCCAAATAACACCGCAGTCCAGGTCCTCACTCCAGTCCCAAGCCAACATCATCTCCAACAACCTCGTCAGCGTCTCCGAACACCTCTCCGACCACCGCGACCTCCTCTCCTCGCTCGTCGCATACCCCGGGCCCGAGTACCCAGGCCGCACGCAAGGAAACATCCTTGAACAGCTGCTGCGCACAAAACTTGACCCTCGTGTGGAGGATTGGGTCGCGCGTGGCCGCGAAGCCGGCACGGAACCGTCTCCCTCCGCCCTCGACCTCTCTAACGCGACCTCGAACCCAACCGCACCCGCAACGCCGGCCCAAAACCTTCTCAGTGAGTCAGAGCTGGCCGACCTGTGGGAATGGGCCCCCCTTGAAGCAAACGAGGAAGCCCGGCGGCGGAATTGGGGTGGCAATTTTACGCTCGAGGAGCGTGAGGCGGGTATACAAAATGTGGTGACGGGCTTGCGAAGACAATTGGAAGACGACGATGGAAGCGAGGAGGAGGAAGAGGGAGAAGAGGACGAAGGCGAAGACGAGATGGAGATCGTAGGCGTGCATCGCAAGTCGGGGGGTGGCTCAGGCCTCGAATTTGATATTGCACCCCATCACGCACATATCGCGGAGCCCGTTGTGCCGCTGGATGAGATTCTCCGGTACATGACGACTGGGCGCATGCCATGATACCACCGAAATTTTGATATTGGCAAGGAGTTTAAGGTGATTTACTGGGGCTGGGTCTAATAAGACGGAAGAACATGGGCAGACATGACCGGACGTGGCTTCCATGAGCCAACTGCATATATTCCCGAAAGACATTATTAGGAGTTTTATAACGGATTTGAAAACGAAGCGCAGTCAATTCGCAAGAATCGATATCCTCTAACCCCGTCGTCGCGTGGTAGGAGTCTTCGAGCCCGGCTTGGGTGACACCCCTGAGCTTTCGCCAGAGGCCGCCTTCTCCGCGATCTTTGCTCGCGGCGCCTTCTTGTTGGGCGCCGGGCTGTTCCAGTAGTACACCATCTGCCCGGCGAGGATCACGTTGAGAGTAAAGCCGGCGATAAAACCATAGAGAATGAGCTTGTCCTCGACCTCTTGCAAGGTGGTGAAGATGCGGGAGAGAGATCCGAAGAGGTAGTTGAAGACCTAGCAGAGAAAGACCGCAAAGTTAGCTTGTGCGCTTGTGGATTGAATCCAAGCCGAAAACGTACTGTGAATGCGCTCAACTGCCCGGTGCCTCCCTCGCTCCAGATGGCATAGATCTGGGGCAACTTGCTAGCAACACCGAGAGCGCCAGCACCGGCCTGCAGATACGACATGGTCTGCCCGTTAATGAGGGTCTGGTCGAAGAGCAGGGCGTAAACAGCAGCCGCCACGAGAGCGACAAAGGTGGCGGCCGCGGCGGACCGACCGGCAAAGGTCAGGACGAGGATGCTGACAGCAACATCTTGGACGGCGATGAGAGCAGTCTCTCCGTATGTGCTGAAAGGGAACTGGTTACGCACGCTGTACGACAGCGTGATGAGCAAACTGGCGGTTTCAAGGGCATAAGAGACGAAGGAAACGCCAGCGGACGAGCGCGAGTTGATCAGCTTCAGGATCTGCGGGACCTTGACTATAGCGCTGGCGCCAACGATGGCAATACCGAGCGCCTTTGAGATAGCTAGGGATGTGCAGGCCGGATCCTCGGTAAGGCTGAGATCGAGGAGCAAGGCGCTGTGGCAGGGCGCTGTGATCAGAGAGATGACCGCATCGTGGACGGGTTTGGGGATCGCCTCGACGATGGGCTTCAAAAAGGGCTGGAGAGGGTCCACAACGGTCTTCTGAATGACGTCCATGGTTGCTGGTGAGGGTTCAAAGACGAAGGAGGAAAGCTATTGTCAGTTGTCAGTTGTCAGTGTTGACATGCCGGGAGCTAAACTGCGGGTTTGGTCCGTGCGGCCGCCGGGGAAATTGTTCCTTCTTCCACTTTTCTTCCCTTGCTCCTCTCTCGAGGACTTCCCCCCACGCGCCATGCTCCCTCTACGGTCCGCCATCTTGAGGCCAGGACCTCCTCTAGAGGTGCTCCTGTGCTCACGATGTCTGGTCAAATCGCGGCCTTACCCCCCGTCTGCGACACGGGGCTTCTGGTCATCCTCGCATCGGCGGACCGGCATAGCGGATAACCAAGCTCCCTCCGCCTTCCACAAGACATATTTCTCTGCCAATCGCCTCTACGATGCCTCAGGATTGAAGGGAGGCTTCATCTCGTCTTTTGCCTCTGCCAATTCCGATAACCCCGCGACTCCGCGTACCTCACAACCTTCGAGCGACACAAACGCAAACCCGCCCGATTCGTCTGAAACAGCATCTTCTGGACCAATTAGTGCAGAGTCCAACCAAATTGAACTCCCACATCGACGGAGGAAGCGTTTGAAGGAATCGGCGCCAGAAAATGACAAAGCAGAGCATGTCATGCCACTCGATGCGTCCGCGCAATTGTCAAATCTCTCCTCCGCTCTCCCCACCACCTCCATCCGCCGTAAACTGGCCGCATACCTCGCTCTCACGAAACCCCGACTATCTTTCCTAATACTCCTCACTACTACATCGGCCTATGGCATGTATCCGATTTCGACGTTGCTCGCCCTCGACCCGGCCATGACCCCACTCCCAACCCTCTCGACCTCGACATTAACCTTCATATATCTGACAACGGGCACATTTCTGTCATGTTGCAGTGCGAACACATTGAACATGATGTTTGAGCCCAAGTACGATGCGTTGATGTCGCGCACGCGGAATCGTCCGCTGGTCCGCGGGCTGGTGTCGCGTCGCGGAGCGCTGCTCTTTGCCATTGGCACCGCGGTTACTGGTCTCGGGCTGCTGTATGTGGGTACCAACCCAACTACCACGGCGCTTTCTGCAGCCAACATCTTCTTGTACGCATTTGTCTATACTCCGCTGAAGCGGATCAGCGTGATTAATACCTGGGTCGGTGCCGTGGTGGGTGGCATCCCCCCTTTGATGGGATGGGTTGCCGCTGCAGGACAGACGGCAACGACTGGTCATGATACATGGCGCGATATGCTTTTCAGCGAGGACAGCATCGGCGGGTGGCTGTTGGGTGGCATTTTGTTTGCCTGGCAGTTTCCCCATTTCAACGCTCTCTCGCATCTCATTCGCGATGAGTACAAGGGCGCTGGCTACAGAATGTTGGCCTGGGTTAATCCCGCTCAGAATGCTCGGGTAGCCCTGCGCTACTCGGTGCTTATGTTCCCCTTCTCCATCGGCCTTTGGTGGGTCGGTGTAGTTGGCCACGGCTTCCTCGTTGGAAGTACCTTGGCCAACGGCTGGCTTGTTCGCAAGGCCTATCAGTTCTGGCGGCTTCAGGGCGCTCAGGGCAGTGCCCGTGGCCTCTTCTGGGCTAGTATCTGGCAACTTCCTATCCTGCTTGTCGGTGGTCTAGTCACCAAGAAGGGTCTCTGGGATGGCGTCTGGCGCAATGTCTTTGGACAGCCCGAGGAAGATGAAGATGAATATCTCTATTATGAAGATACGGAGGAAGCTTCAGATGACTCTACTCTTGCTCACGGAGGGAAGTCTTCCCGTTCGTCGAGTCGGGCTAGTGTTTTGTCATCTACATAAGAGGTTGGGGTTGGCCGAGAGGAGATTTAGATGGTTTACCCTGTCGAGGCTGGTCTGGCGTATCGGTTCTCTTCTCTTGCTCGTCTCTCTTCTATTTTCCATTCTTCTTTTTTGTTTTGTACAGCGGTTGGAGCGGCGTTGTCTGCTTGTTTTTCAATTTTGTATAACACTCTCCAGAGGAGGCCATCTACAGATCATCTCACACGATATCTTTCTTATTCACATACAATTTCATCCACTTTTGTAGAAATCCCAATGTTCTAGATTATGCTTCATATTTCCAGAACCTTTCTGGTCTAGTTCGTGGCTCACTTGGTGTGATATTTCCTGGCCGCACAAGACGACAAGCACCACAGCTGAGCATCTTCCGGGACTCTTCTCCTTGATTTGACACCTCTATTGTCTAGTAAAGACTCCGTCATATAAACACTAGCGCTACTCTGATCTTTATATCTTACAATGCGTATGTAACTTTCACAATTGCAGGATGTCTATTTTACGACTCGCACAGCTTGGCTTACATCTAGATAATATCCGCCGCCGGGCAGGAGACCTGGCATGGTTTGATCAAAATGGCGAAATATCATCTCGCTACGACCACTTTGAAAAAATTAACAGAATATTTCTGGAGAGGTCACTTCATTCCTTTTTGGGGAGGCCATACAGGACGGAGCATATATTTGAATTGCCAGAGCGTTCAAGCGAGACGAGGCTTTCTCAACCCTGCATTAAGAGCCAGAATATTTTGTAAAACGACCATCACCTATGCATGCATCTTCAAATGCAGCTGAGAAACCCCGGTTAAATTGCTATCGACCTTACTCATTCATCCCAAATTTCAGTGTTCTTTGTCAACTCCGTTGCCATCAATCTATCATCCAGGATTTTGGGAATGGCAAGACGAGTTTGAACTATACTTGGAATGGCGTTTTTTCCTGCTGGGTCTGATGAGCTCTATTTCGGTTATGTAACATTATTACTTCCGTTAGTTATTGATAGATAACCTGTATTAAATCACGCTGACATACACAGCAAGACTGTCTAGTTGATTCAGTCTGTCTTTGCTGAAGAACCGATAGTTGGATGTGCTGGGTGCTTCTCTACTTGGAATTATTTTAACGAACCTCCTTCTCTTAACAGGATTAAGCCTTTCGATTGGGGGTACCAAACACAGTGAACAGGGCTCGTCGAGAGCATTTAAGAGAAAATATAAATACTGCTTTCGTCATCTGCCAATTTATAATGATAGGAGATTGTGACCGGGTATCTTAATCTAAGGTATACATGTGCTATAGTACAAAATTTCCACCTGCTGGAGACTACTATGCCTTCCGCAGCTGCAGATGATACGTTTGCAATGCCGCTTCAGTCATAGGACTCGGCGCGCGCACCATAGCATCATCACCTCCCTTCCCAGTCTTTGGGAACGCAATTACATCTCGCACCGACTCCTTGCCCAACATGACAGCAACAAGACGATCAAAGCCCAATGCAAGACCCGCGTGCGGCGGACAGCCCGCGCGGAGGGCGTCAAGAAGATGTGAGAAGTCATGCAGGCGCTCGGCTGGCATTCTCAGAATGTCACGGAAGATGAATTCCTGCACAGCCGCGTCATGAATACGACGGCTACCGCCGCCGAGCTCGACTCCATTTACGACGAGATCATAATGGTCGGCCACGACTTTCATAGGATCGGTGAGGAGGAGTTCCACGTCGGCGGCGGTCTTAGGTGCTGTGAAAGGGTGATGGGTGGAGGAGAAGCCTGCAGCACCTCCCTGGCCGGGCTCTGACTCGGAAGATGGCGAGAATAGTGGGAAGTCGACGACCCACATGAAGTCAAAGCCAGTAGGGGGAATCCTTGAAGCCAGTTGAGACGGCATGGGAGTGTAGAGCCCGGCGAAGATCGCCAATTGGCGTCGAGCCACCCGAGAAGGGTGCACGAGGGCGAGCCTGAAGGATGATCAAATCGCCGTGATCCGGCTCAAGGAGCTGTTCAACTTGCTCAGCAGCCTCAAAGCCAAAGGGTTGCAGACCACTAAGAGGCCGTTTGCCATTGAACACGAACACACCCGGGCCGCCATCGGCATTATTATTGAATGAGGCACCGGCAGGCGAGTCGAGGAATTCTGTGATGAACTTGAGCGTCTCCGCCGGATCATTGTCGGCACTTTCAAGCTTGAAAGCCTCGACGATGGGATCCGTGAGCGGCGAGATCTTCATGACCAGGTCGACTGGCAGTACATGATCAAGCCGCATGATCTCCATACCGAATCTAGTGTCTGGCTTATCGGAGCCGTACTTGGACATGACGTCTTGATACGAGACACGGCGGAAGGGGCCCTCAGGCGCCGGGTCCTTCATCAACGTGGACCACAGCCTGCGGATGACTCCCTCAACGGTGCGCATCACATCATCACCAGTAGCGAAGGACATCTCCAGATCCAGCTGCGTGAACTCCGGCTGGCGATCTGCCCGAAGATCTTCATCCCGGAAGCAACGTGCGAATTGGTAGTACCGTGGCAGCCCACTAGCCATCAAAATCTGCTTGTACTGCTGCGGGCTTTGAGGCAAGGCATACGCCAGTCCCGGTCGACGAGTTGGAACCAAGAATTCGCGTGCACCTTCCGGCGTCGATTTAAACAGCAACGGGGTCTCGATTTCCACGAAACCTGGCTGATTGCTCTCCTCCAATTCCTTTTTGCAGGCATTCCGCACCTCCGCCCGGAACCTCAGCGCCTCGCGCAACTCAGCATCGGACCGAAGCTGCAGATACCGCTGCTCTGGTGCAAACACCGTCTCAGGTGTCATAATGATGTCCTTGGGGAAATCATTCAGAAGGTGAATATCTTCCAATGCCAGCTCCCAGGAATCCTCAGGTTTGCCCGCGGCCTCTGAGGCCTTCTTCTTCTTTTGCTGCACGGTGCCTCGTACGGCGACGGGGCTGTTGGCGTTGATGGTCTTGAGTTTCTCGAAGGCTTCATTCTTGGCGAAGCTAACGACCTGTAAACTGTACTTCATGGTTGGATCTATAAGGCGCACGAAGGACAGCTTCTTGGAAAGGTCTGCACGCTGACCAAGGTAGCCATGCAGGACGACGTCGGCATTGGGTTCGGCCTGTGTGAGGAAGCTTTCGAAGTCATGAGTGGCAGGAGGGAATTCCACTGCGTAAATAGCAACCCATATTAACAATTGATTTCGTTTACTGCATTGAACAGACGTTCACTTGACGTACCGGCCTTTTTGTATGCCTCGAGAAAGCTAGGAAGCTTGGCCGGACTGCCCTGCTCACGGAGGTATGCGGGGCGATGGAAATGCCTGGTCACAAAGGCTTGTGGCTGCCATGGTCTAGCAGATGGCGATCTAGAGCTCGCAAAGCTCGAGCGAAGCCACAAAGGCAGCTGCACGCCTGGTATGCGTATCATGACTGGCGAGCGAGTCTCAAGCTGGGCCGGTCGCGCGACTCAAAAAAGCACCGGCCTCCGCCCGCCAAAACGAGACTAGCGCAGTCCTTTTATTAGCGCGAATCTTGCCGCATTTTTTTTTCTTTCTTTCTTCATCCTTCCAAGTTTTATACTCGTGAGTCTATCTGCTCTGCACCAGAGATCTCGACCCTCAAGGACATGCAAACTAACTGTTCTTCAGATGATGAAAGCCTAGTGTGTTCTATATGACAATAATTTCTCCTCCCTGAGACTTGCGGCTCTCCCTCTCTGAGGGCTCAAGGGCTGCTTGACTCGGGATGGAGGGAGAGTGATCTATGCGTTCGGCACACCCACCTTGTTAATTTACGGACGCGATGAAGGCATCTCTGACCCATTTTTCAACTTGAAGGTGTTTCCCACTGGCTGGGCCGTGGGTGTTACAATATAACAATATAATATGAGGATGAGAGTTGGGTCGTGGAATGGCGGTGTCAATTGTCTGCAGCATGGCTCGACTCCCCACTGCGAAGCAAAGCCTTGATGACACGCACCCCTCTCTTTCTCAATGCAGAATTATCATAGAACTCAGATAAACGAATATCAATATTGATTTCAATCTCAATTATGTCGGTTCACATGGAACTTTCTGATCCAATCTGCCCTCCTCGCAGTATCCCGAGATAGTGTATTCACAGTCTGTATATCTTTTATAAAACCCTAACAACGAAAAATGCAAAACTCGCAAAACCTAAATCTTTTAATTCTCTCCAAAAATCATTTTCTCCAGAACGGCCTTCTCTCCGCTGTTATCCACCAAGCTCTTGAACACACCGTTCTCAATTCCCATCAGATCCTTGGGAGGTCCGAACTCAACAGCCTTGCCCGCATCCATAACGAGGATACGATCGAAATCTGCAATAGTACTGAGCCGGTGGGCAATCACAAGCAGAGTCGTCGCGTCGCGACCGAATTCCGCACGGATAGACTGCTGGATCAGCGCATCGGTCTCCATGTCCACGGCCGAGGTGGCCTCGTCCAGGACCATGATCTTGGGTCTTGATACGATGGCACGGGCGAGGCAGAGGAGCTGCCGTTGACCCTGGGATAAATTGAGACCGCCCTCGGAAATGGACGCAGACAGAGATGTAAACATGTTTGTGTTGGCTTGCTGTGCTGTCGCAGTGTCGGGTGTGGTTGCACCGGTGGTGCTGGACTGCCGTGGAGTCCCAGCTTGGGATGTCAATGTTGCTTCGTCATCCTCGACTGATGAAGAGATGAGGCGCACGCGGGCCAAGGCATCCTGCAGCTCCGTGTCACTGTACTCGTCGAAGGGGTCGAGGTTAGACCGCACTGTACCAGAGAAGAGCACAGGATCTTGCGGAATGATTGCAAGGCGGCTACGGAGATCGTGCAAAGTGATCTTCGACACGTCGAGCCCATCAATAAGAATCTGGCCCTGGCGGGCTTCCAGAAACCGGAAGAGGGCAAGAGTCAACGATGACTTGCCCGCACCGGTACGACCAACGACACCTACTCGCTGGTTCTTCTCGATTGTGAAAGTGAGTCCTTTGAGAACGGGGGGCATATCTGGTGCGTAGCCCACCACAAGGTCCTTGACCTCCAAGCGACCCTCTGTAGGCCAAGCAGCGGGTGCATGGGCACCGCCCTGGTTCTCGAGCTCAATCTTGGAATACTCGATGACGCGCTCGGTAGCATTCATGTTGAGCTCGATATTGGCATATTGTCGCAGAGCAAAGGCAATCGCACTATTGCACTGCAGTGTAAAGCTTAGGGCAAAGCCAGCAAGCGAAGCTGAGATACCGGGCAGAGAAACCACGAGCGCAGCCGTGAGAGTTGAAAAGACCGCGCCGACAACATTCATGCGAATGCCTAGCCAACGGTTGAACAGCCACATAGTCCACCATGCTTGGGCGTGAGCATCGATCTTGCTATAGATGACTTCGATGAAAGTCTCGCTCTTGGTGAACGCGCGAATAGTGATCAAACCAGCTAAGCTAGAGCCAAACTGTTCGAACACCGGACTCTTCGCAGTACTCTCAAGACGTTTGATTTCCCGAGCACCGGCTAAGTAAGTCATGGAAAGCTTCATGCAAATCACGAAAAGGATAGACGCGAAAAGGATGACTAGTGGCGAGACAAGTACTCCGGCAACCAGAATGCCGCACATTTCCAATATCTGGGAGCAGAAAAAGCCGAGCTCATAACCGAGTCGCGAATCGATCATATGGAAGTCAGATGTGAAACGATTAAGAATACGCCCCAGAGGAACAGTATCCAGCCAGCGCAATGGTGCACGTAATATCGCGTACGTGAGCCGGTCGAAGAGATTTCTCGATGCGCGCACGCTTGCAGAAAGAATGAAGTAGAACCGGGCTGTACCGAGTATACAGGCAAGAACGGAGATGCCAATATAAACGCCGAGGTACCACTGTAGGTTGTTATCATGTGTGGCTGAATTTGTTCGCGACATTGTATGTTGCAGCAGGGCCTGGAAGTGTTCGGGATAGGCCTCGGTGTTGGATGATGCGCTGGACCAGACATTGATCCACCAAGCCTGTTGTGTCACCAGTCATTAGCAATGCACTCTCAAGGCAGGGATAATTGGAGATGATCTTGAGACTTACACGTCCAACCATCAGGCTAGAATAGCTGAGATACACCATTATCGTAATAAGCCAGAGAATAGCATGGCCACCCATCGAAAAATAAGTTCTGTAAACAGAAAGATGGATCGAGCCAACTTCTCGCTGCTCATCCTCAATAAACTTCTTTGGTGATGCTCGCTTCGTTGCTGTGTCATCATGTGAGGTGCTTGGCTGCTGATGCGGTGTATTGGAGATGATCTTCTGGAGATTGGTCTCCTCAGGAGCAACTCCGGCCAATTCCTCGTTGAGGGCATTCTGGTCCTCCTCTGTCGCTTCATGCTCTTCCCGGAGAATATCATCCAAGTGCTTCTCTTTCCGAAGATCATCAATAGTACCTGCGTACTTGACGCGCCCGTTTTCCAAAAGCACCGAGTAGTCGGTTTTGGGAAGACACAACGCAACATGGTGAGTGACCAGTACACGAGTTCGCCCTTGACCAAGCTCCCCCGTCAAAGCATGTTCGTAGACGTGGCGGCCAGTGTGCGCATCCAAGGCGCTGAAAATATCATCCATAACGAGTATGCCTGCCCTGGAATACAATGCACGGGCAAACGACACTCGCCAACGCTGTCCACCACTCAGGTTGACACCATTCGCACCGATATCGGTTAGTTCGCCATCGGGCATCATCTCCAAATCCTTCTCCAAGGCACAGGCGAAGAGGGTCTTCCGATAACGGTCTTCGTTGTAAGGAAGCCCGAACAGGATATTTGCTTTGATGGTGGCGTTCTCAATCCAAGGGACCTGGGCAACATATGCAATCGCTGAATCAATAGTCCAGTTTGCGCTCGTTGCGAGATGGTCGAAGCGATCCTTAGTAGGAGGTGGGACGGGCACTTTCACGGTTCCTTCGAGAACATCACATTCACCCAGAATCGACGCGAGAAGCAGACTCTTTCCAGACCCAGTTCGACCAGAAATGACGCTGAGACCCTTGCTGGGGAAGACGAGATTCATCTCACGAAGAAGAAAGCGATCTTCGTCATCTTCTTCGCCTTCTTCCTTCTCTGCTGGCCATGCCACAGAAGCCTCCTCAAAAGCAATGGTATCCGAAGGCACAGTGTTCACGATCTTCTCAGCTGATCGCATGTAAATATCAATACGGTCCGCGCTGACCTTCGCCTCCAGGCCATTGGAAATGATCTCAGGCAGCACAGCCAGAGACATCTCCAGGGCACCGAAAACAGCCATGGCAGTGAAGGCAACGGATGCAGATAGCCCACCATGAATCAGAGCGTAGACAGTCAACGAGATTGCGGCAAGACCGATGGGACCGAGAATCCAGATTGCCATCAGGACGACATCATAGAGGAATGAGATCCACAAGGCCCCAAGCTCTGCCTCTCGCGCCTGTCCGATCTTCTTCTGCCACTGTTCCTCCAAAGCTGAGAACTTGACCTGACGAATGCCTTGAAGCACCTCAGTAACGATGGCCATTTTCTGATCTCTGAGCTTCATGAGTTTGTCCTGTGCACCGGTGTACTTCTTGGCGGCGAAGATATTCAGTGGAGTGACAAGCAGAGATACAGCAATTCCAGCCAAAGCACTGCGCCAGCCGAGAATTTTGACCAAGAAGCTGCAGCCGATGATAATCTTCAGACTGGCGAACGGGATCAGATATGCGTAGGACGTAAAGTCAGAGATACGTCTGGCATCCACGGCTGCTAGGTTAATAATACTCTGTCGGCTTTTCTTGATCGAGGCCTCGTCATCTTCCTCCTCCTCGGCTTGTTCCTGCAGCAAGGCCTTCATGGAGGCGTTTGGATCATCCTTGTTTTTGGACTTTTCGGTTTGCTTGGCATCCTTTCGGCGCATTGACTTGGCGAAAACGGCGGCTGAGAGCTCCGCGTAGATCGGGACAAAGAGCTTAGAGCAGACAACCCAGAATAACCAAGCCTCAATAGTCGAGTGCAGTAACATCAACCCTCCTAGTGCGAGAACCCAGAACAAAGTTTGGAGCGGATTGAAGGAATCCGTCCCGCGAGTCTCCAGCGAGCTTAGAATCTTAAAGAGAGCCACCTGGGGTCCGAAGCTCAGGGTACTAGTCACCACAGTCAGGAAAAGCTGAAATAAAAGAGTGTCCCAGTGTGCAAAGATGAGGGCTTTCCAAATCGTGCGTGAGCCTTTGGCACGTTCAAAGTGTGTTCTAAGGTGTTCTGCACGTTTTACCGACCGAAGCTTGGGTAGGTCGCCCAGGGCCAGTGTCCGGTTCTTGACGGCATAGTTGAGAATATTTTGGGCCCAGGAAAACGTGAAACGGCCAAAAGCAGATACTGTGAGCTCTCTATCAACAACTTGACCGTTGTAGAAAACGTCAGGCCGGCGCGGTAGAAGAATGCTGAACAATGCGCGCAGTAGCGCACTAGCAAGCTGAACGATGATCAAGCCAATCCATAGTTTCTCCCGAAGCAGAATACTCTGGTTATTCCATGCCAGGCGAATTTGAATGCCGGCGATTGCAAGGGCAGTTAGACTGCCACCAAACGCAAACTGGCCCAGCACGAATCGCCTCGTTGGTCTTGGCTCAGTGAAGAACGCGATGGCTTGAACAGAAAGAAAGACCTGAAATAGAAGTTCGCGTTAATCAAACCTGTAATAAATCGGGAGTGTTTGTGCCATTTTGTGTTCTAGAGTACATACCCAGATTCCAAATTGCAGCCAGGCCAGAATAGTGTAGTCTGTGTTGTATTTCAACGTTGTAAGAACGGCCAGAGCCAATGTGACAAGTACTCCACTGCCGGAGAAAAGCGCAATCGCGACCCGTTGCCATTTATCTGAGAACGCGTGAAGAGACTCCTCAGTCGCTTCACCATCCTCATCGCGATAGGCAGTCTTCGCTAAGTCTGCTTCATCTTGCTGGGGCGATGTGCACGCGATCCGATCGGCGATACTCTTGATGGCAGGGATGCTATCCAGGCCCGCGAGTAAGACGGCGATCGAGCCCGCCACCAGAGACGCAACCTGCACGTTAGAGGACATTCCTCATATCACTGCGCGAAGGGGAGTTGTTGGAAGAGAGAGGAAAGAGTAAGAAAAGGGGTGGACATGCAGGGCATATTACAAGCGTCCATCTTATCGCGATCCTTGTTGGGTAGTCATCGTCCTAGTCCCAGTGAGAAAGGACTTTTAATCTTACTCATAGCGGGTCATCTAACTAACTTGCATGTACTGTTTAGCGCACTGTGCACGGTGACATCCACGCGCGGGGTGGGGAAGGTTTTAGCCCCTGTTCGGGACTGCCGGGTTGCCAATCCACTGGGAATGGAGAAGGGTGTACGGAGTAAGCATCCCGAATTCACAAGCTCGTATTGCGATAACTTGGATAGATGCACCGTGGGCCTGTTTTTCATTGCTTCGCGACAAAGTGAGTCCCGAACACTGGATGATAATACTTAAATCCGGTCCTGGGTATACTCCCATCTCTGCGCGCGCACCCCTTGTGGGCGTGCAGTATCCGGCGGTCTGAGTTTCGGGAGGCGCTCAAAGAACCGGTGTAGAGCACTCGGGCAGTGCTATTCACAGGCGGGAGGAGTTAAGGTGACTCACATCTCCAACGGGTTGCATGGCCGAGCGCCTTATCGCAAACGGTTCCCGGGAGGCGGGCACTGTTTCTGGGAAGCGGTAGGTAATCGCTAGGTAGCAGATGGGTGGGGAAATGGCGGAAACCATTGCTCGTGTGGCGCCCATAGGTCAGGAATGATCGGGCCAGCCTCGTGCTCCTTACTCCCTAGTGGCTGGGGTGGAGTGGGACGAGAAAGCTTGAGAGGGGGGCGTGGGCTGGTGAGTCAGATCAAGGAACAATGCATTATACAGAGTCGGTAGGAAGCACGAAAGCCATAGAACGGTGTTGAACTGAGGCCTTGGAACAAATGGAGAGTTAGGATATCGAGAAAAATAGAAATCAAGTCTGGTTCTTGAGGCGTTTGTCGTTTATTTGTTGACTCGGTTGGCCCCGTTTTCCAGGCCGATCGATAACGTGTTTACGTACTGAGTACAATATCAGTGACTACGGTCACCTCCGGTTTTCCTCCTTCCTCCTTGGGCGCGCCACATCTCAGCATTCGACGACTGCTCAACCGCTGGGACCCATTTAGGATTCGATAATTTTTGGTTTCAAATGCGTAGGTGGAAGCTCTCCGTAAGCTTCCTTCCACAATATGTTGTCGCGCAAAACCTGGGGCATAATACCGCTAGACCAAAAATGCTCCATGGGCGACATTCTTAGTCTATACGGCTATTTCTTGTTCTGACATATGTTCTTCTAGACTACTAACGATCTGAGAATAGCTACTCCTTACACTTTTGATGTGAATCAACCAAACATTTGATGTGAATCAATAAGTTGACATGAAGCCTAGCGACCTTCAAACATGGTGGATCTACTGACATACATAAGTGCGCCGACTTCGAGCTGTCCGGACATGGCTCTATGCCCCCAGCACAGCTTTAGCGCAAAACCGGTCTCCATCCCTTGCGAGGTATGAATCCTTGCACCTTTTCATCATCAAGCACGTCTTGTCCAAGGCGACCAGTAACTACACTGCGCTCAAACTCGGGTCCACGCACGTAGAACGGTTCGAACCCTCCCAGTTGTGAATCTTTCCTGGACTTCCGAACCCAGACTTTACTGGACTTTTTGTCTTCCTTGAACACCGTCCTGGGTTCAAAGCCCGAGCCCCCATGATCAAGGCTCAACCACCATTTCCGTTGGTGAACAGAGCCTATGGTATTTGAAGATCCGGGATACGCGTTGTGTTTTTGGATCTGAAGGTCGACGTCCTCGTCCGAATGATTTGCCTGGTCGACACGATTTGTTGATTCCCGTGCTGGAGATGCTGGCGGAGGGGATAGAGACTCGGAACTGGAGGTGGATGGTAACCGTGCTGTAGTTGATTGTCGACCGCGCCTCTGGCGTTTTGGCCCTTTCTTTGATGGAGGGGTATAGTCAGTAGGTTCAGATTTGGCCCTGCGCAAGGTGAGGGTATAGCCCGCCGGCAGGCGGGCTCCATGTAACCGGATGCGAATTTTGCGCTGTTTCTTCACATTAGCAAATTTGAATTCCAGCATTTGGTTGGGTGGGGGGGGAAGAGTCCCATTTGAGCCTACGTTTTTAAATGACTCTTGAAGTTTCACACTATCTGAGATGTCATCGGAGATGTCATCAGAGATATCTGATAGAGAATCATCGGTCTGTGGCAGTGATTGTTTCTCTTTATAAGGCAGCACTTCGTATTCTCCAGTGTCCCAGATGATCAAGCTTCCCGTCTTGCAGGACGCCGTTTCAATGAGATGATTCTATACTCGTATCAATAATTAAACACTGGCATAGCTAACACTGGGGTGATTGATGATACCCAAAGACAGTGAATACGAGTCTCGACTGCATTCCGAATATTCGCCTTTTCACTGTTCGGATCTCCTGGCAGGCCGTACATGATAGCCCAACTCACCGAGCTGGTCTCGGAGAACTGTAGTCGAAGATCATAGTGTGGTCCAGCGATTGGATGATCATGTTGGTGAATGACAAAATGGCGTCCTGTGGGATGAGAGTTGCGGCGATACAGATCAGCATATTCGTCGATCGTAATGCGCGGTGGCTGCGAACCACTTGAGGATTGAGTGTATTGGCTGAGCTTGGTTGCAAAGGTCCCTAGGTGATCTGTGATCTGAACCTCGCCCGCTTCAATCGAAGCGAGGCTAGTCTCTTCTTCTCGGTGGATGGTTCTTTTCCTCTGTGGTGGAGAAATCGGTGCTTTTAAGCTTGACAGAAGCACCGATGTCTGTGCTCTTTGAGGCCGTGCCTTGGATTCAAGCTCCTGGCGGTCTGACTTGCCCGAGCGTTTCATGCTGAACAGCCTCTGTGCCCAGTTGGAAATGCAAGCGATGGGTGGCTGATAGAGTCTCACACTAGCTTCCTTCTGATTCGTTGAACTAGGATCATGTTGAGAGATAAGTTGACGATGGCTGATAAATGCCGAGCTCATTTGGTTCGGGTGCGGAACCTGCCTCCTTACGCAAGAGAGCTTAGTAATATTAATGAAGCATCGAACTAACCACCAGACATATGGAAAGAAGGACTATATTAGATCGTATGGAGTTTCCCAATCCTTGTAGACGCTATGGGGGTATAAAATACTTTAAGGTCGCTATGAACTAGAATGTTCAAAAAAAGAACATGATACCAATAATGTTGCAAGGCACATCGCTGTCATCATCATCATCCAACTTGCGAACCACTCGCGATATCCCCAGCAGGTGTCTTATCTCTCGCTCATTAAGAATGCTTGAGAGTCACTTGAACACTTTGGGGGTTGTGAAAAACATCCTTTGGGTCAATCGCCGCCTTTATTTGTTGCAGCCTCGGAAGGTTAGATCCCCAATACGCTTCCTGCGCATGTTGCAGCAACGGATCCACGTATCCCGGATAGGCGCCAAACGACGCGCCCGGGTGGGTATCGGAGATCACACTGTTGATTCCATTGAGAAAACCTTTGGTTGTCTGGGAGATCGGTCCAAGAAGGTTTACCGCGTAAGATTGCATCCACATAATGGCATCCCGATGAGCATAGGCGGTGGCATTCATGGGAACGTCGTTTGTCGCGCCAGCTTCTAAGTCGAAGATAATGAACCATACCGGTGTTCCTTTTGTGGCGATATTAAGGTATTTGAAGAATGAGTCCACGCCGGCATCGGATATCATATCCGTGAAAGACATCGACTTGGAGTAGAACGAGCACGGAATGCCGCCCACAATTTGCCGAATAAGGTCTTCGGATTTGCTCGCAATCATTCCCAGCCAATCGGTCAAAACCACCACGTTCCCTCCAGCGGTCGGTGGAAAATGCTTTTCCAGACCGAATTGTTTCCACTCATCGTGCGACCCGAAGAACATGCCGGAAAGCAAGATTCCCATCTCCGAGAGCATGAGTTCGCTCGAGACTCGGCGCGTGAGATTTTTGGCGTAGATAAACCTCTGCCAATCCTTGAAGAACCGAGCTTTCTCTGCTGTGCTCCCCATGTTGAAAGTATAGGAGTATTGAACAGCCTGCGTAGGAGCAGGGTGAGTATGGAGCTTAAATTTGGTGACAATTCCGAAGCTCGCTGCAGCACCTTGGATAGCAAATAGAACATCTGGGTTCTGAATGTGGGTTGCATGCACGATCGTTCCATTTGCCAGGACAACCTCTGCTTCTCGAATGTGGTCGAGGGCCATGCCCCATTCCCGTGACATGGTACCCAGGCCGCCAATCGTAAAGTGACCGCCGGTGCCGACGTCGAGACAGGCACCGTGAGCCACAGCTCTCCCACCGGCATTCAAAAGACGCGAGTGAAGGTCACCAAGTAAAGTCCCCGATCCAACTGTCGCAACATGGGTTACAGGGTCGATTGAGAAGTCTTGGAGTTTCTTCAAGTCGACGACCACTGCACCATCTGCACCTCCGAGGCCTATCATGATACACCATATCGGCTCAATTTATAGCTCAGTTTGAAATGAGATTAAAAGCGTTACATACCATAGTTTCCATAGCTGTGGCCGCCACTGCGGGCCTGCACTTTATAGTTGTTACTGGCAGCGCACGTAACGATCTTGGCCACCTGCTCTGAGGTTTCCGGGAATGTGACAGCAATAGGAGTCACTGGGCGATCGAGATTGTAGATCGGCGGCATCCGAAATTGAAAGAAAGCATCACCCTGAAAGACCACGAGGCTTGGATTGTGCCCGACAGCCGCGAGGAAGCACTCATGTCCCGCGATGCTATGAGTATTGCCCATTGTGAGCGCATCCGCAGCCGCAAGGGTGTTGACCAAGTTTTCTGAGGTGGATCCCAGTCCTAGGCGAGAAGGGTTGGGGAATCTTGAAAGGTGGCGAAGTTCCAAAGATTAGAAGAAAGGAAGGGATAAAGAGGTGGGCGGCGCCTGGACTTTGGTCAAACCCGCCCCTACCAGGAATGCAACTGAGAGGATCACGGAATTTCATTTTAGATTTTTAGACATCGCGAACATAAAGCAAGTCCCGACTCGAAGTCAATGATTGATTATGATGCAGAGAGCAGCCTTGAATGGATTTGCCTACGGCCCCGCGCCCCACTGAACCGTACACTCAACCCCAGTATACTTCAGGATCCGACCTCATACTTCCGATGGCTTGGACGGGAACACAACCTTTCAGGAACGTATGGGTTACCAAGATACAAACCAGCATTTAGTCTTGTACAAGATTCAAATCACAGCCAGTTTGACAGCTCTTTTTCTCTCTCGCTCTCTACACTCCTCTAAGGTCCACTTCGGGGACGGGAGTTCGGGTTCGGGGACCAAACCGAGCGGATATGGTCCCCGAATCCGACAATTCCATAGCAATGTTGCCAGAATGTGCGAAGTCTAATTGATTATCCCCGGGGATTCTAGCGGGGCTCTAGTGCGAATTCTATTTTTTCGTTTTCCATGAGTACTCGTTTCTTTGTTCGCCCCTGTCATCCGCCCCTGTCATCCACGATCTATTCACGATTATCTCCGAGCATACCCCGTTCCGCCATGTGGTGTTCATGAGATCAATTAGCCGTACCGATAAAGTTTACTCTCCCAGAACTCAACTTCACGATAGCAGAATGTTCACGCCGGTTCACACCTCCTTAGGCGCCCTGTTGCTCTTCCAGGGCTCCTCGGGCCTGCTCATTCATAATGGTGCTGTACTCGGCATCTCCTCACTCCTATCCGGGTCTATGTTCAATCCAAACCGCGACAATATCCCCGTCATTGCCGGTCTCGTCTCCAGCATCTTGCCCATGTACCTCCTAGCACCATCCTTAATCCCGAACTACCCTGCTGCTCCACATTCCTTGGCCTCCGTGGCGGCAACGCTAGGCGTGGGCTTCCTATTAGGTTGGGGAACAAAGGTATGGGAGATGGTATAGTCTGGTCGATTGACGGAAAAAGCTGACTGGCATGTTGCTACCTTCTAGAATGGCCGCGGCTGCACGTCTGGCCATATGCTCTGTGGTCTCTCTCGTCTCTCGCCGCGTTCATTGATTGCGACTGCTCTATTCTTCACCACTGCCGTGATCACAGCAAATGTCGCGTCTAGGATACCGTCTTGTGACCACATCCCGTGCTACACTCCAGTCTATCCTTCCTCGTCCGAGCTGGTCTTTATGACTGGTTCAGTGCTTCTTTCCGCAATCACGAATTTCATTGTTGTCCCAAAAATGCTGCACCGATGCGAGGAATCAAAAACGGTCTTTTCCTATCTAGCAGGGCTAGAGTTCGGACTAGGTCTTTGGATCTCTGGAATGGCAGATCCTGCCAAGGTTTTGCGGTTCTTTGCCATCCTGAGCAATCCATCTCTGTGGGACCCGTCGTTGGCACTGGTCATTCTCTTCGGAATCGGTCCATCGTTGGTAGCATTCTTGACACAAAAGCCGGGCCAGAAATCCGCGAAAGGGAAGGAAAGTGCAAAGCCTACTCTGGCTGAAGGATGGAGAATCCCTACGGCCACCGTGGCCGATATCGACTGGCGTTTTGTGGCTGGTGCAGTGGCTTTCGGCGTTGCTTGGGGTCTTAGGGGGAGTATGTCCAGGTCCAGCAATTCTTCGCACGGCTCTTCAACCCACATGGGGACTTGTGACCATGACCGGGTATATGCTGGGTAACCTGTTCTAGAGAGCTAACGAGAGTGGAGGACTTGGATCCATAGGAAAATGCATTGTAAATATACAATATAGACCCACATAGAGGCGGTTTGTCCGAAAGAAAGCTGATGATAGTTTCATTCACTGTGTGATACATCACATTAGCATGACTCCGTGACGCTAGAGAATAACATACAGATATAGGACAGAGTTCAGGATCAATGGAATTTGCGAAAGCATAGATTGGGTATATAACATGCATGCAAGCGGAATAGAAAGAGACCAAAAAGACCAGTCAGAAACGAAAAAGAGCGGAGGGGCTTACAATTCAGTCTTCTTGTTCAGTCGGATAGCCTCCGACTCGAGCTCCTCTTCCCGGCGTACATTGCCCATGTGGTCAAGAAAGCCTTCCAGCTCCATCCACTCAGCGGCAAATGCTGTCATTAGAACGCTCCAGTCCTCCACGGTATCCATATCCAGGTGCTCGCCATCGTCGTCGGGCGTATGCCACACCGATGGGAAGCCCTTGAACGGTGCAAAGTCGATGAGATGGAGGATTTCTACCCCTCTTGCGAGAAAAGGCAGATGGTCATCCGAAATTCCACCAAAGGTCATTACCTGATGTGAGTCCTTGGACGTATCAACGAACCATGGCTCAGTCGACGAGGACTTCAATTGACCAAGAGAACGAAGTCGCTGTTCGAGGGACCCTAGACTTTGATAGGCCCAGTGCGTAGTCGGGTAGTAGGACAGGATATTGGGGCTTCTGGCACCAAGAAGGTCCAGGAGCACGAAGAGGGATATAGATGATAGTGGGGTCTTGAACGTCGACATAGCCGGGTGCATCTGAGTCTCCCAATGCTCAGCGAGGGAACGAGCGCCATATAGCGAGTCTGTGTCGGTCCACTCCTTGAATGCTTCTTCGCCGTCCAGGAAAATGACCTGTATTCCATGTTGTTCCTCCAGAAAGTCCACTTCTTGTTCCTTCATCAAAGCCCATTTCTTGTCCAAAGCAGAGTCAACGATGCGCATAGCATGCATAATCATTGCACAGGGTGCGGCACTGTCGATAGCTCCGATGAACCCCTCAGGCTCCAGCTTGCTGTCATAATGTGCAACCAATGTCAACCGGCCAACATCTCCCATCGAGGCCCCTGGCGGATCTCGGTACGCGATAAGATTGATGAATGGGACATCCTTTCCACCAGATACTGGAGTCTTCGAAGTGGAATTTTGGAATTCTATCTTCCACTCCGGCAGTGTTGTCCGGAAGAAGGTTGTGAAGTGTTCTAGGACCGCTGTGTGACCAGGGGTGCCGGGGACGCGAGGTTGCAGAATCGGCGACAACAGAGCACCACTGTGAATGTCAAAATCTTGATTTGGGCGTGAAAGTGCTTTCAATGTGTCATCGGAAAGTTTCTCATAGGCTTGTCCGGGAAGCAGAAGGAGAAGTAAGCCTAGGCATAGGTAGAGGAAGTGGCCACGGAGGCCCTGGGGGTCACGGTAGGCCGTAGACATATCGTCGTAGAGAGTGACTAGCTGTTCATGATTTTGCGAAGCGCATCAAAAACCAGCTTGGGGCCCAGACCAGCTAGGCACGCCAGAGTACGGTATAAGGATAGAACACCGCAATGAGGAGTGTCGCACCTCGTCGCCAAACAAAGCGGACGCCAAGGCGGTCACGGCTGGCGATTTTACCGCAGCTTTCGGGGAACCGCGAAACCTCCGAGCGCACCACTGATGTCCGTCGCAAGCATGATCACGCGCGTCCTCCTCCATCCTCAATTGCGCACTTCGCTCCCGAAATCTGGCCAGCGAGATTTATGCGCTCAAGTATGGACCCGTTTTAAGTCACAGGTCCCCCGGCCATCCCGTCGCCATGAATCAGCTGCGCCCGCATCCAAAGATCTTAGCGCCGCCACGACACGCACTTCCTCTCCTACAAGCGCTGCCGCCTCCGCTAAAACAAGCACCCGGAGAGGTACTATAGCCACCTTCGTCTCTATATCATTTTCTAATTGGTCTATAGGCCCCCCGGAGCGTATATTGGTATACTATGGTGGGACTGGCCGGTCTATGTTCCTAGGCGTACTGCGGGTAACTACAATTCTGCTTTTCGGCACGGCTTGCTTGATTGTCGCGCCCTCTTGCTACACAGCCGAAAATGCCTGGTACATCACACCACTAGGTATGCGCTCCTTTCTGGTGTTCTATATGAAAGAACTTGGTATTGATTTCTATTCGTTTCAAGTGATTGCTGGCGGCGCACTGCCCATGCTCTTTGTCGCCTATACTTCCGCGCCCTATGTCAGCTTTATTCACCTAGCACTTCCCGCATTCGCACGAAAGTCTCGAGAGACAGCCATACACTACGCAAAAGACTTGCCGCCCACAACTACCCTCATACTTACGACGACGAGATTCAACGCAATACCCCGACAGACTGCCGTCCGTTTGGGAGATCTAGTGCCGGATAAAAACCCCATTCGACCTGTTACTTTTCGGAACTTGAATCCCGCGACCAGATCCTGGTGGATGGGTAAGCCGACGACACAATTCTTCACAGCTGATCACAGTCAGCCCGGTAGACAGTCAACCGCATTTTATCCGGAGATATGGCCGGCTATCTATAAAAAGATCCAAAGCCAAACAGCTCACAGAGGATAAGTGGGTAATGCTATTAATATTCTCACATAATGTATTAATTCTATTACCCTCTAGAATGGTGTAAGATCTTATTGTATCCCACCTTTCTAGTATGAACATATCAGTGGCGGGCCGAGCCCTCCACAGAATCCAATCCCAAGACACCTACCATCAATCCATACATACCTTCTAAGAATCCGAAGATAGAGGAAGGAGACTTTAGCGAGCGCCTTGGAAAGTTCCCGTCCCTTTTTGATAAAGAAAGGAGTGCCGAGACCTTATTTATGCCATGCTTCGTCCTATTTGGTCCTAGTTGGATGAATATCTAGGCGAGCTACTATCTAATCTTGCGTAATAGATTAACCCAGATCGGGTGATCGTACTACGAGGCTTATTGGGCATATGCAAAGCTTATTTTAGCTAGCAAGACGTGATAATTTGGTCGCGGCTATCGATAATCGCACTTATACAATCAATCGAGAACATAATCCGAGTTATTCCGCAGGACGCGCCTTTTCTTTGGATCTTATATCCCCTTTTCGAGGAGGGACAAGTCCCATTTCGATCTATAGTCGTGTCTTCGACCTTCCGCTATATATCTTCCTTTCAGTTCTACCTATAAGGTAGGACATGTTGAGGAATTGTAAGGAAAGAGATCCAGTAGCTTCTGATAGGTACAAATGTACTTCGAGGGCTTATTGGCGAAATTGACTACAGTAATAACACCGTCTCTGCTCTATTTGGTAGGTATGTAACGAAGTCAGCTACGCCGATACAAGTCCGATATGTATTCTGTTACCGGTCTTGTATCGGGGTAAACTCACGTGATAGGCCTCTGACAGCGAGAACTCGTTCTCAATTGCTCCTCATGACTCAATATCCCTAGTGAAACAAGAAAAATGACTTGAACAAGGTTCCTGAATCTGCAGAATACCAATTCCGACCCAGTGGACCTGGAAAGCGAGTCCGAAGGAGCACTGAATCCATACCAGTGTGGGTCCAATTTCGTGACATGGAGATACAGGCAACATCGCGCAGCCTCCCAGGTTTTTGAACATGTCAGCACCCACAACCAGGCGCAATCGTGCCCTGGCCTCATGTGAACCTTGCCGAGAGAGAAAAAGTCGATGTGATCATGGCAAACCAGTTTGCGCCTCCTGCCAGCGTCGTGGGCTCGACTCTCGATGCTATTACCATCCCGCACCTCTAACTAAAAATCGGAGTGCACAAAGACCGACCGTGCCTACGCTACCCCGATCAAACCTTGCTAGGCCGTCATGGAGCAAGAACAGCGCAAAAAGCTGCCAGGCCCATCTCGGACGGTCTACGGCTGGACCGCCCAAATTTCACACATGGCCGTTCATGTCGACCGTCTCTGACACGCTGCGACAGACACCCACGCCGGGCTCGCATGACAGCAAAGCTTATGAGGCCCACCTAGCCACCATGAAGGAGATTGTGTCTCAATTGAGATACCTCCCAGTCATTGAAAAGTGTCTCCATCAATACTACTCTTTTAAGCACAACGCACTTGTACCGAAACCAGTCGTTCTGCACCTCCTGGAAACGCTCCGTACAGATCTGGTATCTTCGGGCCATATACTTGGAGAAAAAGGAGAGCGAGTCGAGTTAGGCAATATCTCGGAGATATCCGAAACTGTGCTGCTCTCTTCCTCTACAGAGGTCCTCATCACGCCATCCTTAGACCTGCACGGTTTCTTCGCCTTGTTCTGTGGCGCGAATCTTCGAGTCGAGACTATCGGTCTTTTCTATACTATGGCTGCCCGTGCTTCAGTTTTTTTTGTTGACCGCGACGAGGATAAGGATGGCGCATTTGTCCAAGACATGGTTTGGTATAGTACGTTGACCTTACGACTAGCCCGTGACCTTGCACCTCAGTCAACCGACGTCATCATATGGCTAGCGAATGAAAATGCGCAACTCAGATCGTTCCTTGAAGGAGATGCGAGTGAGCACGTCATGCAAATTTTGTTGATTGTAGGATACTGATTGATTTCAGGCCTCGGTGTGTGGCGTCTTGTGGGCGATCTCGCGACAGATTTATTGGCTCTGGGCTTGAACAGAGAAGCGACATATTCCCCTGAGAGAACCCCGTTTTTCCTTGCAGAATGCCGGAGGAGATGCTTTGTGACTGATTATTATCTCGAGAAAATGTTCGGCCTGTTGTTCAATCTGCCTCCTCGCATTACCTCTCGATATGTTGACGTCAAGCTCCCCCTTGATTTGTCAGATGATGAACTTTTCGCGCGAACTCCTGAGGAACTAGAGGAAGCAAAAAGTCGGCTCACAGAAGATGGTTGGAACACGGATGGGAAACTTAGGGCAGCAACCTGGGCTCGACTACGATATATCTTGAGTCAGTTTCGGGAAGAAATTGTGGAATATCATTTTCAAGCATCACAGGCAGCTGACCCTGTCCAGCTCAGGTATGAACCATCAATCGGAGAGATGCTGAATGGCCACTGACAACCAATTAGAGAGTTGTCTTCTCGATGCCGTCAGACTTGGGATAACCTGCTTCCCCACCTGAGGTATAGTCAGGATTGTTGGAAATCCGACATGCCTCTTTCCCATTGTTATATGCATGCGAAGATTCATCTGGCCTACCTCCAAATCCACTTCCAGATCTACCACCTCCTTGGAGAAGATAGCTCATTTCCCCTTCCCGAGCTGCTTGATGTGTCTGCAAACATATTGGAGACAGTTGTGCAAATGGGAAATTCTCGCCGCAAAGGTGCCTTTACCTTCAATGATTTGCCTGAAATCGTACGTACTACCCTACCTTACCGTCCCATTCCTTTTTTGCATAGCTGACAGGGTTCAGCTTCTTTCCTGCGGCTTGCCCTCTGCCGCAGTCCTTTCGACTGCACTAGAAAATATTACGCAAGATTCTTCAAGAATCCTTCCGCCCGGTATAAAGACGTCGTCTGTGATTCGGAATCTTTCCGTACTTGCATCGCAACTTGAAAGTGTGGCCAGTGCCCGGGAAAGAAATCAAGCGTTCTGCTTGCAGGCTGCAAAAGCCATCACGGAGAAGTTGGACAAGATCTTGGACAAGTTTGCGACATCAAAGTTTCAGGCAACTCCCGATGTCGCGACAAGCGCTGACGTGAGCCCGATGTCAGTTCTGACCCCTAACATTGACAATTCCCTCCCTGGTGGAGCTGGGGAGATTGGTGCTATCAATCTGGACGATTACGAGAATTTTGATATAATGTCTTGGGCAATCGATTTCGACCTGGGAAACACGGCCAGCAACTGGACTATGATGTAAAATCAAAATCATTGCGGAGTCCAGCGGCGCTCAAGGAATTCATATCGTCTGAAATGACTAGATAACGAGAGGAGTACTTTTATTCGAGACAGTGCTATCTGTGAACCCAGAAATATGAGATTTTCTAAAAGGAGAAATGTGACACATGATGCTTTGGTTTGTAGCATATGGGTCCCGCCGATCATCGGCGTCTTTCTGAGAGAAAATGTCCAGAAATTCAAGATATTCCAACGGTAATCTTTCTTTGGGTTCAATTATGGTCTTTGGGGCTGGTGCCTTCTCGATATCTGCCATTATCCGCCATTGAGGCAGCGAAAATGGTGAATTCCTCGGATCTGTTGCTTTGTCTGTCAGGTAGAGAAAGGGTTACGCCCCAATCATGCGAATGTCGTGTTCGTTTCGGTATCTTTCGTCGTTTTTTTCATCGGGTCTTCTTTTGTGATTCCATAGATCTCAATTACTTTCTTAATTCCGCAAGTCTGGTGACAGTGTGCACAGTTGAATGTCATTGTGTTCTTCCATGAGATTGTCCGTAGAGCTTTAGCCAGGGGATACCGAGCACAACCGGCTGCTGGCTCAACTTAGTCACAAAACAGGGCAGAGTCTCTCTATGCCTCTGTATACACATCGGTATTTGTGTCAAATGGGCGATCCGCGCGTCTTCCGTCTATACTTCGAGTCGTCGCGGCGTAACGACCACTTTCCATATTTTGTCGAGCGAGGCCCAGTATAATTAAGTAAATAAGGGAGATCGATCTCTCGTATTGAAATAGCAAAGGGTCGATTTCTGGCCGAAGAAGTTACCTTTTTGTAATCCTGGAAACTTCCTCTCTGCAACTATCAACTCCGCTCATCTCGACCACCACTAGTCATTCCCACTCGTATTCTTTCTCCACGCCTCACCTCACTTGCTATCTCGCATTTTCCCTTACGGCCTGAGACTTTACCGCTCTCTATCCTGACCTTATCCTTCATACTCAAATTCGCTCCATACACTGCACGATGCCTCCCACTACCCCAACTCGTTCGACCGACGGCATGCTGGGAATGAGCGTTTCTGAGACACGCCTACTTCTTAACGCACTCATTTGCTTGGATGACCAGACCGGCAAGGTATGTAGCATCAAAGCATGGACCATCTCGCCATCATCTCACTCGATACCTATTCCATCATTATCATACACGATTATGCAGTTTTTGAGCTCACTAATGATATCTAATAGGTCGATTTCCACCAGCTCGGGGCACGTTCAGGTATTACACTCGCCTCGGCCCGCACCATGTACTCAAAGGCACTGCGTAAGCTGGATCGTCTCAACCCCGGGCCTGGCACCGACTCTGCTACCGGCCAGGCCTCTCCTTCCGCTGCCCGTTCCCCTGGCCGTCCCCGTCAGCGCCAGGTTGAAACTACTAGTGCGACTAGTGCGACTGACACCGCCGAGCCTGAGGGCACCGAGCACTAGATGGAGTCAGAGGAACCGGAAGGTGCTGTGGATGATGACGACGAGGAAATGGTCAACGTCGTGGTCGGACTTTGAGCGACATCTTTACACTCATCCTCACACTGCTCCTAAATGGGGTTGTGTGGGAGAACTTGGGGCGTCTTCTTTCGTTGCTCCTTCTCCATTACTCTTTTCTTCTTTGTGGGGTGCGTTGGTTGCTTGCTTTTCCTGATTTCGGTGCCCGTTCGAAATATTGCAGTGCAAAATCGGCATATGGGCTTTAACCATCTTGTTTTTAAGGGATACGGAATACATTCTCCGTCCTATCGGGTTACTTTTGCTCAAGTTTACACATACTTCATGATAGGCGGTGGTGTCGAAAACACTCCTAGAGCGTAGGCCATGAGGACGATGATTTGAGCAAAAATCGAGAATACGAAGTCCAACATTAGAAGATAGAGATAGTCCTAGAACATCCTTTGACCCGAGATATAAGACAAACAAAAAAGAACACGAGAGGTGGTCACAGCTGCGCAGCACAAATGGAAGAATCACACCTCGGTATAACAGCCTACTATATCTCTAGAGAGCTTCGATCGCCTTCCGTAAGACCTCTAGCCCCAGATCAGTGACATCACCCGCCTTATCACCATCACCCGCAGTTGACTCGCGTAGTGCCCACGCGACATCACTCCACCATCCGAGTCCGACGAGGCCACCACCCTTGCGGCGTTCAAGGCTCTCCTTAAGTCGACTTGTATGCTCCCACTGCTTGGCCGCAACCTCCGCACGCTCAATGACCTTGTTCGAGATACCGCACATGGATGCACAATGCATACCGAAGCTACCCTCGGCAACACCATGCTCTAATTTGTAGAGGAAAGTAACACGGCGTTCAGCATCGTCGACGTGAATGGCCATACGCTTTGGCGCGATTTCTGGGTGGTTTTCGAACTCTGCGGCGAGAGAGTGGTAATGTGTTGCGAAGAAGCCCATTGCACCGATATGCGTGGCGATATGGTGCAGAACAGCTTGCGCAACGGCGACACCATCATAGGAACTAGTGCCACGACCCAGCTCATCAAGAATGACGAGTGAGCGTGGAGTGGCTTCAGAGAGAATCTTCTTCGTCTCAGACAGTTCGACAAAGAATGTTGATTGTGCGGCGAAAATGTTGTCGTTTGCTCCAAGACGGGACATAATACGATCGACAGGAGTGAGGTACGCCGACTTGCAGGGGAGGTAACAGCCAATCTGAGCCATAATAACAGCGACACAGGTCTACCATAGTTAGCGACATGAAAAAAGGCAAGAGGGACGTGAAGGAATTACATACCATGCGGAGAAGAGTAGACTTTCCGGCGGCGTTGGCACCGGTAAGCAGATCGATGTTCGCCCGCTTGCCGCCGAGCTGAACATCATTGGGAATGAAGTCTTCCACAGATGAAAGAAGACAGGGGTGTCGCAGTTCTTCGAAGTTGAGAACACTCCGCTCATCTTCCACAAAAACAGGGCGGCAGCTAGGCTGGCCCAGCGAGGCTGAGGCCTTGGCCAGGCTGATCAAGCAATCCAGCTGGGAGATAATTCGAACAGCAGCTAGCCATGTACCGTAGTGCTCGTCAAATCGTGCATGGAATCTACCGGCAACTTCTTTCACAATTTGACCGTGGGTTTCTTGGGCTTCCTGCAACTTTCGGATCAGGTTGCGGAGTTCAGGGAAGTAGTAGCGCTTCACCTGCTTGGTGGCAGACATTTGATCCCAGTTCTTTGGGATATTCTTAACCTTGATAGGTACCTCAAGCTGGTAGATCTCCTTACCATTGTCACGGTAGCAGATAGCGGTAGAGCCAAGGTCACGACGAGCCTTTTTCAGTACATTATCGAGCTCCTTGTGGAGCTGTTCAATGCTGTCTTGGGAAGCATCGAAGTCAGACTCGACGCCGGTCTCCGGAACCAGGATTCCGTTTTCCTTTGCCTTAGGGCGGTCAAATGCAGTCTTCCAGTATGCAAGCAATGGGCTCAGGTCAGGCATCGCCGCAATTAGCTGACCGATAATGCCCTCGCCAGCACCACTTTCCTTGAGAAGACCCATCGTGTATTCGATTTGTTCAAATCCTTCAAGAACACGAACGAAATCCTGAGCCTTGCAAACCTTAGCATGAATGCGAGAGATCAGTCGCTCCAGGTCAGGCATTTTGGTCAACTGCGAAGAGAACTGGTCGCGAGTACTCGGGTCGGCATTCAAGGCATCCACAGCATCCAGCCTCGCATTGATCCGCTTAGCGTCCATCAGCGGGTGGCAGACCCATTGCTTGAAGGTTCGCTTGCCAAATGGTGTAATGCATCGGTTCAAGAGATGGAAAAGGGTGCCATCCTGGCCACCGTCGAAGGAGTTTGCAAAAATTTCCATATTGATCAACGTCTGACCATCCAGAACCAGGCTAGAGGCCTTCTTGATAGGGTCGTACCAGGTAAAGTTGCCGATAGTAATCAGGTCTCGCTCGATCTTCAAGACTCGGAGATACTGCGTCAGAGCGCCAAAAGCAGACATGAGCAGCTCTTTCTCCCGCGCCTGACGAAGAACCTCAGGCCAAGCCTTGATGTTGTCATCATCCTCGGACACAAAATACTCGCAAGCATCAAGTTCCTTGACGGTAATATCTGCTTCCCAAAATTCTTTACCGGGCTTCAGGTAGTTCCAGAGGGTGGTAGGACCGGTGTTGTTTTTGAGAATGCGCAAAACCTTCTGTGAGACACATCCTTTCTCGAGCAGCATCTCCTGGGGGCGGGTTTGGGCCACAAAAGTCTCAAACTTCGTCATATCCGCATCGTCCACAAACTCCGAAATGAAAAATTGGCCAGTTGCGGTATCCACAAAGGCAAGACCAAATGCAGGTAGATCATCCACAATGGCTTCCTTGATGGCAACACAGTACGTCGACATATCGTCCTGCAGCATCGAACCCTCAACCAGAGTACCGGCAGTGAGAACGCAAGCGAGTTCTCGCTTGATAATCTTGTCTTCCTTTCCACCTTTCTTAGCGTCTCGCTCGCGCATTTCTTTGCCGAGAGCGGACTCGGATTGGTCCACACGAGCAATCTTGAAGCCCTTGGCCACAAACTGATTTGCCCAATGGGACAGGCTCATCTCGGGAACGCCTACCATGCGCATATTGACTCTGTCGGTGAGCTTGAGGTCAAAGAGCTGATGGCCAATGGTGGCATCGTTCTCGTAGAGCTCGTAAAACTTGCCCTTTTTGAAGAACACTACAGTGTCCCAGAACTTCTGCTTAATCTCCCAGTATTGCTTCTCAAAAGGCGAGAACTTGGACCAAGCAAGCGGTGGAACATAGATCGTGCGCGGGTCGTAGTCGGGGTGGCCTGGAGGGTTCCCATCAATATCCTTGACCTTCGCAAGCCACGGATACCGCTCTTCGGGGTCCCTGACGTGAGCCTTCTCTTTCTTCGTGCTAGAGGGTGCCTTTGTAGTCGATTGTACCACACGCTGCTTCCGAGGCTCGGTATTTTCCGGGTCAAATGTCCACTTCAGCGCAGTGCCAGCAGAGCTCTCGGGGAGCTCTATATCGAAGTCTTCATCGGTCGGTGGGGGTAGTGGTGGTGAAGAGGGAGCCTGGTTGGAGCTCTTTCGTGCAGTTGTGGTAGCCGGTCGCTTGCGCTTTTTGGGAGCAGCGACTTCTTCATCAGAGTCATCGGCAACAATGAAGTCGTCCATTTCTGTACCCAGTCAGCAATGTTGTGACCGCGCGCGTAGGGGTGGGTTTACCATCATCCGAGAATTCTACATCCTCTGCCCCCTGGAACTCATCCTCGCTCTCAGGTGAGGTCTTCCTGCGCTTGGTAGCTCGGCCGTTGGCATTGTTCTTGCGAGTCGGGCGGAAGATGGCATCGTCGTCGTCCTCGCCCTCTGAATCAGACTCCTTGTAGCTGACCTGCTTTTTCTTGGCCTGCGAGGGGAAAGATAAGTTTCAAATGTTCGTGGGAGAAAGGGGGCTCTTGTTGACGTACTCGGCGCGAAGGAGACATCGTGGTGTCTTGGATTTTGTCGCGTCCGGACTGGAAGGCAGCGGAATTATTAGTGGGCAAAGGTTGGGAAGAGAAGACATTTCAGACGTACCTTTACCTTATCCCCATTTCCATCGTCTTCCTCTGGGATGGGAAGGTCACTACTTGGCACGGGGCTCAGGTCCTGAGCGAAGCTGGAGAAGCTCCTCTTTGGCGTGGGCTTGACTGAACTGGCCGCACGCTGTTCGCCCGCGCGCTGGGCTGGAGATGACGCGGGCTCGCGAGTCCTGTTGTTTGACGGTGTTGCTGGGGAGGACTTCTGGAAGAACCCGAGGATGGACTTCTGGTTTTTCATGTTCTGTGTGCTCGACGTAGTTCGCTTCAGAGCTGCAGACGGTGGGGTCGCGGTAGGCGAAGAGGCGGGACCCTGGGCCATTGTCGATGACCTGATATACCAGTATTCTTGGATAGATCAATTGAGGTGCAATTGTAGTGATAATTCTCAACACCTGGCGGGTGGAGTTGGAGCGTGTACAGGATCGGATGACAGGGGAGTGGATGGATGAGACAATCGGAGATAAGACGCGGATCGCGTCGACGCGTAGAGTGGCCCGGGAGTCTTGGCGTCTCCAGCATTCGACTGATCCAGTTAGTGTCCCGTCCATACGAAGTATGAAACACAAGAACACAAAGCCCACATTGTGGGGTATTTAGGGTCCAAGAAGCATATTGTACAGTAGATTATTCTACACCAACTATAAAAATACAAGTGGAGATGCCATCGATCATGTTCACAATAAACACCCTCAGAATCGTCAAGTCGAGTCATCCGACTCCGAGGCCTCCTCCCATCCCGGAGCTGTCAGTCCTTTCGCACGGAAGTCCTCGTCGCTGACAATTTCAACCATCTTGAACTTCCACTTGCCAAGCTTGAGCATTAGAAGGTTGTCGCCAATAATGTATTCCTGAGTCTTCTCGGAAGGCCAGGGGCGGATAGGAGTAAAGGCAAGATCGTCCGACATGGGTCCGCTGTCTCCAGGACGGCTACCCACATACGCACCGTTGTTTATAATGACACGGTGGCCCTCACCCTTAGAAGATACCAGACCAGCCGACCAAAGAATCTTGTTGAATGACTGGTTGTAAACCAAGGATTTTGGAAGGATAACCCGGGCATTAGGCATATTCGCGAAGTTGGTCTGGGACGCATACGGGTTTCCAGACTGAGGGGTGACGAAGCCAGAGGTAGACGATTGCGCGTGGCTTGCAGGAGGACTTGCTGTCCGAGGCATGGGGGAAGGTTCGCCAGTTGAAGATCGGGGCCGAAACAGCTGGCGGTGCTGGAGCGAGACGGCATCCGCCTCTTCTTTGCCGTGGACCAGCTCCACGAATTCGTAGGCCAATTTATGCTGAGCCACCCGCTTCGAAGCATCCTTATTTTGTTCTTCCATAATGGTAGCAATCTCGGGCAGGGGGATGAACGTGAACAACTTCAGGTATTTCTCCACGGTATCATCAGCCGTGCGAACAAAAAACTGCCAACCGTTAGTGATATATGGATTAACACTGATGACAAAGTCGAGCTCACCTGGTAAAGCTCGAAGCTGGAAGTCATGTCCTTGTCGAGCCAGATCGCGTTGCCCGCAGATTTCCCAAACTTCTCGCCAGAGGGCGCAGTCAAGAGGGGGGTGGTGAACCCGATGGGCCGGTCGAGTTCCGATTCCAGGGGGTTGCGTAGTTGCTCATCAGCCGTACTGCGGCTGATCGCCTTCACAGCATCCATTCCAAACAAGATATTGCCATATTGATCGGATCCTCCAACCTGCACTTGAGTACCTTTCTGGAATAACGTCCACCAATCCCATGCCTGCAAGAGAGGGTAGGAGAACTCGGCAAAGGACATGCCGTCTCCCTGGTTCAGTCGAGTCTTAACACTATTCATCATTGTCAGACAACTATTGACTGGCCAGCAGAACAATGCGGACTTACGTGTCTCGGCCCAGCATAGGACCAAGTCTCATGAATGCTCCCAAATCCCGCAAAACTTGAATAAATGGCATCGAGTTCCACCAGGTATTGTTGTTAACCAATGCTCGCTTCCAAATAGGTTTCTTCTCATAGCCGTGTCGTCGGCTGTACTGCTCGATACTCGAGCCCAGCTTCTTCAGTTGCATGTGCATGCTAGCCATGTTTGCTTTGCGAATCGAGGAATGGACTTGTTCGCGTCCCTTCAACCTTCCGGTTGGGTCACCAACTCGGGATGTGGCACCACCCAGCTGTATGTTCATCAGTCCAGGAGGTTCAAGGGAGGCCCAACTTGTATAGACTAACCAGGAAGGTCACCGGCAATCCCCAGACATATCCCCAGGCCAACACCATGAAAGGTAGCATATGTCCAACGTGCATCGAGGGCGCCGTGGGGTCGATTCCAACGTAGATACCAGCTCTCTTCTCAGTGAATACCTTGTGTAGTAATTCGCGTTCTCTGCAACCCACGACACAGTTTAGCCTCAGGCCCCACAACAAAAATAATCTCAGGATGCTGAATCTAGTGGAAAGTTCACACGTACCCAACAACATCATGAATTAGGCCTCGCTCCTCCAGGTGGGCCGCGAAGTTCTTTCTCTTCCCTTGCTTGATCTCCTCTGCATTTCGGGCCCACTCCTCCCTTCCCTCCTTCATGCGCTGAAGATAATTTTGTGTAATGCATCGCTTGTGTAGTATTTGCGGGAACTGTTGCGAAAAAAGTTGAGGACGGCGGGTTTCGTATCGGAGCGGATTTGTTTGCGCTGCAACCGCGAAGCTACGCGCTCCGCATGGTGCCCTCCGAGGGAGACGAGGATTACGACAAGTCGCTCCGGGGAGTGGCGCCAAATGTGGCCGCATTGGACCGGATTGTAAAAGAAAATGAGAGCAATCAGGCTCGCAATGATGAAATGCGACTGAAGTTGTCCGCCGCCAGCTCCGAGATTATTTCGATAAGAACATCGGATTATCATTGATGCGGGCGGCCGTGCATGTTTCGCGCGGCTCAGTTGCCGGGTCTTGATTCACCTTACACTTGGCAACGTTATTAAGCATCGTGCCCGAAAATGAACCAATTGATTCCTCTTGCAATGAACGAACTATTTAATTTGTGAGATTGCATCAGGAGACAAAAATCTGAACAAAGGCTTCGTTACTCCACCCGCTGTCGAGCTTCATAGCCTTCCAGGCGGCTAGAACATCAATCGCCAACACATTGGCATTCTCTCCGCCCTCCTTCCAGACTGTTTTCTGGGGCACTGGCTGGCCGAGGATCATGACCATGAAGTTATCAGCAATGCCACGGTCTTGCAGGTCAGAGATGTAAATTCCAAGCGTGCCCAGTGCCTTCAAATGAACATCGAAGCGCAAGCGGCCGTTCTCAGTCATAGATATGTCCGACGACACCACAGCAGCAGCTCCAGTCATTTTCCCAAGGAGACCCAGGATAGCTACGTGAGTGAAGGCTTCACCAGGAGGGTTGCTGCCGCCACCTCCTCTGAGTCTAAATGGACGAGTCGGATACGCGGTAAGGATCTCCCATCCTTTTTCCTCCAGAATCACAGACACTAGTGAATCTTGAGCCAATGGCTGCATAAGTCCTGTGACTTTGCCGCTGGTATGGGCGCGAATAATATACTGACCATCCGCGTCGTCGTAAATCCCTGGGAAGTCCGTCAAAGAGACCATGCATGACGCCTGGGCAGAGTGAATGTTGAAAAGACCCAGAAGTCCACTGCCAGTCTTGGCCCATCCTGTGTAGCTTCCGACGCGCAAGACGTGCCCTTCGTTGTAATCATGGTAAATATCAATGGTGCGACCGATGACACTTGGACGCAGGATCACGGTATTTCCTTGAACAGTAGGTGCCGTCATCTGATCAATGACCGTCAAGTCATGTTTTCCCGGCTCGTCGGTGATGTATACAGGTCCACCAGAGACACAGCGAGCTGCGGCATGGAAGGATGCATAGGGGTGACTGGTCTGGAACATATCCCAGTCGGGCAAGACATTGAGGTAGCGAGTGAGAAGTGCATTGTGCGCGTTGCAGAACACATGCCACGGATGAGATGCAGGGATCTCGGGGAAGAAGTCATCCGAGTTACGCAACGGAACCGCTGGCTTGTTTGGTGGCAGTTGTGAATGGAAGATCATCTGTGGGATCAAAGACATGCACGAAATGGCCCGGCTACTGAAGTGTTTCAGCATCGCAATTGACCATGCATCTTGATAAGATGTCATAAATCTCTTGCGATCCTCCGGGTCCTCGAGGAGATCAAGAAAGAATTGGGCATCCGCTTTGACGGAGTCCACGCCGATTGATGTAAGATAGCTATAGAAATCATCATAGAATTGCTGCACATCATCAGGGTCGATGGCAAGGATTTTTCCGTCGGGGACCTCATGCGCAATGGGACCTCCCGCAGCAGGATCTTTTATCTTCACCTGTTTGGTTTTATATCTTTGTGCAAGGTCCCCGTCGGGAGAAATACCTCCCCAATAGCCCAACAGGGCATGCCACACTGCGATATGTCCGATATTGGGGTGAGATCGACGGATCGTTTCCACTGTTTGCTTAAGGCCTCGAGGGAATGCCTTAGGGTTTGCTTCAAATTGTTTCCAGCGCCGCTTGAACTGGGATTGACCCTCGTTGTCGAGACTCTGCCAGTTATCGTCAATTATCAAATTGACGATGTTGATGCCATGCGCTTTCAAGGTGTCTAGTGCGTGAATAATCTTTTCCTCATTCAGGTCCTGCCCAAGTCCGTTCCAAGTGCAGTATGTCAGGCCGTCAAACCAATCAGCAAGCCACTGGATCTTTGGGTCTCTCTCAAGGACAACAACGTCGTCGCCCGGGGGTGATGCCGGGGGTTCCTCCACAGACGGATGTGCCAAGGCATCGAATGGTTTGACAACCTTCCTTGACTCGTATATCACGGCGGACATGGCAACCTCGAAGTCCTTCGCCGCAGCGGCCAAAATATGAAATTCAGCGACCTCTGCATTGTCGCTTCGCACCTTGACCACCATTTCCCCATCATCGCCCGACTGAAAAACAGTCAAGACATCGTTGATTCCGGAAACGGCCAGGAGAACAAGGTTGGTTCCGTCCTTTTGGAGGAAAGAGCATAGTATGGCATCTTCTGCCAGCCTAAACTTGTCCTTGCCATGTCTGGGGCCCAGCCATGGGCTCCAAATTCGGACCAATGAGAAATACCTAATCATTGAAGAGGGTGTGCCGAGTGTAAACCTCTTGATGCCGGAGGCTCCTCCTTGAGCCGGGTCTACATCTCCACGGATTTCCCATAGAAGAGATCCCGGCGCTTCGCTGATCCGCGATGCAACCTGCACCTCAAGGGACAGGTTGTCGATGTGCTTGGCCAGCTCCCTCCTTGCATTGACCGAGGACGAATCAGACCATCTTGGCTTGCCAACATCTGAAGCCCTGGGGCTAAATACAAGCTCGCCATTACTGGTCGGGTGCTGTTGGTTGGCCCACTGCCATTCGGTATCCGGACTAGTCCGAAAGCGCACCGTGAACTGCGTATGCCCACCAGAATCCGGAATTTGGATTTCTTCTGAAAACACATAGCGGTAGTAATTATATTCAGCATCACTTCCATTTAACAATGGTGCTCTCGACGAATCACATTTTTGAAGCGGAAGGGCGGTCCATTCAGAACTTGTGATGTTATGCCAGATCTGTGCTTCCCATGATTGCGTTGGGAGAGAGGTGCTGGACTCAATGACCACTGTAAATCGCACCTGGTATTAAATTCAGTATGTAATGATCGCGATGTGACTTCTAACCAATGTCTGGAGAACGGTCGTTGATGCCCTTACAGTATCGTCTTCCTCGGATTGGCATGCTTTGTGCGCCCTTTGCAAGCTAGTGACTTGTCCCAGCGGCGGGTAGCATGTCACTCGAGCGAATAAACTCATTTGGGCCGGACGAATAAATGTTGCTTGACGAATTTTTCGGTGCTGGCTGGGTCCGATGATGGGGAGGGTGGACGCTGTATTTCTAGTGTTGGCCTGCATCTGGAATGAGAGGGGTAGTTGCTGTCCAGGGAATGAATGCGCTTGGCCGCACCACTGATTGACTCGATATGGTTCGGAAATATGTAATAGTTATGTTAAGGTGATTACAGCTCGATTTCAAAGGATGTATTGCGAAAGACATGTATGGGGTAGTTGGCAGAGGGGCGGTGGCTGCTGTGCAGTACATAATCAAGAGGCGGGGAACTTTTGGAACGTCAACCTTCCTGTTCATTTTCAATCCACCAACTTTCCCAAGATTATCTCGTCCGCAACTGATAACGACTGTATTTACCAAACATTACTTTTTAATTTCCAGCCGGCGAGTCACTAATTATAGAGACTTTTCCATACGGAGTGGACATTGCCCCGTTCAGCCATCCGTGTCCAAAAGGGAAATGTGATTGTGCTATCCTCCGCTCAGTTGATCTTGATGGCCAACTTGCCGAAATGCTTTTGTGCCCACTGTTCCAATTTGTTAGTATATGACCAGAATAAAACCGCATTGATTCCACTTACCATGTACTCATATGCCTCCCGGGCCTGCTCGAGAGTGAAGACCTTCTCATCTACAACCGGATGAATGTCGTTGGCCTCGATCGCGCGAATCATGTCGCGCATGAGCGCCTTGCTGCCCACATAAACACCACGAACAGTGCAAATACTGCTCAATGTGTCCAAAATAGTGGGCTCACCCTGGGGCTGGACGCCGCCTAGGAAGCCAATCACGCTGATGATACCCTCGAACTTGATGCACTTGAAGGTCTGCCGCAGGGTTCCAGGTCCACCAACCTCAATAGCATAGTCCACACCAGCCCCGTCCGGAGTCAGCTTGCGAGCGGTCTCACCCCAGTTCGTGTCGGTTTTATAGTTAATAACGTGGTCGGCGCCGAGCTTCTTCAGCTTCTCAGCCTTCTGATCGGAGGAGGTTGTGGCGATCACGATCGCACCAGCAGCTTTAGCAAACTATCAAACATCAAACCAAACGTGGTTAGCTCAAGTCTTGATTTGTGATTATTGCCTGTCAGACACGTACCTGCAGGGCAAACATGCTAACGCCGCCGGTTCCCTGAACCAGGACGACCTGGCCGGGCTTCAGAGGTCTGAGGCCATACAGGGCATTCCAACTCGTGAGAGCAGCACAAGAAAGAGTACTGTTCTCAATAGGTGTCAGGTTCTTAGCCGCCTTGACGAGGCCCTTCTCGTTGAAGACACCATATTCACGCAAAACACCGTCAATCACACCACCCAAGCCAGTCTGTGTCGCGGGGATGTCGATATCGCCGTACTGGTGACCCTGGTTGAAGAGGGTTGCCACCTTGTCACCCTTCTTGAACTCGGTGACCTTGGATCCAACCTCGACAACCTCGCCAGCACCGTCAGAACCGGGGACGATGGGGAACCCACAAGGGAATGGGTACATGCCCTGCAATAGGACAATCGGATGTCAGAAAACGAGGAATTCGAAATCCTTATCGCGTTTTGTAATTGAGCGAAAAGCTATACCTTCGGTATAATCAGGTCGCGATAGTTCAGCGACGCGGCGTGGAGCTTCACCAGAACCTCGCTCTCACCGACTTTCGGTACGGGTGCGTTCTGGTAGACAAGGCCGTCGAAGTCCTTGTCCTTGCCCTGGACAGCCCATTGCTTCATGGAAGGCATTTTATATGTGCGTCTGGAGCTTAAATGTAAAGACAAAGCTACCTATGATCAAAAGTTGTGTCCAGAGAAATCTGGATAATGGAAGGGCACTCTATATAACTACGAGCCTTTGACGTCGGTGATATGGCTCCGTCCCCACTTCATGACGGCACGATTATTAAGGACCAAAATAAGTCTCCGGTTCGGCCTCTGTTTTCATCATTCGCCTTCATCGTGCGGGCTAATTAGACGCTCCGCTCGGATACTATTACATCCGCTGACGAATTTGCCAAACCCCATGCACGTCTGAAGGTTTGATGATGCTATACATAGTAGCTCGTCCCGGCTTCAAACACCGCCGCGAACCAGTACTGGTAGAGAGTCGGGATTTATAATTCCCGAACGTTAATCCGTATCAAGTAGCTTAGAGATAAAGGTTTTAATCAACAATATCGAGGCCCATTTGGTGGAATAGCCTCCTAACTGGGTGTTTACAATAAGAATTATGCAGCGGGCTGAAAAGAACAGCAGTGAACCAGCCAACCCACATTCCGCGCCCCGCAATTAGTCGAGTCAGGCCAGGTACGGCGGCCGATAGCGGCCACTGGGAAAGTGCACAATTATGCATATTCTAAGACCGGCAGAAAGATTTAGATACCTGAATTACTATTACAACGCCTATATTAAATCATGTATAACTATCTCAACGGCCATTTACCTCGCTGTCGCTATAATGAAGCTATTTTTATGGTGTATCTTGGCCATTTCCGCTGATATCAGGTGGTGAGGTGCTATCTTAATAGCCATTTACCTCGCTGTCGCTATACTGAAGCTATTTTTATGGTGCATCTTAGCTATTTCCGCTGATATTAGGTGGTAAGGTGCTATCTTAACGGTTATTTACCTCACTGTCGCTATAATAATGATATTAAAACTATTTTTATAGTGTATCTTGGTCTATATTCGTCTACTATCGCCGCCGCCGCCTAAGCCGCTGGCTTCGTCGTAATAGAGAAGCTGCTCGCTTCCTCGATAAGGAAGATATTGTAAGAGATATAGTACCCTCTACTACTACTATAGGAGTAGTATCCTCTACTACTACTATTATAGTAGTATCCTCTGCTACTACTATAGAAGTAGTACCCTAATCTGTATCGTAGTTAAAGAGCCGCTCTATAAATAGCTTATCCTCCTCTTTTTATTATAGTGCTACCTATTCGGAGGACTGTAGGATTATAACGTATATCTAATATTTTCCTTTCTCTATCCGGAAGCGTTAGTAAAGTTTACTAAGGCTTCTAAATAGGAAGAGATTCTGCTTAGAGAGAAAGTATACGATTAACGGCCCTTTCCCTCTATCTTAATATATAATATTCTCGGCTAGAAAGAACTAATCTCGTAGCCTCGTTTAGTATCCTAATTACTAGAGTACGTTCCGATCGAGCTTTAAGACGAGGTCTCTCGCGAAGGATAGGATATCGATGATGGTCTCGGAGGAGGGGGAAATATAAGAAACCGATACTAATAGATAAAAGATAGGTTAGCTAGCTCTTTCTAGTAGTAGTAGTACTTACCCTGTAGCCGCTCTATCTTTTTTAGGCTCTCTTAGAGATAGAAGGATGTAGAGATATAAATCTCTTATAGTAGCGGTAGCGGCAGCGGCGGTAGTAGTAGTAGTAGAGGGTATCTTTCTTGTTAACGTAGATACGAGCTCCTAGCTATATTTACTATACTAGAAAGAGAGGAAAAGCGTATATTTAGCTATGCTAGTACTATAGTTACTAGTAAAGCTATAGTTACTAGTAAAGCTATAGCTACTAGTATTAAAGGTATCGGTATTAATAGTGTAGGCGTTAGAGTTACTACTATTAATAAAGCTACTAGTACTATTAAGGAAGCTACTATTACTATTAAAGAAGATAATATAGCTAGGATAGTAGTAGCTATAGCGTCTTATAGGGAGGATTATAGAGATACTATTTCGAAGTGAGATTCGAGATTAATCGGGGCCTTTAATAAGCTACTCGAGGCTTTTAAGCTTAATGTAAGATATAAATTTAATTTTAAACTATATCTTAGCTATCTTAGCTGTCTCGGCTGTTAGCGACTATAAATATATACTATACGGCTTTATATAGACGCCTAGGATAGGCTCTTTACTAGATTCGTGGTAGTATAATATACGAAGCCGAAGTGCTTTATATACCGCTCGGTATAGCTGGTCTCTTTCCCTATAGAGCTAAAGTAGTAGATCTTTAGGGTTAAAGCTAACGCCTATAAGTTACTACCTAATCTGCTAAAGCTATAAGCGGTACTATACTAAGGTCGTTAGTAGGAGATATTCTAAAGGATCCTATTCTTCTATATCTTACTGTAGTCTTCGAAGGAGCTCTTAGTTAAAGGATTGCTGATAATTATAGACGTCGGCGTTAGGATGGTAGTAGTTTATAACTAGCTTCCCTAGGATAGTGTTTAGCCGGTGAGACTGTCGCCGAATTAGATATATGTTCTAAATATTCGTATATAAGTGTATACGAGTGTAACGATTTTACTACTTGTCAGGGTAGAAGGCCTGTCGATCAGGTAAAGAATCGATGGCGAATAGATAATGAAACAATTATGATGTAGTTCAACCGTTCTTCTTTTCAAAGACTGAATCTTGCCGATTCAGATTGAAAGGAAACGGGACACTCTCTTTTATTAGGGAATAACGATACCGAGTGATAATAAAGAATGATATAACTACTTTTAATATCAACGCTTCCCTATATCAGACTAATACGTAATCCTTCACAGCGAGCTCGGAGAATAGGTATATAGATAGTAAGAAGCGATATCTATTCGTATATAAGTAGATGCGAGCTCGGAGGATAGGTAAGAAGTAATACCTACTCTAGAAGATACTGCTTTAAGAAGATCCTATCGCGCTATAGTATATAGAAATATTCGTAGAATAGGAAGGCGCTTAACCCTACGAGCTATCCCTACTAGGATTTAATCCGTTGATTCTTAGTACTTCGGCCGTAGAAGAAGTAGTCTTTTTACCGAAGATCTTTATTATCTAACGCTGACTAGCGAAGGGCTAGATACGTATCACTAAGTATTATTATTTCTATACCTAGATTAGTACGTATAATACGTAGTAGAAAGCCCTTCGAAGCTACGCAGTCGAGATACTAACAAAGTACACTTACTACTATCCGAGTAGAGATTCCTATATATATCTATATAATAAGTCGAGAGTATCTATTAATAGTAGTATATATCTCGAATCTAAAAGGTTCTAGCTTTATATAACTATTAATATACTATATCTAGTTAGGCCTAGGGTAAGTATAAGCTCCTCTCCGGCGTTAGAGGTCTAATCGACGACGTTTAATAGCTTTAGGGTTAATTATTTAGTAGACCTCCTAGATTCTATCTCTAGAGAAAGATTAGTATTAGCTTCGTATTTACTTATCGAGGATAGGAAAGACCTTCTTATTAAGGATAGGAAAGACCTTAACTTACCGGGGATAGGAAAGACCTTAGCTACGAAAGAAATAGTATTATAGCCGCCGGCTATAGCCTTTAATATCTCTAATATAATCCTCTATAATTAGAATAGCCTCGATCTTAGCTTTTTACCGCTTATATTCCTTAGGATCGTCGACCTAAAGCTTTATTCTAAGCCGCTTACGAGCTCTACGAAGAGAGTGTTCGGATATAGATATATCCTATCTCTTTAGCACTTAGAGAATCTCTTAAGTACTTAGAGAGAGGAGAAGAAGCTTATAAATAAGCTTATCTATAGCTTCGGTTATCTTAGCCGTTCGATAGGGGTTCGCTAGGTAGATATTCTATAATTATAGGCGGTTATTGATTATACGCTTTATAACGCTAATACTATAGTTATTAAGTAGGGTAATACGAATAGCTTTAGCAGAGCGCCTAAGTTAGACGAGATCCTCGATCTCCTGCCTATACGTATTAAGAGGGATAGGAGGCGTTATTATAGAGTAGCGTATAACGATAGTAACTGCGAGGGTATTTAGCGACGGCTACAGTAGGGTAATAGCGAGGGTATTTAGCGACGGCTATAGTAGGGTAACAGTAAGGGTATTTAGCGACGGCTACAGCGATAGCGATAGCGAGGGTATTCAGCGACGGCCATAGTAGGGTAACAGCGAGGGTATTCAGCGACGGCTACAGCGACAGCGACAGCGAGGGTATTCAGCGACGGCCACAGCAGGGCAACAGCGAGGGTATTCAGCGACGGCCACAGCAGGGTAACAGCGAGGGTATTTAGTAACGGCCATAGCAGGGCAACAGCGAGGGTATTCAGCGACAGCTACAGCGAGGGTATTCAGCGACGGCCACAGCAGGGCAACAGCGAGGGTATTCAGCGACGGCTACAGCGACAGCTACAGCAGGGTAATAGCGAGGGTATTCAACGCCTAGCGATATTGAGAGTTAGCAGATTATATGGTATGAATAGATTCAGCTTACTACCTGGGATTAGTGGTGAGAAATAGCGGTCAATATGGGGTCTAGTAGAAAGTGGAGAATCTATTTTTGTATGGGAAAGACAGTGTAAAGAACGATTCCTGCGTTACAGAGCGGTCCCTAGGGCGGTCTAGAATATGCCCAAATTGTGCACTTTCCCAGTGGCCGCTATCGGCCGCCGTAGGCCAGGAAACAAACCCCGAAGCTAGATAATAGATTTGAACAACCTTGTAAGTGCTGCAGGTACAACTCCAATTATTAATGAATCCAAAATCCAAAATTAAACTCGCGGCCGACTTCTGTGGAACAGCCTAATCGAAGATCCGCCCGTGGCTTAAAGTACAGCCACTACCCACCAAGGGGGCCCAGCAATTGTGCAATCCAAAGCTAATATCGCTCATCAATTTGGCATCCACTTAATCCGTAGTTGCCAGGGCTCCTGGCAGGCAAGATATTAGCGGACAGCGTGCTAGGCCCTGGTCTGGCGCAATCCGATCTCTAGTTAGTATGGAGGAGGGGTAAAGGTCGCAGCGACGGGGGGATAAATAGGTCACCAGTCCGTTCGCTATCGCTGCGTCTCTGAATACTCACTTCGAACTTGTTCAGCACTCTGCCCAACACGAAGCCTCTCTGATTACTAAATATGTCTCTTGGACGCACTTTCAAGTTGAATTCGGGCTACGAGATCCCCGCTGTTGGTCTCGGGACTTGGGTAACTATTTGTTCGATCCCTGAAGAACGAAATGTGGGCAACTAATGGCCTATACACAACAGCTCTCCAAGCCCCATGAAGTTGAGAACGCGGTCGAGCTTGCTCTTCGCAAGGGCTACCGTCACATTGACGCGGCGGCATGCTACCAGAATGAGAATGAGGTAGGAAATGGTTGGAAGAAGTCGGGCGTCCCCCGTGAAGAGATCTTTGTAAGTTGCGTTGGGTCTATAAGCCTGGCACTCCCAGATCGCTAACCATAGCTGTGTATAGATCACCAGCAAACTATGGAACACACACCACCACCCCGATCACGTCGGAGAAGCCCTGAACAAAACACTGAGTGACCTTCAGACCGACTACCTTGACCTCTACCTGGTAATCTTTTGCTCAGGACGTGCAATTCGGACTATCGGCTAACCTCCAAAGATCCACTGGCCCGTCGCGTTCGAGCATACCAACGAGACCCTCACCCCCACCGACCCGGTGTCCAAGCGGTTCCGTATAGCCGATGTGCCGGTCGCTGATACTTGGGCAGTACTGGAGAAGTTTGTTGAGTCCGGCAAAATTCGCAGCATTGGAATCAGCAATTTCACAATTGAGGCGACTCAATCGCTCCTCAAGACAGCGAAGATCCCTCCCGCGGCGAACCAGATCGAGGCCCACCCTTATCTGCTTCAGCCCAGTCTGTTCAAATTCTTGAAGGATAATGTAAGAAAACACCGTCTAACCTAATGTCTCCTAAAGTTTCAGAGGCTTATTGTTACAGGATATCTTGCCTGTTGCTTACAGCCCACTTGGAAACAATATCTACAACCTGCCGCGGTATGGACGTCCCCCCAGCATAGCCCGATTCACATGCTGATTACAAATACATAGTGTTGTCGATGATCCGACCGTGGTGCAGATCGCTAAGAAGCTGAACAAGGACCCAGCCATTCTGCTGATCTCGTGGGCTATCCAGCGGGGCTCTTCGGTGCTGCCGAAGAGCGTTACTCCTTCGCGCATTGAGAGTAACTTTCAAGGTCAGTTAATTGCATGATTCTCTCCGTGTAGTCGACATTTGTCAACTAACACTTACGTTTCAGACTTCGTCATTCCCGATGCTGAGTTCGACGCGCTTAACAAGCTGGACCGCAACGAGCGGTACAACTATCCCTTCCGCTGGGGAATTGATGTCTTTGGGGAGCTGGGGCCTGATGAGGCGGAGCGACGTGCTGAGGAGCACGCAGCTAAGTTACGCGATACCTAGCTCTTATGTATAGAGGCTTTCCCTCGTGATCCTAAGGTATACTGAGATTACGGACATTAGCAGTTCCGGAAACATATATTACCCCAGTGGAATTCAAGCTATACCATGCGGACAATAGATCCTAGTCAATTCAAGAGATGGCAACATGATTCTGCTCAATTATTATCTACCTTACGCCCATTTTCTTAAATATTCAGCGCCAGTGTCTCGCTCGGATAGGTGTGGAAGCCACCGGCCATATGCATGACAAGCGCAGAACGCAAGAGACGGGGCTGCTTCAAACTCTAACTGACCCAACCCACTCATCTCTCCTCCGTACTTGCGCATGGATAGAGTTAGGACTAACCCTGGACAACAAGCATCGCAATCCCAAAATATTGGCCAGTGATTCATTGCATTCGCTAAGGTCATATTCCACATGCCAGCGACGAAAGAGGGTCGGGTGGCCAAGGCCAAGGTCAAGGCAAAAAGTTCCCAAACTCGCACCCGACGCGTCTCGTCCGCCGCAAGTAAGTAAATAGCCGTCCGACTACACATACTCCATCAGGACAGCGCCAATTCTTTCTCTCTCATTGACTTGAAAGGATGATACGCGATGACCCCCTTACTCAATCCACCCGAACCTGAGACGCGTCCTAACGCCATTTCCGCACAGGCCTGCCGCTGGTTGAGCGCACCAATGCCATGCTCATCGAAGATTTCATATCACACTACGTATCTCCCGTTGTGACAGGCGAGCACGCCACCAAGAATCCAACACTGGATGAAAAGACCTCACTTGCGGCAGAAGTAGCGTCCAAGCCAGAGCGGAATGGGGCTCGTTCAACGCCGCTCGACGTGTATTCCGCAGCAACCATCTCCCGGGCGGACCTGAACGCCTGCCTTGACCTAGTCGAACTCACCTCCGGTGAAGACTATGCTGCGTCAGCCGCAGGGTGGTCCCGCCCCAAGAAGCGCAAAGAAATGAAGCTGCCCGATATGAAGTACTTGATTGTGCGGGGTGACGCCGCGGGGCAGGCACCCGGCGTGTCGCCGCGCGAGGACTCCACCGAAGCCGACAAGCCGAAGTCGCCATCGGGACTCGGAAATGGCGCAAATGTACTCGGCTTCCTGTCGTTCATGGTCACTTACGAGGACGGGAAAGAGGTTGTCTACTGCTACGAAATCCATTTGTCGCCGATGGCCCGTGGTCGGGGCCTCGGCGCGTTGCTGATGACGAGGATGGAGGAGATTGGTCGGCTTGTCGGACTGGAGAAGGCTATGTTGACTGTGTTCAAGTCTAATGCGGCAGCTCGGAGGTTTTATGAGAAGGGTGGGTATGAGGTGGATGAGTATTCGCCGCAGCCACGGAGGTTGCGCAACGGGACGATTAAGGAGTTTGATTATTTGATCTTGTCAAAGCGTTTAAAGGATTGAAGATTGGTTTTCTCTTTTTTTTTTTTTCTCCTTTTGTTTCTAGAATGCAGGCGTTCATGCAGCGATGGAAAGGCAGTTGTTAGATATATTACACTTGTTTCACTTCCTGGCCCTTGGCTTCAGGGTGATCCTGCTCCCACTCGTCTCTGAGAGCAGCGAAGATACTGTCCGCCAGGAGAATGGAAAGCCCCAGGCTCCAGACAAGAGTGATGGCATAGAAGAAATTGGCGTTACCGGATCCAGCATAGATCCAGAGGTGGTAGAAGGCAGGGCCTAGCAGACTCGAGTAGAGAAGAGCCGAGATGGCGAAGAAAGTGTACCGCATCACTATTCATAATTAGTCGTGGTCAGTTAGATGGCGACCAGAAGGCGCATATACTCACAGGGGGAAAGATGCCGATACAATGGCAGCAGCGCAAAGTATAGCGAAGCATCAGAAATACTGGGGTACGGTTTGAAAATGGCAAAGACGCCCAGAATGGCGGTGATGATGAATAGAGGCTGTCGTCGCAGTCGCGCAGTAAATCCACCGACATAGCTGGCTAGATGAAGCCAGAAGACCCCGAGGAAGAATCCGCGGAAGGAGTCGAACATCTCAATGAAGAAGTACCACCAGAGACCCACATTGGGGGTTAGGTCAGGAACCAGAAGATGGAAGCCATACGTGGCCGACATGAACTCCCAAAAATTCCCCGTGATAAGGACAGAGAGGCCAAGTAGCCCTGCAATGCTGCCAAACAGAATGGCACCATGTTGCAAGATGAAAACCACAGTGCTGGGCGCCTGGGGGCATTTCTGGACCCGTTGGTCATAGCAGAGCAGAGCTAACGGGACGAACAACAGGGCTGGATAGAGAGAAAGGTAAGAGGCGAATCCCAGAGCGAGCATTGCGTTCAAGCTATTGCCATCGACGGCATTCGAGACGGCGAAAAGGATTCCCGAGGTGGTGAACACGCTTGTTGGCCGCGCCAAACATGTCGCAATCGTGAAAGGGTTGAAGAGGAACCTATGTCGGTAGTGAGCAACATGTCCACAAGCACAGAAACTTCGATTGGTATATACCACGCCGCCACGGATACCCCGTCCCACCGAATATGCTTCCGAATGGCGGAGTGTAGCCGGCTCTGGACTGACTGGCCCGACTCCGAGATGGTGGCCAACGCCTGCGCGTTCAACAAATCGACAAGAAAATAGAATACCGCCGTAGGCACTGGGTTGCTCTTAACGTCGGGTAGCAGGGAGAACAGGGGGAGGAGGAGCGGCGCCTAGATAGAACCAGGGTTACTCGACGAGTTCCGCTAGAAAGCATTGGTATTGATCTGCTTACCTGGTGAAAGACGCCACCGTCGTACGGCGACACATTGCGGGTGTAGAGGTAAAGGCCTTCTTGCACTGTGTATCCGGTCAGCATATGCGACCGTGGCGCCATTGGGTCTTGGGAGATCACATACGTCGCTTGAAGCTATTTACCGGGGTCGAGACCTCGACTCGGCCAGTCAGCAAGTCGGGGAGCGAAGGGAAAAAACAAATGAGAAGTAGACGCAGCACAAAGGCCGCGCCAAACACCGCGACCTTCCGTCGGTCCACCGCCATGACAGAGTTGCAGGCGGAAGAGAGCGCGGGCTGTTGACGTTCCCGCTTGTCCCAGTTGTCCTTTGTCCTTTAACGGCGAGAAACCAAGGCGGAGCAACCACGGACACCCGCCGCGCACGGGCCACACGCCCTGGTCAAAAAAAAAAGTTATCGAGAAATTTTCTTCTTCTTATCAGCAAGACTGTTTGGCTTTCCAGCATCGGACTCCAACAGCATTCAACATGGCGAAGATTAAGAAGAAGGGTATGTTTTGAAAACTGCTGGGTCGCATGAGCACTGCTAACAGACTTTTCTTAGGCACTTCTGGCCAGGCCAAAAACTATATCACCCGTACCCAGGCCGTGCGCAAGCTTCAGATTTCTCTTCCCGATTTCCGTCGCCTATGTATTTTCAAGGGTAAGACTGGCCCTGAATGGATCTTTGATGGTCTGCGATACTGATTACCTGCGCAATTGACAGGCATTTACCCCCGTGAGCCTCGGAACAAGAAGAAGGCCTCCAGGACTTCCACCCCGAACACCACCTTCTACTACACCAAGGACATCCAGTACCTGCTCCACGAGCCCCTGCTTAACAAGTTCCGTGACCAGAAGGCCCTCGCCAAGAAGATCGCACGTTCCCTGGGCCGTGGCGAAGTCAGCGACGCTGCGCGGCTCGAGAAGAACCACGCTCCGAAACTTACCCTCGACCATGTCATCAAGGAACGCTACCCCACTTTCATCGACGCCCTTCGCGACCTCGACGATGCTCTGTCTTTGCTGTTCCTGTTCGCCACCCTCCCCTCGACCGACCACGTGCCTCCCAAGACCATTGCGCTCTGCCAGCGCCTCTGCCACGAGTTCCAGCACTACCTAATTTCCACCAACTCGCTACGCAAATCCTTCCTCTCGATCAAGGGTATTTACTATCAGGCCACTATTCAAGGCCAGGATATCATGTGGCTTGTGCCCTACCGGTTCGTGCAGCGCGTCAATGGTGATGTCGACTACCGTATCATGGCTACCTTCGTGGACTTCTACACCACCCTGCTGGGCTTCGTCAACTTCCGCCTGTACTCCGGGATCGGATTGAGATACCCCCCGAAGTTCGATACCCGGAGCGATGAGAACGGTGCGGAGTTGGCTGCTTTCACCCTCGAGGGTCGTAACGTGACTGAGACCCCCAAGGCGATTGAGTCCGGTAAGACCAAGACGATTGTTAGCTCGAACAAGGAGGTTTCGAAGGAAGTTCAGGCCAAGGTGGACAAGGCGATCAAGGCTGCTGGCTTGGATGAAACCAGGGATGAGCCAATGGCGGACACCACCGAGGAGTCGACCGATGCCATTGACCGTTTCGAGCCTGCTGCCCCCGAGGGCGACACTCTACCCCAGCCCGATATGAGCGGCAACGAGGCCGGTGCTCTTTTCGCCCCCTTCACCTTCTACATCTCCCGCGAGGCCCCCAAGGCCCCTCTCGAGTTCATTCTTCGTGCTTTTGGCTGCAAGCGCATTGGTTGGGACGCCGTACTGGGCGACGGTGCCTTCACCCACGATGAGACCGACCCGCGTATCACTCACCAGATTGTTGATCGTCCCCAACTTCCCGAGGGCTCTCTCCCCGCTATTCCCGCAGCCGCCGAAGGCGCTGCCCCGAAGGTGAAGCCGGGCACTCGGATCCCTGGACGGACATACGTCCAACCCCAGTGGATTTGGGACTGCGTCAATGACGGCAAGCTTCTCCGTGCTGATCTGTACAGTCCGGGTGCTACTCTCCCGCCCCACTTGAGCCCTTGGGTCAAGCCTTCTCGCGGTGGCTACGACCCCCGCGCCAGCTTGGCTGAGCAGGAAGAGGAGGATGAGGCTGAGATAGCCGAAGAGGCCGAGGACAGCGATGAAGAGATGGAGGATGAGGCTGCTGATGAAGAGAAGCCCGCTGCCACCGCTGCCACCGCTGAAGAGTCCGAGGAAGAGTCTGTTGACGGCGGTATGGATGTCGCTGGAACTGATGACGAAAGTGAGAGCGACGAAGAGGAAGAGGAAGAAGATGAGGACTTCCCTGGATTGGCGGAGGAAGTCGCGTCCGAGTCTGATGATGACGACGAGGCTGCCCGGAACCAGCACCAGCGCGAGCTTGAGGCTGAGGCCGCCGGCCTGCCCTTCTCTTCCGCCGGCGTCGCTGACGAGGCCTCTAAGAAGAAGTCTACCAAGTCGAAGAAGCTGGCTGCTAAGAAGCGCCAGGAGGATGAGGAGCTTGAGCGCCAGAAGATGATGATGAGCCGCAAGAAGCGCAAGCTGTTGGAGAAGATGATGTACTCGAACAAGAAGACGTCGGACGAGGCTGCCAAGCTCCGCTCGAAGCGTCGCAAGCTCGAAAAGGCTGGCCAAAAATAGACTTGTGTCAAAACTACCAAGACTGCTTGTGTTTTCCTCCTGGCGTTTGCGGATGGGATAGTCCCTTGTATATGCATGTCCAAAAATTTTATGTCATCGAATTTGATTGTTTCATCGCAAATATCCTCCTAATGTAGCCCCTCAAACCATTACATTGCATTGTTTTCATTGTTCTACCTACCGTCACAGTCTACCCCAATTCCAGTTGATGTGCAAGAAATTCGATATCACGTGACTATATGCGGTCCACTCGGTCGAAATTTCGATGAGTTGAAACTTCAAGACACCAGCAGAGTCGGACTGAAATGATCGGGTCTTCTTATTTCAACATAAAAAGATACTTATCGTGATGTTTGATCGATGCAGACGTCCTAGAAATTGACCTTTGTACTGGATATTACCATCTACATGATATGAGCGAACCACCAACACCGCGGCATCATCCATAAACCAACCCCAGCTCTGAGGCATGTCCTCATTTTCAGGTAATCAACAACCGTCATCATCTCAGTTCTACCAACCGCAGTCAGCCCAACCATTTCATTCAATATTTGGCGATCCTAGCAGCGATGTCGATCTACCCCCATCTTCCCTGCCGGAGCCGCTACGGAGATCCACAAGATCTCTCTTTGGCAACCCGAGCAGCCTGGATGTCGTCCCAGAGCAAGCTAATGGCTCTGAAGCCATTGGCTTGGGGGACGCTGGGGACGAAGAAGATGATTTGGACGTGATCATGCGGGAGCGGCCGTTAGACGACTACTACGGTTCCGACGGGGACAGCTTCAAAGAAAGTGATGAAGATGAAGATGAGCCGGAAGGCCAGCCGGACCCAGATCTTGGTGCTCAGCGGAAGAATGAACCACCGAGGTTATCATCCTCTCCTATGGAGACACGTCTTGCGCCAATATCTACGACATATGTGCTAGACCGCGGCCGTGATCTTCGGCCCGGCGTGGAGCGCCCAAATCGGTGGATTGGGCCCCCTTCTACGTACAGAAGGATTACTGCAGATGATCGGGGAGCCTATGAGGCAATAGTCACGAATAGAGCGAGAGATCTTGCCGCTCACCTCTACAATGCTTTTGCCATTCGCAATCAACGCAACCAAGCTCGGGACACGTCTCACGGTCCCCAAGAGCTTGATGGACAGGATCGAATATTCCCTCCTAAACGTTGGGTCGCGTGGCCGAGGCCTCCTTCTCGTGTCCCGCGCCCCGATGAGATTGTCCACCGGCAGCTTGGCGCGCCTGGGACCCTACGAATGCCACATGACTTACGTCCTAGCGCTGACCTAGAGGAGTCCATCATTGCAGATATGATGAGGCATGCCAAGCAAACCTTTATGGCGCGCGAATGGGATCTGGAAGAGGTAAAGGTCCATCGCGCGAGGAGGGAGGATTGTCCCGAGGATATGAAAGATGAAGAAATGAAAAATATCGAGGATCAAAAGGATGAGGCGCCACGTCCGCATGCTGTGCCGCTTAAACCGGTAGTTCAGGCCGACGATGGTGCCTCCAGACAACAACTGCGGCCCCTTTCCCGGAACGTTATAACACAGGTGGATCGTCTTTTGATGGGACTGCACCATTCTATGAAGAGCCGAGTCCAGGATGAAGACTCTGGCAGCGACTCGGATGGTGATCTGTACGATACAGATGACCCCCGATCCCGATCTCGACACAAGAGCGGGAGCAGAAGCCGATCGCGCGGCCGTAAACGAGCTCGTCGTTCTTCGCGCCATTCACAAACGCCAAGTCATCGCTCTCACAGCGCTCGGTCATCAACCGCAGCCAGCGCGCAGAATGGAAGCGTCCGCAGTACCTCGCGATCTCGAGGGCGGTCTCTCACTTCTCGAGGCACCGACGAACTCTCGACCGTAAAATACAAACTTGGCCTACGTGACTGGAGCGAGGTTATGGGCCTTGCCGCCATGATGGGCCTCCCAACTGCGGCAGTTATGCGCGCCTCAAAGCGATGCGCCGACCTCTTCGGCCAAGACATGACATTCCAGACCTTCCACGAGGGCCGAGTCCAGAAAGTGTCTCGTCCAGAAGAAACATCAAGATCTGTCTGGCAATGGGAATACCTTGAAAGCGAAACCGACCCAGAAGTTCCCCTTGACCCTGAACCAACGCGCTCGCCATCAGGTCCAGGCCTATCCCAGCGCAAGCGCAAATCAAAATCCAGACTAGGCTCGCGGTCGCAATCAGGCCCGCGACGACATCGCTCGACTCCTTCCGCCGCTCCTCCGTCCGCCCCGACCATCGCAGTTGTGGTACCGAGCACGACCGGTGGCCTTGTGTCCGAGAACAGGACGGATCCTGAGAGGGAACACCAGGCATTCCAAGCATCCCAAGCGCCTAGAGGCAAGGGCGAGCATCGCAAAGCCGATATCATCTGTCCTATTAAAAGATGTTCGCGACACACGAATGGGTTCTCACGCACGTGGAATCTCAATCTGCATATGAAACGGGTACATCCTGGCTATACTCCTGCGGATTCTGACCGATCTCGATCTCAGAGTACACCTGGAGGTGTTGAGATGATTGAGATCGACTAGCGATTGATTATTTGTATTACGATGATATCCCATTATGAACAATTTTCCAATATTATTCTCACTAAATCCATTGAAGAACGAGTAATTATTCTGATGCTTCACCAAAAAACCACCATCGGTTGGTCCTCCTAATAAAAGTTCAATATTCTATACTGAAGTGTTGAACACGATATTGGTATTACCAGAACGCTATCTCTGACCGGAAGACGCTGGCCAGTATTTGATTGGATAATATTTCCGACTTCCAGTCGGTGAAAGGTTCTCACTGGGCAGAAAAGCCGATATGGGTAATTTATGAAATATGATTACACAAAAAGACGCAAAAAGTGGAGAGCTTCATTGCCACGGCAAGGCAAATCTACAACGGAAGCATAGAAATCAGATCAAAAGGAGAGGTAAGTGCTTTAGAAGTGGTATATCATGTACATAACATAAAATAGGAATACATCTCAAGCCCAATATCCGCTACGAGGATAAGCAGTCTGCAAGAAAAAGACAGTTTCGCCCCGGAATGACATCAACCGTCAATCAGCCCCGCTCCAGCATCCAGCTTCCCTTCTGAGGCGCCTCAACCTTGACACACCGGCGTGAACTCCGTCCTCGGTGCTTCTCGGACCCAAAGAGCAATCACCATCGAGCGCCGGAGCTCCAGTAACGAGCCAGACGCTCCCTCCGCGAACGACCGAGTCCCTCTTAAAGGCTTCCCCAACTCCTCTCCCCGCACATCTGACCGATCTGCTCCGCGCTTTCTTTTGCCTTGTATTATTAGTCTTGCCACTTGCCCCCGCAGGTCCGATCACTTCATAATGGACCGCATCGTCCGGTCTGTCTCTCGCCAATTGTTGCGACCCCGTCCGCGATACCCTTTCTCCATCCCGTCTGCGCCCGCTGCGAAGAGACTGTACACCATGGGACACAATAGGCCAGAGGTGCGTTGGCTTTATCTTGGAAGAGACGCTCGGGAACTTTGGAATTTTCTGACTGTTGACCGCAGTTGAAAGATAAATCGCTCTTGATTGAGAAGTGCTATGTCAATGGCGAGTGGGTTGGTGCCCAGTCGGGCCAGACCTTCGAAGTTCACGGTAGGGATTCAATCCATTCGAGAACGTGCAACGATATACAGATGCTGATTCCTGTCTTTCTGTAAAGACCCGGCCACTGGCCAGCTCATTGGAACATGCCCGGAGCTCGATACCGCCGACGTTGAGAAGGCCATCTTGGCCGCCTCGGAGGCTTTCCCTTCATTCCGCACAACCCTAGCCCGCGAGCGCGCGCGCATGCTGCGCCGCTGGTACCAGCTCATGATTGACAATGCGGATGACCTGGCGAAGCTGATTACCTGGGAGAACGGCAAGCCGCTCGCCGATGCCAAGGGCGAGGTGAACTACGCAGCCAGCTTCTTTGAGTGGTTCAGCGAGGAGGCGCCTCGCGTCTACGGCGACACTATTCCGGCCTCCGTACCGGGAAACCGTGTGATTACTCTCAAGCAGCCCGTTGGTGTGTGCGGTCTGATTACCCCGTGGAACTTCCCAGCTGCGATGATCACCCGCAAGATCGGACCAGCCCTGGCGGCCGGTTGCACCGTTGTTGCCAAGTCTCCTTGCGAGACTCCCTTCACTGCTAACGCTCTGGCCGAGCTTGCCCACCGGGCGGGCATCCCTAAGGGCGTTGTTAATATTGTTACTTCCTCCAAGAACACCCCCGCGGTGGGTGAGCTTATCACTACTCACCCGGAGGTGCGCAAGGTCTCCTTTACGGGCTCGACTAACGTCGGCCGTCTGCTCATGAAGCAAGCCTCTTCGACGATCAAGAAGGTGTCCTGGGAACTGGGTGGCAACGCGCCTTTCATCGTGTTCGACGACGTGGAGGACCTCGATGCCGCCGTGAATGGCGCCATCGCCTCGAAGTTCCGTAGCTCCGGCCAGACCTGCGTCTGCGCGAACCGGATCTACGTGCAGAAGGGTGTCTACGATGAGTTTACCAAGCGTTTTGTCGCCAAGGTCAAGGACTTCAAGCTCGGAGCTGGCTTCGGGGAGGGTATCACCCACGGACCCGTGATCCATGACCGCGCGGTCGCGAAGGCGCACGAGCATGTCCAGGATGCAACCTCCAAGGGTGCTCAGGTCGCTATTGGCGGCCAGATGGCCACTGCACTTGGCCCCAACTTCTACGAACCCACCGTGTTGACTGGTATGAGCAAGGACATGCTCCTCGCCTCGGAGGAGACCTTCGGCCCTGTGGCTGGTCTCTTCCCCTTCGAGACTGAGAAGGAAGTTGTTGAGCTTGCCAACAAGGCCGAGGTTGGGCTGGCTGGTTACTTCTTCAGTGGAAACGTGCGCCGCATCTTCCGTGTCGCTGAGGCCCTAGAGGTTGGTATGGTTGGTGTGAATACTGGTCTGATCAGTGATGTTGCCTCGCCATTTGGCGGTGTCAAGCAGAGTGGCTTCGGTCGCGAGGGCAGCAAGTATGGCATTGACGAGTTTATGACCATCAAGAGCGTCACCTTTGGTGGCATGGGGGAGCCTCTGCAGGCATAAGACTTCCTCTAGTGTGATGGGCTACGCATAGTGAGGACTGGATCTGGAATCTTTGAACTGTAAAAAGTGCACACTATGACTAGTGATAAAAATGTAGCGATTTCTTTCTTTTTTTTCTCCTACACCTTTCTCATCCATTCAATTAGACTTGATTGCTGCCATGGCATGGACCTATCCATTTACGTCTCATAAATCTCACGGCACGTGACCCCGAAATAAGAAGCTGCGAACTCGACCGCCTTCATTGACCTGCGCGCCTCACCCATACATGAGATGCGCATCTAGCCCCTAAAGACGTTACCCTTCTCCCTGAAATTTCCAGATATGACATAACCTTGTCTCTATGCGCCAATCACTGAGCCTCCTGGCGGCTGTTTCCCGCAATCAGCCTTCAAAGCTGAAGAAACCAGCCATCAGTCTGGACCATGTATGTGGAGCGCGATATGTCGCTCTTATAGAGAGTCGATGATAATGATACTAACAACGTGTACAGTTCATCCAAAGACAAAGAGTTCTGGCATTTTGGCGTGAAATTGTCAGAGCCTTGCACAGTACGCCTGTTTCTTACTTGCCACCACGACGGAGGATGCTATGCTCACTTCATTTTGCATCCAGAAATTCCGCCCTCATCAACGCGTGATGAGCTGCGCTCGTATGCTCGGCGAGAGTTTGAGCGACATCGCGAGGTATCAGACCTGGTAGGCCTCCCTTCCTCTCGACAGAGTTGTCTGGTGAATGAGATTGCTAACCTAGGCCTTGGCAGTCTCACATACGCTACTTGCTATCGGTGTGTGTGCTCTCCTGAAAGATTCAAGATTAATGCTTACTCTTAAAAGACAGGGAAGGCAGAATTCGAGACTATGAGACGGTATCTCGATGAGCAGATTGCTGGATGATCTCGATCGGTTGCCACTATTAACCTCCTTGTTACGCAAGTGTACAATATCATAGAAAGATGCATCTTCATTATTAATAGCTTAGGGTAAGAAATTTCTATTACCAGTCACTCTTTTTAACTCTTTCGAGAGACTTCAACCCTATAAGTTTGTTCTCATGGCTTCCAGACGCGATTTCTCGAGTCGGCCTCGTGAATAGGCCGTGATCCTGCTTTCAAAACTCCCACAACGGATCTGCCTCTATGACCAGAGGCCTTAAAGATATCCAACATGCTGGGAAAACATAGGAGAGGGAGCCGGGGAGTGAAAGTAAACCAGATCATACATCATATGACAAGAGTGCCTGCATGTCAGTCTGGACTAAAGTTCATTGTTTGTTTCTATCCTTCTTTTTAGATATATAGAGTCTGAGTAGCTCATAAGCGCCCTCTTCGTTCCGGCTCTCGTCCATGACCTCAACCTCAACCTCAACCTCGACCCCGACCTCATTCTCTTCCACGTGCTGCTGCCTCTGCTTGCCGATAACCCTGGATCCTCTCGTTGAGCTCATCCAGCAGCTGGGCTGGGGTCTGCCCGGCTACATTCGGTTGATACATAGAGCCTCCAGCGTCGACCAAGACTTTGATCTACTCCTCCCGTGCTCGTACCGGTGTATCTCTTGGTTGTGTAGGATTAGGCTTTCCATATTTATCTAGATATCAAGGCATAGTTCCTTTTATGAACTCATAAAGAGGCGTATTTCCCTTATAGTTAACTACGCTCACATCCGCTCCGCGGCTAATCAAATAGCGAGCGGCCTCGATCTAATCTAGATATCGGGTAAGATAGTATATCGCCGTATAGCCATCGGTATCCGTATTATTAATGTCCGCTAGTAGCTCCAGAAGTCGGTCTACTATACTTAGACTAATATAATTATACTAAATCCCGGTATATAGCCGATATAAGTATAGTCGAGCATCAGCCCTATACTTAAGGAAGGTTTCGACTAGCTCCGTAAAGCGCTTATCGCGGACTTTATAAGATCTTCGAGAGTAGTGAATCACTATATCCTACAAGAGTATTGACGTCCTAGTAGCAGCGGTAGTGATATCTACCCGGTCAGTTTTCTCGTCGGGAATATAATTCAAAGTCAAACTCCGCGGTCCCGCATCGAGCAGTACCTTTACAGCTGCGAAGATCCCCGCAATTCCCGCCGTACAGGACTTAACCGCGTAATTTAGCACCGTAGCCCTATACCGGTCGTAGGCATTAATCGTATTAGGATTCGCGTCGAGAAGCTATTTGACGGTATCTATCATCCTCCTCGATCGGGGCGTCGTCCTATCCTCTACTAGGATCTCGTCTAGGTTATTCCCGTCCTCCGCTTCGGGCGTATATAGCCCCTCGTCTGTAGCGCCCAGCAAGGCCTAGTACAGGGGAAGTCGACCCTGATTATCCGCCAGGCCATCATCTCCGCCACACTCATACGGCCACAATGGTCCACTAGCGTGCGCAATCCCTTGAGATTCCTATTTAAGCTAGCAATATACGAAGCGGTTACCCCCTGCCTTCAATGATGCGCTTGTTAGGGGTCCACCTATAGGTATCGGTCCAGCTCTGCCGGGCATGCACGTTAGCTCCGGCGGCGATCAGATACACCGTTATACGGTAGCTCGCATACAGAATCGCGGCGCCAAGAACCGTATATATAAACTCCCTTTCCTCTGCATCTTCTTCCTCCTCCGTATTAACATCATCATTATTATCATTAGTCCTTCGTACTCTATCCTGAGTCTGTTTTCCCGGTCCTTAAACAGAAGAGCAATAGACATCTGAGTCCCGCACCTTACAACCCAGTTCATCCAGCAGAAAGTAGATAAACGCCTCCCTCCGCTCGATATCCCCTCCATAGCGTATTAAGCTACTTATAGCATAGTTGACAATGTCAAGGAAGACTTCCAGACCGGCATTCTTGTTGTCGCGTGCGAGAGGTTCGCCCATGAACTGCTCGACTTGTTTTTCTGTCATGGTGGCGTATTTCGAATTGCACTGCACCTTGGCGCCGCCCTTGCCAATGTGCGTGAATTCCGGGTTGATGTCTTTGTTATTTCTGCGGTCCAAGCGGGTAGATGAAGCAGTGGTACTGGTCTGGTCGACGGGCTGGAGGTGCCCGATGTGAGAGTGGGTTCCATTGGTAGCCACCAGAAGAGGCACATGGATATAAGACATGTATAAGAGCTGAACGGGATCCAATATTAGACATATTCAACCTTTTCGGGGTCCCGGTCTGCTGGAAACCGTACTTTTACACCTTGTGTCTTGTGTGCCTTGCGGAGCACCGACTATAACCTCCATGGGTTCACCGCTGTGTCTCCTAGGAGCGCTTTAGCTGGCCTGGCGCCGGGAATAGATTTCCGGGCAAAACGAGACGCATGTTTGCACTGGGGATTTCTTCCGCCTCACTTATTTTCAATATATGCAGGGTCTCTACGCACCATACCAGAAGTCGCCCTCCTGTTTATCTACGATGACGATGGCGGAACTATGATATTCATGCTGGAATATTTGAGATTCTTGTAGTATGTTTGTTTACATGGCTATTGTCATTAAGGCAACAAGGAGCTAAAAGATCTATCACTAAATACTGACCCAGACCCCATTCCATTTTGACCAGATATTACCGGTAATGGAAGGAAAGCGGAAATCAAGCTTTCATTGGCGGCTTGGTACCCTGATGCTGCATTTCATTGAATTTCTCAATCAGAGTTGAGGCCGCATTCTCGCCAAAGAACATCTTCTCCACGTTCATGCCGTCCCGGATATGGTCGCGGCCGCGAGGAAGCATCTCGGCCTCATAGGTAGAGATTGCTCGCTCCAGCGCCTCTGAATCCACCTTCTCATTGAACTCCAAATCTGTTTTGTCACCGAGTTCACCCTTTATGCTCTCAAACAGCAACATTGCATCGTACATGGCTTGATTGACACCTTCACCATTCGGTGATGCGGGATGCGCCGCATCTCCAATCAGCGCAACACCCGACGAGCGCTTCCAGCCATTCCGGCTCTGGTTGCTACCGTGAGCAATACAATCAGCTGCCGGTATGAGCACATTGGGGTTGAGTCTGCACCATGGCCACACGCGCCAGGGGCCCTCGGCACCAGACACAAAGGCGCGCAGATGCTCTGCCCAGTCGCCAAAGAATCCAGCAGGCGCAAGCAGCGCCGCACGTGTCTCGTCAACGTTGGCCACATCGAGCTCGCCACCAAGTCGGGTCAAGTCCTGTGGGCCCTTGATGCCCATATACACACGATATGAGCGGTCCGACATTTGCTGAATGCACAGGATGGCGTTCGCGCTCATGGCGATGGAGTTGCCGGCACCGACCATCTCGTGCGCGGCAAGGTACTGTGGATTGTCGAGGGACAGGTGGCCCTCGATGAACATGATACCTGCATAGTCTGGTTTGGCTGGTGTTATCTGGAGACGGTTAGCATCTTGCATCCATGGCATGAATAGAGAAATTGCAGAACCCCTGCTTACCAGCTGTCGCACTTTACTCCACGCGCCATCACCACCCACAACAAGCCGGAATCCGGTCTCCGTCGATCCATCTGCAAAGTGTAGCACAATATTTGGGGCGCTCACTTGCTTTTGGTGCTCATCGCGCTCAACAGTACACAGCGCCTTACCCCAGCGAACACGATGTCCTGGTAGGGAATCCAGCAGCATCTGCCGCAGCTGTAGCCGGTCGATTTCGGGGGCATCACGCTTCTCGCCAAACGTCGTGCGAGATTCACCCTTGTAGCTCTGGACAGTCATTCTCGTCGCATCGCGGCGCGCTAGCTTTTCAAATTGGTCGTGTAGACCGGCACGTCGCAGTGCCTCCTGACCTGTCTTGCCGTGGATGTCCAATGTACCACCCTGGTAGCCCGGCTCTGGCACTGAGGATGCGTCGCGCTCAAATACGACATAGTCAATACCGGCACATTCGAGAAGACGCGCAAATGTAAGCCCCCCGAGACCACCGCCGACAATGCCGATTGGGGCGGGCTTCGATCGGGACATCGAAATGGCAATCTGGGATGGATAATCAAGAAATAGTAAGACGAGATGTCGAGTGAAGAATTATCGAGTCAGACGCAGCGACAGGGCGGCGCTTTATACTAACAGTCGGACTTTCGAGTCTCGCCTTCTCTGCCCCTTTTGCAGAGTTCGAAGATGACACAGAATCAGTGAGAATCTTCATATCGGGCCCAAATACACAGCATCACCCTCTAGCACCATGCAGAATTCAATGTTCGGGAAATAGTAAAGCCCGGGTGGGTGCATCTTGTTGATGATGAGTGGCGCCGTCGGACCTTAGAAAACCCCGAAGGTGTATGTATGCGCGAAACCCCGAAATGGTCGGGTTGAACTCAACGACGAATACTGCGGAGATTCATATGCGAAGAGAGAAACTGACTTACACTTTCTTTTTCACAGTCAGCTTTGGAAGCATATGCCGCCCCTACCCTCTACCTAAAGGATTGATTCTCGAGAAACTCAGAGTGAAAATCAGACCGCGGGAGCGCGCAGTGCAAGCCATCCGATCACCTTTAAGTGATTTCTAGATTTATGACACTCACCACAGAGGTATGAAAACATGAAATATACAATGCGTATTCTACATATTTAATACGATTTTAGTCCATTTAAAATGCGAAATGAGAATCAATGAATGATCAGACGATCGAGATCACGCTGAAAAACCCGACCGTCCAATTCGATAGGTATTGGAAGATCTCTTGCCTGGAATATCAGCGAAATGAGAAGTACAATAAAAACCAGATTTATATCCCTGCTATTCTAGAGCAAACTAGGGTCTAAATATGTATGATACTCCCCGGGCCTTGTTTGTGATCCAGAACGTGTGATGTTCATGATAATTTGCCACCTGTATTACTCGCCATCACGAACCGTGCTCGAGTCGTCGCCCACTCCACGTGGCGTGAATCAGCGATGCGATCGTAATCGTAAGTGTGTATCGGCCGTGCTTCCCCATTGCCTGATCCTAGCGGCACCAACGGCAAATCCTATTCATCGGCAAGAGATGCCGGCAAACCCTACTTTTGGCCATGTGCTGTTTCAGGCCCCGCCCATAATACAGTAGTTGTCCACATTCATTGGCGGGTCTATATTTCTGAGCCCCCGATTTGCGTTTAGATCTGCCACGGGTGTAGTATCCGTCACTAGTCTGGGGTGGCAAGGACCTGCCCAGTCGTCAAACCTTGGCACGCCCGACCATAGCACGACTTGGCGGGAGGTCGTCATAGATTGCGGTAGATTAGGCCAATCAACCCTATATAACGACCAGGGTGGCTTTCAAAACAATCTTTCCTTACCAAAATTCTCCTGCCATCATCCAGGATCTGGATATACATCCCTCCTTTTAAGTCATCGATTCAAAATGGCAACATTAGCTTATCCTCCAACCGGGGACAACAAGTTTCATAATATCGGCCAACGGACGGGACGGCGCTCGACTATAAATACAGCGCAATTTCCATGGCTGGCGCCCTTTGCTTTATCCCCAAGCGATAAAGGCTTGCTCGGCGAAAGGCCATATGAGAGAAAATCGCCGAGGGGTGCAGTCAAAATAAACAATGCGGCCATAGGCCAGCAGCCCAAGCCCCGAGCCCAGTCAACCAAACACACTCGCCGATTCTCGACGGACTCCCTAGGACGGGATGAGAACATCAGTCCAGAAAGAGCAAGGCACCTTGAGCGCAATCGCATTTCCGCTACAAAATGCCGGGTGAAAAAAAGCGAGAACACGAACAGATGAAAAACATACTGGAAACCGAGACCGCTAAACGTGACTTTCTTTTGTCTGAGTTGAGCCAATTGAAAAACGAGCTCTGGTATCTCAAGAACACAGTATTCGAACACGCAAACTGTGACGACCAGAAGATCGACATTCAGCTCGCCAAAATGACTCAAAGTGTGCTCGAAGCAAACTCCGGACAATTAACATGCCCATCGCCAACCTCTTCGGCTAGCGCTTGGTCAGATGGATCGGGTTTGGGAGCGTCAGATGCGCCTGGGGTTCCGGTGATGATGCCGACTCAGGACGTTGGCTATCGAGGCTATCCCGATTCGGTGTTCGACAGTTTTATCGATCTACCGAGTCTGTAGCAGTTTGTAGCAGATTTACTATCAGCTCGTTGAACTGAACGTTTACCGTATCCGTGTGCCGAGCTATTGAGGTGATGAGGTTGGTACGGCAGTCTTGATGTCATCCGAGTTACAAAAGTTCTGTACATATGACGGACAGTTTGAGTCGGTTCAGCTTCCACCAAGGATAGCTAAAATTAAATATAACATCACGACTGCCCGGCTGAGCCTGACAGGGAGGGGCACAGACACGGGAGTGCCTTCCAATGAGAAACAGTTTGTCGTGGGTCATTGGCGGGGTTCTTTTCCAGACCTGGGGAGAACGAACGCGAAAGCTCCAAAAGAGTGGATATGGAGAGATATTATCCAATCACAATGACCTGAACCCTCTTCCTTGTCCGATGCCACATCTTTATCGGGTCGCACGGAATGGAGGGGAAAATGATGCTCGATTGCGTGGAATGAGAGCCCGGCCAATGAAAGTCAAGGAACCCGCCGATCATGTGGGGCCGCCGCAGGGTTCAGCAATCTACAAATGCAGAAAGGTACATCGGGCGGTCAGTCAAAGTTTGCCACCCCGCTCGCCGCCTTCTTCATATGAATTCAGCTGATATCATGTACGAGTATAGTTGGTTGATTGATTGATTAATTTGTTGAATCAATGAAGTCATGTGGTCCATCAGATGATTAAAACCGGCAGAAAATACAGTGGCGTTAAGTCACTCTCCTACGTTATCTCTTGGTACCTTCTGTAGAGTCAACCAAGCTTCTGAGGATTGCGGGATGAACTTTTAAAGCCCCAGCCACTGATGTAACATAGTGGAAATGGGGGCATGCCACGGGCAAAACATGGTGTGGCAGCTCATAGTGTCTTACAATATAACAGCGTCTTTGTTCCGCCCCATCTCCTCCCCACTCTCCATGGTTGTAATATCAGAACTCATTGCTATCCTCCATACTTTCTATATTGATCATGTCTACACCTTCGGGTAACATGTCCACCCCTGGGCAGGAAATGGCCCAGTTTACCCAGAAAAACATCCTGGGTACCCTCTTTGAAACCACTGAAAGGTTTGACGACAACTGATAGCTGGACTCAAAGCAGATTCTGAGATGTGTCTCGCAGGTATCAACATTTAGAACCTGTCGGGATGGGTACCTCGGGGCTTGTATGGTATGATCGCGCCGTGCATCTCAATCGAATGTCAGTCGTAAGCTGATGTGTTCTAGTTCTGCGAAAGATCAAATTGGCGACCAGACCGTAGCTGTGAAAAAACTATCCAAGCCCTTCAAGACAGCCAATATTGCAAAACACATGTATCGTGAAGTCAAACTTTTAAAACAGCTCCAACATGACAATGTTTGTCACCCAGCAGCTCCCTCGGCGCATTGAATACTAACCAAAATGCAGATTATTCACTTGAACGACATTTTCATCTCGCCATCTGAGGAAATGTAGGAAATCCCTGGTGCTACCCACAAAGGCAATCTCTAATGGTACCAAAGTTACCTTGTCACGGATCTTATGGCCACAGATCTCAACGCGCTTTTAAAAACGAAAAAAATCGACAATCAATTCACGCAATACTTCTTGTACCAACTGATGGTAACAAACCAATGGTCCCCTTACGTTGCACCGACCTTAACTGACTAAATTTGCAGCGTGGTCTCAAATATGTGCATTCCGCTGGCGTGGTCCACCGTGATCTCAAGCCAAGCAATATTTTAGTCAACGAGAACTGCGATCTCAAAATATGCGACTTTGGATTTGCTCGTGTTCAAGACATGCAGATGACGGGTTATGTATCGACCAGATACTACCGAGCACCCGAAATTATGCTCACCTGGCGACGATATAACGAGAAAGTCGACATCTGGAGTGCTGGCTGCATCTTCGCTGAAATGATGCTCGGAAAGCCTCTCTTCCCAGGCAAAAACCATATTGACCAGTTTTGTGTCATCACACAGCTGCTCGGAAGTCCGCCAGATAACGTGGTTGCAAATGTGACAAGTCCAAATGTCAGTCTCATCTCCGTTCACCCAAATTCGCCCCCAGGATCAACAGCCTTCACTAATACCCTATCATGCTAGACTTCGAGATTTGTCAAGTCTCTCCCTAAGCGCTCTCGCAAATCCTTGGCAAAGCTTATCCCTGCAGCCAATGGAAAGGGTAAGATTCACCCGGTCCGAGACTGGTTTAAAGTGCATTCTGACGTGCACAGCTATCGCTTTGCTGGAGATGATGCTTCAGTATGATCCGCAAAAGCGATGTTCCGCGGTGGACGCTCTCGATTCCCAGTATCTAGCTCCGTATCATGACCCTGATGATGAGCCTGAGGCAACCCAGCCATTTGACTACTCATTATTCGAAGTAGACCTTCCAACCAATGTCTGGAAAACCGTGATGTATGCGGAAGTTCTGGGTTATCATGAGCAAGTCGGCGGGCAGACCTCGCTGCTGTCCCCTTTTGATGGGATGGATCTGGGTTGATTTTCCTCTTAGTTTGTTGTCTATGCATCATTGTTTTGCGCATTTCTCTTTCGTGTGAAGGCATCTCTTGCGCACAGCAGTGAGACTGGATATATCGTATCATAGCAATCGATGAAGCGAAAAGTTCGTAATGCAACTCCAATAGGTACCTCTCTCTTAGATTAGTAGACATAACATCGAACCTGATGCATGATCTAAATGCCCGATCACAGCCGTGTGAATCAAGTGTCCCGAGGATCGTACATACGGGAGTTTTGAATATGAACGTCGTGTATCGGTATTAGAAATATCATTATTAAATTATCAAGTGTTCTTATATCTCGTATCACGGAAACACCCCATCGTACAGGCTGGCGAAAACATCATGAAACCCAGCGCCAATAACCAAGGACCAATTCATCACAGATCCACCTGTGAATATTCGTAGATTCATTCTCAGACAAGCACCATCGTTATATATTTTCGAAACAAGAAAGATGTGGGTGACCTCAGCCAGGCCAAGGTACGGCTGGCACTTTGTTGAGGCAAGCGAACCCGTTCTCTTTAAACGCTCTCCGGGGCGCTCACCTCGGAGACAGCGGGTTGCTGCTGCGTATGGTGCTTGCGGTTGCGGCGCGAATTGACGACGTCCATGAAGGCGTAGACGTTGGTGAAGGCGAAGAGTGCCCTATATAATTGTGTGTTAAAACGTTGGTCATGCAGATCTTTCAGGTGGCTGGTGCAGTGGTGAACTCACCATTCAACAGCACCAACAACGATAGTAGCCTGAAGACCGTGGCAACTGGCGTAGTTGCAGGCGCTCGGCTTGGGGATCATTGCGGCCAGAGCGATCCAGCCACTGAGCCAGAGAGCCATAGTAACGAACTCGACGGCGGGAATCACGAATTCATGCGAGAAGCGGGGCAGCCACAGCGGTGCGAGCCCCAGATAGGGAACAGCGACCACGGCCGTCCAGCAGCCATTGAAGAGCATAAAATAGATCACATTGGAGAAGGACCATTCGTCGTAGAGCGATGCAATAACTAGGGGCTGTGAGCATGTTTTTCCCATGTCAATCGCAGGTTAGGTAGGGTACGAACCATATGCGGTCAAGCCAATGGTAGCAAAGGCAAAGAAAGCCTGGACTAGGCGAATAGGATAGACCCAGGACAGCATGATGGACAAATATGGCAACCGCCAAGGTCGACACTAAGCGTAGGTGGTCGGTTTAATAGATGGAAATGGTCTTGGACTTGTTTCAGGTACGAATTGACAGGGCTGTGATGGAGAAAAGAACAAGATCCACTTCAGCCCAGCAGGGTGTCCACTGCATTATATATTGGCAGCAGAAGCTCAGGGCTAGCACGCTGAGAAAATTCTAATTCTGATCTACCCACCGACCGAGGCGTCCCCTGCCGTAGGGAGACGTCATGGGGTGATGCCTCGGAGTCGAGAAGACCCTGCAGGCCGATACTATGGCACCGAGTTATGCCCGGCCAACCACCCAATGTAGGACAGTCGAGGGTGGGCCACGGAATCCAACAAGGGTTCTCAAATCCGCAGGGGGGGGCGGCTCTTACTTGAAAAGCTTTAGGGCATCAAACTATCAAACTATCAAACTATGCAAATGCAGCCTGGGCCCGCGCTACTTCGCCGGACGGGGAACCACACCTCGGCACGCCGATCGCCCGGCCGGGTTCCTGTACCTTTCCCCCCGGATTCTCACGACCTCGATTCCAGAAAAGACCTCTTATCATGAATTGTCAATGTCAGCGGCTTGAGAGGAACAGCGGCTATTGATGACTTCCAAATTGCCCCCTGTCTGAATTTTGGGCACCCTTTTGCGCTACACGATAGTAGAAAACCTTGACGAGCCGATGACGCTGGGCTGGCGATCTCACATGAAAGCTGAAAACCGAGGCAGACGCCCCGAAGAGGATAGCAGAACGGCCGATCGCGGATCGGAGCCTCCGATTCTCATCTGTCCCGACTAGAACGCGATGCCTGGCGGTGGAATAGCTTTGCCCCTGCCCTTCTTGTGATGTGGTCGGCGCTGTTTCCGCCAACTAGGAACCTGATAGACGTCTCCGTACTTTGCGCCTCGTGGGCTCGACAACGTACTCCATGTCGAGAATCACGCAACCCCATCGCATCCTGCATAGTCTAATAAAAATTTGACGCAGTAGATTCATATGAATTTCCTATCAGGTCATTCCGTGGATGATGTAACAATGAACTCAGAGCTGTCACAAGCATGGAGAGGGGAGCACCTACGGTGTCTATACAAATCATACAACAGCTATCCTATTTTACACGTGCGATGATCGCCCCTACTTCCCTCCTGACAGCAGGGCCCGCACCGCATCCAGAACCCCAATTGACTTTTCATCCGCCGGCTCAATCGCTGCTCGAGCAGCATCCGGCTCGTTCGAGGACGGTCGCTTGCTTGCCTCCTTCGCTGCTGCCTCGATGGATGCATGTCGCTCTCGCCACTCGCGGTCCTCCTTGTCGCGGACTTCCAGCTCGCGAAGCCACGCGTCACGCTTCTCCTGTGCCTTTCGCTCTTCCACTGCCTTTTCAAACTCCCGGCGCTGCTGCCGCTCCGTCTTGAAGTACATTCCGCCCGCGACGAGCGCGACCAGTGTGAACGCCTGCGCATAGATACGGGCGCGGAACATGCGGTTCATCTCGGCGGAGTCACCCGCCCTCATGGATCGGTAGGCCCGGTAGAGGGCGTAACATGTGGCAGCACATCCTAGCGTGATGGAGAGTAGGTGATTAGCAGGCTGGCTAATCAAGGTCGGTTTGGCGGGGGGAATTCTTCAGCCGTCAAACATACCCAGTGGAATCAGAGGCTCTTCCTTCAGACGTCTAGTGAACTTCTGGAGGCCCGTCTCCTCCCTGAACTGGCTGTTAGAAAGGGAGAGGTGTTAGCATGCAGGTCTGTTTGCTTTCCTCTGCTACGACCGCTCTTCTGTCTTGCTCACGTCGCATCCCGAGGAACCATGGATATCGTATGACATACGGGTTGTCCTCAAAGGACGAGGGCAAAGGTTCGCGGCTCATGGTGACGGGAAATTGGACAGCGCTGGCCGGGACGGATGCTGTTTGCACGCAGGTCGGTCGCGTCCCGGGTACTCGGGCGCGGGGTCGAGGGTCGGAGAAGGATGGACACTTTCGATTAAAATCTTCGCTTCAGAACCAGGGCTCCCAGTGTCCCTCTGGGTTAGAATCGAGGTGGGCGTTGGTGCTGATGGGACGCGAGAGTTGCTGAATTTGGCATGACGTCGCAGGTCTGCCAAGGAGTTTTTCGCGACTGTAGTCGCATGGGCGGTCACACTGCGAGTCACCGCAAGTTTGACCCAGGTCTATTACGCCATACCAGTCTCAAGCAAGTTCAATTAGGAAACATGGTCAAACTAATCTGATCCCACGTATCTTTAAATCACCCAAAAAATATATACAATGAAGTTAGGAAATCGAAGATGCGCCTACTCAAACCAAGCACGCCATTTCAGCGTGAGTACTCCGAAGCTTGACCGCTATCGATATCGGCCTTTTCCTATCAGTCGCATTTCCAATCCCCTCCTTTTCCAGCTTGACCACATCATTTTAGACAGCTGTAATGATCCATAATAATGCTGACGAGCATAGAACCAAACCTATCTTGCAAAAACAAAACCAGGGCTCCTCTAGTCCCCATTTAAGTCCAGTCGTTACGGCCAATCCTTATCGGCCGGCGGTGATGACATAAGTCTCTTCTCCGATCGCGGTCCCTTTCCGAAAGAAAAAAAGAGTCAAAAGGCAAGAATTTGCCGTCGGTCCAATCCTCTCCCAAGCCATTGAACCCTCTCGGTCTCACCCCCTTGGGTGAATATTCTGTGCCGGAACTACCATGTCTGAAAACCCCGCCACAAACGGAGCCACAACGCCCGTCACCCCCAAGATGAGTGGCCTGGCTTTGACCGAATATACCGCCGCCCCGACTCCCCCCGGAGAACGCGCCCCGCGAGTCCCCGGGGTACCTCCAGACTGGGGCATTCCTGATGCGTATTTGCTTCCCAATGGCTACCCGGATGTGAGATACAGCTTTCCCGCTTCGAAAATGCCCTACCATTCTAATCAGCTGCCGCGGGGTATCTAGTACCTGCGAATGATCTTAACGTCACGAGTGTACGATGTTATCGAAGAGACCCCCCTCCACCATGCTATCAATCTGAGCAACCGACTCGAGAGTCGAGTCCTTCTCAAGCGGGAGGACTTGCTGCCGGTTTTCAGCTTCAAGCTTCGTGGTGCATACAATAAGATGGCTCACTTGAACGCGGAACAGCGGTGGAAGGGCGTGATTGCATGCTCGGCCGGCAACCATGCGCAGGGCGTGGCTTACTCTGCTCGCAAGCTGAAAATCCCCGCGACCATTGTCATGCCCTCTGGCACCCCTGCCATCAAGCACTTGAATGTCGCCCGCCTGGGAGGAAGTGTGGTGCTCCATGGAAATGACTTTGATGCTGCCAAGGAGGAGGCACACAGGCTGGAGAAGCAGCATGGACTAACTAATATCCCGCCATTTGATGATCCGTACGTCATTGCCGGTCAAGGTACCATCGGTATGGAGCTCTTGCGCCAGGCGAACTTGGATAAGCTGGAGGCGGTCTTCTGCGGCGTTGGCGGCGGCGGTCTGATTGCTGGTATTGGTGTGTACCTCAAGCGCATTGCACCCCAGGTCAAGGTCATTGGTGTTGAGGCTTACGAAGCCAACGCCATGGCCCAGTCGTTGGATGAGGGTCAGCGGGTCTTCCTCAAGGAGGTTGGCCTCTTTGCGGATGGTGCTGCTGTGAAGTCTGTTGGAGAAGAGCCTTATCGGGTCAGCCGGGAGGTTATTGATGATATTATCCAGGTTTCTACCGATGAGATCTGCGCTGCCATCAAGGATGCCTTTGAGGATACGCGGTCCGTCATCGAGCCCGCTGGCGCGCTCAGTCTTGCTGGTCTGAAGAAATACATCGCCAAGAACCCCAGCCCGGACACTAAGCGTGAGCTGATTGCCATCACCTCGGGTGCGAACATGGACTTCGACCGCCTTCGCTTTGTTGCCGAGCGTGCCGCTCTTGGTGAGAAAAAGGAGGCGCTGCTCAGCGTCAAGATCCCCGAGGCGCCTGGTGCATTTGCCAATCTTGTTGAGGCCATCCTACCCCACGCCGTGACTGCTTTCAGCTACCGCTATGCTCGCGAGGATTCAGCCGATGTTCTCATGGGGATTTCTCTGTCTGCCCTAACTGGTCGTGAGGACCTTGCCAAGATCATGCAAGAGCTGGAGAAGAGCGGAATGACCACCCGGGACTTGAGTGATGATGAGCTCGCCAAGCGCCACGTGCGTTTCATGGTTGGCGGCCGCTCTGAGGTGGCCGATGAGCGTCTGTTCATGTTCGAGTTCCCCGAGCGCCCGGGTGCCCTAGCTAAGTTCCTGACTACCCTCCGCCCTAACCAGAATATCTCTCTGTTCCACTACCGCAACTACGGTGGCGATGTGGGCAAGGTTCTGGCTGCGATCCAGTGCCCCGCTGCTGAGAAGGATGATCTCGAGTCTTTCCTCCGGGATCTGGGCTATCCGTTCAGCGAGCACACGGATTCGCCTACCTACCAGACCTTCCTGCGTCCGCAATGAGCTCCTGTGGCGCGTTGCCTATGCCTATACTGTGAACAGTCAGTGGATAAAGGCTCGATGATGAATGTTTCCTCCTTCGTGTTAGCGGTTTAAAAGTGCAAACCTGATTGATGTGCTTTCATTCCCCCAAGTTTGGCGTTTGGTCTCGATGTAGACTCCGGGAATTGGTTCCTACTGTATGATAGCCCCTAATATCAATCTAGTTCATATTTACAGATATTCTATTAAGCTTTCAAGCCTCACTTAAATAAAAAAAAGGCTAGGACATCTTTAATCTCAAATTTGTCGCAGTTGATCTACTCCAGGTTGTCTTGACTTTCGCGCCCCACCGCAACGCAGGCTCGGCGACTCGGCAATACAGAAGGTCCGGGCAGCAATCTTCCCTTCGCGAGAACCCGGCGAGCACAACGTTTAACGACGGCCCTGCATCACAATCGTTTGCTCCGGAAGCCGAGGTCATTGAGGCACCGTGCCTCACTCCTGTCACTCACGATTCCTTTGACATAATCGCGACCATGTTCTCGCTCCGCACCGTCCTCGGAGCGCCCAGCGCCCTACGCCAGCTCCTCCCCTCCATATCTCGCCGGTCAAGCCCTGGGGCCATGTCCCTCCGTCCCTTCTCGCATATGATTCGGAACAGCCTGACAAGGTTGCGCGCCACTTCGTCAGCGACCAGCAACGCTGTTGCCCCCACGGTTGGGGCCGCTCGGCAGATCGAGCAGGTCCGAGGGATGAAGACCCGATCCTCGGTCAAGCGACTTTGTGATGGTTGCAAGGTATGGTTTGGTGAAATATGATTCCTCCTGCTCGTTGGAGCTTGCAGAGAGAGATAATTGGTTCGAGTACTAACTCACGTTGCTCCAGCCTGTGCGTCGAAAGAACCGAGTGTACATTATCTGGTGAGTCCCGCGCCACCACGACTGCCATTCCAATTGAATCTGCAGATGAGAATATGTGCTAATTTGAATACTTCTCTGTAGCTCGAAGAACCCGAAGCACAAGCAACGACAAGGAAAATAGAGTGGAAAAGTGGAAAGTGTCACTCTGCTTTTCTTTCGACGGCATGCATGATTTTGATACCTCCGACACCGGCCTGATTCGACACCTAAACCTTGCAAATTGCAGCGACGGGGCAGACACAATCCCAGGATATCTCATATCTTAATTGTATATGGTCTGTTCGGACACGCTGGATACGTGGGTTTTCGTCTCGACTCTTCAATTGGTGGCATACACTTTGCATACTTGTTTCTGTCTCAAATACTGTGGGATATTGCGGCGCTTGGGTCTTTATACTTGTAAATTAGTCTCACGGCCAGACATACTGGTCTTCTATGTTGAAATCAACTGAATCTCCAACAGCCTTTCTACACTTCATCACCGCAATTGCCGAGTGAAAACCCTCGGGAAGGACATCCTACATTACAATAATTATGGCTAGCATATTCCATAGACGAGGCTAATAACAATTAAAGGCAATCTACGGCATTGAAAGACACTCGTAATGCGCCGTTCCTGAGAGACTGGTGATCACGTGATGCGTTCCTGTCTTCCCCGAACTTTTTTCCCGCAAAAAACAATCGCGCTTTCAACTCGACTTGATTTGGCCAATTCTGGTGTGAGTTGACCGTCGCGATGAGGACTCCTTCTCTTGCACGGTTGCCGTACCGTGCGGTGTCTTTGACCAGCACTTCTCGCTTCCAGTCCCAGAACCTTCTGCGTTTGCGATGCGCATCCACGGCCGCTTTGCGGCCCTCCGGTGTCGCTCCGGCTTATCAGTCGCTTTTGAGGCAATGGGAACAACGCCGCAATGCTGCCTCCGCTACTGCCTCTGCAGTGTAAGTAGACTAATATGGAGTTGTCTTTGTCGATTACTGACTTCTTTCTCTGGCTAATAGTCTCGAGGCCGCCGCAGCTAGCCCGGAGAGCCTGTCGCAGGCCGCAATTATCGACAACCTCGACCCCGTTGAGGCTGCCCGCCTGGACAAAGTTCGGAACATTGGTATTGCGGTATATATCCACTTGAGAAAGAATCCATAGTATACCACGGCATATCTGACGATTCTCGCTCCTAACAGGCCCATATCGACAGTGGTAAGACCACCGTTACCGAGCGAGTCCTTTTCTACACCGGTCGAATCAAGGCGATTCACGAGGTCCGTGGCCGTGATGCTGTCGGTGCCAAGATGGACTCCATGGATTTGGAGCGTGAGAAGGGTATCACTATCCAATCTGCTGCCACCTTCTGTGACTGGGTCAAGAAGGACAAGGAGGGCGTCGACCAGAAATACCACGTCAACTTGATTGACACCCCCGGTCACATTGATTTCACCATCGAAGTCGAGAGAGCGCTGCGCGTTCTCGATGGAGCCGTTATGATCTTGTGTGCTGTATCCGGCGTTCAGTCCCAGACCATTACCGTCGACCGTCAAATGCGCCGTTACAATGTTCCCCGTATCTCCTTCGTCAACAAGATGGACCGTATGGGCGCAAACCCCTTCAAGGCTATTGATCAGATCAACACCAAGCTCAAAATGCCCGCCGCTGCCGTCCAGGTCCCAATTGGTGCCGAGGACGAGTTCGAGGGTGTTGTCGATCTGATCCGCATGAAGGCTCTCTATAACAAGGGTCCTAGCGGCGAGGATATTGTTGAGACCGATGAAATCCCCGACAAGGTCAAGGAGCTTGCGCAACAGCGGAGAGCCATTCTTATCGAGACTCTCGCTGATGTGGACGATGAGATTGCCGAGATCTTCCTGGACGAGGGTGAGCCTACCGAGGACCAGCTGCGGGCCGCTATCCGTCGAGCCACCGTTAGTCTGAAGTTCACCCCTGTCTTCATGGGCTCTGCTCTGGCCAACAAGTCTGTTCAGCCCATGCTGGACGGTGTCGTCGACTTTCTGCCTAATCCTGCGGAAGTTGAGAACCTTGCCCTTGACCAGAAGCGCAATGAGGCATCCGTGAAGCTTGTTTCATATAACTCCCTTCCCTTCGTCGGCCTGGCTTTCAAGCTCGAGGAGAGCAATTTCGGACAGTTGACCTACATTCGTGTGTACCAGGGTACTCTCCGCAAGGGCTCCAATGTGTTTAACGCCCGCAACAACAAGAAGGTCAAGGTCCCCCGTATCGTGCGCATGCACTCCAACGAAATGGAGGAAGTTAGCGAGATCGGCGCTGGGGAGATCTGCGCCGTGTTCGGTGTTGAGTGTGCCTCCGGTGATACTTTCACTGACGGACAGCTTGGCTACAGCATGTCTTCCATGTTCGTTCCCGAGCCCGTCATTTCACTTTCCATTAAGCCCAAGCAGGCGAAGGACGCCGCCAACTTCTCCAAGGCCATGGCCCGTTTCCAGCGAGAGGACCCGACCTTCCGTGTGACTCACGACAGTGAGAGCGAGCAGACTATCATCTCTGGCATGGGTGAGCTGCATCTTGACATTTACGTTGAGCGTATGCGCCGTGAGTACCGCGTCCACTGTGAGACCGGCCAGCCTCAGGTCGCCTACCGTGAGACCATTGGCAAGCGTGTCGATTTCGACCACTTGCTCAAGAAGCAGACTGGTGGTGCTGGTGACTATGCCCGTGTCATGGGCTGGATGGAACCTACCGGGGCCCTCGAGGACAACAAGTTCGAGCAGCAGATCGTCGGTGGCAGTATTTCCGAGAAGTTCTTGTACGCTTGCGAGAAGGGTTTCAACCTCTCCTGCGAAAAGGGTCCTCTGATCGGCCACAAGGTGCTCGGCACCTCCATGGTCATCAACGATGGTGCGACTCACATGACTGATTCGTCCGAAATGGCTTTCAAGAACGCTACTCAGCAGGCCTTCCGCAAGGCTTTCGCGGAGAGCAACCCCTCTGTGCTGGAGCCCTTGATGAAGACTGTAGTTACTGCCCCTTCTGAGTTCCAGGGTGATGTAATTGCTCTGCTGAACAAACGTGGAGCCACTATCAACGATACTGAGACTGGCGTTGACGAGTTCACCGTCTACGCTGACTGCAGTCTGAACGGCATGTTCGGCTTCAGCTCCAACCTCCGCGCTACCACCCAGGGCAAGGGTGAATACACCATGGAGTTCAGTCACTACGAGAAGGCGCCTCCACAGGTCCAGTATGTTTTCTCTCTCAACCTCCAAATAACACCAGACCATTTCGTGCTAACCTCTTCTTCCAACGTACAGGAAGGAGCTTATTGCCAAGTATCAGAAGGCCCAGGCTGACCGGAACAAGAAATAAATCCCCGTCCCTAGACCCAGGCCCTGTCTGAATCCTCCGTCTGGCCACCTTCCTTTCATCACTTGTAAAATTTCTTCCCATACTCCTCATATTTGACATCATCGGCCCAGACGGAGACTGGGCCCCATCTCACTTTAGACGCCGCGCAAACCATCTGGGTTATAGAGAAGACAAGATCTTACCCCCGGTGCTGCTGTGGACTCAAAACAACTCATGTACTTTCTGCGTCATGGCACTATATCATCTTGCGTCGTTTTTGCTGGGCATGTACTCTAAAATTTGGGATATTACTTTCTACTCTCCTGTCTGAACAATACATGTAAACAATACACCATTGTCTTCTGCTCCTTACAGCCCTTAATTCCCCTCTCTCATTGCTTCGCGGTACATGGGACCCTGAGTTGTGCTCAGGATCGCCATTATCATAATAGATTTCTAATCACGTGCGAGTTGGAAATCATGCGTCCGTCCCCGACGTGCACAATTCAACTTCTCTAGGCAGATCACTCCTATACAGTCACGGCCCGGCCAGCTTTCTGCGCTCCGAATCGCGCCTCTCGAGGCGAACTGCCAAAGTCAACATGCAAGCTGCACACACAATCAACCCCACAGTAACCGAGTTTCCGACTAGGAACCTTGGGGCGTAAGTTGTGTTGTATGTAATAAGTGGGATCCAGGCATTAAATGCATATCTGTATGTATGCATCAGTAATATCAACTACGATCAAATGGAATGTCATGCCTACGCAATCGAATTTGTCGATCCGAGAATGAGCTTGCGTTCCAGACTGTCCTCGGCGCAGACTTCGTTGACCATCGTCTGCCTCACAAATTTCGGGAGTAAGAAGATGCGAAAATTGAAACTGAGGATTGGGTAATTGCCTTGAACTTACCATGAAAACAGGGCCAGAGCCTTGCGCGAACCTTCATCATAAGCAGTTAGCGAAAGCTATGTATTCCAATGGTATTACGTCATGAACGAACCCTGTCAAATAATAGGATGCCCATTTTAATCCGAACGGTATCCCGTTCCAGACTGCTAAGTTGACAGCCGCGAACAGACAGACTGTCAACGAAAAATAGATGATCGGGCTTCTTAGTTGAAGTGCATCGCTGGTCCAGCCATATATGAGAGTCGTCACGATGGTAACTGCATTGGTGACTGTCGGATAGGTGTTGATCTGAGGAGTAGTATAGCTATTGTATGACTTAGCCTCACGAGGTGCGACATATTGTCGATATTTTACCAACCGATTGAGGCTCTTGAGCCATAGGTTCATGTAAGAACCAATGTTTTCGCTGCAAATGAAAAATCTACCATGCGTCAATGGATATTTCACAAATTAGCGGAGGGAGTATCACGTGTAGTATGCAGTGTAGACCCAGAAATGCCAGCCCGAAAGTACTCGCTTGATGCATTTTGCTGTGACAGGCTCATCTAGCTTTACCCCACTGTTCACAATGCGCTGCAATGCTAACGCCTTTTCTTCCTGGGTGAGCCAAAATACACGAGTAGTACTTGGGAGATCGGGCAAAGCGATATAGCCTAGAATATATCAGCAGGGCCCCCGGAACATAGTCAACGATCATATTTCTACCCCACAACGCCATTGGAAAGGTGATAACACCGTCGAAAATGAATAGCCAACGCCATCCCGATAGACCTGCCCGGCCGTTCATACCAGTATAGAGGGCTGCTTGCTAATAGCTTTTAGATCGGCCATAGGCAGCTTTCAAATTAGCTGACTCACCAGATAACCACTGAACATAGACCCAATAAATGCAGAGCCAAAGAATATGCATGCTCGTTTGGCCAGTTCTAATAAAGTCAGGATTTTGTGTGTACTCGAGGCTATGCAGGAATAACAGACCCCGCTTTGTATACCACCCGCCTAATACTGTATGCACCGCAGGATAGAACGTTCCTTCGGCGAGGCCAACCTAGCAGTCATTAGCAAATTTCAATCTCAGATCGCAGCATATACTTACGAAAAATCGACAGACATAGAGTTGATGAGGGGTTTTAACGGCCGCAGTAGCAAATGTTACTAAGACCCAAAGGAGTTCCCATGATGGACACCAGAGAGACAACCGAACTAATATAATCAGAACAAAATCAGAATTAGTAAAAGAGGGCTGGCGAAAAACCTCGTGTGCAAATCATTTGCGAAGGGATCTGGCTGATAACATATCCGCTGTTTTTATTAATACCAAATAGCGTTGAGATGACAAACTAGGGGACATACATTGTCCACATTGTGGTCAATGTTTGGTATTCATTGCCGACAACCACGAGCTCCTCTTTCATACCCGAAACATAAGCATTGGCTAGATGTATCAGATGTATTAGCAGCAAATCTCTTGGAATTTACCACAGTGCTCCATACAAAGATTATTGGAGTTCAGATTTTTCGAAAAGTATGCAAGGCTCGCCCAGGTCCTGCTCCAGTCAATAAATCAACTATCGTTAAACAATTTATATGAACTCATACAAAATAAAGAAGTCAATTTTTGAAACCAATTTGCGCTCTTCTGGGGAATAATCGAATGTATCCCATACCACATTCTGGATCCGTTTGCGAAGGCTCACTTTTGTACCATGTTGTCGGGAAGACACCGATGTGGCAATGGCGACAATTTCTGGGTCCTTTGTGCGATCAGAGTTCTTGTCCATTTTGTTTTGATTGTAGACGTTTTGTCTGCTGCCCAACTACATGCTTGCTCGGTACGTTATTTAAATTGCATCGACTCGGCATTCTTCCGATCATCAATCATTCCTTCAGCAGCTGGATCATTTGGGATCAACTAATTCGACACTAGTCACATGGTGGAGAGATAACACTACGAATATTGAGCCAATGTGCTTGGCAAGAAGAGGTGTTTGATTGCGCCATAATGGCAACCTACTCGTTTGTCAAACGCAATTGCAAACTATAATTATGTGCTGGCGGCCTGAGAAATATGAAACCCATGTATCTAATCTGTGCCTATAGTTCCTGTCATTTTCTTTCATGTTTACAGAGAGATCGGAGTGTAAACGTGAACCGCCGACTCAATGATTGAGGCAGTCACTGTTGGTTGGGAACATACTTTCGCTTGTAGTGTAATACTCTTGTGACTCTTGTAAGGTAACTAGAGTCATACCTCATAGCCTGCACACTAAGTAATCTAGGCTCTTCATGAACTCCCCGCGTTAGTTCTCGAGTTACGTAGGGCAGGGCCTTTATTTGTTCACCCTTCCGCCAAACCAAGCAAAATCTACGGAATGGGTGTGCCGCATCATAAAAAACAATAAACCATAAAAGCGTTCCCAAAAATTTCACAATTTTTATCTCTTCGACATTTCAACCTCGCCTACTTGAGCCGTAATGTCAGTCCTAATAACATCATCTCTAGAAATCGCAATTCAAGGAGTCCAGGAGACCTGGTAAAAGTACTTTATCGATTTATTTCCCGTTCGCCTAGTGAGATACAGCCTAGCCGGAAGGCATTATTATTCCTTTCCTTTTCATTTGAGCAGGAATTTATAAGTTTAAGGCAGAGTGGGTGTGGGCCCTCAGGAAGACAAAGTAATCAACTTACACTGTTCAGAGGTTGATAGCAACCTGGTCTGCTTACCGTCATCCTCTACGAGAGTATGATTATACTACAGGAGTATATATAATATCTAGTATCTCTTCAATTAAATGCAGCCAGAATCATTCAAGATAATCTTCTAGTTCCGAAATGCCGAAAAGCGCAGTCAAATATCTAATCAATATGGAAGGGGTGGAAAGCGAAGCTCTGGGATTTCAACTGAAGAGTTCAACCCTAACCACATACCTACCTGACCAAAATTCATGTCATGGAAACTCTGGTTCTTATATACCTGTACCTAGCCTTGGCATCGCTTAGTTTTTTCAAGGCTACAAGCTTAGCACGCCTGCGCTTACGTCGATGGAATCATTGGCGAGCCAATTACCCATCACAGTTGCGGTAGGCCGGTCGGAAACCTCCATGGCCTGTATTTCGCCTGGGCCCTGGCTCACGCGTGAGCTGGCGTTTGATTTATAAGATGTCCTGTTGTAAGAGTTGGTTGGACCATGAATGTTCTCGACCAAACCCCTTCAGAAAAACTGGTAGTAGATGAGAGGTGTTTAACGATGGTTCGTTCTGGATGAAGTCAGCAAGAGGCAGAATCTGACTTTAGGGGCAATCTAGCTTTTTCTGATTCGGTTTCATGGCGATGACGCGCTAGAGTGAAATAAGAATGAATGGAGATTTCTCAATCTTGGTGGTGCTGTTGATTAGTTGCACTTATGCATAAAGAGACGCCTTCTTTTCGAGGAGATTTGCGTGTCTCAAATTGGATCGAATTGGATTCTTCTCGGCCTACAACAGTATTTCAAGATTTCACAGAGAAATAGGAGAGGCACTGCAGATGTGGGACCGAATTCCACTAGGTCCGCAGAATCAGGTATGTTGCCTTCCTTTTATAAATATGACCATTAACACAGTGCATGGACAAGATCTCACCATTTCTACAATTAGACATCACATAGAACAGAATACGTAATCGAGAATGATCCCGAGGATTAGGTTTACAAAGGTGCGACAGAAAGCTTCATTAAAACATGTAGAAACTCATTTATGAAAAGAAGAATGAAGGCGAGCGAGCAACGCCGAATTAAAGGGTATATGTGGGCGCTATTAACATTAGTGGGAAGCCACGCGCAAATGTAAGAAGAAATGGTGTGAAATGAGCTAAGGCGAGACCAATTTTTCGCCAAATGGTAGTATCGAGAGCTCTTGGTATTCAGGCTAAAGCCATAGAATCCACCGCGCCCCAGAGAAAGCTCCGCGGAAAACACCACGAGCGAGCTTGAAGACCATGACAATTAGCCACACCCACCACAACATGCCGACAAGAGCCCATTCTAGCAGGACAAAGCCGGTGCGTCGCACCCAACGCAGCCGCCGGCGACGCTTTCGAACACCCTTGTCAAGGGCATCACTGAGTGATTTCACTGCGAGTGTGCTGGTGGTGTTGAGCTGGACACACAAGCCCTCGGCGTCATCGGCTGTGGCTCGGACGCGAGGTGTGAGCGTTTGGTTAATGAGGGTTTCCAGGTCCTTCAGCTGCGAACGAAGAGGGGTTGAGGTGGCAGTGGAAAAGTGGTGCATCGATTGTTGGAACGAATATTGGGTCATTTCAAACCGGCGCAGGAGGTTCTGAGCAGCGGCGTCAAATTCGACGAATCTAGCGACTCGAGGGACGGTGGAACTGCTGCCCATGGAGTTTCGGAGCCAGTGAGGTGGATCTCGAGAGGTGCGGGCTCGTCGCGTGATTTCCCGAGCTTTGATGCCGGATGCCAGCAGAAGAGTACGAGTACGCTCAATTTCTGTCTTGCCTGGAACACCGGAATCATTCAGTGTATGAAGACTGCGGTCCGAAATACTCCAGGCCCGCGTCGCACCTGACAAAGGCGGTGTCTTAACAGGAGGTCCTGGTGATGCTCGGGCCTGAGCGAGTCCAGTCACAGGAGGACGATTAAGACTGAAAGGATGAGAAGGATCCTGTATTGCAGGTGTTTTCCTGCGACCACGAGCGGGGTGCAGAGCGGGGCCAAAGTCGAGTGTTTTGCTGCGCGACAAAGCCATTCGCTTCGGTCCCTCATGCTCATCAGGCCGTCGGGATCCGGATGTGTTGTCACGGGGACTGCCGAGTTCAATCGCATCGGTCGAATGAGTCCGATCATCCTGTCGTAAAGGGGATGTAAATGTTGGTAGGGAAGACATGAATGTTTTAGAAGTGCCTTTCTCGGAGTTGCGCCGCATCAGACGGCCAGGTTCGTCTGTGAGAGTAGGCAAACGTCGCAATAGACCCATTGCGCCAGACCGCTTGTCCGGTTTCTTATCATCATCTGAATCACTATATTCAGAAGCAGCGGTAGTTGCAGACGACGACTTGCGGGAGTCAGGAACGAGATCCTTCTTCAGAATCAAGTCCCCAACCTTCGAAACCTCGTTCCCAACAATTTCAGCAATCCGGCCTGGTCCCTTGAAGATGCCCCGCAGCTTAGATTCTGGTAAATTCGGTCCCTTTCGTCCCCTATATCCGTCGACGCGGCCATCTGCTATACCGTGGTCATCGACATAAGACGAGGACACAATATCCGGGAGAGGACTGGGGTCGAGCTTAGAGGGACGCTCAGTCTGCTCAGGAGGTGATATAGAGGGATGGGATTCGATGGTATCCAGGCTCTCATCTTCGTGTCCCCGAGCGTCTAGATTATCCTGTTTGCTCTTACTCCGCTCATGGCGGGTGACGATTTTGTGACGAAGCCCCTTCTTGGCTGGTGAAGGAGACCGACTAGAAGGGGGGGAAAGATTGACTGCAATACTGGGAAAGTATCCAGCATGAGCAGGAGAATTTGGTGCGGTGCTATCCGTTACCTCCAATGACATTCTTGGATTATATCTGTCATCCAAACTGCCAGCTGAGGAGAAAGAAGCCTTTCGGCCAACCTGGCTCGCCTTCGTACTCGCTGATGGAAGTCCAGACTTTTGGGGTCTGGTTTTGTCCGAGTTGACGACAGCTGCAGCGGAAGACTTGACACGAGATATCCGCGGTTCTGAAATATTGGAAGCTTCCTTGCGCAGAAGGCTCTTCGACTCGTGGCGGGAGTGGCCCCAAGCTTGACGATTCCGATCTGAAGACTTACGTCGCTCTGGGCTAAAGTCACTGGATACGCTGCCAGTTCGCATCCTGAATTTGTCCCATTGTGAGCCCTTCCGCGAACTAGAAGCGCTTCGGCTACGTAAGTTGTGGGAATGGCTCTGGTATCGGTGCTTGTGTCGCCCCTGGCCAACACTCTTAAACTCGGTTTGCAAAGCCGGCCGAGTGCTAGACAAGGAAGTGTGGTGGGAAGACAGATCCTCCTGGTGAGGATCTAGCGTCTCAATGGACAAGCGTGGTATTTGAGGTGCGTGTTCCACACTGTTATCCATCACAACCAGCGCTGCCAGGTCTGGATAGAGTTTGTTGCCATCTTTGTCAACAGCTTTAGCCTTGTTTGCCCCATCCTCAAGCCATGCAATATCGGCTAGAAGTTCTGCTGGAGAGCTCGTCCAATCGAGACGCGGGCGAGCAGTTTTGATACTATTGGTGCGGCTAATACGTCTCAAGCTCGCCGAAGGCGAAACAGTCATCTCCAGATCTTCCAACTCTCCATGAGACGCACGATGTGGGCCTTGCTGGAAAGAAGGAAGCTTGAGGATTTGCATCTCATCACGGGTCATCTCGCTGTACCTATTCTGGATGGAGTTGACCCAGTCATGAACTTTCTCGACATCATGCCACCCATCTGCTTCTGGGTCAATGGAACATTTCTCTCGATACCGGACTCTACGATTCCGAATCATTTGAAGTGGATTATAGGCCCGGTCTGTTGATAAAACGGCAGGTGGGACATCCGGAGAATCAGAATCGTCGGTGACTTGTGGTTTTCGAAGTGGAGGCAGCGAAGGAAGCAGACGCAGATACTCATGGAAGAGTTCAAAGTGGCGACGAGCTCGGTCTGCACGGGCGAGAGTCCTTTCAGAGAACTCATACACTCGTTTATCGTTCGCGGCAGAAGAGGGCAGAAAATCCACCACCGGAGATTTCCCGCCTAGTTGTGTTCCTCCCGGCATTCCATCGCCAGGGATCTGGGTATAAATACGATATGAAGCGTCGCGTTGCGTAGTATTGCCTCTTGGGGCTGGTGGGTGAAGCTCCAAGGGTGCAGCCGCAGGTTGCGAGACAGATATCGGCCTCCGCCCGTTTGGGCCTGAGGCGAGGCCAGAGGCAGTTCTCCTCCGAGACTCGTTCAGATTCAAAGCTAAGTTCACGATCTGGAGAGAATCTCTGTCCATACCAGGCGCAGCAGACGGATCTCCATCATGCGTTCCAGAAGTCGCACGGGACGAGGTTCCGGATGGTTGTACATCTGGGGGAGGATTCACGCTCTGTTGGGGAGCTGCTAGGCTTGATATGGAAGGCGCTTGAGTCGATACAGACGCAGAACTCTTGTGACGTCCCCATGGAAAGCGCGATCGTTTCTTGGGCACGACGATATCGCCTTCGGGCGCAGTGCGTTTCTCCGTTGGTGGCTCTGAAGGGCGGAAGCGAAATGAACCGATTCTTGAGCTCTTCGAGCGGGGCAGTGAGTCTAACAGAAAGCCGCTGGAGCTCTGAGTCCTGCGCTGGCTTGGTGTCCTTCGGTTACCCTCGCGGGAGCTGCTTCCTAGTGTGCTGCCCTCGAACTCCCCGCTCGCTCGGCCATCGCTCGTTGGAACAACTGGCCGCCGAAACGAGCCACCATCAGATCGCTGTGGAGGTGAACGACATGCCGGAGGCACGTCGCGGTGCTGCTCATCCGTTGGAGACATTGAATTCCACTCGCCCGGGTTATTGCGTCGTTGCGACATCGATCGGCCGGAGGAAGGGCGAGGGAGCTAGATCGCCACGCCTTGAAAGGATGCCACAAGCATCGCGTGTCAAATCTGCACAACCATGGGTGCGACCAAGGATGAAGGAATTGGGTCGAATGTCAAAGGCAAGGGTAAATCGCCGGGGTGTTTTGAGAATCTGCAGCGTCATGCGGCGTCGATCTACAACCTCGGGGTTGCGTGTCGGACAGGGTGCTTATCTAAGCCATATCTACGGTTGACATTAACTAGATAACGAGTGGGTACCAACCGTAGTCAACTATAGTTACTGAGATCCGTGAATAACAAGTCTTAAGGCAGATTCATACGAAGCTATTGGTTTAGCAAGATATTGGTCAACCTAGACCACGTAGAAAAAGTTCTAGCATATGGGTCTAACGCAAAAGGACAACTAGAGGTACAGTTCCTGCAGACATGTCGAAGATATACAGGATAGATGAATCCAAAACGCTCAGTTTACTCCACCCGCAAGCACTGGAGCCGAGCCTCAGTCTCAATAACCTAGAGAGAAACAAACGTTAGTAATGCTGATTTAAAGATCGAGTTGTATCAAATAATCGAGAAGCTTACCTCGAGAGCCTGCTTGACCTCAAGGACCCGACGAACATCACCCAGCCAATCCTTGCTGAGAATCTTAGCCCAGCCCTGGAGGCCGTTCATCTCACGGGCAGCTGCGTCAATGTTGCCCTCCTCGAGTAGGTTCTCGGTGCGAACGAGAATGCTCTCAACGTCATCACCATCGGCAAGACCATCCTTCTTGAACATGACCTTGCTTAAAACCAGGCTGGCGGCGTGGCTGGCAATACCAGCATCCTCGGGCAGAAGGCTGGCCTTACGAACCTCGCTCGCGACCCGGCGGAAGCGCTCAATAATCTGAGTGGGCGAGGGAATACCGCGCTGGTAAGCAGTCGGGTTGATGGAGGCAATAGCGGCATCGACGACGGGGTCATCAGCGGCCAGCTCTTTAACGGCAACAAGCTCGCGGACGAAGGGGCGGGACGAGTCTGAACGCTCAACAACGGAGCGGACGGCATCCACAGCGACCTGAAGCTGCTGGGTCTTCAGGTTGGTGTCGATAACGCTGCTCCAGCCGGTAGTCAGACTCTCGAGCTCGGAGATGTTCGCAGTAAGCTCGTTCAACCTGCTGAGACGACCCTCGCGCTCTCGCTCGACGAGGTCCTTGACCTCGTGGATATATTTCCGGTTCAGCTCAATGGCCTGTTCCACGAGCTCGTTCTTCAAGCGCTGCTCGGCAAGTTCTTGAGCACGAAGAAGCTCGAACTTGATCTTGTCCTGGTAAGCCAGAGCGAGCTTCTCACGCTCAGCCTCGAACTCCTCGCGGAACTGAGCAACCTCGGCAGCACGCATATCCTCGAACCGGCGGATCAGTTCTCGGGCTGAGTCGTCAAAAGTGGCGTGGGCCTTGTTGATTTCCTCCTGGGCGGCCTGCTTGGCCTCATCCCGGAGAGCCGAGATTTTCTCGCCGATCTTCAGAAGCTCCTCCTTGGCCTTTGAGACAGGCGCAGAGTACTTGCTGGAGTTCTCATCAGCGCTAATCACAGTGACAATGTCGTTGAAGGTCTTGACTAGCTCCTGCACAACGGCCTCATCGCCCTCCTTGATCTGCAGCAGCTCAATGGTGCTGGCAGCAACCGCGGGCTGGCGGGGCTCATCGAGAGAAACGGGCTTGTGTTCCTCCTTCGTAGCGGGCTTGGCCTCCTTCTTAGCCGACTTGGAGGCCTTGTCTTCCTTGGCCTTCATGACAGCGACGTTCCGGTCCTCGGGCTTAGCCGCCTCGGTCTTGGTCTGAGCATCATAGGACTTGGAGCTCATGTGAGGTCCGCTCTTGGAGACATCGCTTCCAGACTCCTCCGCCTTGGCGACCGTCCAGGACAGGCCGCTCTTGCTAGGGATAGTCACCGACTTGCCCTCCTCGCGGGGAGGAGCTGGGAGACGATTCGAGTCTCTCGAGGCATTAGGGAACCGGCGGTAGAAGTCACGCTCCTCGAAGTAGAGGACACACTCCTCGCCATATGGGATGTACTCGGTGAAGAAGTCGTGGAAGTTGTCAGACTTCAGGGCCATATAAATGCTGCCGCCATAGGCGATCCCGGAGGTAAGGATCAAGTAGAGCAGAAATCGGCGGAAACGACCGGTCTTGCGGGGTGCCGCTTCGGGAATCTTAGCTTCTGGAGGTTCATTAAGTCAGCGTACTGTCGGATTGAACATTGGCGTCTTCGAGGTGGCTGGCGGTACCTTGTTCCGTGGGCTTCGGGGTCTCTGGAGGAACGATCGATTGGGAGGAAGGGGTAGCGGGGGTCAGGCCGTCGGTGGTAGGGGGTTTGGAGTCAGCGAAGAATCGCTATGAGTTGGTTAGTGTTAGTGGGATGTTCGGCGAGTGCACAAGCAGGGTGTAGGTGCCCTTACCTGACCTGAGAACCGGCTGCTAGCACCGGCCTTGGACAGCCATTGCGACGGAATCCGTTGGCGAGCGGGAGACGACAGCAGCTGCCGGCCCGGAGCAATTGAAGAGCGCAGCATGACGAGCCGCACAATCGCCAGAAAGTGGGGAGGGATGGGAAGCCTGGATGGGTAGGAAAACAGGAAGTCGATGTTCAGTTGCGATCTGCCCCGATGATCCTGCAGGCGGTCAGGTCAGCCCGGTGCGCCCATCAATCCCGCACTCTCTCGAACTGCTGCGTACGTTTGGTCCGATTCCATGGAGTTGAATGGATTAAAACATTTTATTGTGTAAAGATTATAATATCAATGTTCCGCCTAATTGATATGTTTCTGTAGCCTTGGGCATGAGGTACGACGTGTTAGTCTCTTTGCCCAGGATATATATTTTCTCAGATCTCCATAACAATTAACTACCTAGATGATGCGGAGAAACAACGCTTACAACCTTGGAGCATGGACAAGGGCATAATCCTAGAAGGTTGGAGAATAAACAGACAGGATCAACTAGGAATAGGTCACTCAGCGATATCTATCCAACAAGATATGGAAAGGTGACATTTGCAAGGGTTTGAAATAGTCCAATAGACCTGGGTACATATGATTCTAAGCGCTAGGCAGAATAGTTCTCGTTCTTTACCTTACGAACAGACAACTCAACTACCTATAGGTGGAGAACATTTAGATACATGTTGAAGAAAATGTATTATCTGGGCATAGCATACTAAGAAGGGTTCTGGGGAAAAAAAGAGACAACAGGAAATAGTAACATGAGGAATTCAGCCCAACAGGCAAACAGAAGAGCATATGCAGACGCCGGGTGAAAAAGGGGCCAGAAGTACAAGGGAAACTGAAGCAAGAGGAGGCGAATCCTGCCCCAGAATGTCTAAAGCCAACTTCCAGATGCGTCCGTGGATGAAGTCGAAATCCTTCTGTTGGCGCCAGACTCAGCGGAGTCTTCTGAGAAGCAGAGCGAGCAATAGATCAATTAACCAGGAGACCGAGACAAGTAGATGAATAAGGGAACGAGAATTTACCTCTCGTATCGAAATATGGTGATGTGAGAGAGGTCATAATCTGACCAAGTGGCCTCGATACCGGGGTCAGACGTTAAAGGAGACGTTCGCTGCAACCGAGGACGGACAGGAGGAGGTCGCGATGGCCAGTTGCGAAGGAAGCTTATATTGCTTTCTGGCTTTAACAGTTGCATACACCAGCACCCTGGGTGCCGGGAGCCTCAGGCCGCAGGTCAACTCCGGGGCGCGGGGCCGTCCGCAGGTTCCGGGGGCCAGCCTGGTCCAGAGGCAGCTTTTTCGCGATGGCTGTGAACAATTCCCGCACGTTCGTCGCGGACTTGGCGGAGGTCTCGAAAAAGAGGAGGCCGGCCTCACGAGCATAGGCCTCTGCGTCTGCGGTCTGGATGGCACGCTTATCTGGGCTTTCGGTGACAAGATCCAGCTTGTTGCCGGCCAGGGCGATCACGATGTTCTCGTTTGCTTGACGCTGGAGTTCCTTCACCCAAGACTTGGCCTTATCCAACGATGACTATAACAGTAGGCAAAAGAGACGATGGTCAGCACAAGCAATCCAAGTAGGTCGTAGTGGCCGAACGTACGGCTTGGGTGATGTCATAGACCACGACGGCACAGTTGGCATTTCGATAGTACATCGGAGCCAGCGACTTGTATCTCTCCTGACCAGCAGTATCCCAGATTTCAAACTTGACCGTAGTGCTCTCGTCGAGGGAAATGGTCTGTGTCAGGAAGGCAGCGCCAATCGTCGACTCCCGGTAATCATCGAATTGGTCCTGATCCAACTGGTCAGTTACTTCCTCCTCCGAGGACTGCTTGCCTCCTGCCAGAGACCGAAATTGGCAAGCAGAGCGGGCCATCGTCAACTTACCTTGACAAATCTCAACACCAGCGAACTCTGGAAGATAACGATCATGTTAGCGCCTCAAGACAGCTAGGTAGCAAGCCGGATCTCGAACCTTTCCGACGGCAGATTCTCCTACATAGAGAGACGAAATGCGTTAGCGCTCAGAGTCCAAAATTCCAGTAGTTCATGGAGATCACCTACCAAGCAATACCAGCTTGAACTGGGCGAATTTCGCGCCGGGGCGGGCGCCTGCTGCAGCTCGGGAGGCCATGGCCGGTGGTCAGGGGGAAGCGACCGGTTGGAGGGGGAACGGTGACAAGAAAGGAAGAGATGTCAAAACAGTCGGCGGAGACAGTCCGGGATCGTTCAAGGGCACGACTCTCTTGTTTCGCCGTTCGTTGTGGATGGAGAAGAGAAGGTAAGGCAGCGTACGGAGTGGATGACGGAAGGCCCAGCCACATGAGCAGCGGGGCGGTGTGGCGGTACGCTGCAGGACTGGCGGGAGTGAGCGTGGTCCTGGGTGGGCGCTGAGAGGCACTGGCCGGCCCTCGAGAGGCCCCAAGTGACCAGGTGGCCCGCGCCTGCCGCTTTGGCGTGTGTACGCCGCGGTCGATCATGTGTTTCTGGCCGCGCTTCCCTCTGTTCTTCCCCCACCAACCCCCTGATAATATCCGCACCTAAAACCAAGACACTCGTCTTTCGGCTGCCTGCCATGGCGCCTCAGATTCTCCCTTTCAGGGATGTCAATTTACACGCTTCGCCCTCCCACTATGCCTTTACCTCGCCCTCATCTCCCCAGGCACCGACTCTCGTGGTGGACCGGCCGACTGGCGACCTCCGTCTGAATGATGGCCCTCTATCGGGCGCAAAACGCATCTCGAGCATCGCGGGAATTCTGGGAATTATCAAGCTGAAGCTAGGTGAATTGTGACCGCAACGACAAGATGACGGGGGCTGTGCTGACCTCCCCGAATAGACAAATACATTATTGTCATCACCAAAGCCCAGCCCATGGGGCGCCTCCGCGGCCACATGGTGTACAAAGTCGCCTCGACCGAGTTTCTTCCGATGCGCGAGCGCCCCCTCCATGATAAAGACGAAGACACCTATCTCGCTGTGATCAAAGACCTGCTTCGAACCGGCCCTATGTACTTTTCCTACTCCCTGGACCTCACCAACAGTTTCCAGCGACAATCGCAGAGTCCGTCCGATATTCCTATGTGGAAGTGCGCTGACGATCGTTTTTTCTGGAACCGGTTTATCCAGTCCGACCTGATCGACTTCAGCTTGGGAGAACATAACACAAATGGCATTCGCTATGGCCCCCAGCCGGGTGCTGACCCTTACATCCTTCCAGTGATGTTCGGCATGCTGCGCATCACCCCGGCTCGAGTCAAGGGAACCTCCTTCACATTCGCACTCATTACACGGCGATCCAGGCACCGTGCTGGGACGAGATACTTCTCCCGCGGTATCGACGAGCACGGCAATGTATCGAACTACAACGAAACAGAGCAGATTGTGATTCTGAACGATACGACCGGAGGATTGTCAGGCTATGCTCCAGGTCAGTCGATGACCAACGGCAAGACAGGACAGGATCTTCAGGTCTACTCTTTTGTTCAGACCCGGGGTAGTGTACCGGTCTTTTGGGCTGAAGTCAACGACCTCAAATATACGCCCAAACTTCAGGTTCGGGGCGTCGAGACCGCGGTCGAGGCTGCGCGTAAGCATTTTGCGGAGCAGATTCGCCTGTATGGAGAGAACTACATGGTCAACCTCGTTAACCAAAAGGGCCGAGAGGAACGCGTGAAGAAGGCTTACGAGCAGCTGGTTCGCATTCTCATCTCTTCTTCAACCGAGACAACCGAAGCTGATGAGAAGACGCCTGAGAAGCTGCATGTCCTGGAACCAGGCCTGAAGCAAAAAGAGATGGATCGTCTGCACTACATCTATTTCGACTTCCACAACGAGACCAAGGGTCTCAAATGGCATCGGGCTGAACTGCTGATGGGTCGCTTGAACGATGGCTTGACCCAAGGTGGCTACTTCCGTGGTGTGGAATTTCCCGGATCATCTGGTGGACAGCTAGATATCCGGTCAAAACAAACAAGTGTGGTGCGAACCAATTGTATGGACTGCCTTGATCGAACCAATGTTGTACAAAGCATGCTCGGCCGCTGGGCGGTGACCCGACAACTCATGGATGCTGGGGTGCTTCGCCCTGGTGAGACCGCCAACGATGACCGAGACTTTGAGGATTTATTCCGGAATATCTGGGCAGACAATGCCGATGTTGTTTCCAAGTCCTATTCTGGCACTGGAGCCCTGAAGACCGACTTTACTCGTACGGGCAAGCGGACTCGGGCCGGTGCTCTTCAGGACCTGAACAACTCTATTACGCGCTATGTGCGTAACAACTTCATGGACGGACCCCGCCAGGATGGCTTTGATGTGTTCCTGGGCACCTACCTTCCATCAGACACAGCATTTGCCAACATTCAGCTATTCATTGACGGCCGACCGCTCGTGATCCAAGCTATTCCGTATGTCTTTGCGGCCAGCTTGTTCATGGTATTGATTGCAACTTTCACAAGACGATTGCCTGACGCAGCGGTCTGGCCGCTCCGACTTTTTATGATCTTCTGGATCATCATCGGTGCCTACTCCTTCCGTTTCATCCATGGGCATGGCATGCTATATGTACGTTTATTCTCCTCCAAAATATTAATCACTAGTGTTGACCGATTCTCAGGTGAACTGGCCGAAGCTCAATACCCCCGTCGCAGGCGCCGAAGGATACCAGGATGCTCTCATCAAGGCACGCTCCGATCCCATCATCGGTCAATGGCTTCCTTCCAGAAGACACCAACGCGGCATTAGCAATGCTCGTCTCGTTTTCCTGGAGGAAGGCAAGACTAGGATCGAATAAATGCGCTCATCGCGCTCATATCCTTTGTGTGATTTCTCACATCAAACCCTGTCTTCATATCTGTACCCTTCATGGCTTGTATGTTCTAGTATAATTACTTCTCACTTGGCGGGGCCGTCTTTGACCCGTTTTCGTTTCCATTTGTCTCTTTCGTCGGCATTGCTGTGCCTCCCTTCCCTCTTCTGCTGATACAATCTCTGTTCACTCCCACATGGCTTATCACGCTCATACTTGGGTGCCAATCTTCACCCTTGCTGATGCGGCACCTTTGCCCTTTTTTGTTTAGCACCTCAAGAGGTATACGGTATTCAGGGTGGCGTATTGATTAAATATAATCCATGCCAATTGATCAGTTACTCATTTATTACCTTTCCGGTGTAGAGAACAACATTGCGATTGAATCCCAGGCATTCTGCACGTATTTCACACCGCTGACTCCATCGAGCTTATCGTCAAGATAAGGCGGGTCATGTTCACGTGACATCTCCGAAGTCAAAGACCACTGGTTTCCCGAGGAGAGGCAGGATGGGGGGGGCAGAACCAGATAATCTTCGAGCTGCCGGGGTTTCTTGTCGCGAAACACCCCGCCTGCTCATTTGAAATTGCAAGCAAGGGTCGCACTTGTCCATGAGAGGGATCTGGAGGTCATTTCGCTGGTCCTGTCCACAGCGGCGAGTCTCGACTCACTCGCCTGCTATGACACGCTCATACGAGGTATGCCGGGCTTCTCTGTCTCAACGGCCCTGCAACTCCGCATGGCCAGGTGATATCGCTTGCATGCTATAGGTCACGTGTACTGATTTTGTTTATGTCTAGGCTGCAATTGCAGCGCTCAATTCCTTACAGACTAACTTTGCGATTGTGGAGGAGCTGCGGAAATCAAGGTCGCGGGAGGATATGAACAAGCGATCCCTCCCGGAGACGGTTGAATGGCTTCGTCGTATTGGATATAAGGTTGGCAACAAAATATGCCGTATGCTGGTATGCTGTTGAGGAATACGCTGCTGACATTGCTTTCTCTTAGCCTGCCGATCTGGATCAATTGAACCCGGTGCATGTTGCGGGGACCAAGGGCAAGGGCTCAACCTCCGCATTCATCTCCACCATTCTCTCCCAGTACACCAAGTCGGAGCCGGGCCAATCCACCCCTCGACTTCACAAGGTCGGGCTCTACACATCCCCGCATCTGCGTTTCGCCCGCGAGCGCATCAAGATCGACAATGCCCCGCTTTCCGAGGAACAATTCGCTCGGTACTTCTTCGAAGTCTGGGACCGTCTAGAGGATGCAGCCAGGGTGGCTGGTGAGGATCCCACCGCGCCGGGCGCGAAGCCGCAATACTTCCGTTATCTGACGCTGATGGCGTTCCACACGTACTTGAGCGAGGGCGTTGACGCTGCAGTCATCGAGTGCGGCATTGGAGGAGAATACGATTGCACCAATGTGATTGAGCGGCCAAAGGTGACGGCTATCACCAGTCTTGGAATTGACCACACCGCTATGCTGGGTACTACAATTGAGCAAATCGCATGGCACAAGGGTGGTATCATCAAGTCTGGTGTCAAAGCTTTCACAGCCCCGCAAGGCCAAAGCGCAGAGAGCGTGCTGGCCGAGCGTGCTGCAACCAAGGGCACTCAGTTGGACGTTGTGTTTGAGCATCCCGACCTTCGTGCAGGTACCAGCCAAGTGAAGCTTGGGCTGGCAGGTGATTTTCAATACATCAATGCCTCCCTGGCAGTCGCATCTGCTGCAGAGTTCTTGAGAAAGATGGGCGTGGCGGAGATATCTGAGAATGTCATGTTTGAACCTCTTCCAGCCAAGTTCAAGGCCGGGCTTGAGGAGACTCGCCTGGGTGGCCGGTGTGAGACTCGCTTCGAGAAGCACGTCACTTGGTATATCGATGGAGGACATACGCTGGAGAGCATCCGGCTGGCTGGCCAGTGGTTTGCCTCGCAAATTCACGCCGACTCGTCATCTAACGATGTTGCTACGAAAAAGCCGCGGATCTTGATTTTCAATCAGCAGACTCGGGACAGCTCAGCTCTGGCTCGTGCCCTCCATGAGACTCTCGCTGCTGCATTAGAATCCGACACTCCTTTCACCCACGCTTTGTTCTGCACAAACATTACATACAAGCAAGCTGGTTTCCGTCCCGACTTGGTCAGTATGAGCACTAATGCTGACGATCTCGAGCTGCTTCGGGTTCAAAAGTCACTCGCAGCTACCTGGAATGAGATTGACCCCAAGGCTCACACCCAAGTGTTTGGAACGATTGAAGAGGCCGTTGACTTTGCGCGTAATGTGGCTGCTCAGGCACGCAAGGCCATCCAGGAAGACGAGGCGCCTGTCATGACTTTTGTCACTGGTAGTATCCATCTCGTCGGTGGCTTCCTCGATGTGGTTGAGACGAAGCCATACACAGAGAATGCTTAATCTCTTCTCATGGTCTGGATTTCAAATTCATGGGCAGCCTGGAGCTCCATGTCTCTTTTGGTTCTTGTATCAACTCTTGACATATAATTTATGACATAGCGAGACGGCGATGGCTATAGAGATGACCTTTTTTGTGGATTTCAACAATTCGAGATTCCCATACAATGCATTTGCTAAGCAGGAATACATGGACTCTGCCCTGCCATGCCAGTGCATGTAGTGCCGAGGTTCCTTTTGCTGCAGCTAAGCAAGGAATAGACACTAAAAGAATGTAGACACTGACTAAATAGATATCAATATTAGTTAGTTAACCCATATATATAATAATGTAATCACCCAAACTTTTGTTCTGAGTCTGTTCTCCTGTAATAGTTCAGATCGTATAGTTTCCTGCGCCCAAAACTAGACGGGGCAGAAAGTTGGGACCCCCGGGACCCCCCGCCGATCCGCGTTTCATGCGCTTAACGTGGGGCCGCAACGAAATCCTCCTCTTCTCCCGCTCACCACCATCACCGCCTCTCCCTGCAATTCTCTCTAACCAGTGGCCATGTCGGACTCCCAGGACAAGGGCAAAGGCCCCAAGCGCCATGAGAGTGAGTCTGAAGACGCGGGCGCCGGCAGCGCCTCAGACAGTAGCAAGGGTACCCAGTCCCCGCCATACAGCCCTCCCGAAGCCTTTACTGAATTCTTGGATGATGCAGCTACCCCCTCCACCGGTTCCACGAAGAAGCTTCCCTCGAAGGTACTCAAGTCGCTTATGGAAATGAACCCGGCACTGAAGCATGAGCTCGCCGGCATGGACCAGGATACGGCGGCGCAGACACTCGCGAATCTGGACATCTCGCAGTTGTTGACTGGCCTCTCAATGGGCGGCGGGAAGAACCAGAAGGATATGGCTTCGTACAAGTTCTGGCAGACACAGCCTGTCCCGCATTTCGATGACCGGGCGCACCCGACTCCCGTTGCGCAGGGACCGATCAAAATGATTGACCCGGAGAAGGTCTCGAAGACGCCGGACCCATTGGTCGAGGGATTTGAGTGGTGTACCCTTGACTTGACAAACGAGACTGAGCTGCAGGAACTGTACGAGTTGTTGAACAACCATTATGTGGAGGATGACAATGCCATGTTCCGATTCGCCTACTCGCAGTCCTTCTTGCACTGGTACGATATCTCTACGGGACCCTTGATATTTCGCATAAGAATTACTGACGCTGAATACTTTATGTTTCAACAGGGCCTTGATGTCTCCGGGCTGGAAGAAGGAATGGCATGTCGGTGTCCGGGCGACCAAGTCCCGAAAGCTGGTTGCATCGATTTGCGGTGTTCCGACGGAAATCCGTGTCCGCGGGGAGCGCCTCAAGGTGACCGAAATTAACTTCCTCTGCATTCACAAGAAGCTGCGCTCGAAGCGATTGACCCCGGTCCTGATCAAGGAGATCACTCGCCGCTGCTATGTCAAGGGTATTTTCCAGGCCATCTATACTGGTGGTGTGATCTTGCCCACCCCCGTTAGCTCCTGCCGATACTACCACCGCGCCCTGGACTGGCTGAAGCTGTACGAGGTCGGGTTCTCGCCTCTTCCTCATGGCTCGACGAAGGCTCGCCAGATCACCAAAAACCACCTCCCTGCTACCACCTCGACCCCCGGCCTGCGGCCGATGGAGTCTAAGGATATTGATGCCGTTCACGACCTACTGGAACGATACTTGCTCCGCTTCGACATGAATCAAGCTTTTACCCGGGAGGAGATCGACCACTGGATGCTGTATAAGGAGCAGCCTGGCAAGGAGCAGGTTGTTTGGGCGTATGTGGTGGAGGACCCGGAGACCAAGAAGATCACCGACTTCGTCTCCTTCTACAACCTTGAGTCTACTGTCATTGATAACTCTAAGCACGAGCTTGTCCGTGCCGCTTACCTCTACTACTATGCGACTGAGACTGCGTTTACCGACAACGCGAAGGCGCTTAAGGAGCGTCTCCAGCTTCTAATGAACGATGCGCTTATCTGCGCTAAGCAGGTAAGGCATTTCTTTCGTTTTCTCTCAAACCTCCTTCTCACATCATTCTAGGCCAAGTTCGACGTCTTCAACGCCCTTACTTCGCACGACAACCCCATGTTCCTCGAGCAGCTCAAATTTGGTCCTGGCGATGGTCAACTTCACTTCTACCTGTACAACTACCGCACGGCTGCCGTCCCCGGTGGAATCAATGACAAGAACCTGCCCGACGAGAAGAAGATGGGCGGCGTGGGCATTGTTATGCTGTAGGCCGCGCTTGTCCCTTTTGGCTAGAGGGGTTGAGAATATTTTCGGACACCATGAAAACGAATCTCCTTATGTTGCTATGAAAATAAGATCAACAAGTGTAAATGGATCAAACACAAATCGCCTTCCAATGCCTTCGAATCGTAGCTGTCTAGAAAAGGAAACGGTCTGGGCCGGCGCGCACGGACACCTCAGGCAGCGATATGAGACGTCGTCATCTGGAACGTCCCATCGCCCTCCAACTTCCATTCATTCCGTCGAGTCTTACGACTTCTTGACTGCCCATCCTGTTTCACTCGTTCGCGACCTTTTGTTTGTCTTTTCTGGACAGCACCTGGGAGGCCACCGCAGGAAGTGAAGCAGCGGGCGGCTCCGCGTATTCGCAGTAACAATGGGTGCGGGCCAGTCGACTGATTATAGTGGAGCATCCCCAGGTCAGTCCGTACCAAGCCTCTGCGTCTCTACAGCATGGCGATCAAAATTTCCTTGCGGAATCGTCTTTGGAGCCCCTCTTGTAACATGTACTGATCTATAAACCCGAGCTGACTATGAATAGAGGAGCTAAGCCACCTGCTGGCGGAGCGTTTCGCCGCAAAATGCTTCTCGCCATTAGAGCTTACGCATTTCAAAGACAACTTTTTCTCTCGTGCGGCAGAGCACGGGGGTTTTCGTTACTGGAATGAAAAGACCCTCTCGGATTTCTTGGGGGTTCCGGATGGGTTCTCGGGCGTGGATCAGGCTTCCCTTGACGCGGGACCTGTTCTTTTCCGCATGGTTTCGTACCTTGGAGCATTCCCCTTTCAGAGTACCTTGGCGCCAAGTGTTTTGACGTTCGAGGCCATGGTCAAGGTGGTGGTCCTATTGACTGAGCGCTACGGCAAAGTGCTCCGCCGAGGGCGGAAAGACCGCGTTAAGTTGCTCTTTGGTAGCCTTGCTGATGTTGGGAGGAAGTACATCGGACCACCCCCAAAACAAAATGTAGAGAATGACCATAGTCAGCCAGGAGCGGAGGAAGAGCCTGATCCCTCTGCTGTCAGCTCTCATGTTCCGGGATTCTCTATCGACGAGCCCGCCAATGACGATTATGATGAAGATGAGGATGATGACCTTGCTCTTGCGGCATTGGAGTCCCTTGATGCAATTGAGGTGTTCAAGCATGACCACCGTGTTGATCGGACTGTCTATGAAACACGCATTTCGATCGATACCTTCCGCCGGCTGCTTATGCTGTTGCTTGTGATTGCGCCTCTGAAGCCACTTGAATCCGTCAAGACCTACACATATGACCTGAGTCCCGACCGGCTTGAGGCAACCCAAAAAGAAGCCGATAGAATCATTGCAGCGTTCTCTCCAGAGGAATGTGATGGCGGCATATCGTACAGGGCATTTGCCCGTACAATCTCGACATCTTTACCATACTTATTCGATCCTCTGACGGCATTGTTTGAGCACATGCTTTTCAGTAAGAACCTGATGCTTTCCCAAAGACGACAGAGTGACGTTGCCCACAAGGAGGAGATAGAAGAGAAATCTGAAGAAGCCCTTTCGGCAAAGCCAATTATGCTCCTAGGAAGCTTCGAGTCGACAATACTCAACCCAGCGATCCTTTCCCACATGTCATTTTTCTTGCCTTCGCCTTCACCATCTTCGAACCTTTTCAAAAGTGGCATTCGTCTTCATCCTGTCTTCTCCACAACCGCTCACGGCTCCTCACTGACATCCTTCTCCCACCACGTTCTCACCTGGCAGTCTGCCAGTCTTCTTATTCTGCAAGGTACACCGGAAGGAGACAGTGAGGAGCTTGTTACAATTGGTGCCTACCTCCCGAAATCCTGGAAATCACCCTCATCACACAGCTCGTCTTCGGCCTCAAGCTCCGATCCTCTTGCCTACCTGTTCCAACTTTCCCCTAAGCACCTCGTTCTGCCTGGAAATCCAGCTTCAGCTATCCAGAAGCAGACCAATCTGCCCGTAGCGTGGTTCTCAACACAAACAGGACTTGCAATTGGCTGCCAGATTCCGCCGCGTTCACGCAGTCAGCAGGCCCATCCCAGTCCACATGGAGCCGCTAGTTTACTAATCGATGTGAATCTCGAAATCGCCGAATTCCATGTCGAGCCAGTCGGTCACAACGGCGTTTTCATTCCATCCGGGACTGCATCACCGGAGGACGCGTCGATCAAGACCCGCTTAGATATCTATTCACTTGAGATCTGGGGCGTGGTCCCGGACCCGGAGCAGGCGTTTGTCTCGGACCCAAGCTTAAGTGCTGTTGAGCTGCAGCGGGCTAAGTGGGACTTCGAAGCTCGCGAAGCCGAGAGACGGCGCAACATTAATCTCAAAGCTGGGGCCGGAGACTCTGCAAAAGAGAGTGCTCGGTGGCTGCTAGAAACGGCAGGGATTATTGGTGACCAAGGGCAACATTCAGGCGGAAGTGTGTGAGATAGCTGGATTGATGTGCTTTTTTTGGGTCTGGAAATGGCATTGGACCTTGGTGTTTGGTGGTTAATTGAGTTTTACTTGCATGCCAATCTGATTTTGATTATTCGACAATCTACCTCCGCTTTTAATTTGAAACTGTAATTTGAAATATTGATCTACAGTTAGCGCATTTTTCTACATGGCGGCTACGTACTAAACCGGGAACAAATTGGCCAAAACAACTGAGCATTACATTTTGTACATATAGATGTGCCGTGCAGTTAGATTATCCATGTAGCACTGGAATAAAACAACCCCAAAGAATTATCGCCTTAAACACGCAGGGGCGGCATACCCATGGGCGCACCATAGAATTCCAACAGCTCCTCTTCCTCTTCAGGCTCCATCACATTGCTCTCAACCTCAGATTCTTCCTCGGCCAGTTTCGCCACAGCCTTCGAAGGACGGCTGCGTGAAGAAGCACCGGGATTTGCCGCAGAAGCGGGAGTGCTTTCTGCCTCGAAAGCCTCGCGGGCATCTTCGTGAGGAAGCCGAAGGGCAGGGAAGCCATCGGGCGCACGCTCAGCCCGGTCCATGACCTCATTCATGTACTTACGGACTTCGTCGGCCGGCTTGACAACACGGGTTAGAGGCTCTAGGATCCGGGCATTGGCGGCATGAATGCGGAATGTGACAGGTTGCCAGTATTCCTTGAGATTTGCATCATTGTCAGGTTTTTCACCAGCCGTAGCAGGCGTTCCTGGTTGGCCAGGCTTGGTATCTGGCTTATCAGAGGACTCTTGTTTTTGAGGCGTGTCGGCAGGAGCGGGCGTATCGGCAGCTTTCTCCCCCTTGGCTGCCTTCTTTGATTTAGAAGTGCCTTTGCCTTTTCCGCGCCCAGAGCCAGCATCGGGCGCAGTCTCGATTGGGAATGGCGTGTCTGGGTCTACTTTCTTCACAATGAGGAAAGAAGCTAGAATGGTATTCTCGTTTGAAATCCATTCCAGAATTGAATGCTCAGGGAACAAGTAACGATCGCCCGAGCCAGCATGACCAGAGGTACTGCTCCCATATGGTGTCAACGGAGAAGTGAATTCAAAAACCACGGACTTGTAGTTGAGTGGGGTCGGTGTGGGTCGCGCCGCAGGCACTTGGGGACGATAATAAGGCGTAGGAGAGCCGTATTGCGCCGGGCGTGATTGAAGAGGAGGCTGTGTTCCGTACGGCGATTGCTGCTGAAATGGAGGATAAGGGGGGCCTGGTCGGGGTGTTTGCTGTTGAATATTGCTGGCACCTTTAGTGGGCTGCCCCGCAGGGGCTTGCGGTTGTGATGCTGTGTTGGAGGCTGATGTGCTAGCAGGACCAGGAATAACCGATGGACCTGATGTTGCTGGTTGCGTTGAGCCTAATGGAGTAGCTTGAGGGTTGGTTGGCCCAGTTGTCCCGGGCTCTTGTTTCAGAGCCGGCGTAGGGGTGGGGGTGTGCTGGGTGGCGCTGGGTACTGGTGGCGGGCCTCCTTGGGTCGGTGTCGGGGTTTGAGGTTGAATTTCGGATTTAGGTGGTCCTTCGGCTGGCTTTTTGGCTGATGCCGGTGTGGGTGCTTTTGGTTCTGCCGCCGATTGCTGCTGGGGCTCCTTTGACGGTGGTTGAGCCGCGGTGGTATTTTGGGGCGTGTTGCCCGATCCTTGCAACGGGGTCTTCGTTTCCGAGCCTTGTTTTTGCTGAGTGTCAGGTTGTGGTGGGGTTGGCTTCGTCTGTGACGCGGGGGTTGCTGTCTTTAATGCCGGCGCTGGTGGTGTAGATGCTGCTGCTGCGTTCCGTTGACGTTCCTGCTGCTCCCTCGCCTTGATGATTGCGTTAAGTTCATCGATATGGGCCTGGAAAGCACGAAGCTGCTCCTGCGAGGCCTGGCTAGACGCCACCACTCTCATAAGTGCTTTCAGCTCTGGATCTGCGGCAGCTCTGGTAGCAAGCATTTGGATGACGGGATCTGGGCTCGGCTTGGCAGGCTGCGCCGATTGTCCACTTTGCGGTGGCCGTTGTCCCGACTGAGGCTGTGTTTGATTCGGGCCACGTTGCTGCTGTGGCGGCGGATGAGTGCCCGGATATCCCTGTGGAGGGCGACCGGGAGCTGCAGGGGAGTAGGGAGGTCTTTTTTGATTGCCTGGATATGGCTGGTATTGCTGGAAGTTGTTTGGATGCCCGTAGTGGACCATCTGTTTTTGGGGAGGGGCATATTGAATCGCTGGTGGCGCGTTGGGGTCTTTCACTGTGTAAATCATCGCGTCGAAGCGATGAGGTCCAATTGTGACGTCGCAAGGCCCGATTCTAGTCATTGAATCCTTGGGCGGGTTGTTCTTCTCGATTTGTTCGCGCTTCGTCTTCTTCGGCTTGGTGTAGTACCGGACCAGGATGCCATCGCTCAGCCATTTCTTCTTAGATCTCTCGAGAGATGTAAGCAGCACTGCGCTGTAACAAACAACCGCTCTCTGTCAGCGCCATCAAACCGTCGGTGAACCTTGGGATCAAACCTTTCCGCGTATGACTGATACTCCTTGTCCGACAGGTTTTTGGGCTGCTGCACGCGCACCACTGGCACAGCCTCGCCATCTTTGATCGTTGTAGGCAATGGAGCTTCGACAGGCTCAGGCGGTGGTGGTGGCGGCGATGGGACACGAGGAGTCGGTGCCTTTCTCTTCTGAGACTGGGTGGCTGCCTCGGAGGCTCGTCGCTTGGCCGCAGGCTCGCGTCCGGCGCGCGGCGGTTGCTTGCGCTTCTCAGGCATCTTTAATTGGGTGTAGACGCGTAAGAGTCGCCGGTTTCCTGGAGAAACTAGCAGTCCGGCGCGTTGGCGTGGAGAGCGGATGAGGTGGAAGGAGGAAAAGCGTGACGCGATAAGTGGCAGCTTATCGGCGCATCGGCGACTCGCCCTTCTCCGCCTCCGCGCCGAGTGGATGTCGACACTGTCGACACTGCAACGAACGATGGTCGAATTGCAGCCTATCTTCAGGAAGGCCTACTGGACGCTTGCGGCCGGTGGCCTGGCTTATGTCCTGTTTATCTCCACCCTCACTTTTGCTGGGGTACAGCGATTGTATGCATCACCTTCTTTGAGATAGGATTGCAGTATGATTCACCTGGCTGACTGTATCCAGTTTCCTCTATGCAAACAAGGTCAACCCTGCTTACTGGCAGGATGTCAATCAAGTTGAACAGTTTGGTTTCATAAGTATGTGCCATAAGGAATCAATATCGTGCCATCATTGACGATTCCAGAAACCCAGGTTCAGCCATTCTATTTGGTGACCCCTGATAATGAAACGCTCTATGGCTGGCATCTGATGCCTCTGCATCTCTGTCGGGAGCATGAAAAGGAGATGATGGAGAAACCTCCTTCAGGGCCGGCTAAAGACTATACACAAACCTTGGCCTTCAAGCTTCTAGCCAATGACCCCAACGCTCGGGTTGTCGTGAGCTGTATGTGACTGGCTAATCCGTACATCTTTGAGAACGCATTTCTGATTTCGCAACGTGACAGTCCATGGTAATGCTGCCCATCTTGGCTCTGCTCAGAGACCAGCCACTTACAATACAATGCTCGGACTCTCCACCCCGTCGCATCCCGTGCACGTCTTTGCCCTTGACTATCGTGGATTTGGTCTTTCGACCGGTAGCCCGACTGAAGAGGGTGTGATCACCGACGGTATCTCACTTCTTAACTTTCTCACCGCAGGTCCCCTGAGCATCCCTCCTTCTCGCATCGTGATAATGGGCCAAAGTCTGGGTACAGCGGTCACTGCAGCAGTAGCTGAGCGTTTTGCCTTTGGGTCCCCTGATGCGGCCGCAGTCCAGCCGGCCATCAAGAATGCTGAGCCATTCGCTGGAGTTATCTTGCTAGCATCCTTTAGTAATCTTCCCAGCCTCATCCAGTCCTATAGTGTCAAGGGCCTCACTCCTCCGATGCTATCACCACTGGTTGGATATCCTAGGTTCCAAAACTGGGTCATGAGTCATATCGTGGACTATTGGGATACAACAGCAAGAGTGGCTCGTTTGACCGGCGTTAGCACTCCAGTTCCTGACGTTTCTGGGTTGACTTACTCGCACAAGGACCTCGATCTGACTATAGTCCATGCCAAGAATGACCATGAAATTCCGTGGTACGAAGGCCGCCGTGTCTGGACGGCCGCAACAGGAGAGAACATTGAGGGTGCCCCTGGAGCATTGATCTACAAAAAGTCTGAAGGCACCAGCCCTTCTCAGATTGAAATCTGGGAGAACTTAATCACCGGCAAGGATGGCTCCCAGGTTGTGAAGAAGGTCCGCTGGGAGCGAGTTGAATACGGAGGTATGTCAGCTCATGCAAAATTGTCTTTATTCCCCTTCCTAGTTTTCTGTGACTGACTGTTGAGGTTTCACTAGGTCATAATCGTGTTGCATCGTTTTCCGTTGCTGGGCTTGCTGTTCTACGAGCCTTCGAAGAGTGACGTGGTAATGCACGATGAGCATGGATTGCTCAATAGACCAGAGATCATCAATCAGACTATACGGAACAATACATATATTCCAACGCATGCATGTAAATGTTTATACACATGAATACTCACCTTTTTGTCAGGAAGGCAGTCCATGTTGATGGGGAAAACTCTATTGAAGATATAAATGGATATGATCATGAGATTGTAGACTGAAACTCGTTCTATTTGACAAATTTAGACCCAACGCAGAGAACCAGTGTTTAACCCAGATGACAAAGGGGAGTACGTATTTGGTACCTTGAACAGAACTCCACCCTCAATGCCTCGATCGCGACCGATACTTTGACCCAGTCGTTCCTTTTCTAGGTACATCACTCGCTCGATCCCAGGATCGATACTCCGATCGCTGTCGGCGGGAATGGCGAGCAGGTGTACCACGACTGGTGATTTGCGAGTGGTCCGGCTTCTCCTGCATATCCTGGCTTTCGTCCTCAGACCGAAGGTTGAGGATCTGAGCGAGGTTGTCGGCGGTCTGGAAAGGACTGGTGGATCGGGATGGCATCTTGAGTTTTTGTTTTAAACCAGTCTTCTGAAGCTAAAGTGTTTGAGGATAATTGAATGATTTTCAATGGCTTCTAGGGGTATTTGATGAAATGATAACCCACAAAAGAAGATTAGTTACTCTTATATTCGGTGGCACAGTGGATGGCAAATAGTTGCTTTACTCAGCATGAGCGCATGTTGATGCAATACTAAGTAAGTTTCCTAAATGGGAGATAGAGAGCCATGTATTTAAGAAGCATCGATTGACTTTCGGCTGGTCGTGTATGTTTGCTCTAGCAATAGGCAATTTGACGTCTCCAGAAACACCAATGTACGGTACGCTACATTTGAAAAATTCAGACGTGATCAAAGGAAAAGCTGTACCTTTATTTCGCGTGAAGCGTCTCCGTAACTTGGCACAACTCGGTAAGATCTAATAAATGACAGAGCTCTCAATGGTAGATGAACCCATTGAGATACAAAGCAAAACCGAGATTGTAGCTCTTCACATTTCGCACCTATGTAAGCACCACACTTGATGCCCATCTTGAATTGTACATGAAAGAAGCTGAAACGGTTCACTCCCGCGCAGATTCAGCAGCAGAGGCGCTTCAACCCCTTGCTCACAGCCAGTGAGTGCCGCTCGCCCTTCACCAGCTTCTTTCGTGGACGTGTCGGGTGGGAGGTGCCGACGTTGTCCACATTGATAACCTCGGGTGGAGTGAAAATGGCCTTCAACACCACCTTCCTGGTGGCCAGAATCTTCCGGAGCCTACAAGGGTCCTTGACCAGACTCTTCAGTTTATCGAGAGGCTCCTTGGGCTTGACCCGCGCCACATTTTCCCCAATGGGTCTGAACTTTCTGCAGATGATATAGGCCTCTGACGAGTAGAACTCGTCCTCATTCCCTTCGTCGAGTTGCTGAGCAATCTCCTTACTCATAACCAGACTTTGAAGGCGAGGAGGAGGCATAACACGCTGCCCATTGCTCGGTCGGAGCGGCACGATCCCTGGCTGGTTCTGATAAGCCTGGCAGCGTTCAAGGAAGGAACTGTAGTTTGCCGCAAGAGTGATGGCACACAGAGGAGCAAAGCCGAAGTTCGTGATTTCGTTTGGCGGCTTGTTGGCATCGGGCATATTACGAGGCTTCTTGACGGAGACCTCAATGCACAAAGACCACATGTCACTGTAGATGCTCTTGATCACGTACAGTTTTCCGGCCTTCAGGGCAAGCTGGTCGGGGTGCTGTTCCCGGCCAAGATCAACAACAAGGGAAGGGTCAATTCCTATTACAATTGATCCCTCCTGCATAGCCCATCCTTGCAGGGCATATTCGTTGTCGGTCTCACACCGGATGTCGGGGCATGACTGAATGTAGTCGAAGTCGATAATCTTGTCCTGGATGAGAAGGTTGCCATTCACGAAATGTTTAGACAGGGCATTAGATGCAGCCGCCTCAACCTCAGGATCTTCTAGCGCATATTTTCCCTTTGTGTGGCTCACAGCTGGATTTGTTCTTGGAACCTAAATGATGTTAGAGAAAAGTCAACAATCGCACGCGAAGTGAAACTTATGGAGTAGTCATATCAGAACATGGTGTAATCGCATGATCTTGATCCCATGGGCAGCAAACAACAGGGGAAACAGAATTTGATGCTCGTCCAATGTTTTCATCGGTGTGAGAAGGCTGAAAAGGCACACTCTGGCGCAGTGGATACGGACCGAGGCCAGTATAGTGAAGGAGGGTGGAAGTATAGCAGACATTGGGATCTTGCACGCGCTGCTCCTTCGTAGTAAGGTTGTCATTCGGGTTGAACATCACCGAGGTCACGTCGTCCGAAGCTCGAGGAAATGAGACTGGAGGTTGGGGCAAGTTGCCGCCGTTACGACTTGTTTCCATTATGGAGATTTGGGTGAGCGAGCATAGGGTGATATCCTTGGCACTTACGCTAATCAAGAATGCCGTGGATATTGAAGAGTTTAATCGAGAAATGGTGTTGAAGCGTCCTTCATGAGTCCTGGGAGTGTGGTGTTGAATGACGGCGTGGACAACAGAGAAAGCATACAGTATGCAGGAGCAGACACGTGGAGAGAGAATGAAGCTGAGTAACCGCGGTTAAGGAAAGAAGAGAAAATGGAAAGGAAGTGCATTGGGAAGACCCGAAGAGTCTAGATATAGCTGGAAGAATCACTGTACTGGCTGAATATGGAAGCGTTAACTCTACAAGGCGGTAGGAACGGAAATGCTGGTAGACAGTAGGGAAGGGTTGCTTGAGGTCGTTCGTAACTATCCTTGATGAAAGACATAGGTGAATGGGCGACAATAGCTGAGTATCGGAGCAGTTGCCTAGGTGTCACTTTACGTCGGGATAGATTTCCAGGTATCTGGCTTGGGTAGGATGAGGCTTCGCTAAAAGCTGTCCAGACGATTCACTAGCGTACCTACAACACCGGCAGATGCATAACAATCGGAAATGGTATTCCAAATTTAGGGCTAACGTCCCCCTATTGATAGAGCTATATTTATTAGAGGTTATTCAGACATCCGAGCCTCGGCATCAGTTGATATGCGCTGAGTCATCTCGAACTGTCCCAGACTGCGGGGAATGAAGCTTAGAACAAGAGCCATCCCTGTAACAACCCGCTGGACCCTCGAGACGTCCTCGAACATCTGCCTGGCAAACTAGACTTCAGAATTGTGCAATCCACCATGGCCACCCCTAAGATCACACTGTATTTTGACATCGTCAGCCCTTTCGCATACATTGCGTTCCATGTTTTGAAGGCAAGCCCCATCACACATAACCGAGGTTCCTGGTGCCTGGATACTAATTTCCATTTCCAGAACTCGCCAACATTCGCCGGGTGCGACATCAGCTACGTGCCTATTCTGTTAGGAGGCCTGTTCAATGCATGCAACAATACGGCCCCCATCAACATCAAGAGTGAGTGGTAGGCTTTCGTGATTATCAGCCTCCCATTCATCCCCAGCACGAGCAGTACGCTAATATAGCCGTCCACCCAGACAAGGATAAATGGATAAACGTGGAGCGCAGAAGGTGGGCAAAGTACTTCTCCGTTCCCATCAGCGACAACCCGCCCGACGGTTTCCCGCCACGCACACTGGCCGTCCAACGCGCCCTGGCTGCCATCTCGCACAAGTCTCCCGCAAAACTGCCCCTCGTCATCGAGGCCCTGTGGCACTCATTCTGGGTCGAGTCGAACTCCAAGATCGGAGAGCCGGCGGGATTTACTCCCGTGCTTGACGGTGTGCTCGGACAGCAGGCTACCGAGGAGGTTTTGTCCGCTGTGAGTCGTGATGCCTGGCTTGTTTTATTCCATTCTAACGCCGTGCCTAGATTACACAGCCTGAGATCAAAGAAATTCTTGCCTCAAATACCGACCGTGCCTTCACAGCTGGTGCCTTCGGCATCCCATGGTTTGAATGCACTAACTCCGCAGGCGAAAGTGAGGGGTTCTGGGGAATTGATCACCTGGGCCAAGTGGTTGACTTCCTATGGCTGGATCGTAGCCGGGACCCGGGCTTCAAGGCGTTGTTGTGAGCAACCCATGGTCAATATATCAGACACACAGGGTACGGCACCGATTATATGTTAGCAACTCAATCATCTGAAGTGCATGTGTTGCGTAGTGGAAAGAAATACGTCGTATTATCTATACATGCAAGGATTAACAGGTCCGATTCCGAAATCTCACAAATACACTACTGGCCACTAGACATCCATTATCCCAGTAGCCTTCACTTTGTCGAGGGTGGCTGCACAGTGCTGCTGTGCTTCTCTCGCAAAAAGTCGCAAATCCGCTCGTCGTCCATCTGGTCGATTAATTCGTGGTCAGGGTCCGGCGACTGCAGTCCTAGACACGTTACTCTGTGAGTAGGGCGCCGAAAAGAAATAGGCACTCAGGTACTTGAATCGACTTACCCTGTCGTGCTTGACGTTCACCTACTCCAGCAGCCTTGCCTGCAAGGGTATATATACACTCCTGCGCAGACTGCAGCGCCCCGCCGGCCACCGGCACAACGTCATCGAAGATAAGCTCCTTCATCCCGTTCAGATTGAGCTTTTCGCTTGCGATAGTGGTCAAGTCTTGTTGGGTATTCGAGATCGAACTTCCACTAGGCGTTGAGCTAGACTGTTTTTTCATGCCGGCGAGGATACCCTCTGAGCGATTCGGGTCGCTGATCGCTGCATCTGCCCCGTCTCGTGGCTCGCACGAGCTGTCGTGGTAGGCAAAATTATTCGAATCATCCATGATGCGGATATTATACTGAATGCGTGTGTGTGGGAAGGTAAGGTCGAGGTCGAGATCGAGATACAGGGATTAAATTCGGACAGGAACCGTAGGGCTGAACTTGACGTAGGGCTGAGGGCACACGCGTAGCCCGACCTTTCGCGGCGCCAGGGGCCTATGACATCGACATTTGGTGGGAGGACAGTCCCCATGGTCCGGGCCAGGTAGCAAAAATTGCGGGACCCTGACCGGCTCGGCTGAGATCATGGCACGTTTGAGCTGGGTGGGCGCGGTGCCAGGGTGTGGATGAGCACTCTTAAGCCGATCCGTGCCTAGAAATGACGTCGCTGGACCCATCGGGCGCGCCCGGTGCTGAGAGTGGGTTAGGGTGTCGTGTAACATTGAGGGGTGTATAGTTATCGTGAATTTAGGGCGGATGGAGGTCTATGGCTTTGGCACCGTTGCTTATTTTGTCTTGTGAGAGTGTCGGCGTGAGGGTGTTGAGGGTCTGAAGGTTGAGTTTGGGCTGAGCGATGGCCGGGGCCGTACGACCAGAGGGGCTTCTGGTTCTCAAAATTGACTCGAAAGAGGGAAGGGAAATCGGACACGACCCCGTGGATATATCATCTGGATCTGCCATTATGCGTAAGTAATCAATCGTCGCATGGCCCTCTGGTCTCCAAGTTGACTCAGGCAGGCTGGTATACTCCAACCCGCAAAAATCAGGGCCCCACCGGCCCCGCCAAAAGCCGCATCAGGGCAGTCCAGCCAAGTCCCCTCCAACCTCAGCATCTCTCCACAAAAAAAGCCTCCCACCTCCCACCTCCTACCTCCTACCACCACCGGGGCCATCCAACCACCCAAAATGGCGCCCATCCCAATTACAATCATTACCGGCTTCCTCGGCTCCGGCAAAACCACCCTCCTCCTCAATCTCATCCCGCAACTGCCGCCCACGTACCGACTCGCCCTTCTCAAAAACGAATTCGGCGACGTCGCTGTCGACTCCCAGCTTGCCTCCACACAATCCATCTCCGGCGTGCGCGAGCTGCTGAATGGCTGCATCTGCTGCAACCTGGTGGGCCAGCTGAGCGATGCGCTGGAGCAGCTGCGCACCACGGTGTCGCCGGACCGCATCGTGATCGAGACGTCGGGCAGTGCGTTCCCGGCTACGCTGGCGATGGAGGTAAATCGGTTGGCGCGCGAGGGGGAGGGCGATTTCGCGCTCGATGGGGTGATTAGTGTGATTGATGTCGAGAATTGGGAGGGGTATGAGGATACCTCGTACACAGCCAAGTTGCAGGCGAAGTATACGGATTTGATTGTGTTCAATAAGTGGGAGGCTGTTGGGGAGAGGCGGTTCGATGTTTGTTTGGACCGGGTTGGTGATTTGGGGGTTGAGACGCCGTGGGTGAAGTCTGCGCGGGGCGTTGTGGATATGGATGTTTTGCTGGGGATTGATGGGGCGCTGTATGCGAAGGAGGAGGGGCTGTTAGAGGGCGGGGAGGATGGACACGCGCATGCGCATGCCCATAAGCATGACCATCAGTCGGAGGTGGAGGTTTTGTCGGTGCTGTTGAAGGGTGCGCAAGGAAGGACGGTGGATGTTGATGCGCTAGAGCGCTTGTTGCAGCTCGCACCGAGGGAGGAGGTGTACCGCATCAAGGGTATTATTCGCTGCTCGGCGGCGACACCACCCGTGGAGACTTCGGATGATATGGAATCGAGGAAGAAGGGTGATGCCGCGGAGATCAGGTACTATATTCTCAACTGGGCGTTTGGCCGGTGGACCTGCACACCGTCGACCGTGGTTGCCGAGTCGACGGATGAATCTGTGGCTGCGCGGTTGACATTCATCCTGGCACGGTATGAATCGGGCAAGTGGAAGAAGAAGCTGGACGGCGGTGGTCTGATCCACGTTGCGGGGGGAGAGGCCGCCGAGTTAGTCGTGGAACGATTGGTTTGAAACGATGGATGTGACGGAGCTGGTGTCGATGGATACCCATGATTGATGTACAGATTGCCCCTTGTGGGCCATGTTCCGATGATGATACTGGCAGAGAAACCAGCTGGACAGATTAGACGATAGAAATGACTAGAGCCATGAGCTATGAGGCATGAGGCATGCGGGATACATGCTACGAGCTACGAGCTACAAGGTACCAGGCAACAAGCTAGACAAGACTCGTCTACGATGGGTGGCAAAGACCAATAATCCAACATGCCAATGGCAACCGAGCTCGATTCTATCGCATCTCTAGGAGAAAGCAAAGAGCATGACAACGTAAATGCAGCAAAAGTATCGCATCACCTAAATTACCGCCTCCCTCGCGAGAGGCACAAGCACAAATATATATTACGAGCAACTAGAAAAAGGACTCCATCAACGACACAGGGCATGGACAAGATTTCCTCCCGCTCAGAACAAGACTAGTAGTTCAGCAGAGCCGAAGCACCACTCTCGCTGGAGATGTAGATCACCTCGTGGTTATCCGAGAAGCCATTGAAGCGAGTGGCGCTGCACTTGGTGTATGCGCCCATCTCCTCAAAGTACAGCCAGTCCCCCGTGTTCAGGAGCCCCGGCAGATCGATGCGCTGGGTAATCACATCGATGCCGTCGCAGGTGGGGCCCCAGATCGAGTACGAGTTGTTCTCCGAAGCGGCCGAGTTGGGCGTGCCGGGTTGCGAGTCTTCAGCCGCAGACAGCAGCACCTTGGCGACCGGATGCTGGTGGTCGAAGATGATGTTGGAGAAATTGCCATACACGCCGTCATTCAGGTAGAGCATGTACGCGTCCCGCGAGGGATCCAGCGGGTCCGGCACGTCGCGACGGGCGATGACGTTGGCCGCGAGCGTGAAGGCGCTGGCGACGTAGTATCGGCCGGGCTCGGCGATGATGCGGATGTGCGGCGGGAAGTAGGACTCCAGCGCGTTGCTCAGGATGCCCGAGAATTTCTCGAAGGTGTCCTGGCAGAAACCACCGCCAACGTCGAGCGTATGCAGCTCGTGGCCGATCTCGGCCGCTTGATCGAACACCAGACGGGCATCTTGGACAGCCTTGAGGAAGGCGCGCGGGTCCTCGGCACCGGACCCGACGTGGAAGCTCACGCCGACGACCTTGAGCTCGAGCTGGTGAGCGAGTTCCAGCAACTGCCGAGCCACGTCCAGGGAGGCACCGAACTTCATGCTCAGCCGGCACAGGCTGGTTGAGTCGTCCGTCAGGATGCGCAAGTACAGCTCAGCAGCCGGGAAGTGGGCCTTAATCTTGTACAGCTCGTCGGCGTTGTCGAAAGTCATCTGCTTGACGCCAACCTGCGAAGCGTAGCGCAGGTAGGACTTAGTCTTGCAGGGCTGCGCATAGATGATCCGACTGGGATCAATGCCGGTCTGCAGAGCCAGATCAATCTCCGACTTGGACGCACAGTCGAAGCCATTGCCGAGCTGGGCCATGAGACGCAGGACCTCCGGGTCCGGGTTACACTTGACAGCTGATGGTCGTTAACAATTGGGTTCAAAAGAGACAGATGTGATCCTGTGGCCGAAGAGCGATGAGGGACCTACCATAGAAGGGCTTGACACGGCCCAAGTTCATCTTCCAGCGCATGTGCTGGCGGTAGACCTCCCCCATATCCGCCACATAAAACGCATCCTCCTCTCCCGGCTCGCAGCGGTCGGTATCGACCTCAGCGGCACGCTTCTTCAACACATCCAACACCAATTCCTTCGCAGTCAACCCCGATTGCAACAATTCGCCCCCATGTTTGCTGATTTGACCGAGGTCACGACTATTCAAGTCGTTTTTGAGGGTGCGTACATGAGTAGGCGACACACACGCAGTCGGTGCCATCACCGTGCAGCTGCGATTCAGCACGAATGGATCTTTTTTGTAATAAGAACCACAAAAAGAGTAAAAATAAAAATTAAGATGACTAGTCACAAAGACTTATGCGACTGCGTTAGGGAGGACGAAATGTGTCGCAACCGTAGTTGACTGGACCAAGCCTCCTAGACCCTTCCTCCTTAAGAGGAAGAACCTTCAGAGTAGTCCTATGCGGCAGCTCAAAGGTTGAGGGAATATTCCGAGGGGGCGTCAACGGGACGAAAAAAGGCGCACCCGACGAGCTCTCAAAGGACGATAGCAGAAGGAGGTGGAATGTTGTTAAGAGTGTCGCGTGTACGTCGAGTGGAGACAATTTGGCTAAGGAGCAGAAGGAAGGCTACAGGAGCCGTGGTGACGTGGGTTGCCTTTGGTGGTAGGAACCAAAGGCAGGGATCGCTAAAGATTGAGCGAGTTCTGGAAAGAGTAGGAAAGATGGTCAGTGAACCTGGGTTCGGGGACCAGCAATCAATATGAGAGAAAAATTTGGACGGCTCAGAGGGAATGAGGGGGAGGGTGCGAGGCGGGCTCAGATTTTTAAAATTGGAAAGTTCGGGGCGGTGTTAGGGCACAGCGGCGAGAGGTGGTAAAAAAAAAAAATGACGCAGTGTTACACACCGGCGTGTATCTGCGACCGAGGGAGACAACAAGAAACTCACCTGGACAGAAGGCTAAGTACCCAAAGAACGGAGTGATTGGAAAGTGAAGATGTTGGATAGGACGAGGAGGAGAAGTCCTGGGAAAAAGCGCGTACTGGCCGTGGGAGTGACGCTTACGGCAGCACCCCGAAAAGGGCTCGTTGCGGGCAAAGCCCGCACAGCCAAAGCCCACCGCCTGTCGAAGGGTCTCTCGGGCTTAGTCTCAGGGTTAGTTCCTCCGGTTACTGCCCGAGAATGGCTAGGAGACTTCGTTACGCAACATTACTGTAGCGTGACTTGTTATTTGACGTGACGGGACTATAGCAAGCTTTTCCTCTGCTACCCCCACCCACAAACAGGGCTGCGCGACGCTACTGGCGTATCAACTATGTAATCCATACTCCATGTTCATTATAATAATAGCAGCCTAGCCGAAGAGATTTTTCATCTCATGCCTGCCCAACTCTACTATGAGCGATTTCTGGGCGTTCTGGCCAATACTCTAAATTTTGATACTATTGTTTGACCTTCTTCCCCCTCCCTTCAGTCTTTCCAGGCAAGCTGCATGCTGCAGGAGTGGCACTCGTTCCTGCGCCTCACAACACTTTGCCCTCGGAAAAGCTGAGCTCAATCAATTGATTGTCACCACATGCGGTGTGCCAAGCTCCGAGTGTTTGGCCCTCGGTCGTGGCCCTGTCTGCTGATGGGCGGCGCACAGATGCCCCACAACGAGTGAAAAGGGTCAAACCCTAGACTGACTAACAACAATCTGGCATGGTCAAGAAAGGCGCTGACCGACTGCTTAAATTTGCAAGTCCCGACGATTGCAGCAGATGGCCGCGAAGCCTGCGGGAGACGAGGCTCGGCGGGAGCAGCTGAGAGCGCTCCTAGCGGGGGCGAGAAGCGGGCGAGAAGCCGGGCAGAAAAGGCAAAGCGGGCAAAGCCAGCTCGGAAAAAAAAGAGGATGACGCACCGGATCCCGCACGGACCAGCCCGTCACTTTCCCGGAGCTTCGCACAGCCTTGGCAGTATACAGACGTACCAGTATCGTAGTATAAACGGACAGGACAATACTTCGGCTTATGCCCCCTTCTCCACCCCAGACGCCTTCTGGTAGCAGTACATTTCAATCTGATCAACCTGCTCCCACTGCGCCGGCAACGGCACTTGCGCCTGCTGGGACACAAAGCCGGCCGTCCTCATCAGATCGAAAAAGACCGCCTCACTGTCATGCCGTCGCTTTAGGGCCACGAGCACCACTGCCCCCGGGGACCCCCGGACCAATCGATCGAGGACAGACACCAGCGCTGGCAGGCTGTCTGCATTGTACGTACAGTCCGAGACTACGATCAAATCAATGGGCCCGCGGGTGAGGTTCGGCGTCGGCTCATCCCAGTCGAGCGTCTGGAACTTGATGGACGCCGACGGCTTCGGCGAGGCGTCGTTGATATTGCGGGTGACGATCTCGGAGACCTCCGGAAGATCGGTGAGCAGCACCTCGCAATTGGCAAGCATGGTGGCCAGTGCAATGCCAACGATGCCACAGCCAGCGCCGAGCTCGACGACCTGGAGTGGCGAGCGGCGAGGGGTTAGGGACTGGCTGAGGGCGGGCATGCTCTTCTCCGTGCCGGTGATGACCTGCTCAAGAAAAATAACGGCTGCAAGAGCGGCATCCCTAGATCAAATGCCCTTTCTGTCAGAATTGCGGCCAATTGAGAGGAACGTAGGGGATGGTAGACACGAGGAGGTGTAGCTCACCAAATATGCCGGGCAATGCTGTTGCCAGTTTCTTCCCAGATTCTCAAGGGTCGCACGGTGCTTGCGATGTTCAAATCCCGCCGAATCAATTGCTCAGCGGGTTCCCAGCTTGGTCCAAAGGGCGCGCTGCATCCCGATACGACCAGGGGGGTAGTATGCTTTTCTAAAATATCTTTCTCGACATCGGAGAGTTGAATTTTCAACGCTGCTGTTTGTCCGGCCACATCCTTCGGCGCGAAGGGTCCGAGCAAAATAGGCAATTGGCGCGAGCCAGCCAGCCATTTGACAGGCGTCTGATAACGAACTTTGTGCGAGGCATGCTGTACCCATGTCGCCGTCAAGTCCACATCCTCGGCGAGGAAATCGTCGCCCAGGTCCGTAGTGATGCAGATCAGGGCGGAGATAAACACCGATTTTGTCTGCTGCTGGAAGCGCGGCGTCTTCAGGAACCGAATATAATATACCATCTTCACACCCAAAAATGCACCGCAATAACCTTAAACCCCCAAAACGTCAATTTTCGCTTCTCCGATCGTTCCACCGTTCGGTTTACCCCAGACCAGACGAGACCCCACCGCACCCTCACGTGTTATCGCTGACTAAGCTCATATGACATCGCGGCATGCTTCACCAACACGGAACACCCAGCATTCTTATCCCCTCGTCTCGCCAATGACGGCCAGGACGCGCCGATGAAGCCTGCATCCCGCTCGAACCGCGCACTCAAAGGATTCACCACACTCCGCGTCCCAAAATGATGCGCCCGCGCGACCCGCGCATCCGCCAACGGATCAACCAGATCTCGCATAACCTCGAATCCGCCAACGAGTCCGCCCAAGAGGGCCTGTACGCCTTCTCCCAGAACTACCTCTCCCCATGCTTGTCCGAAATCGGCAACTGTGTGCAGGCCTGCACGGCCCCGTGTATGCCCAGCCGAGAGGACCAGTTGCGGCGGCGTCGGCGCAGCCACGCAGAGGCCAACTTCGACTTCTACGATGATTGGGATAATGAAGCTACGGAGGATAGCTTGCTTGGCTGGGGGACGGGCGAGCTGGACCGGCTGCTGGCGGGGAGCGGGCTGGCTCGTGGCGGTGGCACAGAGCAGCCCCGGCGGCCGCGGAAGATGAGCTATGGGACTCGGCAAACCAGGAGGAGTACGGTGCACCTTCCCGATGCCCGTTCTGATCCCACGGTGATACCGAGCTCATCGCTGCTTGGGTTTCTCGAGCGCTTTCCTTGGCGGTTTGGTGCTAAGGGGGTCAAGTATCGGCCGTCTGCGGCGGATCTACAGGAACACCCGGGCAGTCATCACCACTATACGCAGGAGAATGAGCCGCTTATGGAGGCAACCGAGGAGGATGGGCTCTACGTGTCTTATCCGAACAATGGGAGACAGCGGAGTGGCACGCAGTCGTCGCGGGGTACTTCGAACTCGCTGAGTTCGCGGGGCGATCTGTTCCCGAGTGACGAGGAAGACGCGGTCCCGCTGGACGATGAATTCGCGTTGGTCTTTGGGCGGCGAGGAACGGGGCTTGAATCGGATGATCAACCTGGTACGAAAACTGAGATGGTGAGGTCTGTGTCGGGCACGTCGAGCCTCGGCGATGCTTCATCAAAGAAGTCCAAGCGAAAGAAGAACAAGAAGCGCTCGTCGACGAAGACGACCATGAGCTCCGATCATGATGTTATCCACGGCATTGACACGCCGACAATAACGGATCTTAAAATGGAAGAAGAGCGGGCCGCCCGGGAAGAAGAATCTACGGTCCAGAGAAAGCGACTCGCTGCGCAAGAAATGGCCTTGAAACGCAGCCTGGAGCCGAGCAGCGCCCACATGGTACGATCTACTAAGCCGATTTTCTTTTCCTCCCACGGGTTTCTAAACTAACTCTCCATTTCAGACTGCAGCACCTGCAGACCTCGCGACCGGGCTATCTCCGGCCCACAGTCCCAAAACAGTAGGCCGAAGCCAGATGTCCGAGGGACATACTAGGCAATCGAGCGACTCCTCCGTTCGCCAATTTTCAGGTGACCAGATTGAGCCGTTCCCGGCTTTCCCGTTACCGGGACCTTTATTACCCTCCTCTTCACGTGCTGTCGGCATGGGCTCGCCTCGATCTGGCTCTTTAACCGCCGGTGGCTGCCCAGAACACGATGATGAACCCGGACCGCATGATTCCGATGCATTTCATTAAACTCAGCTGTGCTTGAGTTGCGAAAAGCTTTTGGCTTGTCTTGAAGGCCTGCTGTCGGCCTGTATGATATAATGACCTCTGTCTTTGATGTGTCCTATACCCCCTTGATAATATTGAAAATAATATCGACCACCATATTTCTCATTTTATTCCTTACAAGCCTAGTACAGATGGCGGGATCCCTATATTAGGAAAATCCTTTAAAAGGCGCCATTCTTAGGCAGAGTGAATGGCGGACCTTTACCACAACCGGTTTCCGAAAACCCCCGCCGTTTCCGGTCTCTGGGATCTGTCAAATACCACAAATTCAATGATACGGCTGAATACACATGTTGAAAGATTCCGGTCCTTTTCACCCCTACAGCAGACTGCCCATTCTATTCAATATGGATTCAAGAGGACAGGTCAGAGATCTTAAAAGCATGCGAGGCAATGGCGAACGCAAGCGCTACTGTTCCCCACGACAATAAAAAGATATTTATACATGGGAGCCATTGAAAAAAAGCAACCATTGAAATATAACCGAAATAATCATTGTCTGAACTCCCATGTGAGGCCCTTTGTCAGGTGAGTCAAGGAATAGAGGTGAAGTTGATAGTAGATAGCGCTTCCGCGTGTATCTCGGGGTTGCCCTATGTCCCCAGGGACTATGCCTTCGGAGATAAATCAGATTCAGATACAACTTTTTGTAATGATTGGTGATTCCCATCTTCAATTTTGGAGCCATGCCGGGAACGGAGCTCAGAGGCCGAGGGAAACCGGCATAGCTTAGTCTCAATGTTTTCCTTTCCCCCCAATTTTGATTATGCTATCAATATTCGGAGTTTAAATGCTGCTCGTTCTGTAAATCCCGGGATAGGAAGGCAAAGGAATAGCAGGAAGCCGCCTCGGGGTTTTCCCAGGGCGAATAGCCGTTCCCCGAAATGTTCACAGCTCAGACCAGAGGTATCCACCTACCCGCGGGGCCTCGTCGGCATCCCTCCAGATGATCTGTCCCTGGACATTCCCTCTTCCCTGTGGGCCAGAACAGCTATATAAGTGCTACCAGCCGGGCACAACTTCGCACTTAATCTACAAACTAGTCCCCGACTCCTCGAAGCCCACTAGTGCTAGTAGCCTCCGTCATGGCCAAAGCAGAGTCCGATCTCAGGTCCATGCTGAGCGAGAACTATGACCCCCATCAGTTCCCCTGGTATGAGCCGCAGCTCACAGAGGTCGAGCCAGAGGCAAGGGAACTGCTTGAGAAGTATAGCCATATCCCACCCCACGAAGTAGTGCCGCACGTGAACAGCCTGGTTCGTGACGACCCCCGTCATCGGCGCTAATGCCTAGTGGTCCATGTTCATACTGACAGTGTGTATCCACCATGCACAGCGAGATCGAGCGTTTGCTGTAGTACGTACCCTGAACCCAATTCATCCCGGGCTTTGGATAGCTAATCTGTCGGCGACATTTGTGTGCAATACTAATTCCTTCTAGTTTCCCTACCCTTGCGTCGGCGCTTTCCGTTTTCTGGATATGAGTATCCCCCAATCCCCGATCTACGACGAGATCCTGGAGCGTCTCAAGTCTGGCCAAAAACTGCTGGACGTGGGATGTGCCCTCGGGCAAGAACTGCGTCAATTGGTATGTCCAGCTCACAAGTTCAAACCCAGAAGACTAAAACAAAATCCTGATATCGAGGTATATAGGTCTTCGACGGCGTAGCTTCTGAGAATCTGTACGCGGCTGATCTACGCCGCGACTTCTTCGAAGTCGGCTACGACCTGTTCAAAGATCGCGAGATGCTGAAGTCAACATTCTTTGAGGCCGACATCTTCGACGCAAACTCCGCGCTGGTGCAGCAACTCACTGGCAAGGTGGATATCGTCAACGCGGGGTCTTTCTTCCACCTGTTTAACTGGGACCAGCAAGTCGCAGCCGTCAAGCAGGTTGTTGAGCTCCTGCGCCCGCAGCCTGGTTCCCTGTTGGTGGGTCGACAGGCAGGGCGCAAAGACCCTGTTGATCCTGATGACAAGGAGAATGCGCCTAAGCGGTATCGCCATGATATTGAGACGTGGAAGAGGCTTTGGAGACAGGTTGAGGAAGAGACGGGAACGAAGTGGGAGGTGGAGGCTTGGATGGAGCCCTGGGAGGGCGTGGATTCGGTGTTCAAGAAGTATCATCCTGGCGTGGAGACTTTTAAGCTGCGGTTTATGTCAAAGAGACTGTAAATGCGCCCTGCTGGGTGATGTTTGTGGTCAACGTCTTAACTCGAACGGAGTGCACATCTATATCAGTGGGGGTGGCTGAGAGATTTAATATGATGGCTGCTCAGTTTGACATGCTTCGTTATGCTGTTGCAAGAATCGACAATATTTATGAACCACACACGACCCGTGGATGTATTAATGATCATCTCGAACAAAATCTGGGAGCCCATTACATTTACCTCAGCACGAAGTCATCACCACCTTACGCAGTCGCTCTCCTTTCTATCTACAGTAGGTCTTGTCTCCTGGGCTGGTCGCAGCGACGGAACCTTTTGCAACACAGATCTACGAGCCATCGCGAGACAGATCTCGAGCCGCGTTCCAGGGTGATACACAATCCAGCTGCCAGGACGTCAAACTCAGAAGACAGATATAAAGACGGCAATCTGCTAAGGACGAAACAACCTGAGATCGTAAGGAAAAACACATTCAGCAAAGACTAGAAGGTGAAGTCCTTTATCTAGAAAAACCCCCCTTCATAGATCATGCTATTTCCGTCCAGCAGACCCAATATAAGCCTTGTCTTTGGCAATCGTCCAATCGAACCAGCGTCTCACAAGCGGCCAAACAATGACACTCACTATCGCAACAATTGAGTCCACGATGCCGAAACCGCGTCGAGGCGACAATCCCATCATACCACCAAAGAGTAATGACGCTTCATACTCGCTGCAGATAATGAACTGCTGCTTGTCCACGGCCGCGATGATTGCATCCGCCACCTGCTTCGAGCTGTGTAGTTTCTTCGAGAGCTCTGATAACGGGGCCGTTGTTCCTTCGAGCTCTTTGGTCAGCGGGGGCTTGGTGTTCTGCTCGTCGATGAAGGACGGGGATATGAAGTTGGAGGGGAAGGCGATGTGCACCGAGTACTGCGAGGCTGGACCGGAGTAGCGCATGAGTTCGCAGCGGAGGGTGTCGGCAAGGGCTCGGACGGCGCACTTGGCGGCTGAGTTGATAAGGACCATTAGTTTGGGGTCTTGATCTGGTGGTTGTCCCTGGAGATGGGTAGACTAACGCGTATACACGGTGTATCCCGGGAACGCTACGAATGACGCCGCACTGCTAACAAATACGAGCTGCCTCGGTTTTGGGGCCGGCTGGCAACCAGCCGCTGGCTGGAACGTTTTATCATCCTCGGTCCATAGTTTCAGCATCGCTTGGGCCGGGTAGGCGCTCGTGAGGTAGTTGTTCGTCATGCATCGCGAAATGGCGTCTGCGTCGAGGTCGACGAGAAACCCAAGTTCATTCGTCGTGCCACCTGCTACGCAGTACAAGATATCGGGGAGCCGGGGCTGCGATTGGAATATCTCCTTGATCTGTTTTATGTATTAGACATGAAGTAGATTTTGAGTTCCGAGGGATCCATGGGCGAACCCTGAGTTTACCTTGGTAGCATCGGATAGGTCGAGCGACTGAACTGTTATTTCCTGACTAGCATGCTTTCGCACGGCTAGCACCTCGGACCTGGCCTCGTCGAGCTTCTGTTGGCGGCGTGCGAATATGGTAATATGGCAGCCTACACGCCAGTTAGTTCCTGGGTTTGTAGTATGTACCCACAAGCAGCATCAAGACAAAAAACGTCTACATACCTCGCTTTGCCAGGCTGATCGCCAAATCCCGCCCAAGCCCCGTGGATCCGCCGGCAATAAAGACTGTCTAGAGGAGTGAAACAGGGTTTCCGTCAGGAGCTCACTCTAACTTGTTGTCCCATGTTTGCGTCGAAAAAGGGGGGAGCTACCTTGCCCGTCAGGTCCTTCATCGCGCCAATTCTGCAGCTCCAGCAGCAGGCCGAATGCACTACAGAAACTGAAATTGGAAAAAAGGTCTCCCGATATGCAGCCTGATGTGGACAAAGCGAGATAGGGGGTGGTAGAGGCGCAGAGAGGCAGAGATGTCAGACGGCAGTTGAGCCCCCCGCTCGACGGAATCCGGGGCTGGATCGCCCCTGCCAGGCACCTGATAAGCCCCCTGAGGCCCATTCTGGCGGCTGGTCCACGGTAGGGAAAGGGCCGATGGGGTGCGGGATTCAGGCGTCTGTATGACCTTGCAAACAGGGATGCCTAATTCCGTTTCTTTCTGGTATTTGTATCTGGAGACCTTACAGTAGGGACACTACGATAAAGGCGCAACCGGATCGGCATTGGCCATTGCATTTGCGAGTAATTACGGTCAGATTGGAGAGATGTTGGATCTCAATGATTTAATCCTCTCTATGTACCGTGGTATTCGACTTCCTTCGGGATTGCAATGGGGTTTGTTATATGGTCGATGCTCATGAATATTATTACCTGGGGGTATACGTGGAGAATCGATGTCAATCCCAGAAAAGCCAAGAGGATCAGGCTTGCAGCAGCAAAACAGAACCAAGCCACGTTGGACGACGTGAATATCCACGCTGGGGAGAAGAACAGGAAGCGAGAGAAATCTTATGTGGAAAAGTCTGGAACGAGAGGAAATGAAATTGATAGGCAGAGACTTCCGCAGTGCAGAAGTATTTAGAATAAAAACATTCGGATCTGCTCGGATCTGCACTATCTCTATACTCTCTATACTAGTAGATAAGATCTCCTCCCTGTCTGAGCTTTCTTAACTAGTTCTGTCGCAAGTTTCGGCATTCGGCGGTGCACGCCGGTACACGCCATTGCGGGGACCGATTTCTTTATCGAATTGCCCTTCAATTTCCCCCTCATCCCCCCTTGCGCCATCTATTTTCATTCGCCTTGAGCAGTCTAGCCAGACTAATCGGACCCCAAACTTCACTCTCGGAGCTGTTGAGAGTCTCATTTATCAACCTTCCTCCGGCATCATACACAGCATGAAAGCCAGTCATTTTTCGGCCGTTGCAACACTAGCAAGAGTCGTCCTCGGCTCCAAGCTTCAATATCCCATAGGCGGAAGTGGCCTTCATGGAACAAGAGATTCGTCTGAATTCGAGAATATAATCGCTTCGTCGCCCCTTCTGGCATTCCACAAGGCTATTGTGGAGATCTCATCTATCAGTGGGGATGAGAAAAATGTGGGAGAATTTGTCCTCGACTTTCTATCGTCGCAGAATTTCACGGTCGAAAAACAGATCGTGGCTCCAGAAACCGGGCATAGTAAAGATCGGTTCAATATCTACGCCTATGTTGGTGACAATCGATATCCCGATGTACTGCTGACCAGCCACATCGACACGGTCCCACCTTTCATTCCGTATTCTCTCCACCCGCCGAGCTCGGGCGCTGCAGAAGGGCCGACATTCAATCGCACAGAGCTGATGATTGCCGGCCGTGGCACGGTCGATGCCAAAGCCAGCGTAGCCGCCATCATCTTTGCTGCTATCGAGACTCTTCACGACAAGCCCGATGCCTCGGTCGGGTTGTTATTTGATGTCGGCGAGGAGAAGCTTGGTACAGGCATGAAACATTTCTCCGACTCAGATCTCAATCCAACCCCGTCAACATTCCATACAGTCATTTTCGGGGAGCCTACTGAGCTCAGTCTTGTGGCCGGTCATAAAGGGTCTCTGGGTCTGAAGGTTATCGCCAAGGGCAAAGCTGCCCATTCAGGATACCCCTGGCTGGGGCAGAGTGCGATCTCATCCATCCTCCCGCTCTTGTCCCGTCTCGACAATTTGGAGAATATCTTGCCTGAGAATGGTGGGCTTCTTCGAAGTGACAAATTGGGCAAATCAACTTTGAATATTGGGGAAGTCCATGGCGGCGTCGCCGGCAATGTCGTTCCAGCCTATGCCGAAGCATTAGTCTCAGTCCGCCTCGCAGCAGGAACACCGGATGATACGAGAGAAATTCTCCAGAGGGCTGTTGAGGATCTCACCGGAAGTGAGGGAAATGTATATCTGGATTTTGGAGAAGGAAAGGCTGGTGGTGCTCCACCTCAGCATTTCGACGTGGACGTGCCTGGGTTTGACGTTACTACTGTGAATTACGGCACCGATGCTGCCTCACTGCACATCCATGACCAAGGTACCAAGAGGGTTCGTCGCTATTTGTATGGCCCCGGGAGTATTCACGTTGCGCATGGCGATAACGAGGCAATCACGGTGGGAGAGCTGGAAGAGGCGGTGGACGGGTACAAAAGATTAATCTCAGCTGCACTATGAGCATCCTGGTTAGAGACATAATTAAAGGTTTGGGTTCTCGACTTGAATGTTCCCATCTCTACCTATCTCCGCGACAAGTTCTTGCAAATTCATTGCGAATATGCCAGTAAGCTTGTTAGAACGGCGCAAAGCCGTTGCCCGTACAGCACCGGTCATCAGTATCTTGACAACGCCGAATCTCCTGCGCCGCGAGTTCGTTAACTTCTCCGGCAACCTTTTAGTCGGGCATGGACTACCAAAGCGCTTTAGACAATGCCACGGGAGCAATCAGGTATCGTCTTTTCTTCCTTCCTACAACTGGATCCGGTGGTGCTTCCAATGCCATTTCTCCTACGATCTGGTCAGAGCAGTCTTTCGGAGTTCCTGGTGCAGAGTGCACATTTGTGAAATTTGGGAAGTTGAATGACGACGAAATGTCTATGTGGATATTTAGGACAGCCTGATCAATCTGGTTTGGGTTGACTATAAACATGGCTTCAATTCTTGGACATTTTTGAAAGTTTCACATTGCTGGTTCGTTATAGATCATTGCACAATCAATATATAATGTCACCCAATCAACCCGCTTTCTTGATTTGGAGTCTCATTCCCAAATATTCGGTTCAATGTAGATGGCAAAGCACCGGGTGGGTGTTGTGCATTGTTCCATTGCGAGTTGGCCGAGAACGAGGGGCCACTGTTGGACAAAAGACCCGGATCATAAGACATGCCTGTCTGTGGGTCCTGAACATGATTCGTAGGCTTTTGGGCCTGGGAAAAGGGCAATGAGCCATGGAAAAGCCATGGTGGGTTTGCTAGAGACATGATGTCTTGGTCAAAAATGGTCCACGACTCGTCCCCCATCGGCCCAGGGAGTACTAATGCCGAGCTGGTATCTGGCGGCGTATTCATTGCTTGCATGCTGGACTCGAGGCGCTGGGATAAAACAGTATGGATGCTGGCTGCGGACTGATGGCTTCGTTTTAAGCTATATAAATGTGCTTGGATGAGATGAAGGTCTGTGTGTGCAATATGTTAGAAATCCACATGGTTTCTTCACGCGGTGAGAGTATCACAAACCGTCTTGATGCGTCATACCATCCTCCACACCACGAAGAAGTAAAATAGCAGCCCATGTGATCATCTATATTTTTTTCACCGTTAGAAAACATAAAGGAGCAATTAGAGTTGTAGGCCTCACGATCAGATCCCAATTGGACCAAATGCTAGCATCATCCTGCCGTAGCCTCAATACAGTCCTTGCTGAAACAAGTAATTCGTGTCTTTCAACCGGGGTAATATTTGCGGAGCTCAGATCAAAGCCTCGAGCAGGATAGTAAATAGACAAGACATAAAGCTTGTGCAGATGATATTGTAGCAATATCAGGATCCCCTGTCGATCCGAAGGGGTGGGTTCTAGGAGGAACGGTCTGGTCAGATTCGCATGGACCCATATCTCTATAGGCTCATTAACTTACGAGATGCCCCATTGTATAATACCAACCAGTCATCTAGCTTACGTGCCCAAAGCCGGATGACCTCAGAATCGTGCTCAGTAAATGAAGACTGGGAAATATGGGTATGGCCAGAAAGGTCTTCGTTTATTGAGCACCAAATAGTCGGCAGGCCTCTGCCAACAAAATGACTCAAGCCATAGTGCATCATGTCAGCGAGACCCTGAAACGCATTCGGTTGTTGGCTATCCAGTCGTTGGATGCTGGGTGAGGGTGGCTGGCGAGGAAGCAGAGGATAGGACATGTGCATCGAGGCGTGTTCAATATCAATAACCTAAGTGATATTAGCGAGCGCACCTCCTCGCCAAGGTGTGAGCCCTGACCTGAAGACCCGAAAACAGCCCCCGCCAATCGGGTGTGGAATGATCCAATTCAGATGGACAATGATCCAGCCAGATGCGATATGCGATGGCAATCCATGACCCGGTAGCATCAATATAAGCTTCGGAGCTCAGGCTTGCCATTATCAGGCCCAATATATTGTGGAATGCCTTATCCTTCTTGCTTTGCACAGACGCCGCCCACTTTCCGTCCGCACGAAATTGATCTCTGACGAAAGAGTCTGGTCTGACGCGAGGTGTCACGAGCTCCGCAATTGCACTGCATGTAGCTGCAAAATAGCCCGATTCCATCGCACCCAACTCAGATGACTGGTGATGAAGGGCAGAAATGTAAAGCACGGAAGCAAGCAGTAATGGTGTTGGCTTAGCGAATGCGTCCTGGTCTTTCAAGAAATGAAGGAGTGGCAGGTTGTTCAAGAATCTTTACTAATGTTAGGCCTGGCCAAGGATAACAGAGCAACACTTACGAGCTCCACAGTTGTTTCACAATTGGTCGAGACCAGACGCTTTCATCTGGTACAGGGTGAGCCATAGCCCTTAAGTGAGCAACAGCATTCCAGACTCCACGTAACGGCAGAGAATCTGTATCATCATCGAGGTCTAAACTTTGGGTGGTCAGAGCCTCTTCAGGTGTTTCCTGGGTGATTCCCAGTGCGATCTCGATTCGATCCAGTCGATCAAGAATTGACTGCTGATCATACACCGATGGACGAGTCGCCGAATGGTCACTTTGAGCCTCTTCGACCGATTCGTGCAATGCAGATGCCTTATCGGTTGTTAGTATACTGCGTAAATCGGGTAGGCCTCTTTCAGCACATACATTAGCTCGGGGCTTAAAAACACACGCCGTCTGAGTGTGTCGACAACGACGGCAAGGAGGTGCTCCTGAGACCTCACATTTCATCTGAAGACCATCAGTTGATCTGCGCATTCCTCGGGATGCCCCTGCTGACGGGTACCTTAAGTCTCCGGCAGTTGACTAAATAGGGCGTTAGTCCTGCGCCAGCATTGACATTTGGCGCGGCACCTACCACATGCCTTGGTCGGCTTGGGGCCTAGGACCATGTTGCCCTGCTGATTCATCGTGTTCCCAGACGCTTACATCGTATGGAGAAGAAGGCTGGAGTCCGCGCTTCTCCAGGGTGCCTTATCAACGGCCACGTGAGCCGAGCTGAAATCAACCCCCTTATCCCGGGGTTAGCGCTAACTGGATTGGGGCTGTTTGGGTTTCTGTTCTCAAATCCTTCTGGCAAGACGCAAAAAGACTTCAATTTGGAACTATCAATATAACATATCTGGGATCTCCGTCCTTTTTACCACTTGGGCCTCTTCGGTATCCATTTGGACGCCTGGGATTCCAGGAACCCTTTCTTAGCAGATTCCGGCTGTACAGTATCCTTTGGCGGGATGGCGGGCTTTTCATCGGACCGACTCTCCTTGATGTCGCGTTTCTCATCCGTTGAGTTGGGAGTCAATCTTTCCACCGCCCACTGCAACTTCGCTTGCCTTGCACAGCTGATAGGGGTCTGTTTGTCCTTCGCTTCCGCAGATGGGTCCGCACCCGCCGACATCAAGATATCGATCAGCCGTTTGCGAGACTCCTGGACCTCAGGCTCCGACAAGAGTTGTGGCTGATTTTCGACCTGTAAGGCAATTGCGGTCAAAAGAACCAGGAGAGGTGTCTTGCCATCCACATCTCGCGCGTTTACATCGGCACCTGCCCCTACCAGCTGCTTCATGACCGCTTCAGGGTCCATTTTGACCATCGCTAGATGCAGGGATGTTCTCCCAGCGCTATCTTTACTGTTCACGTCTGCGCCGCCTTTCAGCAAAACATCAAGTGTGTGCTCGGCATCTTTCGCCTTCGTCGCAATGTGCAGCGCGGTCTGGGCGTTGTTGACCGCGTAATAAGTCTGCATCAGGTCCCTGGAAGCCTTCAGACTTACCAAGCCCCTCACTGCGGATACAGTGCCCACGCTGGTCTTCTTATTGGGGTCCGCTCCCCCTTTAATCATTGCTTCTACTAGCTCCTCCAGACCAGGAATGGCGGCTGCTTTATGCAGAGGCGAGACCCCAGACCCATTAGTGACATTCGGATCGGCTCCTTTCTCCAGGAGGGCTTTCACGGTTTCCGTGGAGCGGCCTCCGACAGCATAGTGAAGTGGTGTGTTCCCTCCTTGCCGTGTCTGTGCGGTGGCCTTGGCACGTCCATTGAGGAGCTCCTTGACCATTCGGAGGCCGGCATTGGGCCGTTTAGACGCGGCAAAATGCAAGGCTGTGCGGCCTGGATGAGAAATGCCAACGGTCTCGGCATCCACCATGGCACCGTTCTTCAAGAGCCATGCAACCATGTTGACTGCCTCCGAATCAGCGGCGATGTGGATGGCGCTCCAGCCGGACATATCTGGTGCACAGATAGCAGATGGTAGCGAAGTGATAGATTTGCCCCAAGTGGTGGCCTTGTCGGCCAGCCAGGGAAGATTCAGTCTTGCTGCGACGAATAGCAAGCTGGTACTACTAGAAAAGCCGGAATCTAACAGCAGAGATCCATGATCAGTGTCTGCGCTTCGAGCTTCCAATCAACAACTGCACTCACATTTACCGGATGTCCACCGCTTCAAGAGATCATATGACTTCACCCAGGTGAGCAAAGCGGCCGAATCTGCGGCGAAGAACTCTTCCATGCCTTTCACATCTACTTCCTCCTGTATTTGACTTTCTCGGAGGTGATGGCCCAGGGACTCGACCGAGTACTGGAGAAAACTGAATCCCTCCAGGTATTGTTGCCTCACTGCCATGAGTTGACTCTGTTCAATCAGCCCGTTATCATTGACTGGGGGCTTGGGCACTTCGCGTTTTTGAACTTCCTCGAGCATAAGGTAGGCCAAGCAGATGGACGCAACTCGTCGGTGAGCCTGTGGAATGGCCATCCCATATCGGGGGTATTCTGACTCTCCTTCGGTACTGAAGATATTCGACAGGAAGTCCTTGACTGACTGATGGGCCAGATGGACCGTATCTTGGTGCACAACAAACAGGGCACCCCAGTTGTTCACAAGCTGGCTCCGCAGTGCCTCGACATCCTCCTTTGAGCTTAACCCTCCGACCTGCCCTTTCCCCTCCTGCAGGGTCAAAACGACATCCAATTCTTGGAGCGTCAAGGGTCGGTCTGCAAAATATACCCACATCAGCAGTGTCTGTAATCTACTAGCTGATTCTCGTGACTGCCGTTCCAACATTGCTTTGTAAAAGGCTTCGACATCTGGTGGGACGCTATGCAGCCTCTCCTTTACCTTTGTCTCTGTCCAGGAACCATCCCAGGTACCGAGATCATCCAGGACGAGCGACAGCCACATGAACATGCCCTTGCAATTTTCCTTTAACAGGCTTGTTGTGAATTTGTGGATATTTTCAGGGAATCGGCGGTACTCCTGAATACTTGTCACTCGCTTGTTGGTGAACGCATTAATGTCACTCTCGTTGTCCTTGGATAAATCAATGGTATACCCTGGAAGCATTCTCTCGCTGACAATTTGGCTGCCTCTATCCGAAATGATGCAGCGCAAGCGGAAGTTTTGGCCTTGTTCGCGGGATCTGGCGTTTACCTTGTCGGAAAGATCGGTGATCAAGCGAAGAACGGCGGGCAAATGAGGCCCGCACTGATCTAAGCCATCGATGATAAAGTAGGTGATCTCCACGTCCGGGTCTGAGCCAACTTCTTCAAGGATCTTCTGCAGAACATCGAGAGACTGAAACTCGTCCGGATCGGACGTCATTGTGTCCAGTTCTTCGATATTTTGCAGATGCTTCTGTGCGTACTTGACCAAGGTCCGATTTTGTAGAAACGTCTTGTACAAAAGCGTTCTGAAAATCCCAATGGGCGTCCGTCGCTGTTCCACCTTGTCATCACAGAAGCATGCAGCCGCTAAGGTCTTCCCTGGAATGCCAAGTTCAATCGAGAGTGGCTTTTCAATAGAGAGTTGCTTTTCGCTCATGGGTGATGTTGGAGATGACAGTGATGGTGTACCCAGACGCATCCGTTTCTCTAGCTCTCTGGCCAGAAACATCAACAAGACACTTTTCCCACTCCCAGGTGTACCCTGGATATACAGCGGCGTATTCTTTGGATCGTCCGCCTGGATCCAGTCACGGAAGGGCGCACTCTCGAAAACCCATTCGCAGGTCCCGGGCTCGGCGCGGCGGATGTCCCGTCGATCTTTGGCATCACCCGCAATCAATGCATCGAGAATTTTATCCTCGACCGTCTTTTTCTCCCCTGATACATTGATCCGTGAAGGAGGAAACTGTTAGCCTAGCTCTCTAGAAGTATTGACGCGTCTTCTACTTGCATACCCATATACACAGAGGCACCGGCTGCAATCGTGACCCCCTGTATGGAATCGCTATAAAACGATGCCTCAATGGTGCCGAGATTCTGGCCCATTTGGAGTCCCTTATTCTCCGATTTGGAGAAGTCCGCGTTCATGGTCGCCGCCTACTCATGTCATTAGCCTTTGTACGTTCTTATGGAATTGTTTGCCCGTACTTCTGCTGCAACACTCGCCGATGCCATCGTGGTGGATTTCAATGGAGCTCAACACTGTGAAAAAATCGATAACTAAGAAGTGAGAAAAATGTCCCCTCAGTTTTCCAACACTAAGAGCTTCCCCTCTCATTCACTACTGAGCTATTTCTCTGATAGCCGGACAGTTGCGGGGACCTCGTCGCTTACGCAAAATATATCCACATTTCAGATTTTAAAAGGCGACCGCTTGGAGGGGTCGTGGGGGACCACTAGTAGTGAGCTTATGCAGATCACGCTTGCCTCTTATCGAGTGCTAGTCTCATTCGCCTGTCCTCGTATTAGCCGTATTAGCTGAGGTCAGTAGAGGCGATTGGTAACAGATCAGCCCTTTCCGCCCGCACCCGCATCCCCACAACTGTCACAACGCCGTCCACGGCCAAATACTTACAGTCCAAGCTTGAGCTGCCTTTGTCGAGCTTACATTGAGATCTGTTATGGATTTATCCCCTTCGCATCCCATGGGGAACCTTGCTCTGAGATTTCTGAGTCTGGAGGTTTACAGATGTCATTCCAGTGTGTTTCGTCGCCTTATCCTACTTCATATCTTCCCCCTAATCCGTCTTTTTTCAATTTGCACTAGTTGAGCTATTTTACAGATTGAAGCGGAGATGAGGATTGTGGAGAGCTGAAGGAGGGGCGTTGATTTGGCAATGACATGGCAGAAGCTGACTGGATCGGACATGGGCAACGTGCATCTGGCCTGGAAAGATTGCGGTATCAGCTGCTAATGACTTCCCCTCAGTGGAATTTCCTGTGGAGTACTACTAAGACGCATGCGAGTGAATAATCATCCCATGGCTAGCTCTGCACGTCTATATTTGTGCTGAAACTGGACTGATCTTCTCAATATTCCTGGCAATTCTGTATCCAAAAAGATCTAACTACACAAATCTACTGTCAAAATGTCGGTTAATATCATCAAGGATCCTTCGAACGCCAAACTAGAGTAAACAACCCTTTCCCCAAGCAACTCTCTGATCCATGGGCTAATCATTGAGGGTTATATAGCATTGTCTTCGTTCATGGATTGAAAGGCGAGCAAGAAGACTGGACATCGGCAGAGAGTTCTATCTTCTGGCCTGAAAAGCTTCTCCCTGCACAGGTCGCGGACGCACGTATCTTGATGTTTGAATATGATGATGCGACAATTGATTCCTTTTTTAATGAAGAGGACCTGATCGCTGGTATTTCGGATGACCTTGTCACCGAGCTTATGGGCGAACGGCGCGGTGATTTGGTTTGTATCATTTCTCGGCTTTCGAAGAGGAATCTGCCCTGGATTTACTAATAAATTTGGTGTGCAAATAGGCAGAGCGTCCTGTGATTTTCGTTGCCCATTGTTTGGGAGGCTTGGTGGTTGAATATGTTAGTATCATCCCTATTCAACTCCTTGAAAAAAAGCAAAAAGAAACCCCCAAAAATCAAAAACATAGGCTGACTTCCTCGCTTCTATTTTTTAGGCGCTTGTTCGAGCCTGTCAACATGAGAAGAAAAAGGCTCTGGCCAGCTCTACCCAAGGCATCATTCTCCTCGGAACTCCCCATTATCAGCCACAAACAGTGAACGAGGCTATCAAGTATTTCCAATTAGCCCAACAGACAGCCCCAAGTCCTTCCGAACTTGAAGCTTTGTCACAATTTGTTTTGACAATCCCCCGACACTTTGCCCAGTTCAAACAACAGTCGCCAGTGAAGGTTGAATGCTTCTATGAAGGAGCTCCAACCAAGGTGAACGATCAAGAGATCAAGATCGTGGATGTTTCCGTGGCCAATGTCCCTGATGGGTCTCCTGCCACCCGCCTAGCAGGCAACCATCATCAGATGAGTCGGTTTGCTAGTGAGAAGGACAAGGACTTCAAGCGAATTTATCGAGTCCTCCAGGAGTGGGTGGAGGATCTCCCTGCGCCTGAGGAGAAAGGCACGGTGAACAATATTTCCAACGCGTCCTTTGCTGGATCCACCAACAGCGGTTATCAGCTTGGTCAGAACGTGGGTAACCAGTCTGGGTTTGTTTTCGGTTCGCGGTAAATACTAGTCCTAATGGCAGTTTGAGTCAATTTTGTTGTGGAGACGTTCTCTTCAGTTAGTCTCTTAGTCTCCGTTGGTTCATCCTCGGGTTGTTTATGGGTGTGGCGTACTGTAGATCGGCCGACTACTCGTGGGAGTGCCAAAGCTTTAAACTATTTCCCTTATCGCTATGCTTTTTGCCGGATAAAAATCTACTGAAATAGCTGGAATTAAACCATAAAATGCTGATATTTTGTATACCAGCTATCGGCCTCCATAAGAGCCGGGCCCGGTAAGGCATCGTAGCCGGGAAATTAGCTAGTATACAATTGCGTCGAAGAACGGGGTATAGGCGGTGGGCAGTATGCAGCAGGCAGTGAGTATGAAATAGTTTCAAACTTTTGCACTAGCACTATACTAGTGCTAGCGGCGGGTTGAGTGAATTTTTGTTGTGGAGACTTTTTTTTTTCAGTCAGATCTCCGTCGGTTCATCTTCCTCGGGGGTGTGGCGTACTGTGGATCGGCATACGTACGTTGAAGTGCCAGAAATTGGCAATAATAGCCGTCGAGAGAGACCGGCGTCTCCGAGCCTAAATGATAAATTTTATTGGCTGTAACCCCACAGTACCGTCATCCAAATCGAGCGACCTGCATAGAAGTTCCGATGCGACAGCCCACTAGCTGGAGAGTGGTGAATGCCGACTACTGTCCGTAATTAGTGCGTCTACTGTATGTACACTATCATGCCTTCATACAGAACGGCTCTAATTTTGCCTCGAGGCCCCCTGGTCGTCACTGAATCCAGTGGACGCGTTGCGTTCAGGGTCAAACGAGAGAAGACTTGGGCCAGCGCAGCCCGATGTGAATCGTTTGCGGGGCCGTTTGTATACCGAACAGGCTCTGGATGACAGTGAGCAAACATGCGCTGCATCTGCTACGTGGCGCTTCTCATTGTGTTTTGTCTCATCCGACAGAACGTGACGGACTCGAAAAGAGACTAGTGGAGGACGGACCATTTCAGCTTTCACAACTTGCGCCACTGCAAAGATTTCGTCGCAAACTATGCTACAGTATCAGGAAGGTGAAAGTTTGTATTTCGGTTGCTCCGAATTACACAAAATGTAATTAAAGCATTCCTTCCAATAATACAATACTTGGGTTCTCAAACACAACGGGTCGTGGTATATCTGATTAATACACCGGGAAGGCCGACGAAGCAGCTCCGGTCGTCTTAGCGATTTGAAAGCCAACGCCAGTTTTTCTCTATCTACTCTTTACACCCCGCACTAATACACCTCTTAGATCCGTTGCACTCTATCATCTGGTAAAAGCCCTTGTCTTTGCTCGGTAATCGTTGTGGGAACATGATCACTCAAGTCCCAGTTAGTCCGACGGGGCAAGCTGCCTCAGACTTGGCTCAGCTATGGCAAGAGGCTGTCCAAGCATACGAGAAGGAGACTGGCAAAAGTCTTCAACTCGGGCATTTCAGGAGCATGGACGATGTCATGAGCGGCACCGAAAGCCTGTCCCAGAAGTTCAAAGACTTTCGGGACGACAAGTCCAAAGTCTCTAAAGTGCGGACCGCATTCAAGAATAACATGTGGCTGATCCAGAAGATTGTGAACACTGTTCAAGTAGTTGGGAATGTCGCATCAGTAAGCCCGCAATCTAGAGGAACGATTGAAAACACCATTGTCTAATCCTCTTAGGCCTTTCCTCCGGCTATGCCCGCGAGCTTGATTTTTTCGGCCTTCGGGCAGGTCATGCAGGTAAATGAATGCTCAACGATGGACCCACATTTGCGTGGGAACATGTTATTAAATATGTTTAGTCCTTTGCGGATGTGTCGGCCGACTACGACAAGGTCATGGGCTTTTTCGACTACACACATCGGTTCTTCGACAGACTTTCTATCATTGACCAGAAAATGCCCAATTTACCTCAATTCCAACGCTGTGTTACGCGGGTATTCTCGAGCATCCTCAAGATCTGCTCGGCTGCACAGAAGTACTGTGCAGAGAAACGATTTAGTGAGTCTTTCAAACCGTTTCGCTCTTCCTGCCATTTTTCATTGCTAACATCTGAACCAGAGAAGTGGTTTGAAAGCCTCATGAAAGGAACCGATGGAGCCCTAGCATCCGCTAGTGCGCAGTTGGACGAGGCTGTGAACGAGCTCAGTCAAGCGGTCGGCTTGTCCACGCTACGAACAGTCCAGATACTTGATGAGGTTGTTCAAAGTATGAATGGAAATGTCGAGTTCCTGGTCGCAAATGCCAATCTTATCGATGAGCGAACGCAAGCTATTGAATCCAACACGACCACGATCATGGAACAGAACAAGGAACTCGAAGCCAAACAGGATGAAATGACAGCTCTCCAACGGGAAGCGCTGGAGAAGGTGACAGAACAATCTCGGATGCTCAATGAAGTCGTTGGGTATTTTGGATCTGTTCAAATGGGGGAGAACTTTGGCAAGAGCTTCCAGACCAGTCTGCTGAAGATGAATGTCGTCCAGCTTCGACTAACTCGTTGGGGTAAATCTGTGGGATTAGCAAATCTGTCTGATGCCAAGTCTCTCCGCGAAGCAAAGATAGCATCAGACGACATCCCGCGGGTGGAAGAGCTCCTAGAAGGGATTCTGGATCAATTTGCGGATGCCGCGAGAATTTCCCAGCGATTTCAGAAGCGTAACGCAGGCGTGCAAGTCCTGGACCCCGCAAAGGAACTAGACGAAGTCTCCGCATCTCTGCGTCAGACAATGACTGCGCTTGTCAAGGAACGACAAGGCAATGCCGAGTCGGACCCAGAGTCGGACTTGACTCTGTATGAAGAGAAGAATTTCACGCGACTGATCCAGGATGTGGGGGAGCTGGTCAATGACCTGGTCAGCCTGTTCCCTGCCGTGGAAGCCGATCAGCGTAAGCTCTGTGAGGAAGAAGTTTCCGCAATGGAGAAGATCAAAGATGGTCTTCCAGTGCTGAAAGAAGCAGCAGCTGGTCAAGATGATCTGCTCAGTCAAACCGTTGTTAAGGTCATTGAGTCAACCACTACCACCACATACACCAACAGCGTGGTCTTCCAAGGGCAGAACTCGGGCTTCCAGATTGGCAACAACAAAGGCAATATCAGCAACGTCCGCTTCCATTGATAATACCTCTGATATGTGTGGATGATTAAGCATGAATGGTGTCGACCGTTAGCAAGGATATTTAGAGTCAAAGTCTATTGTCTATATAGGTACTTGGACCAATGCGATTGGAGTGACAAAATATAAAAGCCCTATCATCCAAACCTTTAGGTTCTGTTCTCACGTTTTTAGTCCGCCCTGCGTAGGCTGAAAGAGTATTCAGAGCGGTTCCGATAAACGGTGACGGAAAGTGTGCCTCCTGACGGGCTCACATTCCCATTGTTCTTGCGCTTGCATCTACCGCGAACGGTAACATGATGCGACATCTTTCAACCAAGGGAGGTGACTGATTGAAGACGTGATGAAAGCTCTGGTGCTCGAAAGCACGTATAGATCTTGAAGCGCGGAGTGTGGAGGTTTGGGAAAAGCGGAAGAAGAGGGCAAAACGAAATAGAGATCGGAGATTGATACAGGCCGATAGTATACATATATGTACAGGGGAGTGTATAGGTTTTGGGGTCATGCAAAGGTGAGTAAAATACAGGGGGGAATGAGCAGGGTATATAGTGAATCACTTTCCTTGACAGTAGGCGAATCAGCACCAGGGAGTAACAATAATCCTGTGATCATCGGGCTTTTTAAGCGGCTTGGGCGTCGTCCTGCTGACCCATGGCCAGCTTTCGCACCTCCCACTCAGAGTCAGCCCAGTCCTTCTTCTCGCCAAGAACGCAGGTTGTCTTGCGCGATCCATTCACCAGGAACCGGTCAGCAACCTCGTTCACATCCTTGGCAGTGACGTCCAGGACTTGCTCTCTCCAGCGCTGGTCCATCTCGTGGGTAACACCGCTCATGAAGTAGCGAGCGCCCTCCTCGTCAACGCTCATAGGAGCATCCAGGCCTTGGAAAATACCAAGCTTGGCCTCTTCAATCTCCCGCTCAGACCAGGCACGGTCTCTAGCGAAAATGCCGCTGTTCTGGAAGACTTTCAAAGAGTTCATGGGGTTGGGATCCCGGTAACTCATAAAGGTGAAGATACCCTTGATCGGTCCGTTGCTAGCACCCGCACCGTAAGCACCACCCTTCTCTCGGATTTCGGGATGAAGATAGTTGTGGGTGAGCATCTGTGATAGCACAGTAAGGGGTGCGCTGGCCGGGTCGACGAATGGAACAGTTTGAGTAGCCTGGCCAGAGTAGTAGACCTTGTAGGGGAGGTCATACAGAGCCTTATCGACCGACTTGAAAGAGGGCGCGGTGGATGCAGTCGGAGAACCGGTTTGCGGCAACCCAGAGAGCCACTTCTGCAAGACAGACTCGTTCCGAGCAGCGCTCTCTGGCTCACAGACCATACGAACACGGAGGCCGGATGACTTGGAGATAGCGAACGACTGGATGAGACGCAGCTTATCAATCAACTCCTGGAGACGCTCAGGTGAGGTTTCTGCGTCACGGAGAAGATTGGCAGTAGCTTGTAACTGCTCCAGACCAGACTGCTGCTCCTGAATCCAGAAGCTCTGAGAGAGACTAGCTGCAGCGGCGTTAACAGCAAATCGGTGGCCAGTCCCGGCAACAGAATCCAAGGCTCCATTGGTCGTCAACCGCAAAAGTTCTTGGATCATTGCGGGGGCAGCGGGGCTTGAGAAATCGGTTTCCATGACCAGAGCAGAGAGCATATGCAGCATCTCCGGAATGTTATTGTCCAAAGCAAAGCCAGAGAACTGCAAACCTTCCTTAAACTGGTCCAGATGAGTCGGAGAAGACACAAGGAAGGACGAAGTCGAAATGCCGCCAGTCTTTAGCTTTATGAGATCCTCCCATTGTTCCATCGAGCGGTTTGCTGTGCCCAGTCGCATAACACAGTCGTTGAACAGCGGCATCAACAACCGTAGGTCATCTGGAAGATCCTTGAAGGCGTTCACGGCTTGGAAGTAGGTAAGCCCGTTAGTGGGTGCCTCACGCCAGACGACGTCAATATCGTCGACCTTTGACTCGCGCACAGCCTTTAGCTCCTTCTCGCGCGAGATGTCCTTGACTCGCAGAGTTGGAAGACAGCTCAGGTCTGCATTATGCGCGTCCTCCTGAACCTTCAACAGCTGTAGCTCTTCCTTGCTGAGATTCGCCATAGCATTTTCAACCGAGCCATGCTCCTCGATAAGCTGCGCAAGCTTTTGTTCCTTGCGCAGAACTTCCTTCTCGTCGAGCTCTTTGTTGAAGGTGGGAGTGCCCACCATCGTGAACGTCATGCACGAATCGTTGAGAAGGTACTTCTCAACCAACGACTCCAAATAGCCAGGCTTCTCATACCTCCTCTTGAATTCATCAATCACGTCATTCCATGCCAACTCTTTCATTGGGTTCGCGCCGTTGAACCAGGACGAAATAGTCTTCTCCATTACGCCAATGCCAAAATTGGCGGTCTTGTGACGCAGCGAAAGCTCCAACTGATGAAGAAGGCCACGCACCTTCTCTTCATTAAATCCGGCCTCGACGGACTCCCGGAAAGCCTTCTGAATGGCTTTTTTGACGCTAGGGGCCTCCGCTTCACTGACACCGGTAACACCAATGGAGAAAATCGGGACCTTTCCAGAAGAATCTAGGCCAGTATTCGGGCTGAAGGAAGAGCCCAGGCCGCTTTCAATAAGAGCCCGATACATTGGCGAGCCATAGCCATCAAGGAAGAGGGAGGAGATGATTCCGACTGAGAAGGTTTCAACAGTATCGGTTGAATCGCCCATATACCAGGAGGTAGATGTCTTGTGTTGCTTGTCCTCACTCGAAAAGGTGTCAATGGGTCCAGGAACTGTGACATTCAACCCCTGGCTCAGATCGAGAGGCAGCTTCACATCGGTATCAGCGTCTCCTTTTGTAAACCCATCCAAGACACCCCCGATCTGTTCCAGGTGGCGGGCCAGGGGCATATCTCCATAAGTCAGAATCTTGGCGTTACTCGGGTGGTAATTGCGCTTTGAGAACTCCGACAGCTGCTTGTGGGTGAGGTCCGTGATGCATTCTGGGTCACCTCCCGAGTTGTTGAGAGCCGGGATAATGCTTTCCTTGAAGCGAATGTAGTATAGGTAGTTAGAATCCGAGATCTGACCCTTCATCTCATTGTAGACAACACCCTTGAAAACAATGTCCTCCAATTGAGCCTTCTGCTCGGGCTGTCCTTCCACGGGGAGTAGAGCCCGCGGATCTTCAGGACCCAGTCGCCATCCTTCTTGCCGGAAATCCTCTTCTTTGAGAAGTGGGTGGAGTGTCGCATCAAGGTACACGGACAGGAGGTTCTGGAAGTCTTGCGAGTTTGTAGTCGCGAAAGGGTATGTGGTGTGGTCAGAGGAGGTAAAGGCATTCATGAAGTTCGAGAGGGAACGAGGAAGCATCTTAAAGAAGGGATCGCGAATAGGATACCTACATAGATATATTTCATGTCAGCTTAAGATCAACCAAATGGCAGTAGGGCTGGACGCACTTTTCACTGCCGCAAAGGGTGGTGTGCTCCAGAATATGCGGCACGCCAGTCGCGTCAGGAGGATTCGTCTTGAAGCCAATACCAAACACGTTGTTCTTGTCGTCCCGAGCCACATGCAGGTAGTCCGCATCGGTCTTGTCATGGGTGAGCCGCACCGCGGTCAAGTGTAGCTCCGGAACATGCTTCTTCTCTCGAACAGTAAATCCATGGAGCTTCTCGCCAACAGCAGGAAAGCTCTCAAGGTTGGTAACCGTAGATGCCAACCGTATCGCAGCAGATGGCCGAGAAATCACAGAGTTCAGTTTTGAGAATCGGCTAGAAATCGGTTGGCGCAAAGCCGGGACCCGGGCTCTGCCCAGGCCCATCGATGAGCGTAACATGGTAGGGTGGTAGGTTCAGCACACTCAATACGCATTCATCGCAATCCAGCTAGCAATATTCGCCGGTCTGTAAGGAGTGTGTAGTAAGGTATCACTGTCTGGTGCGACGCGAAACAGGCCAGAGGTTTTCAAGATTGCAAACAACGTCGCAAGAGGATCGGACCGAAAGCACCGGGGCTTATGTCATCCACTAGGCGCCGGAGCCCTCGTGACTGCAATGTATCCGGCACAGAAGGGACTTGCGGACAAGTGGAACTGCAACTTCTGAGTAGTATTCAAACTGTTCCGGAGCTCCTGGAGGGATATAGATTCGGGGCACCGATACTAGCGATTTCCCAATCTCAGTATTGGGGGAGTTGGCAAATATCCCAATATTCCAAACAGTTACCAATGCCGGGGACCACTGTTTGAGTGTTAGCATCCAGCGTCCATCAGGAACCTTACCTTGCCCCAAATCTAGTCTCCGCATGCATTCTTCTGATGGATTTTGTTTTGACTTCTGTGTTCCTGGACGAAAGCCTGGAAGATGCAGATACACTTCCAAAGGTTGGGAGAAAAATTCGCAATCGAAAAATTGAGTATATTTATCATGAACAATCACTTACCCATCCTAACCGCAGTTGTAGCATGCTCCCATGGCCTTGCGTGGGTTCGGGCAATCTGCCTTGGAATGTCTGAAGTAACCAAAAGGTTAGTGTAAACCCAACTGTGTAGGTACTCCATGGACTTGCCCTTCCTGGCCACGATTGTAGCATTCGCCCATAGGCTTGCGCGGGTTTGGGCAATCCGCCTTGGAATGTCTGGAGGTATGCAAATTTAGATTCTCCTCGGCGGCATTGCGTTGTAGTTCACAACTGACCCTTCATCACCACAGTTGAAGCAGGACTGGGCCATCCGACGATTAGGACAGTCTGCCTTGGTATGACTATACCCGACTAAACTTAGCACAAGCTCACAACCACTCTACTTTGTGGTCTAAACTCACCCCTCTTCGGAGCGAATTTTTCAGAGGCAAGCGACCGCTGATCGAACGACGGTCGCGTCTCGCCGAAGCTGTCGAACAAAGAGGAACACACTAACGTTCGAGGAGGCTAACTTAGCTTGTCTTTCTCTTTGTCAGGTTAGTGTCGGGGTTAGCACGATTTGCGCCATGCTTCAGATTTCGAAGGAGAAGGTTGCGGCAGAAGGCCAGATGATCCTGACAGACCGGGGCAACTTCTATCGGCATGGCAAGGATCGCACAATTGGCATTTCATTCCACCCTCGTGCGGACTACGTTGGTTTCCATGGCTCCGGAATCGCGCTTCGCGTGGTCTCCTATCTCCCTCTCTCTCGCTCTTCCCCAACGTCCTCCGGGAGGTCCAGGGTTGCCAAGCACAATCCCGACAAGATCACGGCCCTGCAGCGATCGCAGGATGAAACCAGGACTAATGGCTACTGGAAGCGGGGGGCGCTGCCCGCCAGGAGGCTGGTCGGGCGGGGAAGCGTGCGAGACTCGTACGACTCGGATGTCGTCGAGCTGTAGCTGGTCACGGAGGAGTCGACGGAGCCCACGGAGGCGCTGTAGTAAGCTAGCAGATACGAGTAGACCGTCATGCCACAGTTCGACCAAAATTGTGCTGTGACAAAGCTGAATTCGTGAGTTCATGAAACTCGTTACTTTTGCTTCTTAGCGGAAATTGCTAATCTCGATTGAAATGAAGAATGGAGTTGTGAATGTTGGACGTAATTTTAATCCGATATCCTACTACGAAGATCGTGCATGTGCAAACCACAAGACTGTACCAAAAGTTGATGACGATTGCTCTACTCTAAGACGGCCGCAAACTAAGGACTAAAAACTCTTCATCACTCTCGTCCTGACGAGGCCGCTTCGACCATGAGACATGGTAATCCAGAAACTCGAACATCTGCGACGGGCCGAGACTGCCGGGGCAGGAGGTGCTGCGGGGCGACATTTCTGAAACCTCCGCTGCCTCGCCCAGCACCCAGGTGTGCTCTTTGAGCCGCTTGCGGGTGGACAGCGCATAGGTCAGACGATCGAATTCGTGGTGATACGGGATCGACAGGCCTAGCAGACGCTCTAGATTCGGACAGACCATGACAACAGACGCGACAATGTCGCGGTACTCCTCCCATTGCGCGCTGTGCTTAGTGGTTGTGAAGAGCAGATCCATTTGAGGTACCCGGAGTTCGCGGACGAGGTTGGCCAACATATATCGTTCGCGACGCAACAGCTTCAAGCGAGAATGTCACGATCTCTTCGACCTCGTGTACCTTGTCGGTGAAGCGGCGCACGAAATCTGGTCGGGAGCCACCCACATAGCGAAAGTTGATCCAAGCAGACCATCGCCCAGCCAGAGTTTGGTGTCTGGGCTGGCGGTAGAAGAGTCTGAGTTTCTTGAAAGCCTCTGGGGGACTGTCGATGTCCTGGATCAGTTTCTTCGCGTCTTCGCCGAGTGTAGCCCGAAGGCAGGCCAGGGCATTCCTCTAGGTGGCCATCTTGCTTTGAAAACGCCGGTCAAGCAGGGCGTTGCTCTGGGCGTTCCGGTCGAGAAATTCGATGAGCTCCTCCGCGAGTATGGAGTCGGGTGGTATGCTAAGCTTGCGGCTGAGGGCTGCCAGGGCAGTCTACGGTGTAAGTGAACTTGTCGGGTGGTGAAGGCGTGTGCTCCTCGCCTTTGAGGATCCGCATTTGCATGGGGTCAAGGGCGCATGTGAGATATTGGACCCAAGGGTTTTAGCGTCTGCTGGGATTGTTTCATACAGTGTTTATCCTGGATGTAAGGTTTCTATCCTGATTTTCACTCGCTCAAGGCTGATAGCATCAACCGGGCAGGGCGCACCGTAACTCCATTCGAATGCAGTACCCGGCCCAGCGCCGTACGGAATTCCTTAAAGATGCGGCAGGAGCTCATCTAGCCTAATACGCGCACCGCGGCCGTGGGGAAGTAGAGGGAAGCTAGGCTGGGACTAGACTATATGGAAGTATTAAGAGGTGGGATTATGATCATCCCGCAATAACCACCTTGCTTGGACCGTTGCTAATTATCCGCCCAGTGTCGATCTCTAGATTTATACCTTATTTAGGCATCCTCGCCGGGCCTAAGTCCAAACTAGAGCCAGTGCGCACGAAATGGCCCGTCTACCGCCGGCCGAAGAGGAGCAAGAGAGATTGGGAAACCGGCGCCCGCGGTAAAACGCTCAAGCAGGACATCTCGTCTACATCTACGAGCTTAGCGGAGAGTGAAACGAGTGAGAACTGGAGTAGCATAAACGAGACAGTACGGGGTCTATACGGAGTACTGGAACTGGAGGTAGAGGTTGAGAATAAGAATATCAAGACCGGACGCTGGTCGAACGCTGATTATTCCAGTCTTCGCAGAGCGAGTCAATGCAACGTATAATATATCTATAAGCTATGGCCATGCGCAAAACGAAAGTCCAGACTCCTCGTCAGGACGAGAGTGATGAAGAAGAGGCGCCAATAGCCAATCGGCGTGGACTCAATACGATCGTGGCTGGCCAGATGCACATATACAACCACCTCCAAAGATCCCTTAAAGACCCCGTCCAATCCCCCTCGACTCGTCAATATCTTGGGGCTGGAGTCTGGGATTTCGAGCCGACGGGGTGGTGCGTGCTGCTCGTCAGTCTCGACGCTGCCGGTGGGCTTGAAGTTCTTCTTCAGGTGGGCGTGCTCGCGCAGCTTGCACACATTTTCACTCTCCACCATCAACTTCTGGAAAACCTCGCCCGCGGTGAGTTTTTATAAGTGATGACAAAGTCTCGTCTAAGCCCGGATGACAACTGCATAATTCTGATGGGGAGTGCTCATTTGCTGTTCACGAGATGGAGGAACTTTATCAGTTTTCTATGAATAAAGCGTTATGACTTGTGGAAGAATTTTGGTCGAAACGATTCAGTTCCTCACGAAATAAGCCATACCGCATTAATTACTGTCTCTATGTGCGTACGTGTGCGTGCACGGTTTCGGACTCATTTACCGATATCTAGGCACCCTTCATGTCCATTGAGATTTAACCTGTCAAAGGGCTGGGGTATTCCACTACCCCGGGATATTGTGTCTCTCCACAGAGGCATTGAGGTGGTAAATCTTGCGCCAGAGTCAAGATCCTACAGGCCGTGGGCGACCAAGCCTAGCCCTGCATGCTGCCACGGGGTGCTTATCACTAAACCGCTACTGGCGCGATTCGAGGAATGTAAGCCTTCACATTTTTGAAATATGAGTACAGTTTGCTAGTTCGCCTCCAGAACGCCCGATACAAGAGCCTTTGTCTGGAACGCTATTGGGACCGAGCAGCGACGACTAATGGAACAGGTAAGCCTGCTTTGCGCTGTTGCTCATATAGAACTACAAAAGCTGATGGAAATTATCCAGTCTGAATCATTCGGGCCGGAGGACTTGCAGTATGGAATACAGAAGTAGCGCTTCATACCGTAGCAGGGTTCTATCCCTTTTCTGTCTGGCTATGAGAGCCGGTCTCGAGGGATGTAGCAATTGATGGCTTAACAGCGAGAACGACCAAGTCGTAAATAAGTTAATATTAGATACAATTCCTACGTATAAGTAAATAGTTTATCAATCTCTGTATTAAATAAAAGTAATCCGGGTAATACGATATTCTCTATATTATATCTATAAAGTAGGAAATCTAGGGGTATAGAGAATAAGATAAGATAACCTCTATAGTTCTTAAGAATAAGTAGAGTATCTATATAAAGAAAAGAGAAAGAAAATATAAAAAAAAAGATAAAAAATAGAGAAGAAATAGAGAAGAAAAAAAGAGATAGGAGAGGGAGGGGGAAGAATAGAGTATCTAGTTATTATTAGGGCGGGTACTATTTAGGTTAGTTTAGAATAGTTACTAGAGGCAAAATAAAGAATATAGAATAGAGATAAAATATAAAAAATATAAAGGCTATAATAGATTAATAGAACAAAGTATAAGAAAAAGATATAGAATAAAGGCTAAGATAGATAAGTAGATAAGACAGTACAAAGAGGGAACGTAGAGCAGTAGCCGTAGAATAGCATCGGAAGAGGGACGTATTACTTAAGAATATTACTTATATTCGGGTCTCGAGGGGGGCATCGGCATAGCCCTAGGCCTCATCGGCCCCTCCATCCTCCTCCTCCTCCTCCTCCTCCTCCTCCTCCTCCTCCTCCTCCTCCTCTTCATCCTCTTCGACCTTATTAGGGTCGACGGGGTCGACGGAGGCCGCGTTCGCGGGGGCGGCGGCGGCGGCGGAGGCAATGGCCGCGATAGCCGAGGAAGGCGCACGCGACGGACGGCAGGGAAGCTATACTCCATCGTCAGAGTAACGAACGGGTTTCAGTGATATTTGATCAACGAACGTAATCATCTGGCGAGACGCCCTACACGTATGTTAATACGGCCTCGGAAGTACTTGTAGTTACATATCGAGGTGTCTACTTACAGCCTTATGCATCCGCAAGAAAACCGACGTCACCAAGGCGAGCGGGCAATTAGCCTTTACATGGCCGCGTCTGCTATAAATGTGGCACGTATGTGCCCTATTCTTGTTCTGCTACATCTCTACATCAGTATGGAAACAGTAAATCACGGCTATCTTATATCAACGCCAAGCAGAGCTGGGAGTGACTCAAGAAGCTGGAAGATGGGAGGGAACTCTTAGTACGCTACCTTTTGGTCCCCTTGCCATGCGCCTTCTTTCTACCTTTAGCCATCTCTAAGGCTTGTCCTTGTTTCAGGATCTGGAAAAATTGCTTATTTTTGTGGTGTAATAGGCACAGAGGCAAGAAAGGTTTGAAGGAAGAGAGTGGGAGAGGATGAGAGGGAAAGCGAGGGAAGTCAGACTAAAAAGGCGCGTGACCTTAAGCACGAGGCCTTCCAGAGATAGTGGACGACCATTAATAAGAGGTACTACTTAGGAAGGCACGACCCTGCGTTCACATGATCTAAAGGCAGGCGTAGTGAGGTGAGGGTAGGCGTAGTGAAGACTGACTACCCTATCTCTCATCTCTCACTTCATCTGATCTTTAACACTCCTTGTACTCACTATGGTAATCACTATCTATTGTCCATCATGAACTTGCGAGACCCAATCATCGTTTTTGTTGCTCGATCTAGCACCGTAGGTAGTCGCCTTTCGCACGAATAAAGAGATTAGCGACTCCGATCTCTCGTGCCTATAAAAGAGTTTCACGAGGTTATATTCCCTAACTAGTTCAATAGTTATCCTACTAGACTATTCGTGTTTATTTTATAGTCGAACTCTCTATTCGGACCGGGAGGAGAAGTGATAAAATACTTCACTAATCTTTTTAGTCGGGCCTAGTAACATAATCGGGATATCTCGCTCGTTATAAGTAGTTAGGAATAGTCTTACTACTAACTAAGGAGCGTTCTAGAAGCTTTTCGCGCTTCGGCTAAAGAATCTTTCTGTGTATCTACGGATTTTATCTATAGATATTAATCGTTAGGGGGAAAGGATTCCTTACTCTTATTCCTACGACGTAGATCCCCTCTAGGTATACGCTGTCTAGGCGGGAGACCTTGACCTAGAGGATCCGAACGTCGAATTTCAATAGTCGACTAAACTATTTCTCGAGTGGATTCCCGCTATTACCGTAGCTAAGCTAAGGCTATTATACGATTTCGAACTCGTAAGTACTTCCTTTAGTAGAGATCTTATTTACTATATAATAGCTAACCTAATACTAATTATAGCTCCGGGAACTTATATACGAACATAATACGCACCAGTAGGCAAAAGAACCCCGCTATATATACGTCGTCGAAGGGTATAATACCGTCTTTTATACTATAGCAGGCTTTAGGGCGCATCGGTATAGATAGTACTAGGCGTTATAGTCCGAGGAAGCAAAGTAGGCAGATAAAGATTCGAAAACGTATCGATATTATAGGAAAATATATACTCGGGGAGAGACTAGGGTTCGACATAAGAAGACTTGCTCGGACAATCCGGACCATAAAGCCCTCTCTACTAATTAACCTATAAGTAAGCGCCGGCGGACGGTCGACCTAACCTAGGTTCTAATCCTTAGCGGGGGCGTTAAGCTATACGTCGCGTTAACAGAGGAAGAGGCCCCGGTATTACCAAGAATCAATATTAACTTACCTACATTCTATCGCGGTGAACGTTTCTGTCGATATCCGGGGTGCGAAATTACAACGCGATATATAAAAATAGCGGCGTTATGCGACTACTATAAGAATCGACATCGTAGGTTTGTATTCCCTAGATTTTCGACTACAGTTTCCAGGGCTATAGAAGCCGAGTATAAGTAGGGTATTTATTAGCTATCGGTATACGTATTTAGTAGAAAAGTCGAAGGGAATCCTCCGGCCGTTAGCTCCTAGAGCTAAGTCTCCCGCCGATAATATTATTTGTTTTGTTCTTTCGCTTACGTGCTAACGAGTATTTACTTAGCGATGCCTACGCGCGAATATTTTAGCAAAACGTAGTCTTATTAGTAATATCTATTATTTATAGTGCTAACATTCTTAGACCTCCAGCGCTAATAGCTCTTACCTCAACGTAGTGCTGGAGTCTAGTAGGCCCTATATTGGGAAGCCAAGAGGAGCCTCGTCCGTCGGATATTCTCCGCAACCTTAACTAATAAGAGCGAGGAGAGAAAATTCGAGGTAGGTCTTACACTGCTGTATAGAATTGTTCCCGATTACTGACTTCCAGCTTCATCGCTCGGTCTGACTCTGCGATCATAGAGTCATAGTTCGGACAGTCTGAAGTCTGTGCGGCTGGATGTTATCGACTGAATAGAGATGCCGACGGCACCGGTATAAACAGGGATCTCCAAGTCTCGAGAATAACGCGACGTTGATTCACACGCGCTGATCCATCGCAGTCTATCTCGCACCCAACCGTGCCTGATTCCCACAGACTCTCAACTTTATCGGTCCGAGGTGCGGAAAACGCGACTAGAGAACATTCAAACCAGCATGAGCGCCGCGTATAGTTCCCCCCCTTGTAGAAAACCATGGAACGAGAGTGATTAGTTGGCAAGAATGATTGCACGTGTGCCTTGCCGACGATCGAAGGAAATGAGTGTTGACAACGGTGCGACAGTCTTGTGATAGCCGTCCGTGATTCGTATCTGTGACCTAAGCGTGTCTGTGCTAACTATCGAGACAAGCGTTATATCCTCTTTGATGCCTCAGCAACCAGTTTTTGCCCCTTTTGAGATGCATATTGGTCCGAATAAGATACTAGGGGTGGGGCTTTGGACAAAGCGTGATAGCGAATGGAACATGTTTGGATGGGTTGACCGCCCTCGGCCTCGATTGCTATGTTTTGCACCTCTTTTTAGAGGATTTTGCACCTCGTTGTTGCTTTGTCATCATTTAAGGAGCAATAACTAACTAGTTAACTAACTAATGACATATTGAATCTCCTTCTATTCTCTTTGAAGCTATTACCTTAGTCCTGAGGCTTTCTTACTGGCATATATTAGGTGTGAGAAATGGGGAAATGGGGAAATCTTGACGCTATCTGACCTAACCGCCTCTATATTTTCCGGGCCCAGGAGGCGTCGTAGCCGATAAAATGGCTAACAATGCGTCGAGTGTACAGTAGTTTCAGACTTGACTGCTCCGTGCGCATCCAACTGCGATCCCAGTCTGTCGTTTCCGACGTTGAAGTTTGTGGCTGGCCAGTCTGCGCGGTGCGGCTGGTTCGATGACTAAGGACCCCCTCGTCGAGTTCTCCGAGTACCGCGAGAAACCATAGTTGCACTTGCCTCAAGAAGCGCTGCGACTGTCACCCCGTTGACCCAGAGGTGATCTCTCGACTGAGCCCGCCTTGCCTCTGGGGTCACGTCTCGTTTACGCTCCCCCCAGTCCGATTGAACCCACCCCTACCTCTTTCGACGTGTATCCTACCGGCACTGCACAATTTTTCGGTCTTTGTCTGCTCGTACGATCACCGCAACCCCATATCGAGACCGAGTTGGACGTGCAGAACGTGCGGCCCTCTCTGATAACGGCTCACCATGTCGTCCACATCCATGGCGAAGAAGAACAAGGGGAAGAAAGTTGCCGATCCCAACGAAACGTCCAAACTTCTAGCGGCCAAGATCTCCCAGCTCGAGCAAGATGCAGCCGGGGAGAAGGATCAGGAACAAGAGATTGGTGCGTGAGCGTCTTGGACATACGCGGTGGTGTTGCCGTCATTCCATTCTAAAAAGCACACCGTTGGTCCACATTTAGTCTGGAGAGGCTGGATCGCTAATCAATGTCTGTTGTACAGAGCGCGAGGTGAAGAAGGCGACTCGAGATCTGAACCAACTCCTGAACAACATCGAATCCCCAATGACCCGTTTGGAGACCGTCCACAAGAAGTATACCGAGCTGTTGGCCGATATGAAAAAGCTGGATCGAGATCATGCCAAGAGCAAGAAGCGAGCCGATCAACTGCAGAAAGATCAGGAAAAGAGCAAATCGGAGCTGAATAAAACTGTGACCATGAAGGACAAGCTAGAGAAACTCTGTCGCGAGCTGACGAAGGAAAACAAGAAAGTCAAGGTACAGCAACGTCGCCAGCATTCGACCAGCGTTCTCCTCTGACACAAAACAGGATGAAAACAAGAAGCTCGATGATACGGAAAAGAAGGCTCGCCTGATAGTCAACGAACGACTTGATTCCCTCCTGTACGATATTCAAGATGTTATGGCTGCCAAAGGAAATCCTCGCAACGAGAAGGTGGACGTGGATTTGGACGAAGCGTACGGCCCCGTCATTCATTGGCCCTGTGCTCTGCTGGACCTGTGTGTTTGCTGACACCATATTAGGCTTCGGGTCAAGCTCAAGACCATCAGTGAGCAATTCGATACTCGCGAACTTCATTACAGAGCCCTTCTCCGCAGCAAGGACTCCGAGATACAAAGCCTCACCTCTAAGTATGAGGAGCAGCGGCGGACTGCCGATCACGAGACCGCCCGAGGTCGGGCGCTGAGTACTCAGGTTTCCACATTCTCCCATACTGAAGCAGAGCTCCGTAGCCAACTCAACATCTACGTCGAGAAGTTCAAGCAGGTACCGGAGCCCTGGCCGTCCCTTTCCTCCCGACCCGCGATTGACACTCCACAGGTTGAGGATACCCTAAACAACAGCAATGAGCTCTTCCTGACATTCCGGAAAGAGATGGAGGAAATGTCTAAGAAGACGAAACGCTTAGAGAAGGAAAACCACACCCTCAACCGCAAGCACGAGCAAACCAACCGCAATATTCTGGAAATGGCAGAAGAGCGTACTCGGAACCAAGAGGAGCTTGAGCGATGGCGACGCAAATGCCAACACCTCGAGGCTCTGTGTCGACGTATGCAGGCCCAGGGTCGCGGTGAGGGCTTGGCCGAAGGCGACCATCTGGACCATGATGATGAGGGTACCGAAAGCGAGTATGACGACGATTACGAAGACGAAGAAGAGCTGAGCGAAGAGGGAGATCTTGACGACCATGACCACGATCGTGACATTCCCCGGCCCGGCGGTCCTCCTGAGCGACCTGTCTTTGGACCACCTCCGCCACCCAGTCTCTTGGAGGCGCGGGCTACTAAGAACGTTGTGCTCAATGGGTGCCACTGATTGAATGTTATGTTTCTGAGAAATTCATGTTACCAATCTCACTTGTCTTATTCTTGATTACGGTGACATGAAAACAACCCTCTTGGGCCTCCATTGCCGCTCAAGATATTCGATCAAGACTTATTCTTTTTGGCGTGCATGGTTAATTTGAGCCGTAGATGGATGTCATGGATGCAAATTAGGGTCTCTCTGGTGACTCTTGAATGAGAATGGGTGTGTTGCTTGGGATCGCCAAAGGGAGCAGATTCTCTGGTTATGCTCTTTCTGGAAAGCACGCGCCTTTCTCTGCGTGCAACAGTCATCTCACCGTGGGTTCACTTAAGTTCATCAGCTGCTTCTGTATAACTACATGTCATATTAACAATCAAAGGCTATTCCTCAATACCGCCTCCCTCCCCCATCTGTAAACAATCTACCCATCATCTATAGCTTACTCGTCGAGCCCTTTTCTGTGATATACGCATTGCCCCTCTTTAGGACTTCCACAGCCTGCTGCACCATCTCCTTCACAATAACTCCAGCAGGCTTGATTTCCTTGACACTGGCCGATACGTCACCCATCAGGAAAGGCATGTCGATATCCTTCTCATTCTCCATGTCATGCATCATAGGCACCACGCCCTTGGCAGTCAATGCCGCGATATCAGCGGGTCGACTCTCCCATTCCTTCACGTAGTCGTTAGGCAGCATGCGCAGCGGCCGCCCGGAAACAACCAGAGTCCGGCGAGTCTCACCATACTTTGCGCTAACAACAGCCTCCTTGTGCAGACGGCTAGCGCCGCTCTCCTCGGACGCGACAAACCGCGTTCCAACCCACACACCGGCCGCGCCGAGCATCAGCGATGCAGCCAGGCTGCGACCATCGTTGATCCCACCAGCCGCCACCACCAGTGCAGGCTGTCCCGTCAAAGGGCTACAGTAATGACGCGCCACATCGACAACCGCAGGAACCAGCACGGAGAAGGGGATATCGCCCGTATGCCCGCCCCCTTCTCCACCCTGTGCGCACACAATATCCACGCCGCGCTGGAATGCCTTCTCCGCGTGCTTTGGCGCGCCAACCATGTTCATCACCAGGATCCCGGCCTCATGCAGCCGCTTGATAGTCTTTTTCGGGCGGCACGCCCACGGCAGAAACAAAGAGCTTGGCACCGTGTGAGATCGCGACCTCCACAAGCTCGTCCAGCTGGCCGTGGGTGTAGTCATGGTTTGTAGCGCGCGCGCTACCGCCGACCTGTGGCAGGGCGAGATCCACGCCGAAGGGCAGGTTTGGGTCCTTTAGGAGGGACTTCAGCTCCGTCAGCATCTCGGATAGCTGCTGCGGAGTGTAACCAAGTCCGCCAACTGTGCCGAGACCGCCGGCGTTAGAGACGGCTGCTGCTAGAGGGGCGCCAGATGCGCGGGCCATGCCGGCCAGCAGGACTGGGTGTTGGATTTTAAGAAGAGAGCAGAGGGGTGTTTGGAGAGACATGGTGACGGGTCGAGGTCATGCAGGGGGTTTGGAAGGATCAGTGTAGGACGGTCGTGAACAATTGAGTGCCAGTAGTATTTCTTGAGTACAGGACAGGCCTTTCAATATGTAGTCACCACCCTGGTCGTGGCTGTTTTGTCTGGGGTATCTATACACTCGATGTGGTTGAAGAATGCGGGGAAGCTGTTGTCCAGTCCGGCGGACCGAGGCATCTGCCCCAGGGTTGCGACTCGGACCTTGTGAGTTTTAAACAGGTGCATATTCTTGCGCATAACGTAAGTCGGCTATATGATGCGTCAGTCTGGCCTACGAAGCCGGCAGTTCTTCCACCCATAGACTTATTGTTCTTTTAGCGGCATGCAAATTGTCCATCTTTATTTCGGGAGGTCGTCGCACATGCAAAATAAATTTCTACGTGAGCCGGCTCGGTCTCGATTTTACTTAGCCAGCCACTTTCCGGTCTCTTTAGTTCGTTAATTTTAATAAGAGCTCTATTCATGCTCGGTGGATTCCATCTAATACGCAGGTAGGTAGATAGTTAGCCATGGAAGGTTGAGTGATGTGTAGTTACCGGCCATCGACGAGGATATATATACCTACCTAGGTACCTATATATTCCATGAAGGTTCCTCGGCATCGACACCCCTCAGCAACTCTAGAAAAACATCCACCTACCCAATGACGTTAAATAGAACACAATACCTAATCGTGAATTATGATTTATACTCAGAATGGAAATGCAAGTTGGTCGTAGTGCATTGGGTCATGTATGACACATCTTTCAATAGTGTTTGTAAGGGAGCTGATTGGCTAAGACGATAATGAATGCTTACTATTATCAACCAGAATTTCACATTACTCTAGCAAGCCCTATTATCTTGAAGTTACATGGGCTGGATGGTAAGTGGGAGGAACCCAGGCAATTGGTGGCAAGCCTCCTGTCCCGAAGCGGGAATGTAATTAGACGCGCCAGATCGCGTGGGGCTCGCGTCAGGTGCTTCTGTCCGCATCACCAACCGAACCTGCCACTAGCTCCAAGATCTCGGGGTCTGCAGTCCAAGATGGCGACAACTGAGGACTATGGCTTCTTGCGGCCTCCCAGGTATGTAATTTCTTCACCACTTGTCTTTATTTCCAAAAATACCCAGCGTTTTTGCTGTCACCGACAAAGCTCCGCGCTGACCACTGAACGCACTCTCTTTGGATAGCAATGACGAATATGAGCCCGTTTATCGCAATCCCTCCTCCTACCATCCTCTCCATACCTTTCGACTGCCGATGGGCAGCGACCGACACTACCAGCAGCAATATGGCGACATGTACTTCCTGCGTCTCGCGAGGCTAAAGCCTGCCGTGGAACAAGTTGCGACGGCTGCATGGGGAGAACTCACAGTAAGGACACCATGTCGCATGAGAAGAAACCTCAAATCTCAAAGCTCGAATTCATCTGACGAAGGCCTCGTGATTGAAACTAGATCGCTGGAGAGCATGCGCGACGCGTGGACCGAGTGCTCGATGTACGACAGGGTGAGCTCTGTTGGATGACCGGAACGGTATACATGGACATGCCATTGAAGCCCAATATTCTGGATGACTTGACAAAAGAGGTGTGTTTTATCGCATGGCTGGGTCTACTGTTTCTCACTCCGGCGTTAGAACTTCACGTCCGCACCTCCTCCCCGCCGAACCTATGCCGACCCGTCCGATCCGTCAGCGACACAGATAATGATGGAAGATGAATCTGGCCGTGTTCTCTTAACTGGCAACCTCCTCTCATCGACGCAGCTGGCCACAGGTGCCATTATCGCTGCTCTGGGAACGGAGACTTCTAATGGGGAGTTTGAAGTTATCGACATCAAGGTTCCTGATCTAGCAAGACAACCTCAACGATGGGAACGAGGGGAGGCCGCTTCCGCAGATTCAAAGAAGGATGACAAAGAGGCGTCAAATGGACAAGGAAAGATCGCGTTCGTCAGCGGGCTAGGTATCACGGGCTCATCAAGTGATACGCTCGCCTTGGAGCTTCTTACAGATTATCTTCTTGGATACACGGGCATCGATGGTAGCGAGGACGCGTCAAAAATCACCCGGCTCATCATTGCAGGAAACTCACTCGGCGCCAGTGTTACTGCGGAGGCAGCATCAGCGGGGACTGACAACGCAGCCAAGAAGAAGCTGGCACCCAAGAAGTACGGCTATGATGCCTCTGCATACAACTCATCGCCTATCACTCAGCTCGATAACTTCCTAGCAGAGATCTTGCCCAGCATCCCGGTAACACTTATGCCCGGCGAGCAAGATCCGGCGAACGTCTCTCTCCCACAGCAAGGCATCCATCGTGCCATGTTGCCGCGGGCTAGGGCATACTGTGCGCCTCCACCTTCGGGCGACAACAAGGAAGAAGACGTGGGATGGTTCGACAGCGTTACAAATCCCTGGGAAGGCGATGTAGAAGGATGGCGGCTTTGGGGATGCAGTGGCCAGAATGTGGATGATGTTCTTCGGTACTTGGACTTCCCTGCCGATGATAGCGGTCCCAGCATCGAACGAGATGATTCCGAGGCTCGCCTACGGATCATGGAGGCCATGCTCCGATGGCGATGCAGTGTCCCTACGGCCCCCGATACAATTTGTATGAACTTTTTTCGGTTTTTTTGGATGATTGCGTGCTGACAGTGCCTCTAGGGTCATACCCTTTCCAAACAGTCGACCCATTCGTTCTTGAAACCTGCCCACACATCTTCTTCACGGGTAATCAGCCTTCCTTCAAGACTACGGTGATTGAGGCTGTTGTCCCCCCCCGACTGGATGGCGACACCGACATGACAGATTCTGCCGGCGAGTCGTCTGCTACTAGTGTACGGTTGCTGTCAATTCCTAAGTTTAGGGACACCGGTGAGTTGATTTTGGTCGACACCGAGAGCCTGGAGGTCGAGGTGATCCGATTTGGTACTTTTGCGGGCCAGGAAGAGAAAAAGTAGATCAATAAAGACTAGCATTCCAAAAATTAGTGGGCTAATGACATGATATTACATTTAATATTCCTCGAAAGTGCTTGAGAAATGAATAGTTAGAGACGCTTCCAGTCCAACGTGACATGGCTCAATGCATGGCTAATTAATCGACGGCTCCCGGATTTGCCAAGCCCCACAATTGGAAGAATCGGCCCATGAGGATTTTCGACTCTACGACCTCGGGCACCTCCCACCAGATATTCAGAAGATATAGAACTGGGAAGAAGCGTCCTCTATATTGAACACCCAGAGTTACACCCGATTGGGTCAGTTCACATCCCCTTTTAGGGATATCGCGACAATGTTGCTCAATGCCGAATCCGGTGCGCACTTTTCATCCCACATTCGGCTCTATACTCGAACCCTGCACCATGGGCATAACGAATAGTCTTAAACTAATAATGGACTATGATATTTGGCGAAAATCAGCTCTTTCGACTTCAAAGGTCCTCTTAGTCCCATACTCGACATGGCACGTTCCCCGATACCACGAATGGATGCAAGACGAGGTAAGCGCTCTTCACGAGAGTTAAAGCAAGAAATCCATGCCAAGTGGGTAATTTGCTAACGTAGCATGACAGGAAATTCAAGAGGCAACAGCCTCAGAGCCATTGTCGATTGAAGAGGAATATGCCATGCAGCACAGCTGGCGGCAGGACGCGGATAAGTTAACCTTCATTGTGTGCCGCCCGGTAGCGTCACATAAAGAAAGCTCTGTCCAACTAGATTCTGAGAGCGACTCCTCAGAAAACATGGTCGGCGACATCAACTTGTTTCTTCGCATCGATGACGGCGAGGAAGGGGATGCGCACCCAAAGATATTCGGCGAGATTGAGCTCATGATCGCCGAGAAAGCGAACCAACGGCGTGGTTTGGGAAAGGCTGCTCTACTTACCTTCTTGAAGTATGTTGTTGAGAGGCAAGCCGTTATCCTGGAGGAGTTCGTAAATGCCGACGTCCAGGCAGACACGGTCAGCAAGTTGAGGGCAGCCGCGGGCTCAAGTCTCTCCTTTTCGTATTTGAGTGTTAAAATTGGGCAGTCGAATACTCGAAGCCTTGTACTGTTCGAGAGCCTGGGATTTGAGAAACTTTCAGCTGAACCGAACTTTTTTGGGGAGTTTGAGCTTAGAAGGACGGATCTAGGGCTGGGGCAGGTTGACGAGGCGCTTGGGGTGGCAGGCGTTGAGAATTATCTTGAGATACCTTACGAGCGCAAGGAATAGAATAGATAGGAAATTGATGATTGAAATGTGGAGTTGGTTTTTTTGGTGGAAGAAATCCAGTTTCTTAATCAAGCACATACCCAACACAAAATATTCGATCCCGCGAACAGACTGAAACAAAATAAACCACATGCAAATATACAGATCCTCAAGCCAGACCATTCAACTTGGCCCGTTAAGAGCTGTAGAGTGCCGGTCCAGGGATGGTATAGCTGCTGAGAGTGGTGTAGATGTTGATGAGAATACCCGGATCAGTCTCAGTGTACAGCTCCTCACCAAGAGTGCCCTCAGGCTCAGCACTGCCGCCACCAGTGACCTGCAAGTTCAGACACTGAGGATAGTTCTGTGCACCGTCCTGTTGACCAGCCGAGTGCAGAGCAATAATCTCGTGCCGCATCACATAGTTGCCCGACGCTATGCTGCTCGGGATGGTCACCGTCCAGCGGTTGCCAGCCACAATGAGCTGATCAGTGGCCCAGGTACCGGGAACATTGGTATCATCGACCAGACCGGTCGCATCGATCTTGAAGAACTCGAGTGTGGTTTTGTCGACTGTGCTGCAGTCGCCGTTGCAAGAAGCCAGGTAAGTGATGACCGGGCCGTGGTGTGAGTCTGGCCATGTTGTCCACTGGATCTCGACCTCAGAGCCTGCTGTGACAGTGGCCGAGATTGCGGCATTGGTGCCGTTGCGGTGGCAGATGATGTTCGGGTCCTGATATTCAGTGCCATCCTCGAAGCCCAGGTCGGTGGCGGTTGTGGCCCAGCCAACGCTATCGGGAGGGTCGCTCATATAGGGGTAGGAGTTAACGAGATAGCCGGTATAGCTGGAGGCAATGTTAGTATAACTCAAACAGCTGGAATTCAGGATGGTAAACCTACTTTTGGCCATCGGCAAGGATGCTGGAAACAAAGCCGTGGCCTCCGACGACGGAGGCAGAGGCCAGGAAGGCAGAAAGTGTAGCAACCTTTGACAAGATCATTGTGTCGGGACTTTGTAAATAGAGGGCTGTATAAGAGATGGAGGCTTAATTTGAGAGTTTGATTGTATCCGGCAAGACTGAGATATCGATGCACCCTATATATGCTGGCACTAAGACCTAGAACCCGCTGTCGATGTCCAGATCATCTCCTGACAGCCCGGCAAACTTCCGTTCTAATACGGGAATAGTCTCAAAGACATTATCCGGAAACCTGACATGTCTCTCATTAATATGACCAAGTGTTTCACCCTTTCTGCAGCCAGTGGGTCCTGATCCACACAGCTACCGGTACACAGCACATCCCTGTGTCTGATCGGAGGACCAGTGAGGGCAGGCGGTCATCTCAGAAGAAAGCTTATGGATGTTGTCAGAAAGCGGAGTGCAGGCGCCAGGGCATGGATATGGTCTGCAGCAGTATACGGTAGTCAACTGTAATCCGGGGTCACGGCCCGACGGCGTAAAGCTGCTGCAAGGAAGTGACCAGCCGGAAGAACTAGATAGTCGCCAAGAGAGATGCGACGTGCCAAGCAGTGCGGAGCGGTAGTATACTTGTGCCTCTCCCGTGACCCGAAGAGCAATGATCAACGGCGGTCACTCGAGAGCGATTTGTGATTTGAGGACATCTAGACATCAAATATTTCAGCATGACCTTGAATAACGAGGCTTTTGAGAGTTTATAACCGAACAATTTATTGAAGTCGCTGCGCTTGGGCATCGACAAGTCACATGAATAATGATAAAATCACTAGTTAGTTCCTTCGCTCCATTCTGATCCTCAATTTATCTTGTCTTCGAGGGTATAGAGGTGCCTCTCCGTGCGTTAGGTACAAGATGGATCAAATTAGTTTTATCTCTTACGCAGAATAATCTCTCTCGAACCTCTCGTTCGAAACACGCTATACCCATTACAAGTAGCCGTTTTTGGCGCCCAATTTACCGTCACTTAGCGTTATGATGTAATATGTAGAAGCTCTATTCTCACCTAATTGTAGATGCTATCGCCAAGGGACTGTCCGAAGCCAGGAGAGAAGAAAAAATAGAATATATCAATGGATTTACCTAGATACCCTAGTTCGCAATACGTCACTCCATATCCATCCACTGTGCCAGGGCCTCAAACCCGGTCGAGATGGCAAGTTTCTTTGCCCCTTTATGATGCTCGATAGCAAAGTCCAGGTCACCCGGAGGCGCCGATGATTGATCCAAGCCATAGCAAGTAAGGTGATGTTCGGCGGACTTTGCTAGAACTACGTTACACCTCTCGATAGCCAACTCTTCCAATTCTGCCCCCAATACTCGCACAGATCCCCGTGAAGGTTTCAGAAGCCACACTCATAGTCTCTGACAAGTCTGTCACCAAGTGATGTAGCAAGTCACAGGCACAGAGTGAGCTTAGAATCTTACCAGGGTTCTTCGGCAGAAGCGGCTGGACCATTGCCACACTCTCCTCTGTTCCTCTGTTTTGTCAGTCATTGAGAATATAAGCTCCCTTTCCGGTACTGCATAGCCATGCGACATGAACCACCGGACGGGTTTGAGATTATATAAGAATATTGCAAAACAGAGAGGTGAGCGTCCATCACTGTCCAATATACAAGGGCTGATGAGTGAAGCCTTATGCATGCAGTCTAGAAATACTGGGTCGTTCCAGCCGCACCGTGCCATGGTATGGACTCACTGATCTCATCGTGGAAAGAAGTGATCCAGACATCCACTTCCAATCGTCGAGCCTGACTGGGGCTTAGAAACGCGCACAGCAGAAGGAGGGATGGGGCGTAAAATGCATCGTTGATGAGAGTGGGTATGTCTAAGTTAGAGAGTCGTCCTTCCGCCAGGTCCAGGAATCTTTCAAGGAGCCTCCTATTCCCGCTGACCCCAAGGAGATCAAGGGGCGTGGGTCGAGGGAATTGGAAATTGCCTGGACCGAGTAGCAGGTTCGGTAAAGTCAGGTAGGGGCTCGGATTAGCACGAATGTATTTTAGGATTTCGATAGACTCATAGGCTACAGCAATAGCAACAAAGCTCCAGCCCTCTTGGTTGCAATAGCCAATATCAATTGCCAAGTAGTCCAAAACATAGGCAAAGCAGGTGGGACAGTCGTCGCGAATGACCCCCGTGAGAAGATCAGTAATTGGCATCGGTATAGGGTAGTCGAGCTGGATATTTTCATACCCGATATAATTAGGGTCGTCGTCCTGATATGGATGGGTATCGATGTCTCCAACCCCGAGGCGCAGCATGTGCTGAGGGGCCCGGCGTGCGATGTAGTTGTTAACGGTCTGGTTTGCTAGCCGATCCACCTGGGATAGATTATGAATCGCATGGAATGCATCGTGCTGCAGAGTGTTGGTTTCGCCCCCATACAGAATTTCGTCGAAAATATTCCAAACAAGCTCAAGAGGTAGCAAGCTCAACGTACCTGGAAGGTGCGTCTTGAACGGGGCGATAGAGGCTGAGAAGCCAATAGGAGGCTTATTCACGGAGGGATGAGTAGCAGGCCGGTATGGAAACCAAACCGGATCCATTTCCTTTACCGGATCGAATTTGAAGTCATACTCCCTCGCTGAGTCGCTGTTCATCGGGCCCTGAAACATAGTGGAGGTGATAGGCCGGTGAAAACCGAAATCCACCTGGCAAAGGTCCTGAGACAGACAACTGAAAGGCTAAAGAGTCCGGAGAGCACTGTTTTCAAGAAACGAGTCGAAACCCACAGAATGCAGAGTCAGGATTGAGGTTGTTGAGACCTGGAGATGGGCATCGAATCAAGTTAAATATTTGCAAAGTGGCGTGCAGACAAAGGGCTCTGGTGACTTGAACATCATTTGATCTTGGATATTAATAGAATAGACATAGTGACTTTGTCTGCCTCTTTCATCGTCGCGGGCCCAACAATGAAACTTGATATATTTGGCACACGCTGAGTCAAGATGGACGGACATACACTGAAACTGATTCACAGGGCCTGTAAGAGGATCACCAGAATCATGGTAAGAAATCGAAAGAAACTTTAAGCCATGAATACAAGTCCATGTACCTGTGCGTGGGAATTATGTAGAGCTTAACAAGGCACGATGATCTGACAGTGGTTTACAGTAGTTTTCGCATTCAGTTTTCCCTCCACACTCTTACTCCTTGATTGCCGGAAAATAAGCATGTCCTGATTGGACAATTATCGAGACCGCACCCCCAGCTAGAATAGACTTTGTATTTTACAATACAATATCGAGACCTCGATTCTGGTATTTTACACGAAACTGCTACAGTACACAGTCGCTATCTCTGCCCCTTATGATTCTTCTCTTCCCACCATATCGTATCATCTAACCTTTTGTTACTCCGTCTTTAAAAGGGGCCCAATACCTATCTTGAACTGTCTTCTACCGCCCCAACCTAGCCAAAGTGCCCAAGTCAAATATCTAGTGACTCTTTATCTCGATACAACTAGAGGCTCACGACTCTAGCATGGCTCAGACACACATTCACCATGGCTCCTATGAGAGGATTCCTCCTAATGCATCACCCGGCCTCCTTTTCCTGAGAGATTTCGTCCCTATCCTTGACTCCCTGGAGATTTCCCCCCCGGTGCCTCTCGCTTCGTTTCTCACGCCCGATGCGAAATTCATCATTAATAATGGTCCGCCGATCCCAGCACAAGACATTATTACTATGTTTGCGATGCGTAGCGGGAAGCTTGCCAAATTCCACCACGATCTACATCGAGCATGGGATATCGCCAATGACAACAGCTCGGGAAGTCGGACCGTTATGTATGAGTCCACGAGCATCACTGTCTTTAAGCAAGATCCGGAAAGTACAGACGTAAAAGTCAGGGAATTCAATATCGTGGAGCTGGTACCTTCGAAGGATGGCGGGGGTGAGTCTGACGTCTTGAAAGCATGTGAACTGAGAACGTTCTTGGATGGTTCGCCAGTGTCGGCGAGGTTGAAGTCGATTCTAGAAGGAACAAACGCAGCTTGAATCTTATGTAACTACTGTCATAAAAGGTGTAATGAGTGTCATTAATTACGATCCTTGAATAGTTCCTGTTAGCTTGTAGGAGAGCCAAGATTCGGTCTAAGGCTGGCAACGAATGAGAGGCGCAATAGATAGCAAAAGCTATGGAAATGGAAAGAAAACATCTTTCCCTACCAGAATTAGCGCACTACACCATAAGCATAGCCTTCTATGCTATAACTAGCGGGCGTTGTGAGGAATAGGGAACCCAGGCCGTGGATTATGTTGCGGTTATGATGATATCTCATTGATTGTAGTACGGTGGTTACCATCACAAGTTCTGCCCAAATGACAGTTTGGTAACCTGAAATCGCGTTGGCGTATTTCGGATTTATTTTCCGGGAATCAAGTAGTAAGAGTGTAGAGGTAAAACTGAAATCGAAAACTACTGTAGCTCACAGAAACAGAACTCCTGTGACATCTTCGTGCTTGAGTCAGCACCACCTACAGTTTCACTACATCAAGGAATACAAAAACCGCGAAGGTTACTACCCATACAATAAAGCAGGAGGGAAGCTTCGGATCATGAGAGAGAGTCCATGCCAGAATAATGACATGGGCAAGTCTCACAGATACTATAAGAACGACAGTGAGGATATTTCAACTGTTTTTTTCATTGAAGTGTAAGGGACCGGAAGCTCCGACAGAAGCGTTCCTTTTCGAGTGCGTCCGGAAAATGCGAGTCGTCTGACCGGTGGGAGATATCACAGCGGCTAACAGACGCAAGGATAGGTCTGCAAAGAAACAAACTCCTTAGCACGGAGATCCCGCGCCGTCGGAGCCATCCCCGTGTCGGCCCGCAGAGAGATCAAGCCCGTGGCAGGTGTCCCTCCAACAGTTGGTGTTGCATGCATCGACAACCAATCGCGCCGCACTCCAAGCCTCCATTCATTTCATTCTCTGCACATTTACAGGGACTTCTTCTTGTCACCCTTGCCGACATCGACGACCTTGAGGGCTGTTGCGAGAAAGCGATGGTTAGCCTAGGTTCGGAATCGTGTACCGGCGCTTTGCAATGTAGTCTGTCGTTGATTCATTCTTGCCCAGGGTGATCCCCATCTTTGCGCAACATCTTCGACAACCTCACATCACATTTCGGGGATGGAAAAAGCTGCTGTGGGGGGTGTGACGTGACGTACCAGGGGGAAGAGACTGCTTGAGCTTCTCGGCCTTGGCGGAGTCGGTCAGGGAGAGGGTGTAGATGAAGCGCTCGCAGCGGACCTTGAACTTGGTCTGCTGGTTCTTGCGGTTGCGCTTGATCCGGGCGGCTAAAACGAGAATCGGTCAGTTTTCGAGCTCCCGTAGATTTCTTTCCCCCAAGCTTTCCGATCGTCCTCAACCGGGCGAGTGTCGGCGGCACGTACAGGAGGCATCCTTCCGGCGGCAGATCTCAATGAACTGCTTGATATCGGAGACTTCACGAGGCATGGTGGCGATTTGATGCAGATGATGTGCGATAAGAAAAGAACGCTCACTGTCGACACTTGCGGATGTGTGTGGATCGATCGGATTAGGGTTTCTGCTCCGGGAAGCCCTGGAAGTCACGTGGGAAGGTGGCGGGCGCGAAGTGGCTGACGGTCGCTGGCGTTGCAACGCGCTCGGACGCGTCTTCACAAATGCTTGCAGCTGTGAACTGAGTGAAAAGGGGGTGACACTTGAGCTTGGTTGTTGCTGAAATGAGAATCTAACCTGTTCGGAATATATCCATACGCTGGCTGCCTTCGTGCGTTCTGCAGCCTTTCCACGCGTGGATTACCTAACAGCTCCGGGGCTTGTCGTAGTATGCCATGCTCGGTGCTTTTCACGTCGCGGTCTCGGACACACTCGGGACTGGCGAGTCATTACGGTTAATTTGCAGTCAATTTCGATGCATGCTCCAAAAGATCCTCCGCAGAAGTTTCGGTTCATTAGATGGGTTGCGCGGCCATGATCCAATGGTGATGAAGCCTCACCCATGAGCCGCAGCCCCTCTCACTGCAATCTCGAAAATAAACGATTTTAGGATAGTGACTGCCTCCATTCTAGGAATTCAATAAGCCAAATGAGCTGCATTTGGAGATGGCAGGGTCGAGGCGACGTTAGGGCGCGAAACAGATATAAGGTGCCTGTTGATGCTCTCCATGGGAAGACTGGAAGGCTACCAAAATACAAAATGATTCAGCGGGCATATCGCGCGCCCGAAATGCTATGAAATTGTCACCATTGGGAAGGCCCGATGCGTGTATAGTACGGGCGCGATGGAAGGTGTCTGCCACGGAGTGGCGTTGGTGGCGGTGCGGCGATCGAAGTGGTCAAGCTGTCCAAACTCAGTTGGACAGATCGCATCATAGCTCTTATTCTTGTTTTTTTATTTTACCAAGAACTGAGCCGCAAATATCGTCCATTTTTGCGACCTTTCACAGTCAACAACACCACTGGGCTTGCGAAGGTACAACTCCTGTTGTCATACGTCAAAATGCCTACTCCACTAGATCGGGCCCTGAATTCCAAGGTACGCCGGCTCCATGTACGATATTCTGAGCGATAATTAACAGTTGCTAGAATCTCTTCCTTGGTAAATAGCTGGATAACAAGCTTGAATCTGTCAAAAAGAGATACAGCTAACTGTGATGGTGGAAATCCAGGCTTCGCGGGCATGGTTACGGCGGTAGCAGCCTGGTCAATCTGGGGAACTGATGTATTCCCTGCAGAGGCCGACCCGACTGGAAGTAAGAAAGGCACAAGAAGACATACCTGGATATACATGCTAACTTGAATAGGTCCAGAGAGCTGGACTGCGGATGAGATGAGAAGGTGGCTGCGGGCAGTAAGTTGTACCTCACATTGCTCAGAAATGTTACTAGGGTATATTTTGAGCGCTGAACTGATACTCTTCGCAGAGGGGCCTTCTGCCTAACGAGACCGCGACACGGGAAGAGCTACTCGAAAGAGTGAAAGCCAATCTGCGCATACCGCGCAAGACGAATCCGCCAGCACCGCAGACGTAACAGGTCCGAATGGCATGGCCTGGGAGCTTTCATTTGAAAATGGATTTCTGTGACCGCTCAACCTTGATTCCCCTCCGTATTACATTATTATGGTATGACCTCAAGCACACTCTTTTCTTGTGAATCAAAATTTGATCTGAGCTCATGTATTTATACATATAAAGGAAGCAGAAGTTCTCCAATATCTCATAGTCTCGTAACAGCTCATAATATATCGTATCTCCCCCATTATTTTACCAACCCACTTATATTCTTAGTCAGACAGCAACTCAAACCACTAGACGGAAATTCTGACTCTGGATCAGCCAGTCCCTCCGGCGCTTGCCACGTTCAGAGCTCGGGTTGGGCACCAGCACGAAAGTCTCACTGAAGCCGCGCTGGGGCTGGTCACGGTTCTCTCCATATCGCACATGTCCACTAGCCATAACCAGAATCGACATGTCCTTGACTGTCATCTCGGAGGGTGGTTTGACGCCCGTCGCTGTCGCAGTTGGGTATGCGCGGTTGAGGATCTGGCAATCAAAGGACTGCACTTCGTAGTGCGCATCAGGCATCTGATTGAGGAAAATGTCTTGGACAGCTGCACCGTCGGCAACCGAGTTGCCATTGAAGAGGATAGTGGACGGTGTAGGAAGGTAGAATGAACCGATGGAGCTGCGGTCGTTTCGGAGCGCCGGATAGAACGTGTTGATTAGCTCAGTGGCAGCTATATAACAGGATGAATCAGTAAAGCTTTCAAGTCAGAACCTTGACGCAGCCCTTTGACATACCCTCAGTGGACACCTTGGTCAGGGTATCATCGCTTGCTGTGGTCATTGCGAAGGGACCCTGCTCGGTCGTGCAGGAATGGGTTGAAGGAGCGTGATAGTGCTGGCTGAGCTTTGCGCTTTAAGAAGCAGTGCTGAAGCGACAACTTGCAAGTATGTAAAGGTAACAGGTAACAATATGAAAAAAAGATGGATGTATGAGGCGCGCGAAAGCGGAGCACGCAAAGAAAGAAAAATGGTTGCGCCGGGCGGAGCTTGGGCCACCTCCGATTGGCGATGGGCGATGCGGCATAACATACGACCGCCGGGGTTCTCTTCTTTCCTCCGCAACGTCGCAATGGCTTCCCCAAGACCTCCCTTTCGCACTCTTTCAAGGGCTGCTTGGCTTATCAATGCGAGGCGACCGTGGACATGCACAGCGTGCAGAACTGGAGCCCCAGGGCGTTTCCAAAGCGGAGTTGCCTCCACTACGGAGAATCTCAGGAAGCCCTACTACGTGACGACCCCGATTTTCTACGTCAATGCTGGTGAGTTCCTCAGAATGGTATTCGAGTGAGCTTCAGCTAATAATCTGCTTTCATATTCTAGCCCCTCATGTCGGTCATTTGTACACCATGGTCATCGCCGACATCGTCAAACGATGGCAGATTCTACTCGGCAACACTGATGCTCAATTACTAACCGGAACTGACGAACACGGGATGAAGGTGCAGTGAAGAAGTGCAATACACAAGGTTGTCTGCTGACAGTCACTCTCAGATCCAGCAAGCAGCCCTCGCAGCCGGGATGGACACACAAGCATTCTGCGACATGAACTGCCGGACCTTCGAGGTTTGTCTGCCTTCTCACATCCCCTTGGAGCGTTCATTGACCCCTGCATCATATAGTCTCTAGCCAAGGCTGCAAACATCAGCAATGACCATTTTATCCGTACCACCGATCCCGCGCACCATGATGCTGTCCAGTACTTCTGGGTAGGCAGATCCGACCGATGACCACTGCACACAGGACTGACAGAATCCTAGGAAATGTTGAATCATCGGGGTCACATCTATACGTCAAAACATGAGGGATGGTACTCGGTTAGCGATGAAACATTTTATCCGCAAACACAAGTACAAAACTCCTTGGATCCGACGACAGGCAGGAAGCGCATGGTAGGTCGTCACCCTGTTCGTTAATGAACAATAGCTCACAAGTCGACAGGTTTCGGTAGAAACAGGCAAAGAGGTGGAATGGTCCTCAGAAATCAATTATCACTTTCGCCTTTCTGCTTTCCAAGACCGCCTGCTGGAGCTATACAACCGACCGAATTCATTCATCACGCCATCGAAATATGCGACCGCCGTGATTCAGTCGGTTTCTTCCGGGTTGCAAGACCTATCAATTTCCCGACCAGCTGAAAGACTGACCTGGGGTATTCCGGTCCCCGGCGACGAGACACAGACCATCTATGTTTGGTTGGATGCACTCGTCAATTATCTGACCCAGGCAGGATACCCGTTCCCTCCTGGGCAGGAAAAATTGTCCATCTGGCCTGCCAATGTTCACGTTGTCGGGAAGGACATTGTTCGGTAAGCGCCCCGCTATGACCTACCTTCCAGACCCGAATGGCAGCTGATCATCCACCAGTTTCCATTGTGTCTATTGGCCCGCCTTCCTCATGGCTCTGGACCTCCCTCTCCCTCGGAATGTCCTCGTGCACGGACATTGGACAATGAATCGCGAGAAGATGTCCAAGTCTACCGGCAATGTTGTCAACCCGTTTTTCGCCATCGACCGGTTCGGCGTGGATGGGATGCGATTCTTCCTCTCCTATCAGGGAGGCCTTCCAGACGACGCGGACTATGACAATTCTTTTATCATTCGCGATTATAAGAAATGGCTTCAGGGAGGCATTGGCAATCTCGCACACCGCACAATTGGGTGTGCGAAGGGGAAGCTGCGCTCGTATATCCAGGACGCCATGTCTGATAAGCTCCCCGTTGTGACCACCGCAGATGCGGAGCACGAGGCCATGCTGGTCAGTACACCGCTGAAGGTGGCCGAGCATATGACCGGGCTCAATCCGCGTGCCGCGCTGCAGGAAATTATGAGCATAATCGAGAAGGTATGAACGAAGATCATGGACCCTGCCCGCACGACTGTCGGACCAATGGCTAACTCGATTGTTTTGCCTCCCCTCAGACTAACAAATACTTCCATGCGGCGGAGCCGTGGAAAAGCCCCAACCCCCAACGGGTTCTTTACAATGTGGCTGAATCGCTACGAATCTCTGCCATTTTGCTCCAGCCGTTCATGCCCGGAAAGTCACGAGAGCTCCTTGAGCTGCTTCGCGTAGATACCTCCAACCCTGCCAAGCGGGCATTTTCGGCCACGGTCTACACCTCAGATCCGGATTACGGCGAGGACATCGGGAATGCCATCCTGTTCCCCCCTTTACTCACTGATGAGTAATGGCCGTGGGCTTCCGGGCCTTCGATATGATAAGAAGATGCACCACAGGCCAATCATGGCGGACGGCAAGACCCATCGAAATAAAGATTTACAATCATCACCGCCCAGACTCAATAGATACAGACCTTGAGAAGAATTCTGGGTCCCCCCCACACAACGGATTCTGAGTTGCTCCGTTTCTAGTGTGACCTCCCCAATGGCTGACTGGACGGTGATTGGCGCTACCCGTAAGTTTATCGGGAAAGAATGGGCCAGAGCTGCGGATGCGAATCCTATCTCCAGGTGATGAGGTGATCGGGGCGGGAAAGTCGCGCCCGTTTCCCGTCGGGAAACTCAAATGGCTCGCCGTCCGTTTGTATATCAAAAGATGCCACTTTGTCTGTATACTACTGGTTCTTCTCGAACGCTGCAGGATTATTATTCTTTCTGATTTCTGGTACTATTTCTATCGTGCGGATTTCGGGTCATCTTCTCTATTTTGTGATATTACTCCATCGACAGCTGTGACACCTCTATTCACCAAAACATTTCCTTTTTTGGGATCAATTGATTCGGCACTTGATATTAGGCGGCCCTTTCTACTTCCCACGGAGCGATTTCGACCAAATAATTCATCCCTTACTTCTCACTATCAATATCACAGCCATGGGGAGCATTGCCCCTTCCGCTGAAGACTACACGCCGACCTTCAAGACGCCATGGATTGAGACTCCACTGGTCGAATCGGCCGCCCTCTCTCGTGCCGCTGGATGCCGAATTTTCCTGAAGCTGGAGAACGTCCAGCCCAGTGGCTCCTTCAAGTCCCGTGCTATGGGCAACCAGATCCTTTCCCATCTCCGCAAACCCGAATATGCCAACCGCCGAGTCCACTTCTACGCCTCTTCCGGAGGAAATGCCGGACTGGCAGCTGTGTGTGCGGCTCGCAGTCTGGGATACCCTTGCACCGTTGTCGTGCCTCTATCTACCAAGCCCTTGATGATAGAGAAGCTCAAAGCAGCGGGCGCTGCGGACGTCATCCGCCACGGCGAGACGTTCTTTGAGGCCGGCTCATATATGAAAGACGTTATTATGCAGACCAGTTCCGGTGACGACAACGATGTGGCGAAAATTGCCCTTCACCCCTTCGATAACCAGCCCATCTGGGAAGGAAACAGCACTATTATCGATGAGCTAGAGAAGCAACTCCCTGCTGCTGCGAACTCCGAGGAGGAGCAAGTTTACCGCGGGCGGGCGCTCCCTCTCGATGCAGTCCTCTGCAGCGTCGGTGGTGGCGGTCTTCTCAACGGCCTAATTATGGGCCTCGAGAAGCGGCGGTCTCAGAAGCAGAACGGCTTCTCTGGTTCGTCAGCCACTGGTCACGCATACATGGACATCTGTCCCTCCGAAACACCCTCCTCTCGCACTGTGGATGGTCAGCCTAGCCTTATTCACCTGCTCGCCATTGAAACCGATGGCACCGATTCATTAGCCACTTCTATCGCTCATAATGCTCTCGTCTCCCTTCCCAAGATCACATCCCAAGCTACCTCGCTTGGCGCCATCCGCGTATCTGAAACCACCTTCCAGTACGCCGTGGCTCCTCCCCCCGGCATCAAAGTGCACAGTGCCGTGCTTACAGATGCCGAAGCCGCCCGAGGCGTGCTCCGTCTCGCAGACGACGAGCGACTCCTCGTCGAGCTGGCCTGCGGTGTCTGCATCGAGGCGGCTATTGGCGATACCGCCACCGCCGCCGCCGAAACCTCCGCATCGGCGCATGCCGTACCTGGGGGCCAAAGCCCCAAGAAACGGGGGGAGTTGAATGACTCTGACCTTACCCGAGATGAAGGCTACGGGGATGACCGATCGTCCTCGGCAGATAACGAGACGGACCATGAGAACGAGCCGCAGGTCGGCGACCAAACCAAGTCTGCCTCTCCTGTGCTCAACTCTAAGCTCAAGCAGTTGATCCCGGACCTGAACGAGCAGAGTAGAGTTGTTATCGTTGTTTGCGGGGGAAGTAATGTGACTATCGACATGGCCAGCGAATATAGACGGTTATTGTCTGAGGGCTGGGTTTGAAGCTCATCTTATCAATAACCATTTATCTTTCTGGGTTGCCATGTCTCTTGCCTTTTTCTTTTGCATACCTCTTATAGCTCTTGGCTTCTCACTCATGGTTGTCTCCTTTGATTCTTCATGTCTATAGATCTTGTTACGAACCTTGCATGTCTTTCTTATCTGTCGTTTGCATACAGGCCAGCTTGTCCTTTTATAGAGAAAAAGAGTGTTAATCTCAATCGGTTTTACAACACACGCATGCTTGCATGCTCACTTTGAGCACTTTGCACTAAATAAACCTTATCCCAACCAAATCACGCAACCTGTCCCAACATCCGAATCCGATAATCCCAATAATTCTTTCGAATAGGATCATACTTATCCTTCAACATAGTCAGCATTTCAACCGCCTTTGTCTTCTCCGCCTCCGCGTAAACATCAGCCAGCCACTCTACCGCATGGCTGCTCTTCACCTCATCCCCTTCCACAAACTTCGCCACGAACTCCTCCCACTCTCCCAAGCTCCTGCCAGCCGCATGCAACGCACCACGCGCATACCACCACGGACTCCGATTTTCAGGTGCCCGTAGGATCTGCTTCTGCGCATACTTCAGATCCTCATCAACAAGGTCCTCGTCCACAACAGGCAACCGGCCCTTCTCCTCCGGCTTGCTCTGAGATTTACCCGCGTTGACCATTCCCGCGTCCGGCTCGTCGTCACGCGGGCCAAATCGCAGCATATACCGGTGGTTCCAGGCGGAGTTGTTGCGCACGTCAGCTTTGATGAGCGTCTCAACATCTTCGATTTCCCGGGGTGAGTCCCAGAGCTTGAAGTGGCGAACTAGCCAGTGACGGTATGTCCAGACATGATAGTTTTTGGAGTCTTGAGCGAACATTTCCATTAGGAAGTCTGGTTCTTTGGTGGGCATTGTCGGGAAGTGTGTCCGTGAGGAGACTAAGACTTGACGGTGGTGCCTGACACAAGACTTTAGTTTGGGGGACGCTCTTTTGCTAGGTCAAATGACTGTTCGTGGGACTGGATCTTACCAGATCTGGTAGTTTTTGAGGTATTTTAAAGAGACTCCGTTTAACCAGTTGAGTTCTTCGACGAGGTCCTTGTCCAGGGCGAAAAGGATCCTTGCCCGGTAAATCCTATCACGATGTAAGTATATTTTGTTTTCCCATGTTAGGACTCAAACTCTCCAGTCCAGAAGCCATTCTACTCACCATACAGTGTAATGTGCTGGGTTCATAGAAATCACGTCTTTGGTCAGCTTCAGTGCCCGTTCGGACATTTCATTCGCGGCCATCACGGCCCGCAGGTACGACGTTGCCTCAAGGTACTCGGGCGGATAGGCGATGGTGGCCAGCGGCATAGCGCCGGACTCGGAGCCATCGTCAAGCTCGATAGGAGTGACGTTAGCCCACTCGGTGTCATTGGCATAGCCCTCGGCCATTTCGAAAGATTGCCCGCGATATCAAATCTGCGGGGTGTGTCCGGAGCTCGATATGGGAGTCTCGGGTTGGAGCTCCACAGCTTGAGTACTGCAATCGAGATCGATAAACTGCCCTCAAGATGGTCCTGTCTATGTGCCTCCTCGATTGATGATAGAAGAGGAATTGCCTGTTCTGCTGAGATGTTTGTCCAGTGCGTCGAGTTGAACGCGAGGTGAAGGTGGGGCGAGTTGTGGCCTGAGGCGGAAACAAAGAAATGCGGAACAATCACTTCGGTCGATTGTTTTCTCTTCTCTATTCTCTTCTCTCTTCCGTTGTCAGTGGGGCCCTCTTGGCTAGATTCGATGAAATGGACCAGCTATTGAGCCGATACATTCACTCGGCATGATTATACAGCCTCTTGCTCGCCCTCACCCACCACTAGCCCACCTTCGCTCCGGCCACCCACTGCTCGGCATTGTCCCCATGCTGACGTCGTACACGCACACCAAGTCTTCGACCGTCCATCCACGTAATAGATTTACCTCATTCAGACCGGTTCCTGATTTGGAGAAAACATGTTCAAAATCCTGTGTCAGCGGCAAGATTAGTCGGTACGGGACAGCGGCTGATCCAACGCTGAAGAACTCGCCACCAGCCGAGATGAACGGAAATGTTGGTTGCCTTGTAAGGACGCATAAGTGACTGTCCTTCATGTTCATTCATTAAATCCAATGCAACTGTCGAGTCCTTCTCATCCAGTGCTTTCGTCTGCACCAATAAGTCTAGAAATGACCTATAGCGACGGCGCTACTTACTGGTGTCCGACAAAAGCAACCAGAGTCTTATTGGCGATGCCCTTGCGATCCAACAATATGAGGATATCCTCCAGCCAGGTATCCCACGAAACGAACGGACTTCAAATAGCTATTCATGTCTTCTTGCTTTTCCGATCAGACTCTTATCGGAGAAATATTGTTCGCTGTGGAACCCCCTGAGCAGGCCCCACGGGTGATGTGTTGTGCTGGTGAAGTGCGATAGAAAAAGTCTTTCGTTGTTCCGAATGCCATCATCAATCGCATCCCCCATGAACGAGTATGCCTCGTGCTCCGGGTAGCGCGCCTTGTAGATTTCGGATCACGGTAGCAATAGAAGAATCCTGATTATTTATTAATGTGTAGCTGATGGATGGTGCATAGTATTTACATAGGCTTTGCAATTCGCGTCAATCAAAGGCATCCCCACCATTGTCCAGATACGCAGCCTCCTCTGCAGTCGACACCCTACCTAGGGCCTTGTTACGGTTTGGATACCGCCCAAACCGGTCAAGAATCACCCTGTATCTCTTCTCAAAATCGAATGTGGTGGTCAGAAATGCACTGAGTGCATCGTACTTTAGTGAGAGACTGGCGTAGCACTTCTTCTCGTCTTCAGTTAGAGTGGAGACATTCTTGAGAAGAAATTGCCCCATATCTTTCGCAGTCTCCTCATGCAGCGTAACAGCTTTCTCATGTGCGGCAATTTTCTCCGAATTCATCAGTGGCAAATGGAACCAGAGTCGATACGATAGGCGGTATCGTACCTCCGACGATCGAGTCGGTATACCGGCATCAATCGCACGCAAAGTAATCTCTTCCGCGAGTGGGTCAAATTGCTCAAACACCACCTTCGATTCGTCTCCACGATAGCAGTTTCGAGGAACCTGGTCTAGCAGGATGATAATGCTAATCCACTCCAAGGGTGAGGATGTGTCGATTGCATTAAGAATATCTGCTGCAGATGCGCCGGACTCGATGATAGTCTCTAGGGCATGCTGGAATTGCGCACTGATCGACAAGGTCAGTGTCGCGACACGGCATCGATGGCGAATCATAAGATGAAGGGCATACCCACACACAGATCTTGTCAAAATCGTCATCGCGGATGAACCAGCGATCCAATTCACGTTGGCCAGGGAGGATTAACGCATCCTCATCCTCGAAGTATTCAAACCAGAATTCGCGGACCTCGTCGAGGAGATCCGCGGTCAACGTCTCGTTCAACTCAGAAGGGTCACTAATCATGGCGGCCGGCGTCGAGTGGAAACCGCGAATGGCTCGACTAGGATAGCCAATTTCTGGCTTCGCTCGGTACGTCACTGGCGCCAGGGCGCAGCTCGGGGCGACGGCGGAAGTTTCGTGAGAGTATGGCGGGCCTCCAGGTCGGCAGATGTCGGAACAGAGTACTCTCAAGTATTAAGCTTTGCACATGTGACTTAGCGCCGTCCTATGCTTACCGTGCGCAAGCGCAACATGAGAGCTATGGTTTCTTTTTGCGCGGCGAGCTCTCCCCGGATTCACCACTCGCTCGGGGGCCGAAATGCTGAGTAAGCATCGGCATCCTCGGCATTATGCCGATTGAATCAACGAGACAGGATGAGCCGGCTGTAGACATAAAATATCGATGCATAGTAGTTGTTCTCACTCTCACTCCCCTAAATTTCAAGACTGTACGCCTGAGTAATTTTATATGCACAACCAGCTACATTAGTTTGTGATTGAAGCTCATAATTGAGATATTCCTCTGGCTTTCTCTTCAAGCCAAATCATCAATCTCGGCTTGCCGGCTATCAATTAGTAGGTTAAATTATTCTTACTATAGAACTGGGAGATACAAGAATAATAGGAAAAACGCGACTTATATACTAAGTAGAGAAGGTATTGTTTAGCTAATCCTATTTAATAGCTACCTAACTTCTCTGTTCGCGGATGTTATCTAAACTACTAATAGTTTCACTTTTTTCATCCTTCGTTTTAACTAAGACTAAAAGGGACAAGTGGGTTTAATTCGATCAACCAACATAGTAATCCTATTAATCAGTATCTATAAGTATCCATAAAGGACATCCCTCACCAACCGCACGTGGCCTTATAAATAATGGGGGTAGGAGTAAAGCCGCACTATCTGAGTTCGGCAAAAATATACAGACGGTCGTGCTATTCTAGTGCGGAAATATTACCCGACAGGTACTAGGCTACCTTTCACCACAGGCCCCTACTCTTCCCGCATGATCTCCGTCGTGTGCAAAGTACGCATATAGTAGCTAGTCAGATACCGTGGGCGCCCCGTGTCTATCTAGCGACTCTGCCGCGTGACATTACTAGCCACAGGTAAAAAGACCAAGAATAAAATCCTTGTGATTGGTATTGAAGGGCTGACCCTAATCTTGTATCAACGTGACTGTTTCCTGTAGGACCAAGTGTGGCTAGCCAGTCGGAGGTTAGTTGGTTGTGGGTGACCGATGGGGTATGTAGGCATGACAAAATAGACTAGCGGGCTATGTAGCCACGGAACGGGAGGAAAACCAGAAATAGGAAAAATTAGACCGGGGGAATATTTCAAAAGTGGGAACATTTTCGGGGTGTGAATTTTCGCAGTATAATAAATGTCAGGTTGGCTAAAATTAGGAGTAAACGTTACGTTTCCCCTGCTTATCTTCAAAATCATTATGGTTCCGAACGAATAGTATAATATTTTGAATTGTTCTAAAAATGGTCTTGATGAAATAGAGAAGCAAGCCGAAGATTCTAGATTATCCAAGCCAATGGACAAGGAAATCAGGGTGATCGAACCATTATGTCAGATATAAATCAACATCCAGCCGCTCAGAACCAGCCGTGGTGCTGCGCATTCTCAGAGTTGCACTTGCGGTCCTTGTACAAAGTGGCGGTGTCAAGAATGGTGTTGTTGCTGCTAGACACGAAATCATGAGTCATGTGAGTGCAGTTGTGGAAGGTGATCTTGCTCCATCCATAGGCGGTATCCTCCGCGTAAACAACGTAAGGCTTGAGAGGAGAAAGATATTTGTCCAATCCAGAGTAGTGGCCAGGGGCGGCGGTGGTAATGTACCACGGGGATGTGGGGTTGTTGAGACCGGCAGGGTCAATGACATAGTCGTTCAAGGGCTGGTTGCGCTCGTAGAAGTGGTTGTGGGCTTGGATCACGAGATCGACGTTGTGCTCAACGAGGAGAGGCTCGAAGACATCCTTGCATATGGTACAGATGGTAGAGCTGATGTTGTTGGCACTCACATACCAAGGGCGATGCACAGCTGGAAAATCGGTCAGTTTTTCCTGTTTCTCGAACGGGAGGTTGATCTCTTACCAGCAATGACCCAAGGTGTCTTTTTACGGTCCACGCTCTCCAGGTCCTTCTTGAGCCAATCGATCTGCTCGTTAGGGTAAGATCCGAATGGCCCAGAGTTCATGCCTTCCGAGGATCCAGGCGCGTCAGGGGCAAGGAATCCATCGCCAATATCAGTCTCGGTGTTCAACTGGATGAAGTGAGTCATGCCGTGGTCGAAGGAATACCAGAAGTTTCCAACACCGCCAGACACATCGCTAGGCATGCGATAATGGTTGCGGAAGCCAGTGAAGTTGGTCTGGCCCATAGGGCAAATGCTGACGTTGTAAGCAACACCGTTGACGGAGGTACCGCCATTGTCACCTGGATATATGTTAAGGATTGACGAACATAAACTGAAGGGGTTCAATAGAGGTATAGGCGCTTACAGTTCGAGTCGTGGTTACCCGGTCCAACCATGTAGGGCCGGTTGGCAGTCAAGGGAGTCATTTCGTCGTAGAACTGGTTCAAGAGGGACTCATACAGAGCGGGGCCATCGCTGACTGTAAAGTTGGGAAGGAAGCCTTGGGCCTCTTCTTTCAACCAGTAGTCGGCGTAAGCAATGTCACCGGCTATCGGATGACTCGGTTAGTTTGATAAGCGGGAAATCAAGACAGCTCATAGGAAAGACTTACGATGCCAGTAGAATTCCCACTCCGACTCCATGGACTGCAACGACTGAAGTGTGGTGCTGTCGTTAGGGCCCAAGGGGGCGGTACCTCCGTTGGGACCAGTCGTGGTAGTAAGTCCCTCGGGACCCATCAAGCCCAAGTCACCGCCAACTGCGATGGTGAAGGGGGTCTTATCACCAGGAACACGAGCAGTCTTCATGGTGTAGATCTGAGTGGAGTTTCCACACTGCGGCTGATAATAGTACATAGTGTTGGGCTCCAGACCAGTGATCTTCACATGGTTGTTGTAGGTGGTCGAAGTGGGATAGGTGACCGAAACGTCCGAGTCGGCCAAGTGCGAAAGGGCATGGGGATTGCGACCGTAGCGAACATGTGGCTGTTGGAGCTTCGAGTAGGTATTCCAGCTAACGGTCATGCCATTGTCTCCAGAGTAGGCCAAACGGGCCTGCATCGGGGCCGTATCCTCTGTACATCTGAACTCGGTGGGGGAAGCAACTGCGGTCACGGCGCACGCAGCGGTGGCCACCAGCATTGACTTAGTCCAGTCGCGGACCATTTTGAAGGTTTGGTAGGAAAAAATAATGACAACCAAATGAATGATATCTTCCTAGCGCAGTATATATAATGGGTGCCTGGTAACTGGTACTCACCTGAAGTCTGCCTAATATCGACCAAGCTTTCGACTCGCATGCACCCCTTTCACGCTTGTCTGTGTTTGGAAGGCTATACTTGATTAACAAGCTTTAATTACCGCACAGACTCTACCGTAAAGCTCTCTCCAATGGCCACTGTCTGATGACATGTCAAGAAGTCAGGGATTAGCTCGGCCGAAGAGCATATGGGGCCACGGACCCTGGAAGCCCCACTGGCCCGCGTCCCGGCTTCACTCAGACCCAGTCATATCACAACGTGATCGATGGCATAAAATGCATCTAGAATGTTCCCGGTCCAGGAGTTGGACTCTAAGTTTTGAGGTTTGACTATAGAAGCTTGGGGTTGGCCTCACCTTCCACGCCAATTGTCTGAGGAGACGATGGCTGCCAACCAACAATAAACCCACGTGGATAGATTTAGGAGTAGCAAAAAATTACTAAGCTAGGATTTCTAACTAGTCACTAGCCTATCGTAAATTTTCTATATCTAATATTTTCCTCTATTCTTTATAGTTTAGTAGCACGTACGCGCGGCCTGTCTTCTTCTTGTCTTTTCATTTCCTGGATATCACTCAACGCCCAATAGAGACAAATACTTGATTCATGGCCTAGAGCATCAAGCTCGGATTTTTATTTATATCATACTTGCAGTCTTAGGCGCCAGCTTCTTGGAAGGCATAGCCGGCAATAAGCATGACTGCGAGAGGATGAAGTCCAATCAACTTCCACTATTTGCAGAGACTATCAATATTGTGAGAAAATCAAGTTTCGCTAAAAATTTCCATCTATCACCAACACTGCCAGAAGTGACCCACCGCTGAGATAGCAAATAAGCTTGTGATTATGATGGGAAAAGCTTTGCTCGGCTCGTAGGCACAAAAGCTCCATTGAACTATGAAAAGCTCAAAATAGACCGGTGGTGAATAGTAGTTCAGAGAGCCTCCCCTACTTGCCCTTGCTCCGTCATCTTGAGCCTGAGATTAAGATTCTGAAGGCAATAGGAAAGATTGTCTTGGATTTCCTTTTCGTGATATTTTCTTGCGTAGATTGCAATTCTCGATTCCAAACAGCAAACTAAATTAATTCCCCTCTCTTATTTTGACCACCTACCACCATCAGTTTGATCATTACCCAATATGGCTGTGACTACTCTGCCCGGCATGCCCGGGGTTTCCACCTCATGTACCTGGTTCAGCCCCTGGGTGCCTCCACCCGAAGTAAGTGGAGTTCTCCACTAGAACCCAGTCAAGACAAATACCCTCGCTCTAACATTTGTAGCAGCGGACTCTTCTGGCCAGTCAAAATTTGGTCTAGCATCCAGGGAGCTCCCTCTTCCTACATCAAGTAGCAGGCACATTACTATGGGTAGCCTCCATAGGCGTCCCACGCTTCCAGCCACTCGTCTGATCACGGCGAGAGCCTCTTCCACTATAATGGCATCCCACTCTCCAACCATCCTGCAGGCCACGATGGCCAGAAGGGTCTCTAATTGACACCTATCGGTAGTGCCGCTGGTGGATTTGCTGCCCATGAAATGGATGGTGGGAAAGCTCGCAACTGCCGGAAGTGCGGTGCTGGTGCTGTTGGCATGAACATGATTAGCCCCACAAGTCATAAGCTCTATGTACTGTGACATGTGCTCTGCCTTTTTCTTTTTGTTTTGTGGTTATCGGCGGCTCAACGGGATGACCCTGGTCTCTATCTGCGTTTTTCATAGTCTTGTGTTTTTCACGTCTTCCATTTCGAATTCAATCCTATAGAGTTATATTGCATAGAAACTAACTATCTCCATATAGACAAGCATCACCACAAGACCGCTTCCTAGAACAAAACTGTTCGGCTTAATCTCGTTCATCCTGTCTGTGTAAAAGAGATGCTACTTGCAAATGCCCCGGCAACACATCCTCGACGCTGATTGGGCAGCCCGCCCAAAGAGGTAAAAACATCCTGTTATCGCGGCCCCGGGCCAAGAGATAAGCGGCGTCATTTGCGATGCTCCCCGCATGCCAACCCCGACTGAGATCAACTTTGTCCTCCTGTTGTCCGTTCCACGCCATGTCGGATCCTGCTCTTCACGATTCCCTATCGAGCCACCCGTGATGCGACGAGTCAAAAAGTCCCGCAACGGCTGTGCCCGATGTAAGAGTAAACGGGTCAGTGCCGTCTGTGGATCTGTCCGACCCCATTTCCCCATCTGTATCTAACTGCCGGGGCAAACAGGTCAAATGCGGAGAGGAGAAGCCTCACTGTAGCCGCTGCACCCGCCTAGGGGTCCACTGCCCGGGGTATGTCCAGTCCCTGCGCTGGATCACCAAACATGAGCAAATGAGCCCGGGCGCATCGTCCGACGGCAAGGTCGCGAGCCCCGAGACGTCGCCAAAGCCGCCCAAGCAGCCATCGCAGCGGATGGAGGATACGCTGCCGCCTTTGGACGATGGCAATGCTGGCCAATCGCATGATCTGGATCGGTCAGGGCTCGGACTAGATGCGTCAAATGGACTCGACACGCTCTGGGATCTTCCGGGCAATGGATCGCTGCCGGAGTTGACTGATCTATGCCCGCCTTCGCCGATGACGGCGTCAGTATCGGCCTTCTCGCAGCATCGCGACTCTGTATATGATTTTGAAGCATCGGGAGATACGGCAGCGGGTATATCTCATTTGCTAACTCTAATCGGACAATCACAAGGCGAAGGTGAGGGCAGTAGCATATATCGAGGCTTTTCGCCCTCCACGATCGTTCGCAGCTACCCCGCGTCGTCGCCGGCACAACGATCCGCTCCGCGTGATTTTATGTCTATGTCTCGATCTCTGAACAACCCGTCATGGACGCTTATTGAGTACTATTTCAAGGAGGTCGCGGCTCTGTTTTCCAGCTATGACAGTCAGATGAATCCCTTCCGCACCACCGTATCCCGCCTATGGGGCTCATCACTGGCCATGTGCCGCACGATGCAAAGCATGGCCGCAGCAACGCTAGTCAATGATTTCCCGCATTTTGGCCCAATGGGCCGCAAAATGCGCGATGAAGCTGTCGACATCATCACCCGGGAGGCAGTCATGGATGACAAGGCCCTTTTGGCGTTGCTCATGTTGGGCCAGACCGCTAGCTGGCATGACCCGAAAGACCTGGGTATCTCATTTTTCAATTTGCTACGCAAGCAGATCAATCTCATCGCCTCTTCGTCAAACAGTCCGCACTTCGGCTACGCCAAGAGCATCAGTAACAATTACCGCTTTTTCGAGGAGGCGCTTATCTACTGGGAGATGCTGCTCTCATTCGTCACGGACAACGAGTCCATGGTCTTCTCAGATAACTCTAATCCGCGCGCCTCATCTATGGGCGAATCACTCGTTCTTCAACGAGTCCCCCATCCCTGGACGGGTATCGCGCGAGACACTCAGTTCACTGTCCACGAAGTTGGCCGACTAGTCCGCCGCGAGCGCAAACGCATTCGTACACGGCAGTTTACCTCGCAAGACGATATTCTACGTGCGCATATGGCCATTGAGAAGGCCCGTGAGCTGGAAGAGCGCCTCCTGGCCCTTGCCCACCCGTCAGAAGCCGAGATCGTCAGCCCCGGCGACGACGAAACTCCAGTGTGGCACCTCCTCACCATGGCCGAGGTCTACCGTTGCACAGGGCTGATGCAGCTATACCGCGTGTTCCCAGATCTCCTGCTAAACCGCCTCTCAGACCCAGCAGATACAGCTCAATGCCCTGGCGCCGGACCCTCAATGGCCCGCGATCCATTCTTCCCCATCGACCTCGACAGTATGAACATGTCGACCGCATTTAGCGACAAACATGCGAATCCTCCAACAAATAACAACCATAACCAGAACCAGAACCATAGCTCAAACGCTCATCACACACCTTCCTTCACGTCATCCCATCTACACTCCACTTCCACACAAGACCCCAATCCAACCTTATATGACACCTGGCTCACTGAATTCGCCCTCACAACCCTCTCCCGCCTCAAGACTATCCCCATCGAATCCCGTACCCGCTGTCTCCAACCCTTCCTCCTCGTCGCATCATGCAGCGAGCTCCGTCTCCCGAAATCCTCCCCCGACCCCCGCACCCACCCGCAGGACACCTTCGATGCATCCCATCCGCGAAGCGAGGGTGACAGCCTAGCCGAGCCCGGCACCGAGACACCCAGCATCTCAGTGGAAGCCATCGAAGTCTCGCGCACGCGGCGGTTCATCCTCGGTCGTCTGACGTCTTTCTTGCATGTGCTGCCGCCGAAACCGATCAATGTGTGTCTGCGGCTTGTGACGGAAGTTTGGAGACGGATGGATGCGGGGCAGACGGAGGCGTATTGGGTAGATGTGATGATTGAGAAGGGGTGGGAGACGACGATGGGGTGAGGCGTGGGAGGGGTTCGGTGCAACACCCCACAAGCACAGGCCGTCTTCGTATTGCTGAATGCTTCAGACTCGGGCTAGTTTACGAGTTATACCCCACGCGGTTCCTTTTTGCACATATTGGGGATTGGCACATACGATTCACGATATCATGCTATACTACTACCCCCTGCCTCCTGTCTACTAGGCTCATCAAAGACCGTCTTTACCAAGTAGGAATATCATATTATATTGTATCTCAAGCAGCCCATCACTATCCATCTAACACACCTGCGCCTGACGTGCTCATGCCAAAAGAATCCGAGAGGGAAAAATAATGCGAAACACGGAACCAAAAGAATAAGCGAACTGCCCAAGACACTGGCATGTAGACCGGGCGTAGTCCAACAACGCTCGGCTCACGAACAGTGCTCATAAAAGGGGGTGTATCATGCATAGAGTCGAAATGTGTACAGAGAATGGGACATAAACGGTAGAAACAACGGGGAAGGGAATCATGAGGCGTCCATGCCCTCCCGTATCTGGGAAGGTTTTTTAGGGGGGGGGGGGGGGGGGGGAAGACTAAAGGGGGAGGTGTAAATGCAGATGCGGACGATGGCAAAGGAGTGTGAGAGAGATCTAGATGTGATAGATGTCCCGCGAGGCGCATCATTACGTGGCTCGCTTCCAGAACTTCCATCCCTCACGCCTCTCGTGGAACCCAACACCCACAAGCTGCTCAATACCCTCGGGCCCCTCGGCGTTCTCGAACTTCTGCTGGTCAATCTCCTCACCGCCCTGCTCGTCAGAGCCATTACGCACGACTGCAGGCCAGAGGACCCCCACGCCATCGCCGCCAAGGGTAGACTCGTACTTGGTGAAGCCCTCGGTTGCAAGCTTCTGCTCCAGGTCGCGGACGACCTCTTCCTTGGCGTCGGGTCGGAGGAGGGTGATTGCGCAGCCACCGCCGCCGGCCCCGGTCAGCTTCGTCCAGCCAATATCGGCGTAGTCGACGAGCTCGCGGATGCGTTCTAGGCGCGGGTGCGACACACCCAGGGAGACGAGGAAGCCGTGATTGATGCGGATCAGGGTGCCGATGTGCGACAGGGTTCTGTCCGAGGTGCCCTCAAAGTCCGGGTCCTCGAGGAGGCGCTGTGCAGAGCACGTCACATGGTCAATGGCGTCGAGAATGGACTCGGTCACTACGGGATGCGCCTTCTTCAGCTCGCCCACCTTGGCGACCTCGGTCAGGGTGGAGCGAGACTGCCGCGTATCGACCAGGAGCAGTGGCAATTCCGGGAAATTGGGGAGCGAGATAACCGTTGGAGGCTTGGAGTAGTCCGAGCGCTTGAAGATCACGGCCTTGCCGCCCGCGGCCACCGTGTTATCCACCCCGCTGGGGTTTCCATGGATGCAGAGCTCGCCGACGAAGGCCCAGCGATTGATGCGCTCGATCTGGGTCTCAGCCTCCTCGCTGGGTTGGTCGGGGTGCGGCCCGGAGAGGGTGCGGATCTGGAGCAGGAGCGCGGCGCTCAAGCAAACGCAGACACTGGCACTGCTGCCCAAGCCGGCTCCTGTGGGGATGGTGGAGCGGAGGGTGTAGATGGCGCCTGGGCTTTCTGGGGAGCCCAGGGAGAGAAAGAGGTAGAGGAAAGAGGAGGCAGAGCGGATGTGGATTTTCCGCTGTTCCTCGGAGAGGTCCTTGGAGACGGTATCGAGGTGGGGTTGGATAGCGTCGACCAGCTCTGGGTCCAGCTGGGTGACGAGGTCGTAGTAGAACTTCTTCTTGGACGGCTGCTGGAACACATCCCATGGCAGAGTATCGATGTCCCAGGTGTGGCTGAGCCCCAAGTCGCGGAAGTTCAAAGTGACAGTTCGCTGCGATTTGGAGAGTGTCGTGACAAGGAGGTAGGAGCGGAGGGAAATGGCGGCGGCCAAGGCAGCCTTGCCGTGAACCACAGCGTGTTCACCAAACACAATGACTTTGCCTGGTGCAGACACCATGAAGGCGGGCGCCATGGGCGAGGAAGCCTTGCGAGACATATTGGGCCGTAATGGCTTGGTGCTGTCTAGAGTGTGGGAGGATGAGACGCTGCTGTCGGAGGAGTGGTCGAAAGAATTCGGGTCGACGTTGCCATTCACCAGGGAGCGGTCTGGTATATCGAAGTGGGCGACTGGGCGTCGCTGAGTGTGATTGTGACTGTTTGCGCCTCTCACGCTGCCGTTGACTCGACGCGCGCTAGCACTGGCTGACATGGCCGGATTGGAGATTCAGGGGTGGTGGGGGGAGGAGGAGAGTAGCGGAGGAAAGATTGGCTCGCAGTAATGCAAGGGGGCGAAAGAAGAATAATGAGTTCGTTATCAGGACATGGTCTGTCAGGCAGACAACAGACAATGGCAATACAATGGATCTCAATGGTCGAGGAGCCAAGTCGGGGGATATTCAGGCTGCGCCGGGCGTGGAGTGCTCCAATTTACGGAGTAGCAGCGAGCACACTTGCCCTTCCACACCGCGCTGACAGCATTGCTAGCACTGCCAGCACGCTGACCCACTCGTGTACGTCCAATCACAGCCCCCACAATACCCATTGGTCATCGGCCCCCTTCTTTTATTTTCCTTAATTGTCGGGCTGAGGCCATGCGATTTTCTTTTTGGGATGGCGGGTGTGTCGCGTAGCATTACGTTCGCTTAGTCGCGGATTGAGGCGGGCTATGGACCAGAGTTTCCGGTAAGCCGATGCCCGGCAATGAAGCTTTGCTCGGCAGGTATGCTTCTTTCTTATTTTCGGCTCTCAGGCACTTCGGCTACACCGTCACTCGCTGTAGTTCCTCCTCCCGCCCCGCTGATCTTCGGGTGGCGGCTCTGACCTGCAGCAGAGATGCATTGGTTGGAGCATAGCGAGAATGAATAGACTCGGGCGACGTGACAGGCGAGCCAGGGGGGTTTCGTCATGGAACGGTCGTGTGTTGACACTGGACACTGATTCTGGGATCTTCATCTATATACATACAGGTGTGCTGCCGGCGGCATCTCGGAACCAAGGCAATGAAGCACCGGGGAGGCGTCCATGTCCCTGGTAACATCAGCGGGGGTAGCGATAGCCATTAAACTAGGCTTTTGCCCAAAGTCAACTGCCCCTGGTCAACGGCGACGATAGGGAACATAGTATGGACAGTACACAGATTGGGGAACTGGTATTCACTGAATAAGAATGTGCGCTATGTAACAAGTAGACAATCATTATCTCGGTTAGAGATTCATCGTCACAGTCATGCTATTGCTGTGGACCAAGAGACACGGCGGCAGGCCCTGCCACAGCACTTCCAGGTCACTCAGGTACGACGCACAGTCATGTTCACCCTGCGACGTCCCCTCCATTGGAGACGGGAGTGTGGTGAAGACAACAGCCGTCTCACTACTGTGCTGCACTATCAGCTCGTTCAAGATCAGATGCTGCGCTCTGCTAGGGAGATCGTTGAATGACAGCGGGACTGCGGCTGAGCCAGGGAAGCCTGACGCTGGTTGGGTGCTGTGGGCACTGGGAGAAGTCGGCGAGCCGGCAGACGAGCGACGCGCGTATATTGACTCGAGCTTTTGGGAGAAGCGAGGGGGGGAGTTGCTGGCAAACATGATCGATGGGCCTGCGCCCTCGTCGGTGTTCACCTTCGCCTCTGGGATCGGAGAGGAGCTGAAACGGTTGCTGGATGCAGAACGGCTCATGGGGGGGCGAGGGGGAGCGGGCGATTTGCTCTTCGGAGAGGCATTGTCGCTAGAGGTAATTATAGAAGGTGTGGGCGGATGGACGGTTAGTGTGGGGATGGTCGAGGAGCTCGAGCGTGCTTCTGGGCGAGTAGATGGGCTCACTCCCGCGCTGCGATCGTCGCTTTGGGTGCGACCGCCAGCAGGTCGCGAGGGGCCAGGGCTGCTTTCCTTCCCGTGACGACTGCTGGCCATATCCTCATGGACGTTTTCGTCGTCGCGTGCGTCGATCTCTGGGTCACTGGCATAGGGCTCCAGGTCGCTGTCATCGCTGCTGTCACTTGATGAATGGTCCCCGTCATAGTCGACAAACGCATCGAGCAAGCGATGAGTCTGCATGCCCAGATTGACACTTCGCAAGCCCCGGAAACTGGATACAGACTTCCTGCGTCCCTGTATGAGTTTCTTAAGGCCAGTCACTCGTTGCTGCACAGGCCGGTTGTCACTCTCTTGGCTAGCCGGGCCGTGCCAGGTGGGGAGGCGGCCGAGCCGTTGCACATTGTCCCCGGCGTGGTCCTGCTCCGAGGGATTCTGGGGATTGTTGCGAGCTCGAAGGACGCCTTGCCACCACTCCTCGTCTTTCAAAACCTCGTGGACGTGGTCCTGCGAAGCAGTCATCTCCGGGGAAGTCTCGCCGTTAACAATATATCGGTACGCTTTGACATCGCCGCATGCAAGCCAGAAGACGAGGACTTCAGCTTGGATGCGGAGCTTCTCGAGAAGTGCTTCCACTCGCCCTCTCTCGTCATCGACATCAGTTTCGTACTCGACAAATACAGCAACACGCAATCGATAGGTCTTTTTCCACGACGTGACGGTGTTCAAGATGCAGCCCAGCTGCAAAATCAGCGTGTATGTATCGAAATTGGTTGTGAGCACATTTTGCTTGCTTTCACTGTCCGCTCCGATCTCCGCGGACATTTGAATGGGCCACAGGTCGATGTACTTCTTCGTGTGGCGCCCTTTTGGATCTGGTAGTTCCAGATCTTCAAACCCCTTGGCGACCGCAACATTACTACGGAGGTTGAATAGTAGGTCCTCAAGAATCGTGACATAGCTCTGGCAAGTCATCCTCTTGCTTGGCGAGTCGGGTTCGTCGGAGTCTTGATATCTTGAGCCGAAGAGGGACGACCGACGCCTCGACTTTGAAGAGTCTCTCCGGTTGCTGCTAAGAGGGGAAATTGCTTCAGCCAGGGATTGTGTTTCCCTAAATTGGTCCATGATCACTATGTTCGGTCGCATGCCTCCCAGACCAGAGTTGAGTACAACGTTCCGTACTCCCCATTCGACAGTCGGGGAGACGGCAATATTGACGAAAGCTTTGATCCTGGAGTATTCGACCAGCTTTGTCCAAGCGGTGTGCTGCCGTCGGGCCTCTGGAACCGCCGCCGAGAAGTCATCAGTCACGAGCACATGGCCTAGAACAAATAGTGAGCCTTTCTTTAGTGAGTTGCAAAAGGAGACCAGTTTGTACTGGCGGTCCAGATCATCGACAAAGAGCAGAATCTGCGGTCGCCAGAACTTGACATGCTCTTGCTTTAAGCGAAGCAAGTACTTGCGCACCTGGTGATAGATCAGGCTTTGACTGACATCTCCCCAAGCCTTGGGCGGCGAGGAGTAGTGGATGATCAGGAAGAGTATGAGGAGGATGCTGACGCATCCTGCGGCATATAGCCCATCAACAAGGAACATGGTGACCCCGCTGACAAGCGTCCCTGTGGCCGCAGTTTGCCAGTTGAAGTAGTGGAAGGATGGCCTGAAATTAGGTGCAGATCCGATCTTCAGCAGGAAGCAGGCCAAGTTGGTAATCAGAAAAGTCATCAAATAGGTCATCGTCACGAAAGAAGCGATTTGATTGATGTCGAAGAGCATTGTAAGCTGCGCAAAGATGTAAGTGACGATGATAGCATAAATAGGCTCGTCGTTTTTCTTTGTGCCTTGGCCGAAAATGCTGAGTCCGGGGAGCAAGCCGTCGCGGGCAATGGCCTGGAGGAGCTTGGCGGAACCAATGACGCCCATCAGCGCCGAGAAGAGACTGGTCGCGAATTCTCCCATGAGAATGACCGTATCGGAGAAGTTGACCTAATTGTCAATCAGAAGTTGCTTCCATCTGTTCTTAGAGCGAGATCCTTACGATCTGAATGACGTTGACATTGTCGTAGAGCGACTGTCGAGTGATGGAAGCTGCCATGGCCAGAATGACCAGCAAATACGCGATGAAGGTCAGGGCAAGACCGCCAAGGGTTCCCTTAGGAATGGACTTGCTTGGGTTCTTCAAGTCTCCTGACATACTCGCACCGCTAATGAAGGGTCAGTAACTAGTGATGGTCTGTCTATACAAGTGCTCACTTACGCAAAAATACCACCAGTGGATGGGAACAGAATGGCAAACAAATCTTGGAAATTCTCCCGTCCCTTCAATTGGCTTCCCGCGGCACCTTTCGTCAGATGAGGCATCAAGTTCTCCTTCAACGTCTGCCAACTAAGGCCGGTAAACTCAACGTGGTCCACGGCGGAACGAAAAGGCTTCACAAAGACGGCAGAAAGCGGAATGCTAAAAGTTGCAATAAGAAGCAAAACCAAAAGCCCATTGCTGGCTCTCGAAAAAATAGAGCTTCCTGCTAAACAGATGGCTGTGCAGAGAACAAGGATGACTGTTCCCCAGAGGTACTCCCACCAAAAGCCTTCCGGAAGAAAATGAGTCCACGCGCCAGATTTGATTCCAAAGTTTTGGGTGAAACAGTCGATCAGACCGACAGCATTCATGCCGGTGTTGAAGACGTATCCCAGGTAAAAGACCACTCCTATGGAGCCTCCAAACTCGGGTCCCAGGGAACGAGAGATCAAGTAGTATGCACCGCCACCTCGAACAGTGCCATTTGTTGCAATTGCAGAGAGAGACATGGTGGTTACCAAGTTGATCAAGTACGAAAGCGCGAGCAGTCCTATAACCAATCAGCTGCATGCCTGGCATATCGCCGCATTCCAAATAGGACAATCACCTATTATACCGAGCAATCCAGCCTGGCCGAGAATAAAACCAAATCGAAGGAACATCAGGATGCTTAGAACATTCAAAGTTGTGGGTACAAACACGCCAGAGAAGGTGCCAAGCTTCTTCGACTCCTCGAACGAACGATGTCCAGGCTTGTCCTTCTTATCTGCACTGCTGTCATGGAAGGGTCCTGCCGATGAATGGGGCAGTCCTGTCTCTTCGCTTCCCCCGGTCCTTCGCCATGACCTATCTTCTTGTTCCACCATCTGGATAAGCTATGAAGAGGGTTCGCTGGAAACAAATGGCGCTGGTGCTCTGAGGACTCCGTCGGGTTCTCCCCCTGTTGGCGGGTCCAAAGAGTGGGTGGCCAGTGTAACAGTCGGGCTCGGTCACCAGGGGCAGTGTCCCCGGGATCATTGGGATCAAGACGTGCGACATCTTCTTGGGCCGACCGCGTCGAGAAATTCGGGCGTCGGCGAGACATCGCGGGATCTCCGACGTGAAACCGGTAGTAGCGATGAAAGCACTAGGAGGGCATGAGGACGGAGAGCACACCGCCAGGCCCTAATGGGTCCTATTGTGAGGAAGGGCGATAAACAAGGACTCAATGGAAAAAGAAAAAGCAATTGTCGATCTATTGGCGCACAAGAAGCAAGCGCACCACCTGCGTCACCTCGTGTCTCCAATCGGCGAACGGAGATGACGAGCAAGACAAACAGTGCAAATCAGAAGCAACACCTGAGCACCGCGCCCGACGCAATCGGCGACGATCGGCCACAGCCAGCCTCCTCACTCCTCTTGCGTCTGTTTCAGCCACGTCCTGCCTGTCGAACCCGCAAGAAGCTGTAACTCTGGCTATATACCCTTAGGAAATTATTTTGACTCTCACTTCCCATGCTTCTACCCCTGACACCTCTCTGAACACGGAATACCCTGAGACCGGGAGCACTGCAACTATGGCAGATAACGAAAGCTCGTCACTGCATCCGTCCCAATCAGTGCCAATTTCGACGTCGTCGATTCGATCCACATCTCCTGCTCCGGATGGCAGGCAGGCCTCAATAGCCCGTCTGGCATCGCCAGTACCTTCGTCCTTCGGGACGTCGCTATCGTCTCGGCAAGGTCTCTCAACTGGCCGACCGATCAGCACTCCTGTATCGAATGCCGAGCATAATTTCCGAGCTGTCGACAATCCCTCCTCACTTCCCGGCCCGGGTCAGTCCATCATTGCCTCTCAGCTGCAGGAAAGCCTTGGTCGCTCGCCCCCGAGGTTCGGCACGCCCTCACGAATCGCGGGGTCACCCTCGGCACTCCCGCCACTCGACAGTCGACCCGTGGCCTCCCAGTATGGCTCCTTAGACACCAACAACAACCATGGGTATGACACCCCTGGGGCGGGTGCAATTGAAGATCCGGAGGTAGTGAAGAGACATCTCGTCCTCCCGCAAACTGGCTCAGAGCATCGGGAGACAGGCTCCGAACTCGGAACCAGCTATGGCGACGATGAGTTTTCCAGTCTGCAGCTGCAGGGTGGTGATATCACTCGTCAGGTCTACAGGTGGGCAGAGGATGCCGACGCCGCACGGTTTGCTCGCAGCAAGAGTTTCAGCATCAGTCGGCCCGCCCCTGAGGCCGAGACAGAAAATTACCACACCATACAGGTGCCAGGAGGGTTCCGCCGAGACTTCCTGCGGAGATCTGCAGCCAGTCCACAACGTGGGAGTGTGCGAGGATCGAACTCTGGAGTTGCGCCCTCACAGCCTCAGCTTCCGACGTCAAGCTTCCTGGAATTTTTGACGCTATATGGTCACTTTGCGGGCGAGGAGCTGGAAGAGGACGACGAGGTCCTGGGCCCTGATGAGTACTTTTCATCCGATACATGGGATGAACGTGAGGAGCCCAGAGAGGCTGGTGAAGAGGCGGCACTTCTTCAAGGAGAGGGTGCTGGTCGCAGAAAGCGGAAGCACAAGCAGCGTGCCCCTCCAGGAAATACGTCCATCACGGGTGCAGTCATGCTGCTGCTCAAGTCTTTCGTGGGCACGGGAATCTTGTTCTTGCCCCGTGCATTTTTAAACGGCGGCATGCTGTTCAGCAGCATGGTGCTTCTGGGCGTGTCGATCTTGAGTTACTACGCCTTTATCCTGCTGGTCAATACGCGCATGAGGATCGAAGGCTCATTTGGTGACATTGGTGGCATTTTGTTTGGAAAACACATGCGACGCATCATTCTTGGGTCCATTGTGCTGAGCCAATTGGGCTTTGTGGCGGCCTACATTGTCTTTGTGTCGCAGAACTTGCAGGCGTTTGTTCTGGCTGTCAGCAAGTGCAAGAGCTTCATTGATATCAAGTTCATGGTGCTCCTGCAGCTGGTCATTTTCCTGCCTCTCTCCCTGATTCGTGATATCAGCAAGCTCGGGTTCACTGCTCTCATTGCGGATGCCTTCATCCTTCTGGGCCTGCTGTACATCTACTATTACGATGCTCGCACCCTGATTGGCAATGGCGGCATTGCGGACATCAAGGCCTTCAACCCAGCGACTTGGTCTATGTTCATCGGCACAGCCATCTTCACCTACGAGGGTATCGGCCTTATCATTCCCATCCAGGAGTCGATGAAACAACCGCGACGCTTCCCAGGCGTCCTGGCCGGTGTCATGGTCATTATCACCTTGATCTTTCTGTCCGCAGGTGCTCTAAGCTATGCGGCCTACGGGTCTACCACCAAGACTGTCATCCTTCTCAACCTGCCGCAGGATGACAAGTTTGTCAACGTTGTGCAGCTCCTCTACTCGCTTGCCATTCTGCTCAGCACACCCCTGCAGCTCTTCCCCGCCATTCGTATCCTAGAGAACGAGCTGTTTACACGCAGCGGCAAATACAATCCCTACATCAAGTGGAAGAAGAACGTCTTCCGTTTCTTCTTGGTCGTTGTCTGTGCCTTTGTCGCCTGGTGCGGTGCGGATGATTTGGATCGATTTGTTTCGCTGGTCGGAAGTTTTGCTTGTGTTCCCCTGATCTACGTGTACCCGGTAAGTCTCAACGTTTGCCAAGCCGTCGCCAGCCGTTCCTATACTAATCCATGTTCTTCTACAGCCCCTTCTCCATCTCCGAGCATGCGCTCAATCAAGACGTCAGGTCATCGCCGATATTACTCTTGCCACTTTCGGAGTAATTTGCTGTGTTTACACAACCAGCTTGACCCTCCAAAACTGGGTCGCCGATGATGTTCCTCCAAGCCCTGGATACTGCGATTCGCAATGAGCAGCCCGTGTGATGGCTCCAGATTGCATGACTGTTAATCTTATTACTCTTTTCTCTGGGATCTCTCAGCCCTAGCTTTAGCTTGTGGCATATAGCATTGGGTCTTCCGTGTCCTTTTTCTTCTTGTACGCATGGACGGAGAACTACAAATCTTGGCGTTCATGCGGGGTTTTGATAAACTGCCTGTGTATTTGGTGGGTTTCTGCTTTGGGGCGAGCGCTGGCCCATGTTGTATACATATGTGTTGTCCAGGACTTCTGGTGGCCTATCTACTCAGAATTGAACAATTTAGGACATGGCGTCAGTCGGAGAAAAACGCTCTTCAGTCAGGACAATTCTGATCGCATAGTACAAGCAATTCGATCCCATATAGAGTCTATGTACAGTGACTGGAATGAGCTCACCGGGGCCAGCATTGTTCCCGGCGCCACTCCCGTCAAAAGCTCCCCCGCCTCCCCCTCGCACCATGCTTTTCTCCATCCCTGCATGTCTTGTCTAGATATCTCTCTATCCTTCTCTGATCCAAATTGGTCATCAATGATCCCGAACACAAAACTGAAGATGGTAGGGATATAGAGATGCACTGCTGCGAAACGAAGTACAAAGATGCGAGTCAAGATGTTCAATCCAAAGTACAAGGCGGATCCGGTGACTTTTTACGCCTGCGCAGCCTCCGCGCCCTGCTTGGCCTTCTCGGCAAGCTGAGCTTCCCGGCCGCCCCAGCTATAGCACCAAAAAAGAATTAGCATAAGTTATATCGTGAGTCCTGGAAGGAAAGTAGAAGGTCCATTCGGAGCTTTCCGGGGGGAGGAGATCAACGCACTTCCAGTAGTTCAGATAGCGGTAACCCTGGGTAGTCTGGGCGCCGAAGTTGGTCAAGTGGCAGGCGAAGAGGAGGTAGTTCTTGGGGGTGACGGCAAGGGAGTAGCGCATGAAGGTGACGGCGTAGACGACCAAGGCGCCGGTCATAGGGCCGGAGATACTGTGTAGCGGATAGGCATCAGTGCACTGATTCCCTTCCAGATAAACTGCAGAAATAACTAAGACGAAAATGGTGGCATTGACCGAGTTGAACATACATTTCGGGGTCCTTCTGGGTGTCCATCACCGCCGCAATGGGGATACCGAAGTTGGAGACGGGGCCCCAGAAATCTGCGGAGAAACATTGTCAGTGAATACATTCATCAGGCATAGCTTGAGTCCAGTTCTGCAGAACATTCTCAAAGCCGCTACATCACAGCTTTCCTTCCTCTCTCTGCTTTGTGTTGGGAGCAGGTCATTGGCGCAGGCCGATCTCGGTCCGGAAAGTGCGGCGGGAAACTCGGGACGGCTTCAGAAGGTACGTACGGGTTGAGCAGACATAGTCCAGCACCTTGTTGGAGCGGATCTTGGCGTTGATGGCCTTGATAGCAGCAGCCATGGCGAAGTTTTGGGGGGAGACACACGTAGAACTGGGGGCTCGGTGAGGTTGAGGTTGGGGTCTGCGGGCGCGGAATTACTCGATTCAACCGGTGTTCACCGATGGTCACGTGCTCAGTGCTCACTATTGAATGGCTCTTATCTCCGCTGGGCAACTTATATTAGAATGGGAATATGCATCATTGAGTACGCAGAATAGTATTTTGAAGATTATGCCAAACATAGTCTTGCTTTGAGATTCTGGTATGAATTTCTTGAGCGGCTCCTGAGGACTTGGCCGTGTTTGCCGATGACGGCAAGCATCTGGGTCATTTAGGTGGGCCTTCCTTTCGGTGGAACTCTATATTCAGCACTATACCATGCAAATTCCCTATTTTATATTTTCGATCCTAGCAACACTGTTGGTGTTACTTGGAGGCGATTTGCCCACTCATCCCTACCACAGTGCACATATGTAGTCGAAATCACCTTATCATGTCGAGTCGGCAAATATCTGGTCACTCCTCCGTAGTCTTGGTGTAGATACTATTGCAGAGCGTCGGGATATTTTGACTCGTGTGGCTAGAACTCATAGCCTCCGTAGCTTCTTTGAACCTGAAGAAAGGCATTCCACGATAACAACTTCGTATTAGTATATATGTTGTGTGGGATCTCCGCTGAGATAGTCTTGTTATTTGGATTATGTCGAAACATGGAGCAGTGAAGGCCCATACCGTCGCAATTTGAGTCTGCCGGTTGGTTTTTACACAGGAAGGACTATCAGACCTAGTAAAACAAGAAATAACCCCATTGAACTCATGGGGGCTGCCCACAAGACTCGTTAGTGCCTAGCAGTCATAAGGTCCGTCAGGCCTAACATTCGAGCCACTAGGTAAGTTGGCTTCCACGAAGCTGACCAAACGCACTGGTACCTCCAGACTGGGTAATTGATCCCAGGATTCTCTTGAACCGACTAGCACCAACACCGCGTAAGCGGTGTGGCGCAGTGCATAACACCGCAGTGAAGTACATAACGTTAGTTACTCCTCAGGAGGTGACTTACCCCACTTCTCTTCTCTATGCGGCCTCTCACCTGCTTTTCTTCTCCTACCTCGTAAAGGCCTCACCCAAATCAGACCAGGAAGCAAGGTCAATAACAAGGATGAAAAGTGATGGGGAGAAAATGGAGAGGGACCAAGTATCCCTCAAGCGAAGCAGTGCGCTCTCCTTCTCTTCCAACACAAAGGGAGCGTACAATCTCAAAAAGGTGTGAGCTATACTGATATTTCTTTGACGACCAGGAATGGACTTCGAAGACGATCGGTCGACAGATGATGGCTCCGAATACAATGTATTAGATGACACCGAGGAAGAAGAATGGTGGAGGGAAGATGAGAGCGAAGATCTGGATTATGAACAGGACATCGAAGATTACGAGTATACCACCTCCGGTGACACGTCACGAACGCTGAAGATTCGGCTCTTTTGGACCGATGATGACGAGTTCAAGTGGATGAAAAACTTTGTCGCCGAATGCACTTGCGACGGCGTCGCTGTCGCCACCGCTCTGGCTCGGTATATTGACCGAGAGGGTATACGCCCTGAATTCTGGGAACAGATGGAAGAGCCTAGCGAGGAAACGTGCGGCGTGGCCTTCTATGTCTTTGATCGATATGGAACAGTCAAGCCCAAGTATAAGGAGCATCCAGTGCAAAGAGGAACGGGTGTATGGGGAAACGAGCTTGATCATGGCCCTCTTTTCCTAATTGAAAAAGTTCATGTTATAGCACTGGAACTACGTCGGAAAGGGTTGGGGCAGAAAATAGTGTCCTTACTTTTGAACAAAGCCAGACTGTTCTGCCTAGGCAAGAAGGGAGACGGCGAAGACGCAGATCTTATCTACGGTTCTAACGAGGCCTTTAAGCGAGTATGGACTCTATATGCTCTAGTCAGTCCCGGAATACTAACAGCTGATACCGAATCGCGGGTAGTGGGCAAGTCCGCAGAGGAACGCTTGATGATATAGGCTCGAATTCAATCCGGTGCTATTGACTTTTGGCGATCGTGCGGTTTTCGCCGAATCGGAGCATCTCGGTGCTTTATATTCTCGTTCGATCTCCAGTATTAGTCTCGCGCCCTTGCGGCGGCTTCTGATTTCGACCCGCATCGAAGCTATGCAGAAGATCTTGAGAACGAAGAACTCTAAGTTATCTATAAGACAGCTCATTTTACTGATATAAAGAAACTGAAAATGGGACGACTTCGTGACGCGTTGCCGCTACATCATACAACTCTCACTCAGACGGACGAAGAACTCAAAGCATTTTTCGTTACTCATGCTGACGATGAGATTGGCTGGGATCGAGTAACTAACTCTGAAGCCACACTTCTGCATTTAACAGCTTACGAGCGCAAGCCCCTAAGTACAGGGTAGCTACTTAAAAATGTCCACCACGCCGACTCCTAGAAGACGGCCCGTAATATTAACGGGTATACCCCACTCGAAGCATTGCAGGAGAACTTAGAGACAATGCGAACACAAAAGGAAGATGGCTTTGGCGGGGTCTTGAACCGATCAGACCAATTCAAAGGCTACTCCGACGCCGCAGTGTCCTGTCTCTCCTTACTGTTCGGACAGGATGCTTTAGGGCTTAATAAAGTATGCCTCCGATACGGGTGTACATGCGGAGAGTGCGTAGAAGGATTTCTATCCGCCCGAATAAGGAGCTCTCTCATTCTTCAGTGTGAGACTAGGTACGACCTTATGCAGGGGCACATTGATGATGGCGGCTTTTGGATAAAGGACAATGACACCGAACTCGAGCACCTCGATCCTGATGTGCGAAAGAACCTCAAAACCAACGAGTCGCTTCGGAAGGGCTTTGTGAATATTTTCCAAATTGCCTTAGAGTGTCTTAAGGCGAAAAAAGCTCCCACCGCAGAAAATCTCGAGCGGTGCTCTAACAATCGGAGCGAGTGGCCACCAGATACCAAGAACTACCTGCGACGCGCTGGGACGCAGATGGGCTGTCGGGCAGTGCTTCGACACATCTTCGATGCCGCTAAGATAGAAGATGAGGAAACAGGTAATGGAGAGTGTCAACTCACATTGGAGAAGGAATGGTCAGACCTTCCAACTTGCAGAAACGATCATGAGTTTGAATTTGTTGCCAGGGTTTGTGGCTACGCTGGGCTGAATGATTTGATATTTTGATATTTCTGTTCAAAGGAACATGAGTTTGTCATTCTCAATCTCTCCGCTCAGTGCAAGATTGAATCTATGCAGAAGCCATCTTTAGAGTCTTTTACATACAGGCTATCTTATCCCGCAATACATTTTTGGACATAATCAGAGTCCAGAAAGCTGCCCCAAAACTTTTCCGTCCTTCTTACAACAATTTTTGAAGCACGACTTGGTGGCCTTGCTATCTTTCCAACAATGGTAGGTCTCAAAGGTTGTATCGTAGTTATCGAGCCCGCAGTGCTTGCCGCAGGTATAGGTTGGTGCGACCGATCCGACATGAGGATAGTTTTCGCAGAAATAGCATGTGCTGGCCATGGACCCGAGCGGCAGGGCCAAGAAGGCAAAGGTAGTGGCGTAGCTTAGTAGTTTCATGTTGGCTATTGGAACTGGGTGCGTTCAAAAAATAATTAGGCCTCCTGGTATTGTGGACATATACAGGGAGATAGCTAGCAAACCTTGAGAGTAAGAAGATGGGAAATTGTTGTGCGCAGCTTGGTAGGAAATACCCCAACAAAAGGGTATGGGCTTCATTGATCGCGTTTATATAGCTGGCTCTGAACACGATGAGAATTGTGTGCTGCCTCGTATTCAACTCTAGCTGCGTTCGTACTTGAAGCCGGTGCAAATGATAGTCGGCTTGGCGACAGCGGAGAATGAAACTAGTCTGATTCTCCTCGTATTTTCAAGTGTGCTAAACCCAAGTGGACATAATTAAGCGTTGACTGGCACATCACTACTGTTTTTATTAAGAAGTATATTGAGAAGTGCCCAAAAATTCAGGGGAATGTGCCGGAAGTGATTTTTAGTCTTAGTGGTGCAGATCGCGGGCTGCTAGTCAGAACGAAATCGACAGTAGTGCGTTCGAGCACGCCTCCGAAGAGAATAGATAACTCGATCTGGTTTGATTCAAGCCTATCGCCTTAGACCACTCGGCAATACTGCCATGATTAGGGTTAAAAGCAAGAACAGCTTTTTATGTATACATGCTGTAAGTTTTTATTGGGCGGCTTTTCTCGCACACCCCTTTAAAGCCTTTTAAGGTATTTTAGTCCTCTTACATACCATGGTCAACATAGCTAAAATACTAGTTGTTTGGTTAGTTAACTACCTAACGGCCGGAGGATGGCTAAAAGTGCTGGGCAGGTGTGGAATAGTGGTGGTGGAAAATGGTGGGCGGTCAACCAGCACAAGAGACGGGCGGAAGAGCCGTTGTTTTTGGCCTCGATGGCGGTCATTTTCGGTGTCCAAGGATTCTATTTGTAACGATAGCGATCGACTCAGCTTTTGTCAAGAAAGTCTGTTCATGTCTACCCTTAGTAGCGCCTAGCAATCCCTGAAACATTTATCGAAACAGAACCTGGCCAGTTCCAATCACTGTGTGGCTAGCGAAATCCATCTCACCGGCCGCTGTCTCCCACAGGGCGCGGTGGAGCAGGGGTCGGTCTCCACCTCTAGCCCGCCACTACCCACTGAAGACACCCCGCGGAGTGTGAGGAGATAGTCGACAGTCGAGACTGGCCGCATGCATTAATTTCGAAATATGACGGCACGGCGTGATGATCTTTCGCCACTATCCGGCTTTGCTCCTACTAATCTAGCTTGCTGTGCTCTGAGGTTTCTTTACTACCGTTAATGTACATGCGTACCTTCGCACCTCGGATAGCGGACCAACCCAGCGTTACGTCTGGGAGTGTCCTTGCTTTGATTCAAGAGTTAGCGGGAGAGTGCCATGAATCCCGAGTCTAGTTTCTAGTTCGATCGTAAATCTTTAGGTGACTGTTCCGCGTCCGCGTCCGCGTCCCGGTGTCTATACCAATTCCTGACATTTGACTTCATTGGCCACGTCACCAGTATACCAGCTCTCAACATTTGATTTGACAAGAGCCTGGATGTTGGTCAGAGTCTGTTCCGCATACCATGCCAAATGAGGGGTCAGGATCAAATTTAGCCCCTGCGCTTCTGCACTGAGCAACGGAGAATCCGCTCGGCCGGTGGGTTCAATCGCGAAGACGTCCGTGGCAGCTCCTGATATCCGACCACTTTTCAGAGCAGCCAGGAGGGCCGCTTCGTTGACTATGCCACCCCTAGACACGTTTATAAGCAGGGCCTGTGGAGGCATCATATGCAACTCAGCCGTCGAAATCAAATCGAACGTCTCGGGAGTTCGTGGCAGACATAAAACCAGAACAGTAGACGTCTTCAAAACGTCTTCGAACGATGTCCGGTTATTTCGAGGGGAACCGCCCTTTCGTTCAGCGACTAGAACGGACATACCCAGTCCCTCTGCCATTCGGGCAATTCGTTTCCCCAACGCACCAAATCCAATGATCCCCACCGTTTCATCACGGCATGACAGGGGTGCCTTCCTGTCTGCCATCTGGAGCCGCTCTCGTAAAGAACCTTTGACTTTCCATTCCGTATCGGAGGCCGGCGGCGGCAGGATAGAAGTGGTAGCCTGGGTCAGAGCCAATAATTTCCGTCGGGTTGCGAAGTACATTCCTATCGCATGCTCACTGACGCTTTCGAGATTAGCTCCCGGACAATTGCACACAACAATCCCACGGGCATTGGCAGCAGCTTTGTCGATGTGATCTGTGCCTGTGCCCATCGCCACGACAAGCCGGAGTCTTGGTGTGAGATCTGGGCTAAATTCTCGGGCTGAAAGCCTGATGGTCGTGGTAATAATGACGGTGGCATCTTTTATTCTCTCTGCCAGCTCTGACGCAGAAGTCCAATTATGCACCGTGAGCGTGTGGGGGATATCAAAAGTCGGTATGGGACAATGTATGGCCTCAATGGCGACAATGTGAGGGGGTGTGTTTGCGACAGCCATCATGTCAGAATGTGGACCAAAATGGGGCGTTAGGGATCGGGCAAGGAAAGACAATGAGCCCCAGCGCGCACTTGCCTTTTTGTACGGAGGAAAGCCGATTCCGCTCTCGGTTAGGCCGGCAGTCGTTATTTGCTTACACTTGCAGCCCGTCAGCTTGCCAACAGCCCCTACGGCATGATAAGAGGAGATATGGAACTATTGTGACCAAATGATTCATATATATCATTAAAAACAGTAGACGACGAAGTGCTCAAGACAGGCAATCTTGAGTGTCGCAAATCAAGTGGCTATGTTGATGGAAAAACTTCTTGGGTAGTGACCCACTTAAATCACGTGAACTGTGACTACACTGCATGTGCTTGGTTTAGTCGGCGGAACTGTTTTCATTTCAATGGCAAAATTGGGAGGTACAGAGTCAATCTACCGATCCTGTCTTCCACAACCTGAGATACCTAGGCATCTGTTTTAATTGCATCATATGGTGACAGGGAGCAGGGAAGATGATTTTTGGTAGATTTTTATCTGCCGGGAATTTAGGCTCTACAAACTTTTGCACCTGCTTAGGAATTGTCCGATATATATAATGAAGACACCAACCTTACAATCTCCGATTGTACCTTCCTTTCAATGGAACCTACCTAGGAGCTTTAATCGGACAACACAGCTTTATGAAACCTAGAATATGTATTGCATTTTGCGACAAGAGGGTCGTAGGGGTTTAGGTAGCTAGCATTATTTTTGGTACTGAATGCAAATCTCAAAAGGATTTTTCGGGGTTGGTTTTCCAATCCTTGCTTGAAACGACCTCCATCCGCATGCGCCGCAACGCCTTGCCCGGTAAATGGGCTAATCTAGCCTGTACGCGTGATGATATCCTGCGCTGGAAGCGAGGACCGTATCCTGCCTAACCTCAAACGGTCTCTCTCTTTTCCCTTGTCCTGCATGAAAACAAATCTTCGAGGATTTTGAAACATCAAAGGCCCTTCTCGAAATAGACCAATCCATTTATCGACCGGGGAAACCGGGCGGCGGGTAGCCCCGTCCCTGGGGCGGGGGCTGGAAGCCAGGAGGAGGTTGGAAAGCGCCCGCTGTGGAAACGCGATGTTAGCCTGAGAAAATGCGGACATGGCAAGTGCAGAAGAAAGGGAGGCCTTACGAGGAGCGCCTTGGGGAGCGAAGCCAGGAGGAGGAGCGAAGCCAGCTAAAAGAGGAAGTCATTAGGTTCCATGCATACAAGGCAACAAGGTCCATTGACTTACGAGGTCCACCAGGGGGTCCTCCACGACCAGGGAAGCCAGGAGGCGGCGCACCAGGGAAACCACCAGGTGGGAAGCCTCCAAAGCCACCTGGAGGAGGCGGGCCACCAACACCAGCAGCGGGACCACCAAGTCCAATGGGCAGGCCACGACCAGCGGGCTTGCTGATACCGGGACCGGCAGCGAGAGTCGCGGCGGCGCCAGCGACGCCAGGCCCGGCAGCGCCGAGACGCGCAGATGGATCGGCGGGAGGAGGGCCGTCAACGGAGCAAGAGACAACCTGGGTACCGCGAACGATAGTAAGACCAAGAGTACGCTTCTCCTCTGCTTCGACCAATGGGGTGTTTGAGGGACCGGCAGCGGGCTTCGACTTCCGCTTGGTGCGACGGAACTCTTCTGTGTCGGCAAGAACGAGGTTCATGTGCTGTATAGAAAACCAAAGGGTTAGTCTAGTGAATCACATGGCGGCAGAGTGCGACGAACCTTATCAAAAGCCAGCATTTGGCCGGTCATCTGTCGACCATCGTTAAGGGTTACCCTCATCCGATAGTTGATCTAGGAGATATGTTAGGATTGATCAATGGGATAGATAGTGTCTGTTCACAGGCACTCACGAGGTTTTGCTAGATATCAGAGGTTAGCGACAGCCATTGACTCCTCAGTCGGGGATTGCACAGAGGACCGAGAGACTTACCATCTTGCCCTGCTTGTTGGCGGCCATGGTAGGCAAGAAGAGCGCGCACGTATGCGACCTCGGGAACCAAAAAATGAAAAAGACAGCAACTATGCTCTCTTCACGGGGGAGGAATCTAGCAAAACGCGGGATCCTTGGGTTAAGCTTAGCTCTTTGATGCCAGGCTCAAGTTCTCCCGTCCCGCAGGATATCCGATGACTCAGCAATAAAACAGCACGTGACACATGGCGGATTAAGTTCCTGACATAAGCGCCAAGCCCTGATGGAAGCCCTCTCGCTTCCCAGTTCCCGTGACTCGGCTCCCGTGACCGCCGCCCACACAAACCGCTTTTGTGCTTTTCGAAGATTCCTCCATCTCGTCGCCAACCACATTCACGCCACACCAGTCGCCATGGTATGTTACCACCACAACCAATCCACCCCCTCAATCGCACATCGACAATTCTAACAAGCATGCAGTCGGACGCCAAGGACAAGACCGCAAACCCCATGCGCGAGCTGCGCATTCAGAAGCTCGTTCTGAACATCTCCGTCGGCGAGTCTGGTGATAGACTCACCCGTGCCGCCAAGGTGCTCGAGCAGCTCAGCGGTCAGACTCCCGTCTACTCCAAGGCCCGCTACACCGTCCGTACCTTCGGTATCCGCCGTAACGAGAAGATCGCCGTCCACGTCACCGTCCGTGGCCCCAAGGCCGAGGAGATCCTCGAGCGTGGCCTCAAGGTCAAGGAGTACGAGCTCCGCAAGCGCAACTTCTCCGAGACTGGCAACTTCGGCTTCGGTATCTCCGAGCACATCGATCTGGGCATCAAGTACGACCCCGGTATTGGTATCTACGGCATGGACTTCTTCTGCTGCATGTAAGTGCTTGGTTCCGGAACAAGAGATACCCCTCCCCCCCCCAGGGAAAGCCTCCCACTATGGAACACCATTGACAATATCGTTCTTTTCAGGACCCGCCCCGGTGAGCGTGTCGCCAAGCGCCGTCGCTGCAAGTCCTCCATCGGTATCAACCACAAGATCTCCGAGTCCGAGACCATGAAGTGGTTCAAGAACCGCTTCGACGGTATTGTCCGGTAAATGGCGAGCGAGATGTGAGGAAGCGGGGACGGCCGGTTGAAAATGTGATTTACGATGCATCGAAGGGAGCCAAAAAATTTTCTCCGCCTGAAAAAAGAAAACAAAAATCAGCCCAAGACGGACCCGTCGATCCAACCGGCCGGGCTCCTGATCTTTGCGTCGGATATGGTGTTCTGAACTCTTTTTTTATTCTCTCACGGCAACCAGGATAGGCGTGTTAGAGACATGAATCTACTACCACCTTGCAAAAAATTGCGTCCCCCTCTTCACAATGAAGGCTGCACGAAAGGTGTTGTTCTCCGCATAACCATTGCTGAAAGGGCTGGCTGGCACTGGACTTGCTGTCTTGATGTCTTGCCATGACTCGGTTGACTTGGTCTAACGACCTCGTCAAAGAGTTGGTCGCTCTTCCCTCACTTGTGAAGGCGAAGAGTATACCGTTATCTGGCCTCTCTGTCTGTTGCTGTCTACACCTGGTGCCGCTCTTCCGCGTAGCTGTAGATCTTGTAGCTCGTAGCCACCTTCCACGACCTAGGAGAATTGCTACTTCCCCAGGTTTCGTCTCATTGGACCAAGCTGGAACGATTACCTTATCCGGTATGGAGATAGAGAGACATGCACACCATTATCGGTAAATGAACTTGCTAATAGTTCATTTCCATATGCTGTACTTGTTCCAGGATCCCTTCATCGTTCCCCATGTCATTTTGCCTCAGTCCCGCATCGTGCCCAATGAGGCTTTGAGAGATCAGGACTGGGCGATTCCTTGCGGAGGAAGTTCTCCCGGGATTCCCAAGTCTGAGGGCATCTCCAAAACGCTCTAGACCTAGACACCTTGTGAGTATATCAAACTACTTCACTCACATAGAGCCATCAACTTTCCTCAATCCTGAGAAATTCCGACCAGAGCGGTGATTTGAGGCCCATAAAAGCGGGCTTCCATTCAGCAAATACTGTTGTCATTTTTTTAAGGAAACAGGCAAGCTATAGGTATGAAGTATATTATACTAACAATTTATAATTTTTTTTTATATTGTTTTTTATATTTTTCTTTATCTTTTATGACATTTGATCACTGTACGTGATTTCTTATCACACTTGGATCCAAATGCTCATGGGTTATCAATTTCCCCATATGCCCCAATGCCTTCTCCACTTGCTCGTGCATTCCGATGCTTTACTATGAAATTATATAACACAAGGAAGAGAATCTTCAGGTTGGGCGCGACTTGGGTGCTTCATATCCAAAAGATGCTCCTATCGCGTTGAGCCACAGGTCATACGAGTTTATGCTACTGAGAGAACTAGAAAGAAAGGGAAGCGTGAAGGAAACTCCTGTGATGTAGGTAGTCGCACCATTTTAGTGTACATTAAGGTGATGTGCAGGGGGTCGGGGGAGGCGTGCGACTCTCACCAGGGTAGATTGACGCCATACCAATTGACCGGATGTGGCAATGCCATGAGCTTTATGTAAAGGCCAGGTGCGTGGCTGCCCATTCAGCTTATAAAGTCTTTCTTGTTATATCATCCAGCCTTGTAATTGTGCGATCCCAGCCCTTAAATCGGAAATTACCGGCGGGACGGGACCATAAGTTACCAAGCTTGGTGGACCCAAACGATCCATCCAAGTTAGGGCAATCGAAGGCTCAAAGATGTCCGACAGTATCGCCGAGGAAATTTGGGATCATGGGGCAGGTTGTGATGCAGAAGCCCCTCCAGCTCAATTGCTCCCGACCTAGCAATATGGTCTCAATAAACGTAGCTCTCGTGTCGAATGGATCATATCTAGAACGAGGAAAGAGGAAAGGAAAGAGGAAAGAGGAAAGAGGAAAGAGGAAAGAGGAAAGAGGAAAAAGAAAAGCGAAAGAACACGGGCCCGGATACACAATATGCAATTCATATTCATGATTTCTCATTTTGCTTTGGAACGAGAATACCTGAATATACCACTTTACAGAAGAACAGAAGAATAGAAAGAAGAAAGCACACAGCAAAACAGGCATCAAAATCATAAAGCCCGAATCCGATCACAATCTGTCCTCCAACATATCTACTTATTTACTTCCCCGCGTATACCCATCCCACAACTTCGAAAAGACTCCACCCTTCTGCTGCTGATCAGTCCAGCTCGCGCGGCGCGCCGCCATGCTAGGATCCGAAGATTCGCGCTTCTGCGTGCGCAGGTTAGAGAATAGGCCCGCGCCCGAGCCTGAGCTCCCGCTTGAGCGGCGGCGCTCGTTGACGGAGGGAGTTTGGGGGGAGTCGGCGGATTGGTTGGCGGTGCCGCTGCTGGCTGAGGAGGTGGAGCCGGCGGAGTCCTGCGGGTGTTAGAATATGCAAGCTATGAGAGGCGGAGGCAGGCAGAGAAGAGGAACATGGAGGTGGGTATAGGGGATCGGGCACAGTAGGGACATACCCGTCTACTGGCAGCGTTGGCCATCATCTCGGGGGTCAGCGCCCAGGCAGCGCGGGACGCGGGAGCTTTGGAGCCGCCATTCATCCAGACGTTGGTTTGCTGGTAGCGGTCGCCGGGGGTGCCGTGCCAGTGGCGTTTAGGACTCTCGGGACTGTCTGACATGTTGGCGATTTCGAAGAGTGCACAGTCCGTACTAGATGGTGTTGGTCCTAGGAGTGTAGGACGTGGTCTTGATATCGATATAAAGATTAGTGGGTGACGCTCAGTGTGGTTCAAAGACGGGATGATGGTGATTGTGGGAATGAGATATTTGGGTCCGAGGTCTAGATAGTCTCTCTTTTGTACGTCGGAGGCTGGGATGGATAGGCTGAGTCGAGGACGTCATTCGAGGGAAGGGCGGGATGCGGATGTGCGACCCGTGGGTGGCCGATGATACAAAGGAGATGTACCGTACTGCAGGGGAACGGGAGGGTTGGTGAGGAATGGAATATAATTGCAGATACGTACGTTGTGTTTGATCTATCGCGTTTGAATGGTATGACTATAGCACCGTGACGGGAGTGGGGTTTAGGAGTTTAGAACGAGGGGAAGGAGCCGCTTTATGTGAACTAGGGTCGCTGTCGCGTGTTACGGGCAAGCTTCCTCGCGGTGATTTGTCATTGCCTGCTTGGCCATCCGCTCGTCCTGGTTGACTCTATTCAGCGGCCTGTCGGGTGCTGTTAAGGGCAGTGATTGGTGGCGAGGTGGTTCGTGGGGATAGCAGTTAGCCATGGTGCTATACTAGACGCCCTGCGTAGAACTAGGGGGGCCGACTAAGCTTGAAGGCTCCGGGCCAGTCGCGGATTAGCTCTTGATCCACGGACACGCAACCACTGTCTCAGATGGAGCCGGAGACATTCAAGTACATCGGCGTCATCGTGTTGATAATGGCAGGGGAGGTACCCACAAGTGGAAAGGCTGCGGCTTGACGTAAGAAGAAATGCGGGGAAAGCTCGACGGCAAATCAGTCCAGCATGTACTCAGTACGTGCAGTGTACTTACATTGCAGCAGATATAAGTTGTAACTTCCAGGGGAAACAAGTACTGAATACTCATATGGACCAAGACCAGTGGATGTGTAACAGTCCTCCGTCTCATCGAGTCGCACTCGCCGTATTATTTACCATGTTCACGTCGCAATGCTTCCTGTCTCGGTATACAGAATTCTAACCCGATCTATCGGAGACAAGAGAAGAGACAAGAAACAATAATATCCACCTCCCTCTTTCCCTCAAAGCCTCGCCTTCTCCGCAACATCCCGCACGGCCTTCCACATCTTCACACCCACATCCCACATCGCATCCCCGCGAATCTCCACCTCCCCATCAGCCCTCAAAACCCTCACCCCCTTCCCACTCGTCCCCCAGCCAAATCCATCGCTCCCCTCCGCACTCACCCCCTGGACAAACCGACTCAACGGCCCAATCAACGCCGCGTCAGTGCTCTTCTTCTCCCGCGGTGTCAACACATCCCCATTACCCCAGAACCACAACGGATAATCCGACGAGTGCGTAACCCCCCACTCCAGCGGAAGGCTCTTCTCAATGCACTCGGCGCGGAACTCAATGCGGTACCGATAGATGAGCCGCGACGCATCGACGCCCGCCGTATTCGAGGTGAGCGCGTGGATCAGCCCGCGCTGCATGTGGTATACCTGCATGTCCGCGTAGATCCGGCCCCAGGCGTCCGGCGTCCAGTTCTCGCAGGTGGGCGGGGGGACTTTGTCGGGTAGTGCAGAGGGAGGATGGCGTCGACGACGCGCTCGGGGTAGTCGGCGATTAGCCGGGTGCGTAGCGCGTCGAGCGTGTCGGCTTTTGGCGGGAACCAGATGCCGTAGAGGAAATGCTCGTCGGCGCATTCGCCGAGGATGAGTCGGATGTTGCGGGCGAGTAGTTTGCGGGCGAAGTCGCCGCTGTCGAGGGATTGGAAGAGCGTGGGCACGATGAAGCCGCCGTCAGTCGTGGGGCGGAATTGGTGTACTTCGATGCTCTTAGCTGCCTCAAGGAGCGTCTTCGGTGGGAGGGCGCGGAGGCGGGCGAGCTTCTCGATGGCTGAGAAGGAAGATGGGATATCGAGCGCAGCGAGGAGCTCGTCGAACTGGATTTGCGTCTCGGCGGGCGCCTTAGGTTGTACGGCTGGTGAGTTGGAGAGGATGCATGCCTGGCGCACGATGGCCTTGTCGTCCGGTTGGCGCAGGTCGTAGGCCAGTTGATGAAAGACCGAGTTGGCACCTGCCGACGTAATCAGCGTTCATGCTCAGCGGAGGGTCAGGTAGATCGAGGTAGATCGAGGTCGACACTCACCAGCAGAGTATCCCGAGATCGTAATATTCTCCGGGTTGCCCCCGAATAGATGGACGTTCTCCTTCGTCCACTCCATGGCCAGCCGCTGGTCCCAGAACCCGTGGTTACCCACCGTCTCGCCCACAGCCGCAGCATCCTGCTGCAGCTCAGCCGAATACAAGAAGCCAAACAGGTTGACGCGGTACGCCGGCATGACAACCACACATTTGAACCCACTCTCGCCTAGCAGCGCCGCCGCATTGAAGCCATTCGGCGAGCCGAACTGGAGCCACCCGCCATCTAGACAGGCAATTAGCCTTCGCTCCCATCAGGACAACAGGGATAAAACGGGACAGTAGAACCCGAACGCCTAGGACCGAGCACATACGAATAAACATAAAAACCGGCCATCCGCCCCGTGGTGGCTCTCCCGTCGGCACCCACACATTGCACTGGAAGCAATCTTCCGTCCAGATATCCTCGCTTGGCGACACGCCCCTAAACTCGGGCTGCGGACACAGACCCGCGCCGCCGTCGCACCGACCCGGCGCATCTTTGCTGCCGTAGCTAAATGTGGACGGCAACCGGCGGGCTCGGCGCCACCGCTGCAGCGGCGGGAGCGCATAGCGGACGCCGCCGAAGTAGTGGCAGAGGTCTGTGCCAGACGGCGCGGCGATGGTGACCCCTTCGATGGTGCCGCGGTGGGCGAGGGAGTGGAGGCGCGAGCGGCGGGTTGTTTCCATTGTGATAGGTGTGTATAGGAATGGAGAGTTTGGTGCAGTCGGTCGACAGATCAGCAGGGTCACTATGCTCCTTGGACCTCAATTGAATCCGCGATCACCAGGTTCCTCGGAAGTTGGTCTGTTCCTGGTCCCACGCGGTGCGAATAGGGGAAAGTGAAGATGAACTGGGCAGGAACAGCGCCCTCTGCTTTTATCGCTGCTCGGTTTCCATTCCGCGGCTTTCCTGTCCCCAAGATAAAGATTGCCGAGATAAACAGGCGACAGGCCCACCTCATTGGTGCTGCAGACGAGCTGATCGGCTGGAGTTGGAGGCCGCTGCGTATTGCGGGGATGCCCGCTCCGGGTGGAGTTTCGGGGTCTAAATCTGATGCCGAGCGTTGGGACCGCACTGTCGGGTGGGGGACACTACTTAGGGAGTATTCACGAATGGCATTGGCCATTTCAGCAGGTTACGTTAAATCTACAGATAGCATAGTGGTGTATATGTTTCCCTATACTACTGCGCCGGACTGGTGCCAGTTATATGCGCCTATACATACCGGATTTTCCCTGCCAGGTGAGGCTTTCCTATTCTAGCTGGCGCCGCTTTCGTAAGGCCGCTCAGGCTCAGGCTCAGTGAGTAAACCTCATCACGGACTCAGGCCCAACGATCATGCTCAGTCATGTCACGTCACCGATCACTGATGCTAGTGCTCAGTGTCCAATCAGTAAGCACCTCTGATTTACCCAGCCAAGCCTAGTCTAACTCCGAAGAGGAAACTACTCCACCAAGCCCTATATTCTGTGATGAGTAGTCTGTTGATAGCCTTGGCCTTGCCATTCATGTTTTGGAGTGCCTTGTCCCATCAAAACATGCGCGAGGTCCAGAAGGCCTACAGCGGGGTAGAGAAACGAAGCCCCCGCAAGATGATTTAATTCTTCCTGTGTTCTATTCTCGCTTCCAAGGCCATCTAGTTGGATGAGCCAACGGACCACCACCGTCGGTATGCATAGCCGAACGGATACGTTCGCGGCCTATACAAGCCAGTGCCCATCCATTCTGCCGTTGAGCTTCATGCCACAACATACTGACTATTATAAGTCTCCTGAGCAGAAGACGCCGCTTTAGCCCCTTGTCCGAGACATCCCAGACGACGTCTTCACGGAGCCTGCCAGAGAACCATCAAGTTCCAAGGAGAGGTCCACCATCTGGAGAGCAAAACACATTGTTGATCCCAGTCAGCAGCGGATAGCACTCCTGTTCCAGGTGGGCAGGTCACCGTAAGTCTCACATTCTCCGGACCTGTATCGCCCGAAGAAGAAGCAAAGGCCAAATACCAGAGCGTGAAGAAGTACGCATCCGCAATTGGGGACCTAGTGCGAGCGTCAAAATCCTATTACGCCGTTCCAGCGCACTATCGAGCGGCCCCCGCAGTTTACTATGCAGCTGCTCCGTGGTTCTATCTGTCGTCTGCGGCATGGTAGAACTGATATTTTTCACCCTGTTTTTCGGCTGGACGGGCATCGATCTCTCCCAGGTTCCGCCGGATGAGGATATAAATCCGGGCAAGCACTCGCTGGGAGTGCACTGGGTCACTTCTGTGATCAAGATGCCGACTGCGCGGATTCCGGATCTACCCTCACTGAATCTGCAGCTGGCGAGCGAGATGGCCTCCATCGGTGGACTTGGCCCGGTGGCGACTGGCACTCCGGCACAGGTCGCAGGTGTGATGGTGGCGTGGATCAACGAGGCTGATACTGACGGGTTTGAAATACCTTACGTGATCACTCCGGTACGTTTGAAGATGTCATCGACCTGCTCGTTCCCGAGCTCCGGCGTCGCGGACTTTATCCCGCGAAGGCTGAGGCCACGGATCCTTTAGACAGCTCACGACAAGCTTGATGGCAGAGATCAGAGCAGAATCCGCGCAGATCAGGTAAGGTGCAGGTACGGATATGACGTCTACAAGGAAGGCCCTCTCTTTTCGTCCGGGAAGAGCAGTTGGCCGCAAAGGTGCCTTATCCAATTCCTCTCATATTGCCCGTATTGTCCTACTTTTGTCGGCATATTGGAAATTCTTGACTCAAAGAGTTTATATTCACTCAATATATGTTTTTTAACGCCAGGAAGGTTCACGCGAGTACGCTCGCTTGTCAATCGTGCTTCAAGAATCCGCGGCATTCAAAACCATGAAATATGGCGGTCGTAATAACAGTGTGGTACAGGTGGACTGGTCCAACGAGGAGTCGCAGAATCATCCCCGAGTCTGACCACTGGGCTGAGCAACTGCAGGTGGCCCCAATGACCCTTCTCAAATGCTGTCATAAGGGGTTGAATCCGGAGCAAAATACTCAGGGTAGACCCTTTTCCAGCCATTCATCACGACCATGAGCAGTTCCGACACATACTGCGAAGGCTCCATAACCTCCCACTCGAAGGTTTCTTCGTTCTTTCGCACCACCTCCGGTGAATAAAGTCCGATTTCCGGTTGCAGAGAAATGGCATCAGCGGCGACCAGGGAACTAAGCACACGGTAAGAGCCTCCATTCCGTGCACGATCACGAAGAGCCATCAAAGTGCCGAGGGCTCCAACGAGGCCAGTGGTCATGTCCGAGATTGGAAGAGGTGGCAGAACACTGGTCCCATCAGTATAGCCAAGGGATCTCCCGGTCACAAAGGAGGCTCCCGAGGCGGCGTCTCCAATTTGCTGCCAGCCAGGTCGTTCGTAGAAGGGACCATCCGGCCCATAAGCATTTTCCTCGACGTAGACAATTCCCTTACCTCTTCTGCTGGCCACCTGTAGAATCTTATGCAAGCCAAAGCCCTTCCGCTCTAGGGTACCCGGTCGGAAGCCTTGGATGAAAACGTCCGCGTCATCAACGAGCTCCTTCAGCCGAGCTACATCTCCATCGTTGGAGAGGTCCAAATCAATAGTACGCACTCCAGCGTTTAGTGTCAACTGCAGAGCCTATTTTAAGGGATTGAAGGTCAGCCAGACGTATGAATTTAGACCTGGAATATCTCTTACATTCAGATCCGGAAGCTTGCTGGAATTGATGCGGATCACGTCGGCCCCAAGCGCAGCCAAAGTAGTTCCGATCACCGGGCCGGCGATAATTCGAACAAGCTCCACAACCTTGATGCCGGCCAACGGGCACTTATCTCTTGGCAAGTTGGGCAAGGGAGCCCGAGGTGTAGGGGCGGCGTAAGACTGGTGGGAATAATTGACAAATGGATGGCTCTGGAGCCGCTTGCCCATCAATGTCTCGCTCCATCCCTCGGGAGTATAACAAATACTTCCACAGAATCCATTCTTAACCATAATCATCTCTAGCTCATTGGCGCTGAATTTCTTAACCTGTTGGCGAATGAGGTTGTATGCATCGGGGAGGGTCTCGCATTTGGTTTCAGGATCAACGCCGATTGCGCGAAGGACAGGGTCCGCATGGAGCGACCCATGCAGCTGGTACCAGACGCCAGGAGTTTTGGTAGGATAGATGGCAGTCGTTCGGAGTCTGAGGGGGTTGTCAAAAACACCCTTTTCGAAATCACGGTCGAAGATAGAAGAACCCTTGCCCATCTTGATTAACTCGCTAATGTCGGATCCATTCAGGCGAACCGTCAGAATAGATCCAAGCCAGATCGCGGCCTGGTCGGTATTAATTATCACCTCTCGGTCGTGTGCTTCTTGGCCGTCTCGTTCGGCCAGCAGTTCGTTGGCAACAACGCCACACATAGCATGAAGCGCAGCTGCAACAACAGGGGCCTTTAGAGGCCCGGGAATCATGGGATCATCATGGCCCTCAAATTTGACAGAGTCCCAAACGCGAGGGTCTTTTGTAAAGTTTTCTGTTGCGTTGGCGAGGATTTCAAAGACTCGACGAGCGTCATCGGGGACAGGAAGAAAATTCTCGTCGACAAAAGTGCCCGGGCCATAGATCTCTGGGCTGGGAATAGTCCTGTGGGCTGCAGGCATTTTGGGATCAGGGGATACTTGAAGAACGAACAGGTGGAAAGAAAATGATGTTTGGTAGATTCAGTCGATGTTGCTCGCCGCTATTTATACCAACACGAAAAGTAATTAGTTCAGTAAAAAGAGTCGATCGCTTTCGCCACCTTTTTTTAATCAGAATCTCCGAGGATGCCCGCTCACCTCCCATATGTGTTGCTATAGGGCCGGATGTTCGGTCGAGCATCCGTTTCGAAGTAGCGAGGTGCATTTCTCGGCTTGCCGATGAATTTGCAACAATTCGGTGTGGACTCTCTGGTGGCAGACAGACACTGCTCGGCCCGGTAGCCCTGGAAAACCACTTGCCTCGGGCGCCGAGGTCGTAAGTCTCGGTCCGAAACATTGACATCGAAATCGAAACGATAAATTTTATAGTACAGGCGGAAAGCTGTGGTCATGCCTTTCCTTTCTGGTCCCCTTCCCATGCCCTTTCAACGCTCAATCTGTTATGCCATTGGAAAGAAAAATCACCAAGGAATGGCTCACATACCCATCAAAACTGCCCGAGTGATCGGCGCCGGTGCGGTGGGCTCAAGCTGGACGTTGCTTTTCCTCGCAAAAGGCCTGAGGGTTATGCATAGTAACAGATACCGTGCCGGAAGCTGAGGAAAGGTTTTATCAATATCTTCATCAAAACTGGCCAATCATGAAACACGCGGGCCTCCACGAAAATACCTCTCTCCAAATTTATCGGTTTGTGAAGATTATACTAGATCTCTTGGATGTGATTGATCTGGTCCAAGTGGTATGTTAGCCTTCGCCCCGCTCAGTTATGAAGTGTCTTTACCCTTTTACTTAATTTTTTTGGAGGGTAGAGGAAATTTCAATAATGAAAATAGTGCCAGACTAGACCGGAACAAATCGATTTTGAACGCCAGCTTTTTGCTGAGCTAGATTCTATAGCACTGAAGGAGATGTTGTTCTTGTCGTTTTCATCCGCAATACCAATCCCCCAAGTCGTGATGGATGGCCAGAACAATCCTGGTCGCGTGATGGTTGGCTGTCCTTTGAAGCGACCCCATTCAACAAACATGGGGTGGTTTCGTACTGAAAGCACATACACAAAAAGGGCGATTGACTTCTATCGTTCATTGGGCCAGAGGCCAATTTGGATTCCAAGAGGAACCCCGGAATTAATCGCTAAAAGGCTTCAAATGACCTTGCCCAAGGAAGCATACTGCCTAATTGCCCATGACATTGTTTCGCGGAGGACGTAGGTTGGTTGTTGGGTTCTTTCGGCCACTCTTATTTAATATAGCCCACAAAGCTGTATAGTACGTGCGATTTATCTCTAATAAATGTGCAGGCACCTACATCCGATCATAGGCTCGTGTAAAATACCATTGCAGATCTGTTGAGCAATGTGCTCGCAGGAACCTGGGGTGTTCGACATCTTCCCAGAGACATCGACATGGCGGCAAAGATACGAATAGAGGATACACCCTCTGCATCTAAGTGACTATCTAACCCCGTGGTGACTGGAATAACGCATTGTTATAGACACCTGAAGAAAGATCGGGGCACATGATTTCGGCAATCACTATCAAAGCGAATCGACGGTTTGTCTTAAAAAAGAAGGTAAAACGAAGGAAAAATAGGTGGGGGGGGGACTTGGGGTGTAGAAGGGGCAAACCTAGCCATCTCTCCTTCCACAGGCCCTAGATAAAGTTGATGAGATTCTTCATGTCATAGTAAAAATGTCGGAACGATGAAAATGTTCCTGTGATACGCCTAGGTCCCAGAAACAGCAATGGTTGAATTGTGTCGAATTATGCACTATTTACATAGGCTAGTAAGGGAGACGTCTAATGGGATATTGAGAATCAGATTGATTAGTGACGCTCTAGAAAAACAGGGGAACGACCTGTTGAAGTGTTATCCCCAGGCCGTAGCGGCGTATTTCTGCCCGTGCGGCCGATACTTGGCTGTTACACAGCCTGAGTTCACGTGTAAACTCGAATTACAACTAGAATCTGGGGACCTGTGGAATTGACGCCGAAAATGACAGCCTCTGGCGCCAGAAACGGCTGCCTTTCTACCCATAACTTTAGACGACGAGCCGCCCACCGCCCTTTACCGCCCGTTACCGCCTACTATTCTATACCTAACTAGTCTATTAGTTATTATCCTCTAGTCCTAATATTGCCGCTTAACTTTAACGATTATTCCCCCCGTTTCTACTTACGACTAAAAACGACGCCAAAAATAGCTCCCCTCTATATCTAAATCTAGGCTTCCCCCCTTCTCGCCCGGCCCGTTCGAGCGACTATAAGATATATCGTCCGCCCTCTACTCCGAGTATCTCTCTATAATCCTTCTTTCCTTATCCTAATACCGCTACCCTAGTCGACCTTAACGTCCTTATTAACTGGACGGACTTCGATAAAAGGGAAGCCGACCGTGACCCGGATTATATCACTAAGCAGGTTGACTCGTGTCAGCAAAAGGCCGAAGCCGCAGCTCTGGTTTGGAGTCGACCCGTCGCGATTGTAATTTATACATGGTGAGATTGAATAATAGTGCAGCGAAGAGATGCCAAAGGTATTAGGACATCAATCTTCCCTAATGATGGACATAAAGGGAAACAGGTCATGAATTGACATCCGTGTGATCGAGCAGCAGGAAATTCCACATCAGTTTGCCCGTCTTTATGGGGCCAGTTCAAATCAGCCGTCGGGACCTAAACTGGATGGTGTCAATTGACCTGGAAACACCGAATTCCGAAAGGCCGCTTTTAGTAGTCGTACCCGCTATATTCAAGGGGGCCTTCGGGGTTTGATGTTTGCCGTCTTCTATAATCCTTGGCTAGCTCTTCACATCCTGAATTTAAAACCTCTCAATTTCTAAGTATGTGGTCTGTTACGTGGAAAAGAACTTTTGGCCGAATTTTTAGGCGATGTTGATGACAGTCTCGCCGATTTTAGGGCTCGGGACTATTATCTGTCGTCTATGAACTCCTCTTCTTCGATAACCCGTTCTATATTGTAGGATATAGTAATAGTCGCGGCCCACAATAAGCGACTAATATACGCTTGTCTAAGCACTCTGTTAACGCGGCTTAACATATATACTACTGTACCTCATTTTCCGTGTCTTAAAGAGTATATGGCATAACTTGATTCAAGCTAGCATACAAGATACATGTAACGCTATATTCGAGCCGGGATATACAACATTTCAATCTTAGGTAGGAAAAGGTGGCTTAGTGGTATCACTCTTAATCACCTTGGTATTTGTTATTACGTCGGGCATATTATTGTTGGAATCCATAGAGATTTTGAGGCGGTAACGATAGCCATGACGGCCAAGAAATCATTCCGCCACTAATACTTGCCGGGGAGATCAAATTGTATATCTGGGCCATCTGGCTTTACTTGACACAATGCGCGAGAATAGCATAGATTGTCTTGTAAGTACTAGGGATAGTTCGATATTCTTTGCGAAGGCAGTAAGCGAAATTTTTCAATGAATGTTTCAAGACTAACTTCTTGTGTGTTCTGGAGCAGTTTTAGAGGGGTCGATGGTCGAGGACCGAGTTCCATTCCCCCTCAATAAGTGTGAAGTTAGCTAATAGAAGGTGATAGATCAATACGACTAACTATTGTTGACTAGTGAAAAGGTAAGTTATTAATGTGGTTTGGTTCCTGTTAGAGCGTGAGGCTTATAGTTATTTGTCTTTAGTGCTTGCCTACTTGATTGTCTATGGAGTGCCCAAGCGGGACTAACTAGCTTCTAGGAATACCTTATTTTCCCCACAGAACTGATCATTATCGATGCTAGAAAAATAATGCCTATCACCTGTTGTAGTGCCCTGTTTATGCATTACCACTACGTTTGATCCCTCATCGGTTAACTCGAAGCTGCATCTACGCAAACGTAATAACCAATATAGGGACGAACAGCCTGTCCCGACGTATGGATTCCATACGTTGAACTACTCTATGTTAATCACTGAGATCTCAACCCGCTCCATAGTCATCAACTACGGAGGAAAGACATTTTTAAAGATGAAAAGAAGTACATACCTCTGCTGCTGTGATATCGTACTGCGCTTCGATAGTTTCGCAGTCGTCCCCGCTGACTACGAAGTGATACTCTGTGCAGTCAGCGACGGTGCTGGGTTCCACATTGGTCGGGATCGTTGCTGTCGCCGTTGACGTAGATGTTGTAGTCTGCGTGGAAGATGGATGAGGATGCGGTGTAGGGAGCGTCGACGCAGACCAGGTAACCGAGCCAGAGGGACTCGCAAGTCGCTCCGACAGTCGGATTCCACGCCAGGAACTATGAATATAATCAGCAAATCATGTAGGCTCATAAAGACCGTTGAGGGCAGGGGAAATCAATTTGAGTTTGCATACCTCAGCAGCAGTAATGTCGTATTCCTCCTCGATTGTGACGCAGCTGTCTCCACTGACTACCTCGTGGTACTGGGTGCAGCTGGGATCGGTGCTTGGTTCAGCGGTCCCCGAGGCCGTGGTGGCAGTTGTCGTCATCGTCACCGTCACCGAGGTTGCCGAGGTACTGCTCGTTGTGCCAATACAAACAGCGTCACCTGTAATAGTGGTTAGCCACGTGGTGAAATGGTCCAGTAGGGATAGGAGAACTGTCTAGAGAGGAGAGTATAGACGGGGTGGACTCTCCAACATCGAGATATGCACAGGTCGAACCGACAGCCGGGTTCCAGCTGTAAAATTGGCTGGTCGTAAAGTTGCCAAATTCCTCTACGATGCCGGCGCAGGTATCATTAGTCTTGACGACATAATACGCGTCACCTAAAATTCTTAGTACGGGATATAACAGGCTCCCAAAGAGATATTGAAGGAGATTATAACTCACAATTAGGTGCGATTCCGGTTTGTTCTGGTGCCTTCGAGATCGAGGCGGATGTGGTAGCCCCAGTGGCTGTTGTGTTAGAAGACATATAGTACGCCGGGGAACATGTTGCCGGCAGCACGGTCGAGGCGGGAATTGTAGCGTTTGCCGCCGGGTCGCAGTATTCATCGAGGAGATCCTCGCAACTTTCTGGGAGATCGTATATGGTCCAACCGTTGGAGATGTCGTTTTGGGTAATGGGGCAATATTGGGTCAGGTTCAAATAAAGGGGGACAGCAGTATCATTCCATGTGACGTTACTGACTGTTGGCACGATGGTAGTGACGGGCCATGCGATGTCGGATGTGTTGAAGATGGGAAACGTCGTCGGCTGTGTGGGCAGCGTAGTGAAGGCTGTGGGGGGAATTACCCAGCTCCTGGGCGCATGTCTCAGAAAAGTTCAAGCAAGGGGCCGGTGTTTGGAATCAAATAAATCTTCCAACGAGACATTCTACACCTACACGTTCCAGCTTGTTGTGATATTTGTGGTGGGAACAACCCAGCTTGATGTTCCTGGAGGCCTAATCAGACAAAATCATTTAGCGGTGTCCTCGTTTCGCACGGTGAGCGGCCGAAGACGATCGGCAAGAGAAGGTAGACCCACGAAACACATATATAATCTCCTACCATGCTATTCAGGTTGCCACAGTCTGTCCAGAGAGTTCTAGTAAAGAAGTAAAAGTGTCAATGTTAGCTATTGCCCACAAACGAGTGACGTTCAAACAATCCAAGTGAAGATTGTAAAATTATATTTATATGTTCTACGGCAGACAGGTCAAAAGAAAGAATTTTACTAACGGGTTCCACGAAGTCAGCTGGACTTGATAAAAGGTTTGGTTCTGCAAAATGGAAGAGCAGTTCTCGTTTGTCTGGACTTGGTACAGGGCGCACTCGGCGCCCAGGCAGATCTGCTGGCCAACCTGGACCGAGCAATTAAGCATGCTCAGGTTGTTATCAATGATAAAATTAGCCGTAGAGATAGAGTTGGCCGTGGCGATGGACTGACACGTGTCTCCAGATGCGACGGTGTAGTAGCTTGAGCATGTAGCAGTAGCCATGGCCGAGACCGTCGCTGTAGCTGTCGCTGTGGGGAGCACAGTAGCGACGGCCGAGTCGGTAAAGGGATAATCGGATGCCACTGCCCCACAGGACGACAGCAGCGACGAGTACGTGTCGGGGCTATAACGTACCTGGCCGTATGGCGAGTCCAGCATGGCTGCCTCGTACTCGTACATGCACGGTGAGCAGTCCGAAACATTGCCTGTTACCACGGCTGGCAAGCAGTAGACCGACTCGCTCGTGATACAGGCAGCCTCCTGGGCCCAGACGATGGGCCCGACGAAGCTCTGCACCGTCTGCGAGACATTACCGGGGAAAATGTAAGTAGTATTCCCACATGCGTCTTCCACATCAGCCTGGAAGGTCAGTAGCGAGGTTGTACAGTTGGTGGAGCAGACGTCATCTAGGGCAATCGCGCTGACATACCCGCCCGCAGCGATGTACGAGGCAGAGAATAGCTGATCACACGAGATGTTGGCGGCCAGAGCATTTCCACAGGCTGTTGGAATACCGGTTGGGGCCACATCAAAAAAACTATACGCTCTACCAAAAGGTGTAAAGACAGCCAAAGTGAGTAGTAGCGTTGCGGCTCTGGCGTGGGAATGTCGCCAAAATGTTGGCATCGTGATGAGAAAAAAAGGCCAACTCAGATTAGATAAGGAATGGAGAAAAAGAGAGAGAGAGAGAGAGAAAGTCAGAGCTGTAGTGACAAAACGGACGACGGGTAAATGAATGTGGTCTTAGTGTCAGATGTATTCATTGTTTGTTGTGATGGCGTTTGAGCAGGAGAGTGACCGACACAGCACAGACCTAATGGCTGTTAGTACATGGGTGAAAAGATGGGTAGATGAGTTCCCCTGCAATTTGGCCCCATGTTGCATTGCGTTAGACCATGTCTTCGCTAAAGCTTAGCTCGGGGCATGTGCCGTCTTCCGAGACGGGGAGGTAACAGCCACGAGGAGACAATGCGGCGTTGACGGTCGTCTCAATTTATCAATTACATACGTCGTATCCGTATATTCCGAGTCTGTGCATAGACCCGCCGGACCCAACCTTCCTTCCGTTGCTTCCGTGCCCCGCCCCATGCCCCGCGCTGAACTTTAAATCCCTCCTCCTTCTTATCCTCGTCCCTCGATATTAACGGCTGAAATCGCATCACTATCACCTTGTCAACCTTTTTAGCCTTCATAATGCCTAGCGAGTACGCCCTAAAGCGCACCCACGGTCAGGAGAGCGTGATAATCTACGCCGCCGACCTGTATCTCCTAGTAATCACCACGTTTAATCTGAGTCGGAATATACCCTAATGCCACTGGCTTCTAGGCAAATTGGAAGGATGACCCTACTATCTCAGACGAAGCCCAGCGCTCAGAAACTTTTAGCAAGTGGTTAGCGATTGGCTCGCCTGGCCGCATGGTTAGTCTATCTGTTTCCCATCCCCCCCCAAAAAAGTATAAATGACTAAGAATAGATTGCAGCCATATCTGGAACGACTCCAGCAGATGTTTATTGGCGATGAGGATATTACAGAGGATGAAAAGGATTTCCTCGCTCGGGTCCGGAACCTTTCCGACCGGCAAGACGTCAGCTATACTCGTCTCGTCCGCACTTTCTATGGCGACCACTCGGAAATAAGCCTTTCCAAGCTAATCACCGAAGCTGAGTACGATGGGATACTGTTCGATAATGCCGAGCTATACGATGCTGGGTCCGATGACGGCCTACAATCGCTGCACGGTATCTTGACCCGTATCCCGCAGATCATCGAAGAGACGGTAGACTTTGCCCTCTTCTACAACGACAGGCTGCGGGAAGCCCTTGGGAAGGCTATAGACAAGGACATAGCCGATGCTAACTTCCATTTTGAGAGGGCTCACTTGGCGGCCAAATGGGGCCATGTGCTCATTTACGATAAAGAGGCAAATGATGGCCCGTGGAATGTGTTACTGGTATATCTCGACGATCGTGGCAGGATCCTACGTTACTCCCGGCTGGACGGGAGTGGTGGGGCCGAGGAATACAGGCTGCCGATGCTATGTTGCTCTCAGGTCAGGATGTCATGCGTACGTGGTGGGAGGACGGCCGCTACGGCGAGGACTGGGAGCCCCAGCAACTTGTTAAGCGATGGGGCGAGGTTGAGCACGAACCATCTGAGGATAGCGCTAGCGAGAGTGCAATCTGGATTCGCCTGGGAACCAGCGCGTGAGCATGAATTATCAAAATTAGACATTGAGCGAAATAGAAGGTGAGAATGGATCACTATTTGACCCAGAACTTTCCATGTCTTCTCATTTCTTATCTCCTGGCACAGATTTGTATATAATACGTACTGTTGTTGATTCCTCAAAAACATAATGGTGGTTCGTAATTCTATTTTTCGGTCAATTGAGATTTATAACAGATAAATTATCATGTTTCTGAGACATATGCGTTGTCTATCTCTCGCTGGGATTCTAAGAAGCCGGCCAAGGCTTGGAGACCGCCTGTCAGGGAATGGCATGAACCATGCCAATTCCGTGTTCATAGGCAGCGGAATCGCCCCGCGGAGACAGTTCTACGCCTCTTCGCAGCTACTCCAGAAAAAGGACTGCTCCGCTCTGGTTCCAGCCAGTACAGCATGGGAACACCCGGTGTAAGTCTCTCTACAGGAACCACCTACCCAAGAGTATCCAGGTTTTGATATTTCTAGCTACACGGAAAAACAACTCCGTGAAATCACTATCGCTCATCGTGAAGTCAAAGACTGGACGGACCGAATTGCTTTGAGTAGCGTTCAACTCTTGCGTTGGGGTATGGATCTTGCTACCGGCTACAAACATCCGACCGAAGAGAAGATCAGATACAACCCCCAGAAATTCGTCATGACTGAGCAAGATTGGCTCACACGGTTTATTTTCCTCGAAAGCGTGGCTGGAGTACCTGGAATGGTGGGCGGTATGCTTCGCCATCTTAGGAGTCTTCGCCGAATGAAGCGAGACAACGGTTAGTATGGACCATTAGCCCCAGACACAACCCCTTGAAGATCCGTTCACATCTTATTACCTGTCTCTTCTCCTTCAGCAGCAGCTAGACTGAAAATTCTGCTGATATTATTTCTCTCTCAAATCCAGGATTGAGACACTCTTAGAAGAGGCACACAACGAACGCATGCATCTTCTTACTTTTCTCCAACTAGCGGAACCAGGATGGTTCATGCGCTTGATGGTCATTGGGGCACAAGGCGTGTTTTTCAATGGATTTTTCCTAGCCTATCTGCTCTCTCCACGGATTTGCCATCGTTTTGTTGGATAGTTTGAAGAAGAGGCAGTCATAACGTATACACGTGCAATTAAAGACCTGGAAGATGGCAAACTTCCAGAATGGAACACAGTTCAGTCGCCAGACATAGCGATTAAATACTGAAAATGCCGGAAAATCGGCGCAGCATACGGGATCTCCTTCTTTACGTCCGTGCTGATGAGGCCAAGCATAGGGAGGTGAATCATACGTTTGGCAACTTGATACCAGAGGAAGACCCAAATCCGTTTGCGGGAAGATGCCTGAGTTCGCCAAACGCCCAGCCTTCTAAGGGGCTGACGAATTTAAAGCCCCTTGGATGGGGAAGAGAAGACGTCCTCTAAGAAATGCTGATCCTTGGATGTTTTCCTAGTGGCGGCGAGATTTATCAGACAAAATGTCATTCATTATCTTAGGAACTAGAACATAATAGTGATTGTAAAATTCTTGCTTAGGCACTTTGTATTGACTTCATATTTATACTTAAGTAGGCGACATAGCCATTGCTAGCCCCAATGAGAAATCCCAAGCTGGAGATTGCGCAGACTGGATAATTAATTTCGATATACGCAGTCAAGGAAAAAGCAAAGCAGAGGCAATGGTTCTAAATATTTTCAAGCCTAGTTACTAAAAGTGCCGCATTGAAATGGAGGACAGATGAGCGAGGAATGGCTGAACGTCGCCTCGGGATCCAACAACCTGTATCACAACGTTCAGGCCCAAGGAAATTTGATATCACCTCTGGGAACACTGGTGGGTTGTTCTTGCTGTTCAGCGATAGGCTGTGGAGGTTCTTGAACATGTTTCATGAGGGTAGTAAACCAGGGCTTTTGTTCTCGAAACTTGATGTCCAGCCTTCCATCGTCTGGTCTTGTGAGTCAATGTAACACATGCAGGTTTGGGGTACAACGCACCGTTGACTCGAACACCAGTACCAAGCCCCTGCTCTCGGATGGTCGAGAAGCTATCATTGACCGAATCTTCGGCGCCAAGCGGCTCGGCTTGCCGATCCTCATTCCGATTCTGCCTTCGCGGCTCTGCCGCCGTCACCATGCTCGGCAGTTGAAAAAAATTGGGTGGATGGGGATGTTTGCGAAATTATGTGCCAGGTTGAAAGAACAAATCTCCAACTCCTGAGATTATTTTCAACTTTAGGCTGTAGGGGCGTTTGGCGGGGAGTGGTTGCGTCACTCGTTTCTAACTTTCGCCTCCGCTTGGCTCGCGACGTCTGGGAGTAACGAGAAGAAAATTGTGTACCATCAACCATCTAATCAGGGAGGGTACCCAGCATTTTACTAGAAAGTTTAATTTCTTCCCATGGGCCTATGGAAATCCTGCACTAAGTTGAAAGTTGAGAGAGAACACAGGCTTCGTACATGTTAATTTATGACGCTAAAACCTCTGTGCTCTTGCGAGGTCAATAAATAAATCCATTGTGAGCCTACTGGTGTGAAGCTAGGTTTTCTAGTTGCTGCAGAGCTTCCACTATTCTTGAGGAAGAGGCCCGGAGGGAAGGAAGAGAGCGATCGAACGGTAATATTGTGAGTCTAACTAGACGGACGACGCGAGGGCTCGGCTTGACGGATCGGTGTCATCTTTTTCTTTGAATGAGCACGTAACTGAGTACGCAAAAATCAGTGCATGTATGGCATCAGCGCGGGAATGGAAAAGATTGTTCTTCTGCAGGCTTCTCTCTTGATGGGATTTTGGCTTTCAGAACTTGACGAACATATGGAACCGTGGTACTGGACAGGAACTGCGATCAACCTTTGTCAGATGCTAGGTTTGCATCGTAACCCAGACTCCTCGAAGGTTAATCCAGCCATCAGCGATCGGCAACGGCAGCTATGGCGTCGACTTTGGTGGAGCTCGTTTTATCGGGATCGCTGGCTCGGTCTAAATTTCGGAAGACCATTGAGGATTAATCTCAATGACTGCGACACGCCTATGCCCCTGGTTGCAGAGCTGCTCAATGATGTGGTGGGAATACCCGAATCCACTTTAACTGAATTTGTACCCGGGGATTTATCCAGGCTGGCCTCGTACTGGGTGACATTGATTGAACTGAGCAAGCAGCTGGGTGCTGTTATCACCATGAACTACAAGGCTATAAGAGCAAGGCCGGTCATCCAACAATTCGAATCTCTCGAAGAGGAGATTTTAAAATGCCAGCTACCAGATCAATACGAGTCTGGTTTGACCAATCTTGCCGTTTTCATTCGTTCCATGTTCACTTGCACTACCAGTGGTTCCGGTTGTTTTTCGCCATTTCAGGATCATTTTTGGCTAACTATCTTGGATAGGGTGCTTCTTATCGCTTTGTATCGTCCCTATGGATCAGAAACTCCAACTGGTCTCGATTCTGTTGAACAAGAAGATTGGCAGCATCGGATGCGACTGAAGGCCGGGGACGCTGCGTCTAAGACCAACGACATTCTCGATGCTCTCGCTCAAGAGAATCTTCTTCAATTTGCAGGACCTATGACGTGAGTAGATCGAATTTCTGTTTTTGGATTTTGGGGAGGGGGTTCTTCGCCCATTCTGCGGTTGACTCTTTCGACTCTCGATTTTCCATTCTAGTCGGTTGGAGATTACAGTTTCTGACAAACCCTAGGCCCGCACTCTTAGTCCCAGCGATGCAAACCCATCTACTTTTTTATAAATCCGCCGACTCCCTAACGAAACGTCTCAGGCTCCACAAGCTTGAAATGTGCATGCTCATCATGGAAGAGCTTGGAAAAACGTATACCGTCGCTTCGATCTACCGAGGAATCTCCCTCAAAGCCATGCAACAAATCTGTGCCCCTTACCAATCAGGGACAGCTGCTTCCAATCAGGCGAACATTTCTGTCCCAACAAGCCATCCTAGCGACAGAAATGCCACAGTCAATGAGGCTGCCACCGGTCAATTTGCAACAGAAACTCTTGGTACCAATGCTCCATTGGCCAATTCCTCAGAGCAAGAGACCGAAATGGTCGGAGATTTTGTGGACTCATTGATGGATGAAACATCAATATTCAATTTTTGGGAAACGTGGAATCAAATGTGACAGAGCGGGTGTTTTTGTGTCTTTTTGTTTACGTGATCATGATTTTCTGCCCCTAATTAGAGGTACTGTTCAGCCCACTCTGTAAAATCACAAAGTGAGGCTTCATGTTCCTTGAGAATATGCAGCCGGGGCACCGGATGAAGTTTCGAGTTCATGAGGGAGATGGAAATAAACATCGACCCGCTTTGAGGAATACCATGCTTTCAAGGTTTCCAAGTCGGAAGCAAAACCTCTGCTGGCTTATCTTCCTAAAGGTTCTCATCTTCGGCAACCAAGGTCCTTGGCAATGGAGATAAAATCCATGAAATTGAGGGAAATGGCTCATCACATCTGTGGCTTTCGCTGCAAACATGTGAAATACGCTACATCATGGATAGTGGGATAGGTATTAGGTCCAGAAACTCAGTCTGCAAAATACTTCTTAGTCGCAGAATGTAAATAATACCATCAAAAAGCATCTGCGGTATGCTGCTATACACCCGGCTGGTGATTAAGCAAATAATTGAAAACCAATACTTCAAAATACAGACCTGCGTATTCTTCCACTGCTCCTGGTCTGGTTGCCACCTATTAATTAGATTGAACCAACACCTCCAGCACCTTGACGGGCGGGTTAGCCACCGCGATATCGGTGAATCAGGATACGATAAATCTCGGTAACCAACTAATGGTTGTGGGCGTGATTGTACTGGAGATCCCTTCCAATATTATTTTGCACAAGGAAAATACTCTTAGTCTTTCTAGCGCAAGCTTTACTAATTATAACAGATTGGACCTCGTCGTTGGATTGGTAGTCAGGTTTTCATCTTTGGCCTCGTTGCCGCCCTGCAGGGTTTTATTCCGGACAAAGTTGGATTTCTTCTGACAAGCGTCTTGAACTTGCAGCAGCCGGATATATCCCAGGGGTCATATTTGCCCTGTCGACATGGCACACAAAAGAACAGATCACCAGACGCATTAGGTTTTATTCTTCGGGATGTTTGGTGGCACTGCAGTTTCACCATTGTTGTTCACGTTAGATCGCATGAGCGGACTTTCTGGGCGGCAATAGATTTCTGGGTAATAATACCTTGATAATCAGCGAAATCTATCCAAGGGCTAATTCCCAAACTGTAGCTGAGGGGTGCTGGTCTGTCACAGTTTCCCTGATGCTAATATTTATTCCCCAAGAGAGATTCAATCAGCTCAACCTTGGAGACTACCAAACTCTTGAAAATGAATTCCTAGGTCAAGGGAGCCGCCGCTCGAATAATTCCCATCAAAACTGTGTGGAAGCGTGGAGCAATAAATGCAAAAAGCGGCGAAGGGTAACCATTAAAACGTAAAGGGAGAGCCAAGAACTGCCAGACATTATCCGGTACATACTATGAGCCTCTTCGTTGACCAAGTACACCAACCAGTCTCGACAGATATGTATCCTGAGCACCCGAACAAGATGGAAGAACGAATGGAAAAAGGCAAGAAATACCATTCATAATTCCAATAAGGATAGTCAAAATAAAAAGCAAAATCCAGTTGGGCAAGTAACCAACCAACGCTAGAAGCTATCGTTCACATGGCATCGCGTCCTTGCGTGCGTCGTCGTGCATACCTTGTACACAATAAGCTAAGAAACACAGAAAAAAAAAGGCAATCCAATCCAAGCCAAAAATCCGAATCCGAAGCCACCCTTTGAAACTTATGCTTACACATAAGCTTAATCTTACGCCTTGCCGATCCTGCAGATAAGATCCTGGCCGTCGACGGAGTCGCCCTCCTTGACGAGCAGGCCGGAGACCTTGCCGCTGTGAGGGGCGGAGATGACCATTTCCTAAGACATACAGTTAATGATTTGGACTCAAAATGTAGAAGGGATGGATTGGGGGGGGGATGTGTCTTACCATCTTCATGGCGCTCAGCACCGCAATGGGGTCGCCCTTCTTGACCTCGTGGCCGTCATGCACGCGGATCTCCACCACGACACCGGACATTGGGGCGCCAACCTGGCTGCTGTCAGCCGCATCGGCCTTGGGGCGCGCGATGTTATCCACGGAAGCCTTGTTGTCGTCAACCGAGACCTGGCGGACTTCACCATTGACCTCGTAGAAAACCTCACGCTGACCGGTCTGCTCGGACAAGGGACCGATAGCCAGCAGCTTCAGGATAAGCACCTTGCCCTTCTCGAGCTCAACGTGGAACTCTTCACCGATCTCAGGCCGGGCCAGGAAGTAGCGCGTCGGCAGGACGGACAGGTCGCCGAACTTCTGCACGAACTTGCGGTAGTCCTCGAAGACCTTGGGGTACATAGCGTACGAGGCGACGTCGCACTCGGTCGCGGCGCCAAACTTGTCGCGGATCTGGTTCTTGATGCCGACCAGGTCCAGCGGGTCCAGGTACAGACCGGGCCGCTTGTCGAGCTTGCGGCGGTCGCGGAGGGCCCGGGAGCGCAAAGGCTCGGGGAAGCCGCCAAAGGGCTGGCCCATCAGGCCCTCGAGGAACTCGAGGACGGAGCCGGGGAAGTCGAGCTCACCGGCGCGCGCAACAACGTCCTCTGCTGACAGCTTGTTGGACACCATGAATTGAGCCAGGTCACCGACAACCTTGGAGGTGGGGGTGACCTTGACGATGTCGCCAAGCAAGTCATTGGCGGCCTCGTAGGCCTTCTTGGTCTCGGCCCACTGCTGACCCAGACCCAGCTGGCTGGCCTGGAAGATCAGGTTGGTCAGCTGGCCACCGGGGATCTCGTGCTCATAGACCTCGGGGTCGGGGCCGGTCAGACCAGCCTCGAAGGGGGAGTAGAGCAGGCGCAACTGGGCCCAGTAGGTGTCGAGAGCGCGGACGTGGGCCAGGTCGAGCTGCGGGTCCTGCTCGGTGCCCTCGAGCGAGGCCAGGATGGCGCCGATGCTGGGCTGGGAGGTCATGCCGGACAGGGAGTCGGTGGCGGCATCAACGGCGTCCGCACCGGCCTGGGCGCAGGCAATCATCGAGGCAACACCGGTACCGGCAGAGTCGTGGGTGTGCACGTGGATGGGGAGGTCAGGGTAGCGCTCGCGGATGGCGCCGACCAGCAGGCGGGCGGCCTGCGGCTTCAGGACACCGGCCATATCCTTGATACCTAGGACGTGGGTGCCAAGGGAGACGATCTTCTCGACCAGAGCAAGGTAGTACTCCAAGTTGTACTTCTTGCTGGGGTTCAGCATGTCACCACTGTAGCAGATAGTAGCCTCGACCACACCGCCGGCCTGCTGGACAGCCTTGATACCGACCTCGAGCTGGTCGACGTCGTTGAGGGCATCGAAGACACGGAAGATGTCAACGCCGTACTTCTTAGCCTGCTTGCAGAAGTGGTAGATGGCATTGTCGGGAAGGGAAGAGTAGGCCACACCGTTGGCGCCGCGCAGCAGCATCTGGAAGGGAATGTTGGGAACGGCCTTGCGGAGCTTGCGCAGACGGTCCCAGGGGTCCTCAAAGAGGAAGCGCATGGCGACGTCGAAGGTGGCGCCACCCCAGCATTCCAGACTGTAGGCGTTGTGAAGAGCATGGCTGGTCTCGTGGGCAATGTTAAGCATATCGATCGTACGCACACGGGTGGCGAGCAGCGACTGGTGGGCATCACGCCAGGTGGTGTCCATGATCAAGCAGCCCTTGTTGGCGCGCACAGCCTTGGCGAAAGCAACCGGGCCTTCGCTGTCAAGGATCTGCTTCCAGCCCTTCTGACAGGGGGCGGAGACGTCAATGGGCTTGCCGGAGGCGTCCTTGAGGATGGGCCTGATGATGTCACCCTTGAACTTGGGCTCGCCGATCTGGCCCTTGATGCTGCTGCCATTGACAGCGACATCGCCCAGGTATGCCAGCAGCTTCTGGGCACGGTTCTGAGAGCCGACCAGAGTGAATAGCTCGGGGGTGTCATCGATGAAAGTGGTCCAGCAAGTGCCATCGATGAAGGTGGGGTGGCTCAGGAGAGACGCCAGGAAAGGAATGTTGGTCTTGACACCGCGGATACGGAACTCAACGAGGGCACGCAGCATCTTGCGGCGGGAGATCTCGTAGGTGGAGCCACGGCAGGTGCACTTGACCAGCATGGAGTCATAGTGGGGGGTGATAATGGCACCGGCGAAACCATTTCCACCGTCCAGACGGACACCGTTACCACCAGCAGAGCGGTAGACCTCGATCTTACCGGTGTCCGGGGAGAAGCCCTTGGCGGGGTCCTCGGTCGTGATACGACACTGAATGGCGAACCCGCGCGTGGAGATGCGGTCCTGGGTCAGACCAAGCTGGTCGAGTGTCGCACCGGCAGCAATCTGGATCTGGGCAGCGACGATATCGATGCCAGTGATCTCCTCGGTGATCGTGTGCTCGACCTGGATACGAGGGTTGATCTCAATGAAGTAGTAGCGGTTTTGCTGATCCACCAGGAACTCGGCGGTACCAGCGTTGCGGTACTTGACGGACTTGGCCAGCTTCACGGCGTCGCCCAGAATCTTGTCGCGCACATCGACGGGGAGGTCCTTGGCGGGAGCAATCTCCACCACCTTCTGGTGGCGACGCTGGACGGAGCAGTCACGCTCGAACAGGTGGACGACGTTGCCTTGGTTGTCACCGAGCAGCTGGACCTCAATGTGCTTGGGCTTGTCCAGGAAGCGCTCGACGAAGACGGTGCCATTGCCGAATGCCGAGCGGGCCTCGGAAGTGGCGCGCTCGAACGCGTCCCGCAACTCGCCCTGGTCGCGCACGACACGCATACCACGGCCACCGCCACCGAAGGCGGCCTTGATGATGATAGGGAAGCCATAGGCGTCGGTGAAGGACTTGACCTCCTCGTAGCGCTCGACGGGACCCTCGGTTCCGGGGACAACCGGGACGCCGCACTTGATAGCGAGCCGGCGTGCAGAAACCTTGTCACCCAGGGCTTCGATGGTGTCTGGGGTCGGGCCCACGAACACGATGCCTGCCTTCTCAACATTTCGGGCAAACTCGGCGTTCTCCGACAGGAACCCGTAGCCGGGGTGAATCAGGTGGACACCGTGGTCCTGGGCGATCTTAATGATCTCATCGCCGGCCAGGTAGGCGCCGACAGGGGTGTACTGGCCACGCTTACCGATCATGTAGGCCTCGTCGGCCTTTTGTCGGTGCATGCCCAGGCGGTCCTCATGGGAAAAGACGGCGACGGTCTGCAGCGACAGCTCGTGGGCGGTACGGAAGATACGAATGGGAATTTCACCACGGTTGGCCACCAAAATCTTCTGGAAGTGCATGATGGTCGAATTGGCACGCAGACGCCGGTGGACCGAGTCTTGGTGGTGCTCATGGTGGTCCTCGATGAACTCGGAGTCATCGATGGCCTCCTCCGGCTGGCGGTGCGGGGCAGCCATGATGTGTGGGGAGGATAATGTGGAAGAGGAGAGAAGAGGAGAAAGTGGGTGAATGGTTTTACACAGAAAGCTGAAGATAGGGGAAATTGACTGTCAATGGTCCCGTCGCTCAAAAGAAGCAATTGCTAAACGGAAAACATAAAGCTTTTGCGCCGGGGGAGTGACTCACGTTAGAAGCTGGCTAGAAGCTCCGGATAGAACCCCAGGCCGGTTTCGGCAGAACGCAGCGCAAACGCTCGCACTGTCAGGGAGGGAAGGGGGGTTCAGCAAGACAAGGCCCCGGAAGAAATGGATTTGGCAGGGAAGGGAGGAGGATGGTGTAGAAAGAAAGCGAGGAGGCAGGTTTTGGAGGGGAGGGGAGGGGCAGATAAAAGGGCTCTGGCTCAATCACGGGCGCCGATCCGCGCATGTCACCGATACCTCCCTGTGCAGCACTTTTCCGGGGTTGACTGCAGCGATGAGGTAACAGGTACTTACCGCCCACTCAAACTGCCCAAGTCACTGACTTGGCTGGTCTCCAAGAGTTCACCGGCACACCGGACGATCCAAGGTTTTGTCTCTTACGGGATTTTATTTGATTGCTTTTTCTTCTCCAGCGGGGGCCTTGATGTGTGATGATCTTCATGCTCAGTTTGACTCGACATCTGCGCCGGCCCAGGCGAATGCCCAGGCGACGTCGGCAACGAGATCTCCCGATGAGATCATCCGCAAGACCCGCGACAACAGCCTTTCAACACTTCAGCCCTCTCGTTGCTCCATGAGATCGGGTGGATTAGGCCCGTCGTCAACCTCGGGTCCTCGGGCATGCTCCCCAGGTTTTTTTTTTTTTTTTTCTTTTCTTTTTCGTCAAGAAAACCCCGGCGGCCCCAATGGTCGATGGTCCAGCTCTAGCGTGATTCTAGAGCCTAGGGATTCCCAGATCGCCTACTCGCCCACCTCTGGGCACGGATATTGGCGGGAAACCTGGAGTGGTCCGGGGGAGACTCGGAGAACTCTCGACCTGAGCAACTTCCCCCTCCGGCCAATCACACCCCGTGCGTCGCCCATTTCTCACTGCCTCACCAGGGACAATTGTTCACCTCGGGGAAAGTCATTCCGAAGTTTCATCTGGCCCGTTTCCCATCCTGCCTCTGGCATATTCTCCGATTGCGCTTGTGTTTGTCTCATGAGGATGGATTCGACTTCAATATTTTCTCTAGCCCGTCCAGCCTAGCAGTCCTGCGAAATTTGGGTCGGATCATGCGTGCCCGTTCTCTACAGGAAGGGATCACCTGCCCACCGATGGGGCTGGTCTCAGGTTTCTAAATTCTTCATCGCCACTGACCCAGATCGGGCCCTTGCTTGCTCGCACCTATCTCCCCTGCCCCTCCCCACTTGGCACAATGGCTGATCGCCCGGCTTGGTATGACAGGGACGATGCCAAGGACCGTCCAAAGCGAAGACTAGTATTGGGTATTCAGTAGTTAGTCGGTTGGACTCCGTAATCAGAGTCACCTGGTCACCCTCTGTACTTCACCCCGGTCCCGGTCATGGCATTCGCCTAGAAGCCAAGCAACCGAGGCCCGGCCAAGTGCCGCGGCATACCGAGGGACGACCAACTCATACTTGGTGAAACGTAGATATTTGATAGGAACAAGAGAAGCTCCCCACCCACCACACTATGGAGACCCTTAGAAAAGGTCCAGCTACATAGCAACGCATTCCCAAGATGCAGCCGCAAAAATGCGATTTCCAATTCCATGCAGAGTACGTACTGCTAGCGATGATTGTAACCGGTCACCGATACAATCCAGATGGTATCCAGATGGTACAGTACTTGGCGTTATGCCCTACGCCCATTCATCGGGTAATATGGAATCCCCCTGCTCATCCCTCCCGCCGCGATAAGCCGGCCCATCCAATTGAGTCCATTTCTCATCAATCAGGAGCCAAGTCAACTCGTCACTCCCGCTAGTCAATCACGGCCGCGACCGTGCTCCGTCATTCCCCAGATCCGCCCAGTGGGAGATCCCGGAGTAAGCTACACTATCTGGACTATCGCTCCAATAGTCACTCCCGCGACCCTCCACGGCACCACCCATCGTGAATATCTCAATTCCGGCCCCACGGCTCACGAGGAAGAGCCGAGATCTCTCCGCGTTTAACCAGACCTCCCCTTTTCCCAACGGAAAAAGTCACAGCCATTATTCTCCCGTGGCGCATCACGACACGTTGGCTCGCCTTCGCGCTGCTGCCCGGGGTAAAAGATTCGCCGGAATATATCGTCGCGTTCCATCCAGCCGGAGGCCGAGGAATACCATGGCACAAGTCGATCTGCATGTACGTACAGCCGGCCTGATGGATCCGTAGTAGCCATTAGGTAGATAGATAATAGAAACCGAGCGAGCAACCCAACCCAAAACACATGCCTGCGTCGAGCTCGAGTGTCTCGGCGCTACAGATCCTGCCAAACGTAAACGATGGCGATCATTCCGCAGCGCCCCCCCCCCCCCCCTCCCGCCAAGACCAGTCCGCTCCACGAAGGGTGAAACAACGACACGGTGAAGGCGATATACAGGGCTGCGCGGTGGCGGAGCTCATAGCTCTAGCTAGCTCCGTGAGTACCGCATAGCTGGGCTCTGCAGATGAATTGTGCGGGGCGCAATAGTTGCAAATGATGGCCCTTGGCGGCTTGGCGGGGTTTCTTGGGCGGCGGCTGGATCGTCGGCGAGGCGGACCTTGGCTCAATAATGGAGGTACATACCTGCGTACATACAGAATGGTGGACTTAGCGTGCTATCGGGGCTGGATGGCCTGCGGGCCAAGATAATTCGAGCGAGGGGTGGAGCGAGGAAGGGGGTAACTACAGGACGGAGGATGGAAAAGATGGATACGCAATGCGATTACTGAACCAGACCGACGGCCCAGACCGAAGAGGGAGGTCAAAAGTCAAAGAAGGCCTTATCAAATACATTGGATAAATAAAAATGAGGAAAATACGAAGGGGGGGAAAACGAAGAAACAAAATTAACGGGCCCGCCATGAACAGATCCCTGAAGTTCAAGGCATAGTAGTCCCCCGACTGCCGCCTTTCCGCCGATCTCATGTCTTTTGCTCGCACCAAGAGGTCATCATGTCGCTGTATGTTACACATAAGGGAAAAAAAATAAAAAGGGCAGAAGAATCAAGGGCACAACACCCAGGCAACTACACCACGCTAAAATGCGCGGTAGCCAGTGGCCTGCGGGGTGATCCCGTTGGCCTGCTGGCCGTATGGTATGGGGCTGGCCGGGGCGCCAGGGCCCTGGGTGAGCATCAGCCGTGAGCCGCCTAGGATGGGAGTGTTGTCCTCCTCGGTCTTCTGGCTCTTCTCCCGAGACTTGCGCTCCTCGTTGTCCTTCTTGAGCATCTCGATGGTGCGAGTCTGCTCGCAGAGGAAGTTGATCATGAATGGCATGGTGAAGTCGTGCAAGCCCTTGCGCCAAGAGATTTCCATGATCACGTCGGGGCGGATCAGGTCGTAGCAGGCATACAGCATGCCAACGTAGCACTCGCGGCTGCCAATGTCGACAAACTGGTGAATGGAGTCAGCTGCACGTTCATTGAACGAACGAAAATGAAATGAGGGATATAAACTTACGTAGCGGAGGAGGTCCTCCACAACTTCCGACTTGGCGGAGATGGCAGCGGTTTCAATAGCATCCTTGTAGAGCTTGTCCTGCTTTGACAGCGCGATTGACTTCTCCCAACGCTTGTTGTTGCGGTAGATGCTGGCGGCGATCTGGCGGAAGAAGATGAGCTCGTGCTTCTCCAGACGCTGGGCCAGCTCCACGGAATCGAAGTTGTCATGGTTGTCAACCGAGTCGCGCAGGGTCTTGTGATCCTCCTCCTCAATCAGCAGCTCGTTGATCGCATCATTGACAGCCCGCTTGTTTTGGTGCTGCACATTCAGCAGGAACGGTTTGATCAGGGGGATGTTGTCCGAGCCCTTGAAGATGCGCACCACACGGCTAACATCGATGCGCGGGGTGAGGACCTGAAGCAGGTCGGTGATGAGGAGAGGCTGCTCCTGCAGGTAAAAGTTCAAGGCGCGGTAGTAGATCTCCAAGTTGGCAACCTTGACAATGATGTCCTTGAACGAGTGATGCTCCCAGGCGTCGGCAGCACGCTCCATCATGGCCAGAGCGGCGTTGTCCCACTCATCATAGTGGCAGTAGAGGAAGACAAGCTCGGGCCACAAGTTAGCCTCCTCGCAGGCACGAATCATCTTGGGAATGTTGATGCGAGACCAGAAGAGCTTCAGGTGTTCCATCACGCGGTCGGGGTGGTACTTGGACAGGGCAATACCCAGCTCGGTGAACATACCCATGTGGGCACGCTCGAGACCGAGACCAGCTTCGAGGACGGAGATGAGCTCATCGAAGTAGCCGTTGCGCTCGTACTGCCGGACAAGAGCTTGCAGCTCCTCAGCGTGAACGATGAGGTTAAGACCGCAAATCTGGGCGAGGCGGAATTCCTTCTTGTCAACGCAGGCCTCGTTGACCTGCTTCCAGACCTTGACGCTGTTGGCCTTGCGAGCGCACTCAACGGCGGCTTGGTACTCCTCTAGGTGCACCAGGGTAGTGGCGAGCTTGGCCCAGTTCGAGATGCTGGTGAAGAAGATCTTGGCAGCCTGGTGGTAACCCTCCTCGTAAGCCTTGTCACCGGAGGCCTCAGTATCAGCCACATTGGTGGAGCGAAGGAAGTCCTCAAGTTCGGCAAGCTGGTCCAGACGGGCGAAACAGAAGGCAAGGGCAGTGTCAATGGCAGGCTCACGCAGGGTCTTGCGGGCCATGCGAAGGAACTTGACGAGATCCTCATCCTTGCCGGCGTGTGTGGCGGTCTCAATCACCTCATTGTAGTTGGATGGGTCGTTAGCGCGGATGTAAGACTCGATCGAGTCGGAGACACGGAGGCCATCCAGCTGTGCCTTAGCAACCTTGCTCCACACCTCAGGAAGCTCGACACGCTCGGCGAACTCCTGGGCCCGGTCAATGCTGACAATGTTCTCAACAAGGACATTAACGGCAGCCAGCTGGTTGTTGACCTTCTTGTAGATCTCAAACGCTTCCTCGTATAGGCCAACGCTGATACACATCTCGGCGATCTCATCGGCAGAGAACTCGTTAAGCTGGTGGATGTAGTCCATTAGACGGCTCTTGTCAGCCTTGGCTGCAGTCAGCATTAGCAGGTTCTGCAGGCTGGTGTTGTCGCTGAACGGCGAGGGCTCCAGGATGATCTTCTCCAGCAGTTCGATCAGCTCGCCAGGAAGATCAGCTTCGAGGAAGCACTTGACCGCGACGGAAACCTTGTCAGGCTCGGTCGACTCGGGAACCGCAGTGGCAATGACCTGGTCGACGAGCGAGCGGCGGTGCATGTTGTTCTCGCTCAGGACAAAGTTCCAGATCTCAGGGTCGGCACGCTCAACAAGGTAGCGAGCCTGCGCACGGTACATGGAGTTTTCGTTGGTGATGCTGATCAGCTCCAGGTCATTCTGGCCCTTGCTGTAGGCAATGTACGCCAAGTTGGGGTCGCGCTTCTCACAGTACTTTCCGACCGTCAGGGTGTCGTACATATCGTTCTCCTTAAGGAACTTTTCGGGGTTATTGTTGCTATCGATGTAGATCTTGGCAAGGGCGTTGTAGACAGCCTGCTGCTGGTTACCGCTAGCCAAGGTGGCCTCAAGGAAGGGCAGGAGCAGCTTGAGACGGTTGCGGCTTTCAACCTCGGTGACGAGCTCATCGATGGGGATTGCGGATGGATCCACAGTGGAGAGTAGGTTCTTAATGATACTCTCATCGCAGTCGACATCAAGCAGACCACCCACAACCGCAGGAGCACGGGAGGGGTTAACACGCTGGACGTACACCTCGATAGACTTGAACTGCTGGTTCTGGTAAAGGTAGAGGACCAGGTCGTGGATGAAGTTGAAGCGGTCACAAACGATGATGAGAGGAAGCTGCTCAGTTAAGTGGGCTTCCTTAAGGAAGTTCTTCACCTTCTCAGGGTTGTAGTAGTTGCTCTCACGGCAAATTCGCTCGACCTCGGTGAGCTGGTTCATAGCAGTGGCGGCCTCAATGTACTTGAAGTGCACTTCGGAGTCCTCGCTGAGGTTGACAATACTGCCAAGGTAGTAGTAGAGACCCTCGGCAGTACGGTACTTCTCGAAAAGATCGATGAGGCGGTTGGGGCCGAGAAGATCGGAGAATTTGGTAGCGATTTGAACCACGGCCTGCAGGTTCTGGCGAATGTTGGCCTCCAACATGAAGTCCAAGCACTCAAGGGTCTGCTCAACAGACAGACGCCCGAAGTAGTTCATCAGCCACTCGGGACTCAGCTTGTCAGTCTTGACGATGTTGCGTTTGATCACAGCAGAGTCGTCAGAGTTTTCGAGAGCACGCTGGACGAGACCAGCTCCCTCGCAGAGCTGCGAAATGCGGGGCCGATCGTAGTGTGTAAATATCTCGTTGCCCAAGATAGCGTCTGCAACCTGAGGAGCGTTGACAAGGTTCATCTCCAGCAAACGAGTTTGCAGATGACCCTGCTCGGGCTTGTTGTCCTTGAGAGCATCAAGAAGGAAGGAAGTGGCCTGCTGGATCATGTTTTGGGACAGGAAAACATCTACGACACGGTCGAGATCAACAAGAGCGCCACTCTCCTCGTTAGCGAGCTGAGCAGCAAACTCGGCACCCTTCTCAGGGTTGGCCCGCACAATGTGCTGGAGCAACTGGGTGTAATCGGGCTGATAGCCAACCTGCTTGGAGTAGGACAGTATTCTGTCGAACTGGCCAGTCTCGGCGAACCCAGCAACAACCTTGTGGGGAATGTTGGACTCGAGGTAGATATTAAGGGCCAGGCCCATGTCGTATGGCCGAATAATATCTCCAAGCTCCTCAGAGGCTTCCAGCTTCTTCTCGTTCATCCACTTCTCCAGCAGGTGCTTGCGATTCTGCTGCAACACAGGTCGGACAAGCTCCACACTCTCGTACCGGTTGAGAGAGCCCTTATCGAGCAGCATGCCGAAGTACTGCAGGATGACCGACATCTGACCCGTCTGAGGGGCATTCTTGAAGCGGGCGATTGTCTCGGGTGTGCGCAGGAATCCACGAGGGGAGTTAGCAGCAACCTTGGCGGCTTCAGCGAAGTTGCCCGAGTTAATGAGAGTGTCAAACTGCTGCTGGTAAAGGTGATCGGCTCCCGGGAGACCAGCTCGCGAAGCAAGCTTCACCGCAAGAGAAGACATTGCCGGGTTGTTCATCAAGTAGTCAATGATGGTGTTCTCATCAACGCTGACAGACAGAACCTGACCCTTGCGGTTGACACCGACCAAGCCCGCACCGTCATTGTCGGAGGCAGTGGTGAAGATGGTCTCGCTCGAGATGCGATTCATGAAAATGCAGGTACCGGTCTCCAGGTCGTAAAGGTGAATGAAACCGTACTTGGTAACGAGATAAACGATGTCGTATTTGGTGGACACCTGCATGGCCACGGGGAAGTCATTGACTGCTTCCTGGGGGAAGTACACCTCCACGGCCTTTTTCTGGAATCGGGGGTTGGGTTCTTGGTGATCGATCTCGGCAATCTGCAGCTTGGCGCCGGTCTGGGTCCGGACTGCGAAAGTGAAGAGGTGGTGGGGCAAGGCAGAGCCCTCGACGTTAATGTCAGCAAACGCGGCAGCATGACCCTCGATAAATTGCGAAATTCCGCGCTCCTTCGAATAGAGCTGCATCGATCCGACAACCCGGCCCTGCTGTTGACTGATACCAACCACAACCATCCACTTCTCCTCGGAATTGACTCGGTAGTTGATGATTTGGCATCCCTAAGAAAAGTCGAGAATTAGTATGACATGCCATTCCAGCCAAGAACAGCCAAATCAACCTACAGAAAGGTTGGGAAGACGGTCGAACATCTTCACCGGGTTCTGCTGGGTGGCGTCATAGACATCCCAGTGGTAGACGGCGTTCTCCGTAACCAGACCCAGGGCCTTTTCGCTGAACCACTTCCAGTATACGATATCCTCGTTCATCACCGCGGACTTGAGCTTTTGCTTTGCGGAGAGGTCGAATATCTGAATTGTCCGGCCTTGGGCCTTGAGGGCGATAATGTTCTTGCTCCAGTGCATGATCGCACTGTCAGCGTTGATTGGCCGCCGCATGACCTCATTGTTGTTCTTCAAGTCAACAATGATGACTTGCGGCTTGTCGTCTTCATCGAGCTTCTGGCGAACGCAGACATAGTGATCCGATTCGAGAGTCTGTTATGCGGCCATAACCTGTCAGCCGAGTGCCACCTCCATGTGTTTTGGGGCGCTGTTGGGGAACTTACACACGACGTGAAGCCAATAGATGCTTGCTGGACTCGCGAAAGAGGTCAGTTCAAACTTTTGATGATGTAGGGGATAATTTATGGGTGCCTGCGGGGCGCGACCGGCATGTTCATCTCGCAACGGGAGCTGATCGCGATGCAGGCCTCCGAGAGGTGAGACATACCGCAATGCCAACATTGGTCAACTGTAGGAAGATGAAGTTGTCAGCAAAGTAAATTCAAAGCAGAGACGCTAGTTTCGAGGGAAATCGCAACGTACATTGACCAGTTCTGTGAACTTGATGGGGAGAGGTGCCATATTTACTTAGGCCGCAGCACGACCTTGTCCACCCAACTAAACGCCACGCAAGGAAACCAGAATAATCGGAAAGAGAAGGAAAGGATCACAAAAGAAGTGAGATAGGAAAGAGAGTAAAGAAGATGGCGGGAGAGGAGGAGAGGGGACGGGGGAATCTGAAGAAGCGGAAGTGACCTCAGGAGGTCCGCTGTTGTCGTTGCTGAGGTGTCGCTTATGGGGGATCACGTGAGACAGGGGCAGCTGGGCCGGGCGTTGGGCGTTTGGGCTTTTGACTGGCGGGCGGTGGGGAATGTGGAAAGACGGTGCGCGTCATAGTAAGTGAGAGCAAAGGGCTAGAGCTGAGCCTGGTAGGATTACTAAACTAAGCCTGCGAGCTAACCACCTTGCACCTTCACACCTTTGTTCTCTCTCTTTCATTTGGTTGAGATAGGCGGCGCGAATGAACCTACCATAGCCCTATGGCACCTTCTGGAAAATCCTATCAAATAGTCCGATGATAGTAGGCAACATGCGCCGAAGAAAAATAATGTTAATTATGATAAGGGTGTATAATTTCTCTGAAAATGGTCGCTCCTGGGTGTTGAAATCATACGCCTCTCCGCATGACCCCATTCAATTTGAAGGGTGTGGGCTCTAGCCGAGGGCAGAAACGCATAGCGGAGTTTTTTTCAATGTCTCTTGCCAAGCATAGCGCCCCCAAATCCCAAGCATAGCGCCTCCAAATCCCAAGCAAGCCGTATGCCACGATCCGCCCGCCCACGTCTATATCTCGACCGCCCACTGTCGGACAATTTCCGGAGGCTTTTCCGCGCGACAGGCGTCTGAAGCCAGCTTAAAAACTGTGGCTCAGGCCACCGGTGCATATATGGCATTCTACCCTTCGCTATGCTCCCCAATCCTCGCATCATTGGCCCCTCAACGCGAAGCTCCCGATCTCGCCCGTGCAGGCTGTCCCGTCTCTATGGCAGCGAGCGCCGAAAGCATCTCGGGGTAGGGGCACTCTCCACGCTAAGCCGGCACACACATGGTCGAATGCGGGATGTTGCCCGGATTGCACTCTTCGCATTGGAGGACAGGGCTTGCCCAGATGCTTGGCAGCATCTTGGCCTGCGAACAGAGTGGCTTAACCCCCGCAAGGGCCCAGTGATATCTTTGGGGTCGGCAGCACGTTGGGGATTGAGCACGAGAAAGATGCGGAAGAAAGTGCGGGGGGAGATGCGCACGAGGTTGCGTATAAGTAGGGGAGGGATGCCGGAGTGTGAGCTTGAGAAATGTGATATATCCAAGCTTGCTTTTCATCTTTGTACTGGCCAAATTGGTTGCCAAAATTGTGAAACCTCAGCCATTTTCCTCTCCAGAATTTTATCATGGCGTCAAATGAGCCTGCTGACCCTATCGCGAGGGGGGTCATTCCTGCTGCGCGTCAAGCTTTCAAAGATTTGTTTATCTGGAAGCAGCGCGTCGAGGTGACCAACGAGCACGGAGAGAAGCATGTAGAATGGCAGTCCCCTGAACCCATCCACAACCCCATCAGACTAATGGCCCAGCTGTCGGCTAGAGACTGGGTCTTCTTTCTTGTGGGTCTTGCCGCATGGACCGCTGATGCATTTGATTTCCATGCGCTCTCTATCCAAACCAAGAAGCTATCCGACTACTACGGTCGTTCCAAGACAGATGTGACAACTGCTATCACGCTCACACTGCTGTTGAGAAGTGTTGGTGCGGTGTTTTTTGGGTTTGCTGGTGATAAGTATGGTCGCAAATGGCCGATGGTGCTGAACATGATCGTGCTCGGGATCTTGCAAATTGCTACGATCTACAGCCAAACGTTCCAGCAATTTCTGGCAGTGCGCAGTCTCTTTGGTCTGTTTATGGGAGGAGTGTACGGAAATGCTATTGCGATGGCGTTGGAGCATTGCCCGTAAGCTTTCACTATCCTTTATCATGCCCTCCGTACTAATGCTTCCTCGGAAAGTGTGAATGCTAGAGGTCTCATGTCTGGAATTCTTCAGCAAGGATATTCCCTGGGGTATGTGCTGGCTGCATGTGCTAATCTCGGAGTCGGTGGTTCTACTGATAGTTGGAAAACGGTGTTTTGGGCTGCAGGTAAGTAGTGAAGAATCTCGACAGGAATTGATCGTCCTAATGATCTCTCTCATTCAGCTGGGATGTCCATCGGCGTTGGAATCATCCGCATTTTCTTCCCTGAATCGAAACAATTTCTTGCTGCCAAAAAGGCAGGGAAAAGAAGCATGAACGCATCCGAGTTCTGGAAAGAGACCCAAGATATGTTGGCCAAGGAATGGAAGATGTGCATCTACTGTATCATCCTCATGACTTGGGTAAGCTTGGATTTTTACACCTTCTTCCGCCGACAGACCAAACTCTAATTTGACTTGACTTCTATTAGTTCAACTACTACTCCCACACATCGCAAGATTCATACACCACTTTCATGCTCACGCAAAAGGAGCTCAACAATTCTGGTGCTTCAAGAGCGTCTATTATAATGAAGACCGGAGCCTGCGTTGGTGGAACAATAATCGGTTATTTGTCACAGTTTGTTGGCCGGCGCCGAGCTATTGTTGTTTCTGCCTTGATTTCTGGAATCCTCATCCCAGCATGGATTCTACCAACCGGAGAGCCAGCACTCAGCGCAACAGGCTTCTTCATGCAATTCTTCATTCAAGGTGCCTGGGGAGTCATTCCCATTCACCTCAATGAGCTGTCTCCCCCGGCATTCCGGTCTTCGTTTCCAGGTATCACTTACCAAGTGGGCAACATGATCAGCTCTCCCTCGGCTCAGATTGTCAACGCCATTGCCGAGTCGACCTGGGTCACGACAGCATCGGGCCATCAAGCGTCTGCCTACGGGCCTGTCATGGGTGTTGCGACTGCTATCATTGCTACGGGAATTGTGGTCACTACAGCCTTTGGACCTGAGAAACGCGGTCGTCGATTTGAACTGGTTGTTGCTGCCGTGGATGAGCAACCCAACGCCAAGACTGTGGATGTGGAAGTGGGTGATGATCACAACAAGGGGAAAGACGAGATGATTGAATTGGCAGATAAGAAGACGTAGGCCGGCTGCAGATCAAAGGATGTCCTACTTCCGCACGTACACACTGACCATGTCTGTTCCCTTTGCCACGTCATATGATCGGGCTGGTGTGACATACAAAACCCTGTTGAAGTCTCCAAGATCTGAGCTGGCGGTCTTTTGTTCTTTGCCGTCGGCTCCCACTGGGCCGGTGATCATACCCTTGCCTCCTTCAGCTAGCAAATTCCAATGAACCCCTTTCAATCCCCAAGGGGGCCCTGGAAGCTTTGGATCCTTGTACAATGGGAACTCTAGACAGATAAGAAGGCCTCCGGACTTTAAAACCCGAGCCATACCTGACGCCCACTCTTTTCTTTGCTCTGGATGCAAAGCACATAGAAACTGTTCGAGGACATCAGCAATCCCGTAATCAACTTGAAAATAATACAGAAGCTCACAGTATAGTCGTAGACTACATCAAACTGAGTTGTCTCATCAATGCCTGCTTTGAAGTTCCATTGTGGAGTGAAAAAGTCCCCTTGGAAAAATGTCACAGAACCGGTGGTTAGGGGCTGATGCTGTCCGCTACCAAAGTGATAATCGGATGGCTTCGCCAGCTCAGCAGATGCATATATCTCGGCTTCCTTGATGGCTGTCTCGGATATCTCCAATCCGAACGCGTCAAATCCATGTAGTGCCAACATCACTACGTCGTATCCACGGCCACACCCCTGATATCTCGGAAGTCAGCGGATCCATCGACGGGTGCAGATAATTTCATCAACAGAGTGGTATGGCCTTACTGGTACAAGGGCTTTTTTTCTTCGGCCATCCGAAGTAAATGGAGAGAGTAGCACCCGTTCTTGTTCGATGATATCTACCAGGGCTGGTGATGCCTTTCCCCGATCCCATAGATCACTTTCCCCCGAATCCCACAGACTAGACCATCCTGCACCGTGATTACCAATGGGCCTATCCAAATCAGAGACGATTTTCATTATCTTCGCGGCGCAGACGAATTTTGCAGACACACCTGCGGTCTGTAGAGGGCTTGCCTACTCACCGATTGATGAAGGTATTGAGCAAACGACCACCCCCACTGGGCTGTGGTGGGTTGGTCTGTGTCATTGGAATACAATACAGGGCTATTGACAATGATGGGAGATATCTTGGTATGTCGCTTGGAACTTGGAGGTTCGAATAGACTCGAGCGGCAGAGATATACTCTGACACGTGACTATTACTTACCAGGGCAATGATGCATCGCCCCAACTTGTCTACGGTCTGGAAATATACTATATGAAGCAACAAGAACTAAGAAGAAGCCTCTAGATGGATTTGTGAGATATATGAATTCAAGGGTTCCAGAGCTGGTTTTGCCACCTCATTCCGGGTCTCGATTTGGTTATTGCTAGAGGCGAGAGAACCCCACTTTATTCGGGTGGGGGAGGCAGATGATACTCTATTAACCTGATGCAGCCAGGTGGGGGAGGCAAGGGGTCTCAGAAAGGTGATGGTCCTGGCATTGAAACGAATCCTACGTAAGAAAAATGTTTACAAGTCTGTCGACTTGGCGAACTCTCCCCACACTTCAATGTCCTGAAGTGTGGCCTCACATTTCTTCCGAATAGCCGAAACTGCATCAGACCCCAGCGGCAGCGTGCCCGGCCACGGCTTACCGGCAGCGCCATTCTCTCCTTTCACAATATCAACAATGCGCTGAGCACTTTTCACCGTATCCCCAGGCTGGTTCCCGTTGAAGTCGTCAAAGTTTTTCACCACTGTCTCCGAGATAGGTCGATAATCTTCGAACTTGGAGACGGCCCTCTGGCTTGCTGGCTTGTTGAGAAGCTCCGTGCGAAACGCCCCGGGCTCTACAAGAAGGGTTTTGATTCCGATTGGCTCGAGCTCTTTAGATAAAGACTCGGAAGCGCCTGAAAGCGATATTAGTTGTTTGCCTTTTTTCCTTATAGACGGCGATAATCGCAACAATCTATCTCCATCACGTACAGTGGATCGCAGCCTTCGTGGCGCAGTATGCTCCGAGAGCCGGGAAACCATCCCAAGCAACCAACGATCCAATAAAGATCACTACACCAGACTTGTTGCTCCGCATGTGAGGGAGGAAAGCCCGGGTGGTGTTCACAGCCCCGAAGACGTTCGTATTAAACTGTGAGAGCCAATGGTCGTGACTGACGGATGAATAACTCGAATTAGCTTTGGGGAACTTTGCTTCTGCAAATCAGGTCTGGGAATACCTCATTTCTTCAAGAATACCAAGCTGCGTATGTCCTGCATTGTTCACCAGTATATCAATCTTTCCATAGATTGAGATTGCCGCTTCGGCTTTGCGATTGAGCACCTCCTGAGGTTCTGTGACATCAAGTTGTAAAGTCGCAGCGCCGATGTCTCTCAGGTGAGCAATCTGCTCCACATTACGTGCTGTTGCAATCGCTTGATCGCCCCGGGCCACTATCTCTTTGACGAGCTCCAAGCCAAAGCCGGAAGAAGTACCAGTAACGAGCCAGACTTGGGGCGACATGATGTAGTGATCACGAGTTATACACTGCACTTTTTGGGAAGAGAAAAGGCTTCTTTCTGATGTTCAGTTTAAAACTATGTGAGTTCACTCTATTCTAGTTTTGTGAATGGAATGTAGGATTTATTTATAGCTTGACTGCTTCCGTGGAGAACGTATAGTTCTCCCAGGACTTTTGAACTAGATCCACAGTGTCTGACTAGCGATTTATCAAACCGGAGATAGTATATTGTGGACGGCGATAACGCATTCTGATCCTAAACTCCGCCCCCATCTATGCACCTGCCCGCGTTATTGGAGGTAGAGGAGGCTAGGAGTGTCAGGTGCTAGCGTGGGGCGTAACTGGGGGTCGCCTCGAACAGCGTCGAGGTCACCGCTCGACGGCGGAATGGCACGTAACAAGGCGATCTGGCTGTCAGCAGACCATTTAGAAGGACCTAGACCTTCCGAATATAATCGGAGATACCGGCTGGGCTCGGTCAAGTAGTGAAAAATCCACAGATGAGGCAATTATACTGTACATCTCGACTCGTTTGCACATCGCTCGCAGGGCTTGTTCCACGGTAAATTGCGCGACACTGCGAAGGACAGAAATCGCGCATATATAACAGCCTTGGCAAACAACCTAATCTCACCCGCAGCAGCCCCAGGGACATTTTCGGTCGAAATAAGAAATGATTCTCAACTTTTATCAACAAACCTTATCATTGCTACCTGCCTAGGTACTCCAAGGGTGTGCGTATCAATGTTCCATTCGCGGTAGTTCCTTGCGACCGAGGCTTGCAATTTTGAACCACGCCCCACAGCACGGGAGTCTTGGGGAAAAGAGCGTGCTGCTTGGCAGGTATGACTGACATATAGACACTTGGGATCACTCAGTACTACGCTCGAAGACTCATTGCAAGCAGCATAGGATATGGATCTCTCTACCCATCCAGATGGTGCTCAAATCTGCCTTCCGCGAACGCGGAGTGTCCGACGTCATGACTCCTGGGAGGTGATCTGCGCGTGAATCCTGCCAGACTCATTTTCCTTCGGTCGCACATCATACAGAATATGACGTTGTGAACTTGGAAGACAGAATCAGATGGCTGTGATGAATCTCATTGGATGATTCTGCTTTCCGAGCCGCGGATGCCAAAGTCTATAGCGCGTTTCGCGCAACTTGATTTGCACGCAGCGAACATCAGGGTCCATGTTGTTTTCTTGAGGAGAGAGCCTTCTGGAGAAGAAAATTGAGAGCGAATTGGATTTCAGAATCTAGCCAGGTGCTTGATGGGGGTTATAAGCGTTATTATGAACTAGCTTAGCCTCAGAAGATCCATTCGTGTCTCTAGACACTCTCTGGACACGCTATGAAGTCAGGAACGGCGGTTTTTTCAAGCCTGGGTGCGGCGATATCCATCGCTTTGGCGACATGCGGCGCGGAAGCGTTGACCCATGATCGCACTGGCTCCGGGTTGGTGAGCCTGGCGGTCGCAAAAGATGGTGGGAACAGGTCCAGCCCGCTGCTGTATGGAGTGATGTTCGAGGTAAGAACTTTCCATGCTTTCTTATCTTGAACACCCCACTAATTGTCTTTGTCTCGTTAGGAAATGGACCATTCAGGTAAGGCCCACGATTGACACTTTGCTAGCAAGGTGATGGGAACGTGACTGACTTGGCCCGATAAGGTGATGGCGGTATTCACGGACAGCTGCTCCAAAACAATGGATTCCAAGGGTCCAGTCTTGGAATGACATCCTATGCTCCAGTGGGAGATGCGCAAATTTCTCGAGATACGTCGAAGCCCGTGAGCACGGCAATCAAGTCATCGCTCAGTGTCTCGGTGCCGGAAGATGCAACAAGCTATGTGGGATTTGCAAATACTGGTTACAACGGAGTACCGGTCATGAACACGACCTACAACACGTCCTTCTGGATGATGGGTGACTATTCAGGTGCTATCAACATTCAGCTACTTGGGTCGCATAGCGGCATCGTATACGCGGATCACAATCTCACCGTCCAGAGCACGGCCGCCAAGTTCACACAATTCAGTACAACATTTGACTCAAAGCCGTCTCCGGATGGAGATAATGAGTGGCACTTGACCTTTGATGGATCAAAGGTTGCTGGCAGCTCGTTGAGCTTTGGCTATATTCAATTATTCCCGCCCACGTACCATGACAGGGAGAATGGGTTACGCAAGGATTTAGCCACGGTTTTGGCAGAGGTCAACCCAACGGTCCTCCGGTTTCCAGGGGGCAATAACATTGAGGGATTGCAGGTTGACAGCCGGTGGAAGTGGAACACAACGATTGGCCCCCTTATCGACCGACCTGGCAGAGAGAGTGACTGGTTTTACCCAAACTCCGACGCTCTTGGCCTAGATGAATATCTATGGTGGTGCGAAGACATGAAGATGACCCCCCTTCTGGCTGTCTGGGCTGGCAAGTCCTACGGAGACATTATATCAGGATCTGATCTTGAGCCGTATGTGGACGACATTATGAATGAGCTGGAGTATCTTCTCGGGAGCTCGACTACGCAATACGGAAAACTGCGGGCACAAAACGGACGCAGGGACCCATGGAAAATTGACTATGTGGAAATTGGAAACGAAGATGATCTTACGGGTGGATGTGCTACCTACCCTGATCGCTTCAATCAAATTTACAAGGCAATCCATGACAAGTATCCCCATATTACGCTTGTTGCGTCGAATGGAGATTATCGCTGCCTCCCATCACCTTTACCCGAGGGCGTCATTATCGACTTGCATCTCTACCGGCAGCCAGACGATTTTGTGGCCTTGTTCAATCAGTTTGACAATCAACCCCGGAATCAGTCCGTGATGGTGGGCGAATACGGTTGTCGGAATACGTCAGATGCCAAAGGCACGTACCGGTCATACATTCAAGGTAGTTGTAGTGAGGCAGTGTATATGATGGGCATGGAGCGAAACAGCGATATTGTGCAGATGGCAGCGTACGCGCCGATGTTGGAGCACTTTGGACTCATTGCATGGTCGGTAAGTATATTCTCCGCTTCCCAAGCATTGACTGTGCAATACTGACATTTAATCTTGTTCATTCAGCCCACACTGTATGGATTCGACTCTAGTCCGGGTTCAATGACACCATCAACCTCTTATTATGTCCAAAAAATGTTTGCATCCAACAAAGGGGACACTATTCTGCCAGTGAACTCGTCCTCGGATTTTGGACCCCTGTATTGGGTGGCCTCGAAGACGAATTCGACTTATTATGTCAAGCTGGCTAATTACGGTGCGGACGAGCAGAATGTTACTGTCAGCATTCCAGACACCAACTCAGGAAGACTGGAAATGCTCGCTGGGTCCCAGCTTCAAGGAAATCGGCCTCATGATATCTCGATTCAAACGGTGATAACTAAGGTTCAGAACGACAGTGGGAACTATACGGTGAATATGGCACCTTGGGCCGTCGCCGCTTTGGCTGTTTCATGATTCTCATTCAATTCCATCCATGTATCCTGCACATACTTTACAGTCATGTGATCGTTGGCCCTTGGTGCATAAAGTTAGTTTTTAGACCCCTGGATGAAGTGAATGACACTCCCTGGAATTTGTTACCGTGAAAACAGAGTTCTTTCAGTTGATGCTTTGTGGCCTGGCGGCCGATGGGTTTATTCCTGATTCGATATATATTTCTGACCTCAGGGTTATTACCGGATGCGTGCATACTCGACCGGCCTACTATTCTATGATCTTTGATCATGTCTCTAGCTGTGATTATAGAGTGTGGAAAGCAGGATTTCTCGTACGCTCAGCCGTACTCAACCAGTGTACGGCCCATGGACAGCTCTGGAGATCCTTGGTGTTCCGTCCTTGAAAATGGCGATACGATTTTTACAGGTACTGTGAGAATTATGCAGACCAAGACGAGGGAGAACGCCGCGGATGGGGCCAATCTGCCTAAGCCAATCCGAAGAAAGAGTAAGCGCCGAGGGTGTTCTTGGGGATAGAGGAACCAAGAACTACGAGGAGATGGAATCTGCAGCCTATGGCCCACGTGATCATCACTCAAATTTGGGGTTGGGGTACAATTGAATTAATGAAGCCGGTGCGCCCCGCAAACCTTAAGGGGGCCAAACCAGCGTGGTTTCGTGGTTCGGCTGCCAATGGCCAATGGGATCACGCGGACGTACCCGTTATGACCACATCATCTCCAGGTGAGTTGCATCTACGAGTCATCACACGACCTTCGCACCACTTCGTACTTACCTAAGCGGACTGATGTACATAGGTACAAGCGAACCCCGCATTATAGGGTAATATATAACCCAGGGCCGGCATTCTTGCAAGAAGCCTCAGGACTTCCACTTTGACTTATCACTGCTACATTTTACCATTTCGATTTCCACCATGGACAACTACAATTCCCAATGGGTCTCCCTCCACATTCGGGACCATCTCAAGGATGGCGAGATTACAGTGCAAAACACTGTCATTGAAGGGTAAGTCTTCCTCGAAGTCTCCATCATATCACTACTAACATCCAGTAGCGGCGAGTTCCACAACCCCGAAGACCGCCGCAAGTCGCTCACCGAAGAGGACATCGACGAGATGAAAATCTCCTCGGATGGTATTGGCGAGATCAGTGCTCGCGGCCGTCGAGGCAGTGAGGGCCGCCTGGACTTATTTCATGGGGATACTAAGATTTGTGAGCTTCATTGGGAGAATCGTGGAGGAGAATATGAGAATCTGGTCGAGGTGTTGGATGAAAGCGACAAATATAGAATCGAGCATGGGGGATGGAGTCCACAGGCAGGTCCTTTGGGACATGTCTTTGTGGACATCTCGGCGGCGAAGAAGAAGTAACCCCCCGTACATACAACCGAGGAGGAGGGGGAGGAGGAAAGCTGTACTCTCTCCCTTTCTTCTGGTCCATTCACTGCGTACCTCTGAACCTGTACATGATCTAGTCTTTTCTGAATGAAATCAAGTAACTCGAAATGTATAGGCCCAGAAACTAGATTTCTAAATTGGTATCATGATCCACCTGGACAAAGTGCCCACCCAGTTATTGGCTTCTACTTACACTTCGATCTCCTGTGGAAATGAATGTGCGGTGCCAAGGAATGCTTTACTCGGCACGATGAGCGCACAAATTGGGTGGTATTGTAAGCTATCCTGATGACTGGTGAAAGAAGATGAGATTACTATCTGAAGAGGAAGCTCCTGATGTAGACGGGGAACGTGACATAAGCATAGGAGTGTAGTCATGCGGTAACAATCACGGGCTCAGTAGAGAACATCTTGTCCGCTAGATAGAAAGAAAACTTATTAAGTGATAACTTGATGTCGAATAGAGTAGACGAGGTAAAGGTGTAAAATGTGTATTTAAACCTCATCGTCGCTTGTGGCGGGTTTGATCAAGCAAGTGCTCGCGAGGTTCTCAATGCTTTGGGTAATAATGTGACCCATTTCGTCGTCCGAAACTTCCGGTGTAGTGCCGAACCTTCCGGTGCGGTGCTAAACGTTCCAGTGCAGTACCAAACCTTCCAGTACAGTGCCTAACCTAAACCTGGTGTATCATTCAGTCATAGCTGTGGGCGACCTCGTTGTCGGTGAAATCCGCGAAAGCGGCAGCGGAAGGGCTGGCGGAGCCATCTCCTGGCAGAGTAGCGGGACCTTCTCCGAGCCAGTACTGCCATCCAGGGCCTTCGCGATTCGAAATGTCTGGGAAATAGGGAGTGCGTCTACCAGCGACGGGTTGGGTCTTTATAGCGTCGACTAGCACCACGTACGGGATATCACCACGCGAGAGGGTGACAGGCGGTACGTAAGCCTAGGCGGGTGGTATATAGGGGTATCACTTGATGACATCCTCGACTAAAGTACGGTGCTTCATCCGTCTGAGAATTGCTCGTTGAAGATGGTTAGCCTCGTCCGGCAAGCCTTAGAACTGGAGATTGTGCTCGGCGGCGACTAGCGTGGCGTCGCCGAGTCGATGTCTATCAAAGACCAATCTAGGTGGGAAACACCTAGATTAGAGAGGTTTGCTTTGGGATCCAGCAGAATGTGAGTAGCGGGGTCTTCTAGAAGCTTTATGTAGGTAGCTTCCGGGTGCAGGGTAAAGCGTGGACGTTTAGGCGACGGCGTATCTGTGTGGGAGGCGATCTTGCGGGTGCTTGTTTTGACTTCGCGGGTGTGAGGCACTTAGTCGAAGCTGTCATAGCAGGAGGCTAGCATAGGGAAAGCTGACGCGCTAAGCTTGACATCCAGAATGGCCATTGCTATGGTGTCAATGTTGCTGTTGATAGTCGTCGCCACTCTGTTCATGTCATGTTCGTCCCGGCGTAGGCGGACGACCTTAGGCCTTGATAACCATAGCGACCTCCTCGTAAAGCGCGAGTAATTCCCGCGAGGGCTGGATCCATCAGGTATTGTTTGGAGTCATAGGCTCGCCGGCGTGTAGTAGCCAGGAGGGTAGGCTCGTTGATGAACTTTGCGTACCGGGAAGCAGGTAGCTAGGGATTCATCTTTCTCATCCATGTGCAGGTGAACGTGGGGGCTAGAGGACCTTTCGAAGAAAGCACCCCGGGCAGGGGAGTGAGCAGGGGATTGGGCAGAGGGATTGCGAAGGGCGAAAGACTGAACAGTGCGAGCTGGCAGAACATCCAGCTGCATTCAATGTCTATGAAGTGTCTCGTCAGCAACTCATGTAGCGGTATGAAGGCTTACAGGTACTTTGTGAAGCTCAGGTCTCTCAACACCTTGTGGGGGCAAGACGCACGGGAGGATCAAAAGTTGGAAGAGGATAAGTAGGAGATGCAGGAATGAAGTGACTCGCGCGTTGTATTGTTGCCTCAGCTGATCACCACTTTAGGAAGGTGCGCCTCAGTGTTTATAGAGTGAACGCTCTAACCGGTCGCCTACTTATCCTCTTCCCTTCCACTTTCATCTTGCGTCAATCTTTTCCTTTTCCTCTTCACTGCCACCGAGGTCTCGCTTGCTGATATCACGCTCCAAACACCGCTCTCGACGCTCACTGGCATGCTCACCGGCTTGTCTTCTCATCATCGATCCCTTGCCCAGTCATTTCCCTGCCCTCCTTGGGCCCTTTCTTCGAAAGACACCTATTTTCACTACACATCACCATTACCCTTACCACATTTCTCCTCCATCTTCTCCTTCACCTTCTTCCCTTCGCCTTCTCCTCGCCTTTTCCATTTCGCGCAATGGAGGTCGACACTGCCACCGAAATGGCCAACGCAGTAATCGCGCCCCCACCTTTCGAGAAGCGACTTGGTTACGATTGCCCTCGCGAACTGTGGACCACAGCAATCATGTGGAGGCCATGTCAACTGACAGTTGGCAACAAGCTCTTCTCCGGCAAATATCACGTCGTACTCGAATCTCAACAACCCCGAGTGGCCTTCGGACTCCACAACAGTGCACGAGGCCAAGTAATATTCACAGACAAGAATTGTGCCATCGAGACCGGTTTTGAGCAAGATGAACCGAACTTTGTCGATCAGCACCGTGGTCAGTTTGATTTGAAGGGCGGCCCGCTCTCGTTCATCAAGATTCGGCCCTCCGCACAGCCAGCAATCCTTTCCAAAGTGATGGATGAAGCCAGCGAGCAAGCTGAGCGCGACAATTGTCAAGCCCTCAATTCTGTTTGTTGGCAAGTCTCCGAGACGATCATCTGGATACCCTATGAGGCAGAAGATTGTTCGAAACTGCCGAAGCGTCTTTGATAGACTAGAAGAACTAGCAAAGCTCGTCCGCAACACCGTCGATGATCAAGAAGAGCCCGTTCCTCGGGCACGGCATGCTTCCCAGGTAGGCCTACTCCAGCATATGCGCTTTCCGCTGCCTTTACGCCCCCCTCTTACCGTGGAGGAGCAGCAAACAATTCCGGACTACCATCAAGAGCTATTAGACACAAGGAGGCTAGCTCATCTGGAAGAGTCCCGCAGGCGCCTGGAACGAGTCGAGGCGCTTGCTACACAAGTGCAGTGGTACGATAAGCTATTGCGGGACCTCCAATGCCCGTAATGTCTTCGTTAAGGTCTTCCGCTAATTCATCTCTAATCCCCTTCTTACCTATCCTCCTGGGTAGTATCTTCTACAACTCTATAGGCGAGGCAAAAGTAGGCCTTGACATGGAAAGTCTTCAGTCCATGAAGAGATCTACTTAACAAAATCCAGGCCCGTCCGCGACCGGCTGAGGCTATTTGAATACCAGCTGCACAGACTATTCCGCTCGCTCCGTGCGAACAAGCTTCATGCCTGCCGAACAGTAAGTCACGGCTAGAAAGAACTAGCCTAGACCATCTGGTCATTGGTGAGGCTTTGAAAAGAAAATTCCTCCTTTGTAGTCGGTATTACTTTATGCAGGTACGTACGTCAGGTCACTAGTAAATCATATCGCTATCATAACAAATGTGGGGATGAGGGATCTGGAAACAGCCAAGACAATTGTTTGCAACCAGCCAAGTGGATGCTGTAAGGCTGACAACAGATATGTATGGAATGGGCGGTAGGTATTGGCGTTCGAAACGATTCTAATGATAATTGAGCAAGATGCTACAAGGCAGAACAGTACGTTGTTGCATTGAGTATCAGCGATCCCATCAAGTCTCCTCCTCCTTCTTATCTTCTTCTGCTTCTGATTCATTGATGCCACCGAGCGAAAGCGCCTTTTTCTCGATCAGTCACTACTCAGACAAACAGCCAACCATCATCAACGACCTGTGTGTTTGGGTGATTATGTATTGGAAGATCCAAGACGACCGTAGAATCCTCACGAAACTTCGTGAGCACTGGGATTGGCCATGACCATTTCAGAAGGATATTCATCATTTTATAAAATTTGTCCTTGTCGATGCTATCAAGGTATGGCGTGCCGTGAGGCGGCACGTCGGCGTACTCCTTGAAATCAAAGATGTCGGTGAACTGAATGCAGAGTTGCCCTTCGTAATATCCAGTGAGGACCCGAGAGTGTCCATACTCATCGAAGACGATAAGCAGTGTCTGCATCTGTTATGAGTGCTATGAGGTACCAAAAAGTTCATGACTATGTAGTTGGCTTACCGGGAAAAGGTCGTTATCTTTATGTGGTCGTTCGTTGTTGATTGACAGGCTCTCGCACCACATTGAATCCAGCATAGCACATGCTAGGGCTGCGACTTCATCTCGCGAGGGGCGCGAGTTATCGCCACAAGTACCAACTTCAGCCTGAGCCCATTGGTAACTCCGATCGTCTTGTATACCAAGTCTTTTTTGGAAAACTAGGCCGTAGGCCCATACATACCATATTCAAAGCTCTGAGCTTTCTCTGATTCTGGCAAGCATCATGCCGACTGTCACTGTCGCTCTCACTGAACAAGAGTAAGGTCAGAAAAATATTACAGACCGCGCACGGATTTTGAAACCTACTCATCAATGACCCAGCCGTTCACTATCCAGTGGCGACCGTTATGTCTCATTTCAAATTCGACATCATCGCTGACGTTTTCCTGATTATGGCAATCATCATGCTGCCTGTTACTGTAGTCGACCCTCTTCCAGGTCTCACTAAACAAGAGTAAAGTCAGGAGAATATTACAGACTGGCACACGAATTTGAAACTTACTAATCAGTGACCCAGCCGTACCGAATGAGTTGGCGATCATTATCTCTGTCTTCCATTTCGAGATCCTCGCTTCCCTCAAACGAATACTTATCAAAAGCGAGGATAAGGCCGTCCGGGAAGATATCAAGCCTTCCCTTAAAAAGGTCTGGACTTCCTTGTCTATTGGCTCCCGCTTCATCTGCACACTCGAAAACATCATTGGAGGCATGGTCTTGTTGAAGGACCTCCGAAATGTCGGGAAAATTGGTCCTTGGAAGGAAGCAGGGAATAGCGGGAGATGAAACGTCGCCAGTTTCGATATCTAGATGATCGAACCGGATCCCAAGGCGGATCAGTTCCCCATCAGAGATGACTGGATTGTAGGAACCTGAAAATATAGACAAAGAATCCGGATCCATGGAAACAGGAGGTAGCAAGCGGAGAATAGCAAATAAGTCATCGCAGGACTGTTGAAGACGTGGCTGGCCGGCGTTCATATTGATGATACGTTTTAAGTTATTTGAGGGTGTAGTGGAAGGACACAAATATGGGTGACAGGGCTGTTGGAGTCGGCATAAGGAAAGGAAAGAATCGCCGTAGTTAAAACCTCGAAAACAGAACCTTTGGAAGGCGAATTTCATCCAGTCCCCGGGCCAGAATATAATGCTAACCCTAATTCGAACAGTCAAGCCGCCAGCTTCGGCATGGTAGGTAGTAGACCTTAGAATCTAGTGACCCATGGTTACAGATTCAGGACCCGTCCCATACCAATCCCATCGGGGTTCTCATGGGACCCAAACCACTCCTTACTAAGTGTAGTATACTGGCAAAAAGAAGCCGACAACTAGTTTCCACCATTGCGATTTCAGCATCTAATTTTCAACAGACCGATGAAGTACCCAAATAAAGTTTCATTATCAACGAGTATTTCCAAACACGGTAAGACTGGCCATCAATATCTTGCCGTAGGGGCTGTCAATGGGCTCATCAACCTTTCGGAACCGTCAGCCATTAACAATCCCGTTGCTTTTTCCGGCTTGAAAGTTACAGAAATCAAATGGCAGAATCTATTGGGGCAGAAGCCTTTTACGTCCATTTTCCACGGCATATTTGAGCGGTTTTATCGAGGCCACTGGTGTGGAGCGAAAGATTTTGCGGGAAACTATTTTTGGCCAGTCAGATACATGCTGAAACCATATCCGCGAAGGGCACGGATACATCCCACCTGACTTGACGCAGATCCTTGCGCACGCTCTTACAGCCTTTCCTCCTGGACACAAACAGGTGAGGATATTCTGCCCGAGGCACTTCCCGATACGGACATACAGCTGGTGCACCCCCGCTTTGGCGAAGTGTCTGTTTTCCGTCGTTCCTTCCCCCTTCCCACTCGCCTCTAAATTTCTAGACCCTGGGTCCTGATCACGTAAAGAAATCCAGGTTTTCACAAGATATGCTTATGAAGCAAAGTCCTACTTAGCACCTTTTAAGAATGGTAAGCCGATCTTAATTTTCCTTCATTTCACTGTCGTCAACGAATCAATAGGATCAGCCTCAGCCATTATCGATACGTTTAATGTACGGCTCTGCTCTTGTTGTACAAGGGTTCGACGCATTTGCTTTCCTATTGACTCCATCAATCATTATTCCAAAAAAATCAGAGCTAGCACATCCCTTGACTAGATTCTGGATGCGGGTGACCGGCGTCTCTTTTCTACCCTTTGTGTTAAATTGCTGGTTTTTGAGAAGATATCATATCAGGCACTCTAAGATCGGCTTCGCTGTCGGATCTTGCTTCGCTCTTCACAACGCAGGTCTTGCAGCTCTCTATATCTGGAGTGCCTTTGAAGCTAGTGAATATACGATCCAGCCGCTTTGGTACGCTGCGGGATGGCGGGCAATCTGTGCAACATGGTCCATGTGGGGATTATTAGCAGCCACTTGAGGCTATCTTGGTCTGGGGTTGGCCTACGCCGCCGTTTTGAAAACTTTCCGCGACACGCTCTGGGAATGTCTGACTTTTGCCTTGAGAGCAAGCCGAGATGTCAGATCGCATCCATGTATGGGGTGTTAAGACCCGATTACGAATCAGTGAATGAAATGTCTGACTCAATTCCCTCCTCCGCCTTGCCGAGCCTTTTTTAATAGGGAGACCCCCCGGCTTCGGGCCAGAATATATTTGGGGTGCCTTCTGCATTACATAGCCGAAGCAATTCGGATATCTTTATCCGTCAGGGGCTGGTAGTTTCAGTGAATTACCCAAAGAAATACTCTATTCTAGATTATTCTAATTCCTATATCTAGCAATTTAATATTTCAACTATGCCCAAGAACAGCCACTACAGCACACCTATACCTATATCTTTTATCAACGACATTCACAGCACCCCGACCCCACTCCAAAGCGATATGCATCCTAACACAACTACACATGTCCGAGTACGGTTGAGTTGGGTGTACTATGTAATCCTTGAAAATTAACTTAGAGCCTATCTAGGCCTGTCGGTGCCTAATTGTCGCTGCTGTTCGCGGTGAATCAGAATGGAAATATTAATACCTAACAGCATAGATACGAAGACGACCATTCAGTTATGTCTCACATCTACTCTGTCAGAGCAATAAATGATTGCATAGACTAAGAATGTAACCTATAGTGCATTTTTGGTCCAGTCGTTATTTTGCCTAGGATTTGGCCCCTTTTTGTCTTGAACTACGCTTCTTCTTGCTTGCTCCTCTCTCCCCATCGCCCGCTACTCGAGTCCAGGTTGTTGCAACCTACCTCTACCGGCAGAGAAATATACATGGCTTTTGTGTAGCAGGTGCACAGTCATTTCAGAGCCATTTCATTTTTCCGAGATTTTCTTTGCAGGATATGGTGTCTCACTAATGCTTTTCGACGCAAGGGAGCTAAATTCCTTCCACACTGTGTAGCAGGGTAAACCCATCTTCCAGGAAGGTACCTCTGACATGGGCGGACTGCTTTCAGCGCTAGGCCAACCCATGAGCTCACGAGCCGATATAGGCCGCCTAGTTTCCCCGGGTATAGGCAAGCGCGGCAGTCACTGGTTTGACATGTGGCGCGTGGGGCCTCCTGAGGACGAGGCAACTTCTGGGTTGGGTCTCAGGGCTTTGACCATACCCCAGGCCTTGCGCACACCACCCCATTGTTCTTCGGGGTAGAGGTGGCACGCAAGTTCGAGCGCACCATCTAAAAGTCCACGCCCATTGCCCACTTTGCTTAGTTGTATGGACTTGGCTGTTTTACCAATATCATCTGGGTCCATCTTTTGTATGTTCAACCGCACGTTGTGACCAACCAGCTGCCAGCGACCTAGTGACATGTCCTCGGTAGACGCAACAGGGACAAAGAAGCGATCTTCGATCGGTAGTCTGTTGTCCGAATCGGCTGACTGTGCTGTGAGGCGATCCCATATGACGATTTTATCATCTTTGTGGTCGTGGCAAGACAGGTAGAAATCAATAAAGTCAATTACACGAAATGGGTTACTCGCATAATCGGATTCGGTTTCTTCATTCGTTTCGTCATTGATAGGGAATAGGCGGCTGATGATGCCTATAACTAGGGCTGTACACAAACCACCTGACTCGGCGAAGCATGCCACCATGTTTATCACTGGTAGATTAATCACGACATTCACTAGCTTATTTAATGTTAATTCGAGCCGGTGTTTAGGGTCCACAATTGCTCTATAGGTAGAGAGTCTGGATGTGCTGCAGCTCGATAAGCGCGAAGCGATCGGTTAGTGTACAAGACTCTCGGTGCGGGGCTTCTGCCTCTGCGAATGGCCATTAGGAAGATTATAGAAAGCCACGGGAGCTTGCTGATGCGAGTTGCCATATTTGAGGAGCTTATCACGGATCTTACCATGCGAGGATGTGACGCGGACACGAACGCCTGCTTCGCAGGGCTTTGTTCGGCGCCTTTCTTGGCTACAAGGCTCTACCAGGTTACTAGAAGCATGGCCTGCCTCATTAACAATGGCTAATAGGTAAAGCCGAGGCACTCTGTCAAGTTATTTGCCTAGCAGATGGTCATTATGACGGCCAAGGAGACAAGGACACGTATCCTGACGGCAGCCACGGCTTTGTGTCTGAACATGAGATGGAAGATAGATGGATGGTCCTTCAGCAGGCTGCCTTTAAGAAAATAGAGGATGCGTCAAAGGCCACATCGAAGACCATGTCAAACCATTCGGTCCCTTGGCCCTGCGAACCAGAACATTAATATTGGCCTTGCATTCAATCATTCCGACGATCAGGCACAAACGGCCACCTATTTATTTTAGTTTTTGTGTTCAAATTGTAGCGAGACTACTGTTGTTTCCTTTTTGTGTGAGGATAACACTAGGTAACTTATATCAGTTTATGCGGGATGATGATGCCGCAAAGCCCAGTAAATGCATTTTCCTTAAGAGGGCATTTTGCGTGGTTAAATACCGAAGGACCCATATGTGGGAGTCTGAACTGAAAGAAGGTAATCAGATTTCACCTTCTGAAGGGACCGCACGTAAATTTAGTAGGGGAAGCCCTGACGGCTTGAGTGTCGCGCGACCAGTGCTCACAAGGGCGAGGGCACAATAATGTGGACCTTTCTCTGCTTTTCTTGACCTATGAGCGTATTATATTTCTTTCTAGATGATTTCATAACAACTTCAACCTTTCAGGCCTTGGAGGTGAGATAGCTTCGAGATATAGCATAGGAATCTAGATGATAGTTAACCTATGGAAATCTAGAGGACTAGACCCTAACTTAAAAAAATTACTTCATGCACACTCGTGGTCGCGCTCTTTAGATGGTAGGATAGCCTGCCTAACTTCGGAGTTATTATAGTGGCTTAAGTTTACTATATTCCGTAAGCTCACTAGTGTTAGATTGTCTTTTGTTATCGTTAGGGTCAGCTTAAAGCAAGAGAGAAACAGCACAGGGGTAGGAGAGAAGCGAAAGGGGTATAGAAATAGTAAGAGTGACTAGCGGCAACTAGATAAAGATAAGAACAAAGTAGCTGCTCCTGTATGAAATATGTCCCTTGATCAAAATATACACACGCACAGTTTATGAGGGCTTTTTGCCCCTCTAAGTAATAAATATTCAGGTAGGTAAACACCCCCCTAAAGCTGCCTTAAGCCCTCATATATAGAGCATCGAGCTGCCTACAACGAATGGTGGGCGCTAGGTGAGTTTCACCATAGTATGGCTATTATATGTTTTCATTTACTTTTCTTTTCTCTTTTTATCATTCTCAAGTCTTATTCTATTCTATATATTATTATTTACTCCGATTATAGTCGATGCTTAGCTCTATATCTCTCTAGTCTTTATTATCAGGGTATATATATTAGCACCAAGGCTAAGAATCCTACTATATGTTCTATCTTTAATAAGGCTAAAGCCCAGATTAGAGGCATGAATCCCAATCCTAGAAAGGGTTATAAAGTTTCTTGGGGTAATTTATGGCACATACGACCATAGGGTGTGGAGAACAGGGCTTCCCGTCCGCTCAGCCGTACTTAAGCCACACGCCGGTCAGTTAGTAGTATGGTGGGTGACCACATGCGAATCCTGACTGTTGTATGTTTTTTTGGTTCTGTTTATGTGTAAATCGTTAGAACAGGTGCCCTTACCGCCCTTGCCGCTTTACCCTTTAGCCCCTTCAGGCCCCTTCATCCGAATACCCTGAATAGCCCTAAATGGCTGATGTGGCCTGGCTCCTTGGCTAACCTTTCGCTCTTATACTCCTTCCTGGCTTATACGGTCCCTATCATTGCTTTCTTGGTGACTTGAACTGAACCTGATCGGAGCTGACCCCGGGAAGTAGATTTTCCATGGCTACTATAACTGCCTAGTCTGGTCTTGTTCTCTACCAATGTAGTGAAGATTTTGACTGAAGAAGAAGTGCAAAAAACGGATGGGTCACTCTGATACAGATAAAGAACATTGATTTTATCTCTCCTGTAACCGAGCATATAGCGATACTAATCGAGTGACTTGGATTGGCAATTCGCTTTGTGTTTCATCCCGAAGTAGGCTAAGTCTATCTTAGGTGTGGATAATATAATAATTATACACTATAGAAAGTTCTAGCCTATAGTAATTCAAAGAGGATCTATCTCTCTTTCGTTCCTTTTCTTATCCCTTCATCAGTTTTGATATCTTTATTAAATAGACCCTTCTTGATTATTTACAAGCATGATAAGGGATAGCTTTAGTGCTTAAACTCGCATCCCTAAACTAGGCCTACAACACGCTGTACAATATTTATCCCGCAAAGATAACAATTACCTTAGAGTAATTAGCGGCAGAGGTGCGGCTTACCTTATATAAACAGAGGCAAATTCCAAGAAAGGGGCAATAGCACTATATATCATGTCCTCAGGCCCGCCAGAGCCCCAGGTTCTAACTAGACTTGTGCCTCGCAGTGCTGAAGAGCATGACAAGTACATCTCAGTTGCTCGAGGACATCATCAAAACATAATAATCGGAGACTACCAAAGAAGTGAGATCTCTTAGTCGGATCGCACAAACATCTGAGTGGTATTTTCCACTTGCTCCTGCTTGATCGGCACACGGATTGTCTCCTGTCGACTTTGATACTGTCCAGATGCTCGGCTTGACAGTGCAAACCTTCGAACTTTCAATGGCCCACCAAAGACAACAGCGCCGTTGATATGATCCCGAAGAGATGAACCGCTCGTCCTTTCGATTAATCGAAGAGGTTTGATTTTTTGTAAAAACTCAGGTTGGTTCCAGCATGATTCGTGGGTGTCGTGCTGGCATTCTTGGAAGGGTGAACCAGTCACTTGCCAGGCTCCGTCATTCAATAGTGGACTGATATGTCCCCCGCACCAGCCCCCTTTCGTCTCCGACAAGAGCTCGATGCTCCGGATCAATGCGGCCATGAGGTCATGGCCTTTGGGTAATGTATTGCACGGGGAAGAGAGCTCTGACGTGCGTTGAGCAACGATTGCGTCTCCGAGATCGGAGCAGAAGAGACAGTTGATCTCATTAAGTAGTGGCGACCATGCCAGGCTGTCTTTCTCCAGAGTCGTCTTCTTCAAAGTGGTGGTAGGAGGCTCATGCACGATGTCCATAAACTCATATCCGTAGATTTTCTTCCCCTTGGATTTTGGACGCGAAATCCGGCCCAGATTGATTGAAAAGCCGATAAGGAGTTTTAGAACGGTCAAGCAGTCTTCGCTTTTCTCCGACCTCTGAATCACTACATCCCCTTCGTCTACCAATGCGTCATACGATGCGTACGGGTGCCAAGACGCGGTGGCAGCGAGGGGAACATCTGCCTCTCGGAATTTCTCCGGAATCCCTTTCCAATAGACCAACAGCATGTGATGCAACACGAAAATCAAAGGAACCAGCCAGGCCCTCATGGTACTCACATCGTAGAGAACAATTTGATCGAATCTGCTACGGTTCAAGCATTTCAGGTACTCGCCCGACGGAGTAAACTTGACCGTGTTGTTGACCAACTGCCAGGAGGCCCCAACCTGCATACCGAGTTGAGCTGGAGCTGCAGACTGTGCAAGAGCTTGGAGGTTGATATTCGCCAGTTCAAATGAAAAGGGCTTCACTTTCGCACCAGACCATGTCACATTGAGATCGTCTGTGCTGGCACCCAAACGAAGTTCTGCTCGAGAGCACCATCCCAGGAGCGCTTTTTTTGAGAGCAAGTAGCTCAAATCTTGTGTTCTTAACCAATCCGATCGTGTTGCTTGTAGCTCGGAAGCTTTGATCTGACGATCTTGACTCGCGACTTCCAAATGCCACAAAATCATGCCGTCATCGGTCTCGCGAATTGGGATGAGAGCAGTGGAGTAGCCGAGGAACACAAGGCCAGAGGGCAAGTCAGAGCCGCATTCAACCAAAACAGGATACTCTACCGCTGCTAGTTGAATCATCGCATTGCAATTGAGCTCCAACCCACGACATGGCGCTTTGTTTTGTACTCCTGGCGCAAGAGCAACTACTGCACCATCAAATAGCTCTCCCCAGCAGCCATTAGGCAGATCAAGCTCGTGCAGTGGCTGCAATGGGCGTAGGGTCAAGGAAGGAGGTCCGAACCGTTCAAGGTTACTGTCCGCGGCTGACAGATAGATGGCGCCGGATACAGGCCTTCTGACAGTGAGACAAATCCACTTGAGTATGTTCAGCAACTCCTGGTCGAGGCTACAACTAGTAAGCCTGATTCCATGGGAATATGCCATGAGTGACATTCTGCCATCAGCTATAGGGGAGGATAAGCATAAGAACGTCTCACTCTTCAGATAAACTCACTGTATAGACACTCCGAGCTTTTCAAAGTTCTGACTAGGCCTTTCATGACATCTATCCCCAGAGTACCGTAATAGTCGAACAGAGATTTCTGGACCGTTGAATACTCGATGGTGTCTTTCTTTCTGACCAAGACTGTCGTGTTGGTAAGCGCAGACTGTATATCGTTATACATTCTTGGCAAATCAAGAAGTTCGCAGGAGATGTTCGTCGAGGTCGGACTCGCGACGGACTTTTGATGTGTGCTTGTATGAGCATTGGAAAATCGTGGGCTGCACAATCCCTCTGTATAGATCAGATCTGCTGTCAACGGACCTATCCTAGCCTCTGCGTTGATCAAATGGCGGATTGACACTTTGTCCTTCCTATGAACTGCCAGGGAAATTGCATCTCCAAAGCTACCAGTCGGGACCGATAGATTTGGATTAGCGCCCTTGTGAAGCAGCACTTTAACATTCTCACCTCTTCGTCCATGAATAGCGGCCATAAGTGAAGTTGGAAAGTCTCCATTCTCCAGTATCATATTGACATCCGCTCCATAATCAATCAAGAGATCGACCATGGTTGCTGAATTTCGGTGACAGGCTGCAGCTAAAGCACTCCCATAGCGTCCTGAAGTAACAGGCATATTGATCGAAGCGCCAGATTCAAGAAGAATGTCAGCCATGGCAGTCTGCCCCTTCGCGCAGACTGCTGCCAGTGCGCTACCTTCTTCTCCACAGACCAGGCGCATGTTGACATCTGCTCCTTTCCGGATTAGGAGTTTGGCATTTTCAATTCGATATCCCAAACAAGCAGCAGCAAGGGCGCTTCCGATGCTCCAAGTTGTCATCACATGGTTCACATCAGCCCCCCAAATCAACAGGGTTTCTATCATCTCCGGATTTCCTTGCTCAACGACGAGGCAGAGAGCACTTCCATCCGCGATGTCTGGTGAGTCTTGGAACTGATATCTTCGGACAACTTCGAACCAATCATTGAGGCTGATTGCTTCTCTTATATCCTCGAGTAACTATCGGACCAAAGCAGTGAGATCAGGGTATCACGCATAGATTTCGCTACACCCTGTTAAGAGGATCTTGCTTACAGAATAACGAGGTTTACCAAGTGTCCTGGTGTAGTGTGGGCGACCATCAAGCCAGTCTGGTGATCGATCTCGCCGACGGACATATTCGGTTTCGTAGAGTGCCCTCCTTGGTCGCGCCTCGCGCTCAATAATCCTAGCCGGACTTCGATCTCGCCGACGGACATATTCGGCCTCGGAGAGTGCTCCCCATGGTCGTGCCTCGCGCTCAATAATCCTAGGCGGACTTCCATCGACGGGAGGGGAATTCCTACTTGCATCTCTGTCTCGACGAGAGTTAAGCCAAGTTGAATGGCTATCCAAACTGACAGCTGCTGGCCTTTTGCTCATCGTGTCTAAAGAGCGAGAGGGGTTGGTTTTCTGTGAATACGGTTCGAGTTGTCTAGAATCGTTGAGAGATATCCAACGCCCAACCCCTTCAAAATCTCTCCGTATACTGTCAGAGTGACTAGACTTTGCGGTCTTAGCGCTTGCCGCAGAGGCAGAGGCGTCCGTGGGTTTCATTGGAGTGGAAATTTCCAATTTGTGTCCAGTAGAAGGGACCATGGCTTCGGGTAGGTGATATGCTTCACAGAAGATGATTGGTATAAGACTCTAGAACAAGTCCGCTCGGCTCTCGCAGGAAACCCCTCTCATATAGCACTCAATGCGGGGTCCAATTTCTCAGCCTCAGTGAACCTCCGCGCAGGGGGCTGAGCTAGCAGCTTCTTATTGGTCGAGAGATTGTGAGTTGGCAAGGGCAAGGCGGCGGGTGATCTGCACCTTCTTGTGGCAAAGACCCTGCTGCATAATGTTGCTTGCTATCAGCTGAGCAAAATCGACCCTGAGGTAATGCAATGGATCTATCACGCTGCCTATTAATTCTCTAAATAAAAACTGGTCGAGGGACATAAATCTGATTCACGTCCATTTCTGACCACAGAATCAGCTGTGGCCTGACCTCGTAGGCTGTAATAATCATAGCCACCTCCTCGTTAGCCCGAGTAATTTCCGCGATAGCCGGGTCCAACAAGTGTTTCTTGGCGTCATAAGCTCGCCGGGCGCAGTAGCCAGTAGAGTAAGCTTGTTGATGGAACTTTCCGCGATCCGGGAAGCAGGTAGCTAGGATTTCGTCTTTCTCATCTAGGTCGCGCAATGGAAGTCGACACTGCCACCGAAATGGGCAACGCAGTAATTGCGCCCCCGCCTTTCGACAAGCCACTTAGTTGTGATTGCCCTGGTACACCGCTCGGGAGGGCAGTCGTAACCATGTAGCTTGTCGAAAGGCGGGGGCGCAATTACTGCGTTGCCCATTTCGGTGGCAATGTCGACCTCCATTGCGCGAAGGGGTGAAGGCGAAGGGAAAAGGCGAAGGAGAAGATGGAGGAGAAATGTGGTGAGGGTAATGGTGATGTGTAGTGAAAACAGAGGGGTCTGGATCAGTGGCACGAGGTGCCCATATATCTTGACTGGGGACGGAGTGCCCTGCCGGTGTGTCTGAGCGTGGTGGTACGGAACCGCATGATGGAACAACTACTTTGAGCGTTGGATACAACGTTAGTTCTTGTTGCCACTCTATTTCAGCCGAGCGAGCTTTTGTGCACGCGCTTCTAGAGGTTCCAAAGGACGTCAAAGGACGCTGTATCTGGCCTCCAATTCACCGTCTTGTCGCTATGCGGGGTATCATAGGAAACTAGGAAGGTTAGATGCTAGATCGCAGCTATAAACAACACTGGTTATTAGGCGCGCTGGATTCAACGAGAGACGATTCCTTGAGGGGTTAGCCATCTATACTTGACCCGGCCAATTGGGGAGAGCATAGGCCGTAGTTATTTAGCTAACTAAATAGAGAACGATTACTAAAAATGATGCAATCGTCCTTCTTCACAGATAACACCCTTGACATCTTCCTATATAGGGTAAACAAAACAATCCTTCACGCCTAGTTAAATATAAATTGCTGATTAATGAAATGCTTGGTTAGACTAGAAAGTATATTAAGTACATAAGGGCTCAAGAACAGCAGCAATGAGCACAGGAAGTGAAAGCGGGAAGAATATCATGCAAGATTTGCAACCAACTTAGTACCCGAAAACTTCCCTTGACGAAGCATATCAAGTGCTGCTCTCATGCTGTTTAAGCCAACATTGACCGTCTTCAATGGTGGTGGCTTCAGTTTCTGGGAAAGTTCCGGTAATGTGGCATAGAATCGGCACAAAGCTTCGTTGTCGGATGGCACTGTACGGGATTTGGGCCCAAATGGCCGTGGCCACTGGAACTCGGCATTGACGACTGAGGAGGCCCGCACAAAGTCAACTCGGACCCCATTCAGGTCCCTCTTTCCCGTATCCAACGTTGTCACCACCCATCCCCGATTCTTGCGCACGATATCAGCACAGAACGCGGTCGAAACCCCCTCTGACAAACAGTCCAATGCCCTTTCAATGTTAGGGTAGACTTGAATAATATCTTCGATAGCAGTTGGTGATCGACAGTCAAACACGTCATCCGCACCGTACTCTTTCACAAGGTCGTGGCATTGTAGCGGTGCTGTTGTCACAACCTTCAGGCCCGCGAGCTTCGCAAGCTGAATAGCAAAAAGACTCGCGAACGTTGAGCCAGAATGAATGAGAATCGGGGTAGCTGCCCGTCCTTGACTCTTGCCTCTGTCAGACCAATGAACACCTAGGCGAGCATTCAAGGCCAACATGGCGGTGAAAGCAGAAAATCCAAGCGTGGCTGCCTCCTCATCGCTCACAGATGGAGGAATGTTCCATGCGAGATCGCCAGGAATCTTGAGGTACTCTGCAAAGGAGCCCCTGTCGGTGTATAGTCCTTCATGGATAAAGCCAGCTACTCTATCTCCAACCTGCCAATATCCAGGCGCTTTATCACCGACTCTCACTACCGTTCCCGAGTAATCACAGCCGATGATGGCCCGTCGTGGCGATAGAATGTCGACGTAATTGAAGTCTGTTGGATTGAGAGCGACGGATCGTACGCGAACGAGGATTTCGTTGTCAGAGATCTCGGGAACGGGAACTGTTCGGATTTTGACTCCATCTGCTGATGAACACCCGCATGAATAATTTGAAAGCCGGGTAACAATAGAGCGGGCCCCGACCAGGGCCTTCATTGAATGAGGCACTTGAACAGCCATGATTTGGAGCACAAATATTGATCTAGAGAGAGGGCAATAAGGGGCAGATTTGGAGTCAGTGTATATACTTTGGACACCCGAAGAAAAACATCAGTATTTGCATGTGAATATCCTTTTCGGCAGGCTGAATATAGTTCGGGCTTGTACCGACTGATCTTTCCGATAATCACATTGATCCCGACCTTGGCACAGATAAGACTCGGCATGGTGTGATGGCTGTCGTCCCGTGCCGACGGGCCGTGGTTGCCTTGAATCCTAGGCAATAACTGTTCAGTCAGTTAGCTAGCAGAAGCTGATCCAATTAAAGGGGAAATGCAGTCCGAGAAAAGCGAAAGTGGCCCCACTCCACATGCACTTCAAGGACGCCCGTGGAAGATTTCTTGGCACTTCGAATGCAAACGGTTCTCCTCGAATTAAAGTTCATCCTTACGTCTTCCATCCCATTTCCACGAATTGATGCGGAAAGATTGTGCATTCTCGATCTCGGAGCTTGGTCTTACTTCGGTTCGATCTGAGACTGTGCGAGGGTACTGTTCGTTGCAAAGGCACGTCATGGTAACATGGTAGCATCTACCAGGCGAGTGGTAGAGGGTAGAAATACAGGCTGGAGACTCTTTCGGAAAATTTGAGAATTACGCCATGCTTTCTTCCCCTGGCTGTTAGTCGAAGCTGTCACTGTCATGGTGGGAGGAGAGCCCCTCGGCTTGGCCATTCATTTACAGAATGAATCGCATCCTACAGCCAGTACTCTTTTTGTGGCTATGTGTTGTGGCGACTGTCGTGTCTCGAAAATCCGGCTTTATACGTTCTGACAGCCTGCCACCCTGCGCTGTAAGTTTGTAGTCATCATTTGAGCGACTGAAGTTCAACGCTAACATCTATAGGTGGAATGTGTATCACAGAGTCTCTCACTAGGGAATTGTGAGCTATCGGATGCTGAGTGCCGATGCACCAACAAGACCATTCACAATTATATCTCGTCCTGTATGGTGAGTAAATGTGATCTTGCGGGAGCACTTGGTGAGTCTTCGTAATTATTTCTGCTAGTCCACCCAATATTGACACCGTATAGTGGCAGCGCAATCCTGGGCGGAGGAATGTAATCAGCCTCACGACAATCGTAATGCTTCGGTGAGAGCAGCAGCGGTGGGTAGCGGGGTTGCTAATCTTCTCATTGTGATCTGTCGTGTTATTGCAAGAGCATGCACATTGCGCCGATTTTGGTGGGATGACTGGAGTCACATAGCTGCCGGGGTGAGTTACAACAGCATTTGTAATCTCTGGCCATGATGCTCACTTACCACCCGATATAGGTATTGACGGTAGCATTGATCGTATTCAGCAATCTTTGTGGGTCAATTATCTTTCCAAGCCGTCGATACTTGTACTGACTGGATGTCTAGGTGTCACTGATGGGATGGGATATCATTTTTATGACCTCATGGCTTCGTCTGTGTCCCAAGCCAAAAACATGTTCATCTGGTGTGAGTACCATTTTCCCATTTTGACGCAGCTAAATGGCTAAAAGTGGTTGATATACCTTCTTCTAGACTACATCTGCAGGATTTTCTGGTTGGTAGCAATTTACCTTATCAAGATATCGATCCTTTTTCTTTACCTTCGCGTATTCGGCCAGATTCCCACGTTTCGAACCTGCGTTACCGCTACCATGGCATTCGTGACGGTGTCTGTCTTCATCCTCGTCCCAATGGCCATATGGCAATGCGTGCCAGTCCACGCTGTTTGGGATTTGAAGCGTGAAGATGCAAAGTGCCTCGATCTCTCGGGGGTGGCCTATGCAAGTGCCGGCATAAATATGGTAACGGAATTGGAAATTTTGATTCTACCTGTGCCTTTGCTTCGAACACTTCGCGCTTCGAAGTCAGAAAAAGCCGCACTTTATGCACTATTCGGTTGCGGTGTTCTGTAAGACGAGATGACATAATTCTGCTAGAAATATAGGCTAACAAGTTCCGCAGCGTGATCGGTATTTCAGCTGCCCGGCTTCCAACTTTGACTCATCTTGAGGCAAGTCACGACCCGAGTTATTTGTCGGCCGGTGTGTTCTGCTGGAGCTGCGCCGAAACTACCGTGGCCAATTTATGCGCTGCTGCACCAGCTATCCGGCCCTTGTACCTGAAATTACGCGATATGATTCGCCAAAGGAGACAAACTGCGTCTGAATCCTCTGGAGCTGATGCTTCAAGCGGCAAATATGTTTCAAAACCATGCAATATATTCGTCCCTGGTTAAATTGTCAGCAAGTGAGAAACCACACCTATGACGGAGCCCATGATACACATAATGATGAGGTGATGGACTTGCACGACCCTTTGTCTCCAGTAAAATCGAATAGTGAAGATTTTAGAGTGTCATTCTGACCAAAAGAATTATGGTATTCTGCAAATATTCTATGATGCATAGTATCGAGCAGCCAAAAGGTCACTTTATGACCTCCTTTTGTCCTGATCATCGTTGTGTTTAGATCACACGGATTCTAATCGTGTCCAGCCAGATTCACCCGCAACGCATCGAGAATAGAGTTCTAATATAGCCTCTTATTGGTTACTTGGGTAGGGCATATAAGAGAAAAATACTCGCAAAGGCCACAGACCACATAATCTGTCAGTGGACGTGTTCTTGCCCGATTCTGGAAGGAGAAGACTAGCTCGCAAGAGAGAGGCGATGTTGAACATGCTACAACGAAGTCCAACATATATGCTTTCCCGGAAAAACTCAGTTTTTGGCTGTGGTATATCCTCCTGACGACTCTCTATCGCACTTACTCCACTGCTTTCATGTCTCTCGCCTCTTCTTCTTTTTCTACCTCTACCAGTACTTTCCCATTTTTCTCTCATTGGCTCTCGGGTCGATCAGTCTCTCGTCAGCTGACTCGGCATTTCCCTATGAGCAGCACTGTCGACACCGCATAATACTGGGGATTGGCGCCTTTGCATCTTCCCAATGGTGGCTTCTAGGTTGGTTCATCTAAGTTAAGACCGGCTTGGAGGTGACATTAACTTGTTCGGTTGGTCGCAATCTCTCAAGGAAGCGAAATGTGAAATAATTCGGAGAACCTGAGACATTGTATGACCTACTAGTGGCAAACATTCTGGTAGAAATATTTTGGCACAAAGACTGTTTCTCCATCCGTGCCATGGCATGATTCTGGTCAGCAATCATGTATTTGATGCATAGAACGTTTATAAAGCGGTACTTTGTGTATAGTCTAAGGAAAGTTGAAATTTACTGCTCTGCATAAGCTTGCAGTTGCGAATTGTGAGCCTTATTTAGGGAAAATAAGAGCGGTGACAGGCCAGTCTAGACCTATCGACTGCACTAGGATAGTAGTACAGCCCAAGTATGGGCCAACGAGTTGACTTTTACCAAGTAAAATGCGGAAATTAAAAACCAACAAGCATTAAGACACCCGTTGGGCCGGTGGTTTAAAAAAATGACTAGGTCAACATCATAGGCATCTTCGTAAGCTCGAGGTCCTGCTGCCATGAATCTTGTATGCTCTTTCTCGTCGTATCAAGGTAACCACTTACGCCTTAAGTGTTACTCTGCGCAATGATTCGATCACGGTGCTGACTGAGGCTGCAACCACTGCCGCCCCTTCTTTCCCAAGGTCACAGCTCCCCTCCTTCAGTGGCAGCTGATCTTGTCACACAGGTCGCTCTGGAAGAAGAGCTAGGGCCGAACCTACTGAACAACAACCATCGCTGTTTGAAAGATGGTCCTACCAATAAAATGCACCAAAGACCGGGCCCCCCTGCAGAAGGTAACAGTCTCTACGATGGTGGTCCCACTGCTAGTTTCAAGCAATGTAACTGTGCAGACGGGAAACTGCTCGGTGTCTGGCCCTAATTTCTATCAGAATATCGATTGGTTGGTTTGAATCTGTTCACTCCGTCATCTTTTAGATCGAGCCATTTCTTGACAAGCGCTTCCGTCCAGAGGATGTCAGGAACAGGTATGGTTGCAGCGACCATGACGGCATGTAGGCAAACCACGTTTCTGGGATCGAAGGCGAAGCCTGCTGCGATAGGCTATTTTCATAGCCAACGCCACATAATTGTTCTCGTACCCCGTTATACAACACACCTAAATTTGTTTTCAATCACCGGGTCATTGCATGGGCCTACTGAGCTACTTCACTGATTTTATATGTTCCGCCCGACATAAATATCCATTATGCGCTCCGAACCAAAACCATAAATTTCCAGATTATTATCGCCCCATCTTCCGTTTGCTACATACGCATCAAGAACAATCCGAGTCTTTCGTTCCAAGGTCGACCAATATCTGTGGCAGCCATGACCTTTTTGTGCATTCAAGCTTTGTTCTGGACTCTCGGACTTGCATTCCTGGGACTTGCGGCGCCTTTGGAGAACGTGAGCCAGGAAAAGGCGCAAATGAGCCCCATTTGTACATCAACTTCATCAAACCCAAGTCAAAAGATGGGATTCGGAACAACTGACACTCAAAGAATAGGTAACCAGTACTATACGGTCCAGAATGGAGACACCTGCTGGGATATCATCGAACGAAGTGAGAATACCTTGACGATGAGCCAGTTCCTATGTTGGAACCCGGATATCAACCCCATTTGTTCAAACCTCATTCCAGGACGCTCAGTCTGCGTTGGAGTTTCCTGGCCTGGGCCACGCTGCGCTCACAAATGATGGTTTCGTGTTGCCTTTTCAGGAAGTGGGCTTTGTGCATTCTGGCAAATTGCGTTGGTTTCAAGTATGATCTTGGAGGTACTATCGGTCGACTGAGCCTTTGCTTATGCAGCAATATCTTGCCCGAATATCTGATACTATTTTTGGTTTTCCGCCCAACATTTCTCCAGGAATTCCCTCATCTTCATAGGCCGCACTTCAGGGAAACGATCGCTCAATCGGTTCTCTTTAGGCAGATCAAACACCCCAGCCACTACAAGCCGGCTCACCAATGCTGTAATTTCTTTCATCTCTTCTGGTGATCCCATGTCACTGGGCATGGGCGGGACGGTGACATTTCCCGCGTGGACCTGATCGAGACTGTCGTAGGTTACCTGGAACTTTTTGCCTGCTCCAGAATTTTTTGGTCAACGGTGCTTTCAATAAATATCGCCGCCATCTTACCAGTAATTTCCTCCGCCAGGCTCAAAAGCCCGTTGTATGTAACTTCATCACCCACAAAGACGCTAAATTCAGGCCATTCATCGAGGTCAAGCATTTTTACCATATAGCTGGCCAGATCGCGTGTGTATGTCATACAAATCACATCTTTGCCGTCCCCGGGTATAGCAGCTACGCCACCGGCGATATCAATGCCAAAGGTGTACGGCTGGAGATTTGTTTCCGCGTGTGGCATACCCCAATAGTCCATGAAGAAGCCCGGAATCACGCGGGTATATTTCAGCGCACTGGCTTTCAACCGATCTGCTGCGTCGAGCCAGTACTGGATACTCGGATCCACAGGAAGTAGGCTTTATGATGCCGAAAGTCGTTTAGAAACGCCACTGATTGAAAGTGATAGGTGAACTTACTCGGGTGTCTGAACAAACGAATACTCGCTTGGAATGAAACGCTCTGTTACGCTGGACTTTTCAGCTGCTTCAATTAGGTTCAGCTGGGATTGGCTGGTCTCATTGGAGACAAGGCCGATCGCGGAGATGACGGTGTGCGCGTTGTGGCGCTCCAGCTCCGTGGTCATTGAAGGGATGTCGCTGTAGTCGATCTTTACATATTGGACTCCTTCATGAACACCATCTTGCTGTGGTTCTCAAAGTCAGAACTGAGCACTTCTCTAGCTGTTAGACTTCTCGGGTTGACTTACACTGCGCGACAAGACCAGGACCTGGAAGTTCGAGTCTTGCGACAGTCTTTCCACAAGGGTCTTTCCCACGCCGCCTGTGCCACCAGCGACTGCGATGATAGTCATCATAGAAGCTGGCTTCAAGTGTTATCTTCCTTTTAAGTTTGCCCCAGGAATTTGAGTCGCCGTTGCATTACATTACGGAGTGAAATTCAGAATCCAGTTTCGGGTTCCACCCCGCGACGTGCCCCACCAAGCGCGAATTCGCTTGAGGGGACTCAAAGCACGGAGCCACAAATCCATTCCAATTTTTTGACACGCAAGTAGAGCAATAAACCCTGTACTCAGCCATAATTGTTCAGATTCGTATATTGTTCGATGCTTCTAGTCTAGTTTAGAACACAAAAGGTGAACACCGATACCAGCTCGGGCTTTCGGGCTTCACTATCGGCGTCTCCAGATTCCCGGCTATGACTAAGGCATACCATAAAGTGTATAAAACCACCTCCCGCTCGCCTTCCGCTATCTTGCCGAACCAGAGAAAAAGAGAAACTCTGTCTCCCCACCCCATCTATCATCCACAAAACCCCTTCCAGAAGAACTCCTATCGATCAAACCGCCCACGATGTGTATGAAGGCTCACTGCTCCATATGCAGTAGGTTCCAAGGTTGACTTGTGGGAAGAAATGCAGTGGCTAATGATCTGACAGACAAGGTCACCTGGTGGGGCTGCGGTAGCCACATTCCCTCCGTGATGGACTCGATTCCGGAAAGCGAGTGGTGCTCTTGCACTCCTCAGGTGGAAAAGGATGGGAAAAAGTACCCTCCCAAGGCTGCGAAGGCGGGTTGACTACAAGGCTGTGTGATTTGCTAAGTTTGTTATATGGCGCGGTGATCTGTGTTGTAGAGGTGCTGCAAGCGCAATGTGATCTAAAGGAGCCGACATCGCATGAGATCAAAATGCTTTGACAGTTAGTGGGAAGTTCTTTTTGGATCACCGACATTTGGATTTTTCGGGGAGGACGGCATAGCTATTAAGCTCATATCTCTCAAATTACGTCTATCGAGGGGGCAAATGGGCTCTATCATATTTACATATCTATCAGGAACTACGCAACACCCAGGCAAGATCCGTATCTCAGCCTGCCATGTTCACGTAGAAATCAAACATGCTCCACCAAACACTAATAACCAAATTGAAAACAATCCAATTCTATTCAAACAGAACTAAAAGCAGCCGATTAAATCTCCCAATTCTTCCGTCTCCCAAATACCAATGGGCTCCATCCAGACTGCCCTCCTCGGTCAGTTGATCTACAGTATGTGACTGTTGTCTGTCTGCATCTGAGCTGGTTAATATACTATTATGTAATCAGGTCTCAGCCACAGTGGCTGGGGTATAATGTGGCTGCGTTCCGTCTCCCGCGACTCCTTCGTTCTCATTGAAGCATTACGACGAATGACATTCATGACCAGCAGGCATTGAGACCTTAGTGCTGATCTAAAACCGCTTTGATCTTGCTAAGTGCTCATTTGGCATCTCTAGTTCGCCGCCGGTCATCGCTACGGGCAGCCTAGCCACTCGCCACAAAACCCCCAAAAAAGGCACTTAGCCAGCTGCATTGTCGGGCGAGGCCCCCTAGTCGCTGTTCGATTTCACCAGCCCATTAGTCTGATATTTAGAGCTTCCCACATTCACGGGAGAGCCTGTGACTTTAAGATTAGGTCTTTCCGTGATCAGCGGAGCCCTCCCGTTGGCACCTCGGCATCAGCCGTCATCTCAGACTTTGAGCTATGTCTGCTGTGCCCACCACTGCTGCGCCCGCAGCACCTGGCACACTGACTGCTATCGCCACTCCCCAGGTTAATTCAGCCACCCAAGGAGCGCCCCAGGCGGCCAACGGCGACACCCCACCTCTCGATTGGGAATCCGAGATCCAGCTCGTGTCCTCATTAGCAAAACTTCAAGAACTTGAAAGAAAAGTGAGTGAAAAATATCGATACTCCCCTCGTCGTCAGAGACGATTCTCTTCGACCCTTCGTCGATCCCAAAATCCGAATAAGGTGCGCGTCAAACTGACAGCACCAGATCCATGAACTGCGCCAACTTGTGCCCGGCAAGCTTCTAGAGCCATTACAATCCCTCACAAATCCTAAATGGGGACCACAAGGTAGCTCCTTTGCCGATTCTCCGGTTCAATTACGCGAGGGACTGGAACAAGCCGCGCGCACTCAACTCGCCAATATCGAGAACTTCAAGAGCATGTGGCAGGGTCCAGAGCTGCAACCTGTCTGGGCGCATGTGGAGTCCCGCCTCAAGGATTCCGCCGGGCAGATCGTGCAACCCACAGGGATGTGGGAAAGGGACTACGATGTGCTTCTCGAGGAGCTTCTCAAGGTCGAGCGGGGCAAGGATGAAGAGCTTCTGCGCGAAGACGAGGAAGCTGAGCGGGCTAAGGCGCAATCATCGGAGGGAGAGTGGCAAGGTGTTGTGGAGAGCTTTATCCAACGGAATCTGCCTGGTGTGCGTGTGATCAAGGAGCAAGAAACGCTTTCGCTGGCGATCGCGCTTGTCAAGGCCGGGGTTATCTTCCACGTTGCGGGCGTGAAGGAGCCTGACGCGCCAGGCGTGGCTGATTGGCACGTCTCAAGCAGAGCTCCGCCTGGTCGCGTCCCGACGAAGCTTGAGAATTCAATGACGGAGTGTCTCAACTCACGGCCACGGAAATGGGATCTGGCTTTCCTGCTGGTATGTACCGGCTACCGATTGAACATCAGGCGATACTAATCTACGTTGCTAGGACATGATCTCGTCATACGCAGACCTCAAGCAGACCTCGTGCGTGAAGTGTAACAAGCTCACCAACAACTCCGCCCAGCTGCCAACTATCCGCCGAGCTCAGTCTACCCAGCCGTCCCAAGGCGAGCCACGTACGTTCGCATTCGACGCATTGCATTCCAGTTGTGTGTAAAAAGTGGACATCATATTCGTGAACCTCTATTCCCAAACCAGCGTCGCCAAACCAAAAGCCACCAAATATCAAAGACACTTATACCCAGTGCTCACATCCCTTCGCCCAATGTTCATGCTCACATCCTCCCTCACAGTGCTCATGCTCACACTCACCCTGATCCACACCCTGGTAATAATCAGGATCATCACACTCCTCTTCCCCATAAGGCCGTCCATACCGATCCCAAAGTGTCCTCGGCTCCTTATGAACTATCGGCCTACCCCACCGGCCACCGCTCCACACAGCATCACAATACTCTACCGAAGACCAGGTCTGTGGATTCGGAATTTGGTACCTGCGCACGCGGTAGTCGTACTTCTCCTTCCCACGGCGCGCCCATGGAAACGGGGTGTCGTCCTCCTCGGGCTCTTTATCCCATCGTGCCCAGTTGGTCGCGGATTTGGGCTTTGACTTGCTGTCATCGGGGGTAGGAGTGGGTCGTTTCCCGATGACGCCGACGTAGATGTCCGGGCCTTTACCCTTGAGGACATCGGAGAAGCGCCAGCGTCGCGGCCAGCGGGTTGGGTTGCCCGGGCGCGGGTCTTTAGGCCAGATCCAGCCAATGGTTTTCTTTGGTGGTATAGTTTGTTGTGGCATGGCTTGCCTGGAGCGGGAGGGATTCCTGGGGTTTAGATGGGAGGAATGTGGTGTTTGGGGCTGATTATAAGCAGAGGGCGGTTTGCAGTTGGGTTAGGGCAATTTGGGAGTGAGGGTAGATACATGGGAGCAGTCAAACATCTTGTTTTATACGGTCCTAGGACAACAGTCTGCTTGATTATTATTCAGGCGGCTTCTGCTCCTGTTGCTTCAATGAATGACTCTGGTAGCATTCTCCAGCACAATCCATTTTCTGAATCATACTGTCGTGGTGTTTCGCTCCGCTGGCTTTGGGCGATGGTTGCTGCTCTGTGATAACCGCGGTGATGATGCCCTCTACGGTCATGGAGGGTGCATGAAAAGGGCCCTGTCGGGTCGGAGCCTTGAAAGAATCCCCCAACCATGCCTGGGTATCTTTGTCGGGAAGAACAGTCCCACATGGCCACAGGTACACAGAGCCACGGCGAAGCCAGAGGTCTACGGATGGGGCCGTAGGAGACCTACGAGAACCAACGCGGGTTCAGAAATGTCTCGCGGTGTTCATAACATACCAAGACTATATGGATTCCATTGTCCTTTATTCTTTGCATGAAGCAGTCTCCACTATCTAACAAGCCGCTGAGACAATCTGAGGAAACAAAGCCTTATGTTATTTGCCGAGAAAATGCAGTCAATTAAAGCATGTAGTAAATCCCAATCCGAAAATACGAAAGGCCGCGGGCGGCAACTCGCGGGCCTTTCTCATGGCCGTAAGAAATGCACAATTTTGAAAGGAAAAGAAACAGGAACCAAAAAAGGGACACAGCCCAGAAACAAAAAGCAACCACATCCCTATGTTCGCAGTATCAACAAACGCCGGTTTTCTTGCTATTATCGTAATCCCAATGCGCTTTCAAACCATTGAACGCCCTTTGTGTCAAATATGTCCATGAGAATGTCAGGTGTCAGCCATGCCCGTCATCAGCGAAAGTGGCTCGTCAGGTTGCAAGGAGGCCTGCCCCGCCGGCAAACCAGGTGAAGGAGACAATGGTGATAATGGCCATGCCGATAGCAAACTTGAGGCCTTGACGTTGGATGTCGGATATGGCGCCGCTGCAGGTGGCACATTTGAATTCTACAGGAGTTAGTTATGATGTCTTTTTCACCGACCCGACAAGATTGATGTGGAAACTCACCATTTAGCGGGGTGTAAGATTCTCTGCGGTACATGCCGAAGCTGTACCCGATCTGGCCACTCAGATGGCCTGCCGTGGCGGTGTCATCAAGAGACGTGTCCGCGTCGTAAACAAACAGAGTGTAGGTAGCAGTCAACAGCGGAATGGTTGCAGAAGCATCGTACTGGTTTGTGTCCCAGACAATGCTGCCCGTAGGATCCACAGTCATGTTCTGAGTGAGGGTGTAGGTCTGACTGTTCAAGCTGCACGAGGCCACCACGTCGACGGCGGAGGGGGTCACCGAGAGCGAAGTGTAGTTCCAGACAAAGGTCGCGTTGTAGCCGATCTTGAAGTATGTGGTTGATGTGGCGGCGGGAGTGATCATCGAAATACCTCCCGCACCAGCGGCAGGGTCAATTGAGATTGAGGAGGTCGTAGTGGACTTGCTCTTGGTCGTCGTCTTGGTGTTGGTGTTGGTGTTGGTACCCGTCGAGGTAGAGCCGCTCGCGGTCTTGGTGTCCGTATTGGTCCCAGTGGAAGTTTCGGAGGCAGTGGAGTCAGAGGCGGTGTTTTGGGAGGTAGAAGCCGAGTTGGTGCTCGTAGCGTCGGTAGTAGAAGCGTCGGTGGTAGTGGAACCTGATTTTGAATGTGAGCTTGATCCTCAAGAGGACCTGAAGGGAATTCCGCACCTGCTCGTCTGTCCAGTGTGTTGTCCGCCCGCCCAGCCAATAGCCCATCCCATGGCCAGGCGGAGGTAATCACACCCAGCAACACCACCGTATAAAGCACACTCAAGAAGAGGGACCGCATGGTGGAAATGCGAGGTTGTCGACTAGGGTGTTACAGAGGAGAGTCGGTCAGGAATAGGAGGGATGAGAGAGCCCCTGGTGGGAGAGAAAAAAGCCGAATAAACAACCCCTTGCCTTAGCTAGCAGTGTGGGGTCGCCGGTGATGGTTTGACACCGCACCGTCAGCGTCAAAGGGACAAGCAGAGCGTCTTTGATCTCAGCGATGTATCCAGTGAGTGTTGCACAGAGAGAACGGGCAATCAAAACTGCGTGGAGAGGCGGACAAAATAGCAGGTCTTTGACCAGTCTGGACCCTGAGGTTGCCGATCACCGGAAGATGTGGGTTTGGAGGAGGATAACAGGCCAGGGAGTCCGCACACAACAACGACCGTAAACAGCGTGAACGAGGGCTGCTGTTGAACGAGCGACGCGAATCAGGCGAGAGAAATATCAGCAGCTGGCAGGTGGCAGGTGGCAGAGGCGATGAAGAGAAGAGCAGGGTGTTTGGGGTGTATTGCCGGGCTAAACCCAAAGGGGCGATGGTGGCAGCCAAGGGTTGAGACACCCGCGCTATAAATAGGCGCACAACAGGCGAGCGCACCAAGTTAATCTGACCGTGCAGCCTGGAGAAACTGGCCATATGATCAGCGTCAGGCCATTTATGAGCCCAGCCTGCCGCTACGGGGGGCAAATCGGTCAATCCGGCATGGATAACAACCCCTCATAGGTGGATGTGGTCAATGTTTACTTGACTCGGAGATGCTTAGCAATAGGATGAACCCCTCGGGCTCCACACAGCCCGACACAACCCCATCAATAAAGAACCTAACCAGGTGACCAGGTGCCCCGCCTCATAGCGATAGTCGTATTATGGAAAGAGTTACTTTACTTAATCCTTCTGCAGTCTACTGGATCAGCTCTGTTTTGCCGCTCACATGGGACTTCGGGACGGGAAACCTTACCATGATGCTTCTCAGGGATTTGACTTGCTACCAATCGGATGCATTCTTGGTCGAACTTAAATCATACACTTCTGAACCAGATATTGTAAACCTGTGTTAAAAACAACATTGATGTCTCAAAACTGCTGCTGAACCACACACAGTATAATCTCTCGCTAGTGGTAAGGTAAGGAAGAACGACAATACCAGAAGAGCTGAGGACAGCGGCAGCACTTAGCACGCCTTGAGGTGTACCCGCGGCCCCATTAACCTTCATAAACATCTCCATGCGAGTGGAGTTACTACAGCAAAATTTGTTGCTATCCGGCCATTCTAGGTTAGTTTCTTCAAAAAAAAATGCTGAAATGACGGACACTGATGCTGATTTCATCAGATGCCATGGAACAGGACTCACACCTTGGGGTCCTGTCGATTGGATGGAATCTCTCTTCTTCGTCGAATGTATTGCCTGTCAGCCACTTAGGACGAAGGGCCTCAGCCCGTGAGATGCTGGTACCAAGACATGATGGAAATACCATCACCGAACAGCATTCTTGGTCGGAGCTATCTTCTTTCTGTGGCAGACAAGCTTCTTCCCAATGGCATTGTGATTCCGTCCATCCCAAGTTTGCGTATAAAACAACATCAAACTTCTCGAAACATGAATTGTTTCCCACATCATAACAAGACGTCTATGGTACTAACAGGCGACCCCCACGCCCACCCTTCGCATCGGACTGGGAGCCATACCCGACTTCCGTTCCCCGTTTCACCGGCCCGTCTCAAGCGGGTGCTAGGAAGAGGTGTAAACCACGCGCAGCTGGACCCTGTCACATCCGGCCGGCACCCCACTCCCCACACTGGTATCCTGATAGAATAGCCCCAGCAGCCCGCTATCCTTATCCCCCGGGCAGACTTGCAACAAGACACAGATTAGCCACAGCTCAGGTCCACAACGCCCCGGTGTCCAGGGGTTCTATGCTAGTTGCACTTACCCAGCCATCCACCCCACGTCGCACTGCTCGCCCGCAACCCCCCATCCCCCGCAATACGGAACCCAGTCCTGACCGCGCCGCTTGGACTCACACTGACCTCCACGCCGCCCTGGACACTGCTCCCGCCTACCAGCGCCAGCACGTACGGCGCCCCATTGGGCGCCTCGTAGTGCACTGTGCTGTTGGATAGGTAGAAGGTTGCGGCGTTGGCGGTGTCGCGGAAGACGGCATTGCTGATGAGCGGGCCGGTGGACTGGGTGGAGAGGGACAGCCCGTTGTGCGCGGGCGTGCTGGATCCGGATGTGACTAGCGTGAAGAGTTTCTCGACTGGAGCGGCGGTTGTGAGGGCTGCTGTGAGGAGCAGTGCTGTAGAGAGGAATTTCATGGCGGTGGTGTGTGTGGTGGGACTATGGATCGGGTATAGATGTAGATGTAGACGTAGATGTAGGGTAGGGGTAGATGTCGTGCAGGGCAATGGAGGAAACCGAGCAGCTCGAGTAAATGGCAGACACAAATGACAGGCCCGTGACGCCCTGATTTATCATCCCCAGCTTGCTGCTGCAGCTCGTGTGTACGGCGTACAGCGTACAGCGTACAGCGAGTTCGGCCCGCCAGCGGTGGAGTTCAGTCGTCACCGACAACCGGACGAACCAGTCATCTCCGTCAATCCGAGAGAACCAAAAAAACACAGCAGGCACCCGCCGGCAGAGCTTGCGCACAACAAACCAATTCACCAGCTCACCGCAGCCCCTCGGATCTGGTCTCAGGGGTTGCATCATGTATGGGGGAGATTGGCCCACGGTCTTGCAGATCAGCGGGGCGCGGTGGAAACTTAAAAAGCTTCCTCGCCACTTTGCAACCGGGGACGGGCCCTGAGGTTGTGCGTGGTATCAACACCGTGTACAGCGGTTTGGTGGTTTTACCCATGGGGAGAACTAGGGGTTTGTAAGAGATGGGAATTGGAGCTGTTGCTATGCGTGTGATGTGAGAGTCGTGGCGATTCGTTCTGTCTTTTTCTGCTGGGACCAGCACTTTCATCCCAACTCGCAACTCCCCCCTACATCATCCCCACTGTATCTCGGAACCTCTACCTTGCCGGTTGAGTTCATGATTCCTGTTTCGCTTCCCCTCTCCATCCACGGAAACACACGTCCTCGCCCCTTGGCACCCGCTGAATCCGAACCCAACGCCCACCCACGGCTCGGGCACCACTGAAGTGGTGACTCGGGCTGCTCCACCAGCAAGTGAGATCCTCATGCCATGATGGAATGCAACTGTGTCTGCGGCGACTGGAGAAAATACGTCTTACGGGAGGACAACATTAGGCAATTAGAGTGCCCGAAGCGAGTTCATGCTTCTGTCTGCACGCTGTGAGTCCAGGTCACATCCATCAATCTACGTAGGACCTCGTGGCGGAACGGAGTACCGTAGATCCCTTCCATCCTAATCCACCGGGGGAAGCGAAGGACCAGGATGGGCTTCTGTGGCCTTGAGCGCTAGCCCTGGAGCGAGGTAATACAGATGCAGGAGCGAAGGCTCAAGTGCAGGAGGAGGCGCGCCTGAAGATCAATCGGGTGTGGCTGGACCATGCAGGTGGACTGCGCCATGGCGGTACACCGCTGGATAGGATCGATTCGAGGGAAACAGGAAGAGGATGATTGTCATAGTCACAGTCATGGTCATGATTAAGATAGGACGTAGTGCATTGTCGTCGTATGGTCATGTTCTCATTGCGGCATCGCCTTCTATCATACACAGAGAGCCATTGTCATCACCACCAGAATCACACTCCCGGCCCACAAGCGGCCGAGCCATTTGAATGCGCTGAAACACTCTCCGCCAACGCACACCATCTCAGTCCCCACTCGAGCAATCTACCCGGCACCTGGCGTCGTATCCCCACTGTCCCCCGCAAACTCTGGCTTCAAAGTCCACCGGCCGCGTCCACCCCGGTCCCGCTCCAAGCGAGCCACCGTCTTCAGCATCGCTTGGAACTCTGCCACGCGCTGCGGATTCGTGCAGTAATGGTTGAACTGGTCAACGATCACCTGTGTGAACACCGGCCCGCGGCGCGAGCGCAAGAAGTCCCGAATCAGCGGCATAAAGTCTTTGCCCCGCGGCATGCGACCCGGGCCCGACGCAGCGGAATCGTGCGAGGGCGATCGGGACGCGCTAGGGTTCAGATTAGAAAGCAGATGGGAGGAGGACGGGCCACGGGCTGCGGGGCGCGAGGAGCTCGCCCCGCCGAGGTCGGTGCGGCCTGCGACGCCGAACTGGCCAGTCCAGGTCGGCAGGCCGATGGGGACGCTGCGGGCGGCTTCTTCGGCCTTGCGCAACTCGGCGGCGGCTTCAGCGGCGACGCGGCGCGCTGCGGCTTCGACTAGTTTGGGGTCGGCGCGGACGGTGCGCTTGCCGTTGATGATGTGGTCGTGCTCCAGGGCGGCGTGGACGCCGGAGCGGGCGAAGATGCCGTGCATGATGCGGTCTTCGGCGGTTTTAACGTTGCCGTTCTCATCTCGGTCGTCATCGGCGGGAGTGAACTCTTCGACGTTGGCGACGCCCTGCACGGTGCGGATATCTTCACCGTCGGGCTTCGGGGTCTGCGACTGGGACTTGCGTCCCTGGCCACCCTTCTTGGAAGGTGGTGGTGTGGCCTTGTCTTCTTCCTGATAGGTGACGTCGGCGTTCTTGAAAAGCTTTGTGGTCTCCAGTTCCTTGTCGTTCTCGTCCGTCAGCGAGAACAAATCGTAGAGATCGCTGGCTTGGAAGCCCTCTCGCTGCTGAGGATCACGGGTGATCTTGTTGGTCAAGAACTGCTTGAAGATCTGGCGGTGGTAAATCTTCTCTTCAATAGTGCCCTTCATCATCAGGCGGAAGATGGTCACGTCGCGCTTTTGGCCGAGTCGCCATGCTCGCTCGCGGGCTTGCATGTCGGTCGAGGGATTCCAGTCGGGATCGTAGATGATGACGCGGTCCGCGCCAGTCAAGTTCACGCCAATACCACCAACGCGAGTGGTCAGCAGGAAAACATGGATATCAGGCTCCTTGTTGAACTCGTCCACCATGGTCTGGCGGTCCTTGATTGGAGTATTGCCGTCCATGCGCCGAAACTGGAATCCGCCCAATGTTCCAATGAATTTCTGGATGATGTCAAGCATCTGGCGAGTTTGGGCAAACAGAAGAGTCTTGTGCCCTGTATCCCTCCAGACCTCTAACAGGCCCTTCAAGACTTGCATCTTGCCCGAGCGTTCACTCTCGCCGTAATCGGGTTCCTGTGATCGCAATTCGCGATCCACCAGGTCCGGGTGGTTACAAATCTTCCGAAGAATGTCAATGCCAAACAGGGAATTCCTCCTTCCCCTCATGATGGACATCATATCATTGGACTCGAGGAACCGCTTGTAGATAGTTCGCTGTTCCTGAGTAAGCTTGCAGAAGATGACTTGCTCGGTTTTCTGAGGGAGGTCGGCGGTGACATCGGCCTTGTACCGCTGAAGAAGGTATGGACTAATAGCATCCTTCAAGGTCGCGGCGCATTGAGCGGCAGTTTGGACCTGCAGGTTGGTCGCCGATGCGTATCCGCCCTGGCGAATGGGTATTTCAAACTGGTTCTTGAATGTGACGAGAGTGCCCAGCCGCATCGGGAAAACAAAATCAAAGAGCGACCATAGATCAATCAGACTGTTCTGCATGGGAGTTCCAGACAAAATGATGCGGTGGGCAGTTCGAAGCTCCTTGCAACTGAAGGTGATTCCGGCATCGGGATTGCGAATCTTGTGGCCTTCATCCAGAACCGCACAGCCCCACTCGACATCGACAAGAGCATCCGCATAAGACTGCAGACCCGAATATGTCGTCACCAAAACATGCCCTTCCTCCTTGACGCGCCTGATGATTTTTTTGGCCGCCTTTTGGCCAGCGGACAGGTGTCGTGAGTGGGAGCTCCCCACCATCTCGGATGTGAGGGCATTCTCGCGGCTGCTCTCCTTTCCCACGTTCATCATACCACTACCGGAGGAGTGCAGAATGGAGACTCGGAACGGGGGCCACCAGCGGTGGAATTCGTTGACCCACTGTTTCATGAGGGTCGCAGGGCACACGACGATGGCAGGCTTAGTATACATGTTGCTGTGATGCAAAGATGCAAGATAGGCAATCGCCTGGATCGTCTTCCCAAGTCCCATCTCATCTCCGATGATGCCACCGACCGACTGCTGGTGCAGCTCCCAGAGCCACTGGACACCGGTTCGTTGGTAGGAGAACAGATATTTGGCGATATCGCCCGGGATGCGGAGGCCGTTCTGCAGATCCATGTCCGGCTCCGAGGGATGTGGCTTCAACCATTCATCGGCATCCTCCTCCTCGCCCTCCTCCTCCTTGATAGAGCTATCCTGGGCACGCTTGCGAGCAGCACTGCGTCGACGGATCCACTTCTGAAGCCGGTCCTGATAAATCTTTTCATTGCCATCATCCACACCGCTGAGATCCTCGAGTTCTGACTCGGCCTTCCCCCGCTTGCGCGGGCGAGTCGCAGACTCGGGCACGGTGTCCGGCATGAAGTCTTCATCCTCGGATGCTACGCTGCCCTCGGAGGCGACGTAGCTGGCCTCGGAGTCGACATCAGGCGAGCTGGGGGTGCGGGTCCGCGGGACCTTGGGGCTCTTTCTGGCGACAGGAGTGGTGTCCAGCTTCCTGCGCTTGCTGCTTCTTCCAGTGCTGTCACTAGTTTCATCGAAGTCGAGCTCGGGGCGGAGAAGGTTTCGGTGAGACGCAGTGGGATCAGACTGCGCCTGCTGGCGCTCCTCATCTTCTTTCTGCTGATCCTCAGCGTCGATGAGGGCATCTTGCAGAGTGGCAAGGGGACCATCTGGACCGGCCTGAGTCATGAGCTCAAAAGGTGTGATCTTTCCCGTTCGCAGGAGATAGTCGCGTCGGGACTCGTTCGGCAGCCGGCCGGGGCCATGGCTCCCCTCCGCATTTTCCTGGGCCTGGCGTCGGTCGTCAATCCGTTTCTGGATTTCCTTGATATCCTTGACCAGTCCCAGTCGGCGGGCGTCGAGGTTACGGAGTTCATTTTCGACCCGATGTCGGGTGGCGGTGCCGACATGCTGGGCCAGGCGGTTTTTCGCTTGTCGAATCTGCGAATCGACCTTTCTGAGACGGAAGTAAGCAGGCTGGCTAAGGAACACGGCAGAAAACAGATTTACTAACTCCTTGTCCACTAGAGCTTTCTCCAGTCTCTTCGTATCGTTTTCCTCGGCCTTTTCAGCGAGGAACTTATCGGCCTGTTAAAAACTAGTGAGCGACCGTGGAGCAGGATATGATGACGGAGACCAGTCCGGGTTACCTGACGAGTGATATCTCGTTCGAGATCATCCTGGTTGCGCACATCTGCATTCAACTCCTGCAGACGGCTCGCCTCCGCGGCAACACCTGAAGTTGGCGAAGCCATGATGCCAGTGGCGGAGCTTGGAAAAGGGCGAAAAAAGAAAAGAAAAAAAGAAGCAAGAGAATGGATGAGGTCAGTAGGTAGTTGCGATGAAATGGAGATCAAGTGGGAGCGAAAGCAAGCATGACGACTCCCCGAGTGTACGACACTCGAATGGCGAGTATTCATCCAATCTTTGAATTCGTTATCGCGATGAGGCAATCCATGGCAGTTTCCTGACCGCCTGGCGGAGCCGCCTGCATGACTGGTGAGTCATGCTGGCAGAAGGTGGATGCCTATTGGTGCCTCAAGCGCAAGGTGTCCGGCTACTGTAGGCAGCATTAAATTAGATACAGTATTGCTATAAACTGACTACTCGCATGGGGATTCCTGCGATCGAGGGTACCAGGTTAGGTAGGTGGAGTAAGGACTCAAACTCTTGACTTCAGACACCGTTGCCAATTACTCGTGGCTCTTCCCTGCTCGTATGACTGGCCCTAATTCCCTATGGAGTGCGCCCCAGATTGGGCCTCGACCGTCTGCCACTCAGAATCACCCACACCCTCCCCGGTACGCAGCAAACTCAGCTATCGTCCAGCCGCTCCAGGGAAGTATATGCACTTGCAACAAACAGGGAATCCTCCAGCACATCACAAATATTCTGTTTGACGTCCGCGCGATCCTCCAGGATTAGGCATTCACGGTGGCCCTGGCAGTTGGGTATGCAATGACGCGACGATCGTGGAGCAGCAACACGTCGCCGAGGAGACGACAATCCGCCGAGGCCGCTCGAAGTGGTGAGATCACCAATTTCCGCAGCAGACTGTGCAGGACGAGTTAGTTCGCTAGTTCTGTCTCGTAAGTTAAGTTCGTGTACTCCATAGACAGTGAGAGTGCACTGTGTATCCGGCCAGCCTCGCCGATACTATGACCCTATGATACTATACCAATTCCTCCTATCACCGGTCATCCCGAATTCGAAATTCTAAATCTGACCGGAAACCCCGATCGCGTAGAAAGAGCCATCGGTCTCACGACCGCAGTTATAGTTTGGTAGTACTGAGACTTCATCTCCACGACGATCTTCGCCCATCCTTCAGGGCAAAGTTTCACGCACCGCCATCTCCCTCCCTTCCATCCCCTTCCTTACCCTCTTCTTCCTCTCCGACGGCGACCAATCTAAGCCCTCGTGGATGCTGCATCTTCATCTTCGTATGCTTTGATACCCGCTTCGCCTCCCTTCAGCTTGAACCACATACCCCTGTCTTCGGACTGTATCGTGACGGCGTCGGTGGCATCATCATCGCCCTTCGACCGCCTCCCCCAGGAAAACGCCCTACCCGAACGTCGACCGGACCCCTCCACCACCAAAATCACCTTTCCCGATGATGCAGTGCCGCACACTTCCAAACTGACCTTTCATCTCTCCCTCCTGCTTGCCAGTCGTTCGAATTGTCGCAGGATCCGTCCATCCCCCTCCCCCCTCGTCCCCTCGTCTGTCCTGCGGTCGCGCTTCTCGCGTGTTGTCCCCCCACTGGTAGCCCACGCCCCCCTCCCCCGATCGCAGTGAATGCACCGGTGAGCGACGAAGCTCAATTCTCGCCTCTCTTTCCCTTTTTATTTACTGGGCATTTCTCCCCTTCCCCTCCCGATGGACTCCTCCGGGTGGCAGCCGTATCAGGATCCCCTGATGGGGCGCCCGGCGCAGTTCAATAGTGGGTTGGCGTCTCATCCCCAGCAGCTGGGCACCAAATACGGTCAGCCGCCAGCCCAGACACAGCCGCCCGTCGGATACACCTACGAGACCTTTCAAACTCCCGGCACCTCCTCCAAGACTCCCTCCGCCAACTCCAACTCCAAGCCCATCTCCATGGGGTCGTCTCCCACCGCCCCGCCACGTAGTCGGGATTATGTCACTGATGCGGATACCACCATGGAGGATGCGGATCCATACAACCGGTCCAAGTATCCATCAAGGCCGAATCAACACACTCGCGCGTCGTCTCAATTCCTCGCCCAGGCCGAGGAGTCGTCAGCTGCTCGCAGATATTCTCCGATGAACGTGCTGTCGCCGCCGATGTCATACCCTGCCAGCCCCGGGAAATCTCAAGGCTCATACGGCTTCCCTCCCACAACCCCAGGACAGAGCCGACGCTCGCCTGCCAGAGCGGCCGACTACTCGTCTCCCCCTCAGGGATATCAATCACCGCCCGGTAAGTGATCCGATTGCCATTGCCATTGCGATTCCGATCGTGCCATCAGACCCCATCTGGACTAACGCCGTGCTCGCCCCAGCCTCCAACCGCCCCCCTCGACTTCCCCCTCTTCAAGCAGCCGACCTCAGCCCGGACCAGTATTACCCCCCCTCGGCCTCCTCCCATATGAGTGCTCCGTTCGGTCCAGGTGCGCGGTCGCCGCGATCGGGCTCCTTGCCGTCGCAAGTCCCCGGCCGCGGCCCCGTCCCCAAGTTCCAGAAGATCAAGTCCGTTCAGGAGTTGCAGCCGCGGGTTCACACGCAGCCCGCATATCGCCGTGCCAATCCCGAGGGTGGCTTCATCAGTGTAAGGGTCCTCCGGCGCTCCTCCCTTAACTTGATGCTAAGCGCTCGTCTTCCACAGCCCCTCCAAGCGTTGACGACCCACCTCCCGGCGACATATCGTATCTGCAACCCGAACTTCAACTACGAGTCCTCAAGGAACCCACGACGCGTGTTGACAAAGCCGAGTAAGGGCGTGAAGAATGACGGTTATGATAACGAGGATAGCGATTATATTCTCTACGTCAATGACATCTTGGGTAGCGAAGAGGCTGGTCACAAGTATGCTCCGCGGATATCGCTTCGTATTGTCGGCTGTTCAAATCTAACTTTCATCTTGCAGGAACCGGTATCTCATTCTCGATGTGTTGGGCCAGGGTACCTTTGGACAGGTGGTGAAGTGCCAAAACCTGAAGACGCAGGAAGTCGTGGCTGTCAAGGTCATCAAGAACAAGACGGCGTATTTCAATCAGAGTATGATGGAAGTGTCTGTATTGGACTTGGTAAGCTTTATCTATGAACTGTCGTCATATGGATCGCCTGCTCACCCGTTCATTTCCCTTAGCTTAACAGCAAGTACGATAAGAATGATGACCACCACCTTCTCCGCCTGAAGGATACCTTCATTCACCGCCAGCATCTCTGTCTGGCCTTTGAGCTTCTCAGTGTCAACCTTTACGAGCTGATCAAGCAAAACCAATTCCGGGGCTTGAGCACCACGCTTGTCCGTGTCTTTGCACAGCAGCTTTTGAACGCATTGAGTCTTTTGAACAAGGCTCATTTGATCCACTGCGATTTGAAACCTGAGAATATCCTTTTGAAGAAGTCAGTGGACCCAGACACCTTCGACCCTTTCGGAACGCCCCGTACTAACCCTGAGTCTCTCCACAGTCTTGAGAGCCCCATTATCAAGGTCATCGATTTCGGCTCGGCGTGTGATGAACGCCAAACCGTTTATACCTACATTCAATCGCGTTTCTATCGCTCGCCAGAAGTGTTGCTCGGACTGCCGTATGTTATCAAATTCATCATCTCTGGCCTTCATTGAGAGTTAAACTGACCTATTTTCAGATACTCATCCGCGATCGACATGTGGTCTCTCGGATGCATTGTCGTCGAGCTCTTCCTCGGTCTGCCTCTATTCCCCGGCTCCTCTGAGTACAATCAGGTCTGCCGTATCGTCGAAATGTTGGGGCTTCCCCCTACATGGATGTTGGAGATGGGCAAGCAATCGGGCGACTTCTTTGAGAAGACTCAGGACGAGTACGGTCGGAAGACGTATCGTCTCAAAAGTCTGGAGCAGTATTCGCGCGAGCACAACACTAAGGAGCAGCCCAGCAAGAAGTATTTCTCGGCGTCCACCTTGGAGGAAATTATTCGAAGCTACCCCATGCCGAGGAAGAACATGAAGCAAGCCGAGATCGAGCGAGGTAAGACCAATTTGGAGATCCACCGTATCAAGCGTGTCATCTAATCGCTTGTAATCTGCAGAACTCAACAACCGCGTCGCATTTATCGACTTTGTACGTGGTCTGCTGACTATCAATCCGCTCGAGCGGTGGTCGCCTCAGCAAGCCAAGTTGCACCCGTTCATTACCCAGCAGAAGTTCACCGGCCCATTCGTGCCACCCATGAACCTGAAGTACTCGACCATCAACAAGGCCGTGGCTCCTGGCGTTCAGCAGCAACAGCAGGCTGAGGCTGCTAGCAAGCAGAGAGCGGCTCAAGCGGCCCATGCGCAGTCGGCATATAACATGCAGCTGAACCAGTACCACACGCCCCCAGCCCACGCCACCCAAGCTGCGCCGATATACAATGGCATGTACCAGCAGGGTGCTCCGCCTCCGTATCCGACACAACCACCGGGCTACAGTCATCAAATGGGTCTTATTCCAGGCCAGGTGCCTCAGCAACAACAACAACAACAACAACCACAGTATGCACCTTCGCAGAGCCTCTATGCCCAGGCAACGACACGGGCTGGACGGCAACGTGCGTCGACGATGGACCCTCAAGGAGGCGGCATTCCACCCACGATCCAGCGCGTGGCCAGCCACCTGGATCCCAACGCACCGATTCGTCTGCAGCCCAGCCCGGCGTACTACCCCCCTCCGCCCGACGGCTACGTGGATCCCAACAACGCCAACCAACGGCGTCGTGGCAGCCGTACCGGTGGACAAGGAAACCAACGCAACCGGGACTTTATCCGCACTCTTGAGGATGGTGTCCTTGGTGAAGGATACATGGGCCAGAACCAGTGGCACTAGACAAGACACAAAAGAGCATCTGGGGGCACTCGCTGCAGACGGGTGTCTCTACGTGCTTGTTATTCTGGTTTTCAAATCATGGCCTCGCTGCAGTCGAGCATCATCAACGCCTGGCGCATGTGTCGTCTTTGAAAAATGGTTTCATCGTTGGCTTGCGCTGCCTGATTGATATATGGAACTTTGCTCTGCCTGCCTGCTTCCCCTCCTCTCTACCCCACTGCGCTTCTGCCTACCTGCCAACCTGCTTAGCTGAACCTCTATCTCTTAGCATGAGTCACATCAGGCATGACTTGTCAGGTAGCTGGGGCCTGCCCGGGCCGTCGGGGTGTCGGGCCTGGGTTGAAGTTGACTGTCTTAACACTGGCTATTGTGGTTGAGAGAGCAACCTCCCGGTGCATGCTCTTCGTAGCTTCGTGTCGCAAAAATTCCCACGGTCGCTCACAGATGAGTGTGCACCGACAGTTTTTGTAGGTGGCTGATCCTTGCCCAAGGCATCATGTTGTTGTATCGCCACCTCTCTACGTCTCTGTTCTTCTAGCTACGTTGTGTGCTTTTTTACCCTTGCCCGTTTTGCAAATGTTTGTTTCTTACCCTGAGCGGTTGCTGGTATCAACGGCTGCTGTGTTACGAGTGTCCTTTTCCCCGCTTCCCCATTGTCTCTTCTTTTCATTCGGCATAGCCTGGAGTATGAAAGAACGATATCATCCCCCGTTGCTTGTCTTAGTAAATCTTGATTTTTCTTTTCGGCTTTGCTTTGAGGGATGCTGTTGCCATCCATTTACTTGTTTTGACTGTTGTTGATGGTACGTTGGATACATTGGCTGTTTTTGGCTCCTAGGGTGCCACCACCCCGTGGGATTGGCCTCACCCCGAAGCGGAGGAAGTGCGGCGAGTGAGTCATTCTGTGACACTAGTAGATAGTTATGAATTCCATGAGTCAAAGATGAGTCTATCGCTGAGCGTACTGAGCCAGTAAATCAGCAAGTCGGTATATCAGTCAATTAATAAATCAGTTGATCAGTAAATCAGTAAACGAAAGTATCTACAAAGCAAGTCAAAGAGATGTGGCGCTAAGCCCGATCGGGTTTAGTCAGCCCCTCGCTTAAATTTCGTGTGTGGCTCTCGCCCGCCATTCAACTCCAACTTTTGAGAAGGACAACCTGCCTTGCAGTACCGGATTCAACTCATCCGCAACCATGTCTCGATTCTTCTACCGCGGTGGTAGCGACAGCGAGTCCAGCTCTTCGGACGAGGAGGAGGATGTCTACGAGCGTTCCGAGGCGGAGGAGGAGAGCGACGAGGAGTCCACCGAGTCCGAGTCCGGTTCTGAGGCCTCCGATGCCTCCGACGATGAGGGCAAGGCTGCCGGTGGTGCCGCCGCTTTCTTGAAGGATGAGTCCGAAAGCGAGGAGGAAGAGGAGGAAGAAAAAGTAACGCTTGTGAAAAGTGCGAAGGACAAGCGGCTCGAGGGTCTTGAGAACACCATCAAGTTGATTGAGAATGCTGAGAAGATCAACGACTGGGCTGTCATTTCGACTGGTGAGTTGTGCCTTTTTCTGCGCCACCCGACGGATTTTCACGAAACTATACGGTTGAACGGTCGCGTGAGATATACGGAAGCGATGATGGGGTGGGAGAAAAAAATATGGAAGAAAGAATCGGAGCTGACCACGCGATACCGCAGAGTTCGACAACCTGAACCGCCAGATCCTCAAGATCACCCAGTCCGGGACCACCCCCAAGGTCTACGTCAAGGCCGTCGCCGATCTCGAGGACTTCGTCAATGAGTCCGTCAGCAAGCAGAAGGCTTCGAACAAGAAGATGAATGCCAGCAACCAGAAGGGATTCAATGCCGTCAAGCAGCGTATCAAGAAGAACAACAAAGACTATGCCGCCCAGATCGAGAAGTACCGCGCCAACAAGGATAGCTTCATGGAGAGTGACGAGGAGGTTGAGAAGCCCGCCCAAGCTCCCGTATCCAAGCCCACCAAGGTCGAGAAGATCGAGACCCTCGCTGCTGCCGTTGCTGGTGATGATGACGACTTCACCACCGTCGGCCGTGGTGGCAAGACCCTGCAGTACACCCCTGAGAGCATCCTCAAGCACCTCCGCGTTATTGTCGAGTCCCGAGGAAAGAAGAACACCGACCGCCCCGACCAGATCAAAACTATGGAGAAGCTGCTGGCGGTTGCCACCTCTCCTTACCAGCGTATCCGTGTTTACCTGACCCTCATCTCCACCCGCTTCGACCTTACCTCCTCCTCCGCCAACTACATGAGTCCCGAGCAATGGAAGGCCGCCGACAAGGAGTTCGGCTCTATGCTTGCCGTCCTGGAGGAGCACCGCAACCTTATCGTCAGCGAGGGTGCTGATGAGTGGGAGGACGACGAGAAGCAGCCGCAGATTGCCGAGGGCGAGACTTTCTACATCCCCGGCAGCATTGTCTCATATATCGAGCGTCTGGATGACGAGCTCACTCGCTCCCTGCAGCAAATCGACCCTCACACTGCCGAGTACATTGAGCGTCTGAGCGATGAGCAGCAGCTGTATAACAACATGGTTCGCGCTCAGCTCTACGTCGAGAGCCTGAACGCTGGCGAGAAGAACGACTCCCGGCAAGACAGCGTGAACCGGGTGATTATCCGCCGCCTAGAGCACGTCTACTTCAAGCCCTCGCAGGTGGTTTCGATTCTCGAGGATTCCACGTGGAAGGCTCTCCCCGAGCAGCTCGACTCCTCTATTACTTCCCGCAAGACCGCTGGCGACGTCAGCAATCTCGTCCAAACCCTCTCCCATTATCTGTTCCAGAACAGTGACGGCATCATCCGTGCTCGCTCAATGCTGTGCCAGATCTATTTCCTTGCACTGCACGACCAGTACTACCGCTCTCGTGACCTGATGCTCATGTCGCACTTGTCCGAGAACATCTCCAACTTCGACGTCAGCACCCAGATCCTGTTCAACCGCACCCTTGTCCAGATCGGCCTCTGCGCTTTCCGCGCCGGTCTCATCTACGAGGCCCAGACTACCCTCGGTGACATCTGCGGTTCCGGCCGGCAAAAGGAGCTGCTGGCCCAGGGTATTATCCTCCAGCGGTACTCGACCGTCTCCCCCGAGCAGGAGCGTCTCGAGCGCCAGCGCCAGCTGCCCTTCCACATGCACATCAACCTTGAACTGCTCGAGTGCATCTACCTCACCTCCAGCATGTTCCTCGAGGTGCCTCTCATGGCTCAGACCTCGTCCGCCCCCGAGGTGCGCCGCCGCATGATCTCTAAGACCTTCCGGCGCATGCTCGACTACAATGAGCGCCAAGTGTTCACCGGCCCGCCCGAGAACACTCGTGACGGCGTCATCATGTCGGCCAAGTTCCTCGCCGGCGGCGACTGGAAGAAGGCCGCGTCAATGCTGTCCTCCATCAAGATCTGGGACCTGATGCCGCAGCCGGAGAAGATCAAGGAGATGCTGTCCGCGCAGACCCAAGAAGAGGGTCTGCGCACGTACCTGTTCACGTACGCGCCTTTCTACGACAGCCTCTCCGTCTCCTCGCTGGCCGAGATGTTCGAGCTGCCCGTCAAGAAGATCACCGCCATCATCAGCCGTATGATCTCTCACGAGGAGCTCGCTGCCGCCCTCGACCAGGTCAACGACGCCATCGTCTTCCGCAAGGGCGTCGAGCTGTCCCGCCTGCAGTCCCAGATCGTTACCCTCGCCGACAAGTCCATGGGCCTGCTCGAGTCCAACGAAAAGACCCTCGAGCAACGCACCCAGGGCATGGCCAACGCCTTCCAGCGCGAGCAGGGACCCGGTGCCCGTGGCCGTGGTGGTGCCCGCGGCGGCGGTCATGGCCGTGGTGGTGCCCGTTTCCCCGGTGGCCAGCAGGGCCGGAGACCGGGTGGCCAGCAGTTTGGCGGCGGTGCATTGGGTGGTGCAATCAAGGCTTAAATGGGTTTTGTTTCCTTTGATGTAATGGCATGCCTCGTTTCTTCAACTTTTTTCAACACTTTTTTTCTTTTCTTATCTGTCATGGTCTCCTTTGTGTTCGCACCCCCTTTCTCATGCCGTTTCTGATCGCGAGTGAAATCCGCTCGTGGCTGTCCCATGATCAAAATGAATGAATATAAATGGTTAGAAAGTGATGATCGATATTGTTGCTCTTTGTAGCGGTGTAATGTAATTGATATCTACGCAAGGTAGGTTATACTATTATCATACGCTACCTGACCAAGGGATTGATAAAAGATTCTTCCTGGCTTAGGTATGAACCACGTAAAATCTTGACCTAGCAAAGTGCGGGCTACCAAGACAGCTGCCTATCATCTTTTAAACATTTCGGCCTGTCACCTAGTGAACGGGATCAAAAAAAATGGCTTGGTCCTGGTTGGTGTTCGTCGACAACCTCTCAACGCTTCATGGGCGAGAAAAGGCCACTTCAAACAGAGCAACACACTCCGTCGTGAACGGAATAACTAGCCAGCTCGATTGCACGATACCCACGGCGACACCCGGCATAAAGCAGACCAGGGGAGCTTTGCGGTACTACAGAGCATTAATAGGTAATACTACCTAATAGGTATCAATCATCATAATCTATAGAAAGCCACGAAATGTGCGCAGCCACAATGATAAATGTTTATCGCAATTATTGGTTCAAACAACTCAAGGAAATATATTTTTCCAATCCATCTATACATGATACACAATATTGAAGCCAAAATTTTGCCTGAGAAGGTATCCCAAGACACGGCCCTAGTACTAGTACCCAGCATCCGTCGGGCACAGGTGCTTCGGGCTCATGAAGCCATCCATGTTGGCAGCATGAATGAAGTCCTTGGTCTTCTGCACATCACCTCCGCAAATAGCACCACACCAAACAGGGCGGCTATCATGTCCATACGGCTGTAGGATATACTCCTTGCCCGAGTAATCCGAGTTGACGGCGGCGCCGACATCGCACACAGGGATAGTAAAGATACCTTCCCAAGCAGCGCCTTTCGCACCCGGGTTCCCCCAACCACTCACATAGGCCTCCTCGGCGCGGGACGCCGCCTTGTCGTTGCTGTAGTCGTAGCCCGCGACATTATACGCGTCGAGAGAGGAGTTGATGATGTCCGCGACAGTCACGCTGCCGTACTCGTTCGCGCCCAGCTTCTCCGCGCCTGGCGGCGACGCAACCCACCCCCACTGGTGCGAGGTGGTAGAGATCACGTCGTTCTCCTGCCAGTAGTACAGGTACCAGGCCTTGCCGTCGCGGCAGACGACGGCCTCGGAGGGCCCAGAGCCGATGCCCTGGTTATCACCGCAGGCGCCGCCACCCATGACGAAGATCTTCTGCGTACGGTAGAGCTGGTTGATGGACGTGCCGATGAGCATGCTGGTCATGGCATCGGTGACGGCATTCTTGTCCACGCCCGCGTATGCGAGGAATGCGCCGCCACTGAGATAGCTGCGGATGTCGTTATTGCCGTAGCTCTGGCCGGCCATCAGCTGGTTGTTGGCTGTGGTGAAGGACTTGAGGGAGTCGACGACGATGGTGCCCAGAATGCCGCCCAGATCGGCAGATTTCTGGAAGGTATCGTCTTGGCTAGATGGAAGATCAGTATGCGCAGGCTTGATAGTGGGAGGGAGGTGGGTAAAGATGGGATGGGAAGAGAAACATACTGTACATCCACGACGGGACCAGCAGCACCATTTGCGCCGCCAATGAGGGCTGCGGCCGCGCCACCAACAGCTCCTGTCAAGGGATACCCCAGACCGGCGAAGGTAGCGCCAATGCCAACGACAGTCGCGACGGCGTTGAGCACCTCCTTGAGCACCGTCGCGCTCTTATCGTCCTTGTCCTTGTAGAAGGTCGTAGCCCACGAGTCCTTCGAGAGCGCCGCGCCAAGGGCAGCAGTCGTAAACGCCTGGCCGACACCCGTGAAATACGTATGCAGCCGGTTCACCGACTCAAGTACATAGTACGTTGTACGGATATCGTCGCCGCGGTCATTCAGGACGCGGTTATCACATAGGTCCAGATCGCAGTCCGAGTTGGAACCATCATCCCGACACGTCCAGTCCGGGTTCCCCAAAGCCCACTGGCCGAAGGCGCCGGCGAACCCGGCCGAGTTGCTGCTGATCAGGTTCTGGTTGGAGTTCCACCAGTTGTTCAGCCAGTCTCCGGTTTTGTAGGTGTCGTAGTCGCTGGTGTCTTCTGGTTGTAGTAATTGCCCACAGTGCCGCAGCGCTTGTGCAGGCCATGGCCGGAAGCAGAGGCGCTCGTCAAGTCGTGCGAGCTGGCTGGGGCTCCCTGCACGGCAGGCAGGAGGACCAGCACCGACATGGCAGCGGTGGCAAGCATCTTGATGCTTGGGCGGGATGTATAAAAGAGTGGTTGAGCGGGACGTAGAACCTCCCCGCGGAAGATATTCCGCAGATTGCGAGGATGATGTAGAGGATGAGATCCTGTCAAACAGGGCAGACGTAGTCCTATTTAACCTACTCAGAAGAACAGTCTCACGCGGAATCTCGCGAGCTCTTCCTCCAAAGAAGATCATACTGTAACAGGAAATTGCAATCATGTCAGCGTGGGCGTGGGGCACGAAGAATAAGCCCCAGTCATCAGGTTCAACCCACGCAGCACGGTGAACCCGTATATATCGTGGAGAGAATAGCATAATGAGAACACTGACGAGCCCAGCTGAGGGCTAAACCGGTCTTGATCGCCAGGGTCTAGGTGTGTTTTGGGCTTAGCGGTACCGCTAATCAACCGGCCAGAGCACTTGGGGGCCATTGATTGTGGGGGCGGCTGCATCCTCGGGCGTGTCTGAGAGGCTGCAGATGGGCAAGCAGGCTTGGCGGGTGAATTCTGGGGCTGGAAATCCCCTTGGTCAACTTCTGCTTTGGGAAACTGGTCGACGGTGCTGATGGATAACGGGCTTTGGTGGTTCTAAAAAGGCAGAACAGTCCGAAGGGGGCTTGTCACACCAGTGAGGATGATCATTTGGAGTAGGAGGGGTTCATAGTATTGCATTAGTGTTCCGTACTTCGTATGCAGGAGAGGTGAATGTCGAGCCGGGCGTCCTGGTTTCTCACAAGCCTCTTCAAATTAGGGCAACTTGCCTACGGCCGTAAGAGACGTGGCTATCCTGCTCACCGAGCTAACCAAGGACCCCGAGAGCACTAAAAGAGGGTCTAGGGGCGTGACGTATACGTAAAGTATAGCTGTAAGAGGAGAGATCAAACATTAGAGAAAAGAAGGGCTATTATAACAGTGTTGTATGATAGTTGAGAGCCATGTACTGGGAGTCCCATCAAAAGTGTCATGTCGGTCATCACGTCGTCCAGCGAAGCAAGTCAGTCAAGGAGAAGCCTCCATGTCTGACAAAAACGCCGCTGCAAGCCACAATTTTGGTTCCAGAACAACCTAAAGCGCCCCAGGTCCCAAAATAAGCACAAAAGGGACAAATAAGAAAGCGTAGCGTAGCGAAGACGGAGACTCTGTCTCAGACGTCCTCGATCACAACGACCCGCTCGACAATCCAGTCGATCAGAGCCTGTCCCTCTAATTTCCACCGTCCCTCCGCCCACACATCGATCAGCCAATAGCCCCACGGCTTCCCCGGCGTCAGATGCAGATCCCACAAGGTATTCGATGCTCGACGGCCGGTACCGTGGCCATCAGCTCCGGCGGATAGATCATAGTTCACATTTTGGAGTTCAAATGCCGATACAGAACTACTGGGGGCCGTGGCGCCTTGCCGAAGGCGCCATTCACGTTCGGCCTTTTCGCCCGCGCGACGGGCAACCGCTTCTTCGTCTTCGGCCTGATAGAGATCGCATTTACTGCACTCGACACATCGGGAGCCGGGGTTGATACGGAAATGCTCGCAAAAGTGCTTGTAGCCTTCCGGCTCTTCAAATTCGTCGTCCTCGGATCCGGTCCCGGCGTCATCCTCGAATGCATTGTCGTCGTCATTTGGCCCGTCATAAGCATCGAGATCCCGGGGGCGAGGCCGATCGAACCCGTGCCGTGCTCGGGCGGGTCGGATACGTGGGCCCAGTGCCTTGCGGCAGAGGTAGCACATCGAGTACCCGCAGACGCAAGTTAGCTTGTTGCAGCCCGAGGACTTAACAAACGAGAGACAGCAACGCGGACACGTCCGTTTGACAGCCGCGGTGCGTGCGGCCTCGACAGTGGCTCGTAGATCCAAAAGGAGCGGCTCGTGGCAGACGTGCGGATCATGCCAGGACTTCTGGCATGTTGTGCAGCTCACGCGCCGGCAGGATGGATTGGCACAGGTAAATCTTTTAGGGCGTATTTTCAGGCAAAGGTGTCTAATCGCGTTTTGGAAGACAGCACTGACAGAGGATGGATCCACGAGAAGGAAGATTAGGAAAGGAATCACAAGTAATGGCACAAGGTCAAGGATAAGGAGAGTCATGAGGACTGAGGGGATGAGGCCTCCGTCGCGGCGGACTCGCCAGCAAATACCACGAGAGGAGGGATGATAAACGGGGTCAGCTTCAGCGTAGGAGCAGAAAGGACACCTGATGAGTTTCAGTTGCGACTTGAGCAGGGTTTCCGACGCCAGTCGATCCTCGAATTTGCGATACGTCTCAAAGCCAGCCGTGTCCAGGAGAACGGCCTGTTCAACGATCTGCGGATGGAGACAACCATCGCAGGCTCCCACAGACAGCGGGGCGAGACACTTCAACGTTGAGTGTCCCAAGTCCACAGACTTGCCCCAACCCTGGCCAAACAATGCCTCGTGAATAGTCCGCTGAATGCAATTGTAGCAGATTATATGCGCATTCGCCGAGCATGTAGCGATCTGCTCAAAGGTGACGTCGGCAAAGCAGCACTCGCATTCATACAGCGCGTGAGCAGCCTTCGCTTCCTTCTCGTTCAGCTCCAAGGCAAGTCGGAAATCGCCGGCCTCCTGGTTCTCGCGCCGTTGGTCCAGCAGCGGCATCAGAAGAATCGCATGTAGCTCGGCATCCAGTTCCACAGACCCTGTCTCCTTCAGCCGAGGCAGAAGCACGCCATCCATACGACGTTGCCAGGTCACAAGCGGGTGATCGTCTCGATCCTTCTTGCGGCGGAACGGCAAGATATTATTGAACGTCGCCCGCCAAGTGCGGCGCGAGAGATCCCGCAGCGTCGGGCGTGCGCGCCAGTAGCTAAAATTCGCCTCGGCTAGCACAGCGTCGATGGTACTTTTGCTCAGGCTGCCGAACTCCTTCGCCAAAATCGCTTGCACCGCCGCCTTGTACTCCTCGGACCGGAAGCGTTCCTCAGGCGGCACCAGATCCTCGTTCCCGGGGCCACGCGCGCCAGCACGGTCATCGGTTTCCTGGCCATCTCGTTCGCCTTGAGCATCGGGGATATTCCACCGGCCCTCCACCCACTTCTCCTTGTGTCGCAGCAGTTGCTCGACGCAGACCTGTAGCCGGCTCTCGCCATCAAAGCGTATCAGCAGCTCGCGGAAGACCTCGACCCGCACGTCCGGAAAGGTCCGGGCGAGCGTCTCCAGCGCCGCATTCAACTCGTCTTGCTCGCGCTTCTGCTCCTCCGCCCCGTGGAGGGGCACCTGCAGCGAGCGGGAGCGCGACGTGCTGCCAAACGGGTTGTTGCGCAGGGCCTCGCTCAGCGTGATCGAGTGGCTGTTGTTCGGGGATGATGAGGCGGCAGAGCTTGAACTGGCTAGGCCGGTCGATTTCCAGACATTACGGCTGGACGAGGAGCTCGTCGAGGAGGCTGAAGCTGAGCCGCGGCGTCGGCGGGATTGCGGCGCGGGCGTGCCGTCAACGGGGAGTGGGGGAGAAGCGGAGGATCTGGAGAAGCTGGGGACAGGCAGCGAGAGCACCATTGTGGGAGTGCGGTGGGCACTGCTACATCGTCGGTCGGCGGGAGAGACGAGAGGGCGGACTCTGGGGGGCCTTTTAGGGGAGGCGCCGGGGGGATGTTTGGTGCCTGGTAAGGGTGGAATGAAGAATGAAGGATCGCGAGGCCTTGCGGTTTACATAAGACTGGGGGTTTCGGGGTTCGGCATTGTTGCCTGCTGCGATGGCGGTTGGGGGTTGGGCCTCGTTATCAAGCGCGGTCAACCGTTGAGGTCTCGATCGCATTCTGTGCGACGCTGGGGCATGCTAATAATATCCCATGGAATTTAATTCCTGCTAGTTCTGTATGGATGGAGCTTGCGTAAGCCAGTCGAATCATTCGTTCGTGCTCCCTTGCGCCCCCGGCATCGGCGGAAATGTCTCCCGCGATGGGATCTCGCCGCAGTGCAGCTGCAGAATGCGAGGGTAATCAGGCGAGACTATGAATTCCCTGCTATGTGGATATTCGAGATTCTCCGACTATCTTGGTAGAGTTGCAGTAGTTACGACCAGAAAAAAAAAACAATGCAAATCCAGAAAAGTAAAATAGAAAAATAAAAATAAAAATAAAAATAAAAGGAAAAGGGTTATAGAGAATAAGATGTCATTCAATGAAAGGATACTACAAAAACACAGAAATAACGTAAAAGAGTTATGTATATACAATCAAGAAGCCACACTCTGACTCGAGAATCCCAGCTCGCACGCCATGGTATATCGCTTCAGCCGAAGATTCCATTTTTTTACAGCTTAGCTTTCGCGCCCTCAAGCAGCTCAGCACCCGCGCCAGTAATGGCAGGCTTGCCAGTCTCAACGACGGTGGTCTGGAAGAGGACGGTGTTGCCCTCCTTCCACATCTCAGTCTTGAGAGTCTGGCCGGGAAGCACGACGCCGGCAAAGCGGACCTTGAGGTTCTTGAAGGCACCGTACTTGGCGAAGACATGCTTGCCGGAGACACCGAGCGAGCACAGACCGTGCAGGATGGGAGTCTTGAAGCCGCCGACCTTGCTGAATTCGGGGTCGATGTGCAACGGGTTGCGGTCGCCGTTCAGGCGGTACAGCGCAGCCTGGTCCTCGGAGGTCTTCTCCTCGATAACGGCATCGGGGGCGCGCTTGGGGGGCTTGTAGGCCGCAGTAGCAGCCTTTGGCCGGGCAGCCGTGGGCTTGGGAGAGCCGCCAAAGCCGCCGCTGCCGCGGATGAAGATGGTGGACTCGTTGTAGAACAGATCTTCGCCAGTCTTAGCATCCTTGGTGGTGTAGCCTGCCACGACCACGGCGGCGTTGCCCTTGTCGACAACGTCGATGAGCTTGGGGTAGGTGAGGGTGTTGGCGGAGGTGGGGATGGGGAACTTGCGGACCTCCATGTACTGCTCACCGTGGAGCAGCATCATGGGCGAGAAGTCCTTGACAATGTCGTCCAGGTTCCAGGGGTTGGCAGTGTTGAACCAAGGGATCACACCATACGAGGGGAGAGCCTGGAAGTTCTCGTGGTTCTCGTACACCAAAGGCAGGTCAGTGCGCTTGGCACCCACGCTGAGGTTGTAGAGAATAACGTCGCGGTCGACATAGTCGAAGGGAGTGCCCTCGGCAGTGAGAGACTTGGCTTTCTCGATATTAGCGAGGAACTCATTCTCGCCGCTGCCGCCAGCACGGTTGGACATGTTGGCCATAATGCGCTCAAGACCAGCCTGGCCATCCTCCGGGTGGTCGGCACGACCGTCATCAAAGTCCGTGATCACTTTCCACTTGGCAACAACCGCCTCGGGGGTCAGCTTGACGTCCACGGGGAAGCCGTGGCCGCCAGAGCGCTGCCAGCGGGTGCGGGCGAACCAACCGCTACCGCACTCGAAGAGACCCTTGGTGGAGGGCTCGGGGGCGGCGTCAGAGCACAGCAGGGCCACGAGGGGAGCGACATAGTCGGGCTTGAAGGCCTGAACCATCTCCTCAGGCATGATGGTGCGGGTCATGTTGGTGCCCGCGTTGGGGGCAATGGTGTTGACCTTGATGTTGTACTTGGCACCCTCCATGGCGAGAGTGCGGGAGAAACCAAGGATACCCAACTTAGCGGCGGCGTAGTTGGCCTGGCCGAAGTTACCGTAGATACCGCTGGTGGAAGTAGTGTTGACCACACGACCGTACTTTTGCTTGAGGAAGTAGGGCCACGCAGCCTTCGTGACCTTGTAGGTACCGCGCAGGTGGACGTTGACGACAGAGTTCCACAAATTGTCATCCATGTTGGTGAAAGCCTTGTCGCGCAGGATACCGGCGTTGTTAACCAGGATATCGATGCGGCCAAAGGCGTCGATAGCAGACTTGACGACAGCATCGCCGTCCTCGCAGGAGGCCTTGTTGCCGACGGCCTCGCCACCCATCTTCTTGATCTCCTGAACCACAGGCTCGGGGTCCATCAAGTCGTTCACGACAACCTTGGCGCCGTACTTGGCGAACAGCAAGCAGTAAGCGCGGCCGAGGCCAGCACCACCGCCAGTGATGAGGGCAACGCGGCCCGTGAAGTCAGGCGCCTGGGCTTTAGGGGCGCTTGGCAGCTTGAGACCATCCTCGAGCAGACCCATAAAGTCAGCGGCTCCGTTGGGATAGTCCGGCTTAGAGAAGTCGTTGACATCGTTCCACTTGGCGGCAATGGCGCCGGGTGTCAGAGAGTCGTCGGTCTTCAGGAGAGCACCCTTGGCACGCTCCCAGCGGAGCTTAGAGATGTGGCCACCGCCCACCTCGTAGATGCCACCGGACTCAGTGGTGTTGGAAGAGTGCACCAGAGTAGCGACGAGGGGAACCACCCAATCGGGCTTAAGGTTCTCCAGGACATCGGGAGGCATCACAGTGGCGGTCATGCGGCTAGCAGCGATGGGCGCAATGACGTTGGCAAGAATGTTATACTTAGCACCCTCCTTGGCCAGGGTCTCAGTGAAACCGACCTGGCCAAGCTTGGCGGCCGAGTAGTTGGCCTGGCCGAAGCTGCCAAAGAGACCGGCGGCGGAGGCAGTGTTGATAACGCGGCCGTACTTTTGCTTGCGGAAGTGAGGCCATGCGGCGCGGGCGCACTATGAAATGCAGGGTTCATGTTAGTACTACGTATCTAGCATGCCCGAGGTTGCGGGGGTGGAGGTCCAGTCGTACCTTGTAGGCACCGTATGTGTGCACACGGTTAATAAGATCCCAGTCCGAATCCTTCATATTCTTGAAGCTGACATCCCTGAGGATGCCGGCATTGTTGAGCAGCACATCGACGCGGCCGAAGTTCTTGATGGCAGTGTCAATGATCGCCTCACCGTCCTCGACGCTGTCGTAGTTGGCGACAGCCTTGCCACCGGCGGCTCGGATCTCCTCCACCACGACGTCTGCAGCCTAGGGGGAAATGTCAGTGGATGATTTCCAACTCGTCGGAAGATGCCCCTACCTTTGATGACTTGCCCTCACCCGAGTGCGAGCCACCGAGGTCGTTTACGACGACGTTGGCGCCCCTTGAGGCGAAAAAGAGGGCATATGCCTTCCCCAGACCACCGCCGGCGCCGGTGACGACGACCGTCTGGTTATCGAAGCGTAGGTCGGACATTCCGATATGTGTGTAGAGAGAGGAGTCCGACTAGTTCAGTCTCTGGGGTAGAACTAGAAGTTGGGGAAGGGAGAAAAGATGGAGAGGGAGGGGAGTTTAGTTTAAGACAAGCTCGGTCGGACGAAGCTGGGGGACCTCGGCACGTTTCGCCTTCGGATGCTGCGGTAAGAAATGCGGAGTGTATTGTTACGAGGCAGATGCGGTCGGTTCACATGCCGACACTCGGCCTACGCTGGGCGTTCTGGTACGATACTGTTCTCATTGTCGGTGTTATTTCTTCGGGAGCTGTGGTACGAGCATGTAATGCATCATTCAGGCTTACTCTTCGCAGTTGCGCTGCGAGGTACATGCGCGCCCGCACAACCGTCCATACTGGCGCAAGTACCAAGTACCCGCCTGCTGACTCAGGCATGTGACAGACAACGTCATCACCATGTGCCTTCAGCTGCTTTTGCCAATTAAAAGGTAACTATCGTAACTATAGCACATCTTGGGGAGCAATGAGGGCTCATAATGCCTTTTGTAGTCGTCGCGCAGGGCGAGTGCGACCACTCGCCCGAGAGACCGAACAGAAGCGCGTAGGCTACCCCGCGGGGGTCTAAAAGACCCCAGATTCCCGCCGGTCGGAGAACTTGCCGGCCATCGTAACCGATCGCAAATAGTCCTTCCAATATGCCAGGCATCGTGGACGACAAGTCGCAATACTGCGTCCCCTTCTTGCTGGAGCGCCTGCGCATCCACTCCGAACAGCACTCCAATGCCGACTGCAATACCCCGCCGTTCTTTCTGGGGCTCAATGGGGTGCAGGGCGCCGGCAAGACTGTCCTGGTGCGTACCAGCGAAGTAACGGCCCCGGCCGAGCTCCATTACTCTCCCCTGCCTCGGGCCAGACGCCTCGGTTTCCTTGCCCCTCGGATCAACGACTGATTATGCAACCAGGTCTCGACATTGCAGGACACCCTCCGCTCCGAGCCGTATTCCCTCTCCGTGGTGACCCTGTCGCTGGACGACATCTACCTGACCCACGCCGACCAAGTTGCGCTAGCACAGGCACACCCGACCAATCCCCTTCTACAACACCGCGGTCAGCCCTCAACTCACGATCTTGCTCTCGGTGAGCAAGTCTTTGCTTCGCTCGCGGCGGAGCAGCCAACCGCTATTCCGCAGTATGACAAGTCTGCGTTCGCCGGACAAGGTGATCGCGTGCCTCGGGCGCAGTGGGAAGTCGTGAATGCTGAGGGACAGGAAACTGTCAAGGTTGTTATTTTTGAAGGATGGTGCGTTGGCTTCCGTCCTTGGGATGACCAGACTCTTCGCGCCAAGTGGGAGGCTGCGGTGCGGCAAAAGGAGAGCGGCGACTACCAAGGGCGACTGGGACATGTCAAGTTTGAAGATGTCCAAACTGTGAATGAGGCATTGAAGCGATATGATGCTCTGACTGAGTAAGTGGCCCTGTCCCTGGTGGAAGTGCTCGAGGCACTAACTAGACATCGCAGCAAACTTGATGCCCTGATTCACATGTGAGTATTCAGCTGTTGGTGAGGCTGCGCGCAGCTTACTGACTCGCTTCCAGTGATGCTCAGGATCTCCGATATGTCTACGAATGGCGCCAGGAGCAGGAGCGCACCTTGCGTGCTGCCAAGGGCACCGGGATGACCGAGGACCAGGTCAAACGTTTCGTGGATGGCTGTTCGTGTCTCCCGCCACTCATCGGCTAGAATGTTCAAGACTGACCATCTCAATCGTAGATTATCCCTCCTACGAACTTTTCACGGAAACCCTTCGCGAAGGGGTCTTCAAACCGCGCAACACACCCACAGCTGCTTCTGATTGGCAAGGCAGACAACTCCGCCTGGTCGTGGACCGCGATCGAAGGGTTCAGGAAGTAATCCAAATTTGATTTATTTTTAGACCGCATTGACAGCTTGCACCCTTGCAAATGTTACCAGGCATTGAGTAAAATTTACTGCAAACGTTCCTACCTAAATTCCAGGGGTGATTTGTATACATGTATGGAGATATATATATAGCCGGGTATCATTATGGGCTCGCTGGGCCCACTCTCTAGGTACTAGTTCATTAATTCAACTATGTGCTCCCTCGCTCCCGATAATGTGCCCCAAACTTAGTTCTCAGCCATCCAGGAACGCTTTCTCTTTCATGGATCCGATGGGGGCGCTTGTTTGGCAGGTTGTGAGTAAGAAACCTGGTTCGGCCGAGGTTCCAGCAGACCAAAGTCCCGAGGACTCGAAGATAAGACAATACCCAATACTTTTCCCATGGGGCGCATCCCAGAGCTTGGGTTCTGAAGGCTAATGGTCCACCGATGGAGCTGGACAGATGACGGTAGATGTAAGACTCTTCCCTGTCGGCGTGACGCGACCCAGAGTGTGGGCCATCTTTGGGCGCGTGTGATTGTGTTTGAGAAACGGAGGTGTAGCCATCGATTATTCATCCACTATCATCCAGCAAATTCTGAGGCGACCAGTACTCCTTCTCTGGGCCCTGAGCGTCTAACCAAACCAGGCCATCGGCAAGTAAATCGTCGATAACTGTTTGGGCCCGGGCCTTCTCCCAATTGAGGTTTAGTCGAAGCATTGACACGCTCACAAATCCGAGCATTTGCATCACTTCTAGGACGGTGGCCTGATCGGTATTCAGCTCCTTTGGAACGGACCGGATGTAGTTCTTGGCACCAACGTGGACGATGGAGATGCCGGAGCCGAGGGGTTCTAGAGATCGAACGGCGCGGAGGATGTCATCCCTACTCGAGAACGGCACTGTGTTAGTCAAAATTCAGCATTGATGTTCGGGCTCGAGGCTGGTCGTACTCTGAAACTTCTAAACCACTTCCAATAGCCTTCCCCTTCCGCACCTGCTTCCGGCATTCCTCCACCCCGATCAAACCACCATTCTCGTCCCTAGTATCCCGACATAGTTCTACGACGCGGACAGCGACTTCAAAATAGAAGTCGTTCATGTCCCCGCCCAGGATCTGGGTCCAGAAACTGCCCCCTTCGCCAAGTCCACGGCGACCATTCTTGCCTTTGATGTTGCTTGCAGCGAGTGGATCAACGCCGATCGTATTGCACATGCGCGCGAACTCGGCTCGGAAGGTAGGATTGGATTTGATGGTGGAGCTATGCTCAAGGGCAAAGGTATGGAGTAACGACTGGAAGACAGAAAGCTGGGTCTGCAGGGAGGCTAGATGCGTGGATCGTAAGTTAGCACCATGAGTGGCAAATGATTGTGTTGCTTGAGTGCGATTAGCAAAGGCCCCCAGGCCAACACCACGACGAGACATGGTGGCAGAACCGTTGGATGATGCTCAAGAGCCCCCTTGCCCTGGAAGCCGCGGTGTTTGGGCCCGGAGGTGGGGGCGCCGAGGATGAAGTCATCTGATAGGACATAAGCCCTAATCAGCAATGATAAGGGCAAGATATTCCTAATAGGGAGTAGGGCGTCTTGAGTGCACACTAGTCCCCTACAGGTTAGCGCGGAACCGGCACCCGCACAAGCGAATTCTACTTCTTCTTTTCTTCGAGCTTTTCTTCCTTCGAACTTTTCCACGACAACCTTCGCCGACCAACTCGCGATCTCGCCGGACCTTCACAATGGCCCCTACCCCTACGTATGCTATCCCTTGATTCCCCTCTGACTGATGCAATCCTTCGAGATTGTGAGGTTCCAGTATAGTCGTCCTTCTCGTCGCTGGAGATGCTACGGTCATCGTCGGCCTCGGCGATGACTGCTGAGCACCAGCTCGATCCTTCCCGCGCCCTCTTCCTGCTTGAATGACCTTGAACATCGCGAAGAGATTCAGCCAACAGAAGGAGGGCCAAGGAGTCTTGAGGTTGAAAGCATGTCCATGCCTTCTCCTCTAAAACCATTGTTGTCAGCTGTCGTATCCGGTGCATTCGATGCGGTGAAAGCAGTCATTGCCCATATGGAGCGAAGAGCGTCAACACACATTTTCCTGGACTTCGGTCCGGGGCGTTGTCGGATGAGGGCGGTCATGGCACAGAATTTTCCGGGTGGTCGAAATTTTCACGAACGTTGTGCTGGAATATGCCAGCTAGTAGTAAAATGACCGTGAACCCCGTTCTTGTCATTACCCTCACTGATTAAATCCATTCGTCGAGTTATTGTTTTCTATTTGCCTTCCAGTTGAGAATGTGGCGCTATGCTACAGTTCTTTACACTCGACGGATTGTTTCATGTCATACATGATCGCATGGACGCACTATACTAACCCCCACACCAGCTCCGTTCCCACCCAGGACCAGGTCCTCGTCCCCGAGACCCTCCTGAAGAAGCGCAAGAGCCAGGAGGCTGCCCGCGCTGAGCGCCGTGCTGAGACCGAGGAGAAGAAGAAGGTCGGTTCATCTTCCCAAATGCACTACCCTTGCATTTGACTTTTGCCCTTTACTTCCTTTCCAACAACGTGATGACAACACCAACCACGCGACTAGACCAATGGTCAATGCTGTCGCATGTCAACCATCTTTCGGGTCTGATACTTTGTTGATGCTACCTACGCTTGTCTTGACACCAACATCATTGGAGAACCTCGTGCTGACTTGAGTTTCCAATCAGGCCAACAAGGAGAAGCGTGGCGTTATCTTCAAGCGCGCTGAGTCCTACGTCAAGGAGTACCGCGATGCTGAGCGTGAGAAGATCCGCCTGGCCCGCGCTGCCCGCCAGGAGGGTAACTTCTACGTTGATGACGAGCCCAAGCTGGTCTTCGTTGTCCGTATCAAGGGGTACGTCAAATTTTATAACCGCTTGCATGTGACACCTCGCTAACCCGATCCTTTAGTATCAACAAGATTGCTCCCAAGCCCCGCAAGATCCTGCAGCTGCTCCGTCTGATCCAGATCAACAGCGGTACCTTCATCCGCTTGACCAAGGCCACCCAGGAGATGCTGACCATTGTCAACCCCTACATTGCCTACGGTTACCCCAACCTGAAGTCCGTCCGTGAGCTCCTGTACAAGCGCGGTTACGGCAAGGTTGACAGGCAGCGTGTTGCCCTCACCGACAACCAGATTATCGAGGAGAACCTCGGCAAGTACGGCATTGTCTGCATGGAGGATCTGATCCACGAGATCTACACCGTTGGCCCCAACTTCAAGCAGGCCAACAACTTCCTGTGGCCCTTCAAGCTGTCCAACCCCAACGGTGGCTTCCGCACCCGCAAGTTCAAGCACTACATCCAGGGTGGTGACCTCGGTAACCGTGAGGAGAACATCAACGGCCTCATCCGCCAGATGAACTAGATTCTCTTCTGAAAAGGGGCTTCGTTGAGGCGCAACATGTAATCATGAAGTGACTCAATCTCAAAAAATATTTTAACGTTATACCTTGTGGGTTGTTTGTTTTGCATACATGGGCTGTGTATGTCTTCTGTCAATTAGCGATACTATGCTCTGGGATTTCCGGTAATTCAATGCTTCAGACAACCCGCAATTGCATTCATGCTTCGTAGAAGCTATTCAACGTAGAGTGAGCTTTAGAAGACTCAGTGTAGAAGGGAGGGGCAAGACCTTAGCTTTTCCCTAGGGAAGATGAAGGAAATTCGACGTGTTCCACCTGCTCTCCACTCAATCAGCATCTGTACCCAACTGTTTACAACTAGAATATAGGGACCTGTGAAAACGGCCGCCAGAAACGGCCGCCTTTCCACCCGTAACTTTGGACGCCGAGCCGCCGCTTGACCGCCCGCTGCATTGTAACGTAATTCCCGGTCGATCCGAACACCCGGTCGTTCCGAACACCCCTTCAAAAAACGCGTCTTCTAAACCACCTACCCAATTCAACCACCTACCATGCCACCAATTCGCTCTAGATCTGCACAGAACTTGGCCCCTCAAGAGGGCAAGATCTTATTAGCCCTAGAGGATATTAAAAATGGCCGCATCACCTCTCTTCGCGCGGCGGCGAAGCTATACGAAATACCACTCACTACACTACACGACCGTCACTACGGCCAGCCCTTACGCGTCGATAAGCGCCTATCTGGTTATAAATTGACCTAATACGAAGAGGATTCGCTTACTAAGTGGATAATCTCTATAGATACGCGTAGTGCAGCGCCTAGGCCATCTACTGTACGTGAAATAGCTAATATTCTATTAGCTACGCGTAGTAAAGACCCTCCGCCTACGGTAGGCAAGAACTAGTCATCAACCTTCGTCTAAAGACGCCCTGAGCTTCGTTCAGCCTTCTCTAGGCGCTACGACTATCAAAGAGCCTAAAACGAAGACCCTATCTCACTACGAGCTTGGTTTACGACCGTATAAGATATTATCGACGCGAACGGTATCTAACCGGAGGATATCTATAACTTTGACGAGACCGGCTTCGCTATAGGGATTATAGCTACATAAAAGGTTATTACAAGGGCGGAATATTACGGTCGGCGATCGATTTTACAACCGGGTAATCGTAAATAGGTTACTACGGTCGAAGCAGTGAGCGCTAGTGGCTATTCGCTACTACCGTACGTAATATTTAAAAGCAAAAACTTTATAGCGTTATAGTTCGATGAAAAGTTTTATCTTCTAAAAGATTAGCGTATCGAGGTCTCGCTAAACGGTTAGACTACCGATGAAATTGGCCTTTAGTGGCTACAGAAGCTATTCATTCTAGCGACGACGACACGTACGAAGGGGAAATATCGACTCTTAATTCTTGATGGCCACGGTAGCTATCTTATACCTCAATTCGACGAGATCTACACACAAAATCATATTATACTACTTTATATACCTCCGCACTCTTCGTATCTTTTATAACCGCTTAATGTTAGGTGTTTTGCTATATTAAAACGTATATACGGTCGCTACGTAAGCGATCTAGCTCGGGCGTCATATAACTATATCGATAAATTCGATTTCCTCGCAGAGTACGCCCGGGCGCGTACGGAGGCCTTTCAACCTTATATTATTCAAAATAGCTTCGCTGCTACTGGTCTTATTCCGGTCGACGTAGATCGAGTGCTTTCGAAGCTTAATATCTTACTCCGAACGCCATCGCCACTAAATAGCAGGCTAACCACTAGCTATAGCTAATTTAGCCCAAAAACACCTAGAACGGTAATCTAATTATAAAAATCAGCTTCGATATTAAAGGATCTATTAAGATATCGGTCAAATAGCCCTCCGAGCCTATTAAAAACCGTACTAGATTAGATTATCAAAGGCGCTTGCATATCGCTTTACGGGGCCGCACTATTAGTACAGGAAAACAGCGATCTACACATAGCGAATCAGAAAATACGCCAAAAACGCATACGATCTAAACAACAGATAGTACACGAAGGAGGCCTTACGGTCGAAGAGGGCCTACAGCTAGTTTAGCAGCTGAATTAGCCAATTAAAGACACTCTAGTAGTAGTGCAGCCGCAGGGCGATGAGGCTATTCAACTAGCTCAGCTAATCAGAAAAGCTCCACCGAAGTGTAGTAGGTGCGGGTAGGTCGGACATAAGGTTAATTATTGTAAAAACCGCTAGATTAAGGTCAAATTCATGTGTTTTGGTTGAGATATTAATATTCAAAATTTCCTAATGGGGGTGGGTGTTCGGAACGACCGGGAATTACGTTACTGCCCCTTATTCTGCACCCAACCAGCACTGTTAGTCATCCTCTTCTCATCCTCTTGTTGACGCTTGACTTCTAGCCCTAAACTTCAGTCCCTTCAGGCCGCTTCGCCCTAAGCAGGCATGGCGGACTATTACCGCCATCGGGCAACAATGATTTCTGGTGAAGTGCCATTACCGCATGTATCACCGCATACCGTATTTGAATACGACCTTATCTGTAGATATCGCACCGTAATTTCAGCCGGACGAAGTCCTTGTAGGAAGAGAAGATATAGCTGATAAACCCTAGATATGCCTCACAAGTTGAAGCTTAGCCGGTGAAAACTCTGCATGCTTGCGAGGGTGCTAGGTAAGCGCTATCCCTTGACCTGGCTGCTAATGTACGGAGTATGCAGCCAACCATTGGAGAACGAACAGGGATTCTTTTTCTTTGCTTCTTTCCCCTCATCTCACCATCCTCAATGTGGCTTGGATACTCTTGGCCACCGCTAGTCCCAAAATAGGGGCTGGAATCCTGAGCGGCTGACGGGACGCTTCCTTCGCACAAGTGAAGCTCGTCATCTCCTTTCCACGACCAGACTCGAGTCGTCCCTTGTTGCATTGAGGATCGTCTCGTGGCCATGGGTCATGAAAAACTCACTCACGATGCCTACACTGTCGGGTGGGTGTGCGTATTGGAATGCGAATTAAACGCCTCACGAGCCTTGTTTGACAAGGAACATGAAAGGCTCCCAGCTGCCGAAAAGGATGACAATATGTACCTCCTCGGGGAGATGGCAGGGCATAACGTGGTCATCGCATTTCCAGCCGTATACGGGGTCGGAGCTGCGGCACAAACCGCAACGAATATGATCCGCACCTTTCACAGTATCCGTTTCGGGCTGATGGTAGGCATTGGGGGTGCGGCTCCGAACCCCTCCCACTTTGGAAAGCCCGCTGAAGATATTCGATTGGGGGATGTGCTTGTAAGTCAACCGAAGGGAGATCAAGGTGAGACTGTCTGAGCCGATTTAATCCTCGAACGGATCACTTACTCCACCAGGTGGAGTGGTCCATTATGATCTAGGGCAGCGAAAAGCCGATGGAAAGCTTCATAAGAGGTCCCACCTAAATAAACCACCGACGATGCTGTTAAATGCGATGAAGTTGTTAAGGTCAGACCACCTTTTCGGTGGGGGAGAGATGAATCGCTATATCACCGATGTCGCCCGGCTTTCCGAGAAACGGGAGGTTTTTCAGGCTTATCAATTTCCTGGGAGGGACATTGATCGTTTGTACCAAGTAGATTATGACCACGAGGGCGAAGAAGACTGCACGCACTGTGACGTGAATTTGACTGAAACCCGCGCTCCTAGGAACTCTGATGGACCCGTGGTGCACTACGGGTTGATCGCATCGGGGAACGCAGTCATAAAGGATCCTCGGTATAGAGATGAACTGCGTAAGGCCTGGAATGTGGCATGTTTTGAGATGGAGGCTGCAGGGCTCATGGATAACTTCCCTTGTTTGGTTATCCGGGGAATTAGCGACTACTCCGACACGCACAAAAACGATATCTGGCAGCCATATGCGGCGGTAGCAGCTGCCGCATATGCCAAAGACCTGCTTCGCGTGATTCTTCCGCAGGAGGTTCACGCGGCGAAGGTTGTGGAAATGAAAGAAGGTTAGCTCGGACTTGCCGTCGATGTACTACGGTCCCTAGAATGCATTTTGTTTCCATTGATTCAAGCCGTCGACTGACTATCGGGATATAGTATTGGACGTATTATCAAATATCCAGACGAGTGTATCCATAATTGGCTCATCGGTAACCGCCACCCAGGAAAATGAGCTACTCATCTGGCTGTCATCCAAGGACTATGGCTCTGAACAGACAGACAACCTAAGCCAACGTCAAGAAGGAACCGGGACGTGGCTGCTGGAAACGACCGAATTCCAAGAGTGGATAGGTGAAAGAAATAAGACCGTCTATTGCAGAGGAATGCCTGGCGCGGGAAAGACGGTCATGACAGCGGTGGTAGTGGATCATCTGCGATCACGGTTTGAGGGCAATCCTGCTGTGGGTATTGCGTGCATATATTGCAGCGTTCAAAATGAGGCAGAGCAAACCCGCAGCTGTATCTTTCTGAGCTTACTGAGGCAACTCGTCAGACAGCTGGCGTACACCCCTGAGATGGTCAACAGTATGTACAATCGTCATAAACGAGCTGGTGATCGACCGAGTTTTCGCGAAATAGCGGATGCTTTACAGGACACGATCTCTCATTTCCGACGGACCTTTATTGTGGTCGATGCTCTCGATGAGTTGCTGCTGTCGGAAAGCCCACCAAAGCAGCTTGTTCGAGACATCTTCACCCTTCAAGAAAAAACCAAAATTAACATCTTTGCTACCTCTCGTTTTGTCCCAGAGATTGCAGGTGAATTCAAGCAAAGTATATTGATCGATATTCGGGCAGCAGAAGGTGACGTTGTGCGGTTCTTAAAGTCGCATATTAGGGAGTTACCGGCGTTTGTCTCCGAAACCCCGGGGTTGGAGGATGAAATCAAGACTGGAATCATCGAGGCTATCGATGGAATGTCTGTGTGCCATGAATAATTCCTCTGCGGTGGCAAAGAAGCTAACGGAGTCCATAGGTTTCTCCTCGCTAAGCTGCACTTGACCACATTGCTGGATAAAATATCCATAAGGGACGTAAAGGACACGCTTAAGAGCCTTCCTAGAGGCTTCGATGGCTACGATAAATCGTACTTGGAAGCCATGAACAACATTCACAGTCAAAGGCAGGGTTTGCGCGAACTTGCTTTAAAGGTCCTCTCCTGGATTTGCTGTAGTCGGCGACTCCTCCTCGCGACAGAGCTTCAGCATGCGTTAGCAGTGAAAGAGAAGCATACAGAGTTCGATCAAATGAGCGTTCCAGATATGGGCCTGATGGTGAGCGTCTGCAAAGGTCTAGTCATCGTGGATGGGGAGCAGGGGACAATCCGCTTGGTTCACTACACAACGCAGCAGTACTTCGAGCGGACATGGGGAGAATGGTTTCATGATGCACACGAAAGAATCGCTGAGACTACTCTCAGGTATTTAACATTTGATAACTTCGACAGTGGCCCCTGCCCGACCGGCATGGCATTCATGGCACGACTGGACCAATATGCATTGTACGATTACGCGGCGCGGAATTGGAGCTACCACGTACGAACCGCGTTGTTTGAGGAGACATCCCTGGTGCTGAAACTTCTGGAGGACGAGAACTGTTTATCTAGCTCAGCCCAGGCCATGTTCGCCGAACGCAGCCAAGCACGCAGTGAGCGCAGTCCTCGAGGAATGACGGGACTCCATGTTGCTGCGTATTTCGGGCTTGAGAAGACTGTGCGGCTCTTGCTTTGCAAGTTTCGCCCTGATGTGAAGGATAGTTCTGGCCGAACACCTCTACTTTGGGCCTCTGCTCATGGACATGCTGCCGTTGTGGAGGCATTAATTGAGAATAGCCTGGTTGATCCGGACTGTGAAGATGACGACGGCCAAACCGCTTTGTTCCTGGCTGCGGATAATGGGCACGGAAAGATTGTGGATCTGCTCATGCGCCGCAGAGTTGACTTCAACCATATGGATGCTGCAAAACAAACACCTCTGTGTTTAGCCGCGTCTAACGGGGATGAAGAGGTGATAAAGGTTTTTCTTCTCCACCAAGTCGATGTCAACTGCGAGAATGGCGATGGAGAAACTCCACTCGTATCAGCGGCAGGCCAAGGACATGCTGGAACCGTGGAGCTACTTTTAAACTCCAGCTCCCCGCCGGCGATTGACGATCGAAATATAGCGCTCTCTCGCGCAGCTTCAAATGGTTTTACCGCGGCGGTGAAAGTCCTCCTGGAACATGGTGCCGATGCGGATCATCGGGATAGTACTGAGAACACGCCGCTGTTATCTGCCGCAAAATATGGCTATGAAGAAGTGGTATCTCTCTTTCTCAGTCACCAAAATGTCAATCCCAACCCTGAAAACGCCCAGGGGCAGACAGCATTATCATTGGCGGCCGGGGGAGGACATCAGAATACGGTGTGCCTCCTCCTCGGTGATAGTCGTGTGAATCCTGACCACAAGGACAAGAAAGGACTGACTCCTCTTTCGCTCGCCGCATTTTGGGGGCACAAATCGGTAGTGAAACTATTTTTGGAAATTCCCCGAGTCAACGCTAACCACACGGATTCTTTTGGTATCACCCCCCTGGCTCTTGCAGCACAGAATGGGCATGAAGAAGTTGTGAGACGACTACTTCGGAATGCTACAGTTGACTCGGACCCGCATGATCTAGACACTGGCAACACACCACTAGCAACAGCTGCCCAATACGGACGCGCCTCCGTGGTGGAGCTTCTGCTTACAATACCGGGTGTAGACCCAAATTCCAAGAATACTAAGGGGGCCACTCCCCTAACCCTTGCTGCACGGGAGGGATGGGCAGATGTCGTCGAAGTGCTGCTTCTCGATGACAGGGTGGATTCCAACCATAGGAACGAAAGTGGCCGAACCCCTCTCTCTTGGGCTTGTGGACGCGGCCATAACGCCGCGGTTGAACGTCTTCTTGCCGTGGAAAGTGTAGACCTCAATGTACCGGATGGCGAAGGACGAACGCCCCTGCTATGGGCTGCTTCGGGTGGCTCTCCGACTATCGTGGCTCAAATCCTCTCAACGAGGAAGGTTGTTGACCTTGATTGTAAGGATAGTAATGGCCAAACCCCACTTTGCCGTGCCGCAGAAACCGGAGGCCTTGCAGTGGTGGAGATACTCCTCAGTGAAGGTGCTGACGCAAACGCTGAGGACAAGGATAGGATGACCCCGCTGATGCGGTCGGTGGAGAATGGCCATTTGGAAGTGGTAGAAGCCCTCCTGACCGCGGGTGCTTCTCTGGCAGGAGTAGACCAAGATGGCCGCAATCCACTGATCATCGCTGTTGAGGCGGGACGAGGAGCGGTGGTCGAGATGCTGCTGAACGATGCCGGGCTGGATCCTGATGCAAGCGGAGAGTATGGTCTCACCCCGCTGGAGCTGGCTGAGGAATGCGGCTGGGATGATATCGTGAACTTGATAGAAGTATCACACGAAAGGGGTCGGAGTCCCACAGATCGGAATCTGCCCCCTCGGGCATCTTTCGGAGCATCACTAGCAGCTGCCATTGGATTGTCTAATTTCAGACTGGGCTGGAATTGGGAAAGGAAATTGCAAGGTGTTTTGTCATATCAAGGTGAAATGACAGAGACTGAGCCGAAAATACAAATGTTGGCCAGGTCACATTCCCAAATCTCGCTTGATAACTGACCCGTGCCTACCAATGAAACAAATCACAATAAGAGGCAGCTCAACAGGGGTCCTTGGACTATTTTCATTGGGCAAGGATATCGGCATAGGAAATTCTTTGCGCTCTTCGGGGAGGTCGCTCGGGCATAGGAGAGATTGTTTAGAGAGATGAATCGGCTTCATCTGCTATCTCTGCCGACGTTATATCATCAGCGTCTTTGCCGTTCTCACCCAGAATACTCGAGAGTTTATCTTTTGCCCTTCCCATGCCGATCTGAAGCATCTCTTTGGTGTATTTCTTGAAAAGGTGCTGCTCCATCGAATTCGCTATCCGCCAGATCCCCTGTACCCGGCGAGCATGAGCTTTTTCTCTTCAAGTCTGGATTATTCAAGGCTTTGTTTGACATAACAGATATCCAGCCGCCGAAGCTTCTTCGGTAACGGCGTATACAGTTCACCACCTTGGTCTATCGTATCTATTTTCGGTGCTTTTCGTCCCAAGGAAAGTGTCCCCGAAAACTGTACATATAACTAGCTCACAAGGTACCTAGAATTGTTTGCATTTCATGCTCCGCCTGAGCCCTTCCTACTGTACATACCCCATGGAAGGCCGGTTCCCACCTATCAGCCCCTCTTTTCCTCGTCTAGTTCTCCGTTGACCCGCTTCTTCCCCTCCTCCTTCAGCTTTTCGTCGTCATCTCGCTTCAGACCAATCTGTGGCATGAGCCAGAATGCCAAGAAGAACGCTAGTGCCGCCAACACCGCTCCAATAATGAATATGATCCGGAAACCTTTCCTGTAGGCCGGAATGAGCACGCTGCGGATGCGCTTGGCATCATCGGCAGGCTGGTTGGACAGGTAGGTTTGTGGACTTGAGAGGAGCGCCCGTGATTCAGATTGGTCGAGATCGAGGACCGAAATCGAGGATGCGATGATATTGTTACTGGAGAGGTCAGAAGGTACAATGGATAGACGTTTATGCTGCTAACTTACATAATTGTTCCGGCAATTGCAAGGCCTAGAGTGCCTCCGAGGTTTCGGACAAAACTAATGATTGTTAGATGCGGAAAACCTACATGGGGGAGGTAAACATACTTCCGGAACGAGGTGACAACAGCCATGTCCCGTCGTTCGACACCCGCTTGGACTGCAATAAGAGATGGCTGCAGGGTGTTACCGACACCAATACCTGTCAAAATGCCATATCCAATCTGCTTTGCCTTCCCAGAGGATTCATCCAGTGTTGAGAAAAGCCCGAGCCCAACTGCCCAGATGACCCAGCCAAATAGGATGCATTCACGATAGCGACCGACCCAATGAACGATAAGACCCGAGAGAGTACTGCTGAGGGCTGCAAGGAAATTAAATATTAGTATGGTTGCAGTAAAGAAGCGTGGGCATGAGATAGACATACTCTGCATCAAGGTAATTGGAAGCAACATCGCGCCTGAGATGACCGTCGAGTACCCAAACACCAGCTGGTAGAAGGTGGGAATGTAGTAGATCTGAACCAAGAAGTTCCATCCGTTGACGAACATGGTCAAGCAAGCTCCATTGACAGTCCTGCTCTTGAAGATGTGCATTGGAACTAATGGTACCTTCGTGCCCTTCCATTGCCAAGCAACAAAAGCAACAGAGATGGCAAAGCCGATGACCAAAGTCGCAACAACATGTGCCGAGTACCACTTGTATTCTCCACCTCCCCAATTCAGACCCAACAGAAACACAGACGTGCCTCCAAGTGCCAACAGGCCCCCGAAGCAATCAACTGCCTTCAACTTAAGCCTCCAATCGCCCTCCACTTTTCGCAATGGCATGAAAAAGAGCACGCAGAGCGTTGTGAGGGCTGTCAATGGTAGGTTCAGCCGGAAGATCCATCGCCACGAGTCTTCTGAGATCGATGCCAGTGCACCGCCGATCACAGGACCAATGCCGTTCGCAATGGCAACCACAGCGCCGAGGATTCCTTGGTATTTCCCTCGCTCCCGGAGAGGAACGACATCGCTCACGATCATTTGGGCGACAGTCATCAGCCCTCCGCCGCCGACACCCGTGAATGCTCGAAATATAATGAGCTGGGTGACCGTCTGCGACAGCGAGGCAGCAAGCGAGCCGAAGAAGAAGATGGCGAGGCCGACGAAGAGCACCAACTTCCGCGACCAGATGTCGGAAAGTTTGCCGTAGAGCAGCTGGAAACATGTCGATGTACTGTGCCAGAAACATCATTGTTTAGCCCCCTTTACTCTTTTTTGAGGAGCTTCGGGATCAATTCTGGGTGGCAGCTTACACAAAGTACCCCCGGAGATCCAGGATGTCTGGTCGCTCGCACCCAATGCATTTCCAATGATGGACAATGACGCCGCCAGCATCGTCTGGTCCATCAAAGCAAGCAAGTCAACACTAGAGCAGGCCAGAAAGATCTAACCGCGGTTAGAACGAACTATTCCCAACGGATTGCACCGGCTTGGATGAACTAGCGACATCTATTTTCCAAATAGCCGCGATAGACATTCAGACTTACCGTGATAATGGTACGCTTGGGGACATAATTAGTCTGTTCGTTGAACATCACGCGGGTCCCATTTTTGTCTGCCAAATCGACTCCCGAGCTATCGGGATTGGAGAGGGCTGGTGGATGTTCAAGAACTCCGGGCATGGCGTGTACAGACAGCCGAGTCCCGCAGTGCGAGCCCCCAGCAGCAATTACCAAAGGAAAGAAGCGTCAAGGAGACTCTTGAAGAAGTCAGCTGCATTCAGAATGGCGACGGACGGGTTGGACTCGGGAATTCGTTCTGAGGACAAGCAAAATAAAAAATAATTGGATCAAACAGCCAAGCGACTGACCGCATTTCGGATGGCGTCCGCGGCCTTCGTCTGCATCGCTCGGATATTGCTTCGAGACCTACTCCGTACTCGATCACTGCACGACCCAAAACGACAGCGATCGACGGAAAGAACCTTGACAGCCGCCGATCTGCAGCCAAGCCGGGTTGGAATCTGCTCAAACACTCTCAAGGTACCCGTCCCGCTCTGCGCAACACATTATTAATCACCGAACTATACAATTATAGCGTGGGATCGCATAATATCTCCGATCCGGCGAGCACCCTCGGAATCACACCGTTGATGACCTGTAGAAAAATTTGTCTTAATCCTCGTGTCGAAGATTCGAGGACCTTGGATGTTGAAGTAGTAGTATGTCTCCCAAGGTCTTGAAAATGTGACAGCCAAGACCGACGGGAGAGCGGGATACAGCAGCTCGATGTGCCATGCCACACGAGCGCAGTCACGAATCGCAGAGGAAGTTTTTCAGAAGATTACTTTTGATGAGCCCCTCCACAACCACAGAAGACCCAGAAAGACCTGGGAATGCCACGGCGGAGGCGCCATTGACTCGGTCGCCGCGGGTGATCCTGCCGCTTTCATATTTCCCCATCCTGTTTTCTTGACGCGGCTCTATGCCTTGACCAGAGCCGACTGGTGTCTCTGGGGACTATTGCTCGTACGGTGGGTCCTACGGACAATATGTATTCAACTACTTCAGCCAGACCGGCTGTATGGAAGTGGGCCGCGAGACATTCTCGCGATCGCTGCCCGCTCCTGCCCCATTCATTGTCACTGCAGAGAGGCCATTATGCGGTTGCAGCGTCTGGTGGAGAGCACAGGACCCCCGCCGCAAAACCCCTCTATCTGAATGCCCTGTTCGTGTCGCTTTAACTTCTCACACAGTGGGGCTGTAAGAGTAAACCTCGCGTGTTTCGCGTGGTTCTACCTTTTGGGCGCCAAGCGAACACGGCCGGATAGGAAGGGGCCTGATGCCGCTATAGAACTATATCTGTCTGGAAATGCCCGCGCTGCTCTTCCTGGTATCTCAACACGAAAAGATTCCCCTGTTTTTCCACCAGCCCTCATATTATGGGCATTGGAGGTTTCAGCAAGATGACCGGCCCACCTCAAAGTAACACGATGTCCAACTCCAACGAGCGCAATGTATACTTCGGGCCAGACTCGCTGAAGAAGTATTTTGATCCTGACTGCCAACCTCCCTTGCCTTTGGTGGAGCTACCAGAGCATCTGAACCCATTTTTCCATGATGGAGTCCGAATATATGCTAAGATGATGACCATGCACCCGGCCAACAATGTCAAGGCTATGCCAGGTAAGACATCCCCAGACACACCTCTATACAGCGGCCAAGGTTAATGGGAGGTCAGCTTTAAATATGCTCGAATCAAGCGTTGTTCCAAATAAAACCAACACCATTATCGAGTATAGCTCTGGTTCAACGGTGATCTCGATGTCGATGATCGCCCGGGTCATGCACGGCGTTCAGGACACACGGGCGTTCCTGAGCAACAAGACCAGCGATGCCAAGTTGAAGTTGATGCAGTTCTTCGGCTTGAGCATCACACTCTTCGGCGGCCCATCACAACCAGAGCCCGCTGATGAACGTGGCGGTATTCAAAGTGCTCGCCGTATGGCCAAGGAGTCTGATGATATCGTCAATCCCAACCAGTACGAGAACAACAATAACTGGCAGTCGCACATGCGGTGGACAGGCCCTCAGATCTTCAAACAATTGCCCGAGATCAACGTCCTTTGCGCCGGCATGGGCACGTCTGGCACCATGACTGGCCTGGGAACATACTTCAAGGGCGTCAAGCCCTCCGTGGTGAGACTCGGAGTCTGCACTGCTCCAGGTGACCGGGTGCCTGGTCCCCGGTCATTCGCCCTGATGCGACCTGTCGAGTTTCCCTGGAAAGAGGCAGTGGATACAATTGAAGAGGTTGGATCTTCCGACTCGTACACCTTGTCGCTGAAGCTGTGCCGTGAGGGGCTGGTGTGTGGCCCGTCGTCCGGATTCAACTTGCAAGGACTCTTCCAGATGCTTTCCAAGCGCAAGGCAGAAGGGAAGGTCTCTGAGTTGGCCGGACCGGACGGCGTCACGCACTGCGTCTTCCTGTGCTGTGACCTGCCCTACCAGTACATCGATGAGTATTTCCAGAAGCTTGGGGCTGCAGAATTCCCGGCCATCCGCAACGAGGTAAGATCTCCCCCGCCGATGATAGCATCTCGTGGATCCCTGCAGTAGATCCCCCGTCAGATCGTCGACCCATTCAATCCTGGCCGATTCCGCTAACCCCTTTTGACGCGGCAGCGCCTCACCAAGGTTGACCTTCACCGGTACGATGAAGCCTGGGAGCGAGACGCCCTAGAAGTACTCCCCCAAGTCTACGGCTCCCCGCGACCCCTCGCCCAAACGCCGCTCAGCGAGATCACCCTGAAGCCGCAGCACCGAGTCCTCGACCTGCGCAAACCTGCCGACTTTCAAGCCTGGCACCTCCCGGAGTCAATCAATGTGCCACTCTCCAGCCTAGGGCCTCACACAGTGTCACCGTTTTCGGACCCGGCAGTGCTGGAGGCGCAGTGGGTGGAGCTAGAACAGACCTTCGGGGACGCGCGCCTGGTTTCGGACCTTGGTTCCCATCACGTTCTGGTGGTCTGCTACGATGGGAACACGGCACGCGTGGCCACCAGCGTGCTTCGAGCCAAGGGGCTTGATGCAGACAGCGTGCGCGGAGGCCACCACGCGCTGCGGATGTATGGCATTGGGAGTGAGACCACGGGGCCCGAGGTTTCGGTGTCGGCGGACTGCCCCGCGAGCAAGATGCCCATTGCGTCGACGGTATCTGTTTCGGCAGTGCCCCCTTGATTGAAGAGACAATACATAACATCGCGACTGTTGTCCACGATGGCGCAGATGAGGATCGTCATCGACTTTGCAGGCAGGAATGGGGAATGTAGGGTTAGAGCTGGCCATGTGCAGCGCTAGTCCCGATGCGGAACAGAGACACGGGCAGCTTTTGACTCTGCATGTACGATTGGACACGATTGGGCTCTTGAAACGCGTGAGATTTGTTAATTTGGCCCTTTGCCCCGGGGACTCTATTTTTTGCATCTATAGTTCCATACTTGACTGATTTTCTGGAACAATGATAGCCATCCATTTGCTTCGCTGTGTTGGTGCATACAACCCTACACACTTCGACCCAAGATCCTCCCACCAGGGGTTCTGGATTTTAGTTGCTTCCTCCTTGTAGTACCTCCCTTAGTCATGCTGTTGTATTCAGGGAACGGGCGACGTCAAGCATCGACGACGGAGCTAAGATGGGCGTCCCACCGGCCTGTCCCTATAGATGACTGAGGTACCGCTCCCCTCCGGCGCTAAGCAACCTCACCCCATCTTCAATCAATATGACCTCATAGCCTTGTATTCGTGGGGTACGATGGTCTTTTTCGAACCCGACTGTGAGACAGATTTGTCGAGGAACCCCATCCGAGTCGTAATTTCTCAATGCGCCCTGCGGAAATCCCAGCAAGTCCAGCGTGTAATGGCCCATTTCAACCCCACACTATGGATCGCTGCTGACGGTAGCGCTGACGATGGCCTGGCTCGTCGCGTGCGCTGGCAATCGCGCGCAAATCTGCTCAGCGACCCAAGGCTTGGCCCGATTCGCGCATCGTGAAAAGTGCACTTTAAACTACTCGAAACCCCCACATCGGAAATAAGATGAGCTGCCCCCGCTAGAATTAACGATGAGAGACAGAAATCACACTGTCAACTAATTATGTGCTCACTGTTTGAATTCAGCAAAACTCGCGCAATTGCCCGCAGATCCCCGCAGCCGATCGGCATGAGGAATGCCATCGGCAACGAAATCACAAACTCTCATACCTCCGGTTGCTCGGTTCCCTGGTTCGCCTGCCGTGCCCATTGCGCCTGCCAGATTTCCGTTTTCGGCCTGCCCTCCACACCATCCTCATGCCGCCATTCAATAACATTGCGGGAATAGATGATGAGATGATTAAACGATCATATAGGCGCACTCTGACGACTCCGGAAGTGCGAGCGACCCTGCCAAGCTTTAATGCGCCGATCCACCCCGTTTTCTATGCTTCATAATTCCCCTTGGCCACCATAACAACCCTGGGCTTGCCCGTTTTGATCTGGTGGTCTATTTTCTTCTGTTTGACAACAATAACGGCCGTCGACCCAGGTGAGGCAGGCTGAGTAGGCTGCCTTGTTCGTTCACTATGATGAACATGAACATGGACATGGACATGACGGGCGGCATCCCGTGGCTGGATCAGCCAGTGATGCTCCACTCGTCTAGAAAGGACAAGTGCAAATTGACCGATGCCCAGTGTTCCTATCGCAACTATAGCTGGCGATACTGGTAAGCAGTCCTTGCACCACCACCTTTTTGACTTGGTAACGCTTATCAGATGCTAACTCGGTTGGCGAATACACAGGTACCAGGCCGACCATGTGTATGCCCTAAACACAGTGTATTTCTGCTGTGCGGTTATCGCGGTGTTTGTGATCTCGCATCTCCTAGTTCAGGTCTGCCCAGACTGGGTAAAGCGGACTCGAGTATGGCGTGCGACGACGTCGGTCTCCCGCTACATGTCTTATCGAGGCTATCGATTCTCGGTGCTAAAGTACTGGTCGCCGTCGCTGGGCGTCATTACGCTGGGTATAGTGGGCGCAATCTTCTTTTTCGGTATGCAGGGACTGGATGAAGATATACTGGGATCAGCAAAGCTAATGGTCGCATTGGTAGCAATGACTCTTGGTCCCAAGCCCTACTACTGGCCCACGGACGCCAGCTATGGAAGCAGCCCTCCTATTGCAACCAGGGCAGGCTGGATGGCTCTTGCTCTACTGCCATTCATCCTGTGAGTATCTGCTGTTTCATCCACTGAAGGTAATCGAGTTTCTGATAGACAAATAGTGCCCTGAGCGTCAAGGCCAACATGATCTCAGCTTTAACAGGTATTCCCCATGAGAAGCTTCAAGTCTTCCACCACTGGACCAGCTATGCCATGTTCGTGCTCGCATTAATTCACACCTTCCCTTTCATTATCTATCATATTGACAAAGGCGATATGGTGAAGCAATGGAAGACCAGTCTGGTCTACTGGACGGGCATCGGCGCCATTATCCCGCAAGCCTACCTCACCATCATGTCACTTCCGTTCATTCGGAACCGATTCTACGAATTCTTCAAGGCCACCCATATGATGGCCGCCGTTCTTTTTATCGTGTTCTTCTTCCTTCATTGTGACTTCCGTCTTTCCTCATGGGATTACTTTATCGCCAGCGGGGTGATCTATTTCCTTTGCCTTCTCTTCTCGCAAGTGCGCACGTATTTGTTGCATGGGATCCACACGGCCAGTCTCGAGCTGCTTCCCTGTGGCCTGGTTCGGGTATCCGTTCCTACAGTCATAAAATGGGCTCCGGGTCAACATGTCTTCGTGCGGTTCTTGACATCGGATCTGCACCTGCTTACCGCGCATCCATTCACTATCTCTTCTGTCTGCCATGACCCAGATCAAATCGGCAAAGCCTCAGAGCTAATATTTTACATCAAGCCGCGTCGCGGTGTAACCGCTCGCCTCGCCGCGCTTGCTGCGAAACAACCTGGCATCACGAAGAAGATCCTCATAGACGGTCCATATGGTGGCGTGAGCACACACCACATGAGCCGGTTTGATACCCTGCTCGTCATCGCCGGCGGCTCGGGCGGTGGATTCTCGCTCGCAATGGTGGACGAGGCACTGCGGCAGTCTGGTGTTACCACTGGTGAAGATGAATCCGGGCAAGAAAGCCGCCGCCATCTGCAGGTCGTCTTCTCCACCCGTAACACGTCCATAGCCGACTGGTATATCCATGAGATTGAGTCACGCCTCTCCCAGTCCACAACACTACCAGGCTCAGACATTGGCTTTGAGACTTCTGTCTCAGTGCACATTACCTCGAACCGTGACTCAACTCTTTCAACGTCGACGCTAGACTCGGAGAAGGGATCTACGAACAAATTGCCTCCAACAGATATCACAACGACCGGCTCATTCAGCCTCAACGTGCACCGTAACGCCCGCCCTGACCTCCCTGGCCTGCTGGCTCGGACAGTCGCCACGGCCCATGCGAACCCGATGCCAAATGGCAAGAAGCAACGCATTGGCGTTCTTGTTTGCGGTCCTGCATCCATGCTGCATGATACCCGGAACGCGGCTGCGCTGGCGCAGAAGCGGACGTTTGGTGGCGAAGTTGAGGAGCTGTATCTGCATTCGGAGCCTTTTGCGTAAGCTTTACTCTCGTTGTTTGCACTACGGATTGCTTTTTCGCTGACTGTTTCTCATTCAGGTGGTGATTTTTGCTGCATCAAGGTTTCGAAGTACATATTTACCGGGCTTAATTTTCGCTTGAACAGCTATGTTCTTCTGTGTATATCTTGGGATCAGTGGATACTTGTTTAATTACCTTTTTTACACATCTTATCTTATTTTGCGGTAGATCTATGTTGCGGTGTTGTTCTCAAAATAATTTAAAGCTCCCTTACTTTGTCTATTGTGCGGTATCTTGCTTCTTCCTCCTACACTTACTGCCTCCACTTCTCAGCAGTATCTTTCGACATTATTCCCGCTCTACTACTACACATACCCATAAAAACCTACCATAGTTGTTCTTAAAAGTCAACATATCAGCTTGTTGACGCTCCAGAAACGTGCAACCAATCCCAGAGAAATTTCCTGGTAAAGAGACCTCGAAAGCACCAATAACACGTACAGTACCAGTCAACGCCTGGATTGAATGGTCCTTCGCAAAACACCTTTGGATATTTCAAAAAGGCATGTTCCCAGACGGAACAGACACTCTATATCCCTGAGTCACGCACCTAACAAACAGTCTAGTCGATCGTTTCATCGATGCTAGCGGCATGTTCAGTCCCGTCAGCCTTCATGTCTCCTATGCCACATGAAATGGGCTGTTGTACAAGTTTCAGGGTAATGATTTCCGTGACACCTCTACCGCCAGATGACATAGGTAATTATTCAAATATATTCTCAATTGCGTATCTAAATGCGTGAAGTCCTTATACAAAAAGCGATTGGCCATCCAATCATTATGACCTTATCCCAAAACAACCACATCCTCGCCCAGCGCCTCTCAAACTTCTTCAGAACGAGTCATCTCTCGCGTAGAGATGGGAATAAACTTCCGCGTCCAAACAATCTTCTCCGAATACTTGTCACCGCGACCAAGCAAGCAATTGATCTCACTGGGGTGTTGGTACTGAAGAACAAGCGCAGTGATAAACATCAGAAGGGCGTCGAAGACATAGATAAAAACCTCGTTCCTCATCAAATATCCATCATACCCCTGCAGGTACTCCGCCACACGGATGACAGAGCGGACCAGGATCAACACACTCGTCGTGTATAGAGCAATCATATGGCGGGTCCAAAGACCCTTTAACTCGATCGATCGGCTTGTCGGCTTCTTGTTGACACGGGTTTGGAACACAACAGCGCTGATAGAGAAAAGTCCGAAGAAAATGATCTGCACAAAAAGACCACCGATGATAATATGCTCGCCGATAGATGGGTTTGAATTTTGAACCATAATTCCCGCACCTTGAAACCAATCAGTCTGAGATTTGAAAACAGCCTTTGTTGCAGATGCATTTCCTTGGAAGGCTTACCGGAGGCCTGCATCAAGAAAGACAGAACATCACCAGCCACAAAGATCTTAGTGAGCCATCTGAGCTTGATGATGGAGGAGTTCTCGGCATCGAGCATGAATATAATGCGTCCCAGAGTCATATATATACTCGCGGCGAGGAAAGCCGGAGCGATCAGGATCAAAGCACTTTGCATGATATATGGTCCTTGCGTGAAGTCTGGCGACTCAAAGGATGATAATAGGCGTCCGACATAACCGACAGTTTCAACTAGCAAGAAACAAATATGGTTAACTTTCTGTCGTTATTTCAAGTATAAGGATATCCCACTGTAGCACACGTACGATTTACTCCGATAAAGAAGGGAATCATGAACCATGTTCTTGTCCGCACGAGTTGGTATAAATGCACGAGACTGCTCAACCCGAACAGGACAGTGAAGATGACTGCAGCTGCAGTAGATGGAGCATAGTAATAGAATGTGAACTCCATAGCCGCGCTATTCTCCGGGTATAAATTGTATAAATTGAAAGGTGGGAAAGATTGAGCTAGCCCTTGGGTGCGACTGGTGTTGTGAGAGCTGCGGTTGAAAGCAAGGTCGAGGATGATGATGCCTTTATATTAAAGATATCCCGAAGAATGGAATAAATTTTCGACAATGCCCTGGAATTCCAATTCATGGACGCCTATTTCAGGTCGTATAGCTCGGTTCCGTAAGCTTATTTTTGGGGTCGTACTCGTTCCGTGCTCCATTGCGGGAAAGGTGCTGGTGGGGCACCGTGCATTGGCCTCTATTTTTCAACCATCGGCTCGGGTTCGTAGCCTTGTGCTCGGGTTCGGAACTTATGCTCGCGTTCGTAACCGTGTCCGTTTTAGGAGTTTGTTTAAAGATACCATTCAAATTTATTTGATGGCTGGGGGTTTTCTTCTTTGATTAGATAGGTATATTCTGTGCTTAGCAAGCTTATATGCGAGTGACAGATCTCTAAGAACCCCATCGCGTCCATCGGCCGTCCAATCACACCCTAGGAGAAATTGGACTCTGGCTTACCCGAGCCAGCGAAATTGATAGTTCCTGATAAGTATTATTTTCGTATTTAGTACCCATTCTGACTGATTCAAAAAGGCTCCTGCCTGAAGTAAATGCCAACCGGCTTTGCTCAATGGCGGCCACTTTATCCAAATGTTTTTCTTCGGATTCTTCATCGTCATTTCAATCATTTTCCACCGCCGAATGCTTGCCTCTCCCTTGAGGTTTCCGAGGGAAATCCGGATGCCCTGGGCTCGATATATGAGGGTTATGAACACGGCTAGCTGTCCGATCATGACTCGTTCGATCTACCGAGTGATCTTAATACGTGCAGGGATGCGACGGCTATCTGCAAAGCGCGGAAGCATTTGTTTATATTTTTGATCCCGCGCTGATGCTGCTCACTTGCTGTCTTATTCTCAGTGTTTCCCATCCCAGCAAGATGCTGCTGGGGCAGGAAGGAGGATATCAGAAAAGTGAACGTCTTGAGATGCTAACCTAGATCTAGGTCATTATATAGAAATCCTAGTTTTAGTTCATCGATATAGTAGTTTCTAGAATAAACTAGATAGAGTTAAATGAAGGCTTACCGGGAAGTAGATTCACGGTAAGGGGAGGCACTTTATGTGCTGCAAAAGAAGCACTTCTATATTGATTCCATGTAGTCCTAGGTTGTAATGAATAAAGGCCTTACGTCCTACGGGAGTCCGGCGAGATCATACTGAGACATACCGTGCCGAAACGGTCCGGTTTCGTAGACGTTTTGCCAAGGTCAGTTTTGAAACTCAGAATCCTTCGATTCCAATCTAGTAACCTGAAACTGTCAATTTCGATGCCAGGAGAAGCTTGCACAAAAATAAAAAGGGGCATAAACTTTTCTAGTATAGCAAGTGCTTATGAACAGAGGTGTCTCATCTTATGGAGTTCTTCTGGCGTCCAATGTCTAAACTTCGCACTCCGGGTATCATGAAGAGCAACGCTAACCATATCACGCTAGCTCGAGTGCACGGGGCTTGAACTGGGTAGCTGAGCGTTCGCCGGGATATGGCCGGGTCCGGTTTACGCATAGCCACTCAATTGTCTGCAGTGCGGTTGGAAGATCTTAATGTACTACCTATTCCACAGGAAAATATGCCCTGAGAAAATTGAAACATGGACATATCGCCTTTATTAACAGCCAAGATAGAGAAACCAACGATCTAAAGTCCGAGTAAATATACCAGATCCGAAATGTATCGCACAGTCTAGGAGTCGTACCACAAGTCACCATAAAAAAGAACAGATCAACGCCGCAGCCAGATGATAGCAAAATGCAGATATGTCCCAGAACAAATAATGTGGGCCCAGGCCAAACTCCAAATACCTCGAAACTCCAGAGATCACAAAGCCCAAGTCCCAGTATGTCTAGAGTGGAGAGGAGAGTAGATCAGAGGAAAAAGAAAAGATAACAAGAAAATGTAGTCATCAGGTCATAACCCCCAACGAGCCCACGACACCTGGAACGAACTCAACAAGTGACTCGCAATATCCCGTTCCCTTACTCGGGCTTCTTCTCAAGCCGATCCATCAAAGCAGCTCTCACCCGAACATTGACGACACCGCCGACACCATAGGCCGGCACGATCTTGCCCATGCGCGCAAAACTGCTGGAAAAATAGTCTCTGCGAATCCGAGCTACGCGCTCGGTCCACCGTAGACCACCTGGTGGCTGTCTGTTATACAGATCCAAGCCGAGGAGATGCATCGGCGTGCTGGCGAACTGCATAAGGGCCGGGCAAGCGAATTGGGCTGTGGCAGCCTTCATGCTCGGAGTCGACGCGATAAAGTCCGGTATTGAAGGCGCGATCATCGTGGGCACATTGAAGGACGCGAAGATCGTCACGCTATCACGGAGACAGAAGAGTGAATACGAGGCTTTGGGGATAGTGGGCGCGGCGACGGGCTGCGACGGCATTGGAGGGCGGAAGGCTGTTCGCGGGCTTCGGAATGTAGATTGTGACTGTGCTGGGGGAGGCGATGCGCCGAAGATCTTGGCGAAGCGCGCATCCTTGTACACGCAGATGGCCATGTTCACCGCTGTCGTGGAGATAAACTTAGCTGGCCCCGCGGTCACGGTGGAATAGGACTGGTTGCGGAGGGTGGAGGTGACGGTGTCGATGGCATTGGCGGTAAGGTAGGTCGAGCTGTACAGGGCGTAGATGAGGAGGAAGGGTGTGCTGAAGAAGAAGCCGCTCGGTTTGGCGATCATAGACTTGAGGCAGCTGCTGATGGTTTGGCGGATGGGGAAGCCTTTGGATGCTTTCTCGATAATGGCACTGTTTGATAACAAACAAGCCTGTTAGTTGTACAGTCCTTTCCTTATGTCTGAAGCCGCCTTTGGCTCGTCGAAAGAAAAATACTCACCGATCAATAATCGTGATCAGCGGACATGTCAGCGCGCCAGCAGAAGCAGCACTGACTACATCGACGCCGAGTCGCAGGCCCAGGTCCTTTGTATTCCATGCAGGCGCTACCGCAGGCGCCGCGGCTACCTTTGGGCTTGGTGATGGTGGGGTTGTGCGCGCGACAGGACGTTCTGAGACCGTAGCCATGGCGAAAGAAGCATCCTGCGCGACCGCATCGCGAGTCATGCTCATAGGGACAATGCGGGATCGGAGAAAGACGGAGGCGCCGGAAAGTGACGCATGAGCTGGGAACGCTGAAAACACAAGAGATTGACAACAGAAATAGCCCCAGAAAAGGAAGCTGGCACAGGGCCGAATGAAGGGGAATCAATTACAAATGGGATGGGACTCAGGACGTATCTTTTAGGGCCCCGGCTGATGTGATGCCCCCAGCTTCGGACGAGAAAGGCCCGGGGGCGCGGCTCTCCGATGCCGGCCCCGTGCCGGGCCCGATCGTCTGGTTGGCCGGATAAGCGCTCACTTTGAGCGGTTTATACTTTTCGTTATATACCGTTCTACTTTCTACGAGCAGAGCAAGGAGCCAAACGTAAAAATGCTCATGTTTTATTTACCCCCGGTAAACGCCATTATTCACAGAAGCTGTAGCAGAATCCTCCCAAAAGACAAAACTACGCAGATGTATCAACCTCACGCGCCACGAAGCCATCCAATGTGACGTTCACCGCACCCGCCTGCACGAGCTGTTCAAATCAATATGTTAGCTGAAGGGTTTCTCTCGGGCCATTCACCATCCTATCCAGGGGACCACATACCGCTCGCTGCAGGTCATCAATCAAGTCGTCGACGTCCTCAATGCCCACACACAGGCGGATCAGATCCTCCGGCATAGCGCGTTCCGCCCGCGTCTTCGCGTCAATGCTGGCATGGCTCATGCGGCAAGGCATACTGATCAAACTGTTAACACAGCCGAAGCTCACGCTAATAGCCCAGATTTTCGCGCTCTCGACAATACGCTCGCTGACGTTCACGTCGCCCGTCTCGAATGAGAGCACCGCTCCGGCGCCCCGCGCCATCGAGTTGTGCAGCTCATATTGCGGGTGCGACCGCAGGCCCGGGTACCGCACCTTGAATCCGTGCGACTCGAGGAACTCGGCGATGCGCTGCGCGTTGCTTTGCTGCTGGTCCATGCGTACCTTCAGCGTCTTCACGCCGCGCATCAGCAGCCATGAGTCAAACGGCGACAGGCCGCAGCCTGAGGCATTGATCGGGAAGTACAGGCGCTCGCCGAGCGCGAGGTCGTTCACCGCGAGCACACCGGCCATCAGGTCATGGTGGCCGGACAGGTATTTGGTGCCACTCTCGTAAACGATATCCGCGCCCAGGTCGAGGGGGTTCAGCAGCAGGGGCGACATCATGGTGTTATCGACTGAAACCAAGCAATTGGGATTCGCTTCGTGGGCGAGTGTGGCGATCTTGCCAATGTCGACAACCTTGATTAGCGGGTTTGTAGGGGTCTCGAGCAGGACCATGGCGGTCTTCTCGCTCAGCACCTCAACCACCTTCTCCGGCCGGGTGGTATCGACGTGGTGCACGACGATGCCGCCGTTGGTTGAGAGGAACTTCAGCAGTCGGTGGGAGCCGCCGTAGAGATCGTCGCCGGTCACCACCTCGTCTCCGGGCCGCAGGAGGCGAGTGATCACATCCAATGCAGCCATGCCGGATGACACGACGAGCGCACGCTGTGCGGACATGATCTTCGCCAGGTGTCGCTCGAGATGGGTGCGGGTTGGGTTGCCGGAGCGAGTGTAGTCATACTCTCCGCCGCCGCCGCCGGAGGTCTGCTTGAAGGTAGCGCTCTGCGTGAAATGGCATCGATCAGTACTGCTATCCCTCCAAGTGAAAACACTCATCCATCCCATTTCATAGCTATCGTACCTGATAGATTGGCACACTGCTGGCATTGTACTGATCACTGCCTTCGGTAAAAACCAACTCGGTGGCAATGTTATACCGGCGGCCGGCGTGTGGGCTGGACGGAGCGGGCGAAGGTGGCAGGTCATTGCCCTGCAGGTCAACACGAGGGAATGCCTTCTTCATGGAGCTCGCCGACCCCGACGCAGCGCTGGGCTCTCCGGATCCTGACGCCGACATCGCTGCAGAGCGGGGCAAAGACAGACACGGATGAAGGGGGGAGGAGTTGGGAGTGTATGCGTATGCAATGAGGGGTGTGGTTATAGAGTCAGAAATGCAGTCTTCCAGGTACAATGGATCTGAGTAACAGGAAGCAAATAGAATGAGAATTAGGAAAAATGTCGGGTTGCCATTCCTTCCCCCGGACAGTCCAATTGCTATGACTCCGCTCTCGCGGCCCGCCGATTGGCGAATAGCAGCGCGCTGCGATTTCGTCATCCGCTAATCCTCTTTAGGTTAAACAATGTGGTGCTGTCACATGATGCTATATACCTTTTAACTGTTGGGCTACGGCATGTCTGGATGGGTATCGCTACCTGCATGAAGTTGTGTGAATGATTGCTTTAGAAGAGATGGGCAGGAGAGATCAGAAACAAGTAGTGAGGTATCTTAAATAAGTCACATCCTTCTAGAAAGGTAAGTTGGGATATCGCCTGATATTTCATGATCACCTAGATATCTAATATATATGTCTACAGAGTACCTAGGTACTGATCGCGCAAACCTTTGTACGGCCCGACCGCCATTTTGCCACCCCATAGGTCTCAGTGAAGCGAAGAGATGGGATAAGTTCACATCCCTAAAACAAGGCCGAAAGCATTTCACAGAACATGCTATCGAGCTTCAGCAGACTGCTACTGAGGTGCAATGATTGCAAATTATGTAGGCTAAATAGCCGAAAATAATAGCGGAGACCCTATGGACCTAAGTGCAATACCATCTGAGGGTAGAAAAGAAAAGATCAAAATTGAAGTTACCCAAGTGCTTCGCTTGTGGTAAAAAGGGTCATTTCAAACGCGATTGCCTCAAACCTAAAGGCGAAGACAAGAAAAAAGATTAGAGGTAAATATCAAAGGATTCAATAACGGAAGCGTAAAACTAGTACGGCTAAACACTCTCGAAGCGCTCGCTAGTTGGCCGTATGACGAAAGCTTCGATTGTGCCCAAACCACTAGGTTAGGACCCCTTGGAACAAAGGTAGGCCGATCAGGGTAACTTGAACGCCCTAGCGTGCAAGGACGGCCCCACTAGGCCCCGAATCGAAGTGCCTCTCTCTGCGATGGGAGACTCGTTGTTATTTTAAAAGAAGAGTGGGAACGTGGCGGTACGGGCGCTGTTGGACTGCGGGGCATCCCACATATTTATCTCCGCCGCTGCCCGGTCATGAGGAGATTCGCTGGGACTACAGTAGATCCATCTTGTACGGCCTGACCGCCATTTTGCCACCAAAACTGATATGACCTGTAAAATGCAGGCAATCAAACTAACATGATCCATTATGATTTTAAGAGGCTAGAATGATTATCTTTTGAAGAAACATAATTGAATCTAAGAGAGACATTAGGCCACCTCCTACTTAGGCCTGCTTATGATGCAAACTGCAAATTAGAAAGTTCTGTATTAACAGTTATGGGGCTAAAATAGCCGAGATAAAAGTACACGAAGTCAGAATACCTCACTTATTGCTGAACCTTAGTGGCCTTGTTGCGACCACGGTTCCTCTTACCCTTGCTCGGGCTAGACTCCGCAGGCGCCTCGTGGCCACACTCGACAGACTCACTTACAGCATGTGCAACAGCAGAGCCCAACGCATTAGCAGTGGCACCAAAATCCACGCCGCTGACAAACTGCTCGCTGAGGAACTCCAGCCCAGCCACGAATGTACATAGCGCACTGGCGATACAGAAGTGGCTAATGGTCATGCCAATGTCGAGCCAAGAGCCTTCGTCGCGCACCATGTAGAAAAAGTTCAGAGTCATCACGTCCGATATAGACATGACGACCATGAACAGCGCGCTGGGCGCCACCTCTAGGCGGCGATTGAGAATACCCAGATTGGCGCTGATGATGGCGAAGGGAATAAGGATTTGCAAGATTAGAAGTGCGCCCTGAGCGAAGGGGTCGAAGATGGGGATGAGGCGGCGAACACTCTCTAAAGAGAAAGTGGAGATGGAGGCGACATTGCCGGTGCTGAAGAATGCCGACTGGAGAAGAAAGAAGAAGAACAGTGCAACGCGGGTATCAGAGATAGTCAGAGCACGGTAGCTGTACGTCTGTCCGTCGACTGTTGCGGTGCCTGTAGGAGCAGATTTCGATGAAGCTGCCGAGCCATTGGTAGCAGGCTCATGCGACCGAACCGGATTTGGGCCTGCAGTATGAACATAGATAGCGTGTTCGAGGCGGACCCATGTTACGAGGGTCATGCAGAACACGAAGTAGAACAAGCCTTCCCACGAGATGGTAAGAATAATAAAAGTAGGTGAAAAGGTCAGGAAAATGACCATGAGACGATGGAGATAGTTGTTGTTCGGATAGAATCGGTGGAAAAACGGCAGGGAGAGCGAGGCCACTGAAAAATGATTAGTTTTTTCAAAAAGGTGAGATAAGAAGGGGGCACCAGCTGAAGCGGCGTACTCACCCAGAACAAACCAGCCCACCACTTGATTGCCAACAGGCAAGCCCTCACGGGCCTGGAGGGCTGTCACACTCGACCGTGTCACGAACAAGGCAAGAAGGACCATACCAACCTAAATGAACCGCCGAGTTAGTGCATCCATAATGGGTTAATAAGATAAAAGACCGTACCTGCAAGCCCACGATGACTCGTGAACCAAGGCGGCCGATGGATCTCGAGCCCTTCGGCGCGGTGCCGCCGTGTCCAAGAATGGCATCTTCGAACAACAGGTATAGAATACCGGTGAAAAACATGATGAGACCACCATAGGTGCTGCAGCAGGATTAGAGACTAGCAAGATTCGTTGGCAACAGATAGAGAGGCTTACATAGCTTCAATGTTCTCCACTTTAGTGACTGGAAGAAGAGTAAAAGTACTCATCAATAAGCAGCCCAGCGCCCACGTTGCAGCGAGGAAAACGTGGTTGCGAATAAACCCAAACCCATAGGCCCCAGGCCAGATAGCAGCCAAGGCGAAACCGACAGTGAATATTTCACGATGGAAGTAAGATTGAACCTGCAAGCTAGAAGTCAGCTAACCTCCTTTAGACAATTGAGTGTCCAACATACCAGAGCCTCTAGCACACCAATGAACGCGAACGCCTGTAATCCAAAGCTCAGATACCCTGAAAATGAGTTTACATGACCAAGGATGATCTGACGGCCAGCAACCAGAGCCTTGCGGCGAGCAAAGACTTCCTCCCAGAAGTAAACAGGGAAGAATGCGTAGAAATAATACCGCCATGAGGAGCCCTGGTAGAGGAAAACGGAGAACAGAGCCACCAAGATTGACGAAAAGAAAGAGATGCTAGCAATGGTCCGGTGAGAGTCCGACGTTCCGTGCAGGACATGCAAGTCAATAACTGTGGTCAAAGCATAGGCAATCCAGCCCAAGTAGCCCAGAGAGACAATTGTCCGCAGGAAGAGCCAGTCATACGTTTGTAGATAGCGCAGACCCTCGAGACCAACAACAAGCAATTCCGAAGACAAAGTAATAGACTCCTCATAAGCCCCATTTGAAATAAGAGCTTCCAAATTTGCAAAGCGTCCTTCTATGGAAGTTTCGCCATCGCCAGAGAGAGGCTCAAATGGCACATAGCGGAGCACCGCGTTCCTCTTCTGTTCTTCCTTGACCCGGTACATTTCAAGCACTGCCCGCGTATTTGCAAGAGCCGCCACTGCTTTTTCTTTCGGGCTACCATTAATATAATCCAGTGGCAGCTGACCAACCGAGTTGACGGGATAATCAACGCCAACAAGGTACGCCATAAGAGCCGCGACATCAGCCTGTGCAACATCATGTCGGTGGATGTGGTCGAATCCCCAATCCGACGAGAACCCATCCTCGTGGCCAGGGGCAACTCCCGACTTGGTTATCTGAGGCTTAGCAACGCCAGAGCCCCACACAACCAGAGGTGTGCGCGTGTTGTCTGGATGACCGTCGCCGTGGCTGCCCATGTCGTTCATGCCATGGTCGGCAGTGAAAACGAATGCGGTTTTATCGTCCCCGTAAAACTCCTCTACCAACTTGGTGACCGCCTCAATGCCCTTGTCCACAACCTTGATGTTACTGAGGTACTCCTTGGAGTAGGGCCTGTATGCGTGGCCGGTGGTGTCTAAACCAAGCAGATGAAGGAAGAAAACCAATTTGTCCTCGCGCAGTTTCCGATTGATCTCTGGGTCACTCTTCGCGGACTCGAAAAGCTCGTGGACTTTCTCGAATACCCAGGTATCCAGATGTGTAGCGTCCTGACTGAAGTCCTCGGCTTCCTCCGCATACATCTCCGCGTCCACACGGCCAGGTTCCGCGCCCTCCTTAAACATCGGTAGGATATCCGGACTGCCCCAGCTCCATGTATGGCGACTGCGATTGAAAACGCTATCGAAGTTGACCGGGTTCAACTTCCACCCAGTCGTGACCGACGAGACATCCTCGTACAGGCCCGCAATGAGCGCAACATGACCGGGCCGCGATTCAGTGGGGACACGAGTGTGGGAGACGCCGAAGGTTCCATGGGAAAGAACCTTGTCGCGGATAAAGGGTGCTAAACGGATCAAATCATCGGACTGTTCGGCGAGGGCATCGGGGGATGGATCAGGGAAGGCCTGGAATGCCTTGTCGGCGCGCAGGCCATCGGCGACAAAGAGGACTAGGCGTTCTGCTGGTGGATTGGTGCCAGCGGAGCGGTCGACTCCATAAGAGCGCATGCCACTCACGATAGGGCTCACAAAGTAGATGTCGAAGATCGAATATGTATAGATCAGGTGGAAGACCACCGCGAGGGCGAGGAACCCAACGCGGCCGAGACGCGCCATGACACTTTCTTCTCACAGGGGGTCCGGCTCGAGGCAAGATTGGGGAACGAGTGGAATTGAGCCCCTGCAGAGAAGGAAAAACAAAAGAGAGAAGGATATTCAGAGGTGATCGACATCACCAACAACAAAAAACACGCAATCACCACTACTCTGCTTGAAACGTATCGGGGAACTTGCGGACGGGGGGCGGTGAGGGCCAATCACGGGCTTCCAATTGTGCACGGCAGAACCTTTGAGTTGGGGATTTACCCCTATGTACCGCGACGAATACAAATAGAGAATCTATTTCAGTTTGTTGTAACTTTGTGCATTCGTTCTTAATTACGTATTAATCTTTTGTTTTCAAGCCAGGAATCCCTTTTCTCAAAGGTAATAGTATCACAACCAGCCTTTAAAACATACCGGTCGGTCTTCTCTATACTTATTTCTGAAATGTTCCTAAGTGTAGTACTTAATGACTGGCTACGGTGAAGGGAAGGTAGCCTGTGACTTCCACTAAATCAATGCAATATTCAACACCACACAATGCCTATATAGCCTCCAAGTATTAAATCAACACTATCATACTGTGCTAGAGCGTCGTTTGTTTAGAGCGGCAGTCAGTTGTGTATAGAACTTGGAGGTCTGCTCTTGCTGGAAAGTGATATCAACCACCAAGAAATCCGGCAAGATATTCACAAGATCCCGATCACGGCTGGCATCCAACAGTGGTAGATACTGGCATTCTGCTTGCTCATGTTCTAAGTTAGACGCCTTCGGAATGGCCAATTTGAAATGGAGTGCTGCAAGATTGTCAGACATGGATGATATAGCGCTTGTCTCGGATTCATGAGAAGCTTACATCCATTGGCTCCGGTCTGGATACAATCATAGAGATGATCCGTTTCCCGGTTCTTGACATCGCGGATGATCAAACCGGTCAAATCGCTATAGAGCTCCTGCTTCAACTGCGCAAGCTGAGCTACCTGTGCCGCCTCGGCACTAGCAGCTGCAGTTGCGCGATTGGCCGCGCCGCCCTTCATAGCACTTCCTGGGACTTTGGTAGCCTCTAAGCTGGCAGCAGTATTGCGTGCGGCGGTAAGTTTAGTCTGAAGAGCCTTGATCTCGGACTGGGAGGAGGCGAGCTGAGAGCGTGCCTCATCTGCCTGGGCCTTGAGCTTGGCCATTTCGGCGTCCCGCTCCTTCAGCTGCTTCTGAAGACCGCGGGTCTGTTGCCCCAAAGTTCGCTGCGCCTCCAGTTCTGATCGTAGCGAGACGACAAGATCATTGGAAGCTGGTAAAATCAACCGATTAGCCAAACACGATACTGCTTTCATAAGGCTACCAAGGCAGTAGACATACCCGTGGTGATAGTCTCACACTGCTTACGCAGCTTCTCCATGTTCGTGTTGGCTTCTACGACCCCAATCTCGCGCAGGTTGCGATATTTGGACTCCAGCGCATCGTGCTTCTTGGTGATATCCCCAATCCTACGCCTCAATTCTGGATCTCCGCCTTGCTCAGTGTCCACTCCTGATTTGCGTTTACGAGGAGATAGATCCTGACTGCTCTTCAGTGTGGCCAGTCGTGCCCTTGCATTTTTGACAACAGACGACGGCACATAAGGGGCGATTGGCTCGGCGTCGGGAAGCACCGACTCGTCTACGACTTCGTCGGTGGGTCCATCATTCTGCTGCATCTCGACCACCTCGGGTATCCTTTCTTTGGGTGCAGCGCGTGTTGGTGTATATTCGAATTCTCCATCTGTTTGTACTGGCTTGGCGGTGCTAGCTGCCCGGCCTTTTCCTCGTCCGCGCGCTGTCGTCGCCGCCGCGGGCTTGCTGGCCTTTGTGGCCCGGGTAGCCTTTGAACCCCTTGCGCTTAAGTGTTGCTCCTTCTCCTGGTCATCTGTACCCTCGTTTGCCAGTGGCTCTTGTGTTACCGCTGCCCGCGCATGCGCCTCGGCGTTTTCTGAAGTGCGACTGCTGCCGCGAGGTCGTCCTCGCCGAGCGGGCGCTTTCTTGGCTGCTGGAGCATCTCCTTGCGACGATGGAGCAGCTTCTTGTTTCTTTGCGGGGAGGTTGGATGCGGTTGCGCTATCACCGGACGTACGCGGGCGGCCTCTGCGTTTCTTCGTGGGCGGCTCGTCGCGTGGTTCTTGGGAAGGGGCGGCCTCGTTTTCAGTAAGCTGCATTAAATCCTCATCATCTGAGCCAACAAGGCCGGAGATTTTCGTGGGAGCTTTGCGTTTTGGCATGGCGCAATTGGTGGTGGATTTTCATCCGATGTGGTTGGATGTGAACGCGCGCCGCGAGTATCAACAACTTTCCGCCTGGGGCAGACATGTGACATTCCGAGCCACAGCGATCATCCGCGCCACAACTGGCCGATGCCCGAACCAGATCTCGGGACTCGCTTGCGTCTCATCCTCCCCATCCTTGGAGTCCGGATTCAATTTCTTTCTCATTCATTTGTAATCCGCCCGTACTACTTCTTCTAGGACTCGGCGTTTCGAGTCGTCGCCCTTCCTTTCCCCTTTGATAGCCACGCTGCGGTCATCATGGCTTCAGCAGGCGGCCGCCGATGGCAGAGTTTCGTGCAGGAGCTGGTGATGGTTGCTGGCACGGTAAGTTTCAAGTTCAAGTCCGCGGCCCATATGTCTCAGGAGTTACTGTTTCTGACTGTTTGTATGATAGTCGGCTTCGGCATACTTCCTTATTCGTTACCTCCTATCGCGCCTCGATTTCGACCCGGAGAGCCAGAAGAAGGAGGAACAACGGCAGAAGTCAGCAGCCATCTTGCGCCGATTAGACGGTGCCGAGGAAACAGATGACGAAGCGCCCCGAGGGGGGAGTGCGAAGCGAAGCCGCCGACAACGAAGAGGCGAGCTGACGCTGAACCAATACGAACAAGCCGTTGCGATGGATGTGGTTGCGCCAGAAGATATTAATGTGTCGTTCGAAGATATCGGAGGTCTCGACCATATTATTGAGGAGTTGAAAGAGTCCGTGATCTATCCGTTGACGATGCCTCATCTTTACGCCTCCACATCATCCCTCCTGACCGCACCATCCGGTGTTCTCCTGTATGGGCCGCCTGGTTGCGGAAAGACCATGCTTGCTAAGGCGCTGGCGTCTGAGAGTGGCGCGTGCTTCATTAACCTGCACATTTCTACATTGACGGAGAAGTGGTATGGTGATTCAAATAAGCTGGTCAATGCGGTCTTCTCTCTTGCACGCAAGCTTCAGCCCACCATTGTGTTTATTGATGAAATTGACGCAGTCCTGGGAACTCGGAGGAGCGGCGAGCACGAGGCGAGTGGGATGGTGAAGGCGGAATTCATGACGCACTGGGACGGTCTCACCTCCGCCAACTCAACTGGTGAGCCGCAGCGAATTGTTGTTTTGGGAGCCACCAACCGGATCCAGGATATCGATGAGGCCATTTTGCGGCGTATGCCCAAGAAATTCCCTGTCACTCTTCCTCCTGCCCAGCAGCGACTTCGGATTCTGAGCTTAATCCTCAAGGATACTAAGGTCGATCGGGACCACTTCGACCTCCACTATCTGGTTAAGACTATGGCCGGCATGTCCGGCAGCGATATCAAAGAGGCCTGCCGAGATGCCGCCATGGCTCCGGTGCGCGAATTGATCCGACAGAAGAAGTCGGACGGTATGCAGATGACTGCTGTCGACCCTCATGAAGTCCGTGGCCTTCGCACCGAGGACTTCTTTTCCCGCGCCGGTGGTGTGAAGGTTATGCCACAACCTCTTCAGGTGCCCACCACTCCAACCGGAAAGGTTGTCGAGAAAGAAGATGGAGACTGGAGCACCGAGGATGAGGCAGCCTCGGAGTCTGAGGCCCGTCCCTCTGAGATGGCTGAGCCCCCAGAGTGAGCGTGAATTATTTTATAATTTTCAATGTTAATCTAGAACCCCATTTGCTCTTCATTTCTGCGTCTTCTTGAACGCAACTTGAGGGATATAGGTTGGATTTTAATAGGGTACCAGGCGTCTCTGGAGAGTCTATCTACTTCTGTTTGGCTGCGAGTTGCGGTTCTGGCGGGGGCCAGGTTGTCCATAGAATTGTCCGACGGGCCTCGTGTACGATAGTGAGGGTCCAGAATGCACCATAAGATACGTCTTTGCTGTCTTGACTAATCTGATGCCGGCTTATCTTGTATATCATCGGAACTGACCCCTAGCCTGCAGGTACTGGTACTTGCCCGCGCATACTCGCCCTCGGGCAACGTCATGTACCACTACTTCGCCGGGCGGCGAAGTCACCTGCCGATCATCCAACAGCACCTCCCGCAAACCCACCCTCTCCTTACCGGCGCCTTTTTCTACATCCTCTCCTCCTTGTACAAAAATTGCTCCCTTTGATCCTGCCCTCATTGTGATTGCTGGCTCCTGGTCTTTGTCTTCCCCATACTCCTTGAGTTGGCGCCCGCCGCCGACCTTCTGGTGGGTCGTTATCGTCACCTACGACCTCCACGCCTCCTCTGCCTCCTATCACATCATTGAGCAATCACATTCCCTCCGCTACCTCCCCCCGCGGGCTTTACACACTGGGGACTATTATACCGCTATACCAATTTTAGGCATTTGTGGGCTCAGGTTCATGATCTGCCTTGTTGTCTCGTCCCAGCGCTGAGGCCACGAGTGCGACACGGCCGGTGGATGACGAATGGGTCTCTTCTAGGAGACCACTGATGGCAATCAGTGCCTTAGCAACATCCACACTTCCGAAGGAAGCTTTCAACCTGCGTCCTTGGAAGATCACTTCCATCGACCTCACTGACAGGCATGAGTTCCCAAAACAGCTTTGTCAATGCTTCCCTGAGCTCCAACACTGTTGGTGCGAGCACCACCTCCACCTCCGCCGTCCGATCGCGTCCTCGCCGGCTGGTCTCCTTCATGGACGATGAAGATGACGGCTCTATCATTAAGAACGGCAACTACTCCTACCAGGGCCCCCAGCCCGGTACGTCCAGTCTCTCTACAACCCTTTCAGCAGATGCTGGAACTACACGATCTCGTGGTGCGACCCCCTCGCCGCTCTCGTCCCGTGGAACCTCGCCGCTGCCCATGAAACACCCCTCCCGTGTCACGGAACCGATCAATCGCGGTCGGAACGAAACTTCGTCGCTTGGTTGGAACGGATCGTCAAGGGCAACGTCGTCGCGAGGGGCTGTGGATTTTCTAGACTCCTCATGGTCCTCCCTCCAGAGCCTGGCGTCGTCGGTACTAGGCAGTGACACCGGGCGAAACACACCAAACGCTGCAGTGAAATCACATACCCGGAGGAAACCGTCGCGATCAGACGTATATATTCGAAGTCTTCCACCAGCAACGTGGGGTCCGTCAGCGCCTGGTACACCAGAAATTGGCACCGGAACCAAAGAGGAGCGACACGCACTGGTTCAGGCGAAGAAGCGGGAGGCACTTCTACTTGCAGACTCCGATCCGATCACGAGCCGCAACTTTCGCCATAAGCGACGCGACTCTGGGGACTATTTTGACCAACCACTTGATCCGGAGCAGGACGAGGATGCCCTCGCATACATCCATCCTGTACAGGCAACAGACAGCATTACCGGCGTGACGATCAAATATGGATGTCAACCTGCGATCTTCCGGAAGGCGAACGGCTTCTGGCCGAACGACAACATCCAAAGCAGGAAGACGGTGCTATTGCCAGTCGACGCGTGTACCGTGAAGGGCAGACCAGTACTCTCCGCTGAAGTGGATCTACTGATCTCCGATTCGGAAGATGCCACTGGTAGCTGCATTGCGCCGACTGCTGCCTCGACAAATGGTCCGTCATCAGATCAGACCTCTCCTGGGACTAGCGACACCGACAGCAATCAGATCTGGAAACATGAGTCCTGGGTGAACATAGACGGATTTCCGACAGCAGTGCAGATTGGCCGTGTTCCACGACGGGCATTGGGCTTTTTCCCACGCACCCGCCGAAAATCCCTATCTTCCACCGATGCAGAGCCTCTCTATAGCTCTTCCCGGGAGCCAACAAGAACCCCGTCACCGGCCGGCTCGCCACAAATTACTCCGACTAACGGTGTCCTCCGCCGGGCTAGGCCTCGTGCGAGTCAGTCGAAGCCAAGCGGCACACATTCAGCCCGCCCCCAGCATCGCCGCCAGCGCAGCAGCCTTCACCTGTCTGGCACTGGTGTGGGCACTCTTGACTGCACGTCCACTGGACCTGGTCCTGCCTTGGATGGCCTGAGCAAGTTCTTCTCACAGCATATGCCGAATCTGGCGCCCCCTCCCCCACCTCAGAGCCTTCGAAGACCCTCCTTCGGGTCCGAGTCGACGGTGACCTCGAACGCCTCAACGGGCCTGGAAAACATCGGCGGCGCCCTCGAGGGATGGATCCGCAAGGTTGCAACCCGCACCAAGGCCGGCATCAACGAGCTGCAACAAGGCACCCCGAACCAGCTGGCACCCAGCCGAGGCCGCGGGCTGTGGGGCATGGGCGATCTAATTGAGCTGGGCGACGCCTCAGAAGGCCGGCAGTCTCCCAGCGTTTTGGGAGGCTCTACCCGGCGGGAATTGGAAGTCACAAACTCCTCTTCCTCGTCCTTCCGGGTTGGAAACACCTCCGCGTCCGCGACGAGCAGGTCTCGCGCGACAGTTTTTGGGTCGGGGTTGGGCTCGACTGCATACGGCGAGCGAGCGAAGGGTGACTGATGTGTTTGGTTGATGGAGTCTGCGAGCGTACCGTACATAATAGAGCGTCTGTGTGATGTGGATCCTCGGAGGGTTCCCCCAATTCTGCATCTTCGTTTTCTTTTCTTTTGCTTTTCGCTTGTCCAGATTTTCCCCTTTCCTTTTCTCATGAGCGGACTGGTGTTCATCTCTTTTTTTCTATTCCCACAACCTTGGCTTCTTCTCGATTGACCTTGCCAGGGCAGGACCGTTTCTTGGCGTATCCTTTGCATTGCGAACCCAGTGCGCACGACGCTGTTTCCGTGCGGCTGTTTGGAACTGGCCCCTGGTCAACCAGATGGTAACAATACTAACTATTCTGGCGACTACTTGCACCTCACTCCTCCCTGTTCTGCTCTTCTTTTGGCATGTTGGATATAGACTACGTTGTTGCTGTCATGGTAAACTTTTTAGTGTCCTGCATGAGCCGTGCTTTGATATCCACCATACTTGAGAGACTACTGTTTCCACGGGGCTTCACTTGACCAGCGCCAGAATATACCAACCACTCCTCTGGAAGATTTACCTACCTCTATATGACTAAAGTTTTTGTTCCTGCCGATGTCATAAATTGACTAACAACCCACCAAACCTCCGTGCCCACCTCGTCGCTCTATGGAGCATCCCGCAGGGGCCGCCGAATATCTTTGGAGGAAAGCCCTTGTCCGTACCGATCGTCCTTAGAGGAAAATGTCATCCCAACCAGAAAATGCTGAACGGCTCGGAGTTGTGACCCTAAAATGGACAAGTTTGGACCATCCCCACAACTCGGTGGCCTGCATTTCTGCAGCCCTCATGTTGAACCCGGAATTCCTCCATGTTCAATTTCCCACCTATGAGCGTGTCTCCACCCATCACCCTGTCTGCAAAACCCCATACTGGAGTCCAGCCCAGGCGTGGGCTGACTGTGTTTCTGAAACGATGTTCCCCGGTTTAGCTTGGTCTGGGTGTGGTTGCTTCCTAGCGTCCTGGATTCGAGGATCCCCGAGGGGCGTGGATGAAATTATTCAAAATATAGGGCTACTCCATAACAGCGTAAGTCTATTGTCCCTCCAGTACTTTCTCTTTGCCGCGATCGAGAAGGACTTGATTGCTTCATAAATCCTCTTCCACTGCCCCTGTGGCCCATTCGGCACAATATTGCTCATTGCGAAGGGCTCATTACTTCATTCTGCCTCCCGGGTGTGCATTCCTAGATGCCCAAGATGTTCCGCTCGGCTCTGTGGTTGTCCTTAGCCACAGGAGTATGGTCGAACCGTCTGTCCACACGAGTGACAGAAGTCTCCTCTTACCCACCGGTCGCCACGCTCTCCAGCAGCAGTGGCCAATCCAAGACTATTTTCGTCGGCCGCGCGCTCCCTGAATTCAACCAGGACCTCTTCCTGGGCATCAAATATGCCGATCAACCAGTCCGCTTTATGCCTGCAGAGCTCAAATCTACATACGCATCCAATGACAGTCCCTCTGGCGCCTATGATCTCTCCGCAGCCGGGGTAACGCCCACGTCGGAAACCATTTACTACAACGCGACAGCGTACGGATACGACTGTCCGGGCTACGGGTCTGATACAACTAAACTTGTGGCGATGGGATTGATCCAGCTGAGCGAAGACTGCATGAACCTGAATGTGATTCGGCCTCAAACCACCGGCGACGAGTTACTGCCGGTTCTGCTCTGGATCTTTGGTGGTGGTTGGACGCAGGGAGCGACGGCGGACCCCCGGTATTTCGATTATTTCGATCCGAATTGGATTCTGGCGACAGCACTGACGGGCGGTGGCTGCACAGATACAACATGAGCTATATTGTTCAGCAGAGCGCGTTGAATGGCAAACCCGTGCTGGGCGTCTCTATCAACTATCGCTTGGCGGCGTTTGGGTTTCTGGACTCGGTGGAAGTGAGGGTAGGCTCAATGGGACGATGGACTACGGAATGGGAATGCCTGTTGACACCGTGACAGGCTGAAGGCCACACCAATCTTGCCCTTCGGGACCAGCGCACTGCTATGCGCTGGGTGAAGCAGCATATCCAGGAGTTCGGCGGGGACCCAGAGCGGATCACGATCTGGGGTGAATCGGCGTAGGTGCATCCCGATCGTCACACTTTCTCATCCCGAGCTCAGATGGCTGGCATATATAGGGGTGCCTATAGTGTTGGCGCACACCTGGTTACGAACCAGGGCGATAACGAGGGTCTCTTTCGCGCTGGTATGAACACCCGCTACTCCCGTTCAGGCAGTTCTCTGACTAGCGGATCGCAAACCCTAGCCATTATGGAATCCGGGAACGCGATCGGGCCACCCTACAACGGAACCGAATGGCACCAGCCCATGTACAATCGAATTGTTGAGAGAACAGGGTATGGTTTTCCGGTTTCCTTGGAGCTGGCGAGCCTCAACCGCCGCTGAAGCTGAACCTATGCACGCCCAGATGCACCAATTCAACAGATACCCTCCAGTGTCTCCGCGACCTGCCCTATGAGACCATATACAGCAATGCTTACGAAGGACTCGAGTGGTTTGCCACCATCGACGGCATCTTCCTCACTGAGTATCCACAGATTAGTTACCGCGAAGGCAAGCTCGCCAAGGTGCCCATTCTGCTAGGCACGAACACCGACGAAGGAACGAGTTTTGGGACCACGGGGACCGATACCGATGAGGAATGCATTGAGCAGTTGATCTGTGAGCAAGTTCAGCAAGTTCCCTGCCATCCTTGAGACGGTGCCAACATTTCTCCGCAGCATCCAAACGCTGGCTCCTCACCCGTGCCCAGGCCACCAAGCTCCTCACATACTACCCCAACATACCAGCTCTCGGCTGTCCCTACGGCTGGGGCAATGTCACCTGGCCATCTCTGGGGCTGCAGTATAAGCGCTACGAGTCTATGGCCGGTGATATCAGCATGTTCGCGCCCCGTCGGATGCTGGCACAGATCATGTCTCGTTTCGAGGACGTGTACTCGTACCGCTGGGACGTTGCTGCGCTGAACACGTCGACGCTAATTGGGGTGCAGCATTTCGCCGAGGTAGAGAACTTTTCCCCGGCCCACCCTGGTGCTCAGCTGTCGACTGTGACTGTGCTCTCACTCACTGGCGGTAGATCCCCTTCGTCTTCGCAAACCCAGTCCAGAACATCACGGCGCTCGGATCGGACCCTGCTCGTCTCGCGCTCGGGCAGATGGCCGCTCGCATGTGGACCTCATTCGTGACTGATTTGCATCCGAATGGACATGGCGGTGCGTGTTTCCTGTCCTGTTTTTGTCTTCTTTCTTTTCCTTGTCCATAGTATTCGCACTAACACTCTATTTGCTAGTACCGCACATCCCCCACTGGCCCCGCTACTCCGCCAAACCCGCCAATTTCGTCTTCCGTCTTTCCCGAAATGAAAGCTACGTGGAGGTCGACACCTATCGGGCGTCGGGAATGGAGTTTATTAACAGTCTTCCGCGATAAGGTGGGTCTATAGATGCGTTGCACTCGGACTGCGAATGGCCTTCATGAGCTTTGCTCTGGCAATGAGCTTCAGCGCACGGAGACTTGGTAAATCGGTGGTCAAGTCGTATTTCCCATTCTATTGCAACAGTAGGGGCCAGTCGAGTTGGATTTCCATTGAACCTTCCCGAGTTGATGTACCCTCTATTTTCCACGGAATACTTGCCATAGCTCGTTTCTTTCCCCCTCCCATCTCCCATCCAATGGCGAATCCACTGTCGCGAAACAGATTAGCGCCGTAGGGCGTGCCTGCTCGCGTCCGATATCGCGTGGGGTGGGGAACCCTCTTTATCTGTCTCTTTTTTTTTTTCTCTCTCTTGCCTTTGTGCTCCTACAAGATCCCCTCCGTCCGAACATTGATAAAGCGCGCGGTAATCACTCGCCATCCCATAAGTTCCAATTTATACAATCCATTGCATAGACTGCGCCCCACACCCAATTCAATTCCATTCAATTCCATTTGCACGTCCCCCATGGCCACACCAACCCCCACCCACCTTGCATATCAGCATGACGCAAAGCTCCTCACTCTCCAAACAACCATCCAGTCCCTCCGCCCATTCCCAGAAACCGAAGAAGCCAACCGTGCCCTCTTCAAAACAGCCACGGACGATGACTTCGTCCTCGTGACCAAAGACACCATCTTCCACCCCCAAGGCGGTGGCCAGCCCTCCGATGAAGGCAACATCTTCCCCGCGGGGGCAGACGAGACCACCACCGAATCCGCAGTTCTGCAAGTACTCGCCGCACGCATGGATGCCGTGAACGACGGCCAGGTGCTGCATCTCGTCCGCTGCACACCCACCACCAATCTCGCCGCGCTGAGCCCCGGCACGCCGGTCCTCCAAGTCGTCGACGCCGCCAAACGCTTGCTATACTCGCGCCTCCACACAGCCGGTCACGTCCTCGGCTCCGCGGTCCGCCACCTCCTGCAACACACCGTGCCCGGCTTCGACGAGCTCAAGGCCTCGCACTTCCCGGACAGTGCGTCGTGCGAGTTCCGCGGCAGCATCGATGGCAGCTACAAGGGGGCCATCCAGGCGCAGGTCGACGATTACATTGCGCGGGCGATGCCGGTGGAGATTGAGTTCTGGGCGGAGGCGGATTTCGCGCGCGAGGGAGTGTTGCATTTGCTGCCGGACCGGGCGCTCCTATCGCCGGGCCAGGATAAGTTCCGGGTGGTGCGGATTGTGGGCGCGGAGGTTTATCCGTGTGGCGGGACGCATGTGGAGAGGACGGATCTGTGCGGGGAGACGGTTGTGAAGAAGATCTCGCGGAGTAAGGGCCAGAGTCGGGTGAGTTATGCGGTGGTAGAGTCCCAGGATAAATGTTGAGCGGAAGGGGAGCACAATTGAGGGGGGGGGGGGAAGGAGGGGACTATGTAGACATAGACAGGTGGGAAATAAAGACTACGGAAGGACCATGGGAAATCGACGGCCGTACGAGAAAAAGGCAAGACTGGCTAAGCAAGCTACTCCATGCTCTATTCCCCGGCCCCTCGGTCGTATCGAGGGGCAATCAGGGTCTGGAGGGCGGCCACCGAACTTTTGATTTTCTGGAGTTCTAATCCACTCGTTCCACCCAGACCGTCAATAGTCAGTCTAGGGTCCGGGGGAAAGGCGCGAAAGGCGCGACGCAAAACAAGCCAGATAGCCCTTGAGAGAAGTGGGGATCTAGGATCTAAGCAGAGGCAGCCTTCTTGTTGTTGATGCCGACGAGCTCCACCTCACTGGGGACCGAAACAGTCAGCGTCGGTTCTGCGGGACGGGAGGAATCGCTGGGACTTACAAGACCAGGCGGGAGTTCTCGGGGATCAGATCGGGGAAGCCACTATAAGTGAGCAAGGCCTTTGTTAGTATGTAGATCAGATTCCTCGCAGCGCATGGTGTATGGCGATTCGGATGTTGATGGGGACGCTTGGGAGGGGGGAGCTGGTGGAAATCCAAGGTTCATGGGTCACATACCGAGCACCGTAGCCGAAGTCACTATCGAGGCAGACTGGGTCAGTAGGGAGATTCGGAGGCCGTGGGAGTCGAAGACAAGCGAGCAGGATACTTACGAGCTGATGTCCAGGATGGCCTTCTCGCCGAGGCTCATCTGGGGGACACCCTCGTCCCAGCCTAGTAGACACCAGTCAGTTATGGTCAATTATGCATAGAGAATATCCCGAGCTGTCTCCATCGCGGATCATGCTTTTCTTTTCTTTTCTTTTCTTTTCTTTTTTTATCCTCCCGAGGGGGCCATCGCGGTGGGAGGGTTGCACCACCTACCTCGAATAAGACGGCCGACACCGATGGGGGAAGTCAGAGGGCTGCCGCGGTCGCGGGAGCTGTCGAACCTGGCGAGTGCAGCGTGGTCAGCGGGTTCCACCGAGCTCGAGCTCATTACGGAGAGGCACGTACTTCTTGCCCATGTAGTAGTTGGCCGCGGCGCTGGCGTCATACAGGCAGCCGGTGTAGTGCATGGCGACGTTGTCTCCCTGCTTGGGGAAGTCGACACCGTTGCCGGGGGACAGGATGGTCTTCTCAACGCCCATTGTGAAAGAGAGTGATGTGATTGAAGTGGAAGGGTTGTATTGGGAGTCTGCAGATTGGAGGGGAGGTTGTCGGGAGGAAAAGGCAAGCTCAAAAAACGAGGGGCAGTGACTGGATCCACTTTTGTCCGGTTTGGCGGGGAGGGGCTGCTCGACGGACTGAACTATCGTCTACACCACTCACACTCCGCCCTCTAATCGCACCCTGGGAATAGTTAGGATGAGGTATGAACTCTGACCAGGGCCTTGTTCTCCACTTACTCCCCGCTCCGAGTCGATGACGCCTCCCGGGCGGTGATTGCGTGCGAGACTCTGGAGCAGTAACCCGCAGGGAAATGTCGGGGCTGTCGGAGCTGTCGGAGGCATGCTTGGCTAGCTGAGGCGGTGCTCGGTCTGGGGCCATCCTGGGCGTGGAGGTTGCTGATCGGCGGGCATCGTGGCGGCGAGCAGCGGCATGATTGGAATGCCCGGCATGGTGCGCTTTGTTGGACCTGATCCATCTCGACTCTGGTTGAATCCCCCGCATGGAGCACCATTGGCATGGGGTTGCAAGCTCTCTCTCCCTGACCGACAGTCTGATACCCCTCTGCGCCCTGGCGATGGTGGCGGTCATTTCATCATTTCACGAGGCCTCGGCGATCACCCTGTTCGCCTCGTATACCTCTGGCTCGTACGATCTCGCAAGGTGGTATACTACAATATTTCATTTTCCCCCGCTACAAGTACAGGCCGTGGACGGACATACCCGCTGTTCAGTAGTTCCCCTATACGTCTGATGGGGATGGGTCAAAGGTACAGGTATACGAATATACGATGGAAAACATTCACGCTTCCCAAAAGGCCATCTTCTTCACCTCCTCCACCGAGATAGCCGCAATGCGCGTACGCGGAAACCGCGCATCCGGCGCCGGAGAGTCATCTCCCTCCCCAACCAACCGCAGATAATACAGCGTCTCCACGCCCACCTGATCCAGAAACTCCCGGACACGGCCAAAGTTCAAACTCACCTGGTCAACGCCATGGCTATCATCCGAAAGACACAAGCGACCCCCACGCGCCACAAACTCCTACCGGCACCAATTAGCACAGATCCCATCCCATCAGACCCGATCAGACAGAAAAACAGAAAACCCACTACTTACCTTGCAAATCTCCGCCGAGGGATAAGGCTCACTCATCCCCTTCCTCAATGCGGCCCCGTTCACCTCCAACAAGCCCCCATAGCTCACCACGAAATCCAAATTCCTCTGCACCCTCTCCCACACCCCACCCCAAGCCCTCAACCCACGCTCCGGATCATCGCTCTTCAACCGGATCAGATCAAAGTGCCCCACCACCAGCGGCCGCAGCGCCTGGAGCATATCCAGCTGCGCATCATAGTAGTCCTCGAACAGACGCTCGTCCGAGCCGCCGGCGATCTCGCGCGCGCGCTCGTACATGGGTCGGTCGTAGTCAATCGGCACGGTGTGCATGTGGTGCACGGAGCCGATGAAGAATTCAAATGGGAAGCGAGAGAGCGAGGCCGTGATAAGGGCCAGGCTGGACGGGCGGATCCAGTCGCATTCGAAGCCGATGACGATGGAGATCTGGGAGGCGTATTTGGTGCGCAGGCGGACGGCTTCGGCCCAGTAGGCGGCTTCGTTGGCAGCGTGCCAGGCTTCGGTTTCACCGGCTTCGATCTGGTATTGTTAGATGGTCTGTGGCTGTGTATCTGTCTGTGTAGCCTAGTGAGAGTGGACCTGCGCACCTCTTCCGGGTAAAAGTCCTCTTCGCCGCGGGGCATGTGCTCGGTGAGGCAGAAGACGTGCATCTTCTTGCGGATGGCCGTCTGGATGACCTCCTCCAGGGAGTCTTTGGCGTGGCCGGGGCAGAATTGGCCCGAATGGCTGTGGTGTGAAAACGGCATCGTGTGTAGGGTTTCTGGGCTGGTCAGCGCAAGTTCATCATGAGTGGTAAGTAAGTGGTGGTCGGTGGGAGAGGTCCCGTCGGCGCGGTCTGCGATGAGTGGCGGAGGAAGGACTGGGGAATGCTGGGCAGCGTCGTTTGATCTGATACGCACTCTTATGTCTATACTTACTCCACGGGGGAGATGCAATCTATGAAAATTGGAGATTGGGGAAGGGCAAGTCGGGACGGAAGAGGTTGATAGAGGTCCGATAAGGATTTCCGCGCGGCGGGGGAGCATGCAGGCGCACGTCGGCTCTCAACTGGTGGTATTCGCATGCCTGCGCTCTTCGGGGGCTGCTGGCTGCTGGCTATGTTTTCCATATGATTTGGCTCTACACCATTTTGGTATCAGTTTCTCTTGATTGGTGATGTACTGGGTTAGGCGTGTGCTAGGGACTATCCTTCCGGCTGCACATCCCTCGGCAGACCCATTTGTACCAGGTACCTCAAGTAACTTGTAATATACACAATTGCAACACTAGAGCTGCTCCATAGCCAGATTCACACAAAGACCGGTCCGTAGGGGGCTTAAGCCTAGCACAGTATTCCATGCCCTGCCTTACCATCCTGTCACCGCAGGAGGTGGGGGGAATGGCCGAGCTTGGATCTCGATCAATTCGAGTGCAACAAGGACCCTCCACATCAGGGTGTCGAACCAGCCTATGCGCATATGCGCAGGATGCTACAAAGCACCCTCTAGCATGTCAAACGTCCGGTACAATCTCCTCCCCCCCCCCCCCCCAGTGTCGAGCTGAAGTCGCGGACCCCGTCGAGCGTGAACCAAGCCACGCCTAAGCCGTCACCCATAGCTCTCCGCAGCAGCGAGCCTAATTGCAACCAAGCACAGATGGTAGATATAAAACCACACCACACCCAGCCTCTATCACCCAGCCGCCAACACCGTGGCCACCACATACTCGCCGTCATGCGAGATAGACAGCTGCCCAAGCCGATCCTCCGCCTCGCCTGCCCCCAGGTACACGATCTGCGGCCGGCGACTCGTGCCCTCGGCCTGCGCCTGCGCAGGCTCGTCCTCCACCCACACGACCACGTCTTTCCACCCGATAGACGCTGCCCCGCCCGGCGCGGCTTTGCGTGCGGCCTCCTTTGCGGCGAAGCGGCCGGCTAGCCAGCGCGTCATGTCGGGCGTGACCAGGGTTTGCGGGGGGGACAGGGGTGAGGGTGCGTAGTTGTGGGGGCGGAGCGTGTCTCGGAAGCGCGCTTGGAAGTCACGCTGTTCTTGGTCGCTGAGGATGCGCTGCGTGAAGCGGGTGAGGTAGTTTGCGCGCTGGAGGAGGCGGGCGATGCGGGGGAGGTGGACGATGTCGGTGCCGATGTTCAGGGCGAGGGGGAAGGGAAGCGGTTTCATTGGGATTGAGTTGGGAGGGAGCGGCAAAAGGTATGGGATGTGCGGGTGTCGAGGATGTTGGTGTGGTGTGGTGTGGCGTGGTGTGGTTGTGAGGTGGGAGAGTGCGTGGATGGTGTTGACTGACGTTGGCGTGGTGCTCGTGGCGGAGAATCAATAGGCTAGATACTAGCCGTGGTTGGTCATATACACAAGTAGTTTAGCCTAACAAGCGACAGTCCCGCTATACAGCTACGTTTCTCGACCGGTCTACTATCAAATCTGTGCACCTCTGCTACGAACATGTCTTGCCGAGGCGACAGACAAGCTACACGGAGCTCACTCAACCATTTCCGAAACAACCAAGCACAGCACCCCTGGAGACCTCTCGTGTGATGCACCTCCAGGGAGCCTAACAAGCGCGCTCATCGAGCACGAAACGACCATGTCCGCATAGTTTTCGCCGACCCCAATCGACTGCGCCCAGCACGGCATCAGACATCACCAGGAAACCGGATCCAAACTTGAGTAGAAGGAATAATTCTCCTATGCAGCGTACACGCCTCTTTATGTACAGATCCACGAAAATCCATCCGCCGATATCCCGGGAATCGGCCCGCCCAACTCTGCAAAGCTGCCGCGATGAGGATATCACCATACCACCACAGCCGACATATCGAATACAGGTCGTGTTGGAAACAGCAGACGAACAGAATGGGCGACTCGAGTCATGCATCATGCCGTGTCGAACTCAATGGCCGGGTCGATCCATCGATGTAATCCGTGCTTGGGGAGGGGGTTTTAGTGTTGCTCGGTCTTCTTGTCGCCTCCGTCCACTTCCTTCAGGAATTGTCTGCGCAGAAGGCAATTAGCATGTACGTTCCATTGTGCTATTCCGCACTCCCAGCTACTCTAGAGCTCTTCCGCGTCGCCAGAGTCTCCGGGGGGTCAGGACAGGACAGGACAGGGCCGGGCACTTACTGGATGAAGTCGCCCTCTTCCTTGGACGAGGCGTTGATGGGGGGACCAGCAGCGGTCTTGGGCTTGGAGCCACCGCTCATGGCGAGCCAGGAGCCGGCGAACATGCTGCCGAGAACGGCCATGGAGAGCTGTAGGGTGGATTGATCGGGTTAGTTTCACGGTGCTTCCAACTGTCGCCGCCCTGGACGCAAAAAGGGATAGGCGAGCGGTGGGGCTGCTGGGGCTGGGCTGGTGACGGGCACTTACGACGTGGGAGCCGACCTTCTTGCCGGCGATCTGGTAGTAGACGACCATCTTGAGGAATTGGGATGGGGGAGCAGGTGAAGGTCAAGTGCAGCGATGTGGAAGCGGAATCCTCAGGCTTCGATCAAAGACGAAGTCGGCGTTGAGACCGCCTTTCCTGATACGGTTAGCTCCATAATGAGCTGAGTCAGCTAGGATACTGTCGCTAGGTCATGTGATGTCCCGGGCCGTCCGATGCCATGTGACTTGATCGGGAAAGGTGTCAGGAGCGTCAGACGGGAAAAGTACGGAGTACAGGACAGCCCTTTGCAAACGGACTTTATGAGTGAAAAGAGCCTGGGGAAGCAAGCAGGAAAGCTGTGAATAACATACGTGAAGCACCAGTACTATACTTCTATGCGTGTGTAGCGCAGACGCAACCGGCAGGAAACTCGCCGCGGAACCTCGGGCCGGAAGGAAGTAAACGAATCCACGGTCAAACAGCCCGAGTAGATCCCCGGTTAGATCTAGCATACTCTAAGCCACTTGCGCCGGCTGCCGGGTACGGTTAACACGATGGCCTTCATAAACTGTGCCTCTTGCTGCGTATTTGCGCCTCCCTCATTCCAACGGTCTTTGTTGCTTTTTCTATATCCTCTCCCTTGAGCATTTCAGCGACTTCCTTCCCCAATTTCAGCTCCCTGCTGTATACACAACATCCAGCCACAGAAGGCTAAAACTTCCTCGACACAAACTTTTCTTCACCTGCGACACCGAGCTCTTCACGATGGTCTGGGGCAGTCACCAGCCCAACGAGCTGCAAGGCGCTTTCGCGCTTGATGCAAATCAGACCGTACCGGTACCGCGGGCGAAGCTCCCCGCGAAGCTGCAGCACCTAGTCGACCATGAAGATGAGTTTTATGATGATCTCTACTCTCCCTAGTAAGTGCCGTCCAGATGTCAGATTCTGCATTTTCCCGCCCAATCGAAGCCAACGGGGGGGACGCCAGCAGCAGCCCGCGTCTTTCCCGATAGGCTTGACTCCACTTCTCGGCGCACTTGCCGGCTGCCGATGACATACGGCAGGACTTCTGTACTCCGCGGAAGACATCATCCCCTAGCACGAGCTGCTCCACCTCCAAACCACACAAGAATTCAGCCACAGAAGAAACGCTAATCATGAGCTCGTCTTCGTCCTCATCTAGCTCTGTCGACTCCACCGACACTCCTTACCGCTACGCCGCGTACGCCCAGCGCGTTCGCACCCTCCTCCTCTCCGCCCACCGCTACGTCGCCTACACCTCAGACGTCGGCGAGTCATTTCGCCCCGTCGCGCACCCATGGCTCGTGCGCTCCGCCTACGGTATCTCATGGGCCTACCTCCTAGGCGATGTCGGCCATGAGGGCTACAAGGCGTACCTACGGAACCGGCACGCGCTGGCCCCGCCCGGCGATGCGTACCATGACGCCAGCCACTCGCATGAGCAGATTTTCCGCGGCATGGCGACGGGCAATATCAGCAAGCCCTTGACGAGTGAAGGAAGTGAAACGGACTCGCTGACGCCGTGGCCGACAACCAAGATTTCGCTTGCGGAGGATTACCGCATGGTCATGGCGAAGCGTGCCGTGTTCCAGGGTATTGCTAGTATGGGGTTGCCCGCGTTTACGATTCATAGCGTGGTGAGGTACTCCGGGCGCGCGGTGAAGGATGTGAAGAACACATTTTTGCGCACATGGACGCCTATCGGGGTATGTTTCTGAGCTTTTCGCTTTGAGAAGTTTTTCCATAGCTAACCTTTGTCGGCAGCTCGGTCTCGCGGTCGTCCCATTCCTCCCGTACCTCTTCGACCACCCCGTTGAAACAGCGGTCGACTGGACCTTCAGCACTGCACTGCGCATCTATGGCGGCCCAGACGCGGTCCGTCCCCTGCCCCACCAGGTCGGCCACTCCAGCACCACCGAAGAAGGTGGTGTGACAACAGCTGCTGCCCAGCTCTCGTGGGAGGAGTACAAGCACGAGCGTGAGAAGGCTCGCGAGCTTCGCCGGGACCAGCGTGGCAGCAAGCCGCTTTCAAGCTGGTTCGGAGGCTGGACCTCCGACTCGGAGAAGCCTAAGAAGGAGTAGCAGAGAGAGCTAGCCAATACTGCTAGAATGCTCTCTTCTCTTTAATCATCTTGTGTTGCTCCCCTCTCCCGCGGGTATACCTCTCTCCCGTCTTCTTCCTGTACATAGTGTACCCATACATGCAATCTACTATCCAAATATCAACTTTCCCAATCAGCTCGCCGGGTAATGACCTGTTGTCTCCATTTCTTGCACTGAGTGCCATGCAGCCACTGACTGTACGTCATCATAAACGCTACAAGCCAAACCGTAGACGTAGGTGCTTGCATGAAACGCAACCAAACTGCGGCTCCACAAACACTTTGTCCTATCCAGGTTGTCTTTATTTTATTATATTTTTGCAATAAGGCCAATAAAACCCACACTTATGACGGATTTCGCCGCATTAGCTGCACTGCAGCGTGAGCTGAGACATTCTCTCCAGCGGAACGCACTCGCATCGAGGCTAAATCGCCAAGCCGTGGTCATCACCGGAACCTGCCTGGGTTCGGTGGCTTCGCTCCGCTTACTTTTATAGCTTATCTCACAACAAGCTCACATGAGATTAATGCTTCGCCGACAACTGAGCCCCAGGGGGTGGTTCGCAGTATCTAAGTGTCAAGGAACGATGGGCCGCCTAATCCATTGAGATTACTGTATACCAGACCCCGGATCGTCTGCCTAAAGCAGTCCAGTCTTCGCGAGGTACTGAATGCTGAGCTCCCGCGACTAGCCCCGAAAAAAAACTATACGAGAATGTAAGAGGCTCGACCTCGGCAACGATGAATATCCCCCTTCCAGACTGACATTGCCAATCTTACGATAGTACATAAATCTCGCCTCAACTGATAATCCACACCAGATCCAAATAATAATTCAATGAATGCAACCTGAAAAGGATCTGAAGGGGTATAATACAAACACTAAATTTTTCCCGACTCGACCCGTCATAGTTCTCAAATCAATTCCTTCTAAACACCCAATGTCAGCATAGAATTCCGAAGACAGAAAGATCTCTTCTCCGAGATACCGTGACTAGACGCACCTTTTCATTTTCCCTCGTCCAATTGACAGCCACAATGCTTGTTTGCCGCCCCTGCGATTGCATCTTGAAGCCCCAGACCATGGCCAGCAGACCAACAATGACAAAGACAGAGCCAACTATGCACTGTATCATTGGATCTTGAACCCTAAGTAACAGTGGGCCGCCAATGCTCGAATGCGGAGATGGAAAATGGTGCTCGGGGGAATGGTGTTCGCTAGGGAAGGTAATGGATCCGTAGCGTGAGACGGGCACGACTGCGCCACCGCGATTTGGCTCTATCTTCTCGATCTTCCCGTTTGGGTGCACTGGCGGGATGATCGTGTATTGCTGGTCGATAGGGTCGTCTTCGGTAATATCGGAGTGGGATGGGTGATACCGAGGCCTCGCAGCCGGTTGGTAGTGGCCATCGTGATCCTGTAGCCATCGCTCATAATCCGTTTCCTGTCTGTCGGAGGGGTATTTTGCGTCGGGGACTTGACGCGGCGCCATGCTGCGAATCGGAACTTATTCTGTGCCCGATGGAAAGCTTGCTGGGGAACGTAACAACGCGGGCTCGTGCGATCTGGAGTGGGCGGGCAGACGCAGATGCGCAAGAGCTCGTCGTGGGTAATGGGGAGTGGAAGTCTGGCTTGGTAAATCAACGTGGGCGCGCTGGCCCGGTGATATACGGCTGCCTTGGGCGAAGGGGGGAGAGTCTGGGGGCGGACCCCAAAGGCACCCTGGGCCGTTGGGACCGATGGAGTCAAGGCTGGCTTGCATGGCGCTCGGATGGGGCTGAGAAAAGGGTCCTACCAGGATCAGTTCCCTAGTAAACTTTTGGGCTCTTGCATTTAATTGGGTGCTACATGGGTGGCTTGGTTATCAGGGTCCAAGGTAGATAGATCGTCCTGATTGCAGCCTTGGGGCCAAAGTAGGATTCCGTATATAGCTCTTTCTACATCGGCCCCCTCTGAAACAAGATATGACTCTATTCGGGGTTCCACAGCTGAACTCAGGAATGTCTACTGACTAAATCGCCCCAGTCGATGCTCATACTTCCCCGCTCTGTACAGAGTCTGCGCGAGGCTATGTTGAGCAGAAAAAGATTCTACGCTGACCGGGTGTCCATGAGGGGGCGCAGCAGCTCTAGACTTGCCGGCGACAATCATTGGGTAATGTGATCAGCAGTTGTGCCATACGGTGAGCGGGTCCATGACTGGGGGCTGCAATCATTCTGACAGTCTTGATCAAAGACCCTGAAGTGGCTGATATTCCAACCATGGTTTGTACAGGCGCTATTCTCAAAACTAGTGAATCAGTGATGACTTAGGTATCAACGAAGCTAGCCCTTGTATCTCCTGCCAGGATTGGAGGCAAGGATTCCGTCCCTGCTCCTCCATATCGTCCTCGGGGCATGTATGCTCGGGCTAGTGAATGCGGGGTGATGCCGTAAAGACTTGATAGAGATCTGTCTGTGCTTGGCATTGCCATGTAGGGCTTGCCCCCCAACCCCCTATTTGAGCTATTGCCATATGCAATTGCAAGCGCAACCTTCCAGTGCAAGGTATGGCAAGGCAATCCTACTTCTATCACTGACGGGCATTATCCTACACACGCAAAAAAATACTCTTAAAATCTACACCTCTCATTCTCGGCTTCTCAAGACTGCGTCTTCTACCTCGAACGGCCACCAGCCGCCGCCGATTCACCATTTGTACAAAAAGGGAAACAAACAAAACAGATAACGATCCATCAAGGAAGTGTGGAGATAAGGGGGACTAGCGTCGGCTCATGAGGGATCGTGGCCACCCAAACCATTAAAGTTGGACAGTGCGATGCAAGATTGGAAACAGAGTAACTCTGGCCAGGTTAAAAGACGTGGATTTTCAATGGCACAAAAGGGCGGACAGGAACAGTAATTAAGGAGGATCAGTTCGTCACATTCAGTTTGTCACAGTGCCATCGAAAATAAGAAGACAAGATATGGAAAAATAAGTATGGGTGGAAACAAAAGGGGGAATATTCCGAAGAAAAAAATGAAAAGAAATGAGATGAGACACGGGCTGCGCCCAGAAGTGGGCGCGGAGTATCAATCAGGTGAGAAGGGAAATCGAGGAAATGGCCAATCAAAAAGTTCACAGAGAGAAGATACGTCTTGTAGGACGTATGTATGTATATATACCCTGGGGGAGGGATGATGAACAATGAAATAGAATTTTGTGCAGTCTCTCCTCTGCCCCCGGGCCCACCGGTCGGGCAGCCATGGGAGAGCGAATGCTCGATCCTGAGAGGCGAGATGGCGTACCGTCAAAGGGCAATCCGGAGGTCTGACATGCCGGAGGCATTGGGAGGGGAGATAGAAAGAGACGAGGGGGGTTGACCAAGTCTATCCGTCTTGTTTGTCATTTCGAACGTCTAGTTCCAGCCCAGGGAGTTCTCGGCCATTACCGGAGCACTGATCATCTGGGAACGAGCAGTGCGCTGGCTGCCAGACATACGGGCACCGGCAGCGAAGACAGAGCCGCCCTGGCTCATCTGCTCGGCAGTAGAGCTGGAGCGCTGGTGCAGCTGCTTTCTCTTGCGGTAACGGCGGGCAACCCAGAACATACCAGCACCATAGGCAGCGGCACCAGCCACAACGCCAACTCCAATGCCAACGGAGCTTGCCTTGGCCTTGGAGCTGTTGGCCGAGCCGTCGGAGTTGTTGTTGCCGTCCGTGCTACCACCATTGCCGCTCTCGCTGCCGCCGGTGCTCGAGGACGAGGAGCCATCCGAGGATGGATAGTTGCCGGCGAACTCCAAGGGAATGGAGGGGTCAATCATAGACATCAAGGTCTTAACAGACTCACTCTGCTGCTGGTAAAGAGCCGAGTTGGGGTTAAGCTTGAGGTCCTTCAGGGCCTGGACCTTGTCCCGAGGGAAATAGAAGATGGCCAGGGTGGCATTGTAGCCAGTGCTCTGCCACGAGTAGTAAGGCTCAAGAGCCCACATGGTGGACGAGGCCAAGGGCATAGCATATTTCAAAGCCTGGGGAATGTATTCGAAGATCTGGGAAGAAGATAGAGGAGTAGTAGCGACGAAAGACCAGGGGAGGTGGCTATCGAAACCAAGCTGGAGCAGCAGCGAGTCAGAGGGAGCCTCGGAGACACCGTTCGACGGAGTGATCGAGCCAGGGAGCGAAGTGGGCTCGGAGTCAGTGGCGGTTTTGGTACCAGAACTGGTGCTCTCGGCTGGGGTCGAGGTGGGCAGAACGAGAATGCTAGAGGGGATCCAGTTGCTGCTGTTGCTCGTGCTGGACTCCGCAGGAGTCTGGGTAGGCTGGGGCTCAACCGGCACGCTGGTCGCGGGCTCAGCGGTGGTGGTGTAAGGAACAGAAAGAGTGGGAACCTTGGAGGTCTCGTGAGTGTTACCAGTCGGAGTGGGAACCGCGCCAGAGGTAGGAGTGCCAGTCGAGTCGACGCCGGGGAAGTGAGGGGTGGGGATGATGCCAACCGAGGTGGTGGCCGAGTCGGGACCGGTAGTCGCGGTCAAAGGAATCGACAGGTGAGGAACACCGCTGGAAGTGGGCAGTCCCGGAGTAGGGATCAGACCAATACCGGAGGCACTGGTGCTAGTCTCAGTGGCATTGGGGAGAAGCGAGCCAAGACCGCTGGTAATACCGCTCACAATGGTACCGATCAGGTCTCCCCCAGCCGTGGTGGTCGGGCTAGCAGTGGAAGACGCAGGAACGTTGATCGGAATGGTAGAAGAAGCAGTGGCGGTGGTGTTGTCAGCAGATGGAATGGCAATGCCGAGACTCTCGAGAAGGCCACCCTGGGACGTAGTGGTGGCAGCCGCAGTTGACGTAGTCAATGGGGTCGAGCCCTTTGTGCCAGTGGCAGTAACAGAGGTACTGTTGATAGCGGAAGAGCTAGCCCCGAGACCAAGGAGGTTCGAAACATCCGTGCCAACATCGCTGAGGACATTGCCGCTGGAGCTAGTGGTGGCAGTTGTGTCAGACTTGGTGGTCGTGGTAGTGGTTGCCGTAGGCTGCGCAGCGGCAATCACTTCTGTGGAAGTAGTGAGGGTGTGAACATGTCCCGCCGCATCCGATGAAATTACCACGATAACCTGCTTCGGTGCATCGGTCGCGGCAGCCGCGGGGGTGGTGATGGTGGTGGTGGGAGCAGTCAAGCTATCCTCAATGCTCTGCCAAACAGCGGCCCACGAGTCCGCAGCACGTGAGGACACCTGGTTGGTGCCATTCCTGACGGTGCGCTTGACTTCACGGGGGAAGTAGTAGCGGGGGCGTTCAACGTGCTCGGCGGCCACCAGCTCGAAGCCTCCGAGGGCAAAGGCCGTGAGAAGAGAGAGAGCGTCGGCGCGCATCTTGTTCGACGGTCCTGCGCTGAAAGATCAGGGGCGATGGGGTTCGGTGCTGGAGGGTACAGAACGAGTCGAAGTAGCACTCGTCTGTCAACCCTTCAAGCAGTTCTTGGCGAGTGTTGGGTCGAAGTCGAGATATCACGGCTTCGGAATGAAGAATCGTCACAGTATGTTCAGTGTTTGAGTCTGCTGGAACGCAGCCGCAACAATCTTTATCCAACGGAACCGGCTCTTTTCTTTCAGTTCAGATTATAGCCAAAGAAATCCGGCGTCTCGACGGGCAACCGAATCCAGGTGAAACACGAGCCCAATCGAGCACAATCAACAGTATAAAACGAATGGAAGGGGTCGACAGATATCTGAAACGACCCGGGCGAGTTGCAAAAAAGCGAGTGTGGGCTATTGAAGCTGTAAGGGAGCGAGCGACAGCCTACTTGAGGCAGATGGATGTCCGGGCAACGGTCGAAATCAAAGAAACGGAGAAGGCGGCGGAGGGAAGCAAGCGCGACCGTGGGAGATGCAAGGGGACGGGGCAAATTGGCTGGATCCCGGGTCTCAAAGGCGCCGTATCGGTCGACGAAGACGAAGCATACAAGGGAAAAAGAAAGGAGTGAATAAGGTGAATGAATGAGTGAGGATTAGGACGCTGCCTCGTAGGGGGCAAAGGGGAGAATGGGGGCGGTGGTGGGACACGTGTGGAAACACAACAAGCCCGTAATCTGACGGTAAATTATGTCGGCGGGGGTATTTTCCACCCGGCGAAGTCGTAATCATCGGTTTATTCCCACGCACTGAGAAGCCCACTTGGTGCTCCACTTTTCATTTGGCTGTGCTGCTCAGAAGGTTGCCCTCAATTTGCACTCCTTCGAGATAGCTATGCTCTGGATGGTAAGGTGCCAAAGACCCCGAATCATCGCTTCATGTCAACCTTCCCTCTCGGGCTCATTATCATACCGAATACAGTATCCCAGGCCTGAGTCCGCATACGTGACCATGTGATGCAGCATCGGACTATGTACGGAGTACCTTCATCCCCCATTTCTCCTATTCCTCAGTCCAGCCAAGAGAAACGCAGGTACTAGCGGCATTTGATGCAGGAAACCGGGATGGACACAACCTCTGAGGGCAAAGCGGAGTGACTCCTGAACAAACTCATGCATCCTGCCAGTGCCTCCTCGGACTCACTCGGAGTATAAACTGCACGGGCTCCTACCGTTGTGGCGTGCTGTACCACCAGGAGATGCTCATACAGCGAGCGACACATCTACTAGACGACAAAATTAAGTGATGGAAGCCTCTGCAGTGACAGGCAGATGCGATCGATCACCTAGCAAAGATGGAGAGCTGGGTATTCAGACATCGCATCCGATCTCTCCGTGTCCGACACAACCGACACCAACGGGACGATGAGTTGCCCTGAGGAGTCACCCCAGCCTGATCGCCACCTCGCACAGCTCGCCAGTGGGTCTTTTCCAAGGCCAGGGTCTGGATTTTCGGTCGTGGCTTCTTCATTCTGCGTCCAGTGCATACGCCCAGGGGCTGTCGATCAACGGCGCACCCGATCAAATCCGGCGGGCATCAGGCTAACGCAGCGCGCATCGCAATCACCCCCGAGCAGGTTCCTCGCCATCTGGCCGCGCTAACGGTATCTTTTGTCGCACAAGGTTCAGTCCGGCGTGAGGCCTAGGCCGCCAGCGTCGGACGGGTGGAGTCTGGCCGCTGACTAGCCACTTGCGCGTTCCTGGTCGTGGCGACGGCAAGTAGTGCGTGTGCCCACGACCTTGTACCGACCATGGTCCTTCCCGAGCCATTGACGATACACGGGGATTACAGGTTTACGTCCGCCCCTGCTGAGCCCGCTAGGCCCTTTTCAGCACTAGCGGGCGCCTCGTCGCTCGCGTCGCTCAGTCAGGCAAGCGATCAACCCCTAACCTCGAATCAGCGGCGCTGGCCTGCCCACTAGCCGCTCCCTTTTCAATTGCGCCTTGCCGAACGCTTTTCTCTTCCCTTCTCCTTTCCTTCGTTTTTAGGCTATTTTGGGCTCACCTTTGGGGTCGTTCCTGTCTGGCGGAAGAGGTCCTTTCGCAGCGGGTGGTAACTATCGGAAGGGTTAAGTCACCCGAGGTGGAGGTGCCAGCAATTGCTAGAGTACTTCGGTACGTCATTCATTCTCTCGTGGCAGTACGGTATGGAATAGTCGTACCGGAGGCCTTCTGGAAAAGGGAAAGCTAGCAGTACTATTTCCTATATAGTCTATACATCATCCTCCACCTAAAAATTGCTATCACATACACTATTGATTCTCGGTTTATCACATCCTCTCCATCACAATTACCCTTTTTACGAGCGCAACCTCCGATCGCAAAAGAGAGAAATTGATCGCACCGCCACGTGCCTGGGTCAGTGACAGATCGGAATGAAGGGGCAATGGTGGCGCTGTACCCCTCACTCGACGCGGCAGATGCCCTCCTTATTTTAACATTCTTGATATGTTTGAGACTGTTTCAAAGAGGGGTCTAGTGCAGGGCTGCTGCGCGTCGGGTTGAGATTGTCGCATATTTGCCGATACACCGTTTGTCCTCGTTCCAACCCTTGTGAAGTTGCCCGCCCTGCGTATACTATAGTATCGGCAGTAACACCTACGATGGTTTCTTAACATGATCTATTTTGGGGTAGAACTCTATGCTAGAGCTGCGGAAGAAGGTCTATATATACCACAAAGAAAAGCGACAGCGACAAAGAATAGTCGCCATTCATCAGAAAACCCGTTAGTAGTCTCCGGGATAAATATACACTTCCCCGAAAATAAGCCCTCTTTCCGGGCAGTGCAACGAACATGTCGCGGGAACCATGCTGACTATCAGCCCTAATATCGGTAATTCTCTGACTTTATACATTTCATTTCACCACCTGAACCCGCTTCGCTCACCAGCTCTTGGCTGGGAGTAAATAACACGATCATCATCAGTACCAAGGATCAGAGTGACGCTAGGCCTGTTCCTGAGCTGTCGGCCCCACCCGTCACCCGCGGTCGCAGGAGGCGTCTCATGTTTGATTAGCGCATTGTTGGTACCATACCCGTGACATGCTGTGCCCTGGGTCATGTGACCGGGTCTGGACTAAAATCGGTGGAGCCATGCACAGTCTGGACTGTGTGAGATGCTGCGGTACGTCAACCGGCACAAAGAATGAATGCCGTGCAGAATTCGTGTGGAGGCTCTGTCCTGCACCGTGGAGTCGGCGAGAACCAGCCTCCGCTATGCACGTCATCAGATGCAAGCCTGCTGGTGGTCTAGAACGGTTGAGTGGCTGGTTGGTTCGATTTGGCTCACCCAAGATGTGGGATATATTCTAGACCGTCGGGTTAAGCAAGTGGTACCTAAGACAAATCTCAGCCAGTGGCTACCTAAGTACTGGAAGGACTCAGATTCTGAGATAATCTAACCTTTGATTCTGAATTACTGAATTACTGCCCTGTCCGGAGATACTTAACGTAGGTTTCTATAATACATCCAATATATGTTTCTGAGCAAATGCTCATGTGTAAAGCGATTTCACAGCTCTGGTTGATTTTTTCGCCGATAAGAAAATAAAAGTCGTCGAACCTGCGACGGGAGGAGTATACTGAAGGAGTGCCAATTTGGGCTAACCTACCTTGAGGCTACGTTCTAACACAAAGCCGGGAGTGCCTCTCCCAGCCTGCACTGTCGAGGGATTGGTGTAGGCGGGCCAATGGTTCAAGTTGAGACTTCTGCATTGCTCTCCGAAATGTATCTTGAGGAGGTCAGAAGAGAATTGTACAACTACTGCCCCGGAGAGGCGTTAATATCAGTAGACTGGGCGATACACAGTATTGTTTATGTACAATTTCTAGAATAAGCCGAGAGTGGGAGTGTGTTCAAGCTATAAAGACAGACCCGTGGCGACCATCTAAGCTGCAAGGGCATATGGTCGATATGAGCCGATACCTATAAAGCAATATAACCACGACCTATAGTGATCACTTTGAGCAAGACTGAATGTACACGTTGGACTCTCCGTGGAATTTGATGCCATGTTACGCAAAAAGTTTGGTCTTAAGCTTTGATGGATGTGCCTAACTTAATCGGTAGTGATAATGATGTGCATATCTTTGCAAGTCTACGTATGGGGGACGCAATCGATTCACACACCTTTTGTATTGCGACGCTCCCCAGCGATAGTGATAGTGTAGATGTTGAATCCAAAGATAAGCCGGAGCCATCAAATTTATAGCAAGTCATTTGGCACTCTCTGGGGTTAGTACTCGATTAAATCCATCACCCACTAACATCCAATATTTGGATGTGTAATCGCGCGTAATTTGTGTTTAAGCTGGAAATACCTGGTCAAACCGTTCTGTTTATGTGGAGAAGCCTCTACAATAGCATACTAAATACCCGATTGCAACGCGCATTAACTGATTGCGTTCATAAAGACACTATATGGGGCTTCTCTCACGCTTCTTGCGTTGCCTACGAGACACAAGGCCTGATGGAGGCACCCGCCAAGCTCCATCAGATATTCTCTCACTGCCACCTTGAAGGCTACTTTCCTTCTCTTCGTGTCTTTGGTTCCCATACGTCTCAGATTATCTACCGACAACACTCTTCCCACTCAGTGCGTGCCGATGGTAACCCCCCCTTCTTCCATCTCATCAAGCGGCTTTCTGATACTGACCAGACAAAGTTGAACATGTCTACCCTCTTCGAGGCGGCCCAGTCTCTTCAGCCATCCGCTATGGAGCCACCAGATAGCTCAAGTGCAGCCAAGCCGTCATCAGTCCACACGACGTTTGTTGAGACAGAGTCATCTGAAGTCACCGTGCAGAACATCACCGCCAGGTTCTTCTTCAACCGACCTACCAAGGATCTCATCCCAGCCCGATTTCTGCAGATGGCTCAGAATACGCGTGAGTTTGCCAGCTTGGCCTCTCATTCTCTGTTTGCAGTCTGGACCAACCATCCAGCCTGTGCTAACGAGCTATGTTCTCACAGCAGCCGTCCAACGAAAGGCCTGGATCTTCCGCATTGGTGCCGATAATGCACGCCATGTCAATGTCAGGGACTGGCCCGAGGTTGATATCCGGTACCGAGGCGTTTTCAGGACTCTCAAACGAGTCCCACGGTTCGAAAAGGGTCTCTGGGAGGGAGGCAGCGACAGTTGTCAAGAGAAGCTAGACGATGGCCAACCTCGTGCACAGTCTCAGTTGGTGTATGCTCTGCTGAACGAGATTGGAGAGATGCTGGATCTTAAAAGAGAGACGAAGGATGAGATGAATATCTTCTATTTGAGGTGATTGTCGCGCATCTCCTGTGTATTTTTCATTCAGTACTGGCTAACCTCCATTCTTTCACACAGGCCGCGTCTCTTGGCCTGCCAGCTCGAGTACTGGACAGGCTACCGCCAAAAGTACAAGGATGGACCTGAAACAGACGGGTACCTCTCCCTCGATTTCGAACCCGATCGTATCAGCCCGATACCAATATTGCCCGTCTCTACAGTAAGTCATGGCTATCTAAAATAGCCCTACAGACCACCCGGTGCTTCCGTGCCAACAGAACAGCGCAAAGTAAACTCACAAAATTCCAGACAAATACCGAAGAGCCACTCGAATCCTCCCTTGCGAACAAATTCAAGCTCATGCTCGGCCAGCTCCTCCAGCACGTGAAGCCCCTCCCAGTTCCTGGCGACAAAATTCCTGACCAAGAGATCTTTCTCATCGGCCAGCACGGCTCCAAACTGCACCTCCTGCGCGCCTTCTTCCCGGGCCACAAGATGTCCAGTCTCTGGTGCCGGCGCGAACTGCCCTGCCCAGCGCCCATCTTCCCCCCAATGTCCGAGAGCCTCTCACCGTCTCCACCTGCGTCATCTCCAAGAAACCCGACATCCGTGCACATCGAGCACAGCGACGGGGACGAGAGCGAGGCCGACGCCACTAGCCCGGTCACCCGGCGCCTGCGCCGCCGACGCAGCAGCAGCCACCGGTTCTACGCGGCAGAGAACATCGAGCGGTTGCGGCGGCACTTCGAGGCTACGAAACTGAGCATGTTAGATCGGGAGTTGGATACACGGACGTTCCGAGTGCTTGGCACGCGCGAGTTTGACCTCTGGAAGGAAGACGACTTCGCGGCTGCCATACACGTCCTTGTCGCGCTGGAAATGTACCTGCTCAGCGGGAAGGCGCGCTGCGGCATGCTGCAGCAGGTATTCCTGACGAACCCGTACCCGGGTGATTCGTCCGGGACTGCGTCTGAGGATGGTGAAGCCGAGGTTGAGGCCAAACCTGAATATGAGGATGGCTAAGGTGGGAAGCGGGAGCAGGCGATAATCGAGGAGCAGGAGGGTTATCTGAGGAGAGAGGGGCTTGTTCAACAGCGGGAGGATTGTGAGGTGGTGCGGCGGCTCGAGGCTGTACGGTCTGCGGACCTGGATCGGATTCGTAGTCTGAGAGACTCTAGAGAGCCGTGGTGGGACTTCGCTTGGGAGGTTAAGGAGGGGAGACTCTCGAGAAGGTTGAGGGGAAGGAGAAGCCTCGCGACGAGGATGAGGTGGTTGCCGGGTCCTGAATTCCTGATCCAAGGGCGATGTCGAAGCGTGAATCCCGGGATGCTATGGGGTCTTTTGTAAGCTACGATTACAACGATATTCAATTCGAAAGGGTGGATGTGTTTTTTCTATGCATGAATGCAGGCTCTAGTCATTGCGCACAGCGGCTGTTATGGTCAGTGGGGAAAGTTAAGAAGCAGATAGATCCTGTCGATGAATCTTCTTGTTTTCAATCTAGGTCTTAAGCTATTCACGCAAATTGATATCACGTCACATCATGTAACTCTAGAATAACAAAGCGTGGGGAATAGCGGGGCATATGTTGATGAGTGGAATTGTGGCGTCCCGCATCGCAATCCCTCCCCGCAAAGAAAAGCAACACAGACGGTGGCCGAGTTCGCGATCATTGTGGGGAACAAAGAGAATGCAAGGGTCTCCGCCAGTGAGGTGAGGTGAAGTGAGTTGAAGTGATGTACGTGAAATGGATTGTGGTGCCTACTCCCGCCGACGCCGCTCCGACTCAAAGGCCGTGAAGGCATCCGCGCCGAGCCCGTCTTGTCCGCCTGTGCGGAAATACTCTGTCACGACGCCCATGGCGTAGCATGATGCTGCGGCGATGGTGCCGGTGAGGATCATTCTGCGAAAAACCTTGCGGAAGGAGGATTCGGACTTGGGCTTGACAGATGACGAATCCGATTCATGGATCGATTCTGAGCTGGAGCTGCTACTGGAGGATGCCGAGGGCTAAGTAGACCGGTTAGGATGGAGGACGGCCGGAATAAACATCTTCACTGCCTACTCACCTTGACGGTGGAGGACGGGTGGTCAGTGCGGGCGGAGACAGTTGAGTCATAAGAGTCATGGCACTGGTACTTGGTGATTTCCGCATTGACCTGAGGAGGCGCGGAATCCTGCTCTGTAGTAGCAGAGGTGTACTTTGGGGCATTGATGGATCGTTTGAAAACCAGGATATCACCACCGCCGGTCGCGATGTCGTAGCCATCTTGCTCCATCTGCGCAAAGTAGGGCACAAACTTGGCCGGGTTATGGAGGCGGGAAAGGATCTTGTGGGGTTGAGTGGTCTCGCTAGAGCCGAAGAAGGAGCCTGCCTCAGCAGTAGTGATCGTAGATGCCGAGGAATCATAAGCCAGGATACGGTACTCTGCTGACGACCACGGTTGAGCACCAACAGAAGGCTTCTGGCTCTGCAGGATCTCGCCGGCACGGTCCTCAGAAGCATCTAACTCCATATCCTCGGCTGCACCGGATTGAGTACCAGGGCCATCCTCACTTTTCAGCGAAGCATAGCGAGCCCGAATGTCACTTGCTTGCAGGGCACTCAGCTCGTCACTCTCGCCGCGCATTTCAGCGCTGGCGGCATCAGGGACTAGCTTCACCTCGAGCTCATTACCGGGGCCACGGTCAACGATTATGTTATCCTTCTTGGCCTCGCCATCATCGGCAAGGGGGGCACGCGGGTAGTGGGTGGCCGTGACAATAGCTGGCTTGGCGGCAAACAGGGCCTCCGGCTCACTTCCCGGCGAGCAGCTGATCGTTGCGTCAGACTGTTGGGCACGAGTTGTCTCGGCAACGATTTTTGCCTCGAGCTCGCTACCAGGACCGTAGTCGATACTCGCTGCCTCTTTGTTGGTCTGAGAACCCAGGCTGAGTTCAGAGGTAAATTTAGCCTCCAATTCACTACCTGGTGGGCAATCGACGGAGATATTAATAGAGGAAGGAGATCCAAATGCCTCCAGTGGGCGGCTCTGGTCATTGCGAGCAGCAGGCTTGGCAGTGAACAAAGCCTCGATCTCGTTACCAGGAGCACACTCGACATTCCGACGGGGGTTAAGACGACCCGTGTCAGCACTTGGGCACTCAATGGTCTGCGTGTCCAACTTGCTCCGCTTAGCAGCGGAAATACTGCCCAGCTGGAACTGGCCGTCATCAACTATTGATGGATTGGAGGCGAGCTTGGCCTCGACTTCACTTCCCGGTGGACAGTCAACGACAACATCGGAGGCCTGCATCGTGCTCTCGCTTTGGGCTTCATGCTTTGGTGCTTTGGGGGCCATGCGGCCACTAATAGGGTCAAATTCAGGAGCATCCCGGCTTTCAGCTAAGGTAGACTGGGCAGGAGACCGAATGAAATTGAAGTCCTGGAGGTGGGCCTTCGAGGGGTGATCAGTCATCGGCTTCTCAGCACCCAGGAAGGTTCGCAGGAAGCCCGGCCAGGTAGCAGCAGTATCACACTGGCCAATATAGGGAGTGGAATCAAGTCGACGGCCGAATATTGCACCGTAGGGGTCTTTGTCGATGTGCTTCTTCAAGTGGGCGATGCGATGGTTCATCCGCTCGTGCTCGGCCTTCCAGAAGCTCTTCTCTCGGCCCGCCGAGAGTTCAGAGAAGCTGAACCGAGACCGTGACATGCCCCAACCCCAACCGCAACCGCTGCCGGGGCCTCTGTGGGAAGTGGAGGGCCAATCATTGCGGGCTTCCGCCTTACGGCGGAGGTTGGCCTGCGGGTGACGCTGGTATTTGTCGATGGTCCGAGCGACGCGTTCCATCTTGTCACGGTTGGTATGATGGCTGCGGGCACAGCGCCATATACTCCGGTTTTGGGAAGTATGTGCGGCCACCAACTGAGAGAGAGATGGGCGTGTCGCACCCGGCCCCGCCATTGCGGCGGAGGACATGGCTATCGAGGAACTGATGATAGATTCTCGAGTATGTGTAGTGAGGAGGTATATGAAGGATCAGGTGAGGCTAGGGAGTATGGCGTGGGTATGGCTCACTGGAGAGGACAGGAGCTGGCGCACGTATGGATAAGTTCGCGTGGATATGGATGGCTCCAGGGCGCCGGCGATCATATCCACTCGGAATCACACGAGATCGGGTAAGCGGGTCTTGGCTTATTTGGGGTCCAAGGAGTCCGCTGGAGGCCGTTCAAATTGGAAAATGAGGCCCAGGGTGAGGAGGACAGAATATTGGTAGAAAGAAAGGAGACAGGAACAACTTAAGAGGGGAGGGATGGGGGCGGTCGATTGGAAGAAGGGCGAGGTAGGATGCCAGTAGGACTAGAGCACTCCGACGCAGCGGGGGACACCGCTTGGGGTCCTCCGCGGGGTCGGCCAATCACAAGCCACGCCCGCCCATCCCCGCAAATCGGGCTGCCGATGTCAGCTAGTCTGACGTCACGGATTTCCTACTGGGTCCGAAGGGGGATGCAATAACCCTTGGGAAGTCAATCTCTCTATCGTCATCGGCTATGCACCCGTCAAATCCATCCCCTTGAGTCTGGCTCTCCCGCCATAGCTGAAACTTTTTCCTTCGCTCGACCTTCCCTTCTCACCACAACCAGGGGCCGTGCTAGCTTGCTATGTGGTTGTTCCAGAACCGCAGCCCCTCGATCCCCTCTTCCCGGCAAAGCACACCCCGGTCCTCTGCCATCTCCAGTTCCTCCGCGGCCACACCCACACTCCATTTGAATCGCTGGGCTGTCTCCTGCGCCGTCACGGCCCGGCCAAACACAGTCCAATCCCACGGAACCGATTCGTCCGGTGGGACTCGTCGCAACTCCTCCATCCAATCTTGAAGTTGGCGAACCGTCTTCTCGTCGCTCCAGTCATAGCGCTGAACCACCAAGAGGCCACTCTTGAACCGGCGCAGGCGCACCGGCAGCTTCAGCTTCTTCCAGAGCTCGGCCGCCCGCTGGAAGTCAGAAGGGCTCACGAGTTCGACTCCATTACGGGACCGGTTGAACACCGCCCAGAGGTCGATTAGACTCATGATGCCGCCCTCCCGCTGTAGGATGCCCTTGCGGTCATCCGTAAGATACTCGGCCAGGTTGCGTGACAGCTCGGATAGATAGAGATTCTCTGACCCGGAGCTGAGCATGTCCTTCGTAGTCACCATTCCCAATGCCGCGGCGGATTCTGACAGCACCGCGTTAGTCTCCGCAGATGCCCCTCCATTAGTAGCCATCCCTGACTCTCGGGCCAGAGTCTCAGCTAGAGCAACGATCTGCTTTGCAGATGCCATCAGCGCCTCCAGATCCTCAAAGGCGTTCCCAATCACCAGTTGGTTATTCATTCGCGTCTCTAGCCCTCGTTGCTCCAGACCCGCAATACCCACAGCCGTTATACGCGGGGCCGCAGGTTGGGGGCTCTCCGGCGCAGCGATGGCGGGAATGCTTGGCGAGGCCGCGGCAGTCTGCGAGGGTGGAGGCACGGGCGGTGCATTCTGGAGTAGCCATTTCCGTTGTATCAAGGCCCCTTTGAGCCTCTCGTGGAATGTTTTCTCCCCGCCATCCCTGAAGGAAAGCTTGACGCTCTCAGTCACTTCTGTGTTGGTGATGCGCGATTGGGCGAAGAATGGGGCAGGGGAGTTCGCGCGACTTGCATCGTCTCTCGTGATAGAGGTGCCCCCGCTTATTAAAGGCGCGCCGCACATCTCACACTCAATGAGGGATGGATGATTCACAAAAGTGCATCGGGGGCACGATACAGACCCCGCGGGTTCAGAGGAGCCCAACCGACTGCCATTCCTTTGGGCCTGGTTATCTTCGGCGGGTAATAAGTTTGTACTGGATAAGGGGGAATCGTGACTTGCTGCGGCGCTGATCGCAGCCTTCAGGACCGTGGTGAAAGGCGGCTTGATACCGCAGGCGAGGCATGGTGGCAACTGGGTGGCCGCGGTGGCCGTGGCCGGGTCGAAATGAGAGGGAAGGGGGTTGGAGAAGGAGCATATCGGGCAAATCCAGGTCGCGTTGACTGGCTTCGGGGACGACGACTTCTGTGGCACGGCACTCTGCGGCCGAGGAGAAGATGGGTTGCCTGGGTGGAGGGAGGATTGTTGCGATACAGCAGGACTGGAAGTTGCACTCCGGGATTTGTCGGTCTTGCCCTTCTGAGGCTTCGGATATATGGTTATTTTCGGCGATGACTTGAAAAAGCCAGCCTATATTAGGATCCAACGGGTTAGAGGGCATTGCGGGGGATCGTAGGCCGGGAGCTCACGAACCTGGTATTCGGCTCGGTCTATTTCCTTCAGATCGATGCCCACAGAGTATTTACGTGGATCTTCAGCTGCCACATAGCACACCCTGTGCGATGTCAAGTAGGCATGGCCATTTTGGTAGTCGGGGATCTTATATTTCCTGCCGTCGAAGCCCGTTTCAGTATATGGCATCAACACCAATGGCTCGGCGGGGTCAACTTACCCCTCATATAGCCCCACCGCATCCTGGACAAAGAGAAGCGTCTCGTCAGGTAACAGCAAGGGTCGCAATGCAGTCGTCAGGTCCAGAGACTTGAAAAACATCTAGCAGAGGTGCAGGCGACATCACTCTTCGAGAAGCACGAGCTGTCGCGATAACAAGATAACCGGCGAGGCATACCGGAAGAAAGAAGTTCCGGAGAGTAAGCGAGTTGGGATCCTTCGCCCTTGCGAGTCAACGTGCGTGCCTCTCGACCAGCTCTCCAGATCTTCGCCATCTCATCCTCCTCATTCTGTTATTGATTTTGTGGTGTCCAGGACACTCCGCATTTACTGCTCTATCCCTGTTTCAACTTCAACCCACCCTCTACCCGTAGCCTCTTTGTTTCTCTCGTTCCTCCATTCTTTTTCATCACATCCGCCATTTTTTTTATCACTATTTTCCTTTCTGCCTCGTCATATACGTTCGTTTTTCTAGACTGCGGTATGAACTCGAGTGCCCCGCCGTGGCGTGCGACAGCTTGGGCCCCGACCTCGACGCCCGTTGCTTCCCAAGTCTCTGGTAAGAGCACACCCTGGCTCGCCTTTCATTTTGGTTCGGCTTGCTGATGCTGTTCCAGCGGCCCCTGCCTATATTCCAGTACAAGCACGTCGTAGCCTTGCCTCTAATAAGATCAATCATCTACCTTCCAACGGATCCCCGGCTCCGCAACCCAACATGTCGGCAGCGGACGAAGCCCCTCGGCCTCGCGTGGAATTCCCGCCCGCGGTGCGCCTTTACGTGCAACGATGCTTTGCTCCCGAGAACCAGGTTGCCAGTGTGAGCCACTCCGAAATGCAAGAGAAGCTGCGACACGTTATTACCGATGCGGCGGAGAATCATAAGCTCGACATGATCGACTGGGAGCGGCTGGCCCTGCCGCAGGTCATGATTCAAAATGAACGCAACAAGATTCTGGCCAACCCGAGTGTCTCGAATTGGGGAATGTCCAGTCTACCGTCTTCCCCAGGAGACACCGGTCGCAAGAGGAAATCAACAGATACCAACCAGCAGCAGTCCGGGAAAGAGTCGCCACCATGGAGAAAAGCTAACAATCGCAATCGGTTTGAGGACCGAGTCACTTACCCGTCCACAGAGAAGAAACAACGAATGACACTGGATGACTCTAGTAAGTCAAAAGCTAATTTGGAGATGAGGAAGAAGCGTTTTGAGGGCGTCGGCTATGGAAACTCTGGCACTTCATCCCCAGTCGACTCGCCCTCGCGCAGCGTCGACCCGGACCAAGGACCCGTAGTGGGACGCTGCCAAACTCTGGAAAAGAACTACTTCCGCCTGACATCTGCTCCCAATCCGGATACTGTCCGCCCGTTACCGGTCCTCCAGAAGGCCCTGGACTTGTTAAAAAAGAAATGGAAGCAGGAGGGCAACTACACCTACATATGTGACCAGTTCAAGTCGCTGCGCCAGGACCTGACGGTGCAGCATATCCGGAACGAGTTCACGGTCCTTGTCTACGAGATCCACGCACGCATCGCCTTGGAGAAGGGGGATCTTGGTGAGTATAATCAGTGCCAGACCCAGCTGCGGGTTCTGTACGCGCAGCAGCTGGGCGGGCATCCGACGGAATTCAAGGCATACCGTATTCTTTATTTCATTTACACGCGCAATTGGACGGCCATGAACGATGCGCTAGCCGACGTGACTGCAGAAGACAAGCAAGACCTCGCCGTCAAGCATGCTCTCGACGTTCGCTCCGCCCTCGCACTCGGCAACTACCACCGCTTCTTCCAGTTGTACCTCGACACTCCCAACATGGGGGCATACCTCATGGACATGTTTGTCGATCGGGAGCGGTTGACTGCTCTTGCTGCCATATGTAGAGCGTGAGTTTTCTTTCCCACTTTTCTCAACCTGTGCTTGTCCGTCATCATCTGTCTAACCCCCCTTGAATCTGCAGGTACAAACCCGATGTCAATATCCGATTCATCACGGAAGAGCTGGGCTTCGAGTCCGATGAGCAGACCGCGCGTTTCATCCTAGATCACTCGTCCGAGGACACCCTCGAAGAGAAACACGGGTCTGTGAGGCTCTTGACCAGCAAGGCGGCCGCGCGGTTTGAGCAAGCCAAAGCCGAAGCCAACCGTATCGTCGACATCAAGGGCCAGATTTAAGCCAGCTGCCCCGTTTTCGACTTCTTCCGTCCCGGATTTCCCCCCCCCTCTATTAATCACACACCTAGGCTGGCCGCCGTTGGATTCCGATTATGAACTTGGCCAAATCCGATTCCTCAGTGGCCGCCGGCCCTACTCATCTTGGCCCATTTCTTTTTCTCTCCGAGCGTCTGGCGTTTTACAGCTTTGGTTGAACCAACCCACACCATCCAGATCCTGCCCCGAGAAGTTGTCGCACTTGTTTTTCTCTTGTTTCTTTGCGTCTCCCGTTTTCCATTTTCCGGGGCCGTCCACCAGCCCTGGATGGCGTCCAGGTCTTGCTGCAAACTGCAAACTGCAAACTGTCAGCGCGGATCCACAAACATACTAATACCCCCGGCGCGTGTCTTGTTTTTTAAGCGGTTGGGATGAAGGCAGAAGTGGGAAATAGGACTTGGGGATATGCGAAATGGCGATTGGCGATGGCATGCATGGGGTGTCGAGGCGCCCGAGTAGATACTCTTGGCCCATTTAGCCAGTACATTTACTTTTGATCATAAAAAGTTTTTCCAGAGCCAATTCCTCCAATTCCTCTGTCGCAGATCTTTCCATAGTCTCCTCGACCCCGCACCATCCCTGTGCTTCTCGCACTCAGACTGGTCGCGGCACGTCCACGGCCCCGGGATGACCATGATATCCTCAACACCTGATTCTCCAGGCGACAAACACGCTCATGATCTACATCTACAGCATCCACGGCGAGCACGCCACCAACCCCCCGAACCCCCTTTCGCTTCAGGCAATACTTCCCAAACCGACGTCCCCAAGCACGCCACCCTCGGCAGCTGCCCTTTCACAGCTCTCCCACGGAAGCCTCTCGCTGCCCCGCAACGTGGGGCCCACTGGGCCGCCGCCCATGGGCGGCGCGCCGCGAGCGCCTGCCGTGAGTGGTGCACCACGCTCGGGTGGTTCCATCGCGTTCTTCGAGAAACTTGCCTTAGCGGGGCTGTGGTCGTCTGCTCGGCGCCGATTTTTGGGCGGAGGGGAGCGAAGGGTGTGTATAGCAGACACGTGCATGGGGCCTTGGGTCTTCTCTGGCTGGGGAAGTTCGCCGGCTAGGAGGCTACCCGGTTCAGCTGGACTAGGTGGTCGCGATAATGGCCAAAGTTGATGCGTCGTGAATCAGAAACCCGAGAGAACGGTAAGTTTCACTTGCGCGCTGGGCTGCAGGCTTGATGTCATTGTGGTGATCGGCGCTGCTGCCACTGCGGCTGAGAGTTTCTTCAGCTTGCGTGTGCACGCCTATGGGGCGCGAACGACAGTCTATTCTATGGTTCGTGGAAGGATGTACTCCGTGCATACATGTATGCTCTGGAGAGTTCCGTGTCCGAGTCCGCGTACGGCATACACGTAAAGGGTTATCAGGTGACCGATGGAACTAGATGTAAAGTCTCCGTTTGGCCACATTCCTCTCCCCTCGGCCAGGGAAATACTCGGTATGGAGCTACCGAGCTAATGGGACGGCAGTGACATGGCTGCAAGGTGCCAGTCTCCGTGCAGGCCGGAGGAGCTGTAGGGGGACGGGGCTGCAGGCGCCCCGGAATTAATCTATGTTTAATTTACTGCTTCCACGGCTAACCCAATCTAGACCATCCGCGCAACGTGATTGAGTGGACGAGCTTAGTATCCAGAGCCACCGACGGACCAGCTCTGGATTTCGTTATCGATTGTTTGACCACTCTCCTAGCCGCAGCTGCGAGGGAAACACGCGCCTTTTCGAGCGGCTTGCGGGTGGGACGTCACCCGAGCCATGGTTTATGCGGGCTGGCAACCACGGACTGGTGGAGGGTGGGTAGGGGACGAACGTGGAAGGGTAGATATGCCACAAAAGATGGATAGATCAATTTCTTTTTGGGGGGGGGGGGGGGGGGGGGGCGTGCTTTCGGTCGGCGTCTGGAGCTGGGCTGCCGAGTCACATAATTGATCACCATCATTTGATTGACAGAAACAGAGACAAAGGGGGCCAGTCTGGAGGGGCCAGTAGCCGCCCCGAGCTGACGATGGCTTCGGTGCCCAACGGGGCGCTGCAGATGGTCCCACGCCGGTGTATGTAACTATCGGTATTACGTTACTGGGCTCTGCTCGGACTGGGGATAGTTCAACGATTTACAGGGGGAGAAACAGGAGTGGACGGGGAGGATGATGCGCAGGTACATGCTATGTCTAAGTTGACACAAGGTAATTGCCACTGGCAGGCACCCTCGTGGGGATCCATGGGAGGGAGGACCACACGAGGACCATGTTCAGGTGTTCAGGACTATCTGCCTACGCGCCTCGAAGGCAAACCGTCGACCTCTTTGACTCTCCACTTTCATTGACCTTTTTACTCCGTACTGTTCCTCCAGGGCCTCCATGCTGTACCACCTCCCCCAGATGGCCGTGGTATACCGCTGACCTGCAAAAAGAACTGTCTGGCCTCTTCCCTCGACTTCCCCCTTCCACTCCCTTGAATCCTCTTGCATCCCCTTCCCCTCTTCCGGTCGCGATGAAGGTGAGTGCCGCTCCCGCCCCTCTGGAACGTCTGGACGTGTTGCGCCCGAAATATTACCACCCCGTATTGTGTGTCATTAAATTAACCCCCCCCTCCCAAGGCCATCAGACGCTCCTTGAAGGGGGAGAAAGATCCCAAGCATCATCACCACCATATCTCCCTCACGCCCAAGTCCGCCATTGCGATCCTACCGCCCAAGAAGGTGAGTCGTTATCCTGGAAAACCCCCTCTTCCCCAGCCACCACACCCTCCACTACCACCTCTGTTTGTTGCCCCTCGGGTGCGACGCTTGTCCATCACCGCCACGATTGGAATTCAGCTTTCCGATTCTCCACCCCTCTTGCCCCCCTTCTCACCCCCTCCTCCCCCTCTGGCCTCCAACTGGATTCCCGATCATTATACGTTCGTTGAGGCTGACCGCGCGCGCTTTCTTTTGTGTGTGGGCGCACAGGTGATTAAAGCGCTTTACGACTACTCCCCGGAGCCCGGAACCACCCAGGAATTGGCCTTCAGCAAGGGCGACTTCTTCCACGTCATCAGCAGGGAAGACGACTCGGACTGGTACGAGGCGTGTAATCCGCTCATCCCTAGCGCCCGAGGGCTCGTTCCCGTCTCCTTCTTCGAGGTCATCGGCAAAAACCAAAGGGATAGTGGGGGGTCTGTTGATCTGCATAAAAAGGACCACCACGATTCTGGCTTCTCCGACCGCAGTCCTGCCTCCGACTCCTCCACCAACACCACCCGACAAGGCGCTTTCAGAATGTCCGCGCTCGGCAAGGGCCAAGGCGCCATGGTGTACGGCATCGTCCAGTATGATTTCCAGGCCGAGCGGCCCGATGAGTTGGATGCGCGAGCCGGCGAGGCCATCATTGTCATCGCCCAGTCCAACCCGGAATGGTTTGTCGCAAAGCCCATCGGCCGCCTGGGGGGCCCTGGCTTGATCCCCGTGTCCTTCATTGAGTTGCGCGATATGCAGAGCGGCCAGGCCGTCACGGATCCGCTGGAGGCGGTGCGCCGTGCGGGCGTGCCCAAGGTCGAGGAGTGGAAAAAGATGACCGCGGAGTACAAGAACAGCAGTATCACCCTGGGTAAGATTGAGCCTTCCGGCGGCGGCATGGTGGCGGTCACTTCGGGCATGGACCAGATGTCCATGGGATCCCACCAGAGTGCGAGCCACATGAGCCAGAATGGCAACACCTATGTAAGTGGACGGGCTCCGGGGCGCCCTGTTGCGCATCTTCGGTTTTGGCTAATGACGATTATCAGGAATACCACCAACGCAATCCCAGCAAAGGCACGCTAGGCTCGCAAGGTCCCATGGGCCACCCCCAATCGCAAGGCTACCAAGCCCTCCTCGCGCCCGTCGCCGCCTCCATTCCGCGCTACTGCTTCGACAACGACAAGTACTGGTACATCATCGAGGCGAAGATGGAAGACGGCCGCTGCTGGGAACTGTCGCGCTACTACCACGACTTCTACGACTTCCAGATCCGCCTCCTGACCCAGTTTGAGGACGAGGCTGGCAACCGGGGCCGCCCCCGCACTCTCCCCTTCATGCCCGGCCCCGTCACCCACGTTACGGACGCGATCTCCAACGGGCGCCGCCAGAACCTGGACGAGTACATCAAGAAACTACTCTCCATGCCCCCGCACATCGCCCGCTGCCAGCTGGTCCGGCAACTGTTCGCGCCGCGCCAGGGCGACTTTGAAATCGACCCGAACGCCTTTGGCGAGGAGGCGCGGTACTCCGACCAATCGCGCCACTCCTCCTCCGGCATCGACCCCTCGCACAGCGTGTCCCAGCAGTCCTCGCAGGTGCCCCTGAACGGGCCCGATCGCGCGTCGCAGCAGCGCACCCAGGGCGCCCCGGCCCCGTCGCCTGCTAACGGCGGCCCGCCGCCCATGAACCGCCAGCCCAGCTCCCTGACCCAGGTCTCCAGCGCGTCGAACTCGAGCGCGATGAAGGTCAAGGTATTTTTCCAGGACGACCTGATTGCCATCCGGATTCCAGCGGGGGTCAGCTTGCAGCATCTCAAGGACAAGTTGTGTGACCGACTGAAGATTGAAGAGGATATCATTGTGCAGTACCGCGATGAGTCCTCGGGCACTTACGTCGACTTGCTGTCGGATCAGGACCTGGAGAGTGCAATGCAGCGCAACACGAAGCTGACGCTGTTTGTCAGCATCGCATAAAAGCATCTATTCCTTGTTTCCACCATGTCGGATATCCCCCGTTCGCCCGTTACCATGTACGAGAGACCTGTCCTGCGGTCTTCCGCTGCGCGGCCGATGCTTTCTCCCGCCCTCCCGCTTTCATGTGACCCTTGCCCCCAATCTCAATCCCTCTCTCCGTCCTCCCGTTTCCTTTCTTTGTGTTTCTGCAATTAGTATGGTGCATCGGCGTTCTGGCATCTACTTCCGAGGTCTCCCCTTCTGTGGTCCACCCGCGCTTTCAGCGATGACTTCTTTTCTGTTTTCTCGCGACGGGGGCGGATGGTGATCGCAGTGTTACGATTATGATGCGTGATGTGACATTTGGCATGGCTTCTTCATTTCTCTTTTCTCTGCTTTTGTGATTCCTCACGGGTTTGTCTTTCAGGTCCATGGTTACCTAGCCCGGTCATCGTCCTTTTCTACCTCCATATCCATTTCCATTTCCATTTCAATTTTCTTCTGTCCCACCAGGCTCTGATATTCACTTTTGCGGCCCATACCTGGGTGCCTATCTCCTTTCTCGCTGCGACCTTTTTCTTTTCTGTCTGCAGGGGGCATACCCCCGCGTGCATTGCCGTTTGTCTACTTCAGTGACTTGTACATATGCTCTCTTTTCTTGTGCATATACAGGGAAGGCTTATCGATATATTTGGCAGCCAGCGTGATAGCAATATAATTGATGTATGACTGACTACTCCCGAAGTGCCAATTGGAATATTAGTCACGTGACTCGACACATCGGCTGGGGCCCTTTTCGCCGCACGACGAGCCACTCCACGGATCCCGATTATTAGCGGGTTTCTAAGGTTTATATTCTTATTTCTTTGCTACTCTCGAAATACTTTTGCATTTTGACTTAAGCGTTCAGCTTAGCATCCACGAGTGTTCCGGTCTCACTCGCCGACCTTGCGACCCGCCACTGACTTGTGCACTGTACTTCCCACTGTAGTGCGCCACGCCGCTTCCCCCGGAAGAAAACAGTTCCTGCGGCGATACCTCGGCTACGACTTTCGCCCGCCGCACCCTGATACCTGCAAGCCACCCACGAACCTCCTCACTACTCCGACTGTACCTACGCATCACCTATACAAATGAGGCGGCCCTCGGCGAAGCTCTGCGCGGACTGCCTCCCATGCGCGGTGCGGCGGCCCCATGGCGTGCGGGCACCAACATCACGGCTCCCGGTTGCGACTGAGAGACCTTATGGCACGAGATTAAGGACGCACTCCTCCAGACTTGTCATCGCGAAATGGACTGGCCGTAACCCACTTCTGCCCATTGATCCGATGACGGGCGCCGTCATGCCCGTAAAGTCGGTTTTGAAGAGGCGGAGTCTAGCTACTGCCGCCGGGGGCGTTGCGCCTTCGGAGGTGATTTCTGAGACAAAGCCTTCAGGTCCAGTGCAGGATGGACCGCTGAAGGAATACGACGTGCGGGTGCAGGAGGGTCGTCTCCGGGATGACCCATACCAGCGAGGTAAGGCACGGCGAAAGTTGCACTCCCTGGCAACACCGGTCAACACCAACGAACCTAGACTAACGCGGACTCTCAACGACCAGGAATCATCCAGAACCTCCAAGACCTCTTCGAAGCGCTCAAGCACTACAATGCCCCCGCGGTGATCCACCCCAGCGTCGAGTCGCTTGACCCGCAGCCCAAATCATCATTCTTCGGCTCGCTTTTCGGCTCCGGCGCCAGCAAGCCCGCCGCCTCTACGACTCCCGAGGGGCTCCCGAAGGGCCTGTACATGTATGGCGATGTTGGCTGCGGCAAGACCATGCTGATGGACCTGTTCTATGACACGCTGCCGCCGAATATCAAAACAAAGACCCGCATTCATTTCCACAATTTCATGCAGGATGTACATAAGCGCATGCATGTGGTCAAGATGAAGTATGGCAATGACTTTGATGCGCTGCCGCTTGTTGCCGCGGAAATTGCGGAGAAGGCGAGCGTGCTGTGCTTCGACGAGTTCCAGTGCACAGATGTTGCGGACGCCATGATCCTGCGCAGGCTCCTCCAATTCCTCCAGTCCCACGGCGTCGTCCTCGTCACAACCTCCAATCGCCATCCAGACGACCTCTACAAAAACGGCATCCAGCGCGATTCCTTCATCCCCTGCATCAACCTCCTCAAAACCGCCCTCAATGTCATCAACCTCAACTCCCCAACCGACTACCGCAAGATCCCCCGTCCCCCCGCCGCTGTCTACCACCATCCGCTCGGCGAGGACGCCGAACAGCACGCCCGCAAGTGGTTCGAGTTCCTGGGCGACCCTATCAATGACCCGCCCCACCCGACCACCCAGGTTGTCTGGGGCCGCAAGATCCAGGTCCCGCAAGCGAGCGGTAAGGCGGCGCAATTCACGTTCGACCAGTTGATTGGGACAGCGACCGGTGCGGCGGATTACCTCGAGTTGGTGCGGCATTATGATGCGTTTATTGTCACCAATGTGCCGGGCATGAATCTGAACCAGCGCGATCTGGCGAGACGGTTCATTACCTTCATCGACGCGGTCTACGAGAGCAGGGTTTGTCCTCCCTTCTTCTCCCTCACGCAACACTCAATCTTCCCCCACATCCTTGCCAATTGCTTACGCTAACACCGTTTTGTCATGTCTCTAGGCCAAACTTGTCCTCACAACCGAAGTCCCCCTCACAAACCTCTTCCTCTCAGAATCCGACGTCAAAGACTCCCTCAAGGGCAATGGCGACCACTCCGACCTCTCCGATGCTATGCGCAACCTGATGGACGACCTGGGCATGTCAGTGCAGGCTTTGAAGAACACTTCTATTTTTAGCGGCGACGAGGAGCGCTTCGCATTTGCGCGGGCGTTGTCGCGGCTGTCGGAGATGGGGAGTAAGGAGTGGGTTGAGCGGGGGTTGGGGGTTGGAAAGAGCGCGGTTGAGAGCAAGGAGGAGCGTGAGGCGTGGTTGAAGACTAGGAGTCATTGGAGTGAGGATAATATGTAGTTTGCCTGGATAAGCTACTGACTACGTATGCCTCCCTCAGTCTCTACCTTGGGTAGGAAGGGCTTTCGTTAGATGCTTAGACGGATCATCCGCTTTGGGCTAGATGTGACATATATACTTGATATCCTTTGCAGATACATTTGATCTCTTTTCCCTTTTGTTTTTTTCAGTTTAAAAAAGAAGGCTCCGGGTGTACATAGCTATTATCATTGATTTGATTTCCACGGCCATGTCCGTCTTGAATACGGAGACACTGTGCTGTATACTCCATAGTGGCAGTTGCGATAAGCACCTCCAGCTATCATGATGTATAACATGACGTCACGTCTCCTGTTCAAATCAAGTTCCAGAATCCACATCTGCTTCCATTGACCCCTGAGACGGCCATTCATATTAATAAGCCCCCTAGGTTTGATTTGACAGCAAAATTAATCCAGACCTTGTGGAGTACGTTCTAATCCAACGTCATCGCATCTGCAATCGGAAGGAATCCTGCCTCGCCATCTATAGTAGCTAGATGATCGACTGACCAAACTCCGGAAAACAAGGTTATTCGTCGGCCCCATGCCTTTCTCCAGTGGCTCCTTGGACTTGTGAAAAAGATCTCCAGTCTGGCTGTTAACCGTGTTGCATATGCCGGTGGAATCCGAGGCGAATCAGCGCGCGTGCATTCACAATGTCTTCTGTCCCCGGCAGGTTTTGTGAGCTTGTGAAGCTAGGTCATACCTTGCTCATGCCTGCGGAGTAGTCTGATTATCTTCCCATTTCAGTTCTTCCCCGCTCGCGGGGATGAGCTGCCTTCGGTCTAGAAATGGTATAGAATACGAAGCTTGGTAATCGGACCAGGCAGTGGGTTGATTTCTTTTCGAGGCGATGTAATTGGTATACAGTCTAGGTGGAGATGGAATTACATCATGGAGGTTTGTATGATGTGGTGGACTGTTTCCTGGCTGGTGATGTTCGTGTATATATACCCAGGCGTTCGTCTTCTGCGAGCCAACCTCCTTTTTCTCTTATACAAATATCTCCCGTGCCGCTGCTTGGGGATCTCACGCTGTTGTCTTTGAACCTAGAAGAATAACGTCACCATGGCAGCTACTACGAAGTCCAGGGCCGCGGACGCCAAGTTCGCTGATATGCAGAAAGATACTGTCGAGGTCAATGACAAACAGTATATGACCACCGACTATGGCATCAAGATCTCCGATCCAGACCACTGGCTGCGCGTAGCCAGCGAAAAAAACACCGGCCCCATGCTCCTGGAAGACCAAATTGCCCGCGAGAAGGTTCGTCCAAACTTTCCCTTCTCAGCTCTAGAAGCGACGAATATTTTCTAATTCCCACTTTAGATAATGCGCTTCGACCACGAGCGCATCCCAGAGCGTGTCGTTCATGCCCGAGGTACAGGTGCCTTCGGCACATTCAGGCTGTTTGAGAGCGCAGCAGACGTCACCACCGCCGGCGTACTCACCGACACATCGCGCGAGACGCCGCTTTTCCTGCGATTCTCGACTGTCCAGGGTAGTAAGGGCAGTGCAGATACAGTGCGCGACGTACGCGGCTTCGCGGTGAAGATGTACACGGACGAGGGTAATTGGGATATCGTCGGAAATAACATCCCCGTCTTCTTCATCCAGGACGCGATCAAGTTCCCGGATCTTATTCACTCAGTGAAGCCCGAGCCACATAACGAAGTGCCGCAGGGCCAGAGCGCGCATAACAATTTTTGGGATTTCGTGTACATGCATTCAGAGTCGACGCATATGAACTATTGGGTGAGTGATCAAGCGGATTTAGAGCGGTGTGAATAGAGGCTAATGGGGGCTGCAGCAAATGTCTGATCGGGCTATCCCGAGGTCGTATCGAATGATGCAGGGCTTTGGTGTTAATACCTATTCTCTGGTTAACAAGGAGGGCAAGCGCCACTTTGTCAAGTTCCATTTCACCCCCGAACTGGGCGTGCATTCGCTTGTATGGGATGAGGCGCTCAAGATTTGTGGCCAAGACCCGGATTTCCATCGCAAGGATCTTATGGATGCGATCGAGGCTGGCCACTTCCCACGGTGGAAGTTCGGCTTGCAACTCATCCCAGAGGAGAAGCTGGACGACTTCGAATTTGACCCGTTGGACGCTACGAAGGTCTGGCCTGAGGAGCTCGTGCCCATCCAATACATCGGCGAGCTGGAACTCAACCGGAACATCGACGAATTCCACCCGCAAACGGAGCAAGTCGCCTTCTGCACAAGCCATATCGTGCCTGGCATTGACTTTTCCAACGACCCTCTCCTGCAGGGCCGGAACTTCTCCTACTTCGACACACAGATTTCCCGTCTGGGTCCGAACTGGGAGGAATTGCCCGTCAACCGCCCGGTCTGCCCGTACATGAACCTGGCCAACCGCGATGGTCCCATGAGACACCGCATCACCAAAGGCACGGTCAACTACTGGCCGAACCGCTTCAACGCCAACCCACCCGCCGAGCCATCCCAGGGCGGCTTTACCAGCTACCCCGAGAAACAGCAAGGCATCAAAGCGCGCGCCCTATCCGAAAAGTTCAAAGAGCACTACAACCAAGCGCAAACATTCTACAACTCCCTCTCCGAGATCGAAAAGCTGCACTTGGCCAAGGCCTTCTCTTTCGAACTCGACCACTGCGATGATCCAATCGTCTACAAGCGCATGACCGAGCGCATCGCCGCCGTCAGTTCCCAGCTCGCGCAGACCGTCGCGACTAACGTCGGCGGCGACTTGCCGTCCAAATCGCCCAAGCCGAACCCCGGCCACAAAGCCAAGGGCTTAAGCCAGCTGGAGTACCAGCCCAAGACACCCACCATTGCCACGCGCCGCATCGCCATTCTTCTCGCGGACGGTTTCGACTTCAATGCCTACACAACCATGAAAGAAGCCCTCGCCTCCCAGGGCGCCTTCGTATTCACTATCGGCGCTGCACGCCAGGGCGTCACCGCTGAGTCAGGCCAGAAGGTCGTGCCGGACCACTTCTTTTCAGGGATGCGGTCGACTCTCTTCGACGCCGTGTTCATCCCCGGCGGGAAACACGTGGCGGACGGGCTGGCAAAGAACGGCGTCGCCAAGTTCTGGGTGACCGAGTCGTTCGCGCATCTCAAGGCTATTGCAGGCGTGAACGAGGCTGTGCCGTTTATCATGAAGCAGATTGGTCTGAACGAGGTCCGTGTTGCGGCGTCGGATAGTGCGCTGGAAGACTCGTATGGCGTTGTGACAGGGTACGGTGATGCGCCGTCCACGCTGAAAGTGGGCGAGGTTGGTCCTCAGGCGAAGGGGGTCGCAGAGAGGTTTATTTGGCATATCGCGCAGCATCGTAACTGGCAGCGGGAGCTGGATGGGCTGGTTGATCAGGTTGCGGCTTAAAATCGTTATGGTTGATTTTAGTCCACTGCAAGCCTGTGGGCTGATGGCGTTTACAATATTTGAGAGGCTTACGCGTATATTGAAGCTGGATTAGCCTTTAGCAAACAGGATAATGAGCTGAGCACGACATTCGAATCCACCAAATCCAAATTTCGACCAAGTAGTCTTCATCTATCGTCATAATTGTCCATTCCCAGGCTGTGGAATCTTAGGAACCTTGGGAGGATGCTTGCATTCTTCACCCTGCAGCAGCTCAGATCCCAAATTCATGGTACCCACACGCCTGCGTAGGGCTGGTACGGAAACATTTCCCTCATTTATAATCAATTACCCGCGATTTGTGTTTGGTTTTGCCTATCTATTTGAGACAATACTCCTGGTCCCAATCCCGTTCATACAGCGATGTAATATATTGAAATAGCCGCGTGAAAAACAGGCATGAATGGTGATACGCGGCATGTTGTGAGATGCTGATACATTCCTTGGTGAAGGTATAATTGAAACTAAGGGGACATGGCATCGCCGTTGAACAAAGATACATCTTGGCATGCTGCATCTTCACTGCATACCTTGATGCGGCCGGAAGCTCCATCAGGCACTATAGTTACACGGTCCCCGTAGCCAATGCACACACAATACCAGCCATTGAGTTGTCAACTGACTCCTGATGCAAGATAGTGACAGCCTGGAAAACGAATTTCTGGTCGCTGGGCAGATCTCCCCTCAGATATCGCTGACTACAACCACCTGCGGCGATTATCCCTCCTCCTCCTCCTTTTCCTCTTCCACACCACCGATTCCTCCTTTTCCATTCGAGGAATCTCAGTAATTATTTGCAGCCTTCTGCCATCTGCTGGCTCGCTAGTCTGGTCGTGGAAACGAGCTCTTATTTCGGCTACTTCACACGTAAGGGACGAGAAAGTTTGGGACACAAGGATCGGTGTTAGTCGCACCGTGACGTGGGACGTTGTGAACAATGTTGCACATCTCGCGCTCGACGCGATTGTCGGTGGTGATTGGCATTTCAACTTGCTTCTTCGTCGGCGAGATTTCGTGTACGCCAGAACGACGGACTCTTAGGGACTGAAGGATGCTGACTCAAAAACAGTGGGCTTCTATACCCATTCACTCGCCTTGATTGCAGATGCTTTTCACTACGTATGTTTCTGGTCGTTTCTATCTTGGGTAAATTATAGCTAATACATTGGAAGCTGAATGATCTGTTGGGGTTTGTGGTCGCCCTGGTGGCTTTGAAGGTATGTCTTGTCCAGCTGCAAACGATTGGCGCCTACTGACATCTAATCGCTAGATCTCGGAGAAGGGTGACTCCCCCAAGGGTCTTTCCTTCGGCTGGCAGCGTGCTCAACTGCTTGGTGCTTTCTTCAACGGAGTCCTCCTGTTTGCCCTCGGTATCAGCATCTTCTTGCAGTCAATCGAGCGGTTCATCTCCTTGCACCGTGAGTGATCACCTGCTTAAAGCGCCAGGATGATTGACTAACAACGATTAGGCATCGAAAACCCCGTGTTAGTCTTGGTAGTCGGGTGCATTGGCCTGGGGCTCAATATCATCAGCGCGCTGTTTCTCCACGGTAGGCATTCTGGCCCTTGTCTCTGGCCATTAATCTGACCCGGTCTAGAACATGATCATGGCCACGCGCATGGCTCCCCGTCGATGTTTGAAGATGAGTTGGCGCATATCAGGGAGTCTGACGAGGATACAATCCTCAAGGTACGCAGGAATGCTATTGACAGATAATTTAATTTCCAACTCGATTGACGACGCTTAGCACCATGATCACAAACATCCACGCTTCAAGACGTCAGTGCCTACACACTGTTACGATCACGATAGCCACGGGCATGGTCACGGGAATGGTCACGGGCACGACCACGGTGACCTGGGAATGACAGGAGTCCTTCTGCACGTGCTGTGTGATGCCGCCAACAATCTTGGCGTCATTGCTGCCGCTTTAGTGATCTGGCTGGCGAAATACGATGGTCGCTACTATGCTGACCCAGGCGTGAGCATGGGGATTGCAATCATGATTTTCCTGTCATCCATTCCGCTAGGTACCATTGATCGGAGGTATATATCTGCCCAGCTAACCCATCCATAGTCCGAACCACCGGTCTGATCCTACTGGAAAGTGCTCCGAACGAGGTCGACTTGAACGATGTGCAGCATGATCTGGAAAAGGTGAGATATTTCTGATCGCTCAATATCTTACCGCACACTAAACAAGCCCGTAGGTGCCCGGCGTGCATTCAATCCACGAACTACATATCTGGCGCCTCAACCAGCGAAAAACTATCGCATCCGTGCACGTTGTCGTCTCTGAATCCTCAGTGTACAGTTTTTTGAAAACTGCCAAGACAATCAATGAATGTCTTCACGCCTACGGGATCCACTCTGCCACCCTCCAGCCCGAGGCTTTGTCAGAAGCCGACACGACCTATTCAGCCTCCGGAGAGGAGAGCCAGCGGTGCCAAGTCGTGTGCGGAACTGTGTGTGAAGCCCTGAGCTGCTGTGGATGATGATGCGTAAAATGGTCCCCTGAGCATCAACCAACACCAAGTGGTCGAGCGGTAACTCGGTCATTTCATCTTCCTTGGTCTAGTGGTCATGATTTCCGCTTGTCATTAAAACCGATAAGCGCGGGAGACCGGGGTTCGATTCCCCGAGGGAGAGTCATCTTTTTGCTCCTGAAGCCCCCCATACTTGGGAGTTATTTTTCCTTCATGGGTTTCTTGTTTTCGTGCCCCTAGAAGGTGCCCAAAAAATGATCCGTGGAGTTAGACGGCCAACGATTAAGCAACGTATTCACGATGAAAATTACTCATCAATGGAATGACTGTCTGTAGCTACCTACCATCGCTACTCCGCACAATCCCAAATGAAATAAACACCCCTCAATCAAATCGAAAATCCTTTTATCTAATTGAAGCACCAACTATATGCATTCAAGTACTATCTATCCCTTCTGCCGGCGAACATCAAGCAGGCGGAATTTTCTCCGCAGATAATCGTTTCCTCCTGAAGGCTGCCTCTACTGTATGATAAGCTGAACCAACAGTTGCTGCAGCTTAGCTCCACTTTATCGCCAGACGCGGGACTCTCCGCCTCGGCAGTGCCTATCAACGGCTTCCGATTCCGAAACAATGTAGTACAACGAGTCTTGTCTGCGGGGGCTGAGAAGGAAGAGGGGAAGGCCGAACTTATTTTGCTTCTCCCCCCTTTCCTTCCGAACCATCTGATTGTATACCATCCCCCAATACACATCGCACTCATCTCTCTGCTGTCAAAATGTCGCTCGACCGCTGGGAACGCCAAGCCCAGAAGGGCAGGGATATACTTAACAACTCGATCCCGAAACAATGGCTTCTGCCGGAAAGCCAACTTGCCCTTGCTACAACAAAGAATGTGATCGATTTTCCGGAACAAAGTGGGCTCCTGAGCGAGCTCGAGATGTTGATTACCGAGCTGTCTGCGACAGAGCTAGTCGCGGAAATGGGGAAGGGGAAGTTGACGGCCGAGGAGGTTGTTGTCGCGTTTCTGAAGCGAGCAGTCCTGGGACAACAGTTGGTAAAACAAGTGACGAGATTGAAGCCCCCGCGATGAACTAATGGATTAATTGTTCTAGTTGAATTTCGCGACCGAGTTCCTCGCTGACGAGGCGATTGCGCGTGCGCAAGAGCTTGATAAGCACTATAAACAAACGGGACAGCTGGTGGGGCCATTGGTTAGTCGATGACCCCTCCGATTGTAATGGGAAGTACTCGACTAACAGCTACTACTTGTAGCACGGCGTCCCCATCAGCGTAAAGGAACACATCGGGTTTAAAAATAAGACATGCAATACTGGATATGTTGCTTAGTTGGTCGAGCCCCGCCCCGCCGTTAAGGGTATATGGCTGATTTTATGAGCAGTATCGACAAAGTCGCCACCGAAGATGCACATCTGCTGCGATTATTGGCCAATGCGGGCGCGGTTTTCCATGTTCGAACCAATCAGCCCCAGTCACTCATGGTAGGTACTGATGTGATCAATCGATTTTGCCCTTCAACTAATGCCACCCAGCATCTTTGCTGCAGTAACAACATCACGGGCACCACACTTAATCCACACAACCGTACATTGACCCCTGGTGGTTCCTCGGGAGGGGAAGGTGCCTCCATGGGCTTTAAATGTGCACCCCTCGGCATTGGTACTGACATCGGGGGCTCAATCCGCTGTCCCGCTGCATTCTGCGGTGGCTACGGCTTCCGTCCTACCGCAATGCGCAATCCTATGGCTGGAATCCAAGTTGCCTGTATTGGACAGGAGACTATCCATGGCGTTGTCGGCCCCATGGCCGGTAGTTCGATTGAGGATCTAGAGTTGTTCCAAAAGGCAGTACTGGATCAAGAGCCTTGGGACGATGAAACATCCCTGATGCCGGTACCTTGGAAGACTGTGACACCAACGCGAGATGTGACGATTGCTATCATGTGGGACGACGGGTGAGTTACTCTGTATTAATATAAAGCGCACCAGACTAAATTCGGAAACTAGATACGTTCGTCCTCATCCACCAGTTACTCGGGCTTTGCGCTTGGCAAAGGAGAAGCTCCTGGCTGCCGGTATTAAGGTCGTGGACTGGGAACCGTACGAGCACCAGCGTGGCTGGGATATCATCGTAAGTCCTGCAATTGTGTTTGACTGAAATGGTTACTGAGATATCAACCAGTCCACTCTCTACTACCCGGATGGAGCGGCACTACAACGCCAGATGCTCCGAGAATCTGGCGAGCCCGCCCGCCCCCTTACTGAATGGGCTTTCTCCTACGCCCACCCCACGCCGCTTACCCACGCTGAAGCCTGGACCTTGCAGTATGAGCGTGATTTATACCGCGATGAGTATCATGCTCTCCTCAAGAGTCGTGGCGTCGACTTCATTATCTCGCCGGCTTACCCTGCTGCTGCGGCCGTAATGGGCGAATCACATTATTGGAACTATACGGCAATCTGGAACATGACGGATATGCCTTGTGCTGTGTTCCCATCCGGACTCACGGTTGACCCAACATTGGATGCGCTTACAGAACAAGATAAGAAGTATGTGCCTCGTAACGAGGTTGATGAAAGAGAGTGGAACAAATACCAGGGCCCATGGAGATATGAGGGTGCGCCCATCGCGTTGCAGATTGCGGGTAGGCACTTCAAGGATGAGGAAACTTTGGCCGCTGCCAAACTTGTTGAGGAAATTATCAAGGATGGAAAGAAGAGTTCCAAGCTTTGATTATGGTCAGTCGCAAGGTTGTAACTTAGCAATTTGGTTCTTAGCCATGGCAAACGATCTACTCGGAGGTGCGCCATTCTAGGTGGAATCCCTTGAAGCGAACGAATCTAAACAGCTGCACTATTCAAGGATAGCAATCCACTTGCCATAAAATGACACTCCATGCCTCTGAAAAACCACTGGAGAAACCACATGCCTTTAGGTTATCAAATATCGTACGGCAAACATGTCTAACCCCCTTTAGATCCGGATTGGACTCCTGCAAGATGCAAAGTAAGCTGCAGCTCGCTAACAAGCATCGAAGCACATGTCTCACGCCGTATTCTCAGCCAATATTCTGGGACAGGATCAACATGTCAGCCGCGACTATCCACTGCATTAGATCTAATGCGGTGGGAAAATCAGCGTGTCCCTATGCCCTTCTACAGAATATTGTAGGATTTATCAGATTTGAAAAAAGAATATCTGGAAATTCCTTGTGAGGCTTTTGCTAGCGATACAGTAACAGAGCATTTCCATCGATATTAAAGCGAGCTACTTGTCGAATTGTGAAGCAAAGTATCTGAGCCTTTGAGTATCATTGAGGTCCCAATGATATGAAACCAACACCACCCCCGGCGGGTAATATGGCCTCATTTGCTGATCTTGTGGCTCTTCCGCTGTCTCTTTGCGGTTGGAGTAGGCTGTCTCTTTGCAGTTCGAGTCCGCTTTCTCTTTGCAGTTCGAGTCCGCTTTCTCTGTGCGGTTGCAGTCCGCTTTCTCTTTGCGGTTGGAGTGGTGACAGATTCCAGAATACGAATCATCTCTTTGTACCTGTGTCTTTTTGCGTAATCCAGTGCAGTTCGACCATTTAGACAATCATCTGGGTCACAACCGAAATCCAGTAGTGCCTGCACCACCTTAACCCATCCTGCCTCTACTGCCTGTATCAGATATTTCGACTCCCCATGCAGTGTGGTAAGTTGGGCTCCGTTCTCGATCAGAAGCAATGCTGATTCCTCTTCTCCAAACCGACCAAGCCGAATAGCTGCTTGCAGAGGAGCTAAACAACATGGAGGCCAACTTGCCTTGGAGTTTGGACTGGCTCCGTGCTCAAGTAGAATTTTCACGACGGCAGAATGACCACCGTCCAGCGCGCTGTGGAGGGCTGTTGGTTCGCCGTACCCCCAGCTCATCTCATCCGGCTTGAACCCTTTCTCTAGAAACTGCGAAACAACAGCTTCGTGACCAGCCTTAGCTGCAAGCTGGATAGGATAGTAGCCCCCCAGGTTAATGGCCAACATGTCAGCTCCGTTGTCGAGGAGACAGCGGACAACCGCTTCATGATTTAGCATAGCAGCTCTATGCAGAGGCGTCTCGCCACAAGTCTGAAAAGTCATCCTGGGACTAGAGTTGAGCCTCTTGCTCCATTTTGTAGACCTGACGAGGTTTTCTTGTGTCTTCAGCAACGATAAACCCACTCTGGTGTCTTGTTCTTCCTCAAATATGACTTGCAAGTCTGCACCTTCATCGATAACGAGCTGAGCGGTACTGCAAATCCCAGTCTTTGCAGCCCAAAACAAGGCTGAGCAATTATCATGCCGGACGTCATTAGAGTACAGAGTAGTGTTGAGAAGGGCGTACAATTGCCGACTGGTCCGGATGAGGGCGTTTAAAGATGACCGTGGCAGCCGCTCCACGATTTCGAAGAGCAGCTCGTGTGGTAATGTGCTGAGTGACATTATTGCGCTTGTTTCAAGTGTTCAGAGAGAGGGAGACAGTTTTCAAAAATCAAATTCGAAGAAATTCTGATGTGTCCCGCGGGGAAGGCCAGAAGAGGAAGAGGAAGAACAGGTGAGCAGGAAGTTCGACAAATAATGAAGAGAAGGTGGAAGGTGAAGGTGAAAGGTGCAAGGTGAAGGGTGGAAGGTGGAAGGTGGAATGTGGAAGGGAAGGTGGATGGAATCTGCCGCAGATGGGTGCCTTGAAGGTATAAGGCAGACAAGCAGCGATGCTTTTGGGGTAACGTTTGTTCATGGAAGGAACGTGGTTGTTTGATGAACTGCAAAGACAACTGAAGAATCCCGATGAAGCCATCGTCAAGGTTGATTGATAGCTGACAGACAGCAAGAGGTGCGAGGATTCAGTCCTTTCCAAATACAACAAATTATTTAGATCTGGAGAACTACCATGAGGTACTTGAAACAAAATGCCGAGACGGCATATCTTTTTCAAAAGTCCGAGTACTAGATTTCTCAATAGTTTCTGCCCTGGGGTCTTAAGATGCGATTTGTATTGGACATACTTGTGGCATGACTCGACTAACATCCTTAAGGGCATCATTCTGGAGAGACATGGAAGGAGATGCATACTGAGCATCTCTAGGTCAGTTTTTGATAAGTTCAGTCTAATGGAACGTTCTCCTTTTTTTTTTTTTTTTTTTGGTTTTTGGACAAAAGTTAATCTGCGCTCGAGCACTAATGCTATCCCAGCCTCACCCTTTTCCACGACCTCATGCAGTCAAGCATATCCGAGGACAAGTTGCCACCCGCCGAATTGGCTCGCTGCACCACAGCAACAAGCGCAGAGGCATAGCAGAACGCAACCTTGTTCTCCATCAACAACGTCAGTTGGACCTTCTGCATACCCCCAAACTGGCACCATAACATCCATCTCTCAAGGATATCAGAGATGAGCTTCGCTTGGCCTTCGTCCAGTATCATAAGATACAGCACAGCTTGGGCTAAATCACGGAGCGTATAGGTGCTAGGCACGATATCCTGACTCACGAGGTAGGCAAGGTTGGCCTCAGCGATGACTTGATTGTCTAGCCGTGGCGATTGGATGGCTTCAATTAGTCGTCGTTGTTGGTACTCTTCCTGAGCTTGCAACCTCCTGAGGTGGCTCTGATGAAATCGCTGTGACTCGCGCAGCATTCTGACCCTTCTGGCTTCTGCAGCCTGCACTGGTGGCATGGCGCCTTCCATTCGTCGAGCTAGTGAATCCTCTTCCATTCGCTGTTGAGTATCGAACCTTGATTCCACTGTCGAGGGTGGCGGCGAGGCCCAAGGTGGCACGTTGTCTTCGCTCAAAAGACCCAGCACAACCATCACGCCACAGGGTATTGACTTTTGTCGCGTAAACTCAGCAATATGGCTCGGAATGGCGAAGTTCCATAACCCGGAGTCTCCATCTTGACTCAATGCGGAGGCAGTACAGGCAAGCCACAGACCAAATATATCTCCGAGACTGGAAAGGTCCCGAGGCTCACCAGTCGGGGCGCTATCACACTCAAAAATCACGCGCTTCACATGGTCGTGATCTATCTTGAATCGGACACTAACAGCGTCGGACTTCGTGACAAGTGCTTTCATTTCCTCAATCTCAGTCAGAAGTGAGAATGGTTTTGAAGAACTGGACTCTGCAATTGAATCAGCCACAAGTGTATTTTGACGACTCAATGTCTTGCCCTGTCCAATTTCAGACCCTGCAGCACCCTTGAGCTCTTTCATCGATGCAGAAAAGATCCCTTCGTCGCTGTCCGCTTTGACTGATCTCGGCTGTTCAAGTCTTGTCCAGAAAGGAGGCAAGCTGTTTGAGTTCCTCTGGTCCCATTGCACTTCCCAATTGACCTGTAAGCTCAGCACTCCATCAGAATCGTCCGGTGGCGCAACTGTAAGAACCGCTCCGGACATGCCTCGTGGCGGGCGCAGCATTGCTGTGCCCGGCGGTGTCCAGAGACCGACTGTTTTCAGTATATGCCATCCATGGGGGTCTGGAACAGCTCCACGGTCGAGCAGAAACGCGACAAGCTCTTCAAAATCAATATCCGCCTGCGGGATAGTCAATTCGTCCTTGAATTGGCAGCGATACATCACTCTCCCAGTGACCAGCCGGTTCCAGTGAAACATTGACCAGCTGCCGCCCTTCAGGGGCACATGAGACGCGTTCAATTTCCAGTATTTGGCATCTGACTCGCGATCGAGTGGGGTGATCGAGCATCGCGGCAACTCCACCTCTACAATGCCCCCAATAAGACTGACACGTGTAAGGGAGTCGAGTAGACCATGGCGATTGAGAGTTGACCTGATCAATCGCTGTGTCCATAGAGCCCGGAAGGACGTGTAGAGAATCGGGAGAACACCAATCACAGCGAGAGGAACGCCAATGTAGGTGATAATGTCGGTTGCCGAGGTCCCGTTGTCCATGGCTCAGGTTAAGGGTCAAGATATTCTCTCCCAGTATTTGAAACCCACGAAATGTCGCCCAGGGGCCATGTTTCTTGGACGAAAACGCGAGGAGCCTCAAGTCCTTTTATTGGGCTAGGAAATCAGCCTCGTGTTCCGATCGCGTAGAAATAAGCGAATCAACGCGATCCCGTTAGGACAATCCCACGTGATCACGGCCATACCAGGCTGAAAGATCCGGCCTGTTGATGAGTCAACGGCAGGCCGAGAAATAGGAGTGCTTTTCGGGGGATTATGAAACGAATCAGGGATTTACGTAACATCCAACTGTTTAATTCGTCTTCCATAGTAATTGTGCTCTGAAACGAAGGAACAGAGTGAAAGGGGTTACCACTGAGGTCTGCGCGAGGCTTTGGGTTAAGGCTGCTAAGACCGCTACGAACACACACCGGACTATCTCCGCAAAGGTGTTCTTTAGGGTTCAATGCGAGGCAAAAACTTCAGTCAAGGAGCTTCAAAGGTCCCTATGTGACCTATGTCTAGAGTTGGGCTAGATAAGGATCCTGTATGGTATGGTTAATGTGATCATCCAAAGGTAGCGCTCCGTCGGGAAAGACCCTGTGTCGGATTGGACATGTGGATCAGGCCTGGCGGGATGGGTAGATCAAATAGTTATGGGACGATAACTTCCTATCGGGTATTGGACATGGCCCACTGCGCCTCCTCTCCGTGATCAACTCTGGTACTCTTCTCGCTCTCCTTTTCCAGCCTCCTCCGGGCCGCGATCTTTTCTTCGGCTGTGATATCCTCGTTATCTTCCTCTTCACATTCAAACCGCCGATTCGCCCGTGAAGCTAGAGGCCTCCCAGCACCAAGCCCTAATCTCCCGAGCGGTTCCTTCCCCCCGGATATATCGCCAATCCACCCGGGAATCTCGTCCAGGGACTTAATCGTGTTATTGTTCTGACCAACAGTCAAAGGCAGCTTTCCAGCAATGGTGGCGCCGATTCTCATCATGGCAAACGAGTCAAGCTGTTCAGTCCAACGAGGCGTCCAGGTGGCGTAGATGGCAAGCGGGATGAGCATCAAAGTGTACAGTCCAAGGAGGATAGAAACAAATATCATGCCACCTCTGGAAATGACGGGAATTTGTGTATCCGCGCCAAGGTCGAAATTCACTGTCAATGACTTTGCTGCTGGGGTGACGCTGTTCTGCATCCAGGCTCTGTTTGCCAAGAACGCGGCAGCGTTAAAGGCATTCCTGACACGTTCTTCTTCGTAGTTGAAATTAGAGATCCACCAGGCGACCTCCGTGTTGACGTCGGTGCCGTTCACGCCTCCGTCTGTATTGCTGATGCAATAATCGATGCCATTGGTACCCGCATACTCGCCGCTGATTCCGGCGAGAAGAATAGCTAGGGGAGCCAGGTCGACACAAGACCCTGCATAGGCAGGAACCTGCTCCACGGGTACATTGAAATCAATGACGGAAGCGTAAGCTTGGGGATATGCCTGACGACTTTGAATAAAAGATGTGTCACCGAATAGCGCCATAGCTATTGTTAGTAAAGGACCTTTGTTGGCAACCACTTCAAGTGGCAGAGTTTGATCCTCCGCAAAGTTGAGATCGCGCCGCTTGTCTCCGATCTTGTGCTCCTCACTGTGTTTGGTCATGTGAGTAGTTTGCTTAAGAACAAGAAGGAAGCAAATTAAAAACTAAAGAGACTTACTCGCCGTTAATCGTCTCAGGTTCACAATATTCTCCGCAAAGACCATTGGGATCCTTTTCCAGCAAGGGCCCAGCAATTTCGCTATTCATATAGTTCGGTAGCTCAAAATAACCAGCAGTTGTGTCGAGCGTCACTTTATAGAAAGTGCTGCCTTGCTGATTGATGTTTGTATAATATTGATTCAATGTCACATTTAAATAAAGCTCCTCAGTGAAGTCTTGTCGGTCGCGCGTCGATTTCCATGGCGATGTGGTCAGGTCCCGAGGCATACACGCCTGAATTCCCCAGATATACTCGAGACCGTTGGGGTCGGTAGTGACGTTCGTATAGTCGACATAGAAGGCACCATCAATCTTATCGCATCCGGTGGGGAATTCACTGTGGGTGATTTTGTCATACTGGGCACTCGAATTGAATCGAGGGATAAATTGCTGATAAAGTCCAGTGTTATAGCCACTCGGAAGCTCCGCCAGAAATGGCTCAACTAGTTGGGACATGTTTGCTAAAGTACTACCGCCGTACCGGCAGGACTGTGGCAATTCCTCTGAGCCATACTTGCGCACGCAAGTGACGTTGGCGCCCTGCCAGAGCTGGGACTGGACCTCTGAAATTGTCGTTGAAGTTAAAGCGCTGCGTGTCATGGCCACAACAAGGTTTGAATCACCATCAGCGGCACCTTGAAACTGATCTGGGATATCCAGTTGACCAGTAATAAAAGAGGGGTAAGTTGGTATTTTGATAGTGCGAGTCGAGAGAAACAGCTGCTGTAGCGGCGATATCACCGAACCGAGGAGATTCAGAAGTATAGCCAGCAGAAGGAATGAACTTCCAAACCGTTTCCACTCATCGGTAGTGAGGAACGGAAGAATTCTGGCGTAGGTTGCGAGGTCGGCCCAGCCTTTATCTGCCAGTGTCATCACTTGCCGAACGGTGATACCCTTGTGGGCCCTTTGTTGAATGAAAATGACTGCTGCGCTGGAGCAGACCGCGGAAGTTAAGGGGATTGTTAAAATACCGACCACCGACTGGATAATTCGAGCAGCGCGATACCATTGTTCATTGCGACCGAAAAGAGGATTTTGGTAATTCCTATCAGGCAGCGCCCAGTTGCCGTTATCAAGGGCCTGCAAATCGTAATGCTTGGTGGTGATGGGACGGAATGATAAATAGCAGGTCACCACCCATGCGAAGACTGCTAAGCCAATGTACAAAAACACGGTGAATAGGATATACCCGGAGCGATGCAGTCTTGCCGACGGGGGAGCTGAAAGAGTTTGTTTTTGGGGCTCTTGGTCACCCTCATCTGGATTCCATGTGGTTTCAGTCCCACTTTTGTCATTCTCAGATATTTCATCGTGAATTGGGCTAACTGCAGCGTAGGAATGTCGTGATCCTCGAGAAAGAGATCTCAACGAGATTGAATCTGGTATTGGCGCCATAGTCCTAAGAGGAGTCGTGAATCTTCCATCGGAGAGAAATCCCAATTGTCGTTTTCTTTTACCCCTCCAAGTAGCCTGCCTCAGGGGGCGGTTAAGTTCAAACGAGAAAATGGGGGCTGAAACATTTATCAGTAGGGATCTTCGCGCCGTGCCGCAATTAATGTGGCTATGAAAGGTCTTCTCCAATGAGAAGCAACATAGTAAACCGGGGGCGCTTAAGGCAGCCCCGTCGGCACAGGCAGGTCGAGGCGCGCGAGAGAGAGATAGTAGGCAAATCACCCAACAGCGCTGGCAGCAGGGCACCTAGGATCAATCGCATCAACCAATACGGTCGCATCAACGGCTTTGCCATGGCACCCCTCCGCCAGCAGGGCCGGCCCCGTAGGCCTGTGTAGTAGCCACTCAGCAATGGTAGATCTCTTTCCTAAACCAACGGGGCTCCACCGCCACTGCCGCCCTGGATGATGATCAATCCGTGATCACTCAGGGAGCATATAGAAATAGTGGGCCAAAACAGATCACGTATGAGTTCGATAACTAAGATTCTGGTACAAAGGACGCTTAAAATGGCGTCAAAAGTAGCCGTTTTCGGCACCGAATTTACCGTTACCTAGGATTATAGTGTACATAATCTAGGTAACGGTAAAACTACCGCCTCGGGAAGTGATCGGCTCCCGGAGCACAGGGTGAGTTAGTCATCTGGCCGCCCTGAGCAGCTCACGGAGCGAACATGAGCAACTACCTGAGCAACCTGATCGCTCACCCCAATGCTCAGGCTGATCGGCCCATTTGATCTCATTTTGCATCTATGCTCCGACGATAACCCCGCTACCTACTGGTGTTCCTGGGAACGAAGGCCCAGAAATGACGTCTCCCATGTTGCTATAGTAACTTCGTCTCGCTCTTCGAACTTGCAGTTGGTCTATCCAACTTGTCTTTCAAACTGTGCTAGAAGTGAGCCTCTCACCATCTCTACATTGTACCATCCACTTCTTTCCCTCACAATGTAGGCTTTGTTGTGCCGGCCATTCAATAAACCTTAAAGAAAGTCCCCATTTGTGTTCAATTCTCTATATATGGGGCTGGCTCGATCCCAGGACTATCATACACTGCCAATATCGGGGCAAACATTCTCGCGTGCCCTACCATAAGCCTTGCCTGCCTAGACACGCTGTGCTACGCAAAACGGACACAGAATCTATCGGTCCGAATGTAAGTCCGAACAAGAAGTCCGTCACGCGATCTATCCAATCTGATGTTGCTGGGAATGCTTCGTTAACTCGATCCACTACGAGCTTGAATAAGTTTCTAATTAGCTACATCAGACGGTAGGGAGCTACGTCAATAGTATATGTGGTCTCTTTACCATATTGATTTAGCAATGAGCTTCGGATTGCCTAGCAGACAACCAGCAAGGCCGCCTCCAATGATGATTATTTTGAAGCTGCCCAGGATTCAACAGCCATGTTAAGACGTAAATTTATTTCAATGTCAGTCAGGAGTACGTACTTCAGGGGATGGTTATTGATCAATGATAGGTGGTGAGGAGCCGTGTATTCAGGAATCGGGACGTAGTAAGGAGTCGGCCCCTAAGCCGAGTTGTGGGAGAAGGTAGGAAAACTGTGGTTGTCAACTTTACCTGCATCGGAGATGCGGGGGATGGACAGGTCCTTGCATCACCAGATTGCCTTTGCAGGCAGCCTTTACCTAGTTGTGTTGTAGCCTGGTTGTCTCGAGGGTCACGTCGATGCCTTGGACCTCCTGATCATGAAAGATACGTTGCGATTTCTTGCGAATTTAGTATTCATCGTGGCGACGGAAGTTGTTCATTCCATTCCCCACCTCCTGCCGACCCATCAGGGTCATATCCAGCAGGTGATACGTGGACAGGATGATCTCCAAGCCACGAGACAAGGTATCATAGGTGTGAAATACCTCGTCACCTTCCCGGAAGAACGAACATAGTCCGAAGCAGCCGTTCCCGGGCTTCCAGGTGATAATTTCTCCCTGTCCCTCGACTTCAGCCCACGCTTTGTGCGTTTTCGCAGAACTATAAAAAGGAAACTTCCAGCCCATCCGATTCCTGTAGGCGGTGACTTCAGACAAGGGTGCGGTAGCCACGGCGACGAATGAACTATCCCTGCTCCAGAGATGGCGGAGATCGGGGATATGGTCCATGCAGAATGAGCAACCCACGCAGCCCTGAGTCTCATGGGGTCCCAGCATAAAATGGTAGAGGATTAACTGTTTGCGCCCATCAAATAGGTCCAACAGGCTCTTCGCTCCGTCAGGTGTGTCGAATTAGAACCTAGCTGGGTCGTGGATGCGCACCATGGGCAACTGATGGCGTGACACGGCGAGCTCCTGTAGTAGGCGGGTTGCCGCTTTCTCCTGCTGAAGAAGACGAGACCGAGCAGCCTGGTACTCTTCGACGCTGACAATATTTTTCTAGGAGTGGTGAGGGAAATCCACGAGATATTTTCGAGAGAAGCATACCTGGCTGTCCATTGTTGCAAGTTGTGATACGAAAAAAGAGTGCACCTGGCCAGAGCTCAATGCATGCCGAAATTATACGAGTTTTATGTATAATAAAAATACTATATGTCTCACGCGTTTTGAAAGAAAAGAGATCTATTCTTAAAGAAAGGACGATTTATAGGTAAGGGCCAATCAGCAGACAAGGCTTCCATATATCACGTGTAACGACGAAAAAGGAAATTCACATCAGCGTGACGCGGTCACGACGCGTTGTCGGGAAATTCCTCGTATCCGAACTCAAATCGCGGCGTTCTTGGTTGGCGTCGGTTGGCGCTCATTCGCTGTGGAACTCTCCTTGATCCAATATCCATGAATTCATGATATATATACGAAGTGGCTGCATCGATCTGGGTCCCTAGTTGGGACTCTACTTGAAGTCTAGGCCGCCTGCTCTCCATGATAATGTTGTCGATGACGTACACGTACCATGCTTAGCTCTGACTGCTTCCCGTGGGCAGTATTTGAGGGAGTAGATTTATTATGCTCCTTCATCTCCCTGTCCGAACCTTTTGTCTGGCGCTCAACTTGTTCTGGCTCTAACAGCCTACAATGTCTACCGAAACCACCAACGCAGCTAAGGCCCAGCAGGAATGGAAGCCTCCCCAAGAAGGCTCCCCATGTTGGGTAGAGATCCCTGCACGGGACACCGAAGGACTAAAGGTTGGTTCGCGGTCATACGGCGACTCTGATGATTTTTGCCTGTTGTGGTAGCATGGTACTAGATCCCGCTGACTATTTTCTCTGGGAAGGCATTTTATGGTGCCATCTTTCCGTCCTGGAAATGGAGACCAGCTCAATCGGCTGAAGGCCAAAGCAAAGTGCAGCAATATAGTTTCGCTGAACCGAAGGGTAAGCCAACAGTGATGCAGTGCCCATCAAAATCGCTGAATGGGGTTCCCGTCTAGGATTCGCGGGAGGCATAGTCCAGATGCCGGAGGGTTGCGCTCCAACAGAGCAGATTATGGGCAGTGGGATGACCGTGTACTACTCGGTCGATTCCCTTGACATGGTCAGTCCTGGTGTCCAAATACTCCAGGAAATGCGTACATTTTCCAGAAGATTGGCAGGCTGATTATATCAGATGGAGAAGAGAATTCACGAACGTGGTGGTAGTACCTGTCTCGGCAAGACAACTGAGAGTTCTCATGGGTGGTTTATGAACTTCCGTGATCCTGAAGGGAACCGATTTGGTTGCTACGAGTTTCGTCGTAGCTAGAGAGTCTTGGAGGGTATTTCGCAGCCGTTGCTTTTCTAGCTAAGTGGGTCGTTTTGTACTTTCTTAAATATCTTCGGGGCTATCAAGGGTAGGGGGCGGACACCGCGAAAAGAATACGTAGCGAAGAATCGACATCCAGCTCAGAGTAGGTCGTTCACTTTGTCAATATCAGAGATTTCAGTCTGGATTTTTTGATATTTTCATCTGATTCGATAATAGATATCAAAAATAATTGTAGGGTAGACACGTAGAATAGTCTTAACCCTCGAGGGTTAGGTTAAGATAAATTAGGTTTTAAAGGGGGATGCCCAGACCTTCCAGTGCAGGTAGCCTATACAGCCTTTAATCTGACTCTAAGCCTAATTTATTAACTAACGTAATTCCCGGCTACCCTGGCCACCCCAAAATACCATACTAAATACGCCTTTTCGCAACTTTATATCTTGTCGGAGCAATAAATGACGGTATAGACTAAGAATGTTGCCTATAGTGCATTTTTGGTCTAGTGGTTATTTTGCTTAAGATTTGGCCCAAATTTAGTCTTGATATATCTCAACACTCAACACTAATTATCATAGTCTTAGGATACCTTAGTGCTTAATATATCATATTAGATATTTATATCAGGTCGAGTAATATTTCAAGCTATAACAATATAGGTATAGAGATCTACGTCCCTCGATCGGGGCGTCTTTTTGGTAATTTAATCATTTCCTGAATAAATTAATTATGCTATAATATTCCGAATACTATAAAATAATATCATGCTAAAATCCAAGTAGACTTCTTCTCTTGTTGTTAATATATTGTAGTTAGGACTATACTATAGCCCCCTGTAGTCCTTTATAGTCCCCCTATATAGTCCCCTATAGTTTTATAATAATACTAAAATCGTCCGTTCTAGCTATTTACATACTAATTTAGCCAAGTTTTTTACTATTTTTAAATACTATTTTAGTATCTATACCGATACTAATAAATAAATTAAGTCTAACTGTTAATAAAATAAGTAGATGAACTATATCCTAGATACGAATTTCTCTATCCTCATACCGTGGCAGTCCGGCTCCCTAGAATTATTAAATCCAGAAAATTGAAGAGCGATATCCAAGCCAGGGATATCAAGGGCCATCTAAAATCTCTGGAAGGGGGTCAAATGTTGAGGTGATCAATCGTCAATCCAATTCGAGAAAGCGCATAAGTACATCCATAGTTTTCATAGACACATCACCCTGGCGGGAAGCAAGGCATAAAGCACCACAAGGTTAAGACAAGAGCCCCATATCATGACAAATATTTCCATCGTAAGAAAGAAGGAACAAAAAAGGCAGTTAAACCATAACTCCTGGTGACAAAAACAGAGAGGGAAAAAACTCCGTCAATGAGAATCAAAATTTCAAAGGCGAGCAGAATCGTGAAGCATGAAGCAAGTCTACTTCCGCCAGAACATAGCTTTGCCAAAAGTCCGGCCGACACTCCACCTAGCCTCCGCAATGCGGTCCTTAAAGCTAGGCCCACCGCTGTACCGAATCGGGCGCGAGGAACTGCCTCCTTCGGAAGTGCCGCCGCCAACGCTGCTCCCGCCAAATGAACTCGGCGCGAAATTGGTAATATTTCCAGCATCGAACTTGGTTTTCCCCTCCACAATTTTGTGCACGAGGTTCAGGATGGCGTAGGTCGTTGACCCGATGGCACGGACAGCGGCGAGGACGGCAACGGACCAGAGGATGATGGACAGGTAGATGTTCGTGCCGCCCGCGTCAACGCCGTAGACCTCAGAGACGGCCATGCCGAGGATGACATTAGCAACCATCCATATAGACACCATGTACGTGCGCACGGCGCGGTAGTAGTCCTCCTGCATTTGGGACTCGGAAACAGGGGCCTCAGGCACTTCCAGGCGATCGCGGAGGTTGCGCAGCGCGGCATCGTACCCGCTGTCAATGTCTAGTTGTTCCGAGGGCATTTCGACGACCACAGTAGTCCCGTTGATGACCTTAGCAGCACCGAGGTCTGTGTTGATAACGTTGTCACCCTTTGTTCCCCATGTGACATCATGTGTGTTGCAGAAAGCGTATACCTGCAGCGTGCAGATGTAGCTAGGCATGAGCAGGAAGTATTGCGCGGATGAGGTGAACATGTGCCATGGATCCAGATACAGGAAGGAGGTGTAGAAGTAGAGGCCGACGGTGGACAGCATGGACAGGACAATATTGACCATGAGCGAATCGCTGACGTCGAAGTCGTCACTGCCCTTGCCAGCGCGAGCCATGAGCTCCTTGACCGTTAGATAGAACGCGGCGAAGACTGTGTAGAGCATTATGATGGCGTACACAATGATGCCCGAGAGGTACAGGTTTTTGGCACTTGAATAATCATTAACGGAGCCCATAATACTCGGTTCGGGATGATCTTACCCTTGAGGACGATTACCCAGAGAGATGATAAATTGAAGACACATAACCAGAACACACGCATAGCGCAGCACAATGAATATGTACTTGCCCATGCTGTGGCCAAACGGATCAAGCTTCTCGTCAGTGAGCGAGCCCGCGATGAAGTAAAAAGCAAGGTAGAAATTAGCCTAGAAATAGCTGGTCAGAATCTAGAGCAGCCAAAATACCAAGGGGCAGAGGTACTCACCAGTCCAAAGTAAGTAAACAACAGGTTGAAGAATTGATACACAAACTCGATGTGCAACAGGATTTTCCTCGGCAGCGAATGATCCGTCTTCCAGATCTGCCTAGCATTGAAAAGCGAGTACACAGCCGCGAAAAAAGCACCGTTCAGCCAACGACGACGCTGTGAAATAAACTCAGGTACCGTGTCCGGCACATCAGTCTCTCCCACCGCGCTCTTGACGAACTTCAGCACCCATCTCTCTTCCCGCTTGGCGACAAGCTCCCAGCAGAGAATACGGTCTTCGGCAAGGTACATGTTGGCAGTGAACACATCGGCGTCTTGGCCATGCATCGTCTCACCCTTGAAGTACTGGTTGAGCGGGCCATGGCCGTCGGCATCGTTCTGCAGCGCAAAGAAGCGGTAGGCACTCAGCGCACCGGGAAGCACAGTGATGTACCCGAATACAGACTCCAGAGGCTTATCCAGGATGTTGGACATTTTGTACTCGAAGTTCTGACTGGCAACAAGCGGGTTGAGCAAACCGAGCCAGCCCTTGCCCTTGCCGGCCTTGATTTCACCGGCGGCACCAGCGACGTTTGAGTCCTGGTCAAATGCCTTCCACAAGTGGTACAAGGCGGTCGGCTCGGGCTTGGTACCCACATCAAGCAAGATACAAATATTAGGCTGCAGGGCACGGCCGAAGGCATTGAAAAACCATCGGTGGGAGTTCAGCTTCTTCTTGTTTTGCTCCTTCAGGCAAAAGATGACCTGGCAAGGCATAATGCCCTTCTCGGCACCCTTGAACTTCAGGTCCGAATCGAGAGACACCTGCGTCGTGTATTCGTACACGTGGGCCGTAACTTCCTTCTGGTTGACAATGTTCTTCGCAATGCCCTCTTGGTAAACACCAAGTGCGGCCAGCGCGTTCAAAGTGCGTGGGTGCACCTTCTTACGGCCGTCAGCCACAATGCAGACCACGATCTTCTTCCATCCGTCTTTGCCCCAAGTGCGGGACTTAGTACGTGAGCAAAAGTTGGTGATGTTGCGCATGATACCGTGCATAGTGCGGGTGAAGCCGATTTCGTCTTCGTTGTACATGGTCACACAAATGAAGAGCTCCGTCTCACGCGTAGTGCTGCCAATCTGTTGGCGCAGCTTGTAGCCTCGGCTTGTGAAGTCATCGGGGTCGGAAGTCACGGCTGTGTACCGCATATGCGTGAACTCGCGGTCGTCCCGGCGGGGGAGGAAACTGTGCAGAATCGTCGGGATCTTGCACTCCAGGATCAGCTCGCCGTTAATTAGCTGGACCTCCTTCTTAGCCATCTGGGTAGAGCGGACACCACGGCGGCCTTGCTTCTCGGGCGCAGGTCCATAATGCAGATTGGGATCGATCATGGACGACTCGTCATCCTCTTCTTCTTCCAGATCGACCTTGGCCATCTCGTCCTTCTCGTCGCCCATAACAGTTGACTCGCTCATGAATGATCGAACACTCCCGCGGGAGGTGTGGTTGATGGACCGGCCACCGCCACCGAAAGGGTCCTCTCCACTATTGCGGTCTCCAATATCGATGCTGGAGTCTGCTCCCATGGACGGCGCAGGTCCAGAGAATAGGGGAGCCGGAGGTAGAGGTCTCCTAGGGCTGCCTCCATATTTTGAGCTGGGCGTTCCGGGACGCGGACTACCATTGATATCGGCGCGTTCATAGCCAACACTCGACACGGAGGGAGGTCGAACATGACCTGGGCTCCAAGGGCGGGTGGGCGACCCTGTTCGCGCGGGAATTGACGGATAGACTGAGCTATCTGCTAGACTAGCGGTTGGTGGCGGGATACTGGGGGCATACCCAAAGCTGGACGGTGGACGTGATGGTGACGCTGCGCTGGGTACGTTGTAATACCGGTCATCGTATGCAGGCGCCTGCCCGGTTCTGTCCCGCGTTCGAATGTTAGCACGCGGCCGCGCAGGGTACTCCATTTTGAAACAAGAGCGGGAGTTGGGTCAAAGTGGAGATGCAATGTCTGACACCATATGATAAACAAGTGCTGTGTAAGGATGTTTATCCGGAAGACCAGCGCTGGGTGAGCTGGGAGGGCTAATTGCTTCTCGTCCAATGGTAGGGCTCATTCCTGGACAGGACACCAAGCAGTGACCCGCCTCTTGGCTCGCCTGTCAAGGGAGAGCCAAAATCAACCAAGTGTGCATCCTCCGTCGTGCCAGCAACGGTTGGAATGTGCCAAGGAATAGGATTCCAATTTCTGGGTGAGGAAAACAGATATACATACATAGTTGAATCAGAATGATCAGCTTGACGCTGCAATGGCGAGGGAGCCCGCGGGCTGCTACTCAAATCACCATCGATGTCGCCGCTGGTGGGAAGCAATCGCATCGTCGCGCCATTCTGTCGCGGCGCACCGCTAGGAGATTCCGGGTCGGAAAGGTACGAGGACGCCTCATAGCCCAAATAGGCTGGTGGCTCGTCACCGTAACTGGATGGTGGGTGGCTGTTCATGACGTGAACGTGGAATGTGTTCGGTTTGAGAGGGCTGAAATCCTTCAGCTCTTCATAGTAGGGCGCTACGCTGTCGGTCTAGATGAGACAGGTTGCGCAATGAGACCCCGAGTGGCGGCTTTGCTGGTACCACCACTGAGACAGTGCGAGCGGTAGGTCTGACAGGTGAGTTGTTGCGTTAGTGAATAGTCCGGGGAATAGTTGGAATGTGGAGTCTGCAGAAGAATGTGGTTAGGGTCGCTTACCAGGAAGAAGTGATAATGAGTAAAATGAGATGAGTAGAATACAGAAGAAGAGTGGAAGAGTGAGAATAGAGAGAACAAGAGGAACACGGAGAGCAAAAGGCCCAGCAGGTGGTCGGCAAGCCCAGCCCGGTTCACCCGCAGGCCGGCGATCAACAAAGTGGAGGTGTCGCCCGTTGTCACGGCAACCGCGCGTGTAGCAAGGGCGCCCCCTCGAGCGCGAATCTGCACGGTGGGCATCTCAATCAACAGGATCCTAGCTCCATCGCTCCCATAGCTCCATACTTATTCAATCTATGATGTGATGTACTCCTGTATATCTTTTACCCTTTACACATCATCTTTCTAACATCCTTCGGTCTCATACCCAAACTGTCGATACAGTTGTTATCACGGACTCCCCGGGTCCACCGAGTGGGTCCACAAGCATCGAGATCGCGCAAAGCCCCTCCGGGTTCATAAATAAATACTCTTCACAAGGGTACTTACATTAGATTCACTCAGTACATAGTAGTGGGAGATTCAAACGAAAGCAGCAGGGCCCACTCAACTCTAGGTGGTATTAAGCCTAATAAGCATAATTGAAGCGAAACGGGATCATTTTCCGTAAAAGCATCAGCCATAACGCATGATTCAGGTTCAAACTGTCCAACAAGTCCTCTCCGACAGCAGAGGACCCCCCCCCCCCCCCCCCCCACCCCAAACCCCAACACCCCCAATCCCACTTTTTCTTCCCGTCGACCACACTCCAACTACCATCGAGACGGAAAGTACCACGATTCTCGTACTCATCTTTCAATTCATCTCTTGGGGACGAAGCATTCTTGCTGCTCTATGCCTCATCGTGGAGCAGGGGCTGGCGCTCACGGTCGGCTGACTCGGGGTGCGCAACGCGGCGGAAGAGGCTGTCGCGGCCGTAGTACTTGGTGCTGGATATGTAGAAGGAAGTCGCCAGGAAGACAGCGAAGATGACGAAGGCGAAGATCCACTGCAGAGCAATAACCTTGATGGCAACCTGACGGAGGGCCAGGGCTGGAATATAGAGAGAGGGATATTAGCATAATCATCCGCCTCCCCACATGATAATGGCACATGGGATATATTTCCTGGATTAGAACACTTACACAGTGTGAGAAAGCTGAGACAGTATCCCAGCACATAGTCCTGACGCACAACAATATCAAACAGGCCCACGGCCAAGATCACCCAGATGAATAAGTTGGCCACGATCCGACCGGGCAGGTTATGGCTGTGGACCGCGACGGCGCCGTTCCAGAACAGCGCCGTCAGCGTCCAAGCGTAGGGACCTGCGACGGCAGGCAGGTGCACGAACGCGGGCAAGCCGTGGTGGCGCCAGTAGGTAATGGCCTGGTTGACAAAGTTGGCGGCAAGGATGACCTCGGCGCCCCAAAAGTAGTTGCGGGTCCAGAGCAGGATCCAGGCCAAGACGAACACGTTGTTCAGGATGAAGTGCGTGGCGACGTTGGCAGCGGACGCGACCAGAGCAGCATCCTTGGAGAAGAGATGCCAGACGTAGCTGAGCTGGGAGAGGAGCAGGAGGATCCTAGGTCGGACCGTTAGTGGCTGCGCGTTGTTCGAGAGGCAGTTGGGATGTCACTTTGCACCGGGTGGGGGTCTTCGCTTACCAGTAGATTCCAGTCACCGTCGTGTTCTGGCTGAACGGTGTGTTGTGCTTGTTGGCCTGTTTCCAGATCTTCTTGCTGTGCTTGGTGTCGTCGGGTGAGTGGATGGAGTAGTAGACGCCGACGATGACAACCAGCAACCAAGTAAGGGGCACGAAGACCCGGTACAGATTCAGCGCGCGAGCATCATGTGTCTCGCGACGGGCGAAGGGGTTGTAGGACGGCATAGTTGGGAGAGAGGGAGTTAGCTAAGGAGAGAGGGAGATCCTTAGAGGGAAACAGCAGCCTAGCAGGGGGAAGTTTTAAGAAGCGGGGTGAGCCTTAAATAATAAGAGAATTAAGTTATATACTTTTTGATTTCTCATGTCTGGTAGTACGTCGTCCTGCACTGCGATTAGCTGCAGCCCCATCAGCTCCATTCCCGCCTGGTCTGATGACCGCCATCCCACCAGTCACAGTACCGCGCAAGCAGAAGTGGCGCAATATCCGGCTGCGGCACCATGAGGTCAATTACTTCGGTTGGTGATGTCAGGCCGACTTAGCTTATCTTAGCGGCTCCACTCGCCGCTGCAAAAGCCGGTTCCGCACCAGACTGATCTATCAGGTCCCGATCAGTGCCCGATCGGACTCACGAACACGCGTCCAGGCAACTCTCGAGGGATGGAATACAAAGACAGATGTCTGTGCAGGGGAAGTGACGCATCCACGCTGCAACATGAATGGCGTAAATGGATGCTAGGGTTGTCGATCTGAGAGCACGGTCCCCGTGGGCAGATCAACCTGGGGAAATACGGAGGAAACTCTAGTGCCCCTGCGAGGTGAGACGCCATACAGGAGCGGGGCGGGACCCCCTGGCTCAGAAGAAAGCAAAATCCGGAAATGAAAATCCCAATGGATGAAAAAGCAAAATGAATTGCAGAAGCCATGAGCACGACATCCTCTCATCGTCGAACGTGCTGGCCCGTCAGGGCCTTAACGGGAGGTACCTACGCAACACAGCGAGGACCTGGCAGATGCGCGGGGTAAGGGGGCCACTGCTTAAGGCTGCTGGGACGACGGAGATTTCACACTTTGCTAATTCTGGGGTAAACAGGCGCAGGATACTAAATCCATGCTTTTAATCTAACACCGCCCAGACCAGGAACGCTGACCGTCAACTCGTAACGGAAACTGTGGCGCGGGCCTAGTTTATAAACTCTGCATTGCCAGAGGAATTGGCAGATGGATTGGGACGGAAGAACCGGTGGTGAGGCGGCCTTTTATTTCTTATTCAAATGTGTAAAGCCCTGCAGGTCACTGGAATGGATTCGCAGGTAGGTAAACCCTCACTCCTGTTAGACTGTCATAAGAGCGCCGATCCAAGATCATTGGAATAATATTCCAATATACCGCAACTATAATATAACAAGCCTTCGTGGTCTAGTTGGTTATGACGTCGGTCTCATAGAGATCATATGACATCTCTGCTTTAACAGAGTTGCAATCCGAAGGTCTCCAGTTCGAACCTGGACGAGGGCATTTCTTTTTTGCATCTGTCGGGTGGTTCTCTGCCCGCCTACCACCAATGTGCGATTAAGTATTTTGTGTACCCTTCAAACTGCTTATTTATTGCATTCAATTATTCACGTTCTATAGTATGTTCTCACGGGGTATAATTCGCATAACAGTGGATATATATATATATGGTTCCGAACGTCATCCTTTTCTCACAAGTACGCTAAACTATTGTATCGACCGCGCAACCTTCACAGCCTCCAATACCCGCCCATGAATCGAAGCTGGCGCCACAACCATCCCATAGCAACCTCCCAGCGTCCTCCCAAGCCCACAATTCACCGGCCGGCCCTCCAAATCCGTAACCACACACCCAAGCTCCTGCACCAGCAACATGCCTCCGGCATGGTCCCAGATCTTCGACCGATAGCTCTCATGTCGCGGTACCTTAACGAACGCATTGCAGCCGCCCTGCACCGCAATAGCCACATAGCGCATCTGCGCCGACCACAGGTCCACCGGATTCGGCCACGGACAGTCCAGCTGTGCCGCGACCCGCGCGTGGACACCCACGTCGTGCGAGCTGGCCGCCCGCGTATCAACGAAGCGCACGCCGCGCGCCTCGCTAATCTGTGGTATCACGCCCAGTGCCCGACGAGCGTGTAGTACTCCTGTGCCCAGCGGTTGAATATGTGTTCCATGCCCCGCCACTGCCGTCAGCATCTGCCCGTATCCGTCCCGGTCCACGCTGTCCTCAGAAACAGGTCCGTCCAGGACAAGGTTCGGGCAGCCCAGCACGCCGAGCCGCTGCAACCCGTCTTCCACGAGCGCGAGGCACACTGCATATTGCTGGCCCTGCATGAAGGTCGCCGTGCCGTCGACGGGGTCGAGGGTCCATACGCGCCCGGGCCCGCAGGCGCCCTTTGCGCCGAGATCGATCAGGTCGAGGAGCTCCTCGCGCGACTGCGGCGTGTACAGGAGCGCCTCGCTTTCAGCATCGTCCAGGTGCACGGATGTGGCGAGTTCCCACGTGCGCTCGAGGAGGGTGGGGTTCTCGCGCAGCGCGGTCGAGTCTTCTTCGCCGACGATCTGGTCGTCAGGGAAGGTGTTGTGGATGGCGGCGATGATGGAGGCTTGCGCGGCGAAGTCGGCGATTGTTACGGGTGTGGCGTCAATCTTGTCGAATGAGCCCTTATCGACCTCGGAGAGTAATCGCTTCGTTAAGAGCGCAGCTCGCTGAACGGCGAGGCTCGCGAGGTGGAGCTCTTTGGCGTAGGGGTGCGCACTCATCGTGATGCGGTGGCGGAGTGTGGACAAGGGCTTGGTGCCTGTGATAAACTGCAGGATTGAGTGTCCCGGCGGAGATGAGCCGGCCAGGGTTGAGAATGACTCAATTGAGCTTCCCGCCATCTTGGAATATATATTTCGTGACTCCCAATCGTTTCACCGGCCGGATCACGTGGGGCGGTTGCCCTCTACGTCATGGGAAGTTGATGAGATCGGTGAACGGAGAATATGTTAGGTAACGATTGTAAGGACAAACAGAAATGCGGTCTATGGAAACTTTCTAGGTCACGAATGGCAGGCTCAATGTAGGTGCCTATCTTCTACCTTTATGATTCTTTGAATTGAGCCAATGCAAAAGTTTGGCAAACAAGACCACTATCCGAGATATCCGATCGCCGTCCTACAATGGAGATAGTGATCACAGCGCCACGAAAAAATTGCCAAAAAGTTTCTCTCCCTCGGGGAATCGAACCCCGGTCTCCCGCGCTTATCGGTTTTAATGACAAGCGGAAATCATGACCACTAGACCAAGGAAGATGAGATGACCGAGTTACCACTCGACCACTTGGTGCTGGTTGATATTAACGTGCCCGCATCTCCCGACTCAGAAGCAAAGAAGAACATTCCGTAAGAGACATTACCCGAAGTCAACCGTCCCACTGTTCCGCGCTGTTTGGCCAGTAAATATGTCGAAACGATTCAAAAGCAAGTACAAAGCAAAAGCAGCAAAGACCTGCAGACCTGAGTAATCATTGTCATGCTGCCTATTCAGAATAGCGCCCTCAATGGGTGGGCCCATGATGCAACTGTGAAGATTAGCCGGAGCCCTCGGCAAGACTCCTAAGTTTAGAATTTGGACACTAAATTCCAGAGCCTATGAGATCCTACCTCAATAAAAGATCTACCTAGAATGTTCCAATCGCCGACCCGCGGTATTACTTTGCCCAGCTTGGCAACACAGGGCATGAAAAGAGACACAAGCGCGCCACTGCTGAATCCATATACTAAGGCAAAGACAATCAGACCGGCATGTGAAGAGGCTAAATTCGCGGTGATGCGTGTTTTAACAGCGGATCTGATTAAAATGCAAGTAGCTGTGCTGTCATATATTTGGTAGATACTGTATAAGCCCGAAGGCATACTTATATTATCTTCCACTTTTTCCCAAGAAAGGACGGACACTAACCGGAGCGATGGGCCTATGATCGGCTTTCGCCAGCGAAACCCGACTTTATCCCCTCACCACTTTTCGGGTCCACCTTAGGCTAAATTGTTAGTGTGGGGTAATAAGAATCCCAGACGAGGGTATGTGCGTGGTTCGGCTCTCGGGTGGCTAACCCGACTCAGATCATTTAATAGGACAATATATATAGGCTTTGCTATATGGTGTGCTGTCAGAGAATAGAAAATTCTCGAATTTCTTCTCCAGTCCAGAATGTCTGCGCAGGCCAACGGCAAGACCCCCTCACATGCTTTCAGCAGCTCGCCTTTCCGCACGCGCGCCGATCTCCAATCGGCATGCCGTGCTCTGCTTGACCCTTTGCTACCCCTCTTTACCCCAGGTTGTAGTCGTGTCAAGATAGGCTCATCCACGACTCGATTCGATGAGGGTGGCGCCCAAATCGAAGGATTTGCCCGTCCACTTTGGGGCCTGGCCTCTCTTCTCGCTGGCAACTATGACTATGCGGAAGCTGCACGATGGCGCGAGGGAATCATTAACGGCACCGACCCTGAGAGCCCGGAATATTTCGGTGATATTGAAGATCTTGACCAGCGCATGGTGGAGATGTGCCCCATAGGATTTACACTTGCTGTTGCGCCGCATATTTTCTGGGATCCGTTGTCGGAAAAACAAAAGGATAATGTGACAAAATGGCTTAACAGTATTAACGCACGCGAGATGCCTAATACGAACTGGTAAGCTCTCCGTTCAATTTTTGGGGGCTTGATGATATTGATCTACTTTTTAGGCTGTGGTTTCGGGTTTTTGCAAACCTTGGGCTGAAAAGTAATGGCGCTTCCTATTCGCTGTCGCGCATTGAGGCGGACATGGACCATTTGGATACTTTCCACGTGGGAGGTGGTTGGAGCAATGATGGTCCCAAAAGTCACCACCAGATGGATTATTACTCCGGCTCGTTTGCAATCCAATTCTTGCAACTTTTATACTCCAAATTAGCAGGGGACTTCGATTTCGAGCGGGCTGCGCGGTACCGTCAACGAGCTAAGGAGTTTGCTAAGGACTTTGTGCACTACTTTAACCCAGATGGTACGTAACTTTGGAGATCTTCTATGAACTAACCCAGAGCGAAGTTGAGCGAAGTTGATGAAATTTTTTGAATAGGACGTGCCATTCCATTCGGTCGCTCATTGACCTATCGCTTTGCTATGGTCGGATTTTGGGGTGCCCTGGGCTTTGCAGATGTTGAGCTACCAGAGCCATTGACCTGGGGCGTAGTGAAGGGTATTCTACTCCGCAACTTTCGCTGGTGGGCTACACAGAAGGATATCTTTAATAATGACGGCACCCTGAACCTCGGATACTCCTACGCCAACTCTTATTTAACGGAGAACTACAACTCCCCAGGGTCTCCCTACTGGTGTTGTCTCTCATTCATTCCCCTGGCATTGCCAGAGACACACCCATTCTGGACTTCAGAGGAAGAGCCCTACCCGACCGCTGCCCTTCCTGAGATTGTAGCTCTCAAATACCCAAAACATATTGCTATCCGTCGAGGTGGACACTCATTCCTACTATCCTCTGGACAAGCTTGCCACTACCCGATGAGAGCAACACATGCCAAGTACGGAAAATTTGCATACAGCTCTGCATTTGGATACTCCGTTCCGACCGGTTCCTACCAGCTGGAGCAGTACGCCCCAGATAGCATGTTGGCATTATCAGATGATGGGGAATTCTGGAAGACAAGGCGACTGGCCGAGAACGCGCATTTTGAAGAGCCTGGCCAAGACGGCCTACCCGTCCTCGTCTCCAAGTGGAACCCCTGGCCTGATGTTGATATTGAGACGATTTTGATTCCACCAGCATTGGAAACCCCGAACTGGCATCTTCGTGCACACCGCGTGCGCACTGGCCGAGCTCTACAGAGCTCGGAGGGAGCTTTTGCTATTTACGGATGTCGTAGCGATAACGGCCGCACGCTGGGCCCATTATCGGCAGATGAGGCGGAAGGCACTATCAGCGATGAAAGTGGTGCGTTGGTCGTGTCATCAGCCGGAGCTGTTGGCATCACGGAGCTTCATGCTTCCATTCCGCGGGAGGGCCGGATTGTCCTGGCGGACCCGAACTCGAATATCATCCATGGTCGTACACTCCTGCCTTCCCTGGCCATCGATCTAGTGCCCGGGCAAGACAATTGGTTTGTGACTGCCGTTTATGCACTGCCAGGGAATGCTGATAACTGGCGCGCTATGTGGGAGCAAAAGCCAACTATTCCGGGATGGCTGGCCGAGCGAATCGAAGCATAGCCCTAAATTGTCCAAAGGGCCCGGTCTATTCCAGCTTTATTCAGTAAATAAGTGAATTAATCATCTGTTCATTAATTTAAACCAAGATTTTCGCTAACATACTCCGCCTCGTCCCTTGCTCTTTTCATGTTAAAAATTCATAATTGAGATTAGCCCCGGCAAAAGCCTTGCGTTGCCAATAAAGCATGACAGGACAACAAAATTGATGAGATCCACTCAGACAACCGATACCTAACTCTTATCTTGAGGTGCTACCAGCCTGGATGCTATGAATCAATATGTATATCCAGAAGGACCACCCATGTGATGGAAAGTGCGTTTATAGGAGCGCCATACCAACCTAGGTTGAAGTATCAACCTGGCAACACCGTTTCTCGTACACAATGGAGGGGAATTGCTTGCGAAATAAGCAGCATGTCTGGAGAAGACTATAGCTGTATTGACCATCGACGAAATTGGGGTGGTAGATCCAAGAACAACAGCACCGCAAATCTTCCCACTTAGTTATCATATGCCTTATTGAGGAGATGGGTCTCACTGAAACTTAGGTGCACGGAAAGAGGGCAGCGTTGGCGGGCATCCGTAGTGAAGGGTGGACTCGCATCCACATTCTACCAAATGGGACCGTCTCACCGTGCGAAACTGCCCACAGGGTGCCAAGTGAGGTTGTTGCCGCATTTAATGATAGAGTTAGCTCCAGTACAAATGCCAGACACACTCTAACCATTGGCAACCAGGCAACCAAGGAAACAACATGCAAAAGTACCCAGCAGAATAGACGCTGCGACAGGGAGTGTGTCGAGTATATGGGCGAGGAGGTGGGGAGATGAGGGCCCCACCTCCTCACCTCCTCACCTCCTCAGCCGAAAAACGCGAGTTTGTGCTTTTGGAGATGTTTTATCACTCTGACGAGCTTTTCATGTGCACTACTGCCGGTGGAATTATACCTATCACTTCACTTGACGGATAACCCGTCAAATATGGCCAGATATGACCGATCACAAAACGGATTTCGAATGACCCCTGGGCTATGCATTATGATTGACTTATAGCTACGCTATAGACTTTGATAACTCTGAATGGCAGCAGATGGGGGTTCGCGAGTGCAGAAGCTTTAGACAAGGCTTTTTCTTCAGTCTTGTGATGTTCATTTCGGGATGAACAAACTCTTTGTATACCGAGAGGCTGATGGGAAAAACAGGCGAGCAGTACGTATGCGGATGCGAGAGTGAATCAAAATTCAAATGATATCAGATTTGATTAATTCTAGAGCACCTTGAATTTACCCAGAACTATACAAGAACCAACCGGTCAGTTTCTGCTCTTCTAGTAGCCAAGAGGTATGTAGCAAGTACATACCAGCAGCGTGGGCTAGCTCCGTCTGATTGGCTGCCAGCACATGTAGGCTGATATCTTCGAGCGCCCGGTAAAGGTGATCTTTGTTCGTTGTGTAGTAGGCTTTATCGTGGATGCTTGCTCCCTCCGGCACCCTATATTGAGAATCGGAATGATTGGTACCTTCTGTTGCCAGTCTCGCAACCAAGGTCATTTAAGGCAACGTACCACGTGATGAAAACCAGTTTATGTCGCGGCGCATCGCCAGTCGGAGAATCATACTTGAAGTTAATCACAGCATATCGAGGAGTGTCACCCTTGAAGTGAGACAGAATCTCCGTGTAGTCCTGGTATTTACCGGACTGAGCGACAGATATCGTCTTGTCGTGCGCAGACGCTTCGTATATAACGTAGTTGAGCTTATCGGTCTCTTTTACCGCGTCGAACACTTCCTCACATTCGGGCTTGATGGTTGCGAATCCCCTTGTCATCTTGTGTTGAAAATATTCAGGAGGGTAGATGTAGAAAGATGTAGAAAAGAGGGGTAGCTGGAATGAAAGAAAGTCATTTCTGGCGATCTTACCCCGGCATTTTATGCGGGGAAACACGATTAGCTAAGGTTGGGTTGCCTAGTGTAGGGATCGTGTTACACCTATGGCATGATAGTAGCGGGGGATCCACACCGCCATCTATGATGCATATGTGGACATGGCGTAGGTGGCTAGACAGAGTAACGTCTGGAGGGTAGACGTTTGCTATCTTGGCCACCATCGCCTTCATCAGGATTTCCAAGCATAGATTCGTTGATAAACCAGCGATCAAATAGACCTTCGCTTGTCCCACACTCTCGTAGCGTAGTGACAAGTTAGGTATCTGCACGAGCCTAGACCCAGCCAGCCCCCGAGTGTTAGCTATTGCTTAGTAGGATCTCGCGAACAGTCCATAATGTTCATTAATGGAATTGGTTTGTCCAAAGTTCACCATTGTGCACCTACCATCATAGAAACCAAAAGGGGCATTATATATGAGTATGTACATTAGCTCCATCTTCCAAGACCGAAATTGAGGTGGTTGGTTGTTAAAAGCGTTTCATCGTTGACTGAGACCAAACCATCATCTCAGCCCCTTTTCCATAGAGGACAACTAGGGGACAAATCAATGATGAGGACAATAGAGAGTTGACATTGAACACAGGAAGAATTCCACGAAATTGCAAGCTCAATTTCTCAGACCCTCGTTAATGTTCATTGAATGGCCATGATTAATCCATCTCTGTGGGCCCCGAAGGCCCTCACCATAGGCTATATCGGATAAATGAGCGGAGTTGAGAATAGCGTAGGGCATTTCATGGTAGCATCGAGAGCACAAAGTCCAAAGCCTTCTGCAGCATCTGAAAATTTCCTGAACTTAAAGTGGAGGTCGACGGGGAATCTCAAGTGAAACCTTTTGTTTATCTAGTAACTGGTTCGCCTCCAGAGGACACAAAACCAGCCGCGGGGTCTCTAGTTACCTGACACCATTTCTCATGAAAATTACTCTTCCTATTAATCGAGAAGCAAGGTAAGGTAGTTTCTTCTCTATTTCCCATTTTAGAGAAGCAACATTTTTAGTCGAGCCTTAGCCGTGCTTCTTAAACTTGGGTCGATTTCTGTAGATACGCATTCGCAATCATGATGCAGCCCTTTGCTGGTTGTGGTGACCAAGTAGGGGATTGATGCCGGGAACAAACTGACCTTTTTTTCAGAAGGTTGCAGTCCTCTCAATTCTGTACATATCACTTCGGCTCTATTGAGTAGCACCAAGCCACGAATAAAGCGCACCGACAAATGGTGGTGATGGCGACGTATCAAAGAGGACGTAGAGAATGTCCTATCGGTATATCGATTACGGCATTTCTTTTCAACAGTACGTTCGACGGAACAGGCGTCCTCCTTTTTGTTGCGGTTGAAATCTGCTGGCTGAGTCTGGCCCGCGGAGCTGATCCTTGATTAAGATATGGCAAATAGTGGTGAACTTGCGTTTGAATGACGTAACTCTATATTCTCGCTCGAATGCTTGCTCTGTGTTGGTCGGAGCGAGTGTAGCTTAGACACATACTGACACCAAATTGACCAATCAGCGGTCGCATCCTATTCCAAGTGCACCAGAGACAAGCAACCAACACATAACATACGGAGCTAAATAAAAGGCCAAGATGCATCTCATCTTGAGAAATCTAACTCACCTGTTCATTCTATTCAACAGCCAGGAGACTGACACGTCTGCGATTTCCACCTCACCAACATGCCTTCATCATCGCCCACCATCGAACTTGACCAAACCTTCCACCACCGCACTACCACCCACACATACCAAATCCGCTGGACATCCCTCGGCAACCCAGAATTACCCCCTCTAGTCTTCGTGCACGGCACACCGTGGTCTTCGCGTGTATGGCACAATTACGCCCAATCCTTCGCAAAATATTTCCACGTCTACCTCTTCGACAATCCCGGTTTCGGCACTAGCCCTCTCGGCCAGCCCCTCCCCGACAAAGAAGAGCTCATCAGCGACGAAGTCGCTCTAGATGCAGACCTCTCGCAGCAATCCGCGGCTTTTGCAGCGCTTTTTACCCACTGGGCACAAAGCTGGCGGCATAAGCCCCATGTAGTTGCCCACGATCACGGCGGTTTGATGACTCTCCGGGCGCATCTTCTACACAACTGCGACTACGCGAGTTTGTGCTTGATCAACGTGGTTGCGATAGGGCCCTTCGGCCAGCCTCTGTTTGAACTGGTCGCTGCCAACCAGGGCGTGTTTACCGGGCTGACGGGGCCAGTGTTTGAGGGGGTGGTTGAGGCGTATATTAGGGATGCATCGCATCAGGGCCTGGGAGCGGAGACGATGGAAATGTTGAAGGGCCCGTGGGTTTCTTCTGAGGAGGGGAGAAGGGGGTTTGTGAGGCAGATGGTACAGGCAAATAGCCGGAGCTCCCAGGAGGTGGAAGATATGTATCCGGAAGTGGGGAAGAAGATGCCGGTGCGGATTATCTGGGGACAGGAGGACCGGTGGATTCCCGTGGAGACGGCGGAGAGGTTGAAAGAGAAATTGAATGCCCGGGAAGTGGTGCTTATCCAAGGAGCTGGGCATTTGGTCATGTATGACCAGGAGGGAAAGTTGGGAGTTGAATTGGGTTGGTGGTTGAGCCAAGTTAGGCCGATGTAGAACCTCCTTGGTTTCTTGAGCACATAACTGAACGTTTACTCTAGAATGGTCTATCTTTACCAGATATGTTATGCGTTGCTTTACGTTGGGGTTTGTGAACATTAGGCGGCAAGTTAAGCTGGGAGGCTTGTGACTAACGGTCTTCGGTACAAAGACAATACATTAGAATTCATGAAGCCGGAGTGAAGGGATCAATTGAACTATCGAGAGGGGATGGTCCCTCAAAAGCTCAAAGCCAGCCGCAAAACAATGCAGCCAGGGCTGCCGATCCATCGCCCCTGGGAGTCTACTAGTTAACGAATGCTCATAGGTATATCTCGCATAACGCCAGAACAAAACATTGCAAGAGACGAAACAACCGAAACAAAAATCATCGTGACACGTGATTAGAAGGGAGCGAAGGCCAGCTCGTAGGCGAAGGCCAGGCTCATCTTCGCGTGCTGCAGCATGTGATCGAAGCTGAGGTACTTGATCAGGTCGTCCGTGCTGTGGATTTTCTTGTCCGACTTCTCGAACTGAGACTCAATCACGAAGGCGGATGGGTAGCCGAAGCGGCTGGCAGAGGCGTGGTCGGAACAGGCATAGCCGCACTTGGTCTCAACGTAGGGGATGTCACAGTACTAGAGTAGTTGGTTAGTGACGATTGGATGGTCACAGGATTGTGGTATGTGACACTCACGGTAGTAATGACCTGCTTGATGAACGCGGTAAGACCCTGATCAACGTAGTCGACAATCACGCCCACAGACTCCTTCTCGCCCGCGTCCAGCGTGCCCTGCACGTAACCAGTCATATCCTGCTGCAGCATGGCCTTGACCTCGCGCTGGTCCTTCTTGTACTTGGAGTAGACCGCTTGGGAGCCCAGCAAGCCACCCTCCTCCGCCGAGTACCAGTGGAACTCGATGGTGTTCTGCGCCTGGCCCTGCACAATCGTCTCGGACCGCAGCAGGGCCCGAAGTGTCTCGAGGATGGTCACCGTTCCACTGCCGTCATCGTCCGCACCCGGCGCCGCCAGAATGGACGGGAGAAACAAGTTGATGCTATCCTGGTGTGCGCCCAACACGACCGTGTTGTTAGTCTTGCCCGGGATGCGGGCGATAATGGTGAACTGGCCCCAAGGGTGGTCGAAGCGCTCCACGGAGGCGCCGTACTCAACCGCGCCCGACTCGTGCACGACGTGGCTGACCTGCGAGTACAGCCACTCGGCGGATTGAATGCCATAGTCGGACTTGTAATAGCGCGTGTGGAAGGAGGTGAAGTGCTCCAGGTTCTTCTTCATGTTGGCCTTGGACAGCTCGGCGGCGAGCGGGCTGACCTCCTGCTCGTGCTTCATCTGGCCCGGGTACCGGACAATGCGCTGGGTGTGCAGGGCACCGTAGGAGCCGGATTGGAACTCATCGGTGACATCGATGAAGTTGACCCCGTCCTGTTGCAAGATTGCAATGGTTAGCCGCCAAGCCACCGCCGACGAGGGTAAACAACAGGTCACGCGATGGGTCGCAAACTCACCAATTTCAGCGCCCACTTCTCCTCCTCAGTCACCCATCGTGTCTGGTATGGGGCCAGCTCAATTAGCCATTTGGTCTGCTGCGAGTTCTGGACGATTGAGGGGCCGAGGGGCGCCTGTTGGGGGATGACCGCCGCCAGAGCGGTTGAGGCGGTTGCGCTCAGCGCAAGAGGGACGAGGAACTTCATGGTTCGGATGTAATGATACGGGAGAAGATCGCTATACGAGGATAAGAGAAGGTGATCGCAGGGCTTTGTAGGTCAGCTCGTCAGGTTCCCGCAGGGATTGGGGGCCGAGCTATCACGCACGCGCCCTTGGCATTTGCAAGCATCGCCTCCTCAACGCCAAGCCCTTTTCGGACCCCGCGCTAACCGGCGCGCCCTGATAAACCCCCGGAGCCTTTCGAGGTATCATCGCCCTTGTTTTGGTCTTCTTGCTTGTCTGCAATATAGAGTCTAAATGCAACACGCAACTCATCTATCCCCCAAGCAAGCCATTGTACGCTCAGTCGGAGTCATACCCCATCATTTCCTCGGCAATGCCCTCCGATCGTGGTCGCGCGGGGATTGGAGAGTGGAGTTGTTGGAGCTCCACTTCCTCTCTAGGCTGCTCAGATGGCCATGACTCACAGCCCTGCGGAGACAAGCCAGCCTCGGGCCCCATGGACCATTAAAGCACAGCCGCGGCGCTCTTTGAAGGGTAAATAGGAAGCCCTCAGGTCCCCAGAGTCAAGGAACAAGGCTGCCATAGGGATAACCAGGAAATTGGGCAAGTTCCAACGATAACCAGTGACCAGGCAAGCATTCTGCCCAAAACAGGAAACTAGGGCAAGGGCTGTCGCGCAGCCAGTGACTGCCCCACTTTCCGCGAATCAGCGCGCAGCGTGTGTCCCGTGCAGCGAAGAGGGGACGCGCCTGCTATCTCGTTATCTGCCGTGCTGCGAGGGTCCCCGGTATTCTTATACCTCCTTATTCTTATCCCCCTCCTCGACTCGCATTGATCATCTGATCATCTGCCGCGATATATCATACCCCTTGAACAATGGCAATTCATCCTAGACTACGGCCTCAGGCCCCTCAGGGCAGCCTGTCGCCACAGCAGACTATTGCCATCTCGGCCTGGACCGAGCAGGCCGCGGCCTCACTACAGGATCTGACCCTATCCGAGTCCACCGCCACCAACAGATCAGACCCGGCCTCCACGCCCACACGCTCTAATCAGCGCGGTATGACGGTGTCCCTCTCCATCCCGCTCGATGACCTGACACCAGCGACCCCCTCGCCGCAAGTCAAAGTGGTTGGCTCGGGCGAGACTTGCCCCCCAACAGTCAGCTTCCGGCGGCGCGAGCCCCTCCGCCGCGACAGCCTGAAACGGCGCGAGGCCCTGCTCAAGGGCAAGGATGGAAGCCGGCGGCGGCAGCGCTGGGAAAACGGTATGCCTGCCCATGCTCACCGGGCCACGATCTGGTCCTGATTACTCGGTCCCATGACCTGCGCTCCCATGACCTGCACCCGCACCCGCGGGAGCAGGGGCGCGAGCGTGGGCATGAGCATGAGCGATGACCTTCACAAGACCTTGGGAATGCTGACTCGTCCCCAAGACCGGCTGCTGCACAACCCGTGGGCAGAGCCCCCGTCGCCTAGTGACTGGGCGGTCCAGCCTACTTATCCCCGCCACAACCCGATGCCGTACTACCTGGCCCCGCTCTGGGACGTTCACTGCGCAAAAATGGCAGACCATCACTCCGCTCGCAAGAATGCAAAGACGCCCGCTGCGAAGCACCGCATCCCGAAGGATCTGCGGCTGAAGCTGAAGCATGCCCGCGCCGCGCGCGGCATGCTGCAGGACCTCGAGGACGAGATCCGTCTTTTCATCCGCAAGTGGAACGAGAAGCAGCTGTTCCTGCAGAGTGAGGGCCTGCAAGATGCGCCGGACGCCGGGGCCACGGACGACTCAGAGGATGAGATCGTTTTTGTCGGGCGAAATGGCCAGATGCATGACTCGCCGGAGCGCCAGCAGAGGCTCCAACAGTTGCGGCAGGAGATGAGCTCGCATCATGAACGGGATGGCGAGAAGATGGTCTTTGAGAGCTTGGTCGATGACCGAGCTGCTGGCTTTGGGTGAGTTCTCTTTGTTTTGTCTCGGGTACACTATATGTTCGTCTGTGGATTTCCAGACTGACGGCCCTCTCTTATTCTAGTCGCTGGCTTGTGCACTCTGTCGCCTCCTATTACGGACTGCATACTTGGTCCGTCACCGTGGGGGACCCTGCTCGCCGAGAAGCCTATGTTGGCTTCCGTCCCCCGGCCCCGGGTAGCCGGGCTGGGCTCGTTACGCATCCCACCTGCCGTGCAGAGGAGCTGATTAAGCCCGGCGACGAGCTCCCGCAGCCCCTGTATACGCAGGTTTAAGGTCTTTCAGAGGTTTACTGTTCGATATTCCTTTTTTTTGTGTGTGCCTGTGAGCTCGATGTAGGCTTCCTTGGTGGCTGGGGACCATCTTTTCACCATGGTTTTGTAATCGGGCTGGATTCCATCTCGGGACTTGATCGGTTCAGTTTATTCTTTTCTTTCTTTTTATATATGACTTTTGAGGGGATGGTGTCTTCCGGAGTCGCGAGAGGAATCATAGAGAGCATTTCCACTGCCGTTAACGGACTGGACTCGACCTGCTTCAAGACGTCAGCATCTGGAGTATCCCAAGTTCCCCAAGGTTGGAGGAAGTAGCGGTCAGAGTCTCAGATCGCCTGTTTTCCCTGGCGCTGCCGTCTCCAAAGGTTCAAAGTCAAGTGCTTCGTATGCAACTCGCCTGCCTGCTCTCGCACAAACACCTCGACAAGAGAGGGGACCACTTGCCAGTTTTCTTCACAAGGTTTGCCTAGTCCGTGCGCCTGGCATCAACGATCCATATCGTCATGTCCAGCACGCAGCATGCGCATCGCAGCCTAGAATTATCAGATCGGAATGATGGTGCAGCGCAAAGAATGTCTGCCAGCGTGCGACCCCGCCATCCCCCCACTCCGTTCGCGTCTTCGCGATTCCTCAAACCCCGGGCCCCCACGATGAACCGCGCCGACGAGATGGCAGGTCACGTCCCCAACCGGTCTGTGGCGAACGGGATATCGGCCTTGCTTGCCCGGCGGACCTCGTCCTGCCCGCTTGGTCTCGCAGAGTAGAAAGAATGGAAAACCTAGCGCACCCCGAGTATTGAGGACACGCCGTCCCCAGCATCTCTATGGTTGGAACCGGACCGGACCGCGGCCCCCCACCGAACGAACCCATCCATGACGTCTGGCATTCTATACCACGACATACCACGACATACTCCGGTATTAGAGTAGCAAGCATGCAGCAGGTGCATCATCGAAGCATATCCGGAACAGGACTGCAAGTAAACCAATGAACCTACACCAGGGAGTCCCGCATGCCGATCAGACCCTGGCGAGCGTAAGAAATTCTCCGCCAGGCCCATGATACTGCGTAGTCATGATGCTCGGCCTCAGCTGGTGCCCCTGCGACAGCTCTGAGAGGGTCTTCAGCAGCGCACAGGGACTTTCCAGAATGCCACGCCTCGTGTCCAGACCCGGTCCACGCTCGCGCCCCGCCCGCTGACTGGCCCTGCCACCACTGTTGGTGGGTAGTCGTGCGCAGAGGTTGTTGCCGGTGTTCGGCGACGAATGAAGGCCCGACACACCGCACCACGCCCAAAACGCGCAACGAACCAACCACCCCGCCCTCCACCCACACCCCGCCCCCAGAAGCCCAAACGCAGCCGGCTTCGTGTGTCCAACACGGGAACAGTCACGATCACATAACGCTGCGCCGTCACTGGGCCCTGTCTCCTATAGGTGCCCGTTCTCCTTTCCCCCGAGGGGATACAAAGAAGCAGGACCGAGGGGCCCTTTTTGGGTTCGTGTCGCTGGACTTAGTGGGGTATGATTCGTGGGCGTGTCGCAGCCTGACCAGGGCGATGTGCGATGCGGGGCGTTGGTCGTGTTTCGGGTGTTCGTGAGAGGGTGGGAATGGACTCCGGTGGTGGCTAGGAAAAAGGGAAGAGAGGGCGGTGCGGAGAGGTTGAATGGCGCAGAACAGAGGAGTGATGCGAGGAAGTGGATGAGTTCTAGGCGCGTGGACTAGTCGGAAGGGGAGGCAGGGTATACTGGACTTCTCCAATGTATATCGTATACACCATCTACCATGTGAGATGCCATGAAGTACCTGAAGCCGCTAGAGTACACTGTGTACCCGATGTAGCGGGTCATGCTCATCCCATCCGAAGTAGGTCCCTCGCGTTAGGCGCTGAGGCTATTGTTCGGACCAAAACAAAAACCGGCTGGTGGGCCCATGGCAGCTTCACTTCCGGCAACTATACTGCTGACCACTTTTAACAACCGCATTCCTTGCCTCATTCTTCGCTTTGCGTCGTGACTACGTGACGGCGGAGATTACCAGGCCGATTGTCCTACCTACGACTTTTGCTTTTTCGAGTCTTTGTTATTGAGGACTTCTGTGCCCCTCCTTCAACCTCCACTTCTTTTGACCGATAACCTGGCCCTGTTCCGACCGACCTTCTCCCCCACCTGCTCCCTTGCCTTTACTTGGGTCTCAATTCACCTCATTGTCGCTTATTCCACGCCAACGGGAAGTTTGCAATCCCTGTTCGCGCACCTTTCCTTTTTCTGCTGCACGCTGGTTTCCGATCCGTCCAAGGGTTTCCCGAAAAGCTCATTCGGCATCAAACCACAGCAACCATCATCTGTCGACTAGGCCCCTGGCCGACAATCCAATCTCATCCGATCTCATTTCTTCCCTTGCCGGCTTATTCTCTCCCGTCCCCTGCTCGCGTGGTGAGATAGTCATTTTCAAGGGACAGCTTGTTTGGCATTTCGCCGCCCGTGCCCCTTTTGCCCCTTCGTACCATTCATCTTCATGCCAGTCGCTTCCTTCGATGCCAACACTGCGTCATGGGAATCTGACCATCAAATATCTCACTTGTCGGCTATACTGTCACCTTGAAGCCCTGTACTTAACTTCTCGATTGAGTGACTGCTTGATCGGCGGATCACCCTGCGAAGCCGATCGTCTGAAACGTGATCTCATTTGCTTTGATATTTGATATTGCGGGATAGCATCCCTCCTTGCGTTCTCCTTTCGGCCTTTCGTGGTCCTTCATCTTATTTTGACATCCATATCCTTGCAACGGTCGCCATTGCTTGACTAACCCGTGCCTCGCCTTACCTGCTTGCGTGATTCCACGGGGTCAAGGTGTTTTGTTTAAGTGACACGCTGAAGTTCCACTTACCTTGATTCCTCCTACCTCACACCAAAACCACTACCCAGCATGGGCTCCTACAAATCCCACCAAGTCCGCACTGGCAGCGGCGGCAGTTCCAGCTCGACGGACACAGCCGCATCAGACCGATCAAGAAGCACGGCGCCCACGCTCCTCAGTGAGCGAACCATGCCTGGCCCCAAATGCCGGGACTGGCCCGAGTCCGAGTACATGGATGAAATCTCGGTGTCGGTCGCAGAAGAAGAAGAAGAAGGAGAAGGAGAAGAAGGAGAAGAAGAAGAAGAACAACAAGAGGACAATGATATTCGTGAGTCCGTCTCAACATACGCATCAACAACCCATTCCAAAGCCCGCATTGCCCCCGAAGAACCAGTCTTCGAAGTCGACGATAGAGAAGAGTCCTTCCCCACAGACGCCGTAGCCTCAACACCAACCTCTTTTGCAAACCTCTTCCCCTCAACAAGAAGACTGCTCATACGCCACGACGACGCCACCGTCGACGGCAACATGAACCTGCGCGTCGACACCGTCGTCCCTTGTCGCGACGGCTACCAACAAGACGTGATCCTCTTTCACCTCCGCATGTACGACCTCTTCTCCCGCAAGTGCTCCTTCCGTCGGTACTGCCGCGACTCAGGCCGCGAAGTCTGCCACTCCACACGCAAAGAAACATCGCCCCCGCACGACCACCGTCCCGTTTTCCGCCGCTCCTGGAGCAGCATGCTGGCCAGTCTCCGGGCCAGCTCGAGCGGCAGCAGTAGCCACCACGGCCAGGCACCGGTGACCGACCATCTCAAGCGCCAGGACTCGGGTTACTCGACGGGGAAGCATGCGCACAGCTGCGATCCAAACGGGCTTGCCGATGATTCCGCCGAGAACACTTCGTCTCCATCAGCATCGTCGTCTTCGCACGACAAACACCTCACCGACACGATCCTCCTCGAGTTTTCAAACTACGCGCATGTCGAGCTGAAACGCCGTGGCAGTCCGGGCGCCAAGCGTTACGAGTACGAGTACTGGAGCACCAGGTACCAGTGGCGCTGTGAGTGCCGGCGCGAGGGCGACCTGCGTGAGTTTTCGTACCATCTGGTCGACACGCGCTCATCCCGCACGATCGCGCATATGGTCCCTGATATCCTGACACCGCTGGAGGCGGTCGACGAAGAGAGTAAGGGTGGCTGGGTGCCGCCGTCGAGTTTATGGATTAGTGACCCCGCTGTTTATGAGCGGATGCCTGATGTTGCCGAGTAAGTGGTGCTGTCCTGGCCTCTTTCTTTTCTCTTTTTATTTTTATTTTTTCTTTTTCCTTTTTGGATTCGGACAATCCCTCTTCATAGTTACTGCGGTCGGTGTTCTCTTTGTTGTCCTGCCCGTCTTTGCCGTTTTACCATTGCTGCCCAGCACGTCACCCCCACCCCCACGCGACCCCCCTCCATCATATCACTTGCCGACGCAGCCACACAACCCCTGAATTTGAGCGTAATGCACCGCACCGCAACAGGAACAGGAACAGCTCACTAACCCAGTTCCAGTGTCATCGTGGCAACGGGGCTCTTTACTCTCGTGGACGACTGCATTCGGCGGCGCTGGCATACCGAGCGCCGCGGCTCTCGGATCCTCCCCGCTCGATCGTCACTGTCGCAGAGCTTAGAGCGCATGGGCCCGCGCCGCTTGATCGGCGAAGTCCTTCAGCGCCGAGGTTCGGCGTAATGAATCATGTGCGATGGGCAATGGGCAATGGGCGGTTGAGGTTGTGGATTCGTGGGATAGGGTTATGACTTTGACCATGAGCGACGGCTATAACTATGGAAACGACGGCTAGTACATACAAACAGATCCACATCAGGCCAATCCGTGGGAGTGAGGCAATCGTGGCGCTACAGGACGGTCCTCACGACAGCCACGGTGCTGGCCAATGCGCTACTTCAATTGAATAAGGCGATCATTATGGGGCGTGTGAGTTGTGAGTTGGCCTTCCTTCCAGGTGGTATCTGGTCCATGTGGTGTTGCGTAATCGCGCTCTCTTTCTTGGGCATTGGGCAGGGGGATGCATGCAACGAGAGGAATCGATATAATGGCTTTGACGACCTGATGACCTGGCGACAATGACTGCTGTCTGTGTTCTTCTTGTGTATCTGTGTATCTTTGACATGCCTCTTTGGGAAAAACTTACTTTCTGTTTCGGGCTTCGGGCTTTAAATATGTGTTCCTAGTCCTATATATGTCTATGTTTCTAAGTTCGTGTTTAGGTTCAGGGCCAGGGTCCGGTTCGCGTTCATGTTCGGTTCATGTTCGGTTCATGCGCGGCGCTCGGCTTTTGCGGTAGTCGATCCGCCCACCCCCTGTCCCGGCGCAATCGATTGGACCAGGCATGCGGATTTGGAGGCTCGGGGCCGGATGGGGCTTTCGTTGGGTATATTTTCGGGGAGAACGGCGTTTTGCGCTGTCAGTTCTGCTTTGGCGTTTGCAGTTGGGAATTGGCTTTTGGCCTTGGGGGATCGGACAGGGAAGACGGATGGCTGTGCTTTAGCTTCCCCTGTGCATCCCCCCTGTTCGTACCTGATGGTTCCGACAGCATTTACTTCTCGACCAGACTGTGGACTTTTGGGGGCCCTCGTGTCTTAGTTTCCTGTTGCTGGATGTGAGTTGGCAGTAGACATGAGACATGGATGGCACGAGATTCTTTTCTCATGCTGGACCGCACCACTCCTGCTTCTGCGTTGCTCTGTTGGCGATGCATAGCTAGTATACTCCTGCTGGACCATCTGACCCTGACCGCTGCTTCTTTGCACCTGATCCCTCCACGAATCACTTTGCTTTTGTTCTTTTCGTTTCTCACCGACAGAACTGAAGGGAAGGGAAGTGGGGTCTCGGTCCGTTCGGAGTGGGTGGGAATGGTTCCTCGTGCGGCGTGTACAGGTGCCACGGTGTATGGATGGCGGATGAGTGATCTGGATGAGGCGAAGGAGCACTGATCCCCGCTAGTGCACGTAGTGAAGACGCACATGCTGGTGATGGGAGGTGCTCTAGTGAGCTGCGAGGTGCTTGGGAGCCCATCTACTGCTGGTAGAAAGGGCTACTGCCATGCCTGTAATCAAGTGCCGATGGCGGGCGATCGATTGGCTGCGGATGAATCTTTTTTGTTTTTATCGCGCCCAGCGGGGACCCTGGGATGCTGGAAATAGGTGTGGAGGGGGCAGGGGGGAAGCTAGGTTGCTAGCGGGATAGTGGTATAGTTCTCTACCATGGAACGGCACTGGCACTAGAGATGCGAGTATGCAGAGCCACAGCCAGAGCCAGAGCCATTGCCATTGACTCGACTCGACTCGACTAGACTCGAATAGACTAGACCAGACTCGACTAGACCGGTTCGAGCATGTCAGGCGCGGACTCGATGCCTGAGGGACTGCCACCTGCGTTAAGCTTGTGCGGGGCCCGAAGGCGCTTGCCCCGGCCAGCTGAAGCGGCCCAGCCCCCGCCGGCTCGGCTTAAGTCTTTAGATGCCTCTCGCTCGTCGCCACGACTCCGTCTTGTTCGCCGCTTGTGAACCACGGAGCTATGGCGCCGTTGAGGATGCGACGCTTCTTCTCCCGGCCCCCGGACTGCACATCTGCGGTAGAAGGCGCTGCAGGTGTACCCTATGCGTGCCCAAGTGCCCAACACCTAATGCCAAAGGAAAGCGGCGAATCATCACCCACCGCCAAACACTGGAGCCATTGGCAATGCTCACTATGCGATCTTGCTTCACCCTTCCCCCCCTCCTAGAAGAGGCCCTGTGTCCCCTCAGGAACCGGTGGAGGAGGGGGGTTAGTGGTGGTTAGGCGACGCGAGACCAGGGCGGTTAGCGCCCCCCCTCCCTCCTGGCCCCTCTCCCGGCTCCCTCCCGGCCTCCCCCGAGTCGCGAGGCGAAGATGTTGTGGATGTGGCGAGAGAGGAGAGGCATGCGAACCGGGGTTCACTTGGGCTAGATCTTAGACAGCATGTCATTCTTTGGCCGGCTGAATGGCCCTGATTGACGATGCTAGCTTCTTCAACAGCTGTTCATGCTCCCGAGGAATGATTTATGCAGGGCGGCCCGGCCTGTGGCTGGGCTGGGGGAGGCGAGTGGGAAAGCGTACCAGCCTCGGGGAGAATGTGAACGGCTTGTTTCGGTTCGCGTGCGACACGAGACGAAAAAGAAAAGGAACGTGGGAACAGGAACGGTGACCTCATCTATTGATGATGCGCTGGCAAATGCCAGAAATGTGGCAGCCCAACGGCTTAACTCCAGGAGTGTGCTCTATAATTCAATTCTTGTTTTTGCTATAGTGGGGGAAGAGGGGGAGAAGAAGGAAGAGGAGGAGGAAGAGGTGGTGGTGCGATAGTAGTTCTTGCCCGTATACAACTCTGCCAACTCAAATCTCGTACCTTTGGGCATCGCCATGGATGTGCAAAAAAAGGGCAGCAAACCGCCAGAAGCTATGACGGGGAAAGCCCGGCCCGCAGTTTGGGCCGAGATCAGCACTGTCTACCTCAATGGAGACTAGGGGACAGACAACGACCTACATGCCCGCCAGCATGCAATGCCCTTTCATCCCGCAGGGTTTATTCCAGAAGGCGTTTCCGCCGATGTGGTTATCCATGCGCACGCTAAGGGAACTAAATTAGATACCTAGCCACTAACCCCTACCTACCCAGTAGGTCATAGGTAAGTCAATCGGGGAGGTACCGGTGCAACATATTAGCCCAGTAACCCTACTCAGGTTACCTTGCCTGATGCTCTTGCCTGGCCGATGAAGCATGGACGGGGCCCCGACATACTACTCCCCTCGCGGTGATCCCAACCCCACGGCGGTAACCGCTGTTTGTAATATCAACGTGGGGTGCTCTGCGTTGTTCACTTTCCCATCCAATGGCCATCGCCCCTTGGCCTCCCGACGGTTATGTGGTACATTCCATACAGTATATTTAGAATTTGGGGTATCTTGTGTGTGGTTGTTTTCCCTAGGGGATACGAATCTTGATGACCTTTGCGAAGCTAGCCCGCCCAATCTTGTCCCCTTGCTGAGAATCATAGGAAGCAAATCAAATCCATAGACAATAGAGGCGATGGAGTGGATACGGTGGATAAATATGCCTGTCACATTATCGGCCGGGCCCTGCTAGTGGGAAAAAAACAGCCGCCCCTCTCTACCTATCTCTCTGCTTCTCGCTACAAAAGTCCGCTGGGCTCGCACTTACCTGCCTTGCCTAGCGTTTCTTCAAGAGTTGGGTCTGGTCGGCGTGCGCCGGGCCGTTCCAGTGTGCAGCCTCATACCTAATGATCCGCATGTTCCGCCCCGGTCCTTGACTGGTGGATCACGGAGGAGGGGGGGAAAGGTATTTGGCTGACGCTGTACTATGTCCCAATCATCCTGCATAAGTCCACTCCGTTAGGTTTGACGGGTCAGGCTCCATGTTTGTCACAGGGGGAAAAAAAGAATTTTCTTTTTGCATCATGCCCCCTCCGAGAACGGGAGTTTTCTAAGGGGGCAATTTTTTTTATTTTATTTCCCTTATTTTTGGCCTGGAAAACACGGCCCACCGTTTATATGACCTCCCCGCTCCCCATGTCGATTGCCGTTCAAGGTTTAAAAAGGTCGCGCGAGAGTCATCCATTGGGCTTTTGTGGATTTTGTCTTTCCATCATTTTTGAGGTTGTTGCCATCGTTCTATATATACTTTATACTTGCCGTTCCTAGAGCTTCGTGGTTCCTCCAACTAGGACTTTCGTTGACTTTGTGGTCTACTGGTTCCTGCTTTACTACCTTGGCCCCTCCTCAAACGACCACGTCCTATCGATCACCGCCTCCCATCGGACCTCATCCATCCCTTCAATTGACCATTCCACACTCTCTTTCCACCGTCTTGCCCTATACCTGTTCACAATGTCACTGCCAAACAGCCCTCAAGGAAGCAGTGCTGCGGGCCGACCTAGCTGGCAAGAGCAACTCCAGGGTAAGCCATTGGAAGACAAAACCTCTCCCCGAGCCAATTTAAAACACGCCACGAAGTCCCTAAAGAACCATTGACTCTGGCTAATACCCCGGAAGAACACTGCAGACGAACCAAACTGCCTCCCCCTGTCTTCAACATCGTCTCCGATCGGCGAGGTACCTGCCCGTTTCCATTTTTTTCTCCCAGATCCTCCCATACATTTCCCGTCTTTTTCTCCCAGCAGAATCAAAAGAACTACCCCTCGCCTCCCCAATGCCGCTGGTTTTGCAGTTCTCTTTTTTTTTCCTGCCTTCTTTTATCCCCTGAATTTTTTCCGGTTCGACGAGTTGCGCTTCCCCTGCTGCTGGCTCTCTGTTTCCTCGCGACTGCGTGTCACGGCATTGCAGGCAACAAAGAGTGGAGCTGCAGAAAAGAAGCGCGCTCTGTACACCGACTTTTAGTTCCGAGCTTGACAGCGGATACTGATTGCCCTTGCGTCGGAATTGCAGGAGGTCGGACCGCCTGGTCGAGCACTGTCACCGTCCAGGGCCAGAATATCGCCGCCCGCTACTGGTACGACGGCCAGTACATCAACAATGCCAAAGAGGACGCCGCCGAGGTCGCCCTGAAGTCGCTCAACCAGCAGCCACGTTCCTCCACTGTCTATCCCGGGCAGCTCTTCCCTCAGCAGCAATCCGCCGGCTACGGCCGCGGAGCTGGTGGGTTTTGAGCCTTTCTTATTTTTCTCCTATTCGACTATTTTCTTTTGTTGGGTGGTTATCTCTGCTTCATTCCTGTGTTTCTATTCAATCTTGTGGTTGGGACTGTCGAGGGTGGCTCCCTGTTATGCCGCGTCTGGGTTGATTTTTTTTTCTGCTGCTTGCTGCGCGGGCCCACAGCTACACTCGCGCCTTGCTGATGCTCCCATTTTTTTCTGTTAATGCGCATGCAGGAAGACAAAAGGTCACCACCGTTCCGTCCACCGCATCTCTTATCGACTAAATCGCCCTCTCGCTCCCCGAACCCCCCGGATGTCCGATCCGTTCGCCGGCCGGTGAAGCCTTGACAGGTGGCCACATGCAATGATTGCGCAGCTATGAGTGTTCCCCGTGCGGGTATCCGCTCAAATAGGGAGATAATGGTCTGGACAAGAGGGCGAAGGGCTCGGCTGGGCTGGGCTGGAATGGCCCTTGAGCATGCGTGTGCCTCCCTCTCTCCCACTGTCGCTCTGAGCCATCTGCAGCCGTGTCGGAGACCAAGGCTGGGTTCATGACCACTACTACATTGAGCCCGGCCTAGCCTCTGTGCGACTCACTGGCAGCACCGTGTCACCCATTCAGTCCTAACGGCTCAGGAACGATGCCCTCTTAATTCTCCGACTCAGGGTTGCGGTGCCGGCAAATGCTGCGGACATCGGACATGATCCACCTGGCCGACCTAGACGATAGATTAGGGCCTTGCGACTTCCCCCCGAGAGCTCCTTTCCTCGGTGAATGAATTGCAGCAGGGCCTTCCCGGTTGCTACACCGGTCTCTGGACATGCGGTCCTCCTTGCCTTTGGACTGCCGTGGTTGAGAATCGGTGGGGTGGTTTCGGTGGGGCTCTGCCGTCAAGCTACCCGCGTTGAACCGTGGAACCAGAAGACTCTGCGTCTCAACATACGGCGGGGTATGAAACGGCAAACTCTCAATTGGCGACAGGGCACAGATGGTGCACTGTGATGTATCTTGAAGGGCAGCTACATCCACATTTGAGACAGCCTGCTTGCGCGTGGTCGCGCATTGTGATTGTCTGCGTCTGAGCTGCCTACCATCTTCAGGTGCCTGTGTGACCTGTGGGGCGGGAAACCGCTCGGCTGAATTCCAAGCAGCCAGATACGACATGACCAGGGAGGCGGGGAGGTAAAAACAGTATTGGGGAAAAACAATGAGGCGGTGAATCCGCGCGAGGAGTTACAGGGATCGGAATCAGCTAAGGGGGTTTTTCTTATCACTGCTTTCTCCTGAGTGAATCAGCTTGGATCTTCTAGGATGGTCTTTCACGCTTGTCTTGGCTGAGTTTGAATACGGGAGTTTTTCTTCTATGCGTCTACGGCTGTATGTGTGGGATTGGGGAATTGGAATCGGACTGGACTGGACAACTGCATTGGTTTCTTTTGTTTTCGTGATCGATCACTGGGTTAGGAATGGCCGGGTCTATCAGATTGGGTTGGAAGGGCTTTATTGAGCTATAACATTTATCGACAGGACATCTCATAACAAAATGTTACTTTCTGTTCATCTTGAGACTCTAGACCAAACATCTTCTTAACGGGCTGCAATAGACCCAATGACTGCTTTTTCGGGCATTAGAATAAGGACTTGGCGTGTGCAACATGACCATGTGCGCTACCAAATATTTAATCTCCGACATGTCACCCTCTCCGAATTTTGAGACATTCCATCCATGTACAATTCACAAGTAGGAGGGTCTACCTCGAACCTTTCATACCCAGTGGCGTGTTTTAATTTGGAGGAAGAAGGATAGTCAAGATCGATAGAGAACAGCTACAGACATCAATAGGGACACATTCAAGAGCGTATGTCGTTTCTTGGCGGCGAAAGATGGAATGGCCAAACGCCTAACTGATGACCCGTTCCCCCAGAGCTGAATGCGTTGTACATTATGTGTAGGTTGAGATTCTATATCCCACTGCCTTTAGGAAAATTAAACTTAAGTCCATTTCAGCCAAAGATTGTCTCCTCTGTTAATACACTACATGGAGTCATCAGCGGCCCTTTAACTTTAAATGGCGACCCCACGCTCTGGTGAGCTTGATGACGAAACTTGCCTGCACCAGGCGGTGGCTGTGCTATTGGGGGCCAAACCCCAATACTTCTTCAACCGAATGCTGGAAACAATCTCTACTCGATTCAGTCTCCCAATTTTCATCCATTGCAATATAGCATCAGTGATCAAGCTCCCTGAAATAAAGTCCACCAGCTAAATATCGAAGACAAAGTCTTGAACTCGATCATGTGTTTCGGTTCCTCTCCCGACCCCAAAGACAAATTCCCTCCCCCACGCCGCGTCGACTATGGCCAGGACTACAATCGCTATGTCCGGGACTATGACAGGTACCAGAGATCCTACGAGTGATACATTAAGCATGACCGGAGCAAGCTGATGCGAAGGACCCGCAACGGGGCCGCGGCCGGGGCCGGTGTTGCCGCTGCCGGGGCTTGCGGAGGCGGCGGCGGCGGGGGATGCTAGAGGGATGCGGGAGCGAAATAACTCACGGATAATTGTTTGTGATTTGCAATTCATCGTGGCGACAGAGCTTTTCGATCAGTATCAATCCTGTAGTCGAAGCTGGAGATCCATTTTTGGGATGCAGGACGACGCATAATGATTATTACCTCTTCAAGGCCTTGCATTTCAGCTCCCTGCATTGTACATTTGTACTTTATTTTATTTTTTATTTTTTATTTTTTATATTATTCTTTAAACGCTTCATGTCAATTCTGGCTATCTTTGATCTTTCGTCATTCATGACGGTTGGGAGATTTCATCATCAATTGCATTCCAAGATTATGCAAGCCCTCCTCATAAATGCCCCATGCAGTCACAGTCAGTATTTACCCAATGGCCTATACATCACTCGCCCCACTAAGCTGAGGTATCTAATATGCAAACTTCTTGCCAGTCCCATCACCAAAGCCCCGTTTATTTCTCCACCCATAATACAACCGCAGGAGGACACACCCAGCCGCAACGAACAGCAGTAATGCCGCATTCGTCCAGTGGCCCGTCGGATAACCCCTCTTCGCTTCGTTGCTCTTGTAGATCCAAACACCAACGATCTGACCCGGTGCGCCGAAGGAGACATTCAACGCGATGGCTAGACCCGCGCCGGCCGTGGAGCGGACATTCGAAGAGAGCCAGCCCAGGAGTGGGGGAATGCAGGCGAATGCGCCACTGGCTGCGACTATCAGACAGCCATAGCGGTGCTAGAGTTGACATTATTAATTCATTCTTTGTCAAATATCTCACTTCAATCCCCAGTGAGGCCCACTTACCAGATATTCCTCCGCAGGAAGGACAGCGGAGGCCAGAAAACCCATTGCACCGATGAAGGAAAAAACAGCGGAGTGAAGTCCGCGACTAGAGCGATATATCAGATTAGTAAATCTTGACGGTGAACTATTGCTGCGTCCCCCGCAGACTAACCTATTAAAGTGGTCTGCAGACCATGCAACGGTTACCGTCACAACGTACGCAACAGCGTATGGAGGCACAGTCATAAGCTGGGCGCGTAAATTAGAATATCCCAGGCCAGCAGTGATAGCCGGTGTGAAAAGAGAAAGACTTGAGAATGGCGTCGAGATGCCAAAGTACACCTGTCATAAAGTTAGCTAAACATGTATACCATGATATGGTAGGAGCATCATACGGCATAATGGGCGTATAACCGCCAGTCGACCAGCACTGCTTTCGCATCAGCCCATGACATTGCGCTTGCAGAGCCTTGAGACCCTTCCAGTCTCAAGCGATCTGCTGCAAGTTCCTTTTCCTCGGCAGAAAGCCAATGCGTAGACTCAGGGTAGTCTGGTAGGAAAAACCACACCAGCACCGCTGAAGCGCAAGACGGCGCGCCCTCGATGATGAACAGCCATCGCCAGGCGGAAAGACCGTGTGCACCATTCATATGGCCTACACCATAGGCGATTGCGCCGCCGAAAGCGCCCGCAAGCGTTGCCGAGGCTAGAATCAAGGCTACCCTCATGGATCTCTCGGAGTTTCGGTACCAAAAGGTCAGGTAGTAGACGAAGCCGGGGAAAAGGCCTGCTTCCATGACACCGAGCAAAAACCGTAGGCCGGTCACTTGGGCATAATTGTGAACACCTCCGAGACCCATAGTCGTTGCGCCCCAGGAAAGCATTAGGAACGCAATCCATCGCTGTGGATATGATTAGCCCTGGCTAACTATACACTTTATTGACCGAGTCCCCAGACATACACTTGGTCGAAGCTTCTTCAAAAAGTAATTTGATGGCACCTCGAACAATGCATACGCGATCAAAAACACCATGAGTGCAATACTTGAATTTGTTAGCTCCCTGCTACACAAATCGGCGAAGCGATGCGTCGGACTCACGTATACTGGTACGAAGTCATATTCGTCTCCGACAGGAGGTCATTGCCGGTATTCTCATTAAGGATTTTCGCATTCCCTGCACCAGATCAGTTCCAGCTCCGGACTCTCATTCTTGCTTTGATTCAATTCACCGATATTAGACCGATCCAAGTAACACAGAAGATAGATCGCGGCACATAAAGGTACAATCCTCACATCCTGCTTCCAAACCAATGCCTTCTCGCTAGCCTCACGGGCCGGGTCGAGCTCGCCGGGCTCAGCGTACTATTCGCCTCCGACTTTCAGCACAATTCCGCGCAAGAAATTTCAAATCCGATGGCAAAGGGAACACTTACGCCTGCAGCGTTCTCGACATCCGTCGCGCACGTCTTTTCCGCCATCATGGTGCAGGAAAGCTGTCGATCTAGGAAGGCAGAGAAAACACGAATTTCGAACTCAGAAGCGATCTGTGGCCGGAGGGGGGAACACAGCACACTAATGGTTCCTCCTTTTTCATTACTTTTTCCTTCGGCATGGAACTAGTTGCAACTTGCCCGGGAACGGGAAAGGGCCCCCGCATTTTTTGCTCTCCCGCACTGGCCAGGTCGGCCATTCTCCGAGCGCTGATCTTCGCTGGGGTGTCCCCGAGGGGTTGGATGAGGCTGGGTCAAGACGGAGGACAAGGCTTGTTTGAGTTTGCAATGTGCCCTATAACCTTGATTTACTGCTCCGTATACTGAGGTATGCCATTTCTCAGTAAGTCTCCCTGTTTCTACGTTCGCAGGGTTCAGCATGATCCCACTTTGAGGGGATCGGATAAGGGCAGCGCCTATGGTCAGACTACATTGTTGTAAGGCTGTTCCCATATTCTCGAGTCCTTCCATTCGTTCCATCGCGAGTATATTCTTTCCGGCGCAGTTCTTCATCTTCAGATTTAACACTGTTGGTTGGGCGAAGTATATTCTTGGAATCGATTTGCGGAAGCTGTTATAGTCAATTTTGCTGGATTGCACCATATCTATATCGCTTCAAATCAGTTAATTTATTAGATTGAAACTATTGATTATAGATCAGCCCAAAAATTTGTAATTCTTGGGACCATTGCAAAAACAGGTTCTTCCGGGATGAACAGTGACATACAAACTGTCTATTGAGCTCTCAGCCTCAGGTCACTTCTCATACTCGAAGGAAGAGCCATATTCCAAACCACTCCGTAAGACTAGCAAGTGTTTGAATTTTGACTCTCTCTCCCAGTCTGAAACTAAATGGCAGCCCGCGGACTTGACCTCGTGAGCGATTGCCATCGGCAGTTATGCAAACCAGACAAACATCTTATCAGTTAGATTGTGCCTGATCGCATCACAGCTGGCACCACCGCGACACCCCGCGCTGTCCTTCCATGCAATGCTACCGTGTGCTAGCACAGATTCGCCCTAAATTGATACCCAAGGCACCATTTGTGATCGCTGCAGCCATGTCGACCGCCGCTAAGCCCACCCAAAAAACCATGCCCTCCGCATTGACTTTTGACTGTCACGCGAAATGTTCGGTAGGTCTTCGCTAGGCATTGTTAACCCCCAGAAAGAGCTACCGCTGACTTGATTTATGTTTTTGGTGCGTTTAGTCTACGAAAGCCCGCGCGAGTACCCTCCACCTCCCCCATGGCTCTGTTCCCTTACCGATCTTCATGCCTGTTGCGACGCAAGCCTCTCTCAAAGGCTTGACATATGATCAGCTGCGCGACACAGGATGTATGCTGTGCTTGAACAACACATATCACCTTGGCTTGAAGCCCGGGCAAGAGGTTTTGGATGCAGTGGGCGGCGCTCATAAGTTGCAAGGTTGGGATCGTAATCTTTTGACAGATAGCGGCGGGTAAGAGGCGGCTTTATTCCGCAAGAAGAGACGATCGGCTGACTGAGATATCCTGGCCTCTACCAGCTTCCAGATGGTTTCTCTTCTAAAGCTAGCAACTGTGACCGAGGAGGGTGTTCGATTCCTCAGTCCCCATGATGGCTCGCCTATGTAGGACTCCCCGCCGCCACTGCTCGCGGTTTTCTGCAATGCGATCTGAAGACAAATCACTGACAACAGACCTCCAGGCTCCTCACCCCCGAACACTCCATTTCTCTGCAGAACTCTATTGGCTCAGATATCATTATGCAATTAGACGATGTGATTGCCACCACCTCCCCAGATCATGCCCGGATCAAGGAAGCTACGGAACGGTCTGTGCGGTGGTTAGACCGTTGCATCGACGCGCATAAATACCCCGAGAGACAAAATCTGTTTTGTATCATTCAAGGTGGATTAGATCTAGATCTCCGAAAACAGTGCTGCGAGGAAATGGTGGCTCGTGATACCCCCGGAATCGCAATTGGAGGCTTGTCTGGCGGTGAAGCTAAGGAGGAGTTTTGCAAAGTGTACTCGGCACTTCCCCATTTCTGGCGCATCATCTACTGACACTTTGGAAGGGTCGACACGTGTACCGGACTTCTTCCCGAAAATAAACCCCGATACGTGATGGGAGTGGTATGTGCCTTCTCTCGGGCCAGAGTTGCTTTTGTTTCTAACACTGTTCAAGGGATATCCGGAAGATATCGTTGTTGCAGTCGCTCTCGGTGCAGACATGTTCGACTGCGTGTGGCCCACACGGACAGCGGTAAGTTGATATCGTCACTGGGCAATAGTATCCATACTAATATTGAGCCAGCGTTTTGGCAACGCCATTGTGAATTCCGGTACACTGAATCTTCGCAATCAGTCGTATGCAAATGACTTCACTCCCATCGACGAGGGTTGCGATTGTGTCTGCTGTCGCCCAACTGAGAAAGGTGGTCTCGGCGTGACCAAGGCATATATACACCATGTAACTGCGAAGGAGACCGTTGGTGCTCATCTGTAAGTTCGCACTTGTGGCCTATAGTCGATCGCCCCATAAGACTGATGAAAACCTAGTCTCACGATGCACAATGTGCATTACATGTTGCAATTGATGGGAGCTGTACGCCAGGCTATTCTGGATGACCAGTATCCGGCTTTTGTTCGCCGATTCTTCTCCAATATTTATAATGGAGATAAGACAAAGTATCCTGAGTGGGCTGTGGGCGCTTTGCGAGGCGTGGGGATGGACCTTTTGGAAAATTAAGCGGCATAATTTCGACTACTTGCATATATAAGATCTACCTTCTTGTGTGAAAACTGTGACGATGATCTGCATTTTGACTCGAGAAAAGCGTGTACACTTAGATGGTGTTTGAACCGACTAACAGATACCATTTGAATTCTTCAACTGAGAGCATGATTTGATGCGATGATGTGCACCCTTCTGCTACATTGAAACCTAAAACGAATAGTTCCGGCTGTCACGTCGCCAAAATATCCGCGGTTTATTCGTCATGAGGCCCACCACAGGCAATGTACATGCTTTAAGACCGTCAGTTGGTATGCAGACTCTCCCAATAACAGAATACATACCTTCCCTTGCATCCAACGGGCAGATGCTCCTCTGTCAAGGTACTTTCAAGCTCAATGCCAGTCCCTTCGACAGCGACATCTAGATTCTTCACGACGTTGAGAAAATTGTCCGCGATGATGTACGCTTATATGTGGATGTCTATTGGCCAGTCAACACTCGACTACTTTAAAACAGCGTAATAAATGGATAGTATCTTTGAAGCTGCAGACTCGTCCTAGACTTCATTGAATGAGAATTATCGAGTTACTATAGAGTTACCCTTAGACTGGCAAAACACAGCTGACGAGGAAGGGTAATTCAAAAATAAGGGTTTACGCGGCCTATCGCGATAGCCAAGATGTCTGTGGTGGCTATCAACGAGAATATTCAAACATGGGGAAGGAGAGAGAGAGAGAACTGGAGGATTCCATAACAATACGGGGAACCCCAACATCGTGCCGTACGTTACGTAAGGTGTGAAAGCCGAATCTTGGATATCAATCTGCGGGGTTTCCAAATAAAGCTTGAAAGATTTTAACATTACATGATGGAGCTCTCTCTGCCCGTTGACTTTCACCCATTTGATCTACAGATTGGAGTATATGTCTAGGCCTCTTATGCTGGTTCATAAAAAGACAGGACGGTACGATAGTGATCACGTGATAGCGTGTCGCGTCGACGCGCATCGAAATCCTGCCGGTCTCCTCCTATCCGTGCCAGTCAAGAGGAGAGGCCGCAACCACAAAAAGATCGACTCCATTTCCGATCCCAATATATCGAACATGACTCAAGAACAACTCATTAGCCCCTCGCCTGCGGCGACTGCGCCGACAACAGCAACAACAAACCTGGAACACAATCCCTCGCACGAAGAGCATCAGTACCTCAACCTGATCCGCACAATCCTAGCTCAGGGAGAGCATAGGCCTGATAGAACAGGGACCGGCACACGATCATTGTTCGGCCCACCGGCCCTTCGGTTCTCACTCTCAAAGCCCAATCCCAACGGCGATGCGACACCCGTTCTGCCCCTTCTCACCACAAAACGAGTCTTCCTACGCGCCGTGCTTGCGGAGCTTCTTTGGTTCATTTCCGGCTGCACATCGTCCTTACCCCTCTCCGAGGCCGGGATCAAGATCTGGGATGGGAATGGCAGCCGCGAGTTCCTCGATAAGGTCGGACTAGGACACCGGGAAGAAGGCGACCTGGGCCCCGTGTATGGATTCCAATGGCGGCACTTTGGGGCGGAGTATATTGATGCGAAGGCCGACTACACCGGCCAAGGTGTGGATCAACTCAAAGAGGTCGTGGACAAGATTATGAACTCGCCCTTTGACCGCCGCATCATTATGAGCGCCTGGAATCCAGCTGACCTGCGCAAGATGGCGCTCCCGCCGTGCCACATGTTCGCACAGTTCTATGTCTCTTTCCCGCCAGAAATGAAGCTCGACGAGAAGACGGGAAAGCCCACTGAGAAGGGTACCTTGTCTTGCCTTCTCTACCAGCGCTCCTGCGACATGGGTCTCGGCGTGCCGTTCAACATTGCTTCCTACGCTCTTCTCACTCACATGCTCGCCCACGCTGCCGACCTCCACCCTGGTACTCTCATCCACACCATGGGCGATGCTCATGTCTACCTTGACCATGTCGACGCGCTGAATGAGCAGTTGACCCGGGAGCCTACAGATTTCCCCGAGCTGCGCATCAAGCGCGAGGACCGGGGCAGCGCTGTTATCGACGGGTGGAAGGAGGATGAGTTTGAAGTTATTGGATACAAGCCACACAAAATCATCAAGATGAAGATGAGTGTTTAATGCTGGGGGTTCTTGACGAATCTTATTGGGCACTATTGCCTATGTTATGTTTAGATGATACCAGTTTCTCTTTTGGAATATAAATGCCATAGATCGAGACTTTACAAGACGGTAGACATTATGTACCCCTGGGCCGCCCCTGTATGATATACAGTCAACGCCGAAGCAAAACAGACAGCAATAAGGTATAATTGAGATGAGCAACGCTTCCAAATGTAGATGCCCCCAAGATGAACCGCAAACAAGCAAGGAAATGCGTCAAGTATAGAATGAGATGATAACAGGCATTCATTATGAGTTCTCAAGGACCAGACCAGCGCCTCGCAACAAAACAATGGTATCTCCCGACTTCAGTTTCCCGCCTCCGATGGTATCCGAAAACTCTAAGAAGTCACCAGATTCGACATGAAAGATTCGCAAACGCGCCTCCTCTCCTCCAACGCGGTTATTCAGGTTCTCAACCTTCAACCTGCGTGCCGCATCGTCAAGCACCCGCCCAACCTTCCAACGCGAGTCAAAGTAGAAGTCCCCAGCCGGCGGCTCAGCAGCCTGTGTATCTGCCGTGCCAACCGTATGCAAGTATAGCCGTTGATCAGCCGGAACACCTGCATCGCCCTTGGCTGACCGCTTCATCGCGTTGACGCTAGCGATTCGCGCCGCAGGACTGTTCGGCTTGACCTTGGGCTTCGGGATCAGATTCGAAGTCGCAGCTTGTTTCTCCTTGCCCCAAGTGCGCATCCGCGAGAACATCGACTTGATCGTTTCATTCGGGCTGCTGCCTTGCCGCGCGCCCAGCGGGGTAAGCTTGGCGCACTCGTGCTCCTCTCGCAACCGGTGCTTGAGGCAGTATTGGCGATTGCAGTTCGGACAACGCACGCCGGGGTCTTTGAGAGTATTGATGAGGGTCTTGCAGGAGACGTGTGCACACTGGTCGGAGTTATAGATGTTGGGCTTTTCCGGCGCAATGCGATTCTCTTTCTGGTTGGAGGTGCCGTTGCGCCGGCGCGCCCATTCACCGGCATGAGGGCATTTGTGGGCGGTTTCGGACCGGTGATCGAGGCAGAATGTGCTTCGGCAGGATTCGCAGCGGAAAGGGAGAAAGTCGAGTTGCCCGCAGTATTCGAATTGGCAGTGGCGGCCGATTGATTCGAGGTCGGTATCGGCCATTTGCGTGTAGGACTCTTCGGGCGTGTGGGAGGAGGTGCCCCCCTTGGATATGCTGACGGGAGACATATTAACGAGTGGTGAAAAGATCGAATGCAAATAGAGCACAGAAAGAATGGAGTAGATCGGTCGGTATAAGAGCAGAAGATCGAGGAGTGTAGAATGCGATGGCAACCGGTGACTAATGCGGAGAAGCTTCCAGCGGCTTAGCTAATAATCGCGGAGATCCGCGAAGGGTAGGTGTCAAGACAAAAGAGGGCCAAATCCTAGGCAAAATGAATACTTGACCAAGAATGCACTAGGCAACATTCTTAGTCTATACCGTCATTTATTGCTCTGATAGTAGGATAGACCAATGCCTTGAACAGAAAGAGCGTAGTTCGCTTACCATGGCCGCAAATATAAAGTCTATACTGCTCTTGGGCAGAGAGTGCTTGACTTGGGTGTAGCCATCAGTGGTGCCCTTGGGAACCAAACAGACTTGCTGCTCACTATTTGCTCCCTACCGAGTCTCGTTGTTGTTTCGAAGACTTCATTCTATTCACATACTATGCTACCATGTCTGAGAAGACAGTGTAGAAAGTGCCTCAATGGAGCCCCTTCGACACACGATCGATGCCCTCCTATTACTACGTCGGCTACAATCAGGCAAAGTCTATCCTCGATGTTGTTGCCCAGTAAGTAGTTTCGTCGTCCCTTTGGTGTGTTCTGCTTTTTTTAGCTTCTGAATGGAGGTTCCTGGTCTTTATGGCTACTCATATCTTGGCAAAAGGATGATTGTTTGTGACGAGGGAAACCTTTCGGGCCCATAAGCCTATTATTTGGTTGAGATCTAGATATTTCGAAAGGCCTGTTCAAGCTCCTTTTCGGTGCTGTGCCAGATCCAGTTGGATCATCTTTGAAAGATGATTGAAGATGTGAGTATCAATAGGAGGTTTCCAAAGTTATCGAGTTGAACAACACAGAAATCAGCCTGTTCAAGATCATCTTAGAGTACTCGTACGGGCCACTATGGCTCTTATCAATATGAAATGTGGGTACATTGACAGATTAGAGGACTCATACTCCCCTCGACCCGATCCATTCCTTTGTCGCGTAGGAAGCCCTTGGCCTCGCTGAAGTGCTATGTTAGGAACCCATCCCTGACCACTTAATGTACGATACATATTGCCACCATGACGACTATCCGATAAATTGCATTCCCTTACGATTAGATGTAGGACGGTCGGTAGTAACCCAACAACCCCCACGGGGGTCTGGCAGCTCGAAGTATGGGTCTCTATGGAGACATCCCACTTAAAGCGCGGGGCGCACCACTTGTACCGCGGGAGCTCGCCCGACACGCGAATCAGCGATCGCGGTTCCGACCGAGGGGTAAAGTGGGATTAACAGCTGGGTACAACATCCACCTAGGGACCTTGCCGGTCTCTAGTGCATGTCACAGTCCCCCTTGCGTCCACATTATAAATTGAGGGAGCTCAGTTTCCCGCCCGACCCGACTTCTTCCTGGAAAGACACCCCACGGCAGCCAAATAGCTTCCCAATCTACCCCCGCCTCCCCGGCTTCGAATTCGAAATGGAGCCCCCAAAGGTCGGCGACAAGGTCGCGGACATTGACACGCCATCCATGATTGTCGATCTCGACCTCATGGAAGCCAACATCAAGAAGCTGATGGACAAGCTCCTGCCGACTGGGCTTGACGTCCGCCCTCACCTGAAGACGACTAAGAGCGCCATCTTGGCCGGCAAGCTGGCAAAGGCCGGCGCGAAGGGAGGCTGCGTTACTAAGGTCAGCGAAGCTGAAGTGATTGCTGCCGCTGGCTTCGACGACCTGCACATTACCTGCCCAATAATTGGCCCCGCCAAAATTAGGAGGTTGGTGGAATTATTTCGGAAGTACCGCAAAGTCCGGATTGTCGTCGATAGCGAATTCGGCGCATCGGCAGTCAATGATGCTCTGGCGCAGTCGGGCATTGACGAGCCCATCGCCACCCTAATCGACCTTGACGTGGGCCTTCACCGAACGGGCGTGAAGCCCGGTGAGCCTGCTATGGCTTTGGTGAAGCATGTTGGAGGACTGAAGCACCTGAAGATTGTTGGTGTCCAGGGTTATGAGGGCCATCTACAACATTTGCACGACTTTGAGGACCGCAAGTCTCAATGCCTGGAGTCCATGCGCATCCTCACCAGTACCGCCGAATCGTTCCGCCAGGCGGGCTACAACATCGAGGTTGTGACGACCGGAGGAACCGGAACGGCTGAGTTCTGCGCCTCTGTCCCTGGGGTCACTGAACTTCAGCCTGGCTCTTTTATCTTCATGGATACCGACTACCGTAACGCCGTCGGAACGTTCTACTCCAACAGTCTGACTATCTTGTCGACTGTCGTCAGCAAGCAGGGTCCTCGGGCCGTGACAATCGATGCCGGGTTGAAGTCGTTGACGACCGACAGTGGAATGGCTGAGTGCAAAGATCCAAGATACAAGTATAATGAGTTTGGTGATGAGCAGGGGTCTCTTATGTGGCAAGAGAATACCCCTGACCTTTCGGTTGGCGATCGCCTCGAAATTATCCCAAGCCACATCGACCCCACAATCAATCTGCACGATGTGTATTATGCTCACCGCAGAGGAGTCATTGAGGAAATCTGGCCTGTCGATTCGAGGGGCAAGGTACAATAGCTGATGAACAAAATGTTCGACACCCTGATAGAAAATTTGTGAATTCTAGAAAAACGTAAAACTTTAACCTACGTTATGAGACACCGATATAGCAAGAAAATTTTTATTCTGTAATCTAGGAGCAGATTACGGAAACTATATTCTGGCTGCTGATTAACGACCTATGGATATTATGCGATTCTGGTTGAATGGCCGTGGGTAGCTAAAACCCTAAAGACTGCTAGACCCAAGAGTGCACTATAGGCAATGTTTTTACTCCATACCGTCACTTATTGCTCTCACAGGAACTAATTGGATTGATTGCAGTGTTCTTCTTTGTTTGGAGAGACATCATGTATATATTTTCTTTCTCATTGGCTCGTCATGGCTGTAAGAGTGCAAATCCAGCATTTCGTTTTATATTTATGCACCACCCGTGCAAATCACTGCTCTCATCCTTATAATGATGAAGGACCGGAAGATTTAGTGTAGCAATTTTTTATTAATTCCACGGGATTGCAGAACCACTAGTCATGTGGTTTTATTCGACAATATCTTTCGACATCTTACAGCAGGCTAGAGCAAATAGACCAACGGGTTTCAAAGTAGAGTCTGGGAAGAATCAAAGGGAATAAAGCGGCGAAAATGACTTCGAGAACGTCTATATGAATTCGAGAGATTGAGGTCTCCAAGTTGAATAGAATATATACAAAATAGAAACAGAATTAAGTCAAGTGAGATTTAGGCATTGCCAGTAGAAGCAACCCGAGAGCCGATCAACACGGTGTCACAACAGAGATCGATTCAAGATAAAGCGACGCGCTCACCACCGTATTCAGCTTGAGGGTTACTGTAGTAGACGACGACGATGCCAGGAAAGTGGTTTGGAGAGGCCTCCAGGAATTTCTGGGGGCTGCGGCGAGAGTGATGGTATAAATGTTTTCGTCGGCGTTGTCGAACATGCACTGAAACTCGGAGGCGAGGTTTCCACTCAGCACTTTATAGGACATTGACAAGGTGTATGTATTTCCAGCGACGGTGGGTATCGACTGCGTGATCACTGATGTTCCGTCGTAAGTCGTGTAGAGATTGAGCGCGTAGGTAGAAGTGGAGCCGGCGACAAAAGCATATCTTCCGTTGTCAGTGGAAGAGTATGTCCAAGGAGAGAGGGATGCTCCGGCGAAGTCGGGGTTTGAGACGACGTTCACACCGCAGGTTGGGGAGCTTGTGGCTGTTGAGGTGACGGTGGTGGTTGTGGTTGTTGACACGGTTTGGGTGACGGTCACGTCGACGGTTGACGTGGTGAAAGCGGTGCTGGTGATATCGACTGTGTTGGCAATAGTGGTTTGCACAGTGACAGGTACCGTTACGGTGATAATGATGGAGGATGTCGAGGCTATCGTTGCTACCTCGGTCACGTCGACAGTCGTTGTCGAGGTCTCCGTGGTCGTCACAGACGCTGTCTCGGTAGAGGTGACATCGGCGGTTTGAGTGGTGGTCTGGCTTATCGTGGTATCGACAGTTTCAGTATTGGTTTGAGTCGTTGTGATGTCAGTTGTGGCGGTGGTTGTCACGTCCTGAGTTACATTCTCAGTCACAGAGGCAGTCTCTTGGGCTGTTACGTCCAATGTAGTTGAGGTTGTCACGTCGCTAGTCACTGTGGCTGTGATGATGTCGGTTTCGGTGGTGGGGTTATCAACGGTGACTATCACTGTGGCAAGATCCGTAGCAGTGGTGGTCGAAGAAGCGGTGATGGTTGAGGTTGCCGCAATGGTCACTGTCTTTGTGACACCGGTGGTGACCGTGCTAGTCTTGACGGTAGTCAACACATTGGGTGCTGTCTTGGTGACGAACTTGGTTGTAAGCTTAGTGATGTAGACTGTGTGCACCCCAGGAGCGACAGTGTGGGTAGTCAAAGTCTCAGTGACCTAGTCAACAAATCAGTATCTCAAATTCAAAAGTGAATGCATATGAATGTACCGTAGGACGAGCAACAGTCTTTGTGGTGTACAGCGTCGAGGTCCAATCCTCAATATACAAGACAGAGCATGCACTCCACAGAGAAGTGCTATGGATGGCCCTCAAGGCTGAAGGAGTGACCAACGCTCCGCGCTCATCGATCATGTCTCTTTTAGCGGGTGCGACAGTCACTGCAGCGGTCGTAGTCACGGTGACTCCATCAGTCTCAATGGTAGTGGTTGTAGCAGTTGTATAGTCGGTCGCGGTCGCGGGGATCGTTGTAGTTACCGTCTCGAAGCTAGTCTGGATAGTAGTCTCAGGCTGAGTACTTATCGCATAAACATCGACCTCTTGTGTAGTGGTAGATGAGATAGTGTCGGTGGCCGTTGCAGTGGCAGTATCGGTGAAGGAAAGGGTCGTGGTCTCGGTATGGTAGTTAGTGACAGTAGCAGTCGCAAGGTCCGTATGAGAATCGGTGACATAATCGGTTGCAAACTTAGTAATGAATGCTGTCACATAGGCTGTCGAGTAGTCGGTGATAGTGTTCGTGAACGTTTCGGTGCTGGTGTCCGTGAAAGACTGAGTGATTGTGGCAGCAGCGTAATCAGTAATTGCGTTGGTGACTGTGCTTGTGATAGAACTCGTCACTGGTACTGTGATCGTTTCATAGACCGGCTCGTTCAGGAAGACAGTAGAAATATCAGTAGTCGTCAGGGTGGACAAGTCAGTGACCGTCAAAGGCACAATGTGTGTGAAAGTCGAAGTCGCATAGTGAGTGGTGTTGCGAGTCGGTGACTTCACGATGGTAGAGGTGATGCAGTGTGTCGAGGTCTTTGCGACTTCCTGAGGATAGTCGGTGATAGTCTCTGTGGCTTTGACAGTCGCTGGCACTGGAGTCACCGTCTCGGTTTTGGTGATAATCTCCCACTTATCACGAACGAGCTCACGACAGAAGGGACGGCCTTCAGGGCATCTTTCTAGTAAGCGAATGAGTTCTATAAAAGATCCTTCGGGCTCATTCGATGGCGGCTTCGGCTTCACCGGACACGATCCGCCCTGGTTGGGATGATCTGACGGAAGGGCCGAAGTGGTGGCTGCGCAAGTCAATGCCAGGAGCAGTGAGACTTTCCACGCCATCATTATGACTCGGATAGCGACAAGGAGCAGCGCTGAAAAAATCCAAGAGGCCGGACGGGTGGTGGTAGCGGTGGAATCGTGGCTTCATATAGTCAATTCGGTACCTAACAACACGGCCGAAGCGCAGGCCTCAGCTTCGGACATGAACGAACCAAGCATTTCGAAGCGCACTGGGGGGCGACCGCCATAGGTTCTGATCGAGATAATGAGCGAAAAGCCGCCATTTTTGCCAGAAGCTAGTATGTGTTGGGAGAAGCTTGCAAGCGTTCGTCCCAAAAACAGCTACACGACGCGATGAGGCGGCACACTATTGAAGTGGCACTGGGGAAATACCGGTCCAGATGCCTAACTTTGCGCCGCTGGGTCAGGAACCAGGTGGCAAACAGCCTCTGATCCACCGGTCGGCTTTTGTGGCCGAAAAAGCATGGCAAGTTAGGCGCTTTCCGAAACAAAAACCTAATCCGTGGCTCCGCCCGCCGATACCGCTTTGAGCGTAGTGGTTAGTCTACAGCCGAATTATAATTACCCCTAGCATCGAAGGATGAGCCAAGGCAGGTAGGTCTATTGAGCATCAAGAATAGCTATCGCTGCACAACGGTCTCGGAGTGCTTATCACTATGTTAGTATGGCTGGGGCGGGAGAGAAACGTCTTCTTTTGTTAGGGGATATGAATACGGACCGTGGCTGCTCGGGCTCACTAGATCATCAAGGACAAAGGGCCACCTGCTCTTCTCCGCCCGCCTATTATGCACCAAGCATTGTAGACTCGTATTCTAACACAGCCGGATGCTTCACACCCTCGACTGTCAACTGAGTCCAATCTCTCTGGACACCTTCTTCCACGTCCGGGAAAGGCCCCATGGGAGTGATGGCCTTGGGGTTTATATCGTAGTGGCTCTTCGTGTACTGCTGGTTGTCAGTTTGCTCCAACGTGGGTGGTGATCAAGCGATCAAACGCAGGACATACATTCTCCTTGATATGTCGGAAATCCGTCGATGCCCTCGCTGCGTCCACATCCCAATACATCCCCTTCAACCAATTATTGAGGACAGGATAATCATGTCGGATGGTGCCCAGATTGCACTTGAAATGCTGAACATAGACCGTGTCAAAGCGAATCAAGGTTACATAGAGACGAACATCGAGTTCTGTCATCGTTGACCCCAGCACAAAGGGACCACCATGCTGTGCAATAATGCGCTCGAGTTTGTTAAGGGCCCCGAAGACACGAATGACATGTTGATCGTACACTTCTTGCGATGGCGCAAACCCTGCTTTGTAGACGCCGAAGTTGACGTCCGATTGCACCCATGGAGTGATCGCGTCAATCTTAGCCCGAAGGTCGTCGGGGTAGAGATCAATTGCAGCGAGCGAGGGAGGCAATAGGTCATTGAAGGCCGTAGGAAGCCAGCGAAGTAGCTCGGCACTTTCCTACACGGTTCCATTCTGGTCAGCGAGATGCCTTTATAGGGGGGACAAAGAAGAAGTGTACATTGCAGACGGCTGTCTCGGTCTTCTTATCCCACAGCAACGGGACCGAGTACCGACCTGAGTATTCGGGGTCTGCGCGGAAATAAATTTTGTGCAAATAATCTTCTCCGAAGAGGTGATCGACTGTCGCACCGGGGTACTCGTCGTCGGAGTTCGGGAACCGCCATCCCGGCCAGCCCTTCTCGTCGCCTTTCGGATAAGGCTTTACGACGCTGATATCAATGAAATCAGTCAGACCCTTGAGATGTCGAATGAGATTGACACGGTGCGCGAATGGACAGAAAAGCCCGATGTAGAGATGATAGCGGCCTTTCTCGGCGGGGAATTGCTTGCTGGGGATGACGCCATGCCAGCCGTCGCCGGTCGCGGGCTCATGGATCATGCCGGGTTGGGTAGTCATGGGGGGCGAGGTTGAGTAACGAGTAGCGTGCTGGACCAAAGCCTGTATGGCTATACTCTTTGTCTTACGATGGAGTGGATCCGGAGCCCAGCAGTGGATCGATGCTGTACAGCGAGAAGTGGAGGAGGAGAGGATGATGTGATCAAGACACTAATCTAATCTCGCTGATTGATAGATGACGGAACAGTTCCGCTCCTACTGCCGCCCATCATGCTATGCAGCTAAGTGAACGAGAGGACAGTACGAAGCAATTCACAGAGCAATCAGGATACCCATAAAGCCATAGACGGGACTGTATCTAAAGCCTGCCCCGCGCCTCAATGAAGGTCCCAGTCCAAGAATCATCGCTAACGGAGCTGCGGCGCACTGAGTGGGGTTCGCCAATCAAGACCAGGGTTCCAAACTTCCAAACCAACGGCCGAAGCACCGCCAGCCTGGCCTCCCCAGGCCAAGAGGCACAGCCCGGGGGCGCACCGAGTCCAGACGGAGCCATGGGTGTACCTGACCGCTGGAGCCATTTACCCCGAGGGCCCAAACCGAATACGGCCACACTAGCCCTCTAGCGCAACAAAATCGCCAATAACTGCAGGCCCCGTCTCGCACGTGCGAACGGGCCCTGATCAGATCATTACCCCCGAAACTGAGCACCACTACACGCCAAGGAGCAGCGCGAGGCTTAGAGTTGCCTGCTGGGCGAGAATATGAGAGCATGGCCCAGATCGCTTATCACTGGCTTTGAGCCGCCGGCCGTTAGGGGGTGAGGTGGAGCGCTGACAGGGCCGATAATAAACTGGGGCGATCTCGCTGGATTTAAGTTGGGCATAGTGGTAGACCCTGCATCTTAAAATTATTCGTCCTCCTTTTGCTCTGCCGGGCGGCTATCGCCATGTGGCACTCGACGCCCATGCACTGGGTTGTCCAATTCTGTCTTGTATGGCTGGCATTTCCACGGACCTTTGTAACTGCCGAGCCTTTTCCAATTGATGCGGTGTCCAGGTCGACAGGGCCCAGGCCAGAGATTAAGAGCGTGTCCACGTTGCAGACCCGCGACAATGGGACGTTCCTTCTGCGCATCCTGCCACTGGGGGCATCGATTACCCTCGGGTATCAGTCCACCGATCACAATGGTTATCGGAAGGTGTTGCGGCAGCAGCTTCGCTATGCAGGCTGGCAGGTTGAAATGATCGGGAGTTTGAGAAATGGCACGATGCATGACAATGTGAGTGACGCTGGGCTAAAATCCCGGGTCCCAACCACTAACAATATCTGGCATAGCATCACGAAGGACATTTCGGTGCCAGGATAGACCAATTGGAAAATAAAACCGAGGCGGCGATCTCTCAGCAGCCAAACCTGATTCTGATCAAGTGCGTCTGTACCTGAATTCCCCACAACCCATATTCGACGTCCGAACTAACCGCCAAAAGCCTCGGTACAAACGACGCTGTCCAAAATTATCACGTAGGCACTGCAGGGATGCGAATGGACCAGTTGATTTCAAAGCTCTACGACTCTATTCCTGGCACCACAATCATTCTTTCAACCCTCCTACCAAACACGAAGCAGCCACACCTAGTCGAAGAAATCAACGACCAATACCGCGACCTCGCCGCGCTCCGCCGCGCAAGCAAAGACCGGCTTGTGCTCGCCGACATGAGCGATTTCATCAAGTTGTCCGAGCTTGTGGATGGTACTCACCCGGATGACGACGGGTATAGGAGTATGGCGGCTGTATGGTGGGCTGCTATCCAGGAAGCGCAGAGTGAGGGCTTTCTCCAGAAGGCGGCCGATACGGGCGTGAACGGGACGATCAGTAAGAGTGTGGAGAAGGAGCTGGATGACAGCACAAGTGATCCCGATTTGCCGGACTATACGGCACCCGCGCAACCTGAAGTAGGTGGTGGGTTGGGTCGAAATGGGACGCGAGTGATACAGATAATTGCATTCCAGGCACTACTCAGTGAGTACCGGACGTCTTTGTTTTGTACCGGTTCAGAAGGCTAATAAAATCCAGTGGGCGTTGGCCTCCCCATGTGGACCTAGTGATGATTGGGACGGTCTCGTTCAGAGGGATCTGTGCATCTGTCTTGTTGTTTGAAAGCAGGAGTTGGGCGCTTCGATATCCAAGAGATTCTTTAGACAGATCCTTGTATATTCACTAGCTGATACAGTGGCACCCTCAAAATGTGAGACCAGTGACATAAAATGACATAAGACACACTACCATTTGACGATTCACCGTCCTCTACTTATTAACTCATTACCAGTCCCAAATCTACATTCAACGGCCACCAGGAGAAAGCAAAAAGGAAGTGAAGAGGCATAAAATCGTGAAAACGTATCTACATAAAATGCCGGGCCCAAGCAAAAGAGAAGGACAGAGGCACTAAAGAACCCCGAAAACAAAGAACGAAACACAAAAGCACCGAGTCATCGAGCCCCAACCAGCCATCCAAATCAACCAACTGACGAAAGTCCGTTCCATACATAGGGGTATATGACGCAAAACATGGAACCGACGGCCAATAATCAAAGATATGGAGGGCTATGCATGACACCTGCTGCACATCAGGGCCTTTGTTTTCAATTTTGAGAGAAACCATGGGATAAGCTGCCGTCCTGGGATCCGGACAGTGTGGAAGAGGGGCGCGGGTTTTCCTGACTCTGGGAGGGATGTTGACTGTCTGGCGCGGCGAAAGGAATGGGGCTGCTGGATGTGAAGACGGGCAGACCGTGCTTGGTCTGGCCCGCTGCCAGCGGAGGCGAGTAGATGTTTGACTGTGGGTTGGGTAGCTCGGGGGGTTGGGTGATGACCGGGGTAAAAGGTGGAGAGCTGCTGGCGTCGAAGTGAGCGTGTTGGAAAGTAGATGCAGGAGCGGGTGGAGCGGCCCATCCGAACGGTTTTAAATCTTGTCCGCTCATGTCCATGCCACTGGATTCGGCTGTTTCATTGGCGGATTCCCAGGGTGAAGAAGCCAAGGGTACATCGGATTTCTCTTGCTTCACCGAGTCATTCGGAGCTAAATCCAACGAGGGCGTGGGAAGAGGCGGTGGCGAGCTGCTTGGCCCAGCCGCGGAGCGAACAGACGCTGCTGCCTTTGGGCGAGCTATTCTGGTACCGCTGGTCTTTCTGGGCGACCTTGGGGATTTGAGATTTTTAGTCGTCTTTGAAGTTGACTTACGTTCCTCAGCTGCTTTCTCACGGGCGGCCTGTTCCTCGGGGGACGGCATCACGAGCTTGATCCTGCGGAGGCCGGCGGAGAGATTTTCGACGTCGTTGGGTGGTACCATCACTTCATCCGAAAGTTTTGATGGTAGGTAAGCTGTTGGCACCTTCGGCACCGGGGGGGCTTTTCTAGGACTCGCGCCACGCCTGGGAGTGCCCGTCCGGGAGCCACTTGGCTTTCGCGCGCCGGTAGTCCTCACAGGAGTGGCCGTTCCTGAGCTTTCTACGCTATTTGTGTTGCGTGCACCGGCAGTCTTCACAGGCGTAGCGGTGGCTGAGCTTTCGACCCCATTCGCTTGGTCCTCGGAGCCGGTCAAATCACCCATATCAATAGGCCCAGTGGTGGAAGTGCTGATACTTTTCCGACGACTTGCATCTACAGATGGAGACAGCTCTCCCGACGCATCAGGCAAGTCATTGCCATTGCCATCGACTGTTCTTCTCCTGTTCTTTCGAATGGCCTGTTGCCGGGGGTTGTTGGTCGAGGCGAGTAAGGAGTTGGTGTTTTTCGAACACGCAGCTGTCGCTTTTCCTCTGGGGGTGGAGGAGGCGCCGGGATGGCCGCGACGTTGATACCGCCCTCCAATGCTACTTGGCGTTCGCGGCGCTGGCGAGATGCCTCTGCATTCAGGTCTTCTGGCCGGCAACTCATGGTTTGTCTGCTGTCATCGGGAATCAAGACCCTGGACAGTTCGTGTGCGGCAGTGGCCCAGTCGACCTCTGGGAGAGGCGGCAAGCTCGGGCTAATGCCTGTGTAGGCGCCAAAGGACCGGCGGTCACGAGTGGAAGGTACCACCTTGGCATCGAATGATTTCGTGGAAGCAAGGAAGGTGGGCGCTGATTTCTCGCGCTTGATTGGAGGGGAGACGAGCGCTTCCAATTCATTGAGAAAATCGGGTGACCACCACTGGCTGTCGTATTCTGGTGGAACATGGGGCTGATCGGCGTGATTATGAGGATGAGGAGACGGGGCAGACAGACTCAAACGGCCCTCCATCTCCAAGGCCAGGCGACTATCGGCAGACTCGTCTAAAGACGCAGTAGCATCGCCTAGGCCAGCAAGATGACTGAACACGCCGCTTGTCAAGGCACGATCACTATAACCACCTTCCAACACACTAATCACACGTCCGTCCACACCAAGGCCTTCTTCCTGCGACATTCGCACCACGTCGGCCGTAAATCTAGCATAAAACTCGGTTGGCACGTTGACCTTATGTCGCTGCATGCCAGGACTTTCCCATTCACTGGCATCGAAGCCCGCCGAGATGAAGATAGCAGCTTTGGGAGGAGGTGCACCGGGAGTGTGAGTTTGGGAGACTCTCTCAGTATGAGAACGGAGGAATTGCCGTGCTTTATTGATCAACGTGATGTACTTAGTCTGGTACAGTTTCCAGAACTCGGCCTCGGTCTCCCACGTCTCCAAGTGGACGTTCCAGATAGACTGACCATGAGCGCCGTCAACACAAACGCTCGCATTGCGCACTTTATCTGGGTCACCGCCTTCGCAGGGGTAAGAGTTGATATCGTGGAGACTGTAGTACCCAATCGCCGTTTTCTTGTAAGGCGCTGCATTCCGCGGGGCCGTCAATGCCCTGGAGTTATGATCCCACGTAATATCTTGAGAGCCATCGCCGTGGTGCAAATCAAAGTCCAAAATGGCAGCATGAGTCAATCCGTGATTCATTGCCGCATACGAAATTCCGACATGGACGTTGTTAATCCAGCAGAAGCCCGAAGGGAAATCTGCCGAGCAGTGATGACCTGGAGGACGAATACAAACGAATGCGCGCGAGGTTGGGCCAGGGCCAAAGACCGCATCGATACCGTCGCAGACTCCACCAAGAGCACCCTGGAATGCGTCCAACGATTCAGAGCAAAGATATAGATCCCCAGAGTGAAGCTCGGGTCCGGGCGCCGGTGTATCCTTATTGCCTTCGACATGCGGTCGAACGAGCTCTTTTCCCGTCAAAGCCAGGCGCGATTCGGCAACATCACACATACTTTTGAGGCCGGTCATCCACAGATTACCATGCACGTCCGTCACAGCACTATCCTGAATCGGCAGTGAGCGCGACGTCTTACGGATCTGAAAGGGCGGCGCGGGTAGCAGGTGTAGATCCAGATCAGGGCGTGGTGCGAAGCGCTCTCCCTCATGTCGACGGCCTAGACGAATGTACGCTGCGGAGATACCAAGGACACATGCACGAATACGCTCAGGTCTCTCCACGATCGATGCTAGCACGGCCTTCGATGCGCGCGGGCGCGAGAAGCGGTGCCCGTAACAGGCATCGTGAACCACCACGGTTGCTTTGGACTTGAGATCGACAATCTGGTGTAGTTCGACCTCTCTTTGAAAGTATTCTGCCGCGACCGAGGCTGCTGTCGGGCCATGGGCCTCTGTCGGGGCTAACAGACGCGATGCCGTGGGCGACGCGGCGGTCGTCGAGGACCCCGCGAAGTTGTAGTTTGATGAGGAGTGACGCGACGACGGGACAGGGGAAGGAGGGCCAGCAGGTTGGGAGACCGATCTTAGCGACGCAGCAGACGGGCGCTTCTGGAGTGCCGGGATTGATTTGCGGCGCTCGTCGCGTAGAGAGCTGGAGCTGGGCGTACGTTTCGGCGTGGGCGCGTGGGTGGCGACGAGAACGGGGGGACTGCGACGAGACGAGCCATCGTGGGAAAGCAAGACGGACGGAGAGGCAGGCAGAGGGGTTGCGGCGGCAGTTGCTAAAGTCAGGCGGTTCAAAGAGTCCGACAAGTCATAATGCGACGATGCGGTTGCGGGCTGGGCGGTGGTGGTGTTTTGACCGTTATCAATCGATCGCGGAGGTGGATCATCCTGAGGGGGTTTGGAGGGGTCCATGATGCATGAGGATCATAGAGCAGAGACGACGCATGAGAGATCTGTCTGTTCCCAGGATTCGTAGGGTTGTGGACTGGAGGAAGGAAAGGAGTGGATGCGCATGTGTTCCTGTGGTGGGTTAAGGTTGGTTATCTGCTGCTTCTTGGGGCAAGGGGCAAGTCGATCCCGCCATTCCAAACCAAAGACATCCTCATTCTTGATAAGCCGCCCCCCACATAAGGAAACTTGCGCGTTTAATGGTCCAGCTCCCTTGTTTAAAGAACGTCTGTCTGGATATCTTGAAAATAAGCTTTTGCACGCAGTTTCAAAAGCAGTATCCAAACCGTCCAATGGAGGGTTGTTGGAGCCGGCTCATATTTGATGTGAAAAATTGACAATGTATCCTAATGAAGTGGGCAAAACCCTGGAGGTTCAGGAAGGGTAGACAAATATGGTAACACTATAAGGAGAAGCAAAAAACCTATATGACGTTCCATTACTCAGCCCGAGTTGTACTATTCACGCTTCTGGTCAATCAACGAAAGAAGGGGGTTTTCAACAGGTATAAGCCCCATCAATGGATCACGACATCTGGCCTTCCAAAAACAAGAGAATCTCTCGGAAACAGAAAAGCAGCTCTTGATCACACTATCCAGCGGAATACTGCCTATTCATCACAACTTTAACGTCTTCCTCATTGGTGATGCTGCATCACAGGCAGTAGATGCTTCGAACACAGCGGTTGTTCTTGCTGTTGTGTGATATTTGATCTAGGATTTTGCTCATTCAGTGAAGATCTAATGAGCTATGATCCATTTTATGTCTCCAGGTGATGGCAGATCTATTACATACCATCTCTATGCACATCCGAACAGTGTAAGAACCCCGATACGACCAATTAATGACATTGGATCGGCCGGAGATACGTGTAATCTTTTACTCTTGATAGATTACCCCGACTACACGGATTGCACAGATGGAAATTGCAGCTCAATTATGCTGACCGATCTGGACAGTGCCTCCACCATCGTAAGCCTGGGACTTTGGATACTATATCGCCAAGCCGTGGCGGAATCTTGTCACATGAGTACTTATATCCAATTCAGTCAAGTCCGGTCTTTCCGAGAAGTTTGTAGTGAGCAGATTTTCATACATGCTTTTACACGCTACTGCAGCCCCGGCTATATCACCGTCACCGTTTTTTTAGGGTGTTACAGAGCTTTCATCGAAAAAAGTTAAATGAATGTGTCCTTTTTTATGAACATAAAGACTCGTCAAGCTAGTAAAAGCTTGGACTATTCACTGCACCATCTGTAGGTGGAAGCTTGATCCCCCATCCTATTCAGACGGCCCTCCCAAGCCACCCTTGTGCCCAGCCTCTTTAGCACGCTCATCGCCGGGCTCGAAGCTTCCACTAGAGGCGTGGCCGCCCTTTTGACCTGCTTCACGCGCGCTGGTCGCCAGGTTGAAAACTACCACTGGAGGCAGAGCCACCCTTGGATGCGATGTCTCTCTGGTTGACAAATCAGCTTGAGGAAGCAGATATTGCAACATATTATCAGCATACCTGCTTGGACGGATCCATTGAAGCAAATCCACCTTGATGGCTTGACTGGCCACCCTGCTGGGCAATTCTTGAAACCTCCTCATGAGGCCGGTTGGCAAAGTTGCCGGGATTTGTATTGGAAGACATTTTGTTCGCTTCAGAAGAGTTGTTCTTGTCAATGATGATTTCTTAAACAACTCCACAGAGTTTTAAGACCTTTTTTATAGCCCAGTCTCTCTCACCATTGTTTGCTTGCATGATGGTGCTGTGACATAATCATGATGGACAGAGCTTGCAACATTGTTTTGCAAAGCTGTATTCGCGTCATGAAATTTGGAAAACAAGAAACATGAGCTACCAAATCTGGGATATCTGGCTGGGTTCAGTGGGTTATCGCATCTTGCTTTGGGACCACCGGCATGACAGAAACCTGTAATGAGGCATATCCGACGCCATTTTGTGGAAACCACAGTCGCCAAAGCACAGAACTTGGGCCATAGAGCGATCATCAACAGGAAATCATCGACAGAGCGAATTCTCATGCTCGTTACACATAGATTTTTCACACCGTTCTTGTTCTATCACGAGTGGACCTTCCAAAATCCACTTTCTTCAAACCCTGTTATCAAGAGATTACGTAGGTGTAGTATATTGGATCTGTTAACTTTGTCGGCAAAGAGGAGATACGGGAAAGTCCGATGCCGTCAATCAAAGCAGACTTCCTCACGGCATCAAATCCGAGTATAGCTCAAAGATTACGAGATTAAGATTGCCAAACTTCATATACCTTAGAATTTGAGGTTTCTCGCAGAGCTAGACCACTACGATGTCTGTAACGCCCAAGCTATATCCCACAATGACAGATTATTGTAACCATATTTCTAAAAGGACTCATATTCTCATATTCTCATATTTTATTTTCCAACTTTAAGCGCAAAAAGGTAAACATGAACAAATTACTGAGCCTCAGCTGGAAGATCATCTTCATCAGGCCCCTCACTGTACTTATTCGCAGTTCTAGGCTTTGCATGACGGAGGCGGTCACCCTTCAACACGTTGGATCGATCGATCGCTTCATTTTCATCCTTCTCTACGTCACATCAGCTTCTATTGACTTCATCTAGGAAAGTTGATCGGTTATGAAAGCATACCAAGTTGTTCATCGGAGTTGGAGTAGGGAGGTTGCATAGGATCATCATATTCCTGGGTGTCTCGCTGGACAGGCACCTGATCTTTCAGATCTGGGTCTGTCTCATTCGCATAGGAGTCATCTGCGAAGGATCTTGTCACAGGTGAGGCATCATTGTCTCTTTCGTAGCGGTCCTCGGCGTCTCTTTCAGCGCGGTTGGACATTTTGCTTGAGAAGATTGGTTTGGTTGATCAATGTAGGGGTGGGGAAGAGTGGAATGCCAGAGCTCTGCCATGTGTGCAATATTTATATTGCACGCCGGCGCATATTTACTGAGCTAAGGAACTAGTAGTGGCTAGTACAGCCGAATTCGTCATATTCTTCACCGCATGACCCTAGTGATACGTCATGTTGCCAGTCAAACAACCACGCCATCGATTAAATCAGGATCTGGTCGGAGTCGACGACTTGTTTGGATCATGGTGTCCCAAGCCAAGTAAGCGAAATGTTTTAGGTCAATGATACAACCAAGGTCTTTCCGCTGTTTCTTTGTCTGGTTTGAATCTGGTACTTTGCTATGTGATGCTTGGTCTGAGAAAATGCTCCTGTCCATCATATAGCGACATTGAAAAACAAGGTTGAGATCAATGGAGTCGTCTGGGCCAGAAACAGGAGCCTGGCATATACAACGGACCTGTCGTTTTCTGGTTCATCCGTAGATGCAAAAACCCTTTTTTAGCCTGGAATAAGGTAGACTAATGCAGTGTTTAGGCTCATGTTGTGCACTGGTAAAGTGGGGTCTGTACATTATGTTCCTTGCTATCTTGAAAATTAGAATATGGCTCCGAAGCCCAGCAAATTACCAGCCGCCAAGAGTGAACTTCATCAGCAAGTCGATGCACTATTAGGTTCCACTTCGTCACTGTCGATGACATAGGTATATCGTCACCATTATCGCGTCATACATAGAGTGCGCCAGAAACCCGCAAAACCGCGAAACCAAACCAAACCGAACCACAAATGAATTGGGTTTTCGGGCTAGTTTTAGAGCATTTTAAAACCATGGGTTTCGGTTTCTAGGTTAGAAGCCTCAATAGTTCTTGGGGCCCTAGTGGGTTTTAGAGTGGGGGTAGTGGGGCTATTAAATCATGTCTTTAACCTTCTATTGGTAATAAGGAATTTAAATAGTTACTGTACTAGCTATGTTAAGAATATTATATAATTCTACGCAATTTTATGTATTTTATGCAAAAACGGTATTGCTGGGCCCCAATAGGGACCCAAAGTGGTTTGTGGTTTGGTTGTGGTTTGGTCTTGGGCAAGGTTTGCCCCAATTGGGGTTCTCGGCGCACCCATACAAAACCGAGTAAATACGTACCATTATTATGCTGCTTTGAACATCCTTACCCTAAGAGGTTGATATTATCTTCGTGAGTGTAGAGGAGGACCTCTAAAATGGACCATGCGGTTGGAACCCGTGAAAATTCAACCAATGATCTTTCGTCAGTGAGTTTAATCACTCCTCGGGCGATTTTATCATAGAGATGATTGCTCTAAATGTTCGGCATAGTCCATTAAGACATGATAGCCAAGGCTGACCATAAGCTGTTATTTTTGTAATCTAATCAGGTGCGTTTCAAAAATTTGGCATTAACGTTAACTAGTATGGTTAACTAACATATAGTATCATAATGTAAGCCACAAATGAGGAACACATGATAGGTTAGCCTAGTCGTAAGTATGGTCACCACATATATCTGTTTATTCTTGTTCGGATCACCAGTTTTCCCAGTCAGCTTACACAAGGAATACCGAAGGTCGCTATTTTGTGTCAGTGGTACGCTCAACATGGGATAAAGGAGCGCCACGTGATTTTGCGGGCAACTGAGTTTTATTTAGAAGCACTACACTGTTGGATCATAAAGTTTTAATCAAATATCAGCGAGCGAGGAACCTATTCGGTGCTCTAGCCCATATCTTGTGACTAGCATTAGCGTGGAATGATGCGAGATACGCTTATTCAAGAAGGGCAAGCTACTATTTAAAATGCACACTACTTGGAAACTGCTTTGGCTTGCACGCCTTGTTTTGTCATGATATTACATTGTGGACGATATCCTCTAGTTCTGAGCTTTTGGATCCTTTCTCAATAAACTTGGAAGCTTCTCTACACTTTGATGATTTTCGATGATCTCTATTCGGAAAAAATTAGCATCTAATCTCATCCAAGGCAAGTCAATTAACTCACCATAAACTGATGCAAAAAGCGGGAACTTGTCGAGCTTTCCTTCCTTGCTCAAGAATTCGTGAACTGCTCGAGCAGTAGATATACCTTGAAGTTTTTGCCCACCCAATTCCGTTTCCTCGATTTCCTCAATGGGGACGCCTTTCTCCACCGAGCGAAGGGCCGACCGGTAGTTGCGGCCTGCATTGCAGGATGCAATCAAATCAGCCATTCCAGCGCTTTCTTCAGTAAAGGTCCTCTCATCCACAGATTTAGAGAACCACGTACGACCAAACTCCACCATCTCGAGGACGCCAATACGAACGATGGCCGCTTTAGTATTCTCTCCCCATTTCTTCCCCGTGACGAAGCCTGCTGCTAGAGCTATTATGTTCTTGAGTGCGCCGCCAAGCGCGACTCCGGCAACATCTCTGACGACATGGACTTGGAAGTATGGGCGTTCAAACAGGGTCTTCAAGAGAGAAGACTCCACAGGAGGGTACTCCTTGGGGATAGGAGATAGCTTGATGTGAGTGGGCTTGCTATTGCTTTGGCGCTGTTCATCCACTTTGACCCTATTGTCTCGTGGTGAGCCATCCCGTTCCTTGTAGTCCATTGGAGGGCTGTCATATCCAATCGTGGTTTCGCAAAATTTTTCTGCTACGACTTCAGGCGCAATATTCGCGCCGGATAGCGCACAACAGTAGATTTGTAGCTTCTCCATGACCATTTCTGAGTACAAAGTGACAGTTCCGTCGGCCACGTCCACACCCTTGATGCAAGAGATACCACGGGCATAGGGCCTATGGTAGCCATTGATTTGACTCAACGTCATCGACAAAAATTGGTGGGGAAGGTTGAAGACGAGAATGGTGGCATCTTTCACTGTATCCTGTAGATTGGAGTTGGCAACTAGGTTGTCCGGGAGCCTCACTCCGGGAAGGTATTTGATGTTTTGATGCACAGTATTTATAGCATGAGATAGTTTGACCGGTCCTGCGCCGAGCTTCTCCCAAAGCCCCGGGTCATTGGGGACATCAACGTCTTCTTCAAAAGCCCACATCACAATTGTCGTCTCGAAAAGCTTCTTATGTTCTTTAGCATTTTCTGCGACAATTTTTCCGATCGTTGATCCCCTATTCCGATTTGTTCGTATGAGCAACAGAGCTACTAAGATAACAGTAGTGTAAAACCTACCAATTTCCTGAGCCGATGATGGCTACCTTGTGTTTTAGGCTGGTTTTTGACATTTTGGAACGTATGCAGGGGCTGAAAGTCTCATATGAGTATTGTAGGTGTCCTATTTCTTATTGACGCAGAGGGGGTTTTTGTAGGATTCCCTTCCTGTTACAATGACGTTCATATTGTGTTATGCCGCAGTACAAGGACGATCTTTTGTTCGAGGATGCCCTGCAGTGATACTTGTTCAAGTCGTTCGTGCTGGGATGACGAACGGGCAAAATTTGCCACTCTTTTGATTGGCTCGAAACCACAGAAATGACCACTCTTCGTAAGGCCCATAGTTGCGAACCCCGAGAAGAAAGCGGTTGTCATTTGCGGTGACAAATTTGTTCCCCAAAATTTAGTTACTCTCCCTGAATTACTTGAAGCTGCGGATTTCCTCTTTTTCTCCTGGTAGGTCTTCCGTGTCTCTTTTCTCTCTATGGCTTACTAGGTAACCTTCTTGTTCCAATATTAAACCATCAATATCGCAACAAGAAGTATATTGGTACCGAGGTTGATGCGCATTTACACCTTTCACAATGCGTGCTGAGTCCAACAAGGTTGAGCTGAGGTGTGCATATCCTAAACAAGGGAATAGTACCACGATTCAATATAGCGACCAGGATTCTGACCTAGGTGCTTCCCTAGCGTTGATTTTGGCTGTAGCGGCAATAGTGGAAGTTACCGGCTTATGATGCATGCTGTCACAAGTCACTATGGAAAAGAACCACATGCATTAACGAAACAAGAGGAGTTGAGAAATTAATGATAACATGAGGGTGGCGCTAGTCCCGGTCCAGTCAGACCCCACATCACCCCTCTTCGTACTTTTTGCCTGCCATGTCCGCCATTCGACACATATGGTCACGAGTCAACAACATGAGGCTATGCCTTGATTTCTCTCAATTATATGACTTTGTCATGTGGCAAGCTACCTAATTAATAGTAAAAATCTCAAATGCAAAGTCCGGAATTGAAAATGTATATCAGTAAGCAACTTCCTCCAACAAATACACATTTTCCAGGGAGCCTATTGGGTTGATGCTATAGTTAGACATCCGAAAAAGAACAAACACCACTACATTTACCATGAAAACTATCGAGTTGCGTGAAGGACCGCTTAAAACAGTGACTCTTGATCACTTTGCGATCTAAAATCTGACTATAACAGAACGCGGCTCACTGCGTATCGGAACCCATTCATGTCTCTGGTTCAGAGACCTCTGAGGAGGCCACAAAAAAGTCGCGAAAGACTCAGACACATGCCTCGGCACCCGAGTCAATGCCGCCAGAGATGCTCTGAAGGATAAAAAGGACGAGGAAAAGCATGATTCTAAAGCGGATGCTCATAAAGGTGATTATTTCCCGGCTGGTTGACTTAGTGTGCCAATACTAATCAAGCCTATAGAGGCCTCTAAGCACTGAAAAAGACTTTCAATTTTAAACGAGATCTCTGCAGTCACGAAGTAGCTTGTCCATATGGCCTTCAGGACTAATCTGTATTCTTCACCAAACAGGTTATGGTACATTTTTCTCTTTTATGTAATGTCCATCTAAGTGTTCTTGATGGGCTATGGAAGTATTTCATGAGATTAAAGGGGAAAAGCTGAGTGCAACAGTAAAATGGGGCACTATTTCCATTTGCTGAAGTCACAAGCCAATATGAATGGTGACAGCTTGAATAATTCCTGGATGGTACATCACTCCAAATTGAAGGGCTATGCTAAGAAGCAAAAGAGCCCAATTAAGCCCTTCGAACCAACTGCCAAGAAGACCGCATGGAAGATAATCCTCAATAATTGCCCTTCTGACATAGATCCAACAACTTCAAAATCAGCCCCTGTTTCAGAAATCGCCAATAGGAATGCCGCTGCTCAGCCATGGTGACATTCCACCCGAGAGACCAGCATGCCCCGACAGCTAAGGCCAAAGCGACTCTTTTGAAAAGGGAGTCGCCGCATACTGCGAGGGCAAAAACAATACTGGCGAGAATAAATCGCGAGAAATTCAGACTTGTGGTGGAAAGAATCGAAGAGTCGGTTGCTAATGGCCCCGCGATATGCCAGGTAAAGAAGAGCGTGCTCGTTGCGATCGTAACAGCAACCATTGAATCGGCTGCATCCGTTAGAAAATTTGATGGGAGAAAGAGAGACAATGGAGTGTAGAATGTTCCGAGTTGACGGCACATAGTGACCGTAAGAGCAATGGCTACAGCCCGATGAAAGAAGATCAATGTTGAAGATTCTTGAGCCATGACGACGAGCTGAGGACTTAAAGAGCTAAGGGGAGGATTGACTTAACAGGTAGATACAAGAGAGATAAATGAAAGTGTGGCAAGAAAAAATAAAGGTCAGACGCAGGTAGTGGGGGCTGGGGTGAAACAACCTGACAAGCGGCCCCAAGTCAGATCTTAACTACTCCGTACCAATGATTATGACACAAAGTACAGCCACAATGACAATATAAACGGAAAAGGAAAATCAGTAACAACTGAACCACAAAGTGATAGTACCAGCATAATCCGTAGATCAGCAATACATCCCTCCCCAATCATGCTACGGAGCAGTCCTCGCTTTGAAAAAGACGCATTGCACATTGTACACAAGATTGCAAGTCCACGCGCCCGCAATGCCAAAGCTAACTAGCACTAGTCCAGCGTATCCCTCGTCATTCCACTCGTCATTTTGCAGCGCAGGCTCTTGGAGAGCCTCGCGTTGAGCACTGTTTTGACAGCCATGCAGCACACTTTACCATTGTCAACCCGACGATCAAGAGTCCCTAGGCCGCCTTCCTCGCTCACGTCGTCAACAAAGGTCTCCTTGAAATCTTGAGGGTTCAGAGAGAGCAGGGTTTCAGTGATCCGGATGAGATGGTACGGAGCGTCACCCGCCAGGAAGGCTCGTTTGTCAAGAGGACCAGGATTCTCTCGGATCACGTCTAGTTGTGATCGATGAAAGGCTTCTTCTTCGGATGAACCGTGCTTGATGAGTCCGACGCGATGGAAGTAGTCATTTAGGCACACATTAGAAATGCTGCTGCAGGAGGAGGTGCAGCAATGATCCTGCACATCGAACTTGGTGCATTGGTCGCGGCATACTTGGTATTCAGTGCTGCTCGGATTGAAGCCGTCTTTGCATTCGTCGAAGCAGCCCAGACGGATATTGCCCTCGTTCCGATAAACACTTGTTGCAACCAGTTGCCTTGACAAGAGATGTAAGAATGGCTACACTCACGAAAGACAAAAGTTGAAGAAGCATTTTGTAACACGGCATGATATAACTTGCAAAACTGAGAATTAAATGATCAGTGTTTGTTTCGAAATCAGAGGCACAGGAATATAGAAATACCGGTCTTCTGGGGGGTTGAAAGACCAACACGATATCACGTCAAGTCTCTGCCTCGATACCCTGAAACATTACAGGCGCATCTCCCAGCCCTGTCAGACCGCTGCATGGATCATTTTCTGACGATATATTCCCAAAACAAGTTGTCGTGATCATGATTGTTGGACGGATCGTGCATGGTGAAAAGGCAATGACGCATCCGTTGGTGGAAAGGGGCATGAGGGCTGTGTTGGTTTTCCGCCCCCAACAGCGAGCAAAATCAATGTCCAATGAAAAGGAATTGTCAAGACAAGGCAGATTCTATCAACTCCATTTTCTTTATCCCTCGTATCAGCTCAGCTGGTTAATTCGTGTCAATCCATGCTCCATTTCCTATCCACACATTCTTTTCCGCCCTTCACTACACATCTTAATTCCCGTCCATCACCCTTTTCTGTCTCTACTTCGTCAAATTTCAAGCCAAACCCCCACCTACATATTTACGACAGTATTCGAATCTCAGCCATGGGTCAGACCATAACCAAAGAGGCTCCCACGGAGTTTCTCCCGCCAGTCCAAACCCGCGGTATGGCCAATTTAGAATCAAACCTTGCGTGACAGAATATCTGACGTACGTCAGAGGAACTTCAGGAACGATTTCAATGGCGCCTATCAAGATTCTATATGAGCGATGCTCAGAGTGAATGGTTTCAGACTATTTTCCACACTTTCTGCACCGAATCGGATTCAGCAAAATGCAAGGTCTAGAGTCTATTCTTGCTCAACTTCACAAGGCTAATATGCTACAGTCTGGACGGTATACGACTTGAAGAATTTCATGACCAGCACTTTTCCTCTCGCCTTAGCCTCATGCGTAGCTGAAGCAGCCCCGATCGTACACCGTTGTCTCCTGCGGCTGGGGTCGTTCCCATATCACAATGATCCACACCATATTCTGTCGCTGGATGTGCTACGCACAGGCCTGATCATTCTACTCAGACTGGATAGAAGCAAGCTTCTGGATCAGGATAATGACGAGGCGTCAATCGTGTACCCTGATCGTCTTAGCACGAAACAACGAATCCTGTTGTTCCAGAGCATGGCAGACCAGCAAGGGACCCCTGCCGGATCATCTCCAGGCCTGGGAGACGATTATCACCTTCAGAAAGCTCTTGAGATTATCACATATGGCAATTTCAGGCGCAATGTGCGGTTCCCGACCGCAGTGACCTTAGGACCTAAATATCCCCCCGCCGAACATTTTCCTTCCTCAAGCTCCACATTGACGAGTGGATCAATTCCAGCAGAGGATTTTAGGTCCTTGCTTCGGTTGATGCTCCTTACTCAGTTGTATGTGGCCGGTATTGACCCAGATAATTTTACTTCCTTTCTATCGGAGATTGAAGCAGCGACAGACTCCCTATTGGCGGCATTCTTAAATGGTGGAGAGTCATCAACCGCAGTGTCTTTTACAGCCTTTGACAACACCCTCGGCAAGTCAATGGTGCGTATTGACATTCGCTATTTGCAGCGAAGAACTGTATACTAATCTCCAGCAGCAAAACGCCTTTCTGGGTCTCCCTCGAATCCTCGGGCCCTTACACTCGGCCAAAACTTTCCCGTCCGCGACTCACCCATCATCGGTCACTGAAGCACAGAAAGTATTGAAAGAATTGTTTACGCCGTCAGTCAAAACACTGCCTCCTCCTAAGGGACTAATTATGAGTCTCCCTCTCCTGAGTCAGCTTTCAATGAGCTTACCCCAAGACTTCCCCATCGAAGCACCAGAAACCCTTCACTCTTCTCTGGGGGTAGATGTGAAGTGTGTGAAATCTTGCCTGTCCGTAACTAGGATAGCCAGGATCCTACTCATTTCTGGAAAGGCGGGTCAAGGGGCTGCCATATTCGGCGCATACTTCCCCAAAGATTTCTCACCTGCCATTTTGAATAGGCCGAGCGTCATATTTCAACTGGCACCAGTTCATCGAACGTTTCATGATGCTGGAGAGATGGAGTCGTCCAAGGAAACCGATTTTGAAGACAGCGCGCATTTGACACTTGCCCTTTCGGATATGACTCTCGTGTTGAGTGGGGAATCGGCAACAGGCAGTTGTATTGCGCAGCTCAGCGATGGTACCGGCCAAGAGTTCGCTGTTGATGCTGTAGAGGTTCTGAGCTTTGAGGGATGCTTGGTCTGCGTTGATACCTTTAAATAGCTTTTGCCGCATGCCGTGTCACTCTACTGATATTCTGCTTTGGATTTTGGCAATCGTGTCCTAGATGCGGCTGTGTGAACCTCGAACTTAGTAGAGCTGGGGCTATTTCAAAGGGATTGGAATACATTTGCCAGTCCACTTATTTGCTAGATCTGAACTAACTAATCTAGCTATTCGCTGGGTACAAATGGGTCAGATTTCATCGTTAATAAGGACACATCTGGAATGGATCTGCGAACTCTCACTTGTCTCGACAGATCTTGTGAAAGCTGTGAACGATTGGACCATTCAATTCATATATCTTCATGTCTATTTGAAGCGGGTGAGCTCGCTATAGCATAATGCCTGCCGTGATTTCGCTTAAACCGACGCAATGTGCTCACAACGTCATCAATGTGAGTGACTAGATGTAAACAAAGCCTCGGGAATCTCCTAACAATTTGGTCGAACATCCACCGCCCCCAACAGCATAATGATACAACTCTGTGGCTTTGGCCCCTTAATTGCCGAGGCTGACTTCCTGCATGAATCCTTCACCACGATAAGTCTAGAAAACCAACAAGTTGGTCAATCTTGACAGGATTCATCAAGGTTGTTAGGATGTGATTTACTGTTGTGTCGGCTTGGGAAGCAGCAGTCATGGGAAAGTCAAATGTGAGCTCAGACACCTCCATACTGCGCCTGCGCCAACATGTTGCTTATATGTTCGTTGGATTCCCTCTGGAACTTACCGTAATATTGATGGTTGTTGCCATGGGGCGTGGCGAGGTACCTACTAACCAACCAACAACCGAAAATTCTACGTCGTCCCGATGCAAGTCAATTCGCCTGACTCATTTCAAGCCATCTCCATTGATCAGCTTATGATACTTTTTTTTCCAAACATGTACAGGCCTAGCAAACCCCTCTTCGTCCCTCTCAACTTTCAGTATCCTCTCAAATCCCTGCGCTTTCAACTCGTTCTCAAACGGTGGCCTGATCTGGATCGTCTTATACGTCTCTCTCAATTCTTTATTCCTCTTTGAAGCTCTCGCATAATTGCTCATAGGCTGCGGCTCCACGACAAGATAACCCCCCTCATTTAGTATGCTTTGTATGTGCGCAAATAGCTTCAACATCCCGGAGTCCCCGTTGTTGAGATGTATCCACTTGGTCACAGAGAGCAGTAAAACAACGTCGAATTTGCCCAGCGCGGTACCCGTGTACGCGGACGCATCCACGAAGTCAAAGTGCTCAAATGTGCACGGCCCGTCCGGGTACGCCGCCTTCGCCTGCTCGACCAGCCACGGGTCGATATCGACGCCGACAGAGGCGGACGCGCCGCAGTGCGCTATCGCCTCATAGGTCAGTTTGCCCGCGTTGCAGCCTAGGTCTATGACTCGCGCGTTGCGGAGGATATCTGATGGGAGAATGGAAAGGCGCTCGTCCGGAACAGTAGGCGCCCGGAACTTAGCGTAATATTGGTGGTAGTTGCCATGGCGTGCGGCGAGGTGCGTGGCTTTGAAGCGCTCTGCTTTGGAGAGTTCTGTTGCAGGGGGGAGATGCTGATGGCATGCTTCTGCCATACTTGGAGATAGTGCGAGCAGAGAGGCACGTGTTGGTAATGATATTGGTTATGTCGAAAGAAAAATGTATAATGATGTGACTGACGTTGAGTTCTAGGACACTAGATAGGCCATATATTAGGAGTTAAAGGTCTTGAAATTTTGTGATCAATGCTAAAGTTTTGCTGGGCTCCCAAGAGGTTTGTAGGGTTTGCATACTCTCGGTGCCTGAGGCAGTAAACTACATAGCAGGCCTAGCAAGTAGCCGGCTGCTAGATTATCACTCCTACCGGGGTGATCATAAAGAAGAAGGGTCTTATAAGGCTAAGCGAGTGCTTATTGCTTGGTAATAGATGCTCTATATAGCTGGTATCTAATTAGTACTATCTAATAGACACCATACGATCCTTACAGAATCTCATTGTTCTACTCCATTGGTCATGTGATAGGTATAAGTGGGCCTATAATTTATACGATCTGAGTCTTGGTCTAGCCCATGGAGGCATAATGTGTCTACTGATTAGATCTGTTCAGTCTCAGGAAGGGAGCAATGGTTCCCGAAATACGATGGCGAAAGGGCGTGAAAGCGGATTTTAAGGAGCTTTAGAACTCGATCCTTTCGGGATATCCACAATATGACGTCATCTTTGCTTACTGTTTTTTCCCGCGTCTTCGCTCCTTGTGCAACCCTACTGTAACATCCATACCGAGGTCGTACTCAACATGCCATTCAGACAGGCGCTTCAGGGCATTATCGATAAGGCAGACAAGGCTTGGGAGGAAATAAGCCATCACGCCCCTCCGCCGGTACCATCGTACAACAAGCCTCCCCCACCGCCTATTCCAACCTCTAGCAAACCACCACCAGCTTATCAGGAACAGCACTCGCAACCCCAGATCTACTGGCGGCCCAATTTACATCCTCAAGTACCGGTGTCCTCCAACTTTGACCACGAACAAGGTCAACATGGATGGGGCAACAATGAGTCGCAGAATTATATCGACAGCCCGCAAAACTCATTCCATTCAACCCAGGGCGATGCGGTGATCGTGCGCGCTCTGATCAACCACGGGCATCCTGACCCTGCCCAGAAGTTTACCAGTGCCAGACTGTCGAGTCTCCAGACCCTCAGCCGACCACGGGGCTGTCTGTCGGCCAGAATTACGGCGCCGGTGGCCCGAGGTATCTGGCCTGCCTTTTGGCTGCTGCCTAAAGACCCCTTCAAGTGGCCCGAGGATGGCGAAGTCGACATAATGGAAGCGTGGAACGGCGATGCTGTCAACCACAGTTGTCTGCATTGGGGTCACTTTAACGGCCAGGACTGGAACAAGCATCGCGTTCTCGAAACCCCCATCCCCAACATTTGCTCGCCGGCGGGGGTGAAGTACGATTTCATATGGGACGAGGACGAAACAACGGGCAGGGGGCGCTTGGTCTGGTTGATTGATGGCACGCCCATAATGAGGGCCGAAAAGCCGCCTGGCACGAGAAAGATGAGTGAGTTCAGAATCCTCATCAACATCGCTGTTGGAGGAAATGTCTGTCAGGGAAATATGCCCAGCGATGGATGCTACGAGACGGTGGTTCGTGAGTTGGCCATGTGGGACGCGCCGCCTGGGGGTTGGAATGAGTTTGACAGGGCTTGGAGGGATTCCAAAGATGGCAATACCATGTAACGAAAGCAAGGAAATCTACATTGCAAAGTAAATCAACTATACCCACATCCCCTACTTTCTACAAGAGATATCTCTGACTAGGCGAGTGAGATGGGTTGTCGCATAGTGATAGACCAAAGCTAATCATTTTAACAAAATTCAATGCGATGCATAGGTATTGGCTTGTAGTTAGTTATTCTCGCAATTCTTGCCTTGGACAAGAATCAATCAATCCACTCATTTTTTATATATAACTAAGCTACTTCCGCATCCCTGTTGGCCCCTTGGTTGCTCCATGTCCCATATTCACTGATCAACATCAAAGTTCAGAATGGCATTGGCTCTTTAGACTCGGAGAATACCGCTGTTCTCGGTATATTTCATTATTAGGAATCGGATATGGTCTTGGATGTCTCCACTACCACGTCTGATCAGTCGATCTTCTGTTGAAGATGTTGAAACGGCCTCACCTCCTTGCCCAGACCCAGTTGATGATTATCTGGATAATATCGGATCCGACGTGGGATATTGCAGCTCGAGGGATATTTCGGGTATTAAAGCATTCTTACGACTGGATGGTCAAATAGAAAATTAGGGCTTGATATTTCCCACAGGACTAGAGGTTTCTTTCAGTCCCATTGACCATGCCCATTAGTCTCATGGGACTAAATAATTTCCCACGCTAGCATAACTCGCTCAAAATGGATGAATAAGATGCTGATTTATCATAATAAATTGTTGTTATTTACACCTATCTCGCACTTACAGCAGTTTATATAGCTTAGATGTGTAGTATTATAGATATTATATGTATACACTCACTACGACTCCCAACTAGTATATTTACAAAAGAACAATAGTATAACACTATTACGATATGCGTGTCTCCCCCATTAAAGCCATTCCTACTCATATGAGATCATGTGGTTTGGTATTCGACACACTGATTCCCTAAGTAAACTCTCTCTATCGACTAACCCCCCCTGGCGGGGGACTAGGTACGGGCTACGTGATTTCAAGTTTCGAGTAACTTCTTGCAGCAGATATCATCCTGGATATATGCCCCATGATGAAGGAGCACGGCTACAGTTGCAAGATCAGTCGAGATTGTTCGAGCATTGATGACCTATGGACAGTACAGTTGAGAGGTGAGTGAGGAGTCTGATAGAAGCATCCTTCCGTACAGTCTTTCTGCAATGCGGTTTTGCATCTGTTTATTCCAAGTATTGAAATTACAGCCTCATGCCAGAATGTCGGGGGCCAGACGACGCTGATTTTCGATGTCGTTTGCGATTGAGAGTGCCTTCTGGAAGAAGGGATGCGAAAGGCCCTCTCTCGATAAAGCGCCAATGATCTACTATTTGGCACCCGCAGACTAGCAGGCCAATAGAGCGGGCTATCTAGGATATTGAACGGCCGTTACGCGTAACCACAATATACGCCCAAGATAACCGGAAGTGGTTACTCTCGATACATCGGGTACGAGCTGAATGCTCAAGGGACTATTACGAAAATATGTATGTATATGTATATGTCTGCATCGTGTGTAAATATACCCAAAAATGTGACACCCACCTTTACAGTGAGACCTTCCTAATGTGCTTGATTTCTTGGATTCTATCTCTCCCATTCTCTGCGCAGTATTTCAATAAAGCATCCTTGGCTCTACACATATTTGATGGGTTATGGATGCTCGTTCTCAATTGCGTATACATGTTTCCTTTCTCCCTGGGAAAAGCACCGGGTTCGAGTGTTATATTGCTTTTGATGTGCTTCATGGCAGGTGTGGGCATGTTCCAGTAAATGAGAGCTTCCCGTAGTTAACTCTCATGTTTATCATCCAGAGTGTATTGAAATAAGCGTTGTTAGGTTGACTGGTGGGATAGAGTCAGTGAGGGTCATACAAGGAAGGTAAAGGTGCCAGGGGATCAACTTACGCTCTGAGTCTGAAGTAGTTAAACAACGCAATTCCCGAACGATTACTGATGGATTTGAGAGTAGTCCTGATATATTTGGGCCACTCCGGCTGAATGGCAGGAAGTCCAGTGCCTTGTTGGGCATGGTAGTCATCGAATTCACCCAAAAGATCATATACCGCTTCGAAGGTGGCACAGAAGTTCTGCCACACCTTTGGATTGTTGAGATATTCAAACACCATGCCCATTTCTTTAACTGACTGGAGTTGCGCGTCGGCATCTTTGCTTGAAAATCCCGTTCTTGAAGAGGACGTTGATATGGCTGCAATTCCTTTGAACATCTGCCAAATCTTGTCAGTCAAGCTCAAGTAGAATAACAAGATGCAGTCTGAAAGCGGATTGGGGTCATCAGCTTGGTACTTACCGCGCCCTTCATTCCATTTGGCCGCCCCAGGAAGATAGTCAGACGGTCCAGATGACCTATGCTACCCAACTCGAACAGCATATGGTCAAAGAAGGAGTCGCTGTTGGCACCACTCCAATGGATGTCGTCAGCTGTAACATAGTCCTTGGCCTGAGAGCAGCCCATGACTTGGGTAGGATTGATTGCAGGTGGAATTTGGTCCCTAATGGTTCCCTTGTTCAGCCACCAGGTAAAGAAGTCACCCATTAATTGACCTTCGAATACATGCTCCGCTGTGTACAAGGTCAGTTCTACCAGCAATGCGTGAGAGAAGATTACCCTTACTTTCGTAGCGGGCTCTTTTCAAGCCTCTGGGAGTCGACCGATTGTCATGAGGAAAGATGGCGTCGACACTCCAGTCCGTGCATGATTCTGAGGTGTTTCCCCAGTATTTCGAGATTGTTTCCCATCTTCCGTTCTCTATGCCGTCCCAAGGCCGGTCCGCTAGCTTGGGAAATGCAGGATATCGACCGTCTTTTCCCACGCTGTACTTGTCGGTACATAGACTTACCGTCTTCCTGGAAATTGTTGCAGTAGGATTGTTTGGATTGTAATCCCGTTCGTAAAGTGTAAGGCCCTCGTCCCCATCAGTGTCATCGTCGTCCGCGAGAGTGTCATCCTTGTCCGTGGCGATAACATCACGTTTCGAACTCAAACCTTGAGTAGAGCAGAACCTGGCGCTGTCAAAGTCTGTACCTCGTTTGTACCCATCGGGCCAGGTGCAAACTGTGTCAGTGGTGGCGCAGGCATCACAACCATCGTACGGCGGAATATCGCCGTAGCCATAATACCAATCCATTTCATAACAGCCGCAGCATGGTTCGTCATCATCTTTCTCATTGAATTTCAGACAGGTTTTGCTCGCATCAGGTTTGAACACGGATTCAGTTCCAACCGAAAAAAAGCGCTGGGCGTACTGGGGCAGGACTTGTTTCAGAGCAGGGAGTGTCATGGCGGCAAACTTCCAATTCACCATGTTGAAACATCCATCGGCCATTTACCGATAGAGTCACGGCTAGAGAGATCACGCTTATGCGGAGGGATCTTGTCGGCCACAGACGAGTTGTCGAAGCCATTCTCCGAGTCCAAAGAGGCCTCAGCAGACCCCGGGAGGACAATGGAATCACCTTGAATGAAGGGTTTGACATTGTTATCTCTCTTACTGTTGGGGTTTGTTGGGATATGGACAGGAGGATAGCATGCAGCACCTTCCGAAGGCAACTGCGAAGAGCTTCCAAGTTGCACGTTTTGCGAGCCCCACCCAGAGCTCGTGAGTAGACTGTCACTCCCGGCATCTTGGAAGGCAACGGAAGAGACCAAAATATCAGAGCAAACCTCATCTGACTCGGCCGATGGTGTGAATTGGAATGAAGCGATTGTATTGTACCTCAGGGCCATAGTCCCCAAGTCAGAGCTTTTGTGATTCCATAAACCAGACCCACCTTGAAGGGCAGGTACTGTGAAGGTGAGGTAGTCCATGGAGATTTTCACACCAAATGAGACGGCAGTGCCGAGGGAGATGCCTCCACCGTTGCCATCGGTATAAAAGACTCGGTTATGGTCTGCACCAGCTGTTGGGATAGAGATATCAAGCTGCTTGAAGTCCCCCGACGGTTGCTTTATGCTATCGGGGTCATTGGCGGGCCAAAATGCTGTGATATTTGAGAAATCCTGGACAACTCGGGCACTCAATACGCCATCGAAGTTAGCTGCGCTGCTGTCTAGATTTTGATCGGTTGAACCATTGAATGTCGCTATCTCGTAAGTTGCTTCGAGATAGGGTTCGAAGTTCACGTAGTAGTCTTTGGACCCAGCTTTGATTTTTGAGCCTGGCAGGCTGACGGTCCTTAATCCACCTAGTGCTGGAGTGCCTTTATCTGCGGAGCGGACATCGACGACACCAAAACCTGAAATACCATACGTCAAGTTACTTTTGCCCACAGCATTGACAAAACCATCTGCCTTTTCGATATTGAGATCTCCATTGGGATCGAAATATCCGTAAAGACTGAACCCATAGTGCATTTGGGCATCAATGTCTCCAACAACGAAGGAAGCAAAGGCCTCGTCGTATTCAGTGCCCCCGACTTTGCACTCTTGGTCAGTTTGCCACCAGATAAGCTTGCTTAAATCCTCATTGATTGTGATTGGCGATCCGTTTGACCATGCGAAGTTGTGGGTGTTGCTCAGGCTTTCCCAGTCGGATGTTTTATTGGACCAGTATCTCTTCATCAGATTCGTAGCTTCTTTCGCGCCCTCGCCGGGTGAGTTGACGAATGTATCCCAGTAGCCGCCAAAAGTCGCGTAGTCCAAACGAACACTCGTCTTGTCTGTGTCCCGTCACCTGAGACTCATGTCGTAATCAAACTTGAAGTCATACACCTTTGAAGTTGGATTGCGCTTCTGGATGTCGGAAGTAAGGCCCTGGTCTGGTCGTTGTTAGCAGGTCTTGACCAGTACGACGATAGAAAGAGCAAAGGGCATGTAGAGAAGTTCGGAGCTTCAAGCAAGGGGAGACCGATGGAGGACAAACCTTTGGAAACCTCCAGCGATATAGCGCGTGCAAGCGTGTTAGATGCACACTGTATTTGTTGGTTCAGCTTTGAAGAACAGATCGATGGTACCACAAATACGAAAATTCAGCTGAGATTCTGATCTAGTTTTTATTCAGCCCCATTCCTTCGCCGACACTCGATGGCACCAACTCCCGCTGTGGTGAATTCTACAAGATTGGAGCCAATGAGAACTGCGCTACCGTGGAAGAGAAGTTTGGAATATCGAGTTCTGACTTGTAAGTTTGGATATCAGAGCGTACAGGGGCAAGTGATTGATTTAAGTGTCTTGAACAACAGCCTTTTCCTGAACCCCGAGGTGTTTACAAACTGCACCAATCTGCAGAAGGATGTCTACTACTGCGTTGAGCCTGTCGGATATATCTCCACGTACCCTGGCTACGGCGGATCTACTACTGGTATACCGGCATTTACCAGGATTTCAATGACAGACGTTCCTTTCCCTACACGGAGCTATATTAGCGGCGGATACCCAGTTATCCCGATCGCCAACGGCACAAGAACAGACTGCATGGAGTGAGTGCCACAAGCCTCTTTTGATGAAACCTGCTCATCAGTAATAGATACGCTTGGTTTCATGAAACCCAGTTCCCGGGTCAAGAAATAGAACTAGACTGCTGGAATATCGCCATGTTTTACGAAATCACTGGAGAGGTCAGTCGTTGCCCTCCGCATTCGCAATCCCCTTCCTGTAGCTGACGGTTCGACCAGGAATTTGTTCTATGGAACCCATCCATGGCCAAGAATGGTACACGGACTAGCTCTTCAAGCAAGGCACTTATTTCACTTGTATCGGCGACCCCGAGTGCTAGCCCGATGGTGCTGCCATCTTCTTACAATTACCCCTGCACCGTGTCACAAAGCACATCCTACTGTGTGGCTATATCAACACCTACTTCAACCTAAGGTTGGTGAGTTGCGCATCTAGCAATATCGCGTCTGAAATACCTAATCATAATTGTAGTCATTTGAAACTCGTGGGCTTGCTTCTCTTCCTTTGAAGACGAATTCTCCACTTGTTCTCGCAGCTTGCTGGGGGTGCAATTTCCTCTTCTAGAGCCCGAGGTGTCTCATTAAGAACTGTGGCTAGCACTCTGCCTCCAGACTCAATAATTGGTGAAGCATCCCCAATTCAAATAAGTCTTTTGCGTGCCTCGCTTAAATTCGTCTCGAAGGGACTAGCTATAAGATATTTCAGTCCTTGGCCTCTAGACTTTGATCTTGTTAATTTATAATCTCACTAAGGGCAAGAGAATAATCCCAGGGATGAAAAGTCAACCATATGCCGTCAATTTTATGGTCTGTAGTCCGAATAACACGGTAAAACTGACTAATTATCAGGATCAAATGCATCTTTGACTGTTCCAAGAGCCTTTTTTCCTATGTTGTGAGGAGGGTCATAGAATGGATTTTCCCCGTTCTCGTAAATGAAATCGTCCACCTGCTTTCCGTACCAAGTAGCACCTCCTAGACAAAGAAAACCTCGCTCGCAACCGATAACAACGTTTGGTTGACGACCCTGCCAAAGACTCTTTTCACGGATCTGGGTGCGCAACTCTGTAAGGAAAGTATGCCAAACATTACCGTTATCAACAAAGACCAGAAAACTCAATTTCACAGACTGAATGGTGGATGGCAGCTTCGAAAGAAATTTGATCAGATCAACCTGGCTGACTATGAAACGCGATAATGCAAAATGGCGAAGCTTAGGCCATTTATCGATAGGGAATATGCTCTCTAACAGCACATGGGTGGTGTTAATGGGTGGCCCTCCCCACTCATGATAACCATCCAGCCCTGCAGTATAAAAGGTGAACTCCTCTAAGTCCGTCATGTTGCTTAGCGTTTCACGGAGCCCTTCGTTATAGGCGACGAAAGCCTGGTTTTTTCAGAACCGCCAGAAAATGATCGTGTTCCACGCAAGGATCATCGAATATAGTGCAGTTGATCCCTGTGTATAGTTGTCGAGCATCTAGAGCCAGTTCCACCACCTTGTTTTTCTGTTGTGCAAGGGCGCGTATAACAATACGGAATGCGCGGTACTTCTCTCTGTGCCGTTCATCAACTCTTTGCCAGGGAAATGTGATCACGTCCTCTGGCTCTTCGCTGGTTGAAGTTGGCCATCCACGGGGGATGGGATAGTTGAACCCTTGCGGGAATGCTCGAATCATAGGACTGGAGTATAATGGAGCAAACGGGACACCGTGGGCTGCGGGTGTAACCGTCACTCTTTTCAGTGCTGGGAACCGTTCGAGGCCGTACAGAAACGCCTCCTCGTCGTAGTTCCCAGCTAAAACATCCGCTTGTTTGCGGAGCAGCCCCCGGTAGATTGCCCAACACTCATTCATTGAAGGCCCGGACGAACCCAGCTGTTTCTCGGTTTTGAATTTTTGATGCCATGACTCAACCATGTTGAGCTTGCGTCGCCGCATAAGTAGATCTTCGATATTTGTGACACATGCGGCCTTGAACCAGAGTGGAACATTTTGTCCGCGGAAATTCGCACTATTCCTCATTTGATAGACAGTATCGCCGTACTCCTCGTCCTCCCTGTTGGTATAGTCAAAGTCGTCTTCGTAAAATTCCCAGTCTGGTGGCCCACCTCGGCCCTCAAGTTCACCGCGACGTCGTCTCGATTCGAAAGACTCCTCCGTCTCGTTATCACTTTCATCGGATTTTGGCAGGTATTGCCCGCGCTCAGGATTGATATCTCCCCCTGGGCCCCTTGCAAATCGTGCATCATCCCAAACAATCTCTGTAATCTTATGTCGGAATTTCTGATGATCTGCGATCGCGCGAAAGACCTTAATATTCAAGGGGTTCGCCGACAAAAAGACTCGCTGCAGTCTGAGCTCCACTGAATTGCATGATTGTTTAGAGACAAGTCGGAGCGTTTTGATATCGCGGTTAGGTAGATATGATAATATTGCCCTCCAGAGCTCCACGGGGAGATCATAGAATTGAGAGGAATTCGACATCATGTTGTGTTGGACGGGTGCATGAAGCTCAATGGGAGGGAGACTTGGGAAAAGTGGGGTGGGCAACAAAGCCTTCAGGCCATCGGGGAGACGAAAGACCCAAGTTAAGGCTTAAATAATCTGAACTCGGATCTGCATCACCCCTCGTGGTATGTAATTTATCTGGTAAAACATAGTGCCCCGTCTAAGCCTTATCTGGCTAAGCTTTAGCGCTGCAGGGATCAACGGTAAAGAGGCGCCCGGTTCATATTCGGGTCGCACCTGATGATGATGATGATGATACTCTATTAACCTGATGCAGCCTAACTAGTGTTGTATGGCTATGCAGGCGCTTCCTCCGGCGGAAGTAAGAGCATTCCGAACGCCAGCTAACGCGCATGAAATAGTAGATATATAAGAAACGGCGTTCTGCTATAATAAATCCCCTAAAACTAATGTAATAACGGTAACCAGACGCCTATTGTGTGTCCCTCGGCCCTTAGATCCCCCTTATTATGGCCGCCTGCGTCCCCTGTATCTCTATATCTCCTGCTATCCTACTATAGCGGTCTTATCCTCCTGCTTCGTTCTCTGTTGATCGGGGTTTAGTGTCGTTCTCTGATGTTTTCTACTAGTTATCGACGCGGCGATGTAGTCTCCTACGACCTCTCGGTAGGCTGTGGCCTTGGTGTTCCTTATACCTATCGTCTTTACTATCTGTGTCCCTGCTAGGTTATCCCGGCTGTTCGTTGTCTTCGCCCTCTGGAGGCTCCGGCTCGATGTTAACGTGTCGGAACTGCCCTAGGAGGCCTATTTATATTATGAATTCGGCTACGTAGCGGGTGGCCTGCGAGTGTAATACGATGGTATTGTAGTCCGTCGTGTTTCTAAGATCCGTCCGTGCCCGGATCTTTTCTAATATGGTCGTCCTTAGATTAGCGTATAACGGGTACTGTAGTAGGATATGCCTTGGTGTCTGAGACCCCTCGCTGTAGTAGCACTTATCCGATTCGACTGCGTTGATTTTGAATAAGAAGTGGTTTAGCGTAATGCGTATTGACTGTATCTAGATTAGTATCGATGTGTATGGCTTCGATAAATTATCGAATAGCCTTAGGTTCTTCTTGTCTAGGGCTTTTACTAGTCGCTGGTTCGGCTTGCCTGTCTTCTCCCTCGCCTACTCCTGCGCTTACCGTTCTTTAATTCGCCGCCGTACTCGACGCTTAGCCGATGAGGTAAGTAGGGTCCGGCCGCCGGTGGAGATGCTTGCCGAACTACCGGCTGGACGTTGATCCGTCCCGCTCTCCCTACCTCCCGTTACCGCTAACTTTGCCTTAACGTCCGCTGTCTTATTGCTAGGAACGCCTACGTGTGCGGGGATCTAGCGGATCTCGACGGGAATCGTGTCGGACGTGGGCGTTAGCGACTGGAGGGCCCGAATATGTTCGTAAATGTGTTGGATTATGAACTGGCCTAACGGTCGCCTAGGGTTCTGTACCGCCTGAATAGCGCCCTAGTAATCCGAGAAAATGACTATCTTATGCGGCGTTGCTTCCTGTTAGACTTATTGGGCTTGTCGGATCTTTTGTATGAACTTAGGAAGCGCTATTTTAATGCTGTTAAGCTCGGTAATGTATATTGTTGATTAGTCGGTGGTGCCTAAGTGCCGCCGTTCGAAGATGCCTTTATGCGGGGCGACGGCGGTAGCTCCGACTATGCCCTCGTATCCGCTTCCGTCGGTGAAATATAGGGCTATTTAGGTGTAGTCCTAAAGAAGAGACTCTGTCTCTATCCTATTATGCGAGGCTCGTACTGCCTCTGTATCCTCGATGACGTATAGGATCCGTGCCTCCTACGGCGCTAGAACGAACGCCTACCGGTCCTCCTATGTGCCTCCTTAAGGTTTTAGGATGCTATTATCCTTCTATCTAAGGGCTTCTAGAGGGCTCTAACCGCCCCTTCTCCTCTTGTTAGTACTGCGGGGGCTACGGAGGTTATATAGGTACTCCGGCTGTGCCTATTTCGCGTCTGTTTGAATTCTTATAGCCGTTTCCTGAATTATCTATTCTATCTGTAGTCGGATCGGTAGGAGATAGAGCTTAATATTTAGCGCTGCGGCGCCTATAGATTTGAAAGCCCTACTGATGAGAATCGCTGTACGTCTCTGAATTTTGGTGAATTTGTTGACTATACGTTTTGTCTCTTACCCTAGTAGTGCTTTCGCTACCGGGTAAAACTATGTGGAGATCCTATAGAGTATTTATAGGATGACTACTGCTTGGTAAATCTTCCGTATGGCTATTAACGAGGCCCCCTATGTTGATCCCGTTATGGCCCTAAGGGCTTCTAGGCTACCGTTGGCCTTTCTAAGTAGTTTCTTTCGGTGTACGTCGAACTTAAGGTGTTTATCGAGCTATATACCTAGGTATTTCGCCGAGTCTTTTGGTTGGATCGATATATCTCTAATCTGTACGGGTAGCTGGTCGTTACTCTCTGGGAAGGCGTGTATGATGTTAAATATGTCGTATTCGGGGTCGTCGGGCCGGATGATGCTGTTTTGGGTCGAGTTTGGGTTAGACGTAGGCTCCTCTTGAGGCGTGTTTGGGTTAATAAAGTGAATGAGTTCGAATTTATCCGGATTGAATTTTGCTGTGTGTTGTTTTGCCTATTAGTCTGCCCTACTAAGTACCTTCTCTATTAGGCGAACGTTGTCGTAGTATGTGTCCGATTCTACGACGGTTGCGACGTCGTCTATCTACCTAAAGCCCTATGTTCTACCTATTATGCCCCGGTATACGTATATGCTATACGCTGAGACTAGCGGTGCGTTGAATAGGAGGAATAGGATGGGAGATAGCGGGGACCCTTAGGGGATGCCTATCGGTATAGGAAAGCCGTCGGATAGGAATCCTGGTAGTTTAATATGCGTTGACCGTCCTGTGAGGAACGAGGCTATCTATAGGGCGAAGTAGCCTAGGCCTAGCCTTCGGAGGTTATTAAGTAGGCGTTAATACGAGATATTATCGTATACGCCGGTAACGTCTAGTAGGATTATACTTACCTTCTTTCCCCGTCCCTACGCCCGTCGTACCCTGTCGAGTATTAGTTAGATGGCGTAATCTACGCTTATTCCTTTCCTGCCGCCTAGGTACGTTTCCGGTAAGATCTGGTGTTCCTCTACCGCCTAGGCTATCCTTGTGGCGATGATGGACTCTAGAATTTTTCCTAGTGTATTTAATAAGGCTACTGGCCGGTAGGATTTCGGTTAACGGAAGTCCTGAGGGCCTCCTTTTCGTAGGGTAACCGTTACTGACGCCTGGAAATAGCGAGGGTTGTGTCCCGTTCGTATATATGCGTCGAAGATAGCTGTTAGGATAGCTACGAAGCTGTGGTTATCTATTAAAATCTTCTATATACGGTTCGGGATTATATCCTCGCCTAGCGCTTTATCCGGCGGTGCCCTTTTAATAGCGTCTAGAACCTCCTGCTTGCTGACTGCCGGGAACTGGAGCTAAGGTCGTCCCGATGTGTTGGGGCGTGCCTAGTTAATATCGCTGAGGTTAGCTTGGGGTGGCTCTAGGAAGAAGACCTGCCGAAGTAGTTGGACCTTCTCCTCTGCCGTTTCCGCTAGGCCTGTGGGTGTCTTAAGGGCCGGGATGCTGCTGCTGACCGACTGGTCGTGCGTGCGGGCCTATTTAGAAACCTTCTAGATGCCTCCGTGACTATCGTTGACCGTCTGCTTTACCTACGTCCGAAAGCCGTCTCGTAGCGCCTTCTTGATCGTTTTTTATTTCGTATTCCTTGCTGATACGTAATACTGCTAGTCTTCGTCCTCCCCCGTTCGTTTCTATCGCCTCCGCTCTCGCTGCGTCGTTTTGATCGCCTCCGTATATTTAGGCGTCTAGCCCTATCTAGCGTGCTCGGATAGGTGCGCCTAGGGTGTTAACTCCTGTATACTGCACTAAACGATATCGAGGAGGTGGTCTACGGCGGCGTCGATGCGTTATAGCGAGGGCGAGGTCGAGGGTAAGGACTTGTCCGGTAGATATATCTAGTCTTTGCCCTGAAGGTTAGCTGAGACGAAGTTGAGGAACTTATCTATATCTATAGCCTTTTACTGACGTCTTCTGATAGGTTCTTACGCCGTTGGGGCGTCGATTTCGAGTACGGTAAGGATTAGGAGATGGTCAGAGTCTGCGTGAACGTCTTGGTTAATCTTATATGTTACTATACGCTCCCGAAGGGTATAAGACGCTATAATAAGGTCGATCGTCGTCTGGCCGCCTGCCTGATCCTGTGTGACCGTTCCTGGGGGTAGCTAGAGGTCTAGGCCTGTTAGATCTATTAGAGCTAATAGGTCCTCTGATTTTGTATCTAGGCTAGCCTTAGGGCCGCCCTAGGCCGGGTGATGGAGGTTGAAGTCTCCTATAACTATGTGCGATGTTCCCCCCTCCTGTTCCTGAACCGTCGGTAGTAGGTTTACTAACTAATCTAGCGTACTCTAGCGTTACTGTTCGTTGTAAATATTGAATAACCGAAGCTCTATTAAATCCGTCCTTATCCTTACTTCCTGGTAGTCCCCCGAGTGTACTATGTGTGTGTAGCCCGCCGCTATCTTCTTCGAGACGAATAGATATATGCGTACCCTTTCGCTAGTTTCCGATGCTATTAGGTAGTGTAGCTTATGTGTGAGTCTTAGTAGATGGTGAGTGTCGTCTTTGAATATATTCTTCTATAGCTCCTGTATAGCGATAATATCGGCGCTAACTACCTCCGGATCCCGTAAAAACTGCGCTATTATAATATCCTTCGACCGGTTAACGTTATATTGGTATATTTTAAGTTCCTTTTGCCTTGGTTCGTTTTCCCTGTGTGTCGATTTATAGTTATATTGATTTATTGGTGTTATGACTGGGATGATATCCTGCGGTAGACCTTTCGCTTGCCTTTAGGTTAGAGGTTGATCGAGATATCTACGTTGTGAGGCTGCTTCTGCTTCCTCGACCTCGATGCTATCTCTAGTGATGCTCCTAGTGTTGCTTCTGGTAGGGAGGACGGTTAGAAGTCGATATCGCTCCTGATTTCTAAGAGGGAGGATGAGGTAAGTTCCTGTACTCTATTTAGCTGTTTTTCGAGGCTTTCTATGTTAACTTCGTTAGGCGCCGTCGAGCTTAGGTCTGACTCTATACGGGTTTGATTCGCCTCCTCTAGTCTTACGGCCCTCTTATTCGATTATACCTCTTTTAGTTTCCTCGCTCTGGCCTCTCTTATTTTAGTAGTTCTCGCCCTTATCTTATTAGCTTTCGATTAGGCGCTGGTAGTGCTAGCGCTGGCCTCCGGTATAGTCTATGGCTAGAAGTTAATAATAGCTTCCTCTACGGTCGGTTAGCGAAAGGTGCTTATTGCGCGAGGTACTAAGTTGGGTATGCTGATCCGAGTCTCTATTTCTTATCTAACTATGAATAACCTCTCCTAGCCTTCTCCGAATAGGAAGCGGCTCGCCCGTAATAAGGCGGCGTTCCCCGTCGGGCGCTTATTATCGTCTGGGCTAGTGTCTATCGCTCCCTTCTCGCCTAACGATACTGTTGTCGCCGACTAGGTAGTGTTTCCTAGAGCCTATCGGCTCGATTATAGGCCGTTAGTTATTCGGGTCGATGCTATTAGGTGGGTGGATACCCCCTAGCTATTAGTTATTCCTATTATTATAGGGCTAGTACCCTGCTGCCCCCCGTTACTAGAGTGTGTGCCCGGCGCCGAGCCGCTACTTTTGACGCTGGTAGGCTCTTCGGTCGATAGTTCCGGCGGTGTTCCCTACGAGCTAACTGTAGAGGGCTACGAGATCGTTAGCGATAGCTAGTTAATGCTGTACGGCGCCGGGACTAGATAGTAGTAGCTACGCTGTCTTGCTATTGCCGTTACTTTCTCGACCTCCTGCTTCCGAAGCTCGCACTCAGAACTCTATATAGCGTGTGCGCCCTCGTAGTTGGCGTACTTGTTTCCCTTACGTATATCCTTCGAAGGGTAATCCCGAGACTGATAGCCCTCCGTATAGTATACGCACTTAACGGTATTAGTATAGGTAGTTCCTATATGTCTAAATTATTAGTAGTTAAAGCACTAGCGTATACGAGCCGCTCTATCGTATAGAACGGCCGTTAGGCTGTTATATTTCTATAGGACCCCCTTATCGATCGCCTTATTCGCCGGCACCGGTGAGGTGAATTCGAGGATTAGGGAGCCTAACTTCTTACCTTCCGGTATACGAAGCTAGCTAACCTTGGTGATCTCCGCTTCCCCCTAGTTATCCTTATTCGCCGCTAATAGCTCTTTAATCACACTATCCTGTACGCCTTTTAGCTCATCGATCGATGGCCGGTTAACGCCTAACGACCGGACGTTAACGTCGTATACTACGACGCCCTAGGTTGGTATATATACGAATACTGTACGGCAGAGACCCTTCGCCTACTTCTCTCGATAAACCCTCATAATTTCGGCTTCCTTAGCGTCCCGGAGAGTAAAGCGGAGGTCACCGGACTTTAGCTAGCGTAAGGCCGTAATTATAACCGTCGCTAGGGCGTCGGTAGCCGTCGACTGAGCAGCCTTAGCCTTTACCTAGTTCGCTCGCTTAGTAAGTTCCGCTAGCGAAAGACGGCGGAAGGTGCTGATTTATACCTAATCTCCTAGGCATATTACTACTTTACGATTACGTATAACCTCCGACGGGCGTACGCCAGTACTAGAGGAGCTATAGGATAAGAGGTAGTGCGCTGGCGCTAGCGCTCTAGTAGCTACTTCGGCGAAGGATCGAACCGTCTACCTTACTAGCGGTTCGACCGCTGCTTTAACAGCCTAGATCTCCTGGCGTAGGGAGCTCAGTTCCTGCTGCTAGTCGGTTAGGGGCGTCGATAGGAGGTCCTTCGTTAGGTCTTCCACCTGGCGGAGGAAGCTGACGACCTTAGCGGGTGGTCTTGCTTCTTTCTAGACCTTACTGAGCTCTCTTAGCAGGTCGTGTGCAGTGTAGTTGGCGTTCAGTACGCGCTCACGGTTCGATTGCAGATTTTTCGGGCCTCCGGAAGCCCCTAACGGGACAGGCCCAACACCCTTTTACGCGCGCATTATTGTGATACTGGCCTGACAGAGTCAATGCCAGTATCAAAATGTAGCGCTGGGTGTCGGATAAAATCTGCCGTTTACGGTTGGTTGCTAACTGGTCTGGTTCCTGAGATATTTCAAAAATTCAATTTGGCGCTTGAGTTGTTGTTCCATTCGGGTCGCACCCACCCGCACTACTCACCCGCCCCTTTCACAGATTACCATTTATTCCAGACCCTGGAGACGATGGTCCAAGGTTGAGATATACGGGGGTTGGTATATCTCTTGATCGAAGGGAGGTCAGGAAATAAATCTCTGTACACTTCACGTCCACACATAATTTGAAAGTGCATATTTCGGTTTGTTTCCACCCGCTCTACTTGTTTGTATATCCAGAGCTATCTGACAAAAAGTGGCCAGACTGGACAGTGGCTTCACATTATCAAGAATATATGTTTGCGGTTGGACGCTTTTGACTAGACTGCGCCAAAAACCGCAATTGGGGGGCAAAACCTCGCCCCCAAAAACCAATCGCAACCAAACCGCAATGGTTGCGGTTTGGTTCTTGGGGCCCAACAAAACCCATTTTTGCATAGAATTGAATAAAAAAGCTATTACTAAGCACTATATTTATAATTTATAAAATTAGTGGGCTACCTATATACTAAGGAAGCTGTACTAGGAGCAAGGTTATTGATTGCTTGATCAAATTCACGAAGTTTAGCTATGTATGATCTTTCATTAAGGACAGTTCGTACGCACTTTAAGACCTCATCGGACCGCTAAAGCCAATGACCCGATCGCATGAGCAAAGATAGGAGATAGTTCAGCCGATTAGCCAATCCTGCACCCCGTGCAAAGTAGCGTCCTCCTTTAATGGCATAGAAAAGAACTGCTTTCGTGCTTCTCCGTACATGAGCTTTCCTGACACACTGTGAGGGATTACCTCTCCATCCGTCACAAGTCTAAGAAGGGTGGGTAGCTCATGTTCTGAGAGTAAATGAGCCAGACCCCGTCGCAAGTGTGCTAGGTCAAAAGTGCACTGTTCCCGGCAGTGGTTACGGCCTTCCTGTAGACGCACAAGCGCCGCGACTTGATTCACATACGTTTGGTCTTGGATGCCAAAGATATAGCCTTCCTTGACTTCGGGGAGGCCAATGAGAGCCTCGCGGATCTTTGGCGCTGATACCATCCCGCCCAATGTGGCGATGACTAGGGGCAAAATTAGCTTGGAGGTACTCCTGAAACAGAGGTGTCTGCCGTGGACCACCGAGCGAGAATTGTCCGGCTGCTGGAAATACCCACAGTCACATTCGGCCCGCCCTTCTATTTCATACACACTACCGTTCAGTCGGACAATATCGCCTGTGCGGAAAAACCCTTCCTCGTCGAACGATTTGCGTGTGGCCTCGGGATTATCCAAATACCTGTAAAAGCGCGTCGTCCTCAGCAAAAAGTGCAAGAAAATGCAAGGCGTGGACTGGCACGAGGGAGATTACCCGGCGAAAAGGGCAGGTGTTTTGACGAGTAACTCGCCCTTGTCACCGCCACTCAGCTTGAACTCAACGCCTGGAACTGGCTTGCCTATAACTCGCTAGCCCTCGTGTCAGGTTCCGTCCGTCAGGCAGAAGGAATTCTATATGTAAGGGTGGGGAGTCATACCTCAACCATTGAATCCGAACCGTGAGCTTTGAATGGAGATATACCCATCTCCGTCCCACCGTAAATCACTGTAACACATCGCCCCTCCAGCATGTCACACCAGAATGCCTTGACTTCCTGCAGCATAACCTGACCGCCGGCAGTGGCTTCACGCAACTGGCGGGCTCCGGCATAGTATTCTTCCTGCTCCTCTAGGGGCAACTTGCTCAGCCTGTCCCGATAGACCAGCATCAACGTCCTCCATGTCATTGGCGGCAAATGCAAAATGGTGATGCCGCCCTGTCGCAGGCGCTCCCAAAGCATATTCGGGTCGGCAAGGTAGGGCCATAGCTCGATCCGGATGCCCCTCAACAGCATGATGACCATCAACCGGATGGAGCCAATATACCCTGCCACTCGGGTGAATAGAAGTGCGTCGTCCTCCTGTCCGACAGGATCCGTATTGACATCGAAGAACCGCCGCGAATGCAGGACACCCTTAGGCTGTCCCGTGGTTCCCGAGGTAAACAGGAGAAGGGCAGTGCGTGTTGATAGAAAACCAGTAGTCTGTTCTGCGATGAACGAAAGATTCGACGGGACGTCCCCCGGATGGGCACTGATGGCGACCAAGCAGACTTCCTTGCCCGTGGTCACCTGTGCACGAAGCCGGGTAAACCACATCAGCTCCGCCTGTTGGGGGCTATACACCACACATGCAGCGTTACACTTGGTCATCCGTTCGCAGATTGCTTGGGGAGAATCGGTAGTGGCTGTGATCCTGCGTCAGCCACTACTTTAATTCCTTGGACGAAGATTGGGGAGATAATGCCCAGTACATAACGGAGTAATAACCCCGCCGAGGGACAGGATCGTCAGGAATGCAACTGTGAATTCTACGCTTGCTGGTGCGAGAATCCCTATATAGACGTTTGGACGGATCATCTGATTGCTGTCCACTGCGTCTGGGGGCAACGACTGCAGCAGGATTTGCCGGAAACGAAGCACTCCCGACAGCAGATCTCGATAGGTGACTCGTACGCCCGAGATATCGTCGCTGATAATTATGCGAGGAGGTCCATTAGCGAATTGAATCAACCGCCGGAAGAAGGGCTCATTGGGAAAGCTCATGGTGAATTAGAAGTGAATATCGCTGACACCGGTGACATGGAAGAGGAAAACCTGAAAATGGGGTCGGCACATTAGACAACATTCGGATTTAATTGAACAGTATGTCTGGGAAGATAGAACCACCGAGCCACTCAACATAAATATCCTCACAAAGACGGTCTCTCCATCCTACCTTTTACCCTCACCGCTGTTTGAGGCAAACTCCACAACTGACCTTGCAGAACGCTGAATTGACGAGTCATAACCTCGTGTCTCCGAAGGCACCGCGAGCGATACAGGTTATCCAAACCCACTGTAATTTTGCTATCCTCGTGTTGCTCCGGGCATGGTGGCAGAAACCTACATATATCACACGCATGCCCGGATATACACTGACACACATATATATTCATATGTATTCTCCCTCTCTTGAAAAATCATGGCCCTCCGTTCTTGCCTAGTTATCTACTCCCTAGCTCCATGATGCCCGTTCCTTTACCAGAATTGCCCGGCCTCCCTAATGATCCTCTCTTCAAGCAGCTCCTCCACAATGCCCAGGCTAACCCAAACATTCTGATCCATGATCCGACCCACGGCATTGACGCTACCGCGGCCCAATTCCTTCGTGATGTCGTGGCCTTCCGGGGGAGAATTGAGGCTCAGCTACCCCGGTGCTATTTCACTGACCAGGGGAGATTTCAGAGCCTTGGCGTATATATAGGCATCCTCGCCCCTCTCAGTTACGACTTTATCGTAAGTCTATACGCCATCACCGCTCTGGGGGCGGCTGCAGTGCCACTATGTACGTGTTGCGACGATGTGACTCAGGAGCACATCCCATGAACACATTTCGCCATTTCTGACTCACCTGCAGCTACCAAAGTCCTCCCCGAAGAAGGTGCCTGGCTGTTGAAAAAATGCAAAGCCATTTGCCTGATTGTGACGCCGGACATGGCCTCGCTCGCATCCCAGATTGTATCCATGCAGCAGACGGGTGCCTCGAGCGTATCCCTAACCTGCCCGCTGATCTCCATCGAGCACCCCGTGACCGGAAAAAACGAGCCCAATTCTTCCGGAGATATCGCTAGGATAGATTTTAACTTGACCTTCCCATCTACGCAGCCAGCCCTGCTCCTCTTCACCTCCGGCACGACCGGGCCGCCCAAAGGCGTCATTTTACCTCGGCAGCTATTCTTCCCACAGGTGGCCCCTGACTGCGACGCAAGCGACGTCGCGATCCTCTACCGTGCGGTCAACGGTCTTCCGGGGGTACTTAATCTGATAGATCTCTTGTATGTTGGCGCCCGCGTCGAGCTTTTTCCAGGCGGGATCCAGCCGGGGCCTATCTGGGAGCGACTGCGACGCGGCGGCATCACCTGCCTGGCCGGCGCGACCCGTTTCTGGCAGGTTCTCATGACATACTACGAGGAGACGCTAGGGATGCTGCCAGAGGAGGAACGGGCGCCGTATGACGAGGGCGCGCGGAATTTGCGAGTTGCATGGTTCGGTGGCGGGATGCCCCTGCCGGCGGCTAAGCGATTCTGGTTGGGTCTGCGTGGGGAGAAGCCCTGGACAGTTAAATACGGGTCATCCGAACAGGGACGTGAGTCATTCGTGTTTCGGTTCACCGCAGAGACTGCGACATCACAGGTGAGAGAAACATTGCTATGATTTGGCCGCGTGAGGCCCAACCTTGACTGACTATTGGTATGCTCAGCCGGCTATCGGTCATCCATTACATGGCGTCGAGGCCAAGTTAACCGAAGGAGACCATGGGGAGCTGCTCATCAAAAGCCCTACGATGATGACTGGGTTTGTCTTTTTCTCTCTGTGTCTGCCGGAGCAGGTTGGGATCTGATATTACTTGATTCGGTAGGTACATCGACGACGAAGATCGCACGAAGGCAGCATTCGATAACGATGGCTTTTATCGCACCGGAGACCTCGTTCACCAAGATGAAGAGGGCACATTCATTTTTGATGGTCGGGCTTCGGCTGATTGTAAGTTACTGCACATCGTGCCCAGCCCCTGCGATGTTACTCGCTGATAAAACCTGTCTCCATCTAGTTATCCGGTTCAACGGGTTTCGTGTCTCTGTCTACGAGGTAGAGTCGCATCTGTGCGACCTGCCATACGTCTCCGAGGCGTACGTACTGAGCATTCCGGACATGCGCTATGGTCAATGCGTTGGTTCAATCGTCCGTTTGAAAGCAGGAGACGCCGGGTGCAGCAACATACCTATGCCCCCGCTACTAGAGAAGCTCCGGGTAGATCTGTCGGCGATTCTGGCAACATATAAGCTGCCGACAGTGTTGCGCGTTGTGGGCGCAACGGAGGAGCTACCACGGAGTCCGGAGGGTAAGCTGGCGCGTAAGCTAGCGCTGCATAAGTACTTTCTTACACCATCGAGTGAGGACGGTCAGGGTATGCGGTCAAAGATAGAGGTTTGGGATCTGGCGGTGGATGATATGGTGCCGAAAAGGCCCTGGGATTGGGGGGTGTAGTCTGATTTCTGCATTTTCTTCGACGTGGGTATTGCGTGAACCGGTTGAGATGAGGGAGTCCCGGTTGAAATCCAAGATAACCTTCATTTTCTGACAGAATTCTCGCTATAAAGGTTCTACCAAGCCGGATAGTATCATCTCGACCTTATGCTCCCTGCAAATGGCTATCTGCTGGCTTAAATAAGAGCAAATACACAGGCGATTGAGAAAATCATTCAATCAAAGACGATGAGTTATTATAGCACGTATCACAAACCTTGAGATTCGCAAGAATATCCCCGGAGACTCTCTCCAGAGGCCATGGCCCTTCTATGGGCTTTTAGACTGTCTAACACCACCTTTAACCACTCATTCCTTTTAATCAATAATCGACAGTACATAGTATCGGCGGTGTATATGTCAGAACAAGAAATAACCATATAGACTGAGAATGTAGTCCATAGAGGATTTTTTGTCTAGCGATATTATGCGCCATATTTTGTGCGACAGCATACTATACAGTAGATACATGGTTGATGTATTATATCGAGGATTCCTAGATGTGTATAGCCTATTATGTGCTCAGAACAAATACAGTAGGATCAAAAGGAATCAGAACAGAATGAATTGGTTGATTGTTTAGAAAGGAAAAAGAAGCAAGGGGATGATGGTTGTCGAGGGCGATCCCATAGCCCGCAATGCTGATACTCGGCTATTACGACGCCAGAGTTCATGGGTGATTCAGAATTACATACACAAACATAAGAAAAGCGGTCTCCAGTGTGACCTATCAGTTGCTAGCGGTATGTCACTGCTCCACGCTCTGACATATTATTAGGTTTGGACCTGTCATCTCTCAAAGTCCTACAAAACATCGCCGTTAGGTAGGGGGTTGCTTTCGCTCTCCACTTATATGTTCTTTGAACGCTATTACAATAAGAGCTCTATGTATGTCGCTGCCACAGAATAGTATCTGTCCGTTCCATTATCCATAAATGATAAACGCGAACTCCTATCATTTGTCAGACAACTCCGGCCAACATGGGAACACGAAGCATTGTGCGCCATGTGGACCTCATACCCCAGTGTGCATCTACGAGCGTACCCCTTTGTCACATACGGAATTGCAGACCGGACGCAGCGGCCGGCGGCTATCCAAGATCTTTTCGGGTCCTGACAGTATGGGGTGACGCTTCCTGTAGCATTTTCTGCGTGCTGTCGCGATCCTCCATCTCGAGCCTCTTTATCAATAAGTCGTGGACTTTGTAATGATCCAGGTTCTAACATTCCCTTCACTCCTTCGACTGCTTCCAGCGTGGCGGGCAATGATCAACGCAAAGTTTGCGCCCCATGCCATGGGGAATGAAACACTATAGGGCATTTACGAGAAAGATATTCCTTGCAGAAGCCCTTTGGGGAAAAGAAGTACATAACAAGAGAAATTAAAAAAAGTTAAGTATTGTTTACTCCAAGGTGGCTCTACGTCCGCTGTCAAATGCACAATGCATTATTCCTTGAGAACTCCTGCCTTGTATAATCTGTATCAAGTCTGCGTGTCCACCGACGTGGCTGGAGATTCCTAGTTCTTGAAGGTGTCCATTTTTGGGGTAGTTGCTGCGCAGTGGGCTCTGGATATTTGTCTTGTCATTCGTGGGGACGATCAAAATAGTCAATTTTGGCAAGCAAATCACCCGGTATAATTTGTGGGCGCACTTCCGGTGATTTCCAATGAATTTCAGTTCTAGAAGCTAAACAAAGTGAAGTTGATACTACCGATCTTCGGAACCAAGCTTTCCGATTTAGAAGCAGAGTTTGGGGACAGGTAGGAGCATCTTTCTATTATCTATCTACTCTACTGATTCTGAAGCGAATCTATGAGCAGTATTGGCGACGTGACGCTATAATTCTTTTCATCTAGGGGCTGCAGGTTACCTGAGTTCCATAATAGCAACATGACCGAGACCAGCCGGCCCACCCACACCGCTTCGTTACCCTGGACGCTTTCGGATCCCAGATCGATAATACCTTGCATATACGGCCACACGTAATTAATTAAGCGATGCTGTTTCAGGTAGATGCACGATGTTCTGCAGATGGTAGAGTTAGTGTCTAGTAGCCGCATGTCTCCTGCAGACCAGCCATAGCTTTTCACCGCTATTTAATATTTTAATAATACTTAAACTCTATGATGGCTTATCAATGTGGTTATAAAGTCAAAGGGGTCATCTAACCCCGATTCATCCACCGCGTGGTATATGGCAAATCTGAAAGGGCACGTTGAATCACGAGGCATCAAGCTAAATCGACCATTGCCGTTTCACGCGGAAGGCAGCTGTGAATACGGATGACTTCTTCAGAGATTCCAATGTCTCTGACTGCTCAACTTGAGACAGTCAATATCACAGAACTCCGCAAGTTTTCCCGTGGCGCGTCTCAGAAGGTTGCTCAGGCAGCCAAAGAACAGGGGATTTTCTATCTCGACCTTACTGATGACAATTTGTCTTCGAATGGGAATATTGAGGGGGTAGCTGCTCTTTCTGAGGAAATATTCCAGCTGCCCTTCACAGAAAAAATGCAGTTTGACGTGGATAAATTAGGAGAGTGGAAAATCAATGGGTGAGCATAGCCATATCCTTACGCCCCCTTGCTTTGAGATATACACGCTAATTTGAAATAATCCAGATACAAGCCCGTCGGTCGAAACGTAGGCGGTCTGCCTGGTCAACGTGACGGCTTCGAGAGTTATGGGGTATGTCCACGTAACCATATGAGCCGGATACCTATACTTATCGAAAACCAGATACCGTGTCATGCCCTACTTAATCCTGTTACAGGGTTGTTTCCAAAGCCTAAACTACTTGATAAGCACCTAGAGCTTCTTCAACGATTCGCCTCTGCATGTAATGAAATTGTCGATATTATCTTGCGCACCCTGTCTGCAGCACTCGACCTTCCTCCAGGAGTCTCCTTTGAGATGTTCCAAAAGCATGATCATTCTGTGTTCAACATAATTCGCCTCCTCCGCTATGAAAGAAGCCGGAAGAGTGATGAAGCTTTCTGTGTGCCGCAAGCTGCGCATACAGATCTCGGCTCATTAACTTTATTATTCGCCACCAAACCAGGCCTACAAATATGTGGCGACGGACCAGAAGGCTGGCTCTACGTAATGCCACAGCCTAATTGTGCTATCGTCAATTTAGGTGACGCGATGTCAATCTGGACGAATGGGTATTTCAAGAGCGTGAAACATAGGGTGGCTTCTCCGCCAGGGCAAGGAATGTCAGAGCGATATAGTTTCGCATTTCTAGCACGGCCAGGCAAAGCGGCACCAATGTGTCCGCTATCAGCAATATCTCTCACTGTGGATCAAACGATGGATGGTAATATGTTACGATGTGAAGACTGGATGAAGGAGAAGTTTCGTCGATTAAGAGGCGAGAAAAAGATGAATCTTTGCCAGGAATCTGAAGACAACACATATACTGTCACTATGAGGTAGCTAGCCAACAAAAGGATCTAGCAACATCAAAACAGCTTGGAATCTTATTAATCCATTGCGACCTCTACCATCAATCAAGCAAGATCATGAGGCTCTTTGGTTCCTCTCGCCGAGCAATAGATCCAATTGGTAAGCCTATGAGATATCAAGACATAGTGTAGCTCTCCTACAACATGAAGTTAATGATCTATGTACTACAAATACAACAACACTTCGAAAGATAAGATGATTTCCTTGACAGATAGCACTCAAAGGCGGTTTAAAAAGGTGAGCACAACATAAAGATCCAACAGCCTCATGAATATGGCATACACCGCATTCAGATAATTCTGCTACCAGCCATTAAACACGCTATTCATGTAACGATCATATGATATAGAAGGTTCCATCGTTGGAGTAGTAAAAAACAGCGCTTATCTCTCTATCCCTTTCTCTTCCTTTCCTCCCTCAGATTCGATATTTTTGCTGAATAGACTATTCTTTTTGAGAAAAATGTTGATGTATTTCCCCTGTTCGTCCGGTTGGAAAACCAACCGTACGGCCAATATTCGGCTGTTACAAAGCTCGAGTTCACGTGTAACCAGGATGATATACAAGAACATAAGAAAAATAGGCACTTGATGAATAAGCTTGTTCATAGTAGTAAGTTACCACTCCACATATTTTGACAATAGCATCAGAACAACTCTGTCAGTAGATCCCTCACCATTGGTGGCTCCATCTGCTCGAGCTTGAGCGATTCGAATCTCTTCACGGATAGGTATTGGTGAAGAATGCCGCTTCCAATCATGCTTGTCAAGTCCTCCAATCCACCCCCATGTTCTAGCGCATCCAGTGAGGCCTCTAAGTTTTCGGGAAGCAGCTCTTGCGAGGACATGGCCGGCTTCTGAATTGCACCATTCGACCCGTTAACACCATTCGACCCACGCACATCATTCTGGCATGGCTCCTTCAAGTGAAGTGCAGTGTCTGGCCAACGCAAAGGCTCTTTCCTACTGATACCTAAGAGTCCAGCGCTCAACACCGTTGCCAGCGCCAAATACATGTTGGCAGTTGCATCCACACAGCGCAGCTCCCAGTGACCTGGTCTGATCTGGCGGATAGGCATCTCACGGTTTTCTGTGCCCCAGGCCACCTGGTTTCCACCAAGGTAAGGTTTCACTCGCTCGTAGGAGAGCCCATATGGCAAACAAACAGCACAAAGCATCGGCAACCTAGCCAGAATACCAGCTAGGAAGGACCGCTCCTCTATTGCCGTGTCCTTTGTGGAACGTATCGATATGTGAGTGTGCTGACCGATAGCTTGTCTGCGACTGGCAATTGGCCTGGGCGCCATAGTGACAACATATCCACGTCGGGCAAAACTTTCCTTCAGAGTATCATGGACCAGAACCAGCTCATCAACAGCATCAAGAGGTGACCGAGGACCGAGGGAAATTTCGTACTGACCACGGCGTCCTTCTGTTTGAATGGTCTGAACACCAACTCCGTGTCCAATCAAGGTTTGCACCGCATCTTCAACCAGGGGAAATCCGGGATCGCGCAGGCCATCTACGGCATAGCGACCAAGGCCCGTACTAAAGGGAATGATGGTTGGCACTTGCTCCTCGGAGGATGAGGAGCGATGCAAGATTTCAAATTCGACCTCAAATCCCACCAGGAACTCGACGTCAAACAGACTCATAGCAGCATGCACAACATTTGCCAGAGCATGGCGTGGGCATAAATCCCAGTTTTGCTGCGGGCTGCTTGGCCGCGTTTCCACGACGCCACACATTAGCACCGCATACCGTGGGCGGCCAGGCAGAAGGCGTAGACTGGTATAGTCCGGTAAAAGAAGGTGAGCGCCAGTCGGGTCAAGCCAAGGAACAAGATTATTATCCACGATGCAATGGAAGCCAATGGGTGGTACGTGAAGAGGCTTTTCAGCGGCTATCAAGCTGCGGAAATGCGAAAGGACCACAATTCGTGCTCGAAGAAGACCAGAGTAATCTTGCCATTGTAGCCGAACAAATTGAACAGTGGTATTCTGCTGAAGAAACTCATCCAAGCATTTTTGGGGGTCAATCTTCGGATTGACATGTAAACATGGGAAAAAGTGGGAGGGGTTTTCGTTGATTCTAGTCATGGTGTAAGCTTTCGTCCTTTTGCAAGTAACGCAACTCTAGATGCACTCGAGAAGTGAGTAAAGAAGAGGTATGACAAAAGATGCTATTAGGACTGAATTGTGTGGGGTTGGTAAATCGCTTGAATCCCAACTGTCTTTCTTCTCTTAGCTGAAATACCGGTGAGACATATATTTCTTCTAAATTCCGGCCCCGTGGACCTATCGGATCCTGATAGGCTGACCCATAGGTAATCTACAGCCGAACATCGCAGATACCCACAGTGGCTTGGGTGGTCATATTCCTTTTTTTATCTTGTTTTGAATACTTTATCCATACCAGAATCTAAACAATACACAGATCTGCATTCCGTTAGCTCGGAAAGATTTTTGACTTCGTCAACTCACATTACAACTTAATTTCCTGGGTTGAAAGCAAAAGCACGAGGTTATGGTAGAAGAGAGCGACTACACAGTATGCCCAAGAAAGTAGCCTTCTTCCATCAGGTGGGATTTAATCGAATTATTGCAGCAAGTCTTTGATTCCACTGAAATATTCACAGCATTCGATCATTCTAAGATATGGACCACGTTTTCGATAAGTAATCCAGACAGGAAAATTACTCGTTGGTCTTTTGGACTACTAATGCTGCTGGGGCCCTTCAAAACACAACCCGACAGGCAAGACAAGCGTTCACATTAAGATTTTAGGTCTGGTCTCGACTGTCTCTTTCAGTGCCTTCGCCTCAGGAAATGTGCTGAAGGCATTGATCAACATGAGCTCATACACAGGGAAGATCACTTCGTCATGTCGACCCTGCATGAATTACGGAACTATTTGCAAGATTTAGCGATCGTATTCCCCCTGTATTCACTCCAGGTTCGGGTTCACCGCCACGAGGTGGTAATGGAGCTAAGCAGTGCAAAAGTTACACCCGACTAGGTAACAACATTTGTGTAGAGGATACAGGGCCAAACATTCCTGCGGGCTTTGTCCAGTCCTTGTTCCCATTCAATTGGAGTGGAATCGATTCCTAAGTTAGGATCACTGTATGAGATTGACTGGTTCATAATTGAGTTTTCGATCAACAGGCAGGGGTCGTGCACAACAAGGTTATCCCGTCGACCAATTATATATAGCAGACCACTACCTTCTTGCGGCTAGAGTTTGCCAAAGCACACCTTGGTACCAGTTTCACAGGCGTGGACAAATTCCGGGAATACGGGTGGGTTCGGTAACTCAATCACCACGGTCTCCTCTGCCGGAGGATGGGAAAGGACGATACTTTTGCCCGTAACGATGCTGACCTGAACAATCTTCTCATTGATCACACAAGCACACACCCGAAGAAGCGAGAAATTTCCTGCTCATTGTCTTCGGGTACTTTTCCTCATGTTCAGCAAGTAAAACTGACACTAAGAAGTGTTAGATGAGCAGCTGATGATGATTGGTGAATGAGCTGAGGGTGCTATTCCCATACAATGAGGCCCTTCTCAGAAGTCTAAGCAAGCTATACCTCTGTGTTGAACTACAATCTATCTTAAAGGCCACCCCAATCCCAAATTTTTCGCGGCCCGAGGGACTCATTTGTGTCAAGATCCCAGAGCTCTGCAGACTCAACAATCTCTCCACTATCAGTTAGTTGGAAGTACTGCTCGATTGCTTTGGATCGGATGACCTTGTGTGAAGCTGTCCGGGGAATCTCTTCTTCATCACCCAGGACCCGTAATGCGGTCGGTAGCATATACACCGGAAGATCAACCGCGAGAGATTCTCTGAGGGACCGCAGCGAGGGCTGAAGTTCATTGGTACAGGCACACACTGAAATCGTGTTGGGCCTTGTGAATCGGACGAGAGCTGCCAATCGCGTACCATTATTTGGATCTGGGGCCCCGAGAATACAGCCTTCGCGAATGAAAGGAAGCTCTAGAAGACGCAATTCTACCTCAAGAATGGAAATTTGCCAGCCCCGAAACTTGGTAACTGCCGATTTTTGCGTTATTACTAAAGAAAATCTCGAACAGGGGAATAGTTCACTCACATTCGGTTGAGAGTCGGCCATCAAAGACATAATCGTCTCCCACAACATGGGCCACGTCCCCAGTTTTGTAGTACCCGTCCTCAGTAAACGCAGCTTTAGTAGCTGCCTCGTCTCCTAAATAACTGGCATCATTAAGCGCTTGGTTATATGACCTTGGAGTGATGAGAACAATTACTTACTGAGAAAATAGGTTGGCACTTTTGATTTGAAGCTCTCCATGGTTCCCATCGGAGAGCCGTACGGCAATCTTTGGGTGAGGTCTTCCAATACAACGCTGTATTTGGTTGAGTTCAGATAAAGCAGAAGAAGATAGAAGCAGGTAGTAGCACAGAATAGGATCACAAACCTCGATGTCGATGGGGGTATTAGGTGTGCACTTCAGCCCCAGCCCGCCAAGCTCTGTGGCTCCATACTCAACCGTAAGCGGTCTACGTAAGTTCTCTCTCCAAAATCGCAATAAGGAGCGATGTGGTATTCCTCCTCCAACGTGGGCAACGCGCAATTCCCGGGCTCCGGATATGTATACTTCCAGTTCGGAGAGCGGAAGGCTTTGGAGACGGGTCTGGAAATATTCCATCATCTGGCTCCAAAGACGTGGAGTTCCCGTTAAAATAGTAACACCGCCTTCGCGAAGACGTTCCCACAAAACCCCAGCATCAGGATTAATCACCTCAAGTCGCGCCCCGGCCAGAGGGAGCCTGATCATAGGCATCGCGCCTCCAATCCATAGATGATGTCGATGGGATAGACTAACCTGACTTGGTGAACTGCGGGTGTGAGCCTCGTAAAAAATGCTTCGGGAGTGCACTACGCCTTTGGGAGGTCCGCTGGTGCCGGAAGTAAATAATACCATACCGGGTCTGCGTGGAGGAATCGTGGCACTCTCGTCGATCCGGAGAGGAGACGCAGAGAGATCAAGTGATGGTGAAGCCTTGATGCAAATCTCGACCACTGTCCATTCAATACCCTGAGCAGTGGCATATCGTTGGACTTCACGTGCTAAAGGCAGGTATTCCCTACTCGTTAAAATCACTGCTGATTTGCATTGACGAGAAAAGTGCAGTGCCTCTTCTGGTAAAACTTTTGTCGCTATAAAATTCTTAGTTATACCGCCTCATGTCCGGTTCCACACTGAAACATAAGCTCATCAACTAGCATAGAGATTTGGAGGAACTTACATAACGGCACGAAAGCTCCCCCGACAGAGAGAATAGAAAACGCACCGACAACGAAATTATAATTGCCGTCGGTCAAAAGGAAAATGTACGGCTTATCGTCTCGGAGTAGGCTATTCCTATCCAAAATCGACTCCGGGATCGATTCTCGTAAACCTTTACGGGTTTGAAGCAAGTCCGCAAGAAATTGGCCGTAGTTTGCTTGGATGTCGGTTTGAGGATCTTGAACAATCACATGGCTGACTTCACCAGAGACTTTGAGAAGTTGCACGAAAATGGGCTCATTGGGAAATTCTCCCGGGCTGATCACTCCTGGCATCGCGTCCTCAAGGTTGGGGTGCTGAAATTTTCTGATACAAAAATTCGAAGTGTATAATAGTGGCTTCGCATCATGAAATCAAATCAACAATTTGATGAAGAAGAAGGGGGAATATAACAGGTATACGAAGTCCTGTGGCAACGGCGTTGCGCGTATGACCCCTTACATAAAGCAGCATTCAGGGGTCAAAGCGTAGAACCCAATTGACGGCGGGAATCAATGAGCTGTGATTGCGTCGTTACACAAAAAGAAAAGACAGTTATTTGGAACTAGCGGTCAGTAAGATTTACTGTACTGGGCACTGAAGGGCAGTTCCCACGTATCATGGTATTGTCGACTCCAGGTGTCAGTTCTTTTACTCTTACCTACTGCATTGTCCGAGTTTGTGGAATACCCATGATGAAAGCTACTAAAAGAATTGGATCTGCCGTACGATATCAAGTCTGGGGGCTCTATAGTGGGTCATATGCTATTTTCAAGAGTAATAGTAGATAGCGAGCGGTAACCTTAATACTTATGTAGGTTAGTGCTATATGCCAGTGGACATCCCTTCTTCTGTCTACCTGTACACCCCTGACTTCTTGAAATGAGATAGTTCAGTTCTCGTATTATAGAAAATAGATACATCACGGTTTAAGACTAAGGCTCACAGCATAAACCCCGAGAGTCCCTGATTTTGATCCAAGGATAGTCTCGAAAAAGACCGTAAAGGCCCTAATTATAATTCCTGAGTTGTTGCTATCTTTTCTTGTTCAGGACCTTTGCCCGAATGCTGAATTGTAATGATCTAGCGCGGTGACTTCGTGAAAATATTACGACTGTACGGGATTTGTAATGCAAATCCTATGATGTGTTTTTGGGTGTCCGACGTGACCGAGTGGCCGACGTGAGCTGGTAGAGTCAAGTAGTTCATTATCCTATAGAGCGAAGCTCCCAAAAAAACATACAACAGCCAGGATTCGCATGTGGTCACCCACCATACTACTAACTGGCCGGCGTGTGGCTTAAGTACGGCTGAGCGGACGGGAAGCCCTGTTTTCCACACCCTATGGTCGTATGTGCTGGACATTATCCTAAGGGCTCTCATGATCCTGGTATCGGGATTTATGCATTTAATCTAGGCTTCAGCCTTATTATACGTAGAAAAATTCTTAGTCTTAGCCCTAATATGTTATAATTGCGCAGGCGGAAACAAGTATAAGCTCTAAATTGATGTAGTAGAGACTTCAATACCTTGTTGGCCTTGCACAGTACAAAATTTGCATTCAGGCGGTTTAGCATCTGTAAAGCATATTTCTATTGCATTATACTGACCTTTACTAGACCCGTTCCCAGCCCGGGTTGTATCATTGAGGTATCGCACATGGGAATCAAGCTCCCAGGTAAATCAATGGAGCCCACGAAAGAGGATCCCTTGGCTTCTTTGTCCTGAGTGCTTGAACAGCTTCATGTAAAGCGAAAGCGATGTCACCCAGATGTCCGTCATCACGTATCTGCCGGCCCAGAATCTCGTAAAATTGCCGGCTGACTTCAACCGCAGCCTTATCAATCACTTCCCAAGTCGTTCCAATAACGTTGGGAAAGCCAGCCAACTGAAAAGCACTGGCGATGTGTATTGTTTCATCGAGAAGCTCGCTAGAAGAGTTTTCCGCTGTGGAACATGCGGAAAGATAGGCAATTCGAGCTCTATCATGATCTAAAGATGCCAAATCCCTCACGGTGAGCAAGGAAGGCTCATGTCCATCACTTTGTGGAGATAACTCAAGGGTGCTGGCTGAGGGGTTGATTGGATTTGATTGGCCGTGGCATGAGAAGTGAATCAAGTCGTGATTTGGAAGCTCTTGCAAGACACTTAGGCAGGTCGGTTCGTGGAGGATAGTGACGCACGTCTCATCTTGGAGGCCTTTCTCTATTGAAGCAAGCTCTGTAGTAGTTCTCAGAGTATTGCGACCTTCCTTATTGGGTGCGGAGATCATGAGGACTTTTAGATCTTGACCGCGGGAGACCAGGTCTGCTCTCCGCAGAACGAAGTCCAAGGCTTGCAAAGTAGGTGTATAACTGGAAATAGCGTAGTCCAATGCATTTGCTGCCTTGTTTCCAGCTGCATGCAACGGCAAAAGGCCCATATAGCCGCTTGTAACCCAAATAATGCGAGGAGGTGGTCCAGCAGGTCGCTGCGGTTTCAGGAAGCCCACTTGAGTCAAGACGGGTCCTACCGCAACATCCCACAGCCATGCCAATATTTCTTGGAGTTCTTGGTTTCGCTTGGGCTTGTCACTTGGCAGGCCCCGTGAAAGCCGATCTTCCCCGATCACTCGTTTGATCCTGGCCTCCAATGTATCATAATGTAGTTCATTTAGCTGCAATCTCTCAATCTGTTTGTCTGTTACGATAAGAGCATCACTTCGCAGCCGTGTGACATTAAATGCCACAATTGGCCCCGCGGATGCAAGTCCCATGTAGGTTCTGACAGATGGGGGTCTGAGGAAGTCATGAAATTCCGGGTCGTCACGAATGGTTGATTCCAGATTCTCTAGTTGCTGCAGAATCTCCATTCGCTGGGAGCCTGTGGCCGGGGAAAGGCTCTGTGATCGGCGATCCCTGATTCGAAGATCTTGAAAACTCCAAGATGTACTTGAAGAGAAGTTCAATAGAACCTGTCGCCGAAGTTGAATGTACTTGGAATGCAGCAAGGGCTTGCGCCTCTCAAGCTTAGAGATATCAGCCTTGAGGTCTATACTGAAGCCAGCAATAACTCCCCTTCCAAGCTCCAATGTCTGAAGTGCCTCTTCAGGGGCTCCGCCCGCCTGAAGAATTGCAGACGCAGCCTGAGAGGTGAAGTTGGTGATATTCTTCAAAGCGTGTTGCTGATCATCGCGACTCAACCAACGTGGAACGAACAATGGAAAAAGTTTTGTAACCTCTCTTGCGACATGAACCGCGCAATCCCACTTATTTGTAGTAGTATAAATGTCAAAGGCATTTCGCCCTGCTGTGATGCGATCGAGGGGAGGCGAATTCAGATGACCAAGAGCTTCGACGAAAAGATCAAGCGGGCTTTGAGATTCAAACTCAGGTTTCCCAGCCTGAATCATCACTTTTGCCATGTTGATGAGATACATGGCCCGATTGGGGTGGTCTTTTGATGTCGTACTTAAAGCTCTTGAGTGAAGTTCTATGGCTTCCTGGATATGGGATGATACCCCCGTCGCTGGGTAAAGACATAACAAGTCACCAAGGTTACTCAAGAAGCTGTTCCGCTCAGAGTGGTCTTCTGGAACTTCTTGGAGAGCCTCACGACTGAGTTCAACTGCGCGCTGTAGGTCTCGCTGCGAATTCCTCGCTTTGAAGCGGGATTCATGAAGCGTGCTTAGACCCTGCAGAGCGTTGGCCCTTGTCATCCCATGATCATGAATCAGTGCTAGCGCTTCACTTGTCAGATCAATGGCCTTGTCCAAGTCGGAAACGTCATTTGATCTGTCAGAATAATAGCCCTGCCGAATACCCAGGGCATAAAGGCAAGCGGTTTGTCCTGGCTGATTTGCTGGTGTGTTTTCCTTGCATTCCTGCATCACATATATTGATTGCTGTAGATCAACCAGAGATCCTAGCTGTTCGTATCTTTGTAAGAGCTGCTGACTCAGAACGTATTGTAAATTTGCCGTGGCATTTTGGTCGTTTGCAATAGAATCAAGGCCTTGCTTGCTGATCGCAATCGAACGTTCCAGGGATGATAATGATCCCAGGGCCTTAAAATGGGCCTCCAGAGAAATGCTCAGCTGCAATAGCGAGTAGGGGCGCCGGGGATGGTCTACATCTGCCAGATTTACGGCCTTCTCAGCAAAATGAATGGATGCTTGTACGTCTTCAAGTGCTCCCGTCATCTCGTGTCGATCGGAAAAATGGCGACTGAGCTTGCATAAATCTTCTTGTTTCGTGAGACTCTCGGCGTACCCGTCGTCCAATATCGATTGGGTGAGGGCTACTCCGATCGCGAGATCATTGCTCAGACCCAGATGGAGATATCTTTTATGCAAAAGATTGCTAAGGTCAATAGTTATATCGAGGAGATGTAAGTCATCGGCCATTATTGCTTGTCGTGCCCTTTCCATCATCTCGATCGCATCTTGCAGGTCATCGATGTTTCCGAAGAACTCGTATCGGCTGGAGAGTCGATGGGCCATGTGGAAATAGTAAAGTGCGCGCTCCTCCTCACTTTGAGTAGAAGTACGGTTGAGAACATCGCGGGCCATCCCAATAGCTCGGTTCAAGTCGGAAGCATCTTCTCGGAGCTGGGACTTGGATTCCAATAAATCTCCTAAGTGATCTAGAGCCATTACCAGTTTGGATTGGTTGTTATTGAGAGCGGATATAGCACTTTCTTCGAGGCTGATTGCTTCTTCAAGATCGGTTACGCTGTCAAAATGGCTAAATCGATCATTGAGAAGCGTGCTGAGGTTATGGCGTCGGTCTGCCAATAATTGTTCGTCTTCCTCAGAAGTTGCTTCTACCACTTCCCTCGCGAGATCTATGGCGCACCCGAGATCCTCCGGGTGCTCCGTCATTTCGAAACGGCTTCCAAGCGCATCGCTCAGAAGGATGCCATATACTGCATCCTCTTCTGGATCCTGATTGGTCTCAAATGCTTCTGATGCATAGCCAACGGCGTTTTCTATGTCTTCGACATCTCGCAATCTGTGGAACCTGGCGGTATATAATCTTGCTAAATTGCCCGATAGCATGGCTCTCTTGAAATGACCAGCTGACGAAAGTTCTAGGGTTCGTTCCCCCAGTTGGATTGCAGGGCTCAAGTCACTCAAAAAATGCAATCTGGTGAAGCGAAAGTGGAAAATCTTGCTGAGTGTATGCAAACACATGATTCGCGATTCGACGGAGACATTAAGACCCAAGGCATGATTACCGACAAAGATTGCGCGATCAAAATCCATTTCATTCCCAGTCTCTAGGTAACGATCCCCAAGCGTTCTAGCCAGAACTTGCAGGACGACAGCATATTTCGAAGGCTCTCGTGATGTGGTCACTGCTTCTTCGAGGTGAACAATGCCCTCAGAAAGATCCTGAATCTCATGACAATGCTCAAATCGCAAGGAATGACATATTGCTAGATGGTGAAGGCAGTCCACGCGTTCAGAAGGCAGTGTGCTTGCCAAGGCTTCACGGGCGAGAGTGATTGATCGATCAATAGCACCAATCTCTTTAATTTCAAGAAATTCAAAGAATAGAGCCTTTGCTTGTGTCATCAATGGCCGATCGATTTCATCCTCGTGATTGTCCATATTGAGAATATGTCGAGGATTTTACAGGAAGTTTGAAGTGCTTCCTTGAGATTTGCAACAACGAGCGAGCTGCGCCTCGCATCTTCAGGTGTAGGAAAAAATTCGAACTTTTGCGCAAAACGAGGGGCTGGAGCGGACAATTGGGGCCATGCACTAATTGAAGCTTGATAGGGGTATGGTGTTGGTCATTGGTTATCCATCGCGTTAGCGTTCTAAATATGCAAGTACTATACTGTGCTAAGAACGCGATAGGAACGCCACGAACAGGGTCGCAGCGGTCTCCATTGGAGCTAAAATCCTCTCAATCTCGGTCTTATTGCCCATGTTGGTAAGACCTCTTCACAGTTCACGGACCTTTGCCCTCCCAGCTCTTAGGCTGTAAGCATGCCTATGCATTTATAGATCGGGTGCCCGTCTCTTGATCTTCAGACTCAATTGATCTCCCATTCCCCGGCCGAATCTGAACCCCATTCGTCACCTCACAAGCCACTGTAGGATTTAGTCTGAGAGTCGTACGTATTTGTCGATCTAATTTCTCTCTTTCTTTCATCTTTGACACTCTAGATAGTTCTGTCCGATCGGAGTTCGCCATTGATATGTCTCCAAAGATTGTTTTGGGGCGCTCCTTTTTCTCCAAAGATGACGTGAAGCTCGCAAGCTTGATCCCCAACATCCTAGACATTGAGCTGGATGCCCTGGAGAGCGTGCTACCGCTTCAAGAAGGTGATTATACGGTTAGAAAGGTGGACGACAACCTTGCCATATTCAAGGCAGAGAAGGACCGGGACTTTCGAGCATTTTTGTCCAAGTTATTGAATTTGATCTCTCAAAGTTCAACACAAGCAGGTCTTCAATTGACGGCACGATCAGGGCATATTTATAATATCAAGCAGCCCTCGGCCTGGTTTCTTCGACTCTGTGAGACAACCGAGGTGCGAGAATGGCTACAGGAACAGATAGAAGATGGAAATGATGTTCATTTCGTGGTTGGCTTCCACACTCTGTTCGATGCTTCTACAGCAGAGGGCTTGGCCTTGACCTCAGCTCATGGTGGTAACTTTTCAGTTGCCCTGGGTGAACTATCTGGTTTACCCGTCAATGGCTTCACAAATGTCGGGGCGTCAGCAAGCTTTACAAACAACCAGGCTGCTACACATCGTTACATTGCCCCCGGAGAGCAGATTTTTGCTGTTCGGCTGAAGAGGGTGGTGTTTCGGTTTTTGAAACCGCGCGATGTAGATAATGCTCATTTGGAAAAGACAAGTCGATGGAGAATGTCTTCAGACACCCGAAGTGCTGGTGACGAATTTTCGGAGATTGTGGAGGCTTCTTTGGATGGCTTCTCGTCTGCGGGTGAATATGACGAAAGGGATGGGAATGATGATGCCGAACTGACGGATGATAATACCGAGTACTATGTGCTGGATGAATAGGATCTTTCTTAAGCTTTCTTGTTGACCAGTATACACTTTGTAAAGGCAGACTACTGCGCAGGCTGTATATATATTCTGCTTGAGGGGAAGGAAGATACTAAGTGATAAGAGTTGGGAAAGTCGTGTAGGTATGCAGCACCGAGGTAAAAAGCCTCATCAAAATCGAATTGAAGATGGAGAATGGTAAAAGAAGATGGTCTACTTCCTTCAGTAATCGAGGAATGTTGAGTAAGGTTGGTAGCTTCATGTTTGCACCAACCCAAGCGGACCCGGTCAAACCCCCCGGCCATGATACGATAAAGATACCGACCATGGCCTAGGGGCCTGTCCCTGTTGCGCTCGTAGCGCAGCCTATATATGCAAAAGCACGGTCTTCTCGCGCGTGCGCTGCAATGTGTGTCAGTGTGATGAGTCAAGACAACGTAGATGGTAGTACGAGGGTATTAGTTCCTCAATTCTCACGCTGCCCGAAGCGATGGACCGTTAAGCAACCCGATGGGGCAGGTCATTGTACCAAGCTGGGTAGGTACCAGCTGCAGCGGCGCTTATGACCGCAGCTGCGGAGGCAGGGTTCGTCATATCATATTCCCAAGAAGGTGGGACAGCGGTTTCTAGGACACTTATGTAATCGCTGGGGATTGAGGGGACAGAGATGCTGTCCAAAGTGTCTGAATTGTCCGAAGAGTCGGAGGAGCTGGAAGACTCAGAGTACGCAAGGGATGTAGCTTGGGGCATGGCCAGAGCCGGAGCGAGAAGAAGGAAAAGAGTAGCGAATGCCTTGGGCTGCATTTTGAAGGATTGATGTATAGGGATATCTCGTTGACGTTTATAAATGAGTGACAGTAAAAAATGAAAGAATAAGTATGCTTGAAAGTATTGCAGCGCTGGGAATAGAAATGCTGTAGGTAGTTTGGTGTTAAGCTTATGGCTTCTATATCAAACCGGTGTCTAAGAATATTAATCAAAGGATAATTTTGACCAGTCCACTGGAACAAATAGCACTGTAACTATATCGGCAAAAATCACCGCCAAGAAATTAGGTGACCCTTTGCAGGTCATTCAGGGTCAGTGGGATTTTAGCCTACGAATTTACCCTGGTGACTCAGCACCGGGGCTCATTAATTACTCAATCAAGTGATTTTTTGTCGGACCCAGCCCCTGTGCCCGACACGCTTGGGCCGAATGAGGGCTCTCTTCGCCTCCCGCATTGAACGTTATCGCTCAGGCTGGTCTAAATCCGGCGCACACTAGAAGAAAGGGCCGTGATTCCGCAGTGTGGGTTTTTCTTGTTCACTTTGCTTGGACAAGCAATGTGTCCCGCGCTGCCAAAGCCGCGTGCCAAATTCATATTTACATTTTGATATCGAATAAAATAAAGCAATGCTAGTATGTTGTTGGAAAACAATAATCGAGAATTCCAGACAATGTCACCACCCCTCCTTCCTCCTTAAAAAGCCGAAGCGGTCTTTGAAGAGACACTTTCGCTAAAAGTGCACGGGGCCATAATAACGAGGCTGAGTGGTATAATTCCTAGCGTGTAGTTTACAGCTTAGTCAAAGCTTATAGCGCTTTGTGGCTGGTTGTGGTTCTGGGCGTGTTATTAGTGCAGACGAACAGGAGGAAATGGGGTCCCTGAAAATTCAATAGACCTTCTTCACCTGAGAAGGGAGAAGAAAGGAATTCTGAGTGTTCAGTCAGGTTTATTGACGACTCTAAATCTTTGACATCCGAGGCTTCGACAGTATTGCGACATAAGAGGTCCGCGGCAAGGCAGGGTTTGGCCGGGAATGCGTTTCTCTTATAACATGAAAGTGTGAGATCGCATGGTTGCTTAGGAATCCAATCTCTACCAGCACACATATGCTCCAATAGAATAACAATATTAGTCTACATTGAGAATAGATGTCCTTAAGATTGCATACGCGGCCCACTTGGATCCACGGGAGGGAAAAACAAGAGAACAAAGAGTAGATACACCTCCTAGAGCTCACTGAGGATATTCCATTCCTGCGGGAGCTTGATAGCCCGACTGGAGACGAGCATACTGCACCTCCACCTCCTTCTCCTGCTGCATAAGCGAACAGCACCCACAAGCGCAGGCCACTATACAGTCGTTGCAGCTGGATCCACCAATGCCGAAGCGTTGGCGGATCTCGCGGCGTTTCATCATCAAAGGAACCCAGCACAGATGGCAGTAGTGGGTTGCAGCGTAGAGACAGCACTAGATAGAGTTATTTGTTAATTTTCATAAGGTCAAGGCCAGGGTTAGTGAAGGTAGAGGCAATTAAACACGCACATCACTATTGAGATAGCTGTATTCTTTGAGTGCAGGGTCTCGGAGGCGAGAGGAGGTTTTCCCTAGAAGCGCACACGGACAAAAAATTGCAAGTAGGCCTAGATGTTTTGTTAGTCAAGTTTCAGAGGGCTCTGGGCAGCGGTCAGTAAGAGAAGCTTACAAATTTTTGTCGGGGAGAAGCATTCCCAGAAGGAACTAGACCACTGGCCGGCATTTTGAGAGTCTGTCTTTTGCGCTTCCATTGATATATAGTGATGTTTGCTTTTGCTTCATAAGTAAAATAAAGGTAGGGGAGAACGAGATGTTTAATGGACTTTCCCTTCCGTGCTTCAGGGAATTAGTTATGCCCGCTCCGACGTCGCAATATATCAGACGCGAGAATTGCCCCTTTAATAGTCAAGACCAAAGGATGGGTTTAGGGAGGCAACGCAGTCAAGTTATCCAGAAACCAATGAAATCTCGCCATTGTTGTCGAGACTGTCTAGTCAGGGGCTAAGTCTTGCATCCAAAGCCTCACCAAAGCGCCATACCATTTTTAGGAGTGCACAGACCCTCAGTCCTGCTAAGCGAGGAACCAGGCGATTGAACTGATTTTTAGCGTGAGCTCCTTACTCTGGGAGAAAAGATCCGACCACATCAAAAGCTGTCCTGGTGGCGGTTGAAACGATATCATCTTCGTCAAATCGGTGAGTCAGTTTTGCGTTTGGGAAAACAACAACTCAAGCGCCAAATTGAATTTTTGAAATATCTCAGGAACCAGACCAGTTAGCGAGTAACAGACAACGGCAAATTTCATCTAACTCCCTGCGCTACACTTCGATACTGGCATTGACCCTGTCAGGCCAGTATCATGGTGGTGCGCGCGCAAAAAGGTGTTAGGCCGGTCCCGTCAGGGGCTTCCGGAGGCCCGAAAACTTTGCTATCGAACCGCGAGCGCGTACTGAACGCTAACCACGCTACGCACGACCTGCTAAGAGAGCTCAGTAAGGTTTAGAAAGATACAAGACTACCCGCTAAGGTCGTCAGCTTCCTCCGATAGGTAGAAGGCCTAACGAAGGACCTCCTATCGACGCCCCTGACCGACTAGTAGCAGGAGCTTAGCGCCCTACGCTAGGAAATCTAAGCCGTTAAAGTAGCGGTCGAACTACTACCTAAAAAGAAGCGCCGCCGGGATACGGCTAAACCCTTTCCTATTTAGAGAAGGCCGCTAGGCGTAGTTCGGGGTTAGTTAAGGAATAGAGACTCGACTAACTATACCCGACTTAGCGCCTCGCGTAAGTACCTTCTACTAACCGACTATAGAAGAAATAGCTATTAACTTCTAACCTAAGGCTATACTAGAGACCGACGCTAACGCTAGCGCTAGAGCTAGTACCGCTAGCGCCTAATCGAAGGCCGATAAGACGAGGGCGAGAACTACTAAAACGAGAGAGGCGAGAGCGAGGAAGCTAGAGGAGGTATAATCGAATAAAAGAGCTATAAAGCTAGAGGAGGCGAATTAGGCCTATACTAAATTAGACCTAAGCTCGGCTATCGACGAAGTTAATATAGAAAGCCTTAAAAAATAGCTAAGTAGAGTATAGGAACTTACCTTATCCTCCCTCTCTAAGATCTAGAGCGATATCGACTTCTAACTATTATTACTACTAGAGAAAGGGCTTCTAGAAGCTAAACGGGAACTATCGAGAAAGCGAAATAGCTATATAGTAAAGACGTTACCTCTATTAACTTTTAGCTATAGTAAAAGAGAACGTATAGTAGGAAATCATCCTAAACGAAATACTAATAAATTAGTATAACTATAAATTAATATATAGAGGGAATAATAATAGACTAAGGTAAAGAGAACTTAAAATATACTAATATAACGCGAATAGATCGAAGGATATAGTAATAGCGTAATTCCTAAAAGACCTAGAGATTATTAGCGCCGATATTATCGCTATCTAAAAGCTATAAGAGAATATATTTAAGGACGATACTTACTATCTAATAAAGCTTACGTATAAGCTACTCTATCTACTATCGTTAGAGACTAGAAGATAGGTATAAATATACCTATTTATAATAAAAAAGATAGCGGGGTAGATATACGTAGTATATTTAAGAGACTATTAGGAAGTAAGGATTAAAACGGTATTAATAGAGCTTAGACTATTTAATATATATAACGAGTAATAGCGATAGGGAGCGCTTAATTAGCTAGAAGGGCTATTACCGCCGGTATAGGAGTAAAAAGGGATCTTATACCTAGTTATAGGAGACTTTAACCTATACTACCTAGCCTAGGGAGGTACCGAAGCTATCTACGATACTAAATCGGAAGATCTCCTAGACCTAATAGATCTAGCGGGGCTTAACCTTTAGCTACGGCCCGGTATAATTACTAGAGACTAGATAGGTAGCTAGATAACGATTAATCTAGTTCTTACGTCGTATAACCTACGAGAGTGTATAATTTAATATAAGGTTAATATAGTAGTCTACGCTAACTCCGACTACCTCCCGATCCTTACTATACTCGAAATAGAGATCCTAGAGGCGTAGCCTATCCGAAGATACTAGTAAAAGGCTATAGACGTAGATAAATTTATTAGCTTCGTATTATAGAATCTCTAGAATAAATATTAGATAAGAGCGGGCGAGCTTCCCGACGACTAAATTACCCTATAATATATCGATAACGCGACTATATACCTCCTCGATATTATCTAATAAGGGATCTAAGAATTAACGCCGTAGGTACGGCTATCGGAGCGAGCCCGCTAAGGTTAGACCCCCGAGTATAAAGACGCGATTAAAATAGCGTAGCGAGAGCGTAGGAGATAGAAATGAATAGGAGAGGAGGACGACTAGTAAATTTATATGTTAGTAAGAAACGCGAAGTAGAAAATAATTAAGAAAGCCCTCTATAAGGGCTTCTACGATTAGGTAAGGTAGACCGTCGACGACGGGAGATAGAGGGGTATCTAGAAAGTATTAAAATAGGTACGTATACGTAACTAGTTAGTTAGTAGTAGTATCCTAGCGCTAAAGACACCGATAGGCCTCGCGGAAATAGAAAGAGAGAAGGTCTACTTACTTCGGTAAGTCTTCTTCCTAGAACCTCCGTAGGCCGACCTTATAGATATCGACTAAGTACCCTTACTAAAGCTAATCGTATTTCTACTAATTAGTAGGTAAGAAGTCCTCGACGCTATTAAGCGTATACCGCCGGATAAAGCGCTAGACGAGGATATAATCCCTAACTACGTATAGAAGGTCTTAGCTACTAACTACGATAAGTTTACCGTAACAGTAACCTCGATCTTCGATATATATATATAAATAGGCTATAATCCTTGTTACTTCTAAGCGTTAATTACGATTACACTCTAAAAAGATAGCCTAAGAGACTTCCGCTAACCGAAGTCCTACCGACTAGTCGCCCTACTAAATATAATTAGTAAGATCCTCGAGTTAATTATCGCTACGTAGATCGTATACGCCGTAGAGGAGTACTAAATACTACTAAAGATATATATAGGAGGAAAGAAAGGAATTAGTATAGACTACGCTATCTAGCTAATACTCGATAGGGTTTATAGGGTATAGAGAAATAGAAAGAAGGTTAGTATAATCTTACTCGATATAGCCGGCGTATATAATAATATATCCTACTAACGCCTACTCGATAACCTACGTAAGCTAGGCCTTAGTTACTTCGTACTATAGATCGCCTCGTTTCTTACGGGAAGATCGATACGTATTAGATTATCAAACTTCCTATCCGATAGCTTTCCTACGCTAATAGGGATCCCTTAGGGCTTACTACTATCCCTTATCCTATTTCTACTATTTAATACGCCGCTAGTTTTAGCGTATAATATATATATATATAGTAGGATAGGTAGGGCCTATAGTTATAGATAGATAGACGACGTAGTAACTATAGTAGAATTAGACTTATATTACGATAATATCTAGCTACTAAATAAAGTACTCGATAAGGCTAACTAGTAGGCTAAATAATATATAGCAAGATTTATACTAGAGAAGTTCGAACTAATCTATTTTATAAATCCTAACGTAGCCTAGGAGGAGGCTATATCCGATAACGATAGCGACCGTAATCGTATTATATACCCCGACGACCCCGATTTCGATATATACGACCCTATATATATCTTCCCCGAAGGATACGACCGGATACCGATAATAAGGGAGGACCTTACGATCTAACTAGTTAACTCGGTAAAATACCTTAGAGTCTAGCTCGATAAGTAGCTTAAATTCGATATATACCGATAGAAGCTTCTCGCTAAAGCGAATAGTAGCCTAGAAGCACTCCGGGCGATAATAGGATTAATATAGAGAGCCTTATTACTAGCTATATAACGAGTCTACTAAGTAGTAGTCGTCCCGTAGATACTATATAGTCTCTCGGTATAGTACTACCCCCTCGCGAAGGCCCTACTAGCGTAGGAGATAAAACGGACGGTTACCTAGTTTACTATAATCTAATAATACGTAGTAATTTTAGTTAGCGGTATATTTAAGTCTATAAACGCTATAGTATTTAATATTAAACTCTATCTACTACTAATTAAGCTATAGATAGAGTAGATAATCTAGGAAATAGCGATAAGGATATAAATAGGCCTAAGATAGATATAACCTAAATACCTAGGCTTATATAGGTAATATAGGCCTAGGGAATAGAAGAGGGGCGGATAGAGCCCTCTAGAAGCCCTTAGATAGAAAGAAAGGGATATCCTAAACTAATAAAATAAGTAGGAGACTCGAAGAGCGTTTATTCTAGCGCTATAGAAGGTACGGATCCTATACGTAATTAAAGATATAGAGGCTATATAAGCCTCGTACGATAGGATAGAGACGGAGTCTCTCCTCTAGGACTATACCTAAATAGTCCTATATTTTACCGACGGGAGCGGATATAAGGATATAGTAGGAGCTACCGCCGTTACCCCGTATAAGGGTATCTTCGAACGGCGGTACCTAAGTACTATTGACTAAATAGGGATATATATTACTAAGCTTAAAAGTATTAAAATAGCGCTTACTAAGCGTAATTAAGGGACCTAATAGGGTCCGGAAGCGAAGCTAACGAGAATAGTTATATTCTCTAATTACTAGGCCGCTATCTAGGCGGTATAAAACCCTAAGCGACTATTAGGCTAGTTCGTACTTATATAAATTTACGATTACGTCCGAGCCCTCCGATCGCTAACGCCTACGTCTAATACGATTCCTATCGAGATCCGCTAGATCCCTATATACGTAGGCGTTCCTAGTAATAAGACTATAGATGTTAAAGTAAAGTTAGCGGCGATAGGAGGTATAGAGAGCGGGACGGATTAACGTCTAGCCGGTAGTTCGGTAAATACCTCCTCTCCCCCTTCCGGCGGCTAGATCTTACTAGCGTTAATAGCTAAGTGTTATATATAGCGATAAATTAAAGAGAGATAGGTATAAGAATAAGTAAATAAATTAACTAGAAAGCTAAACCGACGACTAGTAAAGACGCTAGATAAAAAGGTACTATAGCTATTCGAGTCCCTCTCGAAGCTGTATATATCTATCCTAGTTTAAATACGCTCTATATATATTACACTAAACTACTTCCTATTTAAAATTAAAATAATCGAATCAGATAAGTACTACTATAATAAAAGATCTTAGACGCCGAGATATATCCTACTATAGTACCCGTTATACGCTAATCTAAGGAAGACTATATTAGATAATATCCGGGTATAGACAGATCTTAATATAACCGACTACGATGCGATCGTATCGGACTCGTAAGCTACCTACTACGTAGCTAAATTTATATTATAAATAGGCCTTTTAGGGTAGTTCCGGTACGTAGAGCTAGAGCCCTTAGAAAGCGAAGATAATAAATCGCTAGGATAACCTAGTAAGGATATAGGTAGTAAAGACGATAGATATACGGAACGCTAAAGCTACGGCCTACCGAGAGGTCGTAGGAGACTATATCGCTACGTCGATAACTAGTAGAAAATATCAGATACCGATACCGAACTACGATTAATAGAGAACGAAGTAGGAGGATAAGACCGCTATAGTAGGATAGCAGGAGATATAGAGATACAGGGGACGCAGGCGGCTATAATAAGGGGGATCTGAGGGCCGTAGGGCACATACGATAGGCGTATAGTTACCGTTATTATATAGGTTCTAGGGGGTTTACTATAGCAAAACGCCGTTTTCTTATGTATCTACTGCTTCATGCGTATAGGCTGGCGTTCGGAATGCTCTTACTTCCGCCGGAGGAAGCGCCTGCATAGCCATACGACACTAGTTAGGCTGCATCAGGTTAATAGAGTATCATCATCATCATCATCATCATCATCAGTTTTGCGTTTGGTACGATCACTTGCTGATACAATGTCATCAGGTCTCACCGGCCAGTGGCGAGCATTTTCTCGTCGAAGTCCTCTGGTCTTTACATCTGCTAGAAGACGCCAGGGAAAAGTAAATTATCTTCGTCCATTTCATTTGACATCCCCTCTTGTTTACTCACTCACCGCTCTAAATACTAGAAAATGTAGGTCATGGCCCTTATGGTAAGCTCTTCGTTCTTCCTACTCAGATATCCTAGGGGGGTCTGGGAGAATGAAGAACCGGAGTTTTTGTGAGATTGAATTCACTCTCCAGTACTGAAAAAAGAGGAAGGGACTTTGAAATCCGCGCTCTGCTACCCATACTCTTCCCGCTATTTGTTCTCTACAATTCATCCCCAAATGTTCCTACCCTCTCTCTACATACCAATTCCCCGTCTACCACAATGATATCACACTCCTATCTCCGCTCTTACCCTTTAAATAACGCCCCTCATCACGCATTTGCTTATCGCCCCAAGACCGCCCCATCTAGAGAGGGCCAATAGAAATGTGTCTTGCATAGCCTCACCACTCTGGCACCTGACCCCTACGTCACCGATGGGGAAGTGAGAAATATCCCTCTTCCACGTCGTGTCCACAGCCCCTACTCTCTCTTGGAACAAGTCACACTGACCAAGATTGCTAAATTAGCATACAGCATTGGACCTGTTTCCGATCAAAATGAGCCGACATAAGTCACGGAATCCAGACCGAACAACCTGCTACACTGTAGCATCGATCTGTCCCCTTCGAGGAGATTTGTAGACTTGCTACACTCGCAGGCCGCTAATGTTAACGTGGTAACCAGAAATGGAAGGACTGCCCAGACTATTGCATCCAGGAAAGGCTATGAACTAAGTGCTTGCCACCTAATTGATCATGGTGCTAATGTCAACTTCCATCTGTCTGCTGGGGTTTGCGATAATAGCGCCCTTCGGTGGCTTTGATTGGTGGATATGAGCAAATAGCCTCAATCCTACCCGATCATGGGGCTTGAGAATTAGTTCGGAGCTCATTAGCGAATATCTGGTTATATGTAGCCAACGTGGTACCAGTAAGCCTCATGCTGAGACGCAAGCCAGGCATTGTGGTGTTAAATTATTGGGCGTGATGATCGACACATGTTGAAATCTTCCAGCCCCCGGAGCCGCTGCAAAACGAATGATTAAGGGAGACTTGCACATCAGATTTATCCCGCGCCCAATACATGCAGTGACAACTGGCTCAATAGTCCGTAAGTATTTCTTGTTCCAGTGTACTTATATCTCATCTCAGACCCGGATTCAGGATTGTCTTGTGAACTAACACCTACTTCGCCACTCTCTCTATTTTGCTTGCCGCTATCCACCAAGATGAATATCTGTTTTGTTTGTGCACAGATGGCTTCAAGGAGACCAGGAACAAATCGCAACTTGATGTCCGCTCCAGATTCTCAAATTACAACGAGCTGCCTCCTTTACGCCCGTGCCTTCTGTGAAGCACATAAATCAAAAGAGCATGACGAAGCTGTGTGCGAAATCAATCACCCATACTAAGCATCGAAATATCGGCGGAATCTTTTCTACTCTTGAAGAGCGCAAGAGGCAGCTTGAAGAGACGCAGCGATGATTCGGAGGGTCGGTAGTCAGAACAAACTAAATTGAAGCAAGTCTACTAATAATCAACGAAGATACTATTCATTTTCAATCCAACATATCGAAGTTTGTGGAGTGGTAGTGACTTACCATCAATAACGGGCTGATTCCTTAGTTGCCTACGTTTCTTAAGTTAACTATGGTGTTATAACTATTCAATTATAGATTACGCATGAACTCAGGCATTGCAACAGCCAAGTATCAGTCATACTGGCCATGGGATCCACTTAACCACGATCCTATTTATTTTTACTATCGCCATTCATTAATCTGAATCATGGTCCCATTGGACATCTTCGGTAAGAGTCTAGTGAATAGCACTGGATCCGATATTTGAACCAGCTAGTTCCTAATCGCAAGCAATTGAAAACGTATAACGGTGCATAGATACACGTGACAGACCATACAGGACTAACTGCGCTCTTCTGCGGATTTGACCGTACCTTTCCCATATGACGAATTTCGACACATGGTCACCGAGACAGCTAAACCAGCCTGACAAGACGAGTAGCTAGGGCAGCTGATCCGAAAGACGATGTAGGACGGATAGCTGAGGATTCAGGGAGTTGATGGACTACCACCCAACAAATGAAGTTATGATTTGAATTATGAGGAGTTTGGAATGCGGAATGAGAGTGAGGGTGTTCATTACATTCAGTTACGTGATGCTTTGCAGCTTGTATTCACGTGAGCTTTATCTCACAAATGGCTTCTTGCAGACTTAGCAGTCATGGACCTTTCAAGTGTTATGTTCGGGTTTCACTTCCTTCTATTGGCTGCCCATGCCTGTCATGCATACTTGGCACCACTTGTTCTCTGGAAAGTTCTTTAACTCTGCCTTTTCATCATCTTAGAGCCGATACGGGCGCATCCGTCCTCGAGTACAATACAGCCAGACCGGGATTACTGGGGAATGGCGACGATTAGACAAGCGTGTTTCGAGCTGGGATTCGGGAATGAATGTCTAAGAGGGGGGTAAATACGATTTCAAATAATACTGTAACGCCAGTAAAACACCTCCCAGTCCTTTTCTTTTCCCAAAAACAAAAATCCCCAATATCAGCCTCAACACCAAAGCTGAAAAATGAACAAGAAAGATCAAACAATCACACGAGACGAGAAGTTAGGAAGAAAGAAGGAAAGAAAGAAAGAATGCAATCATCTACCGCGATCGCAGAACCCGCCATTGATACCACTGGTACCACCGGCGGCCCATGGAAGCCTTCTCGTCCATAGAATCTTCGGACCGGCGCCGGATCTTCTTCTCCTCTTTCCGGGTGTTCTTCTCGGATTTGAATCCGCGCGTCGCGTGGGAATTGCAGAAGCAGTGCATATGGACGGTCTCGACGCTGACACCGGGGCAGCTGTTGTGACGGTGGCGGGAGCAGACACTGTTGCCCGCGTCCTCTTCGCAATGGCACCACTCGTAGAGAGTGTAATATTGACGGCACATGGTGAATTGGAATGTGTGCACGCTCGGTGCTTTGAACAGTTATTTTCGGGAATAGATGCGCGGTTTCTTCGGGGTCCACTTGAATACCACCAGCAAGGAAGAATGGTGGGGGTTGGTGAGAGCTCGGTGTAGCGCAGTGTATAGCCGAGCGGTCCCGTAGCTGTCAGGCGTTTTTTTGGTCTCTGATGAGGTTGGCAGAGGCCAATTGAGACAATTGGTGGTAGCCGGTAGAAATTGGTCCGTGAGAGGGTCGTCACAAGCTGAGCGCGAAGCTCACGAGCTGAGGAGATGTTGAGGTAGTGTAGCGGAGAAGCCGAATTGAGCTCGCCGTGCTCAGAATGACGACGAGATCGTGGGAGAAGCGAAGGTCAGACCAGCTGAGGGGAGATTCAGATTTAGGGAAAAGAGCAAAACGAGGGGGAAGGTGGATGCAGCCCTGTCGGACTTTTTATGTTCTAGATCTAGCGTGCAGAAGAGAAGGTAGGGCTGGGTTAGGGAGGATCAGCCGACGGTAATTATGAATAATGAGTGCATTGGGTGATGGAGTCATGAAGGAACCATGGTCAATGCCGGGTCTGACGTCAAAGAGAGCGGGTGTGTCTACGTGGGATGCAAGAAAGATATTAATACAATGGCTGCAGGGTGCCTAGGCGAGGCTGTCGTAAGTCCATAGCCCCCATCTTCCTGGCTGACTTGCCCCATCCGTCAAGCGCGTCAAGGAAGCGGGTTACATCTTCGCCAGTGAACCAGGTAACAGGGGTGGTATTGAAGCCTGGGCAGGCCGAGAATAGACCGGGCACCGGTCTTTGCTGTTCACTTGACCTGCCAACCCAATGCCGGTGGGTAAGGTACCAATCATTGATGAGACAGCTGCTGAGCTGCGTAGCTTGGTTAGCGTCGGGGGTGGTTGACTGGGATGGCTGATGTGAGGTAACCATAACCCCATTGTCTTGGCCTGGGCTGAACACAAATACAATAATGGGAGGCAGAAGCAAAAAAAGAAACGTACGCGACACCGGTGAAAGAAAAAGAGGGGGACGCGCATACCATAGGCGCTTCAGCAGGTAAAAATAGGGAATCCATGAACATCGTGAACCACCGGACATCTAAAGAGGTGGCCCGAAACTCAACGGCGACTATCTGATCGACACACGGCCAGGTGAACAGCAGCGACTGTTCAGGGCCGAGACAAACGGGCGGATCCGCAGAACCCCGGAGCCTTTCAAGGGCCTCTTTTCCGGCCCCGGTGAGCTCTTGATTGGCTGGCCGCTGTCTGGGCTGCCGCCAGGAGCCGGAGTTGTCGGTGGACCAGTGTCAGTTGGCGCCGGAGAGAGATGGTGAGGAGTCGTGAAGGAGTGGTTGGGGTGGATTAGTGTCACACGTCGGCCATCCTAGCGTCGCATGGGCCGATCGAGATGGGAAGATGAGATCACCGCGTTGATCCTCGCTGAACGCAAACGGCCTAACTGGGCCGAGAGGTGGCTGGTGCGGAGGTGTGGCTTGTTGGGGGCCTTGTAAGGCGCGGTAATGTTGGCCTTACAGATCAGGTGACCAAGCCTCTCCGCACACGGTCAGCCCAGTATTGGGACTTATCAACTAATCTCCAAGAAGAATCTAGCGCACATTGCAGACTCGCATACTCTCCAATTGTCACATATTTTGTCTACAGCTCGTTCAGTCAGTCATCCATCCGAGAAATGGGTGTGCAGTCCAGCATCCCGAGCCGCACTAAAGAGGTTTGCGTCGTAGGAGCTGGCGTGAGCGGTCTTCGAGCTGCCGGGCTGCTCGCTGCCGCAGGCTTTAATGTGACGGTGCTTGAAGCCCGCGACCGTATTGGGGGGCGGATCCGCCAGAGCTCTGAATTCGGCCTTCCAGTTGACCTTGGTGCTAGCTGGATCCATGGAACAGAGAGCAACCCCCTGGTGGGCCTTGCAGAGGAAGCGGGAGCCACCACCGTGGGTTGTGGTGCTGTCACTTCCATATGTGATTCTAATGGAAACTGGCTGGACCAAGACATTGCAAAGACTTACTACGAGGAAGTATGGGAGATCCTGGAGATGGCAATTGAGAAGAGCAGACAGGAGTCTGCTTCCCTTCCTGATGATTCAAAAATGATAGATTTCTTCCATGAGGAAGTCCGGACAAGACGCCCGAAAGCTCAACATCCAGAGACCTATGAGGCATTGATGTTACAAATCGTCGAGATGTGGGGGGCTTTCATGGGTGACGACTGCGCAAACCAAAGCCTTAGGAACTTGTGGCTGGATGCTGGTTTAGAAGGGGGTCGGTTTGGCTTCGTTATCCCAAATTCTGATGAGCTGAAGCTCATTGGCTTTTTCCAGACAACCTGTTTGTAGCTCCGACTTTTAAAGACATTCTGCGCCGTCTTCACCTCCAAGTGACCAACAAGGCAACCCTACGGCTCGGCTGCGAGGTCACACGCATAGCAAACGGCCAACATGATTTCGTTGATATCGAGGCAAGAGATGGGTTCCGACGTTCCTTCAGTGATGTAGTCGTTACAGTGCCATTGGGATGGTTGAAGCGTAACGAACATATCTTCTCGCCGCCCTTATCTCCGACGATATCGAGCGCGATCCACGGCCTGGGATATGGAAACCTCGAAAAGGTGTTCATCAGGTTTCCTCGCGCATTTTGGGATGCCCGGTCATCAGCAATGGGTACTACTCACACATCTGGAACTGGATTCGAAGACACACAGAACCCACCATTCCCCATTGAATCTCTCTTTCTTCGTCCGGAGTATGCAGCTGATACGAACCCCGCAAAATGGCGAGTGGAAATTATTTCGCTCTCGGGCCTGCCGGGGCAATTCTCACAGCCTGTTGTCATGTTCTTCATCTATGGCCAGTGGGGCAGGCATATAACTGGCCTTGTCCGAGGCATGAAGCAGGGCTCTAGTGAGTACTATCGAATTCTGGATAACAACTTGCGGCCGTATTATTCTCGATTGCCAAATTATGATCCTGCCTCACCTGATTGTAAACCGTCGGAGTATTTGTCTACAGATTGGCAAAACGACGAGTTCGCAGGATACGGATCATTTGCAAACCTGCCAAGGGGATCCGGAGACTGTGCGCAGCACTTCGAGGCACTCAGAAAGGGTATGGGGGAAGATCGGGGTGTCTGGTTTGCCGGCGAACACACATCGCCTCCTGGCGGACTCGGCACTGTTACTGGTGCATACTGGAGCGGAGAGGAGGTGGCCCAGAGGGTAGCTCGCCGCCACGGGGTTTCGATAGACGTATAAAGCTGAAACATTACAAGCTAGCTGCGTGTTGGTTCTCCCGCTAAATTTTACTGCATATGATAAATCAACATCCGCCGTGTCGATGAAAGCAACAGTCCTTGCCCAATGTGGGCTGAGGGACACAGGCTCGGTCAAAATGCAGCAGTTGCTTGAACAAACCCCATTCCATCCCTCGATATCCAATCAGATTGGTCTTTGGATGTAAATGTTTTCGGTAGGAAAAGTAATATATGGAAGATACAGGAGTAGAGTATTGGATGGTATGGGTTACACGTGGCTGGTGGGCTGAGTGACTCGCTCAGGGGTGCGAGTGGGAGGTGGGCGGCTACAACACGTTTGGGAAATTCCACCAATCATAGTTGCTGCCATACCAATCTATGCCGCAGCCTGTAATATTATGAATACCGTCGGAATAATCAAAGCGGACTTTCGGGAACTATATGGGCACCGTTTAAAGTATACCAAGTTTAAACCTTAAAAGCTCCGAGGTAAAAGAATTTTCAAAACAAAGCCAAAGAAAAATTTCGGCAATTGCAAAGGTATAGGAAAACCATGTTTCTTGCTGGGCGACGATTGGTAGCGCTAATGCAGGCTGGTGCTGGCCGAATCAGGGCTGAAGCCGACCACACCTGGACCTCTTATGGCGGCGTATTCGCTATACCCCTGCTGCTTATCTGCCACCAATCCTTCGCCAGTAAGCCCATAGATCTTTCCCTAAACCAGTCTTGATAATTAAAAATAGTTACAAGCTGTCAGCACCAACGCCATTCTGACTCAGGGGGGACAGCGAGCAGCGGTTATTTGGATGCTACACCCAGCCGTTCACACTCTCCGCCCCTTTGCCTTCTAAGTCCCTATCATACTTCAGGACTCGCCTTAGTTCGTTTATTTCTAGTTTGCTTCCTTTTATCTGTGGGAGATAGTTTGTACGCCCTGAATGCTGCGCCCAGAGTGTTAAGTTACTTGCCAATATCGGCAGCGAGCAACAACTGCCTTCGCGGGCATGTCAGCGCGGTTTGATCGTCTTACCATACTACATTGCGCATCTCTATCGATAGATCACCGAAGTTACACCTCTAGGGGCTTCTGCCGCTCTTCTTTCACTACTCTCACTTCGAATATTCTCCATGGACCCCCTTTCGGCTGTAGCCAGCGTCGCCAACGTCGCGGACGCGGTCGCAAAGCTGAGTAGTGCCATAGCTCAGTTTAGACAGGACTACAAACTTGCAGACGAAGAACTGGATATTGCCCGGAGCCATGCACTTCTGGTGAAGCAAGAAATTGAAGCATTAGAATTCAGAAAACCATGGAAAAATACACCACGTCATAAAGCGACCCCAGGGCTTGATGGTTTCGACGCACTTGCTGAGACCACACCCCTGAGCATGGATGAGACGTCTTTCACCACTGCCATGTCGACTGCTCGGGGTCTTCTCTCTGACATAGAGTCGGCTTTCCCCCTTCGCTCTGAGCCGCATACATGGAGGAGCAAAGTGAGGTGGGCTATCAAAGACAAGAAGCTCCTAGCACGGCTAAAAGAGCGGCTCCAATCTACCGAGAGCACACTGCAAGGGATTGTATCAATGGAGCAACTGTGAGTTCAACCCTTCCTTCAAGTTCAACCCTTTCTTCTATAGGAAAATGTGGCGAAACAGTTAATGGACCTCATTTCGTTGACGGAATTTCTTTATCCAAGGCGTGTCACTCAAATGGTTTACCGACTTCTTCAACAACAACAATATGCCCTGGATAGAATAACGGGGAGCAGTGCTACCAGTGAAAAGGCCATCAAGATGGCCATAGTCAATCAACCGAGTCCACATTCTCAGCATGCGCTCATCCAAGTCCAACTTTCAGAAGTTCAAACGATGCCACGGCCGTCATCTCAAGTTATTCGTAATAATCCTGCCAAGACCGGACCTCGAACAGCTAGTTTTGAGAGATGGGGTATATCCACTCGGATTTTTACTACATCCAAAGAAAAGGGTACCAGCTATCAGGCTGGGGTACATGTGTCACTCTTTGGCAAAATGTACTCTGTCCAAGTGCAGATGTCTTTACCAGAATTCTCCCTATACCCAACAATGAATGTCCGCAACACTGTGTCGGCTAACTCTAGAATGGCCATTGCATGCAAGAGTGGAGATTTTGACCGCGCTCGCCAATTACTCGCAAGTGGCGCGGCTCGTGGGAACGATGTTACTCCTTCGGGATGGCCAATGCTTGACGTGAGTGTGAAAACTAACCCTCATACCAAGGATGCGATAGTAATGCTGTTAATAGTACGCCATCGAGAGCGGATCTTCCAAGCTTGTCCGCTTGCTTCTTGATCATGGAGCTGAACCCGACTTAACATATGGGGAGCACAATATGTGGGTCAAGTTATCCCCCTTGCCCGAACCTATACTTAGCGGGGAATAAATGCGGCTGCTAATATCTAAGGTCATAGGACGGCTTTGCAATCGTCTTTCCTCCGAGGGGATCTTACCATTGCAAGGGTGCTCCTTAGTCAGGGAGCGGACATCGAACACGTGGATAGTGACGGCTACTCTGTGCTCTCCTACTTATGGGTTAACGATGGACGCGTGGACAATTCAGCTGAATTCATGCGCCTCTGTCGAACAAACAGCTTCTCCGAAGTCAATGCTTGCGACAATAGAGGGTGGATGCCTCTTCACCGGGCAGCTGCAGTCGGCACGCCAGAAGATGTCGAAGAGTTCATGAGACTTGGAGCGTCGCTTGACCTGAGAGCGGACTGGTACGGCTGGACAGCGCTTTTCTTTGCTGCATCGCACGATAATATCAAGACATTCCAGACAATTATTCAACATTCGGGAGCGGATGCCTTCCATTCCCTCGATGGAGACGGATGGAACCTCTTGCATTGCTGCACCTATTTTGGTGCTCCCCGCGTCATGAGATTAGTGCTGCAGAGTGGCATTGATGTAAATCAAAAGTCGCTGCCAGCACCACTACCAGAAGATCCGGACTTGTCCTACAAAGAGCTGACTGCCTCTGATATTGCCATCTATATGGGTCCCAATAGATACAAAATGTTCATGGACGTTCTAGCGGACACCGGCCGAGACGTGGAGCTTGAAGGCAGCGACGACTTCTTCTGGGATGCAGCTAATGTCAACACGGGCTCTGGCGATGTCTCAAATGAGGAGAAAGACGAAATGGGGAAGCTGCTAACAATGTATGGTGCCGAAGATTTTGATGATAGGTGGGCACTACTACACTGGGCATCTTATAACGGCTCGCCCAAGGTGCAAAGACTCCTCCTCTTGAGAGGAGCAGCCCCAGAACACTTAGAAGCCATTATGATGGATGATAACCAAACGATATTACCGACGAGTCCATTCGAGGGGCGCTGATAGTTTCGACGGTTATTCAACAGCACCTGCTCTGCATGCCAGGCCAAGGCATTTGACAAGATGCAGAACCTCGAAGGAGGCGGCGGAGTGTTATAACTCAGGTACTCTAGTACCTCAATTAGATTGATAACACGGTCCTTTTTTGAGCTCGCAGGTGAGCAGAGTCACCACGGTCGCAACCCACAAAATTTCGATTTTGTATTATGGTGACCTTGGTGAAATGTACTATAACCAAATTTGATGGGCTACGAGAGCGAACAGTGAATGCTAATACTCTGTAAGAAAAGTATATCATCCCTCATCTTATATATGAGCCCATAGACCTTGTTTCACCTTAAGAGACCGGTGGCAAAGTGCGCTATCAGCCAACAGTATCCCTTTGACCGTTCAACCGCCAGAGGTAGATAGCATCTTCTCCATAGTCACGCAACTTTTCCCGGAATTCTTCACCCGCGGGCTCTGGCAAGAATCCGAAACGGCTCCAGAATGATTCGGTGCCATAGACCGAGACTAGACTAGTAGTTGGGTAGCGCTTAGCGACCACAAGTAGCCGGTCGATGCACTCGGTCGCAAGGCCGCGTCCACGAAGTCCGGGCAAGATCGCGACGTCGTGGATGTAGTACTGGTTGGCATCGGGGGCTATCTCTCCCAGGAGGCTATCTAGGGCGGGTGGATGGTGCTGTCGAATGGGGTGCGAAATGGCATAGCCACAGACCTGGCCATCCTCCTCAAGGGCCAGGCAACCCTCTGGATAAAGCTTAACACGCTCGGCGAACATTTGAGCGCTTTCCGGCAAGCCGGGATGAACACAATCTGCAACACGCATGAGGCCCTCGATGTCGCTGGAGGTCAGGTTGCGCCAGACTGCCATTGCTGGGCTGTGTCTCCGTCTCCTGCTACCTAAACACCGTGCTGGAAGGGTGTGGAATGGCGAAAGTCAGGCATGCGCACAATATTCGCAAGACTGGAAGTGGGAGACAGTGGCTTTGATGGCGTGAGGAAAATAACAAGGGTCGAGGGGAAGACAAGAAACATCAACCGTATGTAGGAAATTCTTCGGAGTATCTGTTGGCCGGGGTGGGAGATACCTCTTAAAAGGCAGGCCAGTAGTTAGCCTGATTGGTTTTAGCGTGTTCTATTATCCCTTAGTGATGCCCGACGAACGGTTACCAGATATGTCCAATGGGTGGAGTGGAGTGGAAACACTACGGGCCAACCTAGCTCGATAGTTCATATCCTTATACTTCTTTTGTACAGAAATGGCGTTTACCAGCCGCCTACTAACCCTTGGCTTTGTTAATTAAAGTAATGAATATCCCGATTCAGCTGACCTTAATAATCTCGTGGTCACAATCTACTAAGTGGTAAGTTAATGGGCGGGTTTTCTTCTCCGCGGAGAATACTGCCTCAGGCCGTTATCAGCTAGCTTATCACCGTTTTGCCTGAAGCTAATTACTCGACTCGTAATTTCTCCAGTTGGCACATTGCGGTGACACCAGGGTCTTTCTTGACACGTTCAGTCCCTCCACGATACTCCACACCATCTTGAGATTCTACTTCAACAAATATAGCCCAAATCCAACACTCTACTGCCAGCATTGCCATGACCACCCCACCTGCCGACCAAACACCCAACATGGCCGCCACACCCGCGCGCACCGCTACCCTGCTCTCCAACATCGCCGCTGTGACCGCGCGTGTTACTACCGCCGCCTCGCATTCCCCCACTCCGTCCAAACCAGTCCGCCTTGTCGCCGTCTCCAAGCTCAAGCCGGCCTCCGACGTCCTGGCCCTGCACAAGTCTCCCGCTGCGCAGTTCCACTTCGGCGAGAACTACCTGCAAGAGCTGCTTGAGAAGTCGCGCTTGCTACCGCCAAGCATCAAATGGCATTTCATCGGCGGCCTGCAGTCGAACAAGTGTGTAACGCTAGCGCGAGACGTGCGCGGGCTGTGGGCAGTCGAGAGCGTTGATACTGAGAAAAAAGCTACGCTGCTAGACAAAGGCCGCGGCGAGCACAAGCCTGATGCCGAGGAGGTGGAAGCTGCGCAGGCATCTGCACAATCTGACGGGGACACGGATACGAGGCTGCGCATTTATGTGCAGGTAAATACCTCAGGCGAGGAAAACAAGGCTGGCATTGAGCCGGCGGCTGCCCCTGCTCTTGCAAGGCATATCCGTGAGAAATGCCCCCGTCTCAAGCTGCAGGGTGTTATGACTATTGGCGCTATTGCGCGGTCGCAGGCTACCACGGCGGAGAACGAGAATGAAGATTTCGTGTGTCTGCGTGAGACGCGGGATCGCATTGTGTCTGAGCTGGGGTTGACCGGTGCGGATGCCGAGCTGGAGCTGAGTATGGGTATGAGTCAAGATTTCGAGGGGGCGATTGCGCTAGGCAGTGATCAGGTCCGAGTTGGGACGACGATTTTCGGCGATAGACCGCCCAAGTCGGAGGCGAAGGTTGTTTAGAGTTGGAATCGGGAATATTGGATAATGGTAGATTGGCGTGGATTAGAGGAGGGTCATGAGTTATGAATTGTTGCATACCGAGCGAAGGCCATAGGCGTGTATTGTCATCTGTGGCTTGAGCTCCATGAGGTTTTTGTTAAAATAGGGAAGAACGATAGGGTGGTTATTGTCCCTTTACGGTACTGTGTATCAATATGGAACCACTATGCCCGGTTGAATTTATACAAGAATACACACGAGACATCCAAACGAACGCTCGCTGACATTTGGCTGGGAAGCTACTCAGAAATATACATACATGCCCCCATCACGATCGCCTGCAAATATCCGACCCTTTACCACTAGTCATACGAACCCGCTGTAGTTCCCTGAGACAGCTTCAGCTCCATCTGCCGCGCCAGTCCCTGTGGCACGCCTTCTTTCGTGGCGCGGATTGTAACTCGGTACATCTAGGAAAGCAATTAGTCGCAGTGCGCGATGAGGATGAAACGGGAAAGGTAATACAACATACCGACTTCTCATAGTTGGGCTCCAATCGTAACAAGCAGCCCGTCTTGCCGCCCTCAAACTGGAACACACCACAGCCAACAATGTTCTTAGGGTTCGGATCCACACCATCTAAGATCTTCCACGCAAACCCTTCAACCATGTGCCGGGTATACGCCTCGTTTATGGACTTGTTCTTCCCGCTCAGTCCGAACGTCTTCTGCGCTTCCAGGGGCTCACCGCCAATCTGACGCCAACGCTTGAAGAAGTCTTCGGCAGAGAGAGACGATGGCTCCATGTACCGGTGCATCAAGATTGGCAGCTGCAGAGTGTATGCCTGCAAGGCACCGGCTAGGTAGGAGATACGGATGGTTGGTGCGTCTGCGAAGGGGCCATGCGCAGCGCAGAAGAGAGTCTGCTGAGTCTGACCGCCAGCCGGGACGCTTGAGTCTGGCAGACTTTTCGTGTCAACCTTGAGGTTTGGAGAGGCCGGATTGTCCACTGTCGTAGTCAAGGAATTGATGGCATAGGTCGACTTGTTGGAAATGTACATCTTGACGACACCTATATGGCCACGGTACTCGGAACGCAGTCCAACCTGGATCTGTGCGTCCTCAAAGAGCACACCCTCATGCGAGAAGTAGAGTCGGTTGTAGCCAATGTCCCAATCCGGCGTCAAGTGAGCGGCGCTGGCTAGATTTGGAGGAGGAGCCGATGGTCCGCTGAAGTCCAGCCCGGCCAAGTCGCCGGATGCACTGGTGGCGCTGGTAGGAGTTCCTCCGTTGGACCCGGTCCGCGTGCCATGGACGATTGTGGTAAATGTGCGTTTGAGGCCAGTGTTCTGGGCCATGAGAACTTCCTGCTTGTCCGCATTGGCGTCTTTACCACCAACCACCCAGGTCTTCTTCTCGCTGGTTCCGGCTGTCTTCTGGTGCAGTCGGGACAAAAGGATAGATGTTCTTTCCGAGAAGGGGGGCATCTCATCACAGACGGTCCGCAGAAGATCATCCGTGGGAAGCGTTGCAAGCGAGAGATACTCGAACGCTCGCTGCTGCAACTCGGAATCAGGGGAGTGGCTGTACAAGCGGAAGATTTGCAGGAGCTGTGGCTTGATTTCAGGGAACAAGTTGACGAACTTGACAAACGACGAGAGGATCATGGCCCTGGCATTATCAGATCCATTGAACATCTTAGCCTGCAGGGCCAGAAATTGTTCAATAGGGCTCGATCCGGAATTATCGGCAATCAGGTGGCCGAACTCGCCCAGGACGTAGCAGCCAATCTTCACCAAGCTCTCGTGGCAATCGGTCTTCAGGTAAGCGAGAAGTGTATGCGCTGCATATGCCTGCAGCTCTTCATTGTTGGTCACGATCTGAATGACTCGCTGCCAGACCTCGTCGTTGACATGATCGCCGGCGAGCGAGAGCAGCTTCAATGTCATGTCAATGTACCACTGCGCATCGGTGGCGTACTTCTCCGTAAGGATAGCAACTTTCAAAACCATCTCCTCACGAATGGCATAATCGGCAGTCTGCAGATAGCGCAGAAGCTCGTTGACAATCGGGCCCGCATTGGTCGTATCGCACATACTGTACAGCAGATCCAATCCCTTGCGGCGGACACTAATGTCTCGGTCTCGGAGAGAGCCGAGGATGATGTTTTGGTGCTTTTTGATAGGATCAAGTGTTTCCGCCCGAGCAGCGAAATGGGTCATCGCATCCAGACCTAGGTATCGGACATTGGTCTCGCGAGACTGAATATATTTGCCCAGGCGAGAGGAGATCTGCATCATAAGAGTGTGCTCAGAGTCGAGGTGGATGAGGAGATTAATGGCTTCGAAAAGGATGGCGTTTTGAGCGTTGTTCTGCTGGACATTCTTGGGTGTCTCCATGGCTGCTTGCATGATCTGTGAAAGAGACTCACGGATGATCTCGCGAACGTGGCTATCTTCTATAGTGGCTATAAGTATCCGTTTGACGAGCTTGGAAGGAGTCAAAACATACGTGATGGGGGATAGTACTGCAACAAGCGCAGCAGCTTAACCTGGATCCATGGGCACGGTACCCTGTAGTAAAGGTAGTCAGGGGCGATATCGTTGTCAACCACAATTCGCTTCAACCGCTGGGCCGCTTTGACATAACTGCCCTTATATTCCTCCGGCATATCCTGGGCAAGCGCCATGACGAGCGAGGTGACGGACAGTGTGACACCCATGTCAGGGTCATCCATAATCGAGATAATTCGCTCAGCCCATTCGTTCCGGACGATCCCAGGGTACTTGCGGTAGAGTCGAAGCAATGTGAGGGCGGCCTTTTTCTTGACGAACGCTTTGGACGTCCTGGGGAGAGTTAGCATCACAGACTCTCATGCTCAACATCGTAACTGAAATACTCACGGTGAGATCAAAAGTCGGTGGACCTCAGTCGCCAGTGCCTCTCCAAGCTCCCGACCACCCACGTTGGCCACGGCATGCAGCGCCAAGCAATTGAACAATTCATTGTTATCCAGCAAATCTTTTCGAAAGCTGTTGACAACTAGGTGGAGCAGCTCATGCTCCTCGTGCAGGAACAGGGTGACCGCCAGATAGCCGATCTGCTTCTCGGAGTATTTATTTGAAGAGATGAGATTGACTGCTTCCAGGTGTCCAAAGTCGACGTCGTAGCCTTGGATGTAGACGTATAGCAGCTTGCAGACGTATTTTTTCTTTTGATAGCCGTTGAGATTGCCGGCCTTGAACTTCTGTCGAATGTTGGCCAGCTCCTTATTCACGCGCTTCTCCTCCAATTCGCGCGCGCGCGCATTGCGCAGGTCCGCGATGAACTGGACCAATCCTCGCATGGACGACATGATGTCTTGTTGGGTTTTGATGTAGCCGCCTTAGGTTCTGACAGATGATCGAGCGAGCGCACAGCGAACGGTTCGTTATTTGGGGGTGTGGGGTTCGAGGTACGCCACGCGGGAATACCTCAGGGGTTCGCGATCGAACTGGCAACGTCACACAACCATGTCCCTGTTGTATCGTGGAGTCGATAGAGCATTGGCTTCCCGGGGTTCAGCGACGATGGGGCGAGCGAACGCGTTCGTTTTGGGGTGGGAGAGCTCGGAAACAGGGGGTCTTGCCGATCGCAGTGTATCTTGGATGGTTGTCAGCAATGGTGCTGGAGAATGGAGCCCAAAGACCCCAAGTAGAACAGCGCATTGATCTTACCACAATACGGTCAGCCGATGGGTCCACGAATAAAGGCCAGAAACTTGAAAACAGTAAAGACCCTCTTCCGTCGCACCACTTTCCGCTCCGTCTTTCACTTTGGCCACTTCCGTTGTCGATCGCCGGGGCTCCGCCGTGGCACGGCGGAACAACATTGATGCGCTGTGGCGGTGCCGTCTATGCAATCATCTCGATCTCATCCTGACTGGAAGAGTTAGTATAGACCTTGCGCCTCAAAATCACTCAAGATAGCACAGAAGTTGGCGCCCGGTCTTCGCGGCCTGTCTATCAAAGTCCGACTCGCAGTCTCGAATCGCTTCGAAATGAATTCATGATAAATTCATTGGATTTATAGACTAGGTGAAGCAACACAGCCTCCGTTGGTCACTTTTACAAGTCAGCAACCAAATTTTACCATGAATCTATCCATATACTGTACTCTAGGAACTGCTTCAAACTGTGCAAGGCGTTCTGCAAAACGCTTTCCCCCTGCTTCCACCTAGCCTTGTTCTTTCGCCGGATTGGACAAAGCAACGCACCCAGAGTTCACAGTTTCGACATTATTACCACTAGCGGGAAACCTAGCCTACTAGATGAAGAAATCATCTACAGATACTGTGCACGGTTTCTGGCTCAGAGATAGTCTTGTTAACCTTCAGCCGCTTGGAATAACAGCACGCGGTTTCGTGACATCTACATACTCCACTTGCCCTCCCATCTTTTCTGCATTCTATGAAGAGCGAACTGAGTGAATCCACAGGTCTTCGAAGATTCATTGCTCAAGTTGAGATTGCCGATGGCAAAAGAGTCCAGTATACGGTCGTCAGGCCATCGCTCAACTATGTATGGCACCTTAATCTTCACACAATCTAAAATAAGCTCTAATTGATACCTTTACAAGAAATCCACAATTGAACATAGACGTCAAGCAGAAGTTGAAGAACTAATACGCTCAAGGAAGGACTATTAGGGTTTGAAAAATAGATTGAAGCTTTGCCTAAAGTGATTGTGCGAACAATCTTCAATACCATTGGCCACTTTTCCGTCTACTAGCTGCTTCAGTGCTGTACAAGGCCATCTGGAATTTAACAATTGCTACGTCAAGGTCAAGTAGATGCATAATCAATTTCATGTCTCATAATGGGGCACACATAAATTATGTGGGTAAGACTATTAGGTACAAAGCAACCCTAAACGGCTTCGCCAAAAACGCCAACCCTTCCCTAAACCAGCAACATAGCAATGCAACTTAAGTGAGAATAGTAATGCATGGATCGTCAATCAGCAAGAATACCCGGGTCTATTCACGCGCGGGTAGTGAAGTCCTGCTCCAACGCGGACTCAATAGCCTCAGCCTTCTCGCAGGTGCAGGAAGCTAAAAGAAATATTAGAATGTATTCCTTTGGCTTCATTTGACTGTTGTTTAGTGAAACTTACCAGAGGGACGGCTGCCGCAGGCACAGGTCTCGCCGTGGATGGGCTTGTTCTCGGTGACTGAGCGCTCACAGGTGCACTGGCCAGCGGGGCGGGCGCCTATTGAGTATATTAGTATTAGATATCATGATCGAGACGATTCAAATGGTTTGCTTACGGCAAGAGCAGCGGGGGCCCGAGGTGGTGTTCTCAGAGGTAGCCTTGTTGCAGGAGCAGTGAAGGGCACTCTCCTTGCCGCATGAGCACTTGGCCTGGGCAGCGCAGACGCAGCCTCCGTCCTGGGAGGTCCTGCAGCAGGTGGAGGCGGGGTGAACCATTTTGATGGTGTTTGTTGGTGATTGGATTGGTATAAAGTGGGTCTTGGCAGATAAGCTTGAAGCTTGATGGTGCTCAATGAAAATCGTGTATGGAGAGCTTGTGAACACAAGAGGAGGTGTCTAAAGAGTTCAGAGAGCTGGGAAGTTGACGATGAAATAAAGAATTGATTCAAGCACCGGAAACAGCGACTTTATACTCGCCTGAATGCGTCATAACTCTGTGGCCTGATTATTATTACCTACACGCTTATTGGTTGGGATTCTGGATCACGTGCAGTGGCGGTAATATTCGCCACCCCCTGATTGGCTGAAGTACCACGACGACTCAGCCGCTGGGAATTGGGCGTCTTATAACTGGCCGAGGACTTGCTGATGACCTTTGCCTCCCTTCTGATTCGATGTAGCGTTGGCACACAGGAGCTGCTAAAGTTACAGTAGTCAAAGGAAACTACAAAGGCCGCCGATCACTCGCGATCGGGCTAGAATGAAACCGAAGCATGGGAAGTGGGGACATCATGAAGAAAATAATTAGCCTGTCTATTATTGCGATTCCAGAAAGGAAATGTCCAGTATGAATCGCAGAGCTAAGGGACGGCCATCTAGGCGCCTAGAACGGCGATTCTTTGATGCTGTTGAGAGTGTCATATTTACCACAATCTGAGGCTTTAAAGGGTTTCCATTTCGACTGCGTTTTACTATAACGCATCAAGAGCTATGGAGCCCACGAGGCCTGCCGCGCCTACCCAGGTGGTATAAACATGGAAGTATCCTGAGATGTGTACAAACCGTGCTGATAATTCGTAGATTTAGGGTTTGAGCTTGACTGCAAACGGGGCGGCCTCCCGCAAATGACTGTGGCAAGACCACCTCCTAATGAGTTGGACAAGTAGGCAGATAGCCGTAATCTCGACGAGGTCAGAAAACTGCCCAGGATTGCGAGCGGTCGCAATCATAGTCTCTAGCGCTGAGGGGAGCTTCGGCAATGACAGGATCTAGTCCACGGGGCGAACCAATAATGAACCAGTATCAGTCTCAGTTCCGATCCCCTTCCTTTTCCAGCTTGACCAAATCATTTTAGACAGCTGTAATTTTCCATGAAAAGGCCGACAAACATAAAAAAAGCCCTATCTTACAAGGATAAAACTAGGACTCGGGTCTTAGTCCATATTTAAGTCTAGTCGGTACGGCTAGTTATGTTAAATAGCCCTAGAGTGCATTATCCCGGAAAAAGGTCATGTTTCCTTCAGAGATGAAAATGATGATGAGACTTCGGTATGATAAGGAGGAAGCTGGCTGCAGAAGATGTTCTTATAACACTCCATTTACATGAATTTGCGATGTTTTAGCGGTTGAAAGATATATGCCCAAACGACCTTGGGCACGCCAAATATATATCACCACCATCCAGGCTATCAGATAAACTGAGGCGGATAATGACGATTACAGTTAGACCAGCTTTCGCAAATGCGAGAAATGAATCAATGCTAGTGCTCAAAAAGGCCAAACAGTGATGCTGAACAGCCATAGCCAACCCGCAGAACAGAACAAAACATAGCAGAACAGAACCAAAACAACTTGCTTGCAATCTGAAGTTACCCACCCAAGAGCAGATGCAGTGAAACCCGACTTGATAAAATGTGATGAAGAAACACCATGATAAGAAAAATAGATATATAAGTGACAAAGAATGAAAAAGAAGAGAGAAAAAAGAAAATTAAGAGAGGAAGAGGCTGTATAAGCATTAACATTAAAGCACGCTTATGTAGAATGCCGCACCACCAAACGGCCCAAAACAGAGAAGAGGCCCAAAAATTGAAATTGAAATCGAGTGGAGATACCAGACCAGTTCGAAGAGAAGACTTCCAGAGTTAAATTATTGTTATGTGGTCCTGCCGCGCGAGGCGCTTATTGTTGAATATAGCCCGCGTAGTTGAAGGGCGGATTGCCGAATCTGGTCCGGAGGGACTCGAGGGCCTCCTGGTTCTGTGGCATATGGTCTTGGGAGGCCGGGCTGGACTCAGTAGGGGCAAAGGTGGTGGGGAGACTCAAGGTAGAGGCGTTGGACTGCGTGTAAGGGATTGTGCCCATCGATCCCGAGGCACTGGTGTATGAGAAGGGCCGGTATTCTTGCGGCGCGGAGACCGGGAGAGAGTGAAGAGTCGCGAGGGGTCTTCCGTGGGGTGGGATTTGGGCGCCCATTCCCAGTCTGCTGTAGTCCTTTGGAGTTGACATTGCCAGCTGCGGCTGATAGCTTTGTGGTTGCGAGCCTAGGTCCAATGCGAGGTTAGAAGTTTGCTTTGTGGGTGCGAGCATGGATAGAGGGACCCACCTATATTGCTCATGTCGTATGTCATGGGCGCTCCCTGGGAATCTGTCGGGGACACCGAGCCTTCAAATGACTGCTGCGGGTCATAGGAGCCTACCATCCCCCCTGGAGGTCGAGGAACCCCATAATCCATCGGTTGTCGCAGATATGGCAGGGCAGATGGATGTGAAGAAGGGGCGAATCGGCTGTGTATTTGCATGCTGGGATGGAAGGATGAGGGTTGAGAGGACGCATCAGACATGCTGCTGGACCTGCCGATCGCGTAATCGCTCCGGATCGTTCTATGCAGATCAGACATAGACGCAGAGGCAGCTGGGCGGCCAAACATCATCCCCGAGCTGGGTAGCCCGTCATTCCGCCCAGCAGATGACAAGTAGGTTCCCGCGGTCGACGTGGAGCTGAGGGGCGAGACGAGATAGTCATCTTCATGTGGACGCTGGAAGGAGTCGGTGCGAAGTGCCCGCAGGGATGCAAAATCGGGGTTGGGGACCCCGTAATCATGTGGGGATGGCACTGGTGTTTGCCCAGTTGATCTGCTCTCAAACGGCGTGCGCAGGACTTTCGTCGTGTCGAAGTCGTCCGGCAGGGCTCGCGACTTGAGCATCCGCTCACGATCATTTGTCGTCAGACGCTTGAGCTTTGCTCTCCTACAGTGGACGGGTCATGGTGAGAAAAATGCACGAATCTTTGGAGAGACGGTCGAGGGCTAGGGCTCTCTACCTGTTCTGGAACCACACTTGAACTTGACGTGGCGTCAACCCGGGGATCTCCCGTGACAAACGCTCTCGATGAGCAGCGTCTGGATGTGCCTGGCGAGTGAACTCGCTCATCAGGAAGCGAGTTTGGTTGTGTGTCAACCTATGGTTTTGTGTTAATGGTCCGTTGTTGAGTTGAGTCCCTCGTTCTGCCTCGACGTCCTTACCGGAATCTCTTCATTTTCTTCTTCTCCAGCGACGGCGATCGATTACTTTCATCATCCTCCATCATCTCGTCCTTCTCATCGGACGGACTAATCGTCGACTCCTTGTCGTGATCTTCATTTGCGTTGAGACCCGACTCGACGGCGCTCGTCGACTCCCCAGGACGACTGAACCCAACTTGCGGCGACGTCGTACGGTTCGTGTTGCTCCCCGGAATCTCCAACGTGACTCGTGGCAAGAAGACTTTTCTTCCCATTTCGGGCCTTGGGCTGACTGCCTCCCGCGATGATATTTCTCCCTCGGGATACGCTCCGGACCCCATGCTCACTGGCAGCGGAGAGGGCAAGGCATTCTCTGCCGTCATACCAGTCCGTTGCATTTCAGACGGCCAAGTACGAGAGGCAGACTCTCGATCTCTCGACAAAGTTAGCAGGGTTGACGCTATCCGTGGCGAAGGAACCCGCTCTCCGTGACGAGCAATTGCGGACAGGTGGGATGTGACCGCCGACAGCGGCGAGGGGACTGGCGAGGACAAAGAGGGCAGCCAAAGACAAGGACCGCCGATTGACATGGTAAGAAGTTCGATGGGCCCTCTTGAACCGGCGTTAGGATCTGCAATGTCGGAAGTCTCGCGGCCAGACTACTGACGACAAAGACACTCTTTCACGTCCAGGCCGGAAGATATGGATGTGAGAGAGAGAAGCCAAACAACACACCGAACCACCGCAGCACAAAACAAGGCAAGACGACAGAGAGAAGGGAAGAAACAAACGGGACAACAATACTGAAGTGCTTTTCCCCGAGATGAGACGGAGATGTGGGTCTGATGGAAGTGCCAGGGCGCTTGCGCAACAGGGTCGGGGTTCTTTCTGCAATTACACGGAGTAAAGGGTGAAGCCAAATCAAACGTGTGTGAGCTTCGCCTTGGGGCGATCTGGTTGGAGCCCAATTTTTCAGCGATTCCACGAGAGGAGAAGTGGTTTCAGTAGCCGCAGGATAGTAGATGACTACGCAGAAGTTTGCAGACAAGGCGTGTCATAGCGTGACGAAAGGCGACAGTAGAGCGATGCCCAGTCAACGCGGGCGCCAGGCCGTTGACTGACCTTTTTATTCTTTGGCTTGGGACCTCAGATCGCTGGCGCTCTTGATTTCTGCTGATGTTGATCGTTACGCAGCTGGGCAGCAGCCAGACCACCACGGAGGAGTGGGACCAGGGACAAGAGCCGGTAACGTGGTCACCAAGATCGGCCGGAGATCTCCTGGGACAGACGGCTGGAGGAGTTGGGAGGGGACTGGGACGGGGGGACTGAGACTAGGACCAAGACTCGATAGGACCAGGGCCAGGCAGCGGGTCTAAACCAGACAAGACCCGACAAGGCTAAAGAAGAGGCGAGAGAGGAGAAAAGGCACAAGCGAGGCCAGTGGAAATAACGAGATATTACCCGGACGCCCAAGGCCCAGGGTCCACCAGGAACTCCAAGTTGGCCACGGCGGTCCCGATGGGCCCGAAGTACACGATACGCAGTATACCATCGGATATACAGGAGATACAGCAGATACCACAGAGACAGCAGAGACAGTCCTACCCCAAGAATGACTAGCACAGCAAGTGGCGCGGAGCAACAATATACGCAGTTCGTGGCCGATCCAACGGTCGAAACGGTCCGTGGACGAAGGGCCGCGGTAGAAAGCCAACCCCAAGCAAGCAATGTGCCCGACAAGGCCCGTGAACGGGCCGAAAACTAAGACTCTAAACTGGGAAGACAACAGGGTGGACCGGAAGAGCCCGAGACAACGCGGTGCAAGGTGGGCAAGCTTAGACTCTCTGGGCATGGTATCAGCATCAGCATCAGCATCAGCATCAGCATCAGCATCAGCATCAGCGGGTGCTTGGCAAGGATCAGCAAGAGAGGCTTGCGATCTATGGAGGCGAGGATTCGCCCTGCGGGCTTAGTGCGTGAGATGTAACCCCAGGATCAACAGTAAAACGCGTTCAAGTTACAGTATCAACAGCATGGCTTGCCCCAGTCCATCAGCTCGCCTCCGCAACTCGTTCTAATCCGCTCGTAGACAGCTTTTGCAGCCGCACGATCTCGGTGTCCCACATCTGGCGGGAGCGAGATGGCCGTACTCGGCTGCAACTACGAATCGACCCTGGTTGCCGACCTGGGAACAAAACACGGGGTAGCCACTGGAGCCACCATTAGACAGGAGCATGGCGTGCACCGAGCACCGAGCTCCTCGACGCAGTATGACCACGGCCACGACACGACTGGGCTGGCAATGGAGAGGATACCCGCCCTCCTCGACGGGTCTGTGGCGAATTGCGGTTATGCCCGAGGGGAGAGAAAAGAAAAGAAAAAAAAAAAGAAATTAACAAAAGGAAAAGGAAAAAGTAACAATTAACAATTATTGATGGATTCATGCCCTGCGGGAACGGAACCCAAGGAACGCGACTAGAATCCAGAACAAGCTCTGGATCCTCGGGGGGAGGGGAATATCACCCAGTCAGCCAAAGAGGGGACTCCGGTATCTGGTCTCCACTATGTGGGCCTTGTGCTCAGTTCCAGCGTCCAGCGTCCCGAATCTGCCATACAGCCCAAGAGCTTGTGCTTGTGCGTGAACGTTCACGGCCCGGTTCAAGGGCGATTCGATAGAAAATTTTCCGAGCGTGGAGCGCGTGGCGGATGGCGCGGGCCAGTCAAGCGAGGCCCCAAAGCACAGATATCGACTGCTGCATGGGCCAGCCACCAGCCACCAGCCAACCGCCTAGGGCCGGCCAAATTTGGGAGGCCTTTGGAGCATCATGCACATCCAAGGAAGACCCTGGTCTCCTGCTCACCGGCGCAATCGTCCGGGGCCAGGACGGAGGACGCGAGCAGCACCATGTGGAAGGCCTGTCGGGCTAGCGTGCTGGCTCCATAACCGGCCCAGCTAACGCCGCCGGACCCCTCGGCACCATCGATCAGGGTGGTGGTCAGCCACTCAGCGGGCTGCCCGCCACAGTTTTCAGCGCGAATGGATGGGCCGGTTGGAGCGATGCACCTGGTGCACGGGTACTGGGGACAGGGTGGAGCCCGCTGTGCACCAACGGAATGGAGGTCCAAAAAATAAAACAGAAAATAAAGACGAGACAATGGAATGGCGGAAAAAGCCATGATGGATAAGGATTTGCCCGACCCCGCGGTCTTATCCATGGTCGCTGGTCGTCTTCTAGGATAACTATCAACACTTGACTTTTGCTCATGAACCCTGGAACGGGAGACGGGGGTCGGCGGGACGGGACCATGCGAATCTCCCTTGAGCAATGGACTCGAGTTACAGTAGAGAAAGGGAAAAAAAACGCAATACAGAACAGAGAGAGCCAATAGGAGCCCAAGCGAAGACGGAGAAATACACCCCGCTAAGAGCCTCCGTATCCAATTTACCATCGAGTCGAGGCGCACTATAATCCGATACCCCTGCCTCAGACCACCGACCTCTGCGCAACTACAAAATCGGGTAAAAAGAGACTAAAGGAACCCCACCCAAAATTGGGAGATGTGCCTGTCAAGACTTCCATGAAAAGACCGGGCTCGAGGGGGGGCCAACTGGGGCTCCCAGCTGTCTCAAGGGGCCATCGGCAACCCCACCGGAGGAGGGAGCAGAGCTCCTGGAAATCTCCACATCTGGAAGTATGAAACAATCCGGGTCGCAGGCAGGAAATGAAGCAGTCCTAGTGCTTGCACAGGAAGCCTTGTGAAAGAGCGTAGTGCAGGTACGCAGTATACGGCACTAGCTGGACGTTTAATTAAAAAAAAAAAAGAGTTGATTAAGAAAATGGGACATGTCAGAACGTTGAAGAATGGGGTGGGCCGATGGAGTGGCTTTTTTTGCAACCGCTTTTTCTTCGGGAGGTCCCTGGCACAATTTACAATAATACAATAACTCTGTGTGCCAGGGCTTGCTTTGCTCAACACCGATTCGTGCGGCAATACCGCGGCAAAAGGTGCGGAAGTGGGGGGTTGGTCTGCATATTCCGAGGTGACGGTGTGTTCTAATTGCATAACGGCCATTCTATGATCTCCCTTTCAGCGGGTATGGAGTATAAATGTATAAATCTCCGGCTGTCTGAACCACTGAGGAGGCGCCTAGATCCATCTCAGCTGCACTCGACGCACTGTGGCCGTGCCTGTGTCTTTTTTTTTTCTCTTTTCCTCGCATCCTCCAAGATATGGATCGATACCACTTCTCCAATCGTGAATTACGGTCTCCGGTTTAATGATAACATCACTTATCACGCGCTCTCTTGCAATTCCAACAGCCATTCCCCCTTCTCGGCCGTTTGACCATCCCCACTCAAGCCCCAGTGGGGACCCGGAGATATAAGCCCGTGACGCAAGACATGATGGTTCGGCGCCGTGATCGAAGGTCCTGCCAGCGTGGAGTCGGGCGGCTGTAAACTGGAGACTTACCTCGTACAGTCTCCAGTCTCTAGCCTCCAGCCTTCCCCCTAGACTCCATCGAGTGGTGCTAGACGGGTTCCCACTGATTTCCGCTGGAGTCTTGGCCTCGCACGGGGTTCGGAGGGGAGAAAACTCGGAACCCTGGTGCTGCGATCCCGAATCATAACGCGCAGAGCTTGTCTTTCCGGCCGAAACGATGCGCGATCGCTGCGATTACTGCCATCCTTGAACGAGCCCGATCGTGTCTTTTCCCCATCCGGCGCAAGGTGGCCCGCCGCAACGTCCTTGCGACCTTGGGGGGCGGGAAACCGGGTACGATGTCTCGGGTAATCCGACCAGGTGCTGGAGAGCTTTCTTCCGCATACTTTTGCCTCCTCGCTATTTGGAGAGGATCTGTGAGCCACGAGCCATGGGCCATGGCTCACACACACAAACTCACCGGGTGCCTGGGCGGGCGGACTATCGCATTATTCTGGAACGACCGGTGCGGGGAATCCGATCGTCCGCTTCGATCGCGGCCAGTCCGAAATCATTCCATCGCGAATCACGCGCAACTTTAATCTCGGATGGCTTCCTGCAGCGCCAAGACCGCCGGCCCTCCTTCATTTCGCCATGCCCGCTACTAGCGGACCACGACCCCTCCGATCATGCACGTCGTCATCGCCTGAGGGGAGGGGAGGTGACGCAAGCCGATCGCTTGGCCTTTTCGCAGCCTTGGGCCCCTTTCACCGTCCCCGGGTTGGCTGCTGCTAACCCCAACACCCCGTCCCCCTCTTGGGGGCGTGCACGTTCCGGCAAGATGGGCCGATGGGAAGAGCAGTGCCCGCGTGTGCCCTGCAGATCGGAGATGCTGGCATTGTACGTATTTCGTACTCTAGCAACTACCCCTCAATCAAAAATAAGATTGCGTCTAGGATGTCGCATGCTGGAAGCTGAGCCGGTGGTCCCCACGCTTGTTCGATCGGTACCTGAGCCCCAGCGGAATCAATCTACCTACCCTATGAGACCTATGAGACCTATGAGACAACCTGTGAGACAACCCTATGGGCGATACCCAAACGGCTGGGCCTTTTCGGGGCGGGTCGGTGTCTCGTCGAAACTTGGTTGACACCATCGCTTTTCCACGGGTCTAAGTCGCGCATACATCTGAACGGGGAATTTGTTACGAGAGTGCAGAAAACGGGGGGAAAAACACCCCAAAAAATCACTCTGCCTCCCCCCTGCTAGACCAGAAATTAAGCAGACCAAGGCCGTAGCTAGCGACAGAGGACTGACTCGCATTATTGAATCCTGATGGCAAAAGCGTTGACCGGTGTATACTTCCCAGACACACATGCATGGCCAGTGCTTTCGCGCTTCCAGAGCGGAGAAAAAGAAAAGAAAAGAAAGGAAAGAAAAAAGAGACTAGCTAGCGAGCTAGGTCGTTATCGAGGGAGCGCTGGAGCTATGCTATCCCCAGATAGCTCCTTGCACTGCTAACCATTCCACAGGCTCTGTAGGAACCGTCCTGTCCGCGCAACAGCACCATATGGCGGGTCTCCTTCCATCACCTGTCTAGCGCTGACCTTGAGCTCCACTAGTGGAGTGTGCAAGTCTCCGACCGTGAGCTGCACGGTGCCGGCATGCGATCAGTGCGTCCTTTCGAGAAGAATCCAAGCTGCGAACGCCCTTGGCTCGGCTCGCACGGAAGACGGAGTCTGATTGTCCTCCTACGACTCCTAGACTAGTCTGCCTCATAGTGTAGTTATAGCGGACTTGGACTGTGCCATCGGGGGGCCGAAAACGACTGCCCAAACAACGGCGAGTCCACTTTGTTATCCCGCTAATCTCGCAGACAGATCCTCTGACGCCGATGCCTCCCAGTCTCACCCTAACTAGGCTGCGCGGTGCATGGATGTGAAACATGGCGGCGACGGTGCGACTCAGCCCGCCATTATGTTCGGTTAGATTTCGAGCTTTCGAATTTTTCGCAGAAGCGGGGGGAAAGGGGAGGGGAGTCCTTTTGTCCAGGGGTAAGTTGGAGCTGCCGAGCCACCTAAGTTTCTCGAGTACAGAGGCCGGAGGAGGGGGGGGCCGGGGTGTGGCTTGTGAACAAGGCAAGACAAGACAAGGCCAAGTGGATGGTAAAAGGGGTGCAAGAAAGACAAATGAATTTTAATTGATTATTGATTGTGGTGTTTGTACAGGATTGGATGGTGAGTGATGGTTGGCGCATTGCATTTCATGCAGGAAACTCTCGCTCAGTGCAATAGAGTTGCCGATCAACTAGACAAATCCTTGGACCCCACGTCGGTAGCTAATGCGACATCAGAAGCGTCCCATCAGAAACAAGGGGCGTTGGCAGCCTTGCCCTGTCGTGCCGGTAGCCCCGGGCCTGCCACGCGAGAAAGAGAGCCCATGGTACTCCGTGCTTCGGTAAATAGCATCAACTATGAGGACCCAAATAGCGTTCAACGGCCCTTCACTGCCTCGTAGGCTCTAAATCAGAGACATTCTTGGCAGTGCAGAATCCTACCATGCAAGGTACTCCATACAGCCAGCCACGCATAGCTCGTGGAGCGGGTGCCTGATCGACACTTCAACAATGCAATCCTGTAGCACTCTGCGATACATCCCTGAGAAAGCCCATGGTGTAGGTCGCGCGAAATGGAGGGAGAAAAGCAAGGTGTCTTTCAAAGAATTTTTCCCCGGACATGATCGTCGCGGCATTTTCCTGTTTTTTGTTCGTGAAAGAATCCCTGTAGTGTGAGAACCGGAGAGAATCGTGGGGTCGACCTGCGACAAATGACGCGGACATGCTCGCTAGGTTCTGAGCTAACCAGGCACTATTGAATGGAAAAATAGAGCAAGGGAAAAAAATATACACACGACGCAGCGGTCATCGCGCAGGGCTGCGAAGGTGCCCTGTTCTCGACTCCATGGTGCATCTGCAAAATTTGCATCGTCGTGATATCGATGCATTAGAGGCTTATCCGCAAGCAACCCGGTTAAGTGGATGTGGCTGATCGAAGGTAGCCACACGCCGCCAAACGATACCCGTTGCGGGTATTGCTCCGCAGTCCCGAGGAAAGGGATCAGAGCAATAAAGCGTCCTGCCAGACCCGCCAGCTTGTCACGTCGCCGTGTCCCCTTTGGGATTATCTCCGGAAGCCACGCTAAAAGCGACGGTGTTTGGCTCGTCGTTCGTATTCTCTTCGGTAGGCGCATTTGACTGGAGTTCGGGCTTTGATGGTGATTGGGCGTCGTCGGTGACGTTTTGGCTCATGTTCGCGACAGGGATCTCCTTGATCTCTTCGTCTTGTGCGCCGTCCCCGCCGAATGAGGTCTCTTTGGTAGCTGTATCTTGACCGGCCTCGTCCTCGGGTGGCTGAGCAGTGCTCTCAGCCCCTTCACCAGGCTGGGGGGTCTCTGACGGTGCTTCCGGGCTCTCGAACAGGGCCTGGAGATTGTTCCCGTCCTCGATCTTGTCGAATGCGGCAAGCTTTGTCTTTGCTGACAGGCGGAGGATGCGCCAAGACTTGCTGGACTTGGCTCTTAATGCAGCATCCTTGTCGTCCGGGGTCTGGGCCATCTCGATGTCCATGTCGTCGTCCATGATACCCATCATGAAGGAGTCTGCAGAGGGAACTGAGTAGCGGTCTGGTTCCTTGAGCCGCTCGATGTTGGCCAACGCCTCAGTATCGGACAGGAAGCTCAGGTCTAGAGATCCCATTGGCGAAGGTCGAAGTCGCTTGTTGGCATAGGCTTTGGTTGCATGCTCTCGTGCCTTTATGTATTCCGGCACCAAGACTGCAGGTCGCTCAATTGGTGGACATCCTTCAGCTTTCCAGCGCACCCAATTCTTGTCCCTGGACAAGACAGTATCGACCATGCGGAAATAAAAGTTCCCCCCGGCACCCTGGCGAAGGTATCCTTCAATGCTCTTCCTCATGCTGGTTGCCCATTTCGCATCGTCCTCACTTAAGACGAACCCATAGAGTACAGATTTGTTCGTCAAGTCGACCAAGCGGGACTTGGCGCTGGGTGTAAGTGACAGCATGAAATCGATAAGAATGAGGGCTTGCACCAGAACATGCCTTCTGAATGCTGTATCGCTCACTTCCAGATCAAACAGATCCCGGCTGGTGAGGTACTTCGGGTTGAAGCTGGTCCCAACCTCGGCATCATCAGTAACGCGCTTACGTTTGTGAGATCTTCGCGCCTCGTCTGATGACCGCGAGCCGCTCTGGTTTTCGAGCTCGGTGTTGATATTCTTGAACGCAGAGAGAGTTGCTTCGAGCCCTGTTTTGAATTCGGCAAAACGCTCGGTGTCGAACAACTTGCTTGGGGCAGAGAAGTAGCCTTGTAGACTCCAGAACACCGGGTAAAGGGCATCTAGGTCCACCTTCTCTTTTGCCTTGCCTTTTTTGTCTGCAGTGACCACGAGCTTTGGAACTTGGCTCGACTCCTCCGGCTGTGTGCTGCCCTCCGCTGACGTCTCAGTTGGTGAAAAAGCCTCATTCCCTTCGGTCATGGTTGTGTCTTCGTCATTCTCCGCAATTGCCTTGGGGATATCGTCATAGGTTGTGGCATTTTCGGTATGGAACTCGCCGCGCAGGTTCACGGAACTCTTGTCGCCTAGTGGGAAGCTTTGGAATAGGAAGATGAAGACTCGGCCACAGAATACCGTATCTTCTGCGCGGGACAACCGGCGGAGGAGCTCGTTGCAGGATCTTAGGATGACCAGACTCTTCTGTTTGAAGTGTTTCTTGGAGAAAATCAGTCACGACTCTGAATTATCACCTTAATCGGCTACACAGGGCATACCTTAATATTCCGCTCCCGGCGCGACTCGAGATAGTCAAAAACTTTACGACAGCCATTGATTGTTTGACTGTCCAGCAGCTCCTCGATTAGCCAAAAGATGAGGCCAGGTTCACATTGTTCTGCGCCACTTGTTAGAAACGCCGGTTGGATGATCGTGTAGCTAGAGACGACAAACCGTTGTCGGAAAAAATAGAAACGATGTCGAGCAGGTTCCAGATGTGGATGAAGGAAGGGTCGTCGATCGAAGTTGAGCCCTTCGGTTATCACAGAATTAGCATCGATGTCAGCCACGACAGCTTGCGCGTAGTTGTCACTTACCAGGATACGATAGAACTTCTCGCGGAACGCGATCTCCACGGCAGCAAACTGAGTCTGCGGGTTGAGCTGCTTCACAATCTCTTGTTTCTCGCCTGGCACTCGCCAGATCGGCTCGCCCAGGACCCCCTCGGTCAACGGGGGTTCAATCTGTGAGTCTGGCTTGACCTGGGCTGCACGCTCCAGAAGACGATCCACCACCTCCTTGTAGACGCGAACCGCCTCAAATTCTGGGGCCGCCATCTTCTAGGACGAGAGAATGGGTGGAAGGGACAATTGGGGCTGCGAGCAGGAAAGGCAACAAAGGTCAGAGGAGACGGGTGGTTTGCGGCTCGGCGGAGAGGAAAGCCAAGACTTTTGGAAAAAGCTCCCCCAGCTTCACTTCAGATGTTCCCGACGTGCGCAGATCCACACCACGCCCTCGACCAAACCCAGTCTATCAGGATCAGGGACAATCGAGTGCTGCGATGGCACAGAGTCTCGAGGCCAGGCCGACCGTGGTGGATTTTCGCGAGGACAGCCCGTGGGTGAAGCTGGCCAAGGCGCACTGGTTGGACACGACTGTCCGCAAGGTCAAGCCAGATGTGATCAAACAGCATTTGTGGGATCCGCTGGAGGCGGAGGGCTTCACGAGTCGTTCACTTTTGATATTGGAGAACTTGAATGTGCTGGAAAAGTATGCTACTCGCAGTGAGATGATTCTTCTCTATCCCCGCAGGGCTGACTAGAGTTACAGGTTCCTTTGGCCGACGTACACCGAAGATGCGTCGAATCACCACGTTCTTCTGATTGCTCTGATTGTCAGCGTGAAACATCGTGAGCACCTTGCAATATGGGGTGAGTGAATGCGACGGATAATGGAGGGTGAAGCCTGGAGTCGCGATGGCTGACAAGTTAACGCAGACATTTTCTCCGATCGCGCCGACGATTTCTCGAGCCTATTCCATCGAATCCTGTCAATGAGCATTGATACGTCGCTGTCCACCAATTCCCGCATGTCAATAATCTCGTTCATAATCAGTGCCTTTCAATCACTCGAGAACGTCTTGATCCGGAAAGAATGCGCCCCGCTCGTTTCGATCTCGATCTGGCACAACCTCGCCAGTGACGATGCCAGGGAACATGTCATCGCCAAGTCGCCCGCACTAAAGAAGGCCTGGAGGGCCTCTGGGAAGCGTTACGATGCGGGTGATGACGCTGCCAAAGCGAAAATGCGGTTCGAGCGATCATGGCTGTATACAATGCTGCTAGTTTTCTTGCAGAAGTTGAATGGCCCAGCAAAGGAGCAACCGGAGAATCTGCTGTATTGCGAACGCTTTTTGGAACTACTGGTTGATCTCTTGAGCCAACTTCCGACTCGGCGTTACGTCAATACCCTGCTCAAGGATCTCAATCTCTTGCCCATTATCCGCTTGTCACAATTATACCGCGTGCCTGAAAATGCTCTGTTCCGCGATTTCTACAACCTTCTTAAGCATTTCATCAACTTTGCCATTGATGATTACTCTGGCGAAGCGCTTTCCCCTCAGGCCGTCTACGACCTGCACTGCCAAGAGTTGGCGCGATTGCAAAGAACCGCCATGAAATTCTTCAAGGAGAAGCTCATGATTCTTGCGCTTTCAAACTTGGGTTCAATTGAGCAACGATCCGAGTTGGAAGGTCAACTGTCTTCTCTGGAGGAAGCCGAACTCCAGAGTTTATGCACATACCTTGGATTCCGGACAAGCTATCCCAAGTCGTCAAATATCACCCCCAACCGCCAACTGTACCTTGAGGTTCTTTCCTCGTTTTATGAGCGCAAGCTTTCTTTCCAGGAAGTCGCTGCTCAATTGAGTATCATCCCAACGGAAGATAGTCTCTATGACCCCGCATTGCTGAGAAGTGAATCTTATGATGGATCAAGACCTCTTGCAATCCCAAAGTTGAATCTTCAATATTTGAGTATTGGGGACTTCCTCTGGCGCTCATTCCTTCTCTACCGGTCCGAGGCTTTCTTCCAAATTCGCAAGGATATGGAGTCAGTTGTTAAGCGCATACAGCCCAAGGCAAATCGTGATGGAAGCTTGAAATTTGATGGATTCTCTCGAATGGCTATTCCAATCTCTAAGCCTGCTATCATTGAAGTTGCCCCAGCCAAGGTTGGCTCTCCCAATCCGGCGTTCGTTAGGGCCGAGATAGCAATCGAGGTGGGAAGGCTTGCGGACAACATCCGCAAGGAATGGGACTCCCTTCGCCCAGATGATGTTGTTTATCTGCTGGCTGTTCAGTCTCCTTCTCCCACGCAGCTGGGAGGCCGTGACCAGAATGCAGAGGAGCCTCGTATGACTTACCTTCGCACAGCAGAGGTCGTGCAAGTGCTTGATGAGCAAGGCCGTCCATTGCGACTGCCAGGACGAGGTCAGGCCAACGGATATCACGCTCGTCCGAGGGTACGCAAGATCCTCGTTAATCTGGATGCTGCGGCATTCAAGGCAGACAAGGACCGCCAGCTGCACGGCAAAACTGATATCTATTCCCTGATCAATGTTATCGCGCGCAGGAAGGGGAGAGAGAATAACTTCAGGTCAATTCTTGAAACAATGCAGAAGCTCATTGTTTCAGATATGACTCTCCCGTCCTGGCTCCAGGATATTTTCCTTGGATATGGAGACCCTGCGGGGGCGCAATATACTCAATTGCCAGACAAGCTCCAGTCTGTGGATTTCCTGGACACGTTCTTGGACTGGACTCATCTGGTAGAGAGTTTCCCCGGGAAAACTATCGAGCCATCGGGAACTGAAACATCTAGTTTCGGTCCCCCTTACGTTCTCGAGTCCATCGACAGTGAAGGAAATTCTGCCCCTACTGCCCCGCAGAAGAAGCGCCGGCGAGAACAAGCCGAGCAGACCGAGAAAGGCCCCAGCACCATGCGGGTGTCAACTTACAAGCCACCCAACCCTGGCCCCTACCCTGTCGATGCCCCCAAGCTCAACAAGGTACGTTTCACGCCCGCCCAGGTGGAGGCAATCGCGTCCGGCACCCAACCTGGTCTCACGGTAATTGTGGGGCCACCTGGTACCGGCAAAACCGATGTGGCAACTCAAATTATCAACAACCTTTACCACAATTTCCCCGAAGAGCGCACGCTGCTCATCGCCCACAGCAACCAGGCGCTCAACCAACTCTTCCAGAAGATCATTGCACTCGATATCGACGAGCGCCATCTTCTGCGACTTGGTCACGGCGAGGAGGAGTTGGATACCAATTCAAGCTATAGCAAACATGGCCGAGTCGAATCTTTCCTTGATAACCGGAACCATTATCTGGCAGAAGTCATGCGACTTGCAGCGTCGATTCAGGCCGAGGGTGCCCATGGGAACTCGTGTGAAACGGCTGGCTACTTCAACACCGTCTATGTTCAGCCCGCGTGGGCCAAATTCTGGGACCAGGCCAACGCGGAAGAAGTGTCAAATGAGGAGATTGTCGCCTCCTTCCCCTTCCACACATATTTCTCAAATGCCCCGCAACCCTTGTTCGATGCAGGCGCTTCAAAGGAGACAATCCTGGATATTGCATCAGGCTGCCAACGGCACATTGACCGAATCTTCTCCGAGCTCGAAGATATTCGACCCTTCGAGATTCTGCGTCAGCCGCGGGATAAGGCCAATTACCTTTTGATCAAGGAAGCTCGTGTGATCGCAATGACCTCCACGCATGCGGCCATGCGTCGACAGGAGATTGCGGACTTGGGCTTCCACTACGACAATGTGGTCATGGAAGAAGCTGCCCAGATCACTGAAATCGAGAGCTTCATTCCCACTGCTCTTCAGAACATGAAGAACGGCGAGCTTCCCCTCAAGCGAGTCGTCCTTTGCGGAGATCATTTCCAGAACTCCCCTATCATCCAGAACATTGCTTTCCGCCAGTACGCACACTTCGAGCAGAGCCTTTTCCTGCGCCTGGCACGGCTCGGTGTCCCGGTTATTACTCTGGACAAGCAAGGGCGATCTAGGCCGACTATCGCCGAGCTCTTCCGGTGGCGCTACCCGGAGCTGGGTGATCTCCCGGCCGTAGAAACCGTGGAAGAATTCCAGCAGGCAAACGCTGGCTTTCAATTCGACTACCAGTTCATCAATGTTCCTGACTATCAAGGCACCGGTGAGCGCGAGCCGACACCACACTTCATTCAGAACCTGGGCGAGGCAGAGTACGCTGTGGCGCTGTACCAGTACATGCGACTGCTAGGCTACCCGGCCGCGAAAATCTCCATCTTGGCTACATATGCTGGGCAGACGGCTTTGATTCGGGACGTTTTGAGCCACCGCTGTGCGAAGAACCCCCTCTTTGGAATGCCGAAGATCGTAACAACCGTGGATAGATACCAAGGAGAGCAGAATGATTGTGAGTTTCTCTTCGCTCTACAAGCTGAAATCTTTCTGAAACTAACATCTTCCAGACGTGATCCTGTCTCTCACCCGTACTCGCACCGTGGGCTATCTGCGTGACGTTCGCCGTCTGACAGTCGCCTTGTCCCGCGCCCGCCTGGGGCTCTATATCCTCGGTCGCCGTGAGGTCTTCGAATCATGCTATGAGCTCAAACCTGCATTTGACCGTCTGCTACAGCGACCGGACAAGTTGATGCTTGCGCCAGGCGAGATGTTCCCCACCACGCGAGCGCTGGACGCTACGGTGGAGGGTACCCCCATGGAGGGTGTCGAGCATCTAGGCCAGTATGTGTTCGAGATGACCCAGGCCAAAGTCAAGGCTATGGGTGATGGCGAGATGGTCCTTGATGGTGCGGCGCCAGAAGACGAAGATGGCCTTTTGGGTGACGATGAAGAACCGCTGGGTGCTGATGGGATTGAGGATGAGGATATTGTATGAACATGCGTTTGACCCTGCAGTATGGATGGTTACAAACGCGGAGTGTAGCAGCTACTGCGCAAATGGTATTTTCCCTTGATATTGAATGAGCTTGAAGCTTGGCGGAGTCTACATGCTGGGGGCAAGTCCCCATGGAAATCTTAAATGCCGAGGGGTGTCTTCGAGTAACTCTAAAAGCATTTGTAACGGATTACTTTCAACAGAGCCAGAAAACTGATTGCCGATTAAGTATTGTTTATGGACTGCTTTACTACCTGTGATTTAAAGATGGTCGTACGGTATTTCTGGCTGCGTCTTCTACCCCGCTCAGATTTGCCTTTCCATGTCTATTAGAGAGGGCAAAGAGGGGTATTTTTACTTAGATTATTACTGGATGTCACTAGGTAGTAGAAAGTGCACAGACGAGGTACCGTTAGGCACATCTGATACAAGTTGATGATATATTTGTACTCTTGTATTCTGCCATGATACTAGAGCACCTCACGGAAGTTTGTTGATCTCCTCCACAATATTCTGGGGATCCTTCCAAGCAATAGTCACATACCTATACCCAGTATCTTAGCTGACCCGGAGCGATGGTAGTGGCTAGGGTATCCACGGAGCAACTTACTTTGTGTGGCTTCCTCGTGCGACGAGCTCGCCCTTGTCGTTGGTGAACTTGATGCTGGTGTAGGCGAGGGTTTTGCCGACTGTGCATCGTCAGCAAGATTGTCATGGGAGCGATCGGTCAGCAAAGAGTCGTACACTTGTCACACGTCACCTCCTGATTCATGTTAGCATATTCTGATGTTGTGTGGACAATCGGAGATAAAACGTACAGCCGAAATCTTATCGCCAATCTTGCCCCCGGAGTTCAGGTAGGTAACTGATATGGGAATGAACGTGTCAGGCAATTGAGTTTACCACAAATACCACTTTGTGGCAACCTTGGTACTCATGGCCAACTTACCATTCAAGTCGGTAGACACACCCGTCGCGAACAGTCCCCGGGAGGCAACAGCCAAGGAACCACCGAGGTCCACTAGGAATCAATGTGAGCTTCAAGGATTGGCTTTGATATATAAGTGTAGTGGCTCATGTACCCATGCTTGCAATAGTACCGCCATGAAGAATGTTCAACCGGTTCTAGACAAGACGTTAGCTGATAAGCATCTATAGCCGGGCTTGAGCCATAACAAGGCATCCGATGGATGAGATCAAATCAATGTGCCAACTTATTCAATGGGGGCCATGGTACTTACCGTGTGTTCCTTTTGAATGTCCAGTTCAAAGTTGACAGTTCCTGGCCTGGCGGCAGTGACCCGTAGCTAAATGCATTAATGAGTACTGTCTCCGGGTTTGAAACCTAGAATCTTGATGCTGATTTTCAACTAACATTATTCAGAAGTCTTAAAGAAAATAGGTGTCAGCCCATCCAATGCTTGAGCTGCCTTGGAATATGAAGTCCTCATGATCAGTATAGCTTACCGAGGCTCTAGACCGGAAGTAGCCCGAAAGGACTCCCACACCTACACACACATACAGATGTTAATGATGAGCTCATCATTAGCCAGCCCAGGCAATCGTTACTCACAGTCTTGACAAATCTGAGGGCTGTCATCTCCGCAATAGGGTTGAGGATTTGGGAGGTTGAGGAGGAAGAGCCGAAGGCCGGTAGATGGTCGGCGCGTCCCATCCCGGGAACAGCGCAAAGTGGCCGCTGCGCCCCCCGTACGCAGCCCCATCCAGTGATCATGACTTCACCGCGCACCATTCTTTTCACAGAGCTACAGAGGCGCCAGGTCTCAACACCATGGCGGCACCTACGTCTCGTTCTCTCGAGTACCTGGAGGGCCTGCCTGGAACGACCTTCTTCAAGCTGTACCAACAGCCATCCACCGCCCTCGCTATTTTCCGGCGCATGCTGCCTGATTTGGGTATCTGGAGCTTTCCGCTCATCGATCGCAGCTTCGTGACTAACAGTGAGAACAGCAAAATGTTTTGTGATGGCACTGTTATATCTGAAGGATCCTCTGCCTACGCAGGATCTTGAGCTCTGGGTCAAAACAGAAAGCAAGAAGTGAGCGCGCAACTTCTCGACGTTCTTTGTTCAGACCGGCAGAGCTGACAATTTGTTCTTAAAAATGAAAGGCAACGAGATAACGCGCTGTCGATATTGGGCCGGCTACATATTCTATCGACGACGCTCACAGGCGAAAATGCCCGCGCATACATGGTCACCAACCCATTCGCATCCTCCCTCAGACAAGCCCTCATGGGCTCGGAAGACTCCCAATCCTTTGGTGTCTTTTCCCAAGCTCCGGGTGAAAGCCTCATATCAATCGCTGACCTGGATGAATATGCACGAGGGCGGTGGGAAAGTGTGCTAGGGTACATGGTCGGAACGAGTGCTCTGAGTGGACAACGTGACGTGAACCTCAGCAAGGGCGTCAAGCAGTTGCTCCAAGCAGGCCACCTTGTCGAGATTCGTGATCGTCGAGTGGATATCACCAAAGATGGATTTGGATTCGTGCTTCAGGATGTCAACACGCAAGTCTGGCACATACTGATCCTCTACGTCGAGAGCGCCGAGGCCATCGGGATGGACAGCGTCGAGGTCCTCTCATTCCTGTTCCTGCTCAGCAGTTTGGAATTAGGACAGTCCTATGAGAAGGAACAGTTGTCCTCTGTCCAGCTCCGGACTCTTGCCGACCTCGCCGACTTTGGCATTATCTACCAAGAGACGCCGGAGGCCACACGCTTCTACCCAACACGGCTTGCAACCACCCTGACGTCCGACTCGAGTGCACTGAGCAGCACCGTCGGTAGCTCGTTGACTGGGGCCTCGGCTCATCCTGGTGCTTCCGGATCCGGATTCATCATCATCGAAACGAACTATCGCCTCTACGCATACACCTCATCGCCGCTACAGATCTCTCTCATCTCGCTCTTCACAACACTGAAGTACCGCTTTCCAAATCTGGTCACCGGCAAAATCACACGCCAATCTGTCCGCCGGGCCATCGACATGGGCATCACCGCCGACCAGATCATCTCATACCTGTACTCCCACGCACACACTCAGCTGCGCAAACGCGATGCTTCCCTTTCCACCTCCAACACGACAAGTATCCCGCCCTCGGTGCTTCCGCCTACTGTCACAGATCAGATCAGACTGTGGCAGCTGGAGCGTGACCGGCTCAGAGCCACTGCTGGCTTCCTATTCAAGGATTTCACTTCCCTGCAGGAATACCAGGCCCCATGCCAATATGCCGCGGAGATCGGTGTGCTGGTCTGGAAGTCTGATCGGAAGCGGATGTTCTTCGTGACGCGGCACGAGCAGGTAGCTGCGTTCCTCCGGAGTAAAAAATAGTTCTCGGTCGTCGACGGCGTCGCTTAAGAGACTATCTTGCGTGTCTTGCATTTGCACGGTTGGTGGATTTGGAAAACAAAAAATGAGCGTGATTTCTCGATCGGTACATGGGTTGGCGTTTGTGAGCCACAAAGGCATTTAACGACATCACGATAGCTTCTTAGTTTATACCAATTCTTTCGTCAAATTGTACAATACAACACATATTGTTTCATCTCCATGTGGTGCTGGTGCCTGCCCCTACGTCGCGCGAAGATCAAGCGGACCACGCAAGACGCTCGGGCAAACCCTTTCCGTGAAGCTGGCCCAGTGGCCCTCGCCAATCTGCTTTTTGTAGCTGACAATCGTGTCCCCATTGACCTCATCCGGTAGGTGGACAGAGACATCCATGATGCGAGAGAATCCGTCCACCCGGGGCCGCGATAGGTCCTTCTCCGTCAGAACGCCCGCAACGATCGGCTCCTCAATACTAGAATCTCCCGCGTACAGACCCCCCTCCTCAATCCTGATGACCTGCTCCAACACATCCGCCAGCAGCGGCCCATTCCACACCCCCTCGCGGTGCGGCACCGACCGCAGAATCCGAATCGCCTGCCGCCGAACCCGCGGGACGCGGCATTTCAGCCCGGTGCAGTATACCGGCGGAATAAACCCGGCTTCCACAGTGAACCCTTGCCCACCGAATTCGGCGCCCCGCAGCAACGGCTCCAGCTCCTTGGCGTAGATGTGTGTGCGGGACGAAGACGTGCATAGGTCTTCGAATCCGCCGATCATGGCGATGAAGTTCTCCGTGTGCGAGTCGAAGATGGTTTCCTTCGCTGATGGGAGGCAGACGGATGCGATGATGACGACCATTTCGTAGTAGGTCCCTAGCAGAATGCAGCCGTGTATGTCTCTGGGCGAAGTTGTTTCCGTCTTTATGTGGGCAAGGGTGGCTCTGAATGCTTGGTGCCAGCAGGACAGTTCGGTGAGGATTTTGTGTCGTGTGTCGAAGAATTCGGACTCGTCTGTTAGTCTGCCTTCTGGTTTGAGGTCGTGTAGGTGTCGCTTGAGACAGTGTGCTCTGTTCATGAGATTGTCGAGTGTCTGCCGGGCGTGCTGCATGGAATGGAATTCGGGTGGGAAGGCATTGCCTGCCGGGGCGCGCATCACCAAGCACATACGAGACGGGACATGGCCGAACATGGCAGATTGGATGGCGAGCCGTGCGTAAGAGTCGATTAAGGCATTATGTGCAAAGTCCTCCGCAGGACTCAGGATGTTCGGCGACATCGATGACCGAGGCTGTGGCACCGATATATTCGTGAGAAGCTGGATGCCATGCCGAAGATGGGCGCTGCCCATGCTATACTGGCCACGGAGGTACTCCAGCGTCACGAATAGCATACAGGTGATCAGCGCCACCCGCAGAGCATGTTTGTTGGTGGCCGTGCCCACCCGCAGGTAACTAATGGCCTTGTTGTACTGCTGGAGCGTGAACCTTGCCGCGTCATAGCCGTATGTCGCGGGAACCGTCCAAGGGCTGTCCCCCCGTTCGAAGCGATGGGCTGCAGACAGCGCAATGACCGCGTGCCGGACGCAAGGTTCCTGTGCGCTGGCTTGGAACACCAGCGTCTCCCAAAAGTCAGAGCTGTACAAGCTGGTAAATTTCCGCCGGGCCTTCTCCATGAACCAGTCGAAAGAGCCCTGCTCTTCACGGGTTACGACCGGAACTGGCGTGCAATAGATGGAAAGCGCCCGGTTGGCGTGGGGAGTCCCGCCGCCCCAGATGCCGTAGCCATCGCAGACGCGTCCGGTTGAGACGCAGCGGCGACATGCGGGGCGATTTTCATCGCACTTGACGCGGCGAATCCTAGTGTAGGTGAGCACTGATCGCCGTTATCCGAAGCCGAAACCTACTTGCACGTCTTGCAGCCTGTTTTGACCCGCTTTCCGGCTCGGCCCAGGTGTTGTTTCGCGCGGGTTTCATGCATAACCGACAGAGACCTGATGGTGCTCAGGATCTGAGATCAGGCGAGACGACTGGATAACCGACGGGTCGATGATCTACGGGTTGTCCAGAGCTCGCGGGGACGGGCCCGTTGGCCGGCTCGGAAACCACCGCTGGTTGGCTGAGGCGTATCAAAGCCGGTATAGGCGGGTTCGCCTGGGCTTGCGGGGGTCTGGTTGGCTGCTTCCTCTCTGCTATGCCCGTCATGAACCCGCGTGGGGCACTTGTTTGGAACGACGATGATGCTACACTCGCAGCGATTCTTATGTTCCTAGACGGGGAGAAGGTGCTCTGAGAAAAGGGCCTTCCGAGTCTTCGATCTTTGTTCTCGCATTCGGAGAAGTTTTCAATTGCCTCACCTATATTCATTCTACTTGCCCCTTCACCTCGCACAGGTCAGCTAAACAGGTGGACGAGAACACTGCGTCGGCCTTGCTGGGGCTTGAGGCCCCAACAGTGCAGGAGATCTGGAATCTCGTCGAGCATATCAAGATTGAGGGCGACCGGTACGATGCTCCGTAAGTTGCTGTTTCGTGCCGGGCTATATACTTTTCAACCTCCTTGCTGATGGTGTCTATAGGTTGATGGGCAATCTCCTGGCCGGTACTCCGACATTGTAAATAACGAGGTATCTGCCGCGCAGCCCACATCCATGGTTATATAGTCTGAATAAATCTGGTCAGAGCTCAAGCCCCTCCAAAATCGGGGCCCTGCTGGATCGTCCTTGAGGCCAAGACAATCCAAGACAATCCAGGGGTAAACATGGCCGCGGACCACGAAATGGCATTCCCCGCTAAACCTGGCTTGTGCCTGTGTCATAACATCGGACTTGATGAACTCTGTCCGTAGGCCGCGACTGAAAAGAGAGCATCGCGATCAAGATCTCCGGCGCGCACCCTGGCGACAGCATCCCGCGGATGGGTTGATTAAGCATAACCTTAAAACGCTTAAATCCGGAGAGGCCCCGTGCAGATAAGCCGACCCACTGTGGCTCGCCTGCCCGTCAGGGGACCCAACGAGACAAACCAGGCCAAACTCTCCCCGAACCGACCCAAGCTCCGCGGAAAGTCAATTGGGAGTCCCTGGACCTGTGTATTCTCCCCTCCGCAAAGGCTTCCGCAACGCATCGCTAGCCCCCACTCCCGCCGACGATGTCCTCGTCCAGTGAAGCCAGCCCCGGCAACTGGATCGTTGGCAGCTACACCGGCAGCAGCGATGGGGTGCGCATCACGATCGCGACCTTTGTGGGTGTTGCATGGTACAACGTGATCGAGCTGATTGTGCTCATCTTCCTCACGTTCAAACGCTACCAGGGCCCTTACTTCTGGAGCTTATTGATCTCCTCTATCGGCATTCTCCCCTACTCCATCGGCTACCTGATGAAGTTCTTCGCCCTCACCTCCGCCACTTGGGTGCCGGTGACGCTGCTAACGGTGGGCTGGTGGACCATGGTCACCGGGCAGTCCTTCGTCCTATACTCGCGCCTGCATTTGGTCCACGAGAACCAGCGCGTTCTGCGCATGGTCAAGGGCATGATCATCATGAACATCTTCCTGCTCCATGTACCGACCACCGTCTTGACCTACGCCGCTAATTTCTCCGGGTCTCGCGCGGCGATTGCGGGGTACGATATCATGGAGAAAATCCAGCTCACCGGCTTCTGCGTCCAGGAGGTGATTATCTCCAGTCTGTATATGTGGGAAACCAACCGCATGCTGCAGCTGAGTTCCGACTTGCGTAGTCGCAAGACCGTCATGCAACTGCTCGCGGTCAATGTCTCTTGTATTCTCATGGATCTTGCGCTGATGGTCATCGAGTTTATGAATTTCTACATCTACCAAACCACCCTCAAAGCCACGCTCTACAGCATCAAACTCAAGCTGGAAATCGCCGTTCTGGGAAAATTGGTCTATATCGCCCATCGGCATGTCTGGCGTTCATCCTTCACTGAGGCCCATGGCCAGTACCCCTCTTTCGTCGACCCCACCCGTCTTGTTGGGGACTACCGCCATCCTGAATCTACGGGCACCAGCCAAGGCTCGAAGGGCTATGCGACGGGGCTGGAAGGTATCGATTGTGATTATGAGATCCACTGAGACACGAGGCATTCTTGTTGTTCTCCACGCCTTCTGCCTGGCGCATTCAGAACTTCCCCCGGGGCAAATATGCCCTGGACCATCGGGGTCTTCGTCTTTCCGACCGCCTCGGCCGCGCCGATACCCTGCATGCGACCGAGTCGCACTGGGACTCTTGTACCCACCTCGCCCGAAACCGAGAATACGCGATCATCTTCGCCGTCTCCTGGCGCTGTGCGAACCAAAAAAGACTTGCCCGCTCTGAATCTAAGAATCTACGATCTACCTTGCGAATGTGCGCGCCGAATATACCGGCAGACCTCGAGCAGTCTTTTGCAGGGTTATTTACTGTGCATAGCGATTACGTCGTTACGACCATCCTATAGATATTTATATGAGCACTGCATAATTTAATATTTGTTGGACCTCGCTGGAATTTGGAGCACGCGATCTCTTGTCTGGGAAGTTCTGACTGATAATCAAGACTCTAGCATCCACATCATAAATCCCAGCCAAGCTCATGGGGCAACGGATGCGGGCCAGCCCAATTCATTTCCGCCGACATAGACCACCCATTGGCCTCTTTCAGCTCCCTCATCCCCTGAAGCAGATCCACCTTCACATCCTCCATGGGCAACTGAAGCCCCCGCACCAAGTCCCCCGTCCACCGTTCCTCCTTGAACCCGCTCCAAAGGTGAGTCGGAAGCTGTTCCGAATACCACATGTCTAGAACGACTTCTGTACCCGTCAACGCGTTCCTTAACGGCACGGCATGCCTCCGATCGTAGAACCCCGCCGGGTCTGGATTCGGCGGCGGAGACACCTGCAGCCCGGCATACGTCCGGTACCGCGCCCAGCAGACTCGGAAAAAGTAATACCGCGGCACGTCCCCCGAAGCGTGAATGATGAGATCGTACAGCGCGTTCATGCGCAAGCCGCCCAGCGGCTGGAGCGGGATCTCCCACCTGCGCATGGACACCATGTCGGAGGGGGCGATGCCGCGCTCCACTCCGCCAAGCGACATGATCGGCGGTTGCTGGACGAGCATCCGGCGCCAGCTTGCGGTCGGTCGCCGAAAGGCGTCGTTGCTGTCTAGGAAATCCTGCATGTCGCCCGCGCCAAAGGCGATGGCGCACGATTTGGGATCGTCGGCAGGGAACCAGAATGGGAACTTGGATGCGAGGAGTGGGTTCTGTTGTGCGGGTTTGTTGGGAGATGTTGGCTGGAAGAAGAGGGCTTTTTGGAGCTCAGGGGATTGTTGAATGCAGCTTGCCCATTGGCAACAAACTTGTTGGGCGAGGAGGAGCGTTTGCATGTCCTGTACATGAATGAGGATGGCCTCTAGGAGCTCTGTTGGGAGGGTGTGGAGGCCCATGTTTGGTTTTAGGATTAAGGGGGTGTGCAATGGAGATACGGAAGCGGTTCGCGAAGTAAGACGAGGATCAACACGGCGTGTATTTGGAGACGCGGTTTGTCCCGAACGCGGGGATGGTCCCCCGTGCTAGCGGGGGTTTTGGCTGGGGTACTCCATAGCTAACCCCGCTCCACCATAAGCGCTATTGTCGTGTAGCCCGATTGTTGTCTTGCCGACAAGTGCGGACTATATGCTATACGACCGGAGAGTGGATCCGGTCGGGTCTCTGGGGTAGGATATTTTTATGAGAAAAAGGTCCATTAGCTAGATGAACCATTTCGATTACCTGTATCCCACCCGAACACTATGTTAGACACACGCGCTCCCCGAATCCATGTAAATAAGTTGATAACACAATGTCCTAGAAATCACCATACATGCATCTAACTAGATGCGGTCCCAGGGGCAGCAGGCTGAATCTTCTCCGGCGTATAGTTCGGGTCTTCAAGATAGCTCGAGGCAGGCATGAAGTCAATGGAACCATACCCGCCGGACTTCGGCATGCCGAAGATGTCCGTCTGGTCCGGAATCTTTTCATACCAGCAAATGCAAGTTTTTTTGTAGCTGTCTCCAAGGATTGAGGGATCAGTGTCTTTGCATTGCACTTTGCCGTTATCCCCGTCAGAGCCAACCCCTGTGGGATCGGGGGCCGTGCTGCCGACGGCCAGGTCGTCATTCTATTCAGTGGATAGTTCACCCGCCTCTGCGCATCTGCGCATCTTCCAATTTACTGACATACCAACTTTGCAATGGCTCCACAGGCCCCCCTATCCTGGGCCCCGGATGGCAACACAAAGCCCGTTTCTTCATTTCCATCCTGAAATGATTTCATTGATTGCGTCCTTCTTGCCAATGAAAGATATCAAGTCCATGCGCTTAGCATGTAGAGCACTCGGCGAGATAACACCATTCTCATTGTCGCGCGTGTTTCTTTCGGCCAATTTGTTAACCATCCAGATTTTCGACAGCAGATCACGGAGATTATTTGGGACGACGCACGATTTGTCTCCGCGCCATTGATCTGGGAGGATGTGTATCCAGTAACCGACCCGCAAAGCTTGCAAACCAACACCGATGAAGGACGTCCTAACTAGTTCGTGGATGAATGCGAAAGAAAACCGCGATGTGATGAAACCTCGGAAATTTCATGATGTGGACCGACGCGAGCTGAAAATGGCCTGAGCCGGCCTGCAATCTCACTAGTCACTGCAAGGCCCTAAGTCGGGGTGGTGAAAAGAGAGGGGGTTACACTCTCATCGGCCAAATTGAAATCAAATTATCCTTCCAAAGGAACTCCATAGATATCAACAGCATGGACAGCCTGAGGGTTCCAAAACACTGCGCGCGGATCGACCTTTCTCTTAAGGGCAGCCAACCAATGATAAAGTTCTGGACCATAATACAGGACAGCGGCTTCTTGCCAACTCAGCATCGGATCGACGTAACTTAAAGAAGCGCCGAATTGTCCCTCTGGCTGCGCCTCGGGAATCGTCCGAGTAAGTTTACTAGCAAAATCGATTACTTTACTGCGGTTTTGACCTTCCAACGAGAAGAAATTCTATTGGTTATAAGCGGACGTAGTCCAAACGGAAGTCGTGTCAAACTAACCTGAATGACCCAAAGATCATTACGGCCTGAGTACCCGGAGGCAAATGTAGGCACAGCGTTTATCTGACTGTCGCGACCGCCATATAGATTGATGATTGAACGCCAGTTGGTTGGACATGAGGCGTTGCATTCTGCGATAATGAAACCAAAGAAACTCATCAAGGCTTTGAAAGTTAATGGATAGGCTTCCCGTGTCACGATTGACTTGGCATAAAACAATCCATGGTCACGATAGTCGGTCAATGGCTGTTCCAATGGCTTATCAGTTTCATTTGCAAGGCTTTCAAGCCATGTCCTGGAACTGATGGTGGCTTCAAACGGCCCAGGGAAAGTCTCCGTAATAACAGGCAACATCGTGTTCCTGAAATAGGATTCATAACCCAGATACCATCCTTTCAAGGTGAATTCTTTTCCACCCTCAATAACGATGCCAAATGTTAAGTTGCGAGTCATGTGTGGCGAAGTGAGCGCAAATTCTTGCAATCTCAAGAACCCGTGTGCAGCTTCAGAAGAGGACTTCAATACTGCCGGCATGCTCACAGAGAAAACCACTATCTTCTTCGGTGCCGCCAAAGTTTGGAGATAAAATGTGGTGATAATACCGAAACTATCAGCGGCTCCTCGTAAAGCAAAGTAGATATCGGGATAAGTCGACGCACTCGCGTGGATCAAACTTCCGTTGGCCAACACAACATCGAGACCAATAATGGTATCCATTGCCAAACCCCAGGCTCGGGAAACATAACCATACCCGCCATGGGTGAAGTGTCCGCCGATACCAACGTCTGGACATGTTCCATGTGGTAGCGCCCGCTTACCCTGGGCATACAGGCTGAGATCAAGATTTCCGAGTCTGACGCCTCCGCCAACAGAAGCTACACCGGTCGCTGAAACAATATTAGAGCCAAATACTTAAGCGTAAAGGTATTTTCACGTACTATCATTAACTGATATTGTATGGAACATTCGTAGATCCACAATCAAAGAGCCATTTTTCCCTCCGGTGGAGTAACTGGCGTAAGAATGGCCGCCTGACCTGGCTTGCACTTTGATTCCGATACTAGCCGCACAGCTGACTGAGTCAGAAACTTCTTGGGTTGTTGTTGGAAGTGTTATGGCGACGGGATTATAGACTTGGGCGACGTTGAAAGATTTCGCTAGCTCCAACCACTGGACTGAGGTGTTATAAGCAGTGGGAACATTTTTTCTAGTCAAGCAATTGACAAGATGTGCTTCGTTACTACCAGACTGGAAATCGGGTGCGGATATTGAGAAAGCTGGACAGCTCAGATGGAGCAAAGTGGCTATCACGAGATATAAAGTTAGGAACATGTTGGGAGTAACCAGCTTGAGTGTGGTATTTAATGTGCCGAATGAATATGAAGCAACCTAGAAGCGGAACGGAGAATAGACGGAAAAAGTCTAGTGAATTTGTTGATTGTGCTCTGATGAAAAAAGGATCTGGTGATCAAAGTTAATGTTATCGAACACGGCATTGTTGGAATCTGGCACGGATTACACCGCATTAAGTGCTGGTAGTTTTCTTGCCTAAGTTGGGCAAGACAAGCAGCAAGGGCGCCTATATTGACGAGGGACAGTCTCCACCACTTTGAGATTTTGACGCAAGGGATAGCTGTTTTTACTACTAATAACATTCTTAGCACCAGCGTTGGCTCCTATTCGACCCAGCGATAACGTTCATTACTAACACCTGCATATCCGGTGGACAAATTGGTTTCCAGATTTTCGCGTCCACTGGCCCATTATCGGGCATATGGTATTCCTGAAATCTATACTATGCTGGAGGATAATGGTATCGCAGCAAGCTGATACTGTATAGCCTAGTATGCATGCAAGACCAATAAGATCAAGCGGAACCAATTTGGATGAATACATTGATTGATTAAAGAAAAATGCTGTATCTGCGATCTCGATTCTTTGACAACAAACATAAACGGCCCCGCAAGCAGGATCCTGCTGGCTGCGGCTGAGCCTCAGCTCGGGGCCGAGACTCATGTCACCTCCACAACAGGCCACGAATGCGCTCTACTTCAACTCCCCAACAACATAGTTCTGCCCCTAAAACAGCGGGCATTATATCTAGTTTCAAGCTAACTCTGCAGACTGGGTCCCAGGTGATTCTTAGGGGCTTTTTAGAGCCCCTCTGTTCAGGGTCCAGAGGATCCTCAATTCCCAATATGTCCGAGATCAGCAAGAACACGAAAGCAGATGAGAGAGGGCAACCACCAGGGGCTCCCAGACCGCACTTATTGTCATGTTCTTTGATCAGAATTGCTGTCGTGATCTTTTCCATTGGTTCTCTCGCCTTGGTTTTCCAGAGATCCTGCCATCTGCGTGACATCATGCGCTATGACGACCCATCCTTGGTCCAAAAGGGGCCATCAAAGGGCCAGAATATCAATTCCTCAACCCACAAATGTTCCCTTCCCACAACCCGATATAATATCGAAACTGGCATGACAGCATGCTATCCATCCTCGGGTGGAATTTGGATGACCGATCTTGGCCCTGTGGAGCTACAATACCTGGCCATCCACCGGTTCCAATCCGCGGAGCGATCCTGGAGGAAAGCCGAAGAAGACCGCTTCTGTCATGAACTTCGAAAATTGGCGGATCTTGGTATAACCCCCAATCATCCGATGATTTGTGGGTCGGCGGGGAGTGCGGGGAGCTCGACGAGTTCGAACCCGTGTTCTCGATTGACCGCCGAGTTGCATTTCCAGAAAATGGCGGAGTATGGGTTCTGGGTTTAGACGAGCAGGGCGGAAGATATCCTCCGGGGATGGCTATTGTCCGCAATGCGTTAACTATGGAAGAGCGCTCTCTGGCACTGGAGAGAATAGGAGCGGTCTACAGTGATGATGTTACGAAGTGACATCTTCTGGATGACCTTTCGAAAGAGCCATGCGACCTTGTCAAAAAGAAGTAGTTTGAGCCATGATGATGCGGGCTATACTATGCAGGAAACCAGGAAACCCCGCTTGCTTGCAGTAACTTCGATTTGAACTCGTGAATTTGCCAACACATTATAGGGAAGATAGAGGAGTGAAAGAAGGAGGGGTGATCGGCTGATCGGCCAAGGAAATTAGCTACCCTCAGACATACTCTACAAGACCTGGTCTAATTTCGGCTGCCAAGTTGCCGGTTGATCCGTGCACAGCTAAGGAAAGTGCTATGTAAAGTTGATTTGAGGGCGCCAAAACCAAATCTCAGACACGACAGTCGGCAGAAAAATACCTTTGCAAATACGTGGGGGCCTTATCATTGAGTGTTTGGGTTGCATGTTTGTTCAGAACGGGAAGAACTGTCTTAATAAGGCTACGAGCACCAATTACTGACAAAAAGGAGTTTGGTGATGGAGTGCCAACACCACACAGCCCCCGACTCTTCCGGCTGGTGCCGTAATTCGTTCAATGGAAGACAAACCAGCCCTGCTTATAGGAGGGCACTGAGTCTCCACACTGCTCCACTTCGCGACAAAACTAGCCATATGGCGGTCCAATTTCCTTCGGAACTGCATTGCGGTATTTGTTGCCTAGCTATCCTCAAACCAATCGTTGCGCCCCTATGACCCAAGAAGGTGTTATGGACCACTCCTCTCCCCAAATCCCAAGCAATTGCTAAGAACAGGCGTTTATCTATTGGAGCTAGAATTCCTTGGTTGATTATCTCCGCTTGTCGCTCAATTAGTAAAACCTAGCTAGTCATTCTGGCTTGCCCAGAAATGACTAGTTCTTGGCTAGAAGAAAAATATTTTTCGTGTATACCATCCCCTTTCCAGGAGTCGTGGTCGGTCATGGTCGGTCATCATGCAGAAACCACGTCTATTGTTCTGGCTCACGTGTAGGAGAGCTATCGTCGTCTATATACTGGTTGTTTTCGCCCAAATCTCCTATTTCTTACATCGGGGTGAATTCCTGTTATGGCCAGGTATTGAAAATCTCCCCGGGACTTACCGAGCTCGATCATTTTTGACGATCGTCAGGAACAGCCGGGGTTCTTCGTCGTGATGTCGTCCACCAACTTGTCAATCTCACAAATTCGTACACCTCGCAATCTTCCAACTCCAGCGTCGGTCTCGTACTCGCGTCGATTCATACCGATGACCTGACATGGCTACTTGACTATTGTACCGAAAGGCAAGCCGGTTTGCTCGGCCCTTGAACCCCAGGCGGCTTACGCTGTTTTAGTGGCAGTATTCCCTTCGTTTACACCACCGACCGATCTCCCGAGCCCGGTCTTCTAGTTCCTCCTACCCGCCGTGGCCGAGAGGCACCCGCCTACCTCTCCTACATCGTTGACTTTTACCACCATCTCCCGGACTACTCTATATTCGTCCACGCATTCCCCGAACAGTGGCATAATGACCTTTTCGGACCATATACCCAGGATACGCTGAGGAACATCCGGCTCGAATCTATTGATGCCTATGGATATGTCAACCTCCGGTGCCAGCACAATCCAGGCTGCCCGAGTAGTGTGCACCCCCTCAGTCCAACCCAGGCCGATATTGATAATCACGATATCCGTGCGTACTTTTCAGAGGTGTACCAGCAAATCTTTGATACCACACCGGATAAGGTACCGGGCGCCATAGGCAATGTGTGCTGTGGACAATTCGCCGTGAGCCGAGAGAGGATTCTTGCTCGGCCCAAGGAAGACTACCAACGAATTTTGAACTGGGCAGCAACCACTAAACTAACCAATGACTTTGGCGTTGGCTGGGTCCTAGAGAAGCTGTGGCACATTCTTTTTGGGATGGATGCAGTTTAGTGAGTCTGACCTTATTTTCTGGATTATTTCTGACCGCAAAGAGAGACGTCTTGCTGATTTTCTTGTGCACAGTTGCCCTCGCTTTGAGCAATGCCGCTGTGACGTATATGGATGGTGCGGGCCTCTGCCATCAGGGGAATCGCTGCAAGCGGTAATCAAGAATGAGCACCAAAATGGCTCTCCAGCTTAACGAGTTAAAGCTGGATATCACCTAGCGAGAAATAGAGATTTCGATTGAGATACCCTGTTCAACTAATTTGACTGACAGTCTTTCGGTAGAGGTTTAGCTCTAATTGTCGTATGTTCAAATGCTCTTACCAGGCTCAATTGTACGTTGTGACCACAGTCAAGGCGATACCGCAAGATCTGGGATCCACAAGAACCAATACCTCGCTGCGTTCGGCAGAGTTTGTAGCATATCGTCCCGAAGTTTATTCGTGATCAAGTTTCCAAAGGGTGGGGGACCACTCAACTCAGTGAGTCAAGGTTTCCATCCCCAAAGTTCAGATACAAATTTGAGAATGGAGGTGTGGGTGAAGTCGTTGCCCTCGGAACTCGGTTTATTTTGTACCATCCCTTTCTCAACCAGGAGGAGATCAAAATCGTCGGCAAACGAATCCATAGACAGTCAGAAAGGTATAATTCTTTCCGTCGGTGGCATTCTCGGTGTAGGTCAGACTATCGCCGGGAGGAACGCCAGTGGGTGGGGATACGTGGGCGGCAAAACCCCCATGCTCATCCCGAGTGACAATAAAGGGTGTCTGGTTCCATTGTGGGGAACTACGCAACGCTTCGTAGATGCTCTTCATGAAGTTTTCGCCAATATTGATGGGCGACTTGGGGTGCATTGACATGTACTCACAGCACCCTGAATTAATCCAGGTCAACTGAGGGAACTTTCCAGCCTTGGCATCGGTATAGAAATGGGCCATAGGAAGGAAATTGGTTTTGCCCTTTCCAGACTTGGCGGTCCATTGATAAAAAAGCGCATCGGACAGGGAGCTTGAGGCTCAGAGGTGGTGGCGTTTTCATAGTTGATCACTTCGGCCGCCTCCATCGTGCTAGCTTGCAAGCTATACATGTAGATTTGCTCGGTGATAAAACCGCTCATGGTGAACTGGGCATCCACACCAGGGTGATAGTTGCCGAAGACTTGCATGGTGCCTCCCGTGATTGTATGGTCGGACGATCGTCCGACGCGAGATTTTGGCGATGTTCGCCGCGCCCACTTTTCCGAAGTTTACTGCGAAAGTGCGAAACGTTGGCCGGATTACAATATTGTTTGTTGACCAATCCATGGATGTCCGGGTTGTAGGTTAAGCCACCGACAAGCGTGTCAAATGACCGATTCTCTTGCACAAGCAAAGCACAATGACATTCTTGATGTTGTTTATGCCCGACGCATGTGGCCGGGCGACGGCACCGAGGCCGAAACTGAGTGTGATGAATGCGAATAAAAGGACCATGGCCGAAGCTTGCGCAGCCAACTAGTTCGTCCCCATGGGAATATACCAGCCATGTATAGCCCTCAATCTTGAGATGCATCGAATCCCCGAACTGGAGTGGTGTAACATCGTGGGGAATGCATTCCTGTCTCCACATACCGCGTAGGATCCACTCTAAACACTCTAAACACTCTAAATACTCTAAACACCCAGTTATTTGTCGATCACTCACTCTAAAGCCCTCACATCGCAAAACGTCTAGGCAACCGTACGATGTTATCCCTAGGTGCAGTTGGCCGCCTCCTATTGGTCTTTTGCCACATTTCTTCCTGATCATCCGTTGGCGTTGCAGATTCCTGCCGCTTGCTTGATCATCTAAGGCTGTGAGACATGTGCTGTCATCCTCTCATACCCACTCTCCAAAGCACAGATTTGTCCAAATGTTTAGACACTAACTATATGATACTAGCTTATTTCGTAACACACTGGTAGCAAACCCTCGTCATCCAGAGGTCCTCTGGCAGGGTATATCATATCGTGTTACGCTTTTCTTGCATCATACGACAGCTCTCTGCGTTGTCTAGGTCACTAGCAGCGGAGACATCACCATTATGTGGTCGCAAGAAATTAGCCAGCTACCTGATTCGCCCGCGACCATCCCAGCTCCACCTCGTTCTGAGCCCTAACTACCACCGAGTCATAGTAGCCATCACCGCGTCTAACGGAACCTTGAGCATCAAGGTATAGCCCCATCGTGTCCTCGCTACGCTATTCAGCCGGCATCTAGAGCCCTCACGTAAGTCTAGCAGCCACCTGACAAGTCAGGTCGAAATCTGCCACACCTTCCTTGGGTGACGACTCACTACTTCATCCCACTCACATCCCCCACTTTCTCTCGTTCATCCCTTCTTCTCTTCTCTTATTATCTATCTCTTCTCTTACTATCCATCTCTTCTCTTATCATCTATCTCTTCTCTTCGCTTATTATTTATCTCTTCTCTTATCATCTATCTCTTCTGTTCGCTTATTATTTATCTCTTCGCTTATCATCTATCTCTTCTCTTCGTTTATTATTTATCTCTTCTCTTATCATCTATCTCTTCTGTTCGCTTATTGCTTATTATTTATCTCCTATCTTATCATCTAATCTCTTCTCTTATCATCTATTTCTTCTCTTATCATCTATCTCTCACATCATCCCTCATCTTTCCCCGGAGTGACTCCGGTGTTAGACTGCGCGGTCGGGGTATAGTTTATAGCCCAACCCGTACAGCAGGAGGAAGAAAGGCTGACCATGATGACTGAAAGTGGTAGGTGTGTTAGGGGACGATCGGTATTTTGTTTTGAAGAGAGGCATTCATTGTTCTTGCCAATCAGTCAGAAGAATTTCTCCGTGGTAGAAAGACAGGCTCCGGCTCGGAGGACTGCTCTGTTGATATGAGCACATCCCTTCAGTCGTGACATGCGTGGTGAACCATTCGAAATTGACTCCACTTTTATTTTTATAGTCTGTTCCTGATAGTTTTCGGGCCACTACGCCCAATTATTGTTTGGTGGAACAAGATCCAGAATGACCTAGCATGCTATTTTCCTCCGAGATGTTCAGGAAACCTGTATGTAGCCATAAAATTCAATTCAACAGGATGCTTTCAAAGAGGACCATTATCACCGCATCTGCCGATTTTAGTAGCCTCTTGCGCGTGGTGGAACGCCTCGACTGCCATGTACGACCTTGGTTCGCCAATGTATCCCGTTTCGGGAAACACCTCACCCAATGTGACCTTTGACCCGACCTTCGAACCCGCATCGTGGCTGGTGGAAGTTGATGGATCTACCCTACGATTTGAGAAAGCTGCCGCTTCAATGGTCCAGTTCAGTTCGCATTTCCTCAGGGAGTGGAATATTGACTTCGGCGCCTGCCTTGACCAGGGACTTGACAATATCAGCGTTGCCCGTCGAAACTGCGGCTGCGAGGGCGCTACCATAATCACCAGTGGGGAGTGACTGGTTTACCTCCGCTCCTCGCTCTAGCAAGAGGTCCACGATCTCAACATCATATCCAATGGCGGCGGCAGCTAGCGCGCTGCCGAATTTGCCGGACAAAAGCGGTAGGTTCACATCTGCCCCTGCCTCGAGGAGGTACTCAACCATCTCGAGGTTGGAACCGGCTGCCGCTGCAGCGAGAGCACTGCCGTAGTTTCCAACTAGCCCGGACAGATTGACGTCTGCTCCGGCTTCCACCATGCATCTGACAATATCCAGGTTGTCTCCCGAAGCGGCGGCTATGAGCGCATTGCCAAAGTTACCGGTTGGCAGTGGCTTGTTGACATCGGCCCCAGCTTTAAGAAGGAACTCGACCGCTTCAACGTCGAATCCTGATCCTGCGGCCGAGGCAAGGGCACTGCCAGATTCTCCATGCTGGAGTAGCATATTGACGTCTGCCTCCGCTTCCAAAAGGTACCTTGCTAGGTCCAGTTGGCCTTCAGCGGTTCCAGAAGATACTGCTTTGGCGAGAACGCTGCCATAAGAGCCGGTCACCAGGGGCAGATTTACATCGGCACCCGCTTCCTCGACTAAATATCTCACGATTTCAGGCCGTCCCTCAATCCATCCATCTACAGCTCCCGCCAGAGCGCTACCATCCGACCTCGGGGACGTCAGCTGCATATTCACATTTGCACCCGCCCTCTCGACAAGGTACTTGACAATTTCAAGCTCTCCAGACGAAGCCGCCGCTTCGAGTGCACTCCCCCACGGGCCAGATTGAAGGTGCATGTTCACATCTGCCTTGCCCTTCTCAACCAGGCACTTGACATTGCCCAGGTGACCCATTCTGGCCGCTACTGCGAGAGGGCTGCCATAGTCGTGGCTTTTGAGAGGCGCATTGACATCTGCGCCTGCCTGCATGAGGCATTGCAAGATCTCGGTGTTTGGTCGCGATGCCGCTCTTCCGAGAGGGGATCCTAATTTTTCGTTCTGGTCATAGCTCTCACGCAGGAAGGTCACATTCACCTCTGCGCCTGCCTTAAGCAAGTACTTGACAGTGTCAAGGTTGTTCGAGCATATTGCCGCAGAGAGAGCATTGCCAAACAACCCCTCACTGTCGCTGAGGACTGTGTTGATGTCTGCACCCGATTCTAACAGGAGCTCCACAATTTCGGTTTGTCCCTGGTGAGCTGCTGCTACAAGCGGAGTTCCATAAACCGGGCCTTCGAATCGTGCGTTGACTGGCACTCCCCTGTTGATCAAGGTTTTGCAGATATACGAAGAGCCCCCGATGGCAGCAACCGCGAGCAAATTGTGCTGGTTGTCATTTGCCAGTGAGATGTCAATCGCAGCAGATTCCCACCAATCGGATAGGATTGAATCCAGGGAGAAGAGGCACATGGCGAAAAGAGACGTGCTATTGGGCTCCAATTCGGTATTGACCCAGCCACTCAGACTGTCTCGCCAGCCCGCTCGATCATCGTCAAACCCGGAGAGCCACACTTTATATTGCGGGCTGCTCTCCATTGCAGATCCGAGAAACTTTTTCAGAAGAGCTGCCAATAAATCCCTCTCAAGCTGTTTAGCCCCAGGGAGGTGGATCGCCCAACTTTGTCGGGCATACTTCTGAAGCGGATGCACAAAGTCTGAAATATCGATTTGCTCCACAGTTCGGTAAGAGGCGTCCACCGAGGCGGGTTCATCATCCTCGTCTTCCTCTTTCTTGACATTATTGAGAAGTACCAGTGACACAGCAGCGGCCTGGCAGTGTGCATGAGGGACAGTCAGGTCCGGCTTGGTTTCCAAAAACTCCCTGACTGAGAGATGGGGGAAACGCCACACCTTCAACTGAGTGTCCATGACAAGGAAGTTGTTACAGAGGGACAACAAGGCTGCCTCGTCAAGTTCATCTTCTAGATCAGGCATATCCTCAGCCGAATCCACCTTTATCCGAATCGCGGACAGAAGCTGACGACTAGTGAGTGGGGTGGTCGCGCACATCACCCATAGAAGGGCACGCTTGGAGAGGGTGCGATCTGGCTCCTCCAGGCTCTCGATCTCGGTGAATACCTCGTCGTATGCCTTATGCAAGTCTTCGGGCAGGTTTTCAAGCCGCTTCCAAACACTCGACTCCGTCCTACATCTCTCAATTTGATGGACTTGCAAAGCCGCCCACTGAAACATTCCCTGAGATCGCTGGAGCAGTCTGGTCACGATGTCGGCTTTTAGACGCCCAAAGAATGCCGCCTTCTTCGCAAATTTGTCAATTTGCCCTTGTAGGTAGCTCCTAATATCCTCCTGATTGTCGCTTGCATCAACGCTGAGGCCGGGAGCATCTTCCAATTGTCTTTGGATGTCAGGATCAGGTCTGCTGGAGATGAAGATTTTTACCGGTTTCTTGGATTGCGCCACAAACTCCTTCAACGCTTCAATGAGTTCATCGCGTGACTCTGGGCTACATTCGTCCATAGCATCAACCACCAGTGTTGTCTTCTGGTAGATTCCTAGCGATGCGAGAATTTGTTTCTTGCACTGATCCAATGTAAACGTGGAACCTTTCTCTCGATTTTCCGAGTAAGTCTCCTGAAGCTTGATCTGAGGAGACTCTGGATTGCTTGCGGTTGTGGAGAGCTGACGGACATAGCTTTGAAGAATGGACTGTGCTTGCGCACGACTCGGTTCATTTTTGTCACAGTAGAAGAACGCAAATCCCTCGTCTTTGGGAGGATTAGTGAGAAAGGTTTCAAGATAATCGATAACAGTTGACGTGAGATATGTTTTTCCAGTGCCAGCCGTGCCCTGGAGGACGAAGAGAGCCGAGCCGGTTTTCCGTTCCCAGTTACAGAAGTCCTTGTGGTGCAGTAACCACTGACCGGTGCCAGGTGTTCTCTTGTCCTTCACGTTGTGGTGGTGTTTGCCAAATGGGATGGGGGAGATCCACTCCAGCATTTCGATCCTTCTTTTCTCATCCATATGCTGCACAAGGTGACTGATGCCCTCATCCATCCGCGTCATCGGCGCATTGAGAGCATCAAGCATCCCTATCATTCGATTATCTGCGTCTGCGCTACGCCGGCTCTCGCATGCCGTGACGTCGCGGATAAGCTCCTCTTCCTGCTCGGCAAGATCTGCCAGGCCACCAGAGGCTTTACCCGGGTTCACAATGGCCGAGATTGTTCGCCTGGCAGTATTCTGGGAGAATAAATTCTCCGATTCGGCCAGAAGGTCCAAGGACGTACTGTAAATGCCTAATAGACAAGATTGTAGGTTTCTGGAGAGGGCATCTTCCGGTGTTCCAGGTGTGTTTGGCAAGTAGACCTGCTCGTACACTTGGCCCCGGCTAATGATTTGAACAATTTTCTCCGTGGTTCCAAGTAATGCGGCCATCTGCTCACCCTCAATCACAGGTATCTAAGGTACGATCAGTATCTCGCCATGCAAAACCTAAGTAAGCAGGGAATAAATACCTGCATGACAGATTTGAGGACTTGCCACGGGATACTGGCTTGCGGTGGTGCGAATTGTACCGCAATATCTCCGGCTTTCTCCAACCAGCCCACAATCTTGGTGGTGTAATTGCGGAGAACAATTTCTTCACCTCCAACAGGGACGCGCCAAAACTTTTTCTCGCATTCTTCCTGTTTCTTGTTCACCTCGCTTACCAGCTCACTAATATCAGATTCCACCGATCCAGAGCTGAGTCGATCGAAGCCCATAGTCCTCAGCTTTTGCTGCTTTGCCACGGGAAGCTGCTTGAAAGCATCGTGCCAGAGGTCTCTTGTGGGCCCCGTGGATTCTGTTGGAGCATCCGCCTCTTGAGGGGTTTCAGCTTGCGCGGGGGGCTCTGGTTGTGCAGCTTGGGGCTTCTCTATGGGGTTGGCCGAGTACTCTTGTTTTTCGGGGCGTGTGACAGGTGAAGTACTGCCATTTTGCGGTTTAGACTCAGTCTTAACACAAATTGTCAGCATTTGGGAAGAAAGACGACGGTTTCCTGGCAACTCACAGCGGTTGTTTGGGCAGCCTTCCGACGTCTATGGCAGGGAAACTTGTTCTTGATCCGTCCTAGCATTGCGGCACATACAGCAAAAGTCCAGTTATTTTTGCGACAGGTCGATATGCTGTTGAGTAAGAGCGGTTGTGTTACTCCGTACAATATTTTCTCCCAATAGTTGGAAGCTGAGGTAGGGGCCTGTAGCTAAGTTAGTTACCTGTACAAAAAATATTTACGTCAACGCAGCTCTCAGCTCCACTTATTTTAGCTTTGACAAACGACGCACGAAGGTCGGCGTCGGGAAATGATGGGCATGATCAGGCCCACTTCAACCCCTCACCTCAGCCGCGATCGCGTTCACCCCATTTTCACCACCCCCGGCAATATGGATCTGGTCTTTGCTATGCTTCCACCATATGTTGTCTCCCGGGGTCTCCGACCGTACATCCTGAAAGTGAAGCAAATTCTCGCTACATATCATTAGTAGGTCAGAGTTGGCTGGGGGTGTGTTCTTTCGAGAATATCCATAGTTCGTGATCGAAATAATAACGTACACATCGAGCCGATCTGCACCGCAGATCGGAAATTTAGTGGCTGAGAATGCCGTCATCGGACAGTAGTCTTCCCGAATTAGATGAGCAGGTGTTCGGTGCGATATACTTCCAAGTTGTTGCCCAGAGGTAATGTACTCGCGAATCCAGTCAGTGACCTTTTCTGTCACAATCGTATTTCAATGGTCCCATGGGCATGCACCATTGAGTTATTACAACACTGTGTGGCGAACTGTGGCTTTTGGTTCTTGAAAGAGATCCACAACAACATGAATTCTCCACCATCATCCCAGGCGTAGCCGATTTACTGGAAAATCAGATCCACCCTTCCAAACTCGTGGGCTCTAGTGGCGTTCAACCCGCCTTTGCCGGAACACGGGTGCAGTGGCATGTCCCACTTATATTTGAACGGGAAAATCGGGCGGTATTAAAGTAGTGGCTGGACTCATGACGTGTCAGTTTGCACCCTGTTGGCATAAATCAGAGGCTTAAGAAGACCCGGGCGCATACCATTGACTGAAGAATCAACTTCAATCCACCATATTTTCTGAATTCCCCTAGTATATGGCGGAGGGCTCAGAACGTCCGCATGTGCATTCATGCAATTTTTCGACTAAGCCCGTCCGAAAATACTTGCACGTAGTCGATTGCGGCTTATTTCGGCAAGTGGGACTTGGCCATGCCCGAGGAACGAGGCCATTGCTTCCTGGTCTGGCACGAGGGCTCATCCTTTAAGGACCGTGAGGCCTTTTTTGACATTATACAGAGCGAAAGGAAGAGTGTCGTGGGCGGTCAGGAATTATTAGGTGAAGTAGCCCCAATTGGAAACAATTGCGGCTGTTACTGACGTAGAAGTGCTTATGCAAGAGGTCAACAGCAGTTACCTACATCGGCTCCACTCAAGCAAGCCGAGCGCCTCTGTTAATATATTTAGACTCGTCTTGAAAATATGGGTGTTTGATTTGATATATGTACCCTGTGAGCTCTCTATCAGATGATACGGGTGAAAGACACTATGCCGGAACACTTTCTCGCCACAGTTGCGCATTTGCACCGAACACCGAATGGGACAATTCTCTCAAAAAGGGCGGGTATCCGGGAATCGAGGTCATATACCCTGGTTCAGAGTATTCAGAATTTGCTGACTTCAGTCTGATGGTATCTCATAGAAAGTAAAGAGCTGTCACTGATAAAACTGTGACCAATCTAGATCCGCTTGAGTCTTTACCCGATCTTTCGGTAACTCGTCTAGCTATATGTTTTGTAATGCGGTTAAAGCATCATTTCAATCAATGTCGCAATGGCTGCGAGTTGCAGTGCCTAGTCCAGACTTGTCGACCAAAGAAGATCGAGCATGTGTGTATTCTTATTGTTTTGATGTCCAGCCGGTCTACGCACACCGACTTCGCACGTTGTGGCTGGGTCGGCAGGTCACACTCAAAGGATGAAATAGGTGGCCCCGCCACCTAGCAAGAGAAAAGGGTGCTTGAAAGTTTCTCTTTTTTAATTATCATATTCCCAATCTGGATTTTGAAGGGGAAAAGTTGAAGGCACGGCGCTTAGGTTATCCCGACCAGACCTCTCGTAAATGTATCTCATCTAGATATTTTTATTCCTAGGGAGAGTCGTGTGTGTAACTCCAATTCAGTTCATTATCAAAAATTGTTCATTTTTAGCGATGTTGGATAACGAAATTTTGGGTCACACTAATCCCTCCTGAGCCGCCATGTTTGTCAAATCTTCGTTCTAGGGGGCGCGCCTCCTCGACACTGGACTTGGATGGTGTAAAGACATCCCCTAGCTTTCCTGCCAAGTTTCTCTGTGATTCGTTGCTGTTCGTACTCGAGATATGTGTACGAACTACCTCGTGGTCGAAACGATTCATTGGGTACACGCCAGATGACTGCGGGTCTTGAAGGCGCTCGAAGTTCTGTGGGTCAGAAACACCGTATTTGGTGCCGGCGCTTGAGAACAGTCCAGGTAACATGCGTGACAGAATCGCTTTGAGCAGCGGCATATTCGCGCAGATAATGGCAAGCTCGGGCTCTATCACAGTCCACATCACACCCATTTGTACCGACCGCGTAATGTTGGTGAAGTCGATTTCCATCAAGGATTTGAGGCGGACGATGCTGATGATGGACACACTGTTGGAAGCGAGTTAGATGAGGATCCATTATCCATTTCAGCTTCAGCTTGCCAGTAGTGTTGCAACATACAGTAGACCGATACAGAACACACTGCATAAAGCCATTTTCTTCGCTACATTGAGCTGCAGCTTCCAGATGAACGGCAAGGGAAGCCCCATCACCATCAAATCGGTGATCAGGTTTAGCACACCTGCGACCACGTACGTTGCATTTCGGTTACCGCAAGTGCCGGGAATAGATATATCCCAGTTATATGCCAGTGGGCGACAAAGCAGGAAGGTTTCAAGAATCACACTGACCGCCCACATCCATACGATCGTCATTGTGATCCAAACGCAGGCCCGGAAGCTCGCCTTCAACCCGAAGATACGCATATAGAATAGCATGATCGACGTTTTGATCAAGCCGAGGACAATCCCGTATAGGGCTTCCAGGGGCAAAATGGTCTAGGCTGAGAGTCAACAAACCGACGGCATGCAATTTCTTCCCCATTGGCTCACCTTCAGCGTGATAACAACCGATGCAGGGTCAATTTCTTTGACATTACGACCGGCCCCTCCAAGGATGGTAACTAAGCGATGTTTAGTAAGCCTTGTTCCAGAGAATAGCAAGCTCGAGGAAGAGACCATACGGATATACTCAATCGCAATATCAATATATACGATGGCCTATCGAGGATTGTTAGATGCGACGTTTGGGTCGGCCCCAACAACACACTTACCAATGCTGCAATTATGAGAAAATCTGATGCTCCAGGCTTTACCTGTCGTAGCCGGAGGGCATAGAAACGCAGCCCCGTGGTTATGGTCGCAATTATGCCCAGCACTGTTACTGCAATGACCGGATTCCGAGCCAGCGGAACATCCAACGGGTATGTGACCGCCATCACAGGATGCCTTTACTCCGCTGTCGACAATTCTGGACTTGGTCTCACCGGGGCTTTTGATTTAAGTAGGACTAGGTGTCAAAGGCCTGGATTCGCAGCAAAAGGGGCGTTTTTTCCTTGATCTGCAGCACCATGCATGACTTCCCGTACCTACGGCGCGTGAGCGTTATGGACCTTACTGACTCCGGTAAAAAGCCAGGGATGATCAGTGGGGCATCAGCGTGCAGAATCTGGATTTATCCTTATTGGTGCCGTGTGAAGAATTTTTGCAGCGCAGACATTCGAAAATGATCGGACACTAATCAATATCTGGGTGTAGGGGGTGATAGTACTCCATTGAGACCTATAGAAGTATAACATACCCAACTAATAGGACGACATTTTCGCATTCTTCATGAACAGTATGATGACCAACTTCTGAGAAGAAGCTCGTTACAGTCGGATGCGGACGAGCGGACCATGGGAGAGCGCCGGAAAGGCCCCGAAGTCCCCGCACGCCATGCGACCCACACCGTTTCACTCCCAACCTCTAATTCCTCCCCGAGTCGTTGACGGGTCTCGGGTTTTGACAAGCTCCACTCATTGACTGTCTCAAGACCATGGCTCTACAAAACTAGGTGTCATGCGAATTGGGGGTGGGGGTATACGCGTTTGGGAATCTTGGCTGCTAGCCGTCTACGGCGCTACCAATGAAAATAGCCCTGGCTAGCTCGTTCGTCTCCGACCTAAGTATGCAGACCAAGACTGCGAAATTACGGAGTAATCAGGTGTAAATCCCGAATGCCATCGTAATAGGCTACCTTAGACACCGAGACTCCACCATTCACCCCACACGGATGCGAACGCCCCCCTATACCTATGGAGTAAGCGTAGCCCGCACGTCTAACCGCACTCTTCGGCAGCGGTCCGGAGCGAAGGAGAGAATTACCGAACTCCCACAAAGGCCGGCCATGCGTGTTCTAGCCAATTCCTGTGATGGGCCAATGGTCCTAGTAGGAGAGTATTCTATTCCCGCTTCCCTTAAATCGCGTATTGTCTCCTTCCATGTTTAGCCTGGTAAGCCGTTGGCGTGGTGGAGTCTTGCAGGCCTCTTGCAGGCCGCTTGCAGCGACTTAAGCCTAGTTTGACATGCGAAAAGGGCGCTGACCCGACTCTCCGGCTCGGTGATGTTAAATCCCGCCTTCTGTTCCGCAGTCTTCAGGGATCACGGATTATCCAATTCTCAAGTTCTTGAAGCATCGCTTTACCCAAAACCATGACATCACTGGAGACCTCATCGCTCGCTGAATTGCGTGAGCAGTATGACTATGTGGTTGTGGGAGGCGGTACCGCTGGCTTGGTTGTGGCTAGTCGGTTGACTGAGGACGCCACTGTCAGCGTCCTTGTTCTTGAGGCTGGGAGCAATCGGGTGGATGATCCACGAATTGCAGCGCCTGGCCTCGCCGCGAGTACCTATGATGACCCTGAATTCGATTGGTGCATCACCAGTCCTCCTCAGGTAGAGATCTAACCTCACACATCCTCTGCACCACAAAATCCTTTTGATGCAGATTGGAACTGATATAAGATCTGTGGCACGTAGGAACATCTTAACGGACGATGCATTGCCGAGCCCCGCGGCCGAACACTTGGTGGTTCCTCTGCCATCAACCTGGGAATGGTGATTTACCCCAGCCGGACCGATCTCGATTCCTGGGAGCAATTGGGCAACGAGGGATGGAACTGGGATAACCTGTCGCAGTATATCAAGAGATCGCAGACTTTCACCCCACCCTCGTCCGAAATCAAGGAGCAGCTGTCATTGCAGTATATTGATCCGGCGGTCCAGGGTGAATCGGGCCCGCTTCAGGTTTCGTTCGGTGATGGGCCCTTCCCGACGTTTAACGGCGCATGGCCTAAAGTATTCGAAAGCCTCAACCATCGGATCACCGGTGATCCAATGTCGGGCATCGCGAAGGGAGCGTTCTGCAATCCGGGATCTATCCACCCAACAACCCGGACACGCAGTCACGCCGGAGTAACATACTACAACCCTGAAGTGGCGAAGAGACCGAATCTCAGAGTCGTCACAGAAGCCCTAGTGGAAAAGATCCTCTTGGAAAAGAAGGAGCACGCTGATGCAGTGGCTACCGGGGTCAAGTTTGTTGGCAAGGATGGTGTTCAAAAGATTGTGGCTGCCAAACATGAGGTTATCCTGGCAGCGGGCGCAATCAAGACTCCGCACTTGTTGGAGCTGTCTGGTATTGGCGATGGCACCCTTCTCCGTTCGCACGGGATCCAGCCTATCGTGGAAAATCCCAATGTTGGAGAGAATCTTCAGGAACATGGATTTGTTCCTTTCAGCTGGGAGGTTGCCGAAGGACAAATGACCGGTGAGGCCCTTCGTAACCCTGAGATTGCTGCTGGTGCAATGGCAGCCTGGCAGCAGTCTGGCGCTGGGCCATTGGGGCTTTGCGCAATTGCCTCCGCATATATGACGCCCCCAGAACTGCAAGATGGCGAACTTCACTCGCTCATCACCGAGTACCTTAAGAGCGAGACTTTATCACCGGGAATGAAGGCCCAGTACGAGGTGCTGCGGAAGATGCTAGAAGATGAGGAGGAGCCTAGTGGCCAGTACACTTTGGCCCCATTCCAAATCACCCCCGAGAAAGGGCCCAGCCCGAAGGGGATCTTTGGAATGACCGAGCCGGAAAACTTCATCAGCATTGTTTCAGTCCTGAACCGCCCCTTCTCTCGCGGCACCGTCCATATGGGATGCTCCGATCCGCAGGCGAAGCCGATTTTTGACCCGCGCTTCTTCTCTCACCCCCTGGACTTGGAGCTTCACGCGCGTCATGTGCGCTGGTTAGAGACCCTGGCTTGGACGGAGCCGATGGCGTCTCTTCTTAAACCTGCCGGACGTCGCCTGCAAAATTCCTCTCGAGACATTTCTCTTGAGACTGCGAGAGAGCTCGCTCGGGATCGCATCGTGGCTCACTACCACGTTGCAGGTACCACTGCTATGATGCCGCGTGAGAAGGGCGGCGTTGTCGATCCTCAGCTCAAGGTGTACGGCACCCAGAACTTGAGAGTCGTAGACGCTGGCATTTTCCCTCTCATTCCGCGTGGAAATATTCAAGCGACTGTGTTTGCAGTGGCCGAAAAGGCGGCGGACATTATTCGAGCCGACGCTAAGGCTCGGTCACACTAGGCGGTCTGTTTCATCGTTCTTCTCATACTAGCATTTGCTGTCACGCGACTCGGCCTGCTTCGGGTATAGACAGAGGATTCAAGGACAATATATGCTGTCCATCTTCAGTTGTTACTCGGACCGACGGATACTGCGGCGACAAGGAAACGTATTTCTTCGTACCAGCGCAACATAGAAAGATTCCCTAACACTATCAGACAAGAGAAGTCATTTTCCAAATTCAATAATTCCAGATGTCGAATAAGCATAATGCTCCATATATTCAGGAAGGCACCACGGACGATCGGGCGACTGAAAGCAGCTACTCCCTCCTGCAGCGATACTTTCAAGTTCTACCTTTATCATTAGAAAAGTGCACAAAGAGAGTTCTAAAAATGAGTTCGACTCAAATCTGATAAACCCGCGTTGTTATCCTATTCTGAGGCAGCAGGGAACCAGTCGTAGAAGCGTAATATGATAGCTGGGAAGATTACAACGTGTTTGCGTGGTCTTGGTGAATACATTGGCAGATGAAAGATCCATTCTCATGTATATTAAAACAGGAAAATCCCTCTAATTGAGCCTAGGTCAAACTTCAATCCCCCATTCACCCATCTTCATATGCGATATACATCGATCTACTTAGAAATCGTCGAAATACAGGTTCAGCATACTCGTTCCATCATTGTACCAATATCCGCTCCTCACATAGCCGTTATAGAAGCAGCGAGGAATCTGGCCGTTATTCGTCGTGGCTGTCACATCGACTTCACCGTTACCATTGAGGTAACAATCGATGAGCGATATATAGTATGCCTATCATAGGATCAGTATTACCCAAGCCATACCGCTCTTTCAGTTCGTATCTCACCTGCAAGTCAAAGCCATAGGTGTCGGTCAATTTGGTATAAACGCCGGTGTCCATTTTGTTGTTCGCACCGTAGGGCTGCTGCCAGGCATCGGAAACACACTGTCGCGGGGTAAGCAGTTATTTCAAAAGAGATTTGTTGGAGGGGCGTACAGTATTCGGGTCATTGTTAGTACAGTCTGCGGAACTCTCGGGCCGGGACAAGTAGAAGCAGCGGTATTCGCCGCTCTTAGCCTCGAGCCAGTAGGCACCGGTCATGGTGCAGTCAGTTTCCTCGGTGCCTGATTCACCAACAAGGACATACCACGCCGTCTTCATGGCGGTATCCACCAGCATTTTCTCCTTTATCGTCTAGTTTAGTATTCTGCCAGGAATCAACCATTGGGGGCGGGACACGTACGACATTGTCGGCAAAGGTGCTGTAAGCTGCAATGAAGGATGAGTTATCACTGCTCTCGTCGAGGAGGATAGTGTTGTCCGAGAAGAACCGGGCAGTGCCATGCTGAAGAGTGGACTCTGTGTAGATAGGAAGGGTGGTCGAGTCACCTCCGCCGGTGGCATTGGTCAAGATACTAGCAACATAGTTGCCAGCGGCACCGACGATGTTCCGGAGAGTGTTTTCCACAGAAGTGGTGTCAACTGCATCAGATGCTCCGTTCGTGAGCGACACATCGGTGAGGCCCGCAGCAGCAAAGCCAATCATGCCACGCAGAGGCTTATTCAAATCGATACCAGTCGCAATACCACCAGCCATACTAAACGCAGCAGAGATCCACTTGGCCCATTCCTGAGAAGGCGAGACACTAGAGAAATCCTTGGCGATCTGATCGATCGATAGACCATCCAACCATCCCGTCCAGAGCAACTGGTCGCGGACAGAATTGATTTTGCTGTGAAGGATACCGACGGAGCGCAGGGTCCAGTATGCCATCACGGTGGAATAGTCAGAGCACATATCATCGGGATTGCAGTCCCCTCCGATATCACCACAGCCAGTTAGAGGGGAGGTACCCTCGTTAGGGAAGACAATCTTCCAAATGTTGTTGACCCAATCTGTCTCGCCCTCTGGCATGACACTCAACATAATGTCCAGCCAGTCGATCGCGCCAGTGGAATCCAAAATTGCTTGGACGCCATCAGTGGTCGAGGTATCGCCTGCAGTACATGTCGACGCGGCCGATGTTGTGGTTGTAGCGTCAGCCTTTTCCTTGATCCCGAATGCCAAAGACGGGGCCGGTGTTGTTGTTGAAGCGGCAGCGCTTCCCTGAATCACGAGTGACGAAGACGGGCTGCTGCGGCGTGCCTTCACGTGGGGAACAGCAGCTGTGGTTGCTACCAGAGCAGCAGCGGCGGTAAGGAGACTAATTCTCATTGCGGATTGTCCTCCAGCAAATGTCGAGGTAACAGTAGAGATTGAATGATTCTTCGACGCTGTCCTGTGCTTTTACAGCAAAGGCTGGAACTAAACACAACGTATTTATACATCTCAGTAGTTGAAATCCCTCGACTACAATCCCGATTCCCGATATTATGAATTGAGCTGAAACAAAGGGGCGCAAATGGCGATCCCATCATCATGATCCTGTCAGCTTATTGATCGTCGGATATACCCACAAGGAATGGGATCGATAGAGTCTGCCGGCAGTTTTTACTTGTTACGGAAACTTTAAGAGTTATACTGAATTGATAGGTCCATTATTATCCTTCAATGGCATAGATCAATGGTTTGAAGTATCTGGTCATCTGCAGTTTTTGGTAGTTCATGCTATTTAGTCTACACTTCATGATGGACACTGAGTGGTATAATTAGATCTAGTTTCCATCGGACACGCCACAGCGTGTGAAGGGCCACTAAGAGCATGTCATTAGTTTTCAGCGGGCCATATTTGCCACAGGGCGCGACACCATATACCCGATAATGGATACGATTGTGAGCACTAGAGCAACGGGCAAAGAACGAGGCTTTTGACGGCCAAAATAAACATGACGTTAATTTGAGCCAGTCACATCTGGTTTACAGCGCACGAGTAAACGCCTATGGCTGAAACACGCCCTGAAGGATCAAGCGGAGGATTAAGCAAATGGTCCCAAGCCTTACGCCCCCACCCCAGCTTCTAACCGTGTGGGGGCGATTAAACCCTAGTCCAATCGACCAGGCACGGTATGCGATCACAGTGCTATAATACATGCGAGTAAGTGGCTTGTATTTTATGGGTCATTCGAATCCTTTAATCTAGATCATCACATTCTATACAACTATAACTTCCGCGAGAACACTGCCAAGCTCGGGGCTTCGGCTATAAGACCAGGCAGACAAGCCTCGTGGCGCAGAGGCGAAGTTCGATCTTAGACGTAAGTGTCAGCGCCACGGATTGTTTCGATCTCGACTGCGGTCGGCTTTTCGATCCGGTCAGTGTCCACAGTGCGGTGGTGGCCAGGGTGGACCGGATGACCGCGGGACTTGAAGACACCTCCGGTAATGCCACCCTTCTCGAACAGATAGTCAACGTCTTCCAGTTCCAATCCCTTTGTTTCGGGAAAGAAGAAATAAACCATTGGGATCTATATGATGTCAGGTGAGTCGAATTCGTGGTTGAATTAGAATGATCGTCACTTACCCAAGCAAAACAGAAGCACGCAAAGATGATGAACGTCCTCCACTCGATGTTATGAATTGCAGTGGGTGTGATTTGCACAACAATGACTGAAAATAGTTAACAACCCACTGGCGTGATGATATAGTGAACCGCATCACTTACAAACACACATCCAGTTGACAAATCCTGCAAAGGCCTGGCCTCGAGCACGAATACGGGTTGTCGTGATCTCACTCGGGTAAAACCTATGCTCACGGTTAGCCACTGCCTGGGTCCCCTGAGTTGTCCTGGACTGACCATGGCACAGGCAAATATCCAAACCCCAAGGAGAGCTGGAAAATGAACACAAAAACGGTTGCAGCATACGCGTATGGCTTGGTACCAACCGACAGCAGGACCGCTGCTAAGACAAAGCACACACAGAGACCAGCAGCCGAGACCATGAGGGATGATCGACGACCAAAGCGATCCATACTCCACAGAGGAATAATAGATCCCACCAGGTACGCCAGCGACGTGCATCCTCCCAGGATCAAGGACAGATTGCGAGAGAGCTTCATGGCATTCTGGTAAACGATCGGGGCATAGTAGTTAATCATGTTGGAACCTATCAAAGTTAGCTACGCCGCTTCACGCAAGTTGGACCGTGCGCCTCACCTGTGAATTGCTGTTGGACGTTCACGAGGCCTGCAAGGATCATTCGGCGAAGGTTCTGCATCTTGCCACCTTGAAGCAGCTCCCTGTACTTGAACGGTCCACCGGCAGACTCAATCTCGATAGCAGATTCAATCTGACGACGCATCTGGATGACTTCGGGGGTTGATTCATCTGCGGGCTGATCAAGCTGAAGACGCGCCAGGACGGACGCCGCTTCGTCGCTTCGATCTTGTTCGCACAGCCAACGGGGGGTATCTGGAAGGGAGATCATTTGTAGCACCAGACAGACAGCAAAGAATGCCTGAAAACTGATGGGGAAACGCCACTGCACCGGTGAGTCGACGAAGCTCAGCCCATAGTCCAGCCAGTATGCAATGCAGAGTCCCACGATGGTCACAGTACCCTGTGCGGAGAGGAGTCGACCGCGAAGTTCGGGTCGCGCCATTTCTGGCCAGACGGTCAGCGTTGTCCATCGCCATGTTCCGAAGCCACAGAGCAGTCGTCATTGCGTCACTTACCACTCTGGTATGTTGGAACCGTACTGCTGTTAATACCGTTGCCGAACCCAGTCACAATTCTGCCAACCAAAAACTGTGGCCTGTCGTACGACGATCCGAGGATGATAGTGCCAATGACCATGATGGCTCCTCCTGCCATGATCATCTTCTTCCGACCGACCCGATGGCCGACGACAAAGGCGAGAAGACAGCCGACCGCGCAGCCAATATCATAGATCGATGTTACTGTGATTATGCGGTCAGCCACGAAGTATAGTGGTACCCGGTTCGAGGTTTGATGTACGAATGCCCTGCATGTTCTCATTCGGGTGACCGAATTGTTTTCCAAACTCATTGTCCGCTCCGACCAGTCCACTCATAACTCCCTGATCGTAGCCCAGGAGAAGGAAGGCCTGGCAGCTTGCCGCTATAACCAACTAGTGTCAGCTAGAAACCCTCTCGAAAGGAGTCTCACCAGAACATTACCTGTTACGGCCCAATGCAGCCATTTTCCACGCAGTTGGCCCATGATGTATGTTGCCCTGCTTGGATGGCTATAGCAACACAAGAAATAAGAAACGCTGGGCCGCAGACTCTGCGGCCCCAGGAAGGTATCTCCACCATTTGAGCGGGTTGGGAGGCCGAAGACCTCGCGGTGTCATTCACCCGAACGCAGTCCTCTCGGGGAAACCGGGGCAATTGAGTCCGGGAGAGCAGTGGGGAGTTGCAGAGTTACGATCGATTTGATTAGCGGAAAGGCAAAACAGCAAACACACAAAACAGGCAAAAACAAGCAAGGCCAAAGTCTGGGGTTCGGCGGGGGAGCCTTCTCTTCCCCGGGGACTTCCCCGCACGCCACCGCACGCCACCGCCGACGCAGCCAGCTTTCTGGTCTGCGTCTATGTCGACGCCCGCGTGAAACAAGCCTCGGGCTTGAAGAAGCGTCATGACTTTGGAACGCCACAGACCCTGTTTTACACCGGCCCTGAATGTGGCTGACGGCGATCAGGCGGGAAGTGGAATTTCCTAAACTCCGGCGGTGCCCGTGCTCGAACATCTGGGTGAGCTAAACGCTCGAGCACTTGGCGATCGTCCCCTCAAGCTTCCCTCGTGCTCTCCTGTTGCTGAGACAGTAGTGTATCGTTCCGTTTATCCCAGCGATCGATGCTTGCGTGACTTTGCCGGCATTGTGTGGTCAGGGATATCCTTAGGTTGAAATCGCCATCAATCAATGGCGTTGGACGGAGGCGTGTACAGAACTTTCTGCAGCGCAGGAAGCAGCGGTGCAATAAGCGAAGCCCAATATGTCTGTACAGGCCTACAAGCTGCTACGTTGGCAAACTCGTGCTTTGCCCTCCGCAGCGCAGTGGGACCAATATTTTGAGGGTGGGCATTGACTGGGTCACCGTCTTGATTTCTAGTGCAAATGAACCGCAGTCCTTCGAGCCCAACTGAGTGGCTATATTCAGTACCCATCAGGGTCGATAATTTACTACGAGACCAGCCTTCCGACAGCTACAGCTCATCTGCGCATTCTACAGCTCATCCAGATCAGCATTAAGCCCGGCGATAAGGTTGTGCAAAACATCAGTGATGCAACCCAGGTATTGGAAACTATGCGTCCATCATATCTCCCGTGCCAGGCAATGTAACCTGAACTTTAGTTCTATATTGTCAAGCTGGTCCCCTAAAATCGCCTCATATATCCGAAAAGACATCTTCAAGTGGTGGAGGTGAGATATCTATTTTTAGTACGCCTCGGTGATTGAGGCAACTTAAATGTACAGCCCAATCAAAAAAGACAACATAGAATCAATCACTCTCCTCTTCCAAGTTCAGCATGCTCCACCAACTTGATGAGTTCACTGAGAACGCGCTGGAAGTCCGCATCATTCGGACTGCTGAACTTGACAAGATCCGAGTGATTGCGATTCAAGGGATGTGTATTGACATAACCCGCACTCCACAGCTCGCCGTCTGTGGCGGAGTCGCGATCAACAAGAATCTGTTTCGGGGTACCAGCCATCTTCCATTGTCCATCGGGGAGCTGCAATGCTGTGAGTAATCTATCACGAAGTATAAACGATCCGGACATCTGAAATACCTGTTCCGGAGAGAAGGATGGCTCCATCTCGTAGAAATAGATGATTTTCGGCTTCTTCATCGCGAACTTCGCCTTGAACTTTCGACTGAGCTCTTGTAGTGTTGGAGATTGGTAGGTGATAGATCTGACGAGGAACTCGTTGGGCTGGCCTCGGATCATAGCCTCGAGGACTTCGACGTTCATTCCGTGACTCGGCACTCCGAAGAATAGAGCGCCGTGAAGGTTGTTGATGAAACTACCGTATTCGGGTGTCTTCCTCTCTTGCAATAATGCCTACCCGTTTGGTTAGCGCCAAACTCATCTAATGTTGCTCTGAGAGTATACCTCTTTCACAGTGAGCCCTCCAAGACTATGAGCGATGAAGAAAGAAGGAACCGCGAACGCTGTCCCCAGTTGAGACGATGCGGAGCTTAGAACCGACTGGGAGCGACGTCTGGTTACACTACGCATCTCGTCCCGCAAAAGCCTTCCCAAGTCTTCTAGTGTCTGTGTTGACTCGTTTCCATCGAGCTTTGTCTTAGAACCGTAGGTCATCAACCGCGCCGTGGGGAGTTGCTCGCGGAGCCCATCCAGTACCCACATGAACGACTGCGAAGCACCCTTGTGCTTGAATGACCCCCAGGCATGGCCTCCCAGTCCGGCAACGGCGCATATACTAGCAAGGGCAACGTCAGCATCTTTTATGCCGTGCGATGGGGTACTAAAAACCTGCTTACTCCATAGTGTGGGGTAAATTTGGGGGTGGAGTGTAAAGGACAGTCACGCCCCGGAAGTGAGTGTCGACGGTGATATGTATATCGTCGTCGTTATCGGTAGGGCCGAAATCCCACTCATCTTTCCCCGGTGTCGAGAGGCAGGCCGGCTGGGGCCTCCAAGCCACCACTGCGATCTTGTCTCCGGTCGGACTGGTGGCCAGAGCTTTGATGCGACCAACGACGTTCGGCTCGATATCAAGCTTGCGGCTCAGATAAGAGAGCACGTCATTGCCAGTGTACTCTAGACGTATTCCGCGAACGCGATAGTCCAAATCTTTAGTCACTGCAGGTGAAGGAGCACTCTCAGGGGGTGCAGACGGGCTAGATTCTGAATAGGTGCCCCCATTGGTTTGCCCGTTCGGCGAACGTGGTGATGAAGGATAGTCCAAAACGGTTTGATTCATGTGGGTGCCCAGGCATTCTCTCCGAGGTGTTATCTTGGAATTCTGATTTTGAAGACGTAGGAGACTGTCGGGAGTAACAGCCGTCGATGGCGACCCGGCGGCCTCAGAATTCTCGCGTGAGATTGAGATATGTTGACCGGACGGCGGCTCTGTTTGGCGTTTCTCGGAGAAAAAGGTCTCCAGTCGTTCCTGGAATATATTTGCATCTACATGTTTGATTGCGTTAGAAGGCACTTCCGGGTGCATCAAAACGGGGTGTGGTGATATTACCATCGGAAGTAGAAAACTCAATTCGCAAGTAAACCATGGAAGTCAAGATTTGTGTATCTTGCGTGGGTAAGTCCCCCTCGGCAAGGGTATCAATGGTTTCCCGTCCTGGGTCTCCCCCACCACAGCTTTGCTCCGAGTCAGGCGGCGAGTGATGCAGTAAGGCGCTTAAACGTCTTCGTAGGCCGGACTTAGTCGTTGAGGCTTTGCGTTTCTTGGTTCCCTGAGGCGAAAACTCAATGCGGACCTTGTTTGCCGAATCATTTGTGTGTATAGAACTGCCAAGGAGGCGTAGGGGAACATCTATGTGATAGTACGGTTTCTTGTGCTGCACCAAGAAAGAAATTGTTCTGTTTCGACCATCAAGGTCAGACCACAGTTTCAGCGGTTGAGCAGGACTTTCGGATCCTCTTCCGGATCTTATTTCCTCAATTTGAAATGTATGCAACAAGATTTTGCCGCGAAGTGCACATTGGAAAGCAAGAGCGTCGGTATCCGAATCAAACCGGTATGATGGTTTGCGCCCTTCATATTTCCAAGTCACATCGCCATCACATTCATCAACAATGCAGGTTTCAAAAAGGCGGATTTCCGGAGCATCGAACCGCTGATGCTGGGTATATGGATGGATGTCGTTGATTGAAGGCACTGGTTCTCTTGTCAGCGGGTCACCCTCGAATGATTTCGAAGAAAAAGAAAGTCCTACGGTACTGCACGATTCCCCACTCCTTGTTAATTTTAGTGCTGACGACCCACCGGGTGCCCGAATGGGTTACAACATCTACTGTATCGAGAAATTCCTCTTCTTCAAGAGCATCGAGTTGACTGAAAGGAGCCATTAGCAACGCCTCCCAACAGTACACGGAAAGTTAGCTTGTTCTTACAGGGTTGCTAGGTTTCCGCCTTGTTCATGGCTATAGACACGTCGTCGAAGGTATGGCGCGGGTCTCTGAGTGCGGTAGGCTGACTGTCGCTGTTTCAAGGACTGCTGGGAGTATTCGCGAAGTGTTTTCTTATCGCTCAACTGGAAGTCTCTTGAGAACATCAACTGGGTTCCATGGCAAGGTAGCTCATGATCTCGAAATCGGGCAACCACCAGTATCCATAGCTGTTCACAGTGTGCTGCACTCAGAGACGGGGGTTTAGCTTCACGAAGCTCGATCAGATGCCGGTAAAGTGGCCATGTATTCTGCTCGACAGACGTGAGCGTCGATGGCAATGTCTCGTCATATTGTGCTGCGGCTCCGTCCGAAACCACCTCGGACTGGCGCAAGACCACGGCAAACAGATTCCTTTTATCCACGGTCGTCTTAGCCAGGGTCTTCGAGTACACGCGAAGGTCTACGAGCACACAGCACTTACAGAATGATATCATCTAGCTTCGCATTCATGATGTGCAGCTGCAACTGCAGGCGCTTCTCGAGCAGGTCCAGATCTTCATGATTGTAGACATAACAGGCAATCTCGTGCAGCAGCGTCGTCTGTGGCACGGTGTCTTGGCGCCATCCTGGATTGTGGTGGAGGAAATCGTTGCATTCATCCCAGGTTTGTTGGAATTCGTGATACGATTCGAGAGTCGTGCGCTGGTGTCGAAGGATCCGGCGGAAGCATCTAAAAGTCCGGTAGAAGGCCTGAAAGGCGCAGGCAATCCCTTGGATCTTCTCCAGGGGCAGCGCGGCAAGTGGGCCTGCTTCAGCACAGGCAGCCCAGAGCTTGGACATGGTGGAACTAACAAAGATCGGAGCATTTTGGGGAGGATATTGAGATTAAGAGATTCCGAGCAAGCGCGGCAAGGTCCCTCTGTCCTCGCTATGAGCACGTCCCAATGAGCATCCGAAGGAAAGGAGGCTCTTGAGCAGTGCAGAACACGTTCTTGAATTCGGAGCGTTGAGTGGCTGCATTGGCCAATGCATCGTGATAGGCCCTCGGCCTGCAGCGCTAGTGGCGTTAGGTACGGACATTTGTGAACTCAGCTCCTCGTGGCTCGCGTGGCCGTCCCCGTCAAAAGCATGGCGTTGCGACCATCCGAAATGCCCGCCTCGATTGTGATGCTACGCCGGAGGACTCTTGACATATTCCCCTCTGGCCATGGCAACCGCGCCTGCGACCGACGATGAGCGCACCGTGTCGACCTGGCAGGCGATTAGTGCCCGGCTGCCGTTCCCGTTTGGCGAACATCCGTGGTGGATTGATGGAACTACTCGCACGGCCGATGAGAAGGATGAGAATCCGCGGGCTTGGCGAAACCAGGTCATCGACATTTTCGATCAAAATGACTTCGATTTTCAGGTCTTCATCGTCGCCGCGTCGGGTTTCTTGACGGACTCATACGCTCTCTTCGCGACAAACGTGATTCTGCCCCTGCTGGCCTTCCTATACTGGCCGGATCGAGCGGACCGGCTGCCTGAGCTCTACATCAATGTGGCCACACTGGCTGGGTCGGTGGTGGGCCAGCTCCTCTTTGGCTGGCTCACCGACCGACTGGGGCGACGCAAGCTGTATGGTCTTGAGCTGGTCCTGGTCATCTTCGCGACACTGGGGATGTCGCAGGCATCCAATGGCATGTATAACAACATGAACATCCTGAGTTGGATCATCTTCTATCGCTTCTTCCTTGGAATGGGGATTGGAGCCGAATACCCTCTCAGCGCAGTCATCACCGCCGAGTTTGCCAGCACCAAGTGCCGGGCGAAGATGATGGCCGCTGTCTTTCTCATGCAGCCCTTGGGGCAGGTGCTGGCAGCTGCGATCGGATGGGGCGTCTTGACCGGGCTGATGAAGTCGCAGGGTCTCCAGAGGCTACCAGACCACGGACCGGAGTTCGACGGTCTCGCAGTGGAGCAACAACACCAGATCCTGGCCACGCTGGATAGTGTGTGGCGGTGGGTCGTTGGCGTTGGCTGTATTCCCGCCCTGCTGGCCATCCTCTGGCGGTTTTCTATTCCAGAGTCGCCTCGATATACAATGGATGTCGCGCACGACCCCAAACAAGCACTGGCGGCGACGAAGCGGCAGTTTCGGCGGACTGCGCGTCTGTTGGAATCAATTCCGACGACCGCGGACGGAGACGCAACTCACACTCGTCCAAACCCACGGAGTCTTTCAACATCGCCTGCGCTAACACCTTCGCCGGGCCCGGAGCGTGAGCCCGACGCGAGTTTTTGGGATTTCTTTATCCACCAAGGCAACATCAGGTATCTCGCAGCGACTTCAATCTGCTGGTTTCTGCTGGACTTTTGTTTCTATGGTCTGGGGATCAATTCGCCGCGGCCACTTGCCGCTCTGTGGGCCTCGCAAATGCCCAATGTGACCACCACCGTCGTTCTTCCAGCCGCCACAACCACCATGATGATCCCGGTCACTCAGGCAGTGACAGTCGGTGACAACATCTATAATGTGACTACATCAGTTCTTGCCAATATACCACCTCCCACAACCACAATTACTAGTATTGTGGCGGCCACAGACTCCAGCCTCGAGATCCTTGACTACCAAAATACCTGGGCGCCCGCATACAACATGTTTGATGAACTATCCCACAACGCAAAGTTTTATATACTCACTATATCTATCACCTCGCTGGCTGGTAGTGCCATTCTCATTGGTATTATTGACTATATCCCACGCAAAATGTGGTTGGTGTGGTCATTCCTGCTCCTGAGTTGCTGGTTTGCGGTATTGGGTGGAGTCTTGGTGGCCACCGAGTTTAGTGACGGCCACGTGGCGAACGTGGTATTGTATGCTTTTTGCCAATTTTTCTTCAATCTTGGTAAGTCACCATTGGGAAGGAAATTGGGTCTCCTCCTCACGAGCTGACGCTTGCAAATCTATAGGCCCAAATACCTTGACTTATATTGTGGGTGCCCTTCGCATTGTCTTCATCCGTCACCGCTAACACTTCGCCAGATTCCGGCCGAAATATTCCCAACCAGGTTCCGTGCCACCTGTCATGGTATCTCCGCGGCGTGTGGGAAACTTGGCGCGATCATCATCCTGATCGTCACCGAGAACACACTGCTCAGCTCGAACCCCCGGGCGCTGGATAAACTCCTTGGCGCTTTCTCGGTTCCGTTGGCTGTCGGGGCCTTCTTGGCGTGGATATGGATTCCTGAGATACAAACACCACCAACTGGCCTGGCACGAGCGCTTCGCTTGCCCCGATTGCCCAATAAAAGTCTGGAATGGCTCGCAAAGGGATGGGCCTTTGCCAACGGCACGGATCCAACTCAGGAAAATCAAAGGTTGGGAGTCTCGAATAAGATTGCTGATCTGTGGGCTCTTGTTCGATATGGGGGGAAGAGGAGGGTCTTGGGTGCCGCAGACACCCTTCCTGGAGGATTGGGAACGGCCGATGATTCTATACGGGCGCAGACTCATCTTCGGGTACCACAGCCACAACACCATGTAGATAACGAACGTTAATTGAACGTGGCCCTATGGAGAAAAGGGTTACATGTACACTTGTTTTCAACCCATTCATGAATCGTGCATGCTCGTAGCAGCCTTGGAGCCCCCCTACACGCTCTCTGGTCGGCTGTTCTGTCTCTCAATTCTTCTTTTCCGTACCACCTGCAAGTTCTTCTTCGCGCGGATGACATGATAAACGGTCAGAAAGCCCCATACTGAGCCCACAAGCAAGACACTTGCCACGGCTCCAAGTAAGCTCGCCGCGGTGAAAACCACTGAGGCACGCTGAAACCCTTCACTACCCTGTAACGAGTGGGTCCCCAGTCCCACTTGCATTGAGCCAGCAACTATGGTGACAAAACCGAAGACTGAGAAGAGCCAAGCAAAGTTCCGCTCCAAGAAGGCTTTGGTCCATAAAGGTTCCGACATAAAGCCCCGCATGAAGTTCTGGGTGGAGAAAACACCGGGGGCAAATCGATAGATGAGATTCAGCCGCGAGAGTCGCAGCTCTCCAAAGTGGTAGCGCTTGGAGACAGTGTCAACCGATTCCGGATCAATCACGGTGAGTAAATCGGTCACGAATGGAGCCCATTTCTCCCAGGTTATGGACACCGGAAGAAGGTGAGTATTGTGAGCGATCACCAGATCAGACTTAGTGCTAATCAACCAGCAATATGACAAGAGAAACCCGCAGGCGGAATGATAAAGGGACTGGTCATGGATTAGGGAGCCGCCGTCGGTCAACCAAAAGTCGTAGGAGAGAATATATTCCGGTAGAGGCTTGATAAATATACGGGTAGCGTTCCAGACCAGATGCTCATTGGGGTTTTCCGTGATGATTATTGCTCGTCCCAGGAGAATTTGGCGATGAAGTGGGCGAGCTGCCCTGGGGAGTCCCGCAAGCCAAAGATGCCGGTATATTTGGTCAATGGCAGGAGTCCGGAGGTCCTGGTTTAGAATACTTGTGATGGACCGTTGAGGATCAAAGCCGCTGCTTAGATTCCACGGTGGGAAGATTGGCGTAGATTCCAGCAATTCGTGTGCTTTCTGGAACGGCGGGCTGAGAGGGGCCTGTAATATATCAGCGATGGAGTTTCTTCTCATGGCAAAATTCACCTATAACCTTCTCCGTCGAGGTTCTATCATTTGAAAGGCCCATTCCCTCGAGAGTACTGCCTTCCAAGCTTGACAGCGTTCAGAACCAGAAACCCTGGGTGGTGCCCGGATTTCGTGCCCAAAGCAATGTTCTCCGCTCGGCTGTTGCAATTGTCGGCTCCTATGCCTCGGTCATACAAGTCATATGATCTCGTCAACAGGGGGGGTTTGAAAGGCGACGCGAACGGAGATGTCAGCCTTGGACGTCTTCCAGAAGTTCAGGGTCAAATGTGCCGAGGGGCTCATCTGACTTAGGGCGTGGCAATAAGCCGGGCAATCATGAGCGTGCTCCGCAAGCCATAGATACGAAACCACCCCCAATCAACGCATCGAGACGAACACGTGAATATATGCCCTATTTGTCTTCAATTTCCTGGTTCGGCTTTCTTCGGTCGGCCAAGCAGAGGCTTCGGAACGCCCGCGCGATGTATATGTTCTTTTTTGATAGTGTAGTGGATGGTTGAGAGGGGATTCAGTGATCATGTTGGTGAAGAGACTAAGATGTGTGTTCAGCGAAACCCAACCAAAAAACATGTCGCGTGGCGGTAAATAAGCAGCGGCGGTGTGGCGGGTATCGCGTTGGGATGCAAATTAATTGGCAGTCACTGGACCTTTCTGCTATCTGGTCGGTGTGAATTACTCGCAATCACGGCAGATTATCATCTTAACCATACGGAGAGAAGCCGGCGCTACTACGGTGATTGGATTCGGAATTAAGGATATTCGATATCGAAATTCGGCTTCAATTCATCCTGTCTGGCCCCGCGTGAAATACATTGATAATACCGAGGGAGGATCCTCCAGAAAAAGATCCCCTGCGACTTTAAACAACTGCCTCGGCGGCCGTACGCGTCGTGGTTTGCATAGCCTCCGCGACTAGGTCCCTTTCCTCCTGGCTACTGGTGTCGCCAAACACCTCATCGAGTTCTTCCAGGGTCTTACCACTCGTTTCAGGAACCAAAAAGAATGCCCATAGGCCAGCGAGGAAGCACATCACAGCGAAGAAGATGTACGTGCCGTAACTGATCTTCTCCATCATACTCGGAACGGAAATGCCCACGATGAAGTCGCACAGCCAGATGACGCAAGTTGACAGCGCAACGCCCTTGGATCTAGTCGCAGTGGAGAAGACCTCGGGAGGGAGAGCCCATCCGAGTGGGGAATATGAGACGCCGTATGTTAGAATGAACGCGAACGCCATCGCTACGCACGCCCAACCGGCACTCTGATGACTCGGCCAGCTCTTTTCGTATAATGCGGACAGGATTGCAATGATCGCGTACGTCACAGCTGTTCCGAACCCGCCAAAAATAGCCAACGGTCGACGGCCGACCTTCTCAATGATCAGGAAGCATACGATGGCAGCGACCATCTGCAAGATGTTGAACACGCCCGACATGATCAAGGACATCTCATCAGTTTGTCCTAGCTGTTTATTATTAGAAGGTTTATCCCGGGTGCGAAGTTTGATCTCATGAACAGAATGTGCTTACTGATTTAAATAAGGTAGGCGCATAGTAGATGAATGCGTTGATTCCCGAGAACTGTTGGAAGAAGGCGACACCCACGCCGACGGCCGTGCGTCTCCAGATCTTTCGACTGAAGAGATCCGCCCATAACAGAAGTTCGAGCTTCATGCCGCTCGTCCCTGGATGTCGCCTCTGCTGAACAACTTTCTGGAAAGTTACATCGGCCATAATACCGTGAAACTCGGCCTGCACTCGCGCATCATCGCCGGGTAATCCCCGCAGCCTCTCGAGGCTCTTCAGACAGTCGTCAGACCGATTCACAAGGGCCAACCAACGAGGAGAATAGGGGAAGAAGTGAATTCCTGCGCCAAGAAGGGTCGCAGTCACCATTTGCAATGCAAATGGCAATCGAAACGCGGCCTCGCCAGCCATATGTCTGCTGCCAAAAGTAATCCAGAATGCAATGACAACACCAGAGGTGATGGAGATTGACTCAAGAACCAATAGTGTTCCGCGAATATTGGGAGGCGATATTTCCGAAATATAAAGGGGTGCCCCCTAGTTTTAAAAAAAGTACATCAGTCAATGGTTTTGTTAGAGTCTGGAGCATCGACATTCACCATTGCCAGAGTGCCGACACCGATCCCGCCAATAAATCTACCAGCTACCAATGCTCCATAGTTTGGTGCGGCAGTCTGAAGAATTGCGCCAATGTCAAAGATTATAACCACCACGGTCAATGCCCATTTACGCGAATACCGATCTGCCATATAAGGCATGAAGATGCAGCCCATGAACGCTCCCAGCAGCAGCATGGCTGTCATGAACGCTTTTCCAAAGGCAGTTTCCGCAAAGGGATATTTCGTGTGAAATTGGTCCATCACGTTAATGATTGAAATCACACCCATGTCGTACCCCATTGAGAACCCGCCCAGGGAGGCGAGCACAGCTGCGCCGGAGACATAAAGGGAACTGGCGAGACCTGAGATGCCACCAGGGCCATATGAACATGATTGTAAAAAGCTGGGATCCGCATAGATCGTCTCGTCGTGTTCTATTTCTGCTTTGCCTGTTTGCTTGAGTTTGTTGGGAAGAGCGTCGGCGCTTTCGTCGTTGGCCATGATTGATCACTCAGAAGGAATTGGAGGATAGGCAATTGAATGAACCTCTAATCTGAGGGTGCGTTACCCTTCACTGACATCTCATTTATAGTCCAGCTCCGTGCCTCCATCGGCCTTCGTCATCCCTGCAGGGCGGAATTCCCCAGACCCTTCTTTATTTGCGGGGTAGTCTGGGGAAGGCTGGCCCCGAGACCCACATTCCAGGTTTCAGTGTTTTTTCGCCGAGGATTTCCCTCCCAGAGCATGGCCCGGTGTGTAACTCGGGGCGGGGGAGCTTCCCCGGTTGAACCTCGATGATGAAATGCAGTAGTGAAACTCTCGATGCGCCTGACGGTCGGGTCAACATTGATATATCGGCCTATGCTCCGTTGCCGACTTCCTTTTCTAATGATTAAACATTCAAATCACACTTTATCACACTTGTCTGCTCTGCAGTCGTCGAATTAGCATTTGTTATTTTGTCTCACATATACTTCATTCATCCATTCGGCTATTGCATGATCCTGGGTTGTAGGAAACTTTACTTTGCAGGGATAAAGAATGACGGAGAAGCGTTCTCCCGGCCGTCCCTTATTGCGATGATGTATATCGAATGTTGACGGCTGCGTCGATGATTGTTGCATGATCAACTGGAGAACAGATACCCGGCGGATATCCTTTTTATCAAGGCTGGCTTTCTGGCCCAGTGATAAAAGGTAGTCCTTGAGACTCTGTGGGTTTAATATGCATCATTCGATTCCTGAAGGTGCCCAATCTGCCACATTTGCTCGTCCGTCACAGTGGCCAAGAGCAATGAAGGGATTATTACGGTCTAGTCATCATTACTGTCCTCTTCAATGATATTCAAGTGACTTTTTGCATAGTCGATACCTTGAAGGGGGAGAGAGAGAGAGTAAAAGTGGCGATCGAGGGGCTGAGTAAGATCACCTGACTTGGGCAAGGCAACTTGCAAGGCAGTCGCACGTGAGTGACGATGCTGATGAGTTCAACCTTATTTTCCCAACCGCTCCAGACTGGATGATCGTGCAATATCTAGAAGATCGTACCAGTGGACTCTTGTGTCATTTTTTTACCCGGTTGGACCGTCTTTCAGATCTCTTGATGACATAGATCATGTCCTCGGGTCAGACGTCATCTGACGATACTGTTTGTGAAGGGACGTCAAACGATGTGAAAAAGCTACAGAATGTATTTCGGGTGACTGTGGAGGGGAAGAAGCAGCTCTCTGGGTTTCATTCACGGCGGGCTCATAGGAAGTCTCGAGCAGGTTGTTTAACCTGTAAGAAAAGAAGGGTCAAGGTATGCTGAGTAACAAACATGCCGTGTTTGCCAACGACACTGAAGCCTTGCAGTGTGATGAATCAAAGCCAGACTGTTCAAGGTGCCAGAAAAGAGGCTTAGACTGTTGCTACGCTTCCGAAGTGTCTCTTTCCAACGGTGCGAGGTCATTGGACGAAGCGTTTGCGTTGGAAGACCCGACTACCACCTTCTTCACTCTCTCGCTTGATAATGTCACAAGAGGCATCGAGGAGACTCTGAGCTTTGATATAAACTGGAAGCCGGATGCATTGTGGAACTCAAAGTCTACTCATCCTATGAGTACAGTAGCCTTCCAGAATTTCGTCAGGGGTGCAACCGAGACCATGGCGAACCCCGCCATCCGGGATATCATGAGGACTGATATGATACGGGTTTCGTTCACTGTGAGTATATTGAGAGGTCTTGTTAAATTGCTATTGTGAATCTCTAACAAAACCGAAACCAGAGCGCTCACCTGATGTACACAATTCTTGCAGTTGGTATGCTGCACCTCAACCGCGTGTCGCCTAGCAAAGAGCGATCTTTGGCAGAATCATATTTCTGGCTACACGCCATCCAACTATATCAAAAAGCACTGTCATCAAGTGTCAGCAAAGATAATGTTGACGCTCTTCTGTCCAGTTGCATGCTGATGAGTGTGATGACCGTGTGTCCGGAAAGGTTTGCGGTAACAGATTCTTGGGTTCTCACCAACAGACCAGAGGCCATGAACTGGCTTTGCTTCCAGAGTGGACTCCGGTGCATTCTAACTCTTGCTTCGCCATGTATACCGAGCAGCATCTGGGCCACCGCATTTGCTGGCATTAACAAAGAGGAACGTCAGATCTTCGACGGGGCTCAGCAGGGCCGAGATGGTCTTGATCCGGATTTGGCGGACCTTTGCGGCATTGATGATCTTACTACGGAGAAGACCAGCGTTTATTATAGCCCGCTTCGCATCCTTACTTCACTGCTGCAATTGGAAAGGAACGCTCCCAATTCTGGCCATTGTACTTCATTTATGGGCAGATTGGAGTGCGATTTCCTTGATCTACTGAGGAAGAGAGACCCGCCTGCTCTTATCATCTTGGCGCATTGGATGGGTCTCATGTGCTGTGTCTCACAGTGGCAGCCTTGGATAGAGGGGAGAATCAGGGGAGAATGTGTTGCGATTTGCATGTTTTTGGAACATAGTACAGATCCCAGAATTTTGCGTCTTCTACGCTTCCCGGCGGATTCGTGTGGTTATAGGCTTGATGATTCATGAACATCTAGCAATACAAGTCAGGATCGAACTTCAGGCGCCAGCTTTTCGGTCTTGTAACCCCATTCTTCCATATCTTTCAGGCTCTGTATCAGAGTGGAGACGGCTGAAAGTCGTTGAAAATACCATTGAACCAACTCTCGAAATCAATCTCTTCCTGGTTCCAGGAAAATTGTATCTCGTTGGTGTCCACACTACGAAAGTCGTCCGGGCTGTTACCCGGAAACCTGCCGAACACCATCTCATCTTCAGGGTTGAGAATCACTCTGCTCAAGGTCGAAAAATTGGCGAAAATCCGGTGGAAGTCAATATGACCGCCCCGTTTGCTTTCTTTGGCACCAAAGTTGGACTCTTCGGCAATGAGAATAGCATCGATAAGAGCAACGCCACGCTGGGCGAGTAAATCGTGATTTCGTAAAGCAAGACGCTCGCGAGCAGCCACCACAGCCTCTCTGTACAATTCCACTTTGCCATCATTGGGATCTTTCACGGTGGCATTAACTTCAAAGCACAGAATAACCGCAGCTGTGATAGCAAATGCTGTGTGAGTCCAGATGGATAGGTCTTCCTCCTTGGCAATTGTTTCATGTTCACGCAGGATGGTCATCGCAGCCGCAATGCACGTACGTCTTGAATGGCCATAATTTGGGTCATGAAATGAGCGGAAAAGAAACGGTCGGTGAATCATGATAATCTTCTCGGCTGCCGTGATAGCCAGACTTCGACGTACGATGCTGAGCCAAGGGATCTTCGACTCTTTTGCCTTGTCGGGTCGCAACAGAAATGATGGTATACCTTTCACTACAGCCCGCATCTTCTGATCCACTTGAAGAATATGCTCGTATTGTTCGCGGCGGGACTTGCGCTTATTCATTGGGCCCAGGCCATCAACCAGACCTGGCATTAAAGCGGCGAGTTCCACGAGCACCCTCACGTAGGTACTGATCGTAGGTATGTTGGTTGGCAATTCAATCAGATTATGCTCCTCTGCATTTAAAGGACGATCCGTCGAGTAATGCATAGGCGAGATGCTGTAGGTGTCGGTAAACGGTATAGCGAAGTGATCTTGAATGATCATTTGACACCATACTCGCCTTCCAACTTCTCGCTCCACTCGTTCTTCCCATTGATCTCGGTTCTGTGTCAATGGTGACGGGTGGTCCTTGATTTTATGAAGCCCCAGGCACTCAGCAATTCGGACAGCAGCATTGAACATCGTGGCGTTTAAATGGCTAAGGCCAAGGTTATGAGCAACCTCCGTCGAAATCACAATGGCCTGGACGGAGTATATGGAAAGATTGTTCAGAAAATGAGAGTTATACAAAGTTTGAACCATGGCAGAGAAGAGTTTCTGAGCCGATGGCATGGCGTCAAGGTCAACATTGAGCAGACCTTTCAGCTTGCGGCTATTCTGGATTGAATTGACAGTGCAACTCAAAACGGAGAGATAGAGTGCTATCCAGAGCGGGTTATCGCATCTTCCTGTGCTCCAAAACAGATCACACTGCTCAAGGAAGGTGTCTCCGTGAAAACAGTTGTGATGCCATGTTAGATGGCCAATATGAAATTTGATAAGCTTTTGAGCATCGTTTGTCATGGGAATAAATATCATAGACTCCAATGCAGACCCGTGTATTTGAAAGGACCCGCTGTTCATCGACAGCGCCTCCGGGTTATCCCGGCGATATTGGCAGGCGCACCTCCTATGGGGAAAACACCCCGCTGAGTTTCGGCCCCAAGCAAGGTGCTCTATCGCTGTGAGAAGCGGTGGATCTGGACCCTCCGAGGCCGCCTCGGCCAGTCGATGCAGCGCCTGCTTTTCGTCAAAGTGGTCCGGGTGCTTAATATCTTCCTGCAGCAATCCAGGGCTGTTTTCATCAGCCTGCGTGGACAATTCGCCCGTTTGTAGCTGCGAAATGCGATCTCGCAACTTTTGGGCAATGTGAGGCAGCTTTTGTTTGGAGCCAGAGTCAAGCTCCCCCAATATTGAGCTCAGGAATTGAATCTCAGACGCGTGTTGCACAGCGTTCCGGCGGAGTCGCACGGACTCTACCGAGCAATCAAGATTTAGGCGTCGGCATCTTGAACAAGGAATTTGCTTGTCGCATTTTCTTTTCCGCTTCGTGCATTCTAGACCATGTCAATCTTGTATCTCACTCGGAGAGGGAATGGATAATCTACCTCGACACGCCAGGGGCCGCCGCTGCGAGACGCGGAGTGGGCCAGCGGCATCGGCTGGCCCGGTCATGGCATGAGTGGACTTATTTGAAAGAGAAAACACTCACGTTTCAAACCTCCCTTTTCTGCTCGTTGCTTATGTCGGTATGATGGGGGAGAGAGGAAGTGTCTAGCGGAGGAGCGCGGCGACTCAGCCGCCCCGCCGCGCTGATAAGCCAATGAGGCGCCAGCGATATCGGCGGTCGGGGTTTCTTGGCCCCCCGCTGATTGCTTGGCTGCCCGCTTTCCGTGCTGTTGCGTCGATGCTTGTTCTTGTTGATAGAGCCATCTTTATGGGATTTCTGTCTGCATGTCTTTCTAGCTATATCACTCAATCTAGCTATATCACTAAAGCGGTTATCGCCAATGTCCGGCCAGCCTCCTCCGGAAGCAAGATCCAAGCCCATCCAAGGCCGAAGAACTCCTTGATGGAGAAATCAAGAGGTTCCTTTCGGCTGAAAGGTGTCTTTGAGCAACATAGATGAAATAGTCTATCCGCGTCAGTGATCGAAGATCAGTGGGCAGGGCCGAAACACACCTTCCACGTAAAGCCGTTCACGAAACTACCACCGTGGAAAAGCGAAGTAATCCGTACAGCTCAGGCCTATCAAGAATATGATCGCATACAGCCTCTAGCTGAGGGGTGATATTTCGTCGTCGGCCCACACGAGTCGCAGGCGCTATGGCGTTTCCAAATCGGCGAATATTGTTGTGAATGTTAATGATTCAACGTTTATTACATGCCCTAGCCATCTGCGATATGTTCAAGAATTTGTTAAGTACTTGTCAGCACATGAAGGGATAACTTACCGCTAGCAACTGATTGGTTGCTGATGGGCCTATATCTGTTTAGTATTCCTATGTAATCAGGGAGCTGAGCTGCAATGCAGCCTTTATCACAGCTGAGTAACGGAGACATCAGACACATCGAATAGCGGTGTGTCTAAGTGTGTGTTTTTAACAGCGCTTCTCCTCCCAGCTTTCTACTGAATCAATCAATGTTATTCATCTATCTTGGTCCCGCTTGATATCATTCGTCGTCTTTGCATACTAGGCTATACAGTATCAGCTTGCTCTGATAGTATCATAATACGAATCATCTCGAACGTTGACAGAGAAAGCCTCATTGGTTAAGAGTGATTTCATCGGATTGAAGGAAGCTAGGGGAGTCGGTGCGGAGATTAAACACACTCTGACTGGTAGCCAATCCCAGATCCTAAATGTCGTACCAGTGGAAGCTGATGCGAACTCCCATCTGCGGCCAGGCAATTCGTTCACTTTTTAAGGCAAGCGCATGTAAGGGCCGTGCAACGTTACTCCTCAAATTCCACCTGAGCAAACGGGAACCCAGAGGAGCTCCGGGTCTGCGCCCGTGAATGTGTGTATATAAAAGAGTATAGTGGCATCCGCAAACCGTTCCCATCAACCATGACGATCAAACAGGAAGCTCAAGGGGAAGCCAGCGTGGCGCTGGCCGATCCCGTCCTCCTTGACAAGATCGACCAATTGTTTGCCTGCAATGTGGGAGAATACATCGATCTGCCACAGTTGGTCGTTGTTGGAGACCAATCCAGCGGGAAAAGCTCCGTCTTGGAGGGTCTGACCAAATTGAAATTCCCTCGGAACACTGGTCTGTGTACTCGATTTGCGACTCAGATTCTATTCCGGAGAGATCCCAGCTTGAAAAGGCGCAGAGTGAATGGCTCCATCATATCGGCCACCCCTCACGATGAAAATACTGCGGGTTGGAGTGTCACTGACATTGACACCTTGAGTGCCACCGAGTTTGAGAGTATGATGACGGATGTAAGCATCCTTCTGAACACAGCGTCAGCGTGAAACTCACCTCGTCCAAGGTTCACACCACGATGGGCCTAAAAGCCACCACGGGCGACGGGCGGCCCTCGTTCTCCGCGGACGTTCTTCGGCTGGAGATTCATGGACCAGATGAAAATCACTTCAGTGTCATTGACGTTCCTGGGATATTCAAAACCACAACCCCCGGCGTGACATCGAAGTCCGATATCGACCTGGTGAGAGGTATGGTGCTGAACTACATGCGCAACCCTCGGTCTATCATGCTTGCTGTGGTACCGGCCAATGTGGACATTGCAACGCAGGAGATTATCGAAATGACGCGCGAGCTGGATCCGGACGGTATGAGAACCTTGCGAATTCTTACGAAGCCAGACCTGGTCGACAAAGGCGCAGAAGAGGCGATCATTGAGCTGGTGGAAGGGAAACAGGAATCGCAAGGACTTGGATGGGTAGTCGTCCGAAATCTTGGCCAGAAGGAACTTCAAGATCCATCCAAGGACCGTGATGCAGAAGAAGAGATCGTCCGCAAGACCGCTCCGTGGAACCGCCTCTCGGATGACAACTACGGTATTGAAGCGCTGGCCAAGCGAATTCAGGTCCTGTTGACTTCCAACGTCCGGCGTGTGTTCCCAAAGGTAGGTCTCGTTGGAATTGAAAGTACTGCCGTTAGGTGCTAATCTGGACAGGTGCGATCGGAAGTCTCGAAGCGTCTTAAGGAATGTAAAAAGGCCCTGGACGATCTTGGGGACGAACGTGGCTCTCCGGAACAACAAAGCAAATATTTGCTTGATATTGTAGCAAAATTTCAGCGTATCACCGAAAATGCTTTGCATACGAATTACGGATCCCAAGATGCTTTTGACGACGAGCCTGATCTCCGACTGGCCACGTTGGTCGCGAATCGCAACGCACAGTTTTCGGCCGACTTTGCTCTTCGGGGCCATATGTATAACTTCAAGTCGCATAGTCATGACGACGACCCGCAAAGTCGAGAAAGCTCACCGCCGAGCCCTACTGGCGCTATCATGGGTGAAAGCGAAGAAGAAGAAGAAGGAGGAGGAGGAGGAACTTGCAAGTCAGTCCCCAGCAGAAAACTGAATGTTTGTCAGGATATCGAGGATGTGCTCCATGACAGTGAGCCCATCCATAATGCACTCGCACAAGGTATCCTTCCTTGGATCGAAAATCTCTACAAAGCGTCTCGCGGATTCGAACTCGGTACCTTCAATTCTTCTATACTTGCAAGCGTCCTGAAGAAGCAATCCGCCAAGTGGCCCACTCTAGCGGAGGGGTACATCTGTGATGTTGTTTGCATGGTTCACGTTTTCACGCGTAAGGCACTCAACATCGCCTGTGGCGATCAGAGACGAGGAGAGATTATCCTCTCATTTCTGATGGACGACCTCATTGAAAAATACCGAAGCGCCCTGTCGATGACAGACTTTCTCCTTCGAATTGAGAGGGAAGGAACCCCAATGACCCAAAATCATTACCTGAACAGCAATTTGCAAAAATGGTTAGTGCAATGCCTTTTGTCTGTTATTTGTGACTAACGTTTATTCAGTCGGCAGGGCCGCATCTCTTCTGCAGTCGAAAAGTCATCATTCCATGTGACAAACGAGCATGGCTCCAGAGAAAAATCAGTTCGACTCTCTGATCTCACCCGGATTCACGACATGAGTAATCTAGAGCAGACCGTGCAAGACATTCACGACATCTTGAAATCATACTACAAGGTCGCTCAGAAAAGGTTTATTGACAATATGTGCATGCAAGCGGCGAACTATCATTTGGTCACTGGACCAGCAGCGCCGATGACATTGTTCTCTCCCTCCTGGGTGTACCGTCTTTCACCCGAGCAATTGGAACAAATGGCCGGAGAGGAGATATCGATTCGGAGGAAGCGACATCGTTTACAAAAGCAGGTAAAAGACCTTGAGATGGGGCGCAAAATTGTTCTTTAATACACCCTATGGAGTTTCTCATTCCTCCTCAACCCTCCCTCATGTCCCTCACTTTGCCGTAACAGTCGCCGAAATAGTTGGCGCTCACACGGCTCATTCAGTGGTGTATATGGGTAACTCTCGGAATCAGTTTTCACCACTTTGTTCTCTTCAATTTATTCTTAGACTTTCGTACGCTTGGTGAAGTATGCTATACTGTTGCGGTTACTCTACCCCAGAGTCGTTAACCTTTAGATAAAAGCTTGCTCTGGTCAATTATTTGACAGATGTCTTCTTCATTAATAAAGCACGATGATCTAGGAAAGTCGGTACCACGCCTCTCCATGCAATATGTAAGAAATTTCTCTCGCTCAAAGAGCCGGGGCGGCGGCTTGTTTCGCAGCCTTGAGTCTCTTCTCCTCCCTTTCACTGAACCGATCAGCGAACAGCTCCAGGTGCGGTCGCATTAGGATTGTATATTTCACGAATTCCTCCATGCAATCCACCAGGCGATCGCGGTTTCCACTAGGTATGAGTCGTTGATCTCCTACTTGGCCTTCGTCTGGAAACTGGGTGTAGGCTTTGGGAATGGAGGACTGATTCGGAATGGTAAACATGCGCATCCATCGGCCGAGGATGCGCAAAGAGTTGACCGCATTGAACGACTGCGATCCGCCACACACTTGGGCGATGGCGAGTGTCCGGCCCTGAGTCGGACGAACACTTCCGGTACTTAAAGGAATCCAATCAATCTGATTCTTGAACACGGCCGTCTAGCGATCATGAATCACATACACATTAGCATCAATGACATTATAAGCCTTGCGACCTTGGAGAGGCTTGACTGACCAGGTTCCCATGCTGCTCGGGTGAAACCCAGAGATGCCCGTCACTCCAAACACTAAGCTCTCTGAGCTCCTGGACTTTAGGATGGGTATGATCCCTGTCGTTCTTCATTGGAAGACCCTCCGGGTCGAAGACGCGCACGTCACACCCGAGCCGAAAAAGGATTCGAGACGCTTCGAAAGCTACCAATTTCGAATATGACCTTTGACGGAGGCTGCCGTAGAGAACAAGAACCTTCAGCCTCTCATTGGTGGCTTTCAGGTTCTTCTCAGCCATGTTCAGAGCAGTAGTCAGGTCGAGGCTCTCGATCCAGTCCTCAGCCTCCTCAAGAATGAAGGGCCGGTACTTTTGGCGAATATGGACATCGTCCTCTCTTGAGCATAAGGCTAGAGTCTGAAGGGCAGAAATCGGTTTGACATGAATTGCACCATCCGGCTGTTCGATTTCTGCTGCCGCATGTTGAGCAAGGGCGGGAACCATCGTCCTCAATGATCTGTGCTGAGAGAACGGTGACCTTAAGCGAGAGAGTTGCCTCAATGGCAGCACCAATTTTGGTTTAAAATAGGTGGGCTTTATACGAGAAATCAGCATATCGGCCAAAGAGGACAGCACGGGAACAGCATCACAATCTGTACTTTATGTGAGGCATAAATCAAATTATGTCACTGCCCAGTGGTGATTGGATGAATATTACCCACATTCCTCCGGTACGGAAAATACGGTGGTGGCTAAGGGAGGAACCGAGCCGGGACTCCAAGCAACGGCGGACTCCAAATCTGACATGTATTGTATTTAGCACGGATAAATACATAAACGGCCACATGGAAAGCTCATTCCAATCGATTAGAATTCGAGCTTGTTAGCACACGCAACCCCGCTTCGAAGCGTTATCTTAACCGCACTCGAAAACATCAAGAAGAGCGCCAATTGTATCACGAATGAGAGTGACCCCACCAGATTGGCTCGAAGCCGTGAGAATCAGCAACGCTCTCGTGCTCGGTGCAGAGAGTACATCTAAGACCTAGAGCGGCGGCTACCGGCATTTGCAAGTCTTGGAGTTATGTGTCGCAGGAGGTTCCAAAAGCAGTAAAACGGTCGCAAAATAGACCTATCTCCTTCGATCACTGATGCTCCGCGGGGTGACTGGGGAAGAAACCGAAAATATCTCAAATCGCACACAGAGTACACTCCAGAAATTGCTACTGCGACATCGACAACCTTCACTCCAACTGTCCCTTTTATAGGTTATTCTCTTTCACATCAGATCTTCATCGAAAGTCCAACACGTTCCCAATCGATGAACCGTATTCCACTCATGTATAGATCCGGACAATGTCTGATCAGAGATCATTCTACTTACAAAGATATCGCTTACGAACTCCCCGAAGTAATTGCATGAAATCGTGAGAGAGGAATGGAGGAGCTTAACGGCAAAAAGACTGGTCGCAGCTTAAATTCCAAGCCATTCCATACATACCAAGTTTCGCGATCATTCTGCAAGAGAAGTCAACAAACTTCGCTTATTTGATGGAGTCAATTTACATCCAGTCCAAGCCAAACTGCAGGTCACTGGTCCATGAAGAGCCGGGTGATCGGGTTGTACACCCAACATCTCCATGATTGCGGAGCACAGGCCACAAAATAGGGCGATTATTCTCATTATCAACAGTTCTACGCGGGCGGGGAATTCTCCGCTCGCTTGAAAACGCATCCCCGGAATCCAGGTACTCGATCCTATTGAACTCCCGCTAGTAGGGTCCCCCTGGGCCATAGCTCTCGCTTGTCGTCCCGCCATTGGGTAACCATCAATGCGAAGCTTTGACGTAACCGCGCCAGGAGATCTCCCGGTCCAACCACTCCTCTCGCTGCCCAATTTTGTCAACCCCACTCCGTCGAGTCGGTGAAAACTCATGCCCAACCGGCCCTAGGCGGAACCTCATAGCCAACCGATAGTATCGCCACCTATAGAAAGAGTGATAAATGAAGAACTAGATAAAGCAAATTTACCCTCAAAATACATTTGGTTAACAGCTCTGTTGTGATTTAATACAAGAGCTGGTCTTGCGCGAATTAGCCTGTTCAATTTATGTGATCATAACAGATGATTGTTTTATCATCGGGGAGAGGGAAGCCTCGGGCCGCGGGGGTGAGAATCACGACATCGTTTCCCTTGGGGCAATCCCACGCGTCCAGCACAGGCCTTGTCATTGATTTTGCATGAGCTCACCGTTCTTCTAGAACGTGTGTTGCGGAAATCTCAAGGCGATCATCGCGGAGATTTAAGCCAATCAGAGGCTCCGCTGCAACGCCGGCTAGAGCCGGTCAGATATGATTGGCTGATGGTGCCGTCGAGGGGTTGCGATCTATAAAAATCCCCCAGGTGCAGTTGGCCTTCAGATACGCTGGGTGGGCGATAAGATGGTTGGCATTACATGATCCTGTCGGGTGCGAAGCTATATTTTTGGTGTTGATGTGGTTTTCCTCTTTTCAACCTCTTCCCCCACCCTTTCCCATTCATTTTTGGTGCCTTTCCTCTCCCCCTCCCTTCTTCATCGGCGAGCAGCATTGGAAGGGCTTTGCCTACACTGATCCACAGTGAGTAGTTCATGCCACCAGCATGCACGGCCCCGCGTTGGATCTGTTTTAACTAATTGGAATTGCTTCTGACCTGCAGACTGAATTCGAGCCCTGGAGGGGGACCACGCATTTTCTATCTTTACCACTCACTCGACGCTATCTACCGACCGTTCTACACCCTCCACCCATTTCCGACTTTCCTACTTTTGACAGCCCAGACGGCCCCGCCAATTGAGCACGACAGTTTTGTCGGCTTGAAGCGCGCACACACAATACGAACCACAATATGAACCACAATATGAAAGACCAGGCGTTGTCGCTGGGCATTCACCGAACGGGAAGCCGGCTCGGTGAGCTTCTTGTAGCCGATACACTTGTTGCAGCGGGTTCATCCGCCCTCATCACCCCGGCCGTGATGATCTTTGACAGGTGCGTCTTGTGACCGCGAATGGGCCTTGGTCATCAAGTATACAGTCTGGTTGCAATGGACTAACACGCGCTGCAGACTTGTTGTCGAGAAGTCCTTTTACAACCAGCCCATGTTGCCCGCCTTTCGCCGACATCTGTGGTTCTCCCTTACACAGCCTGCCACCTTTATAACGTCTCGACCCAGCCTGCTCGTCTGGTCCCTCTATACCGCCACGTTTGCTACCGCCAATATGTCAGAGACCCTGCTGAGCAAGGTCTACCCCAAGATCGACCATGCGATTGCCGGCATGACCACTTTCGCCGCCACCTTCGTGGTAAACTCCTCCGTCGGCATCTGGAAAGACGTGAGATTCGCCCAGCTCTTCGGTCACAAGAATAACGCCTCTCCCTCTTCACCACCGACCCCGTCCCCGTCGGGATCAGGATCAACCTTAGCATCTCCATCCACATCCACATCCAACACCCCTCCCAAAGCCGACACCTCTCTCCCCAAAACCGCCCGTTCCATCGGCCGCACCCGCATGCCCCTCGCCACATACTCCGCCTTCCTCCTGCGCGACGGCCTCACCATCTTCGGCTCCTTCAGCCTCCCTGCCATGCTCTCCACCGCCATCCCCGACTCCATCGCCTCCCAAGAATACCTCAAGATCCTGATTGCCCAACTCGCCATCCCAGCCTCCATTCAACTGATCAGCACACCGATTCACCTCTTCGGCCTCGACCTCTACAACCGGCCGCAGGTCATGCCAACCAAAGAACGCATCAGCCGCATCAGCCGCGACTGGATTGGCGCCTCGCTCCTGCGCATGTGCCGCATCATTCCCGCTTTTGGCATCGGCGGCTTCCTCAATACCGAGGGCCGTCTTTATCTGCATGACCAGTTAGACGCGGGGCGCCAACCGTCCTGAGCCACTACTTTTTTTCCTCTTTGCATATAACAGCACATAGCATAACATTTCATACCGCACATATAGAAATTATAGATCAATATACCCTTTCTTACTTCTTTGCTTATAGGCTCATGTGGTCTGTTACCCTGTTCGCGCCTACTCGCGTGCCTCTTTGTGGCATTGGCATGGGCACTGTGGGCGTCTCTTATCGGTTATCGTCGATCAGCACCCCACCTGCCGAGGCCCTGATATTCCGCGGCCCGGAACCCGTGTTTAGCCGGACGAGACTTCATGTCGGCTCAGCCCATTTTTTATCAGCGCTCCTCCATTAAGTTTTTCTGTCTCCACATGCCCTGAGCCGACCCTCTTTCCAAACTTACCCTCTTACACACCCTTACGCATTGTTAGCAACTAGTTTGGTCGTATATTACTAAGTGTAAATGTGTTCTTAGCCGTAGTTATTTGGTCGTGAATTGATTTTTTTAAAAGAAAATCCCTCTTAGGTTATTATCTCGATGACTTTCTATATATAAATTATTATCACTAGATTATTAGAAGCCGTCTAGGGCCTATCTTGATTGTTAGTAGTGAAGCTGAAAATTAATTATTAAATAGTTTAAATAATTTGAAAACATCGTGCGAACGAGGGATGTTTACTACACTAAACCCAACTGGGTAATAAAAAAAAAAAAAAAAAAAAAAAAAGAAAAGAAAAAAGAAGAAAAAAAGGGCTGAGGGATGCTTTTGCTTATCGGTCTTATCATCACGTTAGGGCTGAGCGGATTGTGAAATCAGGCTGAGCCGACCCTGTAAACTCAGCCGGGCAGCGGCAGCGCAGTCGATACCGCTAAACGGCAGAGATTCGAAAATTTTCATCTGCAGGCGGATTACTCCCATTGGCTCTCTGCCAGGCACAAAGGCACGCCCACGTTCTGAAAGAACCGATCCGGATCCCGACCACCGCCGTACCCGATAGACACCGAGAGATGGCCGACGTTAAACCGGAACGCCGTGGGAAGGATTAGAATGGAGATAGAATACGGCCACTGCAAAGGCGGGCCTGATCTCGTTTCTACTGGTCATTTCTATTCCGGGTATAGGGAGTTCTGAGAAGTGGAATCAGGACATGAGCATTCGGAGCAAGTCTATGGTCATGATTCTACTGTGATATCAAATATGGTCAAGGACTGGAACCGGTCACTCTTTGGGCTTTCCGTTCCTAATTTTTATCAGTCCTGGTGATCTTTACCGCTCCCCTCACCTCGTGTGTAGGCTAACGGGTTCAGGGCTCACTGGCCGGAGAAATGCCACGCTACCAGCTTCATATCAGTCTCCGAGCACTGCGGTGTCTGCGCAACAGACACGAGGGAGAACAAGACACGCAATAGCAGATCTGGACTCGTTCTGCGGCCACATTGTTGCCTTTTCCATTGCGCCCTTGGTTTCCTTGCGCGGTCAACTTGTATAATACTTGTATAATTATGTGGTAACTAGTGGTTACCGCTCACCCCTCTGCACCGCACTCTGCACCGCACTCTGCTCAGTTGATTCCTGCGTGGGGGCGTCTTGGCGTGTTCGAGCAGAGCCGCAAGTGGGGCCCCAACTGAACTGCAACAGAGGAATTCGTGAATGACTCCGCCTCCAGGCTGCCATGTCGATCTTCGGACAGCATCAATTCTTGGCCCATCCATTTAAACCCCCAGCGCAGAGCCTATAGAAAAGAAAAACAATTCCTAGGGTACACACTGTCTGCAAAATCGAACAGTTCCAATCCCACACCATGCCAGCCCCAGCCATTCCCCCGTCCTTCCTCCAGGGCGCGCCGCCTGCCGCAACAGTCCACCGTCTCGACTTCACCAAAACCACACCTCCCATCCCCGCCTACCAGAACCACTTCGCCGCCGTAATTGACCACTTCCTCACCCCCGCCGAATGCACTGAACTGCTCCGCCTTGCCGGCGAATCGAGTGCCAGCCCCCAATCCCAAGAACAAGAACAAGAGCAAGAGCAAGAACAAGAACAAGAACAAGAACAAGAACAAGAACAAGAACAAAAACAAGAACAAAAACAAGAACAAAAACAAGAACAAAAACAAGAACAAAAACAAGAGCAAGAACCAGGCACACAACAAACGCTCTCATCCCCCTCCGCCCCACCAGAACCCGCCTGGAAACGCGCCCTGGTCAACGCTGGCGCCGGCAAGGAAGTCATGTCCGACATGCGCCGCAGCGCCCGGTACATCTGGGACACGCCCGAGATCGCCACGCGCCTCCACGCACGGCTAGCCCCCTTCATGGCCTCCTTCGGCATCGACCGTATCGCCGCCCAACCGCTCATTACAGGGCTGGGCCCAGCGAAGCGCGGCGAGGTGTTCGTGCTATCGCGGCTGAATGAGCGGATCCGGTTCTTGCGGTACGAGGGGGGCGATTATTTTCGGCCACATTGGGATGGGTGCTATGTGACGCCGGACGGGGGCGAACGCAGTCTGTTCACGGTGCATTTATATTTGAATGGGGAGGGGGAGCAGGATTGGGGCTTATTGGGGCCGGAGGTGGAGAGGGCTCAGAAGCGGATGTTTCTTTATGAGGGGGAGGACGGGCTGGTGGATTTGAGGGGGGTTGCTGAGGGGGATGAGAAGGAGCGTACGAGGGAGGCGCGGAGGATGGAGGCGCAGGAACCGTTGCTGGAACCGTTGCAGGAATCGTTACTGGGTGGTGCGACCTCATTTGGAGATGACTATCGGATGCGGGATGCAGTACGGGTCTTTCCGAAGACGGGGTCGCTGCTCATCTTCCAGCAGAGGAACCTGATGCATAGTGGGGATGATGTTTTCCGGGGGGTGAAGTATACCGTTCGGACGGATGTGCTGTATACCCTCGCGACGTGAGGGGGATGGGAGGAGGGGGCGGCACTTTTCGCGTTCGCCCCCCCCCCCCTTTCGCTTTGATCTCAGTTTGTCAGTATTTAATTTACGGCATCATGAAGGTGGCATGGTTTCCACGCGATCTCGGTGGGGAGTAGTCCGTTTGTTTCCATCCCGCGATTCTTGGCGCAAAGCTCGGGCTTTTGCAAAGAAACCTTATCGGACCTTATGTCAGGAAGCTCCGAGCTCCCTCCACTCTTCAACCTGAACGCCAACGCCCTGGCATAATTTCCATATAAAAAGTCCAGACAGCCTTCCACTCGATTAACACAGCTCACGCCAGTCCAGCAGAGCTTCCAAGGCACTTTCTCCCATTACTTGGCGACCCACTTCCTCTCTCTCTCTCTCTCTCTCTCTCTCTCTCTCTCTCTTACTTACTCATATATCACCATCACTATCGTGCCCATTCCAGCCATGTCCCGCACCAACAACCTCGCCTTCACGGCTCCCATCAACCCACCAGGCCTCACCCCGCTCACCCGGTCACAGATCTGGGCCGGCCTGCAGCTCAAAGTCCGCTCCGCCGAGACCTTCGTCGCCGCCGCCATTCAATCCACCGACGTCCTCAGCGAGTCCACCGACCCGGTGACCGGCAACGCCGTCACCGTGCGCGAAGTCCTGTTCCGCGAGTCGCAGAAGAAGGTCAAGGAGGTGGTCACCGCGTTCGAGCCGTGCCGCGTGGAGTTTGAGCAGCCGGACGGGAGCCGCGTGAGCAATGTGGTGAGCGAGGGCGCGGCGGGTGAGCTGTACATGACGTATATCTTTGAGTGGCGGCATCCGGGCGTGTCGGCGGAGGAGCTGGCGGCAGCATTGGAGAAGGAGAAGGCGATGAGTCGGGCGGCGGTGGAGGGGACGATTCGCGTGCTGCGGCAGCTTGTGGAGGCGGGCAAGCTGTGATGATTCGCGGGGAAAGGAGGGGGCGAGAGATGTTACATACAGTACTGGCAGCTTATCAAGGCCCCTCACCCTCTTCCAGCAGAGCTTGACACGGGCAAGTGAAGCCAGCAAGGACAGGGAGGACAGGAAGGACAAGAAGAAGAGTCAGGATAGTCAGGATAGTCAGGATAGTCAGGATAGTCAGGATAGTCAGGATATTTTACTTTTTTCATTGAACGCTATGCCTTTCCCGCTCCGCTCCCTCTCAAACGTCCGGCACTGAGATGGTCCCCTCGGAAACCTGCACCGCCGTCCCCGTCAGCACCACCTGCTCAATATTCCTCTCCACGCCCAGCACCACCTGCACCCCAATGTCACTGCGCCTCCCCATCTCCACCCCCTGCACAAAATGATACCGGCACTCCTGCCCCGTGCTCCCCTCCGTCAGCGCCAGATATGAGGCCAACCCGCTCGCCGCGCTGCCCGTCGCCGGATCCTCCAGCGACCCCAGTATCATGCGGGTGCGGATGACCGTCTGCCCCGTCACGTCGGCCACCCCCCGCACGAAGAAGTACGTGCAGATGAGTCCGCTCTGCCACCCCGCGTCCAGGTACTGGTCGTTCTCGGCGGAGAGCAAGTCGCCGCCCGTCGCGCGCGTGACCTCCGCGAGCGCCTCGAGTGAGGGCAGCTCAATGAATGTCTGGCTCATGCCCTGGACGATCGAGAACAGCGGGAAACTCGTGCTCGCGTCGGGAAAGTACGTCTTCAGCGTCGGGTGCAGGTGCAGCAGGTCAGCGAGCGGGAAGCGCTTCGCATGGATGCGCGTGTTGTGCGCGATCTGCGCGGCCACGGCCTCGCTATCCCCGTCTGCGATGCGGATGGGGATCTCGCCGGACTTGGTGACCAGGCTGGTGACGGCATCGCCCGAGAGTCGCAGGAACCAGGATGCGGCGCCGATGGTCGGATGCCCCGCGAAAGGGATCTCGCACTCGAGGGTGAAGATGTCGATGGTGCGCTTGGTGGGGTCCTGCACTGGGTAGACAAAGATGGTTTCGGAGAGGTTGAATTCTAGCGTGATGATATGCTTTTGTCGCTGGGTGAGGGGGGTGGCGGTGGAGTCGGGGAGGAAGACGACGGCGAGTGGATTGCCGCTGAAGGGCTTGGAGGTGAACACGTCCAGGGTGACGAACTTGAGTGGCAGCATGGTGGGCAGAGAGAGGGAATCTAGGCAATTGGAAGGTGCGCTGTTGTAGATTGGTTTATTCGTCAGGATCAAAACGGCGGCAGATAACTTTATACTTCCCCACCTGCCCTTTTTTGACTCATCGGCCATCGGCTTAGCCCGGCGGGTCCATCGCGCCCGTGGGGGCTCGGCCCTTCTTCGCCCAGACTCTCCATTCGCATAGCTCCGTCAAAGGAACGAACCACGGACCACATCCTCCCTACGGAACCACGATTTACGGCAGCATGATTTACGGCACCACAAATTCCTGCGCATGCCCTCGCTCAGTCCCCCACCTCTTCATCCCCTCAATCAGCGCGCGACTGAAGCCCCCGTGGTACCGCAGCCCGTTCTCCGGCCACGCAGGTCGATTCGCCCGCCAAACCGCCCACTTCTCGGCCATCACACCCTCGCGCGCACGCAGCAGCCCCGTCGCCACATCGACGATCTGCGGCCGCTCCGCACACCAGTAGAGCACCGTCGCACCGCAGGTCCCGCAGAACGTCCGCAGCACGTCCTCCGTGGATCGGTACCCCTTGGACGAGCCGATCAGTAGGTCGGCTGGTGGGCGCGGGGAGACGTGGTCGACAGGCACAAACATCCAGCCGATGACATTCGTGCCCGTCACCAGGCGGCAGTCGTCGCAGACGTCCATGCTGGCGAGCCATCGCTTCGGGTCAATCGGCGATAGCCAGCCTGTGCTGGCGGAGCTGGCGATGAACTCGTCCCGGGGCCGGGCGATGCGGAAGGATACCCCACCGCAATGGCACTGTGCCAGTAGGTCTTCGTCTTCATCTCTGTCTCCTTCTCCTTCTCCTTCTTCTGTTCCCGCCACTTGGGATGCAGGCGCCGGCTCTGGATCAATCATCCGCAGCTGATGCCCATCCACCGTAGAAAAGACCGACGAAAGCCCCCCATCCGCCGCTGACCCCGGGCAATAATGCGTCTGGAACTTCCACACCCCCTCCTCCTCACGATTCGCATCGAATATCGAGGTCGAGATTACCCACTCCACGTCGGTAAGCGACTGGTCCCCGATGTGGCAGCCGCAGTTGGTGCAAAACCATTTCGTCGATTGGAAGGACGGGTGCGTGTAGCTCGTGAGCTGGTCCATGCTGGATGGCGCGATGAACTCGAGATCGACGCCGACGGGTAAGGGTGCATGGAAGCAGCATGGTGCGCCGTGCACGTAGCGGCAGATGGTGCAGTGGCAGAGGTTTATGTTGAGGGGCAGGGAGGCTGTCGGGAGAGTGATGGTGAACTGCACGTTGCGGCAGTGGCATGCTGCAGTTAGGGTCTTGGTGGGTGCCGCCATGGTGTGCGAAGGGGAGCAAGAAGCAGGTTACCAGGGGATCTTCATGGCTGTCAGGAAGAGGAACTCTGTTTATATCCTGGCGGACCAGATCAAGACCTCCCGGCTCGCACGGGCCGGTGTGACAGTATGCCGTTATCTGGCTCGTATTCAGAGCCACCCGGGGAGATTCGAAGGCGGTCATTCGTCAAACGATCTTGATCGATCTTGACCCCGCAACGCGGCCGGGCTTCTGCCTAGCGTGTGCTCCACTAGTGCATCCAATCGAGGATGGTTGTCTCCTGCCCTCGTCAGCCACTCACACGGGATACGTTCGTATACCTCTCTATACTCCGATACTCAATACTACTGTATCTATCCATCTACAGTACCACGCAGATTTCAGCGTCCATTCTCAGCTCGGCTGCTCCGCTCAAGACATTTTTCTGGCGGAAATCATAGGCATTCTCAAACGCCCTATTGCTTCCAGTCTCTCTTCAACCCATTTTGTTCCAATCTATCCTATACTGATAACTTTACAGGTGGACATTGGCTTCGCGATTAGAACAAGACATCTGCGGCGATCCTGGAGGCGTTCAAGAATGGGGCGCACGAACCGGCTGGCCGGTCTCAAATATAATTCAATCCCTTAAGGCCGGCAGTCATAATGATCATGCTGGCTCCATTGAGTCGATCTGCGATATGTTAATATTAAAAAAATATTTATTGATAAGTATAAAAATATGTTTGTAGTTCGACCCATAATGTACTTAAAACCCCGAAATGGCCATGCAGTATGAGCCCAATCCAGCGAGCTAGCGAGGTATCCTCCATGTGTTACATACAGTCCCAAGTCCCAAGCCCCGAGTGTCCCCCTCCCCAAATGCAAAACGCTACGTTAGGTCATCATATAACATATCATCCACAGAAGGTGCCGGTTACTCGGAATCACTCTCAATGACGAACCCTCCTCGCATCCGGCGGCTAGAAGGTGCGACAAGAGTGTCTTCTTCGTCACTATCCGTATCTGCGGCCGGCGCTACGGCCTTTGCTGATCGGTCCCGGCTAAAGGCAAGGTCATCGTCGAAATCCATCTCATCTTCGGCGGACGTGAGCGGCGTGTCCTCGTCCTGGGCACCATGGCTGGTAGACACTTCCTGCGGAGAGCGAGGGGACACGGCATTCGCATTCAGGTCGGCCATGAGAATATCGTCCAGGTCGTCGCCACTTCCAGCATCCCGGCCCGCAGAGCCAGATCCGCGACGGCGTCGTTTCGGGTCTGCGGCAGCTGGGTCACTCTGACGCTTCCGCCCACTTGCTTTCTTGCCCTTGCCCTTGCCCTTGCTTTTGGGCAGCGCTGTCTCGAAATCGCCCATGAGAATGGCTTTCTTGACATTCTCTGCTTGCTCCTTTCGTCGCTGTTCTTCCAGGCGGAAGAACTCCTGATCCGCTTCCTCGTCCGTCTCGTCATCGCTGGCATGGATGAAGAGATCGCTCTTGATCTTCGCTTGGCGAGCCAAGGCATTCGAAAGACGTGCCTGGCGACGCTCCTCCAAAAGTTCGTCATCTAGAGGTTCTTCCTCGGCAGCATCGCTCTTGCGGGCCTTCTTCTTGCGCTTTTTCTTGAGTTCGTCCAGCGCGTTGGATTTCGATCGGGGGTTCGGGGGAAACAATGGCCCCTCAGGAACGTCTTCGCCTTCGGAGTCTGATCCGAAGTTGATGTTGAGCGTTCCTGGGGCTAGGCTTTCTCGCGCACTGCCAGCCTCTCTACGGCGCAGCAGCTGTCGAGGATCTTCATGACTGCCCTCGGGCATGGGATTCAGGATAGCCTTGTTGATATTGGAAACGCTGTCGTGCAGATCAGTCGACGACATGGTCGCCGGGATTATCCATTGGGCACCGCGCACGTCTTCCATGCCAAGTCGCTCGAGCCCAATAGACTCCATGAGAAGACGAAGCTTGGCGTTGGAGAACATGGCGTTTTGAACGACATCATCACGGGGTTTTACAGCTGCAAAAGGTATGGTTAGACCTAGGTCGTGTCAAGCCAATAGTAGAATCAGTAGGACACATACGGATCATCGGGTTGGGCGTATTGGCAGCTTCGGGGTCTTCCGCGCGACGAGCTTCATCTTGAGCCTCCCAGGCCTCCCGTTCGGAGGCAGCCGACTTCAAGATATCGACAAGCCATTTTACCAGATCGGCCCGTCCATCAAGAACAAGGGCACCCACCACAACTCCTTGTTTAGCGTCTTTTGTGAGCGTCTCGTGGGAAACGAATTGGAGTTCTGCTGGGGGGCGTTTAGAAGTAGACACGGTTTGCCTTTCCTGTCCGAACTCAAGATAGTAGACGGTCGAGTTCATCTTGCTGAACAGCAGCTCTGTGATCAGAGCCGGTCGCTGGTCAATCCTCTTCACCAGTCGTCGAATGATCTGCCGAACAAACTCTTCCCATTCTCTGAAGATGGATTTGCTAGAGTCCATGGCCCCGGGGCCTTTGATCATTCGGTGGAAAAGACTGATGATGTCCAGGCGAAAGAGTAAAACAGTCATCTCCTGCTTGAACGCAATACGATAGAAGTAGCGGTGGGCTCGCTTCAATTGCTCCGAATTCAACTCGCGGTAGAATTGGGTAAAGGTGACAAAAGTGTCCACGCAGCTTTGATTGCAGAATTTGGCCGCGAAGCGCTTGAAATCGAAAGCACGCTCCTTGGTCACCTGCGCAGTATCCACTAGGTCTTCATCTTCGGAATTCTGGACTTCCTCATCCTCTGCGCTATCTTGAGCTTCGTTCTGGGCGGCTGCCTTCTTCTTGCGCTTATTAGCTTTCCGTCGAGATCGGATTTGCATGTCTGCATTTTCCTTGGAGTAGCGCTCCAGCATGCGCAAGAAGACATGCGCCAGCTCAGTCGCGGCATCCAAATAGCCGAAGCCTTGGTCCTTATATCCGCGCACAATGGCAAGGACTCGGTCATGAGTCGTTTCTTCGTAGAAGATCCGATTCTGGATATTCTCCGCGATTTCTTGATCTTCCTCGATCGGTGACACGGCCATCTCTTGCACAGTCAACAGAATTTGAGTGAAGCAGCGCATCTGGGCGGTCAAATCATCCCACTCCTTGTTGTCCAAGCTATTTTGCATGGCTCGGTTCAGGGAAATGAAGGTTTCCTGGTTCAACACTCCGGCAACAAGAGCATAGCTATCCGGTTCCACGTCTTTCGCAGGCTTGCCTTGGTGAGCACGCTGGCTCACCTGTCGCGCACGTCGGGCACGCTCTGCTTCAAGGAACCAGCCGACTGTATAGAAAAATTGCCGAGCATTGATCTCGAGCACGCGGTCTGCCTCTCGCTCAATCGCCTTTCGCACATGGGTGTAAAGGGGATTAAAGCCGGAGTCTAGGAATTCTTCCACGAATGTTCTGAGATTCTTGGTTGCCACTGAGGAGAGGTGGACCGGAATGTTGAAGTCATTGTTCTGAACAACATCTTCCTTTCTTCGGCGGGGTCGAGGTTTGTTCCATTTCTTGGTTTGGTCCATCTTCTGCAAGGTGGTTTGGTCGTCTCGCAAGACGTTCTGTCCAGACACGGTAGACACCTTGTGCTCATCTCGTTTGACCCAGATCATTGTGCCGAACCGTCCGTGGCGCGTAGGCGCATTCTTAGCGTATTCTCTCTTGACCTGATTCTCTTTGCGCAAGAGATCGCCAAGCTCGTCAGACCGCTTCACCTTTCGCTGTTCCTCATCCATGAACAGCTTGTCAACACTGACACCCTTAACAAGGTGGAAGAGAATTTCCAGCAGAACCACATCCTGCAAGTTGAAATCCTCGCCCACGTTCGAGCACATGGTCAAAAGTAGGGCGAATGCATCTTGGTCCTGGAACGCGTTGATCGTGGCTGATCGGGAAGTCTCTTCCTCGTCACCTTCGGCCGCAAGTCGTGCACTGGTTGTGATAATCGCAATATTGCGGAGGAAGTAGAGCATCAGCTTGAGGATACCTTCGTCTCGGGACTCGCGCTCGGATCGAGAGATGGCCATGCTTGGAAGAGCGATACGGATGATGGAGCGCAGGAGATTCGACCCGCCATACTTGAGGACGCCGCGTTTGTACTGGACTTGGATTTGCTGTATGTATGGAGTGTGGCGATGGTGGTTGACGGTCATCTGGCTATGAAACTCGACAGGCCAAGTCAAAGGCACCAAAAGTTCCACTATTCGAGTTAGCCCTCGATATCCTGCAAGAGCCCATTATGCGATCCATCACCTACGGCATGCCAAAGCAACTCGTGTCATATGCTTGCTTTTCTGTCCATTGGCCCACCAGACCGAAAGAATGGGAAGCAGATCACCATTGACCAGGTTGGCTTCACCAAGACACCGCGCCACGTCCATTCGATTGTTTTTTTCGTCGTAAAGCTTCAGCCATTTCTTGATATCACGAAGACATGATAAGGCGTCATCTCCCAGCATATAACGGTCCGCATCTTCGCCGTTGAAGCCTCCCAGCTATGAAACGGGATCGCGTCAGTGTCATGTTCAGTGCGCAGTCAGGAGAGAAGTCGATGCGCGTACCGCAGTAACCAGGCTGTAGACATGGGCACGCACGTCCGGGTCGATGACCTGGACGTCTTGGCCCACGGAGGTCACCTCCTGCTCCATGGTGGGATGGTCGTTGAATTGGAGCACACAAATGTAACTCATGTAACTCAAATAGGATAACGCGTCTCGACGCGTTTGCCTCGGCGATTCGGAGAAACTGAGAGCGCCGCCCGCGGCCGAAGATAGCCGATGACGTTGGGCGGACACGTGAAGATCTATGCGATGGCCTGGCCTTCTTCCTTCTTTTACTCTGCACACCCCGTGAAATCCGCGATTGCAAACATGTTCGCCTCTTCGCTCCGTTCTGTTGCTCGCAATGGCCCCGTGGTGGCCCGCAGCTTCAGCTCGACCGCCGCTACAAGCGCTGCCGAGGTCAAGTCGCTCGGCGTGATCGGTGCCGGCCAGATGGTCAGTAATACACCCGCATCTACAGTTTTTCACCCGCCGCTAATGCATTGCAGGGTCTGGGAATTGCTCTTGTTGCTGCACAGAAGGTTGGAATTCCTGTGACTCTGATCGATAGCTCACAAGCCTCGTTGGACAAGGGCCTTAAGTTCGCCGGTAATCTACAGCCCCTCCCTCCACCTGGCTGCCAGTCCGATCTTTGGCCTTCACAGGGCGCCGGGTGAATTTAGAGTGTGTCGCTAAATGCCGTATATCTCCTCAGACAAGCTCCTTGAGAAGGATGTGTCCAAGCAACGTATTACCCGGGAAGCCGCCGATGCCGCCCGCGCGCTGCTCATTCCCAGCGTGAAGATGGACGACCTGTCCTCGGTAGACTTTGTCATTGAAGCCGTCCCTGAGATTCTGGATCTGAAGCAGACCATCTTTAAGAACCTTGCACAGATTGCGCCCAAGCATGCCATCCTGGCGACCAACACCTCGTCCATCTCCATCACCAAGATCGCCGCGGCAACCACCACGAACCCGACAGACCTGCAGGCTCCGTCGCGGGTGATCTCGACCCACTTCATGAACCCCGTCCCCATCCAAAAGGGTGTGGAGATCATCCGAGGTCTGCAGACCTCACAAGAGACCATGGACACCGCCATTGCTTTTGTCCAGCGCATGGGTAAGGTGGCCTCGGTGTCTGCCGACTCGCCCGGCTTCCTGGCGAACCGCATTCTCATGCCCTACATCAACGAGGCTGTTATCTGTCTTGAGACCGGTGTCGGTGGCCGCGAAGATATCGACAGCATCATGAAGACTGGTACTAATGTCCCCATGGGCCCTCTGACGCTGGCTGATTTCATTGGCTTGGACACTTGCCTGGCTATCATGAACGTGCTTCACCAGGAGACTGGTGACAGCAAGTACCGACCTGCTGGTCTCCTGCGTCGCATGGTGGATGCTGGTTGGATGGGCAAGAAGACCGGCAAGGGCTTCTACGATTATTGATCGCCGGAACCTCCGGGGTATGATTGTTGACCGGGCAAAATCGATTTCTTTCCATTACAAGATACCTTTTGTATGCTACCATGTTAGATTCTCATTTGAAAATGATCGATCTGTTGGAGACTCAAGATTCCAAATGCTGCCAGGGACATGACGGATATGATAGCTCCCTAAACGTGTTGTCGGTGTCGGACATTATTCTCCCGTTTCGGCCCTGGCTTTCACGGTTCTGATATCAAAAGTCCACTTCACGCTGCAATCTGCAACAGTCTACTCCCATGATTCGCAGGGCTGAGCTCTCACCACTAGCGTATTAGTCTCTCGTTGCTGTGCGGCGTATCCCCTCACAGCTTCTGCAGCAATTTCATTCCGCTCGGCTTGTTCCATTGCAGCAAGTACCGTCGCAACGTCAAAATTGCCATCAGGTTCCCACACTGCACCATGAAGGAATTCGGTTGTCGCCTTGCAGCTGCATCCTGGGTATGTGCGGCCACATTGGTAGCTAATCTTAATAAGCAACGCTTCAAGGGCTGGAATTGCTTCATGTAGGGAAGCTTTTGGCGCTACTACGTACCAGAACTCCGCCTTGCACAAGCATTTAATATGCGCGCAGCCACCGTTCTTCTCGACCAAAGCATGACAGTTGTAGCACCGCTTCCAGTGGTACCGTCCAGCCACTTCGAGTATCTCCCCGAGGCCGGGGTCGTTCGAGCATTGCCGATCTTCATGGGCAAGGTCTCGGCAACTAGAGCAGATCGTGGTACGGCAATGCGGGCACTTTTGGTATTTGGATCTTGGCTTCAAGTGTCGGGGTTGAATCCACCTCCTGCAGTTTGTCTGCGGGCAGTACCAGCGCTCGGCTGGAGGGGTTGCGTGCTCGTTTGCCCGCGAGATGTAGAGCCGTCGGCCTCGAGGGGGCATGGCTGGGGCCACTCGCTTGGGCGGGATTTCTTGGGAGCAGCATCGGACGGGGAATACACTTTTTCCTTTTAAGGAGAGAGAGGCCATTTCCCGGATGCAGTGGCGGCAGTACTGGTGTTTGCAGAGTGCGATGATCAGCTGGGATGGTCGAACTTGCTTATAGCATGCAACACATTTCCTTTGGTGGCGAGACTGTCAGCAAGCTTCAACGAGTTATCCGTGTAGTAGAGCTGCAACTGACTTCTTTTCCGGCACTACACCCCTGAAGGCAAGTTCCAGTCTTCCTTTGAGCCCCATCTGCTTCTCCTCTTGGTCATGCTCTGCGGGATTTCGATCGGGACCAGAGGCTGAAGTGGAAGGAGTCGATGCTTTCTCGTCTTGTTGGCTGGACGGACTTCCTTTGGGTGGTGTGTCTGCAGGACCTGGCGAGCTGGTGATTTTGACAGGCCGCGAATGCGGATTGGCACGCTTGCCAAACGGGCCCAGGGGGAAGGAGAAGAGAAGCATAGCAAAAGACCTCCTCTCCTTGGGACACATGGAATGCAGGTGGCAGTCAAGTTCAATGGCAATGGCATCGATCGAGGGGATTGCCTCCCCACCAGAGACTGATAGGTGGCCGTGGCTAAATGTCGCACTCGAGGCATCTACGGCGTGTGATCTCGACTTGAAATCCACCAAAGGTAGACGGAAGGTGACCGTGAAATGACCCTCTCTCCTCCTTCAGAGATGCCGCCTGTCAAGGTTTCTTCTGTATCTTGTCTACGAGTCAATCTAGCTCTGGATGACGCAGGGCTGACACGTTCTCGTCCTCCAGTTGCATCTATACTGTTTGTACCTGGCATAGCCATGGGCACACGGGCAGACCACCGGGTTCGACTGGGAGGTCAACCGGGAACCATGCTTCCATGTAGAGTAAGTCCAGGTCTCCGTAGATACGTTGGCAATCCAACATATGACCAAGGATGACCCCGCGAGAATCCATGGAACCACACCCACGTAGCCGCCAGGACATTTGATGAGACCGAACACCAGCAGTGAGTAACAAAACAAGGGTATCATGATGCATTGCAAATGGCCTTAAGCCTATAAGACTCCCAGAACTCCGCAAACGACTGTAGTCCTGTGGACTATTCCTGGGATCCTCCCAGATAGTGTTCATATCATGCCGGCAAATCTTCGACCGGCCCATCCAGATCCATATTCTTGATACTCCTCGCGAGTGATTGCCACCTTGCCCAACTCTTCGCGGTTGCTCGCAAAACGGGAGCCTCCGAGCCAGGTGGAGTGAACGGGGCTAGGAAATATGAAGTCAGTATACTGTCGAGAACGAATGTACTACTTTAGAAAGGCAACTTACTCCTCAGCTCGCCGCACCCGAACAACACAATCTGCAGATGCAATCTGCCGAAGGTCATTCTCTCTAGCATAGAGCATTAGCACATTTCCTTCTCAATCAAGAAACACAGATCCAAACTTACAGCCTCTCCATGAATCCCGGAATGGAAGCATTGCCGCCAACCACCAAAACATTCGCCAAGAATGCAGCATGCAGTCCAGGCGGTAGTACCGATAAGCTTTGGAGAATCATGTCGGGAACACCAGCTTGCTTCATACCAATATCACCCGGTGTAAATAGAAGCTCTGGGACCGTGAATCGTTCGTTGCCTAGGACCAGAACGTCCTCGGACAGGGCCTCGGCGCTGAGCCCCGACAGCGCACCCTTCTTCTTCTTCGCCTGCAAAAGAGGATTATGTGGGCGCATAAAGCCCTTCTTGTGCGCATTCGGGTCGGGAAGCACGTAGTCCACCACCACACTCTCTACGTCTTGGCGCTTGCGGTTGGCCTTCCAGGTGCGTTCCATGTCCCCTGCGAAATCATTGCTCACGAAGCAGACTGCCTCCTTGACTTCGTTAATAATGTATGTCTCGTCCACCATGTTGTATTGTCGCATGGACACGATCTCTTTCAAATAGTTCGTGAGGTGCTTGCCGCCAACGTCGAGCCGTCGGATCGCTCGTTGGAGAGCCTGTCCCTTGTATACCGGTGTCACCGTTGTATGTGAGTATCCAGAGTCGACAACTAGCAGGCAGTCCACGGGCATAATATCGGAGTCGGATTTGGCGAGAGGGTCCCCAAATAGAGAGTGTACCTCATTCCACGCGTTTAGTGTCGGGCCTGTAGGAAAAAAAAAACAATCAATACCTCATTAGAGCGCATGGTCATCCTGGAATGGGCTTGTCCGTCACTTACCCAGGCACCTCACGTAGCCTCCAAAGCCCCATTCCTCCATTACCATCTCATCCGTATTCCGCTGCAGCACCGGCATGTTATTCGGAGCCTCGGTTAGAATGAGTGTGGTGTCCTCGGGTGCAGCTATGCGAAGCTGTTTATTCCGCGCCGTTGCCTTTTCTTCAAAGAACGTCTGGTCCCAGATCTCCCTCTCTGCTTCCCAGTTCACAATATATCCCTTCTCCACGGGGCGGCGGAACATCGCCTCGTTCCAGTCCGTGACATGGGTATCAAGCTGCGCACCGATCAGAACCCGGTTATCGCGGGTCTTGACGAGCGCATTCGGTATCGAGGAGCAGCTGGATAAAGCTTCTTCGGGGGAGGAGGACGGTTCACAAGCATAGCCCGCTTTCATTGTATATGCGCCATTGTCGAGCACGAAGGTCCTGTCTGGCAGGCGCCGAGCTGGCACATCTGGAGATATCTTTGCAGCCTTTGTAGAGGCGCGCGCTTTCGTTGTCACCATCGTTGCTGGTTATTGACTATGAAAGAGGCCGTTGAGATCAGATCAGATGCGCCGCTGTGTTTGTTGTGTTTGATTTGAGTAACTTTTTGTGATGCCTGAGGCTACACTCCCATTTTATTCTCATGCATCGAATCTTTCTTAAATACATGATGGGGTATGCTAAAGGATATTCGTTATCCGGGCAATCGGCTAGGGAGACGTATCACTAGCACGTTTTAGACTCACCTCGTTGTCATGACCCAAATATGGCCATCAAGTGCGGTCACTTATGTATTATATATTATCATACTACGACAGCACGTCAGGCCATAACTATGTCAAATTAACATTAATAACAAATGAACATACCACAATATATCAAATTAACACGTACAATACCAAGGATAATCACCTGTTTAAAAGAAAAAAAGAAAAGAAAAGAAAAAAAAAGCAGCAATATGATCTAATCGCGCCTATTACAGAGCCCATCAAGTATTTCCCTGCAGCCCCGCAGAGCCCCGCGGACTTCTCGCGCCCAAAATTTCTCACAGCAACCACCAACCCACCAAACCCACCCGGCAGTGGCTCAACCACACCCTCAAAATGGCCCAGCAGTTCCCAACCGTTATTAACACGACCCTTACCCTGGTCGAGCAATTCCAAGGCACTCTCTCCCCCTCCATAGCCATCCAGGCCATTCAAACCCAGACTCCCACCAAAGATGCAACCGCAACCGCAACCGCCAACGCCCTCCCCCTCCTCTCAACCTCCGCCGTCGGCCTCAGGGCCCAGGTAACCAAGCTCTCGTTGCTGGCGATCACCGCGCCATTCACACACTCTGCTGTCAACACTGTGCTGCGCGCATGCAATGAGTCCGTCCTCCCGTCGCTGGTTACAGCTGCGCTACTCGTGACGCCGAGCGAATACACAAAGGCATTTCACTCGGAGGTGCTTGTTCTCGTGAAGACTGCCTTGATCGAGTTTACTACGCTTGTGAAAGACGTAAAGGGTATTGCGGAGGCGAAGGACCAGGCGAAGAAGGATGACCCGAAAAAGAAGGAGGGGGATATTTCGAAGGCTGAGAAGGATGCTGTCACGCTTGCTGTTGGCCGTGTATGGGATGCGTGTGATGCTGTCTCCGAAGTCGCGACGAAGGGCATCGTGGGCTTTGTTGTGCGCCGTGTTGAGCAGTGGCGCGATCTTGTCCGGGATGCGGTGGAGGAACTCGAGGATTGGGACCCAGAGGAGGACGATGAGTTCTTTGATGACCTCATGGGTGGTGAAGAGGGTGCTGGGGAGGATGGCGGTTCCGATGACGATGAAGAGGAGGATACTGCTGCTCTGCACGAGCAGAAGAAGACGACGCTTCGTTTTCTCAAGCCCATTGCCCAGGTTTATCCTGCCATTCTCAACAGCCGGCTTAAGAACGCCGGGGATAAGCCCTTGTCTTCGACGGGTGGTATTGCGAAGCTTGAGTCTTTGATGCTCAACCTGCAAAGCATACCCGACCACGTCGATGAAGCCGCTGGGGCCTTGTACGAGAACAACTGGAACAAGTCTGCAGAGTACTTGAAGAGGACGCAGAGGAATGCTGCGCAGGCTGTGAACTCAGTCGCTTCTCCGTGGGACGCTACTGAGAGCGCGGACGGGGAGCAAAAAGCGGACGACAAGTTCACTGCGTGGTCTAAGACGTGGATGAAGGTTATGGATGAAGTCAGCAAGTCGATCGATGCTGCAAGCGAATAGACCCTCAACTACAATCCTGGTTTTGTACATGAAAAAGCATTCTGGTGCCGTGACGATAATGCCGCTATGCTAGAATGATGATCTCCGAAATAGAAGATAAATAGCATACACAGCCAATATTTGGTATATGTACATGGAAGAAACGAAGAGAAATATAATATACAGGGCAGCTGGCTGTGGACCGCAAAGCCTTGCCGGTCAAGTGAGGCGTCTGACAACCGCTGGCCTAAAACGTATCGGCAGGAGCCGCCGCGTCCTCTTGCTCCCACTCCGGCAAATCTTGGGTAGGAATATGCTCCTTCAGGTACTCCATAACTGCATCGGTTCCTTTGGCGACGACCTGCCACCTGGGAACCCGGAAGCGATTTCCTGCAACCTCGAAGCGTTTCAAGGGCGACCCAGTGCCCCAGTTTTTCGGAGAGCGGTCGGCACCTAGCAGGCCAATCTTCGGTGGCAGATGATCAATGTCATTATTGCTGATATCCAAAACCTGCAGGCCTTGAACTGCTTCAAACTCCACGCTAGCAATCTGGTTATCCGATGCCAGGAAAGTTTTGACCTCTGGGTATGTCTGGCGAATGTGCGGAAGGGATCCAGTGAGGCGGTTGTTGGATACATCCAGGAAGTTGAGTAATGGAGCTTGCAGCTTCGTCAAAAGAGGCTCCAAAGACGTCAGGCTGGCAGCACTCAGGTTAAGACTTTGAAGCTTTGGTAGCTCAACCGAGGCAGGCATGAGATCAGCAGTGTGAAGAGGATTGTGCGAAAGATCAAGCTCAGTCAGACCGTGCGCGAGCATTGCCATTACTGGAAGCGGGAAGAAGCGCATTTCATTATGTTGTAGGTAAAGGCAGCGGACGTCCTCCCAGTTAATCATCTCCATTTTGCTTGCGCCCAGATCTGTCAGATCAGAGTATGACATGTCAAGGATACCACCAGGCTTCACACGCCAACCGCTCTCCAAAGCCGGGGTCTCTGGCGCCAGCGTGAATTGGGTGGCCACCGATCCCTCGTCGTCTGTATCTTGAGGCTCGGGTTCACATCGATTCCGAAGATCTTGGATGATTTCGTCCGAGCCCATGCTCAGAAACTTGCGCTCACGAAGCGGGTTGTTGGCAATCTTAAATGTCGAGAGGTTGTTCATGAGCCCGATCTTTTCATCTAGGCGAGTGATGTTATTTCCAGTAAAATCAACCGTCTTAAGGTTCTTGAGTTCCACGAACCCTGCCGGGATCTCCGCAAGACGATTGACTTCTGCTGCAAGAACAGACAGTGATTGCCATGAAGACACAGAAGGCAGGCACTTGATGCGATTCACGCTGATAATCAGGCTGTGAAGATTGGGTAAGGAGATCATCTCGTTGGCTGCAAGAGCCTCCACTGAATTGTTCGCAATGTTGAGAGACTGCAGGTGCTCCAGCCGGTCCACAGACCCCGGGATCAACGTCCCTTCCAGGTTGTTTTTGGGGGCATTCAAGGTTTTCAGAGGAAGCTTGCTCAGTGCTTCAAATGGCAAAGATGTCAACTGGTTTTCACCGACATCCAAGGTTTTCAGGCATGTCAACTCTGACAGCTCCTTTGGTAGTTTCGTAAGAGCATTGCTCCGCAGATCCAAGCCTTCCAGTTGACGGAGACGGCCAATTTTCGAGGGAAAGGATCCCTCCAATTTATTATTCACCAATTTTAAGTCCACCAAGGATGGGATCTCCATGATGATCTCGAGCTTGTCTAAGGTCAACTCATTGTTGGATAGGTTGAGGAAGCGCAACTGATGAAGTCGTCGAAGCCCTACCGGGAGAGCTTGAAGTTTGTTTCCGTGCAGATCCAGTGTCTCCAATGCACCGAACTGGGGACCTCGCTCGTCACTGTCGGGGTTGAAATCCACTGGGTCGATGTCAGGGAAAGTGTCATCCGCTACTTCGACCAGTTCGTTGTCTGCAGCGATAAACTTGACCAAGTCCACATTCTCAAACCAGTTGGATGAGGTTTCGGAGTCAAACTCGTACATGTTGATCACCTCTTTGGGGATCTCGGTCAATGACATGGCAGCAATGTTCAAAGTGCCCGACGTGCGTGCACCCTCCACGCGCTTTTTGAGCACAGCCGTGTTGGATCCTTTGGGAAGTTGATTGAAGGGGTCCTCGTCATCAACACTTTCCCACGTCTTAACGGGTGCTTTGGCTTGTGGCGCTGGTTTGTCTGTGCTTGTTGCCGCCTTTTTCGCAGCCTTTGCCTTTGCGATACTCTCTCGTAAAGCACTGGATGACTTCGAGGCTTTCCTTGCTTCATTTTCCGCCTGCTGATCCGGAGTAAGTTCCTCCTGCAGGGTGGAGGCAGCCGATAAGTATCGCGAGGCGGTCGAGGGAGACCTCATCGATGAAGAGGAATCAGTCTGAGACTTTCTTGTCTTTTTTACCTGGAGTGGCCGTTCGGGAGGCCCCATCTTCGATAGGGCAGGCTTCGAAGGTTTCTTTCTCAAGGAAGGACGAGAAGGCGACGCTTTGGCAGGCGTCCCTCCCAGAGCATTTGTTTTCCCCGTCGAACCCTTCTTGAGCGGGGTACTGGATTCGATAATACCACCTCCAGGTGCAAGACTTTGTCTTGCGGACGGCGATCTCATTTTCGAAGGGTTGTTCTTGGCATCAGAAACCTTGCCGGATGACAGGGACGAAGCAGAAGCCACTGAAATGCGAGGATGGGAAGGCAGCCGGAGCTTGGAAACGGGCTGGGACAGGAGATCGTTCCCGTTTGCTTGGCCAGAGGAAGACCGGGATGGCGACCTTGAATAGGTGGAAACGTTGGATGGTGTCCGAGAGGGAGACCGAATTGGGCTGGCACCATTGTAAAAGCTCGATTGTCTTTTCACAGAAGCTGGCGATGGCGGGATTTGCGCGAGTGTCTCAATCGTTCGCTCCGACAAGGATGGACGCTCCTCCCGTAGACGACCGCGCGGCTCATGAGCCAGCTCATCATCCTCTTCATCTGCGGCCAGGCTCACGTGCTCGGGTGTTTGTGTTTCATTTGTTTCCGTTTGAGGATCATCCCGTTTGGGAGGAGCTTGGACGACTGACTTTGCTGGCAAAGAGTAGCGTGGGGTGGGTTTCTTGAGCAGCGATTCATAGGAGGGTCTTCGGAGGCGAGCATGGTCCAGCCCAGGGTCGGCCTGTAATCGATCACGGGAGGGGGAGGGGCGGATGGATTTCGATGCTGTGGACGTTGGCAGAGGCAATCTGGATGCCGCTAGCCGTGGGATGCCGCTGGCAGGGCGGGTAGTGGCTCTCGGTTGGCCCTCCATCTTGACGGCTCCGAAGTTTGGAAGCTCGATGGTGAGGGTGGTCAAGCCGTCAGAAAAAAGGGAGGCTCAACGCCCGAGTAGAGCGGGAATGTGGCGGGCGGGGGAAGTGCAAACGGGGGTTCGGATGAAATGTAGTTGGCCCACCCTCATGACAGGATACAATAAAAGTGTAAGAACCCCTGGGGCGCCGATTGGGAGGGGATCGATCGACACCAAAAGGTTATTGTTTACATTTAACCCGAGATCTCAGCGATAGCGGCCTGAGGCATCAACCATTCCCCCAAAAAAGCCCATGAGGTATAACATCGGGGAGGAAGTGAATCAATGGAGGGACACCTTGCAGCATGTTTCATCTCTGCATCAGTCCAATAATTGGCAGAGAACCTAGGGATAGGCCGATGGCATGTTCTGAACTAATGTTTGTTTTTCACTTTTTTCCAATACCCCTTTCCAATACCCCTCCTCACGCAACGGAGTTAGCGTGGGATAACCGGATAGTGGCCACACTGAGTATTCGTCTTGCCGCATGGCAAACATTACGATGGTGATTGCTTTCTGCTTTGAAAGCTACTTGTCTGAGGGCATCATCATTTTAGAGCACTTCAGCATCTCAGGCTAGCAAATTGAGATCAACTTTTCATAGTAATGCCTTAGTCACAACGCCTTGGACCTCAGCCAGCTGCGAGGAGACTGGGTAGGTACGAGCAGAGATTGTTGCTATCTCTCCTAAATAGAAAACCGTTCAAGGTCATGTATTTACCTCAAATTGCAACCGTGATCTCAGGCCAGATGCTAGTCTCATCTCACCAGTGAAGTTTTTAGTCAATGAATACTTTCCGGCTCAGACAACAATGGATCAGATGGCAACCCTGGAATTCGACTGATCTTCCTTACTTCCATGGGAAGCAGTCTCATACGGTTCGACTCATTCTCATTTTCCCGTAGCAATCTCACTCCATAGGCTAGAGTCAATTGAGACTACGTCATTATGCCATTGAGGGATAACTATCTAGCATTTAAGATTTTTCACAATGGTATACAGGCTTCAATTGTTTCCATTGAAACTCCCAGTTATTCTTCTACAGCTCTCTTTCTACTTTGTGACTCCTTGGCTACCATCTTCTCATTTCTTTGGGCCACAGAATCGGGAGGCCAAGTATAGCCGTGGATGTGGACGGGGATGAAACCGACCTATCCTCCCAAACTGATCGGTTGCCAGCCCAACCTACCCAGTTCCCGCTGTTCGCGGCTGTTTACTTGCCCTGGGCGTCCCGTGATCGTCACGCTACGCTGTATCGGGACTGATGGGGTCATGCGGGTGTCACCTGATTGGTACAGATTCCCAGCGGAGGCTGGCGCAGGGCCCGACTGGTCCCCAGCCGCACTTCGCTATTGCCGTTCCCAGCCTCCCAGCCCCCTCCTCCACGATATCAACCCAAACCCGTCCCACGACCACTCTCGATTTCCCGCGACCCTGCTATCCTCCCTTCCCTCCCTTCCCCCTGCGATCCTTGCTCGGCTCCTCCCCCGCCTCATCCCCATTCCTAACTTGTCTACCGCTTTCTAAGGGCTGATTGACAGCGCTTGTTCTCGAATCTTTCCAATCTCCGGTATGCGATCGACCGCCGCTCATTCACTATCGATATCGGCCTGATAAACTAACTGGAATTCCAGTGCGAGGACCTCGTTCCCCACGGTCGACAACCCCTTGTTGTCTTATCTCTCTATCGACGGCAAACATCGGTCATGTCTCAAAACACTTTCCAATCTCTAAGTCCCCTCGCAGCACCGGCGGAGATTCTTGCCCCGGCAACCCCAGTCCGCCGTGCGACTCTTTCTCCATCTCCCGATCTCAGTGCCGCTGTCAAAGACCACTCCTCTCAGTCAGACAAGAAATTTCTGTCTCCGCCTGCTTTCTCATCCTCCGATATGACTCCGCCGCCATCGACCCAGATGCCCGGCGCGCCTGTCCGCCGGTCTCACTCGCGCTCCCTCAGTCCCGCCCTCGTCACCCCAGCCGACCTGGACAAGTCGCTTTGCGACGCCTACGGAGCGTCCGAGAACCTGCCCACCACTGAAGAAATCGACAATGCCAGCGAGACTCGACTGCGTCAGATCGCCAAGGATCTTCTTGCTGTAGCCCAAGAGGCTCGCATGTCTGCGCTCCACTTCAAACTCCAGAACAGTCTGGTTTCATTCGCCAGTAACGAAGCAGTCAAGCGCGCTGAAGTCGAGCACCAGCTCGCAAAACGTGAGGTCGAAATTCTCCAGAGTGCCGAGTACCGCAGTCGCTCGCGCCCTGCCGAGCCCTTGATCCCCAAGCAGTCTCACTCAGTCTCCACAGACGACTATCTGGCCGTTCTCCACCGGTCGCAAGAACTTGAGAATGTCAATGTCATTTTGGATCGCCGACTTCGCAATGCGAAGCGGGCCATTGATGATGCCTCCGCCCGCTCTGTAGAGTTGGAAGAGCAAAATGGGAGGCTGAAGAAGCGCATCCAGGAAAACCGCCACCATTTCTCCCAGATCTACAACCATGGTGGGTTGTCTCCCGGTATGCAGAACGAGTTGCACACAATCTGCCGTGGCGAGCACACTGATGGTCTCGCGGCGCTCCTCTTCGCCGACAAATTTACAAACCGCCTCCGTGAACCGCAGGGCTCGTATGGTGCTCACTCTTCGCTTCCCGTGACCCCAGTCCAGCCGCGCTCAGTCCGCCAGGATCATCCCTACCTGACACCCGGCAGGAATGCACGCGACCAGTACGACAGCGACAGCACTGTTTCCCTTTCCGCGCCGGAGTCCGAGGACGAACCTGTGGAGACCCGGCACCAGCACAAGCGGACCACCGCCCCGAAGACCAGCTCACTTCTACAAACGAAGCTTTTCGGTCAAGTGAAGAAGCCTGGCGTTGCACGCACCCAATCCTCCAAGCGCAAAGCCAGTTCTGGCGAGAGCAGCCCGGCCACAAAGAGATCCAGGACGAATACCGGAGTGGGTCTGGGTATTGAGATCTAAGCCCTAGACCCCCACTCTTCAGCTGCACGAGCCCGCCCCCGAATGCTCGTGCATGTCCACCTTGGATACGATTCATGAACGAGCGCTGCTCTTGGTCTTTGGCGTTCACTTGTTACGACTTGCTTCCTTCGGGAAATATGAATGATGAACTCCCCCGTTTTCACGGCATGCTGTATTCTTCGATAGCGACTGGAATTGTTTCTTTGTTTTGTTCTGTTGTTGACTTTATTTGCAAGGTCTGGGTGGGTTTCTTCCACCAGACAGAGGCGTTACAGATTGGGATTATGATTTTTTTTTGCATGAAGTGGGTGATGAGTGTGATTGATAGTCATACTACACCCGTCCATCGCTTGTAGCCGAGGCTCTCGGGGCCCTTCCGCAGAAGGGGAATCCGTTTCAGGCAGCATTACCTTGCATGGCTGTACTATAGGAATAGAACTGAATGGAATCAAGAACAAGCTAAGCTGGAATCGAATAGCGCCCCTCGCCTGACACCTCGATAGTGAAGTATGGTTCATTTTTACTGGAGATATGTTCGTTCATCCGATGCTCAACAACGGTTAAAGCAATGTATGTATATGCCGTTCTCTGCATTTGTATCGGAGTCAATGCAATACCCATACTTTCCGGTGATACGGAGGCTTGCTTGTCATACAGTAAAGCTTATCACACTACTCCGCACCCTGTAATCCGTTTAGGTAGACGAAAACTATCAGACCGACATGACTGTGGTGCAGTTGATTAGATACTCTGGATTATCGGATTAAAGCTCGCTATAGATACTTAGCACCAGGCGATGCGACTACAAGTGGCGGCCTATTCGTATCCAATCTAAATCTTTTTGTTATTCTTCTACTGGCATATCTCGTGGGCTACATGCAATTCATAACGACTGCACTGCAAGTCGGCTGCATGTTATTAGTAAAATAGAGGAATAAACTCGTTGGTCCGTGAGTAAATGAAGGATTTAGAATGACAGGAAATTAACTTTCAAGTTCGGTGAGATTCGCGTCTATGAACCCTCCCCTTTATAATGATCAACGCCTCTAATTACCAGATGCGATGAATACCTTGAGTTCAAGATAACTCTGTGGCGTTTTGACGAAGGCCTCATTGAACTTGCAGTCAACCAAAATTCCGATGAAAGTAGAGCTACGTACACGGGCTCCAATCTAATGTTTTTAAGTACAGCCCAAATCTTCCAGCATCAAAAAATATAAATATGGAAGTCAAATTTGAGTCGATTACGGAGTACAGCAGTGGTCACCAATCTACTCTCCGCTAGTCGACTAATTAATCTCTGGATCTTTGTCGGAGTGGAACCCGCAATTGCTGAGTCAGCCACTTCTGGCAAATTACCTGAAGTAGCTTAGTTAGGGCTCGCTAAGCGAGGCGGTGAGAAGTGAAAGCGGCCACACGAAAAATGGCAACTTCAGTTTCTGCCGTGAAGGGAGACTTGACCAGCAACCCTCCGACGACCACCACCCGGCTCGATCCCCATCCGTCACCATGGTGCGTTTTCCTCGAATCCCTGCTTGCGAAGATGAATTGGAAGGACAAAATACGCTGCGATCATCTGCTCGATGCTCGACAAGTGGTGTTGCAGTTGGAATGTTGAAGTTCATGATGGGCTGATTGGATTGTGTGGGATTTATAGGCGATCAAGCACAACAACCAAATCCAGAAGAACCGTGAGTGACCCTGAACGCTCTGCAACTCAGCGCTCGTGTTCCTCGAACCTCTGAGCGACTGATTGAATTGCGACTTCGATTTGAATCTCAAGATTGTAGTGTGCTAACAGGTTTTCAATAGACTTCCGCAAGGACTGGCAGCGTCGTGTGCGCGTGCACTTCGACCAGGTACGACTTCCGATTCCATTTTAAACTTCTTTTCCTCATCCCGCCGAACGATTCGATTACGACCGACCGGCATTGGGAGGGAATTTTTTGCTCGAAAGAACTTGGTCGACTAACGTTCGGTTTTTTTCTCGATTTTATAGCCCGGCCGGAAGCACCGTCGTCGTGAGGCCCGTATCTCCAAGGCCGCCGCTGTTGCTCCCCGTCCCGTCGACAAGCTGCGTCCCGTTGTCCGGTGCCCTACCATCAAGTACAACCGCCGCGTTCGTGCTGGTCGTGGTTTCACCCTCGCTGAGCTGAAGGTAAATCGACCTCTTTGCGACTTGGAACCCAAGAAACATAAAACGACGGCAGGAACATGTTACTCATGATTTATTTTTTTTACAATTTAGGAGGCCGGTATCCCCAAGAAGCTCGCTGGCACCGTCGGTATCTCGGTCGACCACCGCCGCACCAACTACTCTAAGGAGTCTCTGGTTGCCAACGTCGCCCGCCTGAAGGACTACAAGGCTCGCCTGATCCTCTTCCCCCGCAAGAGCGGTCAGTTCAAGAAGCTCGACTCTTCTGCCGAGGAGGTCAAGGCCGCTAAGGCCGGTGAGGGTATCGCCAAGAACGTCGGCGCTTCCTTCCCCATCATCAACCCCGCCCTCGAGGCCGCCGTCACCGAGGTCAAGCGCGACGCCCTGCCCAAGGGTGAGGAGGCTGCGTACCGCCGCCTGCGCGACGCCCGCGCCGAGGCCCGCCACCGCGGCCAGCGCGAGAAGCGTGCCCGTGTCCAGGCTGAGGAGGAGCAGGCCGCTAAGAAATAAATGTGTTAATTTTCTGCTCGTGCTGATGATGATGATCGGGTCGGTTTTCGGATCGGGAATGAGTGTACTGTGGCATGGCGTGGCGCCTCTTCCTTTTCTCCTTTCAAACTGAATCCCTCTCTTAACCCTCCTCCTCCTGACCCTTTTTACCCTTTGTGTCTCTTAAAAGAAAGAACTCGGAAGATCCTCTCGAAATGCAAAACCGCCCAATTTTTCTCAAAATTCATCGCCTGTCTTTTCTGGTGTTGGTGTTTGCACCGGTTCCGGCAACACTGAAGCTTTGGTCTTTTGTATCGCATGCAAGGCTTCCGGGGTAGGGGGAGGTATGGAACTGTTGAGGTGAAAGGGATGGTCGAGGTTCATGCCATGGGCTCATAAGAGTGTTTCATATAGTCCTCGCAATGACAAGAGGGTTCAAAAGTTCCAAGGCTGCCCAGTCAGTAAATGGTGGTTGTTAGATAGTCGATCACCACGTACATACATAGTCCCTCTCAGAAGGGAATATATATTTTCTGTCAGCACATGAAGGGATAACTTACCGCTAGCAACTGATTGGTTGCTGATGGGCCCACATTCGTTTAGTATTTCATATGTAATTAGGGAGCTGAGCTGCAATGCAGCCATTATCACAGCTGAGTGACGAGACACATCGAATAGCGGTGTGGCTCATGGGGTTATTTTAGCAGCGCTTTCGGCCCTGTTTTTCTGTTGATTCAATCAATTCTATTCATACAAATTGGTTCCGCTTGATCTCATTGGTTATCTCTGCATACTAGGCTATACAGTATCAGCTTACTGTGACAGTTATAAGCCCGATAGCCCGTTGATATCACCAAGAAAGACACGCATCAATACGCCTAGATCTTTCTGTCAACGTGAGCTTCCTAAATCAGCCCTGTATAGCTACCCAGCGGTGGTTCGATCAACACCGAAGGACTGCAGGACCCGCTCAAAGACCCTGTAAATCAGCCTAATTTGTATGCGAAGATGCCGACTTCTGAGATGACTCAAGCGTTAAATGCAATCCCCTAGGACCAACGGCTCCGGTCGGAGGCTTAGTGGAGAGTATAGATTAGCTATATAGAATCAGCAGCGATAGCTGTAAAGGTATAGGGGTATATCAACCCTGAGCTGACAGACGATGAGGTCAAACAGCTACCTGCTAAACTAAGGGACACCTTCCCTCGGCCGAATGAAATCAACAGCGAGGTTAATAACCCGATGAAGCTCTCCGACACCGAATACCTTCGTTATACCCGTCTCGTTATACTGGTCAAAGAGGAGAGAGCGTTCTGCTACGCTATTTAAAAGAACCTCGCCGACATGAACGCCTATATCCTCGAGATAACCCATCCTAAAAAGCGTGGTATCCTAGCCGATAAGAGAACTGCAAGAGAGAAGATAGTCAGATTAGTATAGGAATTCAAGCTAAAGGGGGCTACTAGGGTGTAAGGCCTCAGAAACGCATGGAAACAGTAAGTAACTACTCTATTTAGCAAGGCCTCGGTGTCGATGGCTAAATGGCTAACAGACTGGTCAAATCTGTATGATAAAGCGTATACAGCGAAAGTGCCTGATGTCTGGCGTTGTTCCTGCGTCACCGAGCACCCTAGGGACGCTTTCGCTATTAGAGACTTCCTCTAGGTTATCCCTAGCCAGGACAGCTGGTTCAGCAATCAATATAGGGCTCTGCTGGACAAGAAGGAGAAGCTGAAGTTCCAGGATATCATCTCGGAGTACAGGACTTACCGAGAAGTGCAAAACCAGGATAAGAAGGGCTATTTAGGTACCGTAGCCTTCGTAGCGACGCTATACGGGCATTAATAGCCTAATCAAGGGCAGTCCTTATTATCATCGAATTCGAAGAAGCTACGCTGTGTGTACGGTAGTCTAAAGCATCACTAGAAAGACTGCTTCTATATTAACGCTTCTAAGAGGCCTTAGGGATAGTAGCAATATAAAACCTCTCGTAAGAGAGTCGAGGACGGTATCAAGAAGCTAAGCCTCGCTGAATAGCAAGAAATTGCTAAACTGATGAGCACCGAAGTCTCGTCATCATCTAGGAAGGCTAGCCAGACAGCTCAGCTGGCTATCACCGATGGAGATGATGGCTTTGATGATCTGCCAACCGAATCCGTGAGCTTCTTTACCTTCGATATCACCCCAGCCGTGTGTAACGCCGCTATATCTCTTCCGCTCGAAAACAGCTGGATCATTGACTCGGGAGCTAATATCTATATTTATAACCGTCTCGATCGTTTCGTGGGAGGTATGAAGGAAGAACGCCGCATAGTCACACTCGGTAGTGGTAAAATCGCTGCTTATAGGAAGGGCACTGCCAAAGTTATCATTGAAGACCCTACCGGCAAGATTATATAGGTAACCTTACTAGATATATGGTATATCCTAGGCTTCAAAACCAATATCCTGTCAGTGTCAGAAATTAGCAAGAACGGCTTCTTCTTTAATAGCCGCTTCCCGGCCATCACCAAGAACGATAAGCTAGTGGCTATATGTGGCAGGAAGTTTGGACTCTACCTCCTAGAGCATTACTAGGGTGATGAACGTGTCCCGATAGTTAAAGGCCCCCTAGTAGCCTTTCCCACACTTAAAACCTCTCAGAAACCACTTATATCCGTCGCTTCACCGCAGATTTGGCACCGGAGGCTTGGGCATATATATAACCGACGTGTTAAGACCCTCGCAAAGATGGTTGACGGCATAATAATCAAGGGAGACTTTAAGGATGACGCTTAATGTAACCCTAAACGATGTGAGACCTATTAGCTAGCGAAAGCAAAGAAGCAGATCTCTCGGAGGTCAGTAGCAAGAATAAAGACCTTCGGCAAGTTTGGAAAGCTTCATTTTGACCTATTGCAGCTAGAGGAAGCTTACAACGGTTACAAATAGGTCTCTCACCTATTCATCGAAGGTATTCGCCTCTATATAGCCTAGACACACGAGAAGAAGAGTGGTTGTGTCGATGCCATCATTAGCTTCATTGCCATCTGTCGAAATCAGCTTAGTATGGATATCAGGGTCTTCAAAAGCGACAACGAACAGACCCTAGGCCTTGCCTTCCGCCTATACTGCGAGAGAGAGGGTATTTTGATCGAATTCAGCGTCGTAGGAACACCTAAACAGAACAGCTTCATCGAGAGAGCAGGGGGTGTTATTATCCTCATCGCCAGAGCTCTCATTATCGATATAGGCTTACCGAAGAAGCTTTAGCCAGAAGCAGTGAATATAGCGGTCTATTTAATCAACAGAGCGCCTACGACACTACCCAACGGCTAAGAGATTATCCTATAGATTAAGGCTATTCGGAAACCTCACTACCAGAATAAACTACGCCTCAACCTTTCAAACCTCCGGGTGTATAGCTGCAGAGCGTATATACGCCGTTAAGGGATTCCCTAGAAAGATAAGATAGCGCCGCGCACAGAGATAGGGTATTTGGTCGGTTACGTTACCTCGAATATCTAGAGAGTATGGCTACTATATCTTGATACAGTTAGAGCAGTTAGGGATATTATATTCAACGAGAACGTCCGATTCAACCTATAGGAAATAGAGAGACTACCGCTAATCGACATCCTCGAGACGATGCTATAGACGGTAGGACATAACGCTACAGAAATACCTATTACCGACGATAAGGGCCTTAAGATAACCCTCACGATACTAGAAAGGCAGCCAGAATTACTAGAAAGGCAAGAAGAACAGAGGGAAGCAGAGCAGAGCTCTATAAAAGAATCCGTATCAAATTCCCTGGTTCTAATAATAATAACACTATCGCCGACGCCCTCCCGTTAACCGATAGTATTAGAGAGGTCATCAGAAGTCCTAGGAAGCTTTCTAACAGAGCTAATACCACTCTTAACCTCTCTAATAATACCAGAAACCTCAAACCGCCTCGAAGCTAAGGAGGTAAGAGGGCAAGGGCCTAATAAGTAACTCCTCGGAGAGCTCAGACAGGTATTAGAACCACCGGAAGTATTAGATCTACTACCGCTAGGATACCGTGAGTATAGATCTCTTATACTAAGAGATATTAGTACGTCGCTTTCGGAGAGTAATATTATCGAGGGTAAACGTATACGTAGGAGGGCTTATTTCGTATTAGTGAACGATCTAGAGGACTATCATAAAGGTATTCTGTTAGCGTTTTCTGTAGAGATGAGCTCGCTACAGACCTACTAACGTCCTCACCGAGACGACCTACTACTAGAGCCGAAGAACTAGGTAGAGATAATGCGTTACCCGTATAGAGAGGGCTTCGTAGCAGTAGCCTTATAGGAAGTTAAAACACTAGAGAGAAAGGGCACCTATAAGGAAGTTAACCGACCGACAGACAGAGGCATTCAGGTCTTACCGTTAACGTAGGTATTTATATACAAATTCGACAGCGACGGCCTATTAATTAAATATAAAGCGAGGATATACGTAAGGGGAGACCTCCAGAAGATATTAATAGATAAGAAATATTCAGCGACACTAGCCGTTCGTACTGCTAGAGCTATCTTCGCCCTCGCCGCTGCATTTAACCTCGATACCGCTCAATATAACGCTATTAACGCATTCCTTAATAGTTAGATTAATAAGGAAGTGTATATAGAACTACCTCCTAGCCTCTACCCTCCGGGACGAAGACTGAGGTGCTAGAAGCTCTTAAGAGCGCTGTACGGCCTACGGAAATCACCGAGGCTCTAGTAGCAGGAAGTATTAAGAGTCCTAACAGCTTTAGGCTTTAAGGTTGTTTATGAGGATATTTGCCTGTTCACCGCCGACGGGATCATTATTATCTTCTACGTCGACGATATCCTTATTTTTAACTATCCTTTAATACGTTAAGAGGCTGCGAATGTAGCTAAAAGCCTTAAAGAGACCTAGGAGCTTCGCTCGATGGGCGAAGCGTAGTGGTTTCTAGGCATCCGCATCGTGAGAGATCGTTAGTAGGGCAAATTATAGCTATATCAAGATACCTATATCTCTACGATGGCGTATAAATACCATTTGACCACCGAAAGACACCTTGAAGTTCCTCCTATCAATATTACTAACCTCGAAGCTTATAGTAGAACGGCTACCGACGAGCGAAGGTATGAGTTCTCTGCTAAGGTCGGTTCCGTATAGTATGCTACGACTATTACCCGGCCAGACGCAGCGAAGGCTACCTTATATCTCGCTCAGTTCCTATCGAACCCTTCCCCTAATTACGTTAACGCTATTAACTAGGTTATCGCTTACCTCTATTACATACGGATGAGGGCAGTCTGCTATCGGAAGCTACCTAATTTAGACCCGACGACCGTTCAGTTCTTCAGTAATACATTATATAGGGATAATAACGACCGGAGGAGCTTATCTAGATACATCTGTTTGATATACGGAGGGCCGGTGGATTAGAAGGCTACGAAGCAGAAGACTATAATGACGAGCACTACTAAGGCTGAATTGCTAGCAATGTCAGACGCTGGCAAGTCTCTATATATATAGAATCGTCTGTTCGCGGCTATTATATTCGTTCCTAGTTACCCTATAATCCTGTAATATGATAACCAGCAGACTATCAACCTTTTAACGGGCGAATCACCTTAGCTACGCACAAAGCTCCGATACATTAACATCTACTAGCACTGGCTGCGACAGGAGGTTCAAGCCGAACGTATACCGGTGTAGTAGGTCAAAACGTCGGAGATGGTGGCTGACGGTCTCACGAAGCTATTACCTCGCCAGAAGTACGTCGAATTCGTCAGACAGCTGGGGATGGAAGATATTGGACGGCTATTAGAAGGTGAAATCAATGCCTGAGGACGTCAGATGAAATGGTGCAGCAAATTGCCCACAGCCATTTTGCTGAGGGGGTGTGTCAGCACATGAAGGGATAACTTACCGCTAGCAACTGATTGGTTGCTGATGGGCCCACATTCGTTTAGTATTTCATATGTAATTAGGGAGCTGAGCTGCAATGCAGCCATTATCACAGCTGAGTGACGAGACACATCGAATAGCGGTGTGGCTCATGGGGTTATTTTAGCAGCGCTTTCGGCCCTGTTTTTCTGTTGATTCAATCAATTCTATTCATACAAATTGGTTCCGCTTGATCTCATTGGTTATCTCTGCATACTAGGCTATACAGTATCAGCTTGCTGTGACATTTTCCATCTCTTGAGGGTAATAGGTATGCAATCGTGGCACTGCAACCTAGGTTGACCACTGTCCCTTCTGATCCTGATAGGTGATATATAGGTATGTACCCACAAGTGTGCGTGGGAAAGTGACATAAGTTTAGGTAAACTTTGCAAAATCAAAACTAGAGCTAAACATTTGATTTGGCCTTTGCATACATCATATCATTATTCAATCACATTAAGGTATCTCAATCACATCTCACGCCCATCCTTCGCGCCGACACGCTCGGAAACAGAATACAACAGAATATCAAGCACCGACTAATAAGGCACCGAGAGCACCCGCAGTTGCTCGCAGAATCGCATCCCCGTGAAGTCCTCCCGCCGCACCGCCAGTCGTGGAAGGCCCTTCCTCACATAGCAGCGCATGGAATAATTTTCTGATCTCCCGGTTAATCTTCTTGCTCGACCCACTGCCACCACTCGAGGTCGACACACTGAGCTCGGGTCGAAGCTGTGGCTCTCCAGTCCACTCGTCCATGATCAAAGCATTCGAGAGAAGTACACGAAGACTGCTGGTGGAGGGCCCCGCCCTGACAATCATCGTGCAACGCTCGAGATGTGGGACAAGGTGTCGAACTTCAGAAACCGAGATAACGCCGTTCAGGGATTCGGGGAAAGACTCAGACTCTCTAGCGCGTTTAGAAGAACCACTGCCGTGATTGTGGTCGATTCGCGCCCATAACTGGGCACGGGCCACTGACGCTTCCCAATATCGATTGATGCCCCAGCACAGGGTTGCCACGTCAAGGGCTAGGAGTGAATTCTCTAACCGGGAGTCAATCCATTGCCGGAGCGCCTCAGGCACTCTTCGTTTGTTGCTGTCGCTGCCCGTAGGTACCGAGACGGAGATTATGGTCTGTGTTTCGGGGTTCGTTTCGTATACCACAGACACATTGTACAAAGAGGACGGGAATGGAGACGGTGCAGAGAATGCCAAGGTGTGTGTCTCTAGTAAGGAAATCGATTTCGAGGCTGAGCGGCTTGTATGCGCACGGAGTGTCAAGGGAGCGAGCACGGTAAGATATGATGGCGCCTGCGGCATCTCTGTCAAGGCAAATGGGTTTGTGGGAAGCGGAGATGCCTGGGGGGTTGGGCGAGAGAGATTGGCGGAGAATGGGAGTAGGGTGGAAAGAAGCGCGGATATTGATACCGTGGGACGTAAGGGCAGCGGTTCATGTATGTACGAAGACTCCTCTCTGAGGAGGCTCAAGAACTTGTTGAGCTCCTTCGTGTCGTTAGACAAATTCTCGCTGGAATCAACTTTTTCGGCCCATTTGCTCAGCTCAGCCACATCGTCTTTCAATCGACGCAGCTCTGCAACAAGGCTCTTCCGAGATCTTTGCTTCTCGAGCACAGCTGCAGAGTGGCTGTCTCGTGTCGAATCGGTGTCATGGTTTGAATCTTCTCCCGCGGGCGGTTGAAACTTGAGCGTCTTCAGTGGACTCCCTTGAAGTATGTCTGTGGTCCGTCGTTTCATTCTTTTCTCATGCCTTGCACTCGGGCTACTGCTGAGGAGACCCCGCGGTCGATCAGGTGCTTTTTCCAAACCTAATTGCGTCGGGGTTGGAGGAAGATCTGGCTCCAGAGAGTCATCGTCCACAAATCCACCACTCAGATCAGGTTCCATCTCAGGTTCGATGTCTGCTTCTTGGGTTGCCGTGCCTAGCTCTAAAGCTAGCTGGCCCTCTGGGGTATTGAGGAGATCTTCTGCTGGTTGCGACTGTCTGCGAATTGGCGAACCGAATGTAAAATCTGTTGCTGAGATTCTTTTTGACAGTCGGCGGGGTGGTTTTGAAAATGCTTGAATACCACTTGCACGTCTGCTGGGTGACAGCAGCATTGGCGATCCGGACATTCTTGGTGCTTTAAGAGGACTCGAGGGATTTAAAGAAGGTCGAAGCGCTTTGCGGCCGCGTAGGCCAACGCTCCTTGAGTCCGTCTGCTCTGGGCGGTCATTTTGATTCCCTCGACTCGTCGGTCGTCGGCTTGGTGACCTGCTTATGGCGCGTTCGAGGACTTCGGGATGCGACCTGGCTAGGCTTGCCCGCGTCGGTGACTGGAAGGATGCCCGACTCGGAGAGCGCGACTCCCTGCGAGGCGCAAGGGACTGCGACACGCCTGTGGCAGCGCCCGTAGCCTCCCTAGTCCTACGGCGCTTTGGAGGCGATTCCATGGTTGATTAGATATATGATCGTCCGACCTGCACGCCAACCCGCGGCGCCGCGCATAAACAATAGTGTTTGCAGTGTTTGCACCTATGACTTAATCTTAGGAGCCCGAGGTTGTTCTTCCTTCTCGCCGAACGCACACAATGGAGAGTCTTGCAGCGGGCAAACTCTCTTTGAAAGGAACAAGAATTTGCCTCAGTTCTTTGTCACGCTGGTACTTGCCCTCTGTTCCGTCATGCCGTCAATATGCCTTGATTGCAACCACTCGGCGCATGAGCGCATACGACCGTGCCGCCGCACATGATCGTCATGATTCCGTGCGCGGAGTCGCCTCATCTTCTCAGGCGCACCCTTTGTCGGGTTATTACTCTTTGATATTGAACTCGCCCTCTCCATATAAAGCTCGCACATCAACTGCACCATCGAGCACCACTCAGCCCGAAGACCAAACACCGACACCTGCGCCAGCTGCTACATCGAAGCCCCAGACACCTCAAGAAAAGATGGCTATTGTCTTTGGTACCCGCCTTGCAGGTCCTGGCCGCCAGTCGCGCTACAATCCCGGCGAAGCGCCGCCAGAGGCTATGTGGAAAACGATCAATGGGGTACCCATACCGCCCCGCCCCGAGGAACCGGACAATTGCTGCATGAGTGGCTGTGTACATTGTGTTTGGGATGATTTCCGAGATGAAATGGAGGACTGGGCCGGGAGAGTCAACACGGCGAGGGCCAAGGGTGGCCCCGAGAAAGGCACAGCAGACATGCGTACTGCCCCCCGAGCCGAGGTCAACTCGGCCAGTCTCAGTATGGATGATGACGGCGGCGGAAGCGAAACCAATTGGCCTGTGCCGAGTCAAACCGATGATCTCTTTGCCAGTATTCCTGTTGGCATTCGGGAGTTTATGAAGACGGAAAAGAAATTGCGGGTGAAACACCAGAAGGAAGCCGCGGCGTGAACGTTTTCTCTTCCCGTTTGTTGCGCTTTTTATACCCTGTGCCATACTTGGGGTGCCATTGGGGATTGGGGAGGCGCGTGTTGATCCACCATCAGACATATATACATGTTATACAGATAGACTGACTGTACATAGAATATTAACATGACGCGACGAACGTTAATTGATTCGACAGCCTTTAATATTTTGGTGGTCGTAACGTACTTCCCGGTAAGCTGGGCCACCCGGTTGAGTGGGCCACCCAAAACACCATGATTAACGCGAGATTCTCCATCTTCATATCTCTACAACCATGAATTATTTTCACTTTAATAGTTTTATATGCCATTTTTGGATATAATGGGCAAGATATATCAATATGGAGCTGTTTGAATACTGATCTACTTAAAAATACCATAGAATACATGATGATTCATACTAGGATGTCAGAAATATATATTTCTCTTTCATTGCTTATGTTGTTAGTATAAGAATATGCCAAGATAGTAATGTATAGTATTATACCTTGCTAATATTCCCGGCTAGGATACAGTTTTTGAGAAATAGAGATGTAATTTATCGCGTTAACTATAGTGTTTTGGGTGGCCAATTCAACCAGTTGGCCCAGCTGATCGGGATGTACGTCCGAGGGAAGAATGCCTTGTGAACTCGGGGATTCGAACCCTTAAGTGCGTAGTCAATGCTGTGAACATTTTTAATCCAGATAGAAAATGGCATGATCCCCCGCTGGCTCTTCCAGTGATCGGAACGGCCGAGATCTCGCTGGAGACTGACATTTAGATATCCAGCTTAAACAACGTGTGCTGGCATCCAGAGGTGACCGCGGGATTCTGCCAGCCAAGCTTTGTGTCGTCTCTTAGGACCAGAACTGAATACGTCGGACTGAAACTAAGTATCTACCTGGGAGACGACTGGCCTGGCTACAATTCGGATGAAGAGGGTATTCATCTATCTGATAGTATTTTAAAGCCATATATGAATATTGCTTGAACCTTCCAATCACAGCCGAGATAGTTGAAAAATAAAAACAAAAAAGAGACGCTCCCGGCGGGGCTCGAACCCGCGACCTTGCGATTTCTATGATAGTAGATAAAAGTCGCATACTCTAAGCCAACTGAGTTACAGGAGCTGATATGTTCGTATGATAAGGAAGTCGGAACTATCTCTTCAAAATACCGCCAAATAGCATCAGACGCAACAGATTTACATCACCGTCTTCAAGCGGAAACACGATCGAGTGGCTCAAAACTTGGTGGCGCCCCTGGGGTCCTAGCGCACCACCTAATTCATTGTCATGTATCTGAAGAAAGCAAGTAGTTGAAATGGGCATATGAGATTTAACCTGTGTGAGAATGCTATCCGACTTGTACATTCGCGCCTGCCCCGGATTTTGCGCGCCGTCCAAGTCCGTGCGCACCGCAGATTTCGGTCTCGCCTTCGTTCGCTCCCCAAGGCAAAAATCCCTCAACTTGCGTCCCTCGACGCTTTTTCCAGCGATTGCATGAATTCAAAAACCACTGCCACTGTGTGTTTCTCGAATCGTCCCCTGCGAGCGCAGATGTTCGGTCATCTCGCCCCCGGAAATGCACATATGTCGACTCGTTTACCCACCTGAACCGCCATCCCACCCCGCAAGATGGCCACAGGGACAAAAGCATGCAATTGCATCAGACAAATTGACAGAGCCCACATTTACTACCAAAATGAGTTGCACGTCGACGCCTCCTGCTGGGGCTTCAGTCGCTATAGTTCGTTCCCGCGGCTGCATCGAGGCCTACGCGCGCCTCGCCGAACGTTTCCTTCGTCCCAGAATTCGGTGACAAGAACATCCGTGGCTGGAAACACATTGCAATTAGTTCAACTGCACCGGTTCTCGATCTCTGCTGGAAAACCTCCTGCACTCCTGCGCAATGCTCGGAGGTTCTTCAATACCTCTGGGTTGAGATTCACTGCCGTCTCTGAAGGCTCCAGCCGACATTTGCAAGCCGAGCCAGAAGGTGCATACATTTCAAATGCAGAAGATCCACTTTTGAGCCTTTCGGGAAATATGGATTGTTCAAGGTCCGGTTTGAAGCAGGTCCAGCAGTTCAATCGCTTGTTTTCGCAAGGTGCTTTCGCACTCAAAGAACGATGGCACCCGGGGAATGAACAGGGGTTCACCTACTTTATAACTCTCTCTCGGCCCGATATGATCGAAGTAAAAAATTCGGTGACAAGTCGTGGAAGAGTGCGTTTCACCCACCCGGGCTCAAAATACCATTGGCTGACCTCGCGGTTCACAGGAAGATGCCAAGCGAAAAGCGCTGCTCGGTCTAATTGAAAAATTGCAGAACAGTGGTATTTTGCACCGGCTTCAAGAAGAGGCTGAGGTCAAGACGACAAAGCACAAACCAGAGAGTAATGATCTTGAGACTCTCAAAGCACTATCCAGGCGACCCACCCAGATATTCAAGTCATTAGAGGTTACCTCTACCACTGTCTTGCCAGGCAAGAGAGAGCTTAAAATTCTCGACAGTCTGTCACAGAAGCAACAGGTTCAGCTGGATCTAGAGTTCTCAGGGAATTCAATTGATAGCATTACTTGTTTCGTGGTTTGCTCGATAAGCAGTTTGCAGCGGGACCTGCAGGCAGTAGGGAACGGTGCGACAAAGGTAAACCCTGCCATTCCTTCTTTTTCAGTCTGTCAGTACGTATCCTAATGAGTCTCGACCAATAGCAAGATGCAAAAAACAATGCCTTCCAACTTCTGATCTCAAAACTGCAAGAAGCCGGGTTGTGGGAGCAGCTTTCACAGCGCGACCAGGTTACGCTTAATGTGGATGATGATCTGCTTTATATGATGCGCTTTGGGACGAAAAGTTTACTCGACGCCAATGACAAGCTTCGATCAGTCATGACCATTGAGAAAAAGCGACCCTTGCTATCGCAGAGAGGTCCAGATGTGCCCAAAGAGTATAAAACAAAGAGATCCGAGAAACTCACCGAAGCTCTCCGCAAGTTTCGCCAATCTCAAGACCCCAAGGTAGTAGCTATTCGATCTGCGACGGGCGGCTTACCCGTGAACGAATGCAAAGAGTCTGTCCTGGATCTTGTCAAGAGCAACACATATAGCATCATTGTTGGGGAGACTGGCTCTGGGAAGTCGACTCAAGTCCCTCAAATTATATTAAACGACGCCATCGAGGATGGTTATGGAGGCTACTGCAATATTCTTTGCATTCAGCCACGGCGCATCGCAGCTCGCATGCTGGCCCAGCGAGTCGCTCATGAAAGAGATGAGAAAATTGGCAGTACCGTTGGCTATATGATTCGATTCGGGATTAAGCGGCCGGCGAAGGGTGGCGCTATCACGTACTGCACCACTGGCCTTGCCTTGAACCTCTTACAGAAAGAACCCGATCTTCTCAACTCGTTCTCCCATATCATTCTCGATGAAGTCCATGTTCGAGACATTGACATCGACTTCGTGATGATGCTCTTGAAGAGCCATATTGACCGGTGCCAAGTGGTGGGCACCCCAACACCCAAGATTGTGGTGATGAGCGCAACGGTGGACGTTGACCTTTTCGCCTCTTACTTCCGCAACAGGGGTCCAGACGGGCAATTATCGCCTGCTCCACATATATGCATTCCCGGGCGACAATTCCACGTGAACCGCCATTACCTTGATGAGATCCTCACAACCCTGACCGAGACCTTTCACGAGGGCGTCCTTTCGTGGTGTTTGAAAGAGCCGATGACACAGAAATTTTTGCGAAGACACAGCCACAACTTCAGCGCAGTAGAAATCGTCGATCATGGCGAAGTGCTTCCCACGGAAGAAGAAGCAGCCAAGGTGCCCTCTTCGCCGCATCCTATTAGCTTGAAGCAAGAGGACGATGGCTCTATCGTTCCAATTGGGCTGGTCGCCGTCATTATCCACCACATCCTGTCCACCACGGAAACGGGCTCTGTCTTGGTCTTCCTCCCGGGGCTTAGCCAGATCCTTGCCGTTGAATCTCAGCTCCTATCTGCCGCGGAAATGCTGGGACTGGATGTTTCCGACGAAAATACGTTCAAAATCTTGAAATTACATGCTAGTCTCCCAGAGGAACTTGCGAAGCTAGATCTTGAAATGCCTCGAGGTTGTCGAAGGATTTTACTGGCAACGGATGTTGCAGAGGCCTCCCTCACCATCCCAGACGTGAAATATGTCATTGACTCGGGCAAGGTGAATCAGTTGATGTACGACTCTCCGAGTCGATCTCACCGGATAGCGTGCTGCTGGGCAAGCCAATCAAGTTCTGTTCAACGATCTGGACGGGCGGGTAGAGTTCAGGATGGGGAGTACTTCTTCCTTGGAAGCAAACAATGCTTTGACTCGCTGCGTATCACCAAGTCCCCCGAGATCCTTCGAAGTGACCTACAAAACGTGTGTGTGCGAGCCAAAATTTCCAATCCTGATATGCCCATCAACGAGTCTCTACAACAAGCCATCGAGTCTCCCGATAGTTCCGACGTCGCCCTCGCCATTGATTCCTTGAAACAATTACGAGCACTGGATAACGAGGAGGAACTCACCAATCTGGGCTCTCTTGTGAACCGAATGCCTGCGCTTTCTCCTCACCTTGCCAAGTTGGTCATTCTAGGCGCGACTTTCCGTTGCCTAGACCCCCTTCTGATATTGGCAACATTAGGAGAAGAACCCAGCTTGTTCTTCCGGACGACTGACCCGGAGCAACGTCGTCAGGCCAGGGATGACCAAGCTGAGTTTGCAGGGCAGAGCTTCAGTGACCATTTCAGTGTGATAACCGCTTTCAAGGCTGTCCGTTCGGTATGGAATTCGCAAGGCTGGCGAGCGGCTCATAGGTTTGCGATTTCGCAAAACGTATATCTTCCTGTGTATCGGGAGGCCTTCCTCACGTGCAACCAAATTTTGCATCAGCTGGAACAAGCAAAAGTGGTCAACAAATGGTTGCTCACTGACGAAGATGCTGATGGTCAATTTGGCGGAGCCAAGCTCAACATCAATTCCCACCATGTCCCCCTCATCAAAGCACTGTTGCTGCATTGTCTCTACCCCCGTCTGGCTGCCCCGAAACCAGGCTCCAAGACCGCATTTACCACCCAAACCGAGGACCATGCAATGCTGTATCCATGGAGCATGGCCATGAACGGCAAATTGCCACCACGGGATCTACTGGTTTTCAACCGCAAATTCCCCTTTGCAAACACAATGGCGCTCAAAGAAGCCTCTGCTGTTACCCCGCTCGCAGCCAACCTTTTCGGCGGCCGCCTGACGGTGCAGCAATCCTCGATCGTCATGGATTCCTGGCTGCAAACCGGAATCCGAGCCAAAGACAGTTCAATCATGACAGCGGAAGTGATCAAGGATATGGTAGAGTTGAGCAAAGTTCTTGACAAGGTCAGTCCCAGCTTCGATAATCATCTTACTCGATTTATGTTGATGTGACCCCGATGTGGCGCTAACTTGCAATGTTTGCCTGCAGGCCTTAGCGACTGCTTTCGATTCCTGTATCGACGATACACGAGTGCTCCGGATGAAGAGGGCAACATTCTTCACCACTCGTGACCATTTCATTCAAACTTTGCAGCAGACCGTCAAAGATATCCTGGACCGCGACCGCGACCACCCCATCCGAGGGACATCCGTGCCTGCTGCATGGACTGATCATGATCTGAGCAAATACTCAGACTGAGCATAGTGTGATTAGCATGTACAATAGATTTTCTACCCCATTTTACATAGAATTGAAGTAAATAATTGCAGATAACCAACGGCTTGCATCTGGATCGTATACTACTGGGAGGGCGCCCGCTCACCGCCTTGGATATCCTTATCGCAAAAAAGTTAAGATCGCGTCCGCTCCTCCTCCGCGGCCCAAAACAGCGCACGCACACACACACACACACCATGGCTCTCTCCAAGAGCGAGTCTGACGCCCTTCTTAACCGGGCAAACGTCGCCCTTGCCCGTAGTCAGCGACTCGTCTCATCGTGGCTTCCAGAGAAAACCACGGAAGAGCTAGCCAACACCAAGTCGGAAGAAGAACTACAACGCGAGGAAGATGAGATTTTCACAGCCGTTCCTGAGACGTAAGTTCCGTCTCGGCTGAAATATCATTTCGAGTCAAATTACTGACATACAATGCGATTCAGACTCGGCGTCGGCGCACCTCTCCCCGAAAAAGCCGCTGACGGAAGCTGGAATCGCACTGAACTGAGCTCGAACGATCAATTGCGGAAACAGCTGCTTGGCAGGAACTATGACAAGGCCATGAAGGCGTCGGCTGCCGCTAAGCAAGCTTCGATAGCAGCTAAGGCCGGTGCGTCGGCTCCGACGGGTAAGGCTGGCTCTGCTACACCAGCCAACCATGAGGACGCCGATGACGACGAGGAGGAAGGCCGGGCTTCCATGGTGGGCAAGAACAAGAGGAGATTTGGCCAGCCTCGCGCCCAGCCTAATATGTCTGCCGATAAGGGGAATGCAGAGAATGGGGACAATCAAACGGTCTTGACAGAGGCGCCTGCCCAATCGGCTCCTTCGAAGGGGAAGAAGAAGGCTACTAGCTATCTGGATGAGCTTTTGGCAGAGAGGTCGAAAAAGAGGAAGAAGCGGTGAATATTGCTGCATGTCGGACTTCTTTTCTTTTCCATCCCATCCTGGCGGGCTCTGCGTGCCTAGCCGAGCCGAGCCGCATGTCGTTTTTGACAGGCTGCAGAAGCCACTTGACCAAAGGCAACTTGAGCATCAACACAGCCGCAGGGCATGGCCAGGTCTACGGTTCATCTTCAGCGTCATGCCACCGGCCGGGCGGCCACCCGCATCTTTGCGCCGCTGCAGGCATTGATTACTCTGCTATCCCGGCAGAAGGGTGGCTTGCTTGCAGAGCCTCCTCCCCAACGAGCAAAAGGCAAGGTTTCACAAAATTTTCTCGATTCGATCGAATTAAGTGGGCGCAGATATAGAATACAAATCCCATTCCAGTCTCCTCTAGATGCCACCGTTAATTTTCTTGCTCCGTCCGACCCCAGGGTATATAAGTTATGCTGCGAGAATGAAGTATCAAGACAGAGCCTTTTCGTCACTCGGCACCGACAGCGTGAAGATTTCAAAAAAGATAAAGGAAGGGGAAAGAGAAATAAGTAAATGAAAATAGAAAAAAGGAGGGAAAAGGAGAATTGAGACATCTACAGACAGAATAAGAAATCGGAAAGGAATAGGTAAGTCTGGGGCTGCTGTCGCGTTTTTGGCTCCCAGAGGCTCGAGATGGTGTGGCCGTGGCTGATCTCAGGGATACAGATGCTGTCCAGGAAAAGGAGGCGGGTTGCCGGAGTTTGTTGTTGAGGGTATATGCGGTCGGTCTGACCAAGAGAAACCATATCGGTTTTAGTCGGATCATAGATGGTGCTTCCGCCAAGAGAAGGATGGTGGTGGTGGGTGCGTGAGTCGATCAGGCGGTCGAACGGTGGTGTTCGTTTTCACCAAGAAGTTTCAACTGGTGCCAATGGCACTCATTCCAACCGTTTTCGCTTACGGTCCTCTTGTTGGTCTTCGTCCGGTCTTTCGGCGGTATCGGCAGGGTTCAGCAGGGAGTGAACGTTGCTAGCCATGCTCGAACGGCGAGTTGCTGGTAGGGAGGATTCTTGACGAGGGAACCTCGAGCCGGCTAGAGACCAGCCATTGTCAACACTAAGCATCGACGAAGATGGCTCGACTCCGGCTGGTGGCGTCGCATGGCGAGATTGGTCTTGGAGGCGTCGAGGAGCACCCATCTCGTACTGAGCTAGCACATCCCGAACTTGTTGCTCACTGCTGGTTGGTATCCGGAGCGGAGATGAAGGCCAAGGGCCACTACCACCGCCAGCACCAGCACCGGCACCAGCACCAACACCAGCACCAGCACCACCCGTGCTACCAGGTGGGAATGGAGAGGTACCCGTGGGAGGCCAGTCGGCTTGCCGAATGTCCGCAAACGTGTGACGGCGGCCCAAATTAGGGACCCCGGGAGGAGTTGAAATGGAGAGAGGGTGAGGTGCCGGTTGTGGTTGCGGTGGCGGAGCAGCAGCAGCAGCTCCAGAAGGAGGCTGCAGCCGATTATAATTAGGAATAGGAGCATTGGCACCTCCGATGGAGCCGTAGCGGCGAGGGGAAACGGTGAGATGAGGGGGGACGGGTGGCCGAATCATAGACTGGCGCCGGCTATCGTCTTGAGGTAACTGGCGAGGGGACAAGGGGGGTCCAGATTCAACTGGCAAGTTCCCAAAGAATGGTTGGCGAGGTGGCATGAGGGTATCATGAGAAGCGTCCATGGCACGGACTGCCTCGAGATGTTTCTCAACTTCTCTTTGCATGTTCAAGACTGGGAGGCTCGTTAGCATATCTTTCAATACAGATGATGGACATATGCATATATGGGTAGTTCCGTACTGTCGCGATAGAGGGGGCTATCTTGGTTGGGCACGACCCCTTGAAGAAAGCGAGAGATGGAATGTGTCCACTGGGAGATAGTTTAGCGAGGGCAAGCACCAATGATCGGGCCTGATAACCGTACTTGGTAGCATTTGGCGAGACCTTCAGCCATGTTCTGGCATTTCGAATTCAACGCCACATTGCCTTCTTCTGCGCGAGCCAGACGAGCATGCATGTCGTGAAGATTGTATTCGAGGTTCATCAACCTAGCTTCAGTCGCATCCGGGACCGGTTCCGCGGGCGTGCCTGGTTGCGACGCAGCAGCCTTGTGGCCTGGGAAGGAGTCGCGGTGGATCAAAGCATGTCGAGATGCACGACGCTTGATCTCGCGAAGGCCGACCAAATCACCTCTTTTGAAATTGCCATTCCCATGTTTAAACTCCCAGAGCGCAGAATCCGGCGAGCCAGTATGAAAGACGTCGCTCACTGCCAAATGACATCACCATCAGCGATGATTCCCATTGTCTCGATAGTCAAACAGGGGAAACGAACCTTTGTGAAACCCGTACATATTCAGTTGGCGAACAAAGGACGATATATTGGTGTGCTTGAAGTACTGGCTGTTGGGGTGTTAGCAACCGAGGGTATTCCGATATTGGGACGAAAGAATAGAGACTGACGCTAGGACTTTGGAGAACTCAGAAGTCGGCGACATGACGAAGCTATCATTGGTGCTTGACCAAGATATCAAGTGCTGGATACCGGTGTCCTCAAGCATGCTGTTTTTGGGCAAGGTTAGCTATCCGTTGGCGATGTAGCGCCGTGACCGAGACTAGTAGACGCACTTGTAGAGCTTGTGGATAAAAGCAGTCTGGACCACTTTGGGTTGCTGAGCTGCTGCAGCTGCGCCAACGGCCGGGTGGGAAGTATTGCTCGTGAGCCCGACTTCGGCGCCATTGGAGTTGAATGCGCCGGTGCGGTCGCCATCGGGACCGGTGTGGATAGGCGCACCGCTAGCTGCAGCGGAGGAAGGAGGCGTGATCTCCATTGCTACAGGGGAGTGTTGAGCAGATTGGGAGAGAACCGGGAGGTTTCGTGTTTTGCCGGGGCCATCTGCAGGCCCAGCGAAGGTGGTCCTGGAGGATGGGGGATCGGCGAGACCACTCATGTCGCAGGAAAGGGGGAAGACGTGGAGGACAATAGGGTGACAGCTGGCGAGCTTGCGATCGGCGCCAATATGTATACTTCAGTTTTGGGGGCAGGCCGGGGGGCGTGTGGAAGGTGGGAAAAGCAAATCGGACGCGATCGATTCGACCGTTGGAACCCGCTCGTGGCGGGAGAACGTGGGATGGGAAGGAGTTTCGCGGAGCCCAGCGAGGCGCAGATCAACACCGAAGCGGCAGCACTTGGTCTGTCATTGCGCCCGCGAATTGAGGTCCAAGGAGAGGCGGGTGGTTCGTTTCGACGAGGTTTGCACGAGGTTGAAGCTGCGGGGAAGAAGGGGGGGGGGGGGGCGGCGGAGGGAAGCAGCCGGACGAGCGCAACGATCGGATCTGCCGCGCCAGGAAGCTCAGCAATCGGGCGAGGTGCGAGGTTTGCAGGAACAATACGGCGCAGCACAAGGGTGATGAGGCTGAGGTGGAAGTTGACGACCGGTCTGCGGTGGAAAGGCGATGGAAGGTGGAGAAGAAAAGGGGGTTGTCGAGAAGAATGAGAGTCTGATGCTCCACCCGAAGACACAATCCATACGGAGAGTCTCAAAGCCACCACCCCACGGACGCAGTCGCAATCGGAATACCTCAACCACAAACCGGATTTTCAGCTTCAACGAAGAGACGAAAAGGGCTGACATACCGCTACTAGAACTGTCCATATTTGACCGGACTATTGGGGTCTCCTCCCGATATTAGCTAGGACATCTATATGTTTCTCCAGCGTATTTTAACCGTGTATAGCTTACCCACGGACTGGCGCTGAGTGTTATACTCGCCTCGCCGGCTCTCAGCCCGTCTCAGCCTGTTCAGCTTCAACTTAATCCGCCCCAACCACCACTCACACCACTTGCCTGGCCCTGACCCACTCGGCAAATCGCAGCCATGGACCCAGATTCTGAGGCTCAAGCCATCTTGAGCCGTTTCAAGACTCTACCCAAGCTAAGTCGCCAAGCCGTGTATGTATTGCCTTATGGCCTGCAAAGGCCGAAAGCTGAAACAGCCCACAGGTACCGTGGCGTCATGGACCAGCTACGCCCTGATGAATGGCGCGAAGTGAAAAGTCGTGTCGATCGCATCCATTTCCGCTGTGATTTTCTGGACAAGCTGCCCCTGGAGATCGTGTCTCTCGTCGCAGAGAAGCTGCCTCTGGCCGACATCGTTCGCCTTCAGAGGGTACGCCCATGTGATCTGTAGCTGAAAAGCTTTGTCTGACTAACATGCCGCGCAAAGGTGTCTCGAAGATGGCAGCAGGTCCTTTTATCGCCGTCGCTGTGTCGTGCTGCTGCCCGAGCAACCCTGGGCAGGGATCCCTGGGCGCAACGTTCCGCCTCCGATCCTCATGCTGCGGTGGCTATCCATACGGCCTCTTCTGCTAATGCATCAGGCCCTGCCTCCACTGCCGCGCCTTACTCTACCGCATCGTTCATCAATCTCGTAAAAAGAAGACGCCGCCTGGAGCAGGGAGGTTCCAACCAGATCAGCATAATGCTAATCCCACTAGGTGTTGTGCGTGATAACAGTTGGTATACTCGGGCCGTGGGCTATTCACACGGCGCCCTTGCCTGGCTAGCCGGAGAAGACGATCAAACCACCGTACTCACGTTTGATCTATGGACGGCGGCACAAAGGAAGCGTTTCACCACGGAGAATCGCGAAAAGCTGGTCGCGCTGCGATTCAAAATGCCTTTGATTGCGGCGACATCAGTCAGAGGGTACTGCCATGTCTGGAATATTGACACGGACGAATACTCGTCCTTCCGGATCCCGTCGGCCTCCTACAAACATTTCTTGATCAATGGAACCAAGATTGCCCTCAGCTATCATGACTATGTCGTCCACTGGAGTTTCGATACGAAAATCACTCGTACCGTTCATACTGGGAGCTCCATTGTGGCCTTCGCTCTGCATCCCTCAGAGGACCAATTCACGCTAATTCGTGTTTGTAAAAAGGAGGAGAAAGATCCTCTTGACGCAAGGGCAGCCTTTCCTGAATGTGGACTCGCTATTGACTTGTGCAAGCTGCACACGGCCAAATATGTCCTGAACAGCAAGAACGAGTTTCACTCCGTTCTCACACGCTACCAGCCATTCCCAAATTTACATCTTAGCAAAGAATGGATCGATATTTATTCCGACGGGCGCGCGCAAGAGGTGCATCTCGGCCAGACCAGTGTAAGCTTGGTCTGCTGGGAAGAAGACGGTAATACCCTCGAGAGAATCCAGCTTTACCTGTCAATCGAGCCGGACGATCTGGTTGCTATCCACACATTACCAATGTTTGAGTTCCCCTTGGTGTCCAACATAGTCTGCCCCGAACAAGGCATACTCTATGTTTCCAACCTGGAAGGGTTTCATCTGGGAATTCTCAAATCTATTACTATGCCCACCACCACTTCTAACGCGTACGTATGGTATAAACACTCCATACGGGACGTGATAGATAACGAAGATGAGCACTACGGTTTCTTGGGCGATGGGCAGTTTTTGATATCCCTCAAAACAGGGGGAATGCAGGTCTGGGCAATGGACGAAAGGTACCAGAAGCCTTATGGAAGGTCGATCTGATCAGTGACAATGCATCTCTTGTTCAGTCATACCAATGGTATAAGTTATGTGGCGACTCTTGACACAAGAGCTCTCTCATAGCGCAAATAGACAAGGGCTTGTTGAACTTCTATCTGCCGTTTTTTCGCGACTACTACTCGATTCTACTAATCTAAATGGAACAAGCCGTACTTTCTGACACTGGAAAACATGGCTTTATACCAACTATCAAGACTCACGCACAAGACTAGCATGAGAAGTCGAAGATTCAGGATCATGAACGCGGTCCTTCGAAAGCAACCTTACAACCTTAACTACATGCTAGCAGACTATGGAGCCAAAAAATTCAGCATCTCAATTCTTCCAACTGGGAAATGATATACGAACCATAGAAACACTCAAGAATACAGTGACAAAAGAAAAGTAAATGACACAGGAACAGGCGCCGCAGCCAATCACAGGGTGTTGTTCTCTAAAAGTAAAATGTCACCGTGAACCGGCTCGCAGTGCCCAATGCATGCCCCCTTAGCTGACTCGCAGATTCAAATTCAGATTCAGATTCAGATTCGGACCGGTTCTATCATTTAGATGCCCAGGGTGAACTCCACGCCGACATCGATCTCGCGGGCCATCTTGACGACCTTGGAAAACTGCACCGACTTCTCGGCAGCGTTCTGGAGGTCCTCCATCGAGAAGATCTTCAGACCGGACTCGTTGATCTGAGAGGAAGGTGGGGTTAGCAAGAGCATTCAAGGAGAAGAATGAAAAAAGACTTGGGGGAGGAGAGTGGGCAAGTGAGAGTGCGATCATACCAGCTTGTGAGCCTGCTCCATGTTGGTACCCTGCAGACGGGCGACGATGGGGGTGCGCAGACCCATGTCTTGCACGACGTTGATCAGACCTTGGGCGATGGCGTCACAGCGGACGATACCACCGAAAATGTTAACGAAGATGGCAGACACCTTGGGGTCGCTGGTGATCAGCTCGAAAGCGCTCTTGATGGCAGCGGGGGTGGCACCACCGCCAACGTCAAGGAAGTTGGCGGGGCTGCCGCCGTTCAGCTTGATGATATCCATGGTGGCCATGGCCAGACCGGCACCGTTGACCAGGCAGCCGATGTCACCGTCCAGCTTGATGAAGTTCAGGCCGTGCTCGGCAGCCTTGACCTCATCGGCATCCTCCTGGGTGACGTCGCGCCACGAGAAGATCTCCTTCTGGCGGAACTCGGCGTTGTCGTCGAAGCCGAGCTTGGCATCCATGGCCAGGACCTGGTGGTCGGAGGTCTCGGACAGGGGGTTGATCTCGATCTGAGTGGCGTCCTTCTCCATGAAGACCTTGTACAGGTTTTGGATGGTGGTCTTGGCCTCCTCGATGCACTGCTCGGAAAAGCCGAGGTCAGTCGCGATGGTGCGGGCGATCTCGTCGGTGACACCGGTGTGGATGTCGATGGGGGTGGTGATGATCGCATCGGGGGTCTCCTTAGCGACGGTCTCGATATCCATACCACCCTGCGACGAGGAAACGATCACAGGGCTCTGTGTACCACGGTCCATCAGGATGGCGAGGTAGAACTCGCGACGAGCGAACTTGCGCTCGCAAATGTAGACAGAGTTACAGGCACGGCCGGCGGCACCGGTCTGCTTGGTGACGAGCTTGTGGCCGATCATCTCGTTGGCGAAAATCTTAGCCTCGGCAGGACTGCGGAGATTACTTCGGTTAGTCCTCATATTTCCCGATCCAAGCAGAACCCCAGCAACCAGAGGTTTTGGAATCCCTAGAACTCACGAGTAGATCACCCGGACACCACCCTTCAGACCATTGTCGAAAGTACCCTTGCCACGGCCACCGGCCAGGACCTGGGCCTTGATAACCATGTCATCGTTACCTAGTTCCTTCAGTGTTAGGCAGGAGCGCGAAGAAGGGGGTAGGAAAGTATGAAGGAAAGATATATACCGATGGACTTGGCGACCTTCTCAGCCTCCTCGGCGGTACTGGCGACTTCGCCCTTGGGAACACCGACACCATACTATCCTCGATTATCAGTAAGCCCACTCGGGCTGTAAAACAAAACAGCGATTCCTTCCTCGACCGAGAAATTTGAACGCGCTGGACATACCTGCTTCAGGAGACGGGCAGACAGGTACTCGTGGATGGACAGGTTTCGCTTCTGCTGCTGAACCAGACGGGACGAGACGGACGACTCCTAGAAGGATGGGGAATACGAATCAGTTTCCAGTGTCGACAATGAGGACCGGGTACGGCCCGATAGCACGGCATTCGGGAAGATCTCACCGTCGCAGCCCTGAGGGCCGCGGCAATTGGGCGACCGCGGGCGAGCTTGAACATGATGAATGAGGAGGATGTGAGGGAAGGTGAAGAGAGGAGAGGGGGTTATGTAAGAAGAGAAGGTTGCTTAAAAGGCAGCCTTCAGGAGTTGGTCGATTCGGGAGAACAGCTTTCTTTTTCTCGGGATGACAGCGCTGCGGTAAAACCGGGTGTCGCAGCCAACCAGCGCCCGATCCCTGGCTGACTCAGCACAACCTCGGGCGCGGACGCGAATATCACGGAACGGAACTTCGGCTGCTTTGACCTAGTGATATCTAGTGGAAATGGGGGTTATAGATTTATAACTTGGGTTGCATCAGGTTCAATTTGTCCAGGGAAACTACCTAGGGTATAGCTAGGGCTATCTAACGAGGAAGTTATGGGCTGCTCCCACCATGGCCCTCCTCCCGGTCCTTTCTATTTATTCAGCGGCGCCTTGATCTTGGACAACTTGAACATGTTGGTCATAACTCGGCCAAAAAGTCCATTCCAGGCCCAGCCACCTACCAGGAACCAGACCACCCAGCTGCGGTGACCTTCCCAGACCCAGGTCTTACGACCCTGGGCCCAGGGCCACAGCCAGCGCCACGGCGCCGACCCATACAGCACCTGGTTCACCACGCTGCGGGCATAAGCCTGGTTCGGCATGGCATTGTGTTGGCTATGAACTACGCGGCGATTAAATTCCGCTTCAATGGGTGTATACAGGGAGTTCGGCTTGAGCGTGCGCTCGGTGCGGGCAATGCGAGACTGCACGCCACCGGTGACGATGGTGGTCACATTGACACTGTCGACTTGCGGTTAGTACAGCTGATCGCATGTCGGCTCTGGGATATTGGAAAATACATACCCATATGGGGCCAACTCGACTCGGAGTGTGTCGCTCCATGAGTGTAACGCTGCCTTAGAGGCGTTGTAGACCGACCCAAACACGTAGGGAATGATCTATAAGATGTTGGTCAATATTGTACTTTGCGTTGCATTCAAGATCCAGGAAGGATTCAAGCCTGGGGACGAACTCCAGCAATGGAACCAATCTGCACAATGGTACCCTTGGCCTTGATCAGAAGCGGCAAGAAGGTCTGGCACATGGTGATGACGGAGAAGAGGTTGGTCTCAAATGTCAGGCGCGCCTCATCCAACTCCACCTCCATGGCAGGGACCGTATAATCTAGGACCAGCGTGTTAGCTAGATGAAAAATGCTCACAGCAGGCCACGATAGACGCACTTCGGCCGCTGCGGATATCATGAGTTAGTCCATTGCAGATGCAACCAAAGTCCACGTTCCAAGCCCACCACACTCACGCATTGTTCACGAGGTAGTCCAGTCCATTGTCCCCAAGTCTTGCCTCAACATCGGCAAAACAGGCCTTGACGCTCTCCACATCATCGACCACCAGGCTCAGGGTCTCGATGCCGAGCTCGTCCAAGTCGGCGATGCTGGCGGCCTGTCGGGCCGTGGCCAGCACGCGCAATCCATTTCGATGGAACTCTCGCGCAAGGGAGTTCCCAATACCGCCGGGTGAGCACCTGTCATCGTCAGCAGCGGGTCGCTGTGTGATACTGGAGGTATCTTGGGCATCTTGGGTATGTTGCGCCAGCTGCTCACCCGGTGATCAGCACGGACTTGCGGGTATCCGTAACTTCTTGCATGGCTGATCGCGCGTCGCGTCTCTTGAGGGTCGAGGGGTCGAGTAAGATCTACTCCGAATATGACCAAAGGGTGGGGTACTCTGATCCAAATGGCGAGGAAGGTGAAGGGTTCAAGGGTTCATGGGTCGCGGCTTTTCGCGCCAGCTCGAGGGACCTCGGCTCGTCACAACAAGCTAATCCAGCGAACCCTAAACCCTATTGCTTCTTTGGGATATTTTCCTGCGTGGAACTGTTAGAGCAGAGCAGAGCAGAGCAGAGCAGCAGAGCAATGAGAACGATCGAAACCAGATTTGAAGGGGGGATTCTTGATCGCCGTAGGTGCGAACCGACCAATTGCCAAGCTCGCGGGGAGATCCATCGTCCCGCGGTTCCAGTCCATACTTCATCCACCTTGCCACTTTATTCTGCGCTAAGACATGCCCCATTCTGAGCGGGGCTTTATTCGACCCGGTCAATGTATGATACTGACGATCATCAGCATATTTAGCCCTGTTCTCAGGCCGCTGGGGTTGTCACTCATGGCTGCCATGCATTCTGGCCCGGATTCTGAATGTTGAGAGAGCTGGCGTCGCGCCCCATCCGACGACAGCAAGAAACCGTCCGACTCACCGGCGTCCAACAAACAATGCCCCTCCATCTGCGAGGATGAACCATGCTCTGCTCTCGCTGTTTGGGCATCATTGAACCATCCGTTACGGTGTACTTCGGGTCGAAACGAGCAACTACGGAGCCAGCAGCCAATCGCTACCGCGGGCAAGCCCAGCGGTGGGACATCCCGGCCCATGTGCCGATTCCCGAGGGGAAGCTAAAACTCCCGTCGCAGGGCCAATGAACTGGAAGGACGGCATCCTGCGAAGGAAGAAAACACTTACCGGGGCCATCGCAATGACGATCTTTGACGTCGGACCCCACCACGAGGGTTTAAGACGATGAAGATGCCCGGGGTTTCTCAACTCCCCGCTCGTCGCCCATTGACATCCCGGCGACTCGATCCGCGTCATCAGCGCCGTTCATTCGTCGCGAAACAGGGCTGAAGGTCACGGATCATAGCGTCCGAGTCCCCACATTTAATGACCTTGGCCGATCCCCATCGATCCGAATCAGTTCCTACGCAGAGGTCTGCGTTCTTCGTTGGTTGTCATCGTCGTCTTCGCAACCATTCCCGTCGAGGGGTCATTTTAGCGTCTGGGGCTCCTGCTGGGATTCCTTTTTTTGGTTTCCATCGCACTTGCAGATATATATCAAAATCTCTCCGCTACTCTATCTATGGTCCTCCTGCCACCAAGCCCGTGGCACAGGAAGGTTGCAAATACGCCGGGCATCAGCTTATCCGCGCTGGCGTTCAGCTTTATCTCCGAGCGTTGCGCAACATCAGCCAGCCGCTAGTTGTGCTGCATTATGCTCGCTGAAATTCGGGTGCCCAGGCACATGAGGAGTCCTGGTGACGATGGCTATCGGACGCCAACCATAGAGGATGCGGAGCACTCTCTCGCGGCTGTGGGTGTCGCGGATAGTCCTAATCCGGGCAGCCATGCCCGCCAAGTCCACACTTCTGCTTTAGAAGCCGCTCTGCAAAAAGTCTCGTCGCGGACGACGGAAAAACCTGACAACCATAAGGCAAATGGTCCTTGTCTGGGCCATGATGGCGCGCCTTTAACCCGGCGACTTACTGATGCGTCAGCGTCCAGTCTCAGCTGGAGGAAGCGAATTCGCCATGCCACTTGGGCATACTTTACTTTGACTATGGCTACCGGGGGATTGGCGAATGTTTTATATGAAGGTAAGGCCAATCTTTCCTACTATCTGGCCCGTACGTCTGTGTATTAATATGGAGAAGTTCCCTATCGCTTCCGGGGATTAGACACGATTGGAACCGTCGTATTCTTGATCAATATTGCCCTCTACATCTTCATCTGGGGGCTTTTGCTGGCTAGATTTTATTACTACCCTTACACGTTCAAGGCGTCGTTTATGCATCCTACCGAGTCCTTGTTTGTTCCTGCATGTGTCGTCTCGTTCGGCACCATCCTAATCAACATCTCCCAATATGGCCCTGGGAATACTGGGCCGTGGTTGATGGAGGCCGTGGGTATATTGTTTTGGATTGACGCTGCCCTTGCCGTGCTTTTCACCGCTGGCATCTACCTCGTCCTGTAAGATACAAATCTATCTGTTACTTTCGAACCCCTGACACTGACAGCCCTCAGGTGGTCCACGCAGACTTTTACGATCGCCCAAATGACCCCAATTTGGATATTCCCTGCTTATCCTATGCTCATTATTGGTCCTCACGCTGGTATTTTGAGTGCGAAGCTTGAGCCAGCTCGCTGCCTGCGCATCATAATCGGAGGAACGACCATTCAAGGGGTTGGCTTTTTGGTCTCGCTGATGGTCTACTCGGCCTTTATCTATCGGCTCATGACCCAAAAGCTCCCCAGAGAAAACCTCCGGCCAGGAATGTTCGTCTCCGTGGGTCCCAGTGGCTTCACTGTTGCTGGAATTGTGAACATGGCGTCTTCAGCGAAGCGCTCCTTCCCGCCAGACTTCATGGGTAATGGCGCACTGGCCGCTGATGTATTGAGGGTGGTGGTCGACTTTGCTGCTTTGTGGCTGTGGGGGTATGACATTCCTTGGCTTATTTGTGTATTTGCTAGTGCCGGCACTAACTTCTTGATAGACTAGCAATCTTCTTCTTTATCATCGCAAGTGCGGCCCACTTGTCTGCCATTGGACCAGGCCGAATGGTCTTCTCGATGACCTGGTTCTCCTTCGTGTTCCCCAACACTGCTCTGATCACTGCCACTTTCGCTATCGGGAAGGCATTCTCTTGCAAGGCTATCAACATTATTGGATGTGCGGCGATTCTTCCACTGCTTCTCATGTACTTTTTTGTTTGTTACATGATGATTCGGGCTGTTGTCACGCACCAGATTCTGTGGCCTCAGAAAGGTGAAGATAGAGACGAGGGTGGCTTTGAAATCCAGCTGATCAAAGCTGACGCGGAGATCTCTGATGAGACTATAGCTGCGGCTGTCTAACGACTGGGATTCTGGTCTGAAGTGCCGTTCACCTTTGCATTGCTTGCATGGTCGTATACCCCTGTGTTGCTCTATGGATAGATTATCTACGGAAATATTTGTGCAGCTAGCGTAAAATGGAATATAAGATACCCACAATGGCTTTCTATGGTCTACCCAGGCGGCCTGCTAGACGGCAATGCAAATTGAGATGTTTTGTGTAAATCATCTGGCCTAGGCAGTGTAGTGCCTTGATACTGAAGACTACTAGAATTTGACATTCCGAAAGATATCCCCGACGTCAAGCCCCATGTTTCATTAACCACTTTTCTTTTTTTTAAAAATAATGACTTGCGTAACACCCCAATCCCTTGAGTAGTCTCAACTTGTCCATACTCTGCACACTGTGATATCATCATCAACGGTTCAGATTCATTGCCTTGCCCAGATCTTCCCCAAGCAGACCAACCTCAATCTTGCCACCGCGAGAGGTTTTTCGCTTTTTGTTCTGCTCGGCTGCGACTGCATCGCTCTGCAGTTGAGCAATCTTGCGCTTGATCTTGACGACTGCGTTCTTCACTCTGAACGCTTGCTCTGTGATATGGCCGTATGATTCCTCCGTCCATACATTCTTCCAAACCGGAATAGACCCATGCCTGTCCTTCTCATTTTCATCCCACGCGAACTTGCGAGCATTGACAAGGTTGGAGATCCCGAAGCTGTCCTTCAGCATGAAGTAGTTTCCGCCAAGAAAAATGTCATTGACGGTCTTTAGCTCCCACTCGCGGCGTTTGGTGCGCCAGTGTGTTGCCTGCAGCCTGAAGGTGCATAATTGTAGGATGAATATCATATGCCATTCCTCCAGTAACGCCAGGGTGATCTCAAGACGCTTCGGTTCGTCGCTAGAATCGGCGTTTAGTTGCACTTGGTGATGATCAACACGTGTTTCTTCCGCTGTGAACTCGTAGAAAGGTTCGAAAGTCTTTGGGCAAAGATGAACATTCTGCCCAATCGTCGGAGTCGGGGGGTGGACAACAAGAACGAAGGGAGGAACAGGCCCAGCCGTACTAGACTGAATGATAGCATTCTGTCCTCTTTCAGGCCGTTCAATGCTTGGGTTTCGGTTGATTCCCTGCTCGCAAGCGTGAGAGTCCTTCATCTTGCCGACTAGATACGTAGGCAACGGAACTTTCTTCCAGAGTGGCAGATCGGGTTCAAAGGGGTCTAGTCGAAAGACTTGTCCACCCGGATGAAATGGGGCCGCACGATCTAGTCTGATCCCGCAGTCGTTGGGCAGGAGCTGAATAGTTCCATCAGGGACAAATTCTGCCTGCCCAATTGTTTGCTGCTGCAGTGCGTCACGAAGGGGCTCGTTGGCGCCCAACAAGGCTTCCGGCTGGTTCTGGTACTGCTCGAGCTGGCTCCGTTTGAATCCATCAGTGTCTGTTGGCATAGAGCTTCTAATCCTTCCCAGACTCCCCATAATCCCCATGGCCATGATGCGGTCCGTATTGTCGGTTGAATAGGGCTTCTAACGTGGCCGGTTATGAGGATATGACCGTAGGGAGGCACGAAGAGGAACACTGGGATGAATAGTGAGCCACCTAGCTCTCGCAATCAATCGATGAGGCTCACGGAAATCCAGAAGATATCTTGGCGATAGCTGAGATGCGTAAACGAAGAATAAAGTGAGACGAGAGACTCCTGCAATCTTCGTTTACTGACGAGGGGCCATCGTTTACTTTGGAGATGAGGGCCACTTCAAATTCCAAGTACCCCAGAATTGGAGAGAAGTGTTATGTGTCGCGCCAATCGCCAGATTTTATTCCTTGTATATGGCTCCGTGCCCAGAAAGTACAGCTGGATAAAAACCTAATACCTCCGACGTGGCGCAAATGTGTAGATCCGTGAGACTATTTTGGAAGATTTTGATTGAATCCAGTATAGTAAATCGAGCATAATTGCAAAAGAAGTTAGCACTGAATTATTCGATATTAGAATGAGATATACTGGAGAAAACAATGTTGAGCTGATTCCATTCAAGAAATTGTCGGAATTTCACACGAGAGGGGCTTTCTGGCACCCCAGCCTATTCATTCGGGTTCTTTTTAAATGAAGAGGTAAAGAAGGAAAGAGGAAGAAACCTGACTGTAAGTGGGCATTTTGGCTAAAGAAAGGGTGAAGCTTGCATGACTGAAAATCGTGAAGACCGTCACGGACAGTGACTGGGCTTGGTTTCCTGCCATCATGCGATTTTGGCTGCTTCAATTCCTTGCCTTATGTCTGCATCCAAAGATTCTGCATCTTTTTATTCTCTAGTAAGGAAAGCTAGCGGGGGTCTAGAAGATCCAGCAAATTACTCAAAATGGCAGAAAGTTAGCTAGATCCTTGGTGTGGGGCTGCAGAAATTTATAGATAGATAGAAAGATAGAAAACTTAGATAGATTATGAGATTAGATATATATAAGATTCCAGAGCAGGTACTATGGAGTGCATTTGAGGCGATAGTGAGCAGAGATTTCACAACTAAGCCTCCTGTACGGGTGAATACCAAAAGCCAGTCGCATGATTGAAAAATGCTATTTTGGTTCGAGTTAACTACAGAGCAGACGTGGACTAGCGTGACTATTGTGTCATCTCATCTAGTTCTCCATGGCTGTAGATTAGTTTACGCGTAGCCTCCGGACCTTGGATCGGGCAAAGATGTTTCTAGCCATGGTGAAGTTGATCTAGAGACCATCCACGTATTTCTGGGGTCAGACCCTATGGATGGGACAGCTACAGTGCGCATTTTCCTTATTAGTTCCGCTAGCTTGCAAAGGCAAAGGGCAAACCTCTATACTTTAAGCGCTAGAAATTTGAGCTGCGGAAATGTGCTCGAACCCTTGCGAAGCTGCCAGGGTTGTGAGTGGACCTAACGCCATTTTCGATCTCGTGTTATATTTCTCGGCCGACAAGTGCGTGCCCCAGACGTAATCAAAAGAGGGTGATGTTGGATTGATCAAATAGTCAGGGAAGAGATTCTCAGTCCGGGCGTGGGCTTGAAGGTGTCTGCCGGCCCCGTCGCCATGCAGATTGAAGGCCGATCATCATCTCAAAATTCAGCTAACTACATGTGCTCCTACCATCGATATTGGGCAGTACATCCAATCATAAATCTTGCTTAGGCTCTGGAATTCTTACTCCTGAAAGGCTGTGGCTCATTCTGCCAAAGTAGTGTTTAGACTGGAACCTTAATCTTTCTGTGGAATAATGAGCAATTAGCACCATGCGTCAATCGGCCGAGAGGAAGTGCATGATCTGACATTAGTACTAACACGTGTGAAAGCACAACTTCGCGTCTTAGATTGGCTCGCCATGCTCCTTTTCCGTGGTCGCGATGAGCACATCATATGGGGCTTAATTGTGCCATGCGGCGTCCCCCACTCGGCATGCGCACAGAAGAACCTACCGATACTAAACCAAGAATGATCTTCTGAAAATAATTCATGTTTTAATTGCAAGGGGATGCCGAGACCGTCCGTGTAGATCACTTGAAGATGCTGTTCCGTATGCTGCTGAAAGATCCTCTCGCCATCTGAACTGGCGATGATGCGATGACAATAACCATATATGATGCACTGAACTCTCTATAGCAAAGTCATGGCTCGTTACGATATCAAATCCATACAACTGAGCCCAGCCTCTCTTCCTCAATCATTATTAGGCCCAGTCACAAATAATGGCTTCTACCAAATCCCAAGACGCCGTGACTGGCAGCCAAAAAGGCGGAGAACTTGTGGACATTGAGAGACAGGGGACTCATGTCCCACTGGCGACAGAAGCGCCAAAATCCCTCGGTGCAGGAGTATGCACCTATTTTTCCTAACTAAGGGGATCATTTACTGATATCGACTGCAGTCTGCACTGGCCCTCGGCGCATTCGGAACAACTTTGACGACCCTTTCGCTGAGCTTGATGGAGTGGCGCGGTGTTACGACAACCAATGTATTTGTCGCAAACTTCTTTTTCATCGCTGCCTTTGGCCTGGTAGTCACTGCGCAGTGGGAGCTCTCGATCGGAAATGGTTTTGCCTACACGGTTTTCAGCGCGTTCGGTGAGACTTAGCTTCAACTGACTCATCACGAAGACCCCAAAGCAAGGACTAATTGCGTACACAGGTCTTTTCTATGCAGGATACGGTGCCTTGTTGACTCCAGCATTTGGTGTCGCCCAGGCATATGGCGATGACACAGCCCAGTACAACAACGCAGTTGGTTTCTTTATGATATTATGGACTGTTTTCGTGTTCACTTTTCTCATTGCGTCACTCCCAAGCAACATCGCGTATATCCTTGTCTTCTTCTTTGTGGACCTCGGATTCCTCACAGTTGCGGCAAGCTACTTTGCTGAAGCAGATGGCCACGTTGACGCTGCTGTCGCACTGAAGAAATCGGGCGGAGTGTTTTGTTTCCTTGCGGGTCTGATCGGATGGTACATTGTTTTTCACCTTCTTTTGCTGGACTCACTACTCTATCTACCATTGGGTGATACGTCGCGATACTTTGGAAAAAAGAAGAAGGGCGAGTAAAGTAGGGGATTGGTTCTAGATCCGTATCTAGGGTGTAAGGATAGCCAAGAGGGTGCGACAAGAGTAGCTAGGAGACACGGACTGTTGCGCGATAGCCTTAATTATATTGTGATAGTCCTTTCTCTTACCCCAAACACTATGTTCGAAATTTTCCATATGAGCTAGGCGACATAAATTGCTAATTGTCCGTCAGCCGCCGTGGGGTCTCGGCGGGGGGCGTCGATCTCTCTCCCTACAAGATGCAGATAACGACATATTCTACATCATTGACGAAATTGATACAGCCCCGAATCTTCATCTTGGGTTGGCGAATATGGTGAGCATCCCATCGCATCATTCTAAGCGAGCAGCATGTCATCTGCGAACTGTCTGTCTGGGGCGATGACTAGATATACTGGCTTTTTCCCTGCATTTAATCAAACCAAAGTTCATGTTCAAGGCTGATTTACTTTACCTTTCTACTCCATTACCCTAACTGAATATGGCGCAAGTTACTGTCCCCGCGACAGACCCCGCCGTCTATTCCCAGTACCAGGCCAAATGGTCAGCTCTCCCTGACACCGCCGACGCATGGTTGGCGAGGGCACGCGAAGTAGCCGAGGTGCTTGCACAGGATGCAGCACAAAGAGACCAAGAGAACAAGTCTCCTCGTGCAGAAGTTGCGCTTCTCAAGCACTCAGGCCTACTGAAGCTTCTAGCACCCAAGAAATATGGCGGAGGAGAGCAGCCCTGGAGTGTCGGGTATAAAGTCATTCGGGAGGTTGCGAAGGCAGACGGGTAAGTGATACATCGTATGCTTAAATTTCCACTTTATGCATGTTTTGACGTCTCAACTCTCCATAGCTCCATTGGTATGCTGCTCGGCTACCACCTCCTTTGGTCAACCACAGCAAATGTTGTTGGCACCCCTGAACAGGCCGAGCGCACCCAGGAATTGATCGTCGCGAACAACTATTTCGTGGGTGGTGCCGTTAACCCTCGCGACAACGATCTTAAGATCACCTCAGACGGTGACTATGTTGTCTTTAATGGTTCCAAGCACTTCAATACCGGTGGTGTTGTTTCCGATCTCACTGTCTTGGAGGGCGTTCTGGAAGGAACAGAGGGTCATATTTTTGCGCTGGTTCCAACTCGACAGACTGGCATCCAGTTTGCCCACAACTGGCACAATATTGGACTGCGCCTGACGGAATCAGGTGGCGTGAAGATTGAAAACGTTCGCGTGCCGTGGACTGATGCACTGGGCTGGGATGAGTCCAGCAAGAAGCCTCGCGAGGATATACTTTTAATTCCCTTTGCCAGCTTGCTTCTGCCAACGTGGGTTTACCCGTGATAATCCCGTTCCTTGAGACCAGCTTGCTAACTGCTCCATTTTCCAATTAGTATTCAACTCGTCTTCAGCAACTTTTACCTGGGCATTGCCATTGGCGCCTTGACGTTCGCATCGGAGTATACTACAGCCTCAACCCGCGCCTGGCCCTTTGGGGGGGACAACAAGGAGTCTGCGACAGATGAGTTCTACATTCTCGAGCGCTACGGCAACTTTTTCGCGCATCTCCGGGCTACTGAAGCTCTTGCCGATCGTGCTGCCGACCAAATCACCGCACTGTATAGTCGGTACTCTGGCGACCGGTCAGCTCTCACTGTGGATGAGCGAGGCGAAGTTGCCGAGTGGGTTGCCAGCGTCAAGGTGGTCACCACCGACGTCGGGCTCCGAGTTACATCGGGGATCTTCGAAGTCACCGGGGCTCGGGCCACTGCATTGAAGGTCGGCCTTGATAGGTTCTGGAGAGACCTCCGGACGCACACTCTCCATGACCCGGTGGCGTATAAGAACCGAGAACTTGGGCGGTATGTGCTCCTACACGAGTACCCCGCGCAGACGTGGTACACGTAGACTGCGGGGAAGTCGGAGCAGAGGGCCCTGACGGCAATATTAGCGATGAGAGGTTGAGATATTCAGATAATGAGGCGAACATGATATTTTGTTTCTTATACTTTCCTTATACTTCCAAGTAGCAGGGTCCGTACAAGGAGGGGTAATCGGGGAAATGTCAAGCCCCCGCGGAGATAAGCCCCTTCACGCCCACGCCCACGCCCACGCGCGATAACCGTGCCGATCCGAAATTTTCTTTTGCCGTATTTTCTGTGGGCTCTTTCATTTCCTGCCTAGCTTCGAAGCGCTGTGACTGTCTCCGGACTCTTTTTTGCTAAATCGCCGGGCTGCATTTTATCTTTTCTATCTGTCATCCTTCGAGCCACATTCTCTTTCCTGTTCCCTTTTCAAACCGCCAAAATGACGCAGAAGTTCTATGTCACCTACAACCAGGTAGGCCGGAATCTTCGCCACTTTGTGTCGATCCATAATCACGTCAACCAGTAGCTGGATTCGCTGCTACAAGGGGTTTTCGTGATGCAGATTGGCTCAGAGGGTCTCCAGAGGCTGGGAAGAAGGGCTAATCAGACTGGGATGTAGGTCCACAAGCTGTGCCAGCAGTCGGCCGACGCCATCCTCAAGGAATTCCACCCAAATCTGATGATCGCCATTGGAGGTGGTGGCTACGTCCCTGCTCGCATTCTCCGGTATGTCTCCATTCATCCTAAGTCGCGCGCATGCGACTCGTGGGCAAAGAAGCGCATGGTTCTAATGCATGATCTTCTCCGATAGATCCTTCCTCAAGATGCCCGGTGACCCCAACATCCCCATCCAGGCCATCGGTCTCTCCCTCTATGAGGACCTCGGCCGTGGTGATGCAGAGGAAGTCCCTGGCACCAAGGTCACTCGCACCCAATGGCTCGACCTGAGCTCGCTCGAGATGTCCAACCTGATCGGCAAGAACATCTTGATCGTCGATGAGGTCGATGACACCCGGACGACCCTGGAGTACGCCGTGCGCGAGCTGGAGAAGGATGTGCAGGAGGCGCAGAAGCAGCTTGGTCGTGAGGCAGAGAAGACCAACTTCTTCATCTACGTTCTGCACGTACGTATTCAAGTTCTCGCTTTTTTTTTTTTGTCTCCTGTCCACTTTTCTATCAAATCATTAGATTTGCATACTAATTGCTGCTTCTTGAACAGAACAAGAACAAGCCCAAGAAGGGTGTCCTGCCCGCTGACATGATGGAGAGCGGTCGCTACCATGCCTCCGTCACCACCGAGGATGTGTGGATCTGCTATCCTTGGGAGGCTAAGTACGTTTTTCCATGCGCATTTTATCATACACTTGCAATCATCCGGAAACTAACAGGTGACTAGGGATATTGATGAGCACGATGCTCTGGCCAAGGAGAACCCGCTTCTCTAAGAAGCTCATTATTGCATCGGCGAACAGCATTCCATTCTGCGCGGCGCTTTGATACTGTTGGTGGCTTTTTGGTGCCTCGGTTTGGCTACCTTGCCCCTTCCCGGCGTGGAAGTAGACCCGGGCATGTTAATTTTACGATATCATATGAATCTAGAAAGGTTATTTCCTTAACCCGTACCCCCGACACCATACATCGAATCTACCTGGCCGGGTGGGAGATCTGCATGAGACGCGCTCCCAGGAAGAGATCGAATATTGGAGGGTATCAAACGGATGTTTATTGGTGGCGATTAAGAGCAATTAAGAAAGCACCGTGTTTTATTATGCTCTGGTGCGGCTCTCCCCCTTCATGCGTAGCCGGGCTCCTGCATCCAAGTTTCAAGTTCCAAGTTCCAAAGGCAGGCCCTGGAGGTGGCCCACACCTCAAGTTTCGCCCTCCACGCTGCATAATGTATTCCGGATTTAGTCCACCTCGACCTTGCCCTGGCGCAGTTCGACCTTGGCCAGCTCGATCTCCTTCTGCAGCTCCGCGTGAGCCTCCGGGACGTCGTTGAAGGTGAAGATTGCGACGCCGAGCCGGCCGAGGAGGTAGCAGCCGAAAACGATAAGTGCGTAGAAGGGGAGCTATTGGGTGGGAAATGGGGTCAGTCTCGGTTGCTAGTGGTTTGGTGTCGAGTGGAGGTTGTCGCGACGTACCACGGGTATGACTTCGGTCTGGACAGTCTCGTTCAGGGGGACGAGGCCAAGGTAGAGGGAAAGATAAAGCTGGAAGTTATATCAGCGAATCATTCGTTGAATATCTCCCCGTTTCTTGAAGGACGCCCTAGACATTCGACATACGGAGGACACGAGGAGGAGGACGGAGAGGGTTTGCTGAGCGCGCGTCATGGTGAAGGCAGGGAGAGAGAGAATTGATAAATTAGAGGATGGCAAGGAAATAAGCGACTAGATCACCTAGTGGTCAGATACCAGATCCAATTGACCGCAAAGAATAAAGGAGAGACAGGGTCGATGGTTGACGAGTTGACGGGGAGGCCAGCTTGAGCGATGCTTGGCAAGGCGGAAGTGCCCTGGCCCGCCACAACTCGTTCAGTCGACAGGCTGGACTATACCCATTGTACAACAAACAAATCCCCTGAACTGTCAGGTATTACTTCATAATTAATTAAAACCCATCAAGTGCAATATGAGCAGTGTATCAGATTCGCCCCTCGTCCATGTATATCAACTCTGTTCATTCCATTTGCTCTCGGTCCTTTCTCCACTCGTTAACCAGACCTTACCGAAACAGGGTTGCTGCCTGAATCCACCTCAGGCAGCACTCGTGCGATTGGCACGCTTCCACCAAGCGTCCTTTCGTCCTTCGAGTCCCTCGTGAACATCTCTAGGCCCGCCAGCGCAACTGGATGACTCAATGCCGCATTAGCGTCCTTGCTACGGCCCCAGCTTTCATCGCCTAGGCTTCTGTCCTCTCTTGGAGGGTGTATCTACCCGTTTGGGAAAGGAGCCCCAAACTCCACTTTCTTTCAGATTACACAGTCGAAGGCAGCCATCGCCACTTTCGACACCAAAGACAATAGTTATGGCTTCTACAAGTGGTATATCTACTTCCAATGTAGCCGGGACAGAGGCTGCTCGCCAGCCTTGTGTCCCAGCTACCAGCTTTGATTTGCCTTCGGTGCAACAAATGTTCACGGAATTGCCTGGATCATCTCCGTCTTTGACAACCCAAGGGACAGAGAGGCTCGATCTCGAAGCCCAAGAGAAGATGTTTCGTGTCTTAAAAACCGTGATTGAGAAAGCCGACGGCGCGGCCGAGGCTGGGAACGCCTTTGATCTCAAGGAACTCCATGCATCTTTGGAACAAGCTGATGCTGATGCACGGCGCGGTCGACGAGACCCCGAGTCCTTGAAGGTTGTGCTGAAAGCTCTTGAGCAGCTTTGGGTCAGCAACTCTGAGTTTCTGGTCCAAGCCGCTGAGGTTTTGGCTAACGGGAGTCGAGACCGTGGGTTTCTCTTGCTGAATCTTTTCCATAAACGCAGACTAACAGAAATTACAAGCGTCGTGGCGTGGTCCGATTGGAAATTCTGGGGTTCTGAAGTTCTTTCTAGAAGTCATCTCATCGAAGAACAACGTAGATGCCAAATTGCTTCTTCATTCTTTGCGTTTGGTTGGCAATTCTTGCGCCGACACGGGTATGTTGGAATGATTGATTCCTAGTCTTCAATGCATTGGTCGATACTGATAACCTAGCAGATGAGAACAGGGAGATCGTTGTAGACGGCAACTACACCCTTGCGATCATCAGGCATTTCCTCAATCCTGAATTGATCCATGTCGCGATTCCAGTGATTTACAATATTTGCATGGACTACGGTGAGGACTTCTTTTTACACCGAAAAACATAGAGGATTTACTGATAAAGTCCCAGAGCCCGCACATGTCCAAATGGCGGAAAATAGAACGGCATACATCATCTTGAAACTTCTCAAGGAGGGTGCTATCAAGGACAACAGTGCTCTTCTCAGCTTCTCTTATGACCTGGTGGAGCTGGCCTCGGAGCAAGGTAAGTCAAGTAAAATAAAGACTTCATGTTGATATGGGTTAACAAGAACCCTTAATAGCGCAAGGCATTGAGAATTCTCCTGATGGAACAATCTGGCTTCTCACAGAGCTCGCCCTGGCCGAAGAAACCGAGTTTGAACACTACTCATCCCTGGTGAATAGTCTTTCTATGTACTTGGAAAAGGAGCGATTCCAGAATGCCTGTATCTCAAACAACATGGTCGAGGGCCTATTGTCTGTTCTCCGCCGGTCCTTCTCTATCGAAATCGATCAGTCCTCTAAAGAAGAGGTCCAAACCCTTGCTCAGGTCCGGCTCAAGACCAACCAGGCTCTGGCAGAGGTTTCAGCTTCGTCCTTATTTGCCGAAAACTACCCGCTTGACTCTGCCCTTTCGCGGACATTAAAATCATGGATTATTGCCGATGAAGATCAGCTTCAGATCTGCGCGTGTGTCATGCTCGGCAACCTGGCCCGATCTGACGAGGTCTGCCAGGTGATGGTGCGGGATCTGAAGATTCACGAAGAGTTGATCTCTGTCCTTAAGAGTGACTCCCGTGGCGCAGTCCTCCACTCTGCTCTCGGATTCTTGAAGAACCTCGCAATTGCTGGCGACAACCGCATTAGCCTTGCGGAGGCCGGGATTATCCCTGCTGTGTCTCGCTTGTGGGCATTTGACTCTGTTCCACAGGTCCAGTTCTCTGCCGCTACTATCGCTCGTCAGGTGATCATTTCTTCCATGGACAATATCTTGCGTCTGTTGGCTCCGCTCTCGGAGGACCCGGATTCTCCCGCTCATAATCGGACATATCTTTCTCTGCTTTTGTGTCTCTTTGAGAAGACTGACTCTGCGCCAATTAAAACTGAGATTGGACGCACTGTTGCTTCTATTTGCCGAACTGTCTCTCCCAAGGCACGTGATGGAGATGAGGAAGCAGCCTCCTTGTTGGAAAAACTTTACACCCTTCACGAGGGAGTTGCTCGTCCGGTTGGTACGATGATCACTCAGTCCCAATGGCCTGTTGTTCGGAGTGAGGGATGGTTTGCTTTGGCTCTGATGGCAAACAACAAGTTAGGCTGCACAGCCGTAGTGGACTGCTTGCACAACGAGGAAGTAATGGGGCTACTTAAGCAGACTCTTGGTGGAGAGGCTTCTAGTTCGGATGACTCTGCGGAAACGAACATTTCCCAGGTGGCCAAAGATTGCGATAATGCTTTTGTCCTGGTACAAGAGCTTTTGAAGAACGAGGTAAGTACTCTTGTACTTCAATACGCCAATTGTCTAAACTAATTGCGTCTCAGTGCGGTGCACTCCCAGCAGGTTATCGGGGCGCAATAGAGGATTTGGTCAATGATAATGCTTTGCGTAATTTGAAGGGTACGCAGAGGGCATGAAGATCAAATGTGAGCAAGTATGGTCACGCGAATCACGACATGACATCATGAGACTGTAACCGATTTCACTGAGATACTTTGAGATTAAATACATTTCATAACGTATAGAGGGCTGCTTTAAGCAAAGAAATGTCAAGAAGAGTACCGAGAGTCTTATCTGCGAGAAGTAATAGTATCGCCAGTCCTTATGGGACATGAGCCATCCAGTATCACAATCTTCAAAGCCTGGGAGTCGGGGTTGATCCAAACGAAACTATATGCCCTGGCCGAAAACCCTTTCCAGTTAGATACAAGCCTTTGTGGCTCCTTTTCAGAAGCACTTGCAATTGGGACTGTGGATTCAGGTAGATTGTTTATCAGAAGCTCCAAGAACTAGCCCCGGCTTGAATTTTGGGCTTGTCAATAGGGTGTTTCCATATGCTCTGAATCTATATGTATGCATATATACTTATTAACCAAGTTTCAACCCAAACAGTCTTCCACCTCAAGCTCCCAAATTCTTTCACGAGGTTTGTCGACAAACTTTCTCCCGCGCGTACGCGCGATAGCGCTCTAAAAGATCAGTTGCATCCAACCCATCAGCACCCAATTGAGCCGAGTAATGCGAGACCAGACCCTTGCCATCAATCGTCACATGTGGGCGAGAACCATCTGGCGCAGTCCATGACTTAGATAGCTCTTCATTCGATTTATGTCCGAAAATTTCCCGCAAGGTTTCGGCGTCCTTCCCCCAGAAACATCCAAAAAAGCTGCTGGGGGGCTCCGTCGGGTCCACCCACAACGGAAACTTATATTTGCTCAACGTATTTGATTCAAGGTGATCGAGGAATGAATAGTGCTGCTGTGCACTAACAGTCCAATCCTGCAAACCTGGGCCTGTTTCTGTATAAAACGAAGACGCAATGGGGTCTCGATCCGAGCCCGCGCCGGCTGGTAGTAGCCATCGATGACCTTGGAAAGGCGGCTTGAATCCCTTTTGAACTTTGAAACTGGCGGGTCCCTTCCACCGTGGAAGGCTTGTGGCCCTCCAGTCATGGCTTAGTTGCGACTTGGACCGAGACGGTTGCTCCACATGGTGCAGCTCTGGGAGATACGGCAGGGCAACACCTGGATGGCTGTGGAGAGAAGAAAGTGTGCCTTCGTTGACAACATTAGCCGACACCATAGTTGTGCCTGGATTATCCAGTTTCGTTTTAACAATCGTGGGGATAGTGTGGTCTTCCAAGAAGACGACATCTCCGTCGATGCGGATGTACATGACATCGTTCTGGGTGAATTTCCAATCCATGTCGTGTCCAGGAAAAGAAATAGCGTATTCGGGGGTCTGCTGCACTAAAGACTGGAGCCACTGGAGGCTGACTGCGTCTTGTGTTTGGGGAACGAAGATAACTTGATCCAGGAAACCATGATTATGGGCCAGATTTTTCTAGGAGCTTGTTAGACCCGATTATCACCAATCAGACGACCTTCAACTCACCTGCAAGTAGCAGTCCAGAATCGCGGTGCGCTCATGGTAGTTGAAAGGGACAAGAGCGACTATCTTGAATCCGTGCGGCTTCGGAAAATGTCCCGAGCCCGGCGAGAATGCAAAGAGCGGCGAAATGCTCTTATTGAATAACAATGAGGTCGGATCAATTGGTAATAGCGACGGATTATAATAGCCGATGACTGTCAGGATGATGCACAGATAGCCCAGCACACTCCATGCCAACACGGTTACCCAATCACGCCAGGTACAAAGCTCCTCCTCTTCGTCGCAGTTAGCCTCGACGTCGTCCAGGTTCTGTGGGCGGCCCATGATGAAGAAGCCAGGCGCAAGCTAGCGGTCTCCAAATTGATTAAGAAGAGGAGCTTCATCATAAAGTTCCGGGTCCCCTGGTCCATTTAATTGCTACGCAAGATCCTGGCCCGTTGAATCGCTCCGTGGGCTCTCTGTCCCGTTTTCGGGCTATCAAGGGCCCTCGACGGTGTACGAATCCGCTGCAAATAATCAAGATCGACAGAGGGACCCCGGTTTTCTCTGTGGTCGAGTGCTCGCTGGCTACTTCCGGAATAGGCCAGGCTTGAGTAGGAGGAAAACGGACGAAGCGACGATCGAGGAATGCGCCCTGGAATGTGGAGACTCTAGGCTTTGCGGCTACCAGGTTGTGCTGAAGGATCCTCCCGCTTCTCATTGTGCGTTCCTGGAATTGTATGAAACAATTTGATTTGGGCCATTCGATTTGATATTAGCAGCCGAGGGTTGTATAGTTTCCGAGGGGGAACTTTTGCGTGGTCTTTATATACTTCGCTCGCAATAATTATCTAGTTCACAATTTGTACGTGCCAAATACAATACTACCCTGATATTTCTTATTAAGTGATGAAAAAATGGGTTTGATCTACTTTCGCTCAACTCACATCAGTTTCCACCGATTCTTTTTTATGTGGATGTGATTATACACACAATGTGGTGGTTCCTCGGCCCGTAGAACCTGGTCACGATGACGTCGCGACACGTGCCGGTTATCGACCTGTTATCGCTCGCCGCTCACCTTCTTCCTCCATGAACCACGACTGACCATGAGGGCCGTCCTTCTTGGCCGGCTCTGCTTGGGACGCGGCTTTTCGCGCCTTCCGCGACATGCCTTTACTCCATCATGGCGACTGCCTGTCAAGCGCATCCCGAGACGAGGGCCGATCATCGGCGGGGTGGTGATGGCCGCCCTCGCACCCGGCGCATTTCTCAGGCTCGCGGAGGACTCGAATGGTGACGAGAAGACGGGTGAGATGCAGATGCTGGAGGCTTCGCGCGAGGAGGTCCGCAAGATGGTTCCAAAGGATGCGCGAGGTCTTTCGAGGCTCTGTCAATCACTCTGCGTCTTCTGGTACTTCTACGTCTACGATCCCATTGCGACTGGATTTCGTTTCTTGCACCTTGCTGTCATCTTCATACCTGTGGTCATTACTGTACCAGTAATATGGATCGGACAAAAAGTTGGGAGCCACAATAACGCGCAGACTGGCACGCTCTGGTGGTATCGGTTCCTGGTGAAGGCTATGGAGCGCGCAGGTCCTGCTTTTATCAAAGTAGGTTATTTGCAACTAGCTTACCACCAGAACTTTTCCACGGCGGACTGACTAACTGGATGTTACTATGAATAGCTTGGACAATGGGCTGCATCGCGCACCGATATCTTCCCTCCTGAAATGTGCACCATCATGTCTTCACTCCACTCGCACGCCCCGGCCCACTCACTCGAAGATACGAAACGAACCATCCGGAAAGCTTTTAACGGCATGCCCTTCGAGGACATTTTTGAAGAATTCCAGGAGGAACCTCTCGGAGTTGGAGCCATCGCCCAGGTATACAAGGCAAAATTGAAACCAAGCTTGGCCTCCAGCAACCCAGAGCTAGGCCAGGAAACCACCACCCTAGGAGAGAAGGTGCGGAAAAATGTGGATGTGCTGGTGAAGAGCTCACCACAGCGAGTACCATCATCCTATGTCGCGATCAAAGTCGTCCACCCTAGAGTCGAGAAGATGATTCATCGGGACTTGCGAATTATGGGATTCGTCGCCTCTGTGATCAACGCCATTCCGACTATGCATTGGCTTTCCTTCCCCGATGAGGTCCACCAGTTTGGTGAGATGATGAAGCTCCAGCTGGATATGCGTATCGAGGCAACCAATCTGGTCATATTCCGCGAGAAGTTCAAGACTCGTTCCACAGCCTGGTTCCCATATCCCTACATGGAGTATACTACTCGCGAGGTGCTTATCGAGGAGTTCGCACAGGGCATTCCGTTGGCAACCTTCCTGGATGTCGGAGGAGGTGTTTTCCAGCATGAGATTGCCAACGAAGGACTGGACGCCTTTTTGCATATGCTCCTGATCGATAACTTTGTGCACGCCGATTTGCATCCAGGAAACATCATGGTTCGCTTCTACAAGCCCAGTGAACTTGACCTGTCTCTCCAGAAGCATTCACGTGCCACAGATGCTCCCACTCGAGCAGAGGTAGACGTGACCGAGGCCGTTTTGGCACGCCTACGCCCGCATCTCGGTAACATTGCGGATTGGGAGTCTGCGCTGGCCACACTCTATCACGAGGGATATCGCCCTCAACTGATCTTCATTGATACGGGTCTCGTCACTCAGCTCAACGATCTCAATCGACGGAACTTCCTAGATCTCTTCCGGGCCATTGCTGAGTTCGATGGTTATCGGGCGGGGCATCTGATGGTTGAGCGTTGTCGCACCCCAGAGGAAGTCATCGATCCTGAAATCTTCGCTTTGAAGATGCAGCACCTCGTTTTGAGCATCAAATCGCGCACATTTGCCCTTGGCAACATCAAAATTGGTGACGTTCTTAGTGAAGTTCTAACGATGGTTCGTAGCCACCACGTTCGATTCGAAGGCGACTTTGTGAACGTCGTCATTTCTTGCCTCCTTCTTGAAGGGATTGGGCGAAGCCTTAATCCCAATCTAGATCTTTTCAAGAGGTCAGTGTTTCTTTTTCTCCCCCAATGCATATGGTTCTCAGGCTGATCGTGTATCCTAGCGCCCTTCCCATTCTCCGGCAGCTCGGCACCGGCTCTACTTTCTTACAGACAGTGCGCTCAGGCGACACCTCGATGCTTCGGGTCTGGGTTGGGCTGGAAGCGCGCGGGTTGCTGCAGGCCAGCATCGAAAGTGTAGAACGGTGTGTCAAATACGACCTGCTGTCGCCGAATATCTAAGGATAGACCTCTTTGTATTATAGACACTCCCTGGACATGATAAATAAATGACATGACATATTTTACAATAACGCAAGGCATTTCACTTCTGGAAATCATGCGAGGCGAATAGGCTCGAGATCGAAGTAAATGCATTCGAAGCTGAACATTAAGCGAAGGGAGCACAGGCAATTCCCAATCCGGCAATGCATCCTCACAACCTCAATATCCTTCCATTATCATCTGCTGGTGTTCATAGTTATTGGTAATGATATACTAAGACATAACTGTTATAAGACAGGGAAGAAGAAAAAGAACATGGAAGGCCATAAATAAATAACCCACAGAACGCCAATGCCATGTCTATAAATTTACAAATGGGAGTGGAGAAGCATCAAACTTCCAAGCCGAGGGAGACGTTCATGGGTGGCCGTGGCCAGGTTCACGGGCAGCACCACCACTGGCTTTCCACCAAACATCACCTCCCCATCTCATCAGTCGTTCAACGGCGGCGGTAGGGGAGTCCAGGGCAGGACGAATGTCAAGGTAGAAGACGGGCTCGCCATTCGGTTCCGGGTCCCCGGAGTAGTAGTCGATCACGTAGCGGACCTGCTTCGGGCCAGAAGGTGTTTGACGCTGAACGAACCAGTCGTGTCGGTCGAAGGGCGGGGCGGTTCTGGAGGAAGAGTTAGCACGTCCCTTCGGAAAGGCTGGCGCGTCTTGTACATACTCAAATTTGGCCGGGTACACCCATCCAAGGGCCTGGAAGATGCGGGCCTTGGGGGTCAGCTCCGTGGGCCGACCCTGGAACCTGATCAGACGAGGCTCAGTGGTCTCGTCCACAGTGCCCATGATCTCTTCCTTCATCAGCTGGAAGTTCAGGTTCTCTTCGCCTCGCCGACATCGTTCCCATCCTTCCCCGAGACCCTTTGCGAACGTGCGCTCCCAGCCAATGATCTCGTTCCAGGCACCTTCGTTCAGGAAGTTGTGGACTGCAACCATGGACTCCACCGCGTCTTGGGGAGTGTCCGTGTATCCTTTACGCAACATAGCATTGTACATCTGTTGGGCAGAGGGGTATTCCCATTTACCCTCGGCGTCACCTCTTGGGATCGACGAAATCTCTCGGTCAACGGAAAGATCAACGGTCTGTTCTGGCGCACGCTCCTGGGAGATCGAGGCGAACATGTAGTTCAACGGGTTCAGTTTGGACAGGGCGGACGATTTTTGCGGAGCGGCAGGCGCCTGCGGAGCTCCCACGTTCGAGGATTTCGGAGCAACGTAGAAAGGCGAATCTGTGGATCGCATCGGGCAGCTGCTGGGAGATTCGGCACTCTTCGGTGCCGCGGCTGGCGCAGCAGCGGATGCTGAAGTCGACTCATGCATCGGGCATCCGGGCTGTCGATAAGGGTCAGTCGCGAAGCAAAGCTGATGATCATCGTTTCCGCGGGCATACCGGAGGGACACCGCCTGCTGTTGTAGGGTGCGGCACAATAGGCGCCTTTGGCTGCGAATCGGCCCAGAACCAACCCATTTTGAGCAAACTTTTGGAATGTCAGACGTGAACAGGACAAAATCGCATCGCGCGAAAGATCGGGGAAAAATCGCGGAGATGACATAATAGATAGGCACGTGACCCCGTCGGCTTGGCTCTTTACCGTTTTACCGTCCAGATGCATTTGTAATCATATCGATTCGAGAGGTCCAGCTTTAACAATAGCAACGGTATTCCCGCATTGTGCTTGGTCGACTTGGCTAAATGACTGTTGGTTATGATCAGAATGGCGGGCAGGGTGAGAAGAAGTTTGGAGAGATGACAGGCTATGTGGATTGGTGGCTGGAAAATGTTGTGTTGGAAGAAACAACTCCATTCTGATGGGCCTTTCTCGTGATTCATCTATCTCTGCCTTCGTTGATACATATACTTGTTCGCCACTACACAGCGACCGAAATATCCTAAATGGCTGGCATCGCTCGGTATAATCTTGACTTTCATTGACACAGAATATACCGAGGAAGCAAGGGCCATAATTTAGTCGAGTTCAACCATTATTAATAAGGTTACACTCCACCTTTTAAGAAGTACAGAGTTTGACAGGAGATCTTATATAACAAGAAAAGTCCACTTTTCACGATTCATCTGCCGGGATTACAAACCCTGCCATAGTTTCATCCCAGATAGATTTCCAATCCGTGCCATGGATAGCCGGTATAAAAAAGTAATCAGACAGAATCCTTGAGACCTGCTCCCAGTTTTGCCATCCACAAATCATTGCGACGCGGGCTAGCCGCTCCACAAACCAGGGTCTCTCGGGCCGGCCGGATGATCCGTGCGCCCCAATAAACATGGCCCAGGCAAATAGAGCACAATTTTCTTTCGGCATGGTGAGAAGAAGAGAAAGCGGGCAGCCGTTTACGGCAGAGACAAGGTGTTTCGTGATGGCCCGGCCGAGACCTGATGAAGGGGGAGAGACGATTAAAAAGTTGTTGAGAAAGCGAATAGAAGCCACACGCGTCACTGCTTCGATGGGGTGAATGTTCAGGATGAGCTGGGAGGTGTTGGCAGGTCCGCAATTTTCGGGATATATATAACTTAGCAGCTGATGTTCTGCTTCGCAGTTGAGCACTCGGAATAAACGGTGGTCTGTCGGCTGGATGGCCTCAGGATTTGATTGCACAGCGATACCGTAATAAATGACATCCAGTATCATATGCATGATGCGGATCAGTTGGGAGCTCAGCAACATGTTGGAGAAAAACCCGGAGCCAAGTTGGTGAGCTAGCGAGGAAGCGGGCGGCTGGACTCGCTGCTGGATAGCCGGAGGCACTGGCTGAGCATCCCAAGTGAGAGGGAAGACTGGCTTGACCAGCAGGCCAGAAGCGGCTTTGACATCAGTCCTATTGGTATGTGAGCCAAGGCCCTTATTAAATGATCAGCGGTGGATGGATGTACATGATTATCGCAAACCACATCGAAGCGGAGCGGATGCTCTCATCTGTAATCCCACCGCGTAGCTCTACCATGCGTCTGAGACCAGTCAAGTGGATTCGAGCTTCATCAAACAACCCGGCAATTAGCTAGAGAAGATCAGCAATAACAACGTGATATCGTGCAGGAAGAACATACCGAACCAGAGAGGAGATTCACGATGGTGTCAAATGCTTCATCGCTCAGCGATCGTTTAGGGTCGCGCATCTTGGCATTCATTTCTCGAATGGTTTTTGCTTTCATGATACAGTAATCAGGGTCAGTGGCGACCGAGCGACTGGAGTTCAAGACATCAAAGCGATCGACTGAAAGAATGGCCCGATGTGCCGCACACATGCTCATCAGACCGAAGAAGCTGCCAGGATCTGAAAAAGAAGACCGCACCATCAATTCTACCTCTTGGGTCTCTTGACCCTTGAGCTCACCGGGAAAGGTAATCGGTATAAAGACAGATTTCCCTTGTCATTTCCGTTAGCTTCGGGAGGATGAGATGCGGCTTGAGAAAGCCAAACAGAAACAAAAAGCACCTTGAGCGACGCGATCACTTACAGTAGTATACAAGATGTGCAACCATCGAAGGGAGCTCACTGGTCCCCGGCAGCGAACAAAAGGGATCGAGGAACCAAGAATTGGGTAGAGACCGCGGGTTGGGACTCAGTTGGGATACACATGGGTAACCCGCACTCCATCTCGCCGGCCGGCCTTGTCGCTGCTTGGAAGACACAAAACCGTCGCCAGATTCGCTGTCAACGGTAGACGAAGAAGCGGACGAGTGGGAAGCTGCTCGGAGAACCAACGTTCGCCCTTCTGGCTCTTCGACCGCTTTACATTGGGATTTCGCGGTCGCCAGCTGACCCCGGTCCCGGTTGTCGCGCCTGGACGTTCGCTTCAGCCCAGCCAGCCTCTCACGACGGCGCACGTCGCGCATGACATGAGAGCGGATGGCCTTGCGGGCATTGACATCCTTGATTCTCTTGGATGTCAAATCATCGTGGTGATCAATGAAGGTGAATGATGGCCGATCCAGCGGCGCTGCGGACGTCGAGGGTGCATCTGGACCCGGACGTTAGTATAAGCGTGTTCATCAAGGGGCCCCTGTCATCCTCCTTTGAACTGCAAGCACGACCAGTGGGGAGGGGGTAGGGGAAAGGAGGGGAGGGGGGGGGGCCTCGAGCGGGGACTGGATGACTGGTGTGTATTCTCGCACATAAAATGGGTGTGATCCGGATGCACTTCGCCACTGAGCGCCGAGGGAGCTCCAGCCCCCTGGTCTATACGAGCACCACCCAGCGAGCAGAGCACAGATCTTCCAGCGGGGGAGTAGTGGTGGGTCTGGCCCGGACACATGAAAGAATGAGCACAAACCTGAATGGGAAGGTCGAGCACCCGATGCGAAGCTGTAAGGCTGCAGCTGATCCATCATGGGCCCGAAGGCCAGGGCGAGAAGTTGGGCGCAGTGGAGAGATCAAGCAGACAGGCAAGACGATCCCAAACCAATAATGAAGAAGAGCAGTGGGAGAGGGTGGATTTAGAAGGGAAAAGGAGTAGTTACGTTGACAATGCGGGGCGAGCACCAGCCCGATTGAGCGCCCCAATGGGCCGATCCGGTGATGGCCGGTGTAACGGCCCGCCGTGGCCAATCGCCACAATATCGCCGGTGAGAGCAGAGTAGACGATAGGACATGAGATCTGACGAATCTTGCGAATCTTGCGAATCTATCTAAATAGACACAGTTTATGTATAGCATATAGTAGAGACACAATCCCAAATCGAACAGTGAGAACGCCCATTTCATTCAGCCAAAAAAAAAAGGTGTACCCCTCTGCAATGCACCGCAGGATGCTCCCAAAAAAAAACGAAACCGCTAATGACAGGGCCGAAGATTAAAAAACGGGAAATAGATCAAGATGTCTAGTGACCAGCCCAGCATCCTTTCGTCATCTCTCATCCTTGCACGTCACTGACAAGCCGTGACAGCAGCGCATAGCCGAACAGCACAGCCAGCCCGATCCACAGTCGGTTCCGTCGAGCCCAGCCCTGTCCGGCCTCCCGAGCCACATGCCCACCTTCCATCATGGCGCCAATGCCTGGAGCACTGCCGTTAGGCCGTCGGCGGAGTGCACTGGTCTCTGGGGAGCACTTGGCGGGGGCGTTGGGGTCGGGGAGGATCTGGCCGGTGTTGGTGTCGATTCGGTGCTCCTTCATCCAAGCCCAGTTCTCCTGATCCAGTTCAGGCCATTCCGTGCGGAACTTCAAGCCGCCATCTCCCGCCTTGACATTATTGATTCCTTTGGACGTCTTCGTCACACCCGGAGTGGCGCTGGCGTGCGAGCCGCCACCCGTGGAGTTCCACCACCGCGATCGAGCCGCAAGCACTCTGCGCTCACTTTCGGAGGCGCTGACACTGCCGGTGGTCATCTCTTCACTGGTCATGAAAGAAAGGAGTCCGATCAGGATGGTCGACACTTCCCATGCAGGGTTGAAGGATTTCGGGTGGAAGTCGCTGATGCTCAGGCAGAGTCGTGTGGACGGTTGGAACCGGCCGCTAGGAGTGTGCATGCGGATGGCCGGGGGGGCAAACGGATACTCGGGAGGGAACATCAGGGTACCCCAGTATTGTCCATTCTCATATGGGGTACCAGGGGGGCCGGTCAAGATATAGTGCCATCTAGGTAGACGTCAGCGTCGGGAATCCGGGCGGTACATGGGCAACACGAAGGAACTGACTCGAGAATGTTTGTCTCAGACGGATGAGCGATAATAAATGGCGGTGGGTTCTTTTGGATGTTTTGATACTCCCGAGTGAGCTGTATAAACCGTTAGACTGAAAGTCCGGCTTTTGCCTGCGCGTGAGGTAATGTCTGGCCACTCACCCGCTTGAAAGCTGCTTTGGTCGCCATTTTCTAGACAGTCGAGATGAAGCGTATGTATTAAGAGAACAAGAAAATCGGATAAAACGAAACGCTCGGGGGAAAAAGAGCAAGCCCGCACGAAAAACGACTGTCGAGGGTAGAGTGTGGAGAGGAGAAAGCTGTCGCTGTTGCGCCGCGCTTGCCCTCTATGATCACGTGAGAATCCGGTTTCCCACGCGATCAAAGGTTCCCAGAGACCGAAGTTCTAGCCATTGCAGCCGTCACAATGTCCTCCTCTCTCTCGGCAGACGATGAAGACGTACGGAATCCCCCAATGCAGCTTATGTGTGGCCACTGTTCCGTGGTACTAACAGTTGCGGCAGATCTTTGAGCGCCTCCAACAGCGCAAGGACCCGAAGGTGTTGGAAGAGCAGCAGCAGGCCGTGAACGAGCGGACGCAGGCCATTCTCCAGAAGGCCCAGGCTCGTCTTTCAGAACTGGTACTTCCATCTCGATCCCTACTGCGAGCCTAATGGCACAACGAAATGCCTGATGGGCGACCTTCGGAGCTTCTGTCTAATCGCGATTTTGTTATCAGCTTGACCAAAACTCGACCCTGCCATGCACGATCTCGTCTGTTCAGGTGCTGAGCGCACCTCACACTCGCCGGAGCTTCCTCGAAAAAGTCCTCAGCCCCCTTCTCAGCGAGAACAAGGACCGACCCTACACTCTGTCCGAGGCATTGCGGGAGATTTCGGCGACAGCAGACAAGCTGGGACGATTCGGTTTGTGTGCCGGGATCGACACAGGAATACTGTTGCTTTGATGTTCTAACGTGGAATCTAGACCTGTTCCAACAGCCAATTGCGGTGCACCTGGATGAGTCGAAGAGGGACGCCTCCGGGCTCAGCAGCATCGATGTCCTGCTGGCAACCCGGGAGAAGTCGCGTGTGCTCTTGAAGACTGGCACTGATCTCGGAAACGCTGAGGGTTCCGCTTACGGTAATCTCCTGTGGCGCAATGTATTCGGCGGTGCCGAGACATTGAACTTGAATGCTTCGCTGGGTACCCGGACCCGGTCTGCTTACCAGGCCGCCTTCGAGACTCCGATCCTGTGTGACCCAGACTTCCGCCTGGAGGTGGGCGGCATAGCTAGCTCTACCCAGAAGTCCTGGGCGAGCCACGAGGAGGTGGTTAAGGGTGGATGGAGTAAGCTCCGCTGGCTGTCGCAATCCGGACATCGCCATGAATTGGGCTACAACGGTTTCTGGAGACAAATCACCGGCCTGGCAGAGAACGCCTCGCCTATTGTTCGCGCTGATGCCGGCGATAGTGTGAAGAGCAGCGTCTTCCACAGCTGGATTAATGACCAGCGTGACAACGCGATGCTGCCTTCCCGCGGCTACTATGCTAAGGTTTTCAACGAGCTGGCTGGCTGGGGCCCATTAAAGGGTGACGTCTCTTTCTGGAAATCGGAGATTGAGACCCAGGGCGCTGTCCCCATCCCCATTCCCGGAATCAAGGGCGACAGCGGTATCAGCTTGACTACTGGTTTCCGCGCGGGCCTCCTGTACCCTCTTGGTCTGGACTCGGGCTCTCGCCCCCGCCTTTCCCGGATCAACGACCGCTTCCTCCTCGGTGGCCCCACTGATGTCCGTGGATTCCGTTTGTGTGGCTTGGGCCCCCGTGAGGGTGCCGATGCTCTCGGCGGCGACATCTACGCCGCTGGAAGCGCAAACCTGCTCTTCCCCCTTCCCCGCGTGGGCGCTGACAGGCCCCTACGACTGCAACTCTTCCTGAACGGCGGCCGCCTTCTGCCCCTGCGGACATCGCAGAAGACCGCCCCTACCACCACTGGTGAGGTGCAGGATGCCGTGATCTCGACCATCTCTGACCTGCAGACCGGCCTGCCTAGCATCGCTGCCGGTGTGGGCATCGTGTACGCCCACCCAGTGGCGCGCTTCGAGCTGAACTTCTCCCTGCCGCTGGTTCTGCGAAAGGGCGAGGAGGGCCGCAAGGGCTTGCAGCTGGGAATTGGCATCAACTTCCTGTAGAAACTCGTTTTCCTGATTAGAAATTAGCGGAGTCAAATTATACCTCACTTCTCACTTCCTGTTCAAATGAATGCTCATTGTCCAACCGATACTAGTGTTTCCATCCAAGTTGTTTGCGCTCGTATAGTTCAGTTCCCGGGCGTGGCGTCCCCACGCGGGGATGAGTCAGCAGGCATCAGGGTAACTTAATCCGCCAGCTGGACATCCCGAGCTTGCAGCTCCCATTCTCAACTTCAATACCTCGCGAGCCCTTTTACCCCCTGCAACAGAAGAAACAAACAACTCGGCGTCCCGCTCGGCCGTCCCACGGCAATGGCTCAGTATTATCCCAACCAGCAGCAGCAGGGCTACGCGCCCCAAGGCAACGCACAGAATCTCCAGTTCTTCCCCTCGTCCTACTCCTCAGTCTCCGGCCACACGACCCCGTCACAAGCCTCCTATGGTGCTGGGTTCGGCGGCGCGCCGAATCCTTCGGCGCAAGCCTATCCCGTTAGTGGAGGCTATGGGGGCTTCGGGTCTCCGGCGGCAGGCGTGAGTGGGAGGATGGGAGAGCAGGGTGGTTTGCGGACGGGCTGGTTGGCTGCGTTTGGGACGGAGGGTTATGATGGTGAACCGCCGTTGCTAGAGGAGCTGGGTGTTAACTTTGAGCATATTCGGACAAAGGTGAGCGAGCCTGCTGAGAGGCTCTCTTGAGGGTGACGGAGGGAGACAATGCGCGTCATGCGGGACCAGCGAGGGGTTCATACCTCCATTGGGCTCTTATCAGGCACAAGCAATCCCATGCGATATTGTCAACTCCTCTCAACTCGCAGAGACCCATTCAATTGACAAGACATCAGAACCAAACTAACCTCTGACCGCAGACCCTGACCGTCCTTAACCCCTTCGCCTCCATCGACAACCACCTCATGGACGACAGCGACCTCTACGGCGCGCTCCTCTACATCGTTCTCTACGGTACCTTCCTTCTCCTCTCTGGAAAAGTGTTCTACGGCTACATCTACGGCGTCGCCGTCTTCGGCACCATCGCCCTGCACCTCATCCTCAGCCTGATGTCTCCAGCCCTGGACGCCGCACCAACCCCCAGCGCCGCCGACCCCGCAAACTACAACCCCCACCACAAGTCCTCCCTCTCCGCCGCCTCCGCCGCCGGCCATTTCTCTGCGACCCTGACATTTCCCCGCTCCGCAAGCGTCTTGGGCTACTGTTTCCTCCCGCTCGTCCTGACCGCTCTCATTGGTATCTTGATTCCTATGGATACCCTGTTCGGGTATCTCTTGACTACGGCGGCCGTGGGCTGGTGCACGTACAGCTCGTCGGGCATGTTTTGTGCCGTGGCACGTATGAGCGGTATGCGCGGCCTGGTGGCCTATCCGCTGGCGCTATTCTATGTTGTCTTTGGAATTATGGGCATTTTCTCGTCCCGGGGGACGGGCTCACTGGCTGCGAAGACGGGTGCTGCATGAAGAGTGGCATGCATGTTCATCAAAATATTCTTGTTTTTAAAGACGCCGTCCGCCCTGGAAATGCCATGTTCTCCTTCTACAATTTTCCTTTTTTTTCCCTTTTTTTTGCTGGGGTTTTCTGGCGAAATAGATCACTCATCAATTGGTGGGTGGCTGCGTGGGAACGGAGTTCCCTACTGATGTTGCACTTGTTGGTTCCTCCTACTGGACAAGTTTACTTGCATTCCCATTCAAATCATGAATATTACGAGACTCGCACAGCTCGCACCTGTGTTATATATCATTATGCATTTTCATGATTAGACTCGTGAACACTTCTACTTCTATTCTGACTCCTGACTCCTGACTCCTGTAGATCCATCCTTATATAATGCAAAATCATGCCAGGCCATGTCGATATCGACTCGAGCGAACCCGATGGAAAGCCTGGTCTTGTGGGGCAGGTAAGCACCAGTAGTCTATTGCCCGCAGCCCTTGCCCGCAGCCAGCATTCATATCCATATCCATATCCACTTCACGCCGCAGTTTCACCCTTGGCCGGCGCCCATTTACTCAGCCATTCCCGCGTCTTCTCCAAATCCCCCCAGCTGCTTCTGCGCCAGCCACACACCAGGCCAAATCATATGCTTTCCCGTCGCCCGCCACGCCTTCTGCAGCGATCATCTCAGCCAAGTTCCGGCGATGTTGGCCCGTCTCGTCAGTACAGAAGAAGAAAGGTGCTGTGTTGGCGACGTCGGGGTTCACGTTGACAGGCTCGACCAGCGGGCGTGTGAGCTTGGTGATATCAGCCACACTCGTCGCTGCCACAACGCCGGCTGCCGTCTTCTGTTTGCCAGTCTTGCAGTACGCGTTCTGGCACCAGGTCTTGCCACAGCCTGTCATGAGCTGCGAGAGGTATCGCCGTTCGATGCGCCGCCGGAGCGCTTTGCCTTCGGGATCGTATGTGTCGACGTACAGCGGTCCGAAACAGATATTGCAGAGGCCCAGGGACTTGTTTCCTGCGCTGGTGAGTGTGCGCCCGCAGTTTTGGTTTAGGCATATGCGTGGCGCGGGCCGGGAGACACGTTCGAGGTCGTGGTGTCGGAGGTGCGTGTTCATGTCTCGCAGGCGGATAATCTTACCGCAAAGATGACATTCTGTCGTGCGTCCGCCGTCGACTAGTTCGTGCGGTGTCAGGCCGGAAAGCATGACTTCGGGGTCGTGCAGGTCTGGGTCGGAGTCTCCTTTCTGCGGCACGAGGAGATGGCAGAATTGGCAGAGGATAAGCTTCCCGGGGCACTCGGTCGTCCGGTGCTGTGCGAGCGCGGGGAGTCCTTCGAGGTGGGCGTCGCAGTCGGGACAGTCGTAGGGATTATGGAATATTGAGTCATGACTGTGTTTGCTGGCGCCATCGCTGCCGTGGGAGGAATCATAAGGGCAGTGCCAGTGGTTCTCCCACTCGGGGGATCGTTTTTGGAAAACATTGCCACATTGAGGGCAGAAGATGTTGTTGCGGAGACAGAAGTTCTCGTGGAGGACTAGTGTTCGCTCCGGTACCCATTGTTGACAGTTTTTACACTGCACATCGCCAGGCGCATGAGATCCCTCGGTGTCTTCAGTCTCTTCTGCTGTGTCGAGGCCATCTGTGGTTATTCGCAGATTGTATTTAATAGGCTGCTGCTGTTGCGGTGGTGGTGTTGAATCGCCGACACCGGAGTTCGTGGGATTCGCATAAGCGGATATATAGATAGCTTCGGCACCCTCGAGAGCCGTGTTGGTAGGCCGGATCTTGAATATCTTGGAAGACTGCGTTGAGAAGTCTCCCCATACGTGCATGTCCGTCCGAGGCCGGCCTCGTTGGCGAGCACCAAGAGGACTCGCAAAAAGGAACACATTGGGATCATCCGTCGTAAGCTCGATCTGCAGCACATCCTCGCGCTTCCACTCGCGAAGCTCGTAATCCACGTACTCCCCCGGCAGCACCTGCGCCGCCACATCCTCTCTAAGAGCAAGCACACCCCCAACCGAGCTGCCGCTCGTCGTGCCCGGAGCCCGCGCCGCCCGCTCTAATCGCTTCTGGAGCGTCTCCCGCGCCTGTTCCTCCGACAGTGCCACAATATCCACCTCCAGGTCAGTGTCCACAATGCAAATGCCGTCTCCTTCGGGAAACACCTTATCCAGCAAGAAGCGGAACGACTCGTTGCGCGTCCCGGGCACCGTCAAGATCTCGCCCGTCGTGAGGGTTGTGAAGTTATCTCGTAGGTGTCGCTCCAGCAGTGCCTTCCAGTCCTCCGGGTCATAGCCGGCCTCGAGCGGCCGCAGACGCACGTATGTGCCTTTCGGTAGCTGCTTCGCATGCACGGTGACTACCGGGCCTGCCCGCCCTTGCGGCGCTTGTGCCCCTTCGCCGCCGACGTCGCCCCCCATCCGCATATCCGGCGTGCCGCCGTTGACGTTTGGATTGCTTGGCGCCTGTGCCGCGGCCTCGAACTCGAACCCATTGTCCAAAATCCCGAGCGACTCGCGCAGAATAGCGCTTAGCGCAACCTCATTCTCGGCCGCGGAGAACTCGCGGATCCCCGCGTACACGAACCGGTTGTTCTGCGGATTCACGATGCGGAAGGTCAGCGGGTGCGGGAGTTGCTGCTGGCGCTCTTCGATCTGCTGGCGCGCCCGCGACTCGGCGGCAAAGGTGTGCGGATTGAACGGGTCGAAGGCGGGCGTGTGCACGCGAGGATTATTCGGTGGGACGGGGACTGCTTGGAGGGGCGCCGCGGCTAGAAGCTGCTCCAGCGCGGACTGTGGCAGTGTGATCTTGTCGCCGGGGAGCCGGGCCGCTCGCTGGGGCGATGCTACGGCCAGCTGGGCGGACCAGGTGAGTGTGTTCTCCGCCATGATGGAGTGAGGAAGGGAAGTGCATTGTTGGGAATTAATTTAAGAGTGGAGCGGAGCGGGAAGCTCGAGGGAAGTTCTGGAAGACTCTCCCCGCGCCCCCACAATTATCTAACACAAACAACTCAAGACTAAGCCAAGCTACCATGCCCCGCGACGCCTCCGGCTTAGAAATCCAAGCATGAGAAATTCATGTTTACGATCAGCATTCACCCCGCGGCCATCTTAATGGAAATTCCGCATCCGGTGGCGGGAACTGGTATTGCACCAGTCGCACTGGATTGATTCCATGTTAGCTGTGTTCATGGATTACAATTACTGCTTCGTCGAGAGCTTACCATGGTCGCGGAGCACCCCTCATTATGCTCGATACAATAATCACCCCGACAGCCCCGGCAGGTGCGCTGAGAGTCCCGCTTGCATGAGGCACACTGGGTATATGTTAGACGCTTAACTAAAGCTCATACAAATCAAAATACTCACAGTCGGGCCACACTCCCAACAGTCTTTGCTCACGCCTCGCTCGAGTCGCTATTGGGACAGGTTAATAAGAACGCAAAATCTGTAGATTGATCGATTCTCCACATACCTCTCGATCAGCCTGGGAAGGCTCGTGGAGATGATGCGGCGGGCGAACCGCAGTCTGATGCGGCGTGAGATTCACGGCAACATGCCGCGGGTGCGGTAGGCAGTTCCAGCAGAACCACTTGTTGCACCGGTGACACCAGCGATCGGCCAAGCAGTCTGTACATCGTGCGATCAGGACCGGGTGCTCGCCGGGGATCAACTCGGGGCGCTTGGCTGCTGCAACACTGGACAGGTGCAACGGCACGGGACTCAGGAGGGGGAACTGGACATCGGGGGACTGGCCCCAGATCGACGGCCCCTCGGGCGAGCTATGACATCCATCACATCCGCGTGGGCCCAGGGCCACAGTGGCGATGGCGGGGCCGAGCAGGGGAGCCTCTGGAGCTGGATTTTCCTCGTCTGCATTCGAGTAGAGGTTAACATCATGGCGCGGCCCGTGGCATAGCGCCGCGTCAAAGGCAATAATGCCCTCGCATTTCTGAATGGTCTGCGCCCAGCCCTCTTCCAGACTGTGCTTGAAGAGCTTGCCAGATGGGCTGTACCATTCATTTTGCTGGTAGCGTCGAGGGACGGGAGCGTTGTCTTCTTCATTATCTGAAGAGCTGATGGACGGGGTTTCGCTGGGGCTCCGTGAGCTGCCCACCCGAGATCCCCACCAGTCACGGTATCGAGGTCGCACTGCGGCGCGTGGCGGCGTGTGCATCGAAGAGAAGTGATAGATGCCCTTGACTTTGGGGGTTCCTTCCGGGCGGGTGGGACGGACGGCATGCTGGATGACCTGCATAAGTTTGCGCTCGTTGAGGTGGCGGCACTCGCGAATGGACAGAATGTTGACATTGAAACGGTCGGTCAAGATGATGTCGGCCACGAGATCGGCCGGCACTGGAAGGCCGTCCAAGACCAGTGTGCGCACATCTTGCAGGATGGACCTTTTGTCTAGGCTGGCAAAGATGTGTCGTAACGGCGCGCAGTATATCTCATCTTCCGTCTGCATTTCTTCCTTCTGGGACAATTTGGTGGGCAGCTGGGCGCCTCGGCAGCGGGTCAAGTCTAAGTGCCTGAACACATAGGGAGTGCCTATAATCATATTGTATAGTAGTCGCGAGGTCGAGGCCAAAGCCATGAGCGACGGCGTGGCGAGATAAGGCGCCATATGGTCGAGAATTAAGCTGTTGGTGAGCATCTGCTCCAGCGGCGCACGTCGTGTCGGCGCCGGCTTCGTTTGCACGATAGGCGCTGGCTCTGTGATGATTACCTCCTGTGCTGGTAGTTCTCGGACGATTGGCTCCAGGCCCAGTTCTTTCCGAGTCAATCGACGGGAGCCATAGAAGTCGGGGGCGCGGCCGATGAGATTCTGGCGGTAGACGGCCATGGCGCCGACGGCGACCTCGTCGCGGATGCGCAGAAGGGGCGCATGGGGGTGGATTTCCTGGAGCGCGGCGCGAGCCTTGACCAGCTCGGACTCGAGGAGGTGGATGGTAGACTGGAGGACGGCAGGCATGGCGTCGGGGTTGGGGGTGGGATCAATCGCAGAGACCAAAGAAATCCAGAGATCGTCGGACATAGCCCGGTCTTTTATAGTTCGGAAGGGAAAGGGCGAACAAGAAGAACAAAGAGTGGGTTCTAATTATAGAAGGGTTGGGTAGGGGGGATAGGGACTCGGATAAATGCCACGGTTGTACTCGATCGGATCAGATCACCGTTGGAGTCAGGCGATGTGCCGGACTGTACGGTCTAGTAGGATGTAATGGACCACCAATGAAGCTCCGGTGGGGACGGAAATTGAGATCCGGGGTGGAGTCGCGGAGGGGGGAGCAGGTTTTAATATTGGATTATTGGATTGAGTAATTCAATAATGATAAGAGCGCCCAAATGGGAACGGGGAGGGCAGATTGGCCTGGCCTGTTGGCCTGTTGGGAGTGTCGGTCAGCGGCGAGTTTGGGCGGGAGGCCCGAATGCAGCAAGTCCGGGGTTCTTATACTTCGGGATACTTGACTCCCAGACGGCTATCAAGTCCATACGGCTGACCTCCAAAAAAAAAAAAAAAAAAAGAAGAAAGAAAGAAAGCAAGAAAGAAAGAAACGAGATAAAGAGAATCAATGAATGAGTGGGCCTATCGGTATCGTGGCATTTTTAGGAGCTTCTCCTATTCTCCTATGCTCCGTGCAGTCCCAGTCGGTCAGTCGAGCGGTACATCGCAAGGGGAGCAGGGTAGTCAGTACGCAGGAATACTTGGCGGTGGGTCCCAGGGGGGCCCCTTTCCATGTCTTTATCTCGACAGGGGTCTACTGCCGCCAAGTATGGTTCGGGTATGGAGTACTTTGTACTCAAAAACTGCGGAAGCCCTTTCCTTCGCCTGTCAATCTGCCCCCACTGATCCGCCGGTCACGCGGTCGTCCCTTTTTAGGCGTCAGTGCACCGATCCACTCCTGCTTGCTTCTTTTTCTTCTCGAATCGCAGCCGGCTGAGACCCCAGTGGCAAAGACCAGGGCTCCGCTGTCGTGGTCCAATGGCTCTAGCGCGTGGGGAAGGCCTTTTTCAACAATGACGGAGTATACCCTGGCCGGGTCGGGTTATCATCTACAACCGTCATTGCGCAACGGCGTGCCGGTAGAGTAGATGTATCCCCATCTGAAGGTCCATCGCCATAGTCAACTAATCGATCTCAATGTCCGCCGTGGCTCTGGCATACCGATCTGAACTCGACACGACTCTGCTCCATACTCTCCTGGAGGACTGTCCAACCCCTCGACCCACGGGGAGCGCACCTCCAAGCATCGTGGTGCTTGGCATTGGATCGTTTGCCGTGAAGACTGCAAAGATCAAATTTAGACCAGGCGCCAATCCTGCCAAGATAATAGTGGGCCAGACTGCACTGCCGCAGACGCTGGGGAGATCTTCGCCAAGCACAATGATAGCATTCGCGGTCGATCGTCGGGGATGCTCTGTTCCTTTGTTGGGTTCTTGGCAGTGACCATGATGCTTCCCGCCGAGTATTATCGGGACTACGAAGTCCGCTCAGTATACCAAGCATAATAGTGTACATAGTAAGCTGAATAGTTTGCCCGTAGTTCCCAGCGCACTCGGCGCCAAGCACTGGCACGTCCATCAACCCCAAGAACACCCAAATCTCGCAATAAACCGAACCGCAGACAAGACAACCTCCGCAGATACGTTCCAGCCCATCAGTGCATTGTTGGTCAGAGAACCTCTGGTTCAATCGACCCAGCCAAGACCAAAGGGATGACGAGCCAAGCCATGGGCCCGGGCCTGCATGTTCCCTCCCCCTGCCTCCTCGGTGGTGGTGCGCGGATGCCGTGGCTGAACTCTGCGTCCGGGGGGACCGTTCGGCAGGGATCTCCTGTCCGCCTAGCCCGGTTCAGCCGCCCGGTGAGCGCCCTTCGGCTTGGAGGTGGCTTGAGAAGCAATGGCTTGGGCGTGGGGCCCCCCGGGACACACTGCAGGTTAGCCCGACGACACTTGGACTGTTGAAGACTGGGTTGAACACTGGAGACCCGAGCACTGCCCTGTCAAGGGATTCCAGCCGGTCCCGCCCAACAGCCAACAGATTTGATCCCAGCAGAATACGGTACCATGCGATTAACCTTACGGATGACCATACTGACGGCCAACTCACGCTGTGACACAATTATGCAACTATGCAACAAAATGGGAATTGGTCGGAGTAGAATTTCAACTAGTGGTACAGGTCGTCGATCATCCCCCAAGCTCTTCCCCGTCTTCCCCAGGATGAACGCTGCACGCCCTCGCTTGGCGCCTGGAGGAGTTCTAAAGTGCCCTCTACTTCCACAACTTCGACACTGCCACCTCCTTATCGTCGTGCTTGTTGAGGATCTTGGCGGTCGCCAAGTCGAAGTCTTCCTGCGTAACGTGCACTCGTCGCTCGCGCAGTGCGTACATGCCGGCCTCCGTGCAGACTCCTTTCAGCTCGGCACCGGAGCACCCGTTCATCTTCTCGGCGATCTTGGTCAGGTTGATGCCGCGCGTCAGGTTCATCGACCGCGAGTGAATACGTAGAATATCGGCACGGGCCTCGACTCTGCAGGGAAAGAAAGGGATACGGTCAGTATATCACGGACACGAGCAACAACCAAAAGTAAAAGTCCCCATGTTCGTGGGGAAAGGGAGGAGCCACTCACGATGGAGGGGGGAATTCGATCTTTCGGTCAATTCGCCCTGGTCGCAGCAAGGCCGGGTCCAGAATATCCAGTCGATTCGTGGCCATAATAATCTTGATATTCTTGGTGGGCTCGAAGCCATCCAGCTGGTTGAGCAGTTCCAGCATCGTCCGTTGCACCTCCGAGTCTCCACCACCGGCTGAATCTATCCGGCTAGATCCAATACTATCGATCTCATCCATGAAGATGATACTCGGCGCGTGCTCGCGGGCCATGACGAACAGCTCTCGCACCATGCGGCTACCCTCACCAATGTACTTCTGCACCAGCTCCGATCCACTCACACGAATGAAACGGCAGTCTGTATGGTGGGCCACTGCTCGCGCCAGCAACGTCTTCCCGGTACCCGGGGGCCGTACAGCAGAACACCTTTGGGCTGTGCGATACCCAGGGACTCAAAGAGCTCCGGGTGCTTCAGGCCGAGCTCGATCACTTCCTTGATTTCCTTGATCTGCTGGTCCAATCCACCGATCATGTCATATGTACTGTCCGGCACCTTCTCCACCATCATCAGTGATACTAGCGGGTCGACCGAGGAAGGCAGCATCTTTTCCAACTTGTAGGAGTCTGAGAGCAGGGCCACCCGCTTGCCAACCGTGAGCTTGCCAATATCCACGCCATCTGCTATATCGACCACTGTGAACCATAAAGAACATGCTCGTTAGAAATCCATCCTGTAACAGTAAATCAATCGGTAGCCATGGTCTCTCGTACCGTATTTGCCTTCTGGGTGTACTTTGACCAGCACCTTCTTCGTGCTCATCACCTTCACCACCTCGCCAACATAGGAGCCGGGTTGTTGGAGCAGACCAAGCTCCTCCCGCAGCAGGCGCACCCGCGAGTTGTAGTCATTGCGCTGTGCCTCTAAGCGTCGAAGAACAGCCTGGCCCTGGATAATCTCGAGCTTCATGCCCTCGATCTTGTTGCGATAGTAGTTGTCCAGCGCCATGGTGGATAGAGGGATGACGCTATCGGGGCGAGGGAAGTCCAGGAAGGGGGCCTGGGTCGGTCACGAGAAAGGGTCTGTGTACGGAGCCTCCACTAATCGGCCCAGACAAAGGGTTCGGAAGGGGAGAAAATTGGGACGGCGACGGCGTGAGAGGCGATGACGATGTTTGTGACGGGATCTGGAGCTGGTCCAGCTTGAAGCTGCGGGAACGCCAGCAGGCATGACTAAGAATATTTATGCCTGACAGATAAGGCAGCATGGAACGGCAAACGAAACACACCAAAAAGAGTCAAACATGTCATCTGGACAGCTCCCCACTGCGATGAGTCAGCATACTTCTGATTGGCACCACCGTCGAATGGTCATCTGGAAGCTCCCCACGCGGCCGTCTGCTCCCTGCGGCCTGCAGCGCCCTGTTCCCTTCTCAGCTGATGGGAAAGTGGATGATTGAAGAGCATAGGATCATTTTCTCTCTAATTCTCGTGGTCCCCGTAATGTGAAGTGGGAGTTTGGCCTTTTCTTCCACAGTTTTCTGGAGCCTTGACGATTGACCCTGTGGGTTTAGACCGCGTGGATCATCGGAAAGATGGCGGACAAGAAAGACGACAACCCTGACTCCTCTCGAGTATCGGGTACATCAGGCACCGACTACGCGATGGGTTCGTCGATACCTCCCATACGATCAACCGCCTCAGTGCGGAGAGGCTACGGTAAGATTTACTTATTTCGGGTAACCCCGAGCAAAACGAACACTTATGCTGATTGGGAATGGGGAACAGGTACCCTCGATGCATACCCCTTCGAATCGTCGGCGGAAGTCCGCCGCGACGAATCTACCCAGGAGGATTTTTCGAGCCGCGCGTTTACCTCCTCGTCTACGGCCCCTGACCGGCCTCGAAAGCCATCTGTCACCCGTCGCATGTCTTCGAAACGACAAGTGCCTCACAAGGGCCAGGAGTTTTCAACGGACGATGATGTCAAAGAAGTCGAGGAAGACTTTGCCTTCCAGCAGCCATCGCCGAGGATCCGTCCCTTGCGTGCCCAGAGCTCTACGTTGCGTCGGCGTCCCAGCGCTCGTCCCAGCGCTATGACCAGAGACGACTCCGACAACTTGAGTCTGGATGAGACCATCTTGCCTGACTCGAACTTGAATGCGGCTGACGACGCCCCATCTATCAGACAGGCTGATGGGGGTAGTGAAATTGAGGGTGGAGATGAATCGCATGTGTCCGATGATGAAGGAGCACACAGTGATGCAGAGAGCTTTACGCTCAAAGACCGCCAGCAAGCCATCAACGAGACCCATCCTTTCGGTATCAGGATCTGGAAGCCGGCTCTGTACAAGAAGAGCCGCTCGGTGGAGAAAACCGCCGAGGGTGATATTCACTCGTCTCCTGGCGGTCGTGTCAACCCCGTTCTCTTCCTGATAAACCTTCTATGGTCAGTGCTCTTTGGATGGTGGCTTGCCCTGGCTGCCTTGCTCGCTGCGGTTGCATGCTTTTTCTGCGCTTTTTCTCCCAGCGCCGTCGCGTATGGGAGGGTCTTTGCTGGGCTCTCGCGCTATTTGCTCTACCCGTTTGGCTCCTTTGTTCTTCTGGAGACCGAGGATCTCTATGCGGAAGAAGATGAAGGAGAAGGACGCAGTATCAGTGAGTACGAGCAATGGCAAAACGGCGACTTGGAACATGGGCGGCTCTTCTTTGGACCTCGCAGAGACCGATCTCTCGTTGGACGGCGGCGCAACAGTGTTGATTCCGCCGGCGAGCAGGACAGTCTGCTCGGCCGGCCCCAGCGTGGACAACGTGAAGACTCGCAGCTCAATCCCTCCAAGCGCCGATTATTTGGCCGTGGAGAATGGACCCTCGGTCGAGTCGTGTTCTTCGTCTTTTTCTACTTCCTGGTGGGACCCTTGATGCTCATAGTCTCCCTGGTTTGCTGGCTTCTTGTCTTTTGGATCCCAATGGGCCGTGTGACCACCATCCTGGTGAGCCATCTGCGGCGCCATCCTCTGGCCTTGTCCTTCCACTCCGACACATCATATTCCAGACGCGCCACGGGTACATCCTCGCCTTCCATCCTCCTGTGCACCTATCGAGCTGCAGGAACGCGCTACTGGAAGTACACGATTGACGGTACCAACGTCTTTTTCATTAACCTGCTCGCTCTTGTTGTCTTTGTGATTTTTGACTATTATGTGCTGGACAAGTTCCTGGGTATTGACTCCTGGTTGACTCACCCCGGACTTATTTTCACCCTCTCCCTATTTTCCATTATCCCTCTCGCCTATTTCATCGGCCAAGCTGTGGCATCTATCTCGGCCCAGTCGTCAATGGGCCTGGGCGCCGCAATCAACGCCTTTTTCTCCACCATCGTAGAAGTGTATCTCTATTGTGTTGCCCTGACTGAAGGCAAGTCCCAGCTTGTGGAGGGAAGTATCATCGGCAGTATCTTCGCGGGCATCCTCTTCTTGCCCGGATTGTCCATGTGCTTTGGCGCCATTAAGCGCAAGACACAGCGATTCAACGTGAAGTCTGCCGGTGTGACGTCGACCATGTTGTTGTTTGCCATGATTGCACTCTTTGGTCCTACTCTTTTCTACCAGGTCTATGGCAGTGTAAGTCCCCCCTCCATTCTTTTGCCAAATTCGCGCCTTCTCGGCGATTTCGAAGAAAGCTAAGCCGTATCCTAGCACGAGCTGAACTGCCATGCATGCATTCGGGAATTCGACCCGGAAAGTCGTGACTGCCGTCGATGCTACTTCTCTCAATCCGCAGCGGTCCATGATACGTTCTTTGAAGTAGCGGTCCAACCCTACGCCTGGTTCTGTGCCGTCTTCCTATTCCTATCCTACATCATCGGTCTCTGGTTCACCCTCCGCACTCATGCCGCCCTAATCTGGGCTACCGAGAACGAGGAGAAAGAGAAGAAGGCTGCCCAGCAAGCGCAGGATTCGTTTACTTTCGAGCCAAGACACTTGCTCTTCCCGACCGGGGCCCCAGAGGCTTCAGGCGCAATATCCAGCCACAAAGACTCCATTCGCGAGTCCCAACTCTACAAGCGGATCCTCGGCCAATCGCTGAGGCAAGTTGGCTTGGAAGACAACAGCGGCTCCAACTGGGAGCAGGCGGTATGCGGCTCGGCAACGGACAAAAAGGCCAGCATCCCTCACCTCGTTCCTCCGCGATCTAGTGGCGACGAAAGTCGTCATTTGTCAAAGGCCATGCGCGAGGATAATGAACGTCTTGTGCGCCAAGTCACCGAATTGGCCGCCACGGCGGCTGCGGTGGCTGCTCGCGATGCGACTCGGAGTCGCAAGTACTCAACTCAACAAAGTGCCAGTGTGCGCCAGGCTGGCCGCGCGCACGCAGACCAACCTAAGCCTCCTGTTGAGGAGCACGAGGATGTTGGAATTGTTGCCGAGCCTGCGCACGGTGCCGGTGGTCATGACGCTCCTAACTGGAGCAAGGCGAAGAGTTCCATCATCCTGCTAAGTGCCACTCTTCTTTATGCAATTATTGCGGAGATACTGGTCAACACGGTTGATGTGGTGTTGGAGAGTGTGGATATTGATGAAAAATTCCTCGGTATTACTCTATTTGCCCTGGTGCCGAACACAACCGAGTTCCTGGTAGGTCCAAGGCTTGTTCTAGATGTCTTGCACATCCAACTGAATCCGTCGCTAACCTCTGACAGAACGCCATCTCGTTCGCAATGAATGGCAATATTGCCCTGTCCATGGAAATTGGTTCAGCCTATGCACTCCAGGTTTGTTTGTTGCAAGTTCCGGCTGTGGTCCTCTTCAGCGCCTTCTACACCCGCTCCATTGACCCCGCTGAACTTGTGAGCCACTCCTTCAAGTAAGCACTCTTCCTCTACCCCCATTCCGCACCAGCAAAAGAAATTCCAACAAGAGCCTATCACTAACACCTCCAATAACAGCTTGATCTTCCCGCAGTGGGACATGATCACCGTCATCCTGTGCGTCTTCCTGCTGTCCTACGTCTACGGCGAAGGCAAGAGCAACTACTTCAAAGGATCTGTCCTCGTCCTGACCTATCTGGTCGTCGTGATTGGCTTCTACCTGTCGGGCTACAGCAACATGGACTTTCTCGGCGTGGATCGCTTCGACACTCTTGCCCTGGGCACCAGCCAGCCGGAGAAATTCCACACTATCGGGCGCTCGCGCTCCGGTGCGGCCTTTTAGATTGAACATACCGTTCCCACAACCCTAGTGGCCATGGCTTCGTCTTGTCTTGTCTTCTCTAAGGAGAGATGGAGGAGCGCCCATGGAACCATGATGGATTTTTCTCGAGTATCATAATCATCTTTGCATAGCGGATTTGAAGTTTGCATTCATGGCCCCAATGGCTTCTCTTCTTCTGATCGCCCCTGTCTGTTCGTTCATTTTTGGGGCTGGTTTGTTGAATATTGACCTCGGCCCTTTTCTTTGGCTTTGCTCCTTGCGGGACGGTAAAGATGACGTGTACTTTGCATCGGTTCCTACGACTAATTCTATTCGAAGACTGCCTTTTGATGCCCTCTTACTCTTATTGCACTGAAGAACTGAAAATCTGAAACAATTGCTAGACTCCATATGAGGCTGTCACCTGCGGTAATGGCCGATGTTACCCAGAAATACCCTTTCCCTATCACCATTACGTAGTTCGTATACCTCCGAATGGGACTCCTCCCAAAGATTTTGTCGTGCACATCGTGACGAAAAGAGACCAAGGGAATTTAGGCAGGTCCCCACTCACCCACGGCCTCGTCGACCATCTGCCGGTATTTCTGCTGTCTGAAGCACTGCTCCAAAAACACCTTGTACTTGGCCTGCAGCAGAGCCTTCTCCTTCGGGTCGTCCGTCGGCATCACCTTCTTGCCCGGCTTGCTCATGCGGTCCATGATATCCCACAGGTTCTCCGTCCGGCCCTGCGAATCGGAGCTGGCAGCCTTGGCCCCCAGCATCGCGGCGCCATGGCATACAGCGGCGTGGATGTATCGCGGGATCACCACGGGCATGCCGCATGCCGAGGCGATCAGCCGCACCAGGATGTCGTTCTGGCATTGCGAGCCCGACATGAAGATGGAGGTGATGTTGTGCCCAGCCGCGTTCATCGTCTCGACGATCTGCTTCGTCTGCAGCGCTATGAACTCCAGTGTCCCGTAATAATACACCGCCAGCCCGTCGACGCTCTTGTCGCTTGTTAGCCCGAATATCGAGCCGGTCATGTTCGGGTCTGCGATCGGGGACCGGTTGCCCCAGAGATCGCCGTAGAAGAAAAAGTGGCGGCCCAGGTACGGCACGCACGGCGCCTCCTGGTCCTGCACCATCTCCTTCAGATGCTCATTCAGATATTCGTAGATGTTGGTGTGGTAGGACTCTGCGATTGAGTGTGCTTGGTTAAAGGCTGGGTGTGTTTCGATGACGTGCCTGAGCAGCTCGCCTGTCGCGGACTGTCCTCCCTCTGCCATCCAGAAGCCCGGCAGAATGGTGTCCTTGTAGGGACCCCAGACCCCGTTCACGAAGACCGGGTCCGGGGACATCGCGAGGTGGCACGTCGATGTGCCCGCAACGGCAGCCAGACGGGAAAATGCTTGGGCCTGGTCATTCTTGGCGATCTCACCACTCAACTGGCCTGAGCCCAGGTTGACTTTGGCTCCGACGGTGCCAATCCAGCCCGCATATGCATCAATAACACCACTGCCAATGGCAATGCCGGCCGGCAAGCCCAACTCTGCCGCGGCCTTTGCACACAGAGTCCCGACAAGCTCTCCCGCACTCAGGTAGTCGCCGTTCTATTTGGAAAAAGAAAAAGATGTTAGCGAATGGGTGCGTTCTCTCTCCGGAATAAGGCTCACCACCCCATTGACGCCGCCCATGCGCTTGAAGTTATCCTCCGTCAAATCACTTAGGCCAATCTCATTCAGGAAATCCTCCTGCCAGCCCTTGACGCTCCCGTCCACGCCAACAGGCACATAGCCCTGCTTGCAGACCACACTGCAGAAGCTCCGCTTTTCGTTGCCGGTGGCAATGTGGGTGAGCGCATCGCTCAGATCATAGAATTTACACTTGTCAAAGAGCTCCTTGGGCATGTGGTTCTTTAGCCAGAGCACCTTAGGGATCTCCATCTCAATCGACATCTTCCCGCCGACGTAGCGGAGCAGGTTATGATTCGTGGCATTGATCTTCGCGGCCTCCTCCACGGGCCGGTGGTCCAGCCACAGGATCACGTTGCGGTCCGAGTCGAAGTCCGGCCCGGTGACCGAGACGGGCTCGTCGGTTTCATGGTTGAAGACTGACAGCGAGCAGGTTGCGTCAAAGCCAATCCCGCGCACCGTCTCAGGACTGATGTTGTGCTGGCTGATTGCCCGCTGCACGGCGGCGCAGATGCAGCGCCAGATGTCGGATGTGGATTGTTCCTGGGCTCGCCAGTCAGTCGGATGCCGAGTTCGGAGTCGGAGGGGTCCTCAGTGCGGGGAATGCCCTACATAGTAGCCATGCGCCGGCTGCCACAGCCCGATGTTCTCGGAGGCCAGCCCCACGATGTCGCCCTTGGCGTCGATGATACAGGCCCGGGCACTGCCGGTTCCGACGTCAATGCCGATGAAGTGGTCCAGCTGCACCTGCAGGTCCTCGCGAGGATCGCTTGAGGCCTGGCGGGAGCTCTGGCGGGAGGGACGACGGAAGGGCAGCGAGGCCATGGCGTCGTCACGGGGTATTTATTCGGTTAGTGAGTAGTCGGTCGTTTCGAGGTAGACCGGGATCAGCACTGGCGTCGGAGATGGATGAGGGATGCGAAATGAGGAATGAGGAGGGAAGCGGGGTCAGCTATATAAGTAAATGCAAAGAAGCAAAGAAGGGGCGAAGGGGCGGCCAGGGTGAGCTCTTTTGCTATGGCGGGGAATCCTTGTTTGTACCCCAACCCCAACCCCAGTTCGTTGGCCGGTTTGTGGGGTACAACGGAGCAGAGCTGACCGGTGGCAAGAGCGTATCGTGGCTAGTGCAGCATATAGTCATATAGTAGGCAATCGACATCGATTCTAGGATGATATTCGCTGTCAAGCTGTTGCGAGTGGGGAGAGTTATATAGAGCTCTATAGGGATGTGCTGGGAGGCGGGTCACTGGTCTCTCGCGAGCTGTCATCCTATACTCCGTTACGGAGTACTCCCGTGACCTGACCGTGGAGTCGATCTCGGCTAGATCGCCGGTGCTTCAGAGCTCCATAATTCCACTAGCTGCAGCTGTGAGCCAACGGACCCGCCGACGGGAGAAAGCACGGGCCGAAAGGGAACCTCCCGAAAAACACGTTCCCCCGAGCCTCCTCTCGGATATCCACCTTAACTTTTCCCCCCTCTCCTCTCGACCAGCCAACCATGCACCTACTCGCCCTCGTCGGGGCTATTACGCTCCTCATCGCCTCCGTCCGGGCTAACTCCCTCCCAGCCTCCACCGACATCTTCTACTGGCCCGTGGAAGCTGCGCAGCCCTCCGTCCTCGCGCGCGTTGCCTACGACCCGTCCTCCTTGAAGTCCGATGTCCTTGCCTACCACCCGCCCAAGCCCGACCACACCGATGGCCTCGTCCGTGTCGGCTTCTATACCGCCACTCAGACCAACCCTAAGCAATGGATCGGAAGCCTCGTCTCGCTCTCCTCCTTGATCGGTGCCGAGCACCCGCCGACGCTCCGCCTTCACCTGGGTCCTGCCAGCGAGGTGTATCATGTGTCGCTGGCCGCGACGGAGTCAGCCTCAACGACAGCAGCTGTCCCCCCTGTGGAGCTGGTGCCGAGTAAGCCTGGGACGCAGCCGCACTTGAATCGGCCGGTGGTGGTGGGCCCTGATGGACAGAACCCGGAGGAAGTGCCCGAGAAGACCTTGATTCAAAAGTGAGTGACCCATGAACCAGCATCGGGCGCATTGGATCTTTACTCACCAATATTGCTTACTTAGGTACTGGTGGGTGCTTTTGATCGTAGCGTTCTTGACGATGTCGGGGGGTGGTGGAGAAGGGCAATAGACCGCGTGATAGTCCCACGACAAACCAATGAACCGTTTCGAATTCCTCTCTGCCTCTTCTTGAAATTCATCGCCGCAGGCTGATGGCGAATGTATACTCGGGCCCAATCCAGTATCAGCGGGGATGCATCCCATGCTCTCTTCTGGCTGGAAGGTCGGCTCTGTCGGATCTTCCGCTGAGAGTAGTCTTGTCTGCCTCACCTTGTCCATGCGAATATGTGCCTGGATACGTGGCGGACGGTAGCCACCCGGATATGATAAACCCAGGGTCCACAGTTCTTTAGCTCTCTTCCCTACACTCGATGTCGAGTGGATGCTTGCTTAACAAGGAGGATAAACAATACGAGATGGTGATTTGAATCGGGGGAATGGAAAAGTCAGATCCACGCTATGCAAGTGAGTTCAAGCAAGCCCGGGTTTCACGATCGAACTGATCAGCAAATGCCCCGTCAAGAGAAAGAAATCAAAAAATCGATGACGCCACTGGGATATTAACTTCTGCAAGAACAGTTCATCCTGGAGCGAATCGCGCTGGTGGCCATTAGCCCTGCATCCAACTCTTGCGGAGCTCAACCGTCTGTGCACCTCGACCGGATGGTCGGATGTCCAGGAACAGCAGCCCCCGGTCGGTGATAGCAACGAGCTCGTCCTCCTTGTCTGTGAACCGAAGCTGCGAGCAGACAGCCTCCAGTTGGATCACCGCGGGTCGCAGTTCCGTCAACTCGGCCGAGTTGATCCACGACTCCGGGTAATGTCCCGTCTCCTCGTCAATCAACACCTGCGGTTCTAGAGCCCATACCGTGACCGTCTTCCAGCTGGCGCTGGCCACGCGAGTCCCCAATGGCGAGGCCGCAATGAGCGAGCCGTGCGATGTGTTCGACTCTTGATATCCGCCCAGCTGTGCCAGGACCAGCCAGTCATCAAAGCGTCGCCCTCGGTCAAGGTTCATGACGTGGGTGCATCGGTGCGCCTGCGGGAAAGACTCGGATCGCAGGAGGCATGCCACCGTCCAATGCTCCACCCGGTGCGTGGCAATCCCGACGGCCAGGTATTGCCAGTGACAAGTGCCCATTCGGGGGCTTTGATCGCCCGTGCGGTGCGTTGCGAAGAAGGGGATGCCAATCGAGAATTGTAGCATCAGCGCGGACGTGTATGCGGCCACGCATGTGTTGTCCCTCACGTTGGGTTCTGGCACGGTAGAAATAGAATGGATTCGCTGGAACGAGCTGAATAGAGTGTGGCCTCGGTAGTGGTGGAGTAATTGGCCCCCGCGATCGTTGAAGGTCAACTTCATAGTCGGTCCCTTGCCCTCGAGGGCCGCATCGCTGGTCCTGGTGTCGTTCATCTCGGTGAGAAGGGTGGGGTCGTAGGTAGAGCCTGGCAGTATCAGTATGCTAGCTATCTTCCAAGAGGAGTGCTCCGTACAGATAATTTGGGATATCTCTGTCTCTTGCGGCTGGTTCTGTTCGCTCCGTTCGCCCTGGCTGTCGTCCTCGTCTTCCTCATCTTCATACAGGTTATGGTCGTGATCATCTAGGGTATAGAGAACGACCTGATGATCCTGAGCATTGTGCCGGTGTTGCCAGGAGATTGCAAATTTCTCGCTGCGGTGAGCAGCAAATGCGATAGGATCATACTCCATTTGGTCGTGGAAGCTATAGAGCAACACGGTGCCGGTGGCAAACTCGTGGTAGGCCAGAAAAACGTCGCCGTGGGACTTGGACCGCAGCGCCTGCTGGACAAAGGGATGCGTGGTGTCCAGTTCCTTGTCAGGAAATGGCCGGAATTGGTGCAACACATACGCCCCGTGGATATTGAATGAAGTGTGGAGCACTTCGATGTTTCCGAGGTGCTTCGCGGGGGATTCTAAACGGCGCCGAGGCCAAACGGTTCCAGCCCGGATATCGACGAGATAAACCGATTCGTCACCCTTGAATGCAAGTAGAGCTCGATTCTTGAGAACCGGAACTTCCAGAGTCGATGCGCGGGCATCCAGCTTTTGTCCATGAAAGTCAATGAACTTGCGTTCGGAAAAGTGCTCGGCGCCAAATAGCTCTTGATGAGAGCGCTTCATGAGCAGCTGGAAAAGCTCATTTGTTGAAAGCGCCTTGAGGCCATCCATGGAGCCAGGTGTTTGGCGTAATTGGTGCAGAACGAGCTCGCGGCTCGTCGTTGCGAGCTCGAACAAACTGCGGCAGCAGAACGCTAGCTGTAGGTACGTTGCAGTGTCGCAGCTCCGAAGAACGAGCTGGACCAGCTCGGTGGGCAGGTTGCATACCATGTTTTCTTTTCCTTCCGAGGCTGATCAATCAGGATTGGTAGGGGGATGGTTGAAAATTGAGAAGATGAGAAGTTTGATGGCTCGGCAGATTTTATAGAGTGCCGATGGCTGATCGGGTTGCGTGCACGAGCCGCCTGTTGCCTGGGCCCGCCCAACGAAAGTGGAAGTAAAGCGACACACAGGCCACGATCAGGCAGAAAGCAGAGTTGTGGACCTGAGAAGAATGCCTCGATATATTTATGGATTAGAAGATTTGAATACTCGGTCGAAAGGGTGGTGTACCTGTGGAATTGAAACTCCTTGACCGGGGTTCCCGGCCCACAATAAACAAATAGGCACCACATCCCCCCACCTGCCCTTGTTCCATACTCCAAGAGAACGCTCAAACAGTACGTGAGTAGCAAAAGGAAAACTACGGGTACCGGTACCGCCCTACGCAGACAGAAGACACACGACACAAGATCAATAACCAGTGAGAGAAGCGAAATTCGTTGCTTTGATGCATATATCCAATTACCAGCTAAATCGCCCTTGCAGGGCCCGAACGCCCAGAATGCAAATACAAGCAGTACAATCAAGCGTCTGAAACAAGAAAATGGGTATCCGCGATCATCAAGGGCGTTCTCAGTCGCTTTCATCATGGGCCCTCGTCATCCATCCGCGCAACGAGCCACTCGAGTACGCTTTCATAACACAGCACAAACTGACTGAGGTTCTGTACCATGCTCGGCCGCTGCGTTCGAAAATCCTCCACGGTCTTCATGATCAGATCGAGATTCGAGTTACCTAGCCCTCCGGCGCTGGGCCCGGTGCCGTGCGTGCGCTGTCGTTTCAGCATATCTAGCACGCTGTCGACAGTACAGAAGGTCCCGGTGCGCCCACAACCTGCGCTACAGTGTACCAGGATCGGCCGCTGGCCCTCCGGCTCGGCATCTTCATTTTTGAACTCGGCGTTGCCGGTGGCGCGAATGACCTTGTTACATTGCTCAATCAGACTGAGTAAGTGAGTCGGCTGTGATGTGGTTCCGAAGTCTGGCCAGTAGGGGTATTGGAGCTGGGTGATGTCTCGGAGAGGTTGGAATGGAAACGCGGTATGGTAGAGACTGAAGTGCCGCACGATGATGACTGGGTTCTCATTCGACCCATCCGGCGTTTGTGCCTGCTGGCCAGGTGGCACAGGGGTCATTGCAGTGGGATCAATCGGTCGGCGCTGGTTTTCCACGTGTATGAATCTCTCGGAATAGGCCTTGACCTTGAAGGGACCATAATCCCCTGACTTCCAGTATGGATGGCATTTCACCTGTCCACGTTCAACCTCAGCGGTCAGGGAAACGAGGAGCCGAACGTCTTGCTCCCATACCACGCGCCAAAAGTCCTGTGGGATCACGTCAACCATCATAATCAGAGCTGGAAAGTAAGTGAATGGGGATACTCACATTGAAGGTATCAGGGACTGGAGCCTGCGTGGCAATGTATCGTCGATTGCTGAACTCAGCCTGGAGATGGTTCGCATTCACATAGTCACAGCCTCCCATTGGGACTCCCTCAAGGCGGACCCGAGAATGATCAAACGGATAAATATCATTGTAGCGGTTCTTCGTGCCTTTCTCAATGCCAGCGACACGGTACTTCTTAGAAACCCCAACAGTGGGCGCTGAGGTTCCTTCGTAAGTCAATGCCTGTTTCATGCGTTCCAACTCCTTCTTCTCCAGATCCAAGAATTTCTCAGAAACAATGTGTCCCTGATCGTTCACATCAGAGGCTTCTTGTAACCACGAAGGCAGCTCTCGTCGTCTCGTTTCGGTCAGACTACCGGGTAACTTCAGAGAAACCTGCCCGACCCCACCCATGAGATCCATATTCTGTCGAATGTTGCCGAAAAAAGGGTTGGCAGCCGATGAGGAGTCCGGGAGTGCACAACCTCCAACAACCGGGGCTACGGATTGTAGGTTGATGCTCATCGGGGAACGCCTCTTCGGAGAAGGTCCTGCCACCTGGGCTTGTGGTCGGTGAACCAATCGCGGAAACCGGCTCGAGAAGCCCTTGAAGCCTCCCTGTAAGATCAGCGCTTCGCCTTCCCAGCCCTCGGCTTCGAATTTGCTGATCACATGCATTAGGGGAGCTGCATCCTTGACGTCAGATGTGGCAGAGTCATAGACAACGATCTTGGTGCATTCTCGCCATCGGGCAAAGTTGCGTTTATCAACGTCACTTGTGAAGGTGCCCTCCAGCTTCTGGGTGCCGAAGGAGCGACGCTTCAGAAGAGTGGTAGGAATACATAGATTCAAAGAGCCTGTGATGTTGGCCTGGGAAAAGTGGGCGTAAGGGCGAACATCAAGCAGCAATACTTCCTGGGGGTTGGATTTAATTAGCTCGGCGCAGCGCTCGGCGGCGATCCATCGCGATGATATGGATGCTCCATCAGCTAGAGAGAGAGGTTTTAGCACTTGACTCTTGCCTGACAAGACAGAGTGTTCTGTCAAAAGACGACTCACCACGTGAAGTAGACCCAGCGTTCTCGCCAGGTCCTACACCAGAGCCACTCGAGTATTCCCGGTTGATTGCCTCCTCGCTTTTCAGCTGGGAATGGGATGGCCTTGACCATGTTTTGTTGATCTGTGATCCTCCATTCGAAGGCAACCCCCGAAGCGCCGATTCACGCCGCCCTTTATCAAATTCCGACTCGGATCTCAGGAGATTCACCAGTCCCTCTGATACTGATTCCTGGGAGCATAGTTGAAGCTTGGGGCTCGGAAGGGAAGACTGTGCTTGTGCGAATGATCCCCAGTTCTTTTGCGTGTTCAGTCCTGGGTTCGAGGTGGGGGAATTGCTGGAGTTTTCCACAGCAATACCGAAATAGTTGGGGCTGGGTCGTTCCGCACTCGTGTGTATGCCAACCTGCGTAGGTGACAGGGTGGGATGAAAGGACTGGTTGGCTCTGCCCTGCACACTCTGCACCCAGGGCGAGGAGGGGGTTCGCCCTGGACCGGTCATGGCAGTCGGTATTTTGCTCCCACCGAGTTGGATGAAGGAGGAGGCGCTAATGAAGGTCTTCAAGACACCATTTGCCCGACTCTTGTGGGGGATTCGGATGTCTAGCAGGGGCTCGGAAGCTGGGATTCAGACCTGAAACCAAGATCTCGAGATCGTGGGGGTTTAGACTAACGGGGGACAACCACACCCAGCCCGAGGAGTGACTGACGTAAGACAAAGGGAGAGAGGGGCAGAGGCGAAAAGGGGTCCAGCCAGGGCACCGTAAGACCAAACCAATGGAGCAGAGACGAGAGAGCCAACATCGGAAGGATTGGTGTCATTCCATGATTATTATGATTATTAAGACAGGGAGGCTGGGCTTCCAGAAAAAGTTATGACGTTATTGTGTGGGGATCACGGGTTCGGCCAACCCTCGATTCGAGCGGGAACTATTTCGTCCTCCGGACGGCGGACATGGTCAGTAGGGAGACATGCATGGAGCATCCTCGCCACAAGGGTCATGGTGAGAATAGTTTTGATGAGCAGTCTACAGGATATTGCCCCAAAATTCACAGTCTTTGGAATTGCTTTGGCACCAGCTTCAAAAAAATACACCAAGTTGTTCGTCGGTATATTCTGCCGAATCCGGCGCCCCCCCTCAACGCCTCCTTGTCATAGCCAGTTCCATCGAACCCTCTAGACCCCCCGGAGAATACCTACATACCCGGTGTAAACATGCCAACCTCTCTGGTAAACCTCCGATCATCGCTCTCCAGACTGGAGAGCTGGAAGGCGCGCAGAGAAATGCTTAATATCCACTGGGCCCTCCATATGATCTCATGTTGGGATGGCTGGCTATCAACTGGGTCAGTTCAGGACCCAGTGCATGACAACGTCCCCCAACCCCATTCAGGCATGTCAATGATAGACAAATCCAAGGGAAGAGACAACCCCTCCAGGTGTTTAAATGCTGTCATCCGGTCCGGCGTGAAGATCATGGCCCCGAAGGAAAGGCAGTTCTTTCATCGGTGATGCCGGACGGAGAGGGTTAACCATTGGAAGCCCAGGGCGAGGTCAACGGAGAAAAATGACGCAGGGGGGTTCTCATAGCAGGCCGGACCCTGCGGGAGAGCGCGGCCAGTCGGATTCCCTGTAGTCGGTTGGACTACATCGGGAGGCTTGGTGATCCAACAGCCGAGGGGAGGGGTGCGCCCGAGCCGGACGGAGACAAGCGGTGCCTTCAACTCGGCAATCTGATCTCTAAACACACTTCTAGTATCCTATTCCATATCATAGCCGGCCATCTGGTTCGCCCTCGAATCGCTTCACTCGTTTCTGTTCCCAATTGTCCAAGTCTTTGGCCATTAGTCTCTGTAAACGCAGTCAGTATTCCGCCTGAATAGATCGCAATGGAATCATCCCAGGGAAATCGATCCATACGTAGTATTCCTCTCGTTCGTCGCCAATGACTCTGCGGCGTGGGTTCCGCTTGATTCCCTCTTCTCCTTCTGGTCCTTTCAGTCCCAGTTCGAACGCCTCATCTTTGCTGAGCTGCTGAACCTTGCGATCGTATCGCTCGTACCTAAGGGCCGCTGCGGGTGTAAGAGCGAATGATCCCGCCACAATCACGGCGATGAAGGGAAGACCAAATAGAAGAAATGGGTGTCGAGCAAGTCGGGCCCGGTAAAATGCACCGAGGCGGTCCCCGAACGAGGACGACGCGGTGGTCGCTCGACGAAAGGTCTTAGACTGGAAAGTGGGCATTGTCGTAGGATTACTCCAGCCGATTGGAGAACAATTGCCAGAACGAAATGGTGCAGAAAGAGACAGAGAAAGACTAGCGTGGTGCAATACCAGTCCGATGAAGATGAGGATCAATTTCCGCGGAAAATTGATTGTCCGGGATGCCACGCCGAATCAATTGTTTGGGCCGCGCATAACTAGCACGAGCTTCTTCAGAGCTGACCTCCTTTGCACTTGAGACTGCGAGGGTCTTCTTGGCGCAAAAGCAAAGCTCCTTCCAAGCTTGCTCTTGTGAAAATTCCATTCTGAAGGGATCTCTTTTTGGGTCGTCTTCCCTAGCTTCAAGCGCTCGCGACTTCGGTTTTTCTCATCCGCCCCAGCGACGCCGACTGCAAACCCACTATATCGACCAACACTCCTCGTGCCCCACGAACTATCCTGCGCCGAGCTTCTCGGGTGATTACACACGCCTGGCAACAAGGCGATGAACTCAAATACGGGCTCTCTCTTCGGAGGGGGTGGTACAACGACCCCACGTCCGAATAGCCTGTTCGGTTCAGCCAACAACACGACAAGTGCTTTCGGAACCACCGCTACTGGTCCGGCACAGGGTGCTCAAACTTCCTCGTTATTTGGCCAATCTCAGCCACAAGCCCAGCAACCTGCTCAATCTTCCCTGCTTGGTCAGACCCAGCCGCAGGCGACCAGCGGGCAGGCCCAACAAGAACGAGTTTCGACTCAAGCAACCCAGCCGGCATTCTTCAACAGCCTCCTGGAGCGTGGCAGGAGGCGGCCATTGTCTTCGGCTGCGCAAACCGGCAATTTTGAAGACGTACCCAGTCTTCAATTGGGGCTGGATGATATCCGGAGAAAAGCTAGAGAGTTGGGTACAGCTGGAACCAAAGATTCCGAGCAAAATGGCATTAACAGCAGGGCGTAAGTTGATAAAACTTCATGTCATCTGTACCTTGACAGGTTCCATCAGCTAATTATACGATTTACTGATAGTCATTATCTCCTCGCCTCCTCCGGCATTTCCCCAGGGCGCGCGCTGCGAGACCTCAGGTCTCTAGATCCGCAGGCCTCTATGGCCACCGCGAGAGAGCCTGATAGCTTCGATCCGGACAACCAGCGATTTCTGAGAAACATCCAGCAGCGTGGCCGGCAGGTCATGATTGCCGAGAGTCTTTCTCGAGCGCAAAGGGACTTTGACACATTCTTGGAGGAGAAGGTGGACATGGACTGGGAAGAGCAGCGCCAGAAGATTTTCCAGCATTTTGGGCTGTCTCAACAAGATGGATCTGGTACTGGGGATTTGAGATCGACCACGCGTGGTGCATTTGGTCGATCTGGAAGACAATCCAGGCCTGCAAATGGCCCTTCTGTGGCATCCCGCAGAAGTGTCTTTGGCCGCTCTGGTCTGGACAAATCTGTCATCGGGACCCCTGGGAATGGCCTTGCCAGTCGCAAGCTCTTCGAGGACCCAGCCGAGCGAGGTGAGGGACTTCCTTCTTCCTCGCCCGATCTCCGGTTCCTGCGAGAGAAGATGGGTCACTACGCTGAGAAGGTCCAAGAGTTGAACATTGCCCGCCTCCAAGGACAAGCGTACCCTGTTCTGCATCAATTCTCGGAGGTTGAAAGACATGCTGGTGGCGATGTAAGTCTCTTGCACTCGATAATTTTCTCCTAGGATCACTAACCAATATGCAGGTTCCTCATCAGCTGGTTGCTGCGTACCAAGCTTTGGTGACAATTATCAACGAGAAATCGAACATCACTAATAAGACCGACCCTCGTGCGGTAAAAGAGCGACAATTTGCCGAGGCCTACTTGGAAGAGTCAGCGAGATCCCCTAACTCGGTCAATCTCAAGAAGCAAATTCTCGAAGGCTCAAGAGGGTTCCTGGAGAAATCATTCTTCACTGAGGTGGAGAATGCCATCGCGAAAAACCCACGTGAAGCCCAATTGGGCGGTATTCCGACTACCATCAACAAGATTCGAGCATACATACGCCTCCGCGCTGCGAGAAAGGACCTCGCCCCAGATGGGACCGAATTGCAGATGGTTGGCGACAACTACTGTTGGATTCTCATATTCTATCTGCTCCGGTGTGGATTTGTTCAGGAGGCAGCTCACTACGTGACCAGCGACCCCGGGTTCCGGTCACTGGATCATAAGTTCGTGACATATATGACAACTTATGTGTCGTCAGATAGGCGACTTCCACGGGACTCGCAGCAAAGAATCAATGGCGAGTACCAGCAACGGCTGCGGAACGCGCCAGACAACACAGTCGACCCTTATCGGATGGCTTGTTACAAGATCATAGGCCGCTGTGATCTTTCTCGGCGTCGTCTGGACGGCATCAACCAGAGTGTTGAGGATTGGATGTGGTTGCAATTCAGCCTCGCTCGGGAGGATGATCGCGCTGAGGAGGTGGCGAGCGACGTCTTCGGCCTGGAAGACATCCAAACCGATATTACTGAGATTGGGCAAAGAGTTTTCACCAAGGGCCAGGAGGGACCTGGTGGCTATGGAACATTCTTCCTTCTTCAGATCCTGGGAGGCATGTTCGAACAGGCTGTGGCTTATCTGGGTACCTACGCTCCTGTGACGGCCGTTCATTTTGCCATCGCACTGGCTTACTACGGTTTGTTGCGTGTGTCCGACTTCTATACTTCCGGAGAAGAGATTCGTAAGCGATCCCCCAAACCCTCCCCTGACCTTTTCAAGATGCTCTCTCGTTTATTACTCTTACATTTCTTCACGTGTTGCTAACGTTGGGCCACGCGGCCTTATTAGTGTCTTTCACGGTGAAGCAGTACCCCCAGATCAACTTCGGATATCTCATCACCCAATACACCCGAGAGTTCCGAACTGGATATGTTGAAACCGCGATTGATTATTTCACCTTGATCTGTCTCAATGCAGATCTTGGAGGCGCTCTTGGCAAGTCCCAGTCATCGGTATGCCACGAAGCCCTGCGTGAGTTCATCCTAGAGACCAGAGACTTTGCCAAGTTGTTGGGCGATATTCGCGACGATGGTACCAGGATCAAGGGTGTTATAGAGCAGCGCCTTGAGTTGATCAAGCTGGCGGATCAAGAGGATTTCTTGAAAAACATCACGATCCAGGCTGCTGGCGTGGCAGACGACAAGGGTTTGATCACTGACGCGGTGCTTCTCTATCACCTGGCAGAGAACTATGATCGCGTCATTGATATCATCAATCGTGCACTGTCCGATGCGATCGCGATCGAGTTAGGGGGAACCATGCCCAAGCTGCAGCCTCTCCGCCCGCGAGTTGAACAGGGTCCATCTAGCCCAGTGGATCCTGGCAGCAGTCTCAGCTTGACCTCTGTGGATGACCCAGTCGAGCTGGGCAAGACCATGATTAGCCTCTACGATGGGAAACCGATGTACTATGAGAAGATCCGCGCTATCAACCGAGATTCTTGTGGCCTTCTCCTGCGCATGTTGACAGCGAAGCACGAAGTCGAAGCCGGCAGATGGGCGCCCGCACTCGACGTAAGTCTCCTTCTTATGATGCCCGACCCTCCCTTGGTATCTATCTTGGAAGCTAACATGTAGTACAGTGCATCAACGCATTGGGCATTCTTCCTTTGCAGGCCCAAGGTGTCATGCAAAAGGTACGTGGTGCCGCCCAGGCTTTTTCATCCTTGCCGGAGATTATTTCGCGCAACATTGGACATGTCATTATGTGGAGCATTGCGTGCATCGGCAATGAGCGACGCCGGCAGACCAGCGGTCCATTCGAGACGGAGATGCACCAGGGCTTTGCGGATCAGCTGCTGGTCATGGCCAAGGATCTGATGGTCTTCTCTGGCATGGTGAAGTACAAGCTGCCACCCAAGGTTTACGAAGCTCTTGCTCGAGCTGGGGCAGACATAGGTGCATACTAGGAACCCTGCTAGTAGACTAGTTTCACGTACTCATTCAATAGCACAAATGTTCTGGTCGATTCAAACAAGGCCGTGTCATCCTGTGCTTTTGTGACACGATACCTTGTCGTTTTATAGTCTATCTCAAACAGTACCAAACACCCGAAGAGAAACTCGTGGGGTAAATTAAGATGATCCATTCAAGGCTTGTATCTGTATATAGGCCTAGGACATGAATTTATCGAAAGATATTGGTTCTGGTCTAAAGTTGGCTCATCGAGCGGCGTATCAACCGACGATGCTTTCGCATTTTCAGTAGGTGTTTGCTTCGCGAACCTGTGGCAAAGTCTTATGTACGATTATAGTAATAGGTCTGCTAGGGCTGTTAGTGTATGTTAATATTTGTTAATATTGATAACAGCTGTGATCTGGCTGTGACACACCACAGATCCATAGCAGTGAAGACGATATACCCCTCGCAGTCTGTAGCCTTGCAAGGCGTCCCAAAGAAAGTAATCTAGTCCCGCGAGCAATATATAATCTCTCCTGAGATATCTCAGACATGCAAAGGCTTGCTCATATTTTACCTCAGCATATCAAACCGGCGGTCAAATGCCAAAATAAAAGCTGCGAAAATCCCCATAGTAGTGGAAAAGAGGAGAATAACTCGTGCATATCAACCATGATTCGGCTCTATAGAGTGACATGTCTAGTTTACGACTGAAAAGGCTGGAGGACAAGGATGTGTTGAAAGGGCCCCTTTCCATATGGTTCAGGTATTCGTGAGAGGATATCCAAAATGTGGGCTACGCGTCCCATATCATATCACCCCTTCAATACCAGGGACTCTCTACGTATAGCCACATGCCATACTTCTATTTATAGCACCCGATGTCCATCTCGTATCTCAGAACTGCTAATCAGGGGGGGGGGGCCCATGACATCCAAAGCCAGAGTACCGTATAGACAATTCATAAGATGGATCTGTGGCTTACAGAGGTCATCGTTTTCTGCATTTCTCTGTGTTTTGTTCGATCGGTGTTTCATCAGCAAACCATCGGGACCGCGATCACAAAAGGGAGCTCTTTGCGTTCCTTTGAGCGGCTGAAGACGGCAGAGGCGGGTTACGAACCGACTCCAAAACGTAATCTATGCCCTCTATCTTTGCGTTAACTCGTTCTAACGCGTATTTTAAGGGTAGGGATCGGAGGATAGAGCTACTTCGGAACTAGAAGCATTATCAGGGCCAGTAAACAGTAATTCATAAACAAGTAGTATTATGGGTGCCAAATGCTTCTTGTCTTTAGGTATGAACCAAGCGTGAACCGAGTGCCTCAATATTTAACGTTAGGTTTCTCTGATCGCTCACCGATTACTCAGTGAGTGGCTCAATGGACCACACTAATCTATCGCGGGAATACGATGAGCCTGAGTCTCAGCCCGGACTGAAGCTTACTCAGTGAGCTTGATCGACTCTAGGCCCCCTCATAAAAGCGACGACAGCTGAGATAGCAAAGCCCCGCCTAGCACAGACAATATGGTAGGCTTAAGTACAACATCTTGTAAAATAAGAATCCATAGTGATTGTCCAGCTTGCCGTCATACATTAAATCGGCAACAAGAGCGCACAATATGCAACTTGCGATTGGTAACAGTCGTGAGGCTAAAACATCTCTTCATTGATCCGTCGGTTGAGCAGAAGGAGTCGAACGGCGACCCTTTGCTTCTTGCTCCAACCCGTAGACACACTTGTTCTTCCTGGAACAGTCTCCTTGGCACATACTTCAAAATGACGAGGCGGCAACACAAGCTTTGGACAGAATGACTGTGTCAGCAGCCGTGCTCACCAGGCCGTAGTAGGCTTCCATGAAACATGCTGAGCGACAAATCACATATTATTGGGTCGCATGATTCAGTTGGGAGCCTCATATCCGCAGGCCAGGGATGAGCTTCTCTTCCAAGAAAACTAGGGTTGGCTCTTAAGTTTAAATTGTCCGAAGGGGTGGGTTTACTAATTTGGCAATGATCTATGTCGGCCGTGCGCAGACAGCCATACCCGATCCTACAAAAGCCCTGTGCATTCCTCATTGAGCCGGATCGACATTCCAGTGGCCTAGCTAGAAAACTAAGAAGCACATAATGTACCAACCATACTTGATTGAGTTATCGGTTAGCTGGGCCTCTTTCCTGACCCATAACAGAAGAAATCTTTGACATACTGGTATGTTGGGTGGAAGCGCTTTCCATGACTGTTTCTTTAAACAATGAATTCTTCAGACAATGAAGCGCAAGCTAATAGCTGAGTCGTAATAGTTTACTCAAAACCAGATGGTTCCTATTTGATCAGATGTAAATTTGCAGATCTGTGGGACCTACGAAGCCAGTGGCGGAAGTTCCCGAGTGTGCGACCTGGTACTGGTTTTCTTTTCTTTCCCTGTTCTCCAACTCAACTAGCCCAGGGGTGTTGTATTAAAAAATGAGACAGGGTCTGGTTCAATATTTTCGCGCTAGGTTTTATCCAGAAATGAAGTAAGCACTGGCCCAGATGTAACCATGGGAAGATGTACCTTGACGGTTGCGGATTTTCTATCATCTGCCAGGACGATTGCAAAAGCATGGCTAGAAAGGGCGTAAATTGCCTGCTAGGTCCCTAAGGTACTACACTACGTATGAGGCTTTCACCCCCGTCGATCGTTACTCTAATAAAACAACCGGGCCATTTTTTACTACAGTAGAAGAATGCATGCATCCAGCTAGCTAGCTTAGTAGCCACATGATATACATTCTTTTCCCTGTTCTTGAAGTAAAAGGCAGCGATCAGTGCTCTATCGACGTCAGAGACAAGGAGAAACTCACTCCGAAATTGCAATGTCTCTTGGCCGAAGAATATTTAAAGACCCATCGCCAGGCATCACAGCTGATTCTCACCACCATCTCTAACCAGCCTTCCAAGTGTTTCTTGTCATCCCGAAAGCTTTCAACAAAACCTTGTGAGTGTTACCAAATTTCATGTCCTAAAGCCAACTAACTCCTCATAGAAGAGAAATCCATCCCGTCAACATGAAGTTCATCATTGCTACTTTCGCTCTCGTGGCTACTGCCATCGCTGCCCCACCTCAGGTCCAGGGTTCTGGTGAGGAGAAAGCCTGCAAGAATAACGAGACTGTTGTTTGCAAGGATAACGGCAGCGCCTCTCTTCTGAGTTTGGGCAACATTGCTACGGGTGCTCTGGGTTCAAGCTGCTCGAATGGTAACTTTTACTGCTGCTCCGAAGACGATGTCAAGGATGTAAGAGACCACCAAGCTCCAATGTGTGTTGATTGTCAACTAATCACAAGAGTTCAAGATTGGCCTCGTGAACCTGGACGTGGACGTGTCATGCAGTCTCAACGACATTCTGTAGAGCGCTGCGTCGGTACTTTGGCGGTGGTAATACGGGCATTTGATGCTTTTAAGTTTGCCTAGCTAAATGACTCAGCAATCGAGTTCTATGATTGTGTAATCTTGTTGTCTTCCTGTTCAATGCTCTTCCACGTATCCAAAGTGGAAGCGCAATGTTATCTCACGACTACCCGCACTGCCACAAGGTTTTGTGTCCGGTCATTCAGAATAATATTATTAATCATCTCTCATTCTTTACAATAAGCAAAGAAAAAAGTGCCATATTGGGGATCGTGGCCTGTAGCGTCATGGTGCTTCTCTTTGGTCTGCTAGTATACGGAGGGCCGTCGACCCAGGTCATTCATTCCAACTGACCAGTGTGTTTGAAAACCCTTCATTATATGATAATTATGTATTGTCTGGGAACCATCCGACCTGGGTACCATCCGACCTGGGTACCATGTCTGCGTTCAAGTGTTTATCCCCGCTTTCTGTTTATTGCACAGGTACATGTGATGAGAGTCCAGTCCTAAATTTTGGCTACTGACATATCGAGTTCCATTTTTATGGTCGGGGGGATTTTGTTGTGATTACATCGGAGTTTTTAACTAATAGTCTCCATTGTGCACGATAAAACGGGATTATGAAGATTAGGCTATAGACTTTTAACCACATCCAGTCGCACTTGTTCTCAATCAGACAGAGATAATAAAGATTCTCACAGGATGTCGTTAAGAGCGCATTGCAGGTTAAGGTCCAGGTTGATCAAACCATGCTGAAATTTGCATTAGCTTTTGAATATCATTCAGCTGAAACCATATCATACCTGTTCCACGTCTTCCGTCGTGCAGCAGTAAAAGTTGCCATTGGAGCAGCTGCTACCAAGAAGACCTGTAAGAATGTTGCCCAAGGACAAGAGACCAGCTTCGCCATTTCCCTTGCAGACGACCGTTTCATGGTTTTCGCAAGATCTTTCATTCCCCTTACCACCGTTGCCGGTGGGAATGGCAAGGGCGGTGACAAAGAGAGCGGAGAGAGCGAGGGTGTACTTCATTTTGACGAGCGGTGAGGCAATGTAGTGGACTGGCTTTTCGGCAACTTGCTTGAGGCAAAGGTCAACTTTTGAAGCACAATGCGAGTGGAATAAGGTACTGTACCTGAGAATCTTGAAGTCAAGTTAAAAGTATTTACTTGGATTCAATTTTTGATTCTCATGTCCAGGTACTTATACAGTTGAGGCGGGGTGAGCATTGCGAATAACAGAAGCCAACAATACTGACGTCAAAATAAAAACTATCAGTCTCTAGCTTACTACCCTAGCGTAGGATCATATAAATGGCTGATGCTCTACAAAGACCCTGTAGAAGTAACCTAAGTACCTTTCCGAAAACGGCGTTCTGGTCTGGCTGTTCCCCCGGAATGGACGGACAGGTTAAGATTTTGTGTGGCGTTAAGCCACCCGCCAACTCTGAATCTCCACTATTTTCTCCTAAGAAATCACTCAGGTGTGAAAATGGACTGAGAACCAGAAGCCAGAAGTCTGAGCTTGTTAGAGCGTAGCATTGAATATTTATTCGTACCTTGATGTTACAGGCCAATACAACGACAATCTCGGGTTGATCTCGAGTATAGAGCTAAAATGCCGAAAACGGCACATTGGCAACTCGAACCCAGCTGTGGATATTGGGTACAACATCAAAATTTTACTTGATTAGATCGGCACTGATGCACCACAAAGTATTCCTTCTATGCTTTGCAGTTGACGGTTGCAGCATCGGTGGTCGCAGAAGGGGTCAGTATGGTTCTCCTCGAGATAGCGCGCGAAAAGGCTTCGATGAGCTGCAAACAATGCCCGATCCACTACGTACCTGAGAAGTGGAAGAGAATGTTTGTCTCATAGGCATTAGAATGATTGTGGAATCTTGCTCTTGAGGCATGCATTTCTCGACCTTGCTTTCTAATGTGCTCAGCATTGAGCGGGAAACGATGCACTCTTGTCAATACTAAGGTCCGCCCAACATTAAATGGCCATTTAACCGACGACGAGAAGGCCCAATCACTGTATGGGTCGATGTGGCCGAACGGCAGTTTTCGTATTTAGGTTCTCTTCAAAATTATGCTTAAACTGACCGCATCCATATTCTAGGCGTGAAGACATCTTTGGAATATTCATTGCAGCGGGCCAAATTCTCTCGGTTAAGATTTGAGAGGCGATTCCGAAGCTATTAATAGTATTTCTCCACTCACATAGACCCATTTGCAGGCCCAAGAGCTGCTTTCAGGTCAATCAAATCCTTCTCAAGATTTGTACCGGTCATGATACACAAGGTAGCACCCTTCACCCCACTATATCGGGAGATGTCCTTGTAATAGGAGACTCTAGACGAATGCAGCATTTTGGGCGCACGAAACGTTTGCGTTAAATTTTTAGGAATTATGCCATATATAAGAGCTCTCATCTTTGCGAATCATGCACTAGCGTACAAAAGTTCTAAGAAGTGTGTTTCACATATCAAAGATTACAATTCAAGCCAATCAGCTACCCAAAACTCTTGCAATTGCTCTCTTGGACAATCCACAAAATGAAGTACCTCTCCCTTCTATTGGCTCTTGCTACCTACGCCGTTGCTGGGTCTGATCCCAAAGAAGCCACCTGCGAGAATGAAGAAACTGTCGTCTGCGAAAGCAACGGAAATGGACTTGTGACTCTAGGCAATATCGCGACGGGCCTTCTTGGAGAAAGCTGCTCTAATGGCAATTTCTATTGCTGCTCCACAAAAGATGTCGAACAGGTTTGTTTTTCAAATATACTGCTCTGTCGTTCGAATGGCTAACCAGCCCTGCATAGATCGGTGTTCTCAATCTAGATGTGAATGTGCAGTGTTCTCTGAATGACATTCTTTGATCACTTCATCCGAACTATGTTTGGTTTCCTTGGAAGTGCCATCTTGCTGGCTTTTAGCTGTCGACCAGTGGAGAGATCTAGCCAGCCGCCTTTGCTTTTCTTATGGTATTTTTCAAGAATGCAAAGGATATATTTAACACATTCTTTTTCTAACTGTTGATGATTCCTTCCACCTCTGGAGCCCATGTCAATCTTCAGATATCTTTTTGGGGGCATACCCTTTGTATTGGCGAGATATTGGTGTCTTGAGGACTCGTATGGCTTATTGAAGAAGCAAGGCGCTCAAATAACAGACTGAGCGTAAGTTATCAGCCTATGCTTTACGAAATGAACAAAAGTCAAAAAAGTTGGGGGCCGCAACAGGCTTCTAAAGAAACGGATGATCCTTAGATTAGTCTTTTTGGTTGTGGCTAGGTCATGCCTTGATGTGGCAGTGACTTCGTTCCGTTCAGAACGCAAGTGAAGCACGTTCTAGTACCCTCACCTAGCTCCCCATGCATGATATACTGCTTGATACCCAAGTCAGGAAGTTTTCCCCTTATCCAAAGTGATAACATAATAAACAATCACTTGTGAAAGGCTTCTGCTCATCAATTCGGTAAACCTTTATAGAGGCAAAGAAGGCATGACACGACACAGAGTCATTTCTGTTCACGACCCGCCAAGTACACAAAGATGCAATATTGAAGAGGCATTGTGAAAAGAAGCGGTTGACTATTTATGACAGAGCAAGGTAACATTTCGAGTCTTCATTTTGCAAGCCACAGCAGGTATTTCTGCCACCAATGGAAGAGCAATCTCTTCTGAGTAGTCTTTAGATCTAGGATTCATGGTTCATATAGTATTAATAGTCTCAACAGAAGTGGTATTACTACCGACGAAGCAGGGAGTAGAACTTTGAGGAGCCTACAAAGATCTTATGTATTCAATGGAACCTAGCGGCTTGGCTATAATACATTGACTGAAAGACTAGGAGATCTCAATATCAAGATAGTAAGCCTAAAAAAGCTTTCGACTAGGCCATTTAAGGACAGACAAGTACGTGTTCTTGCGATAAGACGATGCGGCATCTCAAAAATGTAAAACCGAAAAGAAATAGAAGACTCTTCCGGGTACATCGGTCTCAAAATCAAACACAGGTGGATAGAAAACAAACATTATCGCTCGTGCTGTCTGTAAAATTCATCGCCGATCCCCTTGAAGTGCCGCAGTTTTCCATGGATCGGTTCCGCTAGGCGCGCCAAGCCTCTGGGGACTGCCGCGCGACATGACATCCACGTCTGCAAAATCCCACCTTCGTTTGACTGCGGATGGAGCTGTCCCCGATCGCGCCCAAATGTGCCCCTGCCGTGCTTGACCGGGAATACACTGATTCACCGCTGCACGCGTTTTGTGTGGTCCCAGCCCACCATGGACCATGTTCCCTCGCGCGCGGACTCGAGCGCATCGGCGAATACAGTGGGAAGCGGCTCGCCATCCCCCCACAATGAAGATGAACACGCAGGGGACGCGGTGGGAACAGGCGACAAAGAGGCCCAGCCGGCGCCGGATATCATGCGAGAGGATGCAATGGACGAAGACCCTCCACCCGAACTGGTTACAACACCCATGAACCTGTCCGGCGCGTTGGCGAAGCAAGCACAACAAGGCGAAGCCCGCGGGTTTGGGCCGCCCGGTATCATGGCTGAGTCCAGTGGAGCTGAGCTCAGGGCCCCTGGCGTGCAACCAGTTCAGAGCATGTTCAACAACCCGCCAAATCTTGCGCGCATTCGCAGGGTTCTGTTTGAGTGCAAAGACCCTATCGAGATCAGCCTGGAGGAGTTCGAGACATATTGGCCATTCATCGATAACGTATGGGTCAAGCAGAGAACGAATGCCAGCAAGGAGGGCCACTGTACCACCGACTATTACATGTGTCGTTTACGACGCCCAACGCATCGCACGTCCGAGACTCGTCCGTTGCCAGAAGGGAAACGTCCACGAAAGAAACGAGTGCGCGAGGGGGGTCTCTGCAATTTCCAGATCAAAGTGGTCCGGTTTGAAGGCGCGTATTCCACCGTCACCATTTCGAGGACGCCTGGAAGCGGTAGCATTCACTCTCATGACCTGGATTATATTGATCGAGTCAAACGCAACTCAGGGCTGATGGAATTCGCCCGCCGGGAGTCCGCAATGGGATACCTCCCCTCTTCTATCTATACCAAATTCCAGGAGGAGCCAGAAAAGCTTGACGAAGCGGGCGGTCGGTTCCTCACTGTGACGGACGTACGCAACGTCTCTGCCAAGTGGCGCATTCAAAACCCCGACGTCACGCTTGTTCCCCATGACGGCTATGAACTAGTCAAGGGCCATGGGATTGTGAAATCTCACAGTGCCAACGGGCCGAGCGAAGTGGTGCAACCCCATCCAGTCCTGGCTACCTCATCCCCTCATCTGGCGCCGGACACGCTATCCTTCCCCAATTTCTCCCTCGATTTCCTGCAAGCCTACTTGCCCAATCACTCGCAACGACGCGAGCTGCCTCACGTCACTCTGTCCTATGCGTCATCCATGGACTCCAAGATCTCTCTTCGGCCCGGGATGCAGACCGTGCTCTCGGGGCCCGAGGCCAAGCTCATGACCCACTATCTTCGCTCCCGCCACGATGCGATCCTCATCGGCGTCGGCACCGTTCTTGCCGACAACCCTGGATTGAACTGCCGCCTGGAAGGTGCAGGAGGCTTTGGGGGGTTGGGCAGGATGTGGCAGCCCCGGCCCGTGGTGATTGACCCCATGGGACGCTGGCCCATTCACCCGGATTGCCGAATGCTACGAACAGCCGTGGAGGGTAAGGGCAAAGCCCCGTGGGTGGTCGTGTCGCCGGGGGCTCAGATCAATCCGCAGCGACTGATGATGCTCAAAGGTTACGGCGGCGACTTTCTCCGCATTGTGGAATACAACCAGAATTGGCGACTACGGTGGGAGGCAGTTCTCCGAGCCCTGGCGTCCGAGGGCATCAAGAGCGTGATGATTGAAGGAGGTGCGACCGTCTTGAGCGAGCTCCTGAACCCGGAGTATACGAACTTCATTGACTCGATCATCGTGACGGTGGCGCCCACCTACCTTGGCCGTGGCGGCGTGAGTGTCAGCCCGGATTCCAAGCTGGACCAGGAGGGCAAGCCCAATGCAGCGTTGAACCCGCGCGATGTTACATGGACGCCGTTGGGCCAAAATGTCATCATGTGCGGCAACATACGACCGCAGGCTGAGCGACCGCAGAGTCACTCGTGAAGACGAGATGTTCTTGCTCCGGTAGTCGAGGTGAGACCTGTCGAGGATGGAAGTCTGTGCAAGTATATGAAAGTATAATGTCCTGTAATTACGACGGCCATGACAATGAGACAATGAAACATGATAAGAACGCGAAGCTGCATCCGAGCCAGGACCGGAGTAGCGAAGGATCGGGCATAATGGTAGCGCGAATTATCATACCAGATGGGCATCATCGGAGCCATAGCCCAAGAGTAGACCGGGGGACAAGAAACTTCGTAAAGGCCGTTATCAGGAACGGACCATGCACAGGCAGCTTGGTCTCTCGGAAGGCAAGCGGATGCTTTGTCTGCTCTTCCCGCTCGCGATGACATTGATAGTTCGTTGACTCGTTCAGTTACGTAGCTAGTTCTTCGACAGGTAAATATGAATCCATTGCTGCAGGCGGATTTCGCTTGGATTACGTAGCTTTCATCCGGTTTTCCTAGTTCACTTTTTTCTGCCGGTGTCCTCGGGAGGCCGGGGGGAATGCCGCATTATTTACGTTTTCCCTCGTGTCTTGGCGCCTTTTTTTCTTTGTCGCGTCTTTTCTTTCTCCCCTTCGCAATTCTCAATTCCCCAAACCACCCACCCCCTCCTCCCCCCTTTCTCTCCCCCCCCATCTCTACATTCCACGCCACAATGCCTCCGAAGAAGAATGCGGATACTGCGTCCGCGAAACCAGCAGCTAAGGCTTCCGCGGCCAATACCTCTACCAAATCCGCGCCCAAGTCCGCATCGAAGCCTGCTGCGACAGGCCGCGGACGCCCCAAGAAGACGGACACTGAATCGGCACCCAAGAGCTCAGTGAAGAAGGAAGTGAAGGACACGAAGAAGGCGGCAAAGAAGGAGACTGCTGAGAAGCCGAAGACGACTGTTGAGCAGCCGAAAAAGACCAAGACCGTGGCCACGACGATGTCTACAAGCGCGTCGAAGAAGCGCAAGGCGGATGAGGATGACGAGAAGCCTCGCGAGCCCAAGAAACCCCGCGTCATCCGTGAGGCCAAGTCCAAGGTGGTCAAGCCGAAGGCCGCCGCTCCCAAGGTTGTCATTAATGAAGTGCCCACGACTCGCCTGAACGTGTTTGTCTGCGGCGAAGGCAGCTCCGGCGAGCTGGGACTGGGAGCCGCCAAAAATGCCATCGATGTGAAGCGGCCGCGCTTGAATAAATTCCTGGACGCGCAGGAAGTGGGTGTGGTGCAGGTTGCAGTGGGTGGCATGCACTGTGTGGCCTTGACCCACGACAACAAAATCTTCACCTGGGGTGTCAATGATCAAGGCGCGCTGGGGCGCGACACTGCCTGGGATGGTGGATACAAGGATATTGATGACGCTGCCAACAGCGACTCGGATTCGGACGATGAGGACAGTGGGTTGAATCCCAATGAGTCCACTCCCACTGCGATTCCTGCGAACGCATTCCCCAAAGGAACTGTCTTTGCCGCCGTCGCCGCTGCCGACAGCGCGAGCTTTGCTCTGACAAATGATGGCTTGGTCTATGGCTGGGGCACCTTCCGGGTAAGATGAATAAATTGATCCGGTCTATATGGGATTGATCAGGCTAATCACCGTTGGTTTAGAGCAACGATGGCATCTTAGGCTTCGATCCGGAGCACCGCGTTCAAACCACTCCTCTCCTCATTCCCTCCCTGAAAAAGATCAAGCAGCTGGCTTGCGGTGCCAACCACGTCCTCGCCCTGAACGACAAGGGTAGCGTGTTCTCCTGGGGCTCGGGCCAGCAGAACCAGCTCGGTCGCCGCATCGTTGAGCGCAACAAACTTCACGGGCTGCAGCCTCGCGAATTCGGGCTGCGCAAGAACATCGTGCATATAGGCTCTGGCTCTTACCACTCCTTCGCGGTTCACGCGTCGGGTAAGGTCTTCGCGTGGGGTTTGAACAGTTTCGGTGCGACTGGTATCCGAGACAATGCTGGTGACGATGAAGCCGCCATTTCTCACCCGGTCGAGGTCGACTCCCTCTCGGGCCGGAACATCACTCAGCTTTGCGGCGGCTCTCACCACTCTATTGCCCGCACTGCCGATGGCCAATGCTTGGTCTGGGGCCGTGTGGATGGCTACCAGACCGGCCTGAAGGTGGACTCTCTCCCGGAGGATTCGATTATCAAGGATGAACGTGGACGCCCCCGAATCCTCATCGAGCCCACCCCGGTTCCGGGCATCAACGCCGTCGTGGTTGCCGCCGCTTCGGACCACTCGCTTGTCATTGATGCGGACGGTCGTGCTTGGTCTTGGGGCTTCTCAGCCACTTACCAGACCGGACAGGGCACTCAGGATGACATCGAAGTTGCCACGAAGATTGACAACACCGCTACTCGTGACCGAAAGCTCAACTGGGCGGGCGCGGGTGGCCAATTCTCTGTTTTCACCGATGCGGCGAGCGTGTAGAATGGATTCACGTTTCCCTTTGCCCCGTGCCATTCGACAACCTCCGGTTGGCGCTCCAAACTGCGATTTCATCAGGGTTGGACTTCTTTGATCGAATTCTTGTTTCCTCTTTTCTTTTTCTCTCCTGCAAATCTTTTCTCTCGATTCTCCAATCTTCGGCGCACCAATGTGAACTTAGCTCCACTCCTGAGACTTCGGCCAGGCATGTCATAGTAATATCCAAGAACCCGCTTTCTGCTATTCTCAATGATTTTACAGCTTTACAAGAGCCATCATGATGGCGTCGGTTCGTCAACTTCATTTTGGGCATATTATGGGATTCATCCTAGTCATTATCAGGCACAGTAGTTTGATAGCCACGGCTATAGGCCGAGTTCATTCATCGCTTCGTATTCGGCGTCAAAGTCATCCAGGCTACCATTTGGTGCTCGCGAGGGCGGCTCGGGTATTCCAGACATGACTTCGTCTTGTTCTCGGAGAAGGTCTTCGAGATCATCGTCATCGGGTTCGGGATGACTGACTGGGGGTCTGGTCTCTGCTTCGGAATCTGGCATGAAGAGGTCTTGGTCTGCAGTCCCTGATGTCCCCTCCTGCGGTCGAGATGGGGTTGAAGATCGGGGCTCTGACGCGTGCATGCCATTTTGATCGGAGGAAAGCCTGGTGGGAAGATCGTGGGTGGCTGGCACGTCGCGCGACTCATCGAATCGCCGCGGTTTCTCCTCGTCGATCCACTCCCGCCTCATTGTTTGGATCCGCTTGGTGTGACCAAGTTTCTCAATCATTGTTAAGCCGTCTGCGAATTTGGCGCGCGGGAATAGATCATCGAGCCATAGCTGGTAGAAGTTCAGCAGGCGGGCGGCGTCCGAGAACTATAGAAATGGGTCATGGAGTGAGCTTCAATTTGCGTGGTCCCGTATCTTGACGAGCCAACCAACCTCGTGCCCTTTCCCTTTGAGTCTGAGTTTCTGCTTTGCTGCGCGACGTAGCTTGGGGATGCCCGGCTGTGACAGCAGGCTTAAAGGGCTCGTCAGTCCCGACCTCCCCCTTTTGAATAGTGAGTGGTTCACAGCTTACCGGGCCTCGTCCAGTTTCGCTACCGGCTGTCGTTTCTTCGTGATTTTGACTTCCTCGTCCAGCCCCAGGCCTAGTGAAGTAGGATCTCCCGTTGCTGGCTTAGGCGCATCGGCGTTAGACGCGGGGTTCTCTTGGCCTTGAAAGATCTCATCCAGTCCCACGTCGTAATCAAACAGATCGTTCACATTATTGGGGGAGCTGGCCCGCTCGGAAGTGGCATCCATTGTGGGCTGTGGAAGGACAGTTTTGAGTTGAACGTTCATTGCTTCACCATGTTCCAGCATCACCAAGGACGCGTCGATGGAAGGCTGCACACGCGCCGAGTCATTCGCGACGTTCATTGGCCACAGTGATGTTGCCCACCCGATATGCGCTAAGCCCCAAGCGGTCTAGTGGCCTCCTCCCTCCAACTTCCGAACTTCGAACTTCGACTCTGCACAACAATCCCCACCAACTGCATCATGGCTACCGACCACAGCACGGCCATTGTGCCCCCCAAGCGGGCCGTCACTGACTACCCGGTATCAATTGATCCTTCTGAACCCCTTGACTGAGTATCCAGCTAACGCATTCCCGTCCCTCCCCGCAGCTGATTGACTCCGACCCGTATGCAAGCCGATTGCCCCGACATACCTTTGAATCGAGACTTACCATAATTATTTAGGCATCTGCGCCGTGTGTTTGGATATGCTCGCCCTTCGGATTATGCCGTCGCCGGTGGAGCGGCTTCGATCTCCCCCATTGCCTTCTGGGTCATGGAGCGAGTGAGCCCGTCGCATGTCGGTCGCGGTGGCTTCTCCCCGGTCATGCGCCTCGCAACCGCTGTCGGCCTCCTCGGCGGACTTCACGTGCTGTACCAGCGCTCTTGCCGTAGGTTTTTTGAACTTCTAGCTTCGATTTCTGATTGAAAGCGCTCACACTCGCCATAGAACGCTTCTACGGATTCACCGAGAACACCAGAGAGGTCGAGATGGATATGCGGGAGATGGTCAACAAAGTGAAGAAGGGTGAACCCCTCTACGGCACATCCCAGGTGTCGTCCTATCTCCAGGGTGTGGCTGCCCGCAATTCTCGATACTCTGAACTGTTCATTCATGTCCTGCCATGGGTCAATGTCGTCAACCACGACCAGGTTAGTTTCTCTGCGCCTACCTCTTCTCCCCTCCCTGGGCCCTTGGCTGATATTAACCTTTCGGTCTTAGCACGGTGTGGACACCGCCAAATACTATCAGCAAGCGGAGCGTGAATTGGAAGCGGAGCGGTTGAGCAAGGCATGATGCCTTGGCCAGTAGAGCGTTACCACCCATAGAGGTGAACATGGAGTTGCACAACTTTTGTACACATATCCTTTTGTGTTTTTTTCCCAAGGCGCACTTTCAATTAAAACAATTTTCTGTTCTCATCTAATATCCTTCCTGCTGTCTTGTAAAAATCTCTCCTTATGAACGCCGAACAATCCGGTCTTGTGATCGTGTAAACTAAAGCAACCCTTGAACCCGAATCTCCCTCTATGGTGCCAGCAGAACATTCCCGTCATTCTCACCTTCATTCTCGTTCTGCTCGTCAAACGCGGTATTCAATTCGCGGTTCTTTTTCGGTCGGGGGTTGGGTGCTGTAGGGAGATTAGTATTGCAGGCGATACTTCCAGTCTAAGTGATATATAGGGTTGACGGACCTTTCTCGTTTTCTTGGATGTAGAAACGCCGGAGAAGCATGATGGCTTCTTTCTGGAATAGCCCACCATACACCAGGTAGGGTGGGTCAATTGAGCGGCTGCTTTTAGTTAGTTAGTGTTCATATGCTTCACGTTGAGGGCACCACGGACTCCGAATGAAGCGACAGCACTCCTCCCGTTCCACCAAATCGGTCATTAGCACAACCAAAGTACACACTTCGAATACGGTACTGCTTGAGGGCTGAGGCACACATCACACATGGCTCCACGGTCACGTAGAGATCGGTGGATTGGAGAAGAGACTTGGGGTGGCTCTGGAGTAGTTCTGCGATCGCAAGAAACTCAGCATGCCGGGTTCCCTGCAGAGAATCAGCATTGAATTGGCAAGGCTGCTGGGAGGTGAGAGGCGAAGGGCGGGACACCGACGTTCAGCGATCGGTTGGTATCATTCATGCCCGATCCCACAAGCTGGTCATCATGCACCAGCACACACCCGACTGGAGTTTCCCCAACCTGGAGAGCTTTCTCTCCCTGAAATCAATCTTCAGTCATTTGGATTTCCTCGGAGCAAGGGCGGTAGGTTGCTCACCATCAGCAGGGCCTGCTTCATCCAGTAGGCGTGCCTTGAGTTCTCGGACACTGCCGGGCTGATTTCGAGTTCCGTGATTGGCTCATCCATGGCTTTGGACGTGTCTTCTTCTTGCCTGGAGAGACGGTAGGTAATGTTGACCGAGGGGGTCGAGCTTGAAAAGGTTTAGGGAAGTGTCAGGGCGAGAAACCACGGGAGACGGAAATTTCCATAGAAGCTCACAAGGGGTGCAAATCACGGCAAGGCAAAGATTCACGTCACGCTTTTTCTAGACCTTTCTCCTCACAAATTCCCTGGTCCTCTGTAGAGGACTTTCCTTTGTCCCGAGTATAGAAGAATGGCCCTTTGGTGGATCTGTGGAATACCAGATAGACGTCTCGTCCACTAAATATCGTCGATGGGCACAAGCGGGGCTTATCTCGACGTCTCACAACCGCACTCATCCAGAAACCCCGTAAGAGAATAATCCCGGGGCTCACTATTGCCGTTGATTCAACTGTTAGTGTTCATGTCCATGGGTCTACAGCGCTACCAGCCGTCCAACGTCCATCCATCAGAGGAGAAAAGGTGTGGCGGCGGGTCTCTGCCTCAGGTGTCCGCGACATATCAGCTCCGCGTATCTGCGGCTCTTCCTCGACTCGCGTACACTCAGTTACTCGCCTAAACCTTGGAATCCACGTCCGACCATGTACGTTCCCTATGGCAGCTGAAGCTGACAATTCTCGAGGCTCCTCCGGGGAGGACTGGAGACCGGCGGAGCCAGCCTCGTCCATTCTGGCAGCGCATTTCGCCCCACGCCTTGCAACCCAAGGACATGAGACGCATCGACTTTCCCGGGAGGCATTTTCGCAGCTCCGTCAGGAGCTCCTGGGTGAAAGATACACCCAAATTCGCATGGATGAAGGCATTACCGATATCAATAAGCTCATCTGCATCGTTCTAAAGGCTGGTCTAGAAGCGAGTCCCCCCGGCAGCGCTCCGGAGGAGGATATGGAGGGTCAAATCCTGGATTGTCTGGACATCATCCAAGCAAGCATCGACAAGGCACCCCAAGCTCTGGGGGATATCTCAGATTCCCTTATCTTGGGCGAAGATGTTCAGGCGCCCTTGTTTTCGTGGCTGATCCTACGATTGATCAGACTGGCCGGCAGGTGGCCTTCGGAAGCCGCCCAGGAAAGAATCCATGCCATCTTCACCAGCATAGCTTCTTTGCAGTACAAACAAGTCCGTTTCTCGTCTTCGTACCATGGTACCTCGGCATTCCTTCGGGCTTGTACGCTGGGTGGGTTGATGCTTCCTTCTTGGTGTTGTGGCACCAACAAAACTGACGCGTTACAGACATCTTGTGCTCCCTGGAAGTGTTCCTAGATATGGACCTGCGGAATTTCCACCCTGTCAAATTGTCTATACCTTCAAAGAAGGGATCACTTCTAGTGGACTTGGATAATTTGGGCCTTCCTCGTGGTTTGTGGAAGCGAAATTTGCCGCTAGGGTCATTTCCCCAGGCAGCCGCCCTAGCCACATCTATGCTGGCCTCTCTCAGCCCCGAGGTGACAATTCAAGGAATTCCCAAGCGGCGGAACTGCACGCTCCGCCAGAACCTTCCATGGGTGTTGAATGGATACAATCGCCTACGAAGAGTACTCGTCAGATGGCTACAAACTCCGGGTCTGAAAGTCGCCCCCGCTGAGGAACAGGTTATCTTGCAATTCCTGATATGCATGCACCGTCTTTGCGTTTCTGAGTCATCAATGGCTACTCTGTTATCTGACATGAGCCTGGCTTCCACCTGGACTCAATGCCTGGCCGAATTTCTCCCCCTCAGCATCAGCCTTCAACTGCCTGCAATCCAATCCGATTTGAGCCATTTCCTAGACGAGGTGGCTCAGGCGATAGAACAATCCAAGTCATCCGTGCCTCAATTGCGAGAATCCTTTCTGCCTGTTCTCGCGGAGGTCAAGGCTCAGAATCTTAATTTCCGAATTGTGGAGGCGTGCCTTGGGGTAAGGACCGAGCTGAACTTGGTGAGATTTGGCTTTGGCTAACCCATTCCTAGAAATCCATCCACGGTCTTCATTCCAGGCTGCTGGATAATATCACAGTTGCATTATGCCCGTCTCGCGCTTCAGCAGACTCCCATGATATCGATACATCTGCTACAAATCAAAAGCCTGGAACATTGGATCAAGGGACCAAAGAAAACGAAGAACTAATACGGGCACCAAAAAGACTATGCGTGTCTGCAGAGTCCCCCAATGAGGACTTAATCCAATTGCTTTGCGACAAACTTTCATCACTGTTGGGTTGTGAATGTGCGGCAAATCTAAAAGACTTATGTGCTGCTGTACAGTGAGTGTCTCGAAGACTTTGTTTTGTTAAAAGTGGGAAATGAACTCAACACACTTTCACAGGAACCTATACGAGGGGATTTCCGAGCCCCAGAAAACGCTATTCTTACAAGACCTGGGTAAACTTTCTTGCGCGTTGATGGGGACTTTGGTGCGAAAGCCCTCTGATGTTATTGTGCGAGATACTCTGTTCTGCCAAAGATGCGATGATGAGCAACATGAACTGAACAACAGCCCCGAGAAAGAAGTCACTGGCTACGAGGTGCTGTGGACCATGTTCAATTTCGTCCTACCTCGGCTCTCACGCACACCTGGTCCACGAATAGCTGCCATGGTTGCTTTAAGACGTATTCTGATACACTCTCCAAATATGAGCCAGATGTATCTCTCATCTGCTTGTGGAGAATTCTGCCTTCACTCTCTTCGGAGTTCTATTCGAGAGCTTCGGGTAGCAACCGGGTATGTCCTCGATTCGGCATTTGATATGGACTTAAGGCTAATATGTCTATTTAGGCACTCAGTGGTAGCATTTGTACGACCAAATCTTCAGCCAGATGTTCGCCGGGCCAACTTTGTGATCGTTTTGGAATGGCTTAAGAATCTGTCCGAGAAAGATGACATGCCTTTACAAGAGGCATGCGTCTTGACGCTATGTCGTCTGGCAAGGTCTGTTGATAAGTCCCAGGCTGCTCTCTCTTACTCTCCCAGCTCACACTGTCGCAACCAGGGTCTCGGAGGATGATGAAAAGAATATGATTCTTTTACGTCTGCTGGAGTACCTCGGCCATCCCAACCCTTACGTTTGCGCGGTGGCCTACAATGGGGTAAGTAACGCTCAAAAGTATATGGGCATCTTTTTAAGCCAGCTGTGCCTGCTTCCATTGTGCAGACTCTTCTTTTTTGTATTGCCAAGACTAACTGTCCGCACTAGCTGTCTAAACTTGCGCAGCAATTTTGCTTGACACCTGCTGGCTTGTTCCGACCGTACTGGCGAACACTTTCCGTAGCAGTTGTCAAAAACCTTCAGTCTCGCCCCTACATGGCCGAACAGCTATGTGAACTGCTCGGCATGAAAGTTGATGGCTTCCTTCGACTGACAGAGGTCCATGTACTTCCTTATTTGGTCTTGACAAGAAAGCGAGACATCATTTGCAGAATCGGAGCTAGCCGCAATGAAGGGGAATCGCCTTTTGACGTTTGTTCCGAGAAAAACAACCTCGCAGCAATCCTCGCTTTCCTTCTGGCCCAACAATCTGACAACCCAGAAGCCATGATCATGTCTCTTCTTGCGGAAATAGACCCCGCATTCAAAGGTCGCACGTTGGCTGAGTTGGTGCGAATCGAACCGATTCTCATCGCCTGTGACTTGCTGAAGAGTCTTGGGGATGCGGGGGAGCAAAACAAAGAAAGAGTGTGTATAATGATACCAGCCCCAAAAACTTACTATTGCTGCCGCAAAGCAACAGGAAACATTTTACTTACACCCCATTCGAATTTAGTTCCACCAAGCACTCCGTCGCCTTGCCACCTTCGTTCCCCGAAAATTCTTGCATGGGAGCTCTTCTAAGAACGCAGATTTATTGAGCCACTTCATCGAAGAACATGTCCTCGGTATCATCACTCAATTTGCAAACGCGATCAACGACTTTCAAGTGAGGCAAACTTTGGCCGAAAAACGACGGAACCTCAAGGCAATTGAAGAAATGATCAATATTGCTCAAGGGCATGTTAGTAATGCTTTGCCCCAGGTCTGCGCCTGTCTTCGATCTGCACTCGAGATCGAAGCATTGTGCGATCATGCTTTTTCGGCATGGAAGACATTGATTAGCTCCCTCAGTGAGGAAGATATTGAACCTCTTATCGATCAGACCTGGGCCATTGTGATCAGATACTGGGAGAGGCTGACTGATGAAAGCAAAAGGCAAGCCCATCACCTCATTGACCATATTTTGACGAGCCACCCGAATCTTGTGCGGGATACATTCAATACCATGCCTTCGCTTGCCTCTATCCCAGAATTAGCCACCTTTGAGATCACGATCAACGAATTGCGAGCGCAGATGGATGTCCGAAGTAGATTTCTAGCTCTCATACGCCGCTGCCAGAGTGAGAATGCAGCTGTTGTCGAGCAAGCTCTGCGGGAATTGATGCCTTTTCTCTCAGAGAACGAGGAGTTTTTGCATTTGTCTGTTCTCAGCGAACAACCCGATCCTGTTATTGCACAGTTAACGAGAGCACTACTGGACTGCTGTGTTAAATTCAACACCAGCTCTGACTGCATTACTCTGCTATCGTCACAATGCTTGGGTCTCGTCGGTTGCCTCGATCCAAATCGAGTGGAGACAATCAAGGAGAAGAAGGACATTCTTGTGCTGTCAAATTTTGACAGAATGGAAGAGACTGTGGAATTTATTCTCTTTTTCCTCCAACATGTGCTGGTCGAGGCATTCTTATCGGCATCTAATACGAGAGCGCAGGGATTTCTAGCATATGCAATGCAAGGCCTTCTCAAGATCTGCAATCTGAATGCGGCTGTCACTCAAAGGTCTCGCGATCTTCAAGGTGACGAGAAATATCAACGGTGGATGGAGCTTCCAGAAAGTGTCCGAAATACTCTCACCCCTTTCCTTACGTCCACTTACACTGTCACTGTTGTCGCGACCAGTTCAAAAGCCAAATATCCTTTGCTGTCACCAAAAATAACACATAGTGAATGGCTTCGGAGTTTGGTGCAAGACTTGCTCCAAACGGGAAATGGAGATAACGCAAAGCTCATATTTGCAGTGTGTAGCCGCGTCGTCAAGGGCCAAGACATATCCATTTCCTCGTTCCTTCTACCATTCTCTGCCTTGAATCGCATTGTTGGAGGTACCGAGCAGGAGCAGCAAGATCTTCAGGTTGAACTCATGAATGTCCTTTCCCATCCTCTCCCCGAGACCAACAACAATGTTCGCGAAACAATCATCAGCAGCAGCCAGGTAAGTTTCCTAAAACCATCACTCCCAGTTCGCCAGTACTAACTATGCATCATGTATAGAGTGTATTTGAGGTCTTGGACTACTTGTCGAGATGGCTACAGGGAAAGAAAAAACAGCTCAATACTCTGAACCATCAGTCATACCAGTCTAGCCGGTCTCATAAAGATGCTAGTCGAGATACACTTCTTGACAAATATGCGTCTCAGATCAAATCTGTTGAAACGCTGCTTGCTTCAATACCCCCAGAGATCATTTCTAAAAGAGCTGTTGAGTGCAAGTCCTTCTCCAGGGCTCTCTTCCACTGGGAACAATACATCAGAAAGAGTAAATCACAAACCGAACCTCAAGACCACGCCAGCTCTGAGCTACTTTATGAAAGGCTACAGGACATCTACAGCCAGATCGATGAACCCGATGGGATAGAAGGTATCTCGAGCCATTTGTCAGCCCTCAATATTGATCAACAGGTCTTGGAGCATCGAAAGGCAGGTAGATGGGCTACTGCCCAGAGCTGGTACGAACTGCAACTGGAAAAGGATCCCGACAATATTGATGCTCAATGGAATCTTGTCACTTGCCTCAAGGAGTCTGGCCAGCAAGGTAATCACCGACATCCTGAATCCCCTAGCTCTTGATAAGTTCTGGCTGACAGCTTCAAGATGCGATTGTCACCCGATTCGAGGTTCTCAAAAAAAATGAATCCGCTGCTTCTCGGTTCCTACCATTTGCAGTTGAAGCATCATGGATAACTGGCAGGTGGGATAAATTGGAGGGCTATCTGGAACTTTGCGAGAGGCAAGGAACTGGCGAGTTCAACGTTGGCATTGCATCGGCTCTCCACTCTCTTCAGCAAAAGAAGACTCCAGAATTCATTGACATCATCAATGGACTAAGACTCAGTGTGGCAAAATCTTTAACGGCCAACTCTGTTGCGTCTTTGCAGTCCTGTCATGATGACATGCTTCGATTGCATGCCTTGGCAGATGTGGAATCCATAGCTCACGCAGGAGCTGACGATTCTCATTCGTCCAAGGACTTGTTGCTGCACACCCTGAATCGGCGTTTAGATGTGCTTGGTGGTTATCTTGCTGACAAGCAGTATTTGTTGGGTTTAAGGCGAGCGACGATGGAGTTAGCGTACGTTTTCATCGAGACTGTGGAATGTATATTTATTGACACTTTATTCTAGAGGCGGCTTTGTCAACTCTGACATTTCGGGTGCTTGGCTTACCAGTGCCCATCTATCACGGAAGGGCAATTTCACCAGCCAGGCATATCACTCAATGCTGCACGCCGCACGGTTGAAAGATCGATCGGCTACCATTGAGCACGCCAGATTGCTTTGGAAGGATGGGCACCACCGAAAGGCGATCCAGACCCTGGAAGGCGCCATATCTTCTAATGAATCAAACGCTACAACATCCTCTTCTGTTGATTCCGAGGCAGCCTCTTTTCTTTCAGGCCGTGGACAGAATCAAAATGAGACTGCTGCTGTTGTATGTTTGGTTGATTTTGTACCATCCTATTGACCATACACTGAACGAAAATGCTAGGCACATCTCATGTTAGCGAAATGGACAGACCGGGCTGGACAGACGCACTCACATGCGATCGTTCAGCGATATCGAGAGGCCATCAAGCTCTACCCCAGGTATGTCGCGAGGTTGGCCTCAGTCGGTGAATAAACCTGACAGGGAAATATAGGTGGGAAAAGGCGCATTACTATTTGGGGAAACATTACAACAAGATACTCGATTTGGAGAAGGTCAAGCCCATGGGAAAGGAGGCCCAAATCTAGTATGTACCTGTATGCATTGATCCGTGGTTCATCACTAACAACTTTTTCTAGCCTGAGCGGAGAAGCCACAAAGCTCGTGATTGACAATTACCTTCGTTCGCTAACCTATGGATGTAAATACGTGTTCCAGACACTGCCTAAGCTGTTAACACTCTGGCTCGAGCACGCCTCTGTCGTTGATCAGCCAATTGACCCGAAACGAGGTGACAATGAGTAAGTGACCACTGATTTCCACTCAGGCTCGTTGCCCTTGCTAAGTCGAATTTTCAAAACAACCAGGGAGTTTCAGCGAAAGACCAAAGCTCAGCGACAGAAGAGCTTGGATGAGATACATTCCCAGCTGAAAAAATACATATCAGGTCGCCTTCAACCTGCCTTGGTAAGCTGCCACGATCCTTCCATCACATTATTTGGCAAGATTGGAATTACTTGCTGACAAATACAGCTGTTCACAATCCTTCCCCAAGTGGTAGCTCGTATCTGCCATCGCAACAACACCGTTTACGACCTTTTAGCGCGAATGGTAATAAAGGCGGTCCATAGCTTCCCGCAGCAAGGCTTGTGGACAGTCCTTGCGGTTGTCAAGTCATCCAATAAGGACCGGGCTTTTAAAGGTCAAATTTGCCTCACAAAGATTCAGGAGTACCACAACAAGTCCAAGAAAGAGTCAGCACTCTCCGATATCCGCCGCATGGTGCATGAAGGCCAGAGATTCTCCGACGAGTTGCTTCAACTGTGCCTCGCGCGTGTGGAAGAAAGAGCCTCGAGGGTCAGTCTGGCTCGAAACTTAGGTTTCAATCACAAAGTTGCTCCTTGTCGACTAGTGGTGCCTTTCCAGGCAATGTTGATTCCCAGTCTTCCTGTCAGCCATGATTCCGAATACTTGAAAAGCTTCCGGCCCTTCCCCCGGGATCCGACAACAATAGAGGGTACGTTGAACACAGGCCACTCGATCGATTCCTCAGTCTGTGCTAACTAGTTCCAGCTGTTCTCGACGATGCCCAAATCTTGAATTCTCTCCAAAAGCCCCGCAAAATCAGCATCCGAGGCTCTGACGGAAAGATCTACAATGCACTTTGCAAACCGAAGGATGATTTACGCAAAGACCAACGGCTGATGGAATTCAACAATATGATCAATCGCTTCTTGAAGCGGGACGTGGAGTCGAGCAAGCGGCGAATGTGTGCGTAACCCCCTTGTCTAACGCCGCCTTCTTTCGAGCTGACTGATAGCTAGACATTAAAACTTATGCCGTAACTCCCTTGAATGAGGAATGTGGTATCATCGAATGGGTCGACAATCTTCGCACTTTGAGAGACATTATCGTTAAACTTCTGCGCGAAAGAAGAGTCTCCCCAAATGTGAGTTTCTGTGATAACTCGTGCGGGCTTCTACCTATCCGAGCAGGCTGGCTAATGCTACGTGGATCCAACAAACAGTACACCGAGATCAGACATTACCTAGACGAAATTTGTGCGGACAAAACGTTTTCGAAGTTGCCTCTCTTCACTACGAAGATTCTAGCCAAGTAAGATCCTTCCATCCATTCTCCAATACTTCCGACACGATCTATGCTGATACAGATCCAGACTTCCTACTGTTCTTCCCGAGTGGTTCATCGAGATGTTCCCCGAAACCGAATCATGGTTCACTGCAAGGCTGCGGTATACACGGTCTTCGGCTGTGATGTCCATGGTTGGATACGTTCTAGGGTTAGTCGTACATACCCTAAGGGGGTCGAAGATATTTCGAATGCCTCGCAGTTTACCGATTCTTGTCATACTGATTAGTTGCCTCAACAGACTCGGTGATCGACATGGTGAAAATCTGTTGTTTGAAGAGGGAACAGGCGGCATTCTACATGTTGACTTCAATTGTCTTTTCGACAAGGTAAGAGTATCGCGAGATCCAGCATCATACAACGATTAATTTTATTTGGAAAGGGCCAAACCTTTGAGAAACCCGAGGTGGTTCCATTCCGCCTGACTCACAACATGGTTGATGCCTTTGGTGCATACGGTTACGATGGTAGGCGGTTCACCAGCGCTATTAAATTGGCTTCCTGCTCATGTTGTACCATTAGGACCCTTCCGGAGAACGTGCGAGATCACTCTCAACCTCCTGCGGCAAAACGAAGATGCCTTGATGACAATCCTCGAGACTTTCCTGCACGACCCGACAACAGATTTCATTGGCAAAAGAGTGAGTTTAGTGTATCGTCTACAGGGAGAGAGCCTGCTTGTTGACGTTATTTTCATCGCCATAGCGTCGTACCCACACCAATGTCCCTGACACACCAGCGGGCGTCCTAGAGGACGTTCGTCACAAACTTCGGGGATTTATGTCTAAGCAACCTATTCCATTATCTGTGGATGGGCAAGTAGACGAGCTGATCATGCAGGCAACAGACAAGAAGAATCTGGCTTCAATGTATGTCGGATGGTGTGCCTTCTTCTGAGCTTCACGAAGCTAGATCATGCTGTCGCCCCATGACTAATTTTGACGCTTCGCTCAATAATCTTGCTCCGACAGTGGGATCTTCAGATGGCAGAACGTTGCACAAATCAGAGCAGGTCACTTGGTAATAGGTTCTCTTCATTGCCATCGTAGATGTAGCAGAATTGTGAATTTGATCGGTCAAGGGAGCTAGCTAACTTTTGGATGTTCTCGATGAATCTTGTGGATTCCTTGTTTATTTTTTGTCATCCAGGGGGGCTTCACCGAACATGTGGCGCGATGACCACAGTTAACAGCTTTTGCGTGTATGTCGAAAGGATTCCGTTGGCCACATATGCTATTCACACGGGAGACTAATGTCGGTTCCGACTCCGGCTCCTCACTGGACTCCGACTCCCATCACTGCGACTGCTGTAACCATAGCTGCTGTAGCTGGGACTCCGCCGCCGCCGCTGTCGCGGGCTCTCCGGGCGATGACTACCTCGCCGCACCGGTGACCGTGACCGTGACAGAGATGGAGGCCGATATGTGTCGTGTCGTTCAGCCGGCCTTGCACGTCCATGTCTCCTGGGGGGTGAGTCCGCATATGATCCCTTGCCAAATCGAGGACGGCCGCCAGTGCCTCGGTTGGAAACTGCGGGTGGTGAGCGTGAAAATGTCCGACGAGGGAGCACAATCGAAACGTTCAGAATAGCGCCATCAAGTTGAGCTTCGTGCATATGGGCAATGGCAGCCTCGGCATCCGCTGGGTCGTGGTATAGGATATATGCAGTGCCCCGATTTGTCATGACTAGATAGAAGTAGGCAAGAATAAGCAAAGTAAAGAGGGGTTCACAAGGTCAATACAGGGTGGGTTCTTACAGGCTCTGTTCATGGGCAGGTCGAGGTATTCAATATCGCCAAAGCTGCCGAATATCTCTCGAAGGTGGTTCTCCGTAACATTCTTGGTTAGTTTTTCTACCACAATCTATGGAGGCGGCACGTTTCAGTTAAATCGACGCGTCAAGCTTCAACCCTAGTCATATCCCAGGAACTCACCTTTGCGCTTTGTGGAGGGCTTTGATCTGGGCTAGGTGAGCGACTATAACTCGCGCTCCTGTAGCGTCGACCACCTCTGCTGGGACTGCGAGAGCGGGAGCGGGATCGGGATCGACCACGGGAGGAGGATCGACTTCTACTCCTGGTACGGCGGTGGCGGGCGGGCAGCGGGCTTCGACTGGCACTTCGCGGACGCGAATCTCCCCGAGAGGATCTTGCCGGGTTGCGATCCGGGGAACGTAAGGGCGAATGGCCCCGAGGGGATCGCAAAGACATGGATGTGCAATTAGAAGGGTCGCGGTCCAAGGGGGGGAAATCGAGAGGACGCTGGAGATGTGAGGCATAAAGTGGGTGGTGAAGCGGTAGGCGAGGTCAGGAGTGGTAGGAGGGAAGGGCGCAGGGAAGTTGTACCTGCATGGCCTCAGTCACGAGTTGGCGAGGTTAAATCAAGGGCGCACAGCTGGGGTCCGCGCTAGCCGCTAGCCGCATCAGGTAATCACCTCACCCGCACCGCTTCGCCGCTTATAAACAAAAGACAGGAGATTGGTAGGTGGTTATGGCTGATACTCCACTCGATGAGCGGCTATACAACATGTGTTTCTGTACCAAGTGAGGGTTGATATATATTATACATCTCCCTGGTCAAGTTTAATGTCTATCTTCTTTCTTCCCTTTTGTTTTCGTCTATCTATTTTTGCGCGTCTCGCCATTGTTCATACTCCTGGATGACCGAGTCGGTGATCTGACGCCGCACCTGGCCTAAGGCGTATTCAAAGTGCTTCAGCTTGACATCCTGTTCCTGCTTCGTCTCCTCTTCTTCATCCAACGCTGCATCACCGGCGGTCTCGCAGATGCTGACCATTTCGGCGCCCGAATAGCCCTCGGTGCAAGCTGCCAATTCATCCAGGTCCACGTTCGGATCAACTACAGATTTGCTTGCCCAGATCCGGAGAATCTCTCGCCGGGCTTCAAAGTCTGGTGGGCCGATGTAAAAAATATTGTCAAGACGACCGGGTCGCATCAGGGCTGGGTCGAGGACGTCCGGCTTGTTCGTGGCGGCAATGACCAACACATTGCGCAATTCCTCGATACCGTCCATCTCGTTCAGCAGAGTGGTCAAAACATTGACACCCCCCTGGGAGCTGCTGCTGCGACGACCAGCAATGGCATCGATCTCATCAAAGAAGATGATACTGGGCCGTGCTGCGCGGGCCTTGCGGAAGATCTCTCTCAGCGACCGCTCAGACTCGCCAACATACATGCTCAGAATTTCTGCACCCTTGACAGCCAAGAAGTTTAGGCCAGCTTCTGTAGCCAGTGCCTTGACGGTGAGCGTCTTCGAGCACCCGGGGGGCCGTACAGAAGGACACCTTTCTTACTCTTGACATTGAGTCGGCGCATTCGTTCGGGGTGCTGTGATGAATAATTAGTCCCGAGAAAGAAGACGGACGTGAGCGCAGTGAAAGAACGATATTTACCTTGAGAGGTCTCTCCACGGCCTGCTGAAGGCGTTTTTTGATCTCATGCTGCCCTCCAATGTCCGACCACCGCACCTTTGGTGTCTCCAAGAAAACCTCCCGCATAGCCGTCGGGCGGATCTCTTGCAGGGCAGAAAGGATATCTGTCTCCCGGATGGCCAAGTCGACACGAATTTCCCCATCGCTAGGATCATCAAGCGACGGGTCCGATTCTCGATCTCGAGAGGGTGACTTCGCTGGTAGAAGCGGGGAACCTTGCTCGAGCAGCTGCCGTTGCCGAGCTTTCCGACATATCAGCTGAAGTAGAGCGAAAAGATCTGCCCCGACATATCCGTGAGTTTTTTCGGCGAGGAAATCAACGAGCTCATCGCTGAGTCCAGCAGAGACAGGCCCACGAATGGCATGGAGAATTTCAGCCCGATCCTGTGCCGTAGGAACTTGTAGCTCAATCTCAGTGCCGAGTCGGTGAGGTGTTCGGAGAGCATCGTCAACATGGTTGGGATGCCGGGTGGCCGCCACCACCAGAACGGATGCACTTCGAATCGCATCCAGGTTCTCACATAGGACAGACGCCAGGGACTGGGATTCAAGGGAAGTTCGCTTTGGTGCAATGAACTCCAGCTGATCAATCAGGATCACGCTAGGCTTAGCACGAGCAGCCTCTTGGAATGTATTGCGGAGCTTCATCTCGCTTTCGCTGGTACTTCGGCCAAGGGATGAAGCGCCAATTTTGAAGACTTGCTTCCAGCCAGCGTTCTCAATTTGCTGCAGGAGCGTCGTCTTACCTGTCCCCTTGGGACCATATAAAAGGATGCCCCGACTATGCTCGTAGAACGAGGGCATGACTGGTCTACGCGGATCAAGGTTGAAGTCAGACAGACTCTCATTGATGTCTTCAATCTGCCGCGAGAGACCACCCAAGCCCATGGGCTGAACAACGATACTGGAGAACGACTCTTTCATCCTCTCCGTTTCTGTTCCAATCGAAATCTTGGAATTTTTGGTGAAACGGAAAATGGTGCGATTTGTCCTTGAATTCTGGGCGTGTATGTGGACTACCTTAAAGCTCCGGCGCTGGCCCTTGAGCTCCAGCTCAAAAACCAGACCGGTGGTCAAAACATCGCATCGCAGGAGTTGAAACTCCAAGGTCCATTCCCAGTGGCACCGTTCATCGGTGGCTATCGGGCCATGTTTTTCGATCTTCTCGGGGTCGGAACAGTCGACCAAAATGATCGATTCGATCTCGTCGAGAGTGCCGTCGAGTTTGGTGATCGCCACTTTCTCTCCGATCTTGATTCCGTAAATATCCTGAAGAGTCCTCGATGTTTGTACAACAGTGCTCTGTATATTCTCCACTGCGGTCCAAGCAATCGCAGTCTTCGGGGCTCTTTCGGCGGATGTCAAGGTACATAGATCATCAGCGCGGAGTCTGAGAGCAGCTAGAGAGGAGGAAGACAGATAGACACGGAACGCATCCTTGAGGTCACTTCGGGCCTGCTTCGTTAGCGGTCGAACGGTGAAACTGCGGACATCGGCCATGTTTTTGTACTGTTAATGGAACATAAAGCACACACGTAGCCACGCGAGTTGGTAAATTAGCGATTCCGTATCGCCACTAATGCTCGATGGCTGATTTCAAATCTTGGAAGGGGGCAGAGGCAAGGCTTTCGATTCCTGGGTCCGTCCCTGGGAGTTAGCAAAGTATTTCATGAGTCGGTCGAAATTGACAACGCGCACTGGTCTTATTCTCAGGACCGCGCAGCGCGGGGAGTCGGTCTGCAGTATCAATCTCCCAGTCTTTGCGGGCGAATTTCCAGGGCGGGCAGAGCCAAGTACCCCTTCAATCGTGAAAGGCTGACAATCGTCAAGGACCAGAAATTTGAAGTGGGGTGAAGTTGGAGGAGTGGGATTGATCGCATTGAAAATCAGGTGGTGGGACCTTATCGGGCCGCCGATACGCAAGAAAAAAGAGTGGGTCAGGAGGACAAGCGCCAAGTGCGAGCAGCGGCAATCGTTAGGAGGATGTACGGAGTAATAACAGTACGGTGCACTCCGTACATACTGTAAGCGTCACATAGTGCGCTCCGGAGCTAGATGAGTGGAAGGGCATTCCTTTCTACAGTCAGGACGAGGCTGACAAGAGGTTGAACTGAAGAAGAGACCCTGCAGGAAGCATTGACCAAATAAATAACATTCTCCATAACATGGAAAGGCATCAAAGATCAGAACTACTACTCGGCCTAAAAAACATCAAAGAGACAGTTTGCCACTGGCTATGGACATATATGTATGATACTCGATTGTAACGGGCGCCAACTCTCCATAGAAACTGGACATTCGAATCTTAGCATATGAAATTGCAGGCAAAAGGATATGTGGCAGCTGCGCAGGAAACGACCAAGTGCGGCACGAGAAAGAGACCAAAACACACACACACACACAGAGACACGCGGGAAAGTAAAAGGAAACGGTGGAAATAGCACAATAAGAGATGGTAGTGGTACAGGGTCTAGCAACACTTCCCTCCCGTGCTACCGTTCAAACCCGACCCCTGATCTATAGGGACCCCTGAAGCACCCCCATGTTCGGTCTTCGAAGTATCCATGCCCTTCTTAATATCCGATGCAAGGCTATAGAACGCCTTCTCGATGTTGATGTTATTCTTCGCGGAGACCTCCAAGAAGGGAATGCCAAGTTCGTCGGCTAACTGCTGGCCCTGCTCGGTTGAAACGGCCCTCTTCTCCTCCCAGTCACACTTGTTTCCAATCAGAATCTTGTGAACTCCTTCGCTGGCGTGTTGCTCGACGTTTGAAAACCAGGTTCGGATGTCTATTCACGATGGTTAGACCAGTTGGCCCATAATTCCCGGTGAAACCACCCAAAAGAGGGAGGAGGGAGGAAGGCAGAGAGGAAGGTCTATACTTACTCTGGAAAGAGCGTTCATCAGTCACGTCGTAGACCAGGAGAATGCCCATCGCACCGCGATAGTAGGCGGTCGTAATGGTACGGAAGCGTTCCTGGCCCGCCGTGTCCCAAATCTGCAGCTTCACCCGCTTGCCATCCAACTCGATCGTACGGATCTTGAAGTCGATTCCAATGGTCGTAATGAAGGAGGGGGTGAACGAGTCTTCGCTGAAGCGCAATAGACAGCACGACTTCCCCACACCGGAATCCCCGATCAACAGCAACTTGATCTGTAACCCATCCTCAGTCAGATGCTGCATCGACGAGGCCATAAATGCTGGGAAATACTCACCAGGAAGTCATAATTCCGTGTGCCAGCCATGATGGGGTGGTTTGTTTGTCGGTCGGGTTGACAGGGTCGTTATTCCCAGATAGGAGATGATCAAGACGGGTGGCAGGGTCCACGAATGAGCAGAGTAGAGTATCGGTTTCACTGGCAGCTATCGCAGTCGGGAAGTAGATGTCCACCGAAAGTAATCGTAAAGTGAATCGCAGCCACCTGAGGTGAAGGAGACAGGTCTCAGTGCGACCAGGGACTCTATCAGGAGCGCTGGGTTAGCGGTGCAGAACTCGCCCACCAGTGCAGGAAGGCAGGTGATCAAATAAAAGAGGTTCAGAGATTTGAGATCAGCCCCAAAACCAAGCATACAACAATCAAGAGAGGGAAAGAAGGGAGGGGGATGGAAGAGTGGTCAACACCAAGCGGAGTGATGACGGCGCTACGACCTAGGACTGCGATCGATGCCCCATTATGTAAGCAGCCCCGACCCCAGCACAACAGCCTTGGAAGTTACGGTGTAGAGAGGTGAGGGTTTCAGGGACTTATATCTTGAGTCTTTCAGTCTCTGTTTAGTCTCGAATGAGCAGTGATACCGATAACTAGGCATGCGTATATAGATTTGGAAATGTCGCCCGGGCTTCGGGAGCCAATTACTACCATACACATTCGTTCCATGAAGGGTTTACAAACTACTCGGTCGAACAAGATTGCACAGCCCAAAGTGCAATAACCGCATCGAGGAGAATGGCAATCATGGAATCTCGCGTGATCCTGACCAATGGTTGGCAGGGTACATGATTGGATTGTGCACAATATGCTATGTGATATCAGGTACCCCATCCTCCTAATGGAAGTATGCCCATCTCATCCTCTCAACAACCCGCAGTTGCTTGTCGACGCCACTCTGGACGTCAAGCAGGTCTTGGATGTCTTCCCGGAATTCCTGGTATTGTATACCTCCGAGGACTGTCTTGATTTTCTGGAGGAGATCTTCTGCCTCACATATAAGTCGCCCCGATTCCTTGTAGGAGACCGTCCCATCAGGGGACCGGGCGGATGTGAGGATGCGAGTCACGTTTCTGATCCATCAGCTAGTTGCACACCTCACTAATCCAATGGGTTGATATGCTTACCGTAGCCCACGGCGGAGCGCATGCTGTTTCTTCCCTCTTTGTAGACCCCGACGGTTGCCAAAGAGGCCAATCAGCCACCGCAGAGCGGAATACGAAACCAAAATTCCAGGCGTCAGCCCAACGAACCTGGACAACAGCGTTAGATGATGTCTGCCAGAAGAAAGCAAAGCCGAGAGGGGAGGGAGGAAGGAAACAGGGTAAGCTAGGAGATGCCAAAGAAAGACGCCTACCCAAAAACAAGTTCTTGACTCTTCAGGAGAGCATTGATGCCACTGATGGCAATTTCCACATCGACCTTAGTCTTCTGAATCTGAATCAAAAGAGCCCGCACCAGATCGCCTCGAACAGTGCCTACAAAGGGCGTCCGGAGATCGCGCTCATAGGCTTTGAGCACCGGTGTCAAATCACCCTCCTTGACTGCATTCGCAATGGCTGTCGTGTCTTCCGCGGGCAGTTGTCCCTGGCTGAGGTCGGGCCGATCGCGGACAAAGTCAATGACCATACGCTCCAGGCTGGCCCGGTCGGCCACCAAGCTGTTTTTACTCATGATGGCAATCTCACTTTTCTCGTCGTGTCGGATAGTTCCGATGAGTTTGCGAATGGGTTCCACCACCCAATTGCCGCCAAAGTCAACGATCGTGGATCCAATATCCATGATCCATTGTAGGATTTGGTCCTGTCGATGAGCAATGAATCTCAGGGAGAGGCTACTGGACAAGACCGCTAGCGATGCGGGGATCCAGTACCGAGTCACTCGCGAGGGGCGCCCGTGCAAAACAACAAATGCCGACATCGAGGCCGTGTGAGCTGGCAGTTGAGCTCGAAGGAGGTACACCACCCGCTCAATCAAACGAACTGGGGGTTGGGTGGAGAACGGACCACTGCCCTGCATTTGCATGCTGGACCTATCGTCTTCCATGACAGCGAATACCCGCTTCTCAAAATCCGCCGCACTCGACTGACTGATTGCCTGGTGCAAAATGGCTTCTGTGAGAGCCACAATTCTGGTAACCGTCTCTTGCCACTGGTCCCGAGAAACCCGATCGGCATTGCTCGCGAGGTCTTCTATTTGGAAGGCACGCCACCCTTCCATGAGCAGGCCCAGGCTGCTGGTATGAATGTCCCTCATGGCCAACAGGTGGTCTCTCTTCTGTCGGATTTCTGACCGACAAGATCGGATGGGAGAAGACCAGTTTAGTCGAATCGGATACTCCGACATGCTCTGTCTAGCAATTTGGTAGAACTGCGCCCAGCGAGCAGCAATTGACCGCGACAGGGATTCGGACGACACAGTCTGCATGGTTCGGAAAGAAGAGAGGTCCTTTGTCCAGTGCCAAAGTCGCACAGGGGTGGTCTGCGCCGTATAGATACCACTATTCCAGACCGATCCAAGTACGGCGTTCCAGTAGTAGATCTCTTCCTGGAGCTGAAGCGTGTAATCCAGGAGGGAGTGCATCACTAGCCCGGATGCCTGAACCGCCGCCTTGGCGGCAACCAGCCATAGATAGTCCGATACATGCTCCTCGGCCTGGGACTCGGTCTCAGTCCTGGCCACTGCGGAGAGGGGGTATTGAAACGTCCCAGTCGAATCTGCCAGCAAATCTGCGAGGCGAATAGCCGGAAGGAAGGGCTGAGTCTTAGACGTCACCGAGATGGAGCCGATGACATTTTGGAGGCGACGAATGTGCGGAGGGGGAGCATCTTGGGTATACAGGAGCTTCTCCGGACGAGTGATCTGCTGCTGCAGGCGGTCGAGCTGGGAGTTGACGCTGCAGGCCGTTCTAAATGGAACAAGCAAGTACAATACGAGTCAGCTGAAGATGAAGGAGGCAGGATCGGATCACCTCAGAGAGGTAGCAAAATGGAAGGGATCATAAGACATACTCCTGGACAATCGACATGGCGCCTGGCAGAGCTTGGACTGGGACGGCATCGGCGTCGGCGTCGGCGTCGGCGTCTGTGTGGGCGCATTGTGGCATGGCGTCATGGTGCAAACGAGACAAACCCCTAGAGGGAGCGCGTACGGGAGGCAAACAGTGCAAACCGCACCATGTCGTACTCGCGCCTACACAGTACAGTGTATCCCGACACCACCTGATCTGCTCGGCTCGGGAAGAGGACTCTGTTGCTCGTCAAGGATTAGCTAGTTGTTTAGTTTAGGTAGGTAGTTAACTTTCTCACTAATTAGTTAGCCTACTGTACATTCCTTACTAATAATCATTCACTGTACTGCTATTGTTTCTCAGGTTTCCCTTGTTATGCATGGTGTCGGGCTCTGAAACTACACTGCACGTGAATGCGGTAGAGAGCCAGAGACAAGTCACGAGTATGCCTCCGTTTCCAGTTTCCATAGGAAGGCTCTGGTCACTGATTTGCTTCTCACTGGATCGGTTGTACGCCTATATCCTCGGTGGTGTCGACAGAAGTGTCCATAGTAGGATCCTCACAGTGATCGCCAAGGATAGGTGTGTCGGTATCCTCTCCCAGCCACTCTCTGCTTACCTATGACTCGCGTTTCAGAGGCACCGGAGCCGTGGGCTCTCCGCATGGGCTGAGCAGGCGATCACAGCGGGGCCAGCAAGCGCCATCCTGCATGGCCTAACGGGGGCAGGACTGTCCAGGCCGGGGCCAACCAGAGGGCCGCAAATCCGCATTATTCGCCCGGTGGAGCTCGGATGATGATCGGCTCGCAGTGGCCTTACCAGATGGGAGGCTCCGGGCGGCTGATGGTTGGTCCTTGAACTGCGTGACCCCTTTTTAGCTGGGTGCAAACCAGCCAAACCAGCCAAACCAGCGAGACCAGGCTCAGGGGGAAAGCACCAAGAAAACGGGTCTCGCCACTTCGGGAATGGCCCGCCCTGCCGCCCTGCTCGCAAGAAATAATAATTGCTGCATTTCCACTCTTCCCTTCCCACCCCCTCCTCCCTGTGGACTGGTGATTCTTCATCTCTCTCCCTCGCTCTTCTTCCAACTTCCAATTACTCCCTTCTTTCACCACCCTTAACCCTTCTCTTTCTTCCCCTCCCCCTTCCCCTCGGTCACATAGTTCGCCTGGAGCGTGGCCCTTGCCCACGGGAAACCATACAATGTACGTGAAATTCTTTCGGCTTTCTCCCCTCTCCTCCTCGAGTCCGGTTCCCTAACTTTTCCTCTTTGGACGTCCCTCAGGAACTCGACGATTTTGTCTTCGGGCACCTACTGGGGCCAGTTCGAGGAGATTGGCAAGTACAATGCCAACCTGAATGTCGCTGAGCGGCTGTGGGCTGCATGGTACGCATGGATGCAGAACGATGTCCTGGCCACCGGAATCATGTCCTTCGCGATGCACGAGCTGGTCTACTTTGGTCGCTCGCTACCATGGATCTTCATCGATAGCTTGGGTCTATTCAAGGGCTACAAGATTCAGAGTGTGAGTACATATCGAAATCCGGCATTCCCTCGTCGTCAGGCAGGGAAGAGGGAGCCATTGGCTAATCTCGGGGTAGAGCAAAATCCCCTCGTTGCGCGAACAGTGGGACTGTGCCAAGTTCGTGCTCCTGAGTCACTTTACCGTGGAGCTGCCGCAGATCTGGTAAGATTGCCTCCTCTCATCAACCCCTTCTCTGGCGGTGGGCCGGCGAACTAAATGTCCTTGCTCGGCAGGCTCTTCCATCCTATGGCCCAATACTTTGGTCTCACGACTTCGGTTCCCTTTCCCTCCCTGTGGACCATGGCCTACCAGATCGCGATTTTCTTTGTGATGGAGGACACCTGGCATTACTTCTCCCACCGTGCCTTGCACTGGGGCCCCCTCTACAAGGCGATTCACAAGATTCATCATCAGTACTCTGCACCATTCGGCCTAGCTGCCGAGTATGCATCCCCGATTGAGGTCATGATTCTGGGCTTTGGGACAGTCGGCTGCCCGATTCTCTGGTGTGCCTTCACCGGTGATTTGCACATTCTCACAATGTACATTTGGATCGTTCTGCGCTTGTTCCAGGCCATCGACGCGCACAGCGGCTATGAGTTCCCCTGGAGCCTGCACCACTTCCTGCCCTTCTGGGCCGGTGCGGATCACCATGATCTTCACCACGAGAAGTTCATTGGCAATTATTCCAGCAGCTTCCGGTGGTGGGACTATGTCCTGGACACTGAGTACACTCCCGACTCGTTGAAGCGGCGGAGAGAGAATAAGGTATCGACGAATAAGGCTCAGTGAGCCGGTTTGTCTGCTTATTCACCCCATGTCGGACAGGATTGGGTTGTACACTGCTCTAGGATCCACGTGGGGGGATTTTTCTTATTCTCGCTTTTCTTGTTCTCTCGTATCTCTCTGTTGATCCCTTGGGAGTTGTGGATGCAGCTTTGGGTTGCCGAAACGAAAACAGTGCTCATAGTGCTCTCTCGGAAGGCACGCAAGCGCGGGATCCTACACACCTGGTTGGGAGACTTACTTGCCAGGCAAGGTCACGAGTATCTCGTGCTTTCATCCAATGCCACCCTGCGACCCTCAGTAGCCGATGTTTTGATGTATCTATTTAATCTTGTTATGAATACCCGGCGCAGAGATCCCGGAACAATGAAACTTGCATATTAGACAATCTTACTGTGCGACCCTCATAATAGATTCCGGAGAGATTCACCTTGACCGACTTCTCGGTCGCAGAAGATCCTACAGGTGCAGATGGCAGATCCCAGTTAGATTGTGGTCCTGGTCCTGGTCCTGGTCCTTTGCTGGCAACATCACATTCCAACGATGGAGATGAGCAAGGTAATCCGATTATTCCGCGCTTCGATATCGAGCGCCTACGCTATATTAGTTGGTACGCTGTGCGCGTTGACCATGGTTATTCTTCGCCCACGTGCAGCCAGATGGAATCTAGGAGAGCCTTCTCCTAGGACACAGGTGCTGGGATTCTATCGAGAAAATAGAGGGTGGTAAATCTAAATGAAATGAGGTAATGTCGACAGGTACTTCACAAGAGCGGTTCCACAAGGCCAACTTCAGCAATTATAGGAATCTCAACAATCTATGTCCAAGGTCCAAGAAGTGGTAAAGTGATGGGGACCAGATAACCAAATTAATAGAGATAGACGTAGCAAACACACCTGGAGGGAACCTGTCTCGTCACCTATGGGCTGGGTGCAAGAAGAAGTTTAAGTAGCTATAGAAGATCGAATGGTCGAGCCCAAGCATACAGAATGACAAAAGGAGGTATCCAAAAGGTGATGTTGATGTTTGTGGCTAGAGGCTTTCCTATAGTAAGTTTAACCTTTGATTCTCATTTTAAAATGACCTGGGTAGAGGGCAATATAGGATCTGAGTAAAATACAAAAAGAGGCAAAAGAAAACAACGTTCCCTCGAACCGGAATCGAGCCGGTGACCTTTCGGTTATATGATGATCCATTACAGCCGAACGTGATATCCAACTACACCATCGAGGGTTTAATTGTGGATGGAATTTTCGCTAAAAATAACTATAAGTAGGTTTCCATCTAAGATATCATTTAATTACTAGTACATAGGCTTTATATAATACTACCTATTATAAGAAAAATATATCTAGACATATAGTTAATAGAGTCTAGTAACTATCTATATAAGGAAATTTCATATCCTCTTCTCTTCTCTTAGTAGGAAGTAGCTTCTATAAATCATTATTTATTACTAATGGAAATATGACTAGGCTCAGTGGATTTTCATATATCATTCCTATATATAAAAGGGTAGTAGGGAATGATATAAACAGAGTAGTATAAAAAGAAGGAAAAATAAATACAATGTTCCCTCGAACCGGAATCGAGCCGGTGACCTTTCGGTTATATGATCCATTACAGCCGAACGTGATATCCAACTACACCATCGAGGGTTTGATTGCGGTGAATGGGCCGCCAAAGGCTTCAGGTGGATGTATATCAAAGCGAAAATATCAAGCTTTGCCTAAGTTTATGTTCATGAAAAATGGCCTAAGCCAATATACAGTCTTAACCTAGATCCAGTGACCTAGATTCATGTTGGCTCAAGACATCAGTCAGCTGTTACCCCCTAAGATACACAGCTCATGCGCCAGCTGACCTGCTTTAAATGTCTGTAATGGATCATCTTTGAGTTCAATGAGCTCTCTTGAGCCAAAAGGACTACTATCAGTGGTCAGTGAAATTGGGATATACAGCAACATGATTGGAAATGGAACTCTGTTATAACACCCCAATCATCACCATTCCCACATCTCATATCTTACCATGATAAACATTAGGAAATTGTCATTGCTATAATCAGCCATAGTAGAGCCTGCAGAGGCTAGAATAGGTCTATATATACCCAGAGAACAGTCCAGCTGCTATATCTAATGCCATTTATTCTGCCAGGTTCTTCTCTGCCAGCGAGTAGACCTCAGCAAGGACCATACGGGACTAGACTGGACTAGGACCAGAGTAGACTAAAACTAGTCTTGGTATTATCTTTTAGGACTGCTAGGCTATGCTAAATTTTGTAGGACCAGACTACCTACTATAGTCCTAGCCCCCTATATTGTCCTATAAATAAGATAAATATAGCAAATTATATAATTTATATATAATTTATATAGAAAATATAGTATTTATGGCTAACTAATTAGTTTATATTTCCTAAATAGGAAGATCTTAGTAGAATTATGAAATTCTAGGTAACTATATAAGGGACTATATAGGACTATAGGGAGTAGTAGTCTAGTCCTAACTACTTTAGAAAATACTAAAGGACTAGATTATCTATAATGACTAAGATGGCCTATAAGATAGCCCTATGAATTTATATAGGTATGATCCTAGGCATACTTTACCGTCCTTTAACCTTATATATTCGGCCCCTTATAGGTACTTTCTATTATATTTTACTATACTTATATCCTTATAGACCTATTCGCTTACGATAATAATAAAATATACTCTTATACTCCTATTATCTTATATAGTAGTAAACCTCTAAAACTAAATAGCTTTTTACGGCTATTTATAGGAGGGCCTAATCTTATAGTAAATCTTAATTATAGAGAGGTCCTCCTAAAGTAATCTCTATATAATAGAGAGAGTAAAAGAAAAATTAGGTTAATTAAGAGCTCTAAGAACCTTTCTTCTATCTATTTTAGTATAGTAATATAATATTAAGACCTAGCGAGCGATAGTTTATAGTTAGTAATATTAGTAATCTTAGGATTTTTAGAAAAATAGTAATAACTAAAACCTTTTATTACTATATAAAGATCTATAAATAATTATACTAGTATATATATAATATTTTTTAACTATAATAGGAAGATAGAGAAATAGATAGAATAATCTAATTATTTTAGATTATTTTATAATAAAATATCTTTCTAGAGATTTATTTTTAGATATATAGACTTAGTCTATACTAAAGATTAGAAGTAAAAGATAAAAGATTAAAAAAATAATTTAAAGATTTTAATTAGCTATAGATATAAATACTTAGACTAGAAATATCTTAATATATCTAAATTTATTTAATCTAGAATCTTTATTTAAAAAACTTATCTTATTATAGAAAATACTATAGTTACTAATCTAGGATAGATATATCTAATTATTTTTATTATAGAGAAAGTTTTTAGTTATTTACTAAAAGATCTAGCTAATTTTTATTAGAAATAGATTATAAATAATACTAATCCTAATATCTATAAAAAGATAGTAAAAAAGACTATTTAGGTAATTTATAAAATAGCTATCTAGCTATAAATATCTATTTTAATATAATTAGCTATATAGATATCTATATTTCTATTATAAGTTACTATAGAACTATTAGTACTTTTTAATTAGGCCTAATAGAAGATAAAAAAAACTATTCTAAAATATATCAGAAAGATTAAGAAATATAATAGTAATATTCTAGATAAAACTATATACTATTATTTTTATAATTATAAATATTATTTTATAGAAATAGCTAGATTTATAGATATTAAATCTAATAATAAAAATAAGATTATATATATTTATAAAACTTTAACTAACTATATTAATAATTACTAAAAATAATAATTTATAAATTTATATAGTAAAAAAATCGAGACTTAGTAAGTTTACTAAGATTAGATCTTATATAAATTTTTAGAATATCTTAGTAATATAAAAAAATAGGACTAACGTAATTCCCGGCCGACCTGGACACCCGGCCGTCCTGGACACCTACTCCCATTAGAAATTTTTGTATTAAAATATATCAACCAAAACGCATCAATTTAGCTATATCTGACGATTTTTACATTGATTGATCTTATAGCCAATTCCCCTACACCTACTACACCTTGGTGGAGCCCTGGTTGCTGGCTGAGCTAGTTGAATAGCCTCATCGGCCTGCTCATGCGAAACGACCTGATCAGCTTCAACTAGCTAATTTAGCTGCGTAACTAGCTGTTGACCCTCTTTAACCGTTAAGCCTCCGTCGTAAGCTATCTGTCGATTCGAACGTATGCGTTTCTGGCGCATTTTCTCATTACCCACGCGTAGGTTAGCGATTTTATGCGCAAATTGCGCTGTGTTATAAAGCGCTTCGTAATGGCCCTTAATAAGCTGATCGAAAATAGTTTGTATTAGGCTTGGAGGGCTGTTTGATCGTTGTTTCCAAAGATCTTTGATCAACGAAGCTGATTTTTCTATTTAGACGATGGTCCTCGGTGTTTTTAGGCCGATTTGGCTATCGCTGGTAGTTGGCCGGCTATTCGGTAGTGATAGTGTTTTCAGTGAGATATTAAGCTTTAAAAGTACCCGTTCAGGGTCAATTAGAACAAGACTAGTAGCTACGAAAGCACTTTAAATAATATATAGTTAAAAGGCCTCCTTACGCGCCCGGGGGTAATTATTAAGGAAGTCGAATTTGTCGATGGTATTATATAACCAGCGAGCCAGATCGCTCACAAAGCGGCCGTATACGCGTTTTAGTATAGTAAAACACCTAACGTCAAGCGGTTATAAGAGATGCGAACTATACGGAGGCATATAAAGTAGTATTATATTATTTTTAGCGTAGATTTAGTCGAATCGAGGTATAAGATAGCTACCGTAGCCATCAAGAATCAATAGCCGATATCCCCCCTTTATACGCGCTACGGTCGCTAGAATAAAGAGCTTTTATAGCCAACGAAGGCCAATTTCGTCGGTTATCTAGCCGTTTAGCGAGACCTCGATACGCTAGTCTTTTAGAAGACGGAGTT